AACCCCCTAACCCCCTAACCCCCTAACCCCCTAACCCCCTAACCCCCTAACCCCCTAACCCCCTAACCCCCTAACCCCCTAACCCCCCTAACCCCCTAACCCCCTAACCCCTAACCCTAGGTGGAGAAGGGGACGATGGGAAGGATGATGGAATGGAAGGAGGCGGTATCGGACGGAGCTTGGGAGTACATGCTGCGGAGGATGGCGCTGGGGCTGTTGAGGAGCAGGGCGAAGATGTGGCAGGTTGGAGGGTAGACGGAGTGATGAGTAGCTAACTTGATAGAAACACTTGTATCTCATAGCAATAAGTATGCAGCTCAATCACCCCTAACCCTCAGCACAGTAAGCCTCAGTAGTAAATGTGTGGCATACCAGGCTCCTATCGCATGGCCTTTCCAGCTGTAGAATTAGCTCTGTATGTACAACCGGCGGACGAACGGCTCACCCAAGGATGAGTGCCGCCAGGGGTGATCTGGGAGCTTGGCTGAGAAGCGAGGGGGCGTGATTGATATGTCTCGGTAGGGACGAGGAAGTACTGGTGCGTGATCGCACGTAGAGTTCACTCGCAAAGAGGGGAGAGGGGTGGACGGTGGTGTCCTGACCGGTGGCTATAAAGTCAGCTGGCGAGCTGGAAGTTTGCCCCAGTAGGCGGAATAGATAGCAAGGTCTGCATGTCTTCCGCATGTACGATCTTCCCCTTCAGACGTATCACCCTTCTCCATCAAGCTCCCCTCTTCCTTCTCCGAGCACAGCTGAGGAGAGAACAACTCACCGGGTATACCCGCAGCCGATCGGAATAGAGGACAGCGGTCAAGCTGGCCCCGGTCCACTAGCCCCTCAAGCCGGATGGCGGTCCAGCCGATGCCTGAAAATGGCACCGCCAGGCACGATCGACGACCAGTTGACCTCGGACGGGGCTGCGGACCGAGGGTGAGCAGTCTACTCTGGCCAGTAGAGCTGCTGAGGAAGGCAAGGCAAGGCAAGAGCTTTTTCGCAGAGTAGAGGGGAGGGGGAATGGTCATGATTGTTTGGTCCCCCCTTGTACGCCTTGTCGGCGATCAGTCCATCTCTCTCGCGTCAACACCCTTGTCCACTATCTATCCATCACTCTGCATGCACTATGAGCGGCAACTCCAACTTCCTAGACGTACGTATGGGTCATAAGGGTATGGCTGATCTCCTAGAAAGCTATAGCGCTCGTGCAGAAAGCCATCGATGAGGACGTCAAGCAGAACTATGCGGTGAGCCGCGGCTGGAAAGGGTGGTCAAGTCAGAGCTGATCAGATAGGAGGCGTACAAGCAGTACCAGGATGCTCTGGACTACTTTATGATGGCTATGAAGTGTGAGTATATCACATAGCAACGCTGACGATAGACGAGAAGAACGACAAGCTCAAAGAGCTCATCCGAAAGAAGACCATCGAATACCTCGACCGCGCCGAAAAGCTCAAAGAGCACATTGCCAAGGCGGACGAGAAGCGATCCAAGTCCAAGGTGTCGGCAGTAGGAGCGGCGGGTGGATCATCTGGAGCTGGACCGGACGTCAAGGGGAACGGAGGAGGAGGGGATGATGATGATCCAGAGACCAAGAAGTTGAGGCAGGGATTACAGGGGGCGATATTGAGCGAGTCGCCCAATGTGGCGTGGGACGATGTGGCGGGGCTGGCGCAAGCCAAGGAGGCGTTGAAGGAGGCGGTCATCCTACCGATCAAGTTCCCGCAGCTGTTTACGGGCAAGAGGACGCCATGGAGGGGGATATTGCTGTATGGACCGCCGGGGACGGGAAAGAGTTTCTTGGCCAAGGCGGTGGCTACAGAGGCGAAGAGCACGTTCTTCAGTGTGAGTAGTAGTGACTTGGTCAGCAAGTGGATGGGAGAGTCGGAACGGTGAGTACTGTCTCCTGGTCGAGGCTGTGTTGTCGGTCTTTACCATCCCTTCTCCCTGCATTTGCTCTGACCCATCTCCCTCTCGCCTCTTCTCTCCGACTCTCTCCCCTTCTATCGTTTCTTTCTTCTCCATCCTCATCCTCCTTTCTCCTTCTCTATCTACCACACTCGCTCCACCTGTCCCCATACCTGTTTGCTCAGACCCATCTCCACCTCGTCTCTTCTCTCCGACTCTATCCCCGTCTATCGCTCCTCTTTCCTCCATCCTCATCTTCTTCTCACCTTGACCATCTACCCCTCGCGCTCCACCTCTCTCTCCTCTGTCCATGTCGATTCAGTCCCGCTCGAATTGCGCTGACCGTCAGGCTCGTCAAGCAACTCTTCACCATGGCCCGCGAACAAAAGCCCTCAATCATCTTCATTGACGAGATCGACTCGCTCACCGGGACAAGAGGGGAAGGGGAGTCGGAAGCGAGCAGGAGGATAAAGACCGAGTTCTTGGTTCAGGTGAGTGCTGGGATTGTAGTCGGGTTTGGGTGTTGGGCCGCGGTGGTTGGCTTGTTTCGGGTTGGTCTCAAGGGAGAAGTAGGCAGGCAAGTGGACGGAGTCCCAGCAGGGTAGTGGGATCCGGGATGATCGGAAGGGATGGGACATGAGCATCAAGATGGCAGGCTGGAGGGAGACGGTCATGGCGAGGCGGAACAGGAAGTGATACTACCGAGCGACCGGATCTCGAGGGATAGATGGGGCCTGGAGAGACTCGGTGGGCGTAGCGGGGATGGCAGCGTCTAGGCACAGCGGGCGATATGGGGGACAGTGAGGCGTGGGTGCGGATGAAGCGAGGTGGGAGGGGCTGCTGCGGAGGGAGGCTAGGCACTGTGCGAGAGGGACAGAGGGACTCTGATACTGCGGACGAGGGGACGCCTAGATCGCAGAGACATGTGCTGCTGGCCAGCAATGCGGGAAGGGGTACTGAACATTCGCGCTCGCTGGATAGAATGCCAGATCGAGGCTTTGGAACCACACCCATAGGATCAGCGCTAACTAGCAGATCAATGGAGTGGGCAACGACGATACCGGCGTGCTCGTTCTCGGAGCTACCAACATCCCTTGGCAATTAGATCCAGCCATCAAGCGGAGGTGAGCTCTTCCTTCTCCCCTTCCACCAGCTACCCCATCATCATCGGTACGGAGACCTCAGCTGATCCACCAGATTCGAGAAGCGGATATACATCCCACTGCCCGAAGTACAAGCCCGGCGCAAGATGTTTGAGCTCAACATCGGGACTACACCACATGCTCTTTCTCCAGCGGACTTCATGTCGTTAGCAGAGGAGACGGACGGGTGAGCTCCCTGCTTCAGCGCTGGGGTCGAGAAGCTTCAGTACAGCTGACAAGGCAGGTACTCTGGAAGTGATATTGCGGTCATTGTGCGGGATGCGCTCATGCAGCCCGTACGGAAGGTGCTAGCTGCTACGCACTTCAAACCTGTACGTCTTGCTCCTTGCCTAGCCCCAGTCCGCCGAGTCTGCCCCTCCCTCTGTCTCTTCTCCCCCGACCACCCCAATACCGCCTGTCTTCCCCTCGCTTCAACCCATGCTGTCTTGCATCGCATCCTCTCTTATTCCTCTCCTCCCCTTCCATGCCTACTTCTCTCCACTACCTCCACGTCTCCCTGGACCCACGCTGATTTCCAGATCACCATCCAAACACCCGACGGCCCCGCCCAGCGCCTCACCCCTTGCTCCCCTGGCGACCCCGCCGCGCAAGAGAAATCATGGACCGACGTCGAATCCGCAGAGCTACACGAGCCGATCCTGCAAAAGAGCGACTTTGATAAGTCTATCGAGGTGAATAGGCCGACTGTGAGCCAGGCGGATATCCAGAAGCATATCGCGTTTACAAATGAGAGTGGTGAGTCGGTCGTTCTCTCTCTCTTTGGTTCTGGTTACTGGGATGTGGTTTGGGGAAGGGGATGGACTGAGGTGGTATGGAAGCAGTGGACGCAGGAGGGACAAGAGGTACGACGCTAGCGGGGAGATCTGGCTTGGGTGGACAGTCAGGGCGGTCTGAAGCAAGCGGGATTGATGGGTATGGCGGCGTAGTCTGGGGTGATGTGTACATCAGGCCGGCAGGGAGAGGAGGATTAGTTCTGCGGGAGAAGGGAGGGACGGTACAGCTTCTTGGGGATTGCTTGGACGTCCCCCTATCTGTGCGGACCGGTGTTCTTTGATCTATCCACACCATGATCATCAATCCGGGGCAGAGCTGACATCGCAGGAGGAGAAGGGGCCTAGCTAGTTGTAGTATCGGATGTACAGAGTGTACTAGTATCGGCCAGCACGCCAGCGCTTATCAGCGGAGCTCGAACGGCTCGATAGAGTTTCACTCAACCTTTCTTCTCCATCTTCCTTTGACCTTCATCCTCCTCTTGTCCCCCTTCACACTCTGCTCTTATCTCCACTTCCACCTCTTGCTCCTTCTCTTCCCTCTACTTCCAATTCTGATCACTCACACAGGCAAGATGATTCCAGGACCCTCGCCTCGGACCCCTCGATCTCCTCGCATCGATCGTCCGCCGACAATGGAGGACAAGACGCTCACTCCAGACTTTGTCGCGGACGTCGTCCGAGCCATGCAGAAGTGGGACATCCAGAAGTGCGCGGTGGTGGTCGTGCCGATGGAGATGGGGATGGGTCCGCCAGCTGGGCGGTTCTTTGGTGGACGAGATGCAGACCAGGTCACGAGGAGGGTGAGTCTCTTTCTCCTTTCGCCTGCAGGTAGCTGATTGAGCAGACTGCCTTCCCCCTCGCTTCCGGCGCCAAGCACATCACCGCCCTCGCCCTGCATCTCGCCCTCACCCGCCTCGGTCTCTCTTTCAAAACCAAGGTGGTCGATATACTGCCCGAGTTTGGTCTGCAGGATGGCAAGGAGGGCAAGGAGGTGACGGTGGAGGATCTGCTGTGTCATCGAACGGGACTGCCTGGGTGGGATGGGATGTACAAACCGGGACTGAGCGAGGACTTTGTGAGTTGTTCATCTGGACATGGCAGAAGAGAGTGATGTGATGTGTGACTTGAAGCTGGAGGCGAGGGGATGGCGGACTCGGCCTGGAGGGGGAAGATCTGATGGCGAAGCTGGAGGATACGAGAGACCTCGATGCTGCCATATACACCGTCAGCGACTGAGCTTATCTCTCCAGCTCAACAAGATCAAGCACCCACCTATCCCCCCTCTTCCCCCATCCGGCATCCGCCCCTTTCAGTACAACTCTCTCATGTTCGACGTCGCCGCGCGTATCGTCCAGCGCCTCACCGACAAGCGCATCGACGAGTTTGTCCGGGAGGAGTTCTTTGACCCGCTTCAGCTCAAGGCGAGCTACCATGCAGACAGGATCGAGGAGAAGGCGGATGGAAGCTGGACGAGGATCGGGATGGGGAAGGCAAAGGTGACTGAGTTCCCGGTGGACAGGGAGGTTGAGATCAGTGTCGAGGTGAAGGAGAGCGGGGCGGATATCGTGGAGAAGGGCGTGGAGGTGGACTACGGGATCGAGAAGTGCGGAGAGGCGTGGGGAGCTGGGCGGGTGTGGATGAATAGTGACGATCTGGTCAGTTAATCGACTGCTGGATCCGGCCAAGCTGATGTTCAGATCCGATGGCTAGTCTGCGCTCCCAAGATGCCTGGCTTTGACAATGTCGCTACTCCTCGCTCGACCGATCCCGATGATGGGCTGTTCTTTCCGGATGAAGCGCAGGGGTACGGACTGGGACTGAGGGTGTTCAAACATCGCGGTGTCGATGTGCTCTGCCACAATGGGTCTCTCCCGGTCCTTTCCAGAAACAGTGGGTCTGAGCTGACCTACAGGGATACGCCCACCAGATCGCCTGGCTCCCGAAGCTGAAGGCCGGCTTTGCGGTGCTCTCAAACAGTGATGTGGGAGGGACCTTTCTGCGGTCTCTGGTGGCGTGCAGGCTGATCGAGGCGGCTGCGGATCTGGAGAAGAAGGATTGGTTTGACATGTAAGCACGTTCTCGCCTGTGTGATCAAGCTGATCGACAGCGTCGACGCCCGATACACCGCCTACATCTCCCCACAGCCATGGATGGATCCTATCTCCGGATCGTCCCTCTCAAACGGCAACATCTCCCCCATCGCCGGCAAGTGGGCCCACCCCGCCTATGGTACCTGGATGATCTGGGCCACCGACCTCGTCTCTGTCCGGCCGGCTCTGGGGACGTTACCCTACTTCCCCGAACTCTCTGGACCATGCAAGCGGATCTTTACTCCAGTCGCTACAGTCGACGGGCAAGACGGGGAGGCGCGGTATGCGGGCTGTTACGAGTGCAAGCTGGGAGGCAAGGTGTACTACGGGATGCCGTTTGAGGTGGTGATCAGGAACGAAGGCGGGTTGATGGAGGTGAGAGGAATGAGCGGAGCGGAGGGTGAGGGTCAAGATGAGCTGTGCCCGCTGGTGTTCGTGCGGCAATAGGTGGTGGGCTGTAAGCTTTGGTGGGCTGTAAGCTATGGGAGAGCTAAGATCATGCACCTGCTTACAATATGGACTGACTACTCTGACTAACCCAGAACTGATATTAACAACAGGCTATCAAGCTATAGTGTCCTTCCCTACCCCTGCTGCCCCCCCGCTACTACGCTCTACTGGCCATCTCGAACAACGCCGCCTCCAGCCCTTCCACCCCAACCTCGAGTGCCTCCCCCGTGTCAAGGTCACGAATCACAAACATCCCTTGCACATCCGCTACCTTTTCCACCCGCATCGTACTCCTCCTCGACAGCCCCTTGCCCTTGACCGTGCTCCTCCTCGACAGGCCGCGAGGCGGACTCTGGACCGGAGCGGGCAGTGGCCGGGTGTTCTTCCGCGAGGGGATGAGACGGGACGGAAGCATAGGCGTTGGCTTGGAGGGGAGGTTGTACGTGGTACCGAGGGACATGCCGAGTCCGAGACCGCGCTCGAGGGGAGATGGAGGAGTAGGGAGCGGTGGTGGGGTAGTGAGGTGAGCTTCAGCCGGAGACGCTGACCGCCGAGTGAGAGAGGGGAGAGGGAGGGGACGTGGAGCGGGCTTTGTGGGTGTAGGAGTTTGGGGAGAAGAGGATGCGGCGCCGAGCAGGGCGAAATCGAGGTCTGGCGATCCCCAGTCTGACTTGAGCGCTTCCAGAGCTGAGACGACCTGAGTATCCAGGCGACAGAGTGTAGTGCGGTGTGGAGGGCTGGGTTGAGCTTGAGCGCGGGCGGGAGCGGGAGGAGCACTGATGGGGAAGAGCGAGTCGTCGAGGGTGTCCAGAGCGCTGGATTTGGCTGGTGGGCGCGAGCTCCTCTTCGGCTTGGTCGTCTCCTCCTTCCGCGGATATGGCGTCCCTGGTACTCCCTTCCCTCTCCCCGCCGCCTGTCCAACGCCCATCGCATACACTTCATGCCCATCTTCCCCCTCCTCGTCCCCAAACAGCAAGTAATCCGACACCGAAAACTGCCCCGGTGACATCTCCACCGCCTCCCACTTTCTCGGCGGCGGCATCGGACTCGCTGGCGTCACCACCCATCTCCCTCGCTGCGCCTCCAGCCCACTATTCATTCGCCTCCCCATCCTCTGCTCCAGCTTTCGCCATACCGCCTGCGCTTCATCCTCCTCCGCCACCTCTGGCTGCCAGCTCAGGGTGTGATCCGCCATCTCCGGGACAAAGTCCGCCTGGGGCGGCGAGTCGACGAGCGCCTGGGTAGACGAGAGGATGTGGCCAGAGTGGAAGTCTCGGTCGATGGCGGCAAGGAGGGAGGTGCGGTGGGATTTGTTGGATGAGGACGAGTAGTCGCGAGTAGGAGGGAGGGACTTGAAAGCGGAACGGCGGCGCAGATCTGTGGTGTTGGAGCTACCGGATGACGATGACGTGTTGGAGGAGGTGCCTCGACGCATGGGAGGTGCGTCTGCTCTACGAGGACCGAGTGGGCGGGTGGTAGTGGGAGGTGCGCTTCGCCGCAGAGCCGACGTGGGGGTCGCCATATCGGTGATTTGACGACAATACGCGGTGGACGAGGTGGTAAGGACTTGACCGGGTTGGGCGTGCGGAGTAGGAAGATAGTTGCCGTTCTGATAGTCGCGCTGTGTTGGCGTTCCGAGCTGTGCTGGAGGCAAAGGAGGGAGGAAACGAGGCGGTGTACTCGGCGGCGGAGAAGCAGTGTAGCCATAGTCCGAGCCAAAGGGATTTGGATGGTATGGTAGCGGTCTCCTTTGCACTGGTGTCGGCGGGACGGGCGACATCCATCCTGCCTCTCCGCAAGCTCCTTCATGCGCCTGAGCTGGCTCATACAGCTGATATCGAGGCTGCAGAGCTATCCCGCCGAGAGCCGGAACCGATCGAGCGCCGCCGAAATGCGGTGCAGGCTGCGGTCCTGTAGGTAAGACGGGCGAGGCGGTGAGGTACGGAGAAGCGGAGTTGGACGATGCAGGGATAGGTGTGGGGAGGAAGAGTCCGAACGAAGGCGTAGGAGGTACCGCTTTGACGGGGACGGGGTCGAGATGAGAAACGCCTTTGGCTTTGGGCTTGGGCCGGAAAGTGGGGAAGCTGAGGTGGGGGATGGATGAGCCGGTCATCTTTTGGGTATGTGTGCGACCTGCGCTGAAGATTGGAGAGAGAAGAAGACCAAAGCATTGGTCGAGTAGACATGGTGAAGAGCGTCATGAGGTGCATGTGCCAAGGACAGTTGCTGATCGATGTCTCAGCCGACAGCCGTCCGAGACATTCCCTCTTGCCCTCCGTTCTCGGATATTCGACCGTCCAAGGAGGAAGGAGCGCCAATCCGGGATCGTTCGACGCCTAGAGGAGGTGGAGACGGACAAACAGCAGACCTTCCGGTCAGGAAGAGAGTGGAGAAGGTGGCTGGACAAGAGCGAGAAGTTGCGGGAAGGGCTGACACTGGTCATACGCCTGGCGATCTTGTGTCTCCATCTGGTCGCCTAAGGAACCAGGATGATGATATGGATACATGCGCCTATGGTCTCCTACCGATGATCGTCTGGTAGCTACTGGGGAGCGTCCGAGGTTTATGCGCCATGATCCGCCTACTCCACCCAGACCTCCAGCTTCCCGCCCAGCACCCGCGCAACATCCACCCCAGCTTCCCAGTCCCCTTCGTCCACCATGCTCATCATGTCCCCATCCTCATCCCTGAAGAGCAAAGTGCCGACGCCATCGGTCGCCATGTTGGGAAATTTGGTGCGGAGAGAAGAGATGACGTCGGTGAAGGTGGCTGTGGAAGGGAGGGAAAGAGCGCGGGTATGGCCAGTGATATGGACCTGACTATCAGCCTCGACACCCATGGCCTCGCTACAATACTCACCTTAAGACGTATCTTGGTCATCTCCCAATCATCATCATATCTCATGCTCGACGCCATGCTCCCTTGCCTCGTCAATCCCAACGCGTTCCGGCTGGTCATGACGCTCCCCGATCTGCCCAGTCCCTGCGAGAGCTGCCGATTGAAGCTGATGGGAGGCGAAGGTGATGACCGGCTCGGACTGGCGTACCGCTTATCGATCCCCTCCTTCTCCCATAGCATAATGCTGTCTGCGCGCGGGCGAGGTTTGGGCTGAAGGGGCCGGGTGCCTGAGTCCGAGTCGGGAGAGTAGTACTCGTTGACCACAGCCGAGACCGCCGAGGTAGAGATGGGGGTGCGAGGAAGTGGATTGGGCGGCGAGGGAATAACCAGGCACGTGAGGGCAGGTGGGCTTGGTGCTTTCCGGGGAGGGGTGCTGGGCTGGATGATGGGTAGATAGGCGAGCTGAGCGGCGGTATCGTGGTCAGGGATACCGAGATACGCCAGGGAGGTGGTCTTTTCGTTGTGCGGGCGCACAAACCCGGAGACGGTGCGAGGGGACGTCTCGTCGACCGATCCGAAGCGCCTGGCACTGCCCCGACTCATACGAGAAGCGATGGGAGTGGCGTCGGGGACAGGTAGGTCGCTAATGTTGGCTGAGCGGGGCGGGCGGAGATTGCTCGTTGATGCGGACTTGGCGAGAGGGTGGGAGAAGGGGAGGGGGATACCGCTGGGCGTCTCGCCACGATTGAGCCGAGTCACACCAGTGAATGTGGTGTAGGCGTCCGAGGGTGAGGTAGCGGCGATAAGGACCTGCAATCAGCGCAGCACGACATGGTAGCTCTTCCTCTGAATCAGACATCCACTATGATCTCGTCCGCCTCCTCTCAATCCTCGCTACCCCGCTCCACCTTGACCTCCCACCCCTGCCTCTGTTAAGGCGCGCGATCACGACCATCTCTCTCCTCCCGACTTGTCCGGGACCATAGCCCTTGAACACCGGACTCACTGCTTTTCCCATATAGTTTCTTGGCGCGAGGTTCTTGAGCTTGCCTTGGGACGGCTGGAAGAGGAGTCCATCCTGATATCAGCGGATTCAGGCAAGCACTCACGGGTACTGCCAGGGGATCACACCCCCTCCCCTTCAATCTCAACGCAATCCCAATCACCTCCCGCCGCTCTTCGCTCGTGTCTATAGCCGCTTCCGCCAGATCCGCCATACCCCTCTCGACTTGTCCGAGGTTGATGAGCGCGAGGCCGCGGTTGAGGAGGATCTCGCTGATGTGGATGCAGTAGGGTAGGCCGAGCTGGGTGTAGTTGCTGATGTAAATCAGCAGATTCATCGGATATGTGGGTGTCACTCACATATGGTCGTTCCCTCTCATACGAGTATGCGCCGCCTCAAAGTCTCGATATGCCGCTTCGTACTGTCCAAGCATCTATTGTCAGCCCAGACCCGGTCAAGGACTCACAAATCTGCTAATCCCGCACTGGTACCAGGCAATGACTAGCCAGTCATCCAGCTCTGTCGCCCGCCTATACCTCGCTATCGCCTCCAGATGTCTTCCCAGCTTCGCGAGCAGGACGCCGATGTTCCACTCGATCTTGGACGTATCGCCGATCTTGTTGAATAGCGCGATAGCCCGAGGTAGGTCGGACTCTGAGGCTGTCAGGGCTGACTGCCATATCTCGAGCTCGGCCTTGAGGGACATGTTCTAGAGTGATTGAAGTGAGCTAAAGCGATGAAGTGAGCAGAGGGAAGTAGCGGGATTAGGAGATATCCGGTCAGTGAGGCAAGAGCGATCGCACAGCGCTTATTCCTCTTTGACTGCACTACCTGTTTGTTATGAGTCTCATAGCTACTGGCATGACCGTCACCAGGACAGGTATCACAGATGACGGTAGAGAGGTGGTAGAAAGAGTAGATGAAAGAGGAGATGGTTGCTAAGAGACGGCTAGGCTTGGCGAAACTTAAAATCGTCGAGGAATGTGGAGCTGGATCAATGTGGCAGTGTGGCAGTCCAGCGCCCATCGCCCCGCCCTGTCACAGCCACCGCAAGTGAGGAGGCCGCACCAGGTGGGAGGCAATACTGGGCGTATACACAGTATAGAGATCTGAGACACTGACCAGTGGTACAAGTACATAAAGATCTGCTCTCACTCCGTAAGCAAACGAGCGCCTCTCTTTCTCGCGCAAGTGACTTGACATTGGCCACCCACAGGCGCCCAAGCTGCTGATCAGCCAGAGTCACTTGGCCCGTGGAATTGCATCGTAGAATCAGCTTACCAACTTTGGTCTGGTCCACACCGTCGATCTCATTGCAGAGTAGTCGCGATCCGTTCAGGCAGCCCTCGTCGCCTTTCTTCCGACAAACACATCCTCCTACAGCTGCGGGAGGGGGAGTTACTGGCACTACCGGGGCTGGTGCTCCACCACCTACTCCCGGCAGATTTCCCGGTAAATTGCCCGCCAGCTCAGCTGGAGTGACAGGAGTACCATCCGGAATCGTCAAGGTGTTCAGTCCCGCTCCAGGCTCGTCAGAGTCGAGCAGTTCCACCGTGTAGCCCCAAGGCTTGACCAAGCCGCCCAGAGAGGTTCGCTGTCCGCACTCGGGAAATAACTGCTTGATGAGGGATCCTGGTCATCAGTGTATGCCTTGTTCATGGATACAGATGGACTTGCCCGAGACGTCGAGTGTGGTCGTACCGCAGCCGGGGCACACGTCTTTGATGTAAAAGTCCTTGCCGTCGATCTGGACCGGTTTGCCCTCGGGACTCGTAATGCGTATGCTGAATTGTGAGCACTTCCCCAGCGTTCGACTCACTGCTTGCCACAGTACGTCTTTGCGTACACCGCACCGATGGCTACTATTAGCGAGGACGACCAGCGTCACTCACCGACCATCCGGTTGTCGCCGCGGCCTCTATACGTCCGTCCTCCGCATGCGCCATAATTGATAGCCGCCTCAGCGTACATCTTCTCCACGCCGGTGGTGATGGCAAGACAAGTGTCAGGTGCGCCCGGGGTTGCTGAATTATCATAGTAGCTCAAGGTCAGCCACGAGCCTCCCGCTGCACCACTTACAAGCTGAGATCCATGGTCCACTTAAACAGGACTTTCTGTCCAAGCACAGCTTGAAGACAGGCAAGTATGGTCAGTGTAGAGTAAAGCATGTTCGTAAGATGATAAGAGTAAGTAGGATGATAGGAGCAAGTAGGATGAGAGGGCGTATCATAGGTTGAGGGGGCAGTCGTTGCGTATCTCTTTATGGGCGTAGCTGCGATAAGCTTGACAGGCAGAAGGTATCCTTTCAATCTTCTTCATCCCCCCTCGTCTCCGCGTATTCAGCACTTGTGCCACCTGAAGGGGTAATCAAATCTGAAACCATGTGCCTCAGTCTGCCCTTTCATGTTTCCCCGCCTTCCCCTCATCGTCAAGAAATCTGCACATGCCTCGCTGTCAGCGAAGCGTCATCGTGCAAGGTTTGAGATCAGTACATCCTTGCAAGTTTCTTCTGACCATCTGATGCCCAAGACTCACCGTCCATAAGATTAGGAATTCGAGTTATTCTCATCGGAAGTAGCAATAGGCGCGGAGACAGCCTAAACGTCTCTGCCTTGCCTCATTCAGCGAATCAGTGGTAGTCGTTACCCACGACGGTCCATATGATGGGCAACAGTGTTCTCCTTTATCGGGCGGCTCAGCGACATTGAAGTGTGCCGAGGATCAGAGTCGCCTCAAACTCTGAAAGAAGAGCAGTGATATACCATTGAAAGTGAGCAGGTCAGCGCCGTTTTCTAACTTATCTGGCCCGACGAGGGTGACATCTAGGCGTCTTGACGGAGTAGCATGCTGTTCTTGGGTGCTGATGTCCCCCTGGCGTCATAGAAGAGAGACCGGCGGAAGGTGGATGGAGATCCAGAGGCGGAGTCAGCGCGAATTGCCGACTTCTCCAGCTTCATCATCAGCATCGGTCAAGAGGGCGAGCATGTGTGAAGGAGACGAGTACGAGTCAAGAAGATGGCAGTGAGCGGATCGAGTGGGTGTATCGTTGACTATAAGCTGTGATCCGTCGATCTGGACTTGGCGAGATTCTCTCTCTTTTGGAGGACCAAAGCGCAACACCGCCCACCACCGGGGTCAGGGCGGGTGCGGGACAATCAACTCCAATGAGGGATGTTGTCGAGCTTTAAAGCACCGTCAAGACGAGCATCAGATAGGCTGAGAGCGGGGGCGGCCGCGGTGTCGATCCCAGGCTCTCCGTGCCTCATCCACCTAGAACCCGCTCGCTCCCGCGGACTCGGTCAGCTACCGAGATGGAGAGTAAGTAGCAGCAGTACCCTGATACACCAAACATCGTCAGGACAGAGATGTTAGTGTCGGATCGCTCACATCAGACGACAGACGAGCATCAGCCAGGTCCGTGCGTCATTATTGAGTCAGTCTTCCGAGCCAAAAATCCTGCATAGATCACCCCCTTGCCGCCTTGACAAACGCCCCCACCTTCTCTTTATCCTTCCCCTCGGCCCCCTCCACCCCACTCGCCACATCCACCCCCAAAACGCCTCCACTGGCCGCTACCGCCTCTCCCACATTCTCCGGCCCCAATCCGCCCGCAAGCAGAACCGGCATCCTGCTCCCCTTGATCCCCACCTCGCCTGCCTCGATAATCTTCCGCGCATGTTCCCACGGGAACGCCTTGCCCTCTCCTCCTCCACCCGCCGTATCCAGCAGAACAAACTGATTCAGCCCCGGCCGGCCAATCTCGCCGCCTAGCACCGTCCCGTCCGGCTTGACTCGGAACACCTTGATGACCGGTACAGGAATGAACCTGGCCCAGGCCTGCGGCTCGTCCCCATGTAGCTGCACCATGTCCAGCCCACCCTCGTCCACCGCGGAGAGAATCTCCTCGAGGGGTTGATCCCGGAATACACCGACGAGGAGGGGTTTGCGCCGAGATTGGAGTTGGCGCGCGTGGAAGGCGAACCATCCTTCGGGGGTGGATGGGGCGGGAATGGGAGTAGATATGGATGCGGCGGACCGGACGAGGGTGGATATTTCCTTTGCGCGGGAGAGAGGGATGCACCGCTTGGTTCCGGGAACGAGGATGACGCCGAGGAGGTCCGCGCCGGCCGCGATGGCGATAGATGCGTCCGAGGTGGAGCGGATACCGCAGATCTTGACGATGGGGCGAGGCGAAGGGGTAGGCGAGGGAGGAGGGAGAGATATGAGTTCCCGCAAGAACTTGCCAGCGTCCTCGGCCCGCATCAATGCTTCACCGACCAATACCGCCCTCACTCCCTCCTTGACGTACTTGCTGACATCCTCTGGCGAGCTGATCCCGCTCAGCGCACACAGAATGACATCCTTCCCATCCAGCGCGGCATTCACCCGGGAGGTCGTCTCCATGTCCACCTTGAAATCGTGGAGATTCCGATTGTTCACGCCGATAACTTTGGATCCGAGGGCGAGGGCGAGCTGTAGCTCTTGGGGATTGTTGACTTCGACGAGGGGCTCCATGCCGAGCGATAAAGAGTAAGAGTAGAGTTCTTGAAGTTGGGAAGGAGAGAGCATGGCGACGATGAGGAGGACGGTATCTGCGCCGTAGAGCCGCGCTTCGTCTATTTGGTAGGTGGACAGGATAAAGTCCTTGCGGAGGACGGCGGGACGATTGGGGAGCGAGTCGATCGCTTGGCGGACCGCGAGCATATCTGTCAGTCCCCCCTTGAACCACTTGGGTTCGGTGAGGACCGAGATGACCGAGGCACCGGCGAGAGCGTACTTGAGCGCCTGCTCCGGGGCGGACGCGTGCAGCGAGATGTCGCCCTTGGACGGCGAGGCGCGCTTGATTTCCGCCATGACGGCCGTGTGAGGAGTGGAGGTGATGCGCTTGACGAGGTCGATTTGGGCAGGGGCGGTATGGAGGGAAAGGGAGGTGTGGAGGTTGGCGGGGGTAGAAGCGGGAATAGCGGCGGCAGCGTCGACGTCGACGAGACGCTGGGCGTGGATCCGATCCAGGATAGTAGGGAGATGAGCCGATCCGTTCGCCTTGGCCTCAGGCTGCGCCTTGCCTGCACCACACCACTCATTCTCTCCCCAGTATCCTCCCTTCATCCGCAAGAAATTCGCCATCATTCCCCTTCCGCCCTCGCTCATACAGCTCTCGGGGTGGTACTGAACCGCCTCGACCGCATACTCCCTATGCCTGACCGCCATGATGACGCCCGACTCCTGCGTTGTCGCCGTGACCGCCAGCTCTTTTGGCAGAGTGAGCAGTGTTGCCGCGAGCGAATGATACCGAGTCGACTGGAGCAGTGCGGGGAGCTCGTGGAAGATGCCGAGTCCGTCATGCTCGACCAGGGAAGTCTTGCCATGTTTGATTTCTCCAGCGAAGGCGATCTAAGTAAGCTTTGCTGGGGTCTCGGCTCACCTCTCCACCGAGAACGTCTACGAGGCATTCCAACCCCATACAAATCCCTAGCACGGGGACCTTCCCACACGCCCAGGTGATAACTTCTCGGCTGATCCCCGAATCGGTCCGAGGATGTCCAGGACCGGGAGAAATGATGATCCTGTCCAGGTCTCCTTTGGCGTGCATGGCCTGCCATTAGCTCAGCTCGGACCTCAACCCACCTCGACATCCTCGATAGAAATCTTGTTGTTCCGCCTGACGAGGGGATTCCCGCCTAGAACTGCGACGTCTGCGTATACGTTCCAGGTGAACGAGTCGTAGTTGTCTATGATGAGTGTGTAGCCCATAGTGAAGGTAGATGTATGTATAGTTGCTTGAGAGAGATCGAGTCGGTAGAAAGTCCTTGTTGCGGTGCCGTAAGTGGACCTCTCCTCAAACTGGGCTTGACACCTATCTCCTTACACTATACATCTACTATGGAGAAGTTCTCACAGTGGAGAGTGAGTACCTGGAGAGTGACAGGGCTGATAGATAGGACCCTGCGACGGGTATAAATGTGGGTAAAAGTTCGGGTCGAGCTAAACTTAGCCATTCGTACCGGTCCGAACGAGCTCGTCGGCGTTGTCGACATTGCTCCTTCCGGTCGGGCTGGTACTCGCTCTCTTGAGAGGTGTACTCCTTGCTGGAGTTGTGCTTCTCCATGTTATCCTGGTCGAGGGTCTCTGTGCCCTCTTCGTAAGTCAGACGTCAACAGAGCTAACGTAGAAACCCGTTCCGGCGCTATATCGACCCCTATCGTCCCTCTTCACAGCCATCACCTGCCGCTTGGCATTGGGATGTTTGGGATACTTTTGGATTAACGCAGAGACTGCTTCTGCGAAGAGAGGGTGGGTCTCGTCGATGACCTAGGCTGATCGTAGGGCTCAAGGGGTCGCTCAAGCGGTCAGAGAGCCAAAGAAGGGAGATTTGATCGTTTCGAACTGGACGAGCTATGTCGAGGTGCTGTATCTGGCATTCAGGTGAGTCTCACTTTCTGCACGGGTGGGGTGGGCATAGAGTGTTCCTCGGGAGTGCGCTGGTACGGGCGGATTAGGCGGGACGCAAAGTTTGGGGCGGTATGGCAGTGCCGAGGGAGACCGGCCAAGGAAAGCAAGGCGGTATACCAGACCTGTCTCAGCACGCATCCCTCCCTTAGTGTCCAGCTGACGATCAGATACAACCCCACTTTCCTCCTTCCGATCTTCTCCCCCGCCCCACCCTCCTCAACACCCCTGACCGGCCGACACACCGGCACCGGTTCCGCCCAGCTGTCCACTACCCTCCCTCAGCCCCCCTTCTTGGGGTATCGGCCATTCACCCTCTTCTCCATGCTACGACGTACGGGATGTCTCCCGGAAGTGTGCTCGACGCCGCCAGTGGGGATGTACAAGACGCTCAAGGAGGCAAGGCGGGCGGAGGCGGGTGTGGTGTGTCTGTTTCCGGAGGGGACGACGGGGAATGGACGGGCGGTGTTGAGGGTGAGTGAGGGCGTGTTGGCGGATGGGGATGTGGGTAGTGGGGAGGGGGTGGTGTGGGTGAAGTACGCAAAGTGAGTCGGATCATCAAATTGAATTTCGAGTGTTCGGAGACAGACGGAGTAAGTGCAAGTTAGCATACGCTGAAGCTACAGACATACCAACGCGTGCCCACTCCCTCAACCTCTTCCACACCTCTACTCCATCCTCTCCTCCTTCACCTCCAACTCCCTCCTCATCCGCACGCTCCACCCCTCGGCTTCACCCTCATCCCCCTCGTTCCTACCTTCCGATATCCTCTCGTCCATCTCGGGCGGACTCGAAGGGGTAGGGCGGGACGGTACCGGCGCATGGCGAGAAGCGGTGATGGCTGTGCTGGCAGAGACGGGTCGTACGAGGAGAGTGAGGGGCATGGGATGGGTCGAGAAGGGGAGCTTTCTGGAGTATGCGCGAACGGGCAAGAAGGGGAGATGAGGCATGAGATGTTTGATAGGGGACGGGCAAGTATGCGCAATCTCTCGAGGCGACGAAATACTGAAATGCTGATCTAGCTAACAAAGTTGACTTGACTGACCCTTGCGCGAGCCTGACCTGTGTCACGCGTGTACATATCCAGTCCCTTCTACAGGAATACATATGGTGGACGTATTACTCATTCTACTATGGACCCAATCTATAAACAAGCTTCCTTGACCGCTATCATATCATGTCTATACTGCTTCATCAGCTACTCATCCTTCCCCAATTGGCCATTACAGGACTCACCATTTTCTCCATGTTCCCTTTTGGTTCTTCGGTACCCGCTCTTCACGTCTCCCTTGGCTTCTCCAGTGCCTTGCCATCCTTGTCGACCTCGACAATCTCCTCGTCGATATTCTCCGCCTTCACCACCCCCCTCGACCGCTTTACTGATCCCTCATTGCCCTCTCCCTCCTCGTCCCTCTCTCGCTTCACGCCGCTCCCGTCGCCCTGCTGTCCGGCCGCTTGCGCCGATGACGCCGATGGGAATGAGGCCGCGCCGACGGAGCCGAAGCGAGCGAATCCGGCCGGCCAGTGGGGACGTCGAGCGGGGACCGACGCTGGTGCTGACGCTGGGAAGGCTGCTGGAGGCATTTGAGGCGCTGATGGCCCTGCTTGAGCTTGAGGGGGAGCTGATTGCGGGAGGACAGGTGCCGAAGGAGGGGCGATGACGGCGGCCTGGGCCTGTGCGGGCTGGATAGGGACCGGGTTGGGCTCGACGTGAGGCGCGGGGGGTGCTGATCGCGCTCCGGTGACTGTGTTGCTGCCTGACTGACCGTGCTGTCTCCCTTCCGCCGCTCCCTGCCGGTTCGCCTGTCCCTGCCCCTGCTGAGAACGCTCCGGCTTTTGGGCCTTCTCAGCCTTGACCCTGCGCACCACCTCCACATCCTCCGCCGTTATGCCCAACCGCTGCAGTACCATCTCATTTTCCCTTTTCTCTTTCTCTACCCTCTGTCTCTCCGCCTCGGCCTGCCTCTCGGCCTGCCTCTCGGCCTCCCTTCGCGCTTCCTCTGCTCTTCTCGCCTCCTCCGCCCTTTTCTTCTCATCTGCCTTTCTCCATTTGTCCGACTCATCAAACTTGTTGACGCCTCCGAAGAAGGGCTGACCGTTCGACGAGCCGAAAGGGTTGAGTTTGCGAGCAGCAGTGATGTCGATCTTCCGCGAGTAAGCGGTATGCGCGGCCGCGGCGTCGAGGATCAACATCACGGTGCTCGGTTTGTTTTGCGCCCATGCCTGCTTGACGTCTTTTTTCGCCTTGTGCGTCATTATCGCGAGGACATTCTGGTAGTAAATCAAGAGGTCGGCCGTGATCTCGTACATGATGATTTTCGGCATGGGTGATTGGGTGTGCGAAGGGGTTTCCGGTGAGGAGAGGGGAGAGGGTGCACGTGGACGAGACGGATTCCGGCGAGGTTGACGAAGGTGAGTTTACCGAGTCTGACCAGTGCGCGGATGAGTAATATTGATGGCGCTCTGTATGATGTATATATAGGTAGAGAGATGTATGAAAGAGGAAGGGAGATGGAGGGGATGACTCAACCCGCCCCGGCTCGGAGAGGGGGAAATCTGAAACAAGGCCCTCACCTTCAGGCACGTTTCATCTGACGTCACTCCTCCTATACCTTGCCTCTCCATACCAGCTCCAGGCTCTGCCAAGTAAGCCAGTAGCAAGTACTGACGCGTCCATATCGCGGAATACCAATGCAGGTAGGACTTCTCCCGCATCTCCCGCTCCCACTTCGACCAGTCGTCTAGCTCCCTCGCAGAGCATCTGGCGCGAGCTTCAGACCATCCGTGCCACCAGCACCGCCACCCCGGCTCAGCTGAGCAAGGTCATCCTGATATGCTGTAGGAAGGAATCATATATCTTGTAATGCATGTGAGGATTGTTCTCCTCGGAACTCCAGCTATAGTCTCGAGCTCCCCAGCGCTGTCTATCTAGTACGCCTGACCTCTGCATGTCTATACTGCCTCATCAGCCTCCGATCACATACCAGCCACAAGTCATAAGCTACTCACATATATCCGTATCTCAATTGCTACGCACCGCCGTACCTCACTCCTTGCTTGACTTCTCCAACACCTGCTCCACCTTGTCGACCTCCAAGACCTCATCATCCCCCTCCGTCACTTCCACCTTGACCCGGACATTCCTCCCATCATCGATCTCCCCCTCTTCCAGCTCTTCTCGTCCTCTCTTGACTCCGCCCTGTCTCGATTGACTCGCCTGAGCCTCGTGGGCGGCCGTATCGTTTCGAGCGGCAGACATGGTACCGCCAGATGCGAAGCCGAGCCCGTGCGGTTGCATGAGCATCGTGAGAGGTCGGGGTGGTTTCGGGGCGTTGATTACCGGAAATGAGGAGAGCACGCTCGCATTCGCTGCTCTACTGACCGATGCGAAGCCGCCAAAGCTGGATCTCTGGGGCTGTGGCTGAGGCGGCGCAGGGTTTGACGAATTGGGAAAGACGAAGGGAAGAGTGGCGATCGACCCAGAAATTGCGACTGACCCGATGTTGAGGTGAGGCCACGCAAGGCGCGATGAAGCTGGTCGGATAGGATCCGGAAGAACAGCATCATTGTTGATCTGCGCTGAGGCCTGAGGGAGTGAGGGAGCCGCGACGTTGGTAGATCGGGCAGGCTCGATTCGGACCGGGTGCGGGTTTGGCGCGACCCGAGGAGTGCGTGGACGACAGAGCTGATTCGACGGTCCATGAAGCGCCAGTAGGGGTGTCCGCTGGTCTCTCTCCACCTGGATATCGTCCGAAGGCTCCATCTTGACCGACATCCCCTGTCGTCCAGCAAGAGCAGGAGCGAGGGCTCGCTGCTGACCCAATGCCGATCCACTTGGTCCCGCCTGGCTCCCCTCCCTCACCTTCACACCCCCACACCCCTCCTCTGCCTCCTCCATCAACTTCTCCGCCCGCTGCAACTCCTCCTCGGTCCATCCCAGCTCCATCAACGCATTTCTCCGCCTATTCTTCTCCGCAATCTGCTTCTTCAACTCATTCTCCGGTCCCTCCGCCCACCTGTTCTTCCGCCCCCCTCCTAACCGCTTATCGCCGAGTGTATTGAACTCGTTGAGCCGGCGCGCTACGCTGATGGGGATGTCCTTGTCCATGGCCGTTTGGGACGCAGCGGCATCGAGGATGAGCATAATGTCGCTGGGTTGACGTTTCGGGCCGGCGTGTTGGTAGCGCTGCCAGTCGGTGATGGCTTGTTCAGTGATCATTTTGGCGAGGTTCCGGTAGAGGGCCTGGCGGCTGGCGTCGTCGTTGGACATGATGAGCAAAGATAAGGTGGAATGATTGGGGGAGTGAAGGGGGACCGGAGAGCGTGACAGTAGTGGCCGGTAGGAGCCATGTGTTACTTGGCTGCAGGGCAAGCTCGAGACCGAAGCAAGAGAGAGATGTCGTAGCTCTTAGGTTGTATGCCTGCTGATTGTGGAAGAAAGAGGAAGCTAAGGTCGAGCGGTGAGCTCGGGCAAGACAGAGCCAAAATCTGAAACACGTGACCGGGCGTGCGGCGTTTCAGCTGCTCTGTGTACTCGGCTCTCAGCTGCCTGGTCGCGACGTAGGCAGACCTGAGTGAAGGGACACGAGAGCACGCTCCATGTCATGATCTGCCGGGCGAGATACTATGGACGTGATATCTGGGCTAGCAAACCCTCCTGAATTAACCCTGCGATCCATATCCGGCCACTGCATCGGATATCTGATAGCCTGATAGTAGAGTAGTCAGCCCTCCCGCTCCATCTGTACTGAATGTGGAGTATTGGCGGGCTGTACAGTTGGACAGGGTGACAAAGGATATGTACAGTTGCATGATGTGTATGTTCTGAATACCAATACTGAGCCAGCTCAATCCTCACTGCTCCAGGCTGTACAAAATTAGCTTCGACCATCTCCGAACTCGAGCTATGGGCGCTAGAATGACTCACCTGTATTCGTTCTACCTCTTCGACGCCTCTCCTTCCAACAGCTACACCAGCCTATCCACATCCTCCACCTCCAGCTTGACCGTCATCTCCTTCTTGACCCGCACCCGCTTGTTTGATCCGCTCTCTCCAGTCTCCTCCCTCTCGCGCTTCACTCTAACTTCCTTTTTCTCCTCTTTGACCACCGCTGCGCCTGATACAGCAGGGACCCCGCCTACATCATCGCGATGGATGGTAGACTGGCGGTCTGAGTACGAATGTCGAGCGGTCGTAGAGAGGGCAGCGGAGGAGGGAGCGCGACTGGGGTGCTGAGGAGGGAGGTGATGCGCGGCAACCGGATCGATGATCTCTGACTTGATGATCTCGTTTGCGTTGGATAGAGAGGAAGCATGTGCCTAGATGGTCAGATAGAGCACAGTGCGGTGGTTATCAAGATCAGCACGTGCACTCGCCTTCTTCGCCTTCTTTTCCTTCTTCGACATCGCCTTTGTCGCCTCCGCAACCGCCTGACCCTCGCGTTCCCCTTCCACTTTCCAGTCGCCAAAGAGGAGCCTCTCTTGCTCCTTCTTGAAACTGAAGAGCCGCCTCTCTTCCTCCTTCTCGTTCGTCTTTCTGATGTGCTCCTCTTGTCGTACTCTCGATTCCACCACCTTCTTGTCCGCCTTCGAATTCTTCCCGCCCTTCTCCAGCTCTGACTTTGCTCTTATATCGTCTGTCTTCCTCTTCACCATCTCCACCACCCCGCTGAACCTATTCTCCCCTCCCAATGCCATGTTCTTGCCTTTGATCTGACTGAACCCGTTTGAGTCCCGCACACTACCCTCGTCTGTTCTCAACTGATAGGCGGTGATCGATACGCAGGCGTTCAGTAGCATGAGGGCGTCGGTGGGGACTTGAATTTCACCGTTGCCTAGCTTTTTCCAGTCCGCGACTGCTTGTTCGGTGACGATCCTGACGATGTTGCGGTACAGCCACTTCTGGCAGCGCTTGTGGCCAGGCATGATGTCGGGCGGATGAGGTTGGTCTGAGTGATTGGATGAGCGAAGGGGGATTGGGATCAGTGAGGATTGCCGGGAGTCCGGGAGTGCTGGCGAGTCAGCTGCCATTCTCTGCTGCGGCAATGAGCTATTCTAGCTCCAGATTACTCACGATGTACGCCAGATAGTATAGTCGCGTATCCTGTAAGGATGAAGGTGAAGTTGAAAATCTTCCAGGATTAGAGTTGAAGACCCACACACGGCTGGCTGAGCCAAAATCCGAAACACGTCCCGCCGAGATGTGGCGTTTCAGGTGCTGGACCATCTCCGCCTGTAGCCTGGTGAACCTTGGTATATTCTGGATGTACAGGCCTGGTAGCATGAGCGTAGATCCCCTCTAAGCGTAGATCCCCTCTACGCTTTGACTATTGCGGAAAGATCATGTCCAAACAGATGGCAGTATACTCTCCCACTTAAATATTTACCCTCGGGGAGAAACTCCGCCTCACCCCTCTTGCTGACGCCAGCAACGATGACCGCATATTGTTGCATAGAGAGACCCTAGCCATGAGCTATCCAAAGCATGTGTATTCATAATATCCGTAGTCCTATTCGACTATATACTGGCGAGTCAGCAAGCGCTCCATCACGAGTTAAGAGGGAACCGACAACATACCAAAAAGTTTCTGCCCGAAAGTTCCAGTGCTCACAACACCTTCCGTCCCTCCCTTTCCTCCTGGCAAGACCCCTCCTCGCCCAGCTCATGCTTCACACCCTGCTCCAACCTACTCCGCACCCGCCTCTCCTCATCCATCTCCCCAGACTCCTCCCTTTCCCTCTTCCGTCCGAGCTGACTTCCCGTCATCCTGCCATCCCTCCTATCTTCCATCTCTCTCTCGGCGACAGGCTCACCGACACCTGACCCGTCGCTATCTTCCTCGTCCCGCTTGCTCCCCTCCATCGCGTCCGCATCCGCCTTCTTGCCCGACTCTCCATCACCACCAGTATCGCCAGTATCCCCATTCTGACGTCGCACATCCTTCACCCCACCACCCGCCTCTCCTCTGTTCCCCGCAGTCCGCGTAGCTTCCTGCTCCGCCCGAGCAACCGCCAATCTTACGGCAAGCGATGGCCCTGGTGCTCGAGCGTTGAAGAGAGGCGGCGCAAAGTCGAGTCGCTGGAGTGGACGAGCTGATGGGAAGGAAGTGGGATACTGACTGGCCCACGCGGCTGCGCGTCCAGCGGTAGAGGTAGGGTTGGGAGGTATGCTGATCCCCAATCCGGCTGAGGTGAGAGTAGGTGAGGGGAGCTGGGTACTCGACAGTGCACCGAGCATAGGTCGGACGGCAGGCACGCCCTCGGCAGGGGAGACGGAGTGACCGGTGCGGACGGCAATAGCGGGTGCGGGGGATACGCCGGTACCGACCGAGCGGGAGGAGGTGGAGCTGACCGACTCGGCTGATCGGCTGTCCATGCACTTCTGAGCTTGCCGGACCTGCTGGCTACCGATCAGGACCTCGCGAGCACGAGCGAGCGCTGCCGCTTGCCGCGGAGTAGGGATCTTGGTCGGTGCGGGCGCAGATGGAGGTACGGCCGGTTGGCGCATCGCGGAAGGGCCGGTCGGAGCAAGAGCAGGAGCGGAGGAGACAGCGGCGATGGTGGGTATAGGAGCCGTAGCGACGGTAGAGCCGCCAGATACAGGGGCAGTATGCGGTCCGCGCGACGGGTGAGGAGGGAGGGGAAAGGTTGGCTGAAGACCGTGTCGTTCCGCCTCGAGAATCCCCTTCGGCTCAACTACCGCCTTGTCCCCCACCTTGCCCGCCATCTTGGTCGCCAAGAGCTCGCCAGACTCAGTAGCAGACGCTGACACCCTTGATCGCGCCCTCCGACTCCCTCTCGACTCCCGCTCCATCCCCAGCTGCTCCTTCCTGCTCGCCTGCGGCTCATCCCACTCCCTGATTCCTCCCCTTTCCTCCCGGTTCCGGCTTCTAGGCCGTATCTCCTCATTCGTCTTTTCCTCCCGCATCTTCCGCACCTTCTCCAGCTCCGCCTCCGTCACTCCCAGTTTCTCCATCATCTCCGCCCTCTCCTTCTTTTCCGCCCTCTCCCTCGCTCTCTGCTTCTCCACCTCGTCCCACTCATTCTTCCATGTCCCCGCTAACCGCTTATCCCCGAGCGTATTGAACTCGTTGGCCCGCCTGACCACTCCCACATCGCCCAGTCTCAGCTCGTGCGCTGTAAGACCCGCCGCAGCGTCGAGGATAAAGAGGATATCGCTGGGTTTGCGTTTGGGGTCCAGCGTGAGGGCCGAGTCGGTGATGGCTTGGGCAGTGATCATCTTGGCGATGTTCTTGTAAAGCACCGCGCGGATAGTCGAGGTAGGGCGTGGGGGTACGGTAGAGGAGGATGAGATGCTGGACATGGTGGAGAGAGTGGGAGTGGCTGATGTGATCCGCAAAGTTCGAGGGAGGTACTTGAGCTCGATTATGGGTGATAAAGAGGTAGAGCTACTGGATCAGCGCTCACTCTTCACTGTTTCGCCCGTACCGCGCAATACGTACTGTATAGATACTGTCAGATAGTGAGTTGAGAGAGGAAGACAGAGACTCGGTGGACGGTTTGCGCTTTGACTCCCACCCCACCCACACACAGCTGACTGGACCGAAAAATCTGAAACCTCCACATCCCCATCTCCTCTCTGTCCGTCCACAAGCTCATCGTGATAGACATGCATGCGTCGTTGGTGGAGGTGTTCCAAACCTGTCCGGATCAGCTCAAATTGTCTACCTGAAGCTTGCGGAGACGAGAATGAGGAAAGAGAGGACGACTGACCCACTCTCCCCAAGCCCAATCGGCCGAGCTCCGCCCGACCCTGGACTGACTGCTACTTCGCTACTGTCGTCTGCCTTTCGCCTGTCCAACATCATCCCCCGGTGGAAGAGCGGGGTATAGGCTGGGTGAGTTGAGGCGACGCGGAGAAACTTCTGATGCATCAGCACAGGATCCTCCTCATCTCTCCTTCTGCTCCCTATCATCCCGTATCGAGCCATATCGATCACTACCGACTGGAGCTTGCCGAGCATATGGAGCCTACTGAGGAGATATATAGAGCTTACCGAGTATATGGCGAGCTTGAAGAGCGCCTAGATGAATTTTTAAGGTCTTTCCTGTTCATACCCCACCTTGAGATTGCCTCCTGGAGGGCTGAGATCCGGCCCGCAATGTGCAAGTAGCGTTGAAAAGCATTAGGGATCCGGCATACTCGTGACAAGGCCACTGGACCGTACAAGCAAGGGACTGGGAAGATTGTTCTGGGTTCTGACTCTCTGAGGAATCAGCAACTCATTTTCGACTTCTTGTTCGCTAGGCCTAGGAGCACAAGGAGAAGCGCCAGCTGGACTCGGATGCTAGATAAGCCATACGAGTAGAGCTCACAGTGCAACGGTACCTCGCCGCCGATCGACTCGTCCTATCATGCCGTCCGAGACCGACGGCGACGCGCTCCCTCCCTCCGAGCTCCCCGGCCGGCCAAGCTCCAAGTCAAAACCCCAGCCTTCCAGCGCCCAGCTGCCGAGACACCATCTTTCCCTTGAGCTTGAGCGCGATAGGTCTAGTATGCCTAGAAAGGGTCTAACGGCTTCGATGTGTCTGATGTGCGCTCAGGCGAGGGCCGTCACACGTATTACCGTGCGCACTGAGTATTGGGTAGATACGGGTACTTGAGTCAGGGCCAAGTCAGGGCGTAAGGACAAGCTAGGGAGAAGGGAGGAGGAATGAGGAGTTGGGAGGCAAGAGAAGTAATTGCCCCTTCGGGTAGTTTTGTGGTGTTCGGGATGGTGGCAGTAGCAAAGCAGTAGCAGTGCCTGGGCATTTGACGTTCACTTAACCTGTCAGTGATAATGAAGAGACTGTGGCATAATGAGAGAATACATGGTTGAGACGCTGAGCGTCCGCTTCGCCGTCAATCATACCGGCATAGTACTATACTTTCTCTACCTTCATACTGCCCAGTCAGCTCAGGAGGATGTAGGAGAATGTCTTGTGTGAAGAGCTTACCAGCATCAAATCATCCTATACCCATTATGACCTGTACGCCCCCGCCCTCCTGCTTGCTTGTACCGGCGCTCACTCCCTCCTACTCCTGACCCGCCGCTCGTCCTCCTCTTGATACCCATACTCCTCCTCCCTCCCCCGCTTGCCTGAGCCATACCCCTCATAGCTCCTCTGGTACTGACCCGGCCGAGATGGCAGCTCGACAAAGGACGGCGAGGGGGATGGTGATGGAGGGGGAGGACCGCCTGAGCCCGACGCGCGCGGCTGGGACTGGAAAGATGCTCGTAGATCCGCCGTTGGGACTCGAGGGCGCTGGTGTGCGTGTAGAGGAGCCGAATAAGGAGGGGAGTGAGCTGGTATACCAGGAAGAGGGCGATAAGGGTACCGGTGATCTTGATGGAGGGGGAGCGGGACGTTGTTGGACCAGCTGAGACCGTTTGAGGCGGCCGGCTGTGGTTGATTCGCCGGTCGAGAAGGGTCCCCGCCGTAGTACTGACGAAGCTCGCGTGCCGGATAGTATGGCTGGACCTGTTGCTGACCGTCCCGATCCTACCGTTCGCGCGACTCCCGAAAGTACTCCTCCCATGCCTGATTCCACTCCCCTTCTTCCCCCTGATCCTGATATCGAGCTCCCCGCCTCACCCCGCTCATTCCCCAACTGACCGCCCTCTCTTCTCCCCTCAATCTCCGAAAGACGCGCAGGCATTCCTCGTGGGTGCTCAGCGGGGGCCGTCTCTCCGCCTCGGACGCCGAGACAGCTTGACCATGATGAGCCCAGCGCCGAGTGAGCCGTATCCGCCCGTGCAGGTTATGCCGGTTGCTCGCGCGTACCTCCGAGATATCCCATCCCGTACGCTGTGCGACTCGAGCGGCAGCGACGTCCACCACGTCCATAGAGTCGCTCGGGTCCGCCCGGTCCAGCTTGCGGTAGTCAAGCATGGCTTGCTCGGTCGTGAGGACGCCAATCTCGCGCAGGATCGCGTCTTCCATAGCTTCGAGAGAGAGCCGAGCGAGAGGAGCCGGTGCAGGTGCGTCGTAGGACGGGTACGGCATGATGGGCGAGCTCGAAGGAGTAGAGGTAGGGAGGATGCGAGCGGGACGGGAAGTGATCAGGTAGGTGAAGGGGAAGCAGGAGAGGAGGTTCTGGGTGTGTTGTTAAGTATCGAGTGGGCGAGCGGGGAGCGAGTCAGCGATACGTTTGAAGAGATCAGCTCGCTCGTCTGACGAGTGAGAAGAGGTAACGAGGCAAGAGAGAGATAAGCTCGCCCTGCGTCAGCCAAGGGATAAGAATTTCGAGGTCCCGACTCTTCGTCAAGGGGTAGATGACGTTTCATGCCATGCGTACGGGACTCGACGCGTCCCCTCCAGCGCACCATCTCTCACTGTAGACGCGTCGCCAACATGAGTTAAGCTCAAGGTCTCCACCTCATTCCTTGCAGAGTGCGCCGTACGCAGCTGTGTGCAGCCACAGTGGGCCCTGAGATACCGCTGCGCATACAGCAGTCAGGATGAAAGACGTGCTGGACGCGTCGCGGACGACCAGGGACGAAGCAGAGTGATCCAAAGGACCCCCTCGAATCTTGGACCTGCCGATCGGCATCTAGTCGAGATCGGCTATCGTGCCTGATGATATCATCACTTCTTTCAGGCATCTCATTCCGCACAGCAAGCTGTACTGGCCCTTGACAGCATGCAGGTCAGTACTCAGATTATCAGTGAGGTGACTGGTTATCAGCTCAGCAGCTGTACGGCCAGGTCGGCCTCGTGGAGCAGGAGCTGACTCTAAGGTGCAGGTGGAGAGATGGCATCCGTGTGTCAGAAGCTGGACAGCAATGGAGACGAGCAGAGCTAGTGGCAAAGGTACTGCAGTCTATGAGGTCGATATCGTCGGGGTCTGGCGTATGAGCTCATGTCAGAGCCACATGGTGAGCTGCTAGCTTGCTAGAGGAGGAAAGGGGGGGCGAAATGAACATACCCTGCCCCTCTCCCCTTCGGTTCGCTACCGCCTTCCGCACTTCCACTAAACAGGACGTCTTCACCTTCGACTCTCGACTCATCCCGCCATCCCTAGCACCTCGTCCCAATGCCCATCTCGACCCAACGCACGCAGCCAGGACCTGTCGCCCTAAACCCCTTGTCCGGGGAGTCAGAATCGTATGATTCTGCAACTTGGGGCATGGTAAAAGCCGTCCTGGATCTGCTATCCGACGTCAGTATACTCTTGAAGCTTAGAGGACTAGACTCACACTCAGATCGTAGATCCGACGATCAAGTGCTCATACGCGCACAGGTCCATCAAAGCTCCGAGCAGAGCACAGTGGATGGACCAGGCACTGTGCGGTCGTCGAATCCCGTGATCGGTCGCCAACCAACCCCAAAGGGATCAGCTGCGGGGAGGGAAAGGAGAAGGGAGACAGCGGTGCTGGAAGGGCTGGGAAACTCGTTAGCGTCAATCGAATTATGGCGATGAGTCAGCTGATGACTGGGCTGCCGTCGTGCCTGGAGACAGAATCTCGCCGGCATAGAGGCGGAACGACGTTAGGAGTTAGCTGTCACCCATGTGCGATAGAGCCACGTTGACAGACCATCTGCGCAGCCGATGAGCCCGCATCTCACTTGCCCTTTACCCCATGTTGATCGAGCCAGTCGGATTGATACCATCAGACAATGTTCGGTGCATCAGTAGCCAGTCACTGCCTGCCGGCTCCCCTCGGGTCCGAGGGCACAGCAGCTGAAGCGAGGAGAGAAGATTGAACGTGGGACAGCAGCGCAGAGGTGTTGGTAGTCCATTAAGCAATTTGATTGTCTGCGCGATCAGTACCATTCGTTGGATTCAGGGCCGCTAGCAACAAGACTCACAACCTAGGCATCCGAAGCGTCCCTCCCCCTTGGTACAACGTCCTCCTCCCCTCCGCCTCCCTCCACTATCCACCCATCCGCCTTGACCTGCTACGGCTCGTGATCCAGATGGTAGGTATCTCGTGATTCAACTTCAGCCAAGTGAACAGTCCGGAGGGAGTGGGTGCGGGAGAAGGTGAGCGTGGGTGGGGGGTGTGGCAGTCGAAGGGGGATCGGTAGCGAGACGATGGGAGATCTGTGTACCACATGGGTTTGGGAGACGCGAAGACGGGCAGATGGGGGTCTCGCCGAAGAGAGCTGAGGGTCTCATGTTTGATCTGCCGTATTAGCGTCTTCTGTCATAGCCTCGCAGCATATGACAAGATAGACATACCGCATATCCAACAAGCAATTGTCCCTCCCGTTTCTGGTCCGCCAGCTCCAACTTCCTTCCATAAGACCTGTTGCTGCGCGAGAAAGGAAGGGAAGGGGAGGATGAGGCGAGGCATCGGCGAGAAGACTCGGAGGCGATCAGGTTGCAAAGGGTGGACGAGCCGGACGGGAAGGCGGAACGAGGTATATTGGATGGGGACGGTAGGTAGCAGATATCGAGGTCGACATCTTGCCTACACCATCAGCTTCTCCCTTGCCTACAAGCCAACAATAAGAAGAGATGCACTCACGATTACCGCAAACGGACATCATATTCCCCTGGCCAGTCCATCGGCCCTTCTTCCCCTCCACCCCTCCCGTATATCCCTCGATCACTGCGCATCATCCCCGCCTAGCACGCCGAGTGCATCACCCCCTCGTGACTCAATCTCGGTCTGCGCCGCCTTACAGCGCACAGGCGCCAGTTGTCTCCGCGGCAGCCGTAAATCGCCGCCCTGCGTGGAGCACCGACGATGGAACGAAATCAAAGACGGGCTGACTGCGGCGCAGTGCGTCACCTGGGCCATCAGCTAGCCCTCTGAGTCCAGACAGGTCGACACCACAGCAACTTACCCGCAATTCTGATTATCGTCCCGCCATCTACTGGTCCCCCTCCCCTCCTCTGCCTGATCCATCTGCCTCCTGCATCCCCTTTCCCCTTTTCGAGAGCATTGCCATCGCCGCCCAGTGAGCATGTGCGTGGGTCCCCCGCTAGCGGACTGTACCAAAGTAGCCCCGCGCGGAGTGGGTATGGAGGGCGGACTGGAGACTCGGGACGGCTGGTGAGGCCTGAGGGGTAAGTCTGGCGTAGATCTGGAGTTTCAGCTCGGCACTCGTTTCCAGCTGCACATGTATGTTGCCGAGGCCACAGGACGCTAGTAGAGATAGACGACACGCACCATAGGCGCTATCAGTCCTCGCAGCGGGGTGGATGGAACGGAAAATCGGGAAAAGTCTGCAGGTGGGGAGATATGAGGAATGCGGAGTTGAGATTATGCGGGAGTGATGTGGTGATCGTTGAACCGACGTTGCTTGCGCGCAGTGTGCAAGTCCCGATCTTGCACAGGTAGCTGTACCGCTACCAAGAAGGTTCTAGCCATGAGCGAGACAATGTAATAGGATACATAAGACAAAGTACAAAAAGGGCGCACAAGCAAATGTTCCCCCCATACTGCGCCGACAACCTCGCCCCAATCAAGACCTGACAGCCCCTCGTCCGCCCCATCCTGCCCCGCATAGCCGACCCTCACGCAGACATCTCTTCCCCCACCCAGCCATCCTCCCACACCGAGCCAGCACACCGTACCCGCCGCGCCGTCCCGCCAATGAGCAGAGCTCCCATGCCTGTATCGGCCGTACCAACACCGATGTAGTATTGCCCGAGGTTGGAGATCGGACGAGCGAGAGCGTGGATGGGACGGCAGGTGATAGTCGAGATGAGGTGACGTGGAAGGGGAGTGGGAGAATGGGAAAAGGGAGATGAGGGGAGGTCGATCGAAGCGATGTGGATATACGGAAAGGCGAGCCTAAGATCAGTACTCAGGTATGTGGTCAGCTCGCGAACGAAGCCGGAACAAGGATGGGAAGGATGGAGAGGCGAGAGAAGAGGAACAGGAAAGGCGAGAATAACGAGGTGTCGCGATCAGGTAGAAGGGATGGGGGAGAGGAAGTAAGGTGGAGGAGGCTGGCTTGGAAGACGGTGAGGGTGAAAGGAGGTAAGAATGAGGGACATCAACTCTGATGCAAGCCAAAGACAAAAGGCTGGAGCAGAAGGCGGTATGGACGAGACGAGATGGCTGAGCAGAAAATTTGCATTGGGCATGATATAGAACTACAACTCTGGATTGGATCAGCTCAGCCCCTTGAAGATTTTCCACAAAACCAAAAGGGGGAGGAGGAGGGATAGTATCAGAGGTTTAATTTAGGTAGCGTGGGTTTTTCAGCAGCGACGAAACGTCCTCAAGCCAAATGCACTCAGGTCATCAGGGTAGGTGATTGGGGTGGGGTGAGGCTGGAGAGAGGTAACAAGAAGACAGACAAGTGCAGAACAGAGTGGGATGCATGCTCACCTAGCTAAGATACAAGACAGACTACGCAATGTGGTGATAGGAACGTCGATCAGAAAGCCCGCTCTGCCCACAGCCGAGTCTTGCCTTGCCCTAGAGCTCAGCTCAACATCAACCGCCAGCGTCCTCGATCCGTCACACCCGAGAGCGATCTGGAAATGCCTCTGTAAGAGAGCCGAGCGGGTACTGTATCATCGCCTCGACGTGGAATTTATGACTAGTGTGGACTAGCATAAGAGAACAGTGACTATACAGAAATCCTGAGGGGGTCAGCTGGAGTCCGGGCGAGTGAGAGAGGAGGACGGAGAGGGGGAGAAGGGGGGTATGGGAGGGAAGGGGGAGGGATAGAATGGTAGGGGTACTGACCTGCAGAGTATGATACGATGAAGAAACGAAATCAGTCCAAACGCACTCTTATATAGGGCGCGTGCGAGACCAGCCGGAGTTTCGGCAATAGGGAAATTTGCGGAACGTGGCGGATGCAGTGACGGCATCTAGAACATTCCTGCACAGGCATGCCGGCGGCAACTCCCGCTAAGCTTCTTCTTCATCTTGTCTTGCCTCTCCTGCTTGTGCATGCTGGCAATACGAGGCAGTAGTAGGCAGTAGTAGAGTAGTACGATTCGGAGCTCTAGGTTAGAGTGATTGTTGGACCCCGTTACTCCCCGGATCCCCTTCCTCCCTGCCTCTCTCTGCCCGTATGATCGCCTCGAGATGCTACTGGCTGACTCGCTGACCTCGCTTGCCCAGTAGCAGATCAGAGCTGCTCCGCTTGCTATCGCAGCTCGAGCCTTTCATCATGCTGATATCCTGACATGCTGGTATGATCGCTACCTCGTCTCGATCACTAGTGATGCCGTGAGGAAGGGGCGAGGAGGGAGTTGGCCGTGATTGTTACACGGGGTTGATGTATGTAACCCATCTCTCTCCCTCAGATCTCTACCACCTACCCCAGCCGCACCAAGTAAGCTATCCATCTTCGACTCGTCATGAGCCCAGAGCTGACCTGAAGAGACTCCCCTTCTTTCCAAAGATCGCTAAGAGCAAGCATTCAGCCCCCTTTTCTGACGTCTATCTTCAATCACAATCCCTACCCTTCACGCATTCGTTCGCATCCCAGCCACCTCATACTGCGCGCCGTCTGCCTCAGCTCCTATCTTTCGCGGGCTTTCCCGCTCCCTCGGACCATCCCCACCCATCTATCTCGACCACCCAGTCCTGCTCCTCAGCTACCAGCGTAATCAGAGGCCAACAAGGGCTCCGCTGCGCATTTCTACTCCCATGCCCATCGTCTCCCCATTGTCTACGAGTTGGCAGCACCGCATGCATCGCGCTCGTCAATCCTCTTGCTGCCTCGCTCGCTCAGGCGGACACAAGAATACGAGAATGGGGCTATTGGTCTTGCTCCTAACGTGACATTTACTGCACTCACTAGGATACCCATCGAAGCGTAAGCCCCGATTTCTCTGCTCTCCGATATTCTCCCTCTCGCTTTCCTGCTGCTCTCCGCTCTCCTGATTCCGGCCCGCCGGGATACCAGCTGATATCCAGTGCAGTACACAACATCGGCCAGATCTCCACCGCCACCATGACCCCCGAGTCGGAGGCTACCACCCTCATCCCTCTACCCGTGCCAAGAACGAATCGACATCCTATTCCAGCTCGCATCTCATCGCCGAGGCGTACGAACCGAGCTACCTTGCTCCGGCCGAGGCGGGTAGTTTCAAGACGCAGAAGGCGCAGAGCGGGACGATGGGGAATGGGGAAGGCGCTGGAGGTAGGAGTGCTACTCTAGTGATTGGAGGGGATTGAGGGGACATTGATCGCAATCCCGAAGGCAGGCGAGATGAAGGGTTTCGTGGTAGCGGGTGAGAAGGAGATGAGAGCGGCGGTGGGACTGAAGGGCATGAAGCGGGTGAACGGGATCAAGGGGAATACGGGGTTGGAGGGAAAGAATAGCGCGACGCTGTAAGCGGTGAACCAGGAGAAGAAGTAAGCTTGGGTAAGGAGGGATCAACGCCAAGGTTGCAGATGGAGTGAGGAGATGGCGGTATGCAGAGTTTAAGACAATATCTGGATCGGCCGCTCTTGAGATGGGGCGCTTCTCTCCGCAGCCACTCGAAATCCTCCTGCTAGATAGCCTGCGATAATGTGCTCTAACCGCAGATATGGTCAAGAGGGAAGATATGGTATGCATGCTCGGGCGATATATAACCAGTAGATATAGTCTGTCCGTGCAGATAAGCTGGGAAGTCTATGTGGGAGAGGATGTGATGAGTGAGATGTACAGCAGGCAGGATAGAGAGGTATCGTAGGCAGAATAGGGATAATGAGAGACCTTGGTCTGACTTACACGAGTAGTAATGACGAGTGGAGAGGTGTGTCTTCTCCTGGGCGGAGCGATTGCGCATTGCATCGTGACCTTCGACGCCTTGACTTTTGGCATATCCGCCCAGCCGGGTCTCTGACGGACGGCTTGGCCGTCTGCAAAATCAGCGGCTACTCTCCAGGAGATGGGGATACGTTCTACCCACCTTGTCTCGGTCTGCAGAGCGCTAGCAGCTAATAGCCATCTTGATCGCAGCAGTAGTCTGGTCACTCTGTACGATCAGCTTCTTACCTCCTTGAGTCGAAGCAGGTACACTGCCTTGGGAACTTACAGTATACGATGTCTGAAATCAGCTTTGTGCTTGTGACCGTTTAGATCTACTCACTGATATATCCGAAGCATCGGAGCAGCTGGAACTTGGTCATTACCATACCCTAATTATTCACCATCCTTGTCGTTGAGACAGACGAGACCTCCCGGCGCCGTTGGCAGTATAGGACTGCTAAGAGCAGCGTTGCGCCATACACCACCTTGAAATTTTCCTGCATCGCCAGCCAAACCGGTAGATCTTCATGGTTGATAAATTACCGAAGGATCAGCTCAGCCTCGGCATATCAAAGCAGCCCGCTCAGCTCTTAGATCTGCCTCACAGTGAGAGTCTGGGCCAGCAAGCCTCCCGCCGGGTCCGCGGGCTCCACCTTGAGCAGCTCGAAACCCGTCGCCGTCGCCGACTTGGGGGATCGCGACGATGACATACTGATGGTTAGCTCATGACCACCTGCAGAAAGTCCGCCTTGCAGAATGCCAAGCAGACGGTATGAAGCTAGATGGCCAGCTCACTATGGTTACGGTCGAGCATACCCATGAGCCCACCTCGACGGCCGACTGACCCGACTCGGTGCAGCGGGAAGATCTGGGCGTCAGCTACGTCCACCTGCGGCACAGGTGCAGGACCTACTGCGCAGATCCTGAAAGACAGACTTCACCTCCCGGAAAGAGACGAGGCTTCCTGAATCATCAGCATCGCTTCGGTTGTGCTTACAGGGCTGCTTGACATACGAGCATGAGATGGTATACGGTCCGAGCGCTTAGGCAAAGACAGCCTTAGAGCTAGACGAAAGAACGAGTATCGCTCGAGTTGGAGCTATCTCGTGATTAGCCCAGACCCGACAAAGAGGTCCCGTAGGTGACTGACCATGCTCCTTGACAGCTGCGTCCGACTCTCTCGCCAGTGACTGAGGGCGCAAGGTGTAGGCGGTGGAGTGGGGTCGACTCGGTAATGAGATGTTGTCGCGCCGAGGTGGGGACAGTGGGGAACGTCACCAGTATCTGGTACTGGCGTCCGATTTTGAGGCTACTTCGGCAGCGCATCATGCCCATCGTAGCAGGGTCGTATCCGGAGGCGCGACAGAGAGCTGCGCTGTGGGACTGGTTATAAGATGTAGATGGTCGAAAGCTAGAGAGAAGTTAGACGTCGAAGTTGGTTTAGCCGCCCAAACCGGCCCGCTTGACAAACGAGCAGGCGATGATGCCTTTCATATGTACCTCATTCTCGTCATGAGCATATCAGCAAGCCAGATCATCCGACATGCTGGTGGGTCGTCGTCTCAGTCACATATCCGCGTGAATGGAGCAAACGAGCGGCTCTGGGTTGTGAGACACCTACCTGACCTCTTACTCACTTCCCCCACATCACACTGACGGCCCTCCCCGGTCCCGGCGCGGCTTTCCTCAACTTCGGCGCATCGTTACGACCCACCCGGGTGACACGCTCATCGCATAAGAGGGCAGAGGGCGGGCGAGCCGCCACAGAATCACTTTGGAGCGAAAAGGCTAGGTGAGACATGTTAGCCTGGCTCAGGAACGCTCCGCTGGCCAGCCTCTTCTGCTTTGTTGGGGTACATGGCTGGCCTATATTAGCTGCCATGCCGTCTCCTGCATCTTGCCTCCCTACTTCTACCTGACCTCTGGCATTCTCATCACACCCCATAGCAATACTCATAGATACACCTCATACCACCGCTGCTGGACTCCACAGTCTCCACTCTACCTCCGACCCACAGCAACCGCTCGCCGCCAAGTAACATCTTAGCGTGAGTAGGATGTCCAGCCCCTCTATTATCCCACGTCTTCTCAGGCTATAAGGCTGATATTGCAGCCTGCTCTCCGTCGTGCATCACACATCGCGGCCACTACGATCAGGTGATATACCCTCCACGGCTGTAAGTCCCTCTCGCTCCGGTTGTACCCCCCTTGTTGCCTGCTTCCCCTCCTCCAAAGGCCAACCTGAGCTGACTCTTTAGTACACACACACAATGTCGACCAAGTACTACCACTACCATGCCCTTGAGGACCAGTACCTACACCTCTCCGAGACCGTATCTCGTCTCCCCATGCACCACCCTCAACGCCCTTCCCTCCTCGTCAAGCTCGACCGCACCGAGCGCGCCCTCACTCGCATTGAGCGTCACACGGAACGGGAGGACAAGAAGGCAGAGATGGCCCGCATTGCGTTCTGGACTCGCGTCCACATCAAGGGCGATGGACATGGGGTCGAGATAGTGACAAGAGGGGAGGAGCTGGTGTTCAGGGTGGTGACTTTGCCGATCATGCCTCTCTACTTTATTGGCGCTGTGTGAGTCGCAATCATCTTGAGCCAAAGAGGAGTCACACAGCTGATATCCAGAACGACTCATTGCGCTATCGAGCAAGTTCATGACCTCCGCGTCCGGCACAGGGCATACCGCGAGGCCCAAGACTACCGTAACATGAAGTGCCCATCCGCTGAGGAGAAGCACAAGGGGCTGGTATGCCACTGTGCCAAGAGACAGGCGAGGATCTCGGTGTCCAAGACGCACGGGGCGAAGGTCAGATTTGGGGAAGCCATTCAGGCGGTCAAGGGGAAGAAGTGATGTAGAAAGGCTGTATACTACGAGAGCCATACAGAGCCCATACAGAGCAACGATGAATATGTCATGACTTCTTCTCGAGGCTAGCAACCCACAGTGCAAGCTCGACAGCTGCGAGCATACACATGCATCGCCTCCCCGGAACCAACCTGACAACCTCAGTGGGGAAACCCAAGGTAGAGCCAGGGTCCAAAAGAACAAGCATGGTCTCCGCCCAGCCGCTCCTTGGCCCTGGAGCCAGCCCAGTCAGCCTATATCATGCACCAGCACCGTGCTTTCTCGCCCTCGGCACCTCCCGGCCCGAGACCGCCCATCACAGGATCCAAAAAGAATTTCTGCCATCCACAAAAACAAATGGTCACTATCGGGCTCGAACCGATGACCGCGGCATTACTATTATTAAAGCTAACAAGCAATTAATATTAGTACCGTGCGCTACCAACTGCGCCAAGCGACCCAGCGCTACTAACTGAGACAACTGAAAGTCTCTGCCTAGCCGTGGTATACAAAGGCAAAGGCAAAAATTAGCTCTGAAACCTGGACAGCTGAAGTCGCTGGATGACAATGTGCTCATCTGTCTGGTTGGGGCGCGCGCCAGGGTGAGGCTTGGGTCGGCCGAGAGAGCTGACTATGTGCAGAAATGGGCGCATGACGCCTAAAGAGACGAGGACGGACCTCAAATTGGCATGCACGCTGTCCATAGGAGGGACTCACCTCAGCTGCCCAACTGCTGCCCAGCTCTTGCGGGTCAGGCCGCCAAGTGGACCCACTCCGCCCATCAGTGCATACGTTAGCAATCGGGTGCTGAAGACCTTTGAGAGACTGGACATCGCGCTCATGCCCACCCACTCCTGTGGAGACGAAATGTAGGACTTAAGCTCATGGGGATACGAAAGCTGGTAAGCTTGCTGCTTCATTGCCCCCTTGTGACTGGAGCAGCCGTACGGCGTGGTTACGCCGCCTTCCGGCCAGCTCGCTTAGTAGGTTACCCGTATATGTACAAGCCAGCTTTGTTGCACTCCCTCACACACACCTCTTTCTTGGACGGCGCGCGACGCGTGCGCCATGGGAGCCATGATTCTGGTGCATCGTTGATACGTCAAAGCTAGGCCAGCCTTGTTTTTCATATATTGATAGAGTCTACAGCAGTCAGCCTCATATTGTGGTGTGGACGCACGATGTAAGAATGGTGGCAAGAGCCTTATGGAGGGCCAAGAACGGGATAGGGATGTTTGACGGAAGAACCAACACATACCCTGCTTGACCACTTTCCCCAGATCTTGCTCGACCCCCCAGACATGCGCTCTCAGATCCAGCATCTCGAGGTGAAGACCCTCCTGTCATGTCAGTCATCCAGACTCGTCACAATGCAGCAGGAGCAGAGGCAAAACCCACATGCAGTTTCCGCATCTCCCCTCGGACTTTCCCTACATCGTCCCTCGCCGCCATTCCCGCCTTCAGACTCGCCATCTCCTTCTCCACAGCCTGCAGACGTTCTAGATGGGACGAGATCTGGTATCATCAGCTGTGGGGACATTTCCATAGCGCCCGTGACCAGCACACAAAGACCCATTCCCTAAATTCCGGCTGAGAAGAGGTTGGAACGGACCAGTAGCAACTTACTTTGCCAGCCCCACGCTGTAACTTCTCGACACTCTCCAGAAGCTGCGAAGATGCCGTTTCTGTGACGCCTTGGAAATAATACAGGCCTATCGAGGAAGCCGAGGCGAAGCCCAGCAGCTACTCGGGTCAGGACCAGTACCCTCGGCAATACGAGGATCAAACTCACAAAACCCATAAGCCTGGAGCTCATGTCAGTGCTGTGAGTAGTCTTTCAATATGATCTGGTACTCACCCTGTCCTACATATCGTTAGCAGCGTTCGGAGGAAGCCTCGTTTTTGGCACTCACCTCAGCCCACCAGACCGCCTGGCTGGGGCAGTGCCGACCACGCCCACGACTTCCTCCCGCCGCATTGCAGTTGTAGATATCCGCCTGAGAGACTGCGCAGCTGTCTGCCCTCCTGTTCTCAGCATGCTGGGTGGATCAGAATGAGAATGCGATATAAGTAGAATGCTCTGAATTGGAATTTCCTGGAAAGGTGCAACCTCAAGTTCGCGTCAACATTCAACGTCGTGCCTGAAAATCACCACCTTCCCTTTCGGTACCACTCATCTCTGACTCGTACATATCATATCACCCAGGAGGCTCGAGACACTGTATGATCATCTCGCTGTGCGTCACTACAAGTTCTGATACCCCTTTCGTTGCATGCTTGCATGCTCGTGGGCGCCCATGCGGTTGCAAGGGACCGATCGGCTTCACCGGCCGGTCTTCCCGCTCCGGCAGAGTGGGCGGTACAAATGCGTCCCGGGTCGTCTTGCCCTTTTGATGTTATCCTTCTTACTCATATCATCTCGACTACTCACTAAGGCTTCGAAATGTCTGACTCTCGCTCATGGACCGCTCCGAATGATCACACGCCCGCCGCACCTCCCAAGGGCGACATCAACAGCGTCCCTTGGCAACCTAGCTCGGCCCGTCCGCTCGTCTTCAAGGGTGAGTTCAAAGCTGTGACACGTAGAGCTGGGCTGATGAGCCAGATGCGAACGTTGTCGATGCGGCAACCAATACTGTCCGCAAGGGTGTGACCGTTGTCATCGAGAATGGCGTCTTTACCCAGGTCATTGACTCTGAATCCGTGACCAACTTCACTCCGCCCGACGAAGCGCGTACCATCGAGATGAAGGGGCTATATCTGTGTCCTGGACTCATTGACTGTCGTGAGTAGTTGATGCTTCACCTCGGACCTGGCTGATGCTGCAGACGTCCATATCAACTTCTCGGATGGTCGTCCCGCTACTGGCTTTGTCGACCACAAGCTGCGCGCAACGTACACCCTCAAGAGCATGCTTGCCAGGGGATTTACTACTGTGCGAGATGTGGTGAGTACCGCCACTACCGCAGGAGGGATCATATTGACCGACAGGGCGGAGCCGATGTATTCCAGAAGGAAGGTAAGCAGTGGGAGGGGCAAATCGCTGATCAATAGCTGTGGACCAGTGGCTCACACCTGGCCCGAGGCTGTTCCAGGGCGGTAACATCCGTAAGTCTGCTTTGCTTGAGACGTAGCTCAGCTGATCCTTCAGTGAGCCAGACAGGCGGTCATGGTGACTTCCGCCCTCGAGAGGCTCCCGCTCACAGTCTGTGCTGTGCTCCTGATATCGACTTTTGCACTCTGGCGGATGGGGTTGATGGTGTGACTCTGGCGACAAGGGAGATGATCCGGAAGGGAGCTCAGCATATCAAGGTGGGTGATAAGTTGCGCCGAGCTGATAGTCAGATTTGCACATCTGGCGGTGTCTCTAGCCCTACTGGTGAGTCCACCGCCTGCAGCATGCTAATGCTAGATAAGCTGGAGGGCGTCCAATTCACAAACGAGGAGATTCAAGCCATTGTCGGCGTGACCAAGGATATGAGAGCTACTCTCGTTACTGCTCATGCGTACACATCTGAGGCCGTCCGCCGCGCCGTCGACAACGGCGTGAGGGGTATCGAGCATGGCAACCTGATTGACCGCGACACTGCCAAGCTCCTCGGTAGGTCACTAATCCCCCATCTACAATGCCACTAGCTAATTTCCAGCTTCTACGGGCACCTTCCTCACGCCTACGCTCATGATCTCCACCGTCAAAGGCCGTGCTCCCTGGAACGAGACGCTGCCGGGGTACATGCGGGAGAAGAACGCCATGGTCCGGGATGCTGGCAGGCGAGCTATCCAGATTGCTGAGGAGGAGGGTGTTTGCGTGTGCTTCGGTAAGCTTGACTTTCCCCCAAAGCACTTGGGCCGAGCTGACAACCCAGGAACTGACTTGACCAACGGGTACGTTTCTTCCCTTCTCCCCCGTCACTAATGAAGCTGACCTCTAGGACTGGCTACCTCCAGAGCGAGGAGTTCACTCAACGTCACGCCCTTGTCCCATCTCATCGGGTAATTGCCCATGCCACGGTCAACGGCGCCAAACAGCTCGACGATCCCAAGCTCGGCATCATCAAGGAGGGGGCTTATGGTGATTGCCTCGTCCTCGTCGCCAACCCGCTCGAGGACTGCCGTGTGCTGGACAGTGGGAAGGAAGGGATCTGGGGTGTCATCAAGGAGGGGCGAGTTGTAGTTGCGCGGAAAGAGATTGCGGACCAAGTAGCTGTCGACGTGGTTCTGGGTGTAGGGGAATAGTCTTTCCGTGATGTCATATCGTGTCTTGCTCGGACTCTTGCTATCGTGCTTCATCCGCTGTACAGAGCTAGATCCTATACCATATGCTGCGGCACCCATGATCGTATTAGATACACGGCCGCAGCGCAGTCTACCGAGATGCCGCTAAAAGTGCTCAACGTTCTGCTCGAACGCCAAGACCCCAAATCAAGCTGAAGACCATCGAGCATCTTTCTCTCACGCCATGTCTCGCTCACTACTCGCATGTCTAGCTTGTCGCAAGTCGAAGGTTCGCTGTGATGGCGCTGATCCTTGCAAGCGGTGGGTACCTAGCTGATTGGCTGGGAGCTGACCATGTAGCTGCCAGCGCTCAGAATTGGACTGCATCTACAACTCGCCCCGAGCGGCGCGTGCTCGGCGAGAGTCCACTGATGAACATCCTGACCTGTCTTTGGAGAAGCACGCCCAGGTACTACGGCATCACGAGTCCGCTATCAGCACTATCCTCACCCGGCTGGGCCTGACCCCCGAGCTTACCGCTCTTTCAGGCCACGCGGAGCCCCTCCCGCATATCGATCTTCAACCGACACAGCGGACTATCCACTATCAGCCGGTCGCCAAGCCATACCTTCCTCCGTCACTAAACCCCAATGATACAGTATCACCCCCAACCCTCACAGGCGCCGGGCTCATCGAAAGCGGTCTGATACCTCTTCAGCAGGCAAACCAGCTGTTTCAACAATACCGGACCTACTCCACCTCTCGGCTCGCCACGCTCCTCCCTGTCGACCACCTCCCCAGTGAGTCGTGCCTCCTCCGGGATGTCATCCTCACACTTGGCGTCCGTTCCACACTATCGGCCGAAACGGAGAGGCTACACCAATCCTGTATCGCCTTTACCCGTCATCGGATCATCACCGCTGGCGCAATCACGCAAGACGACGTCAACGCGGCCATGATGTTCAGTCAGTGGTACTCGGATCATCGGATGTGTAGAATGGTGATTGGATGGGCGATGGAGCTGGGGATGCAGCACTCTGCGTCAGCTTTCAGGGCCTTTCGGCTGGAAGAACGTAGTGGGGACGCTGCGGAATCGCGCAGGCGGGGGAGAGCTGTGATTAAGCGGCTCAGGATTTGGATGTCCTGCTGTTCAGCAGAGCTGATGTGAGTATATCGTACGGTCAAGCTAACGACAGTATGTGCCTTATGTCGGGCCTCCCCATCTCCGCGCCATCAATCTCTCTTGCCCTCCACGAAGCCAGCGCCTGGCTCTTCCCCTCGCCTGACCAAGCTCAGACTCCCCACGATATCGTCCTCGCATCCTATATCACCGACTTTGACTTTCGGCTGGTATCGTACATCCAGATCTGGCTCCTCGTTGTCCAGTACAGGGAGTCACTTCCCTTCTCGCCGACTGATCCTGCGGATCTGCGGGACGTGGATGGGCGGTGGGAAGCATTGCTGGGGGAATACAGTGGCTACCTGGACGTATGGGGAGCTCGCTGGCACGCTGGACTAGGTGAGTAGCCACCCTCTTCAGAGCTGACTCAGATCCATCTTCGCGCGTCGAGACACTCAATGATCCCAGCATACGGTCGGACCAGGCGGTCATCGATCGGCACCGTCTCCGGGTCCCTCTTGCTTTTGCCAGATGGTAAGCTCGAATCTGGTCAAGCTGATCACAGCTACCTCAACTCTTTTGGGATCAGACACAACAGCTCGGGTCACATAGCAAGTGTCGCCTCCCTCGCGGTCCGTACCGCAGCGACATGCGCTCTGGACATTATTCGCTGGTCACTCGAGACAAAGCTTTACCAAGCGGCTCTCAACTCGTCCATGGTGAGCTCGAACGGGACATAGCTGATTTCAGGATTACATGCTGCACAACGCGGTCGGCTTCTGTCTCGATTACATCTCGTCTGCTCTTAGCCTAGCACCCGCCTCGGCCTTCACCCAGGATATGGCTCCGGTCATACATCGCTTGGTCGCTATACTTGCGGATCTGAAGGAGGCCGGTATGGACGGCCGGCTCCAAGCGTCTCGGAGCAAGGTCGATGACCTCGCCAGTCAGATCGGCGCAGTGCAATCAGGTCCGTCTTCTACTCGTGTGATGTGCTAGCGCTCACGTCGCAGCCGAGTCCATGCCTACCTTCTCTGCGGGACCAATGGATTTCGCCCAACTGAACGCCGTCGCTGGGCCGAGCTCGCATATGGCACTCAACGACGAGACCTTTGACTCGCTGGCGGGCATGGTGGACGTTGCTTCTTTTTGGCTGCAGACTGATCTAGATGACTCGGGGTTTTGGACAGCTGGGGCATGATCACGAGATGCATCATACATTCACACTATAGTAGCGACTTTACTCTCTTCCCGCTATTCCCGCTACGCAAAACTTTGACACTACAAGACGTACCTGGGGTCAGCTTTGATCGAGGGAAGCTGCTCACCTAAAGTGTACATTCTCTCTCTCGGTCATTCCGCGCATACCGTTGTCCGCAGCGAGGTTGACGTCTGCTGGACCGTACTTCCGGTCACGAACCTTGTTGTCGCGCCACATCTACGATGTCAGCGTCACCGAAGAAGAGAAGCGGACACTCACGTAGAACCACAGCAAGCAGTGACAGATAGTCTTGAGCATATATCCAGCCATCATACAGATCGCTGCGGTTCGGTAGACGGGCGCTTCAGTCTCGAGCGCTGTGAGGGGCCCGACTGGATGGTCAGCGCAGTCGACATATTGGGAAAAGGGACATACCGGCATTGCCAGCGCAGTAGGCAATAAAGACGCAGGAGGAGACGACGACACGCTTGGAGTATGATCCGATGTTGGAGGAGATCATGACCAGTCCCATAGTAAAGCCGATGGATTGAAGACTGAAGTCAGCAACGCCATGGTTCATACTCACTTGACCAGCCAGAACCCGATCAGACGTCCCCAGGTGTATTGAGTGGTGAAAGGCAGGAAGGCCATCAATGCCGTCCCGAACACGCAGATGAGGTTGCCGATGGTCATCATGAGTAGTCGAGTGTTGGCCCAGCGAGAAGCGACAAAGCCGGAGATGAGAAGCGCAAAGACTTGGAGCGAGCGGCCAGCGCAGTCGAGCAAAGCCGCATTGAAGGTCGAGTAGCCGAGACCCTTGATGATAGTACCGGAGAAATTGGTGAGGACGCCATTAGGGACGGAGGAACCGAACATCGCGATAGAGAGAAGCCAGCTGAATATCAGCACATGACCTTGATGACACGTACTTTTTGGGATCCATCAGACCCTCTCTGCCATGCTCCCAGTTGAAGGCAAGCGACTTGACACCGACACCGGATGATGCGACACGAGCCACAGCCAATAAGCGATCCTCCTTCTTGAGCCATCGAGCATTGCTGGGACCATCCGCCATAAAGAACCAGAGGAAGATACCGAGGGCGGCGGTGACGGAACCGAGGATGTAGAAGATGAGTTTCCAGCGGGGAGTAGGCTCGTCACTGAGCTGCATTGTCAGTGGAAGCTCGCTGTTTGACGAGATCGATACATACGAAAGTAATCCCAGCGGCCATCAGTGCTCCCTGTATATCAGCCTCACTTCAGCGTAGCAGAGATTAAGCTTACGACCATGCCTCCAATACCGTTGGCAGAGTACCATATAGTTTGCCGGAAGGGGATCTCGTCTCGGGTATACCACCAGGCCGTCATGAGGGAGAGACCAGGGGTGACGGCGGACTCGAAGACGCCGAGGAGGAAGCGAGTAATCATGACGTGCGTAAAGTTCTTGGACCAAACCATGACCAGGACCATCAGACCCCAGATCGTTGCGGTGGTCCCCATTATCCGCCCTGCGTGGAAGCGGCCGATCAGGTAGGACCAGACCGGCTGTGAGACAAGGTACCCTCTGACTGTCAGCCAGATCGAGGGGTGACTTACATGTAGAAGATAGCTGCGCCCAACGAGTATTGGTTCCCGCTCATGCCCATTGCGGCCTGATCATCAGCTGTGCTCACGAGTCTGGCTCACCTCCATTCCAAAGACCTTTGCATAGTTCAGAGCCGTCTTGTCCATAAACTGAAGTGTTTGGGTGAGGAGGAAGAGGGGTAAGATGAACATGTCGATCTTCCTCCGGATTCGCTTGCTCTCCGCGGGAGTCTGCTAGTCAGCCAGATACGCTGTAGAGTAGCAGCTGACTCACAATCTCCCCTAAAAGCTTCGACTCCTCGTACGCTGCCAGACCGACATTGGTATCATCTCCTTGAACCACCACCTCGGACAGCTTGATCTCGTCCTTCTCGCCGTACTGGTCGGTTTTGCTGTCTGGATGAGTCGTTTGCATTTTGTCTGGGAGATACGAGCCGCATGCTGCTGCCGCTCCTCTGTCTATATACCAGCTGATCAGGATAAGAGCTTAACGGGCCAGGTGCAAGGTGGAGGTGCCGGTGGGTGAAGCGGCAGGACCGACGTCGGCCGGACCGATCGGCGCCGAAGTGCGGAATTCGGTCAAGCTCGACGTGCGATGCGATAAGCGTTCTCTTGGCGCTGCGAGCGTGGCGGCTGGTCTGGCAGAGAACAGGGGGATGAGGACGACTTGCAGTGGTATAGCCACATCTGAATGGGCATGTATATCCTGCGCAAAAGTCAACGCGGTGAACCTCGAGACCTAAGCGATGCGAAGCTCCAAGATGGACCGCCTTTACATGTGGCCTGGATCAGCCGACTGTCACTCTTTGACTCGCTACTTGCCGGCAGTACCCACCCATAGGAGGTGGGAGGGTATGGTAAGATATACTCTCGATTGACATCTGATCAGGACGTCAGTAGCCCGAAGTGTCAGCGTTAGATCGCAAACTTGCATGATGTACCGCATACTAAGCTGCCCTAACCAGCTATATTCTCCGCCACAGCTTTCCCGTCGAGCCCCATCACTCCCTCCGCCCGCTTGCCCTCCTCTCCTTGGACCCCATCCCCTGCCCCAAACATCGCTATCAACGCCTCGATGGTCGTGTTCCCCCCTGAGAAGATCACCCCCACATCCCAAACCTCCCCTTCCTTCTGCCTCTCCGCCACCATCCGCCTGAACTCATCATTGTATAGTATCACAGCCAGCGGCACAACCGCACTTGGCTCCACAAACACCTTCATCCGCTCCATGACCAGCTTTAGCGCCGCCTTGATCTGATCATCCGTGACGCTGTAGACGCTTTCAACGAATTTGCGTTTGACCGAGTTGCCGCCAGTGAGGATTCCCCATGGATTCTTGCCGACCGGTGTGCGTAGCCCGTCGGCTATGGTGAGGGTCTTGACGGTTTCGATCCGTCGAGGTGGATCCGCCTTGAGTCCCATCTCGCCGTCATTCCCGCCCTGGTAGTTTGGCTCCGCGCCGAACACCATCGTCCCCGGCTTGTCCGAGTACCATATCGCCGTTCCGCTCAACAAGCCCCCGCCTCCCAAAGGCGCCACCACCGCATCAAATCCCTCCGACTTTGCCCCTTGCGTCCCCAGATACTGCTCCTCCATCTCCATCCCCGCCGTACCCTGTCCAAGCATGATGTCGGGGTGGTCATACGGCGGGACGAGGATAGCGCCGGTCTCGGCCATGACCTCGGCAACCATCGCCTCACGTTCTTGGCTGGTAGACCCGCTGAATCGAACGTGTGAAGTGTATGCCTGAGTACCGGCGATTTTGGAGGGAGTCGAAATGGTAGGCATGACAATGTGGGCGGGGATGTCAAATGTGGATCCGGCGAGAGCGAGGGCTTGAGCATGATTCCCTACCGATCAGTCGCGTTTAGAAAATGGGCTGAGGATGTGAGACTAACCGGAAGAATGAGTGACCAGTCCCCTCCGCCTGACCTCGTCCAGACCCAGCTCGTCAATCAGCCTCAATACCGCATGAAAGGCTCCTCTCGCCTTGAACGCCCCGATCCGTTGTGCATTCTCGCACTTGAAATAGAGGCGGATCTGAGGGGCCTTCTCGTCCGGACGAATAGGTGTTGATGCGATGCTGTTGAGGGTACGGTTGGTAAGAAGCGGCGTGTGGTGAATGTGGTTGATGATTTTGTTGTGCGCGGAGCGCACAGACGACGGCGTCAAAGGCGCGCAGGTTGCGAGGTCTGCCATGAAGACTGGCTGTTGTGGCGGGATGGCTGATCGGACCAGATACGGGTTCTGAGCTAGAAAGACGGCAAGGCCTGGCAAGATGAGATGGGAGGGAGAACAGTAGACAGAAGATGATCCGGCAATGATCCGGTGAAATAGCCGAGTGGCGGACAGCTGGTGGGACCAAGCATCGCCTTTGGGCTTGCCATGCGCGCCGGCTTTTAAACACTCTTATCTATTTGCATCTTTACCAGTCTCCCTTCCTTGGAGCTTCAGCGCCCCAGCCCTCTCGACCGACCCCAGCCTCACCCTGGCGCGCGCCCCAACCAGACAGATGAGCACATTCTCATCCAGCGACTTGACCTGTCCAGGTTTCGAGGCCAGTCTTTGCCTATGTATACTACGGCTAAGCCGGGACTTTCAGTTGTCTCAGTTAGCAGCGCTGGGTCGCTTGGCGCAGTTGGTAGCGCACGGTACTAATATTAATTGCTTGTTAGCTTTAATGATAGTAATGCCGCGGTCATCGGTTCGAGCCCGATAGTGACCATTTGTTTTTGTGGATGGCGGAAATTCTTTTTGGATCCTCTGATGGGCGGTCTCGGGCCGGGAGGTGCCGAGGGCGAGAAAGCACGGTGCTGGTGCATGATATAGGCTGACTGGGCTGGCTCCAGGGCCAAGGAGCGGCTGGGCGGAGACCATGCTTGTTCTTTTGGACCCCTGGCTATGCCTTGGGTTTCCCCGTTGAGGTTGTCAGGTTGGTTCCGGGGAGGAATGAGTATCTGTGACGTCATGCTCTGGCCCGCCTTTCCCGAGCTCCCAACGTACGTTCAACGTTCTACTCCCCTCCTCGTGGTGTCTTCGCTTGGAAGTGCTTAAGGCATACTGCGCTCTCAGCGATACTCGACCGGTGTGACCTACACAACCTACATCATGATTTCATTTCAGCGTCACCTGCAGTACTTCAGCAGCTCGACAACCAGCCAGCAGATCACCATCCTCTCGGCATTACGGGCAGGCTTGCAGCTCGGTCTCGACTTTCCAGTCGCGCTGTTCCTCTCCATCGGCATTCGCGTCCTATACGGCAGGACACTCATCTCACCGGTCGTCATCTCCTCCATTCCCCCGCACAGTCATCGCACCCAGCTCGACACCGTACCCCTGGACGAGAAGAAACGGTCGTACTCGGCGCGCGACATCCTGGCGCTCTACGCTCAAGACCCGAAGGCAGATCGCGGTCTGATCACCTCCGTCTTGGATCGGGCTCATATACTGTCCTTCTGGGCTATCGCCGCTCGGCCGGACCATATGGTGGATGCGGCAGATCTAAAGCGGTTCAGACAAGGGGGCTGGGAGACGGATGTGGTGGAGCGCAGAAGGGGGCGAGGGGATGTTTTGCCGCTCTGGAGGGGAGGACCGATCATTGTTCGGGCGCATAGCTGGTTTGTGCGAAGGCTGTTTGGCGTGCGAGTGTACGAGCGGAGTTGTAGTGAGTTTTGTACGGATGAGAGAGCGTGAATAAGCTAGCTGACGATGCAGGTTGGCTTGGTTTATAGTAGACATCGTCACAATTCGTGAATGGATGACCGAGACACATGATAGTCTCGGTGCAAATGGCGGCTAATGAACGATACCACGTCAAATACTGACCCTCCCACTCACCTGAGTACCCCCAGAACCCGCGTTCGCTCAGCAAGGCCTGGGCATCGATCCACTTCATTCTGCTCATGTTACTGGCCGCTATATGACAGCCTTACCCAAGGGCTAGCTGATCAACAGCAGCCGGATCATATCTCCGAAGAACCTTGGTGGCTGTGAGCTGGCCAGTCTCGTGTGTACATTTCCCTGCTTGGATAGGGTCAGGCGGGCGAGAGAATCATGCTCATGGTGAGTTGGCTACACTCAGTGAGTACTGTGCCTCGGTATCTCAGGACGTATGTACTATCCCTCCATCACGCTCCAGCTTGTTGCCCCATCCTCCTGACCTCATAACATACCCACCGTATCCATCCCGTTGACCTCGACTGGACGGACTAGGTTGTTGGAGGCGGAGGCGGAGTGAATGGGAAGGGGATAGAGGCGAACATTTACACGGTCTGCTCTGGCATGCTGGTCTCGCTGAGGACAAATGTGGATGCTGAGCTGACGTCGCGCAGACATCCCGCAATACTGCCATCTCCACCTCACCCCCTTTCGTCCACCTCAAGTACCCATTTCCTTTCGCTCTTTCGGTGATATTCTTCTCTACTGCAGTCTATATCTCAGATATCTACGTCATCTATCGTTCATCCTCTACAGCGGCGAGCTGGACCGGTTCGGATAGACACTGCTGGAATTCGATGACCGAGAGCTGGCTGTAGATAAGCAGGCGCTTGTGCGGGATGTATGATCTACCCCTGAGCATATGCTACTCGTTGAGGCCGTGTCAGACTAGCCTTCTCCTCCGAAGATGCCAGACTACATGGGGCATCACTGCAGACCGAAGCGCAGGCGAAGGAGAACCTCTGCCGCCACTCTTTCGCGCACGGATCTGCCTCCCTCACCGTCAGATCCACGTTCAGCTCACCTCCGCACTTTCGTCCCATTTGTCCTTCATACTTCAACCTCATACTATACACCCTTGTTATAGACGATCAGCTACGCAGATCAGCCCGCATACTTGCTCGCCACGGCAATCTGGATCGCTCCAAAATGCCAGCCCTCGGTGACTCAGCCTCCTCTCTTTCGTCTAGCGGCCTTAGCGTCGTATGGGTCACTCCCGAGCTCAGATACCTCGTCCTCGCGCTGCTGGACAAAGCCACACTGGCGACGCTCTTGCGTGTCGAGAAGGGAGCGACGGCTGCGGTAGCCAGTCTGCTATACAAGGAGGTGACGGAGGAGCAGGCAGGGAGGATGGACAGAGACAGTGTGAGCCCCCTTCAGCTCCCTAATCACACCTAGAAAATGGCCGGCTCTCAGGCTGGACGGCCAGAGGACGCGGTCTCATATTGAACTCGTGACCAAGTAGAAGAAGAACACGCTGACCAAGCAGGATCGTCGAGCCGCCTGCTGCGATGCGGTTCAGATCATCAATCGCAACCCCCCTTCCCTTGACCCTCTCGCCGAGGACGACGAGGACGACACCCACGTCCCAGTCAGATTCAGCGCCATCAACCTCTCTAGCGATCTTGCCGCCTGGCGAACTACCTTCCCCAATCTCCGCACCGTCCTCGCCGATCGTCCGTCGCACGAAGCAGATGACGTCTATACCGTCCACTGCGAGGGGGACAAAACTCGGCTCGAGCTCGAGACCCGCGTCGGGCTCGACATCTACACCCACCCAGATCCTCTCGCCATCCCACCTGCACTGCCGTCGGTACCGGTTCTGGCGGGTGTAGAGGTGCATCACGTCATCTCTCTCAAGTTGGAGGATGGCGGCGAGGAGGAGTTATGGGGGAGCACGGAGCGGGATGAGGCTCTCAACAAATGGAAAGAGTGGCTGTATCGGAAGCCGCTCGATCCCCGAGTGGTCAACGTCGACCATTACTCGGTCGCCAACATGCCCTTCACCTACCGTGACGCGGCTACCTTCATCGCCAATCGGGCGGCGGCCGGTCACGAGCCCCTCCGGAGCGTACACGTACCCTCCGACCTGCCATACCGGGACCCTGAGTATAGCGTCTTCATGATCGACCGTATGTCTCCTCACATACGGAAACTATACATCACCCTCCCTCTATTCAACGAGCTCCTCGAACGCGCGGCAATCCCTCTTTTCATCCTCACCGCCCTCCTCGCAAATCTCGAATATCTCGACCTTGTCGACTTTTTCTACCACGACTTCCCATTCGTCACTTCCATCCCCCTCATCGGCTTTCCAAAACTCCGTGAGCTTCGGCTTTACTGCGTCCCCGACGGCCTGTCTTGGGAAGCGCTGGCAGCCTACGTTTGCCAGCTCGGCTCAGAAGACTGCATCTACAGGTTGATGGATGAGAATTTGAAGGAGATAGGGGGGAAAGAGTTCCAGGAGCTGGCAACGCTGGCCAAGCTGTAAGCGATAGCGAATAGCAACGGCTGACTTTGGGAACCCGCCAACTATTCCCGAGCAATACCGCGTCATGATGGAGGAAATTCAGGCGCTGAAGGCTGGTCTTGGCTCGGGGGACTCGGAGGATTGAGTAGATGCCGGGACAGTCATGCTTGGGGAGGTTTTTTAGATGGTCCATGGAGTAGATGGACACAATCAACCATGCGCAGCAGAGATGAGGATTCGAAGGCAGATACTGAGGCTGATGCAGGAGCTGGTGGGGAGCTGTTCCGTCGGAAGCGTCTACAGAAACAGCACCTTCGCTTTGACCTTTCGCATCTCTTCTCCTCCTCTCCACACTTCTCCCTACATACGCGATTACCTCACCATGACGTTCGCACGCAGCAAGAAGCCCGCTCGCCGCACCCTCACCGCTGATGTGTGGGAGCTCATACTTCCCTATCTGCGAAGACCGCCCGTCGAACCACAATCCTCTCCGGAACGTTTGAGGATCTACCAAGGGCCGTTGGTCAGGATGTGCTTCGTTTGCCGCGTATATCCATCTGGACTTGCGTTTGATGAGTAACGAATGGGTAGCTGATGCTTGAAGCTCTTCCGCTCTATCTGCGAACGACTCCTCTACGCCCACATCACCACTGACTGGCTCGACAAGCTCCTCGAGAACGCCGACCAACCTTGGCGCCAGCGCCTCTTTCAGCACACCCGCTCCCTTCGCATCGAATACGGTGACAGAGACAGGGAGTCGTACCGTCTCATCATGGCCCGGGGAGCAGAGTTCTGGGACTACTGGGGTCAAACGGCGGATGAGGCAGAGTTGACAGAGATGAAAGAGTGCAGGGCGGAGATGGAGAATTTGACGGAGGCGTTGACAAAGGCGAACAAGGTCGGGACCCAGAAGCTCTTCCCCCGCCTGGAGACTATCGCCGTCTCTAGCGTGTACGGGAAAGGAACCGACGTCTGGCAGCGGTACGAGGACTTTCTCGACGAGCTCGAACTACGGACCAACATCGAGCGGTGCTGCGAGCAATTCACCACGTTCTGCACCAGCGGTAACGTCCGTCACATCTGCCTCGAGCAGATGGTCAGTTCCCTCTACGTCTACTGGCGTAATGTCTCCTTCCCTATCGACCATACCATGTCGACCACGGAACACTCGGTCAACGTCGATACCTACTTCTCCCTCTGGCCCGGGCTGCCCCTGCGCTGGGTCTGCACCATGCCTCCCACCTCCGACTTCGTCGCCGGTATACGCTTGGTCACCAAGGCGCTGGAGTATATCCTCAGGCATCGCGACCTTGCTCCTCCATCCCAGTGTCGCGGCAAGCCCCCCGTAACTCTCGACATCTACTACTCCACCCCCACCGTTCCGCGCACCTCGTCGAAGAAACTCGGGCCCAAACTCTACGACTTTGGCGTACTCGGTCGTATCACCTTCCCGCCCAACTCACCACGCCGGTCGTTGACGCTCGAGGAGCAGCGGACGATCACGGCCGAGCTCGGAGCGAATGCGCAAACCCTCTTTCGGTCGAGCAAAAACGGTCATCCCGCGGATCAAATTCGGTGGTACCCATCTGGCGATGCTCCTCTCTGCGACGCCTGCGGTATCGATTCCTGGAGCCGGCAAGATCAGGTGGAATGGTGGGGAGAAGGGACGGTATAGGGAGATGACGGGCGGGAAGGATCAGTGAGGGAGTGCGTGGCGGCATGAAGGGGAGGGGAGTCAGTATTCTCGGCGGGTCAGAAGGGAAGTGGGGCTGAAGAAGGGTGGGATTGGGAGCTGGGGAGCGGCGGAGACGGCTGGCGAGGATTGAGGGCGACACAATAGATGCGCTTAGGAAGGCGCCGGCGGGGTAGGGACATGACACTTACGTACTATTGACTATGCAGATCCATATCATGACACCGTACTCATAGACGTGGTCTGGCTGGTCACCAGCTCCAGAAGCGTATGTGCTCCATCATACATCTGCTCGAGTGATCTGACCAATGCCGACCATAATTGCTTTCCGCCGCGCCAACGCGCCGGTCTTCCTCACTCTGCTGATCTACCTATTCGCTTACCTCACATTCGTAATCACTACTGCTTTAACTTGTGGACTGGGGCGGCTGAGGTACCCATTCCTTTCACGTATGTCCCCCATCACGAAAAAGGGAGTATGAGCAAGTCAGGTCATCCAGAGCTCGGTATTGAGTTTGCGCAGTTGACTGCTGTGGCTGCATTCCTTCCTTTCACGCATGTACCGTCTACTGGACAAGGGAGGACATCCAACAGTGTTGCTTTGACATGCTGACTTGGGTGACTGTGCCCCTTCCTTTCACGGACATCCCGCGAATTCTGTACAGAGGATGTCAGCTATCTGTCCGACAGATATATTATGGCGCGCTGCTGAAGTCGCTCTCACACACTTACCAGGCCTCGATCTACAATGTCCGTTTCAAACTGCAAAGAGGTCCTCGGCGACGAGTTCGAGGGGCGCCTGCTCGATCTCATGCGTCGCTGGAAAGTACCTGGGTGCGCCATCGCCTTGGTACCGGCCGCCGAGCAGCCCATCATCAAAACATACCATCTGGAGGGTATATGCGAGCCCATCACGAATCAGGTGAGTCTGACACATTTCAAGCTGATTGGCAGAGTTGCTTCCCTGTGGCTTCTTGTACCAAGCTGGTCACTAATCTCGCTCTCATCAAAGCCCTCGAGACTGCCGGATACGACCATCCCCTCGATGTGCGCATCAAGGACATCCTGCCCGAATTCCAGCTATCCGAGCCCACCGCTACAGAAGAGTGCCTTGTGGGGGACATCATTGGCCACCGCTGCAGTATCCCGGCTTTCGACTTTCAGTCGATCAGACCGTTCGAAGAAGGCGTGGATTGTGTGAGCTGACCCTCGTCGGTAGAGTACTGCTTGGCTGGAATACGCTGATGACCATAGCTGAGCTTGGTGAAAGACATGCCCCTATCGCATCCCTTCCGGGAAGACACAAACAGCTACAGTAGCGCCATGCACCAACTGACTCTCCCACTCATCGAGCAGCTGACGGGTAACACGTTCCGTGCATACGTCAAGGAGGCGATACTCGACCCTCTAGGTATGTCCGCCACCTGCCACTCTGCGACCGAGGCGGGGTCCAGCCTGGCCCTCGGATACCAAGTGCGGTATGATGCTAAAGGCATGCAAGAGAAGATGATGACGTTGAGGCATCCATATGATGCTCTGGGAGCGGTGTCTGGCCTGGCAAGTCTTCGGATGATGACCTCCATTGAAGATTTGGTAAGTATCGACCTGCCGAGTGATTACTGATTGTAGTCGAAACTACTCACGCACCTGCCTACGGTTCCCTTGTTTGCCGAGATGTCAATCCCGCATCAAGACCCGTCCACTTGGGTCGAGGAAGCGGAAATGTGCGCGCCCGGCACCCTGGCGATCCTCCTCGATGGTCATCTCATGTCGGGGTACACTGGCGCATGTCCTGGCTTCAGGTCACACGTTGTCCACGTGCCTTCTCTGGGTGTCGGGATCGGCGTGTTGACCAACTCCACCGAGGGGCTGTACCTCATCCGCTGGATAGAGGCGTGGGTCGTGGGGGCATTGACAGGGAAGAGGGAGCAGCTATGCGAGAAAGTCATCAATCAGTAGGTCTTTCTGCGCTCAATATGGATTAGTAGTACTGATAAGCAGAATCGAGAAGGATCGAGCAGCTTTCCATCAGACCGTCATGACCCAGTGTCCAGCTCTACGCGGAAGTGGCGACGAGAAGCTCATCGGCAATTTCTACTCGCCCACTTTCGGCTCCCTCACCTTCACCGACGACTGCACTGTCGACACGAGACCGTTTGGCAACATGATGAACATGCCGTGGCTGCCCCACCTATACGGAGACGTCCGACCGCTTATCACCAGTATGGGAGGTGGGAGATTTGAGGGATGCCTGGAGTGGACGGCGGGAGCGGAGCAGGAGCAGTGTTGGGGAAGGCAGTATGGGTATCCCTTCAGACTTGAGGTGGTCAGTGTCGATTCTGAGGAGGAGGAGATCAGAGTGTGGGGTATGGCGTGGTTAGAGTCAGGAAGTGAAGAGGGACCGCCTGCTGTATATCGTCGCGTATGAGAGAGTGAGTATGTAAAGATTCGCCAGACCCGATACATACCTTCCGTAGTCCACATACCGATACTCTTCCACCCTAAGTACCTTCCAGAGCGAGTGAATATGTAATGTCGCCAAGCCAGATCCCCGCAAACTCTTCCCTAGTCCATGTACCGATACTCTTCCGCCCTATGCCCCTTCTCAAGCAGAAGCGTCGGCACGTCTTTGCTTCCCCACCCCCTCGGCTTCCCCTGCCTCTCGTTCCGCCCACTGTTCTCCTTCCGCATGTAGCTGCCAAAGAGCAATACACCCACCGCTGTCGCTCCGCCAATCACAGCCGTAGTGATCGTGGCGGTCGGGTAGCCCCTCTCCTCTTCCCGCGCCATGTAGATGTTGCCCGTCAACAGGCCCGCCGAGTTACCGACCGCCACCATGACTGCGGCGAGGACGATGCGGTGCGTTTGCGAGATGGTGTTGTTCGAGTACCAGACAGTGAAGAGGGGCGACGGGCAGGTAGCGCCTGCGCAGATGAGAAAGGTGGAGAAGTAGCCTGCAGCTCGGGCGGAGGTAGGGAGCGCGGAGAGGAGGATGAAGCCGATCGAGGTCACGGCGAGGGGAAGAGTGAGGTGGTAGGACCGCTCGCGAAAGTGGTTCGAGCTGAGGGAGAGGAGGATGGAGCAGACCACGTTGAGGAAGAAGGGGCCAGCTGTGAGGAGGTTGGTCGTCAGGGTTCCATAGCCGAGGCGACGAGTGAGTTGGGGAATGAAGTTGAGCGCAGATGCGAGAGGAACGCCGCAGCCGAATGAGAGAACGGCCCATACGAGGTATCGCCAGTCCTGGATGAAGGGAAGGTATGCATCCTGCTGTCAGCTGACGGACCATACTTGACTCACCTTCCAGGCGATCACCTCCTCCACGTCGTGTGTCCCATCCATTAGAAGCATGGCGCGCAGCATGTCCTTCTCGCCCTGCGACAGGAATCGCCAAGTATAGGGCGTGGCTGGGAGATAGATATAGGCAAACATAGCGAAAGCGGTACACGCCGATCCTTCGATGAGCTGAGTATTAGCTCAATCCCATACTGGAGCTGGGAGCGACTTACAAACAAGATTTGCCACCCCTTCAGTGAGCTGCTCTGAATGCTGAACACTCCCCAGCTCAGGACTCCCGCCACACAACCGGCGATCGGCAGAGCCGAGTACCAGATACCCAACCGCTTCGATAGGTCTCCCCGGGCGTAGAATTCCGAGAGGTACGAGATGATCAGCGGCATGAGCGGTCCGCCGGCCAGATTGAGAAGCAAGCGGATTGTGAGAAGGCCGGCGAACGAGTGGGCGTAGGCAGTACAGATTCCGAGGATGCCAGAGATGAGCATGACGAGCGAGGCAAGCTGGGGCGCGGGAAGGTAGCGAGTCACTGGGCAGTCAGCTTGGGCATGAGAGAGTAAGGGTGAACATACACATAGCCAAAGGAGCTCCAGAGAGGCATAGCGGAATGTATCCCAGCATGATGACCAGATCTGTTCGATCAGCTGATACACCCCTGAACTGCTCAACTCCGGTGCAAGACCAATCTGATAAGTGGCCACTTACAGTACTGATTGCCCACAAGACCCAGATCCACATCGATACCGACAGTTTTGGCGTTCGCGAGACTCATGCTAATGGATGAGCCAACGCCTACCTGCCTATCTCACGCAGGCAGACCCACCTCTCGAGACCGATGAAGAAGAATAGACCGGTCAGAACTGGAAGTATCGTGAGGTCAAGCTTCAGTAAGAGTCTGGTGATCAGCATGATCCTCGAATAGGACAAGTACTCATCAACTCACTTTCTTTCGAGTGCCGGATCGATGCGTCTCGCGGGGACTGCGACGTCGTCATCGCCAGTGACCACGGCGGGCTTGTCCTGGGCATCTTCGTCCTGGCCTCTGATCATCATCTGCAGTATGTAGGTAGAGTGAGGAGAGACGAATAGGAGGACCATCCATGCAGCAATGGGGATAAGAAAACCAAAAGCCTGCCTTTGAGCGGTAAAGCCGGTCAGATCGGACTTGTGAGCAAGGAGCGGTAAAGATCAGCTTTACAAAGGTCATCACGATGCTCTCCGGCTCTTTCCTCCTTCTCGTGGTGGCAGCAAGTCAAGTCACTCGGTCCTAAGCTAGCTCCCGTCAGTCCATGCCAATCAATCTCGGATGTCTGACTCGTCTGATCATTCGCGTCGAGCGTCTCGCCCGGCTCGATCGATTTCTTTCGAGCTGGCTGGCTGGCTTCTCCAGACCAAGCCTGTCATAACCTTGTCGAGCCAATCCTCCGGGGCTTATGTTACAGCATGGGCTCTGATGTGGACGATCTAGAGGGCGAGGACGGCAAAGCTGAAAGCGACTTGGTGAATAGAGGGGGGACCGGATAAAAGCGGCTAACTCCCCACTTTACCCCACCTCGTTTCTCCGGCCGCTGATAGCGTTTGCTTCTTTTCCTTCAACTTTGCTAGTTACTACAGTAGACACTCATTCCCTCATCATTTACCAGACCTTGTCATAACTTAAGCACCGAAGGTTCTCATCCACCATGTCCCCCGCAAACCCGCCTACACCGCTCTCACTTCTGCCCCTCCCCTCGCAAGAAGCGCTCCGGTCCGCCTATGTCGGACAGCCCCTATCGGCTCTCCGTACCCCGGCTATCATAGTTGACAGGAAACGCTTCATCGATAACTCTGAGCGAGTGACAAGAGAGGCGGAGCGAAGGGGAATGAAGTTCAGGGCGCATGTGAAGAGTAGGTCTTGCTTCTCTATGCAAGGATAATGGCTGATACTGCAGCGCACAAGACAATCAATGGTGTCCGCCTCCAGGCCAAAGCGTCCAAGGGAGTCACTGCATTCATCGCCTCAACATTGCCTGAAGTGTACTACCTTGCTCATTCCGGCATGGTTGAGGAAGGGCTTATCAGCGATGTGAGTTAACTGGTCCTCGTCCGAATTCTGCTCCGTCCGCGTCATGACTGACGTGTAGATCCTCTACTCGCTCCCTATATCCTCCGACAAACTAGACGAGCTGTCAGATATTCAGAGGCATTGTGCCGATAAGGCAGTAATTCGAGTTATGGTGGACCACCCAGACCAAATCCGGCTGTTGGATGCGTATGCTGGGAATACGGCGCGTGGAGGAAAGCCTTGGAGCTGCTTCATTAAGGTCAACGGAGGGGGCAAGTGAGTGTCAGCTATTTGGTGCTGGGAGTATCGCGCGCACAGCTGATCCAATAGTCGCTCGGGCGTCCCAGCCGAGTCTGAGCAGATGAAGACGCTCATAAAAGCCGCTATGGCCGCTGAGAACGTAGAGATCTTTGGGTTCTACTCGCGTAAGTCTCAGCTGTCTTGACTGCGAGCCAGCGTGTTATCACAAAGCTGACATCATAGACTTTGGCCAGTCATACGCGTCCAAAACACTCTCTACCGCTACCGACTTCTATCACGCCGAGGTCAATTGCGTCAATACCGCGGCAAAGGTTGCTCGGCAGCTTGGAGCAAAGGGGGACTGGATGTTGAGTGTTGGCGCTACACCTACCGCTCATGCTGCTACTACCATCGACGAGCAATCTTTGACGCTGGAGGGCGAGCTCGAGCTGTAAACCATTGCCTTTAACCCTCAGCTAGCGGGAGACCTAAGCTGACTCATAGGCACGCCGGCTGCTACTGCTTGAACGACCTTCAACAACTCGCTACCGGTCTCATCCCGCCCACAGCTTGCGCCCTCACCGTCCTCGCTCGTGTCGTCTCTACCTACCCCGAACGCGGCGATCGCGGGGAGGCCATGTCCGACTGCGGCGCGCTGGCCGTCTCGAAGGATACGGGGCCTGTGCCGGGGTATGGGCGCGTCATGTGGCCGGAGCACCTCGCTGGCTGGGATCTGGGTCGAGTGAGCCAGGAGCACGGCACATTGGTCAAGCGGGACGGGGATGCCGACGTTGCAGTAGGTGATCTGGTGCGAATCCTGCCGCAGCATGCGTGCTTGGTATGCGCGGCGCACCCCTGGCTGTACGTGGTGGAGGATGGCGGGGAGACAGTGGTGGATGTTTGGGTGACATGGAAGGGGTGGTAGCTGCCTCTCGAGATGAAACCAAAGAACCGGAATGCATTCTCTATTATACTTTGCCCAGCGGGAGATCCGCACTATACTTTTGAAACCCTGGCACTCCTTCCAACCCGAGCCCAAACCCAGCCAAAGACCCTAGTAGCCGCGAGTGGGCAATCCCTCCTTGGTGACCTGGACGAGCTTCTTCAAGCACCCCATGACCCGCTCCTCGTTCGCCTTGGGGGCGAGGTACTTGCCCCTGCGCTCGAGGAGGATACGGACGTCCGAGGGGTAGTCCGAGATGATACCGTCGACACCGAGGGCGAGGAGGTACTCGATGTTGTTCTTGCGGCTGGGATGTAAGTCGGGCTCTTATGGTATGGAGCATGCAGGACTTCAGGGCGGAGGATGTATAGGGGGGAAGACTATGACTTACTCGACGGTCCAGGGGACAACCTCCATACCGAGCGAGTGGGCAGTGTCGACCATAGACTGGTTAACGAACGGGATGTAGCCGGGGAGGGAGACGTCCTGGACGACCGATGCGTACTGTGAGGTCAGCAGTGATTCAGCAGAAATGCTAGGGAGACGACATACCGCAGCGCTGCCAACAGGAGACAAGATATCCGCCTTGATGCTCTTGGCGGCCCTTGCGACGCGCTCGCCGACAGTCGCGCCCTGGAGCGAGTCGATGTCAATGCCGGCGAGCCAGTTGGAGGGGCCGGTACCGTGCACGGTAAGGTTGCCGGTGGTGGTAGCGGTGGGGTTGCGGTAGACTAGGCGTCAGCGTGGCCCGGCAGAGACAAGCGTAACGGCGGAGCGCAAGATCAGCATCTAGGTCAGGAGGTAGAATGTGAGCTTACGGGTGGTATCGTCGCAGAGAGCAGCAGTTCGGAGGGTAGGGTACTGCGCCTTGGACAAGACAAGAGCGCGCCACTGTGGAGTCAGCCGAGTCCTTGCCTAGGGTCTACCGCAGAACTCACATCGAAAGACTGGTGGGTGATCCGGTCAACCACATCCGCGCCTCGCCCAACAAACACCTTGCCCATCGCAGCGACGAAGTCGGCGGGACTGCGGGTCTGGTTGGTCACGTCGGGGTTGATCTTGGACTCGATATTGAAAAGGACGGGATCGGACGTTGCGCACTGGACAAAGTCGAACATCTCGTCCAGGGTGGAGAGCTTTGTTCCGGGGTAGACCTCTGCAAAGTCAGCGGAAGGTCAAGAGCAAGGTGGATTCAGTGAGACAAGGGGGCGAACATACCGGCACGAGGGAACCCGTCGATCCGAAGCGATCCACAGTCGAGGGTCTTGATCTGCGCCAAAGTGAGGTTGGCCACGTTCTTGCCGACGTAGGGGTACATGGTATCGTTGGCGAAGGCCGGAGCGGAATCCTTGCACTTGGTCTTGTCGATGACCTCGTCGTGCCAGACGATGGGGACACCGTCCTTGGTGAGACCGACTAGGAGATCAGCTCGATCCCGATCGGTAGACTCACCATCCATCTCCAAAGTAGTCACGCCAGCCAGCAAGCCCCAGGCGAAGGCAGGGAGAGTACTCTCCACTGCCTCACCACGCCCACCCCGATGGCCCTGGAGGTCAAAGTACTTTTCGTACGCCCATCGCTGCTTGATCGGCGAAGCGGATGCCTGGAGAGCGAGGATGGCGGCGGCGGAGAAGACGGTGGTGAGCATACTGGCGGAGGACGAGGGGTTGAGGAGAAGAAGGAGCAGGAGGCTGAGGTATAAGTTCCGGACCAAGAAGCAAGACGAGAGAACGTGCCTGCGGACCAAGTCGAAACGTTCTTATCTTATCGGGATCTTTGCCGGCGAACGTGTACGTGTCCCCCACGAGACTCCCCACCCTGACCCTCTGCCCTCCTCCCGCCCCGCGCGGAATGGACGCCACAGAGTCATGCCAAGCCAAAATGCTGCGGGGAGAGGCTAAATGGAGCTTCAGAGCATGCTGTGGTATGCGGGAAGAGTGAAGGGCAAAAGACAATGGCGGGACGCGCGAGCGGGAAGGCTAGCACGTTTCTGATTGTCCTTCCATATAACTGCTTCTGTACCACTGTTCGGACCCCAAACTCATAGGATCAAGTAAGACCATACCATAGCTGACAGCCCATGTCCGCCTATGCTCGAGATCACAATACTGACCTACTCCTGATGCAGTCACTGCCCAAGCTACACTAAAATCTTCCCCGGTCGGCCGTTCACCGAGCAAACCTGGCCTGCATGAGCAAAGTTGTGGCACCAAGGTCCAGCTTCAGACCAGCCAATACCACCACCTCCTCCACCAGTCACGAGCATACGCCTCCTTGACAGCCCATCGGCCATCGCCCAGTCCCTGACCGCCGAGCAATAGCATTCCATTCCGACCGCCTCTATTTCCAGCGTACTCCCTCCACAGTCTGACATCAACACCTTCCGCATGTACAACTCACTCGTCGAGTCCGACTCTGCATCGGAGCAGATTAATCCCCCCTTGCATCACCAGCGTCGAAGAAGCAAGCCAGCATCAGGTCGGTGAGAGTACGATCCTTGACATCCTGTTGTGGAAGAACGCGTATGAACGTCAGCTGAGTATGGCACACTTGGAGTGGGCCGAGTATATCTGCCCAAGACTCACCGAGCAAGTAGCTTCTTCACACCTGACCTGACTTCTTGTCCGCTCACGAGAAGCTCGAGGAGAGCCTGCTCGATTTGGCCTCTTACAGGTTCGGCTCCAAAATCTACATTCAGCCGAGAACATTTGCTCTACCAGCCGCGCCTGACTGTCTGCGAAGAGGGAGAAGTTAGCGGACTGTCTTCAGACTTCATACCAGCATCAGTACGCGGTATAGTCAGCGGCTTCTACATAGCGAGCAAATTTCCGGAAGAGTTAGATCCAAGATTAGATCTCGCGGCTCCCGCGGTCGTCCCCCCGAATGCCTCACATGAAATGTGTGAGCACAGTGCTGATGTGACCCGGTTTGCGAGCACACCGTCTGTCCTGCTATGATCTAAAGGCACTGTGCGTCCTCTGATTGATGATGAAAGTAGAAAGGGGCGAGACTCGCGCCCGCCGCCGCCGCCGCCAAGCGAGCCACTCGAGCCACCACGTGGCGCCGGCTAAACGATTTACCGGTTGCGCCACGCTGCTGCCTGCTGCTGCAGCGGAGCGGATCTCTAGCTCAGCGCTCAGCCATACAACTGTCCACACTGTCGCATATTATCACTTCCACTTTAGACAGAATGTCCCCTCGCAAAACCCTAGCCAACCCCTCCTACACCCCCATACCTCACCCTGCAACTCCATACAAAACCTTCGAGTGAGCCATCCCCCTCGACCTGTCCGGTTCTCCCCGCTGATCACCTAGCTCCTTCTACCCCTTCTACCTCGGCGAACACTCTTCCCGGATCAACCGCCTCTTCCACTTGACCGGCTCCTCCATCGCGCTCACCATTTACGCGCGCGTCCTCCTCTCTCTTGTACCTCGCATACTGGATGTCGTATCCAAGGACAAGGCGCTAGTCGCAAGGTTGGGCTTACGGTGGGGATTGACCGGGAAACAGATGGGCAAGTGGCTAGCGACAGCTCTGGTCCAAGGGTATGCGTGTGCGTGGGTGGGGCACTTCTTTGTGGAGAAGAATCGGCCGGCTACGTTCAAGGTGAGTCCAGGCTCGGAGGAGAGTGGGGCAGAGTGGGGGAGTAGTTCCGAGAAAAGCTGACAAGTAGTATCCGCTGTATTCGCTCCGAGGGGACTTTCGGATGCTGTGGGAGGTACTCACCCTCCAGCGGAGCGCGTGACGGCCGGGAGGATGAGGGCAGTGTATCTAGCGGGATGTGGGCGGGGAGCGGAGGGAGTTGTACAGCTATGAAAGTGATACGGACAATCAGACTGCTCATCTTCATACTCGGTCTCGCTAGACAGCAGCCTTGCTGTACATACTCTCAAGCTCTTTCTGTCCACATATGGCTCCCGAAGGCTCCCGACACCCAGTACACACACCCATAGCACTGCCACATGCCGTCAGCCCAGATCCACCTCCACCTTGACCCTCCGGATCTATACCTGAGCCGGCTGGGGGCCCACACCGGCATCCTGAGCCGTGCCCTAGCCTATAGATCCATCCTATCCGGCTCGCTCCCTGGCACGTCTAACAAGCGCGTACTGTACATCCCCAAAGCTGACACGCCCACGGGAGCTCTCTCTGACAGTCTGTCGTCACGCACCAAAAGTGTCACAGACCTTCCCCCCCTCCATCTTGACGCGTAACGTCCGACCTAGACGACGACCTCTCTCCCAGACGCTCCAACGACGACCATGTACCCCTCCCGCGGGCCCTCCGGCGACCCGTACTTCCCCCTCCTCATACACTCCACCCTCTTCCGCACCCTCGGCGCTCGACGGGCCCACGACCTCCTCTCGTCCCTTCCTCGGGCGTAACACTCGGCCGGGACCGCTGGTCTTCCCTCCTCGCCCACCAGAGTCAAAGCGAGGCCCAGCGCTTTGCCCAAGCTGAACGGGACACGGACGCGTTGAAGCATGCGGCCGGAGCGGTCGGGTGGCACTTGCGCGTGTCGGCGGTTGAGGCGCGGATGGGGATCTATGAGCTGGCTGTTTCGGGAGATTGGGCGCGAGATGGACCTCAGGGGCCACAGGTGCTGGTGCAGGAGAGGCCGAGGCCGGGGTTGGAGATGTCCTAGGGGCAGCACGTATATCCTCAGGAGGACCAGCGGGAGTTCCAGGACCGACGGGAGTATGAGCACCAGCGGGTATTTTAAGACCGGCGGGAGGTTCAGTATCAGTACCACGGCAGCTACGTACCTCAGTACGGGGACGGATCCGAGAAGGAGAAACAGGGGACGACCGTACGTGTCGTTGAGTCCTCGTCGGACGCCGGGATGGGCATGGAGATCGACCAAGACCTTCTCGGGTTCCAAGCGGGGAATGGGGAGGTCGTGCAAGCTTCGAGACAGGTGGTGGATCTTCTACAGCGGATGGGGCCGGCTTCGCCTCAGAGCCAGCGACAGCGGCAGAACCAGGGCCAGCCTCGGCCAGGATTCGGAGGGAGGGGAAAACAGGGGAGGAAGGGGATGCGCGGTATGAGCGTGGGCGGGGAAGGAAGCGGAACAGTTTCGGCTCGGCCTCGAGCGGCAGCGCCAGCATCAAGGGTCAGGGCAAGGGCAAGGGCAAGGGCTGGAAGGGGGATAGTTGGGTTGCGAAAGTGGGCAGGGCGGGCGGGGTGGCTATGGCTGCGATGAAGGCTGGGGCTAGGGGGAGGGGTGGGAAGGGCGGACGACGGTGAGTTGATCTTCGTCTCTCGAGTCGGCACGAGTAGGAGCTCGAGCTCATAAGTCAGTGTCGTCTAGCGCGCGACTAAGAAGTAAGAACCAGTAACGACAGCGGGACGAAGTGAAACATTGAAGCAACTTGGCAGGTAAGTCTTCCTATGCGTTGCCAATATGAGCTGAGGTCAGTGCTATGGGCTGATCGTGAAGACCGGAAGTGAAATCATTTGGAGTATGGGCTGTTCTGGTATGTATGATCTGCAGTCTTTGAAGGGTGGCTCAGGCTAGAGACCGCTCGGCTCAAGGGTCGAGGTATGAGGACGCGGCGCGCCAGCGGAGATCTGAAACCTTGCTTAGGATCGACGGCTCTCACTCTGCTGATATAAGCGACTTTCCCAGTCCTTCCTCTACGGGCCGTTCACTGCGATCTCGCCTACAGAAGCCCATGCCCATGCTCTGCTACAGTCTGAAGACGGCAGGTCGGCTGTATAACAGGAAGAGCCGAGAACGCGTCGGGATGACGTCAGCTGATCCGCCCGTACCTTACGCGCTGACCACCTGAAACACACAACCAGATCTCACTTTCTTTCCTCATCCGCCAACCATCTCTCAACTCAACTTAGGCGACACCCACTCCCATCCTCCTTCATCTCCTCTCCCTCTCCGACCCGTCGCGCCTGACCATGGCCTACAACCAGCCCGATCACGCTCTAGCCATCCCTATCGACCCCGCACCTCCTGAGCGGGTGTACGACGCCCTCCTATACCATCTCGGCCCCGCCCACACATACGATCTACTCAGTACCATCTCCCACTTCTCGCCTGCGACCTCCATCTCGACCAAGGCGCTCGGGGACGCGGATAGCCTCGTCAGTCGCTGTTTCGGTATCAAGCATTTCGAGGCGAGGGAGCTACTGCACCATATGGCGGTGGAGGGTGGGTGGAGAGTGGCTGGGACGGGATATGAGCACGCGGGATATATGGTTCAGGGAGTGGGCGCGCAGCAAGAGGAGATGATGATGATTGATCAGGAATTGGTGGAGTTCGTGAGCGAGGATGGAGAGAGGGAGACGGTATCGAGGGCGGTCGCGGATCTGTTGGGCCGGATGGGGCCGCCCCAGACGGATATGGCGGGAGGGGCGCAGGCGGAGAGGAAGAAGAAGAAGAAGACGAAGAGGGGAGGAGGAGGAAAGAAGAAGGGGAGGAAGGGGAAGACGGACCAGTGGGAGTACGCGCGGATGATGGGGAAGGCGGTCGCGGCGTCTCTGTTGGCGAAGGAAAAGACTAGGCGACGTCGGTGAGTGGTCCATGTATGTGATACGGGTTGAGGCTGATCTTGTAGCCGGTGATCGCACGCATACACCTCCCCCTTCTCCTCACACCATACCTTCTTCCCGCTTGGCCTTCCGCACCCGCTCTTTGTGCACATGTCGACGTCTAGTACCCCGCAGTGAGCTCCGACGTCCATTCTATGGATATGATATACATCAGAGCTGAAGCCTACAGTGTCTGTGTATATCGATCCGACTCCGCTCCCCGGCTCTTTTCTTTCCTACATAATCACCTCACATCCCTCTCTCCAAAAGGACTCCGATCCCACGGCCCGCAACCGGAAAGTGTCTACGTTGTCAAGTCAGGACCTCATGCTACGCCTATGTATCTGATATTGACTGCCTTAATCTCCTTCTGACCCTCATATCTGCTTGGTGAGCCCGGCCTCAGCCTTCATGCCAGTCACGCTTCAGCTACACGTGCATGCGTTACAGTCAGCACCCACCGTTACGTCACGCCGTGATCTGAAACTTGGTTCTCAAGGCTGACGCGTTTCAGACTCTGCCATGCTCTCTGCGCCGACTATGTAGAGTGACTGATGGCTATGCATAACTCATCACAGCCTAGCCCGGGACATCATCACCAGGGAACAGATTGGGATGCCTCCGAGGTGGTCGTCAAGATACAGCTAACCCGTCGTCATCAGAGCTGGATAGTTTCAGCTCAGGCACGAGATCGCCCTCCACTACTCAACCCGCACAGACCAGGTGAAACACAACCCCGAAATTCTGCTTAGGTTCCTTCTCATCAACCTTCCTCCTCTTGCCTCTATACTACCTTGCTGCCCTCTTACTCATACTCTGGCGACCTACACCGGGCTAGCTAGCTCGCCAGCATCAGCATAGCATCGACGATCCACGCAGCACTCGTGAGTCAGAAGCGGTCATCAAGGCTGATCGTCAGCCATCATGCACCCCGCACGCGCCGCTCTACTCCGTCCCCAGCTTGCTCCTGCGCTATGGGCTTCCAGCTTCAATCCACTTATTCCCGCCGCACCGCCCACCCCCCCGCCGACCGCTCCGCTCGCACTTCCCCCTTCATCCAACCCACTCCGGGACGAAGTCCACGCAATGCTCCTCTCCGCCCTCGGCCCAGCTCACGCGCACCACCTCCTCTCCATCCTCTTCAACCTCGCCTCTTCCGCCTCCGCCTCAACCTACGCCGTCCCCGCCGCCGACGCTTTCGGCTCCCGCGCCGACCAGGGCAGCTGGAAACGACCCCTCCCGGCGGTTCCTATCGGCCCCGCAGCGTACGTCGAGGCCGCTCGATTCAGGCAGGCCGAGCAAGAAACGAGGGCGCTCGAGGTGATGTCGAAGGTGATTATGGAGATGATAGGGGTACAGTACAAGGTTGCGAGATGGAGAGTGTATGATTTGGCGACGTCGGGAGATTGGAGGAGGGATATACGGGATGGGGACTGGGAGGTGAGGGAGGAGGCGACATTCGGCGGGCAGGGGGTGGAGGAAGGGGAGATGGATGAGGACGATAAGATGGATATAGATGAGGAGCTGGTGGGGCTCGTAGAGGTGGATGATAAGGAGCAGACGAGGCGGTTGTTGGCGAGGATGGGACCTGCACCAGGCAAGCAGCAGGGATCGAGACAAAGGCAGCCTGCGCAGGGAAGGGGCGGGATTGGGATTGGGGGTGCTAGCGCTAGCAGAGGAGGCGGAGGCGGCGGGGGCGGTAGTGGCAGTGGCGGCGGAGGAGGCGGCAGGAAGGCGGGTAAGAGGGAGAGGGCGTTAGCGAGGGAGGCGAGGCAGAGGATGATGGCGAGTCACATCAGGGCGACGGGGACGGAGGGGAAGGAAGGGAAGAAGGGGAAGGGGAGGAATCGACGGTGAGCTTCTGGTTGTGTTTGCTTCTGACCCAAATAAGAACTGACAAGGCAGAATGGTCTGATACGCTTGGTTGGATCGCTTGCAGTGGCCGCTTTTCTCTCTTCCATATTGTACTTTGCGCTTTGAAGTAGTCGACAAGTAGTAGTACCAGTCTCTCATAGTCTCCACGCCACGTAGCATGTTCTCTTTTCCCAAAAGCTGCACCTTGGCACCTATGCATTTCTCTTTGATTCTAGTGTATCTTCTACACTCTGATTCATGACTTTGTCTAGAATATATACGGAGGGGAATCAGGCGGTCCGGTCAGCTCCGATCACTGTCAATTTCAGGCACGCCCCACCGATCGATCTGAAAGGGATGATACATGCCGATCGGCACGCCACGATTCGAGGGGGTCCTTCGGCTACTCCACGTCTCCGCAAGCTCCCCCTCTCTACTCAATGGTCGTCACAGACGCGATCTTATCCTTTGGTATACCACGCAGACACCCCCTCCTTCTCAGCTGGACGGACATGTGAGCCCCGGAACGTCCTGCCCACTACCGAGGAATGAGGAGTTGGCGTTACGTCACCCACCCCAGATCTGAAACTTTGTCGGCGTAGAGGGGTGTTTCAGTTTAGACCTAGCGGTCGAGATGGAAGTTGGGGGGCGTGACGACAGCTCTTACCGCACGGATCGCCGCCCAGCGCAATCTGACAGGCAATAAGCCGCCCCAGATGCATCAGACCTTCTCCATTCCGTACATCTACCTTCCTCACCCTCCCCACTAGCTCTTCCCGCCCACGGCCCATCTCCCCTCTTCGGCCCGTCAAAAGCGGGCATCACCCCTTCCCGAGCCCCTTCTTCACGCCTCTACCAGCATCTCCCTTCCCATCGCTCCGTCACTCACTGAGCACCTCAGCCTCGCCTGCTCCGTCATCCGTCATGAACCCCCTCGAACCCGCTACTTCTCATCACTCGCCTCCCCCTCCTCTCCCTCCCATCAGCCACGCCCACACCGCTGACGCCACCGCCATCGACTCATTCCACTGGCATCTAGCGCGCATGGTCACTGCGCAGGCTATCGAAGACTTCCGCGATCTCGGCCGACACAACGAGCCCACGGCAATCATGTTCATCATGGACGCTGCTGCCGCCGTTGCAGCGCATGAGGTCGGGCGGAGCGTGGTGGACATACGACGATTGAACGAGTTCAACACGTTGGGGAATAGGCGGTTCGGCGGGGACTGGGAGAATGAGTGGGATGAGGTGGAGGATCTCAAGGCGGACAGTAGAGCCAGGAGGGCGAGGGAGGCTTTGGAGATGGAATGGAGTGCAGGCGGTACCGGTCACGTAGAGGAAGCTCCAAATGGCGTGCAGCCGGTATGTCTCTCCGCAGGCCTCACCAGTCGAGAGGGATGGAGACTGACACTGTCTAGAGAGCTGCCGCTATTCCAATCCCGTCGAACCAGCTTCTTCGGCTGGCGCAAGATCAGCATCGGCAGGCGGCGAATCGGGCGCCATGCGGGGTTCTCAACGCCCCCTTATGCTCCGCTTCTCAACCTCGGGGTTGCTCCTCCTCCGCCTCAGGTACCTCGTCACCAGCATCAACCGCTGCCCTCCGCAGCCCGATTCCCGCTCCCACCACGACCAGCACCCGCTCCTGCTGGTAACCCAACCTGCTCATCGAGCAACACCGTCCTCCACCCTCTCGGTCCGGTAGGTGAGGTCGCTGCCATCACACCTGGGGTCTCGCCGTTCTATCAGCCCCGGTCCAATCCCACCGCTTCTCGTCATCCCCAGGTACCCATCACCCCATCTTCTTCCCAGGTCGTCCCCAGCGGTCAACCCAGTCAACAGGCGTCAGGCGGATAGACGGGTATCAAGCAGGAGAGACTGGACGAACAGGAGCTGGAGGATGAGCGCAGGGTGAGGGTCAAGTTGGAGCATGGGCTGGAGGTAGAGATGGCGACAGGTGAGGGGGAGCTGTATGTCCCGGTGCAGGTGAAGCAGGAGAGCATGGATTGAAGGAGTGAGGTATGAGGAAGCAGTCTCAAGCTGGGTCAGCGGGGAGGAATTGAAGGGCCGTCGTAGGAGCGGAAAAGAAAAGACCTGAACCGTAAGCTTCCCTGTACTTTCCCCGTCTGATGGCGATAGGAGCTGATATGACACAGCTCGACCGAGTTACATAGCTCAACAAATCATGCACCAGCGCCGGTCACTTCTGCCCCCACCTTGTATAGTATCGCCCATGGCTTGGAGTCCGGATTCGTCACTCAAGTCCAGTATAGTAGATAGTACACCCATGCGGATAGCTATCAGCTTCTCGTTTGAGCCCCGGATTCTCCGATACCCCCATGCATGTCTCGATCAGCCATCCTTCTGCGATCTCCTGCTTACCTGAGTTGTTAGTATCGCCCCACGGACAGGTCATCTCCGATCTCGAGGGGTCAGTGACGATCAGTAGTCACCAGATCGTTTCAGGGGGTCCTTTGGCCCTTCCCACCCGCTCAGACGCGTCCAACAAGCTATCCCAGACGCGTCCCATTTCTACACCGCCCTCCTCGCATCTGCTGGTAGCGCTGCATATACTCACTCACCCTCCCCCTGACCCCATCGAGACGCCATGAGGAATGAGGAGCTCACACTCACTGGGCTCGGCGTGATCCGAGACTGTCCAGCGACGCGTCTTTGGCTATCGCAAGCCTCGGCACGTCGACGCGTCAGGATCTGGGGCGGTGACGTCAGCTTCTCAGCACGGACGGAGATGACTCACCTTCAGATCCCCACCTTTCGGACCCCTATATAGCGCTCAGATGGGATCTGCCCCTCCTCCTTTCGTACATCAACCTCGTCCCTCCACATTCAGCGCCATTCTCATCCTCTCCCCCTCTCCCCCTTCCACCTCGCTGCCACTCATCAGAGCGCCTCCTTAGGCTAGCGCAGCGCCTACTAGCGCTCGGACCTCCTCCCTCCTAGCTCCCCATTCCCACCCCCCTTATCTCGCCCAGCCCCACCTCTACTTCCCGCCCGCCATGGATCACGCCGCCCTTCCCGTCCCTCCCGCCGGCCTCGCCGAAGCCATACCACCACCCCACCCCGCAGGACCTGCCGGTCTCTACCGCCCCCACCGCGACGTGACGCACCAAGCCCTCGCCGTCGCTTTCCTCGAGATCGCGACCGACCAAGCGATGGGCGAGTAGGAGGACATGGACCGGGACGACGAGCCCGAGCTGCTTCATTATCTCCTCGATGCGGCAGCGTCTAGGGCGGCGCAGATGCTCGGGACGGATGTGGGGTGGGTCCGGCGGTGCAATCCGGATAGCCGGCTCGGGGAGCGCAAGTTTGCGGGGAGGTGGAAGAATGAGTGGGATGATGTGGTCAAGGAGCGAGAGGTGGAGAGGAGGCGGAGGAGAGAAACGAGGAGAAGGGACCGGGAGCGGAGGGAGCAGCAGGTGCAGGGGGAGGCGGAGCAGAATCGAGATCAGCCAATTCCGCAACCGTACGCGTACCCGGCGCCGGCCGAAAATCATCACCACCCTGATCAGCACTATCAACATCTGCAGCAGCAGCCACCGCAGCATCCTCCGCAGTATCCTCCGCCGTATCAGCTTCATCAACACCAGCTCGACCACCAACAGCCGCAACAGCATCCAGGGCCGGAGGGTCCCCAAGGTCATCCGCAGGTCCAGCCGGCAAAGCAGGAGGCGGCCCAGGCTGTCCCCAATCCTCAGCATCGCCCACAACCGGCTCTGGCCCTTCCACCATCCGCTGCGTTTGTCCATCACGCGCATTCCGCCCATCCTCCTCCCCCGCCCGCTCAAGCCGGCCACCAACCCCCACACTGCCCGCAATACCCCGCGCCCGAGCCGGACCCCGTGCCGATGCGGCTCAAGCGGGAGAGGGAGGACGATGCGGCTGCGGAGGGGAAGGAGGACGGGCGGAGGGTGCGAGTAAAGCTGGAGCCGGGTCTGGGAGTCGAGGCCGAGGCGGGGTGGGCCGGTGGTGGATCTGATTTTGGCGGAGAAGTGAGGGTCAAGCAGGAGGCTGTTCGTGTGGATTGAAGGGAGAAAAAGAGCCTGTTCTGGTTAAGATCATGGTGAGTCCGCTGCGGTTTCCTGTAGATGAGATTCGAGGGTCTGTGATCAGGTCTGAGCTGATATCTGCAGTATCCATACTATGCGATTAGTAAAGGGCAACCTGCTCCACCTCACACCGTCCACCACCCCTCACCATTGGTCCATCGCCTGGCCGACCAGCTCCGGGGTCAGTAGAACAGCAGTAGTCAGCTCACTTTCATGTTTCCCGGTATGCAACCTCATGTACGGCTCGGCTGCAGTTCTGGTATCCAGGCCGGATCGGTACAGTGGTTGATCAGCACTCAAGGTGGCATATTAGTCAGAGTCAAGCTGAACAGAGCTTTTCGCTTGCGACGCGTCTTGCAGCCTTCATCGATCACTCCGACGCGTCCGATCGACTTACGTCACTGATTGTACCCGGAGGCACGTGACTTTCTGAAACGTCCGGGGAAGACAGTGGCGCCACGCCCATCAAAATCCCGACCTCATCGGGTCAGAAGAAACCATCAGGTCGAGCTTCTTTCTCTTTGCCAGTGCCTCATCCTCCTCTTCACTTCTCCTCTCATCATTGTCCAACGAGCGACATCAAACTCCCTTCCTTCACCACATATATCGCGGACGGTACCACCTCTTCAGCTAGCCTGTCTCAGCTGCCCAACTCTAGCCAGTAAGCAGCATTACCGTCTTCCTCACAATTCCTTCCCGCTCTACTCATACTCCTGACTACCAAGCTGAGGAATACCTGCTGAACCCACAAGCCCTCCAGAACACTCATTCCAGTCCCTACAATCCCTCCACGTGCGCGGCCACGATGACCGGCTCCAGCTCCACCACTCCCATCCCCGAGTTCAACTACGCCCCCAAGATCAGCGACCTGCACCCTGACCACCCCTTCCGGAACCCCAAGACTCTCGCCAAGATGCAGAAACTCTTCCCCAACTACAAGCCGATGACAGACAAGGAGTATCTCGCCAAGCCGTGGTTGCACCCCATCAACGCTATGGGCTTTGGGTTGCGGGAGATTATGCCCCACTACGGGTGGGATGTGAAGGACTTCCCGGGTGGATGGGAGAGTATGTGGAAGGTCGAGTGGCCGAGTCACGCCTATGTGTACGTAACACGTCCTTCTCGTATGTTGCGGACGATAAGGAGTACAAGCTGACGATACAGGCGCTGCGGCGTGGAATGCCGCGGTAGGCTCGCCATCATCCAGATCGAGAAAATGGATATGAAGAAGGACGGTTCGGTCGGCTCGGTAACCCTCGGCGACTGCTTCGAGTGCGAGCTCGAGAACAAGGGCATCAAGGTGTTCACCTGCGGTCACGTCAAGACGGCTTGATCAGCGCGTAAGTTTGTTCAACGCGCGCGTGCACGACTGCCCGGCTGAGGTGCAAGTGATCTGATCAGCAGAGTCATCTCGATCTCACTGCGGACGCGGGCTAAGAGGGTCGTCTTCAGAGTCGTAATTACGTATGGTTAGCGTTACGTATCGTCCCCTTTGGACCCTTATAGAAGTTTTTAGCCATACCTTGTAGTCTTCTCTTTGTACCTCTAGAACATAGATAGATGTGCTGAGTAGACCCCAGCACTCTAGAGAGTACCCATATCAGACACTACAATCTGTCTTGGTAACGCCGCAATCAGCTTAACAGCACACGTTCCGACTCTACGCTATGTCGGAAACCAATACCCTCCATACCACTTCGGCGGTCGTCGTACGTCTTGACGACCCCGACAGCTACACGCAGTGGGAGCGTTCCCTGCGTGCGGTATTTGGCTCTAGGCAACTGAGCCAATACCTGGCGAAAACCCCGTCGGAAATTCTCGCCCACATCCTGGGCCAGTACACCCCCGTCGGGTCAACGCCAAGCGACGCGCTCCTCATCAAGCGCGTCGATATGTCGGTCAAACACGAGGAACGCTGCACCTCTGCTCTGTCCATCATCTACAACTCCCTCTCCGCGACCATCCAAGGTCTCGCCCCTCGATCCCTGCTCGACTATCTCAATGCGGATCCCCACGCTCTGTTCAAGTGGGTGGAGAAGGAGTACGGTACCACTACTTCTTCCCGCCAGGCCGAGCTCTCCGCTGAAGCCTGGTCGATCCGCATCCCCGAGAATGTCTCTCCTCTCGACGGTCTCGCCAAGATCCGCGCCGCCTTTGATGAAATCAGGGCGGCTCTCGCCCGGACGCCGGGCATTACGGCGGCCGAAGCTATGCGCATGCAAGAAGGCTTTTGCATGCTGCTAGCTCTCCCCACCTCGCTCAGTCAAGCCGTCAGCTCCAAGGTGTACAGCGGGGACAAGGTGGATGGCGAGGAGGTGATCCGGCAGGTCAAGCTGGAATGGCGGAGGCGGGAGCAAAAGGGAGAGGTGGCGACGGATGTCGGCCAACTTGTCAAAGGGATGGACACCATCAAGGTCAAGGAAGAGACCGAGACTCGCGCGTTCATCGCGCAAAGGCCGCCCAAGACCAAGACGGAAAGGAAGAGGAAGATTGGGAAAGACGGAAAGGAGCTCAAGGGAGGCGAGGCGGACGAGTACTGCGCCGACTGCCAGTGTCACGGCCACCCCACGCACAAGTGCGTCTCCAGCTTCCTCCGTCGGGCCGATGCCTCCGGGCCCAAGGCCGCCCATATCGCGGTTACGTCTCCTGTCCTCAACGACAGCGATTCGGATAGCGTTTCCTCCGCCTTCGTCCTCCTCGTGACTGTCAGCGCCAACGTCGCGGTCTCCGCCGACAAGTCTACCGAGCTTGTCGTCGACTCGGGAGCCACGGATCACATCGTGCACGATGTCTCGCTGCTGTGCAATGTCCGGCAGCTTGACAAGCCGGTGGAAATCCGCCTCGGCAACAAAATGGTCATCTTGGCCCACGCCGTCGGCGACATGCGCGTCGGCAAGGTGCTTTTCCGGGATGCGTACCATGCCCCGGACATCTCCCACAATCTCCTCTCCGCCCGAAAGCTTGGGCGCGAGCCCGGTTTCCATTGGGAATTCCACATCGACCACTGTCGTCTTGTCACCCCGGCCGGTGAAACCATCCTCTCTGGCAAGCTGGACAGCGGACTCTACACCGTACGCCAATCCATCTCGCCTTCCCCATCTCCCCTCGCTTTGGCAGCTCGCGCTGACAAAGGGCCTTCTTGGCACGTCAGGTTCGGACATCTTAACTCCAACGATGTACGACGTCTGGGGAAATCGGGGCGGCTGCCTGAAGGATGGGAGAAGAACGTAGATGGGGGAGTACCATGCATCTCTTGCATCGGTGGAAAAGGGACTCGTCTACCTACCCCGCCGAGCGAGAACCGCGGTACGGAACCGCTGCAGAAGGTCTCAATCGACCTCTGGGGCCCGGCCTCCGAGCCTACTCTTGGCGGCGCTCGTTACTTCCTCCTCTGCTATGACGACTATAGTCGTCGAATCTGGGTCGCTCTGCTCAAGCAAAAGAGCCAGGCGTTCCAGGAAGTCAAGAACTACGTTGCTCTGGCCGAGAATCAACTCCAAACCACCGTGAAGACCGTCCGCTCAGACCGAGGGGGTGAGTTTATCTCAACAGAAATGTCGGTGTGGTTCAAGGAGAAGGGGATACAACATGTCCTCACACCACCCGGGGCGCACGAGCAGAACGGGCGGGTAGAGAGAGGAAATCTTACTCTCCTCAATGACATCCGGACCTTCCTCGCCGATGCTTCCCTCCCCAAAGCCTTCTGGGGCGAAGCCCTCAACTACTCGGTCTACCTCCGGAATCGTACCACTCTCGTCGCGGATGGAAAGACGGCCGAGGACATATGGGCTGGGAAGCAGATCAACATTTCCAAGCTCCTCCCATTCGGCTGTCCCGTCATGGTCCGGGATCATACCTCTCCGTCCAAGCTCGATCCTCGCTTCATTCCTGCTCGCCTCGTCGGATACGAGCAGAATACCTCCTATCACCGCCTTCTACTGGACAACACATCCAAAGTCGTCACGTCCAGAGATGTCAAGCCCATCTTCCACGCTACTCCGGTCATTCCTGTCGTACCACCGCCTCCTTCGCCTCCTCCGGTCGACCAAGCTCCGGCGCTGTTGGTGGTGGAGGATGAGCCGGAGGGGGTGTCCGAGGTGGTAGAACTGGAAGCGGAAGAGGGCAATGATGAGCAGGAGGACCAGCCGGAGCGAGGGCGGAACTGGGCCATCGTCCCATACGAGCGGGAACAAGCCCCTAGTCCCGAGCCGGTACCTCAGGAAGGTATCCGGCAATCTCACCGGAACCGTGTCCCTCCTATCCGGTACGGCCATATCGCCACCACCGTCTCCACTGCACCCGACGAGCTCATCATTTACGCCCTCGCCGCCGCTACCATCCTCGACCTACCTCAAAACTACCAAGAGGCCCGGCGATCTCCCCAGTATCACCTATGGAGAGAAGCGATGGAGGTGGAAATGGGAAAGATGGAGCGGTACGACGTCTGGGAGTTGGTGGACGATAACGGCCAAGCAGCGTTGGACGGGAAATGGGTGTACACGGAGAAGATCGACGGTGCCACCGGGAAGGTCTCCGCATACAAAGCTCGCTTTGTCGTCAAGGGGTTCAAGCAAATCGCTGGACGGGACTACGCAGAGCTGTTCGCCTCCGTCGCCCACAAGGACACGCTACGCGCTTTCGTCTCCCTGGTCAATTTCTTCGACCTCGAGGTACACCAAACGGACATCGTCGGCGCATCCCTCAACGGGAAGATAGACCGCGATATCTGGGTACGCCCGCCGGAAGGTAGCGGTATACCAGCCAACAAGCTACTCAAGCTCAAGCGTACGCTGTACGGCTTGAAGCAATCTCCCCATCTCTTCAACAAGGCGCTAGATGGTTTCCTCCGGGAATACGGATTCGTCCCCACGGCGGCCGACCCATGCCTATACGTCTATCGCAAAGGCACTACCCTCATCCTCCTTCTGGTGCACGTCGACGATCAGGCGATCGCTTCCAACAACAAGGCGGATCTCCTTGCTTTCAAAGCCGCGCTCAACGCCCGCTTCGAATGCAAGGATGGGGGAGAACTCAACTACTTCCTCGGAATCCAGGTCTACCGCGACCGCCCGGCGCAGAAGCTTTACCTGTCCCAGTCTCACTACATCGAGACGCTGCTCGAGCGGTACGGGATGGACACGTGCAGCCCTGCCAAGTCGCCCTTGCCAAGCGATTTCAAGCCCAGGCTCGCCACCGATGAGGAGCATGCGGAAGCTAGCCATGTCGAGTACCCGGCAGTGGCTGGCGCCCTCCTCTACGTCGCGACCATCACTCGTCCGGATCTCGCGTTCGCCGCCTCCCTCCTTTGCCGGTACATCAGCAAATGGAGTCTGGACCACTGGAAGGCGGCCAAGCATCTTCTTCGTTATCTGCGGGGCACAAGCGACTATTGCCTCGTCTTCGATGCGGAAGCTGGACGAGCAATGATGCTGGGTTACTCGGACGCGGACTGGGGAGGATGCCTAGAAACTCGTCGGTCTACCACCGGTCACTTCTTCAAATGGGCCGGACCTCTCTCTTGGAAAGTCAAGCTCCAATCCACCATGGCCCTGTCGTCTACGCAGGCAGAGGTCCTCGCCGCCACCGACGCTACTAGGCAGGCGGAATTCCTACGCGGGTTATTCCTCGAAATCGGTCTCACCCCTGAAATGGCCGACTTCCCCACTACCATCTACAACGACAACAGCAGTGCAATCATCCTCTCTAAGCACCCTCACGATCACCGTTCAACCAAGCACTTCGAGATCCGCACTGGATACATCAGGCGCATGGGGGAGGATGGGATCGTCAGATTGGTGAAGATTGGGACGGATGATAATACGGCGGACGCGTTGACAAAGTCACTGGCGGGAGCGAAGCTGGCAAAGCATGTTGAGGGGCTGGGTTTAGGGCTGCGCGAGTAAGGGGGTTATCTGGTCCTGCAGGCGAGGGGGTGAGTCGTAATTACGTATGGTTAGCGTTACGTATCGTCCCCTTTGGACCCTTATAGAAGTTTTTAGCCATACCTTGTAGTCTTCTCTTTGTACCTCTAGAACATAGATAGATGTGCTGAGTAGACCCCAGCACTCTAGAGAGTACCCATATCAGACACTACAATCTGTCTTTCAGGTAGCAAAGCAGCGTACCGTGCTCGTATCGCAAGTATGCATGTCGTAGTTTCCTTCCGATCGCTCAAGGTGCGACCCGCCCAGTATCTCAATATAAGCTGTGTCAGGCCGTGAGAAGGGAGAACAGAGTCAACGCTGAGGAAGGAAGACAAGCGTCCCTTGGGACAATGTCTAGTTCTTTGGAACCGCGATCGCCCCTCGTCTCTGAACCTCACATCATTCGGATAGCCTTTCTTCTCCGGTTGACAGCACCTCTCAGTACTCGCGAGCTCGTCAGTTGAGTTTGACAGCCACTAGTCTGGCACTTAGTGCTAAGATCTACCTTGTCCTAATCAAGTAGCGTAGTGTCTGCAGAATCCGCCCGAAGGTGTTAGAACGGTACCGCCAGCACCAAGGCTCCGGTTCTGCTAGCTCACCCCAAGAGTTCTCCTGCAGCTAAAATCTCAGCTCAATAGATCAGCGGTCAGCAACGTATCTCGATCCAGGATGACCACGGACGAGGCCTGCGCTCAACCTGACACGTCACCGCCGAGAGTTAGCCCAGCGCCAATGGGGGAGGGGTCTATGGTCGACTTGCCCTTCTCTGCCTCCTTCCTCCTTGTTAGGCAAATTCGGACTTATGGACGCGCCGATAATCAGTAGGATCAGTATCGAGAACCCGAGGACCCTAGACCGTCATACGAGGGTAAGCATTGACGAGCTCCACTTACCCTGCTGGAAAGTGACTTCTTATACCCGGAATACATGAACCATTATCGACAGACAGACCTCATGTAGCCCCTTCTTCTTGATTGTGACTTCATCTCAGATCCTGCCTCTCCATCTTCTCATCTGGCAAATCAGCTATCACCCAGCGTCGTTATGGGTGGTACAGCTGAGTCTTATACTCACTTCTCCTCTGCACTCGACTGCGAGACAGCCGAGGAAGATTACTTTTGATGCGCCTTGATGAAGTTCAAGCAGTTCCCGGGGCTGCATGATCAGCTTTGCTCTATGCTGCCATGCGTATTGACGACGGAGAGGAGATGAGAAGGGAGAAGGAGCAGAAGCATGAAGGAAAAGCGGGGAGAGAGAGAGAAGGTCGAGACTAGATACTCACTCATCAGCAGGCTTGACGCCGTATTTGGCCTCGACGAGCTTGCCCGTTCCTTTTTCGAAGATGAAGTGGGAGCGCTTGGTGTTTTTCGGGAGTACGAAGGCGCCGAGACTGGGAGTCAGCTTGTCCAGACGGTGTGACCTAGGCGAAAGGGAAAGGAACGAAAGAGAAGGTGGGGTGGTTGAAAGAGCAGGAGAGGGGTCTCGGTTCCAAGTATGGAAGGAAGGGAAGGCGACCTGTGCTAGTGACGAGGCGAGGAGAAGAGTAGGGTATAAGTGAGAAGGAGTCAGAGAGCTGTAGAGACGAGTGAAGAAGAAGGAGTTGAGGAGGAGAATAAACGTACCGCTTGATCAGCTTTGACTCTGGGTCACAAAGCAACTTGTAGGTAAGTTTCTGCTTTACTTTCCACTGTGGAGTCAGCTGGTTGCCCGTCTACACCAACAATCAATGCCAGGCAACTGACGTTCTTCTGAGCGGTGGGACCGTCCCTCGACAAGCCATAGACATCATATCCGAGCTCGGCGATCTCGTCAAAGGCATCTCGGAAGCCGCACGCTTGGTTGGTGCAGCCTGGGGTGTTGGCCTGGGTGTCAGCTGGGTCCTAGCTGCTCGCTTGACTAGTATCGCAGGCCTTGCGCCTCTTCTCCGCTGAGGAGCATTTATGCCTCCCTCCTTCACTGACCCCGCTCATCCCTGTCTTCACTTCTTCCCCCTCGACCCCAGTCCTTCCCCTCATCGTGCTCGCTCACTTCTCCCATGACCCAGAACCTGGGCGGAGATTCACCTTGGGATACAGGAACAAGACCGCCCCCCTCTCCCCCGCCAGCCCCGTCACTTCCACATCCTCCCCCTCCTCATCCTTCAACGTCACCTTCGGCAACTTGTCCCCCAGCTTCATCACCTTCTTCCCATCCGTCTCTGGGTCCGCACCCTGGGGCGCCTCGGCCTCCTTCTCCTTCTTGGACGCTAGCTCCTTCTTATCCGCCGCTTCGTCCGCCTCCGCCTCGGCCTTGTCTGCAGCTTCGACATCGACCTCCTCGCTGGACTCGGGAATCGCGTCCGTCTTTGCCGAGGCCGAGGCCTTTTTGGACGTGACCTTGGATTTGGCTCCCTTGGACGCAGGGGTAGATTTGGCCTTCTTGGATGATAGAGCGGGCTTATCGTCCGCGGCGGCGCGCTGAGGATCAGCTATAGTATTCCCGGCCCAGCGAGAAGGGCGTACCTTGCTCCCGACTTCTTCCTTCTCCTTCGACGCGTCCTGACCCGCCAACCTCCCCGACCGCCTAGACGGAGGAGCCGCGTCGGCCTTCTTGCTTTCTGTCTTGCTCTTGGGCGCCATCTTAGCTGTAGCGAGTACCTTGAGGATATAGGAGAGCGAGGAGAGGCAATAGGGAGAGTATGGGTGTTGTCATCAAGGTTGTTGTGACGATGCGACGGGTGAGGGGGTCTGTGCGGGGCACCACATTCCTCATTTCGCGCTTCAGCTTCCCCGCTTTGGACACCCATTGTTGATTGAGCGTTGACCATACTTCTCTCGTCTATACTTCATTCATCCTGCGGTAGTAGAGGATAGAGAGGATGGAGTACCCGCCCTTGGAGAAGTACGTCGGGATCGGTACGTCCCTCAGCTGTCAGTTGCGCTTGTTGGATAAGCTCGAGCTGATCGGTGCAGACTGCGAGACCGTCTCTGTCCGGGGTGGGTCCGCACTCGCCAAGTAGGTCTCTGGGCTCACTATGATTCTCGATCCTGCTCCAGAGTATGAGGCTCGCATGCCGCGTGTCCTGCGCCCCTCTCACCTTCTGCCCTCAGACCTGCCAGTTGTTGCCCGCTTCTTACCTCCATCACTTAACATTTCTGATGACCAGCCCCTGAACAGCCTGAAACTGAAGATACTGAGCTGATGATGCAGAGTAGCCATCATAGATTACAAAGGCGAGGTCCTCCTCCTATCTCATGTCTGGGTCCATCCCAAAAACGTAGTCAGCTGGGTGACGAATAGTGAGCTTCTCTCTCTTAACATGCTCGAGGGAAGGAGCTGACCGCTCAGTAACGGGTCTGAAGCCTGGTGATCTGGACGGTGGTGAGTGATCTCTCTACATGACAATATGCGCTTCAAGGAGGCCTCCTGCAGAGGGGACATGTATCGGGCGATAAGGAGAGCATAGGGGGAAAGGAACAGACAGAGCGAGGCTGACGCTGTAGCTCCGACATTCGAACAGATCCAACCCAAAATAGAAGCGGTCCTAGAAGGGAAGATCATCATCGGCCATGCAGTCTTTAACGACCTCGCTGTACGTCCGCAGCTGCCTGGGCACCACCGCTTCCGGGATTAACCTGAATGTGGAAGAGCGTATCAGCTGACCCGGATAGGCTATTCAACATCAACACCCGTACGAGGACGTCCGGGATACAGCCCTCTACTATCCCCTTCGGAAACTTATGGGGATAGATAGAGAGGGGGAGTTGCCGAGTCTGAAGAAGATGACGGCGAAGGTGTTGGGGAAGGAGATTCAGGGTGGGGTGCATGATCCGGTACGTCTTGTTATGACTTCATTTGGCTGCACCACCTCCTCAACCATTCCCTATTTTACACGCATGCTCCTGCCTCTCCTCTTTCGCTAGGTCGGACATCCGTTCACCCTTTTTCACGGATCCACTCACCTTCCAAGCCTGTGCATCTTCCTCACTTCAGCTTATCAACTCCTGTGGAGTTGCAAATCTAGAGGATTCAGCTGATAACCCAGATCGAAGACGCCAAAGCCTCGATCGACATCTTCCTGACCGTACGAGAAGAGTACGAGACATTGCTCGCGAAGGGAGGAGAGATCTCGGGGATGCCCCCAAGCTACGCCAAGTGGTATTGGTAGATACTGTCTCCGAGGTGGCGCCCGGTGAAGCAAGTCAGGGAGGCCAAAGGGGAGGTTGGAGGGGTAACACAGTGATAGAGGAGAGGCGAGAGGACATGAGGGGATGCTGATCATCGCGTCAAGGTAGCTTCATCATCGTATCACCTGTAAGCATATACTGTGCGCTCATCTTGGGAGTCTCGCCGCACCGGATAAGGTCGACTCTGTACTGAAGTGCCTACCTGCTCACTGCACTCATGGCAGAATCCCACGTGGCAAGCCTGTATAGCGCAGATACCGAATGACCATAGTCATGTCGTGAAGCCCCTTGTGGGGTGACCCTGCTCTTCCCTCTAGATCTGCCTTCTTGAGCACTGCATCGTCCGAGCGCTCTGCATTCAGCGCTTCTTTTCTTACTCCGCGCTGACAACGAGCTGACACTCAAGCAGAGCCTGGGAAAGCTACAGAACACGATGCTTGCATAGGTATATGAATCATTCCACGTGTGTGGTCTTGTCAACAGGCACCGTCCCTGTCTCACGCGTGACACGGCCTACGCTCCTGCTCATGCCTTCCAGCACTTTGGCGAGCGACGCCGCCCTTCCATCTAGGCCTGCAGCCTTTCGTAGCGCAATCTCCTGCTTCGATTGACTGCGCCACCTCGAGCTCTCCCACCAGCTCTTCTTGGCGTTCTTTGACGCAGTGACACTCTGCAGTCCCTCGATGAAAGGCTCCAGCTCCTCTTTCAAGGCGTTCCGAAGTAACTGCCTGTCCGCCGCGGTGGATGAGTGCTCCGCCATGTTGTCCATGTTGTCAGTGATCTCCATGCGGGCTAGGAACTCCGCAGTGACATCACACAGTCTCCAGACAGAGTGATTGTCGTCGCCTTGCTGCATGATCCACCCAGAGATGACCTTCTCGATCTATACTGATCAGCTACCGGTCGACCAGTCTTTTTCGTATCCCGGACTAACGCGTTCCATCCCCGTGGATTGGCTGCGCTTAAAGTCATACATGAGACTTTCGGGAACGCTGTTCGTTGTATTCTTCGAAATGCCCTTCCCCATGAAGTCATCGAGAGTGGGTGGTGCTCCACTGAACAGTGAGGAAGGGGGATGGTTCTTGCAGACACGGCCTCTCGACCTCTGTCTCGGCATTTCTATGCCCGTGAAGTCTGCATGATCAGACTCGCTCACTCTCGAACAGAGGGATTACTTACGTCTTGCCAAGGGAATGGTGGATCCATGTTTGAACATTGTGTTAAAGAGATTGGTGAGATGGTGGGTGGAAGAGATGAGATGAGGTGTATACACAACAAGTGGGTGGTTAGGACTACATCCAGATATGCTGGGCTGTGCCTGGCCGTCAGCTCATGAAAGTAGAGTCACGTGCACGCGGAGGAAACGCTACACGTACAAGGCTGTACAGGCCAATGGATCAGCGTACTCGAGCTGTCAGAGACGTGCCTGCATTCCGTCTCGACGGTTGTGATCTGCCGCTGGGTGGTCATGACATAGGAGACCCACAACTCGAGGGAGCATTGATCGGATCGAGGCCGTGGCAGTACACGAGGTGTGAGGTCTCCCGGTATGTCGAATGAGCAGGAATTGAACGTAAGCCTGAGCTGTCCGGGGGACCGAGCAGAGTGTCTCCGTTTAGTAACCTGGTCGGTGAGTGTCTCAAACAGCGAGAGGTATGCATATCATCGCGATAGCACAGATCCTCATGGTTACAACACACGCAACGGATCTATTGCGGAAACCACAACTCCCTGGCCGTGAGCGCTTCTCCCTTCCAGATGCAGTCCGTGTAGATCTCGGTGATACGGCGGGCAACTTCGCTGGTAGCGCTCCGACAGGACGAGTGAATCTTGAAGTCATCGGCAAACCTCCAGGGATAGTATTTTTTGCCTCTCTGGCGAGCGATGTACTTCCTGAGCTCCTCAAAGCTTTTGACCTTGTTGTTCAGCTGCTTGACCGTGTATGCCCTGACAACTGCGCTCTCCTCGGCCGCCCGCAGACAAGTGTCGAGAGACGTGAGACTCTTCCTCAGCTCCGAGCTGCACCTCTCCGTACCGTCATTAGCGCGACGTTTTGCGTGTGCCAATAGAGACGCAGTCACCGAAGCTAGGGTCCACATCGATCCTCCGCTTCCAAAGTCTTCGAGAAGAGTGTTGCGTTCGAGTGCGTGCTGAACAACTGCGGCTGTGACGCATGCTTTGACCTAGACTGTCAGTGATTGCTCGAGCACGCTAGTGAGGAGGCGCTCACGTATGTGTTTGTGAGATCGAGAGACCTAAATCTCCGCAATTCAGCCTCATTCATCTCGATCGAGGCCCAGTCGGCACATCCGGGGTCGCCTGTCAAGTCCGTAAGGCTAGGGTACTTGTGCTCGATATCGGCTGGCTGAAGGCCGGTCGACGCACCAGATGAAAGCGCAGAGGTCTTGGGGTGCGCTGTAGGTCGGCGGGGGGCAGACAAGTGGAGCATCGGGGGTGCCATCGCGTAACAGGCCTGGCGGGATCAATCGAATCAGTCTCTGATTTGGGAAGAGGACGAAGTAAGGGGTAGAAAGTCAGGATGGCTCAGGGATGCCACCCAGGGCTCCTCGCCCAAGGCGCAAGCTGAGCTGGTTCAGGCCAAAGGAAGATATAGGAGATGAATGCAAAAGGAGCGCTAGGTTTCTTGGATCAACTGGAGGCACCCAGGTCACACCTATCGCAATAGTGGGCACCTGATCGATGCCCTTCTGTGCTGTAGACTGGCCTGCCCTTGATTGCTGTGGGTCAGGCTTCACCTGCTGGCACATCTAGAGCAGAACATTGCGAGCGACAGCAGATTTCTAAAGTAGATAAGCAATGACAAGTTGTACATGTACCAATCAACATCAACGATCATAGACCACGGAAAGTATTGTAAATCCCGGAAGGTCCTGGCGCCCGCGGATTATCGATCCGGTCAGCGATGAGGCCCACCGTGGGCGCCAGCCGGCCCGCCACGTCTGAGATCCTCTCATCAATGTCTGCACTCCAGATCAGGTCAGATGGGACGGACTCAGGGTTGGTCTTTGCAGTCTCGCTGAAGACGATGCTGCTCATACCCGACGCGAGCTTGGGGTGTCGCTGGACAGCCCTGAGGTACAGCAGCAGCGTCCCAACAGAGACGTCAGTCAGATGAGCTTCGACTTTGGCAATGTTGCAGCCGGATCTGGCAGCTTCGTCACGTAGCGCCTTGACGACCGTGCGTAGATCCTGCAAGGTCGGGTCAGATCGGGCCTGTGCCAGGTCTGTGTCTGCCAGTAGCAGGGACACCACGACTCCTCTGACCTAGGAAGTTTAGCTCAAGCCCGCACGAGGCCACGGTGACACTCACGAATTCCCTCGCCGCGTTCTGATCACCGTAGGTCCGCAACTGGTCCAATGTCATTCCGGATCCGGAAGCGGAGACCTCCTCCTTGTAGCAAACCTTCGAGTCCTCATAGGTAATCTTGAGCTGGGGATCAGTGAAGAAGGGCGCCAGCGTTTCGGTTTCCGTGTCGAGCAAAGTCCGAGTCGTAGCTGCCCTTCCCGCTCCGTCCGTCCAGGGGAGTTCCTCCGCTCCTTGATTGTCTAAGAGCGTCAGCAAGGAGACGCAGCCATGAGAATATCATGGCACCGACTCATGCTGTCCGCAGCTGATTCGAGAATGTCAAGGTTCAGCAAAGTCGCGAATTGTGAGGGTGGCAAATGAGTGGGATGATGGCAAGTCGAAGTGGACGGGGCCTGGCGAGACCCCCAGATATCTCTACTGACTCCGTCAGACTCACTGAAACGGCATCAGCAATCCCGAAAGGATATCCCAGGGGCTCGAACGTAAAGGATCGCAAGATAGTGCTTGCTGGGCCATTCTGCTCTGCGTACATGAGGGGACCGAATACAGACCGTCCAGCTTCAGAGCCACATCGGCACCTTCTGGTGAGCTCTCCCTTCTGATCGACGCACAGATCAGCGGGGCCGGGAGTATGGTACACATCGCTAGGCCGAGGGTTTGTATAGGCGCAGTCACCAGAAGTCCACAATCAAAAATCAGCAGTCAGCAGCAGTCAGTGACGACAGATCAGTAACGCGTAATCATATCGTATCTCATTGATATCGTAGAGTAGCTCATCATTTTGTCGATCTATCTAGGTTTCTCACATACAAATCGGCCCCTTCCTTCTCCTCCTGGCCCTCATGCTCTTCTACTCCATCTCCCCATCCCCCTCGCTCCCCCTCGTCTCTCCACAAAACACCCCGGCCCGCCTCATACCCCCATTCCCTCCTTCCCGTCACATCCCGTTCGTCCCCTCCGCTCTTCTCTTCTCTTTTTCCCGCCCCGCCCGCAACTCATGCCGCACCGACCTAGAACCCAGCCGCACCGGGCGCCTTGTCCCCTTCGCGCTTGAGCGCCAGGAGGATCTCCTTCATCCGCTGCAGGTCGGAACCGCCGGGAACGGACGGGCGGATGGTTTTGGATTCTCGCTGTCAGCTTCATCCTTTGGGATATAGTGCTAGGAGCTTAAAGAGGTGTGGGAGGGGAAGAGGGAGGGTGTGGAGATGGGTAGAGACTGTTGGACGGGAGAAGGAGGGGATCGGAGTACTGGTCGAGATGGGTGACAGAAGAAGTAGGGCGTATCCGACAATCGATCGGGTGGAAAAGCGGGGAAGTGATAGCTAGAAGGGAAAAAAGCAGGGGAGCTGATATGAATCCGAAGCGGAACATGACCTACGCGAATTCTCCAAGCTGATCATCTCGGTGACCCGCTCCCATGCTGTTCCTTTTGCGATCCCCTCGGTCATCTTCTCCAGGAAGGCAGATTCGGACTCCCTGCAGGTTTCAGCTGTCTGCCCTCGCCCAGGCGATCATTTACCCAGTCGAGGGATCGTCCTTCTCTTTCGCCAACTCCCTCCAGCTTCCTTCAGCGCCCCTCCTCACTCCCTCTCCGAAACGACCTCCACACTTCCCACTCCATCCACTCAGCCCGAACCCCAACTCACTTGTTCTCCCTGATATTCCTCTCCTTGACCCGATTATACTCCTCATAAAACGCATCAATCCCCTTCTCGGCCTTATCTTTCATCTCCTCCCTCCTCTTCCGATCCTTCTCGTCCCGCCCCTTGATCTCTTCCGCCTGCTTGGCGCGCCACGCCTTGATCGGCTCGGTATCTTCCTCTTGGGCCGGCAAGGTGTTGTTAAACCTCGGCGCGGGGAGGACTGACCCGGAGCGACCGCCGGCGGGTGAGGGGGCGGCGGGGTAGGGTGAGGCTCCGTACGGTTGGGGAGCGAGGGCGTTGAAGACTGGTTTGGCGGGCTGGAGGTCAGCTCTTTGCCCGACATCAAGGGCGGGCCGCAAAAGCTGAGCGAGTGGGAACTTACAGCTTCGTATGGAACTTCTCCCGAGAGGTCCGGGAAAGCACTCTCGAATTGCTCCCTCTCCACATCATCCGTCCCGCTCGCTCCTGTCACCCTGACATCGGAAGACCCACGCGGCGCGTCATCCAGGTCGGGGAAGGCATCAATACCCTTGGGTCCGGGAGCCGGTACCGGCGCAGGAGGAGCGGACTGCGGTTCGTCTACCTGTCAGCTTAGTCGTCCAACGAGCCCGCGACAAACATCAAGCTCACCAAAAGCGGCAAAGTCCATACCGCTAGGAGCGGTCGGTGCTTGGCCCGAAGAGAAGAGGTCCGCGTCGTCCCCTGCTCATCAGCTTCTTTCTTCTGTCAGCCTGCGGGGAAGACACACCGAGAGCGGCCTTTTCGCGAGCGAGGAAGTCAGCCATAGGGTCGTCTGACATGGTGAGCTGAGTAGATAGGGTATAAGTAGAAGGTAAGTATAGAGTGGAAGTATAGGCCGAGGAGAGAGAAGGTATATGGGTTAGTGCGTGGACGCGGTGCTTGAGGCGCGGCGGGGAAGGCCGGGGTAAGGAATGCGGGATTTGGGAGATAACGCCGCAATTCTCCGTGTTACTAAACCGTGAGGGGGTACTCGATTTCTGGTTTCGATTTCTTTCGATTTGACTCGCCCATCAATACATGCCATGATCTTGTCTAACGCGAACGAAGACTCCATCATGACAGCGCACTGATGGGGTATAAGGTGGTACGAATGCCCCAGCTGACATTGTGGCCGAAATATAGGCGTGCCGGGTGAGGATTGAGCATGCTGAGCTCCGATGTCGCTGAGAATCTGACGATGGTCTGTAGGGTCTTCCGTAGGACTGAGTCTCCATCATTACTACATACTGACTTAGCCAGTTTTGGGGTAAAAATGGAACATATCGCGGTATAAAAGCTGTCTGACAGAAAGGAGTTGCCGAGAAAGGATCTCAGCTCGACGCCAAAAGGCGTGGGGATGGGCCTGCTGGCCACAGGCCACCCACCTTGACCTCCTTGATGTCAGCATTGTCTCTTTTTTGTACCCTGCTTTTCTCTTCTCACATATACTCAACGATGTCCTCGAAGACCCTCCAAGATCTCTCCGACAAGCTGCTCTCCAGAATCTACTGGCATCTCGGATTCGTCCAAGGGCACCGCCCGTCCCTGGCGGGTCGCTCTCAGTCCCTCCGACTCCCTTCTGATGACTGACGCGCAGAGGTCATGGATGTCGGTCAACGAGGTAAGGTCTTATCGCTTGACACTTTGAACAGAGACTGATAATCACAGCGCCTCCACGGCGTCGGACGGGCAGTAAATGACATCGCCACGGGGCATGGTCCGAGCGGCAGGTGCTTTTCCCTATCCACGGCTAATCTACGGTCCGTCATCCACTGTCCGCCCAAGAAGAACATATGGTCAATCATCCAGGACAAGACTATCAAGGCGCTGGCAGACCAAGCACTCATCAACAACGACGCCAGATGGAAGGGCATCTGGACGATCCCCCAGATGGTCGCCCCCACGGCCCGCGCGCAGTGGATATCGACACTCAGGTCGCAGTTGGATTCGACCAAACAGAGGGGTTCGTTCGTCTCTGCAAGTTGAAGGTCGACGACAAGGACAAGAAGACATTTCCGGCATTGAGCCATATTATCTTTCAGTCCAAGCAGGAAGGCAAGGGACACCAGTTCAACCGCGAACATATCAGCATTCCGGAGGTACGTGAAGCCTTGCACGAGCTCACGCAAGCCTATCCCGAGATTGGGGTGCACTGGGTGGGACGCCCAGGGATGTGGCAGATGCTTCGAGGGAATATCTCACCCCTCCTGACGTGCTACAGCGCGGCTAATAGACCGCCACTACCAACAGAGAGTCTGTCCGTTCCGAAAGACCTTTCCAACCGATTCCGGCGAACACTCCGGTGGTTCGGCTCGGCTAAGCATGTCAAGGAGAAGGAGACATCGAGCATATCAGACGCAATGAGCCAGCTTGGTACCTCACTCGCCAGCCTGCAGAGGGTGAGCGTGAGTGAGTTTACGGTGTACATTGGCGGCGTGAAGGGGAGGAGTGACGTGATCGGGACTGTGAAGGTTGCGGAGCCGGACTTGAGGGAGGAGGCCGGGGATAGAGGATGCGCGTTTGTGTTGGCTCACGGTCCGGTCTGAGCAGTGTTAGTGCTTCATCCGCTGCATACACATCAGACGTCCGCCGACCCAGGGACTTTGTGAAAGAGCAAGTAGATCTGCCACTTGCTTCTGTCACCTGATGTCATTTTGATGTACTAAAGCGCCACTTGACCCCAGAGACATGACAGCCCGGAGACAGCGATAGTCGTCGAGAGACTGACAGGCTAGCGATCTGTACGTGTTATCATACTCACCTTTGATCAAGTCACCCGTGCTGTACTGCAACACAAGTCGCAGCTATCAGGTCCTTTGTCAACAACACCCCAGATACTGAATCAGCCGCTCTTGTACCCGTGTTCCAGGCTAGTCTCACGTCTTATACGCGTATTAGAGCCACAGGGATCGGACACCGTTGACCGTGGACCCTAGGTATTCTGAGATGGATGAGGATCTGTGCAGTAACTCTCACTTCACACTCACTTATCTAAATCTCGCTGCTGAGCCATTGCGCAGCCTACGTTTGACCTAACACCTATCTCGCCTGGCGCTCTGCTCACTATGGTATACACAAACGACGGAGAATCCCACTCCAACAGTACCGACTCATGTGGGTCCTCGTCATCCTCGAGCTGATGCGAGATATTCCGTCTTCCGCGCTGTCCGACACATGTACATCGAATAGCTCCAGCTACGGCTCCTCGCTATACTCGGATGGATTAGACACCGGGGATACGGCGTACTCGGATACGCGTTCCGAGCGGGAAGGTGATGAGCACGGAAACGGAGACGGAGGCGATGGTAAGTCCAGCTCTGCACAAGCAGAGCTGATATCAATTTATTCAGATATTAGCTCGTCATATAGCTCGGACTACAACTCATTCCTGTCAGGCAGTTCCCGCTCGGATTCAGATTCGGAGCGGGCGGTGTATCGGAGTTCTGGATCGACAACAGACGAAGCGGATCGCCGAGGTCAGACGAAAACGGACAGTTTTTGTGAGTTGATACACCATATGTAGTGTTCATACGAGGCCGATCTGAGGAATTAGAGGGCCCAGATACTTATGCGCTGACTGAGCTGATGGCGCCAGATAGTATGATTGAAACAAACACCGCGGTCACCCCCAGTCGACGATCTGACGCGCTTCCACCTAACAGCGAATTTTGCCTCAGACGACAGGGTGATTCTCAGAACATATCATGCAAGTCGGACATGCTGTCTACAGGAATAGGCTCAACGAATCCGGTACCCGGAGTTTGGTGTAAGTGTGCTTCTTCTTTCCCTGGGTGCTTGTCGCAGCTGACCAGTGGTACCTCATTCATATGTACCGGGCTGATCGTATCATCAGACCAGTCCAGATGCTCCACTACAGCTTTCCTCAGTCGGAAGTCTCGCGCCCCTCTGCCCAGCCCTGTTCTGACCCTCGATGATCAGCCGAGCGACAGGCCAAGCAAGTCGCGTGATTCCATGTCGGGCATGAGCTCGAGGTCTGGGAGATCTGACAGCTCGGATACCGACGGAGATGATCTGGTCTACAAAAGCTGTGAGTGCTCTGCCGGTTTCGGCGGATACCTGCAGCTGAAACGTCCTAGTTATCAGCGATGTGGAGCGCGACAGTCGGGGCAGAGTGGTCGGCCTAGGCTACTACAAGCATGAGTTCACGATCGACCGAGATCAGTCCGGCTACCTTTTAGGCGATAACTACGTGACAGACTGGGGAACGCTCAAGGTCGATACCGACCGGACCGGCTTCTCCATCAACGACGATCATTTCGGCCTCGAGGCGGGAGCGAATAAGCTGATCTTTACGCCAAGCGGTGTCACACTCAACGGCACCGAGATTCACCCAACACGGCGTGTCACCCGTGGCCCCGTGTCATCGCTTCCGCCTGGTCTGAGCAGAATATTCGGCGATCTGATAATGGGCGATGGTACACGTTCGTCCGGTAGCGCCCGGAGCTCTGCATGGCGACGCCGGGCCGATATTGGTGATCCCGGCAGGTCCAGGAACGGAACACATCGGAGTGTGCATCGGATTCCAGAGAGTTCATATATGGATGAGTAGTCTAGATGCATTTCGCAGACAGGGGATATTCTGATCTGCCATTTTCCCTACTGAGAGTGATTTAGCCTGCGTAGCAAGCTTCTAGCACCATAAACTATAACGATGGATCGCAGGACTCTGCCCTTCGCTGTCCTTCGCTTTAGAATAATTTCGAAGCAAAGTCAGCGTTGCCTGATCCACCATATCCTGTACGCGAGGCAAAAACTTCGCGCACTCGCCGCTGGGCTCGGTTCGCCGCTTCAATCTGTCGCCACCAGCCCGCCACTTTCGGTGCCACCCACGGTCACTTTGAGGAATGCGGAGCGACAAAGTTTTTCCTTGAACCAAGCAGGCGCGTCGACGCGTCCAGGCTTGCAATAACAATGCAGCTGTCTTCCGCATCACCTCTCTCCATCTAGACCTCAGTGCTCACTGCGCTGACAAAAAGGCCATCATGGTCAGCAGTGGAAATCGCAATGCGTTCGCTGGTCCGAGCTCAAGCTCAAGCTCAGGCACCGGTCCCGGCGCCAGCGCGAACGGTGGGAGACCCGCCGGTCCTGTCCGACCTACCAAATTACAGGTCATCCCTAGTACTTGGGAGGGGACCATATCTGCTCCTATCGAGGAGAAGGACCGTACGTCACTTCGATCTATTCAGACGACTGAGCTTTGGTCTGGATCTAGGTAAGATGGGCTGACTGGGCAGCTGCGGTATTTCTGCATTCGATGGCCCAGGTATTGGATGAGTATCACTTACCTACTAAGTACGTTCCTTCCTGTTCCTCTCCCCTTGATCCTCGGTCTCTTGTCCGACCAGGCTACTCCGGGCGCTATCATACCCATGACTCGATCGAACGCTCAGCTCAGCATCTGCATCTAGAGTTACAGCTAACCCCTCAGGCGGCACCTCCATCTCCTCCTCTTCCTGACTCTAACGTCCGATCCCCCTCTCGCGCCCCTCGCCATCCGCACCTTCTCCCACCTCCTTTCCCTTCTCTCTCCTTCCGCCTTAGCTCCGCTACTACCCTCCGTCACCTCGCACTCCGCCGAAGACCCCGACTGGTTCACATGGGACGAGCCCCCCAAAGGCAGCATCGACCGGTCCGTCCGCCGGTTCATGCGCCGCGCGATCGATTCCGGCGTCTGGGCTCTACTGGCGGAATACAAAGTGAAGGGCAAAGAAGAAGATGCGCTGGTGAAGGTGGAAAGAGAGCTGAAGTTGGGGGCGGGGGCTGTGAAGCTCGAGAGTGGGAAGAAGGGACGGGGCAGGCCGAGGGCAAGTAAAACGGCGGTGGTGCAGCCCGAAGAGGAAGAAGAGGAGGAAGAGCAGGAAGAAGTGGAGGAGGAAGAAGACGAGGAGAGGGAGGGGGAGCGGGAAGAGGCGATGGGGAGGAAAGGAGAGAAGTTTATTGGTGGGAAAGGGTGGGAGGTGTTGGGGCTGTTTGTGGAGATGTGGAGGGAGGATCAGAGGGAGCATCTGGCGAAGCATCCGAATGAATGTGAGTCCTAGCTCCTCGGGTGTTTCTTGGCCTATCCGCTCTTCTCCCCTCAAGAGGCGTCTCCACCTTGGTGTAGGCAATAGGAAGCTGGGGGCGTATGGGTATACCCCGGCACTCCCCCACCGTTCACATTCATTCCCCGCCTGTCTAGTGTCCTCCACCCAGCTCTCGCCCACTTTGCACGCGATATGACTGAAGCTGACATCCCAGCGTGGTCCCCTCTCTTCCTGCAACAACTCCCGCAGCCCTACGTCAGCCGGGACCGCAGCGTCAAGACCACACTCCAGATGGACGATGCGTCTCTTGCGCTGAAAGCTATCCGTGCGGGGTTGTTGTTCTGCGCAGCGGACGATGTGGAGAGCAGTGAGAAGCGTAGAGTCAGGGAGATTTGCGCGGGAATTTTGAGGCTGGTACGTGACCTTTCATTTCGGCGAAGATGGCTCTTCTCCCTCATCATCCCATTCACGGTTTCTTCTGGACACCTATCGCTCGAGCTCCCACTGCATGCCTGATTGGCAACCAGTCAAAAGTGGACCAAGCTGACCTCTCCAGCTGCTAGACGCCACCACTCCCCAAAACGCGCCGTTCCACCCCCCCTCCCTCCTCTTATCCCTAATCACCCTCTTCCGCCCCCTCTCCCCCTCGTCCCTCCGCACCGCATTCTCCTTCATACCAGCTTCGACCCCGCTGTACGCCCACCTCCTCGCGCTGGGCGTGGAGGATCTCGCCGGGGTTCGGGGCACGAATGTGTCGGAACGAAAACGGAGCGCCGAAATCTTTGGGAGAGAGTTTGATTTGAAGTGGAGGGAAGAAGGGGACGAAGCAGCGGGGTCGGGGGCGAAGGTCAAGAAAGTAGCGTTCCCTCCTCCAAGAGTGTCGTTTCTCGCTACGCTGCTGCTACTCCAGCCGCAGACTGCCTCGGAGGCGGGCAAGATGGGACGTAAAAGCGGGGCAGGAGGGGGCTTTATTGGCGGACCGGAAACGCCAGAGAAGATGGGGTGGTTGAAACGTCAGCTTGTATTGTGGGCGGGAGTGCATCAGGGGCCTGGACCAGAGTGGGGGTTTGGGAAGGATGAGGCGTGGGCGGGGAGGTTGAAGCAGGAGATGCCGGAGGGAGAGGGGGAGGAGATCTTGGAGTTGATTAGGGATTTGGAGGGCTGATGCATATCTTAAGTGGTGTTTGTCAGCTGGGGCATCAGTTGCCGGTCAGACTAGGTATGGGTGGGTCTTGATATAAGAGACACGGGGCATCCAGTACAGTCTCAGCAGGATTTACTAAGCGCATCCAGACAGCTAGGAGTATCCGAGTCCGCTCTACCCGCTCTACCTCAGCATGCCACTACTTCCCCAGCCTCAGTCCAGGCTGAGATCACACAAGACTCCCGCCTAAACACCGCTTCTTTTCCGCACATTCCACTCATCAACCACGCCACATCAACACTTCCCCACATCCTGATGACCGCCAGATCTCGCACATTCCCACCTCCGCCCGCAATGCCTCAAAACTGCCTCGGCCCCAACTCCCTCTCCAGCGCACTTCCGGGATGTTCCAGAGCGTCCGCGCCCGTATTGACATCCTCATCTCCGAACGCCGGACCGACGCCCGCGTGAGGCTGTTGAGGGGGCGGAGGGGCAGGCGGGAGGTCGTGACTAAGTAAAGCATCAGCTTGTGTCCTCTACTTTGGCTCGGGCAGACCTGAACGCCAACTCCCGCTGCTCCTCTTTGACTCTTTGGCCTGGAACCCGCCGAATCTTCGTTTGCCTCTTCTATCGTCTCCGAGACCTTCGGCTCTTCTTAGCCTGCACGTCCGACCTCCTCCGACCGCCCTGCTTCCCCTTTGTCCAGACGAGACCGACCACTCCAAACGCAGAAATCAACAAGAAGTATTCACCCTCTAGGCGGAACCGGCGCCGTCTGCCTCCTGACCAACTGCCTGAACGTCTGCACCTCCTTGATAATCAAGTTCCGCATCCCCGCCGTCTCATTCTCATTCTCAAAGCTAAAGTCGAACGGCTGATGGGTCAGCCCAAATCATTCCTGACTATCCCGTGCTGGAATTGCAAAACTGACCACTTCGCATACGGGCTCATCGGCCGGGTCGTGCCATACCGACAGACTGTACCGTAAGCTCTAGCCCATCTCAGTGTCTGCTCAGAAGGAGAAGAAGCAACGGAGCTTACTAAGGATGCGCCAATGCCTCTTCGCAGCTAAGCCGCTTGGCCGGGTCGAACGCGAGCAATTTCTGCAGGAGGTCAAGCGCGGTAGGCGAGGCGTTGGGGTAGAGGGTCTTGAAGTGGATTCTGGGCTTGATGGGGAGGGACCGGATGTATCTAAGGGTCAGCTTTAGCTGCGCGGCGGGGCAAGCGGATAGCTGGCGGGCGAGAAAGGGTGATTGAGGCGGAGGTGGAAGTAATACGAGAGACAAAAAATATCGCTTTTTTTCGTGGGAAAAGACGAGGTGTAGTGGAGAGAGAGTAGAGAGGTCATACGCGGAGTGAAGTCGAGAGCGAGGCAGAGTAGGGGAAAGTTCTTGACCTTAGGAAAAGACTTACTCCTGCGCCCTTGTCGACCCGACCCGCCTCAACGTCTCCTCCGTTGGCGTCCCCAAATAGTTCAGAATCTTGTTGAGCTGGTCAACATAGTCTTCACCCTTGAAGATCGGCTTGTTGCCGAGGAGCTCAGCGAGGATGCACCCGACGGACCAAGTATCGACTAGATGATCAGCTCATTGAACGATCTCAACATCTCCTGGAAGTCGCGCAGTGGAATGATGGAACCACATACTACTTGATGTCTGTCATGTCAGCTACACGTGCCTTGTCGACCACCATAAACACACGACAACTCACATAGTTCGCAAAGCTCAACATGATCTCCGGAGCTCTGTACCACCTCGTAGCGACATCTGCCCCATCAGCTTTCCGTCCCTACCGACGGGAGGTTAACGCTGGCTCACACTCAGTCATATACCCGGCAGCGCCCTGATCCGTCTGCGCCGCGCCAGGCTGGAAACCCCGCGCCAAGCCAAAATCGCAGATCTTGAGCTCGCAGTCTGCGTTGACAAGGAGGTTCCCGGGTTTGAGGTCACGGTGGAGGACGTTGGCGGAGTGGATGTACTGCCTGTCAGCTGGGTCTTTAGGCGGTATCGGCACGGAATGTGAGGAGTATCAAGCATAGAAGTAGAGGGATTGGGAAGCTGAAAGGGAACTTACTTTCAGCCCACAGAGGGTTTGATAGATGAATGACTGGAAGTGGGCGTCTGAGAGGGGTTGACCGGAGCGGATCTAGACATCAGCTGATATGCTCGAGGGTCACAACCAAGCACCTTCGACAACTGACGATAGCATGAAGATCCGCCTCCATGAGCTCCTCGTAAAGGTAGACCTCGTTGAACATGCCCGACCCGGGCGGGTCAAAGACCAAGTCCATATCGTACAGACTAAAGTCAGTTACATCATGGTCAGTCCTCACCAAGTAATCTATCATCAGCTCGTCCAACCACCAACTCACATTCTTGTGTCCCCTAAAGTGATGCAGAAGCCTCAATTCCCGCAAGCACCGCTTCGTCAGAATCTACATCAGCTCCCTTCGGCCGTTAGACGCACCTTCTTCGTGAACACGTTAGTGACCTTCTTGACTGCACATGTCTCGCCGCTTTGCGCATGGCGCGCAGAGGAGACGCATCTGTCGTTAGTCACGTCTAAAGGAGGGCATACCCATACGCTCCCTGGCCGAGCTCCTTGACGAACTGCCATGGCTGCTGGAGGACGCTACGGGTCAGCACGAGCTAAGCAAGCAGAGGAAAGCTTACTAGACGTTACTGGGGGTCTGAAAGAGCTGCCTGGGTGTATTGTCCATCTTGCTAGCTGTCTATAGATGATGTATGATATCAAAGGCAGTATGAAGATACCACCCCCACAGCATGTCCGGGGCGGAGTCGGATCTGACCGATATCCGGATACTCCCCCGGAATTTAAAATTTCCGGCTGACGTAAATTGAATTTCCGACTGGGCAACTTCGCCAGATTTCTCGTCCACCCATATCACCGCCACCCACAGCTATGCCACCTAAAGCACCAGCACCGGCAGCCGCACCGGCAAAGGCACCAGCCAAGTCAGCGCCTAAGGCTCCGCCAAAACGTCCAGCTCCTGCTGGCTCCTCATCGGCGGCTGCGTCATCCTCGTCAGCACCGAGGAGGGTGACCAAACCCCCCGTTAAACCCTCCACCGCCGCCTCATCCTCGAAACCCCCTCCCAAACCCCCAGCTCGCACAGGCGCCGCCGGACCATCCACAGGCATCAAGCCTCGCGTCGCTCGTACAGCTGGACCAGCTCCGGTCGACCGCAAACCTGATATCAAGCCTGAAATCAACCATGGCGAGGAGGAATGGGCGGAACTTATGAAGAAGACGTACGCGAACAAGGGGTCGGATTGGTACGCCAAGGGCGTCAAGTCTGTCGAGGTGAGTACTAGATGCGACAAAGCTGATTTCAGGAAAAATGGGAACTCTTACCGGCCTTCCTCCAAGTCAAGGGGCTGGTCAAGCAGCATCTCGACTCGTTCAACTATTTCGTCAATGTCGATATCAAAGCGATCCTCGCGGCCAACTCGCTCGTCGTCAGCGACATGTCGCCCAACCACTTTATACGGTACCTGGATATCCACGTCATGAAGCCTATGCGGGTCGAGGGCGGGTCGAATACTATGGTCACGCCTATGGAATGTCGATTGACGGACTCGACATACTCGGCGGCCATCCTCGTCGATATAGAGTATACAGCGGAGGACAAGATCAAGCGGATGAAGGGTGTGCCAATAGGCAAACTGCCCATCATGCTGCGGAGCGAGCTGTGCTGGCTGAACGCGATGGGCAAGACGGAGAAGGATCTGGCGAGGATGGGGGAGTGTCCGTTGGACCCAGGCGGATACTTTGTGGTCAAGGGGACGGAGAAGGTGATTTTGGTGCAGGAGCAGTTGAGCAAGAATCGTATCATCGTCATGGCGGATTCAAAGAAGGATGTCGTTACTGCAGAAGTCACATCGTAAGTCCCACGACGGCTTGGCTGATAGATCAACGCACGACCGAGTCGTCAAGACCTACGTCACGACCAAGAGCGGGCGTTTATACCTGCGACACAACTCGTTCAAGGAGCTCATCCCTATCGTCATTGCGCTCAAGGCGATGGGAATTACGTCGGACAAGGAGATTATTCAACTTCTCTGCGGGACGGACGAGCGGTATCAAGAGGCGTTCGGGGTGTCGCTCGAGGAGGCTGCCAAGAACAAGATCTTTACGCGGAAACAGGCGCTCGAGTGGATCGGGGTGCGGACGTCTCAGAACCAAGAACTCGCCGCTCCCGGAACGCAAAAACTCACCTACTCGGATATCGCGAATCAGGCGCTGGCGGCGATGGTGCTCGGACACGTACCAGTGCGGGACATGAACTTTCGGCCAAAGTGCATCTACCTCGCGACAATGGCGAGGCGGGTGTTGATGGCGATGATTGATGAGAGTATGGTGGATGATAGGGATTACGTCGGGAACAAGCGGCTAGAACTGTGAGTCGATGCCAGGACTAGCTGACGATAGTGCTGGTCAACTCTTGTCGCTTCTTTTCGAAGACTCGTTCAAAACCTGGAACTCGGAAATCAAAAAGTCAATGGACAAGCTTCTCGAAAAGAAGGCACGGACCGCTTTTGACGCGTCCAAGCTCCTCCTCGCCGGTCAAGGCTCCATCACCAACGCGTTCGTCCGGTCCATCTCGACCGGGAACTGGTCGCTCAAGCGGTTCCACGTCGAGCGGGCGGGCGTCACCCACGTCCTTTCCCGGCTGAGCTTCATCGCCGCGCTGGGGATGATGACTCGGATATCCTCGCAATTCGAAAAGACACGGAAAGTCTCGGGTCCGCGTGCACTGCAGCCGTCCCAGTGGGGTATGCTCTGCCCGTCCGATACCCCCGAAGGCGAGGCGTGCGGTCTTGTCAAGAACCTCGCGCTTATGACACACATCACTACGGATGTACCGGAAGAACCCCTCATCAAGCTGGCATTCATGCTGGGCGTCGAGGATATATCCCTCGTCACCGGCAATGAGCTCTACCGGCCCGGGGTCCACCTCGTCCAGGTCAACGGAACGCTCATTGGCGTCACCCACCTCGCTCGCCGGTTCGTCGATACCTTCCGCAAACTCCGTCGGGCCGGTCGGACCTCGGAATTCGTGTCCATCTACATCAACCACCATCATCGCATGATCTACATTGCGTCGGACGGAGGGCGGATCTGCCGGCCGATGATTATCGTCGAGAAGCAGCGGTCGAGGGTGACGTCGGCGCATATGCGTCTCCTGAAGGAGGGGAAGGTTACGTTTGACCACTTCTTGCGTTCAGGGCTCGTCGAGTACCTGGACGTGAATGAGGAGAATGACTCGTTTATCGCGTGCTATGAGCACCAGATCGAGGAGGGGACGACCCACCTCGAAATTGAGCCTTTTACCATCCTCGGCGCGGTCGCCGGTCTCATCCCCTATCCCCACCACAATCAGTCTCCTCGAAACACCTACCAATGTGCCATGGGCAAGCAGGCGATCGGCGCTATCGCCTACAACCAGCTCAACCGGATCGACACCTTACTGTACCTCATGACGTACCCGCAGCAACCGATGGTGAAGACCAAAACGATCGAGCTGGTCGGGTACAATCGTCTACCCGCGGGTCAGAACGCAACGGTCGCGGTCATGTCGTTCTCGGGGTATGATATTGAGGACGCCCTCATTGTCAATCGCGCCTCGGCGGACCGAGGCTTCGGGCGGTGTCACGTCCTCAAAAAGCAGACCATTCCTATTCGGCAATTCGCCAATGGGTCCTCGGAGCGGCTGGCGTTCCCTCTCGACCCGCCTCGGCCGGAAGCGTACGCATGGGTCGATCGGGCGGACGGGATCATTGCGCCGGGCTCGCACGCCAACCAGGGCGATGTCCTCATCCACCGCGAGACCCCCGTCGATACCCGCGGTGGGAGCCGGTCCGACACGTACAAGCCTACGCCGATTGCGCACAAGCTGCCGGAACCGACCATGATTGACAAGGTGTTGATTACGGAGGGGGATGACGGGGCGATGGTCAAGATTTTGACGAGGCAGACGCGGCGGCCAGAGCTAGGTGACAAGTTTTCGAGTCGGCATGGGCAGAAGGGGGTGTGTGGGTTGATTGTCCCGCAGGAGGATATGCCGTTCAATGATCAGGGGATCGTGCCGGATATTATCATGAACCCGCATGGTTTCCCGTCCAGAATGTGAGTTCGAGCGAGCGCAGCGATCGAGCGGGGAGGGTGATGGGTGATGGGAAGGAATAATCGGAGAGAGGTGGATTTCGGGAGATAGGCCGGGGGTCACGTCTGGCGGCTGGACAGAGGAAGACCTTGCTCCGCTTGACCTAAGCTGACCTGCAGGACGGTCGGGAAGATGATCGAGCTCCTTTCCGGGAAAGCCGGCGTCGTCTCCGGCGCTCTCCAATACGGTACTGCCTTCGGCGGATCCAAAGTCGTCGACATGAGCAAGATTCTCATTGACAAGGGCTTCAGCTATGCCGGCAAGGACATGTTGACGAGTGGGATTACCGGGCAGAGTTTGGAGTGTTATGTCTACTTTGGGCCGATCTATTATCAGAAACTGAAGGTGAGCTGGGTTCCTTGGAAGTGGAAGGGCGCAGCTGATGAGGTAGCACATGGTCATGGACAAGATGCATGCTCGGCCGACTGGACCGCGAGCGAACCTAACGCGTCAGCCGACGGAGGGAAGGAGTAAGGACGGTGGATTGCGTTTGGGGGAGATGGAGCGGGATTGGTGAGTCTGCTTTTCTGCCTCTTCCTCTTGGCCCTTTTCCCATTTTCGCCTTGCCGGAAGATAATCTCATATGTTCCGGACTCAAGCTGACTTTCAGTCTTATCGGATATGGCGCCACCCAACTCCTCCTCGAACGGCTCATGATCTCCTCGGACGCGTTCGAGACGCAAGTCTGCGAGATCTGCGGGATGCTCGGCTATAACCAGTGGTGTCCTATGTGCAAGACGGGGAAGGGGATCATCAAGTTGACGATCCCGTATGCGGCCAAGCTATTGATACAGGAGGTGAGTTTACTTTGCTTCTGGGTTTGGGGCTCAGCGAGGAGGAGGAGGCGCGAGATGTGGCGGAGCTGGAGTGGGACGCGGGCTGATGGAGAGTGTATCTCTGCTAGGGACACAGCTGACAATGCAGTTGATGGGGATGAACATCATGCCGAGGTTGTGTATGGAGGATACGGTATAGGAGGGTATAGGCGGTAATGGGGTCAGACGAGGGCCATTGGGCAGCTGGGCGGGTAGAGCCCTTAGAGTTTGAGGTCACGACACATCATGTATTACACCATCACGCCCATGCTACGTCCTGAGGCGTATAACGGCGGCTCTGCTGGGCTGCCCAGGCCTGCTGTTTGACGCCACGTATAGCCTGAGCTGGTTCAGAGCTGGAGTACTCCTCGGTCAATGCGCACGGACTGGATTTGTGTGGTCTCGAGCGAACTTTGGCTCTACCGCAGAGCTTCAGCTTCTCGATCTACCTTACCTCCTCATCGAAGCAATATGGCCCAATCTATCGCATCCGGATCATCGTCGAATGGGCTGGGATACAGCTCGAAGCGGGAGATCGCTACTGAGGAGCTGGTGGTGGAGAAGAGTGGCGGAAAAGCTGGCGGCAAGGGGGAAGACGAGCTTGAGATCAGGATAGAATTTGGGTCAGTACAGCTCCGTCTCTGAGAGGCGCCGACAGCTTGAGGTCGCTGTCATCGATGAGGACTCTCTGCCTATAGTGCTCTATAAGCTGATACCTTAGCGGCGGCCTCCATCTGCTCTTCTCGCAGCAACCGAGACATACGGTCCACCTCCCCCGACACACACCTTCCCCTGCCGCATCCTCAGATCCCTCTCCCGAACCAACAGCATCAGAGGCGGCCGACAATCATCCAGCGACGATGAGGGATCTAATAAGGCATATGAAGCGGACGATATTGAGCGAGCGGGAGGAGATGTTTGGTGAGGGAGATGGAGTGTGAGTTGGCTTTCTCGATTCTGAAACAGGCGAGGCGAGGCTTTTCTACTGCAAGACGACCAGAGAGGCGGGAGAGCTTAGCCTGAGGATACGAGCTGATACTATAGTCGACCTGGAATACTCGTCCTCATCAATGACGCAGACTGGGAACTTGAGGGAGAGCTCGAGTATGAGCTGAAGGACAGGGATGAGGTCGTTTTCATATCGACCTTACATGGCGGATAGGCTGTACGGTGGAGCTGCAGACATATGGAGGCGCACTACGCGCTGTACAGATCCCGCGGTCTGATCTCCGGCTGACTCGCTCTTACAGGTTACGGGGTTCCTTTCACCATAAACCCCCTGGCTACTCATCAGGACCCCCTTGTCTCCGCTGGACGGCGATGATTGCCCTGACATTGCACAATGACGTCGCCTACATCACAAGCAGCCGGGGGTAAGCGCAAGGCAATCGAGCTACCTGTGAGGCTTCGAAAGCACACCCGGACTCGCAAGGGTCCCGAGAGCGAGACGCAACGAACCGCTCTCGAATCATTCGGGACCGTAACTGCTCAAGTCATGCCCATCATCCATCACATCGCCAAGCATGTTCACATACCTGATGCCGACGATCCCAGCATGCCTGATTACGAGCTGACCCAGCTGGTCATGAAGTTGGACTATCACCTATCGCTCTGTGAAGAGGCAGCGGATCATTTGCTTGCTGGGGACGATTGGAGACTCGGCAAGGAAGATATGGAGTCGCGGTGCGATGAGATCTGGACCGCAGTCAACGACAGAAGGGTCCAAGACCTGATCAGCACCGAAGGGGGCTTCAGCGAAGAGGGCATGAAGAGTCGCCTAGTGCTACATGGCGTGCTATCGTCAACCATCAAAGCACAACTTCCGGTTAAATCTAAAGCCCCTGTCAAGACTCCACAATGGTGAGCTCATACTTGGGTCAGAGCTGATGCCCAGGAGCCTCGAGAACCTCCACTCTATTCTGGAGCACAATTATCGGCCAGATGGCGACATACCGTGGCAGGTCGCCGCCTACCTCGATTCTACCATATCTGAGGCAGGTCTGCTCGATAAGAATACTCATTGGTTTGATCTGGTCAACCAGCACTATGATCAGAATTACTCACCAGACGACCTAAGGACCATTGGCATATCGGGACGAGACGAGGAGGCCGCCGGTAAATTAGCCCGCGCGCTCATGAGAGAAGAAGGGGTGTCCATCAGGGCCGAACGGGAAGCAAAAGCTGAGAGAATGGGTACTAAACACACCACCTCTGATACGGGCAAGTCGGCTGAATTGGATGAGGAGACATCGGTTGGGCACAGCGCTGATGAGGATGGTGATGAGCCTGAAGGAGGTGGAGACGAGGATGATGACGGAGAGAAGGACGAAGAAGTAGATGATAATGGCGGGAGTGAACACGGCAGTGAAGATTCCGCGTTGGGTGATATGGAATGAGACTCCATGTTCGCAGCGCGCCCCTTCGCGCGCGGATGTGATCTGCTGACTGCGGCTCTGAGCTGGTAACGCTTATGTTTCCGGCGCCAGTGCAGATGCATCTATGCTGATGGCCCGAGCTATGATGTTGGCCAGGCGTCAGTGAGGAAGCCATGATCCTAGGGGGACACTGTCGAGGTCATGATGCTCCTCCTGACTGGCCAGAAGATCCACCTTACGCCCTGTCCACTCCACTGAGGGTCCCAGGCTCCTTTCACTTATTCGCATCCTTTCACCTAACCTGCGCTCTTCTGACCTGAAACTCGACCGTCTCGACGCTAGCTATCCTTTGACCCAAGCCTGCGCACTGCCAGCAACCCTGCTCTCTGATCGCTTGGGGGCTTTTGTCTCTCATTCTCAATCACCTGATATCGACGACATGTCCCACACCCTCACTGCCCGCGACTCGGCCCTCGAGCTCTACAGGCTGGTCACAGGCCTGCTGACTGATCACTACGACTACGACGACATACTCGACAAGCTCAAAGCGAGCATGTATGGGATGCCTGGCGTCGTCCGGGGGGAGGTCAGGCTCCTCGACGAATTTGCGAACGAGATGTTCCGTTGTACCAAAGCTGCGGACGTACTTCTGGGCGGCGTCACTCCGAAAGCCACCAGCATCAATGACATTCCCAAGTCGATTAATCGACTTCGGCATCTACTGGAGGACGGCACGGTGAAGAAGTACCTCAGAACGACTGACTTTGGCGCCGCGGCGTTCGATTCCGGCGGGGATGAAGCGGAGACAAGCATTCGACACACCCTACACCAAGTACTGCTGTCATGCCTTGAGCGGAATCATCGCGACCGCCAGTTGCCCGGCTCGCTGCTCTGGTGAGTTGTACCATGATTGTCCACTGACAACAGGGACTTTTCCGAGCTGGCCACCATCGCAACGACAGTATTGAAGACGACTTGCGCAGACGATGTCATGTACCATATGTTGGAACACCTCCATACCCTCCAGTCAGCGGCCGACTTCAATACCGAGATGTCCTGGGCGGAAATGATGTCCGTTTGCCCCGACGGTCAGAGCCTGGCACACCTCGGCGTCCCCGCATCACAGCGAGGTGCGGCGAGATTGCTCGCTGCTGACATCCATGCGAGGGAATTCGCGCACGATCTGGCGGAGAGGGAAGAGGATTCCGACATGGAAGAAGGGCCATATCCGGAAGAGGTGGCGGAGACGGAAGAATTGGCGGAGATGGCGGAAACCATGGGGACGATGGATATTAGCGGCGAGCGGGGAGAGGGATCTCAGACTGATTTCGACGTTGTGATGACGTTTGATTGACCGCTACGATCACCTAGAAGGGCGAGGACTGTCTGTAGGTCACCGTGTTGCGAAGCTCCACGTTGATACATGCCGTCCCTTACTGCAATTACTGACAGCAAGAAGGGAGATCGTCTAGCGTACAGGACGGCCCTGATATGACTTTCTGATGCCCGTCGTGGAAAACTCTCTACTCTATAGCAAGGGGGATGTCTAACGTACCCTTGCAGCGGAGCTCACCACATCTCGTCTGGCTGAGCTGCGAGGTGTAGGGTGTTGACTGATCCCCATACCTCGTTACTCAGGCTGAGTTAGTTGTTCCCCGGGGAATCGTTGGAAGGATGTCTGAAGCACCAACTTCTACACTTCAGAAGCTCCTTCGATGTAGGACCCCTAGCACGCCATCCCGAGTGACTTGCTGGGTTGCGCTGCCCCTTAAGTGCCATTTAGCAACTCCTTTCATAAGGAGCACAGCTTGTACCACCCAAGCTGCAGACATCTCAGCGCATCCTTACACGTCAGTTCCTGGGTGAGACTGAGCGCCTCCGTCGAGGCAGGCAGCGCAAGCTGGACCTCTCGTCCGACCGAGGGCTGTAAAACTCTTCTCTGTCCCTCTTGCTTCTACTATCGACTTTGAATTTCGAACTCAAGCCCTCTACCCAGCACATTGTCACACGATGCCCCCATCGACGTTACGCTCCGACAGCTCCGACAGCGACGACGAACCTATCGTCCATCCTCCCTCCCGACTCCAGGACACAGCATTCGCCATCCTCGATGAGTCATTCGCGGCATTGATCAAGGCTCTCGATCCCGCGCTCGAAGCGAGCACGAATGACCCCCAAGAGTACGCCACTCGTACGAAGATCGACAAGGCTGTCACATTGGTACGCAATGTCGGCGCAGTCCTCATCGGCGGACGGGACGATTTCGAGAATGCCCTGCAGGGAGATTGGGAGGGCAACGTGGAGGCTGCCATGGACCTGCTTGACGAGACCTTGGAGGATCCAGGAGAAATTTGTGACGAGCATGTCGCAAGACTGGCGCAGCTGATCGCCACGAAAGTCTGGCAGACCGCGAAGTCCCGCAAACTGAGCCTACGCCTTCCCCCGTGGTGAGTTGTGCCACCAACGACAAGACTGACCTTAGGCAATCTCTGGAACTCCGACGAATCGCAGAACTCGCTCCATTCTTCGACGCCCTCAAGCCTGACATGGACATCAAGGGCGACAGTGACGACGAAGACGCTGATGGTGATACGCGGGTCGGAAACGATACTGAGACCATCACTGGCGCCACGCAGACCGAAGGGGACACTGCGACCGTCACCGGCAACACATTGGCCGATGATGACCGTGCGACCATTTCGGGTTTTCAGTCCGAGTCTCGCATCCCATGCAAAGGGACCTTCAATGATATCATGGCCAGGAAGGTCTTCGATTACCTGTGCGCAACGGTTGACGACGCGATCATGAGTACGGCTGTGAGCAGGGGTCTCTCTGTTGAGGGGAGAAACGCGACGGGAGTGTGGGGAGACCTCCGACCCAAGCTGACCCCCAGCGGCGGAGGCCGTGAGCTGGGCCAGAGTCTCGACGTGCAGCTCTATGCACTGGAACAAGCCGAGATCCTTCCCGCGGATGTGCGAGATACGGTCGAGCTCTTGAGGTGGATGGAGACCGCGGGTGTCAGTCTATCGAGCAGCGGCGGAGCCTGATTCGAGGGGATCAAGTCGGTGCGCGTCAGCATGAATCCGCCCAGTGGGGAGGAGGCGGTGTGATCGGCTCGAATATTAGTCAGTGAAACGTGTTTTGTGGACCCTTGTGTATTCTGTAGTCGAGTATGTTCATTCAAGTATGCAGTCTTTGCCTGAAGTGCTGTCCGGTCAGTGAGGTGTCAGGGCATGGTCCGAGTGAGCCTGCCAGCGGGCCAACCTCAAGAGCCGCTCCCTGGCGAGCCACCGTCCAGGCCCGCGCTCAGTCTAGGCCGACGACAGCCCCATGCTGAAACCTTCGAGTCCCACCCAGCCCATGAGCTCAAAATAAGTATCGTAGACGTACAGCATACATGCCCCCTCATCCTCTCCAGAGTTAATCAAAAGTCAAAAGTTCAGAACCAATCTCGACGTCTAGTATCACACCCGTCTCTTCCACCTTGACCGCTCTGCTCCATCCGCCCACCCATCATCTGACCCCAATCCGTCCACCATCTCCAACATAGACCCTCCCTTCACCCAGAAAGCGGTCCTCCACCCCCAATCGCCACCCCTCCTATCCTCCCTCCCCCACGCCAGCGAAAATACGTCCAGATCAAAACAGCAGAAAGGGAGGAGAGAGGGGGGGTGAGAGAGTTCGTTAAAACAATACAAGAGCGATGTAGAGGATCGAGATGGCCCCGATGGATGATGAGGGCCAAGTCGATAGCCAAAGCCGGAGGTGGAGGAAGGGGATGCAGCCGGTGCGAGGTAGGTAGATGTTGATGGTACGGGAGGAGGGGTAGCGGATTAAAGATGATGTGATGTAAGGGGTAAGAGGTAAGAGGTAAGGGTATGGATGGTGTGGGGTATCGGTATCGGCGCCAGTCGCTATAAGATCCCGCTGTCCCGGAGGGCATTTTGGAGGATCGTCTCTTTGACGGCGGCGAAGACGAGGCGGATCTGGGGTATCAGCTTGGGTTCAAGGGGGTAGGAGAAGATCATGACAGGTCGGAGTGGTGGACGAGTGAAGGTTGGGATGATCCTTGAGCGACTCCGGTACTCCGCCAATCCCCACCGTCCACCTCTCAGACCCCGATGCCCGATGCCCAAACAGCGTCCACCCGGCCCCTCCTCCGAGATGCCGTCCTGCCTCTTGTCTTCCATCTTCCGATCCCCTACAAAATCCCCTTCGCCCATCCGTAGACCCATCTTCTGCTGCTACCTCATCTCCTGCTCGTCCCTCCCGGTCCTAACGCCCATCCTTCAGCTCATCCCCGCCCACATCCCCAACATCACCCCACCATATCCCCACCCATACCCTCCCCTACCCAAATCCAGATCTCGACCCGACCAAACTCTGACTCACATTACTAGTATCCGTAGCCTGCGTCAAATGGGGATACACGCTCAACCTCGCTCTATTCGTTTGCGTAAACCTCCACAATATATACTTGGCCGCCTTATTGATATCCGCCCCGCCCGTGTATTCCGGGAAGTAGTGTACGAGTGGTACTTTGGGTAATTTTTGCTTGAAGACGTCAATCTTGTTGAGAAACAGAATGACCGAGGTGCGTAGGAACCAGCGCGAGTTGATGACTGATTCGAAAAGGACGAGGGATTCTTGCATTCGGTTCTGGAATCAGATCAGCCTTTGTCCATCAACCAAAAAGAAGGGGAAGATGAGAATAGTTCTCACTTGTCCATTCTCTTCCAGCAGAACCTGATCATACTCGCTCAGCGCCACACAGAAGATGATACTCGTCACCGCCTCGAAACCTGTCCGTTAACGCAGCTCCGAAACCATTCCTCCACGGAATCTACTCACAATGTATCCACTTCTTCCGCTCACTCCGCTGCCCGCCTACATCAAACATATGTATACTCAATTGCCCCATATTGAACCTCGTCTCGCTGATCCCCGTCGTCTTTGTTCGCGCCCTTAATACATCCGCCTCGTCCGGGATATACTCTGGCATCTTGATCTTGCCAATGAGTCCGAAAAAGTAGGTCGCGGAGTCCATGAGGTAAAACTCGGATGACCGGTCCATGACGGACGGTATGACGGGGTCGTGCCATAACGAGTCGACATTTTGGAGAATGTCGGACGAGACCAGCGCGAGTGGTTCGGCGTCTATCCTATATTCGAGGATCCGGTCCGCGTAGGTCTGAAGTCAGCCCAGACTCGAGCGACGGTACGGAAGACTCACTCGGTTGTTTGGCTCTTCTGGATCAACACCCAGTTTCCGCATCGCCATGATCAGCGCTTGTGCTGAATCGAGCACGTTTTTGTGTCTGCCATGAGCAACGCGCAGGGCAAAAACTCACACTACCATCCGGTACTGCAGCAGCTCGTCTTTGGTGTACCCATTCTGATGTATAATCTTCATCTGCTTGACGATTGTCGATTTACCTGATTCTCCCGAGCCTAAAGTCAGCCCGGAAGTACACTGAACCCACCTAGGAGCAAGATCTTGCACTCCTTTTTAAACTTCTTGGAATCATCCTCCAACTGCCGGTCTATCGCATTGCTCCGGTTATTGCCCCCTGGTCCCTTGTCTGCCCCGCCCGCTGGTGCTTCCGCTAAAGCCGCGCCTAGCCCCTGCGCAAAGGAACTCCCGTTGGCTGTCGGTGGTGGTGAAGTGTCTGAGGGGCGGGATGCGGGTGGGGCGGAGGGAGGTTCGGTGCGTGTAGGTTGGGCGGTGGTGGTTTGTTTGGTGGATGGGGAGGGCTCCTTGGCCGGTGAGGATGTACAGGCGCCCATGGTGGATGAGAGGTGGATGAGAGGTGCGGGATCGAAAGAGCTGCAAATAGTCAGCATGTTCCACTTGAATGGATGGGTTTGCGGTTACCCCGATTGAGGTAAAGAGTCCAGGATTCAGCGAGGTGATGGTATACTCACAGTACGGGCTGCCTGCTGAGCAGATCCCCAGCCTTGTGCTTGGACTCCTTGCCTCGGTCCAGTCCTATCCTATACGCCCAGCTTGGTTGTTTATGACTAAGCGCGTAATATCAAACGAGCTTCCGCCGCTATCTTTTGTCGGCTGTCGCGAACGAATCTGTATCCAAGCGATGTGTCGCAAATGTCCGCTCGCTAGCTGCGAGGTGGCTGGGTATGGGCGTAGGAGAGCGTATGTATGGTATGGTATAGTATAGTGTAGAGAGATGTGAAGATCGAAAGGGACAAGGGGGGACCCAGAGGCGCCAGAGAAGTGACGTGAAGGCCGTTTGGTTCCGCAAAGGTAAAGGCTGTGAACGGTAAAACAGTCCGCAGCTCCTCCTTGCTTGAGCGAAGAGGCGATGTTGGAGCGTAGAGATAGCTGGAGTTGTCTACTCAGTGTGTAGGCAGTGTGCAACGTGCATACAGCAACACCCACTCATCCCACCGGGCCTCATACCAAACTGCAGCAGGCGAAACCTGTTTTGGACCCGGTTCCTGTTTGGCGCAGAGGCGTTTCTAAGGGTTTGAAAATATAAAGCCGAAAGGGGGAATTCCGGGTAGAACCTTCAATTACGTCAAGGCGATCACCTGGCGCCCACTTGCCACAACAAGCTATTCGGTCAGTCGTGGCGGACAAGAGAGATCTGCAGTGGCGACGGTGGGTAGTCGGTGGGTGACTGTTCATGCACGTCCATGATCTGTGCGAAACAGGTATGGATCGGTCGGTCCTATCTTGTACTTGTTTGAGTGGGAGAGAAGGTATGGATCCTATCTACCGATAGTAGGGAGAAACAGAAGGGGGAAAGTGGCGCAAGAGATGGCTGACTGAGACATGTCAGCTGGCATCCTTTTACCCGATGCTCCGTACCGAAGGAGCTCGGCGCGGAGTCAGCAGGCACGGCGCCCGAGCCTGGAGGCGCTGTCACTGACATGGTGACATTGAGTCTTATCTCACATCCCCAGATCTAGTCCCATCAAGATCTAGATCTGCCATGTCTGACCCGATCCCTCCCTCAAAAACCACCTCGCTCAAGCGCAACTTCCAAATGCACCCCTCCCTCCTCCGCTACGCCCTCCCTTTATCCAAATTCGCCCGTCTCCCCTCCAACGCAGGAGAACAAATCTGGGTAGGGCTCATCATCGTCGGCAAGGGAGAGGTCCTCTCCCCTTCTGGACCGGAAGGAACCAAGCCCAAGCCCACGGCGCTTCTTGTCCGCCGGACCTCCTCCGAGCCCGCTACCGCTGTCAACTGCTGCTCTGATCCCACTGTCGAGTCAGGCCCACTGAGCTCAGGCCAAAGCATACATGTCACGAGAGACACCGCCCGCCTGCCGATATTCGAAGACGGGTACGACCTCCCCTCCCTCCCCGCCGAATTTGGGACAGACCAGACCCTCCTCGAGGCGGTAGATCGGTGCGCCAGAGAAGTGACCGGAAAGGGGGCGAAGGAGATCGTCAGGTTCTTGGGGAGAGGGGACTATGATCTTGTTTCGCCTGCATCAGCTAGAAGTGTGGCGGAGGTGGCGGAGACGGGCGAAAAGACATGTGCAGCTGCCGCTGTGGGCCGCGCGGTGAGGTACGATTTCCTCGTCAAGCTCCATCAGGGGGAGATGGTGTTGCCTGAAGGGACGGAGGGGAAGTGGGAGGGCACGGATGAGAGCTGGAGGGTGATGAAGCGGGTTCCGGCGGCAACTGCGGCGGGAGCGGGGGCGGCGGTGTCAGAGTTAGAGGAATGAGCATCATCAGGGGATGAGAGTCAGCGGCAGGAAGAGCGGTCAGCGAGAGGGAGCAGGTACAAGTGACTCGGGTGATGGTATGGTCCGTCGGGGTCATCAGCGAGACAGTACATTCTTGACTCTAGTTGTAGACCCCGATCGAAGATATCTATGTACAAATCTTACTCCATCGCGCACAGCCAGCTCCCCTTTCCACGCCACGGAGTCATGGACTTTGCTTAGTACCCCATCACTCCCCTCCCTCTCGATCCACCCAACGCACCCTCCCCAAATGTCTCTTCCACCCTGATCGCGCCCCTCTCTCCCCATCCTCCGCCCCCGTCCCCGCCCGCAGCGCCAAGCTTGGGCGGCAGACCCGCCTCGTACGCTCGGCGCTGCAGTGCGATGTGCGCGGTATTGTTGGTTGTCCGGGGAAGCAGCGTGAGCGGCAAGAAGGCTTGACCATTTTCAGCCGATTCCGGGCTTGAGGTAGAGGTAGAGATAGGAGAGGGGAGGAGGGAGTTCCGGAGGATGACGTCCCCTGGATTGAGGGAGATGGGCGTGACGGGCAGGTCGAGGAGGTGTGGCCGATCTCCCCCTTCTCCTACTTCTGTAATCTGCTCCGTGCCCGCGCCACTGACTGCAGTGGACGAGGTGATTTCGGTCACCTCGGCGAGACGCCAGTTCGAGGCCGAGAGATACTCTGCCGAAGAGTAGAAAGAGATCCTCGATCGAACAGGACAGAAGAATGGGCGAAGCAGGGCGTAGGCGGCCGTGTGGATCGTCGAGTAGATGGAGGTGGGGGAGGAGGTGGGTGGGGTAAGCGCCAGATGGGAGAGGAGCGGGGTAGAAACAGCCGCGGTCTGTATATCAGCCAGTCTTCCCGATATCAATATCGATTGCGATCATCAAATAGCTCACCTCGTCCCGTACTGCCCAGACATCTCGAACATCCCCTGTACTCCATCGTCCAGCCCCAGCATTGCCCAGACCTTCCCTGACACTCTCGGCGAGGATGTACGCCTCGTCCCCCTCTGTGCCGGACAGAGCGGATAGGATGGCCGAGGATGTGTTGAGTAAAGAGGGATTGGAGCGCGCAGCGAGGAGAGCGGGGTGCCAGTATACCGCTAAACCATCAGTTTGGGCTCTTGGATCGCTGTTCAGAGAATGACTCACCGTCCCCACCCCGCCGGCTCATCGCTTCGGATATGTCCCTCGCCCATGCCAGTGCCAGCCCATCAGGGATGACATCCCGCACGACCACGCTTCCGGTGGATTTTATAGCTTGTGCCGCCGTTGGGTTCGCCAGGTATTCGCTCAAAGAGAGATACGATACTGCTGGGATTCTGGACTGTACCATCAGCGCCGCTCTCCTGCTTCCACCCCTTGAATAATCCAGAATGGCCTAAAGAGAGCAAAACAGGAACGGAAACTCACGCTATCCACTTTGGCTCGCTCCAACCCCTCCAGCGTCTCCTCCCATACCTTCTCCACCCCTCTCCGTCCCTCCTCAGACCCCAGCACCCCCATCGCCCAGGCCCTCCACGCCTCCGCCTGGCCTACTTCTGCGCCAGTACCGCCCGATACGCCCGCTGGGGGTATAGAGAAGCGGTACGGCGCGTTGATACGGCTCGTGTTGCTCCCTCCGGCGGTGCTCGGCGAGAGGGAGTGAGCGTATGGTGGCCTCAGTGATGGAGTGGAGCGGGGAGCGGTGGAGTGCGCGTAAGGAGGAGCGAGGGGCGGCGGGGTTGCTGAAGAAGAGGGGAGGGCCGAGAGTGTCGCAAGGAGACGGCGGGTCATTGTGTCTGGTGATGCGAGGCGAGAAGGATGGAGTGCGATGCGAAAGACGAGGAAGATCGGCTGGCTGTCTGGGCTGATGGGCTGGGCTGATGGATATCTCTTGCTAAGCGAGTCTCGAAAGAAGCAGAGAAGCCCGATAGGACCGGAGCAAGAGAGTTAGAGTTCTGTTAGCCCTTTTTGGTCTTGACGAATCAGACGCGCCCGTCAGCTTCAGACGGCTGTTGTAGATGATAGATGTAAAGTAAGGTGGACGGCCCCTGCCCCCTCTGCCATTCTTATATGCCCTCCTCATCGCCGACGCCGCCACCAGACCTCCGCACAATTAGCCGACGATAGCGAGGCCGAGCACGCCAGCGAAAAAAATCTGACCAAGACAGAGAACCCGGATCAATCTCGGAGGAATACGAGTAGATATCGGGTTTCGGGTCCGGAATCCGGGGGGTTTCGGGCGAGATGATACAGCCAATCAGATAGGAGATAGCGGGAGCAGATCAGGGCATGCTCAAGCTCAAGTCAAGTCAGCGTCCCCAGCGTCCTCTGCATTGGCTCTCATACTACATGGCTGATGCTTGCTGAAATGTGAGATCGGAGGGCTGAGCGAATGGAGAGTGAACCATGATTTGTAGGTGTGTTGTGGCAAGGAAGGACGTGCGGGTGAGGACAAAAGAAGCTCACTTCACTTTGGCTTTGGGCTTAGTTTAGTTTTGCCAATCTCCGCTGGCTAAGCCGTGCTCACAGGAGCTGATGGGCTGATCACAGACCTTACCCATACTTGTCAGCATAACTTTCAGCTATACTGACCCCCGCTCCCAGAAGGCACTCAACATGGCCGCAATCTTTGACGACGCTTTCGATGCGCTCCTCGACCGCCTCGTCAAGGACTGGGAGATCCCCGGTATCTCCATCGCCATCGTCCCTCTATCGACTTCACAGCCCGTCTTCAAGAGCTACGGCGTAGCATATGGCGATGAGTCCATCACTCCCAAGGTATGTCCGCCTCAGGTCGAGCTGATCCAGACCCGCTTCCCCATTTGCTCCCTCACCAAGCCCTTCACCGCTCTCACCCTCCTTCGCCTACTAGACGCGCACAACATCTTCCTCTCCGCCCCTATCAGCGATGTCATCTCGGACTTTCACATGCGGAACGAGGTGGACGGCGCAAAGGTGACGTTTGCGCACGCCCTCAGGCACGTTACGGGGGTGGAGACGGCGGATGTGATGTATACCGACCCAGCCGCCAAGAGGGATATAGTGAGTCACTGCCAGACCCTGCTGATGTAGATTGAATACCTCGCCAACCTGCCCTGTCCTCACGCCCCCGGCACCACCCCCTTCTATTCCAACTACCTATACGATATCATGGCCCTCGCGATCGAGAAGCTCAGCGGTCAGGCCTTTGCCGCTGTCCTTCCAGTGACGATCTTTGAGCCGCTAGGGATGAAGGATACCAGCTTTGTAGGCGTGGGAGGGGAGGATGTGGCGATGGGGCTGATTCCGAGATTGGCGAACGGGGCATTGGAGCCGGGGAAGGGGATCGCAACTGGCACCAGCCCAAAGACGGGCATGCAGTCAATCGGTACGAGGTGCCAGGGATCGTACAGCCTCATAAGCTCCGCAGAGGATATGGTAAGTCCCTCATTGCACCGCGCTGATCGTAGGCCAAATGGGTCGCTTCCCTCTCCCGCAACCCTTACTTCCCCACCGCCTCTTCCGGCGAGGTTGACGTCCCTCCCTCCTGGCGCTTCTTCCAAGCTCTGCTCGATGAGCCACTCAAGATCGGTATGGGCCTCTATCACGGCTCGCACGCCGGCGTGGACTTTATCGAGGGATGTGGCGCTACTGCTGGGTATCGGCACAACATGGCTTTGATCCCAGAGATGGGACTGGGTCTGGTGGTCTTGACAAGCTCAAAGGAGGGAAACGAGCTCAGCGCGGCAATCAAGCTATGGGCGATCAGGCGGTATCTGGGCTTGGAGACGGACTCGGTCCTCGAAGCGTAAGTCTAGGCTTGGCGGAGCTGATGAAGTGCCACCGCCGAGCGGGCCAAACGTCATCTTCAAGAATGCGCCGCGCAGCCCGCTGTATCTAGCACTGATCCAACTCGCCCTCATCCCATCGGAACGTATCTCGGTCCAGCCCTCGGAACATGGTACCTCACTCCCTCCACCTTTGTCGACGAGCGCCCGGAATGCGTCAACATCCCATATCTCCCCTGGCTGTACGGCGACTGCGTTCCCCTCTTGGCGTCTGTTGGAGAGGGCAAATACGAGGGCTGTATGAGATGGACGGACTGGGCGGATGGGAAGGTATACTATGGGTGTCCCTTCGCCGCAAGGGAGAAGGAGGGCAAGGGGGAGATATGGATCACAGGGTTTGAGTGGGGAGTAAGCGGGGAGATGTGCGTCCTGCGCCGGGTCTGAGCGGCTGACCGGAGTCTTACAGAGGTGCTCACTATGCGGTATTTTAATAGCTTGAAGCTGCGCAAGGGCCTTTGGATCGACAGGGACAGGGAGATGTAGCTCGTTGATCAAAGGGTTCTCATACTTGGCCTCCTTTGACTGCTGACGCCTTTGCTCAAACTACTTACTCGCTACTATACTCCAAATTCTGATGAGACTTCATACTCTTCACAAGCCTGCCACAAAGCTGTCCCCGGTCATGTCGTCTCTAGCAAAGCTTCTCAGGACCGGTCCGCTCAACATCCCCGCGGTGTTTAATGACGCATTTGACGCTCTCATCTCGCGCCTCATGCGGGAGTGGGAGATCCCAGGCGTCTCTATCGCTATTGCTCCTTTGTCTGGTGCTGCACCTGTATTCAAGGCATACGGCCTAGCTCATGGAGACGAAGCCATAACGCCCAAGGCAAGCGAACGCTGGGTCGTGCTGATATAGACCCGCTTCCCGATTTGCTCGCTGACCAAGCTCTTTACGACCCTCACACTCCTTCGGGTACTGAAGGAGCACAGTCTCGGCCCAGACACACCCGTCAGCGATGTCCTCCCGAACTTCAAACTCGAGAGTGAGGTCGATGGGGCCAAGGTGACGTTCGCGCATTCAGTCGGACACGCTGCAGGGATCGAGACGGCAGATGTCATGTACACTGATTCGGCAGCTCAGGAGGATATGGTGAGCTCAACAAAGGACTAGCTGATGCAGATCCGATATCTCTCCACCCTCCCCTGCTCAGCCGCACCCGGTACTACTCCCTTCTACTCCAACTACATGTTTGACGCCGCCGCGCTCGCTGTTGAGGCGCTTACGGGCCAGACCTTCGAGGTGGTGGTCAAGGAGAACGTCCTGGACCCTCTCGGGATGGCAGAAACGAGCTTCACCGGCACCGCTGGGGAGGACGTCGCGATGGGCCTCACACCTCGGCTGGACAAGGGGGAGTTGAAAGCAGGAATGGGGATATCAGTTGGGGTGGGGCCGAACACAGGCCTTCAGTCCTTAGGCCAGATGGGAAGGGGATCGTACGGGCTGATCAGTACCGCAGAGGATATGGTACGTTTCAGTCTGGGCTGGCTGACGTCAGGCAAAATGGACCGCCTCTCTCCTGTCCAACCCATTCGTCAACGCCGCATCCGCTCCGCGCCTCAACATGACGGACAAATGGCACCCAGGCGGATCACTCCTCGATGCGCCGCTCACGTACGGTATGAGCCTATTCCAGGGGTCCCACGCTGGGGTGGCCTTCCTGGAGGCGTATGGAGCCACCGCGGGATATCGGACCAATATGGCCATTATCAGGGAGCTCGATGTGGGTATAGTCGTCATGAGCAACTCGGAGGAAGCGCATGAGCTCGGTGCGATGATCAAGTTCTTGGCGATCAGGTCGCACCTGGGTATGGATATTGACTCGGTGCTGCAAGCGTAAGTAAACGTTTGGATGAGCTGATGCAGCATGTCGACCGAGATGGCGCAGCGACGCAAGGCAGAGTGCCCCAACCTCCCAGCCATCACCGGTGTCACTCCAAATCTCTCCCTGGGGACGTATGTCGGTCCTGGACTCGGCCGATGGCATCTCACTTCCGCGTCGTTCGTCACTGAGCGGCCGGAATGTGTGAACATTCCTTATCTTCCCTGGCTCTACGGCACCTGCAAGCCACTCCTCACCTTGACGGGCGAGGGATCATACGAGGGGTGTATGCAATGGACCAACAGGGCTGATGGGAAGGTGTACTACGGCTGCCCATTCAGTGCGAAGGAGGTGGACGGGGACATCTGGATCAGTGGATTTAATTGGGGGGACAAGGCGGAGTTGTGCGTGCTGCGCAAGATCAAAGGATGAGAAGACAGACCTGCAGTGTGATGACTGTGGTATCCTATTTCTTTACCTGCCCAGTAAGCCGGGCTGAAATCAACGCCCTACTAGCGTCCCTCGAGGTGCAGCTACTGGTCCTTGGATTCTTGGAACGTTTGGTCCGCCCCTCCTGAGTGTGAGATACTACCGCAATGGCAGCCAATACAAACCTCTGTAGCTTACTAGTTGGTCGAATCGTCAAGTCAACGAAAACGCCCACATTGGACTATCCAAGGATGTCCTTGGGTGGACCGGGGTCCGTGCGTCATGCGGGTCACTGAGGCAAGCTAACAGTGTTACGTGGCTGAGCTACTATTCTGTGCAGGCATACGATAGTCAGTCATGTCATCAGTCTATTCGGATTCTGCTCTATCCGCTCAGCGCTAAGCACTGCAGGGATAGGGGAAGGTGAAGAGAGAGGAGGGGCAGTAGAGTATTACCTGCCCCTCTCGAGCTCAAAGTCAGATTGGTGATGTCGAGGCCGTATCTGAAGTGTGCTTGCTTATACCGCGCAGGAGGGAGCCCAGCGAGACCACAGCTGTCCAAGGGAGAAAGCGGACGATCGATGGGGGTCGACGGTGAAACATGCCGTAAGTGAGGAATGAGGAGCGGGCCCGCTCTGCGCCACCTCGCTCATGTTGTCATCCGATAGCTGCCGGGACCTGATCACCAAGCAAGAAGCGGCAGGCCTTATAGCCGAGGACTTTTTCCATATGAGATCCTGCTCCCGATGTCATGTGGCGCGACACTGTACGAGAGAAAAGGGAGCTACGCGAAGCTGGAGCTGCCCCTGTACCGCCCCAGCTCTGGACCATCCCGGCTATCGCAGAGAGGAGCTATGTGTACAGCTGTCTAAAAGATCCTCACCTCCGAGAGCTGTATGGAATTGCGAAAGGATCGCCTAGACCCAGACCGAATCGTGTTACTGATCCTCGGGACGACAATGAAGGGTCTGTGCGTCCTATTGCCGCTGGGGCAGGCAGTGTTACGTGGTCGGAGTCAGTTCGCCGGATGAGTATATGAGGCACAAGCACTATTCCGAGTGCTACGACGCGGGCCGCGCTTGAAAACTTATCATGACCGATGTCCACCATATCCACAAGCGACAGTCACATACTCACGCCGGCTCTCGAGGTGATTGAGACGAGTAAGTGCGCTCTGAGCTTTGTGTGCTGATCTATCAGGGGCTTGTAGCACTGCTGGCAGTACATGTAGCTGCAGGAGACAGCCTGGTTAAGCTACAGTCGTCGATGGAAGCCCAAAAGTCGGGGGAAAAGGGAAAAAGGCGGAAAGCACATCGGGGTGCAAAAGCTGATTTCGCCCGGGCTCGAACCGGGGACATCATGCGGAACTGTCTGACGACTGTTAAGCATGCGATCTGACCAACTGAGCTACGAAACCATGCTCCGATAATCGGATGACAGCCAGGAAGCTGCAGGTGATATAAACAGTCAGGCGGAAAAGTCTTTGGCGGTGTCTCGGGGTGGGTTGGTACCGGCTGACTGTTTTGACTCCCTGTCTGTTATTTGTGCCCACCGCCCCCGGTCCCGCGGCCAGAGTTGGTACAGATGACTGTCTAGCTGATGGAGGTAATACTATTGTCGTGCCTATCATATATTATACCCGTCATGCCATGATACCTCCTCAGCTGGTCTTGCTTTTCAGGCCATTAGTCAGAGCGATGACCTAAAAGGGTGGCATCACCGCGCACCGTCCCTTTCTGCTGCAACAGGAACACCACTGCAGGGACGCATCTAGTCACAGATTTCCATGTCCTCTCCAGCCAACGCTCTCCGCGGGCCCGAATCCTGGACGAGCGCTGGTCGTGATGCGCGTGCTGCAAACAGACTGGCCCCTACGCGTTGGCGCTCCTGGGCTTGGCTTCTGCCAACCTTGACGATTGTCCCGTACCTGTTCGGAAAGCTGCATTACTCCCTTCCTACTCCTCTACCGCCGTAGTGAGTCGGCGTCGACAGGGCTAGATCCCAGCTCATGTCACAGTGACGCCCGCGGTCGCGCTCAGGTATCGGAAGACATAGCTCTGGGCCATGTCCTTGCCCTTGAGAATATAGGGTATCGGACAGTTGGCACGCACGAGGCGGTGAGAGGAGAGGAGTATGTGCTGGAACAGGCGAGGAGTCTGCAGGCAAAGTGCAAGGGTGGCGTGTTGGTATGCGAGGTGTGGGAGCAAATCGGCTCAGGTGGACATTCGTATGTGTTCAAGGCCGGGAAAGTGGCTATCCACTGATTCTGGCAGGTTCACGATAGCAGATCATGACGTGCTCAAGCTCTACGCAGGAGTCAGGAATGTTATTATGCGGATATCAGCCAAGCAGGGTATCCGAGGAGAGAAGGATGCTGTTTTGCTGGGGAGCCATATTGACTCCACCTTGCCTGCGCCTGGTGCTGCCGAGTAGGTCCAGATACTTGTGTCGCCAGACGGAAGCTGACTGGCAGTGATGGTCTTGGAGTCGGTGTGATGCTGGATCTGGCAAGAGTCCTGATCGAGCGGAATGAGGCTTTCAACGGATCTGTTATCTTTGGTGAGTGAGGTTCCTCTCCAAATCATGGGCCAAGCTGATCTTGTAGTCTGGAATGGCGCCGAAGGTCAGCACGACGAACCGCATACCGTTCAATACTGACCCGCAGAAACGCTGCAGGATGGATCTCACCTGTATGCCACTCAGCACGAGACAGCCAAGACGTGAGTGTTACCATCAGTGAATTTGAGCATGAAGCTGATATCAGTGTCCGTGCGGTCATCAACCTGGAAGCTGCTGGAACCACTGGCGGAGCGTTGCTCTTCCAAGCGACGAGTCGGGAGATGATCGAGGCTTACTCCCATGTCCCTTAGTAAGCTTCACGACCGCAATTGAAAGTAGCTTATTTTCAGCCCGCACGGTACTGCCATCGCGTCTGAGGTCTTTGCGTCCGGGATCATGATCTCTGAGTAAGTCCTCAGGCGAACGAGCTGACGTCAGTACCGACTTTGGTCAGTATGAGCGATACCTCAACGTCTCTGGACTGGATATGGCGCTTGTTGGGCATAGGTGAGCTACGATGGAACACAGCTGACAGCAGCTACTTCTACCATACCCGCAAAGACTCGATCGAGAACATCTCCCCCGGCTCGGCTCAGCATTTCGGCGCCAACATTCACGCTGTCCTCCAGCAGCTCACCGGCCCCGACTCGCCGCTAGTTTCGAATACGCCCTGGAGCGCACCTGATCTGGTGTACGTATCGCTCTTCGACCGCGTCTTTCTAAAGTGGTCCATGTCGGCGGCGGACAAGGCGTACCCTGCCCTCGCCGCGGTAGTCGCAGCGATCACGTTTCCGAGGTCGCTGAAACGGGCAAAGGTGCTGGCGCTGGCGGTGGTGGCGACACCGTTAGGTATGGTCGCGGCTTTGGCTGCTGCGAACGGATGGGCGGCGGGACTGAGCTTGGCAGGCTGGAAGCAGACATGGTGAGCCTTGCTTCAAGGCTGAGCTGATGTTAGGTTCATCAACGAGCATCTCCCGCTTGTACTGTATGTACCGGTCGGCTTTATCGGTAAGTCTTCTCCACCACATGGAACGAAGCTGATCAGCAGGATACTTCTCCGCTCAGTTCGGCCTCTCCTACTTCCTCTCCCCCATCGACCGCCCTCTCCTCGAGCACGCCCACCTCCACGCTCAACTTCTCTATCCCACCACCCTCATGCTGGTCCTCCAATTCTTCCGCCTCCGCTCGGCGTACGTCAATGCGCTCATCGTAATCGTCCTCTTGGTCGGCGCCATCGGGCATGAGGTATCGTCCTCAGTAGCTCGGGCGGCGGCAAAGCCCGGCATGGCTCGTCAGGTGCAACACCAGGTGGTCATTCTTTGGGGTTATGCTATCCCCATGACGATCATGGTCGCTCTGGCCGTTGAGGGTGTCACATCGGTACGTCCCCGTCAAGGCCTGGCTGATACAGACTCTTGACATCTTCACGCCTCTCACCGGTCGCATGGGCAAAGAAGCTCCGGCCGAGCACATCATAGCGACGATTTCTTCCGTCTTCGGCTTCACCTTCCTCCCTCAAGCGGTACCGCTATTCCACCGGCTCCCTCGGAACAACCAGCGAAGAGCTCTGCTTGTGCTACTCGGGCTCAGCGCGGTCATTACGGCTATCTTCGTCAGCCCGACCGTGCCTTCGTACGACGATCAACACCCGAAGCGAATGGCTGTGCAGTACTCTCATAACGTGGGTCATTTCCTGTTGATGCTGAGCTCAGCTGACAATCTAGCACACCTCCGGCGAGGACGCCCTCAGAATAGCTTTCCTCGACCAGGGCGATAAGCTTGGCGTTCTTCCTGCCATCCACGAGCGCTACGGCAACCCCCGTTATACCCCTCAGCCCAAGCCGCTCAACGAGTACACTGCCGACTGGGACGTCATCTACCCCATATCGGTCTTTTTGGACGGATATGAGTTCCCGCTGGAGACGAAGGTTGAGGACAACTTCAAGTGGCCCGAGATGGGGACCGAGATCACCTCGACCGAAGTCAAGGGAGGTCGCAAGATCAACTTGAAGCTGGATTTTGTGAGTTCTTCCCATCTACTGCCCTTGTCACAGGGGGGTGAGCTTGCTGACTCTGCAGACTGGCTTGGTATGGCCGACCATCGCCTTCTCCGCCGAGATTCTCGAATGGTCATTCGACTTCCTGCCACCGGTCGGAAATAAGCGGCATCACGTCAAGGTCGTGCCAACCGTGCTGGAGCCGGTGGTCGAGTTGTGGATGACGATCAAGGAGACCGAGCCGGTCAAGATGGACTGGACCGCTGTCGGTAAGCTCCCTATCTTGCTCATCACAGCTTTGGGGAGCACGCAACCACCCAGAGCCGCTGCAGACATCGAGCCATAGCTGACCAGCAGATGGAAAGCAGATGGTGCCATGGACAGCACCCCGCTTGGGTCCCGATATGCCAGGCTCGAAATTGCTGTTGGACCTAGATCGATGGGCAGAAAAGAAGTGGAAGAAGTCCATAGACATCACAGCGGCGGGCATAGTATCCGGAGTAGTAGATATCTAGATGCAATCTTGGGAGCTTGGACAGTCCAGAGCGCAGACGAAGCACCTCAACAGGTCCGAGCCATAGAGGAACAAGGTGATGCGGGGCTCCAAAATAACCGAGGAACGGTCAAGGAACGGTCGCTGCTCAGTACCGTTTACCTTTCTTCCTGTATCTGAGCAAAACAAGCAACCTAAGATCCATGATACCTAGTCTGATCAGGATGGCCCGCTCTCGAACATACGCTGTAAGTCTTAGAGTGAAGATATGTCGCCGGAACTGACGAGAGCAGGAAGCGATTAATCTCCTCAACACCTGTCAGAGCAATGCTGCGACGTACGTCTCATACTCCGCAAGAGCTGATGGTCAGCATCGAGGCCATCCGCAAGTCGGGCGGACGAATGAACGACTATGCCATCGTCGAGATGAACGACTATCTCCGGCGGATAGGCTACGTTCCGGACGACCTGAACAAGCTAAATGTCGTCCATATCACCGGTACCAAGGGGAAGGGTTCTACCTCTGCGTTCACCGAGAGGCTACTGCGGACCCACATGACTGGGAGAATAGGTGAGCAGCATTATGACTGAGCTGATGTAGGGCTATACACATCCCCGCACCTCTGCGCCGTCCGAGAGAGAATACGAATCAACGGCGAGCCGTTATCGGAGGAGGACTTTGCGCGATACTTCTTTGAGGTCTGGGAGAGATTGGAAGGGAACACTAAGGTGGGTTGTCGTATGGAGGTAGCTGACTATAGACCATCTACCCGCACACCCCCCAATTCCCCATTTACTTTCGACTCCTCACCCTCCTCGCTTTCCACACCTTCATCTCCCTCGGCGTTTCCGCTACCGTCCTCGAAGTCGGTATAGGCGGAACATACGACTCGACCAACATCGTCCCCAAGCCTGTCATCACCGGCATCACCTCGCTCGGCCTTGACCACGTCGCGGTTCTCGGCAATACCATCCAAGACATCGCGCGCAATAAGGGCGGGATCTACAAAGCTGGCGTACCTGCTCTGAGCGTCAAGCAGGATCAAGAGGAGGCGACCCGGGTGCTGGCGGAATGTGCGGAGGAGGCTCGTACGAGCAGCTACGAGGTGGTCCCGATGATTCCGGAGACTGCGCTGGGGCTAAGGGGAGCGCATCAGCGAATCAACGCGAGTTTGGCGGTTGCGTTGGCGAGGGGGTTCTTGAGGGCACAGGGGAAGGAGGGGATGGATGACGCGCTGCCAAGGTCCTTCGTGGCGCCGCTGGCGGGAACCAAGTGGCCAGGGAGGTGTCAGCGGGTGGAGCAGGGAAAGACGACATGGCTGCTGGATGGAGCGCATACGACCGAATCTTTGACCTCGTGTGGGGAATGGGCATGGGGAGAGGGGAACAAGCCGGGAGTGCTGATCTTCAATTGCTCTGGAGGGAGAGCGGGGCAGATGCTTCTCACGGCGTTGCTAGAGGCGGGGGCAAGGACGTCAAGCTCGGAGTTGGTCGAGCTGGGGAAGAGGTTCGAGGCGGTCATCTTCTGCACCAATGTGACGTATACGGACGGACATTTCAGCAGTGGTGAGTGATTTTGTTGTCCCTCGCCCCTGTTTGTCGTCCCCTCTCCCAGCCTGAAGGCAGATCCACCTTGATGTCATCCCTCCTAATCTAGAATTCAGCTTATGCCCAGATCTCACATCTCATGCGATAGACCCCAATGATCTCTCACAGCTAGCGACCCAGAATCAACTCCGGGACGCCTGGCTCGAGCTGGTGCCCGGGTACGACCCAAAGCAGGCTCACGTCGTAGCGTCTATCCAGCACGCAGTGGATCTGGTCAGGGGCATGGAGGGGGAGCATGAGGTGCTGGTGGCGGGAAGTCTGCATCTGGTCGGAGGGGTAATGGAAGTAGCTAGCTTGCAGGGGTCTTTGGGCATGGTATAAAGTGTTGCGGCCATGGAGCACTGCTGACTGAACTGATCAGACTAACCTCATTTGCTTCAGCTTCGGGCTTTACAGGCTGTTCTGACTGACCTTCCCGGCTCATCTATCGTTCCTCGACTCTTCGGAAGGCGCCACTGAGGAAGACAGTCCATGCAGTATGTCACTCCGCAGAAGCTTTCCAGCGAGACCGCTTGCCCTTAACCTCCACAATTGATCGATTGACTCAGACCTCAAGCCAGCCAACTTCAAGGAGAAGCTGCCACATTCATGTTCGAACATGCCGTCAAGATCAATCACGTCCAAGGTGGCTGCACCACTACAGTATCGCTTCAGGTTCCGCGCCTTACAAGAGTGCTTGGAAGGGGTACGGCGGGACGCTCGGTGTCGGAGATCTTCTCAACCCGGCTCGCGTGCGACTGGCAAGTCCTCGCACCCGGGACCCTTCTTTATAGGATTTGCATGGCCTGCAACAAGTCGATGTAGAACAAGGGTACCGGTAGTTGACACGCCGATACATATCCATGCCAAGGGTCCCAGCATTTCGGCGTTCTTACCACGAATGCCATATGATACTCCGTCCACATCGGGGTCATCAGGAATTTAGAATCCCTCCACTCCTGTATTAATGATGAGGAGTGGTCTGGTACCTCGTCTCCGGCTGACCGGGAGACCTTCCGTGGCTCTTTGGACCCCCAGGAAGCCAGGAAGAAGCTTTGAGCTGCGTGCCTGGCTGAAAGAGGTGAGACATTGGGAGATTGAGGAATGATTAGCTTGCAAACGGCTTCACGCACACTCCGACATCTTTCGGATGGTTTCGTAGCTCAGTTGGTCAGATCGCATGCTTAACAGTCGTCAGACAGTTCCGCATGATGTCCCCGGTTCGAGCCCGGGCGAAATCAGATAACGTTTTGATAGTCAGGGCGGCTCAGGACGTCAAAGAGTGGCCGGGAGAGGCCCCGCGGGGTTGTGGCGTTCCCTTTTTGAATCATGAACAGCACGCAACCGGTTCCTTCTCTGATATCCCCTCCGATGTGCTGGATGTCTGCGAGGCCCTGCTGCACTCGAGTGATGGTTACAACGGGCGGACAGAGGTGAAAGAATTCATAAGCCCGAGGGGGAGAAGGGGTAACTCAGGGGCTAAGACGTCAACCCTGACTTTACCCCGTCCCTGCTAACAGCATTCTGTGTGTCTGCTGCACATATGAAGGGTATTGGCACCATGTGAGACTGTCTTGGGGAATCTTTATGGCTTCTCCAACATCTTCAACGCGCGCAAAAGATTGAGCTGCATGAGCAGCATGAGAAGTGCCACACGCGCTGTACCCCGCGAGTTTCAGATCCGCCCCTGAAAATGCCGGCATGACCCTGCGAGCCAACTCCGTCTTGGTCTCGAGCTAAGCCATCCCTCAACTTCACTCTGTCTGTCATGTTTCATCCCGGCCAGCGGCTACGCTTTGTTCTCTACGAAAGCCGATCCAGTCGGGTATCGAAGCTTCGGCGGACCAAGAGGGTGTGCATAATGCCTGTCTGGCAAAGAAGGCTGTTCATCTGAGAACATCGATTCTTTTGTTCTAGCGACGAAGGCGGACAAGCTATATGACCTCGTCATATGCTACTGATGTCTTCCCCTCAGGTCTCTCTGTTCTCTGTATCTCACTCATTCTTGACCACAAGATGGCAAAGGAAACCCTTTACTCTGTACTGAAGAGCGAGTTCGAGATGAAGCAGGAGCTGTTCAACTTGGTTCAGCCTTTGCTGCTTCAGTACTGCCAGGTAAGTACTAATCACCAATCTACGCCCATCATTGGGAAGACTGAGCTGATTGATAGGTATGCGAAGATTTGCTGCTGCTCTTTCGCATCTGTCCTTGCCTATTTGCGGATCTTGTGGTCCTAGTTTACCACCCGGACCCTCTGCGTCGACAGTATTGGCGCAAGTGGTGGGAGGCTCTTTGCCGGAACTACTATTTGTGAGCTCAGCTGCCTCATGCTTACGGACCTTAAACGATGCTGATTATACAGGCTCGAATTCAACCGCAAAGCGTTACCCGGCAGCACCTCAGACATCTCATCCACCATCATGGACCCGGCGGTCCCGTATCCGCAAGACTGCAGGACGGCTGGTATGATGAGCCCGGTCCTCTGCTTTCAGACACCCCTGGAGTCTATTGTGCTCTCACACAAAGATATACAAAACCAAGGCGTGGATCCAGGGACCTATGAGGAACAGGTCCAGCACTTCCTCTTGGCTTCGCGCTGCGTGAGTTCATATGTGTGGCCTTACAGGCCGCTACCGGACACCGCTGACCTACTCAGATCTTCACTCAAGACGCCTGGCACAACGGCGGCAAAGATAAGGTGAATGACTATCGAGGAGTGAACTTGCAGTGTCCATGCATTGGATCTGTGAAGAATGTAGGTTTCATACCTTTCCCGACCAACCCTGAGCTGATTCGGCAGTGGACTCGGCAATACAATACCGCCTCTAAGACAGCAGCTGCGGAGCAAGTCGATCCTGATGGTTGGCGGCACATCGGCTCGGTGGAGGAGGACGTCCAGACGCTTTTCGGCTTTACCGACCCTCTTTCCGGTCTGATTCATCACAAGGACCTGGCTTTGTGTCCCTTCTGCGACTGGGAAACATCGTTGGCTCTGCGCGTCAAAATGGGTGAGGCGGAACAAGGCCGGTTCGGCGAGGGTTCAAAGAAGACTGCCTTTCTCTTTGTCGCTCAGGGATTCTTCCGATCTCCGAATAGACTTGATATGAGTGACATCTGGAGGTGAGTCCGTATCTACCTGTTTTGTGTGCTCAGCTGACACGACAGAATGATGTGCGGCTTCCTTCCCACTGAGCCCAAACAAATCAATACCCCTCGGAGTGAGCTCTTCGCAACGCTCAACAAGACTGCTTGGACGGCGTTTATTACTCGGGACAGTATCGATTTTGATGAAGCGGGTAAGCCGTGGGCGGCTAGAGAACTGAATGTGCTCACCGGTAAGTGATCTCCGCCTGTCTCCCTTCATTTGTGCTGGTGACACCAGCTGACCTATCAGAGGAGAAGAAGAGGCATTTGATCAGACAGCAAGCTTTGTGCCTCTATGGCCAAGCCATGACTTTCCAGCCGCAAGATCAAGCCCTAGCTGTCGGACCTGCCAAACGTGGCCGTGAGGGGGAAGGGGAGACATGGACGGACATCGCACAGTCAGTCGCTGGGATCGCGGGATCGGTAATCGGCAAGCTGGGCTGGGGGAAGGGGAAGCGGCCTAGGACTTCGTGACTAGACATGTACATGCAGTGATTTTCCCCCGGAAATGGATTGCATTGCTCGTAGACTCCTCATGAGCCTTGCCCGAAATCCCTCGTCACTTGAATAGCTCACACCCCGCCTCCTCCATAGCCTTCTTCAGCTGTTTAGGTCGCTTGTTTGGAATGATAGCCAGAGCGGTAGGGATGCACTCCCTATGACGGCTCAGCAGTCTATCATAACGATTGCTGGGGCGACTTACGGCTGTTCTATCCAAAGATGATGAGACAGTTTTGGCGTCAACCCGTCCAACTTGGCCCCCAATCCTCTCAGAGCCGCCTCGTCTGGCACCTGCGGGTCAGCTTCAATCCGTCCCCGTTCGTCCCGGCTCACCTCGTACGTGACTTTGCGCATCACCTCCCATCCTCTCCCATCATCCCCCTCAAGATACCGCTTCACATCGGGGTGATCCCGATGGAGGTGCAAGACGGCTGTTGCAGCATGAGCTGACTGGGCGAGGAGCGGTCCTACCGGCCAGCCATGCTCCTAAGTCTATAAGCTATAATCAGATCTATCAGTAGAGTCAGACGTACGGTCAGTAGATCGCGCCGGAGGATGATCTGCATGACCAGACCGGTCGGCTTGGGTCCATCTTGGCTCGCACTGGACGCCATTTGACGGGTTTGGTACGCCGACGAAGGGCTACTTTTCCGGCTTATACGTGCTGCTGTACCTCCTGTACGGGACAGGCAGCTGAGACACCCTCTAAATAGCATATATGGAGGTAACAGAGCTTCCAAAGAGCGCTCGAGCTCGCCTCAAGCACCACGCCCACCACGCGTCGTTCCGTGCGTCATAGCTTCGCGCGGAGCGGACCACGATCATGTATCTATACCTCATCCTTCATTCAGCAGCCATAGTCAAGATGTCTGGCGATAAGCAGCAGCTACTGGCGATGGGCTTCGAGGAAGCCAGGATAGACTGTGAGCTGCTAGGGCTACGAACGTATCAGCGGTAGAGGCTGACGGGACAGGGGCATTGAAGGCGACCAAGCGGTCTGGTCTGCAGGTATGATCCCTTCTTTAGCTCGCTATGCTCAGCGCTGGCGCACATTAGGGACGGCTATTGAACAGAGCTGATATAGTAGCCCGCGATGGATCACCTCCTCAACAACTCTGACAACCCCGTCCCTTCCGACTCAGCCCAGCCCGAGGACGTTGATTCGGCTGATGAAGATTCCGAGGAGCTCAAGATCCACGTCAAGAAGACTGGTGCTTCTGAGGAGCCTACCGCAAATGTAAGCTCTCTCCTCCTCACCCTACGGCCGAGAAGGTAAGCTGACTCTACAGTCCATCAAGTGCTCCGAATGCGGCAAAATCTTCAAATCGTCAGCTACTGCTAGCTTTCACGCTGAACGGAGCGGGCACCAGGAGTTCGAAGAGTCGACCGAGGAGGTGAGCTAAATAGGCCAGCTCTGTCTGCTCAAGCTCATTGTTCAGATCAAGCCTTTGACCGAGGAGGAGAAGAAGGCCAAGTTGGCCGATATGCGTCAAAAGCTGGCCGAGAAGCGGGCGTTACAGTCCAAGATCGACGCAAAGGAGACCAGGGCAAATGATGTGAGTTCCTCGCACGCCAGTCTGTTCCCAGAGCTGACATACAGGTACTCCGCCGTAAAGCGGGCCAAGATCAGGACAAGATCAAGGAGGACATGATGATCAAGGAGATGCACAAGGAGGTGGACCGGAAGAAGCGCGAGAAGATTGAGGATCAGAAGGCTAGGGCGGCGATCAAGGCGCAGATCGAGGTGAGCTCACGTGGCCGCATCTGCGAAGTTGAAGCCGAAGCTGACGCGGTAGGCGGACAAACGCGAACGAGCTGCCAAGGTCGCAAGGGAAAAGGCTATCCGGGATGGCGAGGCTACACCGGCTGCCGCGTCTGCACCCGCCGCTGCTGCAGCCAAGCCAGTGACGAACTCGGCCGAGAACCCCCAGACCCGTTTACAGGTCCGACTGAGCTCAGGCGGAGCGCCGCTGACCAAGACCTTCCCTTCCGAATCGAGTAAGCTGCTCCTCGCCGCATCGTCATAGCGACGTGGCTAATACTATAGCTCTGGTGGATGTGGCCGAGTGGATAGCGAGCGAGAATTTGGCGTATAATGTCGATACTGTGACCTTTGCTTCGACGTTCCCAAGGTCAGTCTTTACCTGAGCGTCCATGGACACAGCTGATATCCAGGAAAACCTTCTCCCGAGACGAGATGCGCAAATCGCTCAAGGCGAACGGACTGACACCAAGCGCGGTCTTGAACGCCAGCTAGTCTATTGTATTCATGCAGTAACTTATATACATCATACCCAATGGGTCCGTATGATGACAGCTCAGATATACACAGTTTACGCCTTGGCCATCGCAGCAAGATTGTCAAACTCCTCTTTGCCTTGCGCCATACACAGGCCGTAGAACGCCGAAGACGTATCAGCGATCAGGTCCACCGGTCGCCCTGCATGTCAGCTGAGTCTACCGACAGTCAAGCCCAAAGCTCACCTTCCTCGACAATTCTGCCCGCGCTGAGTACAATGACCTTATCGCTGGAGGTTAGCGCTGCTGCCAAGGGGGACGTACAAGTGCATGATGGTGGCCAGGCGATGAGCGATGACCAACATGGTCATCCCGGCAAAGCACTCCTTGATCGTCGAGGTGATCTTGGCGTCCATCCTGAAGGTCAGCTGGATCCGGTGGAGGGGATATAGACATACTCAAAGTCCACCGATGAGGTAGCTGATCGTCAGCGTCAACCTTTGGCGCAGATGGCGTACTCACCCTCATCCATGACCAGAATCCTCGCGTCCTTCAGCAAAGCTCGAGCAAGACAAAGCAGCTGCTTCTGTCCCTGACTGAAGTTGGCTCCTTCAACAGCGACAAATGTGTCGAGATTGGTGAACGGGTTGGATTCGTCTCCAGTGCTCGGTGAGATGAGGTGGACTCGTCGGAGCGCATCAAAGATCGCTTGGTCACCTGACGTCAGCTCGGAAGGGCAAGAACTCACTCTTTGAGCCGGTGATGTCCAGCGCGTCCCTCAAGGTTCCCGAACAGAGGTTGCTATCTTGCACCACCATGTTGAGTCTTCCTCTGAGCTCTGACAGAGCAATGTCCGAGATATCTGAGGTCAGCCAATCCCGGTAGAATACTCACCCTCCCCATCAATCTCGATCGACCCGCCACTCTGCATATTACCTCTGAACAGACTCAGCGCCAAAGTAGACTTTCCAGACCCCGTAGCGCCAACCAATCCAACCCTTTCGCCCGCCTACATCAGCTCTACCTTGCCAAGCACTCACTCGTATATCCACCGAAACACCATGGAGTACCTCCGGCAGGTCCTCAGCGTACTTGACACGCAGGTCCCGGATGGTAATATCGCCCTTCTCCGGCCAGGATGCGCGAGGTACAACCCCTCCTTGAGGCTCCTGGGTTTGCACTTCGATATCTACATCAGCGCGTCCACCGTCAAATTCACATGTATTGAGCCGCTCAGCGCTGACAAAGGTCTGCTCGGTATTGGTCGCTCGTTCCAGAAGGTCAAATAGACCTGTCGTCAGCTGGTTCAGGCGCAAACTCACCAGAAGACACCATCAGCGCAAAAGACAGGATGAAGCCTGCTTTGGAGGCGGAGATGTCGGTCTGGACGAGGAGGACACCGGTAGCGGTGATGACGACAGCGGTCATGGACTGCATGACAATCCTGGCCCATTGGAAGGCTGATCAGCAGCGTCGGACGTGAACTCACTGTGCCAGTCCGCGACCCAACACTTCTTCTCTTGGTTCGTCAGAGTGATGAGAGCTTCATTCATGACTGCGCCGAGACCAAATCTGATATCAGCTTTGCCAGACCAGCACTCACGCTCTGACCATGACCACTCCGTCGATAGTATCGTTGAACAGGGAGATCAAAGGCGAATAAGCGACGAGGCATGCTCGACGGACATCTGCTCTGAGCTTCCGCAATCTACATCAGCTTAGCCTTTCTGAGACTTACATGCTGTTGGCGAAGAAGAATGGGACGGCGAGGATCAGAAGAATGACGAGGAGACGCTATCATCAGCTAGACCAAACAAAAACTCACCGGCTGGTAATAGCACAAGATCATGCTGGAGGTGATGGACGTCGTCGCCTGGAAGAGCAGACCTGTCATCAGCACAGCCATGCCCAGACTTACGGCCAACATCGTCTCCAGACCCAGAGTCAATCTTCCAGATATCCTGCCCCACCACATTCAACAGTCGACCCGTTGGCGTGCTCTCAAAGAACTGCAGTGGCGCCTTGCAAAGCCTGTCCAAGAACAGATCATGTATGAGCCGACACCCCCGATTGTACATCCCTACATTCCCCACTCCATATAGCCATATCCATCGCGTACCGCCAAAGGTGTTCGAGACCAGACTGTACGCGATGTAAAGCTTGATATAGTGGTCGACGTGGGTGTTGTCCATCTGAGCGGTCCAGTCGGCGAGGAGGGACTGGCGGACGACCTCAGCTCCGCGCGCGCCGAGTGTCAGGGCGAGCATAAAGGACCAATAGCCGATGCCGCCCGCGGCGGTGAGGAGGAGTAGGTAGTGATTGGACGCGACTCGGCCGATCGCGCGGACTTCCTTGGTGTAGACGTTGCGTGAGGTCCGGTCTTCCCTTTCTTTCAGCGCAGGAAGGGCGGCACGCTGAGCGATGGGGCTGGTCGGCTCCGAGTGGTCATCAAGCACAACTTCGACAGCTGCGCATGCCTGCTGTACTCGCCCCTGGTCGAGAGTGACGACAAAGTCTGCAGCGGGGAGACAGAGCCGGACATGATGGGTGACGAGGATGACCGTGCGGTCTCGGACGAGCGAGCCTTGGAAGCATTCCGCCAGGATGTGCTGAGCCGTATGCGCATCGACCGCCGAGAGAATATCGTCAAGAAGGACCGTCTTTGCTCGAGAGTAGATACACCGAGCGAGATTTAAGCGAGCCTTCTGTCCTCCGCTCTGATGTTAGCTTGTCCAGACTCGTACTCACCAGTGTGACCCCTCCCTCTCCGACCTCCGTCATGTCCCCCTCATCCAGCACGTCCAGATCCGACAACAAAGAGCACTGCGCCAAGACCTCATTGTACCTCGCCCGCCACATCGGCTGGCCGAGGAGGATGTTGTCCCGGATTGTCCCGTGCCGGATATACGCTTGCTGCGGGGCGTAAGCAACTGTATCCTGGAGCCAGGTATCAGTGGTCCACGAGCGGTCGGAAGTGGTGATGGGGATGGTGTCCGGTTTGCTGCGAGGCGCAAAGACGCGTCCAGACTCGATCACTGCTTCGCCGAGAAGTGCGCGGAGCTAATCAGCAAAGCCAAAGGTATACTCACAAAGAGAGATTTTCCTGATCCAAGCGAGCCGCAAATGAGCGTAAAGCCGTTCTTCGGTAAGGTCATGGTCACGTCTTGAAGTCGGAAGGCCGGAGTGTCGCCCTCTGCCGATGGCCAGGTAATTGTAGCCTTGTCGAATCTTGGCTCGTCTGCCTCGTCATCCGAGCTGAGATCGATCTCGGGCTCGTTCCAAAACACGACGAGGCGGTTGAGCGAGACTCGGATCTGGAGAGCGCTTTGGATGGTGTCGGGGATAGAGCTGAGTGCGTCCTTGACTCGGTTGAATCTACATCAGCCCAGCCTAACGATGACTCACATGTTGAAAGTGACAAAGCCAGTCGCCGGATCGAGGGTCCGCCCCATGATCTTGGTATGGACGATAAAGATGACCGCAACCGAAAGGACCGGAGCTTGGTCGGCGATGATGTTGAAGATGGTTCCGAGGGTAAAGCGCCACCTTTGCCATCTGCCATCAGCAAAATCTCGCCTAGACTTACATGATCTCCGTCCGCCTGAGTAGCTGGATCCTCCGCTGGAAGTACGGCTCCCACGCGTTCAGCTTGATGGGCTTAATGCTGGTGAGAAACTCTTTGGTGGCTGAGGTTCTGGCGTCTCGGGTGCGCAGCCACACCTTGTCGCATTCTGAGTGAGCTCGGCCGAGATTGTACTTACCATAGATCTTCTTCGCGTTCCAGTAAGCGATCGGCGCCGTTGCTGGGATGCAGGCGATTCCGGCTAGAGCGCTGACGCCAAGCATAGTGTATAGGAAAATCCCGCCAATAATCACTGCTGTCAGCTAGATCTACGGTACACCTACAAGAGATAGCCGCATTCGATATGCTCCAGAACCTAGACGCCATGGTGCTGATCTTTTCCGAGTCGATCATGAGGAGATTGAGAATCTGGCTTCTGCCCTTGTTCTTCTCCCGATCTTCGTCCGATAGGTGCTGAGCGTCCATCGCCTTGACGTCGGCGGTGCGTAAGATCTTTTGGAAAAGCTAGTCAGCTCTGCCTGTATTGGACTCACCAAAGAGCACAGGTACATGCGGATAGGCTCATTCATTTCGTACTTTTCAATTGCACTACATCAGCACGATCAAGGTCAGACTTACCAGACCATAGCCGAGAGCATCGTCTCCATGACCTGGCCGACAAAGAGACAGCCGCAGAGGAGGTAAGCGTAGGTGTTGTCGCCGAAAGGTTGGTTGAAAGTCTTGATCAACTCGAACATGGCAAAGATCTGGAGAAAGCTAAACAACATGCCGAACGCCTCGAGAAAGATGCCTATGGTCAGCGGGTCTTATGTCGACTCACAAATGATCAAGATCCATCTCCTCGGCCACCAAGCCATCTTCAACACCTGCCATCCGGTGACTGTACGCTTCTCGCCGAGCTTCAGCGCAGTGTCGGCAAAGAGAGTGGGGTTCACGCCGGCCATGCGGACAGCCTCGCCGAGATGGGGAATATCGCTGTTTTGTAGTTGATCCACTTGAGTCGAGCGGCGAGCAAGGCGATAGTTCTATCAGCGACGTTACAGGTGGACTTACTTGACAGAGCGTGATCAGCTTCAACATCGAGCTTCCCTCCCAGTCAATCACGTTGGATCCCTGGACCACCTCCTCATCGGTAGCTGAGATACCGAATCCAGTCGCCAACTTGGCTTGGTCATAGCGCACCAGCGGGCCTCGACGCACGAGGCCAGCCGATAGCAAGGTCGCCAGCAGAACACCCAGCTTGACCGACCTGCGCGTTGACATCCCGCCGAGTTCCGCTCCGGGCTGGCGCAGCGTATAGTGCGAAAAGGCATAGTAGATGCTGGGCGAGATGGTAAGGAGGAGGCAGGAGAGGGCGCCAAAGAAGGCTGAGATGACAAAGGTGGAGTGCAGCTTGAGATCGAGGATGTCGGTGAGGAAGCTGCATGACCGAGGAATGTGGATGCGTCGAAAGACGGTGAGGATGTAAAAAGCCAGCAGGATAGACTAGAGTGAGCTCAGCCATGATGGGACTCACAGTGAGAACAACGGTTACGCCACTGCCAATCACATCCATACTCTCATAAGTGTCTCCCAGGCCATGATGGCTGACCAGATGCAGCACCTCGAGCGAAAGGTAGAGCGGCAGCAGCACTCCGAGGAATGCCTTATAGATGCGGACGTTCCGCTTGAACTCGTTGAGGTGGATAGGGCGATCTCGAAATCGATCCTCGTGATCGCTGGGCTTTGGCTCATAGGAGCCGAGCAGCGGAGCAGTCTCGGACGGGCGAGTCATATTGGGGGTGATGTATGGACGACGCAGTCGAAGCGAGCTGGCCATGGAGCTAGCTTTATGTTTTCCTCGAGCTCCCTTCGACGCTCCTTTGTCTGTATGGCTGCATTGTCCCCTTCGGCAGAAACGCGGAGCGTCGAGAATACCCGATGCCGCCCTGCTGCGTTGTTGCTGATGGTGAGCTCGTCAAAAGGTGAGTACCAGTACCAGGTGTTGAGTGTATAGGCCTCATATTGGAACCGCAACAACAACGCACCACGCACGGACGTCAAAGAGTGGCGCTGATAGCGAAAGCGGCACCACTCGAAGGTGCTGCTGCATGTCGGTACCAGCTGCAGCTCACGCCCAGACGAGGGAAAGACGACCTAGGTGTCACATCCCAGATCGCGTGCCAGTACATGGCCAATAACACCTTGAAAAACGAGACGGTGTGGTGCCTGCGCTTTCCCCACAACGGTGCTAGATGCTGCGCGAGTCGCACCCCGGGGCTGTTTGCCCGTAACGATCCGTACGATATATATGGCGCGACCAATCGACGGACCATCCTTTTGGGTACAGCGCTCTTGCGCGTGACAGCAGTCGGAATCTAAGGAGCTTGCCCCCTCGGATCTGGTCAATCTCATTACGATGGAACAGAGGATCGTGAGAGCGACCAGTCGACTGCCAGCAATCAGAGTCGTATAGAAGGTCATCTTTGAATCCTGCCTGTGGCGTTTGCCACCCTTCTCTCCTTCAATTTTACAGTTCGTCAATCAACCCATATCATCATGTCCTCGCTGACTCGCGTACCAGAACCGTTCCGTCCTGACTCAACAGGGACTTTTGCAGCGCGTTTGCATGCGCTCGAGACCGAAGTCAACGAACTCTCCGGTCTGGTCAGGACACTGCAGGCAGACAGGAAGACACTCCGAGAGGAGCTTGACACCGTGAAGACCGAGCTCGGTCTCTGCGCGCCCCCTCCGCGTTCCGAGCTCAGCAGGATCTCGCCACGCCAGTCGGACTTCAGAACTTTTGTTGCGACCGCCGATCAAGCCCTTCTCTCCAGGAAAGTGGGAGGTATCGACACGAGCGACAGTTACGGGAGGACCATCTTGAAGTCCGACGGTGGGAGATACCTATCTTACATGGCCTGGGGCGATGAGACGCGCAATGAGGTTGTGAGTGGAGATTGCCGTCTACACTATCATTACCCAGGGCGAAGTTGGAAGCTGATACATCTGCAGGTGGAGAGGGGCATGCGCGCCTGGATTTCGAAGAGCAACGACAAGGCTTTCACTCACGCGCGCGAGAAACTGTCAGAATTGATGGGCCTTCTCGCCACTCCGACTGCTCTCTTATCGCAGAGAACGAACAGCGACGCCAACCAAGCCATCAGGAGTAAGAATGAGGCGGAGAAACAGCTCGAAGAGACCTGGAATCAAGCCATTGAGAAGGGAGCATCGGAGCGTGAGACGATCGAGGCGGTGACGGAAGCGATTGCGAAGCTGTGTCAGGAGTTCCAGGAAGTCAAACGATCTAAAGGTTTCAGTCTACCCCTGGACTTATGATTGAATGGCGCGAGAAGGGGCTCAGCGGCTTCTATTGCATGAGCACTGTACCACGATGACTCGGATGTAAGATATGCAATTTGCTTCTATACGCTCGAGGCTATATTATCAGTAACAATCTTCGCGATATCACTTGGAGGAGGTTGAGACTACGTTGCGACACAACGTGGCGACGTTAGCTACATGCGCAGGCCTCCGTGTGATGACCCACATGTATTATGCTGTCCCTGGAGGGCGCCCATCCCTAAAAATCAGGCGCGTGCCAAGCCGCCACTTAGATTAGAGGAAAATCCTTCTGTGGGCACCATTCTGGCGGTGTTGCTACTCGGGTAAGGCTGTGATGGTCGCACCTCGGCACTCCGGTGCTCTGTCAGCGATGACATCGGTGGGTAGTCAGCATCATCAGCGGAGGGAAGAGTCCCTACTGCGCGTCCTCCATACATGTACAGCACCGCGAGATCAAATTTACCTATAGATAACAGCAACCCCCTTCATTCCCTTCCCACCCAAAACCTCCCCCACCCCCAGTATCCGCTCCAGCTCCTTCCACCCCATCCTAAAGCACACCTGAATCTCATCCGCATGATGCATCCCGTCCAGATACCGCACCAGTTCCTCCTCCATCGCCCTACTTTCCGCCTCCCTGACCCTCAATACCGCCGAGCGGAGATTCCCCCTATTCTTTGACCCGGTCGAGAGATGGGTCTCGGCCGCTGAGCCCATGGAGCGGGGATACGAGTCGCGCATGCTCGTCAGAGCGCCGGTACGCCGAGCAGGGGAGGGAGTAATGGATGGGGGAGTACGATTGGAGGAGGGTGAAATGCCGAGACCGACGGATCCGTGCGATTCTTGCGATCGGAGGGTGAAGGTGCTATCTCCCGGACCGCTCCGATTGAGGCCGTCCCGCAGGGCAGTGCCGGAGCCGAGTACCGCCCGCCTATCAAAGCCGACCTTGCGAGGTCGAGCTTCCGGCGGACCGATCAGGGGTGATTTGCGGTCGATGAGGAATGGCCACCGATGGACGCGGCGGAGAAACCCCTTGATGATGCCAAAGCTGACGAAGCGGCGCGCGTCTATACCGAGGCTGACGATGTCGTTGCTTTCTATCCAGTCGTGTACCGTTACTCCCGGATGGAGCTTGGAGTAGAGGCGGAGAAGGATAGGCCAGGAGGAGTGAGGAAAGCCTTTGCGCGTGACGTAGCTGGCGCATTCGGAGATGATGGTGGGGTCGGCAGAGAGGCGGGTGATATTTGGTTTGACAGTGTAGATGTTGGAGTACTGGAAGATGTCGACCTGAAGTCAGCGCGGCCATGGGAGGACTTACCATCATGACGACCTGGTAGTAAAGCATGTGCTTGAGTGTCTCCCGCGTCAGGGCCGGATCTGCATCCGCCAGCTCTGCTATCCGCTTGACATGATTGACGCCGTCGATGTGCTGGGAGACTCTAGCGGCAGTGATGTCCCAGTTGTCGTCTTTAATCTCGTTGAGATCGACGAGGGCGACAGGGACGTGCCAGTCTTCGCATTCGGTGGGGTTGGCTGCGGATTAGCAAATTTTCATTTAGCAAGTTCTCATACAAAGTGATGGGAACCCGGCGTAGACGGAGACACGGGTGGAAGCTTCTAGCAATGTCTTGGAACAGCATTAGAAGGACAAGCAGGAGAGGCAGATTTGACGAGCAAGAGGGAGGAAAGGGAAGAGCAACATACGATAGAATGGGAACAGCTTGAGCTCCAACGAGTTGAACCCGTCCAGCGGGATGCTCGTTTCCGAGTACGAGTTCAGATCCTCGAAAAGCTGCTCGAGAACAGCCAGGAGAGGAGTGTGCTCGCTGTTGGGCGCCGATAGGTATGCTGAGTCAAGCTGGACATTAGCGATGTCCGGGCAGCAATCAAGGTCGCCGGATTGCCTTCAACCCCCTATTCGTCCCTCTCATTCCGCCACCTTCGTCCTTGCTCGCCTACAAAGCATCACTCGTACTCACCTCTGCAGATCTCAGTATCCTCGCGCACTTCCTGACCACCGGCTCGAACGCCTCCAGACTGCTCTTCGCCTCGAAGACAAAGCACAAATTCCACATGTACTCGTTCCGGACATACCGCCCTCCTTCCCCATTCAGGACACATGGATACCCCATAATCCTGTACTCCTCCCTTCTCCCATCATCATCGCCAGTAGTCAAGAGCGTGACGAGCTTCTCGGCTAGGGACTTTTTGGGGATGACATAGTCGGATATAGGGGCGAATTCGAGGAGATGGGCGATAGGAGATGCAGGTGGATATGGGGATGAGGAGCGGGAGCGGGAGCGAGACCTGGAGATAGACCGCGAGCGAGATGTAAGAGGTTCGTCCAAGGTAGATAGGGATGTGATGAGGTTTTCGGGAACTTGATGCGTGACGGTCGGACCCAGCCGAGGGTCGAAAGTCGCGTAGAAAAGCTGGAAATTAGCTTGATCACGAAGTTCAGACTCACGCCAATGATTTGCGGCAAGAATGATCTAGGAGTCATGTCAGCTCATATCCAGATAATGCAAGTGAGAGGGACAATCCTCCGAGCCCCAATCCCGAGTCATCCGGTAGATAAGGTGGAGATGGGGAGGGGGGGTCCTTTGGGGCGTTTTGAAACCGCAAGAGGCGTTTTTTGAGCTGGACTCACTCGTCGGATTCGCCCATTTGGGCGCTCAGCGCCTGTACGCTGATATTTATACACAGATATGCACAGAGGGGTGGACCATATGGCGGAGTAGGACAAGAGGTGCATCGGGAGCCAAACAAGCGGGAATCCCTGGCTTTCCCGCCGGAAGCAGAACGAGGAATGTGGAGTTGTCATGTCTCACTGATGAGGAATGTGCATGGTCATGCTCTTTGTTGCCTGCGCATGTCTCCTCACTTTGCCCATCCTTACGATACAACATGCCCGGCCCCGACTGAGACAGCATGAGAGACAGCTTGAGATCCAGAATATGTCCGTTTCGTATGTGATCAGTAGATCAGTATTTATTGATCACCAAGTGCCTGCGCACAACCAGACGGACTGAATACTAGTACATCTCACTTGAGCGTATATACAGTACGCTTTGTTCTGCCGATGACACAGCTCGGATGGTTCTCTGTGAAGATCGAGGTGAGGGCGATGAGGGAGCGTTCTGGTAGATGTGAAGTTCGATGATTGGGATGAGAGAAATGCTGAAGGGCTATTATTCACGCCGACCTTAATCGTTAGCTCAAACTACCCCGGTATCAGAAGGGGACTTACTCCTCCTGCCAGTCCAACAGCACCTGCCAGGCTGCCTCCCCTACTTCCACGCCTCTCTTCTGCCAAGCTTCCTCGCAGACCCCCTCCGCCTTCCTCATCCCCTCCAGCACCGCCAAAGGGACCGCGCTTCCGTCGTAGCTGGTATAGTCCACCCAGACGAGGTCGTGCGTATCGACCAGCAGATCCACGCGGTCGAGATACGAGTTCGACTTCGTTGTGTGAAGTATGCGAATATGATGAGTGGGAGGGGGAGAAGCTTTGGCGGATCCGGCGTAGACGGTAACTTCGACATCTGCCGCCTGTAGACGAAGGTGGAGTACCTCTTGCCCGCGGTGTCGGTAGGACCAGACGGTACCGGTGGGTGAGTCGAGATCGATCCCGCTGAGTGAGTGGACGTCCGTGTTCTTCGCCGCCGCATGGAAAGTAGCGGCGCAGGTGACGCGAATCGTATCGAGCGCGGGAGCAGCACGGAGCCACCTTGTGAAGCCGGGGTTGATCCGCTGAGCCGCCAGGTCAGACGATAGAACGATGGGCCCGGCGTAGGACCAATTGTGATTCAGAAGGCAGAGTGAGGTGAGACCCGGCGCACAGGGCAGATGGGGGTTGTATTTGGTCTGTGAGGTCAGCCTTGGTCGTGAGGAGGGGGCGAAAGATCTCTCACCGAATGAAGCCAAGAACCGTAGGGCATCACGAGCTTCTTCAGGCTCTGCGGAAGTGAGATCTTTCCCTTCTGCATGTTCTGCGCCTCCTCTTCGCCATCCGACTCTTCCATGTCCGAATCGACAAGCGAGCCCCGTATACCCTCTCTACTTGGCACGTGCCGAAACTCGTCCGCTAGAAATAGCTCGCGCAGTTTGTCGAGACCATGGATGTACCGGAAGATGGACGAATCGAGGCACTGCATTTCACCGCCGTAAGCAAGGTATAGGACCTGGAGTTCTGGACTGTCCCCGATAAGCCCCTTGATGTATCGGAAGGGGTCGTGAACGCCGAAGTCTTCGTATGAGCAATAATGAATATGGAGCCGCCGGAGGTGGGTGAAGTGAAGATTAGGGTCAGGAAAGCCGAGATTGGAGGAGTGTAGACCAACCTTGGCATCTCTGCACGCCTCGATGGCAAAGTCCAGGGAGGTCAGGTTGGGTGCGATATTGCGCAGGACGTCGACGAACTCGGCGAATTGGACGGTGTTTAGGCCGATTTTGATATTGGTGAGGTAGGGGAACGACAGCTGGACATTGCGCGCCTCAAGCTCGCGGCTGTACTCGAGCAACCGGACGTCGATGGACTCCCGGGCTTCGTAAGCCTGATCGTCGGACTCCGGTGGAGCTGTGACAACGAGGGACCGAAGGTAGGGCGAGACGTGTCGCAGGAGGTGGGTCAGGTCGTATACCGATCCCGGCCGAGGAGACATGACGATAGAGCGCACCATCGCCCATCTGGCCTCAGATCCCTTTTTGAGGATACCGTCCACCTTCCCGCCCAACTGGCCACGTAACAGCCGATTTTCTCTCCGGTCCGAGCAGTATTTGCAGCGCTGCGTGTCGGCCCAGTGGTCATGACCTGGACACGGCGATACCGCCTGGAGTAAGAGCTCCTGCCAGATCCCATGCTCGGCGATGGGATAGAGCTCTTTGCAGCCGAGTGCGAGTGCGAGGGCGGACGCGGTATCGAGCTCGAGTGCGATTGCTTTAAGCAGTTCTTGCGGGAGAGACATGAGTTTCGCGGGGTGAGGGGATTCAGGGGAGTGAGAGGGTGCTGAGGAGTGAGTAGGGGTGAGTGACATGGCGCAGAGGTGTTTCTGGTGTGATCGTACGAATCGAAGGTGAAGTACAGTTGAGAGAAGGAAGGACGCGACCGAGATCTAGAGTTTTTGACGCGTTGGGTGGCGAACTCGAAGTCCGTGCGTCTGAACTGATAAGCCTTGTGATCTGCTGAATCAGGCGGCGGCTGCTGGATCCAGTCGGGGCTGTAGTGTGAGCAGTAAGAGGTAGACGGGATGAAAGTCTACATGTGAATGTGGTCTTATATAGGTCTCTCCACGGAACTAACCAACATCAGACAATTCGCCACCCTCACTCCGCCGGCGAGCCAGCCGCACGCCATGCCTCCAGTACACCCCATGCCGCTGCACCCACCTCGACCCCCCGTGCTTTCCACCCCTCTTCGTTCAGACCCTCGGCCTCCCTCATCCCTCTCATGACTCTCATCGGAACCGCCTCTCCTTCAAAATCTGAGTAATCTTGCCACTCAGGCGGGTACTGCGCCTCGACCGTATCAAAGTCTGCCATCAGGCGGTCTCCGCCAGTGTAGCACAGGACGCGTTGCCGAGTAGTGCGGTTGCGGCGCTTGTTGTCGATCGGCTGAAGCTGTATCTGAGCATGGAGCACCTCATAATCGCCATGCCGCATAGAGTATACGCGAGCGGTGACGTCTCCTGCTGCTTCTGCGTTGTCCAGCCTATCGAAGAGGGTAGCGTCTTCGCGATGTGGTGGATCGCAGATGTAATTGACGACACGGAGCCGAGGACAGGCGCGGATCCACTGGGCGAAGGAGGCATCGAGGGGCAGGATCGTAGCAGGAGCGGGTTGGAAGACCAGGTCGTCTGAGCCCCTCGCTCCCCACGTACGGGTTAGGACAAGGACCTCGAGCGCGGACGACGTTGGTACAGTGTCATCCTGATTGTCAGTCGAGGATATTACTCCAGCGAAGGACGCACCGGAAGCTTGAAGTCTGCGTGAGGTAATAGCAGCCGTCTCAGCGAGGCAGAGTCGGGAGCTCCCAGCTGTGACCCGTGCATATGGAAGAACTCATCTTGCCAGGACAGATCGAGTAGGTATGAGAGCTTGCCGATGAGCGGCACGATGCGGGTGTGTGCTCCCTCCCAGTTTTCCCACCATTTCAATCGTAGGTTGAGCTGCTGGAGCAAGGGACTGAACTCAAGGATGTTGCTGATCGATTTGACCAGCTCGCGATCTTCGTCATCGCAATGAGCTTCGATGGACAGGGTGTGTAACGTAGTATTCATCTTGCGCAAGCGAGAGAAGTGCTGCCATTCCGGGTGTTCTGTGCGATCGATCGGCGAGTGGTTGTTGTCGATACAGAATGCTAGCCGGTGGAGAGACGGCGCGATCTGGAGGAGTGCTATGATGGTCTCGGGGTGAACGATCGCGTCCCATCCGAAACGGACGGAGGTGAGGGCGGGGAAAGAGAGCCCAACAAGCATGGCGGGTGGAATGGACTTCCAATTTAGCGTCATCGGTATAAGCGTGGGTGAATGTGTGCCCGTCGGATTGGGTCCGTGATAATTCGTTGAATAGCCATTTGCAGCGATGTACTGGCTAAACTGGCCGAGGGATTCGGCGTAGCGCTGGAGGAAACGAGTCTCAAAGGACTCGCCCGACAGGGGGTTGGGCAGCTTGTACAAGTCGGCGTACAAGACTTCGAGGTGCTCGAGATTGGCCGAGACGTCGACGAGTAGTTGCACCACCACGTCCACGATCTGGACCAAGGGGGCGACCCTGATTGACTTGATCAAGCTGTAGCGATGCCGGTTTCCCTCGGATCGGATGTCGTTCATCATCCCCTTCATGGCTAGGATGTGGCGTCGAAGGTCCATCTCGTATCGACAAAACCAGCGGCTGTCCTTCCCTGTGAAGGGCTGTCGTCCGTGATTGATGTTCAGAAAGAGGTTGAGGTTGCGCCAGAGATTGGATTCGAAGATGCGGTATGTGGTGAGGGAGGAACGGCTGAGGTTGGTGATGGATCGCTTGCCTAGAAAGTCGCCGATGCAATTGATGAGCTCGACGGGAAGGGTGGAGAAGGTAGCAGGGGGAGTGTGAGAGTGGAGAGTGAGTTGCGCATTGTTGCCCGGAAAAGCTGGTAAGACCGTCGCTGGAGGAGGTGGGGAGGTAAGGTCGGAGTGAGCAAGAAGGGAGGGGAGAGGAGGGCAGCTACGTGAGCGCTTCATACTTGCCGAGATGGTATGGCTTGTTGAATTTGTAAAAGGATGGAGGCAAGGTGAAGTATGAAGTGAGAGAAGTACAAAGTATAAGTCCCGTGTGAGTCTCTCCTATGGCCCGTGCATGGAACGGGCTCGCGCCACGCGGATGAGCAACCGACATCGAAGCTCGCCCTCTGCGTGATGATCAGAAGGGCAGGATACACATTGATATTAGTACATTTAGGTAACGCTGATACGATGAGAAGTTATTTTGTCTACCACCCCTTCGCCGGAACCTTTACCCTGACCTGACCACCTCTCAACCACGTCCGGCTCGCCAGTTCATCAACACTCCCCAAGCCGCCGCGCCCACCTCTACACCCCTCGCCTTCCACTCTGCCACGCTAAGGTCATCGACCTCCCTCATCTCCCTGATAACGCTCATCGGAACAGCCACCCCGTCGAAGTCCGAATAGTCTTGCCACTCGGGCGGGTGCTGCGCCTTGACCGCATCGCAGTCTGCCCCCAGATGGTCCTCGCCAGTGTAGTAAAGTACGTGTTCTCGAGTAAGGTGATTCTGCCCCTCGATATCGATTGGCTGAAGCTGGATCTGAGCGTGGAGGACCTCGGAATCGCCATGGCGCATCGAGTGGATGAAAGCGGTAACGTTGCCCTTGGCTTCCGCGCGGTCGAGCCGGTCGAAGAGGGTAGAGTCGTGGGGATGGTGGTGGCCGACCGGATCTTCGTCGCATATATAGTTTATGACTCGGAGCCGAGGACAGGCGCGGAGCCATTGAGCGGAGGCAGAGGGGATAGGAAGAACACCCGTCGGCGTCGTCGGAGCCGGTTGGTACGGTAGATCGGACACCCGCTCGCGCCGACGTGTGAGATGCAGGACCTCCAACGTGGTCGATGATGGCAGAGTATCGTCCTGAATGTCAGCTGAATTCCACTAAGAAGGACTGGAACGTACCGGGAGCTCGTACGCCGGGTGCGCCAGGACTGACCGCTTCAGCGAGGCGAAGCTGGAGTCGCTTAGTCTCACGCCCGCCAGTGGTGACCCCCCACTGTCCTGCCAGACGAGATCAACCAGCTGCTTCAGATTCCCAACGGCCGGGACGAAATGGTCGCTTGATTTGTCGAACTCATAGTCCCAATCTAATCGCAGCGAGAGCTGCTGGATGCGAGGGCTGGAACATAGGATGTTGTCGATAGTCATGTCGACAGACTGCTCGTTCGACTCGTTGCCACCGCTGAATTCGATGCAGAGCGCGAGCAAATTGGTGTCGGCGTTCAAGGAGGATGGAAGTGTGCGTTCCCTGGGATGACTCCGGTAATTATACAAAGACCGGTAATTGTAAGAAATGTAGAGAGCGAGGCGCTGCAGTTTCGGCGCGAGCCTGAGCAGCAGGGTGATGGTCTCGGGATGAGAGATTGTGTCTTCGCCGAGCTTGAGGGAGGTGAGTGCTGGGAATGACATGCCCAGCGGCGGCGCCGGAATCCTGTGAGCGCTCCAGGTCTCGAAGTCGCTATCGTTGGAGCCGCCTCCGAAAAAGCCGCCACTAAAAGCGTCAGCCACGATGTCCTAACCGGAATCGAGGACTATGCTCATCGAACAGTCGTGTCAATCAACGTACCTGTCAAACAGGCATAAGGAGTCAGAGTGTTTCTGGAGTAGGCGAGTTTCGAACGACTGAGCCAGCCTGGACAGGCCGACATAGAAGATCTTGAGGTGCTCGAGATTGGGCGAGACATCGATCAGCAGCTGGATAAAAGCATCCGCGATGCGGATGAAGGGAGCGCCTTTGATTGACTTGATAAGGCCGTACCGAGACCGGTTTCCCTCCGATCGGACGTCGTCCATCATACGCATCATGCTGAGGACGTAACGGCGGAGGTCCACTGAGCTGTCGTTAAAGCGGCGGTACTCTTCCTTTGGATCTGGTTGTTGCCAGCTGGAGTCGCTGATGTCGAGAAAGAGGTTTAGATTGCGCCAGATGTCCGGCTCGAAGACGGCATACATCCTGCGGGATCGTCGACCGAGAGTGATTCGCGATGCCTGGTCGAGCTCTGGCCGGAGCATAAGCAGTATGTCGACAGGTAAGGTACCGAGTGAATCCGGGGGAGGCAGGGGTATAAGACTTGCGATCGTTAGGGTGGTGGCGAGGGCGGGGGCCAGGTGGGCGTTTGCATCGGTAGCTGGATAGATAAAGGGGGGAGGGTCGCTCCACGAGTATGTCATGCTGGTGGGTGTAGGTACGTTTTGCATTCTTGGAGAAGAAAGGGGTAAGATGAAGTACAAAGTCAGGATGTGGGATTCGTAAGTGGTGTACGTAACCCTTAGGGGGCTCATGCGCAAGGTCGAGCTTGGACACCCGTCATGCGGTATAGCGGACGTGCTCGCGGTCCGAGCTTGCCCTTAGGTCAGGTACGCACGTACCTCCTCATGTCCCTCATGAGCCGCGTCAGTCTCCAGACATGAGCTCGTCAGCATAGCAGAACCAGCATCGCATGCATCCAACCATGGCATGATCACTCCCTTGATCTATGCCCCTGATGCGCTAACTCTCTCCCCACCCATCCTGCAGCCCTTCCGGCTATTCCTCGTCCTCGTCCGAGTCGTCATCGCCCGCAACGTCCATGTTTTGCTTTTCGAACCGCTCCATGAGCTCCTTGAGTTCGGCGTCGTCCGTGTCGGATACGATTTTAGGCTGAGGTGTCAGCTCGGTATTGATGTGCTTGATCCTATCCACCCCTTTCCGTGCGGACCAAGCCCATTCCCTCCAGCCGTCCAGCCCTCCACAATCTCCGCCCCCTTCTCGACCAAGACCCGAACTCACATTCATCTTGATGACCATATCCCCTCCCTCCTCCTTAATACTCTCCCCAATCGCCTCGACCGCCTTCTCCATCGTCTCCATCGCCGCATTCTTATCCGTGCTCGTCGTGCTAATCACATACAGCGGGGGCGCGACCAGCCTAATCTTGATGGGCACCTCGTCCGTGCCGACCGCCTCGCCCGCGCGGAGGGCGGTGCGGATCGCCTCGATGCCTTGGTAAGCAAAGCACTTGACTTCGACGTCGGCGCGGACCTTGACGGGCTTGGGGGTGAGGCGGCGGGCGATGACGGAGCGGAGGTCGGAGAGGGTGTCGGCGGGGAGTGAGAGGGGGGCGAAGACCGCGTCGGGTTCGCTGGGGGTCAGCGGGGTTCAGTCGAGCTAGTATCGAGCAGATTCTTGGCGCTACCGTCATCGCCACCCTTTGGCTGCGCTGCTGATCAAGCGGCATCGCAAGACGATAACGCCTCCGCCATCATGATCCTCCCGCGCAGCAGCTCTTTCCCATTTCCCATAGATTCTCTCCCAATGACACAGGATTCTCTCCCTAGCACCTCCACCTCGTCCCGTCCCGCCTCGTTCTGATCTTCCTCGGCCCATCCCGGCCCATCCTCCGCCCTCACCCATCCAGCCGCATCCTCCGCCTCCCAGCCGAAACCTCCACAACACTCACGTTATGCTCAACTTGAACGCCTCGTACGTATGTCCATACTGCTTATGCAGCGGCCACGCGATCTTTTCATACAGATCATCCGCATCAACATCCCTCTTCTTGGCGACCTGAGTAATGATCGAGTCGACCGCTTTTCCCTTTTCGTAATTTTCCTCGCATTTGACCACTTCTTCTGCTGAGACTCGGCGTTTTGACAGGTCGATATAGCCTATATGTCAGCTGTGCCCCCGGACAAGCACGAGGAGCTCACCCTTATCTGGGTCCACGCGCATCACAACCACCACCTCATTCCGCCCGACTCGGATCAACTTTTGCACTGATCGGATACGTCTTCTGGAGAGCTCGGAGAGGAGGATCATTCCCTCGATACCGTCGTATTCGAGCTGCGGGTCAGCTCCGGAGGATGGTACTTCATCAGCAGACTGACCAGCTTGACGTAGGCTCCCATGTCCTCAATGGAGAGGACCTGGACCATGACCAGTTGGTCCACCTGCGGGTCAGCTTGAAATTCGGACTAAGCTCTTGGAAGCTGCTAGTTCCATCTCGCTCACCTCTGGGTACTTGTTCTCATAGTATCGGGGCATCTTAGCTGAAGTATAGGTAAAGAGGCAGATGGACAAAGAAGTTGGAGTCGACCAGCCAACCTCAATATCCTCCACCGCAATTTCCCCTATTTATCCCACATACCTCCCTGCCGTATGCAAGCTCCGCCCGGCATCTCCTCCAACCGGTCCACCTTGTCTATACCCGGTCATCCTGCTATCCCCACTCATTCATCACCATGCTCCTCGCTCGCACCGCTATCACAGCGCGCACCTTCCACGCCGCCGCAGCCAAGCAGTCTCTCACCCACTTTTCCCGCGCCATGTCGACCGCCTCGGAGCCGCTGGTCCTGTCCGAAAAATCCTCCTCCGGCAAGGTCATCATCCTCCGGCTCAACCGGCCCAAGGCGCTCAACGCGCTCAGCTCACCCCTCTTTGACCAGCTCAACATCGAGCTCGAGAAGGCCGATGCGGACGAGAGCGTCGGTGCGATCGTGTTGACCGGGAGTGACAAGGCTTTCGCTGCGGGGGCGGATATCAAGGAGATGAAGGACAAGGACTGTACGTTTGGCTCTGGGCTAGCTGACCTCAGTCGCCACGACGTACAAGAACAACTTCCTCGGGACGTGGACGCGTATTGGAGCGATTCGCAAGCCCATCATTGGCGCCGTGTCAGGCTTTGCCGTAAGTCCTCCCACTGACCTAGCTGACCCCAGCTCGGAGGCGGATGCGAGTTGGCGATGTCGCTGGATATGCTCCTGTGCACCCCAGGCGCCACATTCGGCCAGCCGGAAATCACCCTTGGTATCATTCCCGGTGCAGGCGGGACGCAGCGCCTCACCGGCCTGATTGGCAAACCCAGAGCGATGGAGATGGTGCTCGCCAACCGCAAGATTGACGGCAAGACCGCCGAGGCGTGGGGGCTGGTGAGTAGGTGTGTTGCGGAGGGGGAGGACGTCGTCGCGGAGGCGGTCAAGATTGGGGATAGGATTGCGGGGTATGGGGCCGTGGCGGTCCAGGCGGGCAAGGAGGCTGTGAATGGATGTGAGTCTACGAGTGCCGGTATGGGGTCGAGCTGACGTACAGCGCTCGAGTTGCCCCTCGAGCAGGGTCTCAGGCTGGAGAGGAGGCTCTTCCAGAGTCTCTTTGCGACCAAGGATCAGAAGGAGGGTGAGTCGTACGACTTGTCTATCTTGGTCTGGGCTAATAGAGGCAGGTATGTCCGCGTTTGCCGAGAAGCGCAAGCCGGTCTGGTCCCACTTGTAAAAGAATAGAAGAAGTATGCAGTGATATTCTATGGAATACAGTATGTGATAGACCCTGCTTCAAGGGGAGTAGTTATTAGCGCAGATATAGTGATCCTGGACGGGAGGCGCGACCCGCACCGTTGCTTCCCTTGCCAGCAGCCTTGACCTTCTTGCTCAGGCCTGGTCTCCTCTCAACTGCTGTCCGACCAAGTACAGAACAGCATAGCGTAGGGCGGGGAGGAATGATGGTCCGGGCCCCGCCGGAGGCCGAGCGCAGCTCGGCTGGAGGGGGCAGGGCCGAGCGAAGCGATGCCGAGACCCCCACTCCCAACATTTACCTTTATATTCCACTTTGGAGTCGGGACTTCCATCTGGATCAGGGGAACTCCTGTGCCTCAGGGGTATTAGTGTAGTGGTATTCACGTTTCAGAGCACTAGCGGTACGGGAACCAGCATTGTGCCAGGGAGGAAGAGGTTCCCCACCCTACTCTTACCCCCACTTCTAACATTTACCTTTATATTCCACTTTGGAGTCGGGACTTCCATCTGGATCAGGGGAACTCCTGTGCCTCAGGGGTATTAGTGTAGTGGTATCACGTTTCATTCGCACTAGCTTGCGCGACTGATTTGAAGCAACCGGCGTTCGATTCGCCGATACTCCATCTTTTTACCTGATCCTGGGAGGAAAAAGCACGGATTTTGGGCTTGTTCTTCTTTTTGTTTCATCTTTACGTATCACTTCGGGCAACCTTGGTACCTCGATCTCGTCGGATACACACATATGCTCAGCCATACCTCGTCCTGACGTCAATATCTTGCGGACTGCCGCCACACTGGACAAATTGTGGCTGGCGAGTTCCGCCACAAAGGGCAGCCCGGAACCAAATCTGCTCCTCATTCCTCAGTTTAAGTTCCGTCGGAACCCCCCGCTGGTGCTTGCCCGCCAAAGACTCGCAACAGTGGGCAATCGACCTGGACCTATCTATAGCATGAGCAGACCATTCCAGCGCGCAGCGACTGCTCCCCTCGCTCTTGCCAGAAGCGCTCGTCCATGCGTTCTTGGCAAGGCCGGTCCCTCTTCTCTGCAGATTGGGGGATCTCGATCTGCCAGCTTGTCAACTAGTTCAAGACCCCGACTCACTTCCCGCTTGTCCGTTAATGAAATCGGAACTGGGGTGCGAAATATCAGGCATAGCTCTTCCACTTCCACCTCAGCCTTTGAGGGGATCAAGCCGGTGGACTTGGCGTACGATGTGATTCAGCCGCCAAAGGTCAATGAGGGGGCGGAGGGGCAGTGCTTGGTGGTCTGCCATGGACTATTGTAAGTCCCTCCCTCACTTCCAGTAGTTCCATGAGGGGATAATGTGAGAAGAGTACAGGAAGTCCCGGGATGAAGTTGGCGCGGGAAGCGAAGCTTACCCCGCAGCGGGTCAAAACAAAATTGGCGCTCCCTAGCCAAGGCGTTCTCCACCCAGCTCGGTATGCCAGTGTACGCCTTGGTATGTCCAAATTATTGCATTGTTCTCTTCTAAGATAGTCGACCAGACTCGCTGATATCCTGAGGACTTGAGGAATCACGGTACCTCCCCTCACGCTGAGCCTCATACCTACGCCGCAATGGCAACTGACCTGGATCATCTCTTCCGCAAGCTCGATCTCAAAGGGATAAATCTGCTCGGACATAGCATGTGAGCTTCACACTCTCTTCTGAAGCCAGTCTAGGGAGGGTACAGCTGACATATAGGGGTGGTAAAGCAGTCATGGCATTTGCGCTCAACCCCGCCTTCAACCAGAACCTGCGCAGTCTGATCAGTGTGGATATGTCGCCTGCTGTCGGCCGGATGTCGCCGGAGTGAGTCATTTTCCCGTCCGTATACCGTGCTTTTTGAGAATAAGAGCTGATGCTGCAGATTCTTGGCATACACCCAGGGCATGCGAAAGGTGGATCAAGCGGGGGTGAAGAGTAAAGCCGAGGCGGACAAGATACTACAGGCAGTTGAGCCTGTAAGTCTTCTTGACTCCTACACTTCTTTTTCTCGGACTCAGCTGACCGGATAGACTCTCGCTACCCGTCAATTCCTCCTGACCAACACCCGCACCCTCCCCTCTGGCCAACTCGCCTTCCGTATCCCTCTCGACCTCCTCGACCGCTCCATCCCGCACATTGGCGACTTTCCCTATGCCCCGGCAGACTCCGACGACTCAACGCAAGTAACGTGGTCCGGACCTACCCTCTTCCTTAAAGGCGAGCACAGCAAGTATATCAATCGCAAGAATATACCGACGGCGCAGGCGTACTTCCCAAGGATGCGGATGGAGGTGTTGGATGCGGGGCATTGGGTACATGCGGAGCAGCCGGGAGAGACGTTGAGGGTGGTGAAGGAGTTTGTGGAGGGTATTGGTAGATAGACCCGCGGGGACGAAGCGGACTTTGTGGCAGGGGTTTGTGCCGATTCGCCGGGTTGACCGCTGTCCAGCCACAAGTTCCAGTTGACTCCATGCATCTTAGCACGTCAAGTATGGGGCGACCTCAAGCTCTAAGTTCAGCTAGCAGAGCAGGTCATGCAGTGCGATCTCCACTAGCCTCCTCCACTAGACCCTTCAGCTCGGTTCGGGACGCACGGACGTCCGATCTGTCACTCAGCCTCTTAATGGTCGCGTTCACCTTAATCATACAACCGTCCATCGACCTCTCCGATAGCACCATTATGTCGGATCTCTCCTCCCCTACAGCACCGGCCACTCCCATCCCAATCCCCACCCACCCCTCCACTCCGTCTCCCTCATCAGCGAGTCTCAGCACCCTCCCGCAAGAACTGCTCGAACAAATCGTTCTCGAGCTTGATCTCCCCTCCGCCCTCGCCCTCGCTCGCGTCTCATCCTTGTTCACCCCCATCGCTGATCATCGGATATGGCGGGACCTCAACCTCTCCGTTGAAGAGGGAACTACGCGCCTCGCTGAGCGGGACTGCCGGGCATGTGCGGATCATGGGCGTTACCACGCCTCCGGATGTGATCTGTGGGCAAAGGTGGATAGCGTGCTGGGGAGGGGGAATACCAAGAGATGGGCAATGGTGCGGGACGTGACGGTAGTCCCGCTCAGTGGGACAGGCGGCGCGATCGCCCATCTCCTCGAGGAGGTCTCCCCATACCTACAATCGCTTACCGTCCTAAAGAACACGTTTCGGGTTCCGTACCTGGACATCGGACTGCTGCATCACCGACGGATCATCAGAGAGCGCAACGTCGAGCTGTCGTTCCCGGCGCTCACACATCTCACACTCGACTACGGTACGTTCGAAATGGCCGAATTCGTCTATCTCCTCAGCGAGATCGCTCCCAACCTAGTCTCGCTCAAACTCTCCTTTGACCTGGAAGCGTACGAGTGGCCTAGTTCAGAAGGTGGATCGGACGAGGACGAGGACGAGCTTGAGGAGATAAACGCTCCCTATCCTCGTTCTGGTGTCCGTCTTCGCAAATTGCGCTGGCTCTCCGTCTCCTGGTATGGCGACGTGGAGCTACCCCCGGCGGGACCGGTCGCCTTCAACCCGATTCGGTGGCTTATCAAACAGAGCGACCGGCTCCAAATCCTGTACCTCTGGTATTTCGACGATCAACATTCCTTCGACTCCTCCATATTCTCCGATCTACACGAGCTCTCGGAGCTACGGGAGCTGTACCTACCCGGCTGGTTTGAGCACACAGCGGCCCTGCGTACAACGCGCATGAGTGAGCAGGAGATGATGCTGGCGGTGGAGAAGCAGGCCAAGCCGTCGCTGCCAGATAGCGTGGAAAGGCTTGCTATTCCCTATGGAACATGGCTTCACTCCGTGAGTGGAATTCCGCCAGTACTCGTCTTGCAATGACTGACTACCTCAGACTACGCCCATCGCCTCCCTACCTATCGCCCGAGGCGTCAAAACCGTCATCATCTGCACCGATTACTCCAGCGAACCGATCAGCATCGGACCAATGGCCATCAATCCGGAATTTGCCGCTTGGCTACGCGCTGCGCCTCACCTCGACGACATCTATTTCGCCTGCTGCGACAATCCCCTCTGGATAGCAGCGGAAACAATCCCCGTCCACGCACTCGCCGGGATCGACCACGGACGGCCCATAGGAACCGTCTGGTCACTTCGGTATCTCGGTCAAGAGCTTCTCCACCTGCGTTTCCTCGCAGAACCTTGCGACAGCAGGCGGTTCTATCTTCCGTCGGCATCGGGCGATACAAGCGAGCTTTCATGGCATGACTATACGGACTTCAGAGGCCAGGTGATACCAATGGAGGTTCTGGAGAGGATGAGGCGTCATGCGGGGTTGGAAACGGAGGGCTGGGAGCGGAGAGGCGTGGATGTGGATGAGGAAACATGGCGGCTACTACTAGAATGGATGCACGGGTGAGTCTTTTTTCGACGTGCACACCTTATACTGAAGCTGATATGTCAGGGAGTCATAAGATACCCTACTTCCATCTCGGGAAAGTAGATGAGCATCAGTCCTCGCATGTCACTTCCCTCCGCAATTCTCAGCGGCTAGAGATTGGTCTGTATACGTTCGAGCGGGCTGTACATATCCCTAGCTATCAGACCATGTATACGTACGGTAGCGCCAGCGACTGATGTTGAGGGGGATCAATGTGATGAGCTCAGTACATTCGGCAATGTCCGGCGCCGAGCTCCCGACTTCTCCTCCGATCTCGACTCCACTCTCGACCATCATCTCAGCATCTATAGTCCGTTCAGCCTCTGCAGCGGCCTCGTGTCTTGTCGGTCCAGCCGACGCAACAAGAAGGACGTCCATGATATGGTCCAGTCGGTACCGGTCGAAGCCGCCCCACTCTGGAGACGGGCGCTCTCGGTGACCCTCGACAGCTGGGCGTTGTGCCTGAACGGAATCGCGGTCGGCCTCGCCTGGCGCTGGCCCGATGTTGCTCGAGGAGGAGGCAGTAAGTCCTCCCACGACGTCGCTCACGTAGTCATCCACTCTGAATACTCTGTACAATACGGCGTAATCTGCTCAATCTTTCTGATTACCGGTCTAACGCTATCCATACCCGCTTTATGGAATCAAGCCCGCAACTACCGCCTGCACCTCATCACTCAATTTATATCGCTCATCGTCTACCCAGCGGTCACCTTTGCGCTGCTGAACATCATCCAGGCAGCGGGAAATGCGGAGATTGACATCTATATTCTGATTGGAGTCCAGTTTGTCGGGTGCGCATGTACCAGTATCGCCAGCAACATCTCGGTCACTATCGCGAGTGGCGGCAATGGTGAGGCTGCTACGGTGGAAGTGGTTCTAGGTGAGCTTTAACGAGGGACTGGCTGATGCCAGGCAATCTCCTCTGCGTGCTCTTCAGCCCCTTGCTCAACCAGATGTACTTCTCGGCTTCGGGCTGGGATAGGGGGATACCTATTGGGGAGGACGGATCGTCCGGTCTCGCGGGTCTGGGCGAGATGTACCGAAAGGTCATGATGAAGATGGGACTGGCGATGCTGCTTCCTTTCGTGAGTACTGGTAATACCAGCGGGAGCGCTGCTGACTATCAGACGACTGGGCTCGCCGTGCAATAGTGGGTCCCAATTAAGGCACTGAGACAAAACTGATGGCAGCTACTTCCCCAAAGCAGTGAAGGCCGCTGGACAGGCGCTGCATCTTCAGAAAGTATCATCCATTCTCCTCGCCACCATTGTCTGGTAAGTCCGCCAGAGATCGCTGCTGACTCCAGGGCTCTCTTTTCCACCCAATTCCACAACGATGCATTCTCAAGCCTCCCATCCGCTTCGATATACCTCCTAGTCTTCCTCATCATCATCTTCTATCTCGGCTTCAGCGCGGTCGGCTTCTGCGTATCTCGTCAGACCTTCATCCCAGCTCGACTAGACAGCAGAATCATACGAGCGGTCCGGCGGTACAAGCTATCGAAGGGCGAAACGACCGCAGTCTGTTACTGCGCTGCAACAAAGGGCTTGGCGGTGGGCACGCCCATGCTGGACGCGCTGTATGGGGGCTTCGCGGCGAGGGAGAGAGCGATCATCTCCATTCCGTTTGGGCTGTACCAGTGTGAGTTCTAGTGGTGCAACTTTGGAACTTGGGGACCAGCTGATCCGGCAGTGGAGCAGCTCGTGATGGCCCAGCTTCTCCGTCACGTCTTCAAGCGGTGGAACGCTCGACCAGAACCAGTACTGTCGATGGACGAAGTGCCGAGCCAGATTGTCGGTCACCATGAGCTTCTCGAGAGGGAGGGCTCTATGATCGAGGAGGATGTCGACAAAAAGTGAGACCTTGGTCAGGCCATCGGCTGCTCTGGCGTCTCTGCTCCGGAGAGGCAGTATACTAGGCGCTTTGCGGAAACAGCGTCTTTGCTGCATCGTTCAGCAGGGTATTTTTGGTGAGCTCGTCACTTCCCCGCAGCTCATTTGGCGATACTGACTCGGATAGCCCAGGCTCCACTTCCGACCGCTCAGGTCCCGGTCAACACCGCCTCATCCCGCGCTACTGCTCCTTGACTTCAGCATGCTCCAGGCTACACTATCGCCACGACCGATCCGCCAGCGAGCAATCAGATTGGGCCGTCTTCTGGAGATGCTGCCCGTGCACGGACCGGAGGGAAGGGGGGAGGAGCAGATATGCCTAGCGATGGGGCACGAAGGGCAAGGATTCGGCGCGGCGGATACCTGTGGACTGCAATCAAGTGGCACCCTCGGCCGTGAGTATTCTGAGCCTGAATCTCCTCCTTTTGCGAGTAGCTCCAGCTGACGAGGTAGGTCTGCACCGGCTACTTCTCGCTGGCAGTACGTAGAGGTTGCTGTCCTTGGCCATCTCATCAGACTTCTGGCCCGTCTCTCTGGCGATCTCTAGACGCACTTCAGAGGGGAGCTATGTTCTGGCTGTCAAATGCAAGAGTCCAGGAAGCACACCTACCAGCACAGCTCGCTCAAGGTCGGCAAAGTATAGCCGGCTAATGCCGATAAAGTTCCCCACTTTTCCCTCCACTCGCCTCCTTGCGCGTCCCTCAGTTTGCAACATCAGCTTCTCCGCACATGTCCCGGCGCTCTCGTGCGTGGCGGCAGTAATGAGCTCACCGTCGCCTTCCCTGGCGTCGCCGGCAGCTCAGGCCCCTTGGAAGCGAATCTTCTGGTTCATTCTCGGGAACTGGTTCCTCATCCTCAACGGGGTCGCTGTGACGCTGGCTTGGCGCTGGCCTGAAGTGGCTCGCAATGGCGGCAGTAAGTCTAGACTAGACTATGCTGAGATAGTCATCCGATCAGAGTACTCGGTACAGTACGGCGCCATCGGGTCCATCTTCCTCATCACCGGTCTGACGCTTTCCACTCCGGCGCTATGGAACCAGGCGCGCAACTATCGGCTGCATCTCATCACCCAGATCACATCTCTGCTCATCTATCCTACCTTCACTTTTGCCCTACTCAACATCATCAAGGCGGCGAGGAACCCGCAGATCGACATGTACATCTTGATCGGAATACAGTTCGTGGGGTGCGCGTGTACGAGTATTGCCAGTAACATCTCTATGACGATCGCTGGAGGCGGGAATGGAGAGGCCGCTACTGTAGAAGTTGTACTTGGTAAGTGGATGATACGAGCTGAGCTGATACCAGGCAACCTTCTTGGGGTACTGTTTAGCCCGCTCATCAACCAGATGTTCTTCTCGGCGCCAGGGTGGCATCAAGGCATACCGATAGCGGAGAATGGGTCGCCTGGTCTGGCTGGGCTAGGCGAAATGTACAGGCGGGTCATGATGAAGCTTGGACTAGCCATGTTTCTCCCCTTTGTGAGTCATATAACCGCGGTCCAAGGTCGAGCTGACAATTAGACCATCGGACAAGTTGTGCAATAGTGAGCAGCAACATGGCCCGAGCTAACGGTAGTTTCTTCTACAAGCCAACAAAAAGAGTGGTACAGGCCCTGCAGCTACCAAAAGTCTCCTCGTTCTTGCTTGTCACCCTGGTCTGGTGAGTCCATCTCCGGCGTTGCTGACTCCAGGTCCGTCTTCTCCACGCAATTTCACAACAATGCGTTCTCCAGTATCCCTCCCGGCTCCATCGCGCTCGTCATCTTCCTCATCATCTTTCTCTACCTCGGCTTCAGCGCGGTCGGCCTCTTTATCGCTCGTCTCCCCTTTATCCCCATTTCGGACGGCAAGATGGGCAAGGCAGCCCAGGCGTACAGACTGACAAAGGGCGAGACGACGGCGGTATGCTATTGCGCAGCAGCCAAGGGACTGGCCGTAGGGACGCCCATGATGGATGTTTTGTATGGCGGGTTTGGAGCGAGGGAGCGGGCAATCATATCGATCCCATTTGGACTGTATCAGCGTGAGTACCCCCGCTACGGTATGAGCTGACCTTGCAGTCGAGCAGATCGTTATGGCGCAGCTGCTCAGTCATCTCTTCAAGAGGTGGAATGACAGGCCGGACATGCTGGTCCTCGAGGAAGCGATTGTCAGCGAGGCTGTCAATCAGCACGAGCTGATCGATCGGGAGGGCTCCTTGGATGAGGTGAAATGAGTGAGCTCACTGTCGTTGTAGCATGTAGTATGCACCTCTAGCAAAGTCCAGTGATAGCGCGAAGCGAAGGTAGACGTCACGAGGAGAGGCGAGCCCAGCCCAGCAGCCAGTCAGCATACCATGAGCATGGGCAGCCGCGACGAGGTAAGAAGGGATTAGTTCAATCGGATACCGGCAGGCCAGCGGACTCACAGCTGTACGAATTTGCTGGTGCGAGGTGTGGGTTGCCTTTGATGATATACGGGATTGAGCGGATGCGATACGCGAAGGGGGGTGGGCATCCAGTACGGCTCGACGGAACGTCTAGCATAGGCAGGTGTTATCAGCTCGCGCTATACCATTCAAGACGGCTGCTGGACGTGTAAGCTGTCAGAAAATCCGGTCAATAAGCAGGTCGTTGCGCACCTCAGTGTATCAGCGATTCATATACAGTACACCCATGCCCTCATATTGACCCTGTCGAGCTGATCTGTCGCATAAACAGCTCATCCTTCCCTACTCCCCATAGAGAACCGCCGAGGACCACCACCGCCCCCCATGGCTAACATCATCATTTAAGCAACGCCGCCCGCGATGAAGCGCCGAAATCCAGGACGGCCCACATCACGTATTTGTCCGGACCTTCCCGTTGGTCTTGGCCGCGCGCTCGCTGGTCTTGGCCGCAAGCTCGCGGACCTTCCGGGCCCACCTCCCCTAGCGGATCAGCTCGACATCAGTCACGTACGAGTCTGCTTCCATGCTCACCTGTTCTATCCCAAGCATGATGCTCCTCTGGCGCCGCATTAAATTCCAAGCGCCCAGCCCCACCTCTACGCCCCTTCGCTCCCAGTATCCGCTACCTTTGACGCCTTCAATCTCCTTGATCCCTCGAATAGCAGCGTGGACTATTGATTCTCCGCGATAGTCGCCGAACGGACACCAGGTAGGCTCGTCGACTCGAGCCAAATGCGGTAGGCGAGTAAACGTTTCCGCGGGTGCACCGGTGTAGAATACGCGAGTCGGGCATGTCTCCTGCGGATTGCGGGACTCCCACTGATGGATATCTTGGACGAGCATGTCACCATATAGGAGCTCTTCGCCGCCATGGCACACCGAGTAGATGTGGCCCGTCACCTCGACCGCAGCCTCGGTCGGGTCCAGATCGCCGACCGAAACCACGCCACCGTGACTGTCGCGCCGTGATGTATAGCCGATCTCCCGGAGCCCCGGCAATTTCCGAAGCCACGAAGCGAACTTGACGGGGATCGACATGGGGCGTAGATCCGTTCCAGCAATGATGAGAGGAATCTTCATTCCGGGTGCCAGATACGGCCCAGTGTCTGAGATGCGGGAGCGGCAGTCAAAGTGAAGGATTTCGACCCTCGGTAAGGACGGCAGAGTAGCTTGTCTCGTCTACAGATCAGCCAGATCTTCTAGCATCGTGCGGTCTCGCTTACCGGGTAAGACCATTCTCGTGTAGGTAAGATCAGCCGCTGGAGTTGCGGATAATTTGGACCCTCCACCGCGATACCCCTCATACTCGCCACCACCATGCCATCGAGCCAGCCCCAATGCAAAGTACGAAGGTGAAGCATGCGCCCTATACACGTTGCAGCCGCTAACGCTGGCTCCCCTGCTTCCGCTTCATCCACCTCGCACGATAGCGATACCAGGTTTGGGCTGCGGTTCAGAAGATCGACGATCACCTCGGCGGGATCGCGAAATGCCACCACCTCCACGAGGTCCGCCGAAAGGGATAATTTCCGTATGACTGTATCGCGCTCGATAAACCGTTGTCCGCCGAGAGGAGATTGCGGCATATTGGCCGCACCCTCATAGACCGCATTGTATTCGAAGGCGAGCGAGACCAGGTGTGGGGCAGAATTGCAAAGGAAGGGGATGAAGAGGATGCTGTAAAGAGCGTTGTGTCCGATCTGTACGGTGGTGAGGGAAGAGAATGAGAGGCCGAGACCGCAGCGGAGGAGTTCCGAGTGGCAAGCGAGGAGGTGGTTGTCGAGGGATTCCGCGCTGGGGATGACCCCGACGGTGGGCCGTATCGCCAGCGACCGGATAAAGGGCGAGATGTTCTCGAAGAAATTGACCACCCAGCTCATCGCTGGGGAGCGAGAGCACAGAGTGACCGTTTCCACCGTCTTCCACCGCTTATCGTTCCCATTCATCAAAACCCCTTTCGCCATCTTCCGCAGCGCGTACTCCGCCCTTGCTTTCCGCAGCTCCGCCTCCCTCTCCGGCGGGATATATCCTAGCCATGAACGCTGCGCCATAAACTCTTCCGTGAGATAGAGCTCCAGGTCTCGCCAGATGCGACGCTCGAGGATACCGGCCGTCAGGCGAGAGACGCCGGCGAGCGAGGCGGCGGTCTTTGGATCCGCGTAATTCCCGATCTGAGCAATGAGCTCCCGCGGTAGAGAGGTCAGCGTTGCGGCTGAGCTGCCAGTAGGTGTCGCCATCGTGGGGTATAGCAGCTGAACAAGATGGATGTGTTGTGATAAGAGGTCCAGAGATGAATCCCGTCTGAGTCAACCGTTGACTGGGCGGTAAAACTTTAGTGCATGCTCCGCATTCCTCATTTCTGGCTCTGCAGCATCCATGATCCACTTCTCTGACTGATATCTGCATGAACAGGCATGATTGGCTATCACTCGAAGCTACGGGAACATAAATGTTGGCCCTACTACTATCCCCAGGCCTCATCTCAACATCATTCTCTCGGTATAGCCACCCGCCCTCAACGCTGCCGCATCGTCCATCCCCTACACCGTCCAGCCCCTTCCCGGTGCCCTCCGTGCCAGCGTCTCGTCCGCCGTGGTCGGATGGTGATGAAGCAGTTTCAGTCATCGAGAGAGGAGGAAAAGCCGGATGCGGGGCTCGAGATGGAGCTAGGGGGGGAGAGAGGGCTGATGGGTGTCGAGGGGGAGATCCTACTGAATCAGCTCGTTGCCCTCGCTCAAATCCAAGTTGATCGTGCTCACTCGGCTTGTTTCTCGTCCAGCCAGCTCGTCAACACCGCCCACGCGTCTGCCCCTACCTCCACGCCCCGCCTGTTCCAGTGCTCGCTTCCCTCGACCCCCTCCGCTTCCTTCATCGCCGCAATGACTTCCCGCTCCACCAAAATGCCCTCGTACTCGGTGAAAGCACACCACGAGGGCTCGTCCACCTGTATTACACCCTTTGCCCAACTCAGAACTCTGCCGGCTGCGGTGTACAACACTCGACTGACGGACGTTTTGTCCGGGAAGGCCGAGACCGACCGATGGACAAGGTGGATAAGCATCCGACCGTAAAGGAGCTCGTCGCCGCGGTGTTTAATCGAGTAGATATAGCCGGAGACGTTCCCTTCCGCCTCGACACGATCGAGATGGTCGAATAGGGAGCATTGGCCGGGCCTTACAGGTCGATACATGGGCGTCATGTAGTGAACGATTCGTAGTCGTGCGCACTTGCGAAGCCAGGAAGCGTGCGCTGCGGGTAAAAGCATGTACGTGCCATCCTGGTCGGTGGCGGTGCGTTTGACGAAACCTTGATTCAGCCTCGAGTCGGAAGATGAGTTGAGCCTTGAGCAGTCGAGATGGATGATCTCTAGGAGAGGCATCGAAGTAGCCAACATCTCGCCGACCTGATATGTCAGCGAGCAGTCTCCAGCTCATTATCAAGGATGAACGGAAGTGTGCTTACAGGGATAGTATACTCGCTCAGAGGTAGCATCACTCGCCTAAGCGAGTCAAAGCCAACGTTCCCTGCTGCCATGTCCACAGATTCCGCCGCGCCATATTGTAACCGCCAGTCCCATCGGAGATCGCGGAGACGAGCCAATGTTCTGATGGCTTCCAGCGGCATCTCGGCTTTAAGACCACCCTTGACTTTGCATAGCAAGACCTCCAACTTTGGACTGCGCCCGAGCAGGTCGATGATTGTGTCGACGGGGTTGTAATCACGGCTCGCGTGTGAGCAGTTGACTTTGAGGGAAAGCCTCTTGAGTTGAGTATCGCGAGTGAGCGACCGAGGAAAGGCCGTGGATGGCTTGGATATGGGCTTGTGCGCTTGGAAACACGCTCGATACTCGAACGCCATCGAGCACAAATTCGGCGCCGACTCGCAAAGGAAGACCACGAATTGGAGGTTGTAGAGCGATTCCGAGCTGATAGTGACGTCGACGAGCGAATTGAAGGATATCGCGAAGCCGCCCCGGAGAAGTTGTTGGTGGCAGCATAGAAGCTGATTATCGAAGGAGTCCTCGCTAGGAGATTGATCGTGTCCCCTGAAAACCCGTAACGATCGGATGTAGGGCGATATCTCTTCGAACAGAGATATCGTCCAGCTCATCCATGATGACCGGTGGCAAAGAGCGACGTTCTCCACCGCCTCCCAGCACCTCGGGTCGGCAAGGTCCCGCCTTAGCAGCCCCTTGATCATCCGTCCCAGCGCGTACACCTCTTGCGTTTCCCTTCCCTTCCCCTCCTCTTCAACGATCCGTGCACGTCGCGCCGCCTCTCTGGCCTCTGGAGAGAGCTCATCCGTAACGAAGAGGTTCAGGTCCCGCAAGACCCGCCAGCGCAGGGCGACCGCAGTGAGCCGGCACGTCCGACGAAGGGCGATGGCCGTACCGAGATCCGCGTAATGCCCGATCCGACCGAGCAGTTCGACCGGTAGCGACGATAGCGATGTGGGTGGCGACAGCAGAGCTGTCGAGGTAGACGTAGATGTAAGCGTCATTGGGAATGCAGTAGACTGAGTCGTATACGTATAGAAGAGAGAGAAGGAAGTAGAGAGTTTTCGGAGCAGCCAAGATCTTAATATCTTGATCCGTGCGTCCGTTTTGGCTGCGTTTTCCTTCGCCCTCGTGCTCTCTGCAGATGCTAGGTTCCTCATTGCGGCTCGGAACGCGCGTGTGCTGATGCTGCTGTCCAACAGAACCGTCTGAGTACTGGAGTGATATGATCTATCGTGCACTCTATCGCCCATGCTCACACCCAGCCGCTCTCTGCCTTCTTCCCCTAATCCCGCTACCCCCTTCTCTGCCGCCGTGCTGTATCTGGAACGTATCGCTTTGGCCCTGGATCCAGTAGTGCTGGGTGATGAAAAGGTACAGATGAGGGAAAGGTGGGGAGTGAGGGGTTGAGGGCATGCGAAATCTTGTAGATCAAATCGAATCACCTGCTCTTTCAGCGATTCCCCAAAAAAATCATGATATGATCCAAACACTCACCTGCGACCATCTTACTCTTCCAGCTCATCAACACCCTCCATGCTTCTGCTCCGAACTCCACGCCTCTCCAATCCCAGTAATCATCCTCCTTGACCCCCTCTGCCTTCTTCATCGCCGTAATGACCTCCATCGGTACCGCCATCCCCTCGTACTCGGAAAAGGGATACCAAAAGGGCTCCCCGATCTGCAGGACCGGGCGAAACTTCAGGAGGCTGGCCAGATTCGCGGTGTAGAGTATACGTGTAACGCGCGTCTTCTCCGTACGGTGCCCCTTACGATGAAGGACGTCCATGACGAGCATGCGGCCGTAAAGGAGCTCGCTATAGCCGTACCGAACCGAGAAGATATGCGCTGAGACATCGCCCGCCGACTCCACCCGGTCGAGATGGTCGAAGAGACCGAAGCCTGAGGCCATGTCGCTGCGATAGATGTAGTTGATGATCCGGAGCCGGCGGCAGTCGCGGAGCCAAGCGGCAAACTTGGGTGGTAGGATCATGGGAGTCGTCTGGCCACCGGCGCCGCGGCTGATGGGCGCACATGGCTCGATTTCGGACGAGATCCTCGCACGTTTTGAGCAATCGAAGTGAATGATCTCGACGGCGGGCATAGTGGAAGCCAAGTCCTTCTCGATCTACCAGTCAGCTGAAGTTCAAGGTCGCAAACAGTCGGACTTACAAAGAACGACCACCCGTAATGGGTCAGTACCGCTCGGCGAGGCGCGGCGAGGCCTGGCCCGTCTCCAGGGATATTGAAGGGCTCCGGCTCTTGGTACGCGATTTCCCATCGCCACAGAAGATCACGTAGGCTCGACATGCAACGAACTGCGTCCACTGACCCCACGGCCGATCCGGCATCACTGGCATCGCAAAGCAGCACCTCTAGATTCGGGCTACGTCTCAGGAGGTCGAGAAACGTAGGGATAGGGTTGTTCATCTGACTCGCGCCATGGCAACCGAATGTCATCGATAGCCTTGTAAGCTGGGTATCGCGAGTGAGGCATCGGGGGAAACCGGGTGATGAAGCGCCGTCATAGTGTTCGAAGCAGGCTCCCTGGTACTCGAATGCGATGGAGAGCAAGTTAGGCGCCGACTCGCAAAGGAAGGGGATAAATTGAAGGTTGTACAGCGATTCCGAGCTGATGGTGACGTCGACGAGAGGGGCGAACGATAGACCAAGGCCGCATTGGAGGAGGTCCCGATGACAAGCGAGCAAGTGATTGTCGAGCGAGTCGTCGTAGGCTGGATGGTCCTCGCTACGAAAGATCCGCAGCGAGCGGATGAAGGGCGATATCTCCTCGAAAAGAGTTATCACCCACCTCATCGCTGATGATCGATGGCAGAGAGCGACGTTCTCCACCGTCTCCTAGCACCGCGGCTGGACCAGGTCCCGACTCAGCAGCCCCTTGACCATCCGCCCCAGCGCGGACACCTCCCGCGCCTCCCTGATAGACTCTTCCTCCTCCGTCACGGCAAGACGCGCCGCCTCTATCTCCTCCTCAGAGCGCTCGTCGGTGATGAAGGGGTCCAGGTCCCGAAGAAGCCGGCGCTGGACAGCGACCGCCGTCAGCCGACATGTCCGACGAAGGGCGATAGCCGTACCGAGATCCGCGTAATGCCCGATCCGGCCGAGTAGCTCGACTGGGAGGGACGTGAGCGACGTGATCGACGCCTGAGGGGTAGTAGCCGACATGTCGAAGACGACGAGGGCGAGTAGGCGAGGATGATGTATGATGGAGGAAAGAAGGAGGTCGATTTGGGGGACGGATAAGCTGGTGGACGACGAAGGTCCGTGCGCACATTCCTCAGATATCTTCTCGCCGCCTTCTTGCTTCTTGGATCTTGGAGCCCGCTATGTCGTGGTCAGCCCGTGAGTGAGCCGGCAGAGCTCTTGCTAGCTAGCCGTAAATCGACTGTGGTTGGGCAGCAGACTACATACCTGCCTCATGTCATACCTGACCGCAGCCTATCTTCTGCGCCCGATCCCATTCCAGTCTCCCTTCCCGCTGTATCCAACCTAATTCCCGCTCTGTCCCCTTTGCGCCTTCGTAGTCCTCATCCGCCATCTCAGAGGTGTCACCAAACACCAAAGTCCCCAGCCCCCGCTTGTAGTATCGCCGCCTCTGATACCGCCCCGTCCAGCCTCGATCTCGATTTCATGGAGTCAGCGCGTTGTGCGAGTCCGACGATAATGAAGATCAGTCGAGCATTCCGGCTGGCTGGACGATGCGTTGATCGGATGTGTGCGCTAGGATAGTGGCGGAGAGGATGTGATGGGTGAAGTGAGACGCTTGCGCCAGGACTACTCATTCAGCGCAGTCCCCTCGTCCGCCTCGCTGAGAATACCGGACTCACCTGAGTTATTCGGCTCATTTACAGCTCGTGATATCGCTCACGCCTCTTTCCTCTACGCAGACCTCCACCTAGCAGCCTTCTCGTCCTCATTTTGCGCATTGGATTCCCTCCTACTCCATCGAAACGCCTCCCCTCCCTTGCCATCCGCAAGCCCCTTCCTCCGTCCACTTCTCGCTTCCACCCGACCTCCGATGGAGATTACGCCATATTCGAGGTGAGGAAAGTCGGGATCGCGGGGTGGCAGGGGAAAAAGGGGGATCAGGGAGAGACGGCAGCCACAGCGGACAACCTAATCAATGAGCTCGACACCTCGACCTAAAATACGACTGAGACTCACCTAGCATCCTCCTCTGCCTTCCAGCTCGTCAACACACTCCACACCTCCGCTCCGACCTCCTCGCCCCTGATCGATCCATGTTCGTCCGGCTCGTATCCCCCAGCCCTTTGCATCCGTCGAATGACTTCAAGTGGCACCACCATCCCTTCAAAATCAGAGAACATGTGCTCGAAGGGCCCGTCGACGTCCACGACCCCGTCGAGCCGACGAATTTCGGGGCTGGAGGTCGTGTAGAGGATGCGCGTTATGTACGTCTCGTTCGCCGCGACTGGATCACGCCGGTGAACGTCCACACAGTCCATGCAACCGTAGAGAACCTCGGATCCGGCATGCCGCATCGAATAGATGCGGCCCGTGACCCTCCCCTCGACTTCCAGCTTGTATGTCCAGTCGAACCGCCCCGAGTCAGCGGGTAGATGGGACATCCTAAGGTGATTGATCATGCGAAGACGGGGGCAGCGTCTCAGCCAAGCGGCAAACTCCGCGGGTAAATGGATGATGTTGTCCGTTTCGGAGAGATCGATGGTGTCCAGATCACGCGGTCGCATTGCGGGCCGGCCATCACAGTCGAGATGTACGACTCGCAGGGCAGGCATAGATGGGAGGACACTGTCGCCCAAGAGCTGTACTGTCAGTCTGGAGCAGTAATATGAAGGCGCCAAAACCTACCGGAAATGACCAACCATACAAGTGCACAATCACCCTCTCGAGCTTCTGAAATGAAGGGCCATCCTCCGCCGGTGTATCCTCCCCTTCCGACACTGTGGTAGATTGCCCTCGTCAGTGCCATAATAAGTTCCTTAGGTGCGACAAGCGACCTACGCCATCCTCCAGCGAATTCTTCCCCAGAGCGTCGTACACCTCACACGAGAGGTTGGACAGTAATGGACTGCGAGCAATGAGGTTCCGTATCACCTCGCCAGTGTCATAGTTGCGGGTCAGGCCTATGGTCCCCGCGCACCGAGCTTGCAGCGCGAGGTGTCGGAGTTTGGTGTCGCGCAAGATAGTCCGCGGACAACCTGGGGACGATTCCGGAATACGCGCTCCGCACTGTAATTGCGCCTGGTATTCGAATTCCAGCGTCGACAGATTGGGTGCGGAGGTACAGAGGAAGGGAATGAATTGTAGATGGTATAGTGCGCCAACATAGAGCCGGACGGTCGTAAGCGAGCCGAACGATAGGGCGGTACCGCAGAGCAGAAGCTCCCGATGGCAGGCCAGGAGTTGGCTGTCGATCGAGTCCGCGTCCCGATGGACGCCCTGCTCCTGAAAAATGTCCAGTGAGCGGATGTATGGCGCCACATTCTCCAGCAAGGGCACCGCCCAGCTGGAGGTGGGCGACTGGGAGAAGAGCGTAACGCTCTCCACCATCTTCCACCGCCTCTCGTTCCCATGCGCCATCACCCCCTTGACCAGCTTGCGCAGCGCAAGCTCTGCCCGAATGGAATGTGCCCGAGCCTCTCTTCCTCCTCCAGCTCCACCTCCCCACGCCATGGTGTCTGCGCGAGGAACTCCTCCGTAAGAAACAGGTCCAGGTCTCGCCAGACCCGCCGTTCCAGCGTTGAAGCGGTTGACCGACAGCACCGAGCGAGGGCGGAGGCGGTCCCGAGATCGGCGTGATGTCCGATGAGAGCGACGATCTCTCGCGGCAGAGAGCTAAACGCTGCTGTCTGGCCAGTCGACGAGGTAGACATAGCTGCGTCTTATGGTGATGTGGGAGGTAGATGGACAGTTGAAAGACTTCACTGGCGCAGATCAATGAGGAAGCTTGAAGGCAGCCCGTGCGTCGGTTTTCAAGAGTTGCCACCACCTTCTCTTCCCCTCGTAGAAGACTGCTCTCAAGGCGCCAGACAGACTGTGGGAACAGTGGGAACAGGTGCGCTAGTGCTGCATCTTTACACACAAGGTCTCTCACTCAAAACTCGGCGCCCAAGACCTCACCTCCCAGCAAAGTTCCGGATCAAAGCCTCTCCTCCCTGCCTTCCACCGTGACCTCCCTTCGGCAAGATACAGGACACGGGACCTTCTCCTGCCTCGCAGACGGAGACGCATAAAGCTCAGACGTCCATGTGCCCACCTATCAGGCGGACGCGGCGCCGTTAGCTCTGATCGCCGCCAGCTTCGCCTCGATTCCCGATTTGCTATCGGATCAGCCCACGTCCTCCTCCTCCTCCTATATCCTCGGCGCCTACTCACTGGTTCTGGGCATACTCCTTCCAGCTCGTCAACACATTCCACGCCTTGTCGCCCACATCCACACCCCGCCTGACCCAAGTCCCGCCTGGGCGTCCCCCCTCCACCTGCGCCTTCCGCTGAATCACTTTGAAAGGCACCGCGAGCCCCACATACTCCGAGAACATCTGATACACCGCCTCGTCCACTCTGACCACATCCTCCACCTCCCTGATAGACGCCACGTCGCCGGTATAGAGCATCCGGGTCGGCCTCGTCGCCGCTGGATTCTGCGGGTCCCGCCGATGGACCGTCTGGACGCGGAGCTGGCCAAAGATGAGCTCTTCCCCGCCATGCCGCATCGAGAAGATGTAACTTGGCGTCCGGCTTCGGCGTTCGTTCCGGACCATCCGCTAGAATACCTGGGTGCGGTCGTCAAAGTCGCTCGTCTCGATGTAGTTGATGATCCAGAGATTGGGGCAGCTCCGGAGCCAGGCAGCGAATGTCGGGGGGAAGAGGATGGGATGGGTAGAGAGGGGTAGAGCGGACGAGTCGAGGATAGCGGACGTTGGGGATGGACGATGGCCGACATCCCAGTGGACTGCCCCGAGCGATGGCATCGAGGGGCAAATACTGTCCGACGTGTCCTGATGATCAGCCCAGTACCGGTGATGAGAGAGACACGTACTGGAAAAGACCAATCTCTCGTTCGCAGAATCACCCTCATCAATGACGGGAACACCGGCCCCTGATCCGCAAAGGCCAGCTCCTCAGGATCCGCCTCGATGACGCCTTTCCAGCCCCATTCCAGACTGCTCAGGTGCTGCATGTGCTTGACGCACCGCATCGCCATAGCGTCCGAGGCATTATGCTTCATCCTGCACGACAACTCCGAGAGCTCCGGACTACGACTGAGGAGATCCAGAATGGTCTCTGATATGTCGTAGCTTGGGTGCCTTCCGATCGCCTGTACGTCCCATGCGAGGTGCCGCAGCTTGGTGTCCCGAGTAAGGAAACGGGGATACCCGGGAGACGATGGTGGGGGGACCGCAGCCGTTATCGAGCGAGCATCGTGCTGGAACGACAGGATGAGGAGATTGGGCACCGCGTCGCAAAGGAAAGGGATGAATTGGAGGTGGTAAAGGGCCGCATTGTGTAGTCGGGCGACGACGAGCGATCCGAAGGAAAGGCCCGAGACCGCAAGCGAGGAGCTCCCGATGGCAGGCGAGAAGTTGGCTGTCGAGCGAGGTGGGGTCCGGCCTGATGTCTTCCTCGTCGTAGATCTCGAGGGACTTGATGTAGGGGGATACGCTCTCCAAAATGGGTAGTACCCATCTCGTCGCGCCGGACTGGGAAGCGACCGTCACGCTCTCGACCATCTTCCACCTTCTCTCACTTCCATGACTCATCACCCCCTTGACGAGCTTCCGGAGCGCATAAGCCTCTCTTGCTTTGTTCTGAGCCGCCTCATCGATTACCGCCCCCGCCCCATCTCCCACATCCCCCGCCTCCCGCTCGACCCCGCTCAAGCTGGGCCTCTCCAAAAACTCGTCCGTCAGATACAGATCCAGGTCTCGCCAGACCCGCGGTTCAAGCACGAGCGCTGTAAGGCGGGACACCCTGACGAGGGAGGCAGCGCTGGCAAGATCGGTATAGTTCCCGATGTGCGTGACGAGCTCTGGCGGGAGCGAGGCAAAGGTTGCAGCTCGAGGGTCAGGCGTGTGACCCATCTCCTCGCCTGCTGCGCTCCCCGGCCTCAGGGTTTTGGATGAGGATTCAGTAGAAGGTCCCGGTAGCTCCACCGTACTGTCAGTAAGTGGTAGTCCATGTCAGAGGATATTGAGGATCATGGGGAGTGATGTATGGTTGCAGATCAGCCGCTGACGTCGACGGCGACGTGTGTACATTCCTCGATCAATTTCGATCCCTAGAGTATCTCTTGCAATTGCCTTTAACTCATCAGTCTAGACATGACTATCTTGATACCGCTACTCGCGGCTGGGGCAGCTGTGCTGATAGGCACCGTGACGCTGCTCTATATACACGCGCCCAAAACGCTATACTCCTCCGAGGCGGCACACCAGCATCGACTCCTCCCGATCCTCGCCTCGCTCCGGACGCGTCCCCTTGGGTCCAAGCTCTCCCTGCACCGCCGTACCCTCGACAGTAACACCATCCGGAACTCCTCTCACAAATCTTCATACTCCTACTTCCCCGTCGACCTCTCCTCATTCCACCATATCCTCGAAATCAACCCCAGCGGGGGATACGTCCTCTGCGAGCCAGGCGTACCATTCGGGGATCTCCTGCGCGAGCTGCTCAAGGTGGGAATGACCACTCTGGTCGTTCCGGAGCTACCGGGAATCACTGTCGGTGGGGCTATAGCGGGAGGCGGGCTGGAGAGTTCTAGCCACCGGTATGGCCAAGTGAGCGATACGGTGTTGGAGCTGGAATGCCTCACTCCGGATCTACGGGTATGCTCCCCCTCGGTCGATCCGGACCTCTTCTACGCCATCTCGGCCAGCTACAATACTGTCGCGCTCATGACGCGGGTCAAGCTCCAGATTGCGCGGGCACCGGCATACGTCTCGCTTCAGGCGGAACGGTACTCTTCCTTCTCATCCGCGGTCGCAGCCCTCCAATCGTCAACCTCGGACACGGTGGAAGGCATCGCTTACTCATCTACCGATATCCTCGTCGTTCGCGGTACACACACCAGCACCCCTCGCTCCCCTATCCGCCGGTTCAGCCGGCACTGGGACAAATGGTACTACAAGTCTATCCATTCCCAGCTCGCCATGACGGTCCCGTATGCCGACTACTGCTTTCGGTACAACTACGGTTCGTTCTGGATGGCCAACTACGTCCTGGACATGCTGGGTGGAGACAACCTCTTTACGCGGTTCATGGTCGGCTCGTTCCTCGATACAAAGCACCTCTTTGCGGTGCTACATTCGTCGGATCTGACGGATCTGGGGCGGATGCGGGTCATTCAGGATTTCTACGTCCCGGCGGAGAAGGCGGTAGAATTTCTTGAGGAGGCGGAGAGGGAGGTGGGAGTGTACCCGCTCTGGCTGTGCCCAATCAAGGGGACCAGTACCGGCCAGCTCCTCGCGAGCCATCACTCCACGGCGGAAAAGCAATTCATCAATGTCGGGATATACGGTCGACCCCGCCAATTCCCCTTCAACCCCCAAACCCTCCATTCGAAGCTGATCGACCTGCTCATTCAGTCCGGCGGACGGTCCATGCTTTACGCCCAGACATGGCATAGCCCGGAGCAGTTCCAGGCGATGTACGGGGAGGCGCTGAAGGCGGTCGAGGGTGTGAGAAGGTCGTATGGGGAGGAAGGGTGTTTCTTTGGGCTGTATGAGAAGGTGGGGCTGAGCGAGAGGGACAGGGATGAGCTAGGCAGGCCGATGAGGGGAAGTGAAGCTGAGGAGACGCGGAAGGTGGTGAGGGACATTCTGGGCAAGAAGCTGGGATTATGGTAGCGTTCTTAAGTAGGCATTAGATCAAAGTAGACGTAAATAGAGTGTTAGATGTCCATATCAGTAGATCCCTATTCGTATACGCATGTACCATGCCCAATCGTGTACAGGTGCATCACCTTATTTTATAGTCTACTTCTCCGATCCACCCCTTCAGACCCACTAAACCAAAAGCAAACTCCCCAGCGTCGCATCCGTAGCAACAACCTCGAGCGCCTGCTTGACCTCCAGCGCCCGCCTCGCCTCCCTCAACCAGTCACTCGCAAGCCGCTTCGGCCACCCTTGCAGCCTATTCACCTCCCTCGCCGCCCCATCCAGATCCTTCTCGGCAAGACACCACTCGGCCCTGGCCAGCACCGCGCTCACATCCGCACCATCCACCGGTCCCGGCGTGGGGCGGAACATGATCTTGCTCAGCGTGAGCGAGGCGAGGTGGGACGCGACGCCCGCATCTTCCGGAGCGGGGACGAGAGCCGCCGATTGGACGCGGGGCGAAACGGACGTGGTGAACCATGACGAGAGGGCAGCGAGGGATTTGACGCCCGTACTGGCGATACCGGACGCCTCGAGCTGTTCCAGTGCGGCAGCAGCGACAGTGGCGGACTGGGTCGAGTCCGAGGTGTTGAGGGACCGAAGGACGCGGAGTTCATTCCCGAATGAGACGTCTCCGGCGTCCGATTTGGCTTGGACGGCGCGGAGGGCGGACCAGACTTTGTGGACGCGGACGTTCTGGTCGAGCGTCGCCGAGTTGTCGAGAGTGATGGTTTTCAGCTCGTGCAATGACGTAGTGAGGTCGTCGAGCTTGGCAAGACGTCCGCCGCGTTCCGTCTCGACCTGCGTCTTGATGCTCCTCAGCCAACGGCGTTGGAGCTCGATACCTTGCTGGACCACTTCCTCTCGCAGCCTCAAGTCAGCAAAGTCAAGACAAGAACATACCTTTTCTCAATTCCCTCCCGCTGCGACTCGAGCTCAGAGTCCATATCCTTCTTCCAGTCCGCCACCATCCCTGCGCGCTCCTTCTCCCACTTTTCGCTCAGACCCGCCTCGGACCGCTGACGGCCCGCTTCGGCCTTCTGAAGCGTCGCCTCAAACTCCTGCTTCTTCGCCTCGAGAGAGCGTTCCAGCTTCTCCTTCTCCGCCTTCTTGATATCCCCAAGCCGCTTGGACAGGGCGGTCAGGTCATCCTGCGCCTTGCTGAGAATTCCGGTGGCGTTCGCCGAGGGTCCCGAACCAGGAGCAGAAAGCGACGAAGTGAGCGAGTCGATGGTAGAGGCGAGCTGGGAAATGATGGGCTCGTCCGTCCCAAAGTCTTTGACCTTGGGAGCGAGGAGTGGGAGGGTTGGTGCGGCCGCTCCGGCCGCGGGCTTGGGAGGAGGGGGGATGTACTGTCCTGGAGGAGGCTCGAATCCGAGGGGAAGAGCCGGTCCGGCGTACTTGGTCTGACCCTCAAAGGTGGGCTTGGCGGGCGTAACGGTCTCCGGGCGAAGCTCGCGCGGGCGCTGAGTGTCGGGATAGATCCGAGAGGAAGTAGGGGTTGCTGAAGCGTCTGCGACATTCTTCTCCGCCTTGCGCACCGCCCCGTCCACCGCATCCTCGCCTCGTTGAACTGTGTTCTTGACGTTGGCCTCGCCCCGGTGCAGAGCATCCTTGACGTTGGCTTCTCCGCGGTGTACCACATCCGCCACGTTCTTGCCGCCCCTGTTCAGTGCGCCCTCCGTCTCGCGGACAATCCCCTCGATACCCTCGCTGGCGTTGAAGGGGATCGACGAAGTCGCATCGACGACCCGGTTCTTGGCGTCCCGAGCGAGCGCGGCCGCCTTGTCCGCGGCGTCCTGAGTGGCATGGACGACCCGATCCTTGAGGTTGGCCGCTTCTGCCGAAGCCCGACTCGCAGCCCGCTCCGCCTGGACCTTGGCGTCATGCGCAAGCGCCTCGGTCCGCCCGGCGATATCCTTCGCTCCGGCCTTGACCTTGTCCGCCGCACTCTGCGCAGTAGCCTTGGCGTCCCTGCCAACCTCCTCCGCCTTAGCCGCCGCCTCCTTTGCTGCCGATTCCGTCCGAGCTGCAGCGTCCCTCGCTCCAGCTTTCGTCTTGTCTGCGACATCCCTCGCGCCCGCCTTGGTCTTATCCGCCAGATCCTTTGCTTCCGCCTTGGTCTTGTCAGCCGCACTCAGCACACCAGCCTTCGCGCGAGCAGCAGCATCCTTCGCCTCCGCCTTGGCCTTCTCTGCGGCATTCTCCACCTTGTCCACGCCCCTTCCGACCTCCTTCTTGGCCGCAGCAGCCTTGGCCTCTGCATCCCGCCTGAATTGCGCTCCGGGTCCATCGCCCAACTCTGATCCCCTCGTCTCAAAGTCCACCCTCTTGGCACCAATACCAGCCCTTTGGCCCTTCTCCAGACCCTGGATGGTCTTGTTCGTAGACGTCCTCGCGCCCAGTTGCTCCTCTGCGAAATCCGCAACTTCCTCGCCGAGCGGGAAAGTGCTGGTAAAGAACTCGCGGTATGGTTCGGACTTGGTAGAAACAAATCCGGAGAGAGGGTAGAAGATGAGCGTCCCGAGTGTGGTGTAGAGGAGGAACCGCCTAAAGAGCCGGCGAGGTCGTTTCGGGGTCGGGTTTGGCGGGGGAGGAGGTGGGGGGATTTCGGAAGAGGAGAGGTTCTGGTCGGCGATGGTGGATGAGCCAGGAGTGATGATGGGTGTGGATGCGACGACGACGGGCCGAACGGGTACCGCGCCAGAAGGAGCGGGTGCGACGGGCGGGATACCAGTGGGAATGCGGCTGGGAGGAACCGCGAGCAGCTGGGCCGTTAGCTGATACTTTTTGCTGATTCAAATTCGAGGGACCTACTCTCCGCTGAGGGAGGACGATGCTCCTGACCGCTCGAGCCTGTTGCATCCTTAGTGACTGCATGGTAGCTGTGTAAATAGATAAGATAGTTGGAAAGATGCGGCAACGATGTCATCGTTCTTGGCTGAGTTGGCTGGTCGGTCTCGGTAAACGCCGAAAGTGGCAGATCTGAGGAATGTGGCAGGTATGACGCGCGAGGGGTCGTTCGCAGCTATGGGCACTGCTCGCTCCTACGGGATGGTCACCGAGGGTCAAAGGAGGCGTGTGAATGATGTAGTACAAACTGGTAGAGACGAGAAAGTGACTTGGTGGAAAAGTGGACTGTAACGCAGCGGACTCGGGGCGGTCTTCCGATTTTCTACAGTACAACATGACCACTGTTAACAAGCCATGATTGAAGTTGTTTCGGGCAACTATTATAGGTGTTATGAACTCAAATTTACTGGAGAATGCACTTAGCGATAAAAGAGAGTCACGGAAGCCCGATATCTAGCCTATCAGCCTGGATCATTCTTCTTCACCGCCTGATCCCAATACGCCGCCAAGGAGCCATACACGCGTGAGCGGTGTGTGAGTAAGGTTGAGAATGATGAGGTCCATCGGCTGATGATGTCTCGACGCTAGAGCCTCGATGGCACGTCAATTGCACAAACTAGGATCGTATGCAAGACTAAAGTAGGAGTTGGTGCGTTGAAGTGCTGCATGATAGCGTTGGCATCCGTGCGGAGCCAACCGGCCCGATGGTAGGCAGCCCGAAGGTAGAGGCGCTCTGCGACGACCGCGAGATGGTAGTTGACGAGAGCTGGGAAGGAGGTAGGATGGAGGCGGGAGAGCCGAAGGAGCTCCTGGGCGTGCCATCTGAGAAGACGGCGGGGTGGTACATGTATGTTCGGTAAACGTAAAAAGGGGAAGGGTCGACCAACCCTCCGCGGGAAGACCTGGCGAGGGGTCTCCGCGGAAGGGGGAGGTCGTCGGCCCGGCGGCGCAGCAGCCAATCGTCCCTTCCAAAGAGGGATGAGGCCGCTCGATAGGAAGGAGGGGGACCAGGCAGCCCTAGAAGATGGGAATGAGGGTGATTTGCGGTGCGCTGAGAGGGCTGCCTGTCCCGCGGAGGGGGAGGGGGGTACTGATGGAAAGGGGATGTATGTCCCGCGGTCCGGCAGAGGGGGGGGGAAGGGAGACCCCCCAGGAGCGGGAAGGGGAAGAAAATGAGGAAGGGGAGAGGGGGCAGTGGTCTGGCCCCTCGGTATACGACAGAGCGTGGCGCTGCGCTTCAGCTCTCTGCTATGACTTATGTATGATCGACCTACTCATTCGACGCCTCAGCTCACCGGACGTCACAGCTCACTCTCCCGCATCGGCCGGAAAAAGAAAGGAGCATCGGCGAATAAGAGCCGGCATAAGGAGAACGCCGAGCATGGTAGCTCTGGCATTCTGCCTCTTACCCCCCACCCACACAGCAAAGTGTGGCACCTTGACTGCCCGCATTGATTACATCCTGGCCGAATCAGCTCGTTTGCACCTTCGACAACTCAGATTGGCAGGTCCGTCACTCACCCAAAGAGCGAATGATCGAGACCACCTCGACGCGCCACCTCCATCTCGACAGTCGGACTTGGAGGGTCAGTAAAGCGGGCGAGAAAGGTGACTCGCATTGAGCTTGCTTACCATTGACGGAGACCAAAAGCAGCGCCCTGCCTCCCCCGCCGCCCTGCAGCTAGCGCATGGTACAAGACGACAACCTCCAGTTGGATGCGCACCCCAGACCACCAGTCGGCCGATGGGTCTCGGACTTGTCTCCCGACTTAAGGAGGACAGGGAGGGAGACACAATGATAGAAGCTGCGGGAACCAAGGGCGCCCATCTCCCTTCGGCATGACGTGTATCCATCTCGGCCCGGGTTGCCGGTATCATTTCCGGCCGATGACGTAACCCAGTCGCGTGGCGCACGGACCTCCTCATTCCTCATTATTCCTCGCGTCCAGCTTAAGCTTTCGGTCCACTCACCTTCTAAAGTAATCATTTCTCTTCTCTGCCTTCCCTTCCCCGCTCGCCACCTATATCCCTGATGCCTCCAGCCAAGAGACTAAAAACCAACGTCGACTGGTCATGGGTCGGCTTCGAAGCAGAGACCGCCTCCGAGATCACGCTGGAGCATCGGCGTCGAGCGGCCGGACTGGTCGGTGTCCAGGCGTGCAAGTTTGATCCTTACCCACCCGTCGAGGAAGTCAAGAATGGGGAGGGAAGTAAGCCTAGATGGAGTGCTGTATCTGCGGCCAAGGCGAAGGTGGACCTTACTTGCTCTGCGAAGCTGTGTAAGGGGAAGGCGAGGTGTTATAATCACCTGGGGGCGAATAAGGTGAGTGTGTAGTGGTCAAGGGATAGGGAAATGATGCGGTGGGGATAGCTGACAATATAGAATGTCGGGAAGGATGCGAAGAAGAACTTTATAGAGCAGAAGATGGGGGACGAACCGGAACATCGAGAGAAGGGGGTGCCGGCGGGCCTGAGGAATATGGGCGCTACTTGCTACGTGAGTTCTGGAACGGGCCGAGCAGGGAGAAGGGAGAACAGAGAAGGGAGAGAGGGAGATACGAAGCAAAATTGAGGAAGAAATAGAAAGACATATGGGAGATGTGGTTGCGGCGCAGACCAGGATGTGGTCAGGTGAGGACATCGAACCGAGACATGAAGGAAGAGAGGTGGACGGAGAGGATACCTGCAGTGCAGGAGTGAGAACAGGATGACACGGATGATGAAGTCCTTCATCAATCGCCTCGCATCAGCTGACCATACAGGCCAACGTCTACCTTCAACTATGGTACCACAACATCCCCTTCCGCACCGGTCTCTACTCGTGCGACATCACGCCCGGCTCGTTCCTCTCGCACCTCGTCAAAGTGTTTGCGGCGCTGGAGCATAGCAAGCGGAAGGTCGTGGATCCGAGCGGGCTCGTAGAAGCTTTGGAGCTTAAGGCGGATGATCAGCAGGATGCTGGAGAGTGAGCTCCCTCGATCTGGCAATAGGAGAGCAAAGAAACGAGAAGCTGATGAGACAGGTTCGCGACGCTCTTCATGAACGTGATCGAAAAGGAGCTGGCTCTGCAGGCGGATCCGAAGCTGCAGACATTGGCCGAACGACTTGTATGTCCTTCCCTCGGATGTGCTGACCAGTAGTTCGAAGGCAAGCGGAGCTTTCGGACGCAATGTCACGGATGCGCAGCTACCAGTACACGGGAAGGTAAGTTAGATGCATTTCGGCGATTGTCCTGGGATCATGACGCAGCTGACCAAGAAGAAAGCTTTCTCGAACTGGAACTCAACCTGAAAGTAAGTCAAATCACACGCCTCTCTCACCTCGTGAGCGGAGCCAGCGCTCATGCCACAGAACAACGAAACCCTTCAGGACCGTTTCCGCGCCTTTAAGGCCGGCGAGGTCCTCACCGGAGACAACAAGTACCGCTGTTCGGCATGTTCCGAACTGTGCGAAGCGACCCGCCGGATCGCGATTGTGGAATTACCGCCATACCTACACTTCAGCCTCATGCGGTTCACGTACGACACCAAGGACGAGGAGCGGAAGAAGAGCAAGGCGGTGATCAAGTATCCGAAGAGTGCGACGTTTGCGGGGAAGGAGTACGAGCTGTGTGCGGTGGTTTTGCATTTGGGGTCGTCGGTTAGTTTTACCCGCCCCGAATAGGCGAGAGGGAGGGGAAGGGGGGAAGAGAAGAGAAGCTGATGAGGTAGCCGTATCATGGTCATTTCGTAACGGAGCTATATGACGAACAGTGAGCTCATTGCCCCCACACGAGTCTCCTCGGGCTATAGCTGATATCTAGGTCCAAAGAATGGTACACCTGCTCCGACAAGAGCGTGACGAAGCGCCTCCCAAACGCGCTCAAAAAGCTCGGTCAGCCCCCCGGTACCAATGGCGAGAGCTACGAATCGTCCAAAGATGCGTATATGCTCGTGTACAAGAAGAAGTCGGACCGGCCGGCGGCAGCGGGAGACCAGGTGGGGCCGCCGGAAGTGGCGATGCATGCTGTGAGGGAGGATAATGAGAAGTTTGAGGGAGAGGTCAGGGAGTGGACTGAGAAGTGAGTTTCAGAGCTCATGTATAGCCCTGGGAGGCGATGTGGATAAAGCTGACGAGGAAGGTGTCAATTGGCGGCTATGGAGTTTGAGACGTTGAAGGGGATCAAGGAGCCTGTTATTGCTGCGTTGTCCGGGGTGAGCTGTCTGCGAATCCTCTTCGTACATAACGATCTCTGAGCTGATACCTCTAGGACGACGTCATCATTCCCCGGAATGAGCTCCAGCGATGGCTCGAAGGAGATATGGACGCTCTCTCTGCCCCTATCGACTACTCCTCCCTCGCCTGCTCCCACTCCACCCCTGAATCCTCTCCTATCCCTCTCGATCCCACCAAAATGTCCGACTGCCGCCTTATCTCCCGGGCCGCTCTGGACGGTATCCGCGTCTCCACTCCATGCGCCGACGCGGAGATATGTCCTCTTTGCGTCGAGTCGAGATTCACCTCCCGAATGTCCCGCTCGGATCGGGAAGACCAGGTCCGGACGTTTGATTCGCTCAATATCATCCGGGTTGACGGGGGCGGAAATGAGGGAGAAGAAGAACCATACCTCATCTCCAAAGCGTGGCTTGATGGATGGCGTCGACACTCCCTCTCCCCACCCACGGCTATGCCCACCGACCCCGGATACTCTTTGTACTGCGGCCACGATAACCCATTCCCCTCGGGCCGGACTCACGTCCTGATCACCCCCTCCGCACTTGCCCTACTTCATTTTGCCGTCGGCCACTTTCCCGCCTTCACGCCTTCCACTCCTTCTTGCGCTCTGTGCGCGAAAGACTCTGAAAGCGACGCAGAAGCCCGGATCCTCTGGCTCGCGGAAATCAAGAAGGACAAGGCGATCAAGCGGGAGTTGAACCCCAAGAACAAGATTTTTGGGGAGACGTATTATATCCTCTCGACCCCCTGGGCACAGGCGTTCTGGGTATATCAGACGGATCCCACCTTCCCGCGGCCGATATACACGCCGGATCTGTGTCCGCATGGCCTGCTTAAGATAGATCCGGCGGAAGATGAGGGATTGTCGTTTGTGACGCAAAAAGGATGGGAGGCGTTGCAGGAGCGGTATGGTCCCCAGGAGGCCATGACGATGGTCTGGGCGGATGACGCGGAGGAGGGGAAGCACTGGCCCTGGAAACAAGTAAGACCGGGGGTGTGTGCGGGGTGTAGAAGGGAGAGGAGGCTCGTTTGGACCGAGACGGAGATCCAGGTTTATCTGGACCAAGGGGAGGAGGAGGACGGGGAGAAGGCAAAGGAGAAGTCGGATGGCGGGAACGCCAACAGGAATGGCTCGAACGGATCTCGGTCGAACGGTTCCGGTCCTTCGAATACCGGCTCGGCGTCAGCGGAACGAGAACCCCGACGGACTTCCGAGAACGCCTTCAAGCTCAACATCCGCGTCGCCCCTCCCCCTACTTCCTCGTCCACAATCCCATCCAAGCGCTCCCGCCTCTCTCGAGGAAGCACGACCCGCCGCCCCAAACCCTTCCTCTTTCGCGCCATCCCCGACTCGACCGTCCACTCGCTCCGTCTGGCGATATACGAAGAATTTCAGATTTCACCCATCTCCCAGTCGATCTGGTATGATGGAAAAGAGTTGACGGATCGGGATCGGACGATGCGGGAGGTGGGGATGGTCAGTTTTGGGGAAATCAGGGTTAAGGAGTTGAAGGAGGAAGATGAGGATGCGTTCTTTGCGAAGGAGAATGGAGGGAGGGGGGGAAAGAAGGGGGGGAAAGAGGAGGGGTTTGGGGGGACGGCGTTGACGGGATATGCGGGGCGGGCGGGGAGTAGAGTGAGGGAGGATAGTGCGAGTGCGAGTGCGAGTGCGCATGGGAGTGTGAGCGGGAGTGTCCGGGGCAGTGGAAGTGGGAGCGCTAAGGGAAGTGCGGTTGGAAGCGGGAGCGGGAGTACGCGTGGGAAAGACGGAGAAGGTATCGGTGCAGGGGTGGAAGAGGGGAAGATGGAGTGGGAGGCGGACTGGGAGGACGATACCGAGCAGAAGGACGAGAAGGGCAAGCAGGGGAGGGCGTGTCCGGATTGTACGTACATCAATGTGTATGGGGCCAAGGGGTGTGAGGTGTGTAGTAGGCCGTTTGTTTTGGACGATGAGGAGGTGTAGCTGCGAGGCGGCGGGGGAGAAAGGGGCAAGAAAGAGGGGAGGGCGAGCGGACGACAGTAAGTAGTTTATGTTTGTGACTAGATACAGTACAACCTGCAAGTAGGGATGTGTATAGACAAATACATGTATAGACGACTCGTATGTGACGGATCAACCAGTGATACCCTCCTCAACCACGATATTTCAAAACCCGCTGCTGTTTTCTCACCATCCTCATCATTCCCAAGTCCTCAAGCCTAGATCCTGATCCCATATTTCGCCTGCTGTATCACCCCGCCTTTCCCAAACGGCCCCTTCCCCTCCCTTCTCAACCTATGTGTCCCCGGCGCCCCCGAGCCCCTTCCCCGATCCCAGGCCATTGCGTCCCCCTCATCGAGCACCATCTCCCCTTCTCCTTCCCCCTCATCCTCATCCGTCTCCATATCCCTCAAATACCTTTCCAACTCCCACCCACTCCCCCCGCTCGTCCCACTCGTCCCACTGACCCCGGTGACTCCACTCATCCCTGAGACGCCGCTGAGGCCCGTCTCGCCAGTCGCAACGCTCACCCCGCTCGCCCCGCTCGCATTCGAGTGCATCCGCTCGTGTCCGCCCGATCCTTGCCGTACGAGCTCCAGGGATGCAGGTCGGGGCGCGGTGATGGTATGCGTGGGGCTGGTCTCGCTGACGGCGTTGTAATGGGTATACGCGTATTGGCCGGTATGATCCCCATCAACGTCCCCCTCCTCGTCCCCTTGCTCGAAGTCGAGGTCCAGCTCGACCTTGTCCTTGTCCTTGGCGTAACTTGGAACAGGAAAGTCCATACTTACCTCCATAGGGACAGCCAGGTCATCCTCGCCCGGTTGGTTGGCCCGAGCTGTCCTAAATGACTCGAACGAGAGGTCTTGTTTACTCATCGGCCGTGAAAAGTCGGGTACGCGCTGACGGCCGGGTCCAGCTAGTGGCAGAGGGAAAGGGGGAAAGTTCAATTCCGAGTCCGCGTCGAACGTGTCCCGCTTGTTGTGGGCTAGACTCGTGCCCGGTCGAAAAGGAGGGTGCTGGTATGGTGTTCGCGTACGGTGGTGGGATGGGTGATGGCCCATGGACGTAGCTGGGCGGGCGTGAGGAGCAGGGGATACGGAAGTGGATTGGGGTTTGGTATGAGATGCGGGGACGGGGACGTCTTCTCGGCTGAAGGGTCCGGCGCGAGATGCCGAGACGACGGGGCGTGTGTTGGTATTGATATTAGGGAGGGGGAGAGGGCCAAGCGGATCCCGAGCAGCGGTTGTGGCAGCGATATTGAGCGGAAGCGTAGACGCGGGATGCGTAGACGTCCCCAATCGAGGGTAAACCCTTACCCGGCTCGCTGTCCTAGGCGGGAGAAGCGCTGCCGGGGCAGGCGGAGCGGTAGCCGCCGCGGCTGGGAGACCGTTCACCAGTGCTGGCGTAGACGCGTTGGTTCGAGATCGAGAAAAGGATTTCTTGAAGCGAGCTTTGGCGCCTTCTCCTTTGTCCTTCTCCTTCCCCATCTCCGCTGCCCCGTCCGAGCCGTATGCTCCCGCCACCGCCGCATGCGGGGCAGGATCCAGAGCGGACCCGGTATCCGAAGACCCCGTGTACATGCCCGCGTGTCGACTGTACGTCGGGAGGAGGTCCATCAACCTCGACTTTGTCTTCCCGCCTCCCAATGTCCCCTTCTCCGCCGACCCGGACAGTTGGGCACGAGCTGCCTTGAGCGTCAGGGGTGGTGTCCCCCTGACTTCAGCTCCAGCTCCGGCTCCAGCTCCAGCCGCTCCTCCTGCCAGTACCGGTCCCGGAGGAGTATCCCACCCCATAGCGGTCGAGTAAGAATTACCGTCCCGGTGCTGCCCGAGTCCGAGTCGCTGCGAGACCGGCGTCGAAGTGAGGAACTCGTGAAAGTTGAACTCTGTGTCCATGTCGATATCCTCCTCGATCGGGTCGACGGGGGAGGACTCGCCGAGCGCAAGCGCGCGGGGTGTGGAGAGTGCTGGGGAGTAGGTCGAGTCGAGGGTATATTCCGCTTGGCCGACCGAATTGTCCAAAGTGGCCGGTAAAGTATCGACCGGGGTAAGGCCTGTATGCGGAGGAGATGGGAAGGATGTAGATGCGAAAGTGATGATTTCGTCCACGTCCATCATCTTCATCCCCTCCCTGTCCCCCTCTCCACCCGGTCCAACCCCAGCCTCAGCCACAGACCCAGCCGGGGCGCCCTCCTCACACCTATCCGGCGTCTTTGGCGCCCTCCTCGGCACACTATCAAACAAACTCGGGCTGAAGCTCGGCCGCGCAGCTTTCGGTTGGCCTATAGGTCCCATGCTCCCCTTTTTACCCAGAGCGGGCCGGCGCGGAGTGGTCGGCGGTAAGGCCGGCGGGAAGGCCAGTGTCGATATAGATGCGGATGTGAATGGCATAGGCGGCTCGGGGAGAGTAGAGGACGACGAGGGTGGGTGGCCGTATATGGACCGAACGGACCGAAGGGTGCCTGTGGATGTTTTTTTGGCTAAGGAGCGGAGGGTGGATAAGGAGGATTTCCGGATGTTACGCTCGCCGGTAGGTTGGGGGAGGTTTGGGTCGACCGGTGTGGGAGCTGACGTGGAGGTAGAGGTGGAAGTGGAGGGCAGGGGTAGGGTCGGTCCGGCGATAGCTGTTGGAAGAGGGGGAGGGGCCATTTGGCCAGTGTGTACGCCGGAGCGAGACGGTGTAGGTGGACTGCAAGATCAGCTTTGTACTCTGGCCGGACACGACACCACGGTCAGAATAGCTCACATGTTCTTCTTCTTTGGCGTCAACCCTAATCGCCTCGCTAGGCCCTCCACGACCCGCCTCCCCCTCCCTGGTGTAGTCGGCATCTGCGCTTGCTGACCCTGCTCCATCCCCGCCTCTTGGCCGTACCGCTGTCTCTGCTCCACATTCTTCCCCTTTCCATTCCCCTTCATCCCCACCCCCTCGAACACAGGCACATCCTTCCTGCTCGGCATCGGCGGTCTCTCCTCTCCGTGCTCTGGCCTCTCCCCATCCTCCGACCGCCTGCTCTTCAAGCTCCACACGCTCTTTTTGCTCTTCACAGACCTCACCGTCCCCGCCTTACTGACTTTGCTCGCCTTGCTGCGCGTACTCTCCCCGCTCTTCCTCGGCCTCCAGAACGCCTCGCCTCGTTCCTCCTCCCCCGTGTTCGCATTCGACTCCTCGGACGACGAGGACCACCTGCTCTGTTTTGCGGGAGACGGGGACGCAAAGTTAGCGCCTGCTTTAGCTGGGGAGAGGTTCGAGGCGTAGAGCCGGAGCTTGTGTATGACGTCCGTGAGTGCCCGATCGGCTGCGATGGCGGGTGGAGCGCGTAGCTTGGACGGGGAGGAGGGGAGTCGGCGGGCGGGTGAGGGGCGCTGGGTTTCCTGCGGGGAGCGGGAGGGGCGGTATGGTGCCGCTTGGGGAAAGGGGAGCGTGTCCGCCGACGAGGTTGAGACTGCCGGAGCGGGGGCAGGGGATGACATGTCGATGTCGATAGAAGGGGAGAGGCGGGGTGGAGTCCGGTAGCATGAAGTCCGGATAGGCGGGGGAGGGGTAAGAGGGGAGCGAGAGGACCGCATCAGGCCAGAAGTGAACTGTGAATCAGCTAGAGCCCAAAAGGCAGAGGAAGGACATACGAGGGAGCTGTACCCATTTGCTGGGAGATTCTTCCCGCTCCATCTGGGCTCTTCGCCCGAGTCAGGCGATGGGAAGGGCTGGGAGCGCTGCTGTCTGAGCGCAGAGACCATCGCTGCTGCGGTAGTATTGGTGAGATAGTCAGGAGTCAGTATAGTATAGACAGAAGGGAAGGACTCCGCCACTCTTTTCCCTGCCACAAGTTTATCGATAACCCTACCGGTAGAAGTTGGCTCAACTTCTACACGCTCGACATGCCTTTCGTTTCATATCATCCTTTGGCGTTTCAGACTTGCCACAAAACACCTGCTATAGGATGGCGAGGATGTCAGGGAGGTGTACATAGCCGAGCGTCTGAGATAGCTATGTTCGCCACAGAGTAAGAGCGGGAGGAAAAGGTCAGAAAGGTATGGCAGTCGTCAAGACGCCAGGAGACCCCCTTTCGAGTCGCCGCTTGCCGCCTCTCGCCACCCCAGATGCGATGTGATCAGCACGTTCGCATTCAAGCATCAATAGCCGGGGACAGTTGATGCCTCCGATGTGAAGACAGAAGGGCGGGTCGTTCTGAGGCTACAGAGATGAAGCAAGGCACTGAATATGAGTTGGGTGGCGGGTGAGGATGAAGGAGCGGGATCAAATTCTCAGCCAGCTTGTGGACCACCGACCACTCATTTCGAACTCACCTCTATCTCGGCTGTCCACCTCTATCACTTATATACAACGTCGACATACACAGCTGTATACAGCCGTACAGACAGCTCAGCCTATATTCTGCCGCCACTAAGCATCGAAAAGAGCGAAAAAATCAGCCAAGATGGGGAAATACTACTGCGATTACTGCGATATCTACCTGTGAGTGCATCCTTCCTCCCTAGACTCTCAATAGCATATTCCATGCGCCGCAATACCGCACTACCTTCATCATTATCACCCATTTGACCCTCTCCAGGACTCAAGCTGATCCTTCAGCACACACGACTCCATGTCCGCCCGCAAAGCCCACAACACAGGCCGAAACCACATCTCCAACGTCCGCGACTACTTTGCCAGTCTGGGCCACGATACAGCCCAGTCAATCATTGATCAGATCGTGATGAGTCATGAGAATGGAGGGAGGGCGGTCATGATGGCGGCGCCGAGTATGAGGCTGGGGGCGGGGTTTATGAATCCGATGGGGCCGGGAATGGGTGAGTAGCCGGAACGAGTGCCGAACGAGCGAAGCGAGTGAGGCGCGAGACAGGCGAGCGGAGGGGACCGTGGGTGCGCGAAGCGCATGAGCGGTCGAGGACACCCGAGCGAAGCGAGAATTTTTGCTCGAGCGGAGCGAGCATACTCAGGTCGAGCGGAGCGAGAATAAACCCCCTGACCTCAATCCAATCCCTTTCTATCCTACCTATCTTTCTCAATGATCATTCCATCTCTACAAACTCTAGCTAATTCCGACAGCCCAAGGCCCACCTCAAAACAACTATCAACAACCCCCCTTCCCCCCCGCCCAAAACTTTGGTGGTCCGAACCTCGGCGGCGGTCCAGGCGGTCCCGGCGGTCCTGGCGGAGGGTTCGGCGGTGGCGGTCCGTCAGGCTACCCACCACCCGGCCAGAACTTTGGCGGTGGGGCACCGTCATTCCGACCTCCATTCCCTCCTAATCTCGCCGGACCCGGAGGTCCGGGAGGAGCACCCATGTCTCTCCCGCCTTTCCCACCTAACGCTGGCGCTGGTCCTGCAGGGGGATTCAGACCACCGCCGATGGGTATGGGGATGCCACCCGGGATGGGGCAGGGGATGCCTCCGCCGACGCTGGGTGGGTTTGCGCCGATGTCGATGCCGCAGGCGCCGGGTGCCGGTGGGTCAGCAGGAGGAGGGCCAGGTGGAGCAGCAGCAGCAGCGGCGGGTGGGATACATCCGGATAGGTTGAGGATGATGGGTGTCTAGGTCGTGCGGGGTAGATAGCGCGAGTGAACAAGGGGTAGGGGAAGGAAGTGGGGGAGGGCGGAGAAGTATAGGTTGGCTCGCGAGCCGTGGCACCAGGGTCTGAGGCGCGGATACGTGGCCGTGTCAGAGGTATCAGATGAGTGAAGTATGTACTGTACTGTTTAGGTATTGACTGCTGGGCGCCAGCCCCATAGACGTATTGCAATTGGGCAATTGTCTTGTGCTAATCTGGACTGGGATTCCCTCATGCGGGCAGGTACGAGCCAGCTCAGCTGACCAGTCGCAAGTCAAGTCTGACGCCAAGGCTGATACTTACATGCCTGATACATTATTGACTGCTGGCTGACGGCTGTACGAATGATCTGGGCTTGGGCTAATCCTACAAATACAGCTAGTATAACAGCATACAAGCCCAAGAACCACGTGCACGCAGGCCGAGCGACACGGAAATATCCCAAGAAATTCCTGACACTCATCAGCGTCGACTCGACTCACACCCCAACACAGACTTGCAGACTCACAGATACATCCCCCCATTCCCACGCCTACATCCCGCTCAAACCTCCTCGCCCGCTTTCGGCTTCCCCCTCGCATTCTCCTTCCACCTCCCCTTGACCTCCCTCATTTCCCTCCATTTCCGATTGACGACTGCGGGTGTTTCCCCTTTAGGCCGATCGCACACCGGTTTGTACTTTGCGGTGATGACCACCTCGCCGCCTCCTATTGAATACACCGCCGGGGTCTCTTCTCCTCCTTTGCCCTGCCCATCTCCCCCCGCCCCGCCCGCATTGCCGCCGATCGACAAAGAAGAAGGAGGCATCGGCCCCAGCGTCTCCCTCAACGACCGGAGCATATTCCCAGCTTGCCAAGCCTTCAACTCCGCCTCTTGTCGCTGAGACTCCAATACCCGCTCGAGGCTTTCCCTCCCTTCTTGTGCTTTCCGCCGGTTCTCCATCTCCATCTCTTCCTCTTCCTCCGCTCCTGCGCTTTCTCTTCCTTCCCCCACTTTCCCCTCCTCTCCCGCTCGACCTCGACCAACCCCGCTCAGACCCCCATCCCACCCCCCATACCTCCACTCCAACCCCTTATCGGTATACCCACACCGCCACAGCGTAAGCGGTACCGGCTCGCCCATCTGATACGCCGGCTTACTCGGGTTCTTCCCCACATCCAGGAGATCAGAGATGAGCGAGGGCGATTCGAGTCGGGCGCCAACGAGGAAGAGGGCGGCGATGATGTGTCGGACTTGATGCCAGAGGAAGGCGGTCCCGATGAGGTTGAAGACGTAGAGCTGGGGTGGGGTGTTTCCGCTTCCGCTGGCGGTACCGCTTTGTGATATATTGCCGGAGGCGCTGGTGCCTGTGCCGACCGAGCTGTCCTCCCGGGCTTCACCGAAAGCCCCCTCTTTCTCAAAGTACGCCTCCAACACCCCCCGCTTGTGACTCTCAATCTGCTTACTTCCGTCCAGCTTGCAAAAGTTCCGAAAGTCATGCTCGCCCACCAAGAGCTGGGCGGCCTCGGACATGAGGGCGATATCGAGGGGAGGGGACGAAGGCGTGGGCGGGGAGTGGAAGGCGTATTTGTAGTGGCGGTATGCGCAGGAGAAACGCGAGTTGAAGGGGAGGTATTGCGGGTCAGGGTAGGCTGATGTGGTAGGGTCGGATGAGGATGAGGTGGAGGCAGCAGGGTTGGCGGATGAGGGGTCCGACAGGGATGGTTTGGTTGAAGAGAGCGATGGGTCGACAGGCGGGTGGGGGAGTGGGGACCAAGCGAGGACGCGGATCGAGGGCGGGAGTATCGCGTTGAGTAGTCGAGGATACGCAAATTCCGTAGCTTCCGGAGAGGCCGCCGGTTGGCTCTTCGGCTTCTTCAGCACCTTGACCTGACTCTTCTCCTCCTCTGACTCCCCCTCTCCGTCTTCCGGCTTCTCCACCTTCTTCGGCCTAACCACGGGCTCTTCCGCCTCTCTCCACCCGACCACCTCCGCACCTCCATCCCCCATCCGCCTTGCACTCCTCACCCAAAGATCAGCCACCTGTCCCGCCCCGCTCACGCCCCGATCTGTCCGCCCGCACCGACTATACCCCGCCCCCTCGAGCCCCTTGCCCGCTTCCACCAGCCTAGCCTTTTCCAGCGCTACCAATAGCTCCGACTCGACGGTCTTCACGGGACCCTGGGCGGTATCCGCCTGTATTGCGAGCCCGGAGTATGGCCAGCCTTCGTAGGCTATCATGAGGGCTATATGGCGTGTTGGGTGCGCGGCGAAGTGGAATGTTTTGGGAGGCTTTATGGTTTTGGGGGGCTTGGAAGGGGCGGAGATTGTTATACTAGGAAAGGAGGGGGATCGGGAGTGAAGTAGGTTCCGTGAGGTTGAGGAGGTCGGGGAGGACGGCGCGGAGAGCTGGAGGTTGGGCGGAGTGGGCGTGGGTGTGAGAGTGGGGGAAGAAGAGGAAGGGGTGACCTCGAGAGATTCGAGTCGAGAGATAAGCTCTTCTCGGGTCAGGTTGGTATACTTTGACATAATACGGGGCGATACTGAGCAGTATAGAGGTCGAGTGAGGCGCATGTACAGCTTCGTGGTAATGTGTAAAGCAAAGTCTTACAGCCTCTACAGCTGCATTTTGGTCGTCCGGTGAAAACTTTAAACATGCCCCCCATTGAAGCAGCTGAAACGTCAGGGGAAGTCGCGATGAGGAATGAGGAGTTTGCGAATGACGCATGGCGGGCCGGCCCTCGGCCGTCACAGAGAGACTCGAGGACACGGAGTGAGTCAGACGGATTTGCATAAATGAGCTGACCTAACATATGCATCCTCTGGACAAGGCCCTTCTCGCGAGTCACAGAACGATATCACTGGATTCAAGACAGAGAAGGATCAGTCATGCATGTTGACTTCCTCTACATCATCTCCATAGATGTCTGACGCATCCTCCATCGAGGTATCAGACCCATCGTCAGGCTCAATCTCAGGACATTGGAGAGGTGGTCTCAGATTCTAATCATCAGCCTTGAGGTCTACATTGTATAAGACCGATATCCTCGTACGACTCACCTGGAAAGCGTCATCTCTGTCGCGCAATATTCTTCTCTTCATATTGCCTCGCGGTCTAGAACTTGCTGTCCCAGGGTGATACTTGTCAAGACGCTCGCGCTGGATGTCCGGATGAGCATGAGCGTACAAGCGGGCTTGCTTGTTCCCGACCGTGCGGCGCTTGCTGCCCGGGGCCCTCGCGATTGTCCATGCAATCATGGATTCGAAGGATCCTTCCTCGCTCGTCAATGTCGCGTGGAAGTCGTGGAACTGGGTCAGCGCTCGACGGTCATCTTCGTCTATGTTTTGGTTGCTGATCCATAGGGGTCGGAAGTCTGTATTCCACCTGAGCAAGGTGAGTGTAGTCCCCTTTGAATAGCCCATTCTGGCATCAACAATGGCCAACGCGTGTTTGCCGATGGCTCTGGCGAATTTCTTCAATCTTCGGGAGTTATCACTCAGATCGTTGTGGGCGGTCACTGCTTCTTTCATCAGAGCGATCCATGCTTGTCTCGTCTCCCCTCGTGTCGGCCAGACTGTTCCCCGGGTCGTCTCTCCCTCGTCTGTTTCCTCATTGTCCGTCTCTCCATCGGCCTCGTCTTCAAAGACCGGTACATCGACACGCGCGTCGCTCATGGCTGTGCCGATCATCGACCTGTCGGGAAGCTCGATTGGGGCGCTGACTCCTCCGTGCGGTCTGATTGGGATCTCTTGTGGAATGATGGCATTAGCATCGGCAGCCTCGCTCATTTGCTCAGCGGTAATGGAGCCCATCAGAGTCTAGATTTGATCAGCAGATTCCTACCCCGTGGAACTAGTTGACTACAGGAAATGGACACCCGACGCACGTTGAAGACATCGTATTCACCGCCTTGTAACCACTTCTCATTCCACTCTGCCGTGATGGCGTTCTTGTGGCTCTCATTTGGATAGTCACGATAATACGACTCGAGCCAAAGAAACTGATCGACGGGAATCGTTTCAGAAAACAGAGCTTTAAGGCGGCGAAAAGCTTCTTTCTGGTTCAGCTGGGTGTCGTCCCGCATCATCTTCGTCGCCATCTGCATGATAGACTGGCCGTCGTTCAACCGTTCTCTGAAGCGTTGTAGCTTATCCAGCTTGTCGCGCGATCTGACGTTGTAGAAGCCGCGATTGCCCTCCCAGTACGGCTTGTAGTCACTCCATGTGAGCAGCCTGTAGGCGGTCCCTTCGGTGAATCCCATCTCAGCATCAATTTGAGCGAGAGGCTTGTGTGTGAGTCGGCGCAGAAATTTACCGAGTCGAGTCACACTAGTCGCGAGACTGTTGTGACTGGTGTTCAGATTCAACTTGAAGGCGTTCGGAAGCTGACCTAATCGGGGCCGGCTGGGTCGACTGGCAGGGTCCACGGCAGGCGAGATGGCTTGATCATCTTCCAGGTCTTGCAAGTGGCCACCGAGAGACTGAGGCCATAATTCAGTCGGATCCACGTTCATCGAGGTCTCTGCATCTCCAGTGCGCACAGCTTCCCCCTGTGAGAGTCTCCCTTGGACTGAGCTCACATACTCTTTCAGCACGTCTCGACAGACCACCAGAAACTTTCCGTCCAAGAGGTCCCTGTCCCACACAGAATCGACAAATTGATTCTCGTCATCCGCCACCTCGCAGACCTCCTCCCAGCGCAGATCTCTAACCGCCGCTGAGGCATTCATCCATGCATCGAGCCCTGCTGTCTGCAGACGTCGCAGGGTCGAGTCGGATTCCAGAGCCCTCTCGAAGTCGGTGATGGGGAGTGTGACCCCCTCGGGGGAACAGTGATGGGGAAATGACTCGAATTTGTAGCCCTTCTCCAGGCACTTGTCGATAGCTTCGTAGAAGGCGTCCTGTTCATCGCTGTCGTAGACATAACCGATGTCTACGTGCTCGTCGTCGGACATGATGCTCGGGGTGAGCGCAGGTGGATCAACTGATATGACAATGAATCAGTATGACTATTAGGAGACTGGTTTGTTTGGGATTGTTAGGACCGAGGGGCGGGATGACCTGTATTATATAGACCAGTAAAAGACCGTCAAGCGGACCAGACAGCGCGCTGTAAAGGGATTGACCGTCGTTGACGGAGCACGCCATCGATCCATCCCTCTGAGATCTAGATTGCGAGGGGAGGGTCGAGAAAAGATATCAGGCTTTCGAGTTTGAGCAATCCAGCTCCGATCGGTGGAGACACGCTAAAGTCTTAGCAGATATTCACCAGGCATGCCATGGATTGCAAGGAATGAAAGGAGTATGAGCATTTGGCGTTTCGGCGATCTGGTCGTCAAGATCCCAGCGCTGCCTCAGCCCCCAGGTCCAAAGAAGCGAGAGCTGGAAGGCTGACAAACATCCAGGCGGGCGTTCCCCGAGAAGTACGCCCTTCATTGTAGGCAACAAAGAAAAATTGACCGTTTGACGGTCTCACATGTCTGGTTGAGAAGACCTGCCATTGACGAAGGATCCGACTGAGATAAAGGTAGCTTACAGCGCCCTGGCCGACCATCACTGTCGGACAGCGATCAGGAAAGGAATATACATAATCATGAGTGAACACTTATTCTCCTGACATGCAGAAATCGTCACCGGAATCTCACAGTAGTGGGTTAGAGAAGTCTAGGTCCGTCATGGCGACATCCGGGGAATCGTCGTCGCCTCCGGGTGTAGCACTCATCAGCGCGTCGAAAGCACCATCAGGCATCCCGTCGGAATCCTCAGCATTGGTCGACGTAGTCTCAGTCATATCAGGATCTTCAGTGCAGAACAGGATGAAGGGATCACCCACAGCGGCCACGGTGATGTTGGAAGCTGCACCAGCGGAAACGATGTGAGGTTCTCGGCGCTTGATAGGAGGTTTCAAGTCCTGAGTGTCAGCTCTGCTATCATGGTGCTGATGATGTCGCAGGCGCCGGCTCTTTTTGGCGACTTACTCCGAAGACAGCCCATTTGGCGGAATTCATTTCCATCTCTTTCTTGGTTCGTGGTCCAACAGCACCAGCACTGTCCCCAGGGTGATAATGAGGCAGACGCTCGCGCTGTACGTCCGGATGCGCGTAGCTCCATAAACGACCTTGGATCTTGTAGTGCGTGTTCGGCTGCTTCAGGCGGAAGCGATCCGCCGTGATTGTCGCCGTGAGTATCGACTCGTGTGAGGCTCCGTCAGTCATCAAGGCATCAAAGAAGCCCTTGAACGCCCTCAGGTCCCGCCTGTCCTTTTCCACCAGGCTCGCGTTACCCTCACACTCGGCATGTTGTTCGGCATTCCATCTGAGGAGTGTGAGGCAGGTTCCGGCGCTGTATCCCATCGCTGCATCGACCTCAGCGAGCGACGACTTGGTAGCGACGTGGCTCAGAAATGTGTCAAGTCTGGTCGGATGGTCGCTCAAATCGTTGTGGCTTGCCACCGCTTCCGCCATAGCCTTGAGCCACGCCTTGTCCTTGTCTTCTCGGGTGGGAGGTGCACTTGTCACTTGGCGCTTGGGTGGCCCTCTCCGTGGTTTCTGACGGATCATGCGCCCAGTGCCGATGACTCCGGCATGGTCGGTCACGTCAGCGTCTTGAGCGCCCGGCTGCGGTGTTGACAATCCATCTCTCCCTTCAGCGGAGCTCCCTTCCCGCAGCAGGCTTTCGATCGACCTCCGCATACTCACCGGCCGCCACTGCGGCTCCATCCTGTTCTGAATCGTCTGTGTCGTACACGAAATCGTTGATCGGAAACGAGATTGCTAGATCGGCCAGTGGTGGATTTTCGAGGCCTTGCAGATCGATATCGTCCCCGCCGAGGTCAGTCGGCCAGTCTCCAGAATCACTCGCGCGCCTCAGGACATCATGCTCTCCAGCGGCCGACTGCAACTCGTCGAGTAGAATACTCGCCTGCATGGGTATGCCTTCATCACGGAGATAGAAATCTTGGTTCTCGGACATCTTGCTTGGCTCGAGCGATCGCTTGCGGAGCCGGTCGGTCTGTATGAGAAGAGTATGAGCGTGAAGAACAGGCGAGAGGACAGGTGTCAAAAGACCCCTCGAGCAGATCTGACCGTGCTTCGAAAAAGGATCAGTATCGCCCAAGCATCAGCGTCATCACCACCTCCCCAGCCGTACTCGACTCGCATTTGAGGGTGACAGTGACGGTCCGAATGGATCGTCCGATTGGGACGTATCGAATCTGGAAGTTACAGACAAAGGACCTTGGGAGAAACGCGTTTGGTGAGTCGTTTCATCAGCCGAGCTCGGTCGATATGTATACTGTCGAGAGAGCGGTCCACGCCGCTACTGATCCGACTGCAGAAGCCGTATGATGTCAGTCCGCAAACCGTGAGGATAGAGTGAGATGGACGACACTGGGAGCACGGACGTTTTCGAGACATGTGATTGGTCAATCGGTCATCCGGTCATCGTCGACCGGCCACGTCGCTCCAGCTCTCGTCCTTCATCTTCAATGTGACCATAACTCCGAGCTGCGCGATACTGCGTCTGCCCATCAGACCCTCATCGTCGTCCTGGGCCCAGCTGGCAATGATCTGGCATGCCACAAGATGGGCAGACGGACAGGCACGATCATGGTGCCCTTGGACACACAACTTCTCCCTCTCCACACAATCTGGGGAATGGGGCGGCTGATGCGCCAAATCCTAAGTACTCACGCCCATCACGCTTTCACAAGTCCGACGATGGCTCACTTTCCTCTCGCTTACACTCGCTATAACGTCGAGCAATTAGTATGGAACGCCATACAGCGGTGGCTCGCCGGATGGACGGTCCTGCTCCTGTCGACTTGGGTGCGTCCAGCAACGGAATCGTAAGTCATCAATCAGCCTTCTCTCCCTTCCATCAGATACTCTTGACCGAGCTGATGGGTAGTATGCACTGCCTGATGGCCCACGACACAGTATGAACACCATCCACAATCACCGTCTTTCCCAAAGTGGCCGCGGACACGGAGGAGGCAGTATGGAGCGAGTCAACGTCTTCATTCAGCCTTTGATGGCTCATATGAACGTGGTGATCGAGCATTTGAAGAGGGCGGGTACGTCCGCATCCTCGCCCCTGCCCTCTTATGGCCACAGCTGATCAGCAGGGGCGACCATACACCACCTCACAACCTACCCTCCTCAATATCAACATCCCGGCGAGAGTTACATCCTCGTCCCCACTCCCAAAGCGATCGACTATCCTCCAGACCACAGCCTCTCCAAAGACAGCCTGTCCAAGAGCTCTCCCTGGGCTTTCCAAGTTACCGTCACCTTCCTAGACGTCCGGCTTACGGACCGGGACGTCCGACCTTGGCATGACCCCATCTTCCGCCCTCTTCCCTTCGACCTCCCGATCCCCAATTTCCCGTCCACTACCATCCTCGGTCCACCTGGTCCAGTCACGACGGCGTATCGCTACTTTTGCGTCGCGGCGAGGGACGGTCCCCAGGCGTACTGCCACGATATCTTCTTCCATACCGACCACCGCCCGGACTATCGCACAATCGACACAGTCATCGTCTTCCCCAGGCTGAATGGGACTTTCTTCGACTTTGGGCTGGACCGGTTCTGGTCCTTCCCGGCAGCCAAAGACAATACCTCCACGCCGTTCGACACACTAAGGTACCTTGTCGATAGGGAGGTACCGCCCATCTTCCTCGGTGCGCCATGGCTCCAGCAGGTCGCGGAGGGGAAACAGGAGGTACTCGTCGAAACGGGTCAATTCGCGTTCGCGCTCCCCGAGCTCCGGCGTCGGGTGTACGACCACCGCGACAAGGTAGCGGCGTCTCGACAACCCCCTCCGGTCCCTCCCCGCATATACCGCTCGCAGTACTGCCGACCTCCCCACCCTTTCCCTTCCTTCGCGCCCGGGTACCCAATAACGGCGCGGCTCCCAGGTATCCCATCCTCGGACGGTGTCCCTGGACTCGAGGTGGAGTCGGACAAGCGTAAGCTGGATGGACAGCCCGAGCCGGACGCCGACTGGGCCGGCAAGCGGCAGAGATACATGGGAGGCGACCAAGAGGCGGGGCCGTCGAGGATCTATCAAGAGGAGCAGGGGGACAAGCGGACCGGGGCGCAGGAGGAGGCGGAAGAGGGGGAGATTGCCGAAGAGCCCGAGAGGGAAGAACAGCCGGCTCCAGTCATGGCTGTCCCGCTCTCGCTACGCAGTCCGTCAGTGACCGAGGTTGGCGCACCGTCCCAGCTGTGGAACTACGTCGAGCTGGTCCTCGGCGTTGATATCGAGATGGATAAGGTAGCCAAGACGCTTCTAGAGGTCTTTGATGTGAGTACTTCTCAGTCTGGACATCGCAGGATATAGCTGATGCTCAGGTCACGGAGTACAGGTTTGCCCAGAACCCACAGTCCAGCTTCCCCGACGCTGTGCAGGGATCTCGGCCGTCTCCTATCCTACAAGTGGGGACCACGGTCGATCGAGGTATATCTATGGTAGGTCCCTCAGCCCTCAGACTGAGTCTCTGATAGCTCAAGGTTTGAGAGCTGATGAGTCAGGTCATCCGCTTCATCATGCAAAACATTGAGGGGGTTGCGAACATCGACATCCGCCTTCCCGCCAGCTTAGTATCAGAGAAGCTGTAAGTATCCTCACCCATCGTAGTCCTATCTGAGCTCGTCAGCTGGACTCTCAGTGAGGACGCCGTGGCTCAAGGATGGGACATAACGAATGATCCGCTGGAGAAACGGCGTCCATGGCATGCAACCCCGCCCAAGATCGTGAGTCCCTCTCTACCTCGCTGTGCTTTGGTATGCTATATCGGATCGCAAGCTGACTTGTACAGCTTGCGTTATCTATATCGGGCGCGTCGGAGTGGGAGGATCAGGTCCGGACACTATGCGGGAGACTGGATGGGGGATGGCCGAAGGTCCCGGCTCAAGTCAGATGGGATTGAGGAGGATTGGTTAGGAAGGCCCCGGAAGCCATCTACAGCAGCCTCTGGTGATATGCAAGTCATTGCCATTGAGGAGCCAGAGTCTAACACCTAAGACTCATGGTCAGAGAGGCTAGCATGGGCGTTGCCGACCCCATAAAGCCCCCGAAGTGGGCAGATGACGCACGGACCAGGCTGAGGGGATATAGCTGCAGCCTCAAGACCCCTCTTATCTTGCCTCTTTTTCACCGGTCACCTTCTATGCAGTACACACCCAATCAGCCGCGATGTACAACCTATACCTATATCGTAGGGCTTTCATCGTCCAGCAAACACCACGTCGAGCAGACGACAAGGCTTTGGCGAAAGACGAACGGCGCAGCGGCTTAGGCGCTTAGCACACACACACACCTCCCCATCGCTCTAATCGCCGAGCTAAAGTTCAACCTTAAAGCCAAAGACGCCTCACTACTGATACGTGTACCTCGCACCTTGTATCCATGGAACGTACAGCATAGACTCCTCCTCGCGTTCTGCCATCTTTAGCGCCGCCTCACTGGTTCCGTCATGCTCGATACAGGGGTTCTGCGCCGACAAGGAGATGGAAGCGCAGAAGGGACTTCGGATGCTATGGTGAGTTTCCTGAGGTTGCTTTACCGCCCTTATGACTGTATCTTATGACCAAGCTGTGCGCTGAGCAGCCAGTCCACATCGCAGCCACCGGAGCAGTGGAAACACAGCATGGACTTTGTACACAACATCGACTACGCTCGTGGGGCAGATGGCGGTCTGTGCGGGGTCGACATCTTCATCCATCTCATGATGGCGCATTTGACCATACTGATCAGGCACCTAGAACAAGCAGGTAAGTTCCGCTCCTCCTTCACATGCATCAGACTCGCGCAGCGAAAGCAGCACTGACGACCAGGCGCCATCATACACTTGCTCAAACTCCGCCCTCCTCAATCCCATCACGCCGGCGAGATATACATCCTCGTCCCCGTCCCCAAGCGCATGGACCTGGACCCCACCCACCCCCTTTCCAAGGCCAGCCTAACAAAGAGTGCCAGCTGGGCCGTCCAGGTCACCCCAATCTTCCTCGACGCCCGGCTGGTCGATAAGGACGTCCGGCCCTCCCATGATCCCATGTACCGTCCTTTCGCTTTCGACCTCCCTATCCCCTACTTTCCCTCCATCGCGATCATCGGACCAGACGGACCGCTCACCACGGCCTACCGCTATTTCTGCGCCGCAGCTCGGGATGGTCCAGAGGTGTATACTCGGGATATGCACTTTCACACCGCTCACCGGCTAGACTACTCTGCTGTCGGTATCGCGGTCATCATCTCCACCTCTCCCCCTTCGGCTCTCGATCTCGAGGGAGACGGTTCCTGGTCCATCCCGTCCGCTCCTACCAGCCCATCCACGCCGTTCAGCATCCTCCACTACTTGGTCGATCGGCGGTCCCCACCTCTGTTCCTCGGCGGCTCATGGTTGAAGCGGATCGCTGAGGGGGATATGGAAGTCATGTCGACGACGTACCCCTTTGCTTTCGCACACTACGATCTCAGGCGGCGGGTACACGAGCACCATCAGAAGATCACTACTCGGCCAATGACACATCGGCCGATCGCACCGCTTCCTCGTCGACCCCTGCCCTCACCTCCCAATCCGCCTCTTGCTTTTCCGACATTCGCTCCCAACCTGAGGCTCGCCGCGGGCGACAGCTGCTCCGAGTCTCTCACGGTGCCGTACTTGGGGCGATTCAAGCGCGAGCACATGGGGAATCTGGATGCAATCGAGCGAGACAACAAGCAGCGGAGAGAAGCAGAAATGGAAAAGCAGACTGGCCAGACGGTCAGTTGAGGGAAGCAGGGAGGAAGGTGCAGGGACCTAGCATAATCAAATATGGCATGTACATCAGGATATAGCTCAGAACTTCACGGATCTACCTGCCCGTGGATCGAATACACACAAGGAACCGACCTTGTCTTTCAGGAATTCTCCTTCTTCGTCGTCCGTCATTGCACCTCTGCATTGGCCATCGAACTTTCCGCGCCCGCAGCGGGTCCCGGACCGTGATGGGCGGACAAAAGGGCGAGCACTTGTTCCTTGGACAGCGCTGTTCATGTCAGCCCGTCCATGCGCTTGCACTCACAGTCTCGGGAAGTATCGGTCAATGGCTTCTTCGTGTCCTAGATTCATCAGCCATCTCGAAGCCTCGCCGTCGATGACGCAACACCATGTGCTCAAACTCACTTGCTGGAAGACACCGTAGCCCCCGTCCTTCTCAAACTTGGCTTCCACTTTGGTGCGCACGGATGAGTTTTTCGTCTCACGGGAGATCCAGGAGCCTTTGTCTCCTGGGTAAAGATCTTTCCTGTGTTCGTACAAGAGGGGCGGAAACAAGTTTCCAAGACTGGCAGCCAGTGCCTTGGTTGTTGCTGTGCGATGCGCATCCGCGTCCTTGTTTGCCGGACAAGGGATCCGATCCGCCATCTCCTCCACCGAGATCCCCTTCCTCACAGCCAATTCGAGGAGTAAGTGTTCATGCAGACGTCGTTTGATTCCTCGATCCAGTTTGGATCCTTCTGCGATGCAACCAGGAATGAGGGCAGTATCCCACCTCGTGATGATCGTGGCAGTGCCGTCAGGCCAGCTCATTTCTTGGTCGATTTGTTCGAATCGCCCATGCGACTTCAGCGCGTGGCTGAGGCCGGTCAGCGTGCCACTGGGTTGGTCGGCGCACACAGAGTTGTGGATCTTGCGAAGGGCCTCAGCGTCCTCTTTCGACAGGGCTTCCACTCTCTTCGGCGGAGCCTTTCGGACCCGTTTTGCTGGTTTCTTTGGGGTGTCCATGTGCTTCGAGATGGCGCTGGAGTTGACGTCGATCTTTCCATTCTTCCACAGATAGTCGGATAAGCCGGCTGTGTCACCCCGTTTTTTCGCCCGAGTGTACCGGTCCCTATGCATTCTCTCCTTCTTCAACCATGTCGTCAGTCTATTCATCTGCGCGATCTCTGACTCGAGAGCTTCGGTGTCTTCCTCCATAGCATCCTGCACGATGTCGTCGGGCTCTCTGATGTCTGCTTCCATAGCGTCCTGCACGGTGTCACCGGGCTCTTCGGCGTCATCTTCCATATCGATATCGTCCCGGTACTCGTATTCCTCGGAGTCTTCTTCCATAGCGTCCTGCTCGGTGTCCTGTAGCCCCCCTGGGCTTGCCTCTGCCATGTACCAGAAGTCCATGTGGCGCCGCAGGACCTTGTGGTGGACACGAACCTTGTCTTTTTGCCACATAGCCTCGGAAAAGGCCGATAAGCTCTCGTCGTCCCTGGTGCTCAACGCCGCGAAGTAGCGGTCCTGATTGACACCCGGTGCCTTCCGCCAGTCTTCCAGACTCTTCACCTGCATGTCTGTCAGATCGGTGTTGTTTTGAAGAGCATCATCGACGTCTTGCTCAGTGACTGTCGGAAATCCAGAGATTTTGAGCGTGGGGAGCCAATCTGCAATGTCGTTGGGTGCCGTGTAGAGCGACTTGAGGCAATCAATGAAATCTGAGTTCCACGTCACCTCACCGCACGCCACGGGAGGGAGGTTGTCCATCGTGGGATGGCGGCTGTTCGTAGCAAAAGTTGGAGGGAGGGTATTATTGGCAGTGACGAGTATATCAGGGGCACTTGAAGATGGTGACGGGAAGACGAGTGAGAGGGGTGATAGAGACTCGATCGAGGAAAGTTGGAGCAGCTCGGGAGCCTCATATAGTCCGTCGGAGTCGATAAGTGGCCCAGCGGAGAGACCATCGCAGAGCAGGCCATTACAAAAGGGGGGCATAGTAAGGGATGACAAGCCAAAGGAGCACCTGTCCATACGCGTACGAGCGATGGTGAGTACAGCTATCGATCCCAGACTGAGCTGACAATTGCCGCCATGTACAAATGTGGCCGGCTCTCGAGGGGTGGGGGACAAAGGTTTGTAAGCTGTGATGGAGCGCATTGCCGAGATCAGTCAGCAATCAGCCCTGCTGAAGTGGGGAGACGAAGGCGCTCGTGCCCCGCTTTCGGGTGATATCGGCCGATGTCCGCCTTCTCAGGTGTGTCAGCGGAGTGCAGCGATAAGGTGGGGCATGGGCGTCGATCCGGAGCGGTGCTGAGCGGCGACGACGCTGCAGGGAAATGACGGCGCCTTGCCTAGCTTATCGAATGATATCGGCCGAGATCCTAGGTGTGTCAGCGGAGCTGTCTTCGGATAAGAGAGAGCCAGGCATCAGCCATGCACCCAAGTAGTCAGCCGGGCCGAACGTCGATATTGCCACCCAACTGAGATTCGCCACCCAGCCAATTCCCAGCGTGTCGCTCCCTCACGGTTCTTGTGGTCTACATCAAGTGGGAGTGAGCAGTCAGCCTAGCCAGTCCGAGCCATGATGATATCGCTCATATTCATCGTAAACATGAAGGGTATCAACAGACCCAAATAGAGATACATACTCGTATACTTCTCCTTCCCTCCACCCCTCCCTGAGACGCACATCATCGATACCCACCCTGACTCCTCCCGTAGTTTGGCCCGTTGTACGCATTCTCATCCACCCAGCCATGCGACCCCTGCTGTCCATACCCCTGCTGCCCATACGCCTGCTGTGGCGGGGGCGGGTTATTGCTATACGCCCGTCCATGCTGGTTCCCGCCTCCACCACTACCACCACCATATGCCGCCGGTGGCGCCGACGCGGCCGCCATGGGCGTAGCGGAATTGACGGAGCCGCTATGTCTTCCCTGAGCTGGAGGTGGGGGTGCGAGGCCAGACTGGCGCATAGGCGGGGGAGGGAGGGGGCCGGTAGCGAGTGCGCCGCGGGGTTTGGGGTGGCGTCGCTTGGCGGGTGTGCCAGAGCAGCAACGGAAGAGGCAGCGGATGAGGAGGAAGAGGATGGCGATGATCTGAAATCAGCACGATCACCGGCTCGAGGGGAAAGGAGAGACTTACGATCAAGCTGACGACGATCGTCACGGGGATAGAGTACTGCAAGTTCTGAGTGTACATGGAGGACAACCTGTCTTGCCATGGTCCGGCCTGGCATGTCGAGTTGAAGCATGACCCAGCGTAGCCGCATGGCGAGCCATCAATGAGTGGGCTTTGCAGCGTGATACAAGTGTTCCTGATGGTCAGCATCACACCTAGGCCAAAAGGAAGGGACATACGAAGAGGTGGGATCCCTGCAGCTAACAACACAGCTCGTATCCGCTCGCTGACCGCACGCCTGGGTAAAGTTATAGTTCGCCCCGCCCGAGTTCTGGCACTGCGCATCGAGACTCGTACATCTGCCCGTGGCGCAGGCGAGACCGTTGCTACCACATGACTCGCCGTTGGGGCGGTATGAGTCGGACGGGCAGGTCGCGTTCCGGCCGGTACAATACTCGGCATAGTCGCAGCGGTCGTCCATGGATGGTCGGCAGATGGTACCGTTGTTGGCGAACTGACAGCTGGAGGAGCAGCATGCGGAGTTGGTAGGATCGCACACTGCGCCGGAGCGGAATTTGCAGGCTGAACGTCAGCGAGGAAAAGTATTGATGAGGCTGGAGCTTACTGGAGGGGTCGCAGCATGCAGAACTACTGTTGAAGCCGGGATCGCATTCTTCTCCGGGATCGACGATACCATCTACTGATCAGCTTTGTCCGAAAGAGGGGCTGAAAGAAGACTTACTGCCACACTGCTGCAGAGCGATAGTCGTCCGTCCACCTGGATTCTGAAAGCAACTAGTCTGGATCGACCGAGTCCCAATGTTGGAGCCTGATATCAGCTTTGTCCATCCGATACTACTCACAGATGTTCCCGATGGTACAGGGAGAAAAGGCAGTCTCGACGCTGGAAGTTGTGGGGTTCATGATGAACCTTCCGCCCGAATTGCAAGTCGACGTGGAGAAAGGACAGCAGTTCCCGCTTAAGGTACAGGAGGAGGTACAGTCGTGGATAGCTCCAAAGCTGATATCAGCCATGTCCATTCTCTACACTCACCCATGGCCGATCTCATGTGCGACCAAAGACCACTCCGTCTGCAAAGCCGTCGAGACACCCGTCCCTGATACCACTGATCCCTGCTGCCTGCTCGAACCAGTCTGGCAGACCGTCCCGAGCCATGCGACACCGACTTCTTGATCCTGCTATCAGCCCAGTCCAGCGTCAAAACTCACCCTTGCACAAGCGCTCATGAGATGCCACAGCCCGATCCCATCCCCTCCTCGATTCCCCCGCCACTGACTGAACCGGCTTAGTCGCTCGTCCAGGCTGATTCCCGAGTCGCAGCCGACGTTCCAGGTCGCGTCCGATGGCGCCGAAGTAGGGCAGGTCATATTCTGGACGACGAGCTCGGTGATGCCTAGCGAGATGTTGAAGGTCTGGCGATAAAGGGACGAGACCTGGTTCATGACGTTGAGAATTTGCGTTCGTGCCGCCGTTCCGCCGTTGTAGGTCCGGACGTAATTGCAGTCCAGCGCGAGGCCCATATAGACGACCTGCTGGGAGGATGGGCAGCCAGAGGTGGACCCGATGGAGCCGATGTAGTTGGAGGAGGGATTCATTCCGCCGGTATCTGACCGACGGACGACGGCAAAGGGATCGTCGAGGGGCGTGAAGATGTTGTCGTGCCGGTTTTGCCAGATAGGGTGGGACATGTTCTGGTTGTACGGGTGGTGGTCGTGAGAGCAGGATGAGGTCTGCGGCTCGTCGTCGAACATGTCGGTATCCCGGAAGATGACCATCGAGCCGTGTGTATCGAGCAGGGCCTCCTCTGGCCTCCGTAGACGAAGATAATTCTCCGAGGTCTTGACGTGGTAGGTCACCCCGTCCATGTTGAAAGACCCCTCGACCACCGGTTCCTGCCCATTCATCCCCGTATGCAGCACCATGATCCCCGCCGTCCCTCTTACTCCCTTGCCACTGTTCATTCCCGCCGTCTCCTCCGCCTTGATCCGGCCGATCCACCGCTCATCAACCACTTCTCCATTGTACAACCGCCAGTCCTCCGCTCGTAACCTTTCCGACGGAATGCCATCTACGCGGATGAACGCGTCGGGATGGAAGAGGTCCTCGGTCGGACGCAGGAGGAGGTGCGCGGGCGTATCCGAATCTGGCACAGTCAGAGTGAGGTGGATCGTGTCGCTATGCCGAAGATCCGAGGGTGGAGGAGGTGGCGGGTGAAAGGATCTGGGACGGGAGAGGGGGTTGCGCGCGAGTCGAGGGAGGATGTTGAGGGTGGATTTGGGGGTATGTACTCGGCGTACAGGTGGTGGTCTGGGTGATCGAGCTGATATCAGCTATATCCAAGTGGCTGACTCACCGTCCACCCCTGAGAGCACTGCCAGAGCTGCCAGCAAGAGCAACCCCTTGAAAACCATAGCCAGAGGGAATTGCCGCCGCCGCCGTATCGGCTCCATCGGTATTCTGCCTTCCATCACGAGTGCGGAGGAGAATAAGACCGAGAGGGGAATGGTGTGGATAGAGATGAAATGCGCCGATGTATGTCGTTGCAAAGCGTACGTCGGCGGTAGGTGGGCGGCGACAAAGGATGGCTCTTTTCACCCTGACTTGACTTTGAGAGACAAGTGTTTCAGACTATCGTAGCGAGGCTGGGTAACCTTCAGACCAGCTTGTCAACGATGCTCTGTCGCCACTGTCCGACAGCAAGGGTAGATGGGAAGATATAAGTACAATAGATAGATGCAGGATCGACGATGCAAGGACATCTTGCGCAGTTCAGGCTGTGCTCGGTGACGTACAACTCGGGCTGCTTGGCTTGGCAGTTTTTCACCTCCACCCATATCATCCTCGTCTCTCCTCTTCAGCTGACCTTGGCATCGGGGACCTGAAGCGCGATACAGAGGAGGGGAGCGCTACCACTGATGTCGACGATGCTCGTCAGCTAAAATACTCAGGACGGGTTAAGCAAAATTGGGCACAGGGGCTTGCCGTCAAGCGGTGCCTTCAAACCTCGCCAGTGAGGGGTAGAGAGATCTCTGCTGACTGTACTGCGTGCCCATATCGGGCTCAACAGCGCTGACGATCCAAGCCGACTTCCTACTCTCGTTCACGTTGTGTGGTAAATCAGGCAAACGAGACTCATTTCCACGAAGCTTAGAGCTCCGACAATGCTGGTTCACACTGTTATGACCGTGTCCGGGACAAGGACCTCACTTGTATCTGACAGCGCTTGGATACACCTAACGCTCCGAGGAGCTGCCGGGCTGCGTATTAACATCAAGAAGGACATCAGCCGTGACCTGCGGATATCAAAGGGGGAAACCTTTCAGTACCGCAATCAAGCGAAACACATTGTGCCTTTCTCCACCTCTGACGCCGGCTCCGTGTGCTCGTCTGTACTAGCCAGTCTCCCGCCATATATGGCGGCACACCTGCTCCGACCTCCTCTCATCCTCTCTTCTCCTCGCCAAAGCATCCAACTCAGCCAATCCTCACTCTCCACTTCACTTCACTTCACTTCACTTCACCAACTCATCCTGCCTCCGCATTCCCCTACCCGTCCCAGCCCTACCTTACTTACATCATGTCCAGCGCCGATTCGACTCGGCTCTCTCTTTCTACTATCTGCGGGCTTCTGTACCTGAAGTCGGTGCCCATCGAAGCCTGGACTGCAATGGTCGAGGAGCACGGCTATGACGTGGCTGCCGCTCACGACCTCATGGGCACTGACGGACGCCTCCGGGGTCTTCAGCGTTTCCGACTGAATGGGTGGCTGACTCCGAGGCTGCGCCCCGCCAGGAAGCGCGCACAGACTACGGAGAAGACCGCAGAGCCCGCCGACCAACAGGCTAGGGAAAAGCCCGCGCAGCCCACCGACAGACAAAATTTGGAACAGCTCCTCGCTTCCAAAGACCCAGAGACGATCTCTTCCCTTCTTCGCTCATCGTCCGGTTTCACCAAACCTATCTTTATACATCCAATTGTCTTGCAAGCTCTGCAAGAGTTCCAAGAGTCTTTCCAAGAGTCCAGCTTGGACACGCTGCCGAAGATACGGGAGTCGATGCAGTATCTACTGACGCATCATCCAGGATACGAGGACTACTTCCTCGAGGTGGTCAAGAAATACGGGTTCAAAAAGGCTGACGTACTGCTCGGCCTCCAAGAGGGGACATCACTTACCATGGTGGAGATGAATCGGGCTTACACGGACGACTTTCTGGCCACCATGAATGACACCAACGCACGGAGTTTAACCTTCTTCCGCCGGGGGCACGGCGATACCGTCAATGAACGCATTCAAGATCAGAAACACTTCCGCGAGGTGATCGAAGGACCCGATGGGCTGTCCAGGAAGCAAGCATTCACACACTTCCAGAACCAAAAGCGCCAGAACAAACAGCGCTGGACGGACTCGACCATCGATACCAAGCTACCGGCTTGGTATCAGAGGATGCACGATGCAGCGCAGTCTCGCTGGCTGGAGTCGCACCTTGATGGCGACGAAACTCGTAATCTTTTGCAGACTCAGGTATACAAGGGGATACTTGCAGATACGCTGAAGAAGGTCGAAGACGAGAACCTTTGCCGTGGTCTCGTAAGTCCAGGCTGAACTGTACACAGCGTAAAGCTAACATTCCAGTCACTCGAGCCTGAAATCGAGAAGCTCTGGGCAGATCGCCAGCGCCAGAATCAGTCGCACTTCGAGCCAGTGATCATCGCCACTGCCGCCGCCGCGAGCGCACCGAGTCCCGAGACCGACCCGGACTGGCAGATGCCACAAAACGCACCTACTGCCTCTCCAGATGCGGCCGGGGTTGATGACGACATGGAGCATCCCGCTGTGGAAGAGTTCATGGCCGGCTGCGATTGGGAATCAGGAGGCACGGATCTCGAAACGAGTCGGGGGCCTGGATGGGCGGCCGATGAGGCGCCAAGCGATGCGTACGACGTGCACGTGACCGACGTCGAATTCCCTCCATGCTACTGGTGACCTGGTAAGATTTTGCCCTATTTGGACACACCCTATCGTGTCCCTGCTCTACCTCGCCCTTTCCTTTTGTCGTATATAGACTCGTGGCAGCGTGGATTGTTCTCGTTTGCTTAGATTAGCTACAATAGATGTGACATGTAACCACCATGAGCAGTCTCTCCGTATCGGCAAGCTGCGAAGTCTCTGCAGTTATCTGCAAATGGGGGGATCGGGGATCTTTGCGTCGTTACCATGCCCTACAGAGCATAGGCCATCACGCTGCTTACACATGGATCGGCAACTTTCTGCAACAAAGGGGACTTACCTTTCAGTACACCCAATCTTACGAAACGCAATCTGTTCAGAGCCTACCCGACGCTGATGATTTCTCCTGTTACAGCATCGAGCTGATAGCTTGCTCCTCATCTGACAGCAGACGAGGGTGGAGATACGGAGTACCTTTCAGCATCGCAATCTAACGAAACACGATCAGTTCCTGTATGTCCTCTGATGTCCTCCTCGTGATGGCGCCCGGCTTGCAAGCCTCCAGTATCGCTATATCCGCTGGACAACATATGTGTAAACCTTTCAGTACCGCAATTATACGATACACGTTCAGTCTCTTCTCATCCTTTGACGCCACCCCCGTGACCACGCCCAGGTCCTTATCGGTCCCCAGTGCTATAAGCCGGGATGCCCCTTCCCCTCCCCTCCTCATTATTGCCCTCATCGCCCCGTACCCCTTGCCCAACATCCTGTTGACCTGCTCGCATAGACTTACCCAGTCATCCCTTCCACCCCCAGACCCCACATTGTCAACGACATGTCTGGCATTGAAACAGCTTATCAGTCCTTCCCCACCCTTTGCGGGCTTCTGTACCTGACGGCCAAACCCATTCCAGGATGGACAGCATCGATCGAGGGTCAAGGTTACGAAATGGAGAAAGTATTTGATCTCATGGGCAGCCACGAAGGCCTCAAATCGTTGCAGCGTTTCCGGCTCAGCGCGTCGATGACTGCGTATCCCCAGGACTATCAGACTTTGAAATCGATGCTCGCTACCGAGAAAGACAAAGAGAAGGTCTACACCCAGCTTCTCTCTTCGCCTGTCTTTGCCAACAACTTCTTCATACACCCGGATGTCTTGCAAGAGTCCAGCTTTTACACACTCCCCAAAATCCAAGAGTCCATGCAGTACCTGCTGACGTACTTCCCAGGGTACGAAGATTACTGGCTCAACCTCGTCAAGACGGAAGGATTCATCAAGGCTGACAAACTGCTTGGGCTCCCAAAAGACACATCAATCACCATGATGATGTCAAATCGGGCGTACACGGATGACTACTTGAGCACGGTGAAGGCGGTCACGGCGCGGAGTGAAACCTACTACAGTGCTGAACCCTTCATCAAGCGGCTGGAGTTCCAAAAAACGTTTCGCGAAAAGGCCCAAGAAGGGTTGTCCAGAGCAGAAGTATCCACCGAAATGAAGAAGCTCAAACCCTTCACTGACTTGACGATGGACGTCAAGCTACCCGCCTGGTATCGAGGGATGCACCGAGCAGGACAGGTGCTTTGTGCCGAGTCGTACTCTGGTGGCGAGGATGCCACTTGGCAAAGTCGAAAATACAAGGAGAAGCTTGAGAAGAAGCTGAAGGCGATCGAAGAAGACAACCTCCGCCGCGGTCTTGTTAGTTCACGCTACACCGGGTGACTAGGCCGATCAAAGCTGACACCCTAGCCGCTCGAGCCCGAGATTGAGAAACTCTGGGCTGATCGCCACCAACAATCGGACGGTGGGTCGGCATCCACCGCCTCCGACCCGATGGCACCGAGTGGCACGAGCGGTCCGAAATGGCAGCTGCCGCAAAACACTGCGTACACATCCCTTCTACCGGAAGTGGACGCGTCACGAGTCGACATGGAGGCAGTCGACCTGGACGAGCTCCTGTATACTTACGGTCTGGTGCCCGAGGGAACTGGTGTCGAGCCAAGTGGACCAAGCGCGTACCCGGAGGCGCCGGGTGCCCCGCTGAATGCGGACATGAATCTCGAGGAATACGTTCCGTTGGGGCCTGGCCCTGCATTCGACCCGCGGTACAGGGGCTTACAGTGATGTGACGCTGCCTGGTCAAACGCGGCGAGCTCTACCCCTCTTTCCTTCGATCTGTTCGCTCCCCATCGGCTATTCGTTGTGTCTCCTGTACATATACTCTCGTCTTTGGTCAGAGCCCCCATAGATAGATTCGACGTGTGAATACTGTTGGCGGCATCCTACCGCGACCGGGAATTTCAGAGCCGCTCGGATGATCAGTACGTGAGAGTGAGGCAAGGAAGGCTATGTAATTGCTTCTTGACCCAGCGCAGTACATACGTCTCATGCTGGAGGCAGAACCAGTCAGATGCCTGAAGCCTCCCGGTTCCGTCTCGGAGGCGAAGAGGGTGGCCGAGTGCTGTGAGCGATCGTGCCGATCAGTATAGGTCAGTACCGCTGACCCTCCAAAGTGAAAGATGTTACTCGTCAACTATAGATACAGTATTGCTCTGCGCTGGGCTAGGCCCCCTCCTGGCCGCCCCTCGTGATAGTCGTTATGGATCGTGCCGTATGGTCTTGACAGCTCGCAGCGCTTGGGCTGGGGTCCTGGAGAACGAGAGATCTTTCGGAGTCAGCAGATGTCCCATCCCCCCTTGACTCGCTATGAGATGATAGGAACGCACAAGGTTTCAGACTAACCGTCATTTGCTCGCACCTCCTGCGCCTATCCTTGCCTCACCCATCCCAAATACGTCCCCCTCTCCCTCGCCTTGCCGCCTACTCCACCCAGTTGCCATACCCCTCGCAGCCATCCCCCCTCCGCCCGACCGCACCGGCGAGCTCATAGGCGACAACGATGTCGGTTTAAGTGCCGAGCCAAACGACAGTGGCTTGAGGCATGGTGGGGGAGAAGAGGTAGTGACGCCCGGCCGGACAGAGAGGACGCGCGCAGAAGAGAGGGCATTTCGGGCTGGGGAAGTGATTGACATTCCTTCGAGTTTTCAGGCTTGATATGTTCGGTAGGTATGCAGTGTTTCTGAGTGGGATAGGCGGGTGTGAGGATGAGTGGGAGGGGAGAGTGAGGGATGCAGGTAGTTATAGCGAGACTGAGGAGAGAGAGGGAGAAGTTTCGGTGAGTGGAGCTGCTACCGGCCCAGATCGGGCCATATGACGAAACTTTCCGCCGATCCCTTTCTTCCCCACTTTGGCCGTGCCTGGATTGAGTGTGGCCCCCACTTTGCCACCCTATTCAGCTTACCTCTACGCGCATCCTCCTCTTTCCTTGCAAGCATACGCAGGAAAGGCTATGAGGAGCAGTGCACACGTTCTATACATGGTCTATATGTTTATACAAGGATAGAGTCTATAGTTCATCAACTTTGGGCCGATTACCAGCCGTTTTTGGAGTTTTCGGCGATACTATTCGGCCGACCTCAACTTTTCCTCCTTCCGCCTTTCCCTTCTCACCCGTCTGCAGTATTCTTTACTGGCGTCTACGCCATCGTGATCTAGTAAGTCAGCTTCTGTCCCCTTCTCAAATTAAGCAAGTGCGAAAACTCACCTTATCGAAGTCTTTGGGCACTTCCCATTGCTAAGCAGATCAGCTATATCTCAAACGATCTCCTCTAAATCTCGGACGACCCCCAAGCTCTCTTCTTCCGCCCTGTCCAAAGGACTCCATAGTCTGTCAGTATATTGAACTCACGTGCTGCGCCGCCACTCGCTTATACGCCTCTACAGCCTCCTGAATCCCATATGGCGTCTGCCAGCGCATCATATCGATCCGAGCTGGGCGATCTGTTCCGTCAGCTTACCTCCTGGCTGGCTGCTCAATCTTCAAGGCACGAAGGAGGAGGAAAGCTCACCTGCAGCGGTCATATTGAGCATAATGTCCCTGACCATCGCTTCGACGCAGTAGGTAGGGTTCCATCCAGTCGCCTGGAAGATCAGCTCACTTCCGCTTTTTGCATCCGCAGAAGGGATGGGGAGAAGAAGTGCTCACAGTCAAGATCTCATTACAGATAGACCCGCCAGCCGTGATATTACCTCCACCACCTTGCAAGAACGGCAGGCATCTCGGATAGATGATGCGCATAAACGGTGGCGAGACCGGGAAAGACGCGGGGAATCGGACTTCGGCGCTGCATTCATGAGCTTGGGATTCTACGTGATGAGTGATTAAGCCAAAAGGTCACACGACAGCCTGAATCTTGAGCTGCTTCATCTCTTTGGCGAGAAGGCTGTCTTTGTCGAACTCGAACATTTCCAAAGTCCATGAATAGAGTCTGAAGACGTCAGCTAAGTTCCACTATCGTTTGCTGCGATCCTGCTATTCCGCTCTTCACCACTAAGTCCCCCTTTCGTTTGCTGCGATCCTGCTATTCCGCTCTTCACCACTAAGTCCCCCTTACCTCCTCGGCGCCTTGCTCTCGCGATCTAGCTCCCGTCTGTGGCTTACTCGCAGCACCTTAAACACCCCTCATACTTCTGTCCGGTGCCTCCCTCTCTCATCCCCTCCATATCAAGCCCAGAGCCAGAAGAAACAACTTACCGATCGCCATCCGGCCTCACCCAGAAAGGCAGCCCCCCAACCCCCATCTGCACCCCCATGATCCCCTTCCACTCGCGCATGAGCGCCTTGGTCGCCTGCGTACTGTTCGCACTAGGGGGAGGGAGGAGCGTGACCCCAGTATAGAACTCGTCGGGGTATGGCGTATAGCTCGGCTTCTTGGGCTTGGACTTCGACTTAGCCGGAGAGGCAGAGACGGGGTTGACGTAGAGCGCCGCGTCCGAGGGAAGGTCGGGTTGAGTGTCTTTGTATTTCAGGCGAGGGATCTTGTCCGGCATGTACTAAGGGATCAGCTCTTTCCCTGCCTTCTACGTTGTAGAACACGATTTATAGCTGGAGCAGGGAACTTACCACGTTCAGGGGCTGACCAAAGTACGTCGGTTTGATCGCCAGCGCCGGATCATGCTCAAACAGCTTCCCGCTCCTCTTCCTCTCCATCTTGTGTCCGCTCCGCTCCCCTCCACTTCCCCCTACTGCTGCTGCTGCATCCCCGACTGCGGTCTGCCCCTCTACCGCCGATACCTCCGGGGGCGCCAGAATCCCCTCGACGAGAAGCAAGAACGGCTTGATCTGCTTGACCTTGTTGACGACGTAATAGGGAGCCCGGGAGACAAACGTCTCGGGGACATTGACAATCTCCGTCAAGGCCGTAGCGCGCGTCAGGACGAAGTCGGCATTAGGACGCCGGACGGTCGAGGGGCGGGCGTAGGCCGACATGGAGGTGTTGGAGTCGGAGGCAAAGTAGACGCCGTTCCCGTAAGCCTGGTAGGTCAACTTATTCCAAATATGCCGTGGATGAGAGCTTACCCGGCCGCAAGCGATCTCGTTGAAGTCCAGACCGGTCCGGAGGATATTGTGCCACCTCTCCGCTCCGGAACCTATCATATCAGCTTCAGAATCCTCATCTCCTCACCACCCGCTGCTCCCACCGGCTTGTGCAAGACGTACCATGGAAAGCCAACAACGTCGGATACTTCTCCAGGGTCTTCTTATTCTTCTTCGCCTCCTCAATCTCCCTCCTGAACCCAGCCTCCTGTTCCGGGTTCCCCACCACAAAGCTAAACTGCCGGATATTGCTCTGGCTCACAGCCACGTGATGGTACTGCGGCATCCCCGCCAGGTCCGCCGTCGTACCCGTGATGACCCCTTCGCCGAGCCGCGTTTCTTTCAGGTAGGCACGACATGATCCGACTGCCCAGCGTAGGACGGTGAGTGCGCCAGGGCAGGCAGGGAGCTTGTTGATATGGTCACCCTGGGCGAGGTGCTGCTGCATGGCGGACACGCGGGGGAGGGACTCGATGAGCCATACGAGGGCGCGCCGCTGGTCGACCTCGGGGAGGGTGTCGAAGTTGACGGGCTCGGAGCGGATGCCGGCTTCGGCGGGGACTTCGATGCTGTAGGTCAGCTACTGGTTGTGGCGAGTGTGACGGAGACGAGAGAGGAATGGGCATCAGGCGCTAGCGCTGCAGGATCGGAAGAATGAGATAAGGGGATACCTACTTGATCTTGAGGGGCAGCTCCATCCGAGTCGCTGAACTGGCAGCGGCGTGCGCAAATGTAAGGAGGAGATCAACGACCCCCGGGTGGGTCTGAATGGTGTGCGACAGAGATGGCCCGAGACTGGCATATCAGCTTGATGCTCCTCCTTAAAGTCGCTCCTCCTCCGCAATCTCTTTCCTCCATCTCCTCTCGGGGTCAATTTTCCCAGTGATACCACGCCCGCCCCCTGCCCCCCGCTCTAGTGTAAGAGGAAGACTCACCCGAGGCACATCATCCCATACAAACACAGCGCCTTATCACACACATAAGGCCGCCGCCCCTCCACCTCCACCTTGACTCCGCAGTTCAAACAGTACTTGGTCGCCTGCACAAACCTCCGGCATAACCACCAGAACGCCACCAACCCCAAATTTCCCTCCATCCCCTTCTCGATCGGATCATTTTCTTCTCCGGGTACACCGCGCGGATCGCTGGGTCGCCCGCCCTCATTGACGGGGATATGCTGGTTATGGAAGATGTTGACGACTTGGGCGTCGTCCATGCCGTACTTGTCGGCCGAGTCCCAGTTGAGAGGGTAGGACGTGCGGAGTTGGTAGGATCGCGGAAAGACCTTGAGGTGGGTCGCGAGCGCGTCGGAGAGGAAGAAGGGGCGGGAGGGGGCGGAGAGGGAGGTGCTTTGGCGTTGCAGGGTGTGGCGGGTGATGGTCTCTTCGGAGGGTTTGTCTGGGCGTCAGCGTACTTCCGGAGCGAGCAGGGAAGGGGCGAGTCGGATGTGGGTTCGGGGATATGAGAAGGATGCGGGGAGGACGAAACAGGCTAGACCTACAGTTCTTGTCCAGAGCAAGTGACCACTTCGTATCCGTATAACTTGCGCCATACCCATCCACCCGCATGAGCAGGGTAAACCGCTGATCGTCCGCACATGCGTCTGCGAGATCATCATCCCAGATAGCTAGCTCGTTCGGGTCGATAGCCATGCTCTTCAGGGGGATAGAGTATGATACAACCTACTCAATCAGCCTCTGACCTCAGTCCGCATTATCGGTCTCAGAGCTGACGCGACGTACCCAGTAGTCCGAAATCCGGGTCAATCCAGGCCGATAGCCCATACTTTTGGCCTGCGTAAAGTCCCTACCCGTCAGCCCTTGGTCGGGCACCCTTTCTAGCGATTGAAACTCACACTTTGACCTTCCCCCAATCCCGCCCCAAATCCGCCTGACTCCCCCTAGCCACCTCAAACCCTCTCCCCACCTGCACTACCGGCCCATCCCCAAACATATCATCGTCCCCATCCCCTCCCATCCCCATCGCGATATCCTCGATATCCTCCGCGGTGCCCCCGTTGGCATTATCGTCCCCTTGCAATGCGGACACCAGGCGGGTGATGAGGTCCTTGACGGAGAGGTCGAAGGCGGAGGAGAAGCGCTCAAAGGCGCGCGTGTGGGCGCGCCGCGCCGGGCTGGGGGTGGTTAGGGAGATGGAGGTCTCGTAGGACATGGGGTAGTTGGGGAGGTCTGGATATGAGAAATGGCTCGACAGCTAAGAAGGAACAACGGAGAAGAGGAGGTGAGGAGGATGTAGGGAAGGGAAAGAGGGGCTCACCGTCAAAGACGATGTTCAGGCCATATAGGAAACTCGAGCCATCCATATCTTCGAACGACAACGTGAAGGCCGTAGAAGTCTCCACTTCGTCCATGACCAAATCTGCCATGTGAGCTAACCATCCACAATTGAAAGCTTGAGGAAAAGTTGGAAGCTCACTCGAAATGACAGCCTCCATACCCGCGTATCCCTCCACGACCCAGACCCCATCCTCCTCGCTCATCTTCTCGCACGCCCGTACATCCGCCATCCATACACTCCGTCCCGTCCCTTGCGAAGACGTCCCCAGCATCTGTGACGACGGCATCAGCATCTGCGAGGACGGCAGGATGATCACGTCTTCATCCTCCTCGTGGGCAGCTAGCAGACCGGCAGACCCGTTTTGCTTGCCGTGACCGGGTACCGGTGCTCGAGATTCCGGAGCAGGACTTGCAAACTCAAGAGCCATGGCGAACGCGTCGTCCTCCACCAAGTCGATATCGTACGCGTCCACGTCAACCGCTTGGGCTTTGCCTTTGCCTTTTCCTTTGGCTGCGGAGGGAGCTGATTTAGGAATGAGAACGACGGGTGCAGCGCGACTTTTGGTAGATTTGGCAACCTTTTTGGGCTTGGGAGCAGTCGCTGCAGCTATAGCGTCAGCCACTATCCTCCGCAGGAGAAATGTGATGGGAACGAAAGCTGGTGCTGGAGCTGAAGCTGAAGCTGAAACTCACCTGTACCTGCGCTCGGACCAGCACCAGCAAAAATGACCGGTTCTTCTGAATAAGAAGCCACGCTCACACTGATACGTGCAGACCGTCTGGGCTGCGGCTGGGAGTTGGAGCTCGTGCTTGACCCCATGGAGATGATGGAGGGTGAAGAGGAGGAGGAAATGGAGATAGCGTCCGCGGCCGTCCCGGAGGCAGCTACGCGCTGCTTCTTGATGGCCGGCATGGGGAGGTGTGTGTGCTCAGGCACACCTGAGAGGAAAGAAGCAGATGGGGTGTGGATGATATACAAGGTTCATGAAGACAAGACGGCGAAGGGCAAGTCGAGAAGGTGAGTGGACTGAGACGTGACCTGACGTAACGAGGAATGTTGCAGCTGCAGGTGGGTGGCAAAAATGGGGCTCCACACCGGTTCCTTCAGGCCTGGACAACTGCTAGACCCATACGAGGCATCTTAGACATCTAGTTACATCTAGGAGCGAGTGGCTAGCGACAGATAGATACCGCGGATAGTGATACGTGAAATTGTAGAGATTATATACATCTAAGGAATCAGCCAGGACTGAGCTCTGATCACATCCTACTCACATTTCATTGTCCTCGACCTAGCCGACGGTCACGCCTCTCCTCCCGAAAGAACCACCGCTGACTCCTAGCCTTAAGGTCTGAGCTGTTCACTGTCACGCCTCGGCCGCGACTACGAGTGGCACTGCGACTGCTACCGTGACAGTCCGCTCCACTTCTTCCTCCTCTTCTTTCTCTCCATCCACCTGCCCCTTGGCCCCCTCCTTCTTATCCCCAGCCACCGGTACGACCGGCGCTGGCACTGCCACCTCTACGACTGGCATCCCCACCTCAACGACCACCGACCCCGACTCCGCGGGCGCCTGGCCCCCACTCGCATCATCGTCCCCCTGCAGAGCGCACACCAATCGCTCCATGATTCCCTTCACCGTCAGGCTGTACGTTTTTGAGAAGCGCTCAAACACGCGGAGATGGGCTCGCTTGGGTGGGGTGGCGGGTGACGTAGTGGAGACGGACGTCTCGCATGAAGAGGGGTAGGTCGAGAGATCTGCCTATCAGCTCCATATGCCAAACACTATAGAGTACGATGGTTGGGAATGGGTAGACTTACCTTCAAAAGCGATAGTGAGGCCATATGAGAAACTGGAACCGTCCATATCCTCAAATTCTAGATGGAAAGCAGTAGACGTCTCCACCTCATCGAGTGTCATGTCTGACGTATCAGCTTCAGCTCTACTACCCACCAGTCTGAAAGCGGGCAGGAAGCTCACTTGATATCATAGCTTCCAACCCCGCATACCCCTCCACAGTCCACCTCTGCTCCTACCCAGCGATCTTCACCCTTGTGCCCACGTGCTTCATCCACAAACTTCTGCCCCTCACTTCCTCTCCGCTCGTCTCTCCCTCCCCCTCCCCCTCGGGAAAGAGGAACGACTCGTCCGGCCCGTACCCCTCCTCGTCCCACTCCTCCCTCTCCCTTGGCGCCGGACTCGGCATCGACAACGTCGGACTCGGAAGTCGAGGCCTGTCCGGAGGCGCAGGGGAGGGGCTGGCGAAGTTGAGAGCGAGCGCGAAGGTATCGTCCTCCACCACATCCGCGTCGTTTACAGACGGCACGGCGGGCGGGCGTCGGGCGCTCGCGCTGCTGGAGCCGGCGGACGGAGGGGTATTCGATCCCGACTGGGACGCCGAGTCAGACTCGGAGCCAGAGTCTGCGTACCGCGCACTGTGGGCCGACCGATTACGGATCGACCTCTTGGGGGTGCGGGCGGCGGCGCGTCCTTTTCTGGCCCGAGGAGCAGCTAGGGCTGTCAGCGTGATCCCCAAAGTTCCAAAAGTGGACTTACCAAAAGGCCCGTGCTCTTACTCTCACTTGCCCCTCTGCCTCCACCTCCAATAGCTGCTCTAGCCCAAGCTGAAGCCGACGCATCCGCCGCCGAGCTCGCAGCAGCAGCAGTAGCAGCGGCCCGGGCAGACCGGCGGAGCTCAGGTTGTGCTTGTACCGGCTCGACAGGCAGGGGCTGCACGGCCGACGCTGAAGAGGACGTGATGGGCCTTTGGGGATGCGGAGCGGACTCGTCTCCGCTGCTGGGAGGAAGCGATGGAGATCGCGTCTTCAGCGGTACCTTTTGCTTTGGAAGGCATGCTTGATAGAAGTAGGTATGGTCAGTGATTGAGTTCTGATGGAAGGGTGGACCAGGAACGAGGAGGAGGTAGACATCTCTACAAGTGAGGTAGCCTTCTGGCGACAGGGTGCAGGGTGCAGGCGTGCAGTACAGGGGGTACAGGGTCAATGTTGTGCTTCGGAGCCATCTCGGAGGCAGCTGCAGCGGGGGGCGGAACGGAAACGGGCGAAACGCGAGGAATGTAGGGTCCGTGGGTGGTGCCCCGCATCACGTGACCTTTTCTCCTCGGCAACCTGGGGGCCGTGCGCAAAATCATCCAACCTCGAGCGTGAGCATCCCCCCCGTTACCCCTATCCCCTATATCATCAGGAGCTATGGTCCTTGATACAGTACACGCCAAGGCTGGCTCACACCTCTCCTCGCCCTTCCACCCGACATACAGGGTTCTCGGGCAAGATATCAGTAAGCTTCCGTGAGCACAACCGCGAACCAAGCTGACGAGTCAGCCGTTGACCTTCCCCTCCCTACGCTCATTCTCGCTACTTTCGGGGCGCTTGTAGCTCTCAGATACCTCGTGTCTTTCTTGACGCTCCTGGCGCAGCTCACTGTTCTCCCTGGGAGGGATGTAAGCTTCTCGTCTCCCTTTGCCAACCGGGAGAGCACGAGCTCACGGGACAGATCAAATCCTTCAAGACGCGCAATGGAAAGACATGGGCCGTCGTGACCGGTGCGACCGGTGGTATAGGGCTCGAGTTCGCCCGTCAGCTCGCTAAGAAGGGATACAATATCGTCGTTCTGGGTAGGAGACAAGAGGTATTGGAGGAAGTTTCGAGGGAACTCGGTGAGCTCCCTCTCCCCCAACGCCGCTCATGCGCGATTCAGCGGAGAGGAGCTGACATCAAGAAACCAAATACAAGGTCGAGACCCGGTTCCTCGTGGTCGACTTTGCATCCCCCTCCTCCCGCGGAGAGAAGTTTGCCGAGCTGGGCCAGATGGTCCAGTCTCTTGATCTGGGGGTGCTGGTGAATAACGTAGGGGCGAGCCATGAGATGCCTGTTGCGTTTGCAGAGACGGAGGCGGAGGAGATCGATAACATCGTTCAGACCGTGAGTCTCTACTTCCACCTCAAACCCTATCTCCAACTTCCACGACTACCTCTACCGCTAGTGGCGGCTGCTGCCCAATGCGGGGTGAAAGTCGACTTCAGCCAAAAAGCAAGATCCCGCGCTAATTTCCCGATAGAACATCCTGGGCACACTCCACCTCACCCGGCTCCTCCTCCCCCGTCTCCTCTCCCGCTCTTCCAAGAAGGGCAGCCCTAAATCCCTCGTGCTCAATATCGGATCCATGTCGGGGCGTATCCCCTCGGCCCTGCTCGCTACGTACAGCTTGACCAAGGGCGGATTACAGACGTGGAGTCAGGCGCTGGCTGTCGAGGTCGAAGGGCAGGGGGTTATGGTCAGGATGGTGATACCTGCTTTCGTCGTGAGTCCTGGCTCACCATTGCCATCTCTACTCTTGCTCTCGGCCAAGTCGGACAGGGATCAGGTGGAGTAAAGGTCCAGAAGGGCTGATGATAGGTATCCAACATGTCCAAGATCCGCCGCGCCTCCCTCCTCGTCCCGTCCGCCCCCGCCTTTGTCTCTTCCACCCTAGGATCCATAGGACAGAGCCGAGGCGCCCAAGGACGGGCATACGAGTGCACCCCGTACCCGACGCATGCGCTCGTGGATTACGGAGTGGGGCTGCTGGGGTGGGTGAGCGAGCTGGGGGCGATGAAGGTCGTTAAGGGGATGCATGTAGATATTAGGAAGAGGGCGTTGAGGAAGCGGGAGAGGGAGGCGAAGGGGAAGTAAAGAGAAGGGAGAGGAGGGTGTAAGAGTGGGAAAGTGGGAGCGGAAAAGGAACCCTGGGCGGAGAAGCAAGGAGAAGATAAGGGAATTCATGGAGAGATGGAAACGCGGGACGAAAGTGTACATACCATGCATCATGCGTACGTCGAACTTGCTGACATGTCCTAACGCACTGTACCCTCGACGCCTACTGTCTCTATCAACTCAAATACATATTGATCCACTTCACAGAGACTCGTAACGGATCCTACATCCCAGAAGCAGACTAGAAGCCTCCCTATCCCTCTACTTTGCTCCTCTTGCCCACGCGAAGTCCATCGACTTGAAGTTCGGATCATTGGCGTCACGCCAATCCGCCATCCTCACCCTGAATACCGGGTCGACAGCAATCCGCTCACTGCCAATCTCTCCCGCCACCTCTTCCAAGAGCGCCCGGTACACCCTCGGACCTTCCTCCTCCAGCACCACGTGCAGGACCTCTTCCTGCGTAGGTGGCGTCTTGAACAGCCGCGTGTCTTCTTTCTCATCGGCTGGAGGCTGGTCTTTCGATGACAGCACAGCCTCATCCAGACTGTCATCGAGCCAGGTCTCGAGGCTGGTGTCGAAATTGGCATCGAGAAGGAGCTTGTCACCTGGCGATAACTCGCTCAAGGGAGGTATGAAAGTCACCTGGCAGCGGGAGGCGTAGAGGGTGTGCCCCAGGAAATGGTTCTCCGGGTAGAGGATGACGTGGCAGGTAGTGGTGAGCTTGGTGGAAGTGTCGGTCGGCGCGGTAAAGGGCGGTTCGGTATCAGGCTGGGCGCTCGCGGTTGGTGTAGTGCTTGACATGGCGAGCGGGCGGAAGGTGAGTCGCTCGGTTGCGTTGGCGGTGGCGGTGATGCTGCGTCGACGTTGACTGGACAAGGCAATGGGGGACTTGTTCAGCGCGATAAGATGGGTTTGTAGCTCGACCGTTGACGTTTTGAGGGCTGTCAAAGGCTGTGTGGGGGGGGATTCAAAGGATGTGAAACTCTGGAAGGCCGCTGATGACGACTACTGACGACTGATGACGTCTAATGACGACTAATGACGACTAATGGCATCCGATGACGGATAATGAAAAGAGAGAAACCCATATGTGAAGTATATGGCGTGCTCATGTACGAGCGCTCTCTGCCATCTTACCTGTAACGCTATGCCTTCGGGGTATCACCGTCGACGATAAGAAGGTGTGTATTTTGCCTCATGAGAGCTTGATTGGGCGCGAAGAAGGCTATATGAGTGCATATTGAGAACAGATAGCGCGACGAGGTGATTATGCGCGTTGCCGAGCCCGGCGTGGCGCTTCGTGCTTTCCTTTCACCTCCACGGAGTATTCACACGACGGCGATACTTACCTATTCACACCAAAGCGTTTATAAGCACGCTGATATGGGAAGACCCACATCCTCCAAGTCTGGCGGCAATTTACAAAGAGAGGCTAAAGATTCGTGCCTCCAAGGCCAAATTCTGGCGCAATACTCACCTCTGCCATTCCAGTCGATGAGCTTCTTCGTTAGCACACCTGCGACAATGGAAGGATCAGCCCCGAGTACCGAGCTCATCGAACAGCAAGTGGAATATCTCGAGGGCTTGGTCACTTCTTCATACGGTGCCTGGTTGGCATTCCGGCAGCTGAACCCAGACTCTCACGACTACCACCGAATCAGCCAAAGCATCACGCGTCTCGACCCTTCGACAGGCGAATCAATCACTATGCTCCTCCAAGCAGTCGAAGGATTCCTCACTGCCCCACTTACCGATCCCACTCGGTACCACCGCAGTGGCAGCGTGATGACGTTCCAGAAGTTCCTCCTGACCGAGACGGGTCCTGGAGGTTTCTTGGAAGCTTTCATACATCAAATTGCCGTGCAGGACGAGTACGTGCGCACGAGCATCATCGACAAGGTCATGATGCTTCCGGAAGGAACGGTCGATACCCTGCTCGGATGGAACAGGAAACAACGATGGCAGTATATCACTCATAATCCGGATAGCCAGTATACCTGGAGCCTTGTCGAGCTGTCGCAAATCGAGACTTGGATCATCATGGGGGACGACTATGATACGGTGGCGGTCAAGATGGGTGGGTCGCCTGGCACGGTGCAGGGTAGGTTGAACAGGCAATGGAAGCGGATACACCCGTCAATCCTGGAGGGTGGTCATCAGTCATTCGCTCGACGGGGATCTCGCCAGGCGGCGCAACTGTACCCGGTACGTCTGCACACTGTTTGGCTATCGCGTCGACAATGTGAAAGAAGCGCTCATGTGTCAGTTCATACATCCACCTACCACATCGGAGGTCGAAGGTATGGCGCATCCTTCTTGCCTGTCCCAGCCGCAGACGTGACAGCAGCTGATATTATCAGAGACCACGGAGCAGATCTATGGCGAACAATTATCTGCTCAGATCGAAGGTCTCGGAGCTCCACAGGCATCGGATCTTGCAAGAGAGCTGATGGACAACAGCCCATACTTCGTCTTTTCCGCCAGCACGCTGGGCCTTCAGTAGTGGCCGACCTTACGGTGGAGAATGTGGGATCGGCCCCTCTGATGTCTCACCATAGCAGCTCCCGAGAGCAGGGATCATAGAGGTCCAGATATGTGCATGTTGATATTTGATTACAGAAAAAGTGGAATGGTACAAGTGGGCAAGAGACCATGAAGGTGATTGATTACACTGACAGTTACTGATACGCTGCACCTCGAAGACCGGTCACACATGGCCGTACCTCCCCATAGCCCTCAGTCCTCACCTACTGACATCCTTGGGAAGAATCACGTCTCCCTGTGAGTGTCCGGTGTACGTCATGGTCGCCGACCAGAGGTCGCTCGGCGCCGGCCCCTTTGTCGTGAGTGTCACATCAACGAACGGCGCCGACAGATTCCCCCTCGAAAACCTGAATTTCTCCTTGTCCAGTCCCGTGATTGCCTTGAGGAGATACCGTCTGTAGTCCCAGTGTGTGAAGAGCAATACGTCCAAGGGCGCTTCGTCGGTCCCTGAATCAACAAGTCAGCGCTAGTTCCCGATATCTGGTTTGCGATAAACGAACCTGTGGTCGGCTTGCCTTCCCGAGTGAGTTGACCGAGCTGATGCTTGAGCTGAATCAGCCGGGCCAGATTCTCCATCGCGTCCCGAGATCGCTCTTCGGTCGCCGCATCCGTCTCGTTGACGGTGTCGTGGGCCGCGAATGGATCGATCGCCCCATCCAATCCATCGAGTCTGAGGAATCTGTTTGATCCGGGGAAAGTATCTGATCCGATCTCGGTCTCACTTGGCTCTGCCTGGTCTCGGAGATCAGACACCCTCATCCTCCCACTCCTCTCGTTGACTTCGCACTGCTCACGGAGACACTGGTCTCTCAGCACACTGATTCCCAAGGCAGGAGAACAGCCTCACTTCGTCAAGGTAGACTTCGATACCACCCGGCAGGATCCACTTTGCAGTTTGCATTGTCCGTCTGAAAGGTGATACCCACTGCCAAGACGGGGCGCAGCTTGCCCTCAGCTTCGAAGTGCTCGAGCTGGTCGAACCTGACATCCTCGCATTGAGCACGGCCTCTCTCACTCAAAGGGGGATCTCGCTTAGGCTGAACAAATCAGCCATCTTGCAAGGAAGGATGGAACTCAGATCTTTTACCCACCTTCCAGCTCTCCAAAACAGCATCGCTGACCGATCCGTCAGGCTGTGTAGGAGGTCCTGCTAGTCAGCCTGATCGTGCTCTCAAGCCTAGCACTGTGTCCCACCGTAATGGACGTGCGCATGCCGGATTGGATATAAGACGGAGCTTGAACGTGTACAATTCTGTGTCCTTTAGCTCCTCTCCTATGTCATGGTGCGATTGGGCTTACCTTGACCATCGAACTGATTGATCTCGGGCACGTCTGCTACCTGTGCCGTCGCGCCGTATGCTGAGCCTTGACGCTGGATAATATCAGTAAGATGATCCGCGGGTGGCAAATATCGGCGCGGCTGGACCAGAGGTGAAACATACAGTAAGTGTATTCTGAATAGTTTGACCGCTCAGGAGAAGACTTGGCAAGCGTGGCTCATCTCGCACCTCCTTTTGCCGCGTCGAACCCAGCGCCACAAGATAAGGCTCGGGAAGCCTCTTGGTGGCAAAATTGACCTTTCGGTCGCCCGGGAGGGTGATGGTCTTGTCCCCGGAGGAAGGGACGGTGCAGGCAGGGGTAGTCATGATCAGAAGATTGAGCGCTGATGATGAGTAGCTGTACGGTGTGTCTGACGAGACGAATGTATAAGTAGAGGAGAAAAGGCAAAGGCGGGCGCGATGAGCGACCTGGCCGGCGAACCCAACGGGTGAGACCACCCTCAAAGGAAACGCTACAGATGACTTGGACATAGGCACAGGCAAGAAGCGTCTAGTGCAGGAGTTAGCACATAAAGGAGGCCAAACACCGTTATGGCTGCAGGAACAGCAACGCGAACTCGATGTGACGGATGTTTGCCACCCAGTGGCAAATCTATGATCCATCCGCGGCGGCTGGCCTCTCTAGTAGCGCTGACTGGAGAGACTTGTCCGCCTATCTGGCACAGAGAATGTCGACCGGGCAGTTCAAGTAGCAGAAGGTAGCCCAACCCGCGCCTGACAGTACGATCGTGTACGGTACAGCGATCTGAGGAACGCTGCTTCGCAGTCATCTTCGTAAGTCACAAGTCCACATCTTCAGATCCCGCGGCCGCAATGACCGCTTCGATGGCCGAAGCATCTCTCTGCGCTTCGATGGCATGTTGATGACGCTTTCGAGATGGGTAAGTGGGCATGAGTAGTATCGACCAGGTTTACAGGTCATGATACTCCCAGCTGTAGGAACAGACGAGCTGCTTCTCGCTTTGGGATAAGAAGCAACGACACTAGCACACCGCCCAGGCTCCGGGTCTTTGTGGTAGACCACGATTCATAGAAGCTGTTAAGAGTTTCTGCGTTATCGTAAGTGATGAGCGATCGTCTATGCATGCGAGCCCACGATGACGGATATCTGCTGCCACGGTGCTACCTCTCCAACTGGAGGTGCTATATCCTGCTCGCATCAGCTTGCCTCCATGGCTCCTGTGAGGTCGTCATGCCGTCGGCTTACCGGCAGCCCTTCCAATACCTCTTTCTCATTCCTCTCAATCGTTGCAGTCAAGCGCCGGTAGTGTTCCAGCCACTTCAGTCGGGTGCGAGGATGCACAGCCCTCCAGTACCCGTTCATTCTGGATTCCGTGAATTTGGCGGTTCCCGGAGGCTTGTGCATACCCTTCGCAACCGTGTCGCTGTTATGCGTGACGATGAGCCTGCTCTCAAAGTCCCCCACTCTCTTGAAGAATTGGCCGGCTTTGGTGCTTCCATGACGGGTGATGAATGACTGTCGTAACTTCGGATTCGAGCCGACAATGGTATGTCCGATCTTGTGGCCTTCGGGGTACTTCATGATCCGATCAATGTCGTCAATCTTCTGTAGTGATGTGGCCGATCTGATCCCTCTCTCGAGTTCTCTCACATAGCCATTGTCCGTCGTGAAGTTCTGGTAGGTGCTAATGCTTCGCCGCAACCTTGCGTATGCTGACGTGTGTTCTACCTCAGTCGCACCCGATACGACTGCCGTCCAGAGGAACCACTGGATGTTCTGCGCATCGAAGGCAAAGGGGAACGCAATGTCCTGGGGTCGTCTGCAAAGCGTGTCGGTGAGGTGCGTGCTGATATACTTGGCTTGCTCTGCTGTGTCAGAAGAGGACTTCTCCGCCTCCGCCATTGCAACACGAAACAGCGCCCAGTGCCGACAGTCGGAAGTCACCCAAAGAGAGAGGGCATTGACCTCCGCTTTGTAAAGTGTATCGAGCACCTTCGAGTCGTACATTTCGTCATCGACGTCCATCTTGGCTGCAGCGGAAGGTGGTGTTTGATATGTGGCATGAGGGATACAGGCGGCTGGATGTACCTGACTGCTGGTCAGGGGGAAGAGGTGGGCGATAAGGAAGACTGGTAATCGGATGACGGGTCATGGCAGCTGTGCCCCTGCCTCATAGTGGAAGTCCGCTCTAGGGGGCGAAGCACAAAGGAATCAGGATACAGTTGAGGTTGACGAGTACTCGGTCTTCAGGGTTTGGCCACCCGATGGCGAATTCTCAAGCGGCTGTACTCGCTAGCTCATAGGGATACCCCGAGAAGAGGTTGAGGACCGCAGACTGGGCATCGACGCTTAAGTAGCTCCTCAGGTCATATACCTACCCACCGCCTATGCTTACGAGGTACGCCGAGCCCTTCTCACCGTGCCTGGCCTCAGGTTCCCCTCGCCAATGTCATTACATTCTGCAAGGCAGCTGAATTTAACGTACGAGGTACGATGGTGCACTGTCAGGGCGTCCCTTGAGGTAAGTACATTCCTATTGAGGTGTCCTACATAGCAGCCGATGATCTTGAGTGAAAGAGCCAGAGCACCTGAGGGGTCCATTATGATGTCAGTATGAGAATGCATGGACGTATAGACAAGAGTTACAAGACGTAGCAGACAGAAGATATGGATCTGGCAGAGGAAAGGAACAAGTCATGATGTAGCTGCGTGGAAGAAGACTGGAGTGCATGGCCGCCTAGACGATGGAGTCCCGACCCCCGGCGGGAGGGGTGTCGGGGACCGAACCGCTCGTGTCCAGCGCCGAGTGAGCGGAGTTGCGAGTCATGGCCCAGAGATGTCCACCGGCGAAGACGAGGTAGGTAGGGACAACCAGCAGATCTGAACCCTGCGACGCCACCGCTGCAAGTCCCCCGAGCCCGGCTCCGATCGCTGCCACCTTGAGTGCACCGCTTCGGAGAGATTCGAGGAACTCGGTGGCTTTGGCTTTCTGAGCATCGTCACCGGTGGCTTCGACTTTCTGAGCACTGTCAGTGACACAGATCGTGGCGATACTGGTGCCGATCGTGAGAGCTGATACGATGGCCTCGAACTCTGCCGGCCATCCTGCGGCGTGACTTGCAACAAAGAGTGTGGCGCCTGGGGCGATGAGCCCCCCGCAATAGCGTTCGAGGGTGATTTGGCCACTGGTCAGACCTTTGGTGAGGTGCTCCCAGAAACTGTCTCCAAACTCGCGCGTTTGGACGTCGGTGGGATCAGAAGACATGATAGAAAGCGTGAAGTGGATTGTGTTGTGCTGGTATGACGAATGACTGTGAGTAGGACGAGATACGAAGGGCGAGGCGGGCTGGCGAGTTATCGCCATTATATGGTCGAGAGGCGAGCAGCAGGACGAGCGGGCCAGGATGAAAATCCCTTGTACTAAATGACCACCTGGAACGCGATCGAACTCGTGCTAAAGGGGCACTGGACACAAAGGTTCGCTTCGTCTTGCGAATGTGGCGGATTGGCGTCGAGAATTATCAGATACTTGGTCAGCTCACACAAACATACATAGGTAGGCCTGTCTTCGGATAATCAGTGTCGTGCCGTGATACGAGGCACGTGATGTCGATAGCAAGCGGGTCCATGGCGTAAGATGTTCAAAGTCTTGGTGCGCATACAGTGGTGATGTAACTATATGCCTGGTGCCCCAGCCCTCTGACTTCGTGGCGGTTTGAGGGTGCACGATCACTACAAACCAGTAGCAAACTCCGAAGGCCTCGACGCGTGCGGTCATGCCGATGGCTGTGGAGCGGCATGAGTCAGTGTCTGTCAGTTGCAGACCATATAAGTAACATCATCTAAGCTCTAATCCACATCATCCGACAGATCCCCCGTCTCCGCATCCTCAAACGTTCCCTCCTCATCACTATCCTCATCCTCCTTCCTCCCATCCCCATTCGCCCCTTTAGACCCAGTTGTAGGGACAACAGCAGCAGGCCCCGCCTCCCCATGTCCCTCCTTCTCCGCCAACAACTGCTTCGCCTCCTCATCGACAATCTCAAACGCCACCGCAAAGTACACTTCCCCGTCCGTCTGGTCTTTCGATCCGGGCGGCGCGCGTTTTTTGCACACGTACGTGACCGGCTGGCCGTCCCAGTATTGCAGGAGGGGGAAGGAGAGGTTGAAGGGTGGTGGGAGCTTAGCCGAGAGGGTATTGAAGTCTGAGGTATCAGCTCAACCCGGATATCCTGTTCGGCAGAGGATCGGAGTGAGCCTAGCTCACCCAGATAACCATTGCAAAACTCCATACCGACCCATGTCGACTTGTCCAGCGTTACAGCCTTCCGGTGGTCTTTGTTTCCTAACCACTTTTTCCGCGCGGCCTGTTCTGCGCTCTCGGCCATACCTTCTCCAGGCGGAGGTGATGCTGCACAATCAGTATACTATACCTATTCTCTCCTCAGATATCGATGGTCTCGCCCGAGGGCTGACCCGACCAGCCGAGGCGGGATCGCCGATGAGAGATGACCGAGACTTACGACCATCATACAGCTCCCCCAACCTCTCCACGCTCTTCTCTAATATCGACGGGGTATATTCCGGCTTCTTTGCGGTCAGTGAAAGATAGTTGAAGGTCGCTAGTGTCGGTGATAACGCCCATGGCTTTTCGCCATAGACGTCTACCTCGAGCGTGGGATCCAAGAAGCTGTCCATCAGCCTACGTCCTCTGCGCTCAAAACTCCCCTGCTGCTGTAGCAGAGAATGAGTTCTTGGCATGGGGAGCACTACTTACTGCATCGCTTTGATAGCTATACTGCTCCCCCATGGTAGTTGTGACTTGATGGGCTTTTCGAACATGTTACCAAAGACAAGGTCGTCCGCATCGACCGGATCGAGGAATCGGCCTGGAAGATCAGCTCTCAGCTCGCTTCACAGATGATATCATCAAAGGTGGCTTCAGTGAGTGCCTGAGTTCCTCAGTCCTTGATCCTTGAGGGGCACAGCCTACATCCTCGAGGCAGTTCCCCCGCTCCAATCAATGAAATGCGACAAGTCCAGTCAGTACTCACCCCTCGTCACAATAGCATAAGTCATCCCCCCTCTCCCCTCCTGCCCGAAATACTCCTCCCCCTCTCCCCGCTTCTCATCCCCCGCATAATCCTTCACCCAGACGGATATCTCCCCTTCAAAACCAGGCGTCTTGATGCTGGTCGGTGTTGCGAGATTCACGGGAAGGAGTTGGGTGGGTGGGTAGGGCTTTTCGGGGGTGGATATGAGGACGCGGAGGCGGACCATTTTGGATACTGATATGCCTAAGGGACGGAGGGATGACAGAGATACAATCAGGCAGAGATAGCTAAGGTAGATGTTTGGATGGATGGCTGGATGGATCGCAGGCTGGAACGTTTGGGTGGCGAAGCTTGGGCCTACGCGATGATGTCATCACGCTGACGCGCCTCTCTTTTGTTCCCCAACGGTGACATCGCCCAGCTGCAGCACCTCTCTGCTCAGTCTGCCCTGGTGCCCCTTCACAGCTTGTACTATCGGTCCCAAAACAACGCAATGCAAGATAGGGTAAGATACGATACGATACCTAATATCAACAACATTATACTACTCGTAGATCCCCTACTTCAGGCCCCAATACCCGTCCCACGCAGAAGGTACCTCCGCCCCCCTTCTTTCCGCAAACTTCCGCCTCGCTCCCCATCTCCACCACCTCACAAGTCCCACCATAATACACACAATCACAAATACGATCGCGGTGGTCACGCCGAATGTAATGTATCCGGCTAGATCCCCATTTTCGTCTAGATGGTCGGCGTCCCCGTCGCGCGGGACACGGACGTTCGTCCCGAGTAGACCTGGTGATCAGCTAGTACTCGGTGTACGCATTGCAGCGTGCAGCAATCTCGGGTGAGATCGCGGAGGAGGTTGGCAGATGAAACTTACTGGTGACGAATTGCATTGGCAGTATTGAAATGGTAACGACAGAAAGTGCCAGAATGTGCTTTGCGATACCACCCCGGGTGATGTGGAACGAGACTTGGAGATGGGAGAGGTATGCGGGTTGACAATGCGAGAGGATGTATTCGTAGTGCATGAGTGACGTCTGAAGGAGGAGGATATGGTCTGCGGCATCAGCTTCGATCCACCTCCGACTGAACCAGCTCCTAATGCTCCTCAAAGGCAAGTAAGAAGCAGGGGGAAAAGACAAGTACAAAGCAGGGGGATGGACCGAAAGCGAGGTCAGAGGTAAAAAGAACCGTGACTCACCCTCCACATCCCCAATATAAGCAGCCACCGCACTCGCCCCTCCTTCCCCCCTTCCCCTTCCTGCACCTCTGTACCCCAGCCCCCCACTCCCTTTCGCCGCGCGTTTCCTCATCCGCCCAATCACCTGATGTTTCGTCCCCAACAACCTCGTCAGGCCCGTCACGAGCCGCCTCAGATCCGTTATTCGGCGCAACATGGTCGTGCGGTCAAAGATCGGTTCGGTGGCGTGGTGAGACCGGTGCGTCGCTGAGGATATAGGAAGGAAGAAGAGGCGGAGGTAGATGAGAGAGTGAAATGCGAGGAGGAGGTATGGGAGGGGGTTGAACCGGGAGGGCGGGGCGGTTGAGCCTGGAAGAGGGGAGGTGGAGTTGCGCGGGAAGTAGGGGAGGCGGGGGAGACGGACTATGGGTAGTCGGGATCGAAGCCGTGTACGGAGCGAGATGGCCGTTGTGGCTGTGGCTGTCAGGCCAGAAGAGGGTGTCGAGCGACGGGTGATCCCTCCGAGTCCGAAGATAGGGGGTGACTTTTCACTCATCTCCACCTCCTCCCGCTTCTCCTGCTCCGAACCCATCCCCACCTTTTCCCCATCCGATACCCCCTCTGGCTGGTGCGTAACCACCTGGACCCGCGGTACCGCCGCCCTCGGATCGACGCTCGGATCAATCGTCAACGAGTCGATATCGTCCACCTCCCCGTCGACATATCGGATGAGCGGGAAAAAGGCGTCGACAATAGAGTCGATAAGACCGTGTGCAACCCAGTCGGAGGTATGTTCCGCTCCGGCCCCGCCTGCGAGCGAGAGGATACGATCTCGGACGCGGATGGTGTGCTTTGAGATGTCTTCGTAGTGGAACTAAGAATCAGCAAAGCCTTACGCTACAGATGTTTGAGGCGGAGCAGTACTCACACTGACGACCCCATCCTCAAATACCGCCAGATACACATTCACCGCTCCGACACCTACACCCTCCAGCCCCTCCCTCCCCGGATTATCCTCCACAATCTCCACCTTCTCCCCTTGTCTCCCCGCTAGCTTCCCCACTGCTCTTCCCATCCCCCATCCTCTTCTACGCCCCTCCTTGGCCTTCTCATCCGTAGTAACCAGCTCCGGACTACCCGTGCCAGTTCCCGCAGCCTTCTCCTTCTCATGCGCCGTTCTCCCACTATCCCCGGACAAAGCAGGACTAGGCACCGCCTTCCCCAGCCCCCCAATACTAGCCACCGACCCCGTTCCCGGCGTATACTTGAAATACGTCTCGTCCAGCGCCCGGACAACCACAAAATAGTATCCGAGCTTATCAAACATATCGAGCTTTTCCCTCGGATCTTGCTGGAGGACATCCTCAAGCGTGAGCGGGTGTAGCGAGAGGAGTTCGCCGATATCCCGGAGATCTTCCCATGTGGGGCACGATACGTCGAGCCACCATGCGCCCTGTGCTTGGCCGGGTGGGGTCGGGATGGGGTTGGAGGGGAAGGAGGAGACGAGACCGGTGAGGTTTGGAGCCGAAGAGGGGGAGGGGAGGTGTAAGAGGTCAGAAACGGATTTGGGCTTCGTGCCGTTCTGTAAAGGCGGGGAGGATAGTGGGGAACGGCCGAGCGGGGTGGCGATCCCAGAGTGGAGCCGGACGGGGACTGGTGGATGGGCGAAAGAGGTGTGGGAGCGGTGAGCCTGTGGACGACGAGGTCGACCGGGAGCGGATCCGCCTCTAGAAGGTGCTGGGGTCTGGGTATCGATACCAGCGCGTACCCGTAGTCCTTTGATACTGTCCAAAACCCCCGGTAGACTCGGCGTGGAGATGACTCTATCTCCTCCTCCTTCGCCTTCCGGTAGAAGAAGCACAAACTCTCTCTTGCGAGGTATGTACTCTCGCCGCGGTGCGTCCGGCGTACTATCGACCGAGGACCGCCGAGTCAGAGTCCGCGTGATCCGCCGGCTCATCGACAGTCGTCGCCGAGACGTCTGGTTCCGCAGAGGAGGCTCGAGCGATTGCGTCCTGTCGAGCCTTGAGCTGGACGCAGAACTCGCAGAGCTCGTATCGCTCCCCCGTCGCATACCTATCCTCTCCCCCAATCTCTCAAGAGCAGCCACAGTCTTCCTCCGACCCCTCTCGAGATCGCTGACGATACTCCACGTCGACCCGCTGCTCGAGCTCTCGAACGTCACCGCCTCATCGTCCGTCTCTACCTTCTTCTCCACCGGGACAGTCGGGTCCAGTACCGCTCCTCTATACACGTCCCCTTGGCCCGTCTGCCATCCGCCCCGACTCGGTCCGGCGACTGACGAGGGTGGACCAACCGCTGGGGCCCCATGCCGCCGTTTCCGCCTGAGCTTGGCCGGCGTGAGAAGCTCCGCGAACTCGGGTCTGGGGCTGCGTGGTGTAGGCTGAGGATTGGGGGACCGATTCAGGATAGGCGAGAGGGGAAGTGCCGGGGGTGGGTCCACCGTTGGGAACGAAGCTGGGACCGCAGGGGCCGGCGTGAAGGCGATGACGGGCGAGCGGGCGGCCATCCTGCTGACTGATAGATCACGGAGTCATGGGAGGACGACGAGGTTGAGGATGCGGTATGGACCGGGGCCGGCGTAGCTGTCCATCGGTACGGGGTTGATTTGCGCGAGATGGGGTGGAGAAGGGGCAAAACGGGACCGTTTTCGAAGCGGGAAATTCGAACAAGTAGCTGGGAAGCAGCTTGCTGTTTATCGGAGCGGATCGCAGCTCACATCCAGTCGTGGATAGCAGTGGGGGATGGCCGAGCAAGAGAAGAGCAAGAAGAGATGGGGTAGATGGTCAAACGCCTATTATTGACTGGCAAAAATAGACTTTCCAATAACAGCACTGATCTGATTAGCGGAACCTTTTTTATGCCGCACACACGTGCGAGATCAGAGTGACGTAAGGTGTTTCAGAATGTGCATCTGAAACATGTACAGCCACACCGGCGTGTCGCGAGGCTGGAGGACCGCATGCAAGGCAAAGTCGTCTTCAGATCTGAGCGGTCAGCCAAGCTCGAACATTAAGCACGAGGTCTCAAAGGATAGCGTAAATTGTGGAAAAAGAAAGGAGATTTGCTCCGACTGGGTGAAAAGCTGGCCATATCTCCACACAAGCCCTCTCTTTCTTCCCCCTCTCTCTTCGCCTCTGCCTCGGCCCTACGACCTCTATCCAAGCGAGCTCACATTACAAGACTCATCCGCAACATCATGGAAGATATACCGATGTCTCATATCTTCTCTCCGAGGCCACCCACAGGCACTCGTCAACGCCCACCCTTCACTCTCGTCGACCCCGACACCACCTCATACTCCCTGCATGCACCCGATGCGCCCACGGAGAGGAGTGGCGCGGGGTGCTTGGGAAGCCTCTGCAAGTGTATCGGATCTACGTCCGACACATCCGCCAGGGCGGCAAAGTCGAACGCCGAACCCTCGGACACGTTCATCATCCTGACGAGTCCCGGGCGTGTTCCTCTCTTTGTCGAGCTGCGCGCCAAGGATGCCATCGCCATCCGGGATGCCAATGAAAGAGACACGACATCTCACGAGCCGGAAGAGGGCAAACTCTCAACTTTGCGCTCGGACTTCGACCCGGCGTGCAGTGAGGCCATCCGTTGGATCGAGGCGCAGCTCCGAGTGCAACGGGTCACGATCACGGGTCAGCAGACTCAGCAGATCGAGGGTACTCAATGATGACCTGGGGATTTTTGGATGCACATCATGATTCCTTCAGAAAGCACCCGTCTGAATTTCTGGTACACAGCAGCTAGGCGGCACATGTACTTTCCGCCCGCCCATGCAACTTTACCGGTCATGTCTGCCTGGATTAGGAGCTGCTGCCCCGGACCAAAGGATAACCAGTCACGGAGAGGAAAATGCCGCAGAATTCACTGTTCGAGCATTTCGGATCTAGATTGCAGACTCGCTTCTCTTCAGACAACATAGGATACGCCTAATTATGCCGCAGCAGGAATTGCGCGCAGGCCATGCCAAGTGCTCACACATACATGGGTGACCAAGGACGATTCCCCGCCTTTCCGCCATGTCGACTTCCACGCTCCGACAGCTTCACACGCGTAAGAGCACTGCCACGCCAGGTCACTCAAAAGGAGACAGAACTCCTGAATATGGCGGTACAGGGCATCAAGTGAGTGGCGATTCCGAATATGCCAGCGCTGCTGCAGGCTGGGGTGTTATAAGGTGAGACTTCTGCCCCCCTCTTTTCCTCTTTGTCGCTTTTTCCTAAATACCACTCGCCACACCAGAACCACATCCAGCTTCACCATTATATCCTCTTCACATCTGTACTCACGCATACCCTTTCAGCGCCACACCTGACTGTCCTACCACCTCGACCATACGTCGCCATGTCCTCCCCACCCACTGACTCAACGCGCGAGTTCACTCTCGGCAGCGGAGGAAGCCGGATCATCGACTGCACATTGAGGATCCCAGACGAGCCTACAGGTCTGGCATGGTTGGCCAGCTGGTTCGTCACCGGCAAGTAACCCAAGTTGACGCTCTCGCAGTACGTCGGCTACGACACCGACTCTGAACACAAGAGGTATAGGTTCATGCACAGGCACGCCGAGCTGAGCCGGTCTGAAGCACGGACTGTCCTCGATATTCTCGCCAACGACACGGCCTTCGATCTCCTCCCTCCCCGCCATGACGCAGAAAACAGCGTCACCATCCACGATGTTGGTTGCTACGACGACCTTCATCGGCAATCACCTTTTTAAGATCAGGGAGAGTATCGCCACTTAAGTGCGGGCGGGCAACGAGAAGTGCAGCTCTTTCATGACCCTTCCCAAACATTCAGCCAGCCAGTCGGGCATCGAGTGCTTTCTCTCCATCCCTCCTGCTGCGCCCGGCGAGGCTGCCGAGACTGCTGACACGTTGGCCAATCCTGCGTTGGGGACGTCCGTCTGGTCCAGGGCTTTGAATTGGTGCGCCAGTCAGCTACCAGCCCCTTTACCACCTGACGTCAGCCCCTCGATCGCCTTCACCCAGAATCCAGGTCCAGACGAGCAGTACACTGCAATCACACTCGACCGAGACCAGGCGAAGGCGATCGAGACTGCCGCTGCGGCTACCGAAAAGGACGAAGTGAACGAAATTCTTGGTGTCCGCACCGTCGAGATCATGTTCAGCGAGCTGTGCGAGGAGCTTGACAGTGCCACAGTCGGGTTCCTTACGGAGGAGGTAGCGAAGGCGAACCCAACGCTGGCGACCGCCATCGCCACCATCTCTGCTGCTTCGAAGAGGCCACGTGAACGATAGCACTTCTGGGTGATGGCAAGGCGAACCGGTCGCGTGTGTGATCTGTCCAGTTGTGATGCATTGATTGTATTGACCAATCCCAATCGTAAACCGAGCGCAAGCACAGAATTCCATGCCATTGCCAGCAAAGTAGTAGGGGAACACAGATTAGCTAAAGGTGATGACGGCACACTCCGGCATTGACAGGTTCGTGACAGAACAGCACAGAGGTCGACATACCGGGCTGTGACTCTAAAAGCTGGGCTCAGAATCCTCGACTTTCCTCCTCGTTCTTCCAGTCGCCACTTTGCCTCCCAAGCATCGAACTTTCCAGGTGGGGCTGGTCGCTTCGAGTGGCAGTACTAGAGTCGAGGACATGACGCCTATCACAATGTGAGGCATGGTCTACAGAAAGGATGCCCGACGCTCTCTTGGCGCGGTGCAGAACAGCAAAAGAGCGTCGTTCAGGGGTATGTTCTAGGCTTGGCTAGACATGGCCGTCGCAGGGGGACATAAGGGGGCCACCTAAACGGGATCATTCTCACTCTCTCCCAGGCCATTCTACACCATTGGCCCGCAGATCTTCTTACCCGCCGACCTCGTATCACTCCCTCCACCTTCATCATGCCCAGTACAGCACCATCGACCTCCACCCAAGACGAGCTGACCACCACATCCAACGCCAGCCAACCCGCTTTCGGTGGCGACACTGTCGACTGCGCCTCGTGCCTTCCTCTCTACCAGACAATGACGATCAGCCCAGACCCACCTGCGTCAATGTGGTCGGAAACGACATTGTGGGCATCAAGCTGGTCCTCCACGCCCCAGCCCGCGAGGACGCTGGCGGTCAAACCAATCTTGTACCTCCGTCGCCAAGATCCGAAAGGTGAACGCCCCACGGGGTACCACATGCTCGACCTCACCATCGACGAAGCTGCGGCGCTGGAGGAAGCCGCCCATCGCTGCCGCGACAACAACGGCGATAGCCTCGTTACCCAGAGGACTTCTGCCCCTTTCCGTATCGTCAACGTGCCGTTGGAGAGCCTTTGCCAGTACCTGGCGACCGAAGCCGCGCAGCATCTCATCAGTGTGGTAGAGAAGGGCACCAAACTCTGTGGTAGCACCACGAACAAGGAAATCTGGCCGGACGGCGGTCGGAGTCACGTCTCAGCTGAGTCGCAATCGACGGAACAGAGCTGTAGACCGAGCTTCGATGTCAGCGGTTTTGTGCGGATGGCCCCCTCCTCCGCTTCAGGCAGTGGCGCGTTGTTGCATCAGTATAGCTGTTAACGGTGATCATGAGCGATACTCAGGTTGAGATGGACCCAACGTGAAACAGATGCAAAGATCATACATGACTGACCCGAGTTGTATGATTACGCAGACCATGCCCCAGCTGGATCAAACAACATATTGACGAGGTCGACGCTATCCGCATCCAGCTGCATATACTCATCCATCGGCAACGACAAACCGGCATCTCTCGCGACCCCTTGCAGCGCGCCCCCGATACGTGCCGGAAAGAGATCGTCCAGTGGCGAAGCCGTCAAAATCTTGTCGAACGCGAGCATGATCTGGCGGAAGAGGCTGGCGTACTGATCTGATAGTCGGTACCGGCGCGCCAGGTCCTGCAGGAATGACAGGCATAGCTGAATATCGGTGTCGCCTTGAGTGGTCGTAGCCGCATCGGCACATGTAGTCCCAGCCCTGGTGGTGTGAGCTGCGGCTGACTTAGACTTACCAAGAGCAATATAGCAGCGTCAGGCCTGACAGGAAGACACCAACATAGCCTTCCCATCCTGGGCATATCCTCCCCAGAGTCCCGGCCTGGAGCGCGAAATGTGCGATACGTATCGTGTTACGGCTCGCGCTTAGGCATATCTGCATCGCATCCGCCGCCGGAGTGGGAAAGCTCGGACTGGGGCGATGTAGGACCAGCACGGCGTGATTGAACAGTAGCCGAAAGACGTCTTGTTGAGCTGTACCGGGTTGGGCGTACTCGGAGACGTCGGCTTGCCAAGCGATCAGGCGGCCCTGGAGCTCGACAACTCGGTTGGTCGTTTCCTCTGGAGACATGGAGGGACTGCCTTCGGAGCGACTGAGCATCAGCGAGAGCAGCCAGTAGACTCACGTAACGTATACACATTCCAGGATATCGCCGAGTAGCGCTCGTTGTCGGACGAGATACAGCAACGGGCGGATGTCGATGGCGGGGCTCTCTCCGCCAAAAAACCGCTGCAGACTGTCCGGAATATAGTCGTATAGTATATTCGGGTAGGGAACATCGATAGCTGCATCAGCTTGGTGCTGCTTCAACTCACCTTGATTCCGAATGCCAAGAACGCGCCCAGTACCAGTTGCAACTCTGCGCTCGATAGCGTACATGCTCCTGACTCGTTAGCTCCGCCTTGCGCCGCTCCCAACTACTCACCACCAGACCCTACGCCTGTTCTCCCGCTCCCCCTCCGGCATATCCCACTTGTACGAGTTTCTCGTCAATCCCAGCGATATGCCCAGCCGTAGGCCGAATCCGGCAAGCTGCCACGCATCCGCTGACACCGCTCCGCTTGCTGCCCATCCCCTTGTGCTCCATAGACAGCACATACCCGCCGCGCGTACCGCATCTAGTCCGGCCTCGGCAAAGACGGCTGGGAGAAAGGCAGCAGCGGCGAGGTAGTACTCTTCTGGGCTATGCGGGTCGAGTAAAGGCAATTCGGACCGGTCAATGCTTAGAGCTCCGAGAGCGTAAACGAGGAAAAGGCTGGCGGGAGCAAAAGGCGTTGGTTGTTCTGGCCTGGAGAGCGCGACGCGCTCATACACCGCTGTGATTGAGATGGCAAGGGTGGAGAGGTCGAGAAAGGGGTAGAAGGGGTGTATGATGGAGAGGTAGGCTTGGATGTACCGGGAAGCGAGCGGCGATGGAGGATGTGCAGCTCGTACCCGGGTAATCAAGATAGGTGGGTCAGGCCAAGGGGATGGGGCGATCTCGTGGTGATATAAGCGTAGTACCGAGGCGACGAGAGCTGCGATAGTCACGCCCGCCATGCTTCCAGCTGCTGTCAGTCAAAGCCTGACAGACAGCTTACTATATGAGCCCGCTCCTCGAAGACTGAGAAGTCCAATCTCCTCGACTACCGTATCCGACTTGCGCCCAGCTTCTGAGCCGAACTGCCTCGACCCCAGCTCCGTCCCTGTCCGGACCTTGGTAACCAGGCCGCCAGCTCCAGCTTCGACCACATAAGCAGCCTCGACCAGCTTCTCCAGCCATCTGACCCTGTCCTCGAGGTCCTCCACATAGGTGTCCGTCCACATGATGCACTCGGCAACGTTGCATCCGGGCAGCTTGCTGCGTCCGCAGGGGACGCAAATCGGTTTGGAGCCATCGCATTTGACCTTGCGCTCTCGGCAGTTCTTGCATGCGCCAACGAGCTTGCTGTTGCCGCTCAGGGTTGATATTGAGGCGGACATGAGTATGCTGAGTTATGAGATAGGAGGCGGTGGGAAGAGTTGAATTGAGGATCCATCGCTATCGGACTGGTCCTTTCGGGGGGGGATGGGCAGTCCGTGCGACGAGGAATGCGGAGTTGCGGATTCAGCCAGCCTCTTTCCCACGGCCGGGAAACCTAGCTGTCTCTAGCCAAAGCATATATGCAAGAGATTCTAGAAATTGTACACCGCGAATCAAACCTATGCGCACAGTCCAAACCGCGTTACAACGAAAATTTAACTACTCAGTAAGAATACCTATAGTCCTTGTTGACCTTGTCTGTATCGCCCGTATTGAAGGCCGTCTCTACAACCGTCTGTCGATCCAGATTAGGCACACCATACAGCCGGTCCCTGCGCTTATTCTCGGAGTACGCGATCGCCCAATATGCGCCACCGCAAAGAAACATAACTGGACATGAGCAAGACTCTTGCAGAATGATCAATTGGGCCACTCACTTGCAAAGCAGACCATCATGGCATAGAGACCGAGCTTGTAGAACGGCGCCTGGTTCGCCAAGAATAGTTGAGGCCCGACTACATTCCCAACCGCATACGCGACAGCGACAGACACGGACGCGAACGCCTTCTTGGTCGTACCCGAGGTATTCGAGGTGACGAGCGAAAGGCAAAGTACCCAAGGCACATCTGGGAATCAGCCTCGTCTTGGTCGTTGACTCACTATAGAAACCCATAAGATAGACACCGGTAAGGGCACCAGCACGCTGTGTAACCGGATCAAGAGCTAAAGTCAGCTTGGACACCTAGGAAGACTTACTGTTGATGAGGATGGCGCCGACGAGAGCCGGTAGACAGGCGATCATCCATAGCAGACACCGGATGTTAGGGACATAGAGGGCGATAAAGGAGAAGATGATCTGCCCAACAAGTGCGACGGCAGCTTGAGGGGTAGCCATAAGGGTCGTGGTTTGCTGGTCGTACCCAAAGCCGGCGATGATCAGCGGGTTGAAGTTGGTAATACCGGCGTTGGTGATCGACTGAGCGATGACAAACAGGCTGCACGTCAGCGGGTGTGATGACAGTTCTAAGGGCGCTACCTACATGACTACCCAGTACTGAGGCTGAGTAATGGCCTCGAGGCAATGGCGCGGGTTGAAATTCTTGCTGTCGGCGCCCTGCTGATTCCCGGCTAGTCGCTCCTGTGCCCGTTCCTTTTCTCGCGCCTGATGTATCAGCTTCTCGATCCAATAGGCTATTCGCACAAACATACAGTCAGGAACCAAGCGGTCCCAGGCCGGTCTGGTAGCATTATGGTGACGAGGATGCCGACAAAGACAGTCACCGCGCCATAGATGAGGAAGATGTACCGCCATGTCGCCAGATTGCCCTGAATATGTCCGACTGGAGTTAGCCTTGCTGGAGTAAGCACTTACTTGCGTAACTCAGAATACCGCCAAAGATGCCCGCAAAGGTGTTGTACCACAAAGCAGTTCGCAATGCCTGCTCTTCTCTCTGACTGTCAGCTCAGCAGGTATTTTAGACTCACCTTCCACCACTTGGACTGGATGATCATGAACGCTGGAAGGATACCCGCTTCGAATACACCGAGGAGGAACCGGACTGTAGCGAGACCAGCAAAGTTGTTGCAGGCGGCCATGGAGAGGATGACAATGCCCCAGCAAGTGGTGGCGACACCGACAAACATACCGGTGTGAACGACGTTGACGAGCCAGAGGCACGGAATGAGAGCACCGAGGTAACCAAAGTAGAAGATCGAGCCGAGCCAGGAGTACTCTTGGCCTACGAGACCGGTATCTTGCCGCATACCAAAGACGGCCGCATAGGCCATGCCCTACTCATCAGCTCTGTCTTGTAGGAAGGACCTACATTCTTATCCAAAAACTCGAGGGTGGCGACGATAGTGACCAGCGTCAAGACCACACCGTCAATCTTGCGCAGGATGCGCTTGTCGAGTGCAGCATCCTCTTCGGTCGTCTCAACGGTCACGACTCCGTCTGCCTTTTCGTCGAGAGCTTCGGTCATGAGCGTGTTTTCTGCGTTCATCATGGTCGATACTGGACTTATTGAAGGGATGCATACGGGCTGGAGTGGGCGTGGGGATACATATAGTCTAACGACTAGAAGCTTGAAGGAGCAGGAGCGAAGGAGCGATATCGGACAATGCGAAACCTTCGGGCCGCCCGAGGATCGACGGCATGGAGAGAGCGAGTTATGGCGTGCGACAATATTAATGACGAGCCGCTCTGTGTCCGCCTCTCACTCCTGGAATTCCGCACCCCGAAGTGGTATACCGGCCTATCGGAGGCCGGCGCCAGTTGATAAGGCTCGGTGACGCCGAAGAGAAGTTGATAAGGCTCGGTGACGCCGAATAGAGCTCGGAGTTTGCGAGGCAGCTGAAGGCGATATCAGGTGGTGCTTTTCCCAGGCCGACTGACCGTCTACCTCTTGTCTACCTCTGATCCGCCTTTCATCACACACTTAAAATGGTCGCTGCTACTCACGCCGTCGTTCCCGACACGCGCAATGCCTCCATACTCATCGGTATGCGCGATGGCATGTCTGGCGAGTTCCGCCTCGTCCCGCGCGAGCAGGCAACCGTGTCCGTCTTTGACAGCGCGTTCATGCTGGGCGATGGAATCTGGGAAGGTATCCGGTCGAAACAGGGTGTTATCCAATTCGCCAAGGATCACCTGAACCGGTTATTCGAGAGCGCGAAAGCTATGTGTGAGCTACCGCTGGAGATGGGAGCTAACAGTAGATATGGATCTGGGCTGTACTCGAGCCGAGCTGCTGGATATGATCCACCAGACTACGGATGCGAACGTAAGTCTCACGTCGATGTGGTCGGGTAACAGCTGATCTGGCAGGATATGCAGACATCAGACGACGTTCACATCCGGCTGATGGTCTCTAGAGGGTAAGTCTAACCTTGGCAAAGCTGACATCTAGCTTGAAGAGGACACCCCATCAGAACCCCGCATCAACAATCGGCGTAAGCTAACACCTTCTGGGTTCTCTCGCTTTGCGATCCGTACTGACGTCCAGCTCCCACTCATCGTAATCATCGCCGAGCACAAGCGACCCGACCCATCTATCAGCGAGCGCGGACTCAAGCTTATGACTGTTCATGTCAGACGAGGAAACCCCGATGTCAAGGACGAGATGTGAGTACAGCACAGGATGGAACTGATATTAGGTGGAACCACATGTCAAAGGCGACCGATATTCAAGCTTGTATCCAATCCAACGCTATGGGAGCGGACGAGGCGCTCATGCTGGACGATCGCGGCTATGTCAAGACCTGTAACTCCACCAACTTCATGATCGTCAGGGAGGGCTTGGATGACGATGCCGGAAAGCTCGTGATATGGTCGCCGACAAAGAACAACCAGATGCAGGGTATCACTCGCCGACGAACGATTGCGGTGTGTCGCGCGGCGGGAATCAAGGTTATAGAGCAGGACTTTTCTTTGACCGAGGCATACGGCGCTATCGAGGTAAGGCTCTTACGACTCTGCGTGACGCAGCTGACATTCAGGCATTCTGCTGTGGTACCTTCCCCGCCCAGATATCTGTGACCCATGTTGATGGCCGACAAATTGGAGGTGAGTCTCCAGCCCGACCACGCTGACTTCAGATGGAGTATCCCCTGGCCCTATGGTTTCACACATCAACAAGCTATACGCCGAGCACGTCAAGGCCGACATTCAGCGCGGACGCGAGGCGGTAGTGACGGAAGTCAGGGAGGCTGATCTGAGCTGGGCCAAGCGGATAGGAGCGGGCTTCGGCGGGCTCTGGGTGCCTGTAGCTAATGGCGAGCACTAGTCGCTCGTCTGCATTGTACTGATAAGGCAATTGCTTCACTCGAGCCGAACGGACATATATGACTTGACAGCCTGGTATCATGTGCTACCTCTGCTTCTGGTACAAGACAAATGAGCGAGGCGCCAGGATGTCAGACGGACTTTTGAGCAGGTTGGGTCGTCTGGGGTCCAGGTTGGGGGATCAGTACACTATCCTCCCAAGGCGGACCTGTAAATCTTGATAGATACCACATGCGTTAGTTTCGGCATCAGCATGATCTCCCTCTGGTCAATACACCACATCCGTATGAGATCCCATCAAGCTATAAATGACTAGATATGAGTAAAACAACAATATCAAAGAAAAAGCAAAATCGAACGTCCCCCTCACCCCTGTCTCCCCTGTCTGGCCCTCCCGCTCAGATCCCGTCTACTCTTAAAGATCATCGATCAACTCGGTACACCACCCACCATCCTCATCCTACCTCCCGCTCTCTGCCCCTCCTCCCCACCCAAAACGCCCGCCCTCCCCGTACCTCTTCTTACAATCGGCTCCATGACCCCCAACACCCCCTCCGCCCTTCTGAGCACCTCATACCGCTCCAACAGATCGAAAAAGTTCGCACTCTCCCTCGGTATGATGAACGCCGACAGGGCGCCTGGGACGCGAGTGGCCAAGGCATGAGGATTCAGATTGAGGGTTTGGAAGGTGTTCGAATGGGGATTGAGGGAGGCTGTGTAGTCTAGTGTCACCCTATTGATCAGCTTGGGGCCATGACGTACCATGCTAAGGAAAGACTCGCCGGAAGACACACCAAACCAGCAGGATCTGCATCGAGAACCACCATCCCCATTTCCCCCATCTTGCCCCTTGTTTCCCCGCTTGACCCGCTTGTCTGCCCAGCTGTCCTAGAGCTTCCATCCACGCCATCGCGCTCTCCTCTACCGCCGTCTGAGCTTCGACCGTAAGCTTGCGCGCGCGGTCGAGCTCAGCCGAGGCATCCCGGAGTGTAGTAGATGGACGAGGGAAGAGCCGGGTGATCAAGCGGGAAGTCAGGGATGTATCCCCAGCTTCCACTTCTGCCACACTCTCTGATCTGTCCGGCCTGCCGAGTGGAGATGCCACTTTGGGTGACGAGCCCTTCCGTTCCTGCTTGGCCGGAGACAGCTTGAGGCGGTGAACCGAAACCGAGGCCGAGGCCGAGGCTGACGCGTCCGCCCCGGAGCTCGCTTGAGACACGGACCAGTCCTTGTCCGTCTTTCTTAGCGGGGAGAAACGGACCGACCGCCCAGGCGTACGTTCGAGCCACCCAGGCGGGTGCGGGGTGGGCGCTGAGATCGTTTCGCCCGCTGCCGGTCGACTTGGGGTAGATACGGGTGGTGTGAGGGCCATGCCGACTCGTATGGGCGGTGATGGGAAGGTGCGGGAGTCGGCAGTGAGGAAGGAGGTGTCCAGGCGAGATTGGGATTGAGCGATAGAAGGAGGGGTATTGAGCAGGGACAGACCGCTCGAGTCGATGTCCGTGCGTCCCGGAGGAGAGGGTCGATTTGGAGCAGGGGACCGACGAGGAGCGATAGGTGACGGCGTATGTGCGATAGGTGACCGCCGTGTCTCCGCCAGTGGTGATGACGCCGGTGGTGGTTGAGGCGATAAACTCCCCCTCGCCGAGTTCCGACTTCCCGAACGAAACAGCCCCGCTCTTCTCTCTGACAGACTCCCCCCCCTTTCTCCTTCCTCCGGATCGTCTGGATCTGACCGATGGGGTAGCGAGACATCCACCGAGGTCTCTCGCCGATCAGATCGTTCGGCGTGGAGAAGCCTGGAGAGTCGACTCGAGTCCTCCCTGGATCGATGTGGAGAGGTCGGCGATGCGTGCTGAGTAGGATCAGCAGGCCGTTCCGTCCGATCATGGCTCGTATTCCCCTTCCCTATCTCTCCTTCCTGTCCCACATCCTCGTCTTCCCCACTTCCGCTCTCACTTCCCCACGGTCTTTCGAGTCCAGCTTCTTCCTCTTCATCCAGGTCCAAATCAACCCCTTGCCCCGCTTCGAGATCCTGCGCAAATACCTCCGAGTCGTCTGGCGCTAGCTCGACGCTGTAGCGCCGAGGCGTCCGAGCTGGACGGGAATGCGACGGTATAGGGCGATGAAGGGATTGGGGATGGTCCTCGTCCGAAGATGAGGGAGAAGAGGACCGGCGAGGTGTAATATGACGACCCGCAGAAACTGGTCTGCGCGTTGACAGAGGATGCGGATCCGGCTGCGGGTTTGCGCGCTCCTTGCCTTTCCGCGAGGTAGAGGTAGACGAGCGGAAGGATGGCGGAGACCGAGATGAGGAAGGCTCGGCTGGATAAGTGTGCGAGGGCTGAGCGATAAAGGCTTCGAGGGGGGATGGGGAATGGGCAGGGGATGAAGAGGTGTGGAGGGGCGGAGAGCGGGATGTGCCTGATCATAAGCTGGCTGGCTGCAGAAGGGTCCAGACGCTTCAACCTACTATTCTGCAGAACGGCGGCTCTGGAAGATATCCTATGCTTCGAGGAAGTGCTTGGATCTACTGTATCAGCGCAGAGCTCCAGCGGAGTTCAAGTCGGTGAGTCAGGCAACATACCTGAAGTCTTTCGCGCAGAGTGGCGGTATGGGTTGGTGATCCGCACTGGCGGAGTCGGCGGACTCTCCTCTTCCTCCTCTCCAGCTGACGCTCGCTCCAGCGAAGAGTCTCCCGCCTCCCTAGTGGGCGGATATACCCCTATTCTCCTGCCTTCCCGCCAATTCGCCCTTCGATACCCCCCTTCCGCCGCAAGAGGTGGTGATCTGGCCCGCGCAGCCGGCTGAGTTGGCGGTAGCGATGTAGGCCGCCTAATCGGACTCGTACCGATAGCGAACGGGTCTGCAGGGGTAGCCGCCTTCGCATCACCCTCCATCTGCGCCAAAAGACGCTTGAGCGCATCGGCCGGCGTCGGGCCTGTCTTCCCCGCCCCTCCTTGGCGAGCCGGCTGAGCCTCATAGTCGCTATCCAGCTCTATTAGAGGCGCGTCCACCACCGCCCCTCTTTTCTCCCTGTGATCCTCCTTGTATCCTCCCCGCTGTCCCCATACCCCTTCCTCCGAGCTGGGCAAGACAGTCGCCCCGTCGTCCGCATCGCTCCATATGGACGTGACTGTACTTGCGCTCCCTCGTGGAGCCATCGACCGGGAGATATAGGGTGTTGGATGTGACCAGGAGTCGAGAGAGTCTAGGTCAGGGGTAGTGGAGCTTGTCGATTGGCGAGAGCGGGACCGAGGGAAGGGGAGCATCGATCCTCAGCCTGTTAGGGGAAGTAGGTTGTGTGTTTCGCAGTGGATTTCGACGCTGTCGGAGTGTACAGCTCATATAGACGGTTACAAGGGTGACAATGAGCGGGTCAAGATGTGAGTATAGGTAAGATCATGATAGATATAGGTAACAGGTTAGCTGAAGTGGACGCGCTGTTGAAGGTGGTGGTTTATTTGTTTTGACGCGTCAGGCACGGCCGGAACCTATTCTGAAACCACGTGGGGCAGCATTCCTCAGCTATTCGCCACCCTCTTCGTGAGCCACCTGCAGGCATCGAGCATGCAACCTAGAGTTGTACTAATGTCTGCGTCTGTACCGAGCAACTCCTTGCATCATGTACAGATATGTTGTCCGAGAAAAATCCGAACCGAAGAAAGCCCCCACGGCAGAGCCCAAAAAGCAATGTTGTACACCTCCAGGAATTCAAACACCACCATCTTCAAGCAGCCCCCCTCGCGGTGATGCTGGGAGGCTCGACAGACCTGTATACCGTGAATTCCGGCAGGTCTGCGTTCCCTGTGTCTGGATCAGACACGATCGTGGCCGGGAGCAAGCTCCGCAGCAAAGGTGTCGCTCCGCTCAAGTAAGCCGTCCAGCTTGCCTGATCATATCTGAACCAAATTAGCCCAGTGGAACATTGGCGACCAGAAGTATCCCTTCCGGTGCAAAGACACCATCCTTGAACTGGCAGAGGGTCGGATTGGCTCCCAGGGAACGCAAGCGCCTTGTGGACCGTACCAGACGTGGGGTCTCGCCACTGATGAAGGATCGCCGTGACCTCGCTATCAGTGGAGTGGGACATGGTAGTAATCAGAGGAAGTGAAGTGAGTTGAAACCGTAAGCTGTGATGTAGGCAGGGCGGAGTGTAGGCGTTGGGGAAGAAATGGAGGGACCTAATGTGTTGAAGAGTGAAGAGGGGAACTGATATGGGTCCCGTGGATCCCGCTCTTCCTATGTCTTTCTGTAGAGCTGCGCTAATGAAGCGAGAAACGTTTAGCCTTCCTTGTCGAGTGTCTCCGCGTCATTTCACCTAGAGTTGTCCTGCATCGCCTCCCCCTTTTCAAGTGAAACGCAAGATCGACCACTTCACAGAGTATCTCATACTGTAGGCCGTGCTCAGGGAATTGCGCTTCACCACTGAGCGCATAGCATGTTGCCCTTACTAGTACTGTGAACTGTGAAATGTGTTCGGTCGGATACAAGGCCGCGGCCTGTGTTTCGTGACTCTAAAATCAGGAAAAACCTCTTCGATCGGGGCGCCGTGGCATGACCACTAGTTCCCTTCCGAGCCGCTGTGAACTTGCTCAGGTCAAAGAGGAATCGCTGAAAGGAGGGCCTTAAACCACGCTTCTGTAGCAGTTGTATCTCTCCACTTACAGGCGGCGAGCTCGCGCTTGTTAACGGGTGTATGTCTCTACTCAGGATCTGGGGGGAGGAGTGTCAGCCGCTCGTGGTATATGGGGCCCACGAGGACAGCCAGGGGGGAAGTGTCGATGATCAAATGATGGCATGATGAGAACTATCGAGATGAATCACATATGAGCAAGTCAGAGGAGTTTGAGTCATCGATTCAACTATGTATACCGACGAACAAGTACATCATGCATACGAGTACGACGACGACAATACACCTATAGACAGCCTCAGAAGCTCAGATTCTCCGCTCCCCCCTCAGCTCTCGAGCCCAGTCCCGCCCGCTGACTCCTTCCCGCTGTCTTTCCCCCTGATGTTGCGCACCATAGATCGGACGCTGTTCACTGTGAACTCGAGCAATTGCTCAAGAACCCCAAGCTCGTCGGACTCTTGATCGGCTATCACGTTGAAGATGTCCGACATCTCGTCTGGCAGATGTCTGCAAAGACTGGCCCAGTCCTCGTGAGCGAAATTCTCCTCATCCTCGACCTTGTTATCGTCCCCGTCGCCTGCGGGCTGCACCTCCGTGAGCTTCAGGGCCGATAGGATGGATCTTCTGGCCTCCTGTGAGATGGGCTGAGGCACACCCCTTGTGCTGGGCTCGAGAAGCAACGTAGACCGCTTCGTGCCGCTCTTGTCGGTCGTCGTGGACACTTCACAGCGGGTGGTGGCAGCCGAGGTGGACATGGTGTGATGGTAGTCCGGGTTGGTGATTTGGTCTGTGCGCGGCGGGGTAGTGGTATGATGCTCTGTGATGATTTGAGTAAGAACCGGGAAGAGGTACGAAGAGAGAGCGTACGAAGGAGGCGCCCTGTATATATGGGCTGTTCACGCGACCCGGAGGCTCGTCGTGCGTCAAACGCCATACGGCCTGTTCCCCCTTTCACGTCGTCCCCTTTCTAGCCGTCACGTCATCGCACATCAGTCTGCTGGACAACGAAAGGTATATGAGTGATAGGCGTGCTATCATGTACATAGACATGCACTCGTCGTGCGTGGCGGTTGCCTGAGCTTGACCTGCATCGAGTTCGCCACCCAGCTGCCACAGCTGCTGCCACACTCGGTCGGTACTCGGTGGAAAGACATGCCGAGCATGCCGAGCTCGGGGCCGAACTGGGCCGCATTGGCAGGTGGAGGTTTACCAGCTCTTACCCTCTCCCTGTTCTCAGCTCTCATCTTAACCTTGTGCTTGCTCATACGCACTGTGTATACTACGAAGCTCCTCGAGGCTCATCATATCTGTAAAAACTATAATAAAAATGTCAAAGCCGCTTCGCTGGGGAATCATCTCGACCGGCGGAATCGCTACAAACTTCGCCAAGGTCCGATCTCCCCCTGTCCTGCCCCCGTGGGACCGCTTGCTGACAATTCAGGACCTCCTCACTGACCCCGCCAATCGCTCGGCATCTGATGTCAGCCATGTCATCAAAGCCATCGGGTCGCGCTCGGTCCCGTCTGCGCAAAAGTTCCTGGACATGCTGAGCTCGGCGGACGCGCCGGCGGACTGGGGAGGGAAAAATGGGAGTCTGGATGGGTGCAAGGCTCATGGGAGCTACGAGGAGGTGTATGCTGATCCTGTAAGTGTCTGTTGTCTCATTGGAACGAGAGAGCGGGATGCTAACAGGCAGAACGTGGATGTGGTGTACATCGGCACACCCCACACTCTCCACCACCGCAACACCAAAGACGCCCTTCTAGCTGGCAAGCACGTCCTGTGCGAGAAGCCATTCACGCTCAACATGGAGGAGCTAGACGAGCTGATCGCTATCGCCAAAGAGAAGAAGCTGTTCTTGATGGAGTGAGTCCGACTAACATCAGCTGGACCTGTAAAGAGATTGAGCTGACGAAGCAGAGCTGTATGGACCCGCTTCCACCCGATCATGTACGCCATCCAGGATGTCCTCTTCTCGGGCAAGCTGGGGAAGATCAAACGATTCCAAGCGGACTTCAGCATGAACTTCAACGCGGACAGTAAGCTGTCCCCCTCTTCTCCGTCGGCACGAGAGCTAACGCGGCAGAGCAACCTGATAGTCACCGTATGGTCGACCCCGCTCTCGGCGGAGGATCTCTCCTCGACATGTGAGCTCTCTTAGTTACGACTCTATAGATACAGCTGACAAGTAGGGGACCCTATCCCTCAGTATGGGCGATGATGACCCTCTTCAACCACCCCAGCAACAACAAGACCCCTCCTAACGTCCTTTTCACCCATCAAACCATCTACAAGCGGTCCAACGTCGATCTCAACTCGCGCTGGTTGCTCGAGTTCCCGGGGCTGGGCGGGGTCCAGGCGCTGTTGACGACGGATATGGCGACTTTGGGGTGTGGCGAGATGACTGCTTTGATTGACTGCGAGGAGGCGTCTCTGGCTATCGCTTGTAAGCTTTCCTCCTTTCTTCTTCAAGGTGGGGTAAGAAGCGCTGACAGGATAGGGGGACCCTTCAAGCCCGAGAAATTCTGGATCATCCCCCACATCGCCCGCAAATCCGGCAGCATCACCGAAAAGACGGAACATTCTCACCCGGTCGTTGGGAACTCGGGAATGGCGTATGAGGCAGACGAGGTGTTTAGGTGTCTTGCCAAGGGAAAGCTGGAGTCGGAGAGGATGCCGTGGGATGAGAGTAAGATTGTGCAGGGCTGGTTCGATCAGGTCAGGAAGGAGGGGACCTCGGCTTTGAAGGATATGAAGGGGACGGAGGGGCAATAGGCATGAAGGGGTGACGCAACGGGTATTGAGAAGTGCAGATGAGATCATGCATAGCCTTGTTTACGACACTCTCGAGTCTGACTATATATCCGAGAACAGCTCCGCCTGGATCATGAGAAGCGTTATGTTAGCATTCGGAAGGTAGGAACATGCATGATATGATAGCTATAGCTATGTACAGTTTGTCGTAGGGTAAGTACGGGGGATAGGGGACGGTAAGAGGCCACCCGCTCGGTCAAATCAGCTGCTGGACCCAGACCCTTCCTGAGCCTCCTGGGTCCAGAGCACCAGAGCCTGAAGAACCAACCTCGGGTCCATTTGGGAGATCCGGGAGGTCTGCTGCTGGACCGCATCAGCCATCAGTGTCCGAACGTGGTCTGCGGTCGCCTTTGTCTCTTTGCTAGCGTCGAGCGAGGCCAAAAGCTCATCAGGGTTGCCCTTCCCCTCAGCGTTGACTTTCATGACGCTCCGGATGTCAGTGTCATGGGTGGTCTCGAGTGGAGCCTTGAATGCAAACTCCCCAAACTTCATGTGCAGGGAAGTGGCGTTCTGCTCGCTACGGTCGAGCCAATACGTTTTGTTGGCAGCATTGGAACCTTGGGTGGGTGTGAATGTGGTCGCGGGCATGTCAGAGATCAGAGATGATATGTGGGTGGCTTGATGGTTCGAACAGGTGAGAAGTGTGATGAGAAAAGAGAAGGGCCGCGGGGGGATACGACCGGCTTATATAGCCCAAGACAGAAGTCCGCCACCGGCGTGAAACCCGCTCTCGATCTGCTGACCTTTCATACCGGGCTCCACAGCACGCCATCCACCACAAGCTCGGTGGCGTGCTCGCGTACGGAGCAGATCTGAAAGGTAGACTTGCAGTGTGACGTTGGAGCTAGATTGGCCGATCGACTAGCCGTGATTGCGTCAAGGGGTCAAGGTCAAAGGTGGTTAGCTTGCGGTGATCGCATGAGCTCAATGGCAAGAGGAGAGAAAGCCGGATATGTGAGTGGCAAAAGAGGCAAAAGTGAGAATACACCTGGGCGCTATAAGGCGTAGAGGCGGAGTACGTCCGCAGCGAGGTGAACGGGGTCGCGCGTTAACGGAGGAGATACAGTAGCGTCTCAGCCCAACTCTGTCCAAAAAATCTCACTCTGCCCCCTGTCCTGATGGGCATTTCCGCGCATGCCAGAACATCCGGTCTTGTGGGTCATCAGTATTTGTCAACCTAGCTTGTCAGGCCACGGGGAGTCATCTTAGACTCTGCGTCAGATCAGATAGGTACTTATAAAGGTCGAAGGCAGCATCGCGAGTTACATGGCTGTGAGTAAGAAAAGCAAGGCACATGGATTGCCTCATCTCCCCATGCTGGTTCTGCCCTACACGCCGCCCGCCTCAGAGGCATCCCTCAACATCTTGGACTGCCTCGCCTGCAAGTAAGCCGGGAAGCTTCAACCCCCAGCCCATCCCACTCATGACAGACTCAGCAGTCACAAGGCCACTGATATCCTCGCTGAGCCCATCATTTCGCGTCGCCAGCCGTCTGAGCAACTTGGGAAAGCTGCCGCCGTCAAAGTTCCGGGGGTCAGCTGCAGGCGGGACCAAAGTCCGGATGATGCCCAGCACCCGCTCGGTGATCTCGACGACGAGGACGCTGATTCCGCCAGTCACGGAGAGGTAGAAGTGAGGTTTGTCAATGCTAGTGGTGCCGCCCGTGCGCGATCGGCCTTCGGCTTTGCGGGTATCGACGCGGCAGGTCCATGAGGCGTATTGAGAGCCAGCGGTGTAGTCGTTGGTAGGAACGTGAGAATTGCAGATGGCAAAGCTGGACATGATGTGAGATCGCTAGGAGGGACGTAAGATGAGCTGAGAGGGCATCGCGAGGCGGTTTATATGTTTCGCGCTGTTCAACGTCCGCTCAACCAGCTACCAGACTTTCGGCCGGGCCATCTGGACTCCTTTCTCGAGATGGATTGAAATAGAGATGGCCCGAGGTAGCTGCTAGCCTGTCATGACCTAGCCTCTGCGGAGAGCGGGGGCTTCGGCCGACTTACTATATGTGACGGATGGCGGAGTTGGGCTGCTTGAGGTCGCGTGCGAGCTTCGGCCGAAGAGGACCGGAATGAATGTGAGGTGATCATTGGAGATGAGTTGTCAGCTAGGTTAGAGAACATCAGCTGTATCGCAGATTAGCAACCTAGCTCTCTCTCTCCCTTATGGCTGGAGAAGAGACTGTCCAAAGAAGGGATGGAATGAGAAGCAAGGCAAGCGTCGACGCGTCGCCACCCCGATCGCTGGGGACGCGACGCGACTTTTTGCGCTAAACTTCAGGGTCAGACCCCCGGCTCGGGTCCGTGCCTGAGAGCTTACTGCAGCTGAGACCAAATGTCTGCGACTCTGTATGCAATCCTGTTTTGAACCTGTCTCTCATCTTGTACATGGGGTCGACCTCTCTTGCTCACTTTTAGGCTCACTCATCTCATCTATCCCAGTCTCAATCGCCTACAGCGAGCCAAAGGTCTCGCAGCGCAGCTCAAACGGAGAGCTAGGCGGTAATCGCAAGCTTGGAAAGAGGTCCTTTACCGACCCATCTCTCTCGCCTTTCGACATCTACGCGTCTGTCGACTCGCTCGAGAGCTGTCCATATACAGAATACGGAAATAGCTGGTATCATGTCGGTCATCGACCCAAGGGAATTGAACGATTTGGCGGCGTTCGCAGGAAGAGGAGGATTGGGGTATGGCGTAGCGTGAGTTGGTGTTCCTTCTTGCTACCCCCTTCCGCCCGATCCGGGCTATATCGAAGATTCTCACCTCTGTAGCTCGCAAGCAGGACTATAGGCTGATCCCCAGTATGACCGACTGCGTCGCCGAGCAGCCCGACCAGCTCATGTACCTCGAAGGCGACTCACTCGTCCTCCTACGAGACCTAGGACCCATCCTTATTGCGTCCTGCGAAGGCGTCGTCGGGTGGGTCAAAAAGGACCACGTCAGATTTGACCGCCTTGCCTCTTCCTCATCGCCCACTCCATCCTCACCTACGTCAGCTCCGATATCCCGGTCGGAATCCGTCACTCCTCACGCGGACTTACCGCGCACGGTGGTCCACTCGCCTTCCCCGCCTATGAGCACCAAGAACCTGCCCCTGCCTATCGATCACGACGAGCAGGGGCGGAAGTTGTCCCTCTTGGCGGAGAGTATGGACGAGAAGGATAAGCGGGCGTCGAACCCCTTCGAGCTGGACAGTCCGCTCGGGACGCCCGGGGTGGATTCTGCGGAGAAGCGGTTCGAGGTCCCGCCTACTTCCGCGCCGGCGGAGGAGAAGCGGGCGATGGGAGCAGCAGAAGACGAGGAGGAGGAGTGGAAGAGGGAGTCGATGACTTCGGTGGATAGTAGCAATTTTGGCGGGATTGGCGGGTTCATGTTGGGCTCGCCTAGCCCGCCTATGGAGGAAGAGGGGGAGAGGAAGGAGATGCTGAGTGAGATGAATGGTAGTCCAGGGGTCCCAGGTCTGGCCAGTATGTCTCTCCTCCGCTGTCTTTTGGCTCTAGCTGACAGCTAGACTCGCCTATCACTCCCGGTCCATCCGCGCAGACTCCCCAGAGTGTCAAGATCACCACCCCCTCCTCCCCTCCATCCACGGACGACCTCTCACCCACCTCCGCCACCTCTGCCTCATCCCAGCCTCAAGCCCAATCACCCGGCGCATGGGACATATACGACTCGTACTCGCGGGAATCCATGTACGCCAAGCGCGCCTCGACCCGCCAGAGCGACACTCCCTCCCGCACCACCGTCAGCTCCACTACTGTCCCCGCTTCCATCGCTGAAAGCCCCGAGTTCGTCAACGTCGAGGGCAAGCGGAAAGAAACACCGAGTTTCCAGTCCACCATCTCGGCCTCGACCGACTCGTCCCCGAACGGCTCGGCCTACCGAAATAGCATGCTGTCGAATACGAGCTGGGACGACGAGGGGCGGGCGTTTGAGGCTGCGCGGCTGGCACTGCAGCGGGTGGGGATGGGGAGGAAGTGGGCAGATGATGGGGATGAGGATGATGACGGGGAGATAGGGATGGGCGGGAGAGGTGGGCAGGGCGAGCGCGTCATTCCTGGGGAAATGGTCATCTCCGAGGAGGCGGAAGACTCGGACAGCCGGCCATCCCTCGACGCGGCTAGCGAGATACATAGCCGGCCGTCCTCGCCTGCGCCGCCGAGACCTGCACGGCGGAGACCGGCCGGTCTTGATCTTGCTGCTGGCGTCGCGGATCTGCAGGAGGTATCGGCCGATCCGGAGCCAACGCCGTCTGTGTCTGTATCGCGAGAGGAGCCAGCGACGCCTAAAGCTCCTACACGGACGGGAGCCCGGAGTATATCCCCACCGTCACGGCCTATCCCGCCTGTCCCGGTCGAGCGGACGGACAGGGCGGAGCGGGACGATCGCGTCGGATCAGTCATGGAGCCGGTCACTCCCTCGGCGGTCCGGCGGGCGATGGACGATACGCCTAAGCGCTTACGGATCGCTAATCCCGATTCGGACGACGAGGGCGATGGCGGAGAGGAGACTGGCGCTGAGCGCGAGGCTAGTCTCCCGAGCGCCACGCAGTCGTCGGATGAGCATCACACCTCCATTGCATCTATCGCCAGTACCGAGCTCATCACCCCCAATCCGCCAAGCGAGGAGATGCTGCAGGACGTCAGGGTGCACACCTCTCCAGAGAGGATAGAGCGGAATGTCCCGGCGCCCGACACGCCCGATATCAAGATCCGGATGGACGCGGAAAAGCAACCCCTCCTGGACAGTCCGGTCCCGATGGACGAGTCGCCCCGGGCAAAGGGCAAAGTCCAACCGATGGTCGCGCTCGCTCTGCCAAGTACGGACTCGTCCCAAACTATCGCACTCCGTTCTCCCCCTCCACCCCCCGGTCCGCCGCGCCGACCCTCCCTTGCCCCGTCCTCCTCCTCCCCGTCCGTCGACAACGATACGCCCCTCCGCCGCCCGTCCGTCCCGTGGAACCCTAATTCCCCTGCCTCGCCGCATAGCGTCGACGCGACGCGCCAGGCTGTCGAGGCTGTGCGGAAAACGCCCGAATCGAAGCGGTCCCGCGGAATGACGCTCGTCGGGCGGATGGAGGCGGATCTGAGCCAGTCAAGGGGTCCTGTACCCATCACGTTCTTGATTGGGGATTCGGGCATGCCGGGGTCGTTGGCGATCTCCCCGCCTATGCCGTCCCTCTCCGGCCTCGGCTTCCCTAGTAAGGGCTCGAGCGGCCGGATCTCGCCCTCTGGCCTAGTACCCAACTCGGGCTCGGGTTCAGTATCGGGCCCAGGCTCGGGGCACGGCATGAAGAAGAGCGGGTCGATGCAATCGACACTCGCTTCCCCCATCATGGATATCGATGATCCGGCACTCGCCCTGAAGATTACACCCTCCGCTTACCCCGCCATGCGCAGCGCTACGAACCCGCTCCCTCCAACGACGTCGGAACCGTCCCAAACGGCCGGGATGCCCAAGCCGGGCTTCTTCCCCCGTCCGCGATCCAGGAGTTTTTCCGCGGCGGTGAGCAAGGTGATGGCCAAGAAGGCGGGTCCGGGGTTGACGATCCACACGGGTCCGCCGGTCCCGGCTGTTCCGTCTGTCATTCCGCCTACGGCGATAGATGCGGGTCCGAGGAGGGGTTCGAGCTCGAACACGAGTACGAGCACCGGCACGAGCGCTGGGCCTACCGCGGCAACGGGACCGGGGAAGAGACCCTTCTTCTCCCGCCAGTCTAGCTTGGGCGCTACCACCTCACTCGCTCCGTCCACGTCGCACCCTGATCAACCGCCCACGCCCATCTCGCCGGCCATTTCCGTTAGTCCCGAAATTATGGGCTTCCTCAACAACGACTCGTCCACCTCTCTTCCGCGCCCACCCCCCTCCGCCCGCTCTTCGTCCTTCTCCTTCCGTCTCCCCCGCGGATCCAAGACATCCCTCAATACCCTCTCCACGGCTTCAGCCGCCCCCACCGCCACCCCCAGCTCTGTCCCCCCACCATCAGTCTCCGCCCTAGGCTACACATCTACCATCCCCTCCGTCCCCGCCTCGGGCCGGCCCCTTCCCTCCCCGGTCAGTAACAAGGACTATGAGGATACCGTCAAGGCCGACGGGCTAGACTTTGAGATTATCCAGCCGAGATCGAAACGGAACGACAGTCTTCTGTCGCCCAGTTCGAGCTCGGACGAGATGCTCTCGGCGAGCGGGGGTGGCGCGGAGTTGGAGAGGAAAGGAACGGTGATTAGTAGTACGAGCGGAAGGAGTTTGCGGACTCTGCCGGATACGGATGAGTGGGGGTTCATCAAGGATAAGAGTCCGACGCCGGAGGTGTTTATGGGACGAGCGGGTGGGGCGGGACAGCGTGCTTTGGAGCAGAAATGGGTGGGTTCCTCTACTTCTCAATTTGATACTTCTCTGTGGAGAGTGGAGGTGAGGTCGTTGCTGATAATGTAGCTCGGAATCATCAATACTCCCCTTACGTCGCAAGCGCCCAAAAAGGTCCGGAAGCTCGCGATTGAGAGTGGGATCCCGGCTAGTCTGAGAGGAAGGGTCTGGGCGTGGTTCATGATGCCCATCATGACCGCTAGGAGGCCGGGACTGTATCAGGAGTTGTTGGATCATGATCGAGAGGATAGGCGGTTGGCAGAACGGATAGATTCGGATGTTGCCGCGTAAGTCCTCTACCTGCCTATCCTGGCCGAAGACATACTCTCTACTCGGACATCAGCTAACCCCCAGTGCCTACCCCGACCACTCCATCTACTCTGAAACCTCTACAGGCCAAACAGACCTGCGCCAGATCCTTCGCGCCTACTCGCACTTTGCAACCGGCGGCTACCGCCCCGAAATGTCTTTGATTGCAGGCATGCTCCTCATCCACTGTGTGGCCGAGGACGCGTTCTGGCTCTTGTCGGGTTTTGTGAATGGGAGTCTGAGGGACTATTACGCGTCCCCGACGGGCCAGTCGGGCGGGAAGGCGGTAGGTATGCGGGTGGACGCGGCGGTGTTTGCGGGGGTGTTGGCGGGCTCGGAGCCCAAGTTGGGGAAATTGTTTAGGGATATTGGGCTGCATCGTGAGTCTGCTTCCTTGCAGGAGAGAGCACGCAAAGTAGGGGAGACGGAGGAAGAAGAAGAGGCTGACTGCGTAGCTATTGTGTTTTTGGAAGAATGGTACGCCAAGCTGTTCTTGCGCTGTCTGCCGTGGCCGACCGCACTGCGGATCATCGACGCTGTCGTCGCTGAAGGTGAGCTGCATCTTCCCTATCTCTGCCAGGAATGGAAGATAAGCTAACTCTTTAGGTCCCCGCTTCCTCCTTATCGCCTCCCTCACCATCCTCACTTTATCTAGAGACCGCCTCCTCGCCCTCCCGCGCACATATACCGATGTGCTCGCGTACCTCCGGGACTTGCCGCAGGATGCGCTACTCCTGCCCGAAGGGTTCATGAAGGCTTGTGAGAATGTCAAGTTCAAGGAGGATGATATGAAGCGGATGAGGGCGGGGGTGGAGAAGGAGCTGGGGATATGAGGAGCAAGTCGGAGGGGGTGCCCTTGGGAGGAGGGCAAGGGAAGCATAAGATTGGACTGCAGCTGGTGAATGTTGTACTTTTATTAGGTAGGGTATTTAGGGGTGCATTGCATGGTTGCTCATTCAGCTTTAATATGCGCGTACGATTCTGTAGAGGTGGTCTCAGGGCTGTAGGCTGCTGCGCCTCGGTGGAAATCGCTCGGTCCTGTCGCCGCTGCCCCAGCACTCAGAACTCAAGACCAAATCTGGCTGTTGATCCAACTCCACATTCCTCAACCGTCTTTTTGCCGAGCTCCCTCTGCTCGAACATCTCGCATCGCTGCCTTCTCGTTCCGGGTGGACACCATGTCAGCCACAAAGAAGGACTGGCTGACAGATGAGCGGAAGCTCCAGCCAGTATACGGTACGTCCTATAGCCGCCTTTGTCTATTTAGCCCCAGAACACCCCTCCTTGGCCAGAGCTGACCCGCAGAGGATATCCAGGAAGCACGACTCAAGCCCGCCCTCTCCCAAGTCGACCGACTCCTCAAGAAACAGCCCCGCTCTCAACCTGCACTCATCCTCCGGGCGTATCTCCTCAACCAGCAAGGAGCTGCAACGGAGGATGTTCTGAAAGTGTGGAAGAGCGTGGAGGCGACGGGTGAGCTGAGTCCGAGGAGTATGTGGTGGGCTGGGTTGTTGATGCGGAATATCGGACGATGTGAGTCCAAATCTCTCATCAGGACTTCGCATCTTCATACGGGAGGATGCATGGGCTATGAGCTGATGTGTCCAGCCGATATCCTGCTTGACCTATATGTCAAGCTCTGGGATGCTCGACCGGACTCTTCCGAAATAGGACAGCAGGTCGTGCTCCTCTCGGTCTCGCTTTGGAACACGAGCCTGATGTGCTCATCCAGTCGAAAGATGTTCAATCTGCTCAAGACGACGACTTGGGCGAGGCTGGCCGCTTGGGCAGAATGGGCAGATGTAAGCTGCCGAGCCGACTCGATTTTGTGCTCGGAAGGGCCACTAGCTGACACAGATAGAAAACAGCTCAGACGCCTATACCAGCCGATCAAGTCTTCCCCGCTCCCCCACCCGCCAACTCGCTAAGAATAGCAGCCACCCTCCTCTCCACTACTCGGAAAGCTTGCCCTTCGCCAGAAGCGCTCTGGCTTCACGCGCAGATATACCTGGCCGCAGGGCAAGAAGAGGCGGCGCTGGCGCTGGTGAAGGAGGAAGGAGTCGGTGGGGGAGGTGTAGGAAGGGGGTGGTGGAGGATCAAGACGGTACAGGAGGTCTTGAGGCGAATGGCGGCTAAGGGCGAGGGCGGGGATGATGTGCGGAATGTGGTGAAGGAGGAGATGGGGGTGTTTTCCAAGGTCTTGAGGGAGAATCCCGATATGTGAGCTTATATTTCCATGATTATGTTGGACAGATAGCTGACTGAGCAGGCAGCGAAACTGGGCGAATTACGACCACTTACTCCAGCTCATATCTTACGATGCCTCCATAGTCACCGAAGTCAAAGCCCTCTTTACCGACCTCGACACGTCTATCGGCACGAAGGAGCGCGCACCTGCCCTCGCGCTTCTTCACCTCGACGCCCGGGCTGAGGAAGGTCGGATGAGCGAAGCGGACTTCCGCGAGGCTATTGAGCGGTACTGGAGGAGATGGGGTAGCAAGGGGCTGGTAGTCGACGATCTGAAGCATATTTGGGTGGAGAGGGAAGGACCGATGGCTGGTCTGCTGCAAGCTTGGTCGGAAGAGGATCATGTGAGCTATGAGTTACTCCGAGGTGAGAATATATTTGAGCTGATAGCCCCAGACCGATATATCGAGCTACTTGGCGGGTAAACACGCCCGACTGCTCATGTTCCGCTTGAAGGCGAACGGGTGGAAAGCGACCGAGGAGGAATTCGTGTCGACTTGGGCGTACTATCTCGCTGGAACCACCTATGGTCCGTCCCTACCCGCACCCTAAGTCTCCACCATGAGCCGGGCATTCGCTGATCGTCACAGCTGCGAATCTGCCCAAGTCAGACGTCCGACCAGCGGATGAGATAGGTCTCGCAGCGGTCCAGATTCTCCTCTATATCTGGTATCAGGCTAAAGATGAGGAGTATCGAGAGCGACATCTTCTTCGAGCGATAGTATGCCTCCGGAAGATCTGTGACGACTCGCCAGCGTGCATGATGGGCCGATACCTCTTGATACGGCTGTACCGGCTTATCGGTGAGCTCTATCCATCCCGACATTCGAGCAGAAGCTGACCCGCATAGGAGCTCCAAGCCTCGTTGTTGCGCCATTAGAACAGCTCGGCATGCGGGAGATCCAACTAGATACGCTGTTACACGTCTTCTCGGAACGTGCTTCGGTTGATGTCCTCCTTGGACAAACAGAAGCTGTTTGGGTATCCTACAAGAATCGCTCGGAGTATATGTATCACAAGACCGCGGCAGACGTGAGTTTCTCATTCACCTCCCTTTTCAGGAGCCGTCAATGAGTCAAGCTGATAAGGTAGCTCTCGGAACAAATCAAACACGCGGTCGAAAACGAATCCTACTCCCAAATCACCGGCATCCGCCAGCTTCAACTCACACTCGCCACGTCCCTTCCCGCCGCTCACCTCGCTGTCGAGTCCGGCCGGATCGCCTCCCTGAGAAGAGATACGGCATACCTCGCCGGAAGCGTCATTTCGGCCGAATTGGCGCACGCGAGGGATGCGGACGAGGGGGCGGATACGCGGAACTGGGAGCTGATCCCCTTACTTGTCGGAGAGACGAGTATGGGTGAGATGCTCAACCTAGGAGGAGGTGGGAGGGGATGGGTGCGGAGCTGGAGAGAGGTGGCGACGGGGTTCGTGGCTGTTGTGGCTGGTGGGGATCTGTCTGGGCTGGTGAAATTGGAGGGGCCGTCAGAGAGTGTTCTCGATGGTGTAAGTTTGATGCAGGCCCATAGGCTGGCTGATAGCATTTTGCTGATGAGCAGGCCTCTACAGCCGAGCGTGCAGCACTGGAAGCCATCGGGTCTATCCTCCGGGGCGTAGGTACCGCCTTCACCTCTGACGGGACCGAAAGCGCAACTGCGGAAGCCGCAAGCTTGAGCACTGTATGCGACGGTGAGCTCATTCATCCTCGTCAAAGGACTACAGCTCATGGGTAGGCTTGATACAACTCGCCAAGGCCGATACTGGCTGTCGGTGGGACAAGCTCGAGTCTGCGATGCTGCTAGTCGAGGTATGTCCTAACCAACCTCTCTATCGATACATTGGCTGATACGCCCAGATATCGCGCATCCTTGACGTTGTTTCTGGCAGAATAGCAGTCACCGTCAAGCCAAAAGGCAAGAACAAGAAAGTGACGGCCTCGCCGGCGATTCTAGAGTTCGCGAAAGACGTCGAAAAGCTGGAAAGCAGGTTGAAAGAAGGTAGAACCGAGGTCGTGAAGACGCTGGATGGCCTAGAGAAGGCAGATGTAGAGCTGGACTGGGTGTCTTTTGCGGGTTCCGCAGTAGAGGTAAGTAAAGTTCTCGGTCGCAGCTCTTGATGGGGACGGTACTGATCATACAGGCTGAGTCTGTCGAGCGGGTCAAGAAGGACGTTGTGGCGTCCAGAAGAATCGCAATAGACAATCTGCGAGATTTGCTTACAGATTCGAGAAAGTAGAGAGTATATCTAAATGCATCCCACTATCCATCCGAGCCCTCCAGACCCCGCCGTCACCGCAGCCGCAAATGGCACCATACTTGCCTCTCGTAGCTCTTTCGCTTGTCCATCTGCGCTGTTCCGGTGCTTGAAGCTCCTGGCGGGACTGGGCTGAGGGAGCAGTGGGCTTGGCTCTTGGCCCCCGGGACGACCATTCGTAGCTCGTGCTAGATCGTGAAGCAACCCGACTAATCCGATCACTTCACCTCACTCTGCATTCGAGCAATGCGCGCCTGCCTGGTACCGTCAGCTTCCGTCCCTCGCAGCAAATAAGGGAAGGCTAGCTCACTCTCGCATGATCCCCAAATCATCCTCGTCCAGCTCGCCCTCCGCCTCCCACATCGCATCAAACTCCACCTCCAAGGCCGTAGGATGCGGTACCACCACCCCATTCACATGCGTACCATCCCCCTCCTTCGCCGCAGAAACAGCCGGGACCGGCGGGGGCGGCATATTCCTCTCTGACACTCCAGCTGTTTTCCGCCGGGCTGAAGGAGAGGCGGGCGTTGCGGGCGATGTGGATGCGGGGGACTGGAACGAGAAGGCCATGGTGCCGGTGCCGGTGCCGGTGCTAGGCCGGGAAGGGTGAGACTTCGGTGACGCAGCGGATAAGGAAGGAATGGGGAGGATCCAGATACGTTCTCGGAGGCGCTTGTGCTATTTGTCAGCTTGAGCCTCATGTAAGATGGAAGAGAGCCAAGAAGCTTACTCTTTCGCGATCCTCCTCCATACGCCTGAGGATATCCGCATGTGAGAATGTCTCTTCATGTGAGCGTTTCTTATCGGAAGGGGGATGCCTGGATATCAGCCTCTCTGTTATACGTATCATGCGGAACCTCCAACGTACTGTCGCCTCGCCTCTAGCTTCTTGAGAACGTCGTCCACGATCTGCGGGTCCACCAGTCGCCTCAGACGCCAGCTATCGAGCACCTTCTTGGATCAGCCCCCGATATCGATCGTCCAGCTGGTTACACGTACCTGCTTGGTCGACTTGAGGTTGAGAACCCCCTCCCTCGTCTCTGGGATCACCCTCTCGACAATATCGCCCAGATCCCTGCCTACCAGTCCAAGATATGGCGCATCCGCGAGCGACAGGGGTTGACAAGCCTCAAGGAGCGAGTCGATGAAATACAGGATGTTGATGCGGGTATTCAGCGAGCCCTGCAACATCAGCTGGGAATCCTGCAAGAGCTGCGAGGGTAGAGAAGCTGACCTTCCCGCACTCCTCAGTGATACATTCCCAGAGATCCTCACCACACCGCGAGCCATATTTTATAGCATATGAAACGACCTTTTGGATGGACGGCTGCGAGGCGTTGAGCTGGCGTAGAAGCTTGAGGAAGTGCAGCCGGGCCTCGAAAGCGTCAAAGGTCATCTCGACTGGCTTATGATGCCTATTGTGAGGCTGCGTATAGCTTGAAGCTGTGTAGATATATGGAAAGAAGGCAGAGTGACAGGGGTTGCTGGTTGCACCTTTTGGCTCAGCCAAAGTTGCGGCTCCTTCCGACGGAACTGCAGTCGGCTATCAGGGTGGGCTTTGGACCTAGTGTCTGAGCTGCTGAAGGACTCTGGACTGCTCAGGGTATTCGCAGATATTGTTGATAAACCTAGCGTCGCTACGGATCCCATAATCCCGACTGAAAAAAGGAGACGTGGATTGATTACTGGCCGGAACCCCCCCTCCTCCCGGCGAGATAGATACGCTCGCAAGCTGATCATAACATCCTGCACCTGCTAGCTATGAGCGCAACCCGCGTACATCTCAGAGATTCCATAACCGTACTCACTCAAAGATCATCCGGGCACCGCCCACACGCCTCACAAGCCGGCGCCTCCTGTATCGCGTGCACCTTGAACACGTCCCCCTTGGATCGCTAGGGCAGCAACGTCGCAGGGATCCCGAACAGCCTTTCAAGCATTGCCATGCATCCTCATAGCACGCTGCGTCATGTCCTGGAACGCCGCATTCATCGCTGATACAGTCAGCACTGCCCTAGTGCGAGTGCAACCAGGACTTACCAGCAAGGGGGAACCGAGCTTTTTTGTGTTCCGCGCTATCGCCAGATTTGGTTGCCAGGTCTACAGGTCAGCTCGCTCATCTCGCACCAATCAAGCGATAGGTAGGGCCAGAACTCACAGGTATCATAGTTCCACCCACAAGACTTGCACTGTGGCGCCTCCTCGATCCGACAAAACTTCCAGACGTCCTTGGCGTGACGTGTCTTGGGCACGCCCATCCGCGTGTAGAGCTGCCGAATCTTTCCGCCCAGATGCTCTCCCATTCCCGCCATCACCGCCGGCGCCGCCAGTGAGCCCGACACATAGATATGCACCGATATAGGCGGATCTGGCATAGCCCCCGACCCACCGCCCATCTGCTGCCACGCCGCCATTCGATCCACCGCATGACCGGCAACAGCAGACGAGATCCGATGTACCGCCTGTTCTGGTCCGGGATCCGGCCCGCTGATATTGTCGATATCCCCGCCGACGAAGGGGAGGTACCACCGAGCGATCCGACCCATGATGATTGGCATTTGACCGAGACCGAGGTCGAGGTGCGCAGTGAAGACGGGGTCGTCGGACGACGGCTCGCCGCCCACGCGGGCAATGGCGGCGAAGGCGAGCGGGCCGGACGCGACGCCTTGGCAGATATCCGCGCTGCCGCCCAGGGTAGACAGCACGCTCCGAGTTTGAAGCTGCCTTGTGTCCAGGCTGGGGACGGGCGGCTGGATCCGGTTCGCGTCGTATCGCATCAACCTCTGAGGATCGAGGTAGGCTCCGGTAGAGAGGGCAGTCATCTTTGGGACCAGAGCCTTGAGCTTCTCCATTCCTTCACCGAGCCAGTCCGACTCCGCTCCGATATATTCCGCTTTGGCCCGAGGGTCTGCTCCGCCGACGAAAGACCAGCATGAGCGCCCTTGGCCGAGGATGGTAGAGTAGATGGGCTCGGCTTTGGAGCAATATTCGAGAGCAAGCCGTTTGGTGGTGCCGAGAAGTTGGCGCTTGGATTGGAGGCCAGAGGCAGCGGGACGGACATTGGTGCCGTAGAGAAGGGTGGGGAGATCATCGCATACGATGACACTGTAGAGGAGAGGGGATGCGATAGCGTAAAAATGTCTGTATGATCAGCGACCATACTTCGAGGCGATCCGCTGGGAAAAGATCAGGTCTCTCCGCCAAATCACGCGCCGTTCGGAGGGGATTGTTCTGCCCTCATAGGCCGGAGAGGCTGACAGCCACTCCCACCTACATGTTTCCAGCAGCAGACCCCACACGGCAGCCTACTGACCTTATTCACCCGCAATGCAGAAGCGAGGTCCGGCTGTCTGATCGAGCTGCGCTCATTGTTTCCTGTAGGTGGAGGAAGCGGTCGACGAAGGTGCCCTATCACTACCGTCCAGATCTCTGGAGGTAGCGTAACTGGACCTTCAGTGCGCTCGCTGTTGGCCATCCTGACTGAGTAGATGGATGAGTGAAGGTGGAGATGAATGGACGCGTCGCACCGAGGGATTTTGCTCCACATTCCTCAGTCTCAACCTGTCTCACCATGCCCGTGCGCGCAAAACTATATATAGAAGGTGAGGGTGCCCAGCCGCGGACACCCGATCATCAGCTGGCTTGCTTCTGAGGCGTAAGCGTGGAGATGGCCGTAGATGATGGCATGGTATATGTATATGAACAGCTGGTACGCGTCCGATAAACTGAGATCCCATAGTCCCTTCCCCTTCCCTCGCCTAACAGCCCTACCACCTTCATGTGTGACACCGATGCCCCTGCCCTTCCATCACCTACCGCCTGCCCGCCTGTACCGGTCTCTCGAAGAGGTCGAGATACCGGGCTAGGACTTGCCAAACCGATCTCGAGTCCGCTGTATCACCCGTACATAAGCTTCTCTCAGCACTATGATCAGCCAAAGCTACTCGAGACGAGGGAGTGAACGAACCATGCAGAGGGAACGTCGCACACTCGTCCGACGCGACTGATACCTTGTGCACAACGTCTGTCGATCAGCCAAGAACAGGCAGGTACAGTAGGCCAAATGATCTTGACCAAAGACTCACGCGTATCATAGCTCCAATGGCAGGCTGGACAAGGGGGCGCCTCCTCCATCTTGCAGAAACGCCAGATATCCTTCGTATGGCGTGTAGGAGGTATGCCAAAGATTTTGTATAGCTTGAGTAGTTCCGGACCGACGTGTTCCGCTAGGCCCTCTAGTACCAACGGGGTGGACAGCGATCCCGTCAAGTAGATAGTGGTGTCGGTCGGTAGATCCAGCCTGGAGGCCCCATGCTCCGACAAAATCCGCAGCCACTTGTGTGCTCGGTCCACCGCTGCGCTCGCGACCGATTCGCATAATTGGCCGACCGCGTCGATTGTCCCCGGATCCGAAGGATCATCTCCGTCTGGAAGACCGAGCTCAAAGGGTAGATACCAAGAGATGCGGCCGCCCATGCAGATCGCCACCGTACTGATACGGAGGTTGACGTGTGCGACATGCATGGGAACGGTACCTTTGGCGACCGCGAACGCTGCAAAGGTGAGCGACCCGAATGCGGCACGCTGGCATGTCGGAGCGTGGGCGGCACGCGGAGTGAGTCCGCCTTGCGCTTGAAGCTCGGACTCGTTCAGGCCAGGGACGGGCGCCTTCACACGCATAGCCTTCCAATAAAGATCGCTCTGAGGGTCGAGGTACGCGCCAGTGGAGATGGCCGGAGGCCTGTACCGCGCCATCCCCGCCAACGCGACATTATACCTCCGCCAAGCCTCGGCGTGCCTGTCGGTCTCTGCCTTGATATTTAGCCCCACCATGAGGGGGCTAGCGTCTCCGCCGACGAGGTAGAAGGTCGCGCCGCCGTTCCGGAGTAAGGAGTTGTACGTGGGCTCGTCCTTCGAGCAGTATTCAAGGCAGAGCCTTCTTGAGCCGAAGAGGAGGTCGCGCTTCGAGGGGATATCTTTGGCGACGGGAGGTAGATCGATACCGTAAGTGAGGGATAGGAAGTCGTCGGTGATGACGGTGTCGTAGAGGAGGGCAGCGGCGACGTTGTTGAGGATCTATATAGTCAGCAGAGGTACTCTAATAATGCCGACCTCCGGACCCTGTCACGGAAAGGACGAGATATTGTGAGATCAACACGGGACGTTCCTGGAGCCCATAATCGCCTCAAGCGCATATGATGTAGGTCAAACCAGACTAGAGACCTGTACACACCTTGTTCACTCTCATCAAAACAGCGAGTTCCGGTTGCCGGATCGAGCTCCGCTCATTCTTCCCCGTAGGAGGCGGCGTGGGGCGTTGAAGGTGGACTGAGACTTTGAGCCAGACCTCGGCTGGGAGTGAGATAGTCTGTTTAGGTTCGTGGACCATATTGAGTGATATGGGTAATCGAGAGAGAAGGAAGGTTGAAGTCGAAGTTGAAGTGAGTGGTTGAGTGAAGGGGAGGCGCCACATTCCTCAAGTCCGTGCGTCCACTTGGCGTACTCTGGCCATGAGCTTGCGTTCGACGCCGAGGTCTTGCTGCAACAGCAGATGAAGGACGTGCATCCACGTACTGTGATACAAGAAGGCTCCTGTATATGTTCCATCCGGTAGGCACGACCTCACGCTCTGCCCAGGCGCCCCAGAGCTTCTCGCGTGACCTTTATAAAAGCGGGCGTCATGGCTATTTGGATCAGCCCGAGCTTGTCTAGAGAGGGCAGACAACTTACAAGCCAGAGGGAAGGGAAGATCTGGGATCGCAGGTCGAAAGCTGGGGCTCATCTGACTGGACAGTTCTAACATCAGCGCGGTCCGCCCCAAGATGAGCGACAAGCTCACCTAGATCGTTCTTCCACGGACACGCCGTACACGGTGGGGCATCCTCGAGTCTAAAAAACCGCCATAGATCCTTGGTATGCTGCGTAGCGGGCACGCCGATGCGAGCGTACATTGTCCGTATCTTTGGTCCGAGATGCTCCGCCATACCCGCCAATACCGCCGGCGACGCCAGCGACCCGGGGAGGTAGATATTGACATATATCGGTATATCTGGGCACACGCCCGCTCCTCCATCCATCGCCTGCCATGACATGACCCTATCCACCGCATGGAAGGCGATGGACGAGGATAGGACGTTGATCCCATGTTGCAATTCCGAGCCGCCGTTATCCGCCCAATCAAAGAGATACCACCTGGCTTGGCAGCCCATGACGACCGGGATCGTGCCCGTCTGGATATCCGTATGCGCCGTGTATATCGGCCGGACGCTCGGATCGGCGTTCAGAACCGCGAGACCCGAGAAGGCGAGCGGACCGGAAACGACCCGCTGGCAGAGATGCGCCCCGCCTCCGGCCGTAGATAGGGCGCCGCGCGCTTTGAGCAGACGATTCTCAAAGTCGTGTATGGGCGGCTGGATATTGACGGCGTCGTACCGTTCCCGCCGCTGGTAGTCGAGGAACGCGCCGGTAGAGATGGAGCGAAGATCCGGTACGACCGCTTTGAGCCTTTCCAACCCCTCAGCCATCCAGTCGCTTTCCGCAGCGACCAGCTCCGACTTTTCCCGCATGCTGCCGCCTTCTATCATGGGGAAGAAGGCACGCCCAGTGACGAGCAGCTCCCTTTAGCTCGGCTCCTGTTTGGAGCAGTACTCGAGGTACAGCTTTCCGATCCGGCCGAGGAGCTTGCGCTTGGAGGAGAGGCCTCGAGCGGCGGGGGAGTTGTTGAGGCCGGCGAGGAGGGAAGGGAGGTAGTCGGAGATGACGGAGGAGTAGAGGAGGGGTGAGGCGAGGAGGTTGAACGTCTGCAGAGTTAGCTCAGATTGGGCAAAAGGTACGCCCCGCTCCAATAATGCTCGCCTAGCCCATGCTGGGCCACAGGGGTAGGTATGGCAGCCACTCGATTCCCGCACAGGTACAACCATCCTTACAGCAGAGCCTGCTCTATCTGCTTACCTTATTCACACGCATAGCGACAGCCAAATCCGGCTGGCGGATAGATCTGCGCTCGTTGTTCCCGCTGGGCGGAGGAAGCGGTTTTTGAAGCTTGACAATGACCTGCGCCCATATTTCAGGTGGTAGCGTCACAGGAGCCTTCGACAGCTCGGGTTCTGACATGATGAGGCTTAGAAACCGAGATGGGGGTGGATGTTGTAAGATCAAGATAAGAATAAGATGTCCTTTTTCCAGTCGCAGTACTTCGCTTGGAGCTTCGCTCCACATTCCTCGCGCAGGATCGAGGTCCGTGTACACTGTACTTGGTGGCTGATACTGAATACTGTCGTACGGGCTGTAGCCACCTCCGTAACAGTCCCTGCAACTACTACGGCGTCGACGTCTTTGGACATAGGATGTAGGCATGCATATCGCCATGTACAAAATCTTAAGCGGCAATTTCTCCTCGTGCCCGTGATCCGCCCGATTGGACATGAACATTGAGCGGCGATAGCATTTCGGGAAAGAAGCGCTCTGCAGTGATTCGGAACTGCTGTTTCATCACTGTTCCAGAGTCAGCCATGTTCTCAGCAGCTCTCGGCGCACACGCACCGCTAAGGGGAAATGTATGGTCCGCAGGTCCCGCGTACCCGGCTGGTGGGGTCTTCATATCTGCAGGTCAGCGCCAACCCCGTCAGCAACCAAGCCGATAGTCTGACACTCACGCGCTTCATAGCTCCAGGAGCAAGCATCACAAGGAGGCGAATCCGCCAGGCTGAAAAATTGCCAGACGTCCTTGGTATGGAGAGAGTCGGAGACGCCCAGATGACGAAAGGGTTGGTCAATGGCTGGCCCGACGTTCTCAGCTAGGCCAGAGAGAATGTAGGGAGCGGCGAGGGAGCCCGAGAGGTAGACATCGACCCAGATGGGTGGATCGGCATCCGCATGCTCAGGCATTCGCGCGGAGATGGACCTCCAAGACCAGGCCCTGGCTGCCGCATGTGTTGCGATGGCCTTAGACAGCACAGCGACGCCCCACTTGGGCCCGGGATCTGCTGTACTGGAATCGTACGGCAGATACCAGCGGCTGATCCCGCCGTTGACGGTAGGCACGGATCCAGTCGCAGGATCGAGGTGGATGGCGCGGATGTTCTCGTCGACTGCCGAGGTGGGAGAGATAGAGGAGAAACCGGCAAAGCTGAGGGCCCCGCCAGCCGTCCGCTGGCATGAGTAGGCGTCGCGGACCAGACCTGAGAGGGGCGTGCGACATCTCAGCTGGTTCTGATCCAGATTGGCGATAGGCGGTTGCGCCTCCTTTGCCGCCGATTGGAGGTCCGTTTGGGCGTCGAGCATGGCGCCAGTTGAGCAGACCCTCATCAGGGGCAAGGTGTCCCGAAGTTGCTCGATCCCGTCCGCAGTCCAGCTGCACTCCGCCCCGACGAATTCCGCCAGCTCGTGAGGGGTGGCACCGAAAAGAAGGAAGAAATCGCCGCCGTTCCGAAGGAGAGTATGATACGTGGGCTCGTCTTTGGAGCAGTACTCGAGGTACAGCTCCTCGATACAGCCGAGGAGTTGGCGCTTGGAGGAGATGTCTGGGGTAGCAGGAGGGCCGTCGAGGCCGTATAAGAGGGAAGGGAGGTGGTCGCAGATGACGTTTCGGTAGAGAAGGGGTGTAGTAAGGTCGTTGAATATCTAGTGTATCAGCTATGTAGATCTGACACAGCGGTTGACGAGGCGGCCCCGGCGCCGGCCGCCGAAGCAACTGGCGCGCATAAGCTCAGCAGCTGCTCACTTTGCTTACGGACATCAAGACCGCCAAGTCTGGCTGACGAATACTGCTCCGCTCGTTGTCGCCGGTCGGAGGAGGGAGTGGTCGACGGAGCTGACTGATAATGACCGCTAAGATCTCCGGCGGCAGGGTGACTGTCCTGTCGGAGATTTCGGTGTCCATCATGGTTGAGGAGAGGAGAGAGAAGGTGATGAAGATTGAGAGGCGCAACGTTGAGTGATTTTGCGAAGGGGAGGCAGAAGCTTCTGAACGTTAGCTCCACATTCCTCAACCTAATCCAGATCCGTGCGTTTATCATTGAGGCCCGCCTGATATAGCCCCCGTGCGGCTCACTCAGAAGCAGAGTGTTGCCCCGACTCGCCCGGCTTAGACAGGACTCACATTGAGGGAGTCAAGAGGCACGTATCATACATCAAGACCATAATGCAAGCTCGTCTGCTCCGCCCAGGGCGAGCCTTCGATCCGTACCCAGCTATGCCGCCGATGTACCGAGTGTATGGTTGATGACAGAATCGAATGCGTGCGACATGTCCACCCTAGCTTCAGCTGTGGCTCTGCGATGAGACGGGAAGGCTTACAGCTGAGATCAAATGTCGCATTCTTGGGACCCCGGTCTCGGCCGTTTCGCCCACCTTCTTTGTGTAGATCTGGAAATCAGCATTTCGCTCTCCTCCAGTGGTACAGACTTACGCGTCGCAGGATTCCACGAGCACCCCTTACAAGTCGGCGCCTCCTCGATGCGATGAAACCGCCAAACGTCCTTCTTGTGCTGCGATTCCGGTACGCCCATCCGCTTGAACACCTGTCGGGTCTTGGGACCGACATGTTTCGCCAGACCCGCAAATATGGCTGGTGTAGCGAGTGGTCCAGAGAGGTAGATATCGACTTGGATGGGCGGGTCGGTCATTTGAGAAGGCGGGACCTGCTGAGCGAGTTGACGCCATGTTTGGACCCGATCTACGGCGTGCAGTGCGATTGAGGCGTACAGCTCGTATAAAGCTTGCTGGAGACCACCAGGACCGGTTTCGCTGGTATCGTTCGACAAGTACCAGCGAGCATATCCGCCGAGTACGACCGGTAGGGTCCCCGTTGCGGGGCCGAGGTGGGCGGTAAAGCTTGGGCGCCTGAGCGTGGGATTGGGATCCAAAGCCGCGATTGCGGCAAAGGCCAGAGGCCCCGCCGCGACCCTCTGGCAGATATCCGTATAGCCCGCGACCGCCGAGATGTTGATCCGCGCTCTGAGCAGACGCGGTTCCTGGTTGGGAATAGGCGTCTGCGAGCGGTCTGCTGCCTTGTGAATAGCCGTCTGAGCGTCGAGAAATACACCTGTAGACACTGACTGAGAGTCAGGGAGCATCTCTCGTAGACGCTCCAGCCCGTCTCCGAGCCAGTCGCTTTCGGCCCCGAGGAACTCGGCCTCTTCGCGCGGATTAGAGCCGACGAGGGTGAAGAACGCGCCGCCGTTGAGGAATAGAGAGGGATATGTGGGTTCATCCTTTGAGGAGTATTCGAGATACAGCTTGTGGATGCGCCGTAGGAGGTATCGCTTGGAGGGGAGGCCTGGAGAGGCAGGTGGATCGTCGAGGCCGTAGAGGAGGGATGGGAGGTGGTCGGTAATTACGACTCGATAAAGGATCTTGGCGGTTAGGATGTTGAACATCTACAAAGTCAGTATATTCAGGATGAGGTTTCTTAGGCATACGACAAGTACCTTATTCACCCTGCACGCAGAACACAAGTCTGGCTGGCGAATGGAGCTGCGTTTGTTGATTCCCGTCGGCGAGGGTAGAGGTCGACGAAGATGGGTGATGACGACCGCCCAGATCTCCGGTGGCAGCGTCACTGCGGAACGTGAGGTCTCGCTTTCGATCATGGCAGGGCGTGTATAGATAAATGGACGAAGAAGATGAGATGAAGCTGATAGCTGAAGACGAGCAGAGTACTCCTCGCCCGCCCCGCCGCAAAGCCGATTTTCCGCTCCACATTCCTCAATCCCGATCTCGTGACATGGGTGCAAGCTGTAGCAGCTCGTGTTTCATTGCTTCCCTCGGCCTCACAGCCGGAGACAGGAAGACTGGAAGGTAAAGATACGCCTACATGCAGGATGACTCTCCGCTCAGATATCACGATCGTGTTGGAACCATGGTTTCCGGTAAAAACTAATCGATTAATCCGCGACTCCTAACCCTCAGCCGCCAGAATCATACGAACCTGAGGCAGGAACTTCTGGAAACGTCTCGGTGATCACTACGGATCAGCACAGCCGCACGGGAGACCTAGTAGATCTGGACTGACCTGATTGTGTCTCAGCGCGGTAGGCATTTGCTACGCCTTTGGACAGCGGTGCTCGCGGCTCTATTGATCGAGTCAGCGCGACCTCCTCTCAGATCCAGACTCGCTCACCCGACTCAACAGTAGACCGAGACCACCCACACGCCTCGCATGGCGGAGCCAGTTCTCCCGGCTAGAAATTGAAGACGTCCCTCACGTGACGAGATGTGGGAATCCCTAACGCGGTGTACGTCTTCCTCACCGCGATCGGGACCGACTTGCGCAGAGTCTCCACGATGGGCTGCTCGCCGAGAAGCTCGTTTAGGTAGATGTCGAGGAAGATAGGTGGGTCCCGGTCCGCCGCTGATGGGTCAAGCTTCCTGTATTCGCCCAGCCGCTCGACGACATGACCGATCAAAGACGCGGAGAGGAGCTGCAGCAGCTGATCCAGCTCATCTCCGGCATCCGGGAGGGACAGTGGTACATCCCAGTACCACCGCGCTTGTCCACCGAGAACGACGGGTATAGCTGCGCCCGCATTCGATACATCCGCCCGGTAGTTCATCGCCCCGGTGTAGCGAATGTGAGCGGGCCAGCGACGACCCACTGACACGCTGCGCCAATGTCAAGACCGGTAACGAACCTTGACAGCGCTTGCCGAGCCGAGACGTTTCGCTCGTCGAGAAGGGCGTTCCGGGGAACACGGACGAAAAGCTCCGAATAGTCGTCCAGCTCCCATCCGAGATACGCGCCCGTCGAGACGACCTTGAGGCGAGAGAAGGCGCCTGATCTCGCCAGCTTGCCCAAGCTACTTGAGACCCCTTCGCACTCTGCGATCGCGAGGGCGTCCAGGCCTCGCTCCGTAGGCTGCACCAACCCCAATGAACGCCGCCGCGGGAGAGGAGGGTCTGGTAGTGAGGCTGCTCCTTCTCGTTGAGCTCTAGGAAGAGCTTTCTCGTGTGGCCGAGGAGTTGACGCTTGGATGGGATGTCGGGGATAGGAGGATCGTCGAGGCCGTAGGAGAGGGAAGGGAGATTAGAGGTGATAATGGTGGAGTAGAGGTAAGGCGCCGCGAGATTGTTGAACAGCTACAGTATCAGCTTGCTCCTCGTATCGAGACGATATCATAGAGGGAAGACACAGACCTTGCTGACCCTCACCACGGCTGCCAGATCAGGCTGTCTGATGTCGTCTCGGGTTACTTGAGCAGGTGGAGGCGGAGGGACCCAGACAAGCTGCTGGAATACCAGCTGCCGAATATCGGGAAGAAGAGCCACCGAACCACTAGTCTCCGCCTGAATAGCCATGATGCAGACAGTGGTATCAGGATTATTGGGAACAAGGTAAGGTCAAACACCAAGATCGCCGGTTGTTGGAAGCGTCGTCTCGGACCGACATTCCGCGCATATTAAGGGACTCACGCGTGGGGTATCGAGTGACACCCTGCATTAGGTTTGCGTCTCTGCACCGGATGATACGAGGCAGAGGCCTCACTAAGCTACAGTCATATAGATGGTGGCCCTAGATTACAATCATTTACTGTACACTAAGCAGGGAATCACGGTCGGCACTCTTCAAAACCCCAGACTCGACTCGTCCCGCCCCCTGAATTCCAGTAGCGAGCGAGCCCGCGGTATCAAGTCCTCATAAGCCTTCGCAAGCACTGTAGACTTATCAGCGCAGCACATTGATTACAATGCACTATACACTGACCGCCTTTAACGCGCATCAAACTCAGACTCGGGAGAGGCGATTTCTGGTTCGCTGGCAAGGTCAGTTGGCCTTCAATCACCTCACGATAATAGCGGACGACTCACGAGGCACTGTAGGAGACCAGTAGCACGCCTCGCATGCGGGTGCTCTCCCGATAGGCTCAAAGGTCCAAACATCCTTTTCGCACCATTCCGACGGTAGGCCAAGGAGTTCGTACATCCGGAGTATGGTCGTAGGGATATCGCTTCGGAGCGCTTGCAAGATGGGTGTCTGTGCAAAGCGGTCGGCGAGGAAGATGTCGAGATGGATGGAAGTGTGGCCGTACATAGCCTCGGCGGCAGGATGTATCTTTGGCCAGCTCTGCACGGCAATGAACCGCTCGACCGCGTGGAGGAGGATGGCGTACACCAACGCGTGAAGTGCGGTACCGAGTACTGCCTCAGTGTCTGGTCCGCCTGCTGGCGGCTGCACATCGTAGTACCAGCGCGAAGTACGGCCTAGGCAGACTGGGATGGCCGCGGACTCGGTTGAGATATGCGCCCTGAAAAGAAGCGGCTTCCGTGGAGTCTCGAACGTCAGTGGGCCGGTGCCAACCCACTGACACACACTCTCGACGGGGACATCGGCGGCCAGGTCGATCAGGACTCCACCCGCTCTGAACATCATGCCCGGCAGGTCCGGGTGTATGGAGCGAAATCCGAATAGACGCTTGTAGTAGTCACCTTGCCGTCCCGTATATGAGCCTGTTGAGATGGACGTGAGGTTCCGGAACGCTTTCATGACTAGTGCCAGGGCCATGCCTTCCGTGACGGCCCTGCACTCTTCATGGGCGAATGTGGACGCCTCCATGCCCGTAGGCTCGACAAGGTGAAAGTAGGCGCCGCCGTGGGCAAGGAGATTGGTATATCCCGGCTCGCCTTTTTCGATATACTCCAGGTATAGTTTGCGAGTGTAATTGAGGAGCTCAAATTTACTGGGTACGCCGAGGACTGAAAAGGTGTCGAGGCCGTAGGTGAGGGAGGAGAGATTGCAAGTACGGATTGTGGAATAGAGGTAGGGTGCGGCAATTTGGTTGAAGAGCTATCCGATCAGCAGGATCTCGTCCAGGCGGATGACTTGAGTCAAGAGTCATATCTTACTCGACTCGTCCTCATCAGCAGTGCTAGGTCTGCCTGGCTGAGATTACGGCGCTCAGCCCGCTCGGACAGGAGTGGAGGAGGGCGCAGGAGGTGACGAAAGATTTCCGCGTAAATCTCTGGTAGCAGCTTGGCGGGCGGACTGTGAGGAGGAGTCCCAGCCGCGGCGTCCTCGTCGGGATCAGGCATGCCGACGTCAAGTAGGACGAACAATTCCATATCTGCTGGTGAGGGGTACAGATGAACGAGAGATCGTCATTGGCGCTGGCCCTTGGCTGCCCCCCATCCATGCTCCACATTCCTCAAACCAGCCCTGTCCCTGAATCAGCATCCGGCATCTATCGACTATCGACCTCTAGGTCGAGCTATGTAGGACCCTCGCGTCCCTCGCGTCCCTCAAAGGCCCCGCCCCAGAGCATATAGATGGAGGTGGACGATTTGTTTATGCGGATGACGGCCAACCTGCCGCCATATCAAGATTCATCTTTCCTATGCTACAGGAAAGATTGGCGGTTGTCCGAATACGCCCATCTCATACTGACGGTGTCCCGAGAAGCATGTAAGCCCTCGGTACCAGGTCCTCATAGACCTTCGCGATGACTGTATACAGTCAGCTGGTACCCCCATCTTGATACTTGGGACGTACTGGCTGACGCCGTTGATCCACTCATGCTCGGAAGGCGGGTTGTCTTCTTCTCTGATACTATCAGCTCTATTCCTTTCCGTCCCAGGCAGAACCACAAGAGCACTCACGAGGTAGCGGAGGTGACCAAAGGCACGCCTGACATGCAGGCGCGGTCTCGATGGAATTTAACGTCCAGACGTCCTTTTCATGCCGAGACGGCGGGAATGTTACCGCCTTGTACAAAGCCCGTAGGTTTGCCGGGATGAGGGTGCGGAGTGATTGTAGGATGGGCTTTTGGGCCAGATAATCGGCTAGGTAGATGTCCATCTGGATAGAGGAGTCTGGGCGTATTCGCTCTGAGGCCGGACCATGGTGTTCTCGATTCCGTACAATTGCGATCCGATCGACGGCGTGTGCGAGAAGGGCATTGACCAATACCATGAACGCCTTCCTCAGCGCCGCCGTAGGTTGGAGACCCTCCAATACCAGTTGAGCGTCATAGTACCACCGAGAGGTACCGCCGAGGACGACGGTCATGGCCATGTCGGGGTCCCGGATGTGCACCCGGTAGTTGAGCGGCCCAAATGGGGATCCAAACGTCAATGGACCGCTGTCCTCCCATTGACAGGCAGTGACGACCGGTGCCTCGACCGCGAGCCGCGACAAGACCCCTCCCGCCAGTATACTCGGACGGTAGAGGACCGAATCCCGAGGGGTGGGCGCGAGGAGACGCTTGTAGTCGTCGCTCTGCTATCCGAGGTACGCGCCCGTCGATGTGGAGGTGATGCGCTTGAGCGCGCCCCATTGATGCAGCTTGTGCAGGCTTTCGGCGATCCACTCGCACTCTGTGGATGCGAACGCGGTGACTTCTTTTTGATTGGGTAGGATGAGGTCAAAGTAGGGACCGACGTGCGTGAGGAGAGTGATGTATCCGTGCTGATTCTTGTTGATGTACTCCAGGTAGAGCTTGCGGAGGTAGCCGAGGAGTTGGTGTTTGGAGGGTACGCCGTGGATAGGAGGGAGGTCGGGGCCGTAGGCGAGGGAAGAGGGATTACAGGTGCGGACGGTGGAGTGGAGGATGGGTGCTGCGAGTTGGTTGAAGAGCTAAAGCCGTCAGCAAGGTCTCGATCGAGCTGAGCTGAGCAGATCAGGGAGGTATATGTCACCTTGCTTATTTTTCATTACGGACACTAGATCCGTCTGACGTACATGACACCGCCAGGCGCGCTCGGGCGGAGGAGGTGGGGTCTGGAGGAGATGACCAAAGATCTTTGCAAGAAGCTCAGGCAATAGCGTCACAGGCGGACGAGTACCGGGATCTTCCGTTGCGGCGCTATCGGCTTCAGGCATGGCTGTAGGGCCGTGTATGAGCAAGTCAAGACACAAGCTGGTATGAAGGAGGATGGATCAAGAGTTTTGTCCGACCTCAGCGCTCAGCTTTGCTCCACATTCCTCAAACCTTGTCTGCTTTGGAGTCCAGCAAGGTCATGCCTGCTGACGAACCGCGGAATCTAGTGAGAGAAACACCAAGAATACTGCAGTTCTGGGACGACATGATACATGCATACTCACGCTGTAAACGGAACAGGAACATAATAATTCTTCATCAACCGCTGCAGCACGTCCGTCGGCAATCCCTCCATCCGCATCCCTCCAGGCCCTTCCATGCTCTCCGCACTCGTCAAAACATTGTATATGGCCTCCTCGACCGAGTCCGCGACTGCCTCAAACAAGCCGTTGATCCCTTCTGTATCGATAATGTCGATAGAACCGACCACGGTGGGGGTGAAGCGGGTGACCGATGCGTCTTTGGGGATGTGTGCGGCTGTCGAGAAGGCAAAGAAGATGTCACCGGATGAGTTTGCGCCTGTCTGATCAGCGGGAGTCTCCTACTTGTTGAGGGGTTGGATATACCCCATCCGCCAACGCGAGCTAGACCGACGGTCGCTCCTAAGCTATCAGTATTGAGGTGATATAAGGGCGACGGAGACTCACGAGTTGCGAGTCGTTTAAGCTGGATGGGGAGTAGCGGAGCCTGAGGACGTCATTATAGCTCGGGCATATACGTGAAGACACTCACATCTGTAGCGATGACAATGATGATAGATCCGTCCTTCTGTCTCTCCTCGACCGGCGCTTCTGGCTTCTTGCTAGCTTGCGCTGCTTCCTCCTCCATGAGGAGTCTACCGATAGGTACGTTCCCAATCGTAAGATCGCGCTTGGCGCCGTAGTTCTGGGTATCAGCACACCTCTCTGCTACACTTACAGCTTGAACCAACGCTGCGACCGTATACACCACCTTCTCCTCCCCCCCATCCTTCTTGATCACCCCTTCCACGACTCGGCTCGCACTCCCCGTCCCACCCTTATAACCCTGACAGCACATCCCCGTCCCGCCCCCCGTATTCCCCTCTGGCACCCTGTCCGCACTAGCCTCCTCAATCCCCCGAACGACCATATCCGACTTGATCGCCATGGCGCCTATATCGCTCATATACCCATCATACGTCTCCCCGACAACTGGCAGCAGAAACCAATCTACCAGCCCATCTTGATTTTTGTACTTGTCCACCGCGTACTCGTAGATGCCCGAATAGCACGGTCCGACCGCGAACGAATTGGTCAGGATGACGGGCGAGTTGAGTATCCCCGTCTCCTCGATCCAGTGACTACCGGTCATTTCCCCGCTTCCGTTGAATTTGAAGAAGGCGGCGTGGCAGCCATCGTGGAACCATTCGCGCCGAGGGAGAATGGTAGTGACGCCGGTATTGACGATCGTGGGGGAGGTACGACAGAGGGATTCGGTATGGACTAGGACACCGGGAACGTCGGTCAAGGAATTAAGCGGGCCGGTGGGGTATCGCCCGATAATGATGTCGGGGATGATCTCCCGGATACGCCCTCGGGGAGTTGAGCTGGTCATCTGGGACATGGAGAGTAGATGGAGGTTGAGGAGCAGATAGCTGGGCGTCCATCTTGCCTATAGTCTATTTATGTATGGAGTCCAGTGAGTCGAAGTGGCTCGAAACCGCATGGGCCGATAATCTTTACGTTATTCGGATCCGGCTCTCGACCTCTTTTGACAGTCTCTTGACTCGGTGAGCATCGGGTGCATGACGCGTCACTGAGGCCTGCGGAGCCTGACGACGCATCTACTCTCCCTCCCAGAATAGGATTAGTACCACATCCACACGCCAACACGGCAGATACATCCGACAATGGACCAAATTCCAGACCTTCCTCCCAGCGCCGTGGCCGTTCATTTCCCCTTGAGGAGACTTTGCGCTTGCGGAATCATCGCCCTGACGGCATCGCCGATGACTGGAAACGTCAGCAGAGATCGCACTCATACTGCGACCGAGATATTACTCACGAGAGCGGACCTGCTTGACGTATTCGGGTGTAGAGGGGGGCGAGCTGGGAGCGTCTACTAAGATCAGCTTCGATCCCGCTCTCTTAATCCCTGCCAGACTCACCAGATGAGGAGCAGGTCCAGCCGCAAGCCTCGCACGGAGGCGCCTCGTGCAGAGGGAAGAAGTTCCATACATCCTTGGCATGACGTGTAGGGGGGAAGCCGACCCCCATGTACATCATCTTCATTCCCGTCGGGAACGACCCTTGTATGACGTCCAGGAACCGAGGTTCCCCGAGCGGCGCTGGAAGATAGATATCGACGTGGTTGGGCGGGTCGACGTCCGTCCGGCCCGAAGACCGCTGGAGTCTGCGGTAAGCCATGACGCGCTCGATAGCATGGCCGATGAGCGACCCGACAAAGATGTTGACTTTGTTCTTGAGGGTGGGGATCTCGTGCGAGTCAGGAAGACAGTAGTACCACCGAGAGTGACCGCCGAGGATGACGGGAACGCCGATACCAGCATAGTCGATGTGCGCGCGGTATTGGAGATCTTGCATCAGAGCCGGGAACCCGCGCTCGCTTTCCCCGATATCGAGGCGCTGACAAGCTGTCTCGACGTTGGTGTGGAATGCCACATCGCCGAAAGCGGCTGGAGCGAGGTAGTTACGGTCCTCGCGCTGGTCGGACGGTCCTCGTACGCGGCGGTCCGTGATGAGCTCCCCGCGCGCGTCAGACTGCCAGGCGTACGATTTCGTCGAGAGATACCGTAGCCTCTGCAAGGCGCGGGAAGTGTTCAGCTTTGTCAAGCTGTCGTTGATCCAGCCCTGCTCCGCCGCGGTAAATGCGTCAATGTCCTTGGGGATAGGTAGGATGAGGTGAAAATACGCCGCGCCGTGGATAAGAAGGCTGAGGTAGGCTTCGTCCTGTCGGCGTACTCTAGGGATAGGCGCTGCGTATAGCCAAGAAGCTGTAGCTTGGAGCATACTCTGGAGGTACGAGGGAGGTTGAGGCCGTAGGATAGGGATGTGGGGTTGCTGGTGTTGATATTGGCGTACAGGTATAGTGCGGCCATGTTGTTGAAAAGCTACCTCATTAGTCAAACTCTCGGTACTGAAAAGCATCGGCGAACGGAAGGGCTCAGACACACACCTTCGAGACCCTCATCAGGGCCGCCAATTCTGGTTGACAGAGACGGTATTGCCAAGGCTGAGCAGGCCGGACTGCCGGAGGTGGGACTCGGCGGAGTTTGCTAAAGATGATAGCTAGGACCTCGGGTACCAGGTTTACAGATGAGCTAGGCCTGTACATATCGGCCGGAGCGGCATCAGCCACTTCTGTGATAACGCGTGTGTCCACCGCTCCGAGGAGCTGGGCTGGTGGGAGATGAGATAAAGAGGCAGAAGCAAAAGGGCCCGGCCAGATCCACATTCCTCAGCAGCTTTCCGACGGAAGAGACAAGGCCACCAGCAAAAGCTCAGCGACATCACGGTCGATTATACTGTCGTAACACATCTATCTGATCTAGTACTGACCTTGTCAAGCATCGCTAAGACTTCTAGAGCCTGCAGCTGATACTGGCACCTATCGCTGGAGAGAAAAGCAGAGCGCGCTAGAGACAGGATGAGCGACACAGCGGACGAAGACCTGCGGGACGTCTTCAAGCTGTTGTATGATGAGGACGACTGGTCATCCGGAGACGATGAGGTGAGTAGCGCACCGCTGATGCGCTAGCTATAGGTCTGATGAGCAGGCTTATGCTAAGAATCCCGAAGCTGGACCGGCGGAACCTGAGGTCGAGCAGGTCGAGGTTGAGTTGGAGGGCACGAGTACCACTGAAAGGCATCTTGAGCGATATAGCCGAGTAAGTCGGACCGCGACGGCTCGCAGCTTCCCGAGAGGTATAGCTGACGTCGTAGAAACGATTAATAGATGGCTTAAATGATCTCTTGAATCCCAATATCAAGCGACAGCGGGTCTACTCCCCAAAAACCGTCGCATCCAGCTCGTCAATTCCCTGTACATCATCTTTCCCCTCTCTTCCTCCTCCATCGACGTACGCTCCCTTCTCGCCCCTACCCTTACTCTCTCGCTTGAGGACGTTCGAGCCAGCGACATATTCGCCGTCAATACCATCCCCGCTCGATCCGGTCCAGGCGGCTCTCCATGGATGGACCAACGGCGCGCGGGACACGCTATCCTGCGGAGTCTGCAGTGCCAGGTGGGAGCTGTGCGGAGTGGCAGAGATACCAGAAGAGAAGATCAGGGTGGAGGTGGCTAGGCGGATGCAGGCGGGATTGGTGAATAGGCATCGAAAGGATTGTTCGTGGAGGGTGCGGCGGTCTCCTGGTGAGCTAGGCGAGGAGCCTGAAGATGTGGTAGACTTGCTCATCCTCTAGAATCGCTTTACGGCCAGCTGCGGCGCTTACTGCATCCACCTACGACCTCCAACATACAGTCCCTGGCGGCTGGTCTCGAGCGAGAATGTGTCGCAAAGGCGAACAGCGAATTCAGACGGTCAAGCCCGCTGGTACGTTGTCCTTACCCTAGTCCTAGACTTCTGGACGATATAGCTGATCTGAAAGAGTATCACCGAAATATCAAATCTTGTTACTCGCATTGACACCCGTCTGCATTCAACCGCACCAGCCAACATGGAACCCATCGAATCTTCAACCTCCATCACTCACCACGTCTCCAGCTTCGCTGCTGTCCTCGCCGTCTTCTGCTGGTATCCCTTTCATCCCAACGGGCCGGCACACACCCTATCCGACGAGGCCGGCTCACGGCGCACGGACATGGTGCAGTGCCGGCTGTGCGAGCGGCGGATCGGACTTTGGGCGCACCGAAACTCTTTTGGTGGTCGATCAGGGTTGGAGTGGACGAAGGGCCGGACGTTTGATGTCCTGGAGGAGCACCTGGCTTGGTGTCCTGTCAGAGAGACAATACAGGGCAAGGGGTGGTGGGAGGATCTGGCGCTACTGAAGGAGAAGGAGAAGGGAGACTCGGCGGGGACTAAGGGGTGGATAACGCTAAGCGGGAAGATGGAGGTGAAGCCGTGGCGGAGAGCGAGGATCGTGGAGATGTAGTCAGCCGGGCGGTTCAGCGAGTCCAGCGATGTACCCAGGACCGTAGGCCTAAGCCAGCTCGGGCACGATCAAGCGATAGGGACGATGCCGTAAATACCCTGCTCCGGCTGCGGCAGTGTCGCGACGTTGCCTTCCTATCTCTGCAGTACTTCTTCCACTTCTATCGACACTGTCAAAAGCTCAGCATGGCTCCGCCGTTCCTAGAGCCAGTCGGTCTGAGCAAGCGGGATGACTACAATCCCGTCCGGCCCGACAAAAAGAAGGGGTCCCTCTTCCGCCTGCTCGGACCCCGAGGGGGTTCCTCCTCCCGGTCCGAGGTCCCCACACTGACACTCCACGTAGCGGACTACGGCTCGCTCCTCATCCAGACCACCGATCTGCCTTATGGCGCATCCCGTCCCGTACCGCCATCACGCCATAATTCTGCAGGTCCAGGTAGCTCCACCCCGAACTCGCCAACGGACGAGTATCGGGAGGAGCAGGATGGGTATATCCCCCCACCGTCGCAGACGCGGGAGTATGAGCTGCCGGGGACGCTGGAGATTGGGATGCCGCCTCATATGGGCAAAAGGAGGGTGCGGGCGATAAGGATAGGCATGACGGCTACGACGAGGCTGGATATGGGTAAAGGGCGGGGATGGGAGGAGGACATTATCTTTAGCCGGATGATAGAGATTAAGGGGGCGGATGGGGCTGGGATAGTCCTGGAGCCTGGAGTCCAACTGTGAGAATCCGATCGCTGGCCCAGGATACTAACGATGCTGATCACAAGATTCTCGTTCTCGCTATACATGCCCGACAATATGCCGGTACACGACTGGCATCCCAACGCGTACTGCGGTGTGACCCTATACGGCGAGGTCGAAGGACTGACCGACCGGAAACATAGCGCCTCGCACTCTCGATCTCGTTCTCGTCAGCCCACACCTCTATCCCACTCCCCCACCTCCATCCCCGGCACGCCCAAAGCCGGATCTCGATCCGCCTCGCCCATGCCCGGCGGCCCCTCCTCACGGCGCGCCCAATCTAGCGGCGCCCCGCCCCCACGGCGGCGGACGAGCGGGATGGAGCTGGAGACGAGCCGAGTACAGGGGCTGGACTCGGTCATGAGCCGTCTCGAGGAGATTTCCATCTCGAGGGATATACTGCCGCCCGTCCCTGCCTACCCGGACGGGAATGGGACGCGGGAGGAAGTCGAGGCTGTACCCTGGCTCCAAGGGGAACATCGGACAGACAAGCCTTTCGAAGTGCTGTATAATCCGAATCCGACCGGCGGGCTCACAGATCTCAATATGCAGATCATAGGCGAGCAAGAGGGGCTAGGAGGGTACAGGCTGGAATTGCTTTCTGATGTCGTGCGTATCATTATGTGCATGGCGAATGTGGCTGACAGGCAGTTCACTATCTGCGCGGCAGTACAAGTCCGCCTCACCCTCCCCTTCCCTCCCCCAACGACTACTATCTACGCCTTCCGCCTCATCCTGGCCCAAACCGTCTCCCTGTACTCGCCAAGAGATCCGCCAGAGACGGAGCCGACATGCACAACTCGACATTTCAGCGTGATTGATCATGGGCAGATCCCACCCAAGGGAGCGGAAGGGAGGGGTATACCGGCACTGTGGAGAGGGACCGAGGCGGGCGGAGGGGAGTTTGAGGAGATGGCGCTTACGATGTTTGGGAGGTTGCCGGATGATGAAAAGTGCCGGCCCACGAGTCTGCCTCAGTGAGTCCGGCGCTGCACTCCTATCAAAGGCAATACTGATGGGTAGAATGAAGAGTCCATTGAGACTATCACACTCATTTATCGCCGAGATCTTCTTCTCGGTGTATGGCGAAGACGACCGCGGCCGCAAGCTAGACAAGCCAGGTTCGGGTGGATTACGTTTCTTCCGGGTGTCCAAGCCAGTCGTTGTCCCCTCTGTGAGCTACATCATTCCCTCAGAGGCACGGAAGCTGACCATCCAGTGCGCTATGATTCCCATGTGGTTATTACCTCCCACATGTATGTCTCAATGCGCTTTCCAGCCCTTTGATCTACCGAGCTGACCCTCCAGACGAAGAATCCCCAAGCCAACACCCACCCGGTCCATGCCCCCACCGACCCCTCCAAGCAGACTGGGTCAAAGACGCCGCAGAGTACAAGCCGGACCTCGAGTGTGCACTATGTCGCGCGGGCGTCCCGCCATCGACGCGACCAGGATGGCGGGATTGCGCGTGTGGGAATAGAGGAGAGGATCTGGAGGAGAGGGGAAGGAGGTTGAATGAGGCGCCGATGTTGCCTAGTAAGTGGACGGTGGAAGGGGAGAGTCTGGCGGAGAGGGAGGGAGTGGAAGGGGCTGGGGTGGGAGGAAGCGATGAGAGGAGAGGAAGACGAGAAGGGCGGTGAGGTGAGGATAGACTTATAGACGGAGTACATGTCTGGGCTGCATGCACTGCTTGACATCCCGCTCAGTTACTCAAACATTCTTTTCGTTGATGCTGACCTGAAAAAGTCACGCTTATTGCTGATCGCTCGGGTATAATGCAAAAACAACACTGCCCGTATCGCACAACGGTACACCTCGCCACTTCTAGCAAGCGCGATCTAGCTCCTACACGATCCGGCCACCCCCAGCAAGCATGTACACTAAAAAATCACTCCGACTCCCATTCGCCGTCTGCATCCACATCTCCATCCGCGCTGGCATCAGTCATCTGCGTATCGACAGGACTCTGTGTTGGTGTGGAGGGCTCAGGGTACAAAGAAAATTGAGACTGTCACCCATCAGCGTCAGTCATTCTCATCGGTATCAGCTCTGACAGACCTGGCCCCGCATCTCCCCATCCCTCAGTATAGGTACCGGCTGGTCCGTCCCCTTGATCTATGTCGGCTTGGCAGCCTTTGGAGCATTCCGAATCAAGTCATCAAGTGTGGCCCGGTCGGCCTCTAACAATACCACTTCATCCCCTTTGCGTAGTTTCCGGTAGGCATGAAGGCCGAACAAAGTGCCCCGATATTCGTTCACGGCGATGTCTTGAAGGCCTTCGGTATAATGTGAAAAGGCATTGACTTGTTGTCTATCATTACCCCCGCGCCAATGGGATTTGATACTTTGCAAGTCGTATTTCCCCTCGAGCTTCAATCTTGACGAGCTACCCTCGAAGACATGCTCGTTGAACTCCGTCTTCGTGATCCGAGGCAGCTTCGTAGGCCATTGTACCACAGAGGTACCCAGGGCGGATGTCTTCTCCTCGCTTGGTAGGTGCGTGTCTTGGGAGGCAGCATTCTCCGGGACTTTGGAGCAATTAGAACCCGGATCCGCCTGGGGATCTTCGTCCTGGTCAGGCGTGACAGAACCATCGTCTCCCCTGCGAAAGTGTCAGTATCCGGTCTCAATAAAGGCCATCTTGCAAGCCCTTTCATGCGAGACGGACACTTACTCGCTGAGAGCGAGATCATCACGGCTCCGTCTTCGAATCCTCTCCCCGAAACCTCTGTCCCAGAACCCTGGCCAAGAGACCGCGTTCGACAGTGTCAACGGCGGAGCATCTTGGTATTTCTCTTGCAACCTGGACGAGATCAAGGTGAGCAGATCCGCCCCTCCGTCTCGGCTTCGGAAGAACATCTCCACAAGCTCCTGTCGTCCGTCGTCACTGCCGAATAGCTCTGCGAGTCGCTGTCCCTGTTTCGCATCGTAGGACCCTGACATATGGTCGAGCAAATATCGGTCACCGCCTTCGTGACTGTCGGTGAACATGGCCACAATCCTCTTCCGGCCCTCATCGCTTTCGAGCAGGTCTGCAAGTCGTTGCCACCAGCCTTGTTCATCATTCGATATGTCCGACATGTCTGCAGCAGTAAGGGTGGAGTTTGAGTTGAATGGGATATTGGTGAATGAGATTGCTGGGTGCGTTATTGGTAAATCAGGCTGATGGGAATCTGACAGGGCAGCACATAAGTATGATTCCCCGGTGAAGGGTCTGGTGCGAGTCAGAATGTGTGGCGGAGTTACTGATGATACGCCGACTGACACGGACTGAAAGGAGCCACTGCACAGCCCCGCCGCGCCTCGAGCGCTCAAACGCGTTTGGGCCGATATGACGCAGGGAAAGCGCACAAAGGACCGTGTCTCCGCTCGAGATCTGCTCCAACAGCTGCATTCTGTACGAGATCATGTGAGATCTGCTGAGGCGCTCACAGGGCGAATGATGCCTCTGCGAGCTTTCCTTGTAGGTAGGTGACTGGTGTGAGCCCGCAAACGCTAGCGTGGCGGTTGGCAAAGTCAGGTCGAGATGTGATTATGAGATTGAGTCCTGATGAGCATAATACATATCCGCAGAATTGGCCGTCCCTATGTTGCCGCAGCAGAGCTTCGGAGGCAGCAGTATACAACGGTGTGTACAAGTGTGATTGAGGGCAGTCATACCTAATACCGTCCGCCAAAGTACGATCTCAAAAAGTCCCCAAAAGTCTTGGATGGCGCTCGAGTGGGCTGGGGTTGAGCGGTTGCGCCTGCTTTGGATGTAGTGGCTGGCGCAGTTGTTTTAAAAGTGGTTGTGGGAGAGCCGCCACCGCCGCCTGAGCTACCTTCGAAGGTGCAGGTGTCGATATTGAGATACGGAGTAGCCGAGTTGCACGAGCTACTATTGGGCGCTGACGTGTCAGCTCAGCGACTGGTAGCGTACAAGGTACTTTCTGCCATGCAAAAGACAAACTCACCGGTCACGTTGCAGCATTTTCCACCGCTGCATGCTCGGCATTGACGGCCAGAGCAGGAGATCGAGCCGCTTCCTCGGATCTGCCGATCAGCGTCTTTCCCATGAGCATGCCCGGGAAACGAAGAAAAGCTGGGCTCACCTTGACACCGTTGGAGCAGGCATCACGAGCGACGAGAGTGTGGTCTCGAGCTTCGGGTGCAATGACTGCAGCCTGGGCTGTCGAGGCTAGTACGGCGGCGAAAAAGAGGACGTTGGTGCGCATTCTCGTGGGCTATTACCTTCCGAGTATAAGGTGGGCGGTGGGATGAGGAAGTGTCAGGCATCACGTAGACTTTTCCTACTCAAGTACAGCAAGGTCATGTAGCCGATGACGGGCTGCGGGCGGGAAGCGCGATCAAGCATACGACATCTACCGTACTCGCCAAGCTCTGCCCGGATCCCGACTGCCATGGTGGAGCCGAGTGACGGCAGAATGACGCAGCTGAAACATGCGGGGAAACATTCCGCCGGAGGGTTAGCAGCACCTGCCAGATGATCACGAAGCGAACGAGGAGCTCGCGCAGAAGAGGTAGAGATCCAAAAGATGGTGCATACTATAAGCCCAATTTTCCACTGACTAGAACAAACTATTCCAACAGCATCTACCATTCAGGCACAACACAAACGTCCCTACTCCTCTACTTCTTGACCTTCTCACCCTCCTCGATCTCCGCCGCGTTCTTGACGTAGTCGGGCTGCTGCTTACCGAACTGACGGTCCGGGTCGGCAAAGCCGCGCATGGGGGTATCGAGGTGACGGAAGTAGGTGGGGAAGATGAAGGCGGTGATGAAGGAGGCGCAGGCGAGGGCGACGTAAGGCCAGATGAGCCAGGGGTCGTCGACGACCTTGGACATGGCGAGCTGGATAGCGTACGAGATGGCCTGGGAGAAGAGGCAGATGGCGTAGACCTGAACGTCAGCAATAGTCCGGAAAGGTATGGGCAGAAAGTACTCACGAGACCCTTCATCCTGGCGGGAGCACGGGTGTAGGCGAGCTCGTAACTGGTGACGTTGACCAAGATCTCACCGAGAGCGGGGAGGATGTAAAGGGGGAGCTGCCATGCGAGGTTGACGTTGGAGACACCGGCCTTGCAGCTCGAGGCGTAGTATCCACACGGGCTCGACTGGTAGATCTTCCACTGCACGATGGCGGCGATGACCATGTTGGAGCAGACGAGGAGGAAACCGGCCATGAGCTTGAGGGTGGGGCGGGGGGTGAAGCCGAGCTTGTTGCAAAGGGGGTAGATACCGAAGATGAAGATGGGGGAGGCGATGATGATGGTGAGGGGGTTGGCATTGCTGAAAGATTAGCTGAGGAAGAGCTCCCGGGAAGGCAAAACTCACGAGTAGATCTCGGAAGGGATACCGTTCAAGACCATGGCGTTGGACATGGCGGTCTCACTAATACCGATACCACCGTTGGCTGCAAGTCAGCCTAGTCCAAGCCAGATGGAGAGACAGGACATACACAAGTTGAAGATGGGGATGAGGAGGAAGACACCGCAAGCTGAGATGGACTGCCTGATCTCATCGACGAAAGTGTCGTCCCAGAACACCTTGGAGCGGTCGACGGTACCCTCGGTCTCCTGGATGAAGGAGGGCTTGGCGAGGTTCCAGAAGCTGTCTCCACCCTTGAACGCCGCGCGGAGTCCACCCTTGCCGATGACGGTCTTGATGACCTTGATGGCCTCGAGGGTGACGGATCCCTGTGGGGGCGCCTTGTAAAGGTGCTTGTAGCAGAAGAACATGCTGACTGATCAGCTACCAGTCACACACACAAGGCAATCACGACGTACAGGATGGGCATGAGGAGGTAGACGATACCGGGGACGAGGAAAGCGAGCCAGAAGCCGACGAGACGGGCAGCGTAGGCGGTACCAAGAGCCATGAACTGGATATCAGCGGAATTCGGCAAGGAAGGACTTGAGACTCACAGCTCCAATGTTGATGCACATGTAGAACACGTTGAGATACCTCGAGACTGTCGCCTGGGGGTCGAGAATGACGCGCTCGCCCGACTTGGTGATCTGGATGATGGGGCGCTTGACCGGAGACTGGTCACACAGCAGGGGACCGAGCGAGGGCTTGATGAGACCAGCAGCAAAGGCGAGGATGAGGAGGGAGATCATGAATGGGGGGAAGCCGTTACCGGAGCTGATGACGCTGGGGACGACGGCACCGCAGAGGAGGACGTGGGCGACGAAGCTGGAGATCAGTTCTGAGCGAGCTTGATCAAGATACGGCGCAGACTTACCCGATAATGGTACCGATCAAGATAGTCTTGAAACGACCCCATCTTGTGTCGGCAAGAATACCACCGATGATAGGGCTGAAGAGTCAGCTCGTGCCTACCAGAGGACAGAGTGCAACTCACATGGTGTAGGTCAAGAAGTTGAAAGCACTGGTGACGGCACTGGCGCTGACTGAGCCCATGGCGAGACCACCGGTAACCTGGTTGAGACCGGCGGCACCTGCAGCGACGGCACCGGCGCCGTTACCGCCGACGGGAAGAGGGTTCTTCATGTAGTTGTTCCAGATCTTGGTCTGCTTGTCAGCTGGAGCTTCAACATGAGACTTACGCAACCATAGTAAGAAGCACGCTCGGCCAGCTCAATGAAGCACATCGCCACGGCGGCCCACTTCATGGGAGCGGGGACTCTGCTCAGTCAGCTCTACCCTTGACTCGACCCGACTACATAAACTCACTTGCGCAGAGTAGCAAACTCCTCGTCAGTCGGCTCGAGCTCATCGCTCTGGTACTCGTCCGAGCTGCGGTGACCGAGCACGACGTCCGACTCGCCATTGAAGACATAGTCCTTCTCGTCGTGCTTTTCCGAGGCCGAGACGTTGTTGGTGGGGACAGCCGACGCCGGGATTGGGGCAGACTGGAGGTCCACGATGGTGTTGCTCATCTTGACGGGGATGGCAGACGGTAGAGAGGTGGAGGGGGGGATCAGCTCTTCTTTTCCTTGGTCGTCTCCCTTATATCTTTTCGCCTATCTCTGATAAGCACGCCATCTCATGAGCTGCTGATCCCAATCGACGCCATAAGCTGGCCCCGCATCGGCTCGCATCGGGCAGTGAGCAGCGTGGTCCTACTTTCGGTACATCCGTGATAGAGTTTGCACCTCCACTCCTATCTGAACGGAAAGATCGGCGTTCCTTCTGGCGTGTGAGCCAAGGAATAACCTGAAACCGCACTGTCACCGCATGGTGCACGCCATATGGGCTCTTGACGGGCAAGGAAACGCATGGGCAAGCATAGTTTCGATGGCTTCTAATTGGTCTAGACCGGATCAACGCCGCGTGTCCCGTTCTATTATTAACTCGGCTTCGGATCTTTAAGATTCGGGCCCGGTCAGCATCCGGAGCGGGTTCCGGAATGGCAAAGACACGGCAGGGTCTGCCAAGATAACGTGCGGGGGAATGTGGGGTATAGCATGACGCTGACCTCCGCTCCGAGCTCCGCTGCGGCTCAGCGGCATGATGATGAGATTGCGATTGCGAGGACCGGAACCAGCATCCGGCACAGCATGTAAGCATGATAGACCCATACGTCGCACCCCCAAAGTTTAGGAGATAAGCGACAGTCGAGGCGCTGGTTAGGGTTGGTTGAAGTGAATGGAACGAAGTCCGGAAATATCGATATTTGTGTGAGAAGGCTGGAGCTGAGGAGGCAAGTCTAGCTAGCCTGCCGATCAATTCGACACTGGAGATGCTCGATGCAAGACATCGATAGGCTGTAGCTCGCCGGATGGTGAGGGAATTGCTGGACCGCTGGGCTGGGGATGGCTTGCATAATAACGACGAACTTCTATACCGTAAAAAGGCCGAAAGCAGTAATTCACAAGCAAATTCGCCACCCAAGTGTATCACCGAAATGTCTAATGCAAAATTGGGTAGTCGTCTACTCGAGGGTAGGACTCATCAGGCGCCGCAGTACCCGCAAGAGACTTGGCCTCACGACTTGCTGCTTCTCTGCATCTGACACAAACGTCCGAATATACTCTAGCGTTTCAACATCATTTTCAGTGGGATCCGGTTTCTCCAGTAGCGATTGTAGGTCTTCCGAGATTCCCTTGAGGACAGCTGCGGGCCCGCCTGCGTTGTGCTTACTGGTGTAAGAGGTACAAAGTCTGATACGATGGGCGAGGTGGATCTTGGACCAGACAAGGCGGACGTTACGCAGTTCCGCTTCTCTGGTCATGTTGGCGGTGATGTCGGAATGTGTCTTGCCCTGCCCCATCTCTGCGACGATCTCCCTTTGGGCCTTGGACCATTCTTTACCGGAGGAGCTAGGAGGTATGCGTTCGATCGAAGGGTCATTGGTGATTGCCTCTAAGGACAGAGTCTGTCTACACAACAATCAGTAGCTGACCACCTGAGCGTATCAAACCGACGATGAAGCACTCACACGCTGTTCACCGAGTCCCAGAACGCCTCAAAACGATGTTGCATCTCTCGGTCGCTTCTGAGCTGTTCCAGCAACCCGGCGATATAGGAGCGCGATCCCTCGACATCTCGCGCATCATAGCTGTCTGAGAAGAGGGCGATCAGCCCATTGACTTTGTCATCGCTCGTCCATGACACATCAGTCAATATGTTCAAGACCTGGGCTTGTTTCTCTTCCGTGAGGTAAGGAGGTCGAGACATAAGGGACTGGTCGTAGTACGTGTAGGTGTCTGCTTCGTAAAATATCATGATTGGAGCGATGTCGATTGGCCAGCTTTTAAGGGTGTAGATAAGGATGAGCGGAAGATGTGGCGCTTGCGTGCAACAGACCGTAAGAAGAGGGGTTCGAGGATGATTAGGCTCGGGCACGCCACTCACACTCATTTCAGTCACTACAGACTTAGTAGGGATGCAGGCGCAAAGGATGGCACGCATAGCATCAGATAGCCTCGTTGTGATGGCAACATCCCTCCAAACATAGGATCCTGCGTCTCTTACATGTCCCAGCTGCTCTTTCATGTCACAAGAGGTACATTCGCCGATCCTTTGATACCTTGGTCCTTGTCTCCTTGCGGCTGTCCCTTTCACCAAGTGGCTATAAAGGAGGACGTCACGCTCCCGCCGATATAATATGATTGCCTGGTCTTGATCCGATGTTCAGGTAGAATATTCTGATATCAGCTCACTGACTACTGCGAGAAGATAGAAATCACTGATCTCACTCACTGAACTGACGTCCCGTCTCACAAGGCAGCTCTCAACATGCTCGACGCCCTCGTAGCCTTCGGCTCCACCTTCATGCTCCTCCAGTCATACGTCGGCGCCGACTCTTACCCGCAAGGCCTCAGCAAAGTTGCCGAATACGCTTCGCCACTTCGATACCAGGTCGAGTCGATCACTGTGCAAGGCAAGTGCTTCAGCGGGATGAGGCAGGTACCATGTCATATGATGGCTGCTGGTTGCAAAGTCCATTGTCTGCTCAAGTACATGCCTGTGTTCCCAATCTGTCAGTAGAACTGCTCTAGATGATGAGTCAGGAGCTGACGAGCAGTTTACGGGGTGGCACTTCTCGCTGTGGGCTTCGTGGCGTACAGCAACCACCATCTCGATGACCGGGTGGACGATACTCCCAAGAAAGGTTTGAAGGAGATCTGTGGCTTCACCACCTTCCTGCTTGCTCTGGCGTCCATCGCGGGCCTGGCGGCTTCGGTATGTGCAGTACCGATCCGATTCACCACAGACCAACCGCTGATCATCCAGGGCGTTGGCCTGACCTTACTCGTCAAGCCCATGATGCACCTCGCGAGCAACGATGAGCTCAATGTATTCGTCGGGTGAGCTGGCATGTTCTTCACAAAAAGAAAAATGGACTGACAAGACAGCTGGGGACAGCTCATCACCATGAGCTTGACCGTCTCGCTCATGTTCATTACCCTGGAGTACTTCAATCTCTCTCGGCAGATGTTGGCTGCCCGGTACGCACTTTCAGCTTCGTATCGAGCTATACTGATTCTCACAGTGAGGGCAGTGTCCTGCTCGAGGACAGCGAACAGGCACAACCCCTGCTCGAAAAGACGGAGGCCTGAACAGCTGCCTCCTGAATACCCACCGCTCGAGAATGTACATCTTTACAGTCATGTAGAGTATCGTGCCATGTATCAGTACCAATGTCGTAGAGCAGTGACAGCGGGCCTAGCTAGGCTCCGTGGGCGCGTCCGATGACTGAGGGTCCAGCTTTCGTTATGAGGGGGCCGCCACAAGCAGACTCAGATGTGCCACAACTCCACATTCCTCTGTGCCTGGCGCGCGGATCGGCTTAGCCACAGCTTCGTTCATCTCAACCTTCTTCTCTATCCCATGAGCCATGTTCAAGAAACCCCTAGCTCATCAGTCCAATGCGACGCCTATCCGCTCATCCGCCAGACGGGGGCTGGTAGCCGATATTTTTGCAGCTTATCCAACGCTTCCGCCGGTGGTCAGCGAGAATGCGACGCCCGAGGAGGTTGGTGAAAGGGATAAGGCGGAGCGGGAGTTGGGGCGACTGATCCTGCCAGAGGGCATCAGGAGCTGCAATTTTGAGACGAGCGGAGGCGTGGAGGGGGTGAGCTGACGGACTCGCCGCCAAGAAAGGGCCCTCAACTGACATGGCAGAACCTGTACCTTTCGCCCGATAATGGTGATCCCCTCTGGATGTCCTTCGGACGAGGCTCAAAGCAGCTCATACCGACTTGTAAGCTTTCTACCGAGTTGTACCGTAGATCAAGCAGCGCAGGAAGCTTACATCCAGGAGTATACTCACTTTCCCTCCCAATACCAATACCGCCCTTACCCATTCTCAAACTGCATCACCCCCTCCCTCCGCCCCTCTTGGCCGGCGCGCCTCTTTTCATCGGCGCGGTCCGGGACCTTCCTCGTCCACATCTCCTCCCTGACGTACCCGAGGGCGGTATTGTCGCGTTCGTGATCGCTCCAAAGGGAGATGAAGACGATATGGTGCAATATGCGGGTGTGGGCAGGCTGGTTGCGCCTGGAGGTATGAAGGGGGCGTGGGAGCGCCGAGGACGAGCTAGGGAGGGCGATGAGGAGGGAAAGTTCTGCGATGTGCTGTGCATCATAAATGATCAGTAAGCTGTCGAATTCTCATATGAGCTTTGGACCCCCGCTGACATGCAGTCTTTGGGAAATGGGCTCGAAGAAGCCAACACCGCTCTTCCAGCTTCAACCCCCTTCACATCCTCTCGTGCCGCTCACGGCTGCCACCGGCTCGTCATCTTCATCGTCCACATCCGCTCTCGCTTCCCAAATGGAAACGGCGACTATCTCATCCACTCCTCCGTCTCCACCAGCCACCCAAACACCAGTATCGTCCACCGAACCGCTCACACCAGCGGAGGTATCCACACTCCTCAACCTCGCCCTCCTTCAATCTCTCTCGACCTCACCGCCATCTTCATTTCCCATCCCAGCGTCAACGCTGTACTCGGCACATGTCCTCCCAAATCGCCCGGCGTATATACCGAAGGAACAAAGGGAAGATGTCGTGATTGGGAAGAGCGAGTGGAAGAAGCTGGCCAAGTGGATGAAGGAGCTGGGGAAGGATGGGGTCCTGAAAATCAAGGAGAGTAAGGGGGAGGTGACTGTCACATCGTACGTTTAGCTGAACATTTCTGTAGGTACTGGCAGGAATGAAAAGCTTACATATCTAGGTTCGACCAGGCGCATCCTTCCATACAAGGTCACGCGCCGTTCCTTACCATCGCTAAAGACGATGCCAAGTCCGCAAGCAAAGCCGCTCGGGAAACAGCAGCGGCGGAGATGGGCGAAGCAGGGATGGTCAGCACACCGAAGGGGAAACAGCTGCTCATTGAGGAGCTGTGGAAGCCAGCAGGGAGTGGACTAGCATTCTGGGAGGCGTGTGGAATCGAGTAAGCCATCAGCTTTCAGGACCCTATTCGTGGGGCACAAAGTAGCTGACAATGCCAGGAAGACGAGCTTGAATTCTGCCCAATCACTCAAGGTGCTAGTGGATGACTATATCGCTAAGAATCGCCTTCCAGATCCGACAAATCAGCGATTTGTCCGCTTAGACGGGCTATTGGCGAAGGCTGTCAATGCGGAATCCGGTAATGGACAAGACAGGATGGCGAAGGAAGAGGTGGTCAAGAGATTGAAAGCGGGTGTCGCTTGGTCAGTATCTATCGGAGGGCAGGTCAAGTGAGTCTTGAGTCCCTTTGTCTCGTCGTGGAGGGGGAGCCAGTGACTGAAGCTGACATCTGACAGGAAAGGAGCACTCCAGCCGATCGTCATGGGCATCAAGATCCGGCAGGGTCGCAAGACAGTCACTGTCGTGTCCGGGCTGGAGGCATTCGGGATCGACGTGGACGATTTCGCAGAAGAGCTGCGGAAGCTATGCGCAGGTAGTGCATCAAGTGAGCTTCCGCTTTCGTCAAACCGTCCGCACGAGGTCAACCTGATCGCGCAGTATCACCTCTCAGCGGCGCATCACCCAAATTGAATCTTAAGGAAGTAGCTGTCCAGGGTCCTCAGATCAAGATCATCACCGCGGCGTTGATGGAGAAGGGGGTGCCAAAGCGGTGGATCAAGGAAGAAGAAGCGAAGAAGAAGTAGAGGAACTCCGCGGACCGGATCTGCAGGGTCTGATCATCTAGATGCTACATCTGTATATGACTATTCGATACAGCCGAGATCTAGCTGGAACAGCTACACTGGAACCCCAGCATGTTCCGACTGCCAAGCCCGCACAGCCGCCGTTCTTCCTCCACCTCAGGCGTGGGGCAGGCCCCGTCCCCTACTTCCTCGCCATACGTCTCGTACGGGCTCGCGGACATCTGCAATCATCAGCTCCACAACCACGTGATAGTATCATAGTCCACGAAGCGACTTACAGCTAGTATCCTCGCCAACTTTGCCCTTGCATCCGCCTTCCCAGCTTCGTCACCCGCCTTTACGCCCGCCTCCATCCCCTTGATGAGCTCCTCCAGAACCCACTGCCTCAACACGAATCTCGGGTTCGCACCCAACATTGACTGCTTCCTTTCGCCCAGTCCGCCCGACCCCCATGCATCCTCCTCTGCTGAGATACGCTCCCCGTAGACCTTGAACCACTTCGTCCATCCCTCAATGGCTGAGGTGACCTCGCTTTCCTCGCGCGCGACGATACCGGCCTGGACGAACGAGGTGATGTATTCCGAAAGATGGTTGTCGGTTTCGGCAGCGGTGGATGAAGGAGGTGGAGGGGAGAAGTAAGCGAGGCGGCGGAAAGAGGTGTGGAAGTCCATGTTGTACGCGTGAAGGTTGGAGAGGAAGTCCTGAATGATCGATCTGTCGTCCGAGGGCTGAGACGTCTTCAGACCGAATCGCTGACATGTCAGCTATGGTCCAGATACCTTGGTCGACTACAGGCTGACCTTCATCCAGAGCTCCTTCTCTTTGGCCTTTTGAATCGACCAGTACTTCTCCTCCCAGCCCTTCATAACGACCTCCGCCTCGTTCCGCCAAGCTTCGACATCGGAAGAACTCGCTTTCGATGACCAGCCCTCAGTGGCGATAGTCGAAGACGTGGCTTCGTATCCGATGAGAGGGGCTAGTGCTTGATACAGCTTGTCGAGAGCGAAGACGATGCGAGGGGGTTGGTTCGCGTATGAATACAAGCCGGAAGGGTCAGAGTGGTCTGATAATCAGCTCGATGCGGGGAGATCCGCGAGGAAGAGGACTTACTGCAGATGTGGTTCTCGTCAAAGACGTCCATGAACGCGTAAGGTCCATAGTCTATTGTTAGGCCCAGGATGCTGACGCTAGCTGCATCAGCTGATATCCCGCCTAGAGCCGTACAATCCAGAGTTACAACTCACTTGTCCGTATTGATGACCCCATGGCAGAACCCATACGCTTGCCACCCAGCTACCATCTCCGCGTTCCTCTTGACTGCCATGTCAAACACCTCCTTCGCTCCCACCTTCTCGTTCCCCTCAAACCAGCCAAGCTCCCCCATGATGCCCTTACACCACTCCACCAGCTTTCCCAGGCTCTCCAGATTCCCTTGCCCGCCGACCGGTCCGCCATCCTCATCTTCAGCAGCACCGCGCCACTGCCCGCCAAAGAACATCTGGCGCGAATCCCGCGCAGACTTGGACGGGCTGAGCGCCTCAAAGTGTCCGATACGGATGAAAGAGGGAGCGATACGCGCGGTGAGGGAGGTCGGCTCGGGTCCGTATTCGCGCATGACGGGCAGGGAGGGCGCGGTGAGAAGTGCCAGGGCGCGGGTGGTGGGTATATCGAGAGCGGCGATGGCTGGATGTCAGCTGGACAGCGAAAGATGGGGGAGGGACATACCTTCACAACCGAGATACTCTCTTACTCCACTCCGCAATACTGCTAGGCCATCCGCAGTTCGGGAGAACGGCGTCCGCCCGCCACCTTTCAGCTGGATCTCTTGCCGCCCGCCCTTGTCCGATGTCGTCTCCAGCAAAGAAATAGCTCGACCGTCCCCAAGCTGACCCGCCCAGACCCCAAATTGGTGCCCACAGTACCTCGTAGACCAGGGCCCATAAGACCCTTCCCCACTGGCAACAACATGTCTCCCGGACAAGACATCCGTCAGTACGGTATTTGCCTCGCTATCCGCTGACAAATCCGAGCTAGCATCAAGCTGGGGCAGCGAATCCTCCAGCGTGCCCTGTGAGACACCGAGGAGGTAAGACTCCAGCTTGAGCCGATGATCGCTCGTCCACCTTTGCAGCGCCGACTTGCTGCTCTCCGCCTCCTGGTCAACAGAGTCGACGGCATCCCATCGCTTCAGCACATCCTCCACATTGACCTGCTGCCCCGCATCCACATCGACGCCCATCTCCAGCAACTCCTCCTTGGTCACCCGAAGTGGCCAGGAAGCCCATAAGGGGTTAACGCGCGCCCAGATCCCTTCGGTGGAGGTCTTGAAGGTGGTCGCACGGCGTTGAGAGACAGGGGAGGGATCGAGTTCCAGCTGAGGAATGCAGGATTGTAGGGTCTTTGCCGGTAGCGGAAGGCGGTGGATGGGGTATTTTGAGGCGCTCATTGTGCTGGATATTACCTGTCGAGTAGTATGAGAGCGTAGCATGAGCTTGAGCTTGAGGATATAGACGTATTAGAAAGAGCTTGGACAACGGTCTACAACTTCCGTGTGCACCAGCTGATTTGGGTGGCGATTGCGCTATGACGTCATCAGACCAGAGTGGCGGCAGCTGCAGGCTAGGAGGTCCTGTAGCCATTGCAAGGTGAGGTTTGGTATGTATCCGAGTTCAGGCAGCGGCCACCTAAGGGACGTGCCGACTTGCAGTGTGTTCTTCGCAAGTATCAGCGGATGAGTAGCCTACCTGATTCAGAAACTCCTCGCTATATTCGCGCTCCTTTCCGAGGAGTGGCAGCAAGGATCCCGGCTGCGGTATCTCAGCTGAGCCGTGTTATCTAATCTCACATGGGCATCAGGCTCATCGCTGAGGCCGGATCCGCTTGTTGTTTGAAAAAGGCTTTTGAACGGGATACACTGCGCGACGCAGGTATAATAGTGTCCGGTCAGATACGGTCCGATGTGGGGCGAGATCTCGCCATCAGAAAAAAGATGCATTTGCCCGCGGCGAATCCGGTTGTACCTTCTCGAAAGCCAGTGGCTGCGAGGTGAAGCGCTCAACAGGGTGTACAGCCAGAGGGCGCTCCCACCCCCGTCTGTTATCGGTGTGCGACTCCAATCCCGATGTGGCCCGGTGCATAATTCCTCGACGGTCTGCCTGCCACTGGAACTGCGACGTATGTAAGTGAGACTGTGGCTGGAGAAGCATTCCTAGCACTGTCTCAGAGCGGTGAGGGTGGTGAGTGCGCACGTGCTACAGAGCTGCCCTCTCCTCCCTGTCCTCTTCCAGCAGCTCCTTCAGCCTCCTTCCCTACCTATCGTTCCCTTCCGGAGTTTCGGACTCGCGAGATCTGCAGGCACCGCAAGCCGCAGACGTAAATGACCTGATATTGCCGTCATGATTCCCATGGTAGGGTTGTGTCAGCATATGCATTTGCCGATTGGAGACATATCTGACGTTTCAGATCTGAGATGCTGATCTAGTCAGGGAGCGATCGAGCAAGCAGATCTGCAGAGATCTGCATGCCTCAGGATTCGTATTTTTCATGTGGCAGTTGAGAAGGGTTCACAAGCTTGAGCGTCCCTTGTCACCATTCCGAACGCCTCCCAGGCGCTGACGAATGCTGACAGAATCCTTCGTAAAGGAGGACGCAGCGGTCGTCCGTCCGTGGTAGGCATGCCGGCGACACGTGCAACGTGTTCTCAACCTCTTTCATTCTCATCTTCCGAATGAGATTCTCCTGACCACCCACGCTCCTTGCTCCGTCTAGATCATGCTCTTCAGCCCCCTCCTAGCGCTGGCCGCACTCTCTCTAGCCCTCTGCTGGGCCTCAACCGTCCCCATTGCCTTTGACGAGCTGGACTCGACCCCATCCTACTACTCCGCATCCGCTTCAAAGGCCCGTGTCGCCACAGTCATCAAGAGCAGGCAGACCAGCAAGGAGGCCATTCTCCGCCGGGCAGCTGTGCGGGCGACTAGAAAATTGAGTGCGCCCAGAGCATTCTCGTCCACCTCGTGAGTATCTTTTTGTGCCAACTTGATGATCCCCCGCTGGCTTCGGCTGACCTCTCAGTCCTAATGGCTTCACCGGCAGTACTTTCGTCCTCCAGCGAACGGGAACGGGGTCATATATCGGCCAAGCGACCACTACCGACTCTTTTACACAGGGCTACACTCTTCAGACCGCCACCCGCTTCAAGTTTGACTCGAAATTCCGCATAGTCACCGCAAGTGGTGGACTCATCAGTAAGTCGAGCATTCTGTTCGCTGTGGCTGCTCACGAGAGTGGCAAGAGCTGAAGCCGCACAGTGTACTCTGCCAGCAACACCGCCGGTCCATCAGCTATCTCCGCAGACACAGAAACGACCATCGCAGGCACGGCGGCCAAGTCCATCTTGACATGCAAGATCGACTCGTCCAGGCTGCTCTCGTGCAGTCGGTTCACCACCGCCACTGCCGGAACGTTCTGCCTCAACGTCCAAACTACAGCGGCGAATCCCAGCGACACTACCAAAACCATCGCTGGGTTCGGAAATACCTGCACGCAATTCCGAACGCTGTCTCTCACCGAGGTGGATGTATAGACCGGGTCGGGCCGATCACAGGTATGAGATCGCTGGGAGTGGCGGGTAGGGGATACATAGTAGACTTGGGCGCCGGCGTCCCTTTGCCAGAAACGGACAATAATAACAACAACTTGTAGCATAATTAGAGTATGCATATAGACATCAAATGAACCTTAATGCTTTGGACTATAGAGATACTAGAGGTACATGCTTTGGCGTATCCTCAGCTCGGTGTCACTTTGGCTCATAGCGCTAGTATCTCACCTGTTTCATATGGGCTATTGGACATGGGAGTATTCGCGACTCCTATCAAGTCGGCAGCGAGGACTCAATGTCGGTGGTGAGATGAGCAGCAGGCAGGACCTCCTATGTGGCATTGAGTAGGATTGCCTCTGGCGGTAGAGGATGCAGCGCCCGGAGTGGCGGAATACTGTGCTTGTACGCAGTACGCACGGACATGTACTTCTTTCCTATCAAGCGTACGCGTGGTGGGCAGTCATCTCGTCTCAACTTGTCCTCTCATGTCTTTGGTCTCCGTAATCTCCAGTCTGCGATCACCATCTAGATATATACATTGCCCCCAGACGTGCAGATAGCCACTGAAGGCGCTCTCTCTCTTCGCATATCGCTCTCGCTCTCAGCCATGATCCTCGTCCCTACCGATCTATCAGCTTCTTTCCCACTGTGCATTACCGGCTTCAGCTATACAAACGCAGCTTATCCTGGACTGCCGAGGACTGACTGTTCCGATTGGCGCGCTGGACGTCGTGGCCTGTATTGGTAAGAACTCGAGGCATGGCCAAGGCGGTAAGAGTGGCGCGCCAAGAGTAGCACTCGGATTACGTCACCGCCACATTCTGCGACTCATTCCTCGTCGATCTGGTTTGGCTGGCAGCACGAGGCCTGCCGGAAATGCATGCGGCTGGGAGGGCGCCAGCGCACAGAACCTGAGGCTCTCACATCTCGACAGAGATTTTCGGTAGCAGATATCGCATGGAGTGCGATGAGTTTTTGTCGATCAGATCCGCCACTTGCAAGCTGCAAAGGCGCGCCACCGCTGCAATCCCCCAAGCTATTCGAGCTCGCACTGTGTGAAGAGGCTGCAGGGATGCGCAACGGCTCCAGATCTGCTGCCTCATTCAAGGTGTTACAGACTTCTTTGATCAGCCACAGAACCCAGAAAAGCGGGCAGCCGAGGGCCAGCGAACCCACTGTCCCAAGGAATCCTTTGATTGAGCGTCATTTCAGGTCCTGGACAGAAGCTGAACGCTGCTTTGTTCTCATCGCAGGAGTATAAGGCCGGTAGATACCCAATCAGTCTTATATAACTGCACATACATCTCTGCAACCGCACAGAACCACCAGAAGTCCAGCTATCGAACGTACGACGGTACTATCATGCAACGGTCAGCCTACGGACAAGGGTCTACGCACGGCCAACAACCGGGTGGCGACACCTATGGCAGCTCAGTACCGACTGCCTACATGTATGCAAGTCCGGTCCCGCCCAGAGAGAACAAGGATCCTTGGCTGTTCGACCAAGACGGCCGCATCTTCCACAGCGGGGCACCGTGGATGGGTCTAGACTTCCCTCAACGCCGCCGGATCGCAAAGCAGCAGGATGTTGATGGGGCGCATCGATGGGAATATAATCTTCACGGGAATGCAGCACGGCTACATGGCAGTACACTGGAGCATGGACTACCGCGGCAGTCGATCACGTATACTGAGCACTCAAGCGAGCAGGCTTGCCTGTCTTCGACCCACAAGACAGCGGCACCGCACACTGTCAGTGAAGATCGAGATCCTGGGCATGGCCCTCCGTCCGACTCTGACAGGAGATCAGACGATCCAATGTGGGACTTGGCGGACGATACTGATCTGGAAGAGGACGTGCAAGGGATCAGTAGCTCCGATGCTGCCCACTGTCACGCCGTGATCGGGCGCGAACCGGTGAGAACCTCGCTATCGACAAATGATGAGAACATGGGCGTGGGTTATGCGGAAGCCAGACAGCCCTCTCGAGTGATCTCGCTGGTGCGGCATAGCGAGTCTGCCCGAAATCCCACAATAATGAGCAGGAGCTTGAAGACATATTATAAATCCCGAGAGCGACGGAAGATACTCACGGCTCGAGGGATATGGCGCACGAAGACAACACCACGGGAACTGCCCTTGTACTACCTGGACAAAATATTCTCACTTACAAGTGATGCCGAAAGGGATGATGGCTATCAGGGGTATGCGATACACTCAGTGCGAGCCAAGGGCGGAACAGGCAAGAGAACGTAATCATTCCTGAGCCCGGCGGCGGTATTGAGGGTGGGCGAGGAGACAGTACCTCTTTTCAGGGTCGATCTCGAATCCGCTTAACATGGCGTGAGGAACGAGATATCAGACGAAATGGCAAACAGCCGTCGTCACCACAGAGTCCAACCGAAACGGCCTGGCGGCGACCTTTCCCAGGGACCGGGATCCCCTTATAATCAGACCACACAAGCACAGGGTGGTGACGGCTCGGCAGCTGGGAGTAGGTCTCAAAGTACCTCGTTCAACGTAGGCTGGCAGTGTCATCTGCAGGCATTGGCAGAAGCGTATTTCAAACTTGCGGGGCGCGGGGTACAGCGGACGGACAAGGCAAAGACCCGGAGTATCCAGCTAACGTTCCTGCGAGAGGTTCTTTCATACACGGAGAACAAGGAGAATCTGGAGGGGAGGTCGGATTTCTCAGGTCTCGTGATCCACAATGAGGCCAAGAGTCGAGTGGCTGCGAGACCTGTTTTACTTGATTGGAGATCGTCCATTGGGCCAGAAGGCGGCGGCATCAGTATCCCCTTGTTGGAGCCATGGATGGACGGGTTCCGGCAGCCGGAAAGCGAGGTTTCCAGTAGCTCTTCGTAAATCTGCGGGTCTAGTGACGCGAACCGGAACCGTCGACTACGGCAAATGGCAGAAGCGTTTCTTGAGCTCGAGAGGCGAGGCGTACGGCGAACGGGGACAGTCGATACGCTTCGCGTGCAGCCCGACTTTCTCCGCCATGTCCTCTCATACACGGAGGAAACAGAGGGTAAGGAGAGGGTGCCGAAATACTCTGGCCTGCTCATGCACACTAGGGGTAAGAGGCACTCCGGGGCGAATCCTGTTCGACTGGGTTGGAGATCGGCGGTAGAGGCAGCGTACGGTGGAACAAGCATGTCCTTGTTGGGGCCATGGATGGATCGGTTCACACGGGCTAGGGGCGGCAGCGCGCCGCACATGGGTGGCGCCACTGGCACTTCTTGATCGATTTCTGGGACTACCATAGTCTCACTGGTTGCCTACGTACGGTCAGACACGTGTATTCACTATTATCACAGCAGCTCGATTTGTTACAGATTGAGAGGTCCCCCGGGATTCCACTGCTCGATGAGACTGTCATGGCCATAGCCAGCCTTTTAGTAGTGGGTGGCAAATGCTATAGGAATCTTCTAATGCGCCAATTCCTATTCCATTTCATTTATAGACAGTTGCTCTTACGTACCGCCTAACGTAAGCATATCTGATTACAACTTTTTCACTCTCCTCGGCAGCTTCTCACCCATCTTTCACACTTTATACACCAGCACGCAGCTCTAATATGTCGCCCACCGTCACCCCAGCCCAGATGACCGCCATGCGTGAGACCTTGCTCAACACATCCGGAAGCACCCCGCTTCACGAGCGATTCCGGGCGCTTTTCATGCTGAAAGCTATTGGGAGCGATGAGGTCGTCAAGATCGTTTCAGATGGTCAGTCAAGGCTTCACTACTCGCCATACGGAGATATCGGACCAGTCAGGAGAGGATTTGCCGACGATCCGCATAAGGAATTCTCGCTGACTGCCTCAGGCCTCGCAGACCCATCGCCTCTGCTCAAACACGAGCTCGCCTACGTCCTCGGGCAAATGCGCAACCCGCTTGCCATTCCAACCCTCGAAGCCGTCCTGATCAACGAGCAAGGCGCACACTGCTCGATGGTACGGCACGAGGCTGCTGAGGCCCTCGGGGCGTTGTCGAGCCAGAGCAGTCTGCCCTTATTGCGAAAGTACCTGGATGATCCGGCGAGGGAAGTGAGGGAGACGTGTGAGGTGGCGGTGGGGAAGATAGAGTGGGATTGGTCAGAGGAGGGAAAGGCGCGGAAAGCCAAGTGAGTCTTCGCTCGGAGCAGTGGGCCTATGGGCCGGGAAAATAGGATTGTGTCAGGGTCAAATAGGAACTGGGAGACGAGGTGGGGTCCAAAGGATACTGCGCAGAGGTAGTCGGAGGAGTCAGGATCTTGAGAATGGTAGATCTACGGAGCAGGGGAGACAGCGTATCGGCAAGGTCTCCTACTTGTCGGGATCTGGGTTGATCTACAATCTGGGGAGGAGAGAAAGCTGACCCCCAGCCCAAACTTCCCAACAATAGACCCCGCCCCATCCTCCTCGTCCACATCCATCCCCTCCATCCGCGCCGAGATGCTCAACCGCAAACTCCCGTTGTTCGAGCGGTATCGCGCCATGTTTGCGTTACGGGACTTTGGGGGTGCGTCGAGGGAGGCGGTTTTGGCGTTGGCGGATGGGTTTGGGGATGAGAGTGCTTTGTTCCGGTAAGCTACTTCGCCGTCTACCACTTTCCCTTCCCTTCTCCCCTGTATATCCCCTGCACCTCAAAGCTAGATAGACGAAAGGCGAGATCATGCTGACAACCAGTCACGAGATCGCCTACATATTCGGCCAACTCTCCTCCCCCCACTCCATCCCCTCTCTCCTGCACGTGCTCTGCAATCAATCCGAGGACGATATGGTCCGGCACGAAGCGGCCGAGGCGCTGGGCGGGATCGCGTCAGACGGGATCGACGACGAGATGGACGCGGCGGATTCCAAGTTGCCGGACGGGGGTGTATTGGCGATTCTGAGAGAGTGGGCGGTGAAGATGGATGCGCCGCTGGTGGTGCGGGAGAGCTGTCAGGTTGCTGTGGATATGTGGGAGGTGAGTCTTGGTCTCCCCGCGGGGCGAGAAAGGGAAGAGGGGAGATGAGTTGATGAGCAGTACGAGAACTCGACAGAGCAGTTCAATCCCCTTGACGGGGTCGAGAAGGCGTACACGACAGGTATGGAACGGAGCGCGGCGAATGCGCTAGCGGCTGTGGCTGCTTGAGCTGGCGCTGCTGGCGATGCTGCATGCTGGCGCTGGACGCTTCGTGGTCAGACTTGTTTCGGTAGAGATCCCCATGCACACATCTATCCATCCACCTTTTTATGGCTCTTCTCAACACTGTCTACAGCTCACACCCCCAACCCACTGATCTCCTTTGCTAGATCGACTAACCGCTTCTCGCCCAACTTGGCCGCTCGGTCCCTGACTAGATCCTTTGCGACTTGTACCCTGCCTACTTGAAGACTTCCAGGCAAAGATCGGGCCACGAGCTATATTTATCAGCTTTCCCCTGATGTCGCTAGAACGGGAGCGATCGAAAAAACTCACTACATTGCCGAGAGCGATACCTGCGCGGTAAATCGTCTCATTATCGGTCTGCTCATTCTGCAGAACCTGCATAATCAGCTGTTACCCTGACTCCGACTGCGGAAAGAAGAGAAGCGAGCTGACCGTCACAATCAGATCTAACAGCGCCTGCCCATGCTCCGCCGGCAGTTCCCCTTTGACGCCCAAGATCGAATAGCTAAGATGATCAGCTTCGCGCAACCTGCCATGAGGACCACCCAGCTGACACTCAAGACTCACTTGAGCGCAACAGTTGCCGCGGCCACTTTCCACTTCCCGCCCCCAACCCCGCTTTCCCACCTCCCCTGCCCCATTCCAGCAAATACCGCCTTCGCATCGCTGACCACCGAGGCCCGACCTGGCTTCGTACTGAATAAATTGGAGATACCGCGCAAAGCAAGAAGGGTGTTGGTCTCCCTCGCTTTCGTCTCGGCGGGCGAGGGGGCTTGACCCCAGTTGGCCAAGGTGAGGAAGTCTGTCGCGAGCGAGGGAGTTGCAGCGAAAGATGGGGAGAGGGCGGCTAGGCACCGCGCGAGATCGATGACTACTACATCAGCTCATCTTCTCATTTCCTTCACTTCGCCACTAGAATCGATGGGAAATTGGAGATGTCACTCACGAGGGAATCTCTGCGCTTCCGGCCAGCTCTGCACGATCCGCATCAACCCCTCCGCGGCCTCTCCTCCGCTCTCCGCCTCGGTCGAAGGGAGCTGGCCCGCCGGTAGTCCCAAGAACGTGTACACCCGGCCCAACACCGCCTCGTTGTCTGCGGAGAGAAGCTTGAGGTCCGCGTTGATCGAAGCAATCTTGGACTTTGCCGCGGTGATATTCATAGTCTTGAACGTCTGGAAGGTAGTCACGGGCAGTACACCTTTAGGTTTGGAGGGCGCGGAAGGGGTGGATGAGTACGATGAGCCGCCTAGTAGGTCAGCTGCTGTTCTGCTGCATCCACTCAGGGAGGTCCAGGTCAAGGCAGGTGACGGAACGCACCGGTATATGGGTCCGCACCTCCTCCGAACCCTCCTCCGAACCCTCCTCCGCCACTGCCGCCTCCACCTCCACCTCGACCACCCGTAGAAACCCCTCCACCGGTATACCTCGATCCGCCCGTGAACGGATCCACAAACGTCTCCTTGTCGCCTCCCGTGCCCAGCTCCACACCACCCGAGTTCTTGTGGATGAAATCGACGACTTGGTCTGCGTACGACGAGGGGAGATCGTGTTTCGTCAAGAACTTTTGAGCGGCGGACCATGGATTTTCTGCTGTATCAGCTTCTTGCCCGCCTGGTATTCCATGTCGACGCAAAGTTAGCTCACCTGATGCGTTGTAAGGCAACTTCAATGGAGGCATCCCCTCACTGACATCCACGTCGAAAACAAAGTCATATTCTTGCCCTTCGTATAGCTGTCTCCGGCCCGATCCGACCGCATCGACCACTTGACCGATCTGCTGCCATGTCGTCGTTGGTGCGGACCACTATTGTGTCAGCTTGTCCGCACCACGAGGAGGATTACCCAACTCACTTGGTATGCCTCGACCTTGTCGTTGTTCTTGATCATGATCACCTGACCGTCCTTCTTGCCTAAAATATCAGCTCAAGGCCTCAGAAGCGTCGAAAGACCACAAAGCTGGCTCACCCTCCCGGCCCAGCGCCTCCATTCCCGGCAAATCCGAATGCTTGACGTCCCCAACTTGGCTCCTATCTCATCAGCTCATGTCATGCCCGAGGAGGCCATACGCAAGCTCACTTGTCCAACTGCCGCTGCGAGATGTCCTGCGTCCATTTCTCCCTTACAGTCTCGGGCGCCATCAACTCCTTCTCTCTCGTGAAGAACCGGATGATCCCGTCGTTCGACGCCGAGGCGATATAGGGGCTCGAGCCGGATGCGGAGGGGACGACGGTACTTGACCAGAGGGAGGTGGAGGGGTGGGGAATGGTTTGGAGGAGTTCCGTCACTAGATGTCAGCTTTCGCGCCAACGAAGAGATGGTGGAGGTGGAAGCTCACTAGACCATACGCGGAGCGTGCCGTCTTCGCCGGAAGAGATCGCGCCTGATCCGTCTGGAAGGGCGGTGACGGAGTAGACGAAGGAGGTGTGTCCGGAGAGGGACTGTTCGGGTGATGGTCGATCGAAAGAGTATAAGTTGACCAGACTTGTATAGATCAGCTGGGTACCTCTGGGACTGCAGGAATCGACCAGCTGTGAAGAGCTCACCTGTCATTCGCGGAACTCCAGAACCCCTTCCCGTCCGTCCGCAAGCTCAGACCTCGGACAGGCTGATTATGCCCCGTATACTCTTGCAGCACGGTCGATTTTCCGGCAGCAAGGTCGAAAGTGTGCAGCTTGATCTTGCCATCCGCGGAAGCTGAGAGTCAGCTCTGTTCCTGGAAAGGTCATAGTACAGCGAGCTTACCGGTAACAACGCGATCTTCGCCCACAAACTTGACAGCCCATACCGCCTGCTCGTGCGCTTCTATCTTTGCCGCAGTCTTGAAGTCCCGCCAGATGATCACCGACCTGCTTATCAGCTCGAGCCCACCGAGAGAAGGACAGGGAAGGAAGCTCACTTGTCCCAACTTCCGGTAGCTATAAGCCCATTCTTGCTCGTGTCCATACAACACAGATTCTGCTTGTGCTCTATGAGCGCATGGTGAGGCTCTGGCGACGCGCTCGTCTGAGGTGGCGAAGTAGCTGAAGGAAGCATGAACGTCGAGAGGATCCCGTTCGATGAACCCAAAAGAAGGTATGCTATCCCGTCAGCTCTGCTCGCGATGGGCAAACCGGCAGCTCACCTTCCCCGCTGGCCCGTATCATCCCTACGCAGGAGATATACCTCCCCTCCGGACCCTGCACTTGCAGCTTCATGTCCCATTCTCCGGGATCACGAGAGCTGGGACCCCAGAGGACACCGGACCCATCGCGCGAGCCAGAGAGGAGGAGCGGGACTCCGGCCTGCGGCGCGAGGATATGCCGGACGTCTGAAGAGTGGCCTTGGAGAGTGAGGGCGAGCTCGTAGGGCGTGTATGACATCTTGGGTAGGTAGGAAGGGAGAAGGAAAGAGTGACGATGGTGGAGCTCGTAAGCGTCGCCTTGGCTCAGTTGGGCGGGGATATCGGCAATCTCCGTGAGCATTTACGTACAGCTGAGACGAGGAATGCGGAGTGCGGCAGACGTCCTGTTCGCCACCCGCCACCCGCCTAATCGCTGGCTGTTGAAGCCAGCATGACGTATGCCGGCCACGGTAAGACGGGTCTGCGTACCATGAGGGTTGTGTGTCTCTTGATATAGCTTGCCAGACCGCACCTGAGTCTGCGAAGCGTTTCAGTTTCCACAGGGCAAGAAATTTAACGTGTGCGTCGCTAGGCTGAGCACGGCACCGTGATTCGCGCATCCCTTGTCGTTGCACCGCATCTAGCACGTCTGAGGTCGTCTATGATGACTATCGACTTTTGATCCGATCTAATTAATAGGCTCCTCAGGCAGCGGAGCGAGGCAAAGGCGATCTGATGCAGTGATGATACGCGTTCGAGCTCGATCCGATCCATTGAGCAAAGCACGCCATCAAAGGAAACATTAGACAATGGTCGATACCTACATCCCTAAGGTATGATGAGATCGAGGGAACTTCTCGAGTATATAGCTTGAACCGGTCTGCGTTGCATCGTCACGTCTATATCTAGCTATCCAGGGACACGCGCTGAATTGTTCCAGTAAATGTGAGTCGTGCAGGAGTCATTTGGCACTCGCTACTCCCGCGAGACCGAGGAGCTTGAGTGATTCAGCAATCTGCCGTATAGACTGGATCACACAGAAGGACCAACTTACGTGCGCGGACTTGCCTGCTAGGCTGGAAGTTCGTAAACCTCTGTAGGCTCAGTGGCATCGACTGTGGTTTGGTGTTGGGTCCGGCGGCGACTGGTCTCTCCGGCGATGTCACGACCTGTCCGAGATTCATAGCTCGGTCCCGCCTGAGTCACATAATAAGGGTCCGAAGTGTACCCCGTTGGATGCCCCGAGCGGATCGATGTGTCCGCCAATTCGTAGATTTCGGAAGGTGCGATGGAGGTGTCTTCAAGCTCGTAAGGCCCGTGATCTGTGAGGGGGGACTGTGTTCTGCTCGCTGAAGATGTCCGCTCGGAATCCGAGTCGAGCACATAGGCTTGGCTATCGCGCTCGGCAACGAGGGACGGAGTGTACGAGGGGAGTACTGCGATCTCTGCTTGGAAATGGGCCGCTGGTACAGTGACATCACCACTCCCAAAAGCATTCGATTGGTTGTGGAGCGAGGAATCTCGAGATGTATCGGTCTCAGTAGAATCAACTCTCCGCGGAGGCATGTATGAGAAGATACCGTACATTGAAGATCGATCACTTGTTTGAGGGTCGAAGGGAGACTCATCGGCATCTTCATCCGGGGGCTCCTCGTCGCTTTCCGTTATGTCCGATCGCAGGCTAGATCGGACACTGAGGTCTTCCTCGGAGCTCTGTAGACTTCGGTGGCTGACTACTGCTGCCTGCTTGCGTTCTCATATTCAGCTCACCTCGCAATAATTTCCCGAAGATGAGGATCCTTCCGCGGAGAAGCGAGTGGAATTTGATATTGGTTTGCGCGGCACGAGTAACTTTGTCGACCGACCCAGAGACGAGGGACTGTCGTAGCGGGCTACGAAGCGATCTTAGAACAGCACTAGAAGGTAGATCCACGCGCATCCGCGACCTCAGGCACTCGGCGCGCGCGGCCTTCAAAGGATGAGCGAATCCCCTTGTTTCACTTATTTCAGTAGAGTGACACCTTTCATGCAGGTGCACGTCTGGACAAAGGTGACCAGGGAGATCCAAATGGTCATGATAGTTGACCCAGAGGCAATCTGAATGCTATGAACTAGTGGCGATAACGGCCACGAAGTGTAATGCGGTGAAGATAACCCTACTTCCGGCCCGCGCCCCCTTGTACTCCTTTAGCACGTCATTTAGGCAGTCCTTGCAATCTCACCGGCTCCACACGATCTAGCCTCACGGGCTGGATCTGTATCTAACTTGTCATATGGGCCCAAAAAGGATGATTCTTTCAGTCAGATCTCTATATAGTCGATTTGAAAGCCTGTACGTTTGGGTCCTTTCATCATCTCGGCACACTATACATCTACTTGAGCTGAAATACGCTCGCAAGAAGCGTCCTATAGGGATCTCGCACCTTGCAATCACTGACTAGATCTGGTTGGATCTTTCAGGATCTGGCTGGATCTGCGCCGAGTTGCCGAATGCGTGTGAATTCTTTGTGCGACTCGGCGCATTGCCCCTTCTCTTGGGGTAGAACACGATTGCGATGGAAGGCATATGAGCCCTAGTAGCCCCAGTCCCTTGTGGCCCCCTCCTCACTTGGGCTAATCCAGCAATATATAAGCCCCCAGATCTGCTATCTTCTTCCTCAACCTCACTTCATCTTGCCCAATCCCAACGATCAAGATCCACATGTCCGACTCACAGTCACAGGCGGACGGCGCGACCGCCTCTACCAAAACGCCTGTACCGCAGACCCAGACCATCATACCCTTCCCTACTCCTGCGGCGACCACTTCCTCGGCCGCAGATGGTGCGACCACTGCCTCGCCCGCAGATGGTGAGACGGTCATCACTTTACCCGCATGGCAGACAGACATCGTGACGGCGCTGGGAGCGTATCACAAGTCACTCCGGAAGTTGACCGGGTTCGCCGATCCCAGCGACGAACCGGCGGACGGCAATGCCGCGCAGGTCAACGCAGAGACGTATGCGGGCGGCTCTTCGAGTGCCCAGCCCATCCATGCCGGTGACTCTGCCATGGAGGACTTGATGGAGTGCGTCGCTGCTTACGACCAGGTCCTGAACACCGCTCGCAAGATTGCGGACGTCGACCCCACCCGACTGCTCGAGGAGATTCAAGCACCTCATCCAGGTATCACCGCTCAACAGGACGCTCACACTGCTTTGCTGCGCGACCGGGAGAAGAAGTGGCTCCCCAAGTCTCTCACCTACTACAAGGACAAACACGCGGACGCCGCGGAAGCGCATCAGGAGAACTACTCGAAGAAGATCAAGAAATGGTTCGACACAACGGAGAGCCTTCCTCGGCAGAGCAATGGTCCGCTTTCCACCCTCATCACGACCTCAGCACTCGAAGCCTTCAAGATTCAGGCTCTGAATGGAGTGGCAGACCTTGCTGCCAGACTGTCGCAACCAGGGTATCCAACGAGTCACAAGGCCGCCAGCACTACCACCGGTACTGAGCTTGCAAGCGATTCGATCGGACAGACGGGTTACCTCTTTACCGGTACACTCACACCACAGATGGAGGCACTCAAGCACACCTTCAGCCTGCTTCCGGACCTCCACCGGCTGCGCAGGGAGCACAAATCTCAACTGATGAATGTTGCACTCAAGGCGAGGCTGAGAGACCATCTGCAAGAGCTTCAGTCCAGGTCCAAAGACGCTCGCGCGACTGTCCAGCACAAGGATGAGGCTGTGGACAAAGGACGACAAGATCTGATGCAGGTCGATGGTGACTCATGTGACACTGCGGGTCTCGAGGATGAAGATGAGGCTGTGTACAAAGTGCAGCGTGGTTCGATGGTGGACGCCGAAATCGCCAAGAAAGACAAGATTTCCTTGGCTGGAGATGCTCATTATGCCACTTGCGACCTGCTCCGAGTCATCGAAACCTTCGACAAGACACTGGCGACGATGCGTGAGCTGGCTGGCGAGGGCCCAGAATATGTTCTCTCTTGGTTCTACGAAAGCAAGCCTGACGAGGGCGTAAACCAGGCGTTGCGAAGCGGATTGACCGACTGGTTCCCATTGGCGCTTACTGAGGGTTCGAAGGCGGATCTGGAGAAGTGGCAGAAGCAACACGATGAGAAATATCGTTTCGTGAAATACCTATTCTCGGAGAATGACTTCTCCGACCGCTATGACAAAGGCAAACAGGTCAAGTCGGAGGACGTGCTCAAGCTTTACAACGATCTCGAAGTCAAGCGCGCGGCATTCGCTGACCAATTCGCGGCGTCATACGACGAGCCTCTCACCGGAGTCAGCGCTCCTTCCGCTTCTCACGGTACGGCGATATTGTCGGGTGTCTCCGCTGCTGAGACCCAACGTGCAAGCAGGAACGCATTGATCGCCCTGGCCTGGATGCTCCCGGAAGTCATCACGCTTCGCGTGAAGACCTTCGACCATCTGTCCAGCGTTGCCAGCAGACTTGACTATCTGAACCATCATGGAGAGGCGGCGGAAACAGTGTCATCAAATGCGGCTGATCAGACTGTGATGCTATCTCTGTAGAAGGGTGGGTTGAGAAGTCTTGTGTGAGCGCATATCTGGGTGGCGGATCGGTATCTTACATGTGCTTTGTGTCATTGTGAATAAATCGGTTCGATCTTGTGTATACCTTATGCAAGTGCCGTCTACTACGATGATTGATATATGGGCTGCATAGGCAGATCATGCGCATCGGCAGATAGTATGATACAACATGTGTTGTGATCTAACCGGCCAGCACGCTGGTACCCATTGAGCAGGCTTTCAGATTGTCCGGTATCGTGCAGGCCATCTGACTCATCAATATGGCGAGTCTGGAGCCAGGCGTGCGTGCCGACGCCGAGGAGCGACAGTCTAGCTATAGCTTCGACGTGGAGGTGGCGAAGACTAGAGGGTCTCACCGCCACTCTCGCTGACATTGATCGCTTCCGTCGGAAAGGGCACCTCGGTCGCCGACGGCCTCGTCGTCCGCCAGCCATGTCAACCAGCCTCCCCTCTCTCCCTCTCTCTCTCTCTCGAGATATCGCACCTTACTCAACTGTACATACACCACCTCCATCTACAGGCTGTACATAGCTGCTCGAGAAGACAGGCAATACACGATGCCAGACCTCCTCACTCCTCAAACAATCGCCTCAGCCGGTCCCCTCGTCATCGACACCCTGCTCAAACACTTCCTCTCGCACAAGTCCCTCAAGGCGCGAAGTAAAGCCCGGGGCGACGACCTACTCTATGATGAGGCTTTCGTACTGATGAAGACCTTTCTGGAGTCTGCTACAAAGTACGTCTACCTCTCCGCACCTTGACCACCGCTGATTGGTATCAGATACCCCGTCGCCTCGCTCCAGAAATTCGGTCAAGTCCGCACTCCCGCCCCGCCCGCTGTAGCGATCCACCACATCTCCATCCCACACCGCTCTCTCGCCCTGTCGGCGGAATACCTGATCAAGGCGTTCGGGGGCGAAGAGATGGCGTACAAGATTGCGGGTGGGAGTAAGTGGTGGCAGGTCCGTGCGGGGGCGGGGCTGGAGGCGGAGTGGATCGTGATGAAGAAGGATTATAGGGAGTGGGAGAGAGGGGAGAAGGGGCGGAAGAAGAGTGGGGCTGGGGCTGAGGGGAAGAGGGGGTCGGGAAGTGGACCGGCTAGTGGGGTGGGAACGCCGAAAGGGAAGGAGAAGGCCAAGGTGGGGGTGGAGAAGGAGGAGACGGGGGAAAGTGCGGATGATGCTGGGTGTGAGTGCTTCTTGGGGCAGCTGGGAATGGAGCTGATGATCAGGGAGAAGCGAGATGGACGAGACGAGGTGCATGCTGTACAGTGCGTTCTCTTCTATTCCGACAAAGGGATTATGCTGACGCTCAGTCCATGGTGGAGCATACTACTGGGGCTCGATCAATACCCACCGCTATACTATCTGGCGGTACGCTCGTAAGATGCGCGGTCGGTGCTTTGCCGTCAATTACAGAAGTGAGTCGCAGCTCGTCGGACCTCACAGCCCCACAGCTCAGTTCGCCTCGCAGCCATGTTTCTCGAGTACAGATACCCAGAGCTGACCTTCTGCTAGAAGCTCCCCAATACCCCTTCCCCTGCGCAATCCAAGATTGTCTCGCCGCATACCTCTACCTGACCCGTCCTCCCCCGGGTGCACCACACCGCCCCGTCCGGCCCGAACACATCATCATCGCCGGTGACTCGGCAGGTGGGGGGCTGGTTCTGGCCTTGTTACAGATATTGAGGGATACGGAGGGGCTGGAGTTGCCTGCTGGGGCGGTGTTGATCAGTCCGGTTAGCTGCCACCTTCCTTGACTCCTCCGGGGATAAAGCTAGGAGGAACAAGCTGATATGGTAGTGGTCAGACTTGACGCACTCGTTTCCTAGTATCCTGCATAACACCTCGACCGACATTGTTCCGCCTTACAGCTTTATCCACGTATATCTAAATCCTCTGCGTTGCACGATTAGGTTTAGCTGACCGGCAGAAACCTTCTTCCCTCTGGCCACCTCCCCCTCCGGACCTCACCAACATAGTCCAATCCCGTCTCAAATCCAAGATCCAGCAACTCACCTCCCACCTTCACTCACACCACGCCGAGACCTCCTCTTCCACCACCCCCTCTTCCTCTCAGTCCGCAGCTCCACATCGACCCAATGCGGACCATGCCAGCGACGCCGATGACGGGGACAGCGACGATGCCCAGAACCCCATCCAAAATATCCCACTAATGGGTCGACCTGCGGACCTGCCCGAGAAGCTCCGTTCGTCCCAGCTCGGAACGAAGAAGAAGTTCAGCCTGAACTTTGGAAGAGGGGGCGCGGACCTGCATCCGACGACACATAAGGGCGATGCGGGGCATCAGCCGTTGCCGGAAGGTGAATCGGGGAGGAACCCTAGTCGGGCGAATCCGGCGGATGCGTATAGGAGGTTGGAGCCCAGAGAATTAAGGGATAAGGGCGGCAGAGAGGATGGTGGAGGAGTAGCTGGTTCTGGCTCCGTGGGTGGTGATACTGGAAAACGGGGTACTGGAGAGAGAGGAGGCGCGACGACCGAGGACGGGACCGCAACGCCCAAAGCACCAGCGCGCGGCTCGACATTGGCGAAATGCGACTACCCCGTGGAGTTGACGGTCCAAGGCGAACCGGTCGTCATTGATACCCAGATCCAACTATACGCTACCAATGCGCAGTTGTGTTATCCGCTCGTCTCGCCCGTGTTGGGGTATATGGGCGGGCTGTGTCCGCTTTATGTGTGTTGTGGGGATAATGAGGTGCTCAGGGATGAGATTATATATCTGTGAGTCTGGCTCCGGTAGCTGTCAGCAGCTGGCCCTGAATCCATGACAGCGAGAAATTGAGGAATGGGTAGAGCTGATCATGTAGTGCGCACAAAGCTGCCAACCCGGGCAAATATCCAATTAGGGACGACGTCAAGGCGATGATGCCGCACTATGAAGGGATAGAGGAGAGGTATGGACCTACCAAGGTCCATCTTCAGGTGTATGACGGTATGTTCCGCTTCTCCGCTGTTCCTATGCTCGCTTCCGACCCAAAGTCACCGAAGCGAAGGACAAGACGAGAGCTGACTCTCACAGGCACCGGCCACGATCTCCCCCTCTTCAGTATGTGCAAATCCGCCCGCGGGGTCTTTCGCGCCATATCGACCTTTGCGCGCTTTGTCACTCCTTCCGCATCCGTCATGCCCACATCTACGTCTACATCTTCGGCTTCTGCCCATGCGTCTGCTTCCACGACCGGAGCAGGATCTGGCAGCGCAGGAAAAGGGTTCGGAGGGTTCAGCATGACGCCGTATTCCCTTACCAGGCGGAACTCTACCAAGGCCACTGCGACTCCGCGGAGTACCGGTTCGAGTCCGCGGGTCGGGCCTGCCGATCTTGTGCCGTCCGCTGCGGGGTCAGGTGACTCCAGGAGGGCGTCGAAAGTGGACTACACGGAGCTTGCGCCTCCGCTTCCTCTAACGGCGATTACGGAGTTGTCGATTTCGGAATCCCCCAGAACGAGTCTGGCGCCTTTTCCGATCACCACGACCACCGCTTCGAGCGGGACAGCGACAGCAAGCGGAAGCAGCGGGACTGGAAGTACCAGTACCCTTGCTGGAAGATCGGATTCTCTTCACATCCAGCGGGATATCCCACCTTCGGAAAGTCCTGTCCCGATGTCGCCTCTCTCGCGGCCTACTGTCGGTCGAAGCCTCAGTGCCGTCTCGTCCTTGACAAACACGCCGACCGAGGAGGGACAGCCGGGATTGGCTAGTCCGCTAGCACCCGCTGCGCCCGGCGTCGGTGCCGGTGCAAGTGGGGACGACGCGGGACCGAGATGGGGCGGATTTGAGGATGATCATAACAACGCCAACGAAGGGGAGGCGGGACATCCTTCCGTCTATCGCGGACCGCAGGTGAGCTTCTCGATGCACCTGCCTTCATATCTCGTGGAATAGGTTCAAAGCTGACACCCGCCAGGCATTCAAGGACAATATGATCCGCGAACGCGTCGACCCGAACGGCCACCTCCGGGCCCTCGAGCCTGAATCGGAACTAGGAGCCATGACGATGCCCTCTGGTGAGATCGGGACGATCAAGGAGGGACCGGCGATGCGATACCTCACCGGCCAGTATTTATGGGATAAGCGGTATAAGCGGGCGAGGAAGGAGGTGGAGAAGCACCGAGAGAGGAATTTGAGGGACGCGAGGGGGAAAGATAGGGAGAGGATTGTGAGGGGCGTGAAGGGACGGTATGAGAGTCATAAGGCTAGGAAGGCGGCGGAGGCTGAGGCTGAGAAGGGGGAGAGGGGGGAGAAGAAGGGTGGGGCAGACGTGGAGGGAGGGGAAGGGGCTGGAGGGGAGAGTGAGTGGGAAGACAGGGCGGAGGGAGAGGGAGAGGGGAACGAAGAGCAAGATTGGAGCTGGGATTGGTCGTGGGCGCTAGATGGGGAAACACCGCCCCCATCTGCGATCGTCAGTCGGCGAGATACTGTGAGTTCCACGCCAAACTCTTGGCCCCCGGGTGAGTGTAGAGCTGACGTCGTAAGACTGAAGCCCGTAAACTCGCCCTGATGGCGGACCGGCTGGACTCGTCCAAGCCTACGCACATAGGCGGGCTGTCGATCTGGGTCGCGCTCGCTACATTCTTTTCGAATGTCGGGGAAAAGGAGAAGGCGAGTGAGGCGCTCAAGGAGGCGAAGGCGAATAAGGCCGGAGACGGGGGAAGGAGGGGGAGTGATGATTCGGTGGATGTGGGGACGGACGGGGAGGAGCTGGGGGGGACGGGGACTGCAGATGAGGGGGAAGGGGGGAGTCATGGGACAGGAACGGGAACGGGAGCGGGAGCGGGCGTAGAGGCAGGATTAGGGGCTGGCGAGAAGAGGAGGGGGAGCTCTACGTTGGAGAAGCTGGGTCATGCGTTTGGGTTCAAGTAGGGTTTGGCCAGGGATAGAGGTTGTAAATGCTATGTTGTTGTCGTCTACATCGCTCTCCGGTCCCCTTCCCCTTCTCATCGTCTCAGCGAGATAGTTAAGAGGGGGCATAGGCACAAGAGCCACCCAAAGCACCAGCCAAATTTGCTCCCGCTGTCAACAAGGTGCAGCGAGGAACGCGCCCAGCTCTAGCTCTCTTTCCTCAATCAACCTCTACACGGTCTATATTCCCTTACTCATCCTATACTGACCTCAACACGGCAAAATGAACGTCAGAGATAACCACATCACGGTCATCGTCCTCGATACGGACGTGATCCGCGCGACGTTCGGACTGGCAGAGTACCTCACTCGACCTTCTTTGGTCAGTTATGCACCGCATATTGTCGTGGAGGATGTAAGCTGATGCGCGCAGACTTTGAAGGCATGCTATGCTATTCCTAAGACAGATGGGTCGAGTGGGGATGTGGGTGAGACTGCACGGTCAGGGTGGATGGTAGGCGACGAAGTGGAGACGGCCAGGAAAGAGGGTAAGGAGGTGGAGGTGCGGTGGCCTTTTAGGAGCAGTAAAGCTGTGGATGATTGGGAGGGGCGAGAGTATATCCTGTAAGCTAAGAGATGCTCATTAAACGCGACACTCAAAGCTGACTGGGAAGCAACCACGTCCTCACTCGCCTAGGCATCAAAATCGCTTCCAACACCTCCCCCCTTCTCCTCGTTCCTCCACCTTCACCCTCCGGCCTCCCCCTCTCCCTCCAAGCACAATACACCCAACTGGCCTTCGAATCCCTGAACGTTCCAGGCCTCTCCATTCTCCCTTCACCCCTCGCCGCCCTCTTCGCGCTGAACAGCACCACCGGTATCACCCTTCACGTCGGCCAAGAGTCCTGCCAAGTCGTGGTCATTACGGACAGTGTGGTGCGGTGGGAAACGGCCACTACTGTCGACGTGGGAATGGCAGACTGTGAGCGGTGGTTGGAGGGGCTGTTGATGGAAGATGAAGGCCTCGATGGTCAATTACGGGATCTAGCGGGTGAAGGGAGGGAAGAGACGGAGGTGTGGCGGAATGGGAAGCGGAAGCGGGAGCTGGTGAGAGAGGTGGTGGGTGTTGTGTTTGGGGAGTGTGGGGGAGATGATGTGGACATTGAGCCGATGGGAGGAGGTCAGGCTATCGCTGCCGTCGTAGCGGAAGATGATGAGTCGTTTGACGTGGCGAAAAAGTGAGCTAACAGAATGTCCACTAGGGGTACAAGAGCTGACTCTCAGACTTATCGGCGAGACCCAAGCTCAAGCTGCCGCGTCCCACAAGTCCAAGAAACAAATAGCGGCCCAGCAAGCCGCCGCGACCAAAGCCGCCGCGGATGCAGCTACAAAAGCCGTCGCTGTCGCCGCTGCGGACATCATCACCTTCTCTATCCCCTCTTATCCAGACAAAGAGGTCAATCTCGGCCCGGTGAGGCATCGGCTCGCGGAGCCGCTCTTCAAGGGTGTGGGAGGTGGGGATACCGTCTGGGAAGGGATGGGGAGGGCGGTGGAGAGTGAAGGATTGAGTACGGGGGAGAGAGTCGCGGTCTGGGAGGCGGTGGGTGTTACGGGAGAGATTGCGAGGTTCAAGTGTGAGTTGTAAGAAGTGGGTGCTTGACCGCGAAGCTGATATGATAGCGTTCGCACCTGCCCTCCTGACGTATCTCGCCCCCCTCCTCCTCTCTTCGCCTGATATCCCGTCAGATCTGCAACCTGCCAAAGCCCGACTTTTGTCGATCCCGGAATACTTTACGAACTTCAAGGGGGTGACGAATGACGAGGCGCCGTTCCTCGGAGCGTGTATGGTGGCCAAGGTGAGCTGAGTTTTGTCTGCGAGAGGTAGGCCAAAGCTGACGGACTAGGTGGCGTTCACAGAGTATGCGGGCAAGCACTACGTGACCAAGGTGGACTATAATGCGAAGGGACCGGCGGCGATCTATGCTGTATCGGGGGAGAGTTGATGCATCTGTTGAAGCAGGGCAGGGGAGGGACAAGGGGCGCTACCTTACGGGATATCAGTCCTTCGAAGGAAAATTCGGGCGGAAGCCGCTTGGTTCGGGTACTGCTGATGAAAGCGCATTATAGCTATGACCCATTCAGCCCTGCCTCCCCCCGTGTACAATTGGACCCCAGCAGCATCCTTATAGGGCAAGGGTAAGAGAAGGTACCACTAGTCGGGCAAGCGGCGATCGCCGCCATACCACCCTTTTCGCTGCTGTGCCTTTCTGCCCAGCCAACACCTCTCTCCTTCTATTTACCTTTCTTCCTAGCCTCTACACCTTTTATACTACACCTGACATACTCATAGCATCATGGGGAAGATGGCAGAAGTGCAGCGAAGGCTGCTGGAAGTAAGCTCACCGATACCACGCTTAGTTGGAAAGAGCTGACGCGTTCTCAGCAAATGATGGGTCCCGAAGCCCTCGGTATCACCGTCCAGAACCACGACTGGTGGTCTGACAAAGTATGCCGGAACTTTTTGTTTGGAACGTGTCCGCATGTCATCTTTGGGAATACCGTGAGCTCGCCTGCTGCTTCGACTTCCCCGGGAGGACGGCAATGAGAAAGAGCTGATCAGATAGAAAATGGACCTGGGACCATGCCCCAAGATCCACTCGGATAGGATCCTCGCCCAATTCAACGAAGCGGCCAAGCAGCCTCACCCGGACCCGCGGATCGGGGTGTATAGGCAGGAACACGAGAATGTCTTGTATGGGTATATTGAGGATTGTGATCGGCGGATAAGGATGAGTCAGAGAAAGTTGGAGAAGACGCCCGAGGAGAATAGGAAGACTGTTGATCTGGTCAGTTCTTGTCCACCCACTTGCGCTTTGGCAACGCTGGATAGTCGAGCTGACTGGACAGATGAGAGAAATTGGAGAGATTGAATTGTCTATTCAGGGCGGGACCGAAGAAATCGAGCAGTTGGGCGAAGCGGGCAAGGTCGAGGAGTCTATGGAGAAGCTTAAGGCCGTGGAGGCGCTCAAGGGGCTCAAGGGGGATAAGGAGAGGGAGCTGCAGAATCTGAATGAGACGGCAGGGGCGAGTGGGCATCAGAAGTTGAGGGTGTGCGAGATCTGTGTGAGTCTTTCTTCCCCCTTCACAGCTGCCTGTTACCTCCTTCGGCCCCTGGCTACTGGGAAGCAGCTGATATCATAGGGAGCGATGTTGTCTGTTCTAGACTCGGATAAACGTCTCGCGGATCATTTCGGTGGAAAAGTAAGCTCCCCGCCCTTGAGTAGGCCGCGCGACAATAGGCTTCAGCTAACCCCTCAGCTCCACTTGGGATACCAAGAACTCCGAAAGCTCCTCGCCGACATCGCCGAAGCGCGCATGCAACGCCGAAACGCCCCCGCCGGTCCTCCAGGACCATACGGCCCTCCAGGCGGGGGCGGGTACGCGCCCAACGCGCCCTCCAACGCCCCCTCGGGCCCTTCTGGCCCATTCGGTCTCGCCCCTCCATCCGGACCTGGGGGTCCTGGGTTGACGCCCTATTCGGCCCCGTCGGCCCCCTCGGCGCCCCGCACGCCGAACCACGGGCTCGTACCCCCCGCAGACGAGCTGCCTGTTGTAGGGCACGGGGATAAGATTAAGCGGGAGGCGGGGGAGCTCGTGGAGGATGTCAAGGAGAGTAGGGAGCGGGAGCACCGCGATCGGGGGAGCAGGGATAGGCATGGGAGTTATGATTCTGGCACCGGCGGCGGTGGGGGATCGGGAAGGAGGGAAGATCGATATCGCGATAGAGATAGGGATGAGAAGTATGAGTCTAGGCGGAGTGGAGGTGGGAGTGGTAGGTATGAGGACGAGTCGAAAAGGGATAGGAGGTATGAGTGAGTTTTGTGTCCGACTGTTGTGGTTGAGGACGGGGATAGAAGCTGATATCGTAGTGAGCGAGAAAGGAGCAGTCGGAGGGATAGGTCTCGCTCGCCTTCGAAGCGCAAGTTGGTGTAGTCAGAGATCTCACAAGCAGGGGGAGAAGGAGATGCAAGTATAAGCTGTTGTGCTGGCCTGACGACTGATAGCTCAGTATCAGATTCATCCCGTTGACGTGATGCTTACATTCGCTGACTAGCTTTCCTGACGTTTATGATGATGAGCATGATCAATGCTTTGGTGAATGACCTAAACAACCACGATGCGCTGAGTTAATCTCTGTCAGGTCTAAAAGCCAATTCGGACCTCCTCCCCGCCCCCTCATTGTTTGCGGTCCATATGTTCTGGTGCTTTCCCCGCGACCGACCAGCATTTTCGCGTGGGAGGTCGAAAGGATTGCGCCACAGTACGTTCCTTTCGCTCCCCGGCAGATCAGATTGCATGGAGGCTGGCGTGAAAGGGTAGTGGGTCTTAACGCCTTTGAGACGGCCAAAAAAAGCGCACCTGGACTGTGATATAAGGGGGAGGATGCCCCCCGGTGCTCCTCAATCTGACCCATCCACTCCCGCCACCCAAACGGAGAAAGACTTCTTCGTCCACCAATCGTCTTTCAGTCTTATCGTCTTCAGCCCCCCCTAGGCTCCCTCGCCTCCCTCGTACCAAGCATCCACCCAGCATGGCTGCCCAACCCGGCTCCGATCGCGTCGCCCGCGACGCCAGCCTTGACAGTACCGTCACGATCAGCCTTGGCCTCCACGGCGATCCCGACTTTCTGGTCGTGACCGACGTCGACTCCGCCACCAACGAGACGCGAGTGACCACTCTCAAACTCCTCAAGCCACGTGACCAAAACATCATCGACTGGTTGTCACAACGGACGGAGGCGGTCCCCAAGCCCCAGCTTCGGGACTTGTATCAAGCGATCAACGACCCGGCACGGCCTCTCAGCGATGAATCCCAACGCACGTACCTTCCTGAGCTGTCCAACCCTGCCATCTTGCTACGACAGCGGATCTCGCTTGCACCTTGGCATGGGGGTCTCGTCAGGACGATCGAGCCGTCCGAGACGGACGACTTTGATCAGATGGCCATTTCATCGCCCGAAATGGACGACGATGACTCTGGGGAGGACTTGCTCGACGGCTATGAGGCGCGAGCGGCAGATCTCCCTGATGACCCTGTGGTGGAGGAGAACGCGTGATTATGAGTTCTTTCATGCCTGACACACCACACATCACACATGCTCTGTTATTTGCCCAGGCTTCCAGATACAACTCCCAAGCTCATCGATACTTTTACCCTCCCTTGTATATGCATGCATCTTCACTCGTACATGTGATCCAGGTAACTCAGTTTTGCCTCCCCAGGTAACTCAGTCTTGCCTCCGTCATCTTGGGAAGAGCGAGCAGACACGAACACAGTGATTTGCGCAGAGTAAGCAGTAGCATCCCGGGAGCTACTGGTATGCATTTCTTTTCGTTCTCACCTCAGTGCTACAAGACCAGCTGTCCGCTCTGGTCTTTCAGCCGTCCCGCCCCAGAAATCTGTACTCGCTCCTCCACCCCCTCCGGGCCTTCCACACCGACCCACTCTGCCAACCACCTGAACACCTCATGCTGGAACATCAGCTCATCTCCCCTGACATCTTGCAGCAGGCACTACAGGAACAGGTCGAACTCACATGCCATTTCATCGAGTTCCTCGGGCTCAACACCCAATGATTCTCATTCGGGAAGTACAAGAACCGACTGGGCACCCCTCGCGTCTGAAGCGCTGTGAAGGCGGCGATGCCCTGCGAAGCGACGAGGCGATAGTCTTTGCCACCGTGAATGACGAGTTCGGGGGTCGACCACTCCGAGACGTGGTTCATAGGGTTCCATCTGGTATGTCAGCTACTGGCCTGTAGACAACGCGAAGAGCAGCTTTGATAACGTGGAGTTTGGAGGAGTGCGGGAAGAGGGGGAGGACGTACTTCTGGTACATCGCCGAACTGGAGACCATATCTCCGCCGAACTCATGGTTAGGAAACCATACTTCCTGCGATTGTCAGCTGCCTCTCCGATCCCCAACCAAAAGCGTGGAAAGAAACATGTGGGTGAGCTCACCTCGGTCGTATAGTAGGAAGTAGAAGTGTCAAAGATCCCATCGTGGCATACGATAGCCTTAAATCCGAACTGGTCATTATGCCCTTGTATCCAGTTGGCCATATACCCGCCGTATGAGGCACCGAGGGCAGCGGTACGTTCTGGGTCGATCTGAACGTCAGCTCAGGTCCAGAATCTGGGATGTAGACTCAGGCAAGATCGAGAGGAAGGATGACGGGGACTCACCTCTGGGAAGGTCTTGAGAGCGGCATGATAGCCTGCCAAAAGGTCCTTGAAAGGTCCTACTGAGTCAGCTTGGTGCCTCTAGAAATATAGTGGAAGAGGCAAACGTACGTCCTCCCCACTCAGACTGGATCCTATCAGTGAAGTCCTGTCCGTATCCGGTCGACCCGGTGGGATTGACAGCAACGACAAAGTATCCCTTCTCAGCAAAAAGAGCAGGGTTCCATCTGGACATGTCAGCTTTGCACGTCAGACTCGGTGCGAGCAAGCTGACCTTGTGCTCCAGGTATCCTCCCATGCGCCTTGGGGACCGCCACTGCATATGTCAGCCAGACGCTTTTCAAGGCTGAGTTATTGTCTGAACCTACTGGATCAAGAAAGCTGCAGCATCAGCTTAGACCAGGCGAAATGCAGTAAGATTTAGAGCTCACCCATCGGCACCTTGCCGTCTTTCCTCTGCACGTCCCTCGTCGGCCTCATCACCCAAGCCATAACGTCCCGCCCATCCGCACCCTTGAACCACAGCTCTCCCGCCTGGACCTTACTCATCGGCTTGGTCCACTCTGTCAACTGCCGCGCGTCCCCGGAGGTCGTGTTGAGCATCCAAGAGTTGGCGGGCGACGCGAACGAGCTGGCGGTGACGAGTACAGCATCCTCCGAGACTTGCTTGATGGACGATATGGAGCCGTTGATGGCGAACGGAACCTCCCAGAATCGGTCGATAAGGGCATAAGCGCGATTACGGCCGTACCATTCTGCCAAGAGGAGGAGGCCGACGGAATCGGAAAACTAGGCCGTCATTTACCGTGCAACACTCGGATGAGAGGTGATGCGGCTCACCTCAATCACGGTTGGGCTCCTGTACCACGACTTTACCCTCTCGTCGACTATGTCATCCCACTTCCCACTCTTGCTCGAGCGGCACCGGACCTTGTTCTGGTCTGCCTCGTACCCATCCTCCGCCATCTCCAACCATGCGATCTTGTGGCCTGTCTTGTCGAAAGTGACACTGCTGATCGCTCCGTGCGCATGAGGAGTGATCAATCTCGCGTCCGAGTTGATGAGCGGGATGACGTAGATATCGGTCCGGGTGTGGAGGGCGTCGTTGAGGTGGGCGGGCTTGACCGTGATGGCCATGTGAGTTTCGGAGAGGGTGTATGCGGGAGCATCCATCTTTTGATACTGGCTCGTGAGCTTAGGAACCTGGGGGATGTTCGAGGCCGGGAGCTCACGAATTTATGGAAGGCAGATGAGCCAAACATGTCCCGATATCTTTTGGTAGGCAGGTGGACGCTTCCCACAGTCCATACCTTGCCCGGAATCCGCCATGTATCCCAATGCCTGCGCGATCAGCCTCGTTCGCTGCCTGGTATCTGTCTCGTGATCATTTTAGCTGACGTACCTGATAAACAACTCATCGAATACCTCTGCCTCATATCCCCTTTCCATATACGCCTTGTCCCCCCTCTCAACATCCTCCAACCCAGACCCTTCCCAAATCTGCGCGGTAAAGTAGAGCGTCTCACTCTTCTCGTGCAATTGTAGGTCGCTCGGAGAAAAAGGAAAGGTCAGGATCTCGATGGAGGTACCGTTCAGTGCCGTATCGAGGAGAGTAGTAGAGTTGAGATAGGCGAAGCGGTCGGAGGAGAGCCAGAAGGGGGAAGCAAGGTGAGCTGGGGTTGAAGTAAGGACCTTGGTCGGTTCGGAGACGGATGTCAAGTTCAGAAGGTACAGAGTGCGAGACATGCTATACGATGAGCTGATTCCCTGCGCATATGCGAGGACCTCGTAGCTCACTGATCGGTCTTCGCGTCCCACTCATCGACAATGTTCAGAGCGAGGTCCTTTCCCGGACTCAGGATCGGCGCTTGAGGTCGAGGTGCAGAGAGCATGTCCTGCGCCGTGAAGGCGAGACATGGTAGCGCCAAGGATAGAGCTGCGATGGCGCGCAACATCACGGAATGTCTTGCGATGCAGATAAAGGGAAGGAAGAAGAAGGTGAGTGTAATTAGGAGGGTTAGCGAGCCAAACGAGGAATGAGGAGGTGAGCTGAGTTACGTCATCGGGTTTGACCGATGCCCACGTGTGGCACAAGCAGTGTGGCAGCGTGGCGCTTACTGGTGGGGCGGTGGGTGGCGATCGACAAGCTTATAGCACAAGCCCAGGTCACAGCGCCGAGCCATAGTATGCAGCATCGACTTACAAAGTCGTAAAGCCGAGGAAAGCCGACTGTGCGATCGCTCACATTAGTACATGGCTGTCCTTTCTCTTTTCGACTGCGAGGGGTAGGCAGCAAGGGAGGCATCAAATTGTGCTGTTTCAGGGGCTTTGAACTCGCTATCTCTCTCGCTCGTCGTATTACCTCTTCAATACCACTCTTCCCTCCTTCACCGCATTTGCGCGCTCCATAGCCATCACTCAAGCATCGCTCAACCACGCGTCTTGCTCACTTGCAGTTAGCTTGCACGCGCTTACAATGTCGAACCGCCAAGAGGAAGAGTATCTAAAGACACTCGAACAGATGTTCCACGATGAGCCGTACCTCCTGAGTGTCATGATACACATCACTCCGGAGTCCGCAATACACGACTCCCCCTCCACAGATCGGTCTCGTGAGATCTAGGCGAACAATTCATCATGGGGATGAGGGCGTCTGGCGGACGGGGAACAAGCCTCAGCTCTGCATCACGGTATCCTATCCCGGCGACGATGCTCAGTAGACTATAGCAGAGGAGCTTGATCCAGAGTTTGCTATGTCGATATCGCCTCAAGATCTTACGCAAGGGAAGCTGACGTGGTGCGGGTACGAGGTTGGGACTGTCGGAGCCTTTTTGAGGAGTATCAAGCTCAGGGGTGAGGACAGCAGTGCTGACGGGCGAATGTTCATTGCCAGCAAGATATACGATCGCCTGAGGCTCGACCATCAGACTTCCGAGAAGCCAGCTGCACACATCATTAGCGAGGGGCAGGATAGATGAGTGTCAAGATGTAAAAGAAGCTACAGGGTGTCAAAGCTGAGCAGCAAGTGCCAAGGCCGAAGGGGATGGTTTTGAAATCTAGATGCTCCTCAGGGCCTACGTCGCACTATGCGTAGATTGTCTGTGCTTCACATCCGGGGCAAGGAGGTCCTCAAAAGTGTCTCCTCTTTGTATTGCTGTCGCAGTGACACCTGTCTCGCCACCGAGTCCGGATGGTGCATCGATCAGTATTATGTTTCGTGCTTTGTCTCCGTGGAACCTCCTACCGTACCCGATCAGATTTCGGCTCAAGCTCTCCTAGGTGGTGCGTTCTAGAATGAGCAGCATCAGACGAAGCCGAGTACACCCGACAGATAGTTGTGCTGAATCAGCAGCTTAGACGATCTTTTGTCAAAGCCCAGGGGTAGGATTGAAGGGATACTGGCAGAATCGTGTTTGGGGGGCCCAATATCGCGCAATATACAAGCCGTACCCCCTGGCAAGCGTATGGCCCCTCGACTCCGCATTGCTCTTTTCTCTCACACCCTCGACAGTGCACACTTCACTTCAATTCTACTCTCTGCCTACTCACTGCCTGCTCCTTTCCTATCTCCCACATGTCTAGACGTGAGTCTGGGGACACCATCCGGGCTCCACAGCTTACCGGCCTCTTTGAGGGATCCAAAGACGACCAAGTCACCGACCCCGACTTTTACTTCGGGCAGACTTCTATCAAGTTGTGGGGTCCCTTGGAAGACCCCACGATGGGAGACCGTTTTCGGGCACGTATCAAGAAGCCTCAGTCACAGCTGTCCGTAGATGTGGTCCGTGTGGATGGCAGCAAGGTCTTCACGTATAGCGAATGGATATCGGACGCTCGAGGTGAGAGAATCGCGGGCACGGCCGAAGCTGGACGTCATCCCACGGAGACCCTGGATCGGCTCATCCTTTGTGACGATCTGAGTGCCCAGGACAAGGCGTTTCTTTCCGCTCAGCTCGACAAGCTCAGGAAACTCACAAGGGTCTGGCAAAGTCAGCATGGCGTCAGCAATGAGTCCGCGCAAACGGCGGCGTGAACTCGTCGATCGCCGTGCTCCTTTGCCACACCTGTGTCCTGTGGCCTGTGGCGTTCCCCCTCCCGACTTCCGGATTGTGAGGCATGAGCCAGAGCGGATCGCAAACTGGTTGGTATGTATCGATGATCCATGGCCTGGCTAGTTCACTCAGCGAAATCCCTGGCAAAACTTTGGCCTGCCTCTTATTCGGCTTTTGTCCAAGCATTCTCGAGAGATTCATCTTGGTGTCGAAGGGTTGAGGACCTGAGCAACCTTATATGGTATTGGCAGGTTACGAATCCCAGTATTCAGGGCGCGTGGAGGTATCGGTCCCCGTCCAGATGATCAGCATGTGTAGTTGGTCTACGTTTGTTCGGGCGTCAGTGGTGTTAGCGTCCCATCCAGTACTCCTGTGATCAGCTGAAGCTCTGTGCTGACGTTTTGTCGCTTAATGCAGCTCGCAAGTGAGCCGTGTCTGGAACCAAGCCTAAAATACAATACGCTTGGCACGAGTCTCTGCTATTTCGTCCACATACTGCATGATCAGCCCTGAAATGTCTCCTGCAAATGGCCTGACAGACTGACCTCATACTTCTTTCGCTTAGCCTGCGGAACACCCATCCCTTACATCCCTCCGCCACCGCCATCCCCGCCACCACCGCCCATGTCCCCACCACCGAATCCGCCTCCACAGTCTCCGCCAAAGCCTCCTCCATACCCGCCATAACCACCACCAAAGCCTCCACCTGATCATCAGCAACTCTTCCTTCGTTTCGGTATGATCGGACTCACTCATCGCGGACCCCAACAACAACCCTCCGCCCAGCCCGCCCAACAGCGGCATTCCCATCCCCATTCCCCCTCCGTACCCTCCGTACCCTCTTCGCCCATACCCTCCGGGATACCCATACCCATACCCTCCCATTCCACCCCCATACATCCCCGCCCGAGAATACGGGCTGAGCGGGCTGGAATATCCATACGGGTTCGACGCATAGTATCGATTGATACTCGGGTTGGCCGCTTGTTTCCGGATAAGTTCCTGCCTTCTCTTGAGGTACTCCTGCTGCGCCTGCAACTGTCGCTTATACTCCTCCTCCCTCCTCTTTTTTTTGTCTGCCTTCTCCTTCTCTCTCTCTTCCTTGGTCCCGATCACTGAATCCTTTTTGCGCTGAAACCAGTTCCGCCCTTCCTTCTTGGCGATCGCCTCCTGTTCCTCCGCGTGACGCACCGCGCGCGCCTCATCCGAGTTAGGATTAGCCGGGTGGGTGTCGGGGAGGGACTGGAGGTATTCCGGATCATCGTACGGATGGACCCAGATGGACCGCTTGGTGGCTGTATCGACGTAAAAGTGGTGTTCTTGTGCAGGATCAAAGCACCTGACCCAGCCAGAAGGCAGTTCCCGCGCTTCGTCGTCCATGGACCGACGACCGGATTCCGTCATCCCAGGAGCGAGGTGGTCGTTGTCCGATGCGGAAGATGCCGTGGAGGCATTGGACCGCTGACGCTCAAGAGCGAGGTCGTGGACCGGTCCAGCGGTGGCCGACGGCGCGGAGGTTCCGCCGCTGGGATTGGTCACGTTGACCTGGGGCTGCGAGTGGGTGACCGCATTGTAGTAGGAAGGTGGGGCGTCTGAGGGCATGATACGTGAGGTATAGACAGAGGTAAGAGGTTGATGAGAGATGGGTAGATAGAGGCCTGAATCGAGAACAGCGCGGAGGGAGAGCTCGGCAAGGGGGAGCGGCATGACGTCAGTCATTCGGCCGGACTCGGCTAAAAATAACAAGTCCGGGTCCGGAACCGGATTTCCACGGGTCCGTGCGAGAAAAGCTTGGCCCAAGTTGCGCTGGGGCAACTACCACGGGGAAACAGCCCCGACACTGAGACTGAGCCGGGTAGAGGCTGTAGGACGAGTGAGCGGCACATAGCGCAGCAAGGAGTCCGACATCGACTCATTGACAGAAATGGCATCTCGATATGCACATCCCTCCAGGACTAAGGTCATTCCCGCGCCAAAAACGCCAAACTTTTCGGCGGCGTCCATACCTCCCTCCCCTTCTCCACCAGTGCCTTCCGCGCAACCGTCCACGCCTCCTCGTACCTCTTATCCGACTTGAGATTATGCCACCCGAACGCCCTATCCCCTCTATACGCATCTATCCCCTGATAGTTGGCCAGATAGCCTCGGATGTCGACCCGGACGAGACCGGTGCGTGGGGATGGGGGCGGAATGTAGACGTAGGGGTTGCGGGAGGGACGGTGGTGTTTCCCCTGGGTGTTGTGGGGGTGTTGACGGGGTGGGTCGTGGTGCTGTGGGTGTGGGATGGGGGGGAGGGAGAGGAGGAGTTGGGAGGTGCGGACGTCTTCGGGGAGGGGGAGCTGGATGTCTTCTGGGGTGACTTGGGCTGTGGCGAGGGTTTTGATCTGGGATCAGCGGAGTCCGGAGAATTAGAAATGTGGAGTATGAGGAGAGGTATGACGGTGAGGGTGTACATGTCGACAAGCAAGCAGAGACACTCACTACGCCCCAGTTCATCCCGTACATGTACCCCAGCATGAGGTAGAAAGATTCGTCAAGCCATCCTTGGCCAAGCTGCGAGTCAGCCAGATTCTCCTCCTCAAACCATAAGACTTACATAGGTAGGAACGGAAGGGTTGAGGGTGAGCAAGAAGGGCACCAAATTTTGCAGAATAGGCAAAGTCTAAATCAGCTCCGTCCAAACTTTGAACTCACATCATCATCACACTTGAACACCCACTGCGCCTCCCGACCGCCTTCTCTTCCGATGTACCTCATCCACTCCCATGTCTTCCCCTCGTCCATATTCTCCCCATCCTTCAACCCTTCCAGACGTATCAAATCCCCATGCTTCTCCTCCTCCGCGATTGCCCTCTCTTCCTCCGCTACACCCGGACACCTCGCCTCGTTCACTCTCCCCCTGCACTCCTCCCTCGGATACCCAATGACAAACTTGACATCGACGAGATGCCGGTATTCCTCGGGTATGGCGAATAAAGGATGGTGATACCGTATAAGCTCCCGCCGTTGCCTTGAGGCCGCGGTCGGTATGCTGAAGATATGGAGCATAAGGAGTGCCGGTCCCACATCCTCGCCGACCGGCTTGTAGAGGACTGGCGTATCCCATCCGCCTGCCCACTTCGCCGCATGCACCCCTGGCACCACCGGCGCGCATTTCGTCGTCCACCGGACGCGGGACTGGTCCGCCGTATTCCAGATCCCGTGCCAGCTTGCCGGCGTGTACTGGTTCAGCACATACACCACCCGCTGCTCCAGCACATTGAACCCAAACCAGCCGAGCAAGAACAGTAGCGTGCCCCCCAAGCAATAAAGGAGGCGGCGCGACCGTACGCTCGGCTGTTGGCGTCAAGAAGAGTCACCGTGCCGCCGGTGCGTGACGGTGGATGCTGATTGTCGTCGGGGTTTGCGGAGGGGGAGTAGGGGGCTGCTGATGGATGTACGGCGGGACATTATAGGCGTGAGAAGGTAGATGTATAGAAGGAGGATGTTGAATCAATGGCCAAGAGCGCTAAGACCTTTTTCCCGCGCAACTTTACCCCCTTTACCTGATTCAGGCACGCCCCGAGTTCGGGCGGATTAAGCATCCGACGTGTGCCGTTATGCGGAGTATCATTCCTTAGGAGGCTTCATGGGAGCATCTAGAGCAGAGCGGGGCATTCGGAGGGGGCAGGGTACAGCAGACAAAGCTGAGGAGGTCCGCAGCTACCTCATTGCTTGATCCTCATACCCATACCTCAATTAAGCCCGACAAGACGCCACGTCCGAAGCCGCGGCCTCGGGGCTTCTCGACCGAGCGGTGACGTAGGCAGCGGTACCGGTCCCGAAGCAGCCAGACTAAGCCGCAAGACCTCGCGGTCAGTATCTTCAGCAGCTCAAGAGCGGGGCTCGCGTTGAGCGCAACGATGCTATGCGAGCTCATCAGGCCGAAAGGCATCGGACATCCTTCAACGGCCCTTCCGCAGCAAAGTTACGAGTTTCAAAGCGTTTCATCTGACTTAAAAGAGCTCCCATTTGCTGCTTGTGCTGAGTCTTTGTATGGTGCGGTGCAGGGTCTGGCACTCGTCAGACCCACTGCCATCCATCAGTAACACACGCGCGAACGAGGTATGGATGCAGAGTCGACCAGCCGCCATCGCTGCGAGCGCGATCTATCCGGCCCGGATATGCCGGCAGTCTGCTGAATCCGGCTAAATCCGGAGATCGGCCTCGACTCGTTCGCATCCAAGCATCCCTCTCGAGGCTCTCAGTAGCTCTCCTACACATCTCCCTTCATATCTACCATCTATATGCAAAGACGAGCCCGTACGATGGTCAAAAAGCTCTACCTCACCCGCCACGCTCAAGCGGAGCACAAGTGAGTTCTATCGCTCGCACAGAGCTGACGAAAGCGTCGCGTCCGACTGGTCCAGTAGGTCCCGCCCTCCTCCATCTCACCTGGAACTCACCAGCTGACACCTTAGTTCCCGATGCCAAGCTCACCCCACTCGGCCAAAAACAGTCTAGGGAGCTAAACGAGCTTACCAAAGACACATTCCAGCGCACCGCCCAGCTCATTGTCTGCTCCCCTCTCCTCCGGCCGATGGAGACGATGCTCCTCGGCTACCCGTCTCTCATGAAACGGCTCGAAGGCGAAGGCAAGCCGGTGATTATCACCGATCTTCTCCAAGAGGTCAACTCTACGCCGTGTGACGTCCCGACGTACCCACCATCGGCGATCAAGGAGGCGCTAGGCGGGATCTTCAAGGATCTCGACTTTTCGGGATTGGGAGAAGGGTATGCGACAAAGAAGGGGATTTGGGACCCGGCGAATGTGGAGGAGAGATGTAGGAAGGTGAGGAAGATGCTGAATGAGAGGGAAGAGGAGGAGATTGTTGGTGAGTCGTGACAAGTGATGGAGGCGTTATGGGAAGAGCTGATAGGCAGTCGTGGCGCATGGCGATATCCTGCGGCAGCTGGTCGATGGGGATGGATCACGAAGGGTGAGTATAGCAGCACTAATCAGAGCAAGAGTGCAGTGCAAAGCTAACTAGCAGCCTTGGGGTAACGCCGAAGTCAAGATCTTCACCTTTAGTGAGGGATCGCACGATCTCGTCGAGGTGGCCGATGTGGACCCAGAGTCCGAGACCGCCGGTCCCACCAGTGGCGGCATGTAGTCCAGCATGTACTCATCATGTCTTCCATTGCTTCAGCTCAGTGGCCACCCTCCGGTCCCCAGCGAAAGCTGATATAACCACTGACGAAGGATCCTGCTCCACCTGGCGTCCGTTACGGACGTTGAAAGTTTACCGCTCCTTTGTCGCTACTCTGGCGGGTCCCATCTGTACATCTCCATCTGAACTACGTCTTACAGATCCGACACGGCGGTAAGATGGTCAAAAGGCTATACCTCACCCGCCACGGCCAGGCAGAGCACAAGTGAGTTCCATCAGCGGCTGAGACTGACGGAAGTGCGGCGTCCGACTGGTCCAGTGCGTCCCATCGGTTCCACTCACTTTCGTCCTCGTCCACTGATTGACCCCGTAGTCCCAGATGCTAAGCTCACTACTCTCGGTCAACAACAAGCCCAGGAACTTAACGAGCTAACCAAAAACACCTTCCAACGCACCGCCCAACTCCTCGTTTGCTCCCTTCACCTCCGAACACTAGAAACGATGCTACTCGCCTATCCTTCACTCAGGGCACGGCTCGAATCAGAAGGCAAATCAGTTATCATCTCGGATCTTCTCCAAGAGGTCAATGCCACGCCGTGCGATGTGCCCACGCACCCTCCATCGGCGATCCAGGAGGCGTTAGGGGGTATGTTCAAGGATCTGGATCTTTCGGGGTTGGGTGAAGGGTATGCGAGCAAGAAGGGGATTTGGGATCCGGTGAATGTTGTGGAGAGGGCGAAGAGGGTGAGGCGGATGTTGTAAGATAGGGAAGAGGAGCAGATCGTCGGTGAGTTATCGATCCAGGTGGATTAGGGGGAAGAGCCAGGAGCTGATGGGCAGTCATTGCGCATCGGGGGATATTGAGGTACCTGGTAGATGGGTGTCTATCGCAAAGGGTGAGTCTATGCCTTTATCAGCTGAGCAGTGAGGAGAGCTGATCGATAGCCGTGGAGGAACGGAGAAGTCAAGGTCTTCACGTTCGAGGAGGGATCGCACGAGCTCGTCGAGGTCGTCCAAGCTGGATCTATGCCTTGAGGTACCGGGACCGACCCCGAGCGATATGTAGCTCAACATTCCTAGGCCCTGTCAGTTCCAGAGCGGGGGTATGGCGCCCGCCATGATCCAAGCTTGAATCATTGCATCACGTGATCTAGTGGGCAAAGTTACCAAGGACCAGCTCCGCATTCCTCATGCCCATCAGCCATTTCATTTCAACCTTTCTCCACTTTGCTCTTGTACTGCACCTCCCACTGTGGCGCCCAAGCCCAGTAAGAAGAAAGTCCCCATTCTATTATGGGGTCAGGGCGGCCTGGTCTCCACGCCGGCCAACGACGACCTCATGCACGAGCAGATGCCCGAGTTCCAGCAACTCTGGAACCCTTTCGCATATTTCGATCGTCAATTCCAGAAGACATTCTCCTCTCTCTCGGCACCTCAAACCAAGCGCAAGCGCTCCGTGGTGGATTGTGGGACCCCTCCAAACCCTCTCCCGGCGGAGCTGTGGGCTGAAGTAGCGTGTCATCTCCGCAGACCGCTACCGAGGCCGACAGGGAGGAATGAGCAGGCGTCCATCAGGCAAGGGGATCTAGCGTCTCTGATGCAGGTGTCAAAAGTAAGTCAGTTTTGTCCCCGAGCTGAATGTAGTCCTTCAACAACCTCGTCGCTCCCCTCCTCTCCACTGTCGTCATCGCCGACGACCTCCCCTTCTCGTCAACAACCCCTGCAATCGAGCGAGCGCCAAGGGTAGCGCGTCCAAGCGGCAGCTCCTCAGCCGGACGGAACGGCTCTTTCTGGAGTACAAGGACAAGGGAGAGCCAGCTTACTCTTCCTTGATGGTGAATGGGGACTTTAGGCTGTTCAGCCCGGGCAAGCTCGAGCTGGCAGGTTGGTGCAGGGAGGAGACGTTGGGGACCGCCGAATCGGCCGACCTCCTCCGCGGGGAATCGTAATCATGTCAACAGCTACGTATCTGGGTGCTCAGCAGCCCATATGGGAGGCGCTCTGATCCGAAGACCACCCACGCTCGACGTCTAACCCCGGATGGCCGAAGCCATTACCGCGGGCATCAACCTCTTCATGTTTCCCTACCTTCCTATGTGCTGCTCTCGCGCGCGATGCGGCCGCCTCACCTACGTCTCAACCCTCTGGTCCAATCTATCCTCGAGGAACTGCTCAAGGGTCATACGGGGCCTCGGTGTACGTCCACCGCGCGCACATTGAGGGGAACGGATCGGTCGGCTCGGTCCCGCTCGTTGCCGGCGGCGATGCCAGGTGGTACTTCCAGTACGATCTCATTCCCCACAACCGCAACCTCATCCAAGGCATCGACAAGGTTGCAGATCTTGTCGAGCGCATGCTTTGGATCAGGTAAAACAGCTGGAAGAACCGTCCAGACCTGGCAACGATCAAAAAGACCTCGCCGGCCGACGTCGACATCTACCTCCCGTCCTACATGGCGGACCGTCTGGCCTATGTCCAAAGTCGTATCGACCGCATGGCCCAGGAGAGTCTGCGTCATCTTGGCGTGCCTGCGGCAAGGTCGGCTAGAGGTACGTGGCAGTGCAAGAAAATGGCGGATGCGCCGGTTTGCGAGGCATGTGGGTGGGGTCCGGAGGACCTGTAAGGGAGTGAGTTGTGAGTCAGCAGCTGTACGTCGGAATATAGCTGATAAGCAGGGTATGTTAAAGTAGTGTCATAGATCGAGTCGTTGGAGGCCTTGCATATGATCAATCGCTGCGGCTTGGCGTCAGACCATAGCTCCATATTGCCGCACGCATACATCGGCTACTCATCGTCACTATCCTCGTCCTCGACTATCAGGATCTCTCCCTGATCCCCTTCATCCTCCTCCCCATCCTCGCTTTCCTCGCTATCCCCAAACTCCAGCCTCACTACCCCACTGACCAGCAAATATCCCACCATAGCCACCCCAGCTCCCGCAAACCAAGCCCATCTGCCCCTTTCAAACCGCTTCTCCGTGTCAGACTTTTTCTTCTCCCCCTTGTCCCCTCCAATAGCAGTCCAGCTGGATAAGGTGTCGATCCATGATGCCGCCGCAGGGGGTGATATGCGCTGGATAGAGTCGGTGCCGTCGGGGAACAAGAGGGATTGAATGCGGTCGTGGTGTGCGACTAGGCGGGGGTAGGAGGTGCGTAGGAGGTCGGCGAGGAGAGGATTTGGCCAGCCGGGAGTGAGAAGAAGGGTCAGGTGTGCGAAGAGGAGAAGATCTGGTGTGCCGGGCCTGCTGGATCAGCTAGGCTACACAGAGTCGGCGTCCATCCTGCAGGCTGCTATCCTGCGGCTCTTCGATATGAGCATCCGTCGGGCCCGTACGCAACATTGAGCCGTTCCACCAGGAAGCCTTCATTCTGGGCCGACGAGGAGACGTGCAGACACACCTTTCACCCCCAAAATACCCCTCCCCCACCCTCCTACTCAATACATCCAATACACCCCTTGCCCTCTTAGCCAGCTGCTCCCCCTCCCATGCTCTCCTCCGTCTCTCCACTTCCCGTCCTGCACCCCATCCTGCCCATCCCCTCGGGATCTCCGTTCCTCCCGGCACCACAGCAGCCTCTTTTCCCTCTTTTGGCTCTTCCGCATCCGTTGATCCGCCCAGACCCCATAGCCCGGCGTGCTCTAGTCGAGTCTTGTGGATCGCTCGGATACGCTGTGGTATGTAGTGTCGCTCTAGTGGGCCCAAAGGGCCGGACTGGGCGGGTGCGAGAAGGGTATAGTTGGGAGGAAGGGAGTATAGGGTGTGATTCTGTCGATCAGCCAAATTCCAAGACCGCGATGTGAGAGTCGTGACGCACGACCAGATCAGTGAGCGATTGCTCAATGTACGCAGTCCATAATCCCGCTTCTGACTTATCCTCATCCACCTCGGTCCAGGATGGAAGAGAAGAAAGGTGTCGAGGCCGGACGAAATGGCCCAGATGGGTGATATAGGGCAGTTTCCCGCCGTTGGCGCTGTAGTCCCCGGTCTGGATCGCCCATCTCCCAGGGACGACGAGCTGGAGCAGAGCAGCCAGATAAAGCGATTCTGGATCGGAGGCGGGAAGGTCCCCCAGAGGAGGAGTAGCGTGCAGAATAAAGGGGTGGGACATGGTAGATGGGTGGATTGAGGAATTTCGGTTATGACAAGGTGGAGGTCGCCCTCAGACCTACTCGTACAGCCTACGGCTCTTGATGATGATATGGCTACAAGGCCTTGAAGCGATGAAGAAACGTACCATCCTGATCTACACCACTATACAACTTCCAGTTCCGCAAATCTACAGATCACCCCATCTCGATTTCTGACCTTGACCAGCGCCCTCCCCTTGCCCATCTCCGACCCCACCTCGGCCAGCCGCAATAGCCCAAGGTACCCCTTCAGACTGACGCTCCCCAGCGCATGTCCCGTCCCTCGACTCAGACTAAAGTTGCCCGTCGTCACGTACCCGACCAGCGTGTTTAGATCCGGCTTGACCTCTCCAATCTACTGTCAGCTCGGTCAGTCGGCAACTCACAGTCTGTGTATCTTCGGCACTGAGCCATTCTTCCCGTTCCTCCGCGGACAGCCCATATATGTACGCCATATCTTTTGGCGAGCCCCTACCTAGAAGGTTGATGCGGACTTGTATGAGCGCAGAGGGGTAGAGATCTTGCGTGATAGGCGGCATGTTTCGTTGAGATCGGAAAGCGTTGATTATCTCCGAGATGGTCTGTTCGGCATTGACGCGAAAATGAGGAAGGAGCTCGAGGATAGGGGTCTGCACCAGCCACGGTGTCGCCGAGCTACCATTGACAGTGGCCTCTTCGTCGATCTATATCAGCCAAGTCTTGAGCGGACTCACCATAAAGCTCCAATCCGGCTTGAAGGCCGCCGGCGTCCCCAAGAGCCCATACTCCGGCCTCTTTCCCGGTGGCTTCCTCTCCCATCGGTCCGTTTCTTCCCCAGCTTTCCTATCTTCCCACTCTGTACCCGCCTTGCATACCGCCCCGAAGTGTTCTGGGAAGCACGCCACACCAGCCTCCCGATGCTGCACCCGCCGTTCCGCCAGGCCGGATATAAGGCATCGCGCGTAAGCGAAGGCGGTCAGGAGGTACTGGGACCATCCGCGGGGAAGGAGAAGGGTGTAGCCGTGCATGTCCCCGACTGTGCGCTGGATGAGCATGATGGGTAGTCGAGCATCTTGAGCGAGGGGGCGGAGGGAGGTGCCGGGATTGCGGAGCTGACATCAGCGGATTCAATGCAGGGACGTACATGTTGGCGCCGACGGTCCAGATCGGACTTCCTGAACAGTGGCTTGGCGAGGTTGTCCCGAACCTCTTCATCCCAGATCTCGCTCGTTCTCGAAGGAGTCGGATGAGGATCGATCGGAATGGGATTCGGAGAACTTATCAGCGAAGTCCTGGTCAGACTCACTGTAACCTTGGATCATAAATGTTGAGACTGTATATGCCGTTCTGAACGTCTTGCCCAAAGCTCAAGGTCTGATCAGCTCTGTCTGCTGTAAACTCACCTCGCCCTTGACCGGCCTCAAGACTCTGCTGAGCACCTCTTCCGACATGGGCCCGACCAGCTCAAAGCTGTCCAGTTCCCCTCGTAGATCCCGGACAACACCGACAGCAGCTCGGATAGCAGCAAACGCCTCGTCAAAGATGGACGGGTGGATTCGGATCCAGAGCTTGTCTCCGCGGATGATCTCGGCCGGTCCGATCAGACCAAGCGGGTAAGTGTCGAGGTGATAGAGTAGTACGTCGGCTTTACGATGCTCAAATCTAAGTCAGCTCAGCCATGACGCGACGTACCTATCTCCCGCATACCGCCCCGCTGTAACCCGCTCCAAGCCCGCATCACTATCCAGCTCCAGTATACCATAGTAGCTCGTATCGCTCACAGCGCACCTCCGTCTCGTCGCACGATAGGCCGGGCGGAAAGACTTGAGGGTCGGCGTGAGGGGTAGTCGGTGACCCCAGATATTGACCATATGAAACCGTTTCGCGTGCCATATATGGGTTGGTAACCAAGTCTTATTTCCTACTATCAGCTAGTTCTCCCCATGACCTACTTTGCCTGGCGAGGAGCTGCTCTGTCCTACTCCGGCCCTTCAGATCCCCTTTCGCCCTCAGCTTTGCCCGTTTCCGATGAAGCTTGGCGATATTGTCCCCTGGATCAATCTCTGCTGCTGCGCGCTTCCGAAGTCGTTTGGGGACGCGTTTGGGATTATGACTTGCCGCTCGACGGCGAAGATGTCGAGGGAGAGACTGGAACACTCGAGAGTTTCCAAAGGTGCTGCTATCAGCCAAGTCGTGAGCGGACTCACGCGGCAGATTTGATGGCATTCTGAAACGCGAGGATTTCCATCGCTCGGGCCTCGACGAACGCCTCCACCCTGATCACTCCTGGCAGGTTCTTCACATCTGCTATCAGCTCAGTCTCCGGTAAATACCTACTTTGAGCCACGTCGAAGGCAGCGCCGATAGTCTCCTTGGCTTTGCCTTTTTGATGGCGGAGGAGCTCTGATGTGCTCTGTATGACTTTTGTCTTGTATTTCGGGGCGTACGCGGCAGCCTCGCGAGTAGCATTGGGCCGTGATGGACCGGCCTTGCTGTTGGGCGCCATAAAGCTGTAATCATAGACGTGTGAGTAGAGCAGGACCCAGGTAGATCTAAGGAGATTTTGGCCGGGTGGGGGATGCCGTAACGTCCTTCCGACGGAGTACAGAGTACTGGCGGAGTGGCGGAGTGACAGGCATTGCTTCTATGCATCTTTTGAGATGCGGAGGTATGGCTGAAGCCTGTGGTTGGCGAGTCCTAAGCCTGAGTAGAGGAGCATCAGGACGCTCTCTTCCACCGTGGACCAGAATCCCATGTGTCAAGCTGTACTGGTGATAGCCTACTTATCTGCCTTGCCACGTACTAGCTAGAACCTACCCCAATTCGCAATCGGCCCGGCTAAGACATTGATTCCAAAGCATCTGTCGTCGTCGTCGCAAGGAGCTTTGACCTTCGTTGCGTCCAGACGAGTCTGGAAATGATCCTGTCTCCTAGTCGACTTTCGATGATCCTCATCAGCTCGTCTCGCCACCTCTGATCGATGATCAATTGCTTCTTCCTCGCTGCCTCGAGTTGACTCCGGGTCTCTGTGATACGACTGACCCACGTGGGCGCATCCGTTGAACCGATCTCCTCAGCTCTGAGATCTCTCCGGATTCACATCAGCGAGCGTCTCCTCTGCGCATGTCCTGAGTGGGTGCATGCTTTGCGCGTCACCGGACCGGTCCCAGCGGGGTGGGGCCGTACCCGCGAGTCGCCCGCCTTGGTACTCAGAGATTGACTGAGTGGTCAACTCGATGGTCAAGTCGTGCATCTCAGTTCAGCCAGTACCGTCTGTCGTTATTTGGCTGTGCTAGCTGCTGGACCATGCAGTGAAGCTCGCGTCACAGTACTCAAGCAGCTGCCTCAGTATTTGCACGTACTCTCGGTGTTCTCCACAGCGCCTTGGCTTAAGACAGCTTCAGACTCTGCGCAACCTTATGTACTCTCACCCTCATGCGTAACGGCCACCGCGAGCAGTCGAAATGATCACTGGCACTGAAGCTGTCTGGCATGAGCAGAGCCACTCTTGGGCCGAGAGTGGTCACTTGCCTTTCGACTGAGGGATTGTGGACGTATAACTCGTGCGATTCGCTATCAGGGAGCCTGACTCACAAGCAGGAGCCCCAACTCAACACCCCCGTTCATGCCAGACAGGCTATGACCTGACGTTCCCAGCACAAGCCCAAGGGGGAAGCGCAATCAGACTTTGGCGGCGCTCCTGCTTGACTTTCTAGCGCATTGCCACGAGGTTCTTGAGGGTAGGCATGCTTCATGCGGCATCTCCGACCTCGCTTTGAGATGGCCGTCTCATATACGTAGCTGATCAGTACAGCAGATGTACAGGTACAGGTACAATTGAGGTGGCACCACTTGGCCGACACGTTTCAGGTGGTTTCAGGTGGTTTCACACCCCCGAGACCAAAATCCTCATCCCGTCGGAGCGCAAGTGACGCCCGGACTCAAGCCGAGCTTCATCGAACCTACTTCACCTCCCAGTTTACCATATATGGGGACCTGTAGGTACAGTCATGGATTCAGCAGCGTTGTGAGCATCTACTGAGCAGACAGATTCATCAGCCTATACTGCGCCAAATCGCGTTCTCCCTGTTCGCCAACCTCATCACGTCATCCAGTCTCGTCAGCCTCAACGACCCTCTGTCTCTTTCGATATCTACGAACATGTCGCAGGACACGGCCAAAGTAGCCAAGATAGAGGAGGGTGTCGCGAAGCTGGGGCTAGACGGCAAGGGCCGCACAGCCGAGGTGGATAAGGCGGTAAAGGATGGAAAGGCGGGTGGCGCAGCGGGCGGGATCAGCGATGTTGTCAAGACCGGGCAAAGTGGGACCTCAAAATCTAAGTTGAAGACCAAAGGTGAGTGCGCATGAAAGATTCAGGACGCGGAGCTGATCTGTAGCCGATCCCAATGACAAACCTCACATCAAACTCCTCAAACCCCGCACACTCAGAGATCCGCGCGGTCAAACCTTCTTCCCTCGTCCTGGCGAATTCAACTCGGAATCCGACGAAGAGGAGCTGGTGTATGACCTGGAGGCGTACAACAAGAAGCGAATGGAGAAGTACCGCCATATCCGGAAGGAGAGGGGGTAGAGGGGGAGGAGCTGTCGAGTGAGGAGAGTGAGCCGGGTCAGTCGAGCGAGGAGGAAAGGGTCAGGAAGGGGACGTGGAAGAAGAGGGTTGGGGCAGTGAGGGTCAAGCTGAGCTAGAAGGATCGGCAAAGAGTACGGAAAGGCATAACTCAAAGCTGAGCCATGTGCACAACCTCAAGCTAGCTGACTCAGCGATTTTGCCACTCGCAACAACCTGCCGTGCAGGAACGACCCAGGGAGCTGATGTCTGGTTGTGTCGATTCTCAGCGAGCAACGAGAATTCTGACTGCATACAATCGATGATACTGACCAGATCTGAACCTCTGCCCTCGACGGAAACCCGCAGGCGATAAAGCCGATAAGAACGGAGGAGAGGTGGATTTGGGGTTATTGACACACCTACACACACGCCACTGATCGATATGAGCGAATGTTGACTGCCCTGATGCTGCTTCTTCTGCATTTGTTGATTGAAGTATCGAAGCTCACATCCTCTTCCTCGATCATTCTTCGCCTCATTGTCTGACTCGGCAAACACCAACAAGCATCTCACAGTAAACATCAACGATCTATCGCCATGCCGCTCAGCCGCCCAATCCCCGAGGATGTCGAACGGCTCATCATTGCTTTCCTCCCAAACTCCATTCCCCCGGCTCTCTCCGCTCCGCCTCGGTCTGCCGTCCGCAATCAAGGTCTCACCGTCGCTATGCGAGTCTGCAAGGTACGCCTCTTGATCAGACCTGTCGGTCGAGGCTTCAGCTGACCATACAGAGGTGGAAACCCGTGGCGGAGTCCTATCTTTACACCCACATCGTCTGCGACAACATTCCTTCCCTCTTCACTCAACTTACCTCGCCCGCCTCCGGATCCAGCGCGCACTTTGAGCACACCAAGTCACTCCGGCTCGAGTACCGCGAGAAGGGCGCCGAACCCTCCTACATGAGTCTTCTGAGCGGGGATAGAGGACCTGTCGGGGACGGCTGGAATGGGATCGGAGGGTCAACGGCGGAGACATCAAAACGGCGAATGAGGGAGTGCGAAAAGGAAGTCACCGAGCTCCATGCTGCTATCGAGCTATTCTCGGACATTCGGCAGGACACCGCCCTCCCCAACCTGCAGTCTCTGGCCATCGGTTCGATATACGGTCGGGACTACAGCCACTGGCGCCAACTCCGTCGGGAATACACCAAGCGGAGCAAGACTCTCCCGAACGAGTGGTTTTGGATCGGTCAGAAACTCCACATCTTCATCAATACGGGCGCGTACACCTCACTCTGCATACGCGACCTCCACGGACCGCTCGTACCCCAACCCTTCACCTTGGCCGAGTCCAATCCCGTGTACACCACTACCTGTCATTTTGACACGGATGTCCCTCACCTCCCGGTCATCAATGGGGCTCCTACTTGGTGGATCTACGAGGGCTCGGCTACCCAGCACTGGGGAAAGCTCATTCGAGCATTGGGTTATGCCATCCGGGCGCGAGTCCACTCCCGAACGGCATCGCAGACCGACGGCACGCTCAGCCTCGCCGTATCATGCTCTACAACCCAGTCTGACGCCATTCCCACCACCTTGGAGGCGTTCCACTCCATGTACCCCTCTCTCCAGGGCGTGCCTCCTCCTCCCCTCCCTCCTGCACGTCCGGTCCCTCTCACGGTCGATGAGCAACGGAACATGTCGGCTCAGCTGGAAGCGGCTCTTCGACTGGCAAATCGGGCGGACTTTGTGGACTGCCGACCCGGAGCCGTCCCATACGATTTCAGGTGGACCTGCACGGAGGATGCGCCTGCCTGCGCTGCCTGCAGTCTGGCGTGATTCGGGGATGGGAGGAATGCAGGAATGCAGGGCTGTCGGCGGTGGATGGTACGGGGAGGCGGGCAAATGTTCAAATGGGCGGGATGGTTGAAGCGCTGGGAGTTGGGGGCGAGGTGGGCGGGGTAACAAGCAGGAGGTATGGGCGGGTCAGCAGATGGGGATATAGGCGCCAATCAGAGGAATAGTCAACTAGTCAGCGATCAGTAGATAGGTCAGAGGTAGATCACGGGCAGCCACCTTCAGCTTTCGTTCCGATATCATGCAGTACACATTCGCTTCGCAGTACAGTCTCCTCCCCTAGCGGTCTGGTCGCCCATTGATACGTAAAGCCTATTGACCAGGTAAGGAATTAGGAACTCGCTGCAATGTCAGCTTCGTCACTCTCAGCATGATCCGCTGGAACAAGCTCACCTCTTAGGCGCACATACCTCACACCGCCAGCCCCGCCTGCCATGCCATCAAAACCGCCCACCCCTTCGCACCGATCGCCTTCCCTCGCCCCACCTCATCAATCCCTTCCCGCCTCTCCAAATCCAACATCTCCCTCAGTACCGCCAGCGGGACCACCTCTCCCTCAAATTCGACATAGCCCCGCCTGACCGGCTCGCCAACCCGCTGAGCCTTGTACGGGACATCGTCAAAGCTCGTCCCGGTGGACAAGATCCGCTTCTGAGTCATATCCAGCACTCCGGTCTCATCATCGTGCCATGATAGAGTGGGATCGTCGATGTCCTGCTCCATGATCTGGGCACGGAGCAGCTCGCGCCCGTCCCCGCCGTGGACGTAAGATCGAGCGTGTATAGCGGCGAGACCGCCAGTGTACGTGCGATAGTCGAACGACGAAGACATGTCGGCACGGAAGAGAGAGTCGATGTGCTCCCGCGAGAGATAGTGGATGAGGCGGAGCTTAGGGTAGTTCCTGAGGAGAGTAGAGAGGGTGGAAGGGATTGCGCTGGATGATGGGTCGAGGTATTCGCAGTGGTTCTGGCGCAGGCTACCTCCCGTCCAGCTGTCGAGATATAGCTCTTCCAGAGCAGGGAGGCACGCGTGAAGATCAATCTAAGCATCAGCACTTGCTCATCAAGCTGATCAAGTAGACACGCTGGACGCACCGGTATTTTGACCGGATCATAAGCATCAGACTCCGCAAGTTGGTAGGGTATCCTCCTCTCCGCGGTAGTCACCTCTCGTCCCACTCAGAGCCAGTGTAGGAGCCGGCCAGCGAAGAAGACGCAGGCAACCCTTGCCCCTGATGGACTCACCAGCCCGACTTGGATTGTAGCGAACGGGAGAGCCGGGCTTACCATAATACTCGTAACCGAACGAGTGTTGGTTGAGGTCGGAGGACTGGCGGACGAGGTCGAGGATGTGTTGAGAGCTGCCTCCTGGGACGGATCCCATTCGCTTTCCTGGGCATACTTGATCCGTAAATGCTTGAGCTTGGTCGGAGGCACGACCAACTCTTGCTCATCAGCTCAACCTCCTCCGGATCATCAAAGTTGTGGAGTTCGGCGTCGAGATGTATGATGTTGGGTGCGATGGCAAAGAGAAAGCGCAGGAAGCCGGCCTGGTGGACGGTACCTTTTCCGATGCGGACGTGGGTGAGAGCCGGAAAGTGGAGGTCGAGACTGCACGCGCGGAGGTGGATCTCCAGCCACTCTGGGTGTAGAGCGAAGCGCATTCCCCAGCGCCTGGGTATGAAGGGCTCCAGCGACTCGAGAGTCTCCGGGCACCTCTCTAGGATATATACGATTGTCTGCAGCGCGCCTGGCATGGGGATGAGGAGGATGGACCGGACCATCTTCCACCGTTCCGTGCTTGCCGCATCCACGATGCCGACGCACTTTGCCCGGATGAGATTGACGTAGGCAGGGTCCCGAGTACGGTCTCGGATGGAAAGCGTCCCCCAGATCTCATTACGGTGCGGATACCGACGCCGACCGAGCTCCGATTGGACGAAGAGGTTCAGGGTCCGCCAGATGTAGGGGGTTGCGGTGTTGTTGGAGGCGTGTGAGACGCGGATGAGGGAAAGTAAGGTGGGGAGGTCGGCCATGTAGATGATCAGCTTCTTGAGGTCATCGGATAGCGTAGGGAAGGGGAGGGAAAGGGAAGTCGGGGTGGAGGAGTTGGAGGGGGAGGGGGGGTCTGGTGTATCAGCTGCGATTTTGGCGGCACAGACAAGGAAAGAGGGCTTACAGGATCGGCAGACATCCTATCCATAGGCTATGCGCCACAGCTGCTAGAGTCAGATGTGAGAATAGTGAGGCCGATCATGATGGATGAGAGTGCTGTCAACCCGTCAACCCGAAAAGATGCCTGGGAACAAAACGCGCTTGGTGGCCTGTTTACGCCAGCAAACCCTGTTTGGCGATTCCCTTTGTCCGCTCTTTGTCTTGCCGCCCGGGTATGATGTCCTGATCATTGATCCGCTGCAGAAGGGGTCATTGCTAACGCTACACCAACGCAGAGGTTGTGTAGATGTCAGCTATATCGTCTGCGCAGCTCGATGCCGCGACAAGCCGGGTTCCGTCGGAAGTAAACACATTCCTCGCTTTGCGCTGGCCGCTGTATCTGCAGCTTTTCGTTCATGTCCTCTTTCCGAGTCGCTTCAATAGGTAGCACACAGACGACTCAGCCATGGCGCCATGGGACGGGTCGACTGAGCGGTCGCTAGATCTCGGACGAGGTTACTAGAGAGTCGAGACGATGGGGCAGCTTACCCAGGTGGTGGCGCTCACACACACCATGACACACGGACGCGTCCCTTCCCTTCAACCTTTTCAAGTTGACTGATGGACCCATCCTTCTCACTCTGTCCCTTTATCATCAGCTCTCCGGCGCAACAAGAACGCGCCTCTTCCTCCCATCCTCAGCAACGTCTCGACTCTGAGTGCTTCCACAATGACAGACTCGACAGGCGACGAAGACCTCGGCCCCACTCATCGCGCTAGGGTCAGCGCGGACCTCTTCCCCCTCAATCTCCCTTATATCCGCAATCCTGATCCTATTCTTCGGTCTGACCCTCTTCGACCCTCCCTCAGGCAGCCACATCTGGCCGTGGCTATGCTCGTGAACAAGGTACGTGTCCCGCAATGTGCAACATCTCTCAGCTGACAAAGTAGGAGTTTCATCACATCGCTGAACGCCTCCTCTACTCCCACATCACAATCGACAATATCATTGAGTTCTTTGCCAGCCTCGGTCCAGACGCAAGCGCCGGACGCTTCGCACTCACTCGATCCATGCGCGTGGAGTACCCCGAGTTCGGATGGGAGCCGACGTACACGATGCTGGCTCGAGCTGTAGGAAGGAAATGGGAGACGGAGAAAGAGGAGATGTGGGAGCGCTATGCAGCGATGGGGGAGGAGAAGGCGCGATGGTGGAGGGAAGACTACCGCCGGGAGCAGAAACCACTCCCGGGAGTGGCGAAAAAGCTAGAGAGACTTGCTCGGTCTGCATCCATTCAGGCGGTCACTTTCGGCTCGATCTACGCGCACGCCTCCGGCCCCCGCGTCGGTCCGCGGCGCGAACTCTCGGCGCTTGGGCGCCTCTCACGCGGCCTTCTCGCACTCAGCGATGTAGACCAAATCTGCTTCCGCGGTATCGAAGACCCGCTTTCCCTACTTCAAGCCCGCCAGCTCCCTCCCTTACCGAGAACCCTCATTCACATCTCCGCTATCTTCCACTTTACAGCTTCGGACATCTCCTCACTCTCGCTCCGGATCGGCAGTCATACGCAGTGGGTCTATGACGGATCCGCTCAGCACGACTGGTCGATACTCCTCAGACAATTGGGCGAGCATATCACGCAGCTGGCTCTTGAGCGGATCGATCAGGCGGTACCCGGTCCAATACACCTGAGCATCTTCTGCTCGACCGGTCGCTATACCCCATACGCTTCGGACCCGGTCGCCATCCTATATGATCATCGCATCTGGCAACAGCCCGCGCCTGCCACGGCTATCATTCGGACAGTCTCCCAGCAGGAACAGCGAGGGACGGCCAAGGCGTTTGAGGAGGCTACCCAGTCAATCTTCAAAGAGGCGAAACGGGATCGAGGGGTCGTGGAGGAAGACGGGATTACGGATGTCATAAGCTGGGCGGTCTCTGCTGGTGCTCCGGAGTGCGGAGCGTGCGGGAGTTGCCGAGATTGATGGCGTGGGAAGGTGCGAGCCAGGGCGGGCGATTCCGGAAGGGGAGAGGGGTGATTATGGTGATGGTCGAGCTAGAGCGGAGGGCGGAGGCATGGGGGGTCGGGGACAAGGTGTCGGAGGCGAAGGGTTACAAGGCGGAGAATGAGGGAAAAATGAGAGTCATGATGATTTGGACGTAGCGTCGCGATGCAGGGTATTGTGGCGGTCAGGTCTGGGTGACGGGCAGCAGACCAGAGCCATGGGAGCGGAGGACCAGCTGAGATGTATGATGGACGAGGGTGATCCCTCTGTCCTCGACCCGCTGTGATCGTGCTCTGCTTAGTCTGCGCATCCCTCTTCACATGCACCTCATAGGCTGCGCGGGCTGCGCGGAGACCAGAAGCTGTTGTAGACTTCCGTCGGAAGCGAATTTTTGCGTTGACCAGCTGCTGCTCCGCCTCTTTGCCTTGCTCTTTGCTCTTCCATCTATCACTATAACACGCTTCAGCTAGTCGATTCCCAATACAGGTTACATCGGCTCTTGATATGACAGGCAGATCGAGGACATCATGCTCAATGGCGTCTTTCCAGCCGATGATCAAAGTCTCGACGCGCTCAGCGGAGAGCAAGAGGGAGGGGATGTGGAGATACACACTGACCTATACAAGCGATGGGGGAGGTGATACAAACCTAAGTGCTGGTCCGCTCGTCCACCCGCCATCTCCTCTCTCTGGCTCGCTTACGAGCTGAAGAGGGCTGCAGCGCTGAGCTCGCCCACGACTACTACAAGCGGCTGTCCCCTTTCTACACTAATCTCCGATCCCCACATTCTTCCCACATTACCCCGCAATCCCGATGTCAACACGACATGACACGTCCCCCGGAGTCCGCACGTCCTTGCAAGAGGACTGCATGGACGCGTCGCGTCGCGCTGATTGTTTGGCCATTAATCAGCAGCCTGTCTGATCTGACCATCTCATCACTGTATTTCCATCATCCTTACCCTCACTTACTGACCCTATCCGCAATGTCTGATACTACCAAAGACGCGCTCGTCCCTCGACTCCCTTCGGAGCTATACCCCCTCATCGTCCAACACCTTCGCAATCCCGACCCTGCCCCTATGGCCTAACCCTCTCGCTCAGAGCTCAAGCAACCTCACTTGGCAGTGGCGACGCGCGTCAACAAGGTCAGTCTGGTCCCTCTCCATCTGGATCGAGCTGACTTTCAGGACTTTTACTCGGCATGCCTACCTCTCCTCTATACCCATATCACCATTGACAATATCCCCGAGCTCATGAGCTCATCGTCAACATGGCGCCAGGCAGCAAGACGGACCGCTTCGCTCTCACTCAGACCATGCGGGTGGAACATCCGGAACTGGGGTGGGAACCGACGTACACTATGCTCGCTCGAGGGGAGGGCAAGAAGTGGCGGAAGGAGCGAGGGGAGATGTGGGCGCGGTACGGGGCGATGGGAGAGGAGAAGAGGGAGTTCCGCGTGCGGGACTACGGGCGTGAGCGGAAGCTGCTTCCGCTCGTGACGCGAAAACTGGACATTGCCGAGTCCAGCTCCGCCTTCATGCCCGCTCTCCGGTCGGTCGCCTTCGCTCCCCACCTCCACTATCCTGCTATCGATCCACGCAAAGGCTCCTCACTCGGCGTCCTCCTCTCCTACTTTCAGGCTGCTGGTGACGTACGACAAATCTGCGTCCGCGGTCTCCGGGTCGCACGGTCCACCACCGAAAGCGCAAACCGCCCCATCATCGCGAAACTCGTTACCCCTCCCATGACAACTTGGCACTTTCACGCGTCTGAAGTGCCGGGAGTCACGCTGCGGGCTGACGCTCACACGCGCTGGGTATACGATGGTCCGGCCGGGGCGGACTGGACCACCATTCTCCACGCACTTTGCTACCGCATCCACGTGCTGTCACGTCAGATCGGTCGAGCGCCCATAGGCACCTTCTCCCCATTCCAGCTTAGCATCTCTTGCTCCACCGGAATCTACACCGCCCTCGCTCCGGACGTCGAGCATACTATGCCCCTCATCCGCGAGGCCCTTGCATCCAACGTGCCGATAACGCCCTCGGCCGTCGCCAGATCCGTCACTCTGGGGGAACAGGTGGAGATGGCCAAGGTTTTGAGGACTATACGCGGGCGGTCTTCCAACACGATGGAGCACCGGCGGGTAGCTTGATCAGCTGGGACGTCTCTGCTGCGGCGCCGGAATGCGAAGCTTGCGGGAGCTGCCCGGCATGAAGGGGACCAGATAGCGGCGAGAACGGGGGTCAGATGCGGGCTGGGCGGAGTTTGGTGTCGGGGGTGGAGAGGGGCTACGAGTAGAGGATCAGGAGGCTTTGTAAGGCAGTGAGGGTGTCAGGCGTCTGAGGAAGGTGGAGCTGGGCTTCAAGTTGAGGATGAGAAGGCGGGCGATGGATCGAATGACTGGTACTAGTGGACGGGAAGAGTGAGGGACACTAGATGTAGCTTATTGACGCATAGCGTAGCTCTCTTGTATACTCTAGCTCTCAAATCTATATGTAGTGTAGCTTGCCTCTGTCGGCCAGCGAGTAGCAGTCTTCGTCAGTCACCCAGAGAAAAAGCGGTCAGCTCAGGTCTCAGGCCTTGCTGCTCCCGCCTCTACCGGCCGAAGCCTAGCTAAGCTTGACGAGATCAGCACTTGGCGCTGTAGAATCTGGCTCGGAAAGCCTCTCAGGCAGCCAACTTGATGACGGTGATCGAAGGTCGGTCCTGGCATAGCTTGCTACGAGATACGGAAGGAGCAATATGGTCGTTTTTTCTTCAGCTGACAGAAGCTCCTGGTCAGTCAATGACTTCGGCAAGACCAGGCTGACACGCTGATGTACTATAAGCGACTTTTTGCCTAGCACTCGACAACTGTAAGTAGAACAAGCGGTATGTCCACTATGATGAGACACACTTCAACTAGTGATACAATTCTAGAAGCGCAGTCCTGCCTGGGTATAAGTTCTCTCCCTCTTTATTTCCTACAGCACATCCGGCTCTTGTCGCGCCACTCCCTGTTCCCTTACAAGCCCATCGCCGCGACGCTGGACAGCAGTAGCGCTCCAACCAGCCAGCCCACCACACCCGTCCTGACTCATCAGTATCGTCCCTCTACGTCAGGTCGCATGGTGGCAAGTACTCACCCAGCTACCTTCAAACCCCTACTCTCGAGCTTCTCCCTCTGTTCCTTCCTGGACTGCTCGTTCTCCACCGTGTAGTTGGTAGACTTGTAGAAGCGGACGTTCCCGGCAAGCTGGCGGGCCCACTCGTGCGCGATGAATTGGCTGAGAGGGTCAGCTTTTGCCCTTGCCGCTGGCTCTGCACCGCCGAGCCATCGATCCCCACATGTGATGGTTCTCCCCATCTCTCGCTACTTTGCAGACCGACACAGAAGAACTAGAACTCACACTCCATCGCCAAGCTGGAACACGGGGTCCATGCCCCGGTTCGGCCCAGTTGAGAGATCTCCCGATGTCAGATTGAGGGATGTCTGGTTGGTAGTGACGCTGACGACCCAGGTGAAGGTGTTGCTCGTGAGGTTCTGCATATGGGTGGTACACTGGATTGATCGGCTCTGATCTATTACACGATCTGCAGAAGGGGCTCGAGGGTATAGTGAATTGAGACTATGGGGCTCGGACAGAAGGGAGCTTACAATAACGCGTCCACCTCGCGTCGCCCTGGAGTATCAGCGCTCTGTCCGCTCCTGATACGCCGCTAACTCCACCTTCGTCCGGTCAAAAGACTCACGAGGCAAGCAAGCGATACGGTGGGGACCCATCGAAGGTCATGTTCCTCGTGGTCCCTTCCATGGCCGAACTCTACTCTATCAGCTCCCCACTCATCTCCACGATAGTACCAAGTGAGGGGGACATACCTGAGGGACATGAGGAGTACCGGGATCGCTGGCGCAGAGGAGCTGGTTCGTAAAGCCTGCCTGGGCGTTGTTGCCTGTCGATGCCATGTTGATAGTGGTCGTGCTGGAGGTAGTCTATCAGGAAGGCTGAGTATGGAAAGTGGGGATAGGTCAGCAAATCAAAGTACGGATGAAGAGGTTGATGTCTGGCTCGAGCCACTTATATATGCGAGAACAGCATCAGCGGGCCTTGGCGGACTGGCCTCCTTTCACAGCCTTTCACTTCGGCCTAAAAGCGCCACATACTGCAGCTCCACAACCGGCTCCGTCGACCGGCACCGCCAACCGGCGCTAAGGTCTCCGCCGTATGATAGCGCAGGATCGCACGTTCTTTGATCCGCTCTGTCAGTCCCCGCCGCCGCTCCGCCGTCTCGGCACTCCGCTGCTTCGGACCTCTTCGGACCTTCGGTCGGCCGCTATCGACCGCTCTACTCGAGTCTATGTTGAGGAATTCTCCGAAGAATGTGGAGTGCCAAGAGGCAAAGGCAGGCACTCAAAAGGCACGAGGCACGAGTCCCCCACGCTACTCACGCTAGCTAAAAATGGGGGCCGATAAAGTTTTCGGGACCAGATCTTCGGCCGCATGCTTGTCTCCGCCGGAAGCGAGCCCTGAAACCACAGCTATTAGGCGGAGCGGCACTTCCTCTCATCATGCATCAGTACATCAAGCAGGGAAGAGGTCGTACGGTACTCAGCGGGAGTCAGATACTGATCGGGCTGCTCGCCGGTTGCGATGTTGGTGAGAGAAGAGAAGACCCCGGAAAGTGGGATGTGGCGCTCATACGCACTGACGAAGACGGCCGGGCATCATGCCGAACTCACACACAAGGGTACCTTTGGGGCGCTGAGCCGCCCTGATCAACAACCTTCACTGAGCTTTGACCCTCCCAGCCTGTGAGATTCGTACATTGACATCATCCCAGGCATTCATCAGCAACCACCTGGTTCCAGTCTATACTATGACTTCTGAGCCGAGAAAGCAGCTCGTGCCCCAGCTTCTCCCCGAGCTGTACCCCCTCATCATCCAGTTCCTCGGCAACCCCGATCCCGCTCCCCTCTCTCAAGCTCCAGCTTCATGCTCCAAGCAGCCTCATCTGGCGGTAGCCATGAGGGTCAACAGAGTAAGTACCCTTCCAACATCACCGACCTTACGCTAAATCATCTAGACATTCTACAAGATCGCGGAACGCCTGCTGTACACCCACATCACCATCGACCACCTTCTCATGCACCTCGTCGACCTCACCAGGTTCCGCAAGGAAGGCCGCTTCGCCCTCACCAAGACGATGCGCGTCGAGTACCCCGAGTTCGGGTTGGAGCCGACCTATACCATGATGGCGCGGAACGAGGGGAAGCAGTGGCGGCAAAACAAGGACGAGTTGTGGAAGAGGTGGGGAATGATGGGAGCGCAGAAGCAGCAGTCCCGGGAGCATGACTATGCTCGGCAGCTAGAACTGCTTGCCCCCATCTTCGCAAGGCGGGACCTGGTCAAACTTGGGACGGTCATGCCCGGGCTCAAGGCGGTCGCTATAGCCTCCATCAGCGGTCCTCAACACACCATTTGGTCCACCCTTCGCCCAGCACGGCTCCACGTCGAGTGCGGGCAACACTTTCATCGCTTCCTCACCAGCGGTAACGTTGAGCAGACCTGCGTACGGGATCTTGCGGGTTATCTCGCACCGCCTCGACACCGTTTCCCGCCTAGCGACCAAATCCCCGGGACCAGGCCGCTCATCACGCTTCACTTCGACTCCTCGGAGGTCGACTTGCTCGCCTTTCCTCCTCGCATCCCCACCCAATGGGTGTATGAGGGCGAGGCGGACGCGGACTGGGCGGATGTCTTGCAGAAGCTGGGCGCCCACATCCGCGAGATCACCACGGCGCGGCAAACGTCCCCACCCCTCTTTCCCGACGAGATCCTCAACCTCCGTATCTACTGCTCCACCGCTCAGACCAGCTCCAAGGTGGACGCAGACACCATCCTATTCAACCCCAGCAATCTCCGTCCCCGCGCTGTCCGCTCGTCCAGCCCCCGCCCCCTGTCCCATGCCGACCAAGCGGACCTAGCGAAGGAGCTCCAGCACGCAGTCAAGTGGTTCGTCCTCTGCATGCTGGCTCTCCTCGGCACGCCCGTCCACGACAAGGTCCGCTGGCATACTTCGGCGGAGACGCCAGAGTGCACAGGATGCGGATGCGGCTCGGGCCCGCAGCTGGGGGCGATAGAGGAGATTGACTCGGACTCCGATGAGGGAGAAAGTGGGGAGAGTGGGGAGGAGGAGGACAATTGAGCGTGGGGCCGAGGCGGGATTTGGAGTGGGTATCGCAGGCGGAGGGCGGGTCCAAAGCAGGTGGCGGATGGGGAGGTGGGGAGTCAGGATAGATAATGGCGGAGCGGCGGGGGCGGGGCGAGCCCAAAGACAGCGAGGATACAAATTAGCTCAGTCAGACAAGTCAAGTAGGCATCAATAGACATCAGTAGGGAGAGTGGAAGGACTGTATATTGATAGATACCTATTCATTGTTCACATAACGATAGATTCCCAACCTGTCAAGTTAGCCTAGTATCCGATTCCGACAGCTATCCCAAGTACTCACTTGTGATCCGACACACGCGCGTCTCTGACCGCACACTACGCCTCCTTGACACCCTTCTTCCATTCCATCAACACGTTCCACCCCTCCGCCCCGATCTCGATCCCTCTCCCTTCCTGGCCCCTCTTTTCCTCCGTCTCAACCCGCAGCATCTCCTCCAACACCTCCATCGGAACTGATCCTCCCTCGAACTGCACAAAGTCCCGCCTGACCGCTGCTCTCATCCTCGTCCTTGACGCGATGTCCATGGGCGTGTACAAGCATATGTCTGAGTAAAAGAGGCACATGCGGGTAGGGCCTGTTTGGTGGTCATTTTGGTAGTGGGGAGAATAGCTTCCGTCGCGACATGAGGAATGTGGCGATTTTGCCACCCGCACCAAGGTCATGCTCCGCGTACACCCATGCTTCCATCATCGATACCGAGCCAGCATGTCATGCTTACCGCTTCTAGTCAGCACGTACAGGTAGCCTAGGACTCCCCGGTTGCATACATACCCTGCTTACTCCTCATCCCTCAGCCCCGCTACTAAAAACAAGCCGGCACCCTCCCAGGCCATCATCCAGTCCCCCTGCGATGCAAAAGGTCAAAATATGATGCTCCGAAGAGCCCTCTCTGTCTCGAGTTTGTCATCCTTATGCAGGGGCAATGCTAATCTTCTCTGTATCGTTCCAATTTTATCATATGCCTCAGCTCCGAAGAGCCGAGGCGATATCTATCACTTCCAAGACGATGTTCTGTCGCCCTCACGCGCGAACGGACGGGATGGAATTGAAACGCCGTTTATGTGGCGACTGCCGCGTAATTACTTCTTTGGGTAATTCTGGTGATCGTTGTTGACATCTGGCACATCATCCAGCCTGTACAATAGTTACATTGCTTCAATGCATAGACGGTCATTTGAGGTGGCCGCAGAGTGGGGGAGGTGGTGCCTGGGCGCAGGAACGCTGACCTCCGTGAGTTTCATGCCCTCCTTTGGGGCGGCTAGACCTGCCCTGATGACGTCTGGCCGATCATAACCACACACCTCTGTGCCTGTACCTCGCTGACAACTTAGATTTTGAATGCATCATCGTCTGCATAATCGAAGCTTGCCGATATGAGATGAGATCAGCCATCCACCCTGATTCTGCTCGCTGCCGTGCCAGCACCCTGATAATAGATGAATATTGGCTCCCCCTCCTCATGGATCCCGAGCTGCCGAGGGGACCGAGTACTGGGAGCAAAGAATTGATCATGACCATATGATGAAGCTTGAAGGCAGTTCGGAGTCGAGGAGGAGCAGGGTGGTAGAGCAGACAATTGTGGACCGAAAAGCGGCTATGGGTTTGACTGTGAGTGCCTATTCTAAGCAGTTCTTGCTGCTCTAGTAATACAAGCTGATCTTAGAGGCATTTCCGAGCCCGGCGCTACCCTACTTTGAGCCCTATCCCTCCTTCTGTCTTCCTGGCTCCCTTCACCCTTCACCTTAGCGTTCATCCCGACGACCTCGGGCCGCAAAGCGAGGCTCTCATTCACCTCCTTTCCTCGTCCCATTCGCACACCTTGCCTCCCCTGGCACGTGGGCATACAGAATATTGGAGCGGTATCTTCTCTCCAGATGAGTTCAGCCTAGGGCCACAGCTACGAGGGCACAAGTCTAAATGCATCTAGTTATCTATGTGGTCTATGTATCTATCCATCCTGGGCTTATACCCTCTTCTCCCCCTGCTCTGGCAACAGATTTGGCTCCAGCTCCGCCGTCTCCTTCTCCTCCTTACTTCCGCTCGGTGCATACTTTGAATTCCGCCTCAGGTACGACCCGTACCGCATGAAGAGGAACGGCATGGGTGTGCAAGCCAGGCTGAGGAAAGCAATGAGTGTTCCCGCCCAGTTGAGTCCGAGGTTCCGGTACAGGTGTGTTGAGAAGAGAGGGAAGACCGTCCCGAATACCGAGCGCATGACGGCGTTGGACGCGAGCGCAGACGCCGCAAAGACCGAGTATGAGTCGATGAGGTAGAGATTGATAGATGTGAAGATGAGGAGGAAGCCCGCACCGAATGGGACCGAAGCGAGGATGGGGACGATCCAGTGTACGCTTGGTTGGGATGTCCAAGCGAACCAGAAGAGACCGATAGGGAGGAGGATAGATCCGAGGCACATCATAGGTAGGCGAGCCTCGGGAGGGACGTTTCCTGCTCCGTGCTTCTTGACGGCGTTGTTGTAGTAGATCTGTCCGAGGGGGTTGAGGAGGTTCCCGAGGAGCAGACCGACGCCGATCCCAAGGAAGGCGAGGCCAGAGTGGGAGAGGGACCATCCCCGACCCTGCTGGAAGACGATAGGGAAGGCAGTGAAGAAGAGGTAGAGTGTTCCATACACGATAGCGGCGTAGAGACCGAGGGCGAATACGATAAGTTCCGAGTAGAGCATAGCGAAGGGCCGAGCCAGCCCGACCTTGACAATCTCGGCTTTGGGTTTCCGGCCGACATCGTATTTAGACATGAAGACCTCGCCGGTGCCGGATGCGTCTGCCTCGGATTGGAGTTTGAGGGCTTTGCGGCGGAGGAGGGTGGGGGCGTAGGTTTCGGGGACAAAGATGAGGGTGAGGATGAGCATGACGCTGAGGGTCAGCTTGGCCCAGGCTGAAAAGCATAAGAACTTACCCCGCAAACATCATATTAACCCAGAAGACCCATCGCCATCCCTTCCCTTCCACCACAAACCCGCCGACGATCGGCCCCAGTACTGGCCCCAAGAAGGGGGCCAGCGCAAACAGACTCGCCGCCAGCGCCCTCTCGTGCGGTGCCCAGATGTCCCCAATCTGCCCTCCGGCCGTCACGAGTGGTGCCGACCCAAAAGTGCCCGCCAAGAACCTAAACACCAGCACACTCTGGATGTTCCCCGCCAGCGCACCCGCCATGTTCCAGATCACAAACAGCGGGAAGCTCGCTGCGAAAGCGACGTTCCGCCCCCATATCTCGGATACCGGCGCCCAGAGCAATGGGCCGACACCAAAGCCCAGGACGTACAGACTGAGTCCGGCGATCCCTTCTTCCAGATTTGTGCCGGGGAAGGTGCGCAGGATGTCCTGGACCGCCGACGAGTAGGACGAGGAGGAGAAGGCGATGCAGAGGGTGGAGATGGCGACGACGGCGGTGACGAACCACTTGTAGCTGCTTTTCCAGTTGTAGGGGTTGGCTGGTTCTTCTGGGAGCCAGTCGACGAGGAAGGGGGATTCGGCTGTTCCTTTGCCGGCGTAGGGGTTGGGGAGGGGAGAGGAGGGGGCGTTGGGTTGTGGGGCGAGGGAAGAGGAGATGAGACCGGCGGGGGTGCGGTCGAGCGTTATTTGGCGGCCGATCTGGATACCGCCGACGAGCGTGGGGGTGGGTGAGGAAGGGCGCGTCATGGGAGATTTTGATCTCAAATCTATCGCTTGCTATGATGTTAAGGCTTGAGAAGTGGCGATGAAAGACTACATCTCGCGGCTTATATAGCAAGAGGAGAGGTCAAGAAAAGTCATCAGCGAAAACAAGACCAAGCTCCGGCCGGCGGTTCGTAAGCAAGATTTGTCAAGATGCATTTGTCATATCACTATCGTCAGCACCCATCACACATTTCGGCTCACCTATCCTGTCACCCCTCTTGACTTCTACAAACTCCACCCCAAGCCCACTCATCGCTCTCAGCTCGGCCATGATAATCTCCCGCATCGTCCTGCCTGATGGATGTGGAATAAGCGATTCTTTGATGTGCGTCACGAAAACACGGAGGCCGTCGAGCCCAGGTGGATCCAGAAGATTCGCCATGATCTGTAACTCTCGATACAGGCCAGGGGGCGAGATATGGCCGAACATCAGATGTGACGGTCGAGCCGAGTCATAAGAGCATTCAATCTACATTAGCGAGAATCATGTCTGACCGCTGAGAGGGTCTACGCCGGTTGAAGGGAGTGCAGAGGTAGGCTTGCTGCTCGGGCGTGATTGGGTGAGAGGGTAGGCTGGGGAAAGAGGGACTAAGTAGACTCACAAAGATACCCGCTAATCTCCCTTCTGACCAGCTTTGTGCTGCTTCCTTCCAGATCTGACTATACCCTCCCTCCTCCAAATCGCCAAAGAACAAAAACTCCCTCTCGTCCGTCCGTATAAACATCGCGGTGGACTCGTATAGCCCATGCGAGGTGCAGCCATGCGCGACGGGAAAGATACGAGTGGAGATGGGGGTGGGATGGAGTTGTTGAGATGAGGTAGATGGTAATCTATCAGCAGGGTCTGGAGGGGACTTACGGAGTGAAGACCACGCCGGTGGCTTTGGAGATGTCAGGTACGGCTCCGCTCTGGGATGCTTCTCCCGCCCAGCTAGCGAGCTCTGGCCATAGTCCTCCCTGATACGCCGACGCGAGCCTTTCCAGCGTTTCCCGCGTGCCGTAGACTGGCGGCCGCGGCGCCGAGGGTCCAGCGGTAGACCTCAGATCTGTCGGCGCCATCGCGTGAGGTAAACTCGAGAGGTCTGGCCCGCTTGCAAATCTTGGCGGAAGTGATCCGGTCAACATGATGAGTGATAGGGAATGGTCCAGATGAGCATGAGTTAGAAGATAGCATCTGCATCAGCTCCATCAAGTTTCCACTCACGATAGATGAGAAAAGACATATGCTGCCTTGAGGATGGGGGTGTTGTGGGTATCTGGGAAGCGGAGCGTAGGAAAGAGGTCCGAGGAGTCTTTGTATGCCAGGAGGTTGACCAATGCCCCTATGCCGGACCCTGCATCAGCTCCACCAGACCCAAACCCACCTCCCTCGAGGGCAACGAAACCATCCTCCCATGTCGCGCGGTACGGCTTGAGCAGGTATCTGATCAGCTCCATACATCCCAAACTCACCCCGAGCAGTCCGTCTCTAGTGGCCCTCCCCCACTGCCCAGCACCACCATCTCGAACGCTGGCTCTCTCTCCATGGTCGACGTCGACGAAAGCAAAGAACAACAACAAACGGATTTGGCCGTCGGCCTTGGCGTCATCAGGTGACTGACTTGCCAGATCTATGGCCAGGCCCAGAACGTACATACTTCTCTTAAGCTTATTCCTTCTTCCACTGCAGAGATGTCGCACGAGTATGAGCTCCTGCCTACAGAGGGAGCTTCCTCGGCGGCGACGACCCGCAGGCGGGCGCCCACGACGACTTCAAAACTTCTCTCGGTCTTGAAGCTGAGACATTTTCGCCCGGTCCAGCTTTTGTACGCCCTACCCCCGCTGGTTCTCCTTGTCTTTGCTGTCGACTATCTGCAGAAGGGCGAGGCTCCTGGTCTACGATACGACACAGCCGGTCTGGCGTATCTGGACGTAGTGTCTCAGCGCGGAGAACATCCCATCCTCCGGTTGATAGCTCGGGGGAGAAGACTCGCCGCCGAGCTGGAAGAAAAGCAGGGACGAATCCTCTCTCTGCAGGATGCAGTGAACGACTATAAAGAGGCGTTCGGGATGATGCCTCCGGAGGGATTTGAGGGATGGTAAGTCCCCTTTAGGCGAAGCTAATGACAGGTACGACTTTGCCTTTTCCCATGACTCGACCACAGCCCCCTCCCTCATTCCCTTTGCGCACACCTCGGTCTTGCCGTACCTCTCACTACCGCCCCGCCTCCTCGAACGTCGAGCTATCGAGCAGCAGAATCAGCGGGGAGTGTTTGGAATGACATTCCATCCTGAGGAGAAGGAGAAGATTGACCAGATTGGGATCACAAACGAGGACGACGTGACGGGGTACATGTCGCCTAGGTGGTAGGTCCTAACCCCGCCGGAGAGGACAAGGGCTGATTCTAGGGACTATCCCCTACTCCTCGAACCGGTGGTACCGCTTCTACCCCTCGCTCAGCAGCCCGACCGACCGATGCAGATCAGCACGTGCGTCAAGGACGGATCGTGCAGGCTGTCTCATGGCGAGTTGATGGAGATGTCACGGACGAAAGCGAGGGCGGGGGAATGTGAGTCTGCACTTGGTCTGTACTGATGGTAGTATGGGACGAAGAAGAACTGGACAGGTTAGAGAAGGGGTATATCGAGAAGGATGAGCTGGGATGGTATGTCTCACCCCCGCACAGAGCTGACGACAGGCTGATGACTTGCCCTCCTGGCTCTGTGTCAAACTCGTCCTCACCGCGAGCAGGAGACGTATCATTCGTATCTGACTTTATGGAGTATATGGACTTTTGCAAGCGCCCAGAAATGGTCGAGCAGGTATGTTCTACCTAGACTTGAGCTGATAGCAGAACGGCGAGATGATCATGGAGGACCAACACATCATGCGCCCTCTTGCTCCAATACTAGCGGTCTCAAGAGTGAGTCATACCTCGTCGAGCTGGACATGGCTGATCTTCAGCTGATGCACGGGGCGGACATGATGGGCGTGCCTACTCGAGCAGTCAATGGCAAGTCAAACGTCTTAGCTTGGCTGAACCGCAGACACGCACGATTTCGAGCCCTGGGCCGACAAGAACCGCTCGCAAGTCGTCTGGCGGGGGACGATCACCGGTATCTTCCATCGAGAGCGGTATGACTGGCGTTCTTCCCAGCGCGATCGGCTCGCGTTCCTTACCAGCAATACAGCAGATCCAGAGAAGATTGAGCTGTTGGCGGAAGGGGATGCCGGGCTCGAGAGGAAGGCGTATACTAGAGGGGAGCTGGTCGAGCGGTGGATGAACGTGGGGGTTGTGGACCATGTGAGTTTTGGAAAGTGTAGGCAGAGCAGGAGCTGACTATTTTAGGATATCGATAATATGGTGAGTCGGGTCGAGGACAGCTTGAGATGGAGCTGATGATTAGTGTGGGGTTGGGCCGACCGGCGAAGCCTGTCGACTCGACGGCAAGGAGACGATCCCGTGCGATAATGATGGTGCTTGCGATCAGATGAAGGCAGAGATCAACTTTAAGGAGATCATGACCAATGTTGACGCCTTGCCGTGAGTGTCCGAGCTGCTTCTACGAGGCAAATGTAGCCCTCAAAGGCGCACAAGTTGTTCAAGGGATCACAGTGTTGATGGCCAGGTACAAGTACCGGTTCGATATAGACGGGTACGGCTGGTCATCGCGCTTCAGGAAGCTCCTCTCCTCCAACAGCTTGATCATCAAGAGCACAGTCTATGTAAGTTCAGCCTCGCTATGTGGAGACATGTGCTGACTTTTTAGCCTGAGTGGTGGTCGGTATGTACCTCCCCCGATCTCCGAGACAGTAGCTGACCCCCAGGCCCAAGCTATTCCATGGTATCACTTCGTTCCGATGAAATACGACTACACCGACATGTTCGATATCGTCTCCTTCTTTGACGGTCCGCCCGACGCTGGCGCACACCCCTCGCAAGGAAGGAAATGGGTTCGAGATGGCCTCGCAGAAGAGATCGCGGAGAATGGGCGCAAGTTTGCGATGGAGCGAATGAGGTGTGTCCGTTGAGTACTACTGTGGTCAGAGCTGATCCGCAGATGGGTCGACATGCAGAGCTACATGTATCTGTTCCTGCTTGAGGTGAGTTCCAGAACGTGGAGTCAGAGCTGATGGCAGTATCGGAGAGCTTGGTCCCTTGACCGAGAAGCGGCGACTTATAGACCATAGATTCTAGACTGGATTGATCTTGGACATTAGCTGGCATGTATCTTTACTGCAAATCTACAGCTACACCCTACACCAGCTTGGTGACCAGTGTCCCCAGGGCCCCTCAGCTGTATACGGCCTCTCCCAGAGCGCGACTTATCGACCTTGGAACTGGTCTTTTGGACAGTATCAAGGACTGCATCTGTACCAAATCGTAGTCGCAAGTCACCTGGCCCTCTAGACCAGCTTCGTCACTAACGTCCCCTGAGTCTCACCCGTAAACAGCCTCCCCCAGACCTTGGGAATATCCTCAAACTTCGCCTCTACCACCGTCTCCTTGTCCACCTTGATCTCGCCCTCTTGCACCCACTGCATGAGCTCTCCGACCGCCTGCCCAAAGTCTTTCGCATAGTCGGTGACGATATAGCCTGCATTAGCTTGGCCGACCAGGACGCACCTCTGATAGTATAGCGGTTATAGATGACCTCGCGCCAGTTGGTGAGTTGAAGGGGTTTGCCGTGGTAGCCTGTATCAGCTTGTCCAATGTCAGACTCACCAGAGATAGCCCCGCAGACGGTGATGTGCCCAAACCGCTTGACCCGCTTCAACACCTCGTCCAAGACCTCCCCGCCGACATTGTCAAAGAAAAAGTCGCTTTCCTCCGGAAGGGCCGCCTTGAGATCCTCGGCAAACGAGGCGGACTTGTAGTCGACGCACTCGTCCGCCCCGAGAGACTTGACCCAGTCGCATTTGCCCTTGGAGGCTATGCCGACGACGCGCTTGCATCCTACGACGTGCTTGGCGATCTGGACGAGGCAGCTCCCGACCGATCCGGCCGCGCCGGAAACGACGAGCGTATGTTCGGGTTTGAGGTCCATCTCGCGGAACGCGCCCGCCCAGGCCGTGAGGCCGTTGACGCCGAGGGCGGTCAGAGCGAGGAAACCAGAGCCGGGACTGGGGTCAGCTCGTCCCTGCTCGAACTTACGGTGCGACCCCCATAATCTCCTCTGGAGTGATCACCTTGTACTCCCGCCAGTCCATAAACGCCGATACCTGCTGCCCCACCTTGAGCTGGTCAGACCTGCTTTCGACGACCTCCCCGAGTCCGGGTGCGCGCACGACTTCGCCTTTGAGGATAGGCGGGACGTAAATGTCCATCCACGTGCGCTGGGCGGGGAGGTTGTTGAGTGCGATAGCCTTCAGGAGGACTTGGCCGTCTTCGAGAGGCGGAAGGTCTTGGTTCTGGACGAGGAAGGTGTCGGAGAGGATGGCCCCAGTGGGCGGGTTGGCGAGGATGATGACTTTGGTAGTGGACGGCATGGTGAGTGGGAGCGTGAAGGGCAAAGCCGGAAGGGGGTCGATATATACCTCATTAGTCGGCGCCAAGCAAGCGGTGCATGATACCTCCGATGGCCGAGCTGGCCGAGCGAGCGCACCCCCGTTGTGAAGCTGGACCGCATGGGTTGGGGGATAGCGCGTCCTTTGTCTGGACAAGGTTTGGTTTCCCCTGCCTCCACTCCCCCACCCGGAATGCGGGGAATGTGGGGAAGTCATAAGTGGCGACCAGACGCTTCATCGCAAGGGGAAAAACGCAAACTGGATACATAAATCGTATACGCTATCTCTACACCAACTTGGTCACGAGCGTACCCTGGTTCTCTCCAGTAAACAGCTTCTGCCAGGTCTGGGGAATACCCTCAAACTTGGTGTCCACCACGGTCTCCCTATCCACCGTGAGCTTGCCCTCCTCGACCCACTGGCGGAGCTCCTTGGCCGCTTGGGGAAAGTCCTTGGCGTGGTCGCTAAGGATGAAGCCTACATCAGCTTCGTCGGGCTGTAACTCACCTTTAAGGGTGTACCGATTGTACACGACCTCGCGCCAGTTGGTGAGCTGCAGCGGCTTTCCGTGGTAGCCTGACGTCAGCGAGTTCGATGCATAACCCACCTGAGATGGCACCGCAGACGGTGATGTGCCCGTATCGCTTGACCCGAGTCAACGCCTCGTTCAAGACCTCTCCGCCGACGTTGTCAAAGAAGAAGTCCGTCTCGTCCGGGAGCGCCGCCTCGAGGTCCTTGGCGAAGGAGGCGGACTTGTAGTCTACGCACTCATCCGCGCCGAGTGATTTCACCCAATCGCACTTCTCCTTCCCCCCTGCAATGCCCACGACGCGCTTGCAGCCGACGACGTGCTTGGCGAGCTGGACGAGACAGGTCCCGACCGACCCGGCGGCACCGGAAACGAGAAGGGTGTGCTCCGGCTTGAGGTTCATCTCGCGGAAGACACCGGCCCAGGCGGTGAGACCGTTGACGCCGAGGAGAGTAAGAGGGAGGAATTCGGACTTTCCCTTGATGTCACTGATATCAGCCAAGCCAAAGTCATGGCAAGCCAGAATCAACCAGACTCACTTGACGACACTCATAATCTCCTCTGGCTTGATGACCTTGTACTCGGTCCACCCCATCATGGCCGTGACCCTCTGCCCGACCTTGAGCTTGTCCGACTTGGACTCGACGACCTCGCCGATACCGGGGGCGCGGACGACCTCGCCCTGCTTGATGGGCGGGGCATAGAGACGCTTGGGGTCAATCTCGTTGTCCATCCACGTGCGCATGGCGGGGAGATTTCCGAGGGCGACGGTCTTGAGGAGAACTTGGCCATCCTCGACGGCCGGGAGGTCCTGGGTCTCAACCTTGAAGGTGTCAGGTTTGATGTCCCCCTTGGGCGGGTTGGCGAGGGTGATGACTCTGGTGGAGGGCATGGTGGTGGTTTGAAAAGTGTGGATTTTATGTACAGGCGCAGTGCGGCGCAGAGAGCTGGACTTGGTATATGAGGATGGAGAAGGATGAAGTATAGAAGACAATGCTAGAAGTCAAGTGCTAGTAAGCGCCTGGTTATATACCCGAGACCATCAAGTGGAGGCGGCTGCATGCGTCATCCGAGAATCTCGGACTTTGAAGCTTTGCATTCCTTCATTACTCAGCATGCCGCCTTCGCCCTCGTTAGAGGCGTTAGAGGGGTTCATCAAGCGGCAGCAGCACCTGCTCAAGCTGGAGAGAGAGGCAGAGGAGGTGCAGACTCGACTGCTCAACAGCAAATGCAGCCCAAAGTTGCTGGAAAAGAAGGGATTGGCGCTGGGCAGCTTGGGCGTTTCCGGAATCAGCATTGGTCTCGGGGGTAAAACGTGAGCCCAATCTCAACCCAGCTAACGACAGGTTGGTAGAGCTATGCCGACCCATCGCGTACAATGTGGACGTCCTGCTTCCCCCGCACACGTTTCGCCAAGGCGATCCGGTCCGGATAGAAGGTGTCGGCAAGGCGGATCAAGGCGTCGACGGGACGGTCTACCGGGTCACGACCGAGCGCATCATCGTGGCGACCGAAGGCCAGGCGGAGCTCGTGGAGCGGTTGCGTCTGGTCAAACTCGCCAACTCGGCGACGTATGACCGGATGGACAAGACCATGGTCGGCCTCGGCAAGCTGCTCGAGGTTGCGCCGCCGCATGTCGAGGTTTTGCTGGGAAAGAAGAAGCCAGAATTCGAGGAGGCGTACATGAAGGAATGGTTTACGGATCTGAACGATAGTCAGAAGGGTGCCATCACCCATTGCTTGAGTGCCACCGAGGTAGCGGCTATTCATGGACCCCCCGGAACAGGTGAGTCACTCTCCAGCCGAGCTGATATAGGCAAAACCCATACCCTCGTCGAGCTCATTTACCAACTCCTTTCCGCCGAACCTCACCACAAAATCCTTATTTCCACCCCTTCCAACCTCGCCCTCGACAACATCCTTGCCCGCCTGTGGCAGCTCTCCGCCGACCCTCCCTACTCCAGACTCCTCCCCCGATCCTGCATCGTCCGTCTCGGCCACCCCACCCGTGTCCAGGCCGACCTTATCCCCGCCACGCTAGACTACCAAGCCAAACACGGTGACGACGGGACACTGATCCAGGACATCTCCAACGAGATCAATTCGCACCTCTCGGAGCTGGCCAAGCGCCGAGGGGAACGCGGGGCGGTCAAAGGCAAGGACAGGGGGAAGCGCTGGGAAGAAGTCAAAGAGCTCCGCCGGGAATACCGCCAACGCGAAGGCAAGGTCGTCTCGAATGTCATTGACCGCGCCAGGGTTGTGCTCGCCACCTGCCATTCGGCCGGAGCGCGCCAACTCAACGACGTCACGTTTGACGTGTGCATCATTGACGAGGCGACCCAAGCCATCGAGGCGGTCTGCTGGGTCCCTATCCTCAAGTCCAAAAAACTCGTCATTGCCGGAGACCCCAAACAACTCCCTCCAACCATCATGTCCAAAGCCGACGCGGTCAAGGCTTCCCCCTTCCTCCACAAGTCCCTCGAGACCACCCTCTTTGACCGGATCGAAACCATGCACCCGAAAATCAAGCGCGTCTTGACCACCCAATATCGGATGCACAAGGATATCGCCACCTTCCCCTCGGAAACTCTCTACGAGTCGGAGCTTATCTCGGACCCGTCCGTCGCGGAGCGCACTCTAGCCGACCTGGTCGGGGATGGGACGAGCGACGATCCGGATCTGACCGCCACCGTCATTTTTTACGATACCAACACGTGCCGGATGCACGATATGGTCGAGGAGGGAGAGTCCACGTCCAATCCTCAGGAGGCGGAGATTGTCGTCAAGTGGGCAAAGAACCTCGTCGAGCTCGGAATAGAGCCAAAAGACATTGCTATTGTCACACCGTACCAGGCGCAAGTTGCGGAAATCAGGGGGAAACTCAACTTTCCAGAAATGATGATCGGGTCGGTGGACGGGTTGCAGGGACAAGAGAGGGAAGCGGTCATTCTGAGTCTGGTTAGGTCCAATACCAAGGGGGAGGTCGGGTTCCTGAGCGAGTACAGGCGGTTGAATGTCGCTATGACGCGGGCGAAACGGCAGTTATGTGTCGTGGGGGATTCATCGACCGTCAGGAAGGGGAGTGCGTATCTGGAAGCGTGGATAAAGTACCTGGAGGACGGGCCGGGAGAGGTGCGCTTTGCGGGGGATATGTCATAGGTAGATCATCTGTCGAACCATGTAGAACCGGATCATGTGGCCAGGGAAAATTTCAACTCCACATTCCTCACTCTACTCTCCATGCCAAACGACTACAAGGCCGTACAGCGCCAAACGGCTCAGTATGACCTCTTCAATCGGCTCCACTCCATCAGCTCCGACTCTGAATTCGTCAGAGCTACCGCGGAGGCTTATGACCACCGCTTCGAGGTGATCCCCAATCAAAGATGCGGGACGTGGTACTGCGACCCCTCGTCCTCCTCGGCGGTATACGCCTACTTCAAGTCGACAGACGGGCATACCGGGAATTGGGGCTTCAACATGCGCCGCTCCAACTTGCCTTTTGCTGAAATGGCAGAGACGAAGGGAGGGGTGATCTTGGTTGATTCCACGAGGAGGGGAAAAAGGATGCCGGACGCGCTGAGCAAGACGGTACCTATCTGGTGTGCGGTCATCAACCGTGCTATAGCTCGGAGGCGGAGAGGAGGCAAGGAGGAAGAGTGGGATGGAGAGCTGTACACCCCACCTAATGTGGTGTCGGGGAGCGAGAGGGCGCAGATCGAGGAAAAGCTGGATGGTTGGGCAGAGGCACTCGAGGTGAGCTTGATGGTAACAAGCACTGCAAAAGCTGACACATAGACTTCTACTCTACCCCTTCCTGATCTCCTTCGACCCCTCCGTCCATTCTGGATCCACCCAAATACGACTCAACCACCACATATCCCCCCTGATCCGCCTTACACACCAATCATCTGCGTATCCGCCTCGCGCTGGGTCGGCTCAGAGGACAACGTGCCGCTCGTGACCAAGCTGGCCGGGCGGACTGTAGGCTTCAGCTATGTCCAAGGCGCAGGAGACGACGATGAGCTTTGGTCCAAGGTGAGTCTGGGCTGGACGGGCTGACGGAAGGGCTTGACACCGGCGCTATTTTATCGGAACAAAGAGCGGCTTCTAGCGGTAGACAGGGATGATCTGGGCGAGCTTGTCGAGGATATCGTGGGCGGTCTGGAGGGACTCACATCGAACCTCGGCGGTCTCAAGGTGGACGACGTATCGGCCGTCGGCGTCCCCGGTCCCAGCTCAAAGCTCGCCCTCGCTATCGGCGCCCCCTCCTCCTCGTCTACATGGACCTACCCCGCTCCCATTCATACACTCCGCATCATCACTATCGACAAGTCCAGAAAAGGCGAGCCGTCAACCTACCGCACATCCCCCACCTCATCCATCTTCGCCTGCCACTCCGCACGATCTCATCCCGGCGCATACACCCACGCACTAGACGACCTCGTTGAGCACGTCGAGGACCTCCTAGACGAGGAGTGCTCCATCATCCTTCGGCCGGGCACGTCGGAGCAGCTCGATCAGGCGCTCAAGCTGGAAGAAGGGGAAACGGTTGAGCTGGAAGATATCAGCCTCTCGCCCGAAGATGCTATCGAGGGGAGAAGGACTATACTGCCGCTGGCGCTGGTACTGCTGTTGTCGATCCCGGACCTGGCTGGACATTTGGCAGAGAGGAATGGATTGGTGGATAAGGGGGTAATAGCGGATATGCTGCATCAGCTGGTGGCGCTGTGGCCGGACGGAAATCCGCCGAGGGCGGCGCTGAGGAGGGTGAACGAGTATCTGATGAGCAAGCGGGAGTGAGTAGGTGCTGCATGACATCGCTAGCCTACGATCTGCTGGAATCCTACTCTCTGCTAGCTGACATTTAAACGCCGATAAACTGCTTGGACACCTAACGGCACTGACTGCTTCTGATCCATTGACTCGATCAAGCATTGTGCACGTCAAGCACACCAAGCCAATACAGAAATCTCAGAAGGATCAGTATGATCGGCGGATGGCCGAGACGAGGGAGCATGCGTGCCACAGCGATGACCTCATAGCATATAACTGACAATCCTCACCACTTGACACCTTAGCCGCGCGAAAGGGGCGGTGAAAGGTAAGCAACGATCGAGGCGCAAACTGCGCCATGCGTCGACTCAGTCGATCCTTTCACGGCCCCAAGTCGAAACACTGCAGAGCAACAGGAGGTTGTGAAAGGTGAACAGTTGCTGCTCTCCAGTCTGACGCGACTTATAAGCAGCAGCTCTTTCCGCATCCCCTCGCCACTAGCACATTTTTCAACCTCTCCCCGCACACCTTGATATTTCTAATCCCTCACGTACCTTTAAGCGATCTCACCATGTTCGAGCCCAAGACCACTGAGCAGTCTCTCGACGCCACCAATGAGTCCAGTTCCATCACCAACATTCAGACCTCGACGTCCAGGCCTCAGATCGACCTCGCCTTCCTGAAGGAGGCGCTCGCTGTCTGGAACATTCCCGCTTCCAGCGAAGTGAGCAGCTGCTTCCCAGAAGGCTTGTCACCGACTCGCGTGTCTCTGCGTTCTCCGATTTGCTCTCCGAAGCCAGTACCGAGCTCGATTGCTTCAAGACCGGCCTATTCGCCGGCCAATCGGAATCCGTCATGAATACCCAAGAAACAGACGCCGACCGTGCGTGTCTATACATAGGAATGTTGCGCCACCTGGAGGGTCTTGAGGCAGTGGCCTCGGAGGCCATACAGAACCACGTGCCTGTCTTGGCCAAGGCTCTTGACTGTCTCGAGAAGGCCGCCAAGACACTGCTCACTGATGAGGTGGCCATCGACACGCTCGGAAGCTCTGGCTCGAGGCTGGCATCGGTCTTGGACGATGCACACGCCGCAGGGAACGCGCTCGACGAGCTGTCTCGGTCGAGTAACTTTGGCAGACAGACGGTGCGTAAGGGTGGAGAGTTCCTTAACAGCGGGTTGTACGCTCTCGAGAGAGCGGCCGAGGCGCTGAGGAAGCAACACTACCCACGTTTTCGCGCGCGGGAGCAAGCTCGAAGCTCTCAGCAGGGCCTCACCAACGAGATCAGGGTGACCTCGATGGCTCTGGATGCTGCCCAGGCTGCGGTTGCTGGGTACTACGGGAACGAGGGGCCCAAGACGGAGCTGCTGAAGCGATTTGGTCGTGATGACACTGCGGGCAGCCAAGTGAGCACTCCGACGAAGCTCAGCACGGACTAGGCGGTGAATGAGAGAGAGCTGTAGCTTGAGGTTGAGAGTTATCCCATACACGTACACGACTGATGCATCTGACTTTTCGCTACTGACCAGCTCAGGCCTGCTCTCCAACTCTCGTAGAGGGTCATCGTTGCAAGGAGCCCGTGATCACAAATTCGACCTGAGGAGTCGGTGTTCTCAACTTCACCTTCTCGACGATATCAAAATCTGCCATTGCGCAAATCTCACTCAATGACTGAGTCAACAGGATGACAGGTACAGCGACAGCAAGGTAAACTGTCTCCTCCAGTCTCCTATAGTGACCTCTACACGCCGCGGTCTTCACCCATGTCAAGCTGCTTATCGCAAAGAGGCGAAGTGGCGAATGCCTATCACAAAGGCGATCTGGCTTCTTTTAGCGCGCGGGGTCGAAACACTCGCAAAAAGGAGTCGTTGAAAGGAGTCGGGAGATGGGCGCGGGCATACTGATAAGGTCATAGATCGCGGGGACCTTGTTATCCCTCTTCCCCCTTCCATTTCTGTTTTGCCACTCACTCTCATTCCGAGAATATCCAAGCACTCTCACTTCAAGAGCGAGCTGTTCATCCGCTACCTATCATCGCTTCTGACACTGATACCCTGACCAACAATTACATGTCTCCCGAGCCCGAGGCCCCCACTAGCCATGGCATACTCGACTATGCCTTCCTCCGCAGCTGCCACATCGCGCTCACGAAGCTGCTCCCGGAGCAAGGGGAGCCTGCGTCACCCGGTGCCGCATACTCTGGAGGGGAGATGAACGACGACCGTCCAAGCGATGATGAGGGCGATGCCGGGGACGAGGAGGCTCATGATGACGGTCTCTCTGACGGCGAAGTGGAACTAATGCAGGAGCACACGCTATCTGCCTCATCCGAGGCCGCATACGTTGACGAGGAGATGATGAATGACCGTCCAAGCGATGATGAGGACGCGCAGGCTCATGATGACAATCTCACCGACCGCGAAGGGTGGCTCAAGACGATCATACGGGGAATGTATTGTACTCCGCCGAGTGTTGAGCACCTTGCGAGGCACGCACTTCAGATCTTGAAGGACCGCAAGAGCCGAAATCTGAGCCTGGTTGATTTGGGCAACCAGGAGGCCCCGTCAGCCGCAGCAACTACACAAGACAATGCTGCCGAGGCCTTTTGATGACATGCGGATACATCTTGCGGAGATCATCAAGCCCCGACAACAAGCCCACCTAGGCTTCCAAAATGATCCTGGATATGACGGACGCAAGCTCCATTCCGCGGTCCAGATCTTGAAGACAGCTGCCGATCGCCTGGCGTCCACGAGAGGCAGCATCGAGGTACTCAAGACCTCCGTCTGCTTCGACGCTGCGCGCGATGCGATCACCTCGGCTGTCAGCTCGCTTTCCCCTCTCTCACAGCGACTCGAAAACCTCAACAGCGCCCAATTCCTCGAGAAACAGTTCATCGAACAGACCCTGCTGGCTTCATCACTTCGGGAGTTTCACGTTGCATGGGCCAATGCAGATGAGTCGAGCAGACACGCGATGCTTTCCCTTGCCAGTCGGGATCGGAGCGAGGAGGCAGCTCCTTCCCCCAAGACGCGGTCAGCCGTTGAGCTCCCTGCCCATGGCGCCCCGGGAAGCCTCGAGCAAGGGCTCAAATTCGCTGTTGCCGATATGGAGCATGCCACGACGGGATTGCTGGCCGGGTTCAAGCACTCCACCTACGACCAAGACCACATCACGGAGGCGTTCGAGTACACCTCCCTGACACGGGACAGCCTGCAGACAGCGCGTGGGGCGCTACAGGCCCTCCGTGCCGAGCCCAAAGCGTAGTACCGGGAGGAGACGTCGATAAACGGGACGGGTATAGACAAAGATGAGGCCGTGACTGACGCTTGAGGGTGGGGGCAGCGACGAGACGAACGCTTCGAGAGGGTGGCGGGATCGCGTCGACCTGTATATATCGATTGGATTTGCTTATCGTTGTTTCTCAATTGTGCATGGATGATATGTCCGTCTGGAACCTATATGGAGGGACACCGAAAGGTCCCGGCCATCCTGATGTACTCGTACGTTCCAAACCTCCTGGCTGGTAGCGACTGCCTCTTCAGTGCCGAGCTTCGGAGCAGCATTCCTTGACGCACGGACCCGGTTAAGGCCGATGACGATTACCGAGAGATCATTAAAGCAAGCAAAGATACAGCTCAACGCAACAATCATTCAGGTATTGCCTCTCTACCTTGAACCTGTAGTCCACCACCGGAGTGCTGCAGAGAAGATAATACAAAGGGAGACAGCTCGGCAGCAAGATAAAACCCGCTCTGTCAACGCAATGTCCGCCTCAGACGTCCAGAAATTCATCTTGAAGTGAGCTCCCCTCCCTGTCTTCCATAACAAGGCTAACATGATAGTCCAGCGAACCATGACCTCCTCTCCCTTCTCAAGGGGTTCAGGAATGGTATCGTATATGGTGTCAAGATTCGTACGTTTGTCTTCTTTGACATACAGGTGAAAATCGCTGATCAAGTAGGATTTCCACACGCGCTGGTGATGACCGTCCTCTTCTCCAATCAGCCGTCAGCTTATCCTCATCCTTCGTCCCATCCCAGGAAGTGTAGCTGACGATGCAGATGGCCAGCAAAAATCCGGAACATCTTCAATGCTACCAAGACCCACGCCCTGAATCTCGCTAAATTCGTGACTATCTACAAGCTTGTCTTGCTCTTGCAAAAGCGGTTCAATGGAGGCAAGGAGCGGGATCTGGACAGTTTGTTTGCGGGTGGACTGGGCGGCTGGTGGGTGTTTGGCGAGAGGACAGCTGTGAGTTTTGATCGTCCCTCTCGTCCTTCCCAGCAGTGATGCCTATACTCGGGCTGACCCGCAGATCAACGAACAAATAGTCCTCTACGTCCTCGGCCGCACAGTCCTCTCCTTCATTCCCCGCCTCTACTCCTCCTCCGCTACCGCCCCCGCCTACCCCTTCTCACCCCTCCCGCACCCTCTTCCACCCCTCACCGCCGCCGCGTCCAACCCGCGCGCCATCCCGCCCGCGAACCTGCCATTTAGCGTCGTGGCCGCCCTGAGCTGGGCGGGGGTCATGTACATGTTTAGACATAGAGGGGAGAGGTTGCAGCCTGGGATGGGGGCTTCGATGAGTGAGTTCCAGCGCACGGCGGGGGAGTGGACGACCGGAAGGGACACAGCTGACGATCAGAATACCTGTATCACGATTCCGAGACTTGGAATGACCTTCGGACGCTCTTGTGGCATAACAAGTGAGCGTGGGTATGGGGTGCATGTATGTAGCTATATCTTGTGGAGGTCATGCTGTTTGTCTGGCGCGCTCGAAGGCTTTGATGGCGTCTGAAGGGGTCAGCTTCCAGCTGTCTAGTCGGGGGGAGTGAAGGAACTAACGATCCGCATCGACGAGACTGGCATCCCTCTTCCCGACGAGCATGTACGTCTCCCCGTCTTCGTCTTGCTTCGCAGCGACGAACCTTGAAGCTGCCGTTCGCGCAAATACCTCTGACACGCCCGAATCACTACTGATCAGCTCTCACCGGTCTCAACCCGCGATCAATTCACCATTCTAGGAAGTGCTTGAGCTCAGCGAGCGACAATGCCGACGCTGGGTCGAGACCCGGACCCGTCAAGGTGGTCGAGATGCCGTCAGAGAAAATGGCAGAGTTGGCCAGTGAGGACGGACGGGATTGCGCTTCATCTTCGGTAGAGAAGATCGAAGAGAGCTTGGAGAAGAGGGATAGGGTGGATGAGGTGGACGGCTGGGAGACCGAATCGGAACCAAGCATTATGTAGAGGAGGAAGCTATCTCGCTGGTCTTGTCAGCTCATGATCTCCGCTGGAGGCGTACCAGAAGAAAGAGCTCACAATGATCCATCTCAGGCACCTCTCCTCGTATTCTTCGCCTTCCTTTATCCAGACCATCTTCTCATCCCACACCAGTTCCAGCTCTGGCTCAGCTTGAGCAGCTTCCAGATCCGGCAGGGAGACGGCCGTCTGGACCACCGAGGAGATGGAGGTCCGCTTTAGGTGTTTCGGTCCGCTTGGTGCTGCTGTATCGTCCACCGGATCGGCTAGCGATTCCGCAGATCTGCGCTCCACCGGTGCAACACCGCTGCCTGCTCTGCTTCCGCCCAAACTGAACGCCTGTCCGACGCTTCCGAGCGACTCGCCCAGACCACCCAGACCCAGCCCATGCCATCTCGACGCCTTCCCAGCCTTCGTCCCGCCCGCTCTTGGCTCAACATGATGGCCTCGCCCAGTAGGTGTCCCGGACCTGGACAGCCCGGGCAACCCCGCCATGGTCGGTACCCATCCCGTCCAGCTTGACTTCCGAGCTTGGTCCTCCTGTCCACCGGGGATATGGAGCTCTTTCTGTCGGATAGGCTCCTGAGGTAATGATGCCCTGACGAGATTGACGAGGTACCGCTTCAAAGCCATATTCGCGGATGGAAGCGATATTGGCCCGTCTTTCCCTACGATACCGATATGGGTATCGCCGAGAGCCGTGTCTTCTCGAAAGACGTCGACAGCCCGAGTAGTGGCGAGCTCTATATCTGCCGATGAGGAGGGATAGCCCCCAAACCATGTGGTGAGGCCCAGAGGGTCGGGATGGGGCGTGAGGACGGTACTTTCCAGTTGGAGGGCGAAGCGGGTCCAGAAGCGGTCTAGCGTCGCGGTGAGGTTTGGAGACGATAGGAGATGGGGTAGCGGACCATGCAGTAGCTGGAGTCAGCACAGAAAGGTGCAGACCTACTTTGAAGTCATCATATCCTCTCCGTAGGCAGTCTATGAGCATTTGGTCTGATAGACCCTGGGCGTTCGCGCTTGGTTCGCCTTTACCGCCCTTGACGGGGTCCGGCGGGATTGTGGATAGCGCGACATTCTACAATCAGCTAGTCCAGCACCCAGGCCCTCTACTCACAGCGTAGATGAAAAAGTCTTGTTCTGGCGAGTAGACGACCATCCTCGCTCGTTGCGAATGCACGGACCAGTACCCCGGGTCATCCCCCGGGGCGACCATACTATCCCATCAGCTCATTCAGTAGGTCAGACATACTCAGTAAATGACATCAAGCCCTTGACGAGCCCGACCTGCCGAAGCATGACGTCTCTGCTGACATCGCGCTCGGCATGGGACGTGTAGAAGAGGATCTGCGCCGCTTGAGCGAGATCATCCTCTAGGTCTCTGTCTCGCTCCCCGTCTTCCTGGGTTACTTCTGGCTTTGGGGGCTTCAGGGATGGATTGAAGATGACCAAGTGATTCAGCGCTGGGGGGGTGATAGGGGCTATAGGGGCCATTGGACCTGGACCTATAGGTCACATTGGTATACTGTAGAGGTGGACGCGGTGGGTGGAGGGAAGTGGTGACATCGGTGTGACTCCCGAAACGGCACGGAGTTTAGCGGCGTTATCTCGATTGCCGTATTGGAATTTCAGATTTCAACCTGGCTGAGCCAAGATACAGCTTGCATCCATACACCCATCAACTGTCATGGCGTCCTCTTCACGCTCAGCTTACCGCTTCCTCTCCACTTCCGCGGTCAGGGCTGAGGTGCCCGGAACAAATTACAGCCCCCCAAGAGGGATGAAGAGCAACATCCAGCCTTTTATCCGAAACATCATCGGTCGGGAGGACCTTGCAAAGGCGGCAGCTGGCCAGGCTGCTTTGAACGCTATCGCCGCCGAGTCTGCACCAGTCGAGATAGAAGGCAGAAAGCGGATAGACCAGCATCGAGTAAGTCCACCCATCTCCCAAGAGATCCGGGCTGATAGGCAGTTCCTCTCCCCTGACCAAATGACCCGAACCTCCCTCTACGCTCCCGACCCACCTCGGACCCGCGCCCCCCTCCTCGGTCCGCGTAATCGCGAAGCGCGGAAAATAGACCCCTTCCATATCACCCGCACATCCCCACTCGACCACGTCTACAATCCGCTCATGGGCCAGGCGTTTGTGAATCAGATGGGGTGGATCAAGTCGAGGGCAGAGACGGGACTGACGTGGAAGAGTCAGAGGGCGGTAGGGAAGCTGGCTAGGAGGCAGAGGGCGATGGGGATCATTGGGCAATGGACAAGCCGGCCGACAGCGGGTGGGCTCGGGAGTGAGCGGACGTCGAGATATGATTAGGGCTATGGGGGAAGTGCTGCTGAAATTTTTAGAGCGGAAGAGGTCTGTGTAGAAAGGCTACTTGTAGCCTCATGCAATGCGGGCTTGCTTGAGGCGGTAGATCATGGCCTGGCCTCTTGTAGCCTCGCGGTAGGCTGCTAACCACAAGTCACAGCAAGGAACAAGAAGTGTGCTTGCCTTGTTCGCGCCCTTCACTTCGTACTTAAGGCCGGTTGGTTGCCACCCAAAACCAACAGCAGTCTTAAGGGTTATTGGTCATCTCCTGGCTCATCTCCCACTCCTATCCCCCTTGCCATCCAGCTCCCATACTACAATGGACGACTGCGAGCACGCAGTACCGCGAGACTTCTCGGTGGTCTGTCTACCAATCAAAGCGGATCTACAACCGCTGGTCAAGGGGCAATTCCCCCCGGAACTCTGGCCCCTTATCCTCGTCCATCTGCGCAATGACACGCCGCCGGCGCGTAGCCGGCCTGCGCGTCCGGCGCTGAGGCAACCACACCTCGCCATTTGCATGCGGGTCTCGAAAGTGAGTATCTGCGGTCGTCCATCTCGGGGGTTGTCGGCCGAGTTGGTGTGAACAAGCTGACTGTAGGAATTTAAACACCTCGTCGAGCCCCTCCTCTACACCCACGTCACTCTGGACAACTTCACAGACACCCTCACGGACTGGACATCTCAGCATGCGGAACGGCGGTTCGACCTCACCCGGTCACTCCGGATCGAATACCCCCCTAAAGGCGAGGAGCCGACGTACATGATGCTCATGGTGCGGTGTCCCTGCGAGGATCATCCTCTGTGGGGCTGGGTGGGGCAATAGTCTCCAGGGGGCCTCTACGAGACTGACCTTGCACGTCCTGGCAATGCGTACCAAATCGCCTTGAGCCAAGGCGGATCGCTCGGGTCGGGAGTAGGGTAAAGGAAGCGGCGTTCGAAGATAGGATAGAATCAGTCTCCAGATATTATGGTCCACATGCGGTACCCGAGAGGTATATTTGGAAGACGTTGTGGGCATCTTGGAGCAGGTGAAGCAGGGAGTCAGGGAGGCAATTCGCCTTTGCGCTTGCTTTGCGCTGATTGGACCACTCAGACCCGCCGGAAGGGATTTCTGACTCTGAAATAGGCATGAAGAGAGGAATGTGGTGCTCGAGCGCCGAGCGACACTGAGAAGCGATGCGGAGGCCCCTTGAGGCCCCTGGGCCCGTCTCGTCCAGAAGTTATGGCTGTAGATGGAATAAGAAGCGAGATACGGGCCCTTGAAAGAGGTTAGGTTTCAGCGATTCTGATGCCTATCACCCCGCCAAAATCGGTAGCTTGGTGTAGGCCCCTTCTGTCGGAGGATCCTCTGGTGCGCTATGGGTGGGGCTTGTTGGGCCTATTTTGAGCGCTGGTTCACTCCCAAGCTATGTACTTTACACACTCGTTACACTCCTCCATGCTTCCCCTCCACTCGCCCCTTCCCTCCTCCCTCCAGATCGACACGCTGGACATACCAAAAGTCACCAAGATCGACAAATCTCACGGCTAATGAGGACGTCGGGGTCAGTCTGGGTCAGTGCACCGTGCTTCATCAGCGTGCCTCGTGTCGTTCTCGGCAAGCTCTCTCTTCCAGTGCCGGGATGATCGTTGACCGGCTTGTCTTTTCGCCAGGATCCCCATACGTACGTGCAGGGCAGATTGTTTTGGGGACCCTTCTTCCCAGCGTTCCCCGTACCTTGCATGCATCAAAGCATGCATCAAACACACTATCGAAGAGAACCTCAACATGATTACGAGACACGATTTACCTTTTTGGGCATTGTACGGCATTCAATGATACCCAAAGTAGTATATCGCAATTTCTGGGGCCAGTTTGGATCCCGGATGATCCGGAGCCGAACTGGAGCCGAAGAACCTAATCTTTCAGATCCTTGGATGGAGTAGGAGTACGTGAGGGTGGTCCTGATGAAACATACGAGCTCGTAGTCAAATTTAGACCATGCAGGGCGAGCTCGTCCGAGACAGAGATCACAAGAGTGACGGGGTTGGACCCACACATTTTCTCTTCTCTCTTCGTCCAATTTTTCTCTACTCGCCTCTCACCTTATCACCATGCTCTTGATCAAGCTTCTCTCGCTTTTCATCACCTTCTTCGCCTTAGTCTCTGCCCTTCCGGCAGACTCAAGATCGCCCGGGAGGACGATCACTAATGCCGAACGTATCCGTCGCCACATGCCACTGAACAAGCCTGCTGCGCTCTTCTCTCCCGACCGAATTCGCACCGGTGAGTCCGATCGATGACGTAGAAACAGGGATGAAAGCCATGCTGACCATCTAGCCCGTGACGCCACCACCTCCCCCTCCCTCACCTACCAGTCCTATCTACAAGCGCGAAAGGTGTCGGATGACTCTGTGGTCGGCTATGTTGGATACCGCACTTCTGGCACTTCTGGCTACCAGATTGTCCCTGTAAGTTTTCAATTTAGTACCTCTCCTTGTCACCCGACTCGAGCGAAGGAAACGTCGCTGATATATAGGCTGGCTCCACTAGTGCTCTGTTCTTGTCCTACTCTGGCTTCGCCGCCAGCGACTCCAAGATAGGCTACATTGCCGGCGGGACGACTCAGCTGCTCGGTCTCATGTCGCAGACCACCACCACGTGAGTTTCCTCTGGATATGGCTGGCTCGGTCCCCTTGAAGTAGGTGCTGACATGTCAGCTCAGTTTTAGTCGGCTATCAGTCGACTAGTACGGCAACAGGGATAAAGGTTTGGAATTGGGACGATCCCCATGGTCGAGTGACCGCCGCCGAGATCAGGAAAAACGTTCGGACCACCGACCGAATCTACAAAAGTGCCAGCTCCGTCTTCCCATCCTTCATCCAAACAGGCACTGCAGCTCCGTCGGGATACTTTGAGATCTACCTGTACTGGGCGCCAACAAATGCTTGAGTGGTAGCGAAGTAAGTCCCTCGACTCATTTCTGCCGGATGGAGCTGACAGGGTAGAGTCCGACCAAGATCTGGGTCGGTTATGGGTATGTCGCTAGGTTCTGATTTATGGTGATAATCCGTGGGACGTTGTATCGACATTTATAATGGTAGTCATGATTGCCTGGACAATGCACTACTAGATGCAGACAGATCACTACAGGCGATGTAGAATGCCACATGGGAGCTAGCCGCCGGGCGTCTTGACATACAGTCTTGATGCCCCGTAGCGCAACAGTCGGACTTGATTGTACAGCGGCCAGTCGGTCAATGGTCGCACCAGATTCCGCCCGAGCCCCGCGGTCCGACCCCTAGCAACAGCTCAAGCTTGCACCTGAAGCCGAGAAGACAACCTCCCCAGATGGAACGGCAATAATAGGCAGACTTGCATGCATGAAACGTATATACTCGACATCTAATGTGTCAATCAGCGCAAACATCAGTCAGTATCGGGAGCTTGTCAATGCGAAACGGGGTTCGAAGCGATCAGGCGGCGCTTTCGTTGCCGGTCAGGCGAGAGGTGCGGATCAAGGACGCCCGAACGGGGTGCTTGGAATCGAAGATCTGGAAGATCAGCCCTGTCCCTTTTTAGATTGCAAAGATTACGCACCGCATCCAGCTCTTCCACTATAATAGTCAGCTTGAGCTACGGGATGGGGACCATACAGGCTGGACCACTCACGAGATCGTCCCTTGGTCTCGACGGCAATGAAGAACCAGGTAACGCCTTGAAAGAGCGTCCAGATGACGAACGGAAGGTAGACCCCTGCAATGTCAGCGCGATTCCTTTTGGCCCCATAGCTAGATCTTGACTTACACCACCCGATCTGAAAGATATTAGCTGACGGCACTTGCATAGGTGAGGAGATGAGCAACTCACCCTCTCCAAAGCCACAGGTATCGCGAACAGCGAGATGAACACTGCACGTCAGCTCGTTGACCCACTTGTAGACAGCCCAGAATGAGACTTACTGAAAAGGTTCAAGGTAAATGCCATCAGACCCATCCCTGTTGAGCGTTGATCGGTAGACAACACCTCTCCCGGGTAGGTAGGAAGCAGCGGCTGGTAGCTCATTCCGTAGCTGACCATGAAGAAGACAAAGCAGGCGATACTGGCGCGAGAGGCGGACGGGTTGGTGGATGCCACGGAGACGCCGAGGGGAACGCCGGATTGCGAGGCGGAGACCATGCTGCCCATGAGGCAGATGGAGCAGGCGAAGGAGCCGAGAATGAGCAGCTTGCGGCGGCCGACACGGTCAAGGATGAGAGAGCCGGTAGTTGAGGCGAGAAGAGAGGCGACGTTGGCGATCAAGCTAATGAAATCAGCGGGATGTCCTACTTGAGTCAAAGTGACAGGAAACGTACCTCATGCTGAGACGGCTAGCGGGCGTAGTGTATCCGACTAGACTCATTAGCATCCCAACTATCTTCGGGGCCGGTGAGGGCAGCAGACGTACCCTGGGCAAGGATCTGAGGGAACTGAGATGTCAGCGCGGATCAAGGGCTGTGAAGGAAGAGACGACGTATGAAGAAAGCCAAACCTCCACCTGCTGACTGACCGAAAGCACCCGTGACAAGCGCTAGACCCGTCAGCTGTGTCCCTACTCGGCCGGAGGATCGAAGAACTCACCAAGCATGAGCCTATACCTGTTACCCCGCGTGTTCCCCAAGTTCCTGAAGTCCCACCGCTTCAAGCCCTTCTCCCGAGCTGCCTGGACGGATCTCTCGATCTGCTGATACTCCATTTGCACGACATCGGTGAGGACACCGGAGCCGTGGTACTTGATGAGAACTGCGAGGGCCTTCTCGGTCTGGCCGTTGTTGTAAAGCCTAGTGCATCAGCGGACTGTGGGCGCGGAAAGACGATATAGCGCACCATCGCGGAGTGTCGGGAATGAAGAACGTGGAGACGCCAAGGATGATGCTGAGGTATCAGCGTCGTCGTCGGGTAGTATGATGATAGACTTACGGGAAGATCATTTGACTGACTTGGTCAGCTTGGTCAAGGTCTACTAAACCTAGAGACACTCACATGATGACAACAAGTCGCCAGCCCCACTGATTTTGGACCTACACTAATCAGTCTGTGCCCGTCGCCGACTTGATAGATGACCAGCATACCCTCGTCGCGCCGATACCAATGGCTGTAGCGGTACAGAATCCCACCACTCCTTGGTCAGCTGATCCGAGATTACAAAGATCATGAGGCAGAAGCTACTCACAGAAGACAGTATTGTACAAGCCCGAGAACAGCCCTCGCTTGAGAGGCGGGCAAGTCTCGATCACATACGCGGGGGTGGCGGCCTGGATCATACAGATGCCGGAGCCGCAGAAAGCTCGCCCGATGAGAAGCATAGCGACATTCTGGGCGAAGGCAATTAGCGTCGAGCCAATGAGGAACATGCAGGAGCCTAGGATATGTCAGCCTGGGACCTTGCGTGCAGGGATGACGGACGGTACTTACAGAAGAGGGTGGCGCGGACTCGGCCGAACTTGTCAGACTGGAGGAATCAGCGGGAATGTATCTCTCATGCGGCTTCGCCGGGCCAAGACTCACGATGATGGGCCCGATCCAAAAGGTGCAGCAAGCAGCGATGGGCCAGAGAGCGAAGATGAGCTAGAAGAGTCAGTAGGGAACGAGATGAGATTCATGAAGGATCGTCTTGCCCACTCACACCTGTGGAGACCTGGAAGAGCGCGCATTAGCTTAGAATAATACAGGCCATATCTGAGATTCTCACTCCGACACCGGACAAGTTGACTACAGATTCAGCGATGTGGCTTTGGCGATAGGCTGTAGGGGAGAACTTACAGTATTCCTGGTAAGAGGGGAGAGTATTGATGGCAGTCATACCAGCGAAGGCATACCTGCACATGGAGTCAGCTTTGGCGAGCGGGGTTTCCAGAGCACCAGCTTACCCTCCCATGAAGGTCGACATGAAGATGGGGCACCAGATCATGTACAGCTTGATCATGCCCTTGGAGCGGAGCGGAATGTCTGTGTATCAGCGGAGAGGTGTGATGAGGAACGAGGAGGTACGTACAGAAAGAAGCGGTGTCGTGATCGAGAGCCGCGACTGCGGCCTTGGACTGCACCTCCTTAAGCGGGACGCCATCCTGAAGAGTTGGGACTGGGTACAAGGCAGACTGCAGGGTGATCTCGTTTGATCCATCGGGAGAGTTAGGACGTGTGGAGACTGGAGTGAGCTTGTCGGGGGTGATGGGGGGACTGAAGGGGTTGTCAGTGGCCTGGGGTTGTGTCATTGCGTGAGAGTACGTGAGGAGGTAAGGTCTTGGGTGAGGGTGTCAGAAAGTGAAGAGGGAGCGGGGGATGAGATCGGGAGATACGTCTCGTCGATCCATAAGTACTGCTTCCTCCATCATCGTCTTCCTTTCATGCCCCAGCGCTGCCAGCGCGATCTATGCCAGGGGCTCACGGCGAGACGCCCGAACGTGTTTGCACCCCCTATCCATTGTTCTCGAAGGAGTTCAAACGCCCAGGGGATACAAAGGAGGCGGTTATCAAGACCCAGCAAGACTTCCAGGCCACTCAGGATGTCTATCTCCCCATCGCAGCGCTCCTTTCATCCTCCGGTGCTGCCCGCTCAAATCTATTTCAGGGGCAATCGCGGTACGTCCGAATGCGCCTGGCCTGTACGTTCCATTGTTCCCGACAAGCTGAAACAGTCTAGCTTCGAAAGCAGCGAGGAGAGGAGGCGGGGTTGTCGATGTCGGTCGAGATTCGTACGACGTGATCCCAGGCGCACTTTCAGTGTTTGGTCGGACCGGCCGGATAGGGTCGCTATTGAGGGGTAATCAGGCAGCGGTCAGCGGGATCCCGAGCTCCTGCGCTCGCCTTATGGGAAGAGCGGTCTCTGGACGGACTGCTGAGAGGTGTAGGCGGTGCAGGTGGCTATCTGACTGTACGATGAGAGCTATGCAAGGCGCCAAAGCTGGGGCGGGAAACAACCCCAGCCAATTAAACGCCACGCTCAGTCAATACGCACGGACCTCGGAGAGTGGCGGTTTTGTGTGGCCCAGCTAGATCTAATGCAGGGCGCCTGGACCATGACGCATGGCGAGGACAACAGTACCCAAAGCGTCGAGACTGACTCTTGGTCCGAGTCTGCACATGATGATATAGCTAGATAAACAATACACAGACCCCGCTCTCTCCTTACCCACCACGTCAGCTGCCCCGCCGTCTCCGCTCGCCCCCGTTAACTGAATATCCTCTGACCCCGAGCCTACTGTTATTCCACATACCTCTCCCTTATCTCCTGCCTCTTCTCCGCCAGACTTGATGACACTTTCATCCACCTCGCCTCCTGGATCCTTCCTCCGTCCGTCTCATCCGCATTCACCATCCATCCCTGCATCCACCCGCCCCCTGCCACCATAAACCTTGACTCAAGCGGGCGGACCGCATCCGCACGCTAGGCAGATGGGCGTCTCAGGCGAGATGAACCACTTGACCGAGTCGTACTTGCCACCCTGAGCCCGGAGTGCCTCGAGAAGAAGATCTAGATTCTGCTGGACAGCCCCCTTTTGCTCGGGGTCCGACACGACGAAATATGGTTGAGCCGGCGGCCGAGGAGTGATGGGGGTACCGAGCTCCGCCCAGGCCTCTTTGGGAAAGACCGCCGAACGCATTCGCGCCGAAGAGCAGTATATCTCCAGGTCTACGGACCGGCTGCGAGGGTGATGAGGTGCCCCGGCGAGCCGGCGGTCCGAGACAGCGTGCTTGATGATGCCGGTCATGTAGCCGATCAGACCGAATAAGTCCGCCGTAGAGGGGTATTGACTGACCCATCGTACAGGACGACCGAGGGGGAGTGAGAGGAGGTCCTGAGGGTAGGTCTCGCTCGGATTGAAAATGTCGCCGCCCCCGAAATGGAGGCATTGCGTAAAGTTGCCTAGGACCTTGGGAAGGTGAGCGGGTGTAGGAAGGGAGAGGGGTCCGTAAGTGTCGGCGACGCAGAGGTGACGGATGTTACTCGACGCCAGCACCTCGTGGATCGTGGAACCGCTGGGTACAGACCGCCGGCGATGTGTACTCGTTGGTGGATAGAGCCGCGAGGGACTCGTATTCGTTCCACATCCGGCCATGGAGTTTGCCGTAGATGGAGGAGATCGCTAGCGTCTCCAGCTTTGGGAGGATCCGGGCCATGGAGCTGCCTGGCATCTGGAACCATGCGAGGGTGTCCATCCATGCCTTGACCTCGCGGACGCAGGACGCCCGCCTCATCAGGACCTTCCCGCTCTCGTTGACGCCGTAGGCATGAGTTAGGTCGGGATGGGTGAGGTATTGTAGGTAGGTAGGCTCCAGAGCTTTCCCTCTATACTCGATGTAGAGATTTTTGGTGTAGAAGAGTGGCGACTGGAGAGTAGTGACCTTCTTGCTCATGCCCATGATGAGGAGGGGAAAGTTGTCGGTCAGAACGACCCGGTAGAGGATGGGGATGATGATGCCTAAGAACGCCTGCATGTTCAGCCTCGGGAGATCATCAGGTTGACCACGGGGTATCTTACCTTACAGACGCGAGCCGCACGCGCCAAATCGCCTTGCGCCAAGGCTGATCGATCGGGACGGGAGTACGGGAGGGGGAGTGGTCGGCGGAGGTAGGAGAGGATGATGGGCCAGATGTCATGACCGACGTCAGGCGTGTGTGTAGCGTCTCTGGGAATGTCAAGGACCATTGTAGGCAGTATGATGGTCAGAAGAGAGAGCAGATTCAAGCTGAGTGGCGGGGTGAAGGGTGATGGACAAGGTTGAGTGACTTACGCTTCCGGCGTGGAGTCCCGCCGGAACCAATCTGAAACAGGCACAAAAGAGGAATGTGGCGCAGGTGAGGCAGTGGAGGGACAGCTAATGATCAAGGTTTCCCAGTAACTTCTTTCCATCAACCACCCTTCTACCCTCTCTCGTATCACCTTCAGTATATCAGTCATGAGCCCCCTCAACACAGTTCCAACTTCCCGCACAGACGTCCATGATGTGTGGGTCATCATCGCCGAGTTCCTCCGCGTTCCCATCCCAGCCCCCCTATCGCGCCCATCACGGTCGGCGCTAAGGCAGCATGATCTTTCGGTCTTGTGCAGGGTCAGCAAGGTAAGATTTCAGAGCCTCTATAGCTCCTCGCAGCCTGAAACTGAGACTGAGCTGAGGTCTAAGCTGCACCAAGAAGCTGCCGCCCCCATCCTGTACAGAGCCATCTGTACCGATCGCCTTCCTTCCCTCCTCCAACATATCAACCTCACCCTACCCTTCACGCCTCTTCACCATACCACGAAGCTCTTTCTCGAGTACTGCGACAAAGAGGAGGACCCCACTTACCTCGAGCTCTGCGGTACCGGGCGGGATCTCTGGGCCAGCTGGGGATCGGTCAGCCCGGAGGAAAAGGAGGAGAGGCGGATGAGGAGCTGTACGGGCGAGATCCAGCGCCTGATACCGGCCCTGAATAGGCTGCAGAAGATGGGAATGGCCAAGGCGCTTCCGCAGCTCGGCACGGTGGCGGTAGCTGCTGCTTACGGAGTCACAGACAACTGGAACAACCTCCGTTTGGCCTCTGCCCGCGAAATCTCTTCCTCCGCGGTGGACACCTGCGCATCCCTATTCCAACGTATCCTCGCCGCCTCCACCATCTCCCACCTCTGCAATCGGGGCTTCAACGGTCCTCTCAGCACGCCCGCTCAAATCGACCCGACTCACCGCGGACAACCGCTCTGCACCACGGGGCGTCCATATCTTCGGAATTACCATTTTGGCGCCTCGTTCCCGGGCCAGATGCTCTACAAGGACATGTGGGAAAGGCGAGACGAGGGCCGGTCGATACCCCTACCTCCCACAATCGCGAACGAGCCGGTGCACGAGGCCATTCCCCTACCCGTCGGAGCTCCCGTGCGCTGGAGCTGCGATCTTGGCCACCAGGTCAGCTTCCCGAGCGTTGTCACGATTACGGATAAAGTGGTTAGCAACCTCGCGCAGTCGCGGCAGCAGGAACCTACCGGACACGATCGGGGCGAAGCGGTCGGCCTCGCCATCTTCTGCTCGACTCCTCGCTGGAGGTCCAAATATCCCTCACACAAGCTCGACAACAATCTCGCCACTCTGGCGGGCATATCTTCGACTCCGCCGCACCTTTGGCAGCAGAATCTACACCTGTCGGCGGAGCAGCAGCGCATCATCGCTGAGGCGCAAGGCGAGAGGCCCCAAGAGGCTCTGAAGGCAAGCGGGGGCGGACATGATGTGGTCAAGTGGCTGCCGTATGAGGACATGCCGATCTGCGAGGCGTGTGGGTCGGGGAGGGTCTGAGCTGTAGGGAGGGCGGCGGGCGAGACGAGATCGGGAATAAGGCGGGGAGAGACTTTAATGCTGGGGACAAATAGGCGTGAAGCTCGATATAGATGGATCGCTGGCCCGGGAGGGATATGAGGGAAAGGCAATGGTCGGGGCGCAGCTGCTGGTCAGTGGTTCAAGTAGGTATCAGTCAGCAATCTCGAGCATAGGTATCAATATGGTCAGTATCGAGTGTATATTAAGTAGCAGCCGATATCGATAGAGAGATGGACATGCAGTATCAGTAGACTCGGGCCCCGAAGGCTTGGGAAGAAGACTGGCAGAACTCATGATCTGCCTCCCGATCAGCCATCCCGTTCTCTAGCTTCGCGATTCCCGACCCTCTCTCATTCGTCACCTTAACCTGGACTAGACCGACTTGAGATCTCACCTCCCCTGCGCTGAATCTGACGACCTGCTAGCTAGCCCTCCGATCGACATCCACACTTGTCCATGATTCTCCTTCCCGTATCGCTCCCCTCGACATCAGTAACCGCCACCCTTCACGGCCTCGTTGCCTTTCTCTTTCCCTCCACCTCGTCGTTCCCGCCTATTTTCTAAGACCTTGCACGTTTCTGATCCCCGAGTGGCGCTACCAGGAAGCGTAGACGTGCTGATGTTCAGCTATCTTTCTATCATAGGTCGGACGCAGAGACACGAGAGCACTAAGACAGATTGGCTGAGCCGTGAGATATGAGTGAAGATGAGAATCAAAGCCATACCTGAGTCGCGTCGCATATCATCTCGGCGAGAGTACAGTTGCGCAGTCATCTTATCAGTATCGTAGCAGTCAGTGAGAGCTTATCATTGTGTCGCATCACCCAAATCGCAAGCTCGACCTCCCCTCGTACACATCTCCTCGACGCCGCCAGACTGCCATCATCCACCTTATCCCGACCACACCTGATCCATCTCTTCCCGCCCCTCTACTTCATCCTCGACCTCTGTTCGTATGCCGCCACCCCTCCATCCGTCTAGGCCGCTACCGATACCCCGAGCCCTCGTCCCCTCTCCCTCATCCCATGCTCGACCGTGCTTCAGTACTCACAATCAAAAGTCCCATAGATCGGCTTGCTCCCTTCGTGGTATCCCCACCTTGCTTCGTCCGGTCCCGTCCCGTCCCTTCCCAGCCCGTCTAGTCTCTCATGCCTCCTACGGCATTGTACGATTCAGAGTCCACATCCAGACCCAGTAATCCACACCGAACGCCCTTCCCAGACTTCGCCTTGGTACCCGTCCCGATCCCGACTCCTGTCGAGCTCAGCCTCGACGGGGATTGGAGACACATCCGGAGAGAATGATGGAGGAGAGGAGGCTCGCATCATAATGGGAGTGTAGGTCCTATCGGGCAAGGGAGAGAGACGCGGTGATGATTTGGGAAAAGGTCCGGGGAGTGCGATGCCGAGTTTGCCGTTCCGATGTGGCCGTGCGAGCTAGGGATGGCGCAAAGATCAAGGAGGTAAGAGGCGCAATAGCGACATCTGAGCGCCCGAGCGTGACCTGTATGGGCGACTCCAGATGATGGATGAGGCGTTCCCGAGGTCGAGACTGAGCGAGGCGCCTATTTGTCCGCTGTCGAGCGGTCGTTGAGAGATAACCGCGATAATGACGAGCCGATCGCGATTTAGCCGAGTAGAGCGACAGTAGCCAGCCATCCGGTGATGAGGACCTCGACCATCCGTGTACCCTTGTCCGCCTGGGCGCTGCACCCGCGCGTGCCAACCCCTCCCCATCCTCCGCTATCCAGCCCCATGATTCAGCACACGCATCCTCGAGCTCCAGGCGGCGTACGGTGAGCAGATGGGTCGCGTCATCTATTGGAGCTCGCCTGAGGTGATGATTGAGAGATGAGGATGCGGGGTAAGTGGGCCCAGTGGCCAGTGGACCTTTGGCCGAGATCGGTGAGGGCGAGAGGGGGTTTCCAATGTCAATATCCTCTGCAGTATCAGCTGAGCTCGCTGCGCAACTACTCCAGGGGACATACTTCAGCGTGACAACGTACACATATTATTCAACGGCAATACTGCGAGATCTGGTAGCTGTACGACTCACCACTTCAGTGCAGCATCCAGCTTTTCGGGACCCGGAGCTGAGTCACGGTCGAAATGCCGACGATCGCCTGGGCTGGATCCCCGTTGGCAGGCGAGAAAGCTCTCGTACACCGAGCTAGTCGCAGCTATGCTCGAAGCCAAGCCAAATATCAGGCGTCAGTGACAGCGAAGAGCGATATAGAGAAGAAGATGGAGAGATCCCGTCAAGCCAAGTCGCGCTCTTTCCGAGTCCGCATTCCTCGCTTGGCTGCCTTCGAATGCTGGACTCTGCCCTAGATGTAGAGGTCCAAAATCATACTGGCCCGCACTTCTCTGATGCATTGGCTTTTGCGCATGTCATAGATAAACGATACTCTAGCCCCAGATCCTCTTATCCATGTTCCCGTATCCTCGTCCACCCTGATTCCGTCTCGCCATCTCCACCTGTCTCCCCCACAAATGTCCAGCCGTTGCCCGCCTTCCCAGATCGTCCCTCCGCTCCGCATCACCACCTTCTGCGCGTCGTAACCCCTCCTTTCCTCCCAACTTTGCGCCGCGACTCCCTCAGGCGGGCGGCGCGCATCCGCAAGCCAGACAGGTCGGGGTATCCGCGGAGATGAAGAATTTGACCGAATCCCATTTCCGCCTTTCGTCATCCAGGTCCGGCTGCAAGCGCTCCATCATGCGCTTGAGCATTCCTCTCTATCTATCGGCGGACAATGGGGAAGACGGTAAACCAGCAGCGCCTTCCGGTTCCATGCCCAATGATGAGCAATAGAATTCGAGGTTCATAGCCGTTTCCGCCGAGAGGGTGGAAGAGATGGCCTTGCGAACATCGGCGGCGGCTGCGACCGGAGCCCACAGGCAGTGCATTAGCCCGAAGATGTCCCCGATTGGTTCGTATTGGCTGACCCATCGTACCGGCCGACCGAGGGGAAAGTGGGGGACAAGCGTTATGCAATCCCGCGAAATCGTCATTTGTGGGGAAAGGCTCACCCCCACCCCCAATGTGTAGAGTAAGGGAGTAGGAGCCTATATGGAGAGGGAGATCGGTAAGCTGGGGTAGCGAAAATGGACCATCGGGGTCATTAGAGCCAAAGTGTTGTAGGGTGCTCCCCGCCAGAATGGTGTGGAAGAGCTTCGCGCAATTTCGAAGGGTACGGGACGAGGGGGACAAGTGCTTCTTGTAGTCGGTCCATGCCGAGTCGAGTGTTTCATAGATGGACGCAACCGCGAGCGCCTGCAGGCGAGGCAGAGCTTTGTCGATCCCCGCCGCGTCTAACCGCTCCAGGCAGTCGCTCAATCGTTCCACCTCGTCCTTACATTGCGCCTTCCTCAATCCAAATTCCTCCGCCTCAGTCCAGCCGAGTTTCTCTATACGTGGGAGGACGCCCGGGTCCGTACTTTTGCGCCGATACTCGATATACAAGTGGACGGTATATCGAACGGGAGACTGCGCGGCGGAGAGGTCCGCGATGCCGTGGAGAAGCTTGGGGAGGTCGTCTGTAAGGATAGAGCGGTAGAGGAGAGGTAGGACGATGGCGTAAAAGGCCTAGACCGTTAGCGTGTGAGAATCAGAGCACGAGACCACCTCCCACGAACCTTCGATACTAGAGCAGCCCGGACCAAATTGCCTTGCGCAAGCGCGGATCGATGAGGACGCGAGAGGGGGAGGGGGAGGGGAACTCGAAGGTCATATATGATGCGGGACCAGATTTCGAGTGGGAGGTGCTTCATCACGAGTTGTACATTATCTTCCGCGGCGGCTGAAGAGTGAGAGCTGTTTCCCAAGTCCAGGATGGTGCGAAAGCATTCCCTGGTGAAGTCAGCCTGCAAATCGTTCGCAGTTCGCCTTAGCTCTTCCGCTCACTCTTCGAGACAAGATGGTGCGCTAGGGTAGACCGAGCACTGGCAGAGCTGAGCGCTGAGCTGAGCGAGACGATGAGACGTGTAGGATACAAACCGCGGACGATAGCGCGTGATTGGCGAGTCTGCTGGACTTTCCGTCGGAACTGGATTGCCCTGAACTAGGCACGAGGAATGTGGAGCTGGCAAGGACAACGAAACTCCGCTCGCTCCGCTCATATGTTCTCTTCTCTTATCTCCGCCGGTCATCATCTACCGACATACCGACAGTCATGCTCGGTCTTACTCCCATCGATACCTCGCACGTCTCTCCGGACGTCTGGGCCCTGATCCTGGGTTGCCTCCGCCGCCCGCTGCCCGCTCCCCTCTCGCAGCCCTCCAGCCGAGATGGCTTGCGCCAGCCAGACTTGGCGAGCTCGCGGTCCGTTTGCAAAGTGAGTATCACCCCGCTTCAGCTTCCACCGATGCTCGAAGCTGAAAAGAAGATGTTCCACCAAATATCTACACCGCTCCTTTTCTCCATCATCTCCACCGATGACTTCCCATCCCTTATCGCTAGTATCACCAATCTTACCTCCCCATCCTCACCACTTCGCTATACCAAGCGCCTCTACGTCGAGTACAGCGATAAGGCCCGCGATATTCCCTATTCTGATCTCGTCAGCGCCGGCGGTGTCTTCTGGGATGCCTGCGGCGGGATTGACGCGACAGGAGAAATGAAGCGGCGGATGACCAATTGCGGGATAGAGGTCCGGTGGTTGTCCAAGGCGTTGAGGCGGATACAAAAGGCGGGACTAGGGGAGATCATGCCGCAGCTACGGACCGTGGCGGTATGCTCGATAGATGGCAAAACAAACCTCGACTGGAACGACTACTCGGAGATGTCGGCCGGTAGCGAACTGAGCAGTCCGCAGGCCTGCGCCGCTCTCTTCGAGTCGGTCCTCGCCGGATCCAACGTCACTCGAGTATGCACTCGAGAGACATGCGGCCCGCTCAGTCCCCTATCCTCAAAAATTACCTCTCCCCCCAATGCTCCCCCCGCTACGTTCCACTTCGGATCGCGGTACAACCAACCCCCACCTCCGCCCGGACCCCCTCCCACAATCCCTACCGCTATGGTCTGCACGCCTCAGGATGAGCCCCTGCCCCTCGCTCTCGGTCGGTCGGTTCGGTGGACATCGGAGCTGGGCGCGGAGGAAGACTTTGCGGGCATGATTCGTTGCGCGGGGAACAAGACCCAAACCCTCGCGAAGGGCCGTACCGCATCCGAGAAGGTCTCTCCGGCCTCGGCGGTCAACCTGGAGATCTTCTCGTCCTCCCCGGTCTATATCGCCCGGGACCCGTCGCTGGTGTTAAGCGACTTGATACTTTCCCCCCTCGGCGCGACAGCATGCACCTCGAACCAGTTCATACAAAAGGTTATTTTCACGCCGGAACAGGAACGTGTTTTCGCCTACCTGGAAGGAGAGGGGCTTACGAACTTACTGAGGGACTTGGGAGGCGTGCATGATCAGGTCCAGTGGAGAAGTTCAGGAGAAACACCCATCTGCGAAGCGTGCGGCTCGGGCGCTCCCGCTCCGAGGCGGGGTTGAATAGCGGGGGACCAGGGAGTAGGGCGAAATTGCAGAGATATCAATTTTCTTAGCGTGCGAGGCAGGTGGGAACGATAGAAAGAACAATCCGGGCGTTTATAGCCTTGATATCGCAGATCTTATACACTGTCATTGTAGAATCAGTAGATGTAAATATACAGATATGCGTCAAACGTCAGCATCCGAAAGCTGAACAGTCCGCGCCCACCTCCATCAGAGCCATCTTCTCTCCTTGTAATTTGTCCTTTAAGCCTCATTCACTACTGGGTCTTGGCGATCCCCCCTTGAACACCTCGTTCTCCCCCCAGCTGACCTTCTTCTTCCCCTTCCCCGCCACCTGATCCGCCTCCTCGACATCCCCACCCCTCCGCGGTCCATCCGTCTCCTCCAACTTCCTAATCTCCTCATCCAGATCCAGCTCTTCTTCCTCCTCCTCTTGCCTCCGCCCAACCATCTCATACCCCGATCCGGTCTCCTCCCACCGAATCTCGTCGCTGTCCTTGAACGCCACCGGCATCGTCAAGTAGAACACGACGACCGAGAGGCACGCCCCGCCGACGAGATCGATGAGGTAGTGGTGCGAGAGGTACATGGTCGCCCACCAGAGAATGCCGCAGTAACCCCAGTAGAAGATCTTGCCGGAGGGGAAGAAGTGCGAGAGGAAGAGGGCCTCCATGACTGCGCAGCCGGAGTGGAGGGAGGGGAAGGCGCCGAATACGAGTGGAGCGTGTCCGAATGTCTCGGTGTAGCCGTGTGAGTGGAAGACGGCGTCGATACGCATGAGACCGCCGGGCGAGCCGGGCATAGAGTAGGCGGCGGGCGTGAGGCCGTGGATGATCTCGTACCCTGATGGTCAGCCAGGTCTTCTCCAATGGGGAGGCGCAGATATGGTTGAAGGCAGAACGTACATGGAGCGGCACACGGAAAGACCAGCTGCGTCAATACGCCCAGCAGATTCATCCACCCAAACGCCTTCCCCCAGTACTGCACCGCTCCCCTCGGCCCCAGCGCCCACAAGAAGAACGCCACCACTGCCGGCAGCGCAAAATGAAGCACCCCATACGGTAACCACGCCAGTACGTCCAGGATTGGATGTGTGAACCGGGTCTGCAAGTCCGAAATGTTGGCGCCGTAGAGTACCGACTCTAGCGCCGGGAGGAGCGCGACGTGGATAGTCGGCCTATGTGCTGCGGGGATGAATCGAGCGGCAAAGAACGTGATGACCCATGCGAGAATGGGGGTGGCGGGCCAGAAGAATTGGTTCGTTGCTGGGAACAGCATGGCCAGGGCGTATCCGACGGGAATGACGAGTTTGAGCGGCATTCCAGGATCGGTCATGATCCACCATGACGCCCCGGCGGAGAGGAAGAGGAAAACGAGGGGGAGGGTGTTGGAGATAGACCACTCGTGCGCTGCTAGCCGAGCGAGCGTGTCTCGAGGGGAGAGGGAGCGGTCGAACCGGGTCAAGGCGGACGAGATGCCGTGTTTTAAAGGAGAGATGAGGTGGGTGGGGGAGGTGGGGATATTGGTAGGCAGAGGGATGTTGAGGCGGCGGAAGCAGCGCAGGATGGGGTACATGATCATGCGAGGCAGCGAAGCCGGTGGGTGCGCGGTGGTGGTGGATTGGCGCGACATGGTGGAGGGGATATCCGAGGAATGCGGTGCCTTCCGTTTGTGGTCGTTTGACCGGGCTCAAAGCTCCTTTGTCCTGCGTCTGATCGTGCACCTGATGCACTGGCCGTCCAGTGGCGATATAGGCTGTGATATCTATGCTGAGCTTAGGTGAAGATCTAGATATAAGATATAGGATGACGGAGGAGGCTTGGGTGGGAAGCTCTGCAGCCGGCCTGGAGCAAAATGGGCAAGTCCGTGCGTCTGAGATGAGGATGTTGCCGGTGATGGGCTGCGAGCAGCTGGCAGCTGCGTGACTCACGCGTCTCGGATGCACGGTGCAGGCGTCTGATCAGGTCACCAGGATCACATGGAGCCGTCTACAGATACGACGATACGACCACAAAGTATATGGAGTGCAACGACACATTGCCCCATTTCAAGGTCCGCCTCCCCGTCCTGCCGCCATAGACCGCTTGCTATAAGCCGCCGAGCTGCCTGTCCGTAGCTCGTTCACGCGCCACAGTGGGAGCTTCTGAAACGGCGCAGCTGCCTTGCCGCTGGGCGATCGATACTGAGCTAATGCAGGAGGCCAGAGGGTCAGTGAGGCTTGGTAGCGCGCGGGTTGGTCAGGCTCGGTGCCGCGCTGTAGCTGACGGGATGGCCTCGAGATGGTTCTCCGCGTCCTCAACGAAGTCTCATTGATGAGCCGGTGGCAAGCAGGTAGGGCCCGGACGATACAGAGGGGCCATGCCGGATCTGACTTAGTGACGAACCCGGCTGCACTGCGGGCACGTGGTAGACTGGTCCAATATAGCCAAGCCAAGTCGAGGGTGGTTTACTGTATTCATGGACAGGCACTCGGCAGCAGGAGATGTTTGTGCTAGCTGCCTAGCTCGCCAGTGATGTCAGTGATGTCAGACATGCTGCCTTGGAGGTCGGTGGCTGGAGTCTCGCATGAGTCAATATGAGTGAAGCGCCGACCGCGATCCGATGGGGCTGTCTCAAACGCCCTGCACCGTTCGTCAAGGACGCTAGATGATGAGCGGCTGATTAGCTGATGAGCGGCTGATTAGCTGATGAGTGGTAGATCCATCTTGGGCTGAATGTCAAGGAACGTGACGGAGAGCGCGCGATGCAAACTGCTGCTGAAGTTGGCCTCCCGAAACCTTTCGGCGTTGTCGGCCCGACCGGCCAAAACCCCGAAACTCCGCATTCCTCATGTCTTATTAGTCTTACTTCCCGATTGGGCGAAGCCTACACAAGACCATAACTCGACCATACTGGCAGATCTCACTACTCTCCTATAGAATCCCACATCCACAGCGAAAGCGCTTTCGGCCGCAGAGCGACGCTAAAGCACGGATTCGCAGCGGCAGTTGCCAAGACTGACATTATCTTCGCTCGGTCCCTCTCGGTCAGTCTCGGTCCCGAAGCACAGGGAGGTCGGAGATATACCCCGATCGCGCAATCGAAATGTAGATCATAACACGGGAGCACGACTGAGCTTGGACGGTCTATTCCTCACATCATCGCTCTAACTCCCGCTAGAAGCTGTCCGCTGAACCGCTAGCAAAGAAAGTTCTTTGGCTGATATCAGGGCTGTAGATCGGGGGGACCACCCCCAAACAAGCTTGCTTCAAGTTACCTGACTTCTGAAACAGCCTCGATGATTTTTCCGAGATCTCTACATACCCTCGTCGCCTATCTTGCCGCCTCGATGACATCCCCATCGTGCTCGGATACCCGCGGCGAATGGAGCGCCAAGTTTCAACCGAAGGCTCGTCGACTATCAGCAGTGGGAGTTATGCGGATCAAGAGGGATCAAGCAGGCACAGCTCGATCTGATCGGTGAGAATGCTGATCGTTACTCGGAGTCAGAACTTAACGCTCTGACTTACCTGATCCTTTGCCTATCAACGGCTATCGACGATGCTACTTATATAGAGCAGAGGGTAGGCAGTGCAGCCTTCCCATCGATCCCTTCTCGCGAGACGGCGTTTTCGACACGACATGTCCAACATGACCGCAGAGCAAGCGTTTGAGGCAGCCTCGGCCGCGGCTATCGGCGCCAACAGAGGTCTGCAGATCCTTCCAGTCTACCTTGGGTAAGTCATCCCCTCCTTCTCGACGTGCCAGGCTGACATCCTCAGTGGGTACCTCGACAGTCTGTTCATGGGGATCGTCATTTGTCAGTGCTTTACCTACTGGCAGTCCATCCGGACGGACAAGAAGCACATCGTAGCCCTCATGGTGAGTTTCCACCTCTGCTCTGAAAGACTTCAGTGCTGATTTCAGGTCGCTACGGTAGCCGCTACCACCCTCGCTACCGCTTTGTCAGTCTTGCACCTCCTCACAAAACGCGCAAGCTCATGCCTTCAGTATCCTGCACTGGAATATCTATCTGTTCGTATGGAACTTTGGAACCTTTGGGGTCTTTGCCGAGGTCTACTGTAAGTGCGATGGTCAAGAGACGTTATTATCAGAGGCCAAAGCTTACCTGCAGGGATCATTCGATACATGTCCCTCGAGCTTTGTGTCATTTTCGTGAGTCTTTTAAAAAGGCATTCGAAATCGGAGCTGACACTCTAGCTTGTCCAGGTAAGATTCCATCGTGAGCTCTTGTGCAGCGAGCCAAGCTGACGTTCAGATGCTGTACACAGACCGGGCGTGCAGACTATACGGTCACTGGTGGCCAGCAGTCGTCATCCCTCCTTTCAGGTCCGCATGTTTCTCTGATCGTCGGGACCCTTGCACTGACTTGTTAGCGTCGCAACGATGATCCTCGGCTCAGTGGTGCTCAAGATCTTTGGCAGCCACGGGACCCACAACTCAGCCGAGCTACTCGCAGATCCTGTACGCATTGACAGCAGCTTTATGAGGTAAGAGACATGGCTGATCTCCAGGTCCTTGTCCCCGTTGCCTACTGCTGGGTGAGTACATGTTACATGTGCTGCATGGTGTTGCGATGCTGACTATTCCAGTACAGTGGCATCATCGTCACCGACTCGATCATCACCATCATCATCGTATACGGTATCAGCCGCATACAGACGCAGTATAAAGCGACCAAATCTGTCCTTAACCGGATCCTGATGTGAGTTGTACTCTACACAACTGGATCCATCACTACGGCTTGAGCTGACCGTCAGTACTGCTTTTGAGTCCCAAACCCCAGCCTTGATCAGGTAAGATACAATCTAGTCCTCTCATCACATGCTGGGCATCAGAGCTGATCCTTCCAGCTCCTTGGTCTGCATCGTGGCGTGGAACCGGCAATTCGAGATCGCACTCCACCTCGTGTAAGTCCACTCTACACTGCATACCAGCTACCAGCCGCCTGAATCTAGCTGACACACAGCATGCTGCAGAGCAAGATCTACACGATGGGTGCACTGATTACGCTCAACCTTCGAGCCGGCCTGGCGCCTAGCAACGAGGTACACGTATACACGACCCAGCAAGCAGTGAGTACCTTCGAGTCCCGCTCTCATGATCTGGCGCTTTCTATGCTGATCACTTCAGACTTCTGCATACGCTATGGACGCCTTCCCGCAGACCCGCCCGCCTCTAAGTGCAGGCGGTGTTCACGTCACGACCGACGTTTACAAGCACGTGAGTGCTGGGACCTCAGAGCCAGACCTGAGCTCGATGTAGACTGTGCTGATCAGACAGACCGATGACCTTGACACGATGGGCAAGAAACGGGTGTCTTTCAACCCGGGTACTAGCAATCGGCGAGCCGACTCGAACGACTCCTTCGAGGACTCCAAGCATTCCATCCAGGACAAGGATGGTGTCCTTGAGCTCAACAACAACGAGTCGGAGATCAGGCTGGTGTAGAAGTCTAGGGGACACAGATCCGGCTGGAGGGGAGGGACAGGCGATGTCGTGTATGATGGTAGATAGATGGAGCATAGGTTGATGCATTGATTGGGTCACTGGCTTATATGCCGGCGATACACTGCTCAGATTCTAATAGTTCCACGTTGTTAGAGGCTTAATGTTGGCTGCGCTTCATACAATGTTCATCTAGTCGCTATGTACAGCTCTCGCTTCGTCTCTTCACGATACATGCACTACTATAGTACTAACCACGCAAGACAAAACCCTTCCCCTCTCCTCTTCAAGCCAGCTCTCCCTTACCCTGTTGAGCTTCAGCTCGATACTTCTCATATCGCGTCAGAAACCAAAGACCCACCTTAGACGGCCCTGGATTCCCTCAATACCTGCCAAGCCATTGCCCCCACTTCCACACCCCGATTTCCCCACTCTTTCTCGCTAAGCCCCTCAACTACCCGCATCCGCTCCAGCACCGCCGATGGCACAGAAGTGCGCGCGCCGGCGGGATCGTTCGGGCGCTTATAGTATGTAGTGTAACGCCATACCAGCGGATACTCGCTGAAGGACTGGTACTTTGCGAATGATGGGTGTCTCGCCGTATAGAGGAAGCGAGGACGACTGCCGCCGGAATGTCGGGACTCTTCGTCGATTGCTTGGAGGAGGACCGAGACGTGGAGGCACTCTTCCTCGCCGTGTCGATACGACCGAATCATAACGGTGGGGATGTCGGTGCGTTCGAGTCCGACGAGAGGGTCAAACGCCTGTAGGGTGTTCCCGTTGGGAACATTGCCGAGGTAGAAGATCCGAGAGAGTTTGGGGTGACGCAGAAGCCACTTGGCGAACCCACGCTGAGCAAGAGCTCTGAGGAAGAAGTCGTTGACATCAAGCTTGAAAGCCTGGGGATGATCTGGGCGGACTGTGCAGTCGAGAACAAGTGTCTCGACAGACTCGAGTCCGCGCCATTCATAGGTCTGCCATGTCAGCGCTGGAGATCGTCAAGCAAAAGAGGCGTACGGGCAAGGTCCAAAGATCGTACTCCAAGGTCAAACGCCGAACCTTTCCGCCGCAAGGCCCGGCTCCCGGCGCAGCGAGGCGCGGGATCGACCTCGTGGCTGCCCGATCTAGATTGGCCCAGCGGAGGTCAGAGAGACGATGGAGATTGTCCAGGGCATCGAGGATAGCGTCCGCCCGATCATGGTATGGTGGTTTGTAATCCAGGCTGAGCTGCTCCAGCGACGTGCTGAGTCGGAGCAGCGAGATAATGGTGTCGAGCGAGTCTGTGGCTGGCCGGTAGCCATCGCTACCCGAAAACGGATGCGCGATAGTCTCTGGGTTGGAGATGACTATCCGGAGTCGCTGGAGGAGGGTCTGCGTGGTGACGAGGCGCCGCGGTGATGACATATCGAGTGGGAGGTCGTCCGACGGTGTGGTGCGAAGATCTATGCAGACGTCGAGGGCGGTCAAAGCAGACGCTGATTTGAAGAGATCAGGGAGGAAGTTGGGGGTCTTGGCAGAGTCCGAGCCGAGCAAAAGCGTTGTGAGCTTGGCGAAGCTAGGGAGCTTTGGTGCGAGTAAGATAATGTCGAAGGTGGGGCGGAACAGGTCCGCTTTGTCGAGCCGATGTTCGGTCGACAAGACGGTGATGGACTCGATGTAGCGCCCGGAGTCTGAGAGGATCTCCCAGACCACTTCGGTGGAAAGCCCCTGAGCTGACCAGCGGATGGTCTTGATGAACTTCCCCTTCACCTCCAGCTGCCCCCAAACGCTCCAGGCCCTCGCCTCCAAGACCGCCTTATCCCTCCGAATTTGATCCTCGGCCCAGGCGGTACGAGTGTCTCGGACAGGTACAGTGAGGTCGATGTCGCGCCATATCCGGTACCGGCACGCGAGAGCGCAGATGGGGTGGGCTTTGGCGAGGTTGAGGGCAGAGCTGAGATCAAGGTGACCGGCGATGTTGATCAGGATATCTTCTTTGAGAAAGGGAATGGGTGCGGTGGAAGGAGTATCGGGCACGGCGGGAGAGCTGGGCTCAGGCTATGCGATCAGCGATCAGGAGATCTTTGTACCACGGCGAGTGCGAGGAGACATATGCCTCTCCAGGCGGGGTAAGAGGGGTCTTGTCCCAGCTCGTATGGTGTCACAAACTCACGATATCATTGACAGCTGACCCGCCGGAACCCGCCGCGAGGGAGTTCCACAAAGCCGATAGCATCGCGATGGCGTCAGCGGGATGCGCAGGCGAGGGACAAGAGATATACAGAGGAGCGAGGCGTCTGTACTGCTAGTTGTACAAATAGAAAGAACGTGTATAAAGAGAGGAGCGATATCGATTTCGACCTGATCTGGACCGCCAGCTCCGCATTCCTCGTGACCGTGCGCACAGCACATGAGAGCGCCTCGGATCGGCGAAGCCATCTAGGTCAATCCCAACATCGAGGCGCAGCAAGGATTATAGACATGATATGCACAGCTGCAGTGTCCAAAGTCCAGATATGATTCTCCTAGTGATTTTCTCGCCAACCCACCATCTCAGCGATGGAGGCATACAGGCCGCTCCGAGCCCGGCGATATCGCGGCGCCTGGTCCTGCACAATCAGCTACACTCCTTTTTTAGCGCTCCAAATGGTCAACGTGAGTGAGCCTGAAAGTACTGACCTGCTTAGACCTCCTTATTGTGCATCAGCACCTTCCACGCCTCCGCACCAACCTCCACCCCGCGTTTGTCCCACTCCTCTTCAGTCACTCCTTCCGCCCTCCTCATTTCCTGCATCACCCCGGTGGACACCATAGTGACCGGCGTGGCGGCTCGCTTGAAGTAGACGTAGTCTTGCCATGTCCGAGGCCCCTTGACGTGACCGGTGCGTGTGGCCTGACTGAGCAGACCGGACTGACTGACGAGGATGGAGATGTGGAAGCATTCCTCCCCACCATGGCGATAAGATCGGATCTTTATGGTGGGTGATTCGTCGCGCTCGAGAGAGTCGCATCTATCGAAGATCCGCAGATCTTTGGTGCGATTGTGAGTGGAGTCGAAGTAGATCCGGCCGACCTTGGGATGCCGATCGAGCCAAGTGAGGAAGGGGAGGCCAATTTGGTAGCCATCGCGCGGATCGCCTAGACAGCGGCCAGCCCATAGAGGGCATACATCCAGTTTCCAGACGTCGCGGTCCAGTATGACAAATACGCTCGTGATATTGTTAAACGCGCAGTATTCGTAACGCTAGATGGTCAGCCGGATCTCAGCGGAAGCAAGGTATGTAGAAGACTTGCCGGTAACCCCAGAGTCACATCAAAGTACTTCCAAGGCCATAATATCAAGCGCTCCACCGCTGCGTCCGTCGCGTCCGTAACGGCAGCGGGGTAGCGTTGCGGGCCGTGGTGCTGGCACCCATCCAGCTCGGTCCAGCGCAAGCCCACCAGGGACTTGAGGCCAGTGATCGCGCCGGTCACAGCGTTAACTTCCGCAAAGAGGCGAGCATTGTAATGGAGGTAGAGTTGCCGCAGATGCGGACTGTTCCGCAGGAGGGAGAGGACCGTATCGATCGGTTGTGAATCTGACGCACGAGGTTCCACCTCCGGCCCGTAGATAGTCGTCGGGAATGATGTCTGGTACGGTTCCGACAGGTAGAGTCCCAGCCGCTGGAGCTTCGTGGGACGAGTGATGAGTCGAGGAGTAGAGTATGTGAATTGGGGGGTCGGACCGGTCATGCGGGAGAGGGGAAGTAGGTCGGTGCGGATGTCCAAAGTGGAGATGTTGGGAGCTACGTCGAGAAGAGCAGGAATGAAGCCCGATAGCCTGATGGAGTCCGAGCCCATGATGACCGATGTGAGCTTGTCGAAGCGGTGCAGCTGCGGCTCAGCGTCCAGGATTGCGTCGAAAGGAGGGACGTGGCGAGGCCGCTTGACGTCTCCTGGCTCCCTGGCCCGGACTGAGACCTCGATGGATTCGACGCTATCCGCGACAGCCTCCAGAACGTCCCTTATCGCCTCCGCCCAGACCGCCTGCGACGACCATGTAACGCTCCTGACAAAGGTCCCCTTGTCTCCAGCTTGCGCTCGGATCATTGAGACCCTCTCGTTCAACCTCGCCTTGTCCGCCGCAATCTTTGCGGGCGACAGCGCCGACGCGTCATACGAGGGATAGGCGAGATTGATATCCCGCCATATGCGATACTGAGCGGCCCTCGCGCAAATGCGATTGACTCGCGCGAGGCTGAGCGCCGAAGGGAGGTCGAGTTGGTTTGCGACGGAAATAAGGATATCTTCGCTGAGGAAGGGAGTGGGTGTCCGAGGGGGGTCGTCGAGATTGAGGGAGAGGCTACTCATAGACTGTTCTGTCAGCTGGAGCTGGTCCCGGACATTGTGAATAGTGTAGTCAGGGAACGGCGAAAGCGATAGCTTACGAGGTTGGGATCGGTATCGATTTGTCCTTTGCCCTCGGGCGGTGCCTCTGCCTCCGGCCCCGCTGCCGGCGCGCTCATGAGCGGCGAGTCTTCGGTCATCTCGCCTATGCTGATCAGGCCAGCCGCAGAAGCACAGAGCAGAGGTTGAGGTACAAAAGGATGTCAAGTCGCTTGGACGCAAGGTGATTTTGGGTTGCACCGCATTCCTTACGTCCGAGCTCGCCGAGCGGAGCAGGTCACCTGGAGACTGGGGCTGTGCTCCCGGCCACACGAGGATGTTATGTACTGGGATCGGATACCAGCGGAGGCTACATCATAATATGAGTATGCACAGCTACTAAGCCTAGTATAGTTCCCGATCTAAACCCTTTGCACATGACCCAGCCTTTTCGCTCAGCGATATTGCCCGGCCCCGCCCAAATCCGCCCAATCAAAACCGCCTTGTCACGCCCTATAATATCAGCTGGGCTCTGAATTTTACGCATGTCATGTCCGAGATTGGTACAGAAGCTGAGGGAGGACTTACCATATCATCGCACCTCCCTCGAGTCCATCAACACTTTCCATGCCTCCGCTCCGACCTCCACTCCCCGCTTATCCCATTCCTCCACGCTCGCCCCTTCCACCTCCCTCTCTTCTCCAATACCTCGAGCGGGACTGCCGTGTCCGCACCCAACGGGTCAGTCGAGCAGGCGTAGTGGGTGCGCTCATGCGCGACGAGCGGTGCACCGCTCATTGCGGCTGGGTACCCGGCGGTATAGAGGATATCCACGGGTTTTGGCATTCTCGAGTCGGAGTCGGAGTCCGAGTCCGAGTCCGAGTTGGAAAGAGGATTGACCGATTGAACCATGGCCGTGATATGAAAGCATTCTTCCCCGCCGTGTCGATAAGCTCGGATTTGTATGGTCGGGGTGATGCCTCCGACGATGGAGTCCAGGTGGTTAAACACCCGTAGAGTATCGTTGGCAGAGATGGAGGCGATGTAGTAGATGCTGTGGAGCCGAGAATGGGTCTTGAGCCAGGTGGCAAAGCCAAGCTGACGTCAGGAGCTGGGGCCGCCGGACGCTGTGAGATCGCTGATGGTATCGCCAACGCAGAGGTCCCCGAGAGGATCAGGAGTGCTGTTGTCGGTCCGAGCACTGCAGTCTAGGTTGACGGTTTCGACGTTCTCCAGACCGCACCACTCGTACCTCTGGTCTGTCAGCTGGTTGTGCGCTACTCACGCGCGGAAAATTTGCCGAGCAGACATACCGGGAACTTCCACTGACCAAACCTCAGCGTCAAACGCTGAACCTGCCCGCCACCAGGCGCCATGAGTGTTTTGGGCAATCGATAAGTCTTGTTGTGCTTTGCCTCCCGTCGGCCGTAATTGCTCCGCAGCAGTCCCGCCCAGTAAAGGTCGGTGAGGTGGCCGAGGCCGTCGAGGGCGGCAAGTACCGCGTCAGCCCGATTGTGGTACGCCGGATCGAAGTCCAGGCTGAGCTGGCGAAGGTGAATGCTATGCCGTAGCAAAGAGAGGACGGTCTCGAGCGGATCGACCGCCGGATCGTATGAGGGTTCCGGGACGCGTCCCGGCGTGATCCCCTCGGAGATGGCGATCCGCATTCGACGGAGAGTTGTAGATTTGACGACCAGATTGGGAGCAGGGAAGGGACGATGTGCCGATGGCTTGGGTGACTCGTATGTCCTGAATCGACCGATAGTGATGTCCAAAGTGGAGAGGTGGGGCCATGAGTCGAGTAGGTGGGGGATGGTGTCGACCGTTTCAACCGCATTGGCGCCGAGTATGAGGGTAGTGAGGCGATCGAATGCAAAAGGGTCCCCATCGGCGACCAGGATGTCGCAGAAAGGGGCATAGTCCTCCGATAGTTCCCCCATGTTCTGCTGGGACGAGACCTCGAGCGATTCGACGTTACTCGCGGCCGCCTCTAGAACCTCCAGGATAGCATCCACTCCGACCCCGTCGCACGACCACGTGATTATTCTGATGAAGCTCCCCTTGGCTTGAAGCTGCCCACACACCCGGTCCGCCTTCTCTTTGATTCTGAGCCTCTCTCTCTGAAGCTCATCTTCCGCTTCCTTTGCGGCGCCTGGGGACTGCATCATCCCGGGTCTGCCCCGATGGATATAGGGAAGACTGAAGTCGACATCCCGCCAGATCCGACGGTTAGAGACAGCCTCGAACGCTCGACAAACTCTGGCGAAGCTGAGGGCGGAGGGGAGGTCCAAGTGTTTCGCGAGAATGAGCGTGACATCTTGGTGGTGGAAAAGGGGGTGTTCGCTTGAGGGTTTGGTAGCTGGTGTGGGCTGTATGGAGTCAGCCGAGTATCCCGACGCAAGTATCTGATCAGAGTCACGCAGGTCTCCCCCACCCAGATGTATTGGCAAGGAGAGCCAGTGCAGCTTGATAGCAGGGAGAGCTTACCGTATCGTTGATGGGGGCTTCCTTCGTCGTCTGCGCGGTACGCAGACTCCGTCTCGGTGGCATCCTCGACGTGACTGGTTGCCCTGTAGGTGATGTTTGGTGACGCCTAGTTTTTCGACCCCTCTTGGCGGATGAGAGGTGATGAGAGAGTTGGAGTGGATAGGTGAAGTCAACCGTCGCGTCGGGTTGGCGCTGACAAAACTTTCGACTCCTCATTCCTCAAGCCGATAAATGGGGGGCACGTTTACGGCTGTTCCGCCACGGTGGCGAGTGTGGCTGTGGCAAGACTGTGGCGTAAGCTTACGATCATGGGGGTCCCGCTCGGCCAGGCCCTTCGTAGATTGTCGATCCCTCTCATAATTGAGATCACTTGCTCTACAACGGCATCCTCGCCATACCCCACTGCCATCCCCCCGAGCCAAATGCACCTCTTTCCCGCCACCATCTTCCCTCGCCCCCACCCCGTCGCCCTCCCGTCCATACTCCTCGTCACTCATCGTCGCTCTTCCGCCGGAGTCTACAGCACCCTGGCTCGCCCTACACCCTGCTTCCCCCGTCAGAGCTTCGCCTCCAGTACTCTGACCGATCAGTCAAGCCGCCTAGCCCTTCGTCCACCTCGAAACCAGCTTTACTCTTCACCTCCCTGATACATCAGCTCCGTGCGATCCCTACACGTTTACGCCGCACCCCGTATATAGAATTAATTAGAAGGCTCACCTCATCATGCCCTTCTGCTAGCCATCAACACCTCCCACGCCTCATCTCCGACTTCCACTCCCCGCTTGTCCCATTCCTCCTTGCTCGCCCCTTCCACCTCCCTCATCTTCTCCAGCACATCGGGCGGGACCGCCGAGTCTGCTTCCAAAGGATCCGTCGGGAGCGCGTAGAAGGTGCGCTCGTGCGTGACCAGCGGTGAGACATCCCGGGCAGTCGGGCACCCGGCGGTATAGAGGATATCCACGGGAGTTGTCGCGTTCGGGCGGGATGGGGAATTGACCGCTTGGCCGAAAGGGCGGGATGGGGGAGGGACCGTTTTGACGAGGACGGTGATTTGGAAGCAATCTTCTCCGCCGTGACAGTAAGATCTGATCTTGATTGTAGGGGTAGTCATCGGGAGGACTGCGTCGAGGGTGTCAAAGACTTGTAGATTGTCTTTATAAGGGATGCCGACGATATAGTAGATCCGCGAGATGCGAGGGTGGAGCCGTAGCCAAGAAGCGAAACCGTAGTGATTGATCTGGAAGTTTAGGCCCCCGATGCTCGGCGCAACGTCGATAGTATCCTTCATGGATAGTTGTGGTCTTTCAGAGGGCCGAGGACAGCGTCGGCCCGGTTGCGCCAGTGTAGCGCATTGTCTTCAATATACCCCAAGCTGAGATGGGAGAGATGCGGACTTGGACGCAGCAGGGAGATGACCGTCTCGAGAGGGTCCACGAGTGGGTTGTAGGATGGTTCGACCAACGTCTGCCCAAAGGATAGGCGCTCACGCGCCTCTTCGATGATGAGCCGCAGTCGGCGGAGATTGGTTTCCTTGGCGAGACGTTCCGGGGACGGAGGAGCCGCGCCGGAATACATGGGAGGGAGTTTGATGGTGAGGTCAAGAGTGGTAAGCTGAGGGCAGGCAGCCAGGAGGGAAGGGATACCGTCGACCGATCAGATAGCGTTCTTGCTGACGACGAGGACGGTGAGATTGGCGAATGTGGGAAGCCCCGGCCCAGCGAGTATGATGTCGGAGAAGGAGGACAGGCTACTGTCAATTCTGGTAGCGGCGAATGAGTGGAGTGGACGTCGAAGTGGCGGGGGCAGCGATCCAATGGGGCTTGGTATGAAACCACGATCGATTGGACATTCTCCGCCACCGCCTGTAGCAATTCCCTGACTACCGCCTCCTTGACCCCATCTCACGACCACTGTATCGTCCTCACCATATTCCCTCTCGCCCCGAGTTGCGCACACAACCCTGCCGCCGCCTTGTCCAAAATCGCCCTATACTTCCGGCGGGTCTCCTCCGCGTCCGCGGAGGGTTCCCGTTCCGCCTGAGGGGTGCTGAGGTTGTATTGACCCAAAGGAAGAAAGGGAAGGGTCAGGTCGACGTCTCGCCAGATCCGAGGACGGGCGGCAGCTTCAGAGGAGCGACAAGCGCGGACAAAGCTGAGCGCGGAGGGGAGCTCGGCATGATCCGCAATATTTCGTAGGACGTCTCCGTTGAGGAAGAGCGTAGGCTTTTGGGAAGAGCTGGTCTGCGATATGGGCTGGATATAATCAGCCGATTGCCTCGACCCGAACATCTCGAAGCGCCGCAGTTGAGTTCATGTTACCATGTAGGGTTTGAGGATTAAGGTATCTTACCGTATCATTGCTGAGAGCTTTACTCCCCGCCGGCACTTGCTTCCGCCTTGACTTCCGAGCCATCCTTGGTGAGACTGATCCCCTTCTAGTAGCCAAGCTATAAGAATTATTTGCCTGCCCCTTCTCACCGGATGCGAGGTGGACTAGAAGTTGCAGTAAGGAGTGAACGTCGGCTATCCTTAGCCTAGCCTCGGCCTAGCCGGTAACTAAGGTTCAGCTCCTCATTCCTCGAGAGTGTATCATACATGGGAGGTCCAATTACAGCTGGTGCCGACCTTACGGCTGGACCCTGGGGCAGAACAATGAGTGAGGGTCCCTCTCGCGAGAGACAGTATGATTTATATGGCTTCAGATCAACGTGTTCCAGCTCCAAGTTGTGGGCAGGCCCCTCAGCTTTGTGTTCATGAAATGAAATTCCCTCCTCCGGTCTGCGACCAAAGTAGTCCTGTGGTATCGCTCCTGTGGTATCGCTCCGGCCGGTACGATCAACCGTGATTTTCATTCCTCTACAACGTTTTGACCCTCCCCGGACCGCCCCAGCCACCCACCTCGACAAGCAGATCGACTCCGCCTATGACCCGTCCTCCTCCGCCTGTGACCCGTCCTCCTCCTCTGGCATTGAGCTCTTCTCTCGCCCATCTACCTCCCCCTGCGCCCTGTGCCCCAGATACCTCACCTTCCACTTCCCGCGCCTACCCTCCTGCATCGCCAGCCTGCCATCCCCTCACAGCTTCGCCTTTCCCCCGGCGAGTCAATCCTGCTTCTTGGCCTTCAAAACCTCCTCAATCCCTTTGAGCACCTTGTCCACATCTCCCCTCTCCTTATCCGTGACAGTCACGCCCATATGCCCAATCCTAAAGTATTCCGACGCGATCGCTTTGTGCAGACCTGCAGCCACCACAATGTCTTTCCTGTACTATCAGCTCCTGTCCATGCCATACCACGGTGCACTAGGCGTAGCTCACTCGGCAAGCTTAGGCAAGATATCAGCCGCCGCAATCCCCTTGGGATACTTGGCCGCCGTCATCCCATTCGCAGCGTGATCTCTTGACGTGGGGACGAATCCGAAACCCAGATCAGTGAGCTTGTCCTTGACCTGCTTGGAGACGGCCTTGTGCTGCGCGAACCGCTCTTCGAGGGAGGGAGACTGGGTCGTGATAGACTTGAGAGAGGCGTGGAGGGCGTACACGAGCTGTACGGGGGCTACTCTGTCAGCCCAATATCCCAAATTGATGGGCGTGGACTAGCTTACGAGTCGCAAAGTACATTGGCCGACCCTCCTCATAAGCCTTCATGACCGGCAACCACTTGTTCCAGCTGATATAATAGCTCGGTACCGGTGTCTTGCGCGCTGCGAGCGTCTCAACTGCGCGCCTGGAAATGACGCAGACGGACAGACCAGGGGGCGTGCCCAATCCCTTCTGCGTGGCGGAGATGACCATGTCGAGGCCCCAGTCGTCGAACCGGATCTCCTCGGACGCGACGGCGCAGACGGCATCGAGGACGATGAGCGTCGAGGGGGAGTGTTTCTTGACGAGGGAGGAGATGTGGGCGGCGGGGGAGAGGACGCCGGTAGATGTGTCGACTGGGAGATTAGCGAGATGCGGAAGGCAGGAGCAGGGTCAGGGGACGTACCGTGGGTGATGGTAATCATCTTGGGCTGAGACTTGAGCGACTCGATAATCTGCTCGTCTGTGGGAACGCCGCCGACGGGGCATTTGACCTGGGTGACCTTGGCGCCGTACACCCCGAGACACTCGGCGAAGGAGTCGCCAAAGTAGCCAGTGTTGAGAACGACCTGAATGTCAGCTTGGCTTTCACCAATCTCTAAGTTCAGAGTGTTGAACAGCTCACAGCCTCATCCCCCTGCTCGAGCAAGTTGGCGGCCGCAGCGTCCCACCCCATCGTCCCGCTGCCACTAATCAACACGCTCTGATTCCCCTCCTTCTCGGCATACAGCACCTTCTTGAGCATCCTCAGACAGTCACCAAAGACCGGGATGAACGCCGGGGAGACGTGCGATGTCCCCGGTGTCGCATTGGCAAGCAGTACGGGGTCGGCGAACTCGATAGGACCCGGGATACTTTCATGTCAGCAGGATACACGGGCAAGGTGGAGGTGGGAGGTGGACCCACACGAGGAGCTTGTGCGGCGCCTGCTTGAAGTCCTGGTTGGACATTTTGGTAGTAGATATGGATCTGTAGGTGGTAGGTATAGAGCGACGGGCGAGGCGTATAGCTGTACGTGTGATAGACATGCGATATGCACAGAAGAGAGACCGGTGTCCGGATCACAGCTGCTGCTGCCAGTTGATCAGTTGCCGGCTCGAGCCGGATCTGCCCGGATCTTATCCGGTCCCTCCCTTTTCAACGGAGATTTGTCCGGATGTCCATATCCATTTCCGGCCGGTAATTCCCTTTTCCGGTTCGGGCAGTTACGTCACACGCATTCATCACAGCCAGAGACACTCGGCCGCCTTGCTCGGCGCTGTGCAGCAACTTCTATCTTCAGCTTCTATCTATATCTAGACCTATCACTACGCATAGAGCGGCCGCGTGTGGCTCGTTCAGGTCTCACATCCATCACAGCTCCTCGACTGCCCGGAAAAATCGCTCAAGGCGACCCAGTAACCCCTCAGAAGGACTGGCTACGAGGTCGGACGACGTCAACTCTGCCTCCGGCTCACTTCTTGGCGTACCGGAAGCGCTGCTCTTGACGCTGCCCATCATCTCAAGAGTGCAACGATGACTACCACCATGTCGACCTCGGCGGGCCCGCCAATGCTCGAACTCCCAGTCATGTCGGACAAGTCGTTCATGCACACCGAGAAGCATGAGCCCGAGGCGAACGGTATTGGCTCTACGCACGGTCCCCTCTCTGAGAAGCCGCCTCCATCCACCATGCCCACCACTACCACCACGGCCGCGCCGTCCTCTCCTCGGTCCCCTACCGCTCCATCAGCCTATCCTCAGCCTCACGCATGCCCTTCCAAACCCTCACTTCCTGCTCCCGCATCTAATCGCCTGCTCACCACCCACCTCCTCGCCCACCCAGACCACACCGCTAAGAAGGCCATCCATACCCAGTTCCCCAATCCCAATCCTATCATCCGCCTCGCGCGCCGTTTCAAGGTCAAGCACAGCGTCATCAAGGGCATGACGGATCATGAGTGGAAGCGGTATGAGAAGATGGCGCCGGAGTTGAAGCGGAAGGCGGGATGGAAGCGGGCTGGTGCGCCGGCGGAAGAGGAGGGTGTGGAAGTGTCGGAGTTATTCTGGAAGGTGAGCTCGGCGGTACTGCTCAGTGTCCTAGACGCTGACAGACTAGATGTACCTCTCGCTCATGCCCACGGTGGAGCGGGATCCGCTATCCGGTCTCGTCCCGCCAGACCTCCTCGGAAGCACGACCACTATGCCCTTGACAGTGATCTCCCTCATTCCCGACATCATGCAGCACTACCACGACGTCATCATCCGGGCGAGGGACGAGGTCTTCCTCGCGACCAATTACTGGCAGTAAGCTTGCATGGGCTCTCCGTCTTCACAAGCTCGGCGGCTTAAGCTGACACTCAGACCCTCCAACTCCGTCACCACCATAACCGGCTCCCTCCTCGAACTCTCCGCGCTCGTCGTCAAGGAGAACCGCAAGAAGATCGTCGTCAAGATCATGTATGATCGTGGGAGTCTGGAGCAGATCTGGAACTCGCACGCTCCCGTGGCGAAGGAGGCGTGGAAGCCGCTGGATTTGCCTGGACCAGATGAGATCCCGGGTCTGGAGCTGGAGGTCATCGTGAGCTGCGCACCCCTATTGTTAGTAGCTGCAGCTGACTTATAGAACTTCCATCGGGTATTATTGGGGACTTTCCACGCCAAGTTTCTGATTGTGGACCGAAAAGTCGCTCTCATCAACAGTAACAATATCCAGGGTGAGCTGCACATGAAGCGCCCGCGACTACGTATATGGACACAGCTGATATGCAGACCGCCCTAACCTTGAGCTCATGTCGCACCTGGAAGGACCTGTCGTCGACTCATTCTACGAAATCGCCCTTCACTCATGGTACAACCGTCTCTCCCCTCCTCTACCCTGCATGTCCACCCCCTACACCCCACCCCCAGGCGGCTACCTCTTCTCACACGACAACCCCTTCTTTGACGATATCGAGGTGCTCAAAGCCGCCAAGGCTGCTCGTCTCCTCCTCCGAAAACAAACACAGGATACCGATGCCGAGACCGCCGCGCTCCTGCGTGAGAATGCGGGTGCACCCGGCGATAGGCTGAGAGATGCGGTGAAAAGAGTTGTGGATCATCAGAGGCAGAGTCTGGCGGAGTGGAGGCCGGGGGAGAGGTTTGATGAGGCCATGCATGATCTAAGGGAGATGCGGGAGAGGTTCACGGGAGGGATGGGGCAGGGGTCGAGGAGTCGGCCGGGGAGTAGGGGGCCGAGTCGGCGTGGAAGTGCGAATGAGGGGATGTTTAGGTCGTTGCGTGAGCTTTCAGAATCGTCCTGTGCTGCGGGCAATGGGGATGAAAGCTAATAAAACAGTCAAGGGCGGAGATAAACCCGACCAGAGCCCGTTACCTGCCGTAGACCCCTCAGAGGCCCCCTCGTCCCCTACCATCGCCGAAACACCTATCAAAAAGTCCCACCTCCCCCACCCCGACGACATGACGGGACACATCACACCCACCGGGTCGGTCGAGCTCTCCGGCCCCAGACGAGGGCATACGACGAGCCACGTCGCTTTTGCGCCTGTGTTCGACGATGAGCCCTCGGATGCACCTCGGCGGAGTATGGACAGCAACGTCAAGTCTCAAAGGGGGATGTTGACTATTCCGCCATCGGGAGGGGCGGTCCTCTCGCCATCGCCAATAGCTACGGGCGTGGAGGGTCTGCCTCCTTCCCCTGCTTCGGCACTGTCGTCTAGAGCGTATCCCCAGCCGGGCCAGCCGGGCCATTCCGGAGCTGGTACTGCGACGAATGCGAATGGGGAGGTCTTACCGCCGAGCGCGATGTACCCGGGCGAAGCACAGGAGGTGGATCGGACGACGATACGGGATGGAGAAGGCGTGATTGGGCAGCAACAGGTGTTGGTGGGTACGGATAGCACGCCAGAGGGAATGGGGAGTAAGCGGCTGTATAAGATGAGCAAGATGTTTAGTGAGTACTGGAACTTTCTGGGCACGTGTGGGCGTGTAGGAAGCGGGAGATGAGTCTGCTGGAAGGAGGGGCGGAGGGGATGCGGGCCGGGCCGGGCAAAAGGGCTAAGGAGACAGAGAGATTCAGAGAGAATGGGGCTGATTTGTCAGATGCCGCCGGTGTACTTTCCGAAGCATGGGCAACCGTCGAAGATTCCGACGACCTCGACACGTTCCAGCCGCATGTCGTGCACAAGCCGCACAAGCCTGTTCCGGTCGCTATGGCATGTCGAAAACCACACGGATGTGAGTTTGCCTATTCCTTGTCATGGCCTCTGGCCTGAGTAGTCCACACAATGTCGGACATCGGCAGAGCGAAAAGGAATGAAAGCTGATAACCCCAGTCCCGGGACATCATGATATTCGGAATCCGCAGAACGCGGCGTGGTTGGCCGGGTTCAGGTATGCCAAGCACAAGGTGTTCATGTGAGTTTGACTTCAGTCTATCACTTTCTCCTTCACGGTGCACCCACCTCATTCCCTCCGATCGTCTTGCTCCGATGGACTTCTGCTAACCCTCTCAGCCAAACCCCCACCCTCAACGCCCGCCCCATCGTCCGCGCCGTCAAACAAGCATGCCGACGCGGCGTCTCCGTCTCCCTCCTCCTCGACCTAGGCTTCAACGACAAGGGCGAGTCCATCCCCTTCCAAGGCGGAACCAACGAGGAAGTCGTCGTACGTCTCTACAAGGCTCTGCGTGCGGAAAAGAAGGAGCAATATCTCAAGGTGTATTGGTATACCGGCAAAGACCAGGTCCGGCCGCTTAATGCGGTCAAGAAGCAGCGGAACTGCCATATCAAGTTTGCGGCGTATGATGACGAGGTGCTCATTATTGGGAATGGGAATCAGGATAGTCAGAGCTGGTTCCATTCGCAGGAGATTAATATTATGGTGGATTCCAAGGTGAGCTTTAGATTTTATCTTTGGGATCAGGTGGACCGGGGAGATGATGATGGGTGATGGGTGATGGGTGATGGGTGATGGGTGATGTCGGACGGTGTACGGAGGACGTTGACACAGATGGGAAAAGGCAAAGTGCTGACGGAGGCAGCAAATCATACAAGAAATGATGGATACGCTACTCACCAACCAAAATACAATCCAGTACGGTCTGGTCGATACCGATGGGATATGGCGGGACAAGGAGGGCAAGACGCTGCAGGATTATGGGGCGACGGAGGGAAGGAGGTTCAAGGGTCTGAGTGGGTTTATACAGTTCGCCAAAACCATTTGAGGACGGCCGACGGAATTCAGCCAGGGGGTTGAGGGGGAGGGCGGACGGGGCTGCGCGGGACGGAGCGGGGGAATGCTATGTCGGGGCGGGAGGGGTGAGAGATTACAGAGAGGAGGGAGGCCCGTGGACAATACTTCTCCGCCGTCTTCCAAAGTTGGTTCCTTGTATACACTAGCTAGGCTTATACCGCTGCCTTTGCTCAATTATCGTTGTTGTTTCTAGACATGCATACTCTATAGTCACATTCATCCCTCGCTCGCTTCCCGTCAACAGCCCTCTCTCGGTGATCGTCGCCTCTTGCAGAAACCCCTTGTTCACCTGGTCTCTCCGGCGCGGTGCCTTCCGGGATCCCGGGGATCTCACGGAGCAGAGGACGACAAAGATACTCGTCGCACCACAGTGCGACGATAGCATGAGCATTGCATGGACTCGTAATAAATCATAATCACAATAGATACAGCGAGCTAGATATATACAAGACAGATCAAGCTATATACAACGACACCTCAAAACTCCACGCCATGTATCGCAGTCAACGACTTCTTCCTCACAATCCCCCTCAGTCTCTCCTTCTCCACCTGGACATGTCGGACAATCATCCCGTCCAATCTCCCTCCTTCCCCATCTCCCTCGACCACTTCGCACGCTTGCGTTCCCGCCTCAAGGTCACTCGTCTCCTCTACTACCTGTCTCCCTTCGCTCTCACTGATGGTGCTCGACTCTGAAACGATCCGCCCCTGCTCCCTCTCCCGCTCCCTCTCCTCGGCCCCAATATCTCTCCTCCACCTAAGAACCTTCCGTACCCTCTCTTCCTTCCCCTGCGTACTCCCCTCCCCCAAACTACTCAACCGCGTGAGAAGCGGCTGAGGCCTATACTCATTCCCCTCCCCCTCGCCAATGCCGATCACGGACCCGTGATCAGGCGAGAATGACCTCTCCCTCTGATAATTCCTGGTGGGCGAAGGAGGCGTAGGCGGCCGGTAAATCGTATGCGTCATCGTAGGGACAAGTGGGAAATCCGGCAGATCAAGCAGAGGCGGAGACGGGAGTTCCAGCGTCGGGAGTGGCGTGGGCGTAGCCGGCGGAGGAGGGGATGTGGAGTGTTGGAGAGGAAGTGAAAAGTTGGGGATGGGGAAGACGAGGTTGGGTGTGGGCGTGGGGATGGGGCGAGGTGGGGTGTACTGCGAGATATTGATGTGGATCGGGGGAGCTTGGGGGGTGACTCGGAGCGGCAGAGGGAGGAAGGAGGCTGTCGAGTAGCTGTCATATCAGCTGGGCTCTTCTGCGCAGGGTCAAGAGGGGCAGCTTACATGCTCTGATTACTCTCTTCTTTACCAATCTCTCTTAACCCCCTCGATCCCCCACCCGGAGCCAAGTGCGCTCGTAGCGGAAACCTGTCATTTCAGCTACCTTTCCTTTTCCTTTGCCACACAAAGCAGACGGAGAAACGGGCAACTCACGATCCCACCAAACTATCCCTTGATAAGACCCCCGTACTAGCGCTCGAACTACTCCTCAGCCCAAACGTCTTCCCCACGCTCCGACTCCAGCTCGTCCGTTCTCCCCTCCCCAACGTACTCTGCATCTCCGCCCGATGACTCTGCGCCATCTCACTCAGCCCCTCCTTGATACTCGTCGCCACCGCCTGCGAAAGTAGATCCGCCCGCCATTCTTTACTGCTCTTCCGCCCTCCATCTTCCGCAATGACCTCCTCCTCCACTACTGCAGTAGCAGCCGCCGATATTTCCCTCGAATGGACCACCTCCCTCGTCGCTTCCAGCGGGGCCGATATCCTCGCCTTGAGCGCCGAGTCCGCCTGTCGGACATGCTCCGTCGCCGTCGCGTGGAACGTCCGTGAGAACGACTTGCTCAGACTCTTAGTCAAGCCCCGGAAAGACGTCGAGGCCGCGAGGAACGATGAGCGGCCGGAATGGGAATGCGCCGTCGAGGAAGAGACGATCCGGGAGGGGTCGATATGGTGCATCGGCAAATGAGACTGGGTTTGGGGGGTGTGGGGCGATAACGAGGGGTGCGAGGGGGCAGTGACGGACACGGAGAGCTGGGGGGTGAGGTTCCGGTTTGGCCGGGGAGGAGTGGGGAGGGGATCGACCGCGCCGTCCGGTGAGCAGAGGGAGTACAGAGTTGGCGGGCGCCACCTGTGACTGTGTAGATCGCCAGTGGATGGTTGACGCTGGACCGTGCGTGTAGCTTGGGGCAGAACTTGAGGTAAGGAAGCAGGGACGATATGTACCTGGACCGGGGGACGCATATCGAGCGGAACGGGCGATCTCGTCCGCGTCGCAAACGAAAAGCTGCGCGACAACCTCTTTTCCCGAGCGGACGTCTCGTCCAGCTCCGGAGTAGGTGGATCCGGGATGTATCGCTTCATCTGAGTAGGTGCTTTGGTGCGCCACGAAAAGCTCCGGCTGACCTTGGTGCCCACGTCGGAAGAGAAGGACTTCGAGTACCGCAAGTTTGGTTTGCGCGAGGTGACGGCGTACCGCGTGGCGTGGTCCTCTGATTCGGACGCGGCGGAGGGAGCGGGAGTCGGTGGTGAGTGGATGATAGCGGGTGAAGCGAGCTGAGCGGTGGGGGAGAGGGCTTGCCTTTGGGCGGAGAGGCCAAAGTGTGGGGTTTGGGGAAGAGGAGAAGGGAAGGCCGGACTGGTCATTTGGCTCGAGGAGTGGAGGTACGGCGTGGACGTATTGGATAGAGCGGGAGTGTGGGTCGGTCTGAGCTGGTCGACCTCGACACTACTCCCACCGGTAGAGGAAGTAGCATATGACGCACTCCCGCTGGAGACACTCATGGGCGTCCCAACCCTCCTTCCCCGCTCCGTAAGATCCACCGCCTCCTCCATCAGGCTCTCCGGCAGACTGACCGGGGAGTCCAAAGACGAGTATCCCAAACCGGTCGTTACGCTACTCGCGAGAAGCGAAACATCCGATCCGCCCAGATCGATCCTTTTGCGCTGAGGGGACCGCTGTCCAATCTCGTCGATCCGGACGTCGAGACCTAGACCGCCCCCGCCCGAGACGCCCGTAGGCGATGAAGGGATGATCTTGGCGAGACCGTATCGGTCCGACATATCGACAGAGGGATCGCCGAGGCCCAGTTCGTATGCCGCCGAAGAGGCCATGGAGAGTGGGAGAGGAAGAGGAGGGAGTGGATCCCATGTCCGTTCGCCTCGGGCGGTGACCGACTGGCTTCGACGCCGGGAGGATTTGGGATCGGGGGTGATTTTCAACGACAAGGAACGGCGGACGCGCCCAGAGAGGGATAGACGACGTTCCCGGCCTGATCCAGTGGGCAGTGTAGATTCCGGGTCGACGAGAGGTGGGGACTCCGAAATGACGCTCATGCGCCCCTTGAGCCGGCGTTCCGCTTCCAGCCGAGCGACGCTGCTCAGGTCAGGCGCACCGCCGGGAAAGCATGCCTCGCCAGCTCCGCGCGACATGGCGACCCCGCCAGGAAAGGCGAAGGGGTTTGTGAATGGTACGGCGCCGTTACCCGAGTATTCGATCTGCGTGTAGGCGGTGGATGAGGAGATGACGTCTCCTACCTCGATCCCGAGCGGACGGCCAAAGTTTGCTTGTGGGAGCTGAGGAGAGGTCGGGGCGGGTGTGATGCCGGGGATGGACGGAGCGGGGCGGGGAGACGAGAGCGAGAGGGATCGCCGACGGGTGGTATCTCTAGGAGAGAGGACGGGCGGGGATATATCCGATTTAGCCAAAGTAGGGGAGGAAGATTTGGTGTCTGAAGGAAGGGCGTTGAGGTTGAGCTATATGTCAGCCTTCCTTCCTACCTTCACGACGAGTTCCCAAACTCACCCTCAATCCCAGAGACTTGTTCTTCTTCTCCTCTACCAATCCCGCGAGCGTCATCCCCTGCCTCGCCCCCTCATTCTCCTTGTTCCTGCCTCCCGCAGCAACCTTCCTCGACCCAATCTCCGCCAGACTCGGCTGCCGCCTCAACGTCCGCATGCTCTCCGCAGACAACGTCTTGCTCTCTCGGATGCCAATACCGACTCCGCTCAGCGCAGGCTCGCTCGCCAGGCGCGTTGTCCTCCCGACTGTCCCAACGTGCTCTTCCTTCCTTGGCGGCCCGAACGCGTCGGCCGGATGAGGGCGCAATCGCTTCTCTTTCCTTCCGCGAGAGTCCGCGCGGCCGACCGCGCCCTTCGCTTCCGCCGCGGAAAGGTGGGTGCCCGTCCCGCTCGGAGAAGGAAAGAGGTAGTGTATAGTCGATGTTGACGGGGAGGCGACGACGATCTGGGGTCCCTTGGTACCACTGCCGCCGGTACCGGTGCCGCACCCGTTGGTAGCGACGGCCACGCGCTCAAAGGTGTGCGCGAGCGAGCCCGGGCGAGAGCGGGTCGGTTCGGGGAGAGTAGTAGGGTGCGAGAAGGGATCCGAGGGGTAGCCAGTTGGTGGAGTACCGGGGGTGACGGGTAGTGAAGACGCTGGCGAATGGGTAGGTTTGGGGCCGTGCGAGGATAAGTTGAGGGGTGGAGGTCTGTGCGTGTGTGAGTGTGATGACGCTTCCGAGGAGGTGGACGGCGAGGGTCGGAATGTGATGACCGAGTCGGTATCGTATGCTGCGAGGGATGATTCTGAGGGATGATTGTGGTGGATGAGGGTTGAGCGAAAGATGGAGGAAGTTGAAGATCTAGATTTGACCATTTTGCCCTGAGCTTGAGGATGGTCCGAGCGTCGGAGCTTGTTTCAGATCGATCAGGCACCGTAATGTGCGTTTCAGGTGCAGAGAAGGGAGGAGCGATGGGCGTGAATATTGATGGTGGGAAGGGCGTGGCGATGGGAAAGGCGAGGTCTGGGCTCGTCAGCATCACTGACGGAGGGTGGTCCGAGGATCTGAGAGAACTAAGAGAGTGAGACATACCTTGAGAGCAGAGTGGACGAACGAAAATAGGTATGTAGAGAACAAGTTATGGGGAAATACAACAACTACCGGTGCGCCCTATCCTCTAATACCCTCCTATCTACCTGCTTAGCCTTGCCGCAGCATCAACACCCGCCGCACCCAGTCCAGACCCCTTATCGCTCACACATGTCCTAGCCATGTCGCTGTGATGTCTCACACCTGAAACATCAGACATCCCGCCACATTCCGAGACCTTGCATCGAGGACGCCGTCAAAGCTCGCTGACTGTATAACCGAGCTACGAGGCGATGGTCGGCAGTGTACTGGACTTCGAAAGGAAGAAGGATACGATGAAACCGATGATGGCGGCGAGAATTGAAGTGGATATCAACCCCCAGACTGCATGCCTTAGTTTTGTACATCCGCAGTGTGGAGAAGGAGGACGTACAGGCATACCACACAAGTCCCTTCTTCCTCGCTGCGTTCTGTATCCTCAAAACCGCAATCTCACTCGTCAAGTAATTCTTGACCTCCTCCGCCCATCCCTCCACCCTCGCCAATGCAGCTTCATCCCCTTCCTCCTTCCTTTGCTCCCTCTCCTCATTCGGGACAGTATCCTCCCCATCGACATCTTCTTCCTCCACCTCCAGAACCTCTTCCGATAGGTCTCGCCCGTCCTCCGACAACAGACCTGCCGCTCTGTCCCGTAATGTCCGCCAGGGGGTCGCTTTCTGCTCCATGTCGTCGACTTTGGCTCGGTGGGTTGCTACGAGCTGCGATAGACGTGCTGCGAGGACAGGACGGGTGGAGGCGAGGGTCTCGTCTAGCTGCGCTACTATGTCCTGACTATCAGCCCAGGCTCCAGGTGAGACAAGGCAAGCTTACATCTGCTTCGCGGTCCATATCTGATAAGCTCGAGAGGGCACCGTTCAGCTCTGGAAACAGCCTATCTTCGATATTTGCCTTGAAGTCAGCTACGATACCTATGTCAGACCTGCGCCAGCTCACCTTGGTCCGCTTCATTCTCGCCTCATGCGCCTCGCAACTCGCCAATAAACGCTGTACCTCCTCTTCCATCCCCCTACTCGTCAGCACCACCCGCATCTCCTGTCGAGCAACTCACCTAGCATCCGGCCCCTTGACGCTCTTGATCGGCTTGATCACCCTCTCCACTCTTCTGAGCCGCTTCGGACTCGTATCGTACCCATTCCCGTTCCCACCAGGACCGGCCCCATTGGGAACGACCGGCGTATTTGGCATTCGTGGGCTGGTGATGGACGCAGGACTCGCAGTCAGCGCTGCGATACCGATACTGGGGCTGGTGACCGGTAACGACCCTCGACGACCGTTGGCGCCAGGAAAGGCTATGGTGCTGTGCATGTTGCCGGTTCCGCCGCGAGTTGGGATGGAGCGGTAATAGGGGTTGTAGCCGTAGAGCTCCATCGCGGGTCAGGCGGGGTACGGTGTTGAGGTACCTCTCCTGGTCTTAGTAGGCGCGTCTATCTCTCCCCGGTCTGACTGAGGAGGCTTGCGGCTATAGGCTGTCGAGCTGTTTCTAGGCACAAGGTATGAGGGGCATGAGCGCAAGAGCCTTTAGCGCTGCTGCTTGGTGGTGGTGGAGGGGTGCACGTGGTTTAAGCTTCCCTTTGAGGAATGCCGAGAGAATGATGCAGTGGCCGATAGCCGATCCGGCCAAAGCAAAGATTCGGTACTCGTCTCCCATCTCTGTCTCTGTCTCGCATCTCAGTCAGCCTATATAGAAGAGACCACTCTTCCCACTGTTCACCCTTCTTCCCACCACCTTCCTATACCGAAACAATGCCAGAAGAACTCCGCGACGCCGCGGGCACCCCCGTCCGGGGCATCCAAGACCACGCCCTCATCGGCAACCTCCGCACCGCCGCTGTCGTCTCCATCGACGGCTCCATCGAGTCCATGTGTGTCCCCTACTTTGACTCGCCCTCCGTATTCGCCCGGATCGTCGACGCGGACAAGGGCGGACATTTCTCCATCACCCCCACTTGGACATTCAAGACCAAGCAGGCCTACGCCCCCAACTCGAATGTCTTGATTACAAAGTTTCTAAACGAGGATGGGGTGGGAGTCATGACGGATTTCTTGGTGCCCAAGGGGGCTAACAAGAGTGGGAGTCAGAGCAGGGCGTATCTGCCCTGGTTGATTAGGAAGGTGGAGAGTATTAGGGGGAAGGTGCCGTTTAGGTTGGAGTGTGCGCCGGCGTTCAATTATTGCAGGGACAAGCACACGACCGAGGTGAGTAAGGGTTAAGCGGGTGAAGGAGCGGAGAGGACCAAGAAGAATGAGCAAGGGGATGCGAGGAGTGAAGTGGAGGGAAGATCAAGGAGGCGTATCGGTCAGACAATCCAGCGGGCACTACTACCTCTCCCCCTCGTCCCCAATGTTCTCTCCACCCTACCTTCTCCACTTTATCCCTCCATTATGCCACAGCTAACCCCCAGCTCGTCGAAGACGACACAGTCTCAGACGGCCGCACCGGCACGAAAGCCGTCTTCACCGCCCCCTCTTTGACCATGGACCTGCGCTACCTCCCCTTCTCCTCCGACACCTGCGTCTCTGACCCATCCATCAAGCTCAACGTCGAGTCGCTCAAGAACCGCGAATTGCTCGGACCGTCCGTCACGTCCGATTTTGAGCTCGAGGAGGGCCAGGCGGTCTACTTCGTGTTTAGAGAAGTGGGCAAGTGGGAGTACTCGACCGAGGAGCACCAGAAGGTCGCGAATCCCAATGAGAAGCGGGCGGAGGAGTTGGGCGTGCCGATGCAGGCGTTGTTGGAGGCGAGTAGCAAGCTCCGGCCAAAGGAGAATCCGATTCTCAGCAAGGTCAGTAGTCGTGTACTTCGAAAAGGCATGTGCTGATGCACCAGGCCCTTCTCAATGCCCTGCTTAGAGACACAAACAAGTACTGGCAGACCTGGATCGCCAGGTCCAAGTACACCGGCAGATGGAGGGAGGCGGTACACCGGTCTGCCCTTGTCCTGTAAGCTCTGCTTTTCATGATACCGGATGAATCCTGATCTGACGGCGCAGCAAAATGCTCGTCTTTGAAGAGACGGGCGCCATCGTCGCCGCGCCTACTTTCTCCCTTCCCGAGCATGTCGGCGGGCAGCGGAACTGGTGAGCTCGCTCATTCGCGGGAGCAGCCACAGAGCTGATCGAGTAGGGACTACCGATTCACCTGGATCAGAGACACCTCGTTCAGTCTGTACGCGCTCATCCGGCTCGGCTTTACCGAGGAGTAAGTCTTTTGCCCTGGGCGGGTGAAGGTCTGCAAGGAAGGACCTGACATATCAGGGCAAACGCATACATGGAGTTCATCCTCGCCAGACTGCGGGAGCGCGTGAGTTGATTCTTCCTCCTCTTCTACTTCGTTCGCGTGATGAGAGAAGCTACATAGCTGACTTTCGTAGAACTCAGACGGCTCGCTCCAGATGTATGTTGCATCGCCTACAATGGTCTCGATATATGAGAACAGTAGCTGATCCGTAGCGTGTATACCATCCACGGTGGGAAAGACCTCGAAGAACTCACCCTGGACCACCTGAGCGGACACAAGGGGTCCAAGCCCGTCCGGATCGGGAATGGAGCGGCGGACCACAAGCAGTTGGTGAGTCCAGTCGTCTTCCGCTTTCTCTTTGGCACTTGGACGAGGAAGCCGACGTGCACAGGACATTTACGGAGAGCTCATGGACTGTATCTACCTCGCTCAGAAGTACTCCAAGCCCCTTGTAAGTCCCAAAGACGGCAGCTTCAAAGAAGGAGGAAGACGAACAAGAGGGAAGGCCACGGCTGATAGACTAGCACTGGGACTCGTGGGTTGCCGTGAGGCAGGTAGTGGACTTTGTCTGTACACAAGTGGGCACGACCGATCTTTCCATCTGGTCAGTCCTCTTTCCTCCGCCTCATCTACTCACCCCTCCCCTTTACTATGCTCCACTCCCCTCTTCGTGATTGCTGCACAGCTATCGACGCCGGAAACTAACGCCCGCAGGGAAGTCCGAGGCGAAGAGAAGCACTTCCTCTACTCCAAGGTCATGATGTGGGTCGCGATCGACCGCGGGCTCCGACTTGCCGACAAGCGGAACTTGCCCTGCCCGAACCGGGCCAAATGGCTCGATACGCGCGACAAGCTGTACGAGGAGATTCAGGACAAGGGGTTCAATAAGGAGAAGGGGCATTATTCGCAGTGCTATGAGGTGCCGGAAAGTCTGGATTCGGCTGTTTGTGAGTGATCCACTAATTAATCCGTGCTTTGACCGCAACTCGTGATCGGTTCTATCTGCCTCGTGTGCGGGCTGACCCCCAGTGATCATGCCCCTCGTCTTCTTCATGGACGCCTCGGACCCCCGTTTCCTCTCTACTCTGGACCAAATCCTCAAGACGCCCGAGAAGGGCGGTCTGACCGCCAACTCGTCGGTGTACCGATACAATGCGGCGCAGTCGGACGATGGGGTCGGAGGAGAGGAAGGCGCGTTTAGTTTGTGCACGCTTTGGTGTGTTGAGGCGATGACTAGGGCGGGGGTGCATGACAAGAACTATTTGGACAAGGCGTACGTGTTATTCTCACTGCTTGACTTGTTACTGGAGCCAAAGATCGGTCGGGAAGAAGGGAGAACGTGGCGGTCAAATGACCAGACTTTTGGGTGGCGAGCAAGGTCTCAAGCTGACTCCATTACAGAGTCAACATGTTCATGGACTTCCTCGGATACGGAAACCATGTTGAGCTGTACAGTGAGGAGATTAGTGCAGGAGGCGAAGGGCTCGGCGTATGTCCCATATTTCACATCCTCAAATCGACTTGAGGGGAGCGGAGGCGATGCGCGAATTATCTTGGTGATTTTTGGCTGATCTCGCGCAGAACACACCCCAAGCATTCTCTCACGTCACTCTCATCTCGGCGGCGTTCAACCTGGATAGGGCGCTCGGGGCGTAAGGTGGAGAAGAAGTCAAAACGGCGAAAAGAAGAACGAGGAGTTTTGGGAAGAACGTGAAACTGAGGAATGAGGAGTAGGGCAATTTCGGGTGGCGAAAGTGAGACAGTGTCAGAACTCAATGTATGTGCATGTGGTAGTCTCTCTGATACTTGACTGTAATGCCCTGTCCAACTGTACACACCTCCCCCGCCAGATCGCCGAATGTCGTTCACTCCCTCCTGAAATAATCTTCTGCCACGGAATGCCGATGCAGGGCGCGAAGCGCGATGGGGTCTACGTCAGCGTAGCAGACTCGCAGACGTGTCAAGGCCTTGTCGACATCTGCTTCGGTCCGTAGTCTGTCCGAAGACCTCGTCATTCCCAGAAGCTCAGTCTTGACGCGGGCTTTCAGTCCCTCCGGCTGATGAAGTTCATCATCCGTGTTGAAGCGGGTCCGGGTCCGATCGAGCGCTGCAACCACCTCTAAGCTATTTGCTGTCATCAGCGAGAGTGACTCTGAGGCGCCAGCATATGTGCTATCCACGCAGCGCCGGTGTGGGAGTCCACGTGTGCGCGAGCCTTCGACCACATCTGTAAGTCGAGGATCACTGAATTTGGAATTGTCCCGCATGCTTCCCGAAGTTCGCTCGAAAGAAATATCGGTCTCGATCACATACATGGGCCACGAGTCATAGCGCAGGGCTATTTGTCAATTAGCATTAGGAACTAAACCATCGGCGCCCATAACTCAAAGGACGCGGCAAACGCAGATCTGAAACGCTCTGAAACGACGTCTCCGCACTTGAAACGCTGCCACATCCGGCCACGGCCGGCACCGCCCGGGTATACGTCTTATATCTCCGAGAGGCTCAGCCGTTCTCGCACTCATCGTTGCAGCCTCGATGATCGAGCATCGCACTTGTATATACATACCGGAAGTCAACCATGGCTAGCACTGACACCCAATCAGCCAGTAAGCCCGCTTCTGGGACGCCACTCGGAGCGCCTCAGCTGACAGCGCAGGCGCGGGGCAAATGGCCGCCAAGCCGGATCTCGTATTCCATCCCAGTTTCGCTACCGGGGCCCGGCGATATCATCTTGCAGGCGGATGACAAGCAGGCTCTATGCTTCTACTTCCGCCTGAGACAGCTTGGGGAGCTGTCGGGCTTCTTCGCCACCCTTCCCTCCCCTTTCGACGCCGACCTCGTTGACGGCGCTGCCCTCATTCCTCTCCTCAACGCCACCAGCCGCGGGCTTCACCTCTTCCTCTCTCACTAATCCAATCGGTCGAGTCGGTCGACCCCTATGTCATCAGTCCGTATGGGGATAAAGCGGCGGCCATCATCGAAGCTGCCCTCCTCGCTAAGGCATACGATACCCCCTTGGCTTTCCGGCTCCTAGCTGGAGGGATAGGCAAAGTAGGGAAGAAGGAGGCGGTGATGGAGTTTGCCATCTGGGCCATCGCCGGGTCAGATGTCATGGCAAAGGATGCCGCGGAGGCAACGCTCGGTCGGGACATCACCTACGGCGATCCGACCGTCATCGGCGCCATCAAGGAGCACACACCCGGTAGCTGGATGCAGCTGCAGGATCTACATATCCGCCATGCCAACGCAGTGAAGCGGTTCTTCAAATGGACCTACGCGAACCCAGACGAGGAGCAAGACCAGTGCGAGACATGTTATTATTTGAAGGCGGAAGTGATTCAAAGCGTTGAGCCATGATTCAAAGGGTGCGAGTCGCTGGAGGCGTTACAAGAGGTGCGGAAGGGTGATTTTGGGTTGATTTGCTGCGAGTGTAGGGAGACGGCGAAGAGGGCGTTCCGTCCTCGGATTGAGTTTGTCAAGGAGTTTAGCTCAGAGTATGACTTTGTCAACAGCGAGCAGAAGTATTACAAGGAGTCCCAGAAGTATTATATACAGAAAGATTCGTGGAATCATGGGTTCTGATCATCTTTTGTATATTGTAGCCATCATGCACACTGTTCGAGCGCAAGGAATCAGGTGACAGGGCGTAGAAATGATGCAGTAGGTCCCGGGGTGGTAATGTCATCCCGCTGTCTGAACGACACCGACTCACGTGGTTGGTCTGGCTGCTGCTGAGCGCAGCTGGCGTCGCCGAACTGCACACTTCAATCTCATGACCTGATTAGACTCGTCTTGCGGGAATCTCGGATTGACAGGCTTATCTGACCCAAATGGGGCACCTGCTGGCAGCATGGCCATTTTACGTAGCTTCGCATCGATTCCACCACTGGTCGCTTCAGTCTCCTCTCAGCTCGCGTCCAGGTCGTCTATGTCAGGTCATCTAGCATAGTCTACCACTCCTATACGTCCAGTGCATCGAGAGCCTCCTGTGCCGCCTCACGCTCCGCCTCGGCCTCATAACTATCATAGGGATCCCATCTGTTGAAGTGATCATCGTAGCACTGACGCTCGGATACGACATCTCCGTACCTTGAGCAGAATTCCCGCGCCCACCACACCCTGGCTGTGTAGATCCTGAATAGAGGGTCTCTACAGTCTGGGCAGGCTATGAGCGAATCCGCATTCCACACCGCCGCTATCGCGTCCACCGAATCGCAGCCAGCAAAGCGCTCCTTCATCGCGCGCAGAGCCTCCCCTTTGCAAGTGCTGCAGTCCACAAGCTCTTTCTCCCCCCACTTCGGCCAGTCGAAGAACCGCGCCACCGCCGTCGACCGCCGGAGATGTAGATCCTGCAACTGCAAACAGCTGGCGGGGATATGCTCCTTGAGCGCCTGGACCAGCACCGTGCCCGCCTTGGTGAGTTCCCCTCAAGCGTCGCCTCCGCCGCCTCCTTCTCCTTGATCCAAAGTCCGCTGATTGCCCAGACGGCAAAAGCTAGTATCGCCTTCCGCTTGTCGACCTTCTCCAGAGACGCGACGAGTAGACGGTAGATGACTGGGCATTCGTAGAGCTTGCCGAGCTTTGCAGCATCGAGGACAGCTAGAGAGGGAGTGGCGTCGAAGATGAGGTATGGGAAGGGAGCAGTGGTGGATTGGATGAGGGAGAGAAAGAGGGCAAGACCGTTGCTGGAGGCATCTTGGAGGGGTATGAGCGCGATGCCGTCCACAAGGTCCCCGGAGGAGGAGGGGGCAGGATAACCGCTGAAGAAGTCCGAGAGCTCCTCCAAGAGCCTACGTCGAAAGTAGAAGCAGAGCTTCACTTCGTCGTCCGCCTGTAGGATGATGTCCCGGGCACGCTTGATGGCAAAATTGGGGTGGAACTCCAGCTCCGGGGTGGACGCGGGTATTCCTGCACCTGCGCAATCAGCCTGACTATCTCCCAATGGCCAATAGATCGCGTCCGGTCGTTCCGCTGATGTTGCTGGCCATGATCGATGCGGTTTGATGCCGGCTATACGCCGATGCCCGGTCAAGAGCGAGAGGTATCGCGCTATCCGAACGCTGACGGTTGACCGTGGACGGGAGAGTCTCTCGCTGATGATGGAGCCTGGGCAAGAGTCGCCAGTATATGATAGATGTGTATGGGGAGGTATAGAGGTAAACGCAAAGCCTAAAGTGTGCACTCTCAAAGTGTGCCAAGGTGATGAGGCAACCGGCAAAAAGTATATCGGAAAGTGGGGGAAGTTCTCGTATCAATCGAACTTAGCTCTAAGACGGGTTTACATCTCCTCCAAGCGCCTGGACCGGACACTGGGCGATGGCTCCCCTGGCTTGGATCGCACAGATCACTGCCCAGACAGCTCCAGTAATGTCACCTCTTCCCTCTTCCTATCAAGGCGAAGTCACGTGATCTCCTGGCGCTCCGCCGAGCTTCGGGCGCGCCGCTTGAACGTCGCACTAGTGCTGCAATTCACATTCTTCTTCGCCATCACACATCTTGGAGCCATTGCCCAGCAGGGAGTGTCAATTGAGATGTCCAACAACAATCCCGAGGCTGCCGGTAAGCGCTACATCCTTGTCAGAAAGTCAAACTGGAACGCGCTGATATCACCCAGCCGAGGTCCCTCCACCACTCAAGTTCCATGATGATTTCAAGGTGTCAAAAAACCAGGCGACATCATCCTACAAGCGGATGACAAGCTCTGCTTCTATTTCCGACTCCCCCTCCTCGCCGAATTGTCAAACTTCTTTGGCACCCTCCCTCCCTCCTCATCCTCAGCGGATCTTGTCGATGGAACCGCCGTCCTCCCCCTCAATCGCGCCACGAGCGGCGGTCTCACGCTCTTCCTTTCCCTCGCCCAGTCAATCACAACCCTCCATTTCTTGAATCCCACCTACTACGACGACGCGTCCATCATTAACGCAGCCATCCTGGCCAAGCAATTTGACACACCAATAGTATACCGGCTCCTCTCTGATTACCTCCGCCCGGCGGGTCGGAGAGACAACTTCATGGTCTTCGCGGTATGGGCCATCAGCGGATCAGCGAGGCGGACCAAAGAGGCGGCGGAAGCCACGCTCGGAAGCGACTTGAGCAAGGCAGACCCTTGCATCCCCCAGGCCCTCGCCGGCGAGCGCAGTGGGGCTTGGACGAGCCTTCAGGACCTGCACATCCGCCACGTTATAGCCATGCGGCGGTTTCGGGAGTTCCCAGATTGGGGAAAGCGGGCCGGGATACGTGGGAGACATACGGAGCTTTGTCCTGCCTGCGGGATGGACAAGGAGGATCTACTAGAGGGTGTTGAGAAGCGCTACTCGGCGTGTCAGTCGGCGGAGGAGCTGGAAAAGGAATTATTGGCGGGCGATATGGGGGTGCAGTGCCGAGCTTGCCGGCCCGTGGCATTCAGGTACTTTTATCCCAGGGTGACATGGACCAGAGCCTTCAGCTCAAGGTACGAGTTCCGTGGCACGGAGCGCGAGTACTATGACCAGGCCCAGGAGGAAGACGAGCGTATCGATGCGGGGGAGTACGATGACTGCATTTAGGCAGGAAAGATAGCTATACCCCGGGAGCAGTGATGTATCCGATTGTCAAGGGAGGAAGTCCTGCGACCTAGCTCGACGTCGGTCCCTGCAGTACAGGCGCGACATCGCCCCCTCGTCTGTAGCGCAAGGACAAAGAGCCTCCCCATCTGAAACACGCACTGAAACTTGTACCCCGGGAGGCAAGCGGCAAACGTTCCGCGAACAATAAGCGACCGCGACAACTTGTATCCACCTCTCCTCATGCCTACTCTATATAACTGCATCCACTCCCCCCTTCGCCATGATCTGTCCCACAGACAAGTGTGATCAGCGACCAGACGAGAAGAGTGACAATGGCCAAGTACAGCAGCAAACCAGCCGGTACGTCTCATCCCATCTCCACATGGACTATCGCTGACGCCACCTAGCGCATGTAGTGGAGAATCAGTCCCCGCCTCCCCTCCAGCCCCAGCCTCAGCCCCAGTCCCTCCCTCCTCTCCGCTTCGCTCCCAGCTTCGACACCCGCCAGCCTGGGGACATCATCCTCCAAGCTAGCGATGCGGCCGCGGTAGCCTGCTACTTTCGCCTTTCCCTCCTCGCCAACATCTCCACCTTCTTCGCCGAGCTCCCCCCTCCCGGACCCAGCGACCTCTATGATGGGATCGCCATTCTCCGGCTCCACTCGACCTCGAGCATGGGACTCTTGCTTTTCCTCTCCCTCGTAAGGTCCACTACTACCCTCGAGGCCTACGCCTTTGACGATCCCCACGCTCCCCCCGCCATCGGCATCCAGTCTATCCTGGACGCGGCTGGGCTCGCCAGGAACTACGCCGCGCCGCTCGTCTTCAGGCTGCTCGTCTCGGGTCTGGACGGCCTCAGGGAGACGGAGCCCGCGCTGGAGTTTGCAATCTGGACGATTGGCGGGTCTGAGAAGCATACCAAGGAGGCCGCGGAAAGGACGATCAAGATCAAGTATGATCTGACCAAGGTCGACCCCGACATCGTCAAGGCAGTCAAGGCGTACGCGCCGGCGAGCTGGATGCAGATGCAGGATCTCCACCTCCGCGGGGCGAACGCGATGAGGAGGTGGTGGGATTGGGCGCCGGAAGAGGCGCCTACCGAGGTCGGGGACACTGCGTGCCCCACCTGCGCTCCAGAAGAGAGGGACCGCATCTCTAAAGGCCTGGTCGAGCTCTTTGCAGAGTGCGACTCGGTTGAAGCGGTGATGGCGGTATACGGAGGGGATCTGGGGTCTGACTGCAAATCTTGCGAAACAGCCAGGACCAGGGCGTACTATCCTCGGGTGCAGTGGCTCTGCGACTTTGCCACAAAGTATGACTTGAAGGGCGACGAGCTCGGTAATTATGTTGCGGATAGCTGGGTGATATGGGACAATGGGATGAACGACTCGTAGTTTGGAGTCTATGCAGCCATGTAGTGATCGCTGTACTTGCAGATACAATCCTATCATCCCATACAAAAGATGCAATACCTCGATTCCTCTATTATTGATCTTCCGCAGCTTGCTGAGCTCTCTTCTTCAACCTGTATCGTCAGCTCAAGTCTCCCTTCTCTGAGCTCGCACGCAGCTCAGCAGGGCACAAGACTCACGCAGCAGCCAAATCCAATTGCCCAGATAGCCCCGCCGGCTTCTGCACTGCTCCAACCTTGGCGGGACCTCCCGCCGGCGCCGGCCTGGCCGCACTGGGCACTGGCGGTCTACCGGGCATCGCGGGCTTCGCACCCGTCCCCGGCGCAGTCGGTGCTGCCGGCGCAGAAGGCGGAATAGGCGCGCCGAGACCCATTCCGGCGGGCTTGGCCCCAACGCTCGGTTTGGCCGGAATGGACGGCTTGGGTTTAGGGGCAGGCGGAGCCGCTTTGCCCGATGCGCCGATCATAGAGGTGGGACGAGAGGAGGCAGGGGAGGAGGTACCGCTAGCCGCGGCAGCGCGAGCGGCGGAGAATGCTGATGGGGCGGCAGAGGTACCGTTCGACGCGGGTGGAGGAGGTGGTCGACGAGCGGCGGGTGGGGGAGGTGGGGGAGCGGACTCGACCAATTTGAGACTAGGCGGATGTCAGCTGTGCTCATCTCGAAAATGAGTTCATCATGGAGTCAACTCACTAGTTTGACGGAGCCCAACCTTCCGAGCCATTCTTGGTAATCATCCACCATCCTGATCCGTCAGCTTTGGTCTGAAAATAACCAGCCACCTTGGCCTTGGCTGTACTCACCATTGTCGTCTTTTTGTTTTACCTCCACCAGTTCTCCCTTAACCAAATTCATCTCCCCCTCCTGTCCGGCGAACGCGTACAGAGCCTTGTACATCTCCTTTGCGGGCGCAGCGGGCTGAGAGGGTGGTGGCGGTGGCGGTGCAGGAGGCGCAGCGCGTGCTTTACCAGGTATAGACGGTGCCACACGAGCGGTCCCCGATGCTGCCGCCGCTGCTGCTACTGGTGCCGCGGGTGGTTTGAGCGCGGAAGCAGTAGTGCTTGTGCCATTTGCGACCGCCGGTGGAGCGGACGGACGGGACGCCCCGGGTAGTACGACGGCGGTAGGGCGGTTAGTTGCTCGGCCCTACAAGGTCAGCCATATCAAGGCAAACTTAGGTTTAGCAGCTTACGGCCATCCCTGCCGGAGCGGCCTTGGCCGCCTTCTTGACTTTTGGCTTCCTCGGTGGTTGAGCCGCAGATACTGATTGATCAGCTCCAGATTTACTCATCAGAGTCGCGAGCGCCGAGACGACTCACCACTACTTGGTGACTCTCCAGATCCGACGGTAATCGTAGAGCTCTTGTACTGTCCATCACCAGAAACAGCCTCATTCTTGACAGCCTTGATAGTTGCCTGCTTGTCTTTCTTCTTGGCATAGGTGATACTGCCAGATCAGCTATGCTCCCGAGCTATACGCAGCGGAGTCGGTAGCTGAGATCTATGACTCACGTCGGTCCAATGGCGACGGTGGTGCTTCCGCCCGTGATGGTCAGAATAGCACACATCATCTCCGTCTTGAGCGCGCAAGTAAAGATCGGGTCTCCTTCTTCGCATGGCGGGATGTTGAATGCCTAGATCTATCAGCATGACGCCCAGCCACCTCCGCCCCGTCTCGTTGGTGAGGTGGGGAGGGGAAGGAGGATGAGGTGATAAGGGAACATACCACAAAGTCATCCCTCAGATTCGTCATCGCAATAGTCCGAATCGACGCAATCGGGATCTTGCGATCGAGGGTCGTACTGACCTGCCCGTCTTTTTGGGTCGTGACGACAAAGTAGACCGCCTTGTCGCTCTTTGACCGTCAGCTCCCATATCAGACACAACATCGGTCCGTAGAAATCAACTCACGACAATGATAAATCTCGGCGACAATTTACTCGACCGCCCAAATTTGGTAACCAGCAATTCACCCCTACTTGAAAAGTCCACCCTCTCATTTCCTAGCTTATCAGCTCATATCTCCTCTCTTCCCCCTCTTTCAAAAGTCTTGGACGTACCCGAAATCCCCGCTGCATTCCTCAACAACCCCCCAGCCGGACTATTCCCCCCCACATCCAAATAATCGCCATAAAACTTGCGCATCCCCAACAGACTAAACCGCCTCCGCTCTTTCCGCCCCGCCAAGACCTCATGCCCATAGTCCCGCTTACGCGCATACACGAGCGTTTCTTTCTGTGAGCGCCAGAATCGCTGGATACGCGTGGCGGCCTCGTGTTTCCGTCGGACGTGGGCGCGCCAGGCGCGCTGAATACGAGAGGCCATGGTGTGCCAGTATCGGTCGCGCTCGCCTTCGAGGTAGAAGAGCTGTGGGTCAGCTTGGCCTCAAGGACAAGGACAGAGACAAGGACAGAGACAACGACAAGGTGCGAGGGACGGGAAGCCGAAGGAAATGACAAGACGTACAGTCTCCGGGTTCTTGATGAAGGCTTTGGTGACGCCCATCTGCCACTCGTCCTTGCTAATCTTGGCATCCGTCAAGATCCGCTCACATCCGCTCCGATCGTCCCCCTGCCAGATATAATCACCCGCATAGCTCGTCGACGGCGAAAGCAAGTAAAACCTACTTGTAAGCTTTGTCCACTATCTTGAATACCGCGTAGCTCACCTCTGAATCATCTTTGAGAATTCCGCCCTATACGCGAACCCCGCCCGTCTCACCCTAATATTCTCCTGCAACCCCAAATACTTGATCTGGTGCAGAATAGCCTTATCGTCATACTCGCTCGGACTGCGATTCTGATTCGGTTTGATCGTACGAATATAATGCGGCTGACACCGCATCAGATTCGTCACGAGGTCGTTTGCCGATTGTTTGATTTTATCACCAGCGGTAGGTGGACGTTTCTTGGAGGACTGGTCCACCTTGTCTGGGAAGAGAGACTGGAGGAAGGGGTCTTTGGATCCTTCGATAAGGTCCAGAATGTCCTTGACGAGCGTGTCCTTGTTTTTGTCGGTCATCCCGGGGATGTTGTACAGGACGTCGCCGGCATAGTGTTTGATGAGGAATTTGTTGCCCCGGGGTTCGAAGTTCGGGTTGGCGGACAGCATCTGGGAGCGCTGGATGAAGGAATTGTCGGCGGCTGAGGGATCGGCGTGCGCCGTCGCGGTAGCGTCGTTGAGGGTGGCAAAGATTCCGGCGGGGCGCTTGCCTTCGATCAATTCGCACACGACAGCATTGTCAAAGACTGCTTGTCAGCTGTGCACTGCACCAAGTCTGGCGCCAGACCTACACTTGATCGGCGTCCACTTGATCTGCTCATTCACATACTCCTCCTGCTCCGCCTTGAGCGTGAGCTCGATGAAGATTTGTTGGAGCTTTTCGTTGACGTAGTTGATACAGAGCTGCTCAAACGAGTTGTCCTGGAAGATCTCGAAGCCGCTACCTCTGTCAGCTTTGGATCGACCCGTGTAGACCTCATTTTAGCTTACTAGATATCAAGTACTCCAATAACATACTCCGTCGCTGCCTTGGGCGCCATCGAGACGTTCACCCTCGACACAATCCACTCGAACAAGTTATTGTACCTACAGCATCAGCTCAGACTTCTGCTTTGACAACACACAAGCTCGAAGAGCAGCACTCACAAAGCCTTGGCCAGCGCATCTCTCCCCGAATTCGCCTGCGCCACATTCTGCGGCACCTCATACACACTCCCCCTCCTTCCACCCCTCTGCGTCTCCATCGTCCGGTTCAACAACACCTTGCCCAGCACCCCACCTTCCACGCTCATAAGATACGCCGCAAAGTCCGTCACGCCCGTATCGCTAATCTTGGCATTCCCATCGTCTCCTTCCACAAAATCGACATTTCCGAGCCACAGGATCGTAGCGAGGACGCGAAAGATGGAGTTTTGCTCGTCGGCCGAGAGACCGATCACTTGCATGGCGCGCAGGGTCTCGTGGAAGTCGGACACGTCGTCGATGGATTTGACGCCGAGGCAGCCGGACCGGGAGGTGTAGGCGTAGGCGTCGGGACCTTGGAGACCAAAGGCCTCTGGGAAGTGAGCTATGCCCCCAAGAGGAAGATGCTGATGAGCTCACCCTTTTGCTCGGCGGAGGCGCCTTTGGTGAATTGGTAGAAGATATGAAAGTCGCGCTCGTCCCTAATCTGGCCGACGACTCGGTTCTGGCCATCAGCAGGCTCCCCCGACAACAAATAAGAAGACATGCCTTCTCCAAGAGGTAGTTTGTTATTTGCGCTCCGACAGGCTGACCCATGCCATTGAACATGATCTCGAGGTATTTACCCTACCCATCAGCCCTACCCTTCCCCTCTCCCTCTCCATCAAAACTCACATGCCGACTGGAATTATCATTCCTGAGCGTCTTGGCACACCCAAAACTCTCCAACAACGGGTTCGTCGCCAATACCATCTCCCTAATCCCCTCGATCCCCGATCCGCCCTGCGCCTCCTCCGCGGCCGACACAGCCGCAATGTACTGCATGATCCGTTTCGCAGCTTCCGTCTTGCCCGCGCCCGACTCGCCCGAGATGATGACGCATTGATTCTCCTTTTCATTGTTCATCTTGTAGTAGGCGGCTTCGGCGACTGCGAATACGTGCGGGGTCATCTCGAGCCGGTTCTTGCCGCGGTAGGAGGCGAGGGTGTCGGGGGTGTAGATCCCGAGATCCCGGAAGGGGTTGACGGAGATGAGGACATGGGCGATGTAGGTCTGAGCGGGGTGTCAGCCGGTCTCTACTGGGGCAAGAAAGGGCGAGGAGAATGGGGCATGACAAGGGATAGGAGGGGGAAAGGGGAAAGGGGAGGGGGAGAGGGAGGATGGATGGTCTGCCTGCAGCCAAAGGGGCCGATTGACTGCTCCATTCCGGAGCTGAGTGACCACATCACCTATGCTCCCATTTCCGTCCTGCTCTCCCCCCCCTCCTCCTCCCCCTCTTCCTCCTTCCTTGCCTCTCATCCCGCCCGCTGCAGCCCACCCACTCACATAAATCTCCTGATTATTAAACCTCTGCTTTATATTCTCATTGATCGCCTCATTCGTAATCGTGCTCAGCAGCGTCATATCCGGCACCCCTGCCGACTTCTTCTTCTTGAACCCTTCACTCCAGTCCGCTTTGGTCACTTTGGCTTTGCCTCCATCTCCTCCTCCGGAAGAGGCGGTGACGGAGGAGAGGAGACCGCCGAGTTTCTTGCCTGCTTTTTTGGAGGGCGCCTGGGTTGTTAGCTGGGTCTTTGATGAGGAGGGATGGGGGGGAGAGGGGAGAGAAGGGGACGAGGAGAGGTAAGAGAGCCGAGGGGGGAAGAGATAGCGAGGTTGGACGGACCATCTCGGCTGAGCGCTTGAGCTATCGCAGCTCTTCTAGGTCGAAATATATTAGAGGCGCTCTTGAGCGCAGCCGTGGGTCTTGTGCCTGTAGCTTATCGCTATATAGCGGTAATATATAACCAGTCTATATGATAGCTATAGGGAGAGAGATAGGATGACGTTCATCTTGAACGGGTGAGGCTCGGTGATCTCACAGCAACAACGGAATCAAATTACAGTCCACCTTTGATCACCACCCAAAGCACAAGGACAAGCATCACTCTCTATTGTCTCCCTACACTTACAACTATACACAATGGCCACACTGAGAATACCAAACCAGAAGACTGACTATGGGATACACGAGGTCAGCGAGTTGTAGCCAGACCAAGACGCAGCGGCGCCGAGCGACGAGCTGACGAGAGTAGGTATGGGCCGACAACCTCGAAGTGGAGTTCGCAGCTATGCGGCAGACGATTGAGCAGTACCCGTATATATCGATGGTACGTCTTCCATCCTCTAATCTGCTGACAATCTCACATCTCCCTCAGAGTAAGTAGTAGGACTCAGCTGATGCTGTAGGACACCGAATTCCCCGGAATCGTCGCCCGCCCAATAGGTACCTTCAAAACAGGCTCCGACTACCACTATCAGACCATGCGGTGTAATGTGGATATGCTCAAGCCTATCCAGTTGGGTATTACGCTCTGCGATGAGGAAGGGAATTCGCCAGAGGTGTCGACGTGGCAGTTCAACTTTACGTTCGCATTGGGGTGAGTTGCGAGGCCACGGGCCTGAGAAGGCTGGGGAATACGGACGAGGTCGGAGCTATAGCTGACGTGGTCGTAGAGACGACATGTATGCGCCCGACTCGATCGAGCTCCTCAAGAACTCGGGGATAGATTTCAAGCGGAATGAAGACGAAGGGATTGATGTCGAGTATTTCGGGGAGCTGCTTATTACGAGCGGGCTGGTGTTGTTTGATAATGTCAAATGGGTGTCGTTTCACTCGTGAGTACTCTCCGTATCTGTACCTCATGCCCCTATCACTCCTTCCCTCCCTGTCTCATGGACCAAGTGCTGGTCCGCTGAAAGAATCCTTCTTCTCCTTCTCCTCCCCTTCCCTCCAACATCCTGACCTAAACGCATAGCTAACACCTCAGCGGCTACGACTTTGGCTACCTCCTCAAGATCCTCACATGCGAGCCCCTCCCACTGAACGAACAAGCCTTCTTTGACGCCCTCCTCATCTGGTTTCCGAACCTGTACGATATCAAGCATGTGGTCAGAAGCGTCAAGACGTTGAAGGGGGGGTTGCAGGAGATTGCCGAGTCGATAGGGGTGAGTTTGGGTTCTGGGTGTGGGTATGGGTCTGGATATGGGTCTGGATATGGGTCTGGATCGGGGTGGGGTTGGTTGGTGCTGGGGCAGAGGGAGGAGGTGGATGGGGTTGGAGCAGTGATGCTGAGACAGAGGAACCGGGGGAAATGGGGTCTGGAAGGGCTTTGGCGATTGCGGCCAAGCTGGCGGGGAAGGGAGGTGTATGGCGATCAGCGAGAAGCAGGAAACGGTGCTCCAGACAGGGCGCCAAGAGATGGCGGTCCCAAGCAGGCGGGCGATGGAAATATGGGGGAGTCCGAGGCGTCCCCTCCCGAGCGATCTTCCACCTCTCATAAACCAGATCTTCCTCTCCTTTCCCCTCCTTTCCCCTCCTTCTCCCAGCCCCAGCCTGATCGAGCTCCTAGCTGACTCTCCAGGTCCAACGGATAGGTCCTCAACATCAAGCAGGCTCCGACTCGCTTCTCACCGCCGCCGTCTTCTTTCGGATCCGGACGACGTACTTTAATGGGGTGCTGGATGATGAGTACTACAAGTGAGTCTATGTTCTTCCCGCTCTTCCTCCATCTTCCTCAATCTTCCTCTCCCTCCTCTCCTCTCCTCTCCTCTCCTCTGCTCGTCTTATCCCGTTCATCATTCTCCTCCCTCTGCCGCTATCTGTCAATGACGCTTGGGCTGACAGCTGATGTATAGAAACTACATCTACGGCTTCTCCTGCGGCAAGCACGGAAAAGCGACACCACCCGGTAGTCTCCTCGATGCCAAGCCATACTAGTCCTTGTCGACGGGGGTAGCGACACCTCATCACCCGCTTTATCATCAACATCCAAAGCACTGAACCCGACCATCCAAAGCGACCGAACAAGGCGACAGCTCGTCTTCTGTATATAGCAAGTTGTATAGTACCATATGTAGACGAAGTGGGGTGACGCGACGCAGGAGGAGGCAAGGGATATCATAGTGATATGTATGTCTTATCGCCGGCATACAAAATAATCAATCTGGTGACACCCACAAAGTCACGCGGCGAGTTGAGGATGGCAGGTCGGCTCGCGCGGGTCGATGTGTCCTGTCTCCTTAAGTCTGACTGCCCGATTCTCTCTGGTAGTCACGTCGAACGCCTCAAGGCTGCCTCATGCAGTTACCAGTCACCCAGAGTCTTCCTCAGTCATCCATCTACAGATCAGATCCATCACTCTCACATGCCGTAAGGCGTATCCTCCGAGATCCGACCTTGTGCCAAATTCCGAAAGGCCCAAGCGCCATCCCCCTATTCTCTTCTTTTCTCATCCATCAATAGCTTCCCTCTCCCAATCTCGACACGATCTGCACAGCATCCACGCATCTCTACGCTTTGTGGTGTTCGGTGTGGACGCTTCGAGCAAGGCGTGACTGATTTCTGCAATCACGATGGGGATGAAACGCGTCGCCTGAGCCTCGTCCGGGGAGGTCGGAGGTCGGGGATCGAACCTACTGATGGAGCTTATCTGGCTTTGACGCTTGGATCCACACATCCTTTGGCTCTTGGTGCTCGTTTCAGCTCAGAGCACCCTCAATGCACCCTCGATGGTATGTGCATCGAGTCTATTCGGGGGGTATGATCGGTTTGTTGTTCGGATCGCAACGTCTTCCTAATGAACCATCCTTTGGCTATAAGAAGCTTTTCACCACTCATATCGATTCACTTTGATAGCTGACCCAACCTCCTTTCTTCATCTCCTATCGATATGGCGCACCGCGAGCCCCAACCCACCGCCGGCGCTGGCTCGGTACCTATGGCGACATCCACCAGCACCAGCAGCAGCACCAGCACCAGCACAAGCTCCGCCGACCAACCCGCGGCCGCTCGGGCTCGACACACCCCTCAAACCCAATCATCATCCCAAGCACCCGTATCTATCCTAACCAACGCCTACTCCTCCCCTCACCTCCACCTCCTCTCCGTGCCCGAAAAGACCCACCTCCATCCTCTCTCCGACCCCGGCCTCGACTCCCCGCGCGATATCAAGGGCTCCCGCAAAAGGCGTCCGAGCGCCGTATGGACCCTCCCTGCGCCCCTCCTCGCGCGCCTGAGGGCAGAGGACGAGCGGCGGCGGATCTGGGTGGGGCTGCTCTTGCTTTTGGGGGCAGGGGCGGTGCTCCTCATCTGGGCATTGCGGACCGCGGGCGTGCCTGTAGGGGAGGGCTGGGGGCTGGTGGATGATGTAAGCGGGCTGAGGGGTGATAAGAGCGTCCAGTTGGGGCACTTTGATATTGCGCTGGAGAGGGGCGGGAAGGGGCCGAGTGGAAAGGGAAAGGGAAAGGCGCAAGGGGTGGCGAAGGGGAGCAAGGCAAACAACAAGAAGAAGATGAAGTGGGATCAACCGAAATCAAAGTCGAATGACGGACTACTCCGGTTCAACCCTACCGACCTCGTCGACTCCAAGGCGCCTCATCCTATTACAACATTGATTGAGGAGGCGCAAACGGCGTGGAAGGAGAAGAATGCGAGGCAGAGTAAGACGCTCAAGGAGGCGACGGGAGAGTATAGGCGGCGGTATGCACGGGCGCCGCCCAAGGGGTTTGAGAAGTGGTGGAGATATGTCAAGTGAGTATAGGTTCCGGTCAGGCATAATTCGACCCTTCTTGGGGGGAATCAGGCTATCCCCAGAGATGAACACTGGTTCTTGCATCCCCCTTGCTTCAGCTGATCTCCAGAACCCACAACGTCCCCCTTCCAGACGAATACGATCAAATATCCGCCGACATCCACTCCTTCCACCCACACCGCCCCGCCGTCATCTCTACCAAACAAGCCCGCGCCGCTGCCCTCCCGGACACGTACGTGATCCGGAACACCGCTGGCCAGCTGAGCGTCACCAAGAACTATGACGCGCAGCGGCATCCCGGCGGGGACCAGCGAGTTGCCGCGCAGCTGGATATGGTGAAAGATGTGGCGGGGGATATACCTGATTTCGAGGCGGTGTGGAGTGTGCATGATACAGGGAGGGGGTTTGTGAGTTGGAGTCAGCGGGGGGAGTTGGAACGTGCCAGAGAAGAGGGGAGCTGTGAGTATACATACCTTCTGCATCTGTTCAAGGTGGTACCGATATTGTAAATAGACTGAGCTGACCCTGTAGTCCTGGACGAAGAGGAAAACGACGAGCAATACGGCTGGTCCGCCCTCTGTCCATTCTCTACCGACTTCGCCTCTGCCCTCTACACCGACCCTTCTCCACCCAACCCGGCCACTTCCAAATCACTCATCTCCTCCCACCCCCTCTCCTACTCTATCTGCGCCCACCCCTCCCTCGTCCCTATCCACGGCGCCACCGCCGGCCCGTACCGCTCGCCCATCACCTCCGGGCACCTCCCGCTCTTCTCCTACTCGCGCCATGCGCTCCAGAGCGATATCCTCGGGATCCCCTATTCACACCTCGTCAAAATACCCCCAACGCCTTGGGAGGACAAGACGGAGGACAGATTATTGTGGCGAGGAGGGTTGACGGGGGCGCATTATGATGATAAGGTGGAATGGAGGAAGGGACAGCGATTCCGGTTATTGGATCTACACAAAGGCGGTCCGACTTCTGTCCTCACGCCTACCGGTAGCGGCGCACCGGTCCAGCTTACCGAAACGACCTACTCGGCCGCCGCCGCGCACTATCTCGACGTCGGCGCCACAGGTAAACCCATCCAGTGCGACCCATCCACCTGCTCGCTCATCGCGAAAGAATACACCTTTCTTCCGCGCATGGAGCACAAGGAGGCGGCGGCGTACAAGTATGTGTTGGATGTGGACGGGAATGCGTGGAGCGCGCGGTTCAGGGGACTGTTGAGTACGGGGACGGTCGTTCTCAAGAGTACGATTATGCCCGAGTGGTGGACGGACCGAGCGCAGGCGTGGGTGCATTATGTGCCGATCAAGGTGGATTATGGGGATTTGATGGATGTGATGGCGTATGTGAGTCTGGCTTGGGCTCTTGTGCTCGACGATCAATCAGTTATCCTTTATGTGATCAAGCTGATGACCCAGTTCACAGGCGACCTCACACCCTCCAAAGCCAACGGAAACGATACAGCCGGCCGCCTCATCGCTGAAGCAGGCCAAGAATGGGCGGCCACGCACTGGCGACAAGAAGACATGACGGCGTATACCTACAGACTGTATCTTGAGTGGGCGAGGGTATGGTCGGGCGGGGATAGGATGGGCGGGTATGTCTATGATGAGAAGGATGAGGTCTAGGCGGGTCGGGGCTCAAGAAGGCGTCTAGCCAGGCCAGCAGATATCGATGCTGTGCGCCTGGGGAAGGGAATGTCCGGAAGGTGTCAGATTACAGAAGGAGCGGATCAATTGGGTTCACGGTATTGTTCATATAGAGACGATGATTCTTCACTACCCCGTTCAGTGCTTCACTTTCACTAGCTGCTGCTGTTGACTCCACGCCGACGCGACCCCACTCCCCCACGTCAGACAGATCTCCCTTCGGTGCGGTGCAGAAGTGCAGATCCCGGTCGATGCCGTAATTCCCGAAACGTGACTGGAACGTGTGACACATGCCCCAGATCCCAAGCTTAACTCGACCTAATCTTACCCACCTTCACCTTCGACCTGCTCCTTTCCACTCGCGGTTCATATTGATAGCCGGACGGAGCAGCTCACATCGATGGCTGGACAGACACTGAGTCCGACGTGTTCGCAGCCAGAGAACAGCGGCTTCGGGATAGGTCGGGAGAGGCGAGAGAGCAAAGAGATTGTGGACCGCCGCGTGATGGCCTGGACCTTTGACTGATCGCCGCATCACCACATCGCTTTCGGGAGCTCGCTCCCCCTCTCTTCTCCTCCACCTCCCGGCTTATTATGCTTCATGCGCACGTCCTCAACCCCATGCGATCTGTGCTATTTATTGACCGTTTCGGATATCGTTTCAGATTTGGGATCTGCTCAGCTGTGTCCGGGCGCGAACTGTCCGATCTGCCGAGAATCCTTCTATCTTTGGCTCTTGAGGACTCCGAGATCACGCACCGCCTCAGCCACAGTACGGGGCGTTCCAGCTCACATCTGCTCCTCACCCGACTGATATCGCCCGATACACTCATCAACAACGATCTCTTTTAGCCAAACACGCGTCCCCAAGATGTCCTCTCGTCCATCATCAGTCTCGCCGCCCTGTATGACCGCCCCGCTCCCCAGTACCAGCCGGTGTATCAGCACCAGTACGCTTCGCTCCCCTCTACTCGGCCACAATGCCACCGCTACCGGCAGCGGCACCGACGCGCCGCCGCGTGCCCGACACTGCACCCTTTCCCACCTCGATCCGCCCGTTACTATCCTCATCAACGGCCAAGACGGTGGTGGTTTGGCCAGCCCATGGCTTGGTAGCGAGAAGGGCACCTCACGCGCCTACGACAATGTCACCGATGATCTTGATCTCTACTACAATCTGGCGAGCGACAAGGAGTCTCGCGCCCGCAGGAGATGGCGAAACATCCGGGCAAGCTTTCACTCGGGATCGGCAGCTCAGCGCCGGAGAGTATGGGGTGTGCTACTGCTGGTGATGGGACTGGGGTTGGTGACAATCTCGCTGGGCGGGGGCATTGGGCGCGCCGGTATCAGGATGGGGGTTGGCGCAGGCTGGGGGCTGGTGGATGATGTGCATGGGTTACTGGGGGGGAAGGCGGTGCCCCTAGGTCATTGGGATGTCGCGCTGGGACTAGGCGGCGCAAAGGGCGCTGGAACTGAGGGAAAGGGGCCTGAGGATACTTCCAGGGTCGGGGAGAAGGGCAAGAAGAAGGGGAAGGCCAAGTGGGACAAAGCAAAGCCCAAGATCGACGACGGACTCCTCCACTTCAACCCGACCGACCTCGTCCGTTCCGACGCTCCACATCCTATCACTACCCTGATCGAGCAGGCGCAAGCGACGTGGGTGGAGAAGAATGCTCGGCAGAGCAAGACGCTCAAGGAGGCGGTGGGGGAGTATAAGAGGCGGTATAGGCGAGCACCACCTAAGGGGTTTGAAAAGTGGTGGAAATACGTCAAGTGGGTCCCAGCTCTTTTCCCATTCCCTTGCTTCTGTCCTTGTGCTACTTTCTTCCTCTTGCTCAGCTGACAGTCAGAGCACACAATGTACCCCTTCCCGACGAATACGACCAGATCGCCAACGACATTCACTCTTTCCACCCTCATCGTCCCCATGTCATCTCCGCCAAACACGCCGCAGCTGCCAAGCTACCCGACACGTATGTCCTGCGCAACAAAGGCGGAATCTTGTCGGTCGAGAGAAACTTTGAACTGGCCAAGCACAGCGGTGGAGAGCAGAGATTGCAGGACCACATGAAGATGGTCAAGGGGGTCGCGGGGGATATTGGGGATTTCGAGGCGGTGTGGAGTGTACATGATACGGGAAGGGGGTTTATGAGTTGGAGTCAGAGGAGTGATCTGCAGCGCGCGAGGGAGGGGAGACATTGTGAGTATATTCTCGAGTTGGGTTGATCTATCGGGAAGAAAAAAGGGCAGGAGGAGAGGAGAGACCGGTGGTGGTGTGAGGATGGTGTCGTGGGTGGGCGATCGCTGAGAGTTGAGCGGAGGAGCAGCTGGCTATTAGTCCCACAAACTGATAGACTGCCCTGTGATGAGATATAGCTGACCCGCAGTCCTGGACGAGGAGGAGAATGACGAGCAAACCGGCTGGTCCGCACTCTGCCCCTTCTCCCCTGACTTTGCCTCGGCACTCTACTCCACCCCCTCCACAGCCGATCTATCGCTCGACAAATCATTCATCACCTCCCACCCCCTCTCCTACTCCATCTGCAATCACCTTTCCCTCATCCCTATACACGGATCCACTGCCGGACCTTATCGCTCGCCCAAAACGACTGGCCATCTCCCCATGTTCTCGTACTCGCGCCACGCGCTCCAGAGCGATATCCTCGGCATCCCCTATTCGCACACCATCAATCAGCCCCCGACGCCTTGGAGCAAGAAGACCGAGAGTCGTCTGCTGTGGCGCGGAAGTCTGACCGGAGCGCACTACGATGCGAAAGTGGACTGGCGGAGGAGTCAGCGGTTCCGTCTGCTGGATCTGCACAAGGCCGGTCCGACGTCGATTCTTACCCCTACGTCCGATGGGTCGCCCGATCTTACCGAGACGACCCACGCGCTCGCAGCGGCGCAGTATCTCGATGTCGGCGCGACGGGCAAGCCGATCCAGTGCGACGCACAGACCTGCGCCCTCATCGCCAAAGAGTACGCCTTTGTTCCTCGGATGACCCACCAGGCGTCGGCGGCTTACAAGTACGTGCTGGATGTGGATGGCAATGCGTGGAGTGCGCGGTTTAAGGGGCTGCTCAGCACGGGGAGTGTGGTGCTCAAGAGCACGATCATGCCGGAGTGGTGGAGCGACAGGGCGCAGGCGTGGGTACATTACGTACCGGTCAAGGTGGATTATGGGGATGTGCTGGACATCATGGCCTATGTGAGTTGGACTCTACGATCTATAGCGGCTGTGAGACGGCGACGACGAGGTCGAGGCCGAGGCGATGGCTGGGCTGGACCTTATGGACTCGGTGGGGGCGTGAAGGACTAACCGGTTGTGAGAGGAGGCAGCAGCTGACCCTCTAGTTCACCGGCGACCTCACCACGTCCAAAGCGAACGGAAACGACACAGCCGGCCGCGCCATAGCCGAAGCAGGCCAGAAGTGGGCTGCCACCCACTGGCGAGACGAGGACACAACCGCCTACACGTTCAGGCTGTATCTAGAGTGGGCGAGAGTGTGGTCTGGAGGAGATCGGCTGTCAGGGTATGTGTACGACGAGAAGGATGAGGTGTAGGGCTGGGCTGGGCTGGTCCCGTGCGTGCGAGGGCAGATCAGGGGTCTTGAGGGTGGTATCATTCGTTTAGGGGTCTGCTCGGCTGGGCAAGGTACATGTATCATTTGATGTCAGGCTCGTTCTCAGTACCCCCTCGATCAAGGCGGCGACCTGCGCCTTTTGATAAGCTTGTGTCGCAGCGGAAATCCGGCCCCATATCTGTCGGGCATGTCTCGCACTCAATATGCTCTGGTCCGCCTCGAACGCCCAGACCACGGACTCACGCGCCTTCATATGACCTCGTCTCCAGCAGTGTGGGCACGACATTGCCATGACTCGAGGTTGCGCTACCGCAATAGTGCAATACCTTGAAATCGCTTTGCTGTCGGCGTCCAAGGTACCATCATGATCCAGTTCATCGCATCCAGCTCCAGCTTGGCTCCAGCGAGCTCCAGCGGGCCAGCTGCCTCAAGCATGTGCCGTGCCTCGCCGTGTCTAACCGGGAACAAGATCCAGGGATCTGGGGCCGGTGAGGTATCTCGTAAGCTGACGTGATTACCAGTACGGAAGTGAACTGAAATTGCCAAAGAGGATCAAATTGGCGTCTGCAAGCTTGACTACCTCTCAAGGGACACTGCAGCTGTCTCAGCTGTCCACCATCTCGCAGGGGGAGTCGACGCGCAGGAACGGGAGCGTGATCGAGCGTGAGACAACATCACGCAATCATCGAGCCGAACCGAATAGTGATGTTCGTGCGACGCCCACAAACACATGCGCGCAGCAGCTCGCGCAACTGCCAGGCCGCAAACTTGCCCCTAGCGGACTTCCGGACCCTGCGCTGACCTCAGCCTACTGGTGCTGCTCCTCTCCTCCTTCATCACAACCTCAGGAGTCAGCGCCAGCTCCAACGGATATACGGCGCCGGTCCCTCTTCGGGATCGGGAAGTCGCACCTCCACTTAGAGGTATGCAGCTGCCAGTCTAAAACAAGAGGGAACTCTCCTCTCCCGCAGCTCATTGATATCTCTTTACACACTCACATCTCCTCACTCAGGACATATACACGGTCCCCCATCTTCTCTGCATGCCTCAGCGCTACCCGCCCACCAAGCCGATCCCGTCGAGTCCGCTTCGACAGTGCAGCTACACCAGCACGAGCATGAGCACGCAACGCACGCCCCTGCTTGTGTGCACGGGTACCGGTACGGACGCGTCCCCGCGCGCTCGCCTTGGACCTATATCGCCGCCGTCCACGCCCCTTGTCTCGCCCGTCCGCAGTCCGCGCAGCCCTCGCAGCCTGCGATACGTCGAGAAGACTCCTCTCTATGTGGTGGCTGAGGATGATGAGGACCTCGAGGACTGCCGGCCGTCCAAGGGTTGCCGGGTGGGCCGGGATTGGAGGGGAGCGATCAGAGTACTGGATGGGCGGAGAAAGTTGTGGGGGCCGGTCCTGCTAGTGCTGGTTCTGCTCACAGGGACGGCTACGCTGTTCTTGACGGGATTTACCGAGAGGGAGGCCTGGCGGGTGGTAAGCGATATCCCGCGGTCATTCTTCGGCAAGGCAGGACAGCTGGGGCCGTGGGACACCGCACTGGATCTCGGGGCTGGGATGATCTCTCAAAGCGGTGGAGGCGAGAGTGCGGGACCAAAGGCGGATGTCGGATCTTACGGACCCAAATCAACAACGGACGACGGGCTGCTCCATCGTCTTCCCTACAACCCTGATCTTGGCCCCGGCAGCTCTCCGCATCCCATCACATATCTCATCGACCAAGCGCAGGCGGCATGGGCAGAGAAGAATGCAAGGCAAAGCAGAACGCTGAGGGAGGCGGTAGAGGAGTATCGGAGGCGGTATGGACGGGCGCCTCCGGCGGGATTCGAGAAGTGGTGGAAATACGTGAAGTAAGTACAGCCTGCGATACTCCGCGCCTCCCAGGCTTGACTCGAGCTGATATTCAGGACGCACAATGTCCCCCTCCCAGACGAATACGACCAAATCTCCCATGACGTCCACTCATTCCACCCTCATCGTCCCCATGCCTTTTCAGCCAAGCAGGCCCAAGCAGTCGATCTTCCCAATACCTACATTCTCCGTAACACCGGCGGTAATCTCTCGGTATCCCACGACCTCAACGCCGATATATCACTCGCAGCAAGACGAAGGATACAAGCGCAGCTGGACGTAATCAAGGAGGTGGCTGGGGATATAGGCGACTTTGATGCTGTGTGGAGTCTGCAGGATACAGGACGGGCCTTTATGAGCTTGAGTCAGAGGAGGGCTTTGGATGTGGCTGGGGCAGGAGGGAATTGTGAGTTCAACGTTCACGCCTGAAGTTCTGATTCGCTTCGGCTTGTTTCGGGCGGCGGAAAAGTTCGGTTGTCCAGCATACTCGCTTCGATCCTTTGACCAGCTTCGCTGACTCCCAGTCATTGACGATGAAGTTGTCGAGGAGCAAAGAGGCTGGTCAGCCCTCTGTCCGCCCTCTACCGACTTTGCCGCCGGTTTCGCCGCCACCCGCTCCCCTCCCCCTTCCTCGCAAAAATCGTTCATCTCCTCCCACCTCCTCTCCTCCTCAATTTGCGACCAGCCCTCCCTCGTCCCCTTGCACAGCGCTACCGCTGGCGACCACCGCGCACCCGTCACCTCTGGCCATCTCTCCATCTTCTCGTCCTCTCGGCTCTCGGTCCAGAGCGATATCATTGCCGTCCCCTACTCGCCTAGCACTGCCCAGGCATCAACGCCATGGGAGAGCAAAACCGAAGACCGGCTCCTCTGGCGCGGCGAGCTCACCGGGCCAATAGCGGACGACACAGCCGACTGGCGGATGACTGAGCAGGCCCGCCTTTTGGATCTGCACAAGGCCGGTCCAACATCGGTCCTCGTCCCCACCTCTGGTGCTAGTCCAGAGCTCTCCGAGGCGACCTACGCCGATGCAGCCAAGCGGTACCTGGACGTCGGAGCGACTGGTCTGTCCGCGCAGTGCGACTCTCCCGCCTGCGCTGGTATCGCCAACGACTACACCTTCGTCCCGCGCATGAAGGACATCGACGCGGGACGATACAAGTACGCGCTCGACCTCGACGGGGACGCGGGATTCCGGGAGCTGCTGTCGACCGGGAGCGTAGTATTGAAGAGCACAATCATGGCGGAGTGGTGGTCCGACAGGGTGCAACCTTGGGTGCACTATGTCCCCGTGAAGGTGGATTACACGGATCTGATGGATGTGATGGCATATGTGAGTCTGGTACTGCTTGTCCTGTTACCTTCCGTTTGACCGGGTGGAGAGAAGGTGGAGCAGCATTCGCCGGTATCAGCAGCTACAAAGGAGAGAACGAAGCTGACCCAGCAGTTCACTGGCGATCTCACGCCCGCCAAAGCAAACGGAAACGACACCGCCGCTCGCACGATCGCCGAGGCAGGTCAGAACTGGGCGGCAACCCACTGGAGGGAGGAGGACATGACGGCGTATATGTTCAGGCTGTATCTCGAGTGGGCCAGGGTGTGGGGTAGTGAGGATAGGCTGAGCGGGTATACCTACGATGAGAAGGATGAGGTGGACACTGCCCAGATCTAGAAATTGAGGGTGGAGGAAATTTCTGGATTCGTTAGTTCTGTTCAGCTTTGCTCGGCTGGGCATGGGGTGTTGTAGGTTTATAGGTCGGTTGATAGGGTGAGCTGTAAGGGTGCCTAGAAATCGATCTCGAACTAGCTTGAGTAGTCGCTATGACATGGACATTGCCCACTTTTCCCGTATCCGTCTGATTTGGACTGGCCTGATAGGTAGGTAGCTGCCACACTGTACGCCCGTCCGAGGTGCAGTCCTTTACCAAAGGACGATTACGTCCCTCGACTTCCCGCTGCGTCTCGCAGTCTGTGAGTTCCTTTGTCCTCTTAGCCGCTTTGTCCCGAGCGGATCATCGTGGGGGACACATCTTCCTTCCCTACTTCAGTTGACAAAGATCAGCAGGATACTTCTAGTATCCCCATGTCAGCCCAAGCAGCCATCACGAGAACGCTGGAATGGGTCAAGTCGTCAGCTGAGGCAGCTCCCCCGGCTGGTCCATCAGTCGTGGATGGCTCGTAAGTCCCCGTCCTTTCCTCTCCGGCCAGCTGTTCACATAGCATGTACCGTCCACCCATCTGTCTTCCTCGCCGACCCGCAAATTCCTGTCAGCTGATACTCAGCGCGTCACCAAAGCCGTACACCCTCTCAGAGCAGTACACCCACCTCGTCAGCTCCGTGGACGAATTCCGTTCCGTAATTGCCGAACGGATGTGTCGCCTCGTACGTCCCGTTTCCTTTCTCGTACTGTTCAGTCTGCCCGCGTCCCTTCCCCGACGTGTTTGCTATCCGCAGATCGGCTGCTCCTCCTGTTCCTGCATTCTCCCCGCTCCATTCCGCTGACTGCCAGCAAAACACGCTTGCCAATCTCAACCCGAAAGATCGGCGTCAGGCGGTATGCGATATCGTGTACATGAAGGCGGCGTTAGAGAAGAAGACGCTGGATGAGGCGCAGCAGCTAGCAGATCAGGCGTGGATGGCGAACATGTAGTTTGGGCGTCATGACATAAAGTCGGCGCTAAGTCGGGCGTCAGGGCTGCGTGAGATGGTATGAGCGTCATTCCACCAGCTGCCAAGCCCTGGCGAAGCAGTGCAGACCAGCAGTGAGGCTGTGGCCTCAGAGGATCATCGATGTCATACAAGTTGGGTGCATATAAGTTCAGAACGCTCACTGCTTGGTCAACTGCATTCTCGATCCGTGATTCTTGGAAATCCTGACTCACGCTACCCCCAGTCCCCGGTCGCTTCCACTCATAGTTCCACCCCTTCCCTCTCGTCTCCGTCGGTACCCAGCTCTCCCTCGGCCACATCCCTTCCAGCCTCACCTCCAAAAATCTCGCCTCGCTCCCCTTCTTCCCCTTGATATCTTCTGGCGGACTAAAGCTTGCCCTCGCCATCGCCCTCTCAAAGACATGTCTTCCCACCCCTCCTTCCCCACTCGTGACCCTATCCAGCTCCTCGCACGCATCCACCATCGCCGCTAATTTCGCCTCTAATGCCGCAGCATGCTTCGCGCGCTTTTCTCGCTGGAAAAGCTTCCACGCGCGTTCTATTGTTTCATGCGCTTCCGAGTCTGCCACGACGGCTTCGACGCGCTCGACGTATTGTGGGTGGTATGCGCCTGTCGGTGAGGCAGAGGAGGGTTTGTGAGCGGTAGGGGGGTAGAGGGTCTGGCGGATAGTGTCTGTGCGGGAGTCGCTGGGGACTGCGAGGTGCGGGTTGGAGGACGGCTGAGAGGCGTGCCGTATGAGCAGGCGGGAAGTGGAAGCGAGTGTAGGGCGGGAGATCAGAGGCAGCATGGTGGGTACTGTAGATGTATGGTGTCTACAGCGTCAGAGTTGGGTGGACGTCGAGACCAGTCAAAAGTCATCGGGATTAGCCGGTATTAGCCGAAAGTGGCACTCTTGAGTTGTGGGTGACTACCCTGACGTCATGCCGGCCGCATTAACATTCGTCTCTCACTTCGATCGCCTCACTGCCCACTGTCATCTGTACATCCACCAAAGCCCTATACATTCATACCTATCTTCACCCCAGCAACATCAAGATGTCTTTCGCAGGTCTCCACGCTCACGTACGTCCAATTTTCAACGCGAGAAGCAGTCGTCTGGACGCTTTGTCGGGGATTATCGGGGGACGTCCCAAGGGGCCTTCAGGTCTTCCACCCGGCTATCTCTCGACTCGCCATATACTCACAACCTGTACTGACAGCTCAGAACTACTCCCTCTTCGCCATTCCGGCTGGATGGGTCCTCGCGTGAGTCATCCCACCCAACATGCGGCCGTCGTGTCCGAATAGAACAACAAATTATTGTCATTCCCCCTCCCTCGCCCCGCGTCTCTGCCCTTCTGCTTTGACCTCCAACAATCTCTTGCGCAGTATTGACATCGCGTCAGCATGGTCCCTCACTTCTACGCCATTGGCTTGTACAACAAGGGTGAGTCATTCGACGTCGCGGTTCTTGGACCGCCACTGTGCTAACTATTGGCAGAGAGGGCTCCCGGAACAGCTGAGTGGGACAACATGGTGAGTTTCATACATCCGACAGGCGTCCCCTTGTTCGAAACTGACGTGATCAGCTCCCTTACGCGAACCGCAGCGAGGGTCTCAAGAACGCCAAGATCAGCCCGTACATGGCCCAGAGGTTCCTCCGTGCCGAGGCTGCCAACGACAACTCGCACACCATCCTCCCTTACTTTGCCGCTGCCGTCGTGAGTAATTTTCCTTGTGCCTGAATTATCCAAGCCGGAGAGGAGGACAAATCTCACAGCTTTGGATATACACACGGTCTGTCTGCTCAAGCTAACCTTCAGCTCGCCGGCAACTACGCCCGCCTGACCCCCCGTTTCCTCAACAACACGGTCCTCTTCTTCTTCGCCGCCCGAGGCGCATACATCTACTTCTACATCAACGGGACCACCCGTAAGCTCACTCCTTCAAGCATCCGAAAGAGGTATAGCTGACATTCTAGCGCTCATGTCCAAGCTTCGCTCGGTCTCGTACGTCGCTAGCATCGTTGCCTGCATGACCCTCTTCAGCCAGGCTGGCCGTGTCCTTTACTAGACGTCGTAGTTGTTCTTGGCGAGTGACAGGAGTAGGAAGAAGCGGTGATGCTTGATGTATGACAGCAGAAAGCAGAATGCATCGTCATCCGCGCTTCTGAGCTTGGTGTATTCCGGATGCGCACTGCTCTGCCCACTGGCACCATCACAACATATCTCGTATGCTGATTTTTTGACCAGATTAACTGACCATGTTTGAAGCGCGGTCTAGCAGCCAGATCGGTCTCAGTTTCCTAGGCTTTGACCTGCTACCGCTTGTATATGCTACAAATTCCCTATACTGTTATACACTGATATACAACGCTGATCCGCTCGAGATGTTCTGGAATACGATTGCCGGCGGTGACCTGCTCATGCTGGGTGATTACTGAAATCTGGCCGTCAGCTCATACTTGTCTTTTGCGATAATACTCGACGTACCAAAGAACGGGAAGTCCGACCAAGGGTTCGCTGCGTCCGCAGGCGCCGCATTCCCCTGCCCGCCCCCTAACGCCAACAACTCCCCAATGAAACCCTCCAGATCCACAATAGGCTGGTTCTGTCCTTGGCCCTGCTGTGACTGGTTCATCCGGTCGTTCGCAAAAAGGTCAAAATCCAACAGGTTATTGCTTGAGTCATATGGCTGATTGGGCAGATACGGGTTTGACATGGATGGCTGGCCGTGGCCTTGACCGTGACCGTTGGCGGGTCCGTTGCCATTGCCGTTTGCGAAGGGAGATGGGGAGGGTGCGCGAGTCTCGCATGGGAGGATTTTGGATTGTCGGGCGCGTTGGATGACATGCCGGAGTTTGTGGGCGAAGGAGACACCGGGGACTGAGATTAGCAATCAGACTGTCGAGGACGAGAGGGCCCTGCACTACGGAACAGGAGAGGGGAAACTTACATTGAGACAGGATATCAGCCACCGCCGTGAGATCCTTGGCTGTCCTCCGCAAATCGACATGTTCTGGGAAAAGACTAGCCAGCCTGACGTATATCCGGAATACGCTAGCCAGGGCGATATGCGAAAAGTGATTCGCGTAGAACAGCTTGTCTTTCTATGACCAGTCAGCTAAGCCTCGGCGCCGCAGCTTGGGTATCGGTAGACGCACCTCGGACATGATGATTCGCTGCGTGATCTGACGAGCGTGATCGAGTGAATTCAGAAGCCATCTCTGCCGTTCTACGGAGAACGTGTCGAGGTCATCCCGCGTTCGGACTGAACGAAGGAGGAAAGAATTGGCTTGCACACTGAAATCAGCAAGATTAGGCGAGGGCAGCTTACGATCCGAAAGCCATCTGATTGTGCACTATATATAAGCAATGGCAACGGCACGCATCAAGCAGACTTACAGTCTGAAAACAAGAGGTGCGTGGACGGGACGCCACGATGTTCTGTCAGAGTCAGCTAATAGCGTTTGAATAGCAAGATGGCTAATTACCATAGTAAGTCTGCCACCGGACAAGCCATGACTGAGCTTGTTCGTTATATACTCGTAGGACAATATCGAGCTGGTCCTGATCTCCAGACAGGACATTACGATGTAACGGCACTGACTTCAGCCGAGCGTAGACCTGGACTCACGCTGAGAAACGAGATGTTCGCAAGATGCGACGATCCGACTATCGGTAGATATCGTATACGGCTGATGCAGCAATGCGTGCATGTGCGGCACGATGTCCGCTTCGCTGACACAGAGCGGGCGACTGTGATTGATCGACGTTCTGCTTATCAGCCAAAGGTCTATGGAGGAAAACTTACTCTATACTCTGCTTGGCAGTGATGAGCCAGAGTCGTGATCCGACGACCAGGGATCGATGGGCTTTGGCGTCGTCCGAGGAGAACTGGACATAGTCTAGCGGTTGCGTCATCTTGGCGAGTTGAGGCAGGCATCGATGTAGGTCCATATCGTATCTGGACTCAGTACAGCCCGCGACGGAGGACTCACGCAATGCTCAGCGCCATAAAGCCTGGCCGACCAGAGGTATCGCCCCAAGCTGATAAGATGACTGGGATCAGCATTTTGCGATCCTCTAGTGGGGCAAGAATCTCACTCATGGCTTGTAGTATTTCCACCGAGACTACGGGCGAGAAGAAGTATCCCCGACCTGGATTATGAGCCCTGCTACCACGTATCCAGACTTGATAACTTACCTATACTTTCAACGTGCTCTCTGAGCCTTCTTTGAGCATCACTCTGCAAGAACCCAGCGTCTTGCGTCTTTTTCGCAATGTAGATGATTGCAGAGATGCAGAAAGGCGATCTTTGGCGAAGACTATACTCAGCTTGGTCCGGATGCCAGCTCACCTGTACCACGTATCCACCGCCGGATCGAACACAGGCATGAACGCATGCGAGTTCTCAAAGAAGCTGCACATCAGCAATTCCCGTTTTTCCCCAGATATGGACTTACAGCTTGAAGAGCTGATGTCCCTCTGCCTCAGTACACAGCCCCGAGTCCACCGGATCCAGCGCCGCAGCCACCCTATTTGGCGAGAAGTCGTCTGACCTCCCTCGTTTCTGCCCAGCCCTATACACCCCAGCCGGGTCCGTCCCGTCATCCCCTGCCAAGCCCTCCGCCTGGAGTCGCGCCTTCTCCTCGAATCTGAGCATCGAGCGCATCGCAGAGTATCCGAGGGGCTCTGCGTCCCCTTCATCCCCTGCGTCAATCGGCGCGAGGTCGTGCGGGCTCCGCAGAGACGGTGGGCCCTGGACCTTGTAGTTGCCGCTGATTGGACGAGTATCGCTGCCATGGCTGAGGTGTCGGCCGGCAGGCACTGCAGTCGGATGCACATGACCATGAGGCATTGGGCCAGCCGCGCGCATAGGAAGGTCCCAAGGGGGTAGCGACTTGGAGCTGCTTGGTCCGCTAGATCCGCCTGGAGCGTTATGGGGCGGAAACATCGTCGCTGCGGTAGGAGAGATTGGGTGCCCAAAAGACCGCTGATGTACGGGATGGAATGGCTGAGAGGGACCAACCGCTCGAGGCGATATACTGGCTGGACCTGGTCTCAGCTCAGGGCAAGACTGCAAGCTCACCGATCACCTGTCTGGGAGGCTGTGCTGCCATCGAGGGGCCATCTAAGCCCAGACCAGCCGCTGGTCCACCCAGCGACTTCTGCAGGAGCGCCATGACGCTATCGAGGCTCGTTTGGACCTGCTGCATCTGCGTCTCGAGGCCGAGCACCTTGCTGGAGGGTCAGCGGAGCCGACATGGCACGTACGACTTGAGCGCTCTGCTTGCGCGGGGTTTCTTGGCGGGCCGGGAGTCCGTGGCGCCGCCTTCTGCGGGCCGCCCCTCTTGTGAGCCTTCGTCGTCACTCATCGCGAAGCTTGCGGCTAAGAAGTGTCGCTGCGAGAGTTGGAGGAGCACGGAGTAAGTATAGAAGGCAAGCCTGCTCTCTCCTGCTCGCCCGATACTCCATAGCCGATCGGCTATTCCCGGCTGGCTCAAGGAATGAGTCTTGCGAATTGCTTGTGGACACTAATCTCTGCCATATCCCTGGAGCCTAAAGGTGAACTTGGTGCCAGGCTAGCATAGGGCCACGAAGGACAGACTGTGTGTCTGAGATTCATGCCAAAATCTGATGCGTCTAGCCTCTTGGCACCTAGACTTGTTGACCAGAAGTGATACTCGCTGCAGCCTGACCTCGGTGCGAAGATTGAAGATGCATGCTTTTATTGTCCTCTACCACATAGATCTAGTTTACTCCTCCTAGTTCTGAAGCCAAACGCAGCTCTCTCCCTCGATCTCGGTGTCCGAAGTCCCGCCCGAACGAAGCAGGACCTTCCCCTTTGGCATCGGCACCGCCTTCTTGCCGCCGTTAAGCACCACCTCCCATCCGCCCGGACGCTTAAAGTGCAAGACCTCCTCGTTGCCCGTCTCGACCCACTCGAGCCTCTCTGCGGTCTGAAGCGTCTTCCGCAGATTGAGGGCCTTGCGGTAAAGGTTGAGCGTGCTGTCCGGGCGCTTGTCGAGCAGGTCGACCGAGTGCTCCTTCATCCATGAAGTCTGGGGGAGGTGGGGTTCTTTACCGGACCCGAAGCCGAAGTTGGGCGCCTCCGCCTCCCATGGAAGAGGGACACGGCAGCCGTCTCGCCCGATCTCGTGCACCTTGGCGTTCTTGGTGCGGAAGTAGGAGGGGTCTTGTCGTTGACTGTCGGAGATGTCGGTTGACTCGTACAGGCCAAGCTCCTCGCCCCTGTACGATCAGCATAGATTCGGCAAACCAGACAGTGAACAAGATTAACTCACTGGTAGATGTACGTCGACCCCGGAAGACCAAACAGCATCATGGTCGCCGCCCTCGCTCGCCTCAACCCCGACTCCTTGTCCAAACCCTCGAACCCATTCTTGAGCCACGCGACCGCCTCGATCCACATCTCCTTGTGGTTCTTCGAGACAAAGTTGGGCATCCCGTAACGCGAGGCGTGGCGAATGACCTGAACATTAGCTGAGATCATGGGGTCGAGAGCACTCGACTCACATCGTGGTTTGACAACACCCAGGTCTGGCCGGTCCCCTCTGCGGCAGACTCCAAGCTGAAAGAGATACACTCCTTGAATTCGGCGGCGCTGAAGTTGCAGGTCAACATGTCGAACGAGAAGGCCTGTCCGAGGCCGTCCGCAGCGGAGTAGAGGTGTTTCCGGTCCGGAGCGACCCAGCATTCAGCCACAGCACTGAACATTAGCTCGCGTCCGCACTACAAAGAGGGAAAGTACTCACGTCAAAGGGGGGTCGTACTCGTTGAATACCTTGCGCCACTCCCTATAGATCTCGTGCACCTCGTCCCGGTCATCTGTAGGGTGCTTGAGATCCGCATTCCCATTCTCCCCCTTCTTCTTGGACATGATGACCATTTGCTCCCAGTTGGGGAGGTCGCCGCTGAGGTCCTTGGTCAAGGCGTGGGCGACGTCGATACGGAAGCCGGCTACTCCCCGGTCGCCCCAGAAGCGGAGAGTCTTCTTGAAGTCCTCCTTGATCTCGTCCTTGTCCCAGTTGAGATCCGGCTGAGAAGAGTCGAACATGTGGTAGTAGAATTGACCGTCGTTCTGGCCCGAGGGTGACCAAGCGTTCCCGCCAAAGATGGACTGCCAGTCGGTAGGTGGTTGATCCTTGTTGGGGCCAAGGCCTAGAAGTGAGCTAGACCCACCGAGAAAGAGGGCGGCACTTACCGTCCCGGAAGATGTACCGGTCCCGCTCCATAGAACCAGGCTTGGACTGGATAGCCGCCCTGAACCACTCGTGGTCGTGACTGGTGTGGTTGGGGACGATATCGACGATGACCTCAATGTTCTCCTGCTTGAAAGCGGCCATCATGGTGTCGAACTCGGCCAGGGTACCGATACGCGGGTCGACGTCTCGGTAGTCGGCAACATCATCTGCTTGTCAGCATGCCTTCGAGCATCGTAGACGAGGAGTACTCACAGCCTCCATCGAGAAGTGGGGACGGGTAGAAGGGACTGAGCCATACAGCGTCAATCCCCAGAGCTGCGAGGTAGGGAACCTTGGCAGTAATCCCTTCCAAGTCTCCGATACCATCACCATTGGCGTCTGAGAAGGAGCGTGGGTAGATTTGATAGACGACGGCTTGTCTCCACCAGTTGGCGTCTGAGCGGTCAGCTCTGGATCAGGCGCTGGCTTCTAGGGCTACACTCACCGGAGCTGGTTTTGCTGATCATTGTGGATAGAGCTGCTGCTGAGGTATGTCGATGGGTATTTGGGTGGGAGCATGTGTCAGCGAGACCGATGGAGATGGTGCTGTTAAGACTTGTCAATGCATTTGGTCGAGCTCAGCTCTGTCTGCGACAGCTGGACAGAACGTTGCCTCCACTCGAGCAGCACTAGTGTCAATCATGCGGGACCGCACCGGACAGCGCCGAGGCGCCACAGCCTGCCCGACCGGGGTCACCAGCATGTTTCGAAGCGCACTTGGCGCAGAGACAATCCTTAGGACGGGTGTGCGAAGAACCCATGCCTGCCAGAGATAGCACTCGATCGGTCAAGAAGCCCCGCGATTTGGCAGGTTACGAGAGGGAAGCCTCGCGATTTGGGGGTCATGCCTCTAGCTCGAGCTCGATTGGCAATTGATACGCCGTTTGCGAGGCAGAGGCACGCGCATTAAGAGGCACCAGCGAACGCCAGCGAGAGTTTCCGGGGCTGTCCCTGTCGGTATAGTTACCCAAATAGGCAGTTCTGCCTGGGGTTGACGGCAGGAGATGACCTCAGCATTTGAGATGCGGCTATGATTAGGGGTCCCCGATGCCCCCGCGGCAGCTGCCAGGCACGAGATCTCCGCTTAACACAGCCGCGCGGATACTAAACCATGCTAATCATGAACCGCTCAGCAGCTGAATGCGACCCCGTGATCCAAACCTCCGTCGGACATCCCGCCTCCGCTTGGTCCACTTGGTAATCCCATTCACCGGCGCTAGCGCATGCGCGTTCCACGGGGCTCAGACTGTCAGTGATATGCCCCGCAAAAGGATCGCGGAGAGAGACCACAGGGGATGCATGTGACCCTTCGTGCCTAGAGTGTCGACGATCCCCGTCGATCCTCTAGATCCGCTTCTGTTCTCGGCACAGCGGCTCCTGCTCACAAGCTCACGGCCCCCGCACCAGTCCATATCCATCTACTCCCTCCCGTATATAGCTCGCCCACTCCACCCCACTTTTCCCGCATCTCCTTTCCCTCAAGCGCTAGACGCCAGACCTCACACACATCTACCCGCCAGCTCATCCACCCGTCAACCCACCATGTCCAACATTGAAGACGAGAAGAAGGGGGATGTCTACACCAGTGCCAACCACCTCGAATACGAGGAGAAGGCCCAGGGCGTCATCTCCGACAACTTCGGCCAGTACATCAACGATGCCGCCGACGCCTCATCTCAGCAAAAGGGTCAGACCATCCGGGAGGCCGTTAGTATGTACCCCATGGGTATCGTCTTCTCCCTGATCTTCTCGACTGCCATTATCATGGAGGTGAGTTCGGTGTCTGTCTGGGCCGAGGGACCTTGAAGCTGATCTGATAGGGGTACGATACTCTGCTTCTCGGTCAATTCTACGCCCAACCTGCGTTCGCGGCACGATTCGGTTTCTACGACGCTGCGTCCAGGTCTTACCAGATCCCGGCTCAGTGGCAGACTGCCTTGGGTGCTGGTGGTCAGGTCGGTCAGATCTTGGGTCTCCAGATTACTGGATGGGCATCTGACCGTGAGTCGATACCCTTACAACTGGTTTCCTTTCTGACTTTTCAGGCTTCGGTTACCGAAAGACCATGGCGGCTGCTTTGATCGCTATCACCGGTCTTCTCTTCCTGCAGTGTGAGTGCCTTGCATTCGCAAGTCTAGATCAGTGCTGATTTCTAGTCTTCGCTACTGGTCTGCCCATGTTGCTCATCGCCTACATCCTCCTTGGCTTCCCCTTCGGTACCTTCCAGACCATGACTGTCGCCTACGCTTCCGAGCTCATGCCCGTTGCCCTCCGACCGTGAGTAGTTTCGTCTTTCGTTGCGCGAGCTTGGCTGACTTGTCCAGCATCCTCACAACATACGTCAACCTCTGCTGGGTCATTGGGCAGATCATCGCTTCCGGTGTCAACCTCGCCTTCATCGGTGACGAGTCGGAGTGGGCTTACAAAAGTGCGTTTCATGCTACCTGCCCGAACGCAATACTGACACTTCAGTCCCCTTCGCCATTCAGTGGATCTGGCCCGTGCCCATCATGATCGGTATCTTCTTCGCGCCCGAGTCCCCTTGGTTCCTCGTTCGCAAGGGCAAGCTCGAAGACGCCGAACGCTGCATGCTGAAGATCACCTCCCGGGCTCACTACTCTGTCGAGGACGCTCGCAAGGCCGTTGCCATGATGGTGCACACGAATGAAATCGAGAAGGAGGTCATGACAGGCACTTCCTACCGCGACTGCTTCCGCGGCATCAACTTCCGCCGCACCGAGATCGCCTGCATCGTTTGGCTCATCCAGACCACCTGCGGTTCGCCTTTGATGGGTCAGGGTACCTACTTCTTGGTTCAGGCCGGTCTCTCTGCCAAGACTGTGAGTACCTGGCTGTCGTACTGTGCTAATTTTTAGGCTTCCACCCTCAACTTGTGCATGTTCGCCGTCGGTGCCTGCGGTACCATCGCGTCCTGGCCTTTGATGAAGGTTGCCGGTCGACGCACTCTCTATCTGTACGGACAAGTTGGTGAGTATCTCGGCTCTCTTTCCGAGATAGACTCTTGCTGATGACTAGCACTCTTTGCGCTCATGCTCCTCACCGGTATCCTCGGTAGCGTCAACCTCGCCGCTGGCACTCCTTCCGCTGGAACTTCTTACGCCGTGAGTACCAGTCTCTCCGCGCTTTGATCAAGCTGATCTTGTCAGATCGGTGCCTTCCTCATCCTGTTCACCGGTCTCTACGATCTTACCGTCGGTCCCGTTTGCTACTGCCTCGTCGCCGAGATCGGAAGCACCCGTCTGCGCGCCAAGACCGTCGTCCTCGCCCGCAACCTGTACAACCTCGGCGGTGTCGTCGTCAATGTCTTGAACCCCCAGATGCTCAGTGAGTCCGCACATCTTTTCTCCTCTGTCCCTCGCTGACAGATAGACCCTACCGCCTGGAACCTCGGCGCCCGCTCCGGATATCTCTGGGCTGCTTGCGGTCTCGTCGGTATCGTCTGGACCTTCTTCCGTCTCCCCGAGCCCAAGGGCCGCACTTTCGGTAAGTCACTCTGGAGTTTGTCGTGCTTGAGGGCTTGGACTGATTTCTTCAGGTGAGCTGGACATCCTGTTCGAGGAGCGCGTCCCCGCCCGACACTTCGCCCGCACCCAGGTCGACGAGTTTAAGGCGGCCGAGCGGAATGCTGCATCCGCCGCTCTCGGTGGCGGTGCCATGGTCCACTAGGCGACATCTCTTAAGGTACGAATGTAGCGGCGAGCAGGGATAGGAAGCAGGTTAGCTAGGATCAGACTAAAAAATACATAGGGCTGGATTGATAGTGAGACGTTATATTGTAGTGGTACGGATATGCAAAGTTTCGACATGCTAGTCGCGGATCGGACCTTCTGAGGCTGTGGTTGTATCTCGTATAAGCTACTGGTATCTGGCATCAAGATGGCGCTCTATCATCGTCAAGCTCACCCAATGTCAACCCTCGGGGTAGCCGGAGCCGGCGGCCAACTCCTCATTCCTCATCGGCGATCTATCGGCAATCTCCGGCGTGCGCAATATTCTCCGGTGCAAGCGAGATGCATATTGTCGAGCGGCCTTCCTCTGCGCTGACAAGACGCTATGGAACACCCTATAGGCTGTAAGGCGTATGATCCCATAGATAAGAGCACATGTCATCGAGGTCGAAACCCGCCGGCCGCTCATATAAGCGTCACTCGCGCCGTTCGCTCCCACCATCAGCTGATCCGTCCCAACCTGCCGAAGTCATCTAAGCAAAGCACTTATTTGCGAGTGTATCATATGTAGCTGTCGACTTCATCATCATCCGGTGCAGGTCGAAACTGCCGGAAAAGTAAGTCCTGGTAGCACTGCTCGGCTAGCGAACGGCCGGGGTATGCGAGCCATTGGCACCCCTGGCGGCCGGTATGAACACCATAAGCCTTCCCTTCCTCCCCAGCACAGATCATTTGACAAGTATCCCTCGGTGGACCAGCTTCTAATCAACTCCTCCTGAAATTATAGGTTTCAACGAAGGAGCCAAATGTAGGCCTCCCAGCGGAACCCTTCTCATCTCCAGGCTCATTGAGGACTAGCTGAGATCATGCGATGCCAGTCTCAGGCATGCCATGACACGTTCGTTTATATGAGTGCGAGAGATCCAGTCTGCTGACCAGTGCGCTCAGCTCTTCCCCACATTGCCCTGGCGGTGCCGCAGGGAAAAAGCTTTGGGCCTAGATCTCATTCTCTTCTAGGAAAGGGTCAGGTGAGGCAAAGTGGCCTCGACCCTTGTTCCCTGACGATGACACCGGACCTTGCGATGGCCCTACAGCGATGACGAGCATGAGCCACAGCACAAATTCAACAGTATGCAATTTCTCAAGCACTTCAACCCTGTTTACTCATGCTGATATCCCTCCTAAACCTCTCTTTGATTCCATCATTCTCCCTTGACTCTCCGCCCGTTGACCCCTTCAGAACGACACCAGAGACCCCCTCGGCTTCTTGAGCGAGTCTGCGATCCCCAAGAAAGTGGTCGCAAGTGAGACGGTATCGAGGGCAGTCGAGAAGCTGCAGCCGTCGCCGGGAGGAGCGAGAGGGTCACTGGAGATCAGCCGCGCTGTCCTTCACGGCCAAGAAAAGATCGAGAGGAAGTGCTCACCGAGGCACGCTCTGGTACACCTCCTTGCCGATATCGGACATTCGCTTGAGAGAGGTAGAAGCGCCGTCCGGACCAAAAGAAACCGAGTGGAAGTTGAGTGGTTTGCTAGCGACAGTCAGCTACCCGCCTGGCAAGGATTTGAAAGGAAGCTCACCCTTGCGCCACAGCCTGTCTGCAGACCGGGTAGATGTCCTGGTCTCGAATTGAGCACTCGCCATCGCTCAGGAAGATGATGACTGGAGTTCTCTCCGGCGCCCACTGTTTTGATCAGCTGGGCCCACTGTCGGAGGAGAAATATACGGAATACTGACATTTGTAAGCATGGTTGTCTGCGCCTGATCCAGAGCCGCAGCAAAATTCGTCCCACCGCCGGCTGAGACCCGGAGACAAGTGGAAAGAAGATCATCCGCGGAAGAAGTGTAGTCATTCTCGACGACGACGGTCGGCCTTTCATTGAAGAGGATGACTGAGTAGGCGTCTCGACGGGTGGCGCTGGGACCCGAAGAGGCGATCACGGCTTGGCGAGAGGACCAGAAACTGAGTATGTCAGCAAGCCTCAAGCCCAGCCATGGAAAGCGGACTGACCTGTAGCAGGCGGCAATAACGGCGCCGTATCTGTTGTTGCTAGAACGAGCGATAGCCTGGAAGCTTGGGGCATCACGCATCGGTCCGCGGTCCCTGCAGGTCATAGAGCCCGACCTGTAAGTCAGCTCATACCCCCTTGTGGAAGACGAAGAGACAAATCGGCATACCTGTCCAGGACAAAAATACTGGATAGTCAGCTTGAAGCCTCGCACAGGACGAAGAGTAGAATCAAACCTCACATATGAAAAGTCCTTTGCTGGAGGATTGGGTTCTTACAGGTGTACATATGACCATCACCAGAGATGTAGCCGCCGCCCGGTGGCGAGGCCGCGTTGTACGCTGGCGGGTGGAACATCTTGAGCGTGCAGTATGAGGGCTGAGCACGCGTGCCGTCGACCGAATTGTGTTCGTCGCCTGCAAAGTCAGCTCGGTACTTTGATAATGGTGGATGATAGTACTGACCTGGGCATTGGGCGTCGCAAAGTTCGAACTGCTTCTTGTCCGATTGGGAGTAGGGGTCCTGAACGATCAGCACCGACTCAGTGAAGTAGCTGCGGCGCCACTCGGTGCTCACCTTGAACGCAGCTCGCTGCCAGTGGATCTTGTGCGTGATGTAGTCTAGCAGATCAGCTGTCGTGACGCCCAAGCTCGGCGCACATACCCTTGGCAATATCCGGGTTGGGCTCGACACGCTTGTCGATATGTTCATGCTCCTCGTCAGGCACACAGGCGGCATGAGACCTGCACTTGTCGATGTGGGTGTGCTATGTCTTCAGCTCGATCTCGGCTGTAGAAGCATGGAGTCAACTCACCCTCGTCTGACCTTGACAGAACATGTTGCAAAGCATGGGAGCACCCTCCTCGCCTTGAACAAACTTCCGACCATTCATCTCCATCTCCTGACCTTCGGGGATGGACCAACGGGTAGAGGTCATCGATCCATGGCTCGTGTCATGCTCGGTCTGGGTGTGGCCTACTTGTCAGCTTGGTATCTCGAGAGACCGGTGAGGTGAGCTGACCGATGGGGAGATTGCAGTAGTACCTGATAGTCAGCTTGAACTCTCACAGCATGTCCAACCTGGATATGACTCACTTGCAGGATGGGCACCTCTGCTCGCAGTAGTGAAAGGAGTTCGTGTTGCTGTGGACATGCGGCCCTTTCTCGTCAGCTCTGCATTCAAGCAATAGAAACGAGTGGTGTAAGACTCGCCTGCGTGTGTGATTGCTCCAGCTGGGATCTTCTTTGCGCATTTCAGACGCTTCGCCACTTGAGTGTGTTTTGTATATTCGAAGCTCGAATGGACACCTGACGATCAGCATAGCCCAGACAAAAAACCTTGTGCGGCGGAGAAGACTGACCTTGAAACATGCTCTGGACCGAATGAGGCTCAGCAGCGATCTCGCAAATACCAGGCTGTTCGCATTCCTCATCGCAACCGTGCTCTGATCAGTCAGTAAAGGCGACACGGAGAACTTGATGGGATCAATCACCTTGTCTAGACCAGTCAGCTTGATCCCAATGCTTGGTTGGGTAACGTCAGAACTCACCCGCACAAATGAATGGCGCCGAAGATAGAGCCATGGAAATGGTCGTTTTCGGCGCAAAGTCGAGGGCATAGAGCGCAGGTCATCGGGCAAGCGTTGCGATCCTGGCATTCGTGACGAGCGTGTTTCTCGTCACTGCTCATCAGCTTGGCAAGCGAAAACAGGGGGCTGGAACTTACAAGCTGAGGATGCACCTGCCCTGGCACTTGTAACCTTGGTTGTCGTCAAAGTCGCAGGCATTGTTGCAAGAATGCGACTTGGCGGAGCACAGGTGGCCCTCGACGATGTGCTCGCTTGTCTTCGGTCATCAGCTTCTGTCCTGTACGGCCGTCTGAAGAGCTCACCTTGGTGCACCTGGACTTGCAGCTAGCCTCCATGTCGCATGCTGCGCCGCAGGTGTGCACGGTCGGGTCGCAGATATGCTTTCCATCGTGCATGGCGCTGACAATCAGCTCGCAGTTATGTGAAGTGGAAAGAGGGGCTCACCGAAGACTGCAAAGAGGCAAAGGCCGCACCTCCTCGTCCTCGTGATCTTCCCTATACTCGCACTTCTGATCGCATTGGTGGTTGGTATAGCAGTCATGCTCCTTAATCTCGTGATCGCGCAGCTGGGTGCAGATCAGGTTGCAGTTCTTGCAGGTCTGGGCGCAGAAGCGGTATTGCTTTCGGAGGTCTTCGACTGCCCGCTTGACTTCCGCTCGCCATTGGATGACATCGTTCGAGTCCGAGGGGAGGTTCTGGGTATTCTTGTCCGACCATTCGGTGACGGTGGCGATACGCCGCTCGAGCGCTACCGTGACCTCCGCCAAGAAGCTGTCCCGCCATGAGGGATCGGAGGTGGAGCGGGGCGAACTAAGGACGAACTTGCGGTACATCGCCTTGAAGCAGGCTGTGGCTGAGCCGTCCTTCGAGGAGAGTATCTCCAGCTGGTCGAAGATGTGCTCGCCTTCCGGGATGATAGCTGTGCCGCTCTCCGTGTCCTGTCAAGTCAGCTTTGGTACCAGGCAGGAAGGATGGATCAGACCCACCATGAGCGGTTCCTTCTCCGCTGGGTTGCTGACACCATGGGCAATGGCTACCGGTAGGATGTGACGGAGACGGTCGATCCGCTGCGCGATCATGCTCGAGTCGAGGGATGTCCAGTCTGACGCCTGTTGGTCAGTATGGGTGCAAGAGATAAGATGAAAACGTACCTTCAGCTTGGCCTCCAGCAGCTTGAGCGTCTCGAGGAAGTCGCCGGCGGAAGTCCAGGTTGGCTTGCTCTGGCTGAGGTTACCGATGATATGCTTCTCGAAATACGAGTCTGGGCTAGATCAGCGACGTATGGTCGAGCAAGCTGAGATCACTCACAGAACTTCGGATCCTGGATGACCGGCCATGGAACTGAACAATCAGAGAGGTCGGCACTCCAGCAAGAGAACGACTCACCGATCCGCATCTGGTTGCGGTGGAGCTTGCTGATGAAGTTGTCCTCGCCCTCCTCTTCCACCATGTCTTGGAACTTGGTGAAGAACCTGCGCAATTAGCGGCATTCATACTGGGTACGACCAGAAAGACGTACTCGAGCCAGGCGGCATCCACATCGCTGGCGATGACATCTTTGATGATCATACAGAGCTTCCCGTTGAAGAGCTTGGGGTTTGCAGCTGGATCGAAGACCGAGGCCGATTGCTGGTACGCCTTGAACATGGTCTTGAGCTCGCGCGAGACGTTCAGATGGTTCCGGAACTAATAGTTAGCTATGCCCTGTGTCGAAGGGAGAAGACGTACGAGAACCAAGTTGGACAGGGCCGCGTTGAACAGGACGAGGAGCATGTCTTCCTGTGCTGGTCACATCAGCCGATATTCGTTAGTCAAAGATCCAAAGCTGTAAACTGCTCACGGTGACGCTCGGGACTGTTGACACCCTCGAAGTCGAGTAGGACGTATATGCAGTCCTTGGTCGGTGCGACAGCCATCCAGACACCCTGACCGATCAGCTGATTATTTCCAGCCAAGGACAAAGCGATACGTACCTCGGTAGTACGGCCTGCAGCTCCGGCAAAGCTGGTGTTCGCGATATGGTTCAGCATGTAGGACTGCTTGCGTCAGCTTGGAGTGCAGTACGGGTGTAAAAGAGCTCACCTTGCCCACTGACTGGTTGCCGAGACTGCTGATGACGCGGACAGGCTGATTGGATCAGCTCAGCACGGTAGACTCCAGATGGCTAGAATGTCTTACTTTGCCGCGATAGTACTGCGCCAAGATAGCTTCGTACCAGCCGAGCGAGATGGACTTGGCGACCTTGCTGACGTCCGCGCCGACAAGACTTCGCTCCCATTGGATATCGTCCTTGCCTTGATTGAGCTGAGGGGTCAGCTCGCGCGCAAAACGTTCCGCTGGAATAGCTCACCGGTATGAAGCGCTTGTCCTTAGCAACCGCCAGGTGGAGCGGGATCAGGCAGCACATGTTCACCAGCCACTGTCCGAAGCGATAGCAGGACGCTGCGCCGTTCGGGTCGATATGGTCGTCGACTCGGAGGATCATGTCTTCGAGGATCCGCTTGGTAGGCTTTTTCGTACGCCGCTTGAAGTCCTGAAGGATCAGCTGATCCTGCACACTAGAGCGAGACTTACGGTGACCATCTTTTGCCATTGACCAGCAAAATCAGACTGCGAGATGGACCCAGGAGTGGGCTGGAGAAGGGTGAGCGACCGAGGCTGGCGGATCGAGAGGTCGAGATTGTCCCGGTCGATGGCCGCGACAATAGGGAAGCGAGTCCACATCTCCTCAAAGACACCGAGTAGCGGACTTTGGGTCGGACCGGCTGACGATTCCTTCTGCCTTTTGGTTGATGTTGGCCGGAGCTGAAGATCCGAATTCTCCTTGGTGAGGATGAGGCGAGACCAGCGGACGACTTCGGCATCGGCGTCGAGAAGAAGTAGGAGCATCCGGCTGGACGATCCTGGGGCGAAGACGGCTACATCGCTGGATGGAGAGAGGGGCAGGCCGAGGTCGTGGCCGTCTTGACGAGCCCCGAAGGACGAGGCCATATGACCGCGAAGGCGAGTCTGAACGGCGTCGTTGCTGGCCGAGAGAAATGCACCGCCGTCGGTCGTGGAGATCATGATGCTTGGGTCGAAGCTAGCGAGATCCAGCGAAGCCGGTCTGGGCATCAGCGCCGGCAGCAGGGGATGAAGAAGCAGACTCACCGGCATTGCTGGGAGATCGTGCTGTAGATTCTGACACGGTTGGTAGAGTCGACGAGTACGATATCTTGTTGCCCGGTGAGGAAGGCCGCCTGGATGAAGCGCGTACCTGGCTCATACCACTTTTTGAGATCGACCTCTCCTTCTCGCTCGCAGGATAAGCCGTCCTCGGAGATGCGGTAGCGGATGATGGAGAGCTATTGCGTCAGCTCCCGCGCAACCCCAAAAGAGCAGGATGACTCACGTCTTGACTGGAGACAACGGCGACTTCTCGTCGGCTGAGATCCACGGCGGTCAGGCAGTCGTCTCCGACTTTGGCATGCTCGAGCTGTCGAGCCACCTTGCGAGTGTCGGTGAGGAAGAAGCAGAGCTTTCGGCTGACGATCAGCAGTGCTCAAGCTGGGACTTACGTCCTGACTTACGTCCTGGTGTCGTCGGCAATCACGAGGTACTTGGTCTGCCGAGCATCCAGGTAGAATACAGACCTGCGAATCAGCTCGTCTCCAGCTTGAGCAGCTAGAAGACATACCGGACCGAGAAGTGCGGCGCAAGGCCGAATGTAACAGCATTGGTGACTGCCAAGTCAGCGAGTAATCGCGAGATCGAGGAGACTAGCTTACGCCTGAGCTCGAGCTGGGGGTTGTACAAGTCTTCGCCGGCAAGCTTTTGCTGCAGAGTCAGCCAGCCTTTCCCCAGGCGTCAAGGACCATACATACCAGCTGGACTTCGCTGACACCGACAGGCAGTATCTCAAACCAAATCTCGGGCGGCGAAACCGTAGTCTCATCGTATGAGACAATGTAGCCTGGAATCAGCACGGTAATGAGCGACATTGAAAAGCTCGCTTACTCTTCCAGCCAAACTTCTCCGGGACGAAAGCGCGGAGCACGACAGTCGACCTGAGTCGTCAGCCACTGCCACACTTGACATGAAGCGAAGTTACTCACCTGTTCGCATCTTTGACGTGAGAGGCACCAAGAAGGATGTTGACCCAGTCGACATACTCCTTGGCACACTTGACATTCTCATCCGCCTCGAGTTGATGCTTCTCCACTGCTGCCGCCTGCTTGACCTTGTCCATGCGCTTCTTGTGGACGTGATCGACGCATTTGGCAATCATGTCGTCTCGCCGCCGGATCATTGCTTCGCGTGCGAGCTGAAGAAGTCCGCTGGCAGATCCGTCCAGGTGGAAGGGGTATGAAGGGCGGTCGGTCAGGTACCGGATGAACTTGGCGTCGTCCTGATACTCCTGAGCAGCTCGAATCGCATCGAACGTGTCGGCGAGACCGAGCGAAGCGGGCAGAGATGCGATGATTCGCCACCACCCCTTCTTCTTCTTGTCCGAGGTGAGCTTGGCGGCTTCGCCAGTCTTCCCGTCAATGACTTCGGCGAGCTTGAGCAGGAGGGTTTGACGATCGGCCGACTTCATGTCGGGGTTCCGGTCGAGGATGTGCGCAGCTTCGAGGAAGGCGACCTTGCCGTTCTGCCAAGCTGATCCGGTGATCGGCTGCTGAAGGTCGTCCTTGACTTTGCTACTGTCGTGTAGCGTCGTGATGGCCTCCCACTGTGTTGCCGCCTGGGAGGCTACACTCGCATCTGAAAATCAGCGCATACTCACAACAAATCGCAGGGGACGACTCACTCGTTGGCGGGTCACCAGAGCGCTGAGGCAGTACGAGGTCCGCGGTGAAGTTCCTATAACGTCAGCTCGATCCCGGACCACTTCATGCTTTGATGACTCACGGGAAACGGGCAGCAATGAAGTTGACCACGAACGCCTCCGCAGCAGCCGTGTAGATCGGCTTGAGGCTGTCCACCTCCGTCCGGCGCGCTCCGAGATTGGTGGTATGGGCGGTCTCGACTCGACCCTTCGACGCGTCCATGATCTGCTTAAGGTGTGTTTCGGCGCCGGGGACCACGCCGAACCAGCCGCATTTGACCAGGGCGACGAGGTCGGCGAGCTTCATGTCCGAGGAGAGCTGGACGTCGGATGTCCTGATCATCAGCTACGCTCCTACTTCCCCATCACCGGGCTTATACTCACTCGATGACCCTCTGCATGACCACAGAGCTCCGGTACGCGCCTTTGTGAGAGATGGTCTCCTCTTTGCCCTTGCAGTACTTTGCGGTCATGACCCCGACTCCCTTCAGGCCGGTGACGAGCCTTGGGCGAAGGTCGGCGGCGATACCGGTCGGTACGGCAGTCTTGGACCGCGAGGTGAGGTTTACGTGCATCTGACGATCAGCTGATACTACCTTGCTGGGTATTAAGATCAGGACGTACCATGCGAGACTCTTCAGCAAGATGGATACCCTCCTCCTGATGACTGGTACGCTGGACCGAGAAGTCGAAGGCAGTCGCTGGCTCGTCGTCCGAGTCTTCGTCCTCGTGGTCGATGCGGAACTGGCTGAGATCGAGCTCGGATAGCTGAGCTTGGCTGACAAAGCAGTACAGCTGGTCAGACATCTGCGAGAGGTACCTGTGGTGTCAGCCGCGCTCGCAGCAGAGGAGATGATCTAGACCTACCGCATGAAGGTTACGCGGTTGCTGACGACATTCCGGATGGCGCTGCGGTCCCAGGTTGTCTGCTCCGGCCAGAAGAAGACGATGGAGCTGTTCCCGGGAAGAGCGACAAAGTAGAGACCGGACCGCATGTACGGCTTGGTGGCATCGCGCTCGTCCGCGTGGATGAGAACGTTGAGCCTGAACAGGTCAGCTGAACTTCTATCGTCGATGAGTGATGCTAGCAACTTACAGGCTGGCATCGACGACTCCAAGTTCCACCAGGTACTGCGCCAGCCTCTCCCTATCGCCAAAGACGCCTCGGATCGAGATGACCGCGCCGTCCAGCATGGTGAAGTTGATCCGGTCGATACTGCGAGCGGTACCGGGACAGGCATAATTGGAGACCCTGACAACTTCGTTTTGGTCGATCAAGATCTTCTCGACTGATGATCAGCTATGTTGTGTCACTCGAGAAGGAGATATTGAAGCTCACCTAGACCGCCCGTACCATGCTCGGGGTACAAGTCGAGAAGCCGGAAAGTGTTGTGCATCTGGCGCAGCAGGTCGTTGGCCGACGGATCGAACTCGCCAGTCGGCTCTGCAGGAGAGCTTGGCTTCGCCGAGGCGGATGAAGTGTCCGCTGTAGCTGTTGCAGGAGCGGCTGGCTGGGTGTGGAGAGGCGGAGCGTCCGCAGGGAGTTGAGGAAGCGATTGGGATGGCGGTGTGACCGTCTCGACAGCCTGGATGACGGGTACGACCTCGGGCGAGCGCGCGGTGAGCTCAGGAGTGATATCGACTGCCGGGACAGCAGGCGCCTTCAGGGTGTTTTGGTCCTGCGCGGCGTCGGCTGAGTTTTGACCGGTGGCTTCTTCAGCCAGGACGGCCTGCTCGACTGACGATCCGAGAGTGACCTCCGGGCTGGCTGCAGGAGCGCGCTGAGCGGGCGTAGTCTTGTCGGTCTCCGTAGAAGCGGTCGGAGCAACCGGCTCAGCAGCTTGGACGGGCTCCTCGGTCTTGGCGGGTCCGAGCAGCTCTTGTTGAAGTCCTGGCTATCAGCTCGATGCTCAAACACCTAAGACTGGACCTACGCAGCATCCACTCTGGCATACCAGGCGACGCGACCTCCTTGAGACCCTTCGGCTGCGCCTTGGCCGGCTGAGCCTGCTCTTGGCGACTCTGGGAGGTCGTCCCCTTGCCCTCGCCGGCGGCGGCCTTGGCGTACGAGAGCGGAGCGCGGTGCTGGGCCATACTTTGCTGGTACGCGTCCTCGGCGGGCTTGCGAGTGCTGTGTGATTCGTCCGAATCGTACGAGATATCGCTCATGTTGCTGTCGAGCTCAAAGTCGTCGCTTCCGGAGACGTGGCTGATGGCGTCGTCGTGAGCACCAGCTTGGGCCGAGCGCTTGTCCTTGCGGAGCAGGATACCGGTATTATTGAAGAAGTCGGATCGAGCCGCTTCCGACTGCGCTGGGCGGGACAGAGTGAAGCCGCCGAGCAGGGGACCACCGAATGTACCCGGGAGCGGACGAGACGGTGCCGGAAGAGCAGCGGGGCCGGGTGGACCGAGTGCCCAAGCTCCTTGGAGTCCTCGCACGTCCGACGTGTTCGGGTGCCAGTAGGAACTGGGGACTTGGGCGGAGCCGGAAGAGCCGTAGAGGGCACTGCGAGAGATCTGAGCAGCATCAGTCGGGAACTTATACAGTTTAACGACCAGGAACCACTGAGCAACGGTCAAAGAATGGCTCACCTCCTTGAGTCCTTCAGCCTCAGCCCGAGTGATATTGCCGAAAGACATCTGACCAGATCAGCGACTGAACCGCATGAGAAGCATCGCAAATAGCAGCACTCACGTCAGCCTCGGAGACCGGTCCAGCCGGAGTCGAAACAGCAGTCTTGATGGTCTCGTCGGACTGATACGTCAGTCCACATCCCAAGCGACAAGTACGGCTTATCAATTGCTCCCGATGTAGGCCAGCACAGGAGAGATGGAGAGCTCACTTGCTGGAGAACCTGTTCGTCCTCGTTGTTGACCTATAGCGTCAGCCATCAGGTTCGCGAGATCCGATCGCGAGCAAAGCGGGACGTAGCTCACCTTGGTGTGCTCGGCCTGGTCGTTGTCGACCTATGATATCGTCAGCCAGGCTCTCTGCCGCAGTCGACACGGCATGAGCGGGAGGGCAGGAATAGCTTACCTCAGTCATGTCCACAGTATTCTCGGTAGTGACCTGATAGCGTCAGCCAAAGTTCACAAAAGTCATCGAGATGAGATTGAGAGGAGCGGTACCTACCTTGTTCTCGTCCTCGCCCTTTTCCTTGTTCTCGTGGAAAGCCTATCACGTCAGCCATAGCGCCTATAGAGTTCGGCTTGATGACGCACGAGTCCTTCTTGCTCGGTATCGCCACCAGTCTATATCGTCAGCCGGATCTAACATGGCAGTTGAGGAGATCAAGGGGAAGACTTGCCTGACTCATGCCGTCCGTCTCGGTCGTCGAGGCCTATCGCGTCAGCCCATGACCTTACCTGAAGAGCAGGCTACACTTACATGAAACATGTCGAACTCATCTTCAATGGCGATAGAGCCGAAGCTGATGGATGACGCGACCCTCGGCAGGCCGGTGGGGTCGATACTGGGCGAGCCGCCGGGAGAAGTGTCGGGAGAGCTGTCCGGGTCTGGGACGCGCATGATGAGGAGCAGTTGCTGTATGAGCTTTGTCTTTGTATGTAGGTAGAGGTGGCTGAGGATGTTGAGGGTGGCTGATGGTAGGCGAGACGAGAATGATGGAGAGGGGGAAGTGTCGTGAAGGGGCATGTCTTATATAGGCCGTAGCTCAACCTTGCAAGGAGCACCCTCGAATCTGAGGCACGGCTAAATTCCACATCAGTGTGTGTGTGAGAAGACAAGCTTGATAGGCTTGATGGCGAGAGCGTGACTTGAACCTTGAACCTCGCGTGGATAACGATCGAACCAGGTGAACTTGTGGCTTTCAGAGTAGACATGAGCGATGTCAGGCAGTCAGATCTTCGCTGGGGTACATCCGCAGAGCTCAGCACGCCGTTATGAGCGCTTGTAGCCTCCTCGCAGCGTAGATTTGTCTGTAGAAGCTATATCAAGATGGAGGAGATAGCGTTGTTGTCGCCAAAGTTAGAGTTACTGGCTTGCTGGACCTCGTCCTCATCAGGCACGGATCTCTCCGTCACGTGACGCGGAGTATCCTCAATCTCCGGCTGTATGCCGTAACCCCCGTTCCTTGCCGAGGTTCCGCGCGTCATACCCTCGAGCTCCGGGGTTCTACGCCTGTATCTCTGCTCCTTACTTCCTCCTCTCATCGCAAACCTATCTCGACTTCACTCAGACGCTTACACTCACCTCTTCATACCCAGCTGATCAACATGGCAAACTACGCAAACTTCGCTTCCCATGTCGGGCTCCGCGTCAACTACAGCTTGTACGCTGTGCCCGTAGCATGGACCGTCGCGTAAGTTCCTCCTTCGACGCGGCTGCGGGAGAGCTTCTCCTGGAGTTGGAGCTGATAATTCCTCACTTGGGGAGCCATGTAGAGGAAGGGATCGCAGAGATCATTGTTCAACTACCTCGCGAATGAACTCAGATCACGTCGGGGCATCTGCTGATCCGCAGAATGGCACCCCTCTGGTGGGCTGTCGCCGCCGCCGGGTCCGTCAACCCCAACGCGTACGATCAATCTGTGCGTACCCTCACAATCCACGCTGAGAGCTGGGCTGACATCAAAGGAGCCAGCCGAGTCATGGGCCAGCCTCGAGAAGAGCGGCGCCAGCCCTCAGCTCGCTAAGCGCATCCGCCGCGCCGTAGCTGCCAACAACAACGGTCTCACGTACGTCTTTTCCTGCTAATGAGAGGTCCCTTCTGATGGACAGCAATCTCTCCATCTTCGCCTCGTGCTTGGTATGTCTATTTCCTTGCGGATCGAAAGGCGAGACGAAGCTGACATCAAGGTCGCCGCCAACTTCGCCAAGGTCCCCGTCCGATTCCTTCACATCTGCGCCGGCACCTACTTGACCTCTCGATCGCTCTACAACCTCGCCTACATGTTCATTGAGGACCGTAAGCTCCCATCCCCTCGACCACCCGTGAGTTACCGAGCTGACAATATAAGCCAAGGTCGCATACGCCCGCACTCTCTGCTTCTTCGGCGGTGTCGGTTCATGCTTCGCCCTGGTCATCAAGGCTGCCGAGCAGATCCGCAACTCGCCTTACTAAGCTTGACGCTATCTTTGAAGGAAGGCAGAGAGGAAGCGAATGCATGTATTGGTACAATGATGCTGAGAGTCTTCTTGGTTGAGAGGTCCACTGAAATGACTACGATGAACTCGAAACACCGTTCGGATGAGCTGGCGCCTCCTTCATGTTCCCATTGACTCCAACGACCTGTTCGCTGGTCTGCTCTCCTTGTCCTCCGTTGATCATCCCGTTCACGTGTCCGAGCGCATGAAGAGGTGTGTGTCGCCGGTCGGGTAATGGGATCTGAGGAAAGTCTGCCGATAGCGCATCTTGCAACTGGCTCCTGAAGCTCTATATTGTCAGCTTGATCTCATCGACAGTCGCGCAATGTCTAGCTCACCTCCAGCCCTAGCATTCTGCCTAGAGCATACTGATTCTCGCCAGTCGCGCGGGTCAGTGTGGTCTTGGTATACGAATGAGGATTGCTATAAGTATCGATCTTCCTGTCCAGTCAGCTATCTTCCTTCCACTGATTCAGTAGTAGTCAACATACTCTACCACCTGCCTAGGTACACCCTCCGTCATCCGCCCCGAGAGATCCGACAACACCTTCAACGACAAATTGATCTTTGCCCTATCTCATCAGCTCCATTCCGTCTGTCGTATCCCTTGGTCCTCCGCACACAGCATACGCACATATAAGCAGGAACAGCCCCCTCCATCCCCTGTCCCACGTCTCCCGCACAAATCTCCATCTCATACAGATCCTGACTGAGCCGCAAGAGATGCTGCTCCACTTCTTGCCGTATCGCGGCTTGTTCAGCCTCGGTATCTACGGGAGGCATGGCTGCGAGTTGGTCTGGTGTCGGCGTGGGCGCTGGGGAGGGAAAGTGCGGATTCAGGGACTGGGACATGGTCGGCGTTGTGGCCGCTGACTACATGTCCTGTGTACCTCCCTAGCTAGGCGATAAGAGAGAGGAAGAAGTACAAAGGCAGGAGAAGCTTTGCTTTGCATTGGCTTTGCTCGGTGGGTGGGGAGATGTCGTCATTTTGGCTGAAGGTTCCGGGGGCATTTCCTCCGGGTACTTCTTGCCTCTGATGCTGATAAAGACCATTCATCGATTGTCTTGCTTGACTATACACCAGTATGACCCAAACATCCACACCTAGCTACTCACGCTCAGACTCGCCCGATCTAGACCCCGACGATCCCACGGAGCTAGATACAGACCTCGCCGACCTCACGCTAAACGATGGCGACGACGATGGCGATGGCCCCGATCTCCCCTCTCCTGCTAAACGAGCGACCCCCGCAGCAGATGGAGCAGGGCTAGCAACGGAGGATGAGCGAGAGCTCGAGCGGTTCCGGAGTCAGTGGAGGAGGGATCTGCAGTCGAAGCAGAAAGACGGGGGCGAGGAGCGAGCACAGGTTCAGGGGCAGCTGCAGGGGAAAGGAAAGGGGAGGTGGGTCGAGCTGAGTAAGGCGGGTGCCGGTGGGGAGCAGAACATCCCTCGAGAATCGGGAAGCGTCAAGCCATCCCATCCTTCCGGGCCGGGAGCCGGAGAGACTACTCTCGCGGCGATAACGGTCGTCCGGTCGCCCAAGAAGGCGGTCAAGCAGGTCTCCATCGATCTAGACGAGGATTTCACGCCCGAATCGTCCATGGCGACCTCGATCTCGGGGTCTGCAGCGAAGAAACTGGCATTCCCGCCTACTCACCCAGTAACCGGTGATCGGAAGGAGCAGGCGGTGGCTCTCTATGCGAGGGCGGTGGAGCACGAGCAGGCGGGCAAGCTTAATGAGGCGTTGATGATGTATCGCAAGGCGTTCAAGCTCGAGGGTGAGCTCATCTCTGGTTATCGAGGTTGAGGTGCAGCGCTGACTGTCCAGACGACGTGGATAGGCTATACGCCCGCTCCGTCAATAACGCCACACAAGCTGCCGTCGCTGCTGCCGCCGCACAAATCGACGACACCCCCTCATCTACCGACATCGTCTCCTCTGCCGCGCCCGCAGAGGAGCCGTATTCATTTCAGCGCCATCTCCAACTTCAACCAGACTATGAAGCCTCCCTTCCCCTCGTCCCCACCCACCGGCCCAGCGCCGCCGCATCCGCTTCCGCATCAACCTCATCGCGCCAATCCCCACTCACCGCCCTCCTCTCTCGCCTCCCTGTACCCGCGGACCAGACCTCCTTCATCCCCGCGGAAGAACACCTTCCGCTCCCCCTCTCCAAGCTCCCCCTCGAGCTCCTCGACCCTATCCTCGGATACCTCGATATAGCCTCGATCGAGCGGTTCGCGCTCACCTGCTGGCGCGCGCGGTACGTCACGAGCCGGGCGCCCAAGTGGAAGCGCATTGTAGAGGGGATATATCGACCGCCGGGGGTGTTGCCGCAAGGCAAGACAGTGAAGGATCTGGCTGTGATGCGGAAGTATGCGGGAGAGTGGAGGACGGCGTTGATGGAAGAGGAGAGGGTGAGGATGGACGGGTGTTATATCAGCGTGTGCCATTATATGTCAGTGAAATGGGGACTGAGCAGTGGTCGGTTGGGCTGATGAAGCAGACGTCCAGGTGCAGGAGATCAGTGGGTTACGGTCACGCATATGAGTGAGCTCAGTCTCCGAGGCACCAGTCGCGCCGGCGCAGGACAGAGCTGATCGACCCAGTCACGTATCACCGCTTCCTCCGTTTCTACCCAGACGGCACTGTCATCTCTTTCCTCACTACAGATCAGTACGTATGACACCTGCAAGAGCTGGGCTCCGCTAACTCTTCAGCCCATCCGAAGTCGTCCCCCTCCTCCGACCCTCCATACGCGGCAAAGGCCTCCACTTCGGGTACTGGCGTCTCATACGCTCCGACTCGCCCGAGAACGCGCTAGGTGATTCCCCCTTAGCCTCGAAGACTACGGAAGCCGCAAGCGCATCGGCAGATGTCAACGAGAACGAGATTGACGGGCCGAGGTTGAGCTCGAGGGCCAAAGTGGATAAAGATGGGAAAAGGCGGGCGAGGATCGTCATTACGGATCTGATGGAGCCGGGGGCGGAGTCGCCGAAGTATGAGTTTGAGATGGAGTTGGCATTGAGGGAGACGGGGAGGGGGAGGTGAGTTCTCTTCTTGTCTTGGCCTAGTGTCATCTGAGGCAGATAAGGGAGTGGGTGGGATTGTGGTCGGGGACGATAGCAGAAGGCGGAGGATGGGGAAGCGGGGGAAGCGGGGTTCGTGCCGGTAGTACTGCGCGTGAACTTCAGGCTGATGTTATCAGATGGAACAAGCTTGATATTCTCAATTACCAATCTATCAATCTTGCGACTGGCGAGAGTCTGGGACTTTCGCTCAAGCATCAGAAACCGTTCTACTTTTCGAAGTGAGTTGTCTTCCGCCCAGCAGCGAGCTTGATCGCCACGCGCTCCCGAGCTGACTTCTCAGGGTGAAATCGTATCATCCGCATTTGTAGGGTGACATCGGCAAGCGCTGTTGGTCGAGTATGTAGCGATTAGTACGCATCTTTAACGCCGGTCTGGGTTATCCCTCATGCCCTCACCCTGCCTCTCGATCGCGAGCCGCTCTTCCGATATTGACTGGTTCGGCAGCGCCTATACATGGCTAGCCCTCTGATCCTGCAGCGCTAAATACTGATTCAAGCTAATGTAATCTGTCTACGAGTAAGCGCTAACGCTTCTGATGTCTATACGAGGAGTAAATACTCTCTTCCATCCACTCGGCATAAGGCTTGACGTACTCCCACTCCGTAGTATACTGTTGGAACCAAGCCATAAGGGGAATATAGAGATTGGAAACAGCACACATACAATGAGGACAATCCATCTCGTAGTTGTCATCCCACAGCGCCAAGATTTGCGGTATGGTTTCCGCCTTGCCGATCCGGTCATGCGCAGCTGCGGTGATCGCCTCCCCGTCCTTGTTGCACGAGATGCAGGGGTTCCCCGCCTCCAACTCTTTAAAGGCGAAGTGCTGCTTGAAGAAGGCCAGACCAACAGACCGACGGAGGTGTAGGTCTTGCAGCTGCGACCAGCTGGCTATAGCGTGTCGTTTGATGATCCTGACGATGTCCTGGTTGACGTGGGTGATTGGGATAGCGTCCGTACCATACGTGGCCTCAGCGGCTGACTGGATGCTTGGCTCGATGCCAGCAATAGCCCATATGGCGAATATGATGAAGGGCTCCTGAAAAGCCGAGGAGGTTCGCGTTTCCAGCAGGAGTCTCGACATCAGAGGGACATCGAAACGCCGACCGATGACCGCCGCCTCGCAAATTGCGATATCTCCATCACGGTGGCCGGGGTATGTGAATGGTGTGGGTTCTTCGATGGATTGGAGGGCAAGGAGGAAGACGCGAAGCCCGCGGGAAGGTGTGTCGAGCATGGGGATGAGGGCGAAGCCACCGACGATATCGCTTTCCGATGGAGGAGGGAGGTTGCGGAAGAAGGAGGAGAGGAATTGGAGGGTAGAGAGGGGGAAGAAGAAGCAGAGGGCACGCTCATCGTCAGCTTGGAGGATGATGTCGCCGGCCTTCTTGGTTTTGAAGTCGGGGTGGAAAGAGAGCTTGACGCCCTTCGAGTCGAAGAGCGGAGCAGCTGAAATGTCAGCTGATGGCTAGCTTTTTTGTGGGAGCGAGAGGTATGCACACCTTCTTCCTCGGCGGCCTGTGTGGACATGCTGATGCTGCTGGAGCTATGTGAAGGTGTGGACGGGCAGGTGTAGGTGAAGTGTCGACACCGGGATTGAGGGAGTGATATGTGCGGTTGATTGGAATGGTGAAGGCGAAACGCCTGGCAGAAGCTGAAAATTCTCGTAGCTCATGAACATGCATCCTACAGCTGTATGCACTTATAAAAGCCAGGAGGAAGAGTCGCATATACATGTGGTCGATTACCTATACATGCAGGCTTACAGACTAGTGTCTAATGGACTGAAGGTACTCTGAGCAGCTCATAACAAAGTCTAACTCTTCTGTAAACCGTACAAACCAAGTCGTCTCGTTCTCGCACGCCCTTACCACCTCCATACCACACGACGCACAACCCACCCCGTACCCCGATCTTATCAACACCTTCATCTCTGCTGTGTTCCGAGCTTTCCGCACCCTGTCCCGGATGTCTTGATCGAGATTCACACCCGCCTTCCCGCATTTCTCACAGCAGCAGAGACTGACTGATAGATTGCATTCCCGAATGAAACGGTACGGAGCGCTTGCCCGCCGGAGGTGGAGCGCTTGGAGCTTACTCCAGCAGAGGGGAGCGTACTGCTGGAGGATCTCGATGGTATGCTTTGGGGTTTGGGTGATGTCGAAGAAGGACGTTAAGGCGGTGGCTGTGGCGGCCGTAGCGATCCGCCGATCCGCTCCGCTGAGCGCCCAGAGCGCGAAGATGGTGCCCAGTGAGTGACCTGGGGGGAGAACGGGCCGATTTTCCTCGTTCTCGACGAGGAGACGGTAGATCACTGGTAGATCATACCGATCGCCGATGAGGGCGGCCTTGATGACCGGCTCCGAGGTACCCGAGCCCTGGATCGACGTTGTGATTTTGGTCAGGGAATCGATGGCGTGGAGGAAGATGGAGAGACTAGCACTGGTAGTGTCGGGGAGTTTGATGATGGGGTTGTCTCCGATGAGGTCGTTGGGGGATGGAGGGGGAAGGTCGGCGAAGAAAGTGGAGAGCTCGGCAAGCCGGGAGAGCCTGTAGTAGAAGTAGGGAGTTTCCACATCGTCGGCCTGGAGGATGACGTCTCCGGCGTGCTGGGTGGCGAAGTGTGGGTGGAATTCCATCTTGGGAGTCGCTGGAGTATCAGCTCTCAGCCTTAATCTGACCGGAATGTGGCGGAACAGAGCAGCTTACCGGTCTCCTGGACTTCTGCGACGGACATGGTATCTGTAACGGAACGCCTCAGCTGTCACTGAGGTTGATGTACGACTGACAAGTGATAACAGATCAAGATGAGGACTCGATTGATGTCTTGACAGGATGCACACAAGGTCAGTATGGTTCGCCTCCGCGCCGGGCGGAGCGGGCGAGGTCATGTGGGTGGCGGAGGAATGTGGACCGTTTCAGAGTCTGTTTCAGGTTGTTGTGGCTCCCTTGTAGACTCAAGCCAGGCCGTCCGGCGTTCAGTAGGGTGCTTAGCTGGTCAGTCGGCCCTGTCAGTGCTATGATCCTCGTAGCTAAGGGTGTGGTAGCTCGTCACAGGCGTATCTTACAGTGCAGGCCCTTCTCGGCCTGGCGCCTCCAGCAAGATCAAGAGAGCGCACAGGACGGATCCACTCTGTAGCATGCTACAGATGTCGCAAGAAGTCTTGTCCCTCTGTCTGCACAAAGGGGTGAACTACACGCTCATCACTCGCTCCTCAATCTGCGCAGCGAAGAAGACCGTGAACCGGCAAGTAGTCGACTGGCCGTTTCTGGCATGCTCTGCCGCTGCTGATCTGAGTTTACACAACTGCTGGCTTTACATGACTCGATCATAGTATTAACAGAGGGTGGAAGCTACCTCTAGGCTATCTGCTCTATATACTTTACATACGTGCTATACATCTCGGAGTTATAAATCCTTGTACTCCTCGTAGGTGTAGTCAAAGTCGTAACTAGATGTGTACCGCCGGAACCACTCCATCAGATCTTCGTACTGTCGAATAGCATTCTGCGCACAATACCCGCACTCCAATCCCCAGTCATGATCCCCAACCTGCTCTATCTCCTTCACCGTCTTCGCCGCCTCGAAGCGTACCCTGATAGCATCCGTCAATGTGAGACTAAGCTCGCCGCAGTGGTCGCATCCCGGGACGCTGCCCGTCGAATAGTATGCACGACGGAACCGGTCGATCCCCTTCAAGCGCCGCAGATGAAGAGCTTGCAGCCTGATCCAGGCGTCCGGGGCATGCTGACTGAGCGCCATGACAACATCCCGATGTACCCCGGTGATGTCGTGTTCTATTGTCCGCTCCGCTGCACGTGCCGTCATTGGGTGGACGTCACTGATCGCCCAGACGGCGAAGATGAGGAAGCTGGCATTTCCATAAATGGCAGAGAGCCCTTCTTGCAATAGCCGTGGTAGGAGAGCGACGCCCAGCCGACGACCGATGATTGCCGCTTCGCACACAGCGGCGCATTGAGCGTGCCGGACCCAGTGGGGAACTTGAAAGGGGACCGAATTGTCGATAGACTGTATAGCGAGAAGTAATATGAGGACGTCGCGTGAGGAGGCCTCGAGGAGGGGTATGAGAGGTGTATCGCCGACGAGGTCGACGGAGGAAGGGGGAGGGAGATCGAGGAAGAAGGATGAGAGGACCTGTAGAGGGGGGAGGGGGTAATAAAAGCATATAGGCTCCTTGTCGTCGGATTGGAGAATGACTGAGCCAGGTCGTCTCTCATCGAATTGAGGGTGAAATGTGAGTGTCTTGCCCTTGGAGTCGACCAGGGACGCGGATGCCCTATCAGCTCTAATTCCCGGCCGCCCTGATCTCGTCTCGTGATCGACATACCTTCCTGCCCAGCTTCGGAGCCTGACATGGTGGAGCTCTGCGGGTTGAGTACGGGCGGAGATTCGAGAGGCGAGAGAGAAGTAGATAGTAGAGAATAGAGAGGAGAGGTCACGAAGAGGTCAAGGTGGACGCGCACACGCACGCGCCAAAATCCAGCTGCCAGATTAGGTTCCGCTAGCGTGTAGCCCAGCCAGACAGGCGGCTATGTGTTGGCGAGCAGCATCGATATCACACCAGGATCAGGTGTAGTGCTGACACAGTATCACTACTAGCTGACTGGATGCCTGCGAGTTTCCGGACCTCGACAGTTTAGCCCTCTAGCCTCTTATGATCACACGAGCACTGACGCCGACGCTACCCCGGCGGACCGGTACCGAGGGGGCGGGTACGGTTCTTGGCCACGCCTTGAGGCTTGAACGATCTCTGAGTCTCCACCGACGCTTAGACGGCGTCGGGCTGGTGAGGTCTGGGACTGGCCGAGCTCGCAAGAAGAGCTCATGGCAGATCGGCGTTACAGACGTCCGACCACTCACTGTCAGCTCGACTAGTCTCACCATAAGCTGAGAAGCTGACCCTATGATCGCACACTCCTTAGCGTATTCTGATCTCATGATATCCCTCTATGCTCTCATTCAAATCAGGAAGCATTTCAAGCCGGTCGAGGTGCTGAGTTGGGTGCTTGCGCCAAGAATCGCACCAGCGCCGCTACACCGTCCAGGATCATCAAGGGCAGCGTTCACCTTACTTATGAGTCTGATGAGCAGTCACTTCTTCACCGCTGGAAAAAAGCACGCGCGGGAGGCTCATCGCGGCCGATGGTGCGTTCAGGCCCAAGGGTAAAAGTTGATGTTGCGCGGACGCGTGAGTTCATGCCGGGCAAGCATACGGTCTTGTGACCTTTCGGAACTGACTATCTCAGCCACGCCACCTTCACATTCATTCTACTCGCCTGTCTGCATGGACGCGGCTCCTCCGTCTGTCATCTGCGACACTTCTGACGACCTATCGCGGACGATACTCATATCCGCAAGTACTCATATGCACAAAGTACTCATATACACAAAGCTCATCTATTGACCATCGCCTATCGCCTATCATCTATATGTATAAACAACCCGTTAACCTACAAGCCTAAACAGTAACCTTTTGATCACCACCCTCCTTTGGGTGACTCGTAGGGAGCCAAGAACCTGTACTCCGAGATGAAACGCATGTACCAATCGTGGAGCGAGTCGATGTGTTTCCGAGTCCTCCCTTGACACGCACCACAAACAGACACAAAGCTGACCCTTCGCATCTTCGCTGCCACCTCTTCCGGACCGTCCACTGCTCCCTGTATGATCCTGAGCCTTGCCTCCTCAGTAACCGCCCGCCCGTCCCGCCCGCAGTCCCTGCACGCCCCCATCACGATCTCCTCGCAGATGCTCCGCACCCGCGCCATTCCTTGCGCTCGGCGCAGGTGGAGGTCCTGCAGCTCCAGCCAGCACGCCGGAGACTGGACATGAACCGCTCGGACGAGGTATTTGTCCACCGCGGTGATGTCCAGATCGAGAGTGGACCGGCTTGCGGACATGGTCTTGGAGGAGATAGCGCTGAGCTCCCATATCGCGAAGAGGATGAAGGGAGTGTGGAAGATGTGGCTCGCCCCGCTCAGCGCTTCGTCAAGGAGCCGGTAGATACAGGGAACGTCGAGGCGTGCGCCGATCTGGGCCGCCTCGTATATGGCCGCGGGAGTGCTCTGGATGATGTGTTCCGGGAGGACGAAAGGTGCGACTTGGGAAAGGGATCTAACAGCGAGGAGGAAGACGTGGAGGCCGTCAGAGGAGGATTCGAGGATGGGGTAGCGAGGGAGACCGTCCACCATGTCGGTCGGATGGGATGATGCGGGGAGGTCGCGGAAGAAGGAGGAGGCCGCTTGGAGTTGCACGAGGTTGAAGCAGAAGCAGACGCGTTTCTCATCGTCTGCCTGGAGCATGATGTCGCCGCTCTTCTTGGTGAAGAAGTCTGCGTGCTTCCGGAAGTATCGGCCACTTTTGGGCTCCGGCTGGGACGAGACAGCTGGAGAGTCAGCTCAGCAACCCCGCCGGCGATGCCAAGAGTCTACTCACCTTGCTGCTCTGAATCTGAGGTAGACATGCTGTGAGTGTTTGAGACGGGTCTTGGGTGGACTGGAGGGGTATACTGGTGTGATATGTGTGGCTGAGTGGACTGACGAACGCAGAATTGAAAGATGAGGCTATGCCAGGTAGAAGCGGTGCAACAGTCTTGACCACTTTCAGCTCGTCCTCTTCCAGCCCACATTATAAGCCAAGCTGTGCCCAGAGCTGTGCAAGTCCGGAGGTGTATAGCTTAAGCTATTGTCCGGATTCGGGCGACCAAGGCTAAGCCATCGCTATCCAGCCGCTACAGCGCCGAGTACACGCCATCCTGATCTTTATGCCAAAGCTGACGGCGACCCTGGCTGCTCCTCCAAGAACGGGTGACGGCTCATACTACCTGCTACCATATAGCTCACTATTCTATCACATCAACTACTACAGATCCTGGTGATCATCGGAATCTAGCGATCCACTGGGCATAGCTAGTGACAAAATCGTACTTCTGCGTGAACTCTCGGAACCACGCCAGCTGGACCCTTAGCACCTCTTCTAGACTACCCCGACATTCCCGACAAGATATCCCCAACCCTCTCTTCAGAAGAGCCTCCATATCTCGAGCGCTGTACGCATGGTAAGCCTCCCGCCCGAAAATCTCCGCTCCATCTACACCGCCCGCCTCACACGCCTCACATGCCCTGAACCTGCTCGGCCTGGTGGAGAGGCACGCCTGGTAGAACCGAGATCCCGCCGAGGCACGGCGGAGGTGCAGCCCTTGTAACCCCATCCAGTGGACTGGGACCCAGTTTTGAAGGATGTCGAACATATAGGAGGGGATATTGATGATATCGAATGTGTCACAACGGGCTGTCGCCCGCGCGGCGTCCGCGATCTGATCGGCCACCCCGGCGAGTGCCCAAAGAGCAAAGGGCATCGCGAGGCGGGTTTCCATGTCTTGCATGGGGTCATGCGGCTGCAGCTCGCACAATAGGCGAGTGATCACCGGAGTGTCATAGCGACGTCCGATAAGCGCCGCTTCCAGGACGATTTGCGCCAATGGGGGGCCGGAAATGCTCTGCTTCGTCCTGAAAGGCTCGGCGGAGGAGAGGGATTCTATCGCCGAGAGGAAGAGTGCGAGGCCAGCGCTGGTAGTATCGATGAGGGGGTATAAGGGAGTGTTATCAATAAGGTCCGAAGGTAACGGATTGGCGAGATCGGCGAAGAAGGAGGATATAGGGAGTAGACGGGCCAAGTCGAAGTGGAAGCAAAGGCGGGCTTCGTCGTCTGCCTGAAGGATGATATCTCTGGGACCGATTTGCTTGAATTGGGGGTGGTATTGAAGGATAGGGGGAGATGTGAGGGCAGCTGCAAAGTCGTCAGCTCATCGCATCACCCTAGCAACGACTCCGAGATTCCCGATATCCATCAAATGTGCATAGCTCAGTACTGCTCACTATGAGTCACTCACCGTTATCCTGTGCAGCAAGATTGGACATATCTGGAGACTGAAGCTGGCTTGACCGCTGACTGAGTAGGTGGAAGTGTATTGGGGCGGCAGATGAAGTATAAGCACGCGATGGGCGCATCTGAAGACAGTTTTGATTGCACACAAGCACGCGATGGGCGCATCTGAAGACAGTTTTGATTGCACACAACCCCAGGGAGAATAAGTTCTGGGTCCGAAGGTCCGAGTGGCGGAGGAATGTGGAGTGTTTCAGATGGCGTTTCAGATTGGTCCGGTCTTCAGTGACGGATTCACGTGCTTGCTCTGCTCATTAAGTCATTACGCAAGCCTGACTGGCTGAGTGGCCCACTGATTGAAGCTACAAGCAACTACTGGAACAACCAGATGACGTCTGCAGAGTAGAGATCGCAGTACAATCCCAACCAACGTTCTGACTATTCCGATCGCGCTGCCTCATTGCTAACCAAAAGTGCAGGTGACAGATCCCGGTATGGACTGCCCCCTATCCGTACTCCACCGGACTATCTAATCCCCATGACCCGCTAGAGCCTTGACCAATCCATAGGCGGCAGCTGCAGACGCGGCGCCCACTGCCAACATTGACGCGGCGCCCCACAGGACTCCGAGCTTGCCCGTGGCGGCACCGGTATACCACGCCTTCGCCGCGCCGAATAGGACGAGGACGATACCGGTCGCCAGCTGGGGTATCAGCATATATCAATCAGCGACAGTGAAAGACTTTACTCACGATAGACCAGTACAGGCCGTGGAGAGCGTCGGACACACACAAGTACGGGATGATCGGGATGAGACCGCCGAGGAAGTAGCTCAGACTGATCGTCAAGCCCGAGATGAAGAGCCGTCTGGTCGGAACCGCCTCCATGCCTTGCCCGAGCTGGACGAGGAAGGCAGCAGTACCCCGAGCGGAAGTTGGATAGGCCGAGGCTGCGCGCCGGAGACGTTGGCGAAGACCGCCGGGAAGGGTGTCTGTCGATGCAGTGGGATGGAGGGCGGTCTCATCCTTGAGCTTGGCGTCCTGCTGAGACTTCTCCAGACTGTCTGCCACCAGTGCGGTTAGCCTCGGGTCGATACCGAACGGGCCGAGGATGTCGTGAACGTCCCGCCTGACCTCGGATGCGCACGCGAGGTCTAGCCGGCGAGTAGCGGCAGAGTATTGGTGTCGAAAGATGTCCTGCTCGCTCTTGGCCGAGAGATAGCCACTGCGGATCAGTGAGGGTACTCATACAGCTGCACAGTCCTTGACGTACCCGACACCCATAGAAATCGCACCCGCCATCAACTCGGCAAAGCCACCTTGATAGACCAGCTTGGACGACCCCAATGACGACAGACCGGCAGTCAAGGCGAAAGGGACCATGAGCCCATCACTCAGCCCGATGATACTGAATCAGTCAGCCCAGTCGGCCAGACTCCTGCTTCTGTTCCTGTAACAGTCCGATACTCACATGTCACGCACGATGTCTGATGAGATCAGGTGCCGCTCCGGGACCTCAGCCTCGATCTCCTTCTTGCAGCACTTCTCCCGCTTCCGGTTCCCAACTGGACGGCTGACGAGCTCTATACCCTCGCTTGGCTCGGGAGAGCTGAGCACGGGTCCATCGAATGCTGCAGGCAGTACCGTCGCGTCGCACGCCACTTCGATGGTGGAGGTCGCCTTCTCCCTATCGCCCGAGAGGCAGCAGCCCCGCTGGGAGAGACCGCATCTGGTTATGGAAGGTGTCTGAGAGAGCACGAGGGAGTCAAACATGGCGATCTCTGCTAGTGTAGTAGTGTTCGTCGGCGGTGGCGGGCATGACAGCGGTCGATGAGGATGCGTTATATAGCGGCAGACGTCGTAATAGATAACAGACATGCCGAGCTTCGACCAATCACAATCATTGTATTACACCTCTATCAGCTAAGAATACTCGGTCGATCTACAATCTGAAGTAGTGCAAATAGAAGATAGTGATGAGAATAGAAGGAGCAGAGCTTCTCAGATCTCATCCCAGATCTCATCAGCTTCATTGCGTCATTTGCTGACGAAGAAGGAATGTGGTGCGCTTCAGCACGCGTTTCAGATACGAGTATCGATCTTTGTTCCTGACGATGCTGATCACTCAGATACCGTAAGGTGCGAGAAGTGCGGATGATCTACACCTTTGCAGAAGATGTCATACTGTCACTCTGTCCACGATGCTGTGCCTAAGATGTAAGCAGAAACCACGAAGCTGCCGCAAACCTTGCAATTGAGTGGAACAACTACTTTCAGCTGAATGCGGAGATCTGGAATCGACGAGGTAATGACTATAGTCATGCACACTTATGTACATAAATCATAAATTCATGTTCGATCATACAGCACGGAGCATGTTTACGAAGCACATCTCCTCCTAAGTCTATACACAGTCTCCCCTGCTTCTCCTACCCCCGCACACCGGGGCAGTTTCTACCTCGCTCGGCGACTTGATTAGAAGGTTTGAACATAGGCGTGGGATTCGGGACCGATATCGCCCGATGAGAGCGTGGCGAAGCCTTGCCGATGGATGGGCGCTGGGGATTCTGACTTGTCAGCTACGGCTTCCAGTCTCACGGACGACATGGACTTACCCCTGGGTTGCTCCATCTCGGACCGCGACTGGAAGGGCATCTCGTCGTTGGTGTTGTCGTAATCGCCATAGAAAGCGGATGCACTGGCGTCGCCTTGCTGGTATGGCTGCTGCATGTGCATGTTGGTGAAGTCGTAGTTGCGGTCTTGCGAGTACTCGTTTTGGGAAGCGGAGGTGTCATAATCTGAACATCAGCTCGCGCTCGCTGCCTTTGCTGACTCCACTCAATCTAACTCACAGATGTTGTCGGATTGGCCGTCGTATAGCTGCCCCCCTTGCTCCATATCCATGTACATGTCCACCTCTTCTCCCCCCTCATACACCACCTCCTGCTCGGACCCCACCTGCTCATGATACTCTCCCGCGCCCACGCCATTACGATCGCGCTCGTCGACATGGTCGAAGTGGTCTTGAATGTATTCTTGCGAGTCGAATCGGACTGGCCCCTTGGGCGTTCGCCGAGGAGCCAGAGCTGCGGTGGAGCGCTTTGCGGGTGAGGGGATGGAGGATAAAGTGGGATGTCTCAGGTCGGGCGACCGGGCGAGCTGATTGTTGGGACGAGGTTTGGGCTCGTCCGGGATGATGATGAAGCTGGACAAGTCGGCGCCGTCACCGAACCAGTCGTCAGATTCGGGCTCGGGGTCTTGCTGTTCGACGGGCTGCATCGGAGCGGAGAGAGGCTGCTTGATGCCGACGAGGGTGAGCTGGCTCGAAGGATGGGACTGATCAACGAGGGTGTCGGCCCGAGCTGGCTGTAAGTCCTTGATACCGACGGGCGATGAGGCGGCTCGAGGAGAGCGAGCCGTGGGAGCAGTCGAGCGCTTAGGCTGGGTGAGCTTCGGCGCCTTGCGGCTGTCCATGACGAGGCTGTCGTCGCTATCGATCTCGTCTTGAGGCCGCTTGTTGCTGTGCTTCTTGCGCTTATTGATGCTGCTGGACACGGGGTGGGCGTCGAGAGCCTCGATACCGCCGTCGCTCGACTCCTCCGCTTCGTCGTCGATGAAGAGGGAGGATCTGGTTGGGTGCTCGTAGTCGCGGTGGGAGGTGGCTATACCTGTTAGCTGTTCCATGATGATCTCGAGATATACAGGAGAGCTCACATTTGCCGGGACGGATGTTGAGCGAGTCCACATCCGACTCCTCGGCCTCACCGTCAATGTACGAGGATCCAGTGCGCTCCCTGGCCTTGTAGCTGGAGGCTGATAGATCAGCTTGGTTCTGGAGAGGTACTTGATTAGAGCCAACTCACATGGTTTCACCCTCGCAGACTTCTCCGCCCTAGCCTTGGGCCTGCCTTGCCCGTCATCAAACTCATTATCCTCCATGGCCTCATCGCTAACCGCTCCAGCATCCACCTCCATCACATCCGCCTCATCGAGTGGCAGATCCAGCTTTTTCGGCATGGACTTGGGCCTTTCCCAGCCGCCCTCGTGTGCCTCCTCCTTCCTGAAGTCCTCGGCTGGATCATCAGCCGAGCTCATACATCGCAGAACAGAGAAGGAAGGAGCTCACGTCGGACTTTGCGGTTCCTGACCGACTTGTCTCGCTTCTTCATCTCCTCCGCGTCGAGGTCTCGCTCGATCACCATACCCCCTTCAGCCTCCTTGGCAGCTCGACGGCGTTCCTTCTGAGGGAGATCAGCCGCATTCTTTCGGAGAGGAACAAGCTGCTGGCTACTCACCGCTTCCTTCTTCTCCCGAGCGAGACGCCTCTCCTCGCATGCAGCATAATCGACATCGTCAAGCTGACTGAGGTCCGGGTGAAGAGTCGCTCTGGTGGTCAAGCCTGATGTCTCATCAACTGTTGAGTGAGCTCGACACTGGCTACTGATGCTGAAGCAGCGTACCTCCAGCCTCAATGATGATAGTTTGATCCGGAGCGCTGAGTTCCGCCTTCAGCTCAAACTCCGTTTTGACCATCTTCTTGGCGCTGCAGAGTCAGCCAACCTCTCAATGGTGACGTGCTGGGACGTGGAACTCACAGTGCCCGTCGATAGTCAATCCAGTCCCCATCGGAGCGGATGGTGAGGATCGAGAGATTGTTCCGCCTGATGTACTTGCTCACGTCCTTCTCGTCGACGCCCTTCTTTTCGTTCTTGAGATTGATAGTGAAGGTGATGGAAGGGAACCCATCCTGGTCGAGAGTAGCCGCAGTTTGTCTGAAGACATCAGTTGACTTATTGAGTGAGCGGAGGGACATGTGACACTCACCGCATGGTCACCTCATACCGGTCCTTGGCGAGCGCTTCTCGGATGAGATTCGAGCCGAAAGGAGGGTTTCGAGCGAGCCAGTGCTCCAGCTGAGCAGGAGGGGTCTTGAGGAGGTCTTGCCAGGCTGATGGGATCAGCTGTGAGATCACCTGTCATTCAGGGCAGACTATAGCTTACTGAGGACGTTATTGGCTCCGAGCACCTTCATCGACTTTGGCCCAATATTCCTGAGCTGCTGGAAGATGGACGCCTGATTCTCCCACGCCTTGCCGTTGACGATCCGGAGCAGCTCCAGACCAGCCTTGGACGCCGAGCCATAGTTGCGGGTAGTCATGACGCGGGCGATGGCTATAGTCAGTACTGACCAGACTGGACGCTTACCTTGAGCAATGCGAGGCGCAGACTGATAGATGGTGAAAAGGGTCTGCTGACAGGAGCTGTTCTCGGTCTTGGTCTTGCCCTTGACGCTATCCCATTCGATAGCGGCGAAGCGTCCTTGAAGGAGGAGGTAGACCTTGTCGCTATCGGTGAGCTATGTAGCTTGTATGGTAGAGGAAGCTGGCCTGGCAGCTCACGCATAGGTCTTCACGGGATCCTCAAGGGGAAACCGGATCTCCGGACTGGCCCGAAGTTGGTTCAGAAACTGGGAAGTCAGCTTTTTGCGGGACTTCAAGCAAGACTGACTTACCCCTGCTTCCCCTTGGCGAACGCGGAGATCCTCAAACCTATAGATATCAGCGACAAGATCCAACAGTAAGATTTGCGTAGCTCACTCGCAAGCCCCGCTCAAAGTCTCGAGGCAATCCTGTAGGTCCGCCTTTGGTCCAAGCTCGACGATGGATTCCATCTGCAGCGTGTCAGCTGTCTGTCCCTTCGCAATAGCCTCGAGATCGTCAGCCTACCGTGCCCAGCTCTGCTCGTCGTCAGCCTGATCTTTTTTTCGGGACTGCACGGCAAAGAAAGACTTACGGATACAGCACTCGCTCATGATCTTCCCCAAAGCTGTATGCTGAAGGTCCTCCATCGGATCGTCATCCGACATCGTGCCCGTCTTCTTCATCTCCATACTCCACCCCTTGTGCGTGACCAGCTCTATACTCCTCAATTGCTGTAGACCCAGCTGGACAGTCAGCTACATGTCCGTCAAGCTGCGGATAGAGAAAGCTCACTTTCACATACTTCTCCAACACCTTGTCCCACGTCTCGTTGGACCCCTTCATAGTCTTCTTGATGCTGGTATATGCGCTCGGGTTCTGCTGGATGCGGATCCACAGGAATGACCTAAAACGAATCAGCTGATCCCAAGTGAGCTCCACCCTTTCTAGCTGGTGCTCACCCTTCGAGCCAATCTTGAGCGCTCTTGAGGCTGTTGATCGTACCGAGCCCGACCTCACTGTTGATATCTGCTTTGTCAATTCCACTCTCCTTCGGGACGGACGCGGAGTGCTCGACTCACGTTCAGACAGGTTGGTATGGAGGCAGCTTTCCAGCACAGTCTGCGAAAAGATTTTTTGGCGATACTGTTGGGTGAGCTCCCGCTCCCATCATCGGAAAGGAGACAGCGGAACTCACCATCCCAACCTTGGACTTCTCGCACATGATGATCACTGTACCAGAGTTGTCGTACTGCGGCCTTCCAGCTCGACCCATCATCTGCTGGATGTCGACATCCGAGTACTCCCTCATGCCGTTGGCGGCGCCTGCCCAGGTCTGGGTGCCTTTGATGATGACCAGATGAGCGGGGAGGTTGACACCGACTGCCAGAGTCTGGGCGATCAGCTTCGAGGCCGAGAAGACCATTGGCTCGAGAGACAACTTACCGAGGTACAGCAGATGACGGATATAGCCCCACTTCGATACCCGTCCTCGATTGCTCGACGGTCGGTATTCTCTATACCAGCGTGGTGGACGGCGATACCGGAAGTCCACCAGAGCTGCAGCTGCGGGTCGTTGAAGGAGGCTGCCTCGCTGGAGCAGTCAGCTTCGCAGCTCGTGTCAGACCGCTGCTCGATCACTTACCGGCTTTTAGGCCAAGGCAGAGGCCTCCTTGATCCGCCAGATGCACAGAGCTCCTGGAACCGCTCGTGAAGGAAGGCAGCGGTAGCTTGGCAAGCTGCTCGTCAGCTATGCTCTGGAGTATTTGGGTTGCCCAGCTTACCCCTTCTTGTAGGACAGAATACCAAGATCGGCTTCCCCGCGCCATGCTCGATGATGAGCGGCATAAGCTCCTGGTCCAGCTTCTTGCCAAGCGTCCAGTCGCTCCCGTCGTACCCATTGACGACCTTGGTGAGAGGGACGGGACGGTAATCCTCACCGAACTGCTCGTATTAGCTACCGCGCCTTTACATGTATCGACCCCAAAAGCTCACCTGCCATAGCTTTGCCTCGGGCATAGTCTTGAGTTGCAGTCGGTCCTCGCTGTTACCGGTCACGGTCTCTTCGTTGGCGCCATTGATGAAGACTCCTGGTGTAGCTTGGGAGCGAGGCGGAGCGAGCCATCGAGCAACGTCTCGGATGTTGGGGACCTGCACGTTAGTCATGGCACAAGGTCTAAGTGATAGGACTAGCTCACAGTAGCGCTGACGGCGACAAAGCGGATCGGCTCGTATGAAGTGCACCGCTTCTTCAGGCGGGACATGACCACTTCGAGCGTGGCGCCCCTAGACTCGCCGAGGATGTGGACCTGTCCTGTCAGCTGACGCCCCGCTGAGTAAGTGGAAGGGAGCTCACCTCGTCGATCATTACCAGTCTGAGATTCTCAAGGCTAGTATACTTGGCCACGCGGCGGGAGAGGACATCGAGCTTTTCCGGCTGGATGGTGTCAGCTCCTTTCTCGACCAAGGTGTAAGCACTTCAGCTCACCGTAATAACGAGGAGCGTCGCTGTGGCCAGCAACCTGTCCAGACCGACAGTGTTGGTATCCCCAGTGATCTCGACGCCTCGGAAGATCAGCTGAGTGTGTGTGGAATTCCAAGTATGCAATGACTCACAGGTCCCAACTTTGTCGAAGCGGTGTTTCCAGTCTCTAGCTCGCTCGCTGCACAGAGCCTACGGCATCAGCTGACCTCCCTTGGTTATGCGTTATGCGCAGCTGAGTGGGACACACCTTCGTAGGTGCCATATAGATAGCGAGTCGGCCTGGGTTTTCCTTCCTCATCCGTAGGTAGGCCAGCTCAAAGATGGCTGTCTTTCCGGAAGATGTCGGCGCAGTGACGACGATGTTCTCGTCTCCCCCATAGATCTGTCAATATCAGCTATCGTGCGATACAGTAATCATCAAGGACGGGAGCTCACATCCGCAAACACCTTGGACTGCATCCTGTTGAAGGTAGGGAAGTTGAAAAGCGGGGTGTGGTTTGGGTCTGTTCATCAGCATCATCCTTCTCACGTGGAAGGAAGGTCTCACCTAGAGCCGTGATTGGCACAAGAGACTTCTGTCCATAGTCCGCTGGGAACTCCTTCTGCTCTCTTGCTCGGATGACGTCCACCGTCGCGACCTGCTCTTCCACCGCTTCTATCACCACGTCAGCTGTGCTCCGGAATTATGTGCATCACAGCTGGCTCACCTAGCTCCGCATCACGCGCGTCAAGCGCCTCTTGGACCCCATCATACTCCCCCAGCGGGTCAGACTTGTCGAGCGGGAATCTGCTCGACCCCATGATAGCTCCGGGAGGAGGCTGAGGTCCTCCGAGATCTTCGAGGTCGTCCTCCAGTAGCTTCTTGCTGTGATACGAAGCGGGAGCAGAAGGACCAGAGTTGCGTAGGTCTTGGGTGCGATAGGCTGGTGCCGAGCTGATCGCGCTTGATTCGTTACCGGAAGGCAGAAGGCGAGGAGCGGTCGATTTGCCTCGGTGAAGAGAGACTCGAGCGGGTTGGCGGGGCTCATTGAGATCTCCGCTCGAACCAAAGGCTGGGAAGTCAGCTTGAGCTCCTCTGAGTAGTACCGATGAAGGATATGGTGAGTGGCAAAACTCACCGTTGTACTCCATGCTGGGCTTCATGTCCATGCCTCTTTCCTCCCCGTAACCTCTTGCGTATGATGACGATGGCTTTGATGGACCCGACTTTTGCTCTTACCATCAGCTCCAGTGCTAATCATTAGGTGGCGGCATAAGAGGACAGGAAGGAAGAAAGGGGGAATGCGGGCATTGGGATTGAGGTAGTGAGGGGAGGAAGGGGAATCCGTCAACTTACCATCCTCTCCATATCCATCATCACCTCGCCCGCCGCCCCCTTGGCCTGGCGACTCCCCTCTATCCACGTTCCCATATCCATATTCTCCACCGCCTCCTCCACCACCACCACCGGAGCCATTGCCACCCCCATCATACTCGTCCTCAAACTTGTAAGGGGAAGAAGAACTGTCTAAAAGGCCCATGAGCCGGTCGATATCGGGGTCGCCCCCGTAAGCGCTTGTCATTATAGTATAGCTGAATGTATACAGAAGAGCCTGGGAAGGAGACGTGGGAGAAGGAAGAAGTACGAAGGAGGAGCAGAGGAAGGAGTAAGTTGGATTGATGAGTTGGGTGAGTGGACCGAGCGCGGTGGAGGTTGAGGCGGACCACATTCCTCCAAGCGGAAACAAATCTCCACGTGGATTCGAGGCAATGTGGCATTGTGGCAGCTAATGTGGCACAGTGCTATGCATTTGGGGGACTGCTAAGTCGTTACCAGTGAGTGCAGGCACAAGCGAAGGCAGACCAGAGATGTCAGGGAATACCGGAGCATGACAGCCAGCCATATTGTCTAGATATCCCGGGCGGGCTGCCCAGTTCCGCCGCACTCCTCGCTCGTAGGTGCTGTTACCACACTGCAAGTGCATCCTCCATGTGGCTGTTGAGGTCAACTTCGTAGCTGCTATGGGCGTACCGAGTAGCTATCGCTCCAGTCTTGTTTTAGATGGACGCGTTGATCTGATCAAAAATCTGTTTGCAAAATTGCGGACGTTGCCGTTATGATAAGCGGCAGATATCGGCATCTTGTGTCCCCCGGCGCCGGGTCGCCCCGGACCGCCGGGAAGGTTAAATCGATCAATAGCCGAAGCAAACAGCCTGCGTATTTGGTCCGCCCGCTCTGGCCCCTCCAGCAACTCTACCACCGCGCCCAGCTCTGCTACTGCTCTGCTCCACCGCAGGCGGCACCGCCGTACACTTCACGGACGATTTCCTGCGCCGACGCCGCTGTATATTCGGCACAAGGGATCCCAAGACAGCACAAGGCGTTCGTCTAAGATTAGAGTCGATGCGGCAAATTTGAATGGCAACCGCATGACGCATCCCCCCGGCGGATATTTTGTGCCGGCGGCGGCGATCTTTCCGATGTCTTCGGCAGGTGACCTGAACCCCACCTGAGCCCCGTGGAGACTCGAGCACAAGTATAAGAGGTCCGCATGGTCCCCCTCTTGACCCCAAATCCCCTCCATCTCTCTACTCTCTTAGCCAAAATGTCGTCTGAAATCCAGGCAGCCAATACCTACCCGCACGAGAAGAACGACGTCCAGCATGTCGGGGACGTCAAGACCGAGGCGAACTTTCGGCAGGACGCGATGGAGGCGGAGAGTGCAGAGTTCAACATGACGGTCATGGAGGCGGTCAAGGCGTATCCTATGGCGTGTTTCTGGAGTTTCATCATGTCCTCAACCATCATCGTGAGTTCCTTATCGACGTGCTGGAGACGATGCTGATGGTAAAGATGGAGGCATATTGTGTCTTCCTCATGGGCAGTTTCGTTGCTCTTCCCAAGTTCCGACTGGACTACGGTATCCCGGACGGCTCGGGGGGCTTTGTCATCGAAACTAGCTGGCAGTCTGCTCTGCAGTGCGGTGGGCCGGTCGGTGCCCTCATCGGTGTCTTTATCGCTGGTCCCATCGCGGCTGCCATCGGATACCGGTGGGCCTGCATTGGCGGTCTCATGTTCCTCAACGCCACCATCTTCATCATGTTCTTCGCCAACTCTCTCGGTGTCTTTTTCGCTTCTCAGCTGCTCGAAGGTGAGTTTTGCTCTCTTTGCACCTATAATTCGGGCTGACAGTGCAGGCATAAGCTGGGGTATCTTCATCGCCATCTCACCCGCCTACTGCTCCGAAATCGTCCCCATGCGTCTGCGCGCCCCGGCCACCCAAGTCCTCCAGCTCTTCTGGGCTCTCGGCGCCATCATCGTCGGCGGTGTCTGCTACGCGTACCAGCCCCTCCTGACCACCGCCGCCTACCGGATCCCCACCGCCCTCCAATGGATGTTCCCCACTCCCCTCGCTGTCCTCATGTTCCTCGCTCCCGAATCCCCCTGGTGGCTAGTCCGCAAAGGTCGGATGGAGCAGGCTGCCAGGTCCGTCGTCCGTCTCGGCCGCAAGTCGCTCGTCCAACCTCAGGAGGCCGTCGCGATGATGCGCCGAGTCATCGACCAGGAGTCACACGAAAACCCTAGCCTTCTCGAGCTCTTCAAGGGCACCGACCTCCGCCGCACCCTCATCGTCTGCGGTATCTATGCCGCTCAGAACTTGGCCGGTAACCTCATCGCCAACCAGGCCGTCTTCTTCTTTGAGCGTGAGTGTGACATCAGCGTGAAGTGCCGAGAGCTCCGCTAACAACCATTGCAGAAGCTGGTATGGACACCAACACCGCTTTCGCCCTCGGTCTCATCACCTCTGCTCTCCAAGCCGTCTTCGTCATGGGCTCTTGGGGACTCACCACCTACTTTGGCCGTCGTACCATCTACCTCTGGGGTACCGGGTTCAACGTCGTCATGCTCTTCGCACTCGGTATCGCCGCTTCCGTCGGGCAATCCACAGCCGCTTCCAACGCACAAGCCGCTTTCGGTCTCATTGTCTCTGTCTGGTTCACCTTCACGGCTGCGTAAGTCCATTCTCCACCTAAACCTTGATCATCAGGCTGACTCCCAGTCCCGTCTCATGGGCCGTCATCGGTGAAACCTCCTCTATCCGTCTTCGACCCCTCACGACCGGTGTCGGTCGCGCCTCGTACTACATCATCAACATCCCCTGCATCTTCCTCTCGTCCTGGATGCTCAATCCTACCGGCGCCGCCCTTTTCGGCAAGTGCGGCTATGTATGGGGCGGAACCGCCCTCTTCACCCTCGTCGTCGCGTACTTCTGCCTCCCCGAGTACAAGGGACGGAGTTACCGAGAGCTGGATATCCTCTTCCGCAGGAAGGTGGCGGCAAGAAAATTCTCCAAGACTCAGATCAACCTTGAGGAGGATGAGTAGATGGGGAGTTTGGGTCAGAAGTCAGAAGAATAGGAAACATAGGTATAAAGGCTGTTATAGTTCTTGTCATTGGTGCATGTAGTCAGTACGGTACATCCTTGGTTCAATATATGAGCCTGAAAAGGTCCAGAAGGGTTAGGAGGCAAGAACTCATACGAGACAACGAGAGATATACGCAGGCAAATCTGCGAGAATAGATGTATACTGTAGCCTGTGATAGGTCTTGTCATCGGTGCAGGTGGTCAGTGTATGAGCTTGAACCGGGCTAGAAAGAAAAGCAGGCAGTCAAAACATACTCTAAAAACCGAAGATATACCCACTCAAGTCCCTAATCTCTGCATTATCCACTGTAAGGCTACCCATACAACATTCATCGAAATGTCCAAGCGCAGCAGCGCCCTAGCCGCCCTCGACGACGACGAGGCCTACGCGCCCGAATCCGTCGCTCGGTCCGCACCCCGTCCGGCCAAAGCCCCACGAAAGAGCGCCGTCAAAGCCAGTACCAGCACCAGCAAGACTACCACCACTTTTGCCCCTTCCCCCGTTAGCCCACTCCTCGCCTACACTCCCGAGGACCTCGCGGATCTCCCCTTCTATGAGGTCATTGAGCACTTTATCGAGCTCCAATCCGCATACCGCAGGCTGGAGAGCGAGAAGACTAGCGCCACTGCGTCCGGATCTGGATCTGGCGCAACCAGATCGTCGATGGATGAGAAAGAAGTAGAGGCGATGGCGAAAGTGTTTGCAAAGGTTATGCAGAGCGGTATTACCAGTCAGATGAAGTGGCAGTAAGTCCTGACAGCATCGCCTCTCTTATGGACGGAGCTCACCCCCCAGACCGTCATGTAGGCACAAAGGCAAGCGGTTTACGTGCAATGGCGTGGTCCCCAATGCCCAGGTCTTCTACAAGCTCTTCAACTTGCAAGAGGAGAAGAAGGTATGGAAGCAGAAGAAGATCCCCTTGGCGGACTTTGAGAAGATCACGGGGGGATTGTGGGCCTCTGTGAGTCTCTCCGCCATATACCTCAATCGGATCTTGAGGCGTTGAGCTCAGAGGTAGAGGGGACGACGCTGATCTGCCAGATCCGACATGGCTCGTTGAGCGTCACAAGTCCGGAAGTGACGCTCAAGAGGGACCCGGAAACCAATGGGTTTACGGTGCCGGGGTTGTATGGGCTTTGAGGAGGAGGGGGAAGAAGTAGCTCGTCTTGATGCGTAATGATGTCGGATTGAAGATGTCGAAGGAAAGTACATGGCATCAGTATGCTAGCTTATAAGCTGGTCTGCGATCTATTGCGCCTCGAACGAAGCAGTAGAGCTACATAGGGACTCATCAACCCTCTCGAGAGTCCTATTCACGGACCTCGAAAACAATCTATCCTGATCAGCTGATGCCCATACAAAAGACCAAGGCACATCAACTCACCTTCCCGCTGTTCTTATTCGCCTCCATCTCCTGATGCGCCTTGACGACATCCTTCCAATCAAACACCTCATGCACCTCAATCTTCATCTTTTCCTCTCTGATCAGCCCCAGCGCATGCTTTTCGAACCGCTGCAACAGATCCGCCTGATACTCGACCGTCCTCGACCGCAGGGTCGTGCCCTTGATCGTCAGCCGCTTGAAGAGGACCTGCATGATGTTGGTATCAGGCTCGAGTTTCGGGCCGGACATCATGGCGAGGAAGACGAGGGTGCCGTCTCGGTTGAGAAGGTTGAGGTTGGAAGTGAAGTAGGATCGGCCAATAAAGTCGATGATCAGGTCGACGCCTTCGGTCACCTTTTTGATCTCTTCTTCAAAATCTGGGGGGTCAGTAAGGTGGTCGGCGAGATGATGAGCAGGAACTTACTCTGCGACTTGTAGTTGATAGCGTGGAGCTTGTCAGAATTGCCGCCGAGCTTCTGCAGGAACTTGACCTTGTCATCTGTTCCGCAGGTAGTGAAAACCTGCTCGGCCTTGCCGACCTGTACTATAGCTTGTCAGCTTTTTCCCCTCGATGTATGGATATCCTGGCAAAAGTCAGCTCACGAGCAAGTTGGATAGCAGCTACTCCAACACCAGATGCGCCCTGGCTATCAGCTATACGCTCTTGGTCTCTAAGACTCAGGTGTGTGTGCTAGCTGACTCACAGCATGTATCAAAACTTTTGACCCCTCCTTCATGCCCCCTTCCAAAAACAGAGCCTGATACGCTGCCTGTAAGCTCCTTCCACAGTCAGTCTCCATCCTCCGCCTTCGACCGTCGACTCACCTGTCATCCAGTTCTCCGGAAGCGCCGCCGCCTGTACCCAACTCAGCTCTTTCGGCTTAGGCAAAAGCATAGCCTCATTTGCGCAGATATACTCCGCGTATGCTCCCTGTCACATCAGCTCCTTAGCTTCATACAAGGGCAGAAATGATCGAGCTCACCCCGTAAGCCAACCCAAAGACCTCATCCCCCTCCTTGAACTTGTCGCTCCCCTCTCCGGGCTTGGTGACCGTCCCGGCAAACTCTACACCCATGATCGTCTTGCTTGCGCCCGCGGGGAGCGGGTACTTGCCTTCCCGCTGCATGAGGTCCATCCTGTTCAGTCCGAAGGTCTGGACATCAGCTCCTGACTAGACCAGAACGTTGGGACCGTCGGCATCTACCTTGATCTGGAGAGTCAGCTCCGTCATTCCGCTGGTTCATGGTGCGCGAGGACAAGGTCAGCTCACCTTGACTTGCACTTCGCCCTTCTTTGGCTCGGGCGTCGCTTCTTCCCCCAAGTACAAGTTCTCCGCCGGTCCCTTCCCATCTTTGATCAGAATAGCCTTCATCTTGCTCGGTGCTGCTGAGGTGGTATAGGCCGCTGGAAATAGATTCGTATTGGGAGCTGAATAGAGTGCTTGTGGACGAGCCGCAGCGAAGTTTCTGGTGATTCTGACGGCTGGACGGGCAATACCAGAGCTGAGTGATGGAGAGAGGCAAGTGAGAGCTCGTCGAGACATGTGTAGAGTGCTGATGTCGACTTTCCACCCTTCGTCGTCGTCGTTCTGGCCGTCGTCGCTGCCGCTGACCGACTTGTAACCGGCCACCGAGATGCCGTCATTCTACGTCACCTTCCCACGCTTGTCCCCACTTCGCCCCGTGCGCTGAGTGCGCTCGGACATGCTTAAGCTTCTCGCCTCATTGATACACCTTCACACCTAAAGAGCGACAATGGCGGACCTCTTCACCCGCTCCAAGCCTCCCGACGCTCCTCTACCAGGCAAAGACTACCTCCTCATCCTCCACAAATACCTCCGCACCAACCTCCCCCGACTAGCCCCCAGCGCCCCTCCACCCCCTTCCGTCCTACAACAATCGTACACTCTCCTGACTCTCGGTCTCGACCCCTCGTCCCAGCCCCTTTCCCGATCGCTCAAAGTCCCACTCACACTAGGCTTCGGGTCCCCTTCTGCGCCAAAAGGACCCATACGACCCCTCACGCTCCGCCTACCGCCAGATCGGCTCCTGTATCTCCTCCTGAGATGGCAGGCCCTCCCGCAGAATTTGGCGCATGTGGGGAGGACGGACGTGCCCGTGGAGGATGGAGTACCCTTCACTGCGAGAGGCGCGGCGGAGCGGGAGGGGAGGGGCACGGATGGGGATGTGCAGAGTGTGAGGAGCTGGGTGGGGAGTATGCGAAGTGTGAGCGTGGGGAGTATGGGGATGGGGATGGTGACGGGGGGGATGAAGGGGTGGTGGGGTAAAGAAGAGCCGAATGAGGGTGAGCTCACAGCTGTTCTACTGCTCCTGCGCAGGGAGCTGCAAGCTCAAGCTGACTCGCAGACCAAATCCTCTTGGCTCTGTACTCATGGTTCAATGTCCTCCCTGCACTCCTTATCCACCCACCGTTCTTTTCCGACCCGCCCATTGCGGAGCTCATCGAGGCGGGCGGATACACACAGCTGGGCGGAGTGGATGTCAGGGTGCCTCTGGACGTACTGCGGAATCTCCAAGTGTGAGCTAACTCCTCCTGTCTTTCGCATCACAGTGTGATTGTGGATGAGATAGCTGACGCCCCAGGCTGGAGCTGGAAGCGTACGATCCGAGAGCGTTGCTCATACCCCCAAGTCTGACCATGCGAAGTCTGACCGTCCGGGACGTGCAAGACGGGGACGACTGGATAGAAGAGCTCCTCACCGTTCCCTCATCCTCGCCGGCTGTATCGTCCAACCCCGGCCTTTCGGCAGAATCAGCCTCAACACCGCCCCCACCAGCCCCTCGCTTCCCTCACCTCCGCCACCTCTCCCTCCCGTCCACTTCACTCCTCGCCCTGCCGTCCCTCCCCCTGACCCACCTCTCCTCCCTCGACCTCTCGCACAACCTTCTCAACGCCATCCCCTCCTCGCTCTCCTCCCTACCCTCCCTCGCCTCCCTCAATCTCTCCTACAATCTCATCACATCCGTCCGGAACGCCCCTCTCGCCCTCGTCGGCCCAACGACCACTCTCAATATCTCGCATAACCGGATCGACTGCCTGGTCGGGCTGGACCGCTGTCCCTCCCTCCAGCGCGTCGATGTACGGTATAACGACCTGGTGGAAGTGGGGGAAGTGGGGAGGTTGGCGGTTCTACCAAAAGTCAAAGAGGTGTGGGTTGCGGGTAATGAGTTTACATCGCCCAATGCTCCTGCTGTGGGTGGAGTCGGAGGAGGAGGAGGCGGGGACGGGTGGAGAGTGGAGCTAGGGGTGATGTTTGCCCAAGAGGGAAGGGAGGTCATCGTGGACGATACGGCGTTCTCGTGGAACGAGAAAAGGAGTATCGATGCTGCGCTCGCTGCGAGTGGGCGGGGGAGGCCAGTTGCGGGGTCGGGGCACAGGAAGAACCCGACCGCGCCGGCGGGGATGGCATCTCCTCTGATCGGCTCGACGTCGGTGGTGGCATCGAAACCACCTCAATCCCGGCCAAACGGATCAGTCTCTGCTACGCCTACGCTCTCGCACCGCCCATCTAATCTCGGTCATGAGGAAGCGGAAACGGAGGCGGGTCCTTCTCGCCCTAGGTCAAAACCGGCCTCTGGCCAACCATCACCCTTGACCGCACCAGCTTCACCTACGCCTAGCTCAGCTACCGGTGCCACTGGAGCGGCTGGGGCTGGGGCTGGGGCTGGGCAAGGGAAGAAGAGACGACCAAGACGATTGATCAATCTTGATAGTACGGATGATCCAGCAGAGATAAGGGGTGGATCGATGCGGTTACCGCCGAAGAGTGTGTTGTATGAGGAGGAGGAAGGTCCGGGCACGGGCACCGGGACCGGGACTGGGGTGAAGGGGAAGATAGCGACGGGTGAGGCAGGAGCGGGGCTGGGCGATGGGGCCGAGAGCGACTTGAAGGATGGACAGGAAGGGGAGGAGGTGGCGGGTGCGGCGAAAGTGACGGTTGTCAAGAAGAATCGGAGGGCGAGGGTCAGTGCGAGTATGTTTGAGCCGAGCTAGACGGCGACGGGCATAGGTCGTGCCGAAGATTGAGGCCTGGATGGCGGACAATCAACATGCCGAAGTTGTATAGCTCATAGCGTATAGCATGTGCATGTGCGAATATGTATCTACCTATCTGATCAAACTTATATGCTGACTATTAGTATAAAGTCACTCTACTGACACCACAGACCCGGCTTCACTTCAAGCTCCCACAGATCCCGCCCTCCCTCATCTACAACCTCACTACCTTCTTGAACCACGCCCCGCCCGCTTTCGCCTTGGCCCCCAACCGCCCACCCGGTCCAGTCGGGGACGGCGGCTCAAAGTAGCTCACTCCTTCGTCCGCATACCCTGCGCCTCGTCCCCCCCTCCCACCCTGTCCGGGTGGAGCACTATCCATCATACCCTTCAAATCCATCATGCGCTCGCGCTCCGTCTTGCCCCACTGAGGCCTCTCGATCCTTTCCACTGTCCCCGGACCCATGCTAGTAGTTGAGACTGAGGCGCTTCGGTGAGGTGAGGAGAAGTACAGGGAAGGAACGGGCGGTACTGCACCGCTACCGCCCGCGCCGGGTATAGGCGCTCGCCGAGGGTGCTTGAACGGCGTCGTGGGAGGTCTGGGAACGCCAGACGGGTGATTGATGATCACCCTCCCTGCCATCTCCGCTCTCCCCTGTCCTGGCGCCCGCTGGCCATAGCTGACAAACAACGGACTTGGGAATACCATCTCCCCCGCCGAGCCGGGGATATCGGTAGGTACCGGCCTGACCAGCACGGGGAGTACTGGGCTATCCACCGACCGAGACTTGGAGTGGGTGGCTGTACGTGGTGTAGGCGCAGGTTCGAGGGAGAGCGGGCGGGCACCGGGGCCAGGGATATTGATGGCGACGGCGATGGCGATGGGGAGACCGCGGGTCGGGGGAAGGTGTGCGAGGTCCAGAGGTGGGGGACGATGTTTGGGGCGTTGAGGCGAGGTAGACCCGACACCGACTCCGGATGGGGCAGGTCGGAGTGGGCGGGGCGGGGTGGAGGGACGGATAGGAGGAACGGCGGTCGGTGCAGGAGGCCGAGGAGGTCGGGCAGGGGTGGATACCGATCGGGCTGCGAGACCGGCGGTAGGTCTACCGGTACCGGGGTGGAGGGACGAGGGAGAGAGGAGGACGGGATTGGAGATGCTTCGATTGCCCATCTTTGGCTGGGCGTCCACTGGCGCCTCCTTCTCCGCCGGGCTCTTCGCTATCTCCGATACAGGCTCATCCTCCAGTCCGAGATCGAGGAAACTCTCAAACACCTTTGTCCCTCCCTTGTCCTTCTTCCTCTCCGCTGGGGATTTCCGGGGCGAATCCAAACCCGCCTTCTTCATCCCCAGCACACTCGTGAACTCCTCCATCCCCCACTCTTCTTCCCCGATCACCTCCCTCCCCAGCCCAGCCGCACGCTCCACCCTCGCCCGCTGTCCGGGGGTCAACTCCGACGTCAGATCAGACATCAACCACGCAAACTCTTGTTCTTCCTCCACGTCCAACCACATCCTTCCTTCTCCATCTTGGTGCCCGTCCCCTTTGCCAGCAAGCGGAACCGCCTTATCCTCGTCCCGCAAAGCCATCGACGCAGCAGTGACCTTGGCCCTTGCCCCGTGCGTCTTGAGTATGCCTTTCCGGACAGGCGGCTTCGCTGAGGGTTTCGGCACGTCCCCGAAGAAACGCTGGATATCGACCAGGGTGGAGTTTGGGAGGGGACGGAAGTGCTGTGGTTTCTTGGCGCGCGTGGAGGGGGCGGCGGAGCGGAGGCGGTCGGAGAGGGAGCGCGAGTGCGGGTGATGCTTGAGCGGGAGGGGGAGCGGGGGTACGTCTGTTCCGAGCAGTTTGGCAGCTTTCGAGGGTGCCCGAGTGGGAGTGATAGGTGAAGCGGGGAGGGGCTTGGATGCTCCGGCGCATACGCTCGCCGATGCGCCGGGATGGCGCGGGGGAGGGGTGAATGCGCCAGATCCAGGGGTGAGAGCGGGCGATGTCGGCGGGGACGGACCGGGAAGGACGGACGGGTCGAACGCGGCGAACCGGCCCAATCCAAGATGGATCGCCGAGCTGGCTGATGAGGAGCGAGACGAGGGAGGGGAAGGAGTGGCGGATGAATGGGTGATGAGCGGGACAGGAGGGAGTGGGGAGGTGCTCAGAGCAGGGGAGAGGGCGTAGAAGCTCTGCGTGATGGCTCGGTGCGCCGATGAGGCGGTCGAATTGTCCCGGGCCAGGTTGGAGTGGTTGATTGCGCTGAGGAGGCCGGAGGAGCGGTGAGGAAGAGTGGAGGGGTAGGTCGGGGAGACGGGAGAGCGAGGGAGGGAGTGCGTGGATCGACGTCTCATCCTAGCTGTAGGTATTAGCTTTGTTCAACCGCTGGACAGCCCGGCGTATACAGAGAGATATGAAGAACTCACTTGGTCCGACAGGCGCAGCCCTATCCATAGCCCTCTTCTTCACCTTGAGCGGGCGAGTCATTTGCTTATCCGGGGTATCGAGGAAGACGTTATTGAAAAAGCTAGAGTTGGACGGTGCCCTACTCACACCCTCTCCTTCTCCGCCAATCCCGGCACCGGCTCCGGCGGAGTCTAGGGACTCGGAGTGGACGAGGACGTGGTCCATGGTAGGATCGGTAGGAGAGACGGGATAGTCGACAGGCGAGTCCAGCTCGGTCTCGGAGGATGAGGTAGGTGGGGTCGCGTATGGGTGATTGGCCAGGCGGCGCGGCCGCGTCAAAGCTGGGGTCGACATATTGGTGAGATGATGGTAGGTGACGATATGATCAGCAAAGTAGTGCAAGAAGTGTAGGTCAAGTGGTAAGGCGGCGAAGACTTATATGTACAAGACCAGCCCGTATCCTCGCAACCGCGCTTTGTCAGTCTATACTTCGACCTGCAGTCGCCCATGTGCATGCTGGAGCCTTTTGATCTTCCCTCCGATACGTCAGTACATGTTTCAGAGCGCTTCAGCGGGCCTTGTGCCTCCGCAGGAGGGAGAGATCGTCGATGGATCGTTGTTCCCTCGAGAACAATAGGCTGTTTTTAAAGAATGCGGCGCGGGACGCGGGGTGGCTGAAACGTGTGGGGTAAATAGAGTTTTGGGCAGGCCGGGCAGGAACGATGACGTGGTGTCCGATCACAATCCGAACCTCCTTTGACAGTCTGACTGGTCCTCCTATGTTTGTAATCCCACACAGCAGTATCAATATACGCTGACTGTGTAACAGACAACTCAGTCAGCTGACCTGCTGACAGGCGGAGGCGGGAGCGGAGGAAAGCAGCATAGCATGCTCGAGACAGGGGGAGACGGAGGATCTTGGCTTTGAAGGGACACGGTCATCTTGGCGGGGCTCCGGAGTTACCGCTTTGGGGAATTCTGGGCAGGATCATGTCATTCTGGGCTCTGACCTGTGCCTCGGCTCGCTGGCGAGCGCTTTGATTGCTCGCCCTCCCTTCTCAACGTCAACTCTCTTGCTTCTATACATCTACATCACCTTCACCTCACTCCTCAGCTCCAGAAGCGGCACTCGCATTTTAGCAGCAATCAAAGAACGCAAGCCCAACGACCTCGGAGCAGACGACCACCTTATCGTCCACTCGTACCTACCACCTGACGACCCGCCACTCCACCCTTTCACCACAGCAACATGGCGCCCCGTAAAGGAAAGGAGCCCGCGTCTTGGGAAGTGGACGCCAACAAGCCCAAGCCGGAAGGCGAGACGCGCGTTCGGCGCTCTTACGCCGTTAAAGAGCTCACTACGCGTGAGTTCCCTTTCCCCTCCCTCCCCCTCTTGCTATCTTTCTATCTTCCCCTCAGAGGTGGCGACTGACCATTCAGAACCCGCTCCCGGTATAGACACAGTGCACGATGTCCTCCTCTACGCCGCTCGAACCCACGGCGCCAAGCAAGGTTTCGGTTCCCGCGAGACCGACAAGGTCATCAACGAAGACAAGGTGGTGACCAAGATGGTCGGTGGCAAGGAGGAGAAGCAGACCAAGACGTGGAGCTACTTCAAACTCAAGCCTTATGACTGGGTGTCGTATGAGGGGGCTTTGCAGCTCGCCAAGCAGATTGGGAGTGGATTGCGGGAGTTGGGGTCGGGTGGCGAGGGGGAGACCTACTTCAACATTTACGCGGGCACCTCGTGAGTACTATCTTAGGCGGGAAGGGGGATAGAAGCTGACGAGGCAGCCGTAACTGGATGCTCATGTCCCACGCTTGCGCCTTTAATGCGGTCCCCATCTGCACAGCCTACGACTCGCTCGGTCCTGACGGCCTGACGCACAGTCTGAACGAGACCGAGGTCCGAGGAATGTTCACCAACGCCGACCTCCTCCCGACCCTCACCAAGATCATCTCCAAGTGCGCCAGCGTCAAGCTCGTCGTGTATGACGGCAAGGCCGAGGAGGGGGTGGTGGCGAAACTCGAGGCGGCCAAGGAGGGCATCAAGGTTGTGCACCTGGATGAGGTGATTCGGATTGGAAAGGAGAACATGAAGGAGGCGGTCAAGGCCAAGCCGGAGGATGTTTACTGCTGCATGTACACCTCGGGGTCTAGTAAGTTGTTTTGCCGCAGAGGGTGGGGATATAGCTGATGGGTATAGCTGGTACGCCCAAGGGTGTATTGTTGACTCACCGGAATGTCACCGCTGCCAGTAAGCTTCCTGTCTACCACTCGCTTCCAAGGATGTGGGCGCTAGCTGACACTAACAGTCGGCTCGGTCTGGACCCTCCTGTACGACATCCTCAAACCCGACATGACCTACCTCGCCTTCCTCCCCCTCGCCCACATTCTCGAATTCGTCGTCGAGAACTCGTTCGTCTTTGCCGGTATCGGAATCGGGTACGGTAAAGTCAAGACTTTGACCGACGCCAACGTTCGGGAATGCAAGGGCGATATTGCCGAGCTCCGACCTGTAAGGTTGTCCTGTTCTGATCGAAACGTCGAGCTGACACGCAGGCAATCATGGTCGGTGTCCCGGCGGTGTGGGAGCTCATCCGGAAGGGTGTTCTCTCGAAAGTCGAGGCGGGTCCAGCGATCAAGAAGTCCGTCTTCAACTGGGCGCTGTCCGCCAAGCAAAGCGCGGTGCAATATGGTATACCGGGTATCGCGGGTTTGACGGACGCGGTGGTCTTCAATCAGGTGCGGGCGCAGACGGGCGGAAAGTTGAAGTATCTCTTCAACGGAGGTGGAGCGGTCAGCCGCAACACCCAGACATTCCTCAACACCGCTTTGGTCCAGATGATCCAGGGTGAGTACAGTGCTGCACAGAAAGGAACGTGGCTGATTGTAGGCTACGGTCTCACCGAATCTACCGCCATGGCCGCTATCCTCCACCCTTCCTGGGCCGTCGTTGGCGCCGTGGGCGGTCCCGTCCCCGCCGCCGAAGTCAAGCTCGTCGACGCGACCGAGCTCAAATACTTCTCTACCAACTCTCCTCCCCAGGGCGAGATCTGGGTGCGCGGACCTGCCATCTTCAAAGGCTACTTTAAGCGCCCGGATCTGGACGAGGAGGCCTTTACGTCGGACGGATGGTTCAAGACGGGCGATATCGGCCAGTGGAACAAGGACGGCACCTTGTCGATCATCGACCGGCTCAAGAATCTCATCAAGCTCTCGGGCGGAGAGTACATCGCCGTCGAGCACCTCGAGTCCATTTACAAGTCGTGCCCCCTCGTCGCGAACGGCGCGATCATTGCGAACGGCGAGCACAACCAGCCGGCCATGGTCGTCGTGGCGCACCCCCAGAACTTCCCCAAGTGGGTCCAGAAGCAGGGGATGGGGAGCGGCGAGGATTTGGAGGAGATGTGCAAGGATGAAAAGGTGGTGAATGCGGTTTTGAAGGAGTTGAATGATGTAGGCAGGAAGCAGGGGTTGAAGGGGATGGAATTGCTCGAGGCGGTGGTTTTGACGGAGGAGGAGTGGACGCCCGAATCGGGATTCTTGACGGCTGCGCAGAGTGAGTTGCCGCCTAGTAATCACAAGGGGCGCACACTGATGTGCGCAGAACTCCAGCGTCGGACGATTCAGAAGCACTACGAGGACCGGATCAAGGTGAGTCTACTCATAGACAAGTCTGCTGCTGAAGCTGATATCCACGCAGAAGGTCTACGCGTGAGCTTGAGCTCCCGACACGGCGAATTCATTTGTAATACCAGAGAAGAAGAAGGGGGAGTGTCTTTCGGCAATGATGATGATTATTAGGGGTCAGGGGAGGCGTAATGGAGACGTGTGATTAATGGGTCATGTGAGAGATACTCGTACTTTCTCTTTCCGGATGGACGTTCTGCTAGTAGTTGTAGTACTGACAGACCTCGTCTGATCACTGACTCCGATACGTACCCCGAGACAACCAGCAGTTTCTGATCCTGACAGCGGCGCGCACGAAACTCCGAGAGTAGCCTCTGACCTGAGCTCACCGCGTAGCAGCTCCACAACGGATTGCAGATTGATAGTCCCATCTTGAACTACCTGATCGTTCATCGACGTAACTATAAATATAAGGTCTAATCTGATCATCAAGTCCATCAATACCTACTTCACCAAAGCCCCAAAAAGTAACCTCCCCTCCCCTATCCCCACCGCCTCTACCAAAGCTGCCCGCCTAAATGTCCACCACAGTGAGAGATAAGACCTTGAACGATGTACATGTATTGCCAAAGCCAGCCACTGTTTTGACCGTTTCTCCCGCATCTGGGCTTGTCGAACCCTGGGCAAGGCAGAATTGTCCGGGCGTGGCGGCGGCGAAGCGAGTGCAGGAGAGAGAGTTGGACGAGTTGTTCTTGCACGTCAGGGCATTGGCGGTTGCGGTAGCTGTATCTCCGGTTCTGATTTCGGACGGACCGGTGCTGGCGCTGAGCGTGTATACTGCGTGGTGAGCTAAAGTATCGCGCAGTTGACGTTGGCGCCATATGCATCTGATCGAGCAAAAACGGAGCCTTGCGTTGAACTTACAGATCAGACCACCGGTCTCCGTAACGACCCGATTTTGAGAATCAACGATGAATCGCGTCGCCGTCTGGAGTGTGTAACCCTGAGTGAGAGTGGCGGTGGTTGCCGTCTGGCCGAGGTAGGATCCACTGCCAGTTCGCTGAAGCACGAATGCCTTGCCGGTAAAGCCATTGGGGCTGTTTCTATCAGCACCCGATCACCGCGGCCGGTCACAGACACAGACACTAGTGGGACTTACGAGGTGGATGAGAAGGCCCGAGGGGCGGTCACCCTTTTAGTCGCCCGGCGAAGAATGTCCTCCTTGGTAGTCTGACGCAATTTGACTGGTAAGACGCTGGGGAGTGGAGTCAAGACCGCGAGATCCGGGTCGGAATGGAGAGAGAAGGGCGTGGGCACATCGTCTCTAATAGGTGGGACGGGGACCGCAGCGGCCCGGCAAAGCGCCGAGGTGATTGAGAGGATTGCGAGGAGAGGGGTGAGGAGCATGGTGAGACGAGTGAGGTTGCGTAACGTGAGGTCCAAGCAATTGAGGGAAAGCGGCGTGGTCGAGTTGCTGATGAAGCAGGGGTACTGGGCAAGACAGATTCTGCATCTTGTGAGTATTTATACGTGAGTCTTGCATCGTGTTGGAGGTACAGATCCTTCCTGGCAGGGCATTAGCAGAACTCCTGTTCTGACTCCTGGTCGGCAGCCTTCGGAAGCGAATTTGGAACGGCAATGGGAGCCGTGGGACCCCCTATATACACGGAAGCGAGTAGCGAGAGAGCCGGATGCAGATCTCTCGTCACACGGACAAGTTTTCTGCCAGGAATCTACCGCTTCGAGGAAGCCAAGCGCTGCAGAGCGGCATGCGAATTACCACTCCGGGCAATTGCAGAATGGCCAGGATTCCAGGAACGAAATTTAACTCATGTGCACATTCACCACGGGGCCGGGCCACTCATCGGTGCCGGTGCCTGATTCAGCCAGCCCTAAAGCTGCCGTAGCTGCTGCCGTCAGTTCGTCAGCCCACCTCGAAATGAAGCGAACTGAAGGGATCGGAGTAAGCAGGATCTACAAGAGTCCCCCAATTTGCCCCAAAAGACTGGAGGGGCAAGGGATGTAGATCGTCGGCTGATTTTGCCCTGATGTAAGATCTGACCGAATTGAACGGTGTCAGATCCAGGCACAGGCTGCGAGTCAAAGATCGTAAGGCCTAAAGGTCCGAGTCGGAGTATGTTCTCGGGGTGAAGAAGGAAGGCCGGGCTGTGGTCGTCTGCGGCTGGCGGGAACCCGGCGGCCCCGCCGAAGTGACTGGTGACGGAGGGGAGCGTGAGGAAAGGAGTGAAGAGCATAGTGTGTTGGCTGGGTTTGCGGGTAGTCAGGGACTGGGAGCATGCTTTGGAGCGGAAGAGTAGATTAGATTGCGGACGAAGCCGAAAAGCAGGAGTACGGGAGAACATTACACTGGTCCCGATATACATTGACATTCCCTGAGCGATGGCCAAGAGCGGCCTGGACGTACCTAGCCCTCAGCCCACAAACATCGCGGCACAGACTCATGATGGCCATGAGGCGGTAGCGGCATTGGACGACTCCCTCCACCGCCTCACCCCGCTTATGGATTCGCGCAGGCTACTTGCCCAGGTACATGATGAGTGGAGGGTAAGAGCCAAACGATTGGTGCCATTGAAGCGTCAGCCAAAGCATCATCAGTAGTCGATCAAGACAGCCAAGAAAAGCACATCCCCTCTTGCTATAGGGAAAATTGTCCCCCTCATTCCTTATCCTCCTTGTCATCATCCACCTCCAGCTCTTCATCCTCCTCTTCATCCTCACTAACCTCCCCGCCTAGCGCTTTTATCCGCTCCCTATCCTTCTTCCTCTTCTCACTCATCTCCTCCAGCAATACCAAAAGATCCTCATGCTCCTTCTCATTCTCCCCCATCTTGCCCTTGACACCTTCGAGCTCCTTCTCTAGCTCCTCGATCCGCTTCTTCTCCTCTTCCCCTCCCCCAGCTGCGGTGTTGACCGAGGAGGAATGGACGCCCGAATCTGGGTTCTTAACGGCTGCGCAGAGTGAGTGGATCTGATGTCTGCCGGAAAGGGGAATCATGCTGATGTGTGTGATAGAGCTGCAACGTCGGACGATCCAGAAGCACTATGAAGACAGGATCAAGGTGCGTACCTCGCTTGTGCCGATGCGTCTGGACTAGGATCTAGGCTGATGGTCCTCTAGAAGGTTTACGCCTGAAGCCCTGCACTTGACCGTTCACGTGTACCATACATATACGGGGAGTATAATGATGAGGGCTGGCTAAAGACATGGAGGCTGCAATGAGGAGTAATAGTGGTCATGTATACGATTCCCTCGCTCTCCTTGGGGTCCCCAGCGATACAGACATGCACCCATCGTAATTTACCTACTGTGCTAATAAATACTGTCCCTCATGAGACTGTGGGTCACATTTTGAAATTGCCAAGGGTATAAAGCAGTCGTACGATTATAACATAGCGTCCCACCCTGAACATTGACTATCCTTCCCTACTCTGACTGTCTCAATCCGCCTCTCCTACACGTCAACCAGCGTGAGGGAGATGCGCGGGTTCCGACCGCACAAGCCGGTGGTTGCAAATCGGACCTGAGCTCCGGCAGTACAGAACTCGCCAGGCTGTGCGGGGTCGAAGCGAGTACATGAGAGCACGCTTGCCGAGTCGATCCGACATGTGAGCGGTGCGTAATTACTGTTGCTGTCCAGTGAGGCTTGCGAGCGGGTATAAAGGGGAGCGGTGTTGGGACTGGAAGAGGCCACTACACGTCATCTTCTTCAGCTTGTGCCCTACTTCTCATATCTCTACTTGTCGTCCAGATGAATCATAATCGCAGGAGTGGAAGAGAAGTGGGATAATCGGGTGGACGTACGTATTTCGCTTGACGAGACGAGGCGGGATTGAGAGTCAAAGGTGAAACGCAAAGCGTCCGCGAGGGTATAGCCGGTAACGAGGGAGTCGGTGGGACTGGCCCGACCAAGGTATGACCCTGACCCCGCGACTTGGACAACAAACATGTTACCGACGAAGCCGTTCGGACTGGAAGGTGTCAGCATGTCGGCTTATGATATACCATCACCACATTGGCCGCGGATGGGATTACTGTCCGGTGTCGCGCGTGCGCAGATCAGATGGAACGTGAACGGAGACGACTAACGAGACGGAGGAGTAGGCCCGTTTTGCAGTCAGGCGCCGAGTGGCACGACGGATAATGTCCTGCCTGTTGGTCTGCCGGTCTCTGAGGATCGTAGGGATGTAGGCGCCGACCGTGGCTGAACCATGATCCAATGGGACCATGTCGAGGCCTCTCTCCGCCGCGCCCGCGCCCGCGGCTCCGGCGGGCACGGCTGTGGCCTGACACATCGCCGTAAGGAGGCTGAGGATGATGAAGACGGTCTTGACCAACATGATGATGCGGCGAGGGGTGGACTGAGTGAGAGAGGGATGTAGTGAGAGGGCCGCTCGACACGGGCTGTGATTGAGAGGACAGATGCAGGATTGGGAAACGAAGCTTGATGAGGCAGCGGTGTTGCATGCAAACAACGCATATTGAAAACCGGCTTCACGCATGCGCAGCAACTACATGCGGGTACGTATCACCTCAGCTTAGTACCATATGACAGACCCGGCAGGCACGGCGGATCTGAAGGTGAGGTACGACTCCAAGTATGGTATCTCGGTGTTTACGAAACCTCCATCGAAAACAAGCTGAAACGGCATGAAGTCAGGGACTGGCCAGGGTCCTATCAGGTATGCTGAGAGATGCTGACTCCTGAGCCGAGTAACTGCCGAGTACATGTGAGGAATCAAGGGTGTCCCGACTCGGCCGGGCCGACCAGCCGGGTCGTGCAGATATGCTTACATTGAGTAATAGATTAATTCTGTCTGGAGAGATGCTCAGAGATGCTCCTCCATCGCTGAAGTCGACCCCCGTCGTGAAGCTTGAAGTGAAGCAAGGAGTTGGGGGGGCTTGAACCGAGCCTAGGAGATGCTCGGTACCGCTCCTTACCGCTCAGCAGGGAGTAGATTCTCGGCCAGCTGCAGCAGAGGAATCAGCACACCTCACCTAATTCAACAAGACCTTGATACGCGAAACGGCGTGGTCTGACAATCAGGCATTCAGTACTGAGTCGGCAGTAGTGAGCCTGTGAGATCGCACTGCAAAGCCCTGTACAAAAAGTACAGGATATCGGAAGGAAGGAAGGATGGTCTCCAGTGACCCAATATCCAAATCATGCCTTGTCCTCCCCTTCACCCTCCTCTTCCTCCTCCTCCTCTTCATCCTCACTAACCTCCCCGCCTAGCGTCTTGATCCGCTCCCTATCCTTCTTCCTCTTCTCACTCATCTCCTCGAGTAAAACCAGTAGATCCTCGTGCTCCTTCTCATTCTCCCCCATCTTGCCCTTGACACCTTCCAACTCCTTCTCTAGTTCCTCGATCCTCTTCTTTTCTTCTTCCCCTCCTCCTACGATCACAGCAGGAGTCGCAGCAGCAGCAGCCGCCGCCGCCGCCGCACCACCCTTCTTGCCCTTCTTCCCACCCGCCCCTCCCCCACTCGCACTCTTCACCGACTCAAGCGCCACCTCGGCCGACTGAGCCCTAATAAAGCTCTCCCTCGCCTCCTTCTCGGCAGCCTCCACCCGCTCTTCCGCTTCCTTCAACTTGGCCTCAGATTCCTCCGCCCTCTTCTCCATCGCCGAGAGCATCTCTTTCGTCGTCTTGAGATCGGCTTGTGTGCGTTCCAGGTCAGAAGAGAGAGAAGAGGTGGATGCGGACTTGGCGCGCTCGGCTTCGAGCTGCGAAGTGAGCGAGTCGAGGTGGGCGGATTGGTCTTTTTGGGCAGACTCCGATGTGGTGAGGGAGGTGGAGAGGGTGGAGAGTTGTTCGGTGAGGGAGGAGACCTCTTTCGATAGCTTTTCCTTCTGCGATAGAGTCAGCGTGTACCCCTTAAAAGCGGAGTATACAGCGTATTCACCTCTGCCCGGTTCTCGTCATTGATCTTCGACAGCCTAGATTGAAGCTGCATCACCTCGTCCGTCTGCGCCTTGAGCTTCTGGCGCAGGGACATGATGATGGACGCAGTCTCGCCTTCGTCGCTGGATGAAGCTGCGTCTGTCAGTTTGAGAACTCATCCGTACCTGGATGAGGGCATGCTAACTCACGTCCTGATCCCCTGACCGCATCTGGCTCAATGGCGATACTCCTCTGGATAGTATCTGCAGATCAGCAGCAGCCCATACTCGTCAACATCTCCAGCTCGCACCACTCCCGGCAAAATGAGATCCGGACTCACAATAATGATTCTTCCAAAAGTCCACAAACGCCCAATCAAACCACAATTCCAGCCCCTCATCCTCTTCCACACCCATCTCCCCACCCTCTGCTCCCTCCTGCACATCCCTGACCGGCACAGCCACTGGGTGGTCCGCCGCTCCGCCGTCCGTGTCGAACGCGTCGGGCTGGACGGCGCGGAATCGGGGGTCCTCACGCAGCCGGGCCATGCGGGATACGAACTGGTCCGGACCTATACGGGAGTGGAGGATTGGGTGGAGTGTCGCGCTGCCGATCAGCGACATTGCACTGAGTCGACGAAATGAAGCCAGAGAAAGCGAGAGAGAGGTAGGACTTACCGAGTGATCTCTCCGGGTTCACGGTTGAACTCGTAGCATACACCCAAGAGGAACGCGCTCAGGCCCTGGACGAGCGGATCTATGCCCGTCGTTTGGGTGATGGGTTGAATGAGCTATACTCATCAGCTATTACCCTCTAATCCAGGTTCGCAGGTGGACCAGGCTCTTGAGGTCTTAACAACTCACAATCTGCAAATTCGCACTCTCCCCCAAAAATTCCTTGACGCTCCTCGGACTATCCCACAACCACGTACACAGCAACACCAAATACCCGACCATGACCCTCGTCCAATCCTCCTCGTCCATCCCTTCCGACCCTTCTGGCCTGATCCCATCCTTCGCCGTCCGATTCACCGCCTCCGCCTGTTCTCGGGACGCCATCATGAGGTTCCCGACCACAAGCTGGATCAGGCTCGCCTTGTCCTCTTCTTCCCCGCCGGGCGGGGTGAGTGTGATTTCGCGAGCGAGTTTCTTGGCGTGCTCGGAGGAGCGGAGGAGGTGGGCGAGGAGGAGGCAGGCGAAGAGGGGGCGGTATGGGTCAAAGGGAGTGGACGAGGTGGAGGGGAGGTCGAGCAGGCCGGAGAGGATGGTGGAGCCTGCGGAGGGGGAGTCGGAGGGTGTGAGGGAGGCGAGGAGGTCTAGACGGGCATCATCGTTGCCCGTCACATAGGCCTGATCTATCAGCTGCTATCTCGGCGCGTCCGACCATCACAGCTCACCTCGAACATGTTCACTCCGGCTGCCCGACCCCTCAAGCTCCGCCCTCCAGCCGCATCTCCCTCCACTACGCTATCTACCAGCGTAACGACCCCAGGTCTTGCTCCCTCCCGGACGAACCCGCCGTTCGGATTCGCGTCGTCCGCTGGAACGGGCACGAGCGGGCTAAGCTGCAACGAAGAAAGCAGGTTCTGGTTTGCAGTGGAAGAGAGGAGGATGGGTGTGAGGGTGTTGAGGGATTGGGATTTGATGCTGTTGGGCGCATTGGAGGAGAGAGAGAGTTCGACGAGAGCACGAGTGACGTTGGATGAAGCCATTGAGGACTGAAGAATAAGCTCATTCTTCCGATGTGATCACCAGGAGGAACGCAAGATAGAATCTAACCTGGTTGGTTCCCCCTGGACCGCCAATGACCATCCGGATCAGACCAAGCACCAGACCTGTATTGTGGATCTTTTGCTCGGGCCAGTACTGTAAGCAGTAGTCGTCTGGTGATTGCGCATCCGCAGTCAATCCAGCGGGGAAGCCAAGAATTGGCGGGATCGACGGGATGAGTGAGAGCTCGCGGAAATAGTTCTGCACCGTCAGCTAGTCCTCGCAAGTCGACGAGTTCGACAGCTTACCTGATTCGAGACGTTGAACCTCAGCAAACTCCCAACCGCTGTCAGCGTATCCTGCACCACAATCCCCCCATCAATTCCTCCCTCCTTGTCAATAATCTCAAACAGCTTCTCGAACGCTCCAGAGAACGCCACGATCTTCTGAAAGTCCGCATTCCCCGCCACCATCACCGGCAACAGCAACAGTGCTTCATTCCTGAGCATCTCGCGCGCTCCTCCGCCCATCCCCCCTGCACCTGCCGCAGCGCCCGCTGCTGAGCCTGGGGCCGAGGACGGCGGGGGCGCACGTGTGTCGAGGATGGAAAGGATACCTTCCAGTCCGGGCGGCGGTGCCGACATGATGTATGACTGCGAGAGGGCAGGGCGGGAAGTGAGGAGTTGCGAGAGGAATTGGAGGGTGTAGAAGCGGGGATAGAAGGATGGGGAGGTCGATAACATGTTGAGGAGGGAGTGGAAGGGCGTGGCGGTTGAGAGAAAAACGTCGGTGAAGCGGAGTCCAGGGTCGTCTCTGGCGGGCTGAGCAGTCAGCTTAGAGGCTCGAAGATATACAAGCAAGGTGTAGCGAACCTTCTCTGGCACTTCGCACAGCTGCATGAACGTCTCGAGGACGGCTTTGGCGCTATCGACATCATGAGGGGCATCGTGCTGAAGCACCGCCAAGAGGCTCTCCATCGCCGCGTTCCCGACATCCTGAAGGATCAGCTGCGACTCTGCCCATCATGACCCCACTCCGTCTTCGACGGTATGCTCACCTCCTTCCAATCCCGACTCAACCCCTTCAGTCCCAATACCGCCGTTCGCCTATCTTCCACCGCTGGACTCGTCTGTATCCTCTCTACCAGCTTCCCAATTGTCTCCCCTGCCGTCTGCGGCGCACCCAAGTCCCCTCGGAGCTGATTATACGCCGAGGAGAGCTTGGTCGAGAAGATCGAAGCGTATTGATTTCCGCCAAAATTCATGCTGGGCAGTATCTCTCCCGAGGAGCGGCAGTGTCAGGGGGGAAAGTATCGGGTCTGAGCTTCCCTTGTGCTGTAGCTTCAGCGTGTAGTGCCCAGGTCGGTATGGACAGGCGAGGTATGCAATCTATAGCTCCTGGGTACTGGACGCGAAGCAAATAGAAGCCAAGGCCAGGCCTGGACGCGTTGACCCTGGCCCACGGTGTGCTCTATCGTGGGAAAGCGGGAGCAATTTGAAACGTCAACAAAAGCCTCTTCTCCGTGTGTTTCGTTGAGCCATCCTCTTCTCTTTTCGCTCATTGTTCGCTGATACAAGGATCAAAAGGCACCACACAGCGAGAGAGGAGAGGGGGAGGAAGCGGTCAGGGAAGAGAGGAAAAGATATAGGGGGGTAGACGATCTAGCAGGGACTGCTCACATCCTACTTACAACTGATCATTTCCTAACAAGTCAAAATTTGCACGCCATGCTCAACCTCAAGAGACCCAGCATCACGCAGCTGTGCGCTGTCTTCGCCATCTTACAGGGTGAGCTGACACTATTGCTACCCCGAACCGATCTGAGCTAATGCGTGCAGGTGTCCTCGCTGCTCAGGTCTGCACTCAAGAAGGTTGCATCAAAGGCAAATCCTCTTCGAGCAGTAAGCCCCCTTACCATACTGATCTCGCCCAAGCTCATCCTCAGTGCTCTATACCGATAGATCATCCCGCAATTATCTCACTCCCGGCACCTACCCACTATACGACGATCTCGCCCTCTCCCAGTCCTCCCTTTCCGCCCCGCTCAATCAGACCACATGGCGGAACGGCGAATCCATTACCCTCACCTACCCCTCTCGACCCGCCGTCTTTGATCAGGCGGTCTACAGGGGCTCAGTCCAGAGCTTCAGCGGACTCGACTGGCGAGCGGATGAAGGGTGGAAGAGCCTGTACCTTCCGCAGGATTGGTATGCCGTGACGGGGGATGGGGAGGTGTTGTGGGGACCGGTGGTGGATGCTGGACAATTGCCTTCTGGCGTCAAGACAAGGATCAGCAAGGCATCTTCAAGTGAGTTTGCGCGACTGTACCACAGTGAAAACAAGCTGATGTGGTCAGCTGTATGCGATCCCCCGTGCTCTTCCGGCGGTCTCTGCATCCCGTCCCGCTCTGCTTCGAACACCGCGATCTGTCAATGCAGACCAGGGTGGGCCGGGAGTCAGTGCGAGCAATGTGCGCCAGGCTTCTTTGGATCAACCTGCAAAGGTACTTTATCATCAGCTAGCAGCCACATGACGCGTCGAGGACATAGCTGATCGATCAGCTTGTGATGCCGCCTGTACCGTCTGCGATGGCGGGCTATCAGGGACTGGTAAATGCCTGGGTACGGCTAAGGACGCCTCAGGTCAGTTGACGAACTCCCCTTTGAGCTCAGGACTCTCCGCGGGGTTAATTTGCTGATTTTGTAGCTTGCAATTGCGCGCACGGCACTTGTACCACCTCAGGCGATTGCACCTGCTCCGCCGGCTTCTCGACCAACACCACCACCTCCGACAAGAAGTGCAATACATGTATTCCAGGGTTCTTTCAGACCGGGACCGGAAATTGCAGATGTGAGCTGGACCGACAGAGTGTAGAAGTAACCGCTCATCAGCTGATATCTATAGCCTGTCCTGCGGGATGCTCCACCTGCCGCCTCAAAGACGGCACGGCCAACACAGCGATCTGCACCTCCTGTCGTCCGAACCTGACGCTCAATACTGCGGACCCCGCTCGATGTGTTTCCCGCGGAAGCTGTATAGACGGACAGTACTGGGACACTTCAACTACTTCTTGCTCATTGTGAGTGGCCATGCCAGAACAGCTCCTGGTCATAGGAAATTCGACCTAGAGCTGACACTCCAGATGCTCCCCGGCCTGCTCTACCTGCTCTGGTCCTTCTCCGTCCGACTGCCTCTCCTGCGCTCCGCCAAGAATGAACCTCGAAGGGCAATGCGTCGGGCTCGACTCGAAAGGTGTCTGTGACTCTAGCTTGGCTAGCGTCCAAGGGGTCTTTATCGCGAATAACGAGATTGGGAAGTGTGATGGTGAGCTCGCTACTGTTTGTCTTTCGTTGATGGACCGGGCCAGAGCTGACAGATACAGCATGTCCATCCGGCTGTACCGCCTGCAACATACCCAGCTTCTCATCAGTCTCAACTTTCGCTTCTCTCCAATGCTCCGCCTGCGCAGATGGGTACCTCCTCGAGAATGGCAAATGCGTCAAGCGGTGCTCGGCAGGCTGGTTCTTGCCTGGATCAGCAGACAGGACCGGAACATGTCAACGTAAGCTACCATTCCCCCTCTCGCGTCAGCCGGGGTACGAGCTGACCTTTCAGAGTGCTCATCGACATGCGCGGAGTGCCAAACCACCTCCACGAGCTGCACCCGCTGCCCCCTCGGCACGACCTTCGCCCTCTCCGGCCTCTGCGTCCCTACCTGCCCCTCCGGCACCATCGGCCTGAACAGCACCTGCACACCCTGCCACCCATCCTGCTCGACCTGTTCCTCCCCCTCGTCTTCCTCCTGCCTCACCTGCCCCTCAACCCTCCCCGTCCTCCGTTCCGGCATATGCACAGACCACTGCCCCCGCTCTTCCTACTTTGACCCCACCTCGAAATCCTGTCTGGGATGCGACTGGACCTGCGCCTCCTGCTCCAGCGCGGGCGACGGGAGCTGTACGTCCTGCGCGGACGGGTATGTTCTACAGGGCGGCAAGTGCAAGTCGGTGCAGTGTGGACAAGGCGGGTTTGTGCATGGTTCGGGCGCGTGTTTGGGGGATTTTGTGGATAAGGAGGATAAGCGCTGGATCGCGGGTCCGGCGGTAGGGGCAGTGTTGGTATTGGTGGCGATAGGCGCGAGTTGGTGTATCCGGAAACAGAGGAAGAGGACGAGGGAGCAGAGTCAGGCGTTTAGGGAGGCGATGGAGCAGCAAGGACCGGGGTCGGAGCCTGCGAAGCGGAGGTTGGCGATGGGTATGGGGGTCGGGAAGCTATTCGGGAAGGACAGGGTCTGGACGGGTCGCTCTGGTGGAGGGGAGGCGGGGGTCGCGGGAAGAGGGGAAGGGGAAAGGAAGAGACTCAGGGAGCTGCTCCTCCCGTCCCACCGGGCGCGTTCTGCCGCAACGGCCGCGACGGGGGAGAAGAGAGGAGATATCGAGCTCGCCCAGACGAAATACCAGGAAGCCTTCCCCCTCGCTACTCCGGGTCGACAATCAGCATATCTCAACCCTCCACCGCCATATGATCCCACTCCTTCTTCCTCCGCCCGCGCCTCTACGGTCCTGTCGTCAAATCACCTCCTCCCCCTCTCCAGCTCGCATTTTCGCCCGCCTTCCCCCTCTTACTCTTACTCCGGCTCATCCACTCCTTTACCTACCAATGCCACCTCCACCGGGCCCGGCCCATCTAGGCCATACGAGAACGCCCGAGCCCATCTGCTGCGGACGTTACAGCACCACGAGGACGATGTTGACCTTCTATCTTCTTCGCAACAGATCGACTTCTCCCTGCCCCTGATCCCTGCGCCGCCGCGAGCGATGACGGCCGCAATTGCGAAGGGGAAAGAGGAAGAAGAGAGGGAAGTGTACAGACCGCAACTTGTGCCTAATTGGAGAGCGGGCGAGAGGGCCGCAGAGGGACAAGGGACGGACGAGGAGGAAGTGAGGAGGCTGGAGAGGTTTGAAACGAGGTTGAGTGAGTTGTGGCCTGATATGGGGTCTCAGAAGAGGGAAAGGATAGGGGAGGGGTGGGTGTGATTGTTTGTGGTTGGTTTTTAAGTGAGCTAGCTATAATAGTCTTGAGTCGATGTATAAGCTACTATCAAGCCTGTCCGGCCAGACAGAGAATGTACAGTAATTCGCAACACATGGCGATGATAGCCAAGGTAAGATACGCAGACCATCGATACATGTACATGTGGTATACGCCAGAATCGAGATTGTTTGGCTAGCTGAATTATAGTCGAAAGTCCATGGGTCAAGTCAAACTCCAGAGCCTACGTCGCCGGCCTGAAACAGCCCCGCCCTACTTGGACACTGTGAACGCCTGATACGGATCCCCGTCAGACGAGCATGTCCAGACCTGCATGTTCTTGCTGGTCCCATACTAAGAGGGTAGTCAGCCGAGAGCCGCAGGGGATTTTGGGCCTAGCGCTAGATTCCCAGACTCACAGGCTTCTCAGAAGTGGGTCCCGACTCTTTGACAATGTCGAGGCATTGGTCTGACATATCAGCTACCGCCTCATCTGGAAAAGACAGATTCAACGTACTATTGGCAGTCTTGAGGACAGTCCCTGTAAAGTCCCACTTCTGCTGCGGAACCCCATCGGTACACGTGTATATCTTGGCTCCGGACCCGTTGGCGGGATTATCGCCTGCGTCGAGGCAGAGATTGGGGGAGCTGTGGACGCGTACGAGGCCGGAGGAACCGACGGGGAGGTCGAATAGCTGGAGAGGGGCGAAGGGGTCGGTGAGACTGAAGCAGCCAGTGCTGGTGGATTAGTAGCTACTGAGAAGAAGGCGAAGGGGCAGAAGAGGATGGACAGGAGCGAGAGATGAGAAGGAACACTTACAGTCCGACCCTGGTGTTGCTGCCAGCATAGCCATTAGCCACAGTCATGCACAGATCTGATCTGCCGACTGGGTGAAGACGCTGTCCCTGGCCTGGGATGTCTTGGAGGGTGTTGCCGGCACCGACGTCCGAGAGGAATCCGGATGGGGGAGCGGTACTGAAGTGCACATTCCAGGCTGAGGATCAGCCTGACTATACAAAGGAAGAAGAGAGGCGATAGGGTGGAAGGAGCAGCGAGGCTCACCCTGATTGTTATTGCCAGCAGTACACTGATACGTCTGCAGCCCATTATCGCCTTGATCGAGACACTGGTTCCCGCCCGTCTGTGCGATCCGGTTGTCGTCTGTGAGGTACCAAGTCTGTTGAGTGGATAGAGGGAACGAAGACCAGACCTGCGAGTCAGCATCAGGTCTCCACTGCCGTACCGCGGGACTTACCTTGACCCGACCCCCATTACCCGGCGTCAGCCCAATATCAAGCGCATGATTCGTGCCTGAGACCAGAACCGACCCGCTCCCCTTCGAGACATCCCACAAGGACGCAAGACCGCATCCGAGCGTGATGACTGGGGTACCATCGGTGACTTGACCGGCGGATACGGCGGCACGGCCACCTTGTACCGAGAGGCAGAATCCGGGGTTACGGCCTGATTCGATGAGGCGAGCGGTCTCGCGTTTGAGAATGGGCGTGGCTGAGATGAGTCCAAGAGCGGGGAGTAGGGTGAAGGCGAGGATGGGGAGCATGATGCTTAGATGTATGTTTGGATGGCGGGAAGATTGGGCTACGTGATGTGGATGGTTTAGGGGCGTGTTCTCGATGTACGAGATGAGGGAGAAGAGGTGATCTGGTTCTGTTACCAGGATAAGCGGCTATTATAGGCATCAGTGAGACTGCCAGGAGACTCCAGAGCTACTGGTAAGCAGCTAGGCGGTGGGGGAGACACAGATCTCAAAGTGGATCTCTGCTGCACCGCTGGTCAGCGCTTCAGCCACCACAGAATCATCGTCGTTCGATGGTGAGTGGATACGGACAGCACTCCAGCCCTGATCAGAGGATCAAAGCCTATGGCTGATTAGCGTGAAGGCGCACGCCGAGGCGTCCAAGCGCGTCAAAGGTAGGTACGTCAGGCCGCGTCAGGAGGGATAGTAAGCGCCGCGAGTGGCCCCTTGATGAGCTGTATCTGTCAGTACATGAGAGCCGGCAGACCTCAAAGTGGACACATACCATGCTACAGAGACTGCTTGACTTTGCATCGACGTACCGCTTTGTTCAAGTGCTCGAGAAGGGACAGCCATCGGACATCCGGTCGGCCCAGGCCATCAGAGTGTCCGAATGCTTCGTCCGACACCTCCGGCCGAAGCACAGCATTCCAAAGCCTGATCCGGACGCTACATACTACTGGATCGTGATGGACACCGCGACGATCATTCAGGGGGATAAGCAAAAGCAGGAATCAGTAAGGGAGGACCCCAGATCTGCACGCGGCGTCATGCGGGCGAAAATATTAGAGTTTGAGGAATGTGAAACGAGCGCCTCATGCCGTCATTTTCAACTCCGACCAATTAAAGTCCGAAGCCGGAAGGGGACAAGCGGTGCAGCATCTGCTGATTCCCTCCGACGCTATTCCTCACTGCTGCACTAGGCTCCATCGGGACTCGAGCTGCATGACCGTCTCTCGCCTTCCGAACCCCTTGAGTCACTCATGGCGCGCGGCCGTCATTATTGCCTCAAAGCGACTCGTGACTCGAAATGGGGAGCTTTGAGTTGCGCGCTCCGCGCTTACATCCGGACCGGCCGGGTGCCTGATCAGCCCCACTCACTAGGCGCCGACGTATGTGTACTACCCTGTTCTCCCCCACCTTGATGCTCCGGATGCTGTCCCTACCGCTTTAAAGCGGTGTCATCGATAGTCACATGTTCTGGTCCTCTCGCCCGCGTTTCCAGCCCCGCCCGCATGGACCTCCTTTACTCGACAGATCTGGTGCAAACACGCTGACCAGCAGATGGATATAAGAGCAGGCCCCTCTCTGCTTACTTTCTGACATCCCCCTCAGTCTAATCCCCATCACTAAACCATCCACCACAATCTACAGCTACCACCATCTGCACCCTACCACTCAAGATGCTTTCTTCACTCGTCACCCTCCTACCCCTCCTCGCCCTCGTATCCGCCACTCCCATCGCCAAGCGGGACGCAAGCCGGCTCATCGAGTCGGGGCGTAACGGCGGCTTCTGTCTTTCCGTCGAGGGCGGTCGCGCCGCTGTTGCCGCAGGAAAAGTCACGGACGGTACCCCTGTCGTGACTCTCGGCTGCCAGGCTGCCTCCTTCTGGGACATCTCCAGGGGCAGCGGATCTATCGTTGTCAGCGGCACGATCTATGCTTTTGACATTGGACTTACCCCAGGCAACAACGGCCCGGTCAAGGTGAGTCTTTCTGCCATTGAGAGGTGGGCAGCGCTGATCCCCAGGTCTGGACGTCGTACCCTACCTCTACCCAGCAGACTTGGTACCTCACCGACGACAACCGTATCGCTCAGACTGGCGGTTTCCAGTGCCTCGACCAAGGCGACAATGGGCCACAGACGTATGAGTGTACCACGGGCAATACCAACCAGGGTGAGCACTTATATCTTCAGAGCGGAGGACCAAAGCTGACGTGCAGTCTGGAATGTCAGGTTCAACGACCCCCCGCCCACCCCCTCAGCTTCCGCCTCATCCTCGGCTTCGGCCTCGGCTTCGAGCACAGTCCCGCCCGTCCCCTTGCCTACCCCTACCGACATCCTGCCCACCGTCCCCAAGAACCCCTCCATCGTCAAGGATATCGCGGGTCTCGGTCAGCGTCTCCGCCCTCTCGGTCGAGAGGATCTCTGCGTCACTGTTGCGGGTGGCTACGCGGGTATTGGTGCCCGAGTAGGCATGTGAGTTTCATCCTCTTACCCCTTCTTCGCCGGCGAGATACATATATCGAGAGTACAGCTGACAACGCAGCGCTGGGTGCTTCGGAAACGGCGACACCTTCACCGACCTCCAGCTCTTCGATCTCCCCGCTGAGGGCACTGCCGGTCCCGTCCGTCTCCACAGCCAGCCTCAACTCTGCCTTGACGCCGGTGACAACCCCGCCAACGGTATCGGCGGCAAGATCTGGACGTGCTACGAAGGTCTCGCGCAGCAGCAGTGGTTGTTCTCTGGCAGCACGCTCAGGACCGCCAACAGTGAGTACTTTCCCTCTCTACTGCTCCGCACTGCTCGGCAAGGGATTATAGCTGACCAAGTAGACCAATGCTTTGACGTCGTCAAGGAGTCCGGACCCAACAACCAGAAGCCAGTGAGTCTCATTGGAAAGCCTCTTCCAATTCTATCTCAAGCTGACCCACCAATAGTACGGTACACAAGCGGACACTCAGACGTGGGAGTGCTCCACCAACGGTGACCCTTACCAGTCCTTCCACGTCCTGGTCTAGGTTCGGAAAGGCGAAGAAGCAAGAAGCAAGTCAAGCGGACAGGATTGGACATTGTCTGGACTATAATAGAACTAGGCCCATAGTGTTTATAATCATGTACAAGTCTGCTACATTGTGATTTCTCCATCTCTTTGGTTAGATAGCAGGATGACAAAGGGACACTCCGTGTATACACATTCTAAGCTACTACGTCTATCAAGAGCGTTCCACTTGCAGCCTCCCAAACCCAAACGAGACCCCCAAACGAGCAAGAGAAGTATCTTTTCCGATCCCTCTGTCACCCCCATCATCATCGCCCCGCTCAGAACATCTGCCTGTTCCGCATCTCCACCGGCAAGAACACCATCGCAACCGCCGCGAGCCAGATACCGCCCGCACCCAACCACAAGATCCCGGCCGAGTTATTGGCGAGATAGTACTGACCCGCAAAGGGGGCGACGATACCGGCGAGACGACCGAGGCAGGAGAGCATCCCTGAAGCGGAGCCACGGTAGGCTGTGTCGAAGAGCTCGGGGGCAGAGGCGTAGAGGACGGCATTGAAGTACTAGATGATCAGCGACGTAGAGATTAGTAGACTTACAGTCTGCATCAAGTACTCCATCGCGTTCAAGCCGACGTATCCCACGGTCGTCTTGACCTGGGTGTACATGGCCATTGACAACCCCTGCATCGCCGCCGAGAACACCAAAGACCACTTTCTGCCAAAGAGCGGGAGGGAGACCGAAAGCAGCGCGAGTGCCGCGCCAAGGATACCGGGAAGGGCAATGTAGATGTACTGACGATACGTCTCGACGACGGTGCCTCGGCCGGTCGAAACGTTGTTTTGGAGGAGGACGATCGGGAGGAAGGCGCCCGCGAGGTTGAAGGACCAGTAGTCGCCCATGTAGGTGATGGCAAAGAGGATAAAGATGAAGAGTTGGAGCTTGTTGGTGAAGAGGGCTTTGAGATGGGTGATGGAGGCGAGACTGCGTCGAGTGACCCGCATGGCGTGCGCAGCGGCCGTGACCTCGGCCTCGACCGGGTCCTCGGCGGCGAGTGTCGTGCCCGAGAGGGTAGTCTCGGCCTGCTCGAGCTCCCGGAAGTGCTGCACGGTGAGGGTAGGAGGGGGCTGCTTGTTGAACTTGGCGATCGAGTGGAGGACGTCAATCGCCTCCTGCTCGCGCCCGCGGCTGAGGAGGAACTTGGGCGACTCGTGGAAAGTAAAGACAAAGTACCGGAGGAAGAAGATAAGGAGAGTCATGAGACCCATGATGATGATGTTGTACCGCCAGCCCATGTTGTCCTCGACTCGGCAGCAGGCGACGCCGTCTGCGACCGTGTTGCAGCCGAGGAGACCGGCGGCGCAGCGGTATTTGGCGGTGGTGCCGTAGGCAATAGCGCAGGCGCAGATGACTCCGATGGGCTGCCACATGGAGAGGAGGGAGACGAGGTTGCGTCTGTTCTGAGGGAGGAATTCGAGTGCGATGAGGGCATCGATGGGGATGTTGCCGCCGAGACCAATGGAAGCGAACTGCGGGTCAGCTGATAGTTGAGCAATTCGGAAGAGACGTACGAGGTAGATGGCGCAGATGGCTTCATAGTTATACTTGGGTGCAGCCTGCAGATCAGCTCCAGTCCAAAGTGCTCGTCAGCAAGACTTACCATCAGGAGACCAATGACCGAGGTGATCAAGCAGGTGATGTTGAACGCCCACTTCCTGCCGATGATGTCGACGATGATACCAAAGCCGAGCGCACCAGTCCTGGCAGTCAGCAAGCGCGCGCGGCTGGGAGGCGGCCCCGCCGCCGGGCGCCCCAGCAAATGTAGAGGGACTCACGCAAGACCGACATTGGCGAGGGTGAAGATAAGACCGGTACGGCTGTTCGGGATGCCCATCTCTTGGCTGAAGATGTCAGCTGAGTCCTTAAACATGGCGGCTGACTCCGAGACCACACGCCCTCCATGGGGCCCGTTCCATTGGTTCACGGAGCTCTCTTAAGCTTGAAACGCCAGGATACATCTCGCTTCTTGCGCACTGACAAGGAAGAGCACTCACTAGATGGCAGTAGAGGCGAGACCGATGGTCCTGCTCCATGCGAGATCCAAAAAATAGCCAAATCCTGTTAAGAACCAAATACAGATCTGGTACTTGCCCATACCCATCTTGTCGATCTCACTGAGGGGTCAGCATACGTCTTTATCTCATATGCCCAGTCACCATCTCCGTCGTCCGACCCAGCTGGACCGACTCACGCATTGATCAAAGCCGCCTTCTTCTCAAACAGGTTCATTCGGTTGGCGACCGAGCCCTTGAGGATAGCAGCCGCGCTGAGCGCTTGCTCGTCGGGAACGTCGTGCATGGCGTTGAGATACTGCGCGGGTGCGTCGGGATAGTCGGCGCCCTTGGACTCGTCCGCGAGCGTGTTGTCGTGCGCCATCACATCCTTTGGTGAGCCCGTCGAATCGCGCATGGCGGCTTGAAGGTAAGTTGAGGTTGGGGAGTGGGAGTGGGAGCCAAGTGATGAGGAGTTGGCGCTGGCGTGAGGAGATAAGAGCTGGATCAGCGGGGTGAATAGTTGGGAGAAGCTTGAAAGGATGATGAAAGATGTCAGTTCAAGTCAGTCCCGACTCCCGATGATCTGCTTCTCTTCCGCACCCGATCGGCTCAAACTCTACCAAGCCACACTCATCCTCCCGCATCAGCCCGCATCCCTTCCTTCTTCCTCCTCGAGTTTTTCCGTTCCTCTGCTGATGCGCTGTCGGCTTGGCTGATTCCCACACAACTACGAAACAGGCAAGGGGATAAGGGAATGGAATCCGTGCCTGGCCATTCCATTACAGTTAATATCCCCGAAGAAGCAATTCGGCTTCGCTGATGTCAGGTACAGCCGCGGATTACGTCCTACCGCTACTTCCTTTGGGGTATATCCCTAAGATCGGCAGCTTCGGCAGCGTCAAGTCGTACTGGCAGCGATATCGATGGCGGGCATCGATCGGGACAGCAACGGATGGAGGAGAATGGATGGACAATACAATCATCGAAGGTGAGAGAGCTGACAATGGGAGGAGCGGAAGTGAAGTACTGATCAAACGAGATATGGCTTTCGCACTCAGACGACCTGCCGATATATTATCAATATTGATGTGGTTGACCGTTGGACCACGCCGAGCCCGGCGCCAACACCCAGTGATCCCTGGCCTGCTTGATTCATATCTCCACGGTATTATTGGCGTCCTTGCCCATAGACGCTGCGGAAGACCGCAAGCAAATTTCCTTGTTCTATGTCTCCCTACACCAGATGTTCAGGATTCATATACTAACTTCTCCACTTCATCACATGCCGAGAGGAGAAGGCGTAGGATGGGACTGATCAGCCTCCAGCAAGCCGGAAGCTCAGGAAGTAGAGGAGACAGAGCTGAGTTGGAGTATTGGAGAGATCCATTGATAAGTGAATCAGCCTTGATCCGCGGACTTGCTAGTATGTTAACGAGGCGGATAACTCTGCCTGCCCCTGAGTCACTCATAGCTCACCTCACTGCACTGCACAAGGCATTGGTTTGCATACTTTACTATAAAGACTACAGGCTACGTCAGTCAAATGTCCTTGATTGGTTGTCGCTACACTAGATACTGATTGTCCATCAACTCATCCTTTTGCCTTGATTAGGCAAGGACCTCGAACTGCTGGTAGGGGTCGCCGTTGTTGGAGCACTCCCAAGTTTGAGCATCCCTGTCGGTGGGGTACTATCATTCGCATCAGCTCGAAGTCGGACCGGGTCAGGGCTGATGTGAACTCACGGGCTTCTCGAAGGACTGGCTGGACTCCTTGACGATGTCGAAGCATTGGTCTGACGATCAGCTCATGTCCACACCGGTTAATGTGATGCTGAACTTACTGTTCGCGGTGCGGAGAGTGGTACCGGAGTAAGTCCATTGCTGCTGGGCAAGGCCGTCGTAGCAGGTGTAGAGCTTGGCACCGACGCCGTTGGAGGGGTTCGAGCCAGCGTCAAGGCAGAGGTTGGGGCTGCTGTGCACGCGGATTGGGCCGGTGGAGCCCTGAGCGGGGACGTCGAACAGCTGGGCGAAGGTGAAGGTGTCACCGTTGGCGAAGCAGCTCGCACTGAAGATCAGTAAGAGTCTCGTGGTATTCGATGGGATGACTTACAGTCCGACGCGGGTGTTGATGCCGGCGAAGCCACCGGCGACGGTCACGCAAAGGTCGTCACGGCCGACGAGACGGATACGCTTACCCTGGCCGGCGACATCGGCGGGGACGTCACCCTTGGGGATGCTGGGGAGGGGGTCGCTGCCCGAGGAGGCGGGGGCGGTGGTGGTGGCAGGAGTGGAAGCAGTGGTGGTGGAGGGGGTGGAAGATCCGCTACCGGCGCCGGTGTACCAGACTGCACATCAGCAAAGGAATCGAAGGAATGAAAGAAGGTGAGACTCACTCTGGTTGGTGTTGCCGGTGGTGCACTCGTAGGTCTGGACACCGTTGTCCCCCTCGTCGAGGCACTGGTTACCGCCGGTCTGGGCAATACGGTTGTCGTCGGTGTAGTACCAGGTCTGCTGCTTGGCGCCGGGGTACGAGGTCCAGACCTAAAAAGAGTTAGCAGAAGCATCGGTCAAAGTATCGAAAAAGACCTACCTTGAGGGCGCCGTTGTTGCCCGGGTTGAGTCCGATGTCGAGAGCGTAGCCGGTGTTGGGGACGGTGATGGATCCGCTGCCGCGGTTGATGGACCAAGTGTTGGCGTTGGCGCAGTCGGTGGTGATGACGGGGGTTCCGTTGTCGATCAAGTTGTACTTGAGGGTGTTAGGGAGACCGGCAAGGGCGAGACACTTGCCGTCGCGACCGGCCCGGATGAGGACACTGTCGTCGCGCTTCTCGATGGGGCTGGCCGAGGCGACAGCGAGAAGGGGAAGAAGGGCAAAGAGTTGAGCGAGCATGTTGATTGGAGTTGAGCTGATGGTTGGATGGGTTAGTTGAAATGTGTTGAGGTGGAGTTGCCTTGGATGGAGGATGGAAGAGCTCACTCGATGCCTTTTATATGTCTCGAGTGGGGGTGAGTCACGGACCAAAACAACCCGTGACATGCAGCGCATGTGGACAGCAAGTAACGTCATCCCGGTCAGACCGTGCAGCGAACCTTAGAAAAATATTTGAAACACCGCCACTTCTGCCGGAAGGGGATGGGATCTGCGATGACCTGTACCGCTTGTATGATGCGTCTCGCTCACGGAGCATTCGCGGCGCAAACATACGTCTACCAGCTTGACGTCTGCGATGACCACAAGGCTGTGTAAGTTGTTCGAGTGAAGGGCATATAGAGTGGCGTGAGGAGCGCATGGTCAAGATCTGCGATCGGCAGATCCGCTGCAGATCCTACGGACCTTTCAAAGTTTGCCGAAAGGGGACACAAAACAGTCTAATTTGGGAATCTTGGCGAGGAATGAGGAGAAATAAGCTTGCTGCCTGACCGGATGCTTTTTGCAAGGGGACTCAGATAGACTCAGATCCCCTCAGATCCTGACGCAGTGCGGACCACTGTGCGGACGAGTGACGACGCGTTCGCGCACAGCAACATCCGTACAGCTGCATCGCACCTATGAGTAGTGTATTCCTCCAGGGCTGACGCTACAGGGAGGTCGGCTCGGCCAAGCGCATCAGCAGCATCAAAGCCCACGATCTGGAGCTAACGAAGTGCCAACAATCACGCTTTGATTTACGTGTACAGGTTACCGGACAATTACCGGGCAAGAGAGGATCTCGGACTGGTCTCGGGCAAGTAACAGCCCAACGTCTCTGTTTAGACTTCGTGGACGATCATCCCTGGCGATTGTCTGCGCACGTTAGACCGTTGCTTCTGGGGTTGATCGACCACGCGTATGCTGACGAGTAGCCGTAGATTCGGAGGGGCTGGATCTGCAACTCACGATTTCCGTACGTCTGGTCATTGAAGTCTCTGAGACTCAGCCAGTACGACCCTATCTATGCCTCTTGTGTAGCGAGGGCGGAGGGCGGGCATCGATCGAAAGGAGGAACAGTGACAAGCACGGCCTATGGCACTCGTACGAGACGCTCTTCAGATCTCAGAAGCAAGAGGCGCGGATGCGGGGGCTAGAGAGTTGCCGGTCGATTGAAGCTGTCCCCACTCGACAAATGAATGATGAATAATCGTCTACGGGCATACAGTGCTAGCACTCCCCCAGTGCACTCAGCTGCGAAGCTGAAGGTCAGCAGACGAGAATCAAGCACCACCATCCTCATCTGGTTCAAAGCTGCAGAAGGAGACCCGAAGCTGAACCGGCGGCAAGTGAATCATAATCATCCTAGACATCCACTGCTGTGATCAATATCTGCTGGCGGCTGCGCTGACGTTCAGACCCTCCTCAAGACCGAAGCGAAACAAGCACACACCAATGTCCGAGCTCGCTGGCGGATCCTCGCAGTGATGAGGGTCGAAGTATGACCGGGTGGAAGATCCAGAGCAGAAGATAGAGGTCGACGTCGATCCGACATATATGGGTGGGGTTCTGGGGAACGTGCGGCAGCAGAGGCTTATCGACGATGCGGGGAAGACGTGCGGGACCTGACGGGCATTCAGCGGGGCTTGGGCGTATGCAGCGGCACTTGGAAGTCAGCTTAAGCTCTCTTCTCGAGCTCACCCTTTCACAATACTGATACGACTCTCATCTCGCCGTTTCACAGTACTGATACGACTGACCACCTATAGAGTACTGACCAGGACAGCCAGCTCCGCGGGTGGTTCAACCTTTGAGACTGATCAATTCGGTCGTGTACCGGAGCTGTGTGGCGGCGCAGACCGCTCGAGTCCCAGCGATGCGCACTACGGTCATGGCGATGCTCCGGCTGTGGCCGGCGAGGTCAGTAAGGCACGAGGCACATTGCTGCTCCTAGATAGCTGAGTGGCTGTTAGGGGAAGAGAATGGCGCTCCTGAAAGCATTCAAGTGCTCCCGAATCTCGTACCGTAACATGACTACAGAGCGCCTGATGCCTATCTACAAATGTCCCAGAATCAATCCTACGAGTCAAGCCAAAGGAGTACAAAAGACCATGTCGAGTCTCGCCTTTCCTCTAATTCTTCGAGTCGATCATCTCCCCAGGAATCGACTCCACGCGCGCATGCGACCTGTCATACACCTCCTCCGCCTCCCTCAGCGCAGCATCTACCGACCCGCTGACTCCCGCCCTCGACACATCATGGATGATACTCATCCTTATCGCTAGTATATCTCGGTCTCGCCGCTGAGCCTCATTCTCCCTCCTCAGCTCCGTCAGTCTGGCCAGTAGAGCGTCCGTGTTGATGATGGACCTCGCCTCTTGCTTTCTGGCGTGCTGGACCTCCCGATCGAGGACTAGGAGTTCCTGCCGGAGGAGGTAGTTGGACTCGTCGTAGGCGGCTATTGTCAACACGGCGAGTAGGTTGACTCCGGTGGGCATATGGACCTGAGGGGATTGAGGATGGAGGATGAGGAGGTTGAAGCTGGTTGTCAGCAGCCAGTCTGTGCATAGGATGTCGCTCCCCGCTCAGGCTCAAGGGGTCCTCTCGACCGGACCCGCCCAGCGAGAGGCTTAGTTGAGCCTAATCCCAGCTGGACTCACTGGTCTGCTGGATGGATCTTTCTAATTGTCAACTGATGAGAAGCAGTTATATGTCAGGAAGGGAAGCTACTATGCCCTGGACAGTGCAACAAAGCATCCAGCACCTGCTTACCCCCGTCCCCCCGTTCAGATCTGCCGTAAAGACGGGGCTGACTGAGGAATGCGGAGTTCCGTATCTTTCCGACGGAAAGGGGGCACCCTGAGCTCGGAGCCTGTTATCGCGACGACGCGCCAGGACGCGCCCGTCTCTCTCTCCTGCATCTGCCTCTCATCGTCGGACTCGTCGGCTTATTAAACCCTTTGGACCTTATTCCGGCGGCGCCAGATACTATCCACATAGGTGATTAATATCTAGAAAGCAATGGTTCTCGAGCTAAAATCACAGACCAACCACCGAAAACCCCTGCCCTGCCCATCATGCCGACCCCACTCGTCCCCGCCACTGCCTCCCCCACCTCCACTTGCTCGGCCTGCAAAAGAACTCAAAAAGCACTGCATACTCCACTGAAAAAGTGCGGCAAGTGCAAGAGCAAACTGTACTGCTCTGAGCACTGCAGCATCGCCGTCTGGCCGGGACACAAAACGGAATGCCAGGCGATCCGCGCCGGCGCGACCGCACCCTCCCGCCCAGCTTCGACGACCTCCATCCCAACCCATCTTCCCGGCCAAGGCGGCGGTCCCCAGATGCTCGTCGACGTCCTCGAGGGGATGGGCGTCGGGGCGGATTCCACCATGGTCCGTGCGGTTGACGAGGCGGCCCCGCCGCCGACCGCCTCGGAACCCGGTCTCGTCGCCCTCACTCGCGGCGCGGCTCCCAATGCGTATCTCTCGCGCCTGTCGGAAGCCGAAGCGGTCAACCACCTGATCGACTGCTTCCGCCTCCGGTGCGCTGACGAGATGAAATTCAACAATAACCCGGTCGGGCTGTATAAGCGGGAGGACCCCATGCTGGAGTTTAGGGCGTTTCTCAACATGGCGGAGGATAATAATGTGCTGCCTGTCTGGTGGAGCGCTCAGCGGCGGTGAGAGGTGGAGGCGATCGCAGAGGACAGAAGTCAGCTACGGAGCGTCCACAAAGCGGTGGGGAAAGAGGACATCATCGCCCTGCATAAGGGAGACTCGCATATGCCGATGAAGCTGAGGGGTCCGGCGGAAAGGGTTTATGGGACCCCAGTGCAGCGTTAGATCGAGAGAGGAGGTGGCGAGCGGTTCACGAGGCGGCCCCGCCGCCGATCGCCCCAGGTTTGCGGGTGGGGAAGCTAGAATGGTATCGAAGGCTATCAAAGGGGATCTCTCTGTAGTAAATAGTTTGTTGATCAGTTTGTCGCAGGCCACTACACAGCATGGCTGCTGCAGTTGTCCTACAGGCTTCTATTCCTATAGCTACGTATACGTACCGCTAATTAAGGCCTCTTGCTGTTCGCTATAGGCCATCCACATGTGAAGAACAATAGTCGCCAGGAATGTTCTGAAACCGGAACCCCTGCGTACATCTCTTTGCCTTTTGTCCATATGTAGAAACACTCTTGTCCCCTTTCTCGGGCATGTGATCCACATCATTGCCATCGGATCTACTGCACATAGTGAGTGATCCGTAGCTGGTCTTGTGAGCCCCGCACGGTAGAGACGCACGAGGGAAGAGCTAATTTCTCCAGTTCTAAGTTCTGCCCAAGATGTCGGTCGCCACACCCATCGCAACCACCGCCACTTCCGCCTGTGCGGCCTGCTTTACGCTCCAAGCAGACCTCGAAGTACCGCTGAAGCGGTGCGGCCAGTGCAAAGCGGTCCTGTACTGCTCGCGAGACTGCCAAGTCGGCGCTTGGCCTGCGCACAAGGCGGAATGCAAGGCTTTACGGACCGGCGCCGCCCAGCCAGCCCCACCTCCTCCCAAGGCGTCCAACCTCCTCGGCGACCTTCTAGAGAAGCAGTCTCGCGACACCCCTCCCAACGCTCACCTCTCCTCCCTCCCTCAGGCGGATGCCATCCGTCAGCTCATCGACGCGTACCGCCTCCGCGTCGAGGACGAGTACAGCTTCAACGGCGAGGCGTGCGGGCTGTATGGCGGGGAAGACCCCAATCCTGGCTTCATGGATTATCTGCATATGGCGGAAGAGAGGAAGATATTGCCGGACTGGTGGAGCAAGAAGAAGCGGAGGCAGGTGGTTGCGGTTGCGAATGATACGCAAGGGAACAGCTGCATCCATCACGCGGTGGAGAAGAGCGATATCAGCGAGGCGTATGGGGATGGGATGATGCCTATGGTGCTGAGGAATCTGGCGACGAGGATCTATGGAGAGCCCGTCAATAGCTTCGCGAACTTCGGGTGGTGAGCAGTATTGTTGGGAAGGGCGGCGGGGAGCGGCACGGGCGGTTGAGCGTTGTAGATTCTGTTCTAGTTCTCGGGATGTAGTCTTCTAAGCACTCTTCTATGGATGGTGCGCCTTGCGATCTGGATAGATAGCCTGCCCCCAGATCCTACCACAGCTGCAGCAGCGCAGCAGCAGAGCGATCCGTCGCCGTTGTCTAAGCCACGTGAAGCGAGGAATGCGGAGCTCGTCCACTCGGCAGCAAGCAAATCTGCTACCAACTTGTCTTGCAACCATGTCTTATCTTCGACACAGTTCAGTAAGCTACCCTCTCATACGATCTCAGCTGAAATGGCACTAATAATCACAGCTCGCTGCAGACTCCCACTTCTCGGCTCCTCCCTTCCTATCCCTCAACCGCACATTTCCGCCAATCCTTCGCTCCTCCCTAATCCTCTCCAGAACCCGCACGATGCCAGCACAGAAATCACGCGTGGAGATCACACCCCTCTCTACATGCGCGGCCTGCGAGACACCGCAAAAATATCTTCGAGACCCGCTCAAGCGGTGCGGCAAGTGCAAAACCACACTCTACTGCTCTCGGATGTGCCAAGCCTCGGACTGGCAGGGACACAAGGCGCGATGTGGAGCGATCGCATCTCCTACGCATATCATAGGCGGGCTCGGGTCTAGCCTGACAATCGTACATCCGGCGCCGGCCGCGACTGGATCAAAGCACATGGCAATATCAGCGCGAATCGTCCCGGGTCACGAAACCACTCAGGCGTCCACTCACAAGGTCCCATCTGCTTCATCAAAAGCGCGTATCACGGCACCTGGCCGGACTCCAGGCTCACGCCCACCACCGTCGCACATTGAGTACGATAAAGGCGGGTCTGCTCTCGTGGGCGAGGTCCTCGCCGAAATGGGGATCACCGACCCGGCGAAGAGAGCCCACGCGCACGCGGCGGCCAAGCCTCATTTCTCCCAGCCCCTCGCTTCCTCCTCCCCGCTCTCCTCCAGCTCAGCTGCACCTAAACCCCACACCTCGTCAGCCAAGCCCTCTTCCTCTCCTAACTGTTCCCCGCCCACCCGGTACGACATGGGCGACTCTGCCGCTCTCGACAACCTCCTCGCCGGTATGGGAATCACCGACCCCTCGGAAATAGCCGCTATGCGCGCCGCGTCCATGCCTACCCTCTCCGTCCCTCCTCGCACCCCCAAAAAGGACATCCCACTCCCCACCCCGGAGAATGCCTACCTCTCGGCTCTCCCCCTCTGCGAGGCTATAGAGCAGCTCATCGATGCGTTCAAGCTCCGATGCGAAGATGAAAGCCTCTCGAATGCTCGGTCGGCGGACACTTACGGCGGAGGATACCGCATGCCTCTCTTCCGCGCGTACCTTGACGCTGCGGAGGAAAGGGGGACTCTGCCTGGATGGTGGAATTGGGAGAACAGGGAGACGACGGAGGGTTTGGTTTGTGACAAGGAGGCGGGGGTCTATCTGTGGGATACGGTGTCAGAGCAGGAGCTCAGGGAGAAATGGGAGGATCAGGCGGTGCCGACGAAGCTGCGCAAGTTGGCCGAGGAGATATATGGGATGGAGGTCAAGAGGAATGGAGGGAGTGAGACGGGCCGAAAGACCGCAACGGCCAAGCACCTCGCGACCTCGGCTACTCCTCTCTCGTCCGCTCGCGGTGCCGCGCCACCCGCTGCTACCAAAGCGTCCGCCCCGCCCGCGGCACCGGTCACAACATACCGGCCTTCACACCGGCCTCCTCCACCTGCCGCCCACAACGACGGTGGGTCTGCTCTTCTCGACGAGCTCCTCGCCCTTATGGGCGTCACCGATCCCGAGGAAGTAGCCGCAGCGCGCGCAGCCACGGTGCCCCATCTTTCTGCGCGTCCAGGTCGGGCGTAGGACTCAAGGAGAGGACGCTGGCGGTACGGAGCGGGGAGAAACGGGGAGTCGATGACTTTGGGAAATGGACATTCTGGAGGGTATCCGTCTAAAGCTTGATGTATATGTCAGGCAGCTCACGGGCTGGAAGAGTCAAGTATCACGATCAGGATTTATAGCATTACCATGGGTGCATCATCATGCATCAGCACGGGCGCTGTGCCACATCTGAGCTCTGAGCCACGTGGCTTGAGGAATGCGGAGTTGAGTCTGGCGGCTCGGCCAGACTTGCAGGCGTCATGCGACCGATCTCCGACCTTCAGCACATCACATATGTAACACTGGTAAGCCCCAGCTCGGCTGCAAGTTAATATTAGAGTACTGCTGACTCGATCAGTCTGGGCGAGACGAGCCCAAGAAGCCAACATACTACGCAAATCGGCATCCCATCCAAAACCTTCGCTCACTCCCATTCACCCGTTTACGATGTCATTACCCTCACAGCCCACACGCGTCGAGATCTACCCCACCTCGACCTGCGCCTCCTGTATGGTATCTCAAAGGTCGCTCCAGGAGCCGCTCAAACTCAAGCGGTGCAGCAAGTGCAAATTTACGTTATACTGCTCGCGGGCGTGTCTCAACTCCAATCGGTCGTCCCATCAGGCGGTATGCGACGCCATCTGCGCCGGGACGAGACCAGTCATTGTCTCGCGTCATGCCATTTCTGCTCGGGCCGTCTCGGACACCGAGTCCATACCGCAGGCGTCCGGTACCAGAGCGCTCGCCCCAATGGCGATCCTTCTTCCAGATCCAAGGGTCCAGAAGGCGGATGCTCGAGCTGGCCCAGCCGCCCGGGCAGGATCCAGCAAGCCTGCTGCGGCCAGTCCGGTATACGCTGTCTCTCCTCGGCTCGGCTCCGTCTCAGCGGACAGCACGCCTGCTGCCGCATCGGACATGGTGGGCACCGACCCGCTTGGTCCGCCTTCTCCGCCTACGCGCCCAATCACACCAAAGGGGATGTCTGGCGAGGATGACCCGCAGACCAATCTGTCCTCATCCTCACAGAAGTCATCTTTCGCCACCACGGCGTCGGGTCAAAAGTCCAGTCAAGGGCCCACCTCTTTGGCTCGGAGTCGTCCAGCCGGCCCAAGAGCGCGCATTCCGGCGGCTACCCCAGAAAACTCCCTGACCTCGCTGAAGCTGAAGCCAGGGATCAGCTCCAGTCCCACACCTCTCCAAACGGATGGTGGCGCGATGGGTGGCGCGTTGCGTACCGCCGGTCCCGCCGACGTAGCGGTCTCTCGCGCCACCTCCTTGCCCGACCTCTCCCTTCCTCCTCATGCGCGCAAATCAGGCATTCCTCTCTTTCCCATGGGCAAAGCTCAACTCTCGGCGCTCTCCATATCTGAGGCTATCGAGCAGCTCATCGATGCGTTCAAGCTCCGGTGCGACGACAAATGCCTCTTCGACCGCCGACCCCCGGACCTATACAGCGGAGCCCATCGCACGCCTCTCTTCCGCGCCTATCTGGATCTTGCAGAAGAGAGCGGAGTCTTACCGGACTGGTGGAATCGGGAGCATAGGGAGATAGCGGAGGGTTTCGTCCGCGCCAAGGGGTCGGCCCCACATCTGTGGGAGGCGGTGTCAGAGCTGGACCTCAAGATAAAATGGAGAGACTGGTGGATACCGGAGAAGCTGAGTGCACTGGCAGAGGGGATATACGGGCCGGCGGTGAGAAAGGTCATTGGGGAGGATGCGGATCGGAAGGTCGAACCGTCTACGGCGGCAAAAGGCCCCACCTCTGCCATAGCGTCGCCCGCTCGGAAAGCTCCCCCTATCTCAGCCAAACCGCAAACCACAACAATGCCCCCATCCTTGACCCATAAACAACCTCTCACTTCTGCAGCTGGCAACAAGAGCACTTCGGCCCCTACTCATACGGCAAGAACGGCCGGCACTCGACCTGCCCCGGCCCAAGCCGGATCCAGCAAGCCTGCTCCGGCCGGTCCGGCATACGCCATCTCTCTTCGGATCGGCCCAGCCCCGGCCAGACCCCCTCCTGCTCCCGCCGCAAACGCGGAAAGGACAGATGCTTCTGCGCGCGCTCTCGCTACAGATATTCTCATTCGGGGGAGTAAATCGGATCCACCCCCATCAGCTTTCACCGCTGCCCTCCTGCGGGATATCATCGATGCACTAGGTATCAGCGACCCATCCAAAATTATCGCCGCCCACGCCGCCTCGGAAGCTCCCATCCCCTCATCATCATCCACACCCTCGGCACCAGTTCTCCAATCCCCCACTCGTAATGCCTATCTTTCCTCCCTCCCGATCCCAGCGGCAATGCAGCACCTCATCGACGCTTTCCGCCTACGGTGCGATGATGACTGCACAACGCCGCCGCACAAGCTCAGAGGCATCTACTTTGGGGAGGAGCCGCTACCTCTCTTCCGCACGTTCCTCGATTCCGCCGAGTCGAAGGAATTGCTGCCGGTGTGGTGGAACAAAGGTGTGCGCGAGAAGGTGGAGATACAGGCGGATAAGGGGGAACATGATCTGTCAATCCATGCCTATGTGACGGATGAGGAGATTGCGGCGAGGTTTGGGAGCAGCGCCGTCCACCTACGCGAGCTGGCGGCGAAGGTGTATGAGGGAATTACGCTCTCATACGGAACCCCGGCGATGGCTCTCGCGGCTGCGTACGGTCGGGGCCCTCCCGCTGAGTCCGAGTCGGATGCGCCAGAGGACGATTGGCCGGAGGCTGACGGTCACGCCCGCCGTCTGGCCGATACCTTCGCAACCCTCGGGGCGCTCGGCCGAGAATCGACCGTCCAATACATCATGGAGCAGCTCCGCCTCGAATCGGACTACAATTACACCGTCACCCCTTATATCCGGCACAGCATCACGCATCCCTGGTCCATCCCGTTCTTCCTCCTAGATCCACACGGCCCGCCGGCAGCATACCTCTCATCCCTCAGCCAAGGTGAGGCTATGCGGCAGCTCATCGATACCTTCCGCTTGCGGATGGAGGATGAGTACGTCTTCAACCTCGAAAATCTCGGTATTTACGGGGATGAGGATCCCGCCCCGCTCTTCACGGTGTTCCTTGATAAGGCGGAGAAGAGCGGTGTTCTGCCAGCCTGGTGGAGCGGCAAGAAGAGGAAGGAGGTCAAGCGGATGAGTCAGGATAGGGAGGGCGGGTGGTGTATACACAACTCGGTGGTGCGGGAATCTATCATCCAGGCGTACGATGGGGATGTGGTCATGCCCCTCAAGCTGAGGGGTCTGGGGGAGAAGATATATGGGGAGGCTGTGTATACCAATTGACGGAGAACCTGGCAGGGAGTGGGGCGTCGCATAGGGCGCTTGAGAGGGATCGGCTGGGTGATAAGCGGAACTGTCGGATCGTGCGGGAATCTAGTTCAGGCATACTCGCATGCAGCTGATCACCCGCTGCGCCTCTCCCGCACCGTGAATTGACTGGCCTGGCTGACGCTGTGACGGGCTCCCGCCACGACTGTACAGTGCCTCATCATGGATGTGAACAGCTCGCCACGTGGGTCATCAAAGCTCTAGCTAGCTCGCAGTCAGCGCTGGCCGCTATCCTCAGCTCGTTAGACATTCGTCTTCTCATCTGATTTAGTTGCCCATCTTCCTCAGGCGTGCCCCTCTGCCGCTCTAGCTAAACGACATAGCTCAGCGTCCTCCTGTGGGCTTTTCGTACCCCCAGTCCGCGAATCTGAGCTGACTGAGCAGACCATCGGGTCTCGAAACTCGACCATTACGCTCCTCCCGTCCATCTGGCTCGTCCCTTTTCCCAATCCCCTCCACTGGCTGTACACCTCGGTCAGCCTCGCTACTCGTCAAGGTAGCCGGACTCAAGCCGGCGAATGCATCACCGACAGATGCCTGCTGCGCCTGCGTCAAGGCGCAAAAGGATCTCAGCGTCCCGCTCAAAAAGTGCGCTGGGTGTAAGTACACCCTGTATTGCTCGAAGAAGTGCCAGGACGCGGATAGGCAAAGGCATAAGCAGGAGTGTCAGGCCATACGGTCTGGAGCAATCAAGCCGTTATGTGCGGCGGAAGGAACGCCGTTCGTCCAGGTCGAGGACGAGGACCACAACGCCCGCCTGATTCCTAAAATCAACAAACTCCTGCACGCCGGCCGGCGGGCTGAGGTGATGGATATTTGGGCACAACTCCGCAAAGAGGAAGAGTACAACGAGCTCTCCATGGCCTTCATCCAGAAGAATCCCCTCCATCCCCAAGCCATGCCAATGGTCCTCTTCGACCCCCTCGGTTCGCCCTCGGCATACCTATCGTCTCTATCGGAACGGGCGGCTTATCGGCAAATCATCGACACATTCCGCTTCCGGATGGAAGAAGAGCATCTCTTCAATCTCGACGATATGGGGATCTACGCACAGGAGGATCCTGTGCCGCTGTTCAAGGATTTTTTGGATAGAGGGGAGAACAGAGGGGCGTTTCCGGCGTGGTGGAACTCAGAGAAGCGGAAGCAGGTCGTGCGGATGAGCTTGGACAAGGAGGGCGGCAAGTCTATCAATGACAAGTTGGCTCGGCTACAGGTCATCGAGGATTACGGCGGCGATAAGATCATGCCACTCAACCTGAGAGCGCTTTCGGAGAAGGTGTATGGGGAATTCGTGAGGGCGGAGTAGGGAGGGAGGGCGTGGAAGAAAGAGAGAGCCCTTCAGGCAAGGGGTGGAAATGAGAGAGAGGGCACCATCTTCACGTGCTAGCACTGTTGAACTGTGAGTAGCGGCAAGCTCTGATCTGGACTTTGAAACACCGGGCTGACCTTAGTAGATCTACCTGTATCGCTTCTGTCTCGGCTAATTCCCGCCTTGTCGTCATGTCACCCCGTCGGATACCTCTCCGCGCGGCAGTATCGTCCACTTTGATCTGCAGCTGGCAACTCTTCTCCACCGCTGCTCTTCTCGCCCGAGCTTACATCGTCCCCGATTGAGGAATGTGGCGGATTGGCCTCCGGAGCTTTACCCGTCTTTAGGTTCAGCCCTCTGCTCCCCACCTCATCGCCACTTCACCTTTCCAATCATCCTTCATTCGCCTCTTTATCTACCTCAAAGGCTCTTTACATGTCCCTCGCGAAGCGTCCATAAAGGCACCTCGGCACTCAGTACGTCTGACTTTCATTCCCATTTCTGCTATAGGCTGACCGAGTAGATCCACCTTCCTCCCACCCGCCCCTCTTTCGCCTCCCTGTCTTCTCCATCTTGCCCTCACGCTCCACACACAAGCGCCAATCCCCCTTCTCATACTCCTCGAACAGCCATGCCCGCAGGCCTCAAATCCACCATCGCCTCCCCTGACGACACCTGCACCGGATGTAAGAAATCGCAGGCGGAACTCGGCGTGCCGCTCAAGATCTGCGCGGGGTGTAAGACGGCGCTGTACTGCTCCAAGAAGTGTCAGGAGGCGGAGAGGAAGGGGCACGGGTCAGATTGCCAGGCGATACGCGTGGGAGCATCCTCGCTCTCCGGTCCTACTCCTCCCCCTGTACCGGCGGCGCCGCCGCTGTCATCGATCAATCTCACGGCCGACCGGCCCAGTCGCCCCCTAGACGCCCGCGATACCCCACTCCCCGAGGGGAAGCGTCAAATCTGGATAGCGAGCAATATGGCCAAACTCCAGCGGGACGGTCAGGAACTCATCATCGAGGACATACTCCGGAAGCGCCGGCAAAAGAAGTGGTATGACGCGCAGGCCCTCGCATGTCGAGTCCGGGCTTGGTCTGAACCCCAGATATACCTACTGGCCGGATACTTCCGGCGCGAGACCTACCTCTCCGTACTGCCCCGGGCGGAGGTCATCCGGCAACTCATCGACTGCTTCCGCCTGCGGATCTCGGACGAGTACGTCTTCAATGCCCAGCTCATCGGGGTGTATGGGCAGGAAGACCCGACGCCGTTCTTTGTGGACTTTATGGATAAGGTGGAGAGGAGTGGGACGCTGCCGGAGTGGTGGACGGTGGAGAACAGGAGGGAGGCGGAGCTTTTGAGTCAGGATGAGACGGGCGGGAACTGTATTCGTTACCGAGTGGGACCGGGCGGCCTGATAAGCAATCACGGAGGGGATGTGGTGATGGCGCTGAAGCTGAGGGGTCTTGCTGCGAAGGTCTACGGCCCGGGCGTACATGCCGACTAGACTAGGGCCTAGAGGGAAAGCTGGTGCGTCTGGGCTGAGTCGGAGGGGGAGGTAGAGATGGGGCTGGAAGAGGGGCGGTAAAGAGTGGAGGGAATAGTCCTCTTGCGATGTTGGAAGTGGCAGCTTATAGAGTATTGTTCGATTGTCTACTTCCGCAGTTCGGGCTTCAGAACTTGCAGTGATCTACCTGACAAAGTTGGGCAGGTGAAGTGGTGCATCTCCCTCCTCGTAGCACTGCGGTCACTGGCTGCATTGCACCTCACCTTGCTCCGCGCGCCAGCCTCCGCAATATTCATCTCCCTCTTCATCTCCTTCTGCGGTCACTGGGCGTATCATCTGCTGTACCTGCTGATCTTACTGGCGCTTCTCCTCATCCCGGCGACAGTCAGTAGGACTGCTCGTCTGACAGCTTTCGCGCCCATGTAAGTAGTCCTTGACAGCTAGGCTGAATTGTCAGCAGATAGCCATTATATCCTACCAACCCATTTCCTGGATCAAAACCCCTGCCGCCCGTTTGCGTTGATCCAGTCAACACTATGGCGACCGGCCTCGTGCCTGCATCGGTCCTGCACATATCGAGCTGCACCACATGCCGCCGGGCGCAACAAGACCTCCCGGAGCTGCTCAGAAAATGCGGCGCGTGCAAGTACGCCCTGTACTGCAGAAGGTGTCAGGATGCGGATCGGAAGAGACACAAGGCAGAGTGTCAGGCCATACGCTCCGGTGCTGCCCAGGCACCCAACATCCCCGGCTTGGTCGAGTTGGAACCATCGCCTGGAACGGGCGCGCACGCTCGTCGCTTGGCTGCCCAGGCGGCTCAGCTGGCACGGTAGGGCCAGCAGGACGTCGCTGATGGCTTCTACGAAGGCCATCGCCTCGAGGCCGAGTACTACCGCTCGGTTCTCGAATTCATCCGTACCAATCCCACACACCCCAACGCGCATCCCTTCTGCGAATTCCCTCCTCGACCCGGCTGCTTCGCCCGCGGACTACCTCTCATCCTTACCTCCAGCGATGGCGTATCGGCAGATCATCGATGCCTTCCGCCTGAGGACAGAAGACGAGTATGTCTTCAACCTCCAGAATATTGGTGTGTATGCGAGGGAGGATCCAACGGGCTTGTTCAAGGAGTTTCTGGATCTGGCGGAGAAGAGTGGGGTGCTGCCGGTGTGGTGGACAGCGGAGAAGAGGGGAGAGGTACAGCGGCTGAGTCAGGAAAAGGCGGGAGGGAGCTACCTACACCATGCGATAGAGCGAAGCGACGTCATCGAGGAGTACGGAGGAGATACGGTGATGCCTCTCAAGTTGAGAGCGCTGGGTGAGAAGGTGTACGGACGGGCGGTGCATGCGGATCAGGGGGTCAAGGGCTTTTGATGGAGCTTTAAGGGGAGTAGAAGCGGTCATGGGCAAGACGTTATGGAGCGTGTCCTCCTCAAGGAGGCGCGTAATACCAGGTCATCGCACTCGGCAAGGTGAGCCATTATTTCCCATATATGCTCGTCGCCATAGCGGGACCCGTGACGTCGCCCCTCTCCGCTCGATGCTGATCACTGCAGTCCGAGGCTTGCGCTGTCACTACCCAAGACTATGGTCTAGGTAAGCTGCTCGATTCTCGAACTCGGACCTGGCTGATTGCTGGAGTCTACCAGCGAAAGCATTGCCCTCCCCGCTTTCCTTGCCGACTTTGACCTCACCCGAGCCCAGAGCGCCGACCGCCTATGTCGCCTGACTTTGCCCCATCGTCGCCTCCATCTTCCGGCTCGGAGTCCTCGGTGGTGCCCCTGTGTCGTGCTCATCGAGCCTTCGGACGGCGGAGAGGATGGATAGGACGGCGAGAGGGCAAGGCGAGAGGGGAGGGAAGGGCTAGCAATGCTGGAAGGGCGGCAGTTGCGTCCGGCTGAAGTGGGGGCATCATAGATTTATAAGGACAATGTAGGGCAACTCCATTAACTGATCCCTTGGCTATTGGACCATACAGCTACCTGTACGGCCACAGCTCCGCGAAAAGATCTAACACGGCCTGGCGGCCATCTGAATATCTGAAGAATCCGCACATTTCTGCACTTGCCCGCCTCCTCTCACCTCCAACCTTGTATTTCCATCTGGCGATAACGCAGCAGGCCAAGATCGAATTCCCTTGAGCTCTTCGGCAGCTTCTTCGGCCAAGAAGTAAGGTAGCACATTGGACCTATACTGTGGATAGCTGTCAAAATCGGAAGGCAAGGCGACTCGTACTCATTCTTCCCCCGGACCACTCACTTTCACGTCAAGGCCAGCCCTGCCATCCTTAGACGCCGTTCCTACTCCTGCCCCTCGGACTTCCTGGCCTCATAGCAACACACATCATGCGGGCCGGACTCAAGCCCGCCAAAGCATCCCCGGGCGCCCTCTGTTCCAGCTGTCAAAAAACGCAAGCGGACCTTGGCGTTCCCCTCCAGCGGTGTGCGGCGTGCAAGACCACGCTGTACTGCTCCTAGAAATGCCAGGAAGCGTCGCGCAAGGCACACAAGGGGTAATGCCAGGCCATACGGTCCGGCGCCAGCGCTGAAGCCAGCCGTGTCGCGGCTGAGAGCTCTGCAGCCCATCGCAGAGCTTCGGAAGCGACACCCGCTCCGGCGGCCCCCAGACCAGACATATGCACCGTCAGCACCGGAAACAGCCAAGTCGTACCCTACCACCATCTTCCCGGTGCCGGAATACATCGCTCCTCCTGCCTCTACCGCCGGCCCCAAGCTGCCCGAGGGATTCATGCTCGCCCCCGACCCTCAGAGCATGATGGCGAACCTGCAGGCGGAGCGCGCTCACCGCGAGCTCTGCGTGACCGCCATGTCTACCGACATCACGCACCCGGAGGTCCGCCGTGTATGCTTCTGGGCGCCACCAGCCCCCCCAAAGCCTATCTCTCCTCCCTGCCCCAATCCGAGGCGATGGGGCAACTCATCGACGCCTTTCGCCTGAGGTGCGACGACGTGTACGTCTTCAACCTCGAGTACGTCGGAGTGTACACCCAGGCGCCTGGAGAGCCTCGGAAGGCTTTCCTCAAGTACCTGGATATGGCAGAAAGGCGCAGGGTGGTTCCGGGATGGTGGAATGCGGAGATGAGGCGAAGGGTGGAGATGCTGGCGATGGATGAGGATGGGGATCATTCTATTCGGCATGCGGTGGAGAGGAACGATATCGTAAAGGCGTATGGAGGGGATGGGTTGGCGCCGATGAAGCTGAGGGCGGTTGCGGAGAAGGTGTATGGCGAGCCGGTGTCAGATTGGTTGGCGGCTTAGCAAGGTTAGCATCTTGATTGGACGTCGAGATCAATTGCTCATACGTCCAGGACCGTTTCCTTGTTAACTTTCATCCTCTTCAATATCATATCATGACATATCTACGTAACTCGTGGCCCTAGCAATACAAGACACATCCCTTCCTCCGAACCCTACTATAACAGCCTGTCACACGACCGCGCCGGCTACTGCTCACGCCTTCTCTACCACACGTCCCCCTTCCAATCGACCCATCGTAGTTTCCGCCCAATCCTTCATCTCGCCAGTCGGGAACCCATTCAGCGCTTGCAGAGTCTGCCTCATCAGCTCCGCTTGAATTCATAGCCACATGTCGACTCACTTGATCGAGCTCAGTCACGCTCTCCGAGACGCTACTTTCCAGCTCGGCGAGCTGTGCTTGTTTCGCCTGTATAGACGAAAAGCGGGTAGAACAGTCGGCATGGAGCTGCATAGTCAACTCTATACACTTACCATCCGCCGTCGTGAGGGCGCAAAGGGACGGACAAGCTCACAGCAAGGTACTCAGTCTTGAGGCGATCATACGCCTCATCGTATAAGCCCAGATTGGCAGCTGCTGTCAAAGCCTCGGGTGACAGGTCTGGCCTTTAAACGTCAGTTGTGTCCACGAGTCAGCAGTAAAGGGATAGCTTACCTCCACGCGTCGAGTCGAACATCTTTACTCTCCGCTCCATACTCCTGCGCGTCCCTTACTACCCCATCTAGCATCTGCATCGCCCGCCCGACCTTGTAGTGCTCGAATAGAATTTTCGCTTCGGACTGACGTGGTCACCTTAAGCAGCAAAGCGAGACGAGCTAGTACGCCTGTCAACTCACTCCTATACGCTTCTGCATAGACGTCGACGCGTCTGCATGGATCTGCCGTAGCTCCTGGGGAAACTTGGCGGCTAATAAGGGGAAGATACCCTCGAGATCTCTCCGGCTGTTGGTCAGCACGACGCCTTTGCTTTAAGTGAACAACACAAGACAGGGCAGCACTCACGTCCACTTGCCAGCGGCGTTCTTGATCGCCAGTTGTAGCGTGTCCAGCGTGATGCTATACCGCTTCCCCCATTGACTCGCCTCCTCCACCTCCATCAGCGGTACCGGATCTTCCATTGGCGCAGCGATGGCAGTCCGCCTAGAGCGCGGTGTCCGGGGCGCAGGAGTCGCCGCAGCAGCAATGGAAGGTTGAGTGCTTGGTCCAGCTTCGGTGGTGGAGGGGATGATGGGCGCTGGCTTGGGTGGAGAGTGGATAAGTGTAGTCGATCTGCGGGGTTGTGGCGATATGGTAGGCGTGGTAGATGCAGGGACTTCTGCAGCGGCTAAATGGGTAGACGGGACGTCGACTGATGGTGGAATAGCGGGATATATGGACCGCCTTGGCGCAGTAGAGGTCCCAGCAGCGATCTGCTCCTCGACAAACATGTCCGTGTCATTCCGCACCTCCGCCATGTCCACGTCTGGCGCCGTAATCGGTGTCTCCCTAGGCGGAAATATGAGAGGAACCGGGGGAGGACCCATCGAGCTCGACGATAGAGCCGAGCCGCCCGGAGGAGTCCGCATCACCTTCTGCACCCTCGGTACAAAAGGGCTGGTGGGCGGTAGGGCGGCCGCATGGCCTTCGTCTGGCCGAGCGATAGGCGCGCGCGCGCGGGTTGGTGTGGTATTGCTCTCGGGAGCCGGTGAAGCTGGCTTCGGCACAGCTGCGTATGGCTTGGCTGGTGAGCGGCCTACTCGCTGTGGTGGTGTGCGCTGTAGGGCTGGCATGATGGAGTGAAGTACAGAAGGCTTTGACTTTGTTGTTGTTTTGACGCGTCGAATAGGCGGTAACAGGCGTGGGAAAGTCAAGGTGAGGAATGCTACACCACGTGTTCGACGTCATCGCGTCTCACCGCCTTCCCTTGTCCGCACCTTTCTTTTGAGCCTGTGTCTCACTCCATATCTAGGCAGTCCAAGACTATAGACATATCAGGTAACGATCCATATACGCACTAGTACGATAACCGGCCGAAAGCGGGAGAGGTAGTGGCAAGGGAAGACTGTATAAAGTGAGCAGATGATGCAGCCGCGTCCATTTCACTAAACCCGTCGCTGACATGATGTCCAGTAAAGAGCACCTCGCCTTCTCGGGCGGCTTGCCATACCTCGAAGGACCTATAATTCTTACTGAGCCTCATCAAGGGACACTAACGGTCAACATGTAGGCTTACTCAAACCTACTGTAAATCTATAGCTAATCTCCAGGTCCAAACCTGAATCAGCCAACACCTCTCGCTCCGCCTCCCCCTCTGGCGCTGGCGACCCCAAGTCCCGCCTCGTCTCTGCCTCCCTCAAAGACCGCATCGCAAAGTTCAACAACCCCTCCGCTGCCCCTCTCCTCCCTACCCACGCTTTCGGAACTGCCGGACCTGGAACCGGCGCCGGCGGACCTAGCAAGAAGGGGCTGTACGGAAACCGGATCCCCGGTCTTGACCCCAAGTCTGCTGGACACATTCCCAGCTCTGGCTCCTTGCGCAAGGTTTCGGAAAGCAGGGGCTTGATCGGGAACCGGATCCCCTCGAGCGTGTCGGGCGGAAGTGTCGCCGGTCTCGCCGCGTCCAATACGGGCTCGGGCGGTAACCCCATACCCGCTCCCAAGTCGACAGTATCCGCAGTCGGCCGACCCTCAAGCCCTACGGAATCCATGGACTCGTCTACGCCATCCGCACCCGCAGATTCTGGCTCACCAGGGACATCCCGCTCTTCCTCCCCACCCACCTCTCCAGGCGGCGGTCTTCCCCCATCCCTCCTCGCTGCTACACTGCCCGACTATGGCGGTCCAGGCGCTATGACACCTTCCTCCACTCGCGCCGACGCAGGCGAAGAGCAAGAAGACCGTTCTGCTCCCGCCACACCTGTCGTAGGCGCGTCCATCCAGCTCCCCCCTGCGGAATACGACCTCGTACCCGGGAATCTCAAGCTCGCCACCGCCGCTCAGATGTCACGGGGTTTATCAGCTACCTCGGCAGCACCGCATACGTTCGCGCCGAGCGTCACGTCGTCACTGGCGAGTCAATACGACCCGAGCTCGCAGGGCAATGAGGAGGAGCAGATGATGCAGGCCGTCAGTGGGATCTCGACTCCCACTGGTACGCCCAAAGGCCAGCGCCGGGAGCTGGAAGACAGTACGAGGGGGGAGGGAAGCGTGAGGGATGAAGGGAGTGTGATGGGTGATGGGGAAGAGGCGGAGCAGAAGAAGGATATGGAGGGGGTGAATCGGAAATTGGAAGGATTGGCGCTGGAGCAGGGTGACGACCAGGAGGAGGAGTCGGCTGTGGATGAGGCCGGAATGGTCGTTGATGATCAGCCTACGCCATCCACAGACGCTCCGGACCCGCTCGCCCAGGTCGGCTCGGCCTTGGACCCCGCGCATACCCGAGAAGTGACGCCAAAACACTTTGAAACCCCTGCTGCTCCCACTCCGAGCAAGCCTACCTCGGGGCCACAGGATGACGAGGACCCCAATCAGGCGGACGACCTCGCCGCGCTCAAACGGGGCGATCTCTCTCGCTCTCCACCCGCGGCCCAACCTACCGTCATCAACCCCCTCCTGTCGCTCTCTGGCAAAGAAGAGGCAGGGTCCCCGTCGCAGCAGCACAAATCGTCAACCTGGTCCGCAGAAGGCCAGACGGGACCGCGGGAGCACGTCAACGCCGAGCGGAACAAGAAGATTGACGAGCAAGAGATTGAGCTCGGACCAGAGATGGTCGTCCGTCCCCCGACTCCAGGTCGGGATGGCAGCGCCGGCCCCGGAGCAGGAACCGGGAAATGGGACGAGAACGTACCGGTCCTCCGCCAACAACACCAGAGCGGCGTCCACGACGAACCCCAGATCGACATCAAGCCCCCGCGCTCGCCCGGGGAGCCGGCGTCCACGCATGACTTTACGCCCAATATCGATAATGATGGCAAGAATGCGTTTGTGCAGCAGGCGTTCCAGGGGGACGTGGCGGAACCGACCGAGGAGGAGGAGGACGCCAAGAAGGAGGAGATCAAGTATACGGGTCCGGGCGAGGTGTCGGGGGAAGAGAAGGTGGGAATGGCGCAGGCGCAGAGCGCGTTTGCGATTGAGAGTCAGAGTGAGAAGGGGCCGGATGAGGATGGAGTAGAGGGTGGGGAGAAGGGGGCTCTGCCGGATAAGAGGGAAGGAAAGACTTATGCGGGAGAACTGGAGAAGGTGGACGAGACAAAGAGTAGGAAGGGAGGTGCGGGAGCGGGCACGGACGCGGATACGCCGGCGGTAGCAAAGGTCGACGAGGAGAAGCCCCATGCGGAGATAGGGGGACCGGGCGAATCGGGGTCGGGGTCAGGATCAGATCTGCCCCCACTCCACTTCTCCATGGTGACTGGCCAATCGATTGAACCCGAGGGGAAGTTGGAGGACTTGCCGACCATGGAGCGGGAGAGCAAAGTGGCGGAGAAGGGGGATACGGTCGGTGTGCCGATTCAGACGGGGGAGGTGATACAGGTCCCGAGGCAGCTGGAGGAAGAGGGGCATGTCGACAAGGAGGAGAGTCAACGCGATGAGGAGAAGGCAGAGTCGGCTGCGAATGAAGGAATTGATCTGATGGAGCTGCCGACGAGCGATGGGTCGACGGTTCAGGTGCCGAAGAAGATGGACGAGGCGGACGAGGATCAGGTCCAGGAAGGGGCGGAGACGATACCGGAGACGGAGACAAAGGGCAGCACCGACCCTGCACAACTAAAGACACGATCTGAGGAGCCCATCCTCACTTCGTCCCCTCGGCAATCTGACAAACCCCTCCATGTCCTTGTCGAGCCCGCACCTATCGCTCAATCCGTCCACGAATCCAAACCCCCACCCTCCTCCTTCAAGCCGCCAAAGTCATCTTCCCCGTCCACGGACGACGCGGCTGTCCTCCCTTCAGCACCCGTTTTTCCCGAACCGCCGCATGATGACCCCTCCACCTCGGCCCCATCCCTCTCTGCCCGGTCGACCACCACGGAACCCTCGGACCGCTCGTCCACTCCTCTAGACCCGGCGATCATGCGCTCCTTCCCGGACGTACCGGATGAAGAACACCCTCGTGTGGAAATCCACGTCAGTCCGCACGTCACGCCCGCCAAGTCGCCGTTGGACCGTGCTTCCGTCGGTCCGACGGGGAAGGGGACGGGATCCGTATCGGATAGTCCGCTCAAGCCAAAGAAAGGAGATGGGCCGCAGACGCCCGGAAAGCTGGATGTGGAGAGTGCGTCCTATGAGAATGAGGCCAAGTTGAGCAAGAGGCGGAGTGTACGGAGGAGCCCAAAGAGCCCGTTATTGGATGATGAGGATCCGGGGGATTATGTGCCGGGTGATGAAGGGTGGGCTGTCGTTACAAAGTGAGTGAGTCTCTTCTGGGTGAAGCGGCGCGGTAGGGTAGGGGAGAGGAGCTGATGATGTGCAGGGGAAGGGATGAATGAAGTTGTCGATCGCGAGGGCGAATAGGAAGGGCTTTAGGTAGAGCCGATCGGCCGTTTCCAGGCTCAATGTATAGTATCGCAACAGGTACAGGTGAATAAGGCGGCAGTGGTGAAGTTACCTACTGAAGCCGCCCAGGTATGTACTCGTGACTACGGGCGGACCGATTGATTTGCATAGAATGCTACTGAACCCTTGACGTCTATACCCATATGTACCTGCTCACGCCTATGACGCCGTACACGCACGCGCTGACCATGTCAGCCTCACTCATCGAGCACACCCTTGTACCGCCCACGGCTCTCGGGATACAGCCTGTCACGGGCGACATCGGTAGATTCAATGAAGTCCCAGCCGGGACATGTGCGTCGCGTCTCGTCGGTCCGGAACCTCTCGATCGTCCCCCCTATGGTCACGTTGACTTCCTCCTGCGGCGTATCGGCGTGCATGCCAAACTTGGTCAGGTCCCACCGGTCGATCGGACCAAGCGAGAGACGCGTCTTTCCCTTCTTGAACTTGGTGGATACAAGAGCGAGTCTCTTGCAGAGTGTTTCGAGATGACCGTGCCCGTTTGCAGAGTTGGCGTCGGCGTCGGCGTTCCCGGGAGGCGTATCAGAAAAGTGAAAGCCGCGACGATCGTCCGAACCAGTGAGCATAACGACAGTGCTCGGCGCTCTTGAACACGCCGGGAGGTTGACGTACAGCTCCTCATCAAAATCGAGCGAGGTCCCCCTCTGGAGCTGAGCAACAACTGTTGACGCCTCGCGACTCGGACGTACGCCCATCAAGTCCATCCCATGTGACCCGAGCCATAACAGAGCTTCAAATCCCCGTGGCCCGCAGACCACGGAGAGATAGTCGATGTCGGAGCACGCAAAAGAGTTGCGAAGGCAGGCTTGCAGCTGGTGGATGCGCTTAGCAGCAGCAGCAGCGGCAGCAGGGTCTTCGGTTCCATCGTGCGAGTACGGTTCATCGATTACGTAGTGCATCGAGTTGAGTTTGGGCGTACGCTGACGACTTGCGGTGTCTTTGGAGCAGGTCCACTGCAGAACGGTATGGTAGGGATCACTGATGTCCTGGTCACCCCGCTGACGTCGCTCTTGTATCTGCGACTCCAGGTTCCGGATCAGAAAAGTGAACGCAGTCAGTTTGGCTCTTTGCTCACTGCGCGCCTTGCGCCACTTGTGGTCCTGGCGAGGGGTGCACTCCTTCACTGCCGGATTGGCAGCAAGTAGCTCCTTGTCCCATGAGAAGCTATTGGCGGAATCGATGAATGTGCTCTGCCCATCGAGGCGACCTTTGACCTCTGCGTAGCTGTCGCGGGACGTCCGGCTGAACGTCGCGACGTCGGGATCGGGCAAGAGGCGCCATATCATCGCGCGCAGCTCGGCCGGGAGTATCAGATAGGCGGATGGAGGAGAGTTTGTCTGGGGAGTCGTATCCTGAGAGGGAGGACTCATCACTGTGTAGCGATGCTGACTTGGATCGAAGGAGTGGACGGTATATGGAGGAGAATCTCTTATATCAAACGCGGAAACTGAAATGTTATGGGGTGGCGAATAAGTACAACGTCACAAAGCTGGATGCCGATTCAGCGTCTTATACACTACTATCCAAGGCTGACTCCTTTCAAGAGGCGACCGCAAAGGAGGGTGACACTCGCCTCAAGCTTGGAATCTGGAGGGAAGATATCTCTCGACAGAAGTACTGTGAGGCTGTATTGGACTCGAATGGCTCTCTGTACATAGTGCTGAGCGGGGCTCTGGGATACATCTGCTCTCGAAGTGGCTTACAAGAAGCCGACCCGCCTACCTACCTACTGACTATGACTATGTACCTACTTCAAGTAGCCTAAGCTACGCGAGGAATGCCGTTTCGCCACCCGCTCTCGCCACCCAGATCCTGGAAATCTCAGCATCGCCAACAGATGTAGCGAGGCTGCCAGGTCACAAGTCTGAGGGCTACAGCCACACGAGTCTTCGAAGGTGATGTGGGTCTCACTCCGCAGATACTCCAGCGTGCGCCAGACCGCGATCAACGACAAAGGCACCGGTTGTGCTTCTTCTGCTGCAGCCTCACTTTCGCGATCCTTTGATCTAAAGCTTGACTTGATGCTTCTTGTCTTTCGCGCCTTGTGCTTCTCTCAAGACACGGGTGACTGAGGTTCTTCTCATCATACTTATACGCTGGAACCCTCACATTTGCGACACTAGCCCCTGTCTCATCCATCAATCTCCTATACCGCCACCAGAGATCAACTGATCATATATGATGTCGAACTTACGTCCGGATCCTCGCCCTCTGCGCTATCCTACAGCACTGGGGTCCGTCTCCAGCGCAGATCAGCAAAGGAGCCATGCGGATTCTCGAGAGTCTCGGCCCGCGCTGGCCCCACCACAAGATCTTTGGTTGCTGACTGACCAAGAGGGCGATCTGCCGTGGATTCGCACCCCCTTCCCAAGCCTCTTCACTCCTAGGTACGGGACTGCGCAGACTGACGAGTCAGAGGCGGAGGAGACCAAGACGATCAAGAATGTTCCTGTGGGAGCGCTGGCGGATAAGACCTCTCCGGCTGCTCATACAGATGATTTTGACATGGACATGACCTACGAAAGCGACAGCAACGCTGACACCGTCAGAGCCAACATTTCTCCGAGACGCGATCCCTCTCCGGACTCTGGTGGCGAGAGTTCAGACTGGGATGTCGAGGATGAAAGCGGAAGCGACACCGATCCTGTCAGCGGCGGGTCCCCTCTGTTGCGCGATCACTCCCCTGACTCCGGCGCCGGGGACCGTGACATCGACCGCGACATCAAGTTCGAGCACGAACGACACACCGGCGGGTCGCCCATGACAGGCGATCCCTCGCAAGAGGCCAGTGACCATGACATGAACTGGGAGGAAACCCATGAAAGCGAGAGCGATAACGACACTGCCATGGGCGGAATCCCTCTGACCGATGGCTCTTCCCCTGAATCTGGTGCAGAGGATTCTGTCGGCGACACGGAGTACGAAAGCGACGGCGACCAGTCTACCGACAGCGAACATGGTAAGGTTGACTGGGGGAATGAGCCCAGCAGTGAGCGTCAGCAGGACCGATCACTTGTCCCGCTTACTTCTGCCGATGAAGCTGAAGGCTCGAACTCAGGAATGAAGTCCACTGCTGCACTGAAGAAAGGCTCTAAATGGGTACCCTCAATACGTGCACAAGATCAGCGCATTTACCTTCGCCGCGAACGCAATGCAATGCTGGATGTTCTGACGGATCGCGGAATAAAGCGTACCGCAGCGGTCAACGGCCCTACGATCCCCATCGCATACCTATGGGAACTGGCGGAGCTCATGGGTGCGGACTCTGATCCGCAGCTATATCAAGGACATGCGATACACATGACACGGTCAGGTAATTCTAGATTACCGCACTACTCTTTGCTGCCTGAATCTAGCATCCCCGCGGAATTCAAGGACACACGACCCTTACGCCAAAGGAGACCGGGCCCCGAAATTTCCGATACTCTTCCCGCAAGTCATCCACGCCCAGACGCTTACAACTCCAGGCAAATTGATTGGAGCAAAAGCGCTAGGAAAGCTACCTGGTCCGAGGTTCCTGGAGCTTCATCCGTCAAGAAGCTGCCCATCAGTTGCACGACAACGAAGAATCGCCAGCTCCGTAAGTTGCTCGAGATGTGCAAGGTCTTGGAAGGAAGAGGCATACGCTGTACCTCCAAAACCATATCGCCAGGCATGACAGTACGCTTCCTGAGAGATACCCTCAACAGGACTAGACCGGATAATCCGGAGCTGAAGGGAGGATCAGCCAGGGGGTTCGTCATCGATGATCCTGCGCCCTCACGCGCTGCGTCCAAGGCTATTCTGCTGGACTGCAGACTATCCAGGCTTCCCGGTACCGATAGGACATATTTCCTCCTGACCGCTCGATGGATGAGACCGTTCCTGGAGGAAGACAAGCTCAAGGGCCGTGCGACCTGAGACGCTTTTGCGCCAAGATGAGAGGGTAAACAGTCCTTCAGTTGATTTGCTGAGGTCTTGTGACGAGGTATCGATAAGAGAGGAGTGTTTGTACGTAGGATGGACACGCAGTACCGGCGAGAGGCTCGGCCTGCCCGAACGCTTTTTGGAGCTTGGGGCATACAATCTAGCATTATTAGGGTCGACATGCTGCCATGCAATAGAGGGTATGGAGGACTTGGTGTCAGGATATCTGATACACAGCGTGTGGCTTGGCAGATGCAACATATTGCTTCATCTTGACAACCTCCAGCTCGTACGCGGCTTGAGAGCCACTCGCCAGACCTGCATGGAGTGACATAATCAAGGTGATAAGTCATTATGGGACGATTGAGAGCCCCCGAGTGTTCGTCCCGCATTGAAATTCGGAAAGGTCAGATCGGAACGAGAGACCAGAGTGATTCAATACTCGGCACTTTCGCCGGGCTCTGGACCGCAGCTCAAGGGCTTTGTGATGCGGCAGCCAGCTCACCTTCAACGACTTCACACCGCATTCCTCAAGCCGCCACACTCGGTCTTGCCGCTTTCGGAAATTTCAGGCACATCACGCGGACATGACGTAACTCTGTCCGACTCGCGGGCCGAGCTCGGCCGTAGATGATCTCGGTGAGCTTGGTTAAGTGACTTCGTACCCGCTTAAGCTCATCTAGAGCAGTCCAAACCATCACACTCAACTCGACGTCATATAGCTGCCTAAGCCTAGACTCATCTCGCGCATCAAGGGTGGAAAAGACCAAAGAGCATCAGCCCGGGGCTTGAGATGTCCGCTGCGATCCCTACTCCACGGCCGCCTGAGGGATCTTGGATGCTCAGGCCCGAGCGCAAGGCTGCATGGGACTATCTACACGAGGCAATGGAGTGCAAGCGCTCTCGTCCTCCTGTACGCCAACACGAGAGACGCCGCTGGTCTGATTTGGAGAGCTGACCGTTTCAGGCGGACGCGTATGACGAGTACACGCAAGGCGCTCCGGTGACTCACACTGCTATACTCCGCTCACTAGAGCAGGTCTATCTGGTGAGCCTTAGCTGATACTCCTATCAGACTCAGCTGAGCTTGGAGCATGCCCCTTCGGTCAAGGATGCAGATCTGGCGGACTTTCTAGGCTTCGTGGAAGCCATCACATTCTCTGTTGCCGATCATCACCGACTCGAAGGTCAGTCGGACGAAGCCTACTACATTGGTTCGACGGTGAGATAGCAGAGGACTTCATCTTCCCCAGAGTCAACGCCCTTACTCAGACTGTACGTTTGGGATGCCTCTCTGCTCCATACAGAGAGCGACGCATACTGTCTGCTGACACTTCAGACCATCTGGCAGCCGGTGTCAGACGAGCACGAACGCTTCATTCCCCCAGTCTTTGCCTTATGGCATTATGTACGTCACTGTCGCACCCTTCTTGGGGTTCCCCAGCCTTCAGATATCGCCGAACCATGGGTCTCTCTCGACGCTATCCCGACCGGTGTCCGAAACTGCCTCGACTTCACTTCGGAGAGCGAATGGGACGGCGCAGCGGTACAGCGGCATATGGAGACGTTCATGTTGGGCTTTGCACAGCATATCCCATTCGAGGCAGAGTCAAGTGTTGCTGCCAATCTGCGAAAGGCGACGGCGGAGGATATAGGGAAGCTTCTGGGCGATCTCAAGAAGGAGTCGTTCAAGACCATGAACCTACATGTTCAGCTCCCTTTGGTATGGAGTGAGTCCTGGTCTTGATTTGGCACGAGCTGGCTTCATGCTGATCCGATAGCCCATAACGAGATGAGCGATGTCAAGCATTTCGTCGTTGAGCGGCCATGGCTAAACCGGGGCCTTACAGTGCGTCTTTCAAGCTGCTCATGTTGGGCTGCAACCTCTAGCGCTCGGTATATCGCTGACAATGGAGTGGTGGTTCGGGGGCCGTCATGCCACATGGTGGAAGTTCAGCGCCTATCCTCAGGTATGTCCCATGTGGGACGTTGCTGATTCTGCAGAACCTCGCTTGATGGGACCGACCCGTATTGTAGCTATATCGTGTATCCCTAGAAACTTGCCTGTGACTATACTTATGGATCTTTGCTCAAGATCATCGTCTGCGTGTCCATAAATCTACCATATGACCTATCTCTGCCCTCCTGTATTGTATCCCTGGCTTCCGCCTTGTCCTTGCCAGTCCATCCCTCCTTGGTTTTGATACTGCTCGCCGCCCGCGGCATACCCAGACATGTAACCTCCTTGCTGCCCCATCCCATCACTCCCTCCGATGTGCCCGTACTGTCCGTACTGCCCCTGCTGCATCTGCCCATACATCTCCTGCCCCTGCCCCATGCCCATCTGCGCCTGCATCTGCTGCATCATCGCCATCTGCATCTGCGCCTGAATCATCGCCTGCGCCTGAGCCTGCGCTTGGGCGAGCACCATCGGATCGAATTGAGCTTGTTGACCGGGTTGTTGGCCGAAGGAGTACTGGTTCGACATGTCCATCCCCATCCCCATGCCGCCATCCATCCCCATCATCCCGTAGTTGCCATCCATCATACCGTTGCCCATCCCCCAGCCCATTCCTGCATTCCCCATGTTCATACCCAACGCTGGGCTGATGCCCGGGCTCATTCCGTATGGGATGGGAGATTGGCCGTTCCCGCGGTATCCGATCTGCTGGCTTGCCATATGGCCCAAGGCGGGAGACGCGGAGTTTGGGGGCAGTTGGCGAGATTTGCGAACGGGGGATTTTGGGCGGAGGTTGTCGATATCGGGATGGAAGGGGAGAGTGTATCGGCCGTCATCACACTGGAAGACTTGGCTCGGATATAGATCTGGGTCGAAGAGGGATGGCGCAGACTCGTCCGCATCAGGCTCAAGGTTCTCGCAGCCCGCCGTGACCCAGCCCCGCCGCACCGTCGATGGGCTGCCGAAGAGATGGAGTCGACGCGTACCGAGGCAGAAGTTCTCAATGAGAGTTTGCAGGTATGGCGGATATCTAGTCTCGATACCATCTGCCTGTCAGCCCATCCTAAAGTGCGATAAGGACTTACCTTCTTCATCCTCCCAGACCATGACGTCCGTATCGACATTGCAGTGCACGAAACGACTGTCCGTGGAGCGTCGCACAGTCCCTCTGATCCCCATCAAGCAGTGTTCCTTCTGCCCAGCAAACAGTCCGCCCTCGTCTCGCCCCTCCTCCCTCTTCGCTCCATTCTTGTTCGTCTTGACCCAGACGATATCCTCCGCCCGCCTGAAACCCCACTTGGCGAAACACTCCCTTCCCCTTTCCAGTCCGTCTCCGGATGCGTGGCCGACCCAAAGAAAGACGAAGCCTGGATCGGCTGATATATTGCGCAGAGGCAGAGAAGCAATGTACGACCAGTCGAGCGGTTGTGGGGGAGTGATGAGGATAGCGTCGAAACGGTTGGTAGATACGGCTGCTTGGATGGATGTAGGTGTGGGGCGCGGCGGACCGGGGTCCGGATCGAGGAGGGGCAGATATAGCGGCGGATGAGACGCATTGTTCATGAGGTCGGCTTTGAGGTCCATAAGACGCTTGAGGGCCGGGTATCTGACTATCAGCCTTCGTCGATTGAGCGAAGGTTGAGCTTACTCTTCGCATATTTCCTCTCGTCCCACCCCGAGAACGTAATTGCTTCCCCACTCTCCGCTCACCCCATACCATTCGCAGTAGTCATTCCGCACTGTCTCCTCTGCTACAACGTAGTTGGCCACGTTCAGCTTGGAGTTGCTCGCGACAGGTGCCCGAGGTCGCGAGGGACCGGCTTCCGAGATTCTAGGTGCGACGGGGAAGACGTGCGCTTTGTCCACCAGCTTCCGGCGCTCTGCCTGGCGCGCCAGAACGTCCCCGAGGAAGGCTCTGTGCGCTGCAAGGGCTGCCATGGTGTATGTTCCGCGTACGTGGTCGAGATGAGGAGCATATAGCAGGTCAGAGCACTCTCGCGCAGGTGGACCTCACCTGCTAAACCCGGCTAAACTCAGAAGTGGCGGCAAGCCTCCATTGTGGCACTGCGACACGTACCGGGGCCCATCCCTTGTGCCGCCACCCCGCCTAGGTACCCTGGATAGGCGAGGAGGGAGTTGACTCGCACAACTCATCAGCTCTCTATTCTGTACCTCATACTACCAAGCTATTATGATCGCTTCTGTAGCCACTCTTCTGCCGCTTCTCGCGGCTCTGTTCTCGCTGCCGGCCGCCCGAGCTCAAGACAAGTCAGTGCAGGACTACCCACAATGGGTCACCAATGACTATACCTGTGGTTAGTGTAGCTCGCAATCCAGAGCCTGAATCTGCTGACTTGTCAGTGATTGATTGTCTGAAGATCTTCAACGAGAGTGTCAAGGACCGACCCAGGTGAGTGGATCTTTTGGCGCTAGAGCCGTAACTAATCTACCAGCCCTGCTACGGACCTCCAAGCGACTCAGTGCATACTCAATGGCTGCAACAAGGACACTATGGGGATGAATATCTACCAGTCGCACTACATCATACAGGCAAGTCTCATGTACCGATACCATTTATTAGCTGAACGATCAGATGTTCTACGCCACTGGCAGTATCTACGAAGACCCCAACATGGGCCAGTGGGGTCAGGGGATCCCTCCGGGACAACAACCTGCCCCTGCTCGAGACCAGAACCAACAAGGCTCTTCGTCGGCAGCGCCCCCGGCCCAAGACGGCGGCGCTCAACCCGCCTCGTCCTCTCCTCCGGCACCAGCCGCTGGGTCGCCGGCTTCTACGATCACGCCCGGTGGCAGCGCTCAGAAGCCGTCAGGTACTGCCAGTGCCACTCCATCGCTCTCGCCCGGCGGGAACAACAGTGGAACAGCAGGCAATGCTGCTGGGAGGGCGATGTCGCCGGTGGGCTTCCTGCCGGCCGCCCTTGTGGCGATTGTATCGGGCATGTCCGGAGCTGTACTGCTGCCGAGTATCTAGTCCACAAAGACGGCGGACGCATGCACCTGTCTCTCCACAGATCAGACCCGATGGCTAGCGTAGACATCGCTCCCTGATCATGCACGTTTCGAGCGTTGGGGCGACTCATTAAAGGAACAGGTTCCTTTCATCCTGTACGCACTGATCACGATCTGACAGGGGAGTTCTCTGTATACTACCACCCTAATAGAGGACACATCCGATATGAGCTCGGTCAGTATCCAAGACCTCGATGCCTCGCCTGACGAGGCCCAGGGCTGTATAATTCTATGGAAGGCTATACTCCTGACCTGTGAGTCTCAGTCGAAATCCGGAGCTACAGACTCGACGCATGACTGACAGGCAGATGGGGTTTTTGGCTCTATTTTCCTCATCACAGTGTTCGTTCTCATCATCATAATAGAGACATGGCGGTACTGGCGTCTCCGAGCGCAGGCGAAGGGACACATCGGGACAATGCGATCTGACCTCGAAGCGCTGAGGAAGAAGATGAGGGTGAAGATCAAGCCGAGACGGGGTCGGAAACCTAGTAAAGCGGAGCAGTAGTATGCAACGAGAGGGTGGACTTCCTTTGTCCAGCATGTCATACTGCCTTTGTCAAAACACGTCGAGGTGTTGGTCAATTTCGTGCAGGTGTCGCTCATGAATGCACCACACACAAAGATGAGCGACTCGGCAGATGGTGGTGACACTAAGCTCCAGGATGCTGTCGACAAGGTCACGATATTCTGTGTGAAGGAGGATCAAGTAATGACCTACGTGGGTGAGCATTGTGGTCCTCACAAACTCTCAAGTGAGCATAGCTGACCCTCGGCAAAGCCGCGATAGTAGGAATGTGGTTCATCACATTTTTTTGCTTCGCCCTACACTCTTACATCCGCCACAAGCGCCTAAAACTCGAGGATGCCTACGTGGAGGACGGCCTGAACCTGGAGGAGGAGGCGCAGCAAGTGATGAAGGGTAGGGTCAAGAGCAAGAGACCCAAAAGGAGCTAGTCGAGACGTACGGGATGCAAGATGTTTGGGTTAAAATAATATTGCCCAGAGTTACTGCGGCAGTGTCTCTGTACGCGGTGTTACTGCATGTCTCACCCTGCGATAATCAGCTAAGGCAGCTGAGGTGAAGAAGGCCGCGATGCGACGATGAACGCTCACCATATCAGCGGATAGTCGAGCTCGTCATCATGCTCACATGACTCCCTTTGTCTGATTCTCCTTTGATCCGACCTCTGGATGGCGCACCTCGCATGTCCCACTCGAACATGCCATCTCCTCGAGGCAGGCTGTCACTGTATGACCTTCACTTACCTCCGATTCTCATACCCTGTACTGACAACTCAGATACCCATCCCGTAACTCTGACTTCTCACATGTTTCCCATCTCCCTCTTGTTTACGTTTTTGGGTCTCATCCTCTCTGGAGTTGCACGAGCGGTATACACCGATCAGGCCTGTGTTGCTGCTTGCTCAGACCGGTCGGTCGTACTTGGACACTTCAGAGGCATCTACGGAAATGAGCGTGAGTCAGACATCCCCCTGCTTAGCTTATTGGCGATCTGCCAGCTGTCAACCCATGTCGATCACTCGTGCTGACGATAGCAGCATACCGCCAGAACTTCACGTTCGCCAACGACTTTGTCAATTGCTGCTGCTCCGGTGAAGAGAATGACAAGTCTCTGGGAAGAGACAAGTCGCTGGCCAGCGCAGGCATCTGTCAGAGCTGCGAAAGCACACCTTGGGCTGTCAAAGATGACTTATCAGTGCGTGATAGACATCAGGATTTTTGCCACCCGCATGCTCAGTCGAGATCTTCCATGCTAACACACTATAGTTGCTACTCGAACTGTGCTCAATCCAGGCTGTGAATGGCTCCGCGGAGAACGCGACGCTGTTCAAGCCACAAGGCTACTCCACATCGGAGGATCGCAGCAAGGCGCCGATCTCGGCCATGGGGTCTTGGGCGGATCCGAGGATCATGACCTCATTAGCGGCCGTACTCATGTCGCTACTGCTATCCTGTGTCATGATGAAACTAGCATAGAAGGAAGGTCTCACATGCAGCATGGCTCGTCAGCTATTTCCTGGTCGGGTGGGGCCAAATTGTGCAAGCTAAACCCCGACATTCACCATGTGAAACAAGCGGGGGAACGCCCGGGATCATGTCATCGACAATGACTCATAGCGGAGATATCGCTCCGCCTCCTCCAGCCTTCTCAACCTGGTACTGGCATATAAAGCTCAAGATCTTTCTTCTTCTCTTCGCCATTTTTCACTTTTTGACAAAACATCGCCGTGTCCCAAAACCACCGTGTCCCAAATCGCACGCGACAATACCAGCAGGCCCGATCCGACCTCCCTCATTCATATTACCCCATTTGAGGCCCCGCACATACACCACCCCTTACTCCTCAGCCTCATTCACCTGCCCCAACCTTACCAAACTACCCGCACTCATCATGTACATCCACCTCACCAACTCCTCCGCACTCGCCGCCGCTCGCCTCGCTCGCACTGCCGCCAAGGAGGATTTCGTCCAGACTCCACCCGGTAGTCCCGAGTTCTCCAAGTGCAAGCGGAAGGTCACTCGGGCGATCAAAAGGGTGAAGAGGCTCGAAAGTCGGCAGAGGCACATCAGCGCTCTCCGCGACTGTGTCTTCGGACTCCAGAAAGCACTCGGACTGGACCGGAACAAAGGACGGATCGAGTACATGACTACGAGTAACGACGCACTGATGGCGGGACTGGCGGCACCTGTCACGGGGATCATGCTTACTGCGGGAGCTGCTGCCATGTATGTCAATCTCTGGTATTGTCTGCTTTGAGTACGCTGACGGACAGAGGGACCGCCTATGTGGCTGGAGCACTAAGCAAGGTCAACAGCGGGAGCAATTGAGAGGCTCAACATGACACGTGAGCTCATTGCTCTTGGTGGCTGTGCAGATGACGTGTGTGAGAGGTGACGTGTGAGCTCATCAACTCTAGGACGGGGCTTGACGTTTACGTGGCGAGATGATAGTCGGGTGGGCTTCGATATTTGTAGATCGGCCAAGCCAAGAATAAATTGAGGGCGCTCCTAGCATCGACTCAGCCAAAGTACTCACTCGACTGACCGATTATGCTGCAGATGACAGAGCGGGCCCAGTCACTCAGCATATAGCTCAAGGTTGTGACGGAATTGGAGCTTATGTGAAACATTCCTTGTTGTTTCAGGAATCACGAGCCGCTCGCCGTTGTCGGCGGTTTACTCCGGCTACTCATTCCGCATCTGCCTCTCACAGCTCCTCTACACCACCCCTCCTCAGCTCACATAGCTAGCATCTCCAGAAGCTCCTCTTCAGCCGGCTCAGTCTCACCGTCAATTCCACTGCTGCTCACGCGACCGCGATCCATCTCCGCTCTCCCCCCTTCACTCAACTCCCCATTCTCCTCTCAGCTACTCGTTCCGCAATGCCAGAAGCGACCCTAGCCACCCATATGATCCTCACCAACGAGTATAAGCTCCTCACCGGTCTCATTGCAAGCACCCCTCCCACACACCCGCTCAACTCCGTCTACGCCGGACAGCTACGCCGCGTCAAACGGGACCTGACGCGATGGCGCAAGATCGAACGGTCCCACAGGCGGGCTCAGGAGAGAGCGCGGGCTATGAAGCGGAAGCGTGCAAGGCAAGGACTGGTAGAGATGTGGACGGAGAAGCTGGAGGAGCTGGGGCCCCAGCAGTATAGCTGGGATGCAGGCGCAAAGGCGGTCGGGGTAGTGCTGTGGGCGATGATCATGGCGGTGGTCTGGGCGGGCATCATACTGGCTCTCATCATTGTGTCTCCCGTTATGTGTCCAGCGCTTCTCATCTTGGGGCTTATGATCATGTGAGTGCTCGCAATAAGCTCAACTTCATCATGCGGCATCCAGCAGAGCTGATCGTTTAGTATCCCTCGTCACATCTACCGCATACACGAGGCAAGGCAGCTCAAGCGACAAAGCGCAGCGTTCCCCGCTTACTTCCACATCCATCACACGTCGCCACCCTCCTCTGTATACCCCAACACCCCCCGCACCTCATCACTCGCCGAACATACTATCGCGGCGCTCAAGGCTGTCTACGGGGCGATTATGATGAGAGGGTCTAGAAAGATGCATGGAGCGGACATGGCGGAAATTGATGGTGAAGATGTGGACTACATGAAGCCGGAGGCGGTGTGAGGCGGACTTTGCTGATAGTACTTGGACTGTCGACCGTCATTTGTACTTGCTACTCCTTCTGAGAGATTTTGGGCCTATAGCTACAATGATACTGTTTGAATTCGATGCTGCCGCTCCCTATTGTCAAGCTTGGCAGCTTTGCGAGCGGCAGGCAACGCAAGATTGGCGTATATATATGGGAGACCTATACAAACCCGTACATGATGCTACCTATACGAAGCAAAAGATGCCCAATCCCACTCTACCAATCTAAGCATATACTCGTCCACCCCTCCGACCTCCTCCTCCTCTTCTTCCTCCCCATCAACCACCATACTCTCATCCCCTACCACCCCCTCATCTCCCGCTCCAGGCGTCATAGGCGTCCCGCCACCCTCAAACCTGACCGCCGTCTTCTTCCCCACCTGCGCCTCCCGCTTCGCCGCCCCATCCGCTTCAAAGTCTCCCATATCCATCTCCCCTTCGCCCAGCGCCACTCTTGCTGCCTGGACATCCTCCTCATCTTCTACCTCCGCCACCATCTTTGCAAACTCCCTCTCTTCGCCCCTTCTCGGCGCATACTCTTCCACAACCTCCGCCTCTGGTTCCTCCTCCACCGGTATATCCTCCACTCCATCCTTCTCTTCCTCCTCGACGAGACGCTTCGGCTCATCCCCATCATACAACGTCTCGCGCCAGTCCACCCGTCCAAAGAACTCGGTCGTAAAGTCCCCTTCTTGGATGATCACCTTATCCAACAATCTCTTTTGATTCGCCTTTTTGAGCATATTCTCCTCCACAGTGTGACTACTGACAAACCGGTAGATATGGACCTCGCGCGTCTGGCCGATCCGGTGCGCTCGGTCCATACATTGCCGGTCCATACTGGGGTTCCAGTCCGAGTCGTAAAAGAAAACCGTGTCCGCTCCGGTCAGGTTGATGCCGACTCCTCCGGACCGGGACGAGGCGATAAAGCAAAAGATCTTGTTGTCCGAGTTGAACCGCTCCGTGATGATTTGACGATCCTCAATCTTGGTGGATCCGTCTAGGCGGAGGTACCGGTGTCCGTTGTAATTGAGGAAGATTTCGAGAATGTCGAGCACGCGCGTCATCTGCGTAAAGATGAGACAGCGGTGCCCGTCCGCTTTGAGATCGCGAAGCATCTCGGCAAGCTTTTGTAGCTTGCCGCAGTCGTACTGCAGGAGGGAGGAGTCTGGGAACGCGATTTGGAGCTTGGTCGATGCGTGATGGAGGGTGTCGAAGGATGGATCAAGGAGGGAGGGGTGCGAGTTAGGTTGGAGAGAGGGGAGTGCGAGGGATGCCAGGTCGCGCGCGGTCGCGGCGGGAGGGATGACGGCAAACTTTTCGACAAGGGGTAAGGAGAGTTTCCGCCGGTCGTCGAGGGATAGGATGAGACCCGAGGATGGTGGGGTCAAATCGTGAACGAGATCCCGCTTGGTCCGAGGAGCGTCAAGAGGGGAGAGCTTCTGTGGTATCTCGCTCAGCATAGAGAGGAAGGTGAACCCGTAGATCGGCCCTGAGCCACACCTGATCCGGTTGACGTCCCGGAGACTCCGCCAGCGCTGTACACTTTCTTCTTCCTCCTTGGCCGCCCGGTACTTGAGCCATCCATCCACCGTCCTCAGATCCATAGGAGGCGGAGCAGGCTGCCTTCCCTTCTGCTTCACCTCGATAGCGTGAGGCAAATGGTCACTCCCGTCCAGTCCCCGCCGAGCGTACGCCGTCCATCCGCTGACGCTCTCGTTCGACGTGATATTGAGATTGAGCGCCGATAGGTCCACCTCGTCCCGCTTCGCCAAGAGCCGCTTGCGGACGAGGATGTCCAGCGGTGTAAAGTCCGCAGCGACCGACCGATCCATCGCAAAGCTGGTGCGTACCGGCCGGACCTCGAATAGGTCGGGGTGATTACAGACTTTCCGAAGCTGCATGAGGGTGTTCATAACGCCGAGGTAGCCGCCGCTCGTGAGTGCGTCCTTGGTAGACGCGCGCGACATGAACTCGTCGTAGAGGAACCGCTGGCGCTTGGAGAGACGGCAGTAGACCACGTGCTCGAATTTGCCCGGGAGCTGCTTTTCGACCTCTGCTTTGAGGCGGCGGAGGATGAAGGGTCGAAGGAGAGTGTGAAGCTTGGATACGGTCGCTAAGGCCTGTTCGTCCAGTACATCGCCGGATTCGACCGCCTTATCCATCGGATCTGGTCATCAGCTCACTCATCATATCACAATGGCGTGACCTACTGGAGAACCACTCGACAAAGTCCCGATGATTCGCAAACCCCACCACGGCCGTCGCCTCCTCCGCCACCCCATGCGGCATCAAAAAGTACAGCAGACTCCACAGCTCCATCAAATTATTCTGAAGCGGCGTCCCCGTCAACAACAACCTCCGCTGCGCCTTGAACCCCAGCAGCGTCTGCCATCGCTGACTCCGGAAATTCTTGATGTTGTGCGCCTCGTCGAGGATCATATAGACCCACGATTTTCGCCGAAAGATGTGCTGGTCGGCGAGGACGATCTGATAGGATGTGATGCACACCTGCCACGAGTGCTCGGTGAGCCACCCGACCCGTTTTTCTTTGCGTTCCTTTTGGGAGCCATAGTACGTGAGGACCTTGAAGCCGGGAAGAAACTTTTTGAACTCCATTTCCCAATTGAGAATGACGGAGGTGGGGACGATGACGAGGTGTTGGCCCCAGACACCGCGGTCGCATGCAAGGTGAGCGAGGAGGGAGATGGTCTGGATGGTTTTGCTAGACGTCAACTGACTGGATGTAATATAATCTGATGTTGCCAACTCACCCAAGACCCATCTCATCCGCCAAGATCCCATTCATATTGTTCGCGTAGAGCCCCGCCAGCCAGTCAAGCCCGGCATGCTGGTATGGCCGCAGCGTTCCGCGAAGGAGGAACGGTACCCTTGTTTTAGGCGCATTCGGGTCTTCCTCGACCTCCATCCCGCGCTCGCCGGCCGCTACATCGCCGATCTCTCCCACTTCCTCCTCCTCCTCCTCGCTTTCTTCTTCCTCTGAAGATAGCTCGGGAGTTTGCTCTGGCGTGATCTTCACCTCCTCAATTCTGACCTTCTTGGGCGGGGGAGGCGGATTATCCTCGGGGGTCCAGACTTGACGAGCCCGTCTTTGCCGCTTTCCGCCGTCGTTGAGAAGGGTGTGGGAGTCGCCATGAAGGTTCTCGTCGAGAAGAGACTGGTCGACCGAGCTCGGGCCATCCCCTTTGACGGGTACAGTCCCGTCGTCTGACTCCGCCTTGGCCTCGTCGGAGGACGGCACGCCGTACCGCCGCAAAAGCTCCTCGATGGGCATATCCGCATCCGCCAAAAGCCCTTCGTCCTCACTATCCGCCTTGTCCCCTCCGCCTTCGCCCTCTCCGCCATCCTCAGCCTCCTCCATCTCCAGATCCATCGCCTCGTCCGCGTCCTCGTCGGAATCACCATTGACGGAGAACTCGATATCGTCCGCGTCCGGGTCGGCCTTTTCAAGGAGGTGGGAGGGAGGGGCGACATGACGAGCTCGTCGGGAACGGATAACAGGGACTGGGCCCGAGCCGGTAGGAGCGGGGTCGGCCCGAGTGGATTCGTCCGCGGTAAGGATTACTGGGGCAGAGGCGGTAGGGACAGGCTCGAGGGGTGCGTCGGCGGGGATATTTTCTTCCGGGGCTGCCTCGGCGACGGGTCTGTCGTGAATGGCAGCCAACGGAGAGGGGTCTTCCAGGTCGACGAGGAGATCCCGGATGTCGGCCGGTGGTGAAGCGGAACCCGGGTCGGACCCGCTCTCACCCATGCGCCCCGAGCTGTCGTCGTTGTTGTTGTCCCCGATTTTCTCGTCATCCAGAGCAGGATCGAGCGCTGAAACAGGGCGGATCACCTCAGATTCCGCCGGAAGACCGTCCCCATCCTCTTGATCCTCCCCTTCAAGCCCAAAGACCCCTTCCACCTCATCCACCTCCATATCTTCCTCATCCCGCTCCACTTCCGGCTGCCCCGTCTTCTCGTCCCCTTCTGCGTCTTCAGCACCTGGATTCACCTCTTCCCCGTTTCCATCCTCCCCTTCCTCGTCCGAGTCGTCCGCAGACGAAACATCTTCCGTCCCATCACTAGCCTCTTCCTCCGCCTCCTCATCATCCCCATACTGCTGCTGCGCCTCCAACAGCCCCGTGCTCCTCTGCAGCATATTTTGCAAATGTTCCTTCCCCAGCCGGTCCTGTTCCGCCTTTTGCGCCTCCGTCATCCGTGCCTTGATCACCTATACTCATCAGCTATCACCCTTTTTTCCCGTGCCCAACCAACACCGATTCTAGCTCACCTTGACGGCCAACCCCCACTTCCTTCTTAGACCCTTAATAACGTCCCTCCCTTTCCGCTTCATCTCCCTCTCCACCTCTGCCTTCTCCCTATCCTCCCTCCCCTCCAGATGCTCCCAATACGCCATTACCAACCTCGCTATTCTTTTGCAGTATACCAGCTTCGCCCTCGCCTCATCAAGCATCGCATTCCGTACCTGCCGCATATGAGCCATCAGGTGATCCTGATGATCCTGCTGCCGCTGGACGAGCGGCGCCTTGCTTTTAGCCAAGCTCGCAGATTTCGGTCCGTCATAATCCGGATCATCTAGCAGACGTAAAAGCCGACCCTGAGATTGTAGGTAGTTGACGCGGTTCCGGATGAAGCCTTCCCGCGCCGCCCGTAACTCGAGCGCGGGAAGTTCTGGCGGGGGGCCAGAGTCTTCGAGGAGGATGAAGGAGGTGAGGACGGAGGAGATGTTGCCGCCGTGAGGAGGAGCAGGAGGCGGGCGTTGGAGGGGGTCGGTATACCAGATCCGGTTCGGGCCGACTCGGCGGGGCCGGACGCGGTGCGGAGGAGGGGGAAAGGGGATGTGTGCGAGCGAAGGAAGGGCGGGTGCAAGGGGTGTGGGTGGTTCTCCCGGTGATGTGGGTTCAGGCTCGGGGTCCGGGTCAGCCTCGGGCTCGGGTTCGGCGATGGGGGAGGACACCAACGGATCGAGTAGACGGATCTTAGGCGGTCGGCCAGGTTTCCGCTTGACGACTGGCGTCGCTGGCTCGGATGAGGTAAGGACATCCTCTGTGGGATCGGCTGAATCATCAAGCAGCGGGCGGACTTTGGGTGGTCTACCCGGACCCCGCTTGATCACCGGCAGATTGGGCAGGGACGCCCTCCCCTTGCCTTTCGTTTCCCCTACAGCACCAGCGTCGTCCACCTCCGGTATCGTTGCGCCAGAGACGCTTGCGCGAGCCTTCTTCCGTACCGGCTCTAGCGGCGGAGGCATTGACTCCCGCTCCGTCTTGACCCGGCCTTTCCCCTTTCCCTGTACCTCCTCCACCGGTTGAGCAGCTGCATCCGCCTTCTTCTTGCCCTTCGTGTCTGTGGTACTGGCATCGCTGAGCCGAGACTTTCCCTTGCTGGAGGTTGCAGCGGCTGGAGCTTCCGCAACGACCTCCGCTTTTGGCGCGGAGAGAATATCAGTGATATCGTGTGCTTGGCGGCGGGTCGTGCGGGATGGAAGGGAGTTGCGGGGTCGAGAGGGGCCAGCGACCGCATTGGGAGGTGGAGGAGGCGCGAGGTCGAAAAGATTGTGGTTGAACCGCTTATACTGGATAGTCAGCTTCGCAAGGCGGACCTTTGAGCCCTTCAGCTTACATCTAAGAACACCGGCGAGTTGTCTACCTTGGCGAGCTACTTGGTCAGCTTGGAGAGACAGACCAGAATCTCATAGCTGACATACCTGAGGATCCCATCCAGTCACCATAGTTACGAACCTCTCCAGGTGGAATTTCTCCCTAACGGCCGTATCATGCCCATCAACCACCAGGCGCAATTCCTCCTCCTTCTCCTTCAGCAGCTCGTCCTTCCGCGCTTGGACCGCCTCTGGGCCTAGACGAGTGTTGATCTGCCGCAGCTCCTTCTCTGTTGGTGCGCGGACGTTTCCTGAAGCTGTGGGAGCCGATGTAGAGGTTGATGCCTGAGCGGGAGTGGGGAGTGATGGGCGCACGCGAAGAGTCCGGGGAGGTGGTGCTCGGGTGACGGGCGTCTTCTTGACAGGAGCCATCATCCCTGACGGTCCGGCAGCAGCGTCTGATGACTCTGGGAGTGTTCTCGGAGCCTCTGCGCCGTTGTCTGAGGGCAGCGGAGCAGCTTCCATATCCACGTCCATGATGGACCACCTCCACCGCGGTCGGTCGGAACGAAATCCCGATGCACCCGATTCGATCTCGCTCGGGCGGTAGAGGCGGGCTCTGTGGACCTGGAAAGGCCGGTGAGAGCTGCTAGGATGTCGATAGTAGGTAGAAAGATGTATAGAGGTTAATAATCATATCCCTAAGTTGAGCGCGAAGTGGGGAGAGCGCGACGAAGGAGGCGGAGATTGCCGGCAATAGGTGGGAAGTGGCGCATGTGGAGGTCCGTCAACAGCTATGGCGATGATCAGGTCAATCATACCTTAACCCTACTATACGAACTCCAGGAAGGCTCAGAGATGGCAGGCTCAACAGTAGCTGTGATGCGCACCGCCAATACTCCGTCTCCCCAGATCCTGCGAGCTGCAAAATCAGCTGCGAGCTCGCCGCATGCGCTCATCAATCTCACCCGGCTCGTCAAGTCGCTGGACGCCAAGATACCTGCGTCGGAACCGGGTGATAGTCCGCTCGTCGACTTGTCTGGGCTGTCCGCTGTTCAGCGGAGAAAGGACTGGGAGGTGAGCTACCCGGTGCACCTTTTGGGGCAAGCGAAGCTGACGTACTAGTGGTTGTTGTATGCTCGGGCGGTCCTGGATTTTCTGAGGGATGGTAATGAAGGGTGAGCTTCGCATTTGGAGCAGAGGATGTGTGATTGCCAAGAGAAAGCTGACTGTCTAGGTCTTCATCGTCGACCAAGACCATCGCCGAGCTCACTACCAGCGTCAACGGTATCATCGCTCGATACGAAGCTACGGTCGGCCCTTCTCTCGCGGGGCCTGCGCAGGCTACGTCCCCTCCCAGTCACAGTAATGCCGATCTAGTATCCGCACATGGGGCTGCTCCGACCCGAGCAATGTCCCTATCGATACCACCCTCAGCGATGGCCCCGCACGTCGAGCCCTCCTCAGCAACTCGCCGTCGACGCGCTGTCCCCTCTTTATCCGAATACCTTTCCAAGCGGGAACGTGAAGACGCCCGAGGCGGTGAAATCGGCCTTCTCCCTCTCGGCGGGGACGCAAGAAGAGGAACAGGCGGACCAACCAAGTCGCAGGGGGACCAGCTGCTCGCGGGACAGCGAAGCGAGGGGGTCATGGGCAACTCGCAATGGCATGAAGAGCTGGGGGGGCAGCTGGCCGAAGTGAGCTGTCCTGCCTGCCGCCGCGCTGAGGCAAAAGCTGACTAGGAAGATGTCACACCGGCTGAAATTGAATGCTATACATTTTTCAAACTCGCTCGAGGCGGAGAAATCTCTCTTGGAAACGTCGCAGCAGACGCTGGAAAGTGAGTTGGAATCGACATTCGATCGGTGATTGTGCGATGAGGCCGGAGCTGACGGGTGTAGGCAACCTCGTGGCGACTCAGGCGTCCAAGAAACAGCTTGGGACGGTCAGCAGTAAAGGGAGGGGAACGACGTGCTTGACGCTGGGAGTGATCATTCTGGTATTGATCATTTTTGTGTGGACGTACATGCTCATCAGATTCACCTAGGGCGTATGTAAACAATAGCTAGGCAATGGGCTTGATGTGAGTGAGCTACCAGGTTACATCGTGAGCAGGCTAGTAGGATGCTCCGAAATCGAATACAGATCTAGGGATAGAGATCCGGCGTGGAGTAGCGACCTAGCGATGTTCTCAGAAGTTTCAAGGTCGACTTCAGGTTTAAGAGGGATATCCCAAGCCATTATCAGGAGAGTCAGTATGGGGACCAGGACCTGCGATCGATACGAGTCGATATACAGTACATCCAACGCATCTCGTCTACTCCTCTAATTCTCCCACCGTAATCCCGTCTTGTGTGGTTCTGAGAGTCAGCTTATACACCATGAAGACCTCTACCCTGTCCGTACTAGCTAGAGCTTGGGATCGGTAAGGAGTACGGAACATACGGATCAAAGGATGTAATTGGGCCAGGAAGGTGATAGCCCACCTAGATCAAGTCAGCTTTCCATCCCACGAGTATCGTAGATTTGATCATCAAAGCTTACATCAGGTAGCAGCAGGTGATAGTGAGCGCGATGCTACTCCGGATCAATCTACGATATCAGCTGCGTACTCATCGGCAGCGCAGTGAGGATGGAAGAGGAGCAGACACGCACGCCTGGTTCTTCCCCCTGGGCGTGAACATCCACCCGGCGGTCGCTGCGATCGCGCAGATCATCGCGATCCAGACGACGGTCATGAATGAGCTCATGGTGTGTGTTTGGGGAGATGGGAGATGTAGATGATAGAGGTCGACAGCAAAGGTGTCTGAGAAGGAGGGCCTTGGGTGGTGGCGGATTGATCAATGGGAAATCGCTTTACGTAAAGCCTCTGGTACAATGGCGGAATTTTGGATCGCTACGATCCATGACTTGTCCATCTACCTGAGCACCGTATCAGGCGGCACCATGTCCCGTATAGAGACCTTTACTCGCCTCTTAGCGAGGCGTAAGCTCCCTCTGCGGCATCTCAGCGGAGTCCGAGCCAAATCGCACGCTGCGCACGCCTTCGCTCGGGACGCATCAGGAGACGCAGGTCCTTCGACCCCTTCACCCCGATCTCTGTTCTCGGATGTCCCGCTCAACCTCGGCCGGAGCGGGAAAGGCAAAGAGAGGGAACGGGTCAGTTATCGGCCCGAAACGGCTGGCGTCTCAACGGAGCAACGAGCATACTTTGCTGGCGAGGACGAGGGAGGGCTACCGGGATGGGGGGACGGGACGGACGAAGCGAGTCTGGCGGGGTTAGAGCCTGGTCGTGTTGTCGAATGTCGGCGGTGAGTCCTTCTTGCTCTCATAGGGAGGCCAAGCTGATAGACAGATCCGGAACATTCTCCATCGGTCTCCTTCTGGCCTCGGTGATGTCCAACGGTCGAGCGCGCCTGATCCTCCTGCGCCAATCCGGCGAAATATGGCCTATCGCCCCGAAGGACGTCCAATTCGTCATGCCCCAATCGCTCATCCCGCGCGGTCTGTACGAGCGGTGCTGGTCCCCCGACCTCCTCGAGGCGTGGGCTAAGGGCGATGTCGGCGCAGCGCCCGAGGAAGCAGCCGATGGGGATATGATGGCTGCGCGGCGGGAGGCGGTGGTCATTATCCGGAAAGTCGGGAGGGAGACCGAACGGATGGTCAATCGTCTGAGCGGGTCTGGTGGGGGCGGCGTGGATGCCGTCTGGGTAAAGAGGACCGAGGGGCTGAGCGAGGAAGAGAGGGGGAGGATCACCGCTGCCGAAGCGGCGGATATCCTTCTTTCTACGGATGGACCAGAAGGGCGGAGGACGAAACCCAATACGCTACCGGCGTATGCGGCACACCGGATGCTCATCGCCCGGTCAGACCTGTTTGTCGCGGACGACGGGGAGATGTGGGACACGGGCGTCTTTCTCGTCCGGAGCCGGGCGGAACGGGCGCGCTTCCAGGCGGTCACGACGTGGGTGGACGGCGCAACCCCAGAGGACGCGGCGATACTCCAGGCATTCGTCGATAAGGCTCGCGCAGCCCTCGCTCAGATGCCAAACCAAACATCCCCGGTAGAATGGAGCGAGACGGACCGGGCCATCATCTCGATGCTCTTCCTCCGGCTGTTCGAAACGCGTACGACTCAGCACTCTCCCTCGGACAGACTGAGCGTCGCTATTCTCCGCGCCCTGGACCCTTATCCCGGAGCCATCGCCGACCAAAGGTGCATCGCCCACCTTCTAACAGACCTCGGTTGTCTGCCGCCCTCCGACTCGCTCGAAACTTCCAAAGCGATCGAAACGGAATCTCGGTCCATATCCCTTGCGGGTCTCTCCCTGCCTACTCGCGTGGGCGGGGATGACCTTTTCAACGGGACAGAGCTCGACTCGCTGCGGGAAGACTTTTCCAGTCATACCGTCTGGGTTATTGACGACATCACCGCGCAAGAACTAGACGATGGGATCTCCATCTCCCGCATAGAGGGATCAGAGGACGTATGGGTCCACGTCCACATCGCGGACCCTACGCGGATCATACCGCTGGACCACCCCATGGCGGTCCGGGCGAGTTTTAGGGGGACAGCGCTATACCTGCCCGAAGGGAACGTCCCGCTGATAGACCTCGCAGGGGCCAAGGGGCTTAGTCTCGGCTCGGCGGGTGACGGGGAAGAGGAGGGGCGGGCAGTGATGACATTCTCTGCGCGTCTGGGGGCGGATGGGCAGATCAAGGAGAGTCTTGTTCGGCCCGGATGGATCAAGGAACCCCGGTTGACGACGTACGCGGATGTCGACGCTGCATTTGGTGTACCCACATCCACTCCCGTCCGTCCCTTCGGCCTCGTCACATCTATCGAGGAAGCTTCACCTGCTCGGCGAGACCCAATCAACCCGGCGGAAATACCCCAGCTAGACCTTTTACGGAGTACAGCCGTCGCCCGCCGAGCCCAGCGCCTCCGGTCCAGCGGCCTCGACTTTGGCGCATCGCTCGCCTCGTCGCGCCTCCTCATCCGCTCTCCGCCCTACCACAACATCTTCACTCCCTCTTCCCTCCCTTCTGTTTCCACCCCATTCCCCTCCGCCCCCTTGATCGACTATACCCTCCCCGCCTCTCCCCCATCCACGGCCATATCGGCCGCCGCGGCCGTCGCCGAGATGATGATGCTCGCAGGTCGCGTCGCCGCATCGTACTGCATGATTCACGGCGTTGCGGTCCCATACCGCGGTGCCGTCGCCCCTTCAGAATTACACATCCCCGGTCGGCCCGAGGCGTCCATGTCGATCGAGGAACTTCTCGCTCATCGTAAACCCGATGCGAGTATCGACCCTTTTATTGTATGGAAGTCCCGCGTCGCGTTCGCGCCAAGCACAGTGACGACCGATCCGCGACCCCACTGGAATATGGGGTTCGTAGGAGATGAACTCGGGTATACGCGCGCTACCTCACCATTGAGGCGGTACGACGACCTTCTCGTGCATTGGCAGTTGAAGAGTCATCTCGCCATGCGGGCCGGAATAGACTGGGGCCGAGTCCTCGACGAAGGAGAAATGGGGGTACTGGCCAAGCGAGTCAAGGGCGCCCAGTTGAGGGGGAGACGGGCGGGTATCGCCTCCGAGGCATTCTGGCAAGCTGGGGTATTTGCGGGGCAGCTCGCCAAGCCGCGGTATGCCGAGAAGGAAGGGGAGGTGGATCTGCGCGAGCCGGTCACAGGGAGAGTGGCGGGTCCGAGCATAGGGATGCGGGGCAAGATGTCGACCCCGATTCGGGTGGAAGGGCTGGGGGTGGTGGCGCGCCTCTTGAGTGAGGCGAGGGAGTTTGAGGTCGGCGAGGAGGTGCAAGTGAGGATTGAAATGGCGGTGCAGTGGCCACGGCCGATCGTGGGGGCTGTACTTGCTTAGCGCGTAGACGTCTAGATAACGTAGAGAGGGAATGTGAGTTGTAGCTATAGAAGTAGATCTGTTGTAATCGTATATCTAGCAACCACCATTCATGCACGTAATACATCTCTTGATATCGCTGCAGAACTCATTACCATGCAAGGACCCATCCTTGATTTTCTCCCTCATCCCCTACTCTATCCCTCTCGACCCATTTCCCCCTTGACATCTATTGCCCCTCAAACCCCATCCGCATTGGCCCGCCCTGCCCATATCCACCCTGCTGCCCCCCATACCCTCCCTGCTGCTGCGGAGGTGGCGGAGGAGCCCCATACCCTCCTGGTCCCTGCTGCTGGTACCCACCGCCATTCGCCACTGGGAATCCTGGTGGAGGAGGTGCCGCATACCCACCACCGCCATACCCGTTCTGCTGCTGCGGGGGCTGGCCGTACTGCATCTGTGGTGGATACCCGGGTGGCGGCGCTTGGCCATACGAGCCTGGAGGGGGTTGGTAGACTGGCATGCCGGGAGGTGGGGGTGGTGCGCCTGGCGAGGTGAGAGCGGGACGGGATGGGGGTGGGGCGAGGGCGCCAGCGAATTGGCCTGAGGTGTGAGCAACAGCAACACCCCAGAGTATAAAAGCTTCAAAGGGTGGGGGACGAACCTTGGAATACAGGAGCAGCCATGCCCATACCCATACCGGATCCAGGCAACATGGACCGTTTCCTAAACCATCAGCTCTTTCCTGAATCCCAGGGAAGGAGGTAGCTCACTTTGCTTGCGCCGCCAATAATCTTTCAGCCTGACTTCCATGTCGCTCCCCATTACTATCCTTCTTGAACGCATACTGCACACTGATTTGTTTCCCACCAAAGAACTGCCCGTTCATATTTTCGATGGCCATATCGGAAGCTTCAAACTCGTGGTACGAGACAAAGGCGTACCCCTTGGACTGGCCCGTACTAGGATCTCGAGCAATCTACCATCAGCCCCATCCATATCCTCCAAACACTCCTCTCAGATGACGAAGAACTCACCTTGGGCTGATCCGCAATGTGTCCAAAGGTCGAGAACGTCTCATACAATTGCGCCTCATCCACCCCTTCGTCCAAACTCCCGATAAACAGATTCGCCCCCACTTCCACCTGTTTCCGATCATAACTCGCTTTATTGACCCGGATGGGCTTCCCGTACAGCTTGATCTGGTTCATGATTTTCACGGCGTAGTCGGAATCTTGTTCGCTGAGGAACTCGCAGAACCCGAAACCTTGGTGGGCCATGGAAATTCGGTCTTTGGGGAGGAAGACGTTTGCTGAGGGATTAGCTGGTGATCTCAGTGAAGGGAGTCGAGGAGTGCGGACGTACAGACTGGTCCTGCTTGCCTATGATGTCAGCTGTATCCTTCTGCACGAGGTGAAGATGGCAGCTGTGAACTTACAACATGAGTTCCCATATTAATGCATCAGACACCCGGTCGTCCAGATTCCCCTGCGAAGAGTCAGCTCATGTCCTGTGGTCTCCCACACTTCGAAGCTCACCAAGTACACCGTCGCCTCCTGATTTCTGTCCTGCTCTGCCTTGGGTGCGATACTCATATTGGTCTGATAGAAAGAGGTAGAGAAGGATGAAAGCAATCGAGGTTCGAGCTCGAGGTCGAAGATCACGCAGAGCCAAATATCCAGTTACGTAACGCAATATCCTTCGGTGATGCGATCCATGCAGCAGCTGGGATCGCTGGGGCTGGATAGGGTGGATGTTTGATTACCACAGTGCACCAACAATCAACCATGCCTCGGCCATGCTATATCATCATGCAGAGATATGTTCGCTACAGATGAATCCAAAACTTCTCACTTGTCCCTCCGGCCTCCGCCTGCTCTCCTCGCGATGGTACGTCGATCGTCACCTCGTTCTCGTTCGTGAGACACACCAGCTCTTCCCCCAGCCCCCAGCTTGATACCTCCAACCCACCCTAGCCTCACCCCATCCGCCCCTCATATCGCTCTACTCGCCCACAACATCCTGCTTCATCCTCTTGACACTCGCCTTCCGCCCCAACGCCCCCTTCACACTCGACTGCCTCTCTTCCCCCTCCACCTCCATACTCGGACGATCATGCACCAGCTCCGTCGGGCTCGCACGTCTCTTGGAGGACGTATCGTCATCGTCCGTCGTCGTACTCATGGATGTGAGCGTATCTTTACTGCCTTTGCGAGCAGCGGCGGCGCGCGCATTGTCCTCGTCTAGCATCGCGAACGTCTGGTGGATGATCACTACCCGTCAGCCCTGTTCTTTACGGGAAAAGAGGAGACCTCACCCTTGTACGCAAACACAAACTGCCGGAGACTCTGCACAAGACTCATCCGCTGTACCCGCATACTCTCCAGCACCTCCAATACTGGCGTCTGCATATCGTCCAGCGGAGTAGGGGAACGAGGGCGCTCGTTGGGTCCCGAGATAGGCTGGGGGTGTTCCGGGTCCGCTTCGTCTTCGCCGACCGTAGACAGACAGCCCAATCAGCACATTCCTCCGAGACCTGTGCGCGCAACTCACTACTCGGGCGAATCCTTCTCGGCAAACGCCGAACCCATACTCGGCCGTCTCCCCGCTGTCGTCGTGCCCGCATCCGAAGTCCCCTTGTCCTCGCGGTAAGACAACCACTGATCAATAGTGCTGTTATTCTCCGACGCTGCCGTCGTCGCGGGATACTCTGCCGGCGAATCCACCTCCATCGCATCATTGTCAACCTCCCCCGCCTGCTTGGCCTTGGCAATGGCCGATCCGGGGGGTAACCAGTCGAACCCTGGAGCCTGACCTTGGGTGTGGGACTGAGCGTGAGGTTTGACCGGCGCCGAGAGCGCCTTTTCGTGTGGAGGGATAGGCGAAAGACCCGTGAGGAGTCCAGACGAGGCGCTTTGTCTCCGCTTCTCATGGTCCGATAGCGTCTTGTCGCCCGAAGCGAACGATACCGACTTGACCCGACCACTATGTCCCAACCCCCTAGAGAACGAGCTGTCAGCCTGAACCGAGCTCAGTTCTCTAGGGGAGGACGTATTAGCCCGACTCCGCGCCTTGATAGGCTTGGTTATGGCGTAATCCTCGCTTAGAACCGGGTGTCTCGCCGCCTCGACAGCCTGACGCTTCTCCTCCTCCGTCTGGCGCTGACGATTCAGGCCATCCAGGATCGAATCGACGAGGATGAATGAACCCGTCCGCCCGATGCCCGCCGAACAATGGATGAGGACCGGCGCGTCCTGTTGTGCTGGCGGTCCCGGCTCAACCTCTTTCCGCGCGTCCGCAACGTCCCGGATGAGCGTAAGAAGTACTTCTGGCGAAGTAGGTACGTCAAAGTCCGGCCAGTGGGTACATTGGAGCTGGACGATCTTGCGCGAGTCCCCCGGGTGCTTGTCGTGCGTAAGCACAAACTCTCGCCGTATATTTTGGTAGTCGTCGGAAAGGGAATCAGACTTGTTGGCGCTGGGGATGGGGACGGAAAAGTCGAAGCCGGCATTGGCAGGTCGACCGAAATCATCCCCGCCGGTCTGACGATCGAGGTGGACGTGGATCGAACCGTAATTTTGATCCTGCCAGTAGTTGCCGCATTTGACGAGACCGCCTTCGAATTGCTTTGTAAGCCTAAACGTTAGCTCGTCCCTTACGAGCCCAAGATCTACTTACATGACGATAACCCGGACGTCCTGTTCCCATATCAACGTCCAAAAGTCCCGGAAAGTAGCGTCCAGTGGACCCTGAGTAGCGATGTACCGCCTCGACGTCCCTCTTGGCTGGATGTACGAGGCGTTGATATAGTCGCTTTCGTCCTCGCAAGGCGTGACGAGTCGGACCCGAGAAAAGTCGTACGGCCATATGTTCTTGTACCTGCTGATTAGCCAGCCCCTTTTACGCATTGACTTACCGATTCTTACTCCCTCGCTCCACCCCAGCGGTAATCGAAAACGGGTAATACTCCTCTCCATCCGCCCCCGTTGACCCCTGACCCACCCGCCATCCCTCCAACCGCTCCACATCCGCCTGATCCCGCTTGGTCTGCTTGGCCCAGGTACTCGCCTGCCCCTTCTCGGTCAAATCATCCTCTGTCGTATGTGGCAGAACGCCCCCTGAACCCTGACTATGCCAGTCCATGAGCGCTTGGAGCCGCTTCTGCTCATTCCTCTCCACCCTGTAAAACTGCTGCGCCATCCGCTCGGCCCCTTCGGCCGGACTCGCACCGACGAGCTTGCCCAGCCAGTCTGGTAATTCCGATGCCCGTTGTTGCTCTTCAGCCGAGAGGGAGAGGGGGATACGTTCCGTGATACCGCCATGGGAGAGCTCGAGGTTTTGTCGGATATTATCAAAGAAGGGGTTGGCGGGTTGGAGTTTAGGCCGACTGCCGCTGCCCGTAGAGGATGCAGAACCGTTGAAGGAAAAAGCGGCGGGAGCGACCGCGCCGAGCGCCATGCTCTTGAGCGAGAGCGGCTGGGTTTTGACCGACATCGAGTCGAAGGGGTTGGCGCGGTTGTTGGCGGAAGGGGTAAAAGGGAGACCACCGCTCTGGTTTCGAGGGACGGGATTTCCGCTTCCAGTCGAGCCTGCCTATCAGTCCTACTCAACATCCAAGAAAATAGACCCACCATGCAAGAATGCAAACGACCCGAGACCGCCTGCAGAAAAGTTTCCACTGGGACTCGCCATTCCCGCACCTGGACCAGGCGAGGTCATTCCGTCCGACTCGGCCACTTCCTCGCTGCCCACCATCTGAACCTGCTTTTTCGCCTCCAAAGCAGCCTGCCCACCCTTGATGAACCAGATGACCCCCTTGAATCCTTCCCGCTCAAACTTGGCCGCTAATCCCTCCATCAAGCTCCCAGCGCCGGCGGTCGTCGAGTCCACGTCGACAAGGACGATATCCGATTTTTCTTTCCAGTCAGACACGGCCTCGCGACTGTCGGGAGAGAGCATGAGGAGGACCTTGGCGACAGTGAAGGCGGGTCGGCGGAGGAGGGTAGATGGGACGGGGACGGAATGGGAGGACGGGATATGGCTGATGAGGTAGGCGGATGGGGGGCGGACGTCGAGGACGAGGGTGCGTGGCTGCGCGAGGAATTTGGGGACTTCCCCAGCGGCGAGAGGTCGAAGGCCCGGTTTTGGTAGATCGGCGACACCGGTACCTAGGGGGCTGGGCGCTTTAGTCGAATGTTGAGCAGGGGGACTGGGTACGCCGAGTGCGTTTTTAGGTAATGATCCGCGGCGACGAGCCAGGGAGGCGGGGAGAGCGAGCTTCGGCAGTACGTTGCCGGACGACTCGATGCCTTCCATCGGCGTACCACTCCCGCTAGACCCGCTCGCCGTCCCGGCACTTCCTGACGCTGACGCCCTCCCGGCCATATTCCTATACTTTGCCAGCATCTCCGCATTCATCCCTGATCCGCCACTTAGCGAACCCGATCTGGACGGAAGAGCCAGTGAAGGCATATCCGTCCCCGATCCAGAAGGCTCCGCAAACAGGTTTCCGCCGCTCCAGCTTCCATTCAAGTTGAGCTGCTCAAAAGGCCCGCCGAGATGTGGACTGCCGCGGCCCGGTCCGTCAATCGAGGGAGTAGGCGCGCCAGACGTCGCCCCGAGCATCTGCCAGGGCGACTGCGCGGTCCCCGGAGTGGCGAGAAAGGACGGCTGAGTCATCGGTAATTTGAATGACATGTGCGGAGTGGCTTTCGAAGTGGGTGGTGATTGCGGTGGCGAGCTTGGTCCGGGCGAACGAATGGGAGAGGAGGGGAGTGTGGCCGCTGGAGAAGGGTTGCGGTGGTCGTGGGGATTAGGAAAGTTGGGTATGGAGGTGGGTGCACCGGATCGACGCCGAGGCGGTGTGGGCACGGGCCGGGCAGCGTGGTCACCCGATACAGATCCACCGCGGGGCACGGCCGACTGCCGTGGCTGTGTTGAAGCAGGGCCTTGTGTATTCATACTGGCTGGAGTGGGCGCCTGACGCTTTCCAGGCGAACGCGCAACCGAGGGGGAGGATGGGTTTAATGGGCGCGAACGAGCCGCGTCGTCGTCTTGGGTAAGCATCCTATTGGGGGAAGTTGGTGTCGATGTTGGCGTGGCATCAACAGCGAGGTGATTGCTGAGGAGAGTGTATGGGATAGGCAAGGGTGACCAATGTCAAGGCAGAAGTTGAATTGCTGGCTGTACCGGAAGCAGAACGCGATGACGTCTATCAATTCTCCGATCACGCTGGGCCCAGCTTTTATAGCATGCGTGCAGCTATGCGGGCGGATGCTGGCGACGAGGGATCCGTTGGTAGCGGTCGGGTGTAATGCGCGGAGGAGAGTATGGCGGTACTGTTAGAGGTGGTACGACACAAAAGAGAGCAAAAGAGGCAAGGACTTGAGCTGTGATATTGGCCCCGACGGCCAAGTTCTGGACCAATGACGCGTAACAAATCTGCCCCTGCACATTGCGTCATCAGGCACAGCGTGCCTAATCAATATGATGTTTGGACAGGGGGCGTGCCTAGTTTCAGCAATCCCGTGCGCATGCTTCTCATCCAAGCTCGCTCAGAGGTCCACACCAAGCCATCGCCTCACCTCTTGCCATACACCCTGCGTCAGTATGACAGACCCACAGGCAGTCCGCCGGTATGATGCCGACTTCAAATCCACTCCAGGCATGCTGTCCATCACGGCCAGCCATATAGCCTGGAACCCGTCCACTGCGAACGCCATGGACCGGCAACAGCAGAATATGAATCGGGTGACCAGTCAGTCCAGTCATACTCAAGCACTGATCACGGCTGATTTTTCAAGATATGCTTGCGTCCAAAGCGGGAAAGCCAAAAATCTCACTCAAGCTCGTATTCAAAGACGACGTCCCCGCTGGCGGACTGCTGTTCACCTTTACCGCAGCGAGCAAGGAAGAGGACCGGAAGGCAGTACAGGATATCCTCATCCCGTTCGTCTCCGCCAACAAGGGCATACCGGTCGGTGCGGCACCTACACCTGTGGCTGGTCCGTCTGGCCCGACCACAGCGACAGCAGCGCTAGTATCAGGCGCAGCCGGGAGCTCGGGCGCTCCTTCCCCCGGTACACCCGTCGGAACGCCCAGCGCAGTGTCAAAGGGGAAGCGCAAGGCGGAAGATACGCTCATGACGCCCGCAAAGAAGGCGGAGACCAAGCTCAAGATGAGGGTGCTCAACAAGAACTCCAACCTGAAGGCGTTGCACCGGGAATTGGTCATGGGTGGGCAGATCAGCGAGAAGGAGTTTTGGGAGGGAAGAGAGGTGGGTCTGACTGGCACCAGAGCTGACTGTAGGCCCTGATACAAGCGGAAGGACTCGCTCAGTCGCTCAAACCCGGTCGGCCGTCGCGGCTGCTGGATGACCGATTCGACCTCGATGCATCGCGCAACAAGTCGTCGGGGAGCGGAACGGGAGTAGGGGTCAAGCAAAATAAGGAGACGGGACCGATGATTCTCAATATCACCAAGGATCTGACGAGGGAGATCTTTGAGGAGTTTCCGGTGGTGCAGGATGCGTATGCGCGATACGTGCCGGGGGTGAGCTGGATATGCCTAGCCATTAGTATGAGAGCTGACGTGCCAGATTAGCGAGGCCGAGTTCTGGACGAGATACTTTACGTCCAGGCTATGGGAACAACATCGGGCGAGTGTGCGGAAATCGACCAACGAGGAGGTCAACAAGAAGAATGACGACATCTTTGACCGGTACCTGGAAGAGCCAGATTGGAGTGAGCTCAACTCTCCTCGGCAAATGTCGATGTAGCTGATAAGCTAGACCAAGCACCACGGCGAGATGCCGCTGCGCCAGTCGTCCGATTCTTGGATCTCGCAGCGACCGAGGAGGATCACGGTGATGTAAGCTTCACAGGTCTCGGTGAAGAGCTGCAGCAGCTGACCTTATCAGTCAGATACAGTCCGAGATCATACGATGCAAGCGGGCCGCGAACGGAGCTCTCTGCCGCTGATCCGGCGATTCAATGAGCACTCGAATAAGCTGCTACGGCGGGGCAAGTGAGTTGAATTCCTTCCGCCTGCGGAGTCCATAGCTGACCGAGCAGCGATGGTCGCGCACAGAACGGAGGTGCCGACGGCGACGAAGCGGACGTAAGCTACTACTTCCGCATCTGCCCCAGTGACCGCAGCTCACGACTCAGGAACTCGACATCTATGGCGAAATCGACCTGGAAGACCTACACGGCCCCGCGGCACCGCAGACGATCGCCCTGGATGTCCAAGGTGGGGACATGGTCGCTGAGCGTCGGGAGGGCGCCGTAGCAAAGGGAATCATGCCTGGCAGGCGGAACCTGGTCAGTTGTCATTTGCTCGTACGTGCGCAGCCCAGCTGATCGCTAGGAACTGGTCGACATAGCTTCAGACCAGGCACTACACATACGGCTCTGGAACGCAGATCTTTCCGGGGTATCACTCCCCAACCCTATATCTCCCCAAGACAGGGAGATGGGATTGAGTTCAGAGCAGCAAGAGGCGGAGAAGCGGTTCGCGGCCCAGCGGGATGGGGTACAAGGGGCGATGATGGCTGTCAAGGGGTTACATCGGGCCAGTAATGCCGAGACTGCGATCAAGGGTGAGCCTTGCCTGCAGTAGGGAGGAGGATTAGCAGCTGATGGACAGACCCCCTACCGCAGAATATCCTAGACGCGATGAGATCCTGCCATAACGCCGCAACAGAGTTCCTGCGCCAATACTGGTCCGCCGTCCTCCCTACACCTTCGGCTGCACTGGGCGCGGGCACGGCAGCGACGAGCGACGCAACCAAGGCTGCCAAGGCGGACAAGATGGCGGGATACCTGAGGCTGACGGAGGGGAAGGTCGAGGCGGTGGTGCAGACTGCGCAGGTGGCGGGGGTGGACGTGGGGCGGGTCAAGGCTGTGAGTACTTACGGATCGATGATCAGTGGGGAAGAATGAACGGGGCTGATGCGATAGGCTCTGGCGCCGACGATGGGGGCTGTGAATGTTGCGCTGGAGAGGGAGAGTCGGCGGACGGGGACTGTTATCTGAGAGGCAGTGGGAATTATAGCCGGTTGTAATAATACAAAATATATCGAGTCGTACAACGAGATTATTCTACTCCTTCCTATCTCGCATTCGTCCCTCAGCTCCACTGCCTGATCCTAGATTCTAACTATACCATCTACCCGTAAGTTCCCCAGATGCGCTCACTTTCCGCGTCCCCTTCCTCGTCCCCGTCCCCTCCCTCTTCCTCTTCCCCTCACAGTCCCTCCACCTCCTAAGCCACCCATGAACACCTGCTTCGTAACCACCCCGTCTTCCCCTTCCCCCTCCTCCCCTTCGCCCTCCCGATCTTTCCTCTCACTCCCCTCCGCCTCCGCGTCCCCCTCTCCCTCATCCCGCCTCATCTCCCTCACTCCGCCCCGCATCGGACTAGGACTACTCGCCCGACTACTAGTCGCCGAGCTCCGTCTCGACCGATCCATCGTCGACGTCCCACTCTGCATGGTATCCGTCTTTGGCATCCCCGGTCCGCCCGTCTTGCTCGCACCCCCTCCTCGGGACGTATTGGACGGATACCGCCCGCCCGCTCGATGGATCGAAAGCATCTGCGAGCCCGCCTCCCGCCCGATCGTCTCTATCCGTTTCCGCTGTTCCCGCGAAAGTGTCTCCTGCGTTCCGGAAGAAGGGAGGTCGGCGCCGTATCCCTCAGACAGGATCGAGGGGTCGCGAGGGGGTGCGAGGAGGGGTGCGGTCTCGCCTGTAGCTGCTGGGGAAGAGGGGGATTTGGAGGGTCGGGGGCCGCAGCATGGGAGCCAGTCGAATAGGCCCATCAGGGCTAAGAATGGGCGCCGAGGTGCACCAGAGTATCAAGGTGGAGGGGCGGTAGCTGATAGGGGGATTGGGGGAGGAGGAGATAAGGGAAGGGAGTGAAGGTTTGATGATTTGACGATTTCACGATACCGGGGGATCAGTTGACGTCGTTGATTTTGCTTGATGAGGACTTTTGTGGGGCAGCAGCGACGCTGGGGATGGGCGGTATGAGGGCTATTAGTGAATGATGCTAGATATGGGGCAGTGAGACATGAAAAATACCCGCGGACCGCCGAGTCAAGCGCCGAGCCGCAAAGCCACGTGGCATGAGGAATGTGGCGCAGGTCGACCCAAGTGGCGAATTGTCCTTAGGTTGGGTCCTATAGGCCTGGCCTGACGGGCGGTAACGTGTAGCATGTGCCCCACCCAGCGATGGGTCGTACAGATGATGAGAGGGCGAGGCGGTGTAGACATCTTTTGTGAGGGGTAAATCTGACACCAAGTGTGCCCAATCCTTTCACCCAGATCCCCCTACATAGGTCCTGCTTGGACGCCCGCCAGTGACTCGATGAGAGATATGAGGGGCGACCCGATCTCAAAAGCCCTGGTCTTCTTTACATATCACCAGCCTCATCCCAGGTTAAGACGACCCGTCCCGAAGCTTGACCCGCGTACCGCACAACATCTCAGCGCTTCCCTCCCTTTCCCCTGGACACCCGGCACTCGCCCCTGCGCAGCATGTCCGACTCAGCCAAGTACACAATGCTGGGCTTTTTTCGCACTCCGGATGACTACGAAGATGATCCAAACCCAATGACAAAGTGGCGGCATGAGGCGACGCGATCTATGGACCTCATCTTCCAAGCGCGTACCTTACAGAATTGGTCTGAAGCCATTGAGAGCGCGATGCAGAGTACCATCGGAAAGGAGACTACAAACATACTCGCCGTCATCAATGAAAAGGGCGACGAACTGAATGCAGTTGACAAGTGGTGCACATTGTCTCTTCGGACTGGAGGTGACGATGTGACTCGCTTTGTCACCCTCACCGATGACGATGTCGAATGGGTCCCCATCAAGAGATTCTTCGACGATCTCATCACGACAGCAAGGAAAGTCGAGAGAGAAGTCGACAGGGACACAAAGTTGAGCGACCTCTTTCCATCTGCAGCTCTGATGGAGGGCGGAAAGGAACAGGCTTGTCGGTCTTGGGTATTGAGCGTACTGAATGTGGACAAGGATGACCCAAAAGCATCCATTGTGTTGAGTGATCTCGCAGAGGGAAGATTGTCGAAGGGGTTAGGGGATCTGGTGGAATGCTTCGAGGGAATGGTGGGCAGGAAAGCCAAGGACCCGCACAAGATCACCGATGCGGAGTTTCAGGCGTACTTTGCGAGTGCCACTGCAAATATCACAGTCAATCGGGAGGATGAACTTGCAGCGGCAGAAGCGGCGCTATATATCCATCCCAAGACGAAGACGACGAAGGCGGTGTCGCCTCGGATGACGATTCCGACTCTGGTACAGGAGACGGGGAAGAGGGTACGCATTCTCTCAGCTCCTCGGCGCTCATGGGCGGCCCGTCGGTGCCCTCTGTGCCACTTGTATCTGAAGCTCGTGCGAGCAAACGGCAGCGAACGGAGTGAGGAGGACTGGGTTGAAGGTCACAATGTCGTCGCCTACTTTATCGCAACGAGGCTGTGGTTTTTTTCTTCGGGGCATGTAACTTGAGTGGACCAAACATCATTGCACGAGGCGTGTGCGCCACTGTAGGATTGTGGCGCAATCTAGGCTCACTACGGTTCGCGTTGTCATCGTCGCAGAATCTTGGAGGTTATCGTACCATTCTCTGCCTCCGGTTCCTGAAACATACGGGGAAGTGCCACAATCAAGATTTCGGCCTTCAATTTGACTTCACCTATCTCGTCAGCCTTTCATCTTCATCTGCCAGCTAATCATCATCTCTCATCTGCACTGAAGATGTCTTCTCCCTCTCCTCATTCCCCTAAACACATTCCCATGGTCACTATTGGACCCGTCTACGTCGAACCGCGCGAGATGCGCTCAAAGCTTCCCTACACCCGGACCACACTCTGCCCCAAGCGCCCGAAAGCCAAAGGCCGCCCTCCCCGGCGCCGGAGACTCCAGTTCCCAGAGACGATCTTCTACGAGATAGCGAGTCATGCCGACCCGCTATCGATGTTCCGGATGATGGCGTGTAGTAGGAGCATGAGGGCGGGCGCGCAGAGAGCGTTGCACGATGAGTTGAATGAGGGAATAGCAATTGTTACGGACCATTCCTGGCCATCAGATGACATGAGTGAGTACATGCCAGTCAGAGAATCCGTCTCAGCCGCGGTCAGTTAAACCATTGGTGGCTGACGATAGCAGTATTTGCCCAGGTCAATCAAAATGAGCTTTACGGCGAGGACCGGCGGCTCGGGCTCGAGGAACACAATGCCGACTTTGATGGGCTCATCGCGGCGTACTCCAAAGCTCTCTCCCTCCTCCGTGGCGTCACTATCGAAGCTCGGGATGACGATGGCCACGCAGGCTGGAGGCAGCTGTGGCTGCTCGGCCCCAAGCTAGAGCAGTTGGAGCTCCATATTACGGATCGATACACGCACGCGGTGTCGGCCGGCGTACTATCCATCCGCGACGACTGGACCTCATGCGACGGGCCTCAGACTCCGGTCTTTGCAGCTTTGACGTCTCTGACGCTTTGCACAACGGCGAGGTGCCTTCAGCACCTCGAGTACCTCCTCCCCTACATTCCCTATCTCCGACACCTCACCATATCATCACCCCCCTACAGTCCCTCGGACCATACTCATCTCCCTACTCTGCGCTCCTACTCCCTCGCCCACCTGGAGGACGTACATGTCACCGGATGCGGTCTCGTCGGAACCAAACAGGTCGGACTATACCTCTGGACCAGCTGGCTGCCTAGCACGCCGACTCTCCGTCGGCTGGCCGTATGCTCCCCTCAGGTCCCATCCATCCCCCTCCACTTCACCTCCAAAACCTCCCCCTCGCGGCTGTCAAGTCGGCTCCCCACCCAGCTCCAGCAGATCATCTTTGACGAGATCAACACGGAAGACTTCGTGCAAGCTCTTCCCGACATCAGGCGTCTCTGGATCGACGTGCTCTGCTTCCAGAACATCCGGAATCTGGTATTTGAGCGGACGAAGCTCAGGTACAAGGCGTCGTACCCGCTGCTCGAGATGGTGAGTTCCGTTATCCTGTTGAGATGATATGAGCTGATGCACCTCAGCCAGTAGATGAGCGACCAAGTCTCCCCTCCCTCCGCACAATCACCTGGATCAACCGGCGCCTGTTCGAGGTCACGGTGCCAAAAAGCCGCTCTCACACATTCGAGCCGTTTGACCGGTCCACCCTGCTCGACTTCTTCTGCCAATACTCCTCTCTTCATCTCGTACAATGGATCAACTCGGACGATATCTTCGACGATCCGTTCGGCACTGAATTCATATCTACGTCGGTCCAAGCGCGCATCATATGCCGCGAACTCGGTCGAGCAGGCGCACACCGCGGGAGACCGTTCTCGACTTGTCTGGACCGGGTTTCGGATCTTGCCATTTCTCAAATGGTGTTGCCGAGGAGCCAGATGGATATAGTCGATAGCGGGAGGGGAAGCAGAGGAGATATAGGAGTGGTGGAGAGGGGAGTGGGGAAGGCGGGTAGGCTGGAGGGACGTACTCGATCGAAGCTGGGGTATCGGATCACATTGAAGAGGGAGAAACAGAGGTATAGAGTTGCGGGTCCTACGTATCATGGACAGAGATCTTCCATACTATGTCATACTATCAAGTTCGATTGAATTGCAGCGAGCGGAGCTGTACATGCCCCGCTCGGCCAGCTTGTCCGCTGGAACATGCTAGCTGAATCCTTTAGCTCTGCCATCGGGGGGCGATTAGGCTGACGACGTCTGAAGTCTGCCTATAATACCAAATAGGAAGACATCTGAGAGGTCTCGCCGCAGAAGACATCCCGCTATGAGGCGATAGAGTAAGACAAGGCTTAACAGCGCGATCAGGCCATCCAATATCCACCACCCGCCACACTTTCCTCACAGCTGTGTTTGCTTCCGTCACCTGAAACACGGGGTAGGCTGCGGCCGAAAATTTGTCCTGCCTTCACCATCCTCATCGACGTCGTCAAGGCAATTACAATCAACCCATCGTCCTCGATCAGCTCACTTGCGCATCTGTGACCTTTGACCCCCCCGAAGATGCCTACTCTCGACCGCGCCGAGTTGCCGACAAAGCGCAAGGAGACCCGCAAAGTCCGCAGTCCGAGCTCGAGCTTAGAGCCGGAGTTCTGCCCGGAACCCACCTCTTTTCCTCAGAACCCGCACCTACCAGAGAACGTGATCTACGAGATAGCAACGTATGCTACGGATAAGACGATATGGCGGATGATGGCGTGTACTAGGAGCATGCGGGAGGCGGCGGAAAGGGCGCTTCAGCCATATTTGAGGGAGAAGGTGATTACGGTGAATCCGCCTTGGCTATCAGATGAGAAGCGTGAGTACTCGCTGCTGTCAGGTTGGACTGATCCCAGATGATTCTTAGAGCAGAGAAATAGCTGATGACGCAGTCTTCGCATGGGCTTACCAAGGCGACACTCTATATGGTACAGCACGCCCGCTCTAGCTCAAAGCCGTCAACAACCGGTTCGACCGGCATCTCGCTGCGTATCCACCCACCTTGGTCCACCTCCACAGCGCCGTCATCGAAGTCAGAGATGACGACGAGGAGGCAGGATGGAAACAGCTGGAACGGGTCGGCCCTCAGCTCGAGCGCCTCGAGAGGCATCTCTCGGACCGGTACACCAGAACCTTGGCGCTCAGACCGAGATACGGTATGCGGAATCGTGTCAGCTCCTATGACGTCTGGGCCCTGAAGCCGCTCCCCTCGGCCTCCTTTCCTCATCTACGACATCTCACTCTTATCTGAACCTCTCGCTGCTTGGCCTATATGGAATGGTTGCTCGACCTCGCCTCAAACGTTCGGTCGCTTCACCTCAAATCGCCCTCCTACACGGGATCCGACGAAGACCTCTGTCGTATTGGGAATAGTAACCAGCTCGACAGTCTCGAAGAGATTCAGATCACCGGGTGCGGTCATCGGGTCCCCTCACATCGCACTCTACATCTGGACCGAATGGCTACCCAGCACGCCATCTCTGCGCCGCCTCACCATACGCACACCGCCGGTCCTTTCCGTTCCCACTAGCTGGGTGGTCAGCAAACCCGCTTTCGGTGCAAATACACCGCTTTGCACGCACATCAACTCTCTCGCCCTGGACGAGATCAGCTCGCGTGATTTCGTTCAGGCCCTGCCGGAGATGAAGCGGCTTTCGGTCGATTCGGTATGCTTCCAAAACATCAGCAATCTGGTGCTGGAGCGGTTGGAAGCAGAGGGGGAGCGGGGCGCGCTATCAGGTTACCCCCTCCTGGATACTGTGAGTTTTATCTCTCGTCAGTATGGAATCAGCTGATCGATTCAGGAATTGGCGGATCGACCGAGCCTTCCTTCGCTTCGTCTGACAGCTGGGTGGATCGGCGCTTGAATGGGAACGGGACCGGTTGCATCATGCCGGCGACGTCCCCGACCCAGACGGATCCCTTCGAGCTCTACAATACCTCCACTCTCGTCGCCTTCTTCGACTTCTACCCGTCCCTCCAGCTCGCTCAATGGCTCATCGCCTTCCCCTCCGATCCCTTCAGCGCCGACCTCCAAACCTCCCCCATTTCAAGCGCCTGTGGTCTGCCGGGTCGTCCGGTCGGATCGCAGCACCTATCAGCGGACGGTCCTTCGGCAGTCTCGACCTGGTATGGAAGACGTGGACATCTCGATGGTCGAGGCGAGGTGAGGGGCGAAGTCAGACGACGTGTAGCGGGCTAAGGGGTGTCGATGGGGTTGGAGGGATGAGGAAATGCAGGAAGTTGAAGCGGTTGGGTAGGAAGGACTGGCAGGTAGCGCTGAGGGATGTCCAGGGGGTTTTAATACAAATGAAGGGACGTCAGAGCGTATCGATCGGGCGAACATATCATCAACGGAGGACAGGTTACCTATGCAGAGCTATACCATTGGCTTCTTTCGGGAGTAGCAGTTGAGGACATCAAGGCCACTGCTGACGGGAGAAGCGGAGCTCTAGATCTGCGTGCCTCTCGCCATGGACTGCGGGGCATCTTTCTGCCGCCTTGCAGGCCTGTGAATCTTCCTTTTCCCGCCATCTCACTGAGCAAAGAACGCGTCTTTCGTGGTCGGTCGCGTCTCCGGCTATGATCTTGGCTGTCGGACCGAGGATGCTGAGAATGGCGGCCGCCACACCATGCGGCGCCCTGCGGCAACCTCCACCGTGCCAAGGGGACCCCTCATCCGGGGACCCATGTTCCCCGATCGCCAATCCTGAACTGCCGTTATTTCCCCACAGTCTTGGAAATCCTGCCAGATCCAGCCAGCAGCTGACTCCTCTTCCTTGCTGGATCTTCTCCTCGCTTCTGGATCACCCCGCCTGCAACCGCTGATCATTTCGCAGTCTTACGGCTCGGGACAAGGGGTGGGCAAAGGGGCATGCCGAGTCCGGTAAAAACGGGTCTCGGTCGGGACAGGTGAACTGAAATACAACGAGAGTTTTCCCTTGTCCCTGTCGAAAGGGCATGTGACGCTGTTGCCTGATGGGGAGGATCCGGATAGGCTGCACTCAAGAAAGCCGGTGTCAGCCAAGAGTGTCCAGACCACTCAGAGGCATTAAAGAAGGCAACACTCGGAGCATCACCCCTCTTCAACCATCTCCCCATCTCACCTTCACGCCACCAATCACCAGCAAGATGGACCCCAAGCACGACGACCACACGATGGATAAGGCGGAGCACTCTCACATGGAGCACGGCCACGACCGCCACGGAGAGCAGCACCTCGATGCCAACTCTGTCGAGGCGGCGATGCACGGGCACGACAAGAAGTGGGAGACGCGCACGATCCGCAAGATTGACGTCCGGCTCTTGATCATTCGTGAGTCTCTCAGATCTTGTGACGGATTCGGCTAACCCCCGCAGTCGGTCTGTGCTACGCCGTCAGTCTCATGTGAGTACCTGTTCCCCGGTGAGAGAGGCAGACCTGACCGCTTAGTGACCGAACCAACATCTCCGTCGCTCGAGGTGAGTTTGCCTCGTCCTGTTTTGAGATCTGCGCTAATTGTTAGTCTCTGGAATGCAAGTATCTCTGAATCTGGGCATCAACGAGCGATACTCCATCATCTCCCTTCTCTTCTTTGTGCCCTACATCATCTTTGTACGTCCTCGGCTCTCTCCGAAAGGATCTAGCTGACTAGCAGGAACTCCCCTCCAACATCATTCTGCGCAAGGTTGGCGCTCGCAACTGGCTCAGCTTCATCGTCTTTGGCTTTGGTGTTGTCATGATTGGTATGGCGTTCTGCAAGGAGTGGTGGCACCTCGCCATCTGTCGTGTCCTTCTCGGTCTCCTCGAGAGTGAGTCTGTCCTCTTTCCCCTTGCGTACTAGGCTCATCTGTAGGTGGTTTCTTTCCCGGATGCGTGTACCTCGTCTCTTCCTGGTACACCCGATACGAGACCAACTCTCGAATGGCCGTCTTCTACCTCACCTCCATGGTCATCTCTGGTTTCTCGAACATTATCGGCTACGGTATGGGGCTTTTGAACGGCCGGGCTGGTCTTATCGCTTGGCAATGGAGTGAGTTCATCGTCTGCCAGATGTAGACCAAGCTGACCTGCAGTCTTCCTGCTGTTCGGTGTCATCACCGTCGCCCTCTCCATCCTCGCAGCCATCTTCATTGTCGACTTCCCTGAGAAGTCCACCTTCCTCGCCGAGGACCAAAAGGCATGGGCGATTGCGAGGATCGAGCGCGACCGAGGTGATTCCGTTCCCGACAAGCTCACCTTGCGCGCTTTCGCTCGTGCTCTGTCCGACCCCAAGATCTTTGGTTTCTCCTACCTCTTCATGACCGCCACCACCGGTTCATATGCCTGTATGTGCCTCACGACACATGTTGAGGCGCTTGCTGATCATCAGTCGCCTTCTTCCTCCCCGTCATTCTTGCCGGCCAGGGCTACTCGACCCAGCTCTCCCTCCTCCTCTCTGCGCCCCCATACGTCTTTGCCGCCTTCTACACATTCGGCCTCGCCGTCCTCTCCGACAAGACTCGCATGCGCGCTCCCTTCATCGCCTGCTCCAACATTGTCTGCATCGTCGGTCTCTCCATCACTGCGTACGCGGGGACCATTGGCGTCCGGTACTTTGGCGCTTTCTTGACCATCGCCGGTGCCCAGTCCAACGTCCCCGCCGTCCTCGCCTACTCGCAGAACAACGTCCGTATGAGCTCCAAGCGAGCCGTGTCGAGCGCCATGGTCATTGGTTTCGGTGGTGTCGGTGGTATCATTGCTTCCAGTGAGTGCTGTCGGCGTTGAGACCAAGGGGGCATTAGCTGACAAGTCAGCCGTGTACCGTGAGGCCGACACTCCCCGCTACATCCCCGGATTGTGGACCACTATCGGCCTCAACCTTGGCTCCTTGGGCGTCCTCGCCTTGCTCACCCTTATCTTCAAGAAGCAGAACAAGCGGGCCGAGAGGGGCGAGATTGAGATTGAGAATCAGCCGGGATTCTTGTACACCATCTAAGCGTTGAAGGGGAAGAAGGATCAGCGAGTGTGTAGTGTTGCTTTCGGGCATTTGGTTTGTAAATGCATGGTTACTTCTGTCCACTTCAGATCGAGTCATTCGCTCAGCAGTAGCCTTTGTCCCCAACAAGCAACCTGTCCAGGAAGGGTCGGACTCCTGGCTCAGAGCTCCTCCCCAGCCTCGGCTGGGTGACTGGCCCCGGGAACGATGAACGACGAAGGCCAGCTCCTAGCGGATTAGGCAACCCTCGTATAACTTGCTGCCTAGCGCTGAGTGTGCTCGGCTGGTGCTCGACCACAGTCTGGATGACACTCCGGTTACGCCCACACTGTCTCTACCGATGTGGCTTGGTTCGCATGTGCACCTCGATCGCCAAACTGTATTAATAATCGTCACGGCATTCCTCAGGCCTCGGGCTCATTTATCCTTCTTTGCCTCTGTTGACTTTCGTCCACCTTCCGCCTTCCATCTCACAAGAGGCGATATCAGCTGCGATATCTCGATGCCCTCCGGAGCCTTCCCCGGACGCTGCTGTCAGATCTGGTGCCTGAGTTACACGGCTGCCTCCACCGGCAGCACACCTGTCCGCGCCAAGAACCTTGACGCAACTGACAGCCTGTTCTGCAACATTCACGTTACTCTGTGCTGTATCGCCGCGCACACTCTGAGCGAATGACATGTGACCTGGTCGTCAGGCGGGCAAAAGTGTAGCCGGGGTGTCGGCTCAGAGCTCTGCCCAGCCTTGCGCGTCCACACTCATATATACTGAGGCGGTCAGCCCACCTCTTCTCTCACCCCAAACACCCCCTTCACGCTTCAAGATGAACCACAGCAACGTATCCGACGCCGCGATCGACAAGGCCGAGCACGCTCACCTCGAGACTGCCGACAACAAGCTCGAACCTAGCGCAGTCGAGGCGGCCGTCCATGGGCATGATGCCAAGTGGGAGCGCAAGACTATCCGCAAGATTGATGTCAGACTGCTCATCATCCGTAAGTCCTGCCATCGCTTTTTGTTCAAGCTGACGCCTCAGTCGGTCTCTGCTATGCTATCAGTCTCATGTACGTCTGATGCTGAAGTGGACGAGCCCAGCTGACAACCAGCGACCGTACCAACATCTCTGCTGCTCGAGGTGAGCCGTATCCCATAGTCAGTAAAGAGACCAAGCTGACATGGCAGTGGCTGGTATGCAAGTATCTTTGCAGCTCCAGATAGGCGACCGCTACTCCATCATCTCCCTCTTGTTCTTCGTCCCCTACATCATCTTTGTCAGTACCTCTCGCGGCTTCGCGTGTCGCACCTCGTGGCTGATCATCAGGAACTCCCCTCAAACATCATCCTCCGTAAAGTCGGCCCTCGCTACTGGCTCAGCTCTATCGTCATGGGCTTTGGCGTCGTTATGGTCGGCATGGCCTTTTGCAAAGAGTGGTGGCACCTCGCCATCTGCCGTGTCCTTCTCGGTCTCCTAGAGAGTGAGTTCCACTTCTGGATATAGCTGATAACAGGCGGCTTCTTCCCTGGTTGTGTCTACCTCGTCTCCTCCTGGTACACACGCTACGAGACCAACTCGCGAATGGCCGTCTTCTACCTCACATCCATGGTCATCTCGGGCTTTTCCAACATTTGGGGATACGGTATCACCTTCCTCAACGGCAAGGCTGGTCTTATCGCTTGGCAATGGAGTGAGTGCTTTCCCTCCCGTACGGGCCTAGCTGATAGCAGTCTTCCTGATCTTTGGTCTCATCACCGTCGCCCTGGCCATCCTCGGCTTCTTCCTCATTGTCGACTTTCCCGAAAAGTCCAAGTTCCTCGCCGAAGACCAAAAGGCCTGGGCTATCGCCAGGATCGAAGCGGACCGAGGCGACGCGGTCCCCGACAAGCTTACCGGTCGTGCCTTCATGCGCGCCGTGTCGGACGGCAAGATCTGGGCCTTTGCGTACCTCTTCATGACCGCCACTACTGGCTCTTACGCTTGTAAGTTCTTTCTGCCTTGGCTCGTTCTCGCTAATCATCAGTCGCCTTCTTCCTACCTGTCATCCTCGAAGGTCAGGGGTATAGCCAACAGCTTGCCCTCATGCTCTCTGCTCCCCCATACGTCTTTGCCGCCATCTACACCTTTGCCCTCGCCGTCATGTCGGACCGCCTCCGTATGCGCGCCCCCTTTATCGCCACTTCCAACCTCGTCTGCATCGTCGGTCTCGCTATCACTGCCTACGCAGGTACGATCGGCGTCCGATACTTTGGGTGCTTCCTCACCATCGCTGGCGCCCAGTCCAACGTACCCGCAGTCCTCGCCTATTCCCAAAACAACGTTCGCATGAGTTCCAAGCGGAGCGTGACCAGTGCCTTGGTTATTGGCTTTGGCGGTATCGGTGGTATCATTGCCTCGAGTAAGTCTTGACTAGGTCTGAGGAGAGCCGAACTGACAAGTTTAGCTGTCTACCGTCAGATCGACTATCCCCAATACATCCCCGGACTGTGGACCACCATGGCCCTCAACATGGGCTCCATCGCCGTTCTCGCTGTCTTGAGCATGATCTTCAAGAAGCAGAACCGTCGCGCCAACGCTGGGGAGATTGAGATCGAGGGTGCTCAGGGCTTCTTGTACACGATCTAGGCGCGGATCAAAGGGAAGTACAGATTGAGGGGTCTGGGGATATAGGTCAGTTCCAGGACGCTGTAGGCGGGCAAGAAGCATTGTAGGTCGGTAGCACATTTGTAGGTGGGTGGTAGCTTTAAATTGGTTGTCTGCATGAATATCTGTGGTTACTATTATGAACGGACAAGATCAAGTAATGTCCATATTCAATCTAGATACTGAGCGACTACATACTGTGCCTAGACCGAATAGGGCATTGGCGAGTGATGATCCGGGACCTGACCCAACAGCAACTCCTCAAAGTCCCCCACCCCTGGCTTGTCCCCCTTGCACCTCTCCGCCCACTTCCCGATCTTCTCCGCCAGGTTCCTTGGCGTGAACCCAAAAAAGTCGTACAGCGTCTCCTGGGGGGCCGACATGCCGAATGTGTGCATGTGGCATCCCGCGTGAGCGTACCGCGCCCAGCCAAACGATGCCCACGCCTCGATGGCAACGACGAGGGCGGACGATGGGAGAACGGAGCGGCGGTACGACGTGGGCTGGCGGTCAAAGTGCGCCATGGACGGCATGGAGACGACCCGGACACGGAGCGGCGAGAGGAGCTTGGCCGTCTCGATGGCGCGCGTGACTTCTGCGCCTGTAGCGATAAGGCAGAGCTCGGGGTCTTCCGGTCCGTGCACCGCGTACGCGCCGAGGGCGACCTTGTTGCGGTCCGAGCCGGGGAGGAGGGGGACAGGCTGGCGGGAGAGAGTAAAGAGGGAAGGGTGGTGCTCGTCCTTGAGAGCGAGGATCCATGCGCCCATGACCTCCTCGGCGTCGGCGGGACGGATAAAGTTGAGTCCGGGGAGGGCGCGGTAAAAGTGCGCGAGGGCGATAGGCTGGTGGGTGGGTCCGTCCTCTCCTATGCCGATCGCGTCATGCGTCGCGATCCCAATCCACCGCAACCCCATCAACGCCGTCATCCGCGCTGCTGGCGCGGCGTAGAGCCAAAACATGAAGAAGGTCGACATGATGGGTAGGAACATGCCCCGGTGGTACGCGGCGAGACCGTTTCCGATGGCTACCATGGCGTGCTCCCGAATCCCAAAGCGGATTTGGCGGCCGCTATAGTCGCCGAGACCAGAGGATGGCTTTTGGAACTCGGTCATCCCGTCCCAGCTGACAAAGGTGGATTCGAGCAGGTCGGCTGAGCCAGCGACAAAGGTAGGATCCGAGGGGACGACCGACTTGAAGGCGAGACCGCTGCTCTTGCGAGTGGGGATGGGATCGGTGGGGAGGTCGCTCTTGGAGGGTAGGGAAGACTCCCAGCCTGAGGCGAGCTTGCCGCTGAGACGCTGCTGGAGCTCGGCGTGTACCTCGGGATGGGCGTCCGCGTACTTGCTCATCATCTCATCCCATTCCGCCTCCCATGCCTCTCCTCGACCCTTGGTCTCTTCCCAGTACTCGTAGACGATGGGCGGGATGACGAACTTTTCAGCTGGGTCGAAACCGAGGGCGGACTTGAGGTGAGTGACGCCCTCGTCGCCGAGCGCCTGACCGTGGACCGAGCCGGTGTTTTGATTCTTGGCGCCGATACCGATGACGGTGCGGATGTTGATCAAGGTCGGCTTGCCCTTGATTGTCTTGGCCTTGTCCATTGCAGCGACAATATCGGTGAGCTGGGAGTCAGCGGTGATCAGACGACGGAGGGTACGCTCGTCTCAAGCCCCGCGTTGCTATGGACATCTGGCGAGGACCGTTCCTCTTGAACGCGAGGAGCTTGTAACGAGCGGGGGCGGAGGGAAACGCTCACGTTATTAGACCCATCAAAGACATCAATCACCTCCCAATTCTGAGCGCGGAGCTTGGCCGAGGTGTCGTCGGTGAAGCAATTGTCGATGGTGCCGTCAACAGTAATGTTGTTGTTGTCGTAGACGAGGATGAGGTTGTCGAGACCGAGATGGCCAGCAAGTGAGATCGCTGAACTTCAGCCTGGCTCCATGTTGCTTAGTGCAGAGGGAGTTGACGCCAAGGCACCCGAGAGACTCACCTTCTTGCCCCACACCCTCCTGAATACACCCATCACCCGTCATGCACCAAATCTTGCCATCCACCACCGGGTACCCCTCCTTGTTGTACTGCGCGCCGAGCTGCTTTCCCGCCATTGCCATCCCGACGGCATTGGCGATACCCTGCCCAAGCGGGCCAGTGGTGACCTCGACGCCTGGGAACTCGATCTCGGGATGGCCGGCGGCGATGGTGTGGAGCTTGGGCGCGTGGTAGCTCTTGACGGCGTCGAGTGTCCAGTCGTCGTAGCCGGAAAAGTGGAGCATGATATACTGGAGGAGACAGGCGTGGCCAGCGGAGAGGACAAAGCCTGATCGTCAGCCTTGCAGCCAGCGATCGATCAGAACACCTGTCATTTAGAAAGTCCGAGCTGAACGAAACTCACGGTCTCGACCGAACCAGCTGGGATTGAGCGGGTTGTACCTCATCTCATACTTCCAGAGCGCGATACCGATGGCCGCAGCACCCATCACCGTCCCCGGGTGACCGCCCTTGAACTGCTGGCATAGGTCGGCGGCGAGGCATCGGATAGTATTTATGACAAGCTGTTCAGTCTCGACCTAAGGATCAGCTCGGTTGCTGTGAGCCGGTTGAAATAGCTTACAGATGAGTTCTTGGCGGGAACATCAGGCGAGGAGACGTGCTTTTGACCGTGGGCTTCCTCCCGGTTCTTGGAGACGTTGTTTTCGTTCGAAGTGGACATTGTGCTCGGTGGCAAAGATGGGTTTGAGGGGAAGAGATGCCCATCTTGTCCTTCTCATATCTCCTATACGCGATGGATAACTGAGCTTCATACTACCGGTTTACCGCTAGCTCCCCTCCGCAGTGCGGGGATTCGGGGAACAGCCATGCCGAATCGGAGATCTAGTAGCTTAAAAATGGAAAGAGGAGCGAGAGCAATGGCCGACGGAGGAATGCTGACAAGATGCGCATCCGCCGTTACGTATACAGGTCTGAAGACGAACACGTGACCACTTGAAACAAGCGGGGTAGCCACAAATACATTCTCCCGACCCCTATCACACTTCTCAAGAGCATCACCCCTTAAGCCGGAGCTGTCGCAGCGTTTCTTGCCACTTCTTTCGCCTGTTCCGCAGAAGTGACGGTAGATCGGAACTTCCTCGCCGGGATCCTGTTCTCGTACATCTCGTCGAGCTCCCAGAGTCAGCTTACCCCATGATCAGTAAAGTAAGGACCTACCTCGGCAAAGGTCCGGCCCTTGTGCTCGGGAACAAAGAAGTAGACGAGGACCAGGCCGATGAAGCCGGTTCCAGCGAAGAGGTACGCAGTCTTGATACCCCATCCGCGGCCCTGCCAGGTTAGCGTGGTCCCCGGCGCAGGCATGAAGCACTTACAGTGTTGAGGATCATGAGCGGCGAGGTGTACGAGAAGATGAGGCCGAAGACCCCACTCATTGCTGCAGCGAAACCGGTGGTCTTTGCACGAAGGCGACTGGTAGGGCTTTCACCAAGGAGCAAGTAGCCGCACGGTCCCGCGCTACTGGTGTAGAAGCTGGAGGTCAGCACGAGCCACTGACAAGTGGAGACAACTCACATGACCCAGATACACATGAAGGCCACTGTCACACCCCCGACGACGCCACCGTTCGGGCCGGCAGTGGAGAGGAAGCCCATGGACCCGATAATGATTAGGCAAGAGACCATCCCGCATCCGCCAATGAGCAGCAAACTGAAACGATCAGCTTGGAGTCCCAGCAGCGCCAAAGCAACGCGGGGCACTTACGGTCGGCGCCCAAATCGCTCAACCAGGTATGACGAAGTGAAGATGACGACGAGTGAGAGGAGGTTGATGATAACGGTTCCGCTGTACACAATCAGCTGGATTCAGAAGGCGGCAGCTTTCCGAAAATACAGGAAAGGATTGGCTAGCCCTGCGGCACGAAAGAAGATAGCAGAATTGCCACTGAACCCATCAGCGCTATCCATTGCCATAGCCTGACAGACTTACTAGACGATAGCGATCCCGATGCACTGCTGCCAGCCGAGTACCGAGAAAGATACCAGAGTCCGACGCAGGTTGGGTCCGCGGAAGAGGTCAAAGTAAGAGACCTTGGCGCTCTCGGCCAGCATGTTGAGCTCGCCGGTGAGTTCGTAAGACATGAAATTGAGTTCACGCTCGATATCGTAACCGGGAATCTTGCCGTTGAGTCGCTGAAGGACCTTGACGGCCTTTTCGCGCTTGCCGACTCGGAGGTACCATCGAGGGGATTCGGGGACAAAGACTACTCATCAGCGGCTGTACGAGAGTCGAAGAGGAAAACTTACCGGTGACAGCTAGACTGATGGCGGTGAAGACCCACATCGAGTAGATGACTCGCAAATAGGCGCGATCCTCTTGGAACCCAGATTGAAGGACGTATGTGGCGATGGCAGCTGTGAATTGGCCGAAAGAGAAGAAGAACGAGTAGACGACGAGAAGACTGCCCCTGATCCGGACGGGGGCGACCTCCGCGACGTAGGAGGAGAGGGTCATCTGACACAGACCGACAGACATGCCATTGACTGAGAGCGTCAACTAGGGCTAGCAAACTCGAGAAGTGAAAGCAAGACTCACGAATCTTGGCAGCAAGCCAAACTCTCCAGTCCCGAGCGATAGTCTCGATGATGCACGCGATGATCATGAGGCCAGTGAGGAGGTACCTGTTCTGTCAGCTTACATCCGCAAGCCATTGAGAGATAGATGACGTTCATGTTAAATTTGCGTCCCAAGATGTCTGCGGGGTAGCCGCCCACAAGGAGGGCTGAGATATATCCTAGCGATCAGTATCGGCCCCTTCTCAGTGGCCTTAACGACTCACCAGCAGAGTACGCGCCGTTCCAAGCTCCAACATGCTGCGCGTCGAGAGCGATACCAGTTGCAGTTTGTATGGTTCCAAATTGAGCTGCCGGATCAGTCACTGTACCTGACTGGTAGGGAAAACCTACCTATGAAGGACGTGTTGGCCACCAGATTTCCCGGTAGCGAGAATTGAAAGCCATCCGAGCAGGCGATGAAGAGCACAGCGACGCAGACAATGGTGGTCTTCCGGAAAGTCTTGACAGCTTCCTTGATGGTCAAGTCGGCCCAGGCGGTCGTGGGGATCTCTGTGAGAGCATTGGTCTCCTCGAGCTTGACATCTTCGTCATGGTCGAGGGTGGGCTTGCGCTCGAGGACGCCCGCGGTCGTGGGTGGAAAGGTGTGGGGGAGTGGTGTGGCGGCGCTCATGGTGGATCTGTGGGGAAGATTGAGTATTGAGGGGACCCGGGGGGATGCACGGCCCTTATACTGTCGGTCGGGGCTGTCATGAAGACGAAGAGATGGTACAGGCGGTCATGGATAACTGGTAGTAGAGCGTAGAGCGAACAGCCGCCTCCAATTCCGAGGTTGATCCTCTCGGCCGATCGGCTTCGCGGCAAGTCTCGGAGTGACTATAGTCACATGGATCTTGTCGACAGTAATGGCAGTGGTCACAGCCGAGACGGCTTGGCGCTCAGCCAGGCCAGATGCAAGATGTGACCCACATCTCCCATCTACGTCCTCTATTTGAACAGTTCTGTCGATCTGCAAATGCGCTGCTGACGCAGGATACAGAGTACACGGAGCATCAGCGGATACTGTCGTACCTAGATCATCGCCAGCGTTCACGCAGCGTTTACCCTGTACCGCTGTGTGTGCGTGTGTTACGTTAGGACGCTCTCAAGCTTAACTGCGTGTCACGGCCAGAACTGATCAGTGACTATGTGACTGCTAGTCACACTGCTAGCCGTCATAGTGCCGTCGAAGAACATGCTTGCCTCCGGGTATACGGAAGGGACGTCTGCTCGAGCATCTTGCAACCACTGTCATCGAGAATGCACCTTTACCCGCGTCCCACATAGGCGGAGCTACCCTACCGCATAGTCCACTCTCTCATGGCTGGCTTCCACAGACCATCTCAGCCAGGATCAGCCGGTAGGGCCGGATGAGGGGTAACTCGTGTGGTGATGGTGGAGATCCTGAAGAGTCCGCACAGAGACCGCAAGCGCAGCTGTCCTAGCAAGCCCACTGCCTGCAGGTGACGGACGATACTTGACCTCTTATGAGCACTTACTCGTCAACTCCTTGCACGCGCGAAATGACCGTCAAGCACCGCCTATTCGTTTTGGTGAGTTGCTGGTTCTCGAGCAAGACGACAAGGTTGACGTCTCCAGACCGACATTGAGAATGAGCCGGACGATACGCAGAGCTTGGTCCGTTTGCTACTGTACAGCAACGAGATCGATATCGAGGGGCTTGTCGCTGTTACTTCGACGTGGATGAGGTGAGCAACTCAGAATATCACACGATCTGGCGCCGACGTATAGGCACCAAGTCTGCCCTGCCACCATCCGCGATGTCATCTCTGGCTACGACGCTGTCCGACCAAAGCTGCTCCGAGTCTACTCCGACTACCCTCCAGCTTCGCAGCTCCTCGCTGTAGTAGGAGAGGGCGTTCCTCTATACGGGATGGAAGGTGTTGGCGAGGGACATGATTCTCAAGGGAGCGAAGCTTTGATTGCAGCTGTCGACCGCGGAGGAGAAAGCGGCCGCCCGCTACATGTCGCTCTTTGGGGTGGGGCAAACTGTCTAGCTCAGGTGAGCTTACCCTTACATGCGGACTTGATCAACTGCTGACACTGTAGTCACTCTGGAAGGTCCGCGCTACTAGGTGAGCTCTGGATAAATTCACCCCTAGCTCTAGCTGACGTGCTAGGACACCGAAGGAGCTAGAAGATTTCGTTGGTCGGATGACAGTGTACGGGATCAGCGACCAAGTAAGTAGTATACTTAGCTGTTCTACACCGCGCTGACCAGCAGGATGATGCAGGTCCCTGGATCCGCCGCAACTTCCCCATGCTCCCCTACACCGTCTCCGTCCACGGCGAAAATGACTACATGGGCTCCACGTAAGTACTCACTTATTGACGATACGCACTTGTCTGATACTCAGGTGGATCGGATTCTCTGGACAGCCCAGAAACGGGCTGCCCGGCGCAGACAAGTCACTCATCTCTGCCGACTGGATCAGAGAGAACGTCCAATATGGTCCGCTTGGTAGCAAATACCCGGGCGTCATTTATGGTATGGAGGGTGATACGCCGTCCTACCTGAACCTCATCCAAGTGAGTCATCCCTTTCCGCGTTCTACTCGCGGCTGACAAAGGCAGAACGGTCTAGGTGATCCCTCAAGGCCAGATTTTGGCGGCTGGGGCGGGCGGTACAAGCGGATCTTCGACCCCGAGGCGCGTCACTACCACGACACCTGCGACACCGTCACTGCCTCGGACGGATCCACACAAGCTTCTGCTGGCGCTACCATCTTTCGCTGGCGAGATGCGGTACAGTGCGATCTCGCCACTCGGATGCGCTGGACGGTGGAGGAGGACATGTCCAAGCTGGAGTTGCCACCGGTGGTGGTTGTCGATGGTGACCGGTCGACCGACTTTGTCACCCGCAAAGTCAAGTGCAGCGAAACTATAGAGTTAGACGCCTCGGACTCGGCCTCTCCCTCCGGCGCCAAGCTCTCATTCAGCTGGTTCCAGTACAAGGAGATCGGGTCAACTTTGCCAGTAGTAAGTGGCCTGTTGTTTGTCGTCTGTTGCTCTGCTGATTGTCTAGCCCGTGGATGTCCCCACCTTCGACATGCACGGCACCGCCAACACGTCCAAGCTCAGCATCACCATGCCAAAGACAACCGCTCACTCGCCGGGGAAGTGGCGGATGGATCACGAGAACGGGAGGGTGTATCATGTGATTCTGGCGGTGACGAGTGAGGGTAAGATCCCCGTCACGAGGTACAGGCGCATCTTACTAGACGTATCCCCGTAAATCAGAAGTGACATGAACGATATCTAGTATGCTCCCAGTCTTAGACTTGTCACTTTCCAGATTACTGAACTAGGATCATGGCTTGCATCTGACATCTACGCGTACATCTACCACACCTTCTTGAACTTCCCCTCGTGGGACTCGTTGAAAACGTTGATGGGCCACCTACAGAGTCAGCTCGGGAAACAGCGGGACCAGTCCTAGACCTACTGAGGTTCATACTCGGATGGCGTGTTGCTACGGACAGTGTTGGCCTTGCCGAAAGCGTTGATCTCCTCAAAGTTTTCCTGTGACAATTCAAAGTCTTCAAAGTTGGACTGGACGTTAGCGTGATCAAGGATGGGCTGACCTTGATGCGCGAAGGGGTGACGCTCTTGGGAATAAGAAAGAAGCCGTTCTTGGCGCCCCACGCAATCAGGACCTGGGCGGGCTCCTTGCCTAGCCTGCTGGCGATCTCCTTGACTTGAGGCGAGTCGATGACTCGGGGCTTGCCGGTGATATTGTTGCCGAGGGGGGAGTAGGCGGTGATGCGGATGTTCTTCTCTTTGCCTGACACGTCAGCCTCAGTCCAGAAAGCGAACAGAAAGCTTACAGTAGGCAAAGAGCTCGGGCTGGATCAAGCTCGGGTGAGCCTCGATCTGGTTCATGACCGGCACGACCCCCGTCTCCTTGATAATCTTCTCCAAGAGCTCAATGTTGAAGTTGCTCACGCCGATAGCGCGGACCTTCTTGGTCTCCTTCGAGATCCGCACCATCTCCTTCCATGTCTGCGCGACGCCTGGCGCCTCCCAGTCGATGGCCCGGGCCTTGCCATCCTTCTCATTCGGCATGAGATTAGCGCCAGCCACAAAGGGAACGGGCCAGTGGATGAGGTAGACGTCCAGATGGTCGGTACCGAGCTGACGAAGGGTGAGGTCGAGATCCGCCTCAACGTTCTCCGGGCGGTGAGAATTGTTCCAGAGCTTGGAGACGAGGGTGATTTCTTCCCGCTTGACGCCGGACTGGGTGATGCCGACGCGGACCTCCTCTTGGTTCCCGTAGATCAAGGCGCAGTCGATATGGCGGTATCCGACACGCAGCGCTTCTTCGACAGCCTTCTCGACCTCTCCAGCGGCGGCTTGCCAGGTACCAAAGCCGATCTGGGGGACGACGAGGCCGTTGTTGCTGGACTATCAGCGGGGAGTCAGGGAGACATGAAGGTCGGACCTACAGTGTGATGGTCCTTCCGAGCGACATTTTGGCGATTGATGATAGACTGATGGAAGCGAAAGGTGTTGGCGAAATGCGATGCTATACTGACCGTCTGGCTGCTTGGAGAAGAAGCAGGAAGAGGCTCTGCGCAGAAATATCCGCTGAGTGGACACACTGCCGCCGGCGGCATGAACCTGGAATCCGACAACCGGAAACTTTCCGAGCTTTATCCGGCTCCTATCTGTAGCTCGAGCGCAAGGGAGAAAGCAGACCACTTGAGGATAGGCTTCTACGAGCGCGAGAGGAAGGATAGCATGTCTGTGCGCAATTCGAAACAGGATGAAACAAGGGGTACATGCGAAACGATCTCGGTACCTGGAATACACACACACACACAGATCGACGCACACAGGTTGCCCCTGCTGCACTCGCAATCCGACTCCTGAGACACGTCTACTCGTCTACGATCTGACTATTAGCCTAGCCTGTAGATAAAATACGGTAAGTCTGGCTCACCTGCACCTTAATCGCCAATTTGCTACGATCCGCACACGTCTCAAACGCCTCAATGGTCTGCTCGATAGGGAACGTATGGGTGATCAGCCCAGTGACGTCCCCAAAGATTCCAGCGTTGACGAGTCTGATGACGACAGGCCAGGAAAGTCGGTATCGGAAGGAAGTGACGATGTTGACCTCACGGAAGCCCATCGACATGAGGGGGACGGCGATATCGGGCTTGCCGCAGCCTACTTGGAGCAAGGTGCCTCCATCTTCCAGAGCCTCCTCGTCAGCTTGATTCGAGCGGAAACTCACGTAGATAGCAGAGTTGATTGAAGACTCTGCACCCGTACACTCAAACGCAAGACTCGGCGCACACCCTTCCCCCATGACCCGCCTGACCTGCCTGGCCGTCTCAAAGCGGTCCCAGCCCAGATCAATCTTGAGCGTTTGCTGGAAGCCCATGCTGCGAGCTTGAGCGAGACGATTGTCCTCGAGGTCGGTGATACAGATAGGGTGGCAGCCGGCCGAGCGAGCGCACAAGGCCATGGCGAGTCCGATGGGACCGGCGCCAGCAATGAGGACAGGTTGGCCGAGATACGGCGAGGCACGGGTGACCGCGTTGTACGCCACAGAGAGGGGTTCGATAAGCGCACCGACCGCGTAGGTCATGGTATCGGGAATTTTGTGCAGGAAGCGAGCGGGATGGGCGACAAAGCGACGCATGGTACCGTCGGAAGGAGGGGTGCCGGAGAACCTGACGGTCAGCACGGACAATAGGTACTAGGCTTACTTGACTTTAGGACACAGGTTGTACCTCCCTCTGAGACACTGCTCACACTCCCAGCAGCTCACTCCTGGCTCAATGGATACCCTATCCCCAACGCTGAACCCCTGCACTCCTTCGCCAATCTCGACGATCTGCCCCGCCGACTCGTGGCCGAGGATGATGTCGTGGGTCACACAGCAGTCGCCAATCCGCCCCGACTTCCAAAAGTGGATCTCTGAGCCGCAGATACCGGTAGCTTTGACGTGAATGAGGCATTGACCAGGAGGGCAGACGGGGTAAGGCTCTTCTTTCTGGTAGATCCTGTACGTCAGCCCGGGCACTCCTGTGCGATACCACGACTTACTGATGATCCTTTGTCACCCAGAGCGCAAGATTCGGCCGCACGAGTATCTGAGGGTCGATGATCGAAGCTGTGGCGCCGCCGTTGAGACCGGTAGGTAACTGAGCTTTAGTGGCATGAGGGACCTGCTCGGACGCGTTATTCAAAGATGTTGGGGCCATTTTTGTCAGGTGGAAATGTGAGGATAAGTGTTTCGGGGGAGTTCTGCATCGTCTGGAATCACTGTAAGGGGTATTTGACAGAATCTGATGGGATGCAGGAAGGCGGTTATAGAAGCTCGGGTGGGCGGATATTCAATCCAGCATGCAAGGCTCTTCTATAGGCTGAGCGCTGGACCACCCTGCATTTCGCCACCGGCGATATCGGCGCCCGGAGCCCCGAAATGCCGTCAGACGTCAGAGGACCGTGCGCAATAACAAGCTGGCCAGGCCGTCGCGCTAGCTTGAGCTTCGCCCAAGGCAGCCATACACTTCCTGACACCATCACATCACAGCGTCAATGGCCGAGCAAATGCAGCCTGAGGCGGGAAGCTCAACTGGAGGGCCTTCTCAGCTGCCCTCAGGTCCAAGCGAGTCTGGAGATCCGGTGACGACAGAGCTGGCCTCGGCGAGTCCAGCCACCTCTGCCGCTCCTCGGAAGAAGCAAAAGTTCTCGCGAGCTCGAACAGCATGCCTACCTGTATGTCCATTTCGTGACTCAAAGAGTATCAGAACTGATGAAGCAACAGTGCCGGTCCAGGAAGAGCAAATGCGGCTCCTCTCCGCCCGATCCATGTCAGAACTGCGTCGATTGGGATATCCAATGCGTCTGGCCGACGGGAGACGGTCGGTCCTCCCGCGCGAGGGTCCAGCGATCAAAAGGCGGAGAGGAGACTGCTGCGGAGCCCGCGACGGGCGATCAGTCTTTCGCTGCGACTGAAGTTGCAGCGGGCCAGACGCCTCTGGACGACGGGTCAGCAGATTGGCTACAAAGGTTGCTTTCTGGCACTTCACCACCAGATCCTCAACTACCCTTCACCGGTCTATCGGCGCCAGCTATGACGTCCTCTTCATCTACGACAGCACCCTTCGACCAACTCAGGACAGGTTTCTCGCCTCCTTCGGCAGATACGTTTCAATCTATATTCGCTACCCCTTCATCCTCCGGTCCTGCCCACGCCCTGTCCTACGGCGATCTCGCGGAATCGTACGCCCTACCTGGCGGCGGGGTAGATCCGGCGCGATTCATGTGGGCAATGAGTAGCCAGCTACCACTAGTCCAGGAGGCGAGTCCGGCGGATGAGCGACTGAAAGCTGGAACGGGGGCAGCCGTGTCTGCTGAGGGCAACGCGGAGCAAGCAGCAGAGAAGGAAGAGAAGATCGTCAAGGTCAGCTGGTGGAGGCCGCATGGACAGACCGCGATCGCGCCAGGTGAGCTACCAATCGTTGAGATGAGACTCCGCTCATCATCAGGTCTCAAGCGTATCACGCTCAAAGTCCGTATCGAGCACCCTTCAGCACCCTTTGCTGCGGCTACCTACTCTGATTCTCCCGGTACATCATTACAGCGCCTGGTCGACTCGGACGGCGCACCAACATCGGAGATCATGAAGCATCTGCTGGACATCTTCTTTCTTCATTTCGGGTGTCAATTTCCCTTTTTGGATCGACAGATCTTGGAGGATCAAGTGGACAGGCGGAATGGGAGTGTGTTCATGATGAACTGTGTTGCTGGTCTTGCCGCTAGGTAAGCTCGTTCTTGTATGATGGCTGACAAGAGATTTTCCTCTCATCCAGCAATAGCGCTACCGCACCTCGAACCATGCGCGTATGGAAACATCTTCTACGACCGTGCCAAATCACTCCTTGGATCCATCTTGAGCGTACCCTCGAGAGAAGCTATCGCGGGGTTTGTCATGCTGGCGCATATCAGCTTTGCGAATGGTCAGTCCTTACCTTCCGCAAACGAGCTCGGCTGACGAGGTAGATGCCGAATCAGAATTGTGGATGTTGACGGGTATGGCTGTGCGGATGGCGATTGATATGGGTCTACATCTAGTGCGTCACATCCCACTCCCAAAGCTTGACATCATCTGCCACCGGTGATGATTGTCCCGACCGTGGAGATCCCCTCTGACCCCGGTTCTGGGCGGTGTTGCGCATTCTGGTCCCTAGCTGACCGCCAGGACCCACCGGAAGACTCGACCATCTCGCAAACGGACCGCCGCTTGAACCGTCTTATCTTCTTCACCGTCCTCCTCATGGATTACGCCCTCTCTTTTGGCGTCGGCCGACAAACGACCTTTCGCGTTGAAGATATCACCCAGACACTGCCGACCGGGGCCGACTTTCCCGAATCCTCCACCCGTTCACCCTTCCTCTACGCCGCTCAGATGATGCTGTCGTACGGCCCACTCATCAACATGCTCAATTGCGAGCAGCGCGAGGGGACTCGGAAGGAGTCGGAGATACAATCTGCTTTGGCACAGGCGATCAAGCAGTATAATCAATTGCCGCAGGATATGCAGTGGACGGTCGCAAAGTGAGTCAGCCATCGACTTGCCCGAGTATAGCTGACTTCCCAGTCTGCAAATGCATTCCAAGTGTAATCAAGGTCCAATCTTCCTCCATCTCCATCTGTGGATGCACACTATCCTGGTGGGTCTATCACTGCAGCTCCTTACTCTCGCTGATCGATCAGGCATCAGGTCACCTGACCGGAACGAACCTTCCCCGCCGAGGCAACCCAAATCCCACGCTACCCGCCATTTCCATCGCCCCTACCCCCAATACCACTACCGCCTCAACCCTCTGGCGCAACTCTGTTCGCACTATCGGCGACATCCTCGTCTTGTCTGACATCATCAACCCGCAGGCATACCTCGCAGTCCCGTTTACGAATCAGGCGTTCTTTGTTGCTGCTTGCTGCTACGTCTGGGGTGAGTCCACCGGGCCTCTCGGATGGATGAAGCTGACTATCAGAAATTGATCAACATCGCAGTCCTCCAATATCCCCTGAGCTACCGCCCATCCCCCCACCCGCAGTGCCAGACACTTCAGACAAGCAACCGCCAAGCGAGACGAAAGACACCGGCGGCGCCAAAAAGACCTCCGGCAGGCAGATCGATCTCTCTCGCGCCCTCCTCGCCTCTGTCGCCCGGACCAATATCGCCACTCTACAAGCGGGGCTTGCCAAGCAGGCAGTCTACTGGAGCGGCACGCGATGGGTGATGGCTGCCCTGGAAAAGCGGATTGAGGGATTCCAGGATGTGGATCTGCAGGGAGTGACGGAGAAGTTGAAGAGCTTTGTCAGTCTGCCGGATGCGGGGCTGGTGGGTCGGTCAGCGGTGATTCCGCGAGGTAGCCAGAGTATGGGGTTGTCGAGCGGAGTAGGAGCGGGTACAGGGGGTCAATTTGACTATAGTGAGTGATCAGTGCCGTTCATAGCTGCGCTGACGGTATAGGCCAGCTGGACTTCTTCAATCTCCCCTTTGACCCTACGGCTGGTGCTGCAAATACGAACGAGGGGACGGGGAATGTCACGCAGACAGAAGTACCACTGCCACAAAATTGGCAGACTGACTGGTTCAAATAGTTGTAATATCCATGCTTGTACCTGTGCTAGTCTTGACCATGTTCCGGACGTACATACTTGGGGAGCTACTTTGGCCGGTCAAGCGACCTCAAGCGAGCGAGTTCTTGAAGGCGTCGCTATGGTTGCCCGCTAATCGAGCCACTCGAGTACTAGTGGCCTCGCTCTGCTTCGGTCCGCTCTTCTGGCTGCTGCACAGCCCCATGATCATGCCGGGACTAACTTGAAGCGTTCAGAGTTCACGAAGCCGCGAAGTCCGCCCGCCTCCATGCCGCCCCCACCCGGGACTCCACCCTCGTTCCTGAAGATCCGCTCCGAGCCGAAGACGATCCTCCGCTAAAGTTTGAAATTACGGCATAAAGCCCCTTGCGTGTTTACACCAGGCACCCCCGAACTCTATTGCGTTGTTGGGTCTCGCATATGCTCCGAACAATACAACACAAGCTCGTATATCCTTTGTCCTGCGATTATGGTATAGCTCCATTGGGCCACCGCCACACCGACAAGTCAGGCGGATATGCAGAGCATGATGTTTTGATTCAGTGGAGATGGTCAAGCTCCGAGCGGCGTCGAAGCGGCCCGAAGCGGTGCCGTCCGTCATGTTTACCACTTGCTTATTGCCCGCGTGTGTCGTGAGGTAGGCGCAGCATCGCGAGGGCCGTATGTATGTACCTTGTTTATTGGTGGCGCCGTACCCACCGGGTCCGCTGCCGGGCCCGCCGACATCTGCTGACCCACTCCTGACTCCCCCACCGATCCCCACCCCGGTCCTGGATATATAACATCCCTCCTTTGTCTCTTCTTTCCTCATCCCCACTCACATTTCAACTTCTACCACAACAACCTACTCCCACTCACCCCCACTTATAATCCCAACCATGCTCGCTCAACTCTTCGCCCTTCTCCCCCTCCTCGCCCTCACCTCGGCCAGCCCCGTTGTCAAGCGCGAGTCGAGCCGCCTCATCGAGTCTGGGCGCAACAACGGTCAGTGCTTGTCGATCGTCGGTGGTCGTGCCGCCGTCGCCGCTGGTCAAGTCACCGACGGTACACCGGTCGTCACCCTCGACTGCGGTGTCGCTTCCTACTGGGACATCTCCAGGGGCAGCGGCTCGGTCATCGTCAGCGGTACCAACTACGCCTTTGACATTGGGCTCTCCCCCACCAATAACGGTCCCGTCAAGGTGAGTCTTCCTTTCGTTGATGGTGGTCATCGCTGATGGTAAGGTCTGGACCTCATACCCCACCGCTCCCCAGCAGACCTGGTTCCTCACCGGCGACAACCGTATCGCTCAGACCGGCGGCAACCAGTGCCTCGACCAGGGAGACAACGGACCCCAGACCTACCAGTGCACCACCGGTAACACCAATCAGGGTGAGTCTATAATCCCATCTGCCTGAGCCTGGCTGACCTCCAGTCTGGAACGTGAGGTTCAATGACCCTACCCCCTCGGCGTCGGTCTCCTCCGCTGCCCCATCCCCGTCTGCCTCCACCACGCCTCCCCCTGCATCCGGCGACATCCTCCCCTTGACTCCCAAGGGCGACTTTGTTCCCGACGTCGCCGGCGCTGGGTCCCGCATCCGCCCCCTCGGCCGCTCCGACCTCTGCACCTCTGTCGACGGTGAGGTCGCCCAGGGCGCTGTCGTTACCTTGTACGTCCCTCTCCTTGTGTGTCTGCGCAGAACTGACAATACAGGAAGTACTGCTCCAAGGACGGCCCGGGCGCCGCTGCCCAGAGCTGGGACCTTCCCTCCGTCACCGGCAACGGCCAGGTCCGCCTCCACAACACCACCCTCTGCATCGACGCTGGAGGTATCCCGTCCAACGGCAACGGCGCCAAGATCTGGGGCTGCGCCGACGTCCCGCAGCAGAAGTTCACCTACTCCAGCGGTAACATCAAGACCTCCTTCAACAGTAAGTCTGCCTTGCTCTTCTACCTCTTGTCCTGTGTTGACCCCTTAGACCAATGCTTGGACATCCAGAAGGAGTCGGACGGTCTCGTCACTGTCAAGCCTGTGAGTTTACATCTCTGCTTGACTGTAGCTCTGGGACGGTGCTGATGCTCACTCAGTTTTCCAACGTCGCGAGGGTCATCACCTGGCAGTGCTCGACCAACGGAGACCCGTACCAGGCCTTCACCACCGCCGCTTAATCGTGCAGTGGTCTTATGGGGGGAGAGAGAGGCGCGGGTGGAGCATGGACTTTGAACCCGATCTGGACAGTTTATTTTGGCAAAAATAGGGACACTTAAGTGCGGTAGTGAATCAGTAAAGATGTTAAAGCGTATAATTTGTACTCTACCTGGCCTGTCTCAGCCGTCCTTGCCTCTTCTGCCTACAGTCATACAGCAGCAGAAGTTCAGACTGGTTTGGTAGCTGGTTTGGTGTCATCGGCCGCGAATTCCGAAATTGGGAGATCCTCCACCGCCAGTTTTGCTCCGCGCGTGGTCGATTCAATAGCCTCCTGTACTCTTCCATTCCGGCATCCTGCAACGAACGATATACGCATGACGCTCACATGCAGAGACCCGGCCGCTCCTCTGCGTCCCGCCTCCCGTATATCCACCTCAAGATCAAAGTTTAGCCCGTTTGGGCCAGCAAGAGGGCAGCACCGCTTTACCTGCTCGCCCGCGTGGATATCTAAAGGGGTCAATGAAAGGGGTAAGGGGTACCGTCCGCGAGGGATATCCGTACCTTGTTTACTGCTCCGTGTTGTCTCGCCGACGCCCGACGCCCGAACGTTCCAGAAGGAGGGTCTCGGAGTCCGCTGACGCTGACGCACTGATCCCGCTGACCGCTGACCGGAGTGCCGGTTTCGCTGACCCCCTCAGCCACTCGGTCTATATATAACATCCCCCCTTTCTCTGTGCTCCCTCATCCCTACTCTCATCCTCACCACCGCCCTACTCACCTATTCCCACTTATAATAGCCACCATGCTCGCTCAACTCTTCGCTCTCCTCCCCCTCCTTGCCCTCACCTCCGCTGGCCCCATCGCCAAGCGGGACGGCACCCTCATCCGGGCCGGTCGTGACGGCCAATGTCTCGCTCTCGAAGGTCTTCCCGGAGTCATGCGATACAGTCAGGTCCAGAACGGTACGCCCGTCATCACTCGGGACTGCCTCGGCGCCAACACCTGGTTCATCAACCGAGGGAGCGGATCGATTACCGTCCCGGGTACGAACTTTGCGCTTGACATCGGGTTGACCCCTGGTAATAACGGCGCACTCAAGGTTTGTTGTCTCTTCCCCTTCCTTTGGGTCTGTGTGCTGAAATCCAGGTATGGCAGTCGTACCCCGGCGCCACCCAGCAGACGTGGTACCTTACCGACGACAACCGGATCGCCCAGACTGGCGGGAACCAATGTCTTGACGAGGGGGACAATGGGGTCCAGACCTACGAGTGTACTACTGGGAACACCAACCAGAGTGAGTTCAATCCCTGCAGTAGTAGGGCCGAAGCTGATATCCAGTCTGGTACATCGACGGTAGCAACACCCCTACCCCCTCCGCATCCACCTCCTCCGCGGGTCCATCGGCATCCACTACCCCTCCCCCGCCCGCTACCATCCTCCCTCAGACTCCCATCTACAGCAACGTCATCCCCGACGTTCCGGGCGCTGGGCAGCGTATCCGTCCCGTCGGCCGCGCCGAGCTCTGCTCCTCTGTAGACGGCGTTGTCGCGGATGGTTCTACCGTCATCTTGTACGTGTCCCATCCCTCAGAGCATGGACTAGGCTGACGACTCAGGAAGTACTGCACCGAAGACGGCCAGGGCGCTGCCCTCCAAGTCTGGGACCTCCCCAGCGGGACCGGTCAGGTCCGCCTCCATGGTACCAACTTCTGTCTCGATGCAGGAGAGAACCCGGCCAACGGTGTCGGCGCCAAGATTTGGACGTGCTACGACGTCCCACAACAGCAGTTCACCTACGCCAACAACAACTTGAGGACCGCCAGCAGTGAGTCTTGACGCTCGAGCTGCAGGCCATTGCTGACTCTACAGACCAGTGCTTCAATATCCAGAAGGAATCGGACGGGCTGATCACCAACAAACCTGTGAGTACCGGTCTGCTATCATCTGCCGGAGCTCATGCTGATTTGAAGTTCAATACGGTCGCGCGTCTGCAGACTTGGGAATGCTCGACCAACGGTGATCCGTACCAGGCCTTCGGTACCAGCCCATAAGCGCGCGTCAAGGAGGAAGGGGAGGGGAGGGGCGGGTGGAGCATGGACTTTGAACCCGATCTGGACATTATCTTAGGTAAATATGGACACTAGGTGTAGCTATCTACATGTCATCCTGTATAATCTGCTCTCTGCCCTAGACTCGACCTTGCTCTTGCTCTTGCTCTTCTTGCTGCAGGAGGTGGGTGGCAAATCGCAGAGCTCTGACTGGCTGCCAAGCTGCTCGGCGGAATACGGCCGTATTCCGCCGAAGTGGAGGCCCGTGCGGGGCCGGCCTTCGCGCTTACCTTTGACCGGTCCAGCGTTTTGCCGACACCCGCTGCTGCCTCTCTTCTCTTTGCTTAAAAGTCAGATCGTCAGTCCCACACATACATCTCTCTGCAAGGCACCGCCACCGACAGGCCCATCTCTGTATATACCGATCGAAATACTAGAAGAAAATGCCTGCGGACAAGCAAGTTGACGGGAAGGATGTGGCCGAGCACAATTCGCGGGATAAGGTGAGTTGGCAAGACCTGTCTTGAGCGGAGGGCATGGGATTAAGCTGATCTATCTAGGGAGTCTGGATTGTCGTTCACGGTATGCTACTCGTAGCGTTGCCTCGTTATGTCAACGTTCACTCAGCTGACCTGTCAGGCAAAGTATGGGACGTGACCGACTTCCTCGATGTGTGTCCAGCTATCTCTGTCCCGACCAGGAATCGATCGCGAGCTGACAGAGTAGGAACACCCAGGAGGCGCCGAGATCATCTTGTGAATAGCTGCGCTAGTACTATCTCAGAGCAGAGCTGATCGGACAGGAAGTACGCCGGGATGGACGCTACTGAGGAGTATGAGCCGATCCACCCCCCAGACGCAATCAGCGACAACCTCGGTATGTTTTGCCCCTCGCCAGGACCTTCTCTTTCCCCGCCAGCTACCAGGCTGACTCCCAGACCCCGACAAGAACATCGGCACCCTCATCCCCAACACCCTCCCCAAGCCCGCCGTCGTCTCCCCCCCACCCCCTCCCGCATCGATCGCGGTCCCCCAAAAGTCCACCTCGGCCTCCGCCCAGCCTGAGCCGGAAGAGTACGTCAAGCCCGACATTGAAGAGATGTTGAGTTTGCACGACTTTGAGGCGGTCGCAAGGCGGATTATGAACCGCCGGGGATGGAATTATTACTCTTCGGGTGCGGACGATGAGATCACCATGGTACGTCTGGCGTCAGCCGAAAGAGATCGGAGCAGGTGGCTGATCCAGTAGAGGGAGAACCACAATGCCTACCACAGGGTATGGTTCCGCCCTCGTATCCTTCGGAACGTCAAGACGGTCGACTTCAGTACCAAGTTCTGGGACTTCCCAACTAGCATGCCGGTGTACATCACCGCTACTGCGCTTGGGAAGCTCGGACACCCCGAGGGCGAAGTCGCGCTCACTCGCGCGGCAGGCAAGGAGGACATCATCCAGATGGTGGGCTCATCCACATTCATGTCGCTGCTCTTCTGGACAGGTTCACAGCTAACTTGCAGATCCCCACACTCGCTTCGTGCTCATTCGACGAAATGGTCGACGCCTCGGTTCCCGGCCAAGTCCAATTCTTGCAGCTCTACGTCAACTCTGATCGGGCACGCACCAAGAAGATCATCGCGCATGCCAAGGAACGAGGCGTCAAGGCATTGTTCATCACCGTTGATGCGCCCCAGCTTGGTAGGCGAGAGAAGGTCAGTTCCAGCTCCTTCCACCAATCACACAACCCTGCCGTTCCGTATCTTCGCTGACTTGCAGGACATGCGAACCAAGTTTGAAGGCGCCGCGGCGTCGCACCAGGAGAAGGGCAAGGACACCGTGCGCCGAGACCAGGGTGCGGCTCGGGCCATTTCGTCCTTTATTGACCCGTCTCTCAACTGGGCGGACCTGGCGGAGCTCAAGGAGGCCGCACAGGGAATGAAGGTGGTTCTGAAAGGTGTGCAGTGCTGGGAGGACGCGGTGATGGCCGCCGAGGCGGGATGTGACGGTGTCGTGTTGTCGAACCACGGGTAGGTCCCCCTGGGAAGATGTTCGCTGTGTGTGGTGGAGATAGGGCTGATCAATCAGTGGTCGTCAGCTCGACTTTGCCCCGTCACCTATCGCCATCCTCCCGTCCGTCGTGGCCGCCCTGCAGCAACGCGGGTTCATGACCCCTCACGCTACCCGGGGCAAGTTTGAAATCTTTATCGATGGTGGCGTCCGCCGCGCAACCGACGTACTCAAGGCTATTGCGCTCGGAGCGACCGCGGTGGGTATTGGCCGGCCGATGATTTACGCCATGAGCACGTATGGCGAGGAGGGTGTGCGCAAGCTGGTGCAGATTCTCAGGGTAAGTCTGGGCGTGATGAAAAAGGTGCAGACGGCTGACAGGCAGGACGAATTTGAGATGAATATGCGCTTGATCGGCGCGCCGACGCTCGCGGATGTCGTGCCGGGGATGGTGGACACTCGGGCGCTGTTCACGCCTGGACCTGAGCCTACCATGTATGACGCTAACTGTAAGCTATATGGTCGTTTGCTGCCGCTATCAGACAAGAGCTGACCCAATACAGACGAGCGCATGTTGCCCGTCGGTGTCAAGGCCAACTTGTAATACTGTGTCCCGCAAATCAGGGTCTTGCTGTGTTTTCCATCTCGGTGTTTTCTGCTTTTGTATCTTCCCGTTATATCTTATCTTGTCGGTCTCATGCGGTAGACGATCTTCCATATGATGGATACAGTGTTGTCTCCTCAAGTTGACCGGGTCTCGGTTGCTGAGCGCGTGCTGAGCAATTGTCGTGCTTGATGTTATTCATGTTTGGCTACATTTCCCTTCTACTGCTGGCTCGTCGATTCCGCCCGATCCTTAAGCAGCTTTGCCGCCGGTCTCGACCTCCTTGCGGGACTGGCCGTTCTCGCTCTCGAGCGCCTTGGCGGATTTCTGAGTGGGTCAGCTGGATCCCATGGACTCGGGACCGTTCGTTCTTCTGCACATTCCGATCAAAGTCTTATACCCGCTGGCTACGCGGAGCGCGTGCAGATTGCGATCACGATGGGATGAAATCACAACTGACCTTGGCTTGCTATTCCATTATCAGCTCAGATCCTTTCGCGTCAAATGATAGAAAGGATGGATTGGCATTGACTGGGAAGGGAAGAAGGGCTTGGCTCACAGCAATTGCGTCGTCTGTCACCTCTCCACCACCCGACTCCTTCGATCCAGGTTGGTCCTCCTTTTTGGGTTCCTGTTGACCCGAGACAGCTATGATAAGTAAGCACAGATTCGGTCTACAAGTCTTCCATTGGAGCAGAACTCCCTTCCATGTAGAGGAATATCGCTGCGATTCCTGCGGCCGTGTGACGGTGTACCGCTCGACATCAAACACAAGTCCAGACGGGGTGGGAAAGACGTAACGTACCAGGTCGCTGCTGCGCGTCCGACTGGGCACCTGCACCCTCATTGCCAGGGGTGGAGTGGCCGAGCTGCTTCTTGTTGCTGTCGTCGGCGGGGGATTGAGCACCTTCGGGCATTGTTGCTGATGTTCAGTTCGTAGGGGGATGAAAAGGTGGTGGGAAGGTCTGTGTAGTGTCTCTGGACAGGTGTCGATGCAAGAGAAGGTATGGGAAGCTGCTTGGGAAGCTGCTGCGCACTGGCGCTGACCAGCATGACCAGCAGGAATGACGTCAGTAGACGGATGACGTGGCTTTTCCAAGCTTACGCACCAGTCATCCATCCATCTCCTTCGACCTCCTTCGACCTCCTTCGACGAGTAGAGCAGGGGGAGGCATCAGCACCGAAGCGCCTTCAACAGGCAAACGCTGTTCGTGGTCGTTATTTCGATTGCATCATCCCATCCAACTATACTGTATCGACAGGCTACAAGGAGCACTGTCCATCCCCTCCTTCTCGTTTCCCGGTGCCGATTCTGATCCTTCTTTCCCTTCTTGCTCATTATATTCACCTTCACTCGTACTGCACAGCTCTCCCGCCTCCTCACTTCTGACGTATATCATTCCACCTCACTGTCTTTCCGTCTTTGCCTAGATCGCCAATCCCACCGCGCCCACGAGCGCCAAAACGACCGTCCATCCCTTACCCGCCGGACCGGCACTCGCAAGACCAGCAGACCGACTCGAGCTCGCCGCAGCCGCCGCGGAAGCGCCGCTGTTGGTCGAAGACGGCCGGATGGTGGAGGTGGTAGGAACGACAGTGATGACCACGGGGGGTGTACCGGAGCTGCTAGGAGCGGGAGTATCGGAGGTAAGGGTGACGGTAGCGATAGCGGGTCGGGCGTCAGGTGCAGATGAGGCGGGAGCAGGTGCAGGTGCAGGGGAGTCGGAAGAACAGGCTCGGTCAGCGGTAGTCCTTCTCGCAGAGGAGTGCGGGGAGGGTGAGGATGCTGAGACTCACGATGCGGCAGCAGCTGGGGATGGGGCGACAGCAGCTGATGAGGATGGAGTAGCGGGCGCAGTCTGGATAGATACCTCTGCTGCGCTCGACGAGGCAGCTGGGGCAACAGCGGAGGAACTCGGCGAGGCGGCAGCCACCGACGACGAGGAGGAAGCCGCAGCAGCAGCGGAGGAAGGCGAGGCGGCCGCTGTGCTAGAAGCCGATGAGGAAGCGGGAGAGGCAGCAGCCGACGACGACGCCGAGGCGGACGTAGAAGATGCGACCATAGTACCGCTGCTCATCATGCCACCGCCTATAGAGTTGGCGCACGTCGCATCATAAAAGCTGTACGCCGTCGTCAGGTCCGTCGGCTAAATGTCTCAGTTATGCTCCACGTCTTGACTTGCGCCCCCGTGGAGCGGGGAAGGTCACGGGGTCACAAGGAGACTAGCAGGCGGGGAGAAGAAGACACAAGTGGAGTTGAGGAGAATGGGATGTGACATACGGAGCATGAGCCGCTAAGGCAGGACCGGAGGTACGAGGCTGCTCCTGATGATTTACAGAAACATGAAGTGTTGCTGATGGATCCACAGCCCTGTCCGTCAGCTCTGCTCCCAGAGAGGGTTGAGTCAAGGTCAACAAAGCTGTACGAGGAAAAATGGACATACAGCATCTCTAGCAGCGTCTGTAAAACACAGCTGGGCGCATGATGGCGGAGTAGAAGACTGCCTGCCGACTAGTGTCGGTGGGAGCCGGGCCTGTAGCGTCAGTGATAGCCCTTGGTGCCTGTTGTCAAGCAAGAGGCAAGGTTGAAAGGGGGTCACTCACGGCGAGAGCGAGCGGGAGGACGGCGAAGAGCAGAGAGGCGTGCATTGTGGGTCGTTTGGTGTGGGTCTTGAGTCGTAGCTGGTGCTCTAAGATGAGTCTAGTGTGTATGGCTGTAATACTAGATGAAGTATAGATAGAGTAGAGAGAGGTCTAATCTCCGAGCTCCACCAGATGTTTTCGTAGGAGTGAGTGGCGAGAGGAGGTCGAAGCGGGGCTCCACACTCGCTAGCGTTGGCGCTAAAAATAAAAAGAGGCGTCATGCGGGTGAGCTGCCCTGAAATAGCGAAGACCCCATTTCTTGGGTCAAGATCTGCCCCTTTGACTCAACAGCATACACATCTATGAAACAAGGTCTCCCTCAATCCACTGGCCACTGGCTCGACGATCAATGCAGCTGTACGACCGTCTCCAAACGGGAAGAAAAAGGAGCTGCGGAGAGGATGCGCCCGAGACAGTCGCGACGCAGAGACGCGTCGCGCAGAGAGAGTCGCTGAGATGGTGGACGAGACAGCATGACCATGCAGAAGATACCCAAACTACAGACTATAGTCCACCCAAACCCTTCTACCCCTTCTCAGTTCGCAGCCGCACCCTACATCATCCCGAGCACACCGACGGCGGCACCGAGACCGACGGCCGCAAAGCCCTTGGCGAGACCGGTGGGCTGGGCGCCAGACTTGGACGAGGCGGAGGCGGCCGCAGAGGAGGCGGCGCTGGCGATGGAGGAGACTGAAGCAGAGGCGGAGCTCGCGGCGCTGGGAGTCAGCAGAGGTCTACACCCATTAGAAGGGAGAGGACGTACCCCGAGGCAGAGGCAGAAGCGGAGGAGGCAGCGGCCGAGATGGAGCTTGCGGCGCTGGCGACGGACGCAGAGGGAGATGCGGCGACGCTGGAGGCCGATGCGGAGGCTGACGCGGACGCACCCCCGAGAGCGGCGGGGACCGAGGGGACGGGCGCGCCGGCCTGGCGACAGGTGTCTTGGAGGAAGGTCGCGGCGATGGCGATCTGGTCAGGCTGGGATGTCAGCCGGGAGCGCGTAGAGGGCAGCGTCAGAGCGCAAGATGAAGGGACGAGTGGGCGTAGAATGATGGGACAGAGTGGACTCACGGTGCAAGCGCTGGTCAAGCACGCGGTGATCTTGGTCTGCAGCTCGGCGTTGGTGCAGAGGCAGACAAAGTCGGTAGCGCTGCACGGGGCGGGCTGCTCGTCAGCACGAGCTCACTCAAAGGATCAGGTGAAAGGGTATCCTGGAGGGCCGAAGGCAGGGGAGATACTCACGTTCAAGCTGGCATCAGCGAGACAGCCGACGGCGCAGGGAGGCGGGGTGGCAGCTTGACGCTGGACGAGAGCCTAGGAGTCAGCATGAGCTAGGGCGACACACGGCGGGAGAAGGTTGGAAGAAGGGGAGCGAGGGGAGAGGAGACTCACAAAGGCGAACGGGAGGAGTGCGATGACTGCGAAACCCTTCATTGTAGTAGGTGATTATGGGTAGTGGTAAGGAGAGTGTTGGATGGTATTATAGAGATGTGATGGGTGATGGGTGATGGGTGATGGGTGGATGAACAGAAGTAGGAGTATACAGGGGAGATGATAGATGAAAGGGAAGGGAAGGGGCGTTCTTATATACCCCGACCGTGACATGCTCGCTTGCGCCTGCGCTTGGACCCCCTTGCCCCCGCCCCAACTTTAGCTTGTTCCATATTGGCTCACTCAGGTCCGATAACGGACACTCCTTCGGCACAGGCACACACCTCGGCTCAGTCGCCCGCCCGCAGCCCCGCTGCCCACTCCCGCTGCATATGGTGTGTGCATAAGCTGAGGAGGCCTTGTTCCCCTCCCTTTCACAGACTGTGCGTCCTTGTTCGTCGACCGCCTTTCATCGCTTGTCCGCTTTGAGGCATCCCTTCGCGTTTCAGATTTTTAGAGTTTCAGGGTGGAGGATGGCATATCTCCGAGCCTTGTCCTTTCACCTCAGCGGCGACGGCGTTATCAGGCTGGAGCCTGAGGTGATGCAGACACCGACATGTACATGCGTATGCACACTCCTATAGACGCGGAGAGTTGTGCTTTAGACAGGTGAAGAATCCTCGACGGACGAAGCTAGGAAGGTCCCCTTCGATCGTTCCGGACCGCCTCCACTTCCGGCACCTTTCATTAAGGACGTCGGCGACATGCAAAGACACTCCATCCCTGTCTACCTGTCGGTATGCGAAGGCGTGCCTTTCCTCCCCTTCCCTCATCGCATCGTCAGCCTTCCTCTAGCTTCCTTTCTGATACTCAAACCCTCAGGAATCGGCAAATCCGGCAAGCCTCCACACGGACGGTATCAGGGTAGTAACAGGAGGCGCGCGCGCCATTCGTATAGCTAAGGCACAGCTGGGCGCTGAATGAGATGGAGATGTGCTGATTCGTTACTGTATGTACAAGACCCGCTCTCAGATCACTGCGGAGCGTCCAAGAGCCCGGCGAGTATGCTAATCCACATCACCCTTGTGGGTGCGGCAGAATCCGCCCCGGCCATCGAACTGGAAGCGGAGTACGTCGTCACCTGAGTGGGCCGAAGAACAGGGGTGCCAGGTGAGTAAAACAGCTGGGTGGGTTCACGGTGTTGAGTCGAGGAATGCGGACCTTTTGCATGTGGCTGTGTGGCAGCAGGCACAGCTAGGTCTTGGCGGTCAGTACCATCAGTGGTTATCAATATCAGCGATCCTTACTCCCAGCCTATTCAGGTCCAGACTCCTGCGACTGTATGCCTGCATGTATATGACTAGCTCATGAACCTTGAACCCTCCCGACCGCCTTGTATTAGATATCTTCTCCCAATTCACACTACACCGTCACATTCAACGTCTAGATAGCGGCCACGGCACCGGCAGCAGCGACAATGATGCCCATGTAGCCCGCAGCGGCGGTGGGCATGGCCCAAGCGGACGAGCTGGGGGCGATGGCGGACGAAGCGGCGGAACGAGCCGAGGAGGCGGCAGAGGCGGCCGAGGAGGCGATGGAGCCGAGTGCGCCGGATGCTGAGGCGGCGGCGGATGAGGCGGCGGAGGCGGCCGAGGAGACACCGCTGATGCGTTAGCGGGGCTATACCCGATGGTGAAGAGGAGAAGACTTACGATCCAGCAGCAGAAGCAGCGGAGGAGGCAGCACCGGCCACGGAGGAGGCATCGCTGGCGATCACAGAGGTAGCGCTGAGAGCGTCAGCTCAATATCCGTACATAGTGACCAGGAGGGAAGCTTACGAGGCGACTTCGCTCGAAACCGCCGAGCCGGCAGAAGCAGCAGCGCTAGAAATAGCCGAGCCAGCAGCAGCAGCAGCGCTGGACGCGGACTGAGCGGCGGAGATGACGGACGCCTCAGCACCGGATGCAGCGGCGGAAGCGCCGGCGATAGCGGAAGAAGCGGACTGAGACGCGCCAGAAAGGACCGAAGAGGCGGATGCGGGGACACCGCTAGCGCTGGGTGCAGCCGCAGCACCGCCGGCGCAGATCTGTTGGCCGAAAGCGAGGGCCTGTTCCACCGCTTCGGGCTGTTGGTCAGCGTAGCCCGTGGATGCGAGTGGATGAGGAACGTACGGGACAGGTGAATTGGATACAACCGGCAAAGTTCCACTGGGTCTGCTGGTCGGCGCAAAGGCAGGCAACGTCGGTAGGTGCGCACGGGCCCTGGTGGTCAGCACCGCCTTCACCATTGTGCATGACAAGTACGTACGGGGTTGGCCTGTTGCTGGGCTATGCATGCAGAGACGCAGAAGGATTCTTGACGCTCCACAAGGTGGCCAGGGACCTGAAAGGATCAGTCAACGTTCCCCATCAAATCAAATCAAATTTTGATCCGAGCGAGGGGCGGGAGTTACGGCGGCGATGAGAGGAAGGAGAGCGAGGAAGGCGGTGGAGCGCATCTTGACTTGAGACGAGGGTGAGAGGCGAGTAGAGGAGGTGATTATAGAGTGATATGTGTGAATGACAGTGCTTGGTGAGAATGAAGAAAGGAGGAAGGGGGGGGGGCGAGAATTTCGCTTGAGGGTGTTTATACCCATCTAATCCAACCTAAACCTTGCTTTGAAGGAAGGCCCCCTCGTTTGTGATCCCTTTGTGTGCATCAGGCACGAAATGGCTCGTGCGCTCAGGGGGTTGGCACAGCAAACACGGGGCACAGTACGGAGAGCCTCGAGAGGGGAAGATAAAACACGGACAAAGCGCGTGGCGCGTCGTCAAGGGAATGCGTTGTGGCGGTGACCTTCTGATGATGTCTGTCTAAAGCAAGACAGTGATGGACCGCAGGTATCGGGCGAGTGTACTGTCATATACTCGACATCAACTCAGCCCGTATATTACACGTGCTCGCCCACCCCGCCTGGATGGGTGCTGACAGCCGCGGTACCCCCGGAAACAGGTGACGTTTCAGCCTGTTTCATCCCTCTTTTGCCTGCCATGCTACAAAACCACCGTAACTACAATCTAGCACGGTGGTTGGGGCTTGAAGGCATCCAATATGGCTTAAGCACCTCACGTCGCGCCGTACGCGCCTCACGCAATACGCGTATGACCCTACCCCAGACTGAGCCTCGCTTGTTGCCTCGCTGTGCGCTTCCGCGCGGCTCTCTCCGCCCTGCTTTTCCCCTTCCCCGTTCGCGGGATCATCAACTGCTCAACGGTATCATTGAACGAGATGCCGGTCGACCGGGCCGGAAGCGAGCTCGTATCATCACTCCCGCGGGTCAAGGAGACCTGCCGAGTCTCGTCGCCTGTATGACGATTCCGTCTCCAACCGTCTGAATCCGCCGAGCTGAAGGTCCAATCTGATTCTGAAAGATGGCTGTCTGGATCTCCAGAGCCAAAGTCGTCATAAGTGTCAGTGGGAGGAGCGTATGAAGTCCTTGATCTGACAGAGGACACAGCTGGGGGTCAGCCTACCAGGCTCGTGCCGGGTCGACTAAGAGGAACAAGCTTACCGGAGGCGGAGGGAGCGTAGGAGGGATCTGGACGGAGACTCCGTCTGTTCCGCTTGTGGTACTGGGTGCCTGTCCGAGACCAGTCGCGAGAGGTGCTGTCAGAGGTGGACCCTCTGCTTGAGCGTGCAGAGCAGCGCATCTTGATTGCGAGTGCTTGTTTGCGGGTGAGTGAGGTTGCGCCGTTAGTTCCGTATACAAGTGAATGTGGATTGATCGAAGGATGAAGTGTAGGATGTTGGTGTTCGTTTCTAGCGGAAAATGGTGGTGGGAGAGTGATCGGAGGAGGTAGTGTCGGTGTCAAGGCGGACTGCGAGTTGGTACTGAGACCACGAGTCAAATGCTCGCAAGCGCTAGAACGCTCGAGGGGAAGGAGCTGGAACTGAAAGGAAGCCGTAAGGTACAAGTGTTCAGTGGGGCTGATAGGAAAGGACTGCTGCTGAAGCACGTACGAGGACTTGGGTGTAACATCGTCAGTCAGAGCCGCGGGCCGGGTATGGAGTCATCAAAGGATGTCGAGCCTGAAACGTGCGGTCATCAGGCCAGCAGATGATGTGGAGCGGTCAGCGTCAATGAGTGATGGTTCACGTCAGCTACGATCTTGACTGAGAGTGCGCAGAAGTTCGTAGGGTACCTGCGGGATACTTGATCGATCTAGCATCATCGCCGGTCCCTGCCCTAAGTGCCCTCTTAGACAGCGGCCACGGCGCCTACCGCGGCGAGGACCACGCCCATGATACCTGCTGCAGCAGTGGGGACCGCCCAAGCGCTGGAAGACGCCGATGCAGCATCGGAGCTCGCGCTGTTCCTAACGGATGAGACGGCACTATCGAATGAGCAAGTCAATTCTACTCTGTACCCCCGGAAAGAACACAAGTCTTGACTCACCCTGAAGCGGACGAAGCCACGCTGCTCAAAGACGCGAGCGCGCCGGAAGATGTCGGAGTGGCGGAAGCGCTGCTGCGCACAGCTGAAGAGGCAGAGACCGAGCGAGAAGCCACCGCTGAGGAGATCGAGCTGAGACCGCTGGAGATGCTACTCGAGGACTCGTCATCATCCTCGCCAATCGCGATGATTGCGGCGCAGGTTTCCTGGAACTCGGCCTTCATGGCTTCGACCTTGTCCGCCTGGAAGTCAGCTCATGCTCGTGCTCGCTTTTATCAAGGGGGTCCTTGATAGACAGTACAGGTTGGAAACAAGGTTGAACCAGACTCACGGGGCACTCCTTAGCAAGGCAGGCGTAGATGGACTGGAGGTACGTCTGGTTCTGACACAGACAGGCTCCGTCTTCACCGCATCCGGTACTAGCCTACTACATCAGCTCTATTTCCCTCTTCAATTTGTCGCATAGAGTCCCGCCCCAAAATGATCATGCAAGGAAGGATCTTGGCTCACCATCTGTTGCTCCGCCTGATCATCACAAGCGCTTGTACACGGGTCATCCAGGGCTGAGGGTCCTTCTTGACGCCCTCGGAGAGAAGAGGTCTGGTAGTCAGCTTAGCACTCGGACTGTCCCAAAGGAAGCAAATGCTGTGCTGGCGACCAGACCAAACAAAATGGACGTACCGCTGCGATAAGCGGGAGGAGGGCGAACAGGCTGGTGATGCGCATGATGGGTGAAGCTGCGGGGTGTGATACGCTAAGTGGCAGCTATAAGAGAGTGAAAGACTACTGGGTGATCAAAGCCAAAGGGCAAAGGCAGTAAGCATCCAGGTTGCAGGTTGTCGACCTTTCGATACCTTACTTGACGGGCGAGCCAAAGTTGGCTTCTTAGGCTGAAACCACTTGAAACATATGCCGTAAGTCAGCCCGCAGTGGCGAACAGCCCCGAGTCAACGAGAAGTAGAGGGAGAATTTCGCCCCCCATAGGGATCCACAGCAGCGGACTAGGCGGCTTCACGCAGGTCCAAGGAGATGTGGTGGTACCGGAATCGGCACTGGGACCGAATGCACATGATGAAGCTTGAAGGCGTAAGCGAAGTAGGAGCAGGGCGAGGTGATTTGCGTGGACCTACCGCTTTCCATCGCGAACCATGCAGATATGGTAGTAAGAGGCGTAGCTATCCATCGGAATTTCCTGAACGTACATGCAGATACATAATGAGTCTCACGAGAGGCAGAGCATAGCTATTCTAGCTAGCCGCCTGCGGGAACCCGATACGATGACGAGCGCCTCCTAGCTCCGCCGTCCCGCTCGCCGATCCGAGGTCGACCTGATGCGGGAGCCCATGATCCGCCAAGCTTGGCGATGACGCCTCTGCTTTCCCCTTGGTGGCCGCTACGATCTTTTGTATATGCCTCTTCACCCACCAACGTCCGACCCAGACGATGAGCGCGAAGAAGGCGAAGACACCGATAGGGGTGATGATTTTGAAAGCGAGAGTCTCCTGGATTGGAGCCGAAGCGTCGGGCTTTGTTTTGAATGGGTCAAAGGTGGGGACGAACGCTTTCTCCGACGGACTGATGGTCGAATTGACGACGATTCTGTCAATATCGAGATATGACGACCGGGATGTAGTGTCCGTGTGCGTCGTGATGGTAAGAGTATGCTGACTTTCGGATAGGCCCGAAGCGTGGAACACTGCGGACGATCAGCTCGGCTCGCTAGTTAAGGTGTAGGTGGAATGTGCGATACCGACGGAGTGGATCCCATCTGAGCTTGAGGGGAGCACCATCCTGGATGAGCCACTGGACTCCGTCGAGGTGCACTGTGTACCTTCCAAAATCCAAGCCCGAGCTCGATCCAAAGACCTCAACGGCCGATCCGTGGAAACTGGATGATCAGCTCGATCCGAAATCTGGCTCTCGACAGTGCAAACCAGACTGACCTCAGCGTAGCTGTAGCTCCTGGGGCTTCTGTAGAGTGGATGGTACCACCGTGTACTGGAGGAATGGGGTGGATTATGCCCGCGTACCACCTCCCTGCATAATGGATGGACGCCGAAGCGTCATCGTAAATGGTCGAGTATATCGCACTGTTGCTAAAAGCGTTCAGCGCAGTGCACTACAGGCAGGCTTTGCACAGACCGGTGCCCAGGCTGGTATCTCGACTCACGTCTTTTGCCTGGGCGTCCATATTGGAAAGATGTCGGTCGAGTTCTATACTGGGTCAGTCTAGTGTCCCCCAACATCCTCGTAGAACGGCAGTGTGTGAGAAGAGAAACACGTACAGCGGAAGGGACGCTCCCCTCGATGACTTTGCCTTCATCGCCGTGGTCATGCTGCTGGGTGATGACGCATTCTGGCCTTGCAATTTGGGAAACTGTAGCGTTCAGCGCTAGTCCTCCCACAGTCATGTACGACTGGTGCCGAGGACCCCAGAACGTACGGCGACAATAAACACCCCTATCGGCGAGTACTCGACCGTAGAAGATCCTCTCCACCTCACCGATACACGAGACCAGAGGATCACCCTATCGGACGTCAGCTCCAATATTCCGGCCAGCGGCATCAGGTATTGCTCACCTTCCAGAATTCTGGCGGACCTGCATCATCAGCGCTGCCGCTTTCTCATATTCTGCGATCTCTACCGGAATCGCTTACCCCTCTCATGTTCTTCCTTGATCTTACGCACCACTGCCCAAGCCCTCTCCGAATCCTGCACCACTTTCTGTAAGTCGGGACAGTCCGGCGTGTGGTGATATGAGGGTGTGAATGCCGGTGCGCCTGGGACACCCGCTTGGGTTGCCATCGGCTTGCGTGAGAAGGAGCTCATTTTATGGGCTTGACAGGTCCGAGAGGCTGAGGGGGGGATGGAGCGTAGTTAGAGCGAAGCGTAGAATAAGTACATGTAGCGGCTTCCCTCAAGGGCAACAGCCCATCTTTGCTCGGCTCCCGAGCTCATAATCGCGCAAAATTGACGACCCCTGAACACACACATTACCTCCACACACACACCCCCTTTGAGATCGCCCGAGGATCGTCGTGGTGGCCTTTTTGTCGATGCAAACCTGTCAGTCATATCAGTAATGCGAGAGGACGGACCACCAGCGTCATTGTGATAAGGCGATCGTTGTCAGTAGGTGATAGGAAGATGTCAGCCCGCGGTCCGGGTAGGGAAACAACTGACCGCGAGGTTCACACTGTACTGCTGCAAAACGTAAGATCTCACCCAGACCTAGCTCCTTGCTCGCGCCCACGTATGATGGGCTCCGCTCTTCTAAAACAAGTCATATCCCAGATGTTGCTGCCATGCAAGTGATATGCCTATAGGATATGAGTTGTAATATCTACTTTCTAAGCCTCTTCCCCACTCTCCGCCCCATCCGCATCTTCCCGCAAGATCAACCCCTCACTCTCCAACCACCCCATCAGCTGACGCCACACCTGTGCCCCTCCGCTCGGTAAGCCCTGCATGGCCTTTTGTCCCACTTTGGCACGCGCCAGATGATCCGCCGATCCCAACATGATAAGCGCCTGCACCATCAGCTCCGTCCCGACCATCACCCAAAGGAACTCACCCGCTTCGCCCTCGTCAACCCCACATTGAGCCGCCGCCAATCCGCCAAGAACCCGATATACCCGCCTGGGTTGTTCCGGACCGTACTGAACACAATCACGGCCTTTTCGCGCCCCTCAAACCCGTCCACTGTACGGATCTCGATGTTGTCGAGCTCCTTCATCCGGTCGTTGCCTAGGATGGTGCGGAACTCGGCGAGTCGGGCGGGGCTGGTCCGGAGGTCGTCGGTCAATTGTCGGATTTGAGCAGAGTACGGAGTGATGATGCCGATGTCGGTACCGCTAAGGGTCTGTCAATCAGCTTAATCTCCATATGGCAGCGCTTGAGGACGTACCGGGTTCCTGAGCAAGAGATCCGCCACGACAGCGCAAACCCGCTTCGCCTCTCCCTCATTCTTCAAACTCTTGCTACTCGGATCCTCAGGCGAATGATGGTGCACAAATGTCACGTTCTGCCGCCTTCCATCTTCATCCTCAAGAAGGAAGTCCGTGACTGGCGGCTCGAGGCCGGGACGGGCGGTACCGTCAAGATTGGCTGTGCCGTTGGCGAGAGCCGAAGCGTAGAAGGCACGATTGGGGAAGGCGGCGATTTGGGGGTGCATACGATACTGCGTGTCGAGCATGATGGAGGGGATGTCTAGAGGTCAGCTCTGCGCCTGACGGACAGGTCATGGACACAGCTTACTGTGCTCATGTATAAGACGCTCAAACATAGAGGTAGCGAGCCCGCCCATCTGAGCAGCCTCCGAGATGATCACAGGTGGTAGTTGCTTGTGGTCGCCGATGATAGCTACGTGGCTCGACTGATCTGTCAGCTTTGAGCCATCATCGTGATATGCGAGCTCACCCCTTTCATCAGCGGTACCAGCGACAAAGGCTCGGTCGCCATGCTCGCTTCGTCCAGAAAGACAATCGGAAAGTCGATAGCGTCCAAGGTCCAGGATGCAGCTGACAGGCAGGTTGTGCAGACCTGAACGATCAGCGGGCGGCTTTATACTACTCAGATCAGTGACTCACCACATCCGCATCCAGCAGAATATCCCTCGTAATAGCCTTCTTCATCGACCGTATCTTCTGCTGCATCTTGATCCGCTTGTCCCACATATCCCCTGCACATCAGCTACTGCCAATCACGCGTAATGGCCAGACTTACCTGAAGAGAGCTTCGGCCCACTCTTCCCCTGTCCCTCACTCCCATCCATCCTGTCCTTCTTTCGCGATTCCGCAATGATCTTGTCGAGTTCCGTCAGGGCGTTCCCCGTATTCTCCAGTTCCTGATAGAGCGGGTGCGCCTCTGACAGTTGCTCCACTGTCCACTGCTGCAGATCTTCCCGGACGGACTGAGTCCTTCCCAGTCGGGCAGCCTTGACGCCATGCTCCCGGAGTCCGCCGACGAGGTTGTCGACAGCAGCGTTGGTATGGGCCGTAACGAGGATAGGGTGGGGGATCTTCCAGTGATGTTTGAGGAGTTTGATCGTCTCGATGATGACGCGGGTCTTGCCTGTCCCAGGTGGCTAAATGTCAGCTATAGCTCCGAACATGAAGTATTCACAGCTCACACCCTGGACCAAGCTCAGCCTCTCGCTCAGCATCATGGCGATAGCGCTTATCTGGGTCGGATTGAGCGGGACCTCCGGATCGCCTTCGACGCGCACGGGTAGCTGTCCAGCTTTCGTACGGTACCGTTTCGTCCAGCTCGCGATAAGCTCATTCTTGGCCAGAACGCCGAGCGGCTCCGAGGCAGGATGAGCAGGCGGGACCGGTGTTGCGTCGATATCGCCAGGCTGAAGATCGCTTGGGACCGGGACGACAGCTGCGGGCTCGACCTTATCCCCGAGTCGCTCGCCGATCCGCAATGACGCCGAGGTGTCATACGGCACAAACTCCTCCTGGAATGCCCGGAGGACCTTGTCCCGCAGGTTCGTCCCTTGTAACACCGTCTGCTGGATCATCCTCCCCCTGACAGGCTGATTGAACACCTCGTCCTCGTCGTCCGATCGGCCTCGCGAGACGTGGAAGGAGTTGTATTTGGACTGCTCGGCGGCGACGCGGGCGTCTTGACGTTCCATATCTGTTGGGTCGGCATTGAGGAGCCGGATCGCCGCGAGCTGGCGCGTAAGGGCGACGTCGTTGCATCCGATGTCGAGTCTAGATGTCAGCTGGGAATCGACCGGGATTAACGGGATTCTTCAGCTCACCTCCAGTGTCCACTCTCGATCTCCTCTATTGGCACGTCAAACTCCACCCGGATATACTTCTTAGTAACAGAGTACACCGAGCCCAGCAGCTTCTCCCCGCCCGCCTTCAGCAACGGCGTAATCGAGTTATCGCCCTGCGTCTCCCCGCCAGTCGGTTCTGCCGGCTTGTGCGTGACCCCGTCCTTCTGCACAAAGTCGTAATGAGGATGGGTCCGGCAGATCTCGGTAACGGTCCCGCTCCTACTATATCAGCTCATGCAGTTCCACAGGCTGTTACAAGGTACCGAGCAACTTACGTGAATTTGTGGAATGGCAAGTCCGCCATCGCCCCAGTCGCCATCTTGCCCGTCTTTGCAAACGTATAGATGTATTTCCCCGGCCGTTTCTTGAGTGGAAACAGCGTCGCTCCGAGGTTCTCGACAACCCAACCTTCTAACACCAGTTTCTCATGAGACCACTGAAGCTGTCGTTCGGCATGTTGTAGTTGCTCTTCCCGATGTTCCGCTTCCAGCAACGGGACGAAGCTGCCGGTCAGCTCTGCCCCTCCCGTACGGTTCCAAGAGCACGATGACTGAACTCACTGCTCCCCATACCGCTTCACTTCCTCGTAAAACCCCATCCCCTCTTTGAGCAGCGCCACAGTCTCCCTCTCCCGCTTCACATTCACCTCATCCGGGAACCACCTCGTCTTCCCCCTTTTGTGCAGCCCCAATTGGCTCGGGGCCGTCTTGCGCCAATCGAATCGTTCTTCCTCCACTCCCAGTGTCTGGCCAACTTCCAGCGCTGGCAGATCCGAAACGACCAGTCTTCGCCTGACCGCCTTCCGCTTCCCTTTCCCCTTCCCCTGAGAGACAGACGGCACATCATCCCAGATGGCCATATCTGGAGCTTCTTCCTCCCCTACTTCCATCCCATCCGCCCAGCTCAGATCGTCCATAGCTGCTGAGACACCCGGATCGGCAGTCATAAAGTCCGCTTCGCTCGGCTCGTACTCTCCCACCGCGGCCGTCCCGCCTGGTATCCGAGGCGGCACCATATGCCTATACCTCTCTCCCTTGCGCGGCTCTCCGAATCCCGCGATCTCTTCTGCGGTGAAGAGAGGGGGTTCCCAGTCCCTATGTGGACTGGACGGGTAGTTTCCGCCGGCATCGCTGAGATCGTAGTCCGGTTCTCGCTCGAGGGGTTGGGCTGATAAAGGGGAGGAAGAGTGTACACTCCGGCTCTGCGATGGACGAGACGGACCTGGGCGACCTGGGCTATTTGGAGGGGGAAGGGGGAATTGGCATTGATGAGAAAGGGGGACATCCACCTTGCCAGGCGAGCGCGGGGCGGGCGGGGACCAAGCCGGCGAGGCCGATGAAGAAGCATACCGCGTAGTAAAGAAGGATGAGGGGGCACCGAAGCCCGGCGAAGGAGGTAGGCGGACGCGAGAGGACGTGGCGATAGATGAAGGGAGGAGGAATGGGGTTTGAACACATCGATGAAATGGATCGCGTGAGCCGGGGGTGTGCGAAGGGGTCGGAGCGCGTAGCGTTCGGACGCTGCTTGGATGGGGCTTCATCCTGCCGGAGTATCAAAGAGAGGATGCGGAAGAGCGATATGAGCTATCAGACTCATCCCTGCCCCGTACCCATAGACCCAAAAAGAGATGGACGAGATGGATGAAACGGACAATAACAAAAAGTTGACGAGGTGGGACGCGCGGGGAAATCCGAGACAACTGGGTGGCGAAGATCTGAAGGTCCGCCATCTGTCCGCTGTCAAGGAGGGCTGTACCGACGAGACGTCAGAGAGGCATCAATACGCGCTGGAACGACGTGGACAGATGCGGGGCTATACGACAGTACATAGCTACCAGATCCCATCCACTACCTAAGTCATTGTCCAGGAATCCTCTCATGCCTCCACTCCACATTCCCGCACTACAAAGCTCGAAGGTAAAACAGCTAAACACGAAATTATATACTTGAAGGGTCGCCCATCCCGCATCCGGACCGCCGAATGAGTTTATACATGATGATGATGAGAGGTCGAGCCGGTTCAGACAGGTTGTGGTCGTAAATCGTCATCGAGACAGTGTCCGTAATCGTGGAGGGGTGGATACAAGGGAGACCGAGAGGGATTAGGCGGGAGGAGCAGTAGGTTCTGGCATTGCCGCACGAGGAGAGGGAATCCGGCCGGCACCGCACATCCCTTGCGTGGGCTGAAGGTTCTCGGCCGAGTATTCGGGAGGGTACGAGCAACTACTACATCAGCTGAGCCCATGTGTACAGGGGATTTTTAACTCACCCCGCAACAGGCACATATTTCCTCCTGTTCTGCGCGTCGTTCGCCCATCCATCTCCCGCCGCAATAGTTGCGCCCGAGTTGCCCGGCTGCGTAAACGTAGCAGCGGGCATCGTGATGGGCGTCCCGGTCTGGGTGTACTGGGGAAGAAGCGACATGGCGGACGAGGCAATGTTCTTGAAGGAGACAGGAGGCCAGGGGTACGACTGCGTCATGGCCGCAGCGACGTTGCCCGCACCAGCCCCACCGGTCATGTACGGCTGGGAGAACGTTCCAGAGAATGGATTGTCCGAGAACCCTCGCCGGCCGCACTCTCCCCTCGACTCGCGCGGGTCGGACGGGATCCACCCCTCGCGGAGTCCGAGGCGGTAGTGCCAGAACGGGTTGGGCTCGGGGATGGACCCGGTAGAGTTTCCGATCCGCCACGTCCAGAAGAAGAAGTCTCCGAGCGCGTCCATCTCGGCGAGAACGACACTGCGAAGCCCGTCCTTGGTAGCTTGGCTCCAGAGACGGTGGTCGTTCCACTGCGCGCACGATCCGGGACCGCCGCCGGGACCAGTGTAGCCGTCGGTAAAGGTCCCGTCGTACCTTGATCCACCGCCAACGCGGTTGACCCATTGACCGCAGTCATTGATGGCCGCCGACCACTCGCCAGCGACGGTAGCACCGAACCGCTGGAGCGTCGTGTTGGTCTGCGACGCCCACATCTGGCACGCGAGCGTGGCGATCGAGTCGAGCGACCCGGTCTGCTGGTCGCCGAATACAAGGTACGGGTGTTGGTCGAGACCGAGCCGGTCCGCACCGGTCATGAAGCCGTACCAGCTCTGGATCCCGATGAATCCATCGTGGATCGACAGCATGGGTCCGCGACCCGCCCCGATACCCGTGATAGCGCGAATCTCGTCGTAGGCCCGACGGTAAAAGGTACCGACCCGCTCTTGTCCGATAGAGTTGGCGTTGGGCTCGTTGAGGAAACCCCAAAGAGGAATGACGGGTGCGTATTCTGGCTGGACGATGAATTGGGTGATGGTCCGAATGTACTCGAGACCCCGCTGAGCATTCGCGAGGCCCATGACGCCGTTCATCCAGTTGATCCCGCCCAGCTTGCCCGAGTGGTTCCACCCGTTCTGCGATCCAGGGATGGTGTGGAGATCGAGGTTGATCCGGATTCCGTACTTTCTTGCCCACTTGATGGCGAGCAAGACGTACTCCCACGACTTGCGCTCATAGTACGCCTCGCCCGGGATCGTCTCGATCGCCCAGTGCCCGAACGGCACTCGGACCCAGTTGATACCCGCCGAGACCATCTCGACAAAGTCCCGCTCCGTGATAAAGGTGGCATAGTGCTCGTCCATAATCTTGTTGCGGTCCGCGCCCATGTTTTGGTTGAGCGTGTACTCGTCGACCGCGGTTTGGCCGTTGGCGCCGGTGGCGTACCGTTCGTAAAGACCTGGGACGATGAAGGGCTCGGTATCGAGCCATCCGCCGACGTTGACACCGTAGATCTTGTCCCGACCCCACGTCCAGTTGGCACTGAGCGCGGGGGTCCAGGATTGCGCCTGGGCGTCGTTGTTGAAGGGGTTCGAGGGGTCCCAGACCCACTTGCCGCCGTGCGGGTTGTCGTAGGTCATGGTGGAGCCGTCCTCGAGGGTGATGAGAGAGCCGCGGGTACCGGTGGTGGGGGCGGCAGGAGCGCTGGAGGTGGCCGAGCCCGAAGCGGACGCAGTGCCGCTGGGGCTGGAGCTGCCAGAGACCGAGTCGTTGGCAGAGCCGGCCGAGGCGTTGCCCGCTGTGCGGTTGCGGGAACTCTGGGTCAGACTAATCGTCAGCTCCGCTCGGATGGAGCACTCACCCAACACCAAGACCGACTCCCAGACCGACAAGCAGCAACAACGCCGCAGCGCCAAGCCCTATCCACAGCTTCTTCCTGCTCTTCCCGCCTCCACCCTCTCCAGCATAATCCCGCTTCTCGTTCAATCCAGCAGCACCAGCACCGCCCGCCACGGCCGCGGAAGGAGCAATATGGCCCTGATTGAACTCGTCGTCATCCGCGTCGGATACTGAAAGGCGTGATGTGGGTGTGGCGGCAAGACCGGAGCGACCTCTGGGGAGCTGGAGTATGAGCTTGATTCAGATTCGTTGAAGTCGGTAGCTCACTTGAGATCCAGCAATACCACCCGCTGCACCTGCTAGACCAGCGCCACTTCCCCAACTTGCCCGATTATCGCCGCCCAAAGGAGGTGTACCCGGTATGGTCGAATTTCTCGACATCATTGACGGCGCCGGCATGTGCATCGAGTCCCGACCGAGCAGCTGGCTCGTTTCGGGGTTCTCGGGCGATGGGGAGAGGTAAGCATTGGGGGAAAGGGCCTGGCTGGAGAGGTTGGCGTAGGGGTCGGTGGGGGAGTGAGGGAGGGCGGCGGAGCCAGCGCCAGGAGAGGAGTGCGAGACGGGGGCGTAGGAGGCTCGGCGGGAGGGAGGGGTGGGGAATGCGCCGGGGGCCGACATAGTGGGTAAGAGCTACTCTCGTGTGTGTGAGTAGGGGACTGGACGTCAGCGTTGAGTTTTGTTTATATGAATGAAGGCGAAAGGGGCGGGAGGAGGTGGGCGGAATGGGTGTTTTGGCAGAAATGCCAAGCAAGGCGGAGCCGGAGGACGTAGCCGTACCAAGCCGTCTTGACTCTTGGACGAGGCAGAGAATGGGAGGAAGGAAGATGGAAAGAGGGTGTTGAGACTTGGGGTCCCGGATGAGGAAAGGGTGATAGGGTTGAACGATGTCTGTGCAGTATGCGGAGTAGACGACAGGCCAGACCGCTTACTCACACGACTGGCTGGAAATGGGAAGGGTCGGGGTGGATGAAGTGGGAAGGGGGAATGGTGAGATGAAGGGGAAGTGACAAGGAAAAGGGAGGGAGAAGAAGATCGGAGACGGAGAAACCAACGCTAGAGGAGAAGATGCTGACGCTCCTAGGAAAAGCTGTGTGTATAGCCAATGTGGGGGATCCAAGCGGGGAGGAGGGAGTAAAGGGAAGCGAAAGGACCCTTACGTTTCAGATTCAGCTCAATGTTTTCGCTCCCGGTGCCTTGTCTGGCACGCTCCGACGCGGTCCTGGATCAAAGAGGGGGAGGGAAGGGGAGGGCGTCGCGGAGACGTGAATGAACAAGACGAGGTCAAAGTCTGAGAGGCAAAGCGAACAGCCATGTCCTCTTGCCTGCTCCTTTGCCCGATCTCACACTTTCTCATTCATCACGGGATCTCTTCACTCTCGACATCTGCCAGCATGCCAAGGGAAACCAACAATGTATGCCTGAATCAGGGGAGTCGTTTACGCAACGTCCGGGGCATGCAAATGAGGGGTGGCAAAGTGGCGGTGCATCACTAAGACCTAGCGCAGGGTGGAGACGGAGTAGTCGTCGCCTGCTGTACTTGTACATCCGGCTCGGCCGCTCGGCGCCCATGCAAGAGTGGGGGAGGCGAAGAGTAAAGCCGAGATGAGGAGGTATGAAGTGGGAGTCGACGCGCACTTAAAAGGCAGATCGCGATCGCATCGATTAGACCAGCATCGCCCATAACATCCATCACCTTCACTGCCTTGTTCGTCCGCGATCTTGCATGCACCAACTCCAAAAATTACAGTGATCAAGACCTCTATATACTCGCATGCATACCCGACCCCTCAATCCCACTGCATCTTCTCGACAATCTCCTCTATGCGGCTTTCAATCTGATTCTCCACCAGATCTCCCCGTCCAGATGCAATCTTCATGATCGCCTCATTCAGCGGTGTTGAGCCGAGAATGTCAACATGGTCCGCACTGCTCACGTCAGCTTGTGCTCGGTCAATCAGCAAAGTGCATCATAGCTCACGTTTGGGCTCCTCCGCGAATATCAAGCGTCTGAGGGGAGTGTCTGAACTCTGCAGAATCAGCTCAGATCCCGGAGGCTATCATCACGACCTGGAGCTCACCTTGAGTAATGACCTCTATCCCGGAAGGATTCCACTTGGTCTTCCCCTTCCAACCCCTGACGCACATCGCACCAAGGCTGATGATCGGGATCGTCCCATCCCCATCTCCAAACTTGACACCTGACCGGACCTGCTTGATCAGCTGCTAGTTCTCGTACCATTGCCGGAAACCGGCTAGCTCACCTCAGGCCGCGACCCCTTCACCGTCACATCCACGTCTATCCGGTGCTTCCGGGCGAGAGGGAAGTCGAGGGGTGTTCGTTGAGTGACGCAGGTATTGTTGTCGGCTGAGGAGTCGGAGGGGTTGCACTACGTTATGAGCTTTTGATACTCGAGACAGGACCTCGAGCCATTCAACTCACGATAGCCTCTTCACCGATAGCTTCCGATCTTGACTCATCATGCTCATACTCCTCCTTCATATACCAGTATGACCGCTGCCACATGAGCTATAACCCGGAGAACTCGTAGGATGGGCAGCTCACCTCAGTCTCCTTGCCGTGCCCGTAAAGACAGTAGATCTTCATATTCTTCGCGGTCGGTAGTCTGACTTCAAGCGGGTTGGTCCACTACCCAAATCAGCTTCAGCCTCCACAACAGCTCCAGTGACAGAGCATTGTCCAAAGGGCAACTGACCTTGCGATGATCATGATCATTCTTCTTCAATTGCCCCTCATCACTCTCAAATCCATAACTATAATTCGTCTCCACCATCCGCTGGAACGTCGTCGGTGTATGCGTAAGGATATACGGCGACGCCTCGTTCATTGTCAGATTGGGCGAGACGGTCGATTTGTCGAGATCGGCCTCTTCGCTCGACGAGCCGGCATGACGGAAAGAGAAGAATCGGCCGTGCGAGTCGGTAGCGTTCTGGGGGTCATCCTAAAAGTCAGCTGGCAGCTCTCACGGAATGGTTGAAGTGGACAGCTCACCGGAGCGGCATTGTGCGTCCCCCAGATCCGGTTCCCGCCTTTGATCCACATAGAGCTTGCACCTGGCCATTGCCGGAAGAGCTTTGCGCGTTCTTTGCGGGAGAAGAACTGCGGTGATGTCAGCTCTGCATCCCTGCGTACTCGACTTGGGTGACGTAAACTCACCTTCTCCAGGACCCAAGAACCGGCTGGATGCTAGCATAATCAGCTTGAAACATCGACCATTCGCGTCCTAACTGACCAGTTCGACAGTATCCCTCATTTCACCAGATAAGAACGCCGTCATAGCTTTGGCGACGCCTAGTCCATCAGCTCTATCCCGAGATTTATAGGGGTCAGTCAGCTGATGCTCACCTAGTATAGACCCAGCGATATTGATCCAGGATTCGATATGCTCGTCGACCCATTCGGGTCCGGCACCACCGCCGAATCCATCCACGTCAGGGTTCGCCTCGACCCATTTCAAGCTATACGTCAGCTCCATCTCCGATCATCCCGATCGCGCACGTACAAGTACTGAAAGGTCAGCTGGACGACTCGAGAGTATACATGTCGGTCAGCTCACCAAGACCATAGTCCCTCCCATAGAGTGCGAACAGATCACGACCTTCTGCTTGTTGGTCCGCCTGAGAAGCTCGATCTTGGACTTGAGTCGGCTAAAGTAGGCATCGCGGATCTCGACATTGTAGTATGATAGTCGCCTGGCGTATCAGCTCATAGACTTTCCAATGGATGCGAGACAGACAGCTGCTTACCAGTCGTACGCGGCCATGTCCATCGAATTGGTATCGTATCCGAGCACTGCCAAGTTCTCGACGATCTTCTGCCAGACCCAGTACCCTATCTGCGTCAGCTAATGAGTCTGAGCGTATCATCCGACAACCCACCTTGAATGAATTCAGACTAGAAGAGTCAGCTGTGGACTGTCCGGGCGATAGAAATGGACCTCGAAGCTCACCGCGGCGTCCAGGCCTTGTGCCGCTCGGACCTTGTATCCGGAAGGGTCGAGGCCTGTCTCGGGATCAAGGCTGATAGCTTCGAGCCACTTCTCCCTGCGATTTGTGAGCTGCGACGGCCTAACTTCTGAGAATCATAAGGCGGGCAACTTACTTATTAGATACGACAGCCTAATCAAGTCAGCTAGCGATCTTACAGTTCCTCCGACCTCTGACTCACTCGGATCATGGTGGAGGTGCCCTGTCACATCAGCTGCGGATCTCGATTGCGGAGAGTAACCGCCAGCTCACCCATAGCCTCTTCCGGAAGAACGTCCTCGATACCGGCTCAGTCGACCAGCTCTCCAGCCCCGTACTGACAATTCCCGGCACGAGCACCATCGGGTGCCGCTTCTTCAGCCCATCCTTCTTGGTCGCGTCCTCGCCGACCAGAAAGTCACGGCTTGTGAACGCCTTCTTGGCGGTATCGAGGGCGGTGAGGTTGTTGAAGAGGTCTCGGGGGTCGAGACTTGATGGGATGCTCGACATGATTTCGGAGAAGTCGGTGCTGGTCTGTCAGCTTGGTTTTCCATGCCTCGGCAAAGGTGGGAGCGTTGTAGCTCACGGAAGGTCTGCGTAGCTGTTCATGACCCAAGCACAAAGGGCTACTCCAATAGCGATACCTCTTGATGATCAGCCGACATCACGAAGAAGTGGAAAGCTTGCGTACATCGGGAAGACGAACTGTCAAGGTCAGCTCGAGTTCTCGTCGAAGCAAAGACTAGAGCTGAGCTTGGACTCACTTTACGCCCGGTCGCCCACTTGCGAAACTTGGTTCGCTTCTTTTGCGATTTGCGCTCGGAACCATCAGAACCTGCGACAAACAGGGATTCATCGAGCTCTGAGGTATCAGCTCTGGGGGCATATCCGGAGCAAAGACTTCGCCCACCTATCTCATCGAAGGGGGTTCCCGGAGCTATCATCTACTCCATCAGCTTCGCCGTCCAGCCACTCGACAGGTGGAAGTACCTTGAAGTTGCCATCGTCCTACTGCATCAGCTCCAGCCTAGAATGTATCAGAGAGGAGCAGCTCACTTCTTTCCTCAGCTTTATGTTCACATCTGGGCTCTGGCCGGGTACCATCTCCCTCAGCGCCTGGAAGCGCTGCCGAAGCGATGTGGTTGGTGGAGGGGCGAGGCGAGCAGTCGTAGAGCTCGGACTCGCACCTGTTGTCGAGCTGGTGGCTGTGGAGCTAGCAGGGCTTCGCTCGGAGTCTGCGTCTGACATCCTGGCTGCTTTTCTGACCGGGGAGGAGTTGCAAAGATATGTACAATGGGAGATAGAAGAGGCTGAATCGAGGAGGCTCATGTATTTTGAGCTTTTTAGATCTGAGAGGGTGGCTGTTGATGTGACGTAAACCCCTTGTGCCTGAGGCCTGAGGAATGTGTCACAAACTCAACCATTCGCAAACCTGCTCTTGTCTCCATCGCCCTCCAACCATCTCTGACGCCCTCTCTCAGTCCTGACCGACTGCTCAATTTGGCGATGGACTACGGTGACATACGTATCGGGTATGCTGTAGCTTATGCCCACACACCAGCGACCTCCTCTGCCGAACCTGAGCCCGACCAACCCACTATCTCCGGACACAACCCCCGCACCCTCCTCTATCGCGTGTACGACGGCCGGTCCGCCTCTCCACTCACCGACGACGGCTTCACAGCCACCTCTTCCCAATTCCTCCCTGCTCTCTCCGGCACCCAATGGTGAAAAAACGACCACAAGCTCTACTACTCGCGCGATTTCCGGACCTCCGACGCGACCCGCGAAGCTATCATCCAGCATGTCCTGGGCGGATGGCCAGGATATACCCATCGGGGCTATACATCTCCGTCGGACTGGATCTCAACGACCGAGTCCCTCGACTGGGCTATATGGGAGGTGGCGCGCAGGCTGGTCGTATTGAGGCGAAAAGAGGTGGGATTGGCGCTCATCCACCGGAATATACGGTACGATAGGGGATATAAGGGGAACAGGAACGTGGTGGAGTCGGCGCAGGAGGCGATAGAGGGGTATGGGGAGGATTACTGGCTGGATGAGGACCAGATGGCTGCGCTCAACTTTTCGAGGGCGAGCTCAGAGTATGTCCATTTGGGGAGGATCTTCAGGCGGGATATTGCGGTATCCAACATCTGGACAGCTGCTGTGAGTTGGGCTTCTCCACTTGGTATCAAAGGAGCAAGCTGATAATAGGCACCGGCTTATGGATTGACCGATTCATTCATGCAGTCCTATCTCAAGCCGTCCAAGCAGTGGCCGCGCAAGGGCGGATGGCTTGAATGTCTCATCTTCGACCCCACTGAGCCATTCAGCGTGGCCAAGGCGAAGATAGCAGCGCGAAGGGATCAGCTGGAGCGGTCAAGGCGGCCACCAAGGCGGTAAAGGGGAGCGGGCGAAGCGATGCAGGACGGGATGGAACTTTATTTATTCGGACCTTCTCACATTCCGGGTCATTACTTGATGATGGATGCGACTGCACATTCTGTGAATGTTATAATCGCGGTGATGACGACTGCTTTACCGACGGAGACCGTTTGGTGCCGTGCTGTGCTGAAGGAGTGCTCTGAAACGATCAGAGAGCAGAGCAGAGAGCGGAAAGCAGAGCAGTGCGGGACTATTTGCACTCATTACGGCAGGTCGCTTTCCCGTCCCGCCCCAGTCAGCGTTCCGACGGTAAAACTTTAGACCTCTGAACTATATAAGGCCAGCCGAATCGCGAAATTTCCCCCTCTCCCTTGACTTTGTACCTCATCTTTGCCACCCACCCAAATTAAGCAAAATCATTCTTCTGTCTCAAAGGCTTCAAATCATCTCTGGGTCACGCCCGACACCCTCACCAAACTAGTACTAGACTCTGTGCACTATGCATACCACCACCAGCAGCATCCAAGGCAATGAGCATCGGCTCCTCTACCGGGTCCACGATGACTCCTCGGCGGCGCCCCTGACCCGAAAAGGCTTTACAGCCACCTCTCCCGAGTTCCATTACAAAGGCGGCGTCATTCCGGCGGAGGTATGGCATAAGGAGTATCAGGGGTTGCAGGAGGTAGATAGTCTTGTAGACAACAAGCATGTTCTGGAGAGTATTGCGGCGCATGTCTCGGGCGGCTGGAAGGGCTATCACAGCGCCAAAGCTGGCCCATCCGACTGGATCTCAACCTCCATGTCGTTCCAGTGGGCGGTATGGGAGGTGGTGCGTCGTCTCGTCATCCTCGGGCGGGACAGCGTCGGGATGAGCGTCATCACCGCCAAGCCGTACAACCCCTACTATGTGGGCATGCAGGCGGTCTGGTTGAAGGCGGCGGATGCTATTGAGGCGCTCGGCGAGAAGGTGTACCTCACCCGAAAGGAGTGCCGCGCATTGGCGTTTGCGAGGGCGAGCTCGGAGGTGGTGTACCTTGGCAAAATATTCGAGAGGGACATTATGACCCACACGGAGTGGACGCTCGAGGTAAATAGCTACAAGCTGCGCAAAGGTGGGGTGTCAAGCTGAAAGGCAAGAACCTCCCCAGAAACCTGCGCGTTAGTATGGAGGCGTTCTTCAAGCCCAAGAAGCAGTGGGTGAGGGGGGGAACGTGGGTCGATCAGCTTGTCTTCAAGCCGAAAGACTCCTATAGTCAGGCGGCGGCAAAGATACAGGAGCGTAGGGAGGGGTTGGGGAGGTTGCGCGGCGGCGGTCAGTAGGCGGAGAGGGAATCGGGCCTAGAGTTCGGGCCACAATGGCAATAATCCAGCTCAAGGCAGGCGGCGGGCCGGTGGCTGTCAGGGCGTTCTGGTAGAAAATCCCCCTAAGGGCCGGAATAGGAGGGTGAATACACCTTCCACCAAAAACATAACAGAGTATCTACTTTATAGTCATGTAGTACCGTAGCTATGCAGTCAGCTCTACCTGTACGTGTGATTGTAGTGCAGTCAGTACAGCTGGACCAAGAGATGGATGCGCAGAGCTAGAGCAGTTTCAGAAGTGCCACATTTGTCATTCCCGGCGAGAGTCATCCGCAGTTTTCGCCCGTTTTTAAAGCTGCCTCTTCCACCCAAACACTACCCCAGCTGGTAACTGTACTGCCTGGAAAGAGCGATGCCGCTCGACGAGCGCGACGCGCTCTTCCAACACTTCCTCGGTCTGGCTATCGACAGGTTGGACCCATCTCTGAGGATCCGCGGACACAAGCCCGAACACATCATCTTCCGGGTCCATGACCAGAGTTCAGCCTCACCGCTTCGGTACAACGGCTTCACCGCCACCTCACGGAGGTTCAAACCAATAGCGAGAATGTCCAACGCGATATGGCGCGAGCGCTATGAAAGCCTCCACCAGGACGAGAACTACCGCAATGACGAGCACGTGCTCAAGTCAATTGCTGCCCATGTCATGGGTGGCTGGCCGGGTTACATTCGTGATCAAACGGGTCCCTCGGACTGGATCTCGACGACCAAGTCGCTTGACTGGGCGGTGTGGGAGATCACCCGCCGTCTGGTCAAGATGGGGCGAAACAGCGTGGAGCTGAGTCTCATATATCGCCGAGGCTATCGCCCGGGAGACCAAGGTGTACAGCATGTCGAGCTGGACGCGACGCAAGCTGTCGAGGCACTTGGTGAGCAAGTCTGGCTCAACGATGATCAGAAGTGCGCGCGAGATTTTGCCAAGGCAAGCTCGGAGGTGATTTGTCTGGGCAGAATCTTTGGGACCGATATCGCGGAGAACACGGTATGGACTCGCGCTGTGAGTACCTTGACCAGCTCGCTTTACATGTCGTCATCTGGCAGAACACAAGCTGACAATACAGTCACCTCCTCCCGGTTTTGGGCCGCACGATGCTTGTATGGAGGCTCTCTTCCTGCCCGGAGTGTCCGGGATACAGGGGTCGTGCTGGATTGACAAGCTGGTCTTCAGTCCAAACATGTCGTTCGCGCGAGCTATGATCCATATAGAGAGGCGGAGAGAGGAGATACACATCGATAGGCGGAGAGAGGAGATCGAAATGCAGAGGCGTAGACAAGAAATCGAAATGCAGAGACGAAGAGAGGAGATCCGTAGGGCGCGACACATATACCATGAGTGAGTTGCTATACGTCACCAAGCTCGCTTGCCGATGCTCGCGCTGATCCATGTAGAGAAGAGTCTGACTCGAGCGATGAGTAGATCAGCTCGGCTAGTGCTGTAGGGTTATGCAACAATCCATATGCCCGGTACGACCGCCTCGTCTCTCCCTCGACCAGGAGTTTGGTTCCCCCAACCTCCGATACAGGGCGCGAAGGCGATCTCAGACTCGAAGGTCGTGCTGTGTATATCACTTCATGGTCTGTTCGAGCGTTCAAATTGCCACATGCAAGACAGCTGGACTCGAGTGGAATTAGCGTGTCAGCCTCCTCCTCTCATGCTGTGTCGAAGATCGCCGCATCAGTGACCGTGACCGGTCAGTACGAGTATGTATCGCCATCGCGACTGGCGCAAGATCAGTGAATTCATCAGGTCAGACTTATACAACTGCACCCCTTCACCGGCCCGTTGAATCTCTCGCGACGCCGGATTTGCTCAGCCCTCGCCGTCCACGGTCCCCTTCCCATCCCTCACTCTCCACCCCTCTCCCTTCTCCCTCTCTTTCGCCCTCCTGACCTCCATCGTCCCCCTCACCACCTGCACCACCTTCATCACCGCCTCCGCATCCGCCTCACTCGGCTCTCGGCGGGCATACCGCGCCTGCTCCACGAGCCGGATGTAGGAATTGACAAAGATAGTGAGCGCCTGGTCGTGTGTTCGTTCCGCGGCGGTTGCGAGTGGCGAGAGCGATAGCGGAGGAGAGATATCTCGAGATGAGGAGGGAATGAGCCGGTGGTCTGAATGTCAGCTGGATTGGTCTAATGCAGCCAGAGAGGAGCAGAGAGGAGAGCTCACGCATTTCCGGCAGTGTGTGTAGGATCTCGGTCCGGAAGTGTTTGTCTGCCCACTTTGTACCTATGACATCAGCTACTGTAACACACGGTAAGTCATCTCGCAGCTGACCTGGTCTGCCCCACCCCTCCTGAACTCCCGTCGTGGCTTGGCTGATATGCGCAATGACAGCCGTTCTCGAGTACTCGCTCATAATGTGATCTGCGACGGACTATGGGTTTTGTCAGCTCAATCTACCTCCTTCGAGAATATTTGGAGGACATGGAGCTCACCTTATCCAAGTCAAGATATTTGGTCGGCATATACGGCTTTGGCATCGTCCGCAGGACCCGCTTGATGGTCACGATCCGGGACCAGCAGAACATCGCAGAGATTACAGCCTGTATGATCAGCGTTGAGCATCATCATAGCTCCTCACTCCCCACATTGGTCTGAAAGCTGATACAGACCGTCTCAGCGAGAGCTCATCCGCCCTGCACGGCCCGCAGTCGACTCCCCCAGTTCCTGGTGGGATTGCCCTCCCTCCCTCTTTGATGTCTTCCAACCTACATCCCAGCTCGCCCATCCACTTCAAACCAAACATCCCTCTCCTCCATCCACGCCGATCAGAGCTCCGTCCGCTCTCAGCTCGACGAGAAGAGCCGGTACCCAGAACTCACCACAGCCACATATGCCGCCGCCAGAATCACAACATTCCCCCTCCCCTGCCTCCCCGTCCGAAACGCCTGATCCCCTATCCCATACGCAGAAATGACCAGCAGGCACGCCAGGATAAATATCAGGCCCGCAAAGGAGCCTTGATACCAAAAGGTGTGCCAGATGGACGAACGGCGGGATCGGGATGGGCGAGAGGGTTGTTTGGGTTTGGATCTGATGGGCTTGCGCATAGCGGGAGACCGCAGTATAGCCATGTCTCTTTGGCGATGCCAGGGCGCCGGCGACAGGGTAGACTGAGCAGCAAGAGGCCTGCGTGGCCTACATGGCCTGATGGTGGGTGTATGTGCAAGAGAAGAAGCAAGACGTTGAAGATGCCTTTGAGCCTGTCCACGTCCGAGCGCCAAAAGTGACGTGGCGCCGCGAGATCCGAACGGGACTGATTTTGACTTTGCCACTTGGGTGGGTGGTCACTACACAAGGCTACCCACTGCCTTCTGGTGTACTGTAGCAGAGCGCTGATGAGCCTTGTAGACAGCTAGGCAAGTATATGAATCCATTATAATCCCAGAACGCCTTGTACTTATCTATTTCTATTTACACTTCTGACCTTTCCTATCATATCCCGCCGCGCTTCGCCTAGTGCGCACCGCAGTGGATGGAGCCATCGGCGTGGGTGTGGCAGTCCGCCGCGGCCGAAGCTGAGGCAGAGGCAACAGCGGCGGCAGAAGAGACGGACCGAGCGGCGGAGGAGGTAGAGGCGGGGGCGGCCGAGGAGGAAGCAGCGGGAGCAGCCGAGGTGGAAGAAGCGAGGGGTGCACCGTGAGCGTCCGCGGTAGGTGCAGGGAGAGCGGCAATGTCCCCGATGCACTTGTCACCTCCCTTGACGACCTCGTTGATGTAGACGTGGGCCGCAAAGTACTGGAGGACGTCCGAGTCGAAGGGGGCATAGGTGGCGTTGGTCTTGGCCAGCTGGACAGCACCAGCGAGACCCGAGGTGTAGTGGTCGACCGCACCGTCCGTGACCTGGGGGACGTGGAGGAGGCGGTGGAGGAGGTCGACGGACCAGTAGGTGGAGGGAGCGGCGGTGGTGAGAGAGTAGCCCTTCATGCACATCTCGATGTTGTACCGCCGGTCCGTGTACGATGCGTCGCAGATGACCGTCTCCGAGGTGGCGTTGTTGCCGCGCCAGTGACCTCTCCATCCCGGGAACTTGCAGTTCTGGACGTCAGCTGGACTCTAGAGAAGCAGGTGAGAGGGTGAGGAGGTTGAAGATGATGTAAGAACTGTACTCACCCCGTCAATGTCGTCACATCGGAGAACCACACCCGTCTTGTCCGACGACATGACCGCCTCGTACGACCCAAGAGCGTTGACCATGGCGCGAGGGTTAGAGGTACCAAAGTAGAGCTGGAAGGCTGGGTCGTCCGGCCCGTTCTGCTTGATGTACTTTTGGGCAAAGTCGACGACCTCCCAAGTCTCGCTGGAACATCAGCTTGACTCTACAATTCAGGCAAAAAGGAATTACTCACTTGAGACCACGCTCGATCATGCGGCGCTGGGTGACATTGCAAGACTCGTGGATGGTGATCCAGGTCTGAGTCTGCTTGAGGTCACGCGAGCCGAGAGTAGCGGCGATGTTGACGGGGGAGGCGATGGCGCCGACGGCAGCGGCGAGAGCGATGATGGCAAGCATTTTGGGGAAGTGCGTGATGCTGGTGTTGTGGGAAGGAGTGAAGTAGCTGTTGAGAGTTGGAGGAACAAGTTGATGTGAAAGCTGATGTCCGGTCTTATAAGTACAAAACTTAGCGCTCAGTGAATGAGGATTTCAGCGCCAGCTCCAGATTGTCGCCATGGGGTATGAAGAAAGACCGCACGCCAAGCAAGTACTCCTTGCTCCGCTCCAGTCCCATACACGCCGGCTCTCGGAGCGCCGAAAACACGGTCTCTTCGGGGCATCGCATGAGCAAAAGCATGACTCCCATCTATGGCCACGCCCGCCCTAATTTCCTTGCCAAGCCCGCAAAATCGCCAAAGTTAGAGTCGCGAGGTCCGCATCGGCGCTCGTGCGTCGGGAAGATCTTGAAACGTCGGTCAACCTGTACGGTCAATACTTGACTGGAGCGGGGTAAGCAAGGTGGAGCAAATTTGAAGAGAAGATGCAGGGTATGCCAAGCAGTCCGCTACAGTCCTCCTTTGACACCTTTTGATCTAATCGCCCGGATGAATTCAGCTCCGGTGGTTTATCCGGCCTAATCGACCGCTCGGGTCCGCATTCCTCAGCCAACTTTTCGCTCCTCCTTCACTTCCCTTGGTCTTTGTCCACCTTGTGCACGCTGTCGCGGTCTCGCTCAGCATCTGCGGAGCTCTTGGCAGTGCTTCAGATCGTTGCGTTCTGGTCATGATATCTGAAGCGCCGGATAGATGGTTGGTGGTCTTTCTGAGTCACTGATTTGCCAGCAGCCCCTAATTCACTTTCTCCTCCTCACTGCTCATATATTCCTCAGTCTTCGCCCACTTTACCGAGATATTCACTCTTAGATACGCCATACCAGAACTTCAGAATGCGGGTCCAGCTCGCCTCCTCCCTCCTCCTCGCCTCGGCCGCATACGCCCAGTTCGTTCAGCCCAGCGCGACCCAAGCTCCTGCCTCTTCCCCTACCGCAGCTGGCGGATCATCTACTGCCCGCCCCACCTCTTCCGCCTCCTCGACATTCGGTCCTCCCCCTCAATCGACCGGCTGCGTCCTCCATATCGACCACTACCACTGCGAGGGGCCCAACACTGCCTACACCGGAACCGCTTCGGCTGGAGACGCGTCCGCATCGGGCACGAGCAGCGAGTCTGCGGAAGGCGGAGAATGCATCATTCACGTCGGCCATACGTAAGCCTTTCCCCTGCCTCACCGGTCAAGAGCTGACGAGCAGACACGGCGACTGCTCCTCCCAACAACTAGCATGCGGCGCTATCCTCCAAGAAGAGTACAAGATGCCCATCCACATCGGCGCGGTCTTTATCGTCCTCATCACCTCGGCGCTCGGCGTGCTGATCCCTATGGTATCAGGCTGGGTGAAACGGTCTGATGGGAGCAAGATTGCCAGTGGGGATCCAGTGGCGTTTGGACGGGAGGCCGGGGTATGGGCCAGTATCTTCTTTTTGGCAAAGCACTTCGGGACCGGAATTATCATTTCCACCGCTTTCATCGTAAGTTCCCGAGAAGGGGTTTGGCGACAAAGGGACAAGCTGATAAATAGCACCTCCTCTTCCATGGCTTTGTCATGTTCCAGAACGAATGTATCGGGGAGCTCGCGTACGAATCCACCGCTGCCGCAATCGCTATGGCCGCGGCGCTCGTCACGTTCCTTCTCGACTTTATGGGCAGCCGCCTCGCCTCTCGCAAGACTGGTACCATCACCATGGGCTCGACCGACATCTCGCCGACAAGCTCCAACCCCGGCTCACCCGACCGCGAGAAGACCGGCGCCGGCTTCATCCCCGCTGGCTCTCACTCGCACTCGCACGGGCATGACTGCGCACACGTCGATGCTGCCTTTGCGGCGGAGGAGAGCTGGCGTGTCCTCTTACTCGAAATGGGCATCATCTTCCACTCGTACGTCTCCCTCTCTAACCTTCTTCTCCCCTTCTTCTCCCCTCTCCCCTTCTTCTCCCTTCCACTCCAAACTGATATCCAGAATCATGATCGGCGTGACCCTCGGCGCCTCCTCCGGCGCGGGCTGGACAACCCTCCTCATCGTCATCTGCTTCCACCAATTCTTTGAAGGCGCCGCCCTCGGGGCCCGTATCGCCCTCTTGTACTGGATCTCCAAGGTCCGCGCAATCACCATGTCGGTCGCCTTCATCCTCATCACCCCTATCGGAATCGCGATCGGGATCGCCGTCCGCCAGGTATTTTCGCAGAATGGAAAGGCTTCGCTCTTGTCGGTGGGGATACTCAATGCGGTGAGCGCAGGGATACTGCTGTATACCGCGTTTAAACTGTTGGCGCATGACTTTGTGGATGGGCCGTTGAGGCATGCGCCGGCGGGTAAGGTGGTGCCGGCGGTGGGCGCGCTGGTGGTCGGGTTGATTGGGATGAGTGTATTGGGCAAGTGGGCGTAGGGCGCATTGGGGGAGATAGGGTCAATAGATAGATAGATAGATGTTGGAGGATGCAGGTATAATGGATCAACCGGTGCCGTGAGCGATGATACGATCCATGCGAGGTGCCCAAAGTAGATATGTCTAGAAATACAGATTGATCAACGTCTCTCCTCCCCACATTCATCTCAGATCCACCTTCTTCCCTCCCACGACCTCCCCCTCCCCCTCTTCCTTCCTCCTCGCCAACCACCCCCCAACGCCCTTATGTACCACCATCAACCCCATCACCACTGGCAAATACCACAGACTGACAAAAAAGCACTTTTTCGCCGTCTTCTCCCCTACATCCTTATAAAACGCCCACGCACTCTTCACAAAAAGCACATTCGGAATCAACGTCGTCAGACCAAAGCTCCAATCCACCGCGCCTGATGCGGGCGCAAGGACCGCCGTGAATGGCACGAGCAGCACCGCGTGGCGGAGCGATACCAACGCGTTGAGGCGGGGGGAGAGGACGGAGAGCATCGGGTAGCCTGATAAGGCGTAGTACGGGCGGATGAGGTGTGAGAGGGCGTTAAAGTGTGGGAATTGCCATGAGAAGAGCAGGGCGAAAAGGGTGGCGGGGACGAGGGGGTTGGGGCTTGTCGAGAGCGGGGAAGAGGGGTAGTGGATTTGGAGAGGTTGGGAAGAGGTCGGCCAGAGTGATCCGCCGGTAGCCGTCCATCCCATGAGGGGGGTGATGCCGCCCACGACGGCTCCGATCCAGGTGTTCGAGACGCTGAAGCGCTTCATGGGCGTGTAGATGGCGGCGTAGAGGACGAGGTTGCCCAAGCCCAAAGCGGCGGTGGTGGGGTTGCAGCCGTGCCATAAGACCAGGCCGCCGAGGAGGGTGCATACCGCCCCGAAGACAGCGGCGTGGAAGGGGGAGATTCGGCGTGCGACGAGGGGGCGGACGCGGGTACGGGGAGTTTGGGCGTCGAGGGGAGCTTCGAGGATTTGGTTGAATGTGTTGGCGGCGGCAGAGACGAGGAAGGTGCCGACTGAGAGGTTCAGGAGGAGGGGGACGGACAGGGGGAGTGGGGATAAGGCGAGTCCGGTGGTCGCTGTGAGGGTCATGAGGATTGACAGATTGCGCTTGGAGAGTTGCGAGTAGAGCCCGATGCGCCGCCGGAGAGTGAGAGGTGGGTTGGGCTTGTACGATTCGAGCGTGGCCGAGGGGGGACCAGGAGCGGGTAGGTCGAGGTCAGGAAAAGGAGGGGCGTCGATCGTAGCGGCGCCGTAGACTGTCGAGACCCGCTCCCTCGGTGCTGTATGAGCAGAGAAGAAAGGCCGGCTCATAGCTGCCGCTGCGGTATGTGCGCCGCGCCGAGCCCCAGCAGAGCTGAAAGGACTAGGACTGGCCGATATCGACTTGGCCTTGGACGACCGAGCCACCACTGCCGCCTGATGCTCGTGCTCATGCTCATGCTCCTCCTTCTTCTGCTTGTGCTCGTCCCCGTCCTGCGGTTCCGCCGGCGCCCCAATCTTGCTGAGTTGCCCATCGATCATTCGCCTGAACTTGCCATCCCGGCGGGACAGGAGCTCGCCGTATGAACCGTCCTCGACGACCTTGCCTCCGTCGAGCAAGACCACGCGGTCCGCTTGGGCGATAGACGATAGCCGGTGCGCAATCAGAATAACCGTAATTTCGGAATCGTCAAACAGATTATCCAGCGCCTTGTTAACCTAACAATCAGCTCATGCTACCGCCTCAGCGAAAGACTTACAGCCCGTTCCGACTCTGAATCCAGCGCACTCGTCGCCTCATCCATCAACAACACACTCGGATTCCCAACCAACGCCCTTGCAATCGCAATTCTCTGGCGCTGACCCCCACTCATCGCTGCCTTAGTAATGACCGTGTCGTACCCCTCCGGCATCCCCTCGATAAAGTCACAATGCGCCACCTCGGCCGCGCGCTTGACTTCCTCGCGTGATGCGTTGGGGTGGCCGTAGGCGATGTTTTCGTGGATGGTGCCGCCGAATAGGATGGGGTCTTGGGGTACGACACCGATACGTGATCGCCAGGATTCGGGGATGTAGGACCGGATGTCTTGGTCGTCTAGGAGGACGGTGCCGAATGTGGGGTCGTAGAAACGGAGAAGGAGGAGTTGGATGGAGGATTTACCAGATCCGGAGCCGCCGCTGCTACGTCAGCTGGTGTCACTGGCAGGAGTATGACGCAGCTTACACCAGAGCTACACATTCTCCCTTTTCGATCCGCAGATTCAGGCCGTCCAGTACCTTTGCGTCCGGCCGGGAGGGGTACGCAAAGCTGACATCCCGAAGCTCAATCGTCCCAGCTTTCGGCTCCGTCACAGGCAACCCCGTCCCGAGCTTGATGGGCGACTGCAGAGCGTGGAGGCTGATAATCCGCTGAGAAGCTCCAACACCCTTCATCAGACCCGTAAAGAATCCAGCGAGAGCTGATCGTCAGCTCCCCGTCTCACTCCGGACTTACTATTCAGGGACCACTCGATCCAGTTGACGTAGATGAAGAGACTCGTCATGTCCCCCACCGAAATTTCTCCCCTTCTCACCAAAACACCCCCATAGATCAACAGCCCAATCATGCCCAAATCCCCCGCGACCTCATTTGCACCCTGGAATATCCCATTCGCAAATGTCTCCTTCTTTTGCAGACCATACACCTTCCCCACGCGGCCAGCGTACAGCGCCTCCTCGGCCGGCTGGGTGTTGCTGGCCGTGACGGTCCGATGGGCCGATAATCGCTCTTCGGCGAGTTTCGACATGTTCCCCATGGCCTCTTGCGTGCGGAGGGACAGTCCCCGGATGAAGCGTCCATAAAAGTATGACCCGATCGAGATGGGCGGTATGATGAATAGCATGACGAGTGTGAGGGTGGGGGAGATGAGGTACATGGCGACGCAGCCCGCCGCGGCGCCAAGGACGGCCTTGAGGCCTTCACCCAGGTTCTCAGAGAGGGACTGGCCGACGATGGATGTATCTTGTCCGAGGCGGGATAAAGCGTCGCCGACGCCGGCGGTCTCGATGTGTGAAGGGGGCATGGCGAGGTACTTTGCGTAGGTTTGGTTTCTGGAATCAGCGCAGGCCATGAAGAAAAGGACTCACCTGATACGCATGACGGTCCGCTGTCCTGCTAATCTCAAACATATGCTCCGTCCCGAGTTTGCCAAAGCCCCAACGAACAGTATGACCGCCAGTGCCATCGTAGCTTGTTCCAGCGGCAGACCAAATAGCATCGTCGCCTCGCTTCCCGGAGCGAAGAAATCAATGATCCGCCCGATGGCCCATGGGATACCGAGGTTGACACCTGTAGAGACAGTGAGGAAGACCACACCTGACGCGAGCAGGGGCCATTGGGGCTTGGCGAGCGCCAGGAGACGGAGAAGCGAGGCGGTATCCGGCGTCTTTTCGAGCTTGCTCTTGGACGACGAGGATGGAGTGACGGCGGAAGATGACGGTGGGGGGGTAGATATGGACGTGGAGGGTGATGGGGGTTGTGAGGTAGATACGGGTGCGGGGGTGTCGGATTCGGCGGGGGTGGTGGACGAAGGAGATTTTGGGGTTTGGGGCTGAGGGGGTCGATCTGGGGGTTCGGACGGTGGCGGGCGGGACGTAGCCGAGTTGAAGCGGATACCGAGGCCGACATGCAATGGCGGGACCAGGCCTTGATGTCTCCGCGTCGAAGGGAACAAGCGGGCATGCCGAGTGGGGACGACAGAGACAGTCACGAAAGACCGAGCTGGGCGGAATGACGGTCCCGCTTCTGTGCTCCTTGAGACTAGCACTGCTGGGAGCCGACACTCCAGTGCCCTTCCCAGGCCGAGGCCGTACCGTGTGGCCATTGCAGGCCTTGTTTTGAGTGAGCTATAGACAGTAGATGTCACTTATGGTAAAGAGTAGCTTAAAGAGTTGGATCTCGGCCGGGATCGCGACTGATGGCGGTGGGATAAATAGATTAAACTGACGCAATCCTTGGATAAGCTTAATATTAGCTCTTTGGCGGTCGGCGGCAGGGGCCGCCTCGGAATCGCTTGACAAAAGTCAACAGAGAGAGGTCCACTATGCGACTCTGCCTTGCAATACCACCTTCTGCTATAGTAAAGCATCTCTCCAGCCCAACATGGTTGCCTCATCAATGAAGAGTGAGCATTGCCGATCTCCTCTGGATCGAAATCTCGCTGACACCCAGACGCGATGGCTCGGCGAAACCACAAAGAGCGTTCCCAGCCCGCCAATCGGCAACGGCTCGGTATGCTCGAGAAGCACAAAGACTATGTTCTTCGAGCGCGCGACTACCACTCGAAGCAGGACCGCCTCAAGAAACTCAAGGAAAAGGCGGCATTCAGAAATAAGGATGAATTCTACTTTGGGATGGTCAAGGCGCAAACGAAGGGCGGGGTGGAGATTGGGGATAGGGGCAATGAGGCGTTGGGAGTGGATGTGGTCAAGGTGTTGAAGAGCCAGGATTTGGGATGGGTCAGGGTACAGATATCGCAGGATGAGAAGGTGAGTCTAGCGCATTATAGGAGCGTGGGAAGCTGATGAGTTTAGAGGGTGGCGAAGATGAGGCAGGAGCTGGAGGTGACTGCGCCGGCGGCGTCGGAGGGGGAATGGTCTGCTGCGATGGAGCTGGCAGAGGTGGAGAAGCTGGCGGAGATGGGGGTGGTGATTAATCCTCAAGCGAGCGGGTCGGGGAGCGGACGGAAAGGGAAGGGCAAGGCAAAGGCGGTACAGGGTGGTCATGTGGTCTTTGCGGATGGAAGAGAAGCGTGTGAGCTGTTCGATCCGGAAGTAATTCTGAAGGTGGAGAAGCTGATGGGACAGTCGACGAGTACGAGGAGGCCCCATTAGCCTCTGCGGTAGAAGAAGCAGAGACGGAAGAGGTGGATCTCGGGTGGGAGACGGTCGTCTCCAAGGGGAAACGGAAGAAGCCGACCGTCGAGCCTGTCACGAAGCCTGTCCAGACACCAGAGGAGATGGCAGAGGAATCAAGAGTGAGTATCCCCGCCAACAGTGATGTCTGTCCCCCACTCTGCGACTCCATCGCCACACGCGCACGTACTAACCCCCACATGGGCCCTCGCTGACACCCCAGCAAACCCGCCTAGACCTCTTAACCTCCCTCTCAGCCCACCTCGCCCGACTCCGCCTCCTTCGTCAAGCCGAAGCACGGCTGGAACAGACCAAAGGGCTCATGGGGAAAGGAGGCGCGCGCAAGGTCAAGCAGCATGGCTGGGTGGAGGATCCGAATGCCAAGGAGGATAAGAATGGGGAGACGAGGCGGTGGGAGGGTAAGGCGTTCAAGTGGAAGGCCGAGAGGAAGCGGTAGGGTCGCGCTGGAACCGTGTACTCGAGGTATATAGATTGTCGTTGTACAGATATGACTTTTGCATGTTATCTACTGGTCTATACTACAACAGGTCACAATTCTCCTATATTCGTCGAGCGGCTAGTGTCAGAGACACTAGGCCAGCCGTCACTCCAGCTACCTCCCCTTCAATCGCCCAGCGCCGTTCCCTCCTGTGATCACAACGATCATTTTTGGTGGCCAGCAGTTCGCGAACGCCTCCCGCCAGTTCCACCTCTTCGCCTGCCCGCTCTGCCAGACTCCCGAGCTCCCGCCTCATCTTGTCTTGACGTTCGGATCTCGGAACAGGCTTTTACAGTTGATACAGACGTAAAAGAGCGTCATGTTGGTCGTCAACCGCCGCGCTTGGTCCTGATACACCACGGACCTTTGGCATCAGCTACCGCCTCTCAGATCTCCCGCACAGCTTTCAACTCACTCAGCGCCCTCACACACAGGACACACAACTGCAGTAGACCGCAGTAATGTCGGATCCGTCTCGAGATCCTTCGTCTGGCCCGCTTGTTCTCTGATTGATCAGCATCAACAGCTCGCTGGAATCCGACAAGGACAGGTACAGTCAGCGCACCTCTCCCTCGTCAGCAAATCATTCCTATAGACGCAAGCGGCATCTTCTTGGGGGTTCACAACGGCGTTCTCGGAGTAGAGACAATTCCGGCAGGAATAGAGGAGGACTTTGGAGTTGTTGTCGGACTGGAGGGGTCAGCTGTGTACTCGGCGGCCAAGCCCGATGGATCTGTCAGCTGGGAGACTGTGGGTCGGTTCTCGACGTACTTTGGGATAGAGGAGGTTATTGCTTATGAATCAGCTTGTGATCCTGGAAATGTCGGAGAGGGAGGAGCTCACCATTCTCCGCAGAAACGCAGTGTTGGGGGCTTTGCGGCCATTCTGATGAAGTAGTAGAGTGTACTCGAGAGCTTCTATTTGTACTACCGTCCGAACAGCCAGCGTCTGTTATAGTCTTCTCAGGTAGATGTATGTCAAGAGGAGGAGAGAGTTGCAGGTCGAATTGAAGGTGTATAAGAGTTGGGTGGCGGACTTCTTTACGTAACGTGAAACGCTTCCAGGGGTAAAAGTCATGCATGCATGCACGAACCGTTCACCGCGTTGGCTTTCGCTTCTCGCATCGCTTTTCTAATAACCCCCTTTCTGGTCACCCTCTCCCCCTCCCTTCCAGTCAAAGGGCTCACAGGAACAGCAGTGAACAGGTTACTCGCTGGACTACTGTGCTCGGCGCTCATCTCTGTCCCGGCGATAAGGAGATCACAAGAGTACGCGCTCTCTTTTGCCGTAATTCTCACCTCGACACGCTTGACTTCGCTAGCTTTGCTCGCGGCCCTTCCGTGAGCTCGAGCTCGACTATCGACCCGACCGACCTTCACTCCCACGGCGAGAGCCATCGCCGATCTCTGACCTCCACTGCCTAGGGCCCTGCCCACGATGGCTTTCCCCTTTCCCTCACCCTTCAAGCTCCCCCTCCCCCGTCGCTTCGTCTTCCTCGCCCTCTCCGCCGCCATCCTCGTCCTCTTCCTCAACCTCTTCGCCCCCTCCTCTCTCCCCTCATCCTCCTCAGACGAACCCTCCTATTTCTCCACCGGAAAATGGCTTCCATCCATATGGGATTCCGAAGCTGTGATCGACCGACCGGCCGAATTCGACGAGGACGGCCAGTGTCTCTTCTTGTCGCCCTATGACGCCTTGTCGGCCGAGGAGAAACGGCGCGCAGAGTGGCTCGTACTCGAAGAAGTATCGGCGGGTGTCGTGCGTGCCAAGCCAGGAAGCGAGGGGGGAAGTGGGAATGGCACAAGACCGGAAGGGACGAGCCACCCGATCTTGGCGTTGCTCAAAGCGGGCGAGGAAAAGTGGAAGCATAAGATGAGCAGTCAGAGTCAGACGATCGAAGAGGCGACGGAAAAGTATATCAAAAAGTGGAATCGGAATCCGCCAAAAGGGTTTGACAAGTGGTGGCACTTTGCAAGCTCGGTTCATGTGCTCTTACCGGACGAATACGATGCGTGAGTTTAGCCTTCACCTCCATTGTAGGGGTCAGAAAGTCAGCTGACATGGCAGTATCATGACGTCCCTCCTCCCGTTCTACGGCCTCCCCATCAAGACCCTCCAGGACCGCCTGGTCGAGACCGAGACTATCCCCGAAACATTCACCCTCATCGTGCACGACGGCAAGGTCGAGCTGGAATGGAACGACAACTACTCGCGCGATACATGGTGGGCTAGTCGGCCCAGAGCGGATAGTCAGATCAACCTGATGGAGCCGTTCTTGGATTTGCTTCCCAGTTTCAGGTGAGCTTATCCCCCCATCAGCCTCGTCGCTGGCGTAGAAGCTTACACCTCAGGGCGACTTTCACAATCCATGATCAGCCAACGATGTTACTGGACTATGCGAGGCAGCAGGAGCTCGTCAATGCCGCCAAGGCAGGAAAGGGTAAGCTTCTCTCGTTACACCTCTCCGGGCGACGCGGGCAAGCTGACTAGTCAGTCTCCAACCACCCAAACGAGGACGACCGATTCGAGCAGATCTGGGAGCGTGCTTGCGCACCTGACAGTCCACTTGTCAAGGGCGTGAAGGAGCTCCGTAAGCTTAGCTGCTTTCATGCCTTCTGCGGAATCCAGAGCTGACTTTGCAGCCGAGACCGATACCTTCATCTCGCGTCATGCGGCCGCTATGGATATCTGCCAACATCCTTCGGTACGTAATCAGCTGTCGTTCACCCCTCGCTCATCCTGGGAAGCTAGCTGATACTGTCAGTACATGGAGAACCACGGTATGCTCCTCGAAGCACACGACGAAAACATGCACCCAAAACCACACACCAAGCTCTACCCCATTCTTGTCCCGTCCAAGACGTCTCTGAATGGCGATATCCCCGTCACCCCTATCGGCCGAGATGGGCGCCGCGATGACGTCGGGTTTGACCCGGACTGGAGCAAGAAGATTGGAAAGGTCTACTGGGTGAGCTAGTCCTTTCGCGTTGGCTATAATGACGAAAGTTTGAGCTGACTTCCAGCGCGGCCTCGCCACCGGTCTCAACCACAACAAGAACTCTGGAGCCAAATGGCGTCAATCTCACCGCGAACGCCTCCACTTCCTCGCCAACGATCGTACGAGCGCCAACCAGGAAGTACTGTCCGCTATCGGCAATACCGGCGAAACCGAGTTGGGCCGATACCCCATGAAACAGCTCGGTGATTTCTACATGGACATGAAGCTGGCAGGGGGCAGTTGGCAGTGCGATTGGGACGACGGGACGTGTGATGAGATGAATAAGGAGATTGAGTGGGCGGAGAAGGATGCGAGTGAGAAGAGTAACGAGTACAAGTTTGTGTTTGACGTGAGTGTTAAGCGGTTCGGTTTGCGGGGGCAAGCTGGGATGGGGAGGGGCTGACGAGGTAGACGGATGGGAATGCTTGGTCCTCCCGTTTCCCGAGGTTGATGGCCAGCAACAAGTGAGTTGCCTGACTCTCGGACTGGGGATCATACCGAGAACATCAGCTGACGCACTTCAGTGTCGTCATCAAATCATCAGTCTTCCCAGAATGGAGTGAGCTTCTTTCCGGCTTCGAGAGTGCTGTGATGTCCAAGCTGACCCGTCAGATACTCAGTCCCTGCCTGAGTGGTACGCCTACGTCCCGTCAAAGATGGACTACTCGGACTTGTACTCTATCATGGCTTTGTGAGCTAACTGATCTGGTCCGTACCAAGAGCGAGAGCTCACACTCTAGCTTCCGCGGTACACCTTCCGGCAAGGGCGCGCACGATGAGGTCGCTCGGCGAATAGCGCTGAACAGTCAATGTTGGGTCGAGAGGAGTGAGTGCTCAGCTCACTTGACCACGCTCGACTCTCAAACGGTGTGTAGGAGGCAGAGCTGACATGAACAGCATGGAGGAGAGAGGACATGCAGTCATACATGTTCCTACTGTATCTCGAGTACGCCCGGCTGGTTTCGCCCGATAGGGATAACGGCAAGATGGTGAGTTCCCCAGCCGACCATGCATTCAGGGTAAGATTCACGGGCTCATGAGCAGGACTTCACATTACCGAAGAAGCACGGTCAGGCCGCTCCGGTAGCAGCAGCAGAACCACCAAAGGCAGAGGCTCCACCAGCTGCGGCACCAGCACCACCAAAGGCGGAAGAGCCTAAAGCTGCCCCAGCACCGGCACCGGCACCGGCAGCTGCACCACCGACAAAACCCGCTGATGATCTGAAAGAGGATAGTCCGGAGGCGATGGAGGCCAAGGTGGAGATTGAGGAGTTGGTTGAGCGGTCATAGTGGGCGCGTGATGCGTGATTGCTAGATCGAGGGGTCTGGAGGGAGAGGGGCGATGGGTCCAGCTTGGGCGCTGGATCTTGGTTAGGCGGGGGAGGAGGTGGAACCCACATATATACTTACATAGACACATTACGGACGAGCGTTTACGAGGACGCTGATGATGAGACTTGCTAAAGATACTGACTTCCTTGCTAAACATACGGACTTCCTAGAGAGCACATCACGGGATCGAGCACGAATATGCGACTGAGTCCTGGGGCGGCCGTCCAAAGCCTCTGAAATAAACTACTGCCTGTAGCATGCTCTGACGTGTCTTAAAGCTTCAGGTCGACCTGCCGCCCTCTCAGGCAGACCCTGTCTATTCTCTTATGCGGGGTTTACGCTACTCGTTTGATATCGCTGTTGCTGACATGCAGCAGGACCGTCAAGGGGCAGCTCTCCGTGTCTCAAACAAAGGTGAGGCACGGAGCTAGCCCATCGGCGACACCCAGACGAGTAAGAGATGCGCCTCCTTTGACCATCTCTCCGAGGAGTCGATACACGGGGCCGATGGGCATTCTCACCCTTGTCTACTTGTAGCGAGCCTTTCTGCCCGTCAGATCACGCTTGGGATTATCGACTATTCAATACCTGTTGCCGCCAAACTCACCCGCCCAATGCACGCTCAGCAGTACTCTCTCCTGGTCGCCGCTGCGATCCTCGCTGTCAGCCAGCAGGTCGCCGGTCTGACCTTCACCAACGTGGAAGCTACCTAGTACATCATGTCTTAAATAAGTATGCGGGGCAGCAAACTGACATGGTAGCTGGTATGACACCACCCCGATTGGGGTCGGGGGAATCTGCGCTGCTAACCGCCGTGAGGTGGCGACTTGGAACGACCCGATTTACAGCAAGACGAACCCGGCCATCCCTGCCTGCGCTAAAGAAGGCGAGACTTACGCGAGCATCAACTCCAACCGGATGATTGGTAAGCTGATCGAGGTGCCGAACCCGACTAGTCTGCGGGTCATGCTGAGGGGCGGAGGGCGATACTGATGACATTAGCGATTCCCAAGGAACTCCTGACCTGGTCCGACAGGACTTTCTGCGGGAAAGAGTAAGTGTCTTCCATGGCCACCTATAAAGCATCGCGGATTTCAGCCCCTCGGCTCGGCGCTCGCTAACAGATCAGAGCCAAGGTCTTTGGACCGGACGGCAAGGAGATCATCTTCAAAGATGGCCCGCTCTTTGCGTATGAGGGGTGTGGCGACTGCAAAGCAAAGAACAGGATCGACTTCTCTGGTAGGTCGCTCTCATGGACGCGGCTTCGCCTTGCGCGCAGCTGCTGATGGGGATATCAGCCCAAGTGTATGCCGAGCTCTGTGGCGGGACGTGCGGCGTCGGGCCTGGGAACAACCCTGTGGGGTTCAGGGTGGAACTTCTGAACAACACCATTTTCTGATGTGCGTGAGCGGTCTACGTACGCCTACTGCCGCAAACGAGCGAGCCCATGAGAAGTCAAGGATGTACATCATATACCATTTGATGGCTTCGGATAGTCATCATCAGTATGCTGACTGCGAAACTGTGGGCGACGGCATAGGTTCTTGAAGTTGGAGCAAACAATCTCATTGAATCTTGATGGGCGCACCCGATCGCCTTTCCAGGTGTGCTCGACGGTGGTGAGCACATGTGTGCATGTCTAGCACTTGCAGCCTGACCAGTCAGCGAAAGGCCTAGCCATGCTCAGACTACCAGTTGCTTCGGAAGAAGCTTACGAGTGAATCCCATATCGATCATGTCCCCATCCTTCATGCCCAGATCTCGAACAGTCAAAACAGGCTCCTGTCAAATCAGCTCATAGTCAGATTGTGCGAGGCGAAGCAGACTCACGCCTGATGCCCTTGACACGAGCAGTTTCGGGGCCTCTTCACAGCCCTCGCGATGCTGGTGCTCAGTGTACTCTGAGCCCTCCAGCGGTATACATAGACCATGGTGGAGGAATCTGCTCGTCAGTGTCAAGCCAGCCTCGGGTGGACTTCACGTCTCATCGCAGATGGCTGACCTTGCTGCCCAGAAGTTCATCTATCGCGGAAGAGCGCTTCGAGGGTTCCGCCGACGCTTTTGCAGAAATCTTCCTCGCAGTAGAGGCCGCTGGTACCGAGGCTTCGGCCCTTTGAGCCGCTGATGCTACGGGTGGCTGGGCGGCTTTGGCGACGACGGTAAGGTCGACAAGGAAACTAGCGTATCAGCCTATTACTTAAGGTATTTTGGTGCAGGTGGAAGAGATCCAGGGATTCCAGCCATCGACCCGAGCGGCGGCGGAGAAAACTGACGTCGGACGGGAGAATTACCTACCCTTCGACCGCATTCTCTGTACCCTGCCTCCAGTTCTACCTTAGCAGCTCTCCGAGGGTCGTGGACGAGTTGACTTCTAATTTGACTTCGGCCGTCTGGTCTTTCGCACGCACCTCGACACATCAGCTCACATTCGACGTCCAAGGACTGTATCGTATCGCTTACTAGTGCGGTCAATTGGCCAGCCTCCGAGGGTGGCATGATATGGATAGCTGGTCCAGACAATGTATTGGTGCGAGGGAGCGTACGCGCTTTCGCAAGAAATCAAGCACGAAATCTCGCTGGGCAAACTGTACGTAAAGCTCGTCTTGCTAGCTTGCTGCCTCTTGCTGCCATCAGCAGAGCGGCTGCACTCTATCGAGGCTCCTGCTTCCCTCGCTGGGGGTCTGCAGTGCCAGAGGAGGTAGCTCCACGAGACTCATAGCCAAGGAATTGATATCTTCACCCGCACATCTATAAAATCGTAAAACCCAGATCGACTGTCTTCTTCTCGGACACTTTAGCCCCATCCGCCCATCCGCCCACTTCTGTTTGGGTCCTCAGGTCATCACTCTCGCACATCCAACAATTTGACAAGCAGAAACGCCGCTGCTGCCGCCAGACCACCCACAAACATCGTCGAAGTCGCTCCGTATAGGTACCCGCCAAAGCCGCCTTGTGCGCCGCTATAACGTCAGCTTGTGCTCAATCTCCCCTCGCACTGGCCTAGTAGCGGCATAGACCTACGTGAAGTACGTCTTGAAGGCGCCAAAGATGAAGAGCACGACGCCGGTGACGCAGCTCGAGATGATGAGGCCGGTCTGAGCGGTCACATTCGCCATGTAGGGAATGAGCGGGATGAGGCCGCCGAGGAAGTAGGAGAGACCGATAGTCAGGGCGGATATGTACAGTCTGGACGGCGGGACTTCCTCTGTCCGAGTTAGCTCTTTCCAGAATAACCACATCCGAAATGGAAAGCTCACCCATCCCCTCCCCAAACTTGAGAAGGAACGCCGTCAAACCCATATCTTCATCCCCCTTCTCCCCCTCCCCTGCCTGCTCCAACAAACTCTCCCTCTCTTCTGCCCCAGTGACCTTCTTCCACCCAAACCACCCTCTCTTCTCCTTCTTGCCGCTCGAGCTCCCGCTTCCTTCCCTCGCACGCATGACCCCCTCCGTCGCAGATCCATAATCGGCCGCACCGCCAATGTAGAGCTGATCCTCCACGCCCCGGAGGTCCTCTGCGACGAGACGCGAGAGGGTCTCTTTGACGCCCAAGGGACCGAGGATGGAGTGGACTTCCCGCTCCATTTCGCCAGAGCAGGAACGGAGGACTCGGGCTTGGGTTTGACGGCGGAGGTAGTGGAAGTGGTCGAGCTCAGCTTGGGAGGCGACTGAGATGTCAGCTACGCCCAGCATACCGCATGCGGGGAACATGGTAGCTCACGATATCCGCCAAGACCCATACTGATGGCTCCAGCGCAAAGCTCAGCCAATCCACCAGTGACGACCAGCTTGCTGGACCCAAGGCTCGACAGCCCAGCCGTAAGCGCAAAGGGCACCGTCAACCCGTCCGACAGGCCGATGATCCTAGATCATCAGCACTCAGCCCCGCAAACCCTCTTTCCCTTGCATCTAAACTCACACATCCCGCACAATCTCCGGACTGATCAATCTACGCTCATCCTCCCCCTTCAAATCCTTACAACACTGATGCCCCTCCCTCTCGTCCGCGCCGCACTTCTTCGCGAGGGGCTGAACGTCGCCCAAGATCTCCTGGAGCTGCTCCTCGCGCTCAGCGGGGCGACTCGGGGAGGCCGACCGCGCGCTGGCCGAGCCGGAGGGGGCCTGGAGAGACCAAACGTCCCCCGAAGCGGTGGCGGCTTTCGGGCCGCGCTTGAGAGGCACGGCAGTACCAGTGGATTGAGAGCCACAGGCACAGTTCTCGCAGGCCATCTTGTCGTGTAGAAGTGTATGAGTAAGTCGGGAAGTATAGATGATTGATAAGAGGTGAAGGTAAAAGAAGAATGGAGGATTTTTTACCGCCGCTAGCTCAGCACGCCATTTGTATTCGGCCGAAGAAGGGTCATTACGGCATGCTACTGATTAGATATGCCTCCGACCTCATTCGCCTGCCGTCAGGCCATGTCTGCCAGAGGCCATCGAGGCTTCCTGGTCATCCCAGCTGCCTGTAGCACGCTCTCGCGATAATCATAAAGTCGAAAGTGCATGGGGGGTCATATTCGGGGCATGATGATCTACGTACTCTAATCTACTCGTGAAGCAATGCTATTCTATAGCTACAAGACACAACCTGCTTACAGCCCAAAAGAACTCCCTCACACTCTCCCTTGTACCCGCCACCTCTCGCATATGCCCGCTTGGGTCCGTGTGCACCGCTCCATCCAATACCTCCGCCTGTCCCCTCTGTGATCAAGCTCCTCCGTCTGGCCCCATCCCCCTGAGACGCACCCTACTCCTGGCTGAAGTTGAAGAGCGCCGCCCAGTCCTCCCCCGCGCCCAGATCCAACCCATCCCCACCTCCCACCTGTCCTTTTTGCGCCTGCCCCTGCCCCTCCAAAGGCTGCAAGGGAGGCATCCCAAACACCTCCCCTTCCTGCGGAATCACCTCGTTCATCATCGCGTACAGCTCGTCCCACGCCGCCTGGTCCATCCCGCTCTCATTAAGCGCCTTGGTGATATCCTCCATCGACACTTCTCCCTCTGGCACCTGCTGCGTGTCTGCTCCGAAACTAAATGGCGCATCCAGCCCCTCCATGCCTACGCCAAGTCCAACGACGCCCACGCCCGATTCCGAAGCGGCGGCACTATCGCTGCCTTCCCGTCCCTCCTGGATCGGCGTAAAGCTGTTCCGGAGCCCGCTCTTATTCTTCTCTGGCGTCAAGCGCACGGGCACGCCATTACTGTCGGTCGGACTCGGTCCGAAGAGGGATGATGGCGAAAAGTCCGGGCTGGACATGAGGAGGCTGGCGATTCCCCCGCCTTGCGCGTTGGCATGGGGGCCGAGGACGTGGTAGTTGGCCGCACCGGGTATGAAGGGCGGCGATGAGGGCGGGAGGGCGGAAAAGTCAAAGTTGGACCGAGGGGATGAGGGTCCGGGGGCAGTGGAAGTAGGGTAGAAGCCAGAGAGGGGGTCGGTATCTGACGGAGCATGACCGTGGCCGTGACCATGGGACCGAGGGATGTGTTTCCGTGGTGACCGCCGAAGTGGCTGCTGGTGCCCATGGTGAGAGCCCTCGGCCTTGTCATTCCGCTGCTCGAACGCCTCAAAGTCAAATAGGGTCGAATGATCCGTGTCCCAATTCCCAGCAATCTGGAACTGGTCTTCCGACTGCGGGAGCTGGAGCGACTGGATCCCGCTCTGGGTATTGAAGCCTCTGCTGCCCGATGCGGGCTGAGCGGCCGAGCTGGCAACAGGCTCGAACGCCTCGCTGGCGGTAACAGCGCGAGCATCCGGGTTGACCCATCCGCCAGGGGACGAAGCGACTTGGTTCCCCTGCGGATTCTTCCAGCTGGCGTTACGCATAGTCTTTGCGCGCGTGCTCTGGGCGGGAGAGGTAGCGGGTGCGGGGGCGGGGGCGTTGCGAGCGGGATTGAGGTTCGACCGGACTGCCGGGGTAGTGGAGGATGGTCGACGCGAGGCAATGCGTTTCGCATCCTCCTCGACGACGGCTGAGAGGGTGCGCTTGAACGTGGCAGTGCTGGAGCTAGCAGACCCTGCTTTTCCCTTGCCAGCAGCGGCGGCGGCGCGGGCGGTGAGGTGGATAGGGGGGTTGCGGGGTATAATGGGTTTGGGGTTTGTCGACCGTGGTCGCTCCGTAACATCGTCGTCGACCGCGGACCAGAGTGCAGGCGGACGCATCTCTTTCCTCTGGTTCCAGTAAAGCCCGCACGCTGGCACGTCAGCCAAATCCGCCAATCGCAATTCCTCTGACTCACCATTGCACACCCTGACCGCCGACCCATCCTCCATCGTCCTACTCCTCCAAACACTGCTCTTCGTCCTCCCACAATTATAACACTTGTTCTCCCCAGTCCCACACTCATCCCCATGATCGTGCTTCACCCTCTTGGCCGCCGTCGCCGTCGCAATCTGCTGCTCCTTTTTCGTGGCAGCATCCACAATCGGCTGCCCCGCCGTTTTTTCCAACAGATCCAGGAACGCCGGGGATGCGAGGAGCCGGTTCACCTGGTCCTTGGTCAGACTGGAGGGGTTGTTGTAGATCGCGGCGGGGATAGAGGGGATCATGAATTTAGGATCGTGCGAGTCGTCCCTGACCGCGCGGTGGATACTGTCAGCCGAGGAGTTGGTGCTGATATTGGCGAGCGCGCGGTCATCTGCCGCTGTGGCTTTCCGCTTCTTGCTGCCGCTGCTGCTTGCGACGCGGGTCTTGCGGGAGGAGGAAGACGCGGCGGGGGTGGAGCTGGGTTGAGCAGGCGCAGAGTGGGTGTGGGGGACCGTAGGTCGCGAAAGGATACGCGTCGACGTTGAAGCGCGCACGAGTGTTGGCTGGACGGTCTGACTCGGCGTCATCTCCCGCTTGACCTGGAATGGGACTTCAGAAAGGACGGACGCCTCCCTGTCCCCTCTGTTTCCCATAGGCACCGGCGTCCCCGCCCTCGCGCCCTGACCACCCAATGGACCCGTCATCGGTCCCCCTTGCGGCCTCATCGAAATGTTCACCTCTAATCCCCAACATCCCTCTCCATCCGCGATCATCAGCGCCTCCAGCGCGTCCATCCCTTCCACCTGCGCCGCGCCAACCGCCGCAAACTCCATAGACTGGATGAGTCTGCCGGTAATGAGGTTCTTCCCCTGTCCCGGCTCCGCCAATGCCCAGCTAACAAGGCCCTTTCCGGACCACACTTCCGCCGACGCCGAGCCGGGAGGCGGTGGCGAGGAACCACACGCGGGCGAAGAGGCGCGGTCCGAGCGGAGATGTAATGGGATGTTGGCGTTTCGCTGTCTGCGCAGAAAAGTTTCGCGCGCATCCAGGACGTAGAGAGATCTGTCGGGTGTGGAGGAGTCGAAAGGGTGTAGTTCGGGACTGAGAGTCAGCTAGTCCCCCAAATGCCGAAGTAGAGACGCGTACCTAGCGAGCATCACGCCTTGGACTACAGCCTTGAGCGGGATAGAACCCCACGTCTCATCCTCCCCATCCTTGACCTTGGACGCCGCCTTGACATGCACGTAGACCTGCTGCGGCGCGGGGAAGAGCGCAGTGAAGCAGGATGAAGAGGACGGGAGGTGATAATTGACCAGTACTGCAGGTCAGCTTGGACCCGTTTCGGTAGCTCAGGTGACGCGACTGGTGCGACCAGCACGGGTAAAGCTAACCAGGTAAGGCATGGATCTTGTTGGACGAAGGGATGTTGACCATCGTGTCGGCGTCGGAGAGATGGGTATGAAGTGTTACAAGCGGTGAAGTCGACCTGCACGCGACCGAGCGTTTGTAGGGTGAGGGAAGGGAAGGAACACGTCGAGAAAGGGCGAGTCGTCGTTATTTCTGAATCATGAAAAGCTGCTTGGGCGAGGAGAGTATAGCGGCGCAGTACCCGGCAGAGGCAAGAGGCGGGTCAAGCTGAATGAATGTAGTGTATAGGAAGTAGCTTGAAAGAATGAAGAATGATAGAGGCTAGACGACTGATTCAGGAGTTGACACCGCCCTGCCTTTGGCCCGTGAAATCAACAAAGTCAAGGGTCCACGCCCGGTGGCGTTAGACATATCAGTCGCGTCATACCTTGCTATACCTCCGACGCTTAATGCATACTGCTTGAGTCGAGATGCATGCGAGCTGCCAGAGACAGAACAGGTGCCCTTGAGGCGTAGCTAAGTGTGCTCCGTGGTGCTTGCATACTCTGATTTACTCTACTAGAACTCATAGTATTGACTTCTCCAGTCTTCACGATAATCTCCTCCCTCCAAAGCCCTGCTTATCCGAATGTACTTCTTGAGTGCTACTTACTGCCGCCTTCTCCTGCTATGAATCAACCCCCAACCCCCTTACTGAATCTATGGCACCAGCACTATCTATTCGTGCTCGGGAGGACCGACCGAGATACCCAGATCGCGCAGGCGACCCGACTTGATGTCGTAAACCTGAAGATCAGCTCCCATCCATCTGGCTAATGGCTACAGTCTCCCTTAGCCCGCTCAATCCCCTCGAACGCGTCTGACCCCGAAGTTGTCACTCACCCATCCATGCACCCACACCTTCTTGCCCTCCCCTCTCCCCGCCCTCGCCCAACTATTCCGCATAGCCTCGCTAGCCACCACGTTCCGCACTCCGACCTTGACGTTCTCCTCTATCAGCTTATCGACGGTACACGTGCCCTCGAGGCTGTGGCGGAGGGTCACGATGGGTTCGATGAACCGCATAAGGGGTGTATCCGAGGTGTCGTTCTCTTCGAATTTGGGATTGGGGAGACCGTGGGCGACAACGCAGCCGCCGCAGCCCGAATGGCCGCAGACGATAACTGAGGGTCAGCGGGGCCTTTCACCAGTAGATGGAATAGATGATAGGTGAGAAGGCAGGAGAAGAGCGACATACCGTGTTCAACGCCGACCGGACCGACGGCATACTCGAGCAGACCGTTGGCAGAATCATCATCTGGCCGGAACTGGTTGGCGACGTTTCGCTGATCTGTCAGCTATGTCCTCTTGATCCTAAGTGAGAGTGTGAAGAGAGCAGCTCACCAGAACGAACACCTCTCCGGGGTTCCGAGCCAAAATGACGCTCTCCGGGACTCGAGAGTCGGCACAGCCAATCCAGAGGATCTTGGGAGCCTAGGCTATCAGCATCTGCTCCTATCCAGCACCTCAACGACAGCTCGATAGCTACATCGCTTACTCAGCTGTCCCGAGATGCCCGCGAGGCAGTCATCCAACTCACTTGTCCTTTCGACAACGTCTCGAGCAACTCTGGCTCCCTTGCCTTGATCTCCCCCGCCCACTTCTCATTCGCAGCCATCAGCTCCTGCAGCTGCGGGAACTGATCCAGGACCTGATGTCCCGGTCGCTGGAGCTGCGCCTGTGGCTCCGTGTGTGAGTGCGAGTGCGCCATCTCGTTATCCGGCTCGAGGGTATGGCTAGTTGTAGAGATGTGGCGTGCGTGCGGTCGAGGTGAAGTTCGATTGACGGAGTTCCGCGCTGCCCGTGCAGACCTTGATGTGGACGACGAGCCTGACGACCAAGCGGTATGGTCTGGGCGAAAGGCGGGGCGGGCAATCAATCCGGAGATGGGCCTAGCTCGCCCGAGATGAGGCTGTGCCTGAGGACGAGCGGGGAGGTGGAGGTGCGTGCACTTGATCCGCAAGATCAGGTCGAGGACGCTGTTCCCGCCAAGCTGAGCGAGTCTGGGCGGAATGGTGAGGAGTGTCTAGGTGTGCAGGTGAGATGAAGACGGGAGCGAGACGAGCTGCAATGGGGACAGTACGAGACAAAGCTACATAGACTCGAAATGGGTGGTCGCCGAGGCTGGCTTATCGGTCTTACTCGGTCCAGTCCCTCCCCATTCCCCAAGGAGAGATTTTAAGCTTTGGCTTTGCTTCCGACGGAGTGCCGCACGGAGGAATGTGGGACGGATCTCGATCACACGGATGAGGGAATCCTTATCGCAGCGGGTCGCAAGCTTCGCCTTTCAACTCTGCCCCTTGGCTTTGACGCGGTCCGTAGGATAACCCAGCAGCTGTATCACAGCTGACATGAGTAAGCCAATGTTGGTTTGTCCAACTGCTCAATTGCCCACCACAGAAGCACGTCAAGCCTCGCGTGGTGGCGAGGAGTGCCGAAGTGCGACCGCAGTCGTCTTCCGGCATGGCATGTCATCATCACCAAGTATGACGATCTGTAGGCCGCAAGACCTCCAGCTCACATGCAGTAGTGGGCACTGATGTAGATGACGGAAAACAAGAGGTTGATGCGTCCCGCCCGCGACCCTCGGTCCTCGGACCGACCGTATTAGCCGATCTATCTTCAACCTCGCCCCGCTCTCAACGGTCTTCAAACAAGGCACTGACGGCGCCCCGTGCCTCATCAGAGGTCATATATAGCCGGATTGACCTGCTAAGCAAACATGCTAACCACTCTCTAGGGGAAATGGCTCGCCTTCAAGTCCGGTTGTTCAGCTGACAGCGGACCCCAGCCCCTTCGTCAAGGAACGATAACCCTCAAAGCAAGCTTCAAAAGGAGAGAATGCACATCAGAACCTCAAAACAATGAGAAGGGAACCCTGAAACGTGCTGACAGGCTCAAAGGGAGCACAACACTTCAAGGGGTAATCGGCTAATCACCCGTTTCATGCTGTTTCACGTGATGGCCCTGGTATATCCAGCCCCTTTGATGGATCTGGGGTCGGGATACCGTTGTAGGGCTCACTTATATAGGAGATGGCTGACCGGTCATTCTCCCGCACCCTCCATCGAGGCATTTTCCTCTCCAGCTTTCTCACCATCTCACCCCTTAAGCTTTCTTACCCTTATCCTCTACTTCTCTCCTCCACACAAAGCCGCCGGTCGGTCAATCATATCGGATCGCCCGCACCTCACGTATCATCGCATCGAGCCCGCCTCATCGCCAGACACCACTCCTCGCCGACCAGCTCTCCCTCGTGCCGTTCCCCACCTGTCCGACTCTGACGCAATGTCGGCTCCCATCTCCCTCCTCACCGCGGCTCTCTTTCTCCTCGCTCGTGCTCCGACCTCCACCGCGCATATGGCGGTCTGGCACCCATCGGTATATGGTTTTACACAGCCATACCAGCCTGTTACTCCTTTGTCGGGACAGCCATTCTCCAAATGGGTGAGTGAAGCGCTCGGTAGACCTTACCGGATCGCGATCTCGCGCATCCCCACTTGCTCTCACTTACCCTTCCTCAACTTCTCCCTCTCCCATAAGGCATGTATCCTTTGCTCATGCTGACGTACCAGTGGTTTCACGGTAACGCCAACGACAAGCCTTCCGAGGTCATGACAATCACCGCTGGCCAACCCCTCACCGTCGAGATTTCCTGCCGCAAAGAACACTCTTCCTACGGGGACCAAACCTCCACCGACGCCTGTCCGGTCGATTCGGGCGCCTACCACGCCGGCGGTACCACCAACTCCAAGACCGGCTGGACCGGCAACTCCGAGGCCCAACTCATGGGCTGTGCCCTCGCCATCGCCCCTACTGCCAACGCGGCCTCCACCAAACCTGAAGACTTTACCATCATGTCTGTCCTCGAGAACTGCGTCCGGCAGAGGGACACCACCTTTGACATTCCCGCCAATCTCCCGTCGTGCCCGGGGGGAGAATGCACGTGCGCGTGGTTCTGGCAGGGCCGGAATAGCCAGGACGAGATGTACATGGTGGGATTTAGGTGCAAGGTGGAGGGTGGGGTGGCGGTGCCGTTCCCGAAGCCGGCGCCGCCGCGGAGGGGCAAGATATCGGGCCCGACCCAGCCGGTTTATTGGGCGAACGATAAATCCAATCTGGACTATGTACCGGACTACGAAAGTAGGCCGTCGTATAATTCCAAGTTTGGCTGGACGGACGGCGCGCAGACGTCGGCGTTTGGTGAGGGAGGTGGAGCGGCGCCGGCTGGGAACTCTACGAGTCAGCCAGAGGCGGAAGGCGGAGATGGAGATGGAGATCAAGGGGAAGGTGCAGAGGGAGACACCGAGGATGAGGAGAAGGAGGAGGAGGCGACGAACACCAGTACTCGCCGTGGCCGACCGACCGGCGGATACGGCGGGAACAAGGGAGGCCAAAGACCCTCGCCTGTGCCCGAGGGCGGTGATGGAGAGGGACTGGGCGATACCCAGAATTTGGCCGCCGTCAGTGGCGGCGACAAGACTGCTGTAGCTCCTCAGGAGACTGGCTACATGGGTGGAGGCGGCAAGGCAGGCTGTAAGAAGCACAAAGAGACAAAGAGGAAGAGGAGGAGCAGGACCTTCTAGGACAAACGAGCGGTTGGCCTAGCGAGGAGATGGTGTGTCCAGACGGAAGACGGAAGGAGAGAGAGGAAGTCCCATAGAAGCCCACAAGGTAGCAATTCCCTGGCGGAATGCACTGGATTTTGTCGGCTCTGGCTTGAATCAGTACAAATCAGCAACCCCAGCGCATTCAGCATCAGACCCAAATCAAGTGCAATGCAACACGCTCTATATCTCCTCCTTCCTCAGCCTGACCTCTCAGAACCAGGCTACTGCTTCTTCTTCACCACCTCCGTCAACTCGGGTAATGTCCCCTCAATGGCCTTCGCAGCACCCTCCACCGCCTCCTTGGCTATCCGTGCCGCCTCCTCCGCGCGACGCTTCACTCTCCTATCTTCACCACGGGTGACAATCTCCGCTGGGGCCAAATCGGCAAAGAGGGCTTTGCAGCCCTTCTCCATCGCCCAGCAGAGACCAAAGTCGAGGACCATGGCGAGAGAGAGCCGGATTTTGAACTGTTGGATATCAGCTCATTTCCTTCTCGAATTGAGAACACTGGAAGCTAGCTGGACATACCATCATGGACATGGGGACGAGCTGGAGCCAGCTGTTGAGCTCAGGAACAAACTCGGTCGCTCCGCAGTATGCGACAGCAGAGGCGCCGAGGAGACCGTAGTACAATGGCGGGTTCTCGCGAATACCTTCCCGGAATGGCCGGCCCTGCTACGTCAGCTTGTTGTGTTTGTACGTCGGGCCACACATGAGAACTGACCTGGAAATTGAGGACGAACGTCGAGACCTGCTGACTGAGACCCAAGAGGTAAATGGCGGTGTTGAGCAGAGTCGGCTCAAACTTCTTGTCAAGATCGATCTCCCCACGGCTGGATTGTCAGCTTACCCTGCCTGCGAAGGCCAGGTGGCAGAGTACTCACGACTCGAGTGACTTGGATAGTCCAGTGATATACACCAGCGCAATGATATGTACCGCAAACTGCAGTAACACCGAAAGCAGAACGTAGAAGTTGAAGATGTTCCCGAGCGGACGTTCGCGGGAGAGCTTCTCGACAGGCTACGATTTCAGCTATGGGCCCGAGCAGACACCCGGGAAAGGCAGCTAACCTTGGCGCGCGAGATACACAAGAAGCAAACGCTCATCATCATCCCCGTGATCGTAACTTGATAATCCCCAAACTTGATCCCGTCGAGGTACTGGACCGAGAGCGAGTAGGCGGTGATGAGGCAGTTGAGCGCGAGGATCTTATACATCTGGATAGTGGCGACGAGGGTGCAGCGACCTTGACGGATGATGTTGGTGACTGAGGTGTGAGCTTTACGTCCAAACAATGGTGAGTGAGGTCTAGCTCACTGGCAGAGACGTTGGACAGCTTGCTGGTGAACGGAGCGGCGCAAGACGCATCTCCAAGCTTGATTTGCGGGACCTCGGTTTCCTCATCCATCTCGGACAACTTGGCCGTGATCGTAGTCATGTCAAACTAATCCGTCAGCTTCAAGCCCATCTTCTCCATCTCTTTTAGCTCACCTTATCCAGCGGACTCGTCTTCTTCGCGATCTTATGATCCGCAGCCACCTTCTCCTGCGTCTTGACCAGCTCCGGGTACGCCTCCCTCAACATCGGTGGCGGGGCCGGCGGGGGCTGGTTGAATCGAGCCGACAATCGCACCTGCTGCTCATACACCTTCTTCATCCGCTCCAACTTCTGGTGTTCCGCAATCTTCTTGAGATCATCCGCCGTCCCCTCGAGGAGGGCGACACCGATATGCGCGGCTTTAAGGGCGCCGACATCGTTCGTACCGTCTCCGGCCATGAGGGTCGTGTAACCCAGATCTCGGAGGGTGTGGAGGATGAATTCCTTCTGGTTGGGCGAGACTCGGGCGTATACCCAGGTATGCTGCGCGAGGAGAGGCCAGGTGGGGAGGGGTTCGAATTGTTTCAGTGCGGCACCGGTTATGCAGATATCGAAGTTGGCGAGAATGTCGGCGTCGAGGGGTTCGGAAGGGTTGCAGGGGATGATCTTGGTTTCTTCAACGTTGCGCCACGCGAGTTCTGCTGTGTAAGCTAAATGCCGTGTCGACCGCGTCTGCAATAGCTCACCATCTGTGGTTGTCCCCTCCTTGAGATCCAAGATCATCGCGTCCCGGTCCATGATCTCGACATCCTTGGCGACATGGACAGCAGTAAGCGGATTATCGCCGGTGATCATGATACACTAAGGGTCAGCTATGTCCATGTGGGTAACGAAACACTAACTCACCCTGTGCGACGAGTCATTGAGCATCTTGAGCGTCTCGACAGCGTCCTCCTTGAGCGGACAGTGGAACACCAAGAAACCCGCAAAAGTCAGATTACACTCGACATCGCCTCGGGGTGTAGTGTTGATCTACTCCGTAAGCTATTGTCTCCTTGTAGCGGACTTGCCAGCTCACCTTCTCCTGCTGGATGTTCATGACCTTGGTACCGAGCGCCAACACCCGACTTCCTCTACGGGTATACCACCGGTACGTCTCGTCATACCATTCCGGCACATCCACGTACATGCCCTTGAGCGTCTCTGGCGCGCCCTTCACCGCGGCGATCCACTTGCGGCCTTGGGTGTCGGTGACGGCCGAAATGGTAGACATGCGCTTAAGAGCGGAAGAGAATTGGTACCGTCTGCGAACGTGGACCTGGGACCGGTGGGGTGCGTCTTTTGCGTTGGGGGAGATCTGGTCGCCTGAGGACGTCAGCTTGCTGCTTTGTTATCGGTAGGGGCAGGACAGCTCACCTTTGGACAACTTCCAGTCGAGAGCGCTGAGAGTGGTCTTCTCCATCGGATCACCAACGACCGTACCATCCTCCAGCAGGACAAGCGCATGGGCAGCAGCGAGGGTCAAGGTAGTCTCGCGACCAGTCTTGACGACCGGAGTGAGCTTCTTCGGGTCGCTCGGGCTGATTCGTCAGTTTCACGCTCTTAGGCAACTCGACACAGCCGGTAACTCACTCTACACCAGCCACACCCTCCACAACCAGATCCGTTCCCGTGATCGTCCCGGTCTTGTCGAAGCAACACACGTCCACCCGACCCGCAAACGGAATCCGGAATGGCTCTGTGCAGAAGATGGCGTATTTCTGGAGGGCGACGAGCGAGGCATTGACGGCAAGCGAGAGCTCCATGGGAAGTTCTGGAGGGACGACCGAGGTGATGATGAGGATACAGTCGAGGAGGAGTTTGCCCTTCTTCATACCTCGCTCGAGTCCTGGACTATCAGCTTATCCCCAGCTCGAAGAGATTCAATCAGCTCACCCTTGACCCAGACGTAAGCCGAAGCGGCAATAGCGAAGATGAGCAAGAAACCGATAAAGAGGAAACTCTCAAAGTTGTTGGCCGACATCCGTTCGGTTGAGAAGATCATGGTGCGGACGAGTTGACCTTGGGTTGTGCCGAAGCCGGTACGAAGAACGATAGCCAGGCATCCGTCATCAGGGGCTGTTTGTCAGCTTTCTGCCCGCCACGGATCGGATCGAACAGCTCAGCTCACTCTTCAGGCTTCCCTCGCTAGACTTCTCCACCTGCAACGCCTTGGTTCCGCTGAACAAGACCGAATTCCTGTCGCTCCCATTCATGTCCAGGTTGTCCGTCCCGTCCCTTAGCTCCACGCTTTCCTTCAAGAGCGGAGTCGATTCGCCGGAAAGCATGGCTTCATTGACGATGGCGGTACCGCTGAGAAGGAGGAGATCGCAGGGAATGCCGGATTCGGGCTTGGTGCGGACTGTAAATGTCAGCTTGGCCAGATGCAGACAATGTAAGCAGGGCAACTCACGGACGGAGACAAGATCACCGGGGACAAGCTCGGACGAGACGACCTCGGACCACCTGCCGTCTCGGTAGACCTGTACGGGGTACGGCGTGATGCTCATCGTCCGGAACTCGGTAAGGGTCTTGACTCGCTAACCGGTAAGCCGAGTCTGCCTGTCGATGCAACCTCTTTAGCTCACCTGGAAGACGACAGTGCACTCGAAGACAACCAGCATAAACGCCGTGAACAGCGAGTAGTACCAGTACTCGTCCAAGCACCAGAGCGCCACGCAGAACATCTGGAAAACGAAGAATGGCGCCACAGCGTGCTCAGCGAACAGCTCGGTGAACTTTGGAATGGGGATGTGGCATTCGTTCGGTCCGTACGTCGCCTTGAGGGATTGAAGGTCGGGCGCGGACGGACCTCCAGCCGCTGCGGCCGCCTTGGCGGCGGACGAGGGGTAGGTGACGATCCCGCGGGACTTTTGGAAGGTCTCCAGGGAGGGAGAGGCGTCGCATGGGTATGGAATGAGGGTGAAGAGGTTGGTATCGGCTGAGAGTTCAGCTCGGTCTCCAACAATGTGAAGGCGAATGGTAGCTGACGGTCAAGGACATAGGTATCTCTTTGGTAAATGAAAGAGTAGGTCGGCTTGTCCGCGCCAGGTGCCTGAATGTCAGCTACAGCGATGAAGGTCAGTAAATAGGTCAGTACATGCTAGCTCACCCATTTCGAGTCCAGAGGTACCATTTCGCCCTTCCCCTTGCCCTTCTTGGGCATGACCCGGACCTTGGAAGCATTCTTCAACGAAGTAGCCTGCACGCCGTGAGCTCGTGCTCGGCCTCTCACTATGAAGCAGATCCTAGCTCACAGTCTTGTATGCGATTCTCGAGTTGACCCGCGTGCTCCAAGCGGTGATCAAGAAGCTGAGCGCATGACCACCGAAGAGGAGGACACAGTAAATGAAGGTCCATTCCTCCGACTTGATCCAGGTTTCGTATTTGTGATAGTAGGCATAGTAGAGGACAGGGTAAAGGGCTATCTGGTCAGCTATAATAGGCCATACCTCCTATTTGGGAGCTCACTGAGGAAGGGAAGACCGTACAGCCGGGCCTGAATCGGGATAGGGTTATGCAGCGAGATGTTCTCGATATCGGCCGATGCTATGGCCGGTCGGGAAGACCTAGAAGTCAGCGCGCGATCAGTCTCAGCTACCTACATCTTGCACAAGGTCCCTATGCTATATTAGCTATAGGAAGGTCGATGTATAAACAACAGTGAGCAAGCGTTGCTGTGGGTGGACCAGAAGTTGTCGAGGTGGAGGCTCGAGCTTAAGTGGGTGGCGGCAACAAAGTGCCACACTCACCTTAACCCCGTTCACCACCCAAGACGCGTGACACGTGGAAGAGGCGCGTCCAGCATTCCTCAGTCCAGCTCCCCGCAGCCGCATTGCATCTATCCTTGCCAAAGGCTACAGCTACTCTACAGCGCTCTCAGGTCATCGCTTCCCGCTAGTACCGCTCGGATCCAAAAGCGGCGCGACTCACCCGCCAAAATGAACATCTTCCGATTCCTGGGCGACCTCTCGCATCTCGCTTCCATCTTCATCCTCCTCCACAAAATCCAGCAATCACGGTCATGTCGAGGTATCTCCTTCAAGACACAACTGCTGTACCTCATCGTCTTCTTGACGCGGTATATCGACCTCTTAACAGGGCCCTATGTCAGCGTGTACAACACGTTGATGAAGCTGTTCTTTATCGGCAGTACGGGGTACACGCTGTATCTGATGCGGGTACGGTATAGGTGAGTCAAGCGACTAGCGGAGGGACGAGCAGGTGCTGCGGTGTAATCTTCCCCGCGTGCGGCTCCATCGCCGCGACCACCGGAGGACAGTGGAAGGACACGTAACGCGGAACACAGAGCGGGGCATCTGACCACAAGCGATACCTAACCCTGCTGAGACCTCCAACCTGAAACGCTTGCTGACTCACAGACCAACCCAAGACGCATCCCTCGACACCTTCAAACTCACTTACCTCATCCCACCCGTCATCTTCCTCGCCCTCGTCTTCAACTACGCCTACACCCCCTTTGAGCTCACCTGGGCCTTCTCCATCTGGCTCGAATCGGTCGCAATCCTGCCGCAGCTCTTCATGCTTCAGCGGACAGGCGAGGCGGAAGCTATCACCACGCACTACCTGGCTGCGCTTGGACTGTACCGGGGTCTGTATATTCCGAACTGGATGTACCGGTGGGTTCAGCTTTGGCTATCTATCATGTCCGCTAATTAGTGGACCAAGCTGATCCTCAGATACTTCACAGAAGGCGCTTTCGACCCCATCGCTGTGGTTGCTGGTCTGATGCAAACTGCAATCTACGCCGACTTCGGTTACATAGTGAGTCTACCCGATCTGCCGGAGACGAAAGGAGCAGCACTGACTCTCGCAGTATGTCACAAAGTCAGCTAAGCGGACCTCAACTCTCTTCAGGACCAAGCTGACAGGACAGAGTACTCCGCGGTCAGAAGTTCGAGCTCCCTGCATAGAACCGCACAGGGCGAAGGGAGAGCGAATGGGACGAGTAGAACCCTGTGCCAAACAAAATTTGCATACATATCTAGATCATTTGGTCGCGGCCCAGGCTGTCGGATCGGCGGCGCTCTCTGATGGTAATTGAGGTCGGCACCGCTTACCACCTTCAAGTCGAAAGCGGTGCTCAGGGCGGATGCCGTGTCTAAGATTTGCGCCGGGGAGCCGGTCGACACACACACACACACGTAGGGCCAAAGGAGGCTGGTGACGCGGTTGTGTGGATTTGCGCCTCATTCCGCAGATGAGCAGCAAACGATTTCTGGGTGGACACTACTCTCGACAATCTCGGGTCTAGGCGTTCAGCTGGAGAAGTGTACAACGGTTCGAAGACTCGCGCTGACGGTCACGTCTCCGCCGTCATGCACCATGGAGGGTCCATAGAGCCAGGTGCCCGGCAATGCCGCTAGCTTCGGCAATCTGCGATGGAGAGATCTGGCTTTTCGGATGTCGAGTCGTTATCTGGTAAAGCCTAGAACCACTATCTCTGCAGTTGATATAGCCTCAATATCCACATCCTAGCATTTTCAATCGGACTCAACGCGATGAGCTCAACATCGACAAAGCAAAAAGTAGTGATTGTCGGAAGTGGGATCTATGGGATCTCCACCGCGCTGTACATGCTCCAAGATGGGGGATACGACGTGACTGTGCTGGACAAGTGCGAAACGCTGCCTGCTCCGGATGCAGCTAGTACAGGTCAGCCTGCTCGTTCGCAACTGTACCATAGCTGATAGACAGATATCAACAAGGCAAGCCAGCTCTAAGTACTGCAGCCGATCTACTTGAAGATAAGACTGACCGCCCAGATCATTCGAGCAGGGGACTATGCGGACCCTCAGCTGTCTAAGCTCGCCATTGAAGCTGTGCACATGTGGAAGCTGCCCGAATGGGAGGGGACATACCATGAGTATGCCCTCTCCGCATTCGATGATCTCGCTTCGAGTCGCACTGACTCCTCAGATCCGGCGTCATGTGCCTCTCGGCCACGTCCAGCTCCTCAGGCACCCACTTCGTAGATCAAGCGTACCAGAACTGCCGGTCCAACGACCTCCCATGCGAAAAGCTCCAGTCCGCTCAGGCCATCCGTGAAGCCTTGGAGGCCCGCACGACCGTACCTGTTGGAGAGTTCGAGGGGAGAGTGGGGTATATGAACCCTACGGGTGGGTGGGCGGAGAGTGGGCGGGCACTGGCGGTTGCGATTGAGCGGGTAAAACGGGACGGTGGGAGAGTGAGGGTAGGGGCAGAGGTGGTGGGTCTGTTGAAAGAGGGGAAGAGGGTCCAGGGGGTGAGGCTGAAAAGTGGGGAGGAGGTCAAGGGGGATCTGGTCTTGGTGAGTGCCCCCGCTCTCTGGGGAACTCATACTGACGGGATAGATTACTGCTGGTGCTTGGTGAGAGCGGTCCTATCCCCGAGATATGGACTGAGCTAAGGCTGATGTGACAGGTCGCCGTCGCTCTGTGCCTCGGAAGGGATCTCCGCACCACTACCAGACGTAGTCGCCACGGGGTGCGTTTCATCTCCTCCCCCTTACAGCATCTTGCGCTGACTGACGGCCCAGACAAAGTCTTGCTACCATCCAGCTCACCCCAGAAGAAGTCGAGCGATACTCAAAGAATCCAGTCGTGCGTTCTTCACCCTGCCTGGATCCTCCGTAAACTAGCTGAGACTCAGATCTTCAACCTCGATAACGGCTTCTACCTATTCCCACCCAACCCCGATGGGCTCATCAAGGTCGCCACCCACGCTGCAGGGTACACAAACCCTATCGGACCCGAATCCTCCTCTTCTTGCGGGGACAAGGAGCCGACCTCGGTACCGCAGACAAAGTTGACGCCTGGGGCGGAGGACGGCAGGATCCCGCGGGAGTCTTTGGCGAGGTTGCGCAAGGGGCTAGGGGAGCATCTGCCGGAGCTGAAGGACCGGGAGTTTGTTTCTAGTCGGCTGTGCTGGTATGTCTATCTCTGCCACTGATTCGATGTTATCACGAAAGGCGGAGCTGATCGTCAGGTATGCGGATACACCGACGGGAGACTGGTTGATCGATTATCACCCAGACTACGAGAACCTCTTTATTGCCTCGGGCGACTCAGGTATGTCATCACAGTCACTCCTGATGCATATGCCGGCGTCAGCACTGAAGTGTAAAGGACACGGCTTCAAGTTTACCCCGAATATCGGACGCGAGATCCTGCACATCATCCAGCGCAAAGGCGATCCCGAGTATACCCGTCGCTGGGCGTTCGGCGGATGTCCCAATAAGGACGCGGATGAGCGATATGGCGTGAGGCAGGTGTTGAAGGCGGAGGAGCTGGCTGGGCCGGAGGATATGAAGGCGTGAGCGGCGGGGTAGGCGGATTGGGGTTTGAGGCCTTGAGGACGAAGGGCCGGGCGACCTTTTGTCGTGGTGATGTACTCTACTGCTCATATCACATTCGAGTGATGGCTTGCGGTATTGAAGATGCGGCGCCGAGAGCTGAGAGCCGTAAGATCCACTCAAACACTTTACCCAGGATGGCTCGTCCCAATGATACAGTGCCGTCCATAGCCCGGCAAAAAGTCAGCAGGCTGCAGCTGTTCCAAAAGTGCCACAAGTGGGGGAATGTGGAGTTCCGCTCGGCGAGCTGGTCGCCGCTCGGACGCGCGGTGCATGCGAAGGCAAGCGAGCAACAAGCGATTACTGTATATAGCACTCACTACACATCTCGCTGATGTAGCTATATCTCCTGATGCCTGCTCCCGTTAGCATTCTGTGACAGCTTTGGACTAGCCAATACAATACCGCACGCTCCGAGGCCCGGACAATCCCCTTGAGCGCTCGAGCCCCCTGCCCATGCACGGGCGCCGTACCTTTCTGATCCACCTCCAGTAGGCAGGTTGCCACACAACATCTCCCCCTTGGCATCGCTTGAATCGCCCTATACACCACGGCTTCACGCCACCTTATAACAAAAAGCCTGCTCGCGCGGATTTTGGGACTGCCAGGTCATTTTCAGTTACCTGCTACGCGGTGGGTCAGGTGCGTGAAGTGGATTCGAGTATTCAGAGAGGCCACATACTGAATCTGTAGGTCTCAAAGGCAACATAGAGGAGTATGGGAGATGTCTGGAGTCTTTCAGGCGAAACGCCGCAAATATGGCATACCACCCTCGGTTCGCCGGCCAACCCGCCACTCCTGCTCCTCCACAGCCTCGTGTCCTGTCATCTCGAATTCACTCCACTCCTCCCTGATCTTCGAGACACCTTCTTCATCATACTCGTCGACCTCCCAGGGCACTCCCGCTCGCCATACCCACCTCTGACAACTACCAACCTCACGCAGACCGTCGACGCGCTGGCATCACTCGTCCGCTCCGTCACGCCAAAGGGAAAGGCGCACGTCGCAGGCATCTCCTACGGCGGCTTCGTCGGTCTAGAGCTCGCTCGGCGGTATCCGGGTGTCGTGATGAGCCTGTTCGTAAGCGGAGCGACACCATTCGCGGGGTTGCAGGCGATGCTTGTGCGATGGCCGCGAGTCCTGTGGAGTGCGGCGGCGATGCTGGTCTATCTGCCAGACGTTGTCGTTGGCGGGCTGTATAGGAGTATAGGAGTCACAGTGTCGGATGAGCTGCGGGCGGAGATGCGGGCAAACTTGAGCGTGGAGCTGCTGAGAACTGGGTATGGGGATGTGGCGGAGATCACGATGAGGGACATCGCGCAGGTGAAGGGAGTACGAACGGCAGTCGTAGCTGGAGGCAAGCAGGATGATGTACCTGCTACGGCGAAGATGGGGAGGGTGTTGAGGGAGGGGAGCGATGGCATGGCGTGTCAGGCGTTCGTCGTGAGGAAGGCGTATCATGGGTGGGATTTGCAGTTCCCGAAGGTTTTTGCGCAGGGGATCACAGCCTGGGTTGAGGAGAGGGCTATGCCCAGCGAATACGAGGAGCTTCTTTGACTTTAGCATGGATACGCTCCCACCATTGCGTTCACTTCAGCGAGGGCGCCGCACGCCTTCTCAATTTCCCAAGAACTTCGACTTGTCCATCTGCAGGGTCACCCCAAACAATGCCTTGTTAAGGTCCTCCATGCTCCGCCAACTCATCCCTCATCCGCTTCCGGCTCCTTCCTACGGAAGTGGTCATCTTTTGCGCATCCCGCTTGGCTTCAACCCATTCATCGTCGCCCGCAGGGAGGACCGCCTCCACCTTCCTCATCGGCCGACGGATCTCGGCCGTTTCGGCCGACCACAATCTCCCCCACTTTAGGTGGCAAATTCGCTCAACTTGCTTCATCTCCTTCCCATTAATTTCAGCTCCAGCATGCAGATTTCTCTCTGCGTATTCGCCCATGGGCACATCGGCGCTACACGTTCCCGTTTCCAGCTCGCTCCTATCTCCACTCTGGCAATATCGGCTTCAGTCGGCTCCTCATTCCGACGATCGTCCACCTTGTTCACGGCATGCGTTGCCGCGCGCCGGTTTTTGCCTGCGGACCAATATGAGCAGCTATATTGGGTCTTGTCGTTGTCTCTATACCTCTTGCTATCCTACTGTGCTGACCGTCCTCGCCCGTGCTCATCTCCCTTCCTGTCTATAGTCCCGTACATCTTCAGCCATCACACGACCACCGTCTAGCGACGCCATCCTCAATTTTCAGCTATCGGATATGCCCGATCCACCTCAGCCCACCCATCCTCTTCCCAACGCCGCCCCCGTCGAGGCTATCCAGCCTGGCCTAGCGGAGGCCTCCTCCCCTCCAGCACCGCTCGAACGGCGCACGTCCCGTCTTGCCAAGCTCGCGCTGACCCGCTCGACCGACGCCCACCCGCCTCATCATGCCCACTTTGACATGCCGGAAGGGGGACCCGGTACACCCGTCGACGCACACCACTATGCGGAATCCCCGCTGCATGAGCCGCATCATCGGCGCGGGTCAGAGAAGAGGCATAAGCCTGTGATTGATATCGAACATGTGCCCGTGGATGATGATCCACGGGATTGGCCAGATAGCAAGAAGAACTTCGTCATGGTGCTGTTGACGGTATCTGTGGTATGTGAATCCATTGGTGAAGCGGAGAAATATGCTGATCAGGCAGCTTGGACCGCTGATCGCACCAAGTATCTACAATCCGGTCATCGACGAGGTGCAGCAAGATCTGAATGCATCTTCAACGCAAATTGGTCTCAGTATCTCAATGTATATCTTGTGAGTGGTATCTCTTCTACACTGCAGGTCTGGCCGCTGACATACAGGTTTCAAGGATGCGTACCAGTCTTGTGGGCATCAATAGCGGAAATCACCGGTCGCAAGATCGTCTACTTGGTATCCTATGCTGTGAGCCACAACCCCTCGGTCATCTCACCACCAGCTGACAATTAGATCTACTTTGTCGGATCTCTTGTCGGATCAAGAGCAAATAGCATGCCACTGTTTATCGTCATGCGCTGTCTGCAAGCGTGTGGCTCTTCAGCTGTCGTAGCTGTCGGTGCGGGCTCTCTGGCGGACATGTTCGAGGTGCATGAGCGGGGACAGAAGCTGGGGGTGTTTTACGGGATGCCACTAGTAGGACCCGCCATTGGTCCGCTCATCGGCGGAGGTCTGGGAAGTGTAAGTGGCTCAGAATGCGGGGACGAAACGAGGCTGACCGTCAGGCATTCGGATGGCGCTCGGCCCTTTATTTCCTCGCTGCCTACGCTGCCGTGGTCGGTCTCCTCTTCCTCGCTTTCCCCGACACCTGGCGCCGAGAACGATCTCGTGTCTATCAAAAAGCAATGGAAGACGCCGTCAAGCGCGCCATCCACAACGACGAGGCCAAAGACAAGAAGCGCGCCCGCAAAATCAGTCGCGGACTATCGTCAACAGCCACTACGCCCCCGACGACAGGTTTCCCTAGTCCCGCTACAAGCAGGAGGGGGAGCATGGTGGATGTGTCTTCTGGAGGTGGCGCCGATGTTGCAGTGGCGGTAGATGAGGAGAAAGGGCAGGTGGTGGTGAAGCGGAAGTGGTGGCAGTTTGGGAAGCCAAAAGTGGAGGAGGAGCATGAGAAGATCAAGCCGGGGTGGAGGGACGTCAACCCTTTCCCGACCATGCTGAGTATCTTCCGTCAGCCAACGAACGCGGTGGTACTCTTTGCTTCTGGTGAGTGTCTCGCATGCAGGAGGATGGTGCAACCTGCTGAAACTGCCAGGTATCCTCTTTGCCGCCCAGTACACCATTGTCTATACGGCCTCGATCACCCTCGCTGCCGCGCCATACTCGTACAACGCCCTCAACATCGGTCTGGTCATCCTCAGCTTTGGCGCGGGAAGTATGGTCGGCTCGATCGGTGGTGGGCGGTACAGCGACATCATCCTGCGCAAGCTGAAGGAACGGAACTGCGGTGTATCTCAACCTGAAGTAAGCCTTTCGCGACTTGGGTTTGGGTGGCAAAGCTGACATGCCAGATGCGCCTCAAGAGCACCATCCCGGCTGTACCCCTCGTGGTTGCCTCCTTCCTCGCTTATGGATGGACAGCGGACCGCAAAGTTCACATTAGCGCTACCGTCGTCACCCTCTTCTTCTGCGGTCTTACCTTGATGTGAGCCATCCCTCGCCCCGCTTGAGACCCGCTGACGGTATAGGATGATCTACGCCTCGACCCTAGCCTACCTTGTCGACTCCAATCCCGGCCGCTCCGCCGGCGCAGTCAGCTGCAATTCGTTCGTTCGTGGCTCGCTCGGCTGTATCCTATCGCAAGTGGCCATTCCGATTCAGAACGCTATTGGGGACGGAGGGCTGTACTCGATAGTGGCCGGCCTTTTGGCGATCAGTACGGCTTGCTTGCTGTTCATTGCCGGTGAGCTTCTCTTTTACGGAGCGATAGACGCGGACGCGGCTGATGAGGTAGCAAACGGAGAGAAGTGGAGACGGCCCGAGCATAGGTGGCCTTGGAACCAGCGGAAAGATGAATCAGTGGGAGATGAGGACGAGGAGAAGGATAGCGCCAGGGATAGCAGTTCTCGAGTGGACAGTCCGGTGGCGGACGTGAAGGCACGTCAGTAGTAGTAGAGATGGGATCATCTTGTAGTAATTAGGAATTTCTTTCGATGTATCGGATCGGATATGTGATCGCACTGTCTCGTGCTCAGGCGCGCACTGCTCGCTCTATGTCGACTTCGTACACAGGCGCCCAGCCGAGCTTCAGGTCAGCGTTGCATGCTTCGCCGAGCGGCTGTATGCTCACGCTTCCTCGCTCACTAGACTCTGCTGAGCATGAGAAGGACAAGCAATGTCAAGCAGGCAGATGCGACAAAATCCCCTCGCCACCCGCCAATGAAATTACCGCTTCGAGCAATTCCACCCTGTTACGGCACTCCCGTTTCCGTCGACGAGCTCGCTGAAAGCACAAACAACTCTTCCCATCTCTATCTCTTGTGCATCCTCCACCTATCCTATCGCTAAGATAACATCAGCCAGCCATGTTCGGAATCATCAGACAATCCGCTCTCCACCCGCCTGCCGCGCCACAAGCTGTTCGGTGCTTCAGCGCCTCCGCTATCCAGCTCAAGAAGCGAGGTGAGTCTCATCAGCGACGCGCCGTTTCCAAGTGAGACCGCAGGTATGCTCGGTCCAGTAGCTGATCAGCCAGACCCTTCCCTCCCGGTCGCACCCAAGAACCCGGCCACACCCTACACCCTCTTCGTCAAGGAGTGGTTCCCCGCCAACAAGGCCCAACACAATGGTCCTGAGGGCAAATTCGACCTCAAGACCATCTCAACCGCAATGAGCAACGCATGGTCCGCCCTCACCGCGAACGACAAGCAAACCTACTCGGACCGGGCCAGGGATCTCAGAAAGACCTTTGACACCGAGTACAAGAAGTGGTACAACGAGCTGGACGCCGAGACGATCAAGTCGATTGAGGCGGCGACGGGGAAGAAGCTGGCACCTCCGGGTGGGAAGAAGGCCAAGCTGCAGGCGCAGAGGGAGAGGCCAGGGAACCCAGGGCAACCCCTTACGGCGTTCTTTGAGTTCATGCGGGAGTTCAGGCAAAGCAATTCGGATGGCAAGGCGGGGAGTGCGGTGGCGAAGGAGGCTGGGGAGGCATGGCGGCAGATGAGCGAGGACGACAAGCAGGTGAGCAGATCATGATCTTCTTACCTACCAGTTATGCCGGAATCATGGCTGTTCTGGCTCCACGGGAACGCGGCTGACGTGATCAGAAATACCGGGATACCGCCGCCGAGAAGAAGGCCAAATACCTCGAATGGCAGAAGACTCTTCAACAGTAAGGCAGGTCGCAGGCATGTGAGGGGCGGTATTGCGGCCGATAGGGGGCGACGCGAAGCCTGGCAGAGCGCACAGGGCGACGGGGCTGCAGGGGATTGGACAAGCGAAGGGGACACGGAAAGGCAGATCTTATAAACCGGCGGCGTAGATGTACAATCGACTTGGTATGTATGATAACTTCTCAACTATGGTAGCTCGGCGCTCTTTTGTGCGATCCTCTTGCTCTGCCCCTTAGGCTCTGAATGCTTGATCCATACCCTTCTGTCCCCAAGGTATGAGGTGGCGGTCATCGCCGGGCAGCGTCGATCCGAGACCTGCCCGTGCCTGAATCGATTGGCTGGTGGGCCGACAAAAGTCAAAATCAATCGCTGCCCCAGGCTTATACCCATCATCAACATCAGCAGCTAGACAGTATAGAAGAGAGTAAAGCTCGTGGAGACCGCTCTCAGATCGCGCGCGCCCCCATACACCAGTCCACCAAAAAGCAGGCCAGCCGAAACACGGAAACGCCCTTTGCCCCATCGCACGTTCGAGGCATCCTCCATCAACCCGAACCCGAAGATACCTGCGTTGCTTGCTCTGAGCCACCCGCTGCGACAGTATGAAGATCACAGAGAAGCTTCAGAAGGCGGAGAGGGAGGGACGGACGTTCTGGAGTTTCGAGTTCTTCCCGCCTAGGACAGCTCAGGTATGTCGAGCTAAATCTCCGATTCAAGTGGGGAAGGTGGTCCGAGCATAGGGCTGGTGATGCGCGATGGAGAACCGCGCGACGAGGGAGAGGCATCGAAGTGGCAAACTTGAGGAGGCAGTGCTGATGTCCGAAGGGTCTGCAGAACCTCTACGATCGGATAGAGCGGATGCGGGGTCTGGGACCAGAGTTCATTGACATCACTTGGTGAGCTGCCACCCATATGACCGAGCTCTGATCAGCGGCTTACTTCCAACAGGGGAGCTGGAGGCAAGAATGCCGACCTCACTTCGTCCCTGGTCCAGGTCTGCCAGGAGACGATCGGGATTGAGTGCTGCATGCACCTGTGCTGTACCGAAAGTAAGCTGGCCTTCAGCTACTAGCAGAGATGATCACAGCTGACCGCTAGTGCCCGCTGAGAAGGTCAAAGAGGCTCTCGTTGTGAGCCTCTTGTCGTGCTTATGTGCTATGCATAGCTGATCGTCCAGAAAGCAAAAGCACACGGCTGCCAAAATATTCTCGCCCTCCGCGGTGACCCCGTTGCGGGTACTTCCACCTGGGAGCCTACACCTGGCGGCTTTCACAACGCCGTCGACCTCGTCAAATACATCCACGAGACCCACCCTGGAGACTTTTGCGTCGCTGTCGCCGGTTTCCCGCAGGGTCATCCCGAATCCCCCGATACGCCAGAAGGACGGAAACAGGAGATCGAATGGCTGAAGACCAAGGTCGAAGCTGGCGCCGACTTCATCTTCACCCAGCTCTTCTACGACACCGAGATCTTCTTTGACTGGGTCCGTCGCGTTCGTGCCGCCGGTATCACCGTCCCCATCATCCCTGGAATCATGCCGATCCAGAACTGGGAAAAATTCCAGAAATGGGTCGACCGCGAGAAGATCATCGTCCCGGACCACTTTTACGAGCAACTCAACCCGATCAAGGGCGATGATGAGAAGGTGCGGCAAGTGGGGACGAAGCTGGTGGGGGATATGTGCAGGGCGATATTGGCGAATGAGGAGGCGGGGATCAAGGGGCTGCACATCTACACGTTGAACCTGGAGAAGGGGGCGAAGATGCTGTTGACGGAATTGGGGCTGGAAGGAAGGAGGGAAGCGATCGCGCCGTTGCCGTGGAGGCCGAGCTTGACTCCGCATAGGCGAGGGGAAACGATCAGGCCGATCTTTTGGGCGAATCGCGTTCAGAGCTATTTGTCGAGAAGTGAGTTGCCATTTGACGTTACATCTTCATACGGACTCAGCTCACTCGTATAGCGGACGACTGGGACGAGTTCCCGAACGGTCGATGGGGTGATTCCCGCTCGCCAGCGTACGGCGATCTTGACGGATACCCGGTCTCAATAGGCATCAACGTGAGTTGCCGTGTTCGCCACGATTCTAGCAGTGGCATTAGCTCATATTTTAGTCCAAAGACGCACAAGAGCTCTGGGGCACACCTACCACCCCTTCAGACATCTCCGCCCTCTTCGCCCGTTTCTGCCGAGGCGAACTCGCCAAGCTTCCGTGGTCCTCTCAACCACCGGCGAGCGAGACGAGCGTCATCCAGGAGAAGTTGACGCGGATGAACGAGATGGGCTACCACACCATCAATAGTCAGCCCGCAGTAGATGGTGTCAGGTCGGATGATAAGGTACACGGATGGGGACCGCCCGGGGGTTACATCTACCAAAAGGTGAGCTAGGTGCAGCTGTTCGCATAGTCGCGACAGGAGAGCGCAGCTGATATTCTAGGCCTACCTAGAGTTCTTCGTCTCGCCCGCACTCCTCTCTCCTCTGATCCGCCGCATTGAGCGGGATCCCCGTATCACCTATTATGCTGTCAACCGCCAAGGCGACCTGCGGACCAACACCCACTCGGAGGGACCGAATGCGGTCACATGGGGTGTCTTCCCAGGGAAGGAGATTGTCCAACCGACCATCGTTGAGGCTATTAGCTTCATCGCCTGGAAGTGAGCTGCCCAGTCTCTAAGCTGCTGAATGTCAAGCCAGGACAAGCATCTAATATTCGTAGGGACGAAGCATTTGAGCTCGGTCTCCAATGGGCTCATCTCTACCCCGAAGGCTCGCCGTCCCGTACTCTCATCGAAGGCGTCATGAACGACTCGTACCTCGTCAACATTGTCGCCAACGACTTTAAGCACGGCGATGCCATCTTTGAGCCCTTCCTTCTCGACACCACGGCGGCGGGCAAGGCGGTAGCGGACGTCACAGCGACTGCCAACGGGGTCGTCAACGGCGTCGTCGGGAGTGTCAAGTCGGCAGCGGGCGGCCTCGGAGGTTTGGTCAATGGGGTGAAGGAGCTGGTAGTCGGGCAAACCAACGGGGTGGCGACAAACGGTCACTGAGCTACTCGGCCCGGTCTCCTCGATCCTTCTTTTCGGGATATCATCGGTCCTCAACGGACTTTACAACACGTTCAACTCGTGCCTTACCTCCTTCATATACACTGCTTCCAGGATACCCAGCATAGGTTTCAACAAACTGCCATACCATATACTTCTATTGTAATTCATTGTAGAGCAAATTAGAAGTCTACAGGGGTATCAACTACCATACAACCATCACCCATGCAACTACTATATTAGCACTGGCACAGCTCACAGCTCGTGCTCAGCATTGGTTGTCAAGGAGACGAGATTCTGCGAATCCGATCGGTCGTCAAGGCAAGTCGTCTTGGTGTGACCGACGTCGACTGGTAACGAGGTGTTCATTACTGATAGCGATCCCCCAAAGGGATCATATAAGTCTGGCAGACATACTGCCCCAGCTCCCCGTGCCCCCATTACCCCTTCGATACAACATCAGTTCCTCCAAATATGCGACGCCGGAGCCCACCATCCCCTATCACCCTCCTCCCAGCCCACATACCCACACCGCGTAAGTACAGCATCCGAAACCTACTCTCCGTCAGTATCGCTGACACCGTAGCTCGAGGAGCGCCCAAGTATCACCTGCCCGTCATGCCCCGCCTCATACCACTCATCGACACCGTCGGACCCCGGCTGCGCATACACGCATTCACGACCGCCCCATCTTCTCTTCCGGTCGGCGGAAAGAGCGAGCCCGCGCGGATGGGCTGCACAACCGTCATCGTCCCGGCGCCAGAACGTGGTACCACACCTCGCAGTGTCCGAGGAAGGGACTACCAGATGTCGAACGATGGAGCGGGAAGGGAGTTTGGGAAGACGGGAGGGGTAGTGAGGGCCAGACCGCCTTGGCTGGCGTCGAGAGGGTTGGAGGAGGCGGCGAGGGCGAGAGCAGACATCGGGGTGCTGGCGCCTTTACAAGAGGCAAGGGTGAGAGGAAGCAAGTGATTGGGAATCGCTGGTAGGCTGTAATTGTATCGCTAGTCAGTAGGCGGATTCTCATATACCGACGGCTGGTCCGCAGCGGCAATCTCGTTGCATCTTCGTCAGCGTGAATGGCTACAATTGATTTGTCGTTCGAAAGTATTAGGGGCAAATCGCCTAATCCTCCAACTCGATCTTGGTGTCGTGGTCTTCGTGCTCGTCACCAGGGATCTTCTCGAGCTAACGGGTCAGCGAGGCGCAACGGCACGCTATGGCTGCGGTGACTCACCACGTCCAGCTCCTCGAGCGACTCTCCGATGATCCTGACTGCCTTCCGGATATCCTCCTCGCTGATCACCAAAGGCGGCGCGAAGCGGATACTACGTCAAGTCAGCCTAGCTCCCCTCTGGTATCAATCTTAGCGGGGTGACTCACATGTTAACGTGCGTAGGCTTAGCCAACAGTCCCTTGCTCTTCATCAACAGGCACAGCTGCCAAGCCGTCCGTCCCTTCTTGGACTGAGACTCGTCAATGACCACACCGTTGAACAGCCCTCGGCCACGGATTGTCTTGATGAGTGGCGATTTGAGGTTGGCGAGTTCTGCACGGAAGATTTCGCCTAGGCGCTGAGAGCGCTCGGCGAGGTTCTCGCGCTCGAGCACTTCGAGGGCGGTGATGGCCACAGCGCAGCCGAGGGGGTTTCTGATGATCAGCTGGGGACAAGTCTTGTCAGATGGCGGTAGCTTACCCTCCGTATGTCGACCCGTGCTCTCCTGGCTTGATGCAGAGCATGATCTCCTTGCTAGCGAGAACACACGAAACGGGGTACACTGGTTGTCAGCTGTGCCTCCTGAGGTTCGCACGTCCAGGTCAACTCACTTCCACCCGAAAGAGCCTTGCCGAGGATGACCATGTCCGGCTTGATACCGTCCCACTCGTAGCAAAGCCTGGGATGTCAGCTTGTGTCCTGGAGCCAATGTCCGTTGTGGCCAGCTCACATCTTTCCTGTCCGGCAGAGTCCGGTCTGGATCTCGTCGCAGATCAAGAGAACGTTGTGCTTCTTGCAGATTTCGGCACATTTGGCGAGGTATCCGTCGTCGGGCACGTAGATACTGCAAAGATCAGTATGACCATCATCCGTGGAGGCCCTAGGACCTGAACAAGCTGCTACTCACCCAGCTTCACCCTGGATCGGCTCCACCAAGAACGCAGCAACATCCTTTCCATGCGCCTCCAGCGCCTTCTCCAGATCCTCTGGCGAGTTGTACCGGATGTGCCCCTTGCCCGCCAGACAAGTAGGTCCCACGCCCTCAAGGAACGGCCCGAAGCCCGTCCGGCTCTCGTCGTCGGTACTCATACTGATAATCCCGATCGTCCGCCCGTGGAAGTTACCCTCGACCGACAAGATCATGGCCTTGCCCGGCGAGATCCCCTTCTTCTCGTAACCCCACTTCCGGGCGAGCTTGAGGGCCGTCTCGACCGCCTCGGCACCGGTGTTCATCGGCAGCACCATGTCAAAGCCAAACATCTCGGTCACCTTCTTGGCGAATGGTCCGAGGCCGGTCGAGTAGAAGGCGCGGGACGAGAGGGTGAGCTTGGAGGCTTGGGTGATAAGGGTTTGGACTGGGAATCAGTATGGCACTGATGTGAGTGAGCGAGGAGGCACGTACGAATGTCGGGGTGGCAGTGACCCTGGTTGACCGCTCTGCGGCGTCAGCATTCTTCTTCATCTACACATGCTAAATAGGCGAGCTCACGAGTAAGCAGCTAGGAAGTCCAGGTACTCATTTCCCTCGGGGTCCCATACGTGAGCTCCCTGTCCACGCTCAAAGCACCTGTGGGTCAGCACCAGGCCTGTATCAAGCCGCCGCAGCACATCTCGAGTGGCTGGATAGGACGTACACAGGCAGAGGGTGGTAGTTGTGCCTACGTCACGTCAGCTTCAGCGCTCTTTGTTCTGACCACAGCGCGAAGCTTGACTCACGCAGAGTACTCGTGTTCCAGCTCCATCACCTCCTTGGTCGATACCTTCCCCTTGGACGGCTTGACGGACTCGCCATTCCCGTTCGCGTTCCCAACACCATTAACGAATTCGTGCGTTGCGATAGGCGCCATCTTGTGTAATGCTGTTCCAATAGGTATGCTGCTCTGGTGATCCGTTACAGATGCTGTATACGATTGATATATACACAAGTTGAGATAGAATGACAATGGAGGGGCAGGTCACAAGTTGAGTCGCCAGCGGCACTGCCAAGTCAAGATCTACAAGATCCGCCCGAAACTCGATCCCGCCTGCACGTGACCTTCCTGAGACATGATCTGCATCGATCTGCCTTCTCTCTGATAGGCCAGATCATCTGAAGCTTACCATTGACCGTACAGGCTCTTTGCGTCAGACAATCGAAGGGATGGCTATGATGCATGAGCAAGAAGAAAGAGGCACACAGATCATGCCCCCTCTCTACCCAATATACTCCTTCTTCCCACGCCCAAACGCTCCTTCTCCCTCTCTCGCATTGGCGGGCTCTCTGACGCCTTTCGCAAGAAATGAAGAGGTACGAGCGGACTCGCTGGCCCGCTAACCTGGCCACTTGGCGCGTCGCCCTGTTTTGGGGTGGTCGGGGACTGGAGTGGAAGGGGACTGAAATAACTGGATGACCGGCTGAGAGGGACGCTGTTGCGCGGTACGGAGCGAGGAAGGGAGCCGCTGATGCTGCGTGGGATATGAGAGTCGCGCATTGGCGTCATGGGGCTGGGAAGTGGCGAAATGATAGACGTGGGCGCTAGAGGGGCCGCGGAAGTAGGCGTGAGGTCGATATGTGCGTTTGCTACCGCCTCATCGTTGTAGGCCGAGTTGGCAGGCACAGAGACCCGCTTGACCGTTGGGGTCGGATAAGCCGTCGTAGTGCCTGGAGGTCCGTACGAGCTAGCACTGCTCTTCCGCATAGGCGTCATCAACGGTGGCAACTTCTCTCCGCCATCTTCAACCGGGGACTGTCCCAGCGCTTCCGCAAAGTGGTCAATAAGGAACCTGGCCTATCAGCTGCCAACTCCGTCCAGCCGTACCAAGCACAGCGGACTCACCTGGACAGCTCCATCCATCCTCCACCCACTCGGACCATGACTGTCCGACTCCTCAATATCCTGCAGAAACACAGCTTGGCCCTCCCGTGCGCGCCGATCCAGTATCGCCCAGACTGATCTTTCCACTCGTCCGTCCCGGCTATATTGACGGGGACAATCGGGACTGACATCTGTACCCGTCAGCTTACCAATCTTGCCTGCACCGAAAATCTCAGCGCCGAACTGACTTTGAGTTTATTGACAATCTTTCCAACGGCCTGGTCCAGCGTGGACTTGGGATCCGCCTCATACCCCTTATCCTCGCTGATCCTGCGCTTTCCGGCGTCCGCGCCAGTCCCAGGTGCAGGACCCATACGAACAGGCAGGCTCGCCTTCCTCGTCCTTATACCATCCGCCAGACTGCCTGGAGTCCTCGACGAGGGATTCGCAGGGCTCCTGATCGCTAGACGGGGTATTCGACTTGCCGTCCCCATCTCGGTTCTCTCCCCCATCCGGCCCGCCGGAGGCGTCATCGCCCCGCTGACCGAGCGCGCCGAGCTTCCGCTTGGTATCCGCACCGCCGCGTTGGACCCTGACGCCGAAAGGCCGCTCCGGACGCTGGTGGAGCTATCGAGGCGCTTTCTCCCTTCATGCGGAGTATGGCTCGAGCTCGAGACGGTTCGATTACGAGAGCTCTCCGTTGTCATCGCGAGCCGGGGGAAGGGGTTCGACGTGGATCGCATCCCCGTGCTATTCGTGCTGAGATTGCTTCGCATGCTTAGGGAAGACATGATCCGCGGTTTGGAAGTGGAGGTAGGTATGGGGATACGCGAGATGTACGGCGACGCGGGCGAGGCGATGGAGGAGATCGTCATATTTTCGGATGAGGCAACGGAAGGGATAGAGGCGGTATCGTCGTCCACGCCATTCGCAGGGGTAGAGGAAGACGTATGGCGAAGCGACGAGGAGAGGTCCGTCCAGATTGCACGGAGGCGCTTCAGGTCAGAAATGACACGTCGGTCATTCTCTACCGCCATCCCCGCTTCTTCCGCCTGCCTCAATACCGCCTGACCTTCCGTTATGTTCTCGTCCTGTCCCTCCGCTACACCACCGGACTCCTTCGAATCGATGACTTCCATCAACCGCCCAAATGCTTCATCGCACGCCTTGCTCCGCGCCGAGAAAGAAGCCAAAGCCTCGAGACGAGGCAAGGATGCCCGTGCGGACGCCAGCTCTTCACCCAGCTTCCGCGTTTCCCGCTTGATCTCGCCGGCCTCCGCAGTCTGCTCTTCACCCTTCTGCTTCGACCTTTGTGTGGCCGAGAGCCCCGATTCAGCTGCGGCTAACACTGCGAGGACAGACTCCACAGTCGCGGCGTCCGGTAGGCGTTGCAGCGACGGAGTGCGCGAGATGGCCGAGCTGGAGGGGAAGACGACATCCGCCAGCCTGAGCGACCGGACCCGCTCTCGGAGATCCTGGATCTGCGACAACTGGGATTCGGCGGCAGGAGCTGCAGAAGCGAGTGACCGGAAAGTACTGCTCGAGGTGGAGCTGGTGGTCCGGATCCGGGGCTCAAGAGAGCCAAAGACGTCCTCCGCGATCGGTGCGACGGGCGTGATGGTGAGAGAGGCCGCCGAAGTTTCGCTTGAAGCAGTTCGGTCGGTCGTGGGAGGTTCGGGCTGGGCCGCTGGGCTGTCGGCGGGATCCGCTTTTCTCTTTTGCTCAGCGAGCATATCAGAAAGAGCAGTGTCGACCCGGGTAGACAGCTCGTTGATATGCTTGCGCACAGCAATGTCGACCGATGGCAGGTCCGCAGAGTATCCGACTGCGGGGGACTGGACGAGAGCGTCGACTGAAACTTCCTCGCTGTTATGGACGGTACCGACGAAAGGGACCCGCTCCGCCAGTCCGCCGATCCAGTCCCTGACTCGGTCTTGCAAGACCTGTCCTCCCTGTTCCCGCTCCGCCCCGATGGCGATGTCCACTGCGGGCCCGGTATCCGAAGCCGCAGGCCGGTCGACCGCGACGTTCCCCGTGGGCCGATTTGTAGATGCCGCTGCTCCATTTTGTATGTCGCGCAGCAGCCCCTCCGCCTCGGTCTCTACCTCCCATACGACCACCCGCTGCTTCTCCATCCTTTCTAGCAGGTCCATTATCCTAGCCACCTCCCTCATGACCTCCTCGGCCTTCCGTACATCCTCCGCCACCTTGTCTATCGAGACACCCGCTGATCGTTCCTGCTTCCCTCTTGCCTCATCCAGCTCGGCCATGGTCGTCCGGAGCTGGACCATGCGATCTTCGCAGCTGAGGAGCTCTCGCCAAAGCTCGACAGCACTCCGACCTCGAGCATCGTGATCGGACATGCCGGCCCTCCACGCCGAAGAGTTTATCGCCTCCCCCAGTCTCCTCCTCAGATCGCTGAATTTCGTCGCTAGATCGTCCGCCCCATCCCGCACCCTCCGAGCAAGCGGCAAGACCTCGAGATCCTCCTTCGCCCGCCGAATCCCCTCCTCCGCCCTCCTGACCAGCCCCAAAGCCTCCTCCGCCCGGTTTCCCGCCTCGACATGAAGCTCATCCGAATACGCAACATCTCCGAGCAATTGGCGTACCGATGTCGGGGGCTGATGGGCGGCTTTATAGCGCATATCGCTCATCTCGAGCAATTGCGCTTGCCGAGTGAGGTCCGGAATCCTTTGCTCGAGACCGGTAATCCATCCCGGAGCGGAGGAGAGCCACTCTTCTTCCTCTGCTCGACCCGGTGGTTGCTCTCCCGAGCGGAACTTTTCCAGCCTGTCCAGTTCGGCAGCCAGACCCGGAATGGCTTCGCCCAGTAGGCGATCCTGCTCTTCCAGCTGCGACCTCGCGGCGGCTAGGCGGGAATACCATCCCACCCCGTCTGACGAGATCGCCAGCTGTTCTTTAGCGCCGGATCGGGCGGTCGAGAGCGTATCGAGGATGTCAGCCGTACTGGCGTCGACGGACGGATAGTCGGCGTGCCGAGGTCGCGGGAAGGACTTGTCGAGAGGCGCAGGGAGACTCGACTCTGCTTCTCGGAGCAAGTGAGCAAGGGTTTCGTGTTGCGCGCTAGAAGCGGGCTGGGCTAGCGATTCTTTCAGCTGGGAAATGACCTGCTGGTTTTGACGCCGAGCCCGAGTGATGGCCTCGTATTGTATCACCGACCTAAATAGTCAGCCATCTGCCGAGCGGACGACGACGCAGTTGTGAGCTTACCGCTCCCTCTGCTCCTCTACCTCCCTGCACCACTCCACCTGCGCCTTGACATCCTCGCACAAAGTCTCCAGATCATCCTGCATATCCAGCAGCTCGTCTGGCAGAGCGCCAGAAACTTCATCATTGCCCTCCTCGATTGATGGTAGAGGACCGTAAAGTCCTCCAAGACCTTTGAGGGGTCCGGCAATATCGATCATTCGGTCCAGTATGGCCGAGGAGCGCTTGAGATGGGTGGTTGTAAGGGTGCGGTGTCGAATTGAGAGGGACTGAACTCGGGATTGGGGCTGGGGAGTGAAGAGTGATGTCGGAGATATGGGTGTCGTGGGCGAGATCGCGGTGTATGGGCGCGTTGGAGTGAACAAGGTGATTGGCGATACCGCCGCCTTCCGCGCGGAGACCGTAGCGCTACTTGCGCCATTCGCTTGGTCGACCATTACGCGCTTGACCGGCGTAACAGGATCTGCCTCCTCTCCCTGGCCTTTCGCGGCGTTTGGCGCCTTCCACCTCCCCTCTCCCTCGACATACGTTTTGACATCCTCCTTGAGCTTGGCACACTCCAGCATGACCTTCCACCTCAAGCCGTCCCATTGCAGCCGCAACCCCACCAGCTCGAGGAGGTCCGACCGTCTTCGGAGCAGCGTAAGGAGCCGGTCGATAAGTAAGATGAGGTCGAGTGTGATGGCCACGGCTTGCGTCGCCGCTTTGGTCAGCGGGACGAGGGTGACTTCTAGCTTAGGTTAGCTTGTGGTCTCCCGACAGGTAATCGACAAAGTAGCTTTACCTCTTGTCTTCTCCTTCATCCGCCCAAGATCCCCTCCGTCAAATGCCAATACTTCTTCTTCGAGGGCATCTCGCTCTGCCTGCCAGGTACGCAGGGTGTCCGCGGAGGGCAGACGGTACTCGGATTCCGATTCGTTTGCGTAGGCAAAGACCGTTGGATCCGCGGCTGACGGTGACAAGATGGGCAGGATGAACGGATAAGTCGGAGCTTGGTCTTCCAGTACCTAACCATCAGCTTGGTTCTTCATCTGTTCGTGAGAACCGACCCAGCTTACTTTCAGCTTCCCCTCAAACCACCTTCGCTTCTCCTGGAAGAGCTGCAACTCCCGCGCGTCCTCGTCGGTCAGATCCCGCTTCTCATCATCGCCAACCGTCCCGTCAAATCCGCTCATGCTTTCGGCAGCCTTACGAGTTATAAGACCTTGCTGAGACCCTCCCTACTATATTGATAGTCGTTGTCAATACGCAGCTTCTTCCCGCAAGAGATGCAGCTAGAAGTCCGTTTTCTGAAACCGATTACGTACGCAATTGGAAGCTGTGCCGGTTGAAGCCGAAAGGTCCGCGTGCAGCATATGCAAGGTAGCAGAGATAGGTCGCTTCCATCTATCTAGCTCTTAGTATAGACGTCCCGGGATGCTCAGCTCAATACGACAAGCAGGCGCGGTGGCCAGCAGAGCGCCTGGTCCGGCAGCTTTTCCCGCAACGGTGGGAGGCAGCTCGGTCGCTTCCTCATCACGAACGCGTATCACATTCCACGTCGACATTGGTCCCCGTCGGGCCCTCTATATAGCGTCTTTGAAGGGCAAGGAACGGGCTTACGAAGACCATGTGACCGGCTCGCTATTCACCGCAGCCGCACGGCCTGCACGTCGGGACGTTCGTGTCCTTGCCAGGTCTGGGCCTCGGCTCGTTAGCCTCGGTCCTTCCCAATCACCCTCGCATAGCGTCCGCCGACAACACCGGCTCTTTCACTCTACCTCGCGGCGAGATGCTATACCTCTCATACCAGCTGGACTCGCCATCTTCAAGGTAAGCCTCATACTCCTATTGATTCCGGCCCCGAAGCTGACAGAACAGACCACCTCTGTCCTCACCCTCATCACCACCATCTCCCGCATCCTCATCTCCTTTTTTCCCCTCGGCACCATCGCTGCATTCAAATCCGTCCGAGGCGTACGCTGGCTATCTGATGAAGCGCGGATGCCAAATGTCAGTGCGGAAGCGGAGGAGTTCTGGCGGATGTGGTGTGCTGGCGAGCGGGCCGTCAAGCCTACACTCGCCGACTGCAGAGCCGTCATCGCCTCCAACCTCGACGCGGACGGAACCATCCCTCTACCTGGCGGTCGGAAAGCATGGCTGTACCTCAACCCCTGGCAGCATCAAGAGCGGTTCAAGCGGTATATCGACCCGAAGAACGTGCGGGAGGAACTGGAGAATGACAAGCGGAGCATGGTCGAACGGCGGACACTACGCGTCATGTCAAACATGCGCTTCCTATTTCCTCCCCTCCCGGCTGCCTCTATATCGTACTATGACCGGCTCGACCCATCTGTCCAAGCAGAGGTAAGCCAACTTCGGCGGTACTGGATCTCGCTCGGCGCATTCAAGGACCAGCTCTTCTGGTCTCGCCTCGTCGTCGTCGGTCTCCTCTTCCTCCCCTGCCTCCTCCTCGCCGGCGTATACGTATGCGCGCTGGAGCGAGTGCCTTTTACGGGCAGATGGCGGATCATCCTACTCACGGCGGAAGAGGAGGACAAGATTTCGACCAGCCTGGCGGGAACCAACTGGTACAAATCCGTCATCAACCTCCTCACCACTCCCGAGGCTCCGGCTCCACCCATCCTGCCATTAACGGACTGGCGATGGGAGTGGGTCCAGACTACCCTGAGGACGCTGGAAGACGGGGTCGTTGCGGCGGTCGCAGCGTCCGAGGCGGGAATAGACGATACCTCGGCCGGCTTTGACGGGTATCGGCCACCGCCCTCCAAGTATCCCCTCAAACCCCGTCCACGCGTCTCGTCCCGTCTGCACTCGGCTTTACCCGGCGGCGATCCACAATCGGGACAAGAACACCTCGAGCTCGGGCCTCCGTTCAGCCTCATGCTACTGCAAAAGGACGAGCGGAATGCTTTCTCGTACGGCTTTGGAGGCAAAGGAGCCGGCGGTGTTGTGGTCTTCACGGGACTGCTGGATGATATCCTGGCGAATGATCAAGCCGAGGAGGCGGTGGTGGAACAGCAGAAACCAAGCGGTGTGTTTGGCGGCCTCTTTCCTTCGCCTAGCCCATCGCGGAAGGCGAAAAGGCGTACCGAGCCGACCGAGGAACAGACGCTGCACCTCGCGAGTGTGCTAGCGCACGAAATGGGCCATCTGCTGCTATCCCATCATCTCGAGACGCTCAGCCAGCAGCAGGTGCTCTGGCCGAGTCTGCTGGGTCTGTCGATGGATCTCATTCGAGCATTTATCTGGCCATTCACGTGAGTCCTGGCTGACAAACTTGCGAAGAAATCGCCGCTGATTTGATAGCATATTCCTCGGCCCCGCTGTCAACGACGCCTTGGCCAATATGGGCCGCACAACGACCAATGAGCTGGTTGATCGGTATGGCGAGATCGGGTTTCAGTGGAAGCATGAGTATGAGGCGGATTCGGTCGGCTTGAGGTAAGTGTCGGTTGAGTCTCGTTACGACGGTCTAGATCACGCACAATCAGCTGCTGACTGCCAGAATTCTAGCTCGGGCAGGATACGATCCCCAACGCGCCCTCACCCACTTCGCCCGCTCCGTATCGGACCTACACGAGATTCAGCCGCTCGACAGGGACAAGTCGGAAAGCTGGACGGGCAGTCTGTTCAAACTATGGACAAGGGCGACGCATCCGAGTGCGGAGAGCAGGCTGGCGGCGGTAGAAAAGGAGCTGGCGAGCTGGACGCAGGGAGGCAAGTGATGGTCGGGGACGGAGCAGGGAGTCGTGGGTAGTAGGGATGGGCGGCGACAGTAGAGGTAGATGGGAAGCTTGTAGATCTGATTTTATTAGTTGTATTTGACCCGTCTCAATATGTAGTCAGCTTGTATACATGCCACACCTCCTTCCGAGTTCAGTCTTGCATAGCTCCTCATGTTTGTAACTTCATTCCTGTGCACCAACACCATGCCGCCACGCCGAACAGACACAGTACAGCTCGGCTTAGCGGTAGTTGTACGATCGTCAACGTCCATACTGCTCCCATTGCCGGAGCCTGAAAAATCAGCTTTGATCGAACCTTGGTGAAAGGTGGCAAGCTGGCCTGAGCAGTGACGACGCCCCAGCTCGCTTTGTTGAGAAGCCAGATGAGACGGCAGCCTGTGAAGAGGGAGGCGGTCATCAGGAGTGGATTGGTGGCGAAGTGCGTAGAGTATTTTGACGCTAATCAATTAGCATGGGTCGCCAGAGAGCCCGACATGGGCATCTATGGATGCGGGTGTAGACACTCACTATACCAGGTGATCATCGCCAATGCTAGATGATCAGCGGGGTCTCTCCTAGAACTGAAGTGGGCCAGCTCACTCGGTACAGCTCTGGCCATGTGAGCCACGATATCTGCCGTCTTTGGCTTGAACGAGTACTGCATATACACCAATCTGCCCAGATCAGCAATCTTCCTTTTAAACTTACTTCGGAGATTTTATTACTCACATATCTAGCAGAAGATATAAGAACGAAAACGGAATGGTCAGGATAGCCGTATCGAACACCTCATCCCAGATATCCCGCTCCCTCTCATCTGCAGGCTCAGGTACGACCCCTCCGGCGCGTAAGAGTTCATCGATCTCGGACGGGGTCGGCGAGGCCTGACGATACTCTCCGTCAGGAGATGGCGGGATGAGCGGGGCGGCAGATGATGAGGGGAGGGTAGAGGGGTGAACGAGCGGAATGGTGTTGGACTGGGGTTTTCGGCGCTGGCGCGTGGATGACTGATCATCAGCGGAAATTGAGACGAAGATGGAAGCAGGACGTACCGGAGTGCTGGGCTCATCAGGTACAGCTTCGACGATCGCCATGGTGTTGCTAGTGGTGGTCAGTGAGTGAGTACAGGTATATGGCGGAGCACAAGAGCGTCAAACCTGGAAACCTGAGAAGGTGCCGAAGCAGACGCACGGGTCTCGGAGATACCTCGGAGAATCCTAACTCCTCATTCCGCACCCCGCCGTGAACCCGTGAGAAGCAGCCCAGTCGCCCAGCAGAACCATACACATCCTTGGTCACTTCCCATCTCATTTCTGCCCTCATGACCTTGTCCTAAACACATTGTGATAATGTCTCGCCCCGTGCGCATCGCATTTGCGACCAAGTCAGTCCCCTTCGCTCGAAGTTCGATCCCAACGAGGCAGATGCCTGACGCTTCAGCTCGGACGCTGGGCAGTACAATATCCACCTGGCAGCCATCCACTCGCTCTTGGAGCATCACCATGCTGATGTTGAGTCGCACCTGCTCGCGCAAGCTCCTGGACGGAAAAGGTGCCCCATGGATGTCGAGTTTCATGAGATGCCGGGGATGAGCAATGTGGCAGCCATTAATGCTATCTCGCCTCTCCAGGGTAGGTACCCCCTCTTGATCGCCAAAATTACGCTATGACTGCGCTATGAGCTCGAGATTACAATCCTAGAGACTGAAGAGACATGTGGTCAAGCTACCGCCTCTCAGCCCCCGGGCTTCTTCGGCGCACTCAAGGTCATCCCGCTCATCCCAGCCATCATTTCGCCCTGGCAACCATCCGAGTACATCAGTATCACGCACGCCATCGAGGATGTACTAATTAAGATCAAGCCTGACCTCGTCGTTATCGACGACGTGCTGTTCCAAGCGGCGGATGCGGCGGACAAACTGGAGGTGCCGTATATCATCCTCAGTCCGAGTGCGTGGAAGGACATGGCTTCGCACGAACAGGGGCTTAAGACGTTCATGCTGCCACTGTGAGTTTTCTATTCCTGGTTGCCATGCGAGAGATACGAGCTGACTGAGTAGGATGGGATCGGGCTGGACGTACCCCCTACCCGTCCACATCATCCCCTTCAACTTCATTCTCGTCCTCTACTTCATCTACAACATCTCAACAAATCCGCAGCTCAAAGCCGTCTTCGCCGCGCAAGGAAGCAGGGTACACCCGGTCATTCTTCCCCACACCCGACACACTCCGCCTCTGCATGGGTCTCCCCCACCTCGAGTTCCCCATATTTCGGCCTAAGAACGTGATCCCCATCGGCCCGATGCTCCTGCCATCTCCGTCGCTCGCGTCGGTCGATCCGGAGACGGACGAATGGCTCAATCACCCAGAGGCGAAGGAAATGTTCGCAATATCCTTCGCGCTCGGCAGTCTCACCCGTCTCGACATGGCGCAGGCGGAGGGTTTGCTGGGAATGTTTGAGGAGCTCATGCTCGAGCGGGAAGACATCAGGGTGTATGCCAAGATAATGCGGATGGGGAGGTATGAGCTTCCGATGGTGCAGGAGATGGTGGAGAGGCTAGGCGGGCACAGGATAAAAGTGGTTGAGTGGATGAAGGCGGATCCGGTGGTGCTTCTCCGGACGGGGAAGGTGGACCTGGCGATTCACCATGCGGGAAGTAACTCCTATCACGAGGCTTTAAGGTAAGTTTCCTACCTTGCGATCGGGAGGAGGACCCGGCTGATCTGTAGCTTGGGAGTTCCCCAGATCGCGGTGTCGAGCTGGCTTGACTGCTATGACTTTGCCGTCCGTCGTATCGAACAATTGGGTATCGGAAAGTGGGGTAATCGCGACGCGGGGCAAGTCTTCAAGTCGTCGAGACGGGTGCAGGACCGAGCTGATCATGTTAGACCTGGTTTCACCCCCTCGGAGCTCCTCTCGACCATCCACTCTGTCCTTGCCGACTACCCCAAAATTAAGGCTCGCGCGATAGAATGTGCTGAGGTTGCCGCAATGGCTGGAACGGATGTCAAGGCTCATGATGGTAGCAAGCTGTATTTGCCGCCCAGAGAGAGGGGAGTCGGCGTGGACGTTGCGGCCGAATGGATCTTGAGAAAGGCCCAGAGTTGTATGACCTGAGATTCTGGAGTTTGGGTGCTTCCACACGGATGGATCAAGCAGAGGGCCTACCCTGGCCCACGCCCGGCAAGCTGCTGGACCGAGAGCAGACTGCCACTGCCGAGCTGCATCTAAAATCTGAAACGCGTGGACCCTGATACGCTGCCGGCAAGGAGGCCGAGGCGCACCATGTGAAGCCAAGCGGACTTCCGAAGCGTCCTCATGCTCACTTCGACAACACCGAGAGGTCGACAATGAACCCTGCATCTGTACCTCTACCTGGGACCTTCCGAAGCTGTAGCTATGCCACGTCCTGCCCGGATATGCTTTGTGACCAAGTGAGCTGGACCAACCAATTTGAAACGCCGCGACGCTGAAGGAACAGCTCGGACGCGGGGCAGATCAACGTTCACCTAGCGATAATACATGCGCTGCTCGATCACCATGCAGCTGATACCGAAGTACATCTATGCTCTTTCGCACCAGCCCGGAAGCGGTCCCCCAAGGGAGCCATCTTCCACGAGATTTCGGGACTGAGTCATACTGAATCGGTCAAGCAGTCCATGCCTCTTGAGAGTGAGCTTGCTATACTTGGCTGCTGGCCGGTGGCCGCTATGAGCGTACTACAGCTCTTGACACGAGCTGATAAATATATCAGAAGTTACTGCTCTGCTGCAGCATCGCCCGACCTTCTTTGGCGTCCTCAAGATCGTCAAGAACACCCCATATGCGCATTCTCCGTACACCCCATCGCAATACATCAGCATCACGCGGGAGGTGGAAAGCACGCTCGAAGCGATCAAGCCTGATCTCGTGGTGATCGACTCTCTCTTCCTTTCCGGCCAGGATGCGGCGCGGAAGTTGGGCTTGGCGCGGATCATCCTATCTCCAAATGCCTGGAAGGATAACGCTATACATCTGCAAGGTCTCGGCGCGTTCTCATGGCCTGCGTGAGTGCGATATCCCCATCTCGGATCCTCGGTCTAGAGCTGGACGTTCCTACAGTTGATAGCTTATGATGTAGCCTAGGCACGGCTTGGCCATATCCCCTTCCTATCTACCTCTGGCCGCTCAACATCATCCTCTTACTCTGTCTCGCGCTCACCTTCGAGCTCAGCCCTAGTACCCGAGCGAAGATGGCAGCACGGAAAGAGGCCGGCTACAATGGCAACTTCCTCAATGAACCTGTACAGATCCGACTCTGCATGGGTCTCCCACAACTTGAATTACCCGGTATCCGCCCTTCCACCGTCATACCCATCGGTCCCATCCTGCTCCCTTCCCCACCCCTCGCGTCCGTCGACCCGGAGCTCAACGAGTGGATCAGCCATCCCAAGGGCGAAGGTATGTTCACCATCACCATCGCTCTTGGCTCTCACTGGACGCTACGGGCTGGAGAGGCCGAAGGGTTATTGAGGATGTTCGGAGAGCTGCTGGGAAGTAAGGAAGATGTGAGGATCTACGCCAAGATCATGCGGCGGGGGACGTACCAGCTCCCGCTTCTCGCAGAGCTGCAGGCGGAGTTTGGCGAACATAGGCTGAGGGTGGTAGAGTGGATGAAGGCGGATCCGGTGGTGCTCCTCAGGACTGGCAAGGTGGATCTGGTGATCCATCATGGGGGAAGCAACTCATACCACGAAGCCCTGAGGTGGGTACTTTCGCTTCATAACACGGCAAAAGCTGATGCTATAGCTTGGGCATCCCGCAGATGGCAATTGCGAGCTGGTTTGACTGCTATGATTTTGCCGCTCGGATCGAGACGCTGGGCATAGGAAAATGGGGAAATCGTAAGGCAGGGTAAGTCGATCCCTACTACCTCGCAGTCATGACGCTCACTTCTTCAGGCCAGGATTCGACCCTGCCGAGATACTCGGCGCCATTCGCGCCATTATCGCTGACTATGCTCACATCAAGGCCAATGCTGTCCGCTGTGCCGATGTGGCTGTTGCGGCTGGGACGGAAGTGAAGGGCCATGATGGCCTGGAGCTCACCGTTCCAAGAGGGGAAGGGGGTTTAAGCATACAAGGGAGGGACGTGGCGGCGGAGTGGATCTACAGGAAGGCTCGGAGCTGTGTGGCCTAGCGACTTTGATATCTCCTGATGTCTTGCTCTACTGAACTTTGCCGGATATCAGTTGACAAAGCCTCAGCGTAATGATCACTTAACAATACTCACATTGCTCGCCTTCGAGATGATAAGGATCCACTGACACCCACAAGCTCACGTGAGCGAGTCATGCGAAGCCGAATACAGCCAAGCGGAATAAGAGGGCAACGCAATCTGAGCGCCCAACAATTCGGATCACCCAGCACACACCGCGCAAGTCTAGATCTGTCAAGCCTGAAACGAACGCAACTTCTAGGCTATGTAGATTCCCGAGCGCAGGCTCAAAGGACGATTGTCGCCGTGCACCGTCCAGGTGAGCTGATGAGGTACCCCGTCGTCCTTTCATGTCGTCTCCGTACGAAGCACGATGTCACATATCGAGACTCAGCTAGGGTGCTATAGCTGCCCCCCGGTACCCATTCGCCTTGGCATTGCTCCTAATCTCCACTACATCGTTACGCTCATCACATATCTAACCCACATCACCGACCCGCTACGAAATGAGCTCCTTCCTGTCTTGCGTTCCGAGCCTGATTGATGCTTTTTCCGCCGTCAGGGTCAGTCCCGCGCCACTTTCCCTGGTCTTGGCTTATGTGCTGACCCATCAGACCTTCCTCACCGGTGCACTTTCAGCTTCCGATGAAGCTGTCAAGACCACGATCACCAGGTCCGGGAACACGATCTACGATTGGCGTGCCCTGGACTGTGGTACTCCGCCCCAAGGGCGAGATATCCCCCAGGTCGCGGAGACCACTGCAACTGATGTGCTTGGAGTCTACACATACGACCCGAAAGCAGCCAGCCAGGGAGGATCACATCAGCCACCATCCGAGCCGGACGAGAGGTACACGGACGATCCAACTCCAGAGCCGGCGCCCGTCAACATCCAGAATCTGTACATCCTCCGACAAAAGGTTGATGGAAGCCGTGATGAAGCTGATCACATCTCAAACATCGTGCCAGTCGACCTGATGAAGGGGTTCTGCGGGGGCATGGCCGTTCTCGATCTGCCACCGGAAACGGTTTCCACACCGGTTCCCGGATCGACGGCCTTCCCTTACCCATCGAACTTCGACAGAATCGTCCGACTCACGAACGGCCGCGGGTACTGCGAGGACTTCTACTCCAGATACGATACGGTCCTGCAGAGTTTTGTCGGGGGGGATGCCGAGTTAGTCCTCCTGTACACTCCGGATGGGGCGCGAGCCGTGCCAGCGCGGGATCCCGGTCTACGACGCTCCACCATGACCGCCGGTAACTTACTGGAATGGTCTCAAGATGATACGGTCGGGAAGGGTACGAGCCAGAAGATCACCCTCGCCCTCAATATCCCCCGCCAACATCCCTTGCCGTGGGTTGCCGAGTGCGAGTCAGTCACCCCTGAACAGCAAGTGAGAGGCATGGTTCAGAGGTCTTTCACACACAGGTGGACGGAGCCTGAGATTGAGCAGATGATGGCTCGACAGAATGTCGTCTATGTGCCTCAAGAGGAAACCATCCAAGATTCCGCCACGCAGACTGGTGGAGAGTCCGCGCCCTTGGCGGTCGAGGATCCGGATGTGGGGAGCGCGGAAGGATTCATCACAACATCTCATCTTCAGCACGCTTTGTCGATGCGGGAGGAGATGAAGGCCTACTTGCAGAAGGGCGAACAACGTACGGGCTGGTTTTCCTGAACCGCGAATCGGAGTGCGCAGCTGTTCAAACATTTGAAGGGGGACAATTATTCGTATACGACATGGGAGTGCCGACTCGAGACTGTGATATGCAATTATGTTCATATGTACTCGTACTACGTACAGCTAGCAATGTTGGATTAGGTGCGTATACTTTGACATTATAATCATTCCTCCTGCCTGCCGCCTACAGTCTCTCCCCCCTGCTCGCCCTTCCACTTCAACACTTTCTTGTCAACAATGTCCATATTTCTTCTCTCTTCTCTCCCACCTATTCCTCTCCCCTACACAGGTCATATCCTCCCCATCCCACTCTCCGCCGAGCTGCCACTACTCTCCGCACTCTGGCTTCCTTTCCTCCCCGACAGCCCCAAACCCGATCCGGGCCCATACGCCGGCGTCACCGTTCCCGACTGATACCCCATCGATCTGGGCGGCGAGAGCCTCGATCCGGACTCATACGGATTCCCAATATTCGCAGGGGAAAAGTACGGTGTCCCAGGCGCCGACGCCGCATATACATGATTTCCGTTCCCACCCAGCGAAGACTGCTGCGAGTGCATCCCGCCAACTTGCGTATTTCCGTTCCCGTACGTCGTATACGCCGGACTGAGATTACTCAGACTGCCCATCTGCCGTAGGTTCTCGCCGGACGGGGCGCGGCTCGGAGCCCTGCTCTGCCCGATCCCCAGAAGAGAAGCGAACGAGCTCGCCCGACTTGGTTTTTCGGGCTCACCGAGGATAGGGGCGGAAGTCCGGATGGGGGAGCCGGGAGGGAGGGCCATTTCTCTCCGGGTCGTAGGGGAGGGGGAGGAGGGCATGTTGTATAGGCATGTAGCGGCGAGGACGACGGATGAGCCGAGGACGAAGGCGAATGTGATGGGGTAGTTGAAGAGGACGACAGAGGCGAGGAAGGAGATGATAATGGATAGGGAGGTAGCGAAGCCTTTCCTACATTTTGTCAGCTTTTGGTTCAGAGTACTGGAGAGAGGAAGCTTACATGATGTTGTCGCTATACCGGATGACAATAGCGGTGATGAGACCGCCGAACGTCTGAGTAAGGACAGTCCCGATAGCCCAGCCGTTGAAATTGGCGAACGCAGCCATGAGCCTCCCTATTGGTCCGAGGCCGTCCGAGGTTCCGTTGAACAGGATCGGGAGGATGGCGGGGATCAGCGAGAAGAGGGATAGTTGTGTATTCCGGATCCAGAGATCTGGCTGGACGTTGCCGCTGCCGGATGTGCTGGTCGTCGAGGGTGAGCTCGGCTTGAGCAGGAGCTCAAAGTATACCCCGGCGAGACCCGAGGTCATACATGCCGCGGTGACCGCCAAGAAGCCCTTGAGGGGAGACATGGTGTGGATGGTGCTGAGCACCTCGGATGCGTCCGAGTGGCTCGCCGATGGTGCCGAGGATGACTGGATCTGGACGATACCGACCCCGATGGCGAGGAGGAAGAGGGCGAGCCACTTGATCCTCGACAGTCGTCGACGGAGCATGACGACTGAGAACGCCGCGGTAGTAAGGATTTTCATCTGGTACGTGACCTGGAAAGTAGCGACGTCGAGGTTGGACGCGGCGGTATATTGGAGGTTGTTCTGGATGACGTAGAGGATGGCGGGGATGGAGAGTTGGATGCAGTCGCGCGAGAAGAGGGCGTCGCGGAGCGCGCGAAGACGAGAGGGGTAGAGGAGGGAGAAGCGGGATGCGAGGACCGATGGGCGGGTGGTGGGAGCGCGAAGGGAATGGGGGTGCGATGCGTCCTTTTCGGACGTAAGGGGATGGGAAGAGGGAGCCGACATGGTCTTGTCGATATTCCGGAGGGCGATGATGATGGAGATGGACCCCTTGAGAAGCTCGTTCAGCAGCACGGCGGATGCTGCCGAGTAGGTTTTATTTGGCGAGGCGGTGATGCGCGAGTAGTGCATTATTATGGTGAGAAAGGCGTTTTGTAATGCGAGCGTGAGCAATCTAGAAGTGAGCTCTGACCCTGTTCACGAAGGCTGGAGTAACTCACGATATCCACTTTAGCTCTATCCCGAATAATCTTGGCGATCCCCCCTCCTTCGCTTCTCTTGTCGCAGCCACCGCTGCCCGCTCTTCCATCTTTTCCGCCATCCTCTGATGGCTATGTCCAGCTGAGGGATACGTATATGGTGACTGCGTTTGCAACCCAATCCCATTCGCCAGTATTTGATAGGTCGGATTCTTCGTTTGGCCGTATCGGCCCGGCGAGGAGGGTGGGGACGACGTGGATAAGGCTCTGTAGTCGGGAGTAGAGGAGTGGTAGGGGTGCGGTAAGGAGGGAAGACTTGTGTCAGTTAGCTGCTGCTATGTCGTCGTGGTCGATATGGAGCGGGGAGGGATAAGGGTAGAAAGGTAGAAGCGGTGAAAGGAGTGCGCAGTCAAGCATGATAATCAAGAGGTGAAGGCGAGAGAAAGCGGGCAACAGCGTCGAGAGCTCCGCAGCACAAGTCGAAGTTTGAAGAGTGAGACATGTAAACAAGAATGAGCGGTGGCTCACCTACTCAAACGGCGCTTGGGCCTCGTCCCGCCTCCATGGACGTCCACGCCTCCTGCCCTGCCTACACTCCCCTCATCCCTCTCCCCTCTTTCCCTCATGATCAACCCATCATCATCCGAGACTCTCCTCCCTGCTGCCTCTTTGCCGCCATACCCCGAGCTCGAGCTCGACCCCGCTCCATCACCCCGGAGATCCATGGTCCGGCGGGTCGACGCCCGCCTCACCGACCCTCCCGGCGACGACGGCTGGGATACCGCCATCTCGCTCTCTCGCTCTTCGCTCAGAGCTAGGCCCAGTGGTAAACCCCTAGGCTTGGTTCGAGGCGATATGGACGCCGGGTCGGGCAAAGTAAAGATGCTCGGCGAGAGAGGGGGCGTGCGCAGCGCAGGCTCTGAGGGCGATAATGTCGAACTTCGAGATGGGTATGATGAAGGGGAGGGGTATTGATAGTCAGAGTCAGAGGTGGAAGGGGGGCTCGAGTGCATGTGGAAAGATGGAGATCTTTTTGCCGAGATGCGAGATGAGGCTTGTCGGATGGGGCAACGCAAGCCGGGGAGTGGTCGGATGGTCGGAAAAAATAAAGGACAAGTCCGGAATGCAGGCGCGTGATGCCGTTGCTGTGTGTGGGGTGGTGATGGGTGGAGTGGAAGGGTACTGGTAGTCGTGGATAGTCGCGCTGTAGTTGATGCTTGTCCTTGTATGGTATGGAGTTTGCTGGCTGATTGAGATACTGAGACCCCTCTGTCCAATGCAAGCTGCAGAGCCAAACTCGCATGGGCTGCTGTAGCTGCTGGGCCTAGCTAGCGTTTGAGTGACTGCGGAAATTTCAGGGGCAACAAGTCTGGGACTGGTTTCAAGATTAAGCTTAAAATACTACTGCGCAGTCAAGTTATGCACGTGACGTCATTCACGGTGGCAAAGATGCGCAGCGAAGATTCTCAAAGATCATTCGCGGCAAGTATAATAAAGGTGGAGTCGTACTCTGATCATACGGCAGCAGAGATGCACTGCCCGAGACTGCCCGCCAAGATCAATCCCGAGAAATGCGGTGTGAGGTGTATTGCTTATCAAATTCATCACCTTGTTCACCCTGGTGGCCATGGAGTGGATCCAGAATTCCCCCGCCTCGTCCACCGGTCCGTCCTGCCTTTCAACAACGCCAATCCTGCCCATATCCACCGATACTCCAGGTACTGAGGCTCACTTCCAGCTTCCGGTATCCGGTGTCCGCACCGATACCATGCGACGCCATCTGCTTCTCAAGTGATGGCTTGCCATAAGCTTGACCTTGTAGAGGGAAGACCTGAATCATACGGCTGGCTATGAGTCAAAGGGTACAGCAGATAACGCTTACAGTAATAGGTACAACAGATGAAATGATGTCTACAGTGGTGTCACGATCAAACGCTATAGGTCGGGCGGACTCGAAGCCTAAAGGCGTATCGGCCGATGCTCCAAGAGTCCGAGGCTGTTATGCGTACTATGAAGTCAGCAACCTGATTTCCACAGCATATCCGAGAAGCAAATACTCACGCGATTGAACGTCCGCCCAAAGAAATCAGCCGCTCCACCCGTCTTCTCACTCTCCTTCCCCTTGAACATGCTCTTCACCGCATCGCTCATCCCCGCTTGCGCCGCCAATCTCTTCTGCTCCTGCGCCGCCAGCTTCTGCGCGACTGACTGCCGCCCACTCCCTCCCGGATCTAGCGTATTTATCGTCGGTGCTGGCGCGGGAGTAGCTGTTGTCCGAGCAGCCTTTTGTTTTGGTAGTGGACCCGCTTCGGATTCCGCCGGCGTCCCATTCCGCCCGGCCGATACCGCCTTGACGTCTCCTTCTCCAGATACGCCATTCGACTCCCCCTTGCTCGCCATAGCTCCCGCCTTCCGCTTCTTCCCCGCCTTCGCCGCCGCCCGGGAAAGCAAAAGCTGCTCCAATAGATCCTCCTGAACCTCCCGCGAAGGGTTGATGGGCGAGACGGTCCCGCTTTCCGTCGGAAGTATGTCCTTGCCGCAATTTGGGCAAGCGACGACTTCCGACTCCTTCTTCTCCACTACCGGCTGAGCAGCATCAGGTGCCTCGTCCGTTGCCGCCGAGGAGGATTTGGCAGGGACGCCTCGGGTCAGGTTGGGAATGACGGCGCGAACGGCCGCTTCGGAGAAGACGCAGCCGCATGGGCGGAGAGCAATGAATGGGACTGTGCCCGACATTTCTTTGAGCGACAGTGGGCAGGCAAAGGGAGCGCGTTGGGAGACGGAGGCGGTAGTGGAGGGGTCGGGGGAGGTGTAGGTGGGATTTGGCGTGAGGTTGAGGGTAAGCAGGTCCTGGGGTGTCAGCTTCTTTTACCCCACAGCTAGGGCTAGGGGAATATGCAGCTCACCTTGACACCTCTAAGATAGCCACATATCCGATCACCGTCGCCATACCGGCTTCGGTCGAGGAAGAACTCGAGCACCGCGTCCTTGTTGTACAGCTTCCCGAGGGGGTCCAAAACGACAGGTCGAGTGAGCGGTCTCTGTGGTGTCAGATCACGGCCTACCTTTATGCGCGGGTAAGACCCATGCCATGTATGCCATGAAGCTCACCTTGCTCAATGCGCAGAGAAAGAACAGTTCTCGGAGTAACGCCTTGTCCGTGGTCTCTGACTTCCCCTTGGTCTTGACCAAATCTCGGCGATCAGGGATTGAGCCTCCATCTGCGCCCATGATGAGTCCTCGAGGTGGGAATTAGTTAGAGTAGTAGCTGAAGAACAAAAAGGGATGCAAGGTGGTGTTGACGGTCAAGCGGAAAGTCTGGGGGGCGACAAGATCACCGAGTGACGGTTCCGGGGGCACCTAGAACGCACGGAGCAAGCCGCCACACCTCGGAGATAGTCGGCAATATCGATTTGGCTCTGCTCGCCCCGCCTCAGCCATGTCGCTCAGCCAAACTTCCATCAGCCTGGTTCCATCATACTCCATCAGTCTATCTCGACCTGTCTATCCTCCCGCTCTGTCTACTCGCGAGCCCCTGGTACAGATGATCAGATAGCGACTGCCGAAGCGCCAGCGAGTTTAGAGCTCTCACCGTTCCTCGCTGGTCAGATCAATCGACTTGTTATCAGGTTAGTACCCTCTCCCCACTTTCCTCACTTCCACCTCTCCCCTTTCTGTGATGAGCAATCAGTTCTGCTACCGAAGTGCCTTGAGAGACAGCAACTATAATACCAAAAAACTCTTTCTGACTTCCTCCTTCCTCCTGCTTGATTTACAAACCCGCAGAGGAACAGTTAGCTGACCCATTCAGGCTCTCGCCTTTGCAACCTCTCGTCCATCTGCTCTCTGCTCCGTAGCCTAGGTTAGTGGTATCTCTTAAGCATGCATTCCGTGACCTTTCCCCTCTTTCAAAATGATTCAACTTCAGCTCAATCCATTCTCTGAGACCTCCCCTTCACTCCCCTCTCCGTCGTCCCCCTCCCCATCCCGCTCACGCTTCCCGCCCCTTTCCCACATTCTCTAGCCTCTGCATCTGATCCTATCGACTAGCGCCGCCTTGGTCCGCAAGGATCGAGCGCAGGTTTCGCGAAAGGGGGTCCCATGCTTTTCGAGGCGATGACGAGTCTGTGGTGCGAGGGCCGGCAGAGGCTGTGGGTGACTTAGGATGCTGGTCCGTAATAGAGCTTCTAACCCGTCTGGTCTGCTTGCGTTTTGCGGGCGATCGGTTCGGGCGAAGTGAGCCGGGATGGTGGGGAATGGGAGGGTTGGGGATTGATTATAGTGGCTATTATGATTCCTACCCTATCCTTACAGCTTTTGGGGAAACGCCGTGCGGACATTGCTAATGTGCGCAGATCGAGATGTCAGGCTACAATCCGAATTACCAGCAACAGCAGGGGCAAGGTCCTCAGCAGGGGCAATTTGGGAACGCCCTCAACATGCGGCCGCAAATGCAGCGGGTCAATTCGGGCTCGAGTCTCGCTTCGGTTCAGCCGTACCCGCCCAACGCCACCCAAGCGCAGGGCAACATCAACTTCAACCCGAACGCCAATCACCTTCAACAGCTCACCGAGTTTCACAATCGCCAACAGCAACAGCAGGCGTATACTCAACAGCGCCAACCCGCCCACACCATACAGCAGGGACAGCAGGGGCAGTTCGGTCCTCCCCTCATGCAAGGCGGCAACAATGGCAACTACCAACCGTACGGTAACGTCCAGCCGGTCCAGCACCAGGCTGCGCTCGCTTTCCAGCAGCAGCAAAACCTCGCCAGGCAGCAAGCCCAGCACTTGGCAGCGGCTCGGCAGGTCCAGGCTCAGGCGCAGGCGACGCAAGTCCCCTACCGCTCGCCAGCCCCTTCTCACATCTCCCTCCCTCCCCCTCCACCCTCCCTCCAACGACCCTCTATACCCAGTAATCAAGCCAATCCTATGCCTATGCAACGTACTTTTTCGAACCAGAGCAACGGCGGCGGCAGCGGCCAGCAGCAGCAAGCTCCGACCCAAGCCCGCCCGCAACAGCCCGTGTCGGGGTACCAGCTGGGCGGTTCATTCGGGATGAGGCTAAACACCATCGCCAGCGGTGACGGTACGGGCTCGGACTCGGTACAAGACCTCATCGATCCGCCTCGGGGCAAACCACTTCCTCATCCTCTCCCCCTTACTCAACTCAACGACCCTTCTGCCCTTGCGGCCTCGGCGTCGGCAGCGCCATCTTCCGCTCGGCCGTCCACCGCCGACTCGGACTCTCCCAAATCGGCAGAGCCAAAAGCTACAGCGCCTCCCCCGGCGCCCAAGCCGATGTCGGAGTACGCCAAGCGGAAACGGAGGAAGGAGGAGGGAACGACGGGGACTGGGAAAGCCCGTGGAGCCGGCAAGAAGGCGGAGGAGAAAACTGTCCCAGTGGTGTATTTCACGGGGGTGGAGAAGGCCAAGGAGGATCCTGTGGAGAAGAAGGGAGAGGCGGAGCGGCCTAGGGAAGCAGCGAGGCCGACCCCGGCGTCCGCTGCTGTTCCGTCTACTGGGGCGACGGAGCGGAGGCGAGCGCACGCACCGGAGGGCATGAGGGGATCGATGCGGAGTGATAGTGAGTCTTCTCTCGAGTCTACATGTATCAAGCTGACAGATCAGTTGCCAAGCTCATGTATGCTGCGGGCGACGTAGCTGAGCCGTCTATGGATACTGTGGACTATATGGAAGATCTCGTCGTTGAATTCCTTTCTGACCTGGTAAGATACGGCGTCTGCTCTTTCCAGCGACGACTAAGCTGACTTGTCAGTGTCGTCCCGCCCCGCCCACACGTACCGCCCCCGGCGCCCTCCACACCGCCCCACCCATCGACAATGCTCTTATTCGCCACCGACTCCTCATCGCCTCGGCCCGCCGACCGCACATGGCCAAATACGCAGCCCGTTTCGACTACATGTACGCCATGGACCTCGAGCTCGCCAAGGCCAAAGGGGCGATGCAGCCCTCGCACGAAGACCTGGTCAATACCGTCGGGAGAGAGTATCTCGAGATCGGGCAAGGGCAGGAGGGCGGGGATGGCGATGTCGCGGGAGGAGGAGGAGGTGGTGAGAGGGGGGCTGGGACAGGAAGGAGAGGGAGGCCGAAAAAGATGGTGGAGCCGGGTCAGGAGAGGAGGAAGCCGGGTCCCAAGAAGGGGTGGAAGAAGGAAGGGGCGAGTCAAGGGCCAGAAGGGAAGAAGAGGGGGCCGTATAAGAAGAGAGTGAGGGAAGGGTCGGGGGTAGGCACGGTGAAGGGGGAAAGTCAATGATAGATCACAGAATACGGTTGTAGCTCATCTTAGCGTATGGTTGTAATGGTGTACTCGCATGGAGCTGACTCGCTGAAAGAGCAGTACCTATACATATGGCGTCACATAATATCCACAGGCACACCACCTTCTCACTGCACGTCATCCTCCTGACTGACCACATCTGACGCCTCCGCGGACGGCAACGTCGGAGCGTACAGACCCGTCTCGTCCACAGAGCTGGCCCCTTCGTCGGTCACCCTCTCAACAGTGTCGAACAACTCAGCTCTGTCACCCCGCCTGCGAATGGCCACAACGAATCGCTTTGCCATGGAGTTGTCCGCATCTTGCAGCACTGGCCGCAGGGTGTTAGACAGACGATCCAGGATATCGCGTCTGATTGTGTTGGGAGCGAAACGAGTGGAGGTTGCGCGAGTGTGTTAAGTTTTCAAGAGCAGACTGGGGATGCATTGGGCTTGACTACTGCTCCTTATATAGTGCTGACCGTGGTCCTAGCTACTGAGTCTCCGACTGAGTAGCTGCGAGTAGCTACCGGTAGCTGCCGGTAGCTGCGAGTAGCTGCTAGTAGCTGTCGGTAGCTGCTAGTAGCTGTCGGTAGCTGCCACTTATTTGTGGCAGCTGCGAGTAGCTACCAGTAGCTGTCTCTTGCCACTATCCCAATGGATGGGGATAGTGCGAAGCTTGTTTGTTTACTCGCCTCCCGCCATTCAGATAACGTCAACAGAGTGTCGTCGATGGCGAGCGTGACCTTTTGGACCCTCACCACGTTGACCTCCTGATCATCGGCTTGGGCGGTGTCCGATTGGCCCGAAAGGAGAGCGTTCATCTCCGCATCGGCTGTGCCCAAGGTGTGGAGCAGGCTTGCAATCGTTCTCACACAGTTAACGCTGAGTTTGTCTGCTGATTCACCGTCAGGGCGATACATGAGCACCAGATGTGGACCGCCAGGGGCAACCAGACTCTGGATGACATGATCAGAGTGACATCCAAGGGCGATCCGCACGAACGTTTCTGCGCCCGTGTCGCAGAATGCCCGGCTGAAGGTTATACCCTCTTCGGCAAGCTCTCCGTTCTCTTGTACCGTATGGTATATCACCATCCGACCGCGTAGATGACTGAACAGTTCTCCTGGCAAAGTGACGTTCGCGCAGTAATCGGAAGCGTCTTTCCCTTCATCACCGAGCGGAGGTACATCACATCGGGATACACCGTGATCATCTCCGACGACACATCGCAGAACTTGGCGGCACGCAGGCTCGATGGGTTCGCGCTGACCCAGGTCCTCGGTCCCGCACGCAGGCTCGATGGGTTTGCGCTGACCCGGGTTCTCGCTCTGACTTGCTTGTAAAGAGCGGAGTCGTACACGAGCGTGATGCTCTCATTCGGCCTGATGGCTTGCGGACCAGTCATGTAAGGTGAGTTCGTCAATCTCACGCTGTCGTCCGGGAAGGTCAATTAGCCTCGGAGATTGAATTTCGGGTTCCTGACCTTGCATCGTTCGATGGCTTCCTTGACGGGACCGTCGCGCCAATTGCTGCTGACTTGGGAAGCGACCAAAAGCCACTTGGCAAGTAGCCAATCAAACGGGTCTCGGTGAAGTTGGAGTGCGGTCACCCGGTCGATGGAGTTGGACCCTGGAATGGAAGCGCCTCGGTCGTCTCCGTTCACAGTGGTGCTGCTCCCCGGAATGCGTAAGGTCTCCTGCTTGTCGGTCTATCGCTTCAGTATACGAAACGGGCCAGTCGGGTGGGTGGCAAATTAGTTACACTGGGCCACTTACCTTTGCAGAACGGGCAGTGTCAGTATCAAGGAGGGACATTGCTGTAAAGAGCTGATCACTGAGAATACAGAAGTCAGTGAGAGGTATAGAGGTATTGACTGCAGTGCCAGTAGTTCGGTACTCGTATATGTGAGAAAGCAAACGAGGAGCAAGGGGGGCTTAAGGAGGGAACGCTGGTCGAGCATTTGAAATGCCATAATATCAGAGCTCCTTCTTGTGCGATTGCCTTGGCTGCTGCACCTTATGGATCGGCTCCTTTCACCCCATACGCACAAAGGCTCTGCTTCTTTCGAAGCAAGTGCTGACTCATGGCGCCTCATTGAAGTCTCGCCAGAGCATGGTTCCCGTCTAGACGGGCTCAGACGGGAAACGGGACCCCCGATCTGACCAGGTTTTCTCCAAACGGCAACGGCAACGGGACGGGATTCCCGCTAGATCTGCGGACGGGCCGATTGCCCGATAGACGGAGACGGCTGTACCAAAAGGGGGAGAGCCTGCTGTCCTTTGATCAGTTGCCAGAGCACATAGCATAGACCATGGTGGAGGATGCTACACGTCACTAAGCAAGGGCTGAAACGATCCGCCGCGCCCAGCATGGTCATACGAGTAGACACGCCTATCGCTCGATGAATTCCACATTCCTCAGAAAGTTTTTCCAGAGTGCCACTTTCAGCACTCTTCTCCCTTGTATCCTTCCACATCAGCAGCATTCCGGCCTCACATTCCGGTTGGTAGGTACCGCACTGATTACAGCCAGCCGCTTGCAAGAGTCCAAGCGCCTGGAGCAAGAAGCCTGCTTGTTTATGTCTTCGCACTCGTTATCGGATACAATGTCTCCCTCAAAGCGGCGCAGCGGCAGGCTGCTCAGCGAGCGCCTATGTCCGAGGTGGGTGTGGGAGAAGGAGATGAGGGTGTCGTCGGTGTGGAAGGCGGAGAGGTCCAGGGCCCGTTCTGTCCAGTATTGGTGTAGACTGCCGCCAGTGGCGACATAGTCGAGGCAGCGCATAGGCTGGACGTCGCGCGGTACGCCGGAAACGTCAAAAAGAAGGTCTCGATTGGGATGTACATGATGTATAATGTCAGAAGACGCACAGACGAAACGTTTCGCTTTCAGCTTTGTACATCTTCTTCAACATGACTGAACTTGTTGAGCATTTCGCAGGGCGCTTCGGGTACACCGACTCGGCAATCGAAAAGGGTGAGTATGCGGATGAGTAGTGCTGATGGCTAGCGCTGGGCCGACCTATGACCACCGTCGAGAAGGACCACATCCGATCCCAACAGACTCCACAAGGGCTGACCGAAGCCGCCCTAGCTCTCCATCCCTCCTCTATCCTCATTTCCCCTCACCTCCCCTCCGCTCTCCAAGACATCAACATCAATGGCGTTCAGCTGTTGGATTGGGGGCGCGCGGCGGGTCCAGTGACTCATCCCGTCACTTTGGCGGTCGTCAAGAAGGTCACGGGTGGATTCGCGATCAGTGAGTGGACTGATTGATGGCGCTGATGTAGTCGCGGCTCTCCTCTCCCAAGACACTGTCCAAGAGCATGTCGCCTTTCTCCAGAAACTTACGACTTGCATCCCCTTTCCCATCCGTGACATCGGGATTCCCCCGTCTCGCGTCATCCACGACGCCGTCCTCACCGTCCTGCCCACCGCACACATCTCGGTGCCTTTCGTCCACCTCTTCCGCGCGGCATGCCTGTCATCCGACGCGGATTTCGAAGCGCTCTGGTTGGGGTGTGAGGCGTTCGACGAGAAGGGCGGACTAGACGCGCTCGGGCTGGGCGAGTATGCGCCGTGGGTAGATCTGCTTTCAGCCGCGCCGCCACAGCTTAATACCACCGTGGCAGAGCTCGTCAAAGTAGAGGCAGACATGTACATCACGTATAGGCATATGAGGTGAGTTGCGATTCAGGGATTGGAATCTGGCTTACGATAGGGCGCCTGAAACCATGATCATATGCATCCTCCGAGAACTCCTCCACGATCCCACTACAGTCAATAATCGTCTGCGGGACTGGTCGAAAGGGCGCCCCACCTCCATTCAAGAGGACTATGCCACGTATCAAGCTGTAACCATTCACAACATCCCGCCTCTCGGCCGAGACCCGGAATTGTCGAGAATTCGCGCGCTGGTGGAATGGGCCGGCGCGTGGGATCCCTACAAGGAATGGGCGGTGGCGCAACTGGCGGACGTATCAGAGAAGGAGGTGGAAGAGGGGCTACCCGACAGCCCCGCTTCTGCAGCACCCTAGGTCGGCCGAACCCATCGCGTAGCCCTCTGGCCAGGCCTCTGTCGAGACTTGAGCTTGTTGTGCTGTGCGGTTCAACGTTTGTATGTCGTAACGGGATTGTGATAGATGGCATCAATAAGGGTTTGGATTTGTACTGCGTCTCGCCAGCGTCCCATTGCGCACCTGGCCAGGCTGGCCCCCCGCTGTGCGAGTGACTAATCGACGCATCACGGATGACGTGGACACTGGGCATAACTTGAAACAAGCTGAAACGCTATCAAAAGCTGGCAGTGGTGACGTCCATTTGGTTCCGCTCACGGGTGGCTCAATCGTGTCGCACCGAACGTCCATATATTGTATCGCATATGTAGGCATCGTCAAATTGATCCTATGCCACCCTCACCCCTTGCGAGGCCTGCCAACGAGGCTGACTCATCGGCCGCGCCGAAATCTCGTAGCTCGAATCTATTAGAGCAGGGATGGCAGCTCCTGACCGAGCTACTCTTCGACAGGCGGTACTTCTGGCACCTGACAAGTCTGCTGCTTCTGGGCGAGCTTGTACTCGGACTGCTCATCATCAAATATGTGCCTTGTAAGCTCGGCCCTTCCTTTCATATCAAGATCTCCAGGACCCGGGACGCATTGAAGCCAAGCCGCAGCGGAGTCGAGCTAAAGGTTGCAGATACCAAGATCGATTGGGAGGCGTATATGCAGCATGTCGAGTGCTTCCTGAAGGGCGAGAGCGACTATAGCAGACTTCAAGGCGAGACTGGTCCGGCAGTGTAAGTCGTAGATCCGGGTCTCATGCCCTCTGAGGCTAGGAGCAAACTGATACCGGCAGATATCCCGCGCTCTTCCTCTACGTCTACACAGCGCTGTACAAGCTCCTTCCAGCCGACCCCGATGCCCGCGTCAGAGCAGCGCAGTATGTCTTCCTCGGCATGTACCTGGCGACATTCGCGCTGGTAGCGGGGATCTACCACGCCGCTGGCTCGACGAAAGTTACCACGAGTAAGGTCGGCGCCGCGGGCGAGAGACGAGTATCGACCTCAACATATCCCCAAGCCCTGCTTATCCCGCTGTGCTTGTCGAAGCGGTTACATTCTATATACATGCTCCGGCTCTTCAATGATCCGGTGGCCATGCTGTTACTATACGCTGGGGTGTTCGCTATCACTCATCGGACCAGTATGGGCTGGACGGTCGGGATCGCTCTGTACAGGTGAGCCTGTCATCAAGAGGAGTTCAGTCCTTTCAGAAGTGCTGACATACCTAGTCTAGCTCTTGGGGTGAAGATGAATATCCTTCTCTTCCTCCCCGGGCTCCTGGTTCTACTCGTCCAGTATCGAGGGCTCGTCAAGACCATCGGAGCCGTCTCGACCATGGCAGTCGTCCAGGTGAGCTTGATCATCCCCTCAATGACGGTGCCTCGCTGATTCACTAGATACTGCTTCCAGCTGCCTTCTTCCTCGGCTCAGCTTCAGACGCCCAAGCATATTTCTCCACTGCCTTCGACTTTTCCCGACAGTTCATGTACAAATGGACCGTCAATTGGCGCTTCGTCCCCGAAGACGTCTTCCTCTCGAAAAGCTTTGCCGGATGGTTGCTTTGGCATCAGGTCACCTTCCTCCCCTCCCGTGACTGGAAGATCGGTAATCGCTGATATCTTCAGCTACTCTTCCTGGTCGGTTTCGCGCTGTTCAAATGGTCACCCGTTCCAGGCGGAACCCCTTCAGTTATCCTCAATGCGATATCCAAGCCCACCCGGGCAGCTATCGCACAGGCGTACTCCCTGCCTCGCCATCGTAAGCTGAAGTGATCAGATTGATACTTTGTCATCACAGCTGATACTCGCATAGACATCGCTCCCGTGCTCTTCAGTTCCAATCTCATCGGTATCGCTTTCGCCCGATCATTGCACTATCAATTCCACAGCTGGTACTTCCACCAAATACCGTTCCTGCTCTACTCTGGCGGAGCATGGGGCAACTTCCCCCTTGGGTATGTCGTTCTCGTCGCTTGACGTCTTCGTGGTCCCGGCTGACATCGCAGAATGGCATTATGGCTTGGAATAGAATACGCCTGGGCCACCTACCCTTCCACCAACCTCTCTTCGGGCATCTTATCGGTTGCCCACGCCGTCATCTTGCTTGGATTGCTCCTCTCACCAGCTTCTGGGACGAAGCTATCCACGTCAGGCCAGGAGCACGCTGCATCAAATGCCGGGTCGCGGATAACTGGGACAGCTCAGATGGACAGTCGGAAAGTCAGATAGCCAGCCGGAGGTATCTATAGATGTTGCATACGTTATGTGGGGTTATCAGGATCGAGTCTGATTTTTCCCGGCCGCGAGAATAGCCTACTCCACCATGTCCTCCCCTCTCTTTCTTCCGGACCCTGATCGACGAGCGACTTATTCAGATCCCTCTCCCCCGCAGCACCTGAAGTGCCCGCCAATCTCCCCTCTGCGCCGGAGCCTACGTCCGCCCCTCTTATACCAAGACCCCTTTCTCCGACTGGCCCACCCGCCATGATCTCCTGTATCCCCCTCGCGCCTTCGCTCCTGCTCCTCATCCGCCCTTCTCCCGGTCCGTGCCCCTCTGGTCCGGGACGAAGCATGAACCCTGGACTTGATGCGCCCAGTCCGATAGAGAATCCCGTAGGAGCTCCTACCGGCGCCAGCTCGGGAACGAGGGTTCCGTACCGCATCCGCTTGCGCCTTGGGGACGTGGGAGAAGTCGGGGAAGTTGGCGAGGGGAATGTATGGTGTCGCTGCATATCGGGTCGAGAGGGACTGCTTTCCGGTTCTGGGCTGTCGGCGTACGACGTTGGCTCGATGGTATGGGCCGGGGATAAGGCTGCGGTGTGCCGAGATCCGGGCGATATGGAGAGGAGGGGAGCATCCTCATCGTCGCCTTCCACCCAAGTACCGATGTCGACCCCGCCTTGCCCAGTGGGTTCGACAAAGGAGACGACCCATACACCGACCAGAAGTAGGGCGACGCCGATGGAGACGAGCACAATCTGGTGGGTCTTGAGCCGGGAGAATTGGTCGTAGAACACCAGACCATCTGTACATCAGCGTAATCTCAGAGACATGGGCATGACACATACCGAAGATGCTCGAGAGGTTGAAGAAGCAGAAGGCCAGGGGGCAGATCAAAGCTGGACTTGCAAACGTCAGACTATAGTTCAGGTAGACCAGCTGCGCCAGTCCGCCCGACAATAGTCCAGCGACGAGGAGCCAGCTCTGAAAGTGCTGAAACTGGTTGGCGCCCTTCCCCGTTCGATAGTATTCCAGCGTAATGATGAGCAGCTCTACTGCCGCTTTGGCGAGGACGAGCGACATGCCGCTTAGCACGCCCGACGCGGCCGCGAAGGACAGACCAAGAGTCATGATCGTCTTCTGCTGAGCTGGGGTAGGGTCCGCATAGGTGGCCAAGGGTGCCGATGTGGGGAGTGGGGCGAAGCGGACAGTGTGGGTCTTGGGTGGACGAGCGCCGGGCTGAGGATAGGCTGGATCGGTAGGCAGCTCGAGGGACGCGAGTGTGGGCAAGCCGGACTGCCGTGAGTCTGAGAGAGGAGCGGACCATCTCCGGCTGGTAGGCCGGAAGGGGATCGCAGTCGGGTTATGAGGACTGGCGTAGTTGGATGGAGGGAGAGATGGGGGCGGGGTGAGGGACCGGTCGTCCTCCTCCACGGGCAGGCGAACAGACCGAAGGGCTCGATATGTGAAGAAGGACACGACATGTGACTGGCTGTCAGCCGAGGTCTACTGCCATTCTCAGCGCCAGACTGACCACGCCCAGCACAATCAGTGTCAACCCAATGACCACCCAGAAGAACGCCAGGAAAGCCGGCCTTCCCCACAGCCTCAACAGCTCCTCAATCGAGTGCTCCGCCTCCTCCACGACCCCAAACACAGCAATCAATACCGCTCCCGCAGCCACTAACGTCGTCCCGCCCACCATGCGCGCGCCGAAGCGGTCCCCAAGAATAAGCCGCGCGAGGAGCGCATTGTAGATGAGCGAGACGGCTCCGAGGGGTGCGAGAATAACGATAGGGAGAGCGTCGAGCTGGAAGATCGTTCCGAGGATGTTGGTGACAATGTAGATCCCAAAGCCGACTAGCCAGAGTGGACGCTGGATCGGGCGGCGCTGTGAGGCGAGGGGGAGGGCGTCATTCTGGATGTGGGATTTGCGCTGGATCGTCAGGCCTTCTGGGTCAGCGCTTGCCCGCATATGAGCTGTGACATGAGGGATGCTGTGCTGGCCGTGGCGAGCTCACCCAGTGACTGGATAAAGGATGATAGCAATCCGACAATGATGGCCAAAACCACGCCGATTCCGCCCATCTTGACTGAAGCGCTAGCGGCTGTACGCGGACGAAGGATGTGGTCTCAAGCGCAGCGGTTATCGCAAGTAGACATGAGACTATAAGGCGAAGCAAAAGCTAATGAAGGAAGGAAGGAGACGTAGAAGGGCAAAAACGAAGGTGGAAAGCAAAGGAACGTGAACCAAACACAGGTGAGACATCTCGATCGCTCATATCGTTGCCGCCGGGCTGCTTGTGCGTGCATGAGCAGTCCGCTGTAGCCTGGACCGTCATGGGAGTTGCACGTAGAGGCGATTAAGGCATGACCATCTCTGCATAAGCCCGCCAACCAGCCCTAGCGACGATGCTCAAAGGACAAGCTCGACGTGGAGCTGATACCCTTCTTCCAACTCCCTATAATGTTCAAGTCGTCGCTTCCGAGCCTCAAGCACTTCCTAAGAGCTTTCAGCTCTCGCCTAATCTGGAAGTTCGTATACCTGTACTCACCTCGGACTCCTCAAACTCAGCTACCGACGCAACACTGACCCTCCTTTTCCGGCTAGTACTGACTTCTTCCATCAAGCTATCGCCATCCCCAACCTCCGACCCAACTGAGACTCGGTCAAACGCCGTGTGATACTTTGCTGAGTTTCTGTCTGCGGCGTTCATTCGCGCGAGCACCTCGGCACCGCGCCACGCGCCTCTGCGTGTTCGTTTGGAGTGTCGATTCTTCTGGGGCGATCGCGATGGGTGTAGAGGTGATGTTGGCGGCTGAACAGAAGGCGAGCGGGATGCGGTGAAGGATATATGCGAGAGAGGTGGTGAAGGCGAACGCGGGGATAGCTGAGAGGACGGGGCGAAGGGAACAAGCAAAGCTACACAGTCAGCGGTGAGGTAACTCACGAGCGATAGAGACTTACCTGGATCTCCTCGGAATTGCCAAGCGCGCAAGGTAGATACGTCGGAATCAGGGACGGGAGAGAGGGGTAGCGCTTCATGACCGTCCGAAGAGGCGCCTTGAAAGTCTGGTTCGGGTGGTTGAGAAAAGTCATCGAATGGATAGTGAAGATCGAGCTCGGTCGTCACTCCGGCCGCTCCAGCTGACGCAATCTCGGAGACGTCTTTTGGGAGGGGACCTTGTTTCCGACTGTACTCGAGCGAATAGTCCTCCGACTGCTGGGTCAACGGGTCGCCGGTGGACTGAGTGGATTTGAGGAGGTCGCTCAACCGAACGTTACGTTTGACTGGGTCAGACGCGTTAAGCAGCTGGCTGAGTGTCGGCCGAAAGTCGTTGCCGAGCGGCTGATCCCGCTGGCGCTCGTCCGGGACGGAACGAGGTTGCCGTGAGGCCATGGTGTGCTGCGTATCGCCCGCCGTCGCCAAGTGCTGCAGGCGGAAGAGATCCGCCCCGGAGATCGCATGACGCTGCTTCCGTGCGGATGCCGGACGCACGAGGTCTTCTGCCTGTTCCCCTTCGTCCGAGATGCTCTCGCACCTTGCTGATTGGTCAACTGGAGCTCGGCTCGTCCTGGCAGTGTAGAACGTCGCCTCATCCGGCGAGTCCGAAGCGATGATAGCGGTTAGAGCCGAAGTTCGCCGAGCGGTGCGAGGTTCAGTCCCGCTTGAGCTAGGCTTGCGAGGAGTGGGCTGTCGGTTCCGGATAGTGCTCGAACGTGCTTTTGTCCGGGACGACGGTGAAGTGGATGGCTGCGAGTTGTCGTTCATCGACATGAGGATATCGTGGTAGATCGTCCCGTTCCGGATAGTCGGGTCGTCGACAGATTCGTTCCGTTCCGACGTGCCCGGTTGTAATGGAGCCGACCCTGTAGCCGACTCCACTGACCCTTGCACTGACCACAGCACATCCTCCTTCCACCCGTAGAGCGCTCCCATCTCATCCTCCATTACCTCCTCCTCTTCTGGAAACTCTTGACCCGCCTTGCCGGCTTCAGCGTCTTGGATGAGGCGATCCATGTCCTCCAGCTCCTCGCTTGTGCGCTCCTTCGGACTGAGAACGTAGGTGCTATCGAAGACGTCTTCCTTACGAGCGGTGCGGGTTATGGCAGGTAGACTGGGCGAAGAGAGATCTGGGATCAGCGATTGAGGCGAGAGTGTAAGCATGTCCGCCGAGCTCGGAAGGGAGCCGAGAGAGGAGAGCGACGATTCGGCAGAGACGTCTTTGCCCTGGACACCATGAGGGCGGGATTGAGACTGCGATCGAGAACGGATTTTGACTGCTGGCGTCGAGTGGACGCCCATACTCTGATCATTAGCGTGTGACCAAGATCAAGGATGCTATCTGACGCGATCTCTGGCATTGACACTCACCTTGCTATGGCTTCTCTTCCCCCTCTTCGCCGGCGTGCCCTGCATACCCATACCCAGCGCCCCCTTCCGCTTCTTCTTCTCGCTCGTCCCTCCACTCCCCGTCGTCCCAGTCCCAGTTCCAATGCCACCTGCCTTCGGCTGTCTGCGCCAATTCGAAAGACCTCCCGCGACAGTAGGTTCATTCGATGACGCCCGTGACATGTTCTTGCGACGGCGCTTCTGCGACTCGGTCAGGCCGAGGAGGGAGGACGGGGACCGAGTGAGGGGAGGAGGCTCGGCTTGGTGAGGGAGGGGCGAAGTGGGTACGACCAAGCTGTGAAGCACCATGACGCTGATGAATCCAGCTGCTGCCGCAGAATGTATAGTCGAGGCTGTCGCTAGAGCTTGAATGCTTGAAAGATCGTGTGGGCTTCGCCCGAAACCATAAAATTTTGCCTCGCGGTATGAGTCGTCCATGAAACCTCTTTGGGGTCCTACGGGAAATCGTCTCACGACACACCATTGAGTACCAGACGTCCTAGGAAACGCCGGCACGCAGGCGATTGCGCCCACTACTGCGTATGTATGCCCGCGTTCGGCGGGTCCATCAACTGACCACCGTATCGTAAGGACCACACTCTCGGCTGATGTCTTCACTGTAGTCAGGATCTTAAAAGTGGCTTCCCTGTACCGTGCCGCGAAGTGCACCGGGCACTTGCGAGATCTGCGGCGGAGAGGCCTGGCCAAATGCACGAACACCTGCGCCGCTCGTTGGCCTGGACTCATCATTTGTTGAAGAGGGGTTCAGTCCTCGAGGGCGTAGACGGCGCAATTCGTTTCCGACACCGAGACATCGTCTGCCTTGACGGCCGGGTCGTTGCGTCAGTCTGACCTTATCAGCCGCCTGCCGGGCACCATCATTGGGGACCTCCCACATCATGTCGTGTATACGATACATGCAATCTTCTGCTAAGGCTGTATCAGCGAGGTGTGTGTCGCGATACTACAAGAAGTTGGCGTTCTTCGTTCCACATAGGCTTAGATCGGATTGAGCGGCTATGCTGAGTCAGCCAACACGTTAGAGCTGACACTTTGCCTTCCTTCGCTCCAGCCTCATGCCCAACTCACACATTGCTCCCTTGGCACGCCGCGCGAGATACACAGCTGCCTCCGCCGATCCACCACCTTCTGCACCGCCCGATCGTACTCATCCTCCCTTGGATCCCAGACCAGGCGGGACAGCCAGCCCTGAAGCGCCTTGTCTCCCCCTTTGCCTTTGGTCTCGGTCCAGGGTATCTTGCCTTTGGCTGCCGGTTTGGTGGACGGCGGGGACGGTTGTCGGCTCGGAGAGGATCGGCGAGCGAGCCAGAACTGCGGAGGGAGGTCGAGAGGGAGTTGCTACACCGATCAGCTGTGTTTCGCCATCCGGAGCAGCCCGCCCGTTACCCGTACGTGAGAACGAGAAAGCACTCACTTCAGCGCTGAACTCAATGTTCCGCTCGATACTCTCCGCAAAAACTCTCGCATACCACAAGACCTCCTCACTCTCCCTGGCGGCACGCAGTGCACACTCGTACGCCTCCTTCATGCTGACCGACATATCGCCCGCCCTTGCCATTCCGATCGCCCCCGCGATGGGTCGAAGTGGGCTGTAGAGGAGTTCCTTGCCGATCCAGCCCCGCTTCCTTCTCGCATCCGCCCGCTTCCACTTTTGCAGCTCGCTCAGTCCCTTCTCGTCCTCCGTTTGATCGTCCTCCACGCTGCTCACATCGTGACCGCATTTGATGACTGCGAGGCCGACGACATCCTCTCCCCACGCCAGCCGACGCGCCACCTCCCATATCGCCCACATGAGGCTGCGGGTCCCGCTGATCCAAGGGCTCTTTTCGTCCTTGGGCGTTCCAGGACGCTCCTCCAGCCGACTAGGGATATTGATGAGTCCCTGCCGCATTTTGCCGTTGATATGGTCAACCATCGTGTGACGGGCGTACGGACCGCATTCCCAGCCCGGATCGTTCGCATCGAGATTACCGAAGACCTTGAGGTAGACTGACGGGGGTATCGCGTGATGCTCATTGTAAGGGAAGAAGCCGGATGAGGCGGATTGGCCAGTCCACAAGAGAGTGGAATGAGGAGCACGCTCCGGCGAGTGGACGCGGAAGGCGTGGGTATGTTGCTGCGCACAAGACAGTAGATTGAGGAATTCGGCGGCGGCCTCGGTCTCCTGAGCGCCCCGGGGTGTGCGATGGGCGCCGCCACCGCGGACGGTGGAAGCCGAAGACGGGTCGGGTGAGGGCCGGCGATTGACTGGAGTAGAGTAGAGCGAGGCGGTGTCACTTTGCCCGTTCGACGGGCTGGGGGTGGGCGGAGTGGTCGTCCTGCGAGGCATGTCGGGTGGCAAGCCAGGCGGCTATGTCTTTGAACAAAGATGAGGCAAGGAGGAGAAAGAAGGCAAGAACGATTTCAGTAGAAAGGTCAAGTTCTTCGGGCTTCTTCGCCGAAGACGGCGCACAGACTTCAAGCGACTGCAGTGCGCACGATCAGTATGTCACCACGCTCGGACACTTCTCCCTCAAGCAGGTCAAAGCGCCGCGTAAGGACCGTCAGCACAGACACCAGATCTCCAGCAGATGCATCCCGCCCGCCTTGGCCAAGGCTCGGCCGGAACGCCCTCATACTACGCCTGCGCCTCTGACCCACACCTCATCCGCACCCATCTTCCGCTCCCACCATCTTCTCCCCTCGTGCGCGACCATGCTCGTCCCCGCCAGTCCCAAGAGCGTGAGCAGATCCCGCAAGCTCAGAGCTTCGGTCTGGAAGACATGTTGCAGTATCGGGACGTAGACGAGAGCGAGTTGGGCGACAAACGAGACGCCGACGGTGAGCGAGAGCATGCGGTTCCGGAACATGGCGCAGGTGAGGCCACGATTCTGTAATGCCGAGACGAGATCGAGGAAGACGAAGCAGGTAAAGGTCTGCCGGTCAGCCGAGTTATCGACGGCGAGCTGAACACATACCATGGTCTGATCTCTTCTTGTGATGCCGTCCCCCATCTCGTACACATACACAAACAACGTCCCCAGCACGATCATCGCCGCCGAGAACCCAATACGCATCATCAACCTGCTGCTGAGGATCTGCTCATTCTTCTTTCTCGGCGGCCGCTTCATAATCTCCCTATCCACCGGGTCGACTCCCAACGCCTGGGCCGGCGGACCGTCCATGAGAATATTGATGAACAGGATCTGCATGGCGTTGAGGGGATTCGCGAGCTCGAAGAGAGTGCTGATGGTGATGAGGGAGAGGGCGGCGACGGCGGTGGATAGCTGGAAGGAGAGGAAGTTTTGGATATTGTAAAAGATGGATTTGCCTTCTTCGACAGCAGGGAGGATGGAGCTAAAGTCGTCGTCGACGAGAATGACGTCCGCCGCTTCCTTGGCGACGTCGGTACCCGACTTGCCCATCGAGATACCGATATCCGCCATTTTGAGGGCGGGCGAGTCGTTTACGCCGTCACCGGTCATGGCGACCACCGCACCACGCATCTGCCACGCCTTGACGATAGCCATCTTGTGCCGAGGCGTGGTGCGCGCAAAGACCGTGACGTTTGGTACGCGCTCGATGAGTTCCCGCTCGGAGAGCTGGTCGATTTGCGTGCCGAGCATACAGCTGGTGAGAGCCGAGTGCGCCGAGTGGGAGTGGGAGGGATTGACCTTGAGACCGAGTTCACGAGCGATGGCGAGGGCTGTAGCCTCGGCGTCTCCGGTGATCATGACCACTTGGACGCCGGCGCCATGCAGCGCCGAGACCGCATGAGCGACCCCTTTCCGGGGGGGATCCATCATGGCTTCGAATCCGACAAAGATCAGATCATTCCCAGGATCCTCCACTCCGCCGTTGACCGAGGCCGCCTTGCCATTCGGCGCCGAGGGGAACCCATACGCCATGGCAATCACCCTCAATCCGCGCTTCGACACCTCCTTCGTCCGCTCCAGAATCAACTTTTGCGTCGCGGGATCAAGCGAAGGCGTCGAGCTGTCCGTGACGTAGTAGTACCGACACCGGGCGAGTACAGCCTCTGGCGCACCCTTGAGGTACACCATGTCCGCCCCGCCATTCATCGAGCCAGTGACGGCCATGAATTTGTTTTCCGAGCTGAAGGGGCATTCCGACTTGCGAGTGAAGTTTTTCCGCTCATCCTCCCGCTGGAGAAGGGGGAGGACGTTGAGAAGGGCGACCTCGGTGGCTTGACCGACGTTGAGGCCAGTCTCGTTCCGAAAGGCGTTATTGCAGACGCTGCCGATGGTGGCGGTCTTGAGCATGGCGTGGGAGGGAGTGAATGCGGGATGGTCGGGATGGCGGGGGGCGAAGGGGTCTTTGTTGACGTGAGGTGTGAGGTCCATGAGATCATCGACGGCGTAGAGGTGCGTTACGGTCATTTCGTTTGTCGTGAGGGTTCCTGAAGGGTCAGCTTGCTATAGCAAGTCTGTACTCACCAGTCTTGTCCGAGCAGATCACGCTGACGCTCCCGAGCGCCTCGACACTATGCAGCTTCTTGACGATCGCTTTTCGCTTCGACATCCGTAAGACGCCGAGGGCAAGAGTGACGGTAGTGACAATGGGCAATCCTTCTGGAATAGCAGCGACAGCTAGTGACACTAGAACGGTCAACTGGAACTTGGACATTACGGCTCGTTCTGTACGTACCTCCTATTGTGAACATCTCGAGCCAGCCCCGCTTTTGCCAAACCCCAATGATAATGATCACGCCGATCACGCCGAACGAGAAGATGGAAAGTCGTTTCGCCAGGTCATCCATTGCCATTTGCAGCGGCGTCCGTTTTTCTTCCACCTGGCGTATCAGCTTTGGCCCCACCGGGATCGAGGTGGAAGGGGTAACTTACATCCTGCATCATCGAGAAGATCACGCCGAACTCGGTATCAGTCCCGGTTGCGACGACGATACCGCTCCCATGACCTGGTAGATCAGCCTCCACCCCAGCGACTTTGTATCTTGGCAGAGACCAGAAAAGGACGTACCACTCCGGACCAAGGTGCCCATGAAGCCCACACATCGCCTTTCTCCGAGCCCCTTTCCTCCACCCTCCCCATGCGTATCCTCCCCTACGCCACTGACACATTCTTCCACTCTCTTCCTCGACGGCCGCGTCTCGCCCGTCAAGGCCGACTCGTCAATCTCCAACCCAATAGCAGAGATGAGCCGGACGTCGGCGGGAACGCGGTCGCCTACTGAGAAAGTAACGAGGTCACCTGGGAGGAGGGTGTTGGCTAGGGGAGAAATCTGCTGAGAGTTGCTGCGGGGTCAGCTTGGGCCCAGACGAGGTCAGAAGCAATGGTTATTTACCGGACTAGGTGGCAGTAATGGGGTACCAGCTGCCATGGTCAGCGAGTTCTGACATTTCGCGACAGACTGGGAGACGTACCTTGTTGAGAGCTTCTAATGACTTTTCTGAGCGCTGCTCCTGGACAAAGCCGACTGCCAGATGAGCGTCCGTTTCCTGTCCTGTCCAGCAACTCCCTTCCCCGCAACTTGGCTGAACCGCAGCTTGCGGCGAAAACGAGAGGCTAGACTCACCAGTGAGAACGATAGCAACAGCGATGACCACACAGATGGCATCATCATAGCTTCCCAATAACGCGGACACCACACTACTTCCCAGCAATAACAGGATGAGCGGGTTCTCATACACCTGCTTTGCGAATTTTAGGGCGAGGGGTTCGGAGGGGGGTACGGAGAACTCGTTGGCGCCGTACCGAGCGAGTAGCGCTGGTAATTGGGTGTTGGACAGGCCAGAGGTGGGGTCAGTGGAGAAGGCTTTGATAGTGTCCTGCGGGGATCAGAATGAGTTCAGTCTAGCTGCCAAGCAGCATTAAGCAGACTCACCTCTACGCTCTTATGTGCGTATATCGCGCTTGGCGTCTCCCGCTGTCTCCTTTCCGTCTCCGCTCGTGTTCGCGCCTCTTCCTCCGCCGAGTCTACAACCGCCTCGTAGCCTCCTGACGCGCCGACCAATCTCCTCCCTGCTCTCAGCACTCTGTCCAGTAATCCCTCCTCCCCTCCACTTCCACTAGGCCTCGGCACGCTCGGCGAGTTGGCGTACGCATAGGGATTATCTGGCTGATATTCCCCAGGACCCGTACTGCCTGTCCGTTTCCGGTATGGAGACAGACTGGAAGAAGACGAGGCGTGAGGACTAGACGAGCGGCCGAGGAGCTGAAAGTGGTCGGATGAGGCCTGGCGCCGCAGAGTGGTCGAGTAGGCGTACCCGCCGCTTGGACCTCCGTTGGAGCCTTGCTGAGGAGATAGACCGGTACCTGGCTCGTCGAGGGAGAGGAAGGCCGCGCTGGGGGTTTCTGGGGTGGATGGAAAGCCCTTGCCTAGCCCTGCGTGGGCTGAGCGTCCGTACGCCGTGCTCGATGCGACTCCGTTGGACATGGAGCCCCCAACGCCTGGGGTAGGGACTGGAGTGGGCGACGGTACAAGCCCAGGAGTAGGCAGAGGAGAAGCAGCCCTGCGGTGCGGTGGAGGCGACCGTCGTTTGTGGGCAGTCGAATGGGACATGCTGCCTTTTTAGGCAAAGCACGGAGCTGGCGAAGCTGCGGGCTAATGCGCTGCTGAACGGCGCCGATCCGAGAAGAAGTGCCGAGCCGATATGGCCTAGATCAAGGCCCGCTAGTCTGTGTCGTAGACTGACAAGAAGTAGCTAGTGAATACAGCTCCTGCGCCTCGACGCTGAGCTTGATCATGAGGAATGGGACGCGACGATCTCCGCCACGTGGTGACCTGACTGCTTTCTTCGCGGTCACCCCGCTCGCGCGGCAGCTGCGGCTGCCAGCAAAGAGTCCTAGTAGAAGCCTGGGCTTCGCTTGCAGGCCCAGGCCCTGACTTATCTACGAGTGGCAGGTGAAACACGTTCAGAACCAGCTGGGCTGGATGTCCGAAGGTGTGCCCGTCTCTGGTCATTCTCGGCCAGAAGCCATCATGCCGCTTGTATCCTGCTTCTCTCCCCTCGATGACCGCGCAGGTCAGCGCATCGGAAGTCTCCAGTGCTGCTCGACAGCCCAAGCCCATGCATCGCCCACTCCCTATTCTTGTCTAGTGGTGGTGCTCGTGCCCGCCCTCGAGGAGATGTGGGTCGCCTTGGAAGTTGAGAGCGTAGACTGGACAGTCAGCCAGAGCTCCGACGCACTATGGTACAGGGCCTCGTGACTGGTGTCATGTGGAGGGACTCACCACATCCGCACTCCTGGCAGCGGTGGTGCTTCATCGAGTGGTTGACGGTCATCCAGATGGTGTCGTGCGAGTCGGCGGGGAAACCAGTGCAGCCGACTTGACGCTCGGGGTACTGAAAGTCAGCGCCACCGTATGCGGAACGCCTGGGGTACAGGAGACGCCGTAGAACCGATGCCAGCGCAATCTCGCCCCGCGATTCGGCCAGCAATTCCCCTCTGCGAGCGTCCTCTGTAATCGAAATGCAGACTCACCAAAGAGTAGATCTGAACCGGCTCTTCCAGCGTGCCCAGACGGGTCATCTCAATAGCCTTCATGTCGAATACATCCACGCCTTCGAGTTTACCGAGGAGCTCGAATCGCTCGAGACCGGTCGCCTGCTCTTCACTGCGGGTATCAGCTACGGGGCCCAGCAGGGACCAGCTTCCATGCTGTACTGATGGAAGAGGATCTTGCGGTATATCTTGGATCTCTGACCATCTATACTTACTCGGATGGGATAGTGCCAGCCTTGGCACCAGGACCGAGAAGCTGAGGGGGACCGGCACCTGCCGAGCGAGCCACAGATGTAGAGAACGCCTTGACTGGCGCGAACGCTGCTGGACGGGGAGCAGCGGCGAGCCGTGCGAGAGGGAGGGCGCGGAGCGAACGGAAGACTGAAGCCATCCTATCTAATTGTATAGTATGTTTTGCTAGTCAAGTCACTGTTGCTTGCTGCTCCCGGTCATGATCAGCTCGCCGCGGGTGGACCCGCATTTAGATTCCGACTAGAAACACGTGGCTTGGGGCAGGCAGGGAGGGACGCACGCGGGGTTAGCGGCGTTTTCCGGGTGAGGGTGGCGAGTGGCATCGTGCCGCGCGTGATTTCCGTGTTTGCTGAGCTGAGGTGAGCCAGATGACGCGAAGGAGTACAGCTCAGTCACATCGATCCAATCGCTTCGATCGTGCCTTGTAACAGCCATCTCATGCTTGCACACGCGCCCTCCACCTCGACAAGGCGCAGGACATAGCCTGCTATTGACACGAGATGCCCGCCGCCGCATACCTTCCCGATCCTGGCAAGTGGATCGCTGTCGCGCCCCCTCCATCTCGCGGAAAGCAACGACCCCTCGTCGCCCACAGACATGGCTTCCCTACCCCGCCTGCCTCCAACCCCCGTCATCGTTCCTCTTCAGTCTCGACCAACGAGAACCTCCCGGCGGTCAAGCCCACTGCGGGCCCTTCGCGATTGGGTGAAAGCAAACAGGGGGGCTTGAGCGGATGGCTGACTCCACCCACAACCTCCTCGCAGCCTCGCAAGCGGATCGATCGGGTCAAGCAGTCGCTCGCGGAGAGCAACACAGCACGGGGCAGTCCATTGTCCCGATCTGCGGCGCCAAAACCTGGACGGGTACTAGGGAAGCCGGCGGGATCGAGGCTGGCAGGGAAGGTGGAGATCAATGACTACTGGAAGTCAGAAGAAGAAGATGAGATTGAGGCGGATGAGGAGGAGTTGCCGCGAGCTGGACCATCGCGTCTCCCTGCTCGGGGCGCGTCGCCCACGCAAAAGCGGCAGATTAAGGAAGAATCGGCGGTGCGCTCCTTACCCCCTGGTCGTATCCTATCCCGGAACGCATTCAGCTCGGGCGAACTCTCCGATCTTCCCTCGGCCTACTGCACCAGCGACGAGGACGACATCAAAGCATCCTCACCCCGACCTCCACAGCCCACAGTACCCGCCATCCCTCCAGCTGTCCCACCATCCCTCGCACCTCGTCTCAATGCCCATCTCGACCCTACGCAGGGGACGACGCACCTCTATCACGTGATCGAGCCGGATCTCTCACAACGACCCATGACTCAGGCACCCCCAGAAGAGCTTGCAATGCTTTGGCGAATTAACGGGATGAGTACCGATCGGATCGAGGGAGGCGAGGTGCCGTGGGGCAAGAGCGCTGGGTATCAGCAGACTGAACAGTTGAAGAAACTGGCGGCAGGGAAGAGGAGGGAGGCCTTGGCGAAAGCGGCTATGGGCAGGGAGGACGGGTCTGGAGATGACACAGAGCTGGATGAGGCGATCGAGACGATGGAAGAGGCTGTCGAGGTTGTAGCACGTGCTGCGAAAAAGTCAGCGCGGAGGGCCAAGCGGGGTGTCGAATCGGGCGCAGGTGTGAATAAGAAGGAGGAGGGATCGGAGGGGACTTCAGCAAAGCGAGTCCCTTTGTCTCCAATGGGCATCAACGGACGGAAAGGGATCCGGAAGATGCCACCCGGCTCCCCTACCCCTCGAAAGAGCACGAAACGTCGGCGAGTCGAGGTGAGACCAGACTCGCCATCGCATCCTCCAGCTGCTCCGCCTTCAGCTGCTCCGGCGAACCCTGTACACGCACCCAAAGTAGATTCGCCACCTCCTCGTCGGTCCACCTCACCACTTCCTCCCTCTCCCCACCCGGTCCGGGCACTCACTCCCCTCGAGTCCGCATCGTCACCCCCGAGCGAGACTCTCGACCTGTTGCTCAATCCATTAGTGGAGGAGGCAAGGCGAGATGCTATGGCAAGGGACATCCAGCGGACACAGGCATTGCGACCACTCTCACGCGCGCTTCGCTGTCGTACCCCCACACCCGAACCTCTACCGCCTCGGTCGTCTAGACACCACTCGGTCACTCCTCCCAAGCTGCGCCCAGCCAGCACTAGACGTTCTCCGATAAGCTTCGACTCCTCCCCTTCCCCTCAGCCCACCTTCCCTTCTCCACCTCCGGGTGCCCCAGCGGGGCCGCGCGACTTTGAGGCGGTCGACCGGATCGAAACGCTCTACTCATACTCGTTTAGTGTGGGCGCGCCAGGCAGCAGCCAGCTCGCACCCGAGCCAGTTGCTGGGGGCATGGATGCGGATGTGGCTGGGCAGGCGAAGGCACAGGTGGAGGGCGATGCAGAACCAGATCGGACGCAGGATGATGCGGTCATGGAGGAAACGGAGAAGAAAGACGCAGAGCAGGCGGATATTCCCCAGGGTGAAAGTGTGAGTGACCATATGTTCCTGAATGAGTTTCCAGCTGACATCCCAGCTTGCGGCTACAGAACATACCCAGTCCTATCCCGCATTCGTCGCTTCGCAACTCCGACCTTCCAAGCCCAAAGCCCCGCGCAAATCAAGTGGCTGGCAATCCCTCACCCATGGCATTCTCTCGGCGCCTGTACTCGTCCCTGCCTCTCCTCCACCCGCCGCGTCCGGATCAGGCACGAAGCGCAAAGCCCGTTCCTCTGGGCCCGCCAAAGCCGTACCGAAGGTGGAGTCGCAGAGCAAGCTGGAGGCGTTTGGGATCAGGAAAGAGAGGCCGGTGAAGCCTGTCAAGGCGTTCGAGGGGGACTTTGAGGATGAGATGGAGATCGAGGAAGAGGAGCCGGGGAAAGCGGGGCCGTCTCGCCCGGCGGGGAAGAAGTTGCGGGAAATACCGAATGCGCCGTACCATCCTGCGTTGCGTCCGGCGGGTATCAAGGCAATGAAGCAGAGGGAAGCGGCGGCGGCGACAGCTCGGCCTCGGACCCGGGCGCAAACCAAGGGGAGTGACCGCAGCTCCTCGCCCATCCCTCTCGTCGACCCTACTCCACATCGCCCGACCGTCAGGCGTAAAACCGGGAGCAACCTCTCGCCACCGTCGAGCACACCACCGGGCCGAAGTCCGGTCTCTTCCTCACTCTTGACAGATACCACGGAGGAGCAGGATACGCCAGAATTTCTCAGGGAGTGGCAGCTTGAGCAGGATGGGCGGTAGGGGCGTATTGATCAGAGGACGTCGTTGCTCGTTGTATAAACGGCTGGAGTACATAGGCAGGATCGGAACACATTGTAGCTATTGACCTGAACTGACTTATATCCAAGGGGATTGTCCGTAACCCTCTACTAGTATTCATAAAGACTTCGAAGGTACTCGCGCTCTACTTGAGGAATTATCTTAAACCACTAAAAGCTATGACCAGTGTATACAGTATGGAAACGTCTCGCCAATAAGCGGCTCCTTCAAATCCTGCCTCCCCATCGCTCCGCGGCTCTCCCCACAAGTCAAGCGGCCCTTTCTTATCATCTTGCTATCCCCAATCGCCTTGAGCTCCAGCCCCCTCATCCCGACGGGTCCTTCGCCGCCGTCCGCCTGATCCCCTTCCAATCTTACGCCTGACCAGATCCGCACGCCTGGCAGACGGGCGTCTCGTGATGCGGCCGCCATTTGATCACATCGTGCTCCCCCCCTATGGCTCGTAATCCCATCTGAAGATACTCGCCTTGCGCTTCGCCGACGATCCGCTGCTGCTTCGCCGTGAGAGTGTACAGCTGAGCGCCGGAAGAGGTGGAGGGAGGTGGAAGTCCCGCGCTGGCGAGGATGGCGTCACTCAGCATGTGCGAATGATTACTGACTGTCCACTCCTCGCCCGAACAGTAAACCGTGAGATCTACTGCCTCGCTTCGCTTGCCTGCCGTTCTACGCGGAGCCCGGGCTTTGGCCATCCTGTCAAGGCTTATAGTTGCGCCAGCGATCGCCAATGCGAAGCATTCGCTGCCTTTGAGGTCAGAGACGAAGCGGGTCGGGACGCCGGTGGAGAGAGGGATGATCTCGTGGTAGAAGGCGTCGCTTACTGTGGGACGAAATCGAGACACGATAAGGGGGTCCGGCCGGCTGCGGAAGTGAACGACGCGGAGATATCGCTGTCCGATGTTGAGATCTGGGTTGGACGGGTTGGGCAGGCAGAGGGGACCCGAGAAGTTTCTGACGCACAGGTGTGAGATCGTAGATCCCGCAAGTACCCGCTGGAGTAGCTCAGCACACTCGTTGGCCGGATTTTGCGATGGTTCCGCGGCCTCTATGCAATGGCTATCGGTCCACTCTCGGTAATCCGTCCAGTCGGCATCGGCCCTGCCGTAAGTTGGAAACAGGTGAACAGTGGCGTGTTGTACCGGTCCAATACCTAAGGGAGCTTCGTAGTCTCTGGGATAGGAGAGTACAGAGTAGTGCATAGATCGACGATAGAGAGAGCTACAAGATACAGTGGGCTAATCTATAGACGAGAGCGCAATACGGTATTACCTAATAGCTAATTCCGACTCCGTAGACTGGACTTATCGCCATAGTCGATAGGATTGGCAATGCTCTTCCCATCCCAGCCCGACCGAGCCGACGCAGAGCATTGTGTATCTGCGTGACCTCCAGTTCACAATGGGCCATTCTCCGCCCCTGCTTTTTATCCCCGCAAACCTCCCAAAAGCTACCGCCGGCCCAGAGTATCTCGGCGTATTCGATTTCCGCCTTTTTATCCCTATAGTCGACGTAGAGCTTCTCGGTGAAGTGTAGGGGGGATGAAGGGGAAGTGAGGTCGATGTTGTTGAGGAGGGAAGGAAAGCGATCGGTCGAAATGATTCTGTAGAGGATAGGCGTAGCGACCGCGTTGAAGAGCTTGCGACATCAGCTCATCGTCCAGGGCAGTCGTGTCATCCTCTTTACGGTATGAGTCGACCGACTGACCTTGGATACCCGGCACAGACTGGTCAAGTCATGCTGGGAGAATACGGACCGACTGGAAGGTCGCGAGAGCGGCGCAGGGAGGGGTTTGCGTAGATGTGTCAGGATCAGGATCCATACCTCCCGAGGTATATGGGATGTATCGGTGGGAATAAGATTCGACATGTTGTCTGGAGGGGAAGAATGAAGGTTGATTGAGAGTGCGAAGCTGATGGGATTTGATAATTAGGGTTGGCAGCCTCGCCGTCGCCTCACCAACTCCACATTCCTCCTTTGCTTCCGTGTTTCAAAGTACCTCCGGCGGAGAAGTGGCACATGCCAGAGGTGCCCCCTGATCCCCATCAGCGGCCGGACAGGATGATCATTATAAGCATGAGGGCACCGTAATCTATTAATGGGTCAATGTCCGCGTCTATGGCATAATCTCGTCCCGCCTCGTTACTTGCCTCTCATCCCACCCAGAACCTAGCCAGCGCGCCGGCAACATTCCGCATGCTCTTCTCCGACTTTAGCTTGCTGCCCTTCTCCTTCTCCTTTGGCTTGTCCCTGGCCCCAGCTCCCTCCTTGACTGTTTCCTGCTTGGCCCCATCCACCACTTTGGTCCCGGTCCCTACACCGCCGCCCTTTCCCTCCGAGCCAGAATGACTATCCAGCTTGGTCGAACTCCCAGACCCCGCGCCCTTGATCTGGCTAGTGGGCCTAGACCCATTCGCCAACGCCGTCGATGACCCATTCGCGACCGAGCGCCTGTCACGGGACATCTCTCGGCCGTACTCGCCATGTGGACCCGAGTTGGCTCCCCGTTCTTCGGTCCACGAGACATTTCTAGAGCTCGGAGTGGAGTTGAGTACCGCCTCGCCGCCGCTGTTGTACCGCATAGCGCTGGGAGGAGGCTGACGACCGCGCATAGTAAGGCTGTCGCGGTCTGGAGTGGTGTCCGTGGTTTGGGTTTGCCGAAGCCGCTGCTTGTCCCGAAGGCTGCCTTTTTGAGAAGAGACGTCTGCGTCTGCGTACTCGGCATCATCCCAGAATATGGTAGATGAGCGGGGTAGCGGTGCCCGCCCAGGCACGCGGGCGGTGTTGGGTACTGATCCGCCTAGGCTGGGGTCCTCCCGAGTTGCTGGTGACCCGTTTCCGCCGGCCGCACCGCGGTACTGCCCGCTCCCGCCCTGACCCTGATCACCAAACGAAGCGGGCCGGGAGCGGTTGTCGTCGCTCGCGCCACGGATGGCCTGCGGCGCGCGACGAGGCGAGCTCATCGATGCGGGTGACTTGGTCCGAGTGGGAGGTTGAAACAGCTCGCTTTGCCGCCGAGAGGAGCTGGACGATTCGCGCCTCGAGTGTGGAGGACGCGCAAAGGGCGCCTGCGGTGGCGGCATTGCCATGGACGGGTAAGAAGAGAAGTTGACCGATGCGGACTGGGGGAAACCGGTATAGTAGGGCGCCGGCGACATGTAGCTTTCAGGGGCCTTGAAGAGCAGATCCGGAAGCCGCGTCTGGGCCATCATGAGCTTTTGGAATGCCAAGAGCGTGTAGTACGCCTCGTTTCCGGCGTTACCGACGGGCACGAATGGGGGAGACGGAATTTGCAGCGTTTGCAGGAGGGCTGAGAGGGATGTGAGAGGCGTTTGTCGGTCGGGCGTGCCTTGAACGCCTTGTTCCTGGGCCCGGCGGAGGAGGTTATACTCGAGAGCGAGTACGTCGATGTGGAGGATGTTGGCGGGAAGTGTAGATGATTGGGGAACGGGGAGGGGTCCTGGTTCGCCGAGGGTCAAGAGTACGAGGGTATTGGCGTTCGGATCGTTGTCTTGGGAGGCCAGAGCAGCAAGATTTGCACTGGTCGTTAGTCAGGACTTGATCGCGGACGTACTCTAAAATGCGTTCAACATCTCTTTCCGCGATGTACTGGCTTTTGCCGAAAGCGTACGCCCGAGGGTAGCTGGGCGGGTTCTGGTTGGTCCGCTACAGATATGAGCGCCAGCAAGATGTCGACTTACCTTGTCGACCCATTCCTCCATGATGCAGTGAGATTTGCGGTAGTTCTCCGTAGGCGTTGGAGGCCAAACTTCCTGTCGAGCGTTAGCCAAGGCCAAGCGGCTATTAGGGATTGCTCACGACAGCTCGCAGATTTGCACACCTGACAACTGCCATTCCGACTTCCAGGACAAGTCCCTTCCCCTGCTGCCCACCTCCTGCCGCAGCTGGGCCTGACCGCCCTCCTTGCGTCCTCCCACTCCCGGGGATCAAGCCCGACGGTGCCCCTCCCTTTTCCCACCATGTCGTCCGCACCGCTGCAAAGGTATATCCCACGCCATTGTCCCGCATCCCTACGGCGCCGGCGCCGCTTTCACGCTCTGCCGAGGGTCCGCCGGCGTAGAAGAGCTGTTCGGCAACCGCTACATCGCCTGTTCGGGCACGATGCCGGAGATGGGACAGCTCGGCGGCGGGAAGGGTGAGCGATAGCTTGCGGTAAGCTGGGAGGTCGGACAGCTGAATGAGTCGGCGAAGGGAAAGTGTACGGGTCGGGGCGGGGGAGAGGGGTAGCGTTGTAGGCGGATCTTTTGCCAGTGACTCGCCGAATCTGCACATGAGCTCCGGCAGATGATGTAGACGAAAAGCTCACCTCGTCCGGATCATCTTGGCAAAGAGGGCAATTTGTTCCCTGCGGACAGCAATGTGTGCTCGGCCTGTACGAGCATCCACGACCACTGCCTGTCAGCTCGCAGAATCGGACAGACTTACCCATGACCTCCCATCCAAAGCCAAGAAAATCGTTGAAGGTCGCAAAGTAACCACCCCATGACTTGGCCCACCACTCCGATCCGGCGGCTTCGAATTGACCCCTTAGGCATCAGCTAGATCTGGCAGTGTACTGTAGCAGACTTACAGATACGCTGCGTAGATCGAGTGCAGATCGGTATCAAAATCTACCGCGTTCCCATACTTGGTCGAGTCCATCGTACCGTCACGACCGCGAGGCTACCTTTTGTAGAGGAGATGGCTCCAGTAGAGCTGGCTGCCCGCACGTGAGGTCCTGCGTTGTTGGCCCCGGAGGCAGTGGGCAAGGTCTAAGACAGCTTGGTTGGTGAAACTGCCCCGTGTGTTCGGCCGAGGGTTTTGAGCCGGTTCCTCGAAAGGTACACGCGGTCAGCGTAAGCAGCGGCCGTGCGTTGGTCGTGCTAGGAGACTGAGAGATCTGAAGTCTTCTATACTCCTAGCGGCCGGAGTCGGTCGGGATCGGGGTGAACGTAACCGAAAAAGGAGGGGTGGAAAGGGGTAGCGTGTAATATGTCGGTGGCGACCGAGGTAAAGGGCGACAAGACGGGGTGGACCACGTTTACGCTAGTGCTGTAAAAGCTATGTATGGGGCAGGTGTTGCGGCCGCCGCCTTTGCTTTCCGCCCTCGCCCTCGTCGCCCTGCCTGGCCGTTGAGTATAACGTTTGGGCGCACAGATCAGATCGCAATCATCACGGTCTTCCCTTCAGATGCCCGGCCCGAGCACGCGGAGCCCCATATTCACCAGCGCTGATCAAAGAAGCGATCGATGTGCCTGACTGGCTTGGCGCCACAGAGTCCACGCCGGCCACAAAGAAATCGCATACTGGCTAATGAGGCTACAAGTATATCTAGGTGCTTCTAATACTACAAATTATCACCGTCCTGACTCCGCCGCTGTCTCCGCCGCTTCAAAAGTAAGGGTTGGGGATGTTCGGATTCACCAACCCAAACCCAGGCGCCATTTGATGCCTCGGTGCCGCACCGTACTGCTCCATTCCCATCCCCTGCCCATACTGCTGATTCTGGCTGGTATACGGCACCGCCGGGGGACCCATCTCCTCCCCGACTTTTCGCTTCTTGCTACGCCCCTTGGCCGCATTGCTCCGCGCCACTGCCCTCGCCGCCAAGACGTCATCTTTCAATCGCCGATTGAGCAGCCGGAGCTGGTGCAACTCGTACTGCCATGATGTTCCGCGTGTAGTTTCGAGCTCCTCAAAGAGGTTGGACGAGCCGGCATGGGCTATGGGCCGCGCGTTGGTGAGATTGGAAATGGCGACTGGGTTGGGGGACGTGGTGGAGGTGGGAAGGAGGTTGTTGGGGATGCTGGAAGGGGTGAGGAGTTTGATTTGAGCGACGAGGAAGGCCGGCTGGGATTGGGACCGGTGGTCACCCGTTGACGAGGCAGGTGATTCCGAGGATGAGGAGGGACTGCTGTCGTCGCGGGGATCCGACTTGGATGTGTACAGGATGGTGATGACGTCCACCTGCTCCCCTGACCGCTTGACTAGCTTGTGCGTGATCATCACCACGGCCTTCCGCGCAGCGTTGAGTGCCTTTGCGACGACCGAGACCGGGGAGCTGGGGTCTTGGTCGACACTGGAAGCGTGCGGTGGACCATTGTCGCCCCCGGGAAGGATGGAGAAGAAGGATTGTCCGACAATGTCGTCTGCCCGCTGGCCGAGAACTTCCGTGACGGTGGACGTCGCGTGGAGCACCAACCCCTGGAAAGAGATTTTCGCCCAGAATTCCTTTTCTGCCAGACCGCCGTGCTTGGCGATCGAGTCCCAAGGGAGGACAGGTACCGACCGCGCCCGCCCGGATAGTATGACGGCCTTCCGGCCTTTTCCAGGCTCGACGTGGAGTCGGCCGGAGCATTCGACCCAGACGTAGCCAGAGTTTTTGTGCCGTATCCGGAAGACGAGATTGACGGCGCGAGCTTGGGCGCCCTCGCCTGGGGCATGGGTAGAGTCCTTGAGCTCGCGCATTAGGGGGACGATGTCGGAGGGATGACAAATGTCTGAAATGTTCTTGTTGAGGAGGTCCTCGGGCTCGTACTGGAGGACGCGGCGGACCGAGGGGGAGACGTATTGGAAGAGGCCTTTGAGGGAGAGGACATGGATAAAGTCTGGGATCAGCTGTGTCGAACAGGTAACTCACCATCCGAATTTTCAATGACCATCTTGAGCCAGTCCATCTTTGGCCCTTCATCCCCTTCACCAAATGATGCTGCGGTGGTCCGCGGCCCCATGATCTCCAGCACCTCCTGGCTCAGACCGCTCGTGCTTGGCTCCCGCCCCGCCGGCCGCAAGGGGGCCTGAGGCGGGTTCGCCACCGTATAGTTGACCTGATAGCTCCCGTCGCGCATATTCCGCAGAATGGCATTGGGCTGCTCGACCAAGTCTACTTGGAAGCCGACGTGGTAGACAATGTCGGTACCGTCCCAGGGGATAGGGACGACGGTGACGAGGTTGATGAATGGTATACCGCCCCGGCGGTAGTTGATCAGCGAAGCTTGGCATTCCTTGCCAGCGTTGAGCATGCGCTTGAGATGGGCGACCGCGACGTTGTCGGTGTATTTCCGCTTTGATCCTTTGACGACTTCGCTGTCGGGGCCTGATCAGCTCAGCCTTGGACGAACTCACTTTGTAGGAATCGGCAATTGCGACCGAGGATCTGAGGCAACTCGTACCCAGTCAAAGCGGTAAAGGTCGGACTTGCGTAGACTATTGGGCAGTCGAAACGTCGTATATCCTGCATGTCAGTCCAGTCACCACCGAAAACTCACCACCACAGCAAAGCTGCAACTCAGATCTACCGGCCCCAACACCGTCTTGGGATCTTTTCTCGCCGCCACCCTCGACAAGACGCCGACCATGTCGAAGCCTGTCGTACTGTACAGTCCCGGCCCATCGGCAAGGCTTGGCCCGATGACGGGCGGTGCTACCGGTGCCGTGAGGAGCTGGGCGGTGTTGCTTGGCGGGGCATACGGTGCCGAGGATGAGGATGCGATATTGATGGTGGAGGCCGAGTTGGAGGTGGATTCGGTGATGGAGGGCACGAAGGGAAAGTTGGTATTGTTGTAGGGTGGACCGTTCACACCGCCACCGCCGAGTAGATCGGACGTGGACATGGATGACTGGATCATCCCCGAGCTGCTGCCCCGCCCTTGCGCGTTGAAGGCGTTGAAGGCGGACGACATGGCGCCAGCATTGCGTGAAGGACCCATGCCTTGCTGCGGTTGCTGCATGTTGCCGTACGGCGGTGGCATCGAGGAGGAGCTGCTCCGAGGGGAAGGCACATGATCGGACCGGGGTGGGTACTCGGACCGTGCCTGGGGTTGGGATTGCCGGCTGGGATTGGACGTGAGGTTGTTGTGCGATGGATTGGGGTTGACATAGAAGGTGGTTCCCGCGTTTGGGTCTTTGTTGTCCCACGCATTCCACGACCCTTCCCCGCCATACCCAGCATCCGTCACGTTGAACATGTTGCTGAACAACTGCCCTGGCGTGAGGCTATTGCCGTCGCCCATGCCCGGTCCGGAAAAGCCTGACCACGCTTCGCCGCCCGGTGGGAACGTTGGCGCCCCGCCCACTGGGTTCGAGAGGAACGAGGGCATCTGGAACCGGATATCCCTCGAGAACGCCGCGGGGTCCAGTGAAAGCCCATCCGAGGGGGCGCTGGGCTGATGCATGCCTGGCCCGGGAGATGGAGGGGGATTGACGGCTTTGGCTTTTCCGTTGCCCTGTCCGTCGCCTGGCCGAGTGTGGGGCGTGGCGTTGATGGGAGATGGACCGCTGGCTGAGCGAGGGGAGGGAGGAGGGTAGATGGGGATGTTTTGACCGCCGGAATTTCCATAGGTCGGTGGTTGCTGGAATGACATGTTGCCTTGCCTGTTCCCTTGGTTGGTATGCGCGTTCTGGGCAAAGCCATAGTGCTCCGGCACTGCATTCTTGCCCCCGTTTGAACTTCCGCCGTATCCGCCCATCCCGTTTGGAGGGGGCATCCCGTTCGAACCTGATCCACCTTGGCTGACTGGAGGCGTTTGGAAGTTCATGAAGCTGGACCAGTCCAAGGGGGACGGAGCGGCTTGAGAGGACGGGGTGGGTTGAGATTCCGGCTGCATGTCGGCAGTCAGCCGAGGGGAGGAGGCCGGGCGGGGAGGGTACGACATGGCGGAGGGTTTGAGCGGCCGTCGGTCGCTATTACTCGCTTGTTGAAGCGAGCCGGAAGGGCGACCCCTTGAGTTGATACGAGCTGCGGTCGGGTGAGCGAGAAGTAGTGATCTTCGGGGGATATGCAAGAACCCGCCAAATTCGACGCGTTAGATTCTGGACAGTTCCCTTGTTGTTGTGCCGAGATGTTCCACCGGGGCTGTCTCGCTTTGCGCTTTGCTGCTGCGCTGGATTGCGAAGTGTAGATTATATAGCTGTAAAAGGAACATGTCAGCAGTCGAGCTGAAGTGAGCAAGCAAGCGGGTGGAAGCGGAGCAAAGGGGGATTCGGCGGGATCTAATTTCGAATGGCCGGCCAGGTGACTAACCTAATTAGAGTGTGGAGCCGAGTTTCCTAATGCGTATTAGGAAATACCTCATACTAATCTGCCAGTATCTACTTCTACAATGTCTACCGCACCCGCCTCTGCCTCATCCTCCTCCACAGCCTGGAAACTCTCCCCAAGACCTACAACCTCAAGGAACTGCTTGCCACCTTTTTGGTCAAACATTACCCGGAACGGTTCCTTGATGGTCAATTCGCTCTGCCTATGCAAGCCTGTCTGTCAGCACGAATATGACGAGAGCTCACCTTCAATCTGATCAATGCGGTCCCTGGTGACATCCAGCGCTTCATCGAATCCCTCCTCCTGGATGACTCGCTGAGCCGCTCGCAGGATCAGGACCGAGTCGGGTCGGACATGATGCCGTGTGTCTATCGATACAATCTGCGTCAGCTCTTTCCGACAAGGACTTACGTGTAGGACGTCTAGAGGTTCGATAAAGTCGGTCCGAGTCATGATCCGCCTGGCCTCCTCGTACGTCACTTCTGGTATCTTGAGATCAGCTAGTAGCGGATTGTCGGCGATGAGTCCCGGCTCCGAGACGTTGATATCATCGTCGGCAATGTCGATGGTTAAATCGGGGATTGGGGGTTCGTCGCTGATATCTGCTGGTGTGGCGTCGAAAGAGGGGAATTTTTGGGCGAAATGGCGAAGAAGTAGCCACGAGCAGCTATGGAATGAGCGGAGATCTGACAGAAATGAAGTGGACTAACCTCGACCACCTAGAGAGAGCTCAGCAGAAAAGTTTGACCTGGGAAGGAGAGCTTACTTTTGTTCATCCCTGTTATCAGCTCAACACCACGCTCGCACTCACATGACATCATCATCGTGCTCCGGGATCAGCCCAATCCTGCTATCAGCTATGCCCTAGCCCACACCTACTTGCTATTCAGCCATCTCTTTTCCGTCTCGATCATCCTCTCGGCCTCATCCAGCATATTCTCCGCCCTCGCCACCTTGACCAGGTAGCTGGTCCGCCCGCCGACCATCTCGTACACTCGTCGGAGCACCTCTTCGTCCTCGACCGCCGGCCTATCTGCGGGATCGAGATGTTTCCGTGACAGGTTTTGGAGTCGGAGATAGTGAAGGGCATGGATGGACTCAGCGGCGGATAGGTCAGAGGTGGAGATGACCCGCATGCGGGAGGCGTTCTTTCGGAGCATTTCGAGGCACCCTGAGGTCAGGAGGGACAGCAATGGAACGTACAGTAGTCGTCGGTCGAAAAGATCATGGTCATGATTCCCTACGTATTAGCGGAGCAACTTCTGGGCTCACCCCCTCCGCCCACGACTCGGCCCTTTGTTGCAGCTGGTGTAGTAGAGCGTGACCCTCGGGCGTGTTTGGGAAAAGGTGAATGTCTGATCAGCGAATCCCCGCGTACTACTCACTATTGAAAGCAACAACCAATGGCCGTCCCTTCTTTCTCGTATACTGGATAGCCACCTTCTCCAGCTTGTGCATGACACGTTCAACATCCAGCTGTGGTCCGCCTGATCGTGGCTCGGCGCGGGAGAAGAGGGATCCCTGCCAGTCCTCAAAGTAGTCGAAGTCCAGAGCTTTGCCTAATCTCAGGCGGAAGACTTCGAGATCGGGGTGTGCTGACGTTTAGCGGAATAGCTGGAGGACTTGCCTTCACACTATGGGTCAGAAAAGCCTACTCGCGAATTGGTTCGCTGACTCACAAATGCCGCTCCTTCCGCCTTGATCTTTCTCATCGCCCTGAAGCGATCAGTCGACATGGTTGACCTGACTTACTCTAATATCATGGTCCCTTTCCCGGTCCCCTTGGGCCCGACTAAGAGGTAATATCCTCCTGGATGTTCACCAGCGACGATAGAGTCGATCAGGGGTTGTTCTCTGCGGCGGATGTGAGCGGCATTTGGCGCATGTAGCGTTGAGAGCTCCAGCGCGGGGTCCTAGCCTTGATCAGTCTTTACAGCTGGCGAGTGCTCACGTATCCCGGCTCAAAGGCTTTTGCGATCTGTGACGTCAGCCCCGCCATCGCTAGCATATGCACAGCTAGCTTACCCGTCTCAAGACATGACTCTTGTACCACTGCAGATACCCTACACCCGCCCCAAAGACCATTGCCAGTCCCACCACCGTGGTGAGCGCCGCCTGGAAGGAGGGGCTGTGTACCCAGTCCTGGTACCATCGCCTATGGCTTTCCTTGTGATGACCGCTATTTGATGCAGTAGAAGTGAGATTGTCGGAGGGTCCTACCGGCCCCTGAGGGAGCGGCGGGTTGGGCCATGTGGGGACGTCGGAACGAAGAGGGGTCGACGCGATCAGTCGAGCGCGAAGCAGAGGGGGCGGCCGAGCGGCGACCTTGGGCAAGGCTCTTCTGGAGAGAGGTAGGAGCCTGCCCTTGAACAGTACACGAGCCGACATGGCAATGCCTGATGCGCTATTCCGTTATATACAGGATATGTCATGACTGGCGACAATTCGGCTGTTAACCTGGCTTGGCCGAGCCGAGGAATGTGGAGGTGAGCGCCCATGTTTGATTGCGGCCCCCACTTAAATAAGGTGGCAACCTGGAGCCCAGATATCACTTCATCACAACATCCTGCACTATGCCCAGATCACAGTCACCCCCACGCGGCCCTCGCCGAGGCTCAACGTCCCCACGGAGAGAACGAGGAAGCAGGGACGATCGGGATGATCGGCGACCACCTAGAAGTGATCGCGACAGAGACCGCGAGAGGGATCATCGCTCACGGGATGGCCCCAGCTCTCATAGCGACCGGACTGCCGACAATCGTCCGCGAGATTGGGATCGCCCTCCTTCGCGCTCGCCGCCACGGCATCAATCTCGCCGCCCAAAAGAGCTGTCCTTTTACAAGAAGGGCGGACCATCCATGGGGTCGCTATCGGCCCAGAAAGACCCCCTGGAGATGGAGACGGAAAAGGAGCGACTGCAGCGGAGGGAGAGAGGCGAAGTACCAGCACGGTTCGGCGGAACAAGGGAGCAGGGTGTACGGAATACAATGACGATGAACCCGAATCTTCCCGCGGGCGGAGTGACAAGCGCGGTGGGGAGTTTGGGACGGAAGACTGATCCGCTGGATAGGATGCCTGGGAAGGGGAACGACCGAGCGAGTGGCGACAAGATGAGGGATGAGCGGATCGCGGCGATGGGGAAGCCCCAGGCGGTTGCTCCGGGTGCGCCTGCGGCTGGAAGGTGAGTCGACGCAAGGGTTGCGCTGACTTCAGACCGGTGCTACGTTTTATCGAGGTGATAGCGAATTCGCGAATGGGTGGTAAAGGTTGGTCGATCATCAACCATAGCTGACGTTAGTTCGAGTGAAATGCCTACCGACCGACACTGTAGGCGACCTGAAACGCTTGATCGCTGCGCAGACGGGAACGACGGCTCAAAAGATCCAACTCAAAAAGTGGTACACCCCGTTCAAGGATCATATAACACTGCAGGATTATGAAATTCACGATGGGATGGTGAGTGCGTAGAATGGGTAGAGCTGATAGCAGAGTCTCGAGATGTACTAGATTACAGTTTTGACCCCGCGCCGTCGTCCTCCCGCGCCTTGCCAAAGACCTCTTCGTATACTGGCCCCACCAAATCTACCAGATCACCAGTCACCATGGATCGCCCCTTCTTTTCAAAGCCTCGCTTTGACACTGTCCGGTTGAATGTTGACGCGCCATATGCCGCCAGCAGGGGGACGTTCTCTGCAATCGCCTTGCTGTCGGGTGGTGGATGTCCGACATCGCTGCAATTAGCTTGTCTCGTGAGAATACTCACGTGTAGGTCCCCTTGACCCATTCGCTCCCCCAGGCCATCAATACGCCTGTACTCCCACTCAAGATATCTCCCTGCCCGCCCACCCGCTTCAGACCGCCCTGTATTTCATTCTCCAAGACCTCCTCCGACGAAATGCCTTGCCCTTCGATGAGCTCAGCTGGTATCTGCATACCGTTCGAAACGATGTCGTGTTCTCCTTTTTGGATGATGGTTACGTTCTGTAGCGCGCGGGCGAGTTGAGGACATAGGGTTCGTGGCTCGGCTTTGGTGTCGATCTTCTAGCAGTGTCAGGCTGCAGGGAGTCTGAACTTACCATAGCCTCGCATAATCGCTTGAACTCCATGATGTTTGGGGTGAGGACGATTCTTGGGACGCCAGGCCAGTCCATGACCAGTTTCGGCTCGCTCTGTAGTGTCAGTCAGGCCGAAGCAGGACGCACCTGGACCAGCCAGAGACCATCCGCGTCGACCACGACGCCCATTTGATCCATATCTTTTGCCAGACCGAAAGCTATCCGAGCGCAGTTCTGCATGTGGTCGTCACGGCCAAGCCCTGGCCCGATGATTAGGACGTGCTGACCGTTAGTCCAGCAGGTTCAATGGCTCACCAGGCGAGACATGATCCCTTTCAACTCCTTCTTGATGTCCTCGTCTGACTTTTTGTAGTCCAGGATAGCATGGACGATGAGATCGGGTGAGCTGTGGTCAGCTTGAGCTTGGCGTGACTTACTAAGTCTTGATCACGGCCCCTGCGGTGGGTTCGCAGATAACATGCGCCAGGTCCGCTCCGAACCGCATAGCACCCATCGACGCAAAGTATGGCGCTCCAGAATAGCTGAGATCAGTACATTCCAGACCAGCTCTGCGAGCGGGCTCACTCTCCCGAACCGCCCAAGACGCCAATCCTTCCTAACCAGTCAGCAGGGAGCAACTCCACATTCCTCAGGGGAGACGAACCAGCTTGCCCCTTGTGCAATTTGGGCGACAGCGGAGGGATCATCTGCTTGACGAGGCTGATCAGGTGGTTGTGCTGTTTGCTCGCCATCTTGTCTATTCTTCGGAGCACTTGACGGCAAACGAGGTGAAGATCAACGTCTGAAAGAGTTCTGCTACACCTCGTCGCTGACCGCTTCACGCGTGCGCGCGAATTGTGGGAATCCATGGTGACGTCACCGCGCCAGACATGCAAAGTATGGATGTCTGAAGCTCTGATGCTATACGTCTGACGATCGGTCAATCGTATCCTCGCGAGCAGTCGACTCCGCCCATGGACCACCTTGATGCGATAAGACCTATAGCATGCTCAATCACTCATTGCTGCTACAGACTCGTCAGCCTGCGCTCGGTGAGACTTCCAGAATTGGCTCATTTCGATGGCGGAGCGCTTGAACTAGCTTATCAGCAAAATCGTAGGAGCGGTAGCTCACAGTTCTCTTTAGCGTCGGATGACTGTAGTCGACAAACTGGTTCCCGAACCTGGCTGTCTTGATTAGCACATCCATGCACGACGCTTACCCTTGAACCCCGTGTTCCACTCCCAGTTATCCACCGAGCTCCACGCAAAGACGCCCTTGATGGGGATTCCATCTTCGACGATGCCCTTGAGGATCTCGCCGAGGTACGACAAGAGCAGGTGGGTGCGGGCCGGGTCTTGGATGGCTTGGTGGAGGTAGGGTTTCCTGATCGTCAACGGGAATCGGTCTGGGGGCTTACTCGTTCTCGTGGGGTTCCGCAAAGCCAAACTCGGTCAGGTAGATTCCACCTGTGGTGGGATACATGTCGTTCAAGCGCTGGAGGAGGGGTCGGATATGCTGCCAGCTGTTGTGTAGCCAGTCCATGCTTGGTTCGGCGAATTCGCCTATACCCCAGCCGTAGGGGGACGAGTCGTCTGATGTCAGCTGGCACGCGATCCGACTTACAATCCTTCTTGCTGACACATTCTGGCCATGCCGGATGTGATCGATTGCGGAGACAAGCGTCGATGCCGCCGGGCGGAGCTGATATGAGATCCTCGCGATATGCCTAGAGTCAGCAGTGCCAGGTAGAAACTCACGTCGATAGCAAAAAAGTCCGCGGTGCCTTTGATGAGCTCGACCTCGTCAGCCGAGAAACGGGGTAGGAGATCCGGCGGGAGTTCAGCCTTGACCAGTTCCGGCCAGTCCTGCGGTCAGAGCCATCTGTGTGAGGTGCTTACCCCGGTCAAGTGGATTGGGTCGGCAAAGAAGCCGATGTAGTAGGCCTGGTGCATCAGTAAGGGATGGGGGAGAGACGCACTTGATGTCGCTTGACAGCTTCTTCGTCTTCCTTGCGCCCTCTGCGCCATGCTATACCCCTGAGAGGTCAGCTGGCCCTGCAATGACTTACAGGTAGTCGTCGTTCTTGTAGGAAATCTCCCCTTCTGCCCGCTCAGCGATTTCTTGCACATCACTTACGGATGTTCAGCTCTTTGAAGAGATGGTACACCTTGGCATGCGCCAGTACGAGGTGGCGGCGGCAGACGTAGGGGTACTGAGCGGCGCTGACACCGTGCGGCAATGTAGTCTACCTTTAGCGATTGCCAATGCTACCCTTACATTCTGGGGGAAACCTGGCTGTTCATCAGCATCAGCGTTGCGACGACTCACCTGCACGCAAAACACGCCCGGCTCATTGAAGGTGTACCACAGGCGGATAGTGCCGTTGAAGCGTCGGAACATGACCTCCTGTCTAGTCAGCGCTTGTCGTCAACAAGACTCACGGCGTAGTTGACGTAGTCGTCGATAATTCTGGGACTCGCAAACCCGCCATACTCGACCTGGAGAGCCAGCGGGGTATCCCAGTGGAATAGGGTCCTGTCATTAGCACCGCTCCAAGACGACTCACATGACGGGCTCAATCCCTAGCTCCCGACTGTATCCGACGAGATCCTCATAGTATTTCAATCCCTTTTCGTTGACAGGACTACCCTTCATGCCAAAGGGGAAGATCCGGCTCCATGCGACCGAGAAGGAGTAGGCGTTTCCTCCCAGTGCGGCCATGCGAGCTAGGTCTGGGTTCAGCTTGTTAAGTCTGGTGCTCACCTTGCTTGTAGAGGTAGTAGCCCAGATCGGCAATGTCCGCGGTAGTGTTGTCTGCAATGTAGCCGGGAAACCGCGATGTCCAGTCCTGGGTTCAGCTCAGGTTTGCCCAATACTCACCCAGACGGATGGACCCCTGCCGTCTGTCTGCACCGCCCCTTCGTACTGCTGAGCGGCGGTCGCCCATCCAAAGAGAAAGTCCGGGGGGAAGGTGAGATCAGGCAGAATCTGGTCGGGGGGCAGGGCGTAGTACTCGGGGTACAGCGGGGGCGGAGGAGAAGGAAGAGGGTATGGGTGGGGAGGCAGGGGGACAGCGTCGAACTGGGGCTGGATGACATGACCGATCTGACCGTCAGCGCGTTCTCGCCAAAAACCCACCCAATCGTCCCAAAACCGCTTCATGACATCATGTCCAAAATCTCCCCAGTCAAACGCCTTGCCTTGCGGTCTTCCCAAGGGCCCAGTGGCAGTCCTGACAGCGGCAAAAGGGTTGACAGAAGGAAGCGCCTGGGGTGTCGGAAGACCGGTAGGGATCCAACCGAGACCCGTTGTAACTGTTGGGATGATGTGAATCTTGGGCAATACGAGAGGCTGCGCATCCGGGAGAGCGGAGCTGTTTCTGAAATGAGGACCGTGATCGAGCCCTAGGCGATATGCGATCAACATCAGCCAGAGGGCAGCAATGACCATCCGGCCGATGCGCACGCGCTGAGGGTCTGACGCTTTAGGCGCGTCCGGAAGGACTAACGCCCGTGAGGATTTCAGGTCGATCTGCGACATATTGTCTGAGCTACATGGGAGAGGTGTATAGGCAAGCCAGACTGCGCTTAGAGGTGCGGCAGATCTACACTTGAAAGGAACAATCTGCCCAACAAAGGAGCATGATTTTACGGCATGAGGAATGAGGTGCTGACGAAACGCGCTCTTTACGCTGGGAACTGGTACGTGGTCGACTGTCAACTAAGATACTGACAGGACCAGACCCAACGGGGACTGCGTGATGATCTGCAGTCAACGATGACGATGATGGCTCTCACATGAGTCTCTGACCACGTTCCTGATCGAAACTACCTGATCACTACGGCTTTGCGCCAGCTAATGATGGGTTCTTCCCTACTCTCCTCCTCCTTCTGTCTCTTCTCGTCCATTCGTCTTTTCGCTTGCCTGTAGGATGTGAGATAAGGTATCCAGTTGAGGCGATCGATCCAGGGTCCGTCAAGAGTCGAGTTTCGCCAGAACCAATCGGGCAGGTCAAATGGGAATGTCTGAAAGTCAGCGCGAGGTCTAGACGTATGACCCACCTGGGTCGTCCAGATAAAGTCCTCCTTGACGCTGTGCCCGAAGATCCTCCCATAAAACAGAACCTCCCCGCTCGAGTGGGCGAAGAGCTGCGCTTCGTTGAGAAGCTTCCGCTCCGCGCCGCCCCAGGGGGCCCGAGCTTTGAGTATCGGTAGGTGGTCGGTTGACTTGGTTGACCGTTCGAAATGGTGTCCGTTGATCACCCTGGGCTCGATGACTGACATGTGGATCCGTGCATTATAGTCCCTGGCGAGAAGCCGGACAACGCGGTGGATTGTGTAATCGAGATCGCCATGTGTGACGATCCAGGGTGACTCGTAAGGTCGGTTGGTCTTTGGTGTCGCGGGGGCCGTGTCAGAGGGCGTATCGTCCCTCTCGTGTGGGGCTCGGCTTCGTGTCTTCTTGCGATCGTGAAACAGCCAGTCGCCCGGACCGCGTACGTGGTCGAGAATGCTGTCCGATGTCCAGGTGTCGTTTTCCGGATCGGGAGCGAGATCCAAGTCTCGACATTTTACGTCGAATTCCACCTTGGTGAGGTTGTTTGCGAACGAGTTTGGGGAGAAGAAGCCGCCTCGAGAAGGGTCACTGTGGGAAATGAGGGGAGATTCTCCGGCTTGTGCCCAGATTCGAAAGACGGTTTTGCCCATCTGGGAGGAGGTGTGGAGGCGGTCGTAAGTCGCGCAAGACATGATGTCAAGAGGCGTCAAGACAATGACAAGTCAAGTGGGAAGAAAGGATGATGGGATGTCGCATTCGGTTCTTAAGGTGTGATGGCACGCGCGGACCAAGCGTTGGAAGCGTCATTTTTAGCACAGACCTGAGGCGAGAGAAGCGGTGAATGTCAGTGCGTCAGGTAGAGTCAGATACATGGCTACAAGAGTCGATCTAAATGCGGAGGTTGATCTGAAGTCAGCTCGGACATCATATGACTTACCAGCATGGCCTCGGCTTTCGCCAGAGAGGACTTTTCAAAGTCCTCGGGACCCATGAGATCTTCCGGCACAGTGGGTCGTTGTGCCTTCTGAACGCGTGGGTGGGAGATGGAGCGATGGCCTTGGTGAACATTGGGGTTGGGCTTGGCGGTGGGTTTTGGCGGGACGGAAGGGTGGGCCGACGGCGGAGGCCGTGAAGGAAGCCCAAGCCTCGGTGGGAACGGGGGCATCGGGTGTGGCGGGTGGACGGGGACTAGATTCTGCCGAAGAGTTTGCTGTACGAAGCGCCGCTGCTCGCAGTGTTGCTGATACCCTCGGTGTGAAGCTGGGAGGGGCGGCGGGCAATGCGAAATAGGGCGAGGGCGGTTGGGTATAGCTCCACGACGATGCGCGCTCCCGCGGTGCAAAGGTAATGTGTTTGGACGCGGGGGCAGGTGGAAGGTGGGGAGATGTATTCCGTTTGGACGACCTCGAGGGTAGCGAGGTCCCCTAGGGGGTGATGGCCAGAGGTGGATCTGCTTCCTGGAAATAAGCATTGCCAGTGTCCCACTTACGTGTCGACAGGGTGTGATGCCCAAGCGGTAGCTAGGCTGGTCCGATTCTCGTTTAGCATCCGCGCCGCTTCCTTCCAGGGATCATCCATCGGGTTCCACCTGAGCCGATCGCTCCAACCCTCTCGACCGCTGCCTGCTTCGTACACCAGCTTCCAGAATTTACGAGGGAGGGCGAACGGAAGTGTCTACGTTAGCAAGCACTGGTAGTGACTCACCTTTGGGGTAAAGACGATATCACCGAGGATGGAATCATCAAAGATTCGGCCGTAAAAGAACCACTCTTTTCTCTCTTCCGCCTTGCCCCTTGCCGACCAGTAGGCTACTTTTTCCCGCTCGCTCATGCCGACGACCGCAGCCATGGGAGAGTCTGGGAAAGGGTTGAGCATCACTTCTGCGTTCGGGACGCGAATCACGGCGAGGTGGATTTCGGGTGTGGTCGTTCCGGTCAGTTGCCGCGCGATCCAATAAAGCGCCCAGTCCAGATCGGCCGTGACGGATATGAAGGGCGAGGCGGTCATCATTTCGATATCCTGATCGAGGCCTGGGGGCGGGAGTCCGCGACGATCCAGCACATGCTCGACCGCTTGTTGGCGTGCTGCCGGTGTTGCCATGAAGGTCCCGTCGAAACCGCGTGTAGCGATGCGGTAAGCGGCAGGGGCCATGCCGTCGAAAGCTGCTTGCGGGGCGGTAAAGCCGGAGGTCGAGGGGTTGCCGGTCATGACCAGAGGTGAGGTGGAGAGGGAATGGTGGATTCGCAGAACGATCTCGCCGCTGAGCGTTCGACGCAAGAGGTTGGAGTAGGTCATCGCGCCCAAGGGCATGGTGGGGAGGGTGGCCATGTCAAGTCAAGCTGGTTAGAAGGACAAGCGAGTAGAGACGAATGGTAAGTGGACCGCCTCCAGGACATCTGCCGAAGCTACGCACGAGCCCTGTTAAGCTTCCATCGGATGCATGCTACGCTCGGACCCTGTTCTTCCCCTGCCACGCCGCTGGCTTTCCATCCCCGTTTGGCTTTGCTCTTGAACCCTGTCCCTGGCCCGGCTGGTCACGGCGTGGCGCACGCTCAGCAGGTGGCTGACCTGTTGTCGGTAATGGTGCTGCGCGGATAGTGTTGAAGACACGCTGGGCGTGCTCGGTGTTTCGGATAAAGAAGCCCGCGAGGCGGCGGTTGGTGATGGTTTCTTCTACGTGGACCATGGCCTAACGTTAGCGGGCACACTACAGTACTCACTCCGTCAATGGTAAAGTCCAGGTTGTTGATGCTGATCCGCTCGCCGTCGAGCAAGCTTCCGCCATTCTTGCCCTGGTAGCTCCGGCTCGCCGCCTTGAGGGCCATTAATTGCTGGAGAACCTCCTCCTCGCCTGCTTCTTCCCCGATAAACGCCGAGAGCTTGCCAGCGTCGATGCTGGTGTACAGCTTGAGCAGGTTCCGGACGGATTGGACTCCCTTGACAGCGACCACGTCGGCAAGGAAGAGCTCCACCATGCGGGCGGTGGCGTCTTGGGGTGGGTTGGCCGCGTAGGCCTCGAGGAGGGCGCTGTCCTCGTAGGGGGGTGGGTTAACGGAGAGGTATTTGGGGCAGGCAGAGAGGAAGAGGTCTTTATAGGTGCTGAGGGCGTCGCTGAGGTCAGCGAAGAATAGTGTAAACTCACCCTCGGTGCATTTCGGCGATTTGGTCGGCATAGTGTTCCTTGACGATGTGCATGATGCTCTCGTCCGTGGGACCGGGTGCAAGAGAGGTGCATATAGCCAGGAGGCCATACATTCGCTCGCACTGCTTGGCAATCTGCCGTTAGCTCGTTCTTTGCAAAACCTACCGAGCCGTATTGATAACTCCGGGTGTGGTACTGCTTCATCCGCAGGAAGAAGATCAGGACCGAGACGAATATCCGGATAGCATCTGTCCAGCGGCTGAGGGCCATGTAGGCGCAGCCGACGTGGTAGTAGGTGGTGACGTGGCAAGCGGTGATGCGGGTGAGGAAGGAGCCGCCAGAGAGTTCGACATTCTCCATGGATTGCAATGCGACTGCTGTCAGTTGGGTTTGGAGAGGACTTACGGGTGGGGTCGCCAAGAAGGACGTGAACACGCAGCAGGCAGATGAGAGAAAAGTAGCCGAGGTTGCGGTAGAGGGGTTTTGATCCGTACTCGCCGGCGAGCTCTCTTGATGTTAGCTGTGTTCAGGCGAGGACTTACGCTACTTCCTCCACTGATTTGCCCTCCCGCTCCGCCTTCAGTTGCTCGTTGATTCCGCTCTTTTGTACCAAACTGTAGAGAACGTTCAGGACCGAGTAGGAGGACCAGATCTGCTGGGCCTCTGCCAGCAAGTCAAGCTCCTCTTCCGACTTGTTTTTGGGGTTGGATCGCCATTGAGCAAAGGACTGGAATTGGTAGACGAACTCGTCCAGCATGTCCCAGAGCCACTGGATGGGGAGGTCGAGGGGGACAGGGCCTTCCGAGTCTACTATCAGCCTCGCAGATCACGGAACTCACTTAGGAGGTAGTTGAACAGCTCGCAGATGTTTTCGTAAGATTGGAATCGGTCGTCAATGGTGGGCTGGAGGCGGGCGTAGACGTGCCGGAAGTACAGCTCGCGGTACAGGGTGAGGAAGACTTGGTCTGATGTCAGCTCGGAAGTGATTGGACTGACCATTTTGGACCAAAGGAGCAATGACCTCGGCCTCGGGCCACTCGCTCTGCGCATAGTGCGCTTGCGTGAGCTTGTTCCAGCCGGATTCGTACATCGTGGTGATGGTGACAATGTCGTTTTCGAGGATGGCCTGGTGGAACAGGATCAGGAACTGTTGGTCAGCCAAAGGGCGCTCCCTCCATCACAAGAAGACCAGCCCAGAGGTTAACCCACCCTCTTGACATCCTCCGGGACCATCTCTAATTGTACGCCGAGCTCCCCGTCTCCCTGCGCTTGCTCGCCGTGCTGCGCGTACGCGTGCTGCTCGAGCACCTGCATCCGCTTGTATTCGTCTTCGTAAGATGCGGCCTCGGGCTGGCCGTATTGCGGCGCGGCGAGGGAGGAGAGGAGGTCATCCTCCTCGGCTTCGTAGAATGCTGGGTCTGCCATTTTGGTGTGGCTTTGGTGTCGATATCTAGTGGTTCTTGATGTGCAGGTCGTCTGCAGCTAGAGATGTATGGACTAGTATCAAGTATAGCAAAGGAGTGAACAAAAGCAATGCGACCAGCCAACTTTCGTAATTCCGCCTATTTCCGCAAAGTGGCACATGGAGGAATGCTACATCTATCGCCTAGAACTCCTCGCCAGCGGGCCACATATAATACACCCCTATGCTCCTGTAGGGTCGCCATCCTTCGGTCAATACTTCCATCTCCTTAGGCGTGAGGTATGCTCCGCCCCTAGAATCAGCTATGGACGTTAAAGTACTCACTTGACCTTCTTCCCTGCTAGCCTGGCTTTCAAGACCTCCACGCTCAGCCCCTCTTCTAATGGCGCCGCTCTGAAGGCATCCCACTGCGCGTGGGTCACGAGCGGTCTCATCAACTCCTCTGGTGTCGGCGCCGGGAGTGCGGGAACCTCGAGCGTTTCCTCGACTTTGACGAGCACCTCCTCGGTTGGCATCCCAGGGGTGACCGGAGTCGGCGGTAGGTGTGTGATTTGGCGGGATGCTGGCGTGCGAAGCGCCGCGATCGTACTTGCGTCGGTACCGGGTGTGTAAGGGGTCGGAGGTGCTTGTGGCCGATCCTCCGGAGGCGGGGTGCGAATCTCCGTCTTCGCCTCCTTTTTGTATTTGGCTCGGACGGCGTCGGCCTTTTTGCCAGTCTTCTTCTTGCTCTCGGGGAGAGCGTCATGTGCGGTGAGCGCCCATCGCAATAGTCCCTTTTGGACGCCGAGGTCGCCGACAGGGAGGACGTCTGGCCGGCGAAGCGAGAACATGAGAAACATGTCGACCGTCCACTGTCGTTAGCTATGGCTTAGAGAGGCGTACCTGTCCGATGCCGCGCACAGTGATCAACGCTTGTGCAATCTCTTCGTCTGTCCCGTCTTTGAGTAGCTCGGTGGATATTTGGCCGGAAACAAAGTGTTCCGCTATAGCGATCACTGAGATCAGCGGGGAATGATAGGAACCTACCGTACTCGGCTTTCCTCTGGCTGAATCCCGCCGCTCGATAGTCCTCGACCTTGCCTTTGCTGACTTCGAGAGGAGTGGGAAATCCATCCTCCGTCTCATGACCCCAAATCATCCTGAAGCGCTTCGTAATTGCCCGCGCCGCGAGCCAGCTCACTTGCTGGCCAATGATGCTGGTGACTAGGGTTCGGAACGGGTCGACCGCCTCGAGCGTTGAGAAGGGTTTCGGGGGGATATGCGTGTAGAGGGTGCCGAAGCGGGGATCGTGAGAAGAGAGATGGGCTATAGCAGTGGGTAATGAGAAGGGCAGGACGGGTGGGAGCAGTGCCGGGGCGGTATGAAGAGGGACAAGCGTCCGGGTGGGGGGAGGAGTGCCAGCGGGTTGAGCTGGGGCGCGCTTCTTGCGTGGTGTCGTCTTGGGCTTGGCATCTCCCTGTACGCCACCGGGCGGGTCGCTAACGGGACCACCGTCGGCGCCGCTGCGCTGACGTTTCCGAGGGGTGGTTGGCGGCGGTAATTGCGTCAATGCCGCTCCAGCTGTCGCCGATGCAGCTTCTGATATACGCGGGCGTGCTCCTCTTGTGATCATGATCTCTTCCGCTAGCTTTGTGTCGAGTGCAGGATATAGATTTTGTGATGGACGATGCGAAAGTATGAACGCCGTCCAACGACCGGGCGCCGGAGCTCGGTATAGACGGTGCAATCCACGATGATGTCATCGTGCAAAGTCCATGCCATCCACAACTGACCGGGCGCCGGAGCTCGGTATAGACGGTGCAATCCACGATGATGTCATCGTGCAAAGTCCATGCCATCCACAACTGACCGGGCGCCGGAGCTCGGTATAGACGGTGCAATCCACGATGATGTCATCGTGCAAAGTCCATGCCATCCACAACTGACCGGGCGCCGGAGCTCGGTATAGACGGTGCAATCCACGATGATGTCATCGTGCAAAGTCCATGCCATCCACAACTACGAGCTGTAAGCATCTGCATGAATACAGAGCGTTCTCATTGCACTTCATATCCTTACAGTATGTCCAGTATCGTTACCAGCATTCAAGCTACGATAGCTAGCTTCGGGATATACGTCGCCCACCTTTGGAACCTTGCGATCTATTCAGGCTTCCCTCTCATCTTCTGGGTGCAGCCCCGGTGGTCCGTCGACGAGATTACCGATCAGTCCGGCAAGGTTAGTCTGAGCTGAGCTATGCTGATCTCTAGGTCATTCTCATCACCGGCGCCAACAGCGGGACCGGCTTCGCCTCAGCATGGGCCCTGTATGAGGCCGGAGCTAAAGTCTACCTCGCCTGTCGAAGCGAGGCAAAAGCGAATGATGCGATCGCATTCATCAAGTCTCACCGGTGGAAGGGCAAGACAGGCAAGGTGACTGGCGAGCTAGTCTTTCTACAGCTTGACCTGTCGGATCTGAAGAGTGTCAAGCGGGCAGCAGACGAGTTTAATCGGTGAGTCCAGCATTGACATTGCTAATGGCAGGAAAGAAAAGAAGCTCGACGTCTTGATGTGTAACGCGGGGATCATGGCGACGTAAGTGAATGCCAAACGTCGCTAATGTCAGATCTGAAGGACTGTACACCGCTCAGGAATACACCCTGCAATTCGGCACCAACGTCCTCGGCCATCAAGCGCTAATCCACCATCTCCTCCCCGTCCTCCTGTCGTCGTCTGCACGGGTCCTCCTCCTCTCCTCTGCCGGCCACGCCGCTGCCCCTCGAGGCGGCGTTGACTACCGAAGCGTCGTGCGCGACCCGGCCGACCCGAATGACCCCAAAAACCCCGTCAAAGGGCGGTACGAGGTCGCCAAATGGGCCGAGTATGGTCAAGCCAAATGGGGCGACATCGCCCTCGCCCGCTATCTCCACGCAGTATACGGTCCTGGCTCGACACTATCGTCTAGGCGGACCGGTCAGGGCGAGCTCTTATGCTTTTCAATGCATCCAGGTGAGTTTTAAGTCGATTTAGCTGATTAGGTATGGTCGCTACCAATCTGTCTGGCCACCTTAGCGTGACAGGCTTCATCACCAAGCACTTGCCCTTCCTCTACGTAAGTTTGCGTAGTATGTAGCTCACGTCAGCCGGTGCTCACGCGGCACCCCGATGTCGGCGCTGGAAACCAGCTATGGCTGGCATCCATGCCCACCGCACAGGCCAAAAAGCTAGCCGGGGGGTACATTGTGCCTTTCCAGCGGATCGGCCGGCCCCGTCCCGACGTCCTTGCAGAGGCGAATGTGGTCAGGATGTGGGATTGGTGTGAGGAGCAGGTCAAGAAGCACGCTGAGTAGAGCGCTTATGCATTGACAATTGTCGCAATTCGATCTGACAATGCCTTGAACCGCTCGTTGATCGCGGTGATATATTCTGTCGTATTCTCATCCTTGACCTTGCCTAAGGTCAGCTTATTAGCGTGAGGCTCACCTTCTTCAACACCCAGAGTAAAGCTTGGGGCGTATTCAGCGAAATGCTCATGATGCGGGACGTCATCGCCGATATCTCTTCCCACCTGCATCAGCTTGATCGCGACAGACTCACCATTGCAGCGGTGACTCCTGCCCAGGCTCTAGCCGTATCTGCGTTCTTGTAGCCGCCACCTCCGAGCACGCACAGCGGCACGCCCCAGCCTTTTACTTTCTCCGCTACCCACAGCATGCTCCCCTCGCCATGGGTCGACCAGTTACCCCATTGCCCAATAGGGTCGCCAGGAAGCCCGTCGGCCCCGAGCTGAAGCACCACGTAGTCTGGTTTGTAGGCTTGGTAGATGCGCTCGACCGAGGGAAAGATGGCAGCGTAGGTCGCGCGAGAGGGGTATGCGAGCAGAGGGATAGACAAGGTGAATGGACTGGTGGTCGTTGCGGAGGGGAGGAGCGATAGAGGGGATGGGGGCGGAAAGAAAGCCGGCGCTGAATGATGTACCGACAGTGTCAGAACCTGGGGAGGTTTGGCTTTGAGCTGTGATGTTGGCGAATGAAACGCTAGCGCAACGCCGTCGCCATAGTGTAGGTCAAAATCGAGGTATAGTACTCGGGGTCGAAGAGGTCTTATTCTGGGTATTTCTGGCCCCGCCTTACCCTCTCTGGTAAGGAGCATGATGCCCAGGACGATATCGGCAACATAGCAGAACCCGCTCGCGCGACTCCGCAGGGCGTGATGCCTCCCGCCGTCCCAGTTGATGGTGATATCGGCTTGGCCGCGAGCAAGTAACCGGCAAGCTGTAAGCGTGGCCGCTGCGACTTGGAGCGAGTATTCGTGTAAGAGTGGGAACGCGGGGCAATCCTGCATCAGCTCTGGCGTGGGGAGACTTACATGTTCAAAGCCGTGCTTTTCTGATCTGAGCCTCTTTGTGGGCGGTGGTCCATCGCTGGAATCAGAGGCGTCGCTGCCTTCCGACCCTAGAAGGTAGTCTACATGAGCGGCGTCATCTCTAAACCCACCTACATAGGCCGGACTATGATACCGCTTCAGCTCTTCGGCCGTTGCTAAGCTCGGGTCGGGCGGGAGGAGCACCGCTCGCAGCGGCTCTGCGACGCCCACCTGGAGCAAGTCCAGCGATTGGGCTAACCCATGGACCAGTGATGATCGGTTGAGATTCGCAGGCAGCGCGTCTGCGGCTTTTTGTAAGGTTGGAGACCATATGTAGGCGACTGTAGGCATGATGGGCAAAAGGTCAAGAATTGCTATATGACATGACATGCCCGACGTGTGACGCGTCCAAGTGCTCGAGCTGAAACGGTCGAAATTCCCATCTCTTCTCCTCATTCCTCACCGCATCTACCTCAATCATGGGTACCAAGCGAGCAGCCCCACCCCTGCCATCAGCGACCCAAGCCCGCCGCGAACAGTCCGCGGACCTAGAAGCCGAAGAGGAAGAGGCAGATCAACGACGGGGCAATGAGGTAGAATTGGACGAGGTGAGCCAGGGTTTCCCGACCTGGTTACTGTCTCCAGCCTCTCCAGCTGGGACGGGGGGCTGCTTCCCCGACATGGACACGGTCAGAGTTGATCCCAGCTCTACGGGACAATCCGCTCTGATGTCGTGGGTATCCAGTACTATCGTGGCCTCGTCGGGCGCGGCGAGTACGTCATGCTCCGACGCGAGCCGACCAACCAATACGACAAGAATGCCATTCAGGTGAGTTGTCCGTCAGCTCAGCTGACGCCAGGTGGTAAACGGTGCGAGCCTGCAGGTCGGACATATTCCTCGCGGAGTCGCTCTCAAGCTCGCCGGAATGATGGACGACGGACTCCTCATCGTTGAAGGGCGGATGATTGGCCAGAACCTCGACATGGCCAAGCGCTTTGTATTGCCTATCGACATCAACATTTACGCCAAGCCCAGCCTCCGTGAGGTGCTCGACCCCGAGTTGACCCGCGCGTTTGGGAGCGCCTTCAATCGTCCTCCTCCTATCCCCGCAGTCATTCCGGTGGCTACTCAGCCCATTGTCGCCCCTTCGCAGGGGAATATCCGACCCCCACCCGGCGCCGGCCCCAGTCGCGCCGAGCTGGAAAAGGCGCAAGAACTTAAACGACTCATGGACGGATTGAGCAAGGTCAAGAATGATGATCAGTCGCATGGTATTATGGTGAGCGCTTCAGCGACGTTGCTAATGGCAGGACGCACTCGTCAAGGACATGGACGTGATGGGGCTTCCCCTCCATCCCGACCCGCCCGGACTCGCCAAAGGCAATCTTCACGTCAATCTGTTGCCTCACCAGTCGCAAGCCCTCCAGGTGAGCTACAGGTCTTCTCCACTAACGCGTAGTGGATGATTGAGCGCGAGAACCCCAAGCTCCCTGCGGTGGGCGAACCACCCGTGCAATTCTGGTCTAGACGCGCCCAAGGCGGTAGGGAGCATTGGTTCAACATGGCTACCCAGTCTCCTCAAACAGAGACTCCAGTTTTGGGCCGGGGCGGTATCATTGCCGATGGAATGGGTCTAGGTGAGTTACTCCGGGACAAAGCTGACGATAGGCAAAACCCTGACCACTCTCGCACTAACCCTTGCCACCAAATCCGAGCCACTCGCAGCAGGCGAAGCGAATGCAACCCTCATCGGTACGTCTTGCCTAGATTCAGCTGACAACAGTGTGTCCGCTGTCTGTGCTCGGCAATTGGGAGAAGCAAATCAAGGACCACGTCGTCAGCGGCAACTTGAGCGTCTACACCTACCACGGCGCGACCAAAGGCATCACCGCAGCCAAGCTTGCCAAGTACGATGTGGTCCTCACAACGTATCAGACCGTCGCTACCGACATCACTGGCAAGGTCGACCGCTCCAAGCAGTATTACGACTCGGACGACGACAACAAGTCCTCGCAAAAAGGCAAAAAGAAGCAGAAGACCGCGTCCAAGATATTGTCAACCGTGCAATGGAGGAGGATCGTCGCCGACGAGGGTCACGTCTTGAAAAATCCAAAGTCACATAGTACGTTTCTGCCTGGAGCATCGCTGACAACAGTGACCCAGGCGTACGCAGGACTCAAAGCGGCTCGTCGCTGGATCTGCACTGGTGAGTTCCCCGCTAAACCCGCTAACATCAGGCACACCAATTGTCAACTCCCCCGCGGATCTCGGCTCGCTCCTCACCTGCATCCAAGTCTGCAAGCCCCTCGACCAAGTGAGTGCATCCCCTACGCTGCTGATGTAGGCGAACTTTTTCAAATCCATCCTCCTCCGCCCGCTCAAAGCCGGCGATCCCATGGCCGCCAACACCCTCCAAGCCATTGTCGGCCAGAGCCTGCTTCGCCGAAACAAGGACAGTCGAAACGCTCGGGGAGAAAAGCTGGTCGAGTTGCCTCCGATTGACTTCTTCGAGTGCATCATCCCCCTCGACGAGGAGACCAGGGCGTTGTATGACGAGATCAGCGACGTCTCCCGGTCCAGATTCAACAATACGCTTCGAACCGGAGAGGTGAGCTGAAATCTATCGTCGCTGACAACAGGGACGCGGCAGTGTTCTAGCTATGATCACCAGACGTAAGCCCTTGACTGTCCCCGCTAATGTAGTCCGACAACTCTGCCTCAGCAAAGATCTCGTACCGCAGTCCTTCCTGGACGAGATGCGAAACCCGACCCCAGCGCAAGGGGAAGCCGTCTCGGCCATGTCCATTCCCGAGGAGCAACGCCAAGAGATCATCAACAAGCTCAAGGTCGCTTTAGCGGACGCGGAAGAATGCGCGGTAAGTCTAGTCCCGACCCCGCTGACGGCAGATCTGCTCCGACACCATGGCCCGAGACGAAGCTCGGATCACCGATTGTGGCCATCCCGGCTGTATCGGCTGCTTATCCGCGTGGTTGGTCAAAGCCTCAACGTGTCCGATCTGCAGGCACTTCATCACGCTTGGATCGCTGTTTGCGCTCCCCCCAGACGAGTCTGACTACATCGAACCCGCTCAGGAGGTCAAACCTATCAAATCGGCCAAGATTGACGAGCTCTGCAAATACCTCACGTCGTTCCATTTGACCGAAAAGTCCTTGGTGTTTAGCCAATTCACCGGCTTCCTAAATCACGTCGAAGCCGCACTTGAAGAAGCGGGCGTAGCTTGTTGCCGATTCGACGGCAGCATGCCTCAACGAAAGGTAGGCCCACATATATCGAGCTGACCCAGCGTCAACAAGTCATCGACAACTTTCAGCGTCCCCGCGACGCCACGGACGACGAGTCTAATCCTCAAGTCATGCTGATTTCGCTCAAGTCCGGGGCTGTCGGTTTGAACTTGACCGCAGCTTCCAACGTCTTTCTGGTAAGCTCGTGACTTGCATAGCTCACCCCATTGCGACCCCTGGTGGCAATCCGCAATCGAAAAACAGGCAATTGACCGAGTGCACCGGGTAAGTTTGACCTTGACCGAGCTGACCAAAGCTGGGCCAAAAGAAAGATGTCCGAGTCTTCCAGCTCATCGCCGAGAATACGATCGAATCCAAAGTCCTTGACATCCGTAAGTAATCCGCACGCTCTAGCTCACGCAGAACGGCGAAAGGACGACCTAGTCGCGACCGCATTCGAAAAGACGTCAAAAGAGATTGTGCAAACCAAGAAGAAGGGAAAGTTTGAGGATCTGCGAGAGTTGTTTGGAGTGGACCCGAGTCAAAAGGTGGCGGATTAGCTTGTTTGCTGCTATTGAATGCCTATCGTCGGTTGTGTCTTACATGCAGAGAGAGTAGCGCCTTCGCAATTCTTGCTGTGCTTCATCTTGTCCTCTCCGGGTTCTGCATCAACCGGTAACCCACAACCCCACATGCCTCAACCTGCCTACGCTTGTTACCCCCTGTCGAAATGGCTCTCACGGGGCGGAGATCTTGAGCCCCTAAGACTGTGTCCCAGGTCGACCCCCACTCTTGATACTGCGGTCCCTGTCGCCACAAATGTGCTGAATTCCTCGATGAGCGTTGCTGTCCTCATATCCTCATAGCGTACGCCGCATTTGCAGTTTCATCTTTTGGCCCGTGTTTCATCTCCGTTTGGCGCACGGACCTACCGGCAGACCTCGAGCTTCAGCGCGCATTAAGATTATTCCTCGTTATACCATAATGTGTAGATAAAGTACTCAATCCTGCAGAGCAACGATGACGGTATCATCTCGACGTGCAGTCACCCTCGGTACACTTCTAGCCGCTGGGACAGCCCTGCTTCTCCTCCATCTCGCTTACCGGTCTCCTGGCGGACTATCGTTCCTCCCATCCGCCCAAAGCCCAGGCGTCGCTCCCGATGATCTGGCGGCGAGCGACGTCGATGTCAAGCGACGGGTGGCTCGTATGAGAAAGGTGTGCGCTGCACAGAACACATTCACGAGAGAATATGGGCGGGCAAATCTGCGTCTGAGCAGAGGGTATGAAGGTGGGTCTGTCTGATGAAGCTTGCTGATGCCAGGGTCCCACTTCAAGGTCCAGCAGCTACTACTCAAAGCCATGAGAGGAGAGACTCTCAACATCGGCGCTTTAGGCGGGAGCAGTAGGTCCCTTGTCATGCCTCGCTGATGACGGTCACCAAAGGCCACCACGTTTGGGACAACGAAGTCTGGTTCTGGAAGTTTTATGAATGGCTTCGGGAGTTTGTCGGCGAGGATGTCGAGGTCATACATACGAACGGCGCAGCGCCAGGTAAGTCCACCTAGTTCCTTCGCTGACATCGCAGCGGTCGGCTCAGACTACTTTTCCTTTTGCTTTCCACTGCACATCTCCCGCGAGTCCGACTTGGTTCTCGTTGAACTAGGCGTCAACGATGAAGCAATCCCCGAGCACGTCGAGAATATGGAGAATCTCCTTCGGGGACTGCTAGAGATGGACCGGCAGCCGGCAGTCATGCTCGTCGAGGCCTTGGCGTTCAGTAACGGCGGAATGGGCGGTGGTGGGGGTAGGATGCATCTGCCCGTGGCCCAGTTTTACGGTGAGCCTTGTCGCCCGCCTCGCTGACCGCAGATGTGGCTGTGATAAAGTGAGCAACGCCTCAGCTCCTGCTAACAACAGTCAAAGACACCCCCTCGCCAATCATTTCGGCCGGTATCCCGAGCTCATCCGGCCATACTTTGCCCAAGAGTGCGTACCCCCTTGGCCCTGCTGATGGCAGCTACTGGGGAACACCAGACACTCGCCACATCAACTCTCGCGGACATCGAGACCTCGGTATGCTCGTTGCGGCCTTCATCCAGGACGTTGCATGCGACATGCTGTCTGATCCCAACTTTAGCGTGCCAAGCAAGCCAGCCCGCCACTCCATTCACTCTCCCCTCATGGCACCGCACGCCATCCCCGATCCGGAAACGCCAGATGCCGACCAGTCTTCAGCGTCAGAGCAGGATGCCCGACTGCGCCCGTTACAAGCCAGCTGGGCGGAACGATCTCGCTCTTGGCGTCTAGACCCTTCAGACCGCAACCCCGCTGGTCAGCTCATGCCCGGCGTCTTCAACAGTCCCTATGAGTTCGGTATTCTGCCCCGCCAAAAAGTTCTTGACGGGTGGAATCCCTCCCTTGACAATGTCGTACCACCTTTCCATCCCGTCTGCCTCTCCACCCGGACCACCGACCCCGCCTACAACCTCACCCCCACCTCAACAGAGGGCTGGACACATTGGGTCCATCCCGACTTTACCGACAAACCCTATCTCGTCGCGCGCGAGCCCGGGAGCTGGGCAAAATTTGAACTCGAAACAGGTCTCGGGGTGGTCAAGGTGTACGCACTCAAATCCAAGACATTTGGTCTGGGGAATATCGAGTGCTGGGTGGACAATGAGAGGGATAGAAGCGTTGAAGTGGAGGGGTGGTGGGATAATGGCGATGCGTAAGTGGTAATCCGAATAAGCTGACGTTAGAAATATCGGCCGGTTTGCAACGATCAGAGAAGGCCTTCCGGTTGGACGTCATGTCCTCACTTGCGAGCTGCTCAAAAAGACATCCGATCCCGGCGGCGGTACAGAGTTTAGGTTGATCGGGGTAATGAGGTTTGTCCATTTCTTGAGAATGGACCCTGCTGACCCGCAGTTTGTAGAATTAGTGCACAGATTGAAGATAGTGGGCGCGGCCCAGACCTCTCGCTTGTTGTCCGCATTTGATCTCGGTGTAGGACAAAGTAGAGAATCATAGGTCCGCGTCTGCTCACTGGGTCTGGGACGGCCTCGCTGACGATGTCAGAAAGTAGAGCATGTATCCGAATACCTTGGCCTCCAAACGTCGCATCTCTTACCGCACTACTGCCTCCACATCCGTCTGACCCCTCAAGCCAAAACCGCCTAACCTCGCACGCTCCTTCTCCGGCCTTCCTCTTGCCTTTCTAACATTCAAATGTCTCCGCTCCAGCTCCGTTGTCAATCCTTCTGCTCTTCCCTCCCACGCCCAAACCTCTCGTTCCGTCCGCCTCGCTGCACGATTTGCAGGATCGTCCTGAGCCGCCAGCCGCTTTAAACGCTTCACCTCCGCCTGATGAGTCTTGTACGCCAGGGCAACGGACCCTGGCGACTCGCCGTATCCCGGGGAGAGCAGGCGATCCCAATGAGCCTCGGTGTCCCATGTAGAAGTTTCGGACGGTGTGGATGGTGCGAGGGACCAGGCGAATGTGCCGGCGGGGGTGACGGGGGTAGCTTTGGAGGATTTGATGATGAGGTCTTGTGATGCGAGGACAGGCAGCACCCGGCTCTTGAGAAAGCTACCATCAGCTCTTGATTTAGACTCGAACGTACCTAGCAGAGACAAACGGATGCCCCGCTGGGACTGCATTCACCGCCACTTCCGCCTTCTTGCCCTTGACCACCTTGCCCTTTTTGCTCTTTACCGGTGTAGGTGGAGCGACCGGAGTGGATGGCCCCGCCTCGGCTGTGCCCGTCATGGCAACCCCATCTTGGAGGATTTGCTGAAATGTGCGTGGTTTTTCGGCGAGGAGCTGCCTGATGATTTGAAAAGCAGGCGCTAGGTTCCCAGCTGGGCGAGCTTTGGGTGTGGTGAAGGCCTTCTTTATGCCCGCCGACATGATGGTCAATGTATAGGGCAGATTGAGGAAATGGCTGAATTAGCTGCTGGTCACTCTAGGATCCAGGAGAAAATGAGTAAATCCGGCCAAATCAAAGTCGGCCACCATGACTGAGATTTCATGTCCACTTTACATCAATCTATACCTCTACCCACATCATGCATCTCCTAGGCCGCCATCTCCCAGACCACAAGCCCCTGCGAGTAAGTAGCTCACGTTGAAAGTACTGATGTCCAGATCGCCTTGACAGCCTTTTATGGCATCTCGCATCCAACATCGGCAAACCTCCTTGCCCGCCTCTCAATACCCCTCGCGACCCGCGTGCAGGACCTCACCGAGCCTCAAATCACTTCCCTCTCCTCCTTCCTCTCTTCGCCATCCACATCGTCTAGACCAGCCGATACGCCATTGTCAACGCCGGGTGCAGGACCGAGCTCGACCCGGATGGCGGATCCGCTGGATGGGCTCTTGATTGAAACGGACCTCAGGAGAAAGGTGCAGGGTGATATCGCCCATCTGAGACAGGTCGGGACATATCGGGGGAGACGGTAAGTTCAATTCTCGCTTGGGGAGCCCTTACTGACACACAGGCATGCGCTGGGTCTTCCTGTGCGAGGCCAGAACACGCGGAATAATGCAAAGACAGCGAAGAAGATGAATCGTGTCGAGAGGAGACATTACTCTACGTAAGTGGAGTCGCTTCAAGGTGGAACTTCGTTGACACTTGCATAGCTCAATCACACCGTCATCACCCACTTCCGGGCAGAGAGCAGGAGCGTCGTCAATACTGAGCATGCTGCCACCTTGGCGTTCACGGTAGATTGTACAACATGTCATCCACAGGATCAAACTCCTGTTGAAGCGTTGACAGTGCTGACTGCGACAAGCTTGACACGCTCACGATCTCATTGGTAGTGTTCTCTGGTGAACTTTCAAGGTGATGAGCTTCATACCAAGATCGAAGTGCTTGACCTCTAACTGAGGCCGAGAATGCAGTTTGAGTGAGGGATGATGAGTGCACGCCATAACATTGTTTGAGAAGCCAACAATCACATTGTCTCCGGGAAGCAAAAGTGTCTTCCCATCCGCTCCTCTAGGTAGTGAACGACTTTATGGCCCGATACACGCCTGTAACAGTCCTGGCGAAAGGGCAAGGCCGACACGACTCAGGCGTCTATTTTTATATCTACTCGACGCACGACGAGGGCGAACCCCAGCACCCACAAGTCCGTAAACTAATATACATCCCTCATCTACATCGCCTCACTTACTCGCCCTAGTCGCGATAAACACCCCCAAAATAACCACACCCAAAAACCCAACCGCTGCCGGAAGCATCATCTCCTTTGGCAACACACCCCCAATCAACTCCTCCCTGGCGAGGTTGGCCTGCGCGTGCACGACCCCCTTCTTGCCAAACGTCGCCTCCTTCGCGGGGTCCGCCTCCTCGGCCACCATCCGCTCCTCCTCGACCTCGACGCCCTTGACCACCGTCTCCTTTTCCTTCAAATCCTTGACCGCCGGCTCCCCACCTATATCCCGTGCAAAGTCATCCCACACCTTGCCGCCGTCAATGAGCAGGACGACCCGGTCGGAGCGCTGGCCTCGGGCGATCCGGACCGCGTCAGCGATATCGCCATCGGCAGTCATGGTGACGAGATCGCCCTCGTCGTCCGTGTAGGAAAGCGTAAAGGAGGATGGGTCGGGGAGATGAATGACCTGGCCCTCGACGGCAGTGGGTGCAGAGAAGAAGGGGTCCGAGACGAGTTTGCCCGCCACGATATCACGTAGCAGGTCAAACGAGTCGTACCGAGCCTGGAAGCGATGCGTCCGACCGGAAGGGGTACGGAATTTGAAGACATATGTCCCGTCGTCGACGGGGAGATTGGGAGGAGCCACGCTGCTTTCCGCCGCCCCCTTTCCGCCGACGTCCGATGCCTCCTCGTCGATGGCAGAGGCCGAGTCGTTCGGCTGGAGCTCCGAGACTGGCGACGTGATGCTAGAGAGGCCGCGATTGTGAAAGCTGGGCCGAGAGGGGGTGTCGGGCCGTTCCGACTGGGAAATGACAGACGCCGTGTCGTCGTCTTGAGCCGTGTTGAGGGCGTCAAAGAATTTGCCCCACATCGGGCCTGACGAGTCGGACTTTTCCTCGCTCATATTATCGATCTGGCGTCAGCGAAATTTTTGAGTGACATACCTGTTCAAGGGTGGCGTAGGTGAGCTTCAGGACATCGACAATGCCCATGAGCTTGCCATCCGGGTGTACCACGGGCAAATTGAGGTAGTGACCATCTGTCATCAGCGTTGCCACGAGCATACTCACTGTGCATCTTCTTGAGGGCATCCTGGACCACCATGGTCGGCTCGGCGGTATCCGGGTGTGGTGTCATCACTCGGACCACGCTGCACCTCCCTGCATCCAGACCAGCAGCAATGACCCGCAAGACAATATCCTTGGACGTAAAGATACCGGCAATCTTGGGGTATCCCCCGCTGACGCCGGCAATGGTCGACCCGCCAGTGGTGCCCTCCATGACGCAGACCGCGGTCGTGCGGCGGTCCTTCATCAACTTGGCGGCCTCCCGGACAGAGGTACGCGGGGAGACGGTGGGAGGGGGAAGGCTGGTGTCGAGCACAGAGGTCAAGTCGGGCTGAGCCATCTTGTCCCGAAGAGCATCAACATAGGCAAGCATTGCGGCTGCTTGAGGGTTGGACGCCATACCGGGACCGAGTTCGGATTGAACTCCGGCCAGTGCAGCGGAGAGCTGAGATGTAGCGCTGGAGCCTCTCTCGACCTTGGCGAGCGCCTCGTGGAACACTTTGGTAATGTCGAGGAGACCGACCACGTCGCCATCTTCGTTGCAAACGGGCTAAAGTCAGCTACGTCTACTAAGTGACTCACCAGATGCCTAAAGTGCTTGGAGACCATGAGTTGGAGCGCCTCGGTCGCGCTCGTTGTGTCCCGGGTGACCATGGGGTTCTTGGTCATGATTTGAGCGACGGTCGTAATGCGCGGGTCGAGACCTTCGGCAGTGACCTAGAGTAAGCTTTGCAAGAGTTGAACCCACCCTGAAAGCCAAATCCTTGGCGGTAAAGATACCACTCAATCCCTCCTCCTCGTCCACGACCAAAACACAGTCTGTCCGCTTGGCAGCGCACAGCTGACTCGCGTCCGCAACCGACATGGCCTCGGGCACAGTCAACGCCGGGCTCGGCTTGAGCCCCGCTACCGTCCCCTTTTGCGCCTTCTTGCTCGTCTTTCCTGCCATGCCCATCTGCTGCGAGGGAGCAGCTTGGCGACCGGTGCCGGTGCGCTTGCGCGACAGCTCCGACTCGATCTTCTTGCGTAGCGACTGTAGTTTGCCCGTAAAAGACGATTTGGCAGGTTTAGGTTCGGGCCGGACGGACGTGCGCGACAGAGACGAGTGATACCGAGGTCGAGTCGCATCGTCGAGGGGCTCGTTGGAAGCGGAAGAAAGGTCCGGTACGGTCGCGTGGGAGGGAAAGGGAAATTGTACGGATTTGCGCGTGTCCGAGGAGGAGGAGGATCGAGAAAGCGGAAGGCCAGGAATAGTCAGCGAGGGGAGGAGGATGGGTGAGGGGACGCGGACCGATTGGGGAGGGGTCGGTAGCGGGATTTGGGTGGTTGTTTGGGCGATATCGTTGGTTGATTTTGACGAGGGGATAGTGGAGGGAGGTGGCATAAGGGAAGACATCGTTTGAGCGTCGTTCTCGCGGGTATAAGCCGAGTCTGAGGAAAGAGGTAGAGAGGTAGAAGAGGAAGTAAACAAAGGGAATTCGGATGCTGTAATGGAAGTAGGGCTTGTTTGCGCGTCCTTTGGCCCGCAGCCGTATTGGGGTCACGTCGAAAAGGAGATGGGTATTGGAAGTGCCGATGTGCAGGGAGTTCGGATCAACTCAGGTGCGAGACGAGCAAGTAAAGACGAAAAAGATGGAAATTGTGAGATAGCCCGGCTATCGCTTTTGGGGGTGCCGCGGCAAGAAGAGGTCGCGACCCGAGTCTGAACTCCTATCTCGAAAGCGGGTAGATAAAAGAGTAGGACAACAGGTGCAGGATGACAAGGAGGGGGAAGCATGCACAGCATATCAAAGCCATCACTCACCTCGTCCTTCTTGCTCGTCTTCTTCCTGGTGTCTGTCGCCGGAGAATTCATGGTGGATGATGGGGAGTCCGGTCTGTGGAATGATTGAGATGTTGGGAGGGGTATACGGGACATGTCTGCCAGGATGTATATGTATAGTGTTGATGTGTAGATGAGCCTTATGCGACAGATACCTTACCTGTGCGTGAGTTGGACGTTGGACGCGTGCGCGAGCTCGAGCCTCGGCGCGTTGCGCATGCATGCTTGATTTTGACTTTAGGCAAACGTCATCCGCAACAGCTGACGTGGCTTTTCAAATGGCTCGGTATCATGGATCCGTGCGCTCATTCCTCGCGTCTCGACAGCTGTCTCGACCGGTTGTCGCATCGTCTATCTGACTTACAAGACTTTCTATGCCCTTGATATGAGTCTGGTGAGTGGTGTCATGGACATGATACACTTCACAATCTGACATTGCAGCTTCCACCAGAGGACGAGGGAGACGACGGGATCGAGGTAGCATGGGGTAATGTTCCCGAATCCTATCTGGGCCTGTACTGATGTCGAAGAGGACCAACAGCGGATCAACACCTTCTCCAAGCTCAACAACAGACTCTCGGACATTCAGGACCAGCTCAAGGGCAAACAGGTAACTCAGCCCCCCAGTCACTCGCTGAAACGGACAGGAGGAGAAGGAATACTATGACGACCTCGAGACGGAGCTGGAGTTAGCGTACGATGATGCCAAGGTGCTTTACAAGATGGGAGAGGCATTCTTCCATCTCGGATTGAGTGAAGCCAAGAGGCAGTTGCGGAGAGATCTCAAAAAGTATGACGGGGAGATACAAACGCTGGAAGGTAAAGCGGGAGAGTGTGAGCGGGGTATGAAGGAGCTGAAAGTCTTATTGTGAGTTCACGTGTGGAGCATGGCTGATGGCTAGGTATGCCAAGTTTGGAAAGCAAATCAACCTCGAAACGTCATAATCGTCATGTATAAATGATCAAGCGTCATCCTCATCCGCCTCTCCGTCCCTCTTCTTCCGCTTACTCTTCTTGGCACGATTCGCCTTTCTTCGCCGCTCCTTTTCCCACAGGATCTCCTGTCTGGACCACTGCTCCGCCATTGCCACTTCCTCTGCTCTCCTCGACTCCTTCCTGCTGGGCACGCTCGTCTCTGCCTCTGATTTAGCCGAGGATAATGGCGACCCATCTCCAGCGACGACACTGTCCGGCTTCGCCTGTCCTTCTCGACTCCATGACCCCACCGCAATCATGAGATCCAGCTTTTCGGCCAGGATGCGCCGCGCCGCTTTGCGATTCGCTTCTCTCGATCGTGTCGGTTGCGCCTGGACCCGCACCCCAGTGGGTAGATGGATGAGAGAGACAGACGAGGAGGTCTTGTTGATGGCTTGACCGCCGGGACCAGACCCTGGTCGATCAGTTTGGCTCTCGGAACAGATGGGAGACGCACCTCTGACAAATTGCTCTTTCAGCTCGTGCTCAGGTATTTCCCCCAGCTTCTGCCTTCCTAGTAATCGATTGAGCTTTTTGATAGAGCCCGGCAGTTGCGGTCTGGAAGGCTCCGCCATCAGCTGTGTCTGAATTGCGGCCACACGACCCACCTCGGCTGTTGCTTCAGCCCGGCCCCGCTCTGCCCCAGCGGATACATCCTTGTATCCGTAATGAGGCCGCTCGGTGGACTCAGACTCATCTACTTCCGTCTGCTGCGGCTGACCGGCCGAAGAAGAGGACGAGACTCGGCTGGAATCGGCTACCGGTGCGCTTCGAGACATTCCTCGAGAGCTTCCACATGATCTAGCAGATGTCTGCAAAGGTCTCCGGGGTATCGACCTAGCGTATGCTATTCCGAAGAGCGCTCGCCCTGACATGATGCATATGTAAAGTAAGAACAGCATGCATGGCTGTCGAAATGCTGCAAAGTTATGAGTTACGGCACGCCGCGGGTATTCCCAGAGATCGGCCGCGGAATGTGGAGTTGGCATTCACTTTCTACCTCACAATGCCAACTCGCCCCACTCTCGATGCTCTCCCCTCCGCATCCTCGTCCTCGATCGCCCTTCACCACGCACAATCAAGCAGGCTCTTTCCGCTGTTTGCTCAACTCTCGTTCCATGTCATCCCCGCCAAGCTCGATGGGGAACTGAGCAATGTCTACTCGTGGATCGAAGAGCTCGGCGGGAGGTGCGTCTCGGTCGAGTCGGGGCGATACGTGGTCACCGCTCTGAAAGGGAGGATGCGTATTGAGAGGATCCTGTCAAGGGAGTATATAGTAAGTCGCCCAGCCGCCTAGCTGATTAGAATATCAAGAGGATCGTATCAACGGATTACATCCGCGCAGTCTATCAAATCGCTTTAGAGGCACTGGTCAAGGACTTTGCCCCGTCACTGCCCTCTTATACAGACTATCTGGTCGTACAACCACCAAAGCTGCAGCAGCCCGTCTTTGTCGATTCGGATTCCGACGAGGACACACCGCGGAAGCGCCGCAAGGGGAACCCGAGCGTCTTCGAGTATGGGTCAGAAGGCGGTCGCGTGGGTGATCTCCCAGATCTCGCTCCCTTCCCCAAAGACATCGACCTGGAGGAGATACCAAAACTGTGCATACACCGCGCGAGCCCTCTCAAATGTGTCAACCAGGATATTGTGAGTTGTTAATCGAAAGAGCTGATGAGATCGACGCCATCAAGCCCATCTTTGAAGACCGAGAGTTTGAAGAACTGGCACAGAAGAATTCAAACATCCTCAGCTATAGAAGGAGCATGAGCGTAAGTCCACCTCCGGCAAAACTAATATAGATCTTGAAAGGTAAGCGAATCTAAATCTCGCTCATCAGCCCTGCCTCGCAGACTTGTATCCGGCAAAGAAGCTCGCAAGCTCGTCGATGTCGGCGAAAAGGTGGAGCAGAGGGTGAGTTATGTATTGACAACCCTGATGCAGATTGACGAATATCTCAACACCGGCCGGATAGCAGAAAGCGAAGAGATCCTAGCTTCGCCACGCTACGCAGCTCTGCGAGATTTTGCCTCGGTGTACACCATCGGCCACGCAACCGCTCGGGATCTGTACGATACTCACCACTGCCGAACACTAGCAGACGTCCGCGCCCACTATATGAATATCTCGGACGAAAGCGAAGAGGTGCGATTGAAGGAGAAACTCCGACGGCGAAAGACTGGCGGTATGACCCATGTCGATATCGTTGAGGAATGGATGCAAATCAAGGAGGACCTGGATGCAAAGTAAGTTCACAAAAACAACGCTGACGCAGAATACCAAGAGACGAGGTACAAGCGATCGTATCCTGTGTGATGGAACACCTTACGGCCATTCTTGAGGGCTGCGAATATACCATTACAGGAGGGTAAGTCTGCCATTGGCAAAGCTCAAGCAGATATCGCCGAGGCAAACCAGAATCCAACGACGTGGACATTGTCTTTTGCCCTCCCGGCGAGGGTCAAGATATAGGGCTTCTCCACGATCTTTATCTTCGACTGTCCGCGTTCAACATCATCACACATGTTCTTCGTACGTATCCCCGCGCTTGAGCTGACGCAGACGTAACACGCCGCTCGCCCAACACCCCTATACATTCGTCAGCAAATAACTTTGACAACCTCGACAAGGCCTTTGTAATATTCAAATTACCCGGGAAGGATCGCAAGCACCGGCGAGTCGATCTCATCTCGGCTCCTCGGGAGCGGTATGCGGCCGGAGTCCTGAGTTGGAGCGGTAGTATGATGTTTGAGCGCGACTTTAGGTGGGTGTGGGGGCTGTCTCAAACTGACAACAGGAGGTATGCCGAGGCAAGAGGGTACAAGTTTCGTGCCGGCCTCATCAAGGCGTCGACGGGAGAGGAGATAAATCTCGCCACGGAACGGGAGATTTTTGCATTCTTGCAATTGAGATGGGTTCCGCCAGAATATCGCAACGCCGACGGATGATTAGGGGTCATTGTTGGGGTCTGAAAACCTGCGTATGCGGGGAATGTTGTTCTTTCAAGTGTAATACATTCGTCGTAGTGATCCGTCGTCTTGCAGGACACCATACTTCGCAGTAATGACGCAGTCGGCGTGACATCCGACCCGCTCATTTGTGCATGAGAATAAGGCAGATCGAGACGATGCGCGACGGAGAAAGCAGACTGAGCCGAGACATGGCGACGGATAATCGAGGCGCATCAGTTGGAAAACATGCAGAAGAATTTGGCCGATTCTCTGCCACCCCTTGAGGTCCTACTAAGCGACCAAGCGGCATGCACACTCAATGTGGCGTATGCCTTATCTTGTCCGTCGAAACCGAATCAAAGCAGAAGTGAATTGAGGGCTCAGACAGGATTCAGCGGCCGATGAGGGTCAACTTTTTTGGCTACGTGCGACAGAGCTCAAATAGTGTTGAGCTTCCAGCCACACAGCATTGGCTATCCGCAGAGATTTCACATGCTCATTCAGGCGAGCAGCCACATCGTGAAACATCCACCGCGTGGCATCATCACAGCATGAAACGATCAGTGCCATTGTGAGGATACGGCTTTTCATTGGACAGCAGTCTCACAGACGGTGGCATATATCGAAGTCGAGAATGGAGTGTAATAAGTGGCAGGATCATTCGCTTCAAGCTGGAGGCTCAGCTTGTGATGAAGAAGCGACAAGCCCCTCCCCCAGGCCTACAAGACGAACTATATAGCAGAAGACAAGTGTTTACTGAAGAGAGCTAAGTAGGCCGAGACATAAGTAAATCTAATGTAAGTGAGTCCAATCTACAACATACAAAGAGACAGCCCCCTACAGCAAGCCTCGACTCCATTCACGAGACACTCCTCACTCTCCCGCCTAGACTGACACCGGTACTCAGCGGATCCCAACAAGAATATCAAAATTCAAGCAGTAGTTACCCTTAGAAGCCGACATTGGCGGAGCGTCGGGCGGGTAACATTTCCAGTTGGATATCAGGAGCTGGTGAGCAACCTACCGTCTTCCTGTAGCCACTCCGTGACAAGTACAATCTCTACGTGTTATACATAGATTCAGTGGAAAAACTCCTGTCACGAAGTGCAGCAGGGCAAGTAAGGCGGAAGGAGGACCTCGAGAGGTCTGGAGGTTGCATTATCGGAACAAGACATACATCGGCGAGACGTCACTGCTCGCAGCAATGAGCATATGCGGAAGAGGACGGTGAGGACGGCTGTAGATATACATAGGCAAGGTAACAGAACAGTAGTCTTCACCCAGAAATCCAGTGGATAGCCGGATGTACCTGCTGCCGTAGCGGCTTGTTGGTACCTGCTGGGCGACTCTTATCGCTCCGAACGCCTATCGGCTTCCAATCTTCACTGAAAAGTGCAGGTGTGCGGGATGAGGACTGTGTTCACACTTGATACGCTTACGAAAATGTGACACGTCGTAGAAAATCTCCGTAGCTCTATCTACTAGCTGTCTTGTCTGAACAACTTTGCGTTTGTTGCGATCTGACCATACGTCGGTCGACAAGATGGGGAACAAAGTTGAGACGGTGACGGATGGAATTGCTCTTCTGCGCTGAGAATCGCCGACGAGACGGTGCGTCGCTCCAGATAGCCAACAGCGCCAAACCGTAATGGCTCAGTTAGGCGTGAATATGGAATGCTTCCGGGCATAATGAGCTCTAGCTGGCCAACTTAAAACTGTAGCACATTATCGACGATTTCACCTTTGTTCATCAGTTACCAGATTAAAAGCACTCACTGCTGGTATTATAGCTCAGCTGAACACCTGAAGACGTGAACCGAGACGGAAGAGCACCCATACCAGACGTAAAGAGCAGTCCACCCAAGTTTAACATTTCGGTCACCGAGACGCCAGCAAGGTCCGGCAGGAAGTATGTGATAGCCACTCTTGTAGCCGCCAGCTAGAACACGATGCGAAGTAGATGCAAGTCTGCATGACACGGCATGCGGCATTCTGAGAGGAGACCGAGCGAGGAACATCTCGATTTGCTGAGGAAAACCTCCGGATTGGCTCAGGGACATTCGCGCTCATGTACATGTTTCCAAGGTGAGCGTGATGACTCGACGCTATGAGAACTGCAGGATTGACTCTACAAACTCTGTTCTCTGCTCGTGACCCAAGCGTGGAAATACTGACGGAATGAGGAATGTGCCTCATAGTTAATACGCTTACGATAATATAGACACGTCATAGAGAAGCAGCAGATAGAGTGCAAGTTCACCGTAGTTTTACTAGCTTTCTCTTTTGTACATCTTTGCAACTATTGCGACCTGGCTATACGTCATCAAAAACAGCCGTGAGTGGTTCCTGATGTCGATAACAGCTGTGAGTGCTTCCGGATGTCAATCACCTCCACCGCTGATTGCTACTGACGCTCAGCTAGATCCAAAGAGATGAGGGAAAGAAGTGATAGGAAAGCTACAAGTCTAGCTAACACGGCCAAGCTATATACGAAAGGAGTACAACAGCGTCGTCCCGCTAGATCCCGCTCTTGCCCGCTCTTTCCCGACTTTTCATCCTTGGCATCTAGCCTTCAGGCCGTCTTCCGCCTGTTCCGTCAAGATACGCCAAGTCAAAGTTATCCGACGAATCCCGACACTCCGTCAATTCCGACAAGTGCTATCTGCTGCTCCACTCTTAGCTTCCCCTGTACTAAGACGGGTCTGCGACAGAGTTAGTTGTCGAGTGATGTGGTGATCAGAGTATCAACACAGCGGAGATCACCGAAGGAGGCTCTCGCACTGTGTAGATTAACGTTCACATCTCATCTCTTGTTAACTTATGTGATATTTCGCATACACCTACCCAGAGACGCTAGATATGTAAACTGGTCGCTGCTTCAACTTCGGCGAATGTAAGTCCAGATCATCCAGCTCTTATCACTCCTTACGATACTTCCCATTTGCACACCTGGGCTCTACGTTCTCCAAAATACACCTAGGTGAGATCCGAGCAGTATACTGTAAGTTGGCCGTTTAGCGGTCAATCATGTAGACTAAGTTCTGGTTCGCGCATCTTTTGACACTCAGCTGGATGATGAAGTGATATGCGAGAAAGGGGTGTGCTAAGACTCTGGCTATCACGGAATATACAGAAAATGTAGAAGAGAGTCTTTTCGCTTCTTTATGACTGCCAAGACAACGTCATCTCAAGGATACCAAGCACCCGTCAGTTCCGACACGGGTGCGGAAGCGACAGATCGTAACACTTCCATTGCTTGCCTTAATCTACGACGTGAATGTTGGAATCCACTGAGTACCGTTGTCAGACTACGCGAGGGAACGAGAAGTGTTTCAGGCGGTGAACGGAGTTCCGGATATTGATCACTTCCCCTGCTGATTGCTATTGACGCCCAGCTAGATCCAAAGAGATGTGGGAAAGAAGTGATTCATATACGGCTAAACTGGTCTACTCACCTATTGATGCTCAGCTGGATCCAATGAGATGTGGGAAGGAAGTGATGGGAAAAGCTACAAGTCTAGCTAACACGGCCAAGCTATATGCTGAAGGTGTACAGACGCTAGATCCCTGAACTTCCCGCTCAATCCTGGCTCTTCCCGCTTGCTATCCAACCATCACGCCGTATTCCGCCTGTTCCGCCAGAAAACGCCAAGACAATTTTATTCAACCAATCCCGACACTCCGTCAATTCCGACACGGAGTCGGGGCTTGCGGTACGTGACTGTACCCTCGTATGTTGTAGGTTTGACTCACTTCTATGTTAGATATACTTGTGCCTCGGCCTAGGTAGTTTTCCTCAGTGAACACTCATCTTCCGTTACGACCCGTACCCGAAGATCTGGGACCGGAAACGGCGTGGACGGTGAGTGGTCGTAGGGAGTCTAGCTTGGACCACATAGATAAGAGGGCTAGGAGTCTAGTCTCTGCCCTTGTATTGGACGGCGAGGCGTGAGAGCTTCGGCGAAGGGGGATGAGGAGGACTATGAGGTATCTCCTGGCTTTAACGATGTGCAAGGCAAGAGATTAGGTGAGATAAGGTAATCTAGACTAGGTAACTTATGGCAGATATTCTAAGAGAAGAAGCAATCCAAATTGAAACATCCCGCCTTTTCTACACGCCCTGGGGCAACCTCACTGCCATTGTATATCGGTATATATAGCGAAGGAGGCTCTCGTCGTAGGTAGATTACCCTTTGATATCTCTCTCACATTGTCGATCCATGCAATACCCCGTATACCTACCCAGAGACACCAGATATCGAGCTGGACCATGCTGGAATCGCTGAGTCAGACAACGTCTTAGCGCGTCACGTCGGCGAGGTGAGTGGGTGCCAGACTGAGCTGACTTTAGTACCTTGCCGAACTAAAGCAGTCGGCATCAACGTCAAGGAGCAGCGGTGGACGATGCTGGAATCACTGAGTAGGATAAAGAAGGAGGAGGAGGGATTGCGTGTCGTTGGCAGGGTGAGTGTGCGCCAGACTGGGCTGATGTCAGTACGTCAATGTTCTTATGCAGCAAATGCATAAAGGCATTGGATATTCCGGGGGCGTGGGAAAGGTAAGTCCATTCTTGGCAGAGCTGAATCTAGTTCCTCGGCCAGAGTAAGGAGGATGGTCACTCGTGCGGAGTCTGTCGGAATTGACGGAGTGTCGGGATTCGTCGGATAACTTCGTCTTGGCGTATCTTGGCGGAGCTGACGGAAGATGGCGTGAAGGCTGGATGCCAAGGATGAAAAGTCGGGAAAGAGCGGGAAGTAGCGGGATCTAGCGGGACGACACTATTGTACACCTTCAGTATATAGCTTGGCCGTGTTAGCTAGACTTGTAGCTTTTCCCATCACTTCTTTCCCACATCTCATTGGATCCAGCTGAGCGTCAATAGGTGAGTAGACCAGTAGTTAGCCATATATGAATCACTTCTTTCCCACATCTCTTTGGTTCTAGCTGAGCGTCAATAGCCCACAGCAGGGGAAGTGACCAATATCCGGAAGGGTAGGTATACGGGGAATCACATAGGTTGGAGATGAGAGGAGAGACACGGACGGTAATTTACCTAATGACGAGAGCCGCTCTATATACTGACAGCACTCCCAGGTAAATCGATGCATCGCTTCTCCATCTGCCCAGTGACACACTGACATTATACAAACTAAAGCGACTGCAACCTTTCACACATACTCTAATATTTCGCTGTCCTTGCGGTGTTCATCCTCTGCGGGGCATATCAGTTACACTGTGGTGGGTCGCAGACTGTAGGGATCCGCTGAGTACCGCTGTCGATTCAGGCGGGAGAAGGAGGAGCGTCCCAGGCGGCGGACGGAGTCGGGATTTGCAGTACGGGGCGTTTACTTGTATATTGTAGACTTGACTCACTTACATTGGATTTACTCATGTCTCGGCCTATTTACTTCTCTTCAGTAAATACTGATCTTCTACTATCCGGTCTACCTTGTAGGCCTAGGGGATGAGCTTGTCGCTCCTTCATCATACACAAGCTCAGCCCCTAGGTAAGTCAATGCATCGCTTCCTCATCGTCTAAGCTGAGCCTCCGGCTTGAAGCGAACCATCCTGGCACACAGACAAGTCGGATCTTCGTGGACTTCTTGGATGGATGTGTTCGTCCTGTCATGATGTGCGGTACTGCACAGCTGAATTCTTGATATCCCAAAGCAAGTCACCCGTGCTGCCTCTGACAATAATGGATAGGCCCTGTCCGCTTTGATCTGTTTGGTCAGGACTGTCAGCGGCATCTATGTACGCGTACAATGCGACTTAACCGCGGTCAGCTTGCTATACTCATGTTATTCGTTTCTGCAGAGGCTGCTGTTGTTGGTATTTAATCCACTACAACAGAAGACAGTCGCCTCTTGATGTGGCGCCGACCGGTATATCAAAGTTGTTGTCACATGATGGCAGTAGCAGTAGCTGCCTTGCATGGTGGCTCGACGCTTCAAATGCACAGTCCCAGACGCAATGAATCAACCCGCGTTAGTTTTCTATCCGCACACATGTGGAGGGGATAGAGAGGCTTCGAGTATCCTTGGGTTTCGGCGTATCTTCTATTCCAGCTTCCCATATTGACGTCACAAATTGACCGTCTGCGTCACCGTACGGCGTATCTGGCAGGTCCACCGATCAACAGTAGTTCATCCTCAAGCGGCAGGTCACATTCCCCTCGGCCGCATCTTCCAGTTCCAGTAAAGACAATGCACCGACCAAGACAACGGTGTACAAGAGCGACCCTACTTCGCCTCCAACTTCTCCCTCCTTGGATCCGCCTCTACAGGCTGAGCCAGCCTTGCCTCTGGCTCGGCAAATGCTTCCCGTAACTTGTCGGTGGCGATCTTCCGGACCTCGTTGATCAGGGTGCGTGACATCTGTACCAACGGTCCAGCGAGGCCAAGCTGCAGGACAAGGTATCTGGGATCAGCTCGAGCATGTGACGGACTCACGCAGACGCGGCGATAACTAGCAACATGGCAAAGTAGAGCGGGTTGAACAGCACGGTCATTGCCTCGTTCCACCCCAACACCGCAAGGGCGCCATACATCCATACGGGGATTTGTGCGACGCTGGATACCATAGATCGCTTAGCCTCAACGTAGGCTGCGTCTGCCTCGCGCTTGAATCGACTTTCAAGCGCTAGTAATTTGGTGGGTGTGAGGAGGGTGAATGCTGTGGAAGGATCGAATGGGGCAGCATCGTCTTCGTTGTCCGGAGCAGGTGGTAATGAGGGGAGATGATCGGAGGTAATTTCGGCAAACAGGGGAAGCAAGGCGAGTGTCTGATCAGCCCCGCTATCAATGGACCTACCTCGTCCTTGGCCCTGGTGAAGGCGGCTTCGATATCGTCCTCGGGCTTCCAAACCCTGGGCACGCCAGCCTCATCATATCTGAAGCGCTCCTCGAACGAGGCGCGCAAGATAGAGATCAAGTTGGCATCACTTGTCTGCTCCTCCAGCTTCCGCCGGAGTGAAAGCCAGGTCCGCGAACGCAGTGTCGACAAAGCTCTGTCATTCTCCTCATCGGTGCAGCCAAAGCCTCATCAGCATTGCCGATATTTGACTCACTGTTTGCCTTGCTTAGGTAGGACGCTTCGGCTGTGGCACTGACGGTGCGATATGTTGCCAAGACAGTGTCCCACATGGTCGGGGTGGGCTTGCTAAGTGCCACCTCGACGGGCTCGAGAAGCTGCTTTTTAACCGAGCGCTCGATCGCGTTGACCATCTTTTTGGTCTCGTCGGCGCGGCACTGGTCTGCAATGTGTTTCAAATCGTCGTCGACGAGGCCGAGTTCGTGCTCATACTCCCAGTCGGTATTCTCCAGGCTTAATTCTGTTATCAGCGAGGTTTACCGAAACTCACCCTTTGCAGCTTGGACGAATCCATCCCTGGCTCTACTCCGCGCCTTTGTGACCACGTTGGCGAAATCGTATCCTGGCTCCTTGAGACCCGCCGTCAGATCCTTGCTAAAGCCGCTGTTTGCCGACTTGTGCAGATTCTTGAGCTGGCCAAGGAAAAGAGGCGAGAGTGAGGCGTGAAGCGCTGCAACAAGATCGGATCGTTTACGCTGGTATACCGAGGCATGGTATCTCGACGCATCCTTGTCGAATTTGCCTGAGATCAGCTTCGCCTCACGTGTGCTCACCCATGGCCACCTCCATCCAATCCCGCATCATTGCGCCAAGGCCCTCTACCACGCTTCCCCCATCGACCGGACGACGAACAGCTTTGGCGCTTGCGAGGAATACCTCCATAGCGACCGCGGCGATCTCGTCGCATCTAAATTGGGCGAGCAGTTCTTGCTGTGTCGGCAGGTCGAGGTCTTTGTTTGAGAGGACTTGTTCCTGACGTCAGCTTTGGTCTGATTCGGACACACCCAGATGCCTTCCATGTAGAATGAAACACCATCAGCGGGGATGCGCTTATGGTATGAGGGCTGGAAGACGTAGTCGGGGCGAGTTCGATCGGTGAAGCGTTTTCTCAACTCGGTGACAGACTCTTCGAACTTTTCCGGCATTAGAACCTTGTGAGGGAGAGCGGCGAAGGAGAGGTCAAAGTATTGATCCAGAGTGGCGTCGGCAAGGTGAGAGGGCTAAATTAGCTCTACCGAGGTGAGGCTCACCTTTGACAGACTGGCCCAGATCTTGTCCATATCTGCTTTGAGCGTTCCGGTCAGATTGGCCATGGGGGTCGCGCCGACGTGGTCCCGGATGACAAAGAGGATGAGAGTTTTCTCTTTTGGCCTGGGTCAGAGGATTCAAGCTGTGACTCACTGTTGCCGCGATTCCGCTGATCCCCCAAAGAGTCCCAGGTTCACCTCGAATACGGTTTTGAGCAGTCCCATATTCGCGCCTTGATAGAGACCGATTTGATGTTCCCTGAGGTCAGCAATATCTTAATAACACTCACCATAGGTTTACAAGCAGCACTTCTGTACTGGCCAAGCTGAAAAGTGCCGACTTGCGCTCAAAGTCTTGGTCTTCGCCCCTTTCCCGCCCATCCGTACCTTCCACGTCCATCACCAAGGTGGAGCCGTAGGCTGATGGACACATCCAAATCCCCTTGGTCGTCTGCTGTCTCCGGCTCTCATCCATGACATCGAAAGACGTTCCAAATAACCGGTTGAGCAAGGTCGACTTGCCCGTCGATTGCGAGCCAAATACTGCAACGACATCGTATGCGAAGCCTTTGTCGAGCAGGCCCCACTTGGCGAGATGCGGCGAGAGATCTTTTCTGGTTGATCAGTTGGGCTGAGATGGTGACTTACGAGAACTCTTGGTGCTCATTCACGATCTGCAAGCGACCATGGCTCGTACCGTTCGTCTTGGAAAAGGCCGTGCCCGGTTGAGCAATGTCGGCGATGGCTGATCTCGCCTCGTCGGTTGTGCGCGGATCAGCCATGAGGCTTTGAAGATCCTCTGGAGGGTTGTTGATGAGGTTGTGGGTGATGGCTGGTGCTTGATCCATGTTGTTGGTATTAAAGGTAAAGTGTATGTGTATGCTACAGATGAGGAATGAGGAGAGCGAGTTGCTTTGTTGCGCGATGACGTTGCGGGGAAGGGAGATTGAAGGGGAGGAACGTTTTAACTCTCCATAATCATTCATCATTCATACACCATGTCCACCACACACAACGACATTGACATCAAGATGTCCCCACCCTCAGCGGCGTCGACCTTGACGGACCTCAAGCAGTACGCTGGCGATGACGAAACCCTCGACATCAAGCCCACTCAGCTTGACCGAATCAAGATTGAGCAACAAGTTCAGCAGCGGCTTGACGACACGGTCCAGCGCATCAAAGACACATCCGAGCAGTGAGCAGGCACTGCGTCTCAGCTAATATAGGCTTCAAACCATCGCGCAACCCTATGCCCAGAAGACCAGGGATTTTGCTGAAGAGAGACCTGTGTTCTTTGTAAGTCCGGGGACGTGCGCAGTTGCTGATTTGTTGACCTTTATCGTGGTCTTTTCCGCCTTGAGCGCGATCCCGCTTGTCTGCTTTGGGTAAGTCGTGGAGCGTTTCGTACTGATATCAGAACATTCCTTGTGTCTTCGGCGGTCTTTATCATTGGCACTGCAGCGATCTGCATCTGCCTGTCCCTTCTCGTCACAGTGTTCATTGCAAGTGAGTTCACGCCGGAGCTAAGCTTACAACAGGCTCGGTCCTTCTCCCGGTTCTCCTATTCACCCTCATCACGTCCACCCTCATCACTTCATTCTTACTCTTTCTCTTTCTCGCGCACCGCCTCTACCTACACCTCACCGTCGCGGCCAAGCACGATCCGTCGGTCGAACACTTTTCCGCTGGGATGAAGAGCTGGGCCGATGAAACCAAGGCCAGGGTGGATCTCACATCTTTGGGGTTGAAGGGTAGGGTAAGTTGGGCGGATATGGGGGACTCTGGTCAGTGGAAGAAGGAGGACGAAGGTCTTCAGTTGGGTGGAATTGGACAGGAGCCGGCGGCTTGAGACAGCTTAGGCTAGACAGACTAGGTCCCGCCCGTATAGATGTGAGCTGTAGATTGTATATACACTGCATGTATTACCACCGTGTAACGTCCGCTTCCGCCTCTCCGAACACGCTTTCCTTTTTGACGCCCCAACCTTCCACTTCCTTGCCATACTCCTCTACACTAATCTCTCTGACCATAAAGTACTCGGGCACCTTTCTTCTCAGCCAGCCCTCGATCCACCCATTGATCGCTTCAAACTCTAGCAGGAACCCATCATGCCCGTCCGGACTGGGAATAAGGACCAGCTCAGCCTCGGGGATGAAGGCAGCGATTTCTTTTTGCTCCGAGGTGGTGAATAGCCCGTCAGATTCGACGCCGATAACGAGTGCGGGGGGGAGGAGGGACAAGGCGAGCTGGATGGGGTCCTTTATGTCTGCGCCGTCGGCATCTGAGGGGACCGCCGGCAATGTGCAGGATAGATTTGGCGGGTCGACAAAGATGGAGGGATGCGACAGGTCATGCGTGTCGAGTTTCCGTGTAATGTGAATGTAGCAGTTTGCGTCGAAGCGGCCGGTGAACTGGGTAAGCTTTGTTCTAGGCAGGCTCACCTTGTCTCCCTGATATCTAAGATAACTCTGTGCGGAGAACACCTTGGGCTCGGTGACGCTCCGCCCGCTATTCCTTCGACTTCCCGAGGGTCGATACCCATCGTTGTGCTCCCGCCACGCCAGCTCGCTAGCAGCCTGGCGGTTCTTGGCCGCCAGATCTGCCGTGCTCGGCTCGCTCGGGTCTGTGGTCTCCTTGCCACCCATCACCCTCACGCCTCCCTTTGGCACACCTTTATCTAGCGTACCCGCCCTCCGTCCAAATCTCGCCTCGAAAGAGTCTCGAGATCGGTACGTCAGCAGCGCCGCCATGCGCGCCGCAGCGAGACCTCGCCCGGGCTGAGCACTCAGATCAACCCCACCCGGCAGGTCGTAGTAATAGCCGTCCCTGTATTCGGGGTCCGAGTAGATGGATTGTCTCTGAGCCTCTCCCCAGGATATACACCACGCCGAGTGGCGAGCCGACGTTGCGATGGGGATGATGTGCCGAACAAAGCCGGGTGGGGTATTGAGGGGGTATTCGAGACAGGTCATCCCGCCCATCGACCCGCCAATGACCGCTGCGACCGATTTAACGCCGAGGGATAAGAGAACCTGATAGTGAAGTCTGATTAGCAATGTTTGAGATAAACTCACCTGACGTCGTCCTTGACACTGCTCCCTGGCATCTCGGGTCCTCGTACGGCTCCAGCTTCATCCCGTGTCACTGAGCTGACGGTCCCGTATGGGCTTCCGATGACATTGGCGCAGAATATGAACCACCGTGTGGGGTCAAACGCCCTATCGAGACCTAGTAATGGTCCCCACCAGTCCTCCACGTCCGAGCTGCCAGTCAAGGCATGGCAAATGACCAGTACATTATCGCCTCGTGAGTTGAGCCGGCCCCATGTTTTGTATCCGACCTGGATGTTGGTGAGGACGGTGCCAGATTCGAGGGTGAATTTGGGGATGGGATGGAAGGATTGGTTAATGAGGGCAGCGTAGGGGTTGTCGTTGGGTATGGAGTTCATGATATGTATGGTAAGTTAGTACCTATAGAGCTGATGCATGTAGAGGTGACTGTTGGTTGACCGGGTTATCGACTCGTCGGAAATCTAGTCCGTGCGCAAGATTGTGAGCATCTGCTTCGCAAGGCTTCGCAGGCACTGCAGATGACCCTGGGAGGTGCCCAATATCATTCGACAGGTCGCCCCTGGGTGAGCCTGTGTCATACATGCGTGAAACATGAAGAAATCATAAATAATGCTACAAATCTGAGCCGGGTAGCTATATACAAGCTGTGCCTAAATTACCCCACATAGCGACGGTGCGCTCTTTATAAAGAATGAGTCTCAATGCCTACAATCTTGACCCCTCGCCGCCTCGGTGCCGCATCTGTCAACTGGTTACAGCCTAGAGTCAGCGTGATCGGAGCAGGACTCACCCCAGACATAGATTGTGTTTAGGTCAGGACACGCGTCCAGCAGATCCTTGAGGAGGAAGTCGGTGACCTGGCGACACCAGCCAAGGTTGAGTTGGGTGAGCTTGACGCAGCGGGTGAGGTGAGCGAGAGCGTCGGAGGATACCTCGCGCCAGCCAAGGATGCTGAGGGTGGTCAGGGTGGCAGCGGAGGATTCGATGAGGGAGATGAGAGCGGCGTCCGCGAGGTCATGTCCTTTTTCGAGATCGACGTGGGAGAGGTTGGTGAGGGTTTGGAAGAGGGTTGCTACACCAGCGTCGGTAAGCTCAGGCATGAGCGAGAGTTTTAGGGTGTGAAGGGGGAGCTTGGCAATGGTGGGGAGAATCTCGTCGGTGAGTTCTGGATGATCCAGTAAGGTGAGGGATTGCACCGTGGAAGGGAGGACGAAAGCTTCGTCGGACAAGTGATGGGTGGGAGAGGAGATGTCTAGGGATATGAGGGGGAATTGCGCGATGAGGGGTAGGAATGCGTTGTCGAGCTTTCCTATTTCATCCAAGCGCAGATGCTTTAGTTGCGGACACTGCGCGAGGAGGTTCTCGAGCAGAGCGAGATCGAACCGGGGGGATTGTGTGATGAGGAACGACTCGAGGTTGCAGTTTTCGAAGAGGGCTTTCCAACCAGCTTCTCGGACCAAAAACGGACCGTACAGCTCGATTATGCGGAGGGGCAGACGGGAGATATGGACGAGCGCGTCGGTGGTGAGTTGTCCACAGTAGTGGAGGCGTAAGGTGTAGAGATTGGGGCAGAGGTTGGCCATAGCGAGGTACGACTCGTGGACGAGGCCTGATCAGCAGCGTTGTGGGGATACTCACGAGTACAGTCATACATCACGAGCTCCTCTCTGTCGGAGGCGTAAAAGAGCTGCGCCGTTTCGGGTGTTCTATATTAGCTCGCTCGAGATTGAACTCACAGGAGACGGCCGCGAGAGATGATCCTGCAGACCTTGTCCATGTTGACATGGCCAATGTCGCCGAGCTGCTCGACGTCTTCAATGTACTTGCCGATGATCTGGATGCAGATGTCGCCGAGTCCGGGAGCACCGCGGCGGTCCTCGAAGCGCTTGACAGTGCGAGCTTCCTTTTGAGGGGCCTTCTTGGCCACCTTTTTTACTTTGGCTTTGGCAAAAGGGTCGATCCCGAGAGCATAGCAGCAGGGAACGCAGAGATGCCCGCCTTTTGGTCGTGGCTTGGTGTACGCGGTCTAATCAGCACCGATAGCGGATCTACTCACGACTGTGAATTGCTTGTCACATTCGGCACACGTCATGAACTCGCCGACCGCTTGGAGGCTATCGTGCTGAACCGGTGCGTCCAGGTCGTCCGAGTTCATTGACGCCGAGCGGGCTCGTTTCCCATCTGCGACCGTGCTCGGACCTGCTTCCACATTGCGAGCAGTGACTGCGCCCGCTGGGTCAAGCTCAGCGGTGGGGTCGATGACTGGACCATCCGCGGCGAGCTGCCCATTGATGGCTGTTGAGTTGCCCCAGGTAGTGAGGGGCGCGCTAGGCTGAACGCCGAGACCCTGTCATTAGCGGCGGTGTGCAGTGAGGCTTACAGCTAGGAAGGATGTGAGCGCTGATGCTGGCCCTCTGACTGCGCCTGTTCCTCGTCTTGCTCTGGACATGATGTAGGATGTAGAAAGTGAAACGAAAAAGAAGTCGGATCAAGCCGACAGTAGTCCGGTCAACTCTACCTCGTCATCGTTATGAGGGGTAAATTCATTGTACTCGAAGGCTTGGATAGGTCAGGCAAGTCTACCCAAGTGGACAGACTCATCCAGCGTCTCGAGCAGGATGGTCCAGCGAGGCTGCAAAAGTTCCCAGGTGGGTCAAGGTGTAATCAAGCTCATCAGACCGCACAACCTCGATTGGCAAGATGATTGACGCGTATCTTCAGTCCAAGACCGAGATGGATGACCGAGCCATCCACTTGCTCTTTAGCGCCAATAGATGGGAGTGCTCGTGAGTGGACTGTAAACGGCGCTGAGGCAGGAAGCGAATACGAGAGGATATAGCCAAAGGCATTACGGTCGTTGCGGATCGCTACGCGTTCTCTGGGATCGCATTTTCTGCAGCCAAGGTGGGCGAGACTATGACACAGCTGATGCAGGGACTACCCTTCGACTATTGCCTCGCGCCAGACGAGGGTCTACCCCTCCCTGATGTGGTCATCAACCTGTCGCTCTCGCCCGAGGACGCCGCCAAGCGGGGCCAGTACGGCGAGGAGAAGTACGAAACGCTGGACATGCAGGAGCGGACGCGAGCTCAATTCAAGCTGGTAGCCAGAGAGATGGAGAGGAGGCATCCGGGGAGGTGGAAAGACGTGGATGCGGCTGGGAGTGTGGAAGAGGTTGGGGAGCGGATTCGGCAGGTTGTGGGGGTGGAGGTGGATACCGAACTGGGGCAGCTTTGGATGTAGAGCGTGGTGGTTGTGTGAGGTGAGGGCGCCGCAGGAGGCGCTATATGATACATGGTCTATTGGGGTGCTGGGTATATGGTGTACAGGTCACTGGAACGCAAGTTTTGCTGTAATCAGCGTTGGCCACCAATCCACTTACTCATCTCTCCTCTAAAAATCTCCTCCTGCCCCTCTCGTTCATCATTACGACGACATTTTCTCTGCCCGGACTTTCTAGTCTCGCCTCTGCGTTGGATCGGTCGCCAGATCGGACGGGACAAGGGAAAGCGACCACGACGAGGGCGCCGAGGAATGTTGCTGTGAACAGGGAGGATAGTAGGGATCGCTGGCCCCGCCCAAAGTAGCGCATGAGCAGGGGCGCCATGAAGTGTGTGTTGTAGGTGTGGACGGCCCCGATGTAGAGTGGGGATGGATGGATGGATTGTTGGAAAAAGAGTTGACATAAGGCGGCGGGTGGCGGAAATAAGGAGCTCCGCAACGATCCATTCTTGACTTTTGACATATCATCATGCTCTCCAAACGCTCACAAACAGTAGGTCACGGCGAGGCGAAGCTCATGATAGATCGTATCCATAGGGAGATCCTTCGCGACCGCTGTGTCCACCCCTAGTGCAAGGCGGAAACTCCCCGCGGACGGCCTCAGCTTTGGTGACTTTGCCTCGGGCGATGTCTTGCCAGTATCTGAGCGTGTGATTCTCGGCAACACCTCACAGTGAGTTTGCATAAGACAGTGCTGATCAGACCACGTCTCCCCTCCTTCCTCAAACACCCCATCCCCTCGGGCAAGTCCTATACCGAAATCAAGAAGGATCTGCGCGGACTGGGATTACATACCGTATGCGAAGAGGCGAAATGCCCCAACATCGGCGACTGTTGGGGCGGCGACAAGGGTCAGGCGACAGCGACCATCATGCTTATGGGTGACCAGTGTACGCGGGGGTGCCGATTCTGCTCTGTCAAGACATCCAGGCTTCCACCACCGCTTGATGTGCACGAACCAGAGAATACGGCGGAAGCGATCAGCCGGTGGGGTTTGGGGTATATCGTGTTGACCAGTGTGGATCGAGATGGTGAGTGGTGTGTGGATCGTGCTGATGTAGATCTTATTGATGGGGGCGCAAATCACATTGCGCAGACAATCAGCAAAATCAAGCAAAAGGCGCCGTCCATCCTGGTCGAAGCCCTGACGCCGGACTTTGCGGGCAAGGGGGCAGAAGCGGTCCACCTCGTCGCCACTTCTGGGCTGGATGTCTTTGCGCATAACGTCGAGACGGTCGAGCGATGTACGCCTTTCGTTCGCGATCGTCGAGCCGGATTCCAGCAGAGTCTGACGGTGTTGGAGGAGGCCAAGAAGGCGGCACGTGCGGCCAACAAGGAGATCCTCACCAAGACGAGTATCATGCTGGGCGTGGGAGAAGAGGCGGACGAGATTATGGAGACACTGAGACGTGAGTCGGGCTTTGTACAAGCTGACGGCAGGACTTCGCGCATCAGATGTGGATGTAGTCACATTTGGTCAATACATGCGGCCAACCAAGCGACATATGAAGGTGGATCGTTATGTGTTGCCAGAGGAGTTTGCCAAGTGGAAGGATGTGGCCGAGGGGATGGGGTTCCTGTATGTGGCGAGTGGGCCGCTGGTACGATCGAGCTATAAGGCGGGAGAGTTCTTTATTGAGAATGTGCTGAAGAAGAGAAGGGCAAGGGCTCAGGTAGAGGAGGGGGCTATGGGAGACAGAGCAACGGTGTAATAAATGTAACATTCCTGGTTCATATCGTGTTCAGTCCGGGGCATACTATCGCCTCTACCGGTTGATCTATACATCGCCACCTAAGTCTCGCAACATCCCTTTGAGCTCCTCAATAGTCGCATCCCGTTCCTTGATTGTCGCCTGGAGCTGGTTGATCGTCTTTCTAAACCCTTCCTTGGCTTTCTCCGCCGCGCTTAGCAGTCTATCCTGCCGCTGTATATGTTCAGGAAGGTCGCCGAGGACTTCGAGTGCAGACACATATCGCGTAGTCTCCGAGATGAAAGGGTTCTAATCAGCAAAGTCAGGCGAGGACTCACTTCTCGTCTTGGCGTTTCCTCGTCTTCTCGTTTCCGCTTGCGCGTGTCCTCGGCCATGGCCTGCAGGCGGTTCTGGAATGGGGTGCCAGAGTTACTTTGAGAAGGCTGCGAGGACCCAGGGGTACTGGCAATGGCTTGTCGCTCGAGATCATCCGTGTCGACCTGATCCCAATCGATCTCGGGTAAAGGTTGGGAGAGTGGGGCTCGAGATGGGGTGGGTCGAGACGGGGGTGGTCGAGATGGGGTGGGCCGTGAGGGCGTAGTGGGTGTCTGGTTCTTATCCAGCTCATCCGCCCATACAAAGAATTTGCATCGCTTGTCATCGTTGCGGTCCAAGCTGCAAGTGTAAAAAGATCTGATCAGCCAGAGTTTAGGACAATCGCACCTGCCTGGGTTCTTGGTATGAGGACCAGAAGTGAAGAAGGATGCTTTGCGTTTGTGGCCCTGGCGTCAGTGGGGTCGGGCCTAAGCTTACTGAGCACAAGACTACCCCGTCAGCATCTACTGGTGTTGGCTTGATCTGTGTCCGTGAAGGTGCGCGTGACATTGTACATGTACAGTGGGGAGTGGGGAAGTGGAGGAAGGTTCCGTTGGAAGTCACAAGTGCCACAAATCGGAGCAAGCCGGAGATACGTTTAACTGCATTCCCGTTGGTCAATCTCACTTTATACTTCATACATACATCAACAATGTCATTCCTACCAGCCATCAGGCGACAGGCTGCCCTCACAGCGAGGAGGTCTTACGCCACCGTATCCGAAGCCGCAGGCGTAAAAGTCGTCGGTATCGATTCGGGCGTTCTTCCCGCGGCAACAACCAGCATCACCGTCGTGGTCAAAGCTGGCGCTCGATATGAGACTCAACCGGGTATCGCGCACGTTCTCAAGAACTTCGCCTTCAAGGTGAGCACACGAATGACCACGCTGATGTAGTCTACTGCCTCGGGATCTGCGTTGAAAACCGCCCGCGAAACGGAGCTCTATGGAGGTGTACTTTCCGCCGCGTTGGGCAGGGAGCACTTGTTCTTGACGGCCGAATTCTTGAGAGGCGACGAGTAGGTATCGGTCTGGCTGCGCTAATGGCAGGAACCACTTTTTAGACCTCCTCGCGTCGGTCCTCTCTTCCACCCACTACTACCCCCACGAATATGCCGAGCTCGTCCTTCCCACCATCCAGAGCGAGTCTATCTCGGCTCTCGCATCCAGCAGCACCATCGCCATGGATGCTGCACACAGCATTGCATTCCGGCGCGGACTGGGCAACTCGCTCTACGCCTCTCCCCACTCGCCTGTCTCGGCCGCCGATGTCAAGGGCTTTGCCCAAAAAGCCTTTGCCAAGTCCAACATTGCGGTCCTCGGCGCGGGTATCTCCACGGACGCGCTGAGCAAGGCGGTTCAGTCGGCGTTTGGTTCGGGATCCGGAGGGGCGGCATTGTCGGGCGGATCTTCGCAGTACTTTGGCGGAGAATCGCGCATCGCTTCGCACGATCAGCCAACGATGATTCTGGCGTTCGGCTCGGCTGGTGAGGCATCAGCAGATATGAAGGTGCTGCCTCACCTTCTCGGCGGCGAGACGGCGGTCAAGTGGTCGACGGGGAGCTCGCCCCTCAGCCAGGCGGCGGCCAAGGTGACTGGAGCGAGCGCCAAGGCGTTCCTGATGCCGTACTCTGATGCGTCGCTCTTCGGCGTTGTGGTGACGGCTCCCACAAGCGAGGGTGTCGCATCAGTCGCCAAGGAGGTTGCAGGGTTGATGAAGGCTGGGAAGGGCAAGGATGAGGAGATTAAGCGGGCTGTGGCCAAGGCCAAGTTTTACGAGGCGACTCTTCTGGAACGGCACGAATCGTTGATTGCTACCGCTGGAGCAGCAGTAAGTTTCACAAAGGGACTCTGCTGAAAGATCTTTTCTGGCAACATGCCCACACCAGATTCGTCATTCGCTGCACTTGCCAAGGTCTCGGCTTCATCACTGGAAAAGGTGGGTCAGAGTCTGGGCGAGCTGACAATAGGCCTCGTCAGAGCTGTTCAAGGGCAAGCCAACGGTCATCGCTGTCGGGGATTTGGCAAAGCTTCCTTACGCGTACGTCAAAGAATATACAAAGCTTACATCAGGGACGAACTCTTCTAGATTACTGGTAAAATGCGACCACTCCTTGCTCGAGCCTACGTTAGCTCTATCAAGCATGAACGCACCTTTGTTTGACAACCATCATGACCCCTTGCTGGACCAGCCCTTTGAGGAGCTGTCCCTCGATACCTTTAAAGAGCCCGCTGATTCCTTCTTCGCGGATGATCCGTTTGTAGGGGCCAAAGCGGTCGCGAGACCGGCCGGACAGGCTGAGCGATTTGGCCAAGATGAGAGGGTACAGGGGGATCGTGGCGAGCGCATTGGAAATGGCCGCGACGGCAAAGGTCGTGGAGGCGGACGGGTGACGAGGGAGAAGAGCGTTATGGAAGTAAAGGGTCAAGCTGGGGAGGAGCGCCAAGGACGCCGCCGAGAGTGGGATGTGGAAAAGCCCAAGCACGCCGCCCTCCTTGAGCATATTGCTCAGTGTCTTGCTGATACTCTCTGGCTCCTCTCCCAGCTGCTGGCGGATGCATACCGCCGAGATGGGAAGTGCGAGGCGCTTGGACGCAACGCCAGCGATCGTCCCAATGAGGATCTCTGCTGACGCAGCGGCGGCGCCGTGCTCCGCGGGCGTCAGATCTCGGCGCTTGCGCCACTGATGGGCGGCGCGCTCGAGAGAGGCGTAGATCAAAAAGTAAAGGAAGCTGGAGAGGATGGTGGAGAGGGTGTCGGCAGTGAGACCGGCATATAGCCGGGTGTACCCGTGTCGATTGACGAGTTGTAGAAGGGTCTTGATGAGGGAGACTGTATAAGCAATGCCTCAGCTTGGACCTACCCTTCTTGACATTATGCTGCATGCGGGTGGTAGCGAGGTCTAGAGGGAAGACGATGGCGTTGCCTAGGGCCGAGCCTAATGCCCCGGTGGTGGCTTGAAGCAAAGGTGGGAGCTTGGATGTCATGATGAGATGCAACGTAAACAAATTCAGTTTGCGAATTCACTTCTTAGACTTTAAGCCCCTGTGCTCACGCTAGCAACAGCGAGATAGGGGCTTAGTCAACGCTCGTACAAGGTGCCTATCGCGCGCAAGCTTGTGCTTTGGGCGTATATCAGAAGCGAACATCGAAGCTCGAGCGCATCACTACCGCAGAGGAATGCGCCAGGGTTCAGCGCCGCCGAGCAACACTGTGCCTTGTGGCTTGATGGTGGATGCATTACCATATCTCTGGATACTTAAGGTCAGCAAGGATGTACTCTGCGCGTATGCCGCATGTCGTGGGGTGCCGAAGCTGATGGCTTTGCCGACTCGTTGCAACATATCGAAGAAGTGAGTTGAAATTATACATTTCTGACCTCAGGACAGCACATCGGGATCTAGCGGCAGGTAAGACTACTATGGTCCTAGCTGATAGTGACTCGCTCCGCCTAATCCGAATGATGCGACCCAATGAGCAAGGCGAGCTGGAGGAGTGGTGGAATGTGTATTACGAGTGGGTTTAAAGATGACTGCGCTGATAGGCAATATCCTCTACACGCGTCGCCGAAGCATCTCTGCGTCTACAGTCGCGGCAGTGCGTTCTGACATAGCCCTGCTGATGTAGCTTGGTGGTTTCCTGATCCCGGACGAGACGACAACAGCTTGCCTTTCTTCGTCCCTTCCGGAACATTTCTGTAGGTCGTATTTTGATAGAGCTGATGACAGGGATCTACAGGTGTGTTTCCCGTCAACCTGGCTGACCCAGCGATACGATCTTCGCCTCCCAGATGGAACCGTGGTATCAAATGGTGAGTCACATTCTAGCGGAGCTAAAGCCAGTCCTACAGTATGTGACCCGTCGAATACGCTGATCCAGGCGATACATTGGCGCAGACGAACCTTGGCTGTCTGACTATGTGACATGTACGTATCGCCTTTGTCAAGCTGATTTAGACAATCTCAACTTGGTGACGCTGGATATGGATGCTGGGGATATACCATGCTAGAAGACTGTCATTAGCCCAGTCCGACCTAGACGTACGCTTGTTCACGAGGTCCGATCCTATGGCCGAGCCCGCTCCGAATCCGAGCCCTCCCACTGCGCTATGCCCAAGCTAAGATCAGCCTCGCCAAAAGCCCTACTCACCGTTGACCCTATCTTTCCAAATCTTCCATTCTTGCGATCCTCCTGCACTACCACCTGGGGGTATGGCGGCTGAGGGGGTTGGTACGGCTGTGGGGGAAGGTACGGCTGAGGCGACTGGTACGGCACTACAGATTGTCTACGTCAGCTCGTTCGAACGAGACGTACATTTTCTCCACGTAATTGCTGGGGAAGATCCCTCGATGGTTGCGAGGATACTGCTCGCCCTGCGGTATGACTCGACCTCGATACCACTGCTCGTTTACTTCCTCGTCAATTATGATCTCATCCCCCGCTCTGAACCGTAGATCGTCCGCTTCCTGCCATCAGCTCTGAATATGCAGCACCTACATTTCCAGTATAGTCCCATAGTGCCTTCCCCCTGGATTCTCGTGATCTCTGCGGTACTGGAGGAGGTGCAGTGGCGATTGTCATCTGACTAAATGCCGCGTCCAGCTTTGAGCTGAGAGCCGGGAAGGGACCATTTGGCGGGGGTAGTTTGGTGCGAATGGCATCTGCATCGCCGGCTGGTAGGACGTTGAGCTGCTCGAGTATTGACAACGAAGCGCGAATTTGGTTGATAAGATGCGAGGTGAGAACGTGCGCGGGATCGGCCATTCTGTAGTATGTGGGCTCTGTATATCGTGTCACTGCCTGTCGTCTGTGGTGCTGAGCTGGTCGATACTGGCGCCTGCGGGGAGATACTAAACCGAGATATGGGATATCAGTGAACGTTTGAAATCTGAAACGCTGAGACGAGGCGATGAAACGCGGAAGCTAAAGCGCAGCAGCGGCCTCAAAGTCGCTTGCCCGCGGGTCGATCCTCCGGGGCATTGTGATGAGCTGCGCACAAGCATACCGACAAAGTCTGACAGCAAGATATATCGCTGGAGGAGACCTGATATATGCTACGTTCAAAGTGGATAAGACTACATTACAACTGAACTCGACTACTTCCCCTTCAGCCACGCCATCATACTCCCCTTTGGCTCCTTCTTGTCTGGGTCCTTCTTTGGCTTCTTTGGTGTCCGCTTTTTCGCCTCGCCAATAGCGTCCTTATTCAGACACCAGTCTATGTGCTCGTTGAGGTCCTGATTGGACGTCCCGGGCCCGAGGGCTTTGCCGCAGATTGGGCAGACCGGTCCGAGAAGGTGATCTTTGGTGACAGGGGGTACAAAGTCGCCTTCCTCCAGCTCGTCGTCGTCGTCCTCGAGGGAAAGATCGATAGGCTCGGGCGTTGGTTCTCGAGTTTTTGCCGACGTCTTTGCGAAAAACTATGTAAGCACAGCAGACCCATAGCTCACCTTTTGTATACCGTCGCTCTCGGGAACGGTAAGATCCTTCAATGTTGACATGCGTATCCCGAGTAGGCGAATACGCAAGGGCAATTCTCTGCGCAGGAGCTCCTGGGCGATAGGAAGAATCTCGGCTGAAGTCGAAATGTATCGCTTGACCGACTGAGCTCGAGTTTTGTTGACATAGGTGTGAAGCTAAGTAAGCAGCGTCCAACAATGACGAACCTTGTACTTGACAGTAACAGTCTTGCCAGCATACTGCAGGGTAGTCATATCCTTTTCCAGTTCCTCGGCAATATTGGCCAGCTCGGCGAGAATCTCCTCGTTGTCGGTCTTGTCTCGGAAAGTCCTAACTTCAGCCCAGACTTGTTTTAACTCACCGCTCAACACCGACGCTCTTCCGCTCCTCTCGCTTCCCTGGCGCAACCTTGTTGTCTGCAATCCCAAGGTATGCTTTGCTGTCGTAAGCACAGCAAAATATGAACTCGCCTGAGGTTCCGAAAGTTGAACCAATGATCCATCACCAGGAGCTCGGCTCGGTGCGTGTAGATATCGCCGCAGGTCTGCATCAGCTGAGCAGAAGAACGACTCACCTCCACACCTAGACCCTCCAGGCAGCGCTCCGTTACTCGCCCAAAGCCTGGTATCTTGCGCACGGGCAAATCCCGCATGAACCTTGTGATGACGTTGCGGTCAAAATCCAAGAGAAACTGCCCATTAGGCTTGTTCTTGTCCGAGCAAATCTTGGCGAGCATCCGATTTGGTGCGATCCCAGCGGAGATCGTGAGCTGCGTCTTTTCCTCGACCTGTGCTCGAAGCTGCGAGACGACATCGACCGCCGCCATATCATGGGCTGCCATATACCCGGTGATATTGAGATATCCCTCGTCGAGACTGGCCATCATTAGGTTCTCGTCGTACTGGAGCAGCACCTCGCGGACGGATTTGCTCGCGGCAATGTAGCGATCAAAATTGAGAGGAACACTGATCAGCAGAGTCGGACAGCTACTTACAGGATGATGTGAGGACAGAGCTTCTTGGCGATAAAACCAGCCATTCCAGAGCGGCACCCAAACTTGCGTGCTTCGTACTACAGTCAGCGAGTCCATAAGAGACTTACCGAGGCGGTAGTAAGGACGCCCTGACCGACACCAAACGGTTTGCCTTTGAGCGAAGGGTCCATCAACACCTCTACCGATGCGTACTGATGTGAGCTGATTATGAGGGAGACTTACAAATGCGTCCATATCGACGTGAATAATGGTCTGGGTCAGGTCTCTCGTGGACTCTACTTCGAGTAACTGGTGAGCTTTGTCAAGTTTTCGACCTACTATGCGATCCGCATCTGTCTCGAGCTTTTCGCGCGAGGCATCCTGCATCAGGCTGTCTCGCTACAGTCAGCTCTGTCAGCATCGTTCCCACCTTGTTGCGAAACCAGGTGATCTTCTCTGTGAGCTCCTCATCTTTCCGCACCTGATTGTTGTAAAATCTGATCAGCAGCGTCGTTATTGGGCCTACTTTGATCCCTGGTATCAGCTTAGCTTCACCTGTGCTCACCTTGGAGGCTTCGGCGATGATTCGGTTGATTTCTATCATTAGCAGGGTCGGAGCTCTACGTACCCGTCTGATCTCGCACGAGACCTAAATTCAGCTTGATCTACCAAGCACTCACCTGCCTTGCCCACGCTAGGACCCGCTAGACTGCGCTCAAAGTCGCGCTTGCGCTTCTCTTTGGCGTCCACCTCTGACATGTCATGGATGACACAACGTTGAGAGTTGGTTGAGAGGCAATGTTGACAAGATTGTGCCTGAAATGCCGAGAATCACATTAATCAGATGGTCGATAGCGTCAGTCGCTGCATCACGTCCATACATACACTATGCGAGATGGACCCAGCCTCATCTGCTATACTCCTAGCACTCAGAGTTGTCTACTTTCTCGCCTCCCGACGCTTCCTCCTCGCCACTCTCGACCCAACTCTGCGCGACATCTCCGCGCCAGAGTCCACCCTTCCCCTCTTTCTGGATGATGACGCGACTGCGGGAGGTATCGAGCTGCAGGGCGTCGACTCGAAGGCGAGAAGCACTGTCAAGACAGTACAGAGCACCAAGGGTGACAGACAAGAGACCAAAAGCTTGAACCGTGCGGCAAGGTGAGCTTATAGTGTGACCGAGCTGATGCAGAATACTCTTCTCGCTTTGCGTTTCCGAGTCATGTCTACTCTTCACACTGGTCATGCTCAACGGCCTGGACCTACTCTCCAGCCGGCAGCAACACTTTACAGCCTCTCTCTATATTCTCATCGCAATGATACTGGTCGTCCTACCACTCAAGCAGTGCCTCCTTCTCACTTATCGGCGTAAAAACACCCTTTCCATCCCCACTCGCCTCGCCATCGCCCTCCTCCCCTTCACCCTCTACGCCTTTCTCTTTACCCGCATCCCTCCCTACGTCACGTCTGGCGAGGACGCATGGACCGGATGGTTGGCTCCTTCTCTCGGCCGCGTGGTTGTCATGGGGGTTCTCGTACTCGGCGGTCTCTCCGGCTTTGGTGCCGTCCAGACGGCCTGGATCTATCTGCAAACTAGAAAGAGGTGAGCCTTGTTTGTTCGTCGCTGATGCAGAAACGCGACCGAAGCCGACATTTCCCAGGCAGAACGCTCCCTGCAGCGCATCCGGCAAGATCTCCAGGCAAAGCAGAGCGACGATTCGTCCTGGTCGAAGCGTTTATTCGGCGGCAGCGAGTTGCAAGGTCTCATCGCCATGGAACGTGAAGCGTCCCAATCCCTCACCAGCATGCGCCAATACAAGGCGAATGACGACTACGCGCGGACGTTCCGGGGTCGGTGCTACAACGTCATCGGCTATGCTTTCGCAATCTATTGCGCGGCCCGTATCCTCATGTGCCTTCCATCCATCTTCATCCCACCAACCAAAGACAACAGCGGGGACTGGATCTCCTACCTCATCGCCTTCACCCTCAGTAGCCTTCCTATTGAGGTCGACATTGCGGTCTGGTCCCGCGCCATCTCGCTGGCGTTCACCGGGCTCATCATCCTCTCCTCGCTGGCACAAGTCCTTCGCAGCCTGGCGCGGATTCTCAAACTCTCCAGCAAGAATGTCGGTGCAGGATTCCTCCTCCTCATTCTCGCTCAGCTTTTCGTAAGTCTTGCCTAGACCTCGCTGATTCAGTCCACCTACGTCATCTCCCTGCTAGTGCAGCTCCGGTCGACCTTGAAGGATAGCGAATTGCTGTTAGCGTCACTTCCAGACTTTTCTGTTTTTGGGCGGACGTTCGATGTCGTATTTTTGGTAGCCTCTGGGAGTTCGCTAGTTTATCGGTTTGTATCTTCCAAGATAAGTTGACGGATAAGTAATTGCCTGGCTCAGCCTGCATCTAGGATGCATTCCAGATATCCTTGAGCTCCTTGGTGACGTCCTCCGCCTCGTCCACCTCCGACGCCGAGGCCCAGTCGACCTCGCGGGGCGAGGGTTTGAGTGCGTGCAGATGTGCGTTCCGCGCGATGCGCCGATGCGGCATTGGCCGAGGAAGGGATGCTCTGGGGCGGGGGAAAAAGTCGACGGATGTAGAGGCGGAACGAGGGATGGGTGTTTTGCGACGATCAGGACGAAGCGACTGCTTTCGCCGCCTAGCCTCGGCAAGCAGCGGCTGAAGCAGCGCGTCAATTGTGGTGCTCCGCGACGCCACCCCGAGGATGATTATGACAATGATGATGAACAGTTGAGCCAGCCCCCGCCGCCGCTCGAATCCGAGCTCATCTGCAAGAATCCGAAGTTGCGACTCGATGCTCTTCCGATCGAGATCGAGTACCGCTCGCTGCTGCTCGAGCTGAGAGATGATCCGGCCGAGACGATCCTCATGGCGCATACGCTACGTCAGCAGTTGCCACAGCCCAACTCACTTCTTGCTCCCACCGAGACCTATCCTCCACTTCGAGCTTTTTCAGAATTTCCCGCTCCGTCTTATTGAGCATGGTCCGCATCGCTTTGGACTGCTCGTCAATGTACCTCGCCACCAGGGATGAATTTCCCTCGAGGTCATTGACGCGCCGGATGATAAAGGCATAGATGGATTCCGAGTCTCGCCGACCCGGTTTGGTGCTGTTGCCGGCGTCGAGAATTGGTAGAACATCGGTCTCCTGGTGTCGCCTCGCCTGTGCTTGAACGAGCTTTTCCAGTTCGCCCAGCTCCCTTTCCCGCATCTCCTCCTCCTTCCGCCTCGCTACCGCGGCTTCGTCCACCTTTTCTTCCACCTTGACTTCTACCTCTTCCACCTTGCCCTTCTGTTCCCATTTGAAAGCCTCGAGCTGGTTCATCCCGAACACCTTGATTTGGGATACCGGGCAGTAGTATTCTGAACCGTAAAAGGAGGAAAAGTCGAGCCTGAGGAAGCGATAAAAGGATGTGGGGGTGGGCAGCGTGAAGACCTGTATCAGCCATGTTCACGATTGACTTACTTGGACACCTCTGACGTTCTTTCCCACGAACGTCCCCACCTCGACCTGCTCGCCCTCCTCGCCCGCACTGACCCTGACCTCCCGCACGATCCCGCTGAAAAACTCCCAGACGGCAATCTCCACCGCCTCCACCCTGACCTCGTCACAAAGCTCGATGGTCACCCAGTGCTCCCCCGCCTTGCAGGGTGTGAGCATGTAGCGGTCGCGCGATTTGTGCAGGACCGACGAGGCGTGTTGGCTGAGCTTGGACGACGAATGGACGCGTGCGCCACAATCGGGCGAGGCATAGTTGTACTTGTGATTGGAGATCGGGCGCTCGGTGTGAGACGGGCTGGGAGTCAGGGCTGGCTCGGAGGGGAGTGGGGTAGGGGTAGGCTCTTCTGGGCTTTCTTGGAGCCGCTTCCATTCTTCAAAGCCTGGCAGGTCTTGCTCTTCGGCTGGCGGAATGACCTTCGGCGCGTCGGCCGCGGGGCATTTTGGGGCTGTCCAATGAAGGATGGGGCTTAGCGCCGGGCATACCTCGTCTTGTGCATCCCCAGCGTAGACGAAGCCAAGGATGGTAGCGACGAGGTAGAGCGGTAGGGCTATCCGCATGATATGCTGTTGTCAAGAAGATGTGCATGTTGAGGTTCGCTCAAGTCAGCATTCCTTGTCAGGCGGGATTCGCCGCCAGGCACTGGGGTCTCCACAGCTCTGTCATCCGGCCGAAGTGGCGGTCTTTGGTTGCTTCTCGCCCGTAACATGCTCTGGCGGTTCAGAGTGGTCTATTTGAGATCCCGAGGGTCACTATTTGAGAGTCTGACCCCCATTTGAGAGAGGCCCTATGGATTTGAGAGACTCGCGGCGAGATTTGAGAGAACGCGCCGGCCGGTCATTTACCCGGTACCGTCATTCGCCGGCTAGCGCGGTGCCGAGTGGTCCACCAAGACAAGGCTACATAGGGTGACAGGTATATATGTAGGACAGCCACTTGGGACCCTCACAGCAACCCATTCCAAGTCCATTCCCATTTCGTCTATCAGACCACCCACATCAGAACTCATCCACCCAACAACCCTACGTCATTATGAAGGTCCTCGCTGTGCTGTACAAGGGCGGCCAAGGTGAGCTCCCGCATCGTTCGCGCTAACATTCAGCCGCTTCGGAGGAGCCCCGTCTACTCGGCACCATCGAGAACAAGCTCGGCATCGCGGATTGGATCAAGGAGCAGGGTCACGAGTGAGTGCTTTGTGATCGTCCTCCCCGTTGCTCATGGCTGATCCCAGGCTTATCGTCACCGACGACAAGGAGGGGCCGGACTCGGTCTTCCAGAAGGAGCTCCCCGACACAGAGATCCTCATCACCACCCCCTTCCACCCCGGCTACCTCACCGCCGACCTCATCGCCAAGGCCAAGAAGCTCAAGCTTTGTGTTACCGCCGGTGTCGGGTCTGACCACGTCGACCTCAACGCGGCCAACGAGCGCAAGATCACCGTCGCCGAGGTTTCCGGTTCCAACGTGGTCTCGGTCGCTGAGCATGTACGTTGGACGTGGGGCGTAACTGACCCTAGGTTGTGCTCACCATCCTCAACCTCGTCCGCAACTACACCCCCGCTCACGAGCAAATCGTTGCCGGCAAGTGGAATGTCGCTGCCGTCGCTCGCGACTCATTCGATGTCGAAGGCAAGGTCATCGGAACCGTCGGTGTCGGTCGTATCGGTTACCGAGTCCTTCAGCGTCTTCAGGGCTTCGACTGCAAGGAGCTTCTTTACTACGACTATGCGGAGCTCCCGGCGGAGGCTGCCAAGGCGATCAAGGCGAGGCGGGTCGAGTCTCTGGAGGAGATGCTCGCGCAGTGCGACCTGGTCACTATCGTGAGTCTAACTTTAGGATGCGCTGATGTAGAACTGCCCCCTCCACGAAGGCACCAAGGGTCTCTTCAACGCCGAGCTCATCAGCAAGATGAAGAAGGGCTCCTGGCTCGTCAACACCGCCCGTGGCGCCATCTGCGAGCGTCAAGCCGTCGCCGACGCCGTCTCTAGCGGCCACCTTCTCGGCTATGGAGGGGACGTCTGGGACGTGCAACCTGCGCCCGAGGACCACGTCTGGCGGACCATGCGCAACCCCAACGGCGGAGGCCAATGCATGGTCCCGCACATGTCCGGTACAACGCTTGATGCCCAGAAACGGTACGCCGAAGGCACGAAGGACATCATCAAGCGCTACCTCGCGGGCGAGAAGCAGGACCCGGGAAACCTCATCGTGGAGAACGGCGAGTATGCTAGCAAGGCGTATGGTCAGAGGAAGGAGAACGCCACGGGCCAGAAGCCTCCAGGGCCTTAGGAAGTAATTATAGGTTGTAGCTCATAGCGCGAGAAGTAAATGCATTCCCCCTGGTAGCTTCCCACCCTCTCTTCACACGCACTGCAATTGGCTTCTTCTCCAATCTCCCGCGGACACGTACTACATCTGGTTTTGCCGCGTGCCCCTGAGAAGATCGGTACAAGAGGGTACAAGTGGGAGTAGGGGTCTTGTCAAACTCGTCAGACATCGCTGGGGCAAAAGGCAGGCGCATGATCTGAGGCCGGCATACTTGGTGTCACTGCAGCTAGATCCGGCTGTATCTTGACTCGCACTGCGATGAGTAATCATGGCATCCCAACGCTAAAGAAAGCAAGCTGCGACCGCCCGTAACATAGAGTATAGAAAGAAAAAACAAGAAGGCAAAAACAGGCGCGTCGCAAAGTCACGCGGTTCGCTTACACCTCTTACGGCATTTGCGGCCCCACTACCGCCCGCTATGACGCTCGCCAACCTTGAACCGCATTCCTCGCCTCTGCATCTATACCTCTCACTCATCCACTGTACCACCATGAGCGTCCAGACCCTACCTCAAGAAGGTACGTACCCAGTCCAGCTAAGTGCTGATCCCAGGCACTCGCGTTATTGAGCTCGACCCTTGGTGAGTTTTCACGCCTTCACAGCTCACTCCAGGCTCGAACCCTACGCACCCGCCATCAAGACACGGTACAACCTCTTCAAGAAGGCTTTGTCGGCCATTGACGAACATGAGGGCGGTATCGCCAAGTTCTCCGAGGGCTACAAGATGATGGGCTTCCAAGTCGACGCTCAGGGAGGCGTGCGCTACAAGGAATGGGCACCGAATGCAGTCGCGGCTAGGCTTATTGGGGACTTTAGTGAGTACCGCATCTTCCGCGCTGACAACAGACGGCTGGTCTCACGAAGCCAACCCCATGACGAAAAACACCTTTGGCGTATGGGAGTGTTATGTCCCGCCAAAGTCCGGCGCCTGCGCCATCCCCCACGATTCCATGGTCAAGATCTCTATGACCCTGCCGTCCGGAGAAAGCGTCGACCGAATTCCAGCCTGGATCAACCGAGTCACCCAAGACCTCAACATCTCTCCTATCTATGACGGTCGCTTCTGGAACCCGCCAAAGGAGCAGATCTACCAGTTCAAGCAACCGCACTCTACAAACTCGGTCGAGGGGTTGAAAATATACGAAGCTCATGGTGAGTACTAGGCAGACAGAGCTGACATTAGTCGGGATCTCTAGTCCGAACGAGCGAGTTACGACCTACAAGGAGTTCGAGCACGATGTACTTCCCAGAATCAAGAAGCTTGGATACAACTGCATTCAAATGTGAACTTCACGACGAACGCGCTGACGACAGGATGGCCGTCATGGAACACGCCTACTATGCCTGTAAGCTCTTCGCTGGATGCGCTAATGTCAGCTTTCGGTTACCAAGTGACCAATTTCTTCGCTGCCTCTTCCCGTTACGGTGAGTACCTTGTCGTATCCGCTGATGGCAGGCACACCGGAAGACCTCAAATCCCTCATCGACAGGGCGCACGAGCTCGGCCTCACAGTCCTTCTCGATGTCGTTCACTCGCACGCCTGCAAAAACATTCTTGACGGGTGAGTAAAACATCCAGCCACGCTAAATCCAGAATCAACATGTTTGACGGCACCGACCACCTCTACTTTCACGAGGGGGCTCGAGGCCGGCATGAGCTTTGGGACTCGCGTCTTTTCAACTATGGCAGCCACGAGGTCCTCCGCTTCCTCTTGTCTAACCTCCGGTACTACATGGACACGTTCATGTTCGACGGCTTCCGATTCGACGGCGTCACCAGCATGATGTACACTCATCACGGTATGGGTACTGGCTTCTCTGGTGGCTATCACGAGTACTTCGGCGAATCGGTCGACAATGAGGCCATGGTGTACCTGATGCTGGTGAGTCCAGTCTAGACTTGACTAACGTTAGGCCAACTACATGTTGCACGAAGTCTACCCGAACGTCATCACCATCGCCGAGGACGTCTCTGGCATGCCCACGCTCTGCCGGCCCGTTGCAGAAGGCGGAGTGGGCTTTGACTACCGCTTGTCCATGGCCATTCCGGACATGTGGATCAAGCTGCTCAAAGAGTCGACCGATGCTGCGTGGGAAATGGGCGACATTGTTCACACTTTGACGAACCGCAGGCACATGGAGCGGAGCGTTGCGTACGCCGAGTCGCACGATCAGGCACTGGTCGGCGACAAGACGCTCGCGTTCTGGCTCATGGACAAGGAGATGTGTAAGTCAACCCCTGGTTTCGCTGATAATAGACACCAACATGTCCGACCTATCGCCGTTGACTGCAATTGTTGACCGAGGCTTGGCCCTGCACAAGATGATTCGGTGAGTATCGAGATGGCAAGGCTGATCTTAGCTTCTTGGTCCACACCTTGGGCGGTGAATCATACCTCAACTTTGAGGGGAACGAGTTTGGCCACCCTGAGTGAGTATACGTCTGTCAAAGCTTACTTCAGGTGGATGGACTTCCCCCGTGCCGGCAATGGCAATTCGTTTGCGCATGCCAGGCGACAGTTCAATCTCGTAGACGACCAGCTTCTGCGCTACCGGTATCTCAACGAGTTCGACATGGTCATGAATCAGCTCGAGGACAAGTATCACTGGCTTCAGTCTCCCCAGGTGAGTCTAGCGCCCGGCACAGCTCACCCAGGCATACGTCTCGTTGAAGAATGAACAAGACAAGGTCATCGTCTTTGAGCGGGCGGGCCTCCTCTTCATCTTCAACTGTAGGTGGCTGGATGAACAGACTGATCATAGTCCACCCCACGCAATCCTTTGTCGATTACCGCGTCGGCGTAGACGTGCCGGGCAAGTACAAGGTCATCCTCAACAGCGACGAAAAGCGGTTCGGAGGTCACGAGCGTATCGCCATGAATGGAGAATACTTTACGACCCCGATGGAATGGAATGGGCGCCGCAACTGGGTCCAGGTGAGCTTTCACTATGTCACAGCTGACTGAAGGTGTACTCCCCCTGCCGTACGGTTTTGGTGTTGGGCTTGTAGAATCAAAATCAATGATCATGCAAAGGTTAGGAATGCATATCGTGCAAGTACTAATCAGGCCGTCAAAGGCGACGATGTCCTATAAACAAGTCCAGATTGACCTAAATTCCGACCCCGCTGGTCAATTCGGTCCTCTTTCTTCGTCTCCGCCGCCTTTTTGGTTATGACCGAGGCTCACATATCTGCAAAACAGCGAGTGACGATAAGAAGCAAGAGTAAAACAGACCGACGCAGAATATGGACAATGTTAGAGTACAACAGCTCCGTAGCGCACCTTCTCGAACCGAATTCAGTGCATACTCAGCTACCTCTACTAATTTCCCATGCTCTGAACCAACTGGTCGAGACACTCCTTCTGGTACCTCTTGGCCACCTTGGCGAGCTCATTGTCGGCTAGCTTGGATTGAGCGAGTGTCAACAACCTCTGTCGAAGCTAACGTCAGCGAGATCGCCGGTCGACTTGCCTCCAAGAGCGCCCTTCGCCTGGCTGCAATTCGAGTAGCACCATCATTCTTCTTGCCTGACGTCAGCTGTGCCCCTGCCCAGACTCACCTTCCTCATCCTGGTCCGCCAGATGATGCGCAATGGTCTTGGCCTTGGTCAGAACGCTAGGCGGCAAAGCAGCCAGCTTGGCCAGCTCAAGACCTGTCGTCAGCAAGGTCAGCTTGTGACTTACCATAGTGCGATGCCGGCACGGGTCCTTGGACCACCTTGTACTGAAAGACAGCGTTGAACTCGTCTCCACCGGTCGACTGCACAGCAAGGTGCATGCTGACCAGTCCTCGATGGGTCGATAGGGTCGTGGGGAGGACGTGAAAGTGGGTCGAGAAGAATGTCATTGCCTGCGTCAGCTGGCTCGAACATCAGCGCACCTTTTTCCGGGTCAATTCCTCGCCGATAGCATGAGCCAGACCGACACCTTCGGCTGGCGAGGTTCCGCGACCGAGCTCGTCTATGATGACGAGAGAGCCGGATGTCGCCATACCTACATCAGCGGGAACTGATCACTACTCACCGAGTATCATCGAGCTCGTGGCCATCTCGCTGGCAAAAGTCGATAGGCACTTTTCGGGGCAGTCATCGTTCGACAGCCGGGTGAGAATAGCGTCCGGAATCATGATGCTTGCGTATTCTGCAGGTACACTGATCAGCTACGCCGAATCTCCACTCACAAGCAGCCAATCGTAGCTTGGATCGTCAACAAGCCGATCTGACGGAGAAAGGTAGATTTCCCCGACATGCTTTCATCAGCGATGCCTATGAAAGTCTCACTTGGCCCCTTGAATAAGCTGAAAGTTGCTGGTTCCATCTGCCGCAAATCTGACATCAGCCTGGTTGACGATAGGCTCACACATTGTTCGAAACGCATTCGCCAGCGCCCAGTAGCCTGTCGAGGATGGGATGTCGCCCCTCGTTGATGGCGATGGTACGGCCAAAGACGGGGCGAGCTGCCTCAGCTTCGTTTCGTCGTCCACTCACTACATGCACGGCCTGCATCAGCTATAGCCAAACCAAGACTTACCTTGCGAAATATTGGCATAGCTCGAGATGACATCGATGACCGAGAGCGAGTCGCAGCACGAGTGGAGAAGCCCGACATGCCCACCGATTTCTGAGATCATACGCGAGACGACCTGAGCGCTGATGGAGAAGATGTCCGCTTGAGCTGCCATCATGCGAGAGTTCCGCTTGAGCTACGGTCAGAGTGCTCCTTTGTGTACTGACCAAGTCGCTGGTGGCAAAGCGCGTCCTACAATCAGCTCATCCCATGCTGGACTCACCTCTTCGGTCCCCGCTCCACGTTGATGCTCTCGTTGGGCAGCGCGTCAGCATCAGCCGTCAAAGTGCTGAAACGGTAGCCCGTGTCGGTCCAGTCTAGCTGGATGTCTAGGCCGTATTTGGCTCGGTGAGCTTGATCACCACCTCACTTACTGCTCACGTCGCGGAGCACTACATCAGCCTAAATTTGCTTATCACTTACAGTCCCTAATATCCATGTCGTTCTCTGAGAAAGTCTTTCTGGCAACGCCAAGCAGCGGTACGACTTCAGACCGGACAGCAAAGAGCTTGATGTTTCTGGCCGCCTGTCCTCTGCTGGCTTTCTTGAGATGTGCATCGTCGACGAGGTGGCCTAAAGTCAGCGGGACAAGTACTCGACTTACCTCCGATGTAACCTGCGAGACGCCTGACTTCTTCGTTGCGGAGAGTCTATTTCAGCTGGTTCTACTACTTTACTCACATTCCCCGTGGACTGAAGTAAAGGCGCAGTGGCGGGTGCAAGAATCTCTCCCACTCGACCCACCCCCATGATGAGGGTCCGGATCTGAAGCATGTGCGTTACGCGCTGCTCAAACATACCCGCAGTCTCGTTGGACTTGGGCACCTGCATCATCTGTCGTTAGGTCAGCATCTCACATTCTTACCTTGCCCAGGATAGCTTCAAAGTCGATCTACATCAGCGCAGTCATGATAGCGCTCACCTTGGCTAATTGCGCTAGCTCCCTCCTGATCGAATCCAGTAGAGACTCGTCCTGTAAGAGTTCTACATTAGCCACATTCTGCAGTGGCGCACCTTCCACAGCATCCAGCCGATTCTCTAAGGCTTGTTGAGCTAAATGTGTCAGCTGCGCATAGTGGACGCCTACCTCTGAAGGGATGAATGATGTTTGATCGTAAAAGGCGAGCGCCCATCGGAGTATAGCAGGTGTTTAGGAGACCTGCAATTAGCGTAGCTCAGGGGTCCACTCACCAAACAAGGTGTTGGTCGTCTTGTTGGATAGCTGATTCGATACCAACTCGAGATTGCGCACGGTTTCGGCGTCGATAAAGACAGTGTCTGGCGTTAGCGTCATCGAGCGCGACTCACCTTCTGGATTTTCGAACTTCATCGACACGCTGTTGCGGCCAAAGGTAATCCCCTTCCCCTCGAGCCACTTGAAGAGGGCAGAGAGCGCACAGAGAGTGAGGTATCTGATTAGCTGCTTCTTGATTTCACCCACTTGTCCGATGCGGTCATTAGGGTAGACGCGTGCTGCTCGTCTTTGGCGGACAGATCTTGGAGGACGCGAAGACCTGTCTCAGCTCGTCCTCACACAAGCTCACCTTCATCTCGGTTCCAAAGGTTACGCGCAGCGGTCAAAGGCTCGATACTGAACTCTTCTTCGATGGCCATGGCCAGCTGATCATCGCCCGAGATGGGAGGTAAGATTGCAGTGAGCGGATGGCAGATCATGAGCTGCTGTAGAGTCTTTCGGAAGGCTGGCGTCAGCTGAGCCAAAGCAAAGCTTACATATATCATCTGCGATCTTGCAAGGTTAGCTTGTTTGATGGGCCGACCAACCTGTGTCAAGACCACCTGAGATCAGCTCAGCCGACGGGAGACTTACTCTTGCAGTTGCTGTTGAGATTGCTGCGATGCCAATCTCGCTTCCGTTCCCTAGGTATAAGCTGAAAGTCCCATCACGCCTTTACCTCTGCCTTGTATGATGGCCACGGTATAGTCGAGCCCGTCTTCGGCGACCGTCGAGGCGCGTCCAGAGGCTCTCGTGGGGGCTCCCCTCGACGTGTTATTGCGAGCGATACCACCTGTAGCTGTAGACATGATGTACGATGAATGAGGATAAAGTATAGAAGGGAGAAGGAAGGAAAGCGCAAAGTGGAGGTAAGGTTGAAACGAGCTGAAACGAGCGGAATCAAATTAAGCAGCGGTCTTGCTTGCTGATAGAGATGCCTTACTCGAGCTTAGTCACCTCTGCTAGAAGCACCCATGGTCGGTATGTATGGTAGAGAGAACGTTACAGATATCAGTATATCAGACTATTGAACAAGTCAGGCTCGGACATGCGTCAAGTTCAGGCAGAGGTGGATACAAAGCTCATATCAGCAACCGCCCGGCCAAACGAGTGTATGCTGTGTGATGAGCGCTTGAAGCAGACCCCATACTCACGCAAATGCTGCTTCGCTGGACATCACATCTCCCCTTCATTGCCGTGCTACCCCGATGTATCTACTCGCCTGCCGGGCCACCTATGCGATGCGAGGATATGACTTTGGGCCTGGACGATGCGCAGCTCCCTCTCCCTCATTCCCCTTCCTAGTGAGGTCACTTCTTTTGAGAAGCGACCAGCAGCCGTGCCAAGGAGAATCGCCTGGACGACATGAAGAGCGCGTCCGACCGCCCCAGCAAAGTCGTCCTCGTAGAACGCCAGCACCAGAGCCGAAAAGAGATCGCCGACGCCGCTGAAGTACCCCTCTAGGGATGGCAGAGCAAAAGCAACGAGTTCCCCCTTCCGGCTGCTCGCAAAGCAGAGAAGGGTCTCTGACGATGCAGATAAGGAGCGGTCGAGCAGGTCGGTATAGGTGGAAGGAGGGGACGGGAGATCCGGTATTTGGTCCGGAAGTGAAATCGATGATACCGCGATATGTTCGAGATTGTGCTTGTCGTGAAGGATTCTCAAGGCGGATGATAGATCGTGAAGGTTGTTGATTTTTGTTTCTGAGAGTAACCTGATCAGCTTGGCTAAAGCCCAACTCACTCTAGCTCGTAGTGATTCGGAGTTATCATTGTTGCTTGCCCCAGCATCTCGCGATACACCGGTACAACATCAGGTGAGACGTAGAGACCGGTACCGATATCTCCCATGACGGCTGTTTTCAGCACGGCCAATAGGAGACTCACGGTCCAGGAGGTAGATCGAGGGTTGTAAGCGCTGGATGTGGCCCTGGACTTTCCGCAAAGCCTCTGCGCCGGGTATATACCCAGTAAGAACTCGGTCATACTTGTCTATCCCGTTGACTTGTAGCCCTTCGAATATCGCGTTAAGCTGTTCGGGGGTGGTCTTGTGTCCGTTGGTATGGCCGTAGCCTTATCAGCTCTATCCCAGATCTCGCTCACCTGTATGGTTTGACAATTGGACTGTATTGATCACGTCTACATCATGGCCTAGCAATTGGAGAGGGAATGTGGCCGCTCTGTTACCGACGTAGCCAGAGACTACGTGAGATTGGATGGACAGGATGCGCATATCGATAGTCACTGTCGATGCATAGGGAGATGAGCCTGCACAATTGTTCATGAAGCTTTTGTTTTCGGCGAGCACGTGGCGACTTCCCCACTTTCCCCACTCTTTCCAGTCTGCACCTATGCACGAGTACCTCGTGCTCGACCTTGTCTTTCCTGCAACAGCCTGGGCTTGAGTGCCTGTAAAAGACTATGGTATTTCTCCCTCCCCCTTGCACCCTCTATACTCACAGGTCACATGTCTCGACCTGCCTGGTAGGCGATGACAAGACCTCGTATACTCTAGATGCCCAAAAACGCAAGTCTCGCACCTGAATTTGAGAGAACTGCTAGTGATGAGAGAGGTGCTTCATTCTCTATATGCTGTCTAATCCTTCTTCTCCTTCTCCTCGGGCTTCTCGGCATCCTCTGAGGGTTGGTCTCGTGACTCGGCATTGCGCTTCTCGTACACCTAATGATCAGCCGAGCTCGCACTAATGGACTCACTTTTTGGAAGAGACCGAGGGAAGCGGTCTGAGCGGCATCCATCGCTCCCTTGATCTGCTCCGATGTCACGGAAGCATCTCCAGCTGCTCCCTTCGCCGCAAGTTCCCGGAGCTCCTCGAGAAGGCCCTTGACCTTCTCCTTCTCGGCGTTGTCCAATTGCGCCTCAAACTCTTGCAGACTCTTTGTGGTGTCGTTGACAAAGCTCTCTCCCCTGTTGGCGGTCTCGATGACCTCCCTGCGTGCCTTGTCCTCCTCTGCGAATCGCTCGCCGGCAGCAACCATCTGCTCAATCTCCTTGTCGCTCAAACCCGAGGACGAGGCGATAGTCAAGGACTGTTCGCGGTTGGTGGCCTTGTCAATGGCACCGACGTTGACGATACCGCTGATCAATCAGCTTTGTTTCGGAGATAGATGTGCGGGACTCCGAGTCTTTGGAAGAACAACTTACTCAGCGTCAATGTCGAAGGTGATCTGGATTTGGGGAATACCCTTGGCCGTTGGTGGGAGACCGGTGAGCTGGAAGTTTCCGAGGAGCTTATTGTCCCTGACAAGCTCTCGTTCACCCTGGTACACCTTCACCTCGATCGCTGTCTGGCCACTGATAGGTTAGTAAGGTCGGCGCGACTACAGGCTGGAATGAACTTACTCGGCGGCAGTCGAGAATGTCTGGCTCTTCTTAGTTGGGATCGTAGTACGGAGAAGTCAGCTTCGCACAAGAGATCATACGAGCAACTCACTTTCTTGTAATCAGACGGGTGAAGACACCTCCAAGAGTCTCGATACCGAGGGATAGAGGAGTAACGTCAAGAAGGAGGATATCGGTGACGTTTCCGGCGAGGACACCAGCCTGGACCGACGCTCCAATAGCGACGGCCTCGTCGGGGTTGACACCCTTGCTAGGTTCCCGGCCAAAGATGCCCTTGACAGTGGAGACCACCATTGGCGAACGAGTCACTTATACATCAGCTGCGTCCGCATCTGGCAGAAGATATACTCACTACCACCAACAAGAAGGACCTCGTTGATTTCCGAAGCCTTGACACCAGCGTCCGAGAGAGCCTTGCGACATGGCTCGATGGTGCGGTCGACGAGGGATTTGACAATCTGCTCGAAGCGGGAACGGGTGAGGTTGAGGTTGATGTGTTGGGGGCCCTCGGCGGTGGCAGTGATGTAGGGGAGGGAGATGTCGGTAGCGCCGGTGCTGGAGAGCTCGATCTTGGCCTTCTCCGCCGCCTCACGGATACGCTGGATGGCCATGCGGTCTTTCGACACATCATTGCCAGTCTCCTTTTTGAATTCAGAAAGGATGTGGTTTACGAGCGCAATGTCAAAGTCCTCGCCTCCGAGGTGCGTGTCACCGTTGGTCGACTTGACCTCAAACACACCCTTTTGCATCTCGAGGATGGAAACATCGAATGTTCCGCCTCCGAGATCGTAAACGGCAATGACGGCCGAGTCCTGCTTGTCGAGACCGTAAGCGAGGGCGGCGGCGGTGGGCTCGTTGATGACACGGAGGACGTCGAGACCGGCGATCGCACCAGCATCCTTGGTCGCTTGACGCTGAGAGTCGTTGAAGTAGGCGGGAACACTGCAATGAGCAAAGTCCACGAGCAGCAACGTCCAAAAGATAGACTTACGTGATGACGGCGTGCTTCACCTGCTTGCCCAGGTAAGACGAGGCAGTGTCCTTCATCTTGCCAACGACAAAGGCACCGATCTGGGAGGGGGAGTACTTCTGGCCACGGGCTTCGACCCATGCATCACCGTTGGTGTGGGCGACGATTTTGAAAGGGACGTTGCTGAGATCCTTCTGTACTTCGGCGTCCTTGAATTTGCGGCCAATCAGACTAAAGTCAGCAATGTCAAGGGTAAGCTCACCGTTTAGAGGCAAAGATGGTGTTCTCGCCGTTGACGACAGCTTGCCGCCGGGCGGGCTGTCCGACCAAACGTTCACCATCCTTGGTGAAGGCAACGACGGAGGGGGTAGTGCGGGCACCTTCCGAGTTTTCAAGAACCTTGGCCTGGCCACCTTCGTAGATGCTGTCGTCAGCGGGATCGGCATTTATGACTCACGAGACACAAGAGTTGGTAGTTCCGAGATCGATACCGATGACGGGTCCGGATACCTTGCCGCTGTTGAAGCGCTTTGTAGGGAGTGCCTGTCTGAGGGGTGCTCGTCGGAGTGCTCTAGTGATACCGTTCATGATGGATGGATGTTTTGGAGATGAGATGAATGCAGGTGAGAGATGGACGTACAACCGAAAAATGTCTGACGTTGCTAGAAGGATCGGCTGGCTGGGTGGCGAAAACTTACGTATATCGGAAATTCTCGGTGTGGCAGTACCAAATTTCCTTCTAGCTTCATCCACCATACACCTACCTGCAATGGTCAGCTACTATGATGAGCTAGAGATAGAGGACTTTGCCTGGGATGCGGTAGCACGCGTCTATCACTATCCCTGCCCATGCGGCGACCGGTTCGAAATCACCAAGTCGCAGCTGCGCAACGGCGAGGAGATTGCTACCTGTCCGAGCTGCAGCTTGATTGTACGGGTCATCTATGACTATGTAAGTTACAAGTTTAGACAGCGCTGATGACAGCTTGACTATGAGGACTATGCTACAACCGACGATGAGGCTACCCCAACTACACCGCCCGCCCCCGCCCCTACCTCAAACAGCTAGCATCTCTCGCTCAAACCCCTCCCATTCCTCCTCCTCTTCGTCCATCGAGCTCTCCAGATCGCTCGCAGCCGTCTTTTTACGCCGCCTGTTCGGCCGCTCCTTCTCCCGCCGCTCGAGCGCCTTGCGACCAAAGGAAGCGCGCATCACCTCGCCCCACTCGAGGGGCTTGTCGCAACGAGGGCAGGAGCCAGAGGTGGGGATGATTCGCTCCGAGTCCTGGAGAAAGCGGGCAGCGAGACAGGGGATATGGGCGATGGCGTCGCATTCGGGGCAGAGAAAGAAGGATTCATGGATCTATCAGCAGTGTAGCGTAGGGACGTACCTGTTCCGTTTCCTCGGTGCATATAACGCATATCTGCTCGGGCTCCGACTGCCACTGCGCCCATGCAGCTTCTCTGAGCTCCGTATCACTGACGTCTATGGGACCCTTCTCGGTGACGCCTGGGGTATCCGGAGCTCTAGTACCGGCACCAGCGACTCCTCCGAGATCGAGGATGACTGTGACTTTGGGCAAAGAAACGTCAAGCCCTTCGTAAATAGACAGTGTCGGCTGAGTGAAGAAGCGGAGGTGAAGAGGGAGTCGCGAGAAGGGCGGTAGAGAGAGAAGGGTAGCCGCAACACTACATCAGCCCGGTCAACGATCAACTCACAGGACCTTGCGCTCGACCCAGTTCCGCTTCGCATCCTTTTTGAACAGCGGCGCGTCGTTTGGGCGAAGGTGACGCGACACCTCGGGTTTCTGCCATGCCCACTCGAACTGCGGTCAGCGAGGTATAAGCTGAACTCACCTGGAGTGCAGTCAACTTGCTCGGAAATCTAATCAGCTACATCCTGTCCCTCCTTACCCATAGACGATCATGAGCATTTCCTGCCATCAGCTCAGTCGCGCCCAAACCCACCCATGGTCTGAATCGGCTGGTCTTGCGCGCGCCTTGCGTCAATTCTCCATTATGCTGCCTGATCCGTCTTGGCGGGTTCGGAGTGGATCCAACATAGGTACGATTCGAGTTCTTGGTCGCTCGTGAATTCAACAGGTAGCACGCATAGAACGGCGGTACCACATGATTGAGAACAGTAGATGTGGAAGGCTTTTCCATGATGATGTACAAATTAGAAAGAACCAAACAAATGATCCCATTGACTGACTCCCTCCTTGCCATATTCGCTGACATCTGCTTCTTGATATCGGTCGAATCTAAGCGTCAGCTCGCTCATGCTCGGACTTACTGGCTGGCATCTCCCTCGCCGTCAATCTTTGGTACATAGGGTGCAGGGATTTCTCTCCGATACAGCTTGTCCCAGTCTACCTCGGCGAACCAAGCGTGCGCAAAGATATCGGATGAGCCGGCGCGAAGGTTTCCGTACCGCTTAGTCAGATCGCCCACAAGGAGGTTCTTCAGCAGCTCCTTGGCCAGGGCGTCAAAGTAGGTAGGATAGCGGACCTTGCCGGCGATAATCTAATCAGCGGGGTAGGACGGCAACTCACTTTTTCGTACAACTTCATCGGGTTCCCGTCTTCCGTGAAAAATGGTGGGTACCCAGCGAGCATTTCGAATATGAGCACACCGAGAGCGTACCAGTCCACACTTTTGTTGTACCCCTTGGATTGAACGACTTCAGGGGCGACTGCTGTCAGCGAGGCAGATTGCAGACTTACGATAATCAGGAGTTCCACACAGTGTCCAAGTGATATCCGGGACGTGCTTGGCAAAGCCAAAGTCGGTGACCTTGACATGGCCATCGGCGCCGAGGAGGAGATTTTCTGGTTTGAGATCGCGGTAAATGATATCGAGGGAGTGGAGATAGTCTAAGGCCAGCGCGACTTCGGCGGCGTAGAACTTGGCGACCGAGTTTGGAAAGCGCTGAGTCAGCACGGTCAGGACAAAACTCACCTGACTCTTTCGCAGCAGGCTGAACAGCTCTCCGCCAGCGACAAAGTCCATCACCATGTACAGATTGTTGACATCCTGAAATGTTCCCCAGAGGTTGACCAAAAACGGATGGCGGACCCGCGCCAGCATCTCTCGCTCGGAATTGGTGTGCTCGACCTGCTTCATCTTGATCACCTTCTCCTTGTTGAGCACCTTGACGGCGTAGAACCGTCCATTGTGCTTGGAGCGGACAAGGTGAACTCGACCAAAGGAACCGGTCCCGAGACTACATCAGCTCCGTCAATTGCCGACTTACGTTCGCTCTATGTGAAAGTCTGCAAGGGCGTAGCGGCCAGCTGTTTTGCGGACAGTTTGGGCGGCAGCGGGAGCAGAGGAGGGGTCCAGCGCTGCTTGCGCCGCAGCAGCATTGATGGCAGCCACACGAGCTTGCTGCGTTGCATTGTGAAGGTTGGCTTGAGCCTGGGCCGCCTGACGTTAGCGAGGCCACACGCCGACCCACCTGCTCCTGCGCTTCTCTAGCCTTCTCCCTGATGCGCTCATCCTCATCGGGGTCCCGAGCATCCGCCATCTGCACACTCATATTGCGGTCCTGCACTGGTACTGCCATTGGCTGTACGAGGACCGCCGAGGAAGAAGCGAACGGCTGAGTATGTCTACAATCAGCGAAGCGACAGGCCATACTCACGTCTCGTGGACTAGACTCTGCGGCTGGGACGCTGGTTTGCCTGGTGTTGATTGAACTTGTATAGGCTTGCCAGACGAGTTCTGCTTGCGATGAAATTTATCAGACACCTTCTGGAACATGGCGATCTACAAAGGAGAAGGGTGTATACACAGTAAAGGTGGAGTGTTATGGCCAGCGGATATGGAGAGATGGGAGGGATGATCGTCACTTTAGCGTTTATTACCGCTTCCGGAAGACAAATCAATTTGACGCGTTCGATTGATTGCCTCCTAATCGGTTGGTCTTCTCCACCATCCCTCTATCATAGCATGCTAGGAGAGCTCATATCTAAAGGCACTGTACACCCCGGCCCAATAGAGGTAGCTGCATGAAACGCCTTGGTCCAGTGCATGCAAGACGATCTCTAATAAGCTAGCCGGAGCGGAGCCCCACGGAGGCGGAGGTGACCGTGCCTGATCTCCGGATCTTGGTCAAGCTGGTCCACTTACTCCTTGCTCCGCTTCAGCTGCCCCTTCAGCTAAGCAGCTTGGTCCATACTTCACGTTCGACGCGTCCAGAGATATCATACAGTCCAGCCGCCATGCGCTTGACACCCCTGTACCGATGCGTGCGCTCCAATGCTCGACGCTACGTGACAGTCTCCATTGACGACGCCTCGGATGTGCGGCCGGTCGACAAGATCAAGCCGCCCATGTCGCGGGTCGCGCCTTCTCCCCAGCCAGAGAACGTGTCTGATGAGGAACCGTCACTAGGAAGGAGCAACTTGCTGCTAGATACCGAGGAGAAGGTGGGTCGGACCTGTTCCTAGCTGATAGATAGGCTCTCGCCACTCCAGGCCTAGTCTTTGCAGATGGACACGGTCTGCGCGGACCCACAGGCAAAGGCAGGCAGACGAGGCGAATGAACTACTACCAATCAGTGCGAGACGCTCTTGGGTGAGTTTGAGAAGCAACAGAGCTGATGTAGAACTGCGCTGGCAACGAACGACAAGGCTATCGTCTTTGGAGAGGATGTCGCTTTTGGGGGTGTATTGTACGTTTAGCTACGACAGAGCTGACGCAGTCGCTGTACAATGGGGCTCACAGAGGAGTTTGGCAAGCGACGAGTCTTCAACACGCCCTTGACGGAGCAGGGGATAGCTGGATTTGGCGCGGGGTATGCAAGTGTCGGCGGGTGTGCGATTGGAGAGATACAATTTGGTGACTATGTAAGTCTCCCATAGTACGGGCTTATGAGATCTACCCCGCTTTCGACCAACTAGTCAACGAAGTGGCCAAGCAGAACTACGCAAGCGCAGGAGGGTATCCACAGGGGTCATTCACCATCCGCGCGCCCATCATGTCGGTCGGTCACGGCGGCCTGTACCACTCGCAAAGTCCAGAGGGCTTCTTCATGGGCGCGGCGGGATTGCGAGTGGTCATACCTCGATCGCCAATACAGGCGAAGGGGTTGCTACTCGCGGCGATACGAGATCCAGTACCGACAATCGTTTTCGAGCCCAAGATCCTCTACCGAGCGGCGGTCGAGCAGGTGCCGGTGGACGACTTTACGCTCCCGCTCGACCAGCCAGAAGTCATTCGAGAGGGGACGGATCTGACGGTGGTGTCGTATGGAACGCCACTGTACACTTGCTGTAGGTTGACTTGGGGCGACGCTGATTAGTGCGCGCTATTGAACTCTTGACAAACCCCCCGCCCGCACTTGTCCAGTTCCTCCCCGAGCAGCTCAGACCACCTCATCCTCCGCCCTCCATCCAGCTTGTTGACCTTCGCACCATCAATCCAATGCCCTCCGCCGCCGTTGCCGATCTGGTCAAGAAGACAGGGCGGCTAGTGATCTGCCACGAAGCCGGCAAGTCCGGTGGTGCCGGGAACCAGCTTGCCGGCGAGGTCGGTCGTCGGGCATTCGAACACCTAGAAGCGCCGATCGGACTGGTCAGCGGATGGGAGTAAGTCCTACTAAGACGTCGCTAATGTCAGTACGCCTGTACCCCTCGTTTTCGAGAAGTTCTATCAGCCGGACGTCATCAGGGTATTTGACAAGATTGTAGAGACCCTGGGCTATTGATGCATTACTTCTGGACCCGAGTAAAGATGGGCGACTTCTTTTCGTGGACCTGAGGACCGTCGGGAGATCCCGGTATGGATTTGGAGAGGTTCTATATCAGCCGCGTTTGCAAGTAGACCTACGAGTTTGGAAAAGGCGCAGTCGTTGAGTCCCTTCTCGAGCTTTCTGCAGGCCTGGAAGTGCTGGTTGTTCTTCTCCAGGCATTGCCAGTGGGCGTCCCATTCTGAAAGGCAGGATTCTCTCATTTTGTTGATTCTACAATTAGCCACATCCGCACTGTCACTCACAACTCGGTCGCGCAGCGTGTCACTTTTCGTCCTTCGGCGAGACACTTTGCTGGGTCCCTAGACTCTGCCTTACACAACATGAAGTCATCTGACATCAGCTCGTTCGTTACCGCACATACCATTGACGGCCTTGCAGTGAGATCCTAGCTGAAAACTGATAGATTTGAGTGGGGCCGAAGTTGTCCCGAGCTCCTCTACGTGGGGAACGGATGATGGGAGAGGGTTTGGGTCCGAGTATGGCTGATCGGAGAAGGTTGCCGAGCGGTGACTGGCCATGGTGACTCTATTATGGGTGTGATAGGTGGAGAGCAGAGTGGAAAGAGCGAGTTGTACATAGCGGGATATCGGAGACAGAACGCACGGACATATAGCTTATCGGCTCGGCCCACTTAAGCGGAGATAACCGAGATGACCGAAGGCCCGTGCGTCACCACCCTCGCAGCGCAGCGCCGTCCTCGCAGGCCTCTAACGTTTTCGGTGCGCTTTCCTTTGTCATCTCCTCTACACAAGTCGCTATGACCACCGTAGCAATGAACAGCACTCAGCAAGCCAGGCTCCAGGGAGAAGTCCAGACGGAACTCGAGCGTAGGGAGTGGGCAGAGCCAGGAGGTGAGTCGCTGGAGGAGCAAATGCTGATATTGCAGACAACGTCATGGCCGAATATGTTACTGTTCTTATCGCGAACGGTAGTAACAGGGGTGAGCTAGCTCATCTTGGAGAGATTCCCAAGCTAACCCTCAGACCGAGTCTTGAACGAGATGGACGATTGTGAGTACTTGGAAAGGCTTCACTAACGTGTAGTGGTGGGAGCCGACTTTGATCCGCGTTTCCTGGACTGGCTATTCGACAAGGCGTCCGATCTCCAGAGGGTCAACGAGGAGGCGGTTGCGCCCGCTCCTGCTGCCCATTCTCCGGTATCCAGCTATCAAGCTAATAGCCGGATACTGTCGACCGCCTTAGCATCTACCCGCGAGGACACCAACAAGCGCAAGGCGGACGCGGAAACCGAGGTGGCAAACAAAAAGCGGCTACCCGACCAGGCCTTGCCGTCCGGCCCCCGGGCGATGGTGGATGGGAGGAATCTGCAAGATAGGATGGGGCCGAAGCGGGGATCCCCCATGCAGGTGCGAGGATTTGCGGGGGGCAGGCCGCAAATGAACCAAGGTGGGCAATTCAAACTTTACCCGCTGACGACAGGTTTCCAACCCCACTTCCGACCGCAGCCGCCCATGCAGCCGAGCTTCAACTTCTTCCCCCAACAAGATATGATGGCACAGATGTTGATGATGCAATCCAGCATGGCGCAAATGGGGCAAATGATGGCGAAAATGGCCGAGGTAGGTTCTACAAAGACTCGGCTGATAATTAGGAGAAGGAACAGACCGCTGTAGCCGGCTACGGTACCCCACAACGACCTGTAGTTGTTCCACACGGTACCAAATTAGGATCGCACACGGTTTCGCCAATAAAGCCAAGCTCTTCGACGACCGGACCGATCCCCACCAAACCGTCGTCCAAAGCTTTGTGCAAATACTCGGTTGGCTGTAGCAATGCTCGCTGCAAGTTCTCGCACCCCAGCCCGGTGGCGGATGAGAAGACGGGCATGGTCTTGAGCGACGAGCCGTGCGAGGATGGCAAGAACTGCAAGGACGCAGAGTGTACAAAGAGCCACGTCAGCCCTGCTGCTGTACTAGGTATGTCGCTTTACGAGCCAGCTAACATTAGGCGGAACGGCTGGACCAGCTCGTCTCTTGTGCAAATACCAAAATTGCACCAACCCTGCCTGCCCATTCCGACATGAAGATGCCGAAGGGAACGCCATTCCTGCACCTGGTCTGTCGGTCAAGGCAAAGCCCAAATCCGCACCCGCGCCCAGCTCGGACAATGAAGATGGGGATGTAGAGGTCGTCATGACGTCGAGGGGATTGATGGATGGTGCTTTGGATGATAGCAAATCAGTCACGGCTTGCCGATATGGGGAGCGGTGTACGAGACGTAAGTCTTTTGTTGGGGCTAGGCTGACCTCAGCCGATTGTAAATTTACCCATCCCGCTTCGCGTGCTACACCCAGACCCAGAGGGTCCTACTCTGCTCGGGGAGGTACCCGCCGTCCCGGCACGTTCGGAGAAAGCGTCTCGACAACCGGAATGAACAAGAGCAAGAAGTTTGGCGAAAAGTTGAACCCGAGCGCGGCGACCTTTGTCCCGCCCAAGGAGACCGAGGCGGAAGTTGCGACTAGTTAGTACGAAGCAGATCAAATGTAAATTGTTGGATGGGTTCAGGATGTCACGATCTAGGATAGCTGCATACAGGACTAGCAGACCATATCTCCAATGGAGGTGTTGAGAATTAATGCTACAATCAGTCCGTATAACCCCTGTTTGTCAGTATGGAGCGCAAAGTAAGCATGAAGACGTACCAGAACTTCCCTGTGAATGTCAGCACGGCAAATGTACATACAGCTTGGGATCAAACTCACGCGAAAATCAGAATCAACACCATCGCTACAAAGATCCTCGATTCGTTCAGGTAGGCTCGAACACACTGGTCATCAGCTTCGGACTTTCTCCGAATGAGAAGACTCACAGCATCACCGACGATACCAATCGCATATCCAGCTGCAAGACCTGTAAAGCCACATGCTGATCCCGCGGCGAGGTGAATGAAGCCGGCGAAGAGCGAGTACGGCTGGTTTGGGCCGACTAAGCAGTCAGATATGATCCGCCTGAGGCGTAGGCGACTCACTACTTGAGCTTATCAAAACCGCCACGACCAGGCCATAGACAGCGATGATACCAGACATCTGAAGCGTCAGCGGGGTTGCGCGCCTTGGCGTGGTCCTCAGACTGATCGTCCCTCTGGGGCGAGGATGCGAGCGATCACTCACGACGACTGGAATGAGCGACTTCATGATGAGTTCAGGCCTATCTGTCAGCTACCCGCAGCACCGATCGGTTGAGCCGTGCGCACCTAAACGTTCCCAGTCCAGCGATTCCGATTCCAGCTTTGGAAGTCCCATACGCTGCGCCGACGGTCGACATGGTCATCTGATCGTCAGAAGTCTGCCAGAGCGTACGCTAAGTGAACTAAGAGGCGTACAGCTGCAGTCACACCGGCAAAGCTGAAACGATTAGCGGTTGCGGGGAGGCGGATCGAGCTGAGACGACGAGCTCACCCAAAGAAAGGCGCCCACGGGGGGCAAAGTTCAGACATGTTGAGAATAGAATGTGCTGGGTCGACTGCGAGCTTCTAGGTAGGAGTGTAAGGTAGCAGTAAGGGGTCTGGGTATTAGGTGTAAAGGTATGAATGCAAGGGCGATGCATGTGAAGAGTAGGGACAGGATCCGTTTTGCTAAATACCACGTCATCCGACGCGCTCAAGCTCAGCCCAAGTTGAGATTTCGCGACTACCTCCTTCTATCCACTTCTATACCGTACCTCGCCTCATACAACCACAGACAACATGCAGGGACGTCTACCGCAAATGGTGAGCTGATCCATATCGACCTGCTTCCATCAGCTGACAGCGCAGCAACCCACTGTGGTCCTCCTGAGGGGTACGCCGACGACCTTCACTCCAGGTCTGAGCTAACCTTCGCAGAGGGCACAGACACTTCGCAGGGCATGGGCCAGCTCCTCTCCAATATCTCGGCTTGTCTTGCTATCGCACAGACAGTAGCCACCACGTTGGGCCCGAGGGGCATGGATAAGCTCATCGTGGATGAGCGGGGAAACGCTACCATATCAAGTGAGGAATCCACCTTATCCCAGACATGCCCGAGCTAAACAGCAGATGATGGCGCGACGATTCTCAAGCTACTCGACGTCGTACATCCGGCTGCTCGGACACTGGTAGATATTGCACGAGCACAGGACGCGGAGGTCGGAGACGGAACAACCAGTGTCACATTACTGTAGGTCGCCGTCTGGGTCGAGCTAATGTCAGTGCTGCTGAAATCCTCAAAGAGGTCAAGCCATATGTCGAAGAAGGCGTTGCACCTCACGTCATCATCAAGGGCCTGAGAGCTGCTAGGGACTTGGTAGGTTCTGGTCATGAACTAAGCTCACCCTAGGCCGTCGCAAAGATCAAGGAGATTGCAGTCACCATTGACAAGTCCAACCCTGAGTAAGTCCTCCCTCAAGCTTGACTGATGACAGAAAATTCCGCGAACTCCTCATGCAATGCGCCTCCACCTCCATGTCCTCCAAACTCATCCACTCGCAAACCCCCTTCTTCGCCACCATGGTCGTCGACGCCGTCATGTCGCTCGACCAAACCGACCTCGACGAATCCCTCATCGGCGTCAAGAAGGTTCCAGGCGGAGGAATGCAGGATTCGCTTCTTGTCAAGGGCGTGGCGTTCAAAAAGACCTTCTCATACGCCGGGTTTGAGCAGCAACCAAAATCCTTCGTGGATCCCAAGGTGCTCTGCTTGAACGTCGAGCTGGAGCTCAAGGCGGAGAAGGACAATGCGGAGATTCGGGTCAATGAGGTGTCGGAGTACCAGGCGATCGTCGATGCGGAATGGTCCATCATCTACCGCAAGCTCGAGGCCATCGTCGAAACCGGCGCCAAGGTCGTCCTCTCCAAACTCCCCATCGGTGATCTCGCCACGCAATACTTTGCCGACCGCGACATCTTTTGCGCCGGGCGGGTGACGGCGGATGATCTCAAGCGGGTCGTGCAGGCGGTAGGCGGGTCCATCCAGTCGACATGCTCGGATATCGAGCCAAAGCACATCGGTAGCTGCGGGCGATTTGAGGAGAAGCAGATCGGAGGGGAACGGTTCAACCTGTTCCAGGACTGCCCACGGGCAAAGACCTGCACCCTCATTCTGCGAGGCGGGGCGGAGCAGTTCATTGCCGAGGTGGAGCGGAGTCTGCACGACTCGATCATGATTGTCAAGCGGGCAATCCAAAATAACCAGGTCGTGGCAGGTGGCGGTGCTTGCGAGGTGAGTCAAGTTGTGTATAGCGCTGATGGCAGATGGAAATATCCAAATACCTCAGGGCTCACTCGCGGACAATCATGGGCAAGCAACAACTTATCGTCGGCGCCGTCGCCAAAGCCCTGGAGGTCATCCCTCGGCAAATTTGCGACAATGCCGGGCTTGACGCGACCGACCTACTCAACAAGCTGCGGATGCGGCACGCGCAGGGCGATGTTTGGGCGGGAGTTGATGTGGACTCGGAGAATGTCCAGGACAATATGAAGCGGTTCGTCTGGGAGCCAGCGCTGGTCAAAACGAACGCGTTGAGCAGTGCGATCGATGCGGCCTGCATTGTGCTGAGCGTGGATGAGACGGTGGTCAACCCGCAGTCCGAGGTGAGTCTAGGGTCTTTACGATGGACAACGCGCTGACGGTCAGGCGCAACAATCGGGTCCACCCATGCCTCGCGGGGCGGCGCAGCGTGCTATGCGGGGCGGAGGAAGGGGCAGGGGGAGATAGAATCTAGAAGTAATGCATCATGTACATATGCTGTGCCCTACAGACACCAGAACACATCGACCCACATATGTTCGCATTACGCTGGATCTGCTCGCTCCGCCTCTGTCCCTTTTAACCTGGCCCGTTCCTCCTTCCGAGCGAGCCCAGCCAGTTTTTGTCGCTCTATCAAGGCATCTAGTCCGCCATCTGCCGCCACGACGTTTCTGCGCTTGTCAGCGAAGATTTGATGGCGGTCTTGCGCGGCTGCTCTACCTTTTGTGTAATTTGCTCTTGACGTGAATGTCCCAGTCTTTCACCATGACCGAGTACGGCGCAGATGGTGTCGAGCAGAGGGAACATTCTCTTCTAGCGTTCAAGGTTTGACGTCTGCGTTTTATTCAGCCCAGAAGTCACGCGCATGAGGGAGATCTCACCCTGCTGTGTCGGGTATTGCACCTTTGTCTGCCGCTGTGAAAGGTGTCAATATCTCCTTGCTGAGAGGATGACCGGCCGAAAGTGGAACAGGCATGGGCCCGCCGACGAGGAAGTCTGAACATAAGCTAATTGTCTTCACCTTGTCGAATAGCACTCACCATGCAGTATTGCTCTTGTCACAGCCTCGTTAACATGTCCACCCTGTACAGCGTATACCCAGACATCACCTCCAGATGCGCGTGCCTCTCTAGCAGCCGGCAAAAGGTTTTTGGTCACCCATTTCAGCTGTGACTTGGCGTATTGATGCGTCGACAGCTTCATGCGATCGAGCATGGATGTGAATGCGGGATCTGCCGTCGAGGCGAGAGGAGCAGCGGGGTCGATACGAAGCTGAGCAAACTCTTTGTAGCCTGGACCTCATCAGCAAAGCAGGAGATATGATTACTCTAGCTCACCTATCGCTTGAAAGATGCCTTCTGTATGATCCGCTGCCTCTGCCGAGCCATACGCCCTCTCGGCTATGCCTCTGAGTTCCAAGATTTCGCTCAACAGCCCATTCTGATTTGTCAGCTCAACTTCGCCTTCATCGCCAACAGGACCAGACTCACATCGACCATCTTGTCCACTCGACGATCCAAGCGGGGTCTTAAAGTCTCCAGGGGCTCGTACACCCAAAAGATCAAGGTCCGGAATCTTGCTCGTCTCCCACCGACCTTGCCGCTCGTACTGTCCGACACCTGACATTGACTCTCCCACCATCTTTCCAGGCTCCGCTTGACCTTTCTGCCGTCTCGCCAGTGCCATCTGCCCGCTTCGACGGGGTCGAGCGCTTCGAGCAGCCGATGTAGTGCGAGCAGCTGAGCGTTCGTCCAGGTTGCTACACTCGCAGATCCGAGTGCACTTGATGCAGCAGCGTCCCGCGAAGTACCAGGAGCTTCCTCATCTGCTTTCGGCCAGACGGGATCCTGGGTCCAGAAGGATTCGAGGAGTCGGGCGAGACTTGGCTCCAGGTCCGGTGTGGCCGGCAGAGGACCGGGCGGTGTCCACCTGCTCGAGGATGGCTTCGCCGGGAGATCGTCGTCACCGTCCACTGTAGCCGAGGAACGAGCTGTCGATAGATCAGGCGGAGGGAAGAGAAAGTGCTGGATAAAGTAGTGGGTCCCGCCGCAGACAATAGGAAGGGTCGTTTCGGGCAAAGATTGTACCTGGCTTTCTCAGCCTATTTGCATTCGTCTATATGCTGGGGAGACACACCACTTTATCGGCCTCCGTACACCACCTCCCCAGCTCCCAGCTCCCGCCCTGTCCAGGCTGCACCATGTCCAGTCCCCAGTGCTCCACCCCGCCCATCTCCTCCGTCGTGACCTTGTTTGTGATGACGTCGAGGCCTTTGTACAGCTGCATCGAGTCTGCAGAGAGCACGACGCCTTTGTCATAGCTCTTGACCCGTTCCAAGATGCCGCTGTTGCCCTTCTGAGGGGCGGAGAGGGGCGTGGACGAGCCTGAGCCTTCCAGAGATGGCGACTGGAGGCAATTCGCGAGGTGGACTGCCAGCTGCGACTTGCCCACCCCGGTGGTCCCTATCACGGCGACGATGGGTCGCATCCTGTGGCTTTTACCGACCAGTCGAAGGCTCAGCGGAAGGCACATGCGCTGAAACTCATAGCTACTTGACGGAGATAGAGGCAAAGGTAGTGTGCAGGCAGGTGCTTTGCGCAATTTGACCGACAAGCCTCCCTTCCAGGCACGGTTCGGAGTTGCCCGGATGGTAGCCAAAAAGTCAAGGTCAAGCGATCGTCACACCCTGCTCTCTTGGCTCATTGCACATTGCTCATCTAGACCGACCATCTCCACTGTATCATAGCCATCATGAGCAACAATCATCAGGAACATTCCGTCGACGAGATTGTGAGCATTATCGACTAGGGCTTGCCCGAACTCTTGCTAATCGACCAGTTCCGGGCACCCTCCCTGGCGGTCTCCTCGGTCCTGCACGGTGGTATCCATCACCCCCTGCTGCGATCATACCAGTCTTCTGGCCGGAACTTGGTCAAATCCATGTTCATCTACCCTATCTTCATCACCGACGACCCGGACGCGGAGCAGGTCATTTCCAGCCTGCCCGGGCAGAAGCGATGGGGAGTGAATAAGCTGGAAGGGTTCCTGGGACCGCTCGTCAAGAAGGGACTCAAGGGCGTCATTCTCTTCGGGGTGCCTATGAAGATGGAGAAGGTGAGTCTGCTCCTTGCGCCTATGTGGAGCGGGACTGACAAGAAGGACGAGCGCGGTACACCGGCCGACGACCCCTCAACGCCCGTCATCCAAGCGCTGAAGCTTCTGAGCCGTCTCTTCCCTCAGCTCCTCCTCGCTATCGATGTCTGCCTCTGCGAGTACACATCAACAGGTCACTGCGGTATCCTCTCACACCACCCCAATCCCGCCCACTCTGGTGCGCCTACCCTGGACGCCGAAAAGTCCGCTCAGCGGATCGCCGAGGTCGCTGTGGCATATGCCAAAGCTGGCGCCCATGTGGTCGCACCTAGCGACATGATGGATGGGCGGATCCGAGCCATCAAGCTGGGTCTGATGCACGCGGGGTTGGCAAACCGGTGTGCTCTGATGGCCTATTCTGCCAAGTTTGCCAGCGGATTGTACGGCCCGTTCAGGTGCGTTCCGATGCTTCGTCGAGAGTCTTTCCGCTGACAATTTAGGGAGGCTGCCGGGACCGGTACATCGTTCGGAAACAGGAGATGCTATCAGTTCCCGCCAACAGCTAGGCAACTGGCTAGACGAGCTCTGGTTAGTCTCCTTCTGATTCCGACGACAACAGCTAACTCTGCAGCGCCGCGACGCAGAAGAAGGCGCCGACTTTGTCATGGTCAAACCCGGACTGCCATACCTCGACATTATTTCGGACGCGACGCAAGTCTGCCCCGACCTCCCCGTAGCTGTCTACCAAGTAAGCGGCGAGTTTGCCATGATTCACGCCGGAGCCGAAAAGGGGATTTATGGCTTGAAGGAGATGGCGTTCGAGACGGTGGAGAGTATGGTGCGGGCCGGAGCTAGCATCATCTTGTCGTACTTCACTCCGGACTTCTTGGATTGGTTGGATGAGGAGCGCTCGTTTTAAGGGAATCGTAAATTAGGAAAATTAGTTGTCTTCGTAGGCCGATCTTGTCATAATCACCATTCATGCTGTTACACTTCTTCATCTCGCCCGGATCAATCCATCCGGGACCGGAGCTGACGCGTGATGACCTTGTCGTGCGTTCTGAGACATCAGCTGGTTTTCTCTACGGTGAAATCCATGTAGCTCACATGACATGCACGATGGCTCCCCAACCACTCAGAGCGTCTCGATCCACGGCGTTCAGGAGAGTTTGCGAAATCGTCTCGAAGAGATCCTCCGGTTCCTGGTGGATCAGCGGGATCGGCACGAGTGTGACGTGAACAGCTTACAAGGTCCGGCTCCCACAACCCTTCCGCCATACCGTACAGCTTGTCCTGAGCAGTCCCTGCCACCGCAAAGTCTTTTGGTGTAGTGATACATCCAATACTGAGATGTCAGCCTGAGGCCATGAAGCAGGACCGGGCAGGACATACGTGTCCATTGTCGAGATGAAAGGCTTGGGCTTGGGTTCAAGCTCAGTGGGGGTGGTCAGGCCAGCAACGACCGGCTCAAGGAAATATGGGCCGAATCTGGAAATCAGCGACGACGAGACAGCTGACAACTCTAGCCATCCGGAGTGTGAGGGGTAGACGACTCACCTCTTCTCGTATAATGTGCTGGAAAGGAGGTGGGTGAAGGTCTTTGGCGTGATCTCGCGTTCCTCCTTCATGCGGTACATGTTGACTCGGAATCGCAGCTGTTCCCGCCTGAAGGGGTGAGCTTACGGTCGGGACATTAGAGGAGCACGTGCAAGCTTACAGAGTGTAGACATCAGTCGCCAGACCTGGAAGTCCATAGTACAGCTTGTCGTTGACGGGGAACACCTGACGATCAGCTTCTACCGTCGGCGCGAAGCTTTGCCAGACTGACCTTCTCAAAGTTCATCGCCACGCCGACAGACTGTTGTCCTAATCTGAGGTCCGAGGCGATTGCTACACAGTCCTTGCCTATCATGGCAACGACCGAGCCTCCGTTATATTCCATGATGGACTGAAGGGGGTCAGCTGGAATTGGACGTCGAGCTGGAAGGGCTGGGCCTACCATGATGGGCGAAGTCTATGAAGAGTCGAGGTTGGGTCAGGGGTCGCAGCTTTGGGCTCTGGCTGTGAAGTGCGCGTATATGAATGGATGAGTATGGAGGGGAGAGCGAGAGGTATTCAAGTTGAAGTGGAGAGCTGGCGACCGAGCAGCTTCATCATCGTTCCTCCTCTCGTAATCAACCAAGTAAAAAATGGGAGGCGCGAATAAGGATTGCCGTAGATGTGAGGAATGTGGATTTCTGACGCGCCTTCCTTCTCCGCCATTTCAAGCTGCACTGTGCTTTGACAGCTTTACCTTTTTACCTCTCCTTCGACAACGGCTTCAGCTATACCTCAAGCTCAGAAGCTACCTACCATGCTGATCTCCCAGCTGGCAGCAACGTATGTGACTCCGCGATCAACACCCAGCCCTTACTCCCGCTTACGCAGCAGACACTCGGTCAAGTCAGCGCTGCAAGAAGCAGGGTACCATAATACAACTGAGCTGTTGCAGACGGCGGCCTCTGATCTCAGCGCAGGTCAGCTACATCAGAAGAGCAAAAGCTGGACTTGGCTGATGTCGTCAGAGCTGAGTATCCCGCTTTCTCAAGCGGAAGACATCATCCGGCAATGTCGCAATCCTCCTGGTAAGCGACTGATCTCCCCCGTCGCATGACCCCTACTGACTCGCTAGGACCTTCCCGGCAAGCATCTCCTCATCGGAATGGCCATGACGGTCATGACGCAGCGAGCGCATCAGCCACAGCAGAGATCCAGGCCTCCACCGCCGCAGCCCTTCTCGTCCCGCAATCACTGCCCCGCTTCTCGACCCTTTCTGAGACCCTCGACGCCCTCATCTCGCAGCACACATGCGCCGATGCCGATGTCACATCGGAGGATAGGGCTACGGCAGCTACAGGAGCGATCACGCCGGGTATGGCGGTCGAGATCTCTGGGCCGCCGGGGATAGGCAAGACAGCCATAGCCATCGGCCTTGCTCTCAGCGCGAGAATGGGGACACGTAAGAGGAGAAAAGACAGTGTGCCGCAAGACCGAGGTGGAGGAGAAGTGTTGATCATAGGTGCGTGTGCCGCTACGTCATATGAGTCGGAGCTGATCGCTAGATACCGAGGGGGCGATAACACCTGACCGGCTCAGCAAAGCGGCCGAAGCACTAACGAGGAACACGAGCAGCAAGTTCACAGTGGACCTCTCGCCGGTCAAATTTGCTGTAGCTGACGGCATAGATCGCGCACCGCAGCTGCTCGAAGGGATCCACCTCGTCCGCGTAGCGACCCAGGTGCAGATGGTTGCGTTTCTCAACTCACTGGACGAGTGGCTCCTAGAGCATCCCAAAGTGAGCTTCATTACGACGCGTGTGACTTGTCGAGCTGATCTCCAGGTCATTCTAATCCTCATCGATAGCCTGAGCTACCACTTCCGCCAACCAAACTTTGAGCTCAATGCGCGGCGCCGAGTGATGGACACGTGAGTCAATCATGCTCGAAAAAACACAGCTTAAGAGCTGATGAAGTAGTGTCAAACAGCAGATAGGGAAGGCTACCATGGTGCATCATTGTGCTGTAAGCTAAACGTCGGTCCGACTAGGCCCGATGCTGATCAGCCCAGATCGTGCTCATCACGCAAATGGCAACCAAGCTCTTATCGTTGGATGGAAAGCGCTCCAATTTCGAGACTGGAGAAAAGGCAGTCCTGATGCCACAGCTTGGTCAGTACCCCTGTAGGCATATGATCTAGCGCTGATGTGCCAGGCGAGATGTGGCAGAACGCCAAGACTCTCCGAGTAGTCCTGTTCCGCGGTCCGGACGGGAACGAGGTCCGCTATGCCCACGTCGGGACCAGCGCGGACAGCGACCCGAACGGGGACTGGGCTTGCTTCGACATCAGCGTGCGTGAAGCTCGCACAGCATATTTCTCAGCTTGACCGAGCTGACCCGACAGACCGACGGCTTGCCCATGGACGTCGAAGACACCAGATGAGCCAGGTACTGCTTCAACAATGCATGTCTATGTTAGATCCTCCTTTTCCCTTCTAATAGCCTGAGGGCCTCGCCTGGCTGGTATCGTACGCTCTGATCAATCGCGCCTGCTCCTGGTTGTTCGTCTCGGTCTGACTGAACGCAAATCCGCGTTGTCTCCGCATCCGCTGCGTTGCCCGCACCTTTTTGATAGCTTTTTGGAATCTAGTCCATGTCAGCTTCGTTATCGCCCCTGCGACAAGCCTAGCTCACTGTTCCTGTCTCGGTCGGTAGTCTGACATGTTGAATTTTTGGATTTCCTGGACAATGTGATAGTCGCTAGGATTGTACGTCCGGACATAGTACTTCCAGACATAGTCTCGCAAGAGGCAGACAACCGGGAAGAGGAAGACGCAAAAGTAAAAGATGGCGTCTCCCCATAGCCGAGGGATGATGCCGCGGTATGGTCGTGAAAGGCGGATGAAGGGGGCGACGAAGGCATAGAGGGGAAGGGCGAGCATGGTGAAGAGGAAAGAACCGGGGATGGCCGCGAGGGTGTATTTTGTCCAGACACTGCGGTGTCAGCTATAGATGCAGTCCGAGAAGCAGGATAATCGTACTCGGAGATCAAAGCGGCTTTGCCGAGCACGGTCAGGAGGACCGCGAGGTACAACGTCGTTCCCCATACCCATAGACCCGAGTTCTGGCCATTCGCCTGGATCAGGTCCATCCGGAATGCCAGCGCGGAGAAGGCAAAGAGGATCTGCAGCTTCAGCATCTCGTCTTTCATCTGAAATGGTGACTCACAATGCTGTGGTAGATAGCGTTCGTAACCCAGTAGAAGAACCGGATGGGCGCAAAGAAGTGATTCTTCTGCCCGAGCTGGTATAGCTGTGGATACCGGTCGAGCATCCGAGCGGAGACGAATTGGTCAAAGACACCGATGACGAGTGGCGGGAGGATCGTAAAGATGACGTTGAAGAAGGTCATGGTCCAGCCTTCGAAAGCGATCTGGCCGGAGAAGTCGTTGAACCAGGAGTACTGAGAAGTCAGCGCGAACATGGGCGGGAGAGGATGATCTTGCGCACCCAGAATAGGGTCATCGCAAAAGTGATGTTCTTGTAGAACGAGTCTGTGTCGTCAGCATGCGTGACCAACATGAAGTACAGATTCACTTACACAGGATGAGCTTTGATAATCGCTGATAACTCCAAGACCCGTGGACGAGCAGCAATTTCCGCAAGAATCGGAACTGCGAAATTGCAACATCCGCAGATCGAGCAGCTTGAAGACCCTAATGATCAGCCCAGCTCCGTCTCAAGGCTTACCTCTACCCCTGATATGCCCACTCCGACATGCGCAGCCTGGATCATGCTGACATCGTTTGCGCCATCTCCGATAGCGAGCAAAGGCGCTTTCGTACTCCGCTTGACAAGCTTGACGACGAGGGCTTTTTGAAGGGGCGAGACTCGGCCTGAAGATCAGCTTGGCCCGGGGAACACGACGGTTAGAAGACTCACAGCAGATGACAGCCTTGCACATCACAGCCAGTTCCAAGAAGACTCCCGAGCACTCCTTCTCTAGCGCAAAGGTCAGGCTCCGACCGTCGATGATCAAAGCCAGTTCCTCTACATCCCCGCCCATGCGTTGGTTCTTGATCGCGAATAGACGCTTGTTGAGCAGTTCCGAGGTCTCGGTCTGCGATTCCGTATTGACGAAGACCAGGTTCATCGATTCCGAGATCAAGCGACAAGAAAGACCGATATTGATGGCGGTTTCCTGACGGTCTCCAGTGAGAACCCAGATCTTCCAGTCAGCTATGCTACACTTGGGAACCCACCTTGATACCGGCTTGCTGAAGGGTATGAATGGTGTCAGGGACGCCTTCTTGCAGCTTGTCCTCAATAGCTGTCGCGCCCAAAAGTTGCAGATTCTGCTCGATGACCTCCGCGGCTCGGTCGAGAGCGTCCGCTCGGCCAGAAAGCTGAGAAGCTGCGGCATCGTACATAGCGGACCACTTGTCGTACTCTTCCTCCGAGATGTCTCGGCATGCCAAGCACAGCGTACGAAGTCCTTCAGTAGCGTAATCCTGGTTATCAGCTCGGCGCACGAATTAGACGTACCTCCAGGTGGACCAAAGTAGGCTCAGAGAAGGACTGGTTCTGCGCCAGCCGCTCGTAAATGACAGTGTCTGCCCCCTTGGTGAACAGCTTGATGCGGCCATCGGGACACCGTACCACCGTGGACATGCGTTTTCGTGTCGAGTTGAACTCGCAGACGTTGAGGATCTCGTACTCCAGCGAGCGGCCATGGACTTCGACAAAGACAGATTTTGGTTTCCGGGTCTGCAGTATCAGTAACGTCCAGGGCAACGAAGGATGAGGCTCACGTGGAAGCGATACCCAAGCATCTCGGCACCAGCCACGAGAGCGGCTTCATCCGGGCTAGAAGCCTGGTAGACCACCTTTCCGTCCTTGACTTCCGGGATGACGGTGTGGCAGACCGAAAGCAGGGCAAGGCTAGATATCAGTGCCGTCCCGATACCAAGCTTACAATTCCCGGATGACAGCTCCCTCTTCATTCTCCTCCATAGCCCGCTCCCTCAGCACATCGAAAGTCTTCTGCCCCTGCTCCCGCTTGGCATCATCGACCACCTGAGCGTACATCGTCCCAAAGATACTGCACTCCTGAAACTCCATCTCGTTCCGGGTGAGGGTTCCTGTCTTGTCGGAGAAGATGTAAGCGATCTGGCCGAGTTCTTCGACGAGCGATGAAGTCCGACAGAGCGCGGGTGTGTCGGTGGGTGCATAGTACATGTCCAGGTCCGAGTTAATGAGTGAAGCCTGCCAGAATTTGACTACTTCGATCGTCATGATCAGTCTGCAGCATTAGCCTAGGTCTTTTGTGTGACATACGATATGGGAATCAAGTTGTTGTAGAGAATGATGGATGTCAAGATGTTTTCCACGAATTGCTGAGCTGAAGAGTCAGCGTGATCCAGGCGGTGAAGGAGGATACATACCTCGATTTGGGGCGTTGACACTAAGCTCAAGATACCAAGTGTTCGCATCATAGATCCACTGCTGATGAGTCGTGTTCTGGCAATTGCACATCGGCTCCAGCCTGATCCCTCCACGACAGCAAGACATGGGGAACACGAGCACTGGTGACCCATCCCCTGTCACCGAGATACCCTCCGTCTCGCTTCACCAGCGCACGCAATCCGGTGAACACAAACCGGCTGTTCAACTCACCGTTCTGATACTGTTGCCAACAGTCGATATCAAGGATAAGACGAGGAGCAAGATGAAGAGGTACAGGATCTGCATATTGACCTGGCGCTCGACCGCTGTGCGCTTGATGGGGGCGTCACTGATGTCAGTGAGGTCAAGAGCTGGACTTACGTTGCGTTGCGCATCAGCTTGGTCTCGTGTCCAGCATTGACGACTACTCCGTAAACCCATTCCGTGTTTCGCAGCTGAGCACCACGAAGCAGCATCTGATTCGGACCGACAGGGATCTTTGTAGGCGCCGCACCGGGCATGGAGGATGAGAGGTGAAATGTTCCGTCATAGGTGTAGAGCGAGTCGTTCGGGGCTTCACTGAGTAGATGCCCGCGGAGCATGGAGGCGGCGTGTGGATTCGTCAAGGATGCGGTTGCGGGATGGGCTTGCTTGATTTTGAGATTGGTCTCCCTAATCGTCAGCTCTGCTCAAGGCCGTGACGCACCCGTCCAGATTTGCCGTCTCGATATACGCCAGACCATCCGGCTCGCTACTGGTCAAAAGCACCATATCCGCCGGAATGAAGGCATTAGCTGCGAGTCGAACGATATCTCCGACCCGTATTCTTCGCCAAGGTCGTTGCTCGAATTGCTGGTTCACGAGGACCTCGGAGGGGTTGTTGTTGAGTGATCTGTCGGATGCATGACGTTTCTGGTCATCAGCCGAGTCCCACCAATTGCACGAACAACGTACATAGTCCTCTCTAATCTCCTTGACCGCACTGGCTATCAATACCACCGCCAGCGGCACGATTGTAGTGTATCGTCCTGTTGGGGATACGTTCGGCACCTGTTGGATACAAGCTGAGAGTCAGTATGAATACAGGAGCACATGCTATTGAGACTTACCAGTGAAGAGGAAGAAGAGATTGGCAGAGCGAGAGAATTCGGCTGGACGTCAGCGCTACTCAGCACGACGACGTACAGTACAGGAACTTTGGCAAGAATGTGATCGGCCCATAGTGCCCCGTTGATACCGAGTTGTTCTCGAACCCCTTGACGTGGTTGGCCTCCGGGTCATTGAGCGCCAGTTCCCTCGGTACGCCGTCGAATTTGCTTTTCCGTCCCAACAGCTTGTTCAGGCCTAGTGTCCAGTCCACATCGGTCAGGTGGTCCTCCCGGAATCTAGACCACCTGCTGCCCTTCTGTGTCCGAGCGTATGGACCCGACTGGGGGTTGGAGAACGAGTACGCCGAGGGTCCATCTTCATCCTCAAATGGGTCGGCGCCCCCACCTCCGCCGTACGCCTTTCCTCCGTACGCCTTGTCCATATCGTCCGGGCCGCTGAATCCCGCAGGGACAGCACCAGATGCGGCGAGAGGCTCTGAGGCGTCCCGTCTATTCCTGTCGCGATAGCCGCTTGATGCGTTCAGGTCGGACGTAGATGGCTGCGCAGGGAGGTACGCCGAGGATTGGGATGGTCCATATTCGTCGTCGCTGTCGGTCAGCTAAGAAGTATCGACCCAGAGATTCACGTACTCGTCGAAGAAGGGATCCAGGGCGTAGCCATGCTTGGGATCTCTCGAGCTCGAAGCCTGACCGGGAGGACCATAATTGTCCGGGGAGAAGAGCTGCGGAGAGCCATTGGCATCTTCGAACGGGTCGTCGTGCGCGGAGAACGGTGCAGCTTGACGCTGCTGGCTGGGTATATCCTCGAAAGGATTATGCAGCCTTGACCCAGACATGGTAGCTGTGGATCTATGTAGGCGAGGTATGTGGTAGATGGATCAGCTATATCAAGGGAGACTGATTTTGGCCTTTGTGCGCGCGGAGCACGCGGACGCGACAACACAGCTTTAAAGTGGGGATCATTTACAGTCAACTCCCTCTCAGCAACTCATACTAACTACGCCTTGACTCGTACTTCCTACTACCCTCGCTCCGCGGCCATTTGGGTGTGGGTTCAGAGGGAGTGGACTATACTTTGCACCCGAAGTCACCGCTCTCGCTGAAATATGGAGACTATCTATGCAATTGCATTCACATCGCCTAGGCGCGACTATAAGAGACACCAGCAGATCATGGCCGATCCCGGGAATGAGATTAGACGAAAGAAGAACAAGAAACACCCTAAACCTACCGCCAGGTCTCTCTCTATCAGGCCGACGCCTTGGCCTCCTCATCTACCGCCGCCAACGCCTTGTTCAACTTGTCCGTCGGCGTGATTTTGGGTTCGCCATACACCTCGACCTTGGAGAGAAGGTCGGTAATATCGGCGTCGGGGAGGGAAAGGCTGCGGATGAAGAGGGCGATGGCCTTGTAGGCTTGGGGGAAGTCGATAGCGTCGTCGTCCAAGCTGACCATGTGGTTCTCGATTCTGAACTATCAGTTTTGCCCTCAGACACAAACAGAGGAGACTTACCCCTTCTTCAATACCTCCACTGTCGCCGCGTTCTGCTCCAGAGAAAGCTTGAGACCCCTGGCAATGATATCCGCGTCCTTCAGCTTCGACAGCCGGAAGGCCTCGTCGATAAGCTGAGCCGAAAGTAATGGTTGGCGTTCCTCTGGCAAGGCCTTGAAGTACTCGACGATGTCGTCCGGATTTCTCGATCCACCCTGATCCTTCTCTCCCCACAGCTCCTTCATATCTGACGCAACCTTTGTCTTGGCCGCCTCTTCCGACATACCCGCCGACGACTTTGGGGCCTCCTCTGCCTCTTCCTCCTCTTCTTCGCCCTCCTCGACTTCGCCTGCCTCCGCTTCGTCCGCCTCCTCGCCTGGTGCGGGGACGGAACGGGGCTGGAGGACAAGCCGCTTGCGCTCGGGTGCGGCTTCAGCGGCAGGCTCAGCGGCGTCGTTGAGCGCGCTGAACATGTTGGCGGTAGAGGTTTGACGGGAGAGGGGAGGTGTAGCGACCGCCGGCTTGCCGCGCTTGCTGAAGACGCTGGATGGGCCGGCAAAGGTGGGAGCAGTCTGGGATGTAGAGATCTTGCCGAGGTTGGACATGTCCGCCGGCCGCTGCGGCAGACGAGCAGGCTGTTGCACGTTCTGCCACTCGTCGTTCCGCTGACGCCCGGCCCGAGACCCGCCGCGGGACATGGACTCGCGTGTCGACTGGGCAGCGTGAGCCGCCTTGGCCGCCTGCTCCTTGGCCGCCTGCTGATGGATTTGGGCGATCGTCATGACACTCGACTGGGTCTTCTTTGACTTCCAGTGGTGCTTCTGGAGGTCCATAATGTCCTGTTTGTCAGCGTAGCCTTTCACAACGAGAAAATGACTCACCATGATCATGAAACGCAATCGAGACGATGTTCCCTCCAGGTTCAGAATAGCATTCAAGCGCGTCATGACCGGTGTCATGTTCTCCGGCACCTGAGCCTCGAACTGCCCGCCGACAGTGGTGAGGAGCTTGCAGGTGGACTCGATGTCCTCCTCGTCCGGGTCGGTAACGTTGGCCAAGAGGGTTTGGAGACAGGTCTTGATGACCTTGGTGGAGATCATCTCGAGCTTGTACAGCTCTCCGACGAGCTGCACCAAGCCCAATCCGCGCCGCTTTGCCTTTTGAGCGGCATAGTACTCGTCCGAGAGCATGGCCGCCTCCGTCTCCTTGCCCTCCTCCTTGTCTGCCTCATTCTTGGCCAGGCGATCCTTGTCCTCCTGACTCTTGGCCGCTGCCGCAGTGACAGCAAGCTCACGAGCCTTCCATCCCGCCTCGAAGTCCATCTGACACCGCCCGATAAGGTACTTTCGGAAGAGCACACCGCCCGACAATGGCTTGTCGTCGATGACCTCGGTAACCTCCGGGTCGAGATCGTCGAGGAGTGTCCGGCAAAGCCGACCGTACATTTCCGACCAGTGCGCCTCGTCGGTAGCCTTCTCGAAGACTTGCTTGATAACAAGCTTGAGTGACATACCGTCCGTCTCGTTCTTGGACCGGTTGGCCCATTCGACGATCTGCTTCGAGATGGAGTCGAACTTCTCCTGAGTGAGTTTGTTGAGGAGGGATTTGACCTTTCGCTCGACAAACGCTGGCGAGCTCTCGTCTTTGTCGGTGGGACGGGCCTTGACCCAGGAGTTTTGACTGATGGCCAACGGGGCGACCTCCGGCTCCTGTGCAAAGGATGGGGGGGGAGGTCGTCCCTGACGGGGTCCGCCTCGTCCGCTCCTCCGCTCTCCACCACGCGAAGACATGGATGGAGCCATGGCTGGCAGGCCGTGAGGACCACCCGAGCTGGGCACTCGTACACCCTGGGGCGCCCGCGGCTGGTTGAGCGAGTTCTGATACCGTTGCTCGCTGGTGGTTCCGCGGACAGACCCAAAGTTGCCCATTCCGAAAGCGCCCATCCCCTGAGCAACGGGTCGTCCGATGCCTCCGATACCGAGTCCGGCCGGACCACCTCGAGCTGCGGCTGCCCGTCCGCCTCGTCCGCCTCGTGTGCCGAAGCCGCTCGTAGTGTCGGCCTCGAGACCGATGTCCTCGAGCGCGGGGAGTCCTTCCGGCTTTTCCTTGCAGAGCTGCATGAACTGCATGAGGAAGTCCCGGTCGTAGCGGAACTTGCCTGGCTCGGCGTTGTCGTTGAAGCCCGATACGGGGGGTTGGATGGCGTTGGGGTAGGAGATGCTGGATAGGTCCTCGATGGGACGGGCGATCGAGAGATTTGTTTGGCTCGCCTCGGTCCGGTCAGTCATCGCAGGCGAGCTGACCTCGACATCGACGGGTTTGGCTGGGAGACCCGCGGTCGCTGTCGATGGGGAAGAGGGTGCGGGGGTGGATGGTGCGGGAGTTTCGGCCTGCTTGGCCTCCGCGGCCTTGTCTGCTGCCTCCTTGTCGGCCTTCTCCTTCTCCTCCCTGGCAGCGTCCTCTTCCGCCTTCTTCGCGGCCGCTTCCTCCTCGGCCTTCTTGGCCGCTGCCTCTTCCTCTTCCTTCTGCGCTTTGGCCTGATGATCAGCTATGTGGGACAAGACGCCGTCGATGGGGCTCACCTTCTCCTCAGCGGCCTTCTTCTCTTCAGCTTCCTTGGCCTGCCTCTCCTTGCGCTCCTTGCGCTCCTTCTCCTCTTGAGCCTCGATCGCCCTGATCTTCTCCTTGGCTGCCTCCTCCTTCAAGCGCTGAGCCTTTTGCTCCTCAGACTCGAGCCGCACCACCACCGGGAGAGAGTATGGCTTCTTGGCCGGGGTGCTTGACGCAGCTGGAGAAGCCACGGGAGCTGCCTCCTCTGTCGCCGGAACGGCAGGTTTGACAGCAACGGATTTGATGTCGACCTCCGTTCCGTCGGGACGAGCAATCTTGATCGCCTTGGACTGACGAGGGGTAAAAGAGCTGGCACCGCCAGACATGGAGAATGAGTTGGCCCCGGGGGTGAAGGACGAAGCGCCGGGAGTGAAGGCAGCTCCGGGTTGCATAGAGCGAGATGGGGTGGAGGGACCGTTGTGGGGGGAAAGAGTTGGTGGGCGCATTTGAGGAGCCATGACGGGGCTGGCGGCGGCGCCGTTGGGCAGTCCGGTGGGGTGAGGACCAGGAGACTGGACCTGGGGAATTGGACCGCGCGGCGACGACATGGCCATGTTTGGCGGAGCCCACTGCTGAGGAGGCATGCCGTATTGCTGCTGTTGCTGCTGCGAGGGAGGTTGCTGTGGTTGCTGAGGAGGCTGACCGGGGTAGTAGCCGGGCTAGAAAAATCAGCAAAGCCCATCGATGCTGAGGAGAGAACTTACGTAGAAGTTTTGCTGGCCTGGGTAGTTCATGTACTGTCCCTGAGGACTTCCATACCCCATCATCGAAGCCTGTCCGCCGCCGGGCCGAGCCATAGGGTTCTGCATTGGGGAAGGGCGGAATGGGTTGTAGTTGGGCATACCGCTGGGAGTTGGGCGGTACTGCGATTGGCCCTGGTGGAACTGAGGTCCGGGTTGGCCCATCCCCTGCCCATTTGGTGCCATCGACTGGCCATTCTGGCCTGACGACTGGCGCCTCTCCATCGATTGGCCAGGCTTGCCAGCAAACATCGCGTGGATGTCCGGCTGTTTCTTTGCCGGCTGACCGGGAGGGGGGCTGACGGTCGATGCAAGATTGCTCGGCTTGCGACTGGGCGGCTTGAGCGCGTCGGGATCGGCCGAGTCCGCGGGGACCGAGCCGAAAGCTTTGACTGCATCGGCGAGGTGAGACCCGGTGATCGAGGGGGCGGCAGGCGAGGACGACAGCATCCCGTTCGACGAGTCGACGGTGCCGAAAGCAAGGTTGCCCCGCTTGATGTCCATGTCGCCGCCGACCATGATGCTGCCCTTGCGAGAGTGGCCAACAGCCACGGGTGCGGCACCGTTCACTGGAGCGCCGCCGCCATTGATGTGGGGGTTTCCGGGGAGAGGGTGAGAGCCGTTCAGGTGGGCAGAGGGGTTGGCGAGCCGGGGAGCCGAGGATTGGTCACGGTTCCAAGCAGAGGCGGTAGGTGCAGCGTTGTGGGGATGGGGAGGTGCGGGAGAGGTCGTGGTTGTCATTGATCTTCGAGTAGGAGGGGGAAGGTGGGGAGGATGACGTGAGATGGGATTAGGTTCTGAGATGTCAGACGAGCAGAACGGTATGGGTGGAGAATGGGCTCACCGTATGTACTTTGTGCACTCAGCGCACTAGATGACTGACTAGGTCTTTCTGTTTGAAAGAACCAGTCTGTTTGCCGCCAGGTAGATGGCTTGAGACTTTGGCCGCTGGCTGCTTCTTTTTTTACGCTCCGGAGGGGCGATGTGGGCCAGCCGTGTGAGGTTGGCTGACTGGAGGGGGAGAAAGGGATACGCGAGGAGTATCCCTGGTATCTGCTGGAGGGGAGGTTATTAAGGGGAACGATATAGTCTATGGAAGACCGGCTAAAGAGAAGAAGAGAAGAGAGAGGAGCCCAACACGGCAAGCATGGGAGGGAGGCAGGGCAGGGCAGGTGGCGAGTAACAGGTGGCGATTTCGTCCTTTGTTGAGCGCCAAAATTTAGATCCCGCTCTGGAGAGGCGGGTAGGCAGCGTACCTCTATGCAGCATGTTTACTCCTTTGTGACTCGACGATAGCACGCACAAGAAGCCCGCAGACAGGCAGTGATACATACACAATGACCCAGAAGTAAGGTAGCCAGCAGCATTGTCCGTTGTATACAAAAATCTCCTCATTCCTCCCCATCAGACCCATCAGACAGATCGATATACGTTGTCACCTTGGCGGCACCTCGTCCTGCGCGAGGGACAGGAGCTCTTGGTGGGGGTGCACCGTCGCCCTCAGAGCTGTCGGGTTAGCGAAGATCCTATCGCGCCAAAGCTCGTCCACTCACTCGTCAAAGTCCGACTCTGCCTTCTTCCCCTTCTTTCCACCTTTCGGCTTGACGCTCACGTCCGACTCGTCCGAAACCGGCGCCTTGGCCTTGGGCTTTGGTTTCGCCTTTGGCTTTGGCTTGAGTACCATCTCGTCGTCCGAGTCCGCCGCGGCTGCTGGCTTGGGCTTGGTGACGAGGTAGACATCAGAGTCGTCCGAGTCGACGGGCGTTGGAACCGGCACAGCCTTCGCCTTCGCCTTGGACGGACCCGCGACCTTCGCATCGTCCGCCTTGGCCTTCTTTGGAGCCGCTTTGGGCTTGGTGAAGCCGTCGAGTGTTTGCTGCTTGGAGTCGACCTTGGCCGTTTTGGCCGCTCTGGGTGCTGTCTATCAGCCCCCAGTCCAACCTCAGGTGAAGACACCTACCCTCATCATCCGAGTCCAGTAGTGTAGGCTTAGCAGGCGCCTTTGACTTGGTCGCCTTCTTTGCCGGTGGTTTCTCGTCGTCAGACCCCGAAGCGCTCTTTCTTATTATCAGCTCTGAGTGGACTCTTCACTCACACTCTCTTCAACGGCGAGCCCTTCTTGGGCGACTCCTTGACCTCCGCTTTTGGCTTTGGCTTCGCTTTGGGTTTGGCCACCTTGACAGTAAAGTCTTCGTCCTCCTCCGAGTCCTCCCCCGCTGCCTTCTTCTTGCGCTTCGCGGCAGCCTTGATGGCAGCTTTCGGCTTGGCCTTGCCACTCTTGGCAGCGGTGATGTCCTCTTCAAGAAGAAGCTATCGTCAGCCATGCTCCAGCCAAAACTCACCTCCCATTCGGCCTGGAAGTTGTCGAGATCGCGGTTCCAGATATCCTGCGGTGAGAGCTTGAGCAGCTCCACCAGCTCCGCCTCCTTGACATCCCGCTCATGCAGCAGCTTTTCGACCTAAACGTCAGCCTCGTCCCAGATCTGACTCACCTTCTCAGCCGTCAAGCTCCAAATGGCCATCCCCAACAGATAGTCATAGTCGCTCGCCTGACCCTCATCTTCCTCTTCGACGACCGGCTCCGTCTCACCCTCCTCCTTTTGCTTCTTGGTCTTGGGGAAGGGCTTGAACTTAAGCGAGCGAAGCTCAGCGACAATCACCGTCTTCTTCTTGTTGGACACCGAGAGCTCCTTGGTGATGATCATCTGGACGAATCGAGCCTGGTTGGACAGACGCTCGAATTGCCGGTTCAGCTCATCGGCCATGAATTGCTATCGTCAGCTCGGTCAACACTCGGACCCACCTTTCGCAGTCCATAGTACTCGAGTCGCTTGTGGTAGAAGTCTGAAAGGATCTCCTCGGCAGAAGCGTACTTCTTGATCTTGCCATTCAGATCAAAGCACACCATGTTACCGGTAGTCATGGTAGTCGTCAACTTGAACTTCTTCTCGAGACCTTCCGCCTCGGCCGCCTGCATGTCCTTGTCGGTCATGTGGACCTTGAAGTGGACGGTAGTGTCGGTATGGTGCTCCTCGTAGTCCTGATGTCAGCCGAGTCGGATTCTTACTCACCTTGACGGTCTGCGGCGTCTTGCCATCCCCAGTGACCATCTCCTCCAGCATCTCCTTGAAGTCCTGCGTCCACTTGCGAATGGGCAGCTCGGTGATCTCGACGGTGGTATCGTCGATCTTTTCGAGCAGACCGCTGATTTTGTACTTGTCCTGCTCGGTCCGGTCGATACTTCCCCTGAAGCCACGGAACCAGGGGTTCATCCGCTCCAGCTCTTCACCCCGCATCATCCGCCGGATGTTTTCGACGATATCGATGGGGTTGTAGTTGGGAATGGAGGTACTCCATCCTGTTCCGATACCGTCCGCACCGTTGACGAGGACCATGGGGATGACGGGCATAAAGTATTCTGGCTCGATCGTCGATCCGTCCTCGACGAGGTAGTTGAGAAGACCGTCATCATTGGGGTGGAAGATGGCTCGGGTCATGCGAGGAATGGCAGTGAAGATGTAACGAGCGCTAGCAGCGTCTTTACCACCCTGACATCAGCCGCGTCGACTCAAGCACTCACAGCAAGTCGGGTACCGAATTGACCATTCGGGGACAACAGGTTGATGTTGTTGCTTCCGACAAAGTTCTGGGCGAGACCGACAATGGTGGTGGTGAGCGACTGCTCGCCGTGATGATAGGCAGTCTTCTCCGAGACGTATCCGACCAACTGCGCCACCTTGATCTCCTTCTGCAAGTTCCGCTTGAAGCACCCAAAGAGCACCTTTCGCTGACCCGGTTTGAGACCGTCCGCGACGGAAGGGATCGACCGGATATTGTCGGCCATCGAGAAGAGGATGAGCTCCTTGTTGACAAAGTCCGCGATGGGAACGACGTTGACATCGTGGTTGAGGAAGGTACCCGGTTTGTACTGCCTCAGCCACTCTTTCCGGTTGTCCGCCTTCTTCTTGTTGAACGCCATGTCGATGAGCAGGCGGTCGTCATCCGTCATTGTGTCGAAAGCGAGGCGGTGCTTGCCCAAGTCATTGAAGTACTTTTTGGCATCCGCGGATGTGCTTGTTCCGAGACCCTGATGATCAGCTGGATCATCTAGTAACTCACCTTGTAGTACTTGGACTCCCACCCTCTCCCCTCATTGTTCTCCTCTTTCCACTCCTCGTACTGTGGCATGGTGTAGAAGGTCATCTCCTGCTTGCCCTTCCACACCTTGACGATGGGAGTGATGAACTCGACCAAAAAGTCCGGAAGGCGGAGGAGGGACGGGTAGAAGTGGTCCAGGAAGTTGATGAGTAGACCCTTGATGTGGGATCCATCATGATCTTGATCCGTCATGATCATGAGGTGGCCGTACCGGAGACTGTCGACGCTTGTATAGTTCACGCCAGTCTTGAGACCGAGGATCTGCCGGATATGCTGGATTTCCGTATTCTTCATGATCTGGTCATGGCTCGCCTCGCGCACGTTGAGCAGCTTTCCTCGGATTGGGAAGACACCGTAGTGGTCTCGTCCGACCACACCGAGTCCGGATACCGCCAGGGCCTTGGCAGAGTCTCCTTCGGTGATGATGAGGGTGCAGTTTTTGGCATTCCGGCCACCGGCGCTGTTGGCGTCTTCGAGCTTGGTGATACCGGTGATTCTGCCATCAGCGATGTCTATGTCTTGCTCACCTTGTACGTTTCGACCCATCCGTCTTCTTCATCGCCTGATCCTGCTTGAATTTGGCAAAGCTGAGGACTTGTTCGATGATACCGGTTTTGGAAACTGCTATCAGCCTCGTCGACGGGCGACTTACCTTTCTTGATAAAGTCCTCCTTCAACTCGCACTTGCTCCCAAACGCCGAGCTCTTCAGCGTCAAGGTATCCTTGGTCTGAGAGTCGAAAGCGGGGTTCTCAATCATCGCGTTGACGAAGATCCACATGTAGTTCTTAACTTGGAACGGCTTGACGGTCACGCCCTTGTTCTTCTTCTTGATCTGCTCCAGTCTGTCGTTAGCGGGTTCGACAGCATACTCACAGCTTGTTGGCAATCTGCGTGGAGAGCATCTCGATGTGTGTACCACCCTTGGACGTGGATATCGAGTTGACGAACGAGACGTGGCGCTGCTCGCCATCAGAGAGGGCGAAAGCGACCTCCCAGCGGGGATGGACCATTTCGTAGACAAAGGTCGGTTTGGGCATGGCGACGTCGCCGCCGCCCTCGGTCTGCGCCTGGGACGCCGAGTTGAGGTACATCTCCACGTACTGATATCAGCTCAGCTTTCGGTCATACGTACCTGCTTGAACCCCTTGATCTTGATACGCTCGTCGTTCAGAGTCACCTTGATGTCCTTGACCGTACCCGCCATATCGTAAACGCGCTTTGCGAGGAGCGAGTAGGTATCGTCGTCGATGTTTTCCATGCCGAATCGGACGAGATCAGGCGTAAAGGTGATCTTGGTCCACTCCTCACCCTTCTTGTTTTCGGTGATCTACCGTCAGCTCGGTCTGATAAAGGCTCACCTTGGCCACGCCCTTCTTCCCCATGTTGTCGCTAAAGACCTGCTTGTACTTTTTGCCGTTCACCTTGTCGGCCGTTTCGACGACTGAGAGTCAGCTGGGTCTGTTTGGAAACGTACTGAACTCCTTCGAGTAGATATTGGCGAGCTTGGCACCGTATCCGTTCCTTCCTCCAGTCAACTTCTTCTGGTCGTCGTCGTAGTTGCTGCCCGTGAGGCTTTTGTCAGCTGCGTCTTCTTTCATAGCTTACAGATGGCCAAAAATCATCTCAGGAATCATAATGCCCTCCTTCTTGTGGATCTCCACTGGGACACCGTGTCCGTCGTTCATGACGGAAATCTGGTTCTTTTCTCGGTCGATATTGACTTTGATGTTCGCCATAGAAGGGTCATTGATCTAAGGTCAGCTTTGTCCCTGTCAAGACCCACCTTGTTGTCGGCAGCATTGACCAAGATCTCATCAAAGATTTTAAAGAAACCCGGAACGTAGGTGATGTTCCTGACGTCAGCCTGCACTCGCCGAAAGACTTACTTGAACACCATGACCTTCTTCTCCGAGTCGAAGACCCACATCTGCTGTGTGATCGCCTCTACAGATCCAATATAGGTGTCTGGACGCTTGAGGACGTGTTCAAGTTGAGAGAGCTGACGTCAGCCATGCTCAATCTCGAGCTCACCTTTTGATACTTGTCACTAGCGCTCTTCTTCTCCCCCGGCTTCGAGCTCCCAGCCACTGCATTCTCGTCATTGTCTGCCGCTGCCGCCTTTGGCTTGGGCTTCGCCTTGGCAGGAGTCTCATCGACATCGCTGCCACTCTCTGACTCCGAGTTGTTCGGCGTGTGCTTCTTTGCCGCTAAAGGCTTCTTTGCTGGTGCCTTCTTGCCAGCGGGCGCCTAAAAGTCAGCTCAGACTCCGTTGTTGTCCGTTTGCAACTCACTTTGGCCGCCTTGGGCGCAGCTGCCTTCTTGACCGGCGCCGCCTTCTTCGCAGCCTTGGGCGACTCCGCGTATCCCTCAGATCCGCTATCCGCGTCCGACTGCCTGAAGCCGTCCGACTCGCTATCCGACATGGTGCGATATCACCTGTGAGGGATGAGAGTGTGTTGTCTGATGTTGAACAAAGATGTAGAGGATGAAAGTGGATGTATGAAAGAAGAAGGAAGGATGAGAAGTCGAGCGTTGTTTACACGTCCGGAAATCAAGCAGTCGCGGCACGCGTCAAGTTGGGCCACGTGGCTGAGCGTGAGGAATGTGCGGGCGCCTCGAGGCTGCGAAGGTCCATGAGCTTCATGCATTTCACTTACCAGCCATGCAGCAGCTGACTCCGACCCACAAGCTGGCGGTATGCTTAGCAGCTGGCGTCGCTGTCAGACTCGCCTGCTTTGCAATATGGCCGGAGTCACTACAGCGCCGTCCAGAGCTGACATCTCCTCTGACCTCCTTTCGCAGCTGTACGTTTAGCGGTGGTGCTTTAAAACAAAGCTGATCGGCAGTGCAGGAGGGAGTCTTCCTGTTTGGGAAAGGAGACAATCCATATACGGGCGGAGTCTTCTACTACGTACGTCCTGGACCCCTGCCCAGCTCACGACAGTCTCCCATCTACCTCGCCATCTTCTCCCATCTTCAGGCTTCACCACTACTATGGGTGATAGCGGACCTCATGGGAGCCCTGGCGCTTAGCAGGATCGATACCACTCGATGCTCCGATGATAAAGGCTATAAGGCTGCTGCTCTGTGAGTGAGGGAGAAAGCGGGACTGACGAAAGATACCTCTTCAACCCCTATATTCTGCTGTCTTGCCTTGCAAGATCAACAGCTGGATTGGAGAATGCTGTGCTCCTCTGGGCAATCTGCGGAAGGACGACCAGTGAGTCTCCTATCCCTTGAAGCTGATCATCAGACGACCTCCTGCTATCCGGTACTTGCTTAGCGTTCGTCTCGCACACCTCCATCTACCCGATTTTGCTCTTACCGCCGCTCCTCAAGGGCTTAAGCTCCCGACAACGCGCAATACTAGCTGGAGCTTTTGCTGTTGTATTCGGAACCATAGCGGCGGGCAACACCTTGGTGTTCGGAAGCAGCTGGATTCGGCCAACATGGGGCACAATGTAAGCACATCCCATCACCCCTGCTGACTTCCAGTTTGACGGTGTCTGATCTCACTCCAAACGTCGGGATGTGGTGGTACTTCTTCACCGAGATGTTTGATCATTTCCGACAGTTCTTCCTTGGTGTCTTCCAGGTAAGTCCACTTCATAGCCACGCTGATTCCAGCTCCACACCGCCATCTACGTCCTTCCCGTTTGTCTCCGGATCGAGGATCCTCTTCACGCAACGCTTATCCTCCTCGGCGTCATATCGACATGGAAGAGCTACCCGACCCTCGCTGATCTGGGGGTATGGGCGGGCCTACTCGGCTGCTTTCCCGAAATCACGGCCAGTGAGTTTCGGCTAGACAACGCTGATCCAGACCTCCGACATCCGCTCTTCACCCTCGCCACGTATCTACACACCTTCATCCTACTCCCTCTACTGCATTCGCTCTGGCTATTGACGGGTACGGGGAACGCCAACTTCTTCTACGCGGCGACAATGGTGCATGGCTTGAACTCGGCGCTGGCAGTGGTGGATGTGGTAACGGCGGTTATGCGATTCAGGTTGAAGAAGGTTGTACAGTGGAAGGATACGTATAAGGCTGTCCAAATCACAGCTATAGAGTGATGCATCCTGTACCAAGCCTATCTTGTGCCTATGCCAGTGGCTGTTCATGCCAGTCCCCCGCCGCAAAGCTGGACGCGGGTGGAGTGGTCCATAGTATCTTTCGGAGTCGAGGTAGGAGGAGCCCAACCTAGAACGCGGTCAATCAAGTCGCTCGGCATCGGTGGATGTTGCAGCGCGTCTTACAGTAAGAGTATTCAGAAAGGCAGAGTGCACATGCGAAGTGCAAACGGGCCTGGGGACCGGTCCTTCAAATCACCGCTAGATACGCAACATGGGACACGGCTCTCTTGTCTTTGTTACACCTTAGAATCGAATCACATCACAAGCCACCGTGGATCCTCTCAGCGAGAGAGCAGAAAGTGAGAGCCGTTCCTCCTTTGAGAAAAGTTATCGCGTAGAGCGGCTGGAGATTAATCGAAACTACTATACCTCTCTCCCTCTCCCGCGATCAGCTTACCCCCTCCTCACCCCCGAGATAGATAGATAAAGCGACAGGCACGTGTGCCTTTCCCCCTCCCCCCTCGTCCTCGTCTTTCCCGGTCACCCCGAGTGACATCCACCGCTTGATCGGGATGTGAAGGAAGAGAGCGTTGAAGGAAGGTCTCTCTCATGATACATGTCCCAATAGATAAAATACACACTAAGTTCAATCCACCTCCATCTTCCCTGTAGACCTCGTCGACGCTAACCACGCGTCAATCTTCGCCTTGAGCTCTACATCCGGCAAACAGTCCTCCAGCTTGAGAGGCTGGTTGTTGAACGGGTCGAGCGGCTTCGACAGCAGCACGCTTTTGATCGTATCCCTGTCGATAGAGATCTTGGAGGTTGGTAAGATGACGGGATTCTTCATCACTACGATTGTCAGCCGTGTGCACGCCTGAGGTAGAGAAGGGCACCTTGCCTGTTGCCATAAGGGGATCCAAGTATTCGTCTGGCACTTCCACCTCGTCCTCCAGCGCAATAGTCGCCCGCGCAACCTCCACCCTGCCGATAAACGCCTCGACCTGTTGCACCTCCACTCCCGTCATGATCGCGCGATTCTTCAAGATCCGGGCGAACCGCTCGAAAAGCTCCTTGCTGTAACTCCGACCGTCGTTCGCTACCGCGCGGATAAAGTCTGGCTCTTCGCCGAGATTGAGGTAGATCTGGGCGATCGCAGCGAGGAGCCGCTTGGGCTTGAAGTAGAACTTGTCGGGCTGGGCGACCTTGAGGTCCTGCATCTTTGGCCCGACGAGGTTGGAGAGGTTCTCATCGAGTGACTGTACATCAGCCTAGTCATTATAAAAACTCACTGCCGCCAGTCTGTCGACAATCTCTCCTACTACCCAGGCACTTGGCGTGGTGGAAGTGAAATCGCGGATCAACTCGACATTGCCCAAGCCTTGTTGGGTGTGGAAGGGGGCAGAACCTTCAGCTTGGCTGAGCTGACTGGTGGCCTCTTCTCTCTCCGTGGCGGAGAGGGAAGTACCGGCGAGCTGGGTCGACAGCGAGTTGATCTTCTGCAGGCCTGACAGGGACTCCTCGAGGTGGAAAGTTGTATCCGCTAGTAACATATGGACCATACGTATATAGAGCTCCTTGTCGTCACTGCAGTCAGCGCTGTCGTCCTCCAGTCACTCACTGCAAGACCTGTACGAAGGCCTCTCGGTGTAGGGGATTGCTCCACAGGCTTTTCCAAATGTGTTGAATATCCCTCCGGAAGGTGAATTTGTCTGATGTCAGCGCGGACAGAAGATATAGCTTACCCCAGAACTGAGAATGACCGCCAGTGGCTTCCACTGCAATGTAGAAATCGATCAGAGTCGGCATCAGATACTGCAGCGATAGACTGTGAGTGGACAATCTATCAAAGAGCGTCCCTTTGCGGTGGTATCCCACTGGGTACAAACCAGCCGAAAGGATCTTCTCATCAGTCGAGCCACCTCCGAGAACTCACCGATACCAGCTTTGCCTTGAGGAATGGGTTGTTGACGTAATTGGGCGACAAGAATGTGATGGTGAAGGTGATGAGGATATCCTTGTCGACATTGTCGAGCGAGTCGGGCGAGTAGCGGCCGAGGAAGTCAAAGTACTCGGTGATATTGTCAAAGAGGTACTCGGGGAGCATCTTGAACTGTGCTGGGGCCTCGGCGGGAAGAGGGAGTCTAATCAGCGCGGACTTAACACAAACTTACGAGATCTGGACGTTCGGATGTTGCTTCTTGGGATCCACGAGGCGGATGAGCCAGGTCATGAGGAAGCCAAGGTAGCTGACGGTCTGCCGGACGAGGGCAGGGTCGAGAAGTTGGGTATCGTATGCGTGGATGGAAGCGTGCAGGGTGGCGACGTCGGATTTGAACTTGGTGATAGCCGCCTCTCCTTGAGCTTGCAGAGCAGGATTCTACATCAGCTCAGTCGAGACTGGACTCACCCCTTCCCAGTCCGACCGGGACGCCTCGGCCCGCTTCAGCTCCTTCTCCGTTTCCGACATGGACTTTTCGGCTCGAAGACGGTTACTGATGGTCTTGACCAGTCCGAGGTGGTGGTAGGTGTTAAGTGAGAAGAAGAGGTCCGAGATGAAGTTGGGAGGGCCAGTGCTAGGAACTGCAAAGTGCGCATCCGCCTCTTCCTTGGATGCGCGGACCTTGGTCTCGTCGGTAATGTTGAATCGCGTCGCATTGCGATAATAGTCCGGATCGACTTTATCGATCTGGATCAGCGCTGTTCACGTTTGGCTTACCTTGGAGAATGAGGCGTCCATGACTGGTGCGAAGAGCTTGAGCAGCACGACCTGAAGGTTGGTCATGAACCCGTCGGAAGCTACGGTGCGGTGGTCGACGCGCATCCCGGACCGCTTGTCGTTGAGATTGGCAACACGGGTGATGTATGCAAGAACGCCCTCGCGAGACTCTGGAGATGCCCGGATGATGGCATTAAAGATGTTGAAGAGAGATTGTTGCAGAGATCCGAGAGTTGACTGAAGATTCGCCTTGTTGGCGTCGATATCGCCGGTCTTCCGTTCCGTCGGATCCGCAAAGTAGGCTTTCCAGATTGACGCCTGGCATCAGCGATGCAGAGTGAGGACTCACAAATTCTCTTGGGTACACGCTGAGCCGGATAAGCGGGCCGAGGAGTGACTTGTACTCAATGTCCGCTCCGGTAGCGCTGGGGAATGCCCATACGGGTAATGTTGGCATCTAATCAGCACGATCGTTGCGGGGACTCACTGCTGCGGCGATCTGCTTGACCTGAGTCAAAGTCCCTACTGCGCCCACATACCGCCGCCATTCGTCGCCCATGAGATCCGGCGATGGGGTGATGCGGAACCACTCCTGGATCAGGAGCGAGAGGGTGGGGCTGATGGTATCGAGCAATTGCTCAGCAGCAAGACCATTGGCCAGGTCATTAAGGAAAGGGAGGACGTCATCGGATGACAGCGCGCTGGTCGAGGGAGTATCGCTGGAGTTGGTAATGGAAAGGAGGATTGGGAGGAATTCGGCGGGTCCGACGGGCTTGTTGGCGGGCTGGGGGAACATTGTCGGATCCTCCAAGCTCATCCCACAATACGAGATAATCAAGCTGCGCAGCTTGTCGAGCGCTTGTGGCCAGTCGGTCGAGGTATAGCCCTGAGGTCAGCGGTGTCAAGTGGAGACTTACCAGTCGGTTGTAAGCCCTATTGGCTGCGCCCAGACGCTTCCAGCAGCCAACGAGGTACTCGAAGGACGTCTCTTCCGATGGCATACCAGCCAGTATGGTCATGATATCCGCATCGTCCGACCGAGCCATAGCTGCTGGGTCAAGGGAAAGCCGTGCGATCAGAAGCCGATCCGACATCTCCAATGTCGTGCGAGGCTCCAAGCTTTCGGACTTGAGCTCAGCTTCGAGCTCCTTGAGCCAGCACAAGCGCCATTCGGACTGCTCCGCTGTGGATCGCTGGCGTCAGCTCGATCGTATCTATACTTACATCCAGTGCTACGCCAAAGACATCCCCGACGGTCCGCTCCTCCCATTGCGAGTAGGGCACCTGTGGCTTTGGCTTCTTGTTGGGTGTTGCGGGGGCCGGCTTGACCGGGGAGACCTGACGGACGGTCGGGAGCCGAGAAGTCGAGGCAGCCGGCTGCTTGGGTACAGGGGATGGAGTCGCAGTGGGCTTCGGCGCAGGGGTCGGGGTCGGAGTCGACCCAGAAGCCGAAGCCTGATCGGGCGGCGTGGACTGAGGGGTAGGAGCTCCCAGCCGAGCCAAGCGCTTGATGCGCATCTATGGTCAGCTGAGGACTAGCTGCGCTCACCTTCTCTGCGTCTGTCATTGGGTGATCTTCTGCCATGATTGATTATCCTATAGATGTTGTGCTGACTGACAGCCACCTTTAAAGTGGATGGATGGACCTGCTTCAGTCAACGCCAGCGTGCGCTCACTTTCCCACGCCCGATCATACCTGAAACACCACATTCCTCACATCTTGGCTTGGCCCAGCCTGACTTTGCTTTCTTGACCAGCTTTGATACCTATCAAGCGCTATGTACGAGCCGCACCTGGTAGACCACGCCAGCGACCAACGCAGAAGTAGTCTCGACGGCGCGTCTCTGCTCGATGAGCTAGACCGTATAGCTCCCATCAAGAGCTTTGACGCGTTCCCAAAGGTGAGCCTGGCCAAAAGATGTCGCTAATCTTAGATCCAATCCACCTACACCTCGCAGTCGCGTCGAGGGGGCGTCTTGACAGCGCTGGTCGGAGCTATAATCTTTCTGCTCGTCCTCAACGATCTCGGGGAATACCTCTACGGCGCTCCAGACTATGCCTTCCAGGTGGATCACGATGTCGCAAGAGATCTGCAATTGAACGTGGATCTGACTGTCGCGATGCCTTGTCGATGTGAGTCAAGACCTGATAGAGCTAATATAGTCATCACCATCGACCTGAGAGATGCGGTCGGAGATAGATTACACCTGTCGGACGCGTTCGTCAAGGACAATACGGTCTTCAACGTCGGGAAGGCGCAGTCCACCATGCGGCTCGCAGCGCCCTCCGCGTCCGAAATCATCTCCTCATCCCGGCGGAGAGCACCGACTCAATACAAGTCCTTCGAGGGTATCAGGCGGCTGTTCCGGTCGCGACCAAAGAAGCAAGCGGCGTACCGAGCTACCAATCCCAAGCTCAATGACGGTCCCGCTTGTCGTATCTATGGCAGCGTGGAGGTCAAGAAGGTCACGGGCAATCTGCACGTCACGACCCTGGGACATGGGTACATGAGCCACGAACATACGGAACATCATCGTGAGTCAAGCTGAGACATGGCTGATGTAGTGATGAACCTGACCCATGTCGTCCACGAATTCTCATTCGGCCCTTTCTTCCCGTCCATCTCGCAACCTCTGGACATGAGCTATGAGCGAACAGATCAACGTGAGTAAAATTTAGACTCAGCTGATGTCAGCCTTCACAATCTTCCAATACTTCCTGCGAGTCGTCCCGACCACCTACATTGACGCTTCCCGAAGAAGATTATCCACATCTCAATACGCCGTGACCGACTACTCGCGGTCGTTTGAGCACGGCCACGGCGTCCCGGGAATCTTCTTCAAGTACGACTTGGAAGGCATGTCGTTGACGGTGCGGGAAGCGACGACGACGTTGTATCAGTTCTTGGTCAGGCTGGCGGGGGTGATAGGCGGTGTATGGACAATAGCCTCGTTTGGGTTGAGGATTCTCATTAGAGTACAGAGAAAGCTATGAACACTATTCTCCTCGGAATCGCTTATCGTCATCCCGCCTTTCCACATCCTCATCCTCACTTCTCTCCCTTTTGAACCGGTCCTCTTCGCCCTGTCCCTCTCCTTTCGGGATATCCGCGGGCGCAGCATATGTCTCGACCTGCATCTGCTCGCGAATCCGCTCCTGCTCTTGTCGTCTCCGCTCCTCTTCCAGTCGCTGGTGACCCCATCCGCCTAACGTCAGCTAGGCCCAGCGGGGTACTCACCTCGCCCACTATCGTATTCCTGCCTAAACTCGTCCCTGACCTGCCCACCCGTCTTTCCCCGCCCATACTGCCGCCCATCCTTGTATCCCGGATCAAGGTCACACCGTATTATCCGCTCATCCAGCTTCGTTCCCGAGATATACCGCATGGAATCGACCGCTTCGGAGTGGAGATAGTATTCGACGAATGCAAAGCCGCATGGCGTTCTAGTCAGTCAGCTTAGCCCGGAAAGCAGACGTACTTCTGGTTCCTGTCTAGCCCCATGATAATTCGCTTGACACCGCCTCCTTCTTCTGGGCGGGCGCAGGTGGAGAATACTGAGATTAGCAATGATGGAGTGCCGAGACCTACATTGATACATTTGAGCCTGTAAGTCAGCTTCAGGTCCTGTCAGGAGTATCATGAGCTCACCTCGGTAGTGTAGAAGGACAGGTTCCCGATATAGAGCGTACTTGACTGCGCGAGTAGCCGCCTTTCACTCTCTCGGTCAATCTACAATCAGCAAAGCCGGCGTGGTGGAGAGGAGAGAGCCCACCTCTGCTCGGCTGTCGCGATAGGACGAGGGCTGATCGAGGGGTTGTACGACTTGCGCCATGATGCCTGAGTCACTCGCGGAGCTGTGCTGATGGTCGATAGGGTGTTGAAGATGTGCTTTTGACGAATGTGAAGCTTGTGCAAAGGAAAGAATAACGGAGTTGCGGGCGAAGGTGGAGGAATGTTGTTGCCATCCAGATCGATATTGCCCCTTCGGGCAAGTACAGCTCGTTTGGCTTGTAATAACTCTCAGCCTGAGGCTGCCGGAGGACAAGGGGGACTCAGAGTACTCAGAGATCGCCCTAAAGCCATATTCCCCAATTTAAATACCCCGAGCATTCATCCGAGCACTAGATCGCCATGCCCTATCTAGCCAGATTCACCCCAACCGTCGGCCCCTCCTCCTCCCCGTCATAAACCCCTACACTCAAACACCTGATGCCCAACTCCCACCACTTCTCCTGCTCCTCACTCAACGCCTTCCCCTTCATCTTGGTAGCCATCACACTCGCAAAGTGCTCCCGAAGGAGTTTGATCGCGATACCCGATTTGGGCGAGACTGAGAATCGGATCTTACGGTCGAGCTGGACCGAGCCTGCTGATGCCTGTGTGGCGTCAGCTATGACCGTCTGCTCGGGAGAAGAGATAAGAAGAGGACTTACGCGTACGTCTGCTTGGTCACCGCATAGCAGAGCTAACGCCCTGTCATCGACCGGTCCGACTTCCCACGCGTACAGCCGCTTGGACTGCATGATGGTGAAGTAGGCGAGATGACTTGTCCCGAATTCCGAAGGACGGAGCTTGAAGTTGACAGAGCTCGGGTGCTGTCGATGTCAGTTATGCTCCATGAGTCATCAATGTTGACCTACGGTGGATGTCGGTTGCTGGTTGCTGATGGTCTTCAACCCGCCATTCGCATCGATAGACAAGATCTTGGGGTACAGCCCCGACGCCAGCGCGGCTCCGAGGATATGCAGATCTTCGGCATTATCGTTGAATTGTGCAGGGACCGAGACAAAGCGAGTCCTGAAGCCGCGGGAGTATCGTGCCCTGATTGATGAGCGCCACAAGCCACATTTACTAGTGGCGGAGCAGGGTACGCACTGGCTGATCTCGCGTTTCTGCTCTGGTGTTGCGGTGACAAAGCCTGAATCGACGAGGTAGGAGAGCAGCTGCTGTCGGAGTTCCTCGATCTGCTGCAGATTCTACACTGTCAGTTACACTTCGCATCGGCTGCAGGGAAGGGAAGGTGCCAACTGACCTGTTGCGAAACAAAGTTCTTCCTGCAGAATACAGGCACAAAGTTGGGATTATCCGACGCCCGTCTCCAGCTATTAAAGACATTGACGATTGTGAAAAAGTCACTATGGTCTACCTCATCAGCCACTTCCCGTCTCCGTCAACCTGGAACTCACCAATAGCAAACGCCTGCTTGACCGTCCTCGCCTGGTTCTCCTGTCCAAACGGCGTCACCCAAGGCGACTTGCTATTCAGCGTCGCGGCGATCGTCAACGCCGGATCCAAGCATCGCATCATGGCCGCCACCAGCAGGAATTTCCCCAGATGCACATCCATCGGCAGTTTCGACAGGAGGCGACCCATCGGTGTGATATCCTCGTTGAGGGTCAAAGCCCGTACTTCGACGAGCGAGCTGATGGCGCGCTGGATATTGAGTGATGTGGGCGGATCGAGCGCTTTGAGGAGGACCTCCTCGATGGTATTGCCGAGTTTGAGGCGGAGGATCTTGATGCGCAGAGCGAGATCTTGGAGGGATAGGCGGAGCATCTCGGGGATGGGATGATCCGCGAGCTGGACGTCAGCGGGGACCACGAGGTGGAACTCACCTGTGTATCGTGCCTGCTTCGCGAGAAGAGGTGGAATGCCAGTCCTTCCTGTACTCGCCCAGCTCGTCCTCTCCGCTGCTTGGCATTGCTCCTCGCGATATACGTCTCGACCAGCCGGGATATCTGGCGCTTCTCGTCGTACCGCATCTCCCGATGCTTGCCCGAGTCTATCACGCAGGTGATATCAGGGATAGTCACACCTGTCTCGGCAATATTGGTAGCTACTGATCAGCCATAATCGATATGATAATGTCTGTACACTCACAGATAACGATCTTCCTTACTCCCGGAGGCGGGATATCAAACACGGCACTCTGTCCCTCTGACGAGATGGTCGAGTGCAGAGGGTACAGCATGAACCCCCTACTCCCAAACTCTCTATGGCCCGAGAGCATATCGTTGAGTTTCCGAATCTCCGCCAGACCGGGCATAAACACCAATACCGCCGGTGAAAAAGGCTGGAGGTTGACGTCCTCGAAGCAGATCCGTTCGAGGAGGCGGACGATGAGCTCGTATGGGATCTGCCGGGAATCGAGGAGATTGACAGTGGATACCGTTTGGGCCGAGTACTGCTTGGACGATAATTTGGCCGGGTCGGCCTGTGACGCCTCGTCCTCGTCGCTCTCATCCCCGTCTTCCTCATTCAGCTCCAGCTGCTTCGTACCTGTCCGAGCATTCCGCGCTCGGACAGCATACGAAGACCCCTCGTCCACCCTCCATCCTGCCAGTTCCACCGCGTCCTCCAGGTAGTTGACCTGCACGGGGAACGTCCGGCCCGGAACGACCAACACAGGACACCCCCCAAAGTACCCCGAGATCTTCTCAGCGTCCAGCGTGGCCGACATGAGCACCACCTTGAGGTCCGGCCTCACAGCCATAAGCTGCCGGAGGACGATAAGGAGAAAGTCCGAATCGATACTTCGCTCATGTACCTCGTCGACGATGATGTGCGTCACCTCGTCGAATGCCGTGCTCTTTCCCGGCGCAGACCCCGCCTCGAGCATCCGGAGCGCAATACCATTGGTAACGAATGCCAACCGCGTAGACGCCGATGTCTTGGCTTCGAGCCTGATCGAGTATCCGACGAGGGACGCGTTGGTTCCCATCTGACCAGGAAGATCGCCGAGCTCCGCCGAGACCCGCTGCGCGAGGGAGATGGCACTGATCCGCCGTGGCTCAGTGACGAAGATCTTGCATGGCTTGCCTTGCGACAGCTGGTCCTCGAGGATGTAGGCCGGGAGCTGCGTGGATTTCCCGCACCCCGTTTCGCCGGAGAGTACCATGACTTGGGAATGTTGGAGTGTCTCGATGATGGTCTGCCGGAATGAGGCGATGGGGAGCGTGTTCCGTTGTCGAAGCATAGTCTGATATGGTTTTGACGCCTGCCGACGCTGACAGTCCCGCTGGAGCTGCTCAATAAAGTCCGGCCGAGATCGAGTCCCGTGGTCCCCATTCCGCACAGCCTCCGCAGCTTCAGGCTTCGCCGCCCCGTTCCCCATCGATCCTGCCACTTCAACCGCCTTCTTGTCATATATCCCCTTGATGACCCTCCATACCTCCCGTCTGCCCTCATCCTCCTTCTTCCGCCTCTCCACCTCGAGCTCGTCCCATAAATCCCGATACGCAACCGGCAGTGTCTTTGCGTTGATCCCCGGTATCTCGCCCGCATGTACCAGACTATGCAGCGCCAGCGTAGCCACGTAATTCTCCGCCTCATGGATATCCTCGCACGCCACATCGTCCATCCGCCAGACTCGCCGCCGTTTGGGCGCGAGAGCAATTTGAAGTCCGACCCGCGTGGCTCGAGAGTGGCCGCTCAGAGGTACGTACTGTAGTGAGGCGGTCTTGTGGGATTTGAGGAGGGTGGTTCGGAGAAGTGCTTTGGGCGTGGAACCGGCGTAGGCGACTTGTTTGGGGATAGGCATGGACCGGACGGTGATGGCGGTTGCCGGAGTGCTATCCCCGCTGGCCATTGTGGGCATGGCGACCGGCTCAGCAGGCTCGTCCAGCATGTTGCCGAATAGCCCGCCTTCCTCGCCCTCCTCTTCGTCTCCCGCAGCGTCTCCGGCAGATACCGCAGTCACGTCGGGAGCTGGCGAACTGGTCGACTCTGCTGCGGGTGCTGCAGGTTTCGAGCGACCGCTGAGCCGATCCCGCAGTACTTCGGCGTCCCGCTTGGCCTTTGCAGCCTTGAACAGCGCATCTGTCCATTCAGCTCCATCCTGCACCGTCAACCATGCGATACTAACCCGCATCCTTCCTGGAAAACATGTAGTCCTTCTCCAAGACACCCATCTTCTCCTTCAATTTCCGCATCTCCGGGGTCTCCAAAACAACTCCGCTTCCCTTCCCCTTCTTCCCTTTTGGTTTCGTCCCTCCCGCGGCAGTCTTAAGCGTGTCCAACTCCAGCGCGTACTTTGCCCATTCCGTGTTTGCTTTCTGCAGGTCCGGCTCGGATGCGGCGTCGGACTGTTCTTCAGAGTCCGAGTGTGGGGTCTGATCCAAAGACTGAAAGAGTGATGTGGGTAGGGCGGAGGCAGTGGGCTCAGACGGTGGTGTTGGGCCTTTCGACGCGATTGTAGAGCTTTCGGGTCCGGGGGACTTGGATCGAACGGGCGCTTCAGGGATGGTCAAAAGCTCGTCCTCGGGCTCGGGGACCAGGACGTCTACATATTAGATCAGTATCACAACGAAAGACGGTTCCGGGGCTATGCTCACCTTCTTTTTGTGCATACTCGCCCCGGCGGAGACACTCGTCCTCTGACAGGTGCAGCCACATCTAGTCATCAGCGCTTGTCCTGGACCAAGTATCCGAGATCCAGATGACTCACCCAGTCGATAGCCTCATCCCATCCTCCGCCCTCCTCTAGCCCTTCCAGCAGACACTGCGAGATCCGCCCCTCCGAAAAGCCCAACCGAGACAAGACGTGAAAAGCGACGTAAAGGCGGAGGAGACTTTTGTCGCTCTCGGCGGGTGTCGATGGCTTGCCGGATGCTTTAACATGGTCGCCCAGTCCTTCTGTCTTGCTATCCGCCTCCTCAGCGAGTGCAAGGTCGAGCACCTGATCTCGGATAGCTTCGTTGATTCGTAATGGCGCAAACCCGGCCGAAAGGCGAGTGTCATACTCGATGCCCTACCCCATAAGCTATGCTCTCAGAAGATAGGGGTGATGACAGCTTACCTTGACTATCCTCGATACCTCTTTCTCACCCTTCTCGTGCAATCTATCCACGAGCGACTGAAGAACAATCTGCTCAGCGAGGGCTTCATCCTCCCAATCCTCCTTTGTCTCCTCCGCGCCAACTACCATGGACCCAGTCGATGCCTTGCTACCGGCAACAGCAGCAATTCCTTCTGGAGCTATGGGAGTATCATCAGTCGTATCAAGAGCTGGTGTAGCAGCCTCCGCAGCGGCCTGCTCGTCTAGCTTCTTTTTGGACGCAACCGACGTCGTCGCAAAGCCGCGATTGACCGCTGGGTTGTCAGCTTGGGCGCCATCTTTCGTCTCAGCTCAGCTTACGCTTCAGCGACAGCTTCTTCTTGCCCATGTTGCAGACCAGACAGCCTACTAGGCTGTGAAAGTTGAGAGCTGGACAGGTAAAGTACAAAATGTTGAGTCTTGGTTTCTGAGACCAGCGGATGAGGAATGCGGAGTTTGAGAAATGGAGCCCCGCATTTGATGATATCCGTGCGCAACAATACACGATTTAGGAGCGTTCGGTCAAGCTGCTTGCTGTTCCCTTGCCCCGTCAGTACATCACATACAGCAGACAGACTTAACCGACTCTGACGCTTGACACTTCTCCGAACATCTTCCGGGATATACTATCGAATTCTCAAGTTCTGGCGAAATGGCACTCCCCGTTCCGACCGAATTCAACCCTACGACCCTCCCCCTCCCCCACCCCGATGCATACCCCGGCGAGCCCAGGGAGTTCGCCATGGCGCTCATGCAGCGCAAAGATGAGATCGAGAAGGAGATCGTGAGCTACTGCGAGCTTTCCTTTGCACGGTGGAATCTTAAGAGCTGATATAGCAGGACACTTTGAAAGATATCCTTGCCTCCGTGGGTCCGCTAAGAAGCTCTTGGTCGTGCTCGGCAGAGTAAAGCTGACGAGGGGTGTCAGAATAACGCTAATGGCTCCACGCCACTTTTCGATCCGGAAGGATTCCCAAGAGCTGATATTGACGTGGTACGTCCCCCATCTGGAACCTCGCACAGTCCGCAGGGGCTGACGCTCTCAGTACGCAATTCGGCATGCCCGCGCAGCTCTCGCACGATTATACAATGACCGACAAGCAGTAGTCGACCTTCTGGCACCAGCACTTGAGGCAGCCTTCGATGCTCCCGAAGCACCTTCATCATCAGGGTCAGGTCCCATGGTCAATGGGGTCAAGCCGAACGGACATGTCACCGAACCCTCCGCGACAGCGTCGGCGAGTACCTCGACGTCACGTACAGTGCCAACGGCGAGCGAGCAGTCTGCGTGGCCAGAGAGGGCTGTAGCGAGGGTGAACAGTGTAGCGCCTGGGAGTCCAGCAGAGGATGCGGTAAGCCCTGCTGCTGCATCAGAAACGCTTACTGCATTGATTGCAACATGGCTGATTGGTGCAGGGACTACAAGCTGGAGATATGATCTACTCTTTCGGTGAGGTGTCATCGACTACGTCAGGCGGTCTTCAAGCTGTAGGCGCGCTGGTTGCTCATTCAGAAGGGGTGAGTCGTGGTACTCAACAAAACATCTCCTAACCTCGCTCCGCTCTGTTGTCTCGAGCTGTCCATAAGACCTGAACCGGAGCTGATACTGCTAGGTATCAATACCAATATTAGTTGAGAGACAGAGTCCTGCGGGCATCCAGAGGATATCTCTCGGTTTGACACCGAGGAATGGCTGGGGCGGGCGAGGATCTCTAGGCTGTCATATACTGCCCGCTTAGCTATGAGCGCCATCAGGCATCGCATCATCAAAAGTAACAGGTCTAGGTCGATACCAGTCGGCGGTACCACATGCATGTCTATAGTGGTCCAATCGCTCATATCACCCTGCTGACGGGCTTTTGTTCCCCCTCGACCGGTCGCACAATCTCAGCGACCGGCTTTTGCTCCACCACATACCCGACCGTCTCGACCTTCTTCTCCCTCAACATCTTGGCCTCCTCCACCCTCTTCTTGACCTCCCCAGCAGCCACTTCTTGCGCCTTTCGGATACTCTCCCCGACCCGCAGCCCCGTCGTGTCCTCCACCGTCTGTACCGCCTTCTTGCTCCATCCCTTGGCCTGCTCGCCTGCGCCGCTGACAGTATTGACAGACTGGTTCCACAATGACCCGACACGGGCATTAAGGCGGTCGTGTTCCCGCGCGAGCTCGGGCATGTGGGCGTCTTCTACCCGAGAGAGGTAGGAGCGGATGTTGGCGGATGTCTTTGGGAGGAAGTAGGGGGCGGCGGCGATGGTAAAGATGGGAGGGGCGAGCCAGCGGATGGGGAAGGCACGGGTACGGGTGAGGACGGATCCGGTCAGGCCGGCTATGAGGACGTAGATGGCCCCGGGGATGAGGGGTTCATCTGAGGGTACGACGGATTTGACCTCGCCTGTAAGTCAGCGCAAGTCCATGGACGGAGTCTCGAGGACCGTCTGGACTTACGTTCGACTTTCCGCTCAAAGCCAACCCATCGGCTGACACCTCCCTCGACGTATCTGGAAGCTCCGGCAAGAGCAGACTGAGTGGATTCTCGCGCTTGGGCGATATATGGCGAGATGGGATGTGTGGTCTCGATAAGCGTTATTGAGCCCTCGGGGTCGGCGTAGATGGGAAGCTGTCAGGATCAGCATCTCCTTCATAGGAAACGAGCACGACGTCGACATACCCTGTCCCCAGAAGCATCCCTTCCAGGCTTGACCTTTGTGGGTAATCTCTCCTTGGCCAGGTCCTCAGCATAGACAGGAGAAGCGAGAAGGGCTGAGCCAGCTACAGCCGCCACGGGTAGCGCCGCCCGGAGAAGAATCTATCCGTCAGCTTGTATCTTCTTGGAGCCTCGGGGCTAGCTTACACCTGACATGACTGCTGTTGCTCTGATAGTGATTTGTTTAACTTATCAGTGAGCCTGAGGTTGCAGCAGCAAAGCGGGGCAAGTCGGATGCCGTCATCCGCGGGAATCCGATCGGCCCAGCTGCCACAGTGCGAGATAGCGCAAAACGCCGAATCATGGCCTCGCTGCCACAGATTCCGTCCGCCGCAGCGGGAATGCCACATCATCTTTCGAAATTTCCTCTGTCTGTGCCTGGCTCCTTGTTCAAAGCAAAGGTCCTTGGGAATTTTCACCACCCTTTCAATCTCCTCCCTTCAACACCTTACCCACCCTACCCACCTATACCCCCACCTATCCTATATCAAAAATGTCTGGCGACAACGTTGAAGTCGACGACACCCTCTTCCAGGGGGCCATCGGTATCGATCTCGGAACCACCTACTCGTGTGTCGGTTACTGGGTCAACGACCGAGTTGAGATCATCGCCAACGACCAGGGAAACAGGTGAGGTTATATCCTGGATGTTATGTAGAGGGGATGATATGCGCGCGATATGGACGAGGAGCATCGCAGCTCAGGCGGACTTCGGGAGCAGGGCGTCATCTCGAATTGCGAAAACAATACTGACCAAATAGGACCACCCCGTCCTACGTTGCCTTCGGTCAGGATGAGCGTCTCATTGGTGACGCCGCCAAGAACCAGGGTATGTCAAGTCAGGCGGAATACTACAGGGACTGTGCTGACATGCGTAGCCGCTATGAACCCCACCAACACCGTTTTCGACGCCAAGCGATTGATCGGTCGTCGGTATGACGATGCCGATGTCAAGAAGGACATCAAGGTTAGTCTTGCTTGACTGGCTGGATAGGTGGATGCAAGGGAGGGCAATCTGGTGGACTGGAAGAGATGCGGTCACCACCATGGACCAAATAGCGGATTCGGCGGAAATTTTGAATGGAGCTGACATTTCAGCACTGGCCTTTCACCGTTGTCGACCGTGATGGTTCCCCCGTTATCGAGGTCGACTACCAGGGCGAGAAGAAGCAGTTCCAGCCCCAGGAAATCTCATCGATGGTTTTGACGAAGATGCGGTGAGTTCTCGCTTAGTGTTGTCTTGAGAAAGAAGGGAGAGCGTCCGACTTGCCGGCGAAATACGGGTTTCGGCTCTATTGCGCCGGCATGTGCCTGTCTGCTCCCGCTTTCGGCCCCTTCGTGACCGACTGGTGGACTCGGGCTGATCTTGCAGTGAGATCTCGGAGGCCAAGATTGGCAAGCAGGTCAAGAAGGCCGTCATCACGTAGGTCCTCTATATCTACGGGGTGAGCCCTGCTGACCCACAGCGTCCCCGCCTACTTCAACGACTCTCAGCGTCTCGCCACCAAGGACGCCGGAGCCATTGCCGGCCTTGAGGTCCTCCGTATCATCAACGAGCCCACCGCCGCCGCCATTGCCTACGGTCTTGACGACAAGGCCGCCGAGGCTGGTGAGACCAAGACCATCCTCATTTTCGATCTCGGAGGAGGAACTTTCGACGTCTCCCTCTTGACCATCCAGGGCAAGGTCTTCTCGGTCAAGGCCACCGCCGGTGACACCCACTTGGGTGGTGAGGACTTTGACAACACCTTGCTCGAGCACTTCAAGGCCGAGTTCAAGCGCAAGTCAAAGCTCGACATTTCGGAGGACCCCCGTGCCACCCGTCGTCTCAGGTCGGCGTGCGAGCGTGCAAAGAGGACCCTTTCTTCCGTCACCCAGGTAAGCTTTTTTTACGATCGGATCGAACTTTGCTGACTTCTAGACCACCGTCGAGGTCGACTCTCTCTTCCAGGGCGAGGACTTCTCTGCCAACATCACCCGTGCCCGTTTCGAGGAGATCAACGCTGCCGCCTTCAAGTCGACCATTGAGCCCGTCGAGAAGGTGCTCAAGGACTCGAAGATCCCGGCCGGCAAGGTCGACGAGATTGTCCTTGTCGGTGGTTCCACCCGTATCCCCAAGATCCAGTCCTTGGTCTCGGAATTCTTCGGCGGTCGTCAGCTCAACAAGTCGATCAACCCCGACGAGGCCGTCGCCTACGGTGCCGCCGTCCAGGCTGCCGTCCTTACCGGCCAGGCGTCCGACAAGACCGCCGACCTCCTCCTCCTCGACGTTGCCCCCCTCTCCCTCGGTGTCGCCATGCAGGGTGACATTTTCGGTGTCGTCCTCCCCCGTAACACCCCCATCCCTTCCAACAAGTCGCGAGTCTTCACCACCGTGGAGGACAACCAGACCACCGTCATGTTCCCCGTCTACGAGGGTGAGCGGACACAGTGCAAGGACAACCGGCTTCTCGGCGAGTTTGAGCTCTCGGGTATCCCACCCATGCCCCGTGGCCAGGCCGAGCTCCTGTGTACCTTTGAGGTTGACGCCAACGGTCTCCTCAAGGTCTCAGCGATGGACAAGGCTTCCGGCCGCAAGGCCCAGATCTCGATCCAGAACTCTGTCGGTCGTCTGTCATCCGAGGAGATCCAGGCTATGATCAAGGACGCCGAGCAGTAAGTCAACTGAAGTCTCATGGTGTGGAGCGAGCTGACACCTAAGGTTCAAGAATGCCGACAAGGACTACTCTGCCAAGCACGAGGCCAAGTCGGACCTCGAGTCATACCTCCACACTTGCGAACAGACCATCTCGGCCCCTGAAATGGGCGCCAAGATCAAGCGGGGAGCACGCGGAGCCGTCGAGGCTGAGATCGCCAAGGCGCTCGAGAAGCTCGAGCAGGAGGACGTTACCGCCGATGAGCTCAAGAAGGCGCACTTGGGTGTCAAGAGGGCTATGTGAGTTTTGATTTGCGCACTCTCTGCCTGAACAGAAGCTGACCATCTTTAGGCAAAAGGCGATGGCTTCGGCCCGTTAATCGTGTCTGGGGTAGATCATGTAGTATAGATATGCAGGGCCGTACTGGATGATATCTCTTCTTCGATTCTCATCAGTGTCAATAGACAAGGTTGCGTGCTTTCCTTTGTCTCACATTTCTCACCCATGCTACGTGTCTGATCGGGCAAAGTTAAGGATGAGCGATGACGCTGATGAGGATACTCAGGGCGCTCAACAGTCTCCAAGTCAACATCTTACTCATGATTAATGTTTGAGGTCCGGTGGTGTAAGAGATGGCCAACCGTAGCCGCAACGGTCGTCAAGCAAACCGCTGACGGTGTCCAGGCTATGCAACCTCGTTCCACTTCCACCTACCAGTATTAGCTGCTCTCTATATATACGTGCTCGACTCATCGCATCACCCAACTACTCTGCTGCCAATCTTCTTTAGCCCATATTCGACGAGATGAAAAGCAAAGATGCGGTGGCATTCCTGAAACGCGAATCTGTGAGTCTACCCGCCTCCTCACGTTTCAGCTTGTGGTACTCGATCAAGGAGAGTACTTGTAGCTGATATGCTCGCAGACGGGAAGAAGACTAGTCTGGACTGTAGTCTGGTGGGGTACACACTTTGGCTTCTGTGAGTTCTCCTCCTCCCATTAACGGGATCTCACACGCCCAACTCAGGTCAACAAGGGGTTGAGAGGAATGGAGTGCATACTGACTCGCTCTAGTCGCCTACGGCTGGTGGTCCCAGTATACCAACGCCAAGCTTGCGGCGCTGAACGGGCTCAAGTACTCGGTATGGACGAGCAGAGGGGCGGGACTTGTTTTGGCGTTCGATGGCGGGTTGATCCTGCTTCCCGGTATGTCCAGCTTCCTCCGTAACTACTGCGTGATTCAGACGGAGGCAGGATCAGCGAGAAGCTGACGCTGGTAGTCTTGCGAAATGTCATCACTGCTATTCGACCGGCACTACAGCGCATACTTCCAGTGGACGAGAATTTATGGGTGAGCTCACCAACAGCAAGCTGATACGGTCCGGTCCGATCCGTGCTCGAGCTGACGTCCCAGTTCCACCGGCAAGTCGCCTACCAGCTGTTACTCTGGACGATCATCCATACCACCGCCCACTATGTCAACTTTATCAATGTTGAGCGTACTCAAGTCAGGAAAGAGCGGGCGGTACAGATTCACTATGCCCAAGCTGGGGGAATTACAGGTCATACGTGAGCATCCGCTGACTGAGCGGTCTCAAGCGTCTCCTATTAGCTGATAGTGTAGAATGCTCCTCATCATGTTCTTGATGTATACTACCGCGCACAGCTCTATTCGGAAACAATGCTTCGAGGCGTTCTGGTATACCCATCATCTGGTATGTGGCCTTCTTCCGGTCCAACAGGCAAGGGCTGACATCCAGGCCTTCTTCTTCATGCTCGCCCTCTACACGCACGCTACCGGCTGTTTCGTCCGTGACTCTGTCGACCCCGACTACATTCCCACGTTCCCCTTCTACTCGACCGAGCACTGCCTAGGCTATCTCAGCTGGCGGTTCATCATCTGGCCCGGGATCATCGTACGTCCTATCCCCCTGGCCTTCCTCGCCTGGCCTCTTCGTCTTTGTGTGCGTCAGCTGATATTCAGTACTTTGGCGAGAGGGTCTACCGTCAAGTCCGAGCGGCACGCGCCACGGAGATACAGCGGGTACTGTACCATCCTGGCAACGTCATGGAGATCCGCTTCAAGAAGCCGAGTATGAAGTACAAGGCGGGTCAGTGGTTGTTCCTCAATGTCCCTGATGTGTCGAGGTGGCAGTGGCATCCTGTAAGCTTCTAGCTCTTCAGAGGCTTCTGGGGAAAGCAGAGCTGATCAACCAGTTCACAATCTCCTCTGCGCCAGAAGATCCCTTCATCTCGGTCCATATCCGTCAAGTCGGGGACTTCACCACGGCCCTCGGCGAGCGACTCGGCGCTACGCCCGATCTGCACCGCCTTGATTCTGGCAAGAAGGGTGGGCGGGGGGAGAAGAACGGGTTTGTCGAGGTCGATAGCGGTCTAGGAGGCGAGCGCGCTGTGGAAGTAGGACCGGGGATGGATCGGGGCATGCCAAAGTTGAGAATCGACGGGTGAGCTTCTCCCTACTCATTGGTCTTGAAGATGGACGTCCGAGCTGACGATCAGACCATTTGGCGCACCAGCAGAAGACGTCTTTGCCTCAGAGGTGGCTGTGCTCGTAGCGGCAGGTATCGGAGTGACCGTAAGTCTATCCACCTCCTCTGATCATACTGCCTGCCTACTGAGCCCAAGCTAATATGGCAGCCCTTTGCCAGTATCCTCAAGCACATTTGGTACGCTCAGCAGGCCGGCAAAATGGGTCGACTGCGCCGAGTCGAATTCGTCTGGACATGCCGCGAGACGGGGTCATTTGGGTGGATCAAGGATCTGCTGGAGGAGCTGGAAGAGGCTCAGCGGGGGTCAGACTTTCTGCGGATCTCGGTGAGTATAGGGCGTCTCCGATGCGGGGGTCGAGCTGATGAGTAGATCTACCTAACGCAGCGGATGGGCTCGGATGAAGTGCACAATATCGCCATTAACGAGTCAGCTTTTTCTCTTCTTTGGACCGGATGTAAGCTTGAGCTGACCTCTCAGCGTCGGACAAGAATATGAGTAAGTACGACACCCTCCGACAGATCGACCCAGCTGACTCGTTCAGCCCACTCACCAAGCTCCGCTCGCGCACGCTATACGGTCGACCCGACTTCCACTCATTCTTCGCCAACCTCGCCACGTCGATCGATAACGGCTCTTACCTGCCTGGGAGGGAAGCGAGGCTTAAGAACCGTGTTGGGGTGTACTACTGCGGGGTGAGCCTAAGCTCCTTCCAGCTCAGCAGAAGACGGAATAGCTGATGAGAATAGCCGAACCCGCTCGCACGAACGGTCAGGACGGAATGCCTCAAGATCCAGTCGAGCACGCTAGATGTACGGTTTGCGAAGGAGCATTTCTGAGCCGAGGGCTCAGTGATACTGCGCATACCGGCAACTCTAGATCTGGTCTCTGCTCTTCGTATCGCCAAGTAAGACCGGCGGCTTGAGATGGAGCATGCAAATTGTCAATGGGCGTGTCTGAGAGATCCAGTATCGTTCTTGAAAGAGTCTGGGTATCGTCACTAATCTGATGTAATGGTGAATTGACCTCTTGTGATCGTAGCGTCCACCTCATGCTCGTTTCCACTGCCTCGGTAAATGCTTAGCGGAAACAAGGCAATATGACCGAAACGGGCAGGAGGCAGTCAGAGGCAGTCACCAGGCAGTCACCTCGATCTTCCCGGGCTATATCCTCTGACGTTACCGGGTGGTTAGTAGCTCTTAGTCTTCCGCCACCGGCTTGGAAGATCGCCACATTCATTAGCATCCGGATACGCTAGAACATGAAAGACCGGCTGCAGCTGAGTCATGATCACGAGGTAGAGGGAAAGCAGTATTGTGAAGACAGAACAGATCTCATGGTAGCAGCAGATCGGGTCCGGTGACTCTGGTCTGACATCAGCAAGATGGCTCGGCCGGACCAGGATGAGCTGATGGATCGCCGCAGGGCCGCTTGCCACTTGGCCACCGACGCGAAGCGCGAGCAGGCATAGTGATGCAGCGCCTGTGCTGGGTAGGCCTGGAATATGCATGCACTACTTCATGCTACGACACCCACCATCGTTCGTACATCCTCGCTAGCTACCTACTCGTACGGAAGCCGACGATCCCGCTCCTTGCTTGGACCTTGTGTAGTTAGATTTCTGGATCCGTTCTGGAATTGGGCGATCTCGACAAGGTTATTAACGGCGAGAAACGGGAAACTTCGGTGCCGCCTAGCCGGCAAACGCTTGTTGTCGTCCTCTTCACTGCTGCAGTGTTTCCCTCGTCGCTTGTGTGGTCATCGAAGGTGGGAGCACCGATATTGCCAGTCATACCATCCGTGTCGACGTCCGAAATAATCACGCGTTGGAAGCTTGAACGGGGCTGAGCGAGGCCGGTTCAGCTTGTAGCGAGCCTTTCAAACAGTGAGTACTATTCGGCTCCTGGCTCCTTGGATACAGCCACTACTACTGGGGTTGGTGACAAGATCAATGAGGATGAGGTGGGAGAAACGGAGTAGGACGCAGAGTGAATCCAAGAATGCTCCGAATGATCTGCAGCTGATCCTTTCGATCTCCCCCCGCCCGTGTACATCGGCGGCTTACCACGGCCGACAAGGTTTAGCGGAGCTTCGCCGCGACGAGGCAATCAACCATGGCATCTGCAGCTCCATCCAACACAGCTGCTGCGGCTCCCACAACGACAGCCACCACTGCGACAGCTCCAGGAGAACGTGCCTGTGTAGGAACGAGTGTGGATAGAGTGAGTGGCCGGTTTGCTTAGTTCATTCTTGGCCCTCTTGTTTCGTCAGCAGCGACCTGCCACCCAGATCCCTTGTTTCCTTTCCGTCCAGCCATTGTCTCTGTAACGCCTCACTTCCTCCTTATATACACTCCACCATCCCTACGGTCATCTGACCATCAAACCCCCTCCTTCCTGGGCATACCTGCCTCATTCCCGCCGGCGACTCGCTGGAAAACACACAGCTCTGAACCTATTCTGGTACACCTATCCTTCCCTCGTCTTTACTTCTTCCTTTGACTGCCCTCGTTCCGTGCTCCACCATCGCCGAAACGCCGAGCTGACGCTTGATCCTTTCAGCCATCGACCGTCGCGCAATCGCCTATCCTCCCACCGCCGCCTGTTCCTGCTCCTTCCACCACATCTCTCTCAGCAACTCCGAAAATCACCCCTTCTACTGCCCTCGCAGCACCGAATCCCCACTCCAACTCTCAGAGCGACAGCCACACTCCAGCACTTACACCTCAGCGCGTCGCCTCCTTGCGCGGATCCCTGCCCCGCCGCCGCTCCTCTTTTCCACCGCCAGCGGCAGCCCCGCCCAACCACGCGCTGCCTTCTTCCTCCTCCCCGCATCTCGTCGCCCCTCCCCAGGCGCAGCTCGACATCTTTGCAGAGCTAGGCTTGCCGGAGCTGGCGAACATGTGGACACCTGTGGGGTGGGACACACTCCTCAATTTCGATACGGACCACCAGGACGGCAACTCCAACCTGTTCGACTTCACACCGGGGCCGTCATCAGGCTCGGCGGCGGCGCCCAGCGGGAGCGGGAGCGCCATGGCGCGGATCAAGTCGGATCCTGGGCGAGATAGACCAGAGGCTCACGGTCACGGACATGGACATGGGGGAGGCCACAGCAGTGGAGGAAAGGCGATAGCGGGTCCAGCGTCGCTAGAACCTGCGAGAATGGCGCATGGGGGAAGCGACTTGGCGTGGAAGACGATTCTGGCCAGTCAGGTGGATGTGGAGGGAGTGGGACAAGTGGGCGTAGCGCGTGTACTGCAAGAAGTGTGGAAGCGAGGAGGAGGAGAGCAAGTGAGCTTCTTGATCAAAATACCGCTTGAAACCCCTGCTCATGTCAGATCACTTCCCAAGGTCTTTGGCCAAGTATCATCGTCTCCCTTTCACTGCCCGAAGTTGAATCTCCCGGATTCCGACTCCCTACCCCATCAGCACACGCCGCTCTATCCCTCCAAAACCTCTACAACCTCACTTTGCGACACTGGGAACCGAGCATCTTTTCCGGCCTGCTCGCGTCCTTCGGCTCGCAAGCTCTTCGGGGAGACCTGGACCTGTCGGCGATGCTGGGCGCAGTCGCTCAACCACCACCGGCCGCGGAGCATGTATTCGGCGTGGCGATGACGCCTCAGAAGGAGATCGACATGTCTCAGTGGACGACCTTGACACCAGGAGGAGGCGCGGACTGGTCCTTCCTCAATTCGTTCGATTCGAGCTCGCCATACCACGTCGACTCGCTGGTCAAAACTAGCGGCGTGGTGCCCTCAAATCTTGCCAATGACGCTCGGGACGACCGGCGCGGATCGACAGCGAGGAGCGTCGACGATGAAGGGATCCAGGGGCTGGATGAGATCCTGGCGCAGATGGAGGAAGGGGTAGAAGCGAGGGCTGTCGCTGCTATCCAGGAGCAAATTGAGGCGGCGGGCAAGCTGCCGGATCTCATGCCCTCCGGCAGCTCAAGCAGGAAACGGCCAGCCGAGGACTCGCAGTTCTCCATGCCTACCCCAGAGACGGACGCTTCGGATACGACCATCCTCTCTGGGCGAGGACACTCGTCAGGAAGCAATACGGACCGGAACCGCGGAATGAGCTTCACGCTCGTCACACCGCCCAGCTCCAACGGTTCCCCTCTTACTTCCTCGCGCCAGATCCACCCTCGACCACCGGGAGGCCAATCCGCCCTGGCCCGTCCGAGCAGGAACGCCCAACTTCCCACGCCTACCCCCTCCACCCAGGACTTGCCGACAATACCCAACGGCAGAAAGAAGATGGGGATGCAGCTCGATATGCCCCTCGCTACGTTTGTCCCACCCCCGCCCATGTGCATGTTCTTCTCCCCGGCGTTCCATGATCTTCAACAGGGGAAAGTGGGGGTTTGGAAGGGGGATCTGCTGGTGCGGGGGAAGGGAGGCGGGAAGTTTTCGGTTCTGATTGTGGGTGAGACGGCTACGGGGCACATGTGGTGAGTAGTCTCTTTGCTCTGATTGGGATATAGCTCATTCTCTAGGCAATCGAATGTCTGGCCAACCTCGGTCGTCTACCCACCGGAAGAGCAGGCGAACGAAGACGCTACGGCCACAGCGACCATGATCCCTGTTTCGCACCTCGCTCGAGAAGGTTTCACGCCCGCAGCGATGGGTATGGTTCTCTGCAATGATGCCAACATCGAGGCGTACGTGCAGATGGTACAGGGTCTACACGCGGAAGGAGTGGTACGTTTCTGGCTTTCCACTCTTTGGGAGCTATGCTGACTCGCAGGCATTCCACCTCCGTACACCCAACGGTCTACCGATCGTCTTCCTCCCTGCCAAATTCGACTCGAACGACCCCCTCCAACGGCTCGGTATAGCCTTCATGACCAAGCCGGGCATGCCTATGCCCTACCATCCCCAATCCATGCCTATGGCCTCCGCCTCTAAATCCGCACACTCGGCGGCGTCGTCGTCCTCTTCCACCCAACCGGGTCCGGCCTCGGCCGATAGACCAACCGCGGACATGCCCAAGAAGAAGAAGAGGCGGCAGAGTGCCCCGGCGGGTGTCTTACCGGCTGTGAAGCCCACAGGACCGGCGGGGAAGCACAAGAAGAGGGAGAGCGACGTGGGGACAATACCGGAGGAGTCGACCGCGGAGAAGGGATGAGGCCTCAGTCTGGCGGTGGCGGGACGACCAGAAGATGCGGCGATATCATGCCTTCAGCGCTGGAACGACGACATCCTCATCATCACTCCCGACCGGCCCTATCTACCCGGACCTCACACACCACTCAACCTCTCTCCATCTCCCCACCTTTCCCCCTTCCCCTCCATCTTCTTCCCGGCTCAACATCGCATCGGACAACCAACATACACGCAATGACCTCCACTTCTATCTAGGACTGGAGGCCCCAATCTCTCCCACGACCCCATCAACATACACGCACATGGGCTTCTTCACGAACACGACATTATCTCCTTTTACCTTCTCTTTCTGTTTTCTCTGGGCAACCTCTCGTATACACGGAGGGGAAAGTTGAGGGTTTGGGGAGAGAAGAAGGGACCTAGGTCTCGGGCGCGTACATACACGTAAATCGCGTTTTGGAGATGCAGCAGTAAAACAGGTCTACCATATATGGACTGTGCACAAGCTTCAAAGTCCATGCTCCACTGCCCGCGCCGAGCCTCTCGCTGTACGGGCACTGGGAAAGGGCGCCCTTAATGCTAAACGTAGTGAGCTGTACAAGAATTAATCCTTATTATTAGACTTCCAGCGGAGTGGTGATGCAAGTATCTCACTCTCCCTTGAGCAATGACCTATCTTCAATCATGGATACTCTGGGACAGGTGGAGACATGGCGTTGCGGTCGTCTGAGCGTATATAGATCGATACATACAGGCCATAATCCTAACGTGAAACCTGACAAGGCTTTCTCGCTCCTCTCCCCCCAATCCTCCAATTCCCGAGCCTAATTTCCCGACTCTACTCCACCCTCACTGCAATTACTGATCCTACTGACCCGCCTAGGATACACCTACCGGCTACTCCTGAGCGCCTGGTGCACACTCGCTCTTAACGCCGCATGATCATCCCCCTGTCCTTGTCCTCCATTCTGCTGCTGCTGTTGTCCCTGCCCCTGACCCGAAGCACCCACACCCGGCGGCGGCGCTCCCGCCTGGAAATGACTGCCCGCCTCCCCCTCCCCCGCCCATCTTCCGTAAGGTCCAATATCCGCCTGGCGAGGTTCACAATCTCCCCTTCTCCATCCGCATCCATCATGCCATCGTCCTCGTATTCGTCTTCCCCGTTCGCGTCGGACCCGCGGCCCCGGCCTGCGCGGGACGCGGGAGGGGATTCGGCCAGTTGGCGAATGGAGGAAATGAGGATGGGGGAGGAACGGATATTGTTGGAGAGTTGCTCGTCTTCGGATTCGAGCAATTGGACGATGGTCTATGGGTCAGCTGATTCTCCGCTCCGAAGCGCGTTGCAGCTGAGGTGTTTTATTTACCCAGACGGCAATGTGTTGGAAAGTAATGTCGGCGCTGCTAAGGAAGCGGACGAGGTATGCGTGAAGACCGCCGTCGGGCTTGTTCCAGACCGTGTTGAAAGGAGCGTAGTCCTCGGCCGCTGAGCTATCAGCTTTTACCCGGCGCCGTCACTCGGGAGTATGCAGCTTACCCTTCGAAGACAAGTTCCCGATAGCCGCAGCGCTGTTCCCCTGCACTTCGACACTTGGCGAGTTGGTCAACGGAATAAGTACCTCACAGATGCCCATCTCGAGAAGTTGTGGCTTGAGGTCATCTACTCGATCAGCTGTGCCTTCTACTTCCCCGTCGAGAACAGCGCAAGACCCACCGCTAAGCGCCAAAACAGCCACACACGCCGTCATCTCACTTTGCACCGTCAACGGCACGGTCAACACCAGCTCCTTGATCCGCTCCACCGCGCCCGCCTCCACAATCGCGCCCTTGTTCCGCTCGCTGCTCGCCGCGAGGTTGCGCAGCGTCGAGATGGCGTGACACTGCACTTCTTCGTTCTCGTCGAATGAGAGCAGTTCAATGAGGGGCTGGAGGAAGCCGGAATCGATGATGGGGGATTCGTTCGCGGGGTGGATGGATACGTTGCGGACGCAGGCGGCGGCGGAGAGGATGAGGGGGAGGTAGGACGAGTGGAGGAGCCGGAGGAGAGGTTTGAGGCCGTCGGCTTTGACAATTTCGAGCTGGTACTTCTCTTTCAGTGTCAGCTGGCTCGTCTGGGCTTCACAACCACGAATAATTCGCAAGCTAACCATCCGAAGCCAAGTTCCGGAGAGCGAGCGCAGCTTGGCATTGCACCTTCAAGCTCTGGCTGTCCATCAATGCCACGAGGCTCTGGACGAGTTTTGGCTCCGTCTGAGCGAGCTTCTTCCGGTTGCTAGCTGGGCAGATCAGCTGTCGTCCCAACGAGCCGGGAACGGTGGTAAGGGAGGATCAGCTCACCGTCCACAGCAATGTTGCTAAGCGCAGTTGTGCAGTAGTACTGAACATCCGTATCAGGCGAGTTGAGGAGGGAGACAAGAACGGGGATAGCGCCGGCATTGACGAGTTGCTGACGGTTCTCGTCTACAGCGTCAGCAACATCTCCAAAAGTGCGCAGTAAGATCAGCTCACCAGAGTGCGTCATGTTTAGCAAAGCACCAGTGGCGTTCCGCTGTACACGCATATCCTTGGACTTGGCCAGTCGAGTCAGGGGGACCAAGGCGCCAGACTTGGCGATTTGGGTCTTGTTCTCGTCTAATGAATCAGCTACTGTGTACGGACTCTACATTGGACCTCTTAGCTTACCGTGAGTGGCCAGGTTGGTGACGCATCCGACGGCGTTGCATTGTACTTCGACGTTCGGGCTGAGCATTTGACGGATGAGGGGTTCAAGACCGCCAAGCGAGACGATGAGGAGCTTGTTCTCGGCTGATGAGTCAGCTTATGCTTCTGCTTCAACCGCCCTCCGATGTCGGATGCGCTTCGGCCCTGGTAAGCTGACGGCACTCACGATTGACAGCCAAATTGCCCAACGCGGCCGAAGCAGCCCGCTGCACCTCCGCATCGTGACTCGTCAAGAGGCACAACACCGGGTCGAGCGTGTCCCTCCCGACCTCCCTCACTTCCTTCTCGGTGATCTCGGCAAATGCAAGCGCGGCCGAGCGCTGCAAATCGACATTGTCAGAGAAGGACAGCGTGGTCAGAGCGGCGAGGGGCGAGCCGGTGAAGAAATTGGTTGTTGTCCGGTCTATTGGTCAGCTACAAGCTCTGCTATTCGAGGGCCACACAGCCGAGAAAGGGAGGCGAGAACGCACTCTCGAGGTATTGCAGTAAGTCGGCGACGGCTTCCCGCTCATTCTCGAGTAAGAGGGGCTCGTACGCGTTCTTCCGCCTTGGACCGCCTGCCAATGTCAGCTATTCCGCCTGATAGACATATGAGGCCGCCTGAAAGCTCACAGCAGCTGCTACATGTCCCTCCCATGCTGACGGATATGACCTATAACGTAGATATCGGGGAGGTGAGGCGAGACAAAGGGAGCTTGGACGGTGGGAGTCGCGAGCGGAGTCGAGGGCTAGCCTAAGAAGGGCCAGGGTAGCTCGGTTGAGAGAAATTCGAGCTGGCTGCTATCTGGCTATAGGCTTGCTATGAGCTGTAAAGGGGAGCTGACTTTATATAGATTAGTATGTAGTAAACAGATTGAATGGTTAGAGAGCGTCACACCCACCCACCACAGCAACAGCCACAGCAGCGCGTGCACGGCCAACACCCACCCTCCCCGGAACCAAATGAGGGTGAGGTTTACGTACACCCTTGACCTTACGCGGCGGCGAGGGCCGACTTGCACGTCCACCTTGACCTGAGCCTATACTTTGTGTCTTCAGCCTATACATCAAGTAGAGTACACAGCCAGGAGCAGCTATGAACGACGGACCACCAAGACCAGGTCAGTCACCTCAGCTGAATTGCGGGGAGAATGAAGCTGATTGACAGGTGCTCGAGGCGGACAGGCCGAGTTCAGGTGAGCTGTCCTCACCACTCGTAATAGGGTAGTAGCTGATGGCATAGATGGGACGCTGTCAAGCAAGATGAGAAACACCGAGGTGTGTACCAATAGACCGCTCAATCAACTCGGATTGCCCTCCTCGCCGTTCAACCCTCCCTCGCCATAAGGTCCCCACTGACTCCATTTAGAGAACTACCTCGGTCACACCGTAAACGCCCCAGCCGGCCGATGGCAAAAGAACAAGGACGTGCACTGGTACGCTCGCGACAAGGAATCAGCAGACGAGAGCGTTGCTACGAAGCAAAGACGGGCGGAGCTCAAAGCCCTGAAGGAAGCAGAGGAGGAGGCGTTGAGTGTGGCGTTGGGGTTTGCGCCCAGTGTGAAGAAGGCGGAGGCGGATGAGGAGGGGGTTGCGGTTGGGCTGCCGAGGGGTGCGAAGGATGAAGAGATTGAGAGGCTGGAGAAAGAGGAGAGGAAGAGGGAGAAGGAGTGCGCTTCTACTCTGGTTCAGAGATTTGATCGGGAGGGTAGCTGATGAGACAGACTACGGAAAGAGCATCGGGCTCTACAGCGCGCCGAGCGAGAACTTAGGCGGGAAGAGAAGGAACGGGAGAGGGAGGAGGAGAAGCGATCAAGGCGGCGGGACGATCGCTCGAGGAGCAGAGATAGGGACGATAGGAGGGATCATAAGCGGGGAAGGGAGAGGGATGAGCCTGAGAGATCGGATCGGGTCAAGAGGGAACGAACATACTCGAGGTCGAGAGACAGGGAGAGGGACAGGGAAAGGAGACCGAGGAGCGATGATAGGGACAGGGACAGGAATCGAGATGGGAGAGGAGACGACCGCCGGGAGAGGGAGAAGGAGCGGGATGGAGGTCGAGGCGATCGTGTGAAGGTGGAACGGGACGATGATGGGGGAAGAAGTAGGCGGGACAGAAGCGAGGTGAAGTTGGAGAGAGCCTCGAGGTCGCCTGTAAAGTCGGTCAAGAGGGAAAGGTCGTACACCCCTGACAGGAGGAGATGATATAGGTACTGGGCTTGCAGGCCATCGTAGAAGAGCTGTAGGTAATGTGCTGACCACGCTGATACACTGATCAAGCACTTGCACTTGCACCCGGACTGCTGATCATTGACCGCTGCGCAATTTGAGTGAGGCCTTGCCCACACACAAGCAATGACGTCGGAGGCGGAATCTACACTGTGCTTCCGAAGAAGCATCAACCCAAGTTGGCCAGATTCTCGTCTGCCCACCCTCTCTTCGTCCTTTTGTTCTTGATCCCCAATCAACGTGTACGCTCATAGAAAACTCCAGTAACTCCAGCGGGAACTGTTATCACAACCTGTGAGTAGCAGACGGAGATAGAGAGCGACTTTCACTGGAGGCTAGCAAGGCAGTGACGCGTCTCCGAATAGCGGCTGACGTGATCAGTAGCGATCTCAGAACACTTTCAATTCCGGTAAGAGCATCAGCGTGGCCGCCGCGCTCATCTTAAGGTACTAGTGGGTGAGCTCTGGAGCTACCGTAGAGCCCGTCAGGCTGACGATACGGGCTCATTAGCTAGACGCACCCCTCTGATAAGAAGACCCACTGCCCCCTGTCTCCTTGCCACTCTACCCCTCATGGTTGACGGTCACCCTCTACCCAATGATGTCCCGGCGACCTTTCTTTCAGCAGTCGATACCGATCAAGCTGCACAGCTGGCGCCGCCGTCCCCGCCTTCCGCCTCCAACATGTCACGGGTCAGCCCTTTAGGCTCCACGAGCGGTCGCGACTGGCGAGGACCATGCCGGTCCATCCGGCAGCGGGAGGCCGCCACGGCGCGCACTCAGAAGGCGCAAGACATCCTCTCGGCTGAGGGGACGCTTGAAGTTCCTCGTTCGGAGGGAATGCTGGTGGGGCCCGGAAAGATCCAGCGGGCTCAGGAGGCAATGGCGGCGAGCGCACTCAAGCTATGGGGGCCGGGGGACAACGGAGGGACGCGGGATCCCTACGACGTTATAGGGTGTTATGAGGCGCTACCGGCTAGCCTGCAACATCTGTGGTCGATCCACTTCGTCAACGATATCTTCCGGATTGGCAGTCTTGCCGATGCGAAGGTGGTAGCGGAAGGATTCAGCCAAGTATTGAGGAAGGAAGTAGCTTCAGTCGACGTGCTGAAGCAGGGGTATGTCCTATCCTTGGAATTCCGGATCAAAAAGAAGCTGATTCTCAGCATCGCAGCGCGCATGGTCAATCTCGATCACGATGTCAACGGTTTCCCCCAGGTGTACAAGGCGGTCGCAATTCTCGTCCGCGCTCTCAATCTCTCTGACCACGATATCGCTAAGCTGGTCGCTGTGGTGGTGTCGCAGACGACGACCACGCCGGAGGCAAAGATGTTGAGGGCTTTGGCTGAGGTGGATGCCTGAGGAGGCGAGGCGGGTGTCTCGAGCTCGGCTCACTGGTGGAGTGCACTGCTCCCATACATCAACTGGCGAGTAGCTATACGATATTATTGTGCCAGCTTTCTCCAAACACCACTTCCCAGGGGCCTAGTAGTACGCCACCTCGACCTCCATCCAAGGGGCTCATCCTCTTTCAGTTCAGCTAATATACCCTAACCACCACTACCTCTGCCGCTGTCGATCCCATGCCGTCATCGAACATCCTTTCCGACGGAACCTGGATCAATCTGCTTGGCCCGCCCTGGGCCTGAGGAATGCTGCGCGCATTGACCCTGTTCCGACCGGCCCTATCAAGCAAGTGTGCCAATGCTGACAGTGTCAAGACACAGCAGTAGTACATACCCAGGGATGTCTTCCATCCTTCCTGCCCATGCTGGACCGTGTATGTACGGTCTCAGCACGCGACACGGAGAGAACGGGATGAGGGTGTGTTTCGTGTGTGCCTGAGTTTGCCCTGGATCTGAACCAAATTCGCATCGACTTTCTTCGATCTTGCCTTTGCCTTCACTCTTCCACTCATCCTCTTCATCCACCTCTTGTCTGCTGTCTGTCGACCTTTATAATCTGCCCTACCCCCCACGCTCTTTACTGCACCTCCTGCGCCTTTGCGCTGCCCACAACAGCCCAAAATTGGTCGGGGAATCCTCAATTCTTAGATCATCCCCTGTCGATCTCAATTCGGCGCTACTGCTAGCGCCCCGCCCCTGGCGCTACTGCAAGGAATGCGAGCATTCACCTCGCTGTCGATATGAGAACTTTCCTCGCCGTTGCGCTCCTCGTTGGCGTGACGAGGGGTCTCTACATCACCGACGACCGGACCAGAGATCCATCTCGTCCTTTACCGCTCCCACCAGAGCAGAGGTCCTTTGGCGACGGTCATGTTGACCTGATCCGGCGCCAAAGCGCCACTTCCTCTCAGAAACCAACCCCTTCCATCCCCGTCGCGCCCTCCACCATCCCCACGGCACCTCCATCGCCGGTGCCTACGCCCATGGACCTGCAGCTCTCTTACGCCCTCTCCACCCCCTGCTTGTCCTACCTCTCCACCCTCCTCTCCTCTTCCACCTTCCGCTCCTGCCTCCCCTTCTCGCTCCTCCTCACCACCTCTACCGGCTTCGCCTCGCTTCTCGCCGCCGCCGACACCTCGGGGAACTATACCACCCTCAATACGTTGCTCGCTTATGTGACGTCCCCCCAACCCTCGAGCGGGGCGTGTGACGACTATATGAGCGCGGCGTACGCCAAGATGGGCGAGAAGAGTACGGGGTGTACGGCGGACCTGACAAAGAGGGGATCGGCGGTAGATGCGCGAATGGGCCTAGGGAGCGCAGGGATGATGCGTAAAGCGGCGGGCTTGCGGAATCCGGACACGGGCAGTTGGTGTTACCTCGAAGCGGTGGCGAGCGAGCGGCCGGATGATCTGTACCTTTGGTCTTTGCCGACGGGGATAGCGTGAGTTGTCTTCTGAGGCGTACATTTAGGATACTATGACTGACCGTGACAGCCTCCCCCCGTCGACAAAACCCACCTGCTCCAAATGCTCCTCCCTCCTCCTGAACCACTACACCACCTCCGCATCCTCCACTCCCTCACTCAATGGCACTCTTGTCAACTCGGCCATAACCACAATCAACGGTGCCTGCGGACCGGGCTTTGCAGAGTACTCGGTACAGCCGCCTACCTCTGGAGCATCGTCGGCGTCATCGGCATCGCGCTCGATCGGCGGTATGGCCTTTGGGCTCGCTACTGCTGTGGGACTGAGCTTGACATTTGGGTTGGCTTGATCCCCCTCTGGCGGGGTGAGTGGTGGGGTGAGAGCCCGGATGGAGAGGAGGAGCAGGGACTTCTTGGATCAAACGGACAATAAAGGGAAATTGAACTATCAACTCGTGTCGAGGTTTAGATAGGTATATAATCAACAACAAGGACTTTTCGTTTACATACGTCTCATAGAGGTGCTCATATAGCCCGCGAATGCATGCATATAACATTGTTTGTAGCGCAGGGAAAGGTGGGCGATCAGGGAGATGCGCTCTGACAGGGATGGAGTCGGGGCGAGGGGTATGTTGGAAAGCATCTGATCTCGCGGTGAAGTCTATGCAGAGCTCGTCACGCCCGACTTGCAGCTATCAGAGCTGCAGCCATTATCTGCGGGAAGCTCGCTGTCAAGGGCCTGGCAGGCAGATGTACCTCATCCTGAGCTACGATGCTGGACGTCCTGGAGTGCAGGAGAAGAAGGGAGGTGCCACGCCGGCCGCCACATTCCTCAAACCTTGCTGGCGTCCATGCCGTAATCGAGGACCCCCACTCAACCGGGCGACGCTTTCCAGCGCCTTCTATGCTCAATCTATCATTCTATATTCCACATCAGCAACACTCCGAACTAGCAGTACACTATGGCAGACGTCAAGAAGAGACAGCTCGCTTTCAACATGTAGGTATCATTGCTCCTGGGCACGGGAGACTTGGGAGAGAGTGGAGGAGCACAAGGTAACATCAGCTGACTTCTGGCAGTATTGAGTTCCTGAGGGAGTCGTGCCAGAATGGGACTGTCAAGGAGGATGACAAGGAGAGTCTGGAGGTAGCCAGTGAGTCCTTCTCAAGACGAAGCTGGACGGTACAAGAGGGGAATAAGCTCACCTGCAGTCTCATGTATCGGCGAATCGTTCGGTGTGGACCCGGACTCTGCAGCCGACAAGTCGCAGTACACCCTGGCTCCCGCCAACCTCTTGACTCTGCTCGACGTCTACCTCAAGACAAAGGCCAAGTCTGCTCCCGCTCCCGCCGCCACCCCCGCCGCTGCCCCTGCCCCCGCTGCGCCCTCATTTTCCGGCCCCTCCGCTGCGGACAAGGCCAAAGCCGAGGCGCTCAAGACGACAGGCAACCAGCAAATGTCTCAAAAGCTGTACGACTCTGCGATCGAGTCGTACACCTCGGCCATCGCGCTCGTTCCCAACCCAGTCTACTACTCGAACCGCGCCGCCGCATGGGGCGCGATGGGGGAGCACGGGAAGGCTGCGGACGATGCCCATGCGGCTATCGAGCTCGACCCGATGTTTATTAAGGGATACTCGAGGCTCGGACACGCGCGGTTCTCGCTCGGCGAGTGGGACGGGGCGGTACAGGCGTACGAGGACGGATTGGAGATCGATCCCGGAAACGCGACGATGAAGGCGAGTCTGGCAACTGCGCGGGCGAAGGCAAAGGAGGAGGAGGGAGCGTCAGCAGCTACGACGAGTCGGGGAGCGGGGGCTGGTGGAGCTGGGGGCGGAGGTGGGATGCCGGATCTGAGCGCCCTGGCAGGGCTTATGGGCGGTGGTGGTGGAGGAGTTGGAGCTGGACGAGGCGGAGGTGGGGGCATGCCAGACTTGAGCGCGCTGGCGGGTCTGATGGGCGGCGCTGGGGGCGGAGGCGGGGGAGGCATGCCGGACCTGGCGAGCCTGATGAACAACCCTCAGATGATGCAGATGTGAGTCGTCGTCTTTACCACCGGGATCCTAGCTGATGATCCTAGGGCACAGCAGATGATGGCAGGCGGAGGCCTCGACAGGCTCATGCAGAACCCGAATGTCAGGCGGATGGCGGAGCAGTACCAGTCCGGAGGGGGCATGCCGGATATGAGCGCACTGGCGAATGACCCGGAGATGCGGAACCTGTGAGTGTGCTCGCTGAGGAGCTCTAAGGGCCATGGCTGATTACGCAGTGCTCAGTCGTTCATGGGGGGACAGGGTGGACAGGGTGGACAGGGTGGACAGGGCGGAGCTGGCGGGTCTGGGCAATAATCAAAATTGGAGATTTCGATGAATCCTGTCGGAGCGAGATAGCCGGCTATCATCAGGATATGATTAGCCATCCTGCATAGATATGATCCGTCCTCGCAGTACTTGCGCGGCGGTCCAATGAACGTATAAGCCCAGTCCTCTCAGAGGCGCAGAAGGGGATACCGTTGACTTGCCTCCACCTCCACCGGGACGTCCGAGGACGTCCGAGATTCGAGCTTTGAGCTTTGTTGCCTGTTGCCTCCTACGACGTTGCGTACACCTTGCCCGCTCTGGCCGTCTTCCCTGATGATGACCGACGACTTTCAGTCCATCAGCAAGGTGAGTGCGCCTAATGAAGATCTGAGCAAAGTTAACGCTGACCATTGTTTAGGGCGTGTTCATCATCCCCTACCAAGCGCCCGAATGTGTGTCCACCATTGTTACCTTCGGGCTCCCTCATAAGTCGGCTGACAGGACTAGCGGACCATGAAGCTTCAGAATCCGAGGCAGGACCGTCTAGACCGCTCAAGCGGCCTCTCAAGCGATGGTTCGATGAAGCCTATGAGACGTATACCGCTGCTCACGAGGTACGCGTCCTCACCCGGCCAAGCCCAACACCGGGCCAATAACCTGGCATAACTCGCGGTGCTGACTGGCCCAGACGTACGAGACGGAACGAACAGATGAGCAGCTCGAAGACATAGCAGACTGGCTACAAGGCCGGTCTCGGTCAGGCTCAACCTCGGGGGGAGGGCTTCAGTTCGGGTTCAACACTAGAAGAATACCAGTCGGGGTCATGCAGGGTGAGCCTCCACCTCATCCACCTCCTCACAGAATTACAGATTTGAGCTTCCCAAGATGTATGACAGTCAGCTGATCCCTGCAGATGCTTCCCCGCGGCTCACAGCCTTGCTCGGCCAGGTATCGCACCATAGGGTCATCCTTCAGGGAAGGGAGGTGGTCGACCTCGCAGCGGGCATTCGAGGGGTCGCTGTCGGTCTCACAGGCGATGCTGTGAGTATATATGGACTGGAACGTGATGAGACTTGTGAACTGACGAACAGGCCAATCTGGGCAAAGGGGGTCGATCAGGGATGGACGAGGTCCAGGGGTGGTATACCGCCTTACCAGCTGCCAAGCGTGAGTCTGCTTCGCCTCTGCGTTATCTTTTCATGACTATGCACCTCACCCTCACACAATTAATTCATAGCAGTTGACGTCCTCCATATAGGCTGACTTGCGCAGGGACACCATTACTAGTATACATCCAGAACGCCCAGCTTGTCCCAGCGTCAACGCTGTCCGAACTCATCTACGTCCTCTACCTGCGTGCTACTCTACCACTACGCGTTCTGCTGTCCGTGCCGTCCGTGTCCATCTTCATGGACTCTTTATCGCATATCGAGCCGAGTGCGGTCGAGGTGGATGTGCTGGGTCTGGGGAGTAGACGTGCAGGCGGTGGAGTGGTCGGAGCTATACTGAGAGTGGGTTTCACATCATCTCTGATAGGAACTCATTGTCTGTCAAACTCCAGCTGACGAACAAGGCTGGGACCGCATCCCCAAATGATCCGTCACTGCACATCGGCCGAGATCTAATGGCGGAGATCGAGGAGGATGAGAGGATGTTTGCAGGAGGTGCCGCTGCCGCTCTCAAGGGGCTCAAGGTGGGTAACAACGCTAAGAAGAGCTAGAATCTATGGCTTATACCCTCAGTGGAGACTGTTACATCATAGCTTCAACTCGCCGCTCGCTACGATGGCGACCAGCGGAGATCAAGCTCTCCAGGACGTCGAAGCGGTGCTGGACGGAGAGGAGGGTGGAAGGCTCGAACAGCTATTGGAGATCCAGCCTACTCGTGCGGCTCGAGCGGTAAGCCCAGCTCGCTCTTATTCCGCATACGCCGGGACCGGAGCTGATATACAGGTCCTGAACCCAGCACCGCGAGTATCTATTCTGCATGCGCTCTCGACTTCGGGCGCTTATACCGGTCGACTCGCGCGTCACCAGCCGCCACTGCCTGAGCATGATGGCGAGACAGCCCAAGCCCACTCGACTCGCGCACCCGTAGATGAGACGACAGAGACGGCATCGTCATCTGTCAAGCGGCGTCATATGTCTCGACGTACCAGAATCACCTCGGTCGACGAAGAAGAGGTCTCTGAAACCGCCCCTCCCTCACCAGCCGTCGGTTCGGTCGAACAAGCGGTCAATACCTCAGCGGACGAGCGGGGTGATCTGCGCGAGCTGGAGGTGCTCTTCAACCTTTGGCGCAGCGCGGGACGGAACGTAAACCTCTGGGACTGGCTGGAGGGCTTCAGAGGAAGTCTGATGGGTGGGAATGAGAAGCCGGTACGAAAAGAGCAAGATGCAGGAAACGGAGGTGAGAACGGGCAAGGCGGCGAAGAGGAAGCGGATGAGGCGATGGAGGGCAGGGAGCAGGTAGCAGAGCCGGAGGCAAACGAGCGGGCTGATCTGCCGGAGGATGAGGTCGAGGCTGAAGATGAGGAGAAGGCAGCCCGGCTGCATGCGGTCTTTGTGCGGTTCTGCGAGGAGGCGAGGATGCTCGGGTTAGTCAGAGCTAGAGGACGAGCCAAGCGGGCGGACGAGGTCGTCAAGTCCATTGAGCTTGTCTAGACATATGGGTCGCGTACTGCAGCTATCAGATTAGATGCACATGCTCTTGTGATAGGTGGACAAAGTCTGACGCAGAGTGGTGACCGGGGTCTTTCTGCCCTGAATGAGCCGGCAAATGTGGCCCCAGGAGGACAGAGTCTTCTTCTGTAGCTCCCGGACTGAGGTGATTGCGCTTCACAGTACTAGCGTGGCTCCCCTGCCCCTACGGTCTGCAAGTCCCCCTGCACACTGCTCAAATACAGGCGGGGCAGGTCAGCTATAGGATATACCACCGAGGACATTTCGATTGCGGCCTGGACCCAAAATTCCTCGGTGCATCGGCAAGTGGAGCAATTACGGCATTCCTCTCGCTAGGGATCTTGACAGCTTTGAGCGCCCACACCTATAGCTATTGCTCCTCTACCCGTCATTCCTACACTACCCCACTAGACACACCGTACTTCCACCTCTTCGTAGAGCCACACCCCGACCGATAACTCGACAGGGGAATTTGACAGCCTTCCGCCATCGGGGGAGATTCCAGATACCCGCTTTGAAAGGAGGAGGATTGGTCACGCCGAGGTAGAGATCACCCGGGGGACGGTGCTTAGGCCCGCTATAACATCCCTTGTATAGAGGCTTCGCACGGTAAGCCGAGCCACTCTCGATGATGAGCGGCCGCTGATGATTCATTAGCGACCAGAGCGATACTGCTCAAGCCGACATGTCATCCCCGGCTGCACTTCCTACCGGCTCCTCTGCGTCCTCCTCTTCCACGCCCCTATCTCAATCTCAGCCAAAACCCAAATACTCCAGCGCAGCCTTCCTACACCATCTTCATAACGACCCCTCCTCCCATCATGTCTCTCTCACCGCGCCATCGGTGAGGCAGCCCAGTCTACCCAGCGAGCGGGGCGCAGACGAACCCGCACCTGATTCGCGGCTGCTCTCGGAAGACAATGCGCCAGGGTCTTCCGCGCTGGATAGGCCGATGCTGCCCACGCGTCGCTCGTCTGCAGGTACCGCGCGGACCCTCGCCAAAACAGCGTCTACGCCCGGCTTTGTGGACTCGCCTTTAGCCCTGCCGGCTACAACGGTCATATCGACGCTTAGGCGGGCGGGGTCGAAACGCGGTCGACCGATGACTGCTCCAGGCGGATCCCCGGGCGAGCCATTCCTCCCCTCTACTTCGCCAATCGAAGGCAGTCCAGACCATCGTACCGTCGATCGCATGGAGGATCCACCGTACATACCCGCGCAGGATGACTACGATTATATTCTGGACAGCAGACCGGAGGATGACCTGGGGAGCTCGGACGAAGAGTCGCGCGGAATGGATGCCTGCGGGATCTCTGATGTCGATGGGATGGGACAGGCATTGGAGATGATGAGCATCTCTGGGAAAAGGAGGCGAAGAAGGGGACCTACGCGGGTGGTGGGCAGGGCGGATGACTCATCTGAGCGGAGGCCAGAGGAGACGCTGCCCAATACGGATCCGCATGTCCGCGTCACCCAGGAACCTAGCCGTCTGCAGTCCGACCCGTCTCCCAGCAAACGTCCCCCTCGGATGTCGCCCCCTGATCTCGACTGGAGGACATTCGGCAAGGCGTACGCATACGGAAATTTTGACCCAAACAAAACACCGCAAGCTCCGGCAACCGTACTGTCACCTCAACCTCGCATCCCAACCGCCCGTTCGTCCCCCGGCGAAGGCTACAGACCGTCGTCCGCGTCTGCCCTGCTGCACGACACGGACACCTCTAGCTCCCGAGCGAGTGGCAGTACTGGCCCCTTCAGTCAGGCGTCCGGAAGCTCGGATTCCAATACGACCTTTGCCTCGGCGGGATCAGCCCCGCTCGTACCAAGTGGGGCTACTATCGGCAAGACGCAATCAAGCACATCTGTGCCTACCCAGGGCGGTATGGCCGGGGCGCTGGCGGGAAGAGGTCGTGCCTTTGAGTTGGAGACTTTGGCGAATCGAAAGGCGGGGACAAGTTCAGGGTTGCGCTCGAACCAACTGGAATTACCGTCGTACTCGCTTGCCGCGGCGACCGTTCGGATGGCGTCGTCCCACATTCCCTACTCTGGGCTGGCGCCGCTAGGCATACCCAGCCCCGACCGCGAATTGTTGGACCCCATGGCCAGCATGTTCTCTCCATCATCATCTTCGACATTGCGAGATAACGCGAGCTCCGACACCGGTGGGAGCCGCTTTACTCTCAGCCGGTCCATGTCAACAGCTGCGGTACCTCGGGATAGAGCGGGTCATCATCTGCCCACCATCGCGGCCAGTCCCGCTGGCACGCCTCTGGAACACCCTGCTCATGGCAAGGGCAAGGGCATCGAGCTACCTCGTCGCGCTACCTCGCCTCCCCCCTCTTTATCTCGGATACTCGGCCCGGGCGGTATCGTGAATCAACGGATTCCGCCAGCTACCGCCCCGGTGGAGAAGGTTATTGAGGCGGAGAGTGAGGAGGACTACTTTGGTGCAGCGGCAGCACCCAATTACGAGCGGAACCAATCCTACCGGTCTCAATCCTCGTCCAATCAAACGGTCACGCAGACTGCCACCCCGGCAGTCCGTTCCAGAACGCCCGAAGGACTCTCCTCCCAACCCGTCGCCGACGAACCAAAAGTATCTCCTCCCCCTGCGTTTGCTCAACCCGGGGAATTAGGTGCGCTATACGACAAATACGGCTGGCTCCCCGCGCCCGTCCCTCCAGATGAGGCCGCACGTCGTAAGGCGCTCTACCGGTTCAACATCCTCCACACATCTCCGGATGTCAACTTTGACCGGATCGCACACATGGCGAAATTGGTGTTCAGCACCAAGATTGTCATTATTGGACTTACCGATGCCGAGACGCAATGGCACAAGACGGAAACGGGGTTGGGTGCGACAGAGGCTTCCCGATTTTCGAGCTTTTGCAGTCATACGCTCCTGCTCAAGTGGGTCTCCGAATCTATGTGTGATGCGCATTTCAGCTGATGCCTCTGCAGGACCGACGAGCCACTAGTCGTCCTCGATGCCCAGCAGGATTGGCGGTTCGCCAACAATCCAAATGTCACGAGTGCGCCGCATCTCAGATTTTATGCTGGTGCTCCTCTCCGCACCTCCGACGGTCACAACCTCGGCACGTTATGCATTATCGACGACAAGCCGAGAGCGGAGTTTCCACCGCGGAGCAGACTGATCTTGAAGGAGTTTGCGGCGGTGTGTATGCGAGAAATGGAGCTATGGCGGGATAAGGCAAGTCCTTTCCGTTATGCGTGAGCGTTGCTAATGCCTCAGCTCCAGCTCCGAGTCCGCGATCGGATCCAGACGTCGATGGAGCGGTTTACTCGGGAATGTCTCGAAATGGATGCCAAATCATCCGCGTCGTCTGGCGAAGCTTCCACCAAGATGGACAAGGTCTACGCCCGCGCTGCCGAGCTTGTCTGCACCACGCTGGACCTCGATGGCTGCTTCATCCTCGATGTCGGCCACTTTGAGCTGGTCGACGTGGAGACGCCCGAGGGCAAAAAGTCGGTGTACAGGGCGGACCCATACACCGGCGGGGAACAAGAGGACGTTCTAGAGGTGAATCAGGCGTTCGGACCGACGAGTGCACTCCCAGTACTGGGCGCCTCGCCTGCCGCACTACCTACTCGGTCGCTCACCGCTGAGGAACACCAAAAGATGTCGGACTTTTTGCTGTACAACAGGGATGGGCGGATATTTGAGAATGTCGCGCCGAGCTGGATCAGATATATGTTCCCTTCGGAGTTGCGGTACGGAATGGGTGAGTGCTTCAATGACGCAAAGCGCGAGCTGATCTGGCAGTGGTGCCATGCTTTGGCGTATATCAGCAACCTTTCGCCCTCATCGTCGGCTACACGTGCAACAAGGCGAAGCAATACCTCGAGGGGTACGAGCTACAGTTCCTCCGGGCCATCGGCGTCATCATCCTCTCCGCTGTCCTTCGCAGGCGTATGGTACTTGCCGACAAGACCAAATCCATCCTCATTTCCTCAGTCAGCCACGAGCTCCGCACACCCCTCCACGGTATCCTCGCGGCGGCCGAGCTCCTCAGCGATACTGAGCTTGACTCCAACCAGTCGGCATTTCTCAAAACCGTTCAGACGTGCGGGAATACCCTCATCGAGACCGTCAACCACGTCTTGGACTTTACCAAATTGTCTGGCTCGGTCGGGACGTCCAAGGACGCGTCAATCAAGCTCGCCAAGGTCAATTTGGCAAACCTGGTGGAGCAGACCGTGGAGGGTGTGTGGATCGGTCAGCGGGCGCGATTCATGGGGGATTCGGATGTGGGGTCTTTCTATGCCCCACCGTCCTCGGCGTTGCAGGATCGCGCAGCGAGAATGGCAAAGGACACGACGCACGTCGAGACGGTGGTAGACGTGGGACATAGGGATAAAGGATGGATGGTCAGGTGCGAGAGAGGCGGTCTGCGGCGGGTTCTTATGAACCTGGTCGGAAACTCCCTCAAATTCACCAAGGTATGTCGTGAGATCTTGCTTGATGCGCCCAGCTGATCCGCAGGACGGCTACATTCAGGTCACTTTGCGAGAGCTGCCCCATCCGCCAGGTTCCAAAACCATCCCCGTCGAGATGGCGGTCATCGATACCGGCAAGGGCATTGGCAAGGAATTCCTCAAGGACCAGTTGTTCCACCCCTTCTCGCAAGAGAATCCGCTCCAGACAGGTACCGGTCTTGGTCTTGCCATTGTCAACAGCATCATCCGGTCCGATAGCGTCAACGGCAAGGTGGACGTATGGTCGTCGGAGGGGTTGGGGACGGAGATCCGGATCTCGTTCGAGGTGGAGGTGTACGACGAGGAGGAGGATTCGTCCTCGTCATCTTCGTCGGCTATCAGCTCGGCGTCGTCGGGATTCGGGCGAGGACACTCGGTCAGCATGTCTGGTTTCGACACCAAGCATCGCGGCCAGGTACTCGCCCTGGAGGTCTTGGCGACCTATGCGTCTACCTGGTCGTTTGATCTTCGGGATGATGGCGATATCATCATTATCAACGAGGATGAGGAGTTGTTCCGCTCGGCCAGCCAAGCCGGTCGGCCCATCGTCTTTGTCACCTCGACACAAACGCCGTCACTCATGCACCTTCGAGACTTCATCAAGCGGTCAGGCAATTTCGTCCAGGTCATCCACAAACCCGTCGCGCCGACACCCTTTCGCGGAGCCTTACAAGCTGCCGTCGCGTGGCTGGACCGGCAGGAGGATGGAGGGTCTACACCTATCAGTGAAATGGACCGGCCGTCTCTTCCGCGCGGCGAGTCAAACGAGAGCGCGTCGACCATCTCGGACCTGCATCATCGGGACTTTTCGCGGCATAGCTCAAGCGGACCGTCCACAGGCCGACAACCCCTTTACCGACGGCGGTCGGAAGAGCAAGACGTATCGGCGCATGTTCCCCCTCGGCCGAGTATGGCGCCAAGAGGCATCACGTATCATACCGCTCCCGTGCGCCCACCTCCTCCTACGTCTTACCGATCCGCATCGATTTCGGGAGACACGGACTCGGACTCGCCACAGCCTGGAAGTCCGACGTCCTCCACATCACATATATCGCACATCTCGACCATCTCCTTGGCTGGTGGTGGCGTCATGCTGAAGGCGGCGCAGCTGGCCCCTTCCGCACCGCGACCTGATGGCAAAGCGAGGGTATTGGTAGTAGAGGATAATGTCATCAATAGGCGGGTACTGGGAGCGTTCCTGAAGAAGAAGGCAAGTCTCACCTAGCCGAGTCTGGACTCGACTAACTTTACAGGGTTGCGAGTATGCCGAGGCCTTTGACGGTCGAGACGGTGTCGACTTGTTCGACTCGACACCCTACAACCACTGGGACATCATATTGATGGACATTTCCATGCCAAACATGAATGGTCATCAAGCGACCAGGGCGATTCGTAAGATCGAGGCCAGCCGGAGAATGGGCAGACCAGCCGAAACGCCGCTGGTACCAGAGGCTGGGCAGCCTATCTTATTACCCTCTCCCAGAGTTGTACAATCGCGGGCGAAGATATTTGCGTTGACGGGGCTGGCGACGGCGGAGGATAAGCGGGAGGCGTTCGGGAGCGGGGTCGATGGATAGTGAGTTCGGAACCGGAGGTGAAGACGAGGCGCAAACTGACAGTGGCAGTCTGGTCAAACCTGTATCTCTCGCTAGTTTGGATGTGGTTTTCAAAAGTGCGTGTCTCGATGTTTGAAGGGAAGAGGGCTGACAATCGCAGAACTTGGCTATTGAGCTAGATGTATCGTTCCCGACCGACAGAGCTACACGTTACAAGGAGTAGAAGGCATATCTCGGCATGCCCAGTTATAGCATGCATGTACTAAGATCTACCAGACGGCAAGCTCAAGCCCGCCATGATACGTGGACAGCATCCGTCCGAAACCTGGCATATGAGCACATGAATCATGTCATTGAGGAGGGACTGACCGCTGCGTGACCGAGGTCTTCTCTATTGGCGTCGTTTGGCCCATCCGGAAAGCCAGAAGACCGGCTTGAGCGATCATGATACCATTGTCGATGCAGAAGCTGAGAGTTGAGGTCTGACGATAGCGGACAGGCAGACGACGCACCTTTCATCCGTGGCGAATACCCTTCCATTCCGCTCTGACGCCATAATCCCCATCATCTCCTGCAGTCTCAAATTACACCCCACGCCTCCGACTATGAGCACGTCTTTCGCGCCAACGTGCGCCATCGCCCGCTCGGTGATCTCAACGAGCATGGCAAACGTCGTTTCTTGAAGCGAAAAGCAGAGGTCTTGAGGGGTGATGATGTCCGTTTCCGTCTTTCCCGCGTCGGGAAGCTGCGCCCAGGACCGATACCGCTTATCTTGCGTATACGCCTCAACGGCTGAGAGTAGTCCAGCGAGGGAGACGTCCATGCCCTTCGTGCCATACGGGAGCGGCAGCAGCCTCTTCCCCCTGTCCTTCAGCGCCGCCAGTGAGGAAAGTGGGTGAACAGCTTACTTTCGCGCCTCCTGCTCGATGTTGTACCCCGGACTTGGATCATTTCTGAGCCCAATCACTCTGGCAAACCTGTCCAGGCAGTTCCCTATTGCGATATCTAATGTCTCGCCAAAGATGCGATACCTTTGTTGCGAGTAGGCGATGACTTGGGTGTTTCCGCCCGAGACGTAGAGGACGATAGGGTTATGTGAGGAGGTGATCTGTCGACCCATCTCGATGTCCGCTCGAATTAGCTCGACACCTTTTGGTCATGATTTGGACTCACGGCCAACGCAGTGGTTCACGCCCACCAGCGGTATATTGTGCAGTAGCGAGAGCGTCCGCGCAACAAGAGCGCCAACCTGCAGTGGCGTACCCATCCCCGGTCCTGGTCGATGAGCTCACTCCTCCGCTACAGGGCTTGCGGCTCACCCTTCGTGAAGGCAATACAATGAAGATCTTCCATTCTTACGCCAGCCTTCGTGACCGCCTCCTTAAGCACCTTGACAACCCATTCCCGATGATGTCTGGCAGTATCACTGGGTAAGAACCCCTCGCCTGGCGGGGTGATGTACGTATGGCGAACATTCGAGAGAACGACAACCTTGGTGGCCTTGCCGGACCCAGAAGCAGATGGCTCGTGGGCTATCACACCGCAGCCGAGCTTGTTGGCTGAGCCTTCAATACCGAGGCATAGTAGTCGGTCGGCTGTGCGATGAGCTGGAGCTTCATGTGGAGTACCGGCTAGGGCTTACTTGGCTTTGCTAGAGGCGAGATCTTGCGCTTGCTACCAGATGCTTGAGTCATGGCTGTGTCCTTGGAGCTCATATACCGCCGTTGGTCGAAGACGGCGAAGAAGTTGATGCTAGTTGGTCCAATGAGTTGGTCTATGGTAGCTGGTATGTCGAAAGGTGATGGGTAAATTCCGCAACTCATCTATGTACACTTTTGACATCACCTCTTGTACAGCTTTCGACCTCGACAACTTGCATGCCCTCCCGCAGTAAGGGTGGACGCAAAAATACGCAGCGCAAGACTACCTACGCGGCCGCCAAGATGGCTCCAGCAGAGAAGGCCGAGCGAGGTCCGCTGTCCTACGATGATGGACCGCTCGTCTGGGTGGGTCATCTTTCTGTCGGCGGGCTGCGGGCAATCAGGTACACAGACATACAGCCCTAGCGGCATATTTCTCGCTCCTCTGACTACTGGCAAGATGCGCAGGCTTATGTACTGATCTGTCAAGGTAGACTGCGAGATGACCGGGCTGGATCCGAGCGACCGCATCATTGAAATCGCGGTGATTATCACGGATGGACGCCTCAATGAGGTGGACGAAGGGATCGAATTTGTGATCCAGACACCGAAAGATGTACTCGACACGTAGGTTGCTGTCCACCGTACCATAAAGTGCAGAGCGATACCATGAGGTCTTACTGATACTGCAGCATGAACGAGTGGTGTGTCAAGCAGCACGGCCTCACTGGTCTTACTCAAGCTTGTATTGACAGCCCGCACTCGCATGAGGATGTCCATCAGAAAGTTGCGGCTTACATCAGGAAGTGGATTCCGGAGCGGGGAGCTGGCCTTTTGGCGGGTAGCAGCGTACATGCAGACAAGGCGTGAGTCGGCCCGTTCTGTTCTGTCGGGGTACGGTGCGGAACGGTAAAAGGCGCTGACATTTCTAGCTTCTTGCTGCGAGAGATGCCAGATATCACTAGCCATCTCTCATACCGCATACTTGGTGAGTGGGCCATTCGGCGGTCGGGGGTGAGCTGATTCTCGTGCAGACGTGAGCAGCATCAAGGAGATCTGCAGGAGGTGGTATCCTTCGGTGACCCAAAAGGAGAAGGGCGTACGACGGACAGGCGTCTCTCACAGGCAAGTCCGGACGTGACTTCCTGCTCGATACTGAAGCTAACGTTAGCAGGGCATTAGACGATATTCGGGGGTCCATGCGGGAGCTCAAGTTCTACAGGGATAACCTCTTCATCCCCCTCGAGCCAGTCTCAGAGCGCAGAAAGGATGACCACAAGAAGTCAGACGGCGTCGCTGAGCGACTGGCCGAGAAGATGAAGGCATTGTGATGCATGCTTTTACCTCGTGGCTGCTTCTGCATTGCTGCGGAGCGCCCGGGCCTCAAGCTGATAGTACCGTCGCTTCCATGGGCGCACCGCACGGGAACGCCCTCATACGAAGCTCTTGTGTATGACCACGGCGTCCACGTACTCCTCGCCCTTGCCGTCCTTGGTCCGCAGACGTCCAGCACCAGGGATAAGCCCAACCCGCTTGAAGCCGAGTGCATCCCAGAGCTTGAGACTGGCGATGTTGTCTGCTCAAATCAGCAATTTGCTTCACAGCTCTCTTGCTCAAGTCTCCATCGTTGTCGACTTACTCTCATAGACAAGATTGAAGACGCTCGCACGGTATCCTAGGCGAGGTGCATACTCCAGGAAGGCCTTCGCCAGGGCTCCACCAATCTTCTTGCCTCTTTGCACAGGCGGGACCAAGAAGCCGGAGTTACAGTTCTGTTTTGTCAGTAACCTTCTTCGTATAGCCCTAATAGCTTACATGGCTTGATCTTCCTGGATAGTTCGGCTTTCTACGCATGTCAGCTGAAGCAGGCATTCAAATATGTTCATTGCTGACTCACATGTAGTTGCATCCACCGATGGCTTCCTCGACACTGCGACCTGCCGTCGCTTCTTCCAGTGACTGAGGAGCCTTCTCGAGGGGTGTCGAGTGTACAACCCCGATGATAGTTGTCGAGGAGAAGAAGTACGCTTTGTACGCCTCGTACCCCATGGGTCCTTCTTGTGGATAAGTCCTGCCTTCTACCCCATTGTCAGCTTGCGCTGTTCACTTTGACTCCATACTGGCATCTGACTTACCTTCTAGCTCCGCTTCAAAGATCTTGTGGAAATACCGCATGACCTCCTCGGAGGCTTCGCCGTGAACAGCGTGGGTGGTGAGTTCTGCACCGCCGGCCAGGGGGTAGGAAAAAGCCGGCAGCTCCTCGGCGAGCTTCGGGGCAGCGATAGAGCCGTATGCCATGTCTGCGCAAGTCTGATCAGTATCTCAGCAACGATGAGATAGTAAGCAAGCAAAGAAAGTCCCCTTGAAACGTGAAAAGGCGAGAGGCCGCGGGCAGCACCGGCAGCCAGGCCGCCGTTGGCCGGGGCGAGGAATGTGTAGCTGGGGGTGTGCTGAGTTTTGACGGTCGTATATCTGCGCCGTGAAGCCGCTGCCCAGCCTAAGCTCATATGGCTGCGCTTCGTGAGATTGCTGTATCTACATTCCTATTCATATATCACCATATATCACCTTCTAAGGCTACAACTTGGTCAAGAAGAGGCATTCCCCTCAGCACTGCATCATCTATCCATTCATTCCACCCATCCCACCCGTTTGCGCCGTGTGACCCGGTACTGCCTGACCTCCACCGCCGTACCCCATGTCCACATCAGACAGCTCCCCGCTGTCCACTTTAATCCCAAACATGCTTGCCCACATCTGCGGGTACGCCAGCTGTTCCGGCCCGTTGAAACCGTCTCCGAGGAGGCCGTACGGATCGGTCTGGAGACTTGTGTATGCTGCTGGATTGACTGCCGGAGGTCCGAGATCGGTGTGACCCGACGAACCGGAGGCGGGATGTCCGAGATTGGGCGAGACCGAGGGTGGGATTATAGCCGGAAAGCCCTTGATCTGGGATAAGGGTGTTGTGGTACGTTCGGGCGCGCCGTCCGAATTGCTCCCCTGACCCATTCGAAAGTCGTTCAGAGGTGAATGATGGATGGTCGTGCCATACTGGGCAGTAGAGGCGTTTGAAGGGCTGCGACGTTGTTGGGTGGCGGCCCTAATGAGTCAGCTCCGCTTGTATACCCGACACGGGCATCACTTACACAGCCAACTTCTGCAACTTGACCAAACCATGGCAGAGATCTGCCTGTACAGGATGTGCAATGTTCCAGCTCGAGATGCGGTCTTCGAATATGGCAATGGCTCCCCGGAGGCTGGCCAAGCAGTTGGTTGCGAGTTCGGTATTTGGTTCTCGTATCGCTAGGAAGGCACAGACGGCGCCAGCGTGGAACGCCTGCTGTCAGCACGAATACAGAAATGCTAGAGCTCACCCTGAAGGACATGGTCCACCACGACCAAAAGATGCTAGCTTTGCTCTTGGATCCGACGGCATATGCAGCCAGCAAGACTTTGGCTGACCGAAAGCATATCTCTGAGGATTCAGGGTACGCAGCAGGATCCGCTCGGAGATAAGGTCTGTGCAGGATCATACTGATTATCAGTACTCGCCTGGTACCTTTGTACTCACACTATCATGAATGTCTTGACACACAAGGCCAGTGTCTGATTGACCCTCATCGTACTCCTCGTCCCCGTCAGGCTCTCCGCTGTATCCTCTTCTGACTCAAAACGCATGTGGCGCGGGACAAGCGAGTACCACTGCAAGATGTCCTGCGCGAGCCGGATCGCGTCCTCGTAGGTGTGTCCCACCTGCTCATCCTTCTCCTTGGTAGCGCTTTCCGAGTCCGGGCGGCGAGAGAACCAGCCGTATATCGCTGAGCGAGAGTAATTCCACTCGATCCGGAAGATGCGGTCCAGCAGCTCGAGCGAGGGGATCGTGAGTTGATAGTAAGCCGCATGATAGGTCATGTCGGTGGTTTCGTTGTTGAGCACATTTGACGGTGGGAGGGAGATCGCGGCGGAGCCGGGCACTTCGGAGAGATTGTCGTCTGTCCGGTCTTGGGGAAGGTTGGTAGTGTAGAAGGTGATACTGCTGGGTCGACCGAAAGAGACGCAGAAGAGAGCATCGAGCCCAGCTACGGTCCACCTGATAGTCAGCCTTGGGTACGGGAGAAGCTGAGGTTACTCACCAGATCCTCCGCCGGACCTCCGCATCTCTCATAGATATCTTGCCGTCCAGACTGAGTGGATCCTTGTGCAGCCCCATCGCGATGCACTGCCGCACCAGCGCGCCGATCTGACTCCAGGCATCTGCTGCCCGCTCGGAGTTGAGGAGATAGACGTTGATGAGGATTTGCGCCTGGATTGTGTATATGGTGGGATTTGACATGAAGGAGCATAGTCGAAGCGCTTGGTATGAGGCGGATACTGCTGTCAGCGAGTCCAAGAGTGATGCTCACAGTATAGTTCGCTCTGGAGACGACTCGCAGTGAGATCCTTGGGGTCACGATCGGGCATGAGCCCTCTACTTGTGGCCTGAATGGCTACAGCCCGATCGGGATGACCAAAGATTTCAGATTTCGATGCCCTCACGACGCAGCCTGTACTCAGCTGTGTGCTAGCTGAAAGCTTACCTAAAGCGCAGATCATCAGATACACCGATAAGCTCGAGAGCGGCACGTTCATCTTTTCCAAGGTCGTCATGGTGAAGAAGCGGCGAAATCCTGCCTCGAGAGTGGGGGTATGCCAAGCGACGAAGAAGGCGCAGATCTCGTCATGCCAGCTCTGTAGGAGTCTATGGGTCAGCAAGCCCCAGGTGCCGACTCACAGCTCAGCTTGTTGCTTGTTGGGGAGCAGACCGATAATCTCGCCGCTGAAGTTTTCGTGGCTCCATATAGTGGTGAAGGGGAAGGTCTTGCGCACATCGGGAAACCAGCCTGTAAAGGCCAACTCGTCTGGGACCGAGAGCAGGTCCTCTTCGCCTTCGAGAGCAACGCTTCGAGCCTCTCCTAGCGTCTCGGGTGTCTGTGCCGACATGAGTTCGCGCAACTGCTGCATCAGCCCAGATCCCTCGAGCGTGGACGGCACTTACCCTTCGGAGCATGCTCTTCCCTGCCGGTGCGCCCAGGAACGTCTTCCTCCCCGACCGATCGAAAACAATCTCCTCGCCGGGCAACAGGCTGGTCTTGTACAGCTCGCCCATGTACTCTTTGCCCACTGCCTTCGCCATGGAGGTATCGCCGTCTGATGCGCTCCGTTTGTCCCGTACCACGCCCATGCCGCTCGCCGTCGGCCCAGCCATTGACAGAGCCCTTGTCCCTCCTGTCCCCGATCCACTGGCCACCGTAGACCCGGCAGCAGCAGCTGCAGCAGCCACTTCTGCCATCGCCGCCTCGTCAATCTTGAATCTGGCGTACCGGTCGACAATCACCCGCCGTTTCTTGTTGTCCTGGCCGACCTTGTCGACCTCGTCCGCGTCGCTAATGTTGAGTATGGGGGTGGTCGCTCGTGATCGAGATGATCCGGCCGCAGCAGTTCTGGGAGGCTGGCGTTGGCGAAGCTCGCGTACGACCTGTTCCAGTTCCGCTACTCGACGCCGGAGTCGGTCTTCCTCTGCGATCGAGGGGTCTTGTCTATTCCGTCAGCTGACGGACTCAGACCAAGATCGAGGGCGGACTGACTGATCTCTCGCCTCATCCACTTCATATACGCAAGACCCTGTCAACGCCAGAGCGGTACACCTCGAGCAAGGTCTCTGTCGGTCGCACTGCAAGTCAGCCTAGTCCCTCGTAGCGACTCACTTTTCGCTTGTGGTTGTGACACGGGACACAGCTCCGTATAGTTCTATTCCTCTTTCTCTTCCTGTGATCCATCTTGCTCTCATCCTCTCCACCCATATCATCATCTTCCTCCCCGTCTCCATCCGCCCCATCGCGATTGGGGTCTTCTTCCTCCTTTTTGCGCTGGGCCTGTCCCGTTGACTGGCGCCGAGCTTTCGCTGTCATTGACCCTTTCCGCGAGGGACCCCCCGGCTCCTTCTTGACCTGCACGCCCGCCGTACTGGGTCTCGAACCGCCAGTATCGCTCTGTGACTCTGTGGCATTATCGACCCGGGCAGACTTGGCGGGCGGAGGAGGACGCGAAGGCTCTTCCTGCATCGTAGGCAGCGGAGCTACGAGCTGAACCCCGCTAGGTCCTGCGTGCAACGGCTGCACGCCCCACGGCTGTGTGAGCCGTGGGTCGACATTGGCCATTACGGAGCCCCAAGCGTCGTATGCCGAGGACAGGTTCTGGTTGATCTGGGAGCTCCCATCGCCTTGTGTATTGTGCGCCGACGAGGGGAATAGCTGGTACGGGTCGACCGGTGTGGCCGTCCGAGGCAGTCTTGGATCGCCGGCATGTCCTCCTAAGCCCCTCTCGGCAGGAGGATTGAACATGAAGCCCTCCCCCACCTTCGCCGACTCTGGCCGGTGCGAGCTGGGAGTTGTCGCCCATTCAAAACGATTCCCGCCCTGCTGTCCGCCTCCCTGCATCACCGAGTAATCCTGCGCTTGCGGCCCGTGCGATCCCTGCTGCTGGCCATGTATGCCATAGGATAGTTGTTGTTGCTGTTGCCGTTGCAAATGAGTGGATGGATAGAGATCAGGGTTTAGGTTGGGATAACCTGTGGTGAACATAAGGTTTGAGCCGAAAGGAGGTATTGAGTGGGGGAAGGACGACTGTGCTGATGCCGAAAAGTCGGCCTCGGGTCCGTCACCGGCGCGTTGTGGTGTGGAGGAGCCGCCGGGACCTTGCGCAGCGCTGGAGCGCCGAGAGTGGGGGTTATTCTGTCCATCAGGACCGACAGTAGAGGAAGCCTGGGTATAGGGATTGTATAGGTTGGACGGGTTGGCGGTGGAGGCCGCCGAGTGGGGAAAGGTCCCATTCTGTTGCTGCGCCATTATAACGTCTCTCTGCACGCCGAGGTGGTGGGATGCGACCGGTGTGCTGGTGCTAGTTGAGGCCGAGGTAGGTGGTGGCGAGGTTTCCGGCAAGGCAGCATCTCTGCACGCCCGAGGAGGCGAGTATTGAAAATGGAAGTCGAGACGTCAAAGCGACGCTAGCGGTGATTGATTGAGGTGGGTGGTTTTGCTGACACTCCTTATGCTCTTGCGAATGCAGGTCACCTGTTACTTGTAGATAGGATAGTGTATGGTGATGGGTAAGGTGGGGCCATGAAGGCGCGTACATGTACCAACCGAGTCGTCCACATCACTGCCGCCTGCAGCTGCTTCTAATTACGAAAATGGCCAGGCTGGAGGCAGATTTCGATCATTTACCACATGGAAGGCGATACTTCGGAGAATTGGCCTATACAGCAAAGTTCAAGATCCGCGATCCGCGATCTAGGAGTCAGGGCAGCTGCGCGAGTTGCGCTCGGGAAGGGAGCCGCGGTAATTTTGGCCAGTCTGCGGCTCCGAACAGCGCGTGTGAAGACTGTGTGAAGGCGCTGAGACATGGTACTCAGAAGGCGCTCCACCTCGAATCCGAGCTTCTACTAGGCTCGGTGAGTTTCTCATTCTCGACGTACGACTACGCCGTATGCATCTCTGTACGCATGGTGGCCTTTCGCATTACGCCTAAAACGCCTGCGCCGCATGCTAGAAATTCCAGACAACTCATCATCTGCAGTTCCATATTACGGCTACGCAGACGTTCCGCCAGCTCTCCCTGACATCTGCCGATCTTCGTACCGAAGACGCTGATCGCGACGACGGCTCCGCCTTCGCAAGACGGAACGCGCGATAGCGCGCGCGTAGTGGCAAGACGCATGAGGGAAGAGTGAGATCATCTGGGATGATCTTCTCGGCCGTTGGCAGTCACGATGCATAAGCGACATAGGCGATATCTCGGCTCAACAGTGCGCGATTTGATGGAGTGTCGCACTACTGTACTGCAGCTAGTCGGGCCGGACAGCGTCAGAGGCGCATGGGCGCGGGCGCGGGCATTGGAGCTGATTGGGCATGGATACCACAAGCAGCGTCACAGGCAAGAGGCATTCGGGGGGTAGATCCCCGCCAGGCGGATAAACGTCGGTTCGGGGAGATTCCTCAGCTGAGGAAAGAAGACAAGTTCGCGTCAGTGTCTGCCCCGGCGCCCATCGTCACTGACCTGACCAGCGGTATCGGTGAGGTACTGCAGATCGATCGTGCTGAAAGTGTCTCAGACCATGAGGGCCCCTCAATCTAAAGCTCTTGGCTTCCCCAGGTGGCAGTCTCCACGATGGCAAGATCCGCCCTCTGAGGCGAAGATCGGTACCAGAACTGATGGGCTGATAGCAGCTGCCTGTTCGTCCTCGCCTGCGGCACTGGACCGGACACTTCGCCAAGCAGCGGCAAAGCGAAGAGCGTCTGCAGCCGTTCTCCGCGCGCGTTACGTGCGTTACATGGGGTTACGTACGATGTTCAGATCCAGGTCCGACCCGAAAGCTAAAATGTCCGAAGTCTCAAATCTGGTCCCGACCACACGGCCGAGCGACGGACTTGTGGTCGGTCAAGGAACGGGGCAACTTGAGGGCTACCACACACACACCGTGTCCCTCCACTCATCCATCACCCATAAACTCGCACTGCATCACAACTCAATCCCGTTCAAAGCTCAGACCCATGCCCTTAAGATCGCTGACCTGATTGTGTTTTGCGGTCTTGGCCCGCTCTGGCCTCTGTGCTCTCTGTATCTGCTGCGCAGTGAGCGTGGAGTGGCCCGGTGGATCTCGGATCTCGTTCCCCACTCTGGAGATTGTGTACGACACGCACAAACAGCGACTTACTGCTCTGCACGATGCTGTGCTTACGCTGATACTGATGCACGACCACTTCTTACTTCTTAAAAAGCAACGAAGCGGTGAAAAATTTCTCCCGACTCCCTTCATTCACTTTCACTCGGTACATGGCGCAGCAGTTCGGGCACGTCATCATGTCCGGCTCAGAACTAGCCCCTTCTATGGACGCCATGAGCCGCGTCCGACCTTCCGCTGCTCTCCGCCTGATCTGGCTCATCTACATACATTGCACCATCAACATAAGACACACGCGCATCATCTTGCCGGGATATGGAAAGCGATGGGGTGAGTACAGCCAGCGCTGCATGCTAGTCAGACTCCAGCAATATTGTAAGCTCATGTCGCAGTGCTCTTCCCACACATTGTCGCAGGCTTAATGGAGATCTTCTATTTTGCCATCCTCGACCTTTGGGCTGATCCCTCTCCTCCCGGGATGATCAGCCTCCTCCTCTGCGTGGTCCAGAGCGTGACGAACGCCATACTCGTATGGGACTTGAATCTGGGGATACCCGAGATCACTCGTAAGCTCAAGTCCGGCCCTCGCACGTACCCATCACTCAACCTTGAGGTATCCAACCCGGACATCCGCGCTTTGCTCCTTCCGTCCATACCCATAGCCCCGACTGATCAACCCCAGGTCCGACCTACCTCACCTCAGCGATCCTCCGCCCCCTCCTCTCCATCTCCGCCCACGTCCTCGACTCTCCAGACCTCCACATCATCTCCACCTACATCCTCGACGCCTTTATCTACGCCCGGTTGCTCATCAAATACCTGCGCCCGACTGTACCCCCTTACAGACCCCGGTACGCCATGGCCATCACGGGCTCGGCGCTGATCGCTGCGGGCTCGGGTGGATGGAGAGTCGGCGCATCAAGCGGCGTGGGAGCGTTGAAGGGCGCGGTGGGGATCGTTGGGATCTATAGCGGGGTGATTTTGGCGTTGATGGGGATCAGGGCGTGGTGGAAGGGCAAGCGGGCTGTGGTTCCGGTAGCGAGTGGCATCGAGGAGGGGACTGGAGTTAAGTAGATGATGTGTGTAGAGCAGATATTCAGCTAGTGAGCGGACAGTACCATAGACGTATACATATAATACCTATATTCAGCGGTTACAACTCGATATCTTCCGCATGTAACCAAGTCTGCCGAACCTTCCCCCTCGCTCACCCCTACTCCTCCCCCTCCAGCCCAAACACATGCCCCATCCCCTCCCTCCCCAGACCCGTATCCGCACTCGGCTCATCCTCCCCTCTGATATCCTCCATCCCCTCCATCCCCAGCCCCAAGCTCATATCCAGCCCCATCCCACCCGCCCCACCCCCCATCTGATCATTCACAGCATCCATGAGATGCTGCGGATCTTCCGCCCAATCATACTCTTCTCCGTCGTGCCCATACCCCTGTCCATCACCCCCTACATCCTGACCCTCTCCCCTGCCGGATCCTTGCCCTCCTCCTGTCCCATCCTGACTGCCCCCGGCCATCCCCTCCCCAGGGTCCACACCATCCGCAAATCTCCTGACCACCTCCCTAAACTCCTCTCTGTTCTGCTTCAATCTCATATCCCTGATCAAGTACCCTGGGAACTTTCTCGGCCGCCCCCTCGCTCGCTTTACGCCCGCCGCAGCATCCGCTTGGCGCTGGAGGTACTGCTCCAGCTCGGCACCTGTGCGTACTTTCGGAGGCCGGCCGACGCGCTTCGGAGGGCCTTCGGTCTGCTTGCGCGCCTTTTTAGACGGGGGAGGAGGGGTGGCGAGACTACTCTCTGCCTCGAGGTCCAATTGAGCTTGGGTCTTTGGTTTGGGCTTGTTCTTCGATCCGGCCGGACGACCGCGTTTCCGCTTGGGAGGAGCAGAGGGGTCGGTAGAGTCTACGGACTCGGCGCGAACGGGGAGGGAGGGACCAGTGACGGATGATGCGGGGATGGCGTGCGCCTGCAGCGCGGTCGACATGGCCAGGTCGAGCTCGGATTGGCCGATCGCATTCTGATGGCGGAGCGCTTGCGCGCTGGATTCGGCGTGAGCGTGAGGGGGTTCGGGGTAGTCTGGGAGGAGGTAGCTGGGCGAGGTTGGAGATTGGGGAAAGAATGAGTCTGGAAAGTCAGCTCTCTTCGCATTCGTTTAGCTCACTGATCTGCTCAGAAGTCATATCTTCCAGCGTATTCTGGATATCCTGATCCATCCCCTCTGCAGCGACAAGGTGCGCCGAGATAGCCGCGACGGTCTGCGCGTCCGTCAGAGCTTGTGTGAGCGCGGCGGTCGAATCTACATCGGCCGGCGCCATCTCTAGCGATTGATTCTGCCCGTCAGCTATGTCCCGCCGCTGGCTCGAGATAGCTCACCTGCTGTGCATTCGTCAAGCTCTTGACGATCTCCCGGATAGTCGGATCAAATTCTTCCCCTAGCTCCGTACTCCTACTCGGTCCAGCAACGGCGTTACCTCCCTCGCCGACCAGCGAAGGATCAATGACGGATACCGCCTGACCGAGCGTCTGGGGCTGAGAGGCAGAAGCGGCGTGGTTGCTGACCCGCCGTCTGTTATTCCGACTGGTGTCGACTGAGGCCGAAGTTGGGCTTCCGAGGTATGAGGTGGACGCGACGGGATTGGCACGGACGGACTGGACGACTTGTTCCAGCTCGAACAGAGCCGGGTCGATAGGGATATCAAAAGCAGGAAAGACTGCGCCGCTCAGTACCTGTGGGGTTTGTTGTGCAGGCGCGACGCCCAACCCTACGCCGACTCCTACACCGACGCCGATAATCGACCCGGACCCGCCATGCCCCGCACCAATCCGCTGTGGATGGTGGACATGCGAAGGGACCTGCTCGGCCGGGATGATCCCGACGTTGACGGGCGCAGGGGCGGTGCGGGACCGGCGCGATGTCGAGGGAAAGAAGGCGAGAAGGGCTGGGTCGATCTGGATCCCTTGCATGCTTGCAGCCGTCGGGTGGGGTGAGGGTAGTGGTGGGTGGGGGAGCTGGGAGGAATAAGAGAAATGCACGAAGAGGAAAGACCAACCAGCGGCAATCAGGGAGGGGAACCTGATTCCGGAATTGAAAGTACCAGTGGCCGGAGCTATTGCCGCAGAACGCCGGGATGTCCTCCGGCGTAAACGCAGGTGCCTGTCCATGCTGTCCACCACCTAGGTGGTCAATGGGCCAGCACCCTCCTGCTGTACCTGTCAGTACATCCTCTACGACCTAGCTACAATGGGCTTGATCGGACTCCCCCTGAACATTGTCAAGTATACGGATACATGGGTACAGCCAATCTCAAAGCACTAATAACCTATTGACAAGACGATTCCTGGCAGGAGAGCGGGAGAGCTCGTGACGTGTACAATCCCCTCACTCGCGCTCAAAACGCCTGCTCCGACATCCGCCTGCTGACTCTCCCGCTCTCGCCTCCTCCCGCAATGTGCATCTTGCCAAACTCCATCCCGAGCCCCTGCGCCGCCTTACCCCCCTCCATGCCCCCGCCCGGCATGTGGATGCTGCTCTCCATCGGCGGGGTCTGCGCCTCGTCGTCATCACTCCCCGTATCCGTCTCGTCGTTCGAGAGACTCATGAAGCTCTGAGACGGGCTGGTCTCGAGCACCTGCTTGTTGGCCGGTGCGGCGAGTCCGTCCGCCTCTTTGTCGGACGAAGGGAGGGCGAGCTGGTCGGTGTGCACGATCTGCGCGAGGCCATTGCGGAGCAGCATCGCCTCAGCCCGAAGACGCTTCTCGGCGCGGTACCTCGCCTCGGGCTCCGCATCGCCGTCAAAGAGCCGGGCGAAGCGCGCCGAGTCGGTAGATACGAAAGCGACGTCCCCCAGGTGCTCGGCCAGGCGGTCAAAGTCGGAGGTAGAGAGAGACTTGAGGTCGTCAAAGAGGGCCATAGGGACGGGGGAGAAGGTGAGGAGGGAGGGCATGTCCCGGTGGACCTTGTGCGACGTGGAGGGGTAGGTGTCGTCGAGCGCCGAGAAGAGATTGGTGAGGATAGTCTTGATGGCGACCGGGGTGAAGCGGCCTAGCCCATCAGCTGTTGTTTCACATTTGGTGACCTTCAACTCACCGTCAAACTTCCACCTGATCTCACCGACGCCCCATGTGCCAAACGCAAACTCCCACCTCGGCGTGAGGCTATACTCGGCGAGCCGCTTGCGCTCATCCCGCTCCTTGACCTTGGCCATGTCGAGCGGCTTGGGCTTGGTGAGCGACAGGCTGGGCAGCCCGGTGTGTGGGAAGCCAGTAGTGCCGGAGAAAGAGCGCTGGTTTGGGCCTGGCGAGGCGGCGGGGGTGACGGCCGGAGTGACGTTGTAGGGTGTCGGAGCGGTCAGGTTGGGTACAGGGAAGCCGCCTGTATGTCAGCGCGGTATAGGTGAATCGAGTGGGAAGGAAGAGGAAGGCGAGAGAAGGGGGTATATGCTTACCTTGGATGACCAACTTGCGCAGATTGCCCTTGGACGCCCAGAGATCACCAGCGGCGATGATGGCGGGGTGGACCAGCACGGTCGAGAGTGTCTGCTGCTCCGCGGGGTGGTCGAACGCATTCAGCCTAAGTGTTAGCGTCTTTCACCTCCATCTCGGGCGAGAACAAGGGAAGGATGATCACAGCAAAGACATACCAGAGCACCTCGATAGGGTTCAGCGCACAGAGAACCTCGCTGAGACACTCCATCCGCTCCTCGCTGTCCTGAACATACTCGCCGCCGCGGAGGGTCACGCGATGGACGGCCGGGAGGTAGACCTCACCGCAGTCCTCCATAGACTCCGAGTTGTGCTGGACGAACCGAAGGTCGATATCGATGTGCTCGATGGATGCGCCGGCGGTCGAGGGGAGGCGGAAGACTCCCTCGGTAGGATGGAAGAACTTGGTCCATGACGCGAGGGAGGCGATACGTGCGATGTTGGGGGATGACATGCTGACTGATGGCGGATATCTGTGCGGGGAAGAGAAGGAGGGTTGTTCTTGTACTTGGACAAGAAGAGGAGAGGGGCACGTTTCTTCGAGTAAAGAAGCGAGTTGGGTGTAGATCACTGAATGTTCTGTGATGGGCGTGAGGAAAGAAGCCGAGAAGCTTGCGGCTGTTTATATAGATCTTTCGAGTGTGTGCGGGAAGTGTAAGCAAGTGCCGCCTCTTTTTGATGGGGAATTAGGGGGCGGGTCGAGCTTATATCCTTTTTCCGTTCCTTTCGGCTCTCTTAGCTCGGGCCTCGGCCTGTTTCGGATTTGGCGTGGTGGGTCAGATGACATCAGAAGAAAGGAACGGGTGACACAGGAACCATGCGGCGAGGCTGTGCGGCGCGCGGCGCGCGAGGCGAGAGGCGAGAACGGGGCAACGCAGGAGAGGGTACCGTTGAAACCACAACTTCGTCATGAGACCCGCTTGCGGTGCGCTGAAACATCCCAATGGCAACTGGGGTAGTCCTTTGCGGCTAAGGACGTCATGGGATCTACCGTATTTGGAGATGGTGCCTTGCGCGGGGAGTTGTGTGGATGTGGGGAGGCGTGTGTGTCTCAGCAGATTTTCGGGGTCGCTGCCGCCGGCTTCATTTCGGCGTTCTCTGGGTTCCCGACGCCGGAGGGTCATCGATGTAAGGTAAAAGGGCGTTCCTCGACGACTGCATTTGCGTAGAATTCGCAGACAGCCAACACGATGGTATGTAACCGCTGCAAGCTCAACGGCAGCCGCACAAGGGGCACAAGACTGGCACAAGGCACAAGCAGCAGATCGCGCCGAGGAATGTGGATCTTGGAGTTACGTACACCGCTCGGCTGAATTCGGGAAAGCTTACCACGTGGTCACCGGCTTCTTCCGGGCTGGTGTACGGCATGGGTGGGAGCGAATCAGAGTAACCGGTTTGACTGCAACCAAGGTAGCTTGTCGTCCAGCAGCAGTACTGCACATCTACCTATAACTCCGAGATCAAGATGATCGGCTCAATAGTTGCGCGTCGCTCCCTCCTCTCAGCGACTGGTCTGGGTGCGTCATCCCGCTATGAATCGCCTCCGCACGGTAGGGAGGGGCGGGAAGACTTGGATCGCGGAGCTGACAGAATCAGGACCATGCCTTCGCATGTCGGTCTCGGTACCTCGCTTCCTCCCCACCCAGGTCCCCGCTTCACGCCGGCTGGCATCGTCTCAGACAACGAGCGTTACTGCTGCAGAGAGCGTGGCGATCTTGAACGCTCAGCGGGAGAAACGACCCAATTCACCTCATTTCACGATCTACCAACCCCAAGTGAGTCATGCGGCGCTGGCAGTTGCCATGGACCTTACTGACGAGCAGATCACATGGCTCGCTTCGATTGCTAACCGAGTGACCGGCTCAGCACTCTCAGTCGCCCTCTACGCCGGCTCCATCACCTACCTCCTCCACCCCTACTTCCCCGCTGTCGAATCCGCCAACCTCGTTCAGATGGTGCACGACCTCCCTGTCTGGGTCAAGGGATCGGCAAAGCTCCTGTTTGCCGTTCCGTTCACCTTCCACACCTTCAACGGGATTAGGCATCTCGCTTGGGACGTCGGATACGGTATGTCAATCACAGTATAGAAAGCGGGGTGTAGTCGCTGATGATTAGGTCTCTCGCTCAAGGGCGTCTATGTCGGCGGCTACGGTGTGCTCGCTTTGACCGCTGTGTCTAGCATTTACCTCGCTTTCTTCGTTTAAGCCATGCGGCTAAGGTGACAAATGGCGGCAATGGGAGTCAGGCGAACGGAAGTCTTGCAGGGCGATGGGAGAATCAGTGTATCGACTGAAGTGCGGGCTCGTGTTTGATGTACCACTATGTACGTTCTCAATGCATCGGTACGAATCAATCTGAAGTCGGGAGCTGTGACTGACTGTACTGATGTACTGGCGTTTCGACGTGCGACGGGCCGCAACATACTGGTATGCACTGATGTCAGAATCTATCTAAACCATGCGTTCACACCAACACCCGTACTCAGCCCCTCGGCAGAATGCCACCATCCTTCCGGAACGAGCACACTCTCTCCCTCTCCGAGCACGACCTCGCACGCCCCATCCACGTCGAATGCGCGCTTCAAGCGATCCCGGTACCGCTCCATCTTTTCGAGCGGGATGTCGCTTGTATCTCCCCCGATTCCGATGTCCTCTTCAGTGGAGGAGGCAGTGGAAGACGGGAAGACGGAAGAGACAGAGATGGGGATGGTGGATGTGTTGGTATGTGGTGGAGAGGCGGAAATGTCGAGGTATCCTGCAGATGATGGCGGGAGGAGCCAGAATCGTTTTTGGCCGATCACTGCTGGGTCAGCCAATCGCCATGTCAGGAGGGTATGCTAGGAGGAGACGCCAGCGGTCGTCCCAGGAGCGGCGGGGAGTGAGGGATGAGATAGGATGCAAGGAAGACGAACAATGTGTGTAGATGCCGATGTATGGATCCCGATGAAACGGGGTCCAGCTCCCTTCCGGTCCGATCCAAAGTGCTCGCCTCCATATTTCTGCCCGAGGTCCGCAGGTGAAGTGAGGTAGTGGTGGCATATCCACTTTGGACAGAGGGGAGGAAGGGTCGATATCGTATTGCGCTAGATAGGCCGTGGGTCTCTGGTTTTTGGGCGTCGAAGAGGGGATGCGGTCCAGTATGAAGGCGTCGAGAAAGAGGCCTGGAAGTCAGTTTGGCGTCACTTGAAGGTGTCCTCATATGTCTAGATCACTGTCTCCGACTGAAGGAGCCGATTACAAGTGGTGGACTCACCGAACCCCATCCCAACCCTTCTATACCCCTTATCGAGATATCCCCTGCCCCGCGGGCCCAACTCCACGTCCACCTCCCTATCTTCTTCTACGACATCTCTGACTCTCTTGAGACCGTCGTTAAGTGTCCATGAGCGAGCCCCAGGCCAAACATCACCGGATGCGAGATCGGGCAGGAGGAGGGGCAGCGGAGAAGGGGCGGCAAGATGCGTCCGGAGCTGCGCTGGAGATATGCCTCGCACGATCTGAGGAGCTTTCAGGCGGAGCGACATTCGCTTGACCTTCTCTCCTTCTACACTTGGCCCTAACAGTGCCAGATACGGTGCTGCTCTTGTATAGTCAACTCTTCGATGCCTCTACCTTTGTGGATCACCTCCACCTCCGGTCAAGAGGTCGGCGATGTCCGACTGCCATCCTTTGATGCTGACCGAGAGATCTGGATAGCGCATCAACAGTCCATCCATCAACCCAACATCCCACTCCTCCATCTACCCCAGCGAGATGTCAACAGCTCAAAGAGCCCTCCCAGCCACGCACGGCTCCCGCACCCAGACCATCACCCCCACGCCCGCGCTCGAAGCGGGAACTGAAGCGGGTCCTAGTCGTCCTTCCGCGGTCGTCCCGCCGACAGGCGTACTGAAGCTTCGAGGAGGGACAGGGAGGAAGGCCAAGGTCGTTTGGAGTGAAGAGGTGGTTGATAATGAGGGTATGGGACGGAAGAAGTCGAAGAGTGAGTCTTGGCGTCAAGTCAGTAGTGGATGGGCGAGGAATGGACAGTCAACTGGGCAAGAGCGAGGTCGCGTGACGCTCTGGCGCTCAGGAGATACAGTCAGAGAGGAGCTGATACCTTAGTCTGCTGTATCTACAACAAGCCGAGAGCATTCGATGAGTCATCAAGCGAGTCAGGGTCAGACTCGGAGCACGATCACGACCACGGTCACGATCACGCGGGGCCTGCAAGCGGGAAAGCGAAGGGCAAGGGGAGGGCGGTGATGCGAAGACCGGACGCGACGGGGGCGGGCGAAGAGGAGATGTCCGAGCCCAGCTCAGAATCAGATGGAGGTGGTGGAGATGGACGAGCGAGGTGTGTTGTACTCGTCTACTTGGAGGGGCGGAGCGGGTTGTGAGCAATACTGATAATCCAGACCCGCTCGGAAAGCCCCGCGCCGGAAACATCGGCATCACCATGGTCATGATCACGACCATGGAGCGGACGGCCACGAATGTGCGGGACTCGCGGCCAAGGCGAACAAGTATGATGTACAGCCGAGAGCGTCGGGGAAGGCGCCGCCTGCTACCTGATGTATCGTTGCTTGTGTTGAGCGAGTGGGGTGGATATTGACCAGAACTAACCGACATTGACTATCGATCTGTTTCTACTGAGCATGTGAATCTTTCATCGCGTGAGTCAGTTGCTCCCCGGCCTCGCTCCTCACATTCAGCGGCGGCACTCTACGAACTGGCATGTTTGGATGCTCATATCAGACTATAAGGACTCTATGCTGCCCTAAGCTAATAATTCACCGAGGCCTGCGTACCTGTCGGGCTCGCGGACAGCCGTCTCCTTTGCCTGCTTTTCCAGCCCGGAGTCCTCAAGCCCTATCCTCTCCATCATCGCCTCGAAGATTGCCATCCGTCCCGTGTCATCCCGCTGTTGCTGCCCCGTCCTTGTCAAGTTCATCGCCGCCAAACACTGACTCGCAAATAGGGTTTTGTCTGCGAGACGCGTCTCTTCCGTCTGAGTGTAACCCAACCGCTCATAATATCCGCCGTCAAACGGTCGGATGGAAGCGACACTCAGCGGAGCATCTGCGTCGGAGGAAGAGCCGAGGCGAGCAGCCGCGATTGTTGTGATGGCGCTCGCAGCGCATTTGGCCGCTTGACGCACCAGGTCGTTGTGGTTGATCTGTATGATACGCCTCCTGACTGCAATGTGCACGTCAGTCGGGTCGTCCTTGAGGGTGCATTCATCTGCCCATGCCTTGCTCGTCTTGCTTTCAAACTCGCTGAATCCCATGCTGACTGTCCCCGGTAGCATACTCTGCAGCCCGTCTGAGGCTGTGGCTCCAGGGTGGCTCGTACCTGTGCCTTGCGCCCGCGAGCCGGCGACATTGGAAGAGGGCGTGAAACTGACGGTCTGAGCGGGCCACTTATCCTCCACATATTCCGTGTGGAAGGTGTATTTCCGTGCTCGGAAGTGGAAGGCGAGTTCGAAAAGCTCAGGTATCTCCGTTGGCGGTAGATATTCCTTGTCCTCGGAGGTGTTCATGGCGCACACCACCAGCTCGTCGATACTTTGCCGGAGTTCAGAAATTCCATCGACATTGGTGCATAGGTGTATTTGCCGTCTTCTTGTTGGAGACATAAGATAGCCCTGTCGAGTCCGTCTCGTCTTCCCGGTACACCGGGGATATTGTCGGATTCTGCAAGGAGAGGGTGGCCTCTGCCATACGTTGTTATGTTGTCGTAGACCACAGTGGAAGACGTGCCGAGGTAGGACGGATCGTAGGGATAGCCGCGGGAGCGAGCCGCCTCGATGAAATCGGCAATGGTAGAGCGAACCCCCTGGTACATGCGCACGGGGAGCGTAGGCAGATTGGTGGCTTTGGTGGGGCCACTGTACTGTGCTGAGAGGTGGTGTGTGGTCTCGGACAGCGACGGCTCTCCGACGATCATGAGAGAGTCTCCGAGATGAGACTGCTCGGTGAGCTCGGCCACATGGAGCGGTGGCGGTGAAGGCGAGCTGGAAAGAAAAGTTGTAAGGATGCCTGGCTGATCGGCCGCCAGGTGCTCTGGAGCTGCCCCATCCTGACTGGCAGTCATGGCGACCTCAGGCGTGCCGTAGTTGTGGTCTGCCCTATCCTCGCTCCCGCCAAGATTGGACGCGGCCACGGCGATGTGAGTCGTCGATGAAGCAGGGATAGAAAATGTGTCGCCACCCGTCACGTCCTCCGGTGCCTCTTTCGACGGCCGATCGACGAGAATGAAGTCGTCAGATTCCATTGGGCTGGGCTGCGAAGGTGTCATTGTGTGAGCTGCCTATGTTGGATGTGAGGGAAGTTTGGACGTGCAGAAGTGAGTGGAAGCAGCGGGTTATGATGGAGAGGCAGGATCAAGACGTTGCTGACGGCCGCTTTCGTGCTCCGCAAGCGGCGAGCGCAGATGAAAGGATGGTCCTGAGCCAGTCAGCACTGTTCAGGGCCTTGTCTCAAAGGAAGGCAAGCTCCTAACATGTATGACCTGAGGACAACGGATCAAGCGCGTCCTCCAGCACAGCTGTGCAGCTCTAGAAAGTTCGCAGCCCGTCGCAGCAGATCAGGTCCCGGGCTCTTCATGTCGTCATGTGTCAGCGAGCTTGCTGATCTTGCCCCAGGGACTAGTCTCATTACTGCAGCCGCGCTCATAGCTCGATACAACGCGAGCCGACTGTCAGCCGGGTAGACTGTGTATGCGCAGTGGGGGTCGGACGGACGTCAAGGAATAGGTATTACAGTGTACGACGTACGTGGCGACAGTCTGTTGAGCCGCACTTCGGCGGCCCCGGCAGCGGGTCCTTGTACTTGATACTCGAGCATGCAAGATGACCAGGGCTGTTGATTGCTTCCCGGGCGTGAGAAGTAAGTTAATTCAACAGTCTGAAAACAATCATAGCAAGTCATGGTTGTCAGTTGCCACACCAATCAGTATGGCGATCGGAGAAATTCCTGTGCATTTACCAAATTATACGTTGTTACCTGGGTGTACGAGCCTTCTTATAACTCCGAAATCACTGCTCGCCTGTTGCCCTTTTTGTGATTATAGTACAAACCCTTTAGATCCCATATGCCCTTCTCCTAGTACGCCGCGCCATAGCCAGCCGACTTGCGCGGGTCCGACGCCGCCTCCAACAGCCCGTTCGGCAGCCTGCTGATAGCGTGACTGGTCGATCCGCCCAGAGGGTTCTGGTAGGTGATGTTGTACCCGATATTGCGGAAGTACGCGACGGTCGAGTTGTCGTAGCCCGCGAGGCCGTACGCCTGGTTCGGCAGCTCAAAGAAGGTCGTCCCGCTCAGTTGGTCGTGCCATCGCGGGAACCGGGTCGACATGGACGCGTTCATCCCCTGGTCAATGTAGTGGTGGAGTTGCTGCAGGGTGGTGGTGATGATTCGGGAACCGCCGGCTGATCCGGTGGCCATGACGAACTCGCCATTCTGGTTCTCGACGATGGAGCTGCAGATGGAAGATTGAGGGCGCTTGCCGCCTTGGATGAAGTTGATGGGTGAGGCAGCTGCAGTGTCAGCAGAGTCTACATACATTGAGTTCAATGACCTACCGAAACCGAACGCGTTGACCTGGCCAGGAGAAGAGAAGTCATCCATCTCGTCATTGAGAATAATACCGTCATCGGTCACTGCTCGTCAGCTCGATCCCACTCGAAATTCAGACTTGTACTTACTGACTTGCGAGCCCCAGATCAAGTTCACAGTGGTGGTCAGACTGACAGCCATACCGGTACCATCGGCAGTGGCGAGGTGGCTGGTACCGGCCTCGCGAGATGGGAAGTAGTTGGAGGGGTTGTAATAGCCGACAGGGAAGGTCTTGCCGCTAACGATCTTGGCGCGGGCTGCAGCCGCGACTTCGTCGGTGAGGTACGAGTTCTCAAGGTAGGTCACGTTGGCGGTGAAGGCGGGGTCACCAAAGGTGGCGCGCTGGCCGTAGGCGAACTTGTTGGCCTCGACGACTGGGCGGTCAGCGTTGAATTCTAGCAGCCAGAAAGCAGACTCACGACGCTGCTCAGTCTCGTTGTAGCCGGGAGTACCGGGCTGGGCGGTCCCATTGAAGTTCTTGCCGTCAAAGCCTTCAAAGATCTTGAGCGCAGAGAGGGTGATGGCCCCGGAAGAAGGAGCGCGAGTGGAGAAGATCTTCTTGTTGCTGCTTCCATCAGCACTTGCCCAATGCAAGCGAGTGGTCTACTGACCGGTAGCTGATCATAGTCGGCTCCTTGACGATCGCCTTGTACCCCGCCAGATCCGCCTCGGTCATGATACCCCCAGTCTGCCTGACCTTGTTGACGATGTTGCGCGAGATGTTGGTGCCCGAGTAGAACGAGTCGGCGCCATTGTTGGCAATGTACTCGAGGGTGGTGGCGAGCTTGCGGCGGTAGCACATGTCGCCGAGACCGATGATGGTGCCGTTGGGGGCGTACGATTCGCGCCAGTTGGCGTCGTTGAGGATGAAGGTCCGGTTGGCCAGGAAACTGGCGAGATCGACGTTCACCGGGAAGCCGCCGCGAGCGACGTTGATGGCGGGCTGGAAGAGCGACTTCCAGGGAAGGGAGCCGTGGCGCTGCCACAGAGTCTGCCAGGCTGATTATCAGCACGGGCTCGATTATGAAAGACTTAGGGACTCACCTCGGAGTTCACCAGGAACACCGACCGAGAGACCGCCGACGGTAGAGGCGGTCTGGTTGACACCGAAAGAGCTGAAGAGCTAGATCACGTCAGCCAAGATCCAGCGCTACCGTTGGAGCACAGCTTAGCTCACAGTGAGGTTACCAGCCGCCGGCATGGTCTCTCTGAAGTCGATGGTCTCGTAGGAGTGGCCAGTACCGTTCTTGTTGTTGAATCGGACGATCATGAATCCACCCTGCGGCAATCAGCTGAGCTCGACGGATAGGGAGTAAAGCAGCTCACACCACCGAGACCGGAGTGGTAGGCACCGATGACACCGACGCAGAGCGCTGAGGCGATCATAGCTGTCTCCCGTCAGCTACCTACGCAATGACACCTGCCACGAAGAGCGGACTTACCATCAGCGGCGTTCCCGCCCTGCTGGAGGATGTCGATACCGATCTCGGAGCATGTCCCGACTTCCTACCAGGCATCAGCGAAGCTCACCTCATGTTGCAAGGGATCGAGGGATTCGGCTGGGCAGAGAAGTAGGAACTCACAGTAGCGACAGCGCCCTGTCGGCCTGTGGTCCCGAACTGGCATCCGGCCTGATTGTAGCTGAAGCAATTGGAGTGACGCTTCTCGACGCTGCGCTCACTGAGCACAGGTGATGCAGTTGCCTGGAGAGCGAGGAGGAGAGCCGAAAGGGTGGTGAGGCTGAGCATATTGGGCCAGCCGCGGATGGAGGAGGTGGGAGGATGAAGGAAAGGGCGGGGAGGACGGCTGGCGGCTCGCTTATATGATCATCTGTGACTTCGGTCGGATCAAGCTCGTGTGGGCCGATTCTCGGCCTCGCTAGCCCCTCTCATCAGCGCATTAGCCGTTCAGTAGCGCTCCCGCCTGCCATCATCGCATCATCCAGGCCGAAGCGACCATGCGAACCAGCTTGCGAACCCCGGCCGACCCTCTCCGGAAGCCTTGACCGAGGTAAAGAACCCTTGCTCGTGCCTGCGCCATCGCGCCTCGTTCTTATCTTACGCCACTCCTCTCGTCCTTCCCCTGCTTCTGCGCTGCGATAAGGTGACCTGGTGAGGGACAGGCAGGGTCCATCTCGTACAGACTGTCGCCGAAAGAGGTGAGGCGGGAACGAGCCTTGAGGCTTCGGATCTCAGAGCGGGAACGCCAATGTGGAGGCCCGCCGGATATAGCCGCAATGCGGTCTGGTAGGGGAATGTGGCAGCGTGAACAGCTTAGGCCCAGGTGAAGCTGAAGGTGGACTAGACCAAGACTGCTGAGGCCTAGGCTTGACGGCGTAGTACACTCGTACATATTATAGATCGGATCGTATTATATAGCGACTCTTGCCTTCCCACCAGCCCCTAACTTAATGTCGAGACGACTACTCCGAAACGAAGGTAGCCTCGTTGAAGAGCCAGCCCTGTACTTCAACAGCCTCTCCATCGAGCTCGACGTGAAGTGAGGCCGAGTTGAGGTACTGACTTGTCAGCTCCACATCCGATAGTCCAGCTCCGGGATGAACGCACCTGGTAGATATACGGCTTGGTCCCGGTGACAGCAGCCAGCGTCTTCCTCAACACATACGGGATCTCCGCCAAGACATCCACCTTCTCGATCAACCCTCCCTCACCCACTGTCGTGCCCAAGAGCGGCACAGCGACAGCGGCTGACACCCGTCCCTTCTCCCCTCCCACCCGATTGCCGGCCCACTTGAACTCGATAGCGCTGGGCGCGTTGTAGCCGGTGTCCTTGTCCTTTGCTCCGGGGGTCTGGGTGACTGCCGAGACGTCGTCGTTGAGCGCGGGGAAGGCGGTGGGGACGGCGGCGCAGGATGTTTGGCCGACGACGATGAGCGGGGAAGAGAGCTTGCTGGATGTAACGACACCCATGTTGACCTTGGTCCGGCCAGACTTGGGTCCGGTGGGGCCGTAGTAGTCCTGTGTGATCAGTTTGCGTCCAGCGGCCGGATCGAATGCACACTTACGGTGGTCTCGAACTCCATCTGCAAGGCTCTTACTCTGCCCAGCTTGCTGTCTGCTACATCTCCCGCAGTGGTGAAGAAGCCAAAGTTCCATCGAGACGCAGCCTGGCGTCATCAGCGATAGCTCACAACCGCGTATGGACTCCACTACTCTGATGAGGCCGCGTTTGAGGTAGAATCCTGACGACTCACTGAATCAGGTCGCAGACCTTGGATAGCATGGACAAACATCCCATCTCCCTTTGCATCCACCATCTGACCGTTGATGACGACGTGTCCCGACGATTGCATGACCGGCAAGAATCGGCTGGGCTAGTCAGCTAGAGATCCTTTGCAACACATCGGTTGGTTATGGGCAAGAGCTTCGACTGACTGCGAAATGATCCCATCCCTCTTGCTCTCGCTTGCATCCTTCCCAAACACGCTCACACCGCCTCCGGGACCCTTGCCCAATTTGAACCCTGGTGAATCGGCAGGTCGAGTGAACATGATATCGATCTGGACCGTCTTATCGAGATTGGCGGTGATGCGGTAGGACTCTTCAGTCGTTGGTGAGCCAGTGTGCTTGATTTCCTGCGCTGGTCAGTTGCTTGCCTTCTTAGAGGGACTCGCGAACGCACGAATGTATCGGACTTGCAGCTGTGCGAGTCATGCTTGAACCCGTTCACGCTGACGGACTTCCAGCTCGATACCCGGGTAACAGGGTTGTAGTGCTTGAACGTCATCTGTGTGGTAGCGGGGATCATGAAGATACTGCAAGTCTGTCAGCTCTTCGTCCCACTATCTCCTGGAAGGGCCCGGTATAAGCTGCACATACCCAGTGTAGGACCAGATGATCTGAACCATGATCCAGCATCCATCCTCAAGGATCGTATACCACGTATGCGTCTCACTCCCGAAACCTTTCGTGCTGCAGTGCCACTACATCGCGTCAGCTCCTTCCGCCCCGCAAATGCCTGTATCGAGGACGTTCCAGCTGACCTTGGTGTCCTCCGGGCTGAGCTCGCCGTAGCCCTGCAACGAGGACGTGACAGGGTGGAAGTTTTGCACCTCCGGGGCAGCATTCGCCGATTGTTTCTTGCCAAAAAACGACATGATGGATTGCTCTGGCTCTGTCTTGTGCGCGTGCGGAGGTTGAGAGGCGGTTACTGATAGCGTCTTAGTAGTAGGCAAGATGAGGTATAAGATAGACACGAAACAGATCAGCAAGGCCGAAAATCAGTCAGCCTCGAACGAAGAGTGCGTCACCCTCCGCTCTGCTCCGCGGAGCCCCTTCCGGCCGAGACAAACGAAGCCCGTGCGTGCGTTCTCAACATGCGGCTCCCGAACCGGTTCTGAAGCTCTGAAGCAGTCAAGGCTACATGATGGCGAATATACTTCTGCTCTAGTCTAAACATATACTCAGATATAGCACAACTTCACTTTGAAACACCCGCTAATCCTCATCCTATATCGCCGAGTCGACCGACTGTCCCAGGGGGGTCGGCACGCCTTCCTCAGCCGGTGTGGCAGTCTCGGCCGCTTCTGCTCGCAGAGCCTTATCGACCAGTTCGGCGCCTACGCCTGACTTTCCAGGTTGAACATCCGTACCCTGGCTGGTCAGCTTGTGTGTCACCGACCACTTGATGCTACCGAGCTGAGGCAAAAATGTGGACTTACGATGAGAGCTCGAAGAATATCGCTGAGACTGATGACGCCGACCAACTTCCCCGGCTCCGGATCGTCCGCGCCCTGCACGACTACTAGCCGATGCACCCGCCGTATCTTGATGAGCGAAAAGACGGCCGCAAGCGAGTCCCGAGGCGAGCATGTGACTACGCCTGGGAAGTCGACCGCTCGTTGTTTGAGTGCCTGAGCGATGTTCAGGTCGAGAGCCTGGAATGCACCGTTCCGGACGAGTGTCTACTTGTCAGCTTATTCTCGTCGGTTCGGTTTACGTTAGCTGACTTACAATGACATCAACTGTTTCGTACAGGTTCAACACCTTCCCATCCTCGTCCACGATCGGCACCGCTGATATACCCTGCTCTGAGAACATGTGCACCACGTCGAATACTGTGGTCTGCATCGTGGCCGTAAAGATAGGGTGGAAGGGGTTGTGCGAGGAGCCGTTGGTATTTTCGCCGTCCCCGTTCGAAGTAGGCGGCGAGGAGATGTAGGTTCCTATTCCGAGTTCTTGGACTGATAATGTGAGGTATTGAGTGATGTCGCGGCACTGGAGGTCTCAGCTACCATTCCTGGGCCAGGATCTAGGAGAAGTCCAGCTGAGCACTCACGTTCATAGCGATGAACTTCAGTACTCGGTACTGTGTCAAAACACTAATGACGACCTCTCCGTCCGTCTGCGGGTCCTTGTCGATCAATGGCAGTCTCCGCGCGTGTGTGCGAATGAGAAAGCGGCAGGCATCGTATAATGGTCGAAGAGGGTGGACGGAGAGGAGTGGTGGTGGAGGGACTTGAATGGCCTTTTCCATTTCTGCCTGTCAGTGCGGGGGTCTACTTGACTTAAAGTCCGGGTCGGCGCAGCTCCAGCGAGGCGAAAGGTAATTATACTGACCTCGGATAGACTTCAGTCGGAAGCTCTCGACGTCTGCAGCTGCGCTCTCGTAGGATGAGTTGTGGTAGTAGTATTGAATAAGGTGAATGACATCCTGCACCGTGAACATGCCTGTACGTCAGCTTCAGGTCGCATCAACTCTGCAATCGTGCTAGCTCACCTGCAAACTTAGCAGTATCCGTATTCCACAGCGGCGCCGATACCACCCCATACAGCAACATCACATCCAGCGCCTTCTTCACCTTCAGCTGCGTGTCCAGCACGATCAGCCGGAATGAGACCGGGAAGACATCGTAGCTACTCCGTTCCTTCAGGAACGCGCGCAGCGCCTCTAGAGCCTCTTCGTGGGATAAGGGCCGAGCGGGTGGGGTGGCCGTCATAGGTGGATGTTGTGCTCGGGACGGTCGGCGAGCGATGCTGCCCGTATTGGAAGCGCTGGCGCTAGTGGAGGTAGCATGATGGGGAGTGGGCGAGAAGGGCGGGATCTGGGCGATAGAAGTGGATGTGAAAGCGGGAGTGGGGGTAGATCCGGAAGCGGAATTTGAGGCAGAGGGTGGAGGACGTGAGGCTGTGATACCTGATACGACGCTAGAGCCTGCTTTGGGAGCCGAAGCGGGAACGGCGGAAGTGGGAGGTGAGGTGATAGGGATGGGCTGGGCGAGCGTGGGCGCCCCGTTGGGCGCAGACATCGCTTGGTAGTAATAAGCTCTCCGTCTCGTTCGTCTGCGAAGGCGCTGTCTGGGTGTCGTACGGGTGTAGATGGAGTAGGTGTATAGGGAAAGGAGCAAAGAGAAGGCACCCCTCCTTTCCGTCGCCATTCCTCGCTCGGATGCTGAGACAGACGCACGGACTATCGGCCGATCACAGATCCAACGGAAGCAGGGGTTTGCTTCCGCGAGAGTGGCGGCTCGAGCGGGTTTGCCACCCAGCGCGATGGTGCCACACCAAGCTGGTCGAGTGAGGAGAGAGGCCTGAGCGCTGCGAAAACACTGGGAGCTGGGGCAATGAGGTGAGGGGAGGTGGAGGGAGGAGATTGGATGTGGTGTAGATCGGCAGGTGAGAGGTAGTCACTTCTTCCCACCGAGAAGAACTACGCTCGCGTTCACTGCGCACACAGAGCTACTCTGGTGTACTAGACTAGCGAGTACCAGTACCTGAGCCTTCACCCCAGATACGCTTCTACATATCCGCCGTAGTCTGCATTACGTCAGCAGAAGTAAGCAAAATCATCTTCTTCCTCTCTACATTACTCTTCGATCTCCTTTCAATTCCCCTCCTCTTCCTCCATCCTCCCCAAAGCACCTCGTCTTGACATACTAAGCTCCCAGCCCGCCCTTGCGCCACCTCACACTCAACTCCAAACCCCACTCCACGCTAATACCCAAAGTCATGCAGCCCCTCATCCCCCGAACCTACAAAGAACGCCTGTGGGCACACGAAGACCCCTCGCGCGTCCCCGAACGGCTCACGCGGGGAAAGCGGCGGGTCCGGTATCGCCAGCTCGAGCGGGACATTGGCGAGTTCGAGACGCTAGTTCCGACGCCTGTGAGAGCTGGGGGTACCGTATCGCCGAGATCGGGATCGAGTAGGGGGTACGAGACGGACGACTACGCGCATGATAGGAGCGCTAGCTACGAGGGTCGGAGTCAGGTTCAGTGGGCAGCGAGAAGCCAGGACGAGCAGAATCGGCGCGAGCGGGATATCACGGCGAGTGTGATGGGTACACCGGCTCCGATCCGGTATACAGCTCCCATTCCCGCTACGCCAGGGTCTGTACAACGCGAGGACGACGGCTGGGTCACGCCCACACCTGTGCCGGTACCGTCCACACCAGCACCGAGGACCCGGACTGCGACGCCGTTCTCGAGAGCGCCGGCGTCAGAGCCGCCGTTCACTCCGACACCAGCGCAGCGGGTCCCTCCTGTCCTGTCCTTCCCTAACAACACCCCTCTCAAATCCCGAGCACTGCCTCAAGCGGACCCATTTCAGACTCCTCTTCGAGCTCCAGCCAAATTGCCAGCCCGACCTGCATTCGCCCTACGCGTTCCTCCTGCTCCAGCCACTCCCGCTGCGCCTTCGATCCAAGCAAGCGTACCGAGCACGCCTCATCGGAGTATGGATATCACGCCCCGTCGGCCCTCGATGACGTCTATCAACCCCGCAACCCTGCTCACCCAAGTCAGCGAAGAAGGGACTCCTGAGCCGTCGCCGCAGCCAGTCTCGCCCTTGAGGCCCGGCCCGACATTCGTCGCGAACAGCTCCTTGGACAGCCTGTACTCCCGCTTGCTGGCTCGATCCATTGCCACACCTCGCCGACCTCGGACTCCACCTGCTCCAGCGGTAGCGCCCATCCAGCCACCTACCCCGCTCGTCGACCTCGCGCCCGCCGAGCCCGCTCGCCCCGATACACCTGCCACCGCCCAACCCTCCGTTCGCACACAAGGGGTCTCGAGCTCAGATTCGATCCCGGTCCTCGAGCCGCACAGACCCTCATTGGCCGAAGCGCGATCACCGACACCCGCCACCCCGAACCTCAAATCGGCTTCTCCAGCTTCTATCCCCCTTCCCGAGACGCCCCGAGCTTCCCCCCCCGCCCCAGCGCCCTTCCCATCCCTTCCCATCCCCAGCCCGCCCGTTCCGGCCAGTCACCTCTCAACGCCAACTTCTGCTTCTCCCCCGCATCTTGATCTTGGTACCGTAGCGTCTCCTCCTCCCGCCTCTTCTTTTGACGTCAACCCTAATTCCGCTGGTCCAGCCTTAACACGCTCCATCACACCGACAATGCGGGGGGCAGGAGGCTTCGATGATGTGCTCGGGCGGATCCGGACCGCCCGGAACAGCACATACGATGATGATGGCGGCACTCCACCGGCGCCGAAGAGTCGGTATGACGATTTACCGAAGCGGCCGGATAGTACACGGCCAAGGGGCGGTGAGGAGGTCAGTTATCAAGTCAGAGAATTTCTCTCCTACAAGTTGAGCTGACTCAGACAGAAACTTGGGGACAGGAGCTCAGACCTGATGGAGGCGCTCCAGAAGGAGAATCGGGAGTATAAGCGGGAGGTAGGCAAGATGCGACAAGAGCTCGATGAGCTGCTTTGTGCCCGCAGCGACGCCAAATCATCTGTAGGCGTCGGCTGCCAGAAGCCCATGTCCACTGACTAGACTCAGCTGATGAACCATAGTCCGGCAACGATGCCGCACTCCGCGTCGCCGAACGCAAGATCCGCGACCAAGGCGAAGCGCTCGAAGCGGCCGAAAAGTTCGTCGTGTCGCTGGAGCAAGAACGGCGGACTGCGGCTCGCAATGTGGCTGAAACGCCTATACGTCCACGCCCCACGGCACAGACGCCCACGCGATCGCGATACCGCAGCGATACGCCCTCGCCCACTCGGCCCCGATCCCCCATACTTGCTGCGAGTCGCCGAGCGGACGAGCTGGCCGAGAAGAACGTGATGCTCAAGGGTCAGATCCACGATCTCAAGTTAGCGCTGCAGAATATGGAGCAAAAGTTGAAGGAGGAGGTGGACGCTCGGCGGACGGCCGATTCGCAGGCTCTGGGGGCGCGCAGTCAGGCGAGCATCGCGACCAAGGAGAAGAATGGGCTGGAGAGTAAGATCGTAACGCTCGAGAGGCAGGTGGAGGTCGAGCGGAGGCAGAGGTATACCGCTCTGGACAAGATCAAGACATTGGAGAATTCGGTGAGCTTTTGGCAAGAGATAAGTGCGGCCAAAGCTGATAAGGCAGAATTTCGGTACTGTCCAGTTGAGGCAGCAGGTCGCTACACTGCGCAATTCAGTAACTTCGGCCCAGCAGGAGCTTACCAATGCCCACGACAAGTTCAGGGATATGAGCGTCAGTCAAATACAGCATCGGACGGGATCAGGCTGACGTGAGTAGAAGAAGAAGTTGGACCTCGAGGATAAAGTTAAAATCGTCCGGCGGGAAAACGATTCGCTCAAGATCGATAACGACGAACTCAAGTCCCTCGTCAGTTTACGTGACCGCATATCCCAAATCTGTGATCATAAGCTGATCTTCATTCAGTTGAAGAGCGAGGAACAGCTCATCAAGGAGAAGGAGCGACTCCGGGTCGAACTGATCAAAGAAGGGGTAAGCTGTTGATCCCCCGGCCAGAACCCTCAGTCAGAGGACGGAGACAGGCAATAGCTGACCCGACCAGTCCCAAGTCGCGGAGCGCCTCCGGGGAGAGCGCAGAGAGCTCAAGTCCAAGCTCGCAGACTCCCGCAATGTAAGCTGGCTCCCTCTTTCCTTGCTCGGGCAGTAAGTCACAAGGCAGAGCTTACCATTCTTCTCCTCCTCTTGATTTTGCAAAACAGGAGATCCAGCAACTCAAGCGCGAAGTCGAGATCCAGAGTCAGGCCGCCTCCAGAGCGGCCAAGAAACAGCGGTCCGAGGAGCGTAAGCGACGGCCTGTTGCTACGCTTGCCTCGGAGATCAGTATGCCTTCATTGCGGGTGAGTCATTGAAGGCTCCTGACCTCTCCGGACTTCACGCTTCTGAGCGCACGTCTGCTCCGGCTACTCGTCCACATAACATCGGGATCCGGCCCAGCTGTCAATGCCGCGCCGGCGTCAGAAGACCTCAGCTGACCCTCAGCCTTCCCGCTCGATCTCTCCATCTCCATCGATTGCCACCGAATCGGACACCTCCGACGCGTACGCCGACGCTGAATCAGACGGCGGAACAGAAACCGGCGCCCACACCCCGCGCGGAGCCTCTCGCCGCCTGACGCCCCGCCGCAGCCCCAGCTCCGCGGAGAAGAACGAGGAATACATTGAGAAGCTATACAAGCTCCTCACACCTCTCCAGCCGGACCGAATCGAGGGAGAAGACTCCGAGACCGACACCAGAGCAGCGAGCTCCACTGCACCGGCGTCCGAACCCGTCAGTCCCATGTCGACCATCCTCAGTCAGCCCATCATCATCGATATCTCGGACCCGCCTGCCATCACTGCCACCGCCACTGCGCCCGTTCCCGTCCCGTCGCAGGCACAAGGTAGGACGACGAGGTCTGCGCCGGCATCGGTGGACGTCACCCCGCCCGCGCTGCGCAGAGGGGCGATGATCAACCTCGAGACCCCCATTGTTAGGCTTAGCGCTCCTGCTTCCACCGCCACCGCCACTGCCGTCGGTAACAACATCGGTATCGTGCCCGCGCCGCACGCCCAGGTCGATCGGGACACGGGCAAGCAGTCTCGAGACGAAGATAGCATATCCGCACGTACCGCGAAGGCGAAGGAGAGGGAGAAGAGGGAGACGTTGATGCACGTCGACGATGTGTTCAGCGAGGGAGCGACGACAGTGAGCTGAATCGTGCCTGCTGTCGGAAGAAAGGGAACGCAAGCTGACCAAAGGTCGAGTCTGATCTAAAGCCCCAGGTCGCCGAGACGCCGCTGATTTTGCGGCGGAGCAAGTGTATCAAGGATGACCTCGAGTATCTGGATTATGACCCCTTCGTGAGCTATTCCGTTGTCATCTTGGTCAGGCGGAAAGCTGACTTATCAGGCAGGCATCAGTGAAGAGTTCGGTATGTCAGGCGGGGAGAGCGATAGCGAAGGTGAGGTTACCGGTGGAAGGTCGGAGCCGAAATCGACGATGGGTGTTGAGGAGGCAGAGGGGGAGTATGGTAGCGAGGCTGATTTCGCCTCGATTGAGATCGACTGAGAATGTGAGACCCAGCTCGTCATTGTATATACTGTACCAGCTATCCCGTTCCTCAGATCATGAATCGTCATCGTCAGTCCCATAAACCCGGTCAGTAAGCGCAGCCCAGTATACGTACGTACTTGCATTTTCAAGGGTATACAATCTTCCACCTCTCCTCTTCCTTCCGCTGATCCATCCATACCCAACCCCGTAGATTCCTCTCGCCCCAATAGATCGCTTGACACCGCTCCCCCTCATGCGTCCGCCTGAGTATATGTCCCAGGGAAGATACCCGTCCGTCCATCCAATTTCCCAGTCCACCAATCATCGGCATTATCCGTCCGCTCGATAATCTCGATCCTGTCTCCTACACCAAACGACAAATCACCTTCCGCCTGAGATGTCAGCTCTAACCCAGTCTCCCATGTTTCCAGAACTTACCTGAGCCTCAAAGTCAAAGATCGCAGTGCAGTACTTCTTCTGAGCGCCATAGCTCGGCTTAGATTTGAGTGGCGGCGGCGGTGGCGGTGCCTTCTTCTTGATATCGCCGCTGCTGGGCGAGGAGGTGTATGGTGGCGGGGCAACGACGACTCGGGATGGGCTTCCGGAGGCGCCGAGGCCGGACTCGGAGGCTTTGCGGGAGGCGTAAGAGGGTTGACGGTCCAGGCCGGCTTTGGAGCCGATGGAGGGGCGGGAGGAGATGGATGCTGAGCGCGAAGGAGGGACGCCTGCCATTTGACGCAGCTTGGCTGGGGTGTTAGCTTTCTTTCCCATCCAAGTGAGAAGAATAGCTTACCGGTGGAGTGGAGAGCGCCCTTCTTGGTCACTTGCAACTCGGCGAGCTGGTCGCCCGTATCGCCCCGTTGCTCCAAATAGATGTTCTCGATATCCTTGCGGGTGAGGTCGTACTTGCCGTCTGCGAATGACTGCAGCTTCTCCAGCATGATGTAGTACACGTTGAGCCTAAGGGTCAGCTCGTTTCCCCCGGATTGGCGGTTGTAAAGAAGGTAGCTTACTGCATATAGTAGAAAGAATGGAAGAGGGGGTCGATAAACCTCGAAGCCATCTTCAAGAACTCGGGCAGCTCAGCCTTGAGGAGGTCATTGTAGTGCTCGTACTCTTGTGAAGCGATGTCGAAGTCCTGCTCAACCTGCACGATCATCAGCTAATGCTCTCTCGCTACAGGAGCTGGCCAGCTCACAGTGAATAGCGACTTCTCATCCTTCAGACTCTTCTCCTTCTTCTCCCTCAGCTTGGCCAAGCTGTTATTGTGCCGATCGAAATCGACGAGCTTGTGATCACGCTTGACACAGGTCTTGCGGATCTTCTTGCAGATATCGTGCAGCTCCTTGCAGGGGATAACAATACGAGTGTCGATGAGGTCGAGCTCGGGCGAAAGCGTTTCTGAAGGATCAGCTACGTCGCATATCACGTCATGGACCAAGAAGCTGACCCCGAAGCTCTTCCATGAGGACCTGATACTGCGCGATATTGTTGACGGTCACTTCGGACTGCGGGAACTTGGCAGCGAGGTTATACTCTGCGCCCATAGGTGCAAAGAGGGTGGCAAGAGCGCCAGAGAAGGAGGAGCCGGACATGAGTAAGCCTGAGGAGAGTCAGCTTGCTGCGACTGTTCGAATAGGAGTGAACAGGTAACTGACTGGACACTGAGTCGCGGAAGACTGTCGAGTCTTTCAACATCTTCTCTGAGGCCTGTTCGACGGCCGAGAACTTCCGCTCGCTGAGGATCAGCATGCGATTTTACACTGTGGCCGCCAGGGCGCCGGACCGCAGAGAGTTGCTGCTGCGGAGAACGTACTAGTCGTTGTACTCCGCATCCATCGATTCTGACGCAATCAGCTGGGTCCTCGCTTGTTGGAAGAACTCAAGGATGTAGCTCACTCTTCGTCATCCCCATTTTGCTCGTCATCAAATGCGGCGTCCTGCAAGATCAGCCTCCTATCGCTGTATAAAGCCATCCCGGCCGTCCGTCCGAGGAAGGGAGCACTCGTCACTCCTCTTGCGACTCGCTCGAGCCTCCTCCTTCTCTTGGCCGCTAGAACAAGACGTACCGCGCGAAAGCCTTTGTGATTCCCTTCATCGTGCTAATCTTCCAGTGCTGATGAGTCTATAAGGGCCTGTATAGACAGAAGTAAGGATGATTATGATATAGGAGGGACGATGAAGGCCTCGGCGCCGAGCTCAGCCGGGGCAGGCTAGGCGGGAAGCCCTTTCGGCGATCGCCGGGGGATGACTGTGGGGCTCCAACCAGCTTGGCCCGACCTCGAGGACAGCAACAACCTTCTCGCTTCTTTCTATGCTTCACTCTGCCATCATATAGGTCCACCTACATGTCCGCGACTTGCTCCCTGGAGACTTAGTAGAGCGATCATCGCCCTTGACCTCCACTCGCATCCGGTTTAAGGTCCCTCCTGCCGACATCTCGTCAGCCATGCGCTCCTCCAGCCCGGCCAACTCCTCCCCCATCCCGTCCCCATTGAAAGCCGGTCCATCAAAGCGCTTCGTGTCCAAGGTATACTCCCGCCGATCAATAGGCAACTCATCAGCCAAGCAGGTTCGGCGCACACCCACACCAGAGTCAGATACCGATTCTGGTGAGGGGGAAATCATCGCTACTGCCATACCAGCAGGAGCGAACGAGGATGCCGATATGGAAGTAGCGGGCGCAGGGCCGTCGTCGGGGCGTACGAGGATCCCCAGAGGTCAAGAGAGGGCTCGCCAAGCTTCCGACCAGCGTCGGGGAAGGGAGGAGCAGCTGGCTTGGCCGAGCGCCGGGAAGGAAGTCCGTGGGAAGACGGCTGTCCGCGCATCGGGGAAGGACGCTGGGACAAGGGAGAGTCCTGCCCTCCGAGGCGGCATCTCGCTCTCGCCAGGTGACGAGACCGCTGCGATATTGTCAGGCGAGACTGGTCGTACGAGGGGAGCGAAGCGGAAACTGGGCATCCCCCGCACGGGCACCGAAACGAGCATCGCGTCAGCCCCGGAGGTACCCTCCCCTCGGGTATCTATACCGCCCATCATGGTCCAAGCGGCCACTTCCTCACCGTCTATCCTCTCTTCCTCCCTACCACGGCCCAGCAGCCATCAGCCTGTTCCTCCCTCTACTCCCCCTCGAAAGCGGCCGAAGCGGCACGGACCCCTCACTCCCCAATCCTCCCCTCGAGACCTGTCCGCCCTGTTCGCGCCTGTGTCTCCGGCGCGATCACCTGTCCGATCTCCAACCCTCTCACGGCGGAACACAGCGGGAGATGATAGCGATGGCGGGGTCACAAAGAGACCGGCTGGCGGGCTGTTCCGGCGGATGCTGGACAAGACGCAGAGTCTGGGTGCTATCGCCTCACCGGCGAAAGAAGGAGGAGAGGATTACTTCACATCCACCTCGGCTAGCCCCTCTCCGTCGAAAGCCCTCACCCGGACAAACTCACTTCCCACCACACCGTCCCGGTCTCCTCTTAAGCCGGAGGGGGCCCCCAACGCTATGGCGCAATCACTCATTGTCCCTGTCGCCTCGTCATCCCGGCTCGAAGCATCAACGTCTACGTCCGGAGGCAAGGCCAAAAGGACGTACGGGCGCAGTCGGACCATACTTGCCGAGGTGACGGACTCACCTCGGAGCGGCGCCAGCTCGAACGGCGCCGAGAAGGATACCATCAAGGAGAGCTATGCGGAATTGAGGAAGCAATTTGAGGTGGACAATACTGGAGGGGATGAGTCTGGTCCGGGCAATCTCATGCTGGTGAGCTTACCGTAGCTCGATTGGACGTCTCTGAGCATTGCAGCTGACCACTCAGGATCTGTTAGCGGTTCGAGGAGGCCAGAGCGTTTCTGATCTTCGCTCAAAAGGCGAGAATCGGCGGTTTATGGATGAGCTAGGATATCTCGTTGATCCAGTAACGGACCCCGGAACTGGCGTTGGTCTCAAGCGATCAAGGTGAGCTTACTCTCGTGCGATATTTCGAGACCGAGCTGACTTCTTGCAGCATACTAGATATCCTCCGAAGCATGCAGGCCGAGGACTGGCTCCAGCGCGCCAAGATATGCGGACAGGTCGAGCAGATCTGGGAGGCGATATATGGTGCTCGGGGCGAGAAGGGGGATGAGGTGAGCTCATATGGCCCCAGCTCAGCTTGATTCGCGGGTGTCCAGAGCTCATACCATGTCAGACGATAGAAGCTATGTGCTTGCTGTACCTCGCCAATCTCGTCAAGAGCGGGAGTGGGCTCGAGCTGGTCTTGAGGGCGCACGAGGAGTCGTGCGAGCGGATCGTATTGGGTGCGCTGAAAGTTCGGGATGGGCCGTTGGATGAGGTGTGCAGGGTGAAGACCAATGGCTTGGTGAGCTAATTGTCCTCTGATGGTCTTAAGCATGGACGGAGCTGATGAAAAAGGTGGGCAAGGTTCGGAGCATGTACCAGCAACTCGAGATGGGCTGGACTTCGGACATCGTGAGCTAATTGATCTCGTATCAATGGACACAAGCTCAATAGACACAAGCTGACGACGGCAGATGAGCACCAGACGACTAGCTTCCCTCTTGCTCGTCGAGATGACCTCTCCCTCAGTCCGCATGACGATGTCGTCGACTTCCATACTCATTTCGGACAAGGCGCTCTCACGCATCGCCAAGAGTCTTATGCTGGACATGACAGAGCTCGTTGGTCGCTTCGACCTGGCTGAGAAGGGCTTGGTGAGCTGGAAGCTCCACTTTTTCGGGCATAGAAAGCTGATACAATACAGCCCATATCCCCGACTGACCGAAAAGGCGGTATCGACATCGACCACATCTCGCAGTCTCTCACCGTCCTCTCCCGGCTGATCGGACATGGTGTCGCGGACCAGAAGGCCCTTGGCGAGATGCACGCGACCATGGCGCCGACGATCATCAATGCTCTCATCGCTGGCATATCTCTTGCTTTGGACAACACAAGCGATGCACCTAGCGCCGGTAAGTTGACGGAGGTGCAGCGGTGCTCGCTGAACTAAGCTTACCTGTACAGGCTCGACTATCGCCATCCAGTCATTGCAAATCCTCGCTACCATGTCCAATACCACTCCTTCCTGGGCAACGGCAATCTCGGAGATCGAAGGCGGTCTCCTCTCGCTAGGCCGGGTGTTGCTCCACCGCTCAGCTTTGGCTGCGATTCCCACCGCCAAAGGCGCGATTGTCGGGGAGGGGGTCGATGATGAGGACGAAGAGGAAGATGAAGGCGCCCGGTTCTTTTCGCCGAAAAAGCGGCGTGCTTCGACGCCTCGACAAGGTCAAATCGGGGCGGAAGACCTGCTATGTCTTGTGCTGGTGATTCTGACTGCGTCTATTATGGGGTCGGAAAAAGCAGTGTCCAGGCTCGCAGCTATACGTGAGCTTATCGTCACCGGGACTTTGTTCCAGGGCGTACAGCTGACAATCAGGCCTGGGAACGGGATGTCCTACTTCCAAGGCATGCCTGCGGACATGCAGATGCGTCGACGCAGAGGCAATACCGGTCCATCTGGTCCGAACCTATCTCGACCAAATCAACAGCGAAACGGTGAGTTCCCTGATTCCCAAAGATACGAACACAGCTGATTTTTTCAGCCCTCAGCAAGTCTCATCGCAGCCTATATCGCCCTCATCCTCTCCAAGCTCATCCCGCTCGACAATACCCTTCTCGCGCCCCTCCCGGGCGATTCGGACCGAGCTAAGCTGCTCGGTCTCATCGATGTCCTGAGCAGTCTGAGCGGACTGCAGACGTTCCTCCAGACTCGGCTGAAATTGGCGGCGGGAAGTCAAGGCGGAGAGCAGGATATGGAGGTCGGCGGCGGCGAGGCAGGGAGAAGGGGCGGGGATGAGGGGGTTGTAGATGAGGCGATAGATGATCTGAGGAGGATGGCGGAGGGGATGGAGGGGTGAAGATATCTTGTATGATCTATCAAGTATCAGTGAGCTACACGAGTGATCCCTCGGCAGACTAGTCGGGCGAGCAATGCGGAGGCTTAAAGAGCGGACTGCCGGGGAGCAAGGACAAACATCCAGGAGGATTGGACGAAAGGACTGGGCAGAGAGCACTACACAATGGTTCTGCCATATAGCATATATACAAAAGATTCGACCGACATAATCAAGATCTGAATATTTGACTAGATAGATCGCAAAGATACCGATCGCCCAAGCAAAGGTTACGCCAGACCCGTCCATCACGCCTCATCTGCATCTTCATCCTCATCCATCTCTTCATCACCAGATCCCTCCTCGTCCGTTTCCCACGTCCTCTGAGCCTTCGTCTTCCTCATCATACACTTCGGATCCCATCTCCTCATCTTCGGCCACATCGTTCTGCTCCTCTTCGACCTCTTCGTCTGAGTTCTCGTCCTCGATTTGGCCATAGATGTTGCCGGAGCTACCGCCAGAGTTGCTGTCGTCAGCAACGCCCGACAGGTAGATGTAGCAGGACAGACTCACCCCTTCCCCTTCTGCTTCTTCTTGCCCGCTGCTACCACTTCAGGCTCCGGCTGCGCCGCTCGCCAATCCACCAAAATCTGCCACGCCTCCTTGCTGACTTCCACCCCGCGCTTCTCATAGTCCAAAGCCGGATCCACCGCCTTGACCTTGGCCATAATATCCGCCGGTACCGCGACCCCCTCGAAGGACGCGAAGGCCTGCCAGACCGGGTCCGACCAGACGACGGGGTACGGCTTGTCCGGGTTGAACAGTACGCGCCGATCCTCCCTGTACCTCCCAGTCCTATAATTCTCCTTTAGCACCTCGACGTCTTGCAGCTGGAGCTTGAGAACGAGCAGCTCGGCGTCGTCATGCCGGAGGGAAGATACGGTGCCGTTCGGACCCCGCTTTTCCGCCTTGTCGAACGCGGCAAAGACATCCACGCTCTTCACGTCGATGACGTCCGTAAAGTACAGGGAGTGGAGGCGGGGTCGTTGGGAGAGCCAGGTGGCGATACCGGGTGCGAGGGGCAGTGAACCGGGAAATTGAGGTAGTTGGTAGTGTTCCGACCCCATCCGGTTTCGTTACGAAGCAGGACCGACTCCAGAGCGGGGAAAGAGGGGTTATGGCCGGGATCAGCCATCTAACGTGTAAGTACCGGCTCAAGCTAAACTTGGCCCGAGAACTTACGGGCATAGCCCAGTGCTTGTGCTTGACTACCATCCGCTTCACCGACTTCATCTCCGCCTCTCCCATCCCTATCCAAGCCGCCTGGACCGCGATGCAGTCGATAGACCCAGTCGTCCAGGACAGGTCCGAGATCTTGAGCTTACTGACCGCCTTTGCCAGCGTATCATCTACCGGGCCATCGGCGCGGTGGATATCGGTCTCATAGCTGACCGCTAGCTTCCCGAGCGCCGGCGAGCGCTCAAGCAGGCTGAGGACGAGATTGAGGTATGGGTACTCGACAGGAGGAGTCGTGCCCGTTTTGAACCATTTACCGGCATGGGTGTACTCGATCTCGAGGTGAGTGAGTTTCGTGTCCTCCTTGACCGAGCGAAGGTTCCGCAAGCGTTCCGTAGTGTTCAAATTGTCGATGGTGGCGCTCAAAAACGTGAGGTTGGGTGCGAGTCGCAGGAGGAGGGGTACGAATTCGGGGACTTTGATGGTATCGTGACGGAACGTCGCGTGGGTGAGGAGGGGGAAAGAGAGGGCCGACCCATCTTGCACCAAGGTGTTCCGACGGACCATGAGGGGGATATCGATGGTCGCCATCCCCTGCTGCTGCCCGAGCTCCTCGAGACCGCCCTGCTTCACCTCCACTTCGCGCACAGTCAACGAGATCCTCTCCAGAATCTCGGCAATCTTCTCGGTCGTCCCCTTCCTGATAGCCGCCTTGAACGTCTCTACTTTCTGCCAATTGCCCTCTCCACGCTTCAGGACCTCTTCCACCCTCTCCAGCGCCTCCTTCCGCCGCCTATCCGTCTCGCGCGTGATAACCCACATCAACGGATTGACGTCGGCCGGCGCGTCCTCCATCCGCAGGTCCATCTTGCTCGGATCAAATCCTTCCGACGTGATGTCGATGTTTCGCCATAGTTGGTCTGTGGCATACGAGCTGAGAGATTTGCTTGATAAGGACAAAGGATGAGCGGCGGCAGGCTCGCTGAAGTCGATGATGCGGGTCAATAGCTCATTGGGGAGATTTGGCCCGGAGGGAGGGGCGTCGGAACGAGGAAGGGCAGCGTCTGAAGTTCAGCTCGATGACCGTCTTTGGCTTGTTCGAATGACCTACTCTGGTCCATCTTTTCAGTAAGATATCTTTGAAACTGATAAGTGCTGGATGCTAAGCTGTTTAAGACTTGAGCGGTGAGTATAGAGTGGGAGATGAAAGTGCGGAAGAGAGGCGAGCCGCTGCGCGCTATTAGTCGCGTCGCGACGCGTCTCGACGTCGGGAAAAATCCGATCTCGGCCGGCCACATTCCTCGTCTCAGATAAAGTTTCAGTCGAGGGCCGAACCAGTTCAAGACGGCCGCACTGGTGGTCCAACAATGTCAACCCTCTACCGCTCTTCACCCTTCACTTCTGGTCGGGATGCAGAACCTCACACCCCAACAGGCACAGGCATTATGGGACGCTGGAGGTTTCACTATCCTCCCTGATCTGCCAGAGGGGTCGGAGTACGGGCTCGATGGGACGTGAGTTCTCCCTCTCTGCGTCCCCCACCTCAAGCTCTCAATAGTACATAGCTTATGCTTATAGCACAGCTACCATACCATCCGCAAATCATTCACCGGGTCCAAATTCGTACCTCCAGGCCTACACCTAATTACCATCTCCCCCGCTTCGCCCGGACGATCCTCTTCCTCATCCCTCGGTCCAGGCGCGATCCCACTTCGGTCCGGTATCCTCATACATCTCCGGCCGAGAGAGCGTCTTGTACTATCTTACGACACTGGAACTGAATCTCTCGCCTATACGTCCTCAGATACGTCGATGATCAGTGATGATCATCTCCGGAGCCTGGATCCTGGTCTTGCGGCGTACCCGTTCGATGGGCTGGACGCTTGGAAGAGCTTGACGAATTCAATATCAGAAGATGTTGTCTTGGAGGTTCTGGGGCCGAGAGGCATAGGAGTGGATGGTATGAGGGGCGTCGAGGGGGATAAGGACGATCTAGCGGTGTCCGGGCACCCAGAAGGTGTGGGGGTGCAGGATGGAGGCGGAAAGATGCGTTTCGTCCATTTCGACCTGAGGCGGAGCTGGAGAGACGGGGCCGTCGGAGAAGAGTTGACGCGCTGGGCGAGGGATAAGAGCTGGCTGCTCGCGAGTGTGCTAGAGGGTGTGGGCCAAGGTGAGCTTACCGATACAGTCTCCATTTCAGCCGAGTTTGAAAACGAGAGATGCAAGAGCTGAATGGTACAGACCCCTTGACACTGCTTGGACACCTTCAACTCGCCTTCATCCTACTCCTCCACCTCTCCTCCCCCTCCAGTCTAACAGTCTACAAACGCCTCTTCTCCCTCCTCTGCCGCTCGACCAACATCCACGTCCAACCCCTCGAACACCTTCCAGCGCCCCTTCACGCCGGTCTTCGCGCACTCTACATCAGCTTCATAGCGGCCTTCACCGCACAAATTCAGGCCTTGCCCGACGGGGTCTTCGATACAGAGCTGCCGGAGCTAGATGTGTGGTACAACGAAGAGCTGGAGGCACTGCGTGGGAACATCAGTCGGGCGATGGGCGAGGCGGACGGTCTGTGGGCGGATGGAGAGGCCAGGAAGGAATTGAGAGTAGGATGGGAGGGGATGAGGGTGGTCGCGAGAAGGAAGTTTGGATGGGAAATAGGGGAGTTGCAGAGTCTGGCGCAGCTGTTTGATGGCCTTGGAGAAGAGGACGAAGACGAGGATGGGGAGTACGCGCCGGTTGTAGTGGACGTCCCGGATGATTTGTAAGTCTATGCGACAATGACTTGTCAGAGGGGCTGAGCATGATAAGAGCCACATTACTTATCTCGTTTACGTCTTTCCTGATTGCGCCAACATACTTCTGAATGCCCGCAGCCCAGCTGGATCCCCCTACTAGGGCCGCAGTGCATGTCCGCCCTTGCTCACATACCCGCCAGCCCACCCGCATACTCCTGACCTATGTCTCGGCTTTGTCTCTCGGGCCGCGGACATAGCCACCTGACTACAAATGTCCTGGAATGCCGCTTCGACCTCGTCCGAAATCCACACAGCGGTACCAGTGCCGTAGGGTAGGACTATACCGGCGCGATATACGTTGTCGCTATAGTTTATGATGACACGCGGACAGTGAGAGGTTTAGGGTAGGAGAGGATAGTGGAGATGAGGGAGGCATTGGATGGGTGATGAGCTGGAGGATGAGGGTTTGGCAGGGTTCGTGTGAGATCTGAAGAATGTCTTCCAGGGTGGCGATTGGTCTTTGGGGTTCCGAAGGTGGCTAGGCACGAGGGTACGGCGAGATACGTACCCCCTTGACGGGCAGTAGAGCGATTATCTTGAGTAGGCTTGACTGCGATAGAGCAAGGCAGGGAGGTGCCTTGATCAGCCTACATATCGCAGCTGCTCCTATGCCGGTGGCTTTTTGAACCCGTGTTTCATGTGGTACCCCTTGAAACATGCCTAACTTCCAAAAGAGGCAAGAGTGGCGGTGTGGACGAGGTGTGTGGCGGAACACTATCGAGGCGCAACAAGGTTGTGATTCGCGCTTCGATTCTGGAAGCCTCGCTTCCCTCTCGATCCCTTATGAGAGATCCCTTATGAGATGCCAGCTCTTTCCCACTCGTCTGCATTCGCCCATCATCCTTCGAATCACCCTCCTTCCCTCCTCATCAGCCAAAACGAGCCTCCCGCCTCCCACCGCCAAACCCCTCCCCATAGCCAGCAAGGTCCAGCCCACCACCACCCCCAATATCGCTGCCATCCCTCTTACAGCCTGCCATACCCTCCTCCAGCGTCTGGCCCTCCTCAGTCCGAAAAACGCCCGACTCATCTCCCAATACACCACGCAACACCCTACATCCCCTCCGACCCCTAGCGGTCCACCCCCTACCCAATGCGCTCCGTCCTCCACGCAGAAACCCAATCCGTTCCTACCCCTACTGGAAGGTCTCGAGGACTTCCTCACCGGCTGTGATGGGGAGTTCATCCCCGGTCGAATTCACTTTGCTCTATGCAGCTTGAAGACCAAACTATAGCTAGCGCAGGACCTCAAGCGCACGCGACCACGCTCCCCCTCGCCTAGCACCATCGTCCTCGTCAATGCCTTGGAGGCGGTGTGCGAGATCATGCAGATGATGGTCGACGACTCCAGCATCGACCTCACCTACATGTGTTGGGACAACAAGCCTTTGGAGCTGTCGGTGGCGGCGGAGGAGATCCTGAGGCAGCTGGACGGCAGGGGAGAAGAAGACGACCTGCGTTCAAAGGCTGTGAGGCAGAGGTACACTAGTCTGTCGGAGGAAGTGGGAAAGGCGATGCGAGGGGAGCGGCCGAGGGAGTACGATATGGACGATTACTATGACGATCAGTATGACTGGGACTGCTAGAAAGTAGGACACGTGATGAGAGTAGACCTAGCGGGAATGGTAACAGACAGCATCACGGTAGGTAGATAGGTATGCGGGTAAGATGTATCATCTGATATCATATGGCTACTCTCTCACAGCGGAGGTCTTCCTCTGTCGGCCGAACAACTCGCCCTTTCTCACCCTAAGCTTATCACTGTTACTCACATGCCCGGTAGGAGCTACAACCGTACCCACAAACTCCCGCCAGTCACTTTCGGCTGATCTCGGTCAAGTGTGTCTGGCTCATGAGTCCTGACGATTGTGATTGGTGGGGTGATCGTGCTGTGGCTGTCAAGATCACTACTGTGTCTCACCAGGTCTCACCCTCCCCAGTGTTGCTCAGCGACTCATTCCTCTCACCGGTAATTACCGGTAAGTCAAGTCACCGGTTCGGGCAAGGCATCGTTTGGCATCGCGCCGATCCCCAGGCATCTTCAGGTTGTCTCTGTTCACCTAATAACATGAGCTCCCCTCGCCCTGCTAAGCGCGCACGACGCTCTTCTCTACAAGCCGCTTCTACTAGATCTGATCCTGGATCAAACCACTCCGGATCCCCCGCTGCCTCCCAATCTCCTACTCGCTCCCACTCCCCCACCTCTTCCCACCCCTCATCCGCCTCAGACCCACCTCCTGTCGTCCTTCCCGAGCGATACGCTCTCTACAAGCCAGAGGACAAGCAATTCTACCATGAGCTAAAAACCATCACGGACAACTTTCACTCCGACATCGACGAGGCCTATGACGAGCGCAAGCGCCCGCAAGACTTTGGGGAGGAGGTCAGCTCGGAACTGTACGGCGCAATCAATGCCATCACTAGGCGCTGCACTCGATTCGGCTCGGCGTATAATCTGGAGATAGGCTTTGAAGCCCTGGTGCGGGTCGCAGAGGTGGCGATGTTGCAAGAGGGAGGGGCTATACCTCAGATGTGGGATGCGCTGGAGGCGTTGGTGCAGGGGATCAAGGAGGTGGCGGAGATGATGAGGATGGACGGGCAGGATCGGACAAATCTCAGAGCTGGACTGAAGGAGCTGAATAAGGACTGGGTGGCGTATAAGGATCTGAACCTGTTTCAGGATCTGAGCGAGGAGCTGGAGGCGGAAGATGCCAGTTGCGATGAGGAGTCTGATGAGGAGGACGAGGATGAAAATGAGGATGAGGATGAGGATGAGGATGAGGACGAGGAGGACGACGAAGACGAAACATAAGTAGACCTAGCTGTATAGGAGGTAATCCGGAGTCACCTTGCGAAGATAGTATGTCATGTACAACAGGAAGGTATGGTGTCGCTATGCTATGGTGACGGTAGACTGACTATATCAGAACTCCTCGGCTCTTTTCCGCTTCGCCTTCCCCAAAGCCCCATCCACCTCCCTCATAAACCCCTCTATGTCATCTCCACCGCTTTTCGGTGGCCCATCCAGCATCTGGAAGTCCTCGTCCTCATCGTCATCCTCCCCATTTGAGATCTCGATGACCTCTGCTGTTCCCACTGCCCCGACCGGACCCGCCCTTCTCCGTCCCCCACCCTTCCCATCGTCAGAGTCTTCCAGCACAACGACATCCCTCGCCTGGTCCACCGCCTCTCCCGTTGCCCCAGCCGCCTCTGCCCCATCCTGTGACACAGTCGTTCCTGTGTCCACAACCTCCTCGATGACTTCTTGCTCCTTCCCCTGGGTCTCTTGCTCCTCATCATCGTCTTCCTCTTCTTCGTCATCTCCGCCCGCCCCCTCCCTCCCGGCCTGCCCCACTATCACCCGTTCCGCCTGATCAGGGATAAACCGCATCCTCCCCGACTTCGCGAGCCGGTCAAGCGACGCCTTCTCCTGCTCTGCCGCTGCTCTTTGCCTTCCCGCGAGCGCTGCGCCCGCGGCTGAGCTTTCTGGGAGGTCCGTCGATGAAGCTGGCTGGGCGACGCGCTGATTCCGTGGTATACCGTGTGCGATGAACCGGCCTGCTGCCTGGGTATCTAGTTTGTACTTGCCTGACCTCGTCAGCTTTTGTTATCTCGCCCTACGAGGGTCAGAGTAAGCTCACGACTGTCATCCTCTGGGTTCTCGATACTTCTTATCTTGCCGTAGTAGGTCCGGACCCGCTCGAGCTCGGACGAGACTTCATGCTTCGCAGGATCGACCCCCTTCATCTTGAGGTAGACTACAAATATCAGCTGAATTCCAGACACGTTTCCTTCAACAGGATAGGTCTAAGATAGCTCACTCCATATCAAGTCCACAATTGTATACGCAATCATCACGTCCATCTTGGCCCGCTCGAGCGGGTCCAGCCCATCCATCTGCGCCGCCCATTCTTGCTTGAACAGCGGTGAGAGGGCGGTCTCGAGCTCGGCGAGGGACGATTCCAGCTCGACAGAAGTGGTAGCAGGGTCAAAGGGGACCTCTTCGGGCATCGTGGCGGGTCGTAAGGTCTTATATATGGCTGTTATATAGATGTGATCGATGGTATCAGTTGGGTGGAGGAAGATTTCTGAAATTTGGTGCAGATTTTACGCACGGATTAGCCCTTTACTGACGTAATTGAGCTGTTTGGGTGTGAGAATAAAAGGTTCCGTTGGGACAGTCGCGTGTCAACTCATTCCTCAGCTTTGCCTGTAGAGTACGCCTTCAACAACTCGCTATAGCTCAGCCTGTGATCAGCTAGACTCCCTCGCCCGTGCACAGTATCACAGCGCAAAAGTAGGCGAGGAAATAGACTGGCAAAATGGATAAGCTCGCAGCGACCATCGCGGCCTCGGGGGGGCACTACAACTTGAAAGGTGAGCCCGTGTCCCCATGCCTGACCTGAGCGCGTGCTGATGTGGCCAGCTTTGATCAAGGCTATTCGATCATGCAAGGTAGGCTGCTCGGCTACGATGAGCCGTTATTCGCTGATAGCTTACCCTCTCAGACCTTGGCCGACGAACGCGCGGTGATACAGAAGGAGTCCGCTGCAATCCGCGTAGGTCCCTCTCTTTGCCCTCGAAGCGCTTGAGCTCTATTGGGCTGCCCAAGTCTACACACAGAGCCTGTCTTCTGTAATTGGCGTCGCGTGATTGCTTGGGGACCTTGCTGACAGCTCAGACCTCGTTTAAAGAGGAAGACACCTTTGCGCGCCATAACAATATCGCCAAGCTCCTCTACATCCACATGCTCGGCTACCCGGCACACTTTGGGCAGATTGAATGCCTGAAGCTGGTCGCCAGTCCTCGTTTTGCGGATAAGCGGTTGGGGTACCTGGGGATCATGTTGTTGCTGGACGAGAATCAGGAGGTCTTGACACTCGTGACGAACTCGTTGAAAAAGTGGGTAGCTGACTCATGAGCTGCAAGGAAGGCTCGCGCAGCTAACCTCCTAGCGACATGAATCACTCGAACATGTATGCCGTCGGTCTGGCACTCTGTACCTTTGCCAACATCTCGTCAGAGGAGATGAGCCGGGATTTGGCGAATGAGATTGAGAAGCTCTTGGGGAGTAGCAACTCTTACGTTCGGAAAAAGGTGAGCAGCTTTCGTACGCGGTCTCCAGTCGAAGCTGACGTCAATAGGCCGCCCTCTGTGCTCTTCGCATCATCCGTCGTGTACCCGACCTCATGGATCACTTCACCACCAAAGCCAAGGCGCTTCTGCAGGACCGGAATCACGGTGTCCTGCTCGCTGGAATCACGCTCGTCACTGAGATGTGTGCACTGGACGAGGGAGTGTGCAACGAGTTCAGACAAGTCAGCTGCTGTCCTCAGGTATATGTCATTGGAGCAGAGCTGATAGTTCAGGCCACCGGTCTGCTCGTCAAACACCTGAAAACGCTCGTCACTACCGGTTACTCGCCAGAACATGACGTTGGCGGCATCACAGATCCTTTCCTCCAGGTCAAGATACTGCGATTGTTGCGGCTGCTAGGTCAGGGAGATGCGAGGGCGAGCGAGGAGATGAACGATATACTAGCGCAGGTGAGCTGCCTGGTTCGCAAGTACGATGACGCCAAGCTGACATGTGTAGGTTGCTACCAACACCGACGCTACCAAAAACGTCGGGAACTCGATCCTCTACGAGACAGTCTTGACTGTTCTGGATATCGAGGCGGATAGTGGATTGCGGGTGATGGCTATCAATATCCTCGGAAAGTTCCTCTCCAACCGGGATAACAACATCCGGTGAGCTATATGGGCCGCTGTATTCTCGGGCTAGAAGCTGATCGCTACAGCTACGTCGCCCTCAACACCCTCATGAAGGTCGTCTCGATGGACACCCAGGCCGTCCAGCGACACCGGAACACCATCCTCGATTGTCTCCGCGACGGCGACATCTCGATCCGCCGTCGAGCCCTCGAATTATCCTACGCACTCATCAATGACCAAAACATCCGGATCATGACGCGCGAGCTGCTCAACTTTTTGGAAGTGGCGGATAACGAGTTCAAGCAGGGCTTGACGACGCAGATCTCGTTGGCGGCGGAACGATTCGCGCCGAATAAGCGGTGGCAGATTGATACGGTTCTGAGGACGCTCAAGCTTGTGAGCAAAATCTTGCTCTATACTGGTCAAAGCTGATGATGTAGGCCGGAAACTTTGTTCGAGAAGAGATACTAGCGGCTTTCATCCGCTTGGTCTGCCATACCCCCGAACTACAGTTCTATACCGCTCATCGCCTATATTCGGCCTTGTCTGCGGATCTGTCGCAGGAGACGTTGACTTTGGCGGCGGTGTGGATCATCGGAGAGTTTGCGGATGTCCTGCTTCAAGGTGGGAGCATGGAGGATGGCGAGGAAGTCAAACAGGTAAGCCAGGTGGCTCACGACGATTGTGATACCAAGCTGACACACCAGGCGACCGACGCATCCCTTGTCGATCTCCTAGACCTCGTCCTCAACTCCCCATACACCAATACCCTTACACGCCAGTTCGTCCTCACCGCCGCTGCTAAGCTATCCGCACGGCTCGCCGAGCTCAACACTGCCTCGGCAAGCGCAGAGCAGGACCGGATTGCCGTGATGCTCGCTGGGTTCAGCGGGAACCTCGAGCTGGAGATCCAGCAGCGTGCGGTAGAATTTGGAAGTCTGTTCAGTCGGGGAGATGTTCGCGCGGGAGTGCTGGAGCGGATGCCGCCACCTGAGATCAGGGCGACTATCATGGGCGGAACAGGTGAGCTAGTCGACTGACAAGATGGTAGGAATGAGCTGATCACTCAGCGAGCGAGAGGAAACCGGTCGGGTCGACACGGACGGACGTGGGCTCGCTTGTCGACCTTATTGGCGACGAGGCGCCATCTGCCGGCGGACCAGCTACGAACGGCTCCACCTCCGGACCGTCGACACATGACCTCCTCGCGGACATCTTTGGCTCGAGCAGCGACTCTACACCCGCTGCTTCATCAGCGACGGGCGGAAGCAGCAACGCCAATGCCGACATTCTTTCCCTCTTTGGCTCATCCTCTTCCACACCAGCCACATCCGGGCCCCCACCACGTCAGCCAGCGCAATCATCAGGCTCCAACTCGCTATTCGACCTCGGTGATTCTTCATCCTCCGCTCCTCCCGCTCCGACCCCTGCTCCCGCGCCGGCACCGGCACCGACGCAGCAACGACAGCAATTGCAGTCGTACCCCGCGTACGAGAAGCATGGTCTCAAGATTACGTTGACGCCTCGGACGGCACCGGGGCAGCCGGGGATGGTGCAGATTCTGGCGAGGTTTACGAGTTCGGAGGGCGCGCAGGGGGTCAATTTCCAGGTGGCGGTACCGAAGGTGAGTCAAGCTATCGCATCGGGATTGTGAGGAGTCTTGCAATGTAGCGGGTCTTACAGGTGCTGGTTGAAGAGGTCAGACGGGGACGGTAGCTGATCGTCCAGACGCAACAACTACAAATGCAGGCTATGTCGAATTCGGACGTCGCGCAAGGCGGGACAGAAACGCAGCAATTGCGGATAGCGGCGCCTCCAGGCGTAAGTTCCGCCTTCTCTTGCACGTGAGAATGCCTGAGCTGACTGTCTATAGGCTCAAATACGACTTCGGATGCGGATATCTTTCAGCAAGAATGGGGAGAATATCACGGACCAGGCGGACTTTGCGGGTTTCCCGGCTGATCTGACGGCTGCTAAGTAGGTAGGGGGGCGAGGTGCCAGATGCAGCAAATAGATGCTTGCGTGCGTCGCGTGGGAGCGGCGAGGTGTACTGATCCGCACGAGCTCTGTGAGGTCTTTCGATCGGCTGCACCGACTCAGATGCATAGGCACGCATTCATGCTCACACACTTGAACCCGTCGACCTCACGCTGCTAACGTTCGGCCTCCAGGCATCAGTCCCGTTTCCCGAAGGCGCACGTTCGCCTTCGATCGAATTCACCTTCTTCGCAAGTATCCAAGCTCCTTAGCCCAGCTTTCCCGACACTCGTCCGCTATACAGCGACTAGGCAGATCGGCCGCTTCGTCCCCCTCGGTATTGCCCTCATGTTGCCTCGGTTGCCCGTTCTCCGTCTCATTGCGTCCGGTCCCCTGATCTGCGTCGCCCCAATCTGGCACATCCGCGTCGGTGCAGAAAGGGTCAAGAATGTAGGCGCGCGCTTGGCCGGCACCGTCGCCTATTTCCGTCACTTCGGGCCATCCGTCCGCAATGGCCTCCAATGCTGTCGGCGGCTCCAGTTCCTGCTGCAGTAGCCACAGTCGGTGTGGTTGGGTGTCCGGTTCCGCTCTCCGTTCGTCATTGCTGGCCGGCGAAGCAACAGGTGGGTTGACGCTCCAAGGACAGGGCATTTTGACTGTGACAGAATGCCTGGTGGACCCATCCGATTCTAGGCCGGGGCTCAAGCTGTCCAGGTCCAATCTGCCCAGCACGTCCATCAGGTGTATTCTTTGGTCAAAACCGATGGCGGAGCCAAGGTAGGATCGAAGGTGGAACATCTGCGCGGCGGTCATATCGCAGGATAGCTCCGAGCTGGCTGAGATGATTGGGCGAGCTTCGTTCGCCCAACGACGCTCCGAGTCTAGCTCAAAGCTGAGCACTTGTTCTGTATCATCGTAGCGGATGGCCACTATCGAAGAGACGTAGCAACCTGCACCGGGTGCTCCTGCAGCTGCGTTGATGAGGACATCCGCCAGAGCGGCGAGCTCTGTTGCTCGATCGTAGTCTTCGTCTCCGGCACCAGGCATGTGGGGGTGTGAACCTTTCGCAATCACTGTCAGGTGGGGTAGGGGGCGCAAAGGGCAGTTGAAGAGAGGTCGAGGCACATTCCAGGGCGCCGTACTCCTCGACAAAGGCGGTGATAGGCCTAGGGTCACCATCTAAAAGGAAGGCTGGACAGGGGGTCTGCTTACGCGTGTCGCGCATTCAGCATTGTAAGGATGTCGATAGTTTACGACGCCGTCATTCGATGAGAGCGACCGGGCAAGGTTTACTATATACATTTCGCCGCGCCCGGTACATCATAGTGCGTCTGCGGCGCGTGCAGATCTTATCAGTCTGTACGTACACTCAAGGGGGAACAGCTGCACAGCATGGCACACCCAGCTGATCGATAATCCCTATGTGGCAGTGCGGCTGACAAGATTACAAACCCGATCCTCATCGCACCACAGTGCAGAGAAGAATGAGGTGAATGGCCGTTGTGCATCCCGAACGTAGCATACGTGTTGATCACACTGTACCCGGAGTCGTAAACGCCGCATCACTTCCCCATATTCCGGCTATTCAGCCTTCGACTCCGCTACACCCTAGCCTACCACCATTCTTTCACCTGGATTCCTCCGCCCCCTCGTCTGCCTGGAAGTCCAAGAAGTCTTCAAGGTACTGTTCACCGGTACCGTCGTCGCTCTCACCTTCGCGATCATCGTCAACATCGTCATAGTCGCTCTCGAGTGGTGCCGTGTGAGTCCCCTCTTGATCCTCTCCGTTTGTGTCCTGAGGCGTCTGCTGGCTCAGTTGTGGGGTCGCACACGCCAAGTCGGAATGCGGGAGCGCAGCTGGGCCTCCTGGGAGACGAGGTGTGGTGGTTGGAGTGCGAAGTAGACTTTCATCGTGCTCCGTCTGCCTTGACTCTGTCGTGACGGGTTGCTCGGTGGGAGAATGATCTTTCAGGTGGACGTAGACGCTGATGATGCTGTTCACGCCGTTGCGGGCTGGCTGGCGCGTATCGACGTACATCGTAGCTAGCTTGTCGTTTAGCTGTTCCCGGAGCATGTCACCATCCGGCAACGACTGGAAAGCCTCTTGAAGTCGCTCCAATGTCGTCAGGTCAGGAAAGCCATCTAACCGATGCGAGATCTCGACGGTCGGCGTCTCCTCACTGCTTCTCTCTGACCAGCAAAAGAAGACTAGGCGGCCGGTACCGGCCTCATACTTGATCCCCTTGATGATGTTCGTATAGGATTTTGAGCCGGGTTGGATGGACAGCTTGCAGTACTTGGCCTCCACGGACAAGACAACATTACTTGCCACAGCAAGGCCAAGCCTATGCCGCTCCTCCCAATCAGTGTCCGTTCTCTGGCTCATCCTGCGTGCAATCGGTCTTGCTTTCGTTGACAATTCGGGGTTCAGCGTGAGTCTGGCAACCCGGCGACAGCAGTGATATGTGAAAGTGCTAAGCTCGCCGCAGCTATGCCACCAGTGCGAGCACGAGCATGTTAGTGGCGACGCCTGGGTGGTATCTGAAAGGAGCACTGACTGCGTGTCTCATCGGGTCGGGGGATCCTTTCAGCCGGCACATGAAAGTCAGCTGGTCAGCCCCGGAGCACGGCATTCGCCGATTGATGCTGTTGCGCCCACACGTACTGCGTATCTTTGAAGATCGATTACTGGGGTCAGCTCAAGCCAGGCGGGTCTGTACCTGTTCCTCTCTATACCTATGATCAGGCAATTCACGACCAAGCCGTACCTCAGCAGATGCGAGAGCTACTGTCGGTAGTGGTCAGTTGCTATCAGTTCTTGGGCTGACCTAGGATTGCGCGTTTCTACCCGGGATCAGTGAGGGCAGGTCGCTGCTCAGAGCGTAGCTATTTCATGGCGTTGTCTGACTAACACATGCAGACTCTCCCTCATGACGGATCTGTTTAGTCCAGCAACACCTCGCTCACAATGCCCAATAAGCTCCCCTCGTTCGGCTTCTCCTTCTCCGCCACCGGCGCCTGCGCGGCGCTCGCACCCGCGGCAGTCAAGCTCTGGAGTTGCAGCTTGAGCATCTCAATCTCCTTGGCAGCAGCCTCGGCGGGATTGGCCACGCTGGGGTCGATGAGGGGACGGATGGCCTCGCTGAGCTCGTGAGGCTTGACGCCGAGGGCAGTGGCGAGGGTGTAGATCTGGGACTGGACGTCGGGGTTGCCGGACGGGACAGAGCCGGTCTTGCCCTAAATCATCAGTATGCGCTCTCAAGCGGCAATAAGTAAAGACTGACCTTTCCGCCCTTGGCAGCAGCCTTGGACGCTTGGCTCCCCGCCGCGCGGGCGGCCGAAGCAGCGCTCTTGATCATCGCGTCGCTGCCCATGCCGGCGACACCGCCGTTGGTGTTGACGTTCGGGTTGATGTTCTGCGCAGCACGCTTGCCGGTGACGAGATTCCAGTATCCGCCGGCGTTGGCAGCCCAGACGGTGAAGCGCCACATGTAGAACGCGGCGAGGAGACCGAGGGACAGGGTGAGGTAGGTGAGGCTGGAAGTCAGCAATGGGTCCATGTCAAGTGTGGGAGGCTTGGTGAGCCCAAAATAGAAGGCAGGATAGTGTGATGATGGGTAAGCTGGCTCAAGGCCAAGGCAAAGAAGCTGGGGGAATTATGGCTCTGGGAGAGAGACGTCAAGGAAGGTTCATAGGAGCGCTAGAAGGAAGGAGCGAGTTCACTTACAACCTGTTCATGGACATGTTCCAGAATGGCGGGTCGACATTCGGCTTTGTCCCTGCCCTCCGGACGTTCTTGTTGGATGTCGTCCCAAGCGAGGTCCTGGTGCGTGAGCTCATGTCCAATCTCTCGGATTCGCGGGCCACAGCCCAAGGATCCGTCAAGGAGAAGAAGCTTACGGGTTCAGGACGTCGGGGTCGGTGGAGTCCTTGTCTTTGTTGGCCCGTTGACGGGTGGTAGATGCTTGAGGAGCTGACATTATGCTGGAGAGCTGGGTGTCGTTATGGGGGAGCTTGATGAGAGTGGGATGATTGAGAGACAGAAGTGAAAAGGTGTGCGTGTGAGCTGGAATCTGGAAGTGAACCTTGCTCACTACGTCATCGCTTTTAGGTCCCGCCAAATGAGGAATGCTTCAGAGATGACGCCTTTACAACGCTCCGCTAATACTTCGCAGCTTCTGACATGCTCAAACGAAGGGCAGGGACGACAAAGATATGTACAAGATAGACAACCTCCGGCCCAGACACTCATAGCGACCCCCAGCCATCCACCCTAAGCTGACCAATTTCCACCAATGATCCCCATCCACCACACGCCCCATACCATTGCGCTGAATGCGCCCACTCCCATCCCCGCCTTCAAGTTGCCCGCGCCCATCAACACCAGCAGGGACCATGGCCACCCGATAAGCTTGTCCAAGATGCTTCCCAGAAGACGCCAGAAGAACAGGGCCTCGCGGCTTATTGGGGCGGGCACGGGCGTATGTGGCGGACCTGCCGCTGGGAGCGTAGGGGCAAGAGATGGCGACTGAGCGGAGTGGGTAGCGGGAGGCAGGGATAGAACGCAATGTACAGGCTTGTGGTCGGATATCGTAAGTGCGGGCGTGGAGGTGTATGTCAGAATCTTGGTGGTTGGCGCGGAAGAGGATGCGTCGGTATGTGACGCGAAGAGGATCCGGTCTGTCCAGCCTGGTATCCGCTTTCTGTATGATCAGCTTTTATTCACAAAGCTTTGTTTACATCCGCTCACCTGGAGTAACCCTCGACCTGTCCAACGACCCGCTTATACGTCGGCGCAAACCCTTCCAGCTTCCCCTCCCTCAATCCTCCAAACACCCTCCCCTCCTTCTGCTCCCTCCTCAAAGTGTCCAGCTCCAGCATGTCCGCTCGCTCCTTCTCCAGCTCTACAGCTTCCGCCCGGTTGGTCACGCCCGCATCTCCCGGATTCTCCCTCGGTTCCCCAGTGACGAGATGTGGTAATCTCGCGAGCCGGTAGTTGAGGTCGCCAATGACGAAGAGGTGCGAGGTGTCTGTGATTTGATATGGGGTCGAGAGGGGGTCGGAAGAAGTAAAGAGGAGAGAGGATAGGATGTTTTGGAATTGGGTGTTCCGGCGAGGGACGTTCTTGTCGTACGCCTCCAGATGAGTACAGACAAATCTGTCGGTCAGCCCAACTTCTTGTGACACAGCGATGCCCGACAAATTCAGAGAGGCCGCCAATGTCCCTCTCGATTGAAGCTAGAAGGACACTCACGTCAGAGTCTCCCACCCGCTCGTTTCCCCTCTCCTGACTTCCAGCCTCACACCCACAGCCCCCTTATTCCCCATACACCCCCACCACAGCCCCAGCCTGCTCGTGAGGCATTTCCCCATCCGACCAGCCATGGTCGCTTCCCGCGCAAAGACCCAGAGAGCATTTCCGCCATGCGAGACGCGCGAGACGAGGAGGTAGTTTTCGGGCGTTCGCGAGGGGGAAAGGGAGGTTGCGTGCGAGGAGAGGAGGGATTGGATCCGGGTCGTCAGGCTGGATACGACGGGGGCTGTCAGGCCGGCGAATATATTGTCAGCATGGTAATATGTGTCGCCTCTTGCGCTGCATGGCAAGCCAGCGACCCGCTCTTGCCCAACATTCCTTGGTCCCGGTCATCGAGGCTGATAAGGTGGATGACTTACGAGCTAGATTCACAGGCAGAAGCTCCTGCACCCCAATAGCATAGATATCAGGCGGTGCCCTAGCCCCGTCGTCGTCACTCATCCCTGCATCCTGTGCCGTCCGCTGAAGGACCGGCAACAGCCAACTCGTAAGGTCCTGGGATTGCGCTTTCGACCCCTGCAGCCCGGTGTTCCAGGTGGTCAGGAAGATCGTGAGTGGCTTTGACATCCTGGTGAGTCGTATAGGCTATCAGCGTATATGTATGAGAGTAAGTACCGATGAGAGAAGAAGAGAGAGGATAAGGTCGTCGATGACGCACAAAGAGGTGTCAGATTCTGGTTCCGGGTGTTGATGAGCCACTTTTGGGCAGCGAGCACGCTCAAACGAGCGACATCAGACACCATACAACACACTAGCAGGCTTCCCCCCTCTTTGTTCTTCCCTCTCCACTTCAACCGACGCAGACTTGAACTTAGCGCTTACCCTCGGCTTCCGCTGCGTACAGCCAGAATGTCGCTCCCCTCGCCCGCCTCCACTCCAGCAACCTCGCCCATGCCGCTCCACCCCACCTTCGCTTCCGCGCTCATACCACCCTCTCCGGACCCATCTCACGCGCCTCGCGGTACGAGCGGCACTTCACGGCCTCTTCTCCCTAGCCGACTGTCCTCGGTTTCTGGACCTTCGAGCAGTCTCATCCCGCCAGCGGCCGCCAAGCGGATACCATCCCGTTACTCGGGGTGTCAGCTGTGCGAGCTGGTCCGAGAGGCTCGGAAGGTGTTCGGATATTCTACATCGGGTGGAGATGGGCTACCGGGATCTGCAGGTCCATCAGGAAGTAGGCGCGGGAGCGCGGATGGAGGTGGAGAGAGGGACCGAGGCCCAGATTCGGCTGGACCGAGCACAGCTTCCAGCTCGAGCAGCTTCCCTTCACATACTCGACCGCAAGGGTATGCGCAGCCTGTCCAGCAGGCGTCAGGGGGCAGTAGCAGCTCGAATGCTAGCCCTATAGGCCAGACGATCAATGGGCGAGAGATACTATATCACGACCCGGATATTACCGTCTATCCTGCAGCGGGGGCCGAGCGGTTACGGTCAGAGGGGAAACACTTGGTGATTGTGGTGAATACGCACGCGGAGAGCGTGTACGAATTCGTGAGTTGCTCTTTCCCTATCAGCCCACAGTGAGGCAACTGATCAAACAGGGTCCCTCTGACGTTCCGCTCTTATCGAAGATCATCGAGACGGCGCAGCTCCTCTTAGATCCTGAACATACCAAGGGGGAGATCAAGGTCGGGTTCGTCGGCAACGTAATGAGTAGGTCAAGACTTGCACTGTTGGACTCCGTTTCTGGATCCGGGCATGATGAGGGTCTGGCGGGGCTAACGACCTCGCAGAGGATCCGCAGTCACCTCATGCGCACCTGCACGCGCACGCCCTGCTCGGACCGCCAGATACCAGTCTTCCCGGTTCAACCTTTTGGCGCCGGAACGTGGTCTATGGATTTGCGAATTGGTGGTCTGTGCAAGATCTTCGTGCAGAGATCAGGTACGTCACCGTCCTTGGCTGTATAAGCTCCATGATCGCGACATTATTTCAGCTGACAAGCAAAGGGAAGGATCATCGAATAACAGAATCAAATCAGGATATGAGAACCGGACGGGAGCGCCCATCGAGAAGGTCCCCAATGCCGGGTCAAGCTCGGTGAGCAAATTCTTGTCGGGTTGCGGGTGTCAAGCGAGCTGATGCATGTAGGGTCTTCCTAACGCGCTCGAACCAGCACCGCACGATCCCTACCTCGACACCTCCCACCCTGACCCCCGCGCCACACCCTCATGAACACCCTATCTCTACTTGGTCCTGCTCTTCAACTTCTGCACATCTTCAAATCCGCCGGCTTTACGTCCATGCGTCCGCTTGCCTTCCTCCCTAGCTTCTGCGGGACCGAGGTAGGTCGGCAGAATGTCATGGACGCTCTTCAATCCTGCGTCGCGCTCGGGCGGAGAGGAGGAGGGAAGGGAGGAGGGGAAGGCGGTGAGGAGCTGGGTGAAAGAGAGGGAGTTGAGGGGTGGAGTCGGGGAGACGATATTGTCGTATTTGAGCTGTTTCACCTAGACATGTCAGCCATGCAAGCACAGATTATGCGGAGTAGTAACGCCGCGGGGTTAGACGTACCTGATCCCGAGTCAGAGTGAAGATGTTCTCGGGCAGTCTCTCCAAGACAGCGCCCTGGATCATGCCGACCCAGTATGGTAGCGAGATGATGAACCGCTTCAGGCCAGAGTATCTCAAAACCAGACCCATGATCTCGCGATATGTGAAGACTGGAGCTATCAGCCTGGTCATAGCAGTAAACCAGAGGGTGAACGCACCATCAGGCCCGCCAGCTTCGATAATCTTCCCTCCGACCTGCTCTACGACTTTTGGGTCGTCCCTGCAGCAAATCTCCACCGCTCGAGCGACGTCGCCAACATATACAGGCCTGAGTTTCAGCTCTAGCCCTCAAGCTGGGCGAAGGTGAACGTAAGCGAAGGTGAACTAACTGGAACTTGACCACACCGCCGCCGAACACCGGCAGGAACGGAAGGAACTTGGCCAGAGCTGAGAATCGCTGGAGCGTCAGCATGTCATCAGATCACCTTTATGGAGATCTAGAGACATACGTTGAAGAAGGAATCACCAGGACCAAAGACGATAGACGGCCGGATGATCGTCGCGGTTGGACTTGTTGCAAGGAAGATGTCCTCGGCTTGAGCCTTCGTCCGGAAGCTAGGCCATCAGTATCATACTCATGCTCTCTGCCCATATTCCCAAACTTACTATGGTGTCTCACCGTTCCGATCTGACCCTATCGCACTCATCATCACGATCCTCCCTACACCTCCCTTCTTCGCCGCCTCTGCCACTCGTTCTGCCCCCCGCAACTGAACTTCCTGCATGATCTTCTCTGTGCCCGCCAGCACACCCACCAGAGACACCACAGCCGCTGCGCCATCTAAAGCCTTGTTGAGCTCGGTCGTATCTGGATTCGTGATATCTGAGGAGTGTGGGGGGAGTATCTGTGTCCCGAGCGGACGAAGGGTGTCGTACACTGTCTATCAGCTCCGAAGTGGCTTCCCTCTGGCAGGGGAAACATACGTTTCTGCGGATTGCGAGAGACGATCTGAACGCGATTTCGAGGATCAGCGATGAGTGCTCGGGCGATATATGAGCCTGAGCACGGTCAGTATGCCTTGATCAGTTCAGAAAGCGAGGGGGCATACCGAGGAATCCGGCTCCGACGAGCACGATCTTCCGGGAACCTCCAGTTGTCGAGGAGGACGCAACGGAGCTGGCGAATCGTCGGGATAGCATGCTGCAATCTGTGGAGCTGGGCTACGAGCTTTGTAGTAGCTTTGTGCTGCTGTTTAGACTGGAAGGGTGGAGATGTCGTGTGGAGGTCGATGGCCAGCGCAACAAGGCTGAAGCCAAAGTGCAGATCGTGATGACGTCATCAGGCACGGCCGGCACGTGACTGAATCTTGGCTGGATGGGTTGTACATTGGCGGCATTGCGGTCTGCCAGCTTCTATAGATGCGTCCCTAATCATGCGTTGTCCGCTGCGCAGACGCGATACGTGCGAGGTAGAACAGTACGACTGTCCGAAAACTTGCATACAAATGGGATCAAGCTGACTACAAAAGCGCTCGAAAGCCGTCCGAATTTGAGGGGACCAGTGAGGCAGAACCCAGCAGGTGCCGGGCCATGCAGCTCTCAAAGCGAGCCTGGGCTACACGAAGTGAATTAAGCTTTGCTTGAAAGGCCTTCTCAGAATCTGGTCCTCCGCGCAGCTATGGAAGGTGTCTTCCAAAGATTGGAATGACGGAGAATGACGGTCGATCGTGCTCGGTTGACGCTCGGCTAGGCTCGGCTACGGGTATACTTTACGCACAAAGATCGATTTCCGCAGTTGTCTGGAATCTGGATTCTTCATTCGCCCCAGCAGAATTCTGCGTTCACTTGACTTCCGCATTTCGTCGAGACAGACGGAAAGTTCATATGGCGAAAGTGCGATTCGTTCCTTCCAAGCACGTACTACTAGAAATTCGTGGAGCCGCAGCCAAGCTCCACGAAAATGGGTCAGGCTGCTTCCGTGAAAGTGGCAAAAGTGGCAGAACGAAACAGTTGAGCAGAGCATGTACCATTCATTCAACCACCCAGCCATATCTAGATAACTATCAAACCCTTCTCGCCTTCTTAGGCGTCTGAGCCATGTCCGGAACACCACCACCGCTGTGACCGAGGAGAGTGATGGATACGAAGGACAAGGACACCGACCACTGGGTCTTGTCAACGGGGTTTCCATCATCGTCCTTCTTGGCGCGCTGGCCCCCGACGAAAGCGTTGATGCCGCCGCCCGGAGACCATACCTTGGGAGTGAAGACGATGGCCACGTCAGGATTCCCGGCGAGGTCCTTGTACTTGGCGAGCTTGGGGGCGTCGTTGATGGTGGCCTGGCCGCGCGCATCATAGACCTCTGGGAAGACCCTGCATATCAGCATGAATGAGCGAATGGATAAGGGTAACTTACAGTTCCTTGGAGCCTGCCGCATTGACATCTTGCTGATCCGCATCGTGCTTGAACGCGACGAGGGGGAACATGAGTTTACTGAAAGTCAGTGTAAGTCCGCCGGAGGAACAGAGATGGCGGAGGAAGAGTTGTATGGGATGTTGAGAGAAACAGATACTCACAACCTGATGTCCCGTTCGACATCTAACTTGTTGAAGCCCTCGCTCAAGGTGACGAGTGCCTCCTTGCATTCATCGGACATGAGGGGGCAAGGACCGCCGTTGACGTTGTAAGTCTTGATGGTTGACTTGTTGGCGATGGTGAGAAAGTAGGCGGACAATTTCATCGCGAGGACGAATTGCTAGAGATCAGCGGATATTCATATTGGAAGTAGTGAAATGAACTCACGGCAGGAACAGGTTCGAGCTCGCCCTCAATCTTCTCCATAATGCACCAGTCGCCGCCTTTTCCATCCTTGCTTGCCCGCTCGAAGAACAGGTCGCGATCGCCCATAGCGTTGGCGTGTAGGGCGCTGTCGAAGATCGACTTAACAAGACTGGATATCAGTCAGGGGTGGTGGGGGATTTATGAGGCTCATCAGGCGGAGATTGCTCGGGGGAACGATGGATGATCAAGCGGCAGATGGGATGTAGAGTAGACGGTATGCATGTACGCTGTGGCTATACGCATATGGGAGAACGAGCAAGAGAAGAGCGTACTGTAGATATCAGCTGCAGGTCGGCACGTAAACGAGGGGAGAATGACTGTAGATGTCACGGAGACTCTTCAATGCGCGGAGGGTGTGAGGCGAGATGTGTCCTCCAGAGCAGGCATGGCTGCGAGTTCGTCGTCCAATAAGATGGGTAGGAGGCAATCAAGCCCGGGAGCTGTGGAACGGGTAAAAGCTAAAGGGATAGGCTGGGACGCGACGGAAAGAACGCCATTGGAAGACTGCGAGCGAGTCAGCAACGTCGCATTGAGAACCTGTACAAGAAGGAGTTACATACGGAGAGGACATGGACAACCGAACGGCCGCGAGACTGATGCTCTGTTGCACTAGTGACCTGAGGATATGTGCGGAGGAGCATGGCATGCGAGCTGGCTGTAGCGACCATGCATGGTGATTTCGCGGAATCAAAACCGCACGGACAAGTGACGTAACAATTGACGCGCGTCAACGTTTTCAGCATTGAAAGGCCTATAAGCAGTTAAGACGCATTCCACACAGCACCATACATGCATGATAACAAGGTGCTATAAAGAGTATCAAAAGATGCGGCGCCAGCAAAATAGCCAATCTGAACTTTAACATCGTAATTTGGGGACCTGTAGCGAAGTCAAAGCGAAAATCCAATATCTCTTAGAGGATTTGAAGTGGTCAGTCTAAAGCCTGACCCAGGGGGACTCATTTCCTAATCGCAAATCGAAATCCGATGTCCGAATAGCCTCTTCGGGCAATTTCGATTCAAATCGCAACCGCGCCTGGCTCTGTTTCGATTTGAATTTCGATTTCGATTAGGAAATGAGTCCCCCTACTGCAATCCGATGTCCGGCTGTATCGTGGCAGTACATTGGAGAGCATATTGATTGGAGGTCTTTCGGAGGATACAAGCGCTGCAAAAATAAGCCGACAGGGGGTCCGAGCTGCCGAGAATGAGAATTGCGTATCTTCGGAGCGGAAACCCGTGGCTCCGAGACCCTCCACGACCTTTCGCACTTATTATGTACTCCCTAAGTCCTTCCGCGACTCCGCTGCGCCACCAGGCACCTGGACCTGGAACTGATCGCTGCGGACGCCACTCCGGCTCCTCGATGTATGCTTCACGGCCGTCGCCAAGTTAAGCGAGCCCCGTCCACAGACGAGGATATGTTTAAAAGACGAAGCCGGAAATGTTTTTGTCCGTAAAAGACGAAGAGAGTCCGAAACCTGTCTAAAAGACGAAGATCAGAGCCAAAAACAGGGTTTCTGAGGTCCCGGGGGACGCGAACAAGTCCCAAAAACCCCCTCCGCGCCGCAGACGCTCAGTCAGACGGTATCGCTCGTACGGACTTGGAATTTGGCATGGGCGTAGCCAAGACGTCGAGCTACCTGCTGATACTCTTTGCCGGCCCAATGGACAACTCACAGCGGACTTGTGAGGATATCTGTCCAAAGCATTCGTCTTTTAAACATTATTCCGGGTCATCTTCGTCTTTTACGGACAAAAACATTTCCGGCTTCGTCTTTTAAACATATCCTCGTCCACAGACTGCCCCTGCGGCCTGCCCCTGCCCCTACGACAGACCAAGATCTTAGAGAGCTTGCGTACTACTTTCCGTCCAGGCCGTGGCGGTAGCACATGTGGGCTGCCCTTCAAACGAGCTTACGCGTGAGCACTGGTGCGCTGCTAGGTCTAGCACTTGCAATTAGCGCAGTCGACTGGAGCCCTCCACATACAACCCCTCAATAATCATCAATGTGCGAGCTCCCGTAGGCAAGTATATTGATCCGCGGGATCTGCGATGATCGCTGAGAGTACTAAGCGCAGGACTAAACTGTAGCCACTCCGAGTTACCCATGCCGTTCGCCCGGCAGCTGCTCCCTGCTGCTCCGGTAGATCACTGGAATTCGGTGGCCAAGGTATCCTGATCGATGATCGGCGCTAGTTCAAGCATCGGTTCCTGCCCAGGGACAAAGAACAAAGCATAACGCTGCTTTTTCTGCAGGCCATTTCAATAGAAATCGCGATCATTACGCAAGAGCGAGTAATGGAAGAAAGAGGGTCAGTCACGGTTATCGTACAAGCTCTGTCACGGCAGCGAATAGGCGTTTGACTTCCTGAGCATGTTCTCGCTGCGCATTCCTAAGTTCGTTATCCGCCAAGGCCTACGGACTCTCCGCCCCGAAACATACGGACCGCTTGTCCTGAGGCCTGAGGCCGTCTTGTCCGTCGCCTTCAAGACAGCATCCGCACCGGTTCCGGAGGCCTATCGACACGGCGACTTGCGTACCTGGCCTTGTGATAGACGGGGATAGGAGATTAGGCAGCTACGGTAGCTGATCAGGCGCGTCTCGGTTCGCTCCCGTACCGTCGTTGTTCTTTTTTCGACGCGACTTACCTTGATCGCGGAGTGTTCAGATCTAATCTCCTTTGCCCTGTGTCCAACGCGGCACCCCTCCCTGCTGACTCATACCAATCTAGGTTTACGGATGTATTAGCCCCTGTGGCGTCTTGACACACCTTGGATAACCGATACCTCCTCCGGGAGGTTGTAAAGCTAATGTAAATCATTAGCCCTGCTGGCCCGAGATGTACGAGAATCGTCACAGCCACAGCACCACAAGTATTATCAAGCGGGTATCTTGTGGTCCATAGATGACTCCTTGCTCGTATAGCCCATAGTGGGCACTCGCTGCAGACCGATACATATCCCCTTCACGCGCTCGGAGCAGACCACCACTGGCATCTTGCTCGGCCGACATCGCGCCCCTCTCGCTCTTGCACAGCTCTTTTGAGCTCGGACCCCAAAGTCAGTGCCTGTCCGCTAATTGTCTGTGCGCCCGACAGTATCTCCGATAGGCTTTGCATGCAGTCCCACATGTACAGCTGCTGACGCTAGTGCAGATCGCTCGCCGATCAGCGAGACAGCTCCTGGAGCTCAGAGCTGTAGAACAAAACCAGCATACATCACCCAATACGGTCGTTACCGGTGGAGGAAAAATCAGAGACAAGGTGTCACTCAGCCTGCTTTCCCGTTCGTCCCTCTCCTGTTTCGCTCATGACTCTTTCTCTCCCCTGATGACGAACTCTTGCGGCGAAGCTCTCAGCTGATCATCGGCAGAGTGTCACAAGACTAGGGACGGATGCTGCCGTGGGCGAACAAGCTGTGCGCTAACTAGGTCGAGGCGTTGTGCTTTGCTGTCCTCCCTTCGTGAGCGTTTCCTCCTTCGCGTTCGCCGCAGACTCGTGCTCATCTCCAGCATCATGTCCACATCGGATCAACATTCACCTGACAATGCGCTCTCTTCGCAATCGCAACCGCAATCTCACGATATAACGAGTCCCACCCCTGTCATCTCCCCTGCCGGACCGCATACGGACGGACTCTACCACCCATCGGCCGAGTACGCTCAAGGCACCAACTTCTTCAACCCAGATGCTTACTTTGACGCCATCGGGCCTCATGCCTCGGGAAGTCGGAACCACTCGTATGATTCGAGCGCGTACGACTTTTCGTCAATGGGCTCGGTACCGTCTACGTCACACTCATCATCACATGGCTTTGGGGGAGGGGAGGGCTCGGGCGGGGCCTTCTACGGATACAATCCCTCCTCTACGTCCACCTTCGCCTTTGGGCTGCCCGGCAGGTCAGAGGAGGATCTGACGCCGCCGGCTCCATCGGGTCAGGTGGACGACGAGCGGACCCCGGTCGTTTCGGATACCCAACGTCCTATACCCCCCTCTCAGCTCCCCTCGGCACTCGCCCAGTCCTCGAGCCAATCTTCACAGTCCGCTCAACCCCTTCTGTCCCCCTTCAGATCCTTTGGACAACACCAGCATCAGCCGTCTTTCTCCCATGCTCCCAACATGGCGATCAACAACTTTCAGAACTTCATGGATCCATCGCAATACTACCACCCCCAAATGCATCCTCCCAACTTCTCTATGCAGCCGCAACTCGCCTATCCTCCCCCGCACGCAATGCACCAGCATGGGCAGTATCTCATGGGCCATCCGGGAGTCTACTACCCGCCCGCAGGACCCCAGCCGGACTTTTACCTCGCGCGACCTCGGCACGACTCGGCTGGCGAGAGCTCTATGGCGTCCTCACTTGTACGGACCGGCTCTACATCTTCGGATTTCCGGTCCATTCGTGTCAAGGTCAAGTTGACCAAGGAGGACAAGCGCAATATCGTCGAGTTGGCCAAGGCGAATACGAATCTCAGGCAAGAGGATATAGCCAGGCAATACGGGTGAGTACCGTCAAACTTTGCCTTGACGACGGCTGATCAGCAGTGTCGACCGCAGTACCATCTCCAAGATCATCCTTTCTGCGCCCCGCTGGCTGGCGACCACGGAAACAGCAGTACCTGCAGCTCCCGTCATCGAGACTGCACCGATCCCTCGACTGCCAAAGACCGTAGGCGGACGCTTCCCGGCGGTGGAGGAGAAGATGTCGGAGTGGATGGATCAGATGCTCGCGATAGGTGGGGATTGCAGGGATGTCACGTCGCGGGAACAGGCCAAGAAGATTGCACTGGAAGTGGGGCTCGGAGATCGGTTCAAGGCGTCAGCCAAGTGGCTCGATAAAGTGAGTCTTGTCTTCTCGAGATGGCACGGAGCTGATCATGCAGTTCAAAGACAGGAGAAAGACAGCGGGCAAGACCAACCCGACACATCAACAATCAGCCCTCGGCTACATCCCCTACCGCATAGATACTACGCCCCTTCCTGGCGCCCTCTCCGCTCCACTCTCCGCTCCAGCGGACTTTGGCCACCTCAGCCGGTCTCAATCTGCCGTCACGCTCAGCTCGTCCGGGTCTTCCAGCCAAGAACCCTTCGTACCCAGCCCGGCGTGTATTCCCGCCGACCGTATGGTGCTCAACCGCTCAGAACCCGGATTTGTCCCCTTTCCTCCTGTAGCCCCGACCGCTACACCGTCCTCTACCGCTCGCGCTCGCTCCCAGTCCTCACCCCACAATCCCGACACTTTCAGTATGATGATTTCACCATCATCTGGAAAATCGGTCCGCCCATCACCGCTCAACCTCCAGCGCCAAAACTCGTATCACGGCTCTTCACCTTCGCCGCGTCGCCCGGCTCCCCCTAGTCGGGCAAACTCGAGTCAAGGTCCGCTCCGCCGGTCTCGGCCAGGGTCACTCGCTGCATCGGCGTTCGGTATCACCCCGCTGGACGGGGACGGACCGTACTCGCCGACTCAATCACCTACCATCAGCGCAGCGGGGAGTAGCGGGAGTCACTCGCGCCAACGGTCAGAAGGGCTCACGCTCACACCCTTCACCAGCTCAATGGCGACTATGGCGCTCTCCCCGGAGATCCCAGAATCGGGCGACCTCATCCACTCCTCCTCTACCTCATCCGTCGCCAGCATGCCTCCCCAGCTTCCCATTCCCCACACCCCCATCACCCCCATCACTCCCTCACACGCCAGCGCGCACGCCGCCGGTATATTCCCGAATCTCACACCGGACTTTAGCGAGCCCGGCGAAGCGCACCAACACCAGCATCAGCAGCAGTTTCAGCAATACCAGCATCACCAGCAACTACAGCAGCAGCAACAAGCCGTCTACGACCCCTCGCAGATCAGCCCGCGCGGACAGACGCACTTTAGCCAACCGCAACAGCCAATGTCGGCGGGCCATGCGCCCTTGCAGGGGTACGCAAGCATGCCTAACAAGCATTATGGGCAGATGGGGTCGTATCCGGGATACGAAGCTGGGGAGTTTGGGCAGGCGTACGGAGGGCAGGCGTACGGAGGGCAGGCGGAGGCGGGACAGGGATACCCAGGTGGTCAGCAGCCGGGCTGGTCATGAGGGAAGGGCGCGGCCTGGTGCCTGCTCAAACACGATACCCTCGCATAGGGACTCTCCCAACATGCCGCGATTCCTCAACAACTATACCACCCGCGGGTACCCACACACAATCTCTTTCCCTCCACGTCCTGGCGGCTCATTTATGGCCTTGGTTCTATCGGCTCATGTTGTTTTTGGGCTCGGGGGTCCGTAGCTCAGGCTAGCGGATCACAGTGATGATGCACGAAATGACATGTCATATGGGACATCTACCTGCTGCGCGATCATCTAGCAGGTTGACTCGGCCTCGCTCAAAATCCTACGTGAGCGGTCTGTATAGGTGGCCCTCCCGTCCTACATATATCGAAAGCTTGCTCCTATGGCCTGGCAGGGGGAGACATCTGCACTGTCATGAAGTGTCCATGCCCGCGTGCCCTCCGCCTCCTGCGCCGCCTGGCGGTTGTTGTGGGTATTTCCGCTCGTAGTCCACCTCGCCCTCTTCGTTCAGAGGGTTCTGATGGCTGTTGATCAGCGTCCTGTCAGGTGCGGTCTGAACCAAATAGCTCACTCAGTCGCCAACCCCCGCTTGTTCTTGTTCCCGCTATAGCTGCCACCTACTCCGCCGCCATTCCCGGTGTTCGCCGTGGTTGCTTGAAGCGCCATCATCCGCTGTGCGAAGATAATCGGCTCATACTCATTGAGCTGGGTGCTGAACTGACCACTCAGCTGACGGGTCACGCTGTTAGGTGAAGAACAGCTTACGCTGGAAGGGCTGACGCAGTAGCGCTTGCTCTGGACAAAGAGGAGTGCGTACTCCGAGGTCCAGCCGCATTTGAACATGAGGTAGCCGATAACTATCGCTGGCGACAAGGCTATACCACCTGGTGTGTCAGCAGAGTCACCCTGATCAGATATAGACCTGCTGTGGATGTGGACATACCGTTACAATGCACAAGGACGGTCCCGCCGCTGTTCAGCGCGTTGTCGATGAAGTCTCTGCATTGAGGGAAGATGGAAATAAGATTTTGATCCTGACGGTCAGCTCACTAAGCCGGTCCAAGGATCCAATATACTCACGATTGAATCGCTGATTTCGAGAGTCATGTAGATGAAATTTGTGGGAAAGCGGGGATTGATCATGCTCGTTTCTCTTCTATCGCGGACACATAATCTTGATGATGAGCTGAGGTCCACAATTCGAAGACTAGGACAACATATACGCTGTAGATGTCATATAGACAGTCTAGATAAGGCCTGAGAGGAAGAGACTTACACATGCGTGAGACCCAGTGCCTGCATCTTGGCGAGATTCGTAGACGCTTGGAATGGTCCGAGCCATAGCTTCGGTATGATCTCCTGTGGTTCTCGACGCATCTCATACCTGAGGGTGTCAGCTAGTGCTTCCTGATCTAGAAGGGGCCATCCTGCTGTAGCAGTCGACCTGTACAGGGCTTTGATTGAGGAGGAGTACCCACTTCCAATCGTTGGTACTGGACATCCGGTAGGGCGTGTTGTTGTCGGTCGCCGCGTGGTTGGCGAAAGGTGATCCTGTCATTGAGCCAAACATGCTGCAAAGGACCACGGGATGATGTGGGTTGTACGAAGTCGGTGTACAGTTGCTGGAGCAGTACAGTGAGTGGGAGAAAGATAGTCTGGTCATCCTCAGCAGCAGCGTCGAAGCGCGTCAGCTCCACATTCCTTACCGGGAATTTTAGACTACTTCCGTCGTTTCAGCTTGACCCCAGCCAGATTGTGAGCCGCACCAGCCAGCTCTCGTGCTGATATACCGTGCCACTTCATGTACTTCCGCGTGCATTGTCAATAGCCTGTCCATCTCAGTACCGTTCCTACATCGAGCGTCGCTTCCTCCACGGTGAGGGCTGTAAAGGTACGCTCTTTATTCTAGCCCTCCCTTTTACACTGAGATCGAAGAAAGTCAGACGCGTCAAGGCCCGTGCGACGCGACGAAGCTTCTGAAGTACTCTGCGGAAATCGAGCAGACTCCTGCCTTATAACCCCCAACCTCAGCTACTTGATATCCCATCTCGCACAGGCTGCTTCGCTATGTCTGCAGAGAGACATCAACCCTCTGCGGAACCCGAAGCTGGGCCGAGCTCACCGACGAAAGCTGGCGCTATACCGCCTGCCCCGGCGAGACCTGCCAACGGCCTCCTCGCCTACTTTGGCAAGGGTCAAGCTGGTCCGTCAGCTACAGCATCGTCGTCCTCTGGCACTACTCCGTCGGTTCTGCCTGCCAAGAAAAAGCGGAAACCAGCGGTGGCGCCCGATCAAGCTCGACTCGGTACGGCAGCAGGAGAAGACTCTGGCTGGTCTTTGGCCAAGGAGCCCGCCGCGGAGGGTGCTGAGGCCCCCAAGCCAAAGGGCAGGAAGAAGCCGGCGAAAACGGATGATGGAGAGGAGGCTGAGAAGAAGGAGATGGCTAAGCGGTTGAAGGCCGAGAAGAAGGGTCCGAAGAAAGGAGCAGGCGAGGCGAGCGGGCTTCCCGATGAACCAGGCGGGGACGCAGACGGATTGGCAGCTGATTCGTCAAAAGCCTCAGTTGGAGGTACGTATATTACAGTAGTATGCGACGGAGTACCGCTTGCGAACGCTATAGCTGACAAGGTAGTATCTCACGGCAAGTCCAGCACGATTGGCAAGGCGGGACCTAGCGCACCTCGCACATCCGATACGAAGCGGAAACGCGGTCCCCAGCTCAAGCCTGGCCCCTCCCCGTCTGACACCGCTCTCCCCCTATCCCAAGCTTCTACATCCCGATCCAGTACCGGCCGGCCGAGCTCCCCACCCACCATCAACCTGTCCTCCTCCACCGAGTCCGACGACGATCTCCCTCGTCCGTCTAACAAGGGGCGGAGGTTACAAATACTATCGCCGTCGTCATCCCTACCTCCCTTCTCTAGATCCAGCTCGACCATCTCCAAAGGTGCTAGCCAGGCAGATCCTATCAGTATCGACGACTCGCCCCGGCAGCCTCTAATCCCAGTCATTGATCTTGCGTCATCGCCGATTGGAGGGAAAGCGGAAGGACGGAAGAAAACAGTCTTTGCGGCGGATCAGAAGGCGGTGCATGGATTCTTCGGGAAGCGCCAGACAGCGGAAGGAGAGGTTACGCAGGCACCTGTAAAGCAAGGGAATGCGTCGCAGGACAAGGCGGGGCCAAAGGCAGCTGCTAAGGGGGAGAAGGTGCACTCCTTCTTTCAGTCGGGACCGAAAGGGGTACCAGGGAAGCTGGCGGATGGTTGGGGAGCAGATCGCAAGCTGGGAGACGAGTGGCCAGCTCCGCTACCCGGCAGAATCTGGCCGTCGCACCGCGGCTGCGCGAGTCTCACTGGTGGTCCAGAGGGGTCGCTTCGGAAACGGAGGAAGATTTCGCCTGCCTCACCTCAGTCCATCGAATCGTTCTTCAGCCGAGCGATCACGTTCGACGATACAACACCTCCCCTCTCTCCAGTCCGACCATCCCCTCCGCACGTCCAACCCCAAAATACCGACCACGCTGCTATCCGCTCCGTACCCCTCCGTTCCCTCGCCTCTCACCGAGAATCATGGTGCGAGCGGTATCGTCCCCTCTCAGCCGACCAAGTCCTCGGAAACGAAAGAGAAGCGGTCTATCTCCGGGACTGGCTTCAGCTGCTCTCCGTCGGACCAGACGGCGGTTCTAGTGCCACGACCAAGATCACGCGTCGCGTCCCCCGGCGGAAAGCGCATCTGGAGGACGGGTGGATTGTCGATGATATCGGCCTTTTCGACGATGAGGAGCCCGCCGACGATCCGGACGCTGAGGACTTTGAGACTATCGAAGAGGCTCCCTCAGCGCTGGATCTTCGTCCCGAGACCTACCCCAGCTTCGGAGGTCGGCTGGCGAACACCATCCTCATGACTGGTCCGCAGGGATCAGGCAAGTCGGCAGCGGTGTATGCGGTCGCGGAAGAGCTAGGATGGGAGGTGTTTGAGGTGTACCCCGGGATAGGAAGGCGGACGGGCTCGAACCTCATGTCACTCGTTGGGGACGTGGGGAAGAACCACGTGATTACAGGAAAGGTCACCCCGAAGAAGGCTAAGGCGGCCAGCGCAGCGATGCCCAAGCCCGTTCCCGTGTCCTTCTTCGGTGCGGCTCCGGTTGCCGTCAGGAACGGCGTGGCAAGGAAGAGGGCAAATCAGCTGCCGATGTCGAGTCAAGGGTCGCAGGGGGATCCGATGCGCCTGGACGACAGCGACGAGGAGAAGGAGGAAGAGGCGGAGGTACTGGAGGACAGGAAGCATGGGTTTAGGCAGTCTCTCATCCTTCTGGACGAGGCGGATCTGCTCTTCGACGAGGAAGGTTCGTTCTGGCCGGCAGTAATCTCGCTTATCGCCGAGTCGAGACGTCCCATCATTCTCACTTGCAACGGTGAGCTACTCCTCTCACCTCGGTTTCCGAAGCTGACAGGTCAGATCCACTGAGGATACCTATTGCCACTCTGCCCTTACAAGCCATACTCCAATTCGAAGCGCCCCCTCCCTCACTCGCCATATCCTATCTCGGCGCCATCGCCCAGCACGAGACACTCACCCATCTCGACCCATCAGCACTACACACCTCGTCCTTCTCCTCCACCCCAAATCTCCTCGCTCAGCCGACACCACTGCCTCCCAATGGACATGAGCCTATCCCTACCTTCGACCTCCGCCGCGCCATCACCCAGATGCAGCTCGACCGGAACGTCGCGCCCTACTCCTCTTCTCGCCCAATGGATTCCCCAAGCAAGGACCTGATCTGCCTGGCGAAGAGTCTGGAGCAGAGGTCATTCGCGGACGCGTGGATCTCACCGAGACCGTGGGCGACCATCGAGGTAAGCTCCGAGTCTTTCACGTCTTTCACGTCGGATCGAGAGGACGAAAGCTGAGCGATTTGCAGATGAATGAGCTGGACCGGTACGGAGATACTCCGGACGATCTGCTGGGTGTACATGCGCTCTCGAAGCCAGAGGTGCATCCTGATCGGGTGGCGCTACCGGGGCATTCGGCTGAGATGGATATGGAGGAGTACTTGCTATCGCTAGTACCCCATATCCCGGAGCGATCACCTGAGGATCTTGGGTTGAAACAGTATGTCCAGCTGTTTATCTTTCTCTCTCAATCCCTGACCGAAACTATCCAGCTGCCTGCCCTTCGTCACTCTGCATCAAGTGGTGGTACAATGCCAAGCTGACCCTCCAGAATCAACCACATCCGCTCTCTCTTACCCCTCCTCGATCCCCTCATCCCGCTCTCTTCCAACCTCCTACCCCACTTCTCCCTGTTTACCGACTACATTCCCGTCCTCCGCTCCATCGTACTCGCGGACGACCTGCTCGAGCTCGCCGAGGAAGAATCGCTGGCGCAGGGTGGTGAGCGTGTAAACCGCAAGACGGGCAGGCCGGTGCGGACATTGACGGGGTGGTTGAAGGGCAAGGAGGAGAATGTGGGGTATGTGCGGTATTTGAAGGGAGTGGGTAAAGTGGGGGAGGCGGTCGTCAGGGATATCCGGCTGCTCAACGATGTGGACGGATATACGTCTTGAAACGTATGGCTTCCGATGACATCAGTAGCAACCCCTCATGCAACATTGGCGCAGGCGAGCAGTAAGGACTGGACCATATGCCGGCGCATCAGCCGTCGGGCCGTCAACATACTCGATGATAATCCTAGCATCCTATGTTATCTGACATTGCGTGAAAGCGATCTGTCGCGATGATATGAAGTCATGGCTGGCTCGTGGCGGGTTTCAAAGGTAATTTGACACCGCCTCTGAGGCTGCCAGCGATTCACATTGATCTCATCGGCGTCTTTGTCTACAATCTACCAGGCGAGCTCCGTCCCGTCAACATTCCAGAACTTCCCGCCGTGGGTCTCCTTGGTCGCCTTGTCTATCAACGACAGGATCCCGGTAGCGCTTTCTGCGGGCGTGATGGCTCCGAGCTGCTCGAGGGTGGCTCCAAGCTGCTCACTGGCACTGGATCGTCAGCTCCCAGCCGTGTCTATACCGCCAGTCTCATCACTTGCCTTTGCCCCATGCTACTCGAGACTAGACCTGGGCTGCGACGTTAGCATCTCTATCAATATCAGGAAGGGACATCTGAAAGAACTCACTGCAGAGGAAACGAAATGATATCAGGATAGTCGACATCAATTTTCTTTGCCAAGAAGTTCGCAGAGGCCTTGCTTATGCCATAGCTAGTGATGGGAACCCCGAGCGCCAGGGCGATGGAGCCGGCGGCCGATGAGATTGTAATGAACTTCGGGGAAGGGGCGGCCTGGAGAAGTGGAACCAGGTTTTGGAAAAGGACGAGGCCGCCAATGAGGTTGATGTCGAACTCGGAATAGATATCCTTGGGGGTCAGATCGGCGATGGCCTTAAGCGGAGCGCAGTAGCCTATATAAAGTCAGCTTTGTACACATACCGAAGAGGCTGTATATACCCACCCGCATTGCTGATCACAACATCCACTTTCCCAAACTTGGCCTTGATGACCTCGGCAGCGGCAGCATTATCCTTCTGGTCCCCCGAGGTGAGCTTGATGGGGATGACGACTTCCGGTTGCTTGGCGGCGAGCTGGGCGAGGTCACTGTCCGCAGAGGGTGCGGTCCTGTAGCCGGCATAGATGACGGTATTGGGCCTGGCAGCGAGCTGGGTGACGAGTTGAAGACCGATACCTCGAGTGGCGCCAGTGACTGGAGTCTCAGCTAGTCGTCCAGGAGAAGAGCTGAAGAGGATCATGAAGGGATGTAGGGTATAGGATGTCCGGAATGGGACTCACCGACATAGACCGTTGGGGAAGACATGATGGGAAAGTGAGCAAAAGTGGGTATTCGGGGATTAGGAGCGGGGATGATGGGATCAGAGAGTCAAGTCGACGGGTGCTCCGTTCCAGCTTATATAGCAGTATGCTGTCTTATGCGACGTGTTATGTTTCTAAGCAAAGATACCCCGGATATTGCAACTGCTTACAAATGCGGGGTGATCAGGTCCTTTGGCGTTGTAAGCAAGGCCGTCGGGCATACCGGAAGGCCCGTCGGTCACGTCGGACCATGCCTACAAGCATTCACGCGGTATATCAGTACTGTCAGTCGTCAGTCTAGTGATCGAACTTTTGAGGAGAAGGACCATCTTACCCACTGTACCTCATCGTGCATCAAGCCCGACGGGCATGCCCCTCTCATCATACACCAACGGGCATTCACGCATGAGGCTGCATCAATCCAGCGGCTCCTGAACTATCGTGGTATAGGACAGTATAAAAGTCGTTGAGGCGGCCAAATGGCTAGAGGGTCGGCCCCACCATCGTTCACAACGCATGCCCTTTCCGTCGCGTCTGCCTGAGGAATGCGGATCTCTGCCCTACGTCATCGGCATGACTCATGATTTGATCCGAGCCAAATCTTTGACCCCATTCACACAGCTTGACACACACAAGACACCCTTTCGCATTCTCATCTCACCCTTCTTATTCTTCTTATCCTTCTACAGCTCACACAAGCATATTGGACTACTCCCATCGACTTGCAACTTGGATCTGACCCCAGCAACTTGGACGACTGACGCACACACCACACTCCGGCAACTTTCTTCTTGACTACACCGCCAATTCCTGGACGCGTCGCAGACACGATGCTGCTTGTTCCGCTTCTCGCACTGGCTCCTCTCGTGCCCACAGCTCTGGCCTGGGGCGCTGCAGGTAGACTGCTTCCCTTGGGACCCAGTAGCAGGGGTCAGAGCTGACGCAGCAGGGCACGAGATTGTAGCTACCATCGCTCAGGTCCACCTCTATCCCGAGACAAAGGAAGCTCTCCTTCACATTCTCCCGCCAGAGGCGAAAGGTCATCTCGCTCCTATAGCGGCCTGGGCGGACCAAGTGCGGATGCGATGGCGAAATGGCGCCATGCACTACGTCAACGGTAAGTCTCTGACGCATGATCCGAGACGGGTGGAGGAGCCGCCTGCCGCCTATCAGTACAATTTGACTGAGTGCAGGTATCAACGACCACCCGGCAGACCACTGCGAGTTTGGCGAGGATGGCTGGGCGAACGAGGACGTCAACGTCTTGACAGCCATTGCCAACTTCACCGGCCAAGTTATGAACGGGAAAGGGTGAGTCGCAACTCTCCGGAGCGAGCTTGGCTGACCCATCCCAGCGACATCCCGATCCGCTTCTTGACGCACTTTGTGGGCGACATGCATCAGCCGCTGCATCTGACTGGGCGAGACAAGGGTGGCAATGGCGCAATGTTCCTCTTTGAGGGGAGACACCGCAAGTGAGCTCCACGACACAGCTTTTTGCACGTACTCAGCTCATGCTTCAGTCTTCACTCCGTGTGGGACTCTGGAATCCTCACCAAGAACATCCGGGAGCTGAGCAACTATACGACGCCCCTTCCCTCGTACGTCATCCAGTTCCGGATTGGACTGCAAGATACGAAATCAAGCTGACCTTGCAGCAAGCAGATTGAGTCCGCCCTACTCGGCGCCATCTTCGACCCGTACGTCAGGTTCATCCTGTGGGAAGGGATGAGGGGATGGTGGTCCAACTCCATTGAGGGCTGGCTCGCTTGCCCTGCCGGCGGAGACCCCTACCCTCACTCCTCCGTCTCCAACATCCCCGCACCCGACCTTTGGCTCAACACCGTAAAGGGCTACACCGCTTCCGCCCTCAAACTCCTCCCATCCCCACTCTCGGCCTTCTTGGCAGAGATGATCCCCCTCCAGGCCGTCGAGGGGTTCAGCAATGACCTCCTCGCTCTTCACCCCACCAACGTCAAGGCCTCTAGCCGAGCGCCGTTCCCCGCGTGCCCGTACACATGGGCCAAGCCGCTCCACAAGCTGAACTGCGAGTCAGCGTGGCCGAAAGAGTACACTGGTTCCCCCGGATCGCCACTTATTGAGCTCGACACCGACGTGTACCTCGGCAAGCTCGCGCGGGACAACACGATGGAGATGCTGCTTGCGATGGGCGGAGTGAGACTGGCGCATCTCCTCAATACGGCGTTGAGCGGTAAGGAGGGGGTGTATCTCGCGTACTAGTCTAGGTCATTTTGGATCTTGATGGCTGGCCATATTTGTAACATCAGAGATGTATGACTTGTACACAATCTTCTGCATAGTGTGCACAGCATACAGAGCAGGTATACGACAATCGACCAGAGAACCCTACAAGCCCAGAAGGATAGATTGGACAAAGCGAACGAAAAAGGGGTATACACCTCGGCGCAAGGACCGTTTTAGAAACACTGTCCCCATCAGCTCCGGACCCCCATCGTACCCCGCTTAGGTAGACTCACCTTCAACTTGCTCCCCATCTTCTTGTTGACCTTGGCGTCCACCGCCTTCTCCAACTGCGCCTTCAACGCCGCGACCTGCGCATTGGCAGTATGGAGCGAGTCCCTCTCGCTTCGCTTGTGCTCTTCGACCCGATTGACTTGTTGGCGCCGCTCGGTGAGTTCCTCCATGTGCGCCTTGCACTCGTCTTGCTGCCGCCGGGTCTCCTGGCGCGAGTCTTCGAGGTGCGCGCGGAGCTTGGAGCTGGTCTTGCGGGCATCGGCGAGTTCTCGGGAGAGGGTTTGGGATTTTTCGACTTCGGAGGTGAGCTGCTGTTCCTATATTATCAGCTATGATCGACCCGCATGCCCGGAAGATAGCTCACGGTCTCTTGTACCAGAGCGGCCCGATCCCCGAGCTGCTTGCGCAGTACCTCCGCTTCGGCCGCCACCCTCGCCTTCTCCGCCATGACCGCCTGGACCATCTGCCCCACATGCGCCGGGAGGAGCGGTACCGCCGCTTCGATATCCTGGGCGTGGCTGAGCGACTCGTGCGCCTCCTCGCTCGACCCGCTGTGGCTCTGGCTCCGGCCTCGTTCCGCTTTGGAAACGGGTGGAGAGCGCTGACCGGCCGACGTGCCCGCCAGGAGGACGTGCGTGGAAGGGGTCGGCGGGAGCGGCATATTGGGCGGCGGTCCTTGTGGGGGAGGGACGATCTTTCTGGAATAACGCTGTTCGAGCTCGCTATTCCGCTTCATCCAGTCCACCTTGGACACCTCGAGCTCGTTGATAGCCTCCTCGAGGTTCGCTTTTACCTGGAGCAGATCCGCGATCTGTTTGGCATCGGCATTGCGCTGCATGTGGCTCTCGTCCCGTACGCGCGAGAGCTCAAACAGCGCCTGGTCCGCCTTCATCTTGAGCTGCCGCCGAGCCTCATCGTGACTCGCCAACGAGGCGTTGAGCTCTGCACTCATGCTCTCCCCGTCCTTCCGGATCTTGGCGACCGCGTCGTCGTGGATTTGTTGGCGGGAGGAGAGTTCGGTAGAGTGGTGTGCTTGGAGACGACGAAGTTGCTCCTCGTATTCCGCCGCCATAGCCTCGACTTGCTTCTCCATGACCGAGATCCGCTCGTCACAGTCCCGCTGAAGCGCCTCGATCGTCTGCGCGTGGCCGTTGATAATGGTCTGGAGCTCCTCTGCGTGGGAGTCGCGGAGGGCGTTGAGCTCGCGACTTGGGCTGAGCTGGGTGAAGGGGGAAGAGGGTTTGGGTGTGGAGGGCGAGAGTGTCTTGTCGGAATGGTCTGCATTGATTTGGCGGAGATCATCCAGGCTACGGTAGAGCTGGGGATATTGCTGCGAGGTCAGCTCTGACGCGGTCTATCCTTGCACCAAAACTCACTCCGCCATGCAGCTCATCTCGAAGTTTGAGATTGATCTTCTGAAGATCCGCAATCTGCTTGAATTGCTGATCGATGATGGCCCGTTGAGACGCCTCCTTGGTCTGCATTTCGCTGGGATATCAGCTATCTGGGACAGTAATCTAAGAGATCTAGCTCACAGTAGTAGATCCGACTGAGGCTGAGATGGCGCGTGCTGAAACTCAAGCGGGTCCGTTATCTCCCCAGCGGGAGTGAAGAATCTTTCTGCTTGAGGAGGAACGCCCAGCTGACCATGCGTATCCTCGGATAACATGGGCGTATCCAGCTGTTGGACCGACTCGCCCGACGAGCCCGATTCGGACGGAAGGGAGATTCCCGGATTGTCCGGAGAAGATGGGAGAGGGATAGAAGAGGGAGGAGTAGTCGGTTGGAAAGATGGTGGTGCACTGGTTTTGCGGGAGGGGATATTGTGCGATTGATTTTGGAGAGAGAGCGATGTTTCGAGTTTCCGGATATAAGCCTCTTTTTGACGGAGGTCTTCATCCCTATCCTCGACCACCTATCTGTCAGCTACGACCGATCCCAAGTCCGCCCACTTCAGCTCACCTTGTGTAGAAATTTCAGTTCAGTCTCTATAGATGTCTGCGTACGCATATCCATCGATTGCTGCTGCGTTCGCAACGGCTTGATCGATGGCATACTCTGCCTAGATGATGATTGGCCGAATAGCGAACTATTCGAGCCGCCCCATGAGCTTCGCGACGATGTAAGCGATTGCTGCGCAGATGACAATTCCTGCGAGAGCGACTGATGTCTGTCTGTCAGCTATCATTTACGCAGCATGGTTCACTCTCGCGAAGCTCACTTGCTTCGACTCTCTCCGTATCCCCTCCCTCCCCGAAAACCCCCTCCTTTCGCCGTCCCGAATCCCGTCGCCGACAAGATCGGCATAGACCCCCTCTTCATGCGCGAGGGCGAAGGACCCGGACTGGTATCTTTGGGCGTCAGGAGCGTCGTGCCATTCTCGCTCATATCGTCCAGGTGGTTGAGCGATATCGAAGGCGTAATTGGGAGAGTATCGTTGGCCTCCTGGACCTCGACGAGCTGGGTCTGGAGCTCCTCCACCCTCGCCTGAGCGGCGGTATACCGCTCCTCTGCCTCCCCCGCCTTTCTCGCCATGGCCACGATCTGCTCCTTGAGCTTCGACACCTCGTCCTCCGTGTCCAATCTCCGTTCCGGCGTGTCTGGCGGAGTGATCTGCGAGGTAGTAGAGACGTCGCGTGACGTGCTTGTTGTGGCCGAGTCGACCAAGCGAGATGGAGGAGGAGTAGGGATAGAGTGCCGAGAAAGCTGTTGACGAAGCTCATCCTGAGTAATCCGCTCTGCCTTCAACAGCTTCTCTAGCCGCTCCCGCTGCCCCGCTTCTCGTTCCTCCGCCTCACGCCGCTCCCTCTCCAGTTCAGCAATGTGCCGACTCCGCTCCTCTAACTCAGTGACGAGCAGCTTGTTGTCGTGCGTAGTATCCAGGATAGCAATATGCGATTCCAGCTCCCTGTACGACGTTTCGCGCCGAGTGACCTCAGCCTCGAGCCGTTCGATCTGCTGCACGAGCTGGACCGACTTGTCCTCCGATTGCGAAAGCCGACTTTCGATCTCGGCCGAGTGCTGGCTCAGCGAGTCATTGAGCGCCTTGAGGCGGGTAATCTCTTTTCTGAGCTCGACGGCAGCGTCTGTGTGTCCGTCGGAAGCGTCGGTGTGCGCTTTGAGCTTGGCTTCGAGGTCGTTGATGTAAGACTGCTGATCAGCTCTCGAGTTCACCACTCAGTCCAGACCTATGGACTGACCTCGCCGGACGAATTTTGGTCGCTAAGCTTGCCAACCCTGGCTCGCAGCTCGGCTGCATAGCTCTCGCTCTGCGTCTGGCGCTCTTGCGCCTCCACCAACCCTCGACCTTGCTCTTCGTAAAGGGTATCGAGGAGCGACTACGGTGTGAGCTCATAACCGACTCAGTGGATTGAAGCAGCTTACAAGCTGAGCCCTCAGATCATCCAGCTGGATATTGAGCGCCGAAACTACCTTCTCGTACCTGAGAGTCAGCTCATGGTCTTCACCCAGCTCCAGCGAGCTCACTCCAAGATGACAGGCTCGACCGTCTCGTTGAACCTCGCCAAGACGTCCGCGTCACCCGGCGTGGCACTCTTGAGCTCGCTCGTGAGCCGCATGTTCTCGTTGCACTTGGCGAGATACCGGTCGTACAGCTAAGCAGATCAGCTTCTTGTGTTTCCAATATCAAGGGCAGGACAGCTGACCTCGGTATGCTCCCTCTGCAACTCCGCCAGCCGCTGAATGAGCTTCTCGCTCTGCCTCTGCGCATCGCCAGGTGATGTTCTCCCCGCCATGCCCGTCGCCCCGCCCGCCGATCCCTCCGTATCCAAGGCTGCAATCTGCTTGCGCAACTTCAACACCGTCGTCTGCAAGTGCTCCACATCATCCCAGCCTGCTTCGACCGCATTGACCTTTGAGGTGTTTTTGATATTTCGCGCGCGCGAGGCGTACTTGATCGTGTTGAGGGTCTCGGCGACGTTGTATTCGATGGGAGACACGCAGGCAATCATTGTCGTGAGGGCGTTACCGCCGATTGAGTCTGCACGTCAGCTTTGCCTGGTACATCATTGACGGAACAATCTACCTTGCAGCATCCGGGTCAACTTTGAGTCCCGATACGGGATGTGGCCTTTTGCGCTTCTTGGATCCGACACTATAGGTCAGCTACGGCCCGAGCTGCTAAAGTGGCTGTGAGCTTACAGGCTGAGATGACGTTTCCGAGCGCCGATAGTCCCGAGTTGATCGATATCCCCTCTTTCATCCGGTCACCCTGCGCCGCCGTCCGCTTGAGCCGCTCCGACCCCGCCAAATCCACCATATTGAACTTTGACGTGACGACCACAAACTCGTCTTCCCGGTGCCCGAGCATGGAATTCGGCCGTGGAATGCCCGACTGCTTCTGCGTAAACGCGACTGGCGGGCCCGTCCTCGATCCGGAGGGCGTAATCGACCTCGGCATCCCGATGAACGACGTCGGCCTCTTCAGCGTCTTTGGCGTCCCCGGTGGCGATATCGGCTGACTTGGCGAGACAATGATCCCCGCCCTCTTCTTCTGCACCATCGTCAACGAGAAGATGGCGTGACTTCGCGACGACGTGGCGTTCATCCCCGTCTCGCCCGTCTGACGACGTGCCGCTCCGTCCTGCAAGAGCTGCATGACCTCCGCGAGGGTCTTGACTTTGACTTCGCGGATACCGGACCAGATGATCCGCCCGTCCCGTTCTTCGCGGATGGTGATTTGAACGCCGGCGCCAGAGAGGAGGTCGATGATCTCCTCATTGTAGAGTTCGAGGAAGGAGAGGCGGCACTCCCAGCTGGAGCCAGGGCCAGAGGCGAGCCGAATCTCCTCGGCGCGGTCAAAGATGGCTCGGACGGTACGAGGGATGAGACCCGTGCGGGGCGTGAAGGCGGTGCCCGAGTAGTCGATATCCTCGCCAGTCGTGCCCATTGAGTAGGATTTGCCGGAACTGGTCTGACCGTATCTGGATATCAGCTCAAGTCGGCAAATGTACTCACGCAAGGAAGGTCACGTTGTGCCCTTTCATGTACTCCTCCACCACATCTCGTCCCGTGACGTCGTATAGGTCGACCTGGCTCGACTCCTCCCCGAGCACATGGTCGAACTGGAAGGATGGGTGTCGCTTCGCGCCTGTGGTGAGACCCGCGTTTCCGGTCAGCTGAGATGGGTCGACGTCGATACGTAGATCCGAGGCGGAGGTGGGGTGGATGAGGACGTTGCGAAGGCGAAGGGGAACCGAGTCGTCCGCGAGGGAAGGTCGAATGCGGACCACTAAGATGTTAGCTGATCCTCCCTCTACCGACCGGAGTACGTAGCTCACCAACTCTGACATTCCTCGCGTCAGCCGTGTCGCTGGAGGCGTCACTGATATTGTTCGTGCGGTGTTGCGGAGCCTGGCTTGCTGCTGAGCTCGGTCGGGGGATGATTGGGCCCAGCGGCGACATAGGCACCGCCGAGGCCATAGATTGCCGTTTTGGCGTGTACATGTTGGGTAGGGGGTGGTAATGATATAATAGTGATAGTCGATACAGTCGAGATGGGTGGAGCAGTTGCTACACAGACAGGAATGGGCGCTGCTCCATCAGCGCAGTCATCGAGCTGGGCAACGAGGGCGAGAAAGGACGGTCTGCAAGGCGTAGCCTAAAGGGCCGTGCCTTTCGTGCGAGTTCACCTTCGCCTCCACCGGCCTGGACTTTGGCGCAGAACTGCAGAACAAGAGCTACTCACATGATTGTTGACAAGTCCAGACTGCAAGACGCCCAGATGTCCAGTTCAACACAGCTCCTTCTTGTCCGCACAGACTTCAGAGTCTTCCTTCTCGCCCCACTTGAGGATTCGGTGTGATGTTGACGATGCCTTCAGAGCGACAGCGGTCGATAGGCTGTTGATAATCAACAGAGTCGAGCGAGTATCTACAGCAATGTCAACATGGGCTCTAATAGGGATGTAGATGTTGAGTGGTGTCGTGAAGGGCGTGAATGCTTATTTTGGGTTTGTCACTTCGCAGCCCGAGCTTGTTGTCAAGGCACACATGATAATGGGCGTAGACTAGACCAGGGACAAGTCGAGGAACAGCTAGGGCTGTGTGGATGTGTACTCACCTGTGTGGGTTCTAGCTCGTGCCTGTATTCGGTACACCTGCAGTATCAGATCCTCCGTCCTCCGTTGTCCGCGGTGAGACTTGTCAAGGAGCAAGGTCGAAGATGGTAACACCGAAAGCTCGAGCTCGGACGACAATCGATAATCGTTGTCTCGGGTCCCCGTGCCGGTGCGTGAGCCTGACCGCGTCCGTGCCCTCCAGGTGAAGAATATTGACGGCCTGCTCTCCTCTCTCCTTCCTCCCAGCCTCACCACCCTCACCACCCTCCGCGCTTCGGAATGGCTCGCCTGCCCGCCCCGCCCGCTCCTATCGCTTGGAATGGAGTTGGAGGATATGGATGATGCCTCTGCTTCGGTCCATTCGACCGGGGCATATGTTTCGGAGTGAACGGGCGGCCAGGAGGCGGTTCTGAAACGAGATTGTGTGTCGTGCTTTTGCGTGGGAACTGGTGGAGGGCGAGGACGTGTCGACGCTGAACAGCGGTCGCAGATGGCTTCAAAGCTGTATTCCTTGCCGTCTTTCGTGCTGTATGCGATGTTTATACCTGCCACAGTCAAGGAGAGTCAAGGGTCCGAGGCGAAAGTAAGGTTTGAGGTGAAACAGGCTGCCAAAGTCAAACCGTCGAAACTCGCCGGCCCGGGTGGCAAATCTCGCAGAGTCATGTACGCGGGTAGCTAGCTGAAGCGAAGCTGTATAGCTCAATCCTATGGGAACCGGTGCTACAGGATTGATAGATACAACTCATCAGATACCCTCATTCCACCTTCCCGTCCTCACCGCATCATCCCCATACCCCAATTTCAGCCTTGACAGCAGCTCCGCCAGCCCGCTCACATGCCCAGACTGCCCATCTCCCTCATCCAGGACCTCCATATCCCTCGCTCCGTCTTCCCCTTCGCCTTCCACCATTCCATGTCGCTTGTCCGACTTCTGTGAGAGCCGCTCGACCGCTAGTATCTGGTATATCAGCTCCAACACCCTACGTGTCTAGACGAAAGACTCACAAAGACCCTCTCCTTCTCCTCCCATTCCTTCTTGATGACCATCACCCTCTCCCTTGCCTGTGCAGGCTCGAGCATCCGCCTCTCCACCTCCTTGACCACCTTTCCCAGATCCAAAATCAGCCCAAACAAGCGCATGAGCAGCTTGAAGGCCACATCATAACCCGCCGCAGGCGACAGCAGGGAAGCGCGCATGATCCGGTCCAGGGTGAGGTGGTGGTACCCGACAAGCGAATGGACCGATTTGAGCTGATAGATCGATCCCGAATCCTCCTCCTGCCCATCTGCCTCCTCGACATCATTGCTGGCCTGAGGCGCAAAGTCCGAATACCCATCATCGTCCAGCATGTCCGGCCTGGTATCGCCCGCGCGATCCTTCCGCTTTAGCCTCTCCAACCGCCTGCGCATCCGATCAAAGTTGACCCCGATGGCCGAGTCGACGATATACCGCATCAAGGCCGAAACGAAATGGCTCATCCCGAAACGGAGGCGGAGGATCGTCTTTTCCAACTCTGGCTCCGCGGAGAGTATCGTCCGTCTCTGGGGCCTGAGGCGATGTGTCGCCCGGACCTGCGCTTTCGTCCGCGGGATGTCGACCCCGGACTTCTTCGGCGCGTCTCCCGGGGTATCGTCCAGAGCAGGCTTATGGAGATCGGAGTACATGGATCGGACCACCGCGTTGACCCGGCAGAGGCGGAGGAGGAAGTTGTGGATGGTTTGGTATTTCGCAAGAATGCCACGAGGGAGGATGACCGACATGGCCACTGGGGGCGAGTAGGCGAGGTACAAAAAGTCAAGGGCTCTATCGTCCGTCAGCAGTATCGCGACAGAAGGACTGCACTGGGACTCACTCGATAGACTGCGGATCCATCCATTTCGCCCGTACTCCGCCCTCATCCTCCGGCAATGGCCTGATCGCGAACGAGACCCTATCCTCCACCTCTTCCCATGCCGTTCCATCCCTCTTCGCGCCAGTATGTCCCCCGAGATCATCTACCAGCGTCGTCCGGAGCGCATAAGCCAGCTCCGCCCCTCCAGGCGGCCATCTCTGCCGGTCGCTCAGGCCCACACCTAGCGCGATACCCCATTCTCCTGCTTCTTCACCGGTCTCTCCTCCCCCAGGATCTCCTCCAGCCGCTCCAAGACCCATCCGCGCCCTCGTCCGGGCTCGCCGACCCATCCCTGCCACATGCCCCACTTCCTGATCCTCCTTCCCGAACAACGCGCCACTGACGCGCTCAAAGAACCCCACGTCACCGCCTAACCAGAACGAGTAGAGTATATCCAAATGGTCCAGGTACCCCATATCGTCCAGGTAGAGCGAGACCAGAGCGGCCGAGACGAGCTCGGCGTGCGCCAAGAGGGGCGCGAGAAGGTGGTGGGAGATGAAGAGGGGGAAGGTGGGGTATAGGTCAGGAAGGAGTGGGCGCGTCGTATGATACGTGAGGAAGGAATGGAGGGCGTCGAGTGGGGTGGAGGACCATATTGAGGCGGGTTGGGCTGGGGCTTGCGAACCAGGGGTGAGATTGAGAAGTGAGAGGAAGTCGGATAGTTGACGCTCGACGTTGGTCGTTGTGTTCGGTACGAGCGAGAAGTTGCTGTCGATCCCCACCGGGGGCGACGGGTCTGCCTTCGGGTCGGAGAGGCCCGCTAGCGTGCTTGACGAGGAAGCAGCACCGAAGAAGTCCGCTGGGATCCGTTTCCGTTGCTTCTTTCCGATTCTTGAGCCCTTCCAGCCCGAGCTCCCGGAGGGTGGTCTCGATCTCTCCCGTATTGATCGCCTCCACCCTTCCGTCTCCTTTTCGATCCGCCTCAGATGAGCTTTGACTTCCGCATGTACACTGTACATCTCAGCTCTTGACCCGTCTCCTCGACCGAGAGACGATCTTCTCAGCTGTACTTACTCATTGAAATCTGATCCCCAGCCCCAGCTACCTTCCAGCCCCCAGCTACCGCCCGCAAGCGGATGCTCCCCGTTCGCTTCCCTGAATAATCGCAGACTCCTTCCCGATTCAAACAACTTCCGCCTGACATCCTTGGGTATAAATGCCGGCATCCGCTTGCTTGAGAACTCATACTCCCAGCGCACATCTTCTGCTGCGACGTTGGGGCCTTTCCGTGGTAGCCTAGTAATGCCCAGATCAGACCAGGGTTGGTCTGCCGGATCTCCAGAGGCCGTTTCGGCTGGCGAGTCGGAGAGGCCTACCCAAGCATGCAGACAGCATAGAAATGGCGCGGAGGAGGACTGAAGGAGGTACGCGAGGCAGAGGACCGTTTGCGAAGCGGGAGACCCTGGGGAAGAGGTCTGGAAATGCGCGAGGAGGTGCGAGTAAAGATGGCTGAGGAGTGCGGAGGCTCTGGACGGTATTGAGCCGGACGAGGGTTCTGAGACAGGCTGTATCATCAGCTGTGTCGTATGAGTATATGGGACAGCGGACGTACCCAGCCCATGATCTCGAGCAAGACGCCCAGTAATTCCCTCACGTCCCGGAGAGCCGCCTTCCACTTGATCCACCCCGATACCGCCTCTTGCTCGCTCTCTCCGATCGCGGCGGAGAGGCGGTTCTTGATGAATGAGAGGTAGGTCGAGACCGCGTTGAAGAGGGCATGATGCGTCGGAGTGAGTGGGCTGATTGTTGTCAGCTAGGGTATGACAACGAAGCAGACCTAAGGCCTACTATTTGCTTTGACGGTCCAGGAGCTCATCTAGTCTCCGTAGGGAGGTCGCTATCTCCAAGAAGTCAGAAACAGCCCTTTGGTGGGATCAGCTACATGCTCAATGCGAACCTCTTGATAGGTCGAAGGCTTACCCGGAAGAAGCGACTCTGCTGAGACCCTCAGTCCGTCCCGTCCCGCCTGCCCATACGTAGCTCCCCTTCCTCTTGTCCCACTTGAGCGACTCAGTCGTCGTCGTTCCTAATGTGGCACGAATCATGAGATGGAGTAGCTCGTCTGGGTCCGTAGGAGCCGCTCGAGGCTGCGAGCGAAGTTTCGGGAGTGTCACGGAGGGCTCAGAACTAAGGCATCAGCTCTCAACTCCCTTTTGCCTGATGAGCAGAGGCCGGACAGCTTACATGAGATTGATAGCTTCGAACGTCCTCCGTCCGCCTTCCGAGGCGAAGGGGTTTTGGGCGTCGACTTCGTCCATGACATCCCATGTCGGAATCGGCTACGACTTGAGCTACTCTTCGCGTCGATCCTTTGGACAGAAATGGACATACCTTGAAGGCACGAGGCCGACTCGGTCCAGCTTCAGCCTCCATTCCCATCCTATCCGCCATAATCGTCCACTCTGACCTCTCCACTCTTTCCTCTACGGCAACTTCGTCTCGCGTGTCCGCTTGAACGGGATCGACCGGTACGATCACCTCCGCGGCCTGCGCTGTCCCCTTCCCCTTTCCCTTTCCCACCTCATCTCCACCCATTCCCGCTTTCCTGAGTCCCCACCAAGCCCCATCCTCTAGACCCGTCATCATCCTATCTTCGCCAGCGGCATACTCGTCCAGCTTCGGAAGCGCGAACCATGGCTCGACCTCTTTCAGCCCTGGCAGACTGAATACATTCCGGTCGCCTGTCTTTTCTGACCGTAGAGACGGGAGCGAGAAGAGCGTCGAGCTCGAGAGGGGTTCAAATAGCGTCATCTTGGACTCAAGTCGACGAGGATACGGTGCGACGACTAGACAAGGCTTGAAAACATCAAGGAGCCACACCACATTCCTCGTCCCGACGCGTCTGGATAAAGTTTTGAGAACGCGGACCTGCTGAATTGCCTGACGATCTCAAACTTTGCCTAGTCCGCTCATATCCTGCACAGGCAGCACCCCCTCAGCTCCCAAGTATGATATGTACGAAAGGGTGAGATGCAGCGGGAGCGTTTCTATGGCGTAGAAGGAAATCTCAGTCGTCTGATCAAGCCGAGTCAAGGTCACCAAGTGAGCTCACTAAACGCCAAGACTTTTCCTATTCGATCGCAGATCTGATGAGATGTTGACCTGCTCGGTCTTCACTTTGCAGGCTACTTCATCTCAGCTATATATAATACCCAAACGCGTCCCGGAGACATCTCGACGTCCACAAGCCCGACAAAGCTATCTTCCGGACAAAGGTAGACCACATCACCACCCCGACGACGGCGAGCTGTCCTCTTGATCGACAGCATTCACATCAGCCTCCACGCAAGATGAGCACCCGCGACTGCAGCCAAAACGTACTAGGAGAGTACAATCTCCCCCTCCACATAGCTGCGGTCTTTATCGTCCTCATCACGTCCGGCCTGGGCGTGGGGGTACCGCTCATCACGGGTCGCGCGAAGGGGCGGGATGGTCGACCGGCGGGCATGAGTGATGCGGCAGCGGTAGGGCGGGGTGAAGGGGTGGTTAGGAGTTGTTTCTTCCTCGCTAGGCATTTTGGGACTGTGCGTACTGTCTGTTCTCGCGGTCCTGGTAGAAGAAGGGAAGGCGAAGCTGATGGACAGGGAATCATCCTCTCCACATCCTTCATCCACCTCCTCTATGAAGGCCTCATCACTTTCGCCAACCCCTGCGTCGGGAATGTCACATACGATCCCACAGCCCCCGCTATTGCACTAGCAGGCGCATTCGTCACCTTCGTCCTTGACTTTGTCGGGATTCGGCAGCGGATGGCCAGTCTCAAACGGCAGACACTGAAGTCGAATGCGTCACTCGAGCTCTCTACTCGGCCTGAGCGGGCCACGGGAGCGTCGATATCGGGGGACGACAAAAATCTCGATGGGACAACCGGTAGCAGTGGGCAAGTACAACAAGCGCCCGCCCCGGGTCTGCCTGTCCCGGCGATGATGAGCAATGGGGATTGTTGTCATGCCGACCTGATCTTCCAGGCGGAGCAGGGATGGCAGGTCATGCTACTCGAAGCTGGGATCATCTTCCACTCGTCAGTCCTTTTTCCCGCTCGATTGTTGGCAGACAAGCTGATCAGGTAGAGTCATGATTGGCGTAACATTAGGCGCAGATTCAGGCGATAGCTGGACAACCCTTTTGATCGTTATCGTATTCCACCAGTTCTTCGAGGGGGCTGCGTGAGTCTTCGTCCCGGCTGCTTGATAGAACCGAGCTGACGACTAGGCTCGGCGCACGTATAGCTGTCCTCACATGGATATCCAAGACCCGCGCTACCCTCATGGGATTGGCATTTACCGTTAGTCCCCCTCTCATCCCAGCTGTACTCTGCACGGAAACCTCATGCTGACTCTACCAGCTTATCACTCCTATGTAAACCTATCTTCTTGCTCAGACAGCAATATCAGCGCTGAGGGTGTCTAGCGGTATCGGAATCGGAATCGGTGTCCGCTCATTCTTCTCCGAAAATGGAATCGCCGAGCTCATCTCCGTGGGCGTCCTGAACTCCTTCTCAGCCGGTATCCTCGTAAGCCTCGTCCCCTCCCCGTCTTCTCACCGCCAGCCCTATGCATGCGCTGCCCAAAGCTAGTGCTGACTCTGCAGCTATACACCGCGTTCAAGCTGCTCTCTGCAGACTTCACCGAGGGCCCCCTCCGAGACGCGCCAGTATGGAAGCCTACACTCGCGATGGGCTTGATGATTATGGGTATGATCGCTATGGCTGTTATCGGCAAGTGGGCATGATGCGCCAGGACGACCGTGAAGGGATTTTGTATCATAAGGGTGTCGAGTCTTGAGGCGGGATAATAGGACAATTCACTCTCAGTGGCGGTGCGCATCTCACTCGATGTTATATGTTGCTGCATGTATATGACTTCGCGCCATCCAGTGGCCTGACTTGATCCCTTTATCGCGGCATGTCCCCCATCATCGGAATCCCACCTCAAATGCCCGAACGTTCTCTACACCCAGCCACCCCTGACTGCCACCCCCTGACTCGCCTCGCTCCCCCTCCGACTCACATCCGATCCCCTACTCCACCTCTCCGCCCCTTCTTGTCCTCGAGCACCCAGGCCCGCCTCCATCTCCGTCACCTGGCGCATGACCCTTTGTCTCCCTTCTTCCCCTTCGTCCGGCTTACGCACAGCCCGCGCCCATGGTACGCCTTTCATCCTCACCTCTGCCCCTACCCCTCCACCTCCACCGCCACCGCCTTCCGGCAGAACGGGCAGCCTGGCGCCCATAGAGAGTCCCGATCGTACCCGCGCAATGTCCGCCGGCGGTAGTAACGGGGGCAACGACTCGTCCCGTCCATGCTGCTCATGAGGGAGCTTTGGCAATGCGCGGCGGGGCGGTCCTGTCCTAGCCTTATAAGGGACGATATCCGCCTCGCTCCCCCTTCGATCAAAGTGGCCGGCGACAGTGTCGGGATGGGTATGCGGGTGGATGTCGATACTGGACCGAGCGGAGGTGGTACCGGCCGTAAAGTGGTAGTATTTGGAAGTGGGGGTGATGATGGTGGGCAGATCTTCCCGTGCGAGGAGAGAGGAAGATCGTTTAGGAGGAGCTTCGAGGATGTCCGAATGGCGCGACAGGGAGGTGGGTCTGGAGGAAGGGGAGAGGAGCTCAGAAGAGGTAGACGAGGTGGAAACGATCAATCTTGATCCGGCAGGATCGTCCACCCCGCATCCTCCTCCAGACGCGGAACCGGCGTGGGCCTGATGGTGATGTTCGAGATCGGAGGTCTCGTAGGTGTGCACCGAAGAAGATTGGGAGGTCCGGACCGACCCCGACAAGGTAGAGTAAGACCGTGCCTGTATCGGCGGATCGCGGGACGTGGAGAGATGTCGCTTGAATGCGGGAGGAGGGGGTGGTGATTCCGGCAGGAGGTGAGATTCGGGCCGACTGGGTGCGGGAGGCGTGATGATTTCTTCCTCGTACCCGCTGTCCGCGTGTGGAGGGGAAGGGAGGGACGCCCGATGTGTCTTTTTGCGGAAGAGAGAAGAGGCGAAGCCGGGTTTCCAGTCGCCTAGATGGAGCTGGGCGAGCTGGTCTTCCTCCCCCTCTAGACTTGAGTCCAGCCCGGGGCCCTGCCCCTTCACCCCTTCGTCTTCGAGTAGCTCAGGCTGAGAGGGTTCGCTGACCATTCGCCTGACCTCCGGCCTCTCCACCGCCCCAGCGAGGTCTCCCGTAGTCTGGGACCTGCCCATTCCCATCCCTAATCGCCCTGGCGCCATCTGAGGGAGCGGTAACGCCGCCTCCCCCACCCCCGCCAGCTCTCTCGCAAAGAACCCTCCATTCCCTTTCCTTCTCCATCCCTTATCGGACCCTCCGGGGGCAGTAGGCAGTACAGTCACCGGCGGAGGAGAGGACGGTCTGGCATGTATGGCGAGCCACGCGTCCCGCGACCGCCAGGGCTGTTCGGAGAATGCAGAGAGCGTAGGCGAGATCATAGATGTAAGCGTCGAGAAGGATCTGGAGCGCCGGTGGTGATGTACGGCTCGTTTGGCGGGATGACGGGGTCGGAGAGTGGGCGAAGTGGGGATATGGGTGGGTACGGGGGCGATACGGGCGATATGCGAGGGAAGGGGGATGATGGGGGGGACGGAAGGGAGGCGTTGATGTCGGCTCGACTGATTGTCAGCCTTAGCCTGAGCAGAATGTGTGGGTGCAACCTACCGCTGTCGAAGCCTCATCTGACGCACGCGGCTTGCGCAGCTTGCCCCGAAGGTCTTTTTCCGACTTGGGCTTCCTGAGCCCCATCGTAGTCGTAGCGGTGACGAAAGATGAACCGGGAGGAGATCGGTAGACAGGTGTCGTCGATGGGTCCCTACCAGCGGGATCTGTCGCCGTCTAGAGTCAAAGCAAGGAGCGTGAGAAGGGAGATGTAGGGGATAGGCGATCACCGAGAAAAGGCCTCGGTGGTGTTGTGTGGGTCGTTCATCTAGATCAACCGCTAGATGGCGAGATGAAACTTGTTGATCTCCAAGGAAAGGGAGGGTGTGTCAAAAAATCAAATCTGTTGGAAAGGAAGGTTGTCCGATGCTCGGGCGTCGGAGCTCGTGCCTGGCAAACCTGTACGCTCGCACCCCGCGAACCTTATCCTTTGCATAGTTACCGATCCGAGCGCAATGCGGGGCGGAGCGTGACTGCTACCTTCTCTTTTGTTCGTCTTCGGCCCAGTCGAGGCGACCGAGCATGCTGCTATCGAGGCAGCGGGCCCCGCGAACGGCTCTCCAAGCTGCCATGTCGATCTCGGAGATGTCTGAGGCTTTCATTCGGAGGGGTTCGAGAGCGGGGCACATGATGAAACGAGGGTCCAAACGGGCAACGTTTCATCTCGCCCCTGCCCATCTATTTCGCAGTGCTTCGCTATATCGCCGCATATTCCCGTATCTGAGCATTCGGGTAAAGCCCGAAGATGCTCTGAAATCGCGGTTCAGAAAACGCCGCATAACCCCGTCAAGGCCTAACATATACCCTCGCGATCGCGCTCAAGTCAAATAAATGGGGCTCGATTAAAGTGGACACCTTATACCCTCTGATCTCTGACATCGGTGGATCACCGTGCCCTCTTTCAAGCTTTCAACTAGCCATGCCAGCTGAGGTCCAAGGCCTGGCCCGCATCACAAGTACTGCCCGTGCAGGCTGAGCCCATAGCTAAGTGAATGTCCATGCATGAGATAAATGCTCGAAACACATATACAGATGAAAGTGTGGTCTATGCGTTACGGGCCGTGATGTGCAACATGATGGAGGTCGTAGCAGTCGTCAACAGGTCGTGGCGCACGCTTAGAGCGCGAGGATGCCAAAGACACCAGCGATGACGCCGAGGAGACCACCGACGACCTTGGGCTCGGTGGAGAGGTAGGCGGCGGCCGAGGAGGAGGTGGCGCCGGATACCCTGGAGGCGGCAGCGCTGGAGACGGAGCTGGATTGTCAGCAGGGGTCACTTTTGAAGAATGAAGAGGGATGATGTGAACTTACGAGGCGGAAGCACCGACACCGGAGGCACTGCCAGACATGGAGGAGACGGAAGCACGAGCGCTCGAGGCCATGCCGCTAGCGGCGGAAGAGACGGACGAGGCGGACATGCCAACGGCACCGGCGGCAGAAGAGGCCGACGCGCGGACACCGGAGGAGGTAGCGCTGCCCGAGGCGGCGGCGCCTGAAGCGCTACCGGAAGCTCCGCCAACAGCGACGGCGCCGTTGAGGCAGGTCTTGCTCGAGCCGGCCTCTGGAAATTTAGCTCAAGCCATCATCGGAGTCGGCTACAGGGACGTACGGATTGGGACCTTCTCGGCGTAGTTGATGGCACCGGTAGAGTCGGTGATCCTCAGGGTGACTTCCTGGCCGGTGGCAAGGTCGACAGTCCAGGTGAGGGAGGTGTCGCTGGTCTGGGGGAAGGTCTTACTGAGGGAGTTAGCTGTAGCTCTTTGTTGCGCCGTCGGCGTGATGACAACTTACAGAGCAGCGGCTGAGGCTTGTCCACCAGGGATAACAGCCGGGAAGTAAGGCGCTGAAAAGTCAGGTCGAGCCCAAACAAGGTGGACGAGGTATGCGAAGGGATAAGGCGAAAAATACTCACCGGTTCCACCGGACCACATGAGCTTGGCCGGCTGGCACTCAATCAAGCTGGTAGGAGTCTCGATCTTGAGCTGGGCCGAGACGGACGCGACGAGAGCAGCGAGGAAGACGGCGGATCGCATCTTGTTTGATTGGGGTTGAGGTATGGTAAGTTTTTCGGTAAAGACTGGAAGTTGGGTTGGCTTGTAAAGACCGTTGGTTGTTTTTGGGTAGACAAGGGGGTTGGTAGCTGAAAGGACAGATGAGTATGTATGTCAAAGAGATGTGTAAGAGAAGGGGTAACCAAGCGATACCTCTGAGTCTATATATGATTTTCCTAACCAGCCCCGGACGCGAAGGAGGTAGACTGGAACTTAGATCCAGGGTAATGAAAAAAGGTCAAGCTGGTCTGAACACACGCACTAATACCCCTGAAGATATCCAAAGCGCGGTATGATTCTCCTTCCGCAGTCATTCCCCACAGCATCGAGGCCCAGGGGGATGTATCGTCGTCATCGCTTGGTATGGCCGGGCTGAAACGAGGTCGAAAAGTATGGCTGGGACCGACGCGTCGGAGAGCCGCCGGAGGAAGATGTCACGCTTACGGCGCATCTGACGGGGACTCCGAGATTTATTTTGCAAGACATCTTATGTAGATCGTCCAAGAGAGTCCAAGGGTTCCACCTGCATATCTGAATCCTCAGACATCTGTCCGCATCTATCTTGTATCCAGCTTGCCGATGTATCGCTCAGAGATTAGATAGCACGATTGCTCGGCGCGTCGATCCTCGTGGACGCCACCCGCCACCGTTACCGTCACGCTCGGCGCTCAGGCACCACCCAAAATTGCTCCCGGTCAACTCAGCCAAAGATCAAGCTGACCTCACCTTCACTCAACACAAGCCCAAAGCTCAAGACACCCATCAACAGCTCGATCACCTCTAATAGCAACCACACCTCAACATGGTCAGTCCCTCTCTCAGCTGCCTAAGACGCATGAGCTGATTTCCAGAGCTTCTCTTCCGCCAATGTCCCTATAGCAAGGGACACCTGGGCCCCGAAATCACCTCCACCTCAACCCCTTCGACCATCAAGTTCGCTCGCATACGGTATCATCTCGCCATCTGCTGGTACCGCTTCAAGCACTCTGCCTACTGGAACGATCTCAAAGCCGAAGTTTCCAGCATATGTGCCGAGGACAGCAACAAAGCTAGCGTCGGTCTTGCCGGCGGCGGCTAATGCGGGCCCTTCCTTTCAGCCAGGCGGTCAGCCTTCGGGGTCGACAGCTCCGCCATCACAGCCTGCGGGGATAGCGAATGGGGTTCAGGGGCAAGGACATGGAGAAGGGAAAGAGCAGAGACGGGGGGATGCACAAGGGAGATCCGCAGATACGTGAGTTGCTTTGTCCACTTTGATTCTATGAAGGGAGAAGTACGGGGTAATGAAGGGTGAGGAAGAAGGGGGTCAGGTGATCATAATACAAAGGAAGGCGGTATGTGCGTGCTAGCGATAGGGAGAACCTTTGTCCAAGCGAAAGAGGAGCTGACGATTGTTCCTCCCTTCTCTCTCCATTCTCCATTCTCCCTTTTTCTCGACTCCTCACTATATATCCACCTCAACCTCGGCCGCATCTTTCGACATCGGACATATCTCGGACTACACCTCAACGCGAACCACTTCTACCATGTCGTACAACGATCTCGACTACCCCCGCTCGCCTCGCGATACCCGCGACGATCCCGCCTTGATGGAATACGACGAACAACCCGCGCGGGCCATCACCACCCCTTCTCCCCCTTCCGATCATCAATCCCATCAAACTCAACCTGAACAAAACCAACACCATCAACGCACCGACTCCCGCTCAAACAACCACAACAACGGCAACCATCAACGGGCTCGCTCTGACCGGTACGACGACCGCTACCTCCCCCGCCGCGCCCCCGCACCCATCGCCGAACCCATGCATGCCGCTCGCTTCGATAACAACAGGCGCGCACCTCCTCAGCCTCGCGGCGACCGGGACTGGCACAGTGCCCCCTCGCGCGACGGCGAGGGGTCGAGCGGGGCTCGCAAACAGGGAGGGCCGCTCAAGGCGGGGGCGAATCCCGTATTGGGTGTATTTGGGCTGAGCATCCGGACCAAGGAGGCGGACCTGGAGCATGAGTTTGCAAGGCATGGGGAGGTCGAGAAGGTGGTCATCGTGTACGACCAAAGGGCAAGTCCTTCTCCTGCAAAACGCAATTTCTCAAGCAAAGTCAAGTGTCGGTGACGCAAGGCGGTAAATCTTGGTCGGGGAGGAAGAAGGAAACTAGAAGGCCGGACGGAAGACTGCAATTTACAAGTAACCCCAAGCTGACTGAGGCAGACTGATCGATCTCGCGGGTTCGGCTTCATCACTATGCGTACGACCGAAGACGCCCAAGAATGCGTCGACAAGCTCAACGGACAGATGCTGCATGGGCGCGAGATGCGAGTGGACTTTTCGGCGACTCAGAAACCGCATAATCCGACTCCCGGGGAGTATATGGGTGCAAAGCGGCCACTCCGTCAGTTCCTGGTCACCAACTCTGTCCAAGTGGAAAGTAAGCTGACAAAGCAGCTGAAGAACGGGTGGAACCTCCTCGGCGCGACATTCGGTATGATGACCGGCCGTACGATCGATACGATGACCGGTACGATGATCGCCGCGCCGGTGATTGGCGTCGTGGGAGCAGGGAGTTGAGTCGGGACCCGAGGGATGATTGGCGGGCCAGAGATGGGCGGGACGAGTGGGACAGGCGGGGCAGGTGAGTCAAGATGTTCTGAGTATAGGCGCTCAAAGCTCACATTGCAGGAACGACTACGACCCGTACGGCGGCCGAAGTAGGCGAGACGACTATGAGCGTGACCGACGCCGATCGCCAAGGTCAGCTAGCTCTGACAGTCGGATGCAGACGACAGCTGATGCCCCGCAGCCCCAGAAGACGCCGCTCAATCTCGCCGTACCGCTCGCACCACTACCCCCCGTCTCAAGAGGGGCTTCGGTACTAGAAGAAACCAAACAAGGCCGACAACCTGTCAATATCTAAAAGTCTCGATCCAGCACGCATCTACACCGACATCAAACGACGATTTACGACTACCCTTTTCACGAATACATTGTGTATAATCACCACCCGCTCCTCCAGCCTCATCAACCCCAAACTCTTCTCGCCTGCCTCTCAGCCGCGGTATATACCGCGGCCACCGGTCGACGGATCGCCTGTCGATAGCGATAGCAAACCGAGGCGGGGGGTAGTCTGTCAATACAAGACCCGAGGGCGACTCGATGCAAATAGTGTAAATGACGCCCGTCGGAATCAAGTGTCCAGGACGAGCGCTATTGATTTGTATAGGCTGATCTTGCTAACAGCGGACTTACTAACGCTCGACCTGACCTCCTGTGATTGATCCTGCCAGTGACCTCAGTATGTTTCCGAAAGAAGGCAAAAGCTGTCCGTAGAAATGCATTATTGTACACAGCACGAGGCGATCAGGAGCAGATACAAGTAGAGAAACAGGCCGATGAGCATGCTCAGAATTGGACTCTTCTCTTCCGGGCCGTATACCTCGAATCTCGCGGTACACTTGCTGATCAGCAACAGCGCCTTACTGAACTTGATGAAATAGACGTACCCCTCTTTGCCCCTGACCCGATACAGCTCCTTCTTCTTCATGACCCACTCTTTCCCCGTCGTCTCCTTCTTTCCTTTCCTACTCTTCCCTTCCTCCTTTCTCCTCCTCCGCTCATTCCGCACCTCCTCCTTCTTCCGCTCGGCCCCCACCCCATTCTTCCCCTGCACAGCCATCTCCTCCCCGTCCAGTCCCTTCGGTACCTCCTGCGATCCCACCATGAGCACCAGATACATCTTGCGCGCCTTGCGAGAATTGGGATAGTCGACGACTAGACCACCGCCGAATCCCGCGCGCTGGGCAGCAGAGGTGATCATGTGGACTTGATCGTCCGAGGAGGGGTAGAATTGGAAGACTGCGCGGGAGGGATTCCGGAGGGATGCGTGGAGGGTGGTGAAGAAGCGGGTGAGGCGTTGGGTGGGGGAGTGGGAGGTCGCGTCGGCGTTGAGGAGCCATTGAATCACGGAAATACTGCTTGATCAGCGGCCGCTTCTGGCTCGATATGAGAAGAAGTACCTGATAGCACCGTCAAAGGTTCCTGGGCGGAATCCGAATCCCTGTCCAATATCGTGCAAGAACAGATCCCCTTCTACTTCCCTCTCCAGTGCCACCTCTTATCATATCAGCTTGAGCGCCCTCCAGGAAGGCGAGAAACGTCGAGCTCACCTAGCATGCTCGGCGCAATATCGCACCCCACCCAAATATGTCCTTCCTCATCCAACATCTCCCCGCTGAGCCCACTTCCACATCCTATATCTAACAGAAACGCCACTTCGTCCTCTGGCAATGCGAGCAATTCTAGTGCTCGGGCGGTCATTTGCGCCTGAATTGACTGAATACGAGTACTACTCCGTCAGTTCCACTCTTCATATCACACCAGCGTGGTATTGTTGCTGGTGCAAGATCCGGCAGTCGAGCTCACTTTTGAGTATACTTGGTGGCTTCGGTGTCCCCGTAAAACTGCTCGGATCAGCTCTAGTCCCCGCGCCAGGCCTGGTGTCCTTCAGTCAGACTGACCACTTCTGGCGGCGCGATCTCTTCGGGGCGCGACATCTTGGCTTGGGCTTTGTTCGGTCTGTGTCAGGTAGATAGGGAGAAGAGAGGTGATCAATGGGACCATGGAAATCTTCATCTCAAGCTGATCAGAGCTTTCTTTCCGTCGGAAAGTCTACTTGGAGACCCCACGCTTCGGCCGGATCCGAATTCCGCTCTCTTTTCTCGCCTTCCACCCTGTCCCTCTGCCGAGCTCAGCGGATATACCATGCGACACCTGGAGAGACGCAGGCGGGAGCTAGCAGAAGGGGAAGATCCAGGAATGGCTGGATTGTCAGCTGATCAGCTGACCTTGCGACACTTATGCGCGCCGGCCGGGACAGGCACCCGCTCCTGTCCACCGGGTACCGGGCCGCTCGCTCGACGGTCGATGGAGGTCTTCGATGCCTTGATAATTCTGACTAGTCCCCCTTCACTGTCATGACTATCTTGTCTACCACTCAGCTTCATATTATGTGGACGATCCTCATTTCCTTACTGTACATTATCGGCGCTGCCCACGGTCAAGGACCAGGCCAGGCCGAGCTCGATCTCATCACCCAGCGCCGACGAGTCGACCTCGCGGCGTTTCCGACAGACGCCAATCTCGCTAGCATCCCCAGCTGGCTGAGCACGCAGAAGTCCGATGGAACATGGCCGGACGTCAACTACGCTACAGGTTGCGATGCACGTGAGTCCCATCCATACCGCGCCTGGGGTGCGAGTTTAGCTGATCAGGTAGAACGAGCAAATTGGCCAATCCAGCAACACTGGATCAGGCTCATCACCTTTGCCTCGGCCTGGTCTGGCCTCAACCCCTCGTCCTCGGCTAATAACACGGACTCAGCTCCGCTCCTTGCGGCCACGAAGAAGGGGATGGATTGGTGGTTCGCCAACGACTTCAAATCGGAAGACTGTGTCGGATCAGGTGGAAAGGAGTGAGCTAGCGTCTTTCAACAGTGTGGACAAGAGCTAGAGCTGACAGGGTAGTAACGGTACCTGTCCCTGCGGTACCCCAGGGCTGTGGAACACCAACTGGTTCGGCCAAGTCATCCTCATCCCTCAGCTCGCATCGACCGCTTGTCTGCTCGTTGCCGATTCTGGCCTTTCGCAGGCGCAGGCGGATGGGTGTTTCCGGATTCCGAACAGGGCGTATACCAGGAGGGATCAGTTCATACCTGGTCTGGGCTACCTCACGGGTGCGAACGTGAGTCTCATCTCTGATAGTAGCAATTGATCCACGGAGCTGACAGGACAGACAATCAACGTCATGCAGAACTCGGTATCGATGGCACTGTTCACCAATAATGCGACCACCTTGACAGATACCCTGGATAGGGCTATGGCTGTAGTCACTGTGCGTCAGTTCTCTCATCCGAGCGGAGCACCTGCTGATGCTTCAGTACTCGGACAAGCCGAAGGAAGATGGTATCCATCGAGATGGGTCCTTCTTGCAGCATGACGGTATCCTCTACAGCGGTAACTACGGCAAGGACCTAGTAAGCTGATGTGTCCCGTCAACGGGTATTGGATATGTGGCTGATCGTCAGCTCAATGCCTTCATCCAGCTTGAGGGCGAGGCGATCGGGACCTCCTTTGCAGCCAACAGCTCGACTCGAGAGGCCTTTGCGACGGATATTAGGGGGAGCGAGTGGATGATCTATGTTGACGAGAAGACCAAGCAGGAGAAGTGGGACCTGGTGAGCACTGGAGTGCGGATATGAGGCAAATTCAAAAGCTGAGTGGACAGAATGCGGTGGGACGCTTCATCGCCTTTCCCGTCTCGGACCTCCAGGCCAATGCGGATATCAACTTCAATGTCAGCAAGCTCGCCACTGCTACAGCAGACTTTGAGGGGGCGAATGATATCAGCGCGACGGTACGGAGGCTGCAGTCGAACGGAACGGAGAAGCTGCTGGGGAACAAGGCTTTCTACGCTGGTGACTATATGGTGAGCTCAAGTCGCGAGTACAGCACTTGATCACTCCAAGACATGGCTTACATGACAGTTACACCGCCGCAATAGCTTCGTCCTGGGCAACAAGCTCCTATCAAACCGCTCTTTCACCACCGAGTACACCAACACCGCCAATCCCCTCGGGGTGCACCTCGGCCAAGGAACGCTATTTTCATACGTCACCGGGAGGGAGTACCTCGATATCCAAGCAGCGTGGGATTGGAATCTTATCCCTGGTACGACCGTCCTCCTCGGTCATCCCGTTTTGAACTCCACCAATGTTGGTCGGGCGGGAAAGAAGACGTATGTCGGTGTCGTGAGCGACGGATGGGTCGGGACGTCCGTCATGGACTATGTCGACTCGGTTGATGGGAGCTTGTCGTACCGCAAGGCATGGTTCTTCCTGGACGACTCGGTCATCGTCACCACCTCCGCCTTATCCGTCAATACCTCGGTGGCGGGCGTATCTGGCCGGCCGGTCGTCTCGGTACTTGATAACCGGGCGTCCGTCGGCGGCTCGGCATGGGTGGATGGCGTCGAGACGCGCCTCTCTGCCCAGACAAAGATCAACGGCTCTACACTCTACTACGGCGGGAACGGCTACCTATCGTACGGCTCCCCCTTCTCATTCACCCTCTCCGAGGGCAATCGGACAGGCAACTGGTCGGCCATCTCCACGTCCATCCGAGGCAACACCACCGTCCCCATCTTCTCAGCCTACACAACTCTCAACACCAATACCTCTGCTATCTCCTCCTACGCCTTCTTCCCTGCCACCTCGGCCGAGCGTCTCGCATCTGAAGCTGCCAGTCCAAGCTCAGTCGTCCTCTCCTCGAACGGCACGATCGCAGTGGCGGGTCTCGAGCGCCTCAGCGTCGTCTTCTACCCCGGCTCATCTACCAGCATCACCATCCCTCTCGCCACTATCGGCTGGTCGCCAGCTGGCAGTATCACTCTCCGCTCGGACCAGCCGGCCATCTATCTCTTTGCCACCAAGGTCAACGCTGCCGGGCAGACGGTGTTGGTCATCACGCTCTCGGATCCGAGTCAGTCACTTGACAAGCTCTCTTTCGGGATGGATGTTGAGGGGGCGGGCGTCGGCTGTTTAGCTGCCAGCTGGGACGACGGGTGCAGCAGGACAGGCAAAGGGCTCAGGTTCGACGTGGGTATGCCAAGAGGGGGCTTTGCGGGGGATAGCGTGTTCCGGGAGGTGATCCTGGGCTGAATAGCGGTTCACATTGTACACGTATAATCTCTATGACGTGAGTCGTGACTAACCGGGCGTGTCTTGACGAGATGCTCGCACGGGTCCAGGGATTCATGCAAAATAATCTCAAGGCTCACCGACCTCTGCTACTGACGAATGCTTCAATGTCATATCTCAAAGGGTGTTCCATCGATCAGATCGTCTCCGTCTGCAAGGTACAGACATCCAAAGGAAGAGACTCTTCCCCTCGTTTCCCACGACTGACGCTGCTATAGGGCGCAATGGTTATGGGATCCACCAGAGTACTTGCAGATACAAGACACAGTACAATACAGTGATTTCAACGGATTGTGAACGGTCAGCAACAGCATGTTCTCCCTCACAAACTTTCTGGCAATAGTAGCCTTCGTCCTGGCCATTGCCAGTAACGCTCAATCCGTCTCTGTCTCGACTACCACCGTCTTCGTTACGACCGACACATGCGCGACATCGACTTCCCTAGCTCTCCCTGCAGCAGAGTCATCATTCTCCAGTGCGGTCCCGCCAGTGCCGACCTCCAGCAGCACGACCCCGCCAAAGCCTTCGGTCTTCCTCACCACAGTAGATATCCCCCAGGGAATCAGATTGCAAATGATGGGTGGGAAGGGTCCCAAGGTCAAAGAACTGATGGAAGGCCCGGGACTGTCTGGTCCGGCGAAGGTGAATCTGAATGGATCGTCTTACTACAACTGGAATCTATATTTCGCTGCGCGGGGAAGCACATGGTTAGAGAGAGTGAGTGCTCTGTTCTTGGAGGATGACCGAGATTTCGGCTAACCCTTATCTAGTGCCATATGAAGCTGCCGCAACCCCAAAGTGTCAATGCGTATGAATGGGCTATATTCTCGCTTGAAGGCGATGCATTAACATAGATATTCTCGCCCGGTGCAAAATTGGATTGCGCTCCTGTCGTCCCAGACCCCGCCAAACCATACCTCACAATCTACCCTCGCGGAGTCAGCCTCGAGTTCACCACCGCCCTCTTTGGTGGCAAGTCTTTCGGATCGGAGGAACCAGCGATTATCGATGGCCTGATCCTCAACAAGTATGACAATGTCGAGTTTGTCGTCAAGACTGACACGCACAGCTACAAGGTATGGGCAGCCTGCGATGTGCCAATCGCTTTCCTGGAGCAGCGCCGTCGCTGACACTCTCAGTGCACAGTAGGAACGCGCGGGCTGAAAAGCCAAAGCAAGGACGTAACCTTCGAGATCACCCCACAGGCTGCCTCGGCAGGCGGAGACGTGATTCCCAAGACGTTCGAGGCGAAAGAGAACGTAGGCATAGAATGTAGCAGAGTCTGATGATCCATCGATGCACTGCGTATCATGTGTCGGAATCTCGGTGATGGAATTGTGTCAGCTAGAGAGCGATAGACGATGATACTGGAAGCCTCATGGACCGATATAGAAGCCACCTGCACGTCGCCACCCGCACGATCGTTCTCACTCTGAGTCCGAGCTTGACTAGAGTTCTGACTTCAACGGACTTTAGCCCCTTTACTGTCGTTTGTCAAAGCGGCGCATCAGACTCGGGAGAGTGTCTGGGTCGAGCGGTTCCGGTGACGTATCTCACAAGCCTCCCTTACTCATGCTGCACCGTGAATATCGGTCCGAGCTCCCGTATGAGACGTATCTCCAGCTGACAGCTGTTACAGGTCACGATATATGAGACAGCTTCATCAAAGCAGTCCCTTGACTCAAATACTGAAAGGAGCCAGACTCTGAGACTCGTTTCGCCTGTGCTTTATCGACGGGGCAGCTAGTCTTGCAGCGCAAACACAGCATGGGCCTCGATGGGATTCGCACTTTTGCATCAGCCGCCAGCGACGTCGCAATGTTCTGTCTCGCAGCGCTACTTTTGACCATGACCGCGTTGGTCTGTTCTGTCAACGCTCAAGTCATCTCGAGCACTACAGTGACAGTCACGACCGTTCTTTGCCCGTCTTCATCGTCTGCGACCCCCTCCACCAGCACACTACCTGGCGAGTTTCAACAGACGTCGACAAGCAATACAGGCGTCTCTTCCGAGTCCTCTACCAGCGGTAGTCTCAGCTCAGTATCATCTGGCATCCCTACCTCGTCGAGCACCGCGGCACCTAAGCCCGTTTCGACCTTTGTCGTGGCGATAGACATTCCCCAGGGCTCCAAATTCAGATTGACAGCCTGGACTCCTGGCAAAGCCGCCGAGGTCGCCAGTCGGGGCGATATATCTGGTCCCGCGAAGATCTCTCTGACTGAGTCAGACTTCTATGGCATGAACATATGGAGCACTAGGGTCGAGGGGGTGTATTTGCAGCAGGTGAGTCGACTTCCCCGGCCCACGAGGCAAAAGACGCAGGCTGACTGTGCCTAGTGCCACCTTCCTACAGATGCCAATATCGCCGATCAGTCATTCGTATTCGACAGCACTGGAACGAGGGTAGCGGGGCCGGAGAACAGATTGTACTGTGAGCAGGCTGCACTGGACCCGGCGAGTGGGCCGTCCATCACCCTTGACCCCCGCGGTGTCTCGATCAAGTTTACGAAACCTGCGCTGTTTGGAGGTGATATTTTTGCCTCGATGCGACAGGCAGTATTCAGAGGTGTCGTGGTGGATGTATGGGATAACGTTGAGTTCGTCATCATAACTGATAGATTTAGCTACTCCGTGAGTGTCCGAAGCGGTGTCGATACATATATAGTATCACTGCGCCCTTGGTTCATCCGCTGACCATCCACAGTGCCAGATCGGTACTCGAGGCAGACAAACGCAGACGAAAGATGTCGTCTTCACGATTCAGCAGATGGCGATCCCTACCGATCGGGATCTCGACTCGATAGCACACGACTGGCCCGCACAGGAGAACGTGGGAGTCAAGTGCGCGCGGATCAAATCTTGATGGACTTGCGGATATCCACAAGTCTTGAGCAATGTTATCGATTACCCGTTGTTGGAGGTCGTTGAGGTGCATATCGTACCATATAAGCTACCGATCGAAAGCAAGCTTCTACATGCATAGAGTATAACCTAGCTAGCCTGCTAGCGGTACCTCTGCGCATATGCCATCGACTCGCTGAAGACTTCAACTTGGGTCAAGACACCGTGCTCCCGCGCACTCTTACTACGATATGTCTTGACCGTATCCCATTGACGCAAAACTGGGACCCTGTACACCCCCATCTTCATGCTTCATGGCTCTATCAGACGATCATCCTACAAGATCCCAGCTACAGCCTTACCTACTCTACAAGTACCTCCACCTCCACCTTGTTTCAGACAAGGTTTCAGATCTCCGGTAAAGCCGGAGCCGAGGAGCCGAAAGGTCGATCAGTACCGTAATAGATCTGGCTGACCTCCTTTAATTTGCGATCCCTTTGTTTGGTCGGGCAGTCTGGCAGCCAGCTCCGAATCAGATCCAACCTATGCATAACTACAGCCTCGACTTCAATGCAGCATCATCGCTCATCTGCCTTTCATCTCACAGTTCCATCTAGCCTGCACGATGACAACTTGTATCATTCTAGCTCTTCTGGCTCTTCAGGCGGGGGCCATAATCACCGGACAGACAGCCTGTAATGCTGTATGTTGCCCTCAATATCATCGTAGTGATTCAGCTGACCTCTCGCGGTATCTCTGCATCAACGGGTTGCACGACAGCGACAAGAATGTTGACACCTGTGCGTTGTCTTTCGCGTCGATGGACGCTCAGAGTGGCTTCGAGCTCGGCTGATGCAATGCAGATACCCTGGCACCTCCCATGGGGTCGCAGATCCCGCAGTCCAAGTTTGGATACATGGCGCTGTGAGTCGATAGTCGGTAGGCACGGCGTAGCTCCGACAGGAGAGGTGAGCTTGGCTGACGCTCACAGGGGATTCGGTGCCGAAATGAGTATATTCTGCCTCACACCGATAGCGACAATGCTGACAAGGCCTAGCCGGTTCGCCCATGATCATCGGATGGCCGAGCTCGGACGGTAGCATCGTCCTGAGTCAGCGGCAAGCAAGCGGCCACAGCATGCCCCAAGGTCTGTCGAACTCCTGAACTGATGCGCGTACCTTGGCTGACGTATCCGCAGTGGTCTCTAGTCCCCCTCGAACAGCATCCCTTCTCGCCACCCAATCTTTCTCCAATTCCTCATCGACCAGCATCTCATTCACTGTCCCATCCAACTCAGATTCCACATCCAACGCTACCAGCCTGATCTGGGCTTACGGAAGCGACAATCCCGGCTCGTCCTCCTCAGCGAGCATTCGCCAGCACGTCGGCCACGGCACAATGACTCTCGCCCTCATGACGCCGATACAAGCGGCGAGTACATCCTCGTCCGGTACCAGCAACCCGTCTGCCATCGTGACGGTCTCGGACAAGTCGAGCGAGACGACCAGTCTCTCGAATCGACGCACAATTATCATAACGCATGCTGTGCTGGGCGCTGTTTCGGCCATGCTCCTGTTACCGCTCGGCATTCTGACTGCTCGTCTCGGCAGAGGATGGACGACGAGCAGGCTATGGTTCGCTGTACACGCCGTGCTCAACACATTGGCGGCCATCCTCGCAGCCGCCACCGCCATCTACGCCTCGGCCAAGCTCGACGTGGAACACGTCTCAGCTCATCCTGTGATTCGCACAAAGATATGACTCTCGGTCAGCTGCTGATGGTACAGGGGCTCGGCAAGGTCTTTGCTATCGGTGTCGCGGCTCAAGTTCTAATTGGCGCCAGTCTCCATTGGATCAAGCCTCGGCTCATCAAAACACCCGGCCGTGGGATCTACAACTATCTCCACGTCGCTGTCGGTCTGGCCGCCATAGCCGTTGGATTTGCGGCAGTGTATACGGGAATGAGGTTCGAGTGGCCTAACTACCTGGAGACTGGTGATATCGGGGTTGGGTGGATAGCAGGATGGGCAGTCGTGGTGGGGGTGAGTCTTGACGTTTGGGCCACAAGCCAAAGCTGACGAACAGGTCTTCTCGGTCGCTTACATCGCGGGCCTTGCTCTCCTACCAAAGCTGCTCCGGAAAGAAGCGTCGGCTCAGCAGTTGCGGGACGCGCCCGAAGGGTTTCCTCTTCAGCAGCAGCAGAAGCAGGCCCGTGCGGTGTAGTCTCAATCCTTAGGCTGATTCCAGATAGTACATGATGTCATACATCTGCATCGAGCCTCTGCCTGACTCCAATTGCAAGCGTGCTTGGTCTGGGCAGAACCAGTCTCACCGTGAAGACTTCAACGGTCTGTCGAGTGTTCTTGAGACATTTCTTCTCAGTCGCTCACTCCATCCTGACACCGACTGACCTAAAACGTGGATTGAGGCAGGCGGCCTGCTGCCGAATGGCCGACTTATACAGATATGATCACCCGAGGACCAGACTGGCATATGTAGACTTGCTACAATCATGATTCTTGGCACGTCCCGACCCCTACAGTCCCGGCAGCACGTGCCTAAGATCTGGACATGAGATTTAGCTCAGGGACGAGCAGCCCGATTACGAGAGAGATCGCCGGACCCGGCCCGCCTGCCTCGATTGTCCCTCCCTCCTTGCATCCAGGCCCGCTGGGCCCAGCTGCCCTCCGGCGCGTTCTTAGGCTCTTTAGCTGGATGCCCTATCACAGCTGCGGTGATCTAGCTGCTGTCGCCTTGGCGCCGGAGCCTCAAATGATCCGACTCTTACCCGAAATCTCTGTTGCTACTGTACAATCATCTGCGCAAAATGCTGGCAGCCTACACCGCCCTTGCCCTGCTGGCTCTCCAGGTCGGCGCTCTCATCACTGGGGAGAGCAGCTGCAACACCGTACGTAGCACCCTGCTTGGAGTCGCCAGATGTGTGATAACTAGCTTACTCAGCAGTACATGTGTGTGACAGGTCTACATGACAGTGACACGAATACGGACACCTGTGAGCCACTTCTGTGGCGTCCGATCAGCGGGACTGACGAGCTGCAGATACTCTGGCCCCTCCCAGAGGCTCACCCATTCCTCAGTCCCAATTCGGGTATATGGCGATGTGAGTTTCCAAATTGAAATGCAGCACCATAGCAGTTGCTGACAATTGTAGTGGCTTTGGTACGCAAATGGGTGAGAACACCGGTACCTCGGCCAAGCCTGACATACTAACGTGTTCAGGTGGCTCGCCTATGATCATTGGCTGGCCGGGCTCAGATGGCAGCATCCTCCTCAGCCAGCGTCAGGCCAGCGGCCACAGCATGCCTCAAGGTATGTCTTCTGCCTAGTCCCCGCCGCAACCGCCGAGTCCTGACCTCGAGCTGATGTGTGCAGTGGTCTCCAGCCCTCCTCGCGCGGCGTCCCTACTCCGCGCCCAGTCCTTCTCCAACACCTCATCCACCAGCATCTCCTTTACTATCCCGTCCAATTCCGACTCGACGTCCAACTCTACAAGCTTGATCTGGGCGTTCGGGACCGACAACCCCGGGTCATCTGCCTCGGCGAGTATGCGCCAACACTCTGGTCACGGTACTATGACATTGGCGCTCTTGACGCCTATACAAGCTGCTGCGTCGACATCAGCTTCGCCTTCAGGCTCGGGAACTAGTACGCCAGTCATCACACCCACAGGGGTCGTAGTATCGGACAGCAGCGGCCAGTCTGGTACCTCAGGCGGACGCAACGGCGTCATCTTGACGCACGTTGTCCTCGGCGCACTGGCAGCGATGGTTTTGGTTCCTCTCGGTGTATTGACACCGCGTCTCGGCAGAGGATGGAATACCAGCCGATGGTGGTTCCCTGTTCATGCAGTCTTGAACAGTCTGGGCGCTGTCCTCGCCATCGCGGCCTTTGGCTATGCCTCCGCCAAGTTTGATCGTGGTTACAACTCCACTCATCCTGTACGTCAATGTCCGGTATCTACAACAAGTCACACAGACTGACTTGACAGGCCCTTGGCTTGACATTCTTCATCTTGATGATTCTTCAAGTCCTCCTTGGAATTGGTGTACACTGGATCAAGCCCCGACACAATAAGACCTCGTCGGGTCTCGGCCGTGGACCAACCAACTATGTCCATATCGGTCTTGGTATCACCACAATGGCGATCGGCTTTGCAGCTGTATATACGGGCATGACAATTGAGTGGCCGCGATATTCGGGAAGTGGTGCGGTCGGAAGTGGGTGGATAGCGGGATGGGCTGTAGTGGTCGCGGTAGGCTGGACTGCCAATTTTATGAGGAGGGGAGGCTGATCAACCAGGTCGCCTCGGTGGCATATATCGCCGGTTTCGCTCTCCTGCCCAAGCAGCTGCGGAACGAGAAGGCCGCCCAGGAAGTAGAGACGATCAGCCATACTACCAGTGCAGGGGAGAAGAGAGCCTGAGACTGTAATAGAGGCTTCGGGGGCTCATTTTTGGCTTGTAGATGTGTTTGTAATTGATCTCGGGTAAGCATCTTGCTTGATGGTGTGGTGCATGTAATCTAGCTAGTCTATGCACAGCGCGCGAACGCGCAAGATCGTAAGCTAAATCAAAGTCACGCTCGTCTCCGCCGCTGCATCATCCACGACGGGTCCCTCATCCTCAAGCTCCTTTGGCCGATCAAGAACCTGGCGATGCAAAGTATCGACCAGGCTTTGCCCTTTACGGACGTAGCAGAGCAATGCGGGATTGGCGTCGTCACCTGTTCGATCTTGCAGCACCTCGGATGATGGTACTTCGGTGACCGTCTCATCGTTGTACTTGAAGAATTTCTCGGCTGCGACTATCAGCTGTATACCTCCAGCATCAGCTAGAAGACGTACGGTGATCAGGTAGATGTGCTTGGTAGGTCCAGTAATGCCCAGCTCCGCTAGTCTTGCCTGACCGATCAGCTTACATCAACGTTCAGAAGAACGAAGCCAACTTACCCCGGTGCATGAACACCGCAACCAGCTCGTACTCCATCTCCCTCTCCTCCTTCCACACCTCGTCCAACTTCGCCTTCGTCTCGCGCAGCCCCACCTGCAACCTCTCAATTTCCTCCGAGACCCTCTTCTCCTCATTCTCCAGCGCCGTGAAGAAGTCCGGGGCCATATCCAACTCAGGCATATCCTGGATCTGCTGTAAAGCCTCACGGACGTGCTTGAATGTAGATGGCATCGAGAGGGGCTTGCGATCGCGCAGCTGATGTAGGCGAGAGCGAGTGTCGGTCATGGTTCGTGTGAGGAGGATGGAGGCGTCACGTTTCTCGGGGTTGGCAGTGGCGAGGAAGCGGTCCATTTGGAGGGTCTGCCCAAAGGGGATGTGGGTGTTGGTTTTACGTTCCCGGCCGGTGGCGATGTCGTATTGAGAGCGCTAGATATCAGCTTGGTTCCTAGCAGATCAACGTATCACTCACCCTCATTTGGATATACAGCATGGGCGGGAACTGATCCATCAAGTCCATGATGTACCCCTTCTTCCCCTCGTACTCGATCTCGCTCCCCTTCAGATACAGCTCGCCCAGACAGTCATACAGATCCTTGCCTTCCTCCTCTACCCCGATGATAGGGTGGACAAAGACCGACTCGACTGGCGCCTGACCCTCGGAGTTACCCTCGGCCGATTTGAAGAACATCTGCTGCTTGTACTTGCACGAGAAGAGTCTAAATATCAGCTTGACCCCTCTTCTCCTGAGAAAACGGAGCTCACCCTGATATGAGATTTTGCGCCGGCGCTTCGCCCTCAGCCGCTCCTGGGTCGAACGCAAGCTCCAGCTGACTCAGCACATTGATGAGCACCTCAGCTGAATCCTGCTGCAGCCCGAATCGCAGGCCCGAGGCTAGTGTCGAGTCGCGCCGTCCTGGTCGGGCAGGTAGAGGAGGGGGTACGGAAGGGGCATCATACATGACGACGTCCTCATCTGCGGGTGGTGGAGGATCGTCGACAGTTGGTGCAGGTGGTGGTGGCGGGAAGGGAGTTACGGTAGACTGGTCTCCAATTCTTTCGTCAACGGGGACGAGGGAGAGATCCGCTAGATCAGGAGCTGTCGACGGCGAGCTGGAGCGAACCATCTCGTATCCCTCTGATATTGCATCGTGATCCACGGAGATTAGGTCAGGACCTTCTGACTTGCGCCTCGCTCGCTCAGCGGGCGAAGTGTCCGAGAAGGAGTCCCGGTCCTGGCTTTGCCGCTTTCCGAGTATCGTACGAGTATGCTCTGCGAATGGGTCGCTGTCGTCCATAGACTGGTTCCATGGCACGTCAACGATATCGGGCGTGTAAGGCCGAGATGGGGTTGGCGTGGCCACGCGGGTGGAGGAGGGGGAAGGGATGTCGGGGATGGAGTCGAGAGTAGGGAAGGCAGACGCAGTGGTGGTCGGGCCGACTATGGCGTCTACCTCTGGGCGAGTGATGGCGAGGTAGGCGAGCTCTTCATCTGGCCGAACGGCTGATTGCTCCGACTTGTATAGCTGAAGGAAGAGGAGGCGAAGCTGGCGCACGACTGACGCTGTCAGCTATTTTTGCCCTGCATAAATGTATCCGCGAACTTACATCGCCGGGATCTTTCCGCTTCGGCCTTGCGAGGCATGAAGTCCAGAGGATCCTGCTCAAAGTTCATCACGGCATCGCGGAGGGGCGTGATCGAGTATAGGTACTGCAGAATGGAGTTGAGATAACTAGATATCAGCTAGACTCCAGGTAGCGAACCGAGGGATCAGACCGACCAAGTGTTTCTGATATATCAGTTGCGATTCTTTGGAAAGGTAAAATCAGACTCACCCGATATTTTGCAGGCCAACCGGTATATCCTGCCTTGGCGGCGGAGCTACCACTGGCGCAAGTCAGCTTGATCTCTACTGTGAGGAAACATACGAAGCTCACCCATTGCACCTGTCTCCAAAAAGGTCTTGATACCCGGCCGTTCTTCGCCCTGAGCTGACGCAATTATGGAGAGACATGTTCGGTAGTGGTCTTTCTTGCCAGGGAAGTCGCCGACCTAGCTAGTCAGTCCGAGCTACCAGCCAAAAACACTGATACTTACAGCCATCTCATATTGCCTGTCGAATCAGCCGAGGCTCGTTGAGACTGTTGCAGCAGACTTACATGATCAGTCCATCATCGACAGCGTCCCTTGGTGCGCCAAGCGCATTATACGCATCATCCACCGACATGACCGTCTGCCCCCTTTCGCCCATCAGCCGCATCTCGTCAGACCCCCTAGCCTGCCCAATCAACGCCAGCGCCCGACTGAGGACACCTCGATCGGCCAGACTGTACGCCTTCTGAGTCGCCGCCTTGTGCAGGTCGTAGATGTGCGAGTCGGGTGCTTCCTCCGCGGATACAGATATCAGTTCGGCGTACTCGTTGTTGTAGCCAATAGCATTGTAGGCGGCGGCGACATCATCTGGAAGATCAGCTATGTAAGACACGTGGAAGATGTAAAGCTAACCCGAAGTGTATTTGCCCAACGAGCGCTCCACTACCAGCTTCATCTGAAGACTCTCCTTCCCGGTGACCTGCTGATCCGAGATGATCTGAAGTGCACCGAGGTACTTGGAGGTATTCCGCGAGTCGCACGATATCTGGAGGTCGTACGCCTTGTCGACAGTCCCGGAGACATCTTGGTAAGAGACTCCGAGGAGATGGCAAGATTCCCGGGCTGCCGCGGGATAGCCGTTCAGCACTAGGGATCAGCTTGTGCCGCACTGAAAGACGCACTTTTTGGATAAGCCTTGATGTTGATCTCAGGCAGAGAGTCCTCGAGGGTCTTGACCGTGACGCAGCTCATGCCGGACGTGAACGTTCCTGCTAGTCAGCTTGGTCGACCAAGTACTCCTGTACATACCTTGACGATGACAATAGGAAGTGAGGAACGCCTGCATCTCTAGCCAGACACGCATCATGTACCGGTCCATCTGCTGAACATCCGAAGCGGTGATGTGCTCTCCTTTCGAGTATGGTCCGACTCGGAGATGTTCGGTCTCTTGTCGACACCCAAAGCCGACATGATACAGCATCACAGAACTAAGAAGATCAGCTGTGCACCCGTGGATGAGCGAAATAAACCCACATGGCTTCCGACATGCCCAAACATTGTTGGAATCGACGATTGTCCAGCTTGATCCAGCCCCGCTGACCCTTGAAGAGAGCGTTACTGAGTAGCCTGGATCATCAGCATTTCTCGACCAAATGAAGATAAAATTCACAAGATGAGCATGTTCCAGGCATCCGCTACGCTCTGTTTTCCCTCAATGCCGGGACCAGGATTGGCACATTTTTCTGACGAAAAGGCCAACGCGAGCGCTTTTGGCAGTTGTCCTGGAATCAGGTCATCGACCTGAATCCACCAGTCTGACGAGCAGCTGACAAATAGCCGAGATGGCTGGGTGGGTACGTCAAAGGACTCCCAGGCCGGATCGATGAGAGACGCCATCTCGAGATGAGGAAAGGCGTTGTCGTCGACGTGGTCATTTGGGATACGATCCAGCCGTTTTTCGCGGGTGGGGTAGAGGAGGGTCTGGAATTCATGTAAATGGTGTTCCGTGGGGTCGGCGAAAGGTATAGCGCTTTTGAGATCTTTGAGCCGGGCGTACTCGGCGTGGCGCTTGGACCGCGCAGCCGGTATATCGTCGACGGAGGTGATACCGGGATATGTCAGTCCCTCCGAGATCCCACTCTGGATGATCGCCTCCCACTGCTCCATATCGTCCACCTCCGGCAGATCCCCGTGCCTCGCCACAATCCTGATCCATCCCCAGCAGGTACCGCAAAAGTACCAATCCCCATACCCCTCTTCTCCGCCTGGGCATGCATCCCATACGTCCGCCTGCGTACATATACGCTCGTAATCCGGTAATGACGGTTCTATAGCGGGTTTTGTAGCGGTGAGTGGGGAGGTAGGGATATCGGTGGGGGTTTGGGTGGTTGGGTCCTCTGAGGGTGGAGGTTGAGGTTTCTTGGCTGGTGGTTGGGGTAGTTCGGTGATGTGGGGTTGAATGAGCTCATGTCCGTGGACCAGCTGAAGCCATCGCCGAGGCAGGACCCCCGGCCCAATCTGCGGTCTCTCCATCCTCGACGGCCCCTCGTCCAAGTCCATCCGATCGTCCGGATATCCCCGCACGCTGGACTGCCAATGACTGATACCGGCCGTATCCGGTAGGTCATGGACATTCCGTAGGGGCGAGACAGGCATGATGAAGTCATCATCCTCCATATATCCCTCGACTACGCCAGGAACATACCCCGGCGGATGTTCCTCCTCCGGCTCGATGACAGCTTCTGGAGGGCGGTATGGAGCATGTGGTGTGTCCGTTTCCGTGTCGTCAATGAGTTTGGCGTCTTGCGTAGGTGCATCATGGATGTCCATGCCGAGGATGGAGGCCTGCGCCTTGGGCGTTTTGGACGAAGTGTAGACGCTCGTACGTGATGATCCGGGCCGGTCCCTGTCGTCCCGATCAACGTTCTGAGACAGCGGGGGCAGAGGGGTAGCCAGCTCTGAGTTCGAGCGGGATGGAGGGGACCGCGGACCGAGGGGCTTTGCCTTGCTGGGTTTGGTAGGGGACCCGCTGGGACCGGACGAGGCGAGGTGGGCATTGGAGTAGGTGGAATTCATGGATGCCGACTTTGAGGGAGAGCGAGATGGCGAGCGAGGTCCGACAGGCTGAGGGGGTACGTCCTGCGTCATACTGCGGGGTCAGCCTCAGCTCTGCGGTATGCCATCATTGGGAAGGCAATGAAGGGCTCGTATGATCAAGCCAAGCGGACTGACCTGGCTGTAGCTCCTGAGCTGATCCCAGTCCCCACTCGTTCTAATGCCCAGATGTCAGGCTATATAGCTGTACCGCTGTTGTATATGAGCAGACTGACGATACTATCTACTTCGCTGCCTGATTGTGAGTTATCATCGCCTCGAAGACCTCCACCGCCGTCAGGTCCGAAGCAGCGGGACCAAATCTGGCTCTGCTTCTCAACCTCGCTCAACCCTTGTCCATCTTGCATACATACCATATACTATACTACCTATACCACCAATCCAAAGCGCATACCAGCGGAGAGTATAGCTTAACCACTTCTAGATCGACACACTCGAAAAAAAATCAAATCTGGAGCAGCAAAAATGGCAAAACGAGGGGCGGAAGAGCAAATTACCAAAGATGGGCGGGATGACAGCGATGAGGAGAACGAGGAAGATGTGAGTTCAAAGCCTTCAGACCTCCAGGGACGCAGCTGATGTGGTAGCCTGGGGTCCGTACTCAGCCATTGGCGCCTGTAGAAGGCCGACAGTGGGTCTGATCTTCAGTACTTGCCCGCACTAGCTGATCGTCCTCAGGGTCAGACCGATGCCAAAGCGAAAGGGTCTGGGGAATGGAGCACCATCGGTGAGTGCTACCTGCCATATAAGATGGCGGAGCTGACTCTCAGGCACCTGGACCAATAGCCCCTGCCGCAAAGTCCGCCTTCTCTGGCTTCTCATTTGGGGCTCCAGCTGCCGCAATACCGAGTGCTCCCGGCGCCGGCCGACCTGCTCTCTTCGGCTTCGGTGCGCCTGCTGCTGCTCCTGCTGATGCATCCGCATCCGCCGCCCCTCCGAAGCCATTCGCGGGCTTCTCCTTCGGACCGGCAGCGCCTTCAGCGCCTCAGTCCGACGCCTTTTCGCCTACACCATTCAGCTTTGGTTCACCCATCGATATCGCGGGCGCTAAGGCTGCAGCAGCAGCACCGCTTTCTGTAGCACCCGCACCTCCCTCTGCCTCTGGTCCCGCATCGTCGACGAACGGAGCTCCAACAAACCCCTTCGGAAACTTCGGATCGGCGGCGCCCAAAGAACCTGCACCACCGGCAGAAGGCGAGGTATCTTACTACACCGCTTTGCGCGGACTCAACACCGCGATCTCCTCGTTCTTGGCTACATCCATCCGGGACGATCCCTTCCTGGACCTCAGGCAAATTCTGCCCAGTCTCGCCAGGCAATACGAGAAACACCTCGGCACCGCGGCGAAGAGCGCGGAATGGCGGCCTCTAGCATTGAACGCTCCGGTCACCATGGGGATCAAGTTCTCTGAGCCAGCGTCAGCGCCCGCCAAGATGCCGGTCCCACCAGCAACGATCTCCTGGAAGCTTCCGGCAGCCACATCCTCGCAGCCACCCGCGAGCGGTGGCTTCATCCCCACACTCCCCGCTGGCGCGTCTAGCACCCCTTCCCACCCCTTCGCCAACTTTGGCAAGCCGGCCGCTACTGCCACTCCTACCGCACCGGTCAAGGCTCCCGAGCCACCAAAGGCGAAGCCCTCGGCCGAGGTTAGCCAAGTCGTGCAGGACGTTCTCGCTGAGAAGCCGCAACCCATCCCGGCCGCACCACCCTCCAATCCCTTCTCATTCGGCTCTCCGTCCGCAGCGGCCCCCACACCCCCGGCGTCAGACACAAAGAAGCCCGCACCTCTCTTCTCGTTCGCCCCATCCGGTCCTATCCACCCCACCACCCCCGACAGCAAAACCTTTACTCCCTCCAAATCCGTCGAAGAGGCGTCACCTGCCCGTTTAGGCAAATTCGGTCCGGGTGGAAGTCAGCCGCAGCTTAGCTTTGGCGGGGCCAAAGCTAGTCCTGCGGCGGCCAGCGCTGCCACCGCTTCCAGCAAGCCATCCTCATTCGGCTTTGGCGCAGCTACCGGTGGGTCAGCTGCCCCTGCTTCGTCCAGCGCAGGGACCGGCTTCGGCTTTGGCTTCGGTGCCACACCGGCCGCACCTAGCCAGCCTGCTCCTTCATCGAGCTTCTCCTTCAACGCTGCCCCCGCTGCCCCCGCCGCACCAGCCGCACCATCATCGTCTACCTTCTCATTTGGCACTCCCGCTGCTCCTCCCGCTTCGGCCGGCTTCTCCTTTGGCGCCAAACCCGCCGAACCGCTCAAGGCCACTTCCTCCTTCTCCTTCGGGTCAGCCGCCACCTCCACTCCCGCATCCTCCAGCACGCCCGCAACGGGCTTTTCTTTCCAGCCATTCACCGCCACCTCCATGTCGGCCAACCCCTCGTCCGGATCTACCGGGTCCGCGCCGACCAACACTGAGGAGGGCGGAGATGACGCACCACTGGCGTCAGGCGAACCGAGCCTCAATCTCGCAGCGAGCGGAGGAAAGGGGGAGGAGAATGAAGATACGGTGTTTGAGCAGCGAGCGAAGTTGTCCAGGCTGGTGGATGGGGCGTGGAAGGCGACGGGACTCGGAGTGTTCAGAATGAAGAAGGCGAAAGAGAACGGAAAGAGGCGATTGTTGATGCGGACGGACCCAGGAGGAAATGTTATCTTGGTAAGTCAAGTACCAGAGCGTGCAGGGAGAAACGCTGATCTTGCAGAATATGGCCGTTACCACATCCCTGAACCCGACGGTCGAAGGGAAAAGGGTCCAATTCTTGGGCTTTGATCATGATGGAAAGGCGGCGAGCTATCTGCTTCTGGTCAAGACTGCAGAGTTGGCGAATCAGGTGGCGGAGAATATCAAGAAGGAGGTCGAGGAGGTCAAGAAGGGATAATCTGCCTAATAAAGCTTGGGTGCGACCATGTAGCCTGCTATTTTCTGATCTTACAAGCTGCTGATGTACCACTCAGAGGATTTGCATCACTCCAGTCACTGAATGCCCTTCGGCTCCAGCCTTCGATGAGGCCTTGCCGGTCTCCAACCCCTTCCGCAATCATGTGTCTTTCCTATCCTGACCCTCCCGGTACGCCCTACTCAATGTCATCCATGATGTCTGGCTGATCAGCTTGTGTATTTTTGGCGGAATGAGACGAGCCGACTGACACTTTCCCAGATCGGAGCCGCTCCACCCGCACGCCTCGCACATCGGGGCTTCATGGATATCGAGAATCTCGAGGTTGTCCTGCACGCGCAGATCGCTCGGCAGGTCGCGGGTGGCCCGATTGGTCATGAAATATGCTGACAGTGTCCCTGACCGACTCCGTCAGAGATTGGAGCACGCTGTCGGTGACGCGCAGGAAGGTATCTTCCGGAAGGAATGGAGAGTAGAATCCGCCGGTGATGTTCCAGTCCGGGACATCACGGCGTGCATCCTCCCCCGCTAACCGGACCCGTTCGACTATGCACTCGTGGGCGGCGTCCAGGAGCCATGATGACACGAGGGTGCCAAGCGACCTCGCTTCTGGCGGGAGTGTGTGGGAATACCAGCGGCTCCGCATCCCCAGGAACATCTGCGGGGGATCTGAATCGAGCAGTGAGGTATGAGTCGCGATGGTGGGGCGATTGGCGTCCTTGTCGCACGTCGGCGATTGGCGTCCTTGTCGCACGTCAATCGCCTCAAGTTGTGCCCGCCGAACGACAGTGGACCGGTCCCGGTAACGCAGTAGTGTTTGATCGACGGGGAATGAGCGACAAAGTTGAGCAGGGCCGTCTGCGCCGTCCGATAGAAATCCCAGAGCGCCTGCTGGGAGAGACTTCCGCTTCTCTGCCCTTCCTCCGCCTCCTCATCTTGCCCGAAGATCGCCCCGATGCTCAATGTCTCGAGTGACATAAAGATCGGCTTGGGGCGATCTCCTTCCATGATCTCCCCCCATGCCCATTCAAGCTGTACCGCCTCCCTCAGACTCTTTCGCACCGCCTTTATCGACACCTCGTGATCCCAGGGTGTCGCCAGCCGTCCCCGCAATTCCGCCTCCATCTCGGCAACCCTACTATCCACCCCTTCCACGAAGGTACCGCTTGGGGCGAGACCGTCCCGCTTGTCCGAGTACTCCAGGTATAGGTGCTTTATGCGGTCGAAGAGTTCGCGCTTGGGGGTGAGGCCTGGAACAGGCGGATCATTGACGCCGCGCACAAGTAGTGGTAGGGAGTCCGCGATAATGATGGGGCCGTACAGCAGGGTAGAAGCTAGACTGTACATGTCCTGCTCCAGTCAGCTCGAGCTCATGCTGGATCATGGAGTGTAGCACGCACCCTGTTCACGCGCATACAAGCAGCTAAAGTTGCCTGGCGGGACGCAGATCTTTGCGGGGGAGGGGAAGCATGGGGTCGTGGGTTCGAATTTTGGGCGAAAAGCAAGACTTCCAGCAGAATTTCCTTTGGAAGCTGCGTCATGGCGCAGTCAGAAGCTGATGTAGTCGAGTGAAGACCGGCGAGGGACAAGCTCGCAAGGTGGACGTTGTGATGAGTGAGTGAGTGAGTGAAAGGCTAGAGATGCTTGATGCAGGCGAGGTAGCTACATATTACCGTAGCTCGGAGGTCCGTGCGTTCGCCTTTCATGCAGTGGAGGGCTCAAGCGTCCCAGCGCTCAGCTTTGGGCTCGGCGATGGAGACTTGGAGCGCTTCTGCTCTCAGCGCTCTGACCGATGACAAGACATATGCGTGCTCCTAGCCATACTTTTGCATACTGAGCCCGAGATGTCCGCTTTCGATGATAGATATTAAAATTGTTTGTTGTGAGGACTCATCAAGCCGGCGCGGCACACCTCCCGCCGCCATGTTGTGACACAGTACTGCTCGACATCAGCTGGATTTCAACTACGAGCTCCGTCCAGAGTGATGGAACTCACCAGTCAAGGCCTCCCAATCAACATACAGCTGTCACGGGAACCGGTGGGCGTTGTCGATCAGATACCGCGTCCACCCAACCGGGCGGCGCGCAGTTTCCCCACTCCACCCGCACGCCGCACACCTCGCGTCCAGCAGCGTCTTCATCTCCCACCTATCCTGCACCTCCATCCCTTCCGGCAATCCCTCCTTGCCAGCCGCTAAGATCTCGTCGATCAGTCCCTGCTCATACTTCGCACTTTCCCCCCACTTGATCTTCTGCGCCTCCCTTTCCGGATCCGCCTCCGCTTCGGGAATGCCCAGATACAGTCCGCCAGTGATGGTCCAGGCGGGAGAATCGCTGGGTAGCTGGGCGGTATACTTGGGATCGGACGCGTGCTGGCGCCGCATGTCGAGGAGGTTGCGGACGTGCTGCCGAGTGTCGGAACTGGCTTCGTCGTCTTGCGAGCCGTCAAGCCAGTCATCGTAGGTATGAACGATCCAGCTCGTCCGGCGACCGATACAGCACGGCCGTAGCTCCGGACTCTGGATGGACGAATGAGTGCTGATACTGTACTCCACGCCGGGCGGACCCTGCCGGCAGGGAAAGAAGAGAGTGTCGTCGTCCCAGCTCAACAGGCCTGGCGTCTGGCAGACCCGCTGCAGTGACAGACACTCTTGAGCGAAGCGCAGTACAGCCTCCTGGCAATCCCCCAGGAGCGATCCCCACTTCACACTGTAATCCGCCTTGGGCCAAGAGACGCCCCTTTGTAAGCCCGTCATACCCCCTGTCGAAAAGGTTCGGAGTTTGGGGAAGACCTCGTTGACGCGGTCCGGCAGGATGGTCTCCCACGCCCGCAAGATCCCCTCCGCCTCCCTTATCCGCAAGATAACGTCCCGGAGATCAGGCGTATCGATGACATCTTCCTTTTCCGCGAGATGTCCCGCGACTTCCTCTGGTGAGACCGACAGCCGGTCGCCCGCTCCGTGCGAAAAATCCAGGAAGAGTCGCTCCGTTCGGTTGAGAAGTTGAAGCTTTGAGTATACACCACCGACGCCGGGATTGAACACGCCGCTGAGGAAAGCCGGTAGGGAGCGAACTGCGGGAGTTTTGTATAGAAGAGGACCAGCTATATCGTGCATCGTCTATATCTGTCAGCTATCGGGTTCATCGACCCAACATATCACTTACTTTGCTCACTCTCAAGCATGCGTAAAGACTACTCTGACGTGCAGCGCAATCTGTCTTGATCCAATCCGGGGAATGTGTGATGGGGGGCCCGCTGAGATAGGTGAGTACCTCCTCCCAGGTCTCCGGACTGAGAGGTGGGCAGAGGGGCTTGTCGTGCAACGACATGGCTGCTGAGAGGGAGGAGAGGGAAGAGAAGAGACAAGCCAACAGGGGCCAAGCCACCCAGGGCCCACTGACTGCGGAGATGTCAAGCTGTATCTCCGCCAACTCCACATTCCTCATGCCGGCAAGTCGCGTCGGAGAAAGTGAACGCGACGCACGATCTTCTAGCTTCCTCACTGCACTTCGTCTCGCTTCTGTGCGATCAACATGAGCACGGCCCCTCCTGCCAAGCGCGCTCGAATCCTCAACTTCACCCAAACATCCTCCTCCACCATACCTCCTCGCCAGATTCCCGTCCCCGCCAACTGCGAGATCGCCGCACTCACCGCTCCTGCATGTCGCACCCTCATCATCGCCATGCTGGCTGCCCACCCCTCCCTCGCAGGTCTCGCGCGCGCCCACATACAAGCGGCCAAAGATGCGCCCCCCAAGCCCAAGGCTCGCCCCTCCGCAAACGAGCTCTACAAGCGCGTCGCAAAACACTTCGATAAACAATATTACTACCTGTCGGCGGAGGAGCAGGGGATCGCGGCGGTGAAGATAGAGAGCTCAATCTACGCGGCTGTCGATGGCATCGTAGATGGCACAGTCGCTAGAGGAACGTACGAGGCGCGTACTCGGGCATTTGATGCGTTGTGGGACATAGCGTGGGTTGGGACATAGCGTGGGTTGGGACATAGCGTGGGTGGTGGTGCAGAGCGGAGAGGATGGCATCATTTCGTTCATCATCGAGCATGGTTGCATCGAGGCGGTAGCGCGGGAGATGTCGGTGATAGGGAGGATTATGATGGATAGAGGGGAGGTGAAGCGCAACAATGACGAGAATATCGGTACAATGTTGAACGGCACGGAGCGATTAAGTATAGCATATCGAGAGAAGGAGGATTGTCTTGTATTTAAAGATGTCGTAGCTGTGCTCGGAGGTCAGATCAGAAGAGATTCGGAGGAGGACGCGGACGAGGATAATAATGAAGGGCAGTCAGGCGTAGAGTAGTCTATGCAGCGGGGATGGATAGAGAGTTTCTCGCTCAATGCACCCTTGTTCTTTGGCACCGTGTGAGTTGAGCTCAGCGATTCTGGACCCATGACTGTTCGGGACTTCTCCCTGGATGCATGCAGGTCAGAGACTAGGCGAGCAATCCAACAGCGCGTCCGAATTTATCCCTGTTATCGTCAGCTCACGACCACACAGCGAGAAGGCATCATCACTCACGCCAGCACGCTTTCTTCCCAGCGGTTTCGGGACTTTGCTGGACGTCGGCAACGAGTTGTGAAAGTCGACATTGGCTTGGACATGGTCATCCCATCCCGGCGGCCGCCTTGCTCCATCTCCTTCCCCACTCCAGCTACATGCGGAACACTTGGCCTCGGGAAGCGACTTGACTTCCCAGAGATCCCGCACCACCATGCCCCTGGGCAGGTCTGTTCCCCCCACCCGCACCAATTCCGCCACTGAAGCATTGAGTTTCGCCGCGCCCGCCAAGCACGCTTTGGTGGCCTCCTCCCGTGTCTTCCGGCCGTAGGTCTCCGGTACGCCCACGTATAGACCGCCGAGGATACTCCAGTGGGAGACGACCGGGTCTTCCTCGGGCTCTAGATCTTCCAGCAGATCGAAGCGATCAACAAGATGTTGACCTATCACTTCTATCGCCTTTTCGCCCACATACTGCTCAATGCCGCTCTGGTACATGTCGTCGTTGCTGTGGAGGATCCAGCGCGTGGGTGTGCTGAAGCAGGTAGGGTAGAGAGCGGGAAGCCCGTAGACCGTGGAGTGGGTCGTAATGGTGAGCCGGCCAGTGCTCTCGCCGCGAAAGGCTGTGACCGAGAAGGGACCGTCACCGCTTTGACAGAAGCTGGCGAGATTGGGCAGCGACACGATGAAGTCATGTAGCGTATATTGGCAGGCCCGCACGAAGGCGCTCCAGGCTTCCGAGGCCGTTGTATTGGGCCACTGGATTGAGGTTATGTGCGTACCGCGGAGAGCACCGATTGAGAGGGTGTGGAGCTTGGGGAAGACGTGAGCCCCTGGGATTGACATGTCGAGGACGATCCGCAAAGCCCGATGGACTCCCTCCGCCTCTTCCATGCGCCGTACCTCCCCGATTGTCCAGTCCATAGAGGTGGCGTCACTTGAGGACGAGCGAGCAATGCACGCCCGGCGCACCTCGGCCTCGTCGACCTCAACGCTGTGGTCTTCCTCCTCGAGGAAATCGAGGAAGAGCCTCTCCACTCGGCCGAGGAGGGAGAGCTTGGAGTCGAGACCGTTGACAGGCACCGCGTTTATACCCACTACGAATAGGGGGAGGGACCGGACGGCAGGATACCGATAGAGGAAGGGGGATGAGAGCTTGCTGAATGTCTGCATTATCAGCTCGAGACTCTATGTTGTTACTACGACCAGTAGGGATCATCTCACCTTCGACGTCCGTACAAGAGCAGCCAATGCAGATTGACAGCTAGGTCGAGCAGGCTCCGTCCAGCATGGCCTGTGAGCGACAGGCAGTTCGCAGAGATTGGAGAAGATGAGTGTGAGAAGTTCGAGTGGCAGCGAGCGGCCATACTGGCTGCTGTAATCCGTTCCAGGTTGCGGCAGTGACGATATCATCGCTGCAGCAAAGATGATGGAGGTGTTTGAGGGAGAGGTGATCTCTTGGTAACCCGAACTCAGCTTGCAGGAAGATTTGCATGGGGATGGTTCCGACGGAGTCAGTGGAACTCAAAGCCCCCGCATACCTCACTGCCTAGACACGCTCGCTGTGAAGGGAGCATGCTCCGCCTGTAGCTGCCGGACGTTATCACCGCGGGAGGACGAGGCTCGGTATACAAGTGCATTTATATATAATCGTCGAACTCAGCTTAAAACAAAAGATAAAGTATCAAAGTCGTACCGCGCTCTTCGCCTTCCCGATCTAGGGTCCCGTTGCCCCCTACGCTTCCCGATTGCACCGTGTCGGGGTTCTCTACGCTTATTCCAGCCGACGTGAGTGAGGAGGGATGTAGTGTGTGCAGGAGGTATGTCGAGGTCGTTGAATCGCGGACGCAATAGCAAAATCCAGAGTTGTCCGATTCTCACCGTCCTGCGGATCAGCTGCGGTTGAGGTACACAACTTGAGTACGACATACCTATATCTCCAGGTGACCATCCGCACGACCCGCATTCGTCCGCATCGAACAACCGACGGAAGACGAGCTTATCTCCAGCCCGAGTCAATCCGCCTTCCCCACCCGGCTTGCTGATCAGATCCCACAGCTCCTTCTCGATTTCTCGCGCTGTCTGCCGCCACTTCTCTTTGCCCTCGTCGCTAAGCTCAGCAGGCTTGTGCGTAGACCGCAACTGCGCAAAGACCTGAAGGTGGAGGGGGCGTGTGGGGTTGAGTGAAGCCTTGGCCGCCCGGTCACGGACCCTCCATACCCTGAGGACGACACGGCGAACAGCTTCGTACGTGCTAGGCTGAGCCCCGCTCTCGTCCAGACGATGGTGGTAGATCGTACTTTCTCCGCCGAGCCGCAGGGTCTGATTTGGGGAACGCACCGGGTCCCCGTGGGTAGCCACGCCGAGGCGGGCCAAGCTTTCATGTGTGCGTTTGGGGGGATACCGCTGGTCGCTCAAGAATAGAGGTCCCCAGGTGGTATGGCAAAAGTGCTCGAGACCGGCGTGGGTGGCGACAAAGTCGAATAGCGCAGTCTGTGCTCGGTCATTCAGGAGCTGAATCTGGGGAAACGGAGCGGCGGAGTACCAGTGTGGACCGCGAGGAAGGTATGTTTCGGTCGAGAGTGTGCGAAGAGACCGCAGTAATGTTGGCCGCAGCTGGATGACGTCCCAGGCAGCCGCCAGTCCTTCCGCCTGCTCCCTCGCCTGTAGCTGCGACCACATCTCACGATTGGTCACGTGCGAGGGCTTGTCGAGCGTATCCTTCCGCCCCATAATCCTCTCCCGTCTATCGTTTGGTGTAGTATCTGCCTTCAGAGATATCTCGGCGTATTCGATAGATAGCCGTGCCGATTGAGCTCCGCTTTCGACGTGGTATCTGGAGTAGGATGATTGTTCGCCCCGGTGACGAGGTCACGAAGCGAGTCGACGATGATTGAGTGGTACAGGAGGGGAGCTGCAGTGTTGTAGAATTGCTACCCCGTCAGCTACTACGATCTCATGCTTTCAGAAAAGGACATACCTTGTCTACGCGAAGACACGAGCAAAGATCTGGTTGGCGAATGGACGACCTGATATTATTGCGGGAATGGGGGATAGGTGCCGGCCGAAGTAGCAGGGCTATGATCATGCTCCAGATCTCTGGCGGTAGCGACGATGAAGAGAACATATTCCAAATACGCCAATGAGCAGGAGAAAGGTCGATGTCAGAATCAGGATCGAAGCTCGAGGAGCTGTTGGTCGCGGAGCAGAAGCAAGTTGCCTAATCGGGTAATTCAAAGGCGTTTCGGGTCGCCCCTCTCATAGTCTCCTCCTGAGGTCGTTCTCACGATCTAGCGAGATGCCACTGGTCAAGCAAGTCTGCAAAATGTTCGTAAATCAAACTATATCAATGATCTTCTATAATTAAGTAAGTATACTCGAAGCTAGATATATCGTTGAAATCACATGCTCCCCCCCCCGCACAGCTCCCAGCGCAAGCCTTAACGTTTCCCCCATCCCCGTCTCAGATCCTCCATCTCGCCGAGATCACCGTCACTTCAGATCCACCTCGCTAATGCCGGAGATTGCGTATGGACGAGCTGGGCGAGAGGTGAGGCTCAGAGCGGGGCACAGAGGACAAGTCTCGCCATGATCATCCCGATGGATGATACGCTGGAAGCTTCGTCAGCTACTGCCCATGTCGTAAAAGCCCATAAGTACCAGGGGCTCACCTCCAGCTCCTGATATCAGGCCTGATATCCAGGAACAGGCACCGCATGGCGGAGCATCCGCCAAGATCTTGACGTCCATACGGTCAGGGAAGAACCCTCCCGGCTCGAACGTCAAGCGCCTCTCGGCCATCATGCTCCTGATCATTCTCTCAAATTCCGCCGCGGTCTCCCTCCAACTGTCAATGTCTTCCTCCCTGTATTCCCTATCGACTGCGCCGGGCTCCAGGACGTTGAGGTACAGTTCCAGGTGATGCGAGGCAACGCGCAAATAGAAAACGCTACCATGTGGCAGTGGCGTTGCGCCGTGAGGGCCGGAATGGGCGATGATGCGCCGGATGGCGTTTAACGCCAGGTCCCAACCGACAGCCAGGTCGTCGATATAGATTCGGACTGTCTGGTCGGAGTGGAGAGTGAAGGCCAAGTCGGCTTGATCCGACGAGAACGACAGGTGCGTGTTGACACGAGGGCCGCGGTGATGAAAAAAGTCGGGCTGAATCCGCAGTGAGCCTGGCCGCGTGGTACAATAGCTCTGCAGGGTGTGTGTGCCGTGCACGAAATCGGAGAGCTTGCGACTAGCGCGGGCGACCTCGCGTCTGACCGGCAGGGGGAATGGGGAGTCAAGCGTGGCCGACCTCCGCACGCGCGGCAGAAACGTCTCAGTCCCGAGAGTGTGTAGGGACGTGAAGATGCGTTCCGTCCGAGGCTTGGGGTTCCCACGAACCAAGAATCCTCATCCACGCTGAGTTGAGATCTTGAGCCTCCTTCATCCTCTGCAATTCCGCCCATACCTCTTCCAGCTTGTAGACCGTGCTGCTGATATGTGCTGCCATGCGCTCTTCGAGCGCCTGACGTACGTGAGGAGGGGCGTCGGCGGGATGCGTGTACGTGTGGCTATACTCAAGATATAGCCGCCGGACCTTGCCGAGGAGGGAGATCTTAGAGGCGAGGTGAGGGATAGGGGGCTCGTCGATGCCACGGATGAGGAGGAGGAGGTCGTCGGTGACGACTGTATGATAGAGGATGGGTGCTGCGAGAGAATTGAAGTCCTACATGAGTCAGTATAGTACGGAGCAGGTAAGGATTTGTGAGAGAGGGAAGATGAGTGCCCTTAGAGGCGGGGGCTAGGCGACGAGCGTTGGCCGCAAGTCCACAAATGAGATGAAGGGGAGTATACTGACTCTGGATATACGCATAGCTACCGCCAAGGTAGGCTGGCGGATCAAGCTCCGAAAATTGCTTATATTGTGTGGCGTTGGGAGCGGCTGAATGGTATGAAGAAGCACGCGATGCCAGACCTCAGGAGGGAGAACAGGGTGCGGAACCGCTAGGGCGGCGGGGGGGGTGTTGACGGGTAAAGCAGACATCCCCGTGTGTATATAGCGGATGATTTTGGAACGTGCCGAACGTAGTGTGATCTGTATGTCTGGCCCACGAGAGACGCAGCGTATGAGAGATGGGACGGACGAGAGGTAAGAGGAGGATGCAATGCTGCGTGCGCTGCGCGCTGATTAGAGTGGGAGCGATGGCCATGCCGTAATACTAGTCCTCAGCATACACAGCACGTTGATTGCTGCTCCTGTTACAAGGTAGCCATTTGTCTTCTATCTAGCTGATCCTGCATCGAGATCCTATAGCAGTACTATACTGATAATACAACAAACCAAAGCCATCCGTCTATGAAAATCAAACCGCCACTGGACGCCCTCCACCCTCAAGTTCTACTTGCTCGACATACTCAGCCCCGCCTGCGCCTGGAACCCATTCCTCCCAGACGTACTCCCCGCGCTCCCCGGCCCACTAAACCCTCCATCTCCCGCGCTCCCTCCTCGCCCATCTGATACCCGGCGCTGCTTCTTCGTAATGGCTACCGCAGCGGCCGCACTCGGTGACGACGGCTTGGACTGGGACGAATGTATGATCTTATTGGACTTTGAAGAATTCGTGGAAGCGTTACTTCCGGCCTTCTTCGCAGAGGATTCTTTCGCAGCTGGACCAGCGCGGTTTCTGTTTGATCAGCTCTTCGACCCCAGCCAACAGCAAATCAACTAGCTCACCTCTTCTTGATCACGTCCGTCTTGAGCGATAAGGGCCTTACGACACCGTGTAGCTTTCTGCAGGAATCAGTCAACCCCCTTCGGTCCTGGAAGACTGGAACTCACCTGAACAATCCACAAGCATTACACGCAGCATTCCCATCCTCGTCTCGCCGCCAAAGCGGCGTATTAACCGTCAAGCAATTCGAGCAGAAGATCGGCGCATCCCCATTGCCCGCCGGCTGCTTGAGTATATCCCCCGCTTTCGCCCCGCCTTCCGTAGCAGGCGTAGCCGTCCCCGACTTGCTCGCCTTCTTCGTCGGAGCCGCCACAGACGACTGCTTCGAGTGTCCACCGCCGCCCTTGCTCGTCGTCGGCCGCGAGGAGGAGGCAGTAGCAGATGTGGTCGACATGCCCTGCATCCGTAAGGCCTGGAGGTTGGGTGACGAGTTCGACCGGGCGGGCGGGGCGGGTACCGACGCTGATGCCGAGGCGCTAGCGACAGGCTTGCCGCCGACCGTCTTGGGTACTGGCTTCGTAGGAGGCTTTTGCCTGACCTGCGGGGACTGCGACTGGTGGACATAGCTCCCACTCGCCGAAGGAGCCGAGATGCCCAACTGCTCCCCGCTTGACCCCGACAGACCCGACTCCGCCAATCCCCCATCCCCCATTCCCAACACCTGCGCAGGATTGACGTGCGTGAATGGCGAAGCGGACGAGTTGGTCAGGTACATCGACATGAGCTGCTGGAAGTCGTAAGGGTCCTCTCCAGTCCCGACGGACTGCGACTGGGCCTGCTGAGGCGCCAGGACCCGCGGGTCCATACCGAATGGTCCGGCCGAGGGCGAATTGTACGCCGACGTATCCGCCGTGATGGGTTGTGACTGGGAGAACCATTCCGTGCCTTCCGGAGTGGGGTGGGTCGAGACCGCCGAAAGATCAAACATGTTGTCGAGGGACTGGGGAAAGGAGAACGTAAAGTTGGACGAGGGGAACCCGTTCTCGTCTGGTAATGGCGCGTTGATACCGTCCCGAGGTGACGCCTCCGCCTGGCGCTTACGCGGGTTGGTATCCGAGGGAGGGAGCATTCGGCTCGCGTTCTCCGGCGACTGATAGATCGTATGGTCAAAGCTGGTCTTTCTGACCCGCCGAGGCAAGAACCCAAACTGAGGATGATAATTCTCCTCGGTCTGGGTATAAAGCCCCGGTCCGGCGATACCCGGCAAATTGGGCGCCCAGCCGCTCTTGGTCGGACTGCCGAGCATAGCCGACAGCTGCGCCAGACCGTTCGGATCCTGCGGAAGCGAGTTTGCCAGCGGGTCAAAGGCATTGTCGTGCAGACCGACATTGGGGTCGTTGAGGAGGTTGAAATCCGTAAAGTTGTCAGGGAAGGAAGCCGGATTGTAGTCGGCGGGACCGGACGAGGGGACACCGGCGAGTCCGCTGGACTGCCAGTTGGTGACGGGCGGAGGCATGCTCTGGCCAAAGCTGCCATTGAGCATCGGACCGTGAGAGAGCAGGTCCAACGCGCGCTGTTCCGATCCGGACCCGAACGCCGAGCTGCGCGGAGCGACCGACCGAGACCGAGACCGAGAGGTCATCCGCCAATCCTGCTGTATGCGTGACCGAGATCGGCTTGCCATTCGCCAGTCCATACCACTGGTCATTAGCCAAGTCCGGGCAGCAAGGGCGGCGACTCACCCATCATCAGCGGGAGCGTCCTGGGGACTAGCGGCGTTGTGGAACCCCACAACCCTACTCTTGCCCTTACTCCTCCCCCTCTCAAACTCTCCCGAGCTCTCTCTCGACCCATGTTCCTCCTGTGCCGCCGGCGAATTGCCCGACTTCTCCTCCCGCACCGTATCCAGCGATCCCGCCTGGAACCCCCGACTCGTCCCCGCACTCTTGCTCATCCCAGATGCGCCCTGCTCCTCCTCCTGCTTCTTCAGCGTGAGGTGCATCAACCTCCACGTGAGATTCTCCATCCTCGGCCCGTTCGGCAATCCGTCCTTGGCCTTGGCATACGCCTTCCATACCTGCGTAGCGAGCGGATCGGCCACTTCGTTGACGGGCGACGTTAATGCAGGCTCGGGACTGCCCGCTCCGCCCCGGCTTGGCGGGTGGATATCGAGCATGGTGGGTAAGGTGGCGGAACCGGGAGACATGGGCGAGCGGGCGGCGAAAAAGTCATCATTGAGGATATTGGAGACGACCTTGGCGCGAGGGTCTGGCGCGGCGGTCGGTTCCACAGAAGGTCGGCGAGAGGCAGGTACCGGCTGAGGACGAGAGTTTCCGGACCGTTTCTTGGCGGGAGCAGGAGCAGGAGCGACGGGGCTCTGATTGCTCGAGGATGGCTGCGAATTCTCCTGCTGCTGCGCTGCGTGTTGTCCCAGTCCCATCCCAATCCCCATTCCCATCCTGATCGCCATCTCCAACCCAAACTGCCCATACTGCGCCAAATGCGATATCGATAGTCCCGGTGGAAGCGGCGGGAGGCCAGACAGGCTCATCCCGGCCGGCCAGTTCGGCGGAGTCTGACCAGCCGATAATGGGTTCGGAGGGGGTACGGTAGGCGGAGAAGTGGTGAATGAGGGGAAGGGGTTGGAGGGTTGCGGCGCAGTACGGCGATTCGGCGGAGGTTGCATTCTGGACGCAGAGGGAGGCTATTGTCAGCTTGCCCAGAAGTAGAACGTACCTCTGCTGGACTCGTCCCAAAGCCAAGGTCTGATCCTCCCGGCGTAGTCACCGGTGTCTCATTGTACACGTTCCCTCTGTCCGTAAGGGGCCACATTGACATGCTCGGCTTGGCATTGCCAAAGCTCGAGGCGAAGTTCTGCGGAGGGGTGGGTACGGCCGGTCCAGGCGTGTATGACCTGGAGGTCTGCGGCAGCGATCCGGCAAAGCCCTGCTGCTGTTGCTGCTGCTGCATCTGGCGGGAGAGCAAGCTCGACTGCTGCGCCATGATTGGCGGAGTCTGCGCCGGCGGAATGCTGGGCGGTGTCTGCACGCGGGTAGCGTCGAAAGCCGACTGCAGCATCGCGTCGATATCCTGTGGTGAGGGCTCCTTGGACAAGGCATCCTCGTGAATCATTCCCGCGAGGCTGTTGAGGAGGTTCTGCTCCGCCTCTTCCGGTCCGGCCGTTTGACCTGGCGGGAACAGCCATGCCATACTAGGACTCGTCCAGTCTATGGGAGACTGTGCGGCCGACTGCGAGGGCAATGAGCCGGCCCATGGGGACGAAGTGGGCGCCTCGAGGGGGGTAGTCGACATGTTTTGCATCCCCTGCTGTGCGAACCCCTGCGATCCTTGCGAGAAGGAAGCGAAGGGGGAAGTGAGGGGAGCGGATCCGAATTGTGGCATGTCGAGCGGGGTCTGGGGGTTGGGCGTGGTGGAGATGGAGGAGTAGGGGTCGTGATGGTAGGAGTTTTGCCGGTTGTGCTGGGGCATCGACATGGGGTTCGGGGGTTGCTGCGGGAGAAATTGCTGTTGTTGCTGATGTTGGTGGAGGGATGGGAATTGGGATGTGGATGGCGAGAATTGAGTCGACATTTGCTGCGCCGCTGACGGGTACTGTTGGGGCATCTGCTGCGACTGGAGCTGGTGCAGCAGTTGCTGCTGGGGCCGACTGGGCGCCGCGGGCCTCTGGAACTGGTTGGACCCCTTCGACATGCCCGTTCCACTCCTAGACGGCCCCGCCGCTGGCTGAGCAACCGTTTTCCTCGTCGTCCCCGCCTTCCCGCCGCCCGAATCCACCGTGAATGGCCCCTTCTTACTCCCCGTCCCGGTCCGCCATGGCGTCTTGTCCATCTTTCCACTAGGCCCAGCAGCGCCGAGCGTCGACGCAGTGGTGGTAGCTGTCGAAGTGGTCGGTCCGGATGGCCGAGGAAGGATGGCGCGGAGTCGGGTTGTCCCCGTGGAGGCGGATGAGCCTGGGGACGACTTGGACGAGGTGGCTGACCGTGGAGACGGGCCGTTCCAGGGTGGGGAGGGGGTAGAAGTCGCTATCGTGCCGAATGGACGAAAGGTAAGTGGCGGCTGGGGGTCAGTGACGGACATGACGCAGGGGTGAAGGCAAAGCGGCAAGGACGAGGGGCAGGAGGGGTAGAAGCGCTCAAAGGATTCTTTTCGCCGAGGATCCCTTTTTCCCGCTCCGCCTCTTCTTGTTCGCTTTCCTCAGCCAGTCCTGACACACTTGCTGTTCTCCTTTGCTCTTCAATCGCCACTTACCTACGCCAGAGAAGGGGTCGCCCGAGGACGTCAAGAAAGGCCTGTGGCGCCGGGAGTCTCTCTGCGGCGAATAGCCGGGATAATTGCTTATGGAGCGATGGCTCGAATGGTCTATCGCTGCTTGTCGATACTGTTTCCTGCTTGAAGCTGGAGGAGATAGCAGCGATAGCGGATGTGTATGAATTTGCGGCAAGATGTAGTGAGAGTAAAATTCTACAAGCTTGTGGCAGCTGTTCCCAATTGCAAGGAAAGAGTGCAGAGTCCGACCCGAGTCACGCAATAAAGCCAGGAACAAGGATTCAAGCTCAGGGTCGGAAAGGAACGGAGTCAAAGGGAAACACGGCGCAGCATCCAGAGGGCGGCGCTCACGGCAGCCTCCACCTTGTAACTCTAAAGTGAACATTACTCCGAGATTCAAGCAGGTGCGAATTCACCGTCCTCTACCGCTGCCACAGCTCGCTTGTTGCCAGACTTCACTGCTGATATTACAAAAAAATCTACAAATGGTATGGTAAACCCGATAGTACTGGCCGTGTATACTCGTGCGCAAGACCCTATGTCCCCGGTGGCCCCCTATACCCCTCGAACCCCGGTGCACCGCCCTCGTACCCCCTCACTCCTCCTATCATTCCTCCCCCTCGCGGATCCCCCAAAGGCGGCGGTCCAAGCTCATGCCCATACACAGGGTATCCCTGGTCCATCCCGCCCATCCATTCCGTCTTGACGAGATCCATCTCCGCCCCTTGTCCCGCGCCCATGCCCACGCCCATACCCATACCCATCCCCTGCTCCACATTCGTCCACTGCGCGCGGGTCATATCGTACCCCGCCGAACCACCCCTCGGGATCGAGTTTGGATCAAAGTACCCGTGGCCGGCGCCCGGCTGGGCCTGGGTCGGGTGAGGCTGATACTGCGGCTGCGGCTGCTGAAGGTCGTGAACCGGGATATAGCCTTGACTCGCCCGGTGCTGGCCTGGGGAATAGGGCGAGCCTGACGAGCCCGAGAGCGAGTTGTTGAGCGAGTGGTTGGAGTCGTACGATACGTAAGAGACGTTGTGGGGCATGGGGAGGGGAGCGGAATGAGGGGGCTGGACGGGGTGGTAGCCGGGCGTAGTCCAGCTGGAAAGGTCGACAGGTGGCGAGACGTCTTGTCGCGAGTCGGCCCATTCTTGCCGGAGCTCGGCGGACCGGTCGGGGGCTTTGGCATGTGCCCAGCGGAGTTCCTGCTCATCAGCCGGGGTCAGGTGTAGGGGTGTCTCCCGCTAAGAGCTCACATTGAGTGCCTGCAGACACACTGCGATGTCCTCCTCGCCCCCGCCCATCCTAGGCAAGAGCTTGGCAGCATAGAACGTCCCATCTCTGACCAGACTAGCATCCCACTCAAAGAACCTACCAGTCAGCTAAGCCCATCTTGATCCCAAGAGATACTCACCTGGACCCCACGTGTACTCGCACCATATCCAATATCTGCCTGCACTGGACCTCGCACTTCGCCCGACTAATATCCAGCAATCTCTGCAGATTGACCAGCTCCGACATCCGCTCCTGGTCGAATCCAGGCGAGACCCCCTCCGAACTGGGATCCGAGATGAACGCCGATTCCCTGGCGGCTAGGAGTTTCGAATACCGTTCCTCGAGGATCTTCCTTATAACGTTCTGCGCTTCGAACAAGAAGATTTTCTACCTCGTCAGCTCCTTCCCTCCTCTTCCCACACAAAACTCACCCATCCATCCGCAAACCGCATCACCTCGTCCATCGTACTATATATACTCGACGCGTCCGGCGCGTACTTCAACGCCTCAAACTCCTCCCAGCTCCGCTCGAGCGCTTCCCATGCCTCCTTGACCCATGTCCCGTTCACCGACTTGGCTCGCCGGGCCGACGGACCGGTCAGCGCGCGATTGATGAGCCGACACGCGAGCGCGAGGTTGATGGGGGCCGTAGCGAATTTGACTGATGTTTTGATCGACGAATTCTGCAGGACGACCGCGCGATTATGGATCGAGTCTTGCATAGTGTCGAGGTCTTCGTCATCTAGGAGTAGACGGCCGCCTTTGAGTCCGGTCGTTATCCCTTCATGTACGAATGCGTCTGCCCGTCAGCTCGACCCCAACCATCAAAAGAAAGACGTACACCAGTATATCCTCACTCGGATCATCTGGACATTCTGCCCCGTCCCAGCTACCTCGTCGTCATCCCCATCCGACCCCCCATTCACCCCACTCGTCGCCGCCGGTTGCCCGTCATACCCCATACCCGCAAACGAGCAGAGCGAATACACCTGATTCAGCGCCGTCTCATACATCGCCAGCCGCTCGACCGAAGTCGAGATCCCCTCCGTCAATGGCAGGATCAAGAGCAAGACCCGGACCCCATCCCAGGTTGGTTTCCGCATGACACCGCACTCGTCAATCTCCTTCAACACCACTTCGACGGCCTCGCGCATATTGGAAAAGCGACGCTGGCGGTCCAGCTCGCGGAGGAGCTCGTTGTCGCTGGCATTGTCGAGGGGAAGGGGACCGAGGGGCTCGAGACCGCCCTCGGGGACATCGAGCTCCCCGTTCGCGTCGACGCCGTATGAGAGCGCCCAGGCGTACAGGACGTGGCAGAGGATAGCGCCTTCCGGGCCCATGGCGGCGGCTGATGGGCGTGAGTGGGAGAGGTAGCGTTGAGTAAAGTCTCGAGAATCGAGCACAGGGCCTGAGATCAGCTTTGTAGATGGTAGGACTCACGTTGGACTTGGAATCGCCGAAAGAATGGAGAGTCAAAAAAAGCAGCTGTCAACTCGGGTAGTGGCCCCTCTTCCACCAAAGTCGCAGCTACCGCCGCCGCGCTCGCCGCCTGCCGTCCATATATTGTCTCAATCTCCGATATCCTCTTTCCTCGCCGAAGCTGCTTGGCCGCTTTGATAGGTGCGTACTCGTCCCTGCTCATCAGCCTCCGCGACAATAGCTGATATCGATATCAACTCACACACAGTCCACTCCCCTCTCCTCGCAATTCGTACACACCGCCAACCGCCTATTCTTGCCTTTTCCCCGAATAGGTCCAGCCCCCTTCTTCCCCTCTTGTGCCGCCATGAGCTCCAATGCATCCTGCTTCTCCTTCAAATCGCACTTGACCCGCCTATGCCTGCAGGCGCCACACGCCGAAAACTGCTGTCTGCTCGTTTTGGACGTATGCCCGCCTCTCGGCCGGTGTGTAGACGGGCCGGCTGCCGCTATGGCTGCGGACGCGGATGATCTCGCAGGTGGAAATACGGGCGTGGAAGTGACGGGGACGAGCGATGCCCTGTGCGGCGGGGGTGCGGGATACGTTTGTGAAATCAAGGGCGGGCCGAGGTTGTAGGCTGAGTGACCACCGAGGTTGGCCATATCTCCCGGATGAGGCGCGTTGGCGTGAGGATTCCCATGAAACGGTGGAAAGTACTCTGTCATGTGGCCGCTTCCCCCCGAGTCGGGCGCGCCAGGTGTAGTATTGTGATAAATCACCTCGCCGGGTGTGGTGTTGTGATAGATCATCTCGCCGGGTGTGCCGTACGGTGACTGCCCAGGCGCGTAGGTATACTGCGGCTGTGCTGCTGGCGCGTAGCTCAGCATGTGCTGCGAATAGTCCCGCTCGTCAAAGGTGGGGCGGTGCGGCAGATTGAGAGCCATAGGGGGGCGAGAGCGGTCGTGCTCGAGCGGGGGAGGGTAGAGGTGGGGTTGTTCCTGCGCATAGTAGATGGTAGGTGGGGGGTACGAGTTGGTCGATATGAGCGGGGGCGGTGCGGCGTATTGCTGAGGCGGAGGGGGAATGGTGTGGGCAAGGGGAAGGGGAGGACCCATATAGTCGGGCGGGGAGGTCTTGTACCCCGAGCTAGGGCCCGCTTCGGATGAAGAGTAGTATTGCGACATCTGCTGGAGGTCAGACGAGCGAGAATAGGGGTCATAGATACCAGGAAGGAGTCGCTCGTTGTGCGAGAGCGTAGGGAAGGGGAAGGGAGTATGGGGGTTCGAGTTGGTTCCTGGGGTGAGGAGAGATGGGGAGGGAAAGGGGATAGAGAAGTCGAACCCCGTGGGCGGGTAGATCTTGCGTTTGGGTGTCTCCTTCTCCATGCTGGGTAGATAAGAGGGGAGGGGAGGAATGTAAGGAAGATGGAGAGATGGGCTCACGGTATATACAACTCCACATTCACAGCCGCAAGCAGTCCCCAGTATTTGCCGCAGTAGCGGCCGCTTTGAAACGTTCCCCCTTTGCGCCTTATCCTTTGATTTGCCTCCCAGACCCAGATCTGATCTCGCACAGGTGTTTCGGAGCTCGGGGGTGCCGTGTCACCGTTAAATTGCAGTCAGCCCCCACTCTCTCGGCCTTGGCCTTCGGGGTGAGCGAAGCAGAGGGCGAGTCCGTGTCTGCCGCACCGGCAGAAGGGCCGGGGCTGATAAGGTTCGGGGGCGCCTTGTACCGCCGCGATGGAAAGGAAAGGAAAGGAAAGGCGCGAGGTCCGAGCGAGGGTGGGGTGGATGATAAAGGACTATCCGCTAAGAGCGTAGTGTAGTGGAGCAAATGAAATGGTGTGTCCGTCCTCGTCCTTGTACCAGTATTCGTGCTATACTTGTAGTGATCGGTGGAGCTGTGTATGGAGTGCCAGCCTTAGCGCAAGAATGGGCGGAAAGGCATTGGAATAGGCCTATAACGACATCAGAGACATCCCGCTGAGAACCTGAATCTGAGATAAGGTAAGGTAAGGCTTAATTGCGCTTCTTGTGTGGGTGGCTGGCCGCGGGGCGGAAGGAGATCAAGGGCGACGTACCAATGCCCACCCGTAAGCTTCGGGTCAGAGTGCCTTTGAGGGCGAGATCGGCCTCAGCTCAGATCTGTCTGTGTGTATCGTGTATGTGCGTGTGTGCGTATCGGATCGAGGGGGAAGGTCCAAGGTCCGAAAGGTGCACTCCGAAACCCGTTGTGTCGGAGTTATGGGTTTCTGCGGTAGGTCAGCAAAGCGTCTCGGGCGCAGAGAGGGACACACAATTCTGGAGACTCGAGGACTGGTACAACGATGACCTCGTATGTAAGTGTACAAACAAGACCATCAAGTGCCAGAAACTTTCAGAGGGGCCGTCGTGGGAGCTTTCAGCTTTGGAGCTCGGAGTGCCGACCGGAATGGCTTGCTGACTCCAAGTCCAAATGCTCCGTGCCGTGGTTCTACGTTCTATGCTCGGCGTGACACTATGCTGACGGCACGGGACTTGCAACTCTCCAAGGCACGGCGCCGCTTTTGACTCCATGGGGCAATTATATGCGGTACTTCGTCACGCCCCAATGCCGCCGCCCCCGTGATCCTGCCGTACCTTCATTAGGATCCGGTTACAGGCGGCCGCCGGCAGGCGACAGGTCGACAGCTGCAGAGATGACTCTCAGAGTCTTTCGCAGCGGGAGGGACGGTCCTCGGGAACCAGTCACATTGAGACGCACTGGCAAATCCGCACAGCGACAGACACCCCAGTGTATCAGGCTGGCGAGACAAGAGAATACAAGATCCGCATCCTCGTCTGCAAAAGATCAACAAAGTAAGGGAAGGTCTCCAACGCGGGCGCCACATTCAATTAAGTGAGATCGCCCAGCTGATCGCCCGCGGATGGATCTGCGTACCGTAAGCATGGCTTGGATATGCTTCTCCGCCGGATCCGACGGGTGATGTTGTTCTCGGGGGTATTTTGCAGTGTCAGTGGAGCAAGACTCTCCGCTTGTATGTATGTGAGTGGCCAGTGGGGTGCTCGGGTACAGGACGGAACATACAAGGCAAAAGGTACACAGGCAGAGATGCGACTACTTGACAACGAAAAGATACTGTACAGGTATGAAACAACTGAGGGGTGAAAGTCAAAGCCAGTGGGAAGGAAGCAGAGACATGAACGGACCGGGGCGGAGATGTACATCGCCCCGACCTACCATAGACCAGCCGCAGGCAACCCCTACCCCCTGCCTCCCCCAGGCTAATTCCCACCATCCTCCACACCCACCCAACTATCCCCCAACCCCCTCCCCTCGCTGCTCCTGCTCCGCGCACTGCTGTCGCTCCCCGCATCCGCTTGACCCCTCGAACTACTAGTCCCGGTCGTATGGAAGCTGCTCGCGAGGTCCGCTTCCGCCTCGTCGCTGCTGCTGGTACTCGTAGCAGTGAGATTCCCCTTAGCCACTGTAGGAAGAGGGGTACGGGGCCGAGGTCCGCGAGGTTGAGTCCCCCCCCGAGTCGGCGGGACATCGTATCCGCTTCCGGTAGTAGGTCCCGTAGCGGTAGGAAGGACCGGCAGGAGGGGAAGTAGTCGAGGAAGGAGGAACGTAGGGAGTCGAGAGAGGAAGAGGGTGAGATACGAGTACTGTCCCAAGTGGTACCGGGTACGCCAAGACCGATCCGCCCGGACAAGACGAAGGAAGGAGGACTCGAACAGCTCATACTCGCGCCCGGCGGTCCCGAGGCCCGTATACGCCGCCAAGCGGGTATAGAGGCTTGAGAAATAGCCCATGATGTAGTCCTTGACGATCGAGGCCTTCTTGGCCGTCGTCGCCTCCTTGAGTGCCGCTTTAGCCTGCTGTCGGCGAGACACCTGCGCCCCGCCCCCGATGATCAGGGTAGGGAGGAGCGGCAGGTGGATATCGCCAATGTAGACCGAGACGGAGCGGGCGTGGGAGAATGCCCCGAGGTTGCGCGAGAGGAGATGGTGGTTTGCCGCGAGGAGCTGGGTGGCGAAGGAGTCGGGCTGGACGAGGGTCGAGGCGGAGGGGTAGATGGTGATGAGTCGCGCGGGCGCATCAGAGGATGTGGGCGCGAGGAGGGTGGGGAGAGCCGGAAGTGGGCTCGGCTGGGAGGGAGGTGAGGGGTTCAGAGGGTATAGCGAAATGTATGTGTAGATGTGCGGGATGTGGTCTGGGCGAGGATTGTACGGGTCTGACGTGCCCTTGGTGTGGATTGAGGGGAAGCGGAGGGTCAATGTGGCGTTGAGTGAGCGATGGAAAGGTGGGAAGGTGGATGACTGGTCTGTCAGCTGAAGACTTCACATCAACGTGAAAGTGTGAGCTCACGTCGTCCGGGTCATAAATCAAGACTCTGAGTGCGTTCTTCTCCTCCAGACCAGACAACTTCCTCTCCAGCTGCTCCGCATCATCCACGTGCGGAACGGCGATAAGCACGATGTAGCCAGATCGGAGCAGGCTGACAGCGAGCGGTAAGAGCAGGGGTGGCATAGGCGAAGGCGACAGGATGACTGCCGTGTCAGCTACCGTATGTCTGCCCTGAGTTCAGCGAAGGCGACGCAACTTACCTATAGCATCCTTCAACATCCCATCATTGACCACACCCCTTACTCCCGCCCTACCCCCTATCATCATTCCGCCCCGCTTATACGCGCCATACCCCGCTCCGAGCCCCACTGTCAACACCAATGCCGCGCCACCTGCACAGGCATAAGGGTGTGCTCTCGCGAGCTTCTCGACGCGTTCGAGACCGTACGTGGACAGAGTAGACGGAGGCGGAAGGGGAGGAGCGGGCGGTGGCGGCTCGTTGAGGGTGAAGGGCGGGAAAGGGAGGGAGAGGGAGGGCGGACCGTGAATGTTCAAAGTGTCGACTGGAGAGTCAGCTGTCTGGTCGAGGATACGTTCCGACGAGTATAGCTTACATATCTCTTGAGTGACTCTCTCTACAGTATCGAACAGCTGCCTGGGCAGGTCCCCGAGATTGCGGGGGATCTGACACTCAATCCAGTGCTCGAGCTCATCTAGAAGGGTCAGGTCTTCGGGCATCGCATCTAGAGGCTCCGGAGTAGTCTGTAAGTGATCTCTGAGGCTGTATTAGGTGAATGGGTAAGGACGTAGATGTTGAAAGGAATGAAGGTGGAGGGGATAAGCAACCCGTTCGGCTGCAGCTGACGCGGAGGCCATGCAAGGCCAGGCCAGGCACGGCGCGAGTGACGGCATTTTGCGGAGATAAGCTCTTTGACCGTGTCCGCGATCGAAGTCCACAGCTTTCAGATCAAGCTGACTGGACTCGTCCGTTGACTTGACACCAGACACCCGACATACACATCTCAAAGCTCCCCATACGCTCCATCCCGCTGCTTGGTTAACCTTTCGAGCCCGCGGTAGTCCTCGCTCAAGCATCAGCTACCACCGTAAGCGCGACAAAATGCCTACACCATCTTCATCCCCTCCCCAAAAGCAGGTCACGCTGCCGGTAGAGGTCTGGTTGCAGGTGTTCCAGCATCTCCAGCGGCCCCTACCGAAGCCCCGCAATAAAGACAATAAGCGCTGGACACTGCGCCAACCTCATCTGGCCAAGCTTCTCCGAGTGAGCAAGGTGAGCTTCCTTCCTTCTTACCGTCTGTCTCGGAACTGAGAGTTGAGGCTATGTGTGCTCCGCTGATAGATAAGTACTTCTACAACATTGCAGCACCACTGCTATACTCCACCATCGTCACGGATTCCCTACCCATCCTGATTTCCGATATCCATCATGCTCCCATCGCCAAGTGCATCTCAAAGCGTGACCTCCTCAAATTCACCACCCGGCTGTATATCGAGTACAGCTACAAACACGGCAATACCCACACCGTTCCCTCCCCCATGCTCAGAGGCCTCGCGGAGTATCTGGCGTCCAGCACGTCAGACCCCAGCTACACGCTCGAGTCGGTATGGTGGGATGTGCAGGAGATGAAGGAAGCGGCGGATCTCGCGGATGCCTGGCATGCCTGCCTCGGTACGGACGCCCACCCGGAGCCCGTCTTTGCGTCCCTCCGTACTCTATCCACCGAGGTCTTCCTCCCCCTACGCCGGGCCCAGCAGCAGAGGGAAGACGAGCCATGGCGGTACGGAGACGACAGAAGACAGACACTGTTTGTCCCCCGGAAGCTTCCCCCTGCCATCGCGAATGCGCCCGCTGAAGCTCGGGAAGCGCTCGCCGGCTTCGTCACGGGTACCCCCTCCCTCCGCTCTGTCTGCTACTCGCAAGAGGGCGCGCTACAGCTCGAGGTCGAGAAGAAGGGCACGTGGCCGTCGCAATCCACCATCACCATGCACGCGCCCCTTCATTCCCGAACTTCCACCTCCCCTCTCGCTATCCGGGCCGGCGTACCCTTCAGGCTCTACCTCGAGGACGGCCCGCCTGCGACCGCCTCCGAGTGCCGCGCGCCGCACGTACCTTGGAGCATGGCAAAGGACGTTATCGGGCGGGCCATCACAAGCGCCGCGTCAAGGCCTCGGCGGACTGGTCCGAGGTCGTATTTCGACCTGGAATTCTGCGTCGATCACAAGCCCCACCGCGAGCGCACAGGGCCTTGGGAGCAAGATATGCTGGTCCATCGGGATGCGGCGGCGGCGCTGGAGGTCGAGCTCAGGATTATGGCGGCAAAGACGTTCCGCCGTAAGGGCAAGCGATGGGGTAATAAGGACCGCCTGGTAGTTCGCGTACTTGCCGACTCGCCTTCGTGTGGTGCTTGTGGCTGGATCGGGGACGAATCAGGTGAGCATCCAGACTTGCGTTCTCATGGCATTTGGCTGGTAGCTGATCGGTCAGCTTCTATCGCTTCGGCATCAACTGTGGACTCAGTGTCTGGTTCGGCCTAGCACTCGTCACGACGGCTCACGCGGACCGCCGAGCTGGGCTGAATGGGCTAGAGAAGACAGGGGGCGTGTAGTGAAGGGTTTGTCTGCGGAGAGGGATGCCGGGGTTATGGTCATCGCAGGAGGGACTGGGTTTGGCGAGACGTTTCATCTGAGTTGGACAGGTGTATGGTACTGGCGGGCTGTAGATCTGTAGAGCCAGGATCTAGCTATAGTGTATCATTCATGTCGTCTGTAGGATCTGCACATGCATGTGGTCCGACGCCATATCCGGTCTATCCTCAGAGCATACTTTCCCATCCTCATCTATCTGCCACCTTCACCATTTCGACCTTGCCGTCGCCGTGTGCAGCCTCGTCCTTGCTTATACCTGCCCCAACGCCTCTGCCACTGTGCTCCGCTTCCTCACTCGCAGACGGCGCGACATCGCTCTTCTCTGTCTGCTTGTCCAGATCCGCCCGCCAGCTTTGGACTCGCCGAGAAGCTTGCACTCTTTGACTCCCTGTCGACGAGGCTGCCAATCAGCTCGGTCTTTGAAAGCCTGACCAATCCGTAGACTCACCAGTCAACTGCTCGATGCCCTCAAGTCCGAGCGAGTTAGGGACGGTCTCGTCTAGCTGCTGCTGAGGTACTTCTCTGAACGGGCTCGCCTCTGATCGTCAGCTCAGACCTCGACCGCTCGAGAAAGGTCGAACATACCGAGATTGATCCGCCGAGTGACACCCGCGTACCGTCGATCGTTACGCTGGGTAACAGGCTGTATACCAGAGAGTATGTAGGGCGGGATCGTCTGTCCCGGGACCCTGGAAAGCACCGTAGGCTGGACGGGAGCCATAGCAGCTATGATCAGCGTCTGAATTCGGGCAGACTCACGACGTGGTAGCAGAGTCACTTCCTTGAACACAAACATACTCTTTGAAGTCAGTAATAGCGGTGAAGAGAGCCCACTATCTATTTCCCACTCGTCGTCGTCGGGGTAACGTTCCTCATCAAGCTCGTCCTCATCGTACGGCTCCAACCCTTCCAGAATGTAAGGCGCGAGGGTTTGACCGGGGTGCCGGAACCCGACAAGGATGGTCCGGCCAGTTGGCGCAGCGGACTCATTTGGAGGAGGCGGAGATGCTATGGCGGTATGAGGTAAGGTGGACATGGGGTTCGAGTTCAAGGCTCTTTCTGTACCGTCAGCCGTTACGATTTCGCCAAACGTTCAGCGGTCTTTGTCTTGGTGCCGCATTTGAAGGTATCTTACTGACGTGAGGTGGTATTGAAGAGGGCTGGAAGTATCTGCGACTGCTTGAGTGCCTGAGAGACCACTGAGTCGAAGCGAGCTGCGGCTTGCAAGGAGAGGTCAGATGTATGATCGTAGTCAAGGTCAGCGATGGTGAGTTGAGTGGCAAAAGCCTGGCGGCGCGCATTCCCTCAACCTGAAACACGGGGTAAGATACAGATTTTGGTCAGTCTGGTCAGGTAGACAGCTTGACAACGCTCCATTGCAATTGAATCATCACACACCATGTTCAACTTCTCGAACGCCAACAGCTCCACAGATCAGTCGCTATTCGTGTTCGGCCACGCCAGTTCCGCCGTCGAGAACGTCGCTCTGGCGTCCTCACCCACAAAAATTGGTGGAAAGGCCAAGCTCACACCGAAACCGAAGAAGCCAACTACCAAGCTCGCTCCCAAGCCCATCACCATCCACAACCCGGTGGTCCTTCCCTCATCTTCCCGACTGTTCCATGAAGAGATTGGGAATGCCTCTTCGACCACCGAGCATGAAACCCCTCGTCAACCTCCCGTCAGCCACCCAGCTGCGGATACCAGCACCATCGTGATTCGTCACCATAGGCGATCTGTCTGGTATGATCGACGAGGAGAAACGATGCTGGGCAGTCTCAGTCCTTCAGATGCTGCTCGCGATACCTCAGATTAGAAGGGCGCTCGAGGTGCACCTGAAAAGAAAAGCGGAATGTAAGTATCACGCAGTGCTGGAGCTGATCCTCAGGCAACGACAAAGACTGCGTCCGATGTCCTCTGGCTCAGATTTTGCGCGCCACTCTCGGCGTGACTGCTCCTCCAGATATGACTTATTACATTGAGGAGCTCCTAGGTGAGTCTGTCCTAGCATCACCGATGAATACCCAGCTGATGAGCAGACCAAGTCACCGACGTCGAAACTGACTTGACATCGCTCGAGTTGCCGCACGCTGCTTATACCTTTCTCACCATGCTGATCAGCCGGATGTTCAAGGAGGAGTGAGTATATGGCTACTCCCTAGCTACTCCCTAGCTGACAACCCAGCGTCGAGCTCGAACTCTTCAATGGACGCGTCCAAATCATCAGGACCTGCTCCTGCGGTGCTTCCGACAGTGAGGAGCAGGCCATCATCAGCTTGACAGTACCAGCTACAGACGCTGCCGGCAATTACGTTCGCAATCTGTACCGGTCGCTCGGTATGGGACTGAGCTCAAGGAAGATCAGAGATGCATCTTGTCCCGGTATGAAGTGAGTTCGACTGTGATCTCAGCTGATGCCAGTCCCAGATGCCAAACTCCCTCTGTCACAGCTACTACCACCATCATTGACGCCCCTCGGTATCTCTTCATCAAACTCGAGAGAGATACATATGAGCAAGGGAAAGCAAGTCCCCCAATGGAGCTGGACCTGTGGGACTTTGGAGTCAAAGACAGCGTGAGTCTTTGCGGAATGTCGCTGATAGTAGTTCTACCAACCTTTCGCCACCCTCTATCTGGACGACGCTCATCACCATACCGCCATCTACCTCGACCAGGACGTCATGCTGTACGACGACGAGGTGTTCTACTCGCGTGATACCAGGTATAGAGGGAAAGTATACGGCTACCTCTACGAGAAGCATCCCGTGAGTAGTTGAATCTAGTTGAATCGCTGATAGGGAGCGTACCTTGTTCAGAGGAGGAGCATCTACAGCAGCAGCAGCAGCAACAGCGACCGCGTCAGCCGTGGAGAGCGTAAATGAGCTGCTGGACCGTCTTGGTATTGACAATTGGTCCGAAGAAGTGAGTAAAGGCATCGAGAATTTCGAGGGATGTGGCTCATATCCCAAGTGAAGGAGCGGGCATGCGCGGGCGCGGCGGTATTGAAAGTAGAGCTTGATCGACCGCGTGACCCTGACAATGAGGAGGATTCTGCAGAGGTGAGCATAAACTGCGCTCGTCAGGCCGAGCTGACTGCCTAGGCGATTACTAGCCGGGTACTCGCAGCGATGTGGCCATGTCAGCCTGGTGAGGAATCAGCTGAGGGCAGTGAGGGGGCGGGCGGTCATGATCAGAGCTAGAGTAGGCAAGTCTTGATGGTGCTCCGTGAGCTGCGGTCCAAGATGTGTATAAGGGATGTGAGGAGAGTACGATCAGCATGCATAATCGACTTCGGCCGGACGGTGACCCTATAGCCGGTTCGAATTCGGGAAGTTCCCGATTCTTTGCATCGTCCGCTTCCTTGCCACTTATATACCTCAAGTCCCCTGAGCAGGGCATATGACCGTTTCTATCCTCTATCTTACTCACATCTGGCAGATACAGTTAGCAGAGCCAACGTACGTAGTCGTCTTCATAACATCTTCCATGACCATCATGTCTCATGACCCAAGCTGCCGGCCGCATGCGTCCGTCAATCCGCGCCAGACGGCCTGCCGATTCGATCTGATCAATCCAAGCGACCTCATGCGCACGCGACAGTTGATAGAGATGTGCTCCGACACGCACAGTAGACGCTTAGATATATGTACACTGGGACGCCGTCCCCTATGATAGCTCGAGGGACCAAAATTTCCTGCCCACATGAGGAATGAGGAGCTGGAGAAAATAGCCAAATCATTGCCCGAAGAAGGTTTTGTTGACAATCACAGCTATAACACAGCAGCCTGTCGTGGCTGGCACTCTATATTTGTGGTCAGTAACGCGCGGCAGCTATTCTCTTCACACCCTCGCAATGCCTCGGCGCCACACTCAACCTCTTCTCGCCCGCAAGATACCTTCCACCCTGCCTCAACTCCAGCCGGAGATCTGGCGAGTCGTCTTTGAGCAGCTGAGACGACCTCTTCCGGCCGCGCATGCTGCAAGATATCCTCCTCGGTCGGCGATAAGGCAGTCGGATCTCGCTGTACGGAATCTGTACGATGCGCCTGCCTGTGAGGCGTGTGGCTGGCAGTATGAGGAGTGAGTCGCCCCAAACTTCTACGACCAAGGATGGAAGCTGGATCTGCAGATCTTGCCCAATCTAGAGCGGGCGGAGGTGGAAGGGGACGTCTGAAGGGCAGATAGTGAGGAGGAGCAAGGAGTGAACGGGGCGCTCTGACTACGGGTCAGCTCGGTCGAAGGAGATTGGTCGCTTCTGGATAGATTTGGGGTGGGCGAGTCAGCTGGCTGTACAGACTCTGATCCTGTTTGTTACATGCTAGTCGACTTATGTCGTTTGTATGGATTTGGCTCGTTGCATCTGTGCGGCTCTTGTCTCTCTTCATCTTGCACAAGCCTGAGGCCTGAGGCCTCAGCGCCTCAGCTGCAAGCCAGATCATCACCCAAGTTGGCAACGGCTACTTCGGAGCCGACATGCCTATCCGCACTTTGCCGCGTCACCTGCACTTCCCTTCCCTTCCTCACATATTCTCGCTCACCAATATAAACGATCCAGATAAGGTAGGCCACTCTAGCTCGCATCCGTAGTGCTTGACTATCAGGAAATATACATATCAAGATGTCGCTCCCTGCGGAGATATGGACCGAGATCTTCAAACACCTCCGCCGGCCGTCCCCTCTCCCACATACCACACGGCCAGAGCGATCATCGATACGCCAGACCGACTTGTGCTCATGTCTGACCGTCAACAAGGTGAGCGAGCTATCTGATACTAGTAAACCTCCTGCTGATCAGCATAGCAATTCTACAACAACGCAGCCCCCCTCCTCTATCGCGGCCACGTCATCTCGGATGCCCCATCTCTGTTGCTCATGGGGGTATTTGACGCCCCTGTGCCCGGTACCACGCCAAAGGTCGCATTGCTTTGTCTCGTCGAGAGGCTATTCCTCGAGTACCATGATCCAAACGGGGAGAAGCCCCCTCGCCGGGACGAGTACACACAGAGAATTGAGTGGATGGTGATACTTGGGCGGATGACGTTGAAGGAGATAGCGGCTCTAGCGAAGCAGCGAAGACTAGGGGATCTCAGCGAGCGAACTGAGGGATGGACCCAGAGGATGGAGGAGTATGGGCAGGCGGAACGGATCTTCACGAATCTCCGGACCCTCTCCGTTGGGGCTATCCTGCCACTCGAGAAGGAAAAGCGGCCTGGAAACCGGTACCTCGACAAGTGGAAGGATCCCCTCTTCACCGTCGAGGACGGTCTCACGTCCCTGGTCTCGCGCGTCAACTCGATCGTTCACTACTGCGAGCTCAGCTGCGGTCCACTCGCCCTCGCCGGGAGGAATCCATCGGCCGGTACGAATCGACCGACCCGTAACATCCACACCCACAGCCCCTATCCTATATCTGTTCTTCCGGCCCCGGGCGGCGGTCCGCGCTACTATATGCACTTCCGAGTGGAGGAGCCGGACGGTGATCGTCAGGAGCGAATAATGGGCGGGGTCTCACACGGGGTCTATCGTGCTATGCAGCATCGCGCAAGAGTGGGCGATGGCAACGTTGGGAGAGTTCGGGATCTCGGATGGAGCCTGTACGCCAATATGGCGCCGGACGATCAGCTAGAGCCTCCGGTATCGGACGAGGAGAAGGAGAAGTGGCGGGCTACGGCGAGATATGTGGTTGGCCGATTGGCGAATGAGCTGGGAGATTCACCCGTCAGAAAGGTGTTTCCGGGTGGGCAGGAGGCGTTTCATCGATGGGAAATCAATCAGATATTCGACGCACCCCCTTGCGAAGTTTGTGGATGGTCAGCAAGTTAATAGGTGAGCTCTGGTCCGTATTGGAGGGATAGAGAATGGGCTGGAGCTGATCTGAAGAGGAGATGGTTCTGCCCTGTAGAGTGTTTGTCCTGTGTCTCTGTTGGGAGCGAGGCCATTGTTTATGCCGCTGTTTCATGCGACTTATCCAGTGTAGGAGGTGTGTGCAAGGATGCCATGGCAATAGTCATTCTACGAGTATGTATAGAGCATGTCGGAGGGGACGCATGCTTTCTTTCGCAAAGATCGCTGTGATCCGCGCTTTCAGGACACCCCATTCCTCTACCTCCCATCGTCTCGGTTCGAGCATCTCGTCATTTCCTTCCCACGTCAGTCGGCCAGTATGTCCCTTCAGTCCTCCACGACGATAGTGTACCGGTCAATACCTCCCGCCCTTTCGGACCGAATCACACTCGAGGTATACTATGGCGTCTCTTCCCCATGGGCTCTGCTCGGCGCACCGAGAGTCGAAGCGATAGCGCAGCGGTACGGCCTCAGAGTTCATCTCAAGCCGATTGTGGTGGTCGAGGAGAATGGAGGGATACGTGTGAGTGTCAAGTCGACCTGGTATCGTCCGAAAGACGAGCTGACATGCAGCTCAAATCTCGACATGAGGCACGACAAGCTTATCATGCGTTAGACCTGTACCGCACCGCCAAGCTCCTGGGTGTCCCCATGAAGCCCTCCCCAAAGTACTATCCTCAAGCGCCCGGCACCATCGAGCTAGCTGGTCAAGCCATCATACGGGTACAGAGGCGTCATGGAGTGGGGTCCGAGGAGGCGCTAAGGTTCTCATACGAGATTCAGCGGTGTATCTGGGTGACGGAGGAAGGGGATCATACGGATGTGGAGGTGCTGCGAGGGATTGCCCGGCGGTGTGGACTATCGGAAGAGGCAGTGGAGCAAGACGTCGTGGATCGGAGAGGAGACGAGATGGATGCTGGAGTGCAGGAGTGGAAGCGCAACCATGAAGAGGCGGTACAGCTGGGTGAGTCTCCGTTCTCTGCGGAGCGTCCGGCGATTGATGGAAAGGTATCTTTGGGACGCCCAACTATGTCGTGAACGGCGAGATCTTCTGGGGACAAGACAGGCTGGACTACGTCGAGATGCGCGCCAAGGAGCTGATTGAGGCGGGAGCGCGACCGACTCAGTATGGCAGCGGGGCATAAGCAGAAGCCAGCGAGCCAGGGCCATAGATCATAGATCAGATTGCAGCTTGAGCGGCCGTCCCACTTCCTGTCGCAACTGCTCTCTGCAGCTCTGGCTGGCGCGCCGTCCAGCCCGTTCCCTCACCGTGTGGGCGAGCGGCACCTGCACAATAGCATGTAGGTGAGTGCAGGTGAGAGCGCTTCGGAGCGTGACGCGTTCTTGTCACGCTCAGGCTCGGCCGAAGGAGTCAGCTCGGATATGCCGGCAAATGCCGTGATATAATCTACCGCTTCCGGCGATTTTTCGGCCTCGATAAGGATAAGAATGTCTCACCCTTCCCGCGACGAGGCACCGGGAAGACGCGCCACTGCTAATTCCCCTCTTTCGGTCTTCACATCCTTGCATTGCGCGCCGGTGTGAAGCCACTGTCTTCGGCAGATCTGCGATGATCTATGAGGCGAGAGATCCTGAGAGATCGCTAGGGTATGCTCCCAGAGGCTCCCAGTATGCTCCGCGGCGCCCATATCTCGGCGATATCAGCAGGGCTGAGTTGCACCCTACGTCTCGTAAGGTGATCGCCCTATGTCTGGCCCTTTGATCACGACCGTTCTAGGTGCGTGGCACGCTTCCCGCAACACGGCGTTACTAGAGTCTATGATCGGTAGTCATCGACCACCTGCTTGTTCATATATAGCAAGCACCGTCTCGCGCAAAAGAGCTTTTCACCCACTTCGCATCACTTCACTTGACCTTGAGAAGCATTGATTGCTTCGCTTTTTGATCTTTACTGTTACTGTCTAGACGTCTGCGACGTCACATCTTAATTCATAACTCGAAGCCGCGCTTCCTGTTCCATCAAATCAACCCTACAACTCGCACTTCGACTCATCTGGCCGGTCCAGATCGCTCGCTTGCACCACTACCTCCCACACCTTACATCATTCGGACCTACCTCTTTCTACTCATCCTCGCGATGTTCCTCACTACCCTCCTCTCCCTCGCTATCGCTTCGCTGGTCGTTGCCAAGCCCATGGCTCAGCAGCCTTTCCGTGTCTCCACACCAGTAAGCCCTCTCTCCCGCTCTCATAAGCACACCCGCTGACTCTCAGACCGAGCTTGCCCAGTGTGCCCCTGCGCAATTCACATGGACAGCCACTGTCGCTCCCTACTACCTCACCATCCACTTCGCCGACGACAACGCGCTCTTCACACCTGAAGAAGACCCCATCATCGTCCGCTCCTCCAATACCGCTGCGTGGATCATCGACTACCCCGAGGGAACCCACCTTAGGGTACACGTCCGGGACGCGACGGGCGAGGTGGCTGCTTCGGAGAGTATGGTCGTAGGGGCGGGCTGGACGGACTGCATGGAATAGACGTTGAAGGCGTTGAAGGGACACGGACTTTAGCACTAGGGTTTCATTCTGGGTTAGCTGCTTGAGCATCTTGGGGAATAGGTAGATAATAACAGATTCATGTCCGCAATGTAGTCTGATGTAGCCTGGTTACTAGAGCTAGCAGAGCGACATTTTCCGATCCGGCATTACTGAAAAGTCAGCTCACATACACCGTCGCGCCGAGATGAACTCACTATGTTACAGCATCGAGATGAAGCTTGGTATGGTGGTTGTAGTTGATCTCGAACTTTTGGAGCACAGTCCACCTCTGACTCGACTTGGCAGGGTCCGACTCGCCATCTGGATCTCGGGCGTAGTTGGCGAGAGCTTCATCGAAGCGGGTTTGATAAAGGGCAAAGGTCGACATCGTATTCATGAGCTTGGCGTAGACCTGAAATCAGCTCAGCCCCTACTGCAAAGCCGATAGACTCACTCCGAGCAGCTTTGACGTCGTCAACATGCACTGCTTCAAGCACGTATCCAGAAAGTCGACGTGATCCCGCAGCAGCTGATCCACCGTCTGGACATTCGCCAGTTTCCCCTCCAATATCCTCCAGTTCTGCTCCAGCACCTCTCCCGTCGCAAACGCCAGGATCTGTCGCACAAACGCCAGCATCCTATCCCTCAGTAGAAAGATCCGCCGCTTCCACTTCTCCAAATCCTCATTCCCACTGTCGCTCCGCCACTGCGGCGCCTTGTGTTCTAGCCACATCGCCGAGAGAGCCGATTCGAGGTAGTGCAGGTGAAGGAGGAAGCGAAAGATGAGTTGATACCGCGTGATGGTTTTGCGGGAGATGACGAGGGATAAGGGGAATTTGACCGAGTAGTCGAATGCTAGCGCGTCGATGGCGAGGAGAGTCCGCTCCTTCTCGCCTCGCTTGGCCGTATCCTCTTGTTCGTCCATCACAAACTCGAGCTCGCCATCGTCATTGACGTTCCCCGTACGCGAGACGATCTTCAAAAGCCACTCATACAGCCCTTGGCTCTGCAGAGTGACTTTGAGATCGTCCTTGTATGGGTCGTTCGAGCTCGAGCTGGAGGGATTGCGGACGGCGAGGTCAAGGAGGGATTGGAGTTTGACGAGGGACGCGCTCTTGGCGGGCTTGCGCAGCTCGGGACCAGCGAGGTCGAGGAAGTTGGTAAGAAAGTCGGACTGGTCCAAGAAGAACCAGTGCTTCATGGATCTGCAGGTGAGCTATATCCTACGCGGTTCAACTCAAACGTACCGGAGATGCGGTGTAAGCTCCTGCTCGTCGATCATCAACTTCAGCAGCGTCTTGTTGGCGTGGATATAGGCGTCCTCTATCCGCTTGTAGAACCTGCTCATCAGACTTGTTCCCCCGAATGCGTAAAAGACCCACTTTGCTTCATTCACGACCACAATATCCGCCTCCTCCGCCTCCTCCGGCTTCTTCACCTCGATCCCGCATTCCCGAATCACATTCAGGTACTTGCCCGCCAGCAGTATCTTGTGCTTCCACGGCTGGAGAAAGGCCGGTATACACGCTCCTCCGGGTAGGCGATTTGAACCAGGACGAGGTGGTGGAGCTGCAGCGGAGAGTGTGGGAGTCTTGGTAGAGCCGACTTTGGCGGATGTGATCGATGAGCCGTCTCGAAGCTAGACTGTCAGGTTCGGAACTACCGGATCGTAGCTTGGTGAACTGACCGTATACCGCCTCTCCCAGTACTCGTCGGTATAGTCACTCTCGAGTACGCCCTTAGTAATATGCCCACTCTCCTTGACCATGAACTCGTCGAATGGATCTGAGAGGTGTCCGGTCGTGATCCACCGAAGCAGCATCCGGGTGTACGGCTGAGAAGCGTGTAGTAGCAGATTTGAGTGTAGCGTTGACGCTGTGGGATCTCTATTCCGTCAGCCTGTCTTCTCCACCCTTTTCACTCGGACTCACCCGCTCATCGTCGCATCCCGGTCGGATACTATCCCCAATACCTCCCCACCCAAGACAAGCCCACCTCCATCCAGCCCTTCCTGCGCATTAAGATTCTTCATCAGTCCCTTGAGCCCCGCGCCTCCCAGTCCCAGCTCCGCTGCCATCCCTCCAAGCCCATCATCGTCCTCGTCTGTTGCGTCCGAGTTATCCATCGGGATACTGTCCGTCTCGAGCGACTGACATAAAGCGGAAAGGAGGGTCATGGTGTGTAGCGTCGGATGCAGGTGAAAGTAGAGGGTTTGCAAGGTGAAAGTGGAAGACTGGAGAAAGAGGGATTCGAGTTGGGCGGTGACGACTCGGTACTCCTTGAGCATTTGGCGAATACCGCTGCATAGGGCGTGGCTGACCATTCCGTATTCTGGGTTACCGCTGCGAAGTCAGTATGACCACGAGCACCGAAATAGGGGCGTACCGGAGCTCCATGGAGGCCTCGACTGATGTGAAGGCAGATGCTAGGGGTAACAGGCGTTCTACCAGTGATAGTAACGATGGATCTGGAGATCAGTTGGCGCCCCAGCTTCAAGAGAGAGAGACATACCTAATGATAGATCCACCCTCCACTCGGCTCCCTTCAACCGCTGTACCTCATCAAGCGGGTCATAACATTCATGATACCGTATCAGCTGCCCCTCGACACCCTATCACATTAGCCAATTACTCCACCTCCCGCTGTAGGACTCACCTGCAGCACAAACATCAGATCCTCGCATATCCACGCCTCCTGCACCTCCAGCGGTACTCCATCCAGCAACCGCTCGGCCACCTCGGGCGCTACTTCCTCCTCTTCCTCATACTCCTCAATCACCCTATTCTCTATCCTGACATCCACTTCTATCTCCCGCTCCCGGATGCGTTCTGCCGCCTTTCCATTGCGAGGCAGGTACCCTTGCGAGGAGGAAGATCGGTGGTGTGAAGACGAAGAGGGACCGGCGTGACGGGAGGATGAGGGGTCTGAAGGGATAGACCGGGAGGAGGAAGGCCGAGATGGTTCGGCAGCTGAGACAGTATGAGTGGCATAGCCGTTCACTGACCCTTCAGCTTGTTCTCTTTCAGTGTATCTCAGGTATACAGACTTACGCTTCTGTCGAAGCAGAGTAGCAGCATCCCCCGAGACGTCCAATTCTTCGACGATAGCGTCCGGTCTTACTTTCCGGACCGAAGCGAGCGTTCCAGCGACCTATGGGTCAGCCACATTCGTCTTGATTCATTCATTCTTCCTCCGACCACAGACGAGCCGCCTGATACCTCTGCGTTGCCCTTCAAGACCCACGAAACCCATCAACGAAATGTAAACAAACTTTTGTAAACTCCTGATCCGTCAAGCTATACTTCGACCCGCTCGCTTTCCTCGCCGGTCTCGGCGTAAATGGTACGGTTGACCCGCTGGCTCTCCGTGACGTCGACATGTTATGGGGCACAGGCGATACTCCCACTGGAGCGCACTGCTGAGTTGTGAAGGGATAAGGCAAGGTATGATGCAGGTGAGGTATGAGGAGTTGGGTCGCGTCGCTTGACGCGTCGAAACGCGGAAGTAGATTTATCCAGGGGTAGAGTGGCGATTCTGAAGCGTGTTTCAGCTTATCTATGAGACAGGGTACAGGGGGACGGGGCGGGAAAGGAGGCGAGGGCATCCCTTGGGTATCAGGAGTGATGGGTCTGCACCACAATCATATGATTAGGCTGGGAGGGCGTAGAGCATACCCTTATATTGGTGTCCGTCGACCTTCACTTCGCTCTTTGCCACTTACTTGAGCAAGACTGAACCGTCATGGAAGTCATCCTTGAGCAAGACTCCACTACGATAGGGTGAGCTTATGCTCGGTACCTGCTACACCTATAAGACGACGGCTGATCCGACAGCTTTGAGCTCGAAGAGCTGGAACGCAAAATCGACTCGGTTCGGGCTGAATTGCTCGATGCACCAGACGAAGAACATGACGCTGAGCCATTCCCCTCGCCTCCCGCCCAGTCTGAGCCCTTTCCTCCGCCTGCAGATTCCCAAGTGACCCTCGTCAGCTCGCAAAAGACCTCTCGCCTCTCCCAGCTTCGCTCAAAGTTCCGCTTCAACCGCAAAAGCTCCGCGAACAGGTCGTCCTCCGTGCGGAACAGCCCCGATAACGAAGCGAAACACCTTTGCTCGGAGAGTAGCAGTCTCGACTCAAGCATCACCCTCTTTGACGTCCCCGTGCTCCCCTCCCAGCCTTCGCCCGAGCGTCAGCCAGAAGACGCTCGATATCTCGCCCTTCTCGCTCCACTCGTCGCTACCATCCAGCGCCTCAGCCCTGTCGTCCGAACGATCGCCGAAAAGGACATCCGCACCGCCTTCTTGCAGCGATGTGAAGAACTCACAGATCTGCTAATGGAATTGAAGAAGGAGGCGCTCTTTTCCCCTCCGGCTTACGACGCCAGTGGCTTCCCCGCCGATGCCGATGATGATGATATGCGCGTACTTCTTCTCACTGCGCTCCATCGCAAGGTCCTGCTCGAGTCTTCCCGATGCGCCGCTCCCGTATCGGCTGGAACGGGTTCGCTTGCGGTCAAAGCAGACGCCTTCAACCCCTTCGTCTTCCACTCCACCACCCGGACTGTCTCGAGCGGTACAGCGTTGCGCACTCCGTCGCCACCCAAGGCTATTGCGCCGGCCTTGCGAGTCACAGAAGGGGAGTTCTCCAACTTCATGGGACATTCGCAGCAGACCTGGCGGGCGAATGTCCATAGGTTGGGGTCGTTCCAGGCTTCGGCGCTGTTCTCGCCTAGTCCGATTGCAGTCAATAGGGCGGTCAGGGTTGGAGCGGTGAGACTGTAGATACACATCGAGCTTGTCAGTATTGTAAGCAGTGACACATTGTATATATGTATGACTAGACCTTAAGATGTGAGTCTACGAGATGGCGCCATCCCGATCCCCAGCGTTGAATTTGGCCTCGTCAAAGTACTTGACACCCTACCAGATCAGCCCGTTCTTCTTCCCCATCGCGCCACCGACGCGCAGAAACACTCACGATCTTCCTGCCCCCAAAGAACCTCCCATCCAGCTCCCTAGTCGCCCTCCAAGCCCCCGCCAACCCCGAGAATACCACAAACACCCTCAAACACTCTTTCGGATCCGCCGGCGGCGGCTCCACCATATGCAGCACCACCCTCTCCACAATCCCCCATTTACTACACTCTTCCCCTACCTCCTCGCTCAACTCCTCATCCACCTCTTCTTCCCCCTCCACCAGTCCCGTCAGGCATACAACTCGACTGGCCTCGCCGAGCCGATCCCGTTCTTCCGCAGCCCGCAGATCTTCGTTCGCATTGACGATCTTTCCGCGGGCGTTGGGTGCTTGGACCCATTTTCGTTTTTTGGCGTTCGCTGCTGCAGCTTTGGCTTTCGCTTGGGCGCGCTTGGATAGGGTGGAGAGGTCGACGGAGGGACCGGCGTGCTCTGCGGAGAGGGCGTGGACGATCCCGTCTTGACGCGCGCCGATACCGGTGCCTTCGACGTGGCCCCAGCGCTTCATCACTGAAAGGTCAGCTATCTGTTTCGAGACGGTGGTACTCAGCAGACGTACTCTTCTCGGCGAACGTGCCCGTCCTACAGATGTCAGCTGCATGCCCTGAACTCTGCTGCATTCCACGCAACTCACTCGTCTTCCCTTGGAACAGCCGGTCTGGCAGGAACGAACGCCGGCGCACCCCCAGACATCGCGGGTCCCCCACTTCCGGCCGCTACACCCGCTAGCGCTGCAAACTTGGCTGCAATAGCCGCCGCAGCCGCCTTGCGCTCTTCCAGGGACTTGGCTGCAGCGGCGCTAGCCGCGTCTCCGCTATTAGAGACCGCATCTGGAGGCGGCGCTGGGGCACCAGCGGTCGGAGGTGGTGCAGGGGGTAAATACCTTCCGAAGCCCGGTATATCCGACAAGGGTGGCGGTACGAACGTCGCTGGAGGATTCGGAGGAGCAAAGTTGGGCAGGGTGGGAGCGAAGCCTGGGATAGCTGGTGGGTAGCCCATCGATATTGGCAGAGGTGGAGCAGCCGCTGGAAGGTATGGGTTCTGTGAGGATGGTTCGCGAGCCAGATTCTGGGTCATCGCTGCTCGTCTGGCCCATGGATCGTCAGCAGGCGGAGGCGGGGCCGAGCTGGAAGGCGGAGGAGGTGGGGTAAACGATGAAGACGGCGGGGATGGTGGGCGATGCTCAGGCCGCGGCATCCGAGGAGCGATAGACGCAGGAGGTGTGTATAATCTCGGCGGAGCGAACATCTTTGGGGCTATGCTATCAGCTTGACTCGACCTATTTGAGTCGCTAGCTGAACATACCGTCTCTCCTTGGCGCCTCCTCCTCGCTCTCCGAGTAATAGCTGCTCTCGCCACTACTTCCCCCTCTATCCTTTCGGAGCTTATCCGCCACCAGCTGTGCCTTGCGTTCTGCGCGCAAGCGCTTCCGGTACGCCTGATACTCGCCGAGATCGTTGGGTCGATTCGGGTCGTACAGCTCATCTGGGGCAAAGTTGGACATGTACTGCTGTTGCTGCTGTTTCTTCTTCTGCACCTTGTCAGCTCACCCGATATGTCTTCAGACCTAGCGTTACAGCTCACCTTGTTCTTCTTCTTCCGACGCTTCTCCTCTTCCCGGTCGCGCTTCATGCCCCTGTCTTTCCCTTCGCCTCCTGCGATCCCGAGAGTCATAGCCGGCGCCCGGGCTAACGGCCTTCCATCCTGTCCCAGCGCTACTACTTCCTCAATCTCCGCCTTGGACTTGCTAGAAACCTCGATCCCCCCATAGGCGGCCGGCGATGCCTCACCACTCGATGTTGAGCGAACGAGGTCCGGCTTCTTCTCGATTACAGGAGCAGCCGTATAGTTCCCGAGGGGCCTAGTCGGTTGAGACGGCTTTGCCTGCTTGACTCTTGGCGCGAAGGCTAGGATCGCTGCGGAAGGCTTTGCAGCTTTGACAAGCGGCTTTGGGTTTGAGACTGATAGACCAGCTTGAGTCGTAGCTGTTGTCTGATCAGCCAAGGGTAACGAAACAAGAGCGGGAGGCAAGGGGAACGAACCGCTGGCCTTTGGCTTTTCCGCTTGAGCATCTTTCAGCGCCGCCGCTTCGAGTTCGGCAGTGGTGAACTTGATGCCTCCGTATAGCGACATGACGGTCGACCTGCCTTAGTATAAATGAAGCGGTATAAAGAGCACACTATCGCTGCAGCAGCGGCTGGTCGTGGCAGCCTCGTTTAACCCGCCAAATTGCTTGATTGCCCCTTGCGTTTCATCTCGCAGTTCAAGGCCTAAATTTGCCTTTCAACCTCCTCCTCATCATCATATATACCACCTATAGACTGCTCTTCGCCCGCGCGAGCATGCCCAAAGATGGAGGTGTACGAGTCTCACCCTTGGCTCGCGGCTTCATCCTCGACGCTCCCCTCCGCTGACCCCAAAATGTGGTCCGGATCATACCTCGCTCAGCTCGAGGCGGCCGACGAAGTTCGAGCGGCCAGATGGGAAGACGTGGATATGGAAGCGGCCGAGTATATCGCGAATCATCAAGAGTATGAGCAGCCCGAGATGAGAACTCCGACGCGCAGCCAAGCTGTCGGCACTGTAAGTCTCAGCCACGTCGGTCGGAAGGTGTCGATAGGCAGAGCTGATAAGAGCAGGGCTCACACCGATACCTCACTCTCGATACGAATGTACTCATCAATCATCTCAACCTTGTTCAGAGTGTCTTTGAGATACTTTCCGAGTATCAGAGACAACATAAATTGAGCCTTCTCGTACCAACAGTGGTCATAAACGGCAAGTTGGATCTTTGCCTTATTATCTTGCTGACAGCGTCACTCGGCTGACGCAAATAGAGCTCGACAAACTCGCGTCTCAAGCCCATACCGAGCAGAGCTCCACAGTTTCATCTCAATCCACGCGTCCCGACACCCTCGCCGCCGCCCGTCAAGCCACGACATGGCTCTTGGCCGTCAACCGACATCGCCGCGAAACGGGGTACGGCGCAGTACGGTGTCAGCGGTGGTCCGAACGAGGCGCGCAGCGCTTGAGTAAAGCGGATGATAGGGTGCTGGACTGCGCACTGTACTTTCGGGAGCAGGGCGGAGGCAATGTCATGCTGTGGACGGAGGACAGGAATTTGTCCCTGCTCGTGAGTTGAAGTCGCCTGACCGTGTACTGGGTCTGGGTGCGCATGAAAACTGACGATGTAGGCTGAGGCGAACGATATCTCGACCATTCCATCTCCCACTCCCGACCTCACATGTATCTTGCACCTCTGCGGTATCCCCTTCGACCGGACGTCGGACCTGCCACCGCAGGAGATCTCGACCCCGGAAGTCGAAGCCGAAGAGGACGGCATGCAGATCGAGGCGGATCTCGTCTCTCCTCCTCTGCCTCCTTCTTCTCTCCCAGCACCCATCGCCACGTCCACCCCAGTCTCCCTCACGACTCGACCTCGTCGGACCCAGTCGTCATCTTCTTCCCCATCGACATCTACCTCTCGCCCATCATTCGCTTTCAAGGATGCCTCGTCCCCTCTTCCCTCTCGGATTCCCCGCCCCACCGCCCGTGTCCCGGTTCCTACTGATGTTCTAGCTCGCCTCACCCACCTCGCTCGACTCATTCGTGCCGCTCTCCCTTCCTCTTCCCCCTCTTCGAACCCCTCTCCCGCCCCCTCTTCTAATCCGCCAACACCATTATCGACCCAGAATGGGCTCAATCGCCTCATCACCGCCCTTCGTCTCCTCTCGCCTCCCGATGGCAACACCGACGCCACGCGACAACTATACCGGCTCCTCTCGGCGCTCATGACCCTCTCCGCCTGGGTCCGACCACCGTCCGATGTCCGGGAACGGCGGGTTTTGAACAATGAAGCAGCGGGGGCGGTGCGTGTGGCGATGGATGCATTGCCGGAATTGGGGGTCGGGGTGGACGAGGGGGAGTTGCAGGAGCTAGCGGGTATCATTAGAGTTTTGTAAAGACGTAGAACTTGTATATACATAGCTAGTATCATATCGTATCAGAACCAGTTGTGCATGAAGATAGATATTTTGGTGTTGTCAAGAACGCTCATGGCTACTGCACAGATTTACACCGCACTGAACAGGTCACGCTTGACCAATATTCAGTACTCACCGCCCCGTTCGGCCATGATTAGCAGACCGCAGATGCACCTGTCGTCGTTGAGCCAGCTCGGAAAGCTGCGGCCTGAGGATCCCAGAATCTGAAGTATCCTTTGTTCGGAGTCATCAGTCCGACGGTCACACCAGTCGAGTCGTTTCGTATATATGGTGGCGCGTAAGATCGTGTATCGCTGAAAGCCTTCCAGTCACCAAGGATCTAGGTGATCCTTTCTCTTGAATCTGATTATCAGATGAGCTGTCATGGCGTTTCATGCGAAGGAGGAAAAGACTATTGCGCCTGTTCGGTCCTCAGCCGACACCCGGCCTGCGCGATGGCGACAATCGGAAGGCGGATGCCCGTGACTGAAACGCGAACGCGAGGAAATGACTGATCTGCATCTGAACAGGCCTGACTCCTTTTGAGCAGTCGATAGCGCACGTTTGAACGCGCACAGCAATCTCCAGACCCCGAGCTCCGATGCCCTTAGATCGGTGATCTAAGGCCTTTGTTCCGTCTGCAACTGGGGTGCGATCGCGCACGTTGGACTCACACAGAAGGCCGATGATGAGCCGAGGCGCACTCCGCCTTAATTCAATCCACTCTCATCAAGAGCATCGATGGCGGGCGGGATGGCAGGAAAGGCAAATTTTGGAGGACCGACATGTTTCAAACAGGCACAGGGGCCAAGACTGACCTATATATACCCTGCCTGCGACAGCGATTTCTTGATCTTTGTTCTATCGACCACACAAACGCTGCTTCTACTGCCCTTTGATACCTGAGTCAGTGCAACGCGTTCAACATGTCCACAACCAGTACCTGTGGCGAGGATCAGCCCGTCACCGTCACCAATACCAACACCAACACCAGAACCAATACCAACACCGCCAGCGCCAGCGCCAGCGCCAACACTGCGCCTGCACCCAATACGACCAGGAAGAAGACGCTGAGTTTCGAACTTTTTGAGCCGGAGTCTTCGAGCTCTGGTGATGAGGCCGATGGTGATATCGGCACGGTGTCTGATCTGGAGGAAGAAGAGGAACGGAAGCAGCTGGAGCGAGATGCCAAGCAGCTCTTGCAAGTGTGAGTGACGGGTGGGGAAGACTTGCCGGTAGATGGAGAAGAGGCGCCGGAAGCTGCAGATCCCCAGAGCTCTACTGGGGCAAAATGATGTGCCGAGCGGGCTGTGCTGAGGATGCGGCGGTTTCCTTCCTGGTAGTGAGCAGAGTGAGTGTCGATGAGCGATATGCATGACCGAGTGTACCACAGCGATCTACAGGCCTTGTCGGGTCATAATATCGCGGCTCTTGCGCACGCAATCACGGGGGTATGAGCAAGCTCGCCCAGAAGAGCTAGTCCTGGTTGAAAGAGTGGTCTCCAGAACGCTTCGCGGGGTTTGCCTTGTCGCGCGCATGGTAGGAGCTGAGGACGAATTTGTAGACCATACGAAGATTCCTGCCTCCACCACATGGTGAAGGATCGAATGTAGGCACCACGCAGGTGCAAGCTTGGTAGTCAGAGCGAACGTGAGTCAAGCTGGTAGTCAAAGCAAATGTGGGTAAGTCAGGCGTGATTACCACGTCTGCATCAACCTGAATGAACCAACAAATGGTGTAGTCCGCTCGTAAGATAATCAATCCTCCCGTCAACTCCCTCGATACCCACCCTCGCCTGGTCTCATATACAATACCGCCCAATCTAACTCCGTCCGCATCCCCTCAATCATGCGTTCTTCCCCCTCAGCGAAGGGTGCAGCTACTTCATCAGTTTCCATCCCCATCTACCCAGACAACGCAGAACTCACAATCTGCTCATGCAGCGCCTTTCCAGCAGGTACCATCGGGTACACATGCTCACTACTGACCACACACTCCATGACGATCGGCCGGTCATTATCATACTCCAAGAACTCCTTCATCTTGGCCGGGAGGTCCGCGAGCGATGTCACGCGCAGAGCCTTCGCGCCCATCGCTTCGGACAGCTTGATGAAATCGGGATTGTGCATCCGGGTGTGCGAGTATCGGTTCTCGTAGAACAGGTCTGAGAGTCAGCCATACCCCTCCTTTTCTCCAGGGGAAGGAGAACTCACCCTGCCATTGCTCCACCATCCCCTGGAACTCATTGTTAAACAGCAACACCTTGACGCCGATATTGTACTGGTTGGCAGTCGCCAGCTCCATCGCCGTCATGGAGAATGAAGCGTCTCCGTCGATATCCACCACGATCTTTTCCGGTGCGGCGACCTTGGCGCCGATAGCCGAGGGGAGACCGTAGCCCATCGTCCCGAGACCGCCGGACGAGACCCACGAGCGGGGCTCGGACCATCGGTAGTACTGGCAAGCCCACATCTGATGTTGTCCGACACCGGTAGTGACGATCACCTTCTCCTCTGTAGATGTCAGCTCGACTCGCAGGGGAGATTGACAGCTGTACTCACTCCCGATAATCTCGACCTGGTCATTCAACTCCCGCACAATCTCTTGCGGCTTCAACTTGCTCCCCTCCTGGCTCGGAATAAAGGTGAACGGGTACCTCTCCTTGTTGGCCTTGCACCGCCCGATCCACGCCGACCGATCCACCTTTTTGATCTGTGGCAGCAACTCCCCCATGCTCGCTACCACATCCCCAAGAACCGGGATATCCGCCTGGATAATCTTGTTGATGTTTTTAGGCTGGATCTCAAAGTGGATGATACCACCCTTGCCCTCCAGGGACGCCGCGCGAGCCGCTGGCGCAAAGGTGTCAACCTTGCCGGTGATACGGTCGTCGAACCGCGCGCCGAGGGCAATGACGACGTCCGCCTCCTGGATGGCAAAGTTGGCGTACGCCGCACCGTGCATTCCGATCATGTGGAGCGACTTTTCATCCCGCTCGTCGTACGCGCCGAGACCCTGCATGGTGGTGGTGACGGGGATCGAGCCCATGTCGGCAATCTCGCGGAGGAGGCGGGGTCCGTCCGGGGACGACAAGACACCGTTCCCGCAGTAGACGATGGGGCGCTTGGCATTGTTGATCATGTTGGCAGCGGCCGAGATGAGGGAGGCGTCTCCGGGACGGGGTCCGGTGTGGGTAACGGGGTTGAGGGGGGACGAAGGGAGGTAAGGGGATGAGCCGACCTGGACGGCCTTGGAAGGAATGGGGTGACGGAGGATCGCAGCCGTCATGTCCTTGGGGAGATCAAGGAGGACGGGTCCAGGCCGACCGGTGGTGGCGATCTTGAACGCCTCGTTGATCCGCCGAGGAAGCTCCGCAATGTCCTTGACCATCACGTTCCACTTGGTGCACGCGCGCGAAATGCCAATGACGTCCGCCTCCTGGAACGCGTCCGATCCGATCAGGTTGGTCGCTACCTGTCCGCAGAGCACGATCATGGGGATACCGTCCGAGAGCGCGTCCTGCATGGGCGTGATGACGTTGGTAGCTCCGGGACCGGAAGTGACGAGCACGACACCGGGCTTGCCTGATACGCGCGCGTAGCCCTCGGCCATGTGGCCTGCGCCTTGCTCGTGACGGGGGAGGACAAAGTCAAAGTTGGGGGAGTCGTGGATGGCGTCAAAGACGGGGAGGATGGCGCCTCCGGGGTAGCCAAACACCTTCTTGACCTCGTGTCGTCTGAGCATTTCGTGGATGATCTGGCCACCGGACATTCCAATAAAGCTGCAGGTCAGCCCAGTCCGTGTCTCGGTGAGTGGACTCACGAGTAGTCCAGCCCATTTCTGACCTGCGGATCACCCTGGAGAGGATCGATGTACTGCGGGCTCTCCTTGATCTGGGCCTGAGGAGGAACTTGGAAGCTGGGACTTGGCGTCGGTCGTACCACTGGTGCAGCTCCTGAAGCTGCGCTGGACTGGATACGCCGTACGTGATCGCGTACGCGCGCCTTGCCCTCTACGGTCATACCCTTCTCGCGGGGCAGAGGGGCATTTTGAACGGCGCTAGTAGATTTTGAGCGAGAAGCGACGGCGCGGGAAGTGGAGGGGATGGATCGGATGAGGCGGGTCGAGCGGAGCATGCTGTGTGGAGTATGGGGGATGTAAGGGATGGGTAGGATGCTCTTTATGAGCTTTTGAACGATGTATAGATAGAAAAGGATCGGCCTTTTCGACTCCAACTTTTGCTGCCGCCACCCAACAGGTGAGAGCGGGGATCGCCGTACGGAGTAAAGACCGGAGTCTCCACATTCCCCGGATATCCGGATAAATACCCGGCCGGTCCGGGCTGGTCAAGCGAAGCTATTGTATGCTTCTCTTCTTCCTTGTCCATCTTGACACCCTGTCAGACTATATATATAGCGCCTAGCGACCTTCCCATCGTCACCGACACATCACGCAGCAATGCCAGACCAAGTTCCCCTTTCGAAAGATATGGCCTCGGCCAACATCCAGGCTCCGAACGACCAGCCTGAGCCAGCAGACTTCAAGCCTCGCAACAACCCTGCGTTCATCCTTCATGGGAAGCTCAGTACGAGCTTCGGAGAGGTGAGCTATACATTTCGTATTGTTGCACGATTGTGACAGCTGATGCCTCCAGCTGCCTGTACCAAGCGTCGGTCCCGATGAGGTCTTGGTGGAAGTCAAGAAGACCGTAAGCTTTCGACCGCATATCTTCGCAGCGAGGTCTGTAGCTTATATGCCTAGGGTATCTGCGGCTCGGACGTCCACTGTCAGCTCTATCGCCCTCAACGTGAGGTGGCTCCCGAGCTGATATCCAGTCTACAACACCGGCAAGATGGGTCTCGTCTCCTGCACCGGCGACATGTGCCTCGGCCACGAGTCGTCCGGCTATATCGCCCAGCTCGGTTCCAACCTCGCCGCTATGGCGCGCAAGGCCGATTCCGAGAAGGGGTCTGCAAAAGGACCCGCAAAGCAGGTCTTGAGGGTAGGAGACAAGGTGACGCTCGAGCCGGGAGTGACTTGCCGTATGTGCCCGGACTGCAGGGGTGGACGATATCAGGTCAGCTGTATAGACATCGGAAGCGTCGACTATAGCTGACAGGTAGATCTGCGAGCATATGGCCTTTGCTGCGTATCCTCCTTTCGACGGTACCCTCCAGCGATACTACAAGCTGTACGCTACCCTCTTTTCATCAAGGATTAAAGCTTACCCTTAGCCCCGCGGACCTGGTGTACCCCCTTCCCGACTCGGTCGATCTCGTGTATGGAGCCATGATGGAGCCGCTCTCCGTCGCTGTGCACGGTATCGCCAACGTCGGCAAGCTGCGCACAAGCGAGAACGTCCTCATCTTCGGCGCAGGACCCGTCGGGCTGCTTGCCATGGGCGTGGCGAAGGGTTTGGGAGCCGGAAGGATCATTGCGGTGGATATCAACCAGGAGAGGTTGAAATTTGCCAAGACTTACGCCGCGACGGACATCTACACACCGGTGAGCTTTCTCCTCCTGACTTGAGCGCAAGTTGAGTGAAGCTGATCTGTTAGATCAAGCAAAATGCCGACGAGTCCAGGCCGGACTACTCTCTTCGAGCGGCGAAGGATCTGCTCTCTTCGCTCGGTGTCCCCGTCAGAGGACCAGGGTCGATCGACTTGGTCATGGATGCCACAGGCGCCGAAGTCTGCATTCAAATGGGTATCAACGCAGTCAGGCCAGGGTGAGCTACGATGAGCCCCGACTCGGCTACAGCCCAAGAGCTGACCATGACAGTGGTGTATGCGTTCAAACTGGGTTCGGACCGCCCGACATCACCATCCCCATGTTCCGCTTAACGACGGATGAGATCCAGCTCAAGGGATGCTGGCGGTATGGGCCGGGTGACTAGTGAGCTGGATCCCTCGTATCTTGTGATTGGTCAGGCTAACGATATAGTCCACTTGCGATCGATCTGGTCGCCAGGGGTCTGGTGGATCTGAAGCCGCTCCTCACGCACGAATTCAAGTTTGAGGATGCGCTCGAGGCGTTTGAAGTGACCAAGGCGGGCAAGTCGGCGGATGGGAAGACTGTCATCAAGGCTGTCATTTCTGGACCGGAGTAGGGTATCTGTAGTCTATCTATGCTAGTCAGTATTGTGCAGAAACTTGTATGCAGCAGCTATTGTAGGCGGACAGAGGCAGTGGAGGCGGGGCGGGATGAGGTTTCGTAATTATGCCCCCCGGCTAACGGCCTCGGTCCTCGCGCTGCTGCAGAAGGACTTTTCGACGGTGTACTCTGTATTTGTTATTGTTCTGCCTACCTGCCTATACCTCTGGGGATACTCATACAGACATGGCGTGAGTACAGCTGACAGAGCAACAAGCAGAGCTGACAGATCAGAGCGTACGCTTTCCCCTTCCCGAAATCTCCGGGAGAGCAGATCCTGACCTCTCAGAAACTTCATGGCATGGGCTAAATCGCCCGCTGCTCGCCAATACTTCTTCTGTAAGTGTCTATCTGCCCTCTGCGAGGATCCCTGCTGATTTTTGGAACAGCTACCCACTTCTGGGGACCGGTGCGTCCCTCTCGATCTCGCAGATCTCGCCCCTGACGCAGGGGATGGTCGAGTTGTGGCTGACCCACCAGATCGCAAACTGGGGTCTTCCCATCGCTGCCCTCTCGGACATCGTCGGGAAAGACGAGAGCATGATTAGCCCGATTATGTCCCCGACTCTTGGCGCCTACTCGTAAGCTCTCTCTGCTCATAATCGTCCTCTGCCTCTTTTTTTCTCGCCTCCAAAGCAGGAAGCAGCTGCCTCCTGACGTTTGCCCGCTTGCTTGCTCGTTTGAGAAGGGGTATGATGCTGATTTCCAGGATGGTATTCATGCGATTCGCCTGGCGCGTCCAACCCCGTAACTACCTCCTCTTCGCCTGCCACCTCACCAACGCCGCTGCGCAGACGGTCCAGACCGGCCGGTTTGTCAATTATTGGTATATGGGCGGAAGGGAGAAGAGACATCCACTGGGCGCCCCCGCTTTGGATGCGGTGGACAAGGTCAAGGAGAAGGCGGGAGAGGCGGTCAAGGCTGTCAAGGCATAGATTGGAGGATGGGCGAGCGGTCTCGCTACGAAGATGCGGAGGGCGTGTGGGGATCATGCGGATGGTGGAAGGGACCGGGAGATGACATCGAGAGGGTATATCTGGGGAGGCTAGGCTTGTTTTGGGGACACGGCCGAGGTGGGACTGGGAGGGGATAGCAGGGGTCTTCAGGGGTCAGAAGGACTGGACAGGCATGTAGGATATAGCGGCTCTGACTAGGCTAACGCCGGACTGATCTATCCTGCATACTCTGATAAAAGCAACTCATGCAGCAAGCAAATCTACCACGCAGGAACCGCCACATTTATAGCAAATGTTTGTACAGAGCACCGCCCGCGGAGGCGATAACAGTACCGCTTGCTGCCTCTGCTTTTCCATGTACGAATCACTCATACTGTAATCCCTGACGCTTCATGTTGATCTGGGTAAAGCATGGGTGCTGTGATGCTGTACCGGCTCTTCCGGCAAGCGTCATCTAGACATGGGATTGCTGACCTCTACTGTCTGGTGCAGACCCGACCGGTCATGCCGGCGCTTACTCTGTCCAAGGCGCTTGACATCGTCCCTTCATGAGTTGATGTACCTTTCAGCTAAAAGCCACTCACATGGAAGATCGAGATCTCGATTTGTGCTCGATTCGATCGTCATTTACCCAAACGCGAAATAGGGGGAGATCTCGTAGATTGCGAGCATCCTTTCTGATGTTACCCCTAGGGCCAAGGCGAGTGCCTGATAGAAAAGCCGATACCTCTTCCCCCTCATCCTCTTTCATACATATCCCACCTCCCCTTCGCCGCTCGTACATCCCTACCCCCAGCATCTCCCCACGATGTCCAGTCCTCATACTGCTCATAAGAAGAACGACCAATCTGTCGATCCTGTCCCTGATGTGCAATCCGAAGTCTCGATCGAGGTCAGCGAGGAAGCCAAGTCCACCATTCGCACCGCTCTGGAGGAGTACGAGACCTCGCTGAACGATTTATCCCCGCGCATTGACATATTCAGTGAGCTTGAGGAGTTGATCTCGAAGAGAGAGGTCGTTGGGCCCAAAGAAGATGATGTGCATACCTGCCAGGTGCAGGGTTGGCTGGAGAACGCAAGGGCAACCTGGGATGGCCTCCAGGGCGTACTGATTGCCGCGCGGGACTCCTTCGGCACGCCCGGGCCGTCCTTCCTCGGCTCTCTCAACCATGCGCTCGGTCTTGAGAGTGATGTTACGGAGCTGCTCAATCTTTGGTGTCCAGGGTCCTCGGCTTACTGTTAGCAATCTGAGATTCTAGGCTCTCTGAAGCGGGAAGCGAATAGGTAGCGAGGAGGCACCCCTGTTCGGAGGCGAGCTCGGTAGCGAGTAGGAACTCCTATGTCGAGTAGGAGATCCAGAGAGTGCGACGCCTGAGTAGGCAAAATCCCATGCCGTACTGCTTAGGGCAGTGGCGGCAGGTCAATGTGGCGCGCTGAGGGCGTCGAAGCCATGGACCAAGTAGGCTGTGTATGGACTATAGGAAGTCCTAGCACAGTAGGAGTTCCTATGGCGTGTAGGAACTCGTAGGGACTTGTAGGAAGATCTCAGGGACTAGTAGGAAGATCTGTAGGAACTCGTAGGAACTCGTAGGAACTCGTAGGAACTTCCTACACTCTGTAGGAAGTTGTCAGGCTGGAATATATAAGGAGGTCATTTCGAGTCCAATGCATCCTCACTCTGCAGTCGGAAAAGTGTCTTGCCCATCCTGGTCCCTGGAAAAGTTAACACTTACACGTGCCACCAAGAAAGGGCAGCACCAGCAGGCAGCTGAAGCCCAAGACAGCCATTACCATGAAACTCTCACGGCTTGGAGAGTCGGCAGAGAGCCCACCGGACCGCCAGGGGCAGACAGTACGCTGTACGAGAGCAAGCTCGAGGAACTCGAGAGCGCTCGAGAGACTCTGTTGAACCAGACTCAGCTGGTCAGGAAAGGACTCGCGCCTGACGTGGAGCGGCAATCAGGGGACGTGGTCGAGGACATTACTGGGTTGGTTCCCTTCCAGACGAATCTGTTCACAATCGGCGACCAGCACATCAAGGGTTTGGCAGTCCGACGGCGGGAAGCTGCGGCCTCAAAGCGCTCCACGGCCTCCTCCAGTGTTGTTGCGCGTGAGACATGTGCAGAGTAGGTCGGGATGAGCTCGAGGATCCGGTTCAAAGTTTGCAAGGGATGGAGGGCGGACCATGGTGTTCGTAAGGGAGAATTGCTCATACATGCGATGTGATTGTCATTACCTTCGGTCGTACTTGACATCAGTGGCGTCAGAATCGTTCTTCACCGAGCCATTCCAGCCGTATAGTGCTCTCCAAAAGTATTTTGGTAGGGATACCAGTACCAGCGCGCCGACCGAGGCCGATACCAAATACCGTACTCTGTACCAGGATGATCGTCTGGTAAGTACTAATACTATACCAGGCGAGAGAGCATGGTATTGGTAGAATACCGATACCAGGCTGGTATACCATAGTATACCAGGCCCGGTAAGTCATCTCTAGACGACTCGCTATCGTGCAATAGGGTGCTTTATGAGGCTGTAAGGGTGTTGAGGTGAACCCGAGCACTCTTCCCGAGCCTAGACCTGCCCAATTCGTACCGAATGTCCAGAAGTGGGTGAGTTCCAGTAAGGAATGAGGAGCAATTTTTGCTTCCGTTGCCACCCCAGTCCGCCCACCATTGTCGTGATGGATGCTTTCATGCGATCATTGGGCTCTGACTGAGCAGCAATGTGGTTTGAGCATCGCCCTTTCAACTCTCCCGAGGCCATTGTTGTGTTGCTTCGAAGCTGTGGACCAATAAAGCGGTGCTGACTTCGGACAGAGTGGTGTCTGACTTCGGACAAAGTTGTGCCCGTTATTGGTCATAGCTCCAGGAGTAGCGCCAGTGCAGACCAGAAGGTACTTCAGGGCTACCTGAGAGCTGAGACTGAGATACGCAGTCACTCTACCCGCGCCGCCACACAAAAGGCAGCTCACGGAAGGAGGAGTGGCGGGAAAAGGTGTGGTAATTTTGGTATACCAGCCCTGATACCTGGTAATACCCGCTACTACTGGAATTGGCGAGGGCGATACCAAATACCGTACTAATACTAGCCCTGGCACCTGGTAGAAGTACTATACCATACCAGAGGCGTTGGTATTAGTATACCAGGCTGGTATTTTCCGCTACTAATACTATTGGAGAGCTCTACCTGAGCCGTACGGCAGTAATCTGTGCGGCGCCAGAGACTGGTATTCGCAGCTTGAAATATCTATCTGCAGCACGTATCTGAACCACCAGGCGCCGCGCCCCATTCGCCCGGGTGGCAAATGCTCCATCCATCTAGTACGCATCTTCAGCATGAGGCCCGCTCATCTCAGCCTCTTGGCATCAACACTGCAAGCTCCATGATAGTACTCACATGGAAGGCTACTAGTCAGTTGGGCCTCACGTCCCGTCGCTGTGGTGGGTGACGTGGTGGGGTAGAGGGTGTCGAATATGGCACAGCTGCACGAGCAGCAGCAGCCCTTTGCCGCCTGCGTGAAACTTAGCTCGAACATGGGCATAATCTTGACTGCCTCACTTTCACGCGGCCCCTGATATCTGACCGTCCCGGCTGGGACACTCTCGGCACTCTCTCGGCCCAAGTCTCTCCTACAGGAGCGACAAGTCCCGTTCCCAGCACTGCGAGTCAGCTGGCGTCGCATCTGCAGCAGATGGCTGCCAAGTATGGGATCAATCTTTTCGCGATCAAAGACACAGAAGAAGAGCCCGGAGACGGGACCCCTGACTGCGCCTCGGACGCGGAAGATGGCGACAGCGGTGCACCCATGGCAGGCAAACACAGCGAAGCGCAACTCGAAGACAGGACCTCGACACTCCCGAGCCAGCAGTACCCGAAACGCCCGGTACCGTCACAGAAGGTCCTTGATGACGTACTCGTGTCGCTTCCGCTCCCTGCAGAGATGCTCACACTCTCAAACAAACACCTCAGAGGCCTTGCTGTCCGTTGGGCGTTTGCTGCAAAGGCTGCCAAACGCCGGACAAAGAAGGCGTCGCGCGTGTCTTCCAGACCGAAGGAGAGCAGCGGTGCTGGTCCTTCGTCTTCCTTGACTTTATGACCCCGAGCTAGGCAGGACGGGCGCTGGAGTCGATGATGAATTTTCAGGGCAGGGGTACGAGGTCGACTAGAGGTGTATTAGCCGTTAGCAATTTGAGGTGATAGTTATGCGAGTCTGCGACATTGATATTGCTGAACTTTTCCTGGAGCCGACCCTCCCGAGATCCGGCAGCCCGATCCTGACCCTCAGTGTGTCACCTGATGAGTCTCCATGTCGCAGCTCGCATCAGACTCAGCTACACTTGATGCCTCACAGCCTGGGAGCCACGACACTGGCTTTTTTGAGGTACAGGAGTCCGGTCCAGGGTCAGGCAATGGTGGAGGGCGGCGGAGTCAAGGCGCGGGTGCGGCCAAGGTTAGATAGGCAGTGCTTCGTTGTGAGAGAGGTGGAAAAGGAGCGACCAGGATCAGTAATTGTGCTCAGTCTCGCATCATTCAATCGTGTAGACGCCTTCTCCTCGCATCTCGCATATTCAGTACATATTTAGTACATCTTATCGCTTAGCTTCCGATTACAACATAGGTCTATCTATACAGTCATTTCCGCTCATTTCAGACTGGTCTGCGCTCCCCGCAGAGCCAAATATGCCTGATCCGCACCTGGTCCCTATCAGATCAGCATACGTCTTTCGTGTACTCATCAGATCACAAAGTAGACAGGAGGTAACCTACCAAATTCCGCACGACGTGCCATAGCTCCAGCCCTTTATATCTGAGCTTGGTTCTTGGGTCGGTATATGCCGCCGCGAGTCCGGTGATGTCGCAATACTTCTTGGCTGGAAGTAGCGAGGGCGGGGCGGCAGGTGTATGGTCTGAGCATCAGTATGGTCCCGACCCGCATCAGTCGTATGCTTGGGAAAACGCAGAGCTCACAAGTAAAGACCTCTTTCCTCGGTACCCCTTCCAGCCCAGTAAGAACCGCCTTCCCCTCCCCTCCCTCCTCCTCATCCGGACTCTCCTCTCTCGCCGGCGTCGTAGCCCCACTCACACCTCCCTCCACATCCATCGGCGTACTGACGCCGCTCGCCCCAGCGGGTGGCCGCCCAGCCTTCTTTCGCCCCCTCATCAAATTCGCGATATTCCCCTTCTTGACCGGTCCCGTCCCCGCCTCTGCAGCTGACCCCTTCTTCTTCTTCCCACCCGTATCTATCGGCTCGCCCCTCAATTTCTGTCCGACCTGCATAGCAGACAAAAACCCATCCCCGCCCGAAACGCGTTCCCGCTCGAGCGTGAGGATCTGCTTGGCGTTCTTCTTGACGCCCGTGGTGGATGTTGAGGCGGTGCGCACGGATAAGCGAGAGACAAAGTGTGGGTTCTTGAAGGGTCTAGGAAGGTCGTGGTAGTTGAGTCGGTCAGCTAGGGTCTGGACTGTCAGCTCGAGGCTGAGGTGAGAGCAAGCAGGTTCAACTTGCAGGTCCGGTTTCTTCTCCTGGACCGGGCGTGGACGCATTGGATTTGCGAGGGTGGAACCCTCCCTTGACGAATTTGGGCCTGAATATCAGCGCCAGCGCCGCATCACAAGGTGCCACAGACCTACATATCGAGTAGATTGAGGTACAGTTGAAAGGGGCGTTCCATCAGCTCTGCTCCAGCAGCTGGGTGTGCGCCCTCCAGTTCCGTCGGAAGCGACCTGAAACACGGAGATCTCGTCACTGACCGCCTCGGCGCCTTTCGGCCCGTTCGCGTCGACGCGAGGTGACTGTGGCGAGGGCGAGATACCCTCCATGATCAGCTCTTCACCTATCACACCTGCCATCATCACCATCTACAGCCGATATACAACATGCCTGCCTCAGATGGACTCCGTAAGTCAACTCCCCTCCATCGCGGGGACCCAAGCCCCCAAATCCCGAGCGAGGCGCCTCTCATGACTCTAGCGGGGTACGCTGACTGGATAGAACCTATTCTGACCCCGGGGGAGAAGGCAGTCGTGAAAGACTATGGCGGCTGGACCAACTTCAGCCTGTCGTACGGTCTCAAGCCCTGGGAATCGGCCGACAATGCCGAAGCGCACCAAATCGCAAAGGGTATGGCCAGTAATGACCAGGCGGACGCCAAGGCCAAAGGGACCAGCAAGTGATACAGAGTCGATGATGGTAGGCCACGCCTGCAGATTGTGCGAAGATGAGCTGATTCCACCAGTCAAAATTATCAGCTTGAGGTCACGGTGGTAGAACACGCGGTTCTCGATAGCTCAGCAAGAAGCAGTAGAAACGGATGTAATGTGCATGATGTGGCGCCCAAAAGTCTCTCTCTGTGTCCCTACCCTCCAGGTACCCCGTCCAGACCATCTTCAACACCAAGTCTCTCTCTATGCCCCTTACCCCCAGATACCCCGTTTAGACCATCTTCAACACCTCCCCATTCTTCGCCCCCGCCTGCAATACCCTCGGATCAATCTTGCCTTCCCCCTTCTCCGGGCTCCATCCCGCCTCTCGTGACTTCTTCGCCATCTCGTCCCACCATGGGTAGAGCAGGTCTCGGGCGATAAGGCGGAACCAAGGTGTGAAAGAGTTGGCTAAGTTGTCAGCTGAGGTCCCAGGTATCAGGTGAGAGCAAGGACAAAGCTCACATGGATCGTTGAACATAGCTTCTAATTCGTCTTTCGAGACGTACTCGGCCGCACTAACTTCGTTTGGGTTTAAATTCAGGGTGACGTCAAGTGCGCAGAACAGGATGTAGTCGACTGAGATATCAGCGTGCGTGCAGACACTCCATCGCAGAGTGGGGAACGCACTCTCGTGCTCTCCCCACAGCCCATCACTAGGCGCCAGGTAGTGTATTCTTGTCAGATACGTGAAATCCTCCGCCTTGAGCTCTTCTGGCTTGATACCGAGCTCATGTGGAAGCTTCCGGATAGCAGCCGCACGGACACCTGAATTATGAGCTTGGATTTCCCTGGCATGGGCAAAGTCGTGGCTAGCTCACCAGCTTGGTCCTTCTCCACAAGCTCCGCCTTGATACTCAGAGGATGCGAACAGCAGGTGTTGGTCCACATCGATGGGAAGGTAATCTTCTCGTCTGCCCGCTTTTGAAGGAGGAGCCGTCCGTCCGATGGGCGGAAGAGGAAGACTGAAAATGCGCGATGTAGGAGGCCGTTGTCGATATTGGACATCAGATGACCTGAATGTCAGCTCGACTCTCCTGTCTATCTCATTGATCTATGTCCACGCGAGCAGCTCGCGCGAGCGCCTATCACTAGGTTGACTCACAAGTCTTCTTGCTGTCCTCGCCATACGCCTTATCATTTTCATCTACTAAGATACACCGCTCCTCCATGAGCCGGACCTGCTCCTCATCGTACGCATCCAGATCGGGCGCGGGCGCTGTCTGGGTCATCGTGGTGGTAGTAGACATTGCTGTATAGGAGAGGAATGAGGTGGTGGCAAGAGGAGCTTTTGACTTTTACGCGTCCACTTCAGTGGCACGAGGCGGAAGCAAATTTGGGTGGGGAGGATGACGGCATACATGAAACGCACGGAGAGGATCAACGCGTCGATTTCAGATGCAACTTTGATCTTTGTTACATCTCACCTGATCAGCTGCTATCTATAGCTGAGACTCCCTCAGCCGCTTCATCGTCATGCCGCCACGACGCAAGAAGGCATCAAGCTCATCAGACGCGAAGTCGTCCGGTCCTCGCATGGCCCGGTCCTCCCACGCGTCGCGGGACCGCAAGTCACCAGTTGTCGGCATCAGTTCTCTCCCAGACGAGCTCCTCGCGAACGGACATTGCACGCATGGGGGAGGAGCTGGCGATATGGCGGATGATGGCGGTCTCCAAGCAGATACGGGCAGCGGTGGAGCCTATGCTGGCTCCATATCTGGAGGAGAGGGAGCTGATCGCCCATCCCAGAATTTTGCGACACGGTAAGCTACGACCGCTGATACATCGCCGAGACGCTAGCTTATCATATAGCACCACTACGTCCCTCGCCATCCGATCCCTACGGCTGGGATCGCGAAGATGAACTCAGTGACGCATTCGATCTCTACCATGACCACCTCGATGCCTTTCCGCGCGGCCGAATCTCTCAAACGCCTCACGGTCGAGACTCACTGGGATAACGGGGAAATCGGCTGGGATCTTCTAGAAGAAGTCGGTCACAACCTCGAGGAGTTGACATTGCACCGGATTGCGACACGTGGGAGGTCTCGCTGCCCAACCTGGCTCGCCTGACCATGTACGCTGCCGGTCTGCCGATCTGGCAGCTTGCAGAGATACTGGAGACCTCAACGCGACTCCAGTATCTCGCGGTCTACTCCGATCATCAGGATGAACACGGACCGGACGCGGAAGTATACCCTCTTCGGCTCGACGAACCCAATCTCGCTCCCTCCCTTCAACACCTCCACACCGTATATCTCGCCGGTCATATCCAATCTCTTTTGGACGTCACAGAGGCATTTCCCAAACTCCCCAACCTACGTTTCGTCACCCTAGACCCAAATTGCGGTTCATACGAGACCTACCATCTCTCAGAGATCATCCGATCTCTCGGAAAATGCAAGAAATTGGAGGGTCTGGCGGTGTTCAGAGCTCCGGCGGTGGATTTTGTTGCAAAGGCGATGAAGAAGCGACAGAGGGGATGTCTTGATAGAGTCAAGCATCTTGTGCTGGACGACACGGCGGATGCTGGCTTCTTGCTTATGGATGAGGTGGGTTCCCTTTGTGTTTTCGGGTTCATAGAAGCCTTGCTGACATGCCCAGGAATTCAATAAGCGGAAACCCCAAATGGCAAGCCTGGAGCGCATCACCTATATACGCCCTCTCCACTACGAGCCCCCACCACCGGCCTGGCCAGATATCCTATACGTACACGACGACCTACAAGAAATCTTCGACCACTACCCCACCCTCCAATCTGTACTCGTCGTTTTCGGCTATCCTCTCGACCATTTCGCGGTCGACCATGACGTACACGTGCCGAATGTGCTCTGCCGGGTCACTCGGCCGGAAGGGGGCGGGCCGATGCAGCCTGTCGGGTCACATGTCGCTCCGCGTGATCCGTGGGAGGGGGTGGACAGGGGGAATAAGGCGAAATGAGGGGGAATGGCGACTCGTTGTGGATGGTCAAGGATGAGAAGAGCACAGTGGGTGTCGGGGGAGGTGGATTTGGCGGATCAGTGGGCGAGGGCGCGTCTCCCGGACTTCGACGTTCGTCGAGGCTCAGTACTCAGAGCAGCTCAGTGCATGTGAATGAAAATGTACGCACGGACCTGCTTTAGCTGCAGCTTGCGCTTGGTGCGCAAAACATCAAGTCCCTCTGGCTAGCGTTGTCCTGCATTGACATCATACATTTGTCCTGCTTCAATCCACTCCATCTCTTCGCATCGTGCTCGCACAGAACTGGCCCTGAGACCTATCCCATCTTCGTCAGCTACCGCCTACCATCTCCCAGATGTCCGATGGGACTGGTTTCTCCGCCTTACCGGAGGAGGTATTGACGGTCATTGGGGGCTTCTGCCAGGAGCTTTTAGTGTGGCGGCTGATGGCGGTCTCAAGAAAGGTGCGCAGGGCGGTGGAGCCGATGCTAGGCCGCTTTTTGGCGGAGCGGGAGCTGGTCGGTCATCCATGTCTGCTGGAGCATCGTGAGTGTCGAGACTTCAGACTCCATACATCCTTATCGTACGTGAGCTAATGAATCAGTACCTCTTCGCTCTGTCGAAGATGAAGTCGAGGTCGAGGATGCGGAGCGCGCGTCAAAGCTGTTGGAAATTGTCAAGCGATTCGACAAGCATCTCACCGCAAATCCCCGCTCCCTCATCGCACTGAAGCGGCTCACTATCGAGTGTAGATGGGACGAGGATGATCACGCCAGCTGGTATCTGCTAGATCGCTTCCCAGAGCTCGAGCAGCTCACGATGATGTTCGTCGTTCGGCCCCAGGATGGACCCGGCCAGATTGATCTGCTAAAGCTGTCGGATCTGACGCTGTACTCCACTGGTGCGCCAATCTGGCAACTCCTCGGCTTCCTGGAGACCGCCAAGGAAGTCCGCTCCCTCAAGGTCCTCTCGGGTTATCGGAACCCAGTCATCCCGGACCCGCTCTCAATGCCTATCGTCCTTGAGGACGATTTCTCTCCCCTTCTACAGAAGCTTCAGCGCGTCTACCTAGCCGGTCACCTTGAATCCCTCGTCAATATCACGCGGGTCTTCAGTACGCTGCCCGCGCTGGAATACGTCACTCTGGACCCCTCTGGCGACACATACTCCGAAGAGCAATTGGGCAACATCCTTCGATCCATCCGGAAGGGCGGGACCGTGCACAGCCTCGCGCTGTTCGGGCCCGCTGCTTTGGATTTCATGGCGGAAGCCCATGATCCCTCCCAGCATGGGTGTCTCAATGGGATCCGGCTCCTGGTGCTCGATGAGACGGGGGACCAAGGCTATACAATGATGGTGCCGCCGGTGAGAAGGCTGATCTGCGATTCTGACGGGCGTTTCACTGATCAGATATAGGAAAATTACAACCCCAAACCGGACATGAACTCGCTCGAGCGGATCCCATATGCGCGGTATCCAAACCTTTCACCAATCCAACCGCTCTGTCCGGGCGTGCTCTATGTACACGAGGAGCTTCAAGAATTCTTCGATACCTATCCCACCCTGCGTTCCGTCATGTTTCTTGAGGGGTATCCTCCCGATCACTTCGCTGTCGATCATACCGTACTCGGGCCCGACGTCCTATACCTCGTCACTAGACCGGAGGGCGGCGGACCTATGCGGGCTATCGGACCACTCGTTCCGTCCTAGAAGGATTCCTCGAGGAGTGGGGGAAGAGCCTGAGGAATTGGGGAAGAGCGAATGGGCGGGACGGGTGGAGCTTCTTTTGCGGCGTAACAGGGTGGTCAGAGCGGGATGCGGGCGCGCAAGGGATGGCGAGAGAGCGGGCTAGTCTACGTGAATCTCTTGTCTTATAGCTAGTTTCAACGGATTCGTACGCACGGACTTGCTTTTGGCGCTGGCGCCGGAGAAGAACAGCGGTCTGCGCCATCTCGGGCTTCTTCCACCGTCCATATATCCACCTCACACCCAGACCCGAGAATCAATACAACGCGATCCCATATCCGTCGGTATTCCAGACTTGTCCGGCCTAGAATGCCACCTTCGCCAGAAATACATCATCAGACGCAGGCGGCCAGCGATCTCGGCTTACCCTCCGGCCCTTTGCTCTGTGATCTGCCGTATCACGCCCTCGCCAATGTCGCGTCTTACTCGGACGAGTTGACGATATGGCGGATGATGGCTACATGTCGGACGCTCCGTCACGCCGTAGAGCCGGAGCTCGGAGTGCACTTGACGGAACAGGAGGTATTAGTTGGCAACCCTCTCGTCAGCCACAGTAGGTTGATTTACTTGACTACTGCGGTTTCTCGACCGGGAACGTGCTGATATATTAGCCCCTCCAGGAGCGACCGGAGTCGATACCCGCAGCTCCGAAGTCTTGACCTGCGCATGATCGGCGGTCCTTCGGCCATCACAGCCGAATCCTTCCCCGAATTACTCGATCTCTCCCTCTTCACCACTCATCGCCCGCTCAATGACCTCACCGCGTTGCTCGAACATACCCCTAAACTCCGCTCCCTGACAGTCATTTCAGAGTGGGATGGCGAGGATGGCGAGTACGAGACGGAGCTTTACGGGAAGCTCAACAAGCTACTCGCCCTTCCCCACTTGACCCGCATCGTCGTCGCCGGTCATATCGAATCCCTCTTTGACCTCACATCCAACTTTCGGCACATACCCTCTCTACAATACATCGCCCTCAATCCCACTTCCGGGACCTACGACGGCGAGATCATCGACTTCCTCCTCCAATCAATCTACTCGTGTAAAGCTCTGCAGGGTCTCGCCATCTATGGCTCGGCGGCGATCGAGATCTTGGGGACAGCAGGGTGGAACGGTCAGGAAGAGTGTTTGGACCGAGTGCGGCACTTTGTCTCGGACAGGACGATGTGCGAGGAGACTTTCAGCATAGTCTACCCGCTGCTGTGGGCGGTGAGTTCATTGCCATGATTCACGGGCTCCCGCTAATATACCTTACAGGAACACCCAGATCTTCGTCCAGACATGCCTGCTCTCCAGCATATCACCTGGATATCGACCTTTAAACGCCTGCTCTCTCCCAGCGGTACATTCGACTCGGCCCAAATGGTCTCTACCGTATTCTACGAGGACTCAGAGCTCCTCGCGGTCTTCGCCAAGTACCCAAACCTCGCCCACGTCGAGTTCGTCGATGGCTACCCTTCCGATCCCTTCCTCGAGCCGACATCCGCAGGGACTCTGGATGGCCGAAACATCCTCTGCCGAGTGGATCGACCGGACGCGGACGAGCCTCTTCGGCCTCGCTTTTACCCCATCGCCCCGTGAGGCGACGGGCCAGCATGGAGGGGCTTTCGGGCGGGCGCGGGATGTAGATGGGTGGGTGATATGAGGATGCTGGAGGAGTCAGCGGGCGGACAGTCTGGGACACCGGAGGGGATACGGTATATCATTTGGGGCTTCTACGTGGACGGCGAGTCGAGGCGAGATCGGACCATGCATTCTATATCAAGCCTGTCAGCTTCAGATTTCGACGCTGATCTGACCCTTTGTATCACCGGCCTGCTCTGTATACTCGCGAGAAACCCTTCTTGACGAGCTGAGCGAGGTCACAAGAGCCTTCAAGAGGACGCACGGATCTGCCTCATCAGCAGCTTCGAGTTCGCGTCCACATTTCGCACTTCTCCATCATCCTTCATCCAACATACAGCTTCTACCTTCCTCCTGCCCTTCTTCCAGACCCCCTCGTCGACACAGTAACGGAAAGCAGGAAGGAGGCCTTCCTATTCATCCCCTCCTCCCCTGTCGCTGTCTGCTGCATCATGCCCCACCGACCCAAACGTCCGGTCCAGCCTCCGCATCCTCCTCCCGGCTCGGTCTCCCTTCCTGAGCACGTCTACGCGACGATCGCGTCACACTCGGATCAAGCCACGATACGGCGGCTGAGCGCTACCTGCCGTGCTACCCGGTACGCAGTGAAGGTGCAGCTGAAGGAGTTGACGGGCGTCGTGGTGATCATCCAACCTTCGTTGGTCAGTCAGGGTAGGTGCATCTCGAAAAGCCTTGATGATGGATGCAGATATTCTCAGAGCTGACGATACAGCGCCTCTACGAGTGTCGGAGTCAGTCTCTCCCGCTGTCACCCAAGCGCGAGGGAAGCTCGGACAGGCCCGAAGGGCCGCCCTCATAGAGGCGATTGACCGGTTCGCCTCCCACCTCGCCACATTCCCTCGCTTTGCCAGCGCGCTTCGCCAGCTGCCATGGAGGTCAGATGCGACAGCAAAGACGTTGGCTGGCCTCTCATCAACTCCCTGGCGCCGCAACTCGAGTATCTATCTCTCCACGTCGTCGGGAGTGGCTCGCTACCCATCACCGCTCCTGCCTTTCCGGAACTGCTCAAATTCTCCCTCTTCACCACCGGCGATCCTTCCGAGGGTCTCGAAGCCATCTCCCGGCGTGCCTCAGACCTACACGCCTTACAAGTTATCTCCCGTCCGGCGAGCAATTGGACGGGGATCGGTCGGTTCAAGCTCGACAACGTCATCGGCGGATCTCACATCACTAGCATCTCCCTCGCAGGCCCTCTCGATGCTTTCTTGCCCATAGCGACTCGCGCGAGGAAGCCCTGGCCTCTTCGGAGGATCATCCTCAACCCCTCGCCCGGCTCCTTCCACACTTTTTGCGTCAAATACATGCTCAGTTCTTTCGACAACTGTAACGCCCTCGAACAGCTTGCGATCTACGGTCCAGCGGCTATCAGCATCCTCGCGGCGGCCCGGGCGGATGATCTCTACAATAAGTGCCTGGACCACGTCCAGCACTTTGTGTTATCAAAGACGAGGAGCGAGGGGACCGGTTGGAAAATGGTGTATCCGCTGCTGTTCACAGTAAGCTTTCTCATATTCACATTATTTTACAGCGCTGATAGGCCAAGGATTACACTCATAAGCGGCCTCTTATGTCTGCCTTAAAGCGCATAACCTGGATCTCGACGAAGAACACCCAGCGGTCTCGGTTCGACGGAAATTACCTCCCCGCCGACCTGACACCTACCGCCTACTATACCGACACCGACCTCCGCGAGGTCTTCCATACCTATCCCAGTCTTGACTTTGTCGAATTTGTCGACGGCTACCCGGTAGACCCCTTTCCCAGTGTCACGTCGGCGAGGACTCTAGACGGCCGGAACGTCCTTTGCCGCGTGGACCGACCGATCGGGTACGAGCCACTCCGGCCTCGGTTCTACCCTATCGTCTCGTGAGGCGGTAGGTCCGGCTGGCGGCGGAGGTATCGGTGACGGAGCTGGTGGTCCAGGGGAAGGGGATGGTCATGGTACGGAGCGTATGGAGGGAGGGGGTCGGAGCAAACGTGGAAAGGGGTTGAAGGGATAAGAACGGACAGGCTAGGCTGGAACGGGGACCGACATATATTACTCGGATCGGCAAGAAGGCAAGAAACTCGAGAAGACGACTATGCACGCACCATCATCATGTACACTTCTCAGCCTAGATCTCAGCTCTCTCTGATACTGGTACTGACTTCTCATCCTCTTCAGCTCCATCATCGTGTCGTCGGCTCGGACGGGGCCGGTCTTTACGTTACCGCCATCTCCGATTTTGCTTGCTCATTCCTCGCTCACATTCCTTGCTTTTCGCTCATTCTCTCTTTCCGCTCATCTGCCTATGTCTCTCATCCGAAACAGCTTTTACAAGGTCAGATAGTGAACCTTCCTGATACTACCATATCACTTGGTCCCCCCCTTCCAGTATGGCCGTCCCACTCGCTTCGATCGGCGGAATACCGGCCGATGATATCCACTCCCGCGCCTGCTTGGGATTGCTGCCGGAGCATATCCTCCGTGAAGTGGCATTTTACTCGGACGAGAAGACATTATGGCGGATGATGGCGGTATGCAGAGGGATACGGGAGGCTGTTGAGTCGGAGCTACGCCCCTATCTGGCGGAGAAAGAGGTGATCTGCACGCCGCTGCTGGTTCCGGACAGTGAGTGGATGTCTATCACCCCGGCTGGCTGGCTATATCGTCGCGTGACATGCAGCTCATCTGCTCCAATGCTGAACTTTCAGAATCATATAAGACCGAGGATCCCACCGATTTCCACCCGAACATCGCCGAGTACCGTCGGAACCGCCTTCGTGTCTTGCGCCACTATGGTGACCGCTTCGACGCGCACCTTCTAGCCTATGCACCTGCCACTACTCACCTACGTCGGCTCATCGTCGAGACCGGAGTGGATGATCAACAAGTCGGCTGGGACCTGGCAATACGGTTCGCCCCGCAACTTTCGGCTCTGGAAGTGCATGTTTGGGACACCGTTCGCAATGCCCACCTGCCGCTTGAGGTCTGGCCAGAGATCTCCTTCCCACACCTCACCAACCTCGTCATCGCTACATGCCAGCGTCCGATGGGTCATCTCCGACACTTTCTCACCCGCGCGTCGGTTCCCCTACTCCGGCATCTCACTATCAGCTCGCCGACAAACCAGCCAACTGACGGCGCCCTCATCACATTCGAAGTAGAAGAGATGCCGCCTTTAGAACACATTTTCGCGACAGGATCTATCGATTACATGCCTGAGCTCCTGGCGGATCTCAATCTCTACCCATCCATTCGCTACGTCGCTGTACGGGAGGAATCGGGGTTGGTCAAAGAGTTCACCCTGGAGTGGCTCGGGAACTCTCTCGGACTATGTGACGGTCTGAAAGGACTCGCTCTGCTTGGCTTCTCGGCTGCCGACATCTTGGAAGTCGCTCTAGAAGCTGGGCAAACAAGCGAGGACGAGGAGTTCTCGTACCTCTGGGCGAATTTGGAGATGCTGGTCCTTGAGGAAGAGCTCGATGGCGCAGGGATCAGTGAGCCGTCCGAGGCTGATAAAATGTTGAAAATGCTAGCAGATGTGAGTCAGCCGTACATCTTCAGCTAATAATCAGGCGAATCCTCACCATGATTGGATCTTCGACTCGCTGAGGCAGATCGTGATTGTCGGACGGGTCGGCCCAGACGGCCCTCCTGAGGTCTACCACCTCCCCACCCTCTTCGACCTCTGCAGGTCTCTCGAGTATGTCGTCTGGATCGCCACATGTCCGGACGACCCTTTCTCGTTTGATCCCACGGCGGTCGACGATCCGACAGTCCTTTGCTGCGTCCGTCGACCTACGAAGTCTTGCCCGCTACCAGCCCATCTTCGGGCTGACCGTAGTCGCATAGTTGAGGAAGATGAGGAGTCGTGGGACGGACGGCCGTGGTAGAGAGATTGTGAATAGATGGTGTATGGCATGTAAGTCATAAGCCTTTCCGCCGAGAGCGGGGTCTGTATCGCTCAGTGCCTGTCGGGGCTAGGGGCTTTGCGGTCGCCGTCAACTCTCCTGCCTACCTACCGGTAGGGGATATAGCAAATTTTCGGTAAGGGCACAAGCTGACGTCAGATCCGAAACATGCACACACACACACCCAGCTCAGGAACGGATCTATCTTGATTTTGACTTCGACTCGTCATCACAACTTTATCACTCAGACTCCATCTATCCATCTCCCCTTCACCTTCTCTTTAGCATACTTTCAACCTCCCCGAACGCAGCCGAGGGGGTACTTACCGGCATCATGTCCGACCCTCCCCCCTCTCTCGACTCGCTCCCCCCACACGCCATCGAAGCTATCGCCGGATGCTTGGACGAACGGGGCGTCTACGCGCTGATGGCGACTTCGCGGTACCTGCGAGAGGAAGCGGAGCCGGCGTTGAAGGCGTACTTTACAGAGAAGAGGGTCGTCGCTGAGCCTGCGTTGGCACCAGATGGTACGTCTGTTTTGGGGTCTATGGGGAGCGCGCTGATCGGCAGTCTTCACCCTCATTGACCCTATATTGGCTTGGACCGGCCAAGCTCGGGACACGCGTCTTCAAGAGAAGAGCGACATCCTCGACGCGCAGATCACCCACTTTCCCTCCTCCGCTATTGCCCTTCGCAAGCTCACCATCGAGCTCGCCGACAATCACGCCGCACGCGCGTGGGAACACCTCCATCGTTTCGCCGAGCAGCTTCACCACCTCGAGCTGCACGTGCGCGACACATACTTTGATCACTCGGTCCAATATGGCGGGGACGACTCGGTCGCCAGGTTTGGCTACCTTGGCACGCCCGAGTGCTGGGATGATTGCCTCACGGAGACTTTCGCCAACCTCACCCGCCTGACCATGATCTGCTCTGGGAGAGGAGCCGAGCACTTCGCGCGTCTCGCTCCCCTTCTTCCGCAGCTCCAGGAGCTCTCCCTCTCCTCTCACTTTCGCGGTCCGGAAGATATGGACCAGCCGGAGCTCATCACCCACGCCGCTCCATTCCCCTCCCTCGCGCGTCTCACGCTGGCCGGACACGCCGAGTTTGTCATCGACGTACTACGCGAAATCCTCCCTCACGCCCCTATAACCCACCTCATCCTGCACATCTCCGAGCGCATCTCCACTTCTACCCTCTCGGTCTCGCCCTTCCGCTCCATCCAACCTCTTCTTGAGCTCATCAATGACGACGGGCGCGAGCTGGAAGGTCTGGCGCTGTATGGCTGGAGCTCGTACGATTTCTCCAGGTGTTTGCGGGCGGTACAGGATGGGGAGAATGGGTGGAATGGGGCGTTTCAGCGGCTAAGCAGGTTGATTCTGGGGCGGGACGAAGATAAGCGGGTGTTTCATCTGCTGGATGATGTGAGTACTTCTTGGTCCGTCAAAGAGACATGTAGCTGATGTGCTGGCAGAAATTGGGCGTATCGCCGAGTTTACCATCTCTCCGTCGTCTCGCCTGGATCGACCGGCCTGTCGTCAACCTCTTTCCTCGTCGTCGCACCTCGGGTGAGTCCCCTCCTGCCCCTAAGCTATACGAAGACGACCAGCTCCGTGCTTTGTTCGAGCGGTATCCCATCTCGCATGCGCAATGGCTCGACTCGTACCCCTCCGACCCCTTCCGGAATGAGCATACCACCGCAAAAGGCGCGACCTCGGCCAAGCACATCAAGTGCACGGTGTACCGTCAGAATGGGGATGCCCCACTTCGCGCCTTCCGTCCCGCCCCACCCATTCCCAGTCCGGCGACACTGCCCCTATCGCCCAAGCCGGATGCGGGTCAGAACCGGAACACCGCGAGCTCTGGTGAAGGCCTCCCGCCCAAGCCAGAAGCGTATCGACCCAGACTGCCCGCTGTTCCTGGATCAGCACCCCCGATCTCGCCCCAGTCGGACAATAGCTGGTCGGATAGGACCCCTAGGGGATGGAGTCCGAGGGGAGGAAGTCTGCGGGGCGGGAGCACACGGGGAGGCAGTCCGAGGGGAGGGAGCCCGAGCGGATGGAGTCCGAGGGGAGGGAGTCAGAGTGGATGGAGTCCGAGGGGAGGGAGCCAGAGTGGATGGAGTCCGAGCGGAGGGAGCCCGCGTGGAGGGAGCGATGTGGGTCCGGCCGACCCGCATCTCCGGCCCAGGCTGGACATAGCCAACCTCGCTAGAAGAGGTCTACCTCTCAAGGCGGAAGCGTATCAGCCCAGACAGCCCAGACAGCCCTCCATCCCCGGGTCGGCACCGCCGCTCTCGCCCGAATCGGATTACTGCTGGTCGGATAGGAGTCCGAGGGGCGGTAGTCCGCGTGGAGGAGGCGATATGGGTATGGGGAGTAGCAGGGGAAAGAGCAGGTACAATCTTTGGGTGCCTTGAGTCTGGCGAGGCGGAGTGGTGAGGTTGATGGCTACAAGAGCGAGGGCGGGTTTTAGGTTATAGGTGGTCCAGGGACCTAGGTGAAGAGGGAACTTCATAGCCATGCGTCATGTCTCCATGTATGCCCTCTCTGCAATACTCCTGATCATGTAGCCATGGGCGCATCTCGCTATTATGGTCCACGTTGAAAATGAATACGAGAGGACGTATCAGCAGCTCAGGCGCCCAGGTTGAACTGAAACACGCTCAGGCCCTCAGGCACGGTCGACCGGTCCTCAAGATTGGCCAGACAACCCTGTCACCTCGGCAATCCACCTTCTCCTCATTCTCTCTTTCTTTTTTTATCATCCACCTTCAGCTTTTCAGTCTACCACCTTCAGCGTCATGTCTACCGAGTGGCCCTCCCTCGACTCGCTCCCGCAAGACATCATGCGCGAGATAGCGGCCAGCACGGAGGATCCATCAACTATATGGGCAATCATCGCGACGTGCAGGTCGTTGAAGGCAGGCGCTGAGCTGGCTCTCACACCTTACTTCAGGGAGAGGAGGATACTGGCGATTCCACCTATGACCGAGAGCGGTAAGTCTTCCTCGAAATTTGGTCTTCAGTCAAGCGGTATGGGGAACCCGGCTGATGGTACAGTCTTCACGTCAATAGACTCAGACCTCGCATCGACCAGCACCGCGCGGAACCAGAGCATGGTCCATCGATGCCAGCGGTTCGAATCACTCTCCACTTTCATCCCTTTGGCCGGTACCGCGATCCGCCGACTCATCGTCGAGGTCACAGACGAGCCCAACTCGCCCGGCTGGGCCCAAATCCGGCGCTTCGCAGCCCAGCTGCAGTCGCTCGAGGTGCATGTTCGGGAGTCGACATGGGCGCGTCCGATTGAGGTCCTACGCTCCGGCGGCGGCGGCAGCCTCGTATGGTGGAAGCACACACCGCGGGTGTGGGGCGAAGCGCTCGCGGGGATCAGCTTCCCGCTCCTCGTCGACCTCACCCTGGTCACCACCTCTCGAGTCGGAGAGCATTTCCTCCGTCTCGCTCCCTTCATCCCAAACCTCCAGTCCCTCACTCTGTCCTGCCATCAGCACAGCGATCTCGACGAAGGGCAGCATACCATCATCGCTGAGCTCCTTCCCAAGTCCGCAACCTTCCCACACCTCAAGACCCTCATCCTCGCCGGCCACGCCACATTCATCGACGAGCTTGCGAGACGCCTCCTCCCAAAGACCCCAAGTCTGCGGGCCCTCACCATCCATTTGGCCAACATCAAAGATTCGATGTATGACACCATCACCCCTTCGACGATGAGGCGAATTATACATTGGAGTGTGGAATGCTCCAGACTGCAAATGCTGGCGTTGTACGGCTACGCGGCGTACTACTTCCCGGGTGTACTGCGCGACCTTGAGCGGATGGGAGGAGCCCAAGCAATGCTGGGCGTGGAGAGGCTGGTATCGGACGGGAGGGGTCTGGCATCACATGAGCTCGCGTCGAGACCCACGCACTACATGGTGGACGATGCAAGTGATCCTTGACTCGTATTCTGCTGCCTGCGACCTAGCTAATGACGCAGAACTCTCGACCGAGTCTTCCTGCTTTGAAGGAACTGGTCTTTATCACTCTCGAGTCCAAGTCGCGCTACACCGACCGACCCGAACCCAAGCTCGACTTTCCTCCTCCATTCGTCGACTCGGTCCGAAGTCTATTCGACCACTACTCTGGCCTCTCTCGCCTGGACTGGGTCAACAGTTACGCCAAAGACCCATTCGTCAGCATGTCTGACCCAGTCTGGGCATCGCAGCATCATACATGCTCTGTCCTGCGACCCCGCGACGACCAGCCGCTGGACCCCGTCTTCCCGAACGAAGTCCCGTCGGCTATGGACAAGGACAGTGCTGGTGTCGATGACATCGGAACCGCTGCTGAGGGTACGGCGTAATCGACCAGTCGATCTGCGCGGCAGCTGGTACAGGCGATCCAAACGTAGGGAGGGAAGGCGGGCTTAGGATGGGCTGGCGCGATGGGCATCGGGCTGGGTATGAAATAGTGCATAGCCGGGATTTGATGTTCATATCATAATCGTCTGCATGTAATTCTAGTGTGTATGCGGTCCTCAGGCCTCAGGAACGAAGATGATGACGAGCAGCGGACCCATGGGTTTGAAAAAGGGTGGACGACTTAGCGCGCTTTGCCAACTCCACATTCCTCGTCAAGTGCAACGCGCTCCTCTTCCAACCCCTCTTTCTTCTTTTGCCTTTCATCCTCTATTCTCGGGATATCAGCCTACAGCCTTCCTCAATCCCCAGGCTTCTCCAGTAACCTCAGTGACTCCTACTCAGGCGGGACCCAAACCGCTTCCCAGCTCAGCGCTCAAGCGTGACGCGTCAGATCTACCATCCCCTTCGCTCCATCAATCAACCTTCTTACCGCTCCTTGCCCGCGATGTCGGACAGGCCAGCCAGCCTCGACACTCTCCCGCAACACCTTATCGAGGCGATCGCTGCCTACACAGGCGATGCGAAAAGCGTATGGCGGTTGTTGAAGGTGTGCACGGCGGTCCGGCTCGGAGCGGAACCAGCTCTCAAGCCGTATTTTGAGGAGAGGAAGATTATTGGTAGCCCACCCTTGACGACCGACAGTGAGTCGCAGATTCTCAACCGTGCTGGAAGCTCAGAGGATCATCATGGGGGGCAGTAGCTGATGCCATCAGTCTTCGAACTCATTCCCAAAAAGTTCGCAGAGAGGGACTCGAAGCGCGACCTCGGTATCTCGAAGCGGTCCCAGCGGTTCGACGACCTCCTCGCCGCTCATCCATCGGCCGGTACATCACTCAGACGCCTCACTGTCGAGGTCGACGATTATAAGCGGGCGGTCTGCTTTGCCCATATCCAGCGGTTCGCTCCTCAGCTCACGGCTCTCTCGGTGATCATGCGGGACTCCTTCTGGGAAGACTCCATCGCTAACGAAGGGTACGACGACGCGGTCCGCTCGGTCGTCCTCGAGAACTCGGTCGATACGCCCCACGTCTGGGACGACGTTCTGGCTGGTATCCAGTTTCCCCACCTCACGCACCTCGAGCTCATCTCCACCTCTCGTGGTGGGGAACACGCCGCTCACATCCTTTCGCACGTTCCCCACCTCAAAAGCCTCGTCATCTCGTCTCACTTTTGGGGAGAGCACGCGACTGCCCAGGAGGAGATCTTCGCCGAGCCGTTAGCGGAAGCTGCGCCCTTTCCCAACCTCGAACACCTTGTCCTCGCCGGTCACGGTGCTCCGGTCGAAGCTCTCGCAGAGGGCATCATCCCCCACTCGCCAAAACTCACCACCATTACCCTGCAGATATCAGATGCTACCCCCAACGAGTACTCGGACTGGCGGTTCCATTCGTGCGCCCCCCTCTTACGCTCGATCGCTCAGTGCAAGCAGCTCAAAGCTCTAGCTCTGTACGGCGAGGCCGCGTACCATTTCGGCGCTTCTCTACTGTCGCTCCAGAAGCGGGGAGTTCCGGGCGCTAGTTTGGAGAATCTGAAGCGGCTGTTCTTGGACGAGATCCAGATGGATGCGGATAGAGGCAGCATCCATCACCTGCTGGACATCGTAAGACTTGCCCTTACACGAAGTTATGACATGCCGAGCTGATGCGCCAGATCCACATGCCCGAGTTACCAGCTATCGAGCAGATCTTCTGGTCGCACCGCCAGAGATCCGCCAATACCAAAGGCATGCGCACCAATCACTCCGTCGGCGTTGCCCAACTCCGGAACGTCTTCAATCAGTACCCTACCCTCCAGAAAGTCCATTGGCTTGACGCATATGCGAGCGATATCTCGGCGGACCCACTCGAACCCGTCTGGTCGGCTGCACACATCTTCTGCCACGCCGCTCGTCCTATCGACGATCAGCCCATTCGGCCTATCTATCCGATCCGAGTCGAGGCGCCTCCCACAGTCGAGCAAGCGGCGGTAGCGGCCAGGGCGGCGGCAAAGGTACCTACCAGGAAGTCGGAGAGGCAGAGGGTCAGCAAAGGCCGGAAGTAGGGAGGGGCGCGAAGCAGGGCGGGGCCGGAAGGTGGACAGGTCTGGGTGAGCCTTAGGCGGACAGGGTGAGGGAAACGATAGGGGGTCAGTACGTATTGATATCATTGCGATTCGGACAGGTCAGATTGTATATACATCATGCACGTCATCATGCTATCTCTTGGCACCTTTTGGCACTACAGCGCTGCAATGCGGCGACGTGAAGATATAAAGGGGAGGATGCATTACAGACCAGAGCTCAGAAGTGCCGTCGCTGCCAGCTCCGCATTCCTCGCGTTCAAACTTCAAGACCGTCAACTTCGCGCGTTCATGCTTTGGTCTCCTTCTATAGCCTTCAAGACAACACCTGTCCCGCTCAGCTCATCACCGACATAGAGGACAACGCGCCCACGTCCGACCTTTCCCCGACTGTATCGAGCTTCCCCGCGCTCATCAGCTTCTTTGGCTCGAAGACTTCCTTCCCCTTCACTTAATACTCCGCAACGCTTATCACAATGACCGACAGGCCAGCCAGCCTCGATACGCTTCCTCATCATCTCATCAATGCGATAGCCGCGTATACTGGCGATGTCAAGGGGGTATGGCGCATGATGAAGGTGTGCAGAGCGGTCAGGCTGGGGGCGGAGCCAGCCTTGAAGCCGTACTTCGAGAAGAGGAGGATCGTGGGTACTCCCATCTTGACAGAAGACAGTACGTCAGACTTCCATAACTACATACGTGCAAGATCAGCCGGTGCATGTAGCTGACAAGCCTAGTCTTCGAGCCCATACACCCAAAATTCGCCAAGAGGGACTCGAAGCGCGACCTCCTAATCTCCAAGCGGTCCAAGCGGTTCGACGACCTCCTTGCCGCTCATCCCTCCGCCGCTACCTCGGTCAAGCACTTTACGGTCGAGATGGACGACTACAAGTCGTCCGTCGGCTACGCCCATATCCAGCGCTTCGCTCCGCACCTCGTCGAGCTCGTCATTCACATGCGGGACTGCCACTGGACGAACTCGCTCGAGTACGAAGAGTTCGGCGATGACGCCCGGTCGGCCATCATTGAAAACTCTATGATGACCCCTCAGGTCTGGAACGATGTCCTGAAGGGCTTGACCTTTCCCCATCTCACCCACCTCACGATCATCACCACATCCCGGGGCGGCGAGCATGCGGCCTATATCCTTCCTCATCTCCCGAATCTAACCACCCTCGTACTCTCCTCGGGGCGTCTACGAAATGGGTCAGGACGAGACCATCGCCGGGGACCTACCCAGTTCTTGGCGAAAACGCGGATAGTAGGGCAGAACCCCATCGTCTCCGCCAGAAACCGTAAGCTCCTTTGGCTTTCGAGTTGACTAGCATTACTTCCACGCCCAAGAAGCCAGAGCTGATGTCTCAGCGTACTGCCCAATCGAGTTCCTTACCAAGCCGCGAGACGACTACGAGCTCCGGATGCGGTATGCGAGCTTCGACACGCTTCTCGGCACTCATCCTGGCATCGGCTCCTACGTTCGGCACCTCACCGTCGAGGTGGACGCAAGCAAGCTGTCTGGCGGGTGGTATCTAGTCCAACGCCTGGCTCCTCGCCTGACCCAGGTGTGTTAAGTTTTCAAGAGCAGACTGGGGATGCATACGACTCGTTTGGCTCTTCTTATATATTCCAGACCTATCGATAGCTAACCTATCAAGCTATCGATACGTAGCGACCTACTGATAGCCTATCGATAGCTAACCTATCGATAGCCCTAAGCTATCAACCTAGCGATAGCTAACCTATCGCTAGCTATTGCCTATCGCTTCGATAGTCCACTGATAGCTACCACTTCCGGTATGCCAAGCTGATGAGCCTTATCATGCGCTAACTTTAACAAGGTGTCCTTCCACATCATCACCAACCCTCGGGAGGCAGATCTGGACACCGAGACGCATCGATGGCACGAGGACAGTCATCGGGACGGGGACATTTGGGACCGGCTGTTCGTCAGTCCCAAGGACACGCCGTTTCCGAACGTCACGACGGTCTCAATAGCTGTCACAGACCGGTGATGCTGCATACTGTACGCGCCTTCTCCGGTACTTCCCCCACCTGCACGACCTTACCCTCATCGGCTATCCGCACAGCGCACCACTCCCTCCGTCCGAATCCGGCGCAGCCGGCCATTACGCTGAGCTTCAGCGGCTCACCGTGATCGGCAGCAGCTACATGGTCGAAGGTATCGCTACCAAAATCCTCCCGCACTCACCGAAGCTCCAATCCCTCATTGTCTCAGCCCATGAGCACTGCAATTTCCCGGCATGTAACGCCGTTCACCTCCTTCGGCACCTCACCGCAGGCAAACAGCGACTAAAGTTCTTGGCTCTATACGGTACGGCGGCTAGGGGCTTCTCCCCCATTCTGATGGCGTTGAGATCTCTTTCCAACTATGGTGATGGCTTCGACTATCTCGAGCGTCTAGTCGTGGAGCGGTCGTGGGAAACGCCGCCTATCGGTGCGCGCGATGGTGCAGCGACATATCATCTGCTGAACGACGTGAGTTGTCTTGCTTGCCCGACAGCTCAGTAGAAGCTGATGGTCGTAGGGTCTTACTCCGGTCGTCCCCTCTCTGCGGCATATCACCTGGGTATACCGCGCCCATATCCCAGCCTCTCGCCCAAACCCCCTCGACCTCCCTCGACCTCATAAGCGCCCTTCCCCCGCTATATACGACTCTGACCGGACGTACGACCTCTTCGATCGATATCCCAAACTCGAAGAGGCGCGATGGCTCGCTCAGTACCCGGCGGACCCCTTCGCAGATACATTCCCGGTCGACTGGGCGACCGAGAACGTCCGATGCTGCGTCCGGCGACCGGCTCCGGGGCAGCTGCTCAAGCCGCACAACCCCGTCTGAGGGAGCTGGTCGACCTGGCGGACTTACATCGGCGGTACCGATGAAGGTGGCGGAGACAATAAGGTCTGAGGAAATCATGCATAAACGGAGTGAGCAGGGATCACCGGAATATAGACATTGAGGACGGACGAACTTAGGCGGACAAGATGGGCGCGGATGGGATCATACTATGCAGAAAGGAAGGACCTCATACACATCACAATCATGCAGCTTGTAGTATAGCCCCGCTCCATTACCCAAATACGGCGCGACACAGGCCGAATCGCCGGAGGCTGAGTCTGCGGAACTTCATCAGCCGCCGAAAAATCTCGCTGCTACCCCGTGTGTTTCAGCAGGTTTCAGCAACCTGATCTGTTCCCGCGATGAGGAATGAGGAGTTCCGATCGAGAGGGGTGAGGCCCGCTGCGGCTTCGATCTGAGACGGCGTGTGCCAGAACATCCTGCGATGGTCGCTAGGGCGGTGCGTCGGGTCAAATCACGCAACGATCTCGCCGTGATACAGCTCTGTCTCAGTATAAAGCATCATTTAGATATCTATGATGTCTTAGCTAGGGGGTGCATTTACACTTTCTCGCAGGCTGAGACGCGTCAAGCTCACATTGAGCTCACACCATCAATCGCACTCTGTTCATCCACTGTGCATGTCAGGACACCTCAGCAAACAACCCCTACCGTCTCTATGCCAGTGTCCGCGATGGCGGCCAAACTCGACCAGCTGCCCGCGCATGTTCTGCGGAGGATCGCTGAGCTGAGCGAAGCGCGGACCATTGCTCGGCTCATGGCGACGTGCCGAGCGATCAGAGCCGCCAGTGAGATTGCGCTAAAGCCTTATTTGGAGGAGAGGGAGGTGTTCGCATTTCGAGATTCTCTTGTACCAGATAGTGAGTGGTTTTGGTATATCCAATTTCCTCCTAATAACGGGATTTGAGCTGACCCTACCAGTCGATGGGATGGTATTCGACAAGGGTCACGTCAAGAAGGACAAAGCTCGGCGGGCGGAACTCCGGGAAGACTACGGACCGACATCTCCGTCACTTCGACCATTATCCCCCTGCTCAGAATTTACTCCGGAAGCTGGCGGTAGAGGTGAGGGACGAGGACCCCCTTTCGGGCTGGCCTCTCCTCGTGCGCTTCGCGCCACAGCTCGTCGAGTGCACCATCATGCTGCATGATAGGCTGTGGCTGCTGGCGGAGAAGAACAATTACGAGGAAGACGCGGAATACAAGGTCGTCCAACAGTGCGCCAAAACACCCATGATCTGGCGCACTATCCGCCCGGCTCGGTTCACCAAGCTTACCAAGCTCACGCTGGCGACCACGGCGCGGCCGGCGGAACACCTCGGAAACATCCTTCCCTTCGTACCGGCGCTCAAAGAGCTTGTACTCAGCTGTCACTGGAACGAGTACGGCCGGGACCTCTCGTGCCCAGACTTCTCCGAGCAGATGCCAACTCAGATCGAGCGCATAACGCTCACGGGTAGCGCCCGGATGGCCCTAGATGTCGCGGAATTCCTCCTTCCCAACTGCCCCGAACTCCTCCACCTCATCATCCGCCCGCCCGGCTACTTCCAGGAATTCTCCCAGCGGTTCGCCATCCGGAACCTACTCGAGTGCTTGAACCACTCGTCGCGCCTACACACGCTGGCGCTGTATGGGGAGAGTGCCTAGGAGTATGGAGATGCTGCAGCGGGAAGGACTTCAGGATTATCGGGGACTCCTTAAGGGCCTGTCGACGTTGATTTTGGAGGAGCAGTCGAAACTGGATGATTTGGCGGATTGTATCTTCCCAATCATGATCAATGTGAGTCTGTTTGTTCAGCATAAAGTATATCTAGCTGAACTGGCTGCAGAAACCTGCCGAACGCCCTGCACTTCCCGGTCTGGAGCGCCTCATCTACGTCGATCGCGGTCGGGACCAATACTCCCTCATTGGCGGCGACACCCCAAAGACGGTCGACCTCAATACTACCAGCGCCGTATCCGCCATGTTCACCAAGTACCCGTCGCTCCAGGAGATACAGCTGGTTTCGGCGTTCCCTCCCATCGATACACCTCCCACTCCGAGCTGGATCAAGCAACATCTCAAACTAAAGGTGGACCGAGCGGGGAATAGGACGAAGACGTCCGAGGGGACGAAGATGGCGGAGCTGATGGAGGCTGGTCGGGCAGAGTGGGCGGAGGAATGAGGGGTCGCGGTAGTCCAGATAGGCATAGGGGTGAATCTTGCGGGAGGATATCCGTTTGAAGGGGGTAGACCAGATACCATGGACAGTGTCGCAGGGCAAACGGTCGTTTTCACCTTTCTCCGGCACATCCTTGGCAGCGACTTCGTGAAGAATGCAAGGAGAGCAGGGTATAGTCTATCTGCCAGTGCCGACAGGGGGTGCGGTGCTGCCGCTTGAGCACTTGTCATTTGCACCACCGCGCCCACGCGTGGTCTTCACGCGCCGGATTTTGCGATTGAGTCCGCTCGTTTCTACATATCGCAGCTTCGCCTCGCTCCACCCCGGTCCACCGTCTTACGGCCAAGAAACTGGCTCAGACAGAGTCAGTCGTGTCCCCACCTGTGAAACATCAAGCAGCTGACCTGTAGATCTGCAGGATATACAAGAGCCGTGAGCTGGTATAAATTGCCATCGTCTCCAGCGCCCTAAGCAAAAGGTAAGTCAGACAGTCCGCCCTGCTACCTCGACTGCGCGCCATGCTTATACTACAGGCCTCTTTATCATCCTCCTGCAACCTCGACACCTCATCTCCCTTCTGCATTGTGGCGCCTATCTCTGCCAAGGGAGACACCGTCGAGCGCGGCCGATCTCTCGACCAGTGCCCCGCGCATATCATCCAGGCGATAGCCGCATTCACCGAGGACGAGCGAACGATATGGAGTCTCATGAAGACCTCACGGACGGTACGGCGGGCGGCAGAGGGGGCGTTGAAGCCGCACCTGGCGGAGAGGATGGTCACGGCTAGGCCGCCCTTCGTGACGGACAGTAAGCCAATCTGCAATGCAAGACTGCGTCCGGAGCTAATCATTCAGTTTTTCGTCCTATCGACGATCTCTTCGCTCGAGACAGCCCCGCGCGGTACAGGTCGCTTGATGCCGCTAGGATGCGCTTTGAGGACTATCTCGATGCTTATCCCCCTGCATCCCGTGCGCTCAAGCGGTTGACATATGAGTTCAACGACCAAAGCGGTCGCTGGGGATTCTCACACCTCAAGCGATTCGCGCATCAGCTGGAAAAGCTAGAGGTGCAGGTGTATGAGTCGGAATGGCGGCGGAGTGTCCTGGATGGGCTGGAGGATGATGAATACCGGGAGACGGCGGAGGAGGAAGAGCAGGACGGGGACGACCGGGACACTGGGATCGATTCCGACTCCGCCGACGTATGGCATGCCTTCGGTAACACCCTCAAGGACAGCGGACGGGCGTTCAACAACCTCACTCACTTCCGCATGTTCTCTACGGCAAACGTCCTGGAGCACTTTCTCGCCCTCGGTCGTCTCATGCCGGCGCTACGGTCGTTGACACTCGCATCCCACATGAACGTGTCGTACCAGGTCCCCTGCTTCGACAGTGACGACCTCGTCTTCGCCCATCTCCACCATCTCACCTTGACCGGAGACGGTCGGATGCTGGAGAAATCGCTCGCCGCCATCCTCCCCGCCTCCCCCTCCCTTCGCCTCCTCACTGTTGATACTACCGATCATCTGTCAAACGGTCATCCTCCATGCAATCACAGCCAAATCTTCCAACTCCTTGCAAAACATAAGGGCTTGACTGGACTCGTGCTGTCCGGCACACTGGCGTTGCGGTTGCGGACAATCTGGATGCTCCAGCAACAGAATCCTCAGGAGGCGTACTTTGAGGGTCTTACCGACCTGATCGTCGTGTAGACTATCCATGAGAGATATAACCAGACTCATAGGGATGCAGCGCAACATGAGGTCTTCATCAGAAGCCGTGTCGCCGACTTTGTGGTACCCGTAAGCTACATCACCAGTCTCTGCGTCGAGCATGGCTGACTGTTGGACAGGGGTTACCAGCGTCGAGATTCAAGCTCCCCCGTCTCACTCATCTATCCTTCTTACGCGCTGAGCCCAGCTCCACACTACATTCCGCTCAGACGGTCGATCACCTTGGCGGAATCGGCATCGATAGTATACACGATGGCACCCTTCTGAAAACACACCGTCCTGTAGCGTCCCTGCCCGACCTATTCCTCTCCTACCCCTCCCTTCAGCGAGTCGAATGGGCAGTCACCCGCACCGACGACTACTTCACTGTCACAGACACCTTGACCACCATCTCTGGCGCTGTACGCGTCACTCGGTCTTCCCTCTCGCTCTGAAAACGGCCGGCGAGTCGTATTTGCTCTCACACAACGACCTGGGGGTATCTCGACGGATGGTAGGAGGAGGCTGAGGGAGGGTGGGGGCGCGAGGGTGGGGGTAGGAGGATATTGTGGGACGCTATTCTTGATGACGAGGTCGAAAGAGTAATAGTTGACTCTAGCTTTCACGTTGATGCATTCCCATTGCCTAGGCTGAGATCGTCTTTCGGCTCGATGATATCTGTAGGCAGATAGCGGTTCTGGCGGACTTCGTCACCATTGACCATGTCCGATGCGTCCACTACTCGGTCAGCTTACCCTCCATGTCATATGCTCTCGGGCTCACCTCTCTCTTCACACGCCTTGAGATCATCCACTATCCCCGCCTCGAAGTTCCGCCTGATGACCCTCTCCCGACATACCTGCCTATCCGTCTCCACCCATACTCGCAGATCCATCATCTCCGCACACTCCCTCCATCCTGGCCGGTCCAGCATGGTGTACAGCCCCTCAATGATGACTATCCGGTGTGGGGGTAAGATGGAGATTGGTGAAGGTGTGGGGTCTTTCAGGGCGTGGTTGAAGGTGGGGAAGGGGATGGCGCGGGGTGGGGGTAAAGGGGAGAGCGGTATGCGGAGTCTTTGGACAAAGGAGAGGTAAGAGGGGAGATTAAAGGTGAAGGCGGCGCCCTGACTATATCAGCTAAGCCGCCTGTGAAGGATGTGTCGCACCAGGTCGAGCGGGTGAAGCGCTTACCCTCCGGAAATGAGCGTGGTCGGGATCCTCGAATTTGTCCAGCTCCTTCCTGGAGTGATGCCAGCCATCCAGGCCGACGCATATGGCTACTTCGTCTCCTCCTCCACCCGCTGAGATTGGTGATTCTGGAAGTGAAGATGGTCCAGCTTTCATGGAAGGGATAAGACCGGTACTCGAGTCGACAGCGAAGGTCTTTTCCGGTCGCCCACTGAGGACAGCATTGAGGTGGGCGGTAAGCGGGTAGGCGAGCGTAGATTTGCCGGAACCAGGAGCACTAGAGATCAGCTGTCAGGTCTGAGATCGGTCAGAGACGTGACTTGCCCAGCGATAGCAATCAGCAAGCGTCGGTCCTTGGGTGTCCTGCAAAAGTCAGCTACAAGTCTGATTTTGTCATTGGCCGGGCTGAAGTGATTGCCGCTCAGAACTCCTGGAGGCTTCACACGTACTCAGCGAATACTGAGAGTATCTTCCGGGCTAGGCGGTCGATCTCGGGGTCCATCCTGAGGTGGATGATGAAGATTCGGTAGAAAGATGAAGCTGAAACAGCCAAAGTCAAAAGGCGAGTTTCACTTGCGGTATGCCGAATGACGTCGACGAGACGATAGCTCTTGGTCTTGCGCAAGCTTATCACCCTTTTGATGCCTATCTATGGTGCCTTGATCTGAGTGTTATCTATATTGGAACAGACGGCGCCGATCTGCCTCTACGTGCATCCCAGACCGTCCCCCTCTTGCTCTCAAAATCGAGCCCCGTTCCCTTCAGATATTCGATCCCCGCTACCGTCGATGGAAGCTGATTGAACCAGGCCCGCTGTGGACGGGCAAGGCGCGACTCCAGCATGTAGGCCATGTGCTTCTGGCTGCTAGGTCAGCTTGCGACACGATGTGTTGCAAAGATGTGTAGGCGTACAATAAGGGGAAGATGAGCCCATAGTCCACGGTGAGACTCATGAACTGCTCGATCGCATGATCCGGAGTCTTCTCGTAGCCCGCAAAGAGAGCCGGGCTGGAAATTGATGAGCTAGACTCTCAAGTCAGCGGAGCAAATGACTCACTTTGCAAGCAGACCCCTCGCCCCCATTACACCCCTAACTCCCGTTTCTCTCATTTTGACGCACTCCTCCATGGTCCATATATCTCCGTTCCCCACACATGGCACTTCTCCCTTCGCACACTCCACCGCAAACTTGATACCATCAAGGTTGACTGGCTCGGTGGATGCTTGATGCCGATTTCGACCGTGTATTGTGATATGTGAAACTCCAGCGTGAATAGCTGTTTGCACGAGTTGCTCAGTCAGGCTGCCTGATCGTAAGCTCGAGCACCAGTAGGAGTACGAAGAACGTACCGAAGTTCTGGATCTATCCTGATTTTGACGCTGACGGGAAAGTCCCACCCCATCCTGTCCTTGACACATCGCACCATATCGCCCACTAGCTCCGGCTTTCTTAGCAATGCACATCCTATCCCCTCGTTGTACGCCCACTTCTGAGGACATCCGCAGTTGAGGTCCAGGCCGTCCACGTAGGGCGAAATGAGCTCGGCTGCATCTGCCAGAGACGGACCGTTGGGCGAGGCGAATTGGGCGATAAGGCAGCCTCGGACCAACCGAAATGACGATGTTGGAGGGCTTGGCGATGGTGGTAGTCGATTGTGAGGCAGAGATCCGCACGTCTGTGATCTCCGACGCGATGGACCTGGCTGGTCCAGCTCGTCCGCCCCTACTGCGCCTCCCCGCCGTCCGTTCCTCCGAGGTTCCATCCAGAACACCCCTCTCTCCTCCCTGGATGTGGTAAAATCACTCGTCCGAGCCTTTTGGCTCCGGGAGAACTCTTCTGCCAGGATCATCGGCGTGTGCGTGACGTGTGTCTCGTACAGCGAGGTCAGGTGCCGGAAGGGCAGCTTGGAGCAGCGCACTAGAGGAGCGAGGACATTGACCGTCTCGAACTCTTCTAGGAGCCCCGCGTACGTCAGGACTTCAGCAGCAGGGAGCCCTGACCAGCTCTGCTCGCTGTCGAGGTCCGACATGATGATGTATAGGGCAGATGTGGTAGGGATAGTGAGTCATAGGAGCAACACAGCCAAATGTTGGCTTGCTGGTGCAGATTTCCCCTTTCGGTCTTCTCCGCATGACGTAATGACACGCTCGACCTGAACCTTCCTTTCGAGCGCAGCATGTCTGTGCCACTATACATACACCCAGTCTGCCCTGCTATAGCTTCAACACGCCGATCCACGAGTACTGGACAGCTGCCATAGCGGAAATGTCGCTCATTCATACGCTGGTGGCGAGAGGAACAACTGTTTTGGCGGAGTATGCGGGGAGGGGCGCTGCTGAGTTGAAGCCTGGTACGTCTCGATGTCAGCAGGCTTTGCAATGCTTTCGCAGCGCTTGCAGGACCTCGAATGGGGAGCATGAAGTCATCACAGAGTGCTGCTCTCACTGGAGATCTGTACTGACAGCTGCAGCCGCTCAAATCGCGATCCTCGGAAAGATTCCGCCAAATGACAGCAAACTGACATGTGAGGATATCTCGTTGCTCCTCGGAGCCCTCGCGGAGTCGCTGATATCTGCAGACGTCTGGCAAGATCGACTGATCCACTACGTATCCTCTGCAGGGGTCATATATCTCGTCATGGCCGATGACAGTGTTGGTCGGAGAATGCCCTTCGCCTTCCTTGCCGAGGTTGAGCGACGCTTCACCAACATGTTCTCGCCGGACGAGATCGTCTCGGCCAGCTCTCACTCTCTGGGGGACTTTGAAGCGGAGCTTTCAAAGGTATGTCTCGGATACTTCGGATTGGTAAGCATCACTGACTAGTATAGCTCATGCACCAATACACCACCGCTCCACCCGCCGATCCGCTGAAGCAAGCTCGAAGCGATCTCGACAACGTGTAAGTAACGCTCGGAGTTGTGACCTGAACGCCTCCAAGCTGACCCGCTAGCAAAGACATCATGGTACAGAACATCGACTCTATTCTTCAGCGCGGCGAACGGCTGGACTTGCTGGTGGACAAGACGGATACGCTGGCTGGGCAGGCATACGCTTTCCGAAGGGGAGCAAGGAACGTGAGGAGACAGCAGTGGTGGCGCAATACTCGGATCATGGTATTGACTGGGGTCGTCGGTGTGGTGAGTCACATATGTGAGCTGGGAGGGGCACCTTGCTAACATCCAGATCATCCTGTACCTCTTCATCGCTCAATTTTGTGGTCTCTCGCTGAGCAGCTGTCGCTCATGATGATGTCTGGTATATCGTGTTGTATGCATACCCTCTCGTCTATCTGCTGACTAGCATAACTGACCGAAACCGCACAATCGCGCGCGTACCGGATCGACGTATTCCAACCCCTAACGTGTGCCAAAGCTCCAGACCCCTGAGCAACCTGACGTCTCCCCCTGCTGCATCAAAGCACGTATGGAGGAATCACTGAAAGGATCGGTGTTCCACCACTTTCAGATATCAACGGATTATTCAGGGTACACTACCTATCGGCTACAAGTCAAAGGATGGGCGACCGAGCTTTGGGGGTGCTTGATCTCATCGCTGACAAGCGCGATGTCGCACTTGTCTCTATTCTGGCCTACAACAACGCTGCTATGCGGCCGTTCACAAGGGTGCTTTCAGTCGTGCTGGCGCTCGGCTCCCCGGTCCTCGCCTCGCTGCAAGAGAAACCTCAGGAGTCGAGTTCACAGGTTGCCGCTTTACTGCCCTCAGTCTCCACATCGACAGTGACGTTGACAACCTTTACTACTGTCGATTGTCCCTCCACCTTACGGTCTTCGACAGCGTCAACGTCCACGGTTTACAAAACTGTCACTTTTGAGCAATGCGGCGCTGGTGCCGGAGCGGGCGCCAGCTCATCAACTTCAACGAGTCAGCCTGTCGTTCCGCATGGTGCCGAAGCAACACTATCCAGCGGCCTGCCGGCAGCATTACAGAGCGCGACTATGTTCTCATTCGCAATGGACCCGTCCTCCTCGTCCTCGGGCGTGGCAGTGGTACCATCCTCATCCTCACCTGTGGGGCTACCCTCATCATCGAGCACGCCGCTTCTACCGGCCACATCTTCGAGCATCGTACTCCCCTCGTCCTCCAGCCCGACCCCATCCTCTTCGGCATCATCCAGTAGCTCCATGGCCAATAATCTACCCTCGTCGTCCAGCCCGACCCCATCCTCTTCGGCATCCTACAGTAGCCCCGCGGCCAACAATGTACCATCGTCGTCCAGCCCGACCCCTTCCTCATCATCCATGGTACCACCGTCGTCCTCGAGCCCCGCGCCATCATCATCGTCCAGCACTTCATCTTCCACTTCGGTGGCGCCATCCAGCACGTCCAGCGCACCTCCACCGCCTCCCCCGGCGCCCAGCATCTTTACCACACTCGAGCTAGCGAAAGACGTCCGAATCAAGTTCAGGCCGCGGGCCCAACCTGACACGAATTACGCTCTGCTACTCGGACAAGATGTCATCGTCGGCGGGAAAGACCCGAGAAAGCTCCTCGCCATCACTGACCCCGCCCAATTCTATGAGTGGGATATGTGGCAGGACAGATTTGAGGGGACTTATGTATCGTCGGTGAGTCCACGCGCTAGCGAGCGTCGTCGATGAGGCCCTAGGCTAATCTGATATCAGTGCAAATTGACCGTCACCGCAGCCCAGACGGCCGACGCTACTTTCAGCATCAAGAGTTATGAAACGCCGAGCGGTACCAGTGGTCCCGTCAAGCTCGAATGCACCGAAGGGATCCCGGACCCAAATATCCCCAGAATCAAGATCGAGATGTCAGAGGGCGTAGCGCTCACTTTCACCAATCCTCGTCTTTACCATGGGGAGCCACAGCTAGGCGGACCAGCAAAACCTCTCATCACTATCGGTGGGCTGTACCCCAACGGCCGAGACAGAATCGATTATACAATAGTCTATACGGTCCCAGAAAAAGGGACTTGGGGCTACACAAAAGGCAAAGCAGGATCTACTCACACGTACACAGTCAGTCGTTTGTATCCCTCGTTCGGAGGAGCCTGGCTCGCTCGTCACTATATAAAGAAAATGAGCTCACGGGGTCAGTGTACGATGACCATCCGGGACAATAAAGCTCAAACTGGAGATACCGTCTTCGGCTACGCCCGCCAACCAATCACGAACCTCTACGATGATAGCAACAAGGCGTACTTCGATCTGAATCAGGAAAGGGAGTCCGAGAAAGTGGTCGCCGAGTGCAATTGCCACAAGAAGAATGGGGTCTGTGTCAGTGATCAAGATCATTGATGAGCGATGGTGATGAGAACGCTTCGTATAGTCAATATTTGTAGTACTTTAGTCTTAAGCAGTGTCCTGGTTGTATCGTGTGCACCTCGCAGCGGCGACCGAAGCGGAAGCTGTGACTTTTCACAATGTCCTAATTTACACACAGGACGAAGCCACGCTTGATCCTGCTAGGAGGAGAAATTCGCATGCATCATGGTCTTGTATCTTAAGGCAGAAGAGATCCCTGGAAATGTGGCCATAGGCTGGTGGTCAGGCAGTTTCTTACGGCGCCGCCTATCATATCAGTCAGGCCGGGCACGGAGGGGCACGGCGTGTTGACTGATGGGACGGCCCCGCTTCAGGCACCAACCGAGCTGAAATCCGCTGACGTTCACCGTGATGCACTTACCTCATACTAGCGATCTATCCGTGTAGATCATCTATCAGGACTTCAAACCTGTTTGATGCCAACAATCCCTCTCGTTACCACCCCTTAAAGTCTGTAACAACCAACTTTGCAGGATATCACGAAAGGATCGACGACTATCTATCTTCTATTGTCGCGATCAACCGACACAAGGGGTAGTCAGAGACTGATACCGGTGGGGGCAGCAAGTGAAAGGACTGTGTCCTGCGCTCTCAAGATCGCACAGAGTCAACACACTACACTCGCACTATTTGTCGGCTCTTTTCTCCATCTCGATTTAAGGCCGACATGTTGTCATCTCTGCGGGCGTCCTTGATCATGGCTGTGCTGGTCTTCAGTACAGTCGCCGTCCTGGCGGAAAGTCTCTCGACAGTGACGGTGACGACCATAACTACTGTCGACTGCACCTCAACAGCGTCACCTCCAGTGGTCACAACATCCACCAGCTCGTCGCTATCGTCCCCTTCCTCGAGCCCGGTGCCGTCATCATCATCAAGCCTTTCTTCTACTTCATCGGCACCGGCCAGCTCCTCACAAGCAGCTCCCGTACCAAACAAATTCATCACCCTCGAGTTAGCAAAAGACGTTCAGATCAGGTTCACTCCCCAGGCTCGCCCTGATTCCAGCCTCTCAATCTTGCTAGCGTTGGGGGACATCATCGGCGGCCCCGGGAAACAAGTCCAGCTTAATGCCATCACTGATCCCACTCGTTCAGTCGAGTGGTACATGTGGCAGGAGAGGTCCGAGGGGACTTTTGTATCGACAGTAAGTGATTAGGAAGACTTGAGACTGCAGCGGTCCATCCGCTGATCGGCTCCAGTGCACTCTAACGGTTACCGCAGCGCAGACCGCCGACGCCAAGTTCCACATACGGAGCAGCATCTTGCCCAAGGGGGACAGTGGTCCTCTCAAACTCGAATGCTCCAAGGAGAGTCTAGACCCGAAAGTGCCCAAGATCAATATTGAGCTCGGGGAGAGCACGGAGCTCACCTTTACGAAGCCCCCTCTTTTCGGTGGAAAGCCGCAAGTGGGAGCAAAGGCCAAGATTTCTGTCTCCCTGGGCGGACTCACTCCGAACGTTAGAGACTCTCTCGAGTGTAAGGTGACGTATAAGGCAGGTGAACAGGAAACTTACACCTACACAGTAAGTCGCGCGGTTTCAACGCTGCATTAACCGTATGAGAGAGATCAGTTGAGGAGGGCAGTGCACTCTCAGAACCCAAGACAATCAGGCTCAGGCAGGAGATGCCACTATGTCTCCTGCCTTTCGTGCAACGAGTTGTCGCTTTCTTCATCTTCCCCCTCGTCTACCACCTCATGATAGACAAGTCCGAGCCGCTTGCCCATCCTGGACTTCTTGCGCTTCTTCCTCCCATCGTTGTAAAGGTCCGGCTCTGGCTCAATATGCCCGGTCCGCGTTCCCTGCTTCCTTGTCAACGCCTTCTGGAAAGGACGGTCGTACATGTGGACGGTGAAGCTCTCGAGGGACGGAGCGAGCCGCTTGAGCGAAGGCCAGACGCTACCGTCATCATCGTCGCGAAGCTCGACGGTGAGGTCTGTGGTGACGGGCGTGTAGGAGGGGAGAGCCGCGAGATGGGCGTCGAAGCGATTGCTCACACGCTTGAGAGCAGCCCGCCGCTCCAGGTGTTGCCGAGCGAATCTTCTCTCGATGGGCGCATAAAGTGACTAGTCAGCATCTTTGAGCAATCACTTTCGGGTATCAAGGAGCTGATATGGTCTTGTGGAGGGAGTCTGAAAGCTCACTATCTTCTACGAATGGCGGAGAAACCGCGGCCGTCCTCCGTTTGAGATAAGGCTCCCGCGCCATCGTCCACGCCAGTCTCATATCTCGGCTTACAGCCGACATCCGCCAGGCCGTGAGCTCATCGGTCGATGAAGCGATGCGCATGTGCAGCTCGACGGGAAGTGAAATGAGCGAGGCTTGCGTGTTCGACATGGTGAAAGGGGAGGAGGGTCTGAGAAAAGACTGCACACTTGTCAGCCGAGATCTAGCACCGGCGACGCTGTGGATCAATGAGCCGGTGTATATCTTACAGGGCGTCTCTATAACCTGATCAGCCGTGCGAGCGATTATGATATCTATCGTGAAGCATGAGGATTTGGGGATGCGAAGGTGACGATGTCGAGGAATGTGGAGCAGATCCTGGCAAGCTTCGAGCTTCCAGCGCAGGCGGGTTCAACGGAGCTTGGCCTGGACGACCATGAATAATGCGCTATACATCAAGCGTCGTGCGGACCAGACCCCCTGACAGCCATCTACCAACAGAAATACCAGATCATGCTACAGCAACCAGATAAAGGAATGCATGAAGGAAGCAGTGTGCTGCCCTTGTAGTCGATCGTGACCATGGGCTGTAGGCGGACACCAGGGAATGATGACATTTCCGACTTTCCGCTACGAAGGCCTGGCGCCAAAGCTGAAGACATCAGCCACGTTCCCGGGACTGTCAGAATGTTTGACTCACGACAGATTGTGATTGTCTCATAAGTTTCCATCCCTTCTTGCCAGATTCCTACACCTGATCGCTCCCTTGGATCCCTCCGCCCGGTCGCTCGATCCGATGTCGCACCTTGCCGTCGTGCGGATCGTCGGAGATGAAGGGATTGGATGGGTAGTCGTCCATGAAATCAACGGATAACAGGGTCGGGAAGAGGGTGAAGAGGTCCTCCACGGCAACAGACTCATCTCCCTCCTCCTTCGCCAGGCGCCTCTGATCCGGGACACCTTGTCCCCTGCGATCAACGTATGTGATCCGTTGTAGACCGAGGAATCTCGGTCGAGGAGGCACTTGTTCATACTGCAGTGTCAGCTAACCTGCCATTCCATAAAGCGAAACTGAGATGCCTCACCGAGCTGAGCATGGGATAAGGGAAATGCTCTTCCCCTCCGTCACCCAGGCGGTCTACCTGCTCCAGATACAATTTCTTTACGCACCGCATGCGCGTAGCGGTCTCTGGCGAGTCATCGTCGGTCTCGATCATTTCAAGGAAATCTCCCGTCTCGGTGCCAGACAAGGCAAGCCTTGCCGGCTGTTGACATTGGCCGATGGCTTCGACCAATTCAGGCATGAAGGCTGTGGTGGATGCGCACCCATCAGTGATCATGTGTAGGGTGAGATCCGACAGCTTGCGTGAGCAGTATAGGAGCTGTGCGGCTAAACGGCAGATCCCCGCATCTCCTGACACCGAGACGCGCTCGAGCCGCCGAAATACAGACTCCGAGTCTACCGGTACGGAGAAGGGGTCGATGGGATCGTATCCGTACCGGTTTGCGTTCCGCCAATAAGAACTCAGCGTCAAGCTGCGGATGTCTGGGGCGATCTGGACGAGGTGATAGAGGTGATCGGAGACTCTGGATGTCGCGCAGATTGTGAGGGCCGTAAGATTTGGCATCTTGACACTGCCAAAGTCAAAGATCCGACGCCATACGTCCGCCGAGTTCGCCGAGGTCCTTCGCCAAAAGCCCGTCCAGAAGATGTCTAAATCGCATAATAAGATCGAGCCGGCCCGGCGGTAAAGTGGACTAGCAACTGAAGATCAGCGCCAGCAACGCACAAGCCGGCAAGAGACCTAACTCACAGCATCCGAACGTCCGCAGATTAAAACGAGACGATCCGCCTCCCCTTGGATTCCCACACTGCGCATCCTGCAAGATCCACCTGCTCTCCCCGGACTTTGCCCCCTGCCTTACGCCTCAGCTCCTTCATCGCCCATCTCGGCCTCTTCATCGTCCGCCTCAGCCTCTTCATCACCCGCCCAGCCTGACCTGTCCATCCGGTAAAACTCCTTGCCGTTGTGCTTGTCGTGGGGATTGAAGGGATCAGATGGGAAGTCATCGATCCAGATGACCTCCTCAAGACTCGGATAGAGCTCGAAGATCCTAATTTCCTCCTTCCGGGTGATGTAGTCTATGGGGGAGTGGTTGGGGTTGTCGATGATAAGGCGGTCCACGTAAGTGATCCGCTTGAGGGCCGGAAAGTCAGGGCAGTATTTGTCTTCCTGAATACATGTCAGCCTGACCCATGCTGAAACCGAAAGGAATTGACATACCCCATTCAGTAACGGATACGGCCCACCCTCTTCACCAAACAGATTGTCTGCCCCTTCGAGCACCAATTCTTCGATATAGTCGAGAATCGTTGGCTCCCCTCCGTGCGAATGCTCGTAGGCCCCTGCGATTCGCGCCAGTACCTCCCCTGCCCTGCAGCCATACAAGGCCAGGCACCTAATCTCAACCGGACACTTAATCGTCTCGATGAGATACTCCATTTTGAGGCTGCCGTCCGTCCGAAGAGATCGTGGCAGATCTACATTGCCGATGAGATGGAGGGTGAGCCTGGGAAGGTCCCTGCTGCATTGGAGGAGCTCCTGTGCCGCATAACAGGCGATTGTCGTATGGCCAATGACGGTGGCTCTTTCCAGCTTTGGAAAACAGAAGTCTTCGTCGATGGAGAGAAGGGTGTCTTCTTCGTAATGGTAGCGGCCATGGTCCATGAAATGGCAGGATAGGGTGATGTCCCGCAGATTCGGGGTAGACCGCGCGATGCCCAGCAGCTGGTCGTGGATACGAGCGGTGGCAGAGATGGTGAGGCTGGTAAGGGCTGGAAAGACGATATTTCCCCGGTCGAGTACGCGCCGCCAGACGTCCGAGGTGTTGGCCGATAGCTGCGATACTGTTGCGTCCGACATGGGAGGAGCATCCCGCGCCCGCCTCGCAGGCGGAGGTCTTGCCAGAGCCATCTGCCATAGCCGGTCTATGTAGAATAGCTCCAGCCGCTCCAGCTGAGGGGCGAAGCGACGTAGGAAGCGCCAGCCTGCGATATCGTCGTCGTCCCGCACTTCGAGCTGAAGCTGGCGTAGCTCGGTAGCTGAATGGGGGAATGCAGCGAGGTGGGCGCGGAAGCGATCGCTGACTCGCCGCAATGACTCGCGGCGAGCATCATCGTCCTTTGCTAGCCCGTCGTCGATAGCGATGTGGACTGTCTGGTCAGCGCTGGTACCCACCAAACAAAATCAGACCTCACCATCTGTGCCGATTATAGGCTTGGCCATGACCTGTTTCCTACTCAGATACGGCAGGAGCACTGATGCCCAGGCGGTCCGGAGAGCCCGGCTCGTCGCTCGCAACCGCCAGACCGACAGCTCATCCACGTGATCCCCGATGAGTCGGACAATGTCATGCGGTAGCAGTTCAAGCTTCGAGGATGAGGAGGGGTAGAGTGGGAGTGGGAGTGAGAGCGGGACAGGGATGGGTGTTACCGTGGACATTGTGAAAGTGGAGGAAGGGGGTCTGGTCTTATCAGCTAATGGCAGATTGGCTCTGTCACTAAAGAACTGACGGAAGTGGATCTGGGGAAGCTCAGCTGATCTTGCGAGCCTGCTATGGTATCTACGAGCTATAGCTCGAGTTCGGAAGTGAGATTGGCGGAAAGGACGCGACGGCTTTACTTTACGCGTCGCATTCCTCAGATTTTCAGGCACGGTGAACCATGGCCAGCCCAGCGACGCAGCGTAACCGAGTATTACAGTTGGCTTCGACGTCCCAAACGGTCACAATCCGTTGCTTCCAGTCTTGCATCACTCGCGCGTTTCCATATGCTACAACGCCCGCCCTAGAGCTCCGAAAGAACGCCCATCGCCAAATTCCTGCTGACTTGCTCCCCCATCGCCCTCTCGGCCGCATCCGCCAAATGCCGCTTCGGGTCCAGCTTTCCAACATGCCGCGTCTTGAGCTGCTCGGGCGTGAGTGTAGCCTCCTCTTGGACTGATTTGGTGTATGATGAAGCGAGAGTGAGCATTTCCTATCGTGTCAGCTTTGCCCAACTTTCCGCAAGATGCAACTCACCTTGACGGCCTTCTCATTCCCCTCTTGCTGCGCATTGAAGTCCTTCAACTTCAATCCCTCGGTCCATCCCCTCTTGTGGAGGTTCAACAGCATTCCCTGCTCCGCCTCTGTTTTTCGGTAATCTATCGCCAGACCTGCAAGTCAGCACAAGTCTTCGGAGGGTGGACAGGACGCACTGTAGTAATGCCTGTTCAGACCGTGAATCAATGCCTGGATACTTGGCTTGTTGAGGTGCCCGATGTTGCTGGTTGTTTGCCGGCTCTCTTGCCCGTTGAGAAGGCTCTGGGGGTTGATGGATCGGAAAGCGTCAATGACGACCTTTCCTCGGACGGATTGAATGGGGTCGACCACGACGGCCACACAGCGGGGATTGAGCTGTTCGAATGACTGTACTGTAAGCTTTGCTCGTCCTGCGAGGGTCGCCTTTAAGCGCGTATGAGCTCACCTGCTGCGTGTTCACATCGACACTACTCAACCAACACCCGAACCCAGGATGAGAGTGGTACCACCCCACAACCATCTCTGGTCTTCCCGTCTGCTTCAGCATATCCAACATCTTTGTCTGGAAGACGTGGTCAACCGATTCAACGGTAACGGTGGTTCCGGCCTGGGGCATGGCGAAGACATCAACGCAGGAGATCTGCTCAGATTAACAAAGCTTCGTTCGCGACGAAGGCAGATACTGACAGTGTGGTCGTCAACGAACTCTCCGAGCATCAGACCCATGACCTCCATCGGGACACCGGCACGGCCGTGCTTGAGCATCTGAGCATCAGCGCCGTTAGATTCGTTAGCTTTGGTCAGTTGACGCACCTTCAGCAGGGCCAAAGAGGAGATGTGGACTGTCTCGCCGCTAAAATCGTCAGCTGATCCTCACAGCCCTGTCGACTGCCGGAATTATATACTGAGGGACTTACTTGTCCGCCAGGATAGTCTCTCCTTGAGGGTTCCTTCGCCCTGGAGGAGCTGCGCCGCCCATCTGCTCCAGCAGCCTCATGATGTTTGGGTTCATTTTGGTCGAGTCGATTCGTCTGACAGGTCGATATTGAGTCGGCTGCGAGCTATGGGGGCTGTACGCTACTCTGAGAGGTGTCTATGAAGTATATGTAAGGTGTGAAGGTGAGCTGAATGTGCGAGGAATGCGATGACCACGCGCGACCTCCACTTTTGACTGAAAGCTATTTTGTCCCCCCGTTTATGACTTGGTTATAATGCGCCTCATTCCACCTTGTCTCTTCCTTTGTTGCCTCTCTACTATGCTCACCTAGAACGCCTCATATACTGCTGTCTAGCCTCCATAGGAGACAGCCAGTGGTACAGCTCAACCCCGTAACCGAATCAGAGCAGCAGGTCTGCTGTCTCCCGGTGCCGATATGACCGACGTGCGCCACCGCTTCTCAATGTTTGAAGAGGTGGCTGATGAGACAGTACCATCGCACCAAGCTCCGCGCGCAACAGCTGCAGGAGGAGCGTGATGCAGAGATCAAGCGGGAAGCGGCAGCGCGGAAAGAGAAGGACCTCGCTGCTGCCAAGGACCTGGAGGCTGTAAGCTGTCCAAGACGTACGAGTGCGGCTGAGCTGACTTCTCAGCGGCGGAAGCGACTAGACGAAGCTGCAGCCGAAGCGCGGCGAAAAGAGCTCATGGCTGCAAACGCCGCTCTCACGACTGCTCCTGCCCCGGTACCCCTCTCGGCTCGACAGGTCGAGTACAACCCATTCGCGGAGGATGAGTTTGCCCCTTCGTCCCTCGCCGGCCCGAGCACGAAAAGCAAGCTCGTCCCTGGCGGCGGCAAGTTGGGCAGCGCCAACATCTCTACCAAGGCCTCGTCGAACGGTACTGCCCGCAATACAGGCGGAAAGGCACGGAGCAAGCGGGAAGACTCACCACCGCTCAATCTCGGCCGGAAAGAGAAGGCCGCGCGCGCGATGGCGCAGCAGCTCAAAAAGTCGGGCAAGAACGAGTCGCTCTTCTCGGTCCGGCATCTGGTAAACAGAGACGAGAAGGGCGGGTCGATCTCGCCTGCGCCGAGGGCGCCGTATCAGCCGAATCTACCGCAAAAGCCCGTCGCGCCCCCGGCGGCTGCTAGGAAGATGATTGCGCCGGGCAAGAAGGGGGCGGGTGCGGCCAATGAGATGCGTAAGCTTGCGCCGGGGCGGGATGGGTGGGACAGGCGGTCAATCGATGAGATTGCGAGGGATCTCAAGGCGAAGCGGCCGCAGGTGGAGGGGATGGGCCGGACGAACAGCGCGGATGAGGTCAGAGCGGGGTCGAAGGTGGTCGGCGTCAAGAGGCCAAGGAGCACATCGCCGGCAAAGGCCTCGGCCAAGCCGAAAGCTCGTCCACCACCCATACCGTCTTCGGCTCGGCCACCACCGGTATCGTCCTCTGCGCGTCCGTCCTCTTCGGCGGTACAGACTAAACGCCCACGCCCACGCTCTCCATCTACATCATCCTCGTCTGCCTCTCCTCCGCGCCGCGGCCTGCCAGACCTGGACCCGGACGATGTCGCCGGTGTCTCTGCTACCATCCAAGCGTTGTTCCGGCGGCCAGGTGCCAAACCGGCCAAATACGCCGATAGCGACGCGTCGAGCGATATGGAGGCTGGAATGAGCGATGTCGAGGAGGAAGAGAGGCGGGCGGCGCGGATAGCCAGGCGAGAGGATGAGCTGGCGGAGAAGGAGGAGCGCGAGCATAGGGAGAGGAAGGAGCGGATGAAGAGGGAGAGGAGGTAAACGAGAAAGGAGGGTCCAGTGCAAGCCGTACAGTCTGGCGAGGGGATGGCGAGCGAAGGGATGTCATCTCTTCCAGGAGGTGTGCACGCAGTTCCCTTCGGGCAGGAATTGTCCATTGTAGTATCACCCCACCCATAGCATAAGTCAGTCAGACAGCTCTTGTATCATGTATGTATCTAGCATGTCTTGTCCTGACCTGCGTAGTCATCGACATCGACATCGCGGAGCGGAAAAGTAAAGCCAACCGACCTCCACTCGCTCAGTTTTGTCGCTTTTGTTCTTTGCGCACGTCACGTAGTGACTCCTTCTCCACCCCCACGCTCGGACCCCACGCAGAGGCGATATGCCTGGCGTAGCTGGAGTCTCTGGCTCATCCCTCATTGGCGTCGCGATCGCCTGCAGCGGGAACGTCCTGATCAGTCTTGCTCTGTGCGCTATTTTTGACCACGAAACGCGAGATCGTAGCTGACCTCTTAGGACGATACAAAAGCTTGCCCACAGGCGGATCTCCGAGGCACACCACGGTCGCGCGGACGATGAAGCCGACGAGGACGAGGACATTGAGCGTGGTGCTGGGGACATTGCGGGAGCAGGAGACGAATCAAGGGGGCTCCTGAAGGCCTCCTCGGGACGCAGTGCCGCGTATCCGAACGGCAAAGCGTCCGGTGCCTCCTCACGAAACTCCACGCCTACCGCTCTCGACTCGCCAGCCGAGTCCAGCGACGATGAGAGCCCCGAAAGGCGGGAGGGGGTACAGGAGGGCGCGTACCTCAAGTCCAAGCTGTGGTGGATCGGGCTAGCGATGATTTCGATTGGAGAAGGGGGCAACTTTTTGAGCTACGCCTTTGCGCCTGCGAGTGTGGTAGCGCCTCTGGGTACTGTTGTGAGTCTCTTCCAGTCCAAGCTCTTGTGAAGAACCTGACGTCTAGGCTTTGGTCGCCAATTGCATCTTCGCCCCTATCATTCTCAAAGAACGATTCCGGCCTCGAGAGCTCATCGGGATGGGCCTTGCCATCCTCGGGGCCGTGACAGTCGTCTACGCATCAAGCGATACCAATCCTCGCGTAGGTCCAGCCCTTCAAGCTCAAACCTCTTCAATGCCAATGACAAGCCTCCCAAGATCTACGCTCAAGATACAGCTGGACCCCTCTGAACTAGTCATCGCCATCACCCAGCCCCCCTTCCTCATCTACACAGGCATCAACCTCCTTCTTTTGCTGATGCTCATGTACCTCTCCCGCTCGGCGGCGTGGGGCGGCCGGTTCGCCGCTGTCGACGTGGGCATCTGTGCCATCTTTGGCGGGTACACGGTATTGAGCACCAAGGCGATGGCGAGTCTGTTGTCGACGATGTTTCTCCAGGCGTTCGAGTACCCGGTGACGTGGGGCCTGGTGGTGGTGTTGGTGGGGACGAGCTTGGCGCAGGTCAAGTATCTGAACAAGGCGTTGATGACGTTTCAAAGCAAGGTGGGTACTTGGGAAAGAGGAGATGGGAGAGGAAGCTGATCAAGCAGGAAGTCATCCCCACCCAATTCGTCTTCTTCTCGCTGGCAGGTAAGCTTTTAGGGTCTGAGAATGGGCAAAGCTGACTTCTATAGCGATCATTGGCTCTGGAGTACTATACCAGGAGTTCCGCGATATCCCTCTCACCCGCATGATCAACTTTATCTTTGGCGTGAGTCCCCCTACTTCTCGCTCTTCCAAGCTGACACCACAGATCGGAATCACATTCACCGGTGTCCATCTCCTCACCTCAATGCACTCCCCCGCTACCCCCTCCCCCTCTCCTCCACCATCATCCACCTCATCCCCTCAAACAACCCCCACACCCCTGCCCCGGACCGAGCGCACCCCTCTCCTCATCGCCCCATCACCCCATTCCGACGCATACCACCACGCCCTCTCTCCCTCCATCCGCGGTCGGGGAGTGCGCCTTCTCAAGCGGAACTCGACAGGCGAGATCCATACCCTGGGTATCAACTCCCAAGCCGGGTTCCTGCTGCTGGGGTCTACGCCGCCCGCTACTGCGATAGCATCACGGAGAGATCGGAGTAGTCATCGAGCGGAAAGAGGGGAGGCGGGGAGTCTGTTGGGAAGGTCACCGGGTGTTGTTCATATGAATACGAGGAGGGTGAGCGATGTTGCGGAGGCGGCGGCGGTGGGCAGGAGAGTTAGCTCTTCTTGAGATGGAGATGTATTGCTATGTTGTATCTCGATCTTTCCCGACCAAAATGACCGTCATCTTGCCTTGTTGGTCCGCAGACCTGTATAGCTTCGGAAAAGGGAGACAGTCAGATGTGTTGGTTGTTGCCCCTTCTTTCGCCCCCATATACCTCTTCACGAAGAAGGTCTCGTGTACTCGGATCTACTGCCTTGTACTGACAAATGTCTTCAAGTTGGTCTATCGACTGCATCTGTATATATCTATCGAATTGCAACATACACTAAAAGAGAGAAACCTCCACGACTAAAAATTAAATATCTATAACCCCTCTGCCTACTACATCTTCTCATTCGAGCCCGACGACGCCGCATCCGGCACGACCGCCTCCTCATGCACGCGCGTCATGTGTCCCGCCGCACCCGCCTCCCTCGGCCCCGTAGGTCCCGCCGACGCCGACCGCTCACCACGTCCCCTCCTGCTGCCCGTCATGGCCCGCGAGAGCTTGTAGTGGTCCTTGAATCCGGGGTGCTGGTACTGTCCCTCGAGATCACGGTCGAAGAAGGCATAGTCGGCGACGTACTCGCCGAGCTCGACCTCGTCCATCCCGACAATCTCGGCCTCCTCGGTGGCGCGGAAGTGAAGACCGGGGACGAGGTTGATCAGGAACATGATGGCGTAGGTGATGACGAAGGTCCAAGTGATTCCGACAACGGCCCAGGCAACTTGCTTTCCGAGCTGAATCCAGTTACGGTCGCTATGGGTCAGCAAGGATCTACTTGAAACAAGGTGAAAACTTACAGCCATCCACCGTCAATCACGGCAAAGCCGTCCGTGGCAGCAACGGAAGCCTGAGCAAAGAGACCGGTCATGAGGACACCGACGATACCCGCCAAGGCGTGGACGGCGAAAATGTCCATGACGTCGTCGACGCGCATGGTGTGCTTGAGCCGGGTGCACAAGTTGGATACGACGGCAGAAACGAGACCGATGAGGGCGGCAGCGGGCTGACCGACGAATCCGGCGGCAGGGGTGATAGCGACAAGACCGGCAATGGCACCGGTGCAGAAACCGACGACCGACCATTTACGTTCCAAGCGGAAGTCCATGATGAGCCATGCGATGGCGCCGACGGATCCAGCCAGATTGGTGTTGAAGATGGCAATGGCGGCCTTGAGGGAGGCGGCAAAGCAGGATCCACCGTTGAATCCGAGCCATCCGACCCAGAGGAGTACCGTGCCGAGGACGATCTGCGAGACGTTCTGGGGCTTGAAGAGGACGCGGTCGGTACCATAGTCACGACGCTTGCCGATAAAGTACGAGTAAGCGAGACCGCCGATACCGGATGCGATTTCGACGGGGACACCACCGGCGTAGTCGAGGACACCCCACTTGAAGGCCCAGCCGTTGACGGACCAGACCCAGTGCGCGAGGGGGTCGTAGACGAGGGTGGTCCAGAAGAAGATGAAGACCATGGCGGGAAGGATGCGCGAGCGCTCGGCGGCGGCACCGATGAGAATGGCGGGGACAAGTGCGGCGAAGGTCTGCAAGTCAGCTGAGATCCAGTCGACTCGAGTGGATGGGAAGCTTACCAATTGGTACATGGCGTAGACGATTTCAGGCTGCTTGCCGTTCGTTTCTGGCATAGCGCGGTCGAGGACAGATTGGAAACCGACGTTGCTGAAGATCAGCAAAGCCCTTATTGCTATTGAAGTGCTACTCACCGTCCATCACCCCAAAAGACACCTCCAGTCTCACTGAAGACGAAAGAATAACCGATGAACCACCATTGGAAAGAGACGATTGCGAGCGATGTCATACAGATGAACAGTAGTGACAGGGCATTTTTTCTCCGTGCAAGACCAGAGTAGAGGAAACCGAGACCGGGAATCTATAGGTCAGCATTGTAGTGAAGTTTATTCATGAGTGGACCCACCATGAAGAGCACGAGAGCACCGCAGAAGAGCAGATATCCGATATCTCCTGGGTTGAACGCTGGCTGTCAGCTCAGGTATCTACGACATACCGCCCAAACTCACCGGTGACAACGCCACCATCGCTCGTCGAGATGAAGTCGGTACCATAGGGGTTGATGACGGTCTCTCCCTCTGCCGCACCAGCGGTCAGACTACCATATGTGGCGTTCACCATGTTGATCGTGTGATCAGGTGGATGTTTTGACGTGGGTTAGGGAAGACTCGTAGTCCGCACACACACTGGAGAGAAAAGTTAGAGATGGTCGAGGTAAAGATGAGAAAAAGGCGGATGACAGATGTCTTGTGCGCGTCCTATAATACTCTGTTCGTGTCTTGGCTCGTTCTCTTCCCCATGATCGTCCCCGCCCTATCAGATCTCTCTGTTGCTATCTGCAGCATCGTCGACGTGAGATTCGTTGCTGATTAGACCGCTCAATCTCGGGAGACACCGGGTTTCAGACTGGGCAACCCAGATGAGGGGTCTATCAGCCAATCAACGCTCTCCGACTTATCTTTCCGCTCAAGTGGGCCGGGTAAGGTCTCTTATCCCCGCCCGAGATGTCCCGGACCCACTCGGTGTTCGTCACTGGTCGTTATCTCTCGGAGTGATCGAGGAAATAAGTGGCAAAGCAAAGTGGCTACTTTGGGAGATTCTCCGGCGCACGGCGGGTATACGTAATCTTCCGGCTAATCGTCGGTAGAACCTAGAACCTCCACACAGGCACGATGAGCTTGAACTTAGAAGTTCACAAAGGTCAGGATCCCATCATACCTCACGCATGGGCGCGCTCGACAAGCGCTTGGAAGCGCTGCTCCAGGACAGAAAGGCCAAGAACCGCTTCAGATCGCTGAAGGAATACAATACCTCGACTTCCTCTGAGCTAGTCGATTTTGTATGTGCCCTCGTTGACCTCTTTCGAGCCCCATCAGCTGATGGACAGAGCTCTAATGACTACCTCTCGCTGACCAGCTCGTCAGAGCTTCGTCAGGAGTACCTGAAGAGATTGGCTGCTTCGCCACACATCCTCGGGTCGACCGGATCGCGCCTGCTCAGCGGGGGTACGTCGGCGCACTCGGCGCTCGAATCGCGCTTCTCATCATTCTTCGACTCGCCTGCAGCTCTCCTGTTCAATTCGGGATGGGACGCCAACGTCTCCTTCTTCGGTACTGTCCCGCAGTCAAGCGACTGGGTGGTGTACGATGAGCTCGTACATGCCTCGGTACACTCGGGAATGCGGGCATCACGCGTTCGACCGGAACGGCGGATACCCTTTCGGCATAACGATCCGGACGCCCTGCGGGAGGTGCTGCTACGTATACGTCGCAAAGAGGATGCGGGACCCTCCAGCTCCACAAAGCAGGAAGGCGTCATCTTTCTGGCGCTGGAAAGCCTGTACTCGATGGACGGGGACCTGGCCTGTCTGCCAGCGTTCCTGGACGTGATGGATGAGGTTGTGCCGAGGGACAGGCAGTGTGTGGTGTTGGACGAGGCGCACTCCACTGGCGTATATGGGTCAGGTGGAAGAGGCGTGGGCCATGCTATAGGGGAGGCGGGAGACGGGAGAGTGGGGGTCAGGTTAATGACGTTTGGCAAGGCAGTAGGGAGCTCCGGAGGTGAGTTCTCTACCCTCCACCATCGATCTGGTCACAGCTCATGCGGTAGCTGTCTTGCTATGTTCGCCAGTCATACGGTCATTCCTGATTAACTTTGCGAGACCGCTCATTTTCTCGACCGCTATACCCCACTCAACGTTGATCTCGCTGGAATGTGCCTGGGACCTACTACAAAGCACAGATGGAGATCAGGTGGGCTGGATTACTTGGGTGCAGAGGACGACACAGCTAATCGTACAGCGTCGGGACAAACTCATGTCATTGTCTTCCAACTTCCACGCTCTCGTCCGACCCATCCTCGCTCGAACCCCTCGATCTACCCTCTCACTCCCGCCTGCAGCCGCAGCACCCTTCGCTTCAGCTCGGCAACGGCACCCCACACTCCCCGCCGACCCATTCTCACCCATTATCGGCCTTCTTACTCCTCGACCCCACGCACTATCGGCCTTCCTGCTGGAACGGGGTCTGGTTGTGCGACCTGTCGTTCCGCCGACGGTACCTCCCGGTGGTGAGCGGGTACGGATCTGCCTGCGGGCGGACATGGGGATGGAGGTGGTGGAGCGGCTGGTGAAGGCTTTGGAGGCGTGGGCAGATCAGGAGCGGGCCGGTGGGGTGGGCAGGGGTACTGCGGGAGTGCAGCAGGTACAGCTTCGAGGAAGATTGTAGTTGTGAGGGCCCCGAGGGGAGCTGGACCATCGGGTCCATCGGCCGATCCTCGGCCGACCAGCAAGAACACATGCAAGAGAAACTACTAGTTTGGGTAATTTTCATGCCGTAATCGACTCTCGGCGGCCAATTGGAGTCAAGACGTTGCAAGATCATCCATCTCATCCATCCCCCCTCGTCTCCTCAACTCTCCATCTCACTTCTGACATACATCCACCCCGCACGACCAGAACATACAGCTACAGCCAACATCACAGCGGTCCCACTCGATTTGCCCGCAAAAACCTCAAACTCAACTTCCAACCGAAAAAAAGAGCTCTTCACGATGCCCGTCCCCACCTCCCGACCCCGCACTCTCTACGACAAAGTGAGTTAATGTACAATATATGCAGCCGGCGGCAGCTGATGGCAAACAAGGTGTTTGAGGACCATGTCGTCCATTCTGGCGAGGGAGATACCCTTATCTACATCGACCGGCACCTTGTCCACGAAGTTACCAGGTTGGTCTACACCTCCTCTCTCATGATCTGCCATCACCTAGAGCTCCTACATCTCGAGCATATGAGCTGACTTCGAAATTCCGCAGGCATTTGAGGGACTTCGTAATGCCGGCCGCAAGGTCAGACGGCCAGATTGCACCCTTGTGACAGTCGACCACAACATCCCGTGAGTAATCTGTCCAGGAATCGCGAATTGAGCTGATCGTGCAGCACTACGACTCGCAAGAGCTTCAAGAACGTCTCGAGCTTTATCACCGAGACCGACTCTCGCGCGCAAGTCGAGGCGCTTGAGGACAATGTGAAGGAGTTCGGCCTGACCTACTTTGGAATGAGCGACAAGCGCCAGGGTGAGTTGAACTTCGAAATGTATGCCAGGACACGGCTGATCGTCAGGTATCGTCCACATCATCGGCCCTGAGCAGGGCTTCACCCTCCCGGGTACCACTGTCGTCTGTGGTGACTCTCACACCTCCAGTAAGTCCCAAATTTGAAGTCCGTGCGTCCGGACTATTCGCTGACTTTCAGCTCACGGTGCCTTCGGAGCTCTCGCTTTCGGTATCGGTACCTCGGAGGTCGAGCACGTTCTCGCTACCCAGACCCTCCCCCAGGCCAAGTCGAAAAACATGCGGATCTCGGTTGAAGGCGAGCTGTCCGAGGGCGTCATGTCCAAGGATATCGTCCTCCACATCATCGGTGTCATCGGTACCGCCGGCGGAACCGGCGCCGTCATCGAGTTTGCAGGCTCGGCCATCCGCTCCCTCTCCATGGAAGCGCGCATGTCCATCTGCAACATGTCGATCGAGGGAGGTGCCCGTGCCGGCATGATCGCCCCGGACGAGATTACCTTCGAGTACCTCAAGGGTCGTCCGCTCAGCCCTCGCGAGGGTGAGGAGTGGGAGCAGGCCGTCGCATACTGGCGGACGCTCAAGACGGACGCGGGAGCCAAGTACGACATCGAGGTCGAGATCAAGGCCGAGGACATCATCCCCACCGTCACCTGGGGTACCTCTCCCCAGGACACCGTCCCTATCACCGGTGTCGTCCCCAACCCTGCCGACTTCAAGGAGTCTGTCCGCCCCAATGTCGTCCGTTCGCTCGAGTATATGGGTCTCGAATCAGGCGTCCCGATGGAGGAGGTCAAGATCGACAAGGCGTTCTTCGGGTCCTGCACCAACGGCCGTATCGAGGACATGCGGTCCGCCGCTCGGGTCATCCTCGCTGCGGAGAAGTCGGGCGGGCCGGCCAAGGTCGCCGAGTGGGTTGAGGCGATGGTCGTTCCCGGATCCGGGCTGGTCAAGCAGCAGGCGGAGGCGGAGGGGCTTGACGTCATCTTCAAGCGAGCCGGGTTCGACTGGCGAGAGGCCGGGTGCTCCATGTGCCTCGGCATGAACCCGGACCAGCTCAAGCCCCAGGAGCGGTGCGCGTCCACCTCGAACCGGAACTTTGAGGGGAGGCAGGGAGCCGGCGGCCGGACCCACCTCATGTCGCCAGCCATGGTCGCTGCGGCCGCCCTTACCGGATACCTTACGGATGTCCGCAAGATGATGGGCAGCGGCAGCGACAAGGACGCTGGGCTCAAGATCACCTCCTACCACGACTACCTCCAGCCCATGGACCTCCCCCACCCCCCTATCGAGCCCATCGGCGACAAGCCCAGCGAGCAGACCTCCCTACAGCAGGCGGCTGCTGCTTCGGCTGGTCTCCCTCCCTTCACCGTCGTCCAAGGAAGCGCATGCCCATGGAGTCGTGCAAATACAGATACGGATTTGATCATCCCCAAGCAGTTCCTCAAGACCCTACTGCGAACCGGTCTCGGTGCGGCGCTCTTCTGGCCCGTCCGGTATGACATAAAGACCGGCGAGCCAGTTTCGGACTTTGTGCTTAACAAGGAACCGTACACCCGCTCTCAGATTCTCGTCAGCACCGGCGAGAACTTTGGCTGCGGTTCCTCCAGAGAACACGCTCCTTGGGCACTGATGGACTTTGGTATTCGGTGAGCATTTTCTTTGCCTACAGAGTGCCGAGTACCATGAGAAGTGCTGACGGGCGCAGAGCATTGATCGGGATTAGCTACGGCGAGATCTTCAAGAACAAGTAGGTCATCGTTTTGTCCGAGGCTGACGTCCAGCTGCTTTAAGAACGGCATGCTCTGCATTGAGCTTCCCGCAGCTGAAGTTGCCCTCCTCCACAAAGACGCTGAGGCCGGTCTCGAGCTCGCCGTCGATCTTCCCAATCAACAAATCCTCCGTCCCAACGGTGAAGCACCCATCCCCTTCGACGTCGACCCCTTCCGGAAGCACTGCCTCATCAACGGTCTCGACGACATTGGACTCACGTTCCAGCACAAGGAGGCGATTGAGCGGTTCGATGAGCGCAGGACGCAGATCTGGCCCTGGCTCGACGGGGTGGGATACGCCAAGAAGGGGCAGAAGGTGGTGCCGCTCAAGACAGGCGGGAAGAAGATGGAGTGGTAGAGAGGGCGAGGGAAGCGGGGGGAAGGGAGATCCCGGACCTGCGGAGGGGTATGAGAAGGACTGGACGGGTGGTGGAGGGTTTGATGTGAGGGCGAGAAGGAGGCGGAGCATTGAGCGCTGGGTATCTCTTTGTGTAGCAAGAATCGTTGTTCATAGTCGGCAGCCCAGCAAGGAAGGATAGACCGCGAGAAGGAGAAGGACCGGAAGATCTGAAACGTGGGGCACGGACCTGAAACTTTCCCCTTAAGCTTTCGCCTCACCCAAACCTTATCCATGCTTGTTCCTGCGCCCTGCTTATGCCCTCCTTTGCCCGTCAAATTTCAAACTGGAGCTAGGACTGCTCGAAATGCCGCTCGCATCACCACACATCACCTCCAAAGCGTCCCAGCGCAGTCCACCAGTATGGGCTCGACTCACGCTCCCATCGTCGACATCCCGCAAGAACTACACGACCAGATCGTCGAATCATGCGACGTGCTTTCGATCAGTCGCATGATGGCGACCAATCGCGCTTTGCGAGCGCGATGGAAGCTTGCCTGGGAGCCATATCTTGAGGAGGAAATCGTAGTGCCCAAGGGGTACCGGTCCTTTCCTGCCGACAGTAAGCTCAATCCAGCCAATTGTGACGCGCTTCACCGCGCTGACGTCTGGCCTAGTATTCACACCTATCCATCGAAACATCGCACGGTACGACTGCTCTCGGTGGCACAAGCTGCGCCGGGTCAGCGAGTCCTTCCAGCGCCATCTCGACCTCTTCCCTCCAGTTGGTCACATGCGCAAACTTGTGGTGGAGCTTCAGGCGGACTGCGAGGCTGGATGGGGGATCCTCAAGCGGGTCCGCTGTCCAGAGCTCCAGCTCAACATCGTGGACGAGCTCTTCGTCATCGCGACAAAGGGCGAGACGGAGGACATCCGACTCTACCGCGAAGCATACGCCGAGAGGCGTCCGTCTATCGCACTCTGGCCTCGGAAATTCGCTCCCTGGGGGCCGGGCTCGCCCTTCTCGGCGGTCACCCATCTCGCCCTCCAGATATCGTCGAACGCGGGGGATCATCTCGTTGGGATACTGGCCTTCCCCATGCCGCAACTCGTCTCGCTCACGGTCGCGCAACACTGGGCGGCCGGCTACCTTCCGGAATATCGGGATCTCGTCGTCGATCGGGTCGCGCCGTTCCCTTTACTCGTCGGGCTTGAGTACCTGGCGGTCTGCGGGGACGATTTCTCTGCAGCGCAGATCCTCGACATCCTCGGCGGCAGAGTACCACATCTACGGGGCCTCCTCATACACCTCTCTGGGCGGGTCCAGGAGGACGACTATTCGTTTGACGAGGAATTGCCCAGCCCCGTCGACAAGGTCTTGGGCATCCTTGACCGCCGGTACCGGATGCTGGGTGTCGCTGTGTATGGCATCGCCGCCGCATCCATGCTATCATGGCTGGACACCCGTCAAGAGTACGGGTACCCAGTTGGAACCCTCGAACGGACTCCTCACCTTATCCTAGATCAGTCTTCGATTCGGACGCTCCCAGATAGGGAGATCGCAAGCGGATCCTTTTCATGGGTGAGTGTGCCTCAGTACTGGAGTGTCGAAGCTTCGCTAATGGCTGCTTAGGATCTCGACTCCCTGCCCGAATTACGCTTCATCGAGACCCTCACTCTGGTCGACCTCCGCCTGGACATCCAGGAGCTTCAACGCCGAGGAGCAGAAACCGCGCTGGCAAAGATCTGTTCAGAGGGAGAACTCAGAGGTCTTTTCGTCGAGTGGCCCAAGCTCCGGACGGTACAATGGACCAATTCGTACGCTGTCAATCCGTTCGGCCGCGATCCCAATGCGCGGGAGCGGGACCTCCGGTGCTGCATCGATCGGCCGGCCGACGTCGCGCTCGGCTCGTTGGAGCCGTACTTTAGCGACGGCATCGGCGGAGCATGACCCTGCGTAGATGGGAAGAGTCAACTACAAGAGAAGGCGGCGGGGAGGAGCAAGATGTGTAGAGGAGGGGAACGGGCCGGCGGAGGGGGATGGGGCACAGGGAAAAGCTAGGGAGGGTGATGGCGGCAGTCGGGGGCGGAATCGCTCGGGGCGAACTCTAGATGAGCGTCCTGGGTACATTAGAGCATCTCGTAGCGCTTGTTCTACATCACAGCATGCCCATAAACCGACGTCAAGAACGTTCCATATGCGATCTAGACCACAACGAGCGAGATGGCAAGGAAGCCTGCGCACGGGTATTCTTCTGCACGACTCCAAGAGATTGGTTCAACCCCTGATGAGGCCCTGATAATGCCATCACTTTTGGTCACTCATCATTCAGTACGACTTGAATCTTCAACAAGGTAGGGCTGTGCTGATTGTTCGTTAGCTCCAGGTCATGCTACAGATCGGCTGTAGCAAAGCAGCTTCTGTGACAACTCCGCACGCTATGACGGCCCCAACTCCCACTCTGGAGGGGATGCCGCTGCAAATCATCGCACTCATCGCCGGCCACAGTGACCGGACGGTCACTATATGGCGTATGATGGCTACCAGTCGGAAGATACGGGCGGGCGCGGAGCCGGCGCTGAGACCGATGCTGGTAGAGGAGGAAATCGTCATCCGGCCGATTCCCGACGGTGAGTTGCGGGTGGGGGATCGTCAGCTGGATAAAGGGTCTCAACAACAATCTATGGACTGGCTGATATTAAAGTCTGGGATCCCATGCACCGCTGTATCGATGATCCGGAAGATCATGAATGGCGGGAGCTACTCCGCGTACGCAGCAAGCGCTTCAAGGACCACTATCGCGCATACCCACCCTCAGCGGCCCTTCTATCTCGTCTGATCGTCGAGGTCAGGGATGATCAGGACCAGGCAGGCTGGGAGCATATCAGGCGCTTTGCTGGTCAGCTTACCAGCCTTGATATCCACTTCCGGGATCGGCAATGGGAGGCGCACCTGGAGGAGCGGTACGAGGGCGTCATCTTGCGGGCCGAACATATCCGGAGGACGGCCAACACCAGCGACGTCTGGAATCGGGTGTTCGACTTTGGCGTACTCCAGCTCCCTCTCGTCACACATCTGACTCTCGCCTGCTCGGCGAGGATCACCGACCACTTTGCCCTCCTGGCGAAGTCGACGCCAAACCTCGTGGATCTCACACTCGCCTGTCACTTCGGGTCATGGGGGTTCGAATACACGCCCTTTGACTACGAGTCGCAGGGCATCTCCATGCCTCAAACAATACGTAGGCTAGCCGTACACGGCGATGATGACTCGGTCTTCCACACGCTGGCCAACATCTTACCGCTCGCTCCGGGCATCACCGCACTGGTCGTTCATCTCTCCACGGACGTCATACCGGACGAGCTCGAGCTCATTCTTGTGACCATGGCCGCTCACACCCCGCTGGAGAGCCTTGCTCTATACGGTCAACCATCTGGGATCATCACTGCCGTTCTGCGTCATGTACAGGACGAATGGGACGATCCAAGCGAGGTGACCTTTCCGCACTTAAGAACGCTCGTCCTCGGTCAGCAGTACTACCGAGCTGAGTCGGAGGATGTCGTTCCCGGGGACCCCCTCCTGATGCACGTGAGTCAAATCCTATGGACTCGCAATAACGAGCTGATATATCAGGAAGACAGCAATAGGCCCAATCTACCCGCCCTGGAGCGCCTGTCATTTGTCGACCGCCATATCCACCACCCCCGCTCTTATTACTCCCCTTCACCCCCGCCACGATATGGACCCTTCTACACTTATCAGCCGGAAGCACTACGCGATCTAGCTGTCAGATATCCAACACTACGGATGGTGCAGTGGGTCATGGGTTACCCCGTCGACCCGTTCGACTTTAATTCACCTTCAATCGATCCTGGCGGGCTGCTCAAGTGCCGGGTGACTTGGGCTGAGGGGCAGGAGCCACCTTTACCGCCGGACGTTGAGGAGCAGGACCATCAGCATTCGGGATGTTACGAAGGGGAGGAGTCACCTTGGCTTCTGGTCGGCGGAGAGTAGACGATTAGTGCGCAGCGGGTCGGGCGGTCGGGACAACGTGGGTAGGAAACCAAAGGTGGGTGTGGCTTTGTTACGACTTGTTCAGTCTTGGTTCTCGACCTTTTGCGAGACATTGCCGGGACTTTGTGCTGGCGTTTGTGCTGACACATCCAGAACTCAATCTAGTAAGAAGGTATTCCAGTAGTATAGAGGCAGACGAGCGGGGCGGCAGGTACGGAGGAGCAGGGCGCTGGAGCAGGGCATACAGAGCTGGTGACCCCCTTGATCAGACCGAAGTAGCTAGCTCTTCGAGCATGCTCTGGATACGAGTATCTCAGAAGGTGTCTTGCGAGCATGCATGTCCCTTTTACGTGCTATCGGCCAATGAGACCAGCAAAGCGGGCCAGAGAGCGCTGAGGGAGGTGCCACATCTGCAGCAGCTGTCTCAAAGCCAACTTTGCCATACAACTTTCATCCACTTGTTGACATATTCCCTCGATCTAGTGAGCTGAGGAACAGCTGAGATCAGGCAATACTCATCAGCCCCGCACGTTGCTGACGAAACAGCAGTCGCACGACAGGCTCACTCAGCTTCGTCCGGTCCAAAATGCCATCCTCCTCTCCTGTCCGCCTCGACACTCTTCCCCTACATATCATCCACACAATCGCTTCGTACACTGTCCACCGTACCTCTTACTCTCCTACCTACCACAGCACTCGTCCGTTATGGAACATGATGGCGACGTGTCGGGCGTTGAGGGAGGGCGCGGAGATAGCGCTGCGGCCGTATCTGAAGGAAAATCTGCGGGAGTTGCTCGTCCGCCCGTGCTACATGGAGGACGGTCAGTCACATCTCGCCCAGACCTTCTGGAACGAGCTCGTGCTGATATGAATAGTCTTCGAGCCAGTCGGGGAATATCCTACGGAAGATGACGAGGAAGGAGAATACGACGATCTCTCCCGCCGCATCCAGCTGAGGGCGCTCAGCAAGCGACACGAGATCTACCTCCAAAATTACCCTCCCGCAGTCAAGCACCTCACGACCCTCACACTCGAGGTGAGGGACGATGATGATACGGCGATGTGGCCGCACATCCTCCGGTTCGCCGGTCAACTCCAAGAGTTAACACTCTACTTTCAGGATCGGCTCATCACCCTGCACGAGACGGAGCGGTTCTACGGCGCGGACGAGGAAAAGCAGCGGGAGGACAACATTCAGCAGTCAGCCAACAGCAGGGACGTTTGGAATCGCGTCTTCGACTACGGCGCGGTGCAACTACCCTTGCTCACCAACTTGACCCTCAGCTGTACGGCGAGAGTGTCGGATCACTTTGTGCTCTTCAGTCAGTCCCTCCCCAACCTCGTCGAGTTGACGCTCGCCTGTCACTGAGATGCCGGTCTGGTATGCGCCTACACGCCGGAAGACTACTCGGAGCTCGAGCTCTCGCTTCCATCCCTGCGCCAAATCACACTGCACGGCGACGAGATGTCGGTCTCCCAGACTCTGTCAAATCTCCTCCGGATCGCTCCTCACATCATCTCACTCGCCCTCCATGTTCCGGTCGCCATGGACTCAGACGTCCTCGGAGGTTTATGTGTAACCATCGCTGGACATGGTCCGCTGGTCAGTCTGGCTTTATATGGACCGTGGTCTGGCAATGCCACTCAGGCGCTACAACTCGCGCAGGACGAATTTCATACATCCATGCAGAACCTTAAGACTCTCGTGCTCAGTCAAAGGCATAAATGGGTTCATGATGGGCCCTTGTACCCGCTACTTGACCAGGTGAGCGTATCCTACTCAGCCTCTACACACATGCCTCGAGCTGAAATTCTTAGGATTCGGAACTGCGGCCCGCACTACCGGCGCTGGAGCGGATCTCATTCGTCGACCCCGACATCGAGTATTGTCACGAGTACGATCGGCGCTCATGGCGCAGCTTTGAAGGCTTATACAGCGTTGAGGCGTTGGAGGGCCTAGCTGCCGAGTATCCCACCTTACGGTGCTGTCAATGGGTTCTCGGTTACCCGGAGGACCCGTTTGACTTTGACTCGCCCTCGATAGGAGATGGGGAGCGCAAGTGTAGGGTCACTTGGGGTGAGGGTGAGAAGCCACCACCGCCGCCGGAGAATTGCAGTGCTTGGGGACCCGCAGACCTCGCGATGTTTAGGTCCGACTTTGGGGTCGGGTTCGGCGCCGAGGCGGAAGAAGAGAGAGAGGGTGCGAGAGAATGAAGAGCGTATTGGGTGTGAGAAGCACATTGGTAAACCTTTGCGCGACCATCTCAAGGCAGGGGCTTCAGCTGAATCTTGCAGAACATTTACAAGTGGACAGAAGTGGTGAAGGTGGCGAAGTGCGATTGTCGGAGGATCTGAGTCGCTGGATACCCCCTGCGTGAAAAGAGGTGGGAGATATGATAAGAAGGACTGGACTACTTGCATCGTGTTGAATGCCAGATACGCCCATACTTAAGCCCCTCGCAGCTAAGAGGAGCAGCTGGACCCCCAATGCCAGCCGGAGTTTAGTCAATCTCCATGGTCATGCTTCCCCGCGCCCCCACTACGCGCCCGCAGCAAGAGCTTCATGGCTCAAGAGGTGTGTTTCGGTTTTGTGCTTCATAACGAGCCTGCAGTATCTCATAGCTATGGCTGCTGCGCTCCCCGCAGGCCTTTCCTCTAGATACTGGAGAACCTGGAGGCCAAGCGGACCGATTGGCGAGTCTCTTCTGCCGGGAGAGGAGTGGATAGGCAGTTGGGATGGGTTGGGATTGTACGAGGGGTGCGTCTCTACTGATCCTTCCTTGAGCATAATGACTTGCTGATCAGGAAAGGGATAACAAGGTGCAAGGCTATCAGGATCTCGTCCTTCACTTGACAACTACCCGACTACTGCTCGAGCCTATCCTGGATCCAGTACCGTCCTCCTCATCTTCCGTTCGGCCACTCAGCACCGGTCTTTTCGCTCCTCTTCGGGATGTGCGACAGACAGAGTTCTACAAGGGCTTCATGAGGAGCTCGCCAAAGATCACCATCTCCCTCGGTCATGCACCCGGATCGTCCCGGGCAAACGGCTCGCGGACAAGTCTGCAGCTTGCGGATGCGGAGGAAGATCTCGGCTGGTCGTGTACCGTCTGCGGGTACAGGAATGGTGGTGAAGATGCGAAGTGTGGGCTCTGCGGAGTGGGGAAGGATCGGATACCGCATAGTCGAGGTGGAACACCTGCACCGAACCGGACGTCCTCCGACCGCCCATCAACGCCTCAGCCCAATGTATCAGGCGGACCGGGAGATGGGCAGGCCAAGGGCGGCAAGATCGCATGTCCTACCTGTACCTTCCTCAACCACGGCAGCATGATCTCGTGCGAGATCTGCGCTTCGCCCTTGCCTCGCACGACTCGAGCAAACGGAGCGGCTGCCCCGAGTACCAGCGCGGTCGGAGGCAGCACTACGCCTGGGGACGGGAAACTGGAGGTCGTGCGGCTCAGCTTCAGGAAAGGCGGAGAGAAGGTGGCTTATGCGAAGCTGAAGAATGTGTTGAGCCAGAAAGCTTGGGAAAGACAGGTAAGCTCGCTCAGATCGTGGTAAAGGGGAAGATAGCTGATTGTCTAGGACGCGTCAGATGGGCGCAATGGTAGGGATGTTGACGGCGGGACATCAACACCTCGGGTTTCCGGTATCGGTAAGTTTACTCGCTGTCATGCCTCGGATGTACTGACTCTATAGACGGCATCATGCAGACAATCACCCTCGACGCTAAGAACCGCTCCGCCAATGTTTCATCCGCATTTGCCGACCTCGAAGTTCTCATGGTTCGCGCTGGGGAGATGGTCAAGCTCGCTCAGTCACTCAACGAGAAGCTGCTCTCGTCGCAACGAACAAATCCACCCATCGGGTCGGCCGAAAAGGCGCAGCAGGAGAAAGAGGCGACTCTGATCCGGACATCGCTGGTACAGCTGGGTCTGCCTGCTCCGGCTTTGACGAGCGATATGGTGCGGAGCGACCATGAGTACCTGGAGGGACTGGCGCGAGAGTTGGGGGCGCTGCTTACTGGTCACCCCGGAGTGAAGGGGAAGGGCAGAGAGGTGGAGGGGCTGATGGTGGGGAGTAAGGGCAGGGGCGTTATCGGCTTGGATGAGGTCTGGGGATTGTGGATGAGGGCGAGAGGCGTCGGTGAGCTGACCATGTCGAGAGAAATGCATGAGCGAATGGCTGATCGAATAGCGCTACTTTCGCCTGCTACCCTGATCTCCATTCTGCCTTTCATACCGGATCAGACTTCCCCTCCTATCCGCCTGAGGACACTCCCATCCGCCCTCAAAGTCTTGTACTCTCCGACGTATTCGCCGCCAAACATGCTCGCCCGGCTGCTGGACCTCCTCTCGCCGGGTCAGGACAGCGGTGCTTCCATTAGCGAAGAGGCTCCGGCATCGCCGGCGATGGAGAAGAGTCTCAGTCTGATCGAGATAGCAGCATACGAGGGTCTGGCTATCGGCCTGGCAAAGGAATTGATGGAGGAGATCGAGAAGCTAGAGAACGGAGACATGGGAGGAGTTGGGGGGATCGTGAGGGATGATCAGGCGGAACAGGGGGCTGGAGGTGTTCGGTGGTATAGGGATATCATGACGGGCTGGACTTTGGAGCAGAAAGCTTGATTTGTAATCTCAGCGGCGCTCTAGCGATGAGCAACTAGAGGCGATCTGAGACAACGGTGAGACATTCCTCCGCTTTCAGCAGCGCAACAGCTTGAGACATTGCTGATGAGAAGCAGACTGGCGGATGAAACATGACGACAATCCATCGGCTTATCGGGCTTCATCCCAGTATCGATCATACATATCAAACGGCAACAAGCCACTTTGACCACACCGCCTTCCGTCATCTTTCCTCCTCCCCTCCCTCTCAAAAAGGCGCCTAGCCATACCTACCCAGCATGACGCTCGCAGTCAAGACTTGCTCGACGTGCGCCAAGGCCTGCTACCCCACCGAACGTATCCGAGTGTCCGATCTCTGGATCCACAAACACTGCCTCAAGGTAGATCTCTCGCCCCTCGATTCCCCTATCAAGCTAATGGTCTAGTGCTCCGAGTGCAGTACAACGTTATCCTTAAATTCAGTCTACGTCGCCCCCTCCCCCGCATGCCCGACCATCAAGCTACTCTACTGCGCCAAAGATGTCCCCAAGGTCGTGCACACTAGCGTTGTCGACTCGGTCGCGCTCAAGACGGCCATGCGGGCGCCGAACCCAACGACTGTGCCGGCGGGCGTGATGGATGGGAAGCAAGGGAAGGGGAAGGGCAAGACGATCAGGTTCAAGGGCTTGACGCTGAGGAGCAAGAGTATCGCGGCTGGTCTAGGTGAGTTCCACCTAGCAGAAAGCCAATATGCAGCATGTGCTCATGACGCAGGTGCTCCCAGGCTGGACATTCCAGGTCAGCTGAGGAGCAAGGTCACCGTCGGCCAAATCGGGAATGTCGGACTGGACTCGTGGGATATCGCACATGCTCTGAGTACGTCCAAGAGACTCTTCAATGAGATAGAGCTGACAAGCAGATGTTCAAACTCAAGTCTCCTCGCCTATCCGCTCGCATCCCGCCATACACGCTCAACGGACCGGTTCAGCTGGCGCATCATGGCCCATGCCCAGTCAGCCGCTCGATCCACAGCTTACCGGCACGAGCCCGGACGATATCATGAGTGCTGCAAAGGGAGAAGAGGGTATCACGATCGAGAATGACCTGTATGTTCCTCTTCATCTCTACCACCGCTGTAGCTGATATTGGCAGAGTCAAAAACCTCATCAAGGTCTTCCAGCTTGACTCACTCGACCAAGTCGAGATCAACCCGGACACTAGCCCAGCTTGGTCCGACACCGTCTCGGGCAATCTCAACGTAGAGATCATCGGCTCAGCACACGACTACGACTCCGCTACATGGCAGGGGACCCTCAAGCCTACCATCTCCCGCGCCACCGCTCAGTCTACGGTCCGTACTGTGCGAACACTCGGGTCGAAGAAGGGCACTCTCACTCTCGCTCGGATGAAGGGGAATCTCCGGCGGCCGGTCCTCAGCGAGCTGTTCAACGTCGATCAGCCGGTCGAGATTGACGGTCCGGCGGAGCTTGGCGTTCCGCAAAACACGCCAATGAAGGCTAAGCGAGGGGATGGGACGATCGGAAAGGGGACACTGAAGGGCCAAGGAGCGGATATGGGCACGTTCAGAGCGGGAAAGCTGCTCGAAGCGTTACTCCCACTGGCGGCTCATCTGGTCCCGCTGCCGTTCGGCGATGACGAAGATCTCGAGGATGACGAGGTTATGAACGAGCTGGAGCAGGCTCAGAAGCTGCTGGCGGATGGTCTGGAGCAAGAGGGGCTGGAGCTGGTCGTGAGTATCTGCCTTCTTCCTGAAAATATCTGGGCAGAGCTGACTTGACAGATGCTCTTTGAGGAAGAGCCCATCCTGGCTTGCAATGCCTAATCAGCCTGAAATGATTGCTTTCAGCCTCGTTCTTTCTGCGTCATTTAGTAATACCAGATCGCCCGGGCCTTCCTATGCACTCATATAATAGCTCTCCGTCTCCAACTTGCACTGGAAGGACCCAGAAAGATGCGCTCCTTTTGCGGTTGCGACCTTTTTGCGGGCGGCATTGACCGACGCCGGTTACGGCATTCCAGGGCGTTCCTTATGACGCGAAAGGCACTCCGCCGCCAAAAGGCCTCACTCTGCCATATAAAGGTCGCACATCGAGTCATCTCCCATCCTCTCTTCATACTTGACACTACCAGACATACTCGCGTAGTATACCCAAGCACCACTACCTCTCAGCCTACTCTTACCAAACCAACATCAATCAAAATGACCGAGTGAGTTCAGTGTCATCTCCCTGACGACCCCTTCAGCTGACACGTCTTCAGCGGCTTCACCCTCCCTACCCCCTCCACCTCCGCCGCCTGCTCGTGCAAGACTGATGGCGACCACCAGTCGTGCGCGTAAGTGACGTTCCCTGTCTTTGCTTGCTAGGAGTTCCAGCTGACGTCGATAGTTGCCAGACCACCGCTACTTGCAAGTGCGGCCCCGACAGCTGCACTTGCGACAAGTGCCCCGAGCACCAAAAGGACGTCGAGGGCAAGGAGGGCAAGGGCGGATGCTGCGGAGCAGACTCTGACCCCAAGACCTGCAAGTGAGTATCCACCCCTTCCCCATTCCCTACTTTTCCACATTTCTCATCTGGGGTTGGCTGATCCATATAGCTGCAACGGTTCTTGCAAGTGCGCCCCTGGGTCCTGCAAGTGCGCCAACTGCCCCAGCAAGAAGGATTAAGCGGAGCGGTACTCTTGCTCGGAACAGTGGATGGGTGTTCTTAGTCAGTCAGTCAGTAAAGTCTAGTTGAAGAACGGCATGTATCACTATGAGTCAATGACTATAGCTGTCTGCTCCCTCAGGCCTGGTTAGGGTACACGCTCACTGACGCTCTGCCTGCCGGCTGTATGCTGATATCACCCATGCTGCTCACTGCGTTCACATTACACTCACGTACAAGCCGTTTGGGGGTCTCCGCGGTAGAGGTCGAACAGACGAGTAAAGGAAATGAGGAGGAAGGGGGCCATTCACCATTCCAGCCAAGCTGGTGCTTCGTCGCAATGGAGCCTCGTCACCCCTATCAAAGGAGCAGCGACACTCACTGAGATCGGCATGATTCTAGCGCAATCCCTCCTCGACCACCTGTTCAGTCGGTGCGGGCGAGGTAACGGAGTCATGCTAAAAGTACTAGCCTGTTCTGACTTCATGATCATCGCTCGTCCGAGGCTGCGGATATTAAGGCGTTCTCATGAGAGACAACTCGAGGCTGCCTTGAGCCTTTCCAGTCGGCCGCGGGTCTCAACTGCTGTCGAGATGTGGACCACAGGTGATCCAGTCTACTATCATGCATGTCGCCGCGGGCATCCACTATCACCTGTAAGTCAAAGACACCATTCGCCCCTTCTGACTTCTCACCTGATCACGCGTCAGTGAAGGACACCACCTTGGGCCTGCCATCGCACTTCACCACATACTTGTCTGACACCGTGACACTGGTGATGGCTCGCCAAGAGCGCTCCATCGCCGTCTTGCGGTCCTCAGAAATACCCGGCAGGTCGAGTAGGTCTTGAAGGAAGTCTGGCATTGTGATCTGCGAGCGTGTCCGGAACTGTTCGAGAACCTGCGCTTTGGCGCGATCGAATTCCTCTCGGCTCGGCGCGGCAGAAGAGCGCTGGTCGTTGTGCGTGTCTCTGATGGTCTGCCACAGCGTGTCCACCCTCTCCACCTGCTCGCCCACTGTCTTCGTCTGCACGTGAGTAGTACAGACGACTCGGGTCCGCCACGACTCTTCGGAAACCGGGTCCCTGTCGAGCACAACGTGACCTGATTCGGGCAGGAGGATGGAGCTGTCGAGACCGTCTGTCTTGTAAGTGCAATCGTTGTTGTATGGATCCGACACTTGCATGGTGTACCGATGTCGATGAGGAGTATGTATTGACTGGGACTTGCGAAGCGGTGGCGAATAAAGGTGAAAGCAGGGGCGCGCGGGGGCCTTTGCTCTCCACTTATATCCAAGCTGACGACCGCTGTCTCTGGGCACGCGCATGTCGCCACCCGCTCGAAAGGATTCCTCCTTTGATGTCGCGCTTCACACTCCATGCCATATGCCCATCGTAGAGGGTCGCCGATACAAAAGACCGCATATCGAGAATGAAACACAGCGAGGGCCGCTAGAGGACAGGCATAATCTAGTGACAAGAAACTGTACTGGCCTAGGAGTGTCAACTGCTGTATGATTGTGCGTGCTGTCACCGTCAAGACAGGCCGGGGTCTCGTGCACTACCATCCGGATCCGCCGTAAAAGTAACATACATTGAGAGACTATGCATGTATTCAGCCTTCGTTACACCACATCAAGCACTGCCCAATGTCACGAAGCCGCCAGCTTGAAAGGTACTCATACCGGGACACAAGGTCACAACGAGGCTGCAGAGCTGCATCTGTGGCTGTCTCGACCTCTCTCTCGGTGGCTCCCTCCGCTGTGGTCACGGTGAGCTTGAGCTTGCAGTCTTCAGCCAACATGGAAGGCTCGGTGATGCTGTCCCCACGCGAGTACTCCGCCAGCATGGTCGCCACAGTCTTGCGCACGTCCTCCTTCCTGTCTTGGCCGTCGATCTCGAATTGCTGCAGCAATTTCGCCCCGAAGGCATTCATGCGGGCTCGCAGAGGGCGGATCAGCTCGCTTCTGTCGGTATCGCACCCGTAAATGGTCGTGATCGTATTCCCGGCAGCATCAGTCTGCACAGCACGAGAGCCGTATTTCGTGCCTAGCGGTCGGCTGCCCGGCGTTCTGTCGAGGCTGCAGCATTCAGGAAACATGTCTGGGCCTGTATATCAGGTTGTGGAGAGGGGGTTTCTTGGAGTCTGACTGGGAAGGAGGGCATACTGCGCTCAGATCCGCGCGTTATATGATGAGCGGGACGCCATGGGCTGGTCGCGAACGGCCTCTCGAGCGCTTTCCATGTCAAAGGACAGTGAGTGGCCTGGCGATTAGATTGCAGGCAAGAGCTCCCTGATATTGTCCATGTTCGGACATTATAAATGGGGAAGGCCAGCAGTCTGCTCGGGCGCCTCGGCCGGCGCTCCTTAAACCTCCGCCAGCTAAGGCTCTGGTCATGCTGTTCTTCAAGAAAGGAATCCAGGCGGGTAAAGCGCCGAAGCGGAGTCGGAGGTCGGCCATGATGAGGTGGCCAACTAGGACCAACAGGAGGAAATGGTCCGGGCGGAGCTCGAGACGAAGGCTTGCTGTGGATGTCGAGTGTCCAATATGAAATATGTTTCAATGTACAGATCGAGTCGATAGTAGTGAGTAATGTCAGATCTACTGCGAACTCGACACCTTCTCGAGCTTGAAGCAAAATCACGTTTGCATCTCAGTATACAGTCAGGACTGGCGTGTAGATAGCGAAAGGCAGATAATGACCAGCTCAGCCGGGCCTCTTGGGATCCCCACGCTCGCCCACTCCTTTACGGAGGGATGAGTCCGGGCCCTATCTCTGCCCTACTCAGTCCAGATGGAAAGAGAGAGGGGAGGAAGAGCATATCCTCGGTTGGGTATCATCATCGCTGGTCTTCCTGGGGGGTGGGGGGTGGGACAAGGGGAGTCTGTCAAGGGGAGTCTGTCAAGGGTGATGAGAGCTTGAGCAGGGGTCAGTCAATTGCGGCCGTTGAGATTATCATGTTGCATGAGTTGGGCTATTTGGTACAGTACACTCTATGGATCAGCTTCTTCTCATATAGCATCTCCCCTGTAGTGGACTGAGGCACGACTCACGGCTTCCCTTCTCGCTACCTCGCTCCCCTACGCCCACCTCTTCAGATCCTCATGCTAAAGGTGTGATCAACCTGAACGTCAGTGTCTGCCTCGCTCATAACTCCCACAAGTGGACCAAAAGCGGAGTGCCACGTACTTGATGAGTGATGGCTGAGGGTAGGAGTTCTTGTATCCGACATAGATGACGAAAGGAATCCAGCCGACGGTGACAATTGTCTAAAGATCAGCTCCAGTGTTCGACATTCATCTCCCCATCACTTCTTCGTTCGTCCACCATGCTCTCCTCGTCGCATTCGCCCATGCTCGTGTAGAAGCTCGAGTAGCTCGTCTGTAGCACCGTGGAAGCAAGACTGACCTTTGCGACACTGTATGATCAGCTAAATCCCAATATCTCTTCCAGATCTCCCGCGCCAGGCGGGATAGCAAGCAGCAGGAAATTCGGCCTACCCAACAGCAGCGTTGAACCGGTCCTTGGTCTCGTCTGAGATAGCCATGTTGTCGAGCTTGAGGTATTGCTGATAGTAAGGAGGAAAGATGATGAAGGAGGATCGACGGAGCTCTCGCGGCGGCGGCGCAACTTTGTGTTGACGGAATCAAAAAATCCACCTTCTTCACCTATGACCTATGAGCCGAGCCATGAATCTGTCCGCAAGCTATGTGTACGAATATCTACAGTAAAGTACAACCTCGAGTCTTATAATATACCTGACACCCACCCCTCAGATCCCCGGAACTCCCCTTACCGGCTTCTGCGCCAAACACCTATCCACACTCAACAAGAACGGACTCCTCCCTTCCCATCCGCCCCGCGCAACCAGCATCCCCCCCTTGGCGCCATTGACCTTCACCATCCCCACACCCACAATATCATCCATACTGCTGATGGACATGCCGGCCTGTCTCGGCGTGATGGCCCCACTTCCCACATCCCCCATCCTGCTCGCGGAGGACGCTACTCTACCTCCCGCCGCTGCCCCAGCGGTCTCTTTCACGCCCATGGTCATCATGGTGCGCATGAGCGCCTCGTGGGACTCGCGGTAGTCGCCATTGGTCAGACCGATGCCGACGTGTCCCGCCTGGATCGCCTCGGGAGAGATTTCCCATGAGGGCCGCTCGGTCTTGGGTGGAGGCAGGAACCGGGAGATGAGGTGCGCAGTGTCGGCTGTGGCGGGGGAGAGGCCGAGGGAGGCGTGGTACGCTGCTGGGTCGGCAGTGGAGCGAAGACGCGCAGCTCGGGCTGTTGCCTGTAGAGCGGTCGGCCGGCGGTCAGCCCCGGGCCGAGCGGGGGAGCTGGGGGCGGTAGAGTGAATGGATGTGCTTCCAAGGAGTGTGGCGACAGATCGGACCGAGGAAAAGGAGGACGTCCGGCCGCTGATTGACGGCGCGGCAGGCGCGGCAGTACTTGGCTCGGCTACACGTGCCCGCCGAGTGCCCGCCGCAGGAGACCGCCTGATCTGCTCCTCTGCCTCCTCTGGCAGTCCGTTGACTGTCCACTTCATCCCGCTCGCAACGTCTGAGCTGACCACTGGCGGTGCGATAGGCGGGTGATGCATGCTTAAACCCTTCCCTCTCCGAGGCGACGTCTGCGTGCTCGCTGAGGGATGGATACCGGTCCGATAGCCTGTTGGCGAATTGAGGGGATGTGGAGGGGCGCGAAGGGATTGGATAGAACGGATGGACGAGTTGGAATACCGATGCCGCAAGGTCCGAGGAGCCTGTGATGATGCGGTAGATATTTGCCGGGAACGAGGCGGCTCGTCAATGTGCTCATGTATTGGCGGTGGGGTTTCCGTGATCATATTGGAGGGCGATTCGGATAATGGCTCCTCCGTCACCGCCGATGCGACTTTGGGGAAAGGATACGAAGGGGATGTCGACAGCCGAGCAGCAGGCTCGGCGCCAACGCGAACATCACTAGGATCGTTCGGACGTTCCGTTTCTGCCGAGTCGGCCGGTCCCCGAGCCGCTGGAGGAGTATCCCCAGCCGTCTTGGTCATGCTCAGCCCGCTCTCCACCCTCTTCACCTCCGCCAGCACGCCCGGGCTCTCCGTCCGCCTCATACTGGCCGTACTGCTCGTCCTGCTCATTCCCGGCATACTCCGCCTTGCCCCGTCTGACCTCCGGCCCAGACCCGGTGTCCGAGCTTCAGTCTCCCCATTCTGCACCTGTATCGCGTGAAGCGATCGCGCCGATTGCTGATGCTTGATCTGGTGGGCGGGCATGATGTGCGTAGGGTCGTTCAGGGCGTGGCTGTACACCCCAACGAGCGGGTCCGGGGTTTGGGTAGGACCGGCGAAACCTGTAGTCTTCCGTGTGGTAGGAACAGGGGGTCGAGGAGCGCCAGAATCTGTAGCTTTGGGCTCCGGTGGGGCGTGCGAATCGCTCTTGGTCCGCCGAAGATCACCCATATCCGCCTTCGGGGTATCTGACCGAGGCTTCTTGCCCTCATCCTCCCATCCCTCTTCGCCAGAGTCCACTTCGGCTGTGGGATTCCCGGCTTCGTCCAGCTGCACAGATGGATCTGAGCGTTGGCGGGTGTTGGCGGCTGGACGGGTAGGGGAGGGATTGCGAGATGAGTGACGGGAGTTATTGCGGGAATTGGACGAGTTGGAATGGCGAGAGTTGACGCGCGATAGGGTAGATAGACTGGTATCCGATCGATTTGCCTTTTTGACCGGCCGCTACAGTGTCAGCTATTGCACTGCACAAGGTCAAGTTTAGCTCACATCGCCACTGGTCTTCCGCTTGGCCTTTCCAGGCTCCATCGACGCCATCGTCAATCCCGCCGCTACCGCTCGTCTCCCATGTTCTCCCTCGCTGCTCCGCCTACTCGGACCAGCATGTGGAGCAGCATGGGCCACAGCGCCATGATGACCGCTATGTAGATGAGTCGAGCTGCCCTGCCGCCGCTTAACCGTGTGACCATGCCCGTGTGCGTGATGCGCGTGATGGACCGCGTGATTTGCGCCGTGGCTTGTACGCCGAGAGGCGGGTGGCGGCATGGTAGAATGGTGTGAGGTAGAATGAAGAGTGGCGGAGGGGGAGGTAAGGGTGGTATTGGACGACATCGACATGATGGGCTAGAGGTCGTCCGAGGGAAGCGGAGGGAGAGGAGTCGAGCGGGGTGGGGTCGATAAGGAAGTTCAGGGCAAGCTATGCTCTCAAGTTCTGGCTCGTTCGCAAGCTTTGGGAGTGCTTGGATTGCAAGGTGGCTTAGAGCTAAGCTCAGTATACCGGAGTGATCTATGTGTAGCTGTGGTAGTATGGTGGACACGCATCACATATAGTGAGGGTGGTTGGCTCTAGCTAGAGCGCTGCAGCAGGAGCCAGGGATGACGTGGTATATTCTCCCCTTGATAAGATTGGCGGATTACGGCACCTTCGGCGGCGGCGTCGGCCGTATCCGCCATGCCCGTGCGTCACTTCTCGAGCTTAGCTTTGGGCGCGACTCGCTCGGGCGGATCTAGCCATACCTTGCCCCTCCTGACCTTGCTCTGCTCATTGATAAAGGAGGCTGAGACAGCCATCCCCTCCATCATGTATCCCTTATCATCCTCTCATCCACAATCATCATCGGGATACAGGTTTACAAACAGATCTGACCGCTTCTCATGGGTTGACTGCGCCCCACCTTCTCGACTCCCACCTCTTACCTCAATTGTTCACGATGATGCGCCTCGCCCCTCGCCGCGCTACTGCGTGGCGTAGACCTATCAGCTCGCTACAGAGACACCTTACATCTATAGGTATCCGGAAGGAAGACCCAGCGAGGGTATGGGAGCGCCGTACACCGCTCACTCCCGACGCGGTCGCTTCTTTGCTTCGAGATAACCATGCTCAGCTGGAAGTGGAGGTCGAGATGTGCGGGCGGCGCTGCTTCCCGGACATTGACTACAGACATGTGAGCTATTAGGCGCGCACTGGACCGTGCCGAATCAAGCTGACTCTCAGGCTGGTGCAAAGCTCGTCCCCTCGCTATCGAAGGAAGTCGACCTGGTTCTTGGAATCAAGGAGCCGCCCGTGCACCGGATCCAAGCGCTCCAGGAAGCTCGGCCGGGCAAGAAGCGGACGTACATGATCTTCTCTCATACACACAAAGGCCAGGTAAGCTTTGTTGCACATCAATGGTTTCTGTGTTGAGCTGACAACTTAAGCCGTATAATGTCCCGCTACTCTCCTCATTCCTCGACCCGCACCATAGTCAGACCCTCATCGACTATGAGCTACTGACACGGCCAAAGAAGGGAAACCCCAACGAGCTGAAGAGGGTGGCGGCGTTTGGATGGTTTGCGGGAGGTGAGCTGAAGCTTCTGGACCTCGGGACAAGCAGCTAACGAGACAGCGGTTGGTGCAGGCGAAGCACTGAGTATGACCGGTCTAGCTCTTCTCAGGCGAGGTGTATCGACTCCTCTACTCGTGAGTCTACAGCTTTGTGGGCTCCGGTATGACGGCCTGTCCCTGCTCGAAGCTTACGCATACAGGGCCTTCCCAGACCATACACTTTCCCCTCTACGGCAGCCTATAAAGCCGCCCTTCGACGGTGCGGGGACGAGATCCGCTCCACCGTCCTCACGCCTTGCGGAACCGGACCCATCGTCATCGGCCTCACTGGAGCAGGGAATGTCTCGAACGGAGCGAAAGATATGCTGGACGCGATGGGCGTGGTCTGGGTCACTCCAGAGCAGCTTGTGGACATTCATCGCGGAACAAAGGTGAGCTCAAAATTGGACCCGGTCCGTGCGACAGCTGACGTCTATAGTCTGCCGAGGGGATGCAAACCCAGATATGGGCGTGCCAGGTCCCGCCTTCCGCCTACTACGAGAAGCTGGACGGAGGGGCGTATGATCGGGCAGACTATAAGGCGCACCCAGAGGGATACCGAAGTGTATTTGTGAAGAAGGTAAGCTGGCCGGTGTGCGGCACGGGCATCCCGTCGCGAGGCCCCGAGCTTACTCACCAGCTCGCGCCATACATCACCACCCTCATCAACGGCGCAGGGTGGCAAGAGGGCTGTCCGAGACTCATGTCCAATACCGACCTCGCCGCTCTTCTCGCTCAGGCCCCGGAAGTGGGGCACAAGCTGGTAGCTGTGCAAGATATTGCTTGTGATCTGGAAGTGAGCTAAGTCGCTCGGAAATAGTTCTGGCTGAGTACTCTGCGAGAAGCTGACTATTTCAGGGCGGACTGGAGTTCATGGACCGCATCACGACGATTGACGACCCATTCTGCGTCGGTCCCGGCGGGATCCTGATCAGCTCGACCGATATCCTGCCGACTGAACTACGTCAGTCACCGTCTCCGCAACCGGATCATCAGGCTGCATATATAAGCTGACTGGAACAGCCGCGGACGCCTCGGCCTACTTCTCCTCCAGGATCCTCCCTTATGTCCAACACCTCGTTGCGCCCAAATTAACGACGGGCGATGTGGCGGAGACGATCGAGCGGGCGACTATCGTCCGTGATGGAAGACTTCGGAAGCAGCACGAGTGGCTCATGCCCAGTGTGGACAAGTGGCGGTCCACCCAGGCATCCAGCTCCACCTCGTCCATGGGATCTTCGACATCTGCACCACCACTACCATCGGCTTCCAGCTCGCCATCACCTCCAGCACCCTTAGGTGCTGCTACGACTTCAAGGAGGAAGAAGCGAGTTCTTCTTCTCGGTTCGGGACTAGTCGCTGGACCCGCTGTCGAGGTGTTCTCCGCGAGATCTGACATTGCCCTCGGGATAGGTAAGCTGCTGCTCACCCGACGTACCAAGGAAGAGAACAAGCTGATTCGCTAGCAAGCAACAATCTGCAGGAGGCCCAGGCTCTCACCAAGCGGTATGGCGGCAATGTCGAGACGTTCTCCTTGGACGTGGCGGACCAAGTCGAGCTGGGACGGGCAGTATCAGCGGCGGACGTGGTAGTCAGGTAAGTCCCATCTCACTGGGATATATCGTCAGCTGAGCGGCGTGTGCGGACGGCTCGTCAAGCTGATCAATTAGCCTCCTTCCTGCGCCGATGCATGTTGCCGTCGCTCAGCATTGTATTGCCCATGGCAAGCATCTGGTGACTGCGAGCTACATCTCGCCCGAAATGAAGGCTTTAGACGAAGAGTGAGCTTCATAGAATACGCATGCGTAGACTATAGCTGACCGGGTAGGGCAAAGCAGAAGGACGTCCTCCTTCTTGGCGAATGCGGTCTAGACCCCGGTATCGACTCGATGTGAGCTGAATGGTGGACATGATCACAGGTTGAGTCAAGCTGACATGGCAGGGCGGCAATGCGCATCCTCTCCCGCGTCAAACGCGAGAACAAACGAGTCACTTCCTTCGTATCATGGTGCGGTGGTCTGCCCGAGCCGGCCGCCAGCAACGTTCCATTCGGATACAAGTTCTCCTGGTCCCCCAAGGCGGTATTGACAGCTGCGGGGAATGATGCGAGGTACAAGCTCGGCGGGAAGGTCAGCTTATTAGGCCCGCCGAAGGTCGCGACATGAGCTGATTGTATAGGTGGAGGAGGTCAAGGGAGAAGATCTGCTCAAAAGGCATTACCCGAAAGTGGACGTATGGAAGGGATTGGCATTGGAGGGTCTGGCGAATAGGGATGCGATGCCTTATGCGGACAAGTATGGGCTGGGGGAGGTGGATGGGTTGACGAATCTCTTTAGGGGGACATTGAGGTCAGTTCTTGAGCTCTCCCAACTCGGTGCGAATGTGAAGAATGCTGATGGTGCGCAGATATCAAGGTTTCTCGCGCTTGCTCGAATCGTTCAGACAGATGGGGCTGCTCAGTCCTGATCCGCTCACACGGATGGGAGACAGCTGGGGAGACTTCTTGCTGGCTTCATTGGCGAGGATGAGTGAGGTCAGCGGAACGTCATTGCGGGCGGGAGATGTCGAGTCTGTCTTGAGGGACCTTTTGGCCAAGGAGGCGGAAGGGACCATGGAGGCTTTGCGATGGTGAGCTATTGCAAACTGCATGAGTGCGGAAAAAAGCTGACAGCCCAGGCTATCCATGCTACCCAATACCGCCACCCCCGCCCTTCCCTCCCACCTCACCTCACCGATCGATATCCTGGCCTATATCCTCTCCCAGAAACTCGCCTACTCGCCTAAAGAACGCGACTCTTGCCTCCTGCACCACGCCTTCGAGATCGTCTCTTCTTCCACTCCCTCTTCGACCTCATTCGGATCCGGCGAGACTACTTCAAAGCAGAAAGTGACGGCCTCGCTTTTGCACTATGGGACGCCAGGGGCGAGTTCTATGAGTGTTACGGTCGGCAAGACTCTTGCATTTGCGGCGCTAAGAGTGGTAGATGGGGATGTAAAGGGAAGGGGGGTGAGGGGACCGTATGAACGGGAGGTGTGGGAGGGGGTGTTGGGGAGTTTGGAAGAGGCCGGGGTGGAGGTACTGGAGGATTGGAGCTGAGGGGGAACGCAAGATAGGCCTTGGGTCCGGGAGATAGCTAAAATAAGCTATGGTGATATCGATACATGCAGTGTATATACATTGTAAATCTATACGACTACGTACATATGTCGTCCGGTTCTAAGCTTCCCGCCATAGTTCCCTTTTCCCTCCTCCCGTCTGACTGTGCCTCGGCTTTCCCGCCCTTCCCACACTCTTCCCACTGTCCCCGCCCGTACACCGCCTGTCCACCTCGCCTCTGGCCCACAAGCCAAGGCAGGCCCGTTCAGGCTGCCGCGAACGGCGCTCGAGACTTCCGTAGTTTGATGCGCTGATCACCGGTAGCCAAGGGCAGACCCGAGTCCATAGTCGATCCGGCCGATCGCGACACGACGCACTTGACGTTGCGTTCCGCCCGAGTCGCCTTGGTAAACGAGAAGGGGTCGAGAGGTAGACCGGCGATCCATTGTATGCGTTGAAGGCTTGGATAGTTCCGGAAGAGGCCTTGCAGGCACAGTTCTGAGTCGAAAAAGTCGGTGTAGCCTGTTGCGTCCAACTCCCCAAGGGTGAAGGCGCCGGAAGTGAATTTTTGGCGGTAATTTGGGGAAACGAGGAGTGATCGTCGAAGACTGAGATGTAAGCAGGGCGTCGCTTGGGTCTGCATATCTGCGCAACTCACATCCTCCAGTAAAGGCCAATAATTCGGCATCTCCCCTTCGTCGTCCATCATTTCCTCATCCTCCTCATACTGCCGCTCGAGGGCGAGTGATATAAGGTGTGCGAAGCCGCAGCAGGAGGGGCCTTCAGCTTGGAGCCCGTGTACGCAGTGGAGGAAGTCGTCGACGATCCCGTCGTAGAGTCCGAGGCGCGTCAAGCCCCTGCGCTGGGAAATGAGCCGTACGAGGTCCACGAGTTCGTTGTCGACGATATTGGGGATGGTTGTGGGATTGGGGATGTGGAGGAGGAGAGAGCGGAGACGTGGCGAGCATCGAGGGATGTTAAGGGCGGCGGTGACAGTCATCATCGGGTGAGCAACGACGGCGAGCGATACGAGGTTTGGGAATGTACCGGACAGCTCGGGTCCGTCCATCGCGCCAAAGGTGAATTCTCCGCCCCAGTCGCATTTCCACGTCAGATCGCCGAGGTTGGGCGCGAGCTGCGCCAGCTGGTGGAGGTGGTGGAGACCTCGACTGGTAGCCGTCATGGTGAGCTTCGTAAGGTTGGAGAAGCGGACGGGTGGGGTTCCGAGCACGCCTGACCAGTCTTCCAAGTAGTCCGGCGTACCCTCCCACCACAATCCCCACGCCTCGGGGTCCGGCCGTCCCCCGCCGTCCTTCTCATCGTCACTGTCCTCCTCCTCGCCGACACTGTCGTCGTAGTCTGCATTGTACCAGGGATCATCCCATTCCGCCGGCTGGGTTCGGAAGCGGTCGAGGATGAAGATGTCGAGCTGAGTGAGGTATGTGGCCGTGCGACGAAGGGTATTCCACCCTGCCTCCCGATCGTCATCCCGTACTTCCAGCTGGAGGTCACGGACGAAAGTACCGACCGCCGACGAGATGATGGGGTGGAATCGCTCATGAAGCTCTCGCGAGGTAGTATACCGGGCGTTCTCCCGGTCAAGCGTTGACTTCGGGATAGGTTCGAAGACTGGCAGTCAGCCTTTCTCAGACATATGGCCTCCCACTTGCGCTGGAGAGATGTGAGACTGCTCACGTTCCGTTCCGTAGGGTAGAGGAGCAATCAAGACCTGCTTCGCTACATGCGGCTGCAGAGCTGGCTGTGCCGCATTCCGCACCGCTCGACTCGTCGCCATCAGTCGCCAAATCGCCAGCTCTTCGCTGTATCCAGCGATGACAGCGATAACTTCTTCCGGGAATCCGTTGAAAGTGTAGGCTTCGGCCGGCATGCTGTGTAGGAGGTATAGCTGTGGTATGCAGAGAAAGGTGAAGGTATGCATAGAAGTAATGGAGAACCAGCTTGTTGGAGCTTTGGAGGTGAGTGCACCGGAGCAGGTCCGTGCGTACGTTTCAGTTGAGCTTGAGCGTGCGGTCCTGCAGCCAGGACGACGGAAAGGCCTATGCTAGGGCGTCATGGCTATCCGTCCGCTATACGTGTCACAAGAGCCATACCCAAGAAGCTAGCCATAAAACCGAATGATCTCTGGCGTATCGTCAATCTCGCCCCGATCCCCATCCGCATCCCTCTCTACACACCACCCGCACGCCTCGCAAGGAGGGGCGTCGATCCAGGCTTTCCAGCTGACCTGATCATCATCCTGAGCGGGCCATCCCTGCGCCTCCAGCTTTCTGAGCTGCCGTGCCTCCGCAAGCGCCACAAACTCGCGGTCCCGTTCATCACCGCACCTCCGCGGCGATTCGGCCCCTACCGGTGGGAACGGCATGTTCTCTTCTGACGCTGCCCCGATGCGCTGGCTGCTGGAGTACACCTCGAGATCAAGGTACTTGTCGCCCCAGGGGATGGAGGTGTAGGGCCTCTCACCGAGAGTATTGATGGTAGCGCCTTGCGTAATGGCCGCGACGGTGGGGATATTGTACGCGCGACTGTGAGTCTCGAGGATGTGCCGGGTTTTGTGACCGGCCGCGATGGAGGGGTAGGCCGTACCGATGTCATAGTGATATGTGAAGACGGGCTTGCCCCTCTTCTCCGAGTTCCGGCACCATACGATGAGGGGCGGAAGAGAGAGTGGGCCGAAGCCGCCACGAGAGCAAAAGTGCTTGACCCCCGTACCGCCTCAGAAGTATTGCGTCCCGCGGATGCAGGGATCGACAATCTTGATGAGCGGGCAAGACGTATTGGCGATAGGCTGCCATAGACGGTCTTGACCCCCAAAGATCGCTCCGACCGAGACATGGGTCAGGCGGCCTAGGTCCGGAGGAAACGCTCCGTCCCGCTCGAACGCCTTGAACATCGCTTGGAGCGCGATGGCCTCGATACGTGCCTCGACGGTGGCTCCGTCAAACTCGTTCCGAGAGCCGCAGACCGCCCAGAATGCCGTGTCCCGCATATGCTGTAGGTAGGTCGGCTGGCCGACTTTGCGCGAGTACTCGATGTGGAGATGGGTGGTTTTGAGGAGAAGCTCGCGTTTGGAGAGGATGGCGCGATGAGCCTTGGGAGAGTGGATGTGCGACAGCAGGGCGGGGAAGTCGTCGCAGATGATATTGGTGTATAGGCGGCTTGAACATAGATGGTTGAAGGCCTGGAAAGCTTAGCTCATGTCCCTCATAGTCCCGTGCCGCCTCGGTGAGGCTGACTTACAATGGACGTCCTCATCAGCGCTGCGAGAGCCCCTGCTCGTATATCCTCCCTGGACGTAGCGCCCGGCTCAGATACAGAAGGCAGGCCATTCTTGTACGCCTTGGAGTCGGATGCGCCGACGGGGACCTCCTCCTTGGTATGTCCCGAGAGCGGTTTGGGTTGGATTGGAGTGAGATGGTCGATGATCTGCACCCAGATGTGCTTGTGCAGTTTGTGGAAGTAATTATCGGAAGACATGGCGGTACAAGATTGAGTTATCTAGGATTATAGAGTCTTCTGAGTGTCAGCGGACGGCTCGCCAGCATATTACTGATGCAGGGACTCACTTGAGGCAGAATCTAGGATGTCGGCAGCTTGACGGTTGATCGCTGAACCCACGGGCGGAATGGTGCGGTATAGGACGATCAGTACGCCGGAATTGAAACCTGCTGAGAGATCAGCTGTACCATCCCAGCTTGTCTGTAGCCTGATACTTACCTGCAGCTGTGCAAGACGGATAAGAGAAGAAAGCTGAGGTTTCGAGATAGAATCAGGAATGTGAGACGCGTCGAGACGCGTCGAGACGCGTCGGGCTTGCCAGGATGTGCCCGAGAGTCCGGCTTGGGATATGCTCGGTATCTACTATCGTATAGCCTGCAGTACAAGTACACATACAACGTGATCACTCTGACGACCGCTGCTGATGTCCTGAACCCGCATTCCCGACTGTGTGCCTCGCCGCATAACGACCCGACCGACTCGTCCTCGTGGCCCAAACCTGACCCATCAAAAGTTCCCGCCCATGCCCCATCTCACACCGCTGATTCATTCCGCCTCCCTGCTTCACCGACCGCCTCCGAGCGCTGATGCTAGCCTTGCATCGCTCACAACTCCGGGTATATGCGGACCTCGACGCGATACTGCGAGGGGGACGCGATGTTGCGCTCGCGCTCTGCCGAGCATCTGACGATACGCGTTTCCTGGTTTGGTGTTGTTCCGAAATTGAGTGGGTCGAGCGGGATTCCAGCGAGCCACTCTACCCTATCCAGCTTAGGATATGTGTGGAAGAGCTCGCAGCAGTGGGAGTCGGAGGGGAAGAAATCGGTATAACCCGTCCGGTCGCGGGCGCCGAGAACGTAGGCTCCGGAGCTGTTCGTGCGTCTGTCGACGAAGGCGAGTCGTCGCAGACTTGGAAGGCGGGCTTCATGTCGACCATCCTGACAGCTTCAGCGCTAGCTACGGCTGAGAGATCGAGGATGAACTTACCTGGACAAGCAACGGCCATCTAGCCTGCCATTTTCCGAGCCCGTAATACTCACCCTCTATTTCCAGCGCCTTCAGACGGGCGAAGTCAACGTCGGGATGTACCTGCTGGAGACAGTACATCCATTGACTGACCTCGCTGCCCGCACCGCCATACAGGGCGAGGTCGAACATCCGCTTGTGGTCCGAGATCAGCCGCACGAGGTCCGGCATGACCTGTTTGGTGGCTTCGTATGGCCAATCAAATGCCGGCGGGGTGTAGATGCTGAGGTATCGGAGGCGTGGGGACCGCTGGATGATGTCCCGAGAGGCGTAGATAGCACCGGATGGTGCACCGGAAATGACGAGCCTCTCGAGTGCGCCGAATTGGGCCACACATGCGTCCAGACCCACCCGACTGTAGCCATACTCGCCTAATCAGTCACACTTCCACTCCAACGCCACCAAGTTGGGCGCGTATCGAGCGAGTTGATGCAGGTGTTGGAGGCCTCGAGCGGTAGAAGCAAGGATGAGGGTGGTGAGGTGGGGGAATACTATGGCGGGCGGTCCAAGGATCTCCGACCAATCCCGAAGATAGTCGTGGACGCCCTTCCACTGCTCCCATAGATGAGGAGGAGGCTGCTGCCTGGCGCTAGCCGCATCCGAGAACGAGTCCAGGTGGACGGCGTCACGGATGGGCTTGAGCCTATGTCGATCGAGGACGAAGATATCCAGTCGGCGGAGATGAGGAGCTGTCGCTCGGAGAGTGTTCCATCCCGCCTCTCTATCGTCGTCCCGGACTGGGTAGAGAGTAAGATCGCGGATGGCGGCATCGATTGTCGACGCGAGGATGGGCTGAAATCGGGTATGCAGCTCCCGCAGAGGAGTGAGCTCGCAGCAGTCCCGCTCGAGGACGGTCTTGTTGAGGAACTCGAAGACTAAGATGCGTCAGCTCCTTTCTGGCGATGATGTGATCAGTCTCGCCACAGACCGCGCAACTCACCTCCCGTCTTCTTGTAGGCTGGGCTGATAGCCAAGACCTGCTTCTCCAAATGCGGCAGTAGCGCAGGTCTGACGGCACTGCGTACTCTCCGATCCGTCCCCATCAGGCGCCATATCGTCTGCTCATCTGCGAGATGGGCTATAGCCTCGAATATCTCGGCGGGTGCTCGTAGGATAGCGGATGCTTCGTCGAGCATGAGGGAGTGATGGAGGTTCCGAGCGGGAAGTACGGGACGAGGTGTGGGGTGATCAGGATGAGGGTGATCTGCTAGGCGAGCCGCAGGTGGATTGGTGTGTAGTTGGGGAGGAGGAAGGGGGGGAGCGGAATGCGAGGAAGAGAGGGAACGGGAGGCAGGCAACTGCGTGGCGGGTCAACAGCGTTGAAGTGAATCTGGGCGCTATCAGGTATCCGTGCGCGTGTTTCATCTTCTGGAAGTCAGCTCTAGCTTGCCTGAGGCTGCGAGTGATGCTGACAATGCCTCTACCAGCGAGATCCGCCTGGGTGTGGAATTCTCCAGGGTCCGAGAGATACAAGCCTAATATGCCGCTCTCCTCTCCCATCGCCGTCGGAACACCTTCCATCAATAATGCCGCCGAGGCCTCGAGAAACCCCCTATCTTCCTGCCCTCATTCCACGCCCTCAACTTCGCCTCAGCCTTGACCAGTGACTTCCGATTGAGCGCGATAGGCAGCATCCGCCTGGCCTTGAGCCACTCCGATGTCCCCTCACGCGCCGGAATGTACAGGACCAGATGATTCGAGTGGACCCCGGTCTTGTCCCCCTCGTACCGCCGGACCCCGCACATCACGCCCTGCTCCGCCCAGGTCGAGACGTCATTGTTGATGGCGAGGGGATCCGCCGGATAGCCTCTGATCCAGAAGGCATGCTCTAAGGAGCTGTATCGGCTGAATAATGACTGGAGATGCGATTTCTCGAAAAAGTCCTCGAAGCCGATTTCGCTCCCAAGGATGTATTTGCGCTTCTTCCTTCCCGACGTATCCGACCATGTGGATCGTCGATCCGCAAAGATGACGGATCTGAGGGCAGGGAAGCGAGGACAGGAGTAGTCCGACTGGTCGGTCAGCAGATTGTCCTTCTCAAGGTTTGCTGTGAGACTTACCTGGTCCATGAGAGGGTATGATTTGCGCCGCTCATAATCATAATACGAGCTCCGTCCAGGCACGTCCCGCTCGACGGCCAGAAGACGAAGATGCTCGAAACCCGGGGTGCTGGGGTTCCGGATCTGCCGTCTCCTAATCGCTTCCATAAGCGCACTGGCAATACAGCCGTAGACCGCCAATTGTTCCAGGTGCGTGAAGCTGAAGATGGCTTTTGCGGCAACATCGCACGCGCCCAGTCCGCCTTGGGAGTCGTTGATTGGGACGGCAAAGACGAGATGTTTGACGTTAAAGAGGGAGCGATGGAGCACGCTGAGCGCGTGGACCGCGATCCGCGTGCGTCCGGTCACGACGAGATGTGTTACGCTGGGGAACGAGCGACGGATAATTGGCGGGTCCGCGTCATGTAGGTTGTACTTGTCGGCCCATGGACAAGCGAGCGTGAGCTCTACCAGGTTGGGGAAGTGTCTAGCGGCAGCGACGAAGTGATTCACGACCCGAGCGGTGGCGATGAGGCTGAGGGTCCGAATAAGGGGGAACCGGATGGAGTGGTCCAGCCGGTCCGACCAAGACAGTATTGGGGCAAAGGCCTTGTGTAGATTGCGAGTGTTCTGTGCCGCCCGTATAGAACCGCTGTCATAGTCATCCATGACCCACTCGCGCCAGTCCTCCCCGTTCTTGTCCCAGGCGATTTTTGGTGAGCGAGCCCGTGGCTCCCAGTGGAACCATTCCAGTTCATCGTGGATGACCAACTGGAGGCTAATCAGCTGGGGACCAATTCTGCCCAGCAGCGGCCAGTCGTATAGCGTGTCCTCCCGCAGTTCGAGGGACATATGCCGTATACGCGAGGACGCAGGAGGATAGGTGTCAAGGTGGTAGGCGAAGCGGGCGTGGACGTGTTCCAGCCGGTTCCGGTAGCGAGATTTCTGCTTCTTGCGCCAGCGTCTATCGTCATGATCATAGACTGGGGATTATCATCTGCTCATAATATCCATATGAATCGCCAGCTTACTGTCAATAGAGGATGCGGCATCAGACAGCACCCGTTGCGTTGCCAGAAAAGGCTTCAACTTGGCGTCCGCTATCATCTTCAGCCCTCGCGAGACCCTTCTTGTCCGCCATAAAGTCCCCTCGCTGGCGTAAGACAAAACTTTTCGGAGTACATCTTCGTTTAGGTGAGGTTCTGGATGACTGCGACTGGACTGTCGATGTCCAGAGCTAGACTTGGGCATACTGGATCGATGTACGAGTAGCGTAGGTGAGATCTATGTAGATCTTCTAGAGATAGGGCAAGAAGAGAGGTCCGTGCGTCGGTTGGCGAGCTTAAGCTTTGCGTGTATGACCAGCGAATAAAGCAGTCTTCGTACTCGCAGTGTTGGTCCCATACATATATTTAGCAACTGGTCCGGGTTTAATCGACATATGAGCAGTGCTCAATCGTCCCACCCCGCAACAGCCCGATCAGATCCGCCTCAGGACGCCTTCGGTGACTTCACCCGCCGACAACCCCAACCGCTCCGCTTCTCCCCAGCCATGCCCATCTTCTCCTCCACGTCCTCTCCAGGCACGCAGACCTCCTTCTCTGAGCTATCTCCCACCGGTGCCAACCGGTACCATTCGCCTCGCCTTGAGCATTCCCGAAGACCGCCCAATCTTGATCGGGATATACTGGACGAACTGATTCGAGAGGGTCTTATTGCCGGAATACCGCCGGACACCGCATATGACACCTTGGGCCGCCCAGGTCGTGGTGTCGTTGGTGATAGCGAGCAGGTCCGATGGGTATTGCCGGGTCCAGTAGACCTGCTGGAGGGAGGGTTGCGCCGCGAATAGCTTTTGGAGTTGGGACGTTTTGTAAAAGTCTGCGAAATCCGGTTCCTTCTCCGCGTCGAGAGTGTCCAAGTCTACCAGCGGGCTGGTGTCGAACGGAACCCGATACCCTATATCAACGTAGACGATGGTTTCGAGGATTGGGAATGTGACGAGGTCCTTCCCTGCAAACTTTGCCTGTAAAATCAGCCAGAACCCATGCTCGAGCGATCAAACTCACCTTCTCCATAACGGGGTAGATGAGGCCGCCAGGGCAATCTTCGTCCCAATCCCAGCCAGTAGTGAAACGCTCCAGGGCCAATATTTGCAACATGGGGAGTCCCACATGTTGGGAACTTGGTGACTGCTGAGCCATCTTTGCCTACTTGGCCGTAAAATGACAAGCTTGAAAGGTTACTGAGCATGGAGATGGCCTCGATGGCACGCTGTATGTCGGTGGAGGAATCGTCAGGCACGTGGAGGACGAGAGTCTCGATGTTCGGGAAGCAGCAGAGGAGTGTGTCGAGGGCGTGAAACATTACGTCCGTAGCGCCGGTCACGACGAGTCGCCTGAGGAGCGGGAATGTGACCGTGCATTCGAGCCGATCGCGGTCGATCAGATGGTACATGTCGTAATATGGGCACGTCAATGTGAGGTCCTGGAGGTTGGGGAAGAATGAAGCGGCCGCGACGAAGTGATTGGTGATCCGAGCGGTCGCAATGAGGGAGAGAGTTGTCACGTTCTCGAACCGAGGGCACCGCGCCCATGACATCGGTGGAGCGACTGACTCCTCCACCGCTTCCTCAAGAGGTACGCCGCTCCTTTCCGACCCGCTATCCTCCTCCCAGTAGCTGTCCTCACGAAGGTAGTCCTTCCAGACGAAGTATTCCATCGAATCGTGGACTACCAGCTGGAGGCTTTTCAGCTGAGTACCGAGCTCCTTGAGCAGTGACCAGCCCGAGGTAGTATCGTCGCGCATTTCGAGTGATAGGCGCTGGAGTTCCGAGGAGGAGAGGGGATAAGCGAGGAGGTGGCGGGAAAAACGGGCGTGTATGGCTTTGAGCTCCCTCCGGTATCGGTCGTCCTGCTTCCCCTGCCAGCCGCTCTGGTCATAATCATACACTGCAAACCATCAGTGTGGTTCCCTTCAGAGTCGTCCAGTCGTACTCACCATCGATCTCCTTTGCAGTTCGAGAAACCACCCGCTTGGTCGCCAGAAAAGGCTTCAACTTCTCATCCGCAATCCTCTTCATATCCCTCGATACCGCCCTTGCCCGCCATAGCGATACTTCGTCGGCGCATGCCATGACTGCAGAGAGGGCATCCTCGTCGAGAGAAGGTATTCGGGCTACAGACATAGTGAGGTGTGTAGATGAGGAACAATGGAAAGAACAACCAACTGGAGTCCCCTTTCGACCAGCTCGTCGGACAACTTCACATTCCTCAAACGGCACTCGTGAGCTCACCTGACCATGACTCGGTCATCTGATCGCAAAGTAAGACCTACGAGGAAGCACTACCATGATTGCAATCATATGGACTACCTATCCTTCCCAACCTGCATAGGTGATCCACCTCACATCTCCTCTTCCTCCTCATCATCCTCATCCAGCCCAAAGATCTTCCTCATATCTGCCAAACTCGCCCCCTTATCCTTCTGCGCCCCGCCCCCCAGACTCGCATTAATCAACGCCGTCTTTCTCGCACTGACCGCCATGACTCGTTTCTCTACGGTGCCGCGAATGACATAACGGGTGACGTAGACGGGCTTGTTTTGGCCGAGACGGTGGACGCGGTCGATGGCTTGTTGCTCGATCGCTTCGTTCCACCATGTGTCCATCATGAAGACGTCTGACGTGTCAGCTCTTGCTGCCACCTTGCGAGGGCGAGAACAGGAAAGCTCACAATTTGCCATGGTCAAGTTCAGTCCCACACCACCCGCCTTGAGCGAGATAAGGAGGATGACGGGTTCTTTACTGGGCTTTCCGAACTGCTCGACGGTCGTAGCGCGCTGAGATTGGCTCATGGATCCGTCAAAACGTCTAGGAGATCAGTTTACTCCTGCGCACCCAAGAAACGCAAAGATCAAACTCACAAGTATCGTATACCAGCCTTGTCCAAGGTCGTCTCGATCAGATCTGCAATATCAGCTTCTCGCCCAGTACACGGCTTGCAGAGGGAATAAGTAAGCTCACCGAGGAAACTCGTAAACTGGCTAAACACCAACGCCTTCATCTCCGGATCCTCCACTCTCAGCACCTCCAGCCGCCTAACCAGCGCCCTGAGTTTCGTACTCGACACCAAATCCACCTTGCCAATCGTGACCGCCTCGTCCTTGCCTTCGCCCTCCTCCTTGCCGTTGCCATTGGTAACGGCGGCGCGCGTCGAACGGCCGGTAATAGGATTGATGCGTTTCCGTTGACGCTGTACAGACCGGAGATCCGACATGGCGATAGGCCCCTTTTGACACATTGGGCACATGGCGGGTTTGTCTTGGTCCTCGCAGGATCCGATCCAGTTGACTATACAGTCCTGACACCTGGAACGTCAGCTCTTTCTCCACCTGGGAAGAACGTGGCGAAGCTCCAGCTTACCCGCGATGATAACAAGGCAGCAGCACCTCGTCAAATATCTCGCTCGTGCACAACATGCACTCGCTCGTCCCCGACTCTTCAATCTCCTGGAGCACCTTCTTGGCGTACGCCGAGTCGACCTCGCCATCTGTCGAGTCCGGGTCGTCCTTCGCTCCGGCATACTTGGCGATCATATCTCGGAGAGAAACGGTAGATTCGCCGGTATCGGCATCGAGTAGCTTGTCCTCCGCGCCGTCCTCTTCGGTCGTCTTGCTGAGTACGAGGAGGGGGTGATCAACACATTGTCGGAGTCTGGGATGTCAGCTAATGTACAAGCCAGTTCGGTACCAGAAAGCTCACTTCATCAGCATCGCCAAGATACTTGTATAATTCGACATCGCCCGTCCTTCTGCGTCCATCTGGATGAACCGGCGCTTGGCCCGATCTTCCAGGTGTTTATAGATGAGCCGTTCCGGCCGTGAGAAGGGGAGCACCTGGAGCTCGACCTGATGGATCAGCTATACTCCCCATTACTACTACGCGGACGAGCTAGCTCACAGTCTTTGGTGGCAGATCCACAATGAGTTTCCCATCCCTGTCCCGCATAGTCTTCTCCCTTCGGAGTAGACACGACTCCAGGATGTACTGGACGACATTGAGGGCTTTCGGGTCTTGTGCGAGGAAAGGGATGGTGACAAAGCTCCGGAAGAACGAGTAGTGTCCCCATGGTTCGAGTCGGAGGAAATGCCTACTTGTTAGCTCTGCGCTCGTCCGATCTGGCGCATGAGTAGCTCACAGTAAAGAGTAAAGGTCGTCCAGTCGATTGACAATCGGCGTCCCCGACAATGCCCACCGCCTTTGCCCCTTCAGCTCATAGCACGCCTTTGAGACCATCGCCGTCCGATTCTTGATATTGTGCGCTTCATCCAGCACAATCCTCAAGAACTCATCTACCTCGTCAGCTCATCCCCATCTTCTCGACTCGTCGTAACTCACGATCGTAAATACTCCCACCCTCATAATTCGCCTTATCCTTGTTCCTCCTCCACTTCTGAAACTCGCTCGCCAGCGTCCCATAACTCGTAATGAGCACATCCACCCTCTTGTTCCCCTCCTGCGCCAACAATCGCCCCACATCCACACGATCGTTCCCATGCCACATTAAGCTATTCACCGAGCCCTTCTCCGACATCTTGCCCAGCTCCTCATGCCACTGACTCGCAAGCGACACTGGGCAGACAACGAGTGTCGCCCTGGCGACCGCAGCAGCGGGTTTAGGGGCGGTGGGGACCGCGCGCCACTGATTCGACAGGGTGACCTGGAGGAATTTGGTGCGTTTCGAAGGCGGCTCGTCCGTTTCTGGCAATGGGAGTGATTCGTCCGATACGTCCCCGGTCCGGTTGAGATGGATGAGCGAGCTCATCATGCACGTCTTGCCCATCCCCATCGCGTCCGCGAGGATTCCGCCGCGGGCTTTGGTGTTGGATGTGGGGAAGGTGAGGGACATTTCGCCGGAATAGGGGTTCCAGTAGAACTTGCGGGAGGGGTCGACATCTTCGTTATCCGAGTCGATCTCGATGGGCTCTCCGGGCTTTTGTTCCTTCTTGAAGGCATACCTGCAATCAGCGCAGCCTACACAAAGGAAAAGGTGAATTCACTCCTCCCAGAGCGGATGGAGACTGGACTCTCTGACCGAACTCGAATCCCCAGTCTCCCTGGCGTTCATCCACGTCAACGCCTGTTTTTGATACGGTCGCAGCGTATACAGGAATGTACTCGGCGGTGTCGTCTCCTCGAGCAGATTATCCCCCTGTTGTGCCCTAAAAAGTCAGCTCTATCCTCCCAGGACTCCGAGTAGAAGACAGCTCACTTTCGGTAAATCGAGTCAATCTCATTCATCTGACCCTCATCCAGCTTCTCCGCCTCATCCCCACTCCCCTCCCCTTCATCCTCCTCCTCACCATCACTATTCTTGGCCGACTTCTTGTCCTTCTCCTTGCTCCCGCTCGAGTCGCTCTTCTTGGACGGGCTACTTCCCCTGCTGGCGAGCTTCGGCTTATCGGAGAAGTGCTGGAGGGATTTTTCGTTGATTTCCGCTTTGCCATTCTTCTTCTGGGCGAGAAGGAGGGCGTTGGACCGGATGGGCTTGACGCCTATTCTACCTACGAAGGTCAGCTGACGGCACCGCAGCAAGAGGTCAGGCTGAGCTCACTGAACAAAGACCCCAGAGCGTCTTTGCGGAACCGCATCCCCTCTTCCTCTACGGTCTCGCCTTGTTCTTGCCAGAATGACCCGTCGTTCGCCCTGTCATGCTTCTCTACCTGCACGAAAGCTTCCCTCGTGAGGTACACCCGGACGCTGAGGAGGATGGTCGCGCCCGTCGACAAGACCGGTGGGCAGTCGATGACATGTCCGGCGAGGGAGACTGCTTGTCAGCTGGACGGCCATTCCCAGACGACCTTTTCAACTCACTGATCCCCGTATCCAACAGATGCACCAAAAAACCCGCCTCCCCAACACTCAACCTCCCAACCTCAAACCCCCTGTCATTCCTAAACCTGATGATCTGATCCACCGGCGCCTTCTTATCCCCTCCCTTCTTCCCCGGAGCCGGCGCCGCCTTCTTGGCCATCATACTCCCCAGCGTCGCCTGTTTGGCCTTCACCGCGCCCACCTTGGCATGCACCATCTTGCCATTCACGAGCCGTGCGGGCCCGACCTTCTCCTTTGCCCTATCCGCGAACTTGCTTTCCGCCTCGACAGAGTTGACGGGTTTTGGTTTTGGGCGCTCGAAGGAGATTTTTGAGCCGGGGGTGCAGTACCCTTTGCCTTTGGAGAGGGACCAGCCTTCGCATACGAATTCGCCGAGGTAGCCGCCGGTGAAGCTGGCTGGGATGGCGTGGGAGGGGGAGCGGCGAGGCGAGGGACGTTTCCGGGAGGATCCGCCGGTGGAGGAGGATGAAGAGGAAGCGGCGGGGCGCTTGACGGGCGAGAAGGGGACGATATCGCTGTCGGTCGATACGGCGCGTGTATCGCGCGAGACGGTAGGTTTGACGTCGGCAGACGGACTGGACCGCATACGGACAGTAGCCCCGCTAGAGGAAGCCCCTTTCCGAGCCCTCGGAGTAGGTTTGAATGGTGAGTCCGCCTCGCCGTCTTGACCAGGAACGTAGTCCTCATCCTCCGAGTCCGAAGCGGGAAAGAAGAGATCGGGGTCGGATTTGGGCGCGGGGGCGTCGGTGGGGGATGGGGAGCGGCTCATCTCAGCGTGTCTGTATCAGGCGCGAGGAAGTAGAGGGTCGATAGAGAGCGTCGCTGTGGCTGTACAGCAGGGAATCGCTGAGCTGTATGAGAGGTAGAAAGAAGGATGTAGTCTTCGCGACGCGTCGATGATCTTTTGAGTGGAGGTTGATGCCACTTTCCCACGATTGACGTGTTTGAGGTATGTTGATAGTGTTTCAGCCTGTCACAGATAGCCTATACATACCCTCTTGTCCTCCAAACACCCAACGCAGCACAGCCAACGGCTAACATAGCGTCCTATCCCACCCTCAGGCGATACTATACTGATCTGCCAAATTTAACCAGAGCAAAATGGACGACCGGTTCTCCTTTTTGCGGCAAGAAGCGCCGTCCAGCGCCCGTCCGGTCAACTGCTCTTTCCACCACCGAGTCAAGGGCTCGGAGGGTGAGGTGGCGCTGCAGTATTGGCCGCCTGCGAGGGGGTCAAGGCGGCCTCCAGAGCATATTATTGTCTTCATACTTGGTGAGCTTATGACCTCTCACCGCAGCTGTGCGAGAGCAGCAATGAAGAGACAGCAAGCTGACGAGACAGGCAATCCCGGTCTGCTAAACTACTACCACCCCTTCCTCTCTCACCTGCACTACCTCCTTCCTCCATCCCACGCTATCCTCTCCACCTCTCATATCGGTCACTCCCCGCATATCCCCGCCCCGATCCTTCCGCTGAGTCTGCACGAGCAGCTCGAAGCCAAGGTGGAGCTCTTGTCGTCACTACGGCGCTATACCGCCGGCTGGGCAGAGGAGGGATATCGCCCGACCCCACGTAGCCGGTTCGAGCGGGTCGATAGGCCTCGTATCTCACTGATGGGCCATTCAGTCGGGTCGTGGTTTCTCCTCGAAATGATGAAGAGGCTAGGGGATGAGGTGGAGGCGGGGTACATGCTTTTCCCGACGTTGGGGTGGATCGCGGACTCATGGAATGGCCGGAAGCTCTGGGTCAGTTGCCTGGTGCTGAAGCGTCCACGAAGTCCAGAAGAGCAGCTGACTTGCCCAGCCAATATTCCACCGCCCCCTCCGCCCTCTCCTGCCCTACATAACCTACCTAGTCCGCCCGATCCTCCCCCTCCTCACCCACCTCCCAGCTACAACCCTCTCCCTCCTCCGTTCCCCAACGACAGTCGAGCACGTCCTCCATCTCTCCCGGTCCGAGATGGACCATATCCTCTCCCCCGACCTGGCGTCGATCCGGGCATTATCGAGTACGAAGATGGGCGAAGGGCGGGGATTGTTTGGGATTTGGGCAGGAGGGAATTTGGACGGGTGGGTAGGGAGGGAAGGGGAGATGGTGCAGAGCGTTATGGGTGGGGAGGGCGTGGACGGGGGTGCTGGGGGAAGAGTGGTCGTGGTTGATGGTATCCCGCACGCTTTCTGCTTGTGTGAGTTCGTCTCTCTGTGGCCAGCTTCAGCTGAGGTTTCCTTACCTCCTTGGATGGACCTGGCTGATACACCAGCTCGAACACACTCACACTACATCGCCGAGCTCGTAGCGGCCTGGATCGACCCCAGCCTAGCCAACGCCGGCGGCTCCGAATCCGACGCTTCCGACATAATCTCCGTCTTGCCCATGTAGACTCGCTCGCTGCGCTATGCGCTATCGTTTCATATCAGCTGCTTGGCCTCCTGCTCCGAGTTCTTGAGACTTGGCTGTTGCGGCTGTCTCTCAATCTGCATACTCATACGCTTATCCTAGCATGCATCTTGTCTCTCACGGAGCAGAGATGCAGCCTGCAAGTCATGCGATACTGGCAAGAAAGAAGAGAATAGGCTGCATGATACAACCCCAAACGTGAACCCAAACTAAACTAGCTTGTACTATATAACTCCCCCATCTGCTCGAATACAACCCCAATTATTCCTAAAAATGACTTGTACTATAGCTAAAGACGAATACAACGTTGACCTCCTGCCTGTCGCCGGCGCCTGCCCCGCTGGCTCGAGATAGTATGCGCAGAAAGAGCGAAGGGGGAGGTGATGTATGCGCCGACTATAGTGTGTGTGGTGGGTGGTGGTTGATGTCAAAGGATGAGGAACGAGGAGGGAGAGGAGGGAGGGGATGGATGGAGGTGGTTTCCGAGTCAAGGTATATACAAAAAGACCGACCCGATGACAGGCAGGCGTCGAACAAGCTGAGCGAAAAGTATAAGACGATCGATACAGTGGAAGAGCCGAGACGCGGACGTGGATGTGGACGTGGACCATGCTGATGATTATGTTGACCGAGCCAATGCGGATGCTGATGCTGTTGTTGATACCGATACAGTCGCCCTCCCCCGGCGTATTTTGCTTGCTGGCGACCACTCCTCCACTTCGACCTCGACCTCGTCAACGCCCCTACAAGGGTGGATATGCCTGGTAGGGGCGTAGACGTGGCGCGGGGCTAGGCCGAGTCGGAGGACGAGGCATGACCGAACGCTTGTCTCCGGACGTATCCTACATGGTCAGCTCTTGACTTGTTCAGCGAGCAGGAGAGGGCAGCTCACCATTGCCAAAGCGCTCAGTCATGATTCTCGCCATCCGACTCCCCGACCCCAAAGACAACCGCCTCGGCTCGCTTGCCGACCGCCGCGCTGGCTGGCTGGTGGTAGCTGGCGCGTCGATATGGGGGAACTGCCGGCGCATACCCGTGTCGAGGGACTGACTGATATCCTCCTCGGTCTCGGCCGACTGCTCGTCCCCGCCGGCGCCGAGCTGACGATAGGTATTACCGTTGACCGCGCTGACTCCGACGTTGACGCCGACGCCGGGGCCGTCGGCATTGATGGTGAGGCCGAGCCCAAAGTCGACCGCGATAGAGTCGAGCGACGCGTAAGTGGACTCGCTGGCTGGGACTGGCTCCGCGACGGGCTTGGAAGACCGGATGGGGATAGGAAGGGGATACATGAGCTCCGCCGAGTTCCCGGTCGATGTACCGCGCCACCATACCCTGACGTCCTCGGCGAGCCGGGCGGGTTGCGCAGTAGGTGGAGTTTCGGGGTTGTCGGCCTCGTCGCCCGACTCGAGGGACATTTGTCTGAACTCGGGCGAACGCTGATACTCGGTGATGAGGGGCATGCGGAGGTCGAGTTCCTGTTGGGCGTCGGCTTTCGCCTTGATAGCCACCTCGATGGCGATGGCGGCCTTGCGCTTCTCGACGTATGCGTCGAGCTCGGCGTCCCGGTCAGTCTCGGCGTGGTCTGTGGTAGTCAGCACATGCCCGTGCGCATGAGGTATGGGCGGAATAATGAGGGGGCAGGAATGTGTGGTAAACAAGTGATTGGACGGGGCGGGAGGTGTTGACGTCAACACTTACAGCCGGAAGAGCAGCTACGGCTGATAGCCGGATTGTCGACGAGGTTGGGGCAGCGATACCCGTCGGGCGTGGCGAGTTTGCACGAGTGCTGGGATATCAGCTTGTGGACGAGGTGGAGGAAAGAAAAGGAAACGTACATAGTCGCAGAACGCGCTATCCTCAAACTGGGGCCGATCGCAGGGCGGGCCAGTAGGCGCGAGCATCCTATTCTTCCAGCACTATAGCATCAGCCCAGGTCCACCCAGTAGCGTAGAGAAAAGACGCACCTTCTCCAACCCCAGCCTCTTCCAATTCGCCTCATTCTCCGGGTTCACTGCGACATTTCCCATCCGCGTGGCCCTCTTCCGCTGCAGGGTGAGCCGGGTGTGATCCTGCATCCCGACGATGGGCAGCGGGCGGGCAGGCTCGTCCATCTTGAGCGTGATGGGGCGGGGAGAGTTGCTCAAACGCTTGACGTAGGCGGGATCGAGGTGAGCCGTGAGCTCGCGATTGCGCTCGTCGCTCCATCTGTTGCCGTCGGTCGGAGCGCCCCAAAAGGCGTTGGCCGAGTGGTTGAGGAGGTGGGAATGGGCGTTCTCGGTGGTATTGCGGTACCACCACATCTTGGCGGGATTGGAGAGCAGGTGAGGTGAGGGGGATAGAGGTTTGTAGGAGGCGGGAGGGGAGGGTGGCGAGAGCTTGTTTGGACCCTTCAGCTGCCCTAAGGGATCAGCGGTGGCGACGCGATAAGGTATGGAAGAGGGGATTACGCGAGCTGGGAAACCCCTTTGTAGGGTTTGAGAGGAGGTATTCACTTACTGTAGGCCAGGGAACAGAGGAGGAAGGGTGGCGATCAAAGGAGGAAGGGATGGACGCGAGCTGATCAGCTGAGGTTTGTTGATCCCGCCGCGTCGATTAGGATGTGTGGGGGTGTTGTGGAAGGTGGGAGGTGGGAAGGGAGGGCCTTTGCCTTTAGGTCGCGCGTGTCAAGGGACGTATATAGTCTCTCGAAGAGTATGCGACAAAACGATGAGATGAGAAAGAAGAGAGGAGAAAGCCGGGTATTAAGAGAGCGAGGCGGGTAAGCCTTGTTTCAAGGTGGCGGGATGCGGTGTTGCTGAAGCGCCGATGTGACGATGGTGTGGCGGTGGAGGTTGTTGATGTTGATGATTACCGGGTTGGAAGTAAGGTGGCTACCTGCTGAATGATGATGAAGATCAAGGAAGAGGTTGGTTGTTGAGCAAATGGTAACAAGATGAGGAATGGGATGGATGTGATGGGGAATGAAGCTGTTGCCGCGGAGTTTAAATAAAATGACAGTTTCATACTTGCCGCTCCAGCTCCTCTCCCGTGATGCCCGTCATACGAAACGCGGCCCAAGCTCTCTCTCTCGCCCGCCCTATCAGCTCCAAAAAGGGGTACTGGCTGCGCGGAGTGATTGGGAGGGCGAAAGAGAGGGGGGCCAATGCGTACCTTCTCTCCTAAGCCACCGTTGCCGCCCGCCCGAGGTGACTGCCCCGCAGCTTTGTCGATAAGCTCAAGGCTTGATGGATTGATCGGCACTTGGCTCAAGGCACGACCCCCACCAACCCTTTTCCTCCACAGATTCTACCCCCTTTCAAACGTCGCCCGACGAGCTTGAGCACCCCGGATCTGGCGAAAAGCGTGAAAGGGCTGACAGCGGGGGATCGAAAGGCATGCCCTTACCGCCGGCATCGGCATCGGGAGTGGGTTTCGAGGGTAGTGCAAGGGGCAAGTGTGTGTCGAGGAGCGTGTTTCACCATCGAGCATAATATCGCGCGTGGTGTGTGTGTGGTGGCGGAGGAGAGCTCGGCTCGGCGGATAGCGTCGTCGGGTCCTGAATTGTGTGTGCAAGGCTTGATGAAACTGTACCTGGGAAGGATTGGGGCCTTGGCCCGATAGCGTCGGAGTTGGGGACCTCGCGGGGTGGTGCGGTGGTCGAGCGATCTGCAGATGACCCCATCAGAGCCGGCGGCAGGCAAGCTTATCGAACGAAGCGGCAGGGGCGACCTAATCAGCAGGGATGAAGTCAGTACCGAAGGCTAGGACGAAGCCACCAAAGACTGCAGCTATGACATGTATCTACTCGATGATGGTGCTCTCCGCACGGTCGCTACCGGCGCAGGCGGCTGTTTTATGCTCGTATCTGGCAGTGTTGGCTTGGTCACCGCCGTGCCACTCGCCTCCGCCACCACTGATCATCAGCTTACCTCCCATGTCTCACATCTGAACCCAAGACAAGACAACGCGAAGGAATGCCGAAACTCACCACTTCTCGCCCAATCCTCCACCTCTTCTTCTTCCTTCTCACTCCTCACTGCCCTCCGACCAAAAATCGCCTCTCTCCATCCTACATCCCGGACCTCTTCCCTTCCTTCCCCAGAAACATCCACCTTCCTCCTCTCCCGCACCCCGACCAATTCCAACCTCCGCTGTATTTCCTCCTCACTCATCACCTCGCCCGCCCTCGCCCGCGTCAAGAGGTCTTGCAACGCGCTGATCTTGGCGTCTGATCGATCTGCGGACTCTTTGGAGGCTTGCCGAGCGCGTAATAGGTGGACAGTGAGGGAAGTGAGGACGGTCCACCAGATGAAGAAGGGGATGAGGGGTCGGAGACGTTCGCGGATCGGAGGGGGTTTGAAGGGCCAGTCGTGGGGTCTTTGGGTATGTGCGAGGCGGGAGGAGGAGGCTGTGGGTTGCCGCAAAGGGTGGAGGCGCCGGAAGGGGTTTGAGAGGGGTCGATTCATACTGTACTGCCATGGAAAAGGGAAACGACGCACAGGCAAGAGTGAAATCTGCAGCTGCAAAGGTCAGTTGGTGCGGTAACGTAACCGGCTAGAGCGCCGATCTTTGCGAACCGCTGCTCTGGCGACTTTTGGCTTTGACTGTGCTGGACATGACGTGCATCTCATCCTATCCGCACTGTCTGGGCTTCAGATAGCGAACATTGATTCAGGTGCACCGGCTGCCGGCTCGTCGAAACGAAAGAGACGCGCTCTCACGTCAGCGGACCGCCGGACTGGCCCAAACCTTCTTCTTCTCGACATTTGCGCTCGGACGCTTCTACGATCGCCATGCTCTGTCTGCGGTTGACCCTCTTCCCTACCCACCATCACAAGTGTAGATGAAGCATCTATCATCTCATCCTGTCTCCTCATTCCGTACCCACCGGCAGCTGTAAGTGAGACAAGCAGTACCTCACCTGAAACATACGTTAATTGCCGTGCAGATCATCAAACGTGGAGTGCCCGAGCTTCGGGTCTGTCAACGGAGCTCTGCGTATAGGATTCCATCCGCCGATTTCCCCGAGTCAGAAGTGCACCACTGGACTGGGTGGATCGCCGTTTCGCGCCGTCCGAGCCCGACGCCCGACGTGATACAGCCCGAAGCAGCAAGGACAGCCCGAGGGACGGGGATCCGCGCTGCAGCTAGCCAAAGGTATGCCCTCCACCCATCCTATACCGGATTTACCACCCTTTCGATCGCGAAGTCTGAAGGCAGAGGACCCCATGCTGATCCTTCGGCAGATGTATCACCTACCTACCACCCCACCCGCGCAACCGCAAGCGCAAGCGCAGGCCGGACCCTCTCGTCTCCCCAAAGCGGTAGACCATACCTCTCCCCGCCGCTCCACGTCCCTCACGCACCGCCAGCGCCAAAAGATGCCAGCTGCCATCTCTGTCCTCGGAGCCGGGACTCACCTCCCTCCTGAACATCTCTATCCCTCTCTCGCGCCCAGTCATGGCCGACCTTCGCCGCGCCCCCATCCCAACGGCCCTACCTCCGCACCTCGGCTGAATGGTGGTACGCCTGGACAATATGCACAGCCCTCGCCGACGATTCGGCGCGCTTCATCAAATGACGGTCGATCTCGCGCGTATACGACGCCCAGCTCCCGCTCTCCTGTCAAAAGTGGAGAAAGCCCGGAAGCTGCGCTACTGCAGCATGTCCGGGAGAAGATGAGCAGTCAGGACCAAGAGGCTATGAGTCGGGTGAGGACGATGATGGCCGCACAGGCGGAGAGGGCGGGTGCTGGAGCTGGCGCTGGCGCAGGGAGGGACCCGTTGAGTCCGACAGGGGACCGGTTTCCTCGAGTATCGCCAGAGGGCGCGCTGTTGGACCGGCGAGGGAAGGGAGTTGCGGGGATGCGACGTGACAGTCCGGAGCGGGAACGGGAGCAAGGCGAGGGATTTCCATTTGGACCTGGGAGGGATGGGGCGGAGAGGGATGCTGAGAGGACACCAAGACCGCCAGATAGGAGAGAGAGGGTAAGTCCCTTCACAGTGTCGCGACGCTCCGAGCTAATCTGTCTAGTCACCTGCACAGAATGGCGCTCCCTTCAGAATAGCGGTAATAGGCCAACCAGGTGTCGGAAAGAGCACTGCCATCCGCCGGGGGACGAGGGCATGGGGAGGTGTATCAGAACCTACTCAAATGATCCTCTCTGATGGCGGAAAGAGTGAGTTGATAGGTGCGCGATGTGAATCCACACGGGAGCTGACTCGACAGTATCCTCATGTCGGTCCTCCGTCGAGTCCGGTACTAGGCTGAAGGAGGCCCACGAGATTGAGTTTCTCGAGATGGACCTATCCCTCCTCGACACGTCACCGGATTCTCCAACAGCCTGGCCAGACGGTGTCAACGGCGTATCGGGCGTGATTCTATGCTACGACGCCACTCAGTCGAGCACCCTGGAAGGTATCACACAAGCTCTGAGTACGTTACCATTGATACCAGCTTCTTCCCACCGCCAGCCTGCCATCCGGGTCAAAGGTCAAAGGTCAAAGGTCAAAGGTCAAAGGTCAAGCTGACACCTTCAGGTAGGTTATCGACCGACAATCTTCCTATGATCATCATGGCGTGCAAGTCTGATCCCGGCGCCAAACTCGAGGTTGAGGCGGCATACGGTAATTCCCTGGGCGAGGCGTATAATGTGGGCTTGATAGAAGTGACAGAAGTGACCGAGGAGGGGAAGAGTAAGATGAGGAATGGGATGAGGTGGTTGTTGTACAAGTTGGAACAGAGGAGTCGTGAGTAAACTTCCCCACTTTGTGCTGTTTGGGAGCTCAGTTCGGCCTCACCTTCCCCACTTTGGATTTCCCCACTTCGATCCTGCCTCTCAGTCATGCTTCTCACATCTCTTCCCTTCTTCGCCATACCATATAGGCTGCGATATCTGAGCTGATGACCAGGCATGGCAAGCCGCGACCTCTCCCAGCTCAATCTGCGCAAAAAGACATTCTCCACCGCTACGGCCGCCGCTTCCCGACAGCAAAGCGCGGAGTACATCAAACCCTTACCGCCTGACACGGGCGATGTCGGCGACACCGGCGACGCAGCCGACATGAACCAGCACTCGCCCAATTTGACAGAGAGCGAGTACCAGTCTTCCGCGGGCGGACACGACCGGGTTCTGTGGGGACATCAACGGAATGGGTCGGCGGCGGAGGCAGTGACGCCGAGTCAGAGGAGCTCGGGGGGTAGTTTGGGGTGGATTGTGGCTGCTCCGATCGTCATTGAGGGGGATGGAGGGGTTGAGGGATATGAAGACAAAGGACAAGAAGGCGAGGCGCAAGAGGAAGTGGGTGAGGCGGAAATACAAGCTGGGAGTGTCGATCTGATTAAGGTGGAAAGTAATGGTAGTCGGTGAGTTTCTTAGCTGTCGCACGTCGAGCATTGAATTGAAGCTAATCAAGTAGGGATCAGCCTGATCAGCTCTGGCTGAGTGTACGGGACCTCTACCGAAAGGTCTTCTCAAGCATGGTAACCAAGGAAAGTAAGCTGACTTGTCCATAGTCGCTTCCAGCCTATGACCAAAGCTCACCATGCAGATGAGCAACTCGTATCCTCCTTCTTCCTCACTTATCGCCGATTCTCGACGCCGCTGGACTTCATGCGGGAGTTTCAAATCCGGTTCGAGGAAGTCGCTGCGGCTACACTAGCCAAGGATTTGAAGATGATTGTTCTGCAGCGGTGGGTCGACCATATCCAGATCAGTGCATCGTGCGTGCCGCCGATAAACAGCTGATACCCCAGTCTGACTGGCGCTCTCGTCGACTGGGCATGCGAGTACCCTGGCGATATTACGCCCGAGCCTGTTCAAGCCGTCTATCGCGAGATCCTCGCTTCTACCCTCAGACATCGCTTCCTCTCCCACTTGGCCGCAGAGATGGTCGCGATCGAGTCGGAGCTGTACGACGTGGACGATATCGATACATCATGGTCTTATGACTCCCTTCCGCATCGACTTCGCTCCCAATCTCATTCTTCCGCTTCTGCTTCTGCCCCCGCGTGCACGGCAAACACCTCACCGTCCCAGCTCGTCATTGACGGCCGGATGCTCAATGAGCTCGATAATACACCTACCTCTGCCCGTCCCCGTCCTCACTCCCGCCCAGCCTCGATGGAATCTGCCCGAGTCGCCAGTTCGTCCGCCCCCTCTCTGGTCGGCTCGAACATCAGCATGACGAGCGAGGAGATCAAGCGCACCTCCCTTACCCGGCTGCACCAGCAACGTAGCGGATCAGAGTCTAGGCTCTACGTTAACGGCAACGGTAATGGCAATGGCGATGGCAGCAGCAATGGGAGTGGGAGCGGGAGCATCCCACCGCCAATGCCCCTACCGCCCTCAAATGGCATGAACGATTATGGTTTCGCCAGGTGGAGTACCAGCTGGAATACGTTTATGCGGTATGACCCGAAGCTATTTGCGGGGGACTTGACAAAGTTACAGTGGCGCTTGTTTTCGGTGATCCGGGTGAGCTCCCTCGCTCTTGACGGTCTGATTTGGGCGATGAGCTGATTATCCAGCCGAGGGATGTGTTTCGTCATGACTTCGGTGGGGAGAAGCAAGGTTCCGTCGGGGAAGCCATCGAGTTCTTCAATCACATGTCGAGATGGTGAGCTCCCTGTCCATGAGCTCTCTTCTTGACCCCAGCTGACCCTCAGGGTATCCACCATGATCCTCGCCAACCCGAAACCTAAACATCGCGCCCGGACGCTCGAGCGTTTCATCCTGATAACGCACCATCTCCGCCGACTGAACAACTACGACTCCCTCTACGCCGTTCTGTCCGGTATGCGCGAGACGTCCATCCATCGCCTGTCCGCGACGCATGCGCTAGTCAATACGCTCTCGCCGGGGTATAAGGAGCTCGGGGAGTATGTGGAGCTGATGGATCCCCGAGGAGGATACGCGGCGTATGGGCGGGCGATAAGGGAGGATACGGCGAGATCGGCACCTGCTATTCCGCTCATGTGAGCTGATCCGTTACGCCTATCCGATGATGAAGGCGACAGCTGATCAAATAGGACGGTCATGCTGGGTCAGATCAATCGACTGCAGTCTGTCCGGCCCGTCGACCGCCGAGAGGACGGCTGTGTTCAATGGGACAAGTTTACCAAGTTTGGTCAGATCCTCGAAGTCATCACGCAGTGTCAGGAAAGAGGAGCGGTGGTCCCTGGGGAGCCGTCACCCTACTTCCAGGCATTGCTGGATAATACCAGAGTCATCGACAGCGAGGACGTGAGTTATCATTTCTCCCGTCTGTTTTTCGATTCAGGAGACTGAGTAAAAGGGAGCTGACAAGTCTAGGCCCTGTTTGAGCGGAGTAGGCTGCTTGAGCCGCCAAATGGTGTACCGGTGCTGATGCAGGGTGGAGGAGGGGTGATGAAGAAGTTGGCGAATCTTGGGATGGGCGGAGCGTTTGACGGCCGAGCGGAGATGTAAGAGAGGTGAGGGGGAAGAGTGGGGAACGATCATTCAGCATCTGGCGGGCGTCCTGTTGTATTTTCTTGCATATCCAGAGGCTTAAGACATCTGGCTGGTATAGGCTGAGGAGTAAGTGCATCATCAAGCATGCAGTAGGAAACCAGCAGCTGCTGCTGCAGTAGTGGAGTAAGCGAGCCTCGCCACGTGGAGGTGGAATTCTCTGGAAAGTCGCCAGCTACAGGTACCAGGTGCAGCTGCAAGAACGTCCATCTCGCTCTCCCTTTCATCATCTCATTGATTCATCACAGAGCGACACATATCAAACATGAGCGACCCGAAGCCCCTCACCGCTTTTCAGCAGACATACCACTGGCGGGTGAGCTCAGTCTCTAACCCCGGTCCCGGAGCTCTGGTCGTCTAGTAGCAATAGCTGACCCCGTACAGAACAAGAACTGCGGTCCTTGGGCGCATGAATGGGTCAAGAAGACTCTCCCTGGAGTCAAGGTCGAGCAAGGGGCGGAGAAGGCGGAGATTGTGGAGGTGACTACCGTCACTGGAGACTGTGACCTCGGACAGAGGAAGGGCAAGTAAGTTGACAGCTCCATAAGACTGTAGTGGGGAACAGCGAACTGACTAGGCAGACTTCTGACCATCTATGACTTCGAGGTGGTCCTCCAGTGGATCGGTACGACGTCTGAGGGAGAAGAAGCCAAGGGGAGCATCAAGATCACCGAGTTCAGCCATGAGGTCCTGGACGGATTATCGGAGTACTGCGTGAGCTCCACCGACTCCTGCGATGGACAGGCCCAGCTTATATCTGTAGTACGAGACCACCCTCAGTTCCACATCAACCAAAGACGCCCAGTCTCTCCTCGCCACCCTCCGCAAGGCCTTCCCAGCCGCCCTCACCCCCAAACTCAACACCTTCCGCCCCGAGCTCCTCGCGACGCACGGGAACCCCTCAGACGGCGCCTCCTCCCCTGCTTCTGCGTCAGGTACATCTACGCCTGCAGCGTACGCCCCTGCTCCACCTACGAAAGCTGCGGACGCAGCCAAGCCCGCTGCAGCTGCCGCTGCTCCCAAGGCTGCGGCTGGAGGATACTCTGGCTCGACGAGTACGGTGGAGGTCACGGCGCAATTGCAGGCGAGCGCAGAGGATATCTGGGGGCTGTTGACGGATGAGAAGAGGATCCCAATGTGGTCGAGGTCGAATGCTAAGGTGAGTCTATGGTGATGAGGGGTAAAGGGGAAGAAGCTGACTAGCAGATGGCGTTGAAACCCGAGGGAGAGTATGAGCTGTTTGGTGGTAACGTCCGTGGGAAGGTGCAGGCTGTGGAGCAGCCGACGAAGCTGGTTCAGACATGGCAGACAAGGAACGGGAAATGGCCGACAGGTCCGTCCTTCCTGTCGGACTGTGACCGGCCTGGCTGAAATTGCAGATCACTACGCTACACTGACGACCTCGCTTGCGCAGGGCTCAGACTCCACTACCGGTGCGTCAGCCTAGAATGCCTGGACTGGAGTCAGCGGTACGCTATGAGCTGACCTCTGTAGTTACTTTCTCGCTGGATGGCGTACCTACCGGACAGGAGGACGACCTGAAGCGAGCCATTGACCAATTCTACATCCAGGGGTGAGCTATTTGTCCCATGCCCCGCTGCAAAGGCCCAAGCTGACGTGCAGATTGAAACAAATGGGGTTAGTCCATTCCTCCACCTCCCGCACCCTCTCCTCCCGCCCGGCCCAGACCTACACCCCCAGCTCTGCGTCCAGACAACCCCGCCATAAGCCGCGCGACAAGTCAAAGTCGGCGTCCAAGTCTTCGCAGGAGTCGACGCTGCTAGGCGGTCTCTTGAGTCCGCAGGTACTGGGCGTAGGGGCCCTTCTGGGGCTCTCGGCAGTGTTTGTGGGCTTGGTGGTGTACTCTATTCCTGGAGCTGCGGCTGGTGCAGCTGGAGCAGGCGGCGGAGGAAGCCGGGGAATATGATCTGTTGAAGAGGGACAATGACTGATCATGCTTCGCAGGCTCGGTACGACCCTCTAGATCACCTCGAAAATTGCCAATGCTCCTCAAGAGAGGAAAGAAAATAATAGACATTGATCGAAGATGCATCTGCAATACCTTCATGGTACTGATACAGGGCACTACGGGAAGTGCCGTTATGAGGCGCGCTGAATGGGCGTTAGCATCCCGTCATCGAGGGGGCATACTGTCTTGGAGCCACAGCGATTTACGCTCACCCAGAGCAAGTTGACCGAGTACAACCTGCACAACCTGAGCCTGCGGTGTGACCATCGCACTGGTGGATCCATACTGTTCGTAGTAGCAGCTAGAAGAAGGAGACTCTATCACTGACAGCCAGATTAGCACCGAGCACGCGTGCGGATACTGTGGATAACGCACGCTAGACACTTGTTTCCGGGTGAGGGGCACTGATGTGGGTCCGAGCGCCGAGGGGACTACCAGGTAGGGGCTGGCATGGATTTCAGCTGCTTGGGGGCGATGGGTATGGGCGGGTATATATCGGGCGGCGTGCCATGAAGAAATCAGGCGCCTAATCGGGCGCTGAGCTCGCGAGGCTTGTGGCTGCCATCCACACTACGCGGCGCAGGGGACCCAAGCTGAAGGTGGGCCGCGTTGATTTCTGGGCAGCTTGGTCATAGCTTACGAGATAAGGAATGAGGATCGATTCAGAAATGAAATGAGAAGACCCTAAAATTTCCCACCCATGCTCGCATAGTGGCACAGACGTCATGATGAGTGCTGCTATTGCTCTGCTAGCTCGACAAGGGGGGACATACCAGTAGTTCTCATTGACTTGTGAGGGCTTGCCATGACGCGATTTATAGCCTCCCCAGAAAGAGACAAGATAGTAGACATGTTTCAGTATTCATCTTCTACATGCCTGTCAAGGGGTATATAGTGCTATATGCAGTGCAGTCCGTCAGGCGCTTTTGAGAGTATTAGAAAGACAAGGCAAGGGTACGATTCAGGGCTATCAGTCCGAAACCATAGAGAGCTGCGTTCACAACGAGGCGAATTCTGTCAGTGCGATGAGCACGATCTGAGCCTCGGGAGCCGCCATCGCGTACTGTCAATCAGCATGACTCTTCGGAGTAGGAGACAAGCACACTGACAGCAGGGTGAAGTGAGTTGCGCCAATAATGACAGAAGTACAGCACGCTTTGCTTCTCCTGAGGTGTCAACGGGCAGCCCTGGAACATGCGCTTCTGAAGTTGTCGAGTGAAAGCTTGGACCTCAATCAGCCAGATCTTGACGCCGTACGCGCCTTGCGTGGAGACTGATACGTCCATCAATTGGTTCAGGAGGTCGAGGCTGGTATGTGAGTTGGTCCTACTGGGTAACAAACAGGTCACGACTCAGGGGGAGTTGGTAAGACCACTTACTAGGTCTGCACCATCCCATAATTGGGGTTGAGGATGGGCGCACTCTTGAGTTGTTGTATTTGCATCTGTAGCTGCATCTTGGGCAGAGGAGAACCACCGCCCCTCATGTCCGGCGAAGAAAAGGGCGAGGAGCGGGTGACGAACATGCTGTCGATGCGCAGAGTCGGAGTCGGAGCTTGAGCTGACGTTTGCTGTAGCGATCGATCAGTGGCGGAGGCGGCAGGGACGGAGGCGTCGCAAGGTGAAGTAGGGGCTTGAATGGTGTGCAGAAAGTACTAGATCTGGTGTGTAATGTGAACGATAAGAAGTAAGAGGTCAGAGGTAAGATCAGAGACCAGGTAGAGGAAGGATGATCGATATATGACTATACGAGCGGAGGGGAGGGGATGCGTTTACGATCCAACAGCGTCGGTGCGCCCGATATTTGCCACCCCGTCATGCAGGCGGAGTAGGCAGAGGCGTCCGTCATGAAAAGATCTCGAAGGCCAGTCAGCCTCACGGGGCACAAGGCGAGCGAGAGTCGAAGAAGCGGAGCTTGGATCTTGTTGTAGAGTAGCTTAGGGTCGTAGTGAAACGTCATCGGAGTTTGAGCGTTCGCCAGGTGTTTGGCGGGGGTAGTGTATATCCGCGGTGGTGAAAGAGTGCTGTCGACTTGAATAGGTATCGTCCGAGGTGAGTAAGAAGCTGCGCTTCGCGATCGATCCGGAGAGGAATTGACGTTCAGGAAGTCAGTAGAATCCCTCTCTGGGATGAACGCGAAGGCAAAGAGACAAGTCAACCTGATTCAAAACACTCGGCGGAGTCGGAAAAGGCCTATCGTGCGATCTGTGAGCCATCACAACAGGAGCTTACTCGGCTAGCGCGCCGAAACGCCCTCGAAACTCCGCTGACATGAAAGGAGGTGGGATCTGGTCCGGGACGTGACGGTAATGCGAGGCGCTTTGTCGGCGAAAGGTGGTATGTGGCGGCATGAAGCGGCAAGGACGAGCATTTAAGGAGGCCACTCTGACGATGGACGTTGGAGATTCGTGTAGGGGCAGACGAGGATGGCTGGCACCGGCAGGTGGGCATCACTATCGGCCGGTGATCCAGCATCTGGACGAGTGAGCATCTTCATAATTTGCATGCCCATTACACCTCTCCCCATCTTTCTCATCGACACGTCCCTTCGCTGCGCCTAAGCATATCCTGATGATCTATATTTCCGTCCAACTTATGGGAATACCGCCGCTACGTGAAGCCCCCCTCCCCCTCAATGGGCCGAGATTAGGGCCTCCTGCGGCAACCCTCAAACAAGGACGTTTGGATTCTGGCGACTGAAGGATCGAGGGGGTGTCTCCTCTGCGTTGGAGCGATATGAGGGGACTAGAGTCGAAGTGATCCACTTTGGTCGCGTAGAGAAGAAGAGAGAAAGAGGGGTGCGAAAATTTCGGCCGAGGGTGTGCGGCGGGCGAGGAATGCTGAGCACGTGACCAAACACTCAATCAGTGAGTTGAAAGCTGTTGGAAGCTTCCCCAGGCGCTTCAACTGCGCTTACTGGGTTAGATGGGCATCGTTTCCAGGGCGAATATTATGTACATGTCATATATACACAAAGCATATAGGCTGAAGAACTAACGTATCGGCGACCCCTCAATATCCGCCGGTATACCGCTGCCCCACGGGCGTTACCGGACCCTGCTTGCCTCCCCGCTGACCACCGCCCGAGCCACCTCGACCGGAGCCGCCCCCACCTCCTCCCCCTCCTCCACCCCCTCTCCCTCTACTATCACCACCACCGCCGCCTCGCCCACCGCCTCCCCCGCCGCCTCCTCTGCCCTTACTCCCACTCCCACCCCCAGCCCCTCCTCCCCGCCCCCCTCGTCCACCCGCAATCCCATACCTACTCCCCCCATCCCCCTTATACTCCCTCCCATCCCTCCCCGCCTCCTTTCTCTCCCTCCTATCAAACGCATCATCCTCCCTTCCCCAATCCCGCACATTCCCACCCCCATTCCCACTCCCTCTCCAATCCGCCTCCCAGTCCGTCTCTTTCTCTCTCCCTCGGCCCTCGCCCACATTCTCCTGCCTCCTCCGCTTCTTCCGTGGTGACGCTGCATCCCCATCCTGACTGCCGCCATGACTCCCGCCCAGTGGGCTCGGGGCGAAGGTCCCGCCCGGCGCTGGAGACGTACGCGAGCCAGGCGCAGAGGCGTACCCCATAGCCCGGTCGGTAAGGGCTTTCGAAGCTCGATTCTTCCATTCTCCTCCACCGCTACCGCTTCCAGAGCGAGAGCCCAAGCCGGTCTCGAAGTTGGGGTTCGACGTATTGTGCGGATAAGGCGAGGGGGATTCGGGCCGAGCGGGTAATCCAGCGATATTGCCAAAGACTATCCCTTTCGCTTTGGTAGGCATGGACGCCGGTGCCGCGTGACCGGACATGAGGTGAGAGTGGCTGAATGAGGTGGGCCGGCTAGCGCTATCGGGTCCGCCACCACCGCGGGAAGGACCGGCTCTATCGCTAGGACGATGCTCCGAGTCCCAAGCGCGTCGACCGGGATTCGAGATGGGTGTTCCCCTCCCTCCTCCTCCGCCTCCTCCTCTGCTGAACCCGCGCCCACCTGCTCCTCCACGGCCGGATGATCCCGCCCGAGATCGACCGAGACTCGCAAAAGCATCCTCTTCGTCGCTGGACCCCAACTCCCGATCAAAGTCCGCAGCTCGCTGTTTCGCCTTCTCCCTTGACTTCTTGCCCGCGCCGAGCCCACCGAAGGCCGGCTTCACACCAGGTAGATCTGCGTCCCCATAGTCGTCGTCGAAGCGCTGATGGGTTGGCGCGTCCGTGTGCCTCGAGCTGCGGGAAGTGAAGGAGGCAAATGGCCCGGAGGAGGATATCTGCGCAGAGAAGGCCGAGGGAGTCGTCAGGCGAGCGAGGGAGCCGCGGCGGGATTGACAGTCCTATGAGGTCAGCTATCATATCATACCAGCACTTGAGGCTCACAGGGAACAGTCCGCTACTCACGTCTCCGAGATGGCCGACTCTGGCGCAATTGTAGCAGTACTCTGCGTGACTCTCCCCACCGACTGCTTCTTTTGCCCAGCCCGTCTCCGCCCGTTTCTCCGCTAGGATAGACTGCCGGGCGGCAGCGCTAAGGTAGACGTATACTCGCCAGAGAGATGGACAGGACTGCAGGTGTAAGCCGTAGCGAGACGCCATCGTTGATGAAGGCTTACATTATCCTTGTGATCCCTGTTTCCGCATCGCCCGCATCCCTGCCTCCTGGATCCCTTGGACTGAGGTGTCGGACAGTCCGCAATTCTGTGTCCCCGAAGACCGCACGAGAAGCAGGTGACGCCGTATGGGCAGTCTCGGCGTTCGTGCGTGTCCATCTCGCCGCAGGTCGTGCACTGCCAGGTCAGCAATCGCGCATGGTAGTATGCATGTATTGATAAGCTTACAATGATGTGAGGGCAGTCCCGGGGCTTATGACCTGGTTTCTTGCAGTTGGTGCAGATTTTGCTTTGGTCGGCGGTAGCGAGGAAGGTGGCTTCTTCTCCTACTGGCTCTTCGACCGCGTCTGGGTCAAAGTAGCGCGTTGTGCCCTGAGTGTCAACTGCGTCGCTCGAAAAAAAAAGCGAGAGAGGTGGCTCACCTTAGCGACATTGGAGTCAAAGACAAACAGTCCCTCCATCGACTGCTTTGACGCCTCATGCTGCAGCTCTTCCTCCTCTGCAGCTGCTTCCGCGCCTTGCGGCAAGACCTCGTCGATTTGGACATGCGACGGGAGGAGCAGACCGACTTCTGCCTCCGTCTCTGCACCGGTGGCAGATTTGGCGACCACTGACGAGCGAAGCTTCGACGGGCCGGGTAGATCGGCGGAGGTAGGGATCATCGAGCTCGAGAAGAGGCCTGGAGGGTTGAAGTGATCGTCCGCACCAGGCTTGGAACTCTCACCGGCCGAGGATGGCTGCAATGACTTCTCCTCGACGATAATGTCCGCGTTGGGTCGGTCATTCACGCTGTCCGGGGGAGGTGGCGACGGGCTGGCCTCGGCGTGCCCATACGCCATAGACCGCCTCATCGGTTTGAAGCTCGATGGAGTATAGACATTATCGTCCGCCCTCTTCGCCGGGGTAGCCACCGCAGCAGTCCGAGCGCGCTTGGCTGACGGTGGTGGTGGCGGTCCGAGCGCACTTCCTCCCTCATTCAGCCGCTCCTCCTCATCCTCCATCTCCGTCAAATCAATGACGCCGTTCCCGCTCCCACTCCCGGATGGCTCATTCATTGCTCTCTCTTCCGCCTCCCTTCTCTTCCGCTCAGCCTTCTGCTTGTTGGTCCATTTCGCCTTCTTCTTGCCTGTGGAGCTGGCCGAGGTAGGGGTAGTGAGGCCGCTACTGGTGTTGACCGAGGTCGCGGCTGACGCCGATTTAGGCGGGCGTGGCGGTTTGACCTTCTTCTTGGGCGCCGGTGTCGTTTTGGGCGACGTTGCCGAGCCTGATCCCGGCTTGCTCTTCTTTGTGCGGGACATGGTACCCAGCTGTACTCTATATCTAAGCTAGGCAAGCCACTGTGAATGATCGCAACAACACCCCGCCTCTGCATCACCACAGAAATCTTGATTGCATGTTTCAGCTTACGTCATTCTGCGCCACCCAGCCAATTTTGATGCCGTGATACGAAAATCGCTGGTCCGTGCGTCCTCAAGTTGGTCGAGTCAAAAGTTGGCTCGGCTGGCTCAGCACGCTAAGCTGTCAACTCGGCCTCCTTATACCTTTGTACCCCAGCGTGACTCGTATACAGAGCTCATCCTTTGCCAGCTCGACTCAATAGACTCGTAAAATAGCGCAGACTAGGAGCTCTGGTACGCATAAAAGCGGACTTCATCGCCCTCGGTGACTCCGCCTGCAACAATCGGAACAGCTTGATCACCGAACCTTCTCGCTACCTCACATATATCCAGCAAGATGCCTTACAAGCCCCACGACCGTGAGTCAGCTGACACGCAACGCATTTCTGGGGCATGCAGCTGACCTGTAGCCTCCTCCCCCATCCAAATCCCGACGTCCGAGCTCAACGTCCTCGAGTACTGGAACGAGATTGATGCGTTCAAGACCTCGCAGAAGTTGTCCGAGGGCAAGCCCGAGTTCTCCTTCTTCGATGGGCCGCCCTTTGCGACCGGAAAGCCTCATTATGGTCATCTTCTAGCCGGTACTATAAAGGTGAGCCTTTCCTACCGGTTCCATCTGTTCAGCAAAGCTGATCAACCAGGACGTCGTGACCCGCCATGCTCACGCGACCGGACACCACGTCGAGCGTCGCTTCGGCTGGGACACGCACGGTCTCCCAGTCGAACACGAGATTGACAAACAACTTGGGATTACCGGCAAGGCCGACGTCCTGGCCATGGGTATCGACAAGTACAATGCGGCGTGCCGGGAAATTGTCATGCGATACTCGGGCGAATGGCAGTACACTGTCGAGCGGATGGGGCGGTGGATCGACTTTGATACCGGCTACAAGACACTCGATCCGTCGTACATGGAGTCGGTCTGGTGGGTGTTTGGCCAGCTGTGGGAAAAGGGGCAAGTGTATAGGGGGTTGAAGGTTATGCCGTACTCGACGGGGTGCACCACACCGCTGAGTAACTTTGAGGCTGGAGAGGACTACAGAGATGTCAGAGATCCGGCCGGTACGTCCGTCTTCCGCAGTACTCTGGGACAAGCTAATCGATAGTCACCGTGTCCTTCCCCCTTGCCGATGACCCAAACACCTCTCTCCTCGCGTGGACGACCACCCCCTACACCCTCCCCTCCAACCTCGCCCTCTGTGTTAACCCCGACTTCACCTACATCAAAGTCCACGATGTCGAGCGGAACACCAACTTTATCCTTCTCGAGAAGCTCCTCGGGACAGTCTACAAGGACTACGTTCCGGCTGGTGCCGCTGCCGCCACTGGAAAGAAGGCGGACGCCAAGAAGAAGAAGGATGACAAGGAGGAGGAGCCAAAGTTCAAGATTGTCGGAAGCTTCCAGGGGAAGGATATGGTCGGGTGGAGATATGTGCCGATGTTTGACTACTTTACCGAGCAGGTGAGCTCGATCGCCCGCACGCAAGTGGTTGGGACTGAGCTAATGTCCCAGTATGAGGACCGAGCCTTCCGCGTTCTCGCCGACGGCTACGTTACCGACAGCTCAGGTACCGGTATCGTCCACCAGGCTCCCTCGTTCGGAGAGGACGATCACCGTATCTGTGTTGCACATGGGATCGTCCGGGACGACGAGATCCCGCCATGTCCAATCGACGAGTCTGGGAAGTTCACGTCCGAGGTGCCAGAATATCAGGGCCGATACGTCAAGGTGAGCTATCTTCCACGCGTTGATCGTATGCATGTAGCTGACACCTTGGAGGAAGCGGACAAGGACATCATGAAGCACCTCAAGGAGAAGAACCGTCTCATCACCCAGGGCGACATCACCCATTCCTACCCCTTCTGCTGGCGGTCCGGTACGCCGCTCCTCTACCGTGCCATCCCCTGTTGGTTCGTCCGCGTCGCCAACATGTCGGACAAGCTTGTCGCGCTCAACGAAAAGACCCGCTGGGTACCCGCCGCGGTGGGCGAGAACCGGTTTGGGAATTGGTTGAAGAATGCGAGGGACTGGAATATCTCGAGAAATCGGTACTGGGGGACACCGATGCCTCTTTGGGCGAGCGAGGATATGAAGGAGGTGAGCTTGCCACCACTCGACGGAGAGGGTTCAAGCTGACAGCATTAGGTCGTTTGCGTCAGCTCGGTCGCGCAGCTCGAGGAGTTGTCGGGTCTGACCGGGATCAAGGACCTCCACCGGGAGAGCATTGACCAGATCACTATCCCATCCAAGCAGGGCAAGGGGGACTTGAAGCGTATTGAAGAGGTGTTTGACTGCTGGTTCGAGTCTGGCAGGTGAGCTATTGCATCCTCGGTCAGGATTGAGAAGGATCAAGCTGACTCTGCAGCATGCCTTACGCCCAGTCCCACTACCCCTTCGAGAACGAGGCCCGGTTCAAGAAGTCTTTCCCCGCCGACTTTGTCTCTGAGGGTATTGACCAAACCCGAGGATGGTTCTACACACTCCTCGTGCTCGGTGCTCACCTCTTCGACAAGGCACCATGGAAGAATCTCATCGTCACTGGTCTTGTTCTCGCTGCGTAAGCTGACCAAAGCTCTTGAATATTGAGCGCCAGCTGATCAATCAGGGACGGCAAGAAGATGTCCAAAAAGCTCAAAAACTATCCCGACCCAATGGAGATCGTCTCCAAATTCGGCGCCGACTGCGTCCGGCTCTTCCTCGTCAACTCTCCCGTCGTCCGCGGTGACAACCTCCGATTCAGAGAAGAAGGCGTCCGCGAAATTCTCACCTCGGTCATCCTCAAATGGATCAACTCGCTCAATTTCTACCTGGGCCAGGTGGAGCTGTACGAGCAAGCATCGGGCAAGAAATTCGTCTATGATCCCGAGGCGGCCAAGAGCCAGAACGTGATGGATCGGTGGATTTTGGCGAGTTGTCAGACGCTCATTCAGCATGTGGACCAGGAGATGTCGGGTGAGTTTGACCACACGATTCCGGGGACAAGCTGACCAAGATAGCGTACCGACTATACACTGTCATCCCGAAGCTGCTCGACCTTATTGCGGACCTGACCAACTGGTACATCCGCTTCAACCGGACCCGGCTCAAGGGTTCGGGAGGGGAGGAAGACACATTGTCTGCCCTCAACACGCTCTACGAAGCGCTCTTCACTCTCTGTCTTACCATGGTAAGCTAAGCTCTGCCGGTTTGGTCAAGAGATCTCAGCTGATTGTCAGTCTTCCTTCACCCCCTACACTTCCGAGATGGTCTACCAGTCTCTCCGCGCTTCGTCACCTGCACCAAAGGAAGGCGAGGATGTCCGCTCGGTCCATTTCTTGCCGTTCCCCGCCATGCGGAAAGAATACTACGACCCCGTCATTGAGCGTCAGGTCAAGCGGATGCGGGCTGTCATTGAGCTTGGGCGTGTCATCCGGGACCGCAAGACCCTCCGAACCAAGGTCCGCTACAAGAGGCGCACAATTGTGTAGGTCTGAGCTGATATCCCAGATGCCCCTCAAAGAGCTCATCATCTTCCACCACGACCAGGAATACCTCGACGACGTCCGGTCCCTCGACTCGTACATCACCGCCGAGCTCAACGTGGTCTCCATCACCTACACCTCGGACGAGTCCGCCGTGGGCATCAAGTACCGCGCCTCGGCCGACTACTCTGTCCTCGGCCGGAAACTCCGCAAAGACATCGGCAAGGTCCGGACCGGTATCCCCGCACTCGACTCGTCGGCGTGCAAAGCCTTCCTCGCGGACAAGCGCGTCCAAGTCAACGGTGTCGAGCTCGTGGACGGCGACCTCTTCATTGCTCGCTACGTCGAGCAGTCGGAGGAGGACAAGAAGGCGTTCGAGAGCGATACCGACGGGGACGTCATTGTTCTCTTGGATATCCGGATGTACGCCGAGCTCGAGGGCCAGAGCCTCATCCGGTCGCTCACTGCCCGAGTCAACAAGCTGAGGAAGGAGGCGGGGCTCAAGCCGGTGGACAAGGTCGATGTGGTGTACGAGTTTGATGAGGGAGAGGAGGACGCGCTGAGGGGGGCGATCCCGGGGAACGAGGAGATGCTCGAGAAGGCGATTGGGACGGTGCCTGTCCCAGCTTCGCAGAGCAATGGGGGCGGCAAGCTGTTGGGGACGGAGAAGAGGGTCAAGGAGGCAGAGTCGGGCGGGAAGGAGGAGAAGTATACTTTGAGTCTGTTTGGGAGGGATTAGATGGAGTGGATGGAGGTAGAGTGCTATAAGCAGAGCAGGATATCTGGCAGTGTGTTGCCATGGATCTCAGTGTGTAGGGTTCTTTCAGATCTTGCTGGTCTCTTCTCACTTCTGACGTTCGAGCTTCTAATGGGCTAATTGCACTCATGGGCCTAGGACATGCATCTCCTCCTAGCTCGCTTGAGCCCTTACCAGCTTCCTTCCAAAGGCCAATTACGCGACGAAGCCAACAAGTGTAGTACTGTCTCGTCCGCCTTCAGATATTCACACCCCCTCCTCCCCATCTCAATCCCCAACGAACTCCCCTCTCACCCCCTGTCATAGTCCACCCTCGTATCCTCTCCGCGCAACACCGGTACCCCAGATCCACACGCCAGACAGGTAGGTGTCTGGGAGCTGGGATACCAGTTGACGATATCCTGAAGCCCACTCCTACCCCTGAACAGCTCCTGCACCGCCGAGCTCAAGCCGCGACAAATCCTCTCCTGTTCCTCCTCCGGCAAGAAGAGGCAAGCCTCGTCCGTCGGATCGAACCCGAGGAGAGGCCCCTGAAAGCCGGGGATGTCATACTCGGTGTACGAGATCCGATCCTTGTATGCGCATGGTGTGAACCGGTTCGTCGAGCAATAGATGTCGATCTTTGCTACATCACGACGCGCGCCTTGGATCTCCTGCCGATGGTCCGCGATGGCGGTCACCTGCTCGAGTAGGGAAGTGATGATGGGTGCCCAGTCCGCGGTGGGAGGCGCATCCGAGACCCACCGGATAGGGGTGCCAAAGCAGGAAGGAAGGTGTGCGACCGCGGCGGGAAAGTGGACGACCCGGGTATAAGTGGAGGGAGTGGACGAGTTGGACGCAAAGGTCATAGCGGGGATATTGAGGGGTGCTTCGAGACTCCGTACGCAGAGATTGCGGAGGTTTCCGGTATTTACGAATCTGGCAAAGTTGTCGCCGCATTGGTTGGTATCCCGGATGAACATCATCTCCATCTGCTTGGAGAGATCGTAGTGCGCCCAAGCCGCATTCTCCCGTCCGTAGATGGAGCTGATGCTCAGGCTTTCCAGCTTGGGGAAGATCTTGCCAAGACCGCCCAGCTTGTTCCCTACCACCAGAGCAGCCATCAGGGCCTTGATCTCCCTCTCGCACGCCCGGACAAGGACGTCGTCCGTGTCTATCCCTTCCTCCAGCTCGGGATCCACCATCCTGTACCGATTCCATATGGCGCCGCCGGTGTGGAGAAGATTCCAGTAAGACGGGTCCTGACCCTTGGCGCTGTACTCGATGCGAAGGGTCTTGGTGGTCGCGAGGCACGCGCGGAAGGGGGCTTGAGCGGCTTTGGAGATGAGGAAGGGGAAGTTCTCGGTTACGATATGGGTGAAGAGTAGAGGTTTGCAGATATGGTACCATAGCTATGTATGTCGTCAGCGAGTTTCTTTCTACTCTTTCTTCGCAGATGGAAGCGCTCACTTTAGATACCTGGGCCGCGCGGATGAGAGCGCCATTACGAAGGGCATTGCGTGGGGGACAAGACAAGGTCTCGGGGTACTCCTTGACAAACGGCAGGATCTGCGCCCAGACCTCGTCAGGGAGCTCAGGTAAGTTGCTGGACATCTCAGGGTCGGCTGGAGCTGGCGGAGATGTATGTAGAGACAGCTTATGATAGACTGGCACTGCAAGCCCCCTGGGCCCTTGCCGCTATATAAGCTTTTGAGGAATGTGGATCACCCGGGCCGCCAAGGCACAGCCCATGTTCCGCGTTTCTCATCTCGTCTCGCTGCGCCCTGGATGCGGTGAGACTGATCGCTCGCTTGATGTGTGGTGGACGCCTACATGATATCGTATGGGCTCTACAGCTGGTGCACAGTACTTGAGAGGATGCACAAGGCGACAAAAATAGCAAAGGCAGCCAGGATCCGTGGATTGGCGCGAATGTGGCGCCAGAGCTGAGTGTGGCACTCTGGCGTATTCGCCACCCGAGACCCAGAGATGGCCAGCTGCAACCAGCTCATCATCTTGTAGAGTGTCAAAACACTTTCGCCTCACGCTCTAGCATATTCTACAGCGATATTCAGAGCCTATCCTTTGACCCACCAGCCAAATGAGCGTTTCGAGGTAAAGGATGATTGGTGCGCCGCAAGGGTCGGCGAGGCCATATTCACAGCACTGTATTTGTTCGGCCGTGTATCGACTGTCCCACGCCCGCTCCCTCCTTCGTTCCTTCGTCAGTGAAGTATTTGCCTCCCGAAGGGGATTGGGGCCTGACAACAGCTACCCGGGGCGCGCGGTTGCCCACATCGCCTGCCCACGTTGATAAGAGGCCGGCACACGAGCTCTAGTATTGAGAGGAAACTCTAGCACATTCTAAACCGAGGGTCACGATTCGGCCTTTTATAGTCGCGACCCAGCTGGCGTTTCAAGCTCTCAAGGGATGAGCGATGCGCCAGTAGACCCGGCCAGCCATATATGCAGAGCCCCTCCCTTCCCCCTCGCCACTTCCATACATCGTCTTTCGCCACTCACCCCACGATCATCAAAGTTGCTTTTGTTTGTCACTACCTCACTTGCTTGACTTTGCAGCACCAGAATTCAATATATATCTACCTACGTGACCCAACTTTCTCGGATTCCAATGACGACCCGGGCCGCATCAGCGCATCCCCTCACTACTCTACCAAATGACCTGCGCTTCATGGTCCTCGACCAACTGTCGCAACCCGTCTTTTCGCATGGCGTGCCCGGATTTGGGACGACAGGCAGGATGAGCCTCAGTCGTGCTTTTCCTGCGGTTAGATGCTCAGCTTGTCATGGCCCTTTCGGCTGCAGCTGATCAGCAGGCCTTTTCCGCGCAAGTCATCAAACACGAGAGCGTTTACCCAGACACTGCGATTCTCTCGATCGCTGGTCTCACCATTCCTCCCGACTTCGCCGGTGGGACTGACATCACATGCGATGAAGAAGCAGCGAACGGATACGAAGTAACGTCAGATGTCAGTAATATGCGTCTGCGACGCGGAGAAGCTGTAGTCTGTGACGCTGACTATCAGGACCCCGCCGGAAATGCTCGCAATCCCCACCCGCACTCAGGTTTGTGGAATCCGCTCGCTTCGGGCGAGGTGCATACCGTCCTCATACCTGCGGGTGCATCCGACCAAAGCTTCGTACGATGTTGTCCTTTCCGCCATGCGTCACATCAGTGACATGGGCTACACTGTCGATCGGTACCTACCGGACGAAGAACTGAGGGCGAGCACCGGCCCTATCGACAGCCTACAATTCGGAGACCATGGTCAGTACGTGGAAGACTTGAAGGCTATCCTCTACCCGCTCGCATTGAAACCAAACTCGGCCGGGAAGTTCCCCATCCTTGAGATCCGTGCATCCAATCCGGCCGGACTCTGGAGCAGCAACTCCGCTGTCCCCCCGAACATGGTGCTGGAAAGTAGCATCGCCGCGAACGGCCAACCATTCGGGGAGCCTTTATTCTCGGGGATTCCGCAGGAAAGGCCCAGCCTGCAGCACAGCTACTTCTGGGATGTCAAGGATGCGAGCATCGATGGGGACTCGGAAGAGCAGAACATGGTCCGAGCCTTTTCCCAATACTGTCAGAGGCGATACCAAGATATGCGTTGGTTTGACGAAGACTCGAAGACGATTGTCTATCTATACGTCAGTCAGGATGGCCTCGAAAGCAGCCCCGAAAGCGGCCCCGAAAGCACCAGTCCAGCAGGCTCTCCGGGCTCGTCCGAGAACTCGGGGCCGCACGTCAGATCAGCCGAAGACTCTATTCCCCCGGGAACTGAGTCCAAGATTCCGACCACCATGAGAACTGATGCCGACCTAGCCGCGATTTTGCCGGATTTACAGTTCTGGGCGAGCTCACACAAACCGAAACGTCCAAATCAAGTTCTATCGTTTGAGCATGGGACAGAGCCGGAGAAGGAATATCAGATCAGAGGGGACCAAAAGACCTCGTCGTTGACGAACCCAGAGGGTGAGGCGGATCAGTGAAGAGCGATGGAGAGGTGGTATCACAGGAACAGTATTGTCTCTTCTGAACGATCGGGCTGGTGTCATGTATTTTGGGTACTTCTGTTTAGGCAAAGAACCGAGCAACTGCCGAGGTGATGCGCCGTGCTCACTGTTCCAAAGCGCCTGATCAGACTGGACAGCGAAAGTAATATCAGTGGCGCGAAGAAAATAGAATGACACCGAGCTGCGTATTGTCGCAATGTCCCGATGGCAATGCTCTCAGTGTTAGGTGAGTGGTCGAATCGTTACATACAATGATAGACGTTAAGTGACGCTATGTGCCGTCCTGCCTCCGCCCGACAAAATACACGCCCTACGGCTTCTTTCATCCTTGGTGGTACATCCTCATCTTCTCACATCTTTCCTACCCAGAATCAGCATCAGTCTCAACCCGATTGGGAGTCGCAACGCGACTACTCACTCGAGCATCACCCTAGCCTCATTGACCTTCCCCGCTATGTATGGCGATCCTCCTCGATCTGGGTGATTTGCGAGCATGAGGCGGCGATGTGCGTCTTTCAGCTTGTTGCTGGTGATTGGATCCCTATGATGGATCAGCGGAAGCTCCTAGGCCTTCAAGACGTGATCGCAAAGCAAGAGTCTTAATCCACGCCAGTCCAAGGGGCCAGCATCATCGCCCGTTGAGAGCAATGGGTCCCTCCTCGCCATATTCATATCTCCTCCCATCCGCTCCAGCAGCGTAGCAGCTCGATCGAGGTCGGCCGACCACCCTGTTCCCCTCTCCGCTCCCTCCGGTACACTGCCGAGACTTGTGGATCTCTCCTTAGACACAGCTGAACCGACCTTAACCCAAGAACCGCCATCGCCTCTGCCTTGTCCATCTTCGCCTTGAATCCGCCCTTGACGAATTGCTCCGCCGCTCCCTTTCCACCACGGAGTAGCTGATAGGCTACCCTTCCCGCGAGACCTGCGCCGAGGATACCGAGACCGAGTGATAGTGATGCCATGTTGCTTGCTGTATGCTCTCGAAAGTGATTGCAGATGCTGCGTGCTGCAAGCATCTCGGGCGGCAAAAGACCGGTGACGCATCGAGATACGCACGGATCAGCGCGTCAAGATCTGCCACTCTTGCGCAAACTCCGATAATCCCGCCTGCCGCGAAGAAACTGCCACATTCGCCACCCGCTGGCCTTGGTCGAGTGCGCACGGAAGCAGACTCGCCAGCCAGAGTTGTGCACAAAATCTGGCCTTATTGGTTGACTCTAGCTACACCTATACTCGCCCTCTCCCCCGACACTCACCCGACAAATCAGCAACGATGGCTCCCCAGAAGAGGTCCAAGGGCGCAAAGGCGTCAGAGAACATCAACTCCAAGCTCCAGTTGGTCGTCAAGTCCGGCAAGGTGGGTTACCCATTCGACAATGGATTGGCAAGGGGATAGGGAAGCGGATGGGAGGGAGAGGAAGAACAGCTGGGATGGTGGGGAGGGCCATGGTGCACCAGAGCGGCCAGCGTGGAGCTTGGAGACGGCGCGCGAAGGATGTGATCACGGAATTGCCTTGAAGGAGGAAGAAGATACGGTCAGGGCGAGGGATGGTCAATGGGGAGGAATAGCAGGGGGACTTCATGTCGTCTGGATGCTGACTGTTCGCAGTTCTCGCTCGGCTACAAGCAGGCATTGAAGCAGCTCCGTTCCGGCCGCTGTAAGCTATCTTCCGGCCTCTCCTGTTGATATGAGCTGATTCCTTTAGCCAAGCTCATCCTTATCTCCAAGAACACTCCCCCCCTCCGCAAATCCGAGATCGAGTACTACGCCATGCTGTGAGCTATTCTGCTTGATTGCACGAAACTGCGCTTCGCTAGTCTCTTTTAGGACGTTACGCTGACCCTTCAGCTCAAAGACATCGGTGCACCACTACGACGGCTCGAACGTCGACCTCGGAACCGCCGCTGGAAAGCTGTACCGCGTGGGTGTGATGTCCATCCAGGACGCCGGGGACTCTGACCTTGTGAGTTGTTGTGAGCCCATTTCCGCGGCGGAGCAAAAGCTGACTTGTTTAGCTGCAATCCGAGACTGCTTAGAATGCATTGTACCGCTATGCTATCCGGGTTTCTGCAGATACTATTGTGTGCGCTGGGGAGAGGACACAGAGAGCGGGGTCGACCTTGTCATACGGCTCTGCTAACTGACTGTACATGTATCTGACATCTAGCTCGAATTCCACATTCATGTCCCGCGATGTACGATACGCATGATCCGCACCGGAACAGAAACGTCCAGCCCCGAATCCCAAAATGTCGGCTGCTCGGGATCTAGCGGAGGCAGCTCGATATCGACTACTTCAAGACCCGATTCGCCTAGCCGGAATCAGCATACTTTCGAGACGGTGTACCTGGGCAAGGATCAGGAAATGGGAGAGAGCATGGGGAGGAAAGGGGAAGAAGGAAGAGAGGATGTGTGGGAGACGTACTGCAGCACTGGGTGAAAAGGGAGAGCGTCTGGGCATTGCGGACTGTAGCCGCTATGATAGCTTGTCGGGGAATCGTGGAGGTCGTCGGGGAAGAAAGAAGAGTCGAGAGGGTGCAGACGAGAGGAGGGATGAGATCGGGGTCGTATATCTGCCAGAGGGATCAGCGGAGCTTCGACCCGAAAGTGCGGGGAGAGGGGGATGTACCACGTCGGCGGCAATGATGGTGTCTGGTGGATTGGTGAGGATGCTGTCCCATATGTCCGGCCGCTCGCTTAGTCCTCGCGCAGCATCCATCCAGTCTAGGCTTTCCACCCGTATCTGGCCGTCCAATTTATCTGCTCGGTAAGCGGGTCGGCCTGCACCTGCACAGCAGCGAAGGTGATGAGACCTACTGAGCGCGACATTATGCCTCAGTCGGTCCAATGGCGGTACACCTCCACCCAACACCTCGCCCAGATCTGTCGCTGTCACCTCATGCCCCTGTTGTACCAGCAAGCAGGATAGAAAGCCTGTGCCTGCGCCGAGCTCCAGTATTCTGCCTCTGCTTCTGCCACTGCTCGAAATGGTTCCCATCAGAGTGGTTATATCGAGTTGGGCACGATTGCGTAGGATGTGATGTCCCAATTGAAGGGCGGCAGCCCTGAACGGTCAGCTTCGTCTTTTGGTCAGAAGTGAATAAAAAGCCAGCAGACTTGCCATGTTCGCAGACCCGTCGTACCCCCTTGCAAGACAGTCTGCTCCTCCAGCAGCGTAATGTACGGCTCCTGGACATCCTCCTCTCCGTTACTGCTCTCATATGAGCTTCCCTCACGAGAAGATGACAGCGGAGATGGTAGCCGGTAAACGAAGGTGCGGTGGGACTGTTGAGGACTATCTACCCGCTCAGCCTCTTTCACGCTCGCAATTGCCGGTAGACTCACTCGGCCATACTCCCGAGCGGTATATCGGCGATCATCAGCCCGGCCAAGAGCTCATAGAACCGTTCATCGATCTCCAGATCCTACATCTTCAGCCTGATATCTACCTAGGCGGGACCCGAGCATACTTACCAGATCGTCCGCTTCTCCCTCGAGATCCCTCAGTCCACTTTCAAGCTCTCTCAGCATAGACCGCCAAAACAGCCTGCGATAACCATCTTCTGGCTGAGGGAAACGGCGCTCGTCCAGAAGAAGCCGGGCGAGATGGGCTTGTCCGGCCGAAGAAGCCAGGGTTGGGGGAGGGGGAAGGCGCAGAAGACGAGCAGGGACGAGGGCGAAGTATTGATCACGTATGGTCGAGATGGCTTCTTCTAGGCTGTAGGAAGGCATTTTAGACGCTGGTCAGGTCAGGTAGACGCTCAAGCTGTCTCTAAGGACTACACAGCCTGATGAGAGGTGATAGTCAGGGCTGATCGGGCCGCAGGCTTGAGGCGGGAAATCTTCTCTGCCGTAAGCTCAAATCCAACTCCTCATTCCTCATCTGGACGGCCCGTGCGATCACGATAGCCGTGCGATGCCTTGGCTTTGTCTCGGCTTAGGGCGCCATCTGCTGCAGCTTGAGCGATCCCGTCCCGATCCGTCCCCACCCGACCCAGCTATCCACCGCACTCACGGTCGACGTGTGACGGACATCTTCCTCGACCCACCTTTGTTCACAGTTCTATAGCCTGCCGTTTCTGCACGAGATCGCGTACGCACAAAGTCGTGCGCAGAATTCGGAAGGCCTCGCCTCTGACGCTTCCGTCTTGATCAAAATCCCCTTATGCTGATACTCGAACACGTCAGAGACCAGTATCACCTTGATTTTGTCCTAAACATCGTCACCTCAGTCCGTCTCAAATCATCCCCTGCCTACCTCAGATCACTGCAGCTCACAGTTTCCTCCAGCAGCCAGCTTCATGTCCGACCGTTACAAGCACACTGATGCCCGCCGGACAAGTCGGGATCTTACCACACTGCCCACCTACGCTGCTGTCCGTACAGGCTCCCCCGAAGGGCACTCCCGCCGCTCTTCTACCGCGACGTCCGCTTCCGAGCCCGAATGCGCCCTACACGATTCCCGGCGGAACAGTGTCCTCAAGCCTGGCCTTACCTTCCGTGGAACCACATTGTGTATCGACCACGCTCGAAGGCGGACTGAAACCCTTTTGACGCTGGAGGACTTGCCGGATCTACAGACGGCCCTGGGGACGCTTGCGAACCATACGGGCTGGACAGCGCTGCAGAGGGTCTCAATCGTCACTGCTGCGGAGACGCTGAGTGCGCAGACGCTGGGTGAGCAGACGGCGGATATGATGGATCGGTTTGAGGCGACGACGGCACAAGCGCCTGGGCTGAGGGATGATGTGGATGGAACTGTGTTTAGGGGACTTGGAGGCTGTGAGACGGGCGTACCCTGGCAAGTTCAGTGTGGTCTGTCATACGTGAGATCACGATTCATCGGGAAAGGTGTAGGTGTTGTGTCTAGATCATGCATTGTCGTCAAATCCAAAAAGCAGCTCATATCATCCTGCAAACGCCTCTTCCTCGAGTATGCCGATAAGGGCGAGCCGAGCTATACCACCCTCCTCGGCTACGGTGCCTCCTTCTTCCTACTGGTCAACCCCAGCCCGGCGGACAGGCTCGCGTTCGGTCGCGCGGAAACTGCGTCGATCATTGAGGCGGGAGATGCGCTCAGCAGTGTACTGGACGACCTGATTTCGCTCTCTACTGGCGCATTCCTGGGCGGTCAGCAGGAGGCTTGGCGGAAGGTAGTTGACGGTCAAGGCCTTGGGTCGGAGATAAGCAACGAGATGGAAAGGGCGCGGCGTACCATCTCATCGCTTGCTACGCAACGGACGGTCGTACCTAAAGTCTGCCAGCGGGTAGAATACGGGCCTCTCTCCAACGATCTACAGCCGTTTTTCGGCTATCAAGGGGACACAGCGGCCGGCTGCAAACCGGAATATTGCATTCATACGGACGCATTCCAACGCGAAGGGTCACCGGCGATCATGGGCGGCCACACCAGGTGGTACGCTTCCTACTCTGGGGTCACCAACTACGGGGAGACCAATCTCGCGGTTCGCGATATGGTCGAGGCCATCATCGTGATGTATTGGTTTCGGCGACATGCGCTAGGCAAGGCGGAATCGGCGGGTATCACACATTCCGCCTTTGATGTCGACATCTACCTCCCTCCAATCTTCCTCGGGCCGGCTGTAGTGAACACCTTCCAAGAGTATCTCAAACTCGGTCTCACTTCCGCAACCCGTCTGATCCGTCTCTCTCGGCCAAGGGAGATAATTGGCGGTTCAAGTCTTTGGCAGATGCTCCTCGTTGTGATGCGTGCGGATCGAGTATCTAGGTGAGCTTCTGTCTTCAAGGCTTTGAGCGAGTTGTGGCTGATCCCAACAGCCGTGGTCCCATCCTCTACGGGCCAATAAATCTCGGCAAGGAGGTCAGACATGATGGAGCAATCAAGGGGAATGCCAGAAGCAAAGCAGGACACTATCTCCGAATGCACATAGTACATCTCGTCCCGGATCCAGAGCCCTGAGCGCTCGTACTAAATATAATGCCATATCCCCTTCGTACCCCCTGTTCCCCTCCTCATCCCCCTTGATTCCCCTCCTCATCCCCCTTGATTCCCCTCCATAACGCCCCCTCGATAGCCTTCATCTACTCCCTCCAGCTCCTTCCAGCAATTTTCCAACCCGTCGCCTTCCCCCTTTCCCCATTCGTATCTCCACTTAGTGCATCCCCATCGCTCTCCTCTCCTTTAACGCGGCCTCCTTCTCATTCGCCGCCTGACGCATCAGCTACTACCCTCAACCACACAGCTACGGAAGCATGACGCTAGCTCACCTGCGAGATAGTCAAGTACGCCTTGGTAGGACTAGGCAACAGATCCTCAGGCCCCAATGTCCCGATTGTCCCTCCCCGCTCGATACTGAGGTGGGTCGCACGCGAGATGATCCCCCCGAGCTCTTTTTCGTTTTGCTCATTGTAGTCGAACAAGCTGCGAGCGAGGGTCAAGAACTGAACATCAGCTCCGAGCTCTTCTATGATCCGCCAAAGCCCTCCTCCGCTGCACGCCATCCCGCCTATCCCTTCTCCCATCTCATTCCGACTCCCAGCTTTTGGCCTTCTCATTCACAATAAAAGGAAGACTCACCCGATCCGTCTTGACAAATTTCGGCACACTATCCGTCGCCATCAACCTAAAGATATACCCCTGTATCCGCTCATACAGCTTGACCATCGTCTGCAGCTGACTCGCATGCAGCGCGTTCCCGACAATAGGATCGATATGCCCCTTGATGCCCGCGTCCTTGTCGGAGGTGACTTGAGTCATGTACGAGATGAGCTCGCCCCGGAGGCCGTGGTCGATGTTGAGCTCGCATGGGGAGGCGGGGGCTAGGTAGGCTGGAAGTCAGCGCGGCCGAGCGGAGCGGGGTGAGGCCAGGCGAAGGATTGTAGGTAGGGGGACGGATAGACTTGGTAGAAGAGGTCAAGAACAAGGATAAGAAGGACAACAGACCCAGACTCACTATTGTAGATGACAAAAGCCATAGCGATCAAATCCCCCTGATGCTTATCCATAGCTGCATGTCCCTGCGCCTTCTGCGCCTTTCCCTTCCCATCCCCCCCTCCCGTTCCAGGCGCAGCCACCGCCGAACTCGTCGTACTAAACCTCCTCTTGAAATCCTGAACATCCAACCAAAAGCTCAGATTCTCCTCGCAAAAGTTGGACCTCAGGAACTCGCGGAACAGACTCCGGAGTGCCGGTTCGTCCAATATCTGCTTGAGTCTGGCGGTGTGCGAGTCTTTCGAGTGGTCCCGCTCCCTGTCTAGTCCAGCGTGCGGGGTTGTGACAGAGTCGGATATGGACGCCCGGGGGTCTTCCGACTCGTGTGTCGATGCGTGGGAAGGACGGACGGAGGGGGATGGGACGGGCGGAACGCGGGATTCCGAGCCGACCGAAGTAAGGTTGGGTTTGGAGGAGTTGGGCGTGCCAGAGGTGGTATTCGTTCCAGGGGCGTTCCAGCGTCCGGCGAGCATGCCTTCGGGGGTGAACTTGTAGATGGCCTTTTCCGTTGCGCGGAACTCGCCCTCGGTCTGATGTATCAGCTTGGTCCACTCTTCCATCAGAGCTCTGGAGCGTTGAGCTCACCATGATAGCTCCAGTCCCACCTCCTGCCCCTCCCCCTCTTACACTCGCAATGACATTCCCCTCCTTGACCCTCCCCTTATCGCTGACCAGCGCAATCAACCCATACCGCACAAACTGGGCCGCCATCTCGCTCGCCTCGTCCATGCCCACCGCGGTCGTAAAGTCCAACAACCACAGCATGGCATTATTCGCCGTAAAGTGGAACTCCTCCCTCTTATCCGCCCCAATCATCTTCCTGACCGGTACGCCCAATCCCCGATCCAGCTCCTCTCCACCCCCGCTCTTTTCCGACGGCTTCGAGTACCATCTCTGCAGATACTGCTGCGCCAACTCCTCCTCGGACACTTTCGCGACGTTGGGCTCTTTGCCGGCGAACCGCCGGAAGAGGACCTCGAGGACGCTCCGCGTGACCATGATTTCGTCGTCGCCTAGTCGGCGCTCGAGGTGCAGGAGCTTCATCGCGATAGGCTGGGACGCAAAGATGTTGAGGAGGTGGTCCCCCGAGATTCCATTCTTGGTGATGAACCGCTCGAGGATATGGAGACCCTTGGCGGTGATCATGTAGATGCCCCGGTCCTTGAAGGAGGTGGCGAGCAGGTCAGTCGCGTTCTCGATGAGGTGGGATTCGAGGAAATGCTGGCAAATCCCCTTGGCCATGTCGCGCGTCATGGAGAAGGTCGTGGTGGTTGTGGTAGTGATAATGCGGGAGGGGTCTTTAGGGTCGGCGGACCGGTTGGATTGGGAGAACTTGAGGGATGCGAGATTGCTGCAGGCTTCGTCCCTGGATGTCAGCAGAGTTCATGCAGGGGACCAGCAGCGGATAGGCGCAGAACCCATAGTCCCCATAGCGCCAGCTCAAAGGACTCACGTAGTGAAGCTATTCGGATACGTCTTGAAGAAATTCCGATGCTGCTCGAGCTTGAGCGAGACGACCAGCGTCGCGAAAAGGTCGTGCGTGTCCTGTAGATCAGCACTGCCCTCCTCACCTTGGCTATTAGTCTAGACGGCAAAGACTTACCTTGACAAAAGGCCGACCCCGCCGGGTCGTCTTCATCATATGACTCTGGGACATGGACGAGTTGGACATTGTACGTCCGAGTCGGGGTTGTGGTGGAGGAAGTGGAGGGGGTTGTAGGATGTACGATGACAAGAGGTCAAAGCGCCGTTGATGTGACCTGAGACGAAAGCGAGGGGTGGGAGGACAAAAGGCGAGTGCGAGTTATGTACTCCAACGCGGAAGGATGACGGGGTTTGTTCGGTTCGCGTCGTCGTTGTCAGAGCTGATGCAGTAGATCTGTAGTCGAAGGACGTGTAGCCCTTGAATAGGGGTTGAGCGGTGGACGAAAGATATGTGTATGATCGAATGGATTGTCGAAAGGGAAGCAAAGGATCCTTTTCGCCTTGTGGTGGATCCGAGCGCACGGCGCCGAGTGGGCGGTAGGTTGAGGATAGTTGGGGGATGGGGAGAGGAAGGGAGGTGAAGAAGGGATGAAACGGCCTCCTGCTGGGGAGGAGGTGTGTGCGTGAGGATCGAGTAGCGGGAGGTATGCTTTGGTAGAGCTATAGGATGAGCTGAGCTTCGAGGGTCGTTCGCTGGGGTCTGGCTCCACCTAAGAATGAAAACGAGGCTGGGTGTGTCGGAGGAGGGAGAAGGAACAGGGAGGAGGAGGGAGTGGCGAAAGGACCTTTTTGTGCGAGTGGCAGGTGGCAGGGAGGGGTCCAAGCGGAAATGGGGAGATGAAACACCACAGAGCTCGAATAGAGTTACTCACAGTCGGTTCTTGCTGCCTCCTGATTCCTCCTTGGCTTAAGAGGTGTACGAAGACCTGCTCCTATTGCATGGGTAGATGTCGAGCTAAACGATCAGCTGGTACAGCGCTTGGCGGGGCGGAGACTCACTGATCACTGAGACAGGCTCCTGTGACGCGTGACGAGGCCGAGGAAGGCGCACGTGCGGGTGACGGGCGGGCTCTGTGCGATGATTTCGCGTCGGTCTGAACTATGAATCTGTCCAGCTGTATCTCGAGCTAGGACGTCTGATGGATGATTGACTGCAGCTGCATGCCCCTCTTCTCCTTCAGTTGACATCTTTGCTTGTGAAGGGCTGGCGGACAAAAGGCGCCTCTCGGAGGTTAATCTAAAGCTTAAAATGTTTCAGAATTCTCCGTTACGGCATAGGGCAGGGATGTTGCCGAGTTCGGCTACCGACGAGCAGCGCACATTCCTCTGGTCCTGTGGTCGAGCGAAGACTGTACATAAGAGCAGGCGCCGTGTTACGCGCTTCCGAGCACTATAGCAGTGTCATGCAGATTACAATACAGCAGATATATGATAAAAGCTCTATGATCTACGATCATCCCACACTAACCCTCCATCATCCGCCTCCGCCTCCCCCGTTCTCGTTCCCGCCCCAACTCCTACAGCCCCACTTCCAAACGCAGCCCCTCTCCATCCCCCTACGCCCTCATACTCCTCATCTACCTCCCCATCCGCATCCATCTCATCATCAATCTCCCCTTCCGCATCCGCATCCATGTCCGCATCTCCCTCCGCGTCCGCATCTGTACTCGCGCCCCTCTCTGACCCTCTCGCGCTCACCCGCCCATCCGCCCCTGGACCCACGATGACCAGATCCAGATCGATCTCCCCCTCCGCGTCCTCCTCATCCCCCATCGTGAAATCCCCGGTAGGTGTTGTGGAAACGACCGATGGCGCCCTGCTACTCCCCCTGGCACTGGTACCGAGCTTGCTCTTCCCTTTCGCTTTCGGTTTCGCCTTGGCTTTCCCCTTCTTCCCCTTACTCTCCTTTGTCTGACTGTTCCGGTTGGCCGTGGACTGGTTGGGTAGACCCGGACTCGCCTCGTGCGGCGGTGATCCGGGTGTGCTCGTACTGCCCGCTCGGCTCGGCGTCCCCATTTCCCGCTTCATCCCCGCCGCCCCGTTCATACCATCCGCCCCATCATGCCCATCCACCTCCATCCCTCCATCTCCGTTACCCGACTGCACCGTCGAGTCCCGCATCGACGATGGACCTGGCGTAGGCGACTCCTCTGGGTTCCCATCCCCATTCGCCAATTTCGACGAGGGCGTGGGCGGTCCACTATGGCCCCCCATCCCGAGCTGGCCACTCATCTTCCCCTTCTTCCCTGCCCCACCTAACGGACTCTTGCCCAGTCCAGCCCCAGCCCCAGACCCCACACCCTTCTTCGCCGCCGCCGCCGCCTTCTTCCTCGCCTTCTCTTCCGCAGCCTTCGCTCGCGCAGCCTCCACCTCTTTCTGGCGCTCCAACCACCCCGACATCTCTTTCTCTTCCCGCTCGTCCATCTCCCTCTCTTCCGCTTTATACTCTTCCCACCTCTCATTCATGCCTCTTGCCCTCGCTATTCCCTCTCCCTCTTCCTCGATAGGAACAGGCGTCGGGAACGCAAAGTCCGGCCCAAAGTTAAGCCGTAGCTTCCCTCGCCCGAAACACGATACCATAGGGTAATAGCCCAGCGTCCCATCGTCGGCCAAACAATCCTTCTCTCCGGAGCTCGATTTCTTGCCGCCGACCGAGGAGGGAGGAGGGAGAGGGAGAAAGTCGTATAGGTCCTTGAAGGCGGTTTCGGTACGTTCGCCGTTGATGTAGAATTCGATACGGGAGCCGGGAAGACGCGCGAGGTCTCGGAATACCACCGTTTCGGGTAGCGGGGCGGGCTTATCGGTAGTGACCTTTTTGGCATTCTTTGTCTTCTTTCCTTTGGCGCCTCCCCCACCCCCTCCACTGGCGCCGGTAGCATCCGTCCCAGCGGCAAGTGCAGCGGCAGCAGCAGCTTCCGCCTCCCGCCTTGCCTGCGCGTACTTTCCATCCCGATCGACCAGGGCGTCCATCTCCTTTTGTACCGGGTATTCGTCCATCTCAAAGTAGTTTTGCCCTTTGTAGCGGATGCTGGTGCGTTTCCGGTGATTCTCCACTCCGCCCTCTTTGTCCGTCTCCGCTTGCCCGTCCTCGGGCTTGACGGGTGGTCGAGCCGGAAGGGAGATCAAACACCCCACCACATCCCCCGTCCCGAACCCCTTCCCCGTTCCTCCGCCTGTAGACCTGCTCCCGTGCATCCCCTCCCCGCCCACATCTCTCAGACCATAAGCGTACCCGTCTGCCCCTACTGGTGCGTCCAGCCCCGCCTCCCTCCTTCCCCACCCTACTCTCACGTGCGCGTTGCCTGCGCCTCCTTCCCCGGCCCCGCCCGACCCTTTCGCTGCTCCACTGTCGGCCAAGCCTCGAAGGACCGTAGCTTCGAAATACCAGATCCCCTCTCGGACGGCCACGTTGGCTCGGCCCGACCGAAATCCGCGGTCGGTCGTAGCGGTGAGCGCGTCGGGAGAGAGACGGAGAAAGTGGGACCGGTCGAGCCATGAGATATGGACGGGAGGGGTAGGGGGCGGGAAGGGGATGGTTCGGTAGAAGGGGTGATAGGGCGCTGGGGAGGGACAAGGGGAGGGGCCGCATGGAAGGTATCGGAAGGCTGAGGGTCAGCATCGTCGCCTGGCTCTAATTTCTTCATTTCAGCTCTCTCGCTAGGGACGTACCGTTCTTGTTCATAGGCAGATCGTTCCACAGAAAACACTCATCCCCACATTCCCCGCCATCTCCGCTCCCAGCCTGTACCGAGCCAGGCTTCGCAATAGTCCGTTCATCCTGTACCTTTGCCCTCCCTTGTGTCTGAGCGAGTGCGAGCGAGCCGGAGCCCTGCTCGGCGGCAGGCGCGGGTGAGTCGTTCGGTATAGATCCTGCAGCAGATGGGCCGGGTGTAGCTGAGTCGGACAGCCTAGAGGGTCTCGCGTGGTGGAAGGTGTCGACAGGGTATGAAGGAAGACCCAAGGGAGGGGGAACGGATGGTGCGATAGAGGAGGATTGGGAGGAAGCCGAGGGAGAAAGTTTGCGGCGCTTCAGCGTCATCGCTGCGCTAAAATATGGCCCTGGGGCAGGTGACAAGGCGGGATCTAGTGAGCGGTAGGTGATGGTCACAAGGTGATAAGGGTGAGCGGGAAATCTCGCGTTGGCTGGCTGAGGCGTTTCATAACCAGGGACATCGTGGGAAAGCTACCAGCCGAGGAATGTGGAGTTGCGCCCGCTGAGGCAAGATCTCTCTCCTCTCCCGCTGCAAATCGTGCAGCCTCTAGGCTTCAAATGCCTTACTCCGCGTATGCGGTTGGAAGATCGGTCTCGACAAGTCAACATGCATGCTTGGACGCGACTGAGGCTTCCGACGCGACTGAGTGACCGGTTCAACCGGCCTAAAAGCTCCGACGGGAAGAAGCCTGAGAATCCACCGAGAATCCCCCGGCTCCTTTGTCCAGCGCATCTCATATAAAGGTTTCTCTGCCCTCTTCTTCTCTCATCTTGCCCCCAGATATATCACCAACAACAACGTCTATAGCATACACACCATGTCCACCCTCGTCCCTTCTTCCCAAGAGCCTACCACGCAGGTCGATAAGACGCCGCAGGATCAGCCCAAGGCGCTCAAGAATGATAACCCGAGCTTTGTGCTCCATGGGGTCGATAATGTCAAGTATGAGCAGGTGAGCTCTTCATCCTCTTTTGATCTCATCATCCTCCTCGCTATGACCACTCTCATCCCCTATCCGCCCGACCAAGACCCGCTGACAACCAGCGCCCCGTCCCCGAACCCCAAGCAGACCAAGTCCTCGTCGAAATAGCCGCGACCGGGATCTGCGGCTCGGACGTCCACTACCTCAAACACGGCTCGATCGGCCACTTTGTCCTCAAGGAGCCCATGTGTCTGGGACACGAGTCGAGTGGGGTGGTGGTAAAGCTCGGTCCCGAGGCGGGACGGAGTGGCGTTAGTGTAGGGATGCGCGTGGCGTTGGAGCCGGGAGTGAGCTGTAGGAGTTGTGGGCTGTGCAAGGCTGGGACGTATGAGGTAAGTAGAGCACTGAGGAGAGCAATGGATCAGGAGAGACGAGGGAAGAATGGAATAGGGATCAAGGCTGACGAGCAGCTCTGCCCTCATATGTCTTTTGCGGCGACACCGCCTATTATCTACGGGACGCTTGCGCGATACTGTGAGTGAAGAGCGATTCCCAGAATCTCTCTTCGCTTTTTCCTCATCATGCCACATTGATCCTCCATTCTCCAACGTCTCCCTGCCCTCTTAGCCACCTCCTCTCTCACCTCCCTTCTGCTCGCTCCCAATCCTAGCGCTAACCCCCAGACCTCCTCCCCGCCGACCTCGTCCACCCCATCCCCTCCCAAGTCTCCTTTGAAGACGGCGCAATGATGGAGCCCCTCTCCGTCGGCGTCCACTCGGTCTCCACCCTCGGCAAATGCAAGACCGACCAGAACGTCATTGTATTCGGCGCCGGACCGGTCGGACTTTTGTGCATGGCCGTCGCGAAAGCTTTGGGCGCGCGGAGGGTTATCGCGGTGGATATCCAGAAGGAGCGGTTGGACTTTGCGAAGTCTTATGTCGCGACGGATGTGTTTATGCCTGTAAGCCCACTTCTCAGCGAAGAGGGAGAGACGGAGGGAGAGGAGGGAAGCGAAGGGAGATAGCTGATCAGATAGGAAGCACGCGGAAAGGACGAAGCGGCCGATGCGTACTGTTCTCGGATGTCCGACTTGATTCTTAGCTCGCTCAACATTCCCGCGCTCGGTCCCGGTGGAATTGACCTGACGATCGAGGCTACCGGAGCGCCGTCTTGCGTCCAGATGGGTATCCACGTTCTCAAGCCATCGTACGTCTATCTCGTTTTCTTGCACACACCTGCCACTTAGATCACCAAATCCCTTCCGCTGCTACTCGACCCAGTTGGTCGCCAGTCTCGAGATGCACAGGGGACCTAGCTGATCCCCCAGCGGCACCTACGTCCAAGTCGGCATGGGCAGCAACATGACCCTCCCTGTCCCCCTCTTCGATGTCATCACCAAGCAACTCAACGTGACCGGTTCGTTCCGATACGGCGCGGGCGACTACCCGCTCGCGATCTCGTTGGTCGAGCGCGGACTGGTCGACCTCAAGCCGCTCGTTACGCAGCGATATGACTTTAAGGATGCGCTCGAGGCGTTTGAGATGACTAGGCAGGGGAAGGATGAGAGTGGGAAGGTGAGTTTCGACTTTCTTCTGTTTGGTTGTTGAGGTGGCGTGGTGTGAGCAGGAGGGAAAGAGGGGACGAAGGGCCAAGGGGGGAGACGAGGAGGAGGAGAGGAATCCAGAAGCAGAGGCTTAAGCTGTGAGACGGAGCTGACGAGTCTAGCCGGTCATCAAGTGCATTATCCGCCCGCCCCCATGATTGTCCTATTCAGGCGGACTTTGATAGTACCAGTATCTACAGTATGACAGCCATTCGACACGTATGACGTGTTCAAGGCCCCTGATGGTATCGCTAACGTCCAATTCAACACTGATCACTGCATCTAATTTTGCCTGAAATGACTCAGGCTATAGAGGTCCTCGGGAAATCGAACGATAAGACTGACATGAGAGCTGACACTAGAGAGATGCAAGCCACACAGTTTACCTCTCTTCGATGCCCCTGTACCCCTGCCCCCGTACGTACCTCAATGGCGGCGGCCATGCAGCGTGAGAGGTCCCAAGAATCCAACCTCTTTCCATCCCGTCACTGCCGTGTCCTCCGACACTGACGCCTCTTGGGTGCCCGTACCATGTCCAAGTGGACCATAGCCCCATATACTGCCATTCGCTTGAAGTACCACCTCCCCGTCCCATGCCCCAGTGGACGGCGCCTCGACATACTCGGAATATTCGTCTGGCCGCACCTCTTCCGTCCTTGTCATGACTGTCCCAGCAGGCCCGGCCCATCGTGTCTTGATCCGTATCTTGGCCCAGTGCCCTGGTGCCCCATTCACCTTTCGGATGCCCCACAGCTGCTTTGAGTCTGAGAGTACTAATCGATCAGGCGGGCCGGTGAGGGTAGTACCCGCCGGACCCTGCTTGATGTACACTTTGACTGTCGTTGACGTTGATATGGATTCATCGGTCTTTATGAAGGCTAGCTCGGGCGAGTCGCCGGTCGGGCGGGTGTGATCGTCGCTGTCGTACGTGATGAAATCAGATTCGAGGGGTTTGGGAGTTGGCGAGCCCATCTCAGTCTCGCAGCTGCAAGCGCCGCAGAACTGCCACATTCCACGACTTATTACCCCTTGCGTTTCAGCTGGTGCATCTCGGCATCTCTCGGCATGAAGCGGGCTCGGTCCTCGGGAGCGGATTGGCACCGGAGTACACGAACGCCACCATCTATATTGTTCCGCAATGCCATCTCACCTTCGCTCGTCTCTCTCATCTTGTTCCTCTCGTCAGTGTCACGATGAGGCATCCTCGCATCGCCCAGAGACTCGGATCGTTGTGGAACCCGTCAGTCTCGACGATAGCGACTCGGACTCGGATTACTGGAGGTGCCCAAAACCCTCCGGAAGATAAGGAGGAGGACGATGATGAGTACCTCTATGAGGATGAGGACGAGGTGGAGCAGAAGCCATCAAAGGAGCAGCTGGATGGGGCGCGGGCACAGGGACCGCGCGGGGACCAGGGCGGGGACAGAGATGAGGACCAGGAGGATCAGGATCAGGTGTTGCAGGATCTGTTCGGAGGGGAGTCTCCTGAGCCCGAGGGGGCGCCAGCGGGGCAGCGTGCGGTGACACCGGTACGAAGTCTTATACCGTCGGTCACAGCGCAGCAATCCGCGCCAGTCAAGCAGGCCCCGGCGCCGGTCACACCAATAGTCAGCGGCTTCCTCAATCGACCACTCCGTCCGCAACTCCCCCTCAGCGAACAAAAGAAGGCGAAAGCTGCACTTGCAAAAGCCACCCCCAAACCCCAATTCAGCACATGGCAGTATCATCAACCCGTCTGGGTGATGATCCCCAACTTCAACAGTGATCCTGCCTATCAAGTAAGATTCGTACGCGAGCTATGCGGGCCTGTAGTGGTGGGTAATCGTAGGCTGATATGCTAGGAATACTGCGAACATCTGAAAACCAAATGCCGGAAACTTGCTTCCTACTCCGCGGCTTGCAAACATCTCTTGGCCGCGCTAGACGACGCGACGGCGCGTTTCGGGCTTATAGGGCCTTTGCGCGGCGGTGGGTCCAAGGCGGCTAGTGGGAATGGTGAGTTCCTCTCTGCGACCTTCAGACTGTCAGAGTAGATGTGTAAAGACAGCTGATGCGCAAGATGGACCATGTACGGTGTGTCAGCAGAGCGACGCGGACTGTATCGTCCGAATAGAAGATGTAGGAATGGGGGATCAACCGCTTCGGATCGTTTCAAAGTGAGTACTAGGCTGCGCGTATGCCTCATTGCCTGTAACTCGAATAGACAATGGAGGCGAAGCTGACGAATGTAGATGTGTCGGATATACCACTAACAAAGTCGCATGCAGCTTAGCCCATCAAACCGGAAAGGGGAGACAAACGTGCGTGTCTTTGAGCTACCTGTAATTTGAGGATCTGGCTGATGACTCAGTCCCACCAAAGCCAAGGCGACCATCTCCTCGGCCGTTACTACTACAGCTGCCGCTGGACCTTCTGCCTCGTCTCGAGACAGACCAGTCCTACCCCGCGCGAGCGTCAAGCGGAAGTACAACGACGAAGCACTGGCAGCCAGTCGTAGTCCGTGAGTCCGTCCCTGCTTGTCAACGACGCTCGAACTCGAGACTGACCTCCTAGATCTCCGGATCAGCCTCCTGCGCCACAGCAGAGCGAAGCGCGTCAAAGGCTAGAAACGCCCTCCTCCGCCTGCTCTACCCCTCCAGAACGCCACTTCACCCTCGCACCCCCCAACCGTGTCGTCTCTCCGTCAATCGAGGATTCTCCACTCGATGCCCTCATGCGCCAGACCGGATCATCCACAGCCACATCCACTCCGCAGAAGGTCGTCCATACCGGCGATTTCTTCGGCCCAAATTCGCACGACATGGATAGCCGACCTGATCTACTGGGTTTGGGCGGATTACCTACCCGAGCTCGAGCTTCGACTCCGGCTTCCCTACTGGCACCGGCACGAGTATCAGCACCATCACCGCCAATACCCCGTCCTCGTCTGCGTCCGCTGTCAAATCTCCGGCAATGGAGGCGGCGCAGAGTATAAGGGAGATGATTGAGAGTCTACAAGAACAGCTGTCGGAGCCGATCTTGAGGAGACTGAAGGGGTCGCTGAGGGTCGTCAATAAGCATGTGACCACTATCGAGGTACGTCGTCGCCTGTTCTCCTACAGAGGCTAGAGCTGACGGTCAGAGCGCGATGGCTGGTGCACCAGCGAGCGGATTGGGGGATATAGAAATGGCGTTCAAGTACATGGCGGGATTCACAAAGAATATGCGCACGCTATTGCTGGAGGGAAGAGACCAGCTCGAGTTCTTTATCCAGGATTTGTTCGAGGCGATTGATGCGGATGTGGAGACTTTGCAACGGGTGAGTAAGCGAGCTGAAGGGGAGGGCGTATGGGTTAGAGCTGATGATTCAGGTAATGATGCGGACTTGATGTTGGGAAGTTGGGGGAAAGGGAAGAAGGACGATCTAGATGCGTTGTACATAATGTAGGTTTCCTTGGGACTTCTTGTGCTCAAGTGTAAGTATATGATTGAAGGCTGTACTGCTCATACAGCTTGACTGACCGAGGTGACTTGCGCGCATACCTCACGCCCCCACGCGTTTCAGCTTCAGGCACCATCAGAACGACCCGCTTGTAAGTCCGATAGTTCGGACTTCAGCATTTTTTTCGCCTTCCTTCCTCACCTCTACGTCACTCTACCATACTCATCGGTACAGCCCACCGAGGCTACGCTATCGATCATCTTGTACAATGGCCAAGTCCGTCCGAAGTACCCGCCGGGTCGACCGACACCCTCGCCTCAGCTCGATCTTATTGGGTAACGACCAAATAGACAGTATGGTCAATGGTAATGGCGGCGGCCCAGTAAGTAACAGAGTCTCGGCCTGTAGCGATGGAGCGACAAACACTTCCGGTAGACTGTATCGCCAACCTGCTTGGGATCACGTCCCGGATTTCAAGCAGGACCCCAGACACCTGGTGAGCGCTGAGCAATGCTTCAACTATGATTCGCGTAAGATGGAGTGAACCACACGCTGACCACGCCACAGGAAGCTCTAAAACGTATGGAGATGGAAGTGAGCAGGTGTCTTTGCGACGCCAACGCCGAGGCCCAGCTCCATTACAAGGCCTATATCGATGCTCTATATGCGGATACTCGACCCGTGGGGAAAGTGCGGGGCTTCAGAGCAGGCCAGATACGGCAAGGTGTGTTTGGCATGATCCGGACGGGACGTTGGAGCTGATAGAGATCCAGAGGGTCCTTGCGTGTCTTGCGCAGTGGCAGGAAGAGACTGCTTTGCCCTGATCGGGCCTGACGGAACTGGTCAAGCTGGCCAGATCATAGCCAAGTGAGCCCGCCGCAGATCCCATATTGCGGTGAGAAAAGTTTCATGTTGACGGTCGGCAGCTGTGTATGCTGTGGATACGGGAGAATACCATGCAGTCTCGCATATCGTCATGCTGATCTGTTGAAAGCTCCAAATATCCAACATGATCTACTCAACGAGTGAGTCACACTCATGAGGGAGAGGGTAGTATTCAGCTCATTTCATCAGAGAGGCCGCAGATCCGTCTCCTCAGGTCGCCAGCCGTAAACGTCGCCGTCGGTAATTCGCCAAGGCACAGTCAATTTCGCAGAAGGCTCATCCGCATCGGCGCCGCCGACTATCGTACCGACTGGCAGGCGAAGATCGGCGAGATTAGGGACTGCTCAAACGAGTATAATTGTAGGATACGAGGAAAGCGATGAGTAAGCTTCTGTCTTCTTCTGAGGCTGGCAACTCAGCTGACGATACAGCGAGTCCTCATGCGTCAGAGAAGTTAGATCTCGACCAGCCAAGACTGCCCGACTTGCCCCTCCTCCTGCCAGCGAATCAGGCCTACCTGCCGCTCCCCCTCCTGCCCAACCGATGCCTTCTCCCTCGGATATTGCTGGCTCCTCCAGCGCCGCCGGTAAAGGCTCATGTCACGCCGCAGTAGGCTCCCCTGTCAGCGAGACAGTCCAAGCTGCCGGTCCCCCTCCCGCCCAACCGATACTGCCTCCCTCGGACATCGCTGGCTCCTCCAGCGCCGTCGGTAAAGGCTCATGTCTCGCCAAAGTACAGACAGCCATCCAGAATATGCGCGATGCCGTCGAGATCATTCATGATCAGCTCTGCGAGGCGGAGGCCAAGAAGCTCAAGGCGACATTCGCCCGCGTTGAGCGTTACATGGTTCAGATCCAGGTGATCAGCTCCTCAATTGATACGGAGTTTCATACTAGGTCCCGCACAGCTGACTGTTTAGCATCTTGCGACTTCGACCGTACTCCCAGGCGCGAGCTCCCTCAATGACACCATAGAGTACTTGGCCACCTTCGCTTCCAACGTCCGCAAGTTGATGGGTCAAGGCCAAGCTGGCGTCGAATTCTTCATAGATGACGCGTTTGTCGAATTTGATGCGAACCTGCAGGAGGCGAAGTTGATGAGTGATATACGAGTCCTGGCACCTTCGGTGTGAGCTGACACGTAGGCTATGGTTGGTTGAAAGTCTGTAGATACCCCGATGAAGAGGGAGATAAGGGGAGGCGGTGAGGGAAATCAGCGGTACAAAAGGGTTGCAATGGGTCGATTCAATGCAATGTCTATCAAGCACATTGCGCGGCTACAGCACTGCTACTGAGGTTCACTTCGTCTTCCACCATGCTTCCCGTCCAGCCTGCTGTCCACTGAAGGACGCGGGTGACTAACCTCTGGCTTGTTACTGCAGGTCGCGATCGCTCATACCTTGTGGTCTTGTACCCCTTGTGTTTCAGAGTTCAAGATTGACTGTGGCTCAGCCTGGCTGGAGGTCCGAGCTCAACTCCTACTTTTCGCGCTTCCTTTCCTCCGCTTTCTTTCACGTTCATACATCATCCTCACAGCACTTCACATCTTCACTTGTATCAGGTAATGGCTCATCAGATCGAGGATTTAGCTGTCTCGGGTTGCGTGTCCGAGCTGGGCGACCGTAGCAACCCGATTCTGCTGAGCGACGAGGAGGAGGAGGATGACCTGACCGCAGGGGAGGAAGGGGATGCGAGGAAGGAAGCGAGCACACATGTCTCGGTGTCGCATGAGGGGTGGGTATACCGCCAGTCTCCCTGGACGTACATCGACAGTAGCAAGGATGACCCCGCTTACAGAGTGAGCTACTATCGTCTTAACAAATGGGAACCATGTGAGAAACGGACAGCCGCTGATGGGCGTCTGAAGAAGCTATACGAAGCCATGCAGAAAGAAACAACCCTGAAGTATTCGACAAACAGCTCTATCGAGAGGTCGTTCTACAGGAAGGTTCTGGACGGATTGGATCAATATACAGGGTCCTGGGGCCGAGTCAGCGGCGCCAGCGAAGGAAACCCAGTCAGAGGAGGTGTGCAGATACATGCGATTAGATGTCAGTCTGATTAGCTGATGCTGCAGATGGACCTTGCGCAAATTGCCTGACGAACGGATCGGCGGGCCGGGAGTGTATCGTCAGGGTGGGCCCTGTTGTTCCAGGTGGACCCGACTGTATCGTTTCCGAGTGAGTGAATAGGGGCAGATCGGCAGCGCGACACCCCTGACAGTCTTAGGTGTCTGGCATGTATATCCACGAGGGAGCCGTGCAGTCTCGCCAGCCGCGAGACCTCCATAATGAGCAAATTGTGAGCGTTGTCCTCTCGCGGAACGTGATCCAAGAACTAGTCCTAATGTATCAGCCGACCTGCTACCGAGCCGACTATCGTTGTGATGCCAGTCTCCGACGCTGAAACCGAGGCCGGCACTGGTGGAGACGACGATGAATTTGTCTTTACCGGCCACTGTGTCGCGAAACCTGCCAAGCCGACCGGTCTTCGCAAGTCAGCGAGAATCAAACGTATTCAACGGGATGCCAAGAGGAAGGCTGTCTACGACACCAGTGAGGAGTAAGTACCGGCTGTCCGTTCTCGTCATAAGTTTTCCCTTATTTAGTAAGAACGGGGATGGCTGATATCTTGTACAGCGAATCATCGTATCCACGAGTCAGAGCTCGGCGCGCCACGCGGAAAGTCACTCGTCGCGTTGAGTCGGTCTCGCCCCCACCTCGAATGGCTACGAGATCGACTCGCAGAGCCACCCAGGCCGATGCTGCTAATGTCGCCGCCCGCGATGAGCCTACCGGCAGCTCCAGCAAAGTCATCGGTGCTTCTCAGCGCGTCACGATCAAGACGGCGATCGAGAACATGCGCGAGATGGTGGAGGTCATCCAGGGTCAGCTGTCCGAGGGGGACAAGAAGAAGCTCAAGGGTACTTTCCATCGCGTGGAGAGGCATCTGTCAGAAATTGCGGTGAGCGTTGTATAGCTCAAAAAGCGGTGACCATGGGTATGCACGTACACCTGCTGATGAGCAGGTCGCGGCCGGCGACGACCACATCGCGAGCGAGGAAACGCACGATACCGCCCTCGAGTATCTAGGCAGCTTCGCAGTCAACGTTCGGAAGTTGATGACCCACACCAAGAAGAAAGTCGACTTCTTCATCGAGGACTCGTTCGTCGAGCTTGACGCGAGCTTCCAGGCACTGAAGCAGGTAAGTCAGCCATCGTCCTGGATGCCGCAATATCAGCTGATGAACAGACTATGTGTACGACTTAGAATGGAGCCGCAACGGGTATCATAGAATCACGGGTGTAGCGCGAGAAGGAAAGAGCCGGGGTAGTGGACCAAATAGAATGTGTATGTGGAGGGCAGAAGGGCGGGTAGGCTTTCGAGCTGTGTGCTACAGATGCAATGACTCAGTACAGCTCCGCCCCGACGCACATAAGAGCCAAAGTATTAGACATCAATGAGCCGCGCCAATCTCTCCGGCCGACCCAAGATCAGTGCTTGATGAGCAGCCCAATAGCTGTCACTTTGTCAGCCTCTCCAAACCCTCACTGCAGATACATCCCGCTAATATCATCCACGCTACAGGACCCGCTTGACCTCGAACCAGCTCTTGAGGTAATGGACGTTCCAAGCGCAAAGGGAGAAGAGGATGATGGACTGAGCGATAGCCCACCATTTTACGCGGGAGTTCTGGGCATGTCAGCTGGACCTAATCTCGTGAAGTAGAGTCATGGCAGATGTAGCTTACAGTGGATTCGGCAGCTATAGAAGCGTCAGCTAGATGCACCTCAAAGAGCGACAGAGATATCGGTCCGCCCTCCCCGAGCCAGCTGTCCCATCCTTCATCCTGGTGCCTTCCCTTGGTCATCTGTGGGCTTCGCCGTCCGCTCATCCAGGGAGAGTCGGTACTCACTATCTCTGTGCACCCTCTCCCTGACCACCAGATACGCCTGCTCATCCTTGACCAGCTGAAGTGAGGATGATAGCTCCCTGATCTCCCGCTCGACCGGCGCGATCTTTTCTTCGTCCCCTACGAAGAGGACACCATGGACATTGAAGCTGGAGATCAGCTCATGGCGACCGCATGCAAGCTAGTTACCCCCTTGTCCCACACAGGGTTCACGCGTACAACCTCTGAAGGAAACGCTCACCTGAGTACCTTGCGAGCATACGTGCTCATCTCATTTGAGAAGCAATACGTATACCTCCCTGTTCTAGACGCCTCCATCGAAAAGCTCCCCGTAGACTCCTTGAAGTGCGTGTGTATGACCTCATTACTAGGTTCGAGCACCTGAGGCATGTATCAGTCCATGCCCTTCTGCACAGCTCGGCCTTGGAGTCAGATTTGGGGTTATACGTACAAAGAAGTCGATGTCCAATCGTCCACCGCCGATACTACCTCCGACTTCATACGTGACCGTCATCTAGCATATCAGCTCTGATACATCCGGCGCCGGAGGCGAGAGTGCATGAATCAGCTCACCCGATCTTGAGGCTGAAGGACCTCAAAGAAACACTCCTTCTCTCCCGGATCTATCTCTATCCGATGGGCATTGGAGCACGCTGTTGCCAGTGCGAAGATGAGCAAAGCGGCTCGGAAGATCATTCTGAGCTGATTTGGCCGTGATGTGTGTGCAAGGTGAGGATGCCAAATGAGCAGACGAGAGAGAAGGTGGGCTCTATAATGAGCGTGAGCTTGAGCTTTGGTGACGAGGAACGAGGAATGCTGCGCGTCAAGGTGTGGTGGCGATCGCCGCTGTCCCTTCCGCCATGCTGTGGATAGTATGGGCTGCAGACCTGCCGAAGACGCATATAGCTACTAAAGCCATAGCCCATGATACGACTAGCGCCGACAAGGAGCCGTTCCGAGTAAGGATACCAAGTGGAGTTCTGACGACATAATTCCATCCCCGCTACCTCTAACCCCCGCCCGTCCATGTCCTTTGCCCCCTGGTCATCCCGGCTCGCGGCGCCACCGGCTTGGCTGGACGAGCCCGTCCGTCAGACCAATCACGCCCGATGCCACCACTTGAGCAGCCCTCATCGCTCTCCCGCCCGATCCGCATCGCTCCCTTCCGCATCTACAGCTGTCTTCTGCCCTAAGCCTACCGCCACATCCCCATCACCCTAGTCCGCACACCTTCCCAGCTATCCAACGCCGGCCGGACGTCTAGGTGGAATGCAATATTGTCAGGCTTGTTGGGATCCTGCTTGCCCGTATAGTAGTCGATGACGTAGCGGACGGTGGTACCGCACCGATCGATGAGCCAGTCGTGCCGGTCGAAGGGTGGTGCGTACCTGGATGGTTAGCGAAGCTCAGATAGCCGAGCATAACCCAGTCTGGAGGTGCCGTATGAGGACACGGGAAATCGTGATGGTGTGAGAGTGAAGTGGTCCAAGCCAGATTGGCTCTGATCGGCCTGGCTCCCCCTCCCCTCTTCAGCGTGCGCAGGTTCCGACCATGGCCCGCTAGAACTGAACCCTTCCCTCCCGGCTCTGTGCCATCCCGCCGTCTCCCTCTGTTGAGAACCAAAGACCAAGCAGAGGAACGCAACTCACCCAGCCAAGGTCTTGAACCAAGCCTTCGGCGTCAGATCCTTCGGCCTCCCCGCAAAGCTTATCAGCCTGATCCCACCACACGCCTCCCCTCCCATCCCCGCCTCCCACGCCAACACCTCCTCCCACGTCTTCTCGTTCACAGCATTATGGATCGGCACCACCGTGCGCATATCTTTCGCATTGGGATTGTGGTTCTTCCGCTGAAGGGCCTGGAAGAATTGATGTTCCGAAGGATAGACCCATTTCCCTGTTGATTCTTCCCTGTAGCCCGCCGAAGAGCCTTGGGCTTCGGAGCCGGATGAAGGAGAGGGAGTGGGGATGTGCGGTACTGATCCCTCGGGAGAGGGGTAGGAGGTGGCGGCTCGAGGAATGGAGGAGATGACTCTGTCGTGTGAGAGAGTTCGGGTGGTACCGTTCCCGCCTGAGCGAGCGGAGGTGGTGGATGAGGAAGGAGCGGCGGGGTTGAAGGGATGTGCGGAGGTAGAGGGGTTGGCAGCGAGCCATTTGGACCGGGTCTCGTGGTCTACCGGGCACTTTTCTGCGGATTCGACCGGGGCGGATGGGATCGAGGAAGCGGTGGCGGCGGCGGCAGAGGTGGAGCCTGACGCTGCAGCGTTTCCAGTGGAGAAGAGATTGAATGAGACCATACTGGCACTGGCGGTCAGCTCAGCGATTGTGTATATAGCCAAGTGAGGGTGAAGTATGGTCGAAAGAAGCCTCGCGAGCGGATCTCAGAAAATATCAATTAATTGGCTGGCCGTCGGGATTGACCGGGCCACCATGCACCATCGCAGACCCGACCATGTCTTTGCTGTCTCTGAGCAGACCACACACACGCCTTGGAGCAAGCAAAAGAGTGTACATCAAGCAATAGGTAGGAGGATTACAAAGAGAGTATAGCAGGGAGCAATATACAGGACTATATATAAGTGCGACCACCCCAACGCCCATCCCGGTCAGCGCTCTACATCGCATACCCAACCACCGCCTCGGTCTCCGCCTCGTCTTCCTCCTTGATCATTATCCCCTGCTCGCCCGCCGGCCGAGGTACCGGCTTCCTCTTACCCTTCGGAACGTCACCGACCAACACGCCCTTCTCACTCGTCACCGTCGCGCTGCTCTCTGACCTGGATCGGCGATATCCCGCATCCTCTGGTCCGCGCTCGAGTCCGAGACCGAGTCCGTATGGCTTTGCGCTCGCCGAATTCGAGGTGCTGGGCGAGGTGGGCCAAAGCGAAGGTGCGAGCGGTGTACCCGTTGCCGATGAAGTGGTGGTGGACGGCCCAGCGCCGGCGTTCTCGTAGATCGTCGATGAGAAGTATCCCTCTCTTGCAGACGTAGGAGTATAAGACGTGCTGGACATCGACGATGGAGAAGAGAGGGAGCGGGTGGAGAGAGTGGCGCTGGCGCGCTTGATCCCCGTGACGGCGCTGCCCCAGGCTCCGAGGAAGCGAGAGCTAGGGGTGAGGGGAGTGTGGGGTGTGCGGGGAGTGGTGACTTCGCCCAAGGACGAGACGGTCGATGTGGAGGAGACGGACGTAGAGCGAGAGGGGGATGGCGGAGGTGGTATGAAAGTACGAGGTGAGGGAGCCGCGAATGTCGCGGGAGTGTAGACTCGACTTTGGGAAGCGACGGGGAGGATGTTCTGCTGCCCTTGTGGACCTGGGAATGTCGGAGCTGCAGGTCAGCAAGGTACCGGTTGGGCACGAAGGTAAACTTACGTGTGTACACACCGCTCGAACTGCCCTTTGCCTCGGCACCATCCTTGACTCTCATCGGATCTCCGCTGATACTGCCTCCTCTTGCCGCACTTGGCCTCTTCTTCCTTCCCAAGATGAATGTCGACTCTGAGCTCGCACTCGGCGTGACAGGCGAGCGGGACGACGACGCCGTGTTCTGCTCGAGCGACGCCTGAGAACGTGCCGAAGTGGAAGGGGAGAAGGCTGGTCGGGACGGCATGTCGACCGGGAGAATGAAGCTGGAGCTGCTAGCGACGGAAGGTCGGGATGCGCGATCGCGGAGGTTGTGGGCAGATGCGCTGGGGCGGAGAGAGGAGCGAGCGGGGACTGGAGGAGGGGGCATGATTTTGGCGGATAGCTCAGCGTCGAGGTCGAATGGCTACAGATGTCAGCTTGGGATGAAGTATGATGGTGAAGTCTATCAGGGGTGACGGTGCTGGTGTCAAGGAAGGAAGAAGAGCTTGAATACAGTTCGTCGCCACCCAGCCGAGCTGGATCGCTGACACACAACTCGTCCTCATCAGGCACAAAGGAACCCCCTTTCGCCGCGCCAATCAAACCTTATAAAGATCGGCAAGAAAGGTTATTGCACTCACGCTCGACCAGATCTCTGTCCCCCTCTCTATGCTCATCCCCTTCAATGGGCCCGACGTCGAGTACGCCCTCTCCTTGCGCGACAGCATGGTGCTATAGTCTACCGACTTGCGATAGACTCGCCGATTGCCGGTGTCGAGCGGTGCAAGGACGAGGTAAGGATCACCTGCGCGCTGCGGGATGGACTGGGCGTTCAGGCAGAGGTCGAAGTCGCCGACCGAGTGTGAGAAGGCTGAGGAGGGAGGGTATGCGAACGGAGTAGAGTATGCGAGAGGGACGATAGCAGGAGTAGAAAGGTCGAGAGTGGTATGATCCGATTGTTGACGACCACCCCAGAAATCCGAGACAGGTCGCCGACGCCGTTCCGTACTGTCGTTCAGAGACAACAGATCCGAAAAGCTCGCCGCGTAGCTTGCTCTATACACACACTTCTCCTCTTGCTCCGCCGAGAGGTGTGAGGTGGGAAAGAAGAGGGAGGATAAGCGCGAAGGGACAGGTTTGGGCTGTGCGTCGACTGTCTGACGTTTTCTCCGACGCCGCTGAAGGCGTTGGCCGGTTTGGGCTTTTGTTGACGTGGGCGAAATGTCCGAGGTTGCGAGCCAGATGGACGACGAGGAGGGTGTAGCGAGCGGTGATGATGATAGAGAAGAGGAGGGGGAGGAAGGCGCGGGAGTGGAGGATTGAGACTGTTTGGGAGACCCGAATGGCAGGCGCTGCAGCGAGGTTATTGACCAAGAGGGCATGATGGGAGGCGATCCGACAGGAGTGTTTTTAGGGTGGATGCTGTAAGGTGCCGTAATCAAGGCGTGGGAGGAGGGGAAAAGGTTAAATGAAATGACGGGAATGAGAAGGATGGTCCTCGCAGAGGTGATCGATGAGAGTATGGAGGTGGTGAGTCCGAGCGCAGAGTAGGGCGACAGAGCTGCTGGTGCTGAGGTTGGTCGGGAGGATGACCGGTAGTGGGGCAGTGATGGAGAGGGGACCAGTCTTGGTGACCGAAGAGAGGGAGTCGCCGGGGAGATCGAGAGGAGCACTGTGAGCTGGTAGTGATTGCAGGGGTAGCGAGGGTGTAGTCCAGAGCTATGCGAGCCAGTCGCAGCGTCTTTGACAATAAAGACAGAGAGAGTAGGTAGAGATGAGATGCATGGATGATCCCTTGCTCTTTGGCTGACCAGTCCCACTTATATCTCCCCACTCCACTGTCCTGCTAGCTGACCTGCTCCACCGCCGTCTCCCTTTTTTTCCTCTCGATGAGTGTACGGTACACGCTGCATTCCGTACTCCGTCGTAAACGCTAACTATTAGGCATACCGCTAACCGAATGGAGGAATCCGCAATGACACGGTTCAGGCCGCTGGGACCGCCCGTCCTCTGCTTCGCTCCGAGCCTCCGACGGCGTGGCCGTCGTGAGCGACTCCGGGTCGCCGGCGGTAAGATCAGGCGGAGCAGCCGCCGAGGGCAGATCGTGGAAGGATAAGAAGGCTTCTGAGGGAGGAGGAAGAGCAGAGACGGCGAAGAATAGAACGCTGTCTGATTTTTAGGGGGCCACCCTCGAATTCCAGCGCCCGCCGTGCCTGATCTGCGTTACGTGCTTTATCGTTATCGCCCGATCGCTCTCGTTCCTGCGTTCCTCTTGCAACTCTGACCGATCTGACCGCAGCATATCATGGATCTTGACCAACGTAGGTTTGCTGTACCGATCAGGCGTCGGACGCGATGGAGGCAAGGTATGCCGCTGAGCTTGTTGAGCTGACGGGTCGAAGGATGGTACAAGTGAGCTTTGCGTGACGCGGTACCCTTTGGTCTTGGTGTCGAAGGTATACTAATGACTATACCGACGCTGACTTTGTACACTGACACGATGCACGTCTGTGTCGCTTGACGCGAGACTAGCTCCTGCTTTACGCATGAAAGCACAGCAACAATACATGTACCAACAGCATAAGGCCATCTGCTGCATCTCGCTTCCCCCTGGACCTGCGCCAACGCCATGACTGAACATAACTCCTCTGATCGCGGCGCAGGACATCTCGCGTGTACTACTGGATTGACCAAAAGCTTGACCTGGAGACAAGTTCGCAGACTTCGTCGACCTGACGTATGTGGCTCACTTGAGTATAGCAGCTCGCCACCTGACAGCCTCATACCCCCATCCGAAATGGATCACCGCCGCCCCGAGGACAAGCCATGAGCTTTGGCCCCACTGGATCGCGACCTCGTTGGGATTACCATTGATGAGGTCTCCGGAATACTTGGTGGCGTTGCCGATGACGGCGGCTTGGGCGATGAAGGCGATCCAGGTGAACCTGACGTGTCAGTGATGGCAATCCCCTTTGACTATCGCATGAGGGCGCTTGATGATGGGGATATAGGTTTAGGCGAGTAGTGTGAATTCCAGCCGCATATCCAGGAGATGTGGGTGATGGGGATGAGCGAGCTCGTACTCACATGAAGACGACGCTGACCGACACAAAGTGGATGAGGGCGCATGAGTACAGCTTGTCCTTGTTGGGCGCAGGGGACTTGCGAAAGCTGTACCTGATCACGTACGCGTGCCACAGTCCAGCGACGAGTACAAGACCGAATGCTGATCATCAGCTTGCTGTCTCCTCGCTCTAATAGCCCGGGACGCTAGGCCTCTCCGAACCTCGAGCCAACACACGCATGAAGCACAGATGAGACATGGAGGGGGATAGTGTCAGCAAGAAGGAAAGTGTAAGACGACGATGGGCGAGAAAGGAAGTCGCGGAGGCACTTACCAACAGCAGAAGTGACAGCCACCCGGCTCAGATTCACCGCGACATCCTCCGGAACAGGGAAACCAAAGTAGTTTTGCGGGATCTGCCATTCCCATCCGCGGGAGATACAGCCGACTTTGGCAATGACAACGAGATTGGACATGTTGTATCCGCAGCTGATGATGTCAGCCTCGTACGTACTTGCGCCACCAATCCCCAGGCCGTAGCACGTCGGAGCAAGAAGGCGGGCCTCTAGCCATATCGAGGAATGAGATAATCGCTATGAGAGGGGACGGTGCTTAGCAGTGGCGAATCATGTGAGTGAGTGGATGGCAGGAAGACGGGAGGATGCTTACTAATCAGTAGCTGCGAAACGCACTCTCAGCGTGGGCGTCTCGGCCGAGACATACCACACACTGCTTGCCGACGAGAACGCCGCGATAGCGAGGAGGACGAGCGAGAGGATGGGGTAAAGGAGGTGGATCGGTAAGCCGACTGTTCGATATGGAGCGCCCATTACGGTCTCTCAGCAGGTCAGTGAGGTCTCAGAGTAGTTGAATTCGATCTGGGTATCTGCTGGTCAAGCTGGAGGTGTGAGGATTCGGGAAGGTGGTTGTGTTGGATCTGAGGTGATAAGATGATGTACAGAGCTGAATATGTGGAGGGAGGGAGCTGTGAGATCATTCTAGCGTGTAGAAGTGTTTGCGGAAGTCCAAAAGGTTCAAAGGATCGCTAGTGAAGGGATGATACGCCACGTGAAGCTGAGTGTGGCAGAGGCGGTGCGAGAGCGGTGGCGCATCCTTTGGGCCTCCGGGAGCTGAGACAGCGCAGGTGATTTCGTACCCAGACACAAGATGAGACGGAGCGCATGCCTGAGCTGGATCTGAACTGCGAATGCAATGAATAAAGCTCAGCCGTCTCGCGGGGTCGGCAAAAGGCTGACAGAGGCCGACATCTCCGAGCTCCACATTCCTCGCTCGAAAAATATTAGAGTCTCAGCCAGCCTCAGCCAATCCCTTCCATCCGCACTAAATGCTTTGCTCTTTGTGCTCGTTCACTTGACCCCAGGTCCAGCCAGCGTCGCACATCGCTCGTCCCATCCATGACATCTCCACAGCTTCTCCCGGAAATTTGGGATCTGGTCATCCAGTACCTCCGCCAACCACTCCCTCCCCCAACTGGCAAAGCCAAGCGATGCGAGATTCGTCAGCCTGACTTGGCGGCGTGTATGAGAGTCAGCCATGTGAGCCATTTCCCTCTCACTGTATCTTCGAGACTTCAGACTGGAGCTGATTCCAATAGCTCTTCTACGACCTCACCGGTCCCCTCCTCTATTCCATAATCGTCGCCGACCACCTCCCCTCCCTCACTTCCCGCCTGTGGGTGACTCCCCCCGCTCCGGGCCTCAAAAGCAAATTTGAGCTCCTATCCCGCTGCAAACGCCTATACCTCGAATACGTCGATCGGTCCGAACCGAGCTATCTCACCCTCATGATGCTCGGCTCGCCCTTCTTCTCCCTCCTCCATCCCAGCACCGCGGATCGTCAGAGTCAATGCCGCAGAGGTGGACTGGATCACAAGCGGGACCACGATGCTCGAAGGAACGTCGAAAAATCTCATCAGCATATCTACGGGGGCGATGCTGGGGGACCAAACGGGCATCTGGCAGCGGGTATGGGAGGATCCGGCCGCCGGGTATCCAAACCGCGGCAAGCTCGCCGTGCCGCTCGGCAAAGCTCGGAGCCAGATCGCCTCCTTGGCTGCCGCGGGTCAAGGCAGGGCGTTACTGTGTCAGCATGTCGGCTTTGGACCATTGGTCAACACCTTCGCGATAGGCAGTGAGGGTTGTCCGCCCGATCGGCTTCGGAATCGGAGGCACCTCAACACCGTAGCATGCGGCGATATCACCAGCGTAAGTGGCGGCGTCTCACGCTGGTACGCCTGATCGCTCCATCATCATCGCTATCAACGTATCTCTTCTATACCCTATCACCTACACACTACAGCAGCATGTCAGAAAAGTCATCAGTACCCGGCCCAACCGTGCTCGCGCCGTACCTCGACGCAGTGACGAGCGTTTTCCACCCGATCGCGCACCCGCTCGTCAATGCGAGCAATCGGTTCAACGCATGGAAGGAGAACTTTGGCTTGGTCCACGACATGGGCGACGACGAGATGTACTACGCGCGACACTTGTTGGCGCAACAAGTCGCAAAGCATGTCGAAAGGCGACACAAGGGATTGAAGGGTTTGCGGCGGAGTACGGGCAGGGCGCCCACAGCGACCGACCTATCCGTCGACATATACGCTCCCCCAGCCTTCCAGCTCGGACTGGACTGGTCCGTGCAGACCATGGCGTTCAGGGAAGCTGTATTGGGGGCGATGGCTGCCAACGGCTCCCCGGCTGCGTGGGCGAAACGCGCAGAGTGGCGGATCAAGCCGTTGGCGGAGGCTCCGCCGTGCGAGGCTTGTGGGTGGTGCGTGGACGACCTATAGCCAGGTGAGCAATTGAGCACATACTCCGCCCTCAGTGCCTCACGCTGATTTTACCAGGCCAGATGCGGAGTCAGAGATGCAGGGAGTTTAAGAGGAGGGTGGCTCCATGCAAAGCGGCATTATGTCGTGTACAGGGGTCTTAGGAGCATGTCATAGCCACTTGACCAGGACAAATGCTGAGTGTGTCTGATTGATGAATACAGATAAGAAGGCGAATAGGGCTTCAATGGTACAGTCGGCTAGGTGGGCGCGCCTGGGCGTATCGTGAACAGCGTCTGGGACAGAGCTCAGTCAGTCTCAGAGTGAGCATCATGGAAGGGATAGCCTCAGTGGGGTACGAGAAGCTATGTGAAGGTAGTGCCGAAGCCTAGCGGTTGTCAAATCACAGGATAACGATCAGAAGGCAAGATGTCAGCTCCGCATTCCTCGTTTCAATTTGGTTCTCCCCTTCACTTTTTGCTTTCAGTCTTTGTTGCCTATCTACAGCAAGCTGGCTGTAATGACGACCCCTGCGCTGCTTCCTGAAGTGTGGGGTCTGGTGCTATCCCATCTGCGCCAGCCAACACCGCGACCAACAGGCAAGAATCAGCCGAGTAGCATCCGCCAGCCTGATCTCGCCGTCTGCATGAGGGTCAACAAAGTGAGCAGGATCAGCTCGTACTATCAGTCGACTATGTAGCTGACATGCTCAGCTATTCTACGAGCTCACTGGGCCCCTCCTCTACAGCACCATCGTCAGCGACCACCTTCCCTCCCTCACGCGCAATCTCAACACTCCCGCAGCCTCCTCAAATATCAAATGCAAGCGGCACCTCCTCTCTACGTGCAAACATCTCTATCTCGAATACTGCCCCAAAAATGAGCCGACCTACTCGTCCCTCCTCTTCCACGGCGAATGGGTCTTCCTCTTGCTCGAGCCTTCCGAGGCGGAAAGAATGGCATTTGCCAGGGCGGAAGCGGTCGGGATCTGGAAGGCTGCAGAGGCCCTGACAAGCGTGATGACCCGTCTGCGGACATTGTCGACTGGGGCTATTCTGGGTGGGCAATTTGAGTGGTGGTGGCCTATATGCCAGAAATGGGGTGGAACAGAGGTCGAGCAGGATGCGGAAGAGGCGCGAATCGCAATCACAGGACTCGCGGTCCACCGCACACCCGCCGCAATCATGTGCCAGCGCGTCAAAGTTGGGCCGCTCGTGTACGCTACTCAAATTCGGCACGACTCGTATCCGACAAAGGTGGTACGAGAGGGGGACGGGAAGGGGAAGGGGAAGGGGAAGGGGAAGGGGAAGGGGAAGGAGAGCGAGCTGCCAGTGCACTGCATGCACATGGAAGGTGTCCGTATCCGGCCCGGTAATATACCAGCAGTGAGGGGCGGGCGGGCGAGGTGGTATGGGGTAGACTCTGGAGTACTCGAAGGTCCCGTCTCCACTATGGCGGTCAACCGGATCGTTAATCTCATCGGACAGCACGTCGACTGGCGGCAGCGGCACGGCGATCTGGCCGTGGCGCGTACTCAGGCGATCAAGCAGGCGGACTTTCAAGTCGACATCTATCTCCCATCGGTGTTTTTCCGCCCTTCGATGACGGACTGGTTCGAGCAGTCGCTGGAGCGCAAGCTGAAGAAGGTGGTGGAGGCGTATGGTACGACCATGGCCACGGTTCGCGGGGATGTGTGGCGTATGAAGCCGTTGGAGGAGGCACCATCGTGCGAGGCTTGCGGCTGGTGCGCGGATGACATATAGGTGAGCGCATACTCAGGCCTCAATATGACTATAGCTGATCTATCTAGGCAACAGAGGTAGTTGTCAATTTGGGGAGCGCAAAGAGGAGGGAGTTCAATTGTCCAGTTCACGTCCCTTGTTTCACTTCTCCTTTGTGTCCCGCTCTGCGTCTCCTCGCCTACCCAATCGCCTTCATACTGATCTTCACTGCTCACATACTGTTGCGATACTAAGCAAGTCCATCGAGATGACGAACCCGAGACTGCTGCCTGAGATCTGGGGTCTGGTGTTGTTCCATCTCCGCCAGCCGCTACCGGCACCGACAGGCAAGAATGAGGGGGTCAGTATTCGCCAGCCTGACCTTGCCGCTTGCATGCGCGTCAACAGGGTAAGCCAGGATCTCCTCATACCATTCGTGAACAAGCTGACGTATTCAGCTTTTCTACGATATCACCGGCCCCCTTCTCTACACCACTATCATCAGCGATCACCTCCCTTCCCTCGTCTCTCACCTGCACACCCCTGCCGCCGCTCCCGACCTCAAGTCCAAGACGGAGCTCCTTTCTTCTTGTAAGCACCTCTATCTGGAGTACTGTCAGAAGGACGAATAGACCTATACCACCCTTCTCAACCACGGCGGATCATTCTACCTTTTGGTCGGCTCCACCCAATCGATTTCGGACAGGTCGGCATTTGGGAAAGCGGAGACGGTGTGGCTTGGGGAGGCGGCAGTGAGCCTCAATCGGTTGATGAGGCAGCTGAGGACTCATTCGAGTGGAGCGATGTTGGGTGGGCAAACAGAGTGGTGGAAGCCTGTATGGGAGGACTGGCGGGAGACGGACCCGGACATGGAGCAGCAGGTGAATCAGACGCGCGACCGTGTGTCGCAGCTCTTCAGCCACTGCGCAGGCGCACGCCCACGCCCACGCACCGTAGCGGTGATGTGCCAGCGAGTCGAGTATGGGCCGCTCACCTATGCTCCCCTGCTTTGGCCCTGCAGAGCACTGGGATCTCGCACGCACATTGACGCAGTGCCGTGCGGGGAGATACCGCCGGTGATCGGCGGACTGGCGAGGTGGTATGGGGAGTACACTGGCGTGACTGAGGGGCCGGTGGACACCAAAGCCGTCGACCAGCTCGTGCACATCATCGGGCGGCATGTCCGCTACCGACTCCAAATGTCCGACTATCGGGGTGCCGTGGACAGCAAATTCGAGGTGGACATCTATGTCCCGCCGGTATTTCTCCGCCCCTCGGTCGCGGACTACTTTTACGAGAACATGGAGCGAAGCTTAGGCGATGTGGTCAGAGGGCCAGGTCAGTCGACACCCGTGATCAAGGGGGACAGTTGGCGTCTCAAGCCATTAGTAGAGGCACCGCCTTGCGAGGCATGCGGATGGTGCGCGGATGACCTATAGTTGAGCCTGTCCTGAGATCTCGCTATGAGTCGGGCTGATCACCTCTAGTCGATGAGTAAGATGAGGTGATAGGTGTATGTAGTTGGAGATGTTTGCATAATCCCGAACACTGCCCGTCTAGCCTTCTTGCGCATTTTCCCTGGACTGCTAGTAGCCTCGTCGTCTACTTCTTCTTGTCGTATACCGAGGTGATGACGTCGTCCTCAGCAACTGCCTGATCAGCTCTTCATCCCCTTCTCCTTAAAATCAACAAGCTCACCATTCAACAACAGACTCTTCGAGTCGAGCATGACTCTATTCCCACTCGCGCTCAGCGTCGTCGCAATCTCCCTCGCCGCCTCCAACCTCCTCAGCTGCAAGAATCCCTTATTACTCCTGACCGCCTCCCCAATCAATTCCGCCGCGCGCGCCTCTCCCTGCGCCCGAACAATGATACTCTGCTTCTCCTGGATCGCCTGGTCGACGAGGAAGGCGGCGCGCTGCGCAATCTGCTGTGCGACCTGCTTGGCCTCGACGGCGTGGGTGAATTCGGGCGAGAAGGCGACGTGCGTGATCGAGACGTCGTCGAGGATGAGATTGAAGCGCCGGGCGCGGCGCGTCAGGTTCTCGCGTACGAGCCGGGAGACCATCTCGCGCTGGGTGATGAGCTGGCTGGCGTTGAATTGAGCCACGACGGATTTGAGGACTTCGTTCACAATGGAAGGGAGGACGCGCTCGTCGTAGTCGGTCCCGAGCTCGCGGTAGCTGATGTGTGAGCTGTAATCCCCGTTATCCCCAGCGGGTATGATTGTCAGCTTACATGGTGGGCAAGTCCTGGACAGATGGCCTAGAAAGGACACGGCAAGTGATATTGACCTGTACAATCAGGTACTATCCCTCGACGACTCATACCCCCGCAAAGTTGAGCTCACCATCTGCAAGTCCTTGGTACCCGTCAACGAAGCGATATTCCTCGGCTTGGCCCTCACATCGTAAATGATGGGCGATTCCAACCAGGGCAGCTGTGAGATCAGGTACGATCCTTTCTGAACCCTTCCCCTCCAGTATGGACGAGCTGCTTACCACCAAGTGCGTCCCTTCAGGGTATATGTCCGGCCTGATCCCATGCAGACGTGAATACTTGATCGCTCGATGTCCACCATCGACTAGCATCGTCAGCTACCTCCCTTCTCTCTTCTTGTTTTCATCGATCGATGAGGCAGAGGACGTACCGTTGAACAACGAAGAGTTGAGCAAGAGCCCACCCCCAGCCAGAGCAATCAACAAACCCCCACCAGCAAGCGCACCGCCCGTAGGCAGCCCGCCGCCTCCGCCTGCTCCTCCGCCGCCACCACCACCTCCACCGGCGGCGCGAGACGCCTGGAGGCGAGCCCGTTTCAGCTGCTGTGCGAGCTTGGCGAATGCTTCTCCGCCTGATCTGTTCATTGTGCTTCTGTTGAGTGATGTAGAGGAGGTAAAGAGCTGGAAGGGTCGATCGAGATGTATGGGAGAAGTAAGAGGTGGATGGGCGAGGATCGGGGCGACGCTGAGCGGCCTGGATTTCGGCAGAGGGGAAATGCCGTTACGTAATTGGCATGCCTCGCAAATCGCACGCGCGCGCGGACCGGTGCTCGTCTAGCTGCTATTACAAGCTCCACTGAGGTAATGTCTAGGCCCATATATACGTGCAAATAGGCAAGAATAAGAACACGGTCAGGTATCGGGACACTCTCTCACAAAATGCGATATACATGATATCATCTCGGTCATCCCGGCCCTCTAGCTTGCGCCGGTATCGCCCAAGCCACATCACGCCCTCCCCTGTTCCCCCTCCTGCCTCCCATCTCATCTCTACTCCTTCTTCTCCTCACCCGCCTCCTCCTTCTTCACCTCAGCCTCAGCCTGCTCTTCCTTCTTCACCTCCGGAGCCGCCTCGACCTTCTCGTCCGTCTTCTCCTTGACGGCAGCGTCGGTAGCCGAGGTGTCGACCTTGGCGGGCTCGGTGTCTGCGGATGCGGGCACGGGGGCGGCGTCGGTGGTGGTGGTAGGCGCAGGGGCAGGAGTGTGGGTGGATGGGGCGGTAGCGGCGTCCCTAGGTGGTCAGCTGGCTTCTCGGAATCAGGTCCTTTTCAGCTGAACCTATAATACTTACTCGTTCACCTTCTCTTCCTTTGGCTCCTCGGTCTTCAGAGCCTCCTCCTTCTCCTTCTGCGTCAGCTCTTGTGCATGAAATTGTACACCAAACAGCTCACAGCAACAGGCACAATCTCCGCCTCCTCCTCGTCCTCCGCATCTGACTCGGCAGCTCCACCGCCCGAAGCGGCGTTCTTCTCCTGAGCAGACTCGAAAGCCTCCTTGAACAGGTTGGCGTCTGGACTATCAGCTATGCCCTGGTGACATGCTTCTTGTGTGGGCGAGCTCACTCTCAGCGGTCCCAAATCGGATAGCGAGCGTCTCGGCCGTCGGCTCCCCTTCGGCATAATCGGCACTCGCGTTCCAGACCCACGAACGGTCCGACCCGACGTTCGGCGAGAGCTTCATGTCGGCGGAGACTGAGAGTCAGCTCACACCTCGGTCGCTGCGGTACGAGAAGGGGAACTGACTAAGGTGGTTGGCGCAAACCTTCAACGTCTTGTCCCGACGCATCACCAGCCTGACCTTACCAGTCTGCTTGTGTGCGAGCAGGCGCACATCTCCTGTTCCGCGCTCTTTCCATTCCAGGTCGGTCTTGACGAACCGGAAGAGCTTTGCGCGCCTGAAGGATCAGCGCGGGCCTACCAAAGGATCCCAGCTTCTGCGCCCCGTCCCGCCTTGCTCTTGCTTGCCCGACCCAGATACGTCCCGCTATAATTGTGATGATCGTAAACCCACATCTTGAAGAGAACATCCTCGTCCTCCTCGTGTGTCTTGGCCTCGACCTGCTCGGTCAATTTGAGGACCGGCTCGAATTGGGGGTCGTGGGAGTCTTCCTATCAGGCGTCAGCTTCCACTCCTTGATGTTTTGCCTCCATATGTTCGGCACTTCTCAATCCCCTCGCCTCGTAGTGTGTTCCGGTCTGCATACGCGCTTCGAAACAGTGCAGACGAGACGCAACCCTGTTCGCGCCCATTGAAGCTGAACTTACAGGGTTGACCTGCTCGTTGGTTTCCGCCATATTGATTATTTCTACCAAGATCAGCTATCGTTCCATGAGTCAAAGGTCTGGGCGTCGACAGCTGTGCCTCGAGACCTACTCTGAGATATATAGGTATAGGGAAGGTGTGGTATAAGAAGTCTGAGAGTGATCGTCGCGGTGAGGTCCTCTGAGCGCGTGCACGAGGAATGTTGGACTGGGTGAGTGTGGCGGCTCCAGTGTGGCACTCTTGGGATATAAACCATTTAACTATATTCGGGTGGCAAATTCAGGGCCGGAGCTCGGACTTGCATCTCCTCCTCTCTTCCTTCCATCCTCGGACTTGCTATTCCACTCTCCGTTCATCAACAGCAAAGCCTCCACCCACCATGTCCAGCGTCAGCGACGAAGCGCAGCGAGAGGCACTCCAGGCCGACCTGGCCTACCTCGACGTATTGCCCCGGGACGGAGAGGGGTCCGTCGGGGACACGGATGCAGCTTTAAACAGCTTGTTTGCGGCGGAAGACCTGCAGCAGTTTGCGGTCAGTGTAGGCGAAGGGGAGGATGGAGACGGGGATAAGCAGGGGCAAGGCGAGGGCGAAGGGCAAGACCTGGAGATTGATCCGGTTCTGACGATAGCGGAGGCGGCTGCTCAGGCCGATGCTCAGCTTCGGGCGGAGGACGAAGCGATGGCGGAAGCGGGAGTCGAAGACACCTCTGCCGCAGCTGCGGCCGCGGTCGGGGTCGAGCCCGAAGCGGAGCCCGAATCGACCGAGCCCCCGCCCAAACGGAGAGCGACCAGCCGAATCAACATGCTGGCGCGAGGCGCAGCGTGCGACTACTGCAAGCGCCGCAAGCTCAAGTGTTCGGCGGAACATCCGAGCTGTGCGGTGTGTAAGCGGCAAGACAGGCCGTGTGTCTATCTTCAGAAACCGCAAAAGTCGCGGGTCAAGGTATTGGAGGATAGGCTGGCGGAGCTGGAGAAGAAGCTCGGGAGCAGCGCTGCGGAGGGTGGGGAGACGGCGCCGGCATCCCCTCAGCCTCATGTCCAGGCGCAGGCGGGTCCATCAGGATCGACGCACACCCCGAGCTCGTATCCTGGAACGATCTACGCTCTCGACCCGGCCACTGGGAGTACGGGCTCAACCTTCATCTCGCCCCTCGCTCCCCCGCCGGAGGGAGACGAGGGCGATCCCGAGGGCTTCACCTACTCGGACGGACTCGATATCGGCTTTAACCTCGACATGCTCACGGGCAAAGACGAAGAGCCGGACCTCATGACCCTCGCGGACGCGGCGACGCATGACCGAATCGAGGCGGGTGGAAAGTACCCATGGGTCGGGATGGGCGCTGAGCAGATCGCAAGAGAGATCCTGGCTGCTGTGGGCGGAAGCAAAGGTGTTGGCGAGAAGATCGTCTTGTTCCTGTGAGCTTACGCGTTCCTGCGACGCCTTGGCTGGGCAGCAGCTGACATACAGACTCCAAGCGTACATCAGCCCCCGTAACCCGCAAACCAGCCTCGCGATCCTCGACCCATCCACTATCCTCTCCCGCCTCAACCCTCGCTCTTCATCACCCCTCCACCCCGCTCTCATCCTATCCATCATCATCCTCGTCCTCCCTCTCCTTCCCAGTTCCGCCCTTCCCCCTTCTGCCCCTACCGCCATTGCTACAGCCCTCCTCAGTCCCGCACGCACCTACTCCGCCCAAGCCTACTCCACCGGCGACCACCGCCTCCTCGACGTTGTCGCTGCGCAAGCGATCCGCGCGATTGCATTCTTCCAGGAAGGTCGGTTCCTGGATGGATGGGCGGAGACGAGTGGGTCGGCCGCTCTGGCGTGGGCGTGTGGACTGGGCAAGCTGGGAGGGGTGGGACAGAGGTTTCTGGACCCTGAAGAAAGGGGAGAGGGGTGGGAGGAGAGATGCAAGCGGGAAGAAAAGCTCAGGGAGTGGAGGTATAAGGGGGTGGTGGTCCAGCCGCCGAAGGATAGAAAGGAGTATGCGGAGAGGGTCAGGCTGTTGTGAGTTGTGCTCGAGACGGTGTGTCCAAGAAAGGCAGAAGCTGACGCTCTAGTTGGGCGATCTATATGCTCGATCGGGGTGCCGCTGTTGGGTGGGGATGGCCATCATGTGAGCTGGCTCCCAACGACACAGACTGACCGAGCTTATATATCAGCCTTCAACGATGATGAGATTACCACACCCTTCCCACTTGAGTCGTATGATACCGTAAGTCAGCTGTCGGGAGCTCGGACGCAAGAAGCCCATAGCTGACTCCGCAGTCTGAGAGCCTTCGGAACATGTCCACGCTCAAAGACTTCCTCAGCTCCGATGTCCAGTCAGGGCAGGATGACTCGGTGTTCTGCACCCAGCTCAAGGCGTTCACGCTCCTGTACAAGGCAACCAGGTGAGCTCGCCACTGCGTTCAGCCTTGCGCTAGCATAGCTCATAATTCAGGCTGTTCGATAACGACTCGGCCACTCCCGAAGAGACTCGCAATATCTTGTCCATAGCGCAGCAGTACAGCTCGTCCATGACCCCCGTCTCCCGTCAGGGCAGTGGGGAGTGGGGGATCAAGCAGGGGCCTGTCAATGCCAATTGGATGACACTGCACGCGTAAGCTGTCTGACTAAGAGGCGAGTCTAGCTGATCATCATCAGGGTCATGTTGCTCATTCACGGCAAAGAAGCGGTCGACGCGTCTTGCGCCGACGACACTGCGGCTGAAGTTCATGCGCTACAGAGCTGTATAGCGGCGAGTCGGAAGGTCGTGGACTGTGTGGAGCTCGCAAGGGACATGGGGGACTTTGCGTTCGGTACGTTCTCATCCCTCTTCAGCTGATTGGCTCCGCTCATCTCGCATGGCACTAGCTGATACGATATAGAAGGCTACGATCTCACTTGTGCGACAGTATGGTCCATCGTCGGTCGATCGGCCTATAAACTCGAAATGCGACTTAGGGTTGAACATGCCCTGAGAGAAAAGATGGGGATGGGGTCGATGGAGGAGAGTAGGGAGGTGGGTGATAAGTTGTTGGAAGCGCTTAGGGTCATGGTGAGTTTGATTCTGCCGGACGGAGGAAGATCAAGCTGACCATTAGGGGAAGAGGATACCTTATGCGGCAACTTGTGCGCAGATCTTGGAGTGAGTGCTTCTCCGCTAGGTCTAGTATGGAAGAGGGAGAAACAGGGATAGAGATGGTGGTGGATGGGAAGGAAGGGGAAAGAGCTGATGAGGCAGGAATATCAGTTTGGGCGTCGAAGGTAAAGTTGGGGAATGGGTCAGGCCGGATTGGACCCGACCTTGATGGACTAATTGTGGGACAGTAATCAGGGGGGGACACGATATATACATGTGTATGATCAGAGGCTCAACATCTACAGATGAATCGGGAATGTAAGGGAAATTCATGGGGAACGGAGATTGGATATCGATGATCAATGATGGCTGGAGATAGGGTGGACTGAAAAGTTAGCATTGCTTACAGTTACTCACTGGCTGACGTACTCGCTGACACGCTGGACGGGAAGAGTGGCGGGAGCTGCTCAATTGGTGTCATGTTTGACGCTGTCATGGGCAGCGTCAAGCGGCGGGGTCACCGGATCCGCCGTCGGCCGCTTCGGCCTCCTCCCTCGCCTGCTCGTCCTGCTCCTTCCGAGCAAGGAGTGCCGCTCCGAAGGCCGATGTAGGGTCCGTATTCATGTCCAGCGAGATATCGACGGTACTTGTGAATCCATTCGAGGTGTATGTGCCGTTGGGGAAGAGCGAGCCTTGATGCGTGACTGTGCCGTCCTGATCCACTGCATCAGAGTCAGCTAAGAACCCCTGTGTACCAGTACAGACACAGATCGATCTTTCAGCCTCTCAGGTCAGTGCACCATGACTCACCCAATTCGACCTCCATGTGATCCATCACCTCCGCGTGAGGCGGCCCTGAACAGAAGATGTGGTAAAAAATCTCGGACCCATCTGCGAGCTGTCGGTGGGTCGTCCGGCACGTGATGATGCTGTGGTCCGGGGGATCTGGAGTGCAAGCGTGAGGCATAATGGCGTTGATGGTCGTGGAGAGGGGGAGCAAGTGGACAAGACGATCAGTGTATGGTGTATGAGGTGCAGGAGGATGGAACAGGTGAGACAGAGGCAGTCTGGACCCAAGGATTTCGACCTTTATATCTACTGGAGTGGGGTCGTAGACCTCCGCGGCCCCCAATGGACATTGGACAGGACCGGGGGTAGTCTACTGAAGGGATTGTAAATGACAAACGCAATCGCCGTATGTCGAACGTGTATCATCATGACTTTAGTGGCAACTTGGCGGCACTCAGGGGAAATTGAGTGTAGGGATGGATGCGTGAGATGTTCGAATTTAGCTCGAGTCAAAGGAGGAAAGTGCGGGTGGCGATGCTAGCCGCGAAACTCACGATCAGAGTTCAAGGGCTACGGCTGAGTAGCCTCAGCAGGGTGGCAAAAGGTGATCACGGACACGGCGACACCGGTAGACCCCTCTTTATCGTCCGAGCCATTGCCATCTCAGCTTCCGCTGTGAGGAGTACATGCTCCTTTTGATCGCGGAGACGAATAGCAAAAGAGGGAGTCAAGGACTCGAGTTAGCTGAGCAAACGGAGGACTTGACATGTCAGTCGAAGCGGATCGATGTGGCTCAGGACGACAAGGTCACTGCGCGACGAGATATGTCAAGATCTTGAGAGAGCAGGAAGAAAGGGCTGTCTGGATCTGAGCTCGTGGAGAGTGAGAGTTGAATGAGTGGGATTGATGTGGTATAGTTCCTTCATACAGCAAATCTGCTCAGTGATCTCGGCGGATGAGCACGTAAGTCACGTATACGTCGAGGCGCTCAAGACCTCAAGCCGACCTCGAGACGTAAGGGAAATTCAGTGGATAACAATGGTGAGCACTCGTCACTTCTCTTTACTCTCGTGACTCGTCATCTGGGAGCTGGGTATCGGACCCAACACCACCCGAGCTGGAACTGGCACCGCCACCATGTCCAGGCTCTTGCACCGTGGTCCCCAAAAACGCCAAGTACTCCTCTTCAGATGCCTTCTCTGTTTGTCGGCAAGCCAGCCTATGCGCCTCCTTGAATGTGTGGTGTAGGTCCGAGTCCAGAGTAAGCTTGACAGGAATTTTACATTTGGATATCCCCTCCTTATAGTTGCCCTGCGTATCGAGAGACGCCCACAAATTGGTTGCGCCATCGCTATCCGGATCCGCTGCAGCTACGTCAGTGGGCCTTAGCCGTGAGATGTCAGGTGCAGCGCAGTGGACGTAAGCTCACAGTATTCCACATCCACGCGGACCAGCAGTCTGGGCTCAGTGCTCGTGGCTCGGGTGGTGTATTGATGGTACATGATGGAAGGGGTAACCTGGTCGCGGATCGTCTCGTAAGTGAGACCTTTGTCCGGGTGAGCAGGAGCAGGAGTGATGATGGAAGGGGAAGACATTGTCTGGGGCCGCAGGTCGACGGATGGAGCACAAGTGAACGGAATAAGCTGGGCGGAATTCGTGGTAATCAGTAAGTGGCCGCAAATTCAGTATCATCAGGTATGAGAATGAGGAGGAGGAGGCGGAAATATCCATTCACATCCCTGATCCAGGGGTGGGCTGTCAGTCTCCCACGAGCTGAATACGTGCAGGATCTGGGAGTCATGCCTGAAGGGAAGGCAAACGACAGCCACAGTGGCGACATGTCGAACGTGTATCGAGCCTCCAATGGTCATTGTCAGTGGCGGGGATGGTCCTGCAAGGATGGATGCATGCAGTGTTCGAATTTAGCTTGAGTGAAAGGAACAAGTGGCTCATGCGATGCTGGCATGTCCTGGGCCGACTAGTGGGCACCGTCTGGTTTGATGAGACCATCTGGCATCGGGGCTGTATAACAGGCAGGTGGCGAAAGCCAAATAAAATGTGCCCGGGTGAGGAGGATCACCGAGCCCAGCTTGCAGTCTGTGGGGAATGGCCTGGGTATGAGATCGGTTGAAAAATTCAGTGGCAGAGTACAGAGCCGGCACCTGGATCCCAGAATCTGTCACGAGCAGAGATGTGAACAGTGCCCCATGCGCGCGTTAAATGCACAGCACAAATTACTAAGCTCGGTTGACCTCGAGACCCTATGGATGCCTTCAGATTCAGAAGTCGGGACGTACGACAAGGATGTGTCTTTGACAGCCACTGGACTAGATGTTCTGATCCTTGTACTGCAGCTGCTGGATACATGATGTGTGAATAAGGGATCAAGGAGAGGATAAAAGCTCTCAAGAGGGAGGCACATCTGCGCCATTAGCCATGTACAACCCAGTGTGGGCTCCACATGTACAGCCCGCTAGCGTGGTCTCGCTTCGAAGCAACTGCGCGCGCGAGTTATTTCAAAGACATACCTGCAAGTCCTCAGTGGCGGTGAGTCGTGACAGAGCCTTCAGCAGCGGGCGCCTCGAGCTCAGCAGGCTCAGTCGCAACGTCAGACGTCACGTGGATGACCTTTGCGACCAAGACCCCGAGGTGAATCTCCATCATCGCCGCCTGGCCATTGGCGCGCTGGATTTTGGCCACCTCTTCCTGGTCGTTTTGGACACTGATTAGAGCCAGCCTCACACGGGTGCGCAAACTCTCCATCTCAGATATCTACACAGCAGATGAAACGTAGAAATCGGCATTGGAATTGGTGGACGCTTCGAAGGTGAACTCCCCGTCCGGCTCTGATGTCCGATCAGCTACAACTCTTCCACTCCCCTTCACCTCTGTGAAGGCGTGGTCAGACGGCACTCACTGGTGGTCCCAATCTCCATGGTCGAATGCTTCGAGACGGGTGGGTTGCGAGGCCAGTATCGGTATGTATTGCCATGTCCGTCCTGGTAGTCCTCGTAGGCGCTTCCGGCTTCGGTGAGATCTGCGGAACCAGTAGTGCGAGTGAGCTGCAGGGACATCGTATCGTGCGGCTTGGTGAATGATCACGTTCAGGGATATGGATCTGGTGGAGATGAGCGATAATTCGCAGGTGTCTGGTCGGAAGTGGATAAAGTCAGACGGGGCGGTATGGGCGCTGTCAGCGGGCGCTTTATAGCCCTTCATGTATTACTCAGCATTGTCGACCCCTCCCGACTTCACCCGAGTACCTCTAAGGATAGACCCGTAATACGGGATGAACCAGCCCGCTCTGAGACGAGTATCGCGACGTGATTGCAACGTGAACGGCAATCTGACGAAGGGGCCAGCTGATCAATGGAAGGGAGGCCGGCGTGTTTAGAAAACATTGGAGAAAGGAGCAGAGTGAGCTTGACGATGCTGACCGCTTCCACGGGATCGTGCGCAAGCAGGGCGATTCTGCGCCTAGCAGTGAGCATGACAGGACCGAGTCGTTAGTACAATGAAGATCAATTTATCTGGGAGTCATGGGGGACAACCCTTCCAGTCTTCGTCGTGCGACATACATGCACTCGACAGTATACATTGACGGGCAATGACGGGATTGCGCAGCAGAGCGGTAGGTCACCAAACAGGTGAGTGATCGTTTCATGATTGTGAGTGGCACAATTCGAGCCGGATGCCTGATCAGTACTCTGCCTGATCAGTACTCGAGTATGGCCTTATCTGAAGCCTCTACAGCATTATAATCGAGCCTGAGACTATGCCCTCCAGATCGCTTGTTCGTACAGACCCTCAGAAGACTGATCAGATTCAGCGATAAGCCGAGACTTGTTCTTTCCCTGATCCACGATGCCCCGTCTTCCCGTCCGCACTCTACAGCGCCGTGCCCTGCCACCCCAGCTTCTCGCCCAGCAGATCAGGGGTCTCCCGCCACCGCATGAAGATTGGTGATACGATGCGACGATGGCGAGCGAAAACCGAGCTGATGTCAAGGGAGCTAGACCCATCAGCTGTACTTCCGAGCTGCAGGTGCAGAACGACTCACTTCGTACCATATCTCGGTCCCTTATCTTGCATTCACCTCCTCGCCTTCTTACTCCCGGACGCCTGCATCCCGCCAGCCTTATCGTTTACCTCCGCCGCCTCGTCATCGCCGCCTTTGCGCTTTCGCGTCTCGGCCTCCTCCTTGAGCTTCTCTATCTCCGCCTTGGCCTTCTCCAGTTCCGTAATGATCCTCTCTTGTTTCATGACCGCCTGCCCCAGCGCCAGCTCCGCCGCCTCTGCCCTCTGAATGATCGACAGCTTTTCCGCCTCTCGGGCCGTCGCGTCGGCCAATATCTGCGCCGCCTTCGCCTCCCGCTCCTTCGCTAGGTTCCGCTCCCGATCGACCTTGTCGCAGGCGTGCTGAAACCTGTAACCTGCCATTTGTATGTCTGTCACTAGGTCCATGGGTACTTGAGCTACCAGCGTGGGGATTTTTGCCGCCCGCTCCAGCAGGCTCGTAATTGCCTTGAGTGACTCGAGAGTAGGCACCGGCCCAGCGTCTTTCTTTGGCGGCATCTGAGATAGGATGGTGCTGGATGCGTGCGTGATGGAGTGAGCTGATTGTGCGACAGCTGGTGTGAAGATGAGAGAGCGTGAACAAGAGGACTTCTCTTCACGTGGCGCTCGGCATCTTCGGCCCGAGCCGCGGAGAAACCTCGGAGGATACTTGAGGCTATCAGCGCTCCACCCGCAGAGCCAAAAAGTCGCCCTAAAGATGACCGTCCCCACCCTTGTGGACACCAGGCTCGATAGCGCGTATCGCGCCGATCGTGTGAATGCACTTCTATCATCTACAAGCAGAATGAGCAAGTTCAAGGAGGAGTTCCCGGCGGTCCCGCTCGACTCGCCCCTTGGGTCCGTCAAGGAGGATGTCATGGACAAGGACAAGCCGGATCCGATCGAGCTTGTTCCGCTGGATCCGGAGGCGGCTGTGGTGGAGGAGCACCCGAGGTTGTCTACGCCGAGGATCGTAGCGCTGGCGGCGGGGATGATGATGACGTTCTTTGTTGGCGTGAGTGGTAGACTGGGCGATAGTGCACGATCTGGAGGAACGGGGATCCCTTCTTGTGACTGACCGGGCGAAGGCCGATTGGCGGGTCCAAGCGAGCAGTAGCTGACTCAACTGATAGTCCGCTTCCACTGCTTCGGTGATCTTGCTCATCCCAAGCATGGCGCGAGACCTGAGGGAAACGGAACTTCAGACCCAGTGGATCTCATCTGCCTACACCCTCGCATTCGCATGGTACGTCCTCCTGCATCCAGCCACAGCCCTGCTGATGGTCTAGCGGTCTGCTATTCGCAGGTAGGCTAGCAGATATCTTCGGACGGAGAAGACTGTACATGTTCGGCGTGACAATCTACACTATATTTTCCATCATCACTGGATCTGTCAAGGTGGGCATAGGCTTTGACCGCAGCTGACGATAGAATCGGATAGCGATGTGCGTCACGCGAGCGATCTCAGGACTAGGGATGTCAATAGCCCTTCCTGCTGGCTTTGGGATCGTCGGTACCAACATCAAGCATGAACCAGCGCGGACCATCGTCTTTGCTACATTTGGTGAGTCTCTAAGTCGGCCGGAACTGAGTTTAGGCCTCGGCAACCCTATCGGAGCGGCATCAGGCAGTCTACTCGGAGGCGGTATGGCCAGCATAGGTGCTGGAGCTTGGCAGTATCTCTTCTACCTCCTCGCTGGGATCGTCACCCTCCTCGGCGTCGCATCATACTTTATCATCCCGCCAGATAGGCCCAATCCGACTGCGGACCGCCGTATCGACTGGCTCGGAGGGGCCTTGGTCACCGCCGGAGTCTTCCTCTTCACATTCAGTCTGACCGAGTCTGGACATGCGGTAAATAGCTGGAGAACACCTTGTGAGTGCTGAGACCGTCTGGCGCTGATGTAGACGTACCCGCCTTGCTTGCCACTTCGATTGTTCTCCTCGTGCTGTTCGTGCTGTGGTCCAGGTATCTCGAAAACCACACCGACCGGCCGCCGGTCATGAAGATGTCTCTCTTCTCTCGGCGACATGGGCTCGTCAGCATCATCTGTATTACCAGTACCTGCCAATCTACCGCGGTGTCTTCCTGGGTATATACCACGACCATCTTCTACCAGAAGTACAAGGGACAATCGCCATTCCAGAACTCGATATCCATTCTTACGACCACAATTATGGGCGTTGTCGCAGCTGTAAGTCTTACGATTGGCCATAGCTGATCATAGCTCGGTGTAATGCTTCTTGCGCCCAGAGTGCACGCCAGGATCTTATTGCCGTCCACAGCGGTGCTCACTGCGTATGTCCGGAACCGAGCTCAGCTGATGATAGCTCGACCATGATTGCTTATGCAAACTGGCCAGAAGGTCTGACTTTCTGGGCGTTGGAGTTTCCCTCTCAGATTCTGACTCCGTGGGGGATCGACTTGTGAGCTTGATTTCTGCCAAACTGATCTGCGAATTCAGGCTGACTAGGACAGTACCTTCGGCCTGGGCAACATCATGATGTCCAACCTGATCAATCAGTAAGTCCACCCTGAGACATAGCTAATGATTCAGAAACGAGCAATCAGTAGGCGGTGCTCTCTTTCAGACCTCGGCGCAGGTCGGCCTCGCGCTCGGTATCTGCCTCGCCTCGCTCATTAACTCGCAAGTCGAGGAACAAACGGGAAATGTATTGAAAGGTTGTCGTGCAGGATTCTGGTTCGGATCAGCTATGGGTATCTCAGGTACGTATATCGCTGGGAGTGAGCTGATGAGCAGTGGTTATAATAGGGGCTATAGGGTTTAGGAAGGTCAAGCTGGCCAAGGATGTGGGGAAGTTGCCATGACCCGTGACGGGTGTAGTAGTTGAATCAATGTTTAGGATCTATGTATCAATAACAGGCGGTCTCGCTTTACCCCGGCTTCTGATCACCCATACTGCCCGGTCAGCTATGTAGCTGTCAGGTCCTACGATGCGCCCTGCGTCTACCCCTTGTCAGAGGGAGACAGCATGATGTCGCCACCCAGCGCCCAGCGCCCAGCCAAAGCGGGATTCGCCGCCGATAACGTAACCCGAATCGGCAGCCGATGCGTGTGCGCCTTTGCAGTTCTACAGAGTGAACATTCCGATCTCTACCTCTGTCACCTCTTGATTATCCTATCATTCTACCCGCCCCTCTGCTGCAGCCAGCAGACTCATCTGATCCGCCACCTCGTCAAAGTATAGCAACCGAAATGGCGTTCGCCCAAAACCTCTCCAGATTGATAGGTTAGTGATCGATACTTTCGGGCGGCGCTGGATTCGGCATCGCTTTACGCTCGATGTTACGCCATGATGGACGTGGACGAGCGGTGGGCTTGGCCGGAACGCTGGCAGCAGCATAAGACGACGACTTGAGGGGAGCACCGCACTGGGACAGCAGCCAGATCGACGGAGAGGCGGACAGCGATGATTTGAACTCTGTGAATCTTCAGACTCACATGCTGATCCCCCAGTTCCCGTCGCTCTCGGCGCCACCCTTGTCCAGTCTTCGCTGTACGATGTACCAGGAGGGTACCGAGCTGTTCTCTTCGACCGTTTCTCAGGTGTAAAGCCCAATGTGAGCTGTTCGCCGTCGACGGTACGGGATGTAGCTGACCTTTCAGGCGTCCGGAGAAGGCACACACTTCCTCATCCCCTTCATCCAGCGCGCGATCCTGTATGATGTCCGCATCAAGCCTAGAGTAAGCTGACTCCTTTTTCATCTGTACCATTGAAGGCGAAGCTGATCTGGCAGAATATCTCCACTACGACCGGATCGAAGGGTGAGCTTCTGCTTTCCCGATGATTTTGGGGAATCAAGCTGATACCGCAGACATGCAGATGGTCTCTTTGACACTTCGTGTTATGTCACGGCCGGACACGAGCCAGCTTTCCAAGATCTACCAGAACCTTGGACAGGATTACGACGAGCGTGTATTGCCGTCGATCGGGAATGAAGTGTTGAAGGCGACGGTCGCGCAGTTTGATGGTGAGCTCGAAGGCTTGTATAGCTGCGAAGCCAAAGCTGACTATCAGCCTCTGAACTCATCACCAACCGAGAGATCGTCTCGGCTCGGATCAGGGACGATCTCCTCACCCGCGCCAAGGAGTTCAACATTCTCCTCGAGGACGTCTCGATCACACACATGACATTCGGAAAGGAATTTACCACCGCCGTCGAGCAAAAGCAAATCGCACAGCAGGATGCCGAACGGGCCAAGTTCGTCGTTGAGAAGGCGGAGCAGGAGCGGCAGGCGGCTGTGATCAGGGCAGAGGGAGAGGCCGAGGCTGCCAATACCATCTCGGCGGCGATCAATAAGGCTGGGGACGCGTTTGTGCAGTTCAGGAAGATCGAGGCTAGCAGGGAGATTGGTAAGTCTCACAGCCAGGCGCGCAGGGGGATAAAGCTGATATCCCAGCGAACACGCTCAGTCAGAGCAGGAACGTTTCGTATATCCCGAGCTCCAGCGGGAACATGCTCATTCAGGTACCGCCTCAGCAGGGATAGGTGTAGTAGTTATGATGAAGTATGCAAACCTGGACAACTCCGTACATAGTAGCCAGCATCATGGTATTGAGCACGGGCCCGTGCAAGCCCACGAGGAGAGGTGGTCGCGGCGGACTAAGCCGTAACTAAATCTCGGAGCTCGGTTGCTCCACCGCATTCCTTGCAGCGTTACACCTCAACTCCCCTTTAGCGAATGAGCTATCTGTTTCACATCACACGGTTCAGATGTAACGTCCACCGTCACGCTGACGCACCGCCACCATCGGCGGAACGCGATAGCAGGCTAGCGCGCCTCATTAATGCGATGACGATCCGCTGCCGCCTTCTTAGCCAGGCGGGATGTCTCACCGTCATACAAACTCGGGGGAAAACGGCGAATATGGTGTCCCGCCTCCTCTTCTTATCCGACTGGACAGCGGCGAAGTTATAAGCGGATCCACCCTTTCGATTCTGCTCTTCTTCTTCGACCTTGTGTTCACTGATCCTTCACACGGTGCCGTTCCAGACCCCCAAGCAAAGCCTTCACTCCCCTCTTCCACCCTTCTCTACTACACCGCCCTTTTATCACTCAACCCACAATGAGCTGTGCGCCGACCCCTGGATCCTCTAGACCGCATAAGCGGCAGCGAAGGTATGTCCTCTGCTCTTATGGACGCAAGATCGAGGCAGAAGTTGGCTGATGCATTTAGTACGAATGCGGGCCCGACCCCATGGCCAGAACCTATCATGACTGATCGTCGGTCGGAATCGGCGGAGGATACGAGCAGGTATACTCCAGTATACGGGCAGTAGTGAGTTATACGCCGTCCTAGTGCGCGCAGTAGGAGAGGGATTACAGCTAACTATACCAGTCTCCCTGACATCGCTCACGCAGAGCGGGCACCCACGCCGCTCTCCAGTCCCACACGGCCTGGAAGTAATCCCTACAACGAGCCCGATACTCGCCGCGCTTCTACTCCCACTTCTGCCAGCTCTCCTACTTCTGCGAGCTCCTCCCGTTCGACCTTCTCCGCCTCGCAGCTTGACCAGATCGCCGAAGAGTACCTGACGCCCGGCTCTGCGCTCGCAGGCATGCTATTACGCGTCGACGAAAATGGGTATGATCCAGCACCTCCTTATTACAGAGTCAAGTGGGTTTCTCTGAACATCTCTTTGGTTGAACGAGGTGAGCTGACAGCCACACAGCCCCAACCCGGAGCTACCCGCGGTCATTAACCACGACAATTATGCAGGGTTTGCTGGGCCCTCGATCGGCATCGACCCCCGCTTATTTCGCCCTCCGCAGTACAGTCACCCCGCCGACCACACGGACCACTCTCATCCATTGGCGCCATCCGAGCGCCCACCTGATCTTGGTTTCGAGTGAGTATCGCTTTTCGTGCTGAAGTATGTTCACGTGCTAACGAGATCAGTCCCGCCCACCGGATCTTCCTCGCCAACATGCTGCAAGCGCAGCTCGCTCAGATGGACGCGATGCGCAGACACAACCGCCTCGCTGCCAACTCGGCCGGACCGCCACCGCCAATCGTCCAGGACCGCGCGTCGGTTCTTCCAATGTACGCCTCCCTGCCGGTGCACCTCCCACCCGTTCCGGACCACGTTATCGTCCCCGAGCTCAATGCTGTGTCGGAGCGGTCCCGCGGGAGCGTCCCCGTCCTCGATGCAGTCTGGGGCAGGTCCTGCATGACGGAAGATCTGGAGATGCCCGAGCGGCGGACTGTCTATGACTCGGACGGATTCATCCTGGACGCTCAGAGTTGCGACTTTCGTACGACCCGGCACAGGGAGTACGATTTCCGTGAGTGTTTTATGCTGGCTGATCTTGCGAGCTGAGTAGCTCATCATGTAGGCTTTCAATTAGGTGCCAAACGAGCTCGAGCTAAAGGTCCGAACCCAGCGCACATCCGGCCATTCCCCTGAGCTCGAGATGGATATAGGGGGACGCGCGGGGCAGGGGTCTCGCGAGGAGATGCTCAGTGACGACTAATACGTATAATAACCTCATACATAATGTAACCTGTCTTGTATACTACGTCAGCTGTTCGCGCCTGCTGTATGCTCGAGACGGGCGGACAGCGCGGCTTCTTATAGCTCTTCATACTCACCATGCATTGATCGGCGATATCGGCGAATGGACATGCCGGCATGAGGAATGAGGTGTTTCAGATGGCGTTTTTTTGTTTATGACATTTGGCGCTCACGCGTCCTTCGGGCGTCTAGACGGGCCACAAGGCCGTGAACAAGGTGCACCAGAGGCCAGCATATGGATGCTCACAGTGCAGTCTCGCTCTACGCATCCCGAAATGAGGGATCGTGGAGTCTCACGTTACGCTGTCCCACTTTCGACATCTGGCTCGAGTAAGCGTTCCTCGAACGTTCCTCGAGCGCGATCCGAAGGCCGCCAGACGGACGAGAATGCGCTCCCGAGTCCGGAAAAGACACAGAAGGGAGTCTTGTATCGCCCCGCGTGTCGGCTGCTGGGATTTGCCACCGACATCAATTCTGAGAGACCCATGCCGGAGTCGAACTCAGATCCTTTACTGCCATTTATTCATCATCATTAAAATAATTGTTTACATGAGCTACTAACGGTAAGAAGTGCCACTGATCATAGTGCCGATGCATCATTTTCCCGACGCGTTAGCCCAGGCGGTGTGTTTCATCGTCATAGAGAATTTCTGGGGTCTCCGGGGGGTGGCAAGAAGTGATAAGCGAAATAGCCGTTCCATCGTAACTTCTGTACTTCCCATCCATCCATCCATCCCATTTATACTGTGAAGCCTCATCATCCACCTCTCGCCATCCTCCCGAACAGCTCATACTCCGCAATGCCCAAAGAGAACAAGCCAAAGCCTAACAAGGAGGATAAGAAGCCGTACCAGAAACAGGCGTAAGTTCCGGCAAGCACCTCTTGATACGGAATGGCCATCCTGGGACCGCAGCTGACGTGCTCAGTTCAGCTGAAGCCGGTCCATCCAACGGCAAGGCTAAGAACAAGGCACCCGCAAAGAAGAAGCAGCCGACAGTCGCTGCCCAGGCGAGCACGAGCACCCCGGCCGTGGGACCTGCGGCGCCGGTTGTGTATGGGCCTCCTAAGTAAGTTTGAACTCCAGCAGCAGCAGCAGCAGCACCAGCACCAGCACCAGCACCAGCACAGAAGTAGCCTTATGCTGATGCTCGCAGCCGGGACCCCATGATCTGCATCGTTGAGTTGAAGCAAAAGATGAACTTCAATAACAACGAGCTCGTCTTTTTCGGCGGCATGCCTCGGGATGAGCTCCGGATGTGGGTATCGGACTTGCGTATGCACATCGCCCGCCATGATCAAGGTCAAGTCCAGCATGGGTCATTCGGCTCCTCGTCGTCATCGACCTCTTCCTCCACCGCAGTCGCGACCACCAACTCGGGAGCTTCGCACCCAGCCTCAGTCGCCTCCACTTCGGACCCCGCGCATGGCCAGCATGGTTCATTCGGGTCCCCATCCTCCTCCGTCTCTTCCGCTGTAGCGGCCGCGGCGGACGGCACGGTACTTTCGGACCCGTCCTCGGCCTCTGCCGATCCTACCCATGCAGAAGACCAGCCGGCCGCACTCGACTCCCCGTACCCCTCATTCCTCTCCTCCTCCGCCGCCACCGACCACCATTCGGGGCCCTCAACCCCTTCCTCGACCTTTACCAGTCCACTCCTTGCGGCGTCTAGTCCCCCTTCGACTCCATCGTCAGGTTTCTCCCCTTCGACGTCCGTGCCCAGTAGCCCGTCCGCATCGTCTCCATCCGCGTCCTCTTCGCCTTCGTCCGTTCTCGTCACGCCCACCATCGGTGGTAGGGCCCGGCTCGCTGCAGAAGACCAGGTCGTCGTCACGGAGGACTTGCCTCATATGCTATATATCCCGGACTCGCCCTCGCAGGTGCAAGTTTGGTGGGAGACCCACCCATACAAGGACATGGGGTATGAGTCGATCCGCGATATGTGGGGCGATGACGACTTGGAGTAAGACTCGCTCATCGGGTGAGTTCCATTCTTCCCTTCCTTGACTTTGCAAACATCCAGCTGACATGGCAGGTTATGCACAGCCGCACCCGTACACACAAAAAAAAGGCGGATCTATACTTGAGGGAGGTACATTGTATAGCCGTCTTCTAGTCTGAGATATGTATGCAAGAAGTAGCTTGTTGCATCGATATCTCTATCATTATAAAAAGCTAAGATTCTACCTAAGATCCCCTCATCTCCCTTCCTCCGCGCCGGCCTAGTTCCTATGTGGCACTCCCTGGACTACTTTTGGGTACGCCTGCTCAATCATCTGATACAGCCCCGGAGATCGCTCAGCGAGGACGTGTGGGTCCTCCCCGAGCCCAACAAAGATGGTGGAGACTCCGGCGTCCTGCTGAATCAGCTTGTGATCACCTTAACGGATAGGGAAACTCACGATGGCAGCACCGAGAGTGGAGCCCATGTTGATACCGATAAGGAAAGAGTACAGGATGATAGGCCTGTGGGTAAGCTACTGCTCTTACCCTGATGGTGTACCGAGAAGCTTACGCAGAGTACTGTCCACCAGAGTTGTATGCCGGGTCCGTGACTGCCAAGTCAGCTTCTCCCTCTTATCACGATCGAGCCGAAGATGCAGCTTACATCGGAGGTAGAGATACGCAAACAGTGCGCAGAGGAACCCATTCAGGTACGAACCCCACATGAGCACTAAGATATCAGCTTTGTCCTGTGTCCACGCTGTCTACCTGGCAGCACACAAAACTGACCGGATCCGACAAGCGAGTCGTTAACGAGCGCATCGACTCCGCGGTCGCACATGAGCCTCCATGTATCCTTGGCAGCGGGAATCTGGAGAGTCAGCTTGAACACCTCCGTAGCTCAGTATTGCGGATCTCCGAGCTTACATAGGCTTTGCCGTAGAGAGCTGTAGATCGTCAGCTTGAGCCTACCGCGAAACGGTGACGGTAGGGAAGCTCACCGATCTCAATGCTAAAGGGGAAGGTGGTCAGCTTCTCAGTCTACGCGTCCCATCCGGCTTTGACTCACTAGGCATCTGGACTGTCAGCTAGAAGACCGACCAAGGAGACGATTTCGCAGACTTACATTTGTTGAAGAATTGGACGAGACCGGAGATGCAGCTGATACAGCAGAGCGCCTAGGTGGTCAGCTTCCGCGTCGTCTTAAACCACCGGCGGTCAGCTTACGCAGCACGAGACGATCTGCCCAATCACTACTGGTGTAAGCTATTGCTCGATGCTCGAAAAATGACCTGAGAACTTACTATCTCCCTGACCGCTCTCATACTGGTTGATCGCCTGAACAATCAATCTAAGCAGCTCCAAAATCGTCACAATCAGACTTCCAAACGCGATCGAGCCGAGTGAAAGGGTTGTCGAGCGGATAAAGGACTTGAGAGATGCGCGCTTAGGGAGTCCTTGGCCGTTCGCTGCTCGTGGGCCGTAGTAATACCATCCTGATATATCAGCTCTTCCCGTACACTAGTCTAATTGGGCTAGCTTACCGCCATAAATCCCTCCTGCAAGAGTACAAAGGATGACATTCGCAATGACCTGGGACAACCACAAGAACGCAAACGTAGCATAAAAGATCAGACCCGCGACTTTACCAGAGGAGCAGGTGCCGTCGCAGCCTGGAGATCCCGGCGTCCACTTGACGTAGATTGCGATAGCGGTGAATGCGTACCAGACATTGACGGCGGTTTGGAGGATGAGGCCGAGGATGACGATGAGGTACACGACGGGGTGGTGCTTGGTGATGTCGATGGTGGTCTGGAGGAGGAGACGCGCAAGGGGGATGCTGATAGGATCAGCTAGGGTGCGGAGGAGGGGGAAGAAAGGTGGACTCACCGCTTGCGCATGGCCCAGTAATAGACTACCGAGATGAGGGCGATGACGAGGAAGATGACAGCGCCGGACCAATCTGCGGTGTCAGCTTTAGCTGCAGGTCAAATTCCCTGCGGGATCTGCACCTCACACTTGATATAGAAGTAGTCTGCATGGGTCAGCTGCTTTCCCAGATCGATGAGACAAGTGGAGCTCACAGATGCAGATGGCGATGTTCAGCAGAACAGTCAAAGCGAGCGAGATCTCAAGGATGATCTTGGTGAATGTCCGGACGAGCTGCATATGTCAGTTGGTCGTCCGTTGGATCCCAAAAAAGTGTCAACTCACAGCCAAGTAGAGCAGAGCAATGACAAATCCAATACCGCATGTGATGAGGAAGAGGTAGAGGGTGTGGCTGTTCGTCAGCTTGATGTACCATGGCGATGAGCACGCTATGACCTCTCTAGCTCACTAGTCCAGCGTCACAGCCGTCCCCGTTCTACCCCGACCACCTCCAACCGCCCCACCCAGCCCATTGACCGACACAAACGTCTTGATGGCGATCCCACTCAGCACCGCAAAGCCAGCAATGGCCGCAATGAAGAGCACAAGCGGGATGATATCGTTGATCCGCTTCCTAGGCGCAAAGCGAGGTCCGGTCTTTTCGTCCGCCTGCGAGAAGGGCGCAGTATCGTACGCCGCTTGTTGCTGTTGCTCGGTGTTGCCATAGTTGGCCGAAGAGAAGTTTTGCGCCTGAGGTTGTGCTTGAGACGGGGGAGGAGGCGCAGAGGGAGCCGCGTATGGCTGGGAAGGCTTCATCCCGTAGTTCTGCCCTTGGTAATCCCCGTTGCCGTTCCCGTGACCGTTGGCATGGCCGTTCTCGTGGTAGTTGGCCGGAGCACCCGCCGGAGGAGGATAGTGCTGTTGCTGCTGCTGATGAGGGGGAGGAGGCATCGAGGGAGCCTGGTAATTGCTTCCCCCGTACCCCTGCTGGGGTACCGCCGGTGCCTGATATCCTCCTCCGTACGCCTGCTGTGGCTGGCTCGAGGGCGTCTGGTAAGAGCTGAGGGTATCGGCAAAGTGACCCCTGTCAGCATCTCCAACAGTCGCCCCGCCGGCTTGCGGCTGGGAGTTGTAGAACTGGGCAGCGCTCATCGTTGAGGCAGGTGATCAAAGGGAGAAGAAGGGAGCTGGGAGGGTCAGCCGGTGACCTCTGGGGTAGCGAACTGTGGACCGAAATTCTACCTGCTATCGGAGGAAGCACTTACTGACGTTCTCAGCTGCTTCTCGCTGTCTTGGGCTGCTGTCTAGACAGACACAGAAGGTGCTGAGTGAGAAGGAGGAACGCAAAATGTCTGAGCCTATAAACAAATGATCGGCAGCTCCATCAGGGTCCAAATTTAGACTCTACTTATTACGCAATGATGGAATGCCGCTCAGATCCGTGCGCGTAAGCTTTAGTACGTCATCGAGCAGCGGTCATCGCCGCCGAGCCACGCAGCTAACCCCGGGTATATGAGGAATGTGGCGGCGACTTTGCTTCCGCAGCTGAGCTCGAGCTCAATGAGGCCATGATGCAAGAGGTATGCCTAGCGGCGAGCTGTCTTACATCTATACCGTCTCACGCTCATATTTCTCTACAGCCTCCGCTGCAGCTGCTCAGGCAGACCGCGGAAAAGAAGCAGCGCGAAAAAAGAAGGGCAACCACACGTGCCTCGAGGCTCGAGCACCCCTTTCGCCGCTGCCTATTATACGCTCGTCCCTTGTCGCGTGCACCTCTTCCCATGGTATATCGATAGGTAACGCTCTTCGACCATCACCTTCAGCACATCGTCATCGGCAGTATGTATCGCCCGCAGGCCGGACGTCAATTTGAGTATCCCCCTCAGCAGGGGTACTCGAACCCCCCGGAACATAGCAATGGACCGCAACAGGTCCAGGCGTCCGGGTATCCGCAGGCAAGGGGGCAGCAATTCGCCAACAGCGGCAGTCCGTTCAGTCAGGGACAACAGGGACAGCAACAGCAGCAGCCGGGTCCGCAGTATCATCCCCCACAGCAGCAACAGCAGCAGCAGCAGCAAGGGCAAGGAGGTCAGCAGCAGGGAGGAGGAGGTCCGAACGGGTCGACAGCGGGGGATGCGCAGAGCCAGGCGAATAGCGGGCCGGCGGGACAGGAGATGAACCTCGCTAGTGTGCTGCATTACTTGCAGAGCGAGTGGAGGAGGTGGGAGAGGGATAGGAATGAGTGGGAGATTGAACGTGCAGAGATGAGGGTGAGTTGAGGCATATGTGATGGAGGGGAATAAAAGGCTGATATGGTGTAGGCGAGAATTGCGCTTCTGGAAGGTCAGAGACGATCGGCCGAGAATCTCAAGGTGGACCTATTGAGGCGGGTCAAGATGCTCGAATATGCGTTGAGGCAGGAGAGGTGAGCTCAATATCATGACACCTGTGGTTGTAGGGGATGAGCTGACCGCCAGGACCAAGACAGTCAGTACAGTCAGTAAGGGGGCTATAGCTGCACCGTCACGTCTATCGACATTGCAAGACGAGGACAAGCGGGAGGAGAAAGAGGGGAGTGGAAGCGAAGGAGGAAGTGACGAAGGATGTGAGCTCAGTCTTTTGCCACCTCTCCGGCTCCAAGGCACAAAGCTGATGTCATTTAGCGCAAGACAGACCAAAAACCAACGGCGTCCACCCAGCAGCTGTCAACTCCAGCCTCAACATGAACACCATGGCGTCCCGCTCGTCCGATTCGCCCTGGAAATCAATAGGCACCGCGTCAAAAGATCCAAAAGCTCGCGCGAGAAGTAGAGAGTATCTGAAGCAGTACGTCCAGCTACCGACATCTCACGCCTCGCTGCGGAGAATCATAGCTGACCCTCCAGATGTCTCCAGGAAATCACCTACCTCACCTCCCCTGGCGCGCTCAATCCCCTCCCCGCACGTCCGCCCGTCGTATTCGAGTTCGACCCCTCGTCTTCTTCGTCCCTACCCCACGAGGCCGATCAAGCGAGAGCGGCCGACCGGCCAAGAAAGACATTACCGGAGAATTCGGGGCCGTCATTGTTCGCTCGAGAGAATGAGCAAGGGCAGAAGGCGAATCTGCCAAATGGGGATCAAGCGGAGGCGACTTCATCTTCATCTTCGGCCCCACCACCTCCTTCGGCTTCCACCACTGCCCCACCTTCTGATCCAGCGCCCACCCAGGCGCCAGCACCATCATTATCAAAAGAGGACCGGTCACTCTCCGTCCCTCAGCTCGACGTTGACCCCTCCGCCCCTCCCCCCTCTTCCCCCGCGCGCACTATCGTCGGATTACCGATGGACGACTCCGAACCTCCTATACCTCCTCCCTCCTCCTCCACGTCCAGTCCAGCAGAAGGAGAGGAAAAACAGATCCTTACCGCCATCTATCGTCCCGAATCCAAAGCGGCCTGGCGAGAGGAATTACGAGCGGCCAACGAACAAGCTGAGGAAGCCAAGCGGACGCGCTCTGCTTCTGTATCTTCGTCGGAAAGCGGGCAGCCGAGCGACGAGGAGCAACTCCAGAGCTTGACGCTGAACGTGGAGGAGGTGGAAGAGCGGGGCGAGGAGGTAGAGAAGACATGGACGAGTCGCAAGGTGCTCAAGAGCCATTTGGACGTGGTGCGTGCGGTGGCGTTTGCGCAGGGGCCGGGGGTGATGCTAGCGAGTGCGGGAGACGATTGTACGGTTAAAGTATGGTATATGGAGGCTGGGGCTGTCATGTCGCCAAAGTAAGTCTCAGCTACCTCATCCTCCCCGTTTCAACTATGATACCGCAAGGGGGATACAGCTGATACGTCAGACCCAATTCGGCCGAAATAGAACCGATCATGACGTACCGGACCCACTCTGCCCCCATCACATCCCTAACCATCTCTTCACCCCTCTCCACGATCTTCTCGGCCTCGCTCGACTCTACCATCCTCGCTTGGCGCCTCCCCCTACCCTCGTCGGACCCTTATGCGCCCCATGACCCGGCGAACCTCCTACAGGTCCTCGAGGGACATACCGATGCCGTCTGGGATCTGTGCCTTGTGCCTTCGCGCTCGTCCTCTCTATCCTCTGGCGCCGGCAACAGCGCGAGTGTCAACGACACCGTCAAAGGAAAGAAGGCGTCTCCGCAAGTCCAGAAATCACTGCTCGTTTCGGCCTCAGCGGACGGCACCGTCAAGGTCTGGGAACATACGCGACATTGGACACTGAAAAGGAGTGTATCGTTTGAAGAGGGCATGAGTCCGACGTGTTTGGCGGCGTATGCGGTAGAGGCGGGCAAGGTGCTCGTTGGATTTGTGGATGGCCGGGTGGGGCTGGTGGATGTGGAAGAGGGAGGGGAGGTGGTTTATTATGGGGAAGCGGCGGAAGGTGAGTGATGCGTCCCTTCTCTTGTGTCAAGGTTTGGCGAAAAGATATCGAGCGAGGCGAGCGATGAGGACAGCGTATAGTCAGGGAACGTATTATAGGGCCAGAGCTGACGATCTAGGTGGAGCCAGGCAGGTCAATTCTGTTCTGTGCCACCCGACTTGGCCGGTCGTCATGGCCGGCTTCGAAGATGGGTATATACGCATGTACCATGCGAATACACGTAAGTCTTCTTTCTCACCTCTCACCTCCTCGCTTCTCCGTCTCCTCTTGGATCCTCACCTCATCCTGGACGTCCCTGTTCTAGAGCATTCGCTGACCAATTTAGCCTCAGCCACACCAGCGCACGAGATCCTCGCCCACCCCGCCGCCGTAACCTCCATCGTCATCTCCCCCTTACACCCTCACTCCCTCCTCTCATCCGCGTCAGACTGTTCTATCCGTGTATGGGACCTCGCAAAACGGACGTCTGTCCAGGATTGCCCAGGACATCGACAGCGGGCAGGCGAAGGGGTGGTGGGGCTGGCGAGGCACCCGGAGTTGCCGGTGGTGGCTAGTGCGGGCGCGGACGGGGTTGTCAGGGTGTGGAGTGCGGCGTAGGACGAGGGTTGCAGGGGCGGGCTGAAGGATGTACAGCTGAGTGGAGTCTAGGCTCGAGAGGAGAGCTCCACGTCGAGGTCGGTGGTGTGGCGGACGAGTAGGGGTACAATAGAAAGTATAGGGAGGAGTGCAATATCCAGAAGTAAACGCAATGTCACGCCATAGAACAGATCTACCTATCAAGTATCGCCTGCACATATCTGAGAGGACATGGAGCAGCTCGTGGCAGGGATAGCTCAGACTGATCAGATGCGGCTTGCAGAGAACGTGTTTGATTACGGTAACCTTGCAAGTCGGCGTACGACAGTCGACAGATGATGATAGGCGTTATGTACCATACTATGATACTACAAGCTGCGCTACGCCGCTGCCAGCATCGCGACGACTGCTCACCGACAGCGCTGGAGGAAAAGTTTTAAACCGACTTCTTGCCACTCATCACCTCTTAAACCGACCTTTTTTGTATGATGCTTTTACAAGGCGAGTTGTAGGCTTTGTATCAGTTGGAAGAGCATGAAATACATTGAGTCCATCCGCGAGACTCCTAGCTACCCACGCATACCCTCAGAGCCGTTCTAGCTGTGCCACAGCCTCCGACATGACCTCTCAAAAGTCGTCCATATATAGCTCTGGGAAGCGCTCTTTTTGAAGCTCACACGCCAACCGACTCATCCTGCTGCCCAGATTTCGCGCTGATAGGTACATGTGGCCCCCAGGATACCACTCGTCAAGATTTCATCCCGCTATCAGTCCGCACTGGTTGTAGATCGGCTGACTTGTCACCGTCTATCGATTTTGAAGGTCGGTTTAAGAGGTGCTGGGTGGCAAAAAGTCGGTTTAAAACTTTTCCTCGACAGCGCTGAGCTTCAAGCCCTTTCAAGCCCTTCTTGGCTCAATGGCCATGCAATCTGTCTGCCGGATATACGCCTTCTGGCGCATTTAAGGTTTCGGTTCCGGGAAAACTCCGAGGCTCAGCAGCCAGGAACCCGTGCCGTCCGTTCGAACCTTATCTCCGCGCCCCTGTCCCTTCAGGCTGTCAGTCCAAGTGAGGAAAACACGGTACCAACGAGAGGGCGGAAGTATGTACGCTGTGTCATTGCTGTTGGGACGATGTAGCTCGAGCTCGCCTGTGGGTTATTCATTCCACACTCATCGATACTTATCATCGCCTCACCTCACCTATTAATTCATTTACGAGCTCGCTACCTGGCACGATGCGATCCCTCGCCCACCTCGCCTTCCCGCTCCTAGTTCTGAGGGCCTGGCTGGTACTGTCGAGTCCTAGTCCAGGCTCGGAGTCAATGCCATACCCACTTACTGTCACTGCGCTCGGTACAGACGGCGAGAAACCCATCGGAGCGGCTACGGAACTGGTGGTCTGGCCTGGAGTCGCCGCGGGCTACAGAGCGGGGCGGGATCCTATAAGCAACGCGGAACGTCTTAAGCGGTATGTCCTAATTCACCCACGATATGGATCTGGAGCCCTGAGCCCATGGGCAGAGGTTTCACGTAGTACCTGATCAGAGGGACAGGATGGATGCTGACAGTTTAGAGACTTACCGCTCAAGTCGCCGCGTAAGCTATATCAGCAGAAGAAGGGTAGGTCCACATTGCTGGACTACTAAAAGCGTGGGGTACTCGAGAGCTGATCGTGGCAGTTATCACACCGAACCTCAACAGGCGGATCAATAATGCGCCACCCCAGGCGCGCGCAAGCGGAGGGTCAAGGGTGTACACTACCGACGGGGATTGCTATACCAATATTAATTGTAAGTCGGGTTCCCCTGCCTTCGCTTGTCTATTGGCGCCCCCTCGCCCGGTATGCGGGCGCGGGTGGCGGGCCGACGGCGAGTGGGCCAGACTAGATCGTCTGCTCTATGAAGCTAGCGTTGACGCTGACGAGACAGTCCAAGAACAGTATAGACTCACGTACACCAGCCTCCAGGATCTAGCGGACCAGTGCGCTGCGAGGCAGGACGACTATAATGCCCGAACGGCCGGATCAGGATTCCCTACGAGCGCTACGTTTGCGCTGGGAATGGTGATCAATAATTGTTTTCTATCGGCGACGTTGAGCGGGGCGGGACCGTGTGATGCGTCGAACCTTGTGCAGTACGTGCCTAGCAATTAGAGCAGAGGATGGGCGCGGCGCCTATCTATGGGGGAGAAGTCGGTCGTGAGCTGGGGTTTTGGGATCTGGAGGTCATATGTAGTGGTATAATGGATGTATACTGGTTCTTCACAGAAGTCGCAGCTGATTTTCCTGGCTGCTCCGGCACTCTCACTAGTATGGTGGACTTTGAGCGAGATGTGACCGCAGAGGGGAGCACTGGGACGAATTTACGTACAATAGCAGAGAATGGGAGAAGAGGGGAAAGATACTCGTATCTCCATTTTATCGCCAACTTGGCCCCCGCCCCGCGGTCAGGGCGAGGCAGGGGTCGGAGATGGAAGGATGATTGCCTGTTGAGTATGACACATGTCGAAGATAGTCGATGAGGTTACCTAGGACACCGTGTCAGTGGCGGAGAGGAGGGGTTCGTCGAGGTAGCCCTCGATCACAAACGACAGGACAGCTAGCTCATTTCACATTTCTGTCCTTTCATCTGCATGGTAATAGGTTACCAGGCAGGCCTCTCCAATCACTGCGAGGGTGAAAAGGGTGAAAGGAACATAGCTCAGTAAGACCAGAGTCATCGTGTGGCCATCATCTGCATGGAAAGTATACCGACACATCAGATGACATCAATTGGAGTCAGTCAGACGGGAAGGAAGGAGAATCAGCCGCGGGACACTCGCGGCCACTCAGCCTCCAACCTGGAGTCGTATCCAGATCGGCTCTCCTGTGACGTCCCCGCTGGGCAGAGGAGTCCATCCCTGGATGACCGAATCGCGAGAATCTCGTAGTCCCCCTCCGATGTCAACTTCGACTCTAAGATGATCAGCACCGAGCTTGCCTGTGCATCAGAGATGGGATCTTGGACAGACGGGAACCCACTGTCGCTGAGGGCAAGCATGCGAACATCTGGCGCGGCGCCGGTGATGTTGGTAAAGTAGCGGAAGAAAGTACCATCCGGGGCATCTTCGGACATCCGGGAAGGCTGTCCGATGATGGACGCGCGGGCGGTCTCGAAAGTGGCCATCGTGAAACAGAGGCTGGTGTGAAATGGTTGAGTGAGATGAGACGCTGAAAAGCGGTGTGGCTTGTGAGTTGGGAGTACAGAATCAGGAGGTGGGGTCGGCCGAGACCTGCCTTTATATCACTCCGCTTGCCTCTTGCTGTCCGCGCACGTGCATTGTATCACTCATGGTCATGATATATCAGCTTACTCATCTGCAAATATACGCGCACGTGCTCAGCTGAAGCAGGCTAGACCATCGAAGGCGCTGAACAGCAAGGGATGAGGCGATTGAGTATCGATGAGCGGTCGGAGTCACCGAATGATCCATTCTGATCAATGGATAATAAAGCGCACGTTACAGCCACGCTTTGTACACTCTGAGCACACGTGCCCAGCAAGCAAGATAGTAGGAGGGGTGGAGCTACTAAGGATGGCGACCGGTGACGGTCAAACTCTATAGAGGGCTCGGTCGTGAAAGGAGTGAAAGTGCGGACGATGCTCGGCGCTCGATCGACAACGTCGCGACCTCCGGGCAGAACAAGCAGCATCAGTAAGATTAGATGCGCGAAACATGGCTGACTCAGTCGCTCCTTATGACGGCCTGAGTCACAGCTTCGCACTTGGCGATAGGAGACGATCAATCACGCTGTGAAATCAGTATGGGGACCATTATACAGGATGTGCATCACGCGTCCACGCTGACGTCCACACCCAGCACGTCCCCAATAAGCCTCTCCCCATCCTCATCACTGATCATCGTCGACTCAGCCCCACCTCTCCTTTTCGAGATCCACTGATATCCCTCAAGCAGTAAGCTGTCGGAGAGGGGAATGTGATATTTCGCGAACAGGCGGATGAGGGAGGCGATGGTGCTGATGGCTGTGCGAGACTCGGGTGTTATTTCCTGCATTATCAGCTCTGCAACTTCTTACACCACGCCACAGTCCCACACTGTGTGAAAGAAAATGGGAACAAGATTTACGTCGTTGACGTTGCTATACACCCCCTCCGCACCAAACCCATCCCCCTCCGCTCCCCCTCCTACCCCCTGTCCCTGTCCGTCCCCCTCCACAGCCGCCTTGGTACCCGCCGAGACCCACACCCATCCATTCAACCCTAGAATTACATCGACGCCAGTCGGTCCACACGGTGGTGGGAGGTGGTGGAAGTGTGATTTGAGACGGCGAATGAGGTGTGGCGGCAGAGGTTGGAGGAGGCCGTTTCGGAGTTTACCGTATTTGAGGGAACGGGTATGTAGGGACATGGCGCCGTCTCCAAAGAAAGCTTGGACTTCGGCGACGAGGAGCTGCATGTCAGCTGGGGCTCGATGAGGGTGGTCTATGGTAGTATGTGATGAGGGCGATAAGAAGAGCAGCTTACATCGCCTTCAGCCAGGAACTCTCGCATCTTCAGCGCATCCTGCTCCACTTTTCTCCTCTGTCAAGTCAGCTGGACTGCCTGAATCGGAAGCTAGAAGTTAGCGAGCTCACCTGTACACCGCCCGGCAGGTTGACACTCGACAACATCAAAACAGCATCCTGTCTTGCATTCGCATCGACCTTCCACCTCGACGAGCCGACTTCGACGATACGCCCAATGACAAGATCGCCTACTTCAGGGGTATATCTGGAGCTCTCAGCTGTGGACCCTTGTGGAAAGGATCGGAATCATCTGAGCTGACTGACCTCGATTTGAGTGGTTTGACAGAGATGAGCTTGTTCACCCGCTCAATCGTACCTGCGACGGACGACACCACTTGCTCATCCTCCACGTATGTGCCGTGGCCCCTATATAGTCAGCTCCCGATCTGTGTCCAGGTGCATAGGAGCGATTCCGCACGACCGAGCTGACCCACCTCATGTAGTCTTTTGAGCTCGTGATACTCTCTCCCGGCCCGACGATATTCTTCCCTGCCGCCCCAAGTTCCCCTGAGCTCCCTTCTCCGTACTCCTCATCGATGTCCATCTGATATTTCCTCTCGTCCGCAGCTCGGTGGTAGGATGTCGGTACGGCATCCGAGGTAGGGATGGAAGATAGCGGAGCTCGGGTCGATATGGAGAACATGATGAGGTGGATCGGTCTTGATCGCTCGCTTTCTGATGAAATTCGGCCGTTAAGGCTCGTGTGCAATTTCTAGAGAGGACGTTCTGATGCAGTAAGATACGCTGAGCGATACGTTGAGCGAGCTGTTGTGGGAGGTTGGGCGAGAGAAGGAGACGATGGATAGCCTCGATACTTGCAATTGCAGCTCTTGATCTGGGTGGAATTCTGAAACGCGCGGAGATTGAGCCAAACTCCATAGCCTCCACTCCACACAGCGCTCGCCACCTGCAACACCCAAGCCATCCCTTGACTGTACATGGTCTTCAGCTATGCCAACGGCACTTAAGAAGAGATAGCACAAGCCTCGACATCGAAAGAATAGGCAGAATGGAGTTCCAGGCAAAAGATCTGCTCCTGCTCGTTTGGGTTCATGGGTACGTTCCACCCGTCTTCGTCTCCCCTGCCGGCGTGTGCTGATTGGCAGATTCAAAGGGACCGATGTTACCTTCGAGGCATTCCCAGAGCGTGGGCTTCCCCTCTCACATCGATGTTTGTGGGCATCAGCTGACTTTGCCGCAGGCGTATGCCATCTTCTGAGGGCGACGCACCCTACTTTACGCGTGGAGAGTAGGGTGTTCCCAGCGTATGAGACCCGAGGAGAGCTTGTGCGTTCCTTCAGCTTTCTCGTGCGGTCTCTCGCTTGGGAGGATATAGAGCTGATCCATCTAGAAAGCCGCCACCCTTGCTTTCGTAGACTGGCTGACAACCCTCGTTGTCCAGCTTGAGGTGGACCATGGAGCCGGCGGAGGCGCGGGCAAGGCCAAGATAGTGCTCATGGGTCACTCGTGAGCTGAAATTGCTGGACGCGTGATTTCTACGGGGCTCACAGTAAATGGGAAGCTGACGCACATAGCATGGGCGGATTGCTTATCGCTGATGCTGCACGAGACATCGCTGCGAACACCAGGGAAGGGGACACGATGTGGCCCAAGGTCGTCGCGCTCTGTGCTTTCGATACACCTGTAAGCTCAGCGTTTCTCATTGCAGCGAGGGTCTCAGCTGACACAGCAGTACCTCGGCCTGCACCCTGTAAGTTGCCCTTCCCATCTTCCTACTATCAAACCGTAGATCTTAGCTGATATGATCTATAGCACGTTTTCGTGAGCTGCTTTCCAATCGTAGTGAATAGTACCAGCTGACGATATAGAAACATGGCATATCGACCGCTGCGGGGTACTACGAGACCGCTCGTACAGTTGCCAATACGATCGGCTTCATATCCCCAGCGGTCCTAGGCTTGGGAATGGGCAAGTTCGGGTCTTCCTCGAACTCCGCTAGTACTTCTAAAGGCGCATCACCTACCGCTTCCGGCTCAACCACCCCGCCGATGAAATCATCCTCATCCAAGCCTGTATCGCGTACTGCAACTCCTCCGGCCTCCTCATCGACTACCACCTCCACATCCACCGAAAAAACCACAGCAACAAAGTCCTGGCTACCGTCCATGCCCGCCATGCCCGCTGTCACTCCCAAGACATGGTACGGCTTCGGCGCGGCTGCTCTTGGGGCAGCCGCAATGGGCACAGCTTACTACCGGCGGGAAGACTTCGTCAATGGTTGGAAGTGGGGCGCGGAGCACATGACGTTCGTGGGCAAGTTATGGGATCAGGAGGAGATGAATGCTCGGCTGGACGCGATCGATCAGTTGGACAAGAAGTACGGGATACGATTTTGGAAGTGAGTCTCGCTCCAATAGCCTGCTCTTACGATGGACCGCAAGCTCATACATTCAGCTACTACACCCACCTCCCACCCAAACCACCCGCCCACCTCGTTACACGCACATTCACGATCCTTCCTCCTCCTTCCCACTCTACGTTCTCTCGCTGGGTACCCGCGACGAACCACCTAGCGACCGACGAGGCGAACGCGCACATGTACATGTTTAACGGGAAGACGAATGATGGGTTCTACGATATGGGGCTGGCGGTTGTACGTGGGATCGGGGAGAGGGTGGAGGAGGAGGGCGTGGTGAGGGGTGGGCCGGGGCCGGGGTTTTGTGATGCGGATGAGAAGATGGAAGTGGATGAGGAGGAAAAGATAGAGGCGGGTCCTGGAGAGGAGAGAGACGGAGCGGGTATACCGGGATTGGAAGGGGAAAAGGGGGCCTGGGGGAGATAGCCTTGTGTGGGGATCACCGCAGACGGGATACTATAGTCGTGTCTGTTTCTCTTCAATCTATATATCTACGGTACAAGATCTTGTATAGTATATGCAGGGTATATCTAGCTACTGCTCACGTCGTTTGGGTATATCACACATCCAACCGACAGATATCGTACGACAACAGCTCAGCTCGATCCCTTCTCCATGATCCGCTTCGCCTTCTCCCTCCCCCTCTTCGCGCCCGCCCTCTCATCCTCCCCATCTTTGCCCTTCTTCTTCCCCTTCTCACTCCGCTCATCCACCACCTCCCCCTTCCGTTCCGCATCTTTTAGCTTCTCCGCCCGCTCCTTGGTTTCCTCCGCCATTTCCGAAGCTTCATTGATCGTCTTGTCAATATCAATCTTTTCGTCCTCGTCATCTTCCCTTTCATCCTCGTCATCTTGCTCCTCTTTAGCTTCTTTCGTCCGCGAGGTAGAGGTAGGTGAAGAGGTGGACATTTGCGCACCCGGCGGAGGGGAGAACTTGTCCATACTGGCCAGATTCTCGAGTTCGCCTTGCCATTCAAGATCGTAGTCGGCTGCTATCCGCTTGATTTCGCGTCGGAGGGTTTTGGCTTCGGCGACTGTGCGGAGTCAGCTTAGTGTGCCCCGACGTATACTCGTATATGCGCGGACTCACCCATCTCTGTCCATTTCTCGATGTCCAAGCCGTGCTTGTCGTACAAGCTTCGCTGGCGGGCCGTTATTGACAAGTCGAGCAGCGAGGAGTAGCTGACTTCGCGGTTGTGGTACTGCTGCGTCAGCCTTTGCCTGCTTGTTGCCTTAATTCTCGCAGGACCCGCGACTTACAATGAGGAAGCCTGTACCACATAGCAGAGCCGCAAAGCCCGTCGTCCACGTGACTGGCTCCATCATATCCCAACCAGCTTCGGTAAAGAAAGCTATTTAGTCAGCCTTGAGCTTGACACTTCGATACAAGGACTAGAGCTCACTGAAGCGGACGACTGCAGCCCAATAGACCGCCCCGACAGCTAGAGCAGTTGTACCGAGTCTTCGTGCCGACCTGTGGGCCGCCAGATCGACCCTGTGGAATCAGCCCGGATCCCCACCCGTGTCCCCACCGATGATCGCACATGCCAACTCACTCCTTCTTCTTCTTGGTCAAAGCCCCGAGCTCCTTACTCAGCTTGACAAGCCGTCCCCTCAAAAACGTCGTCCGACTCGCAAAGCTCGGAATGACCACCTCGACCGTCACTCCTTCCCCTGCCGGTCCCAACCCCTCCTTCTCCTCCGGCTTGATGACAATCTTGAACCTCTCGTTCAGGCTCGAAGACTGTTTGATAAAGTCACTAAGGTCGGTACTTTGGGACCAAGATACCTCCTGCCATCTCCCCTTGGACTTTTCCCTCTCCGCTAATCGGGGCCCTCCATCCTGTCGCTCTCCTCCTCGCTCGCCCTCGGCGTCGCCATCGCCCTCGGTCTCCGCACTCCGGAGATGACTCTCCAGATCCGCTTCTTGCCCGGTAAGAGCGAGGTAGGTGATGTCGACATTCCGTTCCGAGGAGGGTAAAGAGCCTGTTATGAGCCTAGAGAGGTGAGAAAGGGGCTGAGACGGATGGAGGAGGAAGGCAGTCGGGATCGTATCTGTCTTCTTGGCGGAGCCGGAGCTTGTACCGTTGAGGGAGGTAGGAAGCGGAAGGATGAGTTTGAAGAGGTGAGAATTGGTAGGATCCAATCGACCATAGCTGTCCGCGGTGGTCCATGACCCGGCAGTAGGTAGTTGAGCGGGATTGAAGTCGCTGCCCGCCTTGGCATTGGCCAGGAACTGGCTGTGGGAGATATCGGTTGCCCCCTGGACCTGTTGTTGCTGTTGTTGGTGCTGGTGCTGTTGTGGCCGAGAAGACGACGCGTGCAGGGTCTGAAAGCGAGGGATCGGACGGGGTCGGAGGAGCTGCCTAGGTAGGCTAGCGAGGGGTCGCGCCATACCTCTCCTCTCTGCGTAAGGCGATAACAATTCAAGCTTTGATCAGCATAGACATCGCTCGCCTTAATCGCCTTCCAGGCAGCTTGACGTCATACCAGGATCCTGTGGGTTACTGTTCATATACCGCCGTTGTCATCCGCGAATCTACCAGCCTTTGTGGCGCAGTGGTAGCGCGTTCCGCTCGTATTGACGAAACGGATAGGTCCTGTGTTCAAATCACAGCTGAGGCAGTTGCGAAATTTAGCTTTTTGCCTGTCCAGGCTCCTGCTTTTTTTGGCTGGCCTTTGGTGCTCAAAGGACGGGGAGTGGCGCCAGGGCTGGCTGAGTGTGGCGGTCTATGTCGAGCCTCTTCCAGTACGTGATCTCCTTGGGAATACTCCAGCTGGTACGAGGGGGCTGGAGCGATATTTTTTTACGCTCAAGGCGCTCACGAGGCGATGGGTAGTATTCGATCTGGCCGGCGTGGAGGCCATCGTATGCGGGGCCCAGGGGATGTAAACATGTCTCATCTGAATGACGTGCGGTCTCACCATGCCGCGCTGTCACCGCATCGGAGCCGGGAATGATGTCAGGTGACTAGGGGCTAGGGTACTCTCGCCACTGTTTGCGGCAAATAACGACTCGTCGACATAGCGAAAGTTCCCCTCCCGATCTGGCCAACGGATCATATTGAGCTCCTGTGACGTATCACCCACTCAAAGGCACGGTGGAAGATGCGGCTGCGGCCGGTATGAGCTATCTGAGAGGGATTCTTGCCCCTTCAGTAGCGATGAAGCTGCTTGACAGCCTACGGCTCCGATACGTGCCGTTCCGCGCCGAAAGTCTGGCGATCACCTCATCGCCTTCCTTAGCACTGGTCTCAGACTGGTCGGATCCGCCCCGGCTCTGTGCGTCACTGCGGCATATCCATGCAACAGTCCTGTGACGACGGTGATGTTTCAAGGAGCGTTTGGGCAGCTGTTTGGGGCCCCTATATATTTGAGTCATTATATGCATCTTCCTGCTATACTGGCTGGACCACCTCCTACACATCTAGCACACAGTAGAGGAACCCCAGCTTGATCAATGGCGAGTACAGGAGCTCAGAGAAGGATCATGGGCACGATCAGGAGGCGTGGGGGGCCGGGGAATCGGGAGTGGGGGAGATGAGGAATGTGAGCGATCGAGCCAGCCCCTGAGCTCACCCTGCGGGATGTGCGGGTCACGAAGGATGAACGAATGAAGCTGATACTGTGCAGAGACTCTACCATCCATTTCTCTTGCGTTCTACGCCTCGTTGTGGTCTCCACACCCTCCCCGATCCCTCCTACCCTCCTCGACCCAATGCACCCCTCCTCGACAAAACGTCTAAGCGACCACCACATCCCCGGATGAACGACTAAAAGATACGGGGCTAGATGACATGGCATGGTGGCTATGTGGGGGGCAGCGAAGTCAGGCGCGTCTACTCAGGGTGGGGGAGGAGACCTCTAAGACTGTTCGAGGAGGGGATGTCTCAGCCATGAGTGGCGCACCAGGCGATACCTCGTCAATCCCTACGACCAGGAACCAAGGGCTGGATGTTATGGAGGATACGATGCTGCTCAGATGGGGTTTAGACGACGGAAAGACAAGCGCGTCCGCTCAGGGAGGTTGTGGAGGCTACTGAGACGGTCTGAGGGAGGAATGTCTCAGCTTTGAGCGGTGCTCCTGGCGGTGTGGCGACTTTGTCGAGGATTGGAAGCTCTGGAGTAGAGGTCATGGAGGGCGAAATGGGGCTCGACGAGATGGGAGGCTGGAAGGCAGGAGTGACGATGCAGGGAAGTGGACGGGATGTGTGAGACTGGGGACGGGAAAATGCCTCACATCCGAGTAGGGATGAAACTGCTCTGTGAGTACCGCCTCTGCGACCGCCACCAGACTTGTGGCTGTCCTCGCTCACGATTTCGGGTGAACAATGGCCAACATCCTCAGATACCCCCTCTCGTCAAGTCCCTACCTGCCGAGTTTCTTCGCTCCCACTGACCGATATTCCATGGCAGTGAGTACCCTCTATATCGCCAGCGCTTTCCCCCTGTACTCCCCGCCTCGCGCGTGCTGTCGCTAACCCCTCAGTAGAGCCCTTCCCCGCTTCGCTGTTTCTCTTTGCACTCCCCTTCCACTCCCGGTCCGCGATATCTCCGAGCAGTGAGTCCCCTCTTCCTCGCCACCACACTCGCCCGCCGCTGCCCCCTCTCGCCTGTGCTGTCGCTGATATCAGGTACAGCCCTCGTCACCTCGACGACCCATAAGAGCCTCCTACCCGTGCACTTCGAAGCTCCCGAGGATGGTTTCGAGCAGTAAGTCTTCCCTCCATCGCTCTACATCCCACCTTTGCCCCGCGCCTGTCAGTACCGTAGCTGACCCCTCAGACAACAACAACGCCCCTCACATGGCAGTAATCTACCCCTGATCAATACTTCCAGCCCGTGACTTACCGACTAGTTCTGCTGGACTTGAGGGATTTACCGATGAGACTGGGCCAATGTCAACTCGCTCGTTGAGGCGTCTGGCGAGTCAGTGCACTGCTGCCTGTATGAAAGACGAAAAGACGGAGCCGGAGTCGAGAATATGAAGGATCAGCAAGGCTAGGAGGGGTGAAAGTATGGACATTCCCGCCCCTTGAGTCAGTATATAGGTGAGCCTACTCCAGCTGACTGATCATCGATTGACCTACCGGGACTTGAGCTGATCCACCACAGATGTAGCTGTGACCATGAACATCCCTCGCAATTTCGTTTTCCCAGCCGAGACCTGCCTACCTATTCAGCAGTCCCGCGCACCCTACATGTACCTGTCTATCGGCACGAGGGACAGACATCGCCGGCCTGGACGGATACTCTCCCTCCTGTTAGTCCTGTCCGAGGTCAGCCTATTACCGCCCCATACGTACAGCGCAGCTGAAGCGTAGGAATTGCTGCCCGAATTTCCGATTGGACCATATGTATGATCCGGGGAGTCTGTCTCCCTTGGACCGGCCGGTCGAGACTGGGCCTCAAGTGGAGCGTCTCCGCACTGGGTCACAAGATTTGGGAGAGATCAGCTACCCTCCACGTGCGACTGACTTACTGATCTTTCTCCTCTTGCTCAGCTTGCATCAGTACTGAGCTTCAACATTAGCTGAACCGTTCCCTCCGCCGTGGAGATGTGTGTGATGACCCGGGAGTTCATCTCCCTTGGACCGGCTGGTCGAAACTGAGCCGCAAGTGGAGCGTGTCCGCACTGGGTCACAGAATGTGGGAGAGATCAGCTCCTCTCCACCTGCTACTGACTTACTGCCCCTTCTCCTCTCGCTCAGCTTGTATCAACACTGAGCCTCAACATCAGCTGAACCGTACCCTCCGCCGTGGACAAGAATGTGATGGCTACGGCTCTATCAGCGGTACACTCCCACATGTTCCCCCATGCACGACTATCCAACTGCACCAAACAAAATAAGGGGGCATGCTGCCAAAATTTCGGACGAGAGGTGTAAGCTGACTGTATTCAAATGATGATAAGAGGGCGGGTGCCTGGATCAGCTTCGAGCTGGACGAACTGAGAGACTACTGACCTATGTGGTCCTAGTGCAAGCCTTGTGAAGGGCAACCGTACTAGTGAACGTGTAGCATCATTGGGAGTGCTCAGCGGCTCTTTCCAGGGACAAGGGATAATCACTCACGTCCTGCCCCTCTGACAGAAGAGACACTGATACTTGGCATCTGACGCATCGACCGCCAGGATTGCTAGACGCGTTCGCGTGTTGCTTGCTTGGTTGTAGGGCCGCTGATGGGATCAGCTCTCGGCCTACCTCACGGCTGACCGCACCATCAGCTTTTGTATCGCACGATGTAGCCATAGCTCCTGACGTATGATCAGCTCCTACGGCATCAAACATAGGGGGAAGTATGGATGACCTCAGCGGCAAATGAGGGGAATCGCTGCCATGATCATAGGGTCACTTACTGAATGTATGGCCCTCGTCAAGTCTCCGAGATCTTGCCCCAAGAGCACACCGTCCACACCTAAAGGATCAAGCACACACTCCGTCCACACCCATAAGGATCAAGCATAATCGATGGAGTCTACGAAGCAACTCATTCCTCCGTGTGGTCGTCCGAGCGCGACCTCGATTGCTCGGAAATCCCCACAACCTTCCGCCGGCTTCGTCGCCATGGGCATTCGATGACGACTATACAGCCTATCACTATGACGACAATGCAAGGTACCGGCTACATCTTCATATCGAACGAGAATGACGCGGTCGACGTCATAGTCAGAACTCGCTGCCCGGACCCGACCGAGACAAAGTCGAATCACAACAGTACCGGAGCACCTAGATCCGTCCGGTGCGAGCTGGACGCGGTGGCGCATGCATCGTAGCGGTAGCGGAAGGCTCAGGCCTAGCTATGCGCGGATGGCCAACCATGCAGGCCTGCGTGAGTAGCGATGGATACATCGGCATGCCTGCTGCGCTCGCTCTGTGCACGATTTTGGGAGGAGCGCTCAGCGTCGCGGACGTCCTGTACTCTCTCTATCTCGAGCTCCGGGTCGGACCATGCACGAGCTACAATTCTAGATCGAGTTGTATCGGCTCCGGCGACGAGATTGATTGAAAGCAAACAAGCGGGCATTGCCATGTCGTCACGGGGTAGCGGCTCCGCCCGTCACTTCAAGGTGACACAACGCGGGTCCAGCCTCTCAGCGCCAGGTATACTTTCATCATTTGCGACTCCCTCACGCGACTTACACCGCGTTTTATGGGTATCATTCGAAGCGGAGAGATCGTACGCAGCTGTCAGTGGTCGAATCTCATCTCTACGACTAGAATTGACCGAGATATCATCAAGAACATCTTTTCTCCCTCCCGCGTGAATAGGGGGATCCGTCTTGCTAGCTCTTGTCTCATGTCGTCCATGCTGTGCCGCTGATCTCTTATATAAGGTGGTCTCCCATCGTGCTACTGTGAGTTCTACCATCCCCCTCCACTTCCACTTCCACCTCAATCACCACCAAACTCCAACAACCCACTCACCCACCCTCTCCATCCACCTGCAAAACACTACCCGTCCACCTCCATCCACTATGTCGTCTCGCAAGGCTACCGCCAGACAAGCCTCCACTGGAAGACTGTAAGTCCTTCAACTACTGCCTATTCGGCAAAGCGCTGATAGATCTCTAGCGTCATGGACTACAAGCTCCTCATCAAATCTGAACCCCTCCTCGAACTCTCGCAGAACCGCCGCCAAAAGAAATCGTCTTCCTCCTCTACGCGAAAGACCAAGGCGGCCGTCAAGGGCCCAAAGACGGTCAAGAAGGTTGTCAGCAAGGCGTCCATTGCGGCGGTCAGGAAGGGGGAGAAGGTCAAGCTGGCGGCGGAGAAGGAGGAGGAGGCGGAGGTGGAGGAGGCAAAGGTGGAGGAGGCGAAGGTGGAGGAGGTGAAGGCGGAGGGGGTGGTCATTCCGATCGGATCTCCTCTGTTCGGTTTAATGCTGGTGCTGGAGACCCATGTCTTCATGGATGCACTCGCGCCTGGATGGGACGTAGGGAACGGGCAGGAGTAGGGAGTAGATAGTGTGGGGGGATGTGCACGATGCAGACAAAATTCGCATGAGCTAGTTGACCAGCCAGGACATGAATAGCTCTCAAAGATACGTTATCGTCGTCCCCATCTTCCAAATACCCTTAACCTTCCGCATCCACCATCCCAACCAGGCCCTCATCCACTCTCTCGCCCCCCTCTCCCTCGTCCTCTTCAATCTCGCCCTCACATCCGCCATCGCATCCACCGCCATCGTGCTCTGTCCCGCCGTGACCACCACCTCGGCCGCCTTCCCCACTGCCTTCCCTAGCAGCTCGTTCCGCTTCTTCAAGATCCGCCGCCGTATGCTCAGGATGGTCGCCAGGACGACGATAAGGGGTATGGGGATGCTGATGGCAGCGAGGAGCCAGGAATTGGAGACGATGGGGCGAACGCGGAGTTGCATCGACTTGGGGAGGAGCGAGAGGAGGGATTCCCAGCTTGCGCCTGTCCGGGTTGCCGGGGTATTGTTTGAGCGAGGGATCGGCTGACCTCTAGATCGGAGAGGGACGCGGGACGAGCTAGCTGGCGAGTGGTTAATATATAGCGTGCTGGGCATGCTGGATTTGGTCGACTGACTCCCGAGCGCCTCCTTCTCGTCCTCCGCTTCGTCCGTCCTGCCCCTCCCGTCGGCGCTGGCCTTGGCCTTACCCTCGACGGCACGATCACGACCTCGAGCCGACCTGCGAGGGACAGCCAGGCGGTCGACGACGGAGTGGGGTCGAGCGGTAGCTTCGCTGGAGCTGGACGAGACCGATGAGGTGCGTGAACGGCCATTGCGGGACGACGCGGTCGATATGGATTTGGAGGGGAGGATACCGGATGATGATGGACTAGGGAGCATCATGGACCTGGACGGGGATGATGGATTCGAGCGGTTCTTTGGCCGTGATTCGGCCGAGCGGATATGGCGGTATAGATTCTGTAAAGTCAGCTGGATCTTCTTTGCGGCCGGATGCAACTGATGACTCGTAGACCTTAACCCGCGACAATCATCCTCTAGCCTCAGACGGAACTCCCCAAATCGATACCACCATACTACCATACCCGTCTTACTCCTCTCTGCAGGGCATAGCACCCTCTCTCGACGTTTCCCCCGACATCTTTCCCTGTTCAGCCCTGCCACCTGACCGGCCTCTTACGCCTCCCGTCTCACTTTCCCCCTACCACCCACTCATCAGGCACACGATCATGCCTTGACCGATGGCTGACAGACAGAACGGCTCAACTCACCTCTTTTCGCTTGGACCCCATCACGCCTTCCCCCTCCAAGAATGCCCTCGCCATCTCCCACTCTCCCTCCCGGACCAGCACCTCCCCCACAAACAGCTCCGTGACCTTCAAATACCCCTCCCTCGCCCCTTCCGTCCGCTTCCTCTCGCCCGCATCCCCTCCGGCACCGTCTTTACTACTGATCCGCTCAAGCAATTCATCCGGTAGAGCCGAGATCCAGTCTTCCGCTAGACGATGCGCAAAGTCCAGCGCTGGGCCAGCAGGCTGGAGCTTGAGCGCCGCGAGGAGGAGCGTTGATATGAGCGATGGGGGAAGGATCGCGGATGTGGTATCTGAGGGAAAGGAGTGGGAGGCGCAAGTACGCTGCAGGTGAGATAGAAGGACGTCCGGGGCGGCTGGGGGAAGAAGGCGCGGTATGTCTTCCCCTAGCTCGGACGAAGAGGTAGGTTTGGGGTCGGAGTAGAGCGAAACCGTCGAGCTGATGTACAGCTTCAAGACCTTCTCTCGCCATTCCCCTACCTCCTTCTCGTCCCCTGCTGCTGCAGGAGCGGAGAGATCATACCACACGCCCGAAGGACCAGGCTTGGCAGCGAGCAGATCGAGCAGCTTGTGGAGCGTCGAGATGGCCTTGCCGTGATCTCGACGCACGAACGCCTGGACGGCCGTATTGTACAGGATCTCCAGGGCCGAGGAGGACGCCGACCGTGAAGACGACGGCGACGGAGATGGGGAGGGGCGCTGTCGGGTGGGCGTGCTCTTAGCTGCAGGCATAATGTGCGGTATGATGATGTACAGTTGAGAGATTTAGAAGCTTTGGACCGACCGGGTATATGAGGCCGGGAGATCCGTGCGTCCAAAACAACCAGCTCGGCTCGGGCGGCGGTCGGGAGCAGAATTTGGGCGACCAAGACGAGCGAAACGGTAGCGAGCTCGACCTTTTGAGCGATGTCGATCATATACTTCGTAAGATGAGATGACGACAACTCCAGCGAGTCGCGATAGCGCCAAGTCCATCCTTAAGGCGGCTCATGAACTCCTGCAGCCCCCATCGGCTCTACCGACCGACCGCCTTGAGCTCGGACGAAGGGTCCAGGCGTCCTGGAGGGCGCTACCGGAGAGCTGGAACGAGGGACTCACCACTATCGCAAAGGACCTCGGCGAGGTTAATGGCGGATCTGGCAGTGCTGAGGAAGAGCTGGAGGAGATAGGCACCTCAATAACGAGATCAGCTAGTCCACGGAAGCAGGGAGCAGTAGACCTGCTGGTTGGGCTGAGATGCCTGGACCTGCTTGTGGGACTACAGGCGATTTTGATCAGAGAGTTCTGGCCAGCTGAGGTGCGAGGGGGAGAAGCTCGAGATTGTAAGTTCAGCTGATGGTTCCAGTCAAATACTAGAGCTGACTGATAGTCATCCTCGGGACGGCCGACCTTCGTCTTCTGCGCCTCCTTCTCGCACAATCCCTCTCACTTCTGTCTACCTGTTCGAATCGCTACCTCGCTTCCCTCCACTCCTCAGGGGCAACGTCTCCCAACGCGGATCCACCCCTCAAAGCCATCCTCGTGGCTTTACTCTCGCTACTTCGGCCGACCCCTCCCCCTCCTTCGCCTGGACCAAGCGCTCCTCGGCACCTACCTCCCACAACGATCACTCAGCTTCTCATCACATCGCACCTCCCAGCTATCCTCCTCTCGGCAGTGACGCTCGGCTACACTCCATCTGTCCGGCCAGAGGTGCACGTGGACGTACGGCGGAGCTTTCTAGCGACTCTGGCTACCCTTCCGCCCTCTCAGGCGCTACTTGCCTTGTCGGGCTCTCTAGGCCTCACCGCCAAGCCCTCTCGCATATCCAGCACCGCGGACCCCTCATCCACCACCTTCATCTCTGGACCAGCCTATCCCGCCTACATCTCCAGTACCATCCGGAAACAGCTCTCCGCGCAGCTTCTCCGCCCGACCGGTCCCCGCGGTCTCCTGCTCAGCCTCTTCGGCGAGCGCGCCCTCTCAGACGCGGAACCGGTGGAAGAGAAGAAGGTGCAGCACGCTATCGAGACACTGCGGCGCATCCCGGGTGGGGTCGAGGAGGAGCGGTACGTCCAGCACGTGATCATGGAGTGTCTGGACCTGCTCGCTCCGCCTGCAGGGACCGGCAAGCCTGCGCCGAGGGCGTTCAAGGCTGTCGCTGCTGGTGTCATAGGGGTCTGGCTGGGAAAGGAGGCTGCTGGGGAGGCGCTGAGGGCGGCATTCGGGGTGATCGATGTGGGGGAAGAAGGGAAGCAACAGAGGGCTATAGCGACCCTCGAGATGCTCATCGGGTATACGGATCCGGCACATCTCCCTGCGCTGCTCGATCTCGTCGTTAGACCGATCCTGCCCGCTCTCGAGCTGCTCGCCCATCCCCTCTCTCCGGTACAACGTATCGAGGAAACCAGCACGGCGGCTACGGCGATACCGAGCGAGGTAGAGGAGGAGGCCGGACGGCATACAGCGGAGCTCGCTCGGGAGGTGCTGGAGACGTATGAGCGGGTCACAGGGCCACGAGAGGGGGTGGGAGGGGTCTGAGGGGCGGGAAGTACAAAACTGGCTCTAAGCCAGATTCTGCGCGTTACTCGTATTATGGATCGAGATCTGACCCCTGTCTTACTATCGACTCTGCTAAGTTGTACTCCTCGGTTCAGAAGCTCGGAGCACAAGCCTGGCCGGCTGTAGGTTACAGTAGTGACTCGGCCATAGCGCCTGATGCCATGACGCATCATGCATCAAGCTCAAGGCCTGACGGCATCATGCGCGAGCGAGGTCAGTCGCGTTTAAGCTGGCCGCGCTCAAGATCGCCGCGTCTACCCATCATCTTCCAGCTCAGCTGTCTTTGCCGATACTCTTTGACCGGCAATACTGCCAGCTCAGACTACAATGGCGAGCTCACAGCCTATACCGACTGGCGATGAGGTGGATATCTCTCTGCGGTCAGAGGACGGGAAGGTCTTCAAAATCAAGGCATATCATCTCAAGTCTGGAAGGTGACTTCGCTGTTTCTACTTCGCGGAAACCTAGCTAACTGGTGTAGCACCGTCTTTCGCGACATGCTCTCACTCCCCACACCCGTCAATGTCAACTCGATTCGGAACCCTCCCTCCCCATCGACAAGCTCAACAGAAAATGCTATCGACATCCCGGCCGACTCGGGCACCCTCCGCATATTTATCCAGCTCCTCGAGCAGGGAGCTGTCGAAAGAATATCACTCTTTCGCTCCCCCTTTCCCGTTCCAGGACGCCGTCCGCGACGCACTGACTCTCCTGGCGCGCCCAACCCCGAAGCCAAGCCCATCGAGGAGCTCACCACCCTGATGGATTTCTTACTCCGGTTCGATTGCTCTCAAGCGATACAAGAGCGGGCGATGCACATCAATCATCACGTCCTATACCAGGACCCATGGGCGGGATTCGTCATCGCGGCGAAGGGGAACCATATGAATCACGCCAGGGAGGCCATAGGCCATTTCCACGAGGTCAAAGGTCCGGCGACCGTCGATCCGGGGAGGATGAGTTTGGGGGCTATCAAATCCATCCCTATCGAGTGGTTTGCAGGGTATCTGAGGGCGGTTGGTGCTCAAAAGGCGGCATTGGAGTCAGTAAGTGCACATCAGTTATCTGCCACGGCGTCCTTGACTTCATCGCTGGACCGAGTACTGGAAGTATGGAGGAAATAAGCTGTGCTTGCAGCCAATAATACCGACTGACGATCCGGCGAGAGCGGATTTCTGGGAGAATGTATCGGAGATCTTCGATGTTGCTCAATAAGACACAGGCGTGAAGAAGGTGGCTACGGGATGCCAATGTCCATAGGTTATGCTGATCGCAGCTGTTCGCAAGAAATGTATTTCACCGTTGTATATCTTTACCGCTGACCTGGACCGCAGCGCTCATCACTGACACAAGTACTATCCGTCTCGCGCGACCCATCAACAACATAGGTATCACACTCAGCCAACATCTCAGGCCACATCCGCTGATGTATCCATCCGGCAACCTCGCCACCGAGGACCTTAGACTGAGGCAGGGAAACGCCAATCCGCAAACCTTAGATGTTGCTAACTCCTTCCTATATCAGTACTCGCTCAAAGTACATCAGCGCTGAGTATTGTTCCGAGATGACTGTACTCTGGGGAGCTCCACAGCTGATCAGGAGACGAGGACACCCCTCTACGGTAAGCGACTACGAGTGGCCCGGGTGCAGCCGGTGGCGAATTGCAATCTGCTGGCGCCGCGCTTCTATCAACCCTCACGCCAGGCCTGCTCCTGCACCTCGTCCCCTGACTTACTATTACTCATTTCCTAGTCCTGCTGGTGTATAAGCAATGTAAGAGGCTAGTCTTTGACGTCATATGCAGTGAACCTGTACACACAGATAGCGGACCCCGTTCGAAGTGCAAGTCCGGTACCGGTATGATCGGGTCAGCGCAGATTTTCGTCTGGGCGCTAGTCTCGCTTTCATTCGCTCCTCTTCCTCTCAACCGAGCAGCAGGACCATCTATCAGAATCCCCAAATCTGATCTGTCAACATGGCAGGCAACGGCGTAACCGACGAGATGGGGCTAGAGCTGCGGCCGGAGGATGGGGAGATCTTCAAGATCAAAGCGTATCATCTCAAGTCCGGAAGGTGGGTCCGCTCCGTCTTCGCTGTGTACTGATCATGGTCAAGGCTGACCAGCAGTGCCGTCTTTCGAGACATGCCCTCTGTCCCGTCACCGTCCTCCCCCAACGCGTCCGAGTCGGCCGGTAACATCATCGACATCCCCGCCGACAAAGCCACTCTCCGCTTGTTCGTCACACTGCTCGAATCGGGACCCTTGGCGCCCTTCACTTCTCCATGTACTCCCGTCTATATTGGCACTATGGTCAAGCGCCTCTCAGAATTCAAACACCATCCCGAACGATGCGGCCTGAAGAGGTTGAATGCCATCACGGACATCCTGAAGCGTTTCGACTGCTCGAGCGCACTGCTTGAGCGGGCGCTGTTCCACCTGCGGCCGACATTCGGCGAGGCCCCCTGGCGTTTCTTCGAGGTGGCGGCGAACTCGAGCGACATTCAAAACGCGAAAGACGCGATTCGTCGCTTTCCCGCTGCCCCTCAGTTCACGACGCTGGAGCCGGAGATGATGGGAGCAAAGACTGTCAGGTCTATTCCTTTGGAGTATTTCTTGGGCTATCTGCGAGCTGTGGGCGCCCAGAAGAAGGCCATGAACACGGTAAGTCTATATTTATCTTATCAATGGGTTGAGCTCCAGCTGCTTTCCTGATCCCGATATACCCAAAGCTGCAAGCTGATCCACCAGCACACCATACCGCATGACACCGAGGAGCGGTCCACTTTCTGGGCTGGGGTTGCAGCAGGGTTTGCTCCGATGCGTTAGGTAGACTCTCTGTAACAGAAATGCGGGATTTGCTGGAGCTCGAGTGATCTTAGGCTAGCTATGTATATGCGGCTTGCAGCTTTTAGGTTTGCTGCTCAGTCGTCCCTGCAGTCCGGCCAAAAAATCTCACATAGAGACTTGCGGTGTACGTCCGTTGCGGCAACATATGTCTCATTGTCTCTCGGCGAAGACGCAATCCAACCCAGCGAAGACATGTCCGAGCGAACGCTTCGAGGGTCCGAGCGCTGATTTAATGCTCATCGCATTCATAAGCTCGCGGAGATGAGTCCAGGCGAACGCTTCAAGGGTCCGAGCGCTAGTCCATTGCTCCTCCTCCTTACTATTTCGATCCATATCTTCCTCCGTTCTCTTACATTCCGAGGCAACCATACCACCGTCGCAACTACGCAAGCACCACACATCAGAATGTCGACCACATCCCAACCCCGTACTGCGAACGACGACGCCGTGTTGAAGCTGCGAGCCGAGGATGGGGTGATCTTCGAGGTCAAAGCATTCTATCTCAAGGCAGGAAGGCGAGCTCCTCATCAGCTGATCAGTTGTGCAATACTCACGCCATCAGTGCTGTCTTTCGAGACATGCTCTCTGATTCGGCCGCGACACACCAGTCGACCGGAGCACACCCCGGCGAGACCCCCATCGACATCCCTGCCCACTCCATCTTCCTCGGCCTCTTCGTCCAGCTACTCGAGGGGCGTCAGCTCACAACCCTCGACGGGGCGAACAGGCTGTATACAGTGATCCATGAGCCGGAGTCTCAGCAGTTCTTCTTCAGAGGAAGTCTCTTCGTCTCGCGAGCGCCGGATCTGTACGACTGCTCCCTGGCGATTCGCGAACGGACAAGGGAGTACTTCTCGAAGGAGATCGAGGCTGACCCGTGGTTGGGATTCTGCCTTGGCGCCGCCCAAAACTTCTCCGGAGTCGATACATTCGATGCCTTGTCGAACTTCTGGAAATGCGAGGCGAAGCGACAGGTGGATCCCGCAACGATGAAGGTGGTGGATGTCGATGCCCTTCTGATCAGGTGGTATCTGGGCTATGCGAGGGCGTATAACCAAGTCAAGACGGGACCCGTGAGTATCGCTTCTGCTTGTTCCCTAGTCAACGTCTCCTACGTCCCGATTGTACTGCAGATCTAGACGCTGACTCAGTAGACGCCCAACCCTGGCCGTGGTCAAACAGACCGGCAGGCTTTCTGGGCGAAAGTTGCGGCCGCGTTCAAGCTGGCGACCGACTAAGAGGGACCCAGAGCATCAGAGGCGTAGTAGTAGTGCATTAGCGCTATATGACGAGTTCTCTCATTAGTATGCGAAACCCTTAGAGCCCGACAGCTATAGCGACGAACCTGCGTCCGCCGTGCTGGTGATCCCATAACTTACAACAGCCATAGTCTGCCCATCGAGCTCCAGCCTTCTCAGACCATCTCCGTCAGACCGACCCAATCCCGATCTCTCTCCATGCTCTACTCGCAACCGACCTCGTCGACACCTCGCCAGTGACCAGAGCCCCCATCCGCCCAGATCTCAATGACTTCCGCGCCTCCCTACTTGTCATGTACCGCCCCCTCCACCTTGGCCGCCACCGGGTGACTCCGCCTATAATCCCAGATCCTATACAGCTGTCCGAGCCCTGTAGCGCCGACAAAGAAGTTGACGGCTGCGAGCGAGTAGTTGACGGGGGTGATGACGAATGAGTAGCGGACCTGAAGTGTCAGCTACATCTCACAGAAGACGTCTGGAGCTTTAGCTGAGCTGACATACCCAGATGAATCCGGTAGCAGTGAGCGCAAGGTTCTGGTTCAGAGATAACTTCTCAGCTGGCCGAGAGAGATCTTTGACGCCGGCTGCGACGAGCGCCCACTTGGCCATTGGTGCCCAGAAGAAGATTGTCCTAAAGGGTCTCAGCTACTATCATTTCTCTAATATGTCATGTCGCTCTCCGCCGAGGCCGGTCCAGTTGTGACCTCGACTGCTTTACAGACGGCCAAGCACCCCGACGGAACCGAAAAGCGACGCACCTCGGCCCAGCAGGGTGGTTCATGAACGCCTGAAACCGCGACGTTGTTGCCGCAGCAGCGGCTGATGATGCTTGTCCTGACATATCGGTGGAGCTGTCTGTGTGTGGTAGAGGTAGGTTGAGTCTATGAGGAGTGCAAGGTATAGAGAGCACAGGTGACCGAGTGATTTTGCACCTGGCTAGGCTGGGCTGGTTGTAGGGACCAAATAAGGTTTGATCCCGCCGGACCTGAATCGTGCCTGACACGGACCTCCACTATATTCGCCCTCCTTGCTTGCGCTTCGCCACCCAATTAACTATCCTGGCATTGACTATATCATCCCTACTGAGCCACCTTCATACTCCTACTAGGCAGCATGAGACTCCACTGCATACTCAGCGTACTCGCCCTGGTATCCAGCCGAGCGGTCTTCGTAGGTGCGGCCGTGCCCCCGATCCGCCAGGACCAGTCCACTCAACACCCTCTTTCCGCCCCGATTCAACATCGACCTTTGGTGATATGGTCCGTCCTTCTTCCCGACACATTACTCACATACTGATACCAAGGCATGGGCTGGGTGATACAGCCCTCTCAGAGGGTATAGCGGGCTTTATCGAGGATATCAAGGCGCAGTATCCTGGGATCTTTGTGTATTCCGTTCAGATTCCAAAGGGGGGTAGTCTGGACGCAGAGCGGAAGGCGGGCTTCGTGAGCTAGAGCCTGGTAGTCCGCTCCCGGAAGAAGCTGACGATGTAGTTTGGGAAGATGGAGGAACAAGTCCAGGATGGATGTGAGCAGCTTGGAGGTATACCTGAGCTGGCGGGCGGAGTGAGCTAGCTCTAGTTTGGCTTTAGGGTCTACAACGAATAGCTGACTGTATAGTTTGACGCAATGGGCTTCTCCCAAGGAGGGCTATATCTCCGCTCCTACGCTCAGTTCTGTAATGACCCGCCAGTCCGAAACCTCATCACTGTGAGTATCCCGCTCTGAGTCTGGACTTCTTGCACCCGCTCCACAGCTGCCGGGTCCTTATTCATTGTCGGGACAATCAGCTGATGCATAGTTCGGAACACCCCATTATGGTATCTCTGCCCTCCTCCCCTGCCCCACACCCCCGACGCTCCAATGCCGCCTCGCGGCCCGTGCTGCCCAATCCGGGATATACACCCAATGGGCACAAAATCATCTCGTCCAGGCCCAGTATTTCCGGGACGTCGAGCGATTGGCAGAGTATGGGGAAGTCAATACTTTCCTCACGCGGCTGAATAATGAGACGTTGCCGACACCGAAGTCGGAACGGAGCGATGCCCAGTCATCAGCTTTGGTCTCGCAAACCAAAGGTAAAGGGACTGGAAGGTTAGAGGGTCTGGAGAACTTTGTGGCGATGATGTTTGACGCAGACAGTAAGCTTCTATTTCCACATGCTCCCTAACGGCGTGTATCGAGCTGACTTCGCAGAAACAGTGTCTCCCGCCCAATCCGCCCATTTCTGGACATACACCCCAGGAAACAAGACCCTCCTCCTCCCGCTCGCATCTCAGCCTCTGTACACTCAGGACTGGATCGGTCTGAGGGACCTGGACGAGCGGGGTCGGCTCCACCTCGGGCATTGTGTAGGCGAGCATATGGACTTGGATAGTGGGGGTTGTGCGCAGGGGGTGGTGGACAAGTGGGTTGGGGGGCGAGTGTAATGTGACTTTGGGTGATTTTTGGGTTTATTCCGGAATGATGGTGCATATGTACTCTGGCTGAGCTCTGAAGGGACCCAGGGGGCTCATGCTCATGCTGTTCGTCTGGCCAGTGTAGACACCATCGACGCCGAGGAGGTATGCGGACCATAGGGACGGGAGCAATTTCGGCGTGGCTGGGTTTGCCTTGTGAATTGCTCTTGCTCCGCGTCAACAAGCCTCAGCCTCAAGTTCACCCGTTTGTATCCCATCTCTTTCTACTGCATCTATCTACGAGCATCTACCGCCAGCATCGAGCGCTGCTACGCCAGATCTGGAGACTCACATCTCCGAGGATTCCCGAAGAAACCAACTGAACGAGGTCAACGCTCAACGTTCACGTTCATCGTCCAACGCGAGACATCTCTGGTCCGAAACCACCTCGCCCCGCCTCGCGCGCTAGCGTTCGCAACCCTATCTCATATTCTCATATCGCACCCGTAGCCCGACTTGACTGAGATGGCACGTACAGTTGCAGGCCCAACAAACCCCTCCGGCCGGAACTCGCTCAACGCCAACGCCAATGGAGCCGGTCCATCCAGACAAGGCACCTCAGGTGCGGGTGCGGCGGTCGGAGCAGGGAACGGTGGGAAGGGGAAGGGGAAAGCAAAGACTATAGAGAAGAATACGGCGCGGAAGAGTACGGGTGGGAAGGCGCCGAGGAAAAGTGCAGGTGAGTGATGGGTTTTGGTTTATGAGCCTGGGGTAGGATTTGGATCTGGATCTCGGTTCGAGTCGGAATCTGGGAGGAGGGGCGTTGAAGAGGTGGTAATAAAGGGTGGAGGAGAGGGCAATCAGGCCTAGGGCGGGTCTGTCTCGTCTCCGGGAGGTAGAACCTGCCTGTGAGGATTGCGGGATAGGAGCGGGGAGGCGCTGTGCGATGTGAGAGGGGCTAGGTGTCGGATGGGATTGGGACTGTCCAGTTGCGCGACTGGGAAGCTGTGGAGGATGGTGACATTCGGACTTGCCCTACAGGAGGGGGTACTGTACGTGGACGGAGGAGACTTGAGTCTGTCAGGTCGCAACGAGGTCACTCGCTCACAAGACCTGCAAGCTGATCTCACCAGTCCCACAACCCCGCCGTCCAGCCGCTGCCGCTGCCGCAGATCCTAAAAAACCACATCGTTTCAGACCGGGGACGGTCGCTTTGCGCGAGATCCGGAAGTACCAGAAGAGCACCGACCTCTTATTGAGGAAATTACCATTTTCGAGATTGGTACGTCTGCCTCTTGTCCCCCTACTCTTCGCGTCGTCACATGGGCAGGGCAGGAGCAGGTCTGAGGACTTGGTACGTGAAGAGTCGAGCTGATACCCCAGGTCCGAGAAGTAGCGCAAGATATGGGATCTTTAGATGTAGAAGGGAATATGCGATGGCAGTCTACGGCGCTGTTGGCTTTGCAAGAAGCGGCGGAGGCGTATCTGGTTCATTTGTTTGAAGATGCGTAAGTCCGACCTATCCCCTTGTGCACATGGACCACCGTGCGGGTCAGGAGAAGGAAGCAGCTAGCAAGCCAGGAGCGCTGATGGCTGATCTCCTCAGAAATCTGTGCGCGGTCCATGCGAAACGAGTCACGATCATGACGAAGGACATGCAGCTCGCGAGGCGGATAAGAGGCGGGTGGTCGGGACATGGATAGCGCGGGTGTGAAGGGGGAGTGGGGCTTGGGCTGGGGATGCCGCTTGGGGTGTCTTGTTGGCGCATACAGTAGAGGCGGCGAAGCGGAGAAGACGGGTGTTGGGATTTCGGGCATCGAGGGGACCTTGGGGATTGTACATGTGGTATTTGACGACCGGGCGATGAGATTGGCGATGGCGTGTGTGCGAGATCTGGGATGAAAGTATACGTATATAGGTAGAGTAGTAAATCTGATGTAATCTGATATTAGTATGATCAGGCTAGGAAGGTCAGTCAGGGACAGTCACACAGGATGTCCGGCGAGAGCAACCCGCTGAGAGATTTAATATACTCGAGTACACCCTCTATCGATATCTACAGATCTACCCTCTACACCAATCTGTACCCAGCTCATCCAAAACTTTCCCTACGCAAGCCCCATCGCCGCCTTCCCGCCTGCCGGCTCGGTCCACCCCCTTCTCTCAAAGCACGCAAAGACCAGATCGTACCCGACAAACTCGTATCCTATCCGATCCTTCCTCTCAAACTCCTTGCCCAGCATATCCCCTCGGAAGGCCTTCCATGCCTGACCCTCAATCTCCGCCGTCTTACTCATCCCCGCCGTCGCCGACGCTGCCGCTGACGTGGCGGAGAGGTGGTGGTCGTGGTCTGTCGCGAGGGACGAGTCGATCATGGGTGAAGGGGTCGAAACGAATAATGTGATACTGAGCCTGTTTGGTTGGAAGATATCGACGACTTTGCGGATGAGTGTAGGGAGGTCCGGCCGTGTCATCGTAGCCGTTGGTGTTTTCCCGTTGACCGATACCGCTGGGGATGGCGATGGGGAAGCGTCGTCCTCCGCCGTAGGTAATGGCACATTGCACTCGAACGACGCATAACTCCACCCTTCTTCGGGCGTCACGTGGATCGTAAAGTATCCACCGCCCTTCCCTCCATCCCCTTCTGCTCCGCTGCTGGGCAACCCGGACCCAACCACGGCATTCGCCGAGTACCCACACGGATCGAATCCGAACGAATCCAGCGTCGTTTCATCCGCTGGGAACAGAGTGTCTATACCGAGCTGAGAGGATATACGACGACCGAGCTCGTGGCCCCCTTCACCGGCCGACGAGGCGGGGAAGAAGGGCTCGCGCCCGGCGGGACGGAGATGCGACATGAGGATCTCGAGCGTCGTGTCTTCGTAGACTAGCTTGGCGGAGGTGGTGGTGGGTGTGTGGGATGGGGAAGGGAGGGAGAGGCGAGGTCGTTCGGGCGACGAGGAAGAAGAGGACGAAGGGAGGAGGGGCTCGGTATTAGGAGACGTGAGGTATAGAAGCCAGTGGTCCCTGTTCATTGGGCCGACAATGTAGGCGGTACCTGCCGAGCCTGCGGGTCAGCTATACACCCTCCTGATCTCAAGAGATGGAGAGAGTGCGAACTCACCAAAGATGCCATCAAGGAAGTTCACCTCGTCTCGCCAGTCCTTGTGTGGCCCGCTCTGCCGTTCGGGGAAGAAGAAGCTCTTTCGGGAGTAGAAACACCTGAGCCAAGTCAGCTTGAATAGCCCCTGCAGCTTTGAAGGAGAGGTCAAAGCTCACCGCCAGATATTGGTGAACCCGCAATACTCCCTCGCAATCTCGATGATCCGATGCAGACCCAGCAGGTTGAGCGTCGTCCCGCACGTCTTGAGGATGATGAGATGCGGTGCCACGAATAATGATGACTCGCTATTCAGTCAGCTTACTGCATTATATAGCCAGAGGCAGATATCAGGCAGTAAGCTCACCTAAGCAGGTACGCATCGATCTCATCCCCTTCCACCAAGCTCAACACCTTGCACTTGACAATATCCAACATCTCCTCCCATACCTCCCTCGGCACCTGTCTGAGCCCCTTCCATTCTTTATCACCTGCTCGCCTCCGAGGTCCAGAACTGCTAGACGCAACAGCGTTCGGTCCGAGGGCGTCCGCAGACGGGGCGAACCAGACTTCCAAGAGCTTCTCGGGGCCCTCGAATGGTCCCGGAGAGGTAGTGGGGTCGAGGGAGGGCGAGGCGGCCGAATGGGGGAGTATGACTTCGGTAGACATGGTGCCGAGGGGCTCAGCTACTGCCTTGATGGTCGTGGTAGCTGCTTGTGGTGTAGGTGAGTAAGCTCTGGGCTGTTGATGGTGTATAGTACAGAGTGAAATTTCAGCAGAGAGAAGCAAGTTTGACTTTTTGGCTCAGTCGGGTCAATTACGTAATGACTCTCCCACTCTACTCGCACACGATCTGGCTGGCGGTCATTTACCTCTGCCAATGTCTCTTTTAGCTCCAGTACAGCTCAGCGGAATATCGTCAATGAGCTTCCCAGGCAGGTCCTACTCGAGAGATATGATGCGTGCAAGGAAGCTCCCCGCAGAAAGGCGCTCGAGGGGTAGACTGAACGCACGGGCCTGCCGGTCGCGTCCGCAGCCAGCGCTGTCGATCGAGATTTGGCGCGTCGAAATTCCTCATCTTGTCTTCATCTATTGAGCTTTGACTAGGGGCCATCTCCCCTGCATCACTCGAGGGTCTACCAGCCATGGAGCGTCCTCAGCTTCTGCCCGAGATCTGGAGCCATGTCTTTCAAATCTTGCGGGAGCCCCTCCCGCTTCCAAACGGCAAAAATGAGCGGTCATCTATCCGCCAACCCGGCCTTGCGGTCTGTATGAGGGTCTCAAGTAAGCCCAGGCCCTGAAGAGATCTGTGAACAAAAGCTGACTTCTAGCTCTTCAACCAGCTTGCCGCTTGCCCACTATACACCATCGTGGTATGCGACGACCTGTCATACCTCGTCGAGCGGATCAACCGCCCCGCGGCCGCCCAAGGTATTCCCTCCAAAGCCGAGCTCCTATCCTACATGGACCGCCTCTTCCTCGAGTACGGCGCCAAATCGGAACCGTCCTACAGTACCCTCATGCGCGGGAACAAGTTTGGTCTGATGGATCCAAGCTGGGAGATTACACTGCAACAGTGCGGTGAAGAGGCGGCTCGGATCGTCGATGGCTTAGCGAAGCTCTTCAAGGTGATGACCAAGCCTCTCTCGACACTGTCTACGGGCGCCTTCCTTGGCGGCCAAAAGGACATCTGGGAGCGGGTCTGGAACATCCCTGAAGGCCACCCAGGTTTCTGCGCCAACGTGATCACCCGTGCCCGCGAGAACCTCGCCGACCTCCTCCACTTCCCCGGCGCAGCCCCTCCCGCTTTCTGCTCGCGGACCGAGTTCGGTCCCCTCATCTACATCTCTACCATCTGGAACAACGCCGGACCCAATACCCCGGGACACCGATTCCGCTCTCACGTCAATTCGGAGCTCGGCGTCGTGCCGGCCGTCGTCGGTGGGAATTCCAGATGGTACTGCACGCTAGAGGACAGTGGGTATCCGGGCGACGTGGCGAATATGGTAGGCAAGACGGTGGGGCAGGTCGTCTGGGCCCGAGAGGGGCTTCGGCAGAGTCTGGCGGGTATGCCAGAGAGGCGGAAAGAGATGGAGGGGGCTCCGTTCCTTACGACCGAGTTGTACCTCCCGCGGAACTTTGTGGCGAGACAGAAGGACTTTAGGCTGGACGCGGTCATCAAGTATGTGTGTGAGAGGCACGAGATCGATATCAATCGGACGAAGGGGGATCAGTGGATCTTCAAGGCGATAGAGACGGCGCCAAAGTGCGAGGCGTGCGGATGGAGGATCGGGGATCAGACGGTGAGTCGTGTATTTCCAGGCCATAGGATTCAAGCTGACCCACAGCGTAAAGTACAGCAATCTACGCTGCCTAATCTGGACTTCAGGAAGATTCCTATTGGGTAAGTGGAGCGGTCCTGCTTACGCCGGCAGGTCGTAGCTGATGAGAAAGTGAACGAAAGAACAACGATGCGTACCACAACTGGCGGGCCGGTGTCGGAGAGACGGAGCTGCATACTTTACGCCCGGCAAATGCGCGGAAGCCCATTCGTGATGCTGTGTTCACAAAGCCGCAGATCCAATTTGTGCCGACCATCGAGTAGGCGGGTGGGAGGTGAGTTTGACTCCGCTCGACAGCGAGGACTGAGCTGATTGTAGACTGTTGAACCTTGGTGGAATCGTCGTTACTGTTGGCATGACGTGCAGGGCAAAGGGGACAGCTGTGTCCGACCTAATTGATAGGGTGTATGCACTGCTCTATAGACTTGGTCTTACAGCTTGCGCACAAGCACTAGTACTGCACGCGAAGTCAGTCGGGCTATCTGGTTACGTAAACACCTTCCCCACTTTGATGATACCTCCTGGATCAGGCGAATTATCTGATCTTGCCCTTCCCCTACGACTCATTGTATCTCGCAAGCACTCCCTCCCAGAGCTGAGCAGGCAGGTCCCCATCGATGAGACTTCCTGCCTCGGCGTCAGCATGGACTTCGCTCAGTATTCGCGGTGCTGCAGGCAGTCTGCGAGCTGCTCTCCGAGCTCGACCAGTCGGCTTTCGATATAGCTCCTCTGCGCCTGCTGCTAGCACCTCAACGGATACTAGGCAATCACTCTTCACACCTACCACTGGTCCAGATGGCGTGGTCAAGCCATTCTATATAACCACTCCAATCTTCTATGTCAACGCATGTATGTCCTATCTTGCCTGGATTCCCGGAATCCTTGACTCATAACGTAGCCCCGCATGTTGGCCATCTACACACTCTGGTTCTAAGCGATGTTATCGCACGGTACTCTCGCTTGAGATATCCCGATCGCCCCGTCCTATTCAGCACCGGGACAGACGAGCACGGGCTGAAAATCCAACAAGCGGCCAAGCGGGGTGGGGTGGATGAGCAGACTTTCTGCGATCAAGTCAGCCAGCGCTTCCGAGTGAGTGCATTCTCTCGCCTCAGTCATTTTATTCTGATTTCCAGGATCTCGCCGCTAAAGCCAATATCTCACACACGACCTTCATCCGTACTTCTTCCCCGGAGCACCACGCAGCCGTCGAACGCTTCTGGGCCCAACTCGTGTCCGCCGGGGACATCTACAAGGGCACTCACTCGGGCTGGTATTCTGTCTCTGACGAGTGCTTCTACTCTCTCACGCAGACGACGAAGGGGGAGGACGGGAAGGTGTACGCGACGGAGACGGGGAATGAGGTCGTTTGGGAGGAAGAGGAAAATTGGAAGTTCCGCCTAGGAGCGTTCAGGGAGCGGCTTACAGCGTGGGCGAGTAGAGAGGGAGGTAAGCTTGTCTATGATACACTGAAGCGCCCAATCTAGTAATGATGCTGATTCCTCAGCAATCCAGCCTACGACATACCGGAATGATATCCTGAACCAGCTACCTACGCTGGAAGACCTCTCCATCTCCCGTCCGGCCTCAAGGGTCAAGTGGGGCGTGCCTGTGCCTCAAGACCCAGAGCAGACCATCTACGTCTGGGTTGACGCGCTCATCAACTACATTACAGTGCTCGGATATCCGGGCAAGATGGAGGGATGGCCAGCAGATGTCCACGTAGTAGGAAAGGATATCATCCGGTATGTTCCCCATTCCACTCTCACCTCAAATTGTCGCCATTGCCGTTCGAATGAGGTGAACAAAGCTGAAGCACAGGTTCCACGCCATCCACTGGCCCGCACTACTCATGTCCGCCTCCCTCCCCCCTCCGCGACACGTCCTCGCTCATGCACACTGGACAATGGCCCGCTCCAAAATGTCCAAATCGCGCGGAAACGTCGTAGATCCCCTTGCGTCGATGGATACGTGGGGAGTGGACGGAGTGAGGTGGTATCTGATGCGATCGGGCGGCGGGCTTCCTGTCGATGCTGGCATGTCCCTCCATCCCGCACAAGACTGAGTACCGAGTCGACTGAGCTGATGCGCAAGACTACTCATCGGACGAGCTAGCTGTATCATACCGTCAACTCTCAGATCAAATGGGCAACCTCGTCTCCCGGATCTCGTCCCCCCGCCTTCTGGCGAAAATGCGGCCCTGGACGCCTGCGGACCGGAACGCCGAGATTGACGCCTCGCTGGCTGCCTTGCGCGAGGTGTATCAGACGAGGATAGAAGGGATGGAGATTTCGAAGGCGTGCGAGGGGATCATGGACATTCTGGGCGATGTGAGTGTCACAATCCTCCCTTTTTCGGCAGTAGGATAGAGTCATCAAGCTGACTTCATAGATCAATCGACTTGTTACTCAACTCCAACCCTGGGCTGCCTCTACACCGTCATCGACCCAATCCATCGTTTACGCTTATCACGCCCTCCGGATGTCTGCTATCCTCCTGCAACCTATAATACCAGCTAAAGCGGCGGAGCTACTCGATCGACTCGGCGTCGAAGAGGGACAGAGGGGATGGGAGGCGGTACTGTGGAGTGAGGAAGCGGGGGAAGTGGACGTGGATGATGTACGAACGAGATTGGAAAGAGGGGCAGCATCGTATCAAGGCAAAGGGCCTTTATTCCCGCCTGTCAAAGTATAGTATATAGGACTGAAATCCAGTCTGTATCATACACCCATCACATCGCTTGCATCTGATACACCAATGCATCCACGCGCAACCAATGATGCAAGATATTAAACCCCCCACTGCGCTCTATGCTCCATATCGGCAGAATGGATTACTCGCCATAAACCAGCTCCACCTCATCTACCGGCATACTCCCCCTCTCCCTCGCGTCCTCGCCATTGATCCCAGGCATGAGCGGCATGGGCCCCCTCATATCTTCCTGCTCCTCGTCATCATCGTCAAACACATTGATGTCCTCGATCCGGCCCGAAGGGGGGATGATCGGTCTCAGCGGGGAAGAGTGAGAACCAGACGAAGAGGATCGACGCCGTTCGGCTGGAGAACGAGGCATAAGACTGAGTGTTTCTTCCGCCATCGCCTGTGATGTCAGCTTATCCCATCATGTCTAACGAAATCCTCGAAGGGGAGAGAAAGCTTACCGCCCAAGTACTCTCATTCTGACTTCTCCGCCTCTGCCGCTGCGCCTCCCCTTCATCCTCTACCCCACTCCCATCCTCCCCCTCACTCCGCCCATCATCCATCCGCGCCCCCTCCCCCAGCTCGCCCACACTGACTACACTCTCCGAGTCGGATATCTCATCCTCCTCCCGTCCGGTCCTCGCGCGCATGATCTCCCCAAGGGCGTTCCAGGCACGATCATCCCGCTCGGCCGCTTTCGGCATGGGGACTTCACCGCCAAAGTCGCCTCCCGATCCCGGGGCGTGTCCGCGCGGGGACGGCGGCGAGTTGAACGAGTCGCCGGCAAAGCCAAAGCTCGAGCCGGAGCCTGCGCCCGAGGCGGAGCCGTACGATGCCCGACGAGGCGAGTTGGGTGGGATCCCCAGATCGTCCCAATCCCCGAGTCCCTCTCCGTCGCCAAAGACCTCGCCGAGGACGTCCTCGTACTCGTGTAGCCAGAAATCTATCATCCCGTCGGGGTTGTATGGAAGACTTGCGGAGTCGGTACGCCGAGGAGGGAAGACGTCCGAATCGCTGGAGGAGAGTGAGGGGTGTCGAGCGTGCGCTTGGACGGGGATGGACGGGTCGTCCAGCTGGAACGCGGATGTGGATTCTGTATGCCGGTGTCCGCCGTCCGCGCCGAAGTACGACTGGGAGGGAGCGGCGGGATAGTGTTTCTGATTGTAGAAGTGCACTAGAGTACGTAGGGCCGTCTCTTGGGGCTGTTGTGTCAGCTGTGGCCTTTCTGTTGTATACAGAAGCGCATCAAGGAACTGACCATAGCGTCCTCTGGCTCAAGGTCCAGATCCTGACCTGCCAACCACGGATCGCGCAGTTCTGGCCGGCAATTCAGGTAGATAGCAGTAATGAGCTTCATGTTGGTCGGGGCTGTAGCCGGATCGACACCTGGTAAGCACTTTGACACACATCTTCTCATAGCAGCAGGACTCACTGGTACGCCATTTCCGTCCACACCAGGGCATTTGCGACTTGATGAGTTTTAGCACTTGAAGCTGAAGCATCGGCTGTTGAACCCTGAGCATCCTCTTCAGGATTGACTATTTGTCAGCTTATGCCCGTTTCCGATAGGTCACATAGCTCACCGAGCTCTTGTACTGATGCAGCATGAACGTCCGATGCGTCCGATGTTTCGTCATCTTCTGCAAAATCTTGATAAAGTTGATGGTGCTGAAGAAGTTGCGCCACGAGTACTCCGAAAGGACCTCGATTTCCTCACCTACTGCTCTACCCACCGTAGGAGCCGGTGCGGAGTTCGCCAACTGCTGCTGCTGTTGCTGCGCCAAGAGCTGGGCGGACTGCTGTGACTGTTGTTGCGGAGTCTGGGCACCGCCGAGGAAGACCGGTCCGGCCTGACCTTGGATCGGAGAGTGGCCGTCGGCTGCTTTGAGGGGTGAGGAGAAGGCCGAGATCAGGACGCGTGGGCGGGAGCGGCTGGGTGGAGTGGGAGTGGAGGGTTGCGGGTGATTCTTGGAGCAGTTGAGCTCGCAGTATCGGAAGAAGCTGTGGGGTCAGGTCATCCTCCATTGGATCCAAAGATCAGGGCCAGAGAAGCTCACTTGAAGTCTTCCCATTCGTTCTTGGTCTGTACAGCCACAGCGACATCCGATAGCCCAAACATCTTCAGTACCAGTAACAGACAATTCGAGTCGAACAGCAATTGCGCGAGGTAGTGGAACTTCAGAACGTCTGATCCTTTAGCTTCGCGCCTGATCAACAAGCCAGCTCAGAAGCTGGACTCACGCGACGCCTTGAACCATTTGAGCATGAGCACGACAATGGCCGATACGGCCTTACTCGTAATTTCTCGATGACGCGCTACGTCTATATCTTCCCTGGTGGGCGGGGTGGTATTCTCGTTCGCTGGTAGGTCAGCCTTTTTCCGATATATTTCGCCGCGGCAGGTAGCTCACGCGGATACTCGTTGGCTGGCGAAGCGACGCCTGGAGGCATGGCTGCGTTCGCAACTGTCGCCTGAATAGCGCCCGGTCCCGTCACCGTAGCGAGCAGCAGTTTGAGCAGGACGATCACGCAAGACTGCATGATCGGCAGCGTGCTTTTCTAATATTGTCAGCTTAGCTAACATGCCACGACGTCATGCCTCTTTAGACTCACATAGATGATATCCACCCTGTACAACCTCCTACTCGCCTGTTTCCTCTCCCTCGCTCTTCTCACTCCATCCTCATCCCCCCTCCTCTCCGCCTCCATCTCTTCTTCCTCAAACATCCACTCTCGCCTCATCTGCTCCTCCTCCGCTTCATCAATCTCTTCCTCACCCACCGCCAGCTTACTGAACCCAATCAATCCACTAACTCCCAATCCCCTTTCCTCGCGGAGACAGTCTTCCCGTGCTTCCCAGAGCTGATACAGCCCTAATGATACGTACGAGTGGCGATTGTATAGGTTGTCCGCTTCGGCGATAGCGTACGGGACGAGGTAGGATGGATTGGCGGATGCCGCGGAGCGGGAGTAGGGGAAGATGTAGGGCTTGGTCTGGTCCGTTTGGTACTGTTGCCGCTTCTTGGCAGGGGGAACGGGGGAGGCTGGGGGTGTCGGTGCGGGCGTGCCTGGCATAGGGTTGGAGGTGGGAGGCGCGCCGCCCGCTTGGATGGATTGGGATGAAGGGGGAATGTTGAGCGGGGGCAGGTCGGTGGTGTGGTAGTTCGCTCGAGGGGGAAGGGGGCGAATACCGTCCGCAAGCTTCTCGTTGGAGACCGGCAGAGTAGTAGACGAGGGCGGTGCGAACGTCGGGTACTTGACTGACGTGTCTCGGCGGAAGGACGTGATGTCCATTGGCGACGCTTTTGTAAAGTCTGATACATGAGTCACTGCATCCGGGAGTTGCACGGGACAGCTCACTCTTCTCGCTTGGAGGCAACCCCGACAACTCTCTTGACAGATTTCGCGCTTTCGCGACCTCCTTCATTCCTCCGAGACACGCCAGCAGGGTCTTCCACAGTAGAAGCAATACCTTCTTGACCGGGTACCCCTTTGGCAGGCGGTCTTTGAGCGCAGCGATCATCTGGAATAGCACGAGCGGTAATGGTGGTGACATCGCCACTGCCATTGTCAGCTTTGAATCTGCGCGAGATCTTTCGATGGCACACTCACTAAGCTCATCCCCAAACGTATCGTCCGTCCTGCAAACCCCGATCACAAAGTATAGCATCGCCAGAAGATCCATGAACTCCGCTGACCGATCATCGTAGGGGTCCACAGCGTTCATGCTGGATCCGGAAGTGCTGCCGACTTTCTCTGGCAGGTCACTGTGATGGTCAGCTTATCGTTTCGACTAGCCACGCGAGAGGCAGCTGACCTGGCGGCGTTGTATCGCTTAGCGGCATCTCGCAGACCCAATACGAGACTTGCCACTCCGTCGACTGAGCGAAGCGTCGCTGCATTCTCTCTGATCCAGAATAGCTGCTCGGAGGGTGAAGTAGTCTCCGCGAAGCAGCCTACTCCGATCAGCTTCCCTGTCATCATACTGGGCTGGGGGCAGCTGAAAATGACCTTGTAAGAGGTACAGGAGCCGTCCTTGCGCTGCCCATCGCTTCTCAGGTACGGAGGATTCGAGGTGCTCCAGCTGGACCTCCATGAACGCCTTTCGCCTACTGGCTGATGCCTCTGTCCACTCTGCTTGATCAGCTTGACTCTAGCCTCGAGAGAGCTAATCAGAGCTCACCTCCATCAAAGCTCCCTTTGAATCGCTCGGCATTCTGAGCCACCTGCTCCATTTCGACATAGGGGTAGAACTCGTCCAGCTCGTTCATGATCGTATCGGTATCTTCGTACTTGTAGTCGAAAGCATGTGTCTGCAAGTCAGCTTTTCCGGTGCACCTGCCAGTGTACTCGATGCCATAGCTGACCTTGGGCTTTGGCACCGCCTGAGGCTGAATCGCCGCCCTCATCTGACCCAGCGTGATACTATCCGCCGCGCCCTCTGCGTCCGCTCCGACCCCACTCCCCGGCGCACCCGCCAACATCTGCGCCGAAGGCGGCTGACCGTTGATGATGCTCGCTCCTGCCCTCGGCCGCGTCAGTAATGGCGGGGCAGGACTTGAAGCACCGTAGTTCAATCCAGGCCTGCCTGCGCCGGCTACACCAGTCGCTCGACCTGGGGCCCGGACGGAGAAGGGGGTGTTGTACCTCTCTGAAGGACGGACCGGGGGGTCGGAGTATGGCGCCCGCTGCGATGGACGAGGTGGGGGAGCTCCGGCATGGGTGTCCGCTGCTGTGGACATCGATGGTTCTGAGTCTAATGGTAGATTAGACAGAGGAGTCGCCATGTTACGGGCCATGGCCTGCGCTAAGATGGTGGATATAGGATGAGGATGAGGTATGAGAGTAAAGGTCAAAGAAGCCAGGTTGATGGACCTGAAACACAGCCAAAATTAGGTCCCGCGACGTTCGAAACGTCCTTCCAGGCGACATGGAGAGCTATCTTTCATACTTCATCCCCACTACCATCATACACTGCAGTCCCTCCCCATCCGCCTTACAGCAAGCCATCAGAGAATCACCCGAAAAGCTCGCACCCAAGCGAAATCATGGCGAGCACTATCCTCCCCCTCGAACTGGTCGACCGGTGTATCGGATCAAGTATCTGGGTGTTGATGAAGAACGAGCGGGAGTTTGTCGGAACCTTGATGGGGTTTGATGACTACGTCAGTGAGTATCAGTCTCCAGCATAAGCCGACATTTGCCGTGATCGCGGCCCTGCGAGTGATAGCAGCTGATTGTGCAGATATGGTGCTCAAAGATGTGAAGGAATAGTGAGCTTCGTATCCTGTCTTTCAGTCGCATCAGACTGCGTGATTCGTAAGGGGAGCTGGACAGAACTGATGATCGTAGCGAGGTCACAGCAGAAGGCATCACCGAGACGCCATTAGGTCAAACACTGCTCAATGGGAACAACATCGCTATGGTGAGGCATACCTCCGCACCGTCACCTTACAGGTCCACCGGAATCTGAAAGGTATGGGTCAGAAGCTGACTTGACCAGCTAATACCAGGAGGAAAAGGACCCAAGGCGGCATAGAAACCCTTTGCCAAGAGGAGCAGAAGCAGATGTACCAATTATCCTCACCAGCAGGTCGTGCTGCCCAAATTCTGCGGCCCCGTGGCATGGCGGGGGACCTCCTGATATCTGACTGCACTACTGACAGTCTTGTCTCGACAGGTCAAACCCAGCTGCCAGCACGAGAAGAATGCGCACCGCCGGCATAGGTCGTTGTCCGGGGTCATTTTAGGCGAGGTTGGCAAGGTGTGTCCCTAAACAGATCAGCCGCAGCATCCCGGCAGGTCATGGTTTTCAAAGCGTTGGAAGCTCAGATCACCTGGATCAGTGGACGTCTCAAATACCCGCAAGTTGCGAACTTGTTTTGAGAAGACCAAGATGACTTTCATAGATCTGCTTCTCCACATACTGATTACACAATTGACCGACTATACAACCTATTCCCAAGATCCTAATACACCGAAGTCTGCCTTTCCAGCGACAACTGTCCAAACTCCTCCACCCCCTCATCGTCCGACAAGACCACCCTGACCTTATCCGCCCTACTCTCCAACGTCCCCTTTCTCCTCTGCGCCTTCATTTCCTTGATCCTCTCCAACGTCTTCTCCCTCTCGCCCACCCAGTCATCCAGCGCCTCCCCGTCCACCACCCCGCTGAACTGCCCCAACATCTCCGTGCTCTGCAAATGCACCATAGGCGGCGCCGGTCCCGGCTCATAATGGATGAATTCAAGCCTGACACCCGCCTCGCGGCAGACGTCCCGGATGGGCGCGTGATCCCGGGTGTTGATCATCCGGTGTGTGTAGACCACATTGAGTGTACCGTCAAAGACGAACTCGCCGCCTAGTTGCGTAAAGTGCCCCGGGTTCCGGAGGGGCATCTTGGCGGCCCGCTTGAGGGTGTTGACGGTGGTCTCGAGGGCGGTCTCGGTGAGGTAGTCGCCCCGCTCGGAATCGGGGCCCGAGTCGGACGTTTGGCGCGTGAGGCCGAGGACTCTGTATAGGGAGAGGGTGGGGTCGGTATAGGTTTTGAAGGGGGAGTTGAAATATTTGTCTGAGGGTCAGCGAAGTGCAGGTGGATGAAGGGGAGAGACTTACTGGCATAGCCGTTGATCATCTTGGAGGAGCCATTCCCGATGATGATGAGTTCCACACCAGCGTCTTCAAGCGCGTCGGGCGAGACGTCCCGGATCACCGACTTGATATACTGGGCGCAAAGCGGGCAGAACCCTAATGGTCAGCGCAGTCCACCCCCGTCCAGCTGGAGAAGCTTACAGTGCCGGATGAACACAACAATGGTCTTCTTCCCCCTGACCAGATCCCCAAACCGCACGCGCATCCCCTTCTCATCAATGACATCCATCAGACTCGCCTCGTACAGCTCCTTGGTAGTAGGCGGTGTAGACTCGTCGAACCGCGCCTTCTCTGCCCGCTTGATCTCCTTCTTCTCCTTGCGCCCGAGATTGCGCTTGGAGCCGGACGGGTGATACTCGATGTCAAAGGACGACCAGGTACCGCAGCTCGACTCGGTAGCCGAGTTGGAGCCGCACGAGAGGGCGGGGACGTCCTCTGATGTCCGAGCATGCTCGTCGCTGCCTCTGGAGGTAGGGAGGGAGGAGGATGAAGCGGACGAGGAGGTGGTCCCGGTGGGTTTGAAGAGGGTGGAGACGAAGAGGGGCTGGCGGGAGGTGGGGCGGAGCGAAGGGTGAGAGGACTTGGGGGTGAGGGGAGGGAGGGTATCGGCGTCGGTCATGGAGGATGAGACCGAGAGGCGGGGGATGGAGGAGGCGATGGAGGGAGTGGGTCTAGAGATGGAGCCCTTGTTGACGAGCTTCCGAGCGTTGGACTTGGGTCCGACCGCCGGCAGAAGGGCCACCGAGTGCTCCGGAACAGTAGTGACCGTTGGGGCAGTGACGTCCAGGGTGTACATGGTAGGGAAGAGATCGTGTTGCGCCGTCTCCGGGATAGTCGGCTCGATGCTAGCGAGCATCTCCAGGCTTTCCGTGAGGTGAGGAGGGAGCTTCCGTGAGAGCTTGCGTTGCTGGGTAGATGCGGACCGCCAGATATGCGCCGAGTGGTCGTCACTGGTAGAGCTTGTCGACTCGTTCGAAAAGGTCTTGGCGAGTGGAACAAAGGTAGGGGATGGTGGTGAAACGAAGGAGGAACGCAACGATGGGTTGCTGGTCGATGCAGAGGTGAAAATCACCCCGTCCCTCTTGCCACTGGTGTTGCCGTTCCCGGTATGCATTTTGGGCAAGCGGGCTGCAAAGTACTGGGTTTGACTAGCGGTGTATCACTGGTGAAAGTGTTTCAGTTGTTGGGAGGATTGCCGAATGTGGTGAAAACGAGGTTGCGGGAAGCCAGCGGGAGAAGCGGGAAGGAGGTATGAAGTGGGGGAAACGAAGCGGGGACGGGGATGATGGGTGGTGCCTATATACCTCGTTGTCTCGCTGTTTCGCTCAGATGATCGACCTGCTGACCCATTCCTATTCGGCTCTCATACCACCCCTCTTAGCGACCGCGACATCCTCGTCTCATCGTCGCACGACCATTCGGTGGGATCTTGCTGCCCCTCGCCACCGCTAATGAAAATGAGTGGAGCAAGACAATCTCGATCAGATTAGGGTCGGACCCGGAGAATGACGGCATCTGATAGCGGAAAATATCCTAAAGAAGCAGTCACAGAACCCCTTTCGGTAATCGGGACTACGGCATGACGGCATAAGCCGAATGACCCGAGACATGGCGGCTATTGGATCTGCTGAGGAGCAGCTGCCACTGCCACTACCCATTCCTGCGGTCTCAGCGCCAGCGCTCATACGGAAGCATGACTAGAGACGGAATGGCGGAATACTGCAAGCAGCTGGCAAAGAGCAGAGCAGCTAGCAAACCTGATCGAGTGCGCGAGAGGTATAGCGCAGGGGGTCGGGCATTAGACGGCTTGTGCTCTCGCCATGTCAGCTAGTTCGCTCTACCTTACTCGCTAGCGGCGCATGCGAACAAGTGGGCCAAATGGATTGCGTACGAGAGGAGGAATGCGACTCCAGCTGCGACTCCCTAGTGCGCATTTCTAGCAGCAGGTACTAGCACTGCGTGATCCTAATTCACGATGTAGTAAACCAGGGTCCGCGGAGTAATGTCACCAACGTGCCTGTCACCAGAAGCAAGGGTCAGGCGGCCCAGCTCTCGCGCTTCGACCTCGAGGTCGGGCCCCGCCGAGGTGAAGCGAGGGGCTTCCGAGTCTGAGCAATGGAGTCTCGCGCTAACTTGAGCGAGCTCTCGGGCGCCGTACCTTGCGCACCAGGTGCCGCGTTCGGCTTGCCTCCGGCACGCGCGCGCTGTGGAGCACTGAATCAGCCTCTCCGAGGATCCCGAAGCGCACTTGTCGGCCGGAGCGAAGCGCTCAGCGAGGCCGCCATGGGGACTGGGTCACGCGCAAGCATTAACGAGGTGATGCGGAACGCTAAGCGCCTTGGATTTTTTGACAGCATGCAGAGTTGGGATGATATCGTGGCTGAGTATGGGTGGCCGATGACCGATGCACGCATGCTAGATGCCAGGGTGAGTCCTCAATATCTCTCCACCGCTTCGTTGGACAAGTCAAGTGGGTGCCAGGCGGTGCATACGATCATGCGCCTGGTTTCTACAAGACCCCAGACAGCACGACCAGCTCCTTCTCACACAACACCAACACCACATCCTTTCCGTTCTTCCTGATCCTCGCCACTCCTAGCGCCGCCCCTCTTTCTAACCCACTGACGCGTACCACCCCCTGCTTTGACGTCGTCTTACCCGTTGGCGGGTAGTAGACATACACGTTACCCTGACCTGCCGAGGACGAGCCCGAATCGAACGCTAGTACCGTTGGATGCTGGGCAGTGTCTAGATCCGTCTTTGCCTTCTTTGGCGATGGGGGTGCGGCCGGATCGTGGAGTGGTGTGAGATGCCGAACGAGCCGAATGTCCCTTTTTGACGAGAGGACAAAGGCGAGCGCCGGGATTGTTGCCTGGTGTGTCCACGGCGAGCCGACCAGGTCCGCCGAAGGAGTGAACAATAACCCATCCACCGCCGATTTGACAATCACCCCCTCCATCCCGTTCCCTCGTCCCCCAGACTGCAGAGGCAGGGAGACGACCGTCACGCTCGCTGTGCTCCATTCCGCCTTCCCATCCCTCAGAATCCCCACAAACACCTCTCTACCCACTTTGCCACCTCCATCGCCCATCGCTCCCGCCGCGCGATCCTCAAAGTCTTCTCCGTCCTCCATATCAAAGTCCATCTCTTCTCTGAGCAGAGACGGGATCGCGGGATGGTTCCCCGCTGGCTCGTCTGGCGCGCGAGTGCGGATAGAGTCGAATGTCTGCCTGACGGATGCGAGGACGTCCGAAGAGAGGGTCTCGGGGATCTCGGCATCGTCGTCGTCGGACGAGGGGAGGAAGAGGGAGGGCCAGCGGTGCTCACCGTCCTGTTTTGCGAGATCGATATCGAGGGTGGAGGATGAGGAGTCGTAAGAGAAGGAGGAGAGATCGGGGTCGATCTCGGCCCACCAGCTCCGTTCGGTATGGCGGAGGAATTGCTGTAGGGGTTCTGGCTGTGCCGCAGCCGGAACCCCCTTGACGGAGAGGTTGATAGATGTGGGATGGAGGGAGATGACGATGTCGGACCGGACTGTCCCCGCTGCGAAGGGTATGCGGATAGATGCCGACTCGCCCGTCTGAGTCCAGGTGAGAGGCTGGTCCGGAGGTGGGGTGGATATTCGCGCCGGTTCTGATGGAGGGACCGGGACGCTCTGCTCCCCTTGCGGTAGACTTGCTCCGAGGCCCAGCTTGGCTATCCTCGCATCCCGCTCCCTCTTCTCCTTCTCCACCTCGTTCAAGGCCTCCTCCGTCTTGCTATTCCCATACGTCTCGCCGGAAAGTACCATCCATCCCGCGTCCGTCCACGCGGTATACACCGGCAGATCTCCCGCCTGAATTCGCCACCGTACATCCAGCTCCGACGTATGCTCCGCTGACGACAGGTCTATGACAACCTCGAGCAGCTCAAAGGTCCGCTTGGTTGTTCGGCTTTTGCCCTCCTCTGGACCTATGACCGAGCGGGACAAGAGCAGACTGATAGAGTCCGACTCAGCACGGGCGGCGCGAATGAGGAATGGACCGCCGGATCCGCCGGAAAGTGTAAAGGTGGAGCTGAGTGTACAGGATGAGGTGGGATCGGAAGTACAGAGGAGGTGCAGGTCGCCAGCGCCGGAGGAGATGGCCCAGAGGTTTGGGTGGATGGCGATGGTGGAGGGGTATTCAGGGGCAGGGGCGGAGGAGGATGATATGGGTGTGGGGAGGGTGGCGAGAACAGAGAAAGAAGGTATGAGATTGTCCTGAAGGTATCAGCTATGCTCCTTGCGGGCAAGTACAGCTCCGTCTCCTCGGCGTTGACTCTTGATGCCAGCTTTCATCCCAGGTGGATCTTCCACTCACATCCAGCTCAAATCCTACAATATTCCACTCCTTATCAACGTAAATCCCCCTCCCTTGCTCATTCACCGCCAAATGATCCCATCCTATCCTATCTCTCGTTTCCTTGAAAGACAAGGTATGCTGACCATGCTCGAGCCGACTCTGGGTCGTTCCTGATCCCGGCAGACGATGACCCTGGACGTCCTCGGTCGGGGACAAGGAGTGAAGGCGGTAAGTCTCGAATTGAGGGTAGAGGAGCGCTCTGTCTGGAGGGAAGAGAGCCATGATGCCTTTGGAGCTGATGTAGAAGAAGCAGATGTAGCACTACAAAGTAGATGCTTACTCTTGTGTCGTAGATGGCTGTGGTCACGTGATCCATGCATTGAGGAATGTGGAGTTTCGATCAACGCGTCAGCAGCTTGGCCCCTGGAGTCTGGACGCGTCTGACTTTGTCTTGCCTTTGCCTTCCGCCTCACATACATCACCTTCTCCTCTACCCGGCATCCTCGCCTCACACCGCCCGCCCGCTCGCAGCAAAAGTGCTGCAGCTCCTTCGACTTCGGCGATATGGTCCCCATCGGCGCCACGCCCTCGCTCAAGCGATCGGCATCTTGTGATGTGCCGCTCGGCAACCGTGCCAGGACAGCTGCGACCGTGCCGCTCGTCAAGCGGCAGCGCGACAGCACTCCTTTCAGAGAAGTGTGCGCGCCTGATCAGGAGCTCATTGCTGGTGGGTCGAGACCAGGCGCCTCTACGACGAGGATAGAGCTGATCTTTCAGCATCTACCAGAGTCTTCAATGTGCCAGAGATTCGCTCGGCCATATACAAGCTGGTCGATAAGCGTACTCTGTGCACTTTGATGCGCTTGAGCCGAGAGGCGTTGGCGGGAGCGGCGGAAATCTTGTACGCGCAGATCGATGGGGAATTGTTTGAGCGCATAAACCGCAACACCGTGAGTCCGCAACATCCCTCGTCTGTCCACTAGACACATGGTCAGAGACATAACATGCCGACCGTCCAGGAGCGGGGTTTACTGTACTCGAACTGCGTCCGCCACCTCGACCTCAGTCCCCTCTTCATCGACGCTCGGATCTCTTCTCCCTCCTATTTTGACTTCGATCAGGTCGCCCAGTCCCGCGCCAAGCACCCTTACCTCCTCAGCATCACGTACAAGAACCCCTCTCATCGGCTCAGCGACGCCTACACCGTCCATCTTGACGACGAATCCATCTCGGTCGAGATCGAGAGCAAACCTCTCATCGCCGTATACGGACCCCCTCCCCAATCCTGCAACATCCAGTTCCCGCGAGACTACACGGTCCCCGGACTATCGGTACGACATACCTCCCACATCCAGCTGGTCTATCATAGCGATGATGCGTTGAACTCCTGTCTCGATATGGAGGACGATTACGAGCATCTGGCGCATTGGTCGGAATGGCTTTTCCGGAACTCCTTGGCTGACCCTCGCATCACGAGCATCGAAGACCTCGAGACTGCGCATTCGGACGGTCCCCCAATTGTGACCATGAAAGACATCCAATCCTGGATGACACATCGGAACCTCGTCGGTCTACCTCCCCTATCCTATTTTTCCCTTCCCGAAGTCATATATCTCCACCGTCCTGCAACCCTCTCGTCCTCCGTTGGACCCCAAATGACATCTCTTTCCGTGGACGCATCACTCTTCAACCCGGAGGACCCGCAAGACATGATCAACGTTATCGATACGTCTTTTCCCCGCCTCGAGCATCTCATCATCCGTGGTTGTTACCTCCTCGTCGGCGACATCGCCGACCTGCCCGCCCTGTCAGGCCTACCGCATCTTCGTCGGCTCGTCATCGAACACATGCCATGGAATGACTGGGAGTCAGGGGCAATTGAATACTACCGGCCGAAATTGCTTCGTCACCTCACTGGAATCGGCAACGAGAACACTGTCGTCGATAATCTGGCGTACGCTGAGGCGAGCAAGGTGTTTGATGAACTCCTTCGAATCCGCAGGCGGCTGGTGATAGAAGGGGCGGATCGAATATGGGAGGTCGAGAGATATGACGCCGTGGTGGCTCGTGTAGATGAGTTGAAGGGGAAGCTAGACGACGTGGAGAGGCAGTCATATAGATGCCTGGCTGGGCGTTAAATGGTCAATAAGGGCTAAGCCGAGGTGAGCTTTCCTGTCCTGATACCCGATGCTGAGCTGATCGGTCCAGGAGACGGAATGATGCGGTCATGATGTGGCCGATGACCTCGACTGGGACGACCAGTGGGACGCGGGACTATCGGTCTGAGGGGCGGATGGGTAGCCTTGCTTGTGAGTGTGAATGTCTCTATCCCACTTCGCGTCTTCACAGAGGTGTAAGAAGTGAGCCCGAACTGACTCTGCAGCCGCTCAATTGCTTTTGTACCGTCCCATAACGATGATGACTTGCGTGTCTCGTCAGCTACCGTTGCGTCCGTATGTGTCATTATGACAGGGAGGCAATACGGGCGGAGAAGAAGCGTGCCGTGCGTAGATAAGTTGGATGTGGAAGATTGAGGTGAGTTTGGTTCGTCTCTGCTCACCTGGGATGAGGCTGATACCGACAGGAAATATAGATACGACCATGCTATACATCAAGCAGAAGTAGGTGCTAGTAATGGTGGACAGAGGGGATTGCGGGAGTGAGTGCAGCTTCATGAGCTGGTCTAGCGGAGGCGCCGAGGAGGTTTGGTCAGAGGACGGCAGCTCAGACTGCTCGGCACTACTTGTGGTGAGCGGTCTCTCCTGCCTTTACGGTCACTTGTGGAGCTAGCAGCTAGCGCCTGGGGATGTACGATGAGCGCTTGAGCTGACCCCCGCAAGCTATTCGATCGCCCAACTCCACAGGCGTCCACATTTGATCTCATCATCCGGGCAAAAATCGCCGTCCTTCCAAATCGATCGCTTTGTATACATACAGCGTGTCGTTATGAAGTATGCACAGCTCATGCGCTCTATGCTCTGCAGGAGCGGATAGCTACTTCACAACGAACAGCTGGTCAAGTCAGCGGAATCTTCAACCTGAATTTGACTTCGCGTCAACGTTCCTGCATCTCTCTTTGCTTTGCCCATCAATCATCATCATCTGCATTTCCATACGATTTACCACAGACAAAGCATGTCCACCTTCCCCCGACCTCCCCCTCGCCCCGCAGATACCGACGAGCCCTCACCTGACATACCCCTCCTATCAGCAACTCCCGAGCAGCTCTTTATACGTCTCAAGGAGTTGGTCGCTTTGGCTAAGGTGGTTCGGGCCGAGGGACCGCCTAATGCTGCTCGGAGGGCGTACGATCTGTTAGAGGTGAGAGAGAGGATCATCTTTCTCCTTGATAGAAGGACCCAGGCGCGGATGATGAGGGTGCACAAGGCGGGGACAGCTTGTGTCGCATCCGTCTTGTATCGACACGTCCATATCAATGTCATGAAAGGCATGTCCCAGATCATCGTGTGTTCTTGCTGCTTGTATTGTCTTATCCGTATGGATGTGCTTCAGCTAACGGAGTAGCCGAGACGAGCTGTCTGTTGTCTCGCCGTCCGCTCGCTCGACATCAGCCCCAGGCCGGACGCTGTCGACCCTTTCGGGCGGTTGGCTGCGTTCGAACGGCGCGCCGGTGAACACGCTCGAGCCATCGGCCTCGCCCATATACAGGAAAATCTCCAATCATGGCGCAAGAAGGTGCCCAATATCCGCCGTCTTGATTACCTCTAACCGGACGGATGCGACGATGATGCGTATGTCGTCCACATCGTCGGTGACCGCCTCGAGATCGAGCTCCAAACTGTCTTCAAGCCGCAGTTCTGGCAATCCCCCTTCGAGCCGCCAGTCTTCCCTCCTACCCCTCAACTCACAGGCGCCACCATCCGCAAACACACCATAATCATCCGCTTAGCCAATCGCGGCCGGGGCTTCGAGGACGAATATCATCCTGAACCGTCGGCCGTCCACTCCCGTCAATGGACGGAGTACCTCTTCCTCAATCCTGCACTCGATCGTAGAGTGAGCGGTATTGATCTCAATGAAGCCCCATGGCTCAATCCGCCCTACGAGGGGCTCCTCGCTTTCACCAGCTCGCGGATGACAGACACAGTCAGCTCGCTGGTGGAATGCACGGTCTCGGACAAGGCAGCAATGTCTATCGAGGCTTTCCGGGCTCTACCTGCCACCCTGGCTCCCCATCTGCGCGTCCTCCAGCTATCTATCGCCAACTTCGCCCGCTTCCCCGAGGTCCAGACGGGTATAATCATCCTAGACGTCTCCCTCCCCTTCCTCGACGAATTCACCATCGACTGCGCCAGAGCTGTGGACGTCCAGGAATCTCGATTGACAGGCGCTCAGGCCCCCCTCGCCGGCATGAACGGACTCCGTCGGTTCAACATCCTCTACCATCTTGTCGTGCCCCTCCAATCCCTCGCGGAACACATCTGCCGCCTGGGAAGCAATGAGGTGGTGTTTCACTTTGGTGGCATCAAGTCCAAAGAGGGGAAGAGAGACTTTCATAAGCTGGCTCAGGAGCGTAAGCGGGCTTTATTGTGATGGTCAGTCCAATTCGTCTTCGGACCTCAATCTTGTGCTGAAAGCTAGATGTACTGTCCGCCCGTGGGATCCCGCTGGGCAAGGTCATTGCGGGGATACGTTGGATCGTTATCCCGGAGCAGGCCCAAGGGGCTAAGATTATGAGCGAGTCTCAAGTGGGCATACCAGGCGCAGGCGAGTGGAGAGGGTGGTGAAGTGGTGGACGGCGTGTCGATGGAAGGGGGTCAGGCTGGATTGGGATTGGGACAGGACTGGGGACGGACTGGGGGAGGGATGGAACGCAGTATTGGATCAAGCTCTTGGCTGGTCCTTTCTCGCTTTCGTTTTGGGCAACATTCGATCTGTCTATCCGCAGCATCATATGCTGTTCCTCACATCACTACAGCTTTGTACTTCAGCAGCTCCAGATGCAAATATGTTGGGCGGCTGGGATGCTGGCTCATAGCAAAGCTCCTTCCCACGATCTCGTAATGGGCGCTCGCGCTTAATCATAGAGACGCGCCGAAAACCAATCGACCAAGTATCGACTTTACTTCGTCCATCTTTGCAGCGACATCATGGATGAACCTACTCCAGACATTCCCATCCTGGAGGCGACACCAGAGCAGCTGTTCGTGAGGCTCAAAGAGCTCCACGCTCTCGCAAAGGCCGCCCAGGCGGAAGGACCCAAAGGGCCGGCAAGACGCGTCTGGGATGTGCTGGAAGTCAGGGAGAAGATCATCGGGATGGTGGACAGGAGGACTCAGGGGAGGATGATGAGGCTACACAAGGGAGCGACAGCTTCAGTCGCTTCCAAGCTGTATCGGGAGGTCCATGTGAATGTGTTGCGGAATATGAGCCGAGCTATCGTGAGCACCCTCTCTGTCTTGGAAATATCCGGCTTGTTTGCCCTGCCTGTCTTGTAGCTGACAGCTCAGCCGCGACGCGCCGTTTGCTGCAACGCTGTCCTCGCGGTTGACACCAGCCCTCGGCCAGATGTCACTGACCCCTTCGGGATATGGGCCGCAATTGAACGGCACAAGCCTGGACCGCGGTCGTTCGACCTCGAAAGGCTGAAGCAAGACCTCGAGATCTGGCGCAGGAAAGCGCCTCGTCTACAGCGGGTGCTCCATCTATATCCACCGGGAAACAAGGATGACGCCTGGATCGCGTACATCATCGGCGACCGGATCGAGATCGACCTGCAAACGGTCTTTGCACCCACATTCCAAATGATCGGATTCGTTCCACCCGCCTTTCCTCCCACCCCGGTCATAAGCGGAGCCATCATCCGGCGGCATACCATCGTGCTTCGTCCATATCTCGAGGTCGCAGGGTCGCGTTACGACGAGGGCGACCTGCCGTTGTGCTCATCGTACCTTTTTGACAATCCCAACCTTGACGTCCGCGTTGACAGCATCGACCTGTACCGTGCGTTGGCAATGAACCCAATATTCCTTACAATCATCCTCTTCCTCCATAAGCGGCGCTCCATCGCACCGACCGCGGGGGTCACGGTCTCAGACGTAACCGGAAACACTCTGCCCAACTTTCGCTTGTTTGCGGACTTCCTCGGCCGCAGCCTCCGCGTCCTCCAAGTCCCAGTCGACATATTCGTTCCCTTTCCGGACGTACAAACGGGGATCTCCATCTTGGATGCGGCCCTGCCCTCCCTCGACGTATTCACCATCGACTACGGGGAGCTTACAACCCTTCAGTCTCGCTTGAGCGGCCCGCCGCTGTCCGGCATGCGAGGTCTGCGCAGCCTTAACATCCTACACTCTAGCGGGCAGGCGCTGCCCGAGTTTGCCGAATTTATCTGCCGTTTGGGAGGAGATGACTGTGTGTATCACTTTGGCGGGATCAGATCAAAGAAGGGAAAGCGCGACTTCCACGCACTTGTGAAGCAGCAGAGGAGAAAGGCCTTGAAGTGGTAAGTTTACTCTATACCTCAAACCAGACCTGCGCTAATAGCTAGAGCTCCGTCCTTTCACATTTCAGCCGAGAAAGGGAGGAGGAGGCGGCTCTGAGTATGGATGGTACAGCTCCATCTCTGGGCGAGAGCCGGGCGAGGGCGGGTCGAGGGCAGGTCTATGAGAGGAGGAGCATGCACGAAGTGGGGGAGCGAAGTGGGGCAGCAATCTGATTTGCGATCATCTCTGCTTCTTGCTATACTTCGCTGCTACATTTCCTTTGCAAGTCTCTTCGCATCTATGGATGGCTCTGGAGTAGTGCTTCTATGAGGCCAGCTGGCCTGCCTCTACTCGCAAGCTCTCACAGGTCTGCCTCTACTCGCAAGCTCTCACAGGTCAACCGTCCGGAGGTGCTCGCTTGGCTCGCCAAACTCTCTCAAACGTTTCCGAAAGCTCATGGCTGATCGATGATCTCAACTTTGCTTTTACTTTGTCACCTCCTTTTCCACAGAACCCGTCATGCGAGCAGATCAATGTCAGACGTGCACGATACAGATGTGCCAGAATGCCCAAATGGGGTCTTCAATTTCCCCTCAGGCTCAACGCGGGTCGTCGATGCAGATGAAGAGGTGAGTAACCCCTGTCCGTTTGCTACATGAAGCCCTTCAGGTAGCTGATCAGCTCAGATCATGGAGCTCTATATGACACTAAGCACGATCACGTCTACCTCCGAGGACCTTGGTGAAAGTACAGGCGGACTAGGCTATCTCGACGCAACGCAGAGTATACTGCAGCTCGATCTGGAGCTCGTACCGCCAATGAAAGGTGCGGTCCCCAAAGCGGCAAAGGGCCGGTCTAGGCGCACCAACGGGGCCGCTACATCCAGGGAGGAGGCGATGGTGGTATCGGTACAATTGCAGCAGGACCTACACACTCTCAAAACAAGCAAGGGGGACACCGGTACGCTAAGTTTTGGTCGGAAGCTGTGATGCGGGGAGCTGATACATCAGGCAGTGTCTTATGGCGAAGCAGGTATGTCAATCACATCGCGACTACATGGCTTATCGGAGCTGATCTGACCGCTAGTCTCCATCTCGCCCGTCACATTCTCACCCAGCACACCTTCCCCACTCCCTCCGTCATCCCACTCCTCTCACCAGACAAGCTCAAATCTGCGCGTATCCTCGAGCTCGGCTCGGGGACTGGTCTCCTCGGCGTTCTCCTCTCGCCTCTCTGCTCATCCTACGTCGCGAGTGACCGGTTCGAGAACCTACGGCTCATCCAGCGCAATATCGAACTCAACGGGCTGGGAGATTCCAAGTCGGGTCAGTCTGGGCGCGCTGGTGCCAGTAAGGCTGCCAGGGGCGCTGTCACTGCCGCTGAGAGCGCTCTCGAAGTCAGGGAGGTGGATTGGGTAGAGGCTTCGGGAGCGCGGCGGAAGCGGGAAGCGAGCGGCAAGGTTGCTCAGGACAGCGAGTCAGACGGCGAAGAGCCGTTCGATCTGATCCTGGCGGTCGATTGTATCTTCAACGAGTCGCTGGTCCAGCCTCTGGTGGATACTTTCGCGCGCTACTGCTCAGAGGGGGGCCGAACGATGGTCTGGGTGGTCATCGAGCTCCGGAGCTCGGACGTGGTGAGTGCAGCCTCTCTCAAGCTCTACTTATTTGCTCGTAAGCTGACGCTGCAGCTGACGCTCTTCATGGACACTTGGCTGAACGACCCGGCTGGTCCATGGACTATCATACGTCTGAGCGAGGAGGCTATGGGGATGTGGGACGGCGGGGCAAAGGGTCGTTGGGTTGGCTGGGTGGGCTGGCGGTAGAGTTGTACTCGTATGGGGCGGGACGGCAAGTCAAAAGTCTCTGCTTCCTGCTATATAACAGCTCGAGCATCCTATCAGCGCTCGATATCTCTTGCAGTCTTACTAGCTCTCCTTCTGGCCATGCACGAGCACTGCCTCACCGTCTCAGCCAATCAGAATCTGGCAGGCCCAGCTCCACATTCCTCGCCGTCGCGTCCAGCAGTTCGAGATCTTTCCACCTGCATCGCATCAGTCATAGGCCGTAGCCACCTGATAGGGGCGTCCGCGGACAAGTCCCTCAACGGGGATGCGGCCGTCAGACCCTTGGTGTGTGTGTGGATCCACGACGGCTCTGCCATGTCGGACGGGACCGGTTGGGAGCTCGGCGGTGGGGATGGTCTTTTTCTGGAGCAATTCGCCATTATGGGCGCAGAAGTCAGCACCGCTGGCGCCTGGGTCGCGCAGGGGGGTGGTGCGCAGGAGGCGATCGTTCTGCTTCTGGAGTGGCTGGGCGATGAACATGAGGTCCATTGGAGTGTGTCGGCGGGATGGTTGTCTATCTAGGCGTCATCTGGTGAGTCAGCTCAGTCATAGTGACAGATGGTCTCGTCATCTCGCTGACTATAGTCCTTTCACGACCCCTATACCCTCGACATGTCCCAGGAACCACCGAACATCATGCAGAGCGGGAACTCGCCCCCTCAGGAGTTCACCGACAACGACCTCATTCCTCCCTTCAATCTCATCCGCGAGAGTCTTCCCATCATCACCGTCTTGGACCTCTCCGACATTCGAAAGCTATACCGCAACAAAGGGATCGACATGTGCGATAAGGCAAGCTTGGACTTTTGGGGGAGATGGAGTGGGTAAAAGAGGGCGATCATCACATTCTCCATCACCTAGCCAAGGAAGGGGAGGACCCGGTGGAGTGAGTCTTCTCTCCCCTTTTAGAGCTGCGCTGACTCGTAGGGCTCAATTCACCTTCACTGGCTTGGGTCTACTTACCCGCCTCTCCCTTCCCACACCTCTCCTACGACAACCTCGGCGCCTTCACACCCGACAATCACCCTACACTCTGCCCCCCCCCACTACCTCCCCGGCTTCCCCGGCCCGGTCCACATGATCCCTGGCGCGGTCGACCGTGTCGACTTCGGATCAGATGACCTTTATGCCCTGCACTATCCGACCGGTGGCGAGACTTCACGGATCGCCTTGTGGTCGATCTTCCTCCGTGCTCTCGGTATCCACGTCACGGATCTCGGTTCAACCTTCGCCGATTCTGCCCAGGCGGAGGTGGATCAGGCTCTCGCGGATTTCGCAGCTACCCTGCCCATGGAGCGGCTCCCGTTCCCCACTCCGGCCGAGAAAGGCGTCGTCGGGGAAGCGGACCTGGATATCTTCCGGACTGTGTCCACGCCGAGCAGACATGCCGACCTTCACTCGGACTCGGCTATCATCTTCTCCGGACCAGGTATCGGCAATTTACACCGCACATACCCTCCTTCTCCCCGCGAAATGCTCTGGTTACTTCGGTACCTGCAGGACCGCGGTTTCACATGCCAGCTCGAGGCCAACTTCGGCCCCCTCTCTCATGACGTCATCCTTCCCCTGGGTGCAAGCCCCTTCCCCTCCGACTTCACGCCTCACGGATTCGAAAAACCCCGGCGGTGGTCCGGCGTCAACTCTTCCGAGTGGGGGACAAGGCAACCGACCGTCCAGAGGAAGTAAGTGATCTCCCTTACGATACGACGTGCTTCTAGCTGATCAGACAGGCTGTGAGAGGCGGAATAGGGGGCCAAGGGGGGATCAGCTAGCTGGATGCAATTGTCGGCCTCAGACTGTCCAAGATGCTCACGCGCTCCCACTTGCATACGCATCGATTTTACAAACTCAATCAGCCCGTTTCCGTCTCTGCTCCCTCACACCCTGCCTGATCCTCGACCCAGCAGGCCTGTCCGATACCCCGACCTCAGCAGCCATACGCTGAGGAGCCCTTCTTGACGCGTCGCACGGACCACATTCCACGCTCTAGTCTGGACGCGTCGACCTTATTCCTCCTCTCTTCCACCTCTTGTCTCATCATCTTCATCTTTAATACATCTATATCAGCATGACTGAAGCGCAGCCTCAGACGCGCCATAAGACCGTGCTACGCCCTCTACTCCACTTTGTAGGCGGCAAGAGGGTCGACCGGTCAGGAGTGGCGTCCGCCAGCAGCTCCGTATCAATTCCCACTCGCCTTCCTCCTGCAGACCCCTCGTCTATCCGGTACACGCGAATGCCAAGCTCGCGCAAGTCGGGTCCAGCCGCTCTCTTCGACGATTTTAAGCGCGTCCGTCAGTCTGGCGGGACCAGCCAAGGCGGTCCATCGCTGAAACCCCCTCCTGTCCTTTTCGCCATCGGATCCCGGCCATGCCCACCGGACACTGATTTTGGTGAGCTGCTCAGGCAGCATCTTGAGGAGTAGGACGCTAGGGAGGAGGAGGAAGCGGAGGAAGCAGAACAGGACGGGGAGGAAGAAGCCAGTACGGATCCGGACCCCCTCCCCAAACCTAAAAAGATCACTCGCCATCGTCGCTCCTATCGCGGTGGTTCCATCTCCTCGTTCGATTCGTTCGACTCGGTCGGCTCGACCCGTCTGGCTGCACCTCGGATGCCTCGTATCTCGAAGATACAACAAGGCGGTCAGGCAGCTGCTCGCGTATACCACACGCTTGAGCTGCGTCTTCGCATCTTTGCGGAATTGCCGAAAGATACGCTGGCGAGGTGCTTGCGCCTCGAGAAAGCGGGGACGGCTTTGGTGGCGGGAATACTGTATAGGGAGATTCATGTGTCTTTGATGAGTAAGATGAGCAGAGCCGCTGTGAGTCAATCCAGTCCTCGTGGGCTCTGGGCGGGGTGCTGACTCGCAGGGCCGCAGGGTGGTCTACTGCGATGCTGTGCGCGTCTTGCATACCTCCAGGCCCCTGGCTGACAGGTTCATCCGGGAGAACTCGGACGATAAAATGAGGCGTCCCCCTACCCCCTTCGACCCCGTCACCCTCCTCCCTCAAATCCGCAAATGGCAGAAGAAATGGCCCAACCTGTCACAAATCTGCCACCACTTCCCGGACATTCGCGGCTCGGATCGGTACACCCTCGACATACGAGAGGACGGGCGCATAACGGTCGACTTGGAGACTGCGGTCCTCCTGAATGTCTTTGACGGACCCTTTTGAATTCCCAGCCTGCCCCCCGTTCCCACTTTTGCGGGGGTCGAGGTGGTCCGCCACACTCTGGCCTTGGGCGCGGCACCGTCCCGACCAGGACAGTACGCGCAGATCCTGCACAGCTCGCCGTTCAAAGTGAACGCAGAGCAGTAGAAGCAGTACCTATACTGTAACCCCGCGCTCGACGGGCGGGTGACGGATATAGACAAGTTTCCCTTCAGGGGGTTCCAGCTGTCCTTCGCGGAAGCGCTCTCGTTCATCGAGACGCGCCGAGCGCCCGGCAGCGAGCCACTATCCCACTTCTTCCTCTCCGTCCAAGGCGACCTCACCCTCCGCGACTTTCGCACCCTCATCCGCGCTCTCCCCTCTACTCTTCGGTCCATCCACATCGACCAAGAGCTCTTCAGCGAGCTCCATACCAATCCCACCCTTATCGCCATCCTCGACGAGTCGCTCCCGCAACTCGAGGAGGTCGCTATAGCATGGTGCGATGGATTCAATACCATACGTCACCTGCTGTTCGAATTGGAGGAACCCCTCGTCGGCCTGCCTAATCTCAAGACGTTCACCTTCCTCTGGATGTTGATCGGCAACAGACCCCTCGACCCTCCCGCCCGGTATGTCTGCTAGCTGGGGAGAGATGATTGCGTCTACCGGTGCCCAGATGTGAACGGTATCAAGAGAATGCAGGAGTTTGGACAGCGCGTAAAGGAGCTGAAGCGGTCAGTTGCGATTTGGAGTTTCGGACGATTTGGCTGGAGCTGATTCTCTAGTTTGTCAAAGATGCCTGCTGAGTACTTGGAGTACGAGGAGGATGGGTGGATGTTTCTAAACCGATATTGATCTCTAGAGATAGCCATAGCATAGAACTTTGCCCTAGATACTTGTCAGCGATGTACACGGTGACCTTACGGTACTGTTGCGCGTGTTGCGCGTTTTGATTTTGGACGCGTCGGGCGACTTTGCGGTCCACTTTTCCTCTTGCTCTAATCTTGTCTTTATACAGCATGATCGAAGAGACACCAGACGCGCCTGACAAGGGCGCGCCGCGCAACTCACTCGCTTGGGTGGGGAAGCAACGACCCAAGGGAGCAACGGCTGCGGCCGCTGGCTGGTTGCACGACTTTCCTACTCCTCCTTCCTCGGCGCGGCCTCAGTCCACCTTCAGAACTGGCCAGTGGACCTCAGGCTCCACTTCGGCTCCTACGCGTCTCGGGATCCCTTCAGACCTTAGCGGCAAAGTGGGTACAACGTTCACCGTCGACGGCAGAAGCTCGGGCGTACAATCGGTCCAGTCCCGCCTCGACCTGGCGGCATGGTCTGGACGTCGTCGTCCCATATCCGGGGATCTACGTATTCCGGCGGGCACTTCTCCAGCAGAAGCATCACAAGAAGAGGCGGGTATCAGCCCTCTTCCACCGTCAAGCTCGGCGGTCCCGTCGGTCACCCCTCATCTCGATCTCGCGGCGCGGTCCGATTCGGGCGACGACCCGGCTTCTCACTCAGCTACATGGTGGACGCCGGCAAAGGACGTATATCAGGACCTGACGGGAATGTTGAGGAGGGAGAAAGAGGCGGCGCGCAAGGCAAAAAGCAAGAGGACCAAGGTCGGGACATGGGACAGCTTTGAGCGGATGCTGCGCGGAGAGGGAGAGGAGGAGCCCGAGCCGGCCAGTCCCGATCCGGACCCTCTCCCTATCCCTAAGGACACTAAGCGGGACCGGCACTACTTTCGGCGCGGGTCGACAGGCTCGGTCGAGTCGCTCGACTCGTATCATCCACCCCCAGAGGACTCGTATGAGCGGCCGACTCGGAAGAAGATCAGGCAGGGCGGGGCGGCGGCGGCAAAGGTCTGGCATACGCCTGAGCTCAGGTCAGGCGTGCTCTCGCTGTTGAGGAAGGATATGTTGGCGGTCTGTCTGCGGCTTGAGAAGGGGGTAACGAGCGACGTGGCGGGATTGTTGTACAAGGAGATCCATGTGGGGATGATGAGCAGAATGAGCAGGGCAGCTGTGAGTACACCGGAACGCCGACTGAGGAGGATGAAGCTGACTTGTAGGGACGCCGTGTCATTTACTGCGATGCTGTGCGCGTCTTACATCTCTCCAAACCGCTCCCCGAGATCGTCCACCGGCGGACGGCCGAAGCAAAGAAGCAACGCAGACCAGCGGTCCACTTTGACCCGGTGACCCTCCTACCCCAAATATCGAAATTCCGCAAAAAGTTCCCCAATCTATGCGTTCTGCACCATCACTATCCGGCCACCCGGGGGAGCGACACATACTCGGTCGATCTGCGGGATGGGCGGATTCGCGTCGACCTGGAAACAGGCTTCCAGCTCGAGTTCTTCGACACCCCATTCCGGGTCCCAGACTTTCCCCCTATTCCGTCTTTTGACGGGGTGGAAATCGTCCGTCACACCCTCGCCCTCACCATCGGCCCTAGTCCCCTCGGCGAGAAGGGAGGCCATAACCTCTTTTTCCACCCGTTTATCGCGGTCCTGGCGGAATGGAAACAGTTCCTCTACTGCAACTCCACCTTAGACCGGCGAATCACCAATATCGATTCCTTCCCCTGCAGGTCACTCACGCTGTCCCTCGCCGAAATGTCGTCTTTCATCGAGCAGCGGCGGTCGTGTGAGCCACTCTCCCATCTGTGCCTGGACAGTCGGGACGATATGTCCCTGCGCGACTTCCGCACGCTCATCCGCTCCCTCCCTCCCACCCTCCGCTCCCTCCACATCGACGTCCCCCTCCTCGAGGACCTGGACACCAATCCCACCGCCATCGCCATCATCGACGAGGCGCTACCGCAGCTGGAGGAACTTGCTATCCGATACGGGCTAGACCCCGACCCCAGGCGTCAAGGCTGCCTGCGCTTCCACATGGTGGACCCCCTCGTCGGTCTGCCAAAGTTGAAAAAATTCACTCTTCTTTGGTATGGGATCTCCGAGGATGAGATGGACTCGCCGGCGCGATATATCTGCGAGCTCGGATCGGAGGACTGCGTCTACTCGGCGTCGTCCCTGCACTACATCAAGCCCATGCAGGAGTTCAACGACAGGGCGAGGGAGCTGAAATTGTGAGTGCCAATGAAAGTGGACGGTCTCGTATGTAATTGGGCGGAGCTGATCATACTATAGGATGTCAAGGATGTCCTGTGGTGATCTAGAGCATATGAGCGGTAGCTGGATGTTCCGCGAATCCGATTTCTGAGCTATAGACGGCCTGGCTATAGCAAGTGCACGATTATGCACGCACGGACTAGACTAGTTGAGCTGGACTTCTCGGCGCAGCCTTCTTTGCCTTTTCACTTCATACGCCATACACAGCACGCTGTGATACGCTCGAGCTGCGCCGTATAGCTCAAGCCCGCACCGTCCACCAGCTCCCCAGCTGCCACGCGACATGCTGCCCGTCGGCGACTCCGCGCCCTCTCCCTCCTCGGGCGGACGCAGCGCCATCTATGACCACCCTTACTTGCGGCTTTACATCCTCGAGCTACTCGACAAGGCTACGCTGGCAAAGCTCCTTCGGGTCGAGAAGGGCCTAACAACTGTCGTTGCTGGTCTGTTGTACAAGGAGGTGACAGAGGAGCAGGCAGATAAGATGAGCCGAGATGATGTGAGTCCCTTTCAACCTCCCAATCACTATCCAATATCGTCCAAATATGACCCTGGAGTCGCGTCACCGCCTTAGGGAGCAAGCTGTTCTTTGGCGCTCTTCATTCTACTATAGGCTAAAGTAGGCGAAGGCTGAGGCTGACGTGGCAGGATCGTCGAGCCACCTGCTGCGACGCGGTGCAGATCATCAATCGCAATTCCCCTCCATGACACCCCTTCTCCCCCATCGACCACGACCACACACCGGTCAGATTTGACGCCGCTGCCCTCGCCAGCGATTTGGCTACCTGGCGAGCTACCTTCCCAAACCTCCGGACCATCTTGGCCGACCGCTCCATCCGGGATGGCGACGACAAATACACGGTCCACCTGGACGCGGAAGGCGTACGGCTCGAGCTGGAGACTTCCAGCACTTCGATATATACACCTATCCTGACCCTACCGCGGTCCCGCCCTTCCTTCTGCCCACGCCGGTACTCGACGGGGTTGACGTGCATCACGTCATCTGCATCACGCTGGTGGATAGCGATGATGAGGATTTATGGGGCGATGCAGAGCGGGATGACGCGCTGGACAAGTGGAAGGAGTGGCTGTATCGCAGGCCGCTCGATCCTCGCGTCGTCAGCGTGGACCATCACTCCTCAACCAATATGCCTTTCTATTACGAGGATTCGGAACGATTCGTCGCCGGGCGATCGGCTAATGGTTGCGAGCCCCTCCGCTCGGTCTTCATCCCAGACATCAGCGCAATGGGGACGGCTCCGTCAGCCGCTATGGAAAACATCTACAGCCTGATCCCGGGCGGTCGCTCGGACACCATTCGCGAGGTAGCCATCGAACATCCTCTCGTTGAAGGTTACCGCCATCTCCTACAGCTTCCCATCCTCCACCTTGGGCGGATCTTTCCCCAGCTCGAGCTCCTCACCCTCTTTGATCGGTTCTACGAGGGCTATCCCTTCTCCGACGCCGTCCCTTTGGCTGGTCTACCTCGTCTTCGGGATCTTACCGTCTACTGCGACGGCAATACTCCTCCTCTCGCTCAGATCGCGTCAAATATTTGTCAGCTTGGGGGTCCGGACTGCCGGTATAGATTGATAAGCTCTGGGGAGGCGAAGATCTCCGAGGAGGAGTTCACTGACCTTGTAACCGCCGCCAAGCTGTAAGTCCGAGGTTGTGGTCACCTGGCTAATGTAAGATCCCCACCGATGGTGCCGGTATTCTTTCGAGAAGTCATGAAGGAGTTGGAGGAGTCTTATATGGAGTCTGGAGATTGTGTGCAGGGTGATGAGCATTGAGATAGTAACGTAGCATTTCGGTGTACTGAAAGCTGTGCATGGACTACATTATCTTCGTATCCTGGCATGTAACGCGCAGCTGGCCAGGCGCGAGCTCGCCCGCCAATTAGCCCAGCGTGCCGGATGCTGACTACGAGTATGTAGGACTAGATGAGGAATGAGGAGTTCTGACGGAAAGTTTTTGGGACTCGCTCCTGAAAGCGTGTGCATGGATTCTTCGCATCTCAATACCTCATCCGTGCTTCTTTCCATCTATATCTATAGACGGCGAGAAGCCGCCTAGCACAGACAGCGATGACTGAGCTCGCGCTAGCCCCAGCCAAGACTCCTGCCATCGACACAGGGGTCCCAAGCTCGGAAGGAGCTTGCCGCAGAGCGTGGGGCACGCCCGAGATACGCCTATCCGTATTCGACTTTCTGGATCAACACACCCTGTCTCTCCTGCTGCGCGTCGCAAAGAGCTGGACTGCAAGCGTGGCTAGTGTTCTGTATAGGGAGATGAGACTGGAGCATGTGAATGGGATGAATAGGGATGATGTGAGTTCCTGGTACCTTCTGGCCGAGAGGAAGGGGGCGTGACCAAGGGCCGGTGCTGCCAAAGCTCACGGGCGGGGAGAGGGGATGGGGAGCTATCATCATCTGTTCGCTGATGACCGGGCTGACGAATCAGGTTCGTCGAGCCATCATGTGCGATGCCGTCAAAACCCTCAACCTAAATCCTATCCCCCTCCATCAACGCCCCCTACCTCGTCGCAAAGACAAGCGCGGTCCTGGACGCTTCGACGCTTCCTCCTTAGCTGGCGATCTGGCCATCTGGCGAGCCAAGCTACCCAATCTACGTACCATCCTAGCCGACCGGCCTACTCGAGATGACGACGATGTCTACACGGTCAGCCTCGATGGCGAGACCATACGGGTCGAGCTGGAATCCCACATCACGCTCGACATCTACACCCTCCCTGACCCCCTCACCATCCCGCCCCCTCTTCCGACAGTACCGGTCCACGAGGGCATGACATTCCGGCATATGATAGCCATCGAGCTGGAGGATGGGGATATTGAGGAGGAATGGGACGAGGATGAGCGGGATGAAGCTGTGGCTAGGTGGAAGAAATGGGCGTATCACCGGCCGCTGGATCGGCGGATCGTCGGCGTCAGTCACCCACTCGTCGGAATGTCATACGATTATGACGACCTCGTGGTCGCCTTCAAGCAGCGCCTCGAGGGAGACCGCGAGCCATTGCGCTATATCCACCTACCCCCAATCCGAGGTCACGACAGCCCAAATGTTCTTCAGCAGCCGGGATACCGGGATCTCTGCCAAAGCATTGTCCTCAATTCGACCGTCGCTATCGGGCGGGCACTGCGTTCGCTCCACATCCACCTATCCCTCCTCACAGCCTTTGGAGCTATCAGGATCGCGCTCACCCTCCTCGACAAACAATACCCCCTTCTCGAGAAGCTACACATAGAAGGGTGGCTCCCTGATGATCACCACTTCACGGAAGACTCCCAATTCGGCGGTCTGCCGAATCTGCGCGAGCTCTCGATGAAATACAATGGCGAGGCGGACCCCAAGGAGATCATTGCCCCATACATCTCCCGCCTGGGAGGTCCAGACTGTTTCTACAGGCTATTGGGTCCCAATATAGACATGAGGGAGTTCAACGCGGCCGTACAGCATGCAAGAAAGTGAGTGGACAAGTGCGAGTGCGGGCTGACTTCAGACATCCCTCGGATACGTCCGTCGAGAAGGAAGCTGTCTGGCTTGCCTTTGACAGCAATATCCGCGCCGGAACAAGGCGATAGTCTTCCGCTGCTGATGGTGTACATGAGCCCAGACTGTGAGTGTTTACTGAGTACAGAATGGCTGATGGCAGTAACACGTACCGGAGATGCCAAGCTAGATACGATTTTGACCCGACGCGAAGGACGGGCGATTGGGTGACACAGCTTTGATGCGGTAGCTAGCATTCTGTATTCCTTTGGAACTGGTACCGCCCTATGTATCGTACATCGTTTCGCGATCTGGGGAGAAGGACCAGCCCGTATATAAGCGAAGCCAGGACTAGTCTCGCGTGGCCATACTCTCGCTGATATATGCTTGAGCTCGCTTGCTGAGGAATGAGGAGTTTGACCGGAAAGTTTTTGAAAGTCGTCACAATGCACTGAAAGTTTGTGCACCCTGCAATCCCCTTGCGATTTGGCCTTCAGCCTACATGTATGCCTCATCTCATCTCTAAACACCGGCCAAGAGGGCTTTAGTACGAGCAACGATGGTCTCGCCACCCGTGCTCTCGGTCATGACCCCTGCGTTGGGTACAGGGGTCTCAGGCGCGGGGTCCGCCTCAAGCAGAGGGTGGGCCACGGTGGAGATTCGCCTTCTCATACTCGAGCTGCTGGACCGCAGGGATCTAGCGATACTACTACGCGTCGAGCGGCGGCTCACCTCACCTGTTTCTAGGCTGCTGTATAGGGAGGTCAGGCCGAGTGAGGCGGCTTGGATGAACAGAAGCAAAGTGAGTTGGGTTGCCGTGACGTAGATACCAGATCTCTGCTCGGTACGAGGCTATGCTGAGAGTTACGTCGCCGTGATGAGGTCGTCAAGCTGACCAAGCAGGATAGACATGCTATCCTCTGTGACGCTGTCATAACCCTCAACCGCAATCCCATTCCTCCTCATCAAGAACCCCATCCCTTTGGCCAAAACAAGCGGGGACCCATCAGATTCTGCGGACCGTCCCTCGCTGCCGAGCTCGGGGCCCTCAGAGCCAAATTCCCGAATTTGCGCCATATCATCGCCGATCGACCGAGTCGGAAGGACGATGACTCCTATACCGTCCTCCTCGAGGGCGAACAGGTCCGGGTCGAGCTGGAAAGCGTTGTCGTATTTGACATCTACACCCACCCTGATCCGATCGCCGTCCCTCCTACCGTTCCGGCGGTCCTGGTGCATGAGGGAATGGACATCCACCATACCATCGCTATCATCCTGGATGACAGTGATATTGAGGAGGAAGGGGACGCGGATGAGCGGGATGACGCGGTGAGGAGGTGGAAGGAGTGGCTATACAAAGGCCCCCTAGATGCTCGGGTGACGAGGATCGACGGCGACGATATCGGGATGTCTCTGAGCTGCAGGGAGCTGGACGGATACATTACGCGGCGCCAAGCCACGGGCTGCGAGCCTATCCGGGGCATCGAGCTGGACGACACAGTATATGGGTACGGGGACTGCACGGTGTCGATCCTCTCCATGGCTGCTCGCCTCGCGCCCCATCTGCGCCATCTCTCCATCTCACACTCCACTCTCTCCACGTTACTCGGCGATCTGGATTCAGGCATCATCGCGCTCGACCACCTCTACCCTCAACTCGAGAATCTCACCATCTACTTCATCAATAACAAATACCCTCTCGGCAGCGACCGTAGCGGTGCCGCAATGTTGGGCCTCCCCAAGTTGCGCAAGCTTTCCCTGTGCTTCCACCGCAGCTTTAATCGGACATCCAACGCGGATATCACGCAGTGGGTATCTCGAATAGGAGGGTCGGACTGCCTGTACAGCTCGAATCTTGTCACGGGGTCAGGGTGGCAGCAATTCAACAAGGATGTCCATGCGGCTAAACTGTGAGTAGCGCTGAAACGAGACCAGCTGATGGTAGGCACCTTCCCCAAGTTTTCGATAGCGACGTGTCACTGTCGGCAAAAGAAGTCGTGATTCATGAGCTCGACCGTCTGCTCTCGAACCAGTATGCTGGAGAAGCGGAGCGGGCGGACGAGTGCGTCTTGTCATGCTAGCAATGCATCGCTTTCCTTTGGGTCTCACTTCAGATGGGATCCGATCTGTTTCCAGGGACTGCGCATGGAGGTAGGGCGACTCAGCCCGATTTGCGTCTCGTCTGTTGCAGATCCAGGCGAGGAATGAGATTAATGAGGACTTGAGAATCGCAACTATCTTCTGGCGTTGTACCTCATTTCGGTCTCCGTCTTACAATATCCTCGTATCCTCGATACGCTGATTCACTGTTGAGCCTGTACAGACTTTCCCTCTGCCGTCTTCACAGGCACTGCACCTGTACAGACTATCCCTCTGCCGTCTTCACAGGCACTGCATCAAAACTATCGACCTCACCGGCTCCGGAGCAAGATGCCTCCCCCAGTACCCTCGGAGGGCTCGCCCGTCAGCAGTAGCCGCAGAGCGTACGATGCGGTCGAGGTTCGCCTACACATCTTCGGCATGCTCGAGCAAAGCACACTGGCGGTGCTCATGCGGGTAGAGAAGGGGGTCACAGCGAGCGTGGCAAGCGTACTGTACAGGGAGGTCTCGGCGGGACAGGCGCGGCGGATGGTGAGGGACACTGTAAGCCATGCCCCCACCCTGATTTTTCGACTGTCGGCAACAGGGCTGAACTTGAGCTGACGGCGTAGGAACGTCAACGCATCTTATCTGATGCTGTGCGGACCATCACTCTGAATCCTTGTCGAGCGGACCCCTCCCTTCAACGCACACCCCAACGCCCTCCTCGCAAATTCAAACTGTCAGACCTTACCGCATGGCAAGCCAAAATGCCCAATATCCGCAAGATCCTGGCCGACCGGTCTGGTCAGGATGGCGACGATATCTTCACGGTCGACATTGACGGCGGCAAGTCGAGGATCGAGCTGGAGTTGCATGTCCTTTTTGACATGTACACCCTCCCTGATCCCTTTGGCGAGGCACCGCGCCTCCCGCCGACCCCTGCCCGCAAAGGTGTGGAATGCCACCATACTATATGGATCAAACTGGAGGACAGTAGCCGTCCGCGTCCGTGGATCTGGAGGCGCGGAGAGTGGGAGGAGGCTCTAGATCGGTGGAGGAGGTGGCTGTATCGCCGGCCGCTCGATCCGCGGGTCGTTGCCGTGGACCATTCATCCACCGGCATGCTCTACACCGTCCCGGACGCGGTCGAGCTCATCGTCCAGCGGTCCAAAGCCAAGGACAAGGCCGAGCCACTGCGCTTCGTCTCCTTTCCCGCTCCATCCACCTTCGACCATTTAGGTAACGAGCTACACGGCGAGGCCTATGCCAGTCACTGTACCAAATTCATGGTCAAAATCTCCTACATCCTCAGTCGCGCCCTACGGGTCCTCCATATCGACTATCACCTCGTTGCGGCCTTCTCATCCGTCGACGCAGCCCTCACCGTCCTCTCCTTCCAATACCCTAAGCTCGAGGAACTCGTTATCACCGGTACCTTCCCCGACGACTACCCCTTCGCCGACGTGCTCCCTCTGAGCGGGATGCCCGGCCTGCGTCACTTGACGCTCCGGTACGATGGAGACGCATCCCCACAGGGTGTCATCGCTCCCTTCATCTGTCATCTGGGCGCTGCCGATTGCCTGTACACGTTGAAGGGGATTTCGGGGTCGAATTTGTCCGACAAGGACTTTAATGCGGCAGTGCAGAATGCGAGACTGTAAGTTGCCATCTTGGCGCCAGCTGACTGTCAGTCGTCCCCCTCCTGATCTTAGCCCGTACGCGGCGCAAACGGCAGAGCTGGCTGCGGCATTCGAAAGGCTTGATCGGGACACGCATAGTTGGAGGAGCCGCTGAGAAGTCTGCTCCTGCCTTAGTATCGTTTATACATGAGATCTTTCTATCTATTCAGCTTGGAAAGCCGACGCATCTGTCATGTTAGCTCCGCTAGATCTCCACGTCCCAAAAGGGAAATGGCTCACCAATCACATCATCTACCCTCAGGATCATCCTCACCACCTGCGTAGCGAGCAAAAATTGCTGGCGTTTACTGATCAACGGATCATAGACGTGCTGACTCCGCATGTCTTGTTTGATCAGTTTTGATCCCCTAGACCCACCCAGGATGAAAGCCAGACTCAGACTAACCATTTTCTCCCTTGCCCAAACAGTCAATCCCTAATCTCGGGTTCCCCTCGGTAACCTGCCGACTCTTGACGTCCGCCAGGGTATCAATCGGGCTCAGCCCAGAGTTCTCGGCGAGCGCGAGCGGGATGGCATCGAGGGCGGTAGCGAATGCGCGCATGGCGTATTGCTCTATCGATGGGATCTGGGGTATGAGCTGATCTCCATGTCGAAAACGGAGCGAGCAGCACATAAGCGGGGCGACGACGTCGACGTGGACGTGGAGGAGAAGAGGAAGCGCTAAAGAAGAGGAAAGGAAGAATGGTTTACTAGCGAGAGGAAAAAAGGGCATACCTCATCAGCCTTCTTGGCCACTGCGATACTCGCGCAGATCTCTGCCGCTCCGCCTCCATATACCACCCTGTTATCCGTCACGAGATTGCGGACCACGCAGAGCGCATCATGCAGCGCCCGCTTGGCCTCGTCGATAATCTAAAGACTCAGCCTAGTCCCTAGTCTTCATGTCCACCATGAAGTTCCAAGTCAAACCCGGAGAATCAAAAACTCACCATCTTGTTACTCCCCCTCACAAAGATCGTCACCGCCCTCGTATTCGCGCACTCCTCAATGACCAGCATCTTATCCCTCGTCGTTCCGAATGTCATCTCGCGTACGAGACCCGCCCGGCCGAGCTTGTCGGCAGTGAGGTCTTCAAACCGGGGTACGATGCGGCCGTTGGTCGCGATAGCGATGAGCTGTAGAGTCAGCGTAAGTGCTTGACACCAAGGAGGAAGCCTGAAGCAGCTGAGTGGGAAGGTTGCTCCAGGAGGGATAGCAGATGGGAGGGAGGTGGTAGATCTATGACTTACCTCAATCTCGGGTCCGCCGACCCATCGAACAGCGGGGAGATCATTCTGCATGAGAAGATGGTTCGCCTCGTCGTCAAAGCCCCATTGACAGATAACAAGGTTGGCCCCCGTGTCCTTGACCCTGTCTTGTCAGCGCCATTCCTTCTTTTTGCCTCGAAGGCGGACCGGACCGCCCTCCCCCACTTGACCCAGACTCACTTCTTGATCATATCCAAAAACTTCTCCTTCTCATACTCCCTCAGCTTCTTGTACTCCTCCACACTCTCAATATCCAGCTTGTGCTTCGTCTTGGGCCTGGGCGGCTCAAACGGACACGTCAAAATCGCAATCTTCGCATCCCGCACGGTACTCGGCATTTGGGGGTGCGACATGTCCTTGTCGACTACGACGCCCTTGACGAGCGACGTGTCTTCAAGGGCGCCGCCGACTTTGCCGTCGACCTTGATGAGGTCGAACGAGACGTCTTTGCGCGCGAGGTCGGCGACGGACAGGACGGCGTCGACTGCTATTTGTGCGAATTTGTCGTGGGCTATCGACACGCTGGGGCGTGAGCTACGTTGTCCGACGTGGACGGGTGGGCAGCTTACATCTTGGAGCCGAGTGACGTCTTGGCGGTCTTCATGAGATTGCTCAAGTCGTCCTTGCTGAATTCGATCTGGGAGTCAGCTAAACGCTTCGCGACGGCGACGAGGTTATGGATAGCTTACCCGGTCAGCAACGCGGTCCAGCTCCTGGATAGCCACCTCGCACGCCTTCTCGTACCCGTCCGCTATCCGAATAGGGTGGATACCGCGGTCGAGCAAAGTCAGGGCGGAGGAGAGGAGTGCGCCGGCCAGGACTGGGGATTAACTTCTATCCACGTTTCACTTCGTCTTCCGCCCTCCATCCTGTATGTTTCCGGCTGAACGTATACCCGCCTAGACCATCACCAGGCACCTGGCCGTATCAATCTTCCCTCGTCCGACGCCGGACGCCCGGACAAAGCTTCGCCCAACCTAGACGAGACCAGAGACTCACCTACGACCCCCGTCGTCCCATCCCCAATCTCATCATCTTGGCTCTTACTGACCTCCACCAACAGCTTCGCAATCTGATGCTCCACCTCCATCTGCCCCAGGATCGTCGCGCCGTCATTCGTCACGGTGATATCTCCGTCTGGGGAAATGAGGATCTTGTCGAGGCCTAAGGTATCAGCTTTTCGTTGCTTGCTCCACTCATGAAGCGGGCGTGGGGCAAAGGAGCTGACCTCGGGGTCCGAGAGAAGACTTGATGATGTTGGTCACTATCTGTCAGCTTGGTCAAGGCTCAAGTATTGGGGCTGGGCATGGCGAAGGGTTGAAGGCATACCTGCACGGGCCGCCAGGATGTGACTCTGCACCATCAGCTCCATCCTTGTGACTCGGAGAAGATAGACATACCCGGATAGCTTCTAGGCCGTGAGTCCGGACCTTCTTGCCCTGTTCCCTATGAAGGTCAGCTGTGACTAAGACTCAGAGTCTACAAGTAAGCGCAGCATACCGGACAATGATGAACGGCCGTCCATTCTGCACTGTCAGCTCCGACTCCCCCGGACCAGCGGGAAGAATGTAGCTCACCTCGTCCTGCGCATACACTGCGGATCCTGGATCTATCTGTCCTACTGACATTGTCTATAGAAGTATTCGTTGTATAGAGTGTAGAAGGTAATAGAAGGTGGACCTTGAACGCGTTGAACTTTCGCGCTCTAGGCTGACGGGACCAAAACTTCCTCCACCAAGCTCACTCTTCTCATACATCTTACCTTTCGCCTCTATAGCATCTACCCCACGCGACCCTCTAAGCAATGTCCAGCTCCCAGCACTCCCTAGTCATGCCCTCGGCGGATCACCTCCCGAGTCGCCCGGAATCTTACCCGGTCGAGAAGGCGAGAATCGACCTGATGATACCTACGAATCTGCTCGTTCTGCCCGCGTCGGCGGCGCTGGTCGGGCTTGTGATTGGCATGTCGCGTGGAGGGTCAAGGGCGAGGTTGAGGTTTTTGGCGGAGAATGCGCATAGGCCGCCTACCACGATACAGGGATGGGTATGTCTATTCCACCACTCGCAACTCGGTGCTGTACCCGGGGAATCGCGAGAGCGAAAGGGGATCAAGGGAGCTAAGTTGACCACCAGTACTTTTACACCAAAACACGAAACTACAGAGTCTTCTTCTCCGCGGCCAAGATGGGCGCCAAGTATGCACTGGGTCTCGGAGGCGCCACAGCGGGATTCGTACTGCTCGATGAGGGTGCTGGGTGGGTTAGGGAGCGGGTCGTAGGGGTAGAAGCTGCCGGGACGCTGGATAGGAAAGGGAAGGGACGGGCCGTGGATTCTACTTCGGACGGAGGGGAGACCTTACGGATGGAAGAGGAGAAGTTGATCCGGGGTAGGAAAGGGTGGAGAAAGGGCGCGGTGCATTGGGAAGATGGGGCGGTGGCGGGGATGGTGATGGGTGCTGGGGTGGGATTGCTCTGTACGTTATTCTTCTTGCTTGCAGAAGAGGGGAGGGACCTGACGATACAGATACATTACCTCGTCCACTGTTCATTCGGGCATTAGTAATGGGTACTCTTCTCGGCGGAGCTACGTCCGGTCTGCAAGCGGCACAAGATTACGTCGGGAGATTACGCGTCGAGCAGGCATTACATGAGCCTAGATCGGCGACGGCGTTACCTCCGCCAGAACAGACGGCAGGTGGAACAGGAGCAACAGGGGATGTGCGCGTTGATCGGCCGGCGCAGGTAGGGGAGAAGATGGGAGGGGTGCCTGTGGATGAGACCAGACCGGTCCCTGGTCAGGCGGCGGCGGCAGCGTCAGGTGGAGGCAGTAGCTGGTATAGCTGGATTCCGGGATTAGGGAAGTGAGCACTCAGTAGTCAGCGCTAGTCAGGGGAAAGAAGTATCTATAGTCATGCATGAGGGCGATATAGCTGTACAAGGGTCGTGGTGGTGGTGGTGGTTCGAGATATGGTACAGGGCGTGCCGTTTATTTTGGTGTCGATCGGGATGGGTCTTTACGCCTTGGTCGCGGACTTGCTAGGCGGGGCAGGACGGCAGACATCTCCAAAGTCTACGAGTCAGCTGATGTCGCCTCCAGAAGTTGAGGAGGAGGACATACCGTGATTCCAGCGGCTGACGATCTCGCTCTCATAGAGCTCTCCATCCTTCTTGGTCTTGGCTCCTCCGCCGCCCCTCGGTCCTCTCGCTCCTCCAGGCGTAGCAGGCGCTTTCCCCTTTCCCTTCTCCTTCTTTCCACGCTAAGCCATCAGCTCCATCATGCAGGCCAGCCACAGTCCAACTCACCCCGCTTCTAGCTTTCCGCTTCGCACCCGTCTTGGCCCCTTCAGTCGCGCCTTCCGCCCCACCCTCTGCCCCTGCCCCCTTCTCGCCCTCTGCGCCCGCCTCCCCACCGTCTTTATCCACCATGACCACCTCCCCCTCCCCATCCCCCTCGGGCAACTCATCACCCTCAATTTCTTCTCCCTCAACTTGCATTCCTTCCCCCTCTTCATCCGAGCTCCCCTCGTCCTCCGAGGAGAACTGCAGATCCGCCCCCTCGCTCACATCCACCATATCCACCTCAAACGCCGGTCCAGCCTCGACGGAGCCAGAGCCCATAGTGGCCGAGAGGTCGGTGTGTCGGCTGGCCGCGGAGGACTCGGCGGAACCCGAAGCGGCCGCGGCGGGGACGGAGCGTGATGCGGTGGGTGAAGTGGGCTCGACGGGCTCCGAAGGGCGGAGAGGGGTGTTGTTCTGCGAGGGAGGGGGAGTCAGGTCTGCCATGGCGGCTATGGGATGTAGGAGGAGGTGAGTGGTATAGGGGGTTGCAGGCAGAGGGTGAGCGCGACGAGGGCGAGTCATATCAGCGGCGTGAAGCTTGAAGGTTCCGGGGGCGAAAAGCGGAGATGCTCTACATTCCCCGTGGGTGGCGATGAGGATGACGCGTGACGTGGAGCAGAAGCAAGCAGCAGCATGCTATGCGCTGCACCTTTACCTTCTATACATATACCTAGTATATCAAAATGAGACTAGCAACAGCTCTCTCAGCGGTGACGCTCCTACTCTCCGGCTTCGCAGCGGCCAGCGCCGTCGTAGACCTCAACACGGACAACTTCGACTCGGTAGGTCTTGTACTCAGCTAGAGGGTCCGTAGTGAGGGATCGAACGCTGATTCAGTAGTATGTCGGCGGTAGCAAGCCTGCTCTGGTAGAATTGTCCGTATGCTCTTCTTACTGATGTGGTTGGAGCTGATGGTATAGCTACGCACCGTACGTCTGACGCTACTAACCTCTGACTGAACGAAGCTGATTAATCAAGATGGTGTGGCCACTGCAAGAACCGTGAGCTTCTTTCAGCCTGTCAATGTGAGGTCTTGAAGCTTATACGTCAGTCGCTCCGACATTCGACAAGCTCGCCGATGCGTTCCCATCGGTAAGCTCAATACCCCGCACTGCCGGCGGCCCAGCTGACAAGACAGCAAAAAGTCTTGATTGCCAAGACTGATGCCGATGGGGTCGGTCGGGCCCTTGGAGAGCGATACGGCGTCAAGGGGTATCCCAGTATGCCTGTCGCCTGCCCCGAGGGAGCTCTAGCTGATCGCCAGCGCTCAAGTGGTTCCCTGCCAATTCGAAAACTCCGGAAGATTACACTGGTGGCCGTGACCTCGACTCCCTTGTCGCCTTGTCAGTTGTCCCCTGTTGGAACTTCTGGAACTCTGGAAGCCATTCGAAGTAGAGCTGATAGCTTAGTGTGACTGAAAAGGCCGGTACCAAGTCCAGTATCAAGGCTCCGCCACCACCTGCCGCGGTCGAGCTTGACGCGGGTAACTTTAACGAGATCGCACTGGACTCGACCAAGAATGTCTTGGTGGCGTTTACTGCTCCATGGGTGAGTTGCCTGCTCTCTGAATCCGTCTCAAACGAGAGCTGAAGCTGATACGGCAGTGTGGTCACTGCAAGGTCCGTTCGCGCATGTTTGTGTCCGACGGAAGAAACCAGAACTGACCCTTAGTCCATGAAACCCGCATACGAAAAGGTCGCCACTGCCTTCAAGTCCGAGTCTGACTGTGTCATCGCTCAGATGAATGCGGACGACGAGCAGAACCGACCCATTTCGGGCAAGTACGGCGTCACTTCTTTCCCGACGATCCAGTTCTTCCCCAAGGGGAGTGGGAAGCCGATTCCCTACAACCTGGGCAGGAACGAGGAGCAGTTCACCGAGGTAAGTTTTGAGCTTTCAAGATATCGGCTAGGTTATGAATCGGACTGGAAGCTGACTTTACTGTCAGTTCCTCAATGAGCACTGTGGAACCCACCGTACCCCCTCCGGCTTGCTCAACGACCTCGCCGGAAAAGTCGTCTCCCTCGACACGCTGGCTTCCGAGTTCTTCAGCGCTGCGATCCCGGACCGTTCGGCCGTTCTCTCCAAAGCCAAAGAAGCACTCGCGGCATTGTCACTCCAGGGCGCGGCGTCGGGGATTGATAAGCGGGCAAACGAGACGGCAAAGTACTATGTGAGGGCGATGGAGAGGGTGGTGGAGAAGGGCGAGGGCTGGTTGGTCAAGGAGCAGGGACGGTGAGTGTTGCGTAACTCGAGCAGTGTTGACGATCACTGAGGGAAAACATAGCTGATCCATGTAGTATCGCAAATTTACTCGCATCCCCCTCGATGGCCCCTACGAAACTAGACGAGCTCAAGGTCAAAGCCAACATCCTCTCGTCGTTCGCTTTGAAGAAGGTGGAGGAGGCGTACGAGCATGCCGGGGAGTATGCCGGGGACGCGATCAAGTTTGCAGAGGATGGAGCGCAGGCGGTACAGCAGAAGGCGGGGGAGGTTGTGGAGGAGGTGAAGGCCAAAGTGGGGGAAGCGACGGGGAGGGTTAAGGCGGAGTTGTAGGGAAGAGGAAGAGTAGAATGGGGAGGGGAGGGCGAAGGGAAGGGGGAGGGTTGTGGGGGATAGATGAGGAGTCGGTTAGGCGCCGAGACTTCAAGCTCTAGGTGTTTTGCACTTTGTCTCTGTGCGTGGTCTTCAAGATGATGTGAACATGCCAACTTTGACGTGTAGGATGCGCGCTGACCTTGACTCACGAACGCATGCCACTGATCTCATCGTCTATAGACATCCAAAACTGCTCTAGTCCACATTAAGTAAGGTCACGAGTACCGATTCGGTAATCACGTCGGAGAAAACAATCACACAATCGCCGGTCCGTCAGGCATCCTGGTTCGGACCCTCGGCAGCATCGCCGTCCTCGACCTGGAACTGAATGGTGAAGGGTCCCGTATGGGTGCCCGCATCGGTGGGGGTTCGGTGGGGGTCGGCTCGACGACGAGGGTCACGACCGTCGACGACGGAACGGATGTGGGCGTCGTCAAGCTGGTAGCCTCGCCAGTGTGGCTGACGAGCTCGTACACGGTGGTATTTCCGTCTGCGGCAGTGATGGCGATCTGACCATGTCGGGGTACCTCTTCGTCACCCCATCGGGTATCGGTCTCTCGAGCGAGGAGCCGCAGAGTCGGTGTCCCAGTGGCAGGACAGACCGTCCCAGTCACCGTCGCCGTCCCCATCACCGTGTTCGTCACCGTCACCGAGGACGCACCATTCCTTCCGCGCACTTCGCCGTCCTCCAACCCCGCATCGTAGTAAGCCTGGGCGGTTCTCTGGACCTTTTCCTTTCAAGAGTCGATCACGTATGCTGTCCCGCCGGTCGCAGCGACCAAGCACGCCGTTCCGAAAGCGATGGGCAGCCAAACTCTGATCGATTGGGATGTGGCGAGGTGCTCTCTGAGTGATCTCTGTCTGAGCCGGCTTGCATTGGCGCTTGACGTCTGAGCGTTGTCGTCAGCTGCAGTGGAGCGGGTGGGGTCGGTCGAGGTGGCCCCACGGCCAGGAGCCGCAGCTCGATCAAGAGATCTCAGCTCCACGTACTCGGTGCCAGCGGGGTCAGCGAATGGATTCTGATTCATCGTGGTTCTGATGATGCGTTCTGGCCTGTAGGCAGCGTCAGGGGAGAAGTGTATTGAGGGTAGGTGAGAATGATGATCAAGAGCGGAGACGAGGGGGATTTTATATCCGCGACTCACTGGCTGCCAGGCGCCGCCCTCGCTGTCACCCAGTCGGCGAATGGAATGAAGGGATTGGATGTCAAAGGACAGAAAGGGGTAAATGCGACCCAGTAACCTTTGATATCTCGGCTCATTTGGTGCGCTGATACGTGTTCGAGCGATCGAGGAGTCCCATAGTAGCAAAGTGGGGCAGTGCAATTTGTTGAGAATGGGCAAGAAGGCGAGGCAGTGGAAAGTGGGGGAGGGCGGACGTCAGGTCAGAAGAGGATGAAAGGGGTTAGTCGGAGCTGATTGGCTTGCTCCTTTGAAGTGATCATACGCGTTCGAGCATCAGAGTGCTGGACCACATGAGTGAGGCGGTGCAAGGATAACGAGGCTACGCTTGGTCTGATTGCACGCGTAAGAGCCTCGCTAGTGCGGAGTCAAAGGTGGGACACACAGTAATTTGATGACCTCTGCAGAAGGACAAGCTGTACGGTGAGGAGTGAGGGAATGGGGTGGATCGCGCTCCAGCGAAGGGTGACGGGTCGAACTCAATCTCATAGCTGACGCATGACTGCATGCGTCCTTCAATGTCGGACTAAAAGTTGGGCTGCGATCTTCAGGCTGTCTACACGAGCCAAATTGGTCATCCCGGCTGTTCGCCAATACTCTCCTTGCCTACCTCCTCCGGTCTTGCCTGATAATCACTTGATTCTATGACCCACTAGATCGCTGTCTGAGAATGCTGATCAATCGCTGAGCCATACTCACATAAGCATTGAACTGACATCTGATGCTATATACAGTGAAATGAACTTCCAAACCACGTCAAGTACGAAGCACGTCCGGGAATAGTATACGCACTTGCAACCAATCAAACAGACTTATTCGGCATCCCGGTCCCCTTCGCATCCATGAGTGATACCATGGTCGGCGTACCGGTCTGCCCGACGTAGATCGTCGCGAGAGTTGTCGACAAGGGGACGAGCGGAGGCTTCTGAGAGGCGTCGGGCGTCTGAGTGGATCTGCCCTCGACGTCGACGGAGCAGCGGGACTCGCCTCCGGCCTCGTTCCTGAGGATGTCCACTCCCTGGTCTGTTTGTCCCGTCTCTCGAGGGAAGAGCTCCAGAGTCGCGACCGTTGGGCAGACCGTCTCTGTCGCCGTCGCCGTATTGGTGACAGTGACCGTCGACCGCCCAGCCTGTCCCTTCAAGAACGCATTGCGGGCATTGATGCTTCCTCGCCTCACCGCGAGCCCCCAGCCCGCGCCCAGACTCGCCACGATACCCGCCACACCCACAAGTGCGACACACGCGGCCGCCTTCGTGATTCTGTACGCAGCTGCCGAGTTGCTTCTGTCTCGCGCGTCCTCCAGCACTCTGTTTCTGTCTTTTTCCTGCAGGCTCGCCAGCGCGCATCTCACCTCCGCTTCGGAGAGCGTGTTCGAGGGGTCGGTGGCTACCGTGGGGAAATCCGAGAGCTCGACCTCCTCACCTCGAGCTGTAGGCCATTGTGTGTCTTGCGATGGGAGGGAAGACGGCATTTGTGTAGTGGAGTCTGTTGATGGATGAGGTGGAAAGGGTGCAGAGTTAAACTTGTGGAACGATAGGAAATGGGATGATGAGTGAAAACTTAGCGGGAGGGGGGAAGAGGGGAGAACAGCCAGAGGACCTTGAGAGCCCGTCAGCGCGTCAGCGCCGCATCGGAGTGAGAGACACGCCTCCTGAAAGGATCATATGGGGCATGGCTCGATCTCTCCCTTCATGCCTGTCTCCTGACAGGGCCATACACATTCGACCATGTAGAATATTCTGGCGATATCGTTTCTAGGGGCTGACAGTCAACTGACTTCGAAGTGTGAGTGTGGACGAGCGCGCGTCATCAACGAAGATCCGCCGCGGGATGGTCTAACGCTGAGATCGATATTGCGGCTAAAGCCCCGGAGAGGGAAAGTCTGAAGTTAAGAAGGCACAGCACAGTAGTCACTCGGAAGCAGAGAACATGGATATTCTCTCTCGACAGACCATAAGGATGGACGACAGCGGACGGGAATCGGATAGAGTGTTGACTTTTCCAGGGACCAGGAGGCAAAACATGTTTCCGACAGCAGAGTGGGGATGCATTGGACTCGAACAGCCCTCCTTATATAATGCTGACAGCGGTCCTAACTATGAGTCTCCTACTAAGTATCCTACTAGGTATCCTACGAGTCGCCTACGTCTGCGAGGTATGCGACCAGTCTCCTACTGATTTATTGAGTCTGCGACCGGTAGGAGACGAGTATCCGACTCGTCGCCTACTACTTGGCGGGTCTCCGACTCGTCTCTGACGTCTCCGACCCGTCTTCACATCCCTACGCGTATCCTACGCGTATCCGACTTGTAACAAGAGTGTATTCGCCACCCGATGGCAAACCCCAGAATCTCATATTCTCAACATAGAGCGTCAGTGAATACAGCAGCAATGTTATAAATCACAGTTGCGCCTTAATATACGGGGTAACGGTGCGGAGATCCGCATGCTCGATGTCCGCATCCTCCACATTGTCTCACCTTAGCGATTGCAGCCTCGCCATCATGCACTGGAAAGACTACTGAGCGGAAACAGCGCACGTAGCGGGACCCGGGTTTGAAGGTGCCCACGTATAAAATGTCAACGTATAAAATACCTTCTCGTTAGTATGGTGTCTCATTTATTGTAGTATTATCGTTCAGTGCTCCTTGCCTCCTATTAGATTCCATCGTCTATAGTCCGAATGAAATCTCGACACCATGGCTATTCGATCAGGTCCCCTCATGAGTACCGCCAAACCTCGGATCCTCCGTAAATTGCACCCGAATCGGGATGGTAGAGGTGGGCGTGATGTAGTCAAGAGTGAACGTCGAAACCGAAGTCGGTTTCGACGATGTCGTCGCTGCATCAACCTCCACATGATATGCGCTTGGCTTCTTCCAGCTCACAACGCCAGCGTGACAGTCCAATCCACCTCCATCTTGATTCTCACCGGGCTCTCCGAGCTGCAAACGCCCTCGCGATGACGGGGTTGTGGGGCCTCTCGGTTCCTCTGGGCAGAATGTCACTGTCACTGTCACTGTTGCACTTGGCTGGGTCCCAGTCATGTCAGACATCCTGTCGGTCGACTCATCTACAGCGTACAGACCCATCCCGCCCACGAACCCGACACCAAGGAACCCGGCGAAAGCGATTGTAAGCACGCTCCACTTGCAGCTCGCCTCCATCTCTCTTGTTTCCTGCTTCGAATTCTGCAGGGCGTCGATCAATTGCTGTCTCGTCATACTAGCGGGTCGCGTAGTCATGTTGGCCAGTTCGATATCGTTGGAGTATGCACTGTATTTTGAGGGAGCGCTGCGGGGCATCGTGGGAGTAAGAGGCACGGAGGTTGCTCTGTCACCGTGGAAGAAATGGTATGTAGGAATGGGGGTGGAATATGAAGAGGTGAAGGACAATTGAAAAGGCGCGACCAGTCGCAGTGCTGGACCAAGTCACATTGATCGGGACACGAAAATAGGCACGCGAAACAGGCAAGGATATAGGGATAATTTGAGTCCCTTTCATGTATGGCTCCTTTGACCCGGTCACGTTTGCGCAGTGGTGTCACAGTAGCAGATGGGACTCGCGGAGTATCATTCTGGTAATGCAGTGCAGCAGAGGGGCATAGACGAGCTCTCTGATCGATGACGGATCGTAGGCAGACCAGCTCGAGGCAGATTCCTGCTGATAGTAACATGAGTGCGAAACAGAAACCTGTGCGGTAGTACCCTGAGAGGCCACGCTATGTAGGCGTAGCGATCAGTATGTATACATCGGAAAACCCCGCCATCATCCTGCTCACCGCATACCCAAGGACTCGAGGAATTCTGCTTGCGCTATAAAGCCAACCAATTTCCCGTCAAGCCGTTTGGTATCCTCTGCGCCCAATGTGAACTGCACAAACGTGCGGTCCGTCCTTCCGGGGCCTGTGTATGCCACCACAAACCTCGCTGTTGTTGCAGAGTCGTCCCTCGTCCGAGCCATGTCGTACGACGGAAGTACTTCGACGGCCCAGGTTGAGAAAGGGCTGAAGGGCATGTTCGACTGCATGGTAGCGCGTCCCAGTGAGCTTGGGCCGCCCGATCTCACCTCCGCCGAAGTGTCGCCCAACGCTAGGCCCAGATCATGCAGAACGGTGGCAAGGTTTCCTGAGTCGAGGAACGTCACGGTACCGATGATCTCCATCGGCGCGCAACGAGCAGCTGTGGTCGATGCCGCGAGGATGACTGACGCTTGGTGAGCATTCTCGTGGAAACGAACGCGGACTGCAGGGTTTGGGGGTAGAGAGAAGGTTGGCGGGCGCGAGGATTCAGCAGCAGCGCATAAAGCGTTGAGCGATTGCCATTGACTCTGGAATCAGACACCTCAATGACGGTGTCGGCAGCAGTCACCGCCGTATCCAAGCAGGTCTCCATTCGCGATCGAAGTGGGCAAGGGGTATGATTGTTGCAGGTGGAGTAACAGAAAGGATGACTTGATGTGAGGATGAGGTCGAGGGATAGGTTAGTCAACAGCACGAAGCTGGCTTGTTCAGGCGGGGCGGTCAAGTGGACGTATGCGGGCTATGGGACATCCTTTCAATACTACGAGGAGCCGGGCCATGAAAAGGTACAAGGGGTACTGTAAAGTTCAATATCACGCACGCGGCCTTCTACAAATGGCCAAGCGGGTAGCGGGGCTCGTATCTCGTTTGTATAGCTGGACCAATCGAGCTGCAGGGGGTTGGTGGCTAGGCCGCCCTGCGGCTGTAGCAATGAGAGTGGCACCTCCAAAGCTGTGGCGCCACTTTCAAGCGCCATAATTTGATTCCGTCCACCCATCGACATCATTGCGCGTCGTCCACCACCACATTCCTCATCATACCTCCATTACACCCTCACATAGTAGATCACCCATATCAGCCGCCACCATGTCCAGCGCACCCACCAAAGAGAAGGTTCCCGAGACAGGAGCGAAAGACGAGAAGAAGGAGGATGCCGCCAAGGCAGTGGAGGAGAAGGTGGAGGCCAAGCCGATGACGGTGGAGGAGGGTGAGCAATCCAGCTCCGTTGCAGTCGGTCTCACAGCTGACAAAGTCAGAGATCCTCTACAATATCAGCCTGATCGGCCGAGCTGTCTCGACAATCGAGCCTCGCTTCACAGCTCGCGTTCTGAGAACACTGACGACGTTGCGAAGGAAGTTGACCAAGAGCGCAATGAAGGCGGTTCTGAATCAGGCGTTCCCCGAGGGCTGTAAGTATATCTCCCTGTAAGAAGGCGGCCTAGCTGATCATCAGCCAAAACCGGCCAATCCCTCATCGCCAGCTCATTCTTCGACAGCCTTCCAGAGACAGCTGCAGCGTCCAGCGACGCCAAAAGCTCAGAGGCGTCCGGGATGGATATCGACCAGACACCCGCAGAGACTGCCGCGACCGCAGCTGCGTCGACATCGGAAGCAGCTACAGGTGCCAAGAAGTTCAGCCCTCCTCTCGATGGTGTCAGCCAGGATCTCATACCCGAGGCAGTGGCGTACCTGCGGTTGCTCCTGATCCTAATGAATCTCGATGCTGGGAAGGTGGAAGAGGTGAGCAGTCGATTCGCAGCCCTATGAACGGAGCTGATAGATAGGCCGGTACATTCGCGATGGAGACGACGGAGATCTGCGGAAAGGCGAACCGTCGAACCCTTGACCAGCTGTCTAGCAAGGTCTATTTCTACCTTGCCCGATCGTACGAGCTGCAAGGGCGTCTTGCGGAGCTCCAGCCGTAAGTGAGGGTCTCCACTATTATCGAGCAAAAGCTGATTGTGCAGCATGCTGCTCGCTGCTCGACAGACTGCCAGTCTCAGGCAGGACGAAAACCTCGAGGTAAACCCCAATCCGCTGTGTGATACTCGGGGCATCGCTGACTTTCAGGCATCACTCATCAACCTTCTCCTCCGCTCTTACCTCGCTCAGCATCAGTACGACCAAGCCGACAAGCTCATTGCTCGGTCCACCTTCCCTTCCGCCGTATCCCAGGCTCAGACCGCTCGATGGCTGTTCTACGCCGGTCGCTTACGCGCCGTCCAGCTAAACTATGCGCAAGCTCGTGACTACCTGCAGACGGCTATTCGAAGAGCACCTAGAGATGAGGTCGCGCCTGGCTTTGTCCAAATGGTAAGTGTCTTCTAGGCTCGAGGCGCATAATCTGATCAGCAGGTCCACAAGTACTACATTGTAGTCGTCCTCCTCACCGGTGTTATCCCAGATCGGTCCACGTTCCGAAAGCCAGTTCTCAAGCAGGCTCTGGCTCCATACTTCCAGGTTGTGCAGGGTAAGTTTTGTCCCCGCTTTGTAGGCGTCGCTTACCAACAGCTGTTCGAGTCGGAGACGTCTCGGCCTTCCAAAAAGCTCTCAGCGAGCACGAAAAGACCTTCCACGCCGACTCAACCCACTTCCTCATCCTTCGTCTGAGACATTTCGTCATCAAGACCGCTCTTCGTACCATCACACTCGCCTACTCGCGCATCTCCCTTCGTGACGTCTGCGCCAAACTCCGTCTCGACTCTGAAGAGGACACCGAGTACATTGTTGCCAAGGCGATCAAGGATGGTGTGATTGATGCGTCGATCGACCATGCGGGCGGGTTCATGCAGAGCAAGGTGGCAAAGGATGTGTATGAGACGGATGAGCCGGCCAAGGAGTTCAATGCTCGGGTGGACTTTTGCACGCAAGTGTACAACGACAGCGTGCGGGCCATGCGGTATCCCCCAAATGCGCATCGCAAGGGTGAGTTGTCTTTGCGAGATATGACAAAGCTGACGCCCAGCGCTCGACTCGGCGGATGAGAGCAGAGAGCGGGATCGCGAGATCGCTCAGCTTCTGGAAATGGACGATGAGATGGACGACATGTAATGGAGATAGAGCTCTGCGAAATGCTACAAATCATGCATTGTCCTCCGCATCCTAAGATCTGGCCTGAAGAAATTGTCCACTACATCTATTCTAACAAGACGTCCAGCATCTTGTCTACCCGACCCAGCTCCCGCCGGTCTTCTCACCCTGGAAGGTGCTGCCCCGTCTGTCGAGACTCGAGATGGTAGGCGCAAAAGACGCCGTGGAGGGCGAGCGACCGTCCGGCCGGCTGTACGTCGACTGGCGCCGAGGGGAGAGGGGGGTGTGCGGGGACTTGGGCGTCCTGGGCGAATTGAGGCCTGTAGGGCTGACGGGCCGAGAGAGGGGAGATGGACCAGGAAGGCCGCCGCCGGCGCTGATGCTGAGCCGGCTCCGCTCGCCCTTGAGCACGCTGGCCCGCCTGTCGCCGAGAGTAGCGGTGAGGGGAGTCTCGCGCACTTGATTGACCGCGAGCAAGCTGGCGTTGGGGGTGTTGTCGACGCTTGCCTGCTGCCCGTGGTAAAAGCCGGCCGCGGTCTCGCCGTCCAGCTGGTGCCGTGCCGTCTTGCCAGGAGCGAGGGTGGTGCGGCCCGTGCGCGGCTTGGCGGTAGCGAGCTGGACCGACGAGGTCTTTTTGGTGGGTGCCTCGGCCACGTAGATGCCGTTGAGAGGTGGGAGCTCATCCGCCGCTGCCCAGTCGTTGTGGGGTTTCTTTTCGTCGACATCGTCAGACGAGGGGCTAGCAATGGGAACCAGTGCACTACTCGTTAGCTGCGGATCAACGCCAGAAAAGGGCAAACTTACCGGTTCCGCTTGACAACCCGGTACCTCCAGTACGCCAATGCGAGGATGATCAAGAATGCTCCACCGCCGACAGCGATCCCGATGATCGCTGGGGTGCCAAGACCCTTGCTCGTCGTAGCGCCGGCGGTGTTGTAGATTCGGAGCGAGTTGATGGACCAGTACGTCTCGGTAAAGGCCTTCGGGTTGTTCATGACGAAAGCTGAGCAAGGCGTATCCGTGGGGCAGCCGGAGGTGGTATAGGTAGCTGTCGTGCTGCGGGTCAGCCCAGATCCAGACAAGGTCGAGTATAGCTCACTAGTCACCGCAGAAGGCCATGTTGAAGACGATGACATGGTTCGCAAAGTCCTTCTTGCAAGACGGGGTTGTCAAATTCGCTCCAGGCTGACCCCAGCCCGCGACGTTGGTGGTGGTAGCGTTTGGGTACTGCCAATCAGCCAAGCCCCGTGATAACTCAGCGTACTCACCCTGACGTCGTCCGGTACATTGGGCGAGTTGCGCGGCCAAAAGTACACGTAGACACCTCCAGACCTGCCCATCAGCTTCATCCTCTTTCGCTCGGAATCAACTCACACTTCCATGTCCCTCCACATGGCATACCACCCTCCGCCCGCATTGTTGACCTGACTACCGATACTCTCCACTCCGTACGTCGTGTTCCCGCCCAGGATAGCTCCGCACCCCTTGTTGGCGTTCATAAGCGCCGAACAGGTGTTTGCGTCGACGGCACCGGTCATATATGGGTTGGTCGAGATGGTGCAGTTGCTGCTGGTGTGAAGGGAGGCGACGTTTCGGTTAGGATAGCGGCTAGTGGGAGTGGTGATGTTTCCGGTTGCCTTCCAGGCTTCGCCGTCTCGCTGAGGAAGGGCGTTGGCGCCTTCGATAATATCGATTTCTCCGCCGGTCGGCCAGCCATCCTTGACGACTGTCCACCATGCTGGCCACTATAGCGTCAGCGATGTAGGGGATATATAGGAGTAGACTCACTACTCCGCACCCGACAGGCATGTGGTTCAGGTCCAGAATGTAGACACCCTACCCATCAGCATTGTTCTCCCATCTTATACAGGCCAACTTACATCGGCATACTCGTCTTTACTACTCAATCGAACACTGTCCCTTCCTCGCCCGCTCGCCCTCAGCTCCGAATTGACCCTCATCACTGCAGCACCATTTGATTGGACACTGATCAGTCCCTCGGTCTCAGCGTACTGCTTATTGACGTAGCTGCAGGTTTAGCTTGGCGTTTTTCGCAGAGCTAAGGATACCCACTTGACATAACCCCCAGTCGGATCATCGGCAGTTTCAAAGTCTGCTAGTCAGCGGCATCTTACCCTCGTCATCTCATGACTTACTGAAGCCGTCAAAGAAGTTGTTGCCCGAATATGTCCTGGCAAGCTTCAGAGTCGATGCAGCAGTCATCATCGAGGGGCCGGCGGTCGTTGTTATTGACTGGGCCTGGACCAATGCGACACTGGCGACTAGGGCCAGCACAGTGCCGATTTTGCTCGAGTTTGGCGACATGGCGGAGGATGAAGCGGTCTACTAGATGGGAAGAAGAGGCCGATGCGAAGGCAGACGAGCCTTTGTATATATCAAGTCAGAGATGGATCCATCTTGCTTGAATCGTCTTGCGTCGGTCTTCATCATGTCGATCACAGTCTAGGAGATTTAGCATGTCGCCCAGGCACAAGCCATGGTCGAGGCCCCGGCCGCCTACTTGCTCAGAGCGGTAGGGTTCCAGCTGCATGTTCCGTCAGTAGAAGCAAGATAAAGCGGCGATATGAGCAAGATTAGGCTTGTTGACATGCCGGATAGGCCGGATAAGGAAATTACCGGAGAATACCTCAGAATACCTCCGCGGCGGCGGCGTCGACGCTTGTGACGTCGATCACCCCGGCTGATCTACAGTTTGTCACTGACATGCGCTCATGAACAGCTGTACAATATGTGGCAGAAAGGAAGCTGGCACAGCCTCGCCTCCCCGCCATGCCTGCACTGAGCAGAAAAGAAATGGGACTTGACAAGAACGACCATGACTATTGACATTTTACCCAAAATTCACAACTATGCGGGCAGCTGCAGTCTACCGTTCCTATATACAAGAGAGAGCGAAATCAAAGTAGAGAAGGAGGAAAGTCTAGGTCGAAACAGAACTATCGTCCATACCCTTGAGCCACTGGGTGGTGCTGCGGGGTGTCCATATGACCGGACGTGTCAAAGTTTGGGTTGTACACGTTGTTGGTCGGCGGGAAGGGGAAAGATGGGCGGTGCCTGCTGATCAGCGCTGATCATTCCGCGTGCAGTTGAAACTTACCATCTCGGAGCAGCAGTGTACTCGGTCTCGCTAGCCTGACTCATCTGGCTAGCTTGCTTCTCCATCTCGACGCCGGTGTTGCCCATGCCTCCGCCGGCCATCTGCTGCATGTGAGCAAACGGCATGGCGAAGACCGGTTTCCCATCCTGACCGAGAGTCGAGGGGGTGTACGGCCGAGAGGTGGGGAAGTGGGTGGTCGAGGGAGAGTGGTTGGTTTGTTGATAAGGCGAGGAGACGTGACGGCGATAAGGGTGATGGAAGTTGGGGTGGGGAAGCTGGGCGGAGGGAGGGTACGATGGGCCGGCGCTGTTCTGCGCCTTTTCGAGCACAGCGGTACCGTCCGACTTGATTCCGACGACACCCTCAAAGTAGCCGTCCTCGTGGGAGCTGCCACTATCGGGGTCGCCTCGCAAGTCGGCACCTGACATGCCCTGCTCGAGTCCGAGTGGCTCCTCGAGCGGAGCCGCAACGGCGATACTTCGGGCCGAGCTCTGAGCGGCGAGCTCATTGGGCGTGACGAGGATCTGCTGATCGCTTGATTGACGGGGGGGGAGGGAAGTAAGCGGTGGAGGGGCAGACGGGTGACCATAACCCATGCTGGAGGAAGGGAAATGACCGTCAACCGGGGAATGGTTGATAGCGGGGGAAGGGGGCGAGAGACCGGGCGTGCCGTTGATTGGGAAGAGTGGAACTGCAAATTAGCCACAATCCCGCAAAAGGCCTAAGAACCTACTGATTGGCGCAGTAGCTCCATCTTCGCCTCGACATCCCTTAACAAGCCAATGTCTACGAAGAGCATCCTTCCGCGAGAAGGTCTTGCCGCATTTATCGCATCCGAACGGTTTGACGCTCAGGTGGATCCGCTTGTGTCTCTTGAGATCGTGGTTCCGATTCTTTCTCGTCAGCCAAGTCCGCTCTGAATCTCCGAAAAAATCACTTACAAAGCTTTGGACACATTCATCGCACTTAAACGGCCGATCCACGAGCGGAAGACGGGTAGAGAAGGGAGCATAGGCCCCGGTACTGACTGGCTGACGCCCGATGTCCATATCTGCCATACCGGTGATGACTGACGCGCTGACGTTCCGATGCATTTGAGGAGGGGGGTGCTGATATTGCTCGTATGGCGCGCCGAGGGGTGGGTGAGACATGGGGTGAGGTTGGTGAGGGTAGGCGGAGTGATAAGGGTGATGGGGGTGCTGCATAGCGGAGGGGTACGAAAGTGAGCGTGGCATATCGGCTCCGCCCGGTCCGGGAGGTGGCTGACCGCCATAAGGCCCCGCGTAATATTGAGGGTACATGCTGCGTTGGGGCGATTGCTGGTGCATTTGGAGTGGGGAATGCTGGGGCTGGGCGCTACCGTTATATGAGAGCTGCCGCTGGTAGGGATAGCTACTGTCCGAATGGGCGTGGGCGAGAGCGGGGGATGTGGCGCTCGGACCCTCCGAGGCGGGTGCTGGGCGTGGCATATGGGATTGGAGGGGTGATCCCCGCGGTGTTCCGTTGGAAAATGATCGAGCACCCATCGGGACGCTGCTGGGGTATGCGCTACCCGGGTAGGTGGGGAAGCTGTTGTGGTGGGGAACGGGAGGCGGCTTGGGAGGGTAGGCCTGATATTGGGGATTGTGGGGTGGTGGTTCCGAGTGATGGAGGGGGAGGGGAGGTCGGCTCAAGCTTTGTTCGCTTGGAGTTGAGGATAATGGGGGTGGGGCAAAGGCAAAAGGTGATGCCGAGGCAGGAGGGGAGGTGGCTGCGCTCGTGGCAGGGTAGTGGACTGGAGGTGGCGGAGGGGGTTGGGCGGTGTACTGCTGGTGCGAATCAGCCAAATTTCGCGAGATAAATGAGTGCGAGTAGGAAAATGAAGGTCAACTCCAAGCGATGGAGGATCGGGAGGGGAGAGAACCAGACTTGCGGTACCCCTATCCCGGCAGGCGGAAAGGAAGGGATGGGATGACACGAAAGGAAGGCCCCAGCATCGCCAAAGTGGCTACCGAGCGGCATCACGAAACAGGAACGAGTGATTGGGAACTTGAATCAAACTGAATTTCCGCCTGTCATCGTCCCGATGAGGTTAGAGCCGTGCCTGTCCCACCCATATTGCGGCATGCTCTCAAAGAGGAGGGCCCCGTTTCGACCTCCCCCGCTCATCCCTTGCGCGCACGGCTCTTCCCCGCCTCTTGTGTGTGTGGCAGACCCGGAGACAGAGTTTGGTACCATCCGCCACAGCCGCAATAGAGTTATCGAGACTCACTTGTTGCTCATTCCGACTGCGTTCATCCTCCTTGCCTTCCTGCCCTCCCTGCAGGTACTGAGCGTGTTGCCCGTCCATCGCCAATCTTCAAAATGGAAAGAACGAGATCGCCAGATCGAGCCGTAATAAGGGAAACGCAGAAAGGATCGCCGTCAATCCCGAGGCGACCTGAGGGCAGTTTGCGACTGGGCGCCGAAGATGGAGGTGATTTGGCCGGGCGGGAGGGAGGTGAGTTTGAATTACTCGATGGATTGGCAGGGAAGTGATATGCCCGGATGTGAGATGCGCTGGGGAGGGAGTTGCGTTGGGCTGGGGAGATTTGCACGGCGGGTGCGATTCTGGATGTCCGACGATAGGCTGCGGCAGGGAGCTGCCTGGAAGCAGTCTCCTTTGAGAGTGGGTTGTCGTGTGCGCCGGGAAGCGTTGTTGACGTTTGTCTCCTTTCCTTTCCTGCTTCTCCCTATCCCCTCTTTGCCAGTCTCCTCGTTGGACCGCGTGGAGGCCGTCTGAGGTCGAGGGAGTCGTTGGCCTGGATAATCCCAAGCTAGGCGAGTGAGATGAAGTGGTCAATCTAGTCACAGTACAAGGTAAGTATCGACAAGCAAGAGATGGACAGCTACAGAGGACAGGCATGCAGCAGCAGCAGGTGGACAAGGCGCGGATCCCCCTTATTTTGGGCGTTAACTTTCCCCTTGATCGCTTTCTCGCCCCTTCCGTCGTGCGCGCATGCTCACCGCCGAAGGGTAAATATAAGCTTGATCTGATCCTCCTAACAACAGTTAAGAAAATCCTCTCATCTCACGCCGTTCTCTACCGGCCTTCACCCGGCACGTCACCCAGGGCAAGATGACGCGATCGACTGCTGGACAAGGTATCTCATGCGAAGTAGACCCTGGCTATCCTGTGCCTGGCCCTGTCGTTTCAAGCTAACGAGCGCTTATCGGAGCCTGCAATTCTTATTAGGTTCTCTCTCTAATGCGAATTCAAAGACCTTGGAATTGTCTGGGCCGCATTGGTCTTCTCATTAGCTTCTTGTGCTGCATCTTCAGTCGCCAGCGAAAGGCTAGTCGGGCGAAGAAAACTCTACCTGCACTGCTCTCGCTATGGCCTGAACCTTTCTCATTCCCGCACGATGCTTGCCCTATACAACTGAATCGCCAATAGGATAAGGTGCCGGCAAAGCAACAGAGAAACACCGGAAAGAGGAAAGCGAGAGATCTCGCGAGACGCGCATGGTGTCTGACATTTACGCTATCATTCGTAAGTCCTGTCTCTGCTCTCGTGCTGTGACGGAGGTGGTTGCATTATAAGCATGTCTCGGAGATACAATGACCTCATACGACGAGGTGGGTCGCGGGAGCTAGTGAGCCAGAGAGGGCGCAGGAGAGGTGCGACGCGTCGTGCGGACTGCGAGAAGGAGCTGTGTTGTGAGGTTGGGAACTTGGATGAGGGTCGTCAACGCTGTCAGTGCCCAGGCTGTATCGGATACTGGCAAGACAGTTGAGAAGAAAATATGCTGACCCTCAGTAACTTATCTTATCTTATCTGTGCGCCTCAACACATGCACATCATGCCCAAGCCATCCCGAGATCCGGCTTAGGGCGCTGAATGAGGTGCCGGCGCCATGGCGCTTTACTCCGGCCCGTCACCCACTTCCCCACTTTGCTTCGCGGACTTTCGCATCTCACCTCCACACCGATTCTTTTGCTCCCTGGCGTCTCACAGCTGTCGGGTTCGGAAGCGGACTCCTCCATGCGGGCAGGTCTCAAGCTCAGGCCACAGTCCTGGATGGCCGGAAGTAGTCCCGCTTGGCCAATGTCAACTTCCTGTACTGTATGAGATACTTCAAAGCTCAAGCATATAGATGAGCGAGAGATTGGCCTCGCGAGATTAATAGAAAATGATTATATAGGGCTGACTACTGATTTACAAAACTAGATACCCTCTACCCAAACACCTCGATCATAAAGTAATACTCGATATTCGACCCATCCGCCCTTCCTCGCGCCGTCAACAACCTGCACCTATCCGCTAGTATTTCACCGACGACAGGCGCACCACAGTAGAACACCCCCACCTTGAACCGATCATTCTTCCCATCTCCATCCTGATCCCACCCCGTCTCGGTCCTATACCGCATCATATCGGCATAATGGTCATCGAGGATCCGCACAAAGTCGGGCCGGCCATAGTGCGTGGGGTTGATCAGGCCCGTGAGGGGTGACTCGGGGTGCTCGGGAGTCCGGTGGAGCTCGAGGAGCCAGCGGTAGATGTGCGTCGAGATGGATTTGCGTTTCTGCGTAACGTGCGTCCACATCCGAATATCGAGGTGGGGGTACGCGCCGGTGTGGGAGGGGTGTTGCCGGTGCCAGATCTGGGAGCGGGAGATGGAGTTGAGGAGGTCCGAGAACCAGTTGAGGTAGTTCTTGTCCCGTACGACCCAGTGGAAATCTGTCCGGCGGTAGTCTGCGGGAAAGTCGGCGGGGGCCATATTGCGCGCGCGGCTGGCTCGGGAGCGGGAGCGGGAAAGGGTGCGGGATACGGACCGAGTGAGGGAATTGAGGGAGACGGAGGAGGCGTTGCGGGAGTTGGAGGGAGAGGCATTGGCCGGGCTGGTGGTTGTGGGACCAATCACCTGTTTGCTGTCTTTGCTCGACTTGCGGGACTTCCCTGCCCCACGTGAGCCGGGCTGAGCTGACGAGCCGCCCTCCCCAGTAAGCTGACCCAGCTTCTCCCCTAGTTCCGCCTGTGCCTCCTCCTGCTCGCCTAATGTCCGCGCAGACCCCGCCGAATCCCCACTACCCTGCCTCCTTCCGCCTTTCTCTGCATCTCCGCCTCCCGCTGTGCCCATCACCTCCCTGTCCGTCGGTCCACCGTTCCTCTTGTTCTCCTTGACCTGCAGATCCGCCAGAATCCCACTGAAAGGAGTGACCCCGATCCCAGCGCCGACGAGGATGGTATGGCTGAAGTCGTAGAAACGCTGCGCGGGCGCCCCGAATGGCCCGTCGATCCCGACCTTGATCTCCGTCTTTCCCTTCTCCCCCGCCAGGCCCCGCACCTTTTTGGTCCAGTTCCCGTCCGTCTTGATGTGCAGCTGCATCTCCTTGTCGTCGCAAACGGACACGGTGAAGGGATGCCACTGAGCGACCGAGATACTGGGTACTTGGAGGAAGACGTACTGCCCCGCGGCGTATTTCCAGATCCGTGTTTTGGGAATGGTGACCTTGATTTCGACCGTTTCCGAGTCTAGAATCTCGATTGTAGCGGGGATACGCTGGAAGCCGACGCAGACCCGGATGGTGCGCTCGATGAGGATGAGGAGAGTGGGGAAGGCGAGGAAGTAGCCAAACATGGGCCATTGGAGGAGGTGGAGGGTACCGTGCGCCATCATGAGCCCGATGATGGGAAACATGAGGAGGTGGGCGAGCTGGAAGAGCTCATAGCTCCACTTGCGGACCGCCGGGAGGGAGAGGGCCGCGAGGATGTAGAATAATCCGAGTGCAGTGATCCCGGTGGCGCCAGGAAGGGACGCTATATAGTCTCGGTACGTCCTGAGTGGGCGGTTCGGACCGTAAAGCGTCTCGAGCGCCTGGGGCTGGTACGCGAGACCGCCCCAGACGAAGGAGCCGGAGAGATGCCCGATGGCGTGGATAGTGGCGAGAGCGAGGGCGACGCAAGACATGTAAATGTGGAATGTCTGCGAGAGATCCCAATTGATGAACCGGGAGACGTGGTAAGACCGACGGAGGGCGGTGGAGAAGTACCGGCTCATCGAGAGGAGGAGGAAGAAGAATGTCATGTAGAGACAACCCGCCGAGGTCTTGGAGACGACGACGCCCCAGCCAAGGGCGTCCCGATACTCCGTTTGAGTGAGATACTTGACGAGCTGCCATATACCAAAGGACGAGATGGCGAGGGCGACAAAGAGGACAAAGACGATCTTTGGACCGTGGACCGCCCAGTAGCTCCGGAATCGCCGTGCCCATCCCAGCTTCCGCATGTACTCCTTCTGCGACTCCTCCTCCGCCTCTTCCTGCTTCATCGACGGCACCTTCCAGGTCCGGATATGCGCCGCAAAGTCCTCCCGCGAGATCCGATCCGCCTGACTCCCGTACATCCCGCGCAGGAACGCATGACGTGCTGCACCCTCTTGAGATTCGTGGTTGATGTGATGGGGTTTAGGGTGGGGTGAGAGCTCGTCATTGACCGCATCGAGCTTCTTTTCCAGCTCCGAGTAGCTGATATGCCCGTCCTTGTTGTGGTCCAGCTCGTCGAGGAAGGCGGTGATCTCGTCCTCGGTGAGGGAGATGATCTGATCGCTGACCGCTGCGGGATTGAAGTGGGGATTGGACCGCATCCCCTCTGCAGTGAGTGACATGACGGGATAGGGCTGGAGGGGTGGATTTGGGATTTACGACTCCCTGCTCTAGGTCACACCTGAAACATCAGTCTCGCACTCGACTCTCTTCATAAGAAGAACGGTCTCACCTGTAGCTCCCCAGGATACGAGATGAAGAGTGGACAGTGGGCGATGAGATCCCCTTGTCCCCTCCTCCTTCTGTTATATACGGTCGACGGAGTTCCAAGGAGATCTTGAATCTTGAAAGGAACCTTGGACGCCCAGCCTTGGAATTGGAAAGGCCGAGCCTTTGTTACCAAATGTGAGGCAAGAGGCGGGTTTCATCTTGTTCACGAGGACAGCTATGACGTCACCATCAAAGGAAGGGCTTGGCGCCACTCTCGGTTGAACTCCGGCCGCCGGGATGGAGATTAGCAGGATTAGGCTATTGAGGATTAGCGGAAGCAATCTTATCATTAGGAAATTCAGCCAGGCACGCTAATGGGGATGGGTACAAAACTGACAGTTCCTTATCAGCCAGCTAGCTAAAAACGTCCAAAACTCGCCTATACAGTTCCCAACGCGCTCCGTACGCGTACCACCTTGTATCGCCCAAGCGCCCAAGCAGACACGCCGCCAGCCTGCGCAATTACGTAGAGGGGCTGTCATCGACACAGGACTCGTAGAAATCGCTCTTGAGCACAGACGCGACCGCGCGTCATACCTGTGTGTCCCGGAACTCTACTGGGAGGCTTGCACATCTGGTCGTCCTCCCGCAAAGACAGCAGCAGCAATCAACGACAAGATGCCTGCTCGCGATCCGGCGGCCTCGCCGAACCTTCCGGCCTCATTCCACGCGGCGTCTCCGGTACTGCCCACGCACATGCAACATCGCGGTAGCACTACCTCGCCAAACTCCTCTGGCTGGTCCGCGCGCAATGCCAATCTACAGCATATCGAATATGGGAGCCTGGGGAGCGGCGAGTCGCCCGGTCAAGATGGGCAGGGCTTTGTGAGCACCCTCCTGAGGCGAGTGAGCGGGGACAGAGGTGTGGGCGCTAGCAATCAGCCCATTGCGTACGCCCACCAAGGCGGCGAGGATATCGAAGAGGAGGACGAGGAAGAAGGATCAGGGTCGGGGTTTGTGAGGGGACCAAGTCGCAGAGAGAGCTTGGATCTTGACAAGTGAGTATGCCGGTGCTCTATTGTGGACAAACAGCTGACAGCTTAGCCGCGCGCGCAGCCCTACCGGCTCCTCAGCCTCCGATATCCGCTCGGCTACGAATCGCCTGGCGTCCATGCCATTCGCGCGGAATAGACGCCCTTCCGCCTCTGGCGCGGGCTCCAGCTCGAACTCTGGCGCCCACCATACGGAACCTTTCGAGCCAAAAGAGTACCGCTCTACCTCGCCCAGAACACAGCGGAGCGGACAGTCCCTCGGCTCCTTATCTTCCAATGGCTTCCATCGGCCAAAGCAGCCGAGCCACCTCAATGCGGTCATTTCGGGCGTCCAGGAGGAGAGCAGTCCTCCGGCTGGATCCAGTCTTCGAGCGGGGTCAGTCGGCGGAGGTCGGTCGGCCTTGACAGTCATGATGGAGCGGGAGCATGAGCGGCGGAAGCAAGAGGCGGAGGATGTGGAGCGGACCCCTGTGGTCAAACCGGCTACGTTGGCTCGTACCGACTCGAGCCTGACCGATAGCCAGGCTTCAGGCGAGGTCACACCTAAACAACATCGAGGCTCTTTGGCGGTGGAGACGGGCATAGATCCTCGGCCGTCAGATACGGCATCCGAAGCTTCAGAGCCGAATAACTCGTCGGCGCTGAGGCGATTCCTGGAAGGTGGAGTGGATGAGGAGGAAAGGCCGGCGGTGGATGAGAGTACAGCCTTACTGGGAGAGGGCGGGCTGCGGAAGCGGAGACCTGGAGCCTTTTCTCAGCTTGGCGAAAAGGTGCGGGAAGTCAAGCAAAGGGCGGCAAAGGTCACGCCGAAGGATGTGGTGAAGGCGTGCGTCACAGAACCAGTCAAGACGCTACCAAGTGTGATCTTGGGGTGTTTGTTGAACGTGCTGGATGGTGTCAGTTATGGGATGATCTTGTGAGTTGTCTCGCTACCTGTTCGGAGTGAAGCTAATTAGCAGGTTCCCAGCCAATTCGTACTTCGTTGATTTTGGCTCGCTCGGAGTATCGATGTTCTTCGTTTCGTGAGCTGGACCTTCTCTGAAGCGGGAATGAGCTGACCTCTCAGATGTATAGTGTCACAGCTCGTCTTCACCCTTGGCGGCTCCATTTTCCCCGGTGGGAACGGAAGCATGATGATTGAAGCGGTACCCTTCTTTCACATCTTGATCAATACGATAGAGAGCGAGATCGGCGACGATGTGAGTTGGACTTCGGGGATCACTAGGCACATCAGCTGATATGCTAGGATGCCGCTATCATCGCGACCACCATGGTGTCGTTCGCCTTCAGCTCCATTCTCACTGGTTGGTCCTTTCCCATCTCTCGTACATAGAGTAAGCTGACAGTCAGGTCTGATCTTCTTCGCTCTGGGAGCATTCAAACTAGGCGGTCTGATCGGATACTTCCCACGGCATATCCTTGTTGGGTAAGCTCAATCCCGTCGTGTAGTCGTCCCCAGTTGACCACCCAGATGCATCGGCGGAGTCGGGATCTTCCTTGTTGAGACCGGCCTCGAGGTCTCCCGCGGGCTCAAGGAAGAAGGCTTCGAGTACACCCTCGCCACTCTCCGCCTTTTCTTCGACTCGCCGCATTCCATCCTTCTTTGGACATTACCGCTCTTCCTCGCTATCCTCCTCCGCGTCATCACCCATTTCTTTCACCATCAACTCATCTTCCCCGCATACTTCTTCCTCATCCCCATTGTCTTTTACATTATCATCGCAATTGGAGGATGGAGCTTTGCAGAGTTGAGGGAGGCGGGCTGGGTGTTTGATGTTGGGACAAAGTCGCAGGCTTGGTGGAAGTTTTACACGCTGTTTGTGAGTGTTCCTACGTCGAATTGATGGCATCGGAGCTGATAAGCAGGACTTTACCAAGATCAACTGGAGTGCTTTCTGGGCGGCTATGCCGACACAACTCGCCCTCGTCTTCTTTGGTATCCTGCATGTCCCGCTCAACATCCCCGCGCTGGGCGTCACGCTAGGCGAGGACAATGTCAAGCTCGACCGAGAGCTCGTCGCGCATGGATTCAGCAACTTTGCTGCAGGTCTGGCTGGGACTGTCCCGAATTACCTCACCTACGTCAACACTGTTCTCTGTAAGCCCATCAGCGATATCTTGACGATCGTGACCTCAAGCTGACCCCGCAGTCTATCGAGTCGGCGGCGGATCCCGACTTTCGGGAATTATGCTCGCCGTCGCTACTATGGCCATTCTCTTTGTCGGTCCGTCCGTCATCGGCTACTTGCCCGTCACGCTCGTCGGCGCGCTCATCTACGTTCTCGGTCTGGATCTCGTCATCGAGGCTGTCTGGGATACAAGGAACCGCGTCAACCGGTCCGAGTATATCACCATCTGGGCCATCGCGATCGGGATGACTGTGTAAGTCCGGCCAGGTCATTTGCCGCAAGTACTGCATAGGCTGGGAGCTGATAGTCTAGTTGGGACTTTGTGATCGGACTGCTCTTCGGTATCATCCTCGCCTGCATCTTCTTCGTCGTCCAGAATTCGCGAAGGCGGCCAATCCGGGTCGTTCTCGATGGCGCTACCGCCAAGAGTACCGTCCGCCGACCACGAAGCCAGCGGGCATTCATTCAGCAGATCGGTTCCCAGACTTGCATCATGAAGCTACATGGGTTCCGTAAGTCCCTTCCCTCTGACTCTCATTCTAGCTGACCCCTCAGTCTTCTTTGGTACCATCACCGCTGTCGAGGCTGAGATCCGCAATCTGCTCGAAGCCGCTATATGGGCCCACAATCCCATTCGTTTCCTCATCATCGACTTTGCCCTCGTCTATGGTCTAGACTTCTCCTCGGCCGAGGCGTTCGTCCGGATCCAACGACTGCTGGCGGCCAAGGACGTATTGCTCATCCTGTGTGGGGCGAGGCCAAATGGGCTCGTGCAGACTGCGCTGCAGATGGTGGATCTGTGGGCGGATCGAGAGGGGACGAGGGTGGAGGTGTTTACGGGTCTTGGGGATGCGCTAGAGTGGACGGAGAACGCCTACCTGTGAGTTCCAAGCTGATCTCGCCGGTATGATCCAGGACTGACCCTGCAGAACCGCATTCTACGAGAACCAGCAAGCCGACGAGGCCAAGCCTGTACCGACCATAGACTTCCCCAAGGTCGCGAAACCGCCATTCTCGCTTTCCGAGTCGTTCTCGCAGAGCCCAAGGCGGGCACATCTGGCCAGGGCCGGCGGCGATACTCTACCTCAATGTAAGTCCTATATCTGCTCGTATGGTCTCGAGCTGACGAGCTAGTACCCGTATATCAAGAAGACGACGACGACTCTGAAGAAACCATTTCGGAAGACCAACCCCTCCCTCTCCTCATCCAGACCTTCGCCTCCTACCCCGATTCCCCACCTCTCCGGTGGTTCGCTCAGCTCACACCCTACTTTTCGCGCGAGACTGTCACCGCCAACCAACTCCTCTGGACCCAAGATGACATCGCCGACGCCTTATACCTCATCGAGATCGGCTCCTTGCGAGCCACTTACGACCACGGCCACGAGCACACGAATGATCTCCGGGCGGGCACGGGCGGGATCCAAGAGACGATGGTCGCTGGGACAGTGGCGGGTGATTTGAGCATGTTGAGCGGGACGCCGAGGAATGCCACGGTTGTTGCGGAACGGGATGGGGTTGTTTGGAGGTTGGATAAGGCGGCGTTGGGGCGGATGGAGAAGGATATGCCGGAGGTGGCGAGGGAGTTTATCAAGATTGTGTTGAAGGGTGAGTCTGGCTTGTGGATTTGCAAGGGGAGGACAGAGCTGATTAGGTAGCGGTGGCTGAGGAGCATGATGTGCTTGCGGCGCATTTGATCGCTGTTTTGTCATAGATGGCAATGTTGGGCATGTTTGGGTATCTTGACGCGCACGTCTTCTTGACCAAAAGGAGGGCTGTATTACAAGTACACGTGTAGTGATATGCATAGACACAGCATACTGATCGGCACTCACCTTGATACCGATCTGACTGCACAGATGGCTTGGAGTCATACATCAATCCTCGTTTGAGAGTCATGCAGGCCTCATTCACCAGGCAAGCGAGACGATGCATATTCACAGCAGTACAAAGGGGCTACATCGAGTTCGACCTTGGCGTCTCAACCCCGTTGATCAGGCGAGAAGTGATGAAGGTGAGATAGTGGAGACATGTAGCAAGCGGACGGAGACCAACATCATGATCCTTTGGGTTTCTGCAGTTCCGTCTGGACGAAGGTCGCTGGTCGAAATTACCGGATACTTTCCTGTCCCACTGTAACATCAAGCTCTTTCCTTCTACACATCCTCCGCCCACTCGCTTCTCACCCCACTCACGCCATCCGACACAAGCTAACTGAGTCCCGCAACCCGCTCTCGCATTCCCGCTCAACATGTCTACTGTCAACTTCCCCGCTTACGAGCTCGACACCGTTCCCCTCGCGCCTCATTCTGCCCCAGTCAGCGGTTCGGAGGGTTCATCTGCCGTGCAAAGCACCGACGGCGACAGGTCCGCTCGCCGGTAGCACACTCACGAGTGCCCCGATGATCTCGAGGCTCAGAACGATCGCGGCCACGGCCAAAAAACAACCAGGGGGAGCAATGACCCTTCGAGAGCCACAAAGGTCACGATGTCCATCCTCCTTGGCGTCGCGGGTCTGGCGATGGTCTGCGGTCTGGATCAAGCGCTCTCTCCCACCCACGGATCCAGCGGATCCAATACCATCGCGTACACTATCTCAACCTCACAAGTTGCATCGGTGACGACGGACTGGCCGGGTGGGGCGGCGACGGCAGACTTGCCGACTCCTTCGTTGCTCACCAGCGGCGGGTCTCTTGGGACGGTGGCGCCTCCTACAGCCACAGGCGCTTTCACAGGCAGTGAGGAGGGAGGCGCACTCTCGACCGCGACCCAAAGGCCCCTCACGGCCAATCGGAGCAGCAGCGGAGGGGCCTTCACTACCCTCGCCCCAGGCGTCGCTTTTGGGAACGATGACCTCTCCAGCAAGCTCTCTCAGCTGTCCGCAGCAGGCGAGTCGGCTTCCGCCATTGCGTGATGTGCGATGATGATCTGGTGGTTGAGGGGTTTCGCAAGTGCCACGTCAGTTGCCCATCTGTTGACAGGGGAGTTTGTTGATCATGCATTACTTACACACTGGCGCTGTGGCAGGGCTGACATATAGAGAGCAATCGACTGGTGCTCCTCTCATACGTTTCATCCCTTTGCGCGGTACAGAAGTCAAAGGACTGAGCCGCCCAGGGGGTGTAGGGGGTGCATGACGGCTGGCGCGCTCTGGGGCATCGTCTTCAGCGATTCTTATCCTGCTCTCTTTCACTCTACACTGTCATCTCTGCCCTGCGATACAGAAGCCAAGTATAACGGAACTAAGCACCACTTATCCGTGACCCGTAAGTTTCCATTGGGGCATCTGACGAGCTAGCGGCAAGTAACTAACAGGATAGAAATCCTGCAAAACAATGTCCAGAGACAGGCCATCGGCGGTCGTGGCGGACAAGACCACCTCAAACGTCGAGGCTCAAAACGAGGACCGTGCCAAAACGTATCTCGGTCTGACAAAGCGTCAGATCGGGTACATCGCTCTCGGCGTCACCTGCCTCCTACTAGCCGGAGGGATGGTATATGTGTTCACTACGTATGGGGACAAGTCGGGAGGCTCGGAAGAGTCAGGTACCGAGTAGTCTCTCCGTACCTGGAGCATGCAGAGAAGAGTAGCTAGAAATGCCTACTGGAGACACGACAGGTGGCGAGCGGTAAAGAACACGCCCGTACTAGCCTAGGCGAGAGATCGTGGTCCAGGATGCATGCAGGGTGGCGAATTCCGATGAAGTTGTTCCGAGTACGAGGCTCGCGCTTGTCAGGCGACGAGAGGTTGGATACTACTGCACACGTAGGGTGAGCGGGATTAGGAATGAAGGGTACTCCATTCCCTCACGCGTTTCGCCCCTTGTCAAGTGTGACTTGTTTTGCCCATTGTCTGTATCAAAGGATCAGGCTGCAAGCATTGCAAATGCTGTCGCTGGAGGCGGGGTTCTCTAATTTCGCTGGGCTGTGACCCCTGTGTATGTGTCGCTGTCTCCCAGAGTCCCATACCCCCTTTATCTTTGACCTTCATCCTCAGTCCCGGCATACATAACATCAAGACTATCATCGGCCGCTCCACGCACGCACGCATACACCACACCATCACAAATCCAGTCCCTCCCATACCTGTGAGGATGCGCTCTAGTACCTATCAGGCGTGCAATCCGTTCGAAATGGATACTCTACCACTGACAGTGAACGCCGCGCCGATTGACGGCGCCACACCGAGCACCCGCGGCGGTGAACACACCGATTCAGACCCGCATCCGGTCGACCTGGAAAGCCAGGTACTGGCTGCGGCGGACGTCGCCACAACTACAAGCAATTACGACGGCCGTACTCGATTCACCGTCCGCAAGTGCGCCATCGTCTCGCTATTGGCAGCCGCAGGGATTTCCTTCACGATCGTCGCGGGAGCAGGTTTGGTTGGGAGTTTCACCCCTCGCACAGATGCCCCAGCTTCGGATCGATCTGCGCATCCAAGTACAAACGCCGTCGCTGCGTGGTCGACGCCCACCCCAGGTCTGGTTGCGAATGTGAGTGGGGCTCAACAGCAGTCTTCAGCCACGGCAAGCCTCGGTACGCAGGACGACGGGACAAATGGAACGACCAAGACGATAACCAGACTGGCTACGCCGATGCCATCTGTCGCGCTTGGCTCCGGCGAGCAAAGTGGTTGAACAGCTACGCGAAGTAGTATAGCTGATTAGATGGGGGGCAGGTAAATGATGTATGCACATGTCTCTGAGCGGAATACATAGCATGGGGTGACGTCCATAATTTCTCGTGCTTGCGCCTGATCAGAGCGCACACTCTTCTCTGGTCATACAGGTCCAGGACATACAGGTCCTAGCCTAGTACTTAACACCGCTTCACCAGAGTCGACGGGTGACCATATCAAGGGAGATTAGACCTGCAGCACTTCAAGGTGGTTTGAGCTCCTTGCTGGAGCCATGACGATAAAGGGTTATGAATCTGACCGTGTGAGCGGGTCTCGAAATCAGGTCGATGGATCCCCGAAGTCGTCACTATCCCCTTGCATATTTCTCTCATTCTTCACGCAGCTGTACTATCAACCGCATGACCAACATTCCTACCACGCAACACTCAAGCATGACGAAATCTCCCACCCACGAGACGTCAGGCTACGAGCTGGAATCCGTCGAGCCCCTCAACGAAAGCGCTGCCTCAATTGCCGGCGCCAGTGACCGTCGCAGCGCTGGCGGTGCATGGAGGTCCCGCGCTTCAGACCCAGAATCCCGGGGCCCATCAAGTCAGCCACGTTCAACCTTCTGCACGCGGAAGATTGCCATCGGCTGCGTGGGCTTCGCGGCCCTTGTCTCATCTCTGATCGCGGCAGGTGCTGTCATCTCAACCAGGTTGCAGGCCAACAATTCGATTGTGTCCGCGTCCTCAGCTACTTCGGCGACTTACGCGGACGGCAGTCCCATGGCCACCCCAACGCTGAACTCGATCACCCCAACAGTGACCAGAGGATCAGAGTGGCGGCGCTCGATGAGCCCCCCTACAGTGTCATTGCCCACCAGGTCCCGCGCCGGAGACAGGTCCAGTGACGGTCTGGGGAAAGAATTGGCCGAGCTGGCCGCAGCGGGCAATGTGGCCGAAGAAAACGTGTGAGCCAAGATGGAGCGTCGAGAGTCGTAGCGGTCGTCCTGTAGAATGATATTTGTTACATGTACTGGGTCTTTCGATGTGAAGGCGATAGTGAGATTGTCCCCACATGCTTGACCGATGTTACTGAGCATCGATACATATATGCGCCTGGTCACTGATTCAGCGGCTCGCTTGATGATTCAGTCTAACTTCATCTGCGAATGCAGAGTCAAAGTTGCGCTTCCGTCTCTGCGCCATGGCCTGGCAAGTCATCCGCCAGCTCTGTGCGGCTGCAGCTGACCGGCTTGCCCGGTCTCCTCTATGAGGATTAGAGGATAATATGACGGACCCACGAGGTGCGTACGCTAGGGGACCAGGAACAAAGGTATCAGTCACGACACACCGTCAAGAGGTGTCAGCTCCTTGCGACAACAGCTGTCAGTGTCAATGGTGGACGTAGTCCTTTGATAGCGAGGCGGTGCGAGCGGAGTCTCGACAAGAGCGTCAGTAAGGCCTAGGACGTTAGTGGGTCCCGTGCGCATACTCGATTCTGTCTCTTTCATATCATCATCTCCTCCACCCACCCACCCATCTCTTAATCTCTTTCAGCCATCTACCCTCCCCTTGCTACTTTCTCTCCACCGTGCCATAATCGAACTCTCCCAAGACCCCTCCCTACGCGCAGCACACAAGATCCCCTCTCCCATGTCTCTTGCCGCCACCACTGAACCCATCGCGCTCGTCACCTTACCTGAGGTACGTATACCTGAGGCAGCGCACACTCGTGGCGGTACACACTCGATCGCAAGCCAAGGATCCGATGACACCGCCGTGAACCTTGACGACGCCGACGCTGAAGGTCAATGGGAGTCATCGAGGCGTCTGAGTCTGGAGTCCGACGGCGGCGATGACTGGTACAGATCAGGGCATATCACACCCAAATGGAAAACAGGCCTATTCGTGGCAAGTCTGCTCGCTGCTGGCGGTGGTTTGGGGGCTTTTTACGGTTACGTCTTCACGAAACCCGACCAGAAAAGAGGCACCTCAGACACCCCTGTCACAGTCTCGATCACATCCACTCCTGACATCATGAGCGTACCCACTCCGACCGTCACCGGCGTAACGACGTCGACAACGTCAGATCTTGATCCGGTCTCGGCGTCCAGAGTGCCCCTGCCGTTCGGCACTCCTGCCCCCTCTACACTCCAGAGCATCGATTGGGCGAACCCAATCAACATCCTGTCGACGGTGGGGACGCAGTCAACAGCGGATCCGACGATCACGGTGACGCCGACGATGCCCGTGCAGGGAGGAGAGGCCTGATCGGGTGTGTCACGATGGTCAGGCAAGTGAGAGCGCCAGGAAGTTAGGTGTATTTGTACTAGGCACATGAACATCAGCATGATATAGTCGAGAGTCGGAGTCGCGACACTTCTTTCCCGCTAGCGAGTATTCCGCACATATCAGTGAGACCTCCATCGTATGGTCTATAAACCCAGGTCTGAACCTCAATCTACACCTTGGATCGTCGTTAGGCCCGGTCGCTGTCAACGACCTGTCGGGTCCTTGGCCGGGTTTCACAACTTCCTTGATACCATAGTTCACCGCCGAGGCCTCTGCATAAAGATCCAAGATCAAAGGTGGCGTACCCTGCTTGTACGACCGAGAGATCCCTGCTCATTGTGATATCAGTCGTGATCAGTCATCATCAAAGGATACGTAGCCGGTCATCGAAGCCTGGGATGGCGTGAGCGGGCTCCGAATGCCCGTCCACAGTGCAGAAGAGGACTAAGGCTACAGGAGACCCCCTGACTCTGGCAGTGCTTGCTCCTTGCCGATCCAAACTCTCGTTGATATCAGCTCGATCGCTCCGCCGGCTTCACGACCTCCTAGAGCTCACGTTTGATAGATCTTCTCATCATGCCGTCTCTTGCGTACTTCCACAAGTCAGTCGGAGAGGACACAAATGACACCTTCGAAATGGGATCCGTCGCTGCCATTCCTATACTCCACTCTGCACGTACATCCGGCGGCTGGTCCTCCAGCGCCGGCCTCCTTGACCCCGCAGGCGATACGACACTCCTCACCGGTGACGCCGACGTCGAGAGCCGGAAAGAATCAGTCAACGCCCGGTCGGGACTTACCATTCGCCACTTTGTGACCCTTTTCGCCCTCGAGCTCCTGGGGTTCGGGTTGACCTACTCAATCTCGCGACCAGCCTTCTTGAGCACCTTTACTACTGGCCACCTCAAGTCGACGACAACTGAGACCAGCACACTAGTCCCGGCAGGGGCAACGTCAGCGTCTCCTACGAGCTTCCTGTCCAGCGTGCCGCTGGCATTTGGCACTCCAGCGCCATTGGGAACCAAAGACATCGACTCGAATGACCCGACCAAGATCGTGAGTGAGCAAGGGACAGGAAGTCCGACAATCACGGTCACCCGATCAGTATAGAGATATCTTGTATCGGCTTCCGGCCGCGACGGTGAGATTTTGAGCTATGAGCTGGACACCAGTCTAGGTTAAGGGAGATCACAACATGCATGTTCAGTACTGCTTTGCCTCACTCTTCCCCTGAGCCAGATATCAGATATGAGATCAGTGCACGTCAGTCGTTACCTACCGTGACGGTCTATACATCCGCGTCTAATATACCTATACCTTACCCTAGCCCGTACTCTTAAAGCCCTTACAACCCGTCCGTCAGCTCCTCCGCCGGTTTGCCTTCCCAGCAGATCCGATAGACATTCGTGAAGAGCGGGTACGCGTCCACCCTGTTGCGTGCCTTGAGGAAAGTGTTGATCTCTTTGGCCTAGACGAGGTCAGCTATCCCTCTGTGGTGGCGGGATCATGAAGTGGACGTACAGTATGGATACCTTGCAGCTCTATCGGAGTCAGCTTGATCCCCTTTCGAACTTAGACGCGGGAGAGGTGGAAGTAGCTCACTTTGGCCATTCAGCATCTCTTTCTCCAGCTCTTCGAACGACTACAACGTCAGCTTAGCGCTCCAAGTGACACGCGTGGGACAGCTCACCCTCTTCTCCTTGACGAAAGCCGTAGCGACCTTCATGTTCCGTCCACCAAGGCCTATATCGTCAGCTCTATGCTCAGAACCTCTTACTCTTCCAGGTGCTGGCCAACTGACAAGAAGTGATAACGTCCGCCACACCCGCCGATTGCTCCAAGAATGTCTCCTCCTTGACCCCTTCGAAGAATTCCTGGCAAAACGACTTCATCTCCATGAGACCGATGCGCATGATCGCAGCTGTCTGTGTCAGCTATGTCGCTTTATCTGCTTGCGTCAGGTATGGGAAACGCACAGCTCACCTTTCGAGTTGTTTCCCCATTCCAACCCGTCTGCAAGACCCGAGCCGACTGCGACGATGTTCTTCAGGGCGCCACAGAGGGAGACGCCGGCGACCTGACTTGTCAGCTAATCCACTCGTCCATCATCGGTCGGAGGTGGTTAGCGGACATCGTCAACGATCGATACGCGGAACTTTGGTGTGGCTAAAACAATCAGCTGATTCGAGCCCATCGTAAGTGCCTCAGCTCACTAAACAGCTTCTTCCACATATCACCATCCTCCTTCTTTCTCACTCCAATTGTAGTCTCAGAGAATCGATCCCTCGCTACCTCATTCGCAATGTTGGCTCCGCTCAGTGCCGCACAGGAAATCTCGAGTCGCTCGCTGATAATGTCCGCGAAGAGCTTGATATCTGATCCGTTGACCTCGACACCCTAGACTGTCAGCTTACCGCGTGCCAGACCGCTAATTGGAGGGCATGCGTGAGCTTACCTTGGCTAATGAAACAGCACGGATCCCCTTCGTGACTTTCCCCTCCATCTGATCCAGCGTCTTCACAAGGACTGAGCTGTCAGCTGGGGCTAGACATCGATATGGCTAGCGAAGCTGACACTGATGAGGCATCACAAAGATAAGCACCGTCGCGCCCTTCACCGCCTCCCCGATGTCCGGGATAGCCACGACGTTCTCCCCCAACGCCACCCCGGGGAGATACTTCCGGTTCTCGTGCTCCTCATTGATGATCTCGGTCAACTTCTTGCCCTCGAACTATGACTATCAGCTGCTGGGATCTATGTTCGATTATAGCGACGGTAGCTGAATGCGTATAACATACCTCCTCCTCGAACACCCACATTTTGACCTGCTCATCAAACATGTCTGGGTTCTGCTTGACATTGTTGCCTGCGATTCGAGCGATAGCTGAACCCCTACCGTGTCAGCTCAGGCTCCATCATTGGCAACAGCATTCCAGACGCACCAGTTCCCAGACCCGACAATGGTGATCTTCTCTTTCCCCATACTGCTGAATGTCCGAGCGAAATAAGTTGGCCGAGAAGGACGAAGAGCTCGGACTGTGGATGATACGAGTGAGCGGAGTATCTTGGCGAGGCTTTATGCGACTACCAGGTCAGTAAGCACTTCATAGCTGCTTAATATGGGTCAGCAGATAGGACTGACCTGTGCTTGGAGACCGTTGATAAGGTGAATGGTGAAAGTCTGGATCGTCAGCTGCCTCTCGCCTCTCTTCTGCCAAGATCCACATTCCTCATGCCGTGACGTCAGGCACCGCCCATTCTGAAATAGCGCCTGATAGAAAAGTGTATAACGCCGCTATTCTCCGTGTCACTCGCCAAGAACCTTAAAGAACCTCACGGTCGCGTAAAGTAAGATATGGTCCACCTTTACGTCCCATCACTTACCTTACCTTCAGTATCGGACCAGGAGGAGAGCTGCCACGATGATGAGAGCTCAAGCAGCGGCGGAAGAGCCTGAAGCAGGCCCTTCGACCGGTCCGCACCATATGCGTATCTCTACCGGGGGAAGTATAGCCAGCTACGTCAAGTTCGCCCTAGACTTTCTGCAAGTACGCTACATCTGCTCTCCTCCTTGACAGACCTGTCTGATAGCGCAGAATAACCCCTCTCGGGCTCTCATACTACACACACGACCACATCCGCCATCCACCACTGGCACCACCACCGCAGCCCCCCAGGCGCGCTCGACTTCAACTCTCCAACCCTGCACCCTCTCCGTGCCCCGCTTGATCTCCGTCGCCGAGCTCGTCAAGCGGGAATACATGGCTATCCTCAATAAGTCAGGGAAGGGGAAAGGGAGACATAGAGGGGTGGGGATATGGCAGTATACCAAGAGTGGGCTGGTGGATCCGGCGGAAGTGGGGTTGGCGGTGCAGGAGGGAGATGGCCAGCTGGCGAGGGTCTTGGAGGGGAAGATGAAGTAAGTTGTATACCTCCTTTCCTGGGACGACTAGTTGATGGGGGTTGAGCTGACTGTTTAGACCTAAGATGACGCACTACCCATACCTCGAAATCACACTCTCAACGCGTTCACTGGGCTTGGAGAAGGAGACGGATACAAGCTGCCAGTATCTCCTCGCTACGCGGCATCGGGCTGGAAGGGCGCCAAAAGGCGACCCTGGGGATGATGAGGACGATGGGATGGCAGAAGAGAATGGTACAGGGGGCGAGGAGACGGAGAAGAAGCAAGCAGCTGAGGGGGAGGCGGATATGGGCGAGGTGGTATCGAGAGAGTCGTTGACAGAGAAGGGCGGGACCGGCGGGGTGAAGGGGAAGAAACGCAAGTCGAAGGCTCTGGATGAGATAGAGCAGATCTCAACAAAGAAGATGAAGCCGGCGGTATGAGCAGTCGGTCGATGTTGCGGGGTGGATGTGCTAGATCTCGTATCTGATGCATGTATAACTCTATCTGTAATGAACGTCCATCCCACACGGTTCCCCTTCCCCCGGCCGGAGCCTATACCGGATACCTCCTACCTTGCCTCTCCGCCATGCCAGACAACACTGACGCCGGCACTCTGCTCATACCTCCGCCTGCCGCTTCGTGAAGGTGACCATACCCTTGAGGGGGATGACAATCATGGTCTACAACGTGAGCTTCGATCTCTACACCCGAGGAATGGCGTAAACTCACTTGGTAGTTTGGCGAAGGGAACTCCTTGTTCTCCATCTTGAGCGTAAAGTTCCTGACGACATACGACAGAATGACCGAGAGTTGAAGGTAGGCGTAAGATTCTCCCACACACCTGTTAAATCAGCTTTTGCCCCTTTTCCCTCTTCCGCCTTGAAAAGGTGATGACTCACCGATGCCTTCCAGCTCCGAAAGGCTGATACGGGCTCTCCGTCCCCTTACTAACCTGCCCAAACCCATAATCCACCTGCTCCCCGCTCGTCCCATAATAATTCTCCAACGCGGCCGCGCCCACCCCCTTCTCGTCCAGCCAGCGGTGCGGGTTCCAGTTTTTGGGCTGGTCCCAGATCTTGGGGTCCATGGCGGAAACACCAGGGGCGGCCATGAGGAAGTTGTTGGCTGGGATGATGTAGGACTCCGTTTCGGACGGGGCGGAGAGGGAGGAGGGGACGGGGATGGCGGATAAGACTTTTCGGTAGATGGAGTGGATGGGGGCGTGCTGCTCATCAGCAGGAGAACGAGAAGGGGTGTAAAAGAGGGAGACAGAGAAGACATACCATTCGGAGAGTCTCGCGGATACAGGCGTCCATGATCGGCATGGTCTTGGTGTCTTCGTATGTCACCTCGCGCCAGCTTCCGTCGGCGTTCCGGAAGAGCTTGACGTGTTCGTTGTAGAGCTCTTCGCTGGAAGCGTCAGCTGCTGCGCTAGTGCCATCTCAGAGGCCCGCCAACTCACTAGACATCGGGCCTGTGGGCGAGGTTGAGCAAGGTCCACGAAGAAGTAGCCGAAGAGGTATGTTGTCCCGCCATCAGGATCGCAATCATCATGTGCGCGATATCCGAGTCGGTCAACTCCACGCCAGTCTTGTACTGGCACCCCGTAAGAGCCGTAATCATATCATGTTCGTCCTGCCCATCAGCCCTTTTCTTCTCTTCTGCCCTCCTCTTCCTGGCCATACTCACAGAGACAACCTCCCCCGTCCGCCGCTTCTGGATGATATTCCGATAAAACTCGCTGATCTGCTTGTGCGCCTTATCTCTCCGCACATTAACAGGCAGGGGCAGGTTCGTAAACATAAAGTTGACCGGAATGAATCCCGCATCGAGGTCCCAGAAGAGCTTGGCGAATTTCGAGTCGAGGGCGTTCCGGACTTCCTTGCCCTGCAGAGAGCGAGAGGCGGTGAGGATGATGAGCTCCGACATGGCGTGGAAGACCTCGACGGTCTTGGACGAGGTGGAGGATCCGGACGAGAGGTCGAGCTCGTGTGCGAAGAAATGCTCCGTTTCGGCCGACATGAGCGGGGCGTAGGACTGGAGGGCTTCGGTAGTGAGGCCGTGCTTGATCTGGGGGTCAGCTGGAGCTCGGAGAAAGAGGTCGATGAGACATTGACAACTGACGAATTTCTTTTGCTGCATGAGCATCTCGTTGGGGCAATCATAGACGACACCCTTGCCAAACACCGGCGTGGTCAAGTGCTGCCTTATCAGCTACGAAGCCCAAAGTCCATGAGAGGTAGATAGCTCACAGTATAAGCCTCCTCCGCCGAGACCTGGCTAATCTTCCCCCCCAGACTCAGGTTATTCCCCTTCGGTCCAAGCGCAACCGTCACCCTTCTCCCCAAAAGCACAAACTCGAACAAGTCCCCATACTGCCTCGTCAGCACGTTCCATACATCTGCGACAGATCGAGCTCACCTTGTCACGGTTCCGGAACAAAAAGGCATACGGGTCTTGCCCATAGTCCGCCGCTGAGCCAAACCAGGGGATGATGTGGAAAACGAGCGGCGGGGCGTTTTTGCCTTGTGGCAGGAACTGGTTGTCAGCGCGATGTCCTCTGTGGCCGCGCGGGGACTGAAAACGTACTTGACGAGCGACGTTGAGTAGGATAGCCAGTGCAGGTAGGCCTACCACAGCGGAAAGAACGAGGTATGTCGTCGACATGGTCCGTACCCAGTCGGGCAGTAGCGCCGGGAGCTGCGCGATGACAGACATGTCGAGCTGATGTCTGAGGGTATCCAGAGCAATTCGATGCTCGTCTAGGGGTATGTGGAGGGCGTATGAGCCTCTCCTTGTGGTCAAAGTCAACACAGGGAATGCAATGGGACGATCGTTTGAGGGACGTGCTCGTCGCGTCGCCGCTGGAAAAAAACAACACAGCGGCGATCGCCGAGTACCTCAGCCAACCCCAGCCAAGTGGTGCTGATCAGCTGGTGATATCTCTCTTCTAACTATCTATCCATCACCATCACCTATGAAACGAAGCTGCTAGCCGGCTCTGCGACAAGTGAAGCGGCAGGGACGATATGTGCGAAGAGATGCGGAGGAAGAAGTGGGGAATCAGATTCCGGACCGAAGGCCTGGTGACGGGCTGAAACAAGTCTGTGGTCGTTCGTGATTGAGGATTGTGTCTTGGACCATCTACCACTGACATCTCTCTCTCTCTCTCTCTCTCTGTGTACGCTCTGGCTCTGATAACGGGGACCGCTCGCACTGACGCTGACGCCGATGTTTCACCGCATCGTCATCACGTTCTGGCCTGGCTTGGCCGTTCCCGCTGCCGATGCTGTGCTGCCTGGCGATACTGAACAAAAAGGCAGCTGTCCAGATCTGGGAACGGGTCAGACCTGCTAGAGTCCGCGACGAAGTGACAGCTTATACATAGGCACCACCGTTTCTGACTCCTCATCAAAATCGGATCCACGACCCAAAAGCCATCATGCTCGCCTTCGACCTGATGACCTCGTAAGTCCCCAACCAGCCTGCTCTGCTCTTCTGTCAGCCGCTGACCTTCAGTCCACCCAATTCCAACGCCCCCTCCCCCTCTCTCGCCTCCCTTGCGCGTATCCCCTCCCTCACTCCCACGCCCTCCTACATCGCCCCCGTCCCTCGTCACCCGTCCCCTACTTCGCTCTCCACCCCTCCGCCTCGCTCGCCCGGGTGCCTCCCCACCGGCTGCCCGGCCGACCGAGAGAGGATGGACCACCCCCTCCCTGCCCTGCCTACCGGCCTGCTTCCGCGCGGAAGCCATTCGGAGGTCGTCAACCCCACGCCTCCCGTCTTGTTTAGCGATACCGACCTCTTTGCTGCTCGACTCCCCCGCCCGAGCTGTCCCGGCCCTGCACCGGGCGTACCCGCTCTTCCGCCCATCCTGAACGTCACGGTCGGCCAGAATCCCGCGCGGCCGGGAGCGACTCGGAAGCCATCATTCACTATCCCTCTCCCCCTTCCATCTCCTGTCTCACCTACCGGTACCGGTATCGCTCCGATCTTTGCCGGCGGGATCGGGGGCGGGGGACACAGACCCTCGTTGGCCGTAGTGTACGGAGACGAGAATGCGTCCCGCCGGTCCTCGTATACCCGTACCCCGTACCCCATCGACGAAGCTGCGGACTACATGTCGGCCCTATCGATGGACAATCGAAAGATGCACCCTGCCGATAAGGGCGAGCTGGAGGGGAGGAGCGGGGCGATACAGTGGACGGATCCCTGGGCGGCGAGTGCGGGGCCGGGCGCGAGTCGGGCGGGTGTGGGTGCAGAGGAGGGGAGGCCGTTGAGCGGTAGTATAGAGGGAGGGGTCGAGGCGATGGGGGATGGAGGCGCAGGCGCAGGCGGGAATGGAAGCGGGGAGGGCAAGGCGAAAGTCAAGGTCAATTCGGTGGATATCGGACAGTGGGCAAGTGTGGGGATGGAGCAGGCTTGGTCCGCGGATTCGCAGAGCGCCGTGGAGGGGGACAGTCTGTTGACTGAGGCGTGAGCGGATGCGGGGGCGGCGAGTCCGAGCGCGAGGGGGGATGCGAGGGGGAGGGTATGAGACTCGGCGAGGAGGTGATGAGGGTGGAGCGTGGAGGAGGGGGTTAGGTTTCCGCCCGTCCGTACTGTATACCTTATACTTAGATGCACTATAATGATCCGCCCTGCCGTGCGCGTCTGTGCATGTCCTTCATGAAAGAATTGCTCGGGTCTACGTACAAGTATAGCTCGCTATCGGACGCTAATCAGACTTAAGCCTGAGATAGGGACAGGGTTACTGCACGGTCGAAGCTTCCGGGATTCCGGTACCAATCTAATCTAATCTACTGCGCTCGGGCACACAACTATCACTAGGCCACGAACGGCGCACGGGCACAGTGTTCTGGACGAGCTTCTGGACGCGTCCTTGACTTCTCGACTTTGCGAGCGTTCCTGGGACACTAGTGGATCCGTGCTCCGCGTCCGAAGCGCTCTCCAAATATTCCGAGAGACTAACAGAGAGTCCGGGCGTGATGGAACGCCACTTCGCAGTGTCAACGTGCTCAGTCTTCCAACTTCCCACTCGGAAGGACTGGGCTTTGATCTGAAGCTGAAGCTTTGAAGCTTGCTCTGCTCGTGAACCTGAGGCCCATTGCTGATTCAGCATTCCGCTCCTCATTCCGTCGATCACTCTGACTGATCGCTGAGCTGCAGCTGACTGATCGCTGCGCATGCGGGAGCTGATCGCAGGATCGTCGGCCGATCATGTCTCAGGCGATCATCCCATTCGCACGCAGCCCTTCCTTCGACTGCTCTTCTGCGGCGAGATGCACTGACACGACGATGTGCATGAAGACCTTCGGAGCGCCCCAGCTGAAGACAAGGAGACGGTCAGAGAGCAAGGGAGAACGGACCGACGCCCCAAGTTCCACATCTACCTCCGCGTCCCGGCGCCGGTACCCCCGAAACCGTTGCTATTGTCCGAACCCCCTGATGGCGCTTTGCTAGACTCAGCCTCTACGCTATACTCGGAGATGGAGCTTGAGCGCAGCAGGCACAAGTAGGGACATGGTCGATGGGGCTATAGCATACGTTGAGCCCGGGGTCAGTGCCACACACTTGCCACACTCATCAGCGCGTACGCACCACCTCAGTCTCCTATCATACCTGCCCCACCGATCGCTGATGACGCGGACTATGCAATGGTGAATGAAGATATGCTGACCCTCAAGGCCCCATTCCACACCTCCACTCCGAGCCCTTCTGTCTGTGATCAAGACACAGATCCCTCTGGTGCGGGCCCCGCTCCAGAGTCCGTCCGCCCGAAGACGTGCATCTCAGACCCGATGGAGCGAGTGATCGCTTTCGTTTCGCTGTTTCGTCACGCTTCCCTCGCTTCCCTAATGAGAGCTAATAAGCCTCTTACAGCCGAGATATGACGCGATCAATGGCGCACCATCCGCAGCGCCATCGTCTCCGCTGTCTGAGACAGGTTTGGTAAAGGTCGTTATTGTTCAGGGTCCATTCCATTTTGCCGCCGCTCCACCATGCCACGCCGCACGGGAGGAGATCCGCGCAGTGATCGCCTGACTCGGCGGTGACGGAGGAAGACGAGAGAAGGGAGCGACGTTTTTCGGGGTACGGCAGGTAGCAAACCTTAGCTCAGGTCAAGGTACAGGTGGCCACCTGGGCTCGTGGGAAGTGATCGTCTGCACACAACATCTATCTTCTCTCAGATCCAACTGTCTTGTCTTGTACAGTCTTGCTTCGGAATCCTCGACGCCCGCATTCACGAGACGCGACTGACACTGCCCCGCTTTACTGGCGCCTGTATCGACTATCAACTGAAAAGAAGCCCGGTAATAGGCCACTTCAACAAGTGGCGAAGGAAAAACGAGATTCAAGGAGCGCTTGGGTCTGTCTACTGCACTGGACCACACGGCACGAACTTTGTAACGGTGCGTTGGTCACTTCCGCTTTCTCTGTGTGTGTGTGGGTGTGTGCATGGTGGCGTCGGTACCTGTGCACGTTGTGTGACGATCCGCCATTTCCGATGATCCAAAGGACGGGGCTGGGAATGCGGATCTCGTGTGTGGATGGCGTGTGTGTCGAGGTGCGGAGGGACAGAAACCCAAAGGAGGGGATCATCCCGAGAGCTTGAGCAAGATCAGCTTTGCACAGGCACAGGGAGAGACAGGGGAGTAGCGCAGGATGAAAAGTGGCAAGCAAAAGCATCTTTGGCGACCTTTCCACTCCCTTCAAACGATGTATCCCCCGCCGTGGATCTCGCTTCCCCCTCGTCAATCATCCGTCAAAGGCGACCAAAGCTGACGCATCTATCCTTCTTGACTTGACACCTGCCCCTCAACTGCACTCGCCCGCTCCTTCCTTCTCGATCAACGGTATCCACGCCCCATTCCTCTGCTGTCCTTCGACGCCCTTCCCGCCCGCCCTCTGTCCTTCCGTCCGTCCATCGACGTGACCGCCCTTACGTGCCTAGTCACATCTACGCCACCGGGGTCTCCCTTGCCCACATCTTCGCACAACTCTATATCTCACTCACATTCAACTTGGATCGCCCTTGTCAATTCTTAAATCCGCCACCTCGCCTATACACGACCCCGGCGCAAAAATCTACGCGACTTGGCTCGATGACTCACCTTTGGCGCGTCTCTCGGTAGTTGCACCCCTATCGTACCAACTCCGTCCTTCCTTCTTCCTCCGCATTCACCATGCTCCCCTCGGCTCTGGAGGCGGTCTCTTGCCCTTCCTCTCCGCTATCGCCCTACCACATCTCTCCTAAATCATCCTTACTCAAACAGGCCGACGCTCTTCCAGTCGACACTTCACCTCTCTCGCTCGTGCGTCGGCGCATTCTCCGGGACTCCTCGCTACCGCTCGACATTCCTCGCTCCTCACCCCCCATGTGGTCCATGTCCATGAAGGTTGATACCAACTACCCTCATGGGCGCGCCTCGCCCACCTCCGTCTACTCGCCCATGTCTTTTCCACCTGCCCCGGCTACCTCGTCTGTTCGCCCAGGGTCCTCGTCGGGTCAACATGACCCCGTAGCTGGTCCTCATGTCAATCCTGCTGCTGGTCCAGCCAAAGGACTCGCCATGCCGGGTCCTGGCTACCGGCGAGCGAGCAGGTTCGACCCGATGGACCCGGATGGGGATGAGGAAGAAGATGGGTATGGCGATTTGGGGAGCAGACATCCGCTTCGCCGAGTCAAGGAGTCGGGGCGGGACGAGGGGTTCAGTCTGCCCAGTATAAAATCCCTATTTGGCGCTTCAAGTGAGTACCCCGGCTTCGGGATGAGAGTTGCGCTGATAGTAGATGATGGACCTGGAACGCCCGGCTCCACCGGACCTCCACAAGTCTTTCAAACGCCAAGCCTCCCACCTCTTGTCCCCCCTTCCCCCTCGTCTTCCTCCTCCCCCTCGACAACGTACCGTACATCCCGCTATTCCTCCCTCGGGTCCTCCTTCTCCACCATCTCCGAAAATGGTAATCCCAGCGGGTGGTGGGCCCCAGAGTACGAGCGGGAGCGCAGCAGCCTCTCGTCCACTTCTGGCCTTCCCCAGCCCCCTCGCGCCCATTCCTTCCCGTACGCCCCCTCCTACGCCGATGACCACGATGCGAAGCGGCGCCGGTCGGACCAGCCGTCCGCTTCTGGTGATTCAGAAGAAGCTGCGCGACTCAAGTGGCAAGCCCAGAGCAGGAACGCTTCTTACCCCGCAGCGGGCAGCTCTGGGTCTGTTTCTGGGCCCTCCAGCTCGGGCCTGCGAAGCATCATGGCTCCCCCGTCAGGCTCCATCCCGCGAGGATCAGTCTCGCACTCCTTCTTCCCGCCAGACGAGGGAATGCGAGGGGGTCCGCCCGTCCCTCGCAGTGCATCTATCGTCGGTGGCCAGCTCGCCCGATCGTTCGCCGACCTCACTGCTGCGGAACATCGGGCCTCTATCTCTCGCTCGCCATTCATGGGTCCACCTATCCTTCCTCCTCCCCCGCTCGGCCGCCGCCCATCCTTCTTCCCCCCGGCACCCATGTCGCAGCACATGTCGTCCAGCTCTTCCCTCCCCATCCTCCCAGACCCAGAAGAGGCGCGAGGTGCCCGATCACCTTTGCGTGAACCATCTCACCCGCCCCCATTCACCGGCTTCCTCAACCCCGAGACTGCCCAAAATTCCCGGCGTACAAGCGTCAGCCGGCCATCCTCTCCCGAGGTTCAGCCCCAAGCGCGCCGGTCCAGCCTCACAGAGCTCATCAAGGCGAAAACCGGCGATGACGTCGCGCTTGCGTCAGGCAGACAACCTGGTTCTACACCCAGCGGATCGACAAACCCTTCTCCTGCTTCCGTATCTTCGAAAGGGTTCGCGCGCGAGATCTCGCTAAATGAGAATGAGGATACCGAAAGAACTCCGACGACGCGCGCCCGGAAACGAGGGGCGCGGACGCGATCGGAAGAGCCGCCAATGGGGATGGGGAATGATGAGGATGCGGAAGGAGAGGAAGTGGGGTTCGGCGCGATGGATGTACTGGCAGAGTCGGCGAGGAGGGTGTCGGAGGCTGAAGCGGAAGCGGATGCTGAAGAGAAGGAGGGCGAGGATGATAAGTCTGGAGCGGCGGGACCGAAGTATTCGTGCGCGTACTGTCTGAAGACATTCTCGCGGCCAAGCAGTCTCAGAATACATACATACTCCCGTGAGTGCTCCTTCCGGCCAAAATAGGGTTGTGCTGATGAGCAGATACGGGTGAACGCCCCTTCGTCTGCCCCGAACCATCGTGCCGACGCAGGTTCTCGGTCCAGTCGAATCTCAAGCGTCACGCCAAAGTCCATACCCTCCCTATCGCTGGCGTTCCCGGTGCAGCGGGCGGTATAGCTTCTGCAGCGGCGCGAGCTGCTGCCCAGGCCCCACCCCCGCCCCAGCAGGAGCTTTTCACCGCGCATGCGAGCCATCTGCAGCATCATCCCCCTTCGCCCATGTCCATGCCGCAGACGGCTACGGCGTCGAACCATCATCTATCGCCCTTCACTTCGGTACCCGCCAGGATCCACCCACCCGCTCCGGCTCCGGTCCCACAACATCAGCAACAGCAACCACCGCAATACCTCTCCCCTCCACCCATGACACAGCCGTACTTCTCCCCTCCGGCCCCTCCTGCGCAAAACGGATACATGTACGGGTACGATCAGTACGGATACCATCCGCAACAGCACCAGCAGCACCAGCAGCACCAGCAGCACCAGCAGCACCAGCAGCACCAGCAGCACCAGCAGCAGTACATGCCGGACCATACTTCCCCTTATGCCCAACATTACGCGCAACACATGTACCATCCGCAGCAGTACCCCATTCAACCGTCCCATCAGCTCGATTCGACGGCGAGGTATCAGACGCAGCAGTATCCGCCTTCGGCGGATCGAGGGGCCGGGAATGGAGGGAGTGATGCGGATGATGCGGAGGGGGAGGCGGACGAGTAGATGTTTACAGGGAGTCGGAGACGACAGGGCGGACGGGAGCGGAATACCAAAAGCGCTCGGACGAGGGCGGATGTGCCTTTTGATCAAATAATGGACGGTGCCGGTGAAGCGAGTTGTATGTACCATCTAGAGATTGTAGAAGGAGATATGCGAGGCAGTAGTGATTGTGCCTTGGCTTCCGAGGAAATCACTTGCAAAGAGCAGCTATTGACGCGATAGCGGATCAAGGCGGCAAAACCCGGTTCGAGATCAGCTCGGCCGCTTCGGACCGGACAGCCGGTAAGAGCCGGATTGACAGGAAGATAAAGCTGGTCCACTTCTCTTGCTTTGCTCGACCAAGTTGCCCATATACATCTCACGCAGTGACAGCCCCAGCATCATCATAGACAGCATAATAGATCACCAAAAATGTCGTACCTCGAAGAATTGTTCGGCCTGAAGGGCAAGACCGCGCTGTACGTCTTTCCCCCTCTTCCCGTTCTGCCCCTCGCGCTCGCGTCCGTGCAGTCTTGTCCAGTCGGGGTCCCTTGTCCTTCGATAAGCACAATTCAAGAATACAGAGCTGAAGACTTAGTATCACCGGAGCGACCCGCGGCATCGGCGCCCGTATGGCTCTTGCTCTATCAAAAGCAGGCGCAGATATCATCCTCGTCCAGCGGAACGACACCAACACGGCCACGAAAGAGCTTTTGGAGAAGGAGGGCGGAGGGGGCAAGGCAGATATTGTGGTGTGCGACCTGAGCAGTAAGGAGGATGTTGGCGGGTTGATTGCGAAAGTGACGGGAGAGATGGGGCGGGTATTGGATATCGTGGTCAACTGCGGTATGTCCCCCTTGCTTAGCTTTTCTAGCCTGGCAGCCTCTCCCATCGGGAGCTGAGTGCGGAAGTGCAAAGAGCTGACAGCCAGGTGGTATTCAGCGCAGACACCCCGTCGAGAACTTCCCAGATGACGATTTCCAAGAGGTTCTTCAAGTCAACATGAACACTGTGTTCCAGATCACTCGGGACGCCGGACGACACATGCTCAGTACACGAGGCGGGGTCGCGGGCGAGCCTGTTCCGCAGGGAGGCGCAAATGGGAACCCCAGGGGCTATGGGAAGATCATCAACATCTCGAGTTTGGTAGCTTACCAGGGTGAGTCTGCGGTCTTGCCCCGCAGGAAAGGAAGCTTGGCTGATCGCCAGGCGGTCTCAACGTCGTCGCTTACGCTGCGGCGAAGCATGGTGTTCAGGGGATGGTCAAGTCCTTCTCGAACGGGTGGGCGAGCAAGGGGGTTTGCGTGAATGCTATCGCTCCAGGGTACATTGCGACCGACGTGAGTATCTGTGTACCGTACCCGTCCCGACCCCAAAGTTGTAAGAGTCATAGTTGAGGAGACTAACGATCAGATGAACGAAGCCCTCATTGCCGACCCCGTCCGTTCTCGCCAGATCCTCGAGCGTATACCTGCCGCTCGATGGGGAACACCTACCGACTTTGAAGGCGCGATCGTCTTCTTGGCCAGTAAGGCGAGTGACTATGTCAGCGGAGAGTGTCTGGTTGTTGACGGTGGATGGATGGGCAGTGGGTTGCTTCGTCTCCTCGTGTTATGAGGACATCAGGTTGGACCAGGGATGTTAGCTGACGGTTTGCAGGATAGGTGGCGTCAGTCTTGTGCTTTTAGTGAGGTTGGCAATGAGAGCATGGGTGCATGCATTGCGTGTGATCGTGCGCTGCCTGTACCGACTGTTTATCCATGTGTGGCCCTGCTGGATCGTTTGACAGTTGGATGGGCTTAAAAGGGGGCTGCAGTTGAGCGCGCCTATCATCCCACGCTTTGTGGCACCGCTTGACCGCGGTCTTCCTTCATACCCCTCTTGCCCTACGCTACCGCCCCGGTAGACTCCTTCGTGACCTGCTCAAGCCATTTGCCCAGCTCTTTCTCCATCACAAGCAGTGTTCGTCCAGCTGAGGGATCTAACGATGGTCCGGAGGGTGCGGTCAGGGTCGGTGGGAGGGAGAGGGAGAGGTGGATCTGGTTCGAGGGGAATTTACGAGCTGTCAATGAGCTCTGCGATCCCATAATACCGCACAGTCTCAGATAGGCATGGACGGAGGGCGTACCTAGACGTTGAGCCATAGGAACAGCGAGGTCCAAAGCGCCTGATCGGAACACCGGCGTAGCGACAGTTGGCATACTCTGTTCAATCAGCTAATGTGCACATTCAGACCTGTCGGCCCAAGCTCCTGCCAGCTGTGGACCACTCACACCTCGTGAAGGCATCGCGACCCCCCAATCAGCCGCCAACTTCCTTTCTCCACCCATTCCTCCTTCACCCCCTTCTCCCACTCCGCCCATACCGCCCTGCCCGAGCCCGACTCCGGATCCCGGTCCGCCCGCGCCAGTAGAAGAGCCCGTACCGACCCAGACGAACAAGGTTGACGTGAGTCGTGTCAGGTGGAAGATGAAGGCGGGGGCATAAGGGTTGGAGGGGGAAATATGGGTGTGATGTGTCGATATTTGTGGTGCGAGCTTGAAAGACTCCATGTTGTCGGCTGTACAGAACAATGGGACGGGGCTCAAGGCAAGGATAATGGGTGGTAGACAGGGAGAAGGCGGTTGAAAGCGTGGTTCTCGAAGCTTTGAGGAATGTGGAGTCGAGATCACGTGACCTGAAACTCAAGGGGAAATTTCAGTAGCCGATGACGACAAGATTTAAAGCTGTTGTTGTTGTTGCCCATCTACACCGCCTAGATAACTACAAGATGGTAGCTGACTCGGCGTACTACGACCTACTCGGGATAGATGAGGACGCTTCGCCGGAAGATGTGAAGAAGGCGTATCGAAATAAGGTTAGCTACCGACGACCGAGCGACTCCGAGAGCCAGCTGACCTAGCAGGCCAGGTTGCATCACCCCGTATGTTCACAAAGGGCTTCGAAGAGGCACTGATGTATGACTGACCATCGCTGACCTCAAATAGGATAAGGTGAGCTTTGAGCGAAGTGGATGGCTCGTCCCCGAAGCTGACGCCCAGAACCCGGATGATCCGCTGGCCCACGAGAAATTTCAAGAGATAGGTCAAGCCTACGAAACCCTCTCTGACCCCGATGAGGTGCGCCCCAGCTGGATGATGCACACGCTACATTCAGTGGCTGATCATTAGCGCGCCGCTTATGACCGATATGGAACCTCTGGCCCATCTCGAGGCGGCGGCCCGGGCGATTTCGACGGACCCGACCTCGACGACCTTTTTGCCCATATGTTCGGCGGTGGCGGCGGGGGCTTTGACTTTGGCGGTGGTGCCTCTGCATCTTTCGACCCATTCGGCGGTTCATCGTCATCTCGAAAGCCAACGAGGGGGAAGGATACGGATGTGCGATATGAGATCTCGCTGGAGGAGGCGTTCAAGGGGAAGAAGGTTGTCATGAACCTGTCGAGAGATCGGGCTTGCGGCGTCTGCGCAGGAGTCGGAGGGAGAAAGGGGGCGAAGAAGGAGGAGTGTGGGAGATGTAAAGGCAAAGGGAGCATCATACGGGATAGACATGTGAGTCTGGATGTTACAGCATGAGGGAGGGGTGGGCAAGCTGATCTGTAGATCGCCCCGGGGCTTGTTGGGAAGGCTAAGGTGGTATGCGATGAGTGTGACGGGGAGGGGGAGCGGTTCTCAGAGCGAGCCAAGTGAGTCTGAGTGATCTGCAAGCAAAGCTAGTCAAGGACCGGGAGCTGATCACACAGATGTAAGCGGTGTAAAGGCGCCAAAGTCACCAAGGAGAAGAAACGAGTGGAGTTTGAGATCGATCCAGGAACAGAGGACGGCGAGCGGATAGCCTTGCGTGGAGAAGGAGATGAGACTGTACGCCCCTTGTGTCCTTGATCTTGGATCATAGCTGACTTTCAGCCCGGCATACCGCCCGGCGACGTAATCTTCCACATCCATCATCGCCCTCACGCCCTCTTCCGCACCCTTCCGCGCTCGGACCTCTCCATTCCCCTCTCCATCTCCCTCTCTGAAGCCCTGCTGGGCATGAACCGGCTCATGTTTGTACATCTCGATGGGCGGGGCGTGCGGATAGAAACGAAGCGCGGGGAACGGATCATCAAGCATGGGGATGAGCTGGTTATCAAGGGGGAGGGGATGCCTGTGAGGGGTACGAAAGGGCGGGGAAACTTGCGGATAAGGTTTGGGGTGGAGATGCCGGGTCTAAGCTGGGCTTCGAGGACGGATCCTGGTGTGAGGTCTACGATCTGCATAGGGCGAGACTCGTTGAGCTGACGAGACAGTCAATGGTGGTGGAACTGCCAAAGCCGCCGGTGGATCTAACGCCGACGCCGGAGGTGGTGGTGACGCGGTTCTTGTCGCCATTGAGATGAGATGGGAGTGGGAGGATCTGCGGGAATGCATCACCACTGTCGTATTGGTTTCCACACTCCGAGTCGAGGCAGAACGTTTCTGTCGCTGCAGCCGCTAGTATGGCAGTACGCAGGGATGATGGCGCACCTGGAACCCACAGCACAGAGTTTCTGATTCAGTGCAAATTTGCACGGCCATGACGTATGCAGGCAACCGCTTCGCGGAGATCTGATTGTCTATTTTATCTCTCGAGTCTCTGTGTCCAGCAATCATCTCGCGGCTGCTTATCTCTCTGCTCACCTACTGATCGCTCATCATGACCAAGCGAGCAGGCTCCGAGGCTTCCCTAACGCCCCCGCCAGCCGTTATATCACCCTCAGCCAAGCGGCGGAAACCATCGGCCAAAACGGTTGCCGATTCTGTGCTCAGCGATGAGTTCCAGCAGGTCACGCTGCAGCCTTGGGTCGATGCGTATCGGATCAAGGGGCTGGGCTATGGCGGAGATGTCTACTATCAGCCTGACGTGCGTATAATAGACTGCGAGCTACCAAGTGGGATCGAAGCTGATGACAGCAGTTCTTGCCGGTCGATACTGCGAAGAGATGGTATAATGAGATATCACAGCTAGATACCTGTATGTCTTCCGAGGTCTCCACAGTGGATCTTAGCGCTAGCTGACAGCTCAGGGTGTGAGTCACTCAACCTGTCCTGCGCTCACAAGCGGGTCTGACGAACAGATCAACCCGAGCTCAAGATGTACGGCCGGACCTTCGCGCAATCTCGCCATGTCGCAGCATACTCTACCTCTCCAGGCATGACCCTCAAGTACTCTGGTACCGAGATCAACATGCACCATCCTTTCCCGCCTGCTCTGGCGGAGATGCAGGAGAGGCTTGAGGCTGCGCTGGGCGTCAAGTTCAATCATTGTATGTTGAATCGGTATGACGATGGGAGCGTATACATCGGGTGAGTCTGCCCTCAGTGCAGCAAAAAGAGAAGAGGCTGATCTGGCAGGAAGCACTCGGACAACCTTAACAACCTGGTCATCGCGAGCATAAGCCTCGGTGCTGAGCGGACGTTCATCCTGTCCCCAAGAATGCCAGCCAAGTCTAGTAAGGGCGCCAAGGGCCTGTCGGAGGAGCAAGAGGAGGAGCTCAAGGGGAGGGGCAACCACAAGTGTAAGTGAGTAAAGCTTCACGTTGTCCTCCAGCCCGGCGAAGGTCGTTTGGGGACGTCCAAGGGAACACTAGCTGATGCTTCTGCAGACTAGCAAATGGGAGTCTGGTCGTTATGCAAGGCCGGACCCAAGAGTTCTGGAAGGTGAACACCCCCTACCAAGGTGTCAGGCTGGATAGGCTGACGAATAGCATGAGATACCCAAGGAAGCTTCGGTCAAGGACGGTCGGATAAGCCTTACCTTCCGCCAACTGGTCTGAGCGCCAGTCGAGAAGACGACCAGCCCATACCGCACATCGCGTCTACATCTTCGACCATTCCACGCATGACCGGCAGGCAGCTTGGGGCCCCTGCCGCCGCTCCTTCAGATAGGCGCTCCTCGCTGGACGGAGCCCGGGTGTGCCGGTGTCCGTGGAGGAAAGACCAGACGGGCGTCAGCAGTACTATGTCACCTAGTGGGCGGCTTGGGATCCGCAGCGGTGAGAGACAGTATCACGTCACCCGTAGCCGTATCAAGAGCAATGTCATCTGCATCATATCGCTTGAGCATCCCTATCGGACCTCCGACATTGAGGAGCACATGCAGCATTCCTCATTGACGATGCGCGGTTGGAGCGTTCATTGTTTCCATAGTCCTTCTCTGTCCATCGGCGCTCCGTATGCACAGGCCTCATCGTTGCGCTATGCTATTTACCTCTCCAGTGCTCTTCGCTGTTCTTTCCCGCCTGCGATACCCCCAAACCAAGGCCACCCGAGTAAGGCCGAAGATGGATCTCTCCGGGTAGTTCCGGGCCGGACCATATGCGGCTCAAGCGGCTCAGCGCGCTCAACGCATCCGTCGCGGCTGCTCTCTCCTCCATAGCTCTGAGTTTGAGGGATTTATCAGGCTTGTACATAGCACTCAAATCACATCCCAGTCAGCACCGAGACTTATAAACTCGTGAGTCACTTTGCGCTAAGATGTGGGGTCCCAAGCTCCAAGACAAGCGACGCAGCCGCTGAGCTGACTCCCGCAGCTACCGCATCCCGCTCATCTCTCCTTCTACATCACACCGCATACTCCAGGCAACATGGCTACCGCAGGCGTCACCGAGCTCGAGCCTCCTCCCACTGACTTGATCACTCTTACCCGTCATATCCTCAGCCAGCAGTATGCGCTCGGCGAGACGGCTACGGGGGACCTGACGATGTTGCTCGTGGCTATCCAGGTAGGTCTCGCGTCTGAGAGCGCGTATATCAGCAAGGGAGAGGGGCTGGCGGAGTAGAATATCGGAGATGCGATAGCCGAGAGTGGAAAGACCAGAAGCTGACAGCCAGGTCACTTCGAAGTACATCTCCTCGAACGTCCGGAAAGCCCGTCTCATCAACCTGGTCGGTCTTGCCGGCGCGAGCAATGTTCAGGGCGAGGACCAGAAGAAGCTGGACGTATTGTCGAACGATATCATGGTGAATGCGCTGAGGGCGAGTGGGAAGTGCTCCGTGATGGTCAGTGAGGAGGTGGATGACACTATCGTTGTCAAGGGCTCCAAGGGGACCTAGTGAGTCATTTCGCCTACGAACCTTAGAGCGCTCGCCGGAGCATGGGGAGCAGGGCTACGAGCTGCAGTGGAATACCGTCATAGCTTCGTATCGATATGCGAGGGACCGTAGCTGACGCGCTCAGTGCTTGCGTGTTTGACCCCCTTGACGGTTCGAGTAACATCGATGCCGGTGTGAACGTTGGTACCATTTTCGGTATCTACAAAGTCGTACGTTCTGCCCTCTCTACCCATGCATCAGATCTTCAGCTGAAGAGCAAACAGTCAGAAGGGTCAGAGAGGGGTATGAAGGACGTTCTCAAGCCCGGAAAGGAGATGGTTGCTGCTGGATACACCATGTAAGCCGCCTTTAAAGGGAAAGCAGGAGCTCGAGCTGATCTGACAGGTACGGTTCATCCTGCAACCTGGTCCTCTCCACTGGCCAGGGTGTTGACGGTTTTACACTGGACGAGGTAAGCTCCCATCCGAACGCCCGTCCCAATGTAGCTGACTAGCAGTCCCTCGGAGAGTTCATTCTCACCCACCCCGAAATCAAGATCCCCTCGCGAGGCAAGATCTACTCTTTCAACGAGGGAAACTCGATGCACTTCTACCCGCCCGTCATCAGCTACCTCGAGTCCATCAAGTACCCGGCGAACGGCAAGCCGTACTCGGCTCGATACATTGGAAGTATGGTTGCGGATGTGCACAGGACTTTGCTGTATGGAGGTATCTTCGGCTACCCAGATGACAAGAAGAGCAAGGACGGTGAGTCATACATCTGCAGGAGGGGAAGATGGAGCTGACGTGGTAGGCAAGCTGAGGATGCTGTACGAGGCCTTCCCAATGTCATTCTTGATCGAGCAGGTGAGCTTCCTGCTGCTTAAGAAGCAGAGCCCAGCTGATATTCTAGGCCGGCGGTGTGGCTACTACCGGTACCCAGCGCATTCTCGACGTCATCCCCAAGAACATCCACGGCCGGTGCCCCGTCTTCATGGGATCCTCGGAAGACGTCGAAGACCTCAAGAAGCACTATGCGGCGTACGACGGCGAGAAGAGGTGGTAGTGCGTCGCCGAAGCATCGAGAGTCTAAGGGAGTTTGGGCATGTATGTCTTTCTTGTCTTGGGTCGGCGGTTCCCGCGCCTTGTCGGGAGGTCGAGGGGGCGCTAGAACATTCTAGCAAGTTCACCGGGATAGGTGTCAAAGGATACCGCCACACTCACCCCTCACTGACAATTGCTCTGACGCGTTCGAGTGCGTGCGTCAGCCCCAGGATGAAGGGATGTCAGTGGAAGGATCGGTCGCGGAGAGCACTCGATGCTGTGCTAGCATGGGCAGGGAGTGAGGGGGGCGTGTTCGCCACTTCCTCTTTTGCGTTTTCCTCCTCTGCATCAATACCTCGAGCCCTATTCCACGACATACCACATACCTACCCATTCAACACCATCATACAACCTCATCCCCACGATACGGCCATATTGACAACTCCCTCGCCTGCATCCTCACACACCCTCCAAGTCGTCTGTCCCAAAAGCGCCCGGACCTCCCGGCCGGCTCCATCGTGTACCCGTGTACCTCATCCGCTAAACCTTCCACCCGTCCCAAATCGTCTGCTGATCCAGGCCGTTGCCTTCCACCTTACATAACCGCCACTCAAGCGTACTCTCGCCGCTCGCAATCAGCATGGGATTGAGAAGGGGCACGAGCACGGCGGTGACGACCGGGTCGACCACGGGCCAACAGTCCACCAACACTGCCATGAGCTGGAGACAACGGAGAAAGGCAAAGAGCAGAGCGAGGAAGACAGCGAAGAAGACAGCGAAGATGAAGAAGAAAGCCAAGAAGGACAGGGAGACGATGAGGTCGAGAAAATCGAAACAATCCTGGGGAGCATGGGCGATGAGGGAAGACCTGCCAAAGACTACGGAGGAGATGTGGAAGGATTGGTGTGACGAGAAGAGGCGTAAACATGGGCTGAAGGCCCCAAAAGGGATGACGAACTATGAAGCGGCGGCAAAGTTCGGATCTACGCTGAAGTGGTTGGGAGGTACCGCTGTTGATTACTCAACTGCAGCCATCGCGAAGCCCTTCGTTTGCGCCGCAGGCCTGTACAGCGCGGTGGCGGGAACTGGAGGAACGACTGGGGCGACCGTTGACCTCACCCAAGACAATCTACGCCGACTCCGTTCGGAGTACTCTGGAGTATCGGATTGGGTTGACAGACTGCCCAGCGAGAGTGGGCGGGGGTCATGGGGAAGTCAGGCGGGTAAACATCGGGATACTGAGGATTCCTACTGGCTGACACGACGTCTGCCACAGACTGAAGAGGAGTGGGCAGAACCAGAGGAGGACTATTTCTCCGGGTCCGACTCCGAAGACGATGACGACAGCGACGACTCCGACCTCGAGGAAATTGTCGACGACTATGACGAGCGCGTGGTCTACAACGAATACGGCGAGCCCGTCGTCTACGACGAATACGGCGAGCCCGTGATCATCATTTCACCCAGTAGATCATCAAGCAGGCATTCTAGCCATCCCGACGACCGAATATCCTACTCTCAAGATACCATCTATGACGGCCCTAACGGAAATTTCTACCCATTGAGCCATGCCGGGCTATCTCGCCCACCTCTGAGTCAAAAGATGCTCCCGCCTGCAAGCCATGATGATCGGTCGTTTGACGATCTCTTCGACTCCGCCAACAGAGGCCGATCCACGCGTCGACCTGTACCTGTGACGACTTCTAAAAGACAGTCGCGCGATGCGCGGGACAGTCCTAGTACAGACACCAGAGCGAGATCCCGGTACTGAGGGTGTGTCCGATAGGATATGTCGCAGGAGAGGTTGGTGGAAGGTGGGTCTAGGATGATCTAGTGGAAACGAGGATGGTCGAGGGGACAGGGGTACAGGGGAGATGAAGGCGTCGACGCGGAGGGATGGCAGGGGTTCCGGGGGCGGACAAAGGGAGCCAGATACATGCGACGCGCTTGATAGATTGTACTACACGTTTCATGTATGTTTAAAGGAGGGTGGTCAGCTCTGGAACTTGCCAGGTACATCTGGGGCTTTCTGGATTGATCTCGCCGTACATCAGTCCATCTCCCCTCACCGCCATAAATACAGACCACTCCCTCCCACGCATCATCACACATAAACATCCTACAACATCCAACAAAACACATCGCGCATTCAAACACCGCTACGCCCCCATTGCCTCTCCAATTCCCCAGCCACATCGCTGGGACTCGCTCAAATGGGTCTCGATCTTCCATCGGAAAGGGACGCGTGGGTGTACGGTCTGTCAGACTCGTATGGTTCCTGGGAGAATCCCAGTGAGGACTTGAGTTCCAATGACAGCCAAACTGCGATCGATGGGAGTCTGCGGACTTCTTCCGACGGGGACCAGACCTTCCAAGACGCGCGGGATAGGTGGCCGTTGCGCAAGCGTATCATGGCTTCCATCAGAGACACTGCTCATACTTTGCGGTCACGCCTGAACATGAACTCCAGCATCTACAGCCAGTCTCGCAATGATGACACCGCTTACACGAAGAATGATGCACGTGCCCGGTCCACGACACCATCCAGTCGGCGTTCAAGTCATACTGCAACACAAACCACCGTACCCCATTCCACCGATCAGTATCCCTCCAAAGACGGGAAATCACGTGTCTCAGATTCAGCCCATTTCAAAGCAACAGATCACACTCAAAGGTCGGCTCCTGTGCAGAATCCCACCATCAAGGGCCGCGTGGCTAGCGCTGCATGGGGAACGACTTGCTCAATGGCGAGAATCGGGTACAATGCGTTTGGCAACCTGTTTGTGTCAGTGGCCGATTCACACTTTGGGCCGGATGGAGACAGCGCGGCCGGCACTACTGCGCAAACATCCGTGGCGGTAGAGGAGCCCGAGGTGAAACTTTCCCGGTGGCGCAGTTGGTACTCGAAAGCTCGGTCCTGGCTGCCCGGGTCCACATCTGAGGAGGCTGAGTCGAGCCACGGGTGGGGTGGCACTGCTGCATGGGCGGGACGAGGCATGCGAAGGGTAGGAACCGGGGTGCTGTCAGGCGTGTTCAGCATCATAGGAGCGACCGCCCAAGCTATCGATGACGAGTTCGGCTGCAATACCGAAAAAGCCACAGACAAGACAAAGGAGACAACCGACACAGGGGTGAGGAAGGTGGCTGGAGCTTTTGAAGCTGGGGAGGTATTCGTCGGGCGCAGTCAGAGGCCCACCACGACGTCACTTGCGGAGCATACGGCCGAAAGCACCCCGTCGGGATGGTTCTCCTCCTTCCGTCGTCCAGCGGAGTCGACCGCTCAGACTGCCCAAACCACCAAGCGAATACTCCGCATCACAAAGCGCGCAAGTGGGAAGTGACAAGCTGGATAAGAGGCGATGAGACGTTATCGCTATGAAGTATGACAGACAAGCTATTCGGACCAGTTTATGTACTAGGCAGAACACTTGTAGCATTGCCAGACGTCGTTGTTAGTCTTGTCATTGCTTGTATTACGATACTGGTGGCACTGGTGGCTTAGGTCAGCTTCGATGGGTCCGTAGTAGATGTACAAGGTATGGTCATGTACAAATGGCACATGTAGTGATCTGACGGCCACGAGCGTGACCGAAGCTGTAGATCGCTAGGGGTAGACATGAATGTGCTGGCCTGCTTTGAACAAGCCAAGCGGACCAACTCACGCAATGGTTGGCTACTCCGCTTCCCGACAGATGCGCCTCGTAGGCGCTTTTACACTCAGATCATCAGTGCGACCAGCGACATGGGGCGTCAAATGACATGTTAGAATGTATCAGCGAGTGCTATCACTGAATTGACACTTCTGACCCGGGTCACAACGCCGTGCGGCAGACTTAGGGGTATGTCAATGATCCTCCTGTACAGTGTTTCCTTTGACCCGATGTCCTCGCTTACCGCATCCCCTCTATCCTCCACTTGATCACATCGTACCGCTCCCACCTCGCCGGCCTGCTCCCCTCCACATACCCCAACTCCTGCACCGCAGCACCACCATCCAGCGCAGACGCCTTCGTTTCTGCTCTCTCCAGCTTCTGCCTTTCCGTCGTCCTCGATGTCTTCTTCTCTTCGGCGCCTGCCGCCGCCTCGGGCGGAGCATTGCTGATCATAGGGCAGATCTGGGTTGTGCCGATCAGGACTTCCGGTATCTCCGCCCACTCGTCCTCTTCATCCTCGCCTTCCGGCTTGGAAGCGCTGGGGTTGACGGGCTTGGGTCGGGTAGGTTGAGCAGGGAGGGAGATGAGGATAGATAGTGTGAATCGGGGTTGGGGGAGCTCGGTAGCTGGAGTGGCGCGATCGATGTATCGCGGGGAGGCGGTAGAAGAGAGCGCGAAAGGCTGGGAGATTAGCTTGGGAATTCCCGAGCTTGAGCAGGTGGGCAAACTCACATCGAAAGAGTCATCCCCATCTGCCGCTTCCTGCGCCTTCTCCTGTATTGGCACATCCCATATGATAGGCACCTCCTTCTCCGTATGCGAAGCTCCCCACAGCCGATCCGTTCCGCGCCCGCCTACCAACGTCGCTCCAGCGCCCACTCCTAGCCCACTGTTGCCGATATTGGTGAGGAAGGAGAACAATCCCCCTTCGCGCGCCCATGCTTGTGCGAATGTGATGGGTTGCCCAGCCGCTCGATCTGCGAGCATCCGGCGCCTGACGCGGTATAGACGCGTGCCGAGGGTGGTGGTGACGAGGAGACAGACGAATGCGAGAAAGCCAAGGCCGATGGCTATGACTGTGGAGGAGGGGATCTCGACCTGGACCTGCCGGGAGGAGGCGGTGGGGGATGCAGCGGTGGAAGTGGTAGAAGACATGTTAGCAGATTACAGATGAAAACAGTCTGCGGTCTGTCAGATATAGCTTTGTTCATGGTACAGCAAAGGAGACATACAGATGTGATAGTGGTAGATGGAAGGGATGGCGGATCAGAGAATAAGGGCAACGACCCTTCCCTTCTCAAGCGCGTGGGCGAGGAACGGGCTTCTGAGTGCGGAGCAAGTTGACGAATAGGCGGACCAGCGCTGATGAGCGAGAGGGGTTGATCATGGTTCTCTTCTGTCTATCGTGATGCGCGTAGTGAGTATGAGGACAAGGATAGATGCAGCAATCGGGACAGAAGGTCACGCAGATCGCATGAGGGAGGTCAATCCGGTCTTCTGATTTGCCGCCGCGTCACATGCCGTAACTCCGGTCCCTTTATAGCCTGGCCAGGCCTCGGCGACGGCCATCCGTGAGCTCTGCATTGCAGTGTTTTCAGATTGACCAGCCACCTGTGAACAGGCCCAAGGGCCCAGATTGTGTGCGTGACCTCAAGACTGCTTGGATGGTACGATAGCATCAGCATGGGAAGCGCACGTCGCACCCTTTGCGCTTCCACGACGAAGAAGGCAATCTCGGTTAGCAACGAGTCGCAAGGTTCTGTGGCCAAACACAATTCTATAGCCCAGATCTGCACCCATCTGCGTGCTCGAGCATCACCTGAGGCACCGCGTCGAGGTACATGCTTTATCAGACAGCCCGCCAGCAGCTGATGAGGAGGTCAGAGAGGATTCGCCACCCGCAACTTGGCTGGCGCCACTTTCAGCTTCGGATCCGACATTACGGCAGGCAGATTTCGAGGTTCTCACCGATCGAGCATGTCATAGCTCTGAGATACATCTCGTTCATCCCTCTGTCTGGAGCATCGAGTCATAGGCTTAGACTTATAGCTACGCTTTTCCGCCAGAAGACACTGTCTCTACATCTCCATACGCCAAAATGGCGCAGCAAACCTTCGGCGTTCCTCTAGCCAACGTCCGAGTAAGCTCCCCTCCCTACTCCTCCTACCCTTCGCAGGTCGCCTTGCTGACCTAAACAGAACGTCACCATCGTCGCCCATGTCGACCACGGCAAGACCTCCTTCTGCGACTCCCTCCTCTCCTCCAACAACATCATCTCTCAGCGTCTCGCCGGGAAGCTCCGATTCCTCGATTCTCGCGAGGATGAGCAGGAACGAGGGATCACGATGGAGAGCAGTGCGGTGTCGCTGCGCTTCGACATGATGCGAGCGGCGGCTCCATCTGAGGAGGCAAATGGCGGAGAGGCAGGACCCAGTACCAAGGCGATGGCGAGCAAGCACGTCTGCAACGTTATCGATACGCCTGGACACGTTGATTTCGCGAGCGAGGTCTCGAGCGCCAGTCGGCTTTGCGATGGAGCGCTGGTGCTGGTCGATGCTGTCGAGGGTGTGTGTACTCAGGTGAGCAGGTGTTGACGACCTCGTGAAGTGGTCGGGCATATAGCTGACCAAGCAGACAATTGCTGTCCTTCGTCAAGCCTGGATCGACCGCCTACGCCCCCTTCTCGTCATCAACAAGCTCGACCGGCTTATCACTGAGCTCAAGCTCTCCCCTTCCGAGGCATATCACCATCTCTCACAGCTCATCGAGCAAGTCAATGCAGTCATGGGCTCCTTCTACGCCTCGGAGCGGATGGAAGACGATCTCCGATGGCGGGAAGAACGAGAGCGGCGGCTGGCTCAGCGGGCCGAGGCGCAAGCGGACGGAGAAGGTGGAGCGGGCGCGGACGTCGAGGAAGGTGAGTACGAAGAGAAAGAGGATGAGGATCTCTACTTTGCGCCCGACCGCGGAAACGTACTCTTCGCTAGCGCCATCGACGGTTGGGCGTTCCGGCTCGGCAAATTTGCCAGGCTGTATGCGGACAAGCTGGGAATCAAAGAGGCGAATCTGCGGAGAGTGCTGTGGGGAGATTGGTATCTTGATCCAAAGACCAAGCGGGTGGTCGGGCGGAAGAAGCTGGCGGGGAGGAATCTGAAGCCGATGTTTGTGCAGTTCGTGCTGGAGAATGTGTGGAGGGTATACAATACCGTGCTGGGAGACTAGTAAGTTCGCCTATACCGCTGATTGGTCTCAGCTGACAAGCAGCAATCCTGACGCAGTCACCAAGATCGTCAATGCGCTGAACGTCAAAATCTCCCCTCGCGACCTCAGAACCAAAGACACCCGCCATCTCCTCACTCTCATCATGCAACAATGGCTTCCACTCTCCACAACCACCTTCCAAGCCGTCGTCGATGTCATCCCCTCACCCGTCATCGCCCAGGCGAATCGCTTACCATACATGATCCACTCGGACCTGCACAATCTCGGTTCGGACGCCATCCAGCCAAAGAACGAGCTCGAGCGCGCTCTGTACCGCTGCGCCCAAGGCGAGGATGATCAGGTGGTCGGATACGTGAGCAAGATGTTTGCGGTGCGGAGAGGAGATTTGCCGGGATTCAAGGTGAAGGAGATGACAGCCGAGGAGATGCGTCAGCGGGGCAAGGAGGAGAGAGAACGGCGAGCGGCGGCCCTGGCGGCTGGTGCAGATGGCGAGGCGGAACGAGCTGTCGTGCGACCGCTGGAATCGCTTAACCTCGAAGACGCACCCGACTCCATGGACGAGAAGCCTTCCGAACCGGAATCACCAGAAGTCCTTCTTGGTTTCTCGCGCGTCTTTTCAGGCATACTTCGGCGGAACACCGAGATGATCGGTACACTGCCTAAATACGATACCGACCTCCCCTCAACCCATCCTCGGAACGCAAAATACATCGTCCGCGTCAAGGTCAAGGACCTGTATACCATGATGGGCCGAGAGCTCGTCGCGGTGGAAGAGGTCCCAGCCGGTCATGTGTGCGCCATTGGCGGACTGGACGGAGTGGTTTTCCGGAGCGCCACGCTTTGGGCACCGAATGCTGCAGGGGTCAAGGAGGGAGGGGGGAAGGAGGAGTTGATCAACCTGGCGGGGGTGTCAATGCAGGCTGCGCCAATCGTGCGAGTCGCACTGGAGCCGGAAAATCCAAGTGAGTTACTACGACTGGGTTGTATCAGGAAAGGTACGCTGACGATCAGGTGATATGCCCAAGCTCGTTCGGGGTTTGCAGATCCTCAACCAGGCTGATCCGTGTGCCGAGTACCTGGTCCAGGAGACAGGCGAGCATGTCATCCTGACAGCGGGAGAGCTGCACCTTGAGGTATGCTTAGCTGATGATTCGGTTGGGTGAAGCGGGAACAAGCTGACCCAGCAGCGATGCCTCAAAGACCTCCGAGAACGTTTTGCCCAATGTGCAATCCAGCGATCTGAAGCTATTGTGCCCTTTCGAGAGTCCGCCGTCCGCGCGCCCGACATGGCACCTGCCAAGACGAAAGGCGCTGCTCGAGGTACAGTCCACGGAACGCTTCTCGATGGACTCGTGACATTCACCATTCGCGCCACCCCCCTCCCTCCTACTGTCATCGAGTTCCTACTCGCACATACGCCATCAGTCGCACGGATGGTTGCTCAGCGGCAAGACGAGACGACCGAAGAGGAGGAGGTCAGAGAAGAGCGGGAAGCAGGAGAGAGTCAACAGGAGACGAGAGCGATGAGCGTGGAGCAGTTCTGGGTGGCGCTAGAGGGGCTGTTTGCGAAGGCTGGAGGAGAGTGGGCGGGAGCCGCAGATAGAATATGGTGCTTCGGCCCAAAGAGGATAGGGGCGAATATGCTCCTAGATCCAGCGGGAAAGACTGCTGTCCGGTGAGTTCATCGATGGGCGGAAATCGCTGCGGAGCTGATTTTGCAGAATGCGTCAAAAGGAAACGCTCATTGCCTCTGCCAAAGCCGAGGGCAAGACGACAGAAGAAGCCGTCACGTCCACGGAAGATGCGGTCGCGCGAGATCGTCTCGCCGCTATCGATGCGGAGCAGACGTCCGAGGTGGACGAAGCAGAGCAGGCAGAGAAGAAGCGGTCCGAGCTGCGCCTGCTCAAGGACTTTGAGACGTCCATCGAAGCCGGATTCGGGATGGCGACTTTCCAGGGCCCGCTCTGCTCCGAGCCGGTCGTTGGGATGGCCTGGACGGTTGTGAGCGTCGAGTACCATAAGTCTGAAGAGGAGGAGTCAGGTGAGCTGGACGTTCAAGTCAGGCCAGTGACAACAGCTGACGAGTAGCTCGAGGACGCTCCAACGCAGTCACTGGCGCACTCATCTCATCCGTCCGGGACGCTTGTCGTGCGGGCATGCTCGACTGGTCTCCACGCATCAAGCTCGCCATGTACACCTGCGATATCCAGGCGTCGACCGATGTGCTCGGGAAGGTGTACGGGGTGGTCGCGCGCAGAAGAGGCAGGATCGTCAGTGAAGAGATGAAAGAGGGGACGTCCTTCTTTACTATTCGGGCGATGCTGCCTGTTGTCGAATCGTTCGGATTCGCAGATGGTGAGCTTGCGACTCTGATGTTATAGCTAGGAGCCGAGCTGATAACTAGAAATCCGAAAGCGGACATCCGGCGCTGCATCCCCTCAACTCATCTTCTCCGGCTTCGAGACGCTCGACCAAGATCCTTTCTGGGTCCCAACGACCGTCGAAGAGCTGGAAGATCTCGGAGAAAAGGCGGACCGCGCAAACGTCGCCAAGGCGTACGTGGACGCCGTGCGCAAGAGGAAGGGCATGTTTGTCGAGAAGAAGATTGTCGAATTTGCCGAGAAGCAACGGACTCTCAAGCGATAGATGACTAGAGCTAAATCTTGGTCCGAACAATCATGATGCATGATGCTACTTATTGGTACAACAATGCTATGCTATGCACTGGGCATGACTGACGCGCTGGCCCAAAGATCCGACCCGCCCATTATACACTGTCGCCACCGCCGTTGCCATCGCAGACGGGGAACAATCCACCTGATGCTTGATATCCCTTTGGATCTTCTGAATATCCTACATCCCTTCTTTCCCTCTTAGATCGACTCCAATACTACCCCTCTCAGCACCCCTTACGTCCCCCAAATCCTACAGCGCTGCTACTGCCCCAAGTGCTAATGCGCCCAGAACAGCCGCGATGCTTCTTTCCCATCCGAGCTGGGATGCTGGGAGGGCTGATGACTTGGTAGTTGTGTTGACATTGATGGTGGAGTTCGTGGACTGGGCGATACCGGTGTAGTCGCAAAGACGAAGATTCTGGACGTCTTGAGATGACATGAAGACCTGCCTGTCAGCTATTGTCTGCAACCCAGGGGCAGATATAGCTTACATATGGCATCCCGCCGTACCCTGAAGCAGAGTAGGATACCGAGATGGTACCGCCTGTACCGACCGTGAAGGAGCGACAGGACAGGACGTCGATGACGCTTGACTGTGATGGCCAGCCAGAGTTGTTGATACCGAACGAGGCGTTCTGAGGGGGACTGCCGCGCTGGGAGGTCAGCTTGACTCATTAAAATACAAGCTAAGACTTACGTTGGTGAGAACAGCAAGAAGGGGTCCACGGCGAATAGCCACGTCGTTGGCTGTACTAGCCGCTATCCGACTTGTAGCCTGCATGAAGCTGGTCCCGTTGAAGCTGGTCCCGTTCGTGATGACGGCCGAGCGAATAGCATTGAGACGAGCGATCCGGTTGTACGTGGTGGTATTGGCGTACTTGGTCGGCCAGAGCGCTCCGCGGTTGTACGGATCGTTTGCGCCAAACGAGACGTCCTGCTCCTGCCCGTAGTAGACGGTGGGGATACCGTTGAAGACGAACTGGGCGACCATAGCGTTCCATCCGAGCTGGGGATCAACGGTTGTATTGCGCCACCGGGGAAGATCGTGGTTCTCGATAAAATTACCGAGGAGGCCTGGATCGGGGAAGGAAGAGAGGACGGTATTGAATGAGTCGATGAAGCCCGTCATGTTGCCCATGGGTGTTCCGAAGCCCTTGACGAGGCCGTAGTAGTATGGGAAGCCGAGGATCGAGTCCATCCACTTCTCGGTCTGGAACTTGGCCGCGTAAGGGGTGTCGTCGCCGTAGACTTCGCCCATGCAGAAAACACCGGAAGCGCCGCAGAAGCCCTGCCAGAAGACACCGGGGACGTGCTTGGCCGCTGATTTGTCAGCTCGTGCCCATGCTCACAGAGTCGTCACACAAGGTGAGCTCACCATCAACACGCAATCCATCGATGCCATACTCCTTGACATAGTCCTTGACCCAGCTTTGGAGCGTCGAGATGACAGTTGGGTGTTCGGTGTTGACATCCATGAGCGGGAGCTTGTCGTCGCCCATCCAGCTGCAATGTCAGCTCTGTTCAAAGTTGCTGTCACGACCGAGCTCACCAGTTCTTGACGGAAGTGTCATTGTTGTAGTCGATCCAGCATTGGCTGTGGTAGTATGCCGGGTCGTCCCATATCAGACCTTGCGACTTGAGCGTGTCGGCGGATAAGGAGTCTTTGGGGGTGAGACCGGGGACGTTGTTGACTACGACATCGACCATGAGGTACCTTGACTATCAGCTTCGCACACAAGGTAGGCAGTCCCGCCCGACGCACATCCCACGGTCATGTACGGCTTTACTGAGCGCCTTGAGGTCATCGGAGGATCCAAAACGCAGGTTGATCTTGCGGGGGTCTGTCACCCAGTAGCCGTGGTATGCGTAGTTGTAGGGAGTCCAGACATCCAGATTTTCTGCCCATCAGTGAGAGCGCAGTCGAAGAAAGGCATGACATACCTGATGTCGGTGAGATCCAGATGGCATCAAAGCCCATGGCGGATATGTAGTCCAGCTTGTCGATGATAGACAGCCATGTTCCACCGCACCACCTGATCAGTTAGCTAAACGTCCTTGAGAGGTGAGATGCTACGATGACTTACGTCTGGAGACCAGCATCGCAGTCTTGTGGTAATGGAGATGTGCGTGCTGGAGCAGTACCGGAAGGTGGAGCAAATCGATCGGTAAATAGTCTGTTCGTCAGCTCATCCTTGCCCCGCAATGGCGACACACTCACTGATAGATACTCCTCGTCCGCCATTGATCCGCCGTCGCGGCCTGAGCGACACCTGCCGTCGATATCGCCGCGAGCCATAATGATAATGAGCGTAGAGAGCGCATGGTGGCGATGAAAGTGTAGGTGGTGAGTGGAGGTAGGTGGGGATTGGGATGAGGTGGGGCAACCGAGTAGTATTATGTTTGTTCCGGTTGGGATTGAATGCGAGGATGTGTCAGATGGGCAGCCGAGGTGGCGGGTTTGTTGGGCAATATGGGTATAAATGAGTGTGGGTGCAAATGAGCGACTAGGGCGAGTAGGCGAGAGGGAAGGAGGGAGAAGAGCTGTTATGAGCGTGGGGGCATGGGTCGCGTGAGATGATGGGTCGAAAGGTCGAAAGGGGGAGATGGATGTCGGAATGGGACCTGCGGGCGACCTCCTTTGGCCGACGATCAGCTGACTGGCAGCGTGTGTTTGTGTTTTGCGGGGGCGGGGCCGGTAAACAGGCACGATAGGGGCTGAAACGTCCAGCGTGGACAAGTTTACGGCGAAAGGTCTGTGCGTTCGAAAGGTCGGTAAGGATCGAGCGTTGCTTTTGTCGTCAAAGGCAAAGGCGGGCGTGCAAAGGAGGGCCAGGTGCGAAGGAAGGGCGACTGCAAAGAGCGAAGAGGTGACCGTAGAGGTGTGAGTAGCAAAAGAGCGTGATGTGTCGTGGAATTGGATTTTCGTCGATGATACAGAAGATGGTGAGACAATTGGTTGATTATATGAAGGACTACTCTGCAACTCAGACCAGATGACCACACTCCACCATGCGCAGCTGCAGCGCTCAGCACACCCTTGTGACCACGCCCCAAAAAGATCAGTCGCGAAGTGAGTGTCAACAAAGCATAACGTTAATCCCGATCGCCTTGAGGCTCCTTGAGGCCGGAGCACCCCTAGCGCCGTCCGGGGACTCCAATGTTGTTGTTGTGAGCGACGGGCCATACCGCCTACTGGCGCATGTGGGACCTCCGCTAAGCTCCGGCTCGTCCGGCCGGGAAATTGATGATGAGTCAAGCTTCGCCGGCAGAGCTAACTTGGCACGATTAAAGGTTGAGACGAAACGCATTGGATGGATGAAACATGGACGCGTCTCAGGCACGGAGGATGGAGCGTTTCAGGGTGGGGGGAAAAGGGACGCGTCTGCTGGAATCTAAAAGAATCTAAATCAAGCTTGAGCTCGGCGCGTCCTCCGACCGAGTCGAGTCGCGAGTGGGGAGAGGTGGGGATGATCAATGAGCGACACAGGCCATTCACAGTGACTATCTGGCTACAACTGTATGTTCTATACAAGAATCTACTGCTACAACTTCGCTCGAAACCTCTATCAGTCTACCCGATGTCTAAGCGAATCCACGATACTTGATGTGTGTACAACCTACTCACCCCCCTCTCCGTCCTCCACTTATGCGATCCGGTTCAGCGGCGCCTCCATGACCGGCGTCGGCAGCGTCTCCACCCCCTCTTCCTCCTCCGCCACTCCCCTCGGTGCCATACACGCTGCGACCTCCCGCTTGTAGCTCTGACGCGTTCTGGTCATCAGCCATCATCCCCGCTCGGCCAAGCAGGAAACGCACCGATGTTCCACCAGTCCGAAGATGATGATGTCCGCCAGACCCTGGCCGATGACCACCGCGAGAGTGAGGACGTCGACTGTCATATCGTCCACGCGTCGAACGCCAAAGTAGATGAAGCGGGAGCTGGACATCAGCGATGCGTTCGGTATCGCCGATCTGTAGAGGTGGGAGCTTACATTGTGATTATGCAGAGGATGAAATGCTAGACCCATCAGCTACTGACTCTATATCCCAAGCTGAACCACTCACAGTCAAGGGGAAACACCAGAGATAATAGCTCGTCCTTCGCCGCATATAACTCGCCATCGTCTCTTGCGGCTCGACCACTTCCTCCTTTTTCCCCTCTTCCACTTCTGGCGAGGCACTCCGACTCCGGCTTCGCGTCCGCTGGACCCCCAATCGCCCTTCGACCATCTCGACGAGCGTGCTGCTTCTGCTCCGGGTACGGCGGTGCTGCTGGCTCGCATCGGGCGTGGGAGGGGTGTAGGCGATCATGTTGAGGAAGGAAACGCGGGGCTCGTCTGGACCCGCTGGTTCCAGCGTGGTAGGTGTCGGTGCGAGGTCGGAGATGCTAGCGAGAGTGCAGATGGAGGGGGTGGGGGAGTGGGCGTTACGGATCCGAGAGAGCGCACGGGGCTGGGCGTTGGGCGCTAGGGTAGCAGGCGCGGTAGATGGTCGAGAGGGGCGTATGGGGCGGGGAGGTTGGAAGCTGCCGCTGAGGGGGTTGAGAGTGTCGAGGGGTGGGGATGTGTTGCCGATCTTCTGCAATACGAGGGCGGGTTGGGGAGCGGACGGGAGATCAAAGTGGACGGATGACTGACTCTCGAGCAGGCCATGTCGGGAGGAGAATGTTCTGAGCGTCCCAGCTGGCGAGGATAGCAGGTCGGTCTTCATCGATACGCTCACCCCCATCCCGCCAAAGAGCTTGCTCCCTCTCTTTGCGCCTTGTCCGTCCCCATCTACGCGGATCCCCTTGATCTTGTCGTCCCACGTATACGTCGGAAAGCTGAGTTTCTCCCATGGCGGCACGTCATCCTCCGGCCCGCCGTCGCCGCCATCGAAGGACCGACATGGCGTCGCCTCCCTACTCCGCCCGCCGGTCGTCGAGGTGCCGAGGTACGCCGAGCCTGTATCTGGCCGCCTGAGGAAGCCGATGAGGGGGATGTAGATGGCGGTGATGCCCAGACTGGCGACCAGGCGGGGGAGAAATTGCATGAGTTCCGAGCCGAGATCAGAGGGACGGCCGTAGAAGCAGAATCCGTGGGATCCGTCGTACCCCTTCAGCACTTTCCAGAGGATGGCCTGTACGATACCGACGACGAGTACGAGCGCGACGAGGGGGAAGGGGTGGGTGTCGATCAGCCGCTTGAGGCGCGAGAGGGGATGTCGGAGGGAGAGGTAGGTCGTGAGTGCGATGAGGAGGGAGAAGGCGTATTGCCACCATAAGCCCAGGGCGAGGGTCATGCCGGATGCATTGCATTGTGGACCGGCAAGTGAGAGGCCGCGGATAATCATAGCTGCTGGTCCGACCGAGCCGAGCCTGCTCGTCAGCTTGAGCGTGAGGTAGACTCACGCAATGACAAAGTCGGAGCACAAGAGGCATATGACCAGTATCTTCCGCATCCGCCTCCCCTGCTTCCCATGTACGTCCTCCTCTTCCTTGTCCGCCCATGCGACTCTGAAGATCACCAGCAGCGAGAACAAAAGCCCCACGCCGGCGAACACCAGCGTCAGCGGGGCAGTCGTGTATTCGATGGGCAGTACTTGGTGCACATCGTCCGTCGTGTCCATCGTGCGGTGTGCGTACTGCTTGGTGAGAGGCAGTGACTGCTTTAGGTCGAGTGTGAGGAGTATGGAGCGTCGGCATCTTTGCTGAAGCGCGAGTGAGCGACCGTAGATCTTCCTGGCCCGGTGTCGAGTGAGATCTACAGCTTCAGACCAGCGTCCAGCCTCGCGACGCTCCGTCAATTCTTTGGTAAACAAACACGAGCGATCGGTCCCAGTTGACCAGACCCGACTCGCCGATAAACAACCCGCCTGGTGTCTATCAATACATGTTAGTGAGACAAATGTCTCAGATACGATCCGGGCCGATGTCAGTGGTGGAGGTGGAGGTGGAGGTGGGGTCAACAGTTATTCAGATTCATGACAAACACGTTGGATGCTCTGTAGTTGAGCCTGCGCTCGACGAGGTCGGGATCCCGCTTGATACCATTGAAGTAGGTCTGGCCGAGTAGGGCGTCGGACTTGCGATAGCCTTCAAAAGCGTCGATGAAGCCAAGTGAGCGCTTTTCAAAGTACTGCTGTTCCCTGTGCGATGAGCTTGAAATTGAAGCTTGTGGTGGTAAGTAGGGCCTACATGACTCGTACTGCTCTGACATCGTCAGCTTGCGTTCTTTCTGACATACATCAAGGGATAATAACTTACCTGGGATGCATCTCTCCTAGCTCGTCGACGTAGAGTGGGCTCGCAAAGACTGATATCATCAGCTTCCGCCCTTGACAGAGTGCGCCATGGAAGACCTGCTCACACTCAAAGATCCCTTCGAGGACGTCGGTCAGACTGAACAATCAGCTCACCCACGAGGCGCAACTGTCCAGCGGAAACTCACTTCACGCCGAGCCTGTTCCGTACTCGGACTGTCCATCTGCCTGATCAGCTACCGTATCATTGTCCGGGCGCAAGGATTCATAGCTGCGCACCCAGTGATGTCGTGTAAGAGGTGAAGTTCCTCCACTTTGGGCCAAGTCGCAGGCTGAAAGCGCTCTTTCACCAATCTGCTCGTCAGGATGCTATCTTGGCAGAGTACCACCAGATCGGTCCGACTCACTCTACAATGTCAGTACTCCTTCCGTGCCTCGCGCTGTCATGTGCCGGTAGAAGAGAAGCCAAGCTCACCAGTCGCCGTGTCGTCATAGTCAATATAGATACAAGCCATATCGGGGAACTCGACCACATTCCAGGAAAGGTATTTCTACAAATCAGCAAACCGCTCGTCGTCTGCAGGTTCCCGCTGCGGTTGAGACGTACACCATATGGTTCTGCTCATCAGCTACCGCTTCTGTACATTCATTGCCAGCTGGACTCACTTGGGTCCCAGGTGAGACATTCCAGCAGAGGATGGATTCTGAGTGGCTCGCTGAGTCGAGTTGCTTGGAGATAGGAGAGTACCGTCCCGAACTCTTGCCCGCCTTTCCAGGGCCTGCTCGTTCAGCTTGCGAGGTATGCGGGTGAGGTGAGAAGAGCGGGGCACGTACCCGAGCGAGACGGCGGGGTCGAACTTGGGCATCTACTGCTATACCGTATAGCCCTTCTTATAGATGCAGATGGTCAGGCATATCCCGAGAAGGATGAGCTCAGCAAGTGATCCGGACGGTGAGTGCATCGAAATTCGCTCATCAGTGAACGTTGTCAGTTCTGGCAGGATCAGAGCGCACGTGCGCTATATCATTCCAGTGGGAAGGGTCGAGAAGGACGCGGACACAGGTGAAGGATCGTTAGTACACTGAATCAGGGTACAGGAGGGATCAGCGGCGTGTGATGAGCTGTGTGGGTGGCGCAGTGCATCCGGGCCGGAAGCAGCTGCCTTCAATCTGACTCCTGGCCGTATTGCCATGTCTGTGTCTGCTCTGCTCGCGGCCTACGAGGGGCTGGTATCCAGCGGCCTGTACTTGATCTGTGCTGCCCGCGGGATATGCAGGGCAGGGTGTAGTAGCGGCAGAGACAGAACAAAGCCTGGGTAGAGCGGACGAGCTGAAGCGCTGAAGCTCTGAAGCTTGAAGCTAGCTGAAGGGGCGGAGAGGGAAAAGTGTAACTTTCCGTTAACGGGATCACACGGAGAAAGGCGGCATTTCAACACAACGCTGTACAAGGTATTTCGGAACCAATCTGAAACTCGCTCCGAATTGCCTCTTCCGGCCTCGCCCCCCGCCCCCCCTTCCAGCTAAAACCCCTTACCTCAGCTTTTGTCCTTCATCCACCTTACTTAAGGCGACCCCCGCACAGCTCGAACCTGACCTCCACTTACCCCGTCCACCTAATAGCAGAGAAGCACTAGCAGACATGTCGGACCCACTGACCACGCTTCTGCAGGAGGAAGACAGGAATGCACACGAGGCAGACTCGGCGGCGGCGGAGGCGATGTATGATGAGCGTGAGTGCCGACGACTGGCGGTGAGAGACGAGCTGATTGATGTAGTGTTCGAGACGATGAGAGCTGATGGGCAACTGGCTTCTGTCGAGCCGGAGCCTTCGCACGGTAAGCTGGACCACCGCTGTCGATGAGCGTGATCTGGGATACAAGCTGACATCTCAGACGTTAATACCTCCCCCGGCCCATCCGGCCACATCTCCGCCAGCCTCAACTCCTTCGAGCCCTCCCACCCCAGTCCCGAGACCGCCAACCCTCCATCCCCATTCCGGCCGGCTTGGCGGGTATCGCCTCGCACATCAAGCCCCTCGATTTGAGCTTCGACGATCCGGCCCTGAACCTCACATACGAAGTCATCCAGGACGACCGGGGCGAGATGGGCGGGAAGCGCAAGAAGCCTCTGCATGAGCGCGCAGGGTGGAAGGACATGGATGAGAGGGGCCAGATGCCTAAGCGTCCCAGAGTGATACGAGGGCCTAAGAAGGGCGCGAATGCCAACCCCAGCGCGGAGTTCCAGGCTGAGGAGGGAAGGGAGGGGGACGTGGGGCAAGGCGAGAGTAGCCAGCAGGCTCACGAGCTGGCAGATGGCCAAGGTGCGAGGGCGAGTACGCTCGATAGGGATATGGCGCAGGCGGGCAGGGAGATGGGGCTGGAGCAGACTGTACTGGCGGATGTGTTGAGGCAAGCGGAGGACCAGACGGCGGCTGTGGTGGCGGGCGCCGAGGAGGCTCAGCCGGGTGGTGGACCGGCCGATGAGAAGGGGCTCAAGACGAGCAAGTGAGTCGTCCGACCTCCGTCAACTTGGTCCAAGCTGACACGTAGTGAATCCAGAGCTGAGCAAAATCGTCGCGCGCAGCAAGTGTACCGCCGACGTCGAGAAGAAAAGATCAAGGACCTCGAGGCGCAGGCTGCGGCCCTGGAACCGACCCGTCAGGCCTTGCGTGAGAGTTATGAGCGGATGAAGTCTTTGGCTATGGTGTGTGCAGGTTTTCCTGGCTGAGGACACGGCGCTAACTTTACAAGGAATATGAAGCGGCCAAGATCCAACTTTCTGCTCTGCAAAACACCCTCCTCAGCCTGAATAAGCAAGGCATCGCGATCCTCACGACGCAGTTCAACTTCCCGATGGACCCTGATAATCTCAAGGAGGCGGAGACGATGCGTCCGGGACCGATCGCGGAGAAGGATGTGGAGAGGGCTTTTGAGCAGCTCGAGAGGCAGAGCAGGGAGCTGGCGGAGTCGAGGCGAAGCGAGTAGGGGCGGGGTGATGGCCGATGGACAAATATTGTATGTGTATGATCAGAGGATGTGGGAGCGGCCACGTCGAGCACTTGTATCGTTTTGTAGGCTTGGAATGACATGGATACCCCATCAACGAGCTTCTCTTGGAGGCTCAGCGCTCAACAGTCACTCACCAGGCACGGACCTCTCTCGATCATCTGACGATGCGCCGATTGTTCTCGTCAGAGACCAAAGAACCAAACTCTGGCTTTGTTTTCGCGTCACCTTCACCTCCCTCGTCCACCTCTCTACCTCCTCTGCAGCGTAGCACAACATGGCGTCCGTCCATCCGGCCGCTATCGGCTCCTCTGGGTCATCCTCCTCCGCTCACCCGGCTTCCAAGCCCAACGGCAACCCGGACGAAATCACCACCACCACCATCAAGGCCACTGCGCACCTTACGCTCCCCGCGCACCCCGTCCCTCTCACCTACGACCAGCTCAACCCCAAGTCTATCCCGAATGAGTTCTACGGTCCATGGGGAATGACCGTCGTGCTCTTCTCGACACCGCTGGTGGCGTACTCGTTATTCTACCTGTGCAACGAGACGACGGGGTGTATGCCCTCGTCCCCGCGCGCGTGGAGGTTGTTGGGCGACCTCCTGGGCGATTGGCCCGCTACGAATGGGCAGTTCTTTGAGGCCTCGGCCAAGCCCGCGGCGGTCTACTTTGGGTTCTTTGCGTATCTCGTGGCGTGCTGGGTGTTTATTCCGGTAGAGAAGACGGAGGGGACGTTGATTAGGGACGGGACGAGGAAGGCGTACAAGCTTAACGGTGGGTATACCCCCCTCACTTCATCACACACCTCTGCTCCTCTCCCACGTCTCTCCTGTCTCACCTCGCTTCCCGACCGTTTGTCTCGTCGCGGTTCTCAGCTGATATCCAGGCCTGCACACCCTCTTCCTCACTCTCGGCCTGACCCTTGGCCTCCTCCTCCGCCCCGGCGGAATCGAAATGATGACATGGCCGTACGACCACTGGGTACCTCTCCTGACAATCTCCCTCGTCTTCGCCGTCGCGCAGGCGGCGTACTTCCACGCCCAGAGCTACTGGAGTGGGGAGCTGCTGGCTGCTAGGGGTAACTCTGGGAATTTGATCTACGATGTAGGTCGACCTTTCCTTCTTGCCCCTCCTTCTTCCATTCCTGGACCCTTCATCGCTTATGGCAATGAGATGTCGGGGTTTATGACATGTACGGACTACGCTGACTCTACTCCAGTACTTCCTCGGCCGCCCGCTCAACCCGACCCTGCCCGGCCTGCCCAACTGGGACGTCAAGACCTTCATCGAGGTCCGACCGGGAATCATCGGCTGGCTCCTCCTCAACATCTCGTGCGCGTGCGAGCAGTACGTCCGCCTGGGCCGAGTCACCGACTCGATGGTCCTTGTGCTCCTCTTTGAGGGGTACTACTGCTTTGACAGTCTATGGAACGAGGTCAGTTTTTTCGTCACCTATCCGTTCTCGGCAGTCCGGGCGGCCCAGCTGATCGATAGTCAAACATCCTCAACCAAATGGACATCACGACAGACGGGTACGGCTTCATGCTTGCCTTCGGAAACCTCGTCTGGGTGCCCTTCACATTCGGCCTTCAGGCGCGATACCTCGCCTTCCACCCTGTCGATCTGGGGCTCACCAAGTCGGCACTGATTACTGCGTTTGTGGGGCTCGGGATCTGGATGTTCAGGGGGAGCAACTCTGAGAAGGACCACTTTAGGAATGGACGCAACCCGAAGAGTGAGTCTTAATCTGGCTTGAAAAATATATCCGGCTTGGAGACAAAGAGACTGCACGACCGGCGGTGTGTGGTTGCTGGGCCTCAGGGAGATAATGAACGGCCTATAGCTGATTCGCAGACCTCACGTATATGGAGACCAAGCGGGGAACCAAGCTCCTCACTTCGGGCTGGTGGGGCTGGTCTCGACACCCTGTGAGCTGCCTCCTCCGGATCGTGATTGCGAAGCCAAGCTGACATCTCAGAACTATCTCGGTGACTGGATCATGGCGTAAGTATAAGCTCCGTTAGGCGTCCGCAAGAGTGGTAGCTGACTATTCAGTCTTGGCTGGTCCCTCCCTACCGGCTTCACCACGCCCATCACCTACTTTTACATTGCCTACTTTGTCGTGCTCCTCTTGCACCGTCAGCATCGGGACGATCATGCGTGTAAGGAGAAGTACGGGGATGACTGGGACGAGGTGAGTCCTTTGCTTTTCTCTGTCGGGAGCTTGACTGAGAATGGGCTGACGTGGATAGTACTGCCGGAGGGTCCCGTACAAGATTATCAAATACATCGTGAGTTTTGCGGTGCTCGTCACTGGGCAGGACGAACTGAGCTGGCAAAAGCTGACTTGAGCAGTACTGATCACCTCATTGAGCGACAAGATGTCGAGATGAGCATGCGCCAGTGCGAGGGACAGGATGATGTGCCGTTCAGGCCGGGAGGTGAGCGGTCGACGTTGATGGCGGGTCGAACGTACGAGTGACGAGTATCAGACTGGAAATAAATATGCAGAGTGTTGCGCGTATCCGAGCTAGCTCAGCGCTCAGCGGCCAGTAGAGTTCAGTCCGCAATGCCCCTCCCAGTAACATTCTAAGTGGCGGTGCCGAAACGGGTTCGGGTGTCATATACGTGTAAGTTAAATATACAACTGGAACGATATTAATTGGCTGGCACCACGGATCCCGAGCTATGCTGTCCCTCCCGGTCCCAGCTCGATCTGCCAAGCCTACCCGACGGCGTCATCGCTTGAGCGTGGCTATCCAGACACAGAAGAGCAGGAAGACCATGGCCCCCGATATACAGCCAGTCGAGATGAGTATCGCTTGGCGAGTGCGGAATTTCCTTCCTGGGGTAGCAGTCAGCGTGGCTCTCGCTCTGTAGTCTTTCTTGCAGGAGAGCAGGAGAAGAGAAGACAACGCATGGTGGGAAGGGTAGGACCGTGGGTTGACATACTGGCCGCTGCGTCCCCCGGTCCGTCCCTCACCCTCACATACAATTGGCGAGGCGCATCATCCTTGAACCCGGCCCAAGCCTCGTTCATCACGATGGCCCGATCGCCCCGGATGTCCTTGAGGAACTCGATCCGGTCTGGGGGATAGTCTTGAAGACGGGGAAAGCCACGCAGAACGAAGTAGATTGTTTCCTGCTCTGTCAGCTAGTGTACTACATGGAAGCAGAGGAACAAGTGGGGGAACAACGCAAAATCTCAGAGTGTACATACCTCTTTCGTCCGCCCCAACACCCCCGTCGCATTCTCCTCACTCCCGCGAATAGGGTACCTCGGCACGAACGTATAAATGATACTCTTCCTGGCGGGCCCACCGTCATCCAGATCCGGAGCAGCTATTACGGGAGGATAGGACGTCGATGACTGCCCCTGCACAGCCTGAAGGTGCGCCGCGGAGGGGTCCGATTCGGCTCCCGCGTAGGATTTGAAGAGTGGGGTCGTGTCGCTCTCTTCTGGCTCGCGTCTGTATTGTGGGAGACCGGACATCTTGGGGGTGTCGTTGAGCATGTATGAGTAGAGATGAGAGATGAACAATGGCGAGATGTGGGTTAGTATTCAGTGAGGCTTTATGCGGAAGGCTTGCAGAAGCGGTGCGGGGTATTTTTGGAGCTGGGTGGAGCCACACAGAAGCGGTGCCGCGCCGGAGCCGGGCGTAACAGGTGTGACATGTGGCGCCTCCTCCGACCAAAGCTTTGAGACCGTTTGGTTAGATACCTGCTCGAGGGATGGTGGATCAGATGAACACAGTCTTGGCGGCGAGGAGAACGGACTGGCGAAGAAAATGCCAGTCCCAGCCGCCCAGTTGCCCGACCCTCAAAAGCTTTGAGCTTGGACTTCGCGCATGTGCGGACCTGAAATATAGAAAGGGGGCGGATAGTCGAAGAGTACTCTTGTAGTCTTCGACGTTCGCGCACCATGACCATCATAGTACCAGCCTCCTGTGAGAGAACGGAATGTAGCGGAACCCTAGTGCATCACGCCCTACGTAGAGTACACCTAGTAAGCAGCCTCCTGCGACGCCTCCTGCGCCGGGGCAGCCTGCTGCTGCTGCTGCTGCTGGGGGATCTCCTGAATACCCTTGTTCTCGGACCGGACCTCGATGGCGCCTTCGGGTTTGGGCCTGTAAGGTTAGCTGTGCCCTCGGACCTTCGCGGTTCAGGCGGGAAACAACTCACTCGACGAGCGAGACCGCATCGGGGAGGTTCTTGGAAGGCCCCATCTTTCCTTCAGGGTCGTAAGGCTTCATGCTGACTCGTCAGCCTTGCTCGGCATGCACTCGTCACACAGCCCAAAAACTCACATCTTGACCTTGATACCCAACACACCCTGACGGAGCAGAACGTGCCTGACGGCGTAGTCGACATAGTCGACGTTGGGCTGACCCGAGTGGATCATGAACCCGTCGACGAACTTCATCGACTTGGCACGAGCGGCACGGAGCTTGCCGGAGACGACGACCTCGCAACCCTTGGCGCCCGACTCCATGACGAATCGGAGGACACCGTAGCAGGCACTGGGGGTCAGCGGGGGTCGGGCGGGGTGGAGTGCGGCAGAGGGATAGGATGAGTGAGAGGAGAAGCCAAGCCGAAGTGCAGGATGGGGTAGGAGGGGATAGGGCTGATCGAGATGCTAGGGAGTAATGCGGTGTAGTAGGTGTGAATGTCGTTCCCGCGCTCTACCTCGATAATCGGAAGGCTATCTTCCCTTCCTGATCCACGAAGCCCGACTTTCGCCCGATCCTTCCATCCTTCCTATCCTCGCTCTTTTTTCTTCTCTTCTCCCTTCTCACTCTCCTCAATCCAATACCAAACCAAACTCACCGACGCATAGCCAGCCCACCGAGCAGCTTGTACCTCAGACTCTCCGCCTGAGCGGCGGCCGACAGACCCCTGAACTGCACCTTCTCGGCGTAGAGCTCGAGCGAGTTCTCGGGGAACTTGAACCTCTTCTCGATGAGCGCCTTGAGCTCTCGGATGCGGCGTCCCTTGTCACCGAGGACATCCTGGGTGTGGGTCGCGCGGATGATGATTTCGGTACGGGCGTGGGTGACCCGGACTTCACAGCCAGAGTAACCTTCCTCGGCGAGCTCGCGCGAGCTGTTGGCGAAAGGCGGAGGAGCGAGCGAGCGAGCGAGTACGAAGGTAAGATGGATGGGAGTGTGGGTAGATCGGACGAAACAGAGAAATCGCGATCAGCGATCATCCCCTTCCCCCTTCCTCTGGCCAAACTACACTTACAAGAACTCGCCAAGCTCAGCCTGGAAGACACCGTCGGCGATGAACTTTCTCTTCTTGGAGATCTGGGTGGTAGAAGCCATTGTAGATGATGGATAGGGAGAGTAGCAGAGGGGGATCGACTTTTGGCTCTAAAGCACCAGGCGGTAGGGCATGGTAGGGCCCAATTTCGCGGGATCAAATAAGCCCCCAGCCAGCCAGCGAGTCAAGCACCGAGCGGCGAATTTGGAGGCGGATCCGGCTGACTCGGCGTTTTCATCAGTGTGGCGGTTTGAGCTTGGTCGGAGATCCGTGCGTCGGTTTCAGATTATGGAGAGCTGACGGCACCGATAGCTGCAAGATAGCTGTCACTCAAGCTTGTCCCTTTGGGCTGATTAGACCTAGACCTAGACAGTACGATGCGGCTAAGCTCAAGGGCTTTCCAGCCGGGAGCGATACTCGACTCGTTCCTAGGTATACTGGATATCAAGCTGGGTAAGTTCCTCGTCCCCCGGATCTTCCAGGGTCGAACCCGAGCTGACTCGAGGCAGGCTGCGAGATTGTTCTGCTCTTCGGTGTGAGTCGCTCAGCCGAGTAGTTGGATCCATGGCGTATACAGCCAATCGGAAGCTTTCAACGTCTGACTCCTGCAGCTCATCAACAAAGTAGCGGGTGTCTACGGCCTGATCACCATCTTCGTTGGCGGTTCCTTTCTTCAATACCTCTTCTACGCCTATTCCATCGGGACGCTCTTCGCCTTCCTCTGGGCTTTGAATATCGTCAAATCAGTGCGTACCTCTCATATCAGCTATCTCACCCTTCTTTGTCTCGGCGGAAGAAGCCCGAGCTGACACGCCTAGGAAAAAGCAAAACCCGCCCTCCTCGTCGCACACCTCTACACCCTGGACCACCTCATCCTCTCCATCGCGCACTATGGTTTCTACATCCACTACTGGTTCGTCGTCGCGCACGACGGGCGGCGGATCATCAATTCATCGGCACAGCAGGCTCTGATCGATCTGGCGGTGAGCAGGGGGGAGACGACGGATCCCACCTCGGGCGGAGGTGCTGGGGCGGGTGGGGGAGATTACGAGCGGAAGCGATTAGCAGAGGGGATATGGGCAAGTGAGAGGGTGGTAGCGCTTTGGATATTGGCTGTTGGGTGGCTGGTCAAGGTCAGCTCCCGTCCCGTCTTACCCACTTACCCGATTGGGTGCGCAGCTAACGGCCAGATTTACTTCATCCTCAGCCTATACTCTTACGCCGCACACCTCCGCTCATCGACCTATCACGCCCTCCCACTGACTTCCCGGTCCAAGGCGAGCCGGATCGCCCATCCGACGTCCCAGGCGGATCTGGAGGCGGAGGTACTGCATGATGAGCTCGAAGAGGGCGCGAGCGATGGACGGCCGGGCACCAAGGGGAGCGCGCTGGTTGGTGAGCAGGCGGTCAGGTCGGGGCCGGCCGAAGCGGACTTGGACTTGGCCCTGCAGGGCGTGGGTTATAGGAAAGTAGAGAAACCGATGAAAGAGGGCGAGGAGGACGATTGGGATATGGGGGATGATGAGGGGAAGATGGGGGATGCGTCAGCATCAGGATCGGGATCTAGGAATTGACACATGTGATCTCAAAAGCAATGTATCTATACTTTCTCACTCCTCATCGTACCGTATTGCTACTAGAGCCTGGATTGTCCCTTTGACATCGATCTTCGACATAGCCTTGTGGCGCGAGGTGGTTATTCCGGTAAAAGATCATGCATACCACAACCCCAAACCCAATCTCTACTTCCCATTCCCCCATCGCTTCCCTTCTGTCCGACCCGGCACGCCCTACTTGCCCTCAAACATCTTCTTGATGTGGGCGGTAGAGTACGACTTGGGGCGCTCGAGGGGCATCTGGAACGTCAGCTCTAGACCACTTGCTGTATCCGGAGAGGCAGCTTACACCAAGGGCACGGTCCCAGATGAGCTGCGAGACGACACCGAGCGCACGCGAGACACCAAAGAGGACAGTGTAGTAGTCTTGCTGGTGAAGACCGTAGCTGCTGTGTTAGCTTCTTCTTCGTCATGTCTCCACCTCTTCCTTCTTCCTCCCAGTCGAGGGAATAGCTTACTAGGTGAGGAGGACACCAGAGTGGGCGTCCACATTAGGCCAGGGGTCTACCTCGTCAGCTTGCTTTCATTCTCACATCCTCTGAAGTGAGCAACGCACTCTTGGCCTTGCCCGCCTCGAGGAGGATATCAGGCACAATCTTGTAGATCTGGCCCACGAGCTTGAAGAATGGGTCCTCGGGCAGGTGCTTGAGCGCGAATTCACGCTGGGCGGTGTATCGCGGGTCCTGTTGGTCAGCTCTCGCCCTGTACGTGCTTCTATTCCCTCCCTCCCTTTCCCGTTCATAGACCTCCCGCTCATTCCCTGTATTCCGCCACCGCCAGAACGATAAGGCGGACTTGGACTTGGACTTGGACTTACAGTCTTGCGGAGCACGGCGTGGCCATAACCAGGCACGACCTGGCCCGACTTGAGGGTCGACCAGACGTACTCGGCGACTTTTTCGTCAGACGCACCCTCCCCAATCTGGGCGCGCATCTTCTGGAGCCACCGGAGGACTTCCTGGTTGGCGAGACTGGCTGTCAGCTTGGGATCTGACCCGATTAGATCCGAGTGGAGTTGCTCACCCGTGCAGGGGTCCGGCGAGACCGTTGAGCGAGGCAGCGAAGGAGAGGAACGGGTCCGAAAGGGCCGATCCGACCAAGTGTCCAGTGTGGGCCTGGACGTCAGCTTTTGGCACTTGACCCTTGTCCCTCCTCCCTTCGCCTTCTGTCTTTCCTCTACTTCTCTTCTTCCCTACTTCTCTCCACCAAGACCCAAGACTCACCGAAACATTCCCACCCTCATGGTCCGAGTGAATGGTCAAATACAGCCGCATCAACTCTACAAACTCGGCATTCTCCCCGAAACCCAGCATCGTCGCGAGGTTGGCCGAGTAGTCCTTGTTCTGGTCAATCTTGGGCATCTTGCCGTCCCCGTACACGTTCCGGAAGATCCGGCCGGCAATGTTGGGGAGCTTGGCAATGAGGTCCATCGAGTCGTCGAAGGTGGTTTTCCAGTATTCGCGCTTGTGCACGCCGTCCGCGTAGGCTTTGGCGAAGGCCGAGTCGTGGTTGAGCTATAGCAGGAATCAGCTTGTGTCCACGCCCGCGCCCGCGCCTACGCCTAGGCCGACCCTCGACCCTCCACCCATCAAGTGCTCGCCCCCTCTCTCTCTCCCGAGCGAAAATGTCCACGCTTTGATCGGTGCAGCAAGACTAAAACTCACAGCAGTCACAGCAAGCGAGAACTGAGACATCGGGTGCAGCGTATTCGGACACCGATCAATCAACTCCTCGACAAACTTGGGAATCTCGGCGCGCGCCGCCCATTCCTGCGACAACCCCTTGACCTGCTCCTGCGTCGGCACCTCGCCCGTGAGGAGCAACCAGAAGAGCGACTCGGGGAGGGGCTCGGTTCCGCCCGGAGCGGCGGGGAGCTCCTTTTGACACTCGGGGATCGTCTTGCCCCGGAAGCGGATACCTTCGTCGGCGTCGAGGACGGAACCTTCCCAGATGAGGCCCTGGGCGTTAGCTTTGTCGTCCGCGTCGCAGTGCCTGTGCTTGTGACTGTGGAATATGGGATGAGGAGACTCCGGGAATGGCGGAGTTGGGGAGTTGGGACAAAGAATAAATTTGGCGAGCAGACCTCGCGAGAGGCCCGTCCTCTCTGCTTCATACGATGTATAGCCTCGGGGAGCAGAGATAGCCTCTTCGGTGAAGAAACACCCACCTTGATACCGCGCATACCGCCGTACGCCTGATCAACCGTCATCTCCCCAAAGCTCTTGTTACCGTGCGCAGCCCGGACAGCCTTGACATTCTCAATCTCCTTGGGGATGAGCTCGGCCATGCGGTCCTTGAGGGACTGAGCGTGCGCCGAGGGGGTCGAGGCGAAGGTGCGCGCGAACTGCGGGCGGAGCTGGGGAGTCAGCAATAGCTCTGGAGAGAGCTGGAGAGCGCTGCCCTAGCACGGAGCTGTGTGGGTGAAAATTTCGGTCTGGTTGGAGGAATGGCATACCTGCGCTCGGAGAGCATTTCGGGTAGCTGAGAGAGACATGCTGGCTATTGTCTTTTAGCAGGTAGGTATGATAAGGAGGATGAGATGGTCAGGCGAAATTCAAGGCTTGCGGGTGGATGCGGATGACGGCGACGGCGGGCCGAGAAGGGGACGGGACTTTTTGGGTGTGCACTGTGATGTGGCGTTTACGAGAGGGTCATTTCCGGCGAAGGGGATATCAGTCGCGCCCGGCTGAGTGCTATAGCCGGGTGGTCCACAGCAGCATGGAGGTAATCGGCTATAGATCTAGGGTGGGGAGGCAGTGCAGAGTGGGGCGGCGAGACTTCAACGAGCGGGCGAAGAGCTCTTGCCCAAGAAGTCGCATCATAGATTATCCACCGCCCAAGAACCTGCCGCACTACTCCTCCTCTTCCTCTTCCCCCACCTGCCCATTCTTCTCCCTCTCCACCCGCTCCTTCTCCTCCCTCTCCTCCATCTCGGCAATCTCCACATCGAGCGGGTACGTCAAAACCGCCGCTATCCCCGTGTACTGATTCAACTGTTGTCCGCTCTCATGCATCGACGAAAAGATGAGCGCCTCCCCGCCCCTCGACCGGACCGCTTCGACCATCTCGACGTAGTGCGTCCGGGTCGCAGGGTCGGCGGAGCGGAAGAGATCGTCCGAGATGAGGAGGGTACCGACGGCGCCGCGGTCGACGGCCATTGAGACGTGGGCGGGGCCGTACCATGCTCGGAGCTCGTCTTGGGCGAGCATTTTGTGGAAGCTGGGGATCAGCTCGGCTCGGAGCGGCTTAGTGGTTGATGAGAAGAACACAAGGAGTCGGGATGGGGACTCGAGACCTACCGTTCCAGTCCCAATCCTTCTCGAGCAAACTTCGCCCCTTGTAATGTCTTGGCCACCTCTGGCGCCCTTAACGCCTCCACCAAACTATGCACATGTGGCGTATTCGAATGCACCTTGATCCATTTCGTCCGTGAGGCTAATAGCGGCTTGTTGGACTGTAATGTCGCTTGTTGAAAGATATATTCGTACATCTGACTGTTAGCCATCTTACGCTCGCCGTCTCGCAGCAACCAGCTCACAGATTCCCTTGTAAAACCCGGGGAGGCAATGACGATCGCCTTCAGATCTTGATATGGGATCAACCGAAGGATCGCATCATATACCGTCTTGAAGAAGTTATCCATTGCCTGTATGTCAGCTGGGTTCCTCGCATGACTTAATCAGCACACCTTGTCATGCCCCAAGGTCCCACCTTTCCGTTTCCGGGGCACGCTCATATCTATCCGCTGGCGGACCGTCGTCATATGTTCCGACAGAAGACATATCGCGGCGGTACCTGCTGATCAGCTACCTCCTCTGTCATGGAGAGAGAGACCCACCCTCGCCCATAACGACAGCACCAATCTCAGCCCCCCTCCCTTCCCTAGTACTCTCCGTGATCCGCTCGAGTGCGACAGAATCCCATCCTGTGGCTTTGATCAACCTGAAATCTCGATTGGCTATTCGTCAGCGTCCTATCTTACTTTCTCGTCCTCCTCCTAGTACTCTCTGAGGGGGGACTCACCCTCCAAGTCCAACGTATGGAACGCCCCCAGCCTCACAAACTCATTCTCATTATTGACCTGCCCGCTGATCTGCAAACTCGCCGTCGGCTCCTTCTTCTCCGCCACGCCCGTTCCCCCGCCTCCTCCGCTCCCGCTCGCAGCTGAAGCAAAGGTCGTTTTTGTGACGACGAGATTGAGGTTGACGCGGACGCGGTACGAGTCGGATGAGCCTGTGGAGGAGACAGTTTGGACACGGCGGACAGCGAGGGCGCGGACTTCGTCCCCGACCGCGATGAGGTTGTAGACGTGCCACATGTCCTCGTCGTCTTCTGGGCGGAGGGTGACGTAGCCCTAGAGGATCAGCTAGGTCCATGGTACTGGTAGAGCGCCGCAGGAGGGGATGGCTATAGAGGAGGAGAGGGTGGAAGGAATGGGCTGGAATCCAGTTGATAGGAGACCTCGCTGGACGCTGGGTCTCAACCAAATAGAACGTTACTTCCAGCACTGACTGCGCTCATCCCCCGAGCCACAATGAAGATCATGGGCTCGTCTAGCTTCATCGCGGTCGCCAGAAAGAGGGTGTGGAGAAAGAGAGCTCGGAAAGGGGCAAGGTAAGACGTACCGATCCGTCTTTCTCGACGTGCTTATTGACTAGCTTCATGGCTACTGTCTTGAGCGATAGAATAGGCGAGATATGAGTGAAGAGATATGGATGCTAGGTAGATGTATGACAAGCAGATCAAATAGAAAGTCCCAGCCACTTCTTTACTGCAGCAACGTCGTCATAGGCCAAATCGAGGACCGTGCGTCCATTCTCACCAAGCTGAGCAGCTGAGCTTTTCGCCAAAGCTTTCGTTCTCTATCTCACCATTTCACCTACTTACTCAGATTCACGTCGCTCGCTATGCCCGAATTCTCCGAGCCCAGGCGTCTCTTCGAGAGAGAAAGATGCAGTATCATCTGCAGTCAAGCAAGCGAAAGTCTTCTCAACTCCAGAGCTGTTCCACCAGATCCTCAGCTGGTTGAGGCCCGCTACTTTGGCGGTGCTGCTGCGCGTGCAGAAGGGATGGACAGCACCAGTAGCTGAGGTGCTTTATGAAGAGGTTCATGTATCAAGAGTGGCACGGATGAGCCCAGCGCAGGTGAGTTGACAAGGACACGAAACATCGGGCGAGAGGATGAGCTCTGGTCCTGGAGGACGACGTCGGACGAGGATATGGCGAGGAGAGAGGGGTCATAGATCGCTCGTACAGGGTGAGGGCTGACACACAGCCTCGGCGCGCCGTCTACTGCCACAGCGTGCGCCGTCTGAACCTCTCACCCCTCTGGCCGCCCTGCTCTCGCACAAAATTACCACCGCCGGCGTTATTCGACCCGGACGAGCTCCTCCGGAAAACCATGCAATGGCGCAAGAAGTTCCCTCATCTTCAGACTATCTCATATCGCCATCCTGTGAGCGACCAGGAGGACACGTACACCGTCTCGCTCAGCGGCGACAAGATCCGGGTCGAGGTGGAGACTTGTGTCAGGTTGTTCCACCCGGTGTACTTCCTTCGCAGCCCCTACCCTCTTCTACCACCTATACCCACGCCATACTACACCCACCCTCCAGGACTTGTAATCGACCATCGCATCCGTCTAGTCATGGTTGACGATCACCTCACCGGGCCTCTCGATCCTGACCAGGACGAGGTGGCGAGGCATACCGCCGAATCTTGCGGACCTCCCGCCCCTCAGCCGTCTCTTGAGGAGCTGGTCTCACTCTTCGAGACCCGAGCGTCACGCGGCTGCGTGCCCCTCAGCGGTCTCACCTTCCCCTCGTGCCCCACCCCTTACACGCTGGAACGGTTCCGCCAAATCGCCAACATCGTCGGTACAGGTCTGCGCCAAGTCATCGTCCCGGTCAATATGCTCCGGGACCTCGGCGGCTTCCAGGTAGCCAGCTCGGCTCTGGATTCAGCATTCCCAAAGCTGGAATCTTTCCATATACGGGGCGAATTGGTCGAAGGTGACGGACTATCTCCCACCTCGCTCTTGACCGTCATGCAGAACCTGTACCGGTTCACCATCGACAAGCATACGGGCCCGCTATCTGCCATGGAATTGGCCGTGGCCGTCCGGAATCTCGGATCCGCCAAGACTTTGTACACCTACACATCTGATCGTCCAGTTACGCAGCGCAAGTTGACTTTTCACGAATTCGTCCACATGGCTAGATTGTGAGTCCTTACTCGAGGCGAAGAACTGATATATCAGCCATGATACACATGAAGTCTTCGTCGAAGGATATCTGGAACAAGCCGCTAGGCAGTATGGGGCTCTGTACCGGGTGGATTGGGAGAGCAAGATTGATCAGCTGGAGCTGGAGCAGATTGTCAGGTATAGGGAATGGCTTACGACAAGCGTCGTTCAGAAGTTCCAAAGTGGACACTCCCATGGTATGTGATGAGGAGACATCTTTGCATGTAGAATCTGTCTACTCTTGACTGATGTATACTGACGGCGCACAAGTCTTCAAGCTCTAAATACTGACCGTGGTACTGATCTGGCGTATTGGTATGTGCTCGGCGTTGACTATGGAAGCGCTTCTACCTCCAATGCGCAGCTGTGCTAATGGTCTATTGAGATATCAAGTCAAGCCGGGCTATCGCACTGCTTAATGCTCTGACCCAGCGGGGCTGTTTCCACAAGCGTCTCACCTCGCAGAAGTACGGTGGATTTGCCCGTCCGGCGAGTCACTCGTTCGAAGCGACTCGCTCCGTCAAACACTCAGCCCTGCCCCGCCCCCTCATCCCTTTCTGACCTCTCGAGCTCTCCCTCCGCCGCGGTCCAAAAGGTCCTCTGCACTCCGGAGCTGGCCTTCTTGATCCTCAATCAGGTGGATCAACGTACGCTAGCTGGGATGCTGCGTTTGCAGAAAAGGATGACAATACCGGTAGCTGAGGTGCTATATGGAGAGGTCCACATCTCCCGTGTATCTCGGATGTCGAGGGCCAAGGTGAGCGTCGGTTGATCTTCTGCGGTTCTGGTGCGGGGGGAAGGGTACATGGATGCAAATCTTTTATTGTGGTCGCTGTGGACAAAGAGGCCGACCTTACCGAATGACTGGAATGCTGCTAGAGAGATTTTACTGACTCTGCAGCCTAGACGGGCAGCGCTTTGCGACGTCGTCCGGACTATCAACCTCTCTCCCTTCTCCCCCGCCGACCCTGCATCGCGGCGAAAGCCAAAACCCCATCCCTTCCGCTTCGATGCCCATCAGCTAGCTAAGAATATCGCCGTATGGAAGAAGAAATTCCCCTCGCTCAGCACCATTCTCTACCGGTATCCCCTGGATGACGAAGCCGACGCCTTTGTCGTCCATCTCTCCGGCGAGACCATTCATGTCGAGCTGGAGAGCCAGGTCAGGCTTCAATACCCCGACACGTTTACAATGCCCCCTCCGTCGCTCCCGGAAACGCCCGCGCTTTCGCCGCCGTTACATCTCAAACACAACATCGCCATACACGTCTCTCCGCGGCCATGGGGGGAGGACGCCTATCATCCACCAAGGATGATGGAGCGCGTTCAAGAATACCAGCGGTTGATGTACGGAGCGGACTCGGACGGGCGTATCACCAGCATCAACGATACGTGCCTCGACTCGGACATGCACGCCTCGCCGGAACAACTCCTCTCCTTCCTCGCATCGCGTGCCTCGCGCGGCTGTGACCCCATCACCGGTATCCGCTTCCCTTCCTCCCCCACACCATACACACTCGAGCGGTTCCATCAAATGGCGTCGGCCATCGGCTCGGGCCTCCGCACTCTCGCCATCTCAGTTGATGTCATGCAGAGTATCGGCGGTCTCCACTTTGCCATATCGGAACTGGACAAGGCATTCCCCGCGCTGGAGGTCTTGACGATCCGCGGTGCCACGATGGAGAGCGACGGAGTGTCCCCGGACACACCGTTGGTCGGTATGGTGAATTTGCGTAGCTTCAGCCACGAAGTGTGCGAAGGGGTAACCCTTCTGGAGCATGCTCAAGGTGTGCAGGGTTTGGGATCAAGGCGCACCTCGTTCTATCTCTTGTTTCAAGATGATCCTCCTGGGCAAGGGCGGCTCACCAGTTATAATGCGGTCGTACAACTCGGCAAGGAGTGAGTGGTATCATGGCTTCAGCTCATTTCCTCTAGATACCACGAGGGAGTCATGGCCATCCGGCGAGAGATATCGGAGCTGGAGAGGAGGCTTCTACTTGAGGTTGACGCTGGCTCGAAGGAGAAGATGACGACGGAGCTTCGACTGCTGAGGGAGTTCACATCAACCTCGCTCATGGAGAAGATTAAACAGGTCAAACCGAAAACAGATAGTTAGGGCTTTGTCGCTATGTAGGGGGTGAGGGGGTTGACTGGTCGATCGGCTGCCTCTGCCTGACTGGTGCTCATGTCTACTGACGGTGCATAGCTACGAGCGCCTAGCGCCTACTGACCGCCGCCTCATACTCTGCTATCCCTCCCTCCAGCAACTTCAAACCGTTCTTTCCCACTCGGAATGTCTGCCCTGCTGCGTTCTGCCTCACTGCTAGCTTTGGGTCGCCGGTCTGAACCGCATCAACAGATACACCGTCCACCACCGCTCTAGCGAACCATCTACGGCATCAGCGACAGATACCACCTTGAGCAAAGAAGCGCCGGACTCACCGATCATGTGTCACCAAGACCACTGCGCCCTCCCATCCCCGCAGTACCGCCGCCAACGCTCTGATACTCTGCACGTCCAAATGTGTTGTCACCTCGTCCAGGATACTGGCGATATCAGCTACAAACCATTCCGCGAGAGCAGGAGACTTACAGGAGGTGTGGCGGCCGATACATCAGACAAGCGAGAACGAGGCGCACCTTCTGCCCTCCCGAGAGCTGATTGACGGGTATGTTGCTGGCTGTGGACCCTTGTAGACCGAGCCGACCAAGCATCGAACGAGCTTGAGCCTCAGTCGGACTGGCGTCTCCGCACGTCTCCAGGAAGTGGGTGATAGCTGAAGACTGGAGGTTGGAAAGGGAGTCAACGGCGTGCTGAGCGAAGTAGCCGATCCGAGCTTGAGGGTGTCGAGTGATTGTACCACTGATGAGAGTCTCGTCTGACGCTAAAGCCTTGGCAAGAGTGGATTTCCCGCGCCCATTCTGGCCTCAGCTAAACTCAAACGCTTTACTCACTGCTCCGACCAGCGCGATCCTTGCCGCAGAGTGCACGACCATGCTGACTCCCCCGACCACCACCCGCTTGCCCCAGCCCGCCGAGACCTTCTCCAGCGAGACCAGCGCGCCCTTCTGCCTCAGCTCAGGAGGCTGCTCAAATCGCCACACGACCGCTTGCTCCACCTCCTGCTCGACAATCTCGCCACGCCGGGTCAAATGGTGTCCGCCAAGATCCCGATTGAGCTTGAAGCGAGTCCCCTTGGCGGATTGCTCAAGACCCCACCGCTCGTCCAGCTTCTTTTGGCGTGACTTGACCATGCGTTGTCTGTTCTCGTCCCCCGTAGCTTTGGCTGCTTTGCGTCCCTCGGCTATGGAGTTCTGGATCTGTATCGTCAGCTCGGACTCTGATATGACTATACAAGCTGATCTCACATGATCCTTCTTCTTCGCCATCGCCTCCTTCAGCGTCGCATTTGCCCGCCGGGCCTCCTCCTCCACTGCGTACATCATCCCCGGCGGACCATCAAAGTAGTCGAGGCGCTGATGCCGAAGCGCGATTGTCTTTTCTGCGACTCGGTCGAGGAAGGTCTGATCGTGTGAGGTGATGAGGAGGGTGGAGAATGAAGTAAGAGTAGGTATGGTCTTTTCGAGCCAGAGCAGGGCTGAGAGGTCCTATATGTCAGCTCTATAGTATCTAATGCTCACCATGAAGTTTGTAGGCTCGTCAAGAATGAGGATATCTGTCTGAACAATAAGAGCCGTGGCGAGGCGTACGCGAGACCGCCAGCCGCCCGAGAGATTGGTATACGGACCGTCGATCATGACGGGGCTAAAGCCAAGACCTGTCATAATACCTCGGACATGGGCATCGGAAGTGTCGATGCTCAGCTATTATCAGTTGTGGCCCAACCGAGACGCACCATTTCCAAATCGAGACGAAGCTCTTCCAGGCGTTCAAGGGCGTCTGCTCGAACATCTGCAGTCTGGTCTCCACTAACGTGTGAGCGAGGCCCCCAGCTCCTAGTATAGCTACGACTCACATGGTGGGTCCAGCAGCAGCGGCGGCCACCACCTCTTCAGCCTTGATCTCCTCTTCCCTCGCCTTCTTCCCTCTGGCGCCCGACCGCCTCGCAGCGATCCGCCTTGCCTCATCGAGTGCATGCTCAGCCTTCTCCTGCTGGAGCTGTCTCCAAACCCTTCGCACCTCGTCATCGTCACTGGACTCAAGCGCAGTCGTCAATGCTATTGTCAGCTCGAGCAAAGAAGATGACTCACCATCCCGCTCCTTTGTGCCTTCCTGCAGAGCAGTGTGTCCCTGCAGAACGCTCTCAAGAGCTGTCAGATCCTTGATATCTGCTGGGACCTCATCCACCTGGGTGACTATGTGCACACGAAGGGCAGGAGGAAGGCCAGGTATCAGTCGATCCGAGAGGGCAGAGAAGAGGGCTGGAGGTCAGCCAGACCTTGCGGAAACTTACTGGACTTTCCAGCTCCGTTTCTGCTTAGTCAGCGATGCTTTCCCGCTGATCGTACTAAGACTTACCTTCCGATGACCCCATACCGCACTCCTTCCCTTAGTGTGAGATCAGCATCAACGAGGACTTCTTGCTCGCCGACAGAGATGGTGACGCCAACGAGATCGATCTCGGTCGTGTTTGCCGCTAGGGTGGCTGCGTGGAAGCGGGACTGCTGGGTGGAGACGCGAATCATTATGGCCAGCGAAGCGCACAGGTGAGTGTAGGTATATATGTGACCTGTCCATGTCGATCTCCGCTAAACAATGTCTTAAAGAACAAAGGAGATGCTCAGTGTCGACTCCAAAGTCGACTCGCACCACAGGTCGAGCTCGGATCCGAGTTCCGCCGGAAACAGCGGAGCCGGCTGTGAGCATGAGCCGGAAGTACAGAGCGCACCCCTGTGGCTTGCACGGGTCGGTAGTGCTTTCCATGCGTACAGATCACTACTGAATGACATGAAGAGCCGATGCGATAGGCGAGAAGTAGTATGGGAAGAGAACGACGGCGGACCGCTCTCCAGCAGCCCGCTCAGCCACCAAAGCTTGAGCCAAAGAGCTCTTCTGTGCGAATCGGCTAAAGATGAAAGGCTGCCTCTCGTTCCTGGTCTCTGGGATCGACAGCATCTCACCTTCCGGTCCACCTCGCCTTGTGGTCGGCCCACAGATCGGCCAGCGAGCAGTGATCGACTCCAGGTCCGCCGTGTCGTCTCCAAGGCATCTGAAACGCCGCTCAAAATCTGAAACACCAACCGCCGCATGCTAAATTTCGCCCTCGTGCCTTGACCAAACCTTGAATTGGCCAGCTGCTTCTTCCCCGTCACATCATCAATCAACTGCACTCCGACAGCTACTCTTATAGCCTAGGCATACATATCATGGCTGACAGGCTCGACATCCAGCCTGGCGGGCCCGCAGCCAGGCGCGTCTACCTCACTTCGGAGCTATTTCGACTCGTCCTCGACCACTTGGGGGTCGGAGGGTCTGTGCCTCTCTTGAGGCTCGAGAAGGCGTCAATAGCGTCAGCCGCTGCGGTGGTGTATAGAAGCGTGCATGTCAGGGACATGAAGAGATTCTCCAGAAGCAATGTGAGTGTAAGCTTCAGCTGCAGCTCGATTTGTGTGGCTTTGTCAAGTTGGACGCAAAGGTTGAATGACGGGGAGAGGACGAGCGGGGCTTTGCGTTTGAGCGGGTGAAACCTACTGAAGTCCATACTGATGATGCAGCCCACACATTGCATCTATCTCGACGCGGTCCGCGTCCTCGACCGGTCGTATATCCCTCCAGAGTTCGCCGTACTCTGCGCACGCCAATTGTCGGTCGAGGTCCCCCGTACCCCTACTCGCTTCTCCCCCAAGACGGCTCTCAATTCTTTCCGCCTCGCACAGAAGAAATTCCCTCACGTGCGCTCTGTCCTGCTCAAACACAGATCGGACGATCGGGACGACGTGTATGACATGCACCGGATCCCCGGATCGGACCGGTTCAACGTATAATTCGAAACCAGAGTCGTATTATCGACCAACAATCCCCCTCCTGGATCGCAACGAGATGCTCCCCGCACACATCCCTCCACCCCTTGCCGTGAGCAGATGATCTTCCATCATTCAATCACCGTCACCTTCGAAGATCCTCGCGGTAGCCATCACCTCGGGGCATGGCGAGATTGGCTTTTCGACCAGCAACGCCCTGACCCGCGGTGTAGTGCGGGGGAGCGTCGGGAGGGGAAAGGATGCGCGAGAGTGTGGGTGAGGACAGGGTGTGTGTGGGGAAGAAGGCGAAAGGAGGGTGGCGACGAGGAATGAGGAGCGAGAGCGAGAGCGATATGCAAGAAGAGAGAGATAGCGAAGCGAAGGGCGAGCGGATCGACTGGCTATCTGTCTAGGGGCAATGCATATCGCTAGGCTATGGGACTAGGCTAGAGAGAACAGAGACGAAAGACAAGAGAGAAGAGGCTGACGCGAGGTGACTACCCGTCAGCCACGCTCGGCTAGTCCGTGCGTACAAGCGAGGTCCGCGCAGCGGCACCACAGCGGGTCACTCGACTGGCGGGCTGCCAGGACCTTGAGATCCCCTTCGAGGAGCTGATCTCTTGGCTGCAGTGGCGGAAGGGTCAGGGAGGCGAGCCAATCCTCGGAATCGGAATACCCCTCGAGGGGTATCACGCCGGTTACGACAACGCCGTCTCCCTTTGCCATCAGCATTTTGGCATCATCACGTCCGTGCTGGGTCCGGAGCTACTCCAACTCGAGCTCTACTTGCCCTCTACCACGAATTGGGAATATGTATGGTCACATATCATCGCAAGGCTCGATCGAGCGTTCCCGCACTTGCGGGAGCTGACGATCTTGCCCGCCGGAGCGCTTCCTCGTTCCTTACCCATCTGCGGGGACCACCCGCTCCGCGGTCTACCCCAGCTGCGCAAGCTGACGTTCTACCACAAGCCCTACCCTGGACATGGGATACCGATCGACCATGTCGCTCTCGCACGGCACATCTCGGGTCTGGGATCAGCCAACTGCATATACCATAATGTCGCTACCACTACCAATAAAGCGGCCGCGGAAGCAAGGGTCCGGGACCTCACCCTGCTGGTGAGGACTGAGAGGGGTGAGTGCCTTCACAGGATCAGCTAATCAGCGCAGGTCTTACCTCGACCCGGGAGGAATCAGAGAGTCAGCAGGGAGCGCGAACGATCTAGCGGTCTAAGCTAGGCTCAAGTAAGCGTCTCGTTCGACATGGAAGAGAAGCCCTTGCTGAGACTAGGTCAAGGCGCGGCGGGTAGACGCGGATGACGGTGTGGATCCGTAGATATCAGGTATCAGATTCAGTACTGGTCAGCATGGAGAGAGGAGTAGCTATGTGATATGTGATACATAAGTTCGGAACAAGACTGAGCAGCATGGAGGATGGAAGGACGAAGTATGAAACCGGATCTGAAACGCCGACAATTTCCGGGTGGGCTCGGTTGACTGGACCATACTGGACTTTTGACCTTATCGCTTCCTTACTTCACATTCTTACATATCAATTGCTGCACTCGACTTACGACATGCCAGAGGCACTGGGCGCTGCCTCCAAAGCACTCGTACGGCCTGTGCATGGGCGGCGACATCTGCAGGAGCGGAGGCGGAATGAGGCGCAGGAACTCGCGACCAGAAGCACCCCTCTGGCGCATTCCTTCGAGATTGGGGGCAAGGCAGCACGCGCAGCGTACGACAATCAAGAAGTCATGCGGCATATACTGGAGCTGGTCGATCGGTCAACGCTCATCAGCCTCTTCCGGCTGGAGAAGGCGGCTTTGGGGATGGTGGCTGAGGTGGTGTACGAGGAGATTCATGTGGATTCTGCGCGCAGAATGAACGGTCAGAAGAATGTGAGTTGTTTCGTGCTGTGTAACATACGCCAAGAGACCATCCCTGAGAGGGTCAGACTAAGCGTGGCTAATTTGAGGTCTACTGGGAGAGTTATTGGCTAGAGAAGGAAGCTGACATTGCCAGAACCGTCACTTGATCTACTGCGCTTCGGTCAAATCACTCGACTATTCTCCTCTTCCAAGCACCGAGAACCCCAGCGTCGCTGCCGCTCGGCACTGGCTGGACGACCGGCCTGTCCGCTTCAACCCCAAAACCGTACACTCCGCGGTAACGAAATGGAGGAAGCGGTTTCCGCAATTGCGCACGCTGCGTTTTCTCAACCCGCCTAACGCGGAGGACGACGCCTACGAGATCGACATCTACTTTGATCGCATCATCGTCCACCTCCTCAGCCGACACACCTTCGACGTGACCAAGCGCGTCCCATCCTCTCCCTCCGGCTCCTGCGTCTTTCCAGCAACTCCCTCCTGGCCCGGAATGGAAATCCGCCACAATATCGGCGTGCGCCTCGTTCACGCACGGCCCTGGCTCGATCCCCGTCCGAGAAGTTGGACAAACTGGCTATATCGCAACTCTCATCTCGATCAACGGGTCACGGGCGTACGAGTCTACGAAGGCTTCCCCTTCCCAGTGCCCTTTCGGCTCATTCTTCGCCTGCGCTACCAGACGGGCGGGAGAGATCGGCGAACCTATCACGGAAATGTCGCTACCAATCGACTATCTGGCCGACAATGACAACGGGCCTCTCATGGTGAAGCGCGTACAGCTCTTGGCAGCTTCGGTAGGTCCGTGCCTTCGGACCCTCGACTTGCACTTAATCGATGCGCACGTCAAGAAAGCGGCCGATTGGACGCAGATGATCGCTACTCTCGACCAAGTTTTTCCCTTACTCGAGCACCTCATCCTCACCGGAATTCTCCCGTGGTATGCCCTGGGCCCACCTCTGGACGGCATGCGGTCTTTGCGCACACTCACTCTGGAGGCGTACTGTACCCAAGCGGAGCTCGCGGAGTATGTTTGTCGGCTGGGCAGCGGACCCTGTATATACCACAACCTCTCCCTCAAATCGGCTCGAGAAAGCGAGGACTTCAACAATCTCGTTGCGGAGTACAGATCGTGAGTTGTGTATTTGAAAGATGGGGTTGGAGCTGATGAGCTAGGAGATACCTCAGTGAGAAATGAGCTGCCGGAGAATGTCGGCCGAGTCTGAAGGGGTCATGTAAAGCAGTGTAGGTCGGACTCTGGGGTCTAGCTGATCAATCCAGCGCTTACGGTCAATCACAGCCTATCAGTATACGTCGTCCGCGGCGGTCGAAATCATCAAGAGGCGGGGGATGTACTGGGAGCCGAGACGAACAGACTCCGTAGATGGGACATGCATTCTCCGCATTATATGCGCCTTGCTCTTTTCTCATCGACAACGACACGGGAAACTTACGCTCGTTTGCGCTTGCACCGTGCCCGAGCAGGAGCAGACAGCTGGGCCGCATAGCAACCAGTCCAGCGGACAGGAGGGTTCCGTCGAACCCTCGCGAGGCATGTGGAGCTTGACGCGTCTTGAGCGAAACGCGCTAGAGTCCCTCTATTCATCCATTCATTAGATACAGCTTGCCTTCTATGTCAACACCAGTACTGCCAGCGCGTCTGTCTGGACCGCTATCCTTGGTGACTGGACCCCACGCTCGTGCGGCTCAGGCGCAGACGACAATGTTGACCCCGTCGACAGGTCCCAACACGGGAGCTTCCAGCCATGTATCGCAACCAGGCGCGGCGGGAGGAATATGGCGTCCACCACCTCACGGCGATGCGGCTGTTCCCTCCGCAGAGCAGAATAGCAGAGAAAGCCTCCTAGCTCCCGGCGGCCCAGCCCACGGCGCGACGAGTGCTACTACCGTCAAGGGGTCGAGCAGCAAGGTAGTCCCAGGGAAGAAACCGGCACAGGTGAGACTAGCTCAACACGAAGAGCAATGATGAAGGCGCAAGCTGAAGCTCTAGCCTGTCATCATACCTGCTCCGCCATACAATCCGGATACCTACCTCGACATATCCCCTCGATTACCAATCTCATGGCTCATCTCACGTACCAAGAAGGATTACAACACCTTTGGCATTAGCAGTGACTTCTTCATGAGCAGTCACCTCGACGCGGCCGTAGAAAAGGGGCTGAAAAGGAATGCCAAGCTGCAGACGCTCGACTATCTTTCCCCCCTTCCATCCTCTGATCACCCATACATCATACACCTGCGGAAGGGCAAGCAATGGATCGTCGAGTACGAAAGCCAGTACAAGATCGACGTCGGTAGGCCTCCGCCCCTCCCGGGCAAGCCATACAAGGACCTGCCCGCTGCGCCCAGGCCGGTCAGGGGGCGGACGTCTCGTCACACCATCGCGGTGAGATTGGCCAGCTACAGCGAGATGTCGCAGACGGACTGGCCCAGGTGGAAGGAGCATCGAGCGGGATGGAAGGCGTGGCTCCTCGATCCAAGGGCGGTCCGGAGGATCGTTGGCGTAGACCTCCATAGCGCATTCGAGGAGCCGGACGTCACACTGGACGAGACGCTGGCCTGGCTGGCTGCTCGTCGGCGCCTCGAATGTGAGCCCATCACCTCCGTCTACCTACCCTGTCCAGGCAACGTCACCCTCGACCGCGCCCAGGCAATCATCTCATCCCTACCGCTCGAGCTTCGATCTCTCTGGATCGCCGAGTCCATCCTTACCCCCTTCTCCACCACACAACTCGCTTTCGACGCTCGAGGTCGAACTCTCCCTCGGCTCCGCGATCTCGTCGTCTTCTCGCCCGCGTCCGAGCGGTCCATGTACACGTCGCCAATCTCTGGTCTCCCCACGCTCCGGACGTTTTCGTTCCATCACAATCGCAAAGCTCCGCCCGAAGCCGCACTGGAATCTGCGCATCTTTTTGCTGGGATCGCAACCAGGCAATGCGTCTATCAGGATATGGACATCCGGTATGACAAGGATTGCAAGCCGTTTGATGATGCAGTCAGGCGGGCGAAGGGGTGAGTTCTTCTCTTTATAATCTCTGCACCCACTTGATACAAAGAGCTGATGGTAGAAGGTGTGCTTGAGCTTGCTCCTGCTTTATGCGGCCTCCAAAGCTCATCGGACGGATATATCGGGCGGATGCGGAGGGCATCAGCGGACGCACAGTCAGGGGTCAGTGCCGGGTGTAGTTTCAGAGTGCGATGTATGATTTCGGGCTGATTGGCGCGCCGTCCGAGGACCGTGCAGTAGGCCTTGCGCGCGCAAAGAGCTACCACAATCTGCCGAGGTCCGAGCCACACTGCACTCTCTTCTGAGGTCTCCTCTGCCCCATACTGACTTGCGCACAAAGCGCCACATTCCTCGTCGCAAAATATTCCGCCGAAGCCAACTGGGACCCATCCGAGCCTAGCCTGACTTTGTCAATCATCTTGACCTCTCAGGGCAGACTTTGTTCCCTCGCACTTCATTCAGTGAGTCCATTCGATGATAGTAGGAGATCAGAGGAGCCCTCTTTGGCTTGACTCAAATAGCCACAGCTGATCCTTCTCAGCCATCTCCTCCCTCGGTCCACCACCGTCCTACCCAGCTCCGCTCATCACCGGTCCCCCTCAACCCACTCCACTCATCCACTACACAACTGTCCGAGCCGCTAGATACACGCACCACGCACTCCATTCCTGTCCCACCGGCATGCCTGCCCGCGCGCACCAAGCGGATGAGCTCCGCATCATCTCACCCGGGGGCAGGGCGGCCAAGGAGGTCTACGCCACGGTGGAGATCCGCTTGATGGTCATCGAGCTCCTCGATCAAGCTACCCTCGTCAGTCTCATAGGACTGCACCGGGCGGGAATGGCGGTAATAGCGGGGATGATATACAAGGACGTCCATGTGGACATCATGCGCAAGTTCCATCGGGACAAAAATGTGAGTTTCGCCCCTTCACGCAATGATCATAGCACGGCGGGCTGATTTTATTCAAGGAGATAGCGCGGGAGCGAGCTGATCCCTTAGCCCCGTCATATGGTCTACCTCGATGCGGTCTCCGTGCTTGACCGCTCCGTCCCGCCTGACCCAAATTGCTCCGGCCTAACCTCCCTCAATTATCTCACGAAACGACCCGCTCGGTTCAAGCCAAAGATCGTCCTCCGACAAGTGCGCGGTCTCGTTAAGCGCTTCCCGAACGTGCGGACGGTGCACTACAAATCCGCTCCGGATCCTAGAGATGACCTATACACTCTAAGCATCTCTCGAAACAACGGGGTCACCGGGATCGCCGTTGAGGTTGTTTCACCCCTATACTACGACATATCTCACCCACCTCCCCCTGCATCCGGTCCTCGGGCCCTGCCCACACGGCCGTCCCGCCAGGGTTCATACTTCAAACATCGCATCGTCCTCCATATTGGCAATTATCACTCCACGCTCGGCTCCGTGCAGGTTCACGCCGCTGCCCCCCACCTCGTGCCTGTCCCTTTTCATGCCCTGCCGACCGTGTGGAGAGATTACTTGGGTCATTGGAACAAGCAGGTGGACCCGCAGATGCAAGGGTGCCGCATCGGCCCGCTCATCCATGCGCCATCGTTCGAATACATCCTCTATCTCGTCACTCGGCATCTACACGTGCGCGCGGCCATCACTACGCTCAGAATCACCTGCCTCTATGGCCAAGGGGAAGGCGTGGATCTCGACAAGACGGGGTCTACGATCCATCTTTTCGTCCCATACAGCAAACTGAAGCCACAGTCCTTGCAGGTGTTGGAAAGGAGATTCCCCAACCTCTAAAGGCTGGTCATCGAAGGCGATACTTCTTCTCGGTCCCTTACGTGGGTTGACCCACCACCTCAACCTAATCCGTTGTTCGATCTGACCGGACCGCCCCTGTACGGCCTACCATCCCTTCACTCATTTCAATTCACGTTACGCGGTCACCAGGATGACGGAGCGCTGGCCAAGTACATCTGCGGCGTCGGGCGTCCGGATTGCATCACTCGGAACCTGGCGGAGTCTAGACCGGAGGAGATCGGAAGATTTGACAAGCTGGTCGAAGAAGAAAGGGCAAAGGCGTAAGTTTGCTCCTGCCCCAGTGGGGTCTCGTTGACAGCTACAAGGAGACAGCCGGCGCTCTAGTCTGGATGGAAAGCGGATGGAGGCGTTCTGCTGGGACAAGTCGAGTGTCCTGCGTGCGATGTGCGTGAGATCTCGCTAGCCGGCACATGTAAAAGCTAATCCTGATAGTAAGCGCATACTACAAATGGTCTGGGATATCGCAAGGACATGCGGGGGCAAAGAGCGGATCAAGTGTTAAGGTGGTAAGATCGAGGTGCGCAACAGGGGGAGCTGTATGGGGTGTGACTGCGCAAGTATGGGTTGTGGATGTTGTACTGGTATATCTATCCTTCTTGATCATGCTAATATCTCCTGCGTTTCTCCTGCCTGTATGCGAGGTTGCTGTGGAGTCTCTTGCAGTAGCCGATTTTCCAGCAGAAACTTCCGAGGAGCTTCAGTCTAGCAGGGTAATCTGAGAATCACCAGCTCAATTGCGTATCCGGACAGCTCCTCATTCCTCGTTTTGCCTTTCATCCAACCCTCTATCAGCCCTTCGACTGATCGGACCTTTGCGCACCCAGCAGCCTGTATATCAGGCGTAGACAACGATCTGTCACTCGTAAGTGTGCCATCTTCAGCCAAAGACGGCTCTACCGGTCATCCAGCGCCGATCACCCCTAAACACGACTCCCCTTCACCCTCCTCCTGCCCTCCCTCCCCCCTTGTCACCCTCTTGGCCGCATCGTCTCCACCTACCGCGTCATCGCCACTTACTCCAGCACGGAACTATGCAACATCCCCACGGCTACAGCGCTGCGCGCGCCGTCTATGACGCCCTCGAACTCCGCTTTGCCGTCTATGACCTAATCGACCGGACCACCCTGGTGACCTGCATGAGGCTACACAAGGGTGGTATGCTGGCTGTGGCGAAGTGTTTGTATGGGGAGGTGCACATCACACGCATGCAAGGTATGAATCGCAAATCCGTGAGTCTCCCGCGTTTCGATGGTGGACTGAACTTGATGAACGGGAGGGAGGGCGGGTTGCGGCTATCAGAGCCAAGCGGGATCATAGCTGACCTTGTAGCTCTTTCATCAGATTTATCTGGACTCGGTGCGCATTCTTGACCGGTCATGCGACAAGCCAAGACCCGACGAGTTCCAGCTCGAGCCCCCCTCCATCCGCTTCTCTGCTGGGTCCGCGCTGCGTCAGCTAGCGACCTTACGCCGCAGATTCCCTTCCCTCCGTAGCGTACTCTATCAAGAGACGGCTCATGACTCTGACGACGCCTTTGACATCCACATCATTGGCGATACCATCCACATCCATCTCGAAAGTCGCCTCACTACGGACATCTTCTTTCCCCCGCCACTGTCAGCCACCGGGCGCCGCAACTTCCCCACCACTCCCAACTACCCTGGCGTCGTCCTCCACCATACAATCTCCCTGAGGGTCGAGAATCAGATCGGGAAGGGAGATGAGACAGCCTCTCGCGAGACCGAGTGGCGCTCTTGGCTCTACGGGGACGTACGTCTCGACGCACGCGTGCGAGAGTTGCGGCTGGCCACAGCTTTAACTCCGGACTTTGCCAACATCACCACGTTACTCGGGCGCCTCAGTGCCACTTTCGAGCACAATGTCCTCGAACTTCACATCGTCATCACCGATGCCCACTATGGTGTGCCGGGCCCCATTCATATACAGCCCGTGCCTGTCCTTCTCCAGGCAGATCCGGATCTTCGGCGGATCGATATTCGCATGCCCGGACACATCTTCTTCGGTCGGGGCAGTGCGAGGACCCAAGACGTCCTTGATATCCTAGATGCCCAAGTCCCGACTCTTGAGCATCTCAGCATCCACCCCGACCCCAAGTCCGCCTATAAATTCCGGTGCATCGACACGGTATGGGCCGACAGACAGTCCCCTCGCGCCTACGCGCCGAGGCTACGTTCGCTCGTCAGCTTCGCTTTCACGCTTCATAACCACTATATCGACGCTCAGCTGGTCGAGCTTCTGAGTTGGGTGGGGAAGGATGCGTGCGTGTACTATGATGGCATTAGTCATCTCGCAGGGGCACTCAACGTGGCGGTAAGGACTGTGAAGGCCGAGTTACGAGGTTAGAGCGTGAGTCATGTTCACCGTACCTGCAAACTATCTGAGCTGACTCTCGTAGTATGGACATCTGGGCGGTAGGGAAAGGAAGCACAGTAGTTGCTGTACCGCTTCACCTCATTGTACATTCCCATCTCGCTGTTCGGTATTTCTCGTTTCGCTATGTCAGTCATATCGCTTCAACGCTCCTTACGTCACAAGATGCATGTACATGCATCAAGCGTTGAGTGCTGCTTCCTCTTCAGCGTCCGCAGCATCTCCTCCTTCCTGCATCTTCACATCCCCACTCTCTTCCTCCTCTATCACCACACCATCCACCTTTGCGCCTCCAGCAACCCCCTCGTCCTCCTTGACCCGCTTCGCCCCTTTCCCCTTGCTTGCCCCTTCCCCCTCCCCTCCAGCCCCATCCGCCTTGCGTTTCCCCACCGCCGCCGCCACCTGGCTCTTCGCACTATTAGGCACCTGCTTCGCCCTCGGCGCCGGGCCCCAATTCGCCTCCGGGTTGGTCTGATACCGCACCAATTTCGAGTCAGAGCGTTCGAACCGTTTGGCCTCGGGGTGAGGGGTGAGGTCGACCGTATGTCTACGATATCAGCTCGTTGTGCTGCGCAGGTCTCCAGCACGAGGGGGAGAAGAAACATACGTCATCTCTCTCGACAACAACTCCCTCGCCGGACTCCCCTCTGCAATCTTATCCATCCTCACCGGATTCGTCTTGATAAACTCCCTCACGCAATCATACACAAACGATCTGGGACCATTGGTCTTGATACTCCCCTGCGAGGCGTGCGAGCGCGAGACGGTATAGCCCGCATTGAGCAGAGCAGAGCTAACGTATCAGCTTGCTTTTTCCTTGCTCCCGGAAGAGAGAATTGGACAGCGTACATGATATACGATGAAGGTCCGGAGGAAGCGTGGAATAGCCCGTGGATCTTGTTGGGGGTGAAGTAGAAGAGCTCATCTATTTCCTATACTCGTCAGCTTACCTCACACCGCTGACAGCGAGGAAAAAGCTCACATCTCGCGCCATAGTCACCATACCCTGTATCCTCGGCCATGTCTTGTACTCCGCTTCTTGCCCCGCTGTACTTCGCAGTACCCGCTCCGCAAAGGCCTTATCTTGTAATGGTCCGAGCCACATCGGCCCGCCAAGCTGAGAGATCAGCTTCGCTCATTCGCTTCAAGACAAGCAAAACCAAGCTCACATGTGTTGGCTGTCCGCAGAGCTCACATCCCCCTCCAGGGATAGTCGGGCCCGGAGCGGTCCTGTACAATCTAGTCGTCTTGCCGCTCTTCTCTTCACGGTCGACTATCCGCCCAAAAGGCTGAGGTGTAGGTGCTTGGCAGTATCGACAGACGTAGATCGTTCCGATTTGGCTAGCTCGTCAGCTCAAGACCTAGGGGAAGTAAACGTAGCCGCGCGCACCTGCTCAGTGATTTCACTTTGAGTGGTTGTGTATCCACCCGTACGAATACTCGGAGGTAATAGTCGATACTGAAGCTGAGGAGGGGGGTGATGTATCGGCCATACCGCGCGGCCGCTTGTGCGAGACCGGACATGACGAGCCGGAGGGCGACTTCGTGTGAGTATTCAGCGGCGACGCACGTTCCGCCATAGTTGGAGAAGCTGGATGTCAGCTGGATGCAGGATGCTGGATCAGACACCACGCTGGACGTAGCTCACCATTTCTCTGGATACTGACTCCCTGCGAGGACGGCCAGATCTGTGCATGTCACGCAGAGCAGCCCGCCGTCGGCTATACACCCTATTGCGGCGTCCACGAAGGGCGCGGCGGTACCGTATGGATCCAAGTCGACCACGTCGCATCGTGCTACTGGCGCTCGACGAGCGTACATCAAAGAGCTGACGGTCAGCTAGTTCCCCCAAGGATCGTAAGAGGTTAGCTCACCAAGCATCCCCCTCATTAACGATCACCCGTCCCCTTGCTCCGTCCCTCCGCCCCACCCTAATCATTTCCTCCTGTATCTCCTCTACCGTCTTCAGCTCCCCTAGCGCAGCCTCCCCGCTTCCGGCTTGCGCTCCGGCGCTCGGGCCAGGGACAGATCCCTCCGCACTCGGAACAACCGGTTTCCGCCGGTACACGCTCTCGCCGACGCCATTGAAGGCGACGTTCTGGCGCATGGCCTCGCACGCTGAGGGTGATATATCATTAGCGAGGACGTATCTGCAGATCAGCTGGGGCTCCGCGAACACGACGCAAGGGGTCGTGTCGACTGACTTGACATCTGGGATCTCTTTGGCATAGCGGATAGACCGCAGACCGGTGGCTGAGAGAGCTTCGAGGATGGTGAATTGCTGCGCTCGGAATTCCGCCTATCTAGTCAGCTGACGCCAGTATCATAGCTCTGAAATTCATAGCTCACCGGTTCTGAAGGTCCAGCTTCAGGTTGATCTATCACCTCTGCATGATCCCGCGCTTCAGGTCCTAACGATCAGCTTCATCGCCATCCGCGCGATCTCTCGACCTCACCAGTCCCGGCCGCAGCTCCACTACCCTCTCCTCCCTTCGCCGCCTTGGCCTCCTTCCTCTTCCTCGCCTTCTCCTTCTTCCTAGCCACCGCCTCCGGCTTGGCCTCTATCCTCTTCTTCCACTTCTCCTCCGCCTCCTCTTTCCGCATCTCATTCCACGCCCTAATGACCGCAATCGACAGATCCCGATTGTACTGCTGGACAGGATTGAGAAAGGCCGTATTGGCCTTTGGGACGAGGATGGTCGTTGTGGACTCGGTGTGGTGTGTGTGAGTCGAGGGGATACCACCGGGCAGGGGGACGGTATATGGGATAGAGGACGGGCCGGAGCTGGACATTCTTGCTGATGCTGTTATGGAGCGAGCTGTTGACCTGATCAGAGGTGTGAGGTGGCTGGTTCTCAGCATACACCTATAGCTGATATAGTGGGGTGCAGTGGTGGTGTGGTCGAGCTGGAAATTCTAGAGTGGAGGTGGTCCACACCTTGACTCTTGACACTCAGCCAAAAAAGCCACGTCATCTCGACGCGTCCCAGTCTCCATTGTTGACGATCGACGCGTCTAGTCTTTGGCCACCTTCTACTCCTCTCATGTCCTTCTTCTCCTACCCCTAGTACTTCCTCAAGCTACCCCCCATTCCCCATCCACCCACTGGTATCCGCCTCCATAAACACACACACCCAGCAGAAGCATATCCCATCATGGTGAGCAGCTTCCCCGGCTTGTAATGGAGCCCAAGCTGACATTTCTCCTTCTTTCCCTCGCTTCTGCATTGCCTTCTACTAACAGTCCATCGTGAGCTTTTTCTCTCTCAGCCTTCGAGAGATCGTAGCTGATATACAAGGTCAATATCCGTAATATCGAGCTGGTGAACAACCCGGCCATGTTCGACGATGAATACCACTTCCGCATCAAGTTTGAGGCTATCGCGCCACTAGTTGAGGGTGGGTGTTGCTTTCTTGTTCTGTCAAAAGCTATTAGAACACAAGCTGACCCGGTAGACCTGGAATGGAAGCTCATCTACGTCGGATCAGCCAAAAGCGAAGAATACGACCAAGAGCTTGATAGCTGTATGGGTGCGCATCTTCCTTCCTTCCTTCCCTCCCTTCCGCCTCCCACTCTCGTCAGCCCTTTCCCGAGCTGACCTAGCAGTCGGCCCCGTTCCAGCCGGAATCAACGCCTTTGACTTTCAGGCTCCCGCACCCGCCCACCACCTCCTCCCTTCGCAAGAGCACGACGAGATCCTCGGGGTAACGGTCATCATCATCACGGCGTCGTATCGGGACAAGGAGTTTGTCAGAGTGGGATACTATGTGAATACGTATTATGAGGAGGAGGCGTACAAGGAGAATCCGCCGGCGAGTGTGGATTGGGCAAAGCTGCACCGGAATGTGTTGATTGAGAAGCCAAAAGTTACTAGGTGAGCTAGCGGGAGCCGGCGAGAGTAGCAAGTAAAGGATAGGAGGGAAAGGGCTGATGGGCAGATTTCAAAATCCCTGGGACTCGGCCCTTGCGTCGTTCGGCGGCGCGCAAGAGCAACAACAACAACTACAGCTTCAGCAACAACAGCAGCAGCAGCAGCAGCAGGAAATGTCATTTGGCGGATCGAGTTCGGGCATGTCGAGCGAGATGCTGTTCTCGGCACCGTTACCTGCACCGGTGGTGAAGGCGGAGTCGGCGTTTGGGGGCGGAGGGCAAGGGGGAGGAATGGAGGTGGATGCTGCATAGGCAAAGGCAAAAGCGGCAAGAGGGGAAAGGGAGAAAAGAACCCACCTCTCGGCTAGGTGGCCTACCTCGATGGCCGTGTGGGAAGAAGGAATCTCGAGAGGCAGAAGTAAGGAGTGATCTGTACGATAGCTATGGACGTTTTCCATTCTACATAGAGAGAGAGACTATCGAGTCGTTGTCTGTACGCGTATTTTATGCATCGTCAAACCCAATCATTCTGTTTTGCCCGACCACCCACGCTGATGATAGACCTGCATAATACTGCTATACTGCATGATGTCTATCTACTCTACGATGGTTAATGATATATAACGTCTCCCCTACTTTCCCCGACGCACTCCACTCTACGCCTTCTTGCCCGTATCCTCCTTCAAGCTCACAATCCTATTAAGCACGATCCGATCCCCCTCCTTCACCTCTTTACCCGCCGTCCCCTCCTTCAACCCCCTCACCTCGCTCTCCCTATCCAACGCGAAATACGCCAACCTCATTCCCTGAAATCTGACGTTCTCCACCCCATACAGACTGTCCGCCAAAACAACCGGCTCGTCCTCGTCTCCTTCGACCCTACTCTGGCTCTCCATCTCCTTCTTGGCCTTGGCGGTCCGCTCCTCACTCTCCCTCTTTGCATCACCCAACAGCTTGCCCGCCAACCCGTAAAACGCCGGCTCGACCACCGCCCCCTTGTACACCTGTACCGAGTCGGCATTGACGTCGTGCTCAAAGTCCGCGGGGGGCGGATCCGAGCGGAAGAGGGGATGAAAGTATCGGACCTCATCGATCCGGACCGCCTCCTTGGCGTTCACCCACTGGATGTACGCCTTGGCCTTCTTGGCCGTCGCTGCGTCCTCCAAGACGCACTGGATCTCGGAGACCGATCCGTCCGAAGCGAGCGTGTACGACGTGCACGTGACGGGTGCGGGCGCCTTGAAGAGACCGACCGACTTGCCCGGCGCGAGCCGGAAATAGTCGGGCGAGTCTTCCACCCGGAAGTCGTCCGCGTCGATATAGAATTCCCGGGCGAACCGACTCTCCACGCTGCCCATGGCGGGGACTTTGGGATGGAGGGGGACCTGCACCGTGACGCAGTAGTCATCGGGCACGTTGGTGAGGACGACCTTGATGGGCTTCAAGCACATCATGAGGCGCGGCGCCGAGTCCTCGAGGAAGGACCGGATTGTCGATTCGAATTTGTGTAGTTCCGTAGTCGACGCCTGGACGGTGACGCCTAGCTCGGAAACGAAGCGGAGGAGCGCGCCGGGAGGGACACCGCGACGACGGAGCGCGATGATCGTGTAGAGACGGGGATCGTCCCAGTCCCCGACGAGTTTGGCGGTGACGAGCCGTGCGATCTTCCGTTTGGACAAAAAGGTGCCTTGGAGGTTGAGACGGGCGAATTCGTACTGCCGCGGCTTGTACACTTCGAGAGCGTCGCATAGCCATTCGTACGATTCTCGCGCAGAGATGAACTCGGTGGTGCAGAGTGAGTGTCTGTTATCAGCCATGATCCCGTCATTCCGAGACGGGACTCACGAGATATTCTCGAAAGAATCACAGAGGCAGTGCGTAAAGTCATATGTCGGATAGATCTCTAGCTCGTCAGTCCTTCCCTTCTGATCTCCATCTCGTCTTCACGTTGACTCACTCCACTTATCTCCCGTCCGATGATGAGGCGCCTTCTTGACACGATACGCGACCGTATCCCACATGTACGGATTCCCACTGCTCAGGTCCATCTTCATCCGCAAACACGCGGCCTTCTCGGCGTACTCCCCCTTGAACATCTTTTCAAACTCCGCGAGTGATTCAGAGGTGGGTCGATCCCTGTGCACGCAGGGGACGGGGTTTCCGTGCGATCCACCTCGGTCTTCTTTGATCTTCTCCGCTGAGGAATCAACTCTGCCTCAGGTCTACCAAGAAGGGGCTGGACCTACCATCGCAAGTACAGACATATGCCTTCCCCCGCCTTGTCAACTCCACCGCCAGCTCGTACAATCTCTGGAAATTATCACTCGAGTAGGTGATTTTCCACGGCTCAAACCCGAGCCATCGGACCGTTTCGAGGATACTCTGAAAGTAGCGCCCTTCTTCCTTTTCGGGGTTGGTATCGTCGAACCGGAGATAGCAGCGTCCACCGTGGAATTTGGCGTACCCGAAATCGACCATGATGGCTTTGACGTGGCCTGCGTGTCAGCCGAAGCCTGAGCTAACTCATTACAAGAGGTGGACATACCGATATGCAGATACCCATTGGGCTCAGGCGGAAACCGCGTCAACACCCCACCCTTCGTCCATTCCAAATGCCGCTCCTTGAGCTCTGGCTTGATCTGCGGGTTCTCTCCGGGTTTGTGGAATTCCGCCAAGAAGCCCTCCTGGAAGATATTGGTAGGTATGGCCGGACCGCTCCCGCTCGATCCCTCCGCCGTCGCTGCAGCCACCGCGGGTGCAGGCTTTGTTTTCGGCGCAGTAGGTTTGGCCTTGGCCGCTGCGTTGGCTTGTGCACGGGCAGCGGCGGCGGCTTCTTTTGTGCCGAACAGTTCTGTGAAGAGCGTTTCGAGGGATGATTTCAGGTCGGCGGCGTTGGCCCATCTGCTTGTCAGCGTCAGAGGAAAGGGAGGCGGAGAGAAGAGGACGTACTTGAGGTCAGAGGTACTGCTCTTGACGCCGCCGAGGAGAGGTCCAAAGTTTGTCCAGCTATCAGGAGGGGTAGGGAGGGTCGAGATGTAGGATTTAATGAGCGAGGGGAGATCCGAAGATGTGATGTTGATTCCTGAGTATGAGCCGGGGCTATACAGAAGAGTAAAGGACGCAACGTACCGACTCCGCAGGTCTTGTCGAACTCTGCTTCGTTGATGGGCGTCCCGGCGGGGTTTGGCTCCAGGTACTTTATAGCGGCTGTACAATGAGCTCTTTTTCCCAGAATTGGGTCTATACAGCCTGGAAGAGGTTCGCAGCTCACCAGTGACCTGATCATTACTCGTAACATCCCCCTTAATCACCTTCTGAACCGCAAACCCCTTCTCCGCCTCGCCCAGCTTCCCACCCCCCACTGCCAGCTTCACCAACGCCGACGCCGTCTTCTCATCCAGCGTCTCCTTGTCCAACTGATACGCTTCAATCAGAGCTTTGACGGCCGCGCCCTGCTTGGGCTGCCGGACGAGCTCGGTGGCTGTAGCGGGGGAGAGCCCGAGTTTGGTGAATTGGGCGTGGAGGGCCTGGTTGGCCGGTGAGTTCGGGTCGAGTTTGGGTGGCATCTTCGAGCCAGCTCTTGTGGAGGTAGTAAGATGCCAGGGAGGGGAGGGGATGATAGGTATATAGCAAAGGGAGGTAAGGGTTGATAAGGTGAATTTCAAGGTCAGGTCGAGTCGGTGCTGCTGCGTTCCGGTCCTCAGCCTCAGCCAAAATGTCCACGTGGTCCAAGGCTTAGGCAGTTCCGGGGGCACTGTAACGTAACGACAACAGCCACCCGAAGCAGCAGCAGCTCCAGTCCACTCATGTCAGCTGCGTCACTCCTGCTTTCGTACTTCTATCTCATCTACATACCAACAGCTCGACAACCATCGACAAATACAGCAGGAGACAGGCAGTCAGTTCCCTCGGTTTGCCATCCTATCACTGGAAAACACGTCTCGATCTCCCTGCTACCCAGCATCACCGCCCGAAACCCCCTCATCATGTCATCCTCCCCTCCCTCCTACGAGCTCCCACCGGAAACTCAATTTCGCCCCGCAGGGCCAGACGAGGACTCTCAGGAATACAGTGTCGAAACACTCCTCGCCGAAGATCCAATCGGGCGACAATACCTCGTCGCGTGGGAAGATATCGACCCCAGTACGGGCCGGCGGTATCGGCCCTCCTGGGAGCCTAAAGAAGCTTGCACGAATGAGCTCATCCGGCTATGGAAGATAGACCTCGCAAAGGGAAAAGTCAAGGTTGGAAAGACGTACGGCGCCAAGGTGTTGAGGGAATGGGATCGAGACAACAAGAACAAGCCCAGGGCGAGTAGGGTAAAGCAGGAGACGAGGGAGGGGAAGAAGGCGGAGCGGAAGCAGAGGAAGGCGGAGGCTAAGGGGACTTCCGCTGCTGCTGCTGCAAAGAGCACGGCGGGCGGGTCGAGGGAGAGAAGCAAGGCGTCCACGGTCGAGCCTGAACAGGATGAGGAGGAAGAAGAGGAGGATGGGATGGAGATTCTGATGAGTGATGCGGAGGTGGGTAAAGGGGAGGGCAAGGGGAAAGCTCCGGCGAGGCAGACGAGCGCAGTGAGCGAGACGGACACGTCGTCGCCTGTAGCTGGAGGGAAGAGGAAGCGGGGAGGCAAGGAGAATGACGATGCTCCGGCTGTGAAGAAGACAAGGGGGAGACCGCGTGAGTCCCCTTATTCAGTTTACTTGGACATGGCTGATGCGCAGCTCGTCAAGCCTCAGAAGCATCCGACGTCCCTTCCATCACCTCCATCAACTCTTTGAACAAGCGGAACGCTCCTCCACGCCACGCCAAAGTCCCCGAAACCAACGGCAAATCCCCTCCCATCGCCTCTCGCATCCGGAGTCGCTCTGCGTCCACTACCATCTCCGCCGGCGCTGCTGCTGCCGCTGCCGGACCTTCCAGACCCACCGCTAAAGCAACCACCTCCGCTGCGGGCTTGCCCAAGTCCAGCATGGCTACTGCCCCCGCGACGAAAAAGAACGCCCGGTTCGCGGTCGACCCGGACGATGAGGGCGCGGATTTCCACCCGGACAACGACAACGAGACCGAGCTGGACGACTATCAATCCCACTCGGTCTCTCCCGAAACCACATCTCGGGCCGCGGAGACCAATGCAAAACTCGCGAGTGTCATCCGGAATCTCGCGGACGGGGCGACTCAGCCAGCGGTGGAGGAGGAGGGGATCGATCCGGAGGTGATTGCGCAGGCAGTACGCGAGTCCCAGGCTGCCGCTGCCGCCGCTGCGGCTGGGTCTTCCAAGCCTAAAGCCAAGCCAAAGCCTGCGCCTGAGCCTGCGGCCAAGACGTCGACGGTGATGGCGGGCCCAAGCCAGCATCCCACGGCCAAAAGGCTCGGACCCGTCGCTCAGCCCGATACGCAGGTCTTCAGGGATGCGGCGCGTGTTACCAAGACCACCGGCGGCGCAGACCTCATATCGGCCACACAGGCTACGGGTACGTATACCCAAGAGTCGATCCAGCAGTTCTCGAGCCCCCCTTCGCCGGATCAGTACGGCCAGACCGGAAGCCCGTCCCCCGGAAATCCGTACACTCAGCTGCCATTTGCTTCACGAAACGGCAAGGGCAGCGTTGGCGGCAGCGGCAACGTGAAGGGCCGAGCTATGGGCTCGGCGGCGGACGTCGGTCCTCAGGTCCTTGCCGATTACAATCAGTGGAAAGGTACCGGCGCCGCCAGCGGACAGGGGAAAGGGAAGGGGAAGGCGCCGCTTCCTCCGGCGGCCAGTAGCGATGACGAGGAGGAGGCGATCCCGCCTCGGACCGTCAAGCGGATGGTGGGCGGCCAGGAGTTCCTCGTTGCGCTCGACAGCGACGACGAGGATGAGGGGGCGCCAATACCACCTCCAACGGTCAGGGAAGAGCCGGTGGTTGCTGAACCGATGGCGATGCCTGTGGAGCAGGATCAGGATATGGGATTGGACATGCCGGAGGTGGAGCAGCCGGAACCGGTCCAAGCACCGAGGCCGGAGATGGTGGATCGCGGAATGATGGTCGCACCTCCGCCGAAACCAGATATGGTGGACAGGGGATCGATGACGGATACGCCGGTCATTGTCGAGCCGGAGGCACTTGTCGTGCAGGCCGTGACTGAGCAAGTACAGGTAAGTGTCAGATCACCCCTTGTGTTGACTCAGGCTGACGCCCAGATCGCCCCGGCAGCCGCCTCCGACGCTGACCTCGGCGCCCAGCTTAAGGCGGTCCAGGACGAGCTGGCCGACACTCAATCCCGGAATACTTCCCTCACCGACGACCGCGACTTCCTCCGGAGGCAATACAACCTCGCCTCGGCCCATGTCGGCGAGCTGAGCCAGGACAAGCGCGATCTTTTGGACCAGCTCGAGATCAAGTCGCAGCAGCTCGCGCAAGGTCTCAAGCAGCGGATCATCCACGCCACGGCGGTCGCTTCGCGGGACGCGGCCGAGATCAAATCCCTCCAGAACCAGAACAAGGTGTTGCTGGACCAGGCAAGACGGACGGACGATGCCGTCCGGGCCAAGGCGGTACTGTACCCGCAGACGAAACGGGCGAACGAGGCGCTCGTAGAGGAGAATGCGGTGTTGAAGAGGCGGGTGGAGAACCTGAATCGGAGAAATGAGGAGTTGCGGGACCAGCTCGCTGGGCTGCGAGCGAGGCAGATGGGGATACTGTCGCAGTCGCAGGTGAACCAGGAGGAGGAGGGGTCGGGGACGGAGACGGAGACGGGTACGGAATCGGGGAGCGAGTATACGGATAGTGAGGCGAATCAGGATATGGCGGCGTTGGGGTATGCGACCCGCCCGATTAATATGACGAGCTCGGGCGAGATGATTGATCTGGGAGGTGTGGGGCAGCAGGGGGGCGGGGAGGGTGGGGAGGGCGGAGAGGGCGGAGAGGGGACAGGAGAGGAAGAGGGTATCCCGAACTCGGACGAGTGGGAGGTCAAAGTGGAGGAGGTGGAGATGGAGGTGGAGGCGGAGACGGATGGGGAGGGAGTCGGGTTCCAGTGTCAGATAAGGGGTCAGGGGGATGAGGTGTGCGGCAAGTTGCTCGAGAGCCGAGGGGTGAGTCTTTCTGTGCTTTCGGGTGGGATGGTGGGATCTAGCTGACGTTTATAGTATCTCCAGGAGCACTGGCGTACTACGCATCGGGGGGAGATGGTGCCTTTGTCGCAGTAGGGTCGCGCCGGGGCCGCAGAGCAGCAGATACGATCGTTGGGTCTCTTTTTGGGCTAATTCTGGGCGATTTCCATGGTCGGCGGGTAGTATATAGCAGAGATAAGAGGGGAGCAGAAAGGGGCGTGTAGGGGAGAGTAGGATAAAGAAGTCCAAGTGCGGCTGTAATAGAGTAGACCGGTCTTCGTGTGTATAGTAGCCTAATAATATTCGTCCTCAACAACCTACAGATCCATCTTCAACAGTCGCAACCGCAGAATGCGCCCATCTTCATACCCATTCCCCATCAAAGACATGCTTGACCGCCACCACGCCCTACACCCCATATTCCCCTAAGCCAGCGTGCACCTGCTTTCAACTCCCGTGCCCCTCAAGGTCTGCTCAGCTCAGTACATCTCCCCGACGTCCGTCACCCAATAATCTCCCCATTCCGAATGTATACACTTCTCCCTGACCTCCTCGTGGTAATCCTCGTCCTCAGGCCTGAGCGCCCAATCGTTCCCCCACCTATACGTTCGCCGATTAAGCACGTACGGCTTGACCTCTTTCGCCATCTTGGCCGTCTCGCGTGCCGTCTGGATACTGTGTACGTCGAGGTCTTGGTGGTACGTGTGTTTCCCGCCCAGACGGCACATGTACCTCGCGGCAAGGTCGATCCCGGCCGACTGGAGGTGCATGGTGAAGTTGCGAAGCTGGGGGATGCCGGAGAGTGGAGTTCGCTCGACATGGGACCGCTTGGCCCTGACGCCGTGGTGCTCCTCGTGCGAGATGGTGAGGCGGTAGAGGGAGGGAAGGTGCTGGTCGAGCGCGGCGATGGCGTGTTGGGTTTGATGGAGGTTCTGGATGATGGAGTTGCGAATGACGAGGTTCCGGATCGTGCGGGGGAGGAGGGATACGATCTCGTAGAACCGTTCGGGGGTGATGGGATCCGAGGGTGGAGAAGGGGGAAGGAAGAAGCTGGTCAGCGGCTAGCATCCCCCTTGCTGCCGTTGAGCGAGGAACGCGAGCGCCTCGTCCAGGGTAGGATCGATGGTATCCGTAGCGTACGGATCGACGAGTGGGATCCGGGAATAATTGCGGGAATGGTCCGGGTCCAGGGCGCGCATCTCTAGCATGTCCTTTCGCCGATCCCGGTCGTGCCCCGCCGTCGTCGACTCCCAGATCCACCTCTCGACACTCGTCACCCGCCTGTCCAGCTCCGGGTTGCAGTAGAGCCAATCGTGGATCCGCTTGAGGCGCTTCGCGAGTCCTTTCGGCCGGTCCTCCCAGTACCGGAGACTGTCCGTGTCCTGCGCAATCAACCGTATGGCGATGGTATGACGGACGACGACTCGTTGCTTTGGCGATGTAATGGCTCGAGGGAGACGTGGTGGATCGGGATTGAAGTAGTCCGTGTCATGAAGGTCGATCATGACCTTACTTTCCACCTCGACGACGACCTTGCCGTCCTCCCCGAAATGGACGGCCCAGGCGTCATCCTCGTCGTACTTGGGATAGAGGTTGAGGATGCTCCTCACGTTAGGCAGCTTCTTGCGGGCGGCCTTGACGACCTTGTTGACCGCTTCACCGTCAAAGGCCGCGCCTGGACGAGTGAAGGGAAAGGGCTTCTTCTCCGGCGCGAGTAGGTCCGGATAGGGTGAGCGATCGACGATTCTGACCGCGTCGGCATAGATCCTGCGTCTTGCCTGGATAATCAGCTGCTATCTTATACAAAGCGCTATGACACTCACATTGGCTCGGGACATCTTCTGCACGACACTCATATGCACCGTATGAAACAGCACCGCCGCCACGCTCTCAGAAACCGCCCGTTCTAGCCGCAGCATGAGGCCCAGCGTTGCCTGGTCCGACGCGCTGACGATCCGGCGCCAGATTTCCGGGGTAGAGTACGTCTTCCTTGCTGCTGGACCGCCAGGATGGAGGATGTATCGCGGGGGCGGCGTGACGCTGCCGACGCTGTAGTCCGAGCCGTATTCCTCCTCAGACTCTTGCTCGTCGGATCCGTCCTCTTCCTCTTCCTCCTTCTCCTCATCTTCATCCCCATCCTTACCACCATCGGCCTCCCCGCCCCCCTCTCCGTGCTTATCTGGCTCGTGATCTCTATCTTGCCCACCTTGATGAGCTCCGCCATCTCCATGAGGAGCCTGCGACGCGCTCAAGGTCCGCTGTCGCTTTACCTCACGAGGCGGGGATAGCGGCCGCAGCGTGGAGGCAGCCAGAGGATCAGATGCGGGTGCGTCGACCTCGAGCCTTGAGCGCTTGAGCCCGGACCGGCATGGTGCGTCGCTGGCGGATACATCACAATACTGGTGCAAGTGCAGAAGAAGAGAGAAATCGACGCGACGCGACGAGCGGCGGACGCGCGTTTGAGGACGAGGAATGCGGAGTCTGGAAATTTGGCCCCTCGGTGCGCTTCCCCATGATGCTGGACAGGCATAAGGTGAGGCTAGCACTTGTCTTACAGTTGGCTTCGTAAGGGGAAGAAGACGGATGTGATGAGCGGGAGGTATTTCATACAGATGCATTCCGGAGATAGTCGACCAAGATCCCGAGTCACCACATTCAGTAGTACCCCACTTTGCCCCACTCTGATCCGATCACTGAACACCGGTCATTCCCCCGCCTCGCCCTCTTTGCCTTCGCAATCGTCGTCGCCATCCCACCATCCTTATCGCCGCCATCATCGCCTCCTCAGTCTGCTCAGTCTTCCACCTCCGTCACCCAGTACTCTCCCCACTCGGACTGAACACACCTTTCCTTGACCTCTTCGATAAAGTCCGCCTCGTCCGCCCTGAACTCGTACCCATCCCCGTACCTATACGTCCGCCCAGACAGCACGTAAGGTCGTACTTCGTGCACCATGTCATTTCCCCACCCATAGATGCGAGCATCACACGCGCACACATCTGTCACGGGGGAGGGCTGAGTGCGCGGGATCCTAAGCTGGGCAGGTGAGGAAATGGTATGCAAATGAGACTATGGCAAGATTAATGTAAAAGCGGATGAAACATCTACAAGTCCCGACTCATCCCTCCTTTTATATCTCGCTCGCCGCTTCCAGATCATCCTTCCAGCGCCTTCCATGATGACATATGCTGATGGCGAGTGGGGTCGAAGATACTGGAAGGGCGGGGAGGCCGATGGAAGCTGAATCGATGCTGGTAGAAGGTGGTAGAAGATGGTAGAAGGTGGTGGAAACTGCGAGGAATTTCTGGAAGGTTCCGGGGGAGAGGGGGAATTTGAGGAATGAGGAGGCGAGGGTTCCGGCGGAATCGTTTTGGCTGGTCCGTGCGTGGCTCTAGGTGACAACATCTTGGTAATATCTGGTCCGGTTCCCAAGGCGGCAGAGAAACCGGCAAGTTCCTCCTGGGCCACGCCCATATCCTCATGCGGCTCGACCGAGACAACCCGGGCGGATTCCCGGCCGTCCTCAACTACCATCTTAAGACCGCCCAGCGCCGCCTCCACGTCGGCGCGGACTTCCCCCTCGCAGACTGGCTCAAGTGGGATTCCGAAGCTTTCGGACGGGACTTCCAAAGCTTCGCCAACGCCTACGCCGCTGCCCGCGCCATTGTCCCTACCCCTTCTACCCCCAGTGGCCGGCAATCCGCCTCGGTGTATCGTTCCCCCGCGTCCGTTGGCGTTTTCCGCCTGTCCTCTACCGGCAAGGTGACTTCCCAGAAACCCTGTTTCCTTTGGAATAGGATGGAGGCCTGCATGGGCGACGCGTGTGAGTTCAAGCACGTGTGTACGTCGTGCGGCGGGTGAACTTCAGGTTCGGCGCCCAAGAGGGCTCGGTGGTCGAGGTAGGGGGCGCAAGAGACAGGACGGAAGTAGGAGGATGGAGCATAGGAGAGGGGAACCGGGGGAGAAGCGAGTGGGAGGCCAGAGGGGAGGAGGAAGAGAGGTAGTTGGGATGCACATCGGGGGTAGTCCCTCCGCTAATGTCGCTAACCTAGTTTCGTAGTCTTGGTAGACCAGACAACGGGACGCGCTCGATCTGGGACCGCTTGCACCTCTCGCCGTTGATGGGGTCGTGTATGATGGCCAATCGGGTGAGGTAGGGAAGAGCGTAATCGAACGCGCGGATGGCAGTTTGGGTGTTGGGGAGGTTTTGAATGGCCGATCTGTGGACGTGAAGGGTGCGTATGGAGGGGTGGAGTGCCGCGACGATCTGGCCAAACCGTGCGGGGGTGACGGGGTCGACGGAGCTGGATGGGGGGATGTGGAAGTGAACGAGAGGGGAGTTGCCGTCCCGCTTGCGCCGCTCGAGAAACGCGATGGCTTCTTGGACCGTAGGGTCAATCCGCCGAGTGGAGCGCTCATAGTCTGCGCCCCAAATATGCCGCTTTTCCAATTCCGGGTTGACGGGATAGACCCCGTGAAAGATGCTGACGACCCGCTTGTCGAGGTCCGGATTGACATAGAGCCAGTTCTTGAGCCGGGTGAGGTGGCCATCCAGCAGTTGTGGATGTTTGGCCCAGTACCTCCAGGCGTCCTCGTCCTGTACCACCAGCTTGATGGCTATGGTATTCCTGATCTCCATCCACTCGTACTTCGGACCCCGCTTAAATGGCTCCTCGCCCGGCTGGGGAACGCGCACGTGGATGTCGATCTGGTACGTGCGGATGAGGTCGACGATGATGCGCTCGCCCTCGAGATGGACCGAATAGGCATCATCCACGTCGTGCTGGGGAAACAGGTATTCCAGGGTATGCAGGCGGGGGTACTTCTTTCGGGCCGCCGCTACGTCCTTGAGAACGGCTTGGGGGTCGAAACGGACGACGCGCCGGTTTGTGGTTTGAAGCTTCCACTCGGGCGGGACGCGGACGGGAGGAGGGGAGCGGTCGACCGTGCGGACACACTGGCAGTACATTCTTCTCCTGGGCTAAAAAATCAGCTTAGGTCTCGGAACGGAGCAGTGATGGGCTGGGACAGTCCCGACCCACAAAGCCCGGCAGGTATATGATGGGACAGCGCCACTTACAGTATTCCTTCCCATCTTCTTCATGAGCTTCATCGGGATGTGCTCATACAGCACCCTCGCCACACTCTCCTCCAGCCCCTTCTCTAGCCTCATCATGGTCGACAATGTATCGTCGTCCATCCGCCGCAAAATCAGATCTCGGAGCTCCGCCGTCCGGTAGACTCTGAATGCCGCTGGACCGCCTGGACGTACGGGGAACCGTGGAGGAGGGGTAGGACTGCCCTCGTCGGAGTCGTACTCGTCCTCCTCGTCCTCGCCGTACCCTTCTTCATCCTCGTCGTACTCCCCTGCCCCGTCATCTCCGCCCTTGTCACCGCCCGCTGCCTGGCCCCCGCCTCCCCGATGTCCGGGACGTGGCTTCTGTCGGTTATCTTGACCGCGTCGCAATAGGCTGATCTCCTACCCTATCGCGTCAGCGCTTGCTATGTGGACCATGTTCCAGAAAGACGCTGAGGCAGAAAATTTACACTCGCTCTACTCATCTTGTTCACCATATTTTTATTGATCGTGTGGTAAAGGATACCAGCCACACTGGACGACCCCGCCTTGTGTAGCCGCAGCATAGTCGCCAGAGTACCCTTATCGAGCAGGCGGAGTATGATATCGCGTAGCTTCGGAGTGGTGAAGACTTCCTTGGCGGCCGAACCTCCTTGGACGATGATGTACTCCGTCCGACATGGCGCGAGCGTACGCCGGACGTGGGGACGCGTCTGCGCGAGGCCTATTACGAGGCCTAATTTCGTCAGTCTGGCCCAGCCCGTCATGCTCGACTGACATACCGTTAGCTGGAGTGGAGTCTGAATAGCTACAGGACTTGGTGTGCGAGATGCCACGCTAGGACTGATGTCGTTAGCCAAGTCCCACTCAATCTGTAGGTTGTGGACCCACGGTAAATGATCGCCTCGATAGATAGAGGTCCCGATGAACGACGGCTAGGTGATACCGGGGGCTTAGTAGGGCCGTGTGGGGATGGAAGGGAGATGAAGATAGTTGTTTATAGCGGAGATGATGGGCGGATGAGGAATGTGGAGTTGGGGACTTGTTGATGCTGTCTTGACCACCTCTTATTCTGCCTTTCACACGGTTCCTCCTGTCTTGACCTGAGCCGACGATGGAGCCTCCCCCACTCACACTATCAGTGTACGTCTTTCTTGAACAGCGATTACCCGCCAAGAAGCCGTGCTGACCCCCAGATTACGCCTAACCCCCTCGACCCTCACCTCCCCACCCTCCTCTTCCGCCTACCTCGAAGATGTCCCCGCTACGCCCCTCCCGCTCCCTTCTCTTCCTTCCTCATTCTCCCTCTCGCCGACTCACAATTATCCCGCTCCTTTTGGGACTATGACGCTCGGCACGTCCCTTGGCGTCAAGCTCCAGCTGATCGCCAACCCCCCGTCCAGCCCTCGGCCTGGAAGCAGTGCGGGCGATATCGCCGATGCTGATGATGGGATGGGGATGGCACCGGGCGTGAGAGGGGTGAAGATGATGCTGGAGGTACAGGGGCCGGGAGGGCGGTGGAGGCTAGGAGAGGTGGTTCATGGGGAGGAGGCGGTACCTGAAGGGGATGAAGCTCTCGCTGTAGAGGGAAAAGAGGAAGAGAAGGAGACTGGCGAAGGGAAGATAGAAGCGGAAGGGGCAGGAGACTCGGCGGAGACCGCAGTGCCAGATGAGAACACGAAGATGCCTAATCTGTCGCCTGGGGAGTTTGTTGAGATGGACGTCCAGGCAGAGATGAAGGAGCTAGGCCTCCAGGTTCTCATCTGCTCGGTTGCGTGGGAGACGCCTAACGGCCGGCGGACATTTCAGCGCTTCTTCAAATTCAACGTGAGTGCCTACCACCCTTCTTTGACGTCAGCTGACAAACAGGTCGTCGCCCCTCTATCAATCAAGACCAAGATCCACCCCTCTCAAACCCCCATGACCCAGCTCGACCCCACTCGGAGAGGCGACGTCTACCTCGAGGTCCTCATGCAAAACACCTCGGCCGAGTCTATACTGTTCGACAAGGTCAACCTGGAGCCAGTGTATGGAATGACTGCTACATCCATCACCCCTTCTTCTGCTGGAACGCTGGATTCGGAAGTCCAGGACGACGTTCTCGGCTCGCTCCATCCGGGAGATACAAGGCAGTACCTCTTCCTCCTCCATCCTCAACCGCCACCACCCACAAAGGCGCGCCAATCGGTCTTCCCGCCGGTCTTTGCGCCAGGAACGGTACTGCCGCTGGGGCGGCTGGACATGGCCTGGCTGGCCGGGGCGCACAGGGAGAGGGGGAGGTTGCAGACGTCAACGCTGAACAGGCGGGTGGCGGCCGCGCCTATCGCGCCGACAAGGACGGTGACTGCTGCGCCTCCGACACCGGGCCAGGGAGTAGGTACGCCTAGCCGTCTGCGGCAGAACGCGGAGCAGGAGGATGGAGAAGAAGCGGATGGGTGGGAGTATGATCTTTCGGTACTGGAGCTGGAGAGGAGCGGGGTGGAGATCGACAAGGAGTTTACGGCGAAGCTCAGAGTGGGCTTGAGGAGTATGCGGACGTACTCGGCGGACGGGATAGAAGGAGTGGATCAGCAGCCACCACCGGCATTACGCCTTGCTGTGCAGTACCTCACTGCTCCGCCATACGACCCAAACCTTCCCCTTCGGCCCACATCTCCGCCCGACACCGTCACAGCCGGTCCCTCCCGCCCCATGACGCCTATCTCCTCTCAGCTCCGGCACGCCACTCAGACACATCTCAACTCTAACGGTCATCTCCCCGCTATCATCGACCCCACTCCCAGCCCCTCATCCACATCCTTCCCGCCTGCACCTACCTTACAACGCCCTGCCCCTCCGCCCAAGTCAGAGCAAGAGCGTAAAGAAGGCGAAGTCTTCCCACTCGGACCGTCCCTCGTCCTTCTGCCCGCCATCCCGTTTCAGCTCGCCCAGGAACAATACTCGACAACGTACGCCGACTCGTCTGAGCCTCCAGAGCGGTGGGAAGCGGTGCATGAGCTCGAGATGAGGTTCTTGGCGGTCCAGGAGGGGATGGCGAGGTTGGGCGGAGTGAGAGTGTTGGTCATTGAGGATGAGGTGGGGATGGAGGGGAGTGTGGGTGCGGAGTGGGAGACGCTAGGGGATATCTGGATCACGAGCTAGGTCGGTGCATCAGATACATACAGGTGTGGGGGTATGAGATATATCGGTGTCGACCAAATTCCATGGGTACCTCTCCGCACAGACCCAAGCGCGCCTCCCCCGCCTCCCCTGGCATGACATTCAGAACCTCAATCCCTCGACTGCCTATCCCTCCAGACAATGATGAGGAGCGCGACACCGCCAAATATCGCTATGTTGTCTAAGCCGGGGTCAGCTTGGCCCTCGCCGCCGGCAAGGGAACTCACCCCAGACATATTCTGCAGTGCTGACAGCTCCAGATGAGATGGTGTCGAACATGAACTGCGCGGATTTCTGCTTCTCGAGGAAGGTGAGGGAAGATTTTACTGAAGGCGGGCGGAGGGGTGGAGATGCCCTGAAAGATCAGCTCGGACCTTTGGCCTGGCCTCATCTCGCGCGTCAAGGTGGCGGGCAGCGATGTACTTAGAGGCGCTTGAGCAGATGGAGTCGGTAAGAGCGATTTATCGTGCTGTGAGATGAGAGGTGGTTGTGAAAGCTGCCATGATGCTCTGCCCAGCCCTCCGCTCGGTGCCTCTCTGTGATGACGCTTGATTAGGCTTCATTGGGTCCGAAACTCTGCATTCCTCGGAGATTTCTTGACTCTCTGTCGTGACGTAACGAATGTTCCAGGCCAGTCCAGGCCCTCGTGATAAGGGCCAAGGAACACGCAGGAGTGCTGCAGGATGAATGTGGCAAGGCTGTCTATCATGTGCCACTTCGGCAGTGGCATCTCGAGTCTGGCGCTGTCACACTCGTCTAATGCCGGTGATGCACCACTGTTGAAGTCGGCAATGACGAAACAAGCACTTGTCCGGTACCTACATGTACAATGCTCGTTCTAGTATCACTGTACTAGTCAAAGCCCAGCCTAAACCCGCTTCTTCGCCCCTCTATGCAGTATGGTACCAGCCTTGGACTGCCTGCCGTCGAACAGTCTATATGCGAGGGCGACCACAGCGAAAATCAATAGGCTTGCTGATGAGTTTTCAGCGTTTTTCCAATTTCCCGCTCAAGAATCACTAGTCTCGATACTCACAAATGCGACGCCAGAGGAGGGTGGCGATACCGCGCAACATTGTGTACGCTGTATAGCTACCGGCCTAGAAAGGTATGAGCGCCTCATACGAAGCTTGAACACGCTGAGTCGTGAGCTCAAGCGCAGAGATGGTTTGGCTCAGAGGGGGTACCCACACTTTTGGGCTTGAACATGTTGAGACGACCAGATGACAGTTCTATATGTTGGATGTAGGATTGGGAGGAGCGTGACCCTCGCTTTTGTACCCTGCCTCGGGACGCCGGAAGGATAGGTGCCAGCACGACAGGCCGAAGGAGTACTTCGCCGCCAGCGCGACAATTTCTGCCAGCGCGAGGGATGCGCAGGCGATAGCGAAGGATGCAAGCACGGTGCTAGATCCACAGGAGAACTGCAGCCGTCTCAAGCTGGGCCTAGCGTGCGGGTCAAGCCCTATATTAGCAACGTCCGAGCGGCGAAAGGTGGGACTTGACAGATCAGGCATTAGCGAGTAGTAGTCACTGGTCAGTGAGGTGAAGCACAATCAGTGCTGCTGCGCCGTCAGACGTTCAGTATGTACATTGATTACAGATTATGTCTAGACTTCATGCCCCGCAGACCACACTGGCATTGGCCTCGGTCCCAAGCTCCGGCCGTTGCGCCGAGCGTGTCACTGACTGCCTCGACAACAGCTCAAGCCACCTTCTTCTGTCCCCCTACTCGAGCCTTAGTCTGCCTGTCCTGGTAGATGAAGAAGGCAAGAGCCAAGAGACCAAGAATGACAATATTGGCTAGACTCCATCAGCAGACATCCCCAGCAGACCATAGGCGGGACGACTTACAGAAGACAAAGTGGGCTGAAGAGCCCACGAAGGAGGCGAGATTCTCGACGAGACCCCAGGCGAGGGAAAAGACCGCGTGGAAGACCGAGTAGATGAGGTGGAAGATACCCTGGATAGCGGCGAGGATGCTCTGGAAGATGCCCTAGAGGGTCAGTCAACGCTCAGACACAAGCATACCAGGGAACGGACGTACCTGGACAATGTGGGCGATGCCGTCGAAGAGGTTGGTCATGGCGAAGGAGTTAAGCTGCTACGATGTGATGATGAGCGAGTCTTGTGAAGGTGGGAAAGGAAGCCCAAGGTCGCTTGCGCGCTATATACCTTTCGCTGGCGCGCGCAAGCAGCAAGCAGCTGCTCTGGCAGCTTTCACGACGTCATCAGAACACGCCATGACGTGATGTAAACAAAGGGTCCAGCCATGCCAGGCACGCACGAGATGCAACATCCGAGCGGCGATGACCGGCAAAGCTAATTTTGGTTCCGGGTTCACTCCTTTGTCGACTGTCGCTGTAATTGAAGCTCTTCCCTTACATCTCACCTTACCCTCCCTTCATTTGCACTTGCCGATACCTAGTCCATACCCAGCGTATGGTATTGCGAGGAAGCCCGATCCTGCAGGAAATTCAACGACGCCAATAGCGCCAATACCGGCCAGAAACTCAAAATCCTACGCTATTTCGCGTTCAATTTCGTTTCTTTCCTCATCCTCCCACCTCGCTCAGAGGTATCGGGCAGACGCGTATGAGCAATGGAAGGGACGGCTCAGGCAACGGCTCGAATACCGGGCGGTACCATGAGGCCGGCCCGTCCAGGCAGATGTCGGGTAGAGATGTAGGACCACCTCAGAGACAAGGGAGTGGGCGGTATGAGGAGTATGAGGGAGACAGAGGACCCGGCTATGGACGCGGTCAGGACGTAAGCTATGCTGTACAGTATCAAGGGGGTTCATGCTGACTCCAAGACTCCGAACCGCTCGTTTCCCAACAATTCGTCGCCATGGTCGCGTCCACCTCAACGAGCCGGATTTCGCCCGTACCCTCCTGGTCCACCCCGCGCACGGACACCATCTCCACCTCGTCAAGCTTCAGAGTGGGACAGGGACCAGCGACAGCGTCCAGTCCCGCGAGAAAGGGCGCGGAGCAGGGAGAGAGACCGACAGGACAGCCGGGCTCGACCCGTTCTGGACATGTCGTTCCGTACGCCGTCGAGCAATTCTGAGCCTACTCGCAGAAACGGACCGTTCACTGGACCGCCAATAGCCAGAGAGACACCTCGGGAGCAGCCTGGGCGGGATAATCGGGATCGGAGATGGGGAACGCCCAGGGAGGATAGGTTTGGTAGCGAGGATGGAAGACAACAGTACGTCCGATTATCTGATACAGACGATTGCTGACAATGCAGACCAAGAAGGTCCTTTTCGCCGAGCAAGCCTGGAGCGCCGTACGGTCGCGATCGTCCCAATCCCTCACCGCCGAAACCTCGCCCGAGATCTGCCCAGACCCAATGGAGCGGTACCCCTCGCTCAGCTTCAGGACCCAGACCGCCTTTCCAGACCCCTCGAGATCGGGACCGACCATTTCCCGAGCGAGTCCCTTCCTTCCACGCCCGGAGTCTCAGCGGAGACTTCAGCCGTCCGTCCTCGGAAGCGGGTCCCGGGCCGAGTACATCCGCGTATCAAGCTTCCACGCGGTCGTCGCCTGCGGGTACGCCTCCGCGCGTCGCGCGGTCGGTACGCGGGACAAGCAGTCCGGTGGATAGTCGACACCGGCCAGTGGAGGAGTCACCGGTGGCGCGTTCGATGCCTCTGGCGGAGTCTGTCCCGGCTCCCAGACCTGTGCAGCCTGTACAGGACAAGGTGGCTCCTCCACCGCCAGTAAAGGCTGAGGAGATTGAGGAGGGCGAGCTGGAAGAGGGCGAGGTACTTTCGTCTCCTGTCCGGCCGGAGCGAGAACTCCCTCAGCAGATGGATCTCGCTCCTGCTGTCCAGCCAAGAGACAGGTGGCGGGACCGTCCGGACGATCGGGCTCGTCCCCGAGAGCCGTTCGACCGTAATCGAGACCGGAGATGGCATACAGGTCATCAGAGATCGCCAGAAAGGGGCAGCCGGGAACCCTCGCAGCTGCAGAATCAGCCGTGGAAGATTGGGCAGAGCGTGGATGATGGATGGGGACAGAAGAGGAGAGTCGGAGAGGCGGACGCGAGGATACAGGAGGAGCATGGAAGGGAGATGGAGGATCAAAGTCAAATTTGGGAGGAAGACAAGCAGGTCAAGCAGGAGGCGATGGAATTTGCGGAGGAGGATGACCGGCCGCAGACCCCTCCACTGCCGTCGCCAGTAGGCATTACACATCCATCTTCGTCCCCCTCGGTCATCCTCCAGCTGCCCGCTTTGGTCGAGGAGTATGATCATTCCAGACCAGATACGCCCGCTTTACCATCGGCTGGTATCCCAACCTATCCCACCACGGACCGTCGTCTCCCGGTTACGGAATCTCGCCCAATCTCGCCCCCTTCTTCTACTATCCGCTTCGTCGATGCCACTCCGGCGGCGTACGTTCCTAGGGTGGTCAGACCTAGATACACCTCCCCGTCTCCCGCTCAACCGACTATAGTGGTTCAGCGTCCTTCTACGCCATCCGCGCCGGTCCTGCGAGCGGGGTCGAGCTCGGATCTGCCGCATATCGATCCGTCATCGTCACCGGTCAACTCGGCGCAGCCTTCTGTGCAGGCGGTCCCTGTATCCGAATCCGAGACTGAGCTTCAGCCGGTGGAGTCGGCGGCGATTCCCGGAGAGAACGATGCAGAGGCGGATCTGAAGGTGGAGACCGCCCAGCCGACCACCGTCATAGCGGATATCGAGATGGACCTCGGCGGGAACGGCCATATCACCCCACCATTGTCCACCACGCAACCTGCCGTCTCGCCATCTCTTGGCGTCATCGCTCCATCTCCCCGACCACCCTTCTCCCCACTACTCGGTGCCGCCCCTCGCGAGCCAGCTCAGCGGCAACCTACCCTGGCTGAGCGCCGCTCGGTACGCCTCCCAGCCACCCAGGGACCCCTCTCCTCTCCCTTCGGTGAGCGTGTCCGGCGGGATCCTCAGCCTACCAACGCCTCGCAGCAGGACTCAACCGATAGCGAGGTCTGGCCGCGGACGGCCGATGCCGACGACCTTCAGTCCAACTACTCGGACGACAACCCGGTGGCGAACAAGGAGGCCCATTTCTTGCAGGCCATGCGGTCGGCGCAGAGGGCGGACAAGGGGCTGGACGTCGATGCGATCGTAGCGTGGAATATCGCCGCTGCCCCTCCTCCGAGTGCTCGGGTGGACATCCATCTGAGTCCAAGGAAGAGGGAGAAGAGACTGCGGGAGGTCACATGGCCGTTGGACAGGCAGCAGCGGGCGGTGGCTACGTTGGTGGCGAAGCAGGTGGCGAGGGAGCATGTTCGCACGGTGGAGCGGACTGCTGCGTTGCGGAAAGAGTATATCATGCTCGACGAGGAGTGGAAGGAGCATTGCGCGTACCTCGACGAACTCATGGAGAAGCGCGGACCACCTCCAGACTCGCTCTTTGCGGTCCCAAACGCCGTGCCCGTCGTCACTCCCGGTCCGATCCCCATGACGCCTATACCTATGACGGAGGACCTCCTCTCTTCTCGCGCTATCCGGCGCAGAGGGGCCGGGGACGCCGTCACCACCGAGGCGGAATTCCAGGAAATTCTCGCCGCGATGGCGGACACGGCGGCCAAGGACCCCAACTACCGTGCCAGCAAGACGACCGCTGCGGTCCCGGATATGCTATTCCCAGAAGAGCGCAAACTCCGCTTCGAGGACGACAACGATCTCGTCGAGGACCCGATCGCCTTTTACGACTTTAAAGGTATCGCCGAGCCTATCTGGACGGATGAGGAGCGGCAAGTCTTTGTCCGGCGGTACCTCAACTTTCCAAAGCAATTTGGCAAGATTGCTGAGGCCATCCCGGATAAGACGGCCTCGGATTGCGTCCTCTACTATTACCGGACGAAGAAGGAGGTGGACTACAAGCAGATGCTGGCGAGTCGGCGGGGAGTAACTCGGAGGAAGGCGTTGCCGATCAAGAAGGGGGGCAAGTCGGCTGCGCTCCTGGCGAGTCTGGACCAGAAGAAGGACACGGTCAAGACGACGGCGGCGAGGGCTGTTCCGACGCCTGCCAAAGGGAGAGAGGAGTTGGCTCCCCCGTCGACGACTGCCAAGCGGGGTGGTAAACCAAGGATGGACCCGAGGAGGAAAGTCGTGGATGTGCAAGTGGAGGAGCGAGAGGCTGGGGAAGAGGGAGTTTCGCGGGATGCGTCCGAAGCCCCCTCGGTGTCGAGAAGCAAGGGACGGATCAGCATGAAGGGTGCAAAGCGGCCCAGGATATCCTCCATGTCTGTGAACCAGCCGCCTACGCCCGGTGCCGCGTCGACCATCGGCGACGATGCCACTCAGGCTGGAAGCACCGTTACAACACCCTCCGAACTCCTTCCGCCTGTCAAGCGTGCCCGGAAATCCCGCAAAAGCCTTCCTACGCCCGTGCACGATATACCAGAGCTCGGCGAGGACGGTCTCCCGATCTCTACGCCTGCAGTGGACAAGGCTGCCGCAGCTGCCATCGCTGCTCTGGCCGGCCGGCGCGGAAACACCTCGAGTTACTGGTCGGTCGAGGAGAAGAAGAAGTTGAAGGAGCTGGTCGCAATGCATCAGCGGGACTTTCGGGCCATTGCCGCTGGACTACCTGGAAAGTCCGAGAGGCAGATCAGTAACTTTGTGCAGACGCACGCGGCAGCGCTGGGGCTGGACCCGGCGTCGTTTGGAGAGATGGACCTTGCTGGGACTCCGCCTTTCACCGTATGTCCGCTTGTACATGAGTGGGGCCAAGCTGATATCTGTAGAAAGACGAGTATTTCAAGCCTGGGACAGGCGCTGGATATTCCCGATCGATATACGATGTCTACACGCAACAGCCCTCTGCGTTCGCACAGCATGAACCCAGGCTCGGCGTATTCCCCTCCCTCCCTCGACTCGGCCAACCCACCACAGCTTTACCCGCCGATTCCCCCGTCCTGCCTCGTGCTACCGTGCCATCACCGAGCAAGCCCGTTGCGCGGTCTGGGGGCATGCGGATCTCTGCGTTGCTGAACGACGAGCCACTCCCGTCACCACCTATCCAGGATCGGCGGGACATCGGAGATGCTCAATCCGACGGGACCGTCGAGGATCGGGATGACGTCCGACCATCCTCTCGCGCTGCTCCGCTCCCTCATCAGCAGAGACGGCCATCATCAGGCATGGAAGCTGGTCGGCCGGACATGGATCCTTACCGTCGCCCATCACACGTCGGTTACATGTATCAGCAACCACCTATCACTACCGCGCCATGGCAGCCTCAGACGGCCCAGCGTCGACCTAGCGAGGCGTACTATCCCCGTCAATTATCACCCGGACCCCCCGGCGTACCACCGCCTAGGTCCCACTCATACTATCCGGACCAACACCCACCACCCCAACAGCAACAGCCCCTCCCGCATCGCTCGATGGACTACTACCGGCAGCGTCCGGATCCATACCGCGCTCCGCCCGCCCCAGAGCCTTATCGGCCCTACGCACCGCATCAGCAGCAGCACCCGGGACCTGGTCCGGGACAGAGTACAACCCCTCCCTACCCGCCCGCGCAGCATCTTCCGCGAGAGTACAATACTCGTTATGACCCGAATCATTCGCAGGACTGGCGATCGTACAGGCGCACGCCCCCACCCCCGGCTCCTACGCCGGTGCAGCACCACACGTCGGTCTCGGCACCGGCGGGTCGGACCGGGTGGATTGAGGATAGAGGCCAGGGCATTGTGTTGCCGGCGATGAGGACGCGGTATGAGGTGTATGATGGACAGTATGAGGGAGCCGATGAGGCGGGGCGTTGAGATCTAGGGATGTCCAAGGGATTGGTTGTATGGTCTTGAGTGAGGATGCGGTCTTGTAGGCTTTACATAGTCAGTAGGAAGATTGGTTGTGCTCATACGTAGGTCAATGTAGCAGAGCGCCTGACTCAAGGTACAGCCTATCGGAGTGAAGACTGCCATGCTGCTGACTTGCTACATCTTGACTACAATGTGTGCTTGCGTGATCCCACTAATACAATATCTAGATCTTCTACATATTGCGCCGACCCCTCTCCCATCCGTACTCCTGTTCTCTCCACGTCATCTCGATCGCGCCCGGCGCACTTCCAGGTCGTACAATCTGCTCATCCTCCATCCCCATCATCTCCCTTTCCACCGCGTCCTCCTCTTCCTGTTCCTGCCGCATCGCCCGCTCCACCATCCCCTCATCCATGTCCATCATTTCGTCATCCTCGTCTGGCGGCGTGGGTGGTCGGCCCACCCCTGCCCTTGCAGGCGACTGAAACCGCCCCGTTCCGCCAAACTGTGGGCTCTGCTGATGGTGCGAAAAGAAGTGATTGTGGTTGGACGGCTGAGCACCCATCCCAAACCCGTTCATGTGTTTTGGTTGGGCAAATTGCCCACCTCCGCCGAAGGCTGACCACGCAGACGCACTCTCCGGGCTCTGCTGTTTCCATTTCGCCCACGGGTCCGCCGGGATGTGTTCTGGCTGAACGAGCGGTGCGAATGCGTCTCCCTCGAATGCGCCACCCGAGAACTCGGCGTATGGACTAGCAGACCGAGATTGGCTGCTGCCGCTGGCGCTTCCAAATCCGTAGGACGAGGACCGGCGGAGTGTGCGGGGGCGAGAGGACGAAGAGGAAGGCATAGAGGGGTCCTCCCTTATGCATGGGGTTTGGAGGGGTGTAGCGTATGCGCCAGGGAGGTAGGATTCGTGAGAGAGGGAATGGACGTGTGCGCCGAGATGGAGAGGCGGGTTCCGGTTGGTAGATGTGGACCGGGAAGGGGGTAGATTGCGGAAAGCAGATGAAGAGGGGTGGAGGGCGGGAGCGTGGATGTTCTGGTTGAGATATTCCTGAGAGGTCAGGTCAGCTTGACCACATGCGAGAGGAAGTGGACGTACTTGAAGAGCTTGGAGATCCTGCGAGACATGCGCTCCGCCATTCATAGACTGAATCAACTCGTCCATTGTGCTCATACTGGCACCGATCATTGGAACAGGTGGCGAAGGGAACAAGTGAAAAGGGGGGATGTTGAGGTGAAGACTTTGAGAGAGGTCTGAGCCAGATGACGAGCGGCGGCTATGGACTCGCGGGGGTGGCGGCGGGGTCCAGTCCGTCCCGGTATAGGGCGCTAAGTGAAGAGGACCTCAGAGGAGTCCCACTATCCCCAGCAAGGAACCGTTCCTCCGCCGATCTTTCTCCGCGAGATACGGTTGAGAGATAAGCGAGCGATTAGAGATTTGCGGGAATCGATAGAGATCGAGCCTAGTCTAGGCCCTGAGATATAGATGTAGAGCAGGTGCGGTGGCTGGGCGCTGGCAAACGATGGATGGGTATACTCGAAAGTTGGCAAGGCTGCTATATGTATCGACAGGACGGTGTTGTTGTGGGCCTCGAATGACCCGCTCAAAAGCTCTGTGAGGGGCCATGGGCATCCACAAGATCCCCCTCCTTCACCCCCACCCCGACCGCGGACCGGCCCCGGTTAGCCGGCCAGAGCCGGTTTCAGAGTTTTTCTTATCCGGAGCTTTTCGGAAGCGGAGGTACCGGCGCGGACCGGGCAATGCAGCTGGCAGCGGGCTACACGCGTCATGATGGTCGCGCAGTCTTGCTGGCTGCGTAGCGTGGCGGCGATATCTACCGAGCAGGCTGGATCTCAGCAGAGTATAGCGGAGTCCGGCGCCGAGGTTCGACCGAGTTCCAAAATAGGGTTTGGTGAGGTATTCTGGGGCGTAACCTTGGAAGTACTATTCTACGAAGGATATAGCTGCAGGCATGCTGATACAAGCGGATGGATAAGAATTAGTGAGCTGATGCAGTCTTATGAGGATGAGGGCTGTAAACGCTCAGTGTGGCCAGAGATCCTGTCAGTGGTCAGTACTCAGTATGTACTCGCCGAATTGATCTGCACCTATGCACGAGTGGTCCTGCTCCATCTCCTACATGAACATGCCGCCGCCGCCAAATCCACCCATACCGCCCCCTCCGAATCTTCCGCCGCCGCCCCCTTGTCCGCCCATACCACCATAGCCCGGCCCTCCGAGCCCACCTCGACCACCGCCAAATCCGCCTCTCCCACCAGGTCCCATCGGTCCCCCGGTACCCATGTCCGGCCCAAACTCTCCTGGGGGAGGCATCTCATCTCCGAACCCATAGTCTCCCCTCCCTACACCATTGAGCGGATTCCCGCCTCCTCCAGGGAATCTACCGCCCATAGGTCCCGGTCCGCCCATGCCTGGCCCGACGGGATCCCAGCGAGCTCCTGGAGGGTTCATCATGCCGCCCGGACCCATGTCCATCCTGCCCGCACCTCGACGGCCGTCAAAAAGCGGATCATTGAAGTCCATGTACATCCCGCCTCCGCCGGGATTGAATGCGCCGGGTCCGCCAAGGTTCGCCAGCGGGTCGAGATCGCGCTGCCCGACCGAGGGACGACCCATACCTGGGTGCATGGGGTCGATGAGGGGGTTTGGGTGGGCTGGAGGGGGTTGATGAGACGGCTGAGGAGGAGGGGGGTTGCAGGGATTGGACCCGGATTGCTGGGTTCTTTGGTATGAGCTCAGTCCAGATGCGGATAGGAGGAAAAGGCAGCTCACGGCTCGCTGTAGCCCGGCACCCGTAGCCCTGGAAGAAGTTTGGTGATCACTTCCCGTACATAGCGTTCGACAAAGTCCTTGACACTGCGACGTTAGTTTTATCTTGATAGATCTGGGCGCAAGACATGCCTGGCAATAGACTTGAAGCCCAATGACTTGGCAGGAGCTTCGGTCGAGCTCGAAGATGATCCAGCACCTGTCGCAGAGCTGGGTATAGGGAAGGCAGGCGGAGTCAAAACGTCGCCCAAGACAAAGGATAGGGTATTTGGCGCTCCGTCCTGTGTCATCAGCCATTGCACTTAGTTAACATTGAGCAGACTCACCGCTGCCATAGCGTCAATCTGGACTCGCCCACCCATTCTCCCTACTCTGATGCGGAAAGTCATCGAGCTCTGTTCGTGCCGGTACTCAAACGCGTAGGAGTCCTCTCCCCGGCTGTTCCAACCCTCAGGCAGCCTTCCTTCTGGCGCTTCCGCGTCCTCGCCCTGTTCCACCGCGGTAGCTGTCTCGGAAGCCGCATCGTCGTCGTTCTCGCCTCGGTTCCCAGCAGCAGCGACGCCTTGACCAGCAGTGGAGGGTGTCGAACCTGGGATGAGGCGGAATTGGAGCGCGGTGTGGATAGCATGGACCAACGCGGCGATTGCGTCGGTGGGTTGCGGGAGTGGCGAGGAGGTCGATACAGGTAGGAGCTGAAGAAGGAGCCGCAGTAGCGCGGGTGTCTCGAGTGGATTGCTCATGATAGTAAGGAAGTGATGTAGCAAGTATGATGGAGAACGCTGGATCATCGTTCTTCACCAGAGGAGTGGCTGATTTGGGGCCCCGGTAGTACTGGTTGCCGGTGGAGGCGGAGAGCGCCGGTGGGATTGGTGATGGGGCTCACTATTCAGACGATACCTAGCTCACATCTGACCTTATTAGACATGTCTTGAGTCTGCTGCCTGGCCTAGTGAAGGCTGTACTGCGGCCGACTAGGTCTACGATAGGACAGAGGTAGCGAGAATCTCAGTATACTGAGGGCGGAGCCGACGGCGACTTCTGACTTCCATTCGTTTGGGTTCTGCAGACGCAAGCGCCTTAGTCCAACAGTCCAACATACACGGAGCCGGCCTCACCGAAGCATGACAGGCAGAGGGACGCATAAGCCCACTCGCGCTCTGAAGCCACAACCCCGCCTTCCCCGCACCGCGCTAAACCTTACGGCAGCAAATGATCCTCATTCCTCGCGGATCGAGCCAGCTGATGAATATATGAATCAGCACGCCATTAGTCATCAGAATTCCTCATCCATCTATTGCTTGTTAATCGGCGGCCCATGTCTGTCTTCCAGCGTAATCTGTCGCATTCCAGCGATTGCGCCATAATTCGCTGACGTTGTCTCCAGGACGCATCCGCTGCGGCAGAATAAAGGCAGATGGATGATGATCCCGATACTGACTCTTCATTCCGAATTGTGCTATCTTATCTTCAAGCTGACCAGCAAGACCAGTAACACCTACCATATCGCCCATAACAGTCACACGATAATGACCTACGACCAGACCACCGCTGCTATGTGGGGAGGAGGAGAGCGTTGCCCCTTCGCGCAAGCAGGATCCAGCAAGCTGGCCACGGTACCACAGGACCGCCCTCCAATCCCGTCCTGGTTCACCCCCTCTCCCCGCGCCAAGGTCGCCCTCGACTCCGCCGACGTACACGCACACCACCACCTCCCCTCTACATCCGCTCCTATCCCCTGCGCGCCAATCCTATACCTCCCTCCCCTCCTCTCCCCCCTCCCGGGTCACGTCCCACACCACTCTCATTCCCCCTCGGAGGAAGAGCTATCCTCCTTCTCAACCCATCTGCCCGACATCGACCCTGCCTCGCTCGCTCTCCACCAGGCACTCCACCGCTTCCACCCCAAAGACAACATGTACGCCGCTCGGGAATATAGCGACGCGTTCAATTGGTCCGAGCTGGGGCTGGACGAGGGGGTCGAGAGGGAGTGGTACTGCGTCGTATTCCGCTCGAGGCGCAATAAGGAGAGTGAGAGCCTGAGTCTGTATCAGGCGGATAGGGAGGCACATGAGGAGGCGGTAAAGAATGGGGGGTTGGTTATGTACTGGTATGGCGTGCCGGACGAGACGGGGTTGAATTTGGCGACGTGCATATGGCAGAGGTGAGCACCTGTGCCTCTCGAGTGGCTCAATGGACTGAGCTGATGTTCAGTCGTCGACACGCAATCAAAGCTATCTCCGGGCCAAAACATTTGCTCGCGATGAAGCACGCTGCGAATGCGTATGAGGTGTACGACTTGGAGAGATGGGTATTGCGGAAAGAAAAGGGTACGAGGGACCTGCAATTGAGCCGTTGGGAGGGCGGTGAGGTGGGATGGTAGATCGTAGCGGCAAACATATTTAGTCGTCCCGTGCCGCTTATCGACTGTCAGGTACCGCGAGAGTATGGCCTTCTTTCGATTTGGGGCGATCGTCTGATGGATCTCGGCCGATATTAGCTGACAGCACTCATCGATAGCTACTGATGATAGGAGACCTTTCGGCCGACACGACGCCGATAGCTTTCCTTTGCGGTTCTGACAGGCGGCGTGCTCGCCGAGCAAAGCGAATAGCGTGGCACGACCAGCCCCAATATCACACCATAAAGACGGATCATCCTTTTGACTTCACCCCCTTGCTACTCGCAACTTGACGACTTAGAATGCCCTGGTGTGCGAGATCACGTGCTTTCGCCTTCGATATCCCCATATGTCGCCATCGTTACGGCCTTCCTGGGTCGCGTGATCTGACAGCAGTACCCGATATCCTCCTCGGTTGCTCGGTGGGCTGTTCCGCGCGAACTATAAGAGAGGCAATTGCCAAGGTGTCGCACCTCACATCGCATCTCCCCATACGTATCCACCACATAGATCACATCGCAGCATTGCTTTACGTCTGACCTGGCACACAGAAACAATGGACACACCTCCTCAGACGCCAATGGTTCAGACCCCCTCGGCCGGCCGTACTCAGTCTCCTACCGGATCAGTCATCTCCTCTGATAGCCGCACTAGCTCCCTACCGACTGAACAGAGTCCATCGACAGCGAATGTCAACACGAACGGCAGCAGAGATGAGACGCTCATGTACGGCCTCCCTGTCACCTTATTTCCCCACGCCACCCATTCTGTCAAACTGACTTTGCTCTACCCCCATCATCAGCCAGGGCGCATCCTCCTCAAAGATTTCACGAAGCTCCAAATGCCGTCCCAAGTGATGGGGTCTGCGGCGGAGAAGGTTACCCGCACCCCCATCCAATCGCAACACGCTACCGGCGACGTCGGACGCGGACTGCACGGCTGGACTGCAGCAGAGCAGATCGATTCAGATGCAGTATGCGGGCTTTTCAGGGTTATACCCACAGGTGGTGACGAAGATTGGTGGAGGAAGCAGGGTTGGCGCGGAATCTCCATGAGTGGCGCAGAAACACCACAGACCTACATCGCCTACATCGCAGTCGCATATGGCACAATGAAGCTCTTCAGTCAAGATCAGAGAGTCGACAGTGGAAAAAATGAGTCGGGGCTGACTATGCGCACTTTTGACATTGCTGCAAACAGCTTGGTCGGCCCGGACAGTGTCAGATACATCGGCAACCCCGTCGGCCGATTTGACACGCGCGATCCGGCACATTTGGGAGCTGAGTCATCACTTGGCTTCTGGGAAGGTGTGCCGGTCGCGGGCGCAGACGTCACAGGGGATGGCAGAACTTACGGTGAATTGCCTGTTCACACGACCAAGGACGCCTTGCATGGCTTTGTTGATGCGATGAATCGACATATCGCTGAGCAGAACACTGCGGTGGGGTATAAGGGGGACGGTACTTCACTCAAGCATGAGATCTACAGGATCATCTACACCGATCAGGGCACGAATTGGGACGGTGAGCAGTCAGCAAAGACGCGCGAGTTCCGCGGCATCTTTACCCGAGGGGAACCCGTGATGAAGCCTTACGCATTCCACCCGCCACCTGGAGAGAATGATGATTCCTGCACTGGCATTATCGCGGGACCATACGTTTTGGCTTTTCGGGGATAGGCCGAAGGATTCCCAGGGGCGCAGGCAACAGTGAGGAGTGAGAGATTGCGTCAGGGGATGGCGGAGAAGGTGATCAGCGGATAGGTAGAGGAGCCATTTTTGTCACTTCAGATATGCAATTCGTCAAGATATATCTTTAGTTGTTAGGCTGTGCTTATCGTCAGCTGTCGAGTATTCGCATGAAGGATGTCAGCTTGATGATGGCTGCTCTCATATGGCAACCGTCTAAAAGCAGACCGTAGACGTCTGCCACTGTGACCGAGGCGTATCTCCGATAACGCCGAGAGCGGATTCCCGATGTGGCGGTCTGTCCGTGCGTCCGGAGCACCGCGGCGCAATGACGGAGGGCGGGCGGAGGGATCTGCAGCAGCAAAAAGTCGGCAGGTCTCTGCATCACTCCCAAATTCTCTCAAAAGGGGTGTAAGCAGGGTATCTTTACAGGTTCCTGTCTTCTCTCCCACCATTCAGTAATCGGCAGCGGCGGTCAGACGTCCCTCTCGACGGACTCGCCCTCTCAAACGGGCTCGAGAAAGAGAGCAGGGACGTTTCGGCCGTGTTACTAGCGTTGTCTCGGACAACGCCTCGCTTGCCCATTCAGCGCTGTCAGCAGTGCTAGAGGTCTCGGAGGAATTGCGTAGGGCGAGGAATACAAGGCGCGTCCAGAAGGTCGTCTAACGACGTCACGGTCGGGGTTGTCGTTTCGACCTCACTCAGGCACCGACGCTCAACATCGGTTGATGCTGTACCCGGTGTTCCCGCCTCCTCGGTCAACAAGTCGAGTCGAGCTATAAAAGGTGAGCCAACATCTCCCTCTTCTTCTCTTCTTTGCCCCCTTCAGATCTTATACTGATCACCTACAGGGCACCCCGTTCTCCAGCCGGATTCACCGTCGAACCGCCGCTTTCCAGCGCCGCCTCGACATCTTCGAATCCCTCTTGTTCCCCCCGTCGTCACTTCCTGCCCAGCCCCCCTTCCAAAAAGAATTTGCCGCCCACCCAGCAGGTAGAGCCATCGCACACCTTCACTGGTGCTACCGCTCCTTGCCGCTCAATCGCGCAATTCACACGGAAACCCGCTTCGCATCCGACGACCCTACTCTTCTTACCTACCCGGATCGACCACTCGGCTCGGTCTACTTCATACTCCACTACTTCATCGGAGTCGCATCTTCGCATCATGTCGGAAAACTCTGGCGCTCGTACCTCGCGGACTCCCCCTGGGCTGTTCGGCGAACAATACGAGAATGCACTCGAGGCCCGGTACACAATTCTGTACAGGGCGTATGAGTCGATGGATGAGTCTGAGGATCCAGTGGGGGCGCACAGTATTCGTTCAGAGATGGAGGATATAGCGGAGGCCTTTTACCGTTCCCGCCAGGCCAGGGCGGCCGAGGCGGTAAGGGTATTTAAGGAGACGGGTCGGGCCCGCGCAGGTTACTGGCATCTCCGCGTCGGTGGCTCTCTTTCGTCTACCACGTTATACCTGCAGACTCTTGCTCGGACATACGAGTTGCGCCATTTCTATCGCCCGGAGGATCACGCACTTTCCGTGAGTCTCGAGAATCATCTTCAGAAGGATATGCAGCTGACCGAGCGTTCTTCCGATCTCGTCTATTTACACATCACCTTCATATCGATACCCCCTCTCTCCGGACTCCCGTTTCCACATTATCCTCATCCGCGGTCGACACCCGTAATCCACCAGGCCTCTCAGCAACAAGCGGCCGCTGCGGTCCAGCCGGCAGGACCCCGACCAAGCCAGCAGAGGCTTTACTGGCAACGACGTCGAGCCGTGCTCGGCTTGGACAACACGGAGACTGAGGGCCGCCTCCAGGACCGCTTGCAGTTGCGCAATCGCGCTCAGCCGGCCCCATCCTCCGGCGGCGAGCGCCATATGACGCCCGCTGACGCGTTGGATCCCGTAGTGCCCATCTACGAAGAGTACAGCGAACCCATCCCCATTTCTCCCTCCCACAATCGCCAGGCAGGGCATTTCACTCCGCCCTCTTCTCCCGGCGACCCGCCCCGCGTCTTCACCGTCCAACAAGCCATGGCCGAGTGGTACGCCAGCCACCTCATACGCGTCATGGTCCACCCCGGTTCCTACCGGCCGGGCAGCGGCGGCTCGGACCGCAAGCTGTGGGGTGACAAATCCAGCTATCAGAGGAAGTGGGAGGGGACTGGTCGTACGTGCGACGAGTTTGCGGATGTTGACCCTGAGGTGCGGCCCATTCTCAACGAGCTCGTTCGGATCCACTCGCGACCGAAGCCCCGGCACCCGGCGTCTGAACCTCACGATCCCTACCACCTGATGTGGAAGAATCGGAACGGTACGAGTCCTTCCCTCGTCGCCTACTTTGCCGATGTCATCCTCCGCATGGATCTCGACCCGTCCACCGTAATTGCGGCCGTATGGTACCTGCAGGGCATGGCGCTACACGAGGGCGATGTTGACGAGGGCGACAAGATGAGGGAGAAGGGGTATGCGCTGCGGCTCGCGTTGAGGCGGACGGCGGGGGAGCACGATGAGGCGCAAGAGAGGCGGGTGGGGTTGCTGGGATTGACGTTGGCTGCTAGATGGCTGGATGATAACAAGTATCATTTGAGTGGATGGTGAGTACTCTTCATGCTTGACTATGAGGATCTGAGCTGACTACCTAGGACCTCAACGGCTTATATCCCATCTGTCAAAGACGACGGCTCCACTATGACTCAGGAGGAAAAGGAACACAGATTCTCCCGGGAACTCGGGGAACTTCAGTTTTGCGCCCTCAGCGATCTACACTGGTCCCTCTACATCTCCCCATCGTCATTCGCGGACTTCATCCTCGCATGCAAGCAGGAGCTCACCCTTGCCCCGCGATCCAACGACAATCGTTACTCTATCGTCCGGGATCAGCTCGACTTCATCGATAACTTTGAACTGGGCTTCGAGAAGGCGTATCGAGCGCCTCGCGAGCCCCTCAGCCCGGCGTCGCCCCTTCCTCGGGCCATGAGCGACCCGGAGTCCGAAGAAGAGCAGGTCGCGATCCTTGGCTCGCCCTCTCGCCTCGTCCCTTCCAAGCTCTTGGAGGACGGCGCGTCGGTCTTTGGCCCTGAGAGTACGGTCATGGACGTGGAGGCGGACGAGAGCCAGGTGGAGCAGGCGGTCGATGCTGAGGATGAGGGCGCCGACCAGAAGGAGATGGAGGGCGTGGATCTTATCATGGAGGACCAAGCCTCCGAGTACGGCTCTGTCCTCGGCAGCGAGTACAGCGACTACTTCTCGGAGTACGACGGCGCTCCTCGCTTCATTCCTTCCTCCCGACGGTGCTCTTCGCCGATGGAGATGGACGAGGAGCAGCTCGTCGAGGTGGACAACTGGCGGATGGGGGTGGTCAACCAGACAGCTCAGCCTCGGGGGCCGGGGTTCATCGTTCCCACCATCATCGTCCCTCAGCCAGCTGGCTTCGCCGCCGCGCCCCGTCTCGCGCCCGTCAGACCTCCTCGGCCTGCCCTCGCCGTCAATACGGCGTTCGATCCTCGTCGTGAGCTCTTGGCTAGAGTCGCCACGGCCGAGTACTCCCCCTTGTCGCCGTACGAGACGAGGCGGGTCGCTGTGCAGCCCAACCGTCTTTACCTCCCCCTGCCCACCGCGCGGGTCCGGGATCCCCACCGTATCAGCTCGGCCATCCTCCGTCGCGAGCCCAACGTACCGGACCACTTTGCGCGGCCCGCCCAGAGTCCAACCGTTCTCGCTCCGCTCATGACGGCGCTCGAGGCGGAGCTCAAGCCGACTGCTGCTCGTCCTCGTATGGTCCCGGCCGTCAACGTCGCCCAGCTCAGGTTCGGCGGGCCTAACGCCGAGGCAGGCCCTTCCCGGCCCCGTGTACCCCTCGCGCCGATCTCGGCCAATATCATGGACTACGAGTCGCCCCTCCAGCGCGCGATGAATCGGGTCTTGAAGCCTATGAACAGGTAGGTTTCCCCTTCTTTGTGTTGCGGTGGGACCAAGCTGATCTCCAGGACTCCCCTGCAGTATGTCCACTGCGCCTGAGCGTAAGCTCGGCAATATCAAAAAGACATAGCTTTCAGCTATTATACCCCGGTCCCTACCTCATTTCTCATTCCGGTCAAAATTCGATCTCGGTCATTTGTACATTACGGCTCCTCGATACCCCCGCCCTTACCTGGCTCCGCTATCCTGCGGAGCTTTACGATCTCACTTTAACGATAATATACCCTCCTTCCTATCGAAAGTCCTCCGAGGACATCCTCTCCCCCTCATCTCCTCGGACGGCCAAAGCACCACTCAATATCCCTCCACCTCTCCTCCTAGGCTCCCTCGCCCCTTACCTCGGTCCCCAGTCTCACCTGTAATCGGGCATTACTCCAACTTAGCTTGTCGTTATGACTGCTACGTCACACTCTTTCGGTAGGCTAGTATTGTATTCGTAGCATCTCATATCGCACTGCCTCAAGCGTGCTTTCAACCTTCACTTCGCTATTTTACATCTGCCGCATCAAGTCGACTACTGCAATAGAGAGCCTCAGATAGCGATAGCACTTGATGTATATGGCCGTCTGCAAAACAGGTCATCGCGCAGTCACTACGCTGTCAGGTCATCGACTCGATGAGAGCCTTGAGTCCGGTATCAGAATTCTATACGTACATCGTGCACCTCAAGATCGTCAACTGTCCCCACACTCCCCCTTCCACGCCTACCCGCACATACCGCGCTAACTCCCCTCCTCCCCCTTCCCCTCCCTCTTCTTTACCCACTCCACAACCCCCTCCCAGTCCGCCACCCTCTCGACCCCATCCGGGACCCACCCCCTCTTCCTCGCCTCTTCCCATCTCTCCTCGGACTCGCCCAAAGCCCCCTTCGCCTCTTTCTCGAGGTACGTCAGCCCGCCGTCGTCCAGTGCGCGATCGTCCGGGTGGATAGGGACGTCAGGGGAGGGGATGGAGGCGTTCCAGCCGTATGTGCCGAATAGGAGGCACTGGACGGGTGGGGAAGAGTGGAGAGTCGCGTGTAGGACGTTCTCGGCGGAATCGTCTATCAGGACGAAGGCGCCTGTCTCGTGGCAGATCTGGATGTCAGTTTTGGATCCATAGGATTCGACGAGTGTGAGAGGTAGAAAGAAGGCAAGAAGTAAGATGGTAGAGCGAGAGAGCCACCTCCGCTTTGGTCCGCTTCTTGTGGGACAAGACCGCACGCCGAGCAACATGACCCTCGTCCTCTTCATGCGTCGCGGCGAGATGTACAAAGGCGCCAGTAAAGTGTATCTCGTCGAACACTGGAGTATCAGCATCTGTCTCTCCAGAATCCAGACTCATCGCCCACCAAGCGGCCACTCACAATCAGGCATATGTTCCGCAATCCAATCCTCAGAGACTTCCCGACTGCTCTCCCCTCGCGCAGTAATGATGATGAGCCGATACCCCATATCTTTGAGCTTCTGCAAGCCCTCGCGAGCACCGGGTACGGGCGCACTTCGGCCGTACAGGCCAGCATTGCAGAGTTCGACCTGCGGATCAGCATGAGCGCGGTGCTGGAGTGGCAAAGTGGGGGAGGGGTGGGGGACGTACGACCATTTTCGCCGTTTGCTTTGCGTCGCCCCAGCCTCGGTTATTCCAGTACAGGTCTGGGTATCAGCGATGACCAATAGAGAGTAGAAGGTGAGCAATGTACAATGCTTGAAGTCGGCGAGGGAGAGAGGGGGTTGCATGCCATATCGCGCGTTGTGCACTGTCGCGTGAGCTGTAGTCCAGCAAGGCTAGGGGATGGGTATGACCTACTCTCAACGATAGTCTGATTGGTCTGTCTGTAATACTGTAAGCTTCAACAGCGCAGCAGCCCTGTATTACTCACGCGAGGACATCGTCCATATCCACGGCGATGGTCCCCTTGGACGGTCCCGCTGGAGAGGGCGCAAAGAACTCCTTGGCTTCGTTGACCTGCACGTCGCTCATCTTGGAAGTCTTGCGGATGTGTATAGTTGTGCGGCTCAGATTGCTAGGTAGTCGGACGAGTGCACAGATCGGAGTTAGGACGATGGTGAGGGCTATGGTATATGGAGAGTGACGAAGAACAAGGGATGTTCAACGTTCTGATTCAACCGCTCGGCCGATGACTACATGCTGTCATATGTACCTCACCCCGCTCACCCATGTACACGCTTTGACTGCTCGGTTCCCTGCCGGTCCTGGCCCATGCGGTCCACTCCGAAGGCGGACAAGGAGGACAGATGGCCAAGACGGGGAAGCGAACAGGGGACTGAACGTTGTACGATGAGGATCGAGCTTCTCTCCTCCACCATCGGACACATGAAACGCCCAGGCACGGTCACATGCTTCGAGAAAGGGCCATGTTGCTCTATGCAGTGTCCCCTCATTCCGCACGTCCACCTCTCCAGCAAGCTGGAACCTGTTCATAGCCCGCAACTCGCGCTTGTACGATGCATGAAGGACTGAGCAGGAAGCAGCGCTAGCGCGAGATCGCGCGGCGATTTCTGTTGCTGACGTAACGCCTCCATCGTCACCCTTCGAGGACCCTCCTCCGCATTCCTCCACTACCTCTCTCTTCTCTCCATCACCTATCTACTTAGACATCATTACCTAGCTCCTTTAGACACTGCTGCTGTCTGTGTAGCCGTAAAAGATCGATTGACCCGAGAGAAAGACCTCCCTCGACAGACTCGCAAGACACGCAACCCTCTTTCCTTCTTCCACCTTCTCCTTTGATCATGGCATCCGAAATGGAAGTGGACTCGGTCGTACCGGGAGACGCAAGTGAGCTCTGAGTTTCTTGATGGGATAGCATAGAGCTGACATGCGTAGTTGACGGTATGTTCCTCTCCGCACCTGACAGGGATACCATATCGAAAGACGAGACGAATGGAAGCTGATCAATCAACTAGAGGGTCTGTACTCTCGTCAATTGTAAGCTGATAGACCTCCTCTGTTGTGGAGAGGATTGAGCTGAGTTCAACAGATACGTGCTCGGTCATGAGGGTATGTCAATCTTTGTGCTCAAGTGGTGGCTAGTCTGACGGCGTAGCTATGAAGAAGATGGCCGCTTCGAACGTGCTCATCGTCGGTATGAAGGGTCTCGGTGTGGAAATCGGTAAGCTGCCTGACGAGCGACTACCGCACCCATTCAAGTAGCTGACTCGACCAGCCAAGAACGTCGCGCTCGCCGGTGTCAAGTCAGTGACGATTTACGACCCCTCCCCAGTGGAGATAGCCGACCTCGGGACCCAGGTCAGTTGCCTGAGCGTCCGGCAGTTCGAAGCTAGCTGGCCCGAGCTGACTTTATAGTTCTTCCTCCGCAAAGCAGACGTCGGCAAGTCCCGAGCGAGCGTCACCGCTCCCCGGCTATCCGAACTCAACTCTTATGTCCCCATCAACGTGCTCGAGGGTTCAGGGGATATCACCGCCGACAAGATTGCTCCATTCCAAGTAAGTCCGCTCGCATGGTGCCAGTCACGGGCCAAGATAAAGAGCTGATCCTCTAGGTCGTTGTATTGACTAACGCGACGGTGGCGAAGCAGATTGAGATCGACGAGTTTGCCCGAAGTAAGGGGATCTACTTCATCGCTGCGGACGTTAGAGGGTTGTTTGGGTGAGCTTGCCAATTTGCACCCTTTAGGACATATAGCTCACACCGTAGATCCGTCTTTAACGACTTTGGCAAGGACTTCGCGTGTGTCGACTCGACAGGGGAGAACCCGCAATCAGGGATGATTGTCCACGTCGAGGAGGTGAGCTCAACACTTCCCTATAACCTCGGGATCGAGCTGATGTATCAGAGCGAAGACGCCCTGGTGACATGTATGGATGAGGTCCGGCATGGTCTGGAAGATGGAGACTATGTGACCTTCACGGAGGTCAAGGGGATGGAGGGATTGAACTCGGCCGAGCCGCGCAAGGTCACGACCAAAGGTGAGTTACCCCATTCTCCACATGAAGGTAAAGCTGACATAAAGGCCCGTATACCTTCACCATCGGCAGCACGACTGGTCTGGGAGCATACAAGTCTGGCGGTATCTTCACCCAGGTCAAGATGCCCAAGATCCTCCAATCCGTAAGATGTTCGCTTTTACGCGTGAAGTAACGCTGACCTTCAGCGATCCCTCAAGGAGACCCTCACGCAGCCCGAATACTTCATCACCGACTTTGCCAAATGGGACCGACCCGCAACTCTTCACGTCGGTTTCCAAGCCCTCTCCAAATTCTACGAGACCCACAACCGTCTCCCTCGACCTCGGAACGCTGAGGACGCTGCCCAAATCGTCTCGCTCGCCAAAGAGATTCACGCCGCAGCGAAGGGCGAAGAGGACCTCTCGGAAAGTGTCCTCGAATCACTCGCTTTCCAAGCAACGGGTGATCTCTCCCCCATGGTCGCCGTCATTGGCGGTTTCGTCGCGCAAGAAGTGCTCAAGGCATGCTCGGCGAAGTTCCACCCCATGCAGCAGAACATGTACTTTGACTCGCTCGAGTCACTCCCGTCGACCTTGCCGTCCGAAGCGGACTGTCAACCCCTCAACTCGCGGTACGACGGCCAGATCGCGGTGTTTGGCCGAGAGTTCCACGAGAAGATTGCGAGCCAGAAGCAATTCCTCGTTGGGTCTGGCGCGATCGGGTGCGAGATGCTCAAGAATTGGAGTATGATGGGATTGGGAAGCAAGGGGGAGGGGATCATCCATGTGACGGATCTGGATACGATCGAGAAGAGTAATCTCAACCGACAGTTCTTGTTTCGTCCGAAGGATGTGGGACACTTCAAGGCGGAGGCGGCAGCGGCGGCGGTGGCTGAGATGAACCCCGAGTTGAAGGGGAGGATCATCGCGCATCAGGACAGGGTTGGGCCGGAGACTGAGGGTGAGTCTTTCGGAGTGCGTGAGGGATGGGGCTGATGGGTAGATACGTACGGTGATGAGTTCTTCGCGGCGGTCGATGGTGTCACCAATGCTCTGGACAATGTCATGGCTCGTGAGTTGCATAGATTCGACGTACCTGCAGGAACACAGCTCATACATAGGCCAATACATGGACCGCCGCTGTGTATTCTACCAGAAGCCCCTCCTCGAATCCGGTACGCTCGGTACAAAGGCCAATACCCAGGTCGTCGTACCCTTCATCACCGAGTCGTACTCGTCTTCCCAGGACCCGCCAGAGAAGTCCATCCCATCTTGTACCGTCAAGAATTTCCCCAATGCTATTGAGCACACCATTCAGGTACGCAGGTCACATATCCGGTAAAGGATGACCAGAGCTGACAATCGCAGTGGGCTCGAGAGGCATTCGACGCCCTATTCGTCAATCCACCCACTACCGTCAACCTCTACCTCTCCCAGCCCAACTTTGTGGAGACCACCCTCAAGTCCTCGGGCCAGCACCACGATCAGCTTAAGCAGATTGAGAAGTACCTCGTCAAGGACCGTCCGACGAGCTTTGCCGAGTGTATCCAGTGGGCGCGGATGCAGTACGAGACGGACTATGGAAATGAGATCAAGCAGCTTCTCTTCAACCTGCCGAAGGATCAGGTCAACTCGAATGGGACGCCGTTCTGGAGTGGGCCGAAGCGTGCTCCTGATGCTTTGTCTTTCGACATCAATGATGTGAGTTTCAGGCTGGGCTTGTTTTGGAAAGACGAAGGGGAAGTAAGGGCGGAGCTTATATTCTCAGCCATTGGACTTTGCGTACCTCGTGTCCGGGGCCAACCTCCACGCATTCAACTATGGCCTGAAGGGCGAGCGGGACCCGGCGATCTTCAAGAAGGTCGTCCAGGCGATGAACATCCCAGAATTCAAGCCAAGGTCGGGCGTCAAGATCCAGATCAGCGAGACCGATCCCGTCGCGCAGGGCAGTAACGATGGTGAGTTCTGACCCCTACGGACGGGTTTGATCCGAGAGCTACAGCTGACACCGTAGACGAGGACGTCGACGCTATTGTCAAGTCCCTCCCGTCCCCTTCGTCGCTCGCAGGCTTCCGTCTCGTCCCCGTCGATTTCGAAAAGGATGACGATACCAACCATCACATTGACTTTATCACGGCGGCATCTAACCTCCGAGCGAGGAATTACAAGATTACCGAGGCGGATCGACACAAGACCAAGTTGATTGCTGGCAAGATCATCCCGGCTATTGCGACGACGACGGCGTTGGCGGTTGGCTTGGTCTGTCTGGAGCTGTACAAGGTGAGTTGCGCGATACGGTAGCTTGATCAGGACTGGGACTTGGGCATGTGGTGTGATCGAGAGGAAAAAGAGCAAGAGCTTACTGGATAGTTGATCGACAAAAAGACCAACCTTGAGGACTACAAGAATGGGTTTGTCAACTTGGCGTTGCCGTTCTTTGGGTTCTCGGAGCCTATTGCTGCTGCCAAGCAGAAGGTGAGTCTGTCGTTCTGCACCTTCCAGCTGCCCCCCTCTTACTGCTCTCAGCGTCAGGGATCAAGCTGACCCTCCAGTACGGCGAGACCGAGTGGACCCTCTGGGACCGATTCGAGCTTCCCAACAACCCTACCCTCAAAGAAATGCTCGACTGGTTCAAGGATACCCACAGGCTCGAGATCACCATGGTCAGCCAGGGCGTCTCGATGCTGTGGTCGTCGTTTGTTCCTCCCAAGAAGGTGAGTTATCAAGTTCCGTTGGAGTTAACAACGAGGAGCAAGTAGCTGATAATCTAGGCTGCGGAACGCATGAACATGCGCATGTCAGAGTTGGTGGAGAACGTCAGCAAGAAGCCTATCCCGCCGCACGTCAAGAACTTGCTCGTCGAGGTCATGTGCAACGATGAGGACGATGAGGACGTCGAGGTGCCTTATTGTTTGATCCATATCTAGGGAGGTAGAAGGGGCGAGCTGAGCGAAGGAGAATTAGAGGAAAGAAAGGAGAAGAAGAAGTGATTTGTCTGGATGTGTTTAGATTCGGCTTCATGCATGCTTTGCTGTATCCACCAGGTGGGCAGCATGACAGATGCGACCTTGATCTGGGGCATGGGGTATGGGGGGTAGGTATACAACATGCGCGAATGCATTTTCGTTCTATTCGCAGCTCTAGCGCTCTGCCTTGATCTGAATCGACCCTCGGTATTCATGCCGCCTCTTCGCCATCCCCATCTGCTCCAGCCGCCGCTTGCCCCTCCGCTGGCTTTGCATTCTTCTGCAGCCATTCTTCTGATTCCCAGACTGTACAGTCAGCTCAAGTCCGTTCAAATCTATTGCAGTCCCCAAGGCCAGGCGCGGCTGAGTACCCCCTCACTTCTCCTCTCTTACCCTCCACCGTCCGTTTCGCCCTTCCCTCGGCTCTGCCACGGTCTGGTCTATAAGAAAGACTTACCAGCCCGATCATACCCCTTACCCGCGCCCCCTTCCCCTCCAGCCTTCTGGAACCGGTCCGGCTGGGCCAGACTGCACTTCAGAAACCGGCCCCGGCCTTGATAGCCTGGTAATTCGTTAAGATCGAAGTTGTCAATAGCTTCTTGGGCGTCGGCGGGGTTGGAGAATGTCAGAAAGGCGAAGCCTCTGTGTTTGTTTGCTGAGAGATTAGCGGACCGTCCATACCCCTGGGATCTGCGTCTAGGAGGTTTGTGTCGTTGATGATGTAGCGCTGATGGGGACCGGAACGTACGTTCGTTGGCTTCATGCGGTAATGAGATCTCTAATATATCGCCTAGCGATGTGAGCTTCGTCTTCAGCCAGCGAGGATATGGCCTTTGCCAACTCACCGAATGTCACGAACGCCTCGAGGAGCTGTTGCTCATTCACCTCTGGGGCCAAGCCCGCGACGTACACTGTTGATTTCTTTGACGAGCCAGCGCCGGAGGGTTGAGCGTCCATGTTGCTTGGGGTCGGTGGGAGATGAGGGGTGATAGGGGGATGCAAGGGAGCAAGAAACAAGCAAGAAACGAAGAAACGAAGCTGGCTTGCCAGCACTGCATACCAGGACGGACTTCTCAATAACCTCCGAATCTCAATCGCTTAGCTCGCCAAAGTCCTCTCGAAACCCCCGTCCTTTGCTTCGGCAGCGGGCTCGCAAACTCTCTTCTCCACCATCCACACAACGCCACATACACACATCCTCAGGCCTACTGCCGTGCCCTGACGACATCCCTCGATCTGCTCTCGCTCTTCTTCGCTGTGACGAACACTGATCATCTGATGGAAGCATGGTCAGCTGCCGAGCGGTCAAGAAGCTGTCCTTATCGGCGCGCTTCGCATGACTTGCGGACGCCTCACCCCGTCAGCAGCCCCGACAATAAAAGCGGCGAAGTAGCCGAAGACTTGCCGATCGATCGATCGCCACCCTGATGCACCTCATCAAGCTGTGTGTACCGCTCTCCGTGCCTGGGTGGGGGACCCTACCTTTCTCAGTCTCGCCCATATGTGGATCTCGCCCGACGGCTCCGCGCTCGCTTCATTTCGGGGTGGGCTGCACACACAAAAGGAGGGGGTACTCTGGCTCGGATGCTGTTTCGAGTCCGAGCTAATCAAGCTGTGTTTTACTGACCACCTCCTTTCGGACTACCGGCGATTGACTGCGAGTATGACTACCATGGGTGACTGACCTCCTTTCGATGCAGCACAGCGAGTAGAAACATGGATGAGGCGGGGAAGAAGGCGCAGGTATAGCAGAGGCTGCAGAGAGGCATGTAAATGGTGGAGCGGAGTGGTCTGGCCCATGGAGCTGAAGCATGCGGCCTGCTCAAGCCGCATCCGCTGCTTCATTCAGAAATCACTTGTGAGTTCTACCAAAGGACTCTGCTAAACCCAAAGGGACCTCGGAAACGAGGTGATAGGACAGGAAAGGATGGGGACGGCGAGGGGGTAGATTGTGTAGGTCAGTTGAGATCCTCATTACTACCCTTGCACAGTGCTTCGGCTTTGCTGACTCGGGAAGGCTTCCCCCACTTCTATTGTATTCAGGTACGATACTGCGGACTGGCAGCTAGCTCTGTTTGGGATCCTTGGGACGGGCGCCACTTGCGAGGGAGTGGGGCTGGGGCGCAGAAGGGCAGCGTATAAAGCAAGACAAAGCTCGTCGCCCACGGTATAGCTCCCCAATCATCCTTGGGTCTATCAAGCTTCACCATCAACACTGCGCCTCTCATACCATATACTCATCGATCATCTCACAGTACGTTGACTTTGCCTTTGACTTCGTCGCTTCGTGATCCCTGCTCACATGTCAACATGAAGTGGCCTACGCTGACAGCTAGTCGACCCTTATCCCCTTCAGTTCTTCCCCACACGCCAGGGTCTTTCTCGCCATCCGACCCTTCGCCGGGCCCATCATCACCCTCCTCCCTCTTTGCCTTCCCGGAGCGGGCAGTTGATGTTCGGTCGACTAGAGCCCAACCGCAATTCGTCGAAGCAGCCCATTGATCACGGCTCTTCACGAACTGTCGACACCGCCTTATCCCCTCCTCAATCCCCTTACCCTCAACCTACGGGCGCACTCCACCCTGCCACCCTCGCCCCGCTCTCGGCCTCGCGTTCCTCCTCGTACTCTCACCAGCCCCCGCAACTCGCTCCCTACCGCCCCCTCGCACCGGCTTACGATCCGACACGACCTAATCCGCCCTCATCGGTGGGCTTACATGGGCTGGCGGAGGCAGCGATGATGGAGGAAGCGAGGGACAGCGCACCGTTGGATAGGCGGTTGCCGCCCCCGTTGACACAGCGACCATCGAACGAGGATCAAGGGAGGTTCTGGGAGCAGCGTCCTCCTCAACCACGGCCGCAGAGTGTGAGTCGCCAGCCTTCATATGACAGGTTTCGGGCTGACGAGATAGGCCTGGACAATCCCGCTTCGTCCCACACCACTTCCATCACCCGCTCGCACCGCCCCTCCTCCCGCACCCGTCACCATGCCCCATCAAGCCAGACCTGCCCAATCCCAAGCTCCAGCGTCCTCCTCTTCCCGCCCCACTCCTACCCCCCCACCCTCCCGCCCCACCCCAACCCCAGCAGCAACCAGACGCCCTCCCACCATATACACCAGCGAGAACCCTCATCCGCTCGCCAACATCAACCTCGACGCGGTATACAACCCGCCGACCGTCGAGGAATGGGAAGAGCAAGCTTTGCGCGTGCTCCGTCTCCCGCCTATCCCACCCGCTCGACTCCGCATCGCCGCGGCGGCAAGGGCGGCGGCGAAAGCGGAAGCTGAGGCTGCTGCTGGGAAGGCAAGCGGTACGGCAGCATCGAGTACGATTAGCCCGCCTTTGACAGCTGGTCCGGACGCGCCTCGGCCAAGCATTCCAGGCAGATCCATCCCGGCGGAAAGCCGACCGGCCGACCAGTCTCGTCAGCCGCCCATTACTCAACCAACCCCACCTTCCTCCGCCTTACCTTCATCTACCATCGCTACTCCCACCCTACCCTCAAGCACCATCACTCCCCTTCCCACCTCCACATCTCCCCACTCCACCTCGTCCAACGGGAAACCTCGCCATGGCCGCGGACACGATCGTCGACCGCGCGCGACCCCCCATTCCTCCGTTTGGGCAGCGAGCGCAAGCCAAGTTGCACCCTTTGACGCGGGCGGGCGGCGGATCCACCCTCCTCCGGGCGGAGCGACGCTTCCTGCCCCTCGGTCCGCGCGCAGTCTGTCCGATGTTGGGCTGTCGGACCGGGAAAGCTCTCCCGTCGAGCCAAAGTCGAGCTCGGATCCGGGACCGGCGGAGCCGGTAGAGGTCGAGCATACCCCTGCGCCCAAGAAGAAGCGGCCCCCACCCAGCCTCCACCTCTCCCCCGCTGGTACAGCATCAGCTTCCCTCCCTCGCCCGGATGCCGCCGAGACATTCGAGGCGCACTCGACTCGACGTCGGACCTCCACTCGCCCGGACCTGGTCCGTGCTCACTCTGGATCCGCCAGCTCTCGGTCCCCTTCGAGCGCTGGATCGGGGCATCGACCCCGCCGCCGCCCACAACCCGGACCGACCGCAGACCCGCTCGCTGGGATCTCTTCGGCGGCGGAGTATGAGGTGCGAACAAGGGAGGAAGAGCTGGAACGGCGGTGTGCGGAGCTCGAGGAAGAGCTGCAGAAGGTATGTTGCTGGGCTCCGTGCGGGTCTGAAGCGCGGTGATGGATCGGAGCTGACCATGCAGACCAAGAAGACCCTGGCCTTCACATCCGAGCTCAACCTCGAGATGCAAGCCCAGGGAGTGAAAGACCGGAAAGAGTTGACGAGGGTGCAGGAGGAGCTGGCGGTCTGGAAGAAGGGGGCGGGGACGGCAGAGGGGATGGCGGAGAAGGGTGATGGGGGAGAGAGGACTGCAGCTGTAGAGTAGAATCTCTATGTAGTCCTTCTCGATTCGTGCTCTTGGGTTCACTGCAATATAGAATAGCATCATGAAGCAGACAGGCTGTTCTACGGTTCTCAAGTGAGGAAATCGCCAGAAGGAAGATTGAACCCTTGATCGAGCACTGCCCACTGCCCACTGCCCACTGCCCACTGCCCACTGCCCGTATGCCTCCTCCTCAAGACGGCCGACTTTCCGCTGCTCCCAAGTTTACCCTTGTGCTTCCAGGAGAGTAAAAGGTGGCCCTCGCATAACGGGGCGGCAAGAGTGGTATATCGATACATTGCGGCAGACCATTAGATAATGGCAACAGACTAACGCCCTACATGCAGAGTACCGTCATAGTCTGCTGTACCCTGCTCCAATCTCCCTGCCTCTTGCCTTCCGTCTATCACGTCAGCTCGTATTCTCCTTCAAAATGCTATCAAAGATCCACTCACGCATACCACAATCACCCGCTGATCATCAATCATCACCCCATTCGCGCGCATCTCTTTCCTGCGCCACACCTCCCTGAACGGCAACCCCGAAACAACATCCTCCCGCCACAATCTCCGCCTCTCCAGGACCGTCGGCGCAGTCACCACCCTGACTTCATAATCCTCATCCACCTCCTCTTCCTCCTCGATATCCCCATTATCATCCAGCATCTCCTGGTCCGGTCCCGCCATATTGATGGGCTGGGACGCGCGCCGGAAGATCGCAGAGGGGGAAACCGACCGGGGGGTGCGGGACCGACTGCGCCGTTCGGGCATACCGCTACCAGAAGCAGAAGGCATAGGCGGTCCGGGCGAGGGCGAAAAGTATCGGGTCCGACTGTGACTGTGGCTCGCGTTTGGCGGGCGATGATGTCGGCCCGACAAGTGATGTTGACTTCTACTCCGACTTCGGCTTTGACTCGCGCTGTCCGACCGCCTTCCCCCTGCTCTGCCTCGCCCACGCTCCCTATCCGCCCGGTCGGACCGATGTCGATCTGCCCGATCTGACGCAGCATGGAACATTTTGTCATACTGCTTTCTGAACCGCTCGAATGTGCGCTCCAGCTCCTGCTCTCGCCGAGTAGGGTCGGCAGTCTCGTCATCGAGCGCCTTGTCCCACTGTTGCATCTCCTGCAGCAAGACTCGTATATCTTCGTCGGAGAGCGGGGCGGGCGCAGAGGAAGTAGGGATGTCCTGAAGCTTGTCCCATGGTGCCAGGGCGGTCTTGGAGAGACCAATTTCTCGCCGGACGGAGTAGGGCGAAAAGTCCATCAGGAGCAAGTCGGACCGGCGGGGTGCGTCAGGCTCGCCAGGCGGGGCAAGAAAGAGGTCGTCGGAGGGGATGAGGGAGATGAAGCGGTAGCCCGAGCATGAGCAGACCTGGACATCAGCTAACCACCACGTGAGCCTTAGACTATCAACGCACCCAGCTCCGTGTCGGCATGGACGCATCCATCATCCTCGCTCCCTCTGTTGCCCAATCTTCCCACTTGATATCCTCCTCCACTCTGAACCTCTCGAAACCATCCGTGCCCCCTTCGTCCCTTGCTGCTCTCAAGCGCTCCTCTCCCGCTTTCGCCAAATCTACCAACGTCTCCCTGAGCACAAACAGCTCATACGACACCTTCTCCCCTGTGCCACCTTCGCCACCCTCAGCAGGCTCGATCAGCTGCAGATCCAACACAACGACCCCCTTCCCCGGATCTTGTGTGAAGGGCTTGCTTCCGCCTATTCTGGGACCGGAGGACTCGCCACCCGGCCCAGGTTCTCGAGGTGGGAAAGCTGGATCAGGCCGGATATCGAATCCGTCGACCACCGCACCGGCGGCGAAGCGCGGTAGTTCCAGCTGCGCAAGAAGGACGGGACGAGGGGTGGAGTCGTCGTGGAACTCAGCGAGGAGGGGCTGGGCAGGGTTGACCGCGTGGTATGGATCAGGCTGGAAGCTGTAGATCTGGACGACCGGGGGAAAGACAGTGGGCGGAGCCGGACGAGGTTCTGGGTCGAGCACGGTAGAGATATTGGAGGTGGAGGTGATCATGAACGATGTAGGCGTGAGGAGGGCAAATGATGCCAGCCAGGGGTTTTCGGGAAGGCTCAAGCGCTAAGATCAGCTCTGCCACGGCTGTGACTTACAGCTAGGACATTCCCAGTCTTCCAGTTCCAGCAAACAATCTCCTCCTCGTTCCCATGGCTCGCCATCGGCATGTTCATACCCAGTCCGGCGAGAAGCCATGACGCCATGTACCGGCTGACCATAACGACCAGGACGTCACCCATGACTTGCAGGAGTTGTCGGGTGGACATGATCGGGTGGAGGTAGGGTGGGAAGTCGAGCTCGGAGAAGGCTGCGAGTGGGTGAGGGGCGAAAGTGGAGAGCGTGAGGAGGTGATATCGGTGTGTGGGTCCAGGTGTGGTCGGGTCTGAAGAAGCGGGGCTGATCTCAGCTTTAGTAGACGCACGGACTCACCGATGCTCGCTGACGACAATAAGATCCTGGGTCGGATCCATAGTCAAGTCGGCAATAGAAAAAGGCAGCTTGGCCGACTTGAGCGGGATGGGCGGATTATCCAGATCCAGATCCATCGCCGACGGCAGAGGGACAAGACGGATTGTATCTGGCTATACCGTCAGCTCGACCCGGAATGAAACTCACCTTGCCATCCGCAGAATCCTTGTACTCGTCACACATGAGGAACAAGCCCTCTTGGAGCTCATACACCACTGCTGGCCCCTTGACGTGAAACCGCCTCTCATCAACCTCGGTCAATTTCGACCACCGCTTCTCGCGCTCGATGAGCTGGGCAGCTTTCTCGGCTGCTCCTAGAGGACGATTGGAAGGCCGATAGACTCGCTCCGAGAGGGGCGGATCGAAAGGGAGGGGAAAGGTGACTGAGGGGTGGGTCGAGGAGCCGCCTAAACGAGAGGAGGTACGACCTCGGCCACGCTCGGTATCTGGCTCGTCCCACCCGCCTCCGACCGTGAGTGGCTCCACACTATTCTCTTCATCTTCCTCTTCGATCTGAGCATGCTCGAACGCCACATCGAGGTAAGCAGAGGTACGCAGGGCGAACTCGTATTGCAGGATAGATGCTTCGTTGTAGACCTCTTGTAGGGATTTGCAGACCTTGAGATTAGCCGGACCCCCAGCAATTCCAGGCCCCTCACCCAGTACGACATATACAGGCGTTCGACATACCCTCAATAGGCATAGACGGTCCGTCATACCCAGCTGATAGAAGACCTGGACGACGACCTCCGGAGGCAAGTCCAGGAGCCCCGGTCCAGCCGAGACCTCCACCGCGTCCGACTCGTCCAAAGCGGGGGGACGCTGCGCCGAGGGCGAGCGCATACGAATGTCTTGGTCTCCGGCCATGGCTGTGCTTGCGTCTAGCTGTCTTGAGTCTGTATGATAGATGAAGAGTGAGATGGAAGAGCTTCGCTGAGGCAGCTGCCTGGGCATAGCCGAGTAAGCTTCAAAGGTGGACTGTTCCGTCGGAAGCGTCGGCGCGTCTGCAGCGCGACCGCTGATGCCTTCACTCGAGTACTTTGCCTTATGTAGCGTATACCCTTCTCAAATCACCCAATCCGCCCAAGAACCAGCATACTGCTCGTATGCCTCCCTCAAAACGCCAGCGCGGCGAAAATGCCGTCCAAGAAGCGGGACCTCCAGCCAGCTCGACGCCCAAATCCCCCGCACAAGAGGTCTATGGCATATTGGAGATCCGGAGGCGGATCCTGAAGGAGCTGGACAGGAGGACATTGGCGGTAATGTTGAGGACCGAGAAGGCGATTACGGCCAGCGTTGCAGAGGTGCTGTACAGGAAGATTCATATATCACTTGTTAGCAAGATGAGCAAAGCGAGTGTGAGTTCAGGGTTCAATGTCTCGATGTCTGCTGGCAAAGTGGGGCCGGGACAAGTGAGCGCGGTTCAAGCTGATCCCTCAGGCAAGACGGACGGTCTACTGTCAAGCGGTCCGGATCCTCGACGCAAGCCCTCGACCGGTCTTCGAGGCAACGGCGGTCAAACATCGATCACTGAATGCCTCTCCGTCTCCCGTCCGATTCGACCCGGAGAAGGTCTTCAAGCAGCTCTCAGGCTGGCGGAAGAAATACCCTCAGCTCCTCCGGGTCGACTACCATCATCCTCCGAGCGATGGGGACGATGCGTATACCGCGCATCTTCGGGACGGCACGATCCATATCGACCTGGAAAGGCGGGAGACATGTCCCATATCCTTTGAATCACCGGTCATATACCCAATAGATAACTTGTTACCCACATTACCCTCTCACCCGCAACTCGTCATCAATCGCACGATCGCGATTCGCTTGGTGTGCGATATGGTTCCCGACACTCCGGAGAAGATCACGGCGTGGAGGCGGGAACTCGCCAAGGTTACCGATCATCCTCGGGTGGTGTCCGTGATTCTAAGTCCGTTGCACGGTCGCCATCATCTCGAGCGTTCAGAGGCCATAGCTCTCGCGTGTAAACGCAAGTCTTCATCGTCCTATCCTATCACATCTTACCAATTTCCTCCTGGCTTGCCCGAGACCTTCGCCGAACTCGCAGAGGCCATCGGGCCAAGTCTGCGCACCCTATACATCCACGACTCCAACCTCACGTCCCTCGGTCCTCTCCCAGACGCCATCGCATTCCTCGATCGGACATTTCCTTCCCTCCAATCCCTCTCTATCCAATTCTCGGACCGCGGCGGATTCCGGTATGAGCCCTCGGGCCTGCCCAATCTCACTCGCCTATACTACCACTGCGACCGGGACAACTTTAGCTATCGCGAGGCGGCCTTTCTCGTACATCAGCTCGGGAACGGCGATACGGTCTTTCTCAATCCGGGTCTGGCGGATAGTAAAGAGATGAAGATGTTTCACGCGAAGGTCAAGCAGCTCAAGCAGTAGGTCGATGTGAGACTTTGTGTATGGTGATTGGGCTGATCAGGCAGGAATATCCCCACGATGGTGTAAACTCGGTAGAGCGATCTGCTGAAGCTCGAGGCGTAAGGGATGGGCTGGTACTTGCAGGGGTTTGATGGGGGTGCAAGAGGTGCTGATAGGGATGCGGGGATACTTGATAGGCACTTCTTGTGTATTAGTTTGTCACCGGTCAGCGATATATATCCATATACCCTTGATCTACCGTACAACTGCACATACGCCATACAAGCTACAGAGTCCCTATATGTAACACGACCTCGATCTCTCCCAAAGCACGCGCCGCCCCTTGTACAGCCAAGACTCCCTCCGTCCCCAAGACAGCACCGGCATGCCCTCCTCGCGTACCGCCGCGCCGTGACCTTCTCCAGCATCGCCGACTATGTATCGAGGGGCGGTGATGGGTTCGTCATACCCATCGGACCAGGCTGAGGCGGGTCGGCCGTGCCCATCGGACCAGGTTGAGGCGAAAGAGAGGGGTCTTGCCGGGCACGGTGGAGAGCGGAGGAATAGGGATATTTGGATGACGCCGGGACGGGGGCACCGGAGAGACCGCTCAGGACCAGAGCGGCCTTGACGTGGTCGTTCGGGGACGGATGTTTGTCGTCCTTGAGCATCTGAAGACCGCGAAGACCATGGTCCCCGGTGTGTTGATAGTGGTACTGCCTCGTCAGCATGCCTTGTCTTTCGTCCGCGCTCTGAATCTGAATCTGTCACCTTCAATCCATTAGCCTGACAGTCAGCACGGCACACGCCCCGGTTCAATCTCGCTGTAGCGTGTGCTGAGCTTACCTGACGGTACCTCTTCGGACAGCCTTCCACGATACAGCTCCAAGGCTTGCTCTGCCGTTCTGCCTCTTCGATAGACAGTCCCTGCTGGAGAGCATTGCGCACGTTAAAGTCACATTGCCTGCGAAATCAGCTTCTGTAGGCCCGCATTGAGGGATAGAGTCCTTTGGACGGTCTCTTGAGTGCTCACCCTTTGCTCTGATGATACTTCAGCCCATTAAAGTTTTTAAAGACCTTAGAGCATCCATCAACCTCACACCTCCATATCTTCCCTGTCGCCGAGCTAGCACTTGAAGCTCTGCGTCTGCCCGGGGTTCCCGCCTTGACGGGATGGACGTGGGAGCTTGGACCGGCCGTGTCCTCGAGTACGATGTCCGCGAACTCGTCTTTTGGGCTATTCATTGCCTCGACATCCTCTTCCAGGAGTCTCGTCATGATTACGGATGGGAAAAGTGGCTATGTGAGCTGCTGTAGGATGAGATGTGGTCCGAGAGGTCGGTGAAAAGTTAAGGTGGAGGTCAAGTGAAAAATTTCACCTTTTCGGAGCCGAAGCGGGTGGGTACTCCGCAAGACCGTCCCTATACATCGCAGCCATCCGTATATCGACTACCTGTCCACTGACGCTAGCCCTACAGTCAGCTACAGTCATGTCAGCCGCTCAAGCTTTCTACACAAACAAGGAACTGCGGCGCTGGATTCATAGTCTGGTCGACCGGCAAAGTCTGGTGAAGATGATTCGGCTGGAAAAGGCGGCGGCGGAAGACTTAGCAGCAGTGCTGTATCGGACGCTGCGGATGTGGGAGTTTAAGAAGGTCGTCTCGATGCTCAGATCAAGTGTGAGGATCTTCAATGCTCCAGACAGAATCTTGGCTGAGTGCGCAGCGAAGGCACGCTCTTTATCGGGGTGCTGTCCGGGTGCTGGAGCTGGACCCCACGCCTGATCCAGACGAAGTTCGGGAGTCAGATGAGGAAGAGGACCCAGAGTACCCAGACCCAGAGGCAGGCGTGGGGCGAAGCCTCTACGAGTGGTGCTCTCTCGCCTGTCCCCAGGAACGGGACCCACTCGACCTTCCCGCCCTCCTAAAATCCGCCTTGAATAAGCGAAAGCTCTTTCCCCATCTCGAGTCCATATCGGAGGAGCATCCCACCCGGGTCGACAAAAGCCCATACATCCTCCAATTGCATGGCGACCGTATATCGGTCCAAATCGAAACACACATCCAATTCGACCTCACCAGTCAGCACATCTTGCTCACCAACCAAAGCTTCCCTCCCGTCCCCTCCTGTCCCGGTCTCGAGGTCCGGGAGAGTATTATCCTCTGGATCCGGGACATGAATCACGCTGGGGTTTGGCATGCTCCGCAAGACCAGCGCGACGCGCATGTTCGGTATTTGCAGGATTGCAAAGCCTGGCTCTACCACAATCCCCTCCTCGATAAGCGCGTCACTCGGATCAATCTCCCCCACGATCAACTCGCTCGTGATTCTCGGGCAATTCACCCTTCGCTTGACGAGTTCATCTCATTTCAGGCGCAGCGGAGAGAGGGTGGATGCGAGCCCATCACCACCTGTGTTGTTCCGTGGGACAGGTCGGGGCCTGGGGCGAGGGAGAGTATCACGGCGGACCAATTCAAACGGCTCGTCTCTAGCCTCGGTCCGGAGCTTCGGTCGCTATACCTTTACTGCCCCATCTTCCGGGCCGCCGACGATCTCCAACCCATCATTACCTCCCTTGACGCCGCTTTCCCCGCCCTGTAACGCCTTCGGATCTCCTGGCAGGAAGAGAGCACGGGATGGGACGATCGTACCTACATCGAAAAATCACAGCGCATACCACTCGGCCTACCAAATCTCCGCGTCCTCATCTTTAAACTCGGCTGGGGCGGGACGTTCGCGGAATTTGCCCGCTTTGTTTCCAGACTAGGGCGGGATGACTGTGTGTATACAGGGGACGACCATATGGATAAGCCCCATTACACTGAGATTGTCAGGGAGATGAGAGCGTGAGTATACAATCATACCCTCCCTTGCCGCTGAGGGATCGAGCTGAAAGCTTCCAGCGTTGGCGACTACCCTCCTGACTGGAAATCAGCAAAGATGGGCGATTCTCACTGGGGTGACCTGCATTATCCTTATACGCGTCCACCCTACTAGTAGCTGAGGGATGATGGTGAGGCAAGCGGGCAGCTGAGATCCAGTCACAGGGGCCACATAAAGTCTCAATGTGGTGGTCACCTGAAGAGATGTATTTACCGTCAGACAGACTTATATGCCACATACTACCACTTGATCTAACTCTGTATGTCTCCTGAGCTTGATCCAGCCTAATCGGGTCCTGCGAAGATATCTATTGATGCATATTCTATTCACACAAGAGCCAAGACTATGGTACGATACGCGGAGAGGGTACAACACTGGCAACAGCCCCTCCCGACCGCCCTTTTGAGATTGAGACCAAGCGAGCAAGCAATATGAAGGAGGGAGAGGGGGAATATGGGGGTCAGGGAACTGATGTGACACCTAGTGCTATATGTTGTGCTGATACAACATGGAAATGTGGGTTTGATGTTGGCCGATATGATGGCTTTTGGTGCCGGGGATCCGGAGGGGAGGGGAGGGGGAGGGAAGTTCGGAGGGAGGTGGTATGATAAGATCTGGAGAGCGATCAGAGATCCATAGTCTCCACGGCGGCGAAGAGGACGGCGTCCCTGCCCCTCTGCGGCGGCAGCTGAGGTGGCGGAGCGGGTTTCTGCCCCTGCATCAACCCATTCCCCATTCCGCCTGCCGAATGTATCGATGGCCGAACCGGTACGCCAGCGCGGCCGATACCGGCCAATCCGCCAGGCATGCCTGCACGAGCCGGAGTGGTGTTGGGAGGAAAGACGCCCATCCGTGGTCTTGTCGCGCCAATTTGGGACGGGATATGGTATGGTCGCGCTGCGGACGAAGCGGCAGCGGCGGATGCGGTGGCGGTGGCTGTGGAGGTGGGAGTGGGGCCAGGAAGGGGACGTCGAAGAGCGGCGGGATTGGCAGTGGCGGAAGAGGAGGTGTTGACCGAAGAGGTTGCGGTGGAGACTGAATTTGGCTTGGGGACGTTGCTGGAGCTCGAACCCGAAGGTATGGGGTGTGTACCGTTCTGGAGCATCCTTAAGCCGAAGAGACCGTGTTCGCCCGAATTGAGGTAATGGTACTGGAAAATCAGCAGGGGCATCGCCAGGGTAAAGAGAGATTTCACCTTTAAACCGTTAGCCTGTGGTTGTCAGCCATACCCCCATTCGGAATCGCTGTAGCTTGTGCTTGACATACCTGACGGTATCTTTTTTGACAGGTCGCAGGATTCACAGCGCACACCCATGGCCTCGCCTTATCCTCAGCTTCCTCGATGGTCATTCCCGTCTCTATGGCATCGCTCAGGGCGAAGTCGCATTGCCTGGAGGAAGTCAGCGTCTACCCCGCTCCTGCAGCTCCTGCCCTCGCGCTACAGACTGACCCTTTCGACAAATGATACTTGAGTCCATTGCCTGTACAGGTCAGTGTTCGCTCCCAAGGTACCCAAGTCTCGAGCTCACTTTGTTTATAAGACTTGTTGCACCCTTTGGGTCAGCTTGATGCTCTAGCTTGACACGATATGCACAACTCACCTATATTTGGGCACTTCCATGGCTTGTGCGTCGTAAAGGGACTAGGCTCGGGTAGTTGTATCTCTGTCGAAGGCTTAGGTGCAGGAGCAGCCACCCCCGAATCAGCGGCACCGGCGATCGCCGCCGCGCCATTTGCCGCCACCGCTGGCTCTGCCGCTTTCCCACCTGGTACCGGCGGACCCGTTGGGATGCCCAGATTCGCCGCTGCCGACGCGAACAGTACGCCCGGTGCGACCGCCGTAGGGAGTGTAGACTTTGGGGTTTTGGGTCCGGAAAGTTGATTTTCCATATTTTTCGGCGAACCCGCTACGACCTCGTTGAATGCCCGATCGAACCGCTGTTGTGGGAGCCGCGGGACGGCGCCGAGGAACCCCCGCGTAGGCCCAACTTTGGGTACGGTGAAGACGGGAGATTGTTGGGTGGAGGTGGTGGGCGTGGCGAGACTGCCTTCGGGTGGCGAGGAGGATGTGGAGGCGTTCGAGCCGGCCGAGGGTGGTTGTGATTTTGGTTTGGGTGGACCGCCGAGGGATAAGGGCGAGTTTGCCCATGGGGAAGTGAGGACGTCCGAGATTTGCAAAGCGGCGGGGGATGGCGCGCCTTCATTTGGGGTACTGGGTTTGGAGGAGGATGCGGAGGTGGGTACGGGATAGCTTGGCATACCCGGTGCAGCCGTTGGTGACATGGACGATCTGGTTGATCCCTGCCCTGACGCCCTCTCTTCGATCGTCCCCAGATTTGGCGCCTCGGCGACATCCATATCCATCTCCATCGCCATGACCTGCGGCGAGTACCCGACGTGCGGGGCAGACACCCCGCTGCTATCCGGATCCGTGAACGGGTGGGCATCCTCGACGTGCTCCAACAGATCATGCAGTCCGTGATGGGTGTTCCCGCAACACTCGTACGTGCGCGTAAGCTCCGCGTCGGTCCGGACCCGATTTGACGACGCCGAGGCGTTGGCCATGAGGGAGTGGACTTGGGATTTATTGTAGGAGCCGGCGCCGAATGAGAAGGACATGGGCTGGAATGACATGCCTGCGAATGACGACGAGAGGGCGGCGGGATTCATCGAGCCGTGATTTGGGGGTTGGGGACGATGGAGGAGATGATCTCGCTCGCCTTTGGCGGCGGCGGCGTAGGATCTGCCTCCACGAAAGGAGGCGGATGTACCGAGGTTGAAGGCGGCGGAGGAGGTGTTGAAGGAGGAGCTTTCCATGGTGATACTGGAGGAGAAGATATTGGATGGCGAATCGAATCTGGGGTCAGATCAAGCTCGACAAGCAAGACTCACCCTCCGCCGTAGAAACGAGCACCGTAGCTCCCTGCCCCACCGCCGCCCATTCCTCCACTGCTTACTCGCATACTCCGCCCGCCGTAGCTCAGCCCCGTCATGGGTGATCCGCCCATCCGGACAGATGATGGACCCGCCACTGGCTGGTCTGAGAGGGGAGAGCGCCCATTTGCGCGTGTCACGGGTTGGGGCTGCGTAGGTGGCGGCATGGTGTCTCGAGGTGGGTAGATGTCAAGAGGTGGGAGGTGGGATGGAGAGGGATGAAAGGGTCTGTTTGTTGTTGTCAACAGTGGCGAGTCGAGCGCTGCTCCGGACCCGGTCTGTCCGAGGGCGGGGTGGGCGGATCCGTCCCCTTGTGTTTTGATGTGTGTGGGCTGATCTAAGCAACCCGGAGTCGCCCGAGTTGATCAGTCGGGATGTGTAACGTAGCGTCGAGCTCAGCTGGTTCGGGGCGGGCAGGCAGCCTGTCTGTGCGATGTAGATGATGTGAGATGGGGACCAAGAGGAATGATGGATGTATAGATAGATGATGGGTAACTGTATACACAGCAGCTGCTGTCCCTCCCTTTGGTTAGTGTGTGGTTCCCGACTTTTCCCCTACTGCCGAGAGAAGCAAAGTTCATTACAAACTTACCCTGAATAGCTTGTGGTTGGAAATTTGGAATACATTTACTAATACCCTTTAATCCCCGTCGCTCAAAGAAGCAAGTCCAATTCCGGTTACAAAACCGCCCACGCGAGCCCCGGACATCCCGGAGGCGGAGGTATCCCCCACTCTAAGAAGTCGCTGCCCCCTCCACCGCCCATGTCCACCTCGAATGCAGCGTCTCTCGCTACCTCCGAGCCGACAGAGACGGGCGGTGCATCCCCCAACAACAATGTCGCGTTTAGCTTTGCGACAAGCAAGATTATCCGCTTCACCATCGCCGCGGGGATCATCGTGCTGGCTATAAGCGCCGTCTTTGCCTTCTTCAAGGTGGGTCCATGCTCATCTTCGGACGAGTCCTCACTCACTCATCTGCTTACACTTACCTCCCGCCTGACAGCTCGCGAGCTGACCATGGTAGATTGGCAAAATCGTCCGGAGCCAACGGCGGAAACAGCGACAAAAAGCAATAGCGAAACAGGCCATCAAAGAGGACGAGACGATACAGTTCGAGGTGGCCGCTTGGGCGACGACACCGGGGCATGCGCCCGTGGGACGCGCGGCGGAAGTGAGCAAGGAAGCGGCCAAGAGGCGGAAAAAGCAGAGAGAGAGGGATGTGAAGGTCATGAGGCGAAAAGGGGGGAATGCGTACATGGTGGATGAGTGGGAGGGGGTGGCGCAGTAGTGGGCAGCGAGAGATGGGGCTAAAGGCACGGACAATGTGTATGGTTGTACAGTATGGTCATGGATTGTGAGGACGCAGGGGACGGCCAAAGTAGGGCACTCCGGAGTCGCCCCCGCCTGCAATCATCTGACCACAGGGGCCATCCCGAATCTCTTGGCGCTTCCCCAGCGCTCTACTTATACCCGTTCGACTCTCCATAGCTGCACCCTTGCGTGCATATGGAAGTGCCTGTGCTCGAGCTGTCTGGCCGCGCCTCAGCGCCAGGTCCCAGCTGGCGACTGCCAACAAAGACTAGACGCACGGAGGTCTCCACGTGTTGCGCTATGACGCGTTTAAACTGTGGGGCCTCGGATCTCGGGCGGCAGCTCCATACCGCAAAGAACCTTCGCATACCTCGATACGCATTCGCTTACACTTCCTCTCTCACCACTTGACGACCTCTTTACCACCTAATCACTCACAGCAGGAGTACTATACTTACCATGTCCGACGGCAAAATGAGTGAGTCTCGTGCTCTGTGGGAGCAATGCGGGCGAGGGAGACCCCATTTAAACTCCCCTTTTCGGAACTTGCGACTACTTGTGATTCGTGCCGTCCTTTCATCCTCTCAGCTATACTCCGCCATCTATTCCTTCTCTTCAGTGCCACGCCTGAGAGGACATGAGAAACCAGAGCTGATCTTGTGTAGAAATCTACGAGTTCGGAGAGTCGTGCTGGGCCAATGTCCCCAAAATCGCCATTGCCGAGACGGATACCCCTTCTGACCAGGTTGAATGGGTTTCCATCGTCCTCGCCGAGGTGGGTGAACTTCTCATCGCTCCCTTCAGCTAGCAGAAGGTCTAGATTCCCTGAGCCCTGGCTCATTGTTGTTCAGGGCAAGAATTTCGACCCCGAGTACCTCAAGATCAACCCGAACGGGACGGTCCCCACTCTGATTGTGGACGGTAAGACCTTCACTGACTCTACTGTAAGCTTACCAAATCCTGTAATGCCCTAACCAGGCACAGCGAGAGCTAAGCTAACCTGATCAGACCGTTGTTTCTGAGATCCTCAAGCGCGCTCCTCACCCTCCGCGCGTGTCCGCTCACACCAGCACCAGCATCATCGAGGAGGTGAGCTATCGCGAGTTCGAAAGCTGAGCCGTCTGAAAGCTGACTTCCAGGTCCACGGCGCCAACCACGACCCCAACGCCCTCCTCCTCTCGTCCGTATCCGACGAAGACCGCCAGGCCAAGATCAACGGTATCCCCAAGGGATTCCTCGAAGGCCGCCAGAAGGCTCTTGACGAGTACGTCCTCTTCACCTGCCGCAAACAGGAAATCGGCGGGCCAAGCTGATTCTGAAGATACACCCCCAATGCCCCCGCAGAGTTCAAGCGATTCCTCGAGGAGAAGCAAAAGGGAAACAGGCAGTTCCTCGAGTTTTACACTGGGAACCCGGATGTGAGCTAACCGCCGCGTTTACCGCTTAGGAGATAGCTGACATGGTCTAGGAAGCGACCAGACAGGCACACTACAAGGCCACCAAGGAAATGTGGAACTCGGCCGGGATTGTCATTCGGGGCGTGATCACCCAGGCGCTCCAGAAGACTTCGGGGCCGTTCGCGGGCGGTGACAAGCCGGGAGAGCCTGATTGTGAGTGAAGGTGCCATCAGCTGTCGGGTCCTCCACTACGCCGGCCGGACGCATAGAGCACCAGCTGAATCACCAGTCCACATCATCAGTTGGCTCGCGCGTATGGCAACTGATGCCGGTGTCGCTCCTGGTTCCAAGGCGAGCGAGGTCATGCCTGCCCTGCAGAAGATTACGGGCGGTCATGCGTTTGACCCTGTTGTTTCCAAGTACTGGGAGTGAGTTGCCGACTGCCTACTGATCTGGAGTGGAGCAGGAAACTGACAAAGCAGCGCCTGGACCCAGCGCGAATCGTTCACCAAGAACAACATCCACTAGTCTTACTTAGCCTTGATATGCGAATGAATAACGTGCACCATGTACGGTTTTTGAGTTGGTGCGCGCCGACGCGATGGAGTTGAGGCGCTTTGTTCGCGTACCATCGTGCATTATACGAGTATCGCATCTAGAAGCCATCTACCTACACCCTATCCAATCTGAAAATATAAGCTACACAATAGTTTGATCTGGTATCGACGTATAAGATCATCTTCCTCCTTCACCCGCTCCCTCATCCCGCCGAAATCACCTCGTCGACCCGTAAGGCTTGAACGCGTCTGAAGAGTACCCGCCCCCACCCTCATCTGCGACTACAGGAACATCCAGAACTGGCGGCCTACTCTCCCTTCCTCCAGGCTGTGCTGCTGGCGTCTTCCGAATGACCCTAAAGCTCCTTGGCGGTTCCGCAGCAGCACCACTTGCTACGTTCCCAGATGCGTTCGTAGCCCCCGTCCGGTCCGCCGGGACAGGCGGAGTAGGGTATACCGACTTGTCTGTCGTCCCCGACGCGAAGTCTTGCGGGGAGGGATGGGTGCTGACTGGCAAATCCGCCTGATTCGCTGAAGTGGGCGTCGGCCTGGTCATCCTTTTGACGCGGAACGACCTGGTCGTTTCTCCACTGGCGTCAACAGTAGAGCTGGGTCCGGGCCGAGATTGGGCGATCGGATCCGCGAACGACTGCAAGTCATACCTAGGCTGCGACGATGGCGAAGGTGAGATGGGGCCTTTTCGAAGAACGACGAACCCCTTCTTTCCCTCTCCGCTCCCACTCGGCCCAGCCTGGCTCATCCTGCTCGCTGCCGCCGCCTGAGCCTGAGCCTGCGCCTTGTCCTCCTTCCTCCGCTTAGCAGGCGACTCCACGCCCGCAAACAACGCGCCCGACTCATTCGCCAACGCATCCTTCCTCGCCTTATTCTCATCTTTGGCCTCTTCGTCCAACTCATCCCCCTTCCGCCTCCCTATACCCAAGCGGGACTTCCAACCTTTCTTGCCGCCATCCTCCCCTCCAGCACCATCTCCGCCGTTGACCAGTCCCGATCCCCTCCTCCCCGTGCCCGTCCGCGAGGACGACAACCTCGATCGATCCGGTCCGGGCTCATCATCCGATTCCTCCGTCTCATCCTCATCCGCCGCTGTACGGGAGAACCACTGTCTCTTTCCTCTCCCTTTCGTCCCCGCTCGACCCTTCCCTTTCCCCTTCCCCTTGCCTCCGTACGAGTCGGACTCATCGCCCGACCCCGCCGAGTCGTGCTCATGCTTGAGATCGTTGAGTGACCGACGTTTCGGAATAGTCATCTCTGGCGGACGGAGCGGGACAAGCTCCACCGCCTCCATTGCCGTTCCGCCCGAATGCCGCTTGTTTCCTCCGGCACCGGCAGAGGGGAAGGTGGAGTATATCCCGCTCGTAGGGCGAGACCGAGACTGCGAAGGACCGCCCGCCGAGCCGTTCAAGCCGGGAGTAATAGCGTCAAAGCTCTCGATAATGACCGGACTCGAGTATTCCCGCTGGTGCATCGGTCGACTGGGCATCGGGGCGCGCGCGACCCGGACGGGCGGAGGGGAGAGCGATCGGCCAAATTCGCCCATGTCCATGCCCATACCGCCCGCCGACATCCGGCGGACATCGTACGGATGGTCCATATCGGCCTTGCTGCCTCTGACGACTGAGAAGCTCCGTCCGAATGCTTCGGGAGGAGGCGAAGTCCGGTGCCCCGGTCCTGTCGCATAGCCGTAAGACACGTTACCGGCCGGTGGAGATAGACGCTGTCCCGTAGGCCATATCCCGGGAGAGACAGTCGGCGCATAGCTCCCCGGAGTGTTATACCCCTCATTCGACCGCGTCCGCCACGCGTCCATGATATTCCCACCGCCGGCCTCTTCCGTCCGGTCCGAGCTGTGCCTCTCCATCGGCGGCGGTCCGAGCGGTGGCTGTCCGCCACCACTGCCCACGGTCGGAAAGTACCCATCGCTCATGCGCGGATAAGGACTGAACCCCGCTGATCCGGCATCATAGCTCGGACTACCCGGTTCGGGCCTCATGACGCCTTCCGAGTACTTGTCGAGCATCCTCTGCGTCGTCAGTCCCCCTGCGGCCGAGACGTTCCGCTGTAACTGCCTCGATCCCCGCTTGCGGCGTTTCCGAGCGGCGGCTTTCCCGCCGGTGACGCCGTTGAGGCAATCGAGGTCCGCTATAGCCGCAAAGATGCCGCCGTCGAGCGGGTGGGTGGACTCGTCGAAATGAGCGCCGCCGATAAGGCGGATGAGACCCTCGAGGAGCTTGGTGAGGAGCATAAAGACGAAGAAGAGGAAGACGATCGCGTTGAGGATGAGAGCGGTATAGGCGAGCCAAGTCCGGGCGGCCTCGGTCATGCCGAACTTGATGTCAGCCAAAATTGCCTGACGGAGAGGAGGGAAACTTACGACCGGACTGAGAAGCATGACCAGCAGAGCACTGATCACTCTGAAGACCCCCTTAAAGACGCTCGGGGCGCCCATACTCGCCCCTTCGCCCCAAGGGTACCATACCGCCGGTACCACGAGCATGATCAACTCCACCACGATCAAAATCACCGCCTGAGCGATCCCGCTTCCCTGCCCCGCACCGATCACCACGCCGACCACCAGACTCGCCACGAGCGGACAGACCCGGAAGAGCTGCTTGTCCATCACGTAGTGGTTGTACATTGTGCCCATGGCCAACAGCGTCCGGGTGGCATCGTACAGCTTCCCACTGGGCGTGCGGTAGACTTTCCACATGACCCCCGCGGGAATCAAGATGGAGATGAATATTAGCGCCAGCGCGGCGAATACGCGCGAGACGACCGATGCCCGGGACCCGAGGACGAGCTGGTAGGTGCTAAAGACGGTGACAGGGAGGTGAAAGATAAGGATGAGGCGGAGGAGGTTGCCGTACAGGGCCGCAGCGTGGAATGCGCCCGCTTCGCCTTTGGGCTTGAACCGGAACCATGCTTTCCGGAAACGACTTGGGCCCTTACGCGTGGGATGCTCCTGAGAATTTGCGATGGGTAGTTGGCCCATTTCCCGCTCAAAGCCAGGAGTGGGCGGAGCGGACTTGTTGCCGTCATAGAGCTTATCTCCGGCGATAGACGTCCCGGGACTACTGACCGTACCGTAGCTCTGCCGCTTGGCCGCGACGGGCGTAGTACGCTTACGTTCCGGGGCAAGCGTCTCGGCCGTGGCGTGGATTGTCCAGATCAAGATCGAGATGATGATGACCGCAGCGGCGATGATGAGAAAGATGGCAAGGCATGTTCCAAAGATGTCTTGAGGACGGAGGCCGACGGCGCTGGCGAAGCTCTCGAGGCCAGGGGAGGCCGTGCCGAGGTTGAGCAAGGGGTTGAAGGTGTTGGTGTCGAGGTATAGAGGGTACAAGTCGTTGGACATTTGGGAGGAAAATGCGGAGGGAAGGGTGGTCTCGGTTGGGTAAGTGATGATGCGAGGTGAAGATCCGGCGATGATGGTGGAGTCTGAAGGTCAGCGGTAATTTCGGACCATTGATGTTGTACTTACTCCAGACTAGGTCCGCCCATGCTAGTCTAGCCACGATAGGATCTGCAACCATCAGCTATGTCTATCGCGGATTTAGGTAAGCTCACAAGCAAATCCAGGCCAGTTCACAGCTATCATGACCAGTATCGTGCAGAATTGGATATGGAAGATGATATCCCTCAGTCCCGGCGTTACTGCTCAATCAGCTTCAAAACTCCGCAGTACCGCGAAGCAGACTCACCAAATCTCAATAACGCCGAGCTGACACTCAACCTCTCCCCGCTCAACCCACTGACCAACATCGTCCCCCATTTCCGCATCCTCGCATCCCTCCTTCCCGCCTTATCGAGCTCTTTCCCCCTGGTCTCTCCTTGTTGATCCTTCACCCCATACTCGGCCACTCCACTTCCTACCACCCACCCCGCCGCAAATCTCGCTCCCCAGCTCGTCAACCAGAATCCAATGGCCAAGGTTGCGGGCAGCCAGAGTAACAAGTCGTAGTACCACCCGTCCCTGTCGTACGGAGTGAATGAGACGTTGATGCATGCCAGCGTGTTGGCCGAAAGTGAGGTGTCGACGACTCGGATCTGGGTGGATAGCGTGGTCAGGGCGTAGTTCCGGTACAGAGGAATGGAGATGTTGATGCCGAAGGGTCCGGCAGAGAGGGGGCAGTAGGTCGTATTGGGTGTGTAGGGAGTAGGAAGAGTAGCGGGGAAGAGCGAGTTGCAGACCCATGAGGTAGACTTGTAGACGGAGATGCCGCCGACACTTGTGTCTGTGAACAGTGTGGCTACAAAGTCAGCTATCGGTCTCTCCAATAGTCCAGAGAACAGCAACTGACCCAGCTTGTTCGTGCTCTCGTCAAACCCCAGCACCTGTGATCCCACCTCCCCTATGAGGTCCAGCCTCAGTACATCCGATCCCTCGCCTGCCAGGCCTAGCTGTGCCGCTCGAGATCCAGAGACGAGATTGGCATAGATACTCGAGACATTCAGGCGGTTGATGCCCGCCGCCGGAGAGTAGTACGACTCGCAGGAAGAAAAGGTGGGCTGAAGGGGAGCTGCCGAAGCGAGAGCGGCGACCAAAAGGAGTATCGATAGATAGCCTGAAGCCATCATGGCGAGTTGGGCCCCTGCCTGGTAGATGTACGAGTAGTCCGCCGAAGAAGCAGGATTGCCGCCTGCTGACGAGGGGTGGTCAGCGAAGCAGATGAGCCTCGTTCCGCCCCGAGGTCGGTCGGGAGCGAACCTGGGCTGTTTTTGGCGAAAGAAGTCGGAGCCCCTGCTTCAGATCCTGGTTGAGAGCATCTCCAGGGCTCCCGCCGTATCAAGAGATAGTGTAGCGCGGTCAACACAGGCAAAGAAGAGCTCCTTTCAACCCTTCCTTGCGGCTGCGAACTTTCTTAGATGACGACGTCGATGACTCGCTTCCGTCGGAAGTAAGGGCGGCTTCGACGCGTGACGCGTGGCTGAGACGAGATGATGACGGTGGAGGTGGTCCATCTGTTGCATCTTGTCTTGATACCACCACAACCTATATAAAATGCCTAGAAAGCAAGACCCAGATGAGGAGTCGGAGGAAGAGGGCTCTGTGGAAGTGGAAGTGAGTCTGAGAGGTTCAGCGAGGGCTAGATCGAGGCGTGGAGGCTGATGAGATAGGTCAAGCCGACAAAGAAGCGCAAGTCTGAGTCCAAGCCCGAGTCGAGCAAGGTACGTTTCGCCGCTTTGATAAGGACCCGCAGTGACTAGCAAAGGGCTAATGTGCCTAGAAGACCCCAAAGACCGCTGCGAAGCCTGAAGCCACAAAGGCTGGTGGAGCCGATATCGGGACCAAGCAGGTCAACGACGAAGGGAAGCCGTACATGAACGTAGGTCTCACATTACCCCCTCACAGGTTGTCTTCGTTGAGAATCGACTGAGATGGCGTTGAGCTGAGTATTGCAGCTGTCGGAGTATAAGCGAGTCACTATCAATGAATTCAAAGGCGCAAAGTTGGTCGATATCCGCGAGGTATGTCGACTCAACCCTCTGGTAACACGTCTCGGTCGAACTGACTTCGTAGGTGTACAAGGACAAGGCGAGCGGGGATATGAAGCCTGGAAAGAAGGGCATCAGCTTGACTCTTGGCCAGGTGAGTCTCGACTATTACTCCGAAGGCATCTTACCGCCCCGCTGCGGCCGTTGAGAAGGACCCTTGGCTGACGTGACAGTGGAAAGTTCTCAAGTCGAACATAGACTCGATAGACGAGATGTTCGGCGACGAATAGACTGCCTGTATACCCGAGAGAAGGCTTCCTTCGGCGAATGTGACTGATGAGTCTCGTTAGCTGACGTCCTAACTGTCACCCGCGCTCATTTACAATCTACACCGCAACAGGCGAGTTCGTCACGTGATGACGACGATTGGATACATGGCTCATCGATACTGATATCTGTCTCTCTGATATAGACCTGTCTCCTCAATCTCCGTTTGCGCTCGGCGGCGGACTTGAATTCATGTCCGGCGTCCACGCTCCAGGATGGTAACGCTGTACCCCATCGTTCCCTCCGAGCGCCTTGCTTCTGGCCTCCGAAACAGATTCCCGCTCCGTCTCGTAGCTGATCACCGAGGTGGGAGCCTGTCTCGTAGCATCTGTTGTCGAAGCTGACACTGCTGGCGGCCCACGACCGAAAAGGGAGTAGCTTGTCCCTTCTCGGCCTTTGCCGTTGAATTCATGCTCTCCGTACTCTCCTCCGCGTCTGCGAGAGCGATCGTCCCCTCTGTTGCGCCAATCCCGACCGCGACCGGAATTCACTCGACCTCCGGAGGATCCTCGCCGTCCCATTCCTCCTCGACGAGTACGTACCAACCAATTGAATTTCCGTCCTCGGAGTTTGCGTCGTCGGACTCTGCGTCATCGTCCTCACACACCCATCCCGAATCGATCCCATTCCTTGAGAGCTCACATGCGTCGTGATCTTCCTCTGTGGTCTTTGCAGGGTGCAGAGGTGATCTGGACTCGGCGCGCTGCCTTCGATTCAGAGCAGGAAGCCAGCCAGCGCGAGACGCACCCGCCGGGTACTTGTATCCGCTCGTCATGTATGTTTGATCCAGTCGAATTGGCGGATGTGATGGTTGGAAAGTTGAAGTAGTGGGGGCGTTCGCTCGGAGCTTATATGCAAGGAGGACCATAGGAGAGATATATGTGGATCTTTTCACCAAGCCAGACGCCTCAGCTGTGGCCAGGGAGCAGAACAGAAAGGATGCTCAGCCTGAAACCTGAAAATGCGAGCTACAGATCCCTCTGTACTCTGCAGACAGATTGCACATGATATTCGGGTAGTCGATTGTGTTGGCCTAGGTGATGGACTGGGCAACATCGGGCCCAGCTCCAGGGACGCACTCACCTCCTAACGCAAATAAGAGACCATTAATCATGTGGTCCATTGACATATCGATATGCGTTCGCTGTTAATGCTCCAGCAGATAAGATGCTCACGCACCATCCAGAGCTAAGTGCATCACAAAGCCTAATCGAACTGGGCCCTTTCTACCATGTCTCTGCTCCCCTCGATCGTGTATCGTAGTCCTCCCACCCGCGACGGCGTCACTTCAGGGGCGGGGATCTTCCCTCTGTGCGCTGGCTCAAGAATGCCACTGCTCCTTTCCGATCAAAGGTGATGTGGCTCTCGGGCTGTTGGGTCCTCTCTGTGGGGCCGGTGATACCTTCCGCGCCGTCAGACTGATCGTCCTCGTGCTGCGACGAGAGATGCGTGTTTTCGAGCTGGAACGACAGGGCGGAAGAACAGAGTTGATCATCAAGATCATTGAGCTTCTTGTTGGCGTTCCTGTGAGCCTTGCTTAGCCCCCTCGTATCTGGACAAACTTCGCGCGGCTCCTCGGAATGGCGATCGACAAGAAGCCAGGACTTGTCGATGTCGGCGGTCTCATGCTGAGTCCTTGGGAACAGCTCTTCAAAATCCTCGTGCGATGGGTGGCTTGTCTTGCAGATGGTGCCGGAAATGAAGGAGGGGACGTTGCTAGGGGCATATTTCCGCCACCAGGGGCCAAGTGTGGTCTGACATAGGTTGGATAGTGTCATTGTCGAGTATCGAGAGGGTGCACCAGTGTTGTGTGGCTGTGGAATCTAATGCGGACGTGTGATGGTAGATAGTATGAAGAAAGACTAGGAAGAGCGTTCGATCGGGCAACAGGGCGAGGCTCGCTCTTGCACTAGCCAGTGCATCGCTTCCTTTTATTCATCTGGAACACGGGATCCTTGGGGGGACCCAGGCTGATCAAGGGAAGGTACTACCAGAGCTGCATCGCAGAAAAAATATCGCTCCCGCCTCCCTGCCCCCCACTCGCCACCTCCCTGCCCCCACTCGCCACCCGGTGGCGGGATCCGCAGATGATTAAGCCATATGGTCGCTTCCCACAGGTGAACGCATCATGACGCATGATACGCCATTAGGATAGTGGGGTAGGTCGCTGCGGCAGTCGTACTCATACAGCAGTGACCTGGACAGGCTAGAAGGAGGTCTCATCCAGGCATGGAGAAGAGTCGGACGTCTTATCTTGCCCTACAACGACGTCGAGCTTCTTCCCCGCGCTGTTGTTCCGACTCCGATTGCTTGCCTCATCCTTCTGCTCCTTCTCCAACAGACCCGAGGTCACACTGACCACCTCATCGGCGTCCTCCTGGGACGCCAGACTAATGACGTCTGAGTCGCTGCAATAGTCCCAGGCGTCGTCACCCCCTTCTGGACCTCGAATGCGATCGTCCCTGAGCCCGGCGTCACTCTCATCCGACTCAGATGCACCGATATGAAGACTCGCTGATGTGTCTGAACAGACGGATCTTGTGAGATGTCGTTTCCACCTCTCCTTGGATGTCCTGCATGCGGTATTGTCCAGGTCATCCCCTACGCGGCTGCTGGTATTCTCCCTGTACCGCGATGGCCCTGTTTCTGTGGCAGTCCGGGAAAGCAGGCCCAGTCTAGCTGGTCTTCTGGTCTTCGGTCCTGCTGTAGAGCGGTACTGCGCAGTGAGCCATTCAGTCACCGCTTGAACAGTGCTGGCCGAGGGTGTGATTCTCATTCGAGAGGAGTGTATTCAGTGCGCGCTGATTCGATGTGGGGCCGCCACGGGGACGGAGATAATGATTAGTGAAGCGATTGAGGGTGGAAAGAAGGGCATCAGTCCGAGCGACCTCTTCCAGCTTAGCGGCTCATGAAACTGCTCCATTCTTCTGGTCAAACACCAGTGTCAACGGAGTACAAGGGGTACCTGTCCACGGCGCGTCGAAGAGTCTTGCAATTGAGCCGACCTGCATCACACGCCGCAAGGCCGGGACCCTGGGGGCCAGTGACACGCCTCACACCCGTACATGCTGTACACATTCTTTACACCTTACTGAAGCTCCATAATACACTATGATCTACTCGGGACACACACTCTCGCCGCGCCTGCCATTCTGCTTAGGGTTTCAGTGTACACGAGCCCATCAGTCCAGCCTGCGCTCGTCCGAGACCGATGCTCCGGTCACCTGTACTGGTGTCTCGATGGGCGCGGTTTCGACCAACCAGCCGCCCAGGTTGCGGAAGGAGTCAGTGATCTTCCCTAGACCCTCTGCGTCATTCCCGACCAGGAGGAGACTCGTAGGTCTGCGCCGCTGGGCCTGATCACGGGACGCAGACTGGTCTGTCGGTCCGCTGGGACGGCGGCAAGGAGCGCCGCCCCCTGAGGAAGAAGCTCCGTCTTCTGGTGAAGAGCAGACAGAACCGCTTGCCAGCAGACTATCCTCGTCAGTGCATCCGCTCCACCCGTCCTCCGAGACTTTGCAGTCGTCACCGCTTCCATCTTCGTCCCCTTCGGTCTGCTGAGTTCTCGCTTGCAGTGCCGCTGACGGCGCCTCTTTGTCTCTCTTGAAACGGTCCGCGGGGTCGACTGAAGCGGCGATTTTCTCACCGGCGTCATGGCTCGATTGACCAGCCTCAACTGTACCGAAATCGTCATCGTGGTCTCTGACATTGTGGAATGGCACCGAGTCTGCGGTTCGTAAGGGCTGCCAGGGCCCGCTTGCAGATATGCCCGCGGCGGTCGATGCAGTTACGGGTTTAGCCAGATTGGAGTATCGATCGAGCCACCCGATCACGGAAGCGGCGGTGTCATGGAGCGTGTTGAACGACATGTGTGTTCGGGCGAATGTGAGGGCGTAGAGGTTACGAATGAGGAGTATATGTTGGAAGTGAGGGGTGCGAAGCGGACAGTGAGAGCGGATAAGCAGGAGGAAAACGTCTGGGGAGCAATGCGGTGCAGGCTCGAGCCGAACGGGGCGCAATATCCCTTCATCACACAAAACCTGACAATCGACGTGTCAGTACCATCGAAAGGATGTCGATTGTGAGCCCACAGACCACCTCCTCCACCTCGAGTGCGCCACTCGCGCACTCGAGGCGAGTATTGGCTTCATGAGTATTCCCCGTACATGCCACGGAGCTGCATGTCCAGCCCCACCTGACCTGGCGCTCAAAGTGACAAGCAGGATTAGCTGTTGAGTCTCGACCAGACTGGGCCGCTGTCGTCAGTCCCTCCTGGCGTTGCATAGCAAATTCCGCTCCAATCACATACCGCACGCGCACCCGTCGATCGCGCTTCAGAGCTTCGCCTTGGCCTTTGTTGATCCCTCGACGACTTTCCCCTGCCCATCCCTCACCCTTATCACCGCCTTGCCCCATGTCTTCCTGCCCTCCAGGTCCTGTAAACCCTGCGACACCTCGCCCAGCCCTTCATAGACCGGCTCGAACGTGACCGGCGTGACCTTCTTTGAGTCCAACAGCTTGAAGACCGCGTTCTGGACCTTGAACGCCGCTGGTGGATCCTTCACTAGACTCATCAGCTTTGAATCTTCCCTCATTCCTCAGCTCTCCTCCATCTCCCCGCTATGCGGACTCACGATAAGTCTGCCCAAACGCCAACCCCGTAATCGACACCTGCTTCAACAACGCCAGATTCGCAGGAACCTTCTCAATCGACCCCGCCACAAACCCAACAACCACCAGCCTCGCGTTCCACGCCACGCACTTTAAGCTCGGGATGATCATCCCTACGGGATCATAGACGATGTCGACGCCGGCACCGCCCGTGAGGGCCATGACTTCCTTTTGCCAGTTGGGCTGGGTGTAGTCGATGGCGTGGTCGGCGCCGCCGCGGGAGATGCAGATGTCGCGCTTGGTGGCGGTGGAGGCGGTGCCGATGACTTTGCAGCCGAGCGCTGGGGATCAGCTCAGTTCTAAGAGGGAAGAAGGAAGTGAGAACGAGGAGGTTGTAGACGGGACAGGAAGGAGACGCGGCATGAACGTACCCTTGGCTATTTGGCAAGCGGCGATACCGACGCCTCCAGCAGCAGCGTGTACGAGCACCCAGTCTCCTGTTGGCCGTCAGCTCCTCGCGTCATCTGGTGGAAGGCCCAAGCTATGGGACGTACCCGCTTTGGCCTGGCCTCGGTCAACGATACCTGCGTAACTCGTGGGGTATGTTCTGCCCAGATCAGTATTCCTCCCTTGCAACGTATTATAGCCTCCGCGTCGGACAGACTCACATAGCCACGACGGATGCCTGCTCAAAGCTCAGATGATCCGGTACTCTGCAGAGCAACATCGGGTTGACAGACACCTGCTCCGCGTACGCTCCTTGAGCGAAGCCATATACCCGGTCTGAGGCATCAGCTCTCGTCCTCCTCTCGCACTTTCTCTTAGACCCAAAGGCCGGAAGTGAAGCTCACCTCCTGCCTTATACTTGCAGCCCTTAGGAATCGGTGAGTTTGAGCTCACGACACCTGCGAACTCTGCACCGAGGACGAAAGGTAGTGGTGGCTTCACTGCCCAAATCAGCTCTGTTCACTTAGAAAGGTGGGACAAAGCTGACTCTGATATTTGCCCTGAGCCTGCAAGATACTGTGGAGTCAGTGATGTTTCTGCTCTGTGAGTGGAGCAGGACGCACTCGAAGAAGTTAAGGCCGGTCGCGTAGACATCGACAAGGATGTTGCCATCCGCAACTTTCGGCGCGGACACCCCGTCGGACCTGGACTGTCAGCTTTCCATCCCTCCCAAAGCGCGTGATGGAGCTTACGTCGAGATCTGAGAGGGGTGAGCGAGCTTGGATACCTGATATGCCTTCATGTTGGCTGTGTGAAGGAGGGAAGAAGTAAGATGCGGACCACAAGCTCATATGCACCGTCTCCGCGAACCTCGGTCCTCTCGGCAATGTCTTTAGCCGATGACCGAGCAGCCTACCCGCCTTCTCCTCTTCACACCTTGCTTGTTCAACCATGGATGCCGAGCTCAAGCAGAAGCTACTGCAAATATCCACATGCGATGTACGTCGGCTGGCCTGCTGAGACGTCCGGCCGAGTTCAAGACGAAGAGGAGTGATCTGACGCGTCTAGATTTCTGACGCGCTCGTCAAGCTCCGTCTGGACGGGGATGGGACGCAGACGGGAGGACTGATCCCGGACCTCAAGATGTACTCACCCTTATATGAAGCAGGGACGACGAGGATAGTAGGGCCGGTGTTTACGGTCCGAGTGGGTGTTCTCGCTAAGACTGAAACGAGGGAAAGCCAGGTCTGACAGGTCCTAGATGACCCTCGCGAGCGATGGGACCTCCCCAAGGCCCTCGACCCACTTCGTGAGCGTCTCCTCTAGTCCCTCAGGAGAGCTGACTGAGCGACTAGGTCGATGCGTGTCCTGGGGAACACATCATGATGATGCAGGTGCCACGGGGTCAGTGCTACAACTCGGTCTTGAAGCTAAAGCTGATTGGCAGGTGTGAAAGCGGCGACCTGGGGTGGTCTCATGTCTATCGGCGCCAAGACGAGAGGCGTGCAAGGCGTAGTCATTGACGGTGGATGTAGGGACCTAGCAGAGCATCGCGAGATAGGTTTTCCGGTACGTCCACCAGTATGGACTTACGTCGCTACACGAGCTGATAGAGAGGTCTTTGCTCGACATCACAGCACTCTCGGCCAAGGGACATTCGTGCGACCCGCCGAGCTCAATGTCCCGCTTTCCATCCCCGCCGAGCAAAGCCTAGGCGGTGTAGCGTGGCCAGACACCAAAGTCAATCCCGGAGACATCATTGTGTGCGATGTGGACGGCTGTGTGGTCATTCCTGCGGATAAGGTGCGGGAGGTAGCGGAGATGGCGCAGAGGGGAAAAGAGATCGATGAGCGGATAGGCAAGGCGATAGCTGAGGGTATGGGCGTCGCCGAGGCGATGAAGAAGTTCAGGACATAGGCCTTGAGAGGGGATCGATCGGGTATCGAGATGCATGGTATAGCATAATGTACAATCTTTTGGTAGCGGCCGGAATAGCTAGGCTATACCTCGAGGAAGTCCGAAGCAGTCAGGCTGGCATGTCAGCTCGTCCCATTGGAATCAAGAAGTTCAGGCACCTACAGTTCCAGGGCGATATATGGATCTACTCGATCTGAGAAATCCTCCACGATCTCGTCTGATGAGGTGTCCAGGTATTGCAGCTTGTACGCGAGATACTCGATGACCTTGAGGACGATCACTCCTCTGCCAACATCAGCGATAGTGAGCCTTTGAGGATGAAGGCTGGACGCACCTATATTGGATATGGCATGTATTTGTCTCTGCTTCGGTGAAGTTACCTGAGACGTTAGTTTTGCTCCTCAAACGATAGTTCCTGACCCCCTATGCTTACTCACCAGTGGGGTCGAGCATGCTGCGCAGGGTCCCGCTCTGAAGCGCGACATTACGAGGGACGACGAAAGTGTACCCGTCCGCCGAGACCAGCTTGACAAAGTCACCGGACATATCAGAGGTCTGCCTTCGGAAGTGTCTAAGCTGTCCGATCTTTTTTTAGCAAGTAGCTGCTGGGAGTGCCTCTGCCGGTGGCTGGAGATGTGATGCAAACGGCAAGGCGAAACTCTGAGGAATGCGGAGCAGTCGCGCTCAGAGCTAGAGCTCAGAGTGACGAGTGACGCACGGTCCTCGTCCAGCGACCAGGAGCCAACAACCGATCATCCGCTCTTCTTACTATACTGCAGTCCACTACTAGCCGACAGCCCTCCATCACGGTCGAGGAGATCGGAGAGACCGCTACCCGGCGAGACGATAATTACATCGCAAGCGCCGGAGACATTCGTCATGATCAGAAAACAGCGCCCAAGCTTTACCTCGGCCGAGCTGGAGCTGCAACTCCAACAGGTGAGCTGGCAATCTGCGTCCGAGTCTCACAGCCCGTTGAGCCCAAACTCACCTGGTCCAGGTCTCTATCGACCCCTCATCAGCCAATGCCGAAAACCTCGAAGCGCTCGCACCGCTCATCAAGTCAATACAGGACACCGACTCGGAGCAGCTGTACCTCCGGTCCCTGGACACCTTTGTTGAGGAGAAGGAGCGCGAAATTGAGAAGATCTGCGAGGAGAACTATGAGGTCAGTCCAGTGTCCTGCTCATGATCTGGAAAAGAAGAGCTGACGGGCAGGACTTTGTATCCAGCGTGCAAACGCTGTTGACGATTCGGCAGGGAACGGTGCACCTGCGGAGAAGAATAGGGGAACTGGATGGGCAGATGGGCGATGTTGGGAGGTCATTAGGGGAGAAGGTGAGCTCAATACCTCGCATTACCTCGACCAAAGCTGACCTCATGCAGAAGCGAGCCCTGCTCGAGCAGAAGAAGGTCGCTCGACATATGGACGACGCGATAGAAACGTTACAGACGTGCTTGCGGCTTCTTGACCTGGTACATCGCGTCGGTCAGATGATCCGCGAAGGAAAGTACTGGGGAGCTCTTAGAGTAAGCTATGGCCCCGAGTTGCACGTCCCGGACAGAGCTAATTCTTGCAGTCACTTGAAGACCTACTCCACCTTCCACCACCATCAATATCCCAAACACCCTTCTACTCGCATCTCCTCTCCTCTCTTCCTTCGCTACGCCTCTCCATCAAGGACGCGGTTACGGCTTCGACTAAGTCATGGCTGTTCGACGTCCGCGAAAGCGGTGCCAAGGTCGGTATGCTCGCGCTGGACCAGATGACGAATCGGATCAAGAAGTGGCGGGCGAAGCGGGAACGAGAAGGTGGCGTAAGACTGGCGAGAGTTGGCGGTGCGCTAGAGCTCGTGTATAATGAGCGGTCAGGGTGTAAGTTGTCGTGCCGCGATACCCGTCAAGCCATCAGCTGATTGACCAGTCGACGCGCTGAGTAACGACGAGATCAAGATCGATTTCAGGCCGCTCTTCCAATGTGTACATATCCACGAAGCCTTGGACGCCAAACCCGAGTTACAGCGCAACTACCAGCAGGATCGAAAAGTACGTCCAGCGGTCTGTACCTGTATGGTCTATGAGCTGACTCGTTAGACCCAACTCAACCTGATCCTCACCTCTCGCCTATCCACTGCGGCCCAGACACTCCCCACCACCCTCCCCTCGCTCATGCACGAGCTCGTCGGATTCTTCATCATCGAGTCGCACGTCGCGCGGGTCATGCCTGACTTCCGAAGCCAAAATGACGTGGATGAGCTATGGGATCAGATGTGCCTGCGGATGGTCGAGGTCGTGGGCGGAGGGTTGAAGGGGTGTGAGGATGCCGAGGTGTTTTTGGGCGTCAAGAAGGAGGTGTTGCTATTTGTGCAGACGTTAGAGGTGAGCCCAAGCGTCCTCAGGAAAGGAGGTTGAGCTGATGAAGCAGGACTACGGCTACAACGTGACAGAGCTGAATGGGCTGCTGATCACCCTGTTTGAGCGATACTCTGACCTCCTGCGCCGGAAGTTCAGTGTCGACTTCGACCAGGTGAGCCCATCTGGTCTCAGACGGCTATCTGTCCGTTAGCTGATATCTCAGATCGTCATGGACGACGACAACCAGCCGATGATGGTGAACGATACGGAAGAGTTCGACCAAGTCGCAGGTGTCTGCTGGTTGGCCCTTGGCGAGAAGGAGCAATTGGCAATGTAAGCTCAGAGCTGCTGACTCATCGCGATTCCTGTTCAGGCAAGCTAACGAGCCAGGCAAAGTTTCCCTCAGCCTATGCCGTTCTCTCAAACGTACCCTATGTGCTGCATCAACATCCGGAACTTCGTCGACCAGTTCTACCAATTTACAGATGGTGTAGCGAGCCAGCATCACTTGGATATAGATGAGGTACTGCGCAAAGTGAGCTGCTGGGTCTTTTTTAATGGCACACTTGAACAAGCTAACAATCCAGTCGCTAGATGGACTTCTCACCGATCATGTCGCCTCTGAGATCGGAAAGAGGCTGAAGGGCATGAACAATTTGTCGCAGATCGCGCAGGTCGTAGTCAACCTGGAGCACTTTGCTACAGCGTGTGATGAGCTCGAAGGCGTACTCGCCGGCTTACGGTGAGTACACTTACTTATCAATTGCCTGAATCGCCATCTGACCCTGCTAGCGCGTCCCAGAGAGGTGGCCCCGTCAAGCTCTCCTCGACCGACACCTTCCATTCCACCCTGAAAGCTGCCGAATCCCAAATCAATTCCGTCATTGCCTCGAAGCTCGAGTCATTCTTTGAGCTCGCCGAGTACTCGTGGACCCCCACACGGCCCCAATCTACATCGACCGAGCCAAGCACCTACGTGTTTGAGATGATCACCTTCTTGACTGCCTATGTGGACTCGGTGCTCATTGGGCTGAATGAGGGCGTCAAGACGAGGGCGTATGCGAGTGCGCTGCAGAGCATACAAAATTGGTTGATGGTGAGTCACCCTCCTGCTCCTTGGGTGAGAATACAATGGCCAGGTAGCTGATGCCTGCAGTTGACGTTGTGCGGGAAGGAGGTGCAGAAGCTGAACGAAGCGGCATTGTCCAGCGTCCTGGGCGACGTGACCTTCATCGAAACGGAAATCAAGCGGCTAGGCAAGCCAGACCTCGACCGAGTGTTCGATGAGATCAAACTGGTGAGCTGCGCGACACCTAGCACTGTGCTCTGGCGTCAAGCTGACACTTTAGACCCTCAACATCGTCCTCTCCGACGCCGTATCGGCATACCTCGAACCATCCATTCGACAAGGGAATTACGCGGCGGTTCGCCCAAATCGACTCGCCATCATCCTGCAGAAGACGGCGAGGGCGCTGGGCGTTACGCCGACGGCGCAGGCGCAGCAAAGAGCGGAGCGGAGAAGGAGGGAGGCGGATCAGGTAGCTGCGCTGGGCAGATGAGGTGGCGTAGGTAGGGAGAAGGGCTTGGCCGCTTGGTGTGGGTTGGGAAGGACGTTGTATCTGAGCACTATCTCTAGGAGGATTTCAGCTGTACATATTGAATGTGTTACTGGGGTACCACTCAGCAAGCTCAGTGCCCGCAGACTGTCGGTCGTACACATGCTGTAGCTAGTGAACTAGTGAAGGCCGGCACCTTGCGCCAGGCACCAGGCCACCAGGCACGGAGCGGACGGCGCCGGGCGAAACGCGTCCGCACGACTGCCCCGCAGGTTTGGATCAAAGGACACACCTCCCCTTCACCATGTCAATCAGACAGTCTCATCCTTCGATTCACCCTCGATGTGAACCTTCTCGGAGTCTTTGCACCGTATCCATACCGGCAGAACACGAGCCGGCGCGCGGACGGCCTGGAAGATCAGGAACCCGAGCTGAAGGCGTTCCTACACGGGACGTACCTTTCCCCATGTGGCGCTTCCCTTCCATGATCCTCATGAACATCGTCCTTTCCTTCAGCCTATTCGGAGATGCTGCACTTGGCAGGAGCCGTGCGAGGGGGATACCTCCGGACGAGGCACTTAAGATAAGACGAACCCTCTGCTGACAACTGACATCCCCACTGATCGTCTCACTTCCTTGACCTCAGACATCAAAAACCATGCCAGCCATCACTCCAGCGCAAGCCGCTCTCGCCGAGGCTCTCGCAGCCGAGACGATAGGCAGGAACAGATCTCTCCATATCATGCCTTTCTACATCAGGTGAGTCCGATTGGGCCGGTGAAGGGATGAAGCTGACAATATAGTGGCTTCATTGACAGCATGCTCATGGGCCTCGTCATCGCTCAGGCTGTCAGCTACTGTCGGCGCTTCTACCGCAGCGAGAAGAAGCACATTCTTGGATTGGTAGTGAGTCTCCCATTGCGCCTCCGTGCTGGGTCAAGCAGCTGACGGACGTTTTAGATCATGGCCGTTGTGGGCACTATCGCTGCTTCCATCTGGTAAGTCATTCCCATCCTCAGCTTTGTCTTGCACACCTGCTGACCCTGCTTAGCCTCCTCTTATGGATGTCCCACATCTTTGTTTATGAGTTCGGCCACTTCATGGTCTTTGCCGAGCTGCCGTGTGAGCTGCGATCTGCTATTCGGGCTGGGAGATCCACTGACCGGGCAGATCTGTCGCGGTACATGTATATCAACACCTTTACCACGCTAGCCGTACAAGTGAGCACTCGAACATTTACGTATATTGATTCCAGCTGACAGTCAGGCCTTCTACATTGACCGAGCCTGTAGGCTGTTTAAGCATTGGTGGCCTGCTCTCCTGATCGGCCCGTTTTCGTGAGTTGCCATTTTGCAGCGGCGTGACGAAGCTGATGCATACTTCCAGTCTCACCGCGGCGGCTACGACCCTTGGATTTGTCATCATGGGCTTTGAGAAGACATTCTACATGATCCCGGAGCTGCTGGAAGTCCCGGTAAGTCTTGGTCGAGGGAATCATTACCTTTACTGATGTGTCAGGTGGTCCATCAGCTAGGAAACGCATTGGTGAGTGCTTCTACCCCCTGGGCCTCTCGGGCGGAACGGTGCTCACTGCTATTAGCTATACTGTTCAATCATCACCGATGCGCTCATCACCGTCGTCATTGGGTACGGCCTTTTCCGTGTCCGGACCGGGTGGTCGCATACCGACTCGGTCATACGAAGACTCATAATGTGAGTCTTTTCAAAGTTTGGGCGATAAGAGATAGCTAATATGACAGCCAAGTCTTCGAGGCCCAGGTGCCCGCACTCGTCAAGTAGGTGTCCCCTTGCCTTGACGCACATTACTACTGAATGCTGACGTCCCAGTGTCGTTGCAGCCTACATCTCTTGGCGCCAGTCATTCGAGATCGCTCTCCCCTTCATGCGAGCTCTGCAGACCATCGTGATGTCAACGACAGCTGACTCATCCCAGTCTTATCCAGACCAAGATCTACTCTCTGGGCCTACTCATCACCCTAAACCTCCGACCTCAGGCGGCCACCACAGGCGGGGGCATTGAGGTCTCGTACCCGCTGAACTCGGTTCCCAGATCGGTATGTTCCGTCTCTCCTCGACCCCGTTGCCTAACCCTTATAAAGCACGTATGCTGATAATATCTCAGAGTCGAAATGATGCGCATTCAACCTCGTCTATGACCAAGGCAGAGATGGACAGCGCTACACAAGGGAAAGATGAGGAATCTGCCCCTGCCCATGTGAGTATACATCCATCACTCATCTCCCTCGCCTAGATCATGGGGACGTCTCCTCTCTCATGTACCGCGAGGCGATACTGACTCTCGCAGTACGAGTCAGCTGGAAGCCTGCTGCCGAGGTTGGGATCGCACGCGCGCATGGGCTGAGTGTAACGCTGTCGAACGTACGCCGGGGTGGGTATACGCCTCGCTGGTCATGTTTCCTCTTGTAAGGTGCAATGGTGCAAATTTGGGCAGGACAGTGCAGTCTGGGTAGGACAGTCTCAGAGCACATGTACCTTATATATGTATGCGTTCTCCTCTGCTCGCCGCACTGCGACAATCAGGCGCACATACACTCTCCGCTTCCAAGGATGTATCCGGGATAGACAGCCAATTTGTCAGTAATCGATCGAGTGTGTTGGTAAGGTGCACCACCTCCCTTTCACACCCCAGAATCCGCTGACCTGTCCTTCAGCGGGACAGTAGAAGCCTTGAGCATTTTCCCTCTGCTCCGGAACTCATATCTACCGGCTCGTAGATCAGGGACCCGGACCTGGGCGCTGGGCCCAGATAGGGACAATCACTACAGCAAGCTCCGAAGGACGTCCGTGTCGTCTTTCACGTCCTTCACATACCTTCATCCTTTCCTTCCATCTATCTCGGTATGCCACTCTTCGCCGGAGAGCGATCCAGGAATAGGAGGAAGGACCTTTGCTAGAGATGACGGCCCCCATCTCGTTCTGATCACTGAGTACTGACGTCCCCTCATTCTCCCTGATTCTCCAGGTCCAAAATAGGGTATATGTGTACTATGCCCGCCATCACCCCAGCACAGCTCGCACTAGCGGAGGCTCTCCCGGCTGAGACTATCGGCAGAAACAGATCGCTTCATATCCTGCCTTTCTACGCGAGGTGAGTCCAAGCGGGGGTGAAGTGCAGATGCAAGTGGATCACGCTGACGGCTGACAGCGGGTTCCTCGATAGCATGCTGATGGGCCTTGTGATTGCCCAGAGCGTCTCGTACAGTCAGCGCTTCCTCGGTAAAGAGAGGAAGTATACCACTGCCCTAGTCGTGAGTCATTTCAGATCCTTTTCTACGCCGGTGAGAGACTGCTGAAAGCTAGTTTATGGGCGTTTTGGGCACTATCGCTGCGACGATCTGGTGAGGATTTGACAATCTCAACTACCACCAAGCTGATCTGGCACAGTCTACTTCTATGGATATCGCACATCTTCGTCTACGGGTTTGGCCGCTTCATGGTCTTTGCGGAGCTACGATGTAGGTATACCCTGAGTCCGCACTCAATAATTCTTTGGAGACCCGCTGATAAGATAGACCTCAGCGCCTATATGTATATCAACACCGCGACCACTCTCGTTGTACAGGTAAAGCGCATTCTGTCCCATTACGCTACATACCCGCTGACTCTCAGACCTTCTATATCGATCGAGCTTGTAGACTGTTCAAGCATTGGTGGCCTGCTCTTATCATTGCCCCCTTTGCGTGAGTCTCTGCTACGGATCGCGGACAAAGATGCTGAGACTACTACCAGGCTAGCTACAACCGCCACGACCATCTCGTTCGTGACCATTGGCTTTATGCCCGCGCAGTATATGATCCCTGAATTGCTAGCCGGCCCAGCAAGTTCCTCCGCTAATGTAGTTCGCGTGAGACTTTCGCTGATCTCGCAGGTGGTTGAGAAGCTCGGTTATGCTTTGGTAAGTCTTTGACATCACAACTGTAGGACTGCCTCCTGATGTCAGCTTTCCTGCTCTATCGCCACGGACGCGCTCATCACGCTTATCATAGTCTATGGGCTATATCGTGTTCGAACGGGATGGACCCACACCGATTCCATCATACGAAGACTGATCATGTACGTCGCTCCCGCAATGCTGCGAACGATCCACGACTGACTATCCAGCCAACTCTTTGAGGCTCAAGTTCCTGCTCTTGTCAAGTGAGCCGTCCTCATCAAAAGCTCAGCCCTGTTCAGAATCGAAGCTGACACTACCGGCGCAGTTGCAGCCTTTATCGCATGGCAAAGAGCATTCGAGATTGCTCTGCCCTTCATGTAAGCCGTGGTCGAGATCATCTACAAAAGGGCTATCGCTGATCCATGTCAGTCTCCTTCAAGCCAAAGTACACGCTCTAGGACTACTCATCACTCTGAATCTCAGGCCCCAGGTATCCACTACCAGCGGAAATGTCGAGGTCTCGTACCCCCTTCAGTCGATCCCGAGAGCGGTATGTCCTTTGCCCGGCTCTCCCCTCTTCGATGTCACACCAGAGAGAGCGCGTTGCTCATATAGTAGAGTCGACATAGTCGATATGAAGCTTATCCGACATCCTCCGTGTCCAAAGCAGAGATGGGCGGCGCCGAGGAGGGGAAAGAGGGAGAATCCGCACCTGCCCATGTACGTTACCATACACCCCTTGCGTTTCTACCTATCACCTCGAAATAGAGCGAAAGCGTCTGATCATGCAGTATGAGTCAGCAGGCAGTCTTCTTCCGAGACTAGACACACACATGCGCTTGGCCTAAGCGTGATGTCGGTGAGCGTTCCCGGGGTCCGGGACAGGTTGTTTTTTGGTAATTGGGAATCTCGGTGTTTTTGTATGGGTCTTTTGTGTACCTGCACATGCATATGTCTTTGTCTGGCCTCTTCTTGCAGCGGTCAAGACAGGGCCTCCGCTGTAACGGTGCCTCACTACTAAGGCGCAAGAAATGCTGCAGCAGACTGAAACACGCACGGATATCGCACATGTTTCAGGTCGATGGCCTGCTTCGTCCACCATCGTCACACATGTCTGCGTATCTGTGTCGATGCGATTGCTGCAGCTGCACACAGTACATAGTGGCTATAGCATCTCAAGCTCGTAATTCCCATAGAACCAAGTGGAGCTCTCCCCGCTGGGAAGCTGCCTTTTTGCCGCACCTCTGACCCAAACCTCCGTTCCGCCTCTCCATCTGCCTTGCTTGCCTCTCCCCTTCTCTGTGCTTCCATCCAGACGCTTCCTTCCAGCCATACTCCATGATCCGTGGCCTCCATGCTCTCCCTGAGATGCGGAGCCTTGCGCTCGGCTATCACTTCTGCATGACGTGCTGGAAGATGTCTCGAAGCATCAATGCCGAGTCCTTCGGGTATCTTCGGAAGCCGTCCTTCCTATCGACAACCGTGATACCAAAACGGGGCGAATATCCTTTGCTCCACTCGAGGTTAATTTTAGGTCAGCTGGGCCCTGTGGTGCGACAGACAGACTCGGGGAAGACCTACTCGAGCAGAGACCAAGCCATGTATCCTCCGATATTGATCCCGTCATCCCTACTCGCCTCGAACAGCTGGCGCAAGTATCCTGCGTAATACGCCTGGCGCTGTACGTCTTTGATAGCTTCTTCCCGGGATAGATCGCCCTCGCCTTCGACGGGAAAGCCATTCTCGGTAATGTAAATCGGAATGTTAGCGGATCGGGTGTACCGGTCGGCAATGTACTGCAGGAGCTTACGGAACCCCCATGGGACTGCTCTATCAGCCCGTGTCTCTCCCAACATCGGATGAGGGCCAGGTCAGGCATGCTCGGATAATCACCATCATGGGGGTGCCCATTCTCTCCCTTGTTTCCGATCTTGACGCCGTCCTTCTCGAAGACCCGCTCATAGAACCCAAATCCAACTTGGAATCGGTCTGCGGTAGCTCGATCGAGCCGCTTGCCGGTAGTATAGGTAGTACCGTAGTGGTTGAGCCCAAAGCTACTGGGTCAGCGATATCGGGCTGGCAAGTGAACAATCAGAATGACTCACAAGTCCGAGGACCCTTTGACGAGCTTCCACTCTGCCTCGCTGAACTGAGGTGCGTGCTCGCCTTGCTGTTTCTTGATGTAGTCAGGCCACGAGCCGAGGAATACTGGGTCGGCGAACTGCCATGTCAATAGGATCCTTGATCAGAAAGTAGCTAGAAACGTACCAGGCTCAGCACGTTGTGTCGGACACCTTGAGCTGCTTCTTTTGCTTCCACAGACGAATCAATGGGCTCAGTCCAGTCGCAGTTCTACTCATCAGTCTTATCTCCAAGCAGCATCTTCTTGGAGGACTCACATATGTGATCCCGATAGTGCCCTTCTGCTCTGGCTGGAACTCGCGGCGATATAGGTCGACAGTCTTTGCGTGGCAGAGCAGGAGGATTCGCGCTAGCCTGGAATAGTCAGCAATACGCCCGCGCACGGCGATACTTCACTCACTTGCCGTAGGAGGAATCGTAGTCCCACCGCTCAGACATGTAGGTCAAGCTCGAGAACAAGGTGAAGATGTGAGGCTGTTCGTCAGCCATGCCCAGTATGAAGTCCCCGGGCTACCCACCTCGTTGATGGTGATCCAGAACTTGCATCTGTCGCCCAGTCGCTCGAAGAGCACCTTGGCAAAGCCGACAAAGTCATCCACGATACGCTCGTCCGAGAAGCTGCCGTACTTGTCCTCGAGAGCTTGTGGGTGGTCCCAGTGGAAGATGGTGATACAGGGCTGAATCTTGGCCTCGAGGAGCGCATCGATGAGGGTTGAGTAGTACTTGATCCCGGCCTCGTTGGGAGTCTTGGTGCAATCACCTATAGCGTCAGCTGGTCGAAATTCTGGCAATGTAGAAAGCAATGTACCATCCGGGAAGATCCTCGCCCAGCTGATGCTGAATCGATAGGTGTTGGCTCCGTACAGCTTTAGCAGATCCACATCCTCCTGCCACTGCTCGTAGCTATTGCACGCGTCCTCGCCATTCTCCCCCTTCTTGTCTTTGAGGATGATGTCCCAGACATTTGGACCCTTGCCATCAGCAGCGATATGACCTTCGATCTGGTGTGAGGCCGACGCAGCACCATAGGCGAAGGAGGCTGGGAGGACGGAAGCGAGAGTGGGGTCGGACAGGATGAGGTCTGCGGGAGATGGCATCTTGAGAAGCGTGGAGTGTGTTCTGTGCAGTGAATCAGTAGTGGTAAGAGAGCGGGCGGTCTTCCTTCCCCAATTCTGCCTTATATGCCTTCTCCAGCCTCCGGATACCCGGTGCAAGAGCGGGTATCCAGTGCGGCCAAGGCAGGGCTCGGATCAAAGCAGCCGCGCCAACCTTGGTGTTTCTCCGAGGTTTTTGCGAAGCTCATCCAGCGATCTTCGCCGAAATATCTTGCAACCACATCTATCACTCCTCTATCTCAGCTGTAGCACATCATGGCAACCAGGACCCTCGCTTCCCGACTGGCAATTCGGACCGGTGCTGCTCGTAGCGCGGTCATGGCTACCAGATTTGCGTCTTCGTCAACCCAGTCGTCGGCGACTTCTACGCCCGATCATGCCGGTCCGTCCTCGTCCACTAGACCTGCGTCTGGAACTGGACGGACCACCCATTTCGGCTTCAGAGATGTGCCCGAAGAAGAGAAAGAGACTCTTGGTAAGTTCCCGGCCTTTTCGCCCAGTCCGAGGCTGACAAGGCAGTCGGAGGTGTCTTTTCATCGGTCGCGTCCAGCTATGACCTGATGAACGACGGGATGTCGCTCGGTGTTCACCGATTATGGAAGGACAACTTTGTCAGCTCCATGCTCCCTCGATTACCACCATCATATCACCAGCATCCCGAGCCCGCCAACCCCAGCTCAGTTCGACCAGCAAATCCCAAGTTCAAGTGTCTAGACGTAGCGGGTGGAACTGGAGATATCGCTCTGCGTATCTTGGATCGCGCGAGAGAAAAGTTTGCTAGTCGGGATGTTGAGGTGGAGATCGTGGATCTGAACCAGGGGATGCTCGATGAAGGGAGGAAGCGGGTCGCAAAGACATTATACTACAACAGTGCGTTTATGGCTTGCGCGAGCTAGATTCCGAGCTTACACTCCAGCTCCTCAGATCGCTTTCACCCATGGCAACGCTCAGTCATTACCCTCTCATATCGCCGACAATTCCATCGACCTCTACACGATCGCTTTCGGAATCAGGAACTGCACGTCGATACCAGCTGCGCTCAGCGAGGCATACAGGGTGTTGAAGCCGGGAGGCAAGATCGGGGTCCTGGAGTTTGGAAAGGTGTCAAACCCTCTTCTTAGAGAGTAAGCTTTTGAATCAGGGAGCTGTTCCCAGGCTGACGAGATAGGGCCTACCGCCAATATTCATTCCAGTTCATCCCTATCCTAGGCAAGATCCTCGCGGGAGACGCAGACTCGTACCAATACCTCGTGGAGTCGATCGAGAAGTTCCCCACTCAGCCTGAATTTGCGCAGCTGTAAGTGATAATTGCTGTCCATTGTATCATGGCCTAGATGCTGACTGGTGTTAGTATGCGCGATGCGGGCTTCCAGACGGGTCAGATGAAGGAGGGCCGAGGCGGCGCATGGCGGGACTTTACTTTTGGCGTTTGCTCAATGTGGACCGGTGTCAAGGCATAATCTTACAGATGTACTCCTAGATCCCGCCGACATGTCCATGGACTACAGGTGCACTCAGGCTCAGGCAGATCGTTGATCCAGGCAAGCTTGCTGCAAGGCTGCCTGCAGTGTCTGAACGGACGGGTTGAGGCCCCGCCGGAACCAAATTGACCACCCGCTTCCAGCAAGACCAAAGCCAAAGCACACCATATCACTTTCAACTTTGAGCATCTACATCCACTACATCGCACTGAGCAACACCCTCGAACCACTCTCAGGCTCGTCTTTCGCAGTCCATCCGCCAATCAACCAACATGTCCGAAAGAATGAAGGAATTTGCGGACCTCCCTAGGGATTTCGTCAAGGAGGGCACTCAGGTGCGTGTCCATTCCGGACCTCTCAACGGCCCTGGAGGGATTATTAGGTGGTCGATGGGAAAGAAGCGGCGGTCTCGGTGATAGGAAATGAAGCGTCTCGCTGTCGAGGATGTATGTAGAGTGGCATGCGCAGCTGGGGAGGGCGAAACGGGCACAAGCTCAGCGTGGACGGGCTTCAAGTAGACTTGGGCCTGGGATGGAGGAGCTGGGCTGGCTGCTCTGCCTATCGCATTGAGCGAAGGCGTTATCCAGCTGGACAGAGTAGGAGACGGAGAGGCAGGGGAAGAGAGGATCATCACAGTCTGATGATAGAGGGAGAGTGCTGATTGTGCAGTTTGTCAACCGGTGTACCAAGCCAAACAAGGAAGGCGAGTCTGTTCTCTCGGTCCCATGTACAGCTGCACATGCCTCCTGGCTGTCCCTGTACTGATTGCGCTTCCGTGACAGAACGTAGACTGACTCTTTTGCAGAATACATCCAACTCTGCCGGGCTATCGCTATTGGTTTCGTCGTGATGGGTTTCATTGGGTACTTTGTGAAGCTGATTCATATTCCCATGTAAGTGGATGTCTTCTACATCCTCTTTACGCGCCCAAAAAACCACTTTAATCCTTGCGGGAGGGGATGATTTTTGCTCGGTCAGAATGAATAACGCTGACATCTATCAGAAACAACATCTTGGTGTACGTTTACAATCGCTACTTCTCCCTTGGCGTGCCGTGGTGGATACAGCTGACAACCCAGTGGTGGGGCATAAGTCTTTCTGGGATCACTGTAGGCAAGCCGATCAAAATGCACCGTATACTTGTATACCACGAAACACGCTCGCGCGGGTTTGCGACCTGGTATGACCGGAAATTGGGCATCCGTCCCGACTTCTAATTCCAATGCAGGCCTGACACTGACTTGGGGAGCTTCCTCATCGTGAGCGCTGACAAGTCACTAGCTCTGCGCATCGCGAACGGGACACGGTGACATCCTATCTCACCTTGCCCACACAGGATCCTTAGTTCAGATTCTCAAGAGCTCGGGGAGCGTCTTCTGACTCGCTGGATCCGTACAACACCGGGAAGACCTCATGCTCTGGGTATGTCAAGACGTATCGAATGTGCAACGCGACAGGGCAGATATGGTTGGACGCTCATATTATGTCATGATCTAGATTCTAATTAATAGTACAAACTTCTGCCTCTGACCACGCCTGTCCTCCCTACGTATGTCTTGACAAATCTATTGACGCCAAGGCATCACTAAGATCTATGTGGAACATGGGGCACGCATCCAAGATGAGCGGCACGGTGTGCTGCGAGTTCCTGCCCGAGCCTGCCGTCGCCTCCACGCCTCGACCCGCCTCCAGATCCGTCTCGCTGCTATCCTGACTCTTCTTCTCCTGCTTGTACGACTCGCTGTCCTCGTCGTTGACAGGGGTGTTTGAGCCGGAGGCTTCGTATGACCGGTCCCGCATGTTGGTTTGTGGCGACGAAACATCGCCTCCGTGCTTGACTACAGGAGCGATCTCCAGGTTGGTCCCGTCCCGTCTCTTGCCTTGGCCGAAGCCACCAGCTACCAGCGCCCGCCTCGTCCACGGCGAGAGGATACCGCAAAAGTGGAAATCTACCCGCCTGTCCGCCCACTTCTCCACCTCCTTCTTGGTATCGATGAGGTTTTGAACACCGGTGGTGTCAATGTTGGCTACCGCAGTAAAGTCAAGGATGACTGCACGAGCAAGAGGGCGTGTACGCTGTACCTCCTGCTCGGCCTCATCCCCGTTCTTTGGTCCGGGGTCGTTCCATGGCCGGTCGCCCGCGCTGATCTGGGAGTAGTCCTTTCCGCGCCGAGTATGCGCTTTGACGTACTCGACGATCCGGTCGTTGATGTACGAGGCGTTGGGGTAGAGGAAAGACTCCTCGAACCGGTAGATGATGACTCCCGGGGGTGGGGGCTCGACGTTGACATCCATGATAGCCCCTTTGTCCCCCTCGAGCGAGACGTAGACATCACGCGGTCCGCCGTACTCTGGGTTCTCGGGCTGGATGCGGACCCGACCGAGGAAGTGACCCTTGGGCCGAGCGAGCCGGACGAGGAGGAGGACGACCGAGGTGGCGAGAGACCAGTAGATACCGGACTCGATGGAGTAGAAGATGGACCAGAGCACGGCACCGACAAAGATGATGTACTCGAGGGGGGAGACGCGCCAGAAGGCAAAGGATTGTTTGGGGGATGCGACAAGGTCGGCGACGGCGTGGATGATGAGTGCGGAAAGGGCCGCGTTGGGGATAAAGTAGAAGGCAGGGGCGACGGCGTAGAGGGCGATGATGACGACTACACCGGTGGCGATACCCGCTGCAGGGGTCCGCACGCCCGACTTTGACTTGAGCGCCGACCGCGAGAAGGAGCCGGTGGAGGGGTATGCGCCAAAGAGGGAGCCGAGGGTGTTGTTGACACCGATAGCGATGAGCTCTTGGTTGGGGTTGATCTTGTACCCGTTGAGACGGCCGAATGACTTCGCGATAGAGATGTGCTCGAGCAGGAGGATGATGGTGGATACGGGGAGATCACCACCCATGGCTCCGATAAGCTCAGAGGTGATACGTGGCTGGCCAATAGCGCGAAGACCTGAGGGGACCATCCCGACGAGAGCGATCCGAGGGGTAGCGTAACCCGAATTGACCCGCCACGAGATGATGGTGAAGATGATGATGACGAATGCGTGGCGGAACGTGCCAGCAAAGAAGGTGGCTCGCGAGTAGCGTGGGTACTTGTTGCCCAGCCACTGCATACCCCACTTGATGCCGTAGAGCGTAACCAATGCGGGTATACCGAATCCAGCGTCAAGTCTGGTCGTCAGCTATGAATCGCATTGGAAGCTTGAAAACACGTACGTGCAGTTGGGCAGGTTCCTAAGCGTGTTGATGATTACATCGTATGTTGGTGCCCTCGTGTTCAACCTCTTAGCCAGGCCCAGCATGGCCGGCACCTGACCAGCAGCGATGTTGATGGCACTGCCGGTCATGAAACCGGACACCGCCGGCTGCGGGATGAACTCGACAATCCAGCCCACACGGAGCAAACCGATGGCGAGGACGATGAAGCCGCAGATGAACGCGAGGCAGACTGCGATCTGGGGCTTGGTGTACTTGTCGCCGAGCTTGTCCACCACCGAGTTGACCACGATACCGGTCTGAAGGGACATGACGGCGACGGGGCCGATGGAGACGTCCTTGGAAGTGGCAAAGAAGGCGTAGGTCAAGACACCGATGAAGGAGGCGTAGAGACCGTATTCCGAGGGAAGGTTGGCTAGGACGGCGTAAGAGAGGGATTGGGGGACGAGGACCATGCCCACTGTGATACCGCTGATGGGTCAGCAAGCTTTCTCAGCCCAGGAAGATGATGACTCACGCAACGAGATCCGATACCAGCCAGGTAAGGTTATACCTCGGTAGCCATTCGATGAAAGGGAAAAGCGAGCGCACATAGGCGGTAACCTAGCTGAGTCAGTAGTGCAATCGATAAAGAATTGACGCGGACACTTACAGCGGGCAAGACTCCACGCTCATTCTGGGATATCCAGTCTGACACGCTGACTACGGGCGGAGCATTCTCATCTATCCCTACAATCTTCCTCAGGCGGCGCTTGATGACACTGGTCATGGTCGAGGAGTTCGGGTGCGTAGGGTAGTGGAGGTGGTTGCCGTTGACCTAACGCCTGGTCTGTGGCTTTTATTATCAGAAACGTTCGAGCGGCGAGAAAGGAGAATGAGGAGGACAAGTAAGAGAGATGGTGAAGAGATATATCAGCTTGCATGCACACCCATACCCATCCTCCACCTTGGTAATCCACCTTGGTAAGCGGACCGGCAATAGAAAGACGACATCGCCATAGAGAAAAGACAAGAGCTTGCGTGATCAGAATGCGATGGAAATTGTTAATCAGCCGGCAAGGCGGCCCCGCACGCAACTTCTCGTGCTGCAAGAATGGCTGATCCGTTCTTGACCGTTCTTTTCTTAGAAGGTGCCTGGGAGTCGCGAGCAGCTTGGCGTGCATGCAAGGAGGTTGTGAGTGGGCCGGATCGACCGCTGGAGGACCTTGAAAGACAGAGGATCTGCGGGTGGTAGATGTCGCCATGGAGGCCATCGAGCACGCCATTTCAAGCTTGGCTGACGAAAAATATGAAACGTGACGTCATCGCCGTAGGCCGAGGTGAAACCGACCGGCCGACGGTCGTGCCTGGCCAGTTGCCTGGCTTATATAGCTTGTCGCTTGACCGACAGCTGGCGATCCCAGCAGATCACCATGCATAGCCCTCTCACCGCTCCGACTGCTCGCTCGGATCAAAAACTGGGCACAAGATGACAGGAATTGCATAAGATCAAGATCAAAGTCAAACTTGCCGTGCCACCAGCAAGACTCACAGGTGCATTCTTACCTTCTCTTCTCGAAAGAGGGAGATAGCAGAAGCACCTACCGATACCCACCAAAGCTTGAACCTGGATCGCTTGTCTCGTACATGCTTGACACTTGATGAGCATAAGCCACACAGGAGATGATACTATATACTTGACCATTTGCCTTGACCCGCTTTCGTTCTCCGGGGGACAGAGTCCCGCTGTCTCGTGGTGCGATGAGACATCCGGCGTCCAAGATGAGTAAAGGGCTTTCCGCCTCGCCCGCCATACCTACAGCCCTCTCTTCTCCCTCAATACCGCATTCGCTTCGGATCAGGCCCGCCCGCATCGCTGCCTCCGCTACCGCCATACCCCCCTCCTCCACCGGGCGGGCCACCGTACCCTCCACCGCCACCACCGGCATCGAAATCGCGCTTGTACCCGCCGCCAGGTGGTCCGCCGTATCCGTTCTGAGGAGGCCCGCCATCTTGACTTGCGGTGTTAGCAGTGGTCAGTACAAGTATGTGGCGAAAGAGAAGGCTTACCCATATCCTCCGCCTCCACCGCCATAACCACCCCTAGGCGCGAATCCGCCCCCGCCCATCCCTCCCCCTCTTGGCGCACCGCCATACCCAGAATCTGACGACTGGAACCCGCCTCGTCCTCCTCCAAATCCACCTCCGCCAGGCGGTCCGCGGTCAAAGCCACCTCGGAAGCCGCCTCCCATCCCACCGCGATCTCCTCCGCCGAATCCACCGCGATCGCCACCCCCACCACCGAAGCCACCCCTGAACCCGCCGCCACCGCCTCGATCACCCCCGAAACCTCCTCGCCCGCCAAAGCCTCCGCGATCTCCACCCTGGAACCCGCCTCGGAATCCACCGCGATCGCCAAAGCCACCTCCACGACCGCCGAACCCGCCTCGGAACCCCCCGCGTTGTGGGAACCCCATCGGTGGTGGAGCAGCCATTTCTTCCGGCTTGATGGGCTTTGGCCGTCCGCCGAGACCGCCACCGAGTTTCTGAGGCTTCCAGCCTTTGACGGTCCGTCCGCGCTCGACGTCAACGAGGATCTTTTTGTTGTACATGGGGATGCCTTCAGCGTCCTTGTAAGCGGCTGTATATGTCAGCTATACGTCTACGATATCGACCGGGAAGCACTGTGATCTCACCCTTCATATCTCTTTCTCTCTCGTATACGATAAACGCAAATCCCCTACTCTTCCCCTTGTGATCCAACACAAGCCGTATCCGCTCAATAGTTCCGTAGATCTCGAATTCTCTCCTCAGATCATCTTCTGTGACCTTTTTAGACTGCAATATCAGCTCCAGCTTGAGAGCAGGCATTTGGGGGCAAAGTCCTCACCAGTCGGGATATGAAGAGTGTTTTGTATGGGTCGCCAGCCGCAGCAGGATCTTCGTTAGGCTTATCTGTAACGTCAGCTTAATATTCAGGAGTTCGCAGAGACAGCAGATCTTGGGAAGGGATGAAGCACTCACAATTGGCCTCCGAGTCCTTTTTGTACTGTTCCTTCCTCTTGATCCTCTCTTCCGCCCTCATCTTCCTCGCTTCCTGACCCACCACGCCCATCCGCGATATTTTATCGTCCTTCTGCTTGGGCAGCTTCCTCTCCTTGCCCTTCTTGTTCTTCCCCGCATGCACAGCCGAGGTCGACGCCTCCTTTACTTCCTCCTTGTCCTCTTTCACCTCTCCCATCTCCACATCCCCGTCGGCGGCCTTCGTAACAGCACCGTTGCTCTTGCTTCCCTCGGCAACAGTGACGGGCTTGTCCTCCAGACCCTGCTTGATCTCGTCGTCATCTGCTTCTTCCTTCAGCCGCTGTCGGAGGACGGCGAGACCGGAGAGCTTGTTCGGGCCTCTTTTTGCTTCGTCTCGCGTCAAAGGTTTGAGATAGGGTACCGGCGGACGCGGTGCGAAAAGCTTTAGGAGATTGGGCGGTAGGAGGGCCGTCATGATGCTGAAGTTGTGGATGTATGATAGGCAAATCAGGGCAGGAGATAGGAGGAATTGAGCTCCCCTCATGCAGCTCGAGACGCGCAGCGGCGGAATCCGCGGCGAGTTTTGAGTGTGGCACTTTGGGCACACCACTGTGACGCATTGGGTTGATGATCTGATCTCTTCGATCCGCGCTTTCCTACTTGTATGCATGGAATTTCTCCTCGAGATGTAATGCGCCCACTCATCACGCCTCTTGGGGACAAGCAAGCAGAGAGACCAGGAAATTGTTGATTGAGGCAAAAAAGATCAGGGACTTCATGCCCTTTTGATCTCCCCAGGTCTCTCTACCCGGTATCGAATGGGCGTTTCGCTCTCGTTCGACATTTGCCGGCCGGCATTCTCCATCTCTCTCACCAACTACCACTATGCCACTTGGGCTGGGTGCTGCGACCACAACTTTGGGCGGCGCGTCGGTTGGCACGAGTGAGGGTATATAAAGAGCGACTTTGATTAGATCTCCTCATTCCTCGACATATGCCCGTCTCGTCCAGAGCTCAGATGTATCATAGTCCGCTCGTCAAACGCTTGATAACGTGGAAGTCGATGCGTCCTGGGGTCAAGACGGCAGTATTACTCAGGCGACGCGCGCGATGTGTGCGTGATACCCAGGGTTGTCAGAGCTGTTTATGGCCTGGAGGACTGCTGCTCTTGACACCCTCATGTTCACTATAACCTTCATTATCACGGGAGAATATATACAGTACAATGTAAGCCATAATACCCGGAAATTACAGAGTCCATCCACGCCGACAACATTATCCCCACCGACGCCACTTTCCCGGTCAGCCATCTTCCCTCAGTCATCGCCCGTCAGATCGATGACACTGTCCACCTTGTTCCGATTGCCGGACGATGTGCCGGTCCCATACTGCAGGATCAGCTGCGATGCCCATAGTCAGACTGAGTGAATGGAGAACTCACCTCATATACCGGGATAGGTTCCTGCTTGACGCCCGAAGCCCTTGCCTTCTTCTCCTTCTTGACAACTGGCGCGTCAACTGCTTGGATTCCATCATCAACGTCGTCCAGGTCCGCAGCTTCCGCCGAGGCGGAAGATTGTTGTCGGCGCTTCCTGGGATTCGGAAGAGGTGCCTCTTCAGGCTCATCTTCTAGATCCTGTCAGCAGGACCACGTGAAGCAAGAGCGCCGGCCAAAGACGCACCAATGATGCCCATGATGGATAGCTTGGACTTGGTGTGATACTGAGTAATCAGCGAGTGGCTCCGTGTGTATGGCTTGCGGCGACGCACTGTCCACTGAAATCTAGCCACATCTGGGCGGCGTGGATCCGGGACAAAATGGCTGCTACCGCCGGGAACGAAGACTTTCTGGTTCTTGCCGCTGAATCAAGTTAGCTCGGGCAGAGACAAGATGCTCAGGATTGACTCACACAACGGTCGAGCCAAGCTTGATCTGCTTCTCGTGCACTTTACCCACGTCACCGGCGGACTTAGGAGCGTATAGCGCTTGACTGGGCCGCTTTGACCCACGGCGTACGACCACCTCGATTCGGCAGAGATTGTCCACTTCTGCGCCCCTACAGGTGACTTCGCCTTCATCGTCCGTCTTTGACTGTGTCGCATCAGCTCGCGACTTCGCGGGGTTATAGGACAGCTCAAGACTCACGAGAGCAGCAAATGCGAGATCACAGCTGAACATCTGCCCTCCCTCCCTCTTGAACAGGGTCTCGAAGGTGACCTGATTCACTGGTCGCGGCCAGTGCCTTCCGTCTACGCTTCGACCATCAATGTACAGATAGGCGACCAAGCCAGGCTGGGAGAGCATCATGTATGGAGGTGCGCTCAACTTGACCTTGAAGCTCTGTTCTGTCAGGATCCCGTCACACTCCATGTTCCCGCTTGAGAGGGTGAAGGGGACGTACTTCGCCTTCTTCGCACTCCAGGTACGCCTTGCACAGAGCGTCGGCTTGGCCCGTCTTGTCGTCCCGCACGCGGGTGAGCCTATGCTCGTCTGCTAGATCAGCTGTACTCTCTTCCCCTGAGAGATATCTGCAGCGCACTCAGCTTGCGGCCGTCGCTGAACTCGACCCATGCCTCGATGTTGAGGTCTGGAGAGGTATACAGCATGGTCCGTCAGTCCTGCTAGCAATGCGTGTAGTTAGGTCGTTACTGATATGTAAGATGGAGCAAGTCATGATATACAGTTCTGCACGTGAAGGGGCCTTAAGTGTCCACCTCATCTTCGCGTGGTGACGTAAACAGCGCACGGACTGCTTTGATCTGAAACTCGAGACGGTTTCGGGTGGTTTCAGGTTTCAGGTTTGGGGTCGGCCCTGCCCATGAGCGCTGAGCCAACAGACAGGTCTCCAGCTAAGCTGTCAGTAGCCGAAGCTTGAAGACGCGTAAATGTGGCTATACATTGGTAGAGTGTCGACGTAAGCGGTCGCCTTGGCTCTTAGACCGCCTATTGCAGGCCGCGTCTGCACCTGAGCAAAAGGAATGGTGCGATGGCCGCCAGGCGGCTGCCCTCCTTTGGCCTGCCGCTTGTTCGAACGCGGGTTCTCGTGATCCAAAAAGGATAACAGAACCCTACCTATGAGCAGTCTGGTCCTGTCAGAGCCTTCATGGGATGATCCCGGGATAGGTATGCTAGCATAGGTGGTGGATGCAGGAGGTGGGGGGGGGAGGGGGCACGAGCCAGAGAGGGGATGACACATGGTGCCAGTCTCAACTTTTTACAATTGTATATATACATCAACTATCGCGGATAGCCATGCATGGCCATGCAATCCCAGTACGGGATTGTACATCCTTGCCGAAAGACTGATGGAGTGTACGTCGACGTGGTACTCAGGCCTTTCCTCGATTTGCGTCCTCGGCTGCGGGCCAAGCTTACAAAAAGAGACGCTTGCGCCCAGCACATCAGACCATCCTTTGACTCAGGGCCTAATCGAACGAGAGTCCGCTAGGTACAGAAGCCAAAAAGCTGAGAGGGGACAAGCCTCCTCAACCCCCAAAGCAGCCGAGACTGGCACTGCGGTTAAGGAATGCCGTCTCAGCTTAGGCCTGGTGCCATTGACAATTGTTATACGTATATACGGGGCCACTGTGTTGCGTGTAAATATGGTCAGATGTTTGATTCATACTCACCTGTGCATGTCTGACCAGCACAACAGCATCCCAAGAACATGTCGAGCACAAGACCGCAGATGATGCATGCCAAACCTCGGTGACTCCTACGTGCGTAGAATCGCTCTTCAGCCACCTGTCAGGGAACAAGCCGACATGTCTCTAGTCATGTCAAGTGGAGGGAGTCACAGGAGTATGCAAACGGCTATTCATTGCGACAGCGGGGCTGTGGAAAGGTGGGCGTGCTGGTTTGCCTCATCACCTATAGCCGGGTCTCGGTCCCCTTGGCACGCCTACCGAAAAAGAAAAACAAGTGTAATGGCAGCCAGCAGATACCCCTCCTTTGGCTCCTGTCATGCTCGAACGAGGGACCGATGCAAAAAGCTGACTAGGGACAAGCCGTTCAACCCCCCAGAATCTAAGGATGACATACCTCCGGGTTAGGGAGGTATCACAGGAGTGTGCGAACGGCTATGCATTGTGACAGCGTGGCTGTGGGAAGATGGGCCCGCTGTTTGCCTCCGTTCCTCACGGCCTCACCTCGGATGCTGGGTCCCCTTGGCAGGCCTACAAAAAGGATAGAGTGATGTGAGTCAGCCGGCACGCCTCCTTTAGCTCTTGTCATGCTCCGGATTCCCCTCCTTTGACCCTTCTCATGCTCGAACGAGTGCTTCAGACAAAAAGCTGAGTTTAGGACAAGCCGGCTCGACCCCCAGAAGCCGAGTACGGGCATTACCTCCCCCGAAGACGACGTAATGCCGGTACTCGGCTTGGATCTGGTGAGAGCTGGTATTTTGATACATTTATATACGGCCATTCATGTCGCTTGAATGTGGCCAGAGCCATGCTTATCCATGCATGGTATGACCAGTGTATGTCTAGCATCCCATGAGCATGTCAAGCACAAGACTACAGATCATGCATACCAGATCACGTTCTACAACGACCCTCCTACTTCTCCGCCGGCTGCTGGAAGACATCGACATATCGATTCCTCGCCCCCTTCTTACTCGCCGCGCTCCCCGGCCGCTTACTCGGTGGCCTACTAAGCAGGTCGTCTATACTGGAAGAAGCTCCTGGTGGCCTTGCCAGTGTCGGTAGTCCGCCTGGTGGTTTGCCCATCCCTGGCGGTCCAGGCGGGGCAGATGGCATCCCGTTGCCTGGGACTGACGGTTTCGGGGCACTGAGCGCCGCAGCGGCAGGTGGGGCCTGGTCGGCCGTGACGCTCTCGGCGAGACCGGAGCGGGGTTGTGGTGGACCTCGACGGGGCGCGGAGTCGTCAGAGGGGTAGGAAGGGGATGAGGCGGCGCCCGAGACGGAGCGTGGCATGGTGGCGAATGGGGAAGAGGAGCCCGGGGGTCCGGACGCGGGTGGACGAGCAGCACGACCGGGAGAGACGGTCTGGGAACGAGGAGGGGGTGGAGGCGGAGCTGGAGCAGCTTCGGGTTTTTGCTACACTATCAGCTCGTTCCTATTCTCCTGATGGGATTAACTCACACCCTTGACAACCCATCTCCTCAGCTCCTTGTCAAACACCATAGCATTCTCCTCGCCCAACTTGGCCCGAATCGGTCCAGGTCCAGCCGCATCTCCCTCCTTCTTCCCAAACCATCCCTTGAACCAACCCGCCGGCTTGGCCTCATCCTTCCCTAACGACGCCTCATCCTTCTTGCCTCCCTTATCCGCCTTGGGGTCCGTCTTCTCTGATTCCGCCGCAGGGCCCTTGTCCTTCGCGTCTCCGCCGTTCGCCGAGTCGGCCGGTCGGGGCGTGCGGTTCCGCGAGAGACCGGCGTTACCGAAGCCGAGATCGTCCTCGTCGTCGTCTTCGACCGGCTGAGTCGGTTTGGGAGCATAGGAGTTCGAGCTGGACGCAGGAGCAGAGGGACCGCCAAAGGTGAGTGCCGCCATCGGGTTGAGTAGCTCTCCCACATCATCAGGCATGGGCGTGCTCTCTCCCTCTTGGTCCTCGTCTACCGCCTGCTCGCTCTGCTCCCCCCACGCAGAATACCCTCCGCCACCCTGACCGTAGGTAGTCGGCGGCATCTCACTCTGAGGCGAGGGCATTCCCGATCTACGCCCGTCCATCGGAGTGACACCGAGGTATCCACCCCCATTCGCCGCAAAGTCGGGCACGCTGCTGTTCCTACTTGGAGCGGGACTGATGGTGCTAAAGTGGCTGAATGGACCGACGGCGCCAGCGGGCGCAGCGCCCTTGGCGGCGGGAGCAGTCTTGGGTGCCGAGGTTGCAGAAGAAGACGTGTCGTCCTCGCCCGCGATGAAGGTGGTGAGCCGGCCGCCGATCCACGAGCCGAGCTTGTCGAACCCAGGCTTGGTTGGTGCTTTGCGCGCAGAGAGACCCTTGGCGGGCTCGATGGAGGGCGAGCCAGTAAGGCGCTCAAGCAGGTCTTCGAGGGATGAGACGTGATGTGGGAGGAGAAGAGAGGGACCGGTCTTAGCGAGCTTGGTAGCTGCTTCGACGGCATTGCAATACCTGACAATCAGCAAAAGTCACTGGTCGAGAGAGGGTAACTCGCTTCTTTGCCAAGTCCACCTCGCCCTGCTCTGCAGCCTGCCACGCCCGCTGCAGCTTGTATGGCAACAGCGCGGGCAGGCCGGGGAAGGGAACCTCCTGTCCCTTCGGCACGGCGATCATCCCTCGAGCGTACTCTGCGATCTCGGCAAAGATGACAGCGTCCTCGTTCCTCGTATCCTGCATCATGGCGATAGGTCGGTCAAAGGCGGTAGGCGATGGGTCGATGAAAGGTGATAGTGGGGACAGCAGTGAGCTTGAAGATCAGCTCCAGCCTTGCTCAACTGAGGGGAGACTCACCAAGCATAAGCGACATTGAGCAGTCCACGCTGCATGAATCGTCCCGCCAGATCATCCAGACAAGAAGCGTCTCCCGGCCGTCCATTGAAGACCACCGAAGCGATGACTTCTCGCCATTGATCCTTGCTCGGGTCGTCCGTGATACTCGCAGCGCCAAAGAGGTCCTCAGCTGAATATTAGCTTGCAACACATGACTGGACATACCAATTGATGGATCAGCCCCGGCAAAGAGCGAGTACGACGCCCTCAAACCAGCCACCCCCTCGCCGGCCAGCTCGGCCTGGATGAACCGGTTCAAAGTCTCTTTCCAAAGCTCCGGGCCGAGCGAGCTGGCTATGACCAGGGCGTGCGACCAGAGACCGTGGCCTGAGGCGTACTCGAGAGCATCGCGCTTGTCGCCACTGACGAGCATGTCTGAGAGTGCAGACAGCTGAGCTGGAGTAGCGGCAGCCGTCGTGCTGGTCGAGGTGGAAGTACCGTATGCTGCAGAGCCGAGATTACCGGGTGTGATCAGAGTGGTTGATTCCGAGGGGCTAGCCAGCGCCTTCTTCAGCGCTTCCTCCACTTTGGGACTGCTGCATTAGCTCCGCTCGAAATCTTGAAACTGATAGCTCACCTTCCGCTAAATTTGCCCTCGCCGATAAGCAAGGCGCTCAACAGCCTGACCAACAACAGCTTGCCCTCTTCCTCCCGCCTCGCCCCTGACGCACTACTCTTGAGATACGGCAAACCCTTCTCAATCTCCTCTGCTCTGGCCTCGAGATACGCCAACACCGCCTCCTTCTTCTTCTTGTCCCCCGCGGACCCCTTTGGATTGCTCGGGTCCAGAAGCAACGGACCAGGATACGCAGCCGCCCCCTCACTGCTCGATGCCACCTCCATCACCGTTCCAATTGGACGAATGAGCAATTGCCCTCGACCCGACGCATAGCCATACGACGGCGTTCTGTTATGTCCTAATGCGTGGACATCCTCCGCCGCGCCCGGGAAGGCAGTAACGAGCATCCCTCCGAATCCGAATACCGCGAGCGGCGCATTCTTGGCGGACAGTGTACACCGCCCGAGGGGATCCTCGGAGAGCGGACGCTGCTCGAGGACTTGTTGCGGGACGTAGGAGGTATCGGTAGGGGAGAGGTGCATGGACTGGAAGTAGTTGTTTTGGGGTGACGCGCCGTATTGGGAGCTATTGGCGGGAGAGGCGGTGCGGTTCGGGGCGTAGAGGTTGTTGGAGGACAGGGAGGGATGGGCACTGTGCGCGGGTGAGATAGACCGGTTTGCGGCGTACCGGTTGGATGATGCGTCGTTGGGCGCGTAAGGATCGGAGGGGAGGTATGGGGTGGGCGGCTGAACCGGGATGGAGATCGGAGCGGCCTCGTACGGCGACTGGGCGGGCTGGTACGAGGACTGCGAGGTTTGCGCGACAGGTCGCGATGGCTGGTAAGATGAAGAGGAAGGGGCGTAGGGGTCTGCCGCGGGAGGGGCGAATGATGTCGGGATGGGCGGGCGTGTTTTGGCCGGAGAGCTCATGTTGAAAGATCGAGCTTCCTGCTTTGGCGTAGGCGGAGATGCCGCCGCCTGTGCCGGAGCATACCCATTTTGTGAGGGTACCGAGGGTGTGTAGCTTTGCGTTGAAGTAGAAGGAGCGTACGGATCGTACGACGGCTGCCGATCGACCAGTGGAGGCGGTCGCGGAGCCAGCTGAGCCGGCGGGGCAGGTGGCGGAGCAGTCGAGCTCGGCCTCCGCGAAGCTACCCAGCTATCACCCTCCTCATCGACGTCGATCTGCCTTGACGCCTCTTGCGCGTCCTCATCTTCCCTCCATCCCCCACCTTCCGGATCTTCCTCCTCTTCCAACTTCCGCTCAAACATCGGCTCATCCTCTCCATCCCGCAACCTATCCATCTCATCGTCCTCCGCCGCGCTGGTCAAGTGCGGCCATCCCGCATCCCTCGGTACGCCACTTTCGCCTTCCAACGCTGGTTCCTGCTCCGGCGTGATTGGACGGGGAGGGGGCATCGGAGGCATGACGGGCTGGCGATACCGATCTTCCTGCGGCTGAATGGGAGGAGCGCGTTTTGCAGGGAGTGGAGGTGGAGGTTCGAAAGAAGGAGTGGCGCGTTTCTGCCCGCCTCGGCTGGACGGCCGGGATGGGCCTTGCGGCGGGCCCGATGGCGGGGGAGGCGGTAGTAGCGCAGGCGGTGCAGGTGGAGGAGGAGTAAAGACCGGTCGAGACACGCTTCTTGCTACGCTAGGCGGGCGGAGAGGTGGGTCAAAGGCGTTCGGCACAGCCTTGGGACGCTGTGATGCCTGAGACGAAGGTCGACTGGGCGGTCCGTCTCTCCGAGTCGGGGCGGTACTCGGTGCCGAAGCAGAGTAATCTGGCATACCGTACGGTGATGGCTGGACGGGCTCATACGCCGATGGACTTTCAGGTATAGCTTTGGACAGCCGGCTGAGACCGAGGGAAGACGCCGGTGGGACGCTAGGCACACGTCTGGGCGGACCGCTAGGAGGGAGCGAGACCGGCGGTGCCGGCGGTGTAGCCAGACTCGGAGACGGTGCTGGGAATGGGGACGCCATGGGCGCTGCCGATACTGGGCGGATGAAGCTCTTCTGCGTCCGTAAGGGTGGATCGTACGCGTTGGAGATGACGCGCTGAGGCTTGGGTGGGACCGGCTTCGTAGCGGCCGGGACAGACCGAGCGGGACTTGCCTGCGACGGGGACGACGCATATGAGCTCGTCGCGAATGACTGGGGAGCGTATGGGTCGTATGGGGCCGCAGAGTAGCCCGCAGTTTGTGCCGGGACAGGTGGAAAGTAGGAGGATTGTGCGCGGGGGACGGGGGCGGCGCCAGGAGTGTAAGGGTTGGAGATGGGCTGTGGTGTATTGAAAGAAGGTGTGGGTAGCCCGGTAGAGTGTCGAGAGAAGGTAGGGGGCGCGTAGGGGAGGTGAGTGGGGGGTGAGGCGAATTGTGCTACCTGGTCCGGTTGTGGTGTCCGCCGAGCAGCATTCTCCGAGTGATACGGCGCTGGTGGGGGTACTGGCTATCAGCGCGGACCAAGAGACAAGGCGGAGAGCTACTTACCAGATATAGCTGGCGCATTTGCCCGAGCAGCAGCTCGCTCTGCCAACATGCTCTCCCTGACTGCCGCCTTGTCCTCTGCCGTGTAATACTGGAAGTTCCCATACTCGTCTATCCACCCTTCAGGGACCTCCACTTCCTCCTCCTCAGAATCGACCGAAGCCACCGCCAGCTCTGGTCTGGGCGGCAACATAGACTCCACTGGCGACAGCGCCTCGTCCTCGCCTTGCGAGATGAAGGACCCGTCCATCGTCGTATCGTTCATCCAGTCGCTGGTGTTGGAGAACAGGCTTTGGACGGACGTGTCCCCTGTATGTTGACGGGATGGAGAGGACCCGCCGTCTAATCCTAGACCAAAGCTAGGGCCGGGCGGAGTGTCATCTGCGGGAGCTGAGCCGAGGAAGTCGTTGAACGAGGCGTCGTCCTCGCCAAAGAGCGCCTGGACTGGCGGTACAGCTTGCCGAGGGGCGTCCGACATTACAGCGGCCGCAGTAGGGGGCAAGGTGTATTCCTCCGATACTGGCGGCGCGTCCGCATCGCCCAGTGGAGACTCCGCCCCGCCGTCGAACTCGGCCATCAGATCGTCGTAATACTTCTGACGGTCGAGCTCTGCCTGGTCCACCTCGAGCACTGGCTCTTCCTCCTGCACATCCGGTTCGATCTCCGGCGCTGGAGCCGCCTCCGCCTCCTCGCCTCCTATTCCAGCGAAGGGATCATCCTCTTCCGCCTTCTCGTCTAGAACCACCGGTCCCGCTTCCGCTGCCTCCGCCGGCTCGTCGTTCCCCAGCTGGTTGAAGGGGTCGTCATTATCGTTCGTGTCGCCAAAGAGCTCGTCTATGGTTTTTGTCGTATGTGTGGGCTTGTCCCCATCTGCTGGGCCGACCATGGTCCCTTGAATTTATGGTGTGAGGTATGGTCAGCTATAGCATCAGAGGTGAACGCGCGAGATGGAGGTCAACCTCGATGACGTGGAATTATTATCCCAAGAGGTTTATCAACTTTATCCCACCGAAATCGCCGGATCGAGCTCGCGGAATGAGTCACGCGCAGCTCAGGGTATGCCCAAGAAACTTTATTTGCGGTAGCCTCGGGCGACCCTCGGTCAGATGATGCCTTCCATGATGGCTCATGTACTCATCAGTGGGCTCATGCATCATGAAGGACGTGCATGCTCGATATGATGCGGCTGTATCAGTGCTCTGCCTGAATCATGTACACGTGAAGCGAGCGTGTCTCCCACATGCTGTGTGAGAGGTATGGGGTTGATGCCGTACAAACTCCTTATTCCGCCGAGGGTCTGTTCCAAAAATTTGCGGAAAGGGGCTATTCCTCCTTCCATACCTCGCCGAATTGGGGGTGTCCCTCTTTGCTGCCGCCACGCTCACGCCCACCTCGATCTCCCAGCAGATCTCACATTGCTGCAGCTTGAGCCCGGGGGGAATCGCACCGCCACCTCTATATCGCCGCCGAGGCATTCAGATATATCCGGTGTTTGAAATACATACTCATTCCGCACTCGTCCATCCTCGACCTTCGTCACTCCGTCCATCATCTCGGCTCGCCACCAAGTTAACGAGATCGATACATCTTAACCTCTCTCTCAACTGTCTCCCTTGCTCAAGCATCGGCGACAGTCGGTAGTGCATCGCGAGAGAGCATCTCCGGTGTCTCCTCTCAGAATCACATCGAAGGGCGAACGTACGTCATCTACCCCTGCATGGTCAGCGGACTTGCACAACACGAGACATTTGACTAATCTGACAGGTTGTCCGCCACCCATGGCGACTCGTCTATAAATCATCGCCACTCGCGCACAGCATCACCTACGGCCGCGCTACTCAACCTCGTCCCCGCATACAGTCTCGCCATCGTCATATGCATCGACGGCCTCTTTTGGGCAAATCCCTCTACCACTAGACCACAACTTTGACTCGGACGACTATCCGAGACACTTTTGTCTTGGCCCATCCCCTGAACCTCACTCCACTTCTTTCGGCCTTCGCGCGTCGCACTCAGCGACATCCATCTTCTTTGGGCGAACAGGCAGAATCCAACTGTCTGCTTTCTGCCTCAATCACAGGCGGTTTATAAGGATTGGACGCGTCGAGGAATCCCCCCTCCTCACCGTCATAATTCCTATACTCCTCACCATTCCTACACCATCCACCCCACACCCATCCCCACTCTGCCAGCCCCGTCGCCGATCTACACGTGTTTGAACTGGTGAGTCCATCTCGAGACGCGTACTTTGGGAATATCGCTGATCTTACTCTTCCCCCACTTGACTACTTCCTCGTCACTTGCCTTTACCCTACACAGCTCCAGCACTCTACACACCCGCCTACCCACCCCACAGACCGATGAACATTAGCCCCTCATCCTCTTCTCCACCAAAAATACATCGCGATAATCCCGCGATCTACTCCAGCAGCAACCCAGATACATCAGACTCTTCACAATCATCCTCCACACCCTCTCACAGCCCACCATCTTCTCCCTCTCACGAATACTCGTCCCGCCTTACCACACCCCGACCGGAAAGGGACGACACGCAATCAGCCGCGGCTCTAGCGCTCCTAGGGCTATCTATGCGGACGTCGAGCGAAACGCCAAGTCATACAGAACACCCGCCATCACCCGGATCAGCCGCACTCTTGGGTGCGATTGCTATGAGCGTTACGCTCTCATCAGCATCCGAATCAGAACACTCTAGCGCGGACTCTACCGGCTCAAACAAAATGTCGAGCGTCAAGAAGAGGAGGTCCTCCGAGTCGTCGGGACAGACGGCGGATACGGGAAGGAGCAAGCGAACCAAGGGGAGCGAGGAATCGGGAGAGTGTCCTCCTACCCCCAAGGCAAAGACGGATGGATGGTCGGACGATATGAAGCGGGTCTATGAGCAGGGTAAGTGCTACCAACTTAATCGTGGACTGAGCTGATGATCAGCCGCATTTGCCCTTCCCCCGTCCGGCCGAGAGCAGCGACGGCTCTTTGGCGATATGCGGGGCCGGAACGAACAGCTCGGTCTTTGGGTCACCCTCGAGATCGGGACCTACTGCGGCCGGAAGCGTATCAGCTCTCACTCCCAGACCCTCAAGAACCACCACAGCACCAATCCAGAACGTAAGTCAAGCCACCCGTAGCATGGATCATTGCTGACGATCTAGTCAAGAAGTTCCTCACTACCGACTCCTCCTGCCAACCCACTTCCCCCTCGGACCCCTACGCCTGGCCGCTCAGGCTCAAGCAAATTGTCCACCGCGCCTACTCTTCCCTCCCCAACCCACCTGTTCTTCCTCCCGTCCACGAGCTGGACCTCGCCAACATTGCGCTCCCCGCCATCCCCGTCCGCGTCCTGCGCAAGGACGGTGTCGAGGTGGAGATGACTCTGCCCGACGCGATCGAGTATGACAAGGCGGATCAGCGGATGAAGAACCGGGAGAAGAAGCCTATCCGGGGCCGGCCGAGCGCGGCCAAGAAGAGCCGAACCTCCAACAATCGCGCCGACTCGTCCTACAGCGGCGGTGGGGGCGGGCGGGACAATCTCCGCAACCCCGGCGCTCGGTCCGGATCCGTCTCGTCCAACTACTCTCCTGGACCCATGTCGGCCCACTCTCGCGCGATGAGCAACAACGTCCCGCGCGACGTCGACCGCCAGACGAGGTACCGCCAGTACTCGCACAACAATGCCGACCTCTCCCCGCATGAGATGGGTCACGCCGGCCCGTCCGGTCATCGCGGACCTCCAGGCGCGCCCGTCTATTGGGAGTCCAGCAAGAAGGGTCGGGACCAGCCCGGTCATCCCTCGGCTCCGTTCCCTATCCCCCGGGGCAACATGCCGGCCATGCAGTACGGAAGCTCGAGCAAGCACCAGCAGCGGTACGAGCCGTCCGAGGAGAGCGATGACGAGGACGGACCCCGTCAGCCCCACCAGCCCAGCCTAGACTTTATCATGGGCAAGCCGGTCCCTCGGTCCCCTCCCCCGGCGCCCAGGACATTCTGGAAGCCATAGTCAGCGAGCATCCCTCATCTGCATCATACGCGCCCCCGGCATCTCCCCCCATCTCAATCAACACCCCTAATAAAATCACAACCACTCGGGTCGCTCTCGGCGCCGCCGTCGTCAGCTCGGTACCACACCTTCCTCCCTGGTATCAGGCTATCATGTTGTAGTCTCGTGGATATCCTTTGACTTTTGGCCTCCTTCCCTCCTAGCCTTGTGCATACCTAATCGAAGCTTTTGACCTTGCCTATTCTTCCCTTCCACCATGTACTTTCTACCTAGACAGGTTTTCCTGTTCCCTTTCTCCTTCAAGTCATGTAGGCTCGTAGACCCGACTCTAGCTCGACCGTAAAAATAGTAGATCAACCAAACAAAGATGCATCCTCCTATATCTCCCAATCCCAGTCCAGTCTAGACATGTCCAAATATGCATCCAGATCCCTATCTCAATCTCATCACTACAAAGCACAGCAACACTGAAGTCTCAAGGTCAAGATCTACTGCCCGCATCCAAGAGCACCGCCGAGCGCCGAGCCAGAGTTGGCCTCGCCGCCCTTCCCAGCGTTGTTGCTCCCGATGTTGAGGGCCTTGATGTTGAGGAGACCGCCGTATGAGGACTCGGTGTGGTCTCCACCGCCGGCTTGCCCGCCGAGACCTGATGATCAGTCATGGCTTCCCTGCCTGCCCATGCACGAGAAGTAACTCACCAGTGTACCCGTTACCGCCCGCGACGTTTCCTACACCCCCGGCGCCACATCCGCCCGCAATACCCCCACCGAGCGCATTGCCGGAGTTGGCCAGACCGCCCTTCCCGGCGTTGCCGGAGCCGAGGTTCAGGATATCGAGGTTGGCCAGTCCGCCGCTGCTTATCAGCGCTTGTACCTGTCGAAGGCACGGAAGGAAGGGGCGGGACGGAACGGAACGTACTAGGATGACTTCTGCAAGTTCCCGCCTTCGGCTTGCCCGGCATTACCAGTGTATCCGCTGCCGCCGACAGCATCGGGGATGGGGGCGGCAATGACGCAGAGGGAGAAGGAGGCGATGAGGAGGATAGACTTGAACATTGTGTATGTGAATGGTTGTGGATGATGGTGATGTGACTGAGAAGAAGGGGTGTGGTGGTGTGAACAAGCAGGTGGTGAGGCGAAGCGAATCGAAAGGAGGAAGTGAGAGTCGAAGACGAAGGTAGACGATGAAGGTGAAGAAGAAGTGATGGGGTAGAATGAGGATGCGAAGGAGAAATAGAGCAGGTATATATAGGACAACGTGCTCTTGCATGGAATCGCTTGTTTGCGTCGGAAAAAAAGGTCAGCCCCGTTGTTGGGTACCAGGCAAATGCACCGTGGTACATTAGTTTAGAGGTCATTAGTCTCAGTGTTTACAGGTCATGCCAATTCAGCCAGGTGAGACATCAGCGGGGCTTGCCACCTACTTTGCACCCTGGTTATGTCTCACTGTGAAACGCGCCCTCCACCTTATCCCACAGCTCTCGACTGAAGGACAAGGTCATCGGCGCGCAGCATCAGTTATCAGGCTCGATCAGCTAGAACGTGAGCGCTCGAGACGTACACTGACCTGATCTGATGCAGATGTAAGCGCACAGACTCCCCAAAATTCCTACTTGCGATGCCTCTTCCTGCCTCCCCCAATCTTCCCCGCTTTGTCCCCGCCATTACTCTCCATCTTCCGCTTCACGCTCTGCACCAGCGCGCTCAGATCCCTCTCTTTCGGTCCGGCGCCCGCAGCTGCTGCAGCTTTCTTTGGAGCGGGCTCGACAGGTGCACCGGTATCGTCGGATTGTCGCTTGTCGCCTCGGACTCGGGCGCGCTCGGCGAGGAGGTCTTTCATCGCTTTTGTCTTGGTGAAGCTGAAGCGTCAGCCCATGCTCTAGCCGCTGCGACAAGGCAAAGGCGAGGATGGTGGGAGAAAGACCCACTGTGGATTGCTGGGGTCAATAGCAAACTCCGCCTCCTCATGCAACGCCTTGAACCGCTTATCCTTGACATCAATTGTCCATCCTTCTTTGCCCAGCTCCGTCTCCCGTGTCCGGCCCAACGCCTCATTCCTTGCCTCCTTCTTGGCCTGGCTCGCGCGCTTCCGCCGCCGCTTGGACCCCTCAGCCTTCTCATCCCGGAGGATATCCTTCATCGAGAAGTGCTCGGCGTCGTTCCCGGGCTGAAGGTCGGCGTGGACGTCTGCAGGGATAGCGGATGTGGTGGGGATGGGGACGGGGACGACCTTCGCCTTGATCGTCGGCGCAGCATCCGCCTTGGTCGGCTTCGAAGTGGCCGACTTAGCGTCCTTCTTCCCCTTCTTTGGCGGGTCCAGCTTGACTACCTCCTCGTCGCTGTCCCCACCAAAGAAGTCATCTCCCTCCGTACCGGCCTTGGCGGGTGCTCCCTTCGCATCCTCCCCATCCGACCCGGCAGCCCCACCCTCCTTCATTCCCCTCTTCATCTCGAGCTTCTCCTTCTTCCTCGACTTCTTCTCCTTCATCCGCAATTGATACCTCTCCAGCGTGGTGAGATTATCATCCTCCAGCGCCGGCGCCCCCTCGGCCAAGGCAGGGCGGAAAGTGATCTCCATCCCTCCCTTCGCCTTTCCGCCCTTCCCTTCCGCCTCCTCATCGTCGTCCATATCCGCCGCCTGGCTCAATCCCGCCTTGCCCCAAATATCCCCGTCCTCCTCATTCCCCGCCAAAAGCAATGCGCGGAGCTCGTCTTTCCTCTCCTTCACTTTCGCCTTTTTCGCCTTGGCGTCCGCCGCTCCCGCTGTCGGCTTGACTTTGGTGGTCTTGCCGGCCCCGGTCCCGGTCCCGATCGGTAACCCACTGGCAGCCTCATCGTCAGACTCCGGCTCGCTGTCGCTCGCGCTATCGTCCGACCCCGCGACGAGGTTCTTGAAGTCCTGCTCCTCGATCTCTTCCCTCGTCATCGCCTTGCGAGTGAGTTTCGACCGATTCGGATCGTCCTGGTCCCATGTGAGCTTGACTTTGGAGTGACGGAGCGCGTCGGTAACGAAATCGGTACCCTTGTAGCCGCGGGGTTCTTTGGTGGCTTCGTCGCTGATGATCAGCATAGTCCCGTTCGGTCAAGATGGATGGAATAAAAAAGGGTGAACATACTGGAGATCGTCATCCGAGAAGTCCATGCCATCCGGGACGTAGCTGAGGTCGAAGACATTGGCTGTCCGCTCAAATTCGGTCCCGTTGCATTCGTCGAAAACGTGCTCGGCAGCAGCGACGGATGAGAAGGTGACGATAGCGTAGTAATACCTGGAACGTCAGCATAATTTGACGCTAGCTCAAGATCATTCAGCTCACCGTAATCTCTCGAGCTGGTATTGACGAAGCTGGTCCATATCGATATCTTCCGATCCGGCGTCCGAGGAGACGTCCGACATGACCTCGAGCTTGTTGGCTTTGCCCGAGGCGGGGAGACCGTCGTCGCTCTCCTCATTCTCCTCGTCTTCGTCTTCCTCGTCATCGTCTTCGTCCTCATCGCTCCCCTCTTCCTCTTGGCTGAGCTCCAGCTCGTCATCCGACCCAATCTGACTGTCCCCCTCCTCCTCGTCGATCTCACTCCCGCTTTCCTCCTCGTCACTCTCCTCTTCGCTCTCGTCCCGCCTACTCCGCCTCCCAATGCCTTTACCCTTCCCCTCCCCCTTCTTCGAAATGAACATGCCCCCACCCGGGCCCTCCATTTCTTCCCTCTTCATCCTCTCCTTCCCAAACTCGCTCGGGTATATCTTCACCCCCAAGAGCTTCCCCTCTCCCTTCATCTCCGCCGCGCCCTTGATCTTCCTCCCTCCCTCCTTTATAAAGCTGTTGAATACAGCAAAAAGGTCCGCCGCGCGCAAATTGTCCCAATCGAGGTTGACAGCTGCGAATCTGGTCGTCGGGTCCGTGGTCGGTCGGTCGTCTTCCTCTTCCTCTTCCTCTTCCTCGTCTCCCTCGCCGATCACCTCCAGGGGGAACGCGGTCTGCCCCTCATCCTCATCCTCGTCCAGATCGATAGCGAGATGACTTCCCGAGGCATCGCTTCCGTCCTCACTATCGCTGCCGGAATCGTCATATTCCGCCCGAGGTTTGATGCGCCGTTTACCACCAATCTCCAGCTCCTCTTCTTCCGCCTCAGATTCCTCCTCGTCATCCTCCGACCCTGAAGAGGAGAGGTATCCGTCTCCTCGAGCGTAGTCAATGAAAGTAGGTTCCGCCGCTGCGTTGGGGTCCGCCGAGCCGGACGCGGAGGGAGAGGGTGATCGGAGCCGGTAGAACCGCTTGAGCTGATCTTGGTGATGAGAGCCGGCTAGTGGACGTCCGCGCTTATCAACCTTGACTGAGGAGTCAGCTTCTGGACACGGTATCTATGCCGTCCAGATCTCACCGTCCGAAGCCTTCCCTTTCCCTTTGCCCTTTCCTCCAAACTCTTCGCTCTCCAGTACATCCCTAAATCGCTCATCCAGCTCCACCTTGAGCTGTTTCTGTTTCGGCCGGCGGAATCGCGGGTCTGTCTTGAGCCGCGCAAATCTGTCTTCTGGTGCTGACGCCATTGTAAAGGTTGTTGTATGTGAGCTGGCAACAAGGTCAATGGAGGTTGAAGAAGAGGGTGGATGTCTGCGGTGGAGGCTGGAGCAAAGAATTTAAGATGACGTGGATTTAGTAAAGGTGATACCGCTCGGCAGCCAGCTTCACCCAGTGGGCCAGCAGACAACCAGCAGAACAGGAGCTAATCGTTAGTCGCTCCTTGCGCTATTATCTATATCATCGAGGTTAAAAGGGCGAGGGTTCCTCAGGCCTTACTGTCGAAGAGGGTCTTATGCGCCCGCGCTCGAAAACGGACATCGCTTAGCTCCTCCTGACTGCCACTGACTGTCTCGGTTCATCGAGAACGACGCTCCATCCTTATCCCGCACTCAGACGGGACAGGTGTCCAGCCTTCAGCAGCGTGAGCTATGCTCAGACTCCCCGCGGTCCCCAATAGTGACTATGATTGATGAGTACCTTTCGTGTGTCCCCCTGTCCTCCACCCGATGTTGCCGCTGCTTCCTTTGTCGTCTCATCCGCTGTCATTCGTTGTATAGTGTCCTTTGTTCGGTTTCCCTTTGTGCCCGATCTATCGGAGAGGAGCTCCTTGATATCCAGGGTCGACATGGCGGCCGCCAAGACCCTTATTCGTTTGCTTGCTCTTCGTAGCAGACCTCTCAAGACATCTAACTCGATCGATCAGTCATGCCCTCACTCAGCTCCATCCTCGATGGACCATTCGATGCGATCCTAAGTGATTACCTCAAGACTGCAGCCGTACCCGGAATGTCCCTCGTCGTCCTTCAGCGTGGTCCCAATGTCAATTCCCCCGAGACCGCATTCAGGTCGTATGGGATCGCGTACCATGACCAGCCGGTCACTCCCGAGGTGAGTACAGCCATTGTGCGACCCGCCAGAGGCTGGCCTGACGCTATAGATCCGCTTCCCCCTGTGCTCGCTCACCAAACACATCATGGCTCTGGCGTTGCTCCGCCTCCTATATGAGCACGGAATGAGCCAGGATACCCCGGTCCGAGACGTCCTCCCTGAATTCCGGCTCTTGAATGAGGCGGATGGCAAGGCCATCGTCACCTTTGCTCACATCTTGAGCCACACGAGCGGACAGGGAGACAGTGACGGCAGATGGAGTATGATGAAGGCTACTGATGTGTCCTTGGTCAGTACTCTCAGCCCCTTGTGCCGCGCGTGACCTTGCTGACGGGGCGACAGTATGACTACCTTGCAGCCCAACCTTGCAAGAGCGCTCCAGGCACCAGGTTCAGCTATAGCAATATCATGTATGATCTCACCGTTCCCGCCATCGAAGCCCTTTCCGGGGAGTCGGTGATGGCACACCTCGCTAAGGTCTTTTTCCAGCTTTTGGGGATGGACAAGACCACATTCGAGGGGGAGGGCGGGGACGGCGCCGCTGAGGGTCACTACCGAGGCGAAGGATCCGATATCGACGGCGACGAAGACCAACTTCCCGCCCCGGTCACTCTGCCCTTTGGTCGGCGATTCGGATGGCAATAATCGGTCTACAGAACCCGCATCGTCTGGCACACCTCGGCTCAGGAAGGCTCATCAGCTGCGCGAAGGACATGGTAAGCATCGCACTTCATCCGATCTTGAATCAGGCCTGATACATCTAGGCAAAGTGGCTCGCGTACCTCCCTACCGATCCATTCTACCACCTTATCATCTCGCCCCGCAGCTCTGTTCCCGGTGGCAACCCTGATCGGCCCGGAAATACCATCATCGACGCGGGCGAGCAGTACGGATTCGGTCTATACACGGGGTCGTGTCAAGGCGTGCCCTTCATCGAGCAGTGGGGAGCCATGGGAGGCTTTGCTGGAGTCCTCACCATCCTCCCCTCGCTGGACTTGTCGTTCGTGTGTTTGAGCAATAGCTGGGACGGGCTAGAAGTGGGAGCTCTGGTATCTCGTTTGCTAGTGAACAAGGTGATGGGAACCGACCCAGCTCCGTGCGTCAAATTGTGAGTGTTTTCGTGGATTCACGAGATATCAGGCCCGCTGACAGGGTAGGGTGACGCAAGAACGGCGACAACGCATGCGGAGCGAGATGGCAGACTTTGCGCCAGTCACAGGTCTGGAGCCGGCCGAGTCAACACGACTTTTAGGGACCTATATCACTCCCGGCGTCGGCGAGATTCACTTCGACGAATCGTCAAACGTCGCAATCCGCCCTCAATGCACCAACTTCCCTTGGCCACCCTGGAACCACGGCGATATCAAGCCGGTCGCTACGTATTTGGGTGATGGGCAGTATGCGGCGTGTATGGAGTACAAGCAGTGGCGGAGGGACGGGGACGACTCTCCGGTAGAGGTCAGGTATTGCTCACCCTTCCGGCTGGAGAAGCAGGCGGGGAGTAGGGCATTGTCTGCCTCTGATTGTTATTTCTTTCCTAGTGCTTGCACTTTGCGACCGAAGGGAGCTCAGGTAGGCTAGCGTAGCTGACTTGTATGTATGGTACAGATATCAATCTGACTGGAAAGTGGCTGGCATGGCCTGATCATCGAGCAGCCGGCGGACCCGTCTCGGCCGAGAGTGACCGAGGAATGCTGCTCCTTACGCAATCCAGGCACGCACCAAAACGTGCCAAGACCGCTTTCGGGCCACAAAGAGCCAGCTGCAGCGCATCTGTCTGCGATGCCCTCTACACCTACGGCTGTGCAAGCTCTACCCTGTTCTACTCCATGCCCTACGAGCTCATCACTCGCTTGGCGGCAACCGAATCGTCTCCGCCCTCGCTGGCTTGTCCTGGCGATTCGCCTCGACGGGGAAGGGGGTGACGTGACATCCGCAATCTAGTTCGTCCAATGATCTGTCATACATAAGCACCTTGTCCTCAACTGACATGACACCGCTACTATCCAGCTCCCTGAGATCTTGATGCATATCTTACAGCCGGATCAAATCCTTCACAGCAACTGTGTCACCTATCATGAGCACTGTCACGCCTCGCCCGACCGACGCTGGGCACCCTGGCGGCCGACCTCCGTCCCTTCACTCTATCATTCCACCTGATCCCCCTCCTGCCTACGACCCCGCATCTGCCATCGCGTATACCACAGCCCTCAGTCTGGCCGCCTCTGGCCCCTCTCAGCCACGCGCCAGGTCCAGACACGCAGCGATCCTCCTATCCCGCTCGGACAAGCTCCGGATTATCGGCTTTCCCTTCTGCTTCGTCGCTTTGGTGGACGCGGCTGTCATGCAGGAATGGAAGGCTGGGATACAGGAGCAGAAGGCGCCAGACAGGCAGTCTTGGGAGTGGAAGTTGAACGGCAAGCCGTGTGAGTGCATACTGAATTCGAAGTTCAGTGAATGCATCGCTGACAAGCAGGGACGGGCAAAGGCAGCGATACCATCTCATCTCGTCGACTCATCGCTCACGTCTTCTTCATCCTCCAAGTGAACGGCTGGCACCTCACCTCGGGCGCAGATCTATCCAGTACCTCGACTGACAAAGGCGCAATCATGCTCAGATCAGGTCCACCTTCATACCGCCAAATCTTCTCAATCGTGTTCAACGAAGACGACAAGATACGCTTGATCGATGCACCCACCGAAGCTATCAGGGAAGCATTAGAGTCGGCAATCAAGGTGAGGCGCCTTCCTACTCTTGTCGCGTATGAGCGCAACTGATCCCGAAGGATACTCGGCCGTTCGGTATCCAAGACTCTGGCGAGACAGAGCGAGGGGTGTACCAGCTCCGACTGCGTGGCAACCCATGGTCTGGCGTATCACCCGTACCGCCTTCACATAAGCGGAATCTGACATTCTCCATTCTGTCCGCGATGGAGGACGAGGGATGTGAGCTTCTGGCCAGCCTGGACGTCACGCTCGGGACTATGGGCAATGGGGTACCAGATCGCAAGTCTCTTTCCCTAGGTCAACGTGAAAGGAGTATATGCGCGGAGCTGACTAGCAGGCGATACATGGGTGTTCGCTTACAGCAATACCTGATATGTGTAGCGATGACTAGCTGGGAGGAGGTCACGGAAGGGATATAGTGTCGTATCTGCTACTATGATGGCATGCTATCGCTGTGCTGCTAAACCTCGCTCAGCACGCTCGTCGCCGCGTTGCCCATGCCTACGCAATCTCCACTGCGGCTGACTGACCCGCCATACCGAGGTGTGAGGCGCTCATTCTGACCGTCCCACGCTAGGCATCGCAAGCGAAGAACCAGGTATCGACTGTACATCAGCTCCTTCACCCCGCTATCAGTACATTCGCAAAAACTCACGATCCCTCTCCGCCTTATCCCCTGCCCCCACCGACATCTGCAGCCCTCTCAACATCTCACACCCCTCATCCTCCACCGCCGACAGTATCGCGCACGCCATGACCCTCACCCTGCTACTATCCACCGCCGTACTAGCCCACCAAGGGTTTCCGCGAAGCTTGAGCTGATACACCCCTGGCTCTGTATGTTGCGCCTCCTGGATGCCTGGTGGCCATGTATCCTACTCTATCAGCTATAGCACCTCCCGTAATGATCAGAGAGCGTACCTCACGTACCTTGATAGCCTGCTCGACGGCCTGAGTGACTCTTTCGCCGGGAGCATCGATGAAGCGGATCTTGTTATCCCCGTTGAAGCTGATCGAGAAGATGGCGCGCTGAAGTGATCGATCGGAGCGGAAGATGAGCGTATCTTTGTCGCTAGGGGATTTGGACAAGTCGGCAGAGAGCCTGAGATGCCATCCTTTCGTCTCCAGTACTCCAAATATGCGGGCGATAAGCCGGCGTGAAGCGATCCCTTCGATGCCTTGGCCGGTCCCTATACTCAGCTCTACCCGTATGGTGGACAGGAGACGCTCACAAGGTCGTCCGTGTAACTTCCACTCCCATGACAACGGATCTGGCGCCTTTTGCTCCTGCACTCCCAGCTTCCAAGCACGCTTGATCACGCCGTCAAGCGAGGCGATGATATCGTTCGGAAAACCGATGATCCGGAGTCGGTCCGTCCGAGAGAGAAGGATGGACGCATGCTTTGACTTGGGTCGAGCTGGTCGTGCTGCCGGATGGGACGTATGGGTGGCTAGATATGGAGTGGGAAAGGGGATGATGGTGGATGAGCTTGCCGAAGGGACATAGGCGGGTGGAGGGTCTGCTGCCGCCGCGCTGCCGGAGGGGTCGTCCGCGTGTCTATCGGCACCTCGTTGCACGTTGAAGATGCCCATAATGTACTAAGCAATGGTACGACCGAGAGAGCGCGAACATTGAAGTGCAAAGGGGTCGATGTCAATAAGCTCAGCATCTCAATAGCTCGATCAATAGTGCGAGGACAAACGTGTGCCTGGTCTGGGCGGCGTGTCGGCGCAGAGTTTTAGAGTTCCGGTTCGCGATCCAGGCACAGCGGTCCCTTTGCTGATCAGAGAGATGTGTCGACTGCATTGGAGCCCTCCTGTTCAGTTTTCAGGACGCTCGAGGAGATGGGACAGCTGGACCGGGCAGGGAGTGTCCTGAAGGGCCAGCTTCTCGCCATCAGCCCGCAAGCCAAGCAGACCGGGAATTGCGGACCCGAACTCTCTTTCGCCACTCCGCGCGAGGTATGCTACCGCTATGACGCAATCCAGGCACGCAGGAACGAGCCAAAGCACGACAAGGTTGCACAGCAGAAGCTGCTTCGAGTAAGCACTCATCCACATCGCTTCTCGCCTTCCATCATACATAGAGCGATATCAGGAGACGCTATACCGCTCGCAGCTACATACGACCTCGATCACTATGGGATTCTTCCACAAACACTCCAGCTCGACTGACGAGAAGCACCCAGACGGACCGCCCGACGCCCCTCCCCTCGGTCCCCCTCCACCCGCCTACCCCCCTGACATCGACTCAAAGCCCCCTCTATCGTCTCAGCAGACATACGATCAGCCCCTCCAGCAGCAGCAGTATCACCCAGCCCCTGCCGCCCAGGCAGGTTTCGGTACTGGTAGCTCAAGCTCGTCTCAGCCATCAACGTACGCGGCGCTCCTTCTGAGCCGGTCGGACCGGATCCGGATCATCGGCTTTCCCGGCACTATCGTGCAGGCTCTGGACATGGCCATCAAGCGGTCATGGGCGCCAGGAGTGCAGCAGCAGAAGGCGTATGACCAGGCCTCGTGGGAGTGGAAGCTCGCTGGGAACCCTTGTACGTCCCTCCGCTAGCTAGTGAAACTGAGGGTAGATGGCTGACAAACAGGGTGGGGCCAAGGCAAGGAGGCTGTCCCGTCTCGCCGACTCCTCGCGCACGTTCTCCATGCCCTACTCGAGAATGGCTGGCATCTCTCCCTCTCGACCGACCTGTCCAAGAAGAGCATGGACAAGGATACGCTCATCTTCAAGTCGGGCCCAGCGGTGCAGCGCTTCATCTTCCCTGTCAGCTTTAACGAGAGCGACAAGATCCGGTTGATTGATCCGCCGCACGATAGGGTGAAGCAGGCATTCGACGCGGCCATACGGGTAAGTCCTTTTGCGCCGTCATCTGCTGTTCGGCGCCGTGATGCAAGATAGCTGACCAGGCAGGGAGCCTGGCCGCTTGGCGTGCAAGAGGCTCGGGAGAAGGAGCACGGGGCGTACCAAATGAAGCTGAAGGGGAACCCATGGTGGACGTCAAGCGGGGACCAGATCAACTACTCGCGCATGCTGGCGTGCTCGATATTGTCGGCGATGGAGTCGCAGGGGTTTGAGCTGCTTGGGAGCGTGGATATGTCCATGGCTGGAGGGGAGAACCAGAGCGAGCGTAAGTCAAGTCATGACCTCCTTCGCAGCATGACTGGCTGTATCGGGATGGAGATGGGGCGATGCTGACGCTACAGTGGATACCTGGTTTTTCGTCAGCAAGTGCTAGCAATGGTATCTTGACATCTGATTCCACCGTACGACAAAGGGGCAGTGGTGGGGGATCAGAGCTTGTGCATATCGGGAATGTATATCATCATCTGGACAGCGTCAGCTCCAACTGTGGCTCTATCGGTTGACGTCAGAAGGACGACTGATGCATGATGAGACCTTGACGACGCTACTGCTGTCTTGTGCACTACTGCAGCTATATATGAAGATGCTGAGTTTGCACCGTAGAGGAGAGTACACGAGTGTCTGGTAGATATGGAGACCTAAGCCCATCGGACGAGTCGCCACGAGGTTGTCACGTTCTTGACAGGCAAGGCGAGGCTGAGCGCGTGGCCAGCATGTCTTAGATCAGCCTCGGACGGCCTCGGAGCTCGGAGCTCGGATCTCGGCCTGCGAGGTATGCTGACACGATACTCAGGCACGTGCGAACTGAATACCTTACACAGCAGAAGCTTCGTCGAACCCGAGGCCCGAGCGTTCGCACAGTTCACACCGCTTCTCTCCTTTCGCATTTCGACTGCACACGCAAATAGCCATAGCTCTACTATAGCGCACAAAGTACACTCACATTAGCTGCCAGTATAATGAGTCCTCTATCCCGCCGCTCGTCCAGCTCGACAGACGAGAAAGACCCCGACGGTCCTTCAGACGCTCCTCCGCCCGGACTCCCACCGCCCGCCTATCCAGCATATCCCCACGATAAACCCCCATCCTCTTCCCAAGAGACAGATCATCTAACCTTCCAGCCACAGCCGGCCGCGCCTCAGGCGGGATTCGGGACCCGGAGCCCGTCTCAGCGGTCAGTGTACGCTGCGCTTCTTTTGTGCAGCTGGGACAAGATCCGGATTGTCGGTTTCCCGAGTAGTATCATTGCCCCGGTCGATGCCGCGATCAAGCGATCATGGTCACGGGGGGTGCAGCAGCAAAAGGCGTATGATCAGGTTTCATGGGAGTGGAAGTTGTGCGGCAAGCCATGTGGGTGCATATCGTTCTTCTTGAAGCTTGTGACTTCCTCCGACATCGAGATCCCGGGACAGACGGACAGAGTAGCACTGGTCAGCTTGGCTGACTTTTCCTCAATCTTAGCTGATACACCCAGGGTTCGGGCAAGGTTCCGAAGCAGTCCCTTCTCGTCAGCTCATCGCTTGCGTCCTCCACGCCCTCCTTGAGAATGGGTGGCGTTTAACCCTCTCGACCGACCTCTGCCAGAAGAGCACCGGCAAGGACACCCTAATCTTCAAGTCGGTCCCGCCGGTACAGCGCACTATCTTCCCCATCAGCTTTAACGACAGCGACAAGATCCGATTGATCGATTCGCCGCATGACGGAGTCAAGCAGGCGTTCGATACGGCAATACGGGTGAGTTCCTTCGTGAGGTACATAGTTAGCTGCATGAAAGACTGCAGGAGGAAGCCAGCTGACGAGATAGGGTGCGTGGCCTTTAGGTATCCAGGACGCCAAAGACAAGGAGGACGGGGCGTATCAGATCAAGTTGAAGGGAAATCCCTGGTGGACGTTCAGCGGCGAGCAGATGAATCACTCTCGCCTGTTGGCGTGCTCGCTATTGTCAGCGATGGAGGCGCAGGGGTTTGAGCTGCTGGGGAGCGTGGATATGTCGACGGCTCGAGCGGAAGAACGGAGCGAGCGTGAGTCATTGTTCTTTCCGCTGCCCGTCTAGATGATGTGGCGATTCCGGGACGGTTGGTAAAGTGGGACAGAGCTGATGGATCAGTGGATACTTGGGTTTTCATCAGCAAGACCTAATGCGGTCGGGTTTAGTGGGCGTGTTAGTCGTATATAGAAGAAGTGGAATACCGTATGGCCCGGCGCCGGTAAATGCTAGAAATGTATATCATCACAACCGTAAATGCTAGAATGCTAGATGAATGTCCCAAAACGTACCCCTCTGACCGACTCTAAAGCTCTATAACGCCATCCCCGCAGCACGCCTATGTCCATCTAAATGGCATCGACGATCCGCTTGCCCTCGCGCTCGGCCCGCTCGAGCTTGCGCTGCGCCCAGAAGTCCTGGTTGTACGAAAGGAACTTGATGTTCTGGTCGTGCTTGACCTGGAGATGTCAGCTCGTTCCACAAGGCTAAGAAACGCTCGAGAAGAGGAGGGGGCTCACCTTGTCCCACGGCCGCCAGTCACCCGAACGGTCCCAGACAACCTCTGATCCCTGGCTCAAACGGTACAGGTAGAAGGTAGCACCTCCGACGGCCATGCCGCAGATACCGATGATGGGGAGGACCTCGATAGGAACCCATTTCTTGACGAGTGCGCGGTTCTAGGGGGTCAGCCACTGCCCAGTTGATGATTGCTCGGTCCGGGCGTCGCGTCGAGGACGTGCAGGGAGGAATGAGTGGGGGAAAGAGAAAGGGGGACATACGAAAAGACCAGCCATTTTGTCTATATCTCTACGTGTCTAGGGTGAAGGAAGGTAGGGGAGGGATGTGTGGTGGTGTAGTGAGCGTGTTGGAGGTGTTATTGACAGATGCAAAGTGGCCAAGGCTTGCCGTGGTCCTCTTATATCGGGAAAAAATCGCGCCCCAACTTGAAACTTTGGCCGGCCACCGGCAGATTCGAGATTCGGAACAGCCCGGGCCCGTTTCAGCCGAGTCGGGGAAATCCGGATAGCCACATGGGACTGGCGGCGTTTACCGGTCATGACTAGTCCGTGCGTCGCCAACGGGGTCGAGTCGAGAAGTTGAGCGTTGAGCTCAAGAAGTCGAGCCTGCTTTCTGTCAACCGTTTATACCTCATACCTCTTCAACTACATACAGCACAATGGCAGACCTCGAGTTCGAGACCGCCGCACAGGCAGAAACAGCCGGGCCTTCTATATCTCTTTCGGCTGAGAAGGAGGCGCAATTTGAGCGCATCACGCGGAATCTCCAGGAAGCGACGAGTACGGAGATCATCAGGAAGGTGTTGGCGGATGACGAGGTCGTGCGGTGTTACTGGGGTGAGCTCCTGGTCTTTTGAGCGCCGAGTCTCCGGACGATAAGCTGACAACGTAGGCAGTGCTACGACAGGACGACGTGAGCTTCCTGTGACTCAGCTCGTGCCTGAGCAAGCAGCTGATAGTCATAGCACATATCGCCTACTGCGTGCCTCTGTTGAAGATTGCCGACTTCTTGACTGCTGGAGTCAACGTGAGCTTCCGTATCTGGTCTCTGTCCATTCTGCAGCTAACCTATACAGGTCAAAATCTTGCTCGCAGATGTGCGTCCATCCTCGGCTTAGCTGGATCAAGCTGATGCCTTAGCTCCACGCCTTCCTAGACGCCAACAAGTCCTCCCTCGAGACCCTTAAATGGCGGACAAAGTACTACTCCTTCATCCTCAAAGCGATCTTTACGACTCTCGGTGTTCCCCTTGATAAGCTCGAGTTCGTCACTGGTACGAGCTACCAATTGACAGCCGAGTACACCTTGGATATGTACAAGTGAGTTGTATGGCTCTATATATGCGACAAGGTTGTCAAGCTCACACGTAGGTTCCACTCGCTTACCACGACCAAAGCTGCGGAACATGCCGGCGCGGACGTTGTCAAGGCCTCGGAATCGCCTCTGATGTGCAGTCTGCTCTACCCGGGTCTGCAGGCGCTGGATGAGCAGTACTTGGACGTGCACTTCCAATTTGGCGGTGTCGATCAGGTGAGCTATCTTATGCAGAAATATGCAGAAATGCGCGAACGACAAAGCTCACGCTCTAGCGCAAAATCTTCATGTACGCCGCCCACTTCCTCCCCAAGCTCGGCTACGCCAAGCGCGCCCACCTCATGAACGCCATGGTCCCCGGTCTTTCCGGCGGCAAAATGTCCTCCTCTGAACCCAAATCCAAAGTCGACTTCCTCGACTCTCCCGCCGACATCAAGTCCAAGCTCAAGGCCGCCGTCTGCACCCCCGGCGTCGTCGAAGGCAACGGTGTACTCGCATTCGTCAAGGCGGTGCTCATCCCTGTTCAAAACCTGTGGAACGAGCAGGCGCGCGAGCGGGGCGAGGCGGACTTTAGAGGGGACGCCAAGAGCTTTATTACTGGCGACGCACCAAAGGGGACTGTGTTCTCCATCAGTAGGCCAGAGAAGTTTGGTGGGGATATACATGTGGGGAGTTACGAGGAGCTCGAGGCGAAGTACACAAAGGAGGAGGTGCATCCCGGAGATCTCAAGACGGGCGTGACGGACGCGCTGGTGAAGCTTCTCACGCCGATACAGGAGATGTTCAAGGCGAATGAGGAGTGGCAGGAGGCGGAAAGGTTGGGGTACGCTGTGGGCGGGTCGGAGAAGATTGCGGCGGAGGCTAAGGCGGCTAAGCCGGAGGGCAAGGTATGTCCGAATCTCTGGCCGGCTTAGGTACGAGCTGATTAGCCAGGCGAAGAAGGAGAAAGACGTCCGGTCTGCACCACCAACGGAGGAGGAGCGCGCGGCTCTCCGAGCAAAGAAGGAGCAGGAGAAGCTCGCCAAGCAACAAGCGAAGGATGCAGCGGCTGGGAATCAGGTCTCGCCGGAAGAGCTGAAAAAGAGGGATGCGGCGGCCGCGGCGGTCACGCCGGTAGCGAGTGGAAGTGGATCTGGGAGTGGCAAAGCTGTAAGCTAGCGTACATCCGAATATCACATCCGGGATGCATAGCTTATGCGCTTTTTAGGTTGTCCAGACAGACATGCCAAAACTCAAGCTGCTCGCCAAGGGCAAAGTCCGTGATATCTACGCCATGCCAGATGAGGCCGACGCGGACAAGCTGTTGTTTGTCGCTACGGACCGTATCTCGGCTTTCGACATCATCATGGACAATGTAAGCTCGAATATACGCCCTCATTGCGATTACCAGCTGACGCCTCAGGGCATACCACAAAAAGGCATCACCCTCACCACTCTCTCCCTATTCTGGTTCCACAAGCTCTCACATATCATCCCGCACCACGTCATCTACCCCTCTCTCCCCGACGCGTCTTCGTCGACTCCTTCTTCCACCTCGGACCTACCTGCCGCCCTGGTCGACCCAAAATCGGCATGGAAAGAGTTCCCGCGGAGTCTGGACGAGTACAGAGATCAGCTGAAGGGACGGAGCATGATTGTCAAGAAGTGCGAGGTGGTCAAGATTGAAGCGATCGTGAGGGGGTACATTACAGGTGAGCTAGCTCCTTGCCGACGGAGAGATTCGGGCTGAAAATTAGGTTCGGCTTGGGCCGAGTACAAGAAGAGTCAGACTGTACACGGGATCGAGATGCCTGCTGGGCTTGTCGAGAGTCAGAAACTCCCCAAGCCGCTCTTCACGCCGTCGACAAAGGCGGATCAGGGCGAGCACGACGAGAACATCCACCCGGACAAAGGTCAATCGGCGTCACCAGGTATGCTGAGGAGCATTAGCTGATCCGTGTAGTCAAGGACATCTGCGGCCCCGAGCTAGCTGCTCAGATCGAGGACATCGCTCTTCGCCTATACAGTACGCTTTGAAGTGCCCCTGCCGCGCACGATCAACAAGCTGACATCTCAGCCGACGCAGCAGAGTACGCCCTCGCCCGCGGTCTCATCCTCGCCGACACTAAATTCGAATTCGGCCTCCTCCCCACTCCCAACGGTAAACAGCTTATCCTCATCGACGAGCTCCTCACTCCCGACTCGTCCCGCTACTGGTCGGCCGCGGCGTACAAGGAGGGCCAGCCACAAGCGAGTTTCGACAAGCAGTACCTGCGGGACTGGCTCATTGAGGGGGGATTGAGGAATAAGGAGGGAGTGAGTCTGCCGGAGGAGGTTGTTATCGAGACGAAGGCCAAGTATGAGGAGGCTAGGGATCGGGTGATGGGGCTGGGGCAGTTTGGGAATTAGGTGACGAGGCGGGACGGAGCGCATGAGGGGGCTCGGGCAGTTTAGGATGCAGGAGACGAGGCCGGACGGAGCGCAGGGGGGGTATCTTCATGCCTAGGGCTGGATTCTCGGACTGTCTTTCAGTTCCCCTTCTGCCGGCCGGGTTGAAGGGTAGGGGAGTCAGAATAGGGAATGTGTATAGAGGCGTCAGATCTTGTGGTATAGATGGAATACGTTGCTGAGGGTTGACCACGTGGGGACGGGATGGATATGGAGATGAGGTGGCCGCCATCTTCTTACCAGCTTTCTTACCCCATCTATCCGGCTAGCCAGACCACGAGGTACCGCCAGAAGGCGGGTCTGTCAAGGGATCCTGGTTTCCAATGCGTCTCCGCCTCATCCTGCCTCATCTCAACCATATTCGCCGGTAGATCTCGGTGCGATGGATGTCATCGAGATCTTGACCTTGGTGTGAAACGCGAGGCTAATGGAATGTGAGGCATCTCAACCGGCAGTTTGCATCCGTTGAGCTTCCCCTCTTGTTTCAGGAACCCCCGATCAAATGACGGCATCTTCACCCAAGGGGGAGTCGCACAACAACAACAATTCCCCTCCACCATGACCAACCGTCCACTCGCCGAGAGACTCGACTCAAGAGCACTCTGACTGAAGTGAGACCTTGCTCATCTGTACTTCATCTTCCTTCTCTATCTGTCTTTCATCTCGGTCCCTTCCGTCTCTTCTGTCTATACCCCTTCCTTTCGCCCGTTACTTTAAGGTCCGACCGCGACCAACGGTACCGACGGCAGCTAGACTTAGGTTTCACTTGTCCGAAATTGATTGTCGATCTGGTAAGTCCATGCCTGGATGGATATTGTCATCTCTGCCCCTGATCGACGCGGTGATCATCCTCCGCATCGTCATCAGCATGTTCGCGGAGTCACCTTGTCAACAACAGCTTGCTGTTCACAGGTTGATGACTACCCAAGGGGACCTTTGAGCTGACCATCCTCAGTATCTCATCTCTACTCATCTTGTCGCCAGTATCTCCTCCTAGGCCACCCATCTCCCTTCTCCCAATCCCCTTAGTGGGACCCACGCTCTTTACCCCCATCCTTGACCTAGTCCACCTTCGAAATGTTCTTCTCATCTTCGTTTTCTGGCTTGGTCCTCCTCGCTTCCCTTCTCGGCGCTTCGGCGAGGACACCGCCATTCGGAACCGATGTCGGGAGGTAAGCTCTTCTCCCCAGACGGTTGCAAGCGGGGCAGATAGCTGATACATCCAGAAAAGACATCATTCCTAATCGCTACATTATCGAGTTCGACTCAACGGATCACCTCAACCAGGCTAACCTGAAGAAGAGGGATACCACCGTGAGCTCAAGAATAGACATAGTGGGAAACGTGAGCTGATATGCCAGGTCCATGAGGCTGTTTACGCCGAGATGCGAGCAAGGGGTATCTCGATCCAGATCAACCAGGAGTACACCGCCGACTTGTTCATCGGCGCGTCTATCTCGGTCAACTCGCAAGCGGTGAGCTAGGGACCCGCCTTCCGACTAAGCAGAGCTGATGTGCAGGATCTCGCTGGTATCGCCTCCATCGAGGGTGTCCTTGTGAGTTTTGTCCTTGCTGCTTAGAGGGCAGTAGCTGACTTGCAGAACATTCTGCCGGTCCGAAACATGAACCTCCCCTCCATCGCTAGGCCCGTCATTGCCGATGGCTGGGCTCGGGGCGATCTTTCCAAGCTCACCAAGCCCAAGACCACCTCGACTAAGCCAGCCACGAGCTCTACCAACTCCACCGCTCCCGCACCCAAGTCGACCTCCAACACTACCTCCATCGCATCTTCCAACTCCACCTCTGCCGCCAACTCAACCAAGAAGGCTCGCCGCCAGACCACCGCCCGCCGTAACACTGGTTTCTCCAACCTCCCGCAGATCCAAGCCGACCGGGTCCACGCCCAAGGCAACAAGGGCAAGGGCATCAAAATCGGCATTATCGACGGCGGAGTCGACTATACCCGGACACCCATGGGCGGTTGCTTTGGCCCCGGCTGTAAGGTCGCGGGAGGGTACGACTTTGTCGGTGACAACTTTGTCGCTGGCTCGCAGCCTGTGCCCGACAATGACCCAATCGACAAGTGCAACATCCACGGCACGATCGTGGCGGGTATCATTGGCGCGAACGACAATGAGTACAATGTGCCGGGTGTCGCGCCCGAGGCGAGCTTGTACATGTACAGGGCGTTCTCGTGCACTGGGTACACGACGGAGGATGTTGTTTTCCAGGCGATGCAGAGGGCGTATTTGGAGGACATGGACGTATTGAACATGTCGCTTGGTGAGTGGATGCTTTTGGAGAATTGGGAGGGAGCTAATGAGCAGAATTCCTCGCTGGATGGACGGAGACTCCTTTGGCGGTCATGGCGTCCCGACTCGTCCAGGCCGGTATCGTTGTCACTGCTGCCGCCGGTAACGTCGACGTAGAGAAGAATGGACCTTTCTACGCCATGGGTCCGGCCGCTGGCCGAGGGGTCATTTCTGCCGGTTCCGTCAATAACACCATCCTCCCCGCTCACAACGCCACCACCTCTACCGGCTACGGACCCATCACCTACTACAATTACATCAACTTTGCGGATGGCACCGTCCCCCTCTACACTGTCCCCAACGACCCTACCGGCTGCGCTCTCCCCGACGTCGACCTGACCGGCTACGTCATTGTCGTCCGTGAGGGCGGCTCATGCTCTGCCTCGGACAAGGCGCGAACTGCCTACTTTCAGGGCGCGCGCGGAATTCTCTTTGCCCAAGAGCAGGACTCCGAGCCCATCTATGAGAACTTCCCCCTCATTGACAATGCGCGGGTCAGCAAGGCGGACGGCGACTGGCTCTTTGCCAATGCTGCTACGGCCAATCTGACCTTTACGTTCAACCCGGCCCCTCGGTACAACATTTACAGCGGCGGTATCGGGTACGAGATCTCGGCCACGGGTCCAACGTACGAGCTCTTCCCGTCCACCCAGGTCATGACTCCCGGTACCAACATCATCGGTGTCGTCCCCTTCAACCCGGAGAAGAACTTTGCCAACTGGACCATTACGCCCGGTACCTCTTGGTCGTCTGCGTTCGCGGCGGGCTCGGCGGCGCTGTACCTGAACGCCCGGGGTCTGCGGTACACCCAGCCCCGAGCGGTCCGCGAGGCGCTGCAGTACACTGCCAACCCCATCCAGTACTCCAAGTCGGACAGCCAGCTCCACAGCGTCGCTTTCCAAGGCGCTGGAGTCGTTCAGACGTTCGACTCGATCAATGTCGGTACGGTCATCACTCCCTCGGAACTGTACCTTAACGATACCCAGTACTTCCAGGATGATCAGGTCATCACGATCACCAACGCCGGACGGGACCGGAAAGAGTATACCCTCTCCAACCTCGCGGCGGGTACGGCACTCGCCCTGAACCCTTCCAGCAACTTTACAAACTACTTCCCTACCCCCCAAGTCGACCGGCCCGCTACCGTCCGCTTCTCCGACTCGTCCTTCTCCCTCCGGGGCGGCGAGTCCAGGCAGATCCAGATGAAGTTCCGGTACCCAAATGGCGTCGACCCTAAATCCCTCCCTATCGTCTCGGGCTTCATCCAGGTCAAGTCGGGCTCGGAGGCGTCTACGGTCCCCTACCTCGGCGTCGCGCAGCGCATGCGGGACGTCCCCGTCTTTGACAGCAGTGACGCGTACTTTGAGTCGCCGGACTACAAGCTCCCGCTGGCGGTCGACGGGCGGACGGGCGCCGGGTTCAACAACAACCCTTCGTTCGATTTCCAAGGGAGTAGCTTCCCCGGGTTGTACTACCGGTATGCTGGCGGCTCAAAGGTCGTGTACTTGGACCTCGTACAAGCCAATGCCAACCTCGGCTTCACGCCCAACTTCTCCAAGCGGGACGGCGAGGCGGCGGCGGCGGTGGAGTTGACGAGGAGGGACCAGGTGCTCGCTACTCGGAAAGCGCAGGCCAATAACGGCGATTACTCTACGGCCATCACGGGCCTCCAACGCCTCTTGTGCCGCGTCACCCGCAACAAGTTCAAATTCTGCAACACCCAATCGTCATTCGCCAAGGTCCCTATCGTCGGTACCCTCTTTGAACGGACCTATGTCGTTCGGGATACAAACGACTACAATACAGGGTACTCGCTGTATACGCTGGCGAACCCGGTTTTTGCGAATGGGACGAGGATTCCGAATGGGAATTATAGGTTCTTGTTTAGGGGTTTGCATGTGTTTGGGGACCCGAGCAACCAGGCGGATTATGAGACTTGTGAGTTTTGGTTCTCTGTGTGGAAGGGGAAGGGAATGCAGCTGATGAGGTAGATGTTTCGAATCCTTTCGTCATTGCTGCCTAAGCTGGAGAGTGAGCATGAGGAGGGGGGCTGGTGAGGAGCGGGAGTGCAGGTGAGATGGGGTGAAGGAGAGGAGGAGGATCAGTGAGATGGTTGATTTCTGTATCTTTGGGATCTGGGTTTAGGACATCTGTGGGGGGCGGAGAAGAATCTCAAGTATACTATACTTAGGGTAATGGTAAAATATGGACAATCTTTGTTGTTGGCACAAGCGGCCGTGGTAAGCTTGTCAGATGCGGAGGCGAATCAGCTCGACTCGGCGCAGGAGGTCGGGAGAGTCGATCCGAGGTCGATTCATCACGACTCCTCGGCGCAAACAGGCGGACTGAAGATCAACGAGGATGCATGCACGGTATACAAGATGGACAAGCATGAAGAAGGCGTAGTATTTGCCGAACAATGCGCAGACTCGCAAGGAGGGTAGAAGAAGGAGGTAAAGATGAAGAAAAAAAGGGATGAGATGTGATGATGCCCTCAGTGTTACTGTCAGACAGGCCGACACTCGACATGGATGACCAGCACACGCCGAGACGGATCTCGACGGCGACTAGGGTCGGGTCCGAGCTTGACTCTATTGTGTTGGCAATTCTCATCATCGGGCGTGTGGAGGAGGAGATGAAGAAGAGGAAAGTTGAAGGGAGAAGAATCGTGGAGGACCGAGCCGGCAGTGAAAAGAGAAGAAGGGACGATGGAGATCGCTGTCGGCTTGAGGGAAAATGGAGCCGCATCAAACGTGGATTCTGCTGGGCTGACGAGCCCGGGGCCGATGTTACGGAGGATGCATCAGTATGAACGTCTATCGAGGTAGGAGTACAGAGGAACAAAGATGGCGAGAAGAAGGCCAAGAATTTGGCACAGAGGGGACACGGAGATATCGCTGACCTCCATGAGCGGCGATCTCCGCCTGGGCTTCCCCTCCACCGCCATGCCCCGCTCTCACACCCCTAAGTTCAACGTCTATCTCTGTTGCCCTTTGTCTACTTTGCTTGTTCTTTGACGATACCTATAACGACTAATCACGATCATGGCGACTCCCACAGCCCCCGAAATACCAGCATTTCACGTCCAGCCCATTCTGTCGGAGCTGTATCACAGCCGAGACCTTCTCGACCTGTCCGCTCCAGGTAAGCTGCTCGCTTTTCACCACTTCGAGCTCGGGCAAGTAGCTGACATCATCAGAAGCCGGCCCCTCCAACGCGCCTCAGCTCATAGCCTCCCCGTCCGCCTCCTCCCTCTTCGCCTCGGCGACCTCTATAGCAGCCGCAGCAGGTCGCAGGGCAGCCGCAGCAGCCTCACCAGTCCTCGGCTCGGCAGGTCAGGTCGGGGCTGCTCCTTCACCAGAACGGATCACAGCAGGAAGAGAAGAATCGGGCAAGATCGAAGTGAGGTGTGTGGAGGGGTATGGTGCCAATATGTACATTGGAAGGTCGGACGGGGTGGTAGAGTGGTGGGTCTGCGATGGAGGGCAGGGAACGAGTAAGGTCAGTGGCGTAAGGCTTCGTCCCGGACAGCGGGGACCTGACGGTCTAGGGAGAAGGTTGGTCTATGCGGCATAAACATACACTCTTTCCCCGGCGGCCAGTCAGCAAGATTATCCTCATACCCAAAGCAGCCAAGATGCTCGTTCTGTCCGGTAAGCTTAGCGCTGTGGGTTGTCCGTGCGAAGCTGACTCTGGACAGACGGGACAATGCACGCTCTGACCCTCCCTGGTCTTGATCCAGTCCCGTCGACGCAGATACCGCCATTACGAGGCATCATCTCGGTCATACTTGACGATGAGGAGATGGACTGGGCTGGCCCCGGGTCGGAGGACCGGAATGTTGAAGTAACGGTCGTGCTCGTTCGGAGACGTGGGCTGGGGATATACAGGCTGGGAACTAGGATGCAGGCAGTCAAGGTCAGCTGGATCTTTTCGTCACATGTACTGAACATCAGCTGACCGAAGTAGGAAATACCACTACCGTCCGGCCCCACCTCACATGCCTTATCCCGGACATACCTCTGCGCCGCCATCCCCACCAGCAACCTATACTCGCTCATCGACTTGTCCGATGCCTCTCTTACGGAAGTCCTCCCGGTCAGTCAGATTGATGCGGACACGCTTGACTTTGACCCAAATCCCAACGTGGTGGTGATACCTGGGGAGGATGAGTTCTTGGTCACGAGCTTTACCGGCGCGGGAACTATGGGGGTGTTCCTCAATGGACAGGGGGATCCAGTGAGGGGGACGATGGAGTGGGAGCATCATCCATTATCGATCAGTCAGTTGCTGCCAGCGCCATCTTGTCACGCGCCATCGCAGAGCTGACTCAGTAGCTGTTGAAGCCGGATACATAATAGCCTTACTCCGCAACAAGACCATCACCGTCCATATCCTGACCGACCTCGAACGAGCCCCGCAAGTCATCCATCTCGACCCCTCCCTCCAACCCTTCGCTCTCAGCTACTCACCGTACGGCGTCTCTGTCAAAGACATAGCCAGAGACGAGCGAATGCAGACCACCAATTTCCGCTTGCTTGGAGGGAAACTCGCCCCTCCCGGCCCGCCCATCGCCGCTATGGCCGTTAGCGTAAGCGCTAGTGCCGAGAATGAATCGACTCTCCGTCCGCCCACTGCGGAACCAGCCGACCAAGCGACCTCAGCGGAGCCAATGGATATATTCACGCCGCCCCATCAGACCGCGACCGCGACAGGTATGGTCCTGGAAGAGCCAGAAGGCGGCTCGGGTCTTACTCCTCCTTCGTCTCCACCGATGTTTCAGCGACAGCCTATCACCCCGGTCCGCCAATCGTCATTGCTCCAGGTGATAGCACCCGCCTCGAAGGGACCGTTCTCGACGTGCGTGGCCGAGACGCTTGTTATCGGGCCCAATGGGGTGATGTCGCTCGCGCCATTACCGCCTGTCTTGAAGCTGGAGGAGCTATGCAGGAGGGGATCGACCGACGAGGCTATCGCGCTGGTGGATGAGGAGCGGCGAAGAGGGCGAAGGGGAGAAGTGGATAGCGACAAGGTCAGTTTCCTGGTCCGAGTCGGCCTCAGACGAAACAAAACGACTCCAAGCTGACCCCTCCAGGCTACGCATCAAGCTACTCTCCGCCTACTGCATCTGTATCTCGCCTGTCATCTCTTCCAATCTGGGATGTTTGAGCGCGCAGGCGACTATCTCGTCCGAGGCAAGATCGACGCTCGGCTCATCGTTCGGCTGTTTCCTGCACTGCGGGGGAAGATGATCGGTTCAGAAGAGGAGGTGGATATATTTCAGGGGCTGAAGTTGATGTTGGAGGACATGGATGACGTGGAGGATATAGGTCAGTTAAAAATTTCTCATCCATGGTGAAAAGGTACTCAAGCTGATCCGGCCTAGTGGCGTGCGTAGCTAAGGCTGGTCAGTCGGACGCCGGTGAAGTGGACCAGGCCTCCGGGGAAGAGCTGCGAGGACCGTTATTGGAAGGCGCGAAGGCGATGCTTACTGAGTTCTTGAGGAAAACTCGGCAGTCCCGGCGGAAAGGCGGCGGATCGAGGGGTATGGATTCGCGAAAACTGGACATGGTCAGTTTTATCAGGCAAAAGCTTGAATAATGGCAAAAGTGGCAAAGAAGCTGACTGTATAGGTCATTGATACAACTCTTGCCAAGCTCCTGTCAGAAGCTGGAATTGTCCCCGAGCTCCTCGCCCTCCTGGCTGCGCCAAACGACTGCGTCGTCTCGGAGCTTGAGCCTTTCCTCGTTTCGCGGCCGTATATCCTCGCTACGGTCATGCGGCGGCATGGACGGCACGCTAGAGTCCTCGAACTACTTCAACAGTGAGCTTAGCCATCACTGTTCCTCGTGCGAGCTAAGCTGATGACCGTAGGGTTGCCGAAGACAGCCCGGACCCGCTCTGCCCCGATCCAGCCGAAGAGATCGCTGTCGAGCTCGAACATGTCAAAGATCCGGCTCTGTTGCGACAGTACGCTCTCTGGCTGGTCGCTCGGAATCCAGATAGGGGATTAAGCGTGAGCTGCCCGTCGTATATCATGCGCGATTGTAAGCCCACTGATGCCCAGATCCTGTTTGCGCAGAACACTAAATCCGGCGTCAAGCTGGACGATACCGCACTCGTCAATGACTTGCGGGAGATCAGTGAGGAGGCGGCGAATCGGTATCTCGAGTATGTGGTCTTATCGAAAAAGTCGCCAAATCGGGCGTTTCATGAGGATTTGCTGCGTCGTTTGCTCAATGCGGCAGCTGAGCAGATTGAGGATGATGGGGTCAAGTATCACTTGGAGGAGCTGGGTCAGTTGCAGTTGCAGCCACCGAATGTGAGAGGGTCGCCAGCTGACAGTCTCAGACGCCGAATATCGCCTCTTACCTGATCCTGAACCGTTCTGCACCTTCATCGCCGATGTCGCGCCTAATACGCCCGTCAAATCCCTCCGGCTCAAGCTCATGCTCTTCCTCCAAGGATCGCCCTTTTACGATCTCCAGAGTGCGGCGGATAGGCTCAAAGAGTTGTCGGCGTTAAAGTACGAGTACGCTATCGTGCTCGGAAGGGTGAGCTATCTGAAGCCCGCGCCCCGTGGTGGACAAAGCTGACCCATCCTCAGCTCGGAAGCAATAAATCCGCCCTTCGACTTCTAGCCCGAGATGTTGGCGATTCTGTCTCTGCTCAGACATTCTGCACGCAAGGCGGCGAGATCATCCCGCCCAAGATCGCCAGGAGGGTGGCGCAGCAAGTCCCAGAGCTGGCGGCGTGGGCGGCGATCGGTGAAGTGGGACGAAAGAGGCGGGGAACTGTAGATGCCAAGACGCAGGAGGGGCTAGTGATGGAGCTGCTCGGGGTCTATATGAAGGACGGGTGAGCTGATAAACGCGGATAACAACAGGACGCAGCTGACAAGACAGCGCGAAAACAAGCAAAGAAGCCGCTTCCCTCCTGAACGCCCAATCCCTCCATCTGGACCCTATCGAAATCACCACAATGCTCCCGCCCGAATGGCCCCTCGACGTCGTCTCGTCCTTCGTCCAGCGCGCACTCCGGCGACAATTGCATGACCAACATACATGGCAGATTCTCAAAGCCATCTCGGCGGGTGAGAATATGGCCATATCGGAGGAATACCTGGATGCGATCCGGCGGATCCCGCCTGTGGTTCAGCCCCGCCCGCCTTCGCCCCCTCCGTCAGTGGTCTCGCCCAACGCGGCTCCGTCAGTGGATACGAGGGCCGACTCGACGATGGGATCCGGGTACAGTGAGAAGGGCGAATTGGAAGCCGGGGTGTACAGCCGCCCGGATGAGGGCAGTATTGCAGAGAAGGAGGGAGGCGGGGGTGCGCATGCGGGAGACCCGTTAGGTGCGATAGATGTGGGGGAGAAGGAAAGGGGGTTCTTTAGTCCTGAGATTGTGGACAAGGAGCTGAGGAGCCTGAGTGCTGGGGCGAAAAGGGAGGAAGCGGGAAGTAGGGAGGGGTATCTATAATGGACAAGGCGGATCATGAGGGGAAACCAAGACCTGAGGAGAAGGTTAGATGTACATCGAAGAATATCGTTGTATTCATCTAGAGGGTTCTATGACATTGATGGACCGACGATGATGGATCTGCAGATGATAGCCACAGCGATCATTCCAGCTTGATCACCTGATCTGACCGAAGTCCAAGATCGCGCAAATGTCCCGTTAATTCGCCCTGCTGCAGAGTCACCGTCAACGGTCCGCAGATCGGACGCATCATCCTGCATCCATCAGCTTCACTTTCTGGTCCGCAGCAATATTTGTGACTTACGCTGGAGGTAAGCAGACAAGCACCATCACTCGCTCGCCGCTCGCCTTGACAGCCCGAGCGAGCTCGTCAACTGGTAATGAATTAGGCGGATACCGATGCACAGCAAGCTGGTCGCCGTGCTTGCTCTGCAAAGCGGGGATGAGAGATGGATCTGAGACCCAGTCTACACGGTCTGCGGGAGGTGTGGCGTGGATGAGAGTGAACTTTGGTCCGTCGGCTGGCTGGCTTGCGGGGAGTGTGGAGAGGAGCTGCAGGAATGGGGCGATGCCTGTTCCGCTTGAGACCTGATGGGTGAGCTTACTTCCGCCGAGGTTAACAGAGATGTATATGAGAATGAGTTTACCATGATGACGCGGTCATAGGATGAGGGGTCTATTGAGAATGTCGGTATTGGGCCACGGAGCCCGACAGGATCTCCCGGCTTGAGCGAATGGACAACCCTATACGATCAGCTACAGACCTATCAAAAGGCGAGTGCGTTCCAAAGACAGACGGCTTAGCTCACCGTCCGACCTCTCCTCCTCGCACTCTCTTCACCACGAGCTTTACCTCACCCTCCGCCTTCACATCGTTGACCGGCGTATACGGCCGCTCAATCATCAGATCCGGACTCTTCACCATCACATGATACACCGTCACCGCCTTCCCTTCCCCCTTGCCGGCCGCTTGTAACTTCTCGGGCGTGATGAGAGCAGACCCGCCCGCAAACGTCTCTGCCGATCCCGGCGATAAAGAGATAACAACCTCTTTATGCTGTTCCGAGACTTTCCGGGCGGACTTGACGGTGTGGTCTGTATATACCGCTGGATTGAGTGTGGAGGATGCGCCATCTTTCGAGAGGTACCACAGGATGGGAGGGAGGATGAAGAGTGATAGTGGAATGAAGCGGAGAGTAGGGCGAGACCGCTGTGAAGATGACGAAGATGATGAGGAGCTTGCGTACGTCCGAGTCGAGATCGAGGTAACTCTAGACCTCGGGCCCGCCCGTTTGCAGGCTTGGCAGACCCTTGGCCGTCTCAGCGACGCTCCTAGTGATGTTACAGGTAGTCTTATTGACATAGTGGCTATATAAGAATAGAGAGATGGCCGATCAGAATTTTGGCTGGTGCGCTCATCCCCACCCTTCCCCCACCGACACCAAAAAGTTTTCGTGGCACCACTTCTAGTGTCTAGTCACCTTGATTCATCTATCGACCACTACATACCCTACCAAACATGTTCGTACTTAGCTCGATCGCTTCGAGCCTCAGCGCTCTCTCCTCATCCCACGCTCCCTCGGCTGAGTCGAGGGCCTCGCCCACCGGAATCGCAAAACTTCATTCCGACATCCTGTTCATTCCGACATCCTGTTCATCATTCTCTCCGACCTACGCAAACCCTTGCCTCTACCCCTGTCCAATCCTCCCCGATCAGAGATACATCAAAATCATCTCGCTGCCGCTGCTCGGGTGTGCAAAGCTTCGTCTAATTTTTTAACTGTTCTAGAGAATAAGCTAATGCGCTCAGAATGGAATGTCATCGCGATCCCACTTCTCTACACCCACGTCCTTACCGATTCCCTTCCGGGCCTAGTTGCCGAAATGGACAAACCCTCGAAGCGGCGCTCGCTGGCTCACACGCGATCGCTTCGCATCGAGTACCTCGCGAAAGAGCATCACAACACCTACCTCGAGGTCATGTCCAAGCGCGGTCAATGGGAGCGCCATGGATTAGGCGGGGAGGCACTGCTGGAGAGCCTGTTTGAACAGTGCCGCGAGGAAAGGGAGGAGCTCGACCAGGCCTTGGCCAACATGCTCCACATCGGAGGGTCTATCAACCTATTTCCCAAACTCGAACCGGTCGCCGTCGGTTCGGTGTACGAAGACAAATCGGGAGTTTGGGCAGCGCTGGAAACCGCCGAGGAGAGCACCGCCCATGGCCCCATGCCACCCTGGAGACAATCCTGCCTGAGCTTCGACTCTTTTGTGCACACGCACAGGCTCAAGCACGTCTGCGTCCGAAACCCCTCGGGTCCGTTGACGTTCGACCGGACGGACTACGCGGGCGGGTGGTCCAACCAACCCCCTCCGTACCTCCGCACGGTGCACTTCAACGAAACGGATACATCAATCCCCCTGTCGTACGGGCTGCCGACCAGGTGGATATCCGACATCAGGTCGGACGATCCCTGGGTCGAATCCATACCACTTCCAGTACCTTAAAGGTATACCCATGAGGTTTCCCCCTCTGCTCGACATATACTGCTCGAGTGGCCGATACGGGCCGATCGGTCCGAAGACTCGTCAGTACGCCAAACTCATGTTTGCGGGGGGCTTGCTCGGCGCCCCAGCGAGATCAATCGACGAGGTCGGACCGGAGCTGTCGGAGCTGGAGCAGCAGACCATATCGACCAGTATGGGGCAGCAGCTCCAGCGGCTGTTGCGCATAAAGAGCAAGAGCAAGGGCAAGGGCGAACCAAAAGTCAACTGGTACCCCGCGTCGGCCATTCCGATCTGCTCAGCGTGCGAATCGGGTCGGCCTGCATGAGCCGACCAGGCCAGTGGCGGAAGGGAAGGGCGTAGGTGGACCGGATACAGTCGGGGAGGGAGGGGAGGGAGACGCAACAAGCAGGGGGATGTCCGAGGTGATGTGGGGACTGAGGGAGGGATGCGGCGGATGCTGTCAGAAGAAACGGAAGAAGGCGCGGATGAAGGGAGGAGCTGGGAGATGTTCGCTGAGCGAGGGGAAAAACGGGGGAGCTATGTGGCACATATCTTGAGGGCTCGGATGAGGCACCCAAAGGTCGTAGAAAGGTGATGAGGTGGACAGAAGTGTGTAGGGATATGAATTTCGTTTTGTCTCAGTACCTATTTCTTGTCATGTAGGAGCGTCTTAATATAGATACATGCGGGTTTGGAGTCGTGGGATGGGCGTGCGCGACAAGGCTGATTGTGATGATGATTCTACAAGCTCCTTGACTTGTTTTGATATCTTGGTTCCGGGGGACTTTCCGAGCTGACTTGTACTTGCTGCGCCTTTCATCTCCGCTCGTCCATTATACATCCAGCACTTTCTGACCAACATGCCCCGCTCGCCCTCGCCCGCTCCGTGGGGCGATTCCCTCCGCCCGAAAGCGAAAGACAGGGACGACAAAGCTGCAGGCTATCGGACGGACGACGAGCGAGCTGGAAGCTCATCTCGGCGTCCTCGCGACGACCGCGATAGGGAGAAGAAAAGGAGTAGGCGCAGAGAGGACGGTGAGGTCTCGGAAGAGGACGAGAGGAGTAGAGAGCGAAGAAGGGAGCGACGAAGGGAAAAGGAGCGGGGTTGGGAGCGGTCAAGGGGGGATGAGAGGGAAAGGAAGGACATGAAAGAGAAGCGTCGCAAGGAGTTAGTTTCTTCTTCGAAGCTCGATGTAGGCAAGAGCTGATTCTCTCAGATCTCGCTCGCCATCTCCTGGTCGCTCGAGACGGAAAGCTGCCAAAGCCGAGGCGAAACTCTCCTCCAAACGGGACCAAGAAGCAGACCAGGCCCGCGAAGTAGCCGAGCTGTCCCTATACACTGGCGCCGACAACCCCTTCCACGATGTCAACATCGGCGAGCGCTTTGTCTGGAAGAAGAAGGAAGACAAGGAGAAGAAGGCAGGGATGTCGGCGGATGAGATTGCGCGTAAAGATCACCGACGGCGCTTGGAAGCAAAGGAGGAGCTGGAGAAGCTCAACAAGAGGCGGGCGGACAGGGAAGTGGAGATGCAACTGAGAGAGCAGGAGGATTCGCGTATGGCGAGACTGGCGGAGGATGGTCAGATGAGGGAGTGGATCGCCCGGGAGGATGACTTCCAGCTGGAACAAAGTCGGCGGCGGGCGGGCATTAGGTTGAGGGAGCAGCGGGCCAAAGCGATTGACTTTTTGGCGATCAATTTGCGCTTTGCGGATGCGCGGGCGCTAGGCAAGCATACTGCTGCGATTGGCGCGCTGTCCAATCCGCGCAAGTATGAGGCGGAGCGGGAGGAAGAGGCGGAAGGGTGGGGATGGGCAGATGCGGGGTTTGAGTTTGAGATAGATGAGCCGTGGAAGATCTTCGATGTGAGCCTACTTACCAAGTACTTGGGAGCTATGCTGATCGCAGAACCTCAATCTAGAAGACTGCGTTGAACTCGAGGAGGATATCAAGATGTACCTCTCGCTCGAAAAGTCGCCGATCAACATTGAGTTCTGGGAGGGCATGCTCGTCGTATGCGAGCATCACCTGCAGGATCTCAATGATCCAGAGCATGCGGAGGGTGGAAGGCTGTTCAATAGGGACGTGGACGTTGCGGCGGGCAGGGTGGTCAGTGGTCTGAGCTACAGTCGGCTGGTCGAGCTTGAGGCCAAGACGAACGCGATGTTGCGGAGTGGACAGCCGGTGGATGGGGAGTTTTGGGATCTGGTACTGCGCAAGATCCATGTTGAGAAGGCTATCGTGAGCTACATCCTTCTTACTCTCCTTGAAAGCAAGACTGCATCTGACCCATCAGGCCAAGCTCAACTCCATCCACGAAGTCGTCCTCAAGAATCGTCTCGAGCAATTCAAAAAGCGCCAGCGGGACGACGCGATGAAGGCGAACGAAAGCGGACACAGGGCCGTTGCAAAGGAGGTTACTTTCGGAGGTGATATGCAGGCGGATGCCGGAGAGTACGATGATGCGGCGGGCGACGCGGACGACGAGGTTGACGAGGACGACTGGGTGGAGGAGTACGATCCGGAGATGAGCCCTCCGCCAGCTGAGGTGAGGGATATGACGCTCGATGATAGGCGTTTACCCATCGTCGAGGAGGAAGATCATATTCGGGCCATCGTAAGTTCCGTCTCCCTATGTTCATACAAGAGCTGACATCGTAGTACGCAGCTCGTCGAGCTCTCGTAGCAGCCAACAAGCCGACCGCCGGCTCCTCCAACGAAGCCCAAATGCACACCACGAAATCCGTCTCTCGCCCCTCCGCAGCGGATATCGAAGCGGAGCGCCTGGTCAGGTCCGAGGTCCAGAATGAAGACCACCTGCATACGGACGAGTCTGAGGCGGAGTTTGGAGATCTCGACGATGCGCTCGACCTGGACAAGCCGGTCGTTCCCCTCGATTGGTCGGATCGGTATCGGCCGAGAAAGCCTCGGTACTTCAACCGGGTTCTCACCGGGTTTGAGTGGAATAGATACAACCAGACGCATTACGAGTGAGCTATATTTCCCTGCTTGTTCACGACTCCAATTCCAAGGCTTCCTTTCTCACACATCTCCAACCTTCCCCAACGTCAGTGTCTTAGCCTTGCGGATGACGCCCATGCACCCCCGAACAGCTCTAATACGCACATACCCCCGCTATCCCCAGGTACCCGTGCCCAGCTGACCCAACAGTCACGACAACCCACCGCCCAAGACCGTTCAAGGGTACAAGTTTAACATCTTCTACCCGGACTTGATGTAAGTTGATCAACGGAGCGGTGTAGGCTGACCCTGAAGCGACAAGAGTCAAGCCCCCACCTACTACACCAAGCGAATCCCAGACGATAACGACACCTGCATGATCGTCTTTACAGCCGGACCACCCTACGAGGATATCGCATTCAGAATCGTCCGTAGACCTTGGCAATACAGTCATCGACTCGGGTTCAGGAGCATGTTTGATCGGGGAGTGTTGCAGCGTGAGTTCCGGCGACTTACAGGCAGGATTAGTTGCTGATGTTGCAGTGTATTTCAACTTTGGGCGCGATTTCTACAGGAAGTAATGACGAATGTTGTAATGAAACATCTGACATTATGCTTCCTCTCAAACATCTGACATTATGCTTCCTTACAAACCTGATGGGCTGATGTCTGTTCCATATGAGACTATCTCCTACTATTGATTGCCTGGTCCCTCTCCAGGCAGAACGAAAGGGAGTCCTACGACAAGTAAAAGGGTCATAGGGACTGACGCGGATCAGGAATCTTGACATTGGAATACATCCTTTGTATCCTGGTACCTCAAGCCAGCGTGGAGCTGCCTATTAAGAAGAAAGGTACTCGATGACACTCAACATTGGAGCCCATCCCTTTGTACACTACTCCGCCTCACAATTTTCCTCTAACACAATGCACGATTCTACGGCGTGCATAACGCCCGGTCTACTTGATCTTAACTCATTTTCTGCGCAGTAGCATGAGTTCATTGCTATCTCGACCGGACAGGCGTATAGATGTGCCTATATGTGCAAGAGGTGTCGCGGAAGAGGCGATGGCCCTAATCGGGGACAGGGAGGCTAGGTGGACTGAACAGAAGTCCATCTGGTGCTCTGTGCCTCGGTCACGCATCACCAAATGTGCACCAGTGAGTCTACACCTCCTCGTGTGCTCATACACAATATCTAACACCCGATTTACATGCGCTAAGTCCCTCCTCAGGCCCGCCTACCCTCGCTCAGTCGGATGGTAGGCCCTATGCTCCTGTTGCTGCTTGGAATCTGCCTCGGCAGTCTGCATCCAGTTTACGTGCATCTCTTCACCCGGCGGTCACCAGGTCTCCATTCTCTTCTCCCGCCAGGCTTGACACCTGCCCCAATATCAACCATTCCGCCCTTTCCGTCTCTTCCTGAGCCGGACGCGCCGATCCCAGATATCGTACACTACGTCTACATCAAGGATCAAGCTGAAGACCTTCATTACGCTATTTACCTCGCTGTTCGTTCCGCCATGATCAAGCTTCAGCCGGACAGGATCATGTTTCACTGCGTGCGCCAGCATCCGAGCGGGTATTGGTGGGACCGTTTATTGGAGTGGGAGGGCGCTGGTGGTGCCGGTTTTGCGGTGGAAGTGGTAAAGGCGCGTGAAGTGGACTGGGTCGGTCCGGGCAGGACGCCAGTGAAGCATGTAAGACAGACCCGGTAGGGATAGGCTGATGATTAGTACGCCCACAAAGCGGACATTCTGCGCTTGGAAATGTAAGCCGATCCTTGGGCACAAGGGGTATCTATTGACGCTCCAGCCTACTCAAATACGGAGGGATCTACCTTGACATGGACATGTTCATCATCCGTCCTTTTGCGCCGTATGGGCTCATGCGTCAAGACGTCGTCATGGGGATGGAAGTTGGTCGGCTGGACCCTTTATTGATGCTTGATGGACCGGGTTCAGATGATGGCAATCACCCCAATGGACTTTGCAACGCGGTCATCCTGGCGCGACCGGGAGCAGAGCTCCTCAAGAGATGGCTGACGACATACGAAGAGGGGTTTCAAGCAATATACTGGTCATACAACAGCGTCGTGAGTGTTCGTGCCGCATATGAGACGCGCATAGGCTGATCATGGTAGCAAGTGCCTTGGCTCCTGGCCAAGCTGTACCCCACACTCATAACCGTCTTGTCGGACCAGGCATTTTTCTGGCCGATCTGGTCTGCTGATGATGTCAAGACGATACACGAAACGACCGAATACGACTTCTTGGAGTCAGGCCAGTTGGCGTGAGTGTCTGCGGCGTCTTGAGCGCAACGTCAGATTGCTGATGTGGTATCAGATACCACGCTTGGGGTCATCTGGCCATGGGATATTTGGTCGAGCTAGACCCAGAAACGGTTCAAGCAAGGGACACGTCCTTTACCCGGCTACTCAGGACGTTCCAGGGGAAAGATGAGGTGGCGCGGTGGAGATCGGCTACTGAAGCAGACTGAGTACTCCGTGAAAGGGGACTTTGAAGTAACGAGTCTCACAGTGGGTTCATAGAGATATGTACGGATGTATCTATTCGTATGCGATCTTGTTAATCAATGTCCCTGTTCGTCAGTCCGTTTCACGCTAACCATAGATCCACACTCACCGACACCATGAGATATGAAGCATCGAACGTCGTCCCCGTCCTTCAGCCAGAACCGGGGGGTTGCACCATCTCCAATACCCGGTGGTGTACCGGTAATGATGACTGTCCCAGCTGGTAGTGTCGTTCCTTGAGACAGGTGGTGAATGATACTGCCACAGTCAGCACTGACCAATCTGACCTGACTGAGCGACTCACTGCGCGATGGGCCAAATCATCTTTGACGCCGAGCCGTCCTGCTTAATGTCGCCGTTGACGTGAGTCTTGAGCGCGAGGATGTGCGGGTCGGGTAGCGCGCGGGTCGAGACAATACATGGACCGAGAGGGCAGAACTTGTCGAAGCCTGAGAGGTCAGCGCGGGACTCAGCAAGCTGCGATGGAGCTTACCCTTGGCAAATACCCATTGACTAGTCACCTTCTGCTGCTTACGTGCCGTCAAATCATTGGCGCACGTCCAACCCAGAACGTAGTTCATAGCCTCCTCCGAGCTCACACCCTTGCACGTCTTGCCGATGACGATGGCCAGTTCGACCTCATAATCGAGCTGCTCGTCCTGCGCCGCGAGGGGGATGGGGATGGAGGTACCCGGGTCGGCGAGGGACTGGGCGGGCTTCGTGAATACAGAGGGCGTCTCAGGAATTGGCAGACCCATCTCTTCCTGTAAATATCAGCTTGGACTCAGCTGACCGGGAAGCGGTACCCACAGCGTGGTCTCTATAGCTCAAGCCGGTGCACCGGACCGTCCCGACTGTTTCGGCAGAGATAGGCGATAAGAGCTAGAATATTAACGAAGTGCACACGATGAGTTGATTCTGACTCACAGTCTCCACCGTCAGCACCTCGCCGGTGCGAGTAGCGGAGGGATCCCACGGACAGGAGCCGTCAAGGACATGGACCTCGATCTTTTGCTTGTTTTCGTACGCCAATCCGACTATACCCTCAGCGACTGCTTCTTCATCTGAGCTTTAGTGTGACTCACTGTCTAGCCTCTCGTCCACTGGCTCTCCAATATGGACCGCGCCCTTCGCTTCGAACCGGATGAGTCTTTGCCAGCTCTGAAAAGTCAGCTCAGCCTCATCGGCGGGCTAAGGTCACTCACAGCGGACGATGAACTGGACGACATGGTAATATGTTGTGTTCAATAGTCTTGTCTGACCCGCTCCCATGTACCGGGATGTTATACCTGGCCGTCCGCATCTAGACCGGCTCTGTGACTGCGCTACTGACTGCTGGGTACTGCTATCTGTTCGGAAGATGCAAGACTCTGACATGAGATCCGACAGGAGACCTTGTCTGCGCGCGGAAGACCTACTCCGATGGGTTTCTCCGAGATTTAGCCTTTCGGGTCGGAGAAAGAGGCGGAAGAGCCGCGGCCTGAAATTACGACCTCTGGCGGCTCGGAAAACTGTCAGATAAGCTATCCACCTCGGAAGTCTCCAACAGCGGGACACGACTCAGCATGATCGTAAAGCATCAAGTCAGAAGGTATATACATGGCGGATAGGATGGCCAAGACAGAATCATACCCTCCTTCGTCTCAGTATCCGCCATGTCCACCGCCATCGACCGCACCGATTCCTTTAAGGATGAGAAATACCTCGACCCCACGCCTGGCGCGGTCGACGCCATCGCAGAGGAGATTGACCCGGTCGCAGAGAGAAAGCTTCTCCGCAAGCTCGATCTCCGTGAGTCCAGAATGATGCAGTAGAGATTTGGGCTGACAGGTAGATATCGCCCCTGTCATGTGCATGATCTTCCTCCTCGCTTACATTGACCGGTCCAATATCGGTAACGCCTCTACTGCCGGATTAATCGTAAGTCGTCTTCTGTCATGAACGACGGACTTGGCTGATATGTCGAGGCGGATTGTGGGCTGGTCGGCAATGAGTACAACACCGTCGTGACGCTTTTCTACGTGAGTGAGATCTCGCATTGTGGGAGGCGCATACTGATTGTCAGGTCACATATGTCGCTTTCGAAGTGCCTCTTACAGTATTATTGAAGAAGTTCCGGCCCTCTCGCTTGGTGAGCGTTCTACTCTGAGAGCCATAGCACAAGCTGACGTCCAGATCACCGGTCTTGTCGTCGGATGGGGTATTGTCATAGTCTGCACCGGTTTCGCCAACTCGTACGCCTCGCTTATCGTCCTCCGACTGCTCCTCGGTGCTTTTGAGTCCGGTCTCTTCCCTTGTCTTGCCTTGTACCTCTCCAGCTTCTACCGGCGGAAGGAGCAAGCTCGCCGAGTCGCCTACCTGTTCGTCGCCAGTGCGCTGTCCGGCGCGTTCGGCGGTCTGCTCGCATACGGTATCCTTCGTATAGATGGAGGCGGTAGGAAGCCATGGCAGTGGCTCTTCATCAGTGAGTGCCTCACCTAGTCTTCGTCCTTGCTATATCGCTAATCTTCCAGTCGAGGGCATCATCACCGTCGTCTTTGGACTGTCTATCCCCTGGCTTCTCCCCGATGACTTTGAAAGTGCCCGATACCTCACCCACGCCGACAAGGAGCTCATGCGCCTTCGTCAACGAGTCGAGTCGATCTACGTTGGCAACCAGCACTTTGAGTGGAGCAAAGTCCGCGCGGCCTATTCGGATTACAAGCTGTGGATCAACTGCTTTGCTCAATTTGGCTCTAACGTCCTGTAAGTTGACCTGATCAGCATCTCTTTGGCTTTAGCTCACTCGCCAGGTCATTCGGGTTCAGTACTTTCCTCCCCAACATCATTCGAGCTTTCGGCTTTGACGTTGTCACCACTCAGTGAGTCCTCCCCTCGCCCTTGAAGGGTTTCTCAAGCTGACGAAGAAGGGTCCTGACTGTCCCAATCTACTTCTGGGCCGCTGCCGTCTACATCACTGCTTCAATTATGTGAGCATCCCCGATCCACCTCACAAGCCCAACACTGATGTACTCTTAGCTCTGACAAGATTGGTCGCCGGATCATCTTCATGATTCCCGTAAGTCTATGTCCTTACCCGCAAGGTGTTCAACGCTGATCGACAGCTCGCATCCGTCACCCTCATCGGCTACATCATCCTCATCATTCCCAGCATCACCAGCCAGGGCGTCCGCGTCTTTGCCCTGCTATTACAGGCGACCGGTATTTACTCTATGGTCGGTCTCAACATCGTCCTCCTGACCAACTCGCAAGCACCTTAGTGAGTCATCTGCCACTTATACATGAATAGAACTGACAGACCAGCTTCAAGCGCGCCACCGCTATCGGTACGCAGCAGATGATCGGGAACTGCGCTGGCTTCGTCGCTGGTCAGATCTTCTTGACCACGGATGCTCCTCGATACTACCTCGGTGCCAAGGTCTCGCTGGGTAAGTCGTATCTCTGAAGCGTATCACGAGCCAGAGCTGACTCGACAGCGTTCACTTGCTTCTGCATGTGCCTTTACCTCACACAATACTTGATTTTCACTCGCCTGAACGCCAAGAGGGAGAAGATGTCGACAGAGGAGAAGGAGAGACTCATTGCGGAGGGGGCGGACGGCGATGCCCACCCCGACTTCAGGTATCCTCAATAGATCTCGTCTTTGGGTAATCGGAGAGAAGATGTTTTAGATAACCTTATTGTCGTTCTAGATTGGTAGCTTGTAATGCAAGGCATGATGAGCACCTTCTCTGGCAGGGAGAACTTCAGTGACAGATAGCACTGCATTGCATACATCTCAAACCATGTTGCCTTCATTACCGAGACCAAATGGCCAGAGGGCCAAGCTACCCAATTCACCCTCTTCCCCAGTCTGACGACGTTCATCGACCACATTCAGCCATGAGGTATCAACGCCAACCCCGTCGCCCTGCATTAGCATGTTCGGGTCGGCCGGCGGCTGGAACAGCTGCGAGAAGAGGGACCAGTCCGGCTCGAACGCTTGCTGCTGGACTAGTGGACCCTGGGGTACCTGGATTATTAGCGATAGCCAAACGATCGACTCACAGTAGCACTCGTATAGCTCATAAGCGGCCGCTCAGGATGGCCGCTTGGCACAGCGCTAGAGGGCGGCGGGACCCAGCCGAGCCTCTTGAGCTCCTCCTCGAGTGTCGGATTATCTCGCAAGAGCTGCGCTACCGGCAATGACCCGCCCAAATCCGACGCCGTCGTTGACGACGCGCGACCATGGGTCGACTCGTCGCTGGGACACCATTCGTTCAGGAGCCCCTCGAGGATCGCGCCGCTCTGGCTCGCGCACCAGAAGCCGCCGCCCATACTGCGTAGCGCGGCGATACAATCGCGTACGCCTCGTATCTCGGTGGCGATGGTCTGCTTGCCGGTGGCGTTGGCGGCGCAGAGGAGGTGGATGGTGCCTGCGGCGAAGGCGAATTGGGTCATGGAGATGGGAGCGAAGCGTAGGCCTGGACAGCGGTCGTAAAGCTAGCGAAATCAGCTAAGATCCGACCCGCCTCTTGTGATAACTTACTTGAAGAATCTCAACGATCTTCCGTCTGTACAGTCAGCTACGAACAGGGTGGCGTCTACAATGACTCACGCAGATTGCTCGCAGATTGGAACGTAAGAACCAGAGGGACGAGTACTCGTATCTTGCGTCTTGAACCGGGAGAACCAAGGACGGTTTAGCAGAATCAACATGAAGTGATAAGCAGCATGCAAGACGAGAACGTGAGCGGGCGGGAAAGGTGATCGAGTCCGGGAGGTGAGATCGCCTATGCGTACAGGCTCGGGCAGCTCATCGTACCATCTCTGTAGGAGCAGACTGGCTATCAGCGTTGTTGTCTTGGAGCACACAGCAGAGACGGGAAGGCTTACTTGATGTCCGAGACTACGTCCTGAACGTGCAAAGAGTCAATGTCAAGCTGCATGGAGTATCTCGTCATCAGCTCTGCCCACTCGACAAGCTTACGCTATATCCAGCACCCTCTCCGCTATCAAAGCCAATTTACACGTCCACACGTATGTCGTGCTGGTCCATGCCTTCACCTCGCCCTGGATGGAAGGACCGAAGCGGTCATTTCCCGCTCCGGGCGAATGACTGGGGACGCTCCACTCCTCGTTAGGATACAGGACCCAGACTTGCTCATCCTCCTCGGGATCCGGATCCGGCATGGCGATCTCGGATCTGGCGATGGAGACGCTTGACGCTCGTCCCACGTAGATGCTCCAGAATCTGGACGTCAGCCCGCATCGAGCCTACAACTCACTTGTCCTGGATATACCCCGTCCAGAAGACTCTATCTCGACTCTGCTTCATCTCCAACGTAACCGCTCCTGTTCGGACCCAGTGCGAACAATCCATTCCCAGACCGACTATGCGCGTCAGCCAAGTCCAAGGTTTGGTGAAGCGAGACTTACGAGCTTGAGCCAAGCGCAAAGCAGTCCCAGAGTGGATATACCCCACGCTATGCCTCAGGACAGCCGTATGATGGCTCCCAAGCAACAGTATACCCATGACTGAGCTGAGCAGCGGCGCCTCCACCTCCGCATCGATCATCTCCCTCGCTCGACGTGCGAATCCAGCCGCTAGTTGTGCCTTGTACTCGCTATCGCAGTCGAGATAGAACAGGCCGACGGACAGAACGACATTGTGCAGCAGAGGCGAGTAGTATGCCGTTCGTCGAGGGCGGATGATCGTTTCTGGGTTGACCGGTGATTGCAGCATGTCGGCGCGGAATCTGCCTTCGTCGACCCATTGACACCATCTACAGTCAGCGGTGTATGAGAGGCAGACGTACGGGTTGAAGTAGGCAAAGAATAGCCGCAGAACCTCGGTATGAATATCTTCTCGTAGCTCAGGAGAGGGTAGGTCGGCCGGGACAGGCGGGCGTCGAAGTCCCGCAGCAGCGGTCGTGCTGGGAAGATGATGAAGCGGGGTCCTGAAGTCGCGAAATGACCTCTGCTCCTCTGCAGCCGGATTGGACGTTCGAGCCTCGTTGAGATGCTTGAACGCCGACGTAGGGCCATACTCGACTAATCCGCCGGTCTCAGCATCGATCTACCCGTCAGCTAGTACCTTCAGACCGGTAGGTACGCACTTGTAGCCTGTCGACTCCGGCTGCACCTCTTGCCGGCTCATCTGGAGACGGACCCGACATCCTGCTCGAGCTAGCGACGGCGTTCTGGTGCGCCGCAGCACCCGTCTCGCTGCCGAGCATCCCCTCTAGGACCTTGACTCTTGCCTCGAGCGCCGAGACATACGCCTTGGAAACGGGCTTCCGCCCATCCCGCTCGGGGGCGTACGTGCAGTCTTGAGCGTGCGACGCACAATGAGCTGTATAATGTCAGTACGTGTGAGTGACCGAGGTCAAAAAACTGACCGCATGGTCTGTCACCATCACACCGAAGCTTCCTGACGGTGTCAGTAGCTGGCCCGCGGACTCGGTCGACTGATAAGAAATCCATCAGTCTCACCTTTTTCGACATCCATCACATGCACGCGTCGACCGACTTGCATGTCGACCAGTAACAGGCGCGTCCTCTTTGGCTCCAGGACTCATGTTCTTCGATACGGTTCCTTTGGTCAGGTAAGCGGCGAACAGAGGCAAGATGATGGACCTTTCGGAAGGCTTGTCCGAACCCGGAGACTTGTCGGAAGTCGTTGTCGGGTGGATAAGTCGACTCCGAAAGCTATATAGCCGCTATCTTTGCCTCCTCATGCTCCCTCCATCACTCACACGTACACTAAGCACAATGGCCAAGATCCAAGCCCAACCATTCCGCCTGGCTCTCTGCCAACTCGCTCCTTCCACAGCCAACAAGCAAGAAAACATCGCAACCGCCCAGCGAGCCGTCAAGGCCGCCGCTGCCTCCACCCCCAAGCCGGACCTTATCGTCCTTCCCGAAATTTGGAACTCGCCTTACGCCGTACCGAGCTTCAGAGAGTATGCGGAGCCTATCCCTGCTGTGGGTGGAAAGGACGAGGGGGAGGGGGAGACGATCAAGGCGATGAGGGAGATGGCGAGGGAGGCGGGGGTATGGTTGATTGGAGGTGAGGCAAGCGCATAGCAGGGTGGGGCAGAGGCTGATAGATATGTAGGGAGTATACCGGAGATTGAAGCCAGTACTGATTCCATCTACAACACGGCGACGGTGTATGATCCGCACGGTAGGCTGTCCCCTCCCTCGAAGTGTAAAGCTGACAAGATAGGCAACATCGTGGCGAAACACCGCAAGGTCCACCTCTTCAACATCAACATCCCTGGCAAGCAGGTCTTTGAGGTGCCTTCCTCCCCAAACTAACTCGCTTGGCCGATAGCTGAGAAAGGCAGGAATCACAGACTCTCACGGCCGGCTCGAGCCTGACCACCTTCACCGCGCCCTTCGGCAAGATTGGTGTAGGTATCTGCTATGATATCCGATTCCCAGAGATGGCTATGGTCGCTGCTCGACAAGGTAGGCCATCCACTAGCTACCATGGACCCCCGCTGAGACTACAGGCTGTATAGCTATGATCTACCCCTCGGCGTTCAACGTCACTACAGGACCGATGCACTGGACCCTTCTTCAAAGGGCACGGTGAGCCTCCACTTCTCTAGCTCCACATCCGTACCCTACTTCATGGAGAGATAGGGAGGCAGAAGAAGATGCAGCACCAAACGAATCTCTCCGCGATTCCCTTATTCTCTCGGAGCTGTGCAGGTCTGCGGTCGAGACTGTCACTTCTCGCACGCCTCTTTTCAACACCAATGATGGCTGATGAGCAGGGCCGTCGACAACCAGATGTACGTCTCGATGTGCTCGCCTTCGCGCAGCCCCACCGCTTCGTATCAAGCATGGGGCCATTCCATGGTCGTCAACCCCCTCGGGGAAGTACTGTGCGAAGCGGATGAGCACGAAGCCATCTTGTACGCCGATATCGGTGAGCTCTTCTTCTACCCCTAAGGAGCTTGGTACTGCTCTAACACGACAGATCCCAGCGCACTCGCCACAGTCCGCCAGAATATCCCAGTCACCAATCAACGGCGATTCGACGTGTACCCAGACGTCGCAAAGTAAAGTAGATACTATATATACAGTAGGCTGCATGTCTCCTCGATCTCAAATATGAATCTATGACTTGGGGTATAGGGGCGTAGATAAAGTCAGGCAGTTACGGATACAATACACCTCCACTTAGGCCGCAGCAGGAGCGACCGGCGCCTCTGCCGCCTGCTGTCCCAGAGGACTTGGGACAGGTCCCTTCTTCCTCCGCCCCAACAATGTCGCGTTCCCGATATCCAGCTCGAATCCTGACCGGCTCTCGGCCTTGGCCCGACCCCCTCGGTCCCGCGTACCCGCCCGACCATCATACAGCACCGCCTCGGCCTCGCGCCGATTGGCCCCGCCTCGCCCGACGTAATTTTGAACCGGCTGCTCCTTTATTCCAGCAGCGGCATTGGCGGCGGCCCGACCCTGATGTTCCCGGATCTGACGCGCGACCGCCTCGCCGTGCTTCCGCCGAGCCTCTTCGAGCTGCTGCGCCTCGTCATCCTCCTCGTCTTCTTCGTTGAGTCCGCCGAGGAAGCCGCGCGTCCCGGCACCGCCAGGTCCGTTGTAAGCCCGACGACGAGCACCCTCCTCCTCCATCCGGTGGACGGCGTAGGTGATGTCGAATGCCTCCTTGAGCGCGCCGACACCGGGTGAACGGCCTTCGCGATTCCCAGCGCGCATAGAAGCGAGGAGAGGGGAATCCATCGGCGCATTGTTGGCGAGACCGGGGGCACGTGGTGTGGGTGCAGGTGGTTGAGCAGATGGTGCGTCCTTGATCCACGGGTGGGCGAGGAACTCGTCGATGGTGTAACGAGCGGTGGGGTCGACGCAAAGAAGGTGGGTAATGAGATCTTTGGCAGATGTTGATATGTCGTCCCACCAGGGGCTGAGGAAGGTGTAGTAGCCGCGAGCGACCTTTTCAGTGAGGACGTTGATGGATTCGTCATAGAAAGCTGGGCATGAGCAATGTCCGGGCAAGGGAGAGACAGACTTACGAGGGAAACCACAAAGCAAGGTATACAAAACACAACCCAACGCCCACATATCGACACTCTTGCTGTACCGCTCGTCCTTGACGATCTCGGGGGCAGTGTAGCCGACGGTACCGCAAGGCGTCATGGTCTGCTCGTCCCAGACGATCTTACTCAGACCAAAGTCGGCAATCTTGACCCGTCCGATCCCTCCACCACCGATACCAGCTCGGAACTCTCCCTCATCCTCCTTCTCCTCGTCGTAGGGGCGGTGGTTGGGGTTGCGAGACGGAGTGATGGGGATACGGTCGAAAAGAAGGTTCTCGGGCTTGATGTCTCGGTGGACGACCCCACGCTCCTCGTGGAGATACCGGATGGCCTCGGCGACCTGGAGGATGACGTGTCGGGAAAGCGCCTCGGAGAAGTAGGTGAGTTTGACGATTTGGTGGAATAGTTCTCCTCCCTCCATCACTGATCGTCAGTCCAGCCCAAGCGAGTCATGAGGTGACTTACATTCAAGAATGAGGAAGTAGTGCTCGTCCGACTCGAAGAAGTTGAGAAGCTTGACGACACCGGGGTGATCGATCCCGCGCATGATCTGGACCTCTTTGAGGATGTTGGCGCGCTGAACGGTCAGCCTTAATCCAACTTGACAAGATGTGGCAGTGGAGAGCTAGACCATCGGAAGCCGGAGCATGTGAAACACCCCGACGCTCGAGGGCCAGCGACCGTGGACAAGAATGACATGAGGATGTGGTGTAAGAAGAGGAAAAACAAACCTCTGTAACACGCGGTCCCCTCTTCTTGAAGTCCTTGTTGAGGTGTTTGTTGCCGTTCTGACCGCCTGTCAGTATTTGTTAAGGTAGATTCCGAGCAAATATTATCGGAACAATCCCATCGTCCACCTTGGACCCCACACTTGGCCAGAGTGTGGGAGGTGGCACAGGGTAGGAGGAGCAAAAAGAAGAAGAATATATTCGCCTGAAAAGCAACACTCACCTGAGAAGAGTTGAGCTCATACTTGCGCACGACCTTGACGGCAACTTTGCGACCAGTCTTGCGCTCGATGGCTTTGTAGACATTGGAGAAGGCACCGTCGCCCATCTTCTCGACAAGCTTGTATGATTCCAAGCCCTAGGTTGTCAGCAACGATCATACGTAATAGTGAGCAAACTTACCTCGTACTGTGGCATCTTCTCGCTCTGCGCCCTCTCATCCGCGACGATCCGCTCGGCCTCTTCTCGGTAGTTTGGCGATACCTGAGGGGCCTTGGACGGTTGAGCGTATTGCTGTTGCTGCCCTTGGGCGTATCCGCCAGCTTACCAATCAGCATCATCCCACTTGGACACGAATACACTCACCATTAGCGGCGGTAAGACCCTGACCTGGCATGTCGTTGTTGTAGTAAGCGGCCTGTTGGGGCTGAGCCTGATGTTGAGTTTGCGGTTGGTCCCTGGTCTTCTTGGACGAGGACGGGGCGGTCTGCTGAGCGTTGCCGGATGATTGGTTGGCGTGCTTGCCGTGCCGCAGGATCTCTGCTTGGTCAGCGTGGTCTCGCCTAAAAGTGAGGGACCCACGTTTGAAGCTTGAAAGCATCTGATCGTCTGATAAAGTAGCGAGGTCTAGGCGAGCGAGTGCCTCCTTGTAGTCGCGATCCGTTGCTTTATCGTATCGCTGTGTGGTATTCACAGGTACTGAGAGCGAAGTATTGTATACGCCGTTCTGTTTGACAGGGCGAGGCGGCGAGTCTGAGAGAGGGATAAGGAGGGAGGGGGAGATGAGTGGTGTATTGCCGCCCGAACTAGAGGTGATCGAATTGGCCGAGGGGGAAGTGTCCGAGTGAGCGAGAACGCGTGCTCGAGCCGGTTGAGAGTCTGTCAAAACCGTTGTTGGTGGAGTACGTCGGCTTGATGAGGGATGTAGGGTTGAAGAGTCTGCCTTGTCAGCAAGCAGTCTCAGCAATGAAGACTGGAGACACGGACGCACACGAAAGAGGTATGACGTAGTAGAGCAGTGACACTCACAGTAATCTTCCAATCCTTGGTGAGACGTTAAAGGAGTCTGTGCGGTCGTTCAAAAGCTGGCGATCTGAGACTTTGTGTGGAGTCGATCCAGCTGTATCGTCTGATTGAGAAGTATTGAGGAGTGTGATAGTTGATGATGATCAAGCAAGTCGATGGATGAGTGATGTTGCTTGGTGTGCAGTCAAAGTGATGGGGGCGACGAGGACGGGCCTGGCCTGGCCGAGCCCGAAGGTGGGTGGTTTTGAGTGTGGCGTTTTGGAGTAGCGATGTCGTCATCGTCGTCATAGAGGAAACATCATCACCACGTGGACAAGATATACTTCCGTGGAGGCCTGTTTCATCGTGTTTCGCCTTGTTTCCGCCTGTTTCGGGTGGGTTCATCAGCGTTCACCCATCACGGCTTGCTTCATTAGCGCAGCTTTGTCAGAACAGGCCTGACAAGAATACACAGATCATCTAACACACTCTGGACTAGAACCCCGTGAGGCTCAACCAGGAGATTCTCAACCAGGAGATTCGCGGCGCAAGCGTTGCGGAGCGGGCTCGCGGAGCCAACGCGGGGGACTTGACAAGGCACATGATGGCGCGTCAAACGCTAGCCCAGTGAGCAGTGTGTGTTTGGCTGTGGTATTGATTGCGAGACTCGGACCCTACATATGCTATATGCTACATGATTATTCTACTTTACGCTAATCTCCCCCACCCTAACGACTTTGCGATCCCCAATTGCCCCACGCCCCAGCTGCTCCCCAGCCCGGCTCCTCCACTAAGCTCTCCCAACGCCGCCTTCCACCTCACTTCCTCGTCACTCGCCTGGAAGGGACGGACAAGGCGAGTGAATGAGCTGTTCTTTAAACGAACGTTCTCGGGAGTCAAGGCGCCAAGGTGATCTTTGGCTAGCGATTCCCACGCATGATATCTGATCCCATCAGCCCATGTCGCTCTGCGGATATGAGACACTCACGCCAATTGCCCTGAAGACGAAAAGTCGTAGTCTGTAGTCGAGTGGACGGCGTGTATGTGGTCCTTGGTGTAGAGTGGCCAAAAGAATGCTCGATCCGACAGGACAGTGAGGAGCGTGGGGTACAGCTTGGCAAGTAGCCACGGCATCTCCTGCTAACGTCAGCCTTCTGTCCGCCTTACGATCTCATACAACTCACCACACTGTTATACTCCCAGTAGCTGCTATCGAACGCCTCCTCATACGTCGTCATCCATCGCCGCAAGAACTCCGCACCTGGCCGAGCGATGATGACGCCATTACAAAGTCCCTTGGGGTGCATCCCGTCGTCCGAGCCTGGACCGTACGACATCAGAGCAGGATTCAGGGGATGCGCTTCCATTCCGAGGACGACATCCTGCCGCATGAGGCCGTACGGGGCGAAAGGTCGGACGATGAAGGTATCGATATCGAGGTAGATCCCGCCATATTCGAGCAATCTACAAGTCAGTACGTGCGTTTGGCTCGGTGAAATGACTAGCTTACACTTCCAGCCGTAGTATATCCGCCTTATGGGCATACTGCTCGTCAGCTCCTTCTCCTAAAGACTGGCTATCCGACTCACATGCTCGACAGGCCTCCTCTGTGGTCCGATCCACTCTACTTCCCGCGCCTTGACAACTTCCACCTTCACACTTTCTGCCTTCCCATGTGTCTCGCCTTCCCACTCCAGTAGTCGATCCCACCAGTACCCGCTCGGCTGGTACACGCAATGGAACATGACCTTCTCGGGCTCAAGCGTGATCAAAGCAGACCGTACCGCGAGATAGGCGAAATAGGGAAAGTCATCCGTTTGCTCCTTCAGACCGTAGACGTAGTGGAGGATGTTCGGTATTGGGTCGTGTGGTGCGGGAAGAGAAGGTACGGATGGGAGGAGTGATGAGGGGGCAGGGGTCAGTGCGGGTGGACGGAGAGAGGGGAGGTCCAGCGATCGTCGGGTGTAGATGGAAGTGTAGACGGGGTATAGACTGCCGATGTAGGCCCCAAGGAGTAGGATGACGGTCGTATACAGTGTCTTGGTGAGGGATGGAAGCGGTGGCTATATCGGCGTCAGTGTGAACCCCATGATGCCAGCGATCTCACCAAAACTCACTCTCGCACACTCTATCTTACAGCCACTCAACAGCTGCCCCGGCCATGACGCCCACCGCGAGGGCCGTGCCCAGTGCTCGCCGTCCACCTTCTCATCCGCCCATCCCTTCTCCTCCTCCGCAGCCGGCCAATATGGGCAAGGTCCACTCAAGCGACGTTCAAGACGGGGCGGTGTAGTCGCCATACTGCCTCAGTACCTGCTGGAAGTATGGGACTGGGCGGTGATCAGCGATGTTTGGAATGAGGGGGATAAGCGATGTATAGAGCATACCGCTACCTCCTGACCTGGCGAGCACCCTCAACAGCTAGCGTTCCCCACCCTCTGCACCGACCTTGCCCTCCCCCGCAGCGAAAAAAGGTAAATAAAGGCAAGTACGTCAAATGACGTCTATGGACGGATGTGGCGCACAGCATCTCACTTTGCATCCGCAGATCGCGAGCGGCGCCAACTCCGGCTCCGCGCTGACACGAGTGTCAAGCATATCAGCTGGATCTTAGCTGTGCGCACGCTCAGCCTACCGCATCGAAGCCGTCTCGTCCTCGCCGCAGTCGGCGGCGCTCGAGTATGGGCTTTCGTCTTTGGTGCACTGCTACCGAGAGCAAGCTAAGATACTGCCAAGTTTTAGCTCCGAGAGTGGACCCAGCCGAAGCAGGCCGATTCCTGAAGCTCACACGCTACTGTGACTCTTGCACCGCATCTGAACCTTTGAGGTCCAAGGGCCAAGGGTCGTCTTAGCGGCTATGGAGGGCAATGGATTCGACCCGGGGCACGTGCACCCCGTCTCCTGCGCGGTGTGAGCCAATTGTTGCCCGAGAGGCGCCGCTGGACGGGCTTGGATAGCCACCGCGAAGGTGCGCAGTATGTAATAGCGCAGTAATACTAATAGGAGCGACCAAGATCTGGGGCGAGCGGCTCGATGATGCAGGTGGCTGCGGCAAGCTGCGGGTCTTACGGCAAGGGATTCTTTCCCAATCGGGCATTCAGACGTTTCACTTGGTAGATCTGAAACTCCAGCCTTCAGTCGGGCTGCTCCGGGCCGGCCTCACCGGACTGGGAAATGCAAGGCTGCTAGCGTTCGTTGTTGCCCTTGTGATGTTCGCGCCGTCTGAGTCGAGTATCTGATCCCATACATCCAACACAGGTACAAACTCCTGACTATGAATAAGATGAGCCCTCAAAGAAGGACAAGAAGAGATAAGGTATACCTAAGCTGCCAAGATTATAACCCTCACTACCCAGAAATCTAAGATATCTCCCTCTCAACGACCGCTGCGAAAGCCCGCCAACCAGCGCCTCTTGTCCACTATGTCAGGCAGATCAGATCGCCCTGACATCCCCTGCCTTCTCCTTCCCCGCCCAGTCATTCAACTCGGCATCGCTCGATCCTGCCAAGAAACCACTCCCGCCCGTCCCGATCGTGCGCTGCGAGTGCGAGTCATACTCGAGCTGGTTCAAGCTAGGAAGTTCTGCCCATCCACGATTCATCCTCTGCAGCATCAGCATATGCCCCACCGAGCAGGAAAAAATCGAATACACTTACGCTCGGACTGACAAGCCCCATCTCCTTTGGACTGAGCACGACCTGCGTCTCGACATCCACCCGTACCTCTCCCCTGTGCTTACTGTCGGTGGGGCTGTCGAGATCGTCCCTGGCTCCGGCCGATCGCTTACTCTCGGGGGTGAAGATGTGTGGCCCCGGCGAGCGGGACTGCCGAGATGTGTCGTTTCGCCGGGAGAAGCGGAAGTTGAGGATAGCGAGGAAGCCGACGATGTAGACTTTGGGTTGGGTGACACTGATCAAGTCAGCTCAATCCGTGCATGGAGGCGGGAGGTCATGGGAGTGAGCGACGTACAGGAAGATGATGCCAAAGCGCCGGGTACCCCATGATCCGATGATGAGAATGGATCTACATTGGTCAGCACAAGATCTATGACAGAGAGGGGGCAGCATTTTCACTTACACAATAAGACCGGGAAGCTGGGTCTCCAGCGATACCCTGCATATCAGCCGATTTCCCTCGGTCCCCACCAAGAATCAACAGCTGAGCTTACCAGATCATCCTCACAATCATGCTATCCGTCGCCTTCCAGCCTGTCTTGTGCTTGTAGAGCGCGTAGGCGATGCAGGACGTGATGAGCATGTCGATATATAGCGCACTTGAGTGCTGAGACTGTCAGTCAAGCTGCACGGTCCCCGGCCGACACATTGTGGCTGGTGCTCACCCTTAAGTATAAACCTCCCTTTGCGATCTGCACAGTCAGCTGCAATCCCGGCGAGTTGCAAGTCTAACGTACAGGATCATTATACACGTCTTTAGTCGCTACTTCGTACTCTGCATTCGTTACGACGACGCTGTAGATGTGAAACGCCCAAGTCACGACCCTATATTTGTCAACAAGATCACCGCATGCTTAAGCGGAACGGGAGGGAAGGGCCGCTTACATGACGGGAATGATGGCTAGGGGGATCCAAATGGCGTTCTTGTTCAGCCTGTAAGCTCGCTCAACGTAGAAGAGCTGCACAGTCAGCACCTACCCGCAAGGATAGAAACGGGCGGGCGAACTGACCTGTATGGCTGTGGTACTCCAGTCCCAGAACATGGGGTACTGTGATGCCCCTAGAATCAGCTCAAGCTCTACATCTCCGGCTCACTCCTACTGATGATAGTATACGTACAGTGTAGCTTGTACAACTCCGTGTATGATCCGAAGCCGTAAACAAAGGACTTGGTCAACCAGATAAGTAGGCTGCTATGTTCAGCAGGGATATCGTACAGCGGAAGGAAAGAGCTGACTATATGGAGCTTCCCAGAGCCGATATGACCGACAAGACCTACCAGTCAGCTCGGAGTGCTCGAGGACGTCTGGCAAGAGGAGAACTGTCGGACTCACAACGCATCCGATAGTAAACTTCTTCTCTTCCTTTCGGAACTGGACCCACTGGATGGCCATGGCGAGTATCGTGCCCAGCAGGATCCAGTCAAAGACGCCCCTGCTGGCGTCAGCTATCGGCTCGAGCACGCGCTTAGCGAAAGAACTCACCCCAGCATATATGGAAGCAGCACGGACCCATCTCCTTCCGCACGTTTCATCGCGAGTGCCGCTTGAGTAAAGAGACCGCCTGATGGTAACATATCGGTCTCTAGGCTGAGGGTAAGTGATGACTGTGTATAAGGTGATGAGAATGGTGATCAGCGCGTCAATGTCGAGCTTGCGAAGGGGGAGATAGACGCGTTGGGAAAAGGCGTCAGGGGGTGATCTGACGTGTATATATGGAAGCAGCGCAACGGCGCGACGTGCCTATCGCAGTGAGACCCACTCGAAGGACCACTCAGATCTGGTGTGGCGTCCACAGCGCCAACACCCCTATATAGACACCCCTGCTGCCCAAGCCGTCCTTTCGACACATCCGTTCCCGTTCCTGTGGAAGCTTCCGGAGCCGAGCGACACATCCTTTCCCCACTTCGGACAGTGTCTTCGGACGCTCCTGGACGCATCCTTGTGTGCTTGATGGCGATGAAGGACGAGTGTGTGATAGGAGACGGAAAGTTGGGCTGTGTGCAATTGCGTGCCTGCACCAAGGCCTGCACTGGTGCCTGGCCCGGAGTGATGCCGTAAAGGCGGATCGAGCGAATGTGGCGGATGGCACTGATGGGGATGACTTGCACAGTGTACTTGTGCGACGCAGCGAGATCCCTAGCAGCCTGATCGGAAGGCTTGATCTATGTCGGCTGGGATGAGACACTCGAGGCTGGTGAGCTCCGGGAGGAGCTCGGAGATCGTCCGCCTCTTCTGGTAATTATGGGCTTTTTCATCTCCTCCTTGACACGCTTGGTTCAACGCACGTGAAGCGATGCTGTGGTCCATATGTGTAAAGATATCATGACTCTGCATCTTTCAAGGATCATCATTTCTATACATTCCTGCCGATGAAGAGCTCAGCTAAACGCCCAAATGTAAAATCGGATCCCATACCGTCGCCTCCGACAAGACTGGCTGAATCGACCTCCCGTGCCCTCTACGTCCTCCAGGATCACGCATGGCGCGTACTCGTACCCTCGGCCTCCTTTTCGTTGTACTCCCATCCCTTCAGATCCGCCTCGCTCGATCCAGCTAGAAAGGCATTCCCTGTACCCGCAGTATGCTGAGACCGCGCGTCATGTTCCGGGCTATCGCTCGGTGGCAACTCGGTCCAGCCCCGGTTCATCCTCTGAGGTCATCAGCACAGTCTCCTCGGCGTGCAAAGTGAAACATACCATGGTGCTATAAGATCCCATTTCCTTCGGACTGAGGACTACTTGCGTTTCGACATCCACCCTTACTTCCGACTTGTGCTTGCTGTCGGTTGGGCTATCCAGCTCTTTCCCGCCTGAGCGACTTCCCCGCCTCATGTCCGTTTCGATAGGGTATAGGTTGACGCCGTGAGAGTGGGAAGTGGTGGAGGGGATGTCGCGTTGGGAGAAGCGGAAGTTGAGCACGGCGAGGAAGCCGATGATGTAGATTTTGGGTTGCGAGACGCTGCGTCCATGATCAGCTGTGTCCGCGACCGGGATATGGCTAGGAGCAAGGAAGACATACAGGAATATGATACCGACCCGTCTGTTGCCCCATGTTCCTAGGATCATGGTGGACCTGACGTTTCAGCTCTCGAGTCGCCGTTTTTGGCAGCTGGCATATCACTCACGCGATGAGACCAGGGAGCTGAGTCTCGAGCGATACCCTACATGATCAGCTCCAACGACTTGGGAGATCAGGACGCCAGAGGTAAGGGCTTACCAGATGAGCTTGACGACCATATTGTCTGTCGCCTTCCACCCGGTCTTGTGCTTGTACAGCGCATAAGATATACAGGACGTGATGAGGATGTCGATGAATAGTGCACTAGCGAGCTACTACAGTCAGCCGTATCCTCTTGGCTGCGCCTCCATGAAAGACACTTACCCAGAGATACAACCCAGCTTTTGCGATCTGCCGACTGTCAGCTTAAATCTGGAGCACCCAGCTCGAATCCGGGAGTTTGAGGGAACTCACAGTATCGTTAAAAACAGCCTGATCAGCGATCTTGTACCTGTCATTGCTGTAGATGACGCTGTAGATATGCATCGCCCACGTAGCAGTCCTGCCTGAGTCAGCGAGACCTACCGTTGCTAGATACGATTCTACTCACATGACCGGAAGAACAAGGGCGGGAATCCACAGAGCGTTCTTGTTCAGCCTGTAGGCTCGCTCGGTGTAGAAGAGCTGAACAGCTAGCATCAAGTACAGTGGCGACCTCTGAATAGGTTCACCTGGATGGCGGTAGTGCTCCAGTCCCAAAACAGAGAGTACTGCGATGCCCCTAGGTGATCAGCTCTACCATACTACCAAGTTAGAGGAGCATACTTACAGTGTAGCTCGGCAAACTCCCTGCATGTCCCAAAACCGTAGACGAAGGATCTGGTCAACCAGATGAGAAGGCTAAGGTATCAGCGAGCCCGAAGTAGACGACCGGGTCAGAGCAACATACTATATGGTGCTGCCGAGAGCTGATATAAGCGATAAGATCTGCTAGTCAGTCGAGATCTTAGATGTCATGCCAGAATAGACTGCACGGACCACGCATGCGATCGCGAACACCTTCTCCTCTTTCCGGTGCTGTGCCCACTGTATGCCCATGGCCAAGATCACCCCGAGTAAAAGCCAGTCGAAGAAGCCACTAGAAACGTCAGTTGCAGATCATGAAGGGGACTTGGGTTCGCAGAGAGTACAATGAAGGAGTCACGTACCCCATCATGTAAGGTAGTAACAGTAGACCATGCCCTTCCTGCCACTGCGCCGCGATCGCCTGCTCGATGGGATCGACAGCTGTTGTCGACATATCTGCGGTGGTAGTGTTAGATAGTGATGATATCGGCTATCAGATAGCTCAGATGACAGTTAGGACCATATCTTGGAGTCGCGAGAGTGGAAGATGGAGAAGGAGAGAAGTGTTGATGACGAACCCCTTATCTACGATGCGGAAGCGGTCAGCTGCAGTAGGACGCGCAGAGCCCAGGCATCATCGAAGGCTGTCAGTCGCCACTCCAAGGGTGTGATAGGGATGCGAGACCTCTCGGCTGGATCGCATCCAAGCCGTCCGTTCAAGGCATACAGACCTGTCCGTTAGGGCCCATCTTGCCCTCCTTTCGCTGGACTTCGCTTTCTCGCTCCCGAAGAGCAACTCCAATGAGGCTCACGTCTTTCCACCAACCGTCGAGAGCTCTGCAGGGAGTCTGGTGAAAACACGAGCACAAGGCATGCCTTCAGAAGCCATAATTGATAGTGAAAGGAAAAGTACAAGTGTTCGATCGTGGGCAAGGCTGCGGGCCCTTCATGGCGGCTTAGGCAGGCATGCCGTAACATCAGCGAGGTTGAGATTGGTGAACGCGCTGAACAGTCGGTGGACACCCCTAGGCATTGGTCAGAAGCCTTCCGCAGCCGATCATCCCCGCGACTCTATCACCGATCCTGGCGCCTGCTGCTTTTAGCTGACTGCGAAGGTTTCCGACAGCGACCACATTTGACTGGTGGGCATTTTTGCCCCTTTGGGTAATTCTGGCCTGTTTCACGTGCCAGGCAAGCGCTGAGCCGGCAGTCTCGTAACGGTGGCCCTGCGGGATACCGCTGTCCCCAATCTCTCTCAGATATATCAGCTGCATCTACCAGATGATGCTGACTCTACAATTATGACAGAAGAGGCAAAAGTGGGAGTCTAGCTACGTCTCAGGTGTCCCGCCTCGACCTGTTATCCTCGGTCCCTTTCCAGTCGTTCAGTTCCGCCTCGCTTGATCCAAACAGGAACCCGCTCCCCGTGTTTATCGTATACTGAGACCGTGCGTCATACTCGCGAGCATCGCCGACCGGCACCTCTGCCCAGCCGCGATTGATCCTCTGGAGATTCAGCGCATTCCCACCTCATTCAAGTATTGAGCGGTCGGACTCACCCTCGGACTCATGGCTTTCATGCCCCCCGGACTGGACACCACCTCCGTCTCCACATGGACGCGTATCTCTCCTTTCTGCTCCTCGTCTGCAGGCGGGATGTGAAGCTCCCCGTCTCCTCGGTAAGGGCGCGAGCGGGTCCCCAGGCGAGTCCCAGACTCGAGTGGGTATGCCTGCAGTCCAGCCGAGCGGGAGTGAGAAGTGAGGGAGGTTTCGATCCGCCGGGAGAAGCGAAAGTTGAGCATGGCGAGGAAGCCGATGATGTAGATTTTGGGCTGAGATACACTGACGATGAGCTACCGGCCGCGCTGCTTGAGACAAGCGCATAACAAGGTAGATACGCACAGGAAGATGATGCCGACTCGCCTATTTCCCCAAGTAGCTAGTATCAAGATGGATCTAAGGCTCAGTTGTGCCCTCATATAGTATCAAGAACTCACGCGATAAGACCAGGAAGCTGAGTTTCGAGTGATGCCCAGTCCGATCAGTCCAGGTATTCCCTGATCTCTACGCCTGAGTACTGACCGGATCAACTTGACGATGAAACTATCGGTTGCTTTCCATCCCGTCTTGTGTTGGTACAAGGCGTACGCGATGCAGCATGTGATGAGTATATCGATAAACACAGCTGAAATGAGCTACCTTCGTCAGCGACTCGCAGATCTCTCGAAACCCATTATGCTCACCCAAAGATACAGTCCTGCTCGAGAGATCTGCGGCCATGAGCTAAGCCTCTCACTTTTCATCCGCACCTAACCTCTGCAGACACCTGCGATAGATGAAGCAGGGCCACTTACTGGGTCTGCGTACACCGTAGGGTTTGTCGTCTGGTAGGTATTGTTGGTGTACACGACACAATAGATCCGTACAGTACAGCCCATGTGCCCACTCTTTGCAGTCAGCTCAGTCCAAGCTAAAATTCCAGGCTTGGGAAGATAGGGCTCACATGAGCGGCAGGATGACGCTAGGTATTCAAACAGCGTTCTTATTGAGTCTATATGCGCGCTCCGTGTAGAATAGCTGAGAAGTAAGTAAGGGGTGCTGGAAGCCGGCGCGCCGGACCGCGCACTAGGTCAAGGTGCTCACCTGTAATGCTGTGGTGGACCAGTCCCACATGGACGAGTACTGCGATGCCCCTGGCCGCTCAGCTCCACTTAAACAGCTGGCTCGCCTTGGGATCTGCACTCTGCCCTGGAGAAGGCTTACAATGAATCTGAGCGAGCTCTTTGTACTTGCCGAACCCATAGGCGAATGCTTGCGTGAGCCATATGAGAAGGCTGGAAGCATCAGCGCAAACCTCCCTTCGTCGGTGACTCGGACCAAAGCCCAAGGGCATGCAGCTTACTAGACGGAGCTTCCTATTGCCGACAGAAGCGATATGACCTATAGCTATCAGTCGGCCTTCCAGTCCTCGAAGATTGAGCGACATACCACGCAGAATGCCGTGAACCGCTTCTCTTCGCTTCGATGCTGCGACCACTGGACGGTCATGGCAAGAACTGCCCCGAACAACGTCCAGTCAAAGAAGCCGCTGAAATGTCAGCACGGCCACGCTGCTGATCCTCCTGCATTCGCATTTGATGGCCAGCGACACGTACCCAAGTATATACGGCAGTAAGAGGAGCCCCCCTCCGTCTTGACATTGCGCAGCGAGAGCCTGTTCCACAGGATCAACGGATGGGAGGGTCGACATGATATCCTGGAGGGGGGCTTAAGGGGTGCCGAGGCGGTGCGGACGCGACCTGTACGCGCCCTCAGGTGGAGCGGTAGTTAGTCAGTTAGCTGGTAGATAGAGTTTCGTCGAGGAGGAGGACATGTACAGAGGATGATGAGCGTGAGTATCCCTAGTCCTAACAGCACCGTCCCAGGCGGCATCAGCATCAGATAGACGGGAGTCAAAGAGGATGTAAAGGATGGTATTAGAGTTTGATTGATGGGATGCTCCGCGGGATCGTCCTCCCGAAGACGGAGCATCGCGGAATCTTGGTAGCGCCGAAGAAGAGGCGTCCGCTCGGATCGGCTTCGACGCTCAATGCGATCGCCCTTGCCGAGTGCCCCGTTTGAGGCGTGTGTGTGTGTGTGGGTGGGTAGGTGGGTGTCCGTGCTCTCCTCAGCTCTGCCCTCCGTCGGTCCGAGATCTTACATCTCATCCGAAAGCTTATGTGCCTGACCAGTGGAGATCGCGTAGGTCACGTCAGGATTCAGTAGATGCCATCGCGCATGCTACGCTACGCTCGTTCAGCGTCGCTCTGAGGACAGGGGGTTCAAATGAGCGGGCGAGGACCGTTCCTCTGAGCGCGACCGGCTTGGAATGAGCATACCATCATGCCACCTCGTGTGCCGCTGCATTTTTTCCGTGTGCCCAAGCGGTACTTGACTGCGATGAGCCGTGATGTTTATCGCTCCAAACCTGCAGAGGAGATCTACTATTATGAGCAGACTGTGCAGAGATATACAAGATTGCTTACAGTCCTAGCTAGACTTTGAGGGCATCATCGGCATCATGATCTTCTTGACCTTCTTCCCGCCGGCCTCGGCCTCGGCATCCCCTTTCACCACGCTCTTCCGCTTGACCCCCTTCCCCTTACCCTTGCCCTTCTCCTTAGCCGCCCCAGCGTCAAAAGAGCCCCAAGACCCATATATCTCCGCCCAGACCTTCTTGACCCCCGTCCCGATATTAGCGCTCTCCACGCCTGCAGCGTCCAGCCAGACCGCCGATGCACCGACCAGTGTTGGTAGAGGTACCGCGTCCGGATGAGAGAGGACGAGATGCTGGACGTGGTATGTCATGTTGATGTGGCTGAAGATGTGCGGGATACTGGAGATGGCCGAATGGAAGAGGGAGTAGCCGGCTTTCTGGAGGTCGGCGGCGGATTGTGCAAAAGTGCTATCAAGGTTGGAGATGGCCAGCGTCTTTTGTCTCTCGATGGATGCGTCGGCCTCGACACTAATGGTTGGGGGCTCGAAGAGGCCCGCTAGTAGTCCTGATCATCAGCTTGTACTTGCGCTGGTGTCATGATGAGGGGACCTACCTTTCTCAGGCCGCTTGACAAACACCCAGTGTGTTTCCTCCCCCCGCCGGACCTCGGTGACGCACACGACCTCTTCTTCCTCCCTCGACGCCTTCTTCTCCTTTCGCATGGGGAACACCGTGACTGCCGGTATACGCCCATCGGCCTTGATATCTGGTATCGATTCGCACAGGGTGCAGATGGCTGAGCCTGAAGTCGGGACTGGCGCTGGTGATTTAAGCTAAAGAGATCAGCCTCGTCCGAGTCACACGCTAGAGAGGTGACATACCTCTGCGTATGCCTTGCACCCAGTCTGAAGAGGGCATGAGGCGCAATCAGGGCCGACAGGCTTGCACACCTGACTGCCGAGCTCCATCAAGGCCTGAAAGATTAGCTAATCTCCGCTTCCTCGAGACGGAAGGACTGACCTGGTTCCAATCCCCTGCTATCCCCTGCCGCGCCGGGTCGTTCGGAAGGGTTTCGATCAGCTCCACAGCTGCTGTCCATAATGCCTTGATGGTCTGCGGGGCGACTTGACTGGCATGTATGGCGAGTAGGCGAGTGAACAGGCGATGGATGTTGCCGTCGATCTGTACAGGTCAGCCAGAAAATGAATGCTTGGAGACGAGGCTTGACGCGTACGATAGGTGTGCGAACGCCATATGCCATGGAGCAGATCGCGCCTGCCTCATCAGCTTCGCCCTCCGGTCCTCCTCGGTGAGACTCACCCGCCGTATACCGCCCAACACCGTCAATCTCCTTCTCCATCTGGCTCGGACTATCCGGCAACCTCCCCTGGTACTTCTTATCCCCCATGACTGTCTTCGCTCCTGCAAGAAGCGATCTAGCTCTGCGATAGTAGCCTAATCCTCTCCACATAGCATTGACTTCCTGAATCATCAGCTCAGAGCTTGCAGGTCCCTTTGAAGGACTCACCTCTACATCCGCCTTAGCGAGTTCCGCGATTGTCGGCCACTTTTCGATCCAGCGCTGCCAGTACGCAATGACGGTTGCAACTTGGGTCTGCTGGAGCATGATCTCGCTGACTGAGAAGTTAGCAGCCGTCGAGCTTCGAGTACAGGCAGAGCTCACCCCAGATCTGATCGATCAGCTCTATCACATTTCGGCTTAGCAGCTTGACACACCTCGTATGCTCGCTGGCCCTTCTCCTCCATAGTCAGGCTAGGATCATATCGCTTCCGCCATGGCATACCCCGCTTCTCGCTGTCCCTTCAGCTCCCAAGTCCGCTAGTCCGAAGCTGAGCTCACCGAACTCCCTCAAACCAGCTCAACAGCTCCTCCTGCAGACCAGCTACTGCACCGACCGCGTGATACTCCTTGGAATGCGGCCGGGCCACTGCGAGCCCGATTGGCACATCCTCAATGTCCGACTCGTCCGCCTTGCGCTTCACGCCGGCCTTGGCTTTGTCCTTGCCCTTGGTCTGGATGGTGGACCTCGCCTTGACGACGCGTTTCCCTCCTGCTTTTCTCGGCGAGGAGGAGCCTTCTGGTGCGTACGGCTCGGATTCCGAGTCGGAGACGGTGTACACGGATCCTGGGGAGGAAGCTCGACCCATGGTGGCCTGGACTGAGGGCTATGTCGTCGATTTGATCGTCTTCGCCATCACTGGACGCGTCCAAAGTATTTCGCCGATGTTCGGCGCGTCTCGGCTAATGCCGTAACTCCGGCCGGCTATTTCTTGGGGGGTCCGGGCGGACCATAAGCGGGCCCTCCGGGGAGTGGAGTATCCCTCCCTCCCTCGCTTTGTCTCTCATCTTCATCTATACCTGTGGTCAACAGCAACCTCTATCAGAGACACAGCAGACACTATGGCAGCTCGAGCGTCCATCAACCGTCTTTTGACCGCGACGTCCAACCAGGGATGTCGGGGATGTGGGCGTACCCACGCTTCCAACCACCACCACCTCCCCTCACTATCGAGTCAGGGTGTGAGGGGGATGGCTACTCCCATAGAGACTCCTCTTCGCGCTGGGCCTCCACAGGGAAACGGCGACTATGCCTTCGAGGTCAGTCAGTTTCCTCAGAAGAAGGACCGTTGACTGAAAGACAGATGGCCGCGTCCAACTTGCGATTTGGCCAGCACGCGACCCGAGAGGTCGGTATGGACTTTACCAACATGATTGCCCAGCTTCCCGCTTCGGAGCGTGCCAATGCCAAGATCGGTGTCTTCACCGACCCGAATGTAGCCAAGCTGGACGTTATGAAGGTGGTTGAGGAGTCCCTGATGAAGGAGGGTTTGAACTGGGTGACCTACGACAAGGTCGCTGTCGAACCCACCGACAAGAGTTGGCAGGTACGTCTGACCTTCCAGACGACGGAACTAAGCTCATACTCTAGACTGCGATTGACTTTGCTCGGTCTGGCAATATCACCCACTTCCTCGCTGTTGGTGGTGGTTCCGCTATGGATACCGCCAAGGCTGCGAACCTCTTCTGCACCTATCCCGACGCGGACATCTACGAGTTCATCAATGCCCCCATCGGTAAGGGCACACCCATCGCGAAGAAGCTCTCCCCGTTGATTGCCAGTGAGTCCCAGTTTGGCGGTGTGAATGATTGACGACAAAGCTGATATATGCAGTTCCAACCACAGCTGTATGTCAAAGCATACCTCGCATCCCGCACAAGTCGAGCTGATGATATAGGGGACTGGATCCGAGACGACTGGTACTGCCATCCTCGACATCCCGTCCATGTCATTCAAGACCGGTATCGCGTCCCGCGCGCTCAAGCCCACACTTGGTATTGTCGATCTCAATAACACTAAGACCTGCCCGCGAGAAGTCGCCATCTCTGCTGGTCTTGACGTCCTCTTCCACTCGCTCGAGAGTGAGTCTGTTGATTTTACTTTTCGCAGAGCATTGCTTATAGATCAGGTTGGACTGCCATGCCTTTCCACGAGCGGACGCCCCGGCCTGCGAACCCCATCAATCGACGTGAGTGAAAGCCTGGACCCGGTGTGCTTCTGTACTGATCTCGCAGCGGCATACCAAGGCTCTAACCCCATCTCGGACATCTTCTCCAAGTGGGCGCTTGAGCAGACCGTCAAGTACCTCCCGCGCATCTCGAAGGACCCTACCGATGACGAGGCTCGCGCGCAGATGCTGTGAGTTACCCGTCTCATCACCAGCGCTGCCGCTGACTTTTAGTCTCGCCGCATCTACCGCTGGTATCGGATTCGGTAACGCTGGTGTCCACATCCCGGTACGCCGTGCAGTCATCGTATGATCCTCTCTGACGGTCTAGCACGCCTTCTCCTACCCGATCTCCTCGCTCAACAAGGGCCGGGCAAAGGACAAGCAATACCACCACCCCTCTTACTCCCCGGACGTCCCGCTCATCCCGCACGGGGTCGCCGTCTCCATGACCGCTCCCGCCGTATTCAGCTTCACCGCCCCCTCGGCGCCGACGCGCCACCGCGAGGCTCTTGCCATCTTCATGGGTGACCGCGCGGACCAGCTCTCGCGCATCAAGGACGAGGATCTTGGTCAGGCGCTCGGTGAGGAGATTCAGCGGTTCTTGGACATCTTGGGTGTTCCAAGGGGTCTGAGCCAGGTCGGGTACACCAGCAGTGACATCCACTCGGTGAGTATCCAGCTAGCAACAGTGAAATTAGAGCTGAATCGTCAGCTCGTTGAAGGATGTCTGCCCCAGCGGCGTGTGCTTGACCTCGCGCCCCTTCTGTCCAGGGACGACAGGGAGGAGCAGCGCGAGCAGCTCAGCCGGATCGTCGAAAACTCGATGAGCTGGTAGGTAAGCAGCAGTAGCCATATGCGGAAGGACTGTCGTACAGAAGGGATGAAGTAAAGCCTGATTTATATGCAAGTTTGTCGTGATCGACGAGGAGGTCGAGCTCGCTACCACTTTGACCGCCTTCGCTGCCACGGAAGCAAAATTACCAGCCAAATACAAACCACCCCAGAAGGCCTAACCGTTACCACTATACATCTGCCTGTAGCCATGTCAGAAGGAGTAGCAGCTGCCAGCTCAGCAGCACCGTCTAGAGGACCCCCTGGGCCGCCACCTGGTGCGCCGCCCGGAGCGCCAGCAGGCCTGCCGGCGCGACCACCTGGACCTCCACCTGGGTATGTCCCCCTTCGCCAGTCCCTGCCACTTAAGCTGATCCGTTAGAGGCCCACCTGGCCCACCTCCTGGCGGACCAACACACCGTCCAGCGAATGGTGTGCACCCTGCCTCGGCGGCCGCACCGGCCCAAGGCTTCCCAGGATGGGGCGGACCACCCGTCGGACGAGGAGGAATGAGCATGGGTATGCCTCGGCCGCAGATGGGTATGCCAATGCCTATGCCTATGATGGGTATGGGTATGGGACCTGGTATGATGCCCAACTTTCCACCCCCGCTACCGCCTGGATGGTCCGAACATACCGGTAAGTCCCATCCCCGCTCCTCGTGGTGGCTGCACTGACAAGCAGCTCCTGACGGCGTAACACGCTATTACTACAACTCTCAAACCAAAGAATCGACCTACGTCCGCCCCTCTTTCGCTCCCCTTCCACCCTCCGGCCCCCCTCCTCCCCCAATCGCAGCCCCAGCGCTGTCCATCGCCGAAAAGAAGAAGAAGAAGGAGAAACCAAAAGATAAAGTTCCCGTCCCCGGAACGTCCTGGACCCGGATCACCACGACCGAGGGGAATGTGTTTTACTTTGAGAAGGAGAGCAAGCGGTCGGAGTGGAGTGTGCCGGAGGAGATCCGAGCGGAGGTGGAGGAGTTGGAGAAGGAGGAGAAGCGGGTGAGGGATGAGAAGGCGAAGGAGGAGGAGGAGAAACGGAAGGAGGAGCGGCTGGAGCGACTCAGGGAGCAGGAGAGGGTGAGAGTGGAGGTGGAAGAGGAGCGGAGAAAGAAGGGGGAGAAGCGGAAAGCTGGGGCGGAAGGGGGAAGTGAGGGGAAGGAGGCGAAGAAGGTGAAGGTGGAGGATGGGACGGAGGAGGTTGAGGAGGAATTGGCGGGGCCCAAAGATGAGGAGGATGAGGAGGCGTGGATGAAGGCTGTGGCGGCGGAGTTTGCGGCGGCGGATAAGAGCGCGGCGGATCAGGAGAAGCAGGATAAGGAGGATACAGCCAAAGCCGAGGAAGAGGCAGCGAAGAAGGTCTTTGCGGTACCGGACAAGGTGGTTGTCTCTCCCGAAGAAGGCAGAGCTCTCTTCAAGGTAAGCTACAGACCTCGTACGCACGGTGATCGAGCTGACTCTCAGGCACTACTCATGGAAAAGAAGATATCCCCTTTCTCAACATGGGAACAATCCCTTCCCCTCTTCATCAACGACCCTCGATATGTCCTCCTCTCCTCCCCCAAGATCCGAGAAGAAGTATACGACGAGTACTGCCGCGAGGCTGGGCGCCAGCGCCGACTCAACAAGGCAGGCCCCGCTGCGTCCGCTGCGGCCGCCGAGACGAAAAAGGCGGACCCGGAGCGCGAGTACAAGGCTTTGTTGAGAGAGGAAGTGACGAGTACCAGGACCCGCTGGGATGACTGGCGGAAAAAGTGGAAGAAGGACCGAAGACTCTATAGCTTTGGGAGGGACGATAGGGAGCGGGAGAAGGTGTTCAAGCAGCATCTGAAGGAGTTGGGAGAACGTGAGTTTCAGCTGCCAGATACAGTACGATGTCAAGTATTCGGTATCGCAGCTGACAAGGGTAGGCAAGAGAGCCGACGCCCAACGAGCCGAAGCGGACTTTTTCGACCTCTTGCGCGAATCCCCCAGCATCACCTCTACCTCCGTCTGGTCCGAAGTCAAACGCCCACTCTCCTCGGATGCACGATACGACGCGGTCGGTTCCTCTTCACTCCGGGAAGAACTGTTTCAGACGTATATCGGCAAGATTGCATCGAGCAGCACGGCCGAGACGCCCGAGCAGGCTGCTGAGCGTAAGGCGGCGGAACGTAAAGCAAAGCAGGAGGCGAGTCTGCGGGAGCGGCAAGCGCAAGTCGGACAAGCGATGGAGAAGGTGGAGAAGGATGTGGGGAGGAGTCGGAAGGGTGCGGGGATGGAAGAGGGGTCGAGGTTATTCGGAAGTCTGTTGGTGGATCAGATCAGGGATGCCGAGGTGAGCTGCGAAATACGCTCTGATGTACATGTTCACAGCTGACATCATAGATCACTTGGGATTCCGCTATTCAGATCCTCTCGCCAGATCCCCGCTTCAACCATCCCGCCCTCCACCCAATGGACAAGCGCCGACTCTTTGACGCGCACATAGGCCACCTCGCCGGAAAACGCTCCAACGCCCTCTTCCAACTCTTCACCACCCACACCACCCAACTCGACACGCCCTTCGACGCCGTCTACCCCAAAATCATCGACGACCCCATTGTCCAGCGCCTCGGACTCGACGTCAATAGCCTCGAAGATCGCTGGGCGGGCTGGATGGCCCACCGGACCCAAGACGCTCGACAACAGTTTGATGTCATGCTTGGCGAGAATAGCTTTGTCGAGTTTTGGGGCAAGATGAGGAAGAAGATGGTGGATGAGGAAGCGGCGGCTGCGCTCAAGGAGGACCCGACGGAGAAGGAGGAAGGGGCGGAGGAGGATGATGAGGGTATGGGAGATGGAGGAAAGGCGGATCTGACGCAGTTGGCGCAGCAGATTGATCTGAATGAGATCAAGGCTGTGTTGAGGGTGAGCTGCCCGTTTCCGCCATAGTAGAAGCAATAGAGCTGACGGAGTCAGAGAGATAAGCGGTATCGCCAGTTCGATCACATGCCGGAAGAGAGGGAAGAGTGGATCAGGGTGAGTTGATGTCCCATCAGTCCCCTCCAGTCCCCTGACTGTCGATGCACTCAATTGGGCAGGAAGCTGACCCCTCTTCAGGAGTATCTTGAAAACCTGGAAGCTGCGTCGGGATCCAAGACCATCCATCAAGTTGGATAGCTCTAGCGCTGAAGGAAGGACAGCCATCAGGGCTACCGGCCGACCATGTACACTCGAACGGGCGGACGTGCCTCAGCTCGTGGAGGCATAATGGGAGCAGCGCGGGGAAGCAGCACAAATGAGACTATACTATATCTACAATGCATATTTGGTGTTCACTGTACAGTACTCTACACATACAAGTAACTTTTCCCCTTCCGAGCCGCACCGCAAGTCCTTCATCCTCGCCGGCACCCTATAGGAAACGGTCTTGTCTCCGAATACACTGTGAGCCGCCTCGAATCGAACTGGTGTGTTTTGTAGTCCGCCCAACGGAGCTGCGGGAGATGGATTTGCCGGGCAGGAGGTGCTGGCGGTGGAGGATGCGGGGGTGAAGAGGCGGGTGGAGGTGGAGGAGAAGGTTGATCGTCGGGCGGTGGGGAAGGGGGAGGCGGAGAAGAAGGAGCAGGAGGCGGCGGGGGAGGATGGTTGTCGGGCGGTGGGGGCGGGGGAGGCGGGGAAGTTGGAGCCGGGGGAGGCGGTGGAGGATGGCCGTCAGGTGACGAGGTGGATGGCACAGGGGACGACGTAGCGGGCGGAGAGGGACTAGGTGATAAAAGTACCATATTCTCCTCGCTTACCGCCCGAAGCCGGCGAGACGAACGACTAGCAGGCAATGGCGCAATTTCATTCTGCTCCCCGAAGATTTGAAGGTCGTCGTCGTCGTCCGAGTCGGGATCGTCTGTCTCGATCTCACGAGCGAGAAGTCTTAAGCGGACTTCTTTCCTCGGATCTGGTTAGTCAGCTTTAGATCCCAATCGAAGAAACGCTAGCTCACCTTTTCCGGCCACCCATCCTGGCGGATATCCCCACTTCAACATCCACTCAAACCACGGATACTGTCTCCTCTTCCTGGCAGCACGCGCCAGCGACACCCTGACTTGTCGATCCCGCAAATCCTCCTCCACTTCCCCTCCTCGTGGATTGACGACGATGCCTTGATCCCCCAGCTCATCCTCCTCTTCCACCCAGAAAAGCGCATCCTCCAGCTCTTGGCTCACTTCGCCGGGGACGAAGCGGGAGCACAGAGCCAGACGACGGGTCCGCTCGTCGGCGGTGTAGGTGTATAAGGCGAGATGGGGGATGGCATAGTCGGGCATGGCGTCTTTCTGGGCATGGAAAGCGTCTCGGGAGGCGCGAATCTGGAGTTGGTCTCGAGGATAAGGGCAATCTGTGATGATGTGGCCTGGTTCGCGGCAGTTCCAGCAGATTTGACTGATTCGTCAGCTCTTCCTTCAGCGACAAGAAAAGGCTCGGGAAAGCTGACCTTGGCCTCCCCGTCTTCTTTGCAGATCCAGGCGCCTCGCCTTTGGTGTAAAGCACGCTGGAATCCCCCGCGATACCACCCCTCTCCCGCTCCGTATCCACCATCACCGTCAACTCATCCCTCTCGTGGTCGATAGGCACATTCCACTCCTCCCTATCCGTGTAATTCGCATACGTCCGCCTTAGCATCACCTCAAAGTCCCCTTGCTCATCCTCTGGGACATACTCTCCCAGCTGACGCCCATATGTCGAGTTGAGGGAGAGCCAAGTCCGTCCCACCGTCTTTCGCCAGGGCGGGATGCTGGGGCCAGCATCGCCCTGGTGAGGCTGATGCTGGGCATGTGAACATTGGCCCTGGACATGGGTTATGATCGATCGGTAGGGGGCGAATCGGCTCGGTTGGCTTGGGGAGGGAGTGAGGAGTCCGCCTGGGCCTGCGCTTGCCATTGGTCCAGAGCGGCGATGAGGGCGGGGGCGTTGATGCGATGTTTCTGGACTCGGGCGCCTTCGAGGTGGAGGACGGGCTGCGCGGATGAGCTTCTGTCTCCAGCGTTCAAAATTATACGAGAGAGAGGTAGCTCACGATGTCGTATTGGTACAGACGTCTCCAGCGCTTCGCCTCCTTCGCATCAACGTCCGCAGGTGGCGAACGGATATTGAACAGCTCGAGGTCGAACGGGCGGACCTGACGGACTTTGGCGAGCTCCAGCTTGGCCACCTATGATATGTCAGCTGTGATCACAAGGACGTCAAGCGGACTCCAGCTCACCTCGCACAAGGAGCACTCCTTGCCGCCTGTATAGAGCGTCAACCGGGGAAGTGGAGGACGAGGAGGCATGGGCGGCCGTTATGCCTCGAGCTGTGGTGATTGCATCAAGTAGGTTGGTAGCTAGCGCGTAACAAGCCTCCGGAGACCCCGTGCACCGGAACGAAGAGGGAAGGAAGAGAAGTAGAAGGTAAAGAAGGACGAAGAAGAAGTACGGTTCGAAGGGAGAAGGGACGCGCACCAAAACAATTTCAGTCTGCCAAAAATCCAGTCAACCACCCCACCTCCCCCATCTCCAACTCCTCCTTTTACCTCTCTACCTTCTAAACATCACTCCTCCATACAGCCTTATAATACACACCCCTCGGCGCCCTCGAAGCTCCTGAGAACTTGTACATCGACCTCGGACGTCTGCTGCGACCGTAAACTGGAGAAGCATTTCCCAAATCTCCCCACCCTCCCTCCGGCCTGACGCGTTTGTTTGGTTCGTCACCTATTGGCACGTCTTTCGTCCCGCCCAAGACCTTCAGTCCTAGAATCTCACTTATCGCGGGCAAGTAACTCCGCGCAGCCACCGCTCTATCCGAGCAACCCAGCACAACCTCGCATTATGGCGTCCAACAATAAGGCCGGCTCAGATTCCGACTCTGACGATGGCGACTTCTTCATCATCCAGCCCAAGCCAATAAGCAGAAACAAGGTGTCCTGTGAGCTAGGTTCTCCTCAAGTTAAGCACAAGAGCTGACACTCTCAGCGCCTATAGAAGCGGAAATCCTCCCTACCTCCTCGGACGAATACGAGAGCCAGTCGTCGTCGGACGCAAAAGCCGGCAAGAAGCGCAAGCGGAAGACCAAAGTCAAGCCTGCGCCGATCGTTCAACCTGCATGGCTGGAAGCTGCGCAGAACTCGAGGAGGAGGACGCAGTCTAGGAGTACGACGAGGGAGGTCAGCAAGCCGCGAGCTGAAGTTGTGTAAGCTGAATTCCCCCTTACAGGGCTGTGGGCAGAAGCTGACGGATAGGGAACTGGTCGACTCGGAGGACGAAGAGCAAAAGGCAAAGCGCAGGCGCCAACAGGCAGTCTTGGAATTGACTCCTCCGCCTGATCTGACCGAGGAGGAAAAGACCAGGATACGAGGGCTGGTCGAGTAAGTCCCTTGTTACACGCCAGAGATCCACGCTGACCAGACAGCCAAGCCCTCCCGATCAATCCTATCGAGCTGGACGACGACGAGGACGATGACGAGCTCGTCACGCGGACGTCGGAACCGAGGGCGTCTTCGCCTGGCGACGAGTACGAGCAGGACCCGCGCGTCACGATCAACATTCACATGGTGGCGGATCCGGACAAGATCGCGGCGGGGACGAGTGCGAAGGCTATCGAGCGATATGAGAAAGCGTGGGCTTTGTATGTGAACCGGGTACGTCTACTTTTTTCCCACAGGACCGAGGTGGACGGAGCTGATCAGGCAGAGAGATCCGCTATCTCGGATGATCCGGGATCTGGCCGATAAGATTGGCAAAAACGCAGACGACCTCATCGTGGTCTACAACGGTCTCAAGCTCGGGCGGCACCTCTCGCCGCTCAAGCTCGGTATCCCGGGAGGCGGGGAGATGGAGATGGTGGGATATGAGCGGGATGTGTACGTCAAGGTGGAGAAGCAGCGGGAGGAGGAGCGGGCGCGGCAATTGGCGATCCTGGACGGGACGGCGCCTCCCCCTGCCGCGGAAGAACCTGACGCCGCACCCGAAGAAGGGGAAGGAGGAGGGGAGGCGGAAGCGGAGCCAGAGCCAGAAGACGAGCCAGAAGAAACCAAAAAGAAGGGAACGGTCGTCCGTCTTCGGGGCAAATGGGGAGAAGCGACTATCCGGGTGGCGGACACGGTCTCGATGAAGGCTCTCGCGGCGCATTATTGCAGAAAGGTGGATCATGTAGGGGAGGAGGCGAATATACGGTTTGAGTTCGATGGGGAGAGGGTGGAGACGGAGCAGACGATAGGGAGTATTGGGGTGGAGGATAGGGATATGATTGATGTGATTTGTGGAGTGGGGAAGGCGGATGGGGAGGGGGAGGATGATTAGAGGAGGAGAAGGAGGGGGTGTGTGGAGGTGCGCGTGTGCATGTGCAGGTGCTGTGGTCGTGGTGGTGTTGTAGGGTCTTATTTCCGGGCTTATCAGGTTATCATATGCATATGTACAAGTATACCTGTCAAGATTCCAGATGGGGTTCGGGGTGGGAGATAGGACGAGTTAGTCTCGCATCCATACCCTACTTCATGGAGAGATAGGGAGGCAGAGGAAAGGGGCATCACGTACCAAAGAAATCTCGGCGACTGTCTTACCTTCTCTGAGCTGTAGTGATTTGCGGTCTAGACTACGCGCGAGGAAGGAAGGGAAAGGGACGACTCCTTCCCCCTACTTACCTCCATATAGCTCCACTCCCGAGCGGTAGCGAGATAGAGAGAAACTGTTTGAAGGCGTAGGCTGGATATAGGAGAACACTATAGACATCCAAGACGTACATACAACAGGACCTGTCACCGACTCGAACTACCCTACCTATATCGGGAGCGCCTGACCCGCCTCAATCTTCTGCCCCTCTGCATCCTCAAACCATCCCGGGCCTTCTTGCATCCCCGCAAACTCTGCCCGGAGAGGCACGACGCTACTGTACCCCTTCGCAAACGCCCACGCGTCGCTTCCGGTCGGTAAGGACTCGATGGGCGGGTTGAGGAGGTGCGACATGGAGGGCGCGAATTTGAATTTTAGACCACCAGCGGCGGGTGCAGCTGTGGCAGGTGGCGGTGGAGCGGGCGTAGAAGAGGGAGTGGGGATGGCGCCAGGTCCGGCGGGTTTGGATGTGGTATGTGTTGAGGGAGCTGCGGATACGAGTTGAGGCTTGTTTTGGCCCATATCGCTGCTGGGAACATAGTCGCCCTTGATTCTGGACTATTAGCTTGCAGCTCCAATATACTTCCTTGGACCATGGCTAGCTCACGCGGTAGTAGCCTTGAACAAGCTCCCATAGCTACTTCTCCACATCTGCGCATACACCGTCTTTCTCTTTTCCCGCAATAACCAATCCTCTACCAACGGGATATTGACCGTATACAGCTGGGTAGGGCGCTTACTGCTCCCTACAACCTCGGTACCCCAGTTACTCCATAGATGGTCGCAGATATCAACGGCGACCTCGTGCGCTAGCTTTGTGGCTGGTGGGGGGCATGGGCGGGCCACGACACCGTACGAGATGGCGATATTGGGAATGTGGTGCTCGTGGTGAGAGGTTGAGGGGTCGGACGGGTGCCCAGGGAGGGGAACGGACATGGACCCAGCGAGGGCGGCGCCGATCGTCCCGGAGGAGAGGGAGAAGGCGGTAGAGGAGTTGCGGCCGTCTGGGGAGGTCAGCTTGACTTTTGGACGTCCATAGCGATTGCCTAGCTCACGATTGGGACCGGATATGACCATGTCTATTTCGCCTGGATAAAGGTTGTGAAGAGCTATATTTGAGCAGGTAGCGGGTGTCTAGCAAAGTGAGCTAGGACCACAAGCCTACGGATATACGGGAGCTCACGCCTGAAAGCAGGATCCATTCTGCTTCTTCGCCTTCTTTTAGAGGTCTGGGCGCTTCGCAGATATCGCCTTCTAATCCATCAGGTCCTAAGGTCGGGTCAGCTGTGGCCCTTATCGTAGGCCAGTCAGCTTACCTCTTGGGTAGAAGTAGCTGGCGTTGATGATGTCGGATATAGCGTATGCCTTGCCGACCCTTGACGCATGTCAGCTGGGATTCATTCTGCACAAGATACGGAATGAAGGCGTGAGCTCACCATGACTTCTGACAATCAGGGACGACAACGCGAACATCCCACCCGAGCTTCTCCTGCAGCAGCTTCGAAAAGGCGAAGATATTGGGTGACGAAGAAGACGGCGGTCCGTCGTCATTCTGCTCAGTCAGGGACGGGGTATCCTTCCAAGGAGTCGAGAGATCGGTCAGGGGGAGGTCTGCAGACAAAGATCGCGTCCTAGCCACACACTCCGTGCAGACCCCCAGGATGAAGGAGCTTGTGAAGCCTCCGTACGAGGCTGATACCAAGAGGCAGTGAATGGGCAAGACAGTCACGACACACCACAGGAGAGGAGAGAGCAGAGCAGGTGAAGTCCTAAGCGCCTCCATCCTGCTCTTGTCCGGACGAGAGCGGAAAGTACAGACTCACCGTTAGAAGGACCCTCGGACGCTTGCCGTATGTCCGTCGTGCGGACATTTTGCCTATATACAAGCTGTATGTAGCGTTGAAGGAGAACAAGGCAGACCAAGACCACCCTTGGACCACCCAGAGAAGCCCAGAGAGTCGGATCGCGAGGAATGCTGAGCCGGTGAGTGCGATCGGAGAAGCCCGATAGTGCCACATGTCTCATTCCCCACGTAACTCCGAAACGCACGGACCTTGCACAAGTATGGACGTTGTTTGCCACCCAGCAGCTTAGCGCGAGCGACGGATCGATCCTGGCTAAGACTTCGCCAGACCTTCTTGTCTCCTTGCCTTTCTCTTATCTAGCTCGACAAAACATGTCGGCACCGCCAGGCTTCCCAGCTGGCCCGAGCCAGCCGTACGCCCAGCCCAACGGGGATGCGATCGATGGAATGGCGGGGAATTTCTTTGGGCAGTTGAGCCAGGAAGAAATCGAGAAGAAGGCGAGGAAATGGAGGACGTCCCAGAGGAAGAGGTTTAACGAGAAGAGGAGGACAGGAGGGGGAGCAGGGATCGATATGGGCAAGGCGGTAAGTCTGAGACCTGCTGTGTGGTGGAGGCGGAAAATGTCGCGGTGGAGGTGGTCCAGAAATGTTGATGGAGGGAGTTGGGGGTATTCTTTCTTGGGACCTTCGCTGATCGATATAGGAACTGCCGCCAGAGCACATCAGGAAGATCATCAAGGACCACGGAGGTAAGTTGCTGGGTGTGCAATGATGCATGGGGCCTAAACTCACGAATTAGACATGTCCAACCGGAAATTCCGCAACGACAAGCGTGTCCACCTGGGTGCGCTCAAGTATGTGCCTCACGCGGTCATGAAGCTTCTCGAGAACATACCGGCACCGTGGGAGGCCCGTCAATCCTCTATCATCCCGGGGGAGCGAAGCTGATCAATCGCAGCAAGTCAAGGAAGTCCCGGCACTTTACCATATCTCCGGCGCGATCACCTTCGTCAACGAGGTCCCGAAGGTCATTGAGCCTATTGTGAGTGCTTCTATCTACTCCTGTGCAGTCCCTATACCCTGCTACGGCGCGCGATAGGAGAAAATCGGGCGGACGTGTCGGACAAATCGGAAAAATGGCCCCCAGCTAACTTTTTCAGTACCACGCTCAATGGGCATCGATGTGGTTGGCCATGAGGCGTGAGAAGCGTGACAGGAGGCACTTTAAACGCATGCGGTTCCCGCCCTTTGACGATGGCGGGTCTAATTTTCTGTGTCCTGTTCGTTGCAAGAGCAAAAGCTGACGTCCCAGAGGAACCCCCGATGGACTATGGCGACAATATCCTCGACGTCGAACCCCTCGAAGCCATCCAGCTTGAGCTGGACGACGAGGACGACGCGGACATTATCGACTGGTTCTACGACCCCAAGCCCCTCATCGACACCCCACAAGTCAACGGCTCGTCCTACAAATTCTTCCAACTCACCCTCCCCCAAATGTCCAACCTGTACCGTATCGGCCGACAACTCCTCTCGGACTATTCGGACGGAAATGCGTTCTACCTCTTTGATCGCAAGGCGTTCTTTACCGCCAAGTCGCTCAATATCGCTTTGCCGGGCGGGCCGAAGTTTGAGCCGCTCTTCCGGGACACGGACACTTATGACGAGGACTGGAACGAGTTCAACGACATCAACAAGGTCGTTATCCGCGGAATAATAAGAAGCGAATATAAGGTCGCTTTCCCCCATCTTTACAACTCCCTCCCCCGCTCGGTCCACATCGGTACCTACCACGAGCCCAAAAATGTCTATATCAAAACCGATGATCCAGACCTCCCCGCCTTTTATTATGATCCCCTGATCAACCCAATCTCCCAGCGCGTCGTACAAGAGGCGCACACCCCGCTCGTCAGCCACGAGGACGAGGTTTTTGGGTACGGCGTCGAGGAGGACGAGGACTTTGAGCTGCCAGAGGAGGTGCAGCCCTTCTTGGCCGACAAGGAGCTGGAGAATGAGCACACGGCGGATGCGATCGCGCTCTACTGGGCGCCGTACCCGTACAACCGGCGAGCGGGGAAGACGAGGCGGGCCCAGGACGTGCCGATGATCAAGAACTTTTATTTGGAGCATTGCCCGCCTAACCAGGCGGTCAAGATTAGGGTGTCGTACCAGAAGCTGGTAAGTCTTTTTCTTGGCTGATGAACCTCTGACTGTGCTGTCTGGGCGCAGCTCGGCGTAGTCTCGAGTCTCAATTGGGTCGGACGCTGACCCTTCAGTTGAAAACCTACGTCCTCAACGCCATCCACGCCCGGACCCCTAAAGCCCAGGCCAAGCGAAACCTCTTCCGTTCCCTCAAGAACACCAAGTTCTTCCAGCAAACGACCCTCGACTGGGTTGAAGCCGGTCTCCAGGTCTGCCGACAGGGATACAACATGCTCAACCTCCTCATCCACCGAAAGAACCTCAATTACCTTCATCTCGACTACAACATGTGAGCTACAACTCCCGCTCCGCGTCCGTGCAGGCAGGGACGATGAGCTGACGACCTAGGAACTTGAAGCCGATCAAAACGCTCACAACCAAAGAGCGGAAGAAGTCGCGTTTCGGAAATGCGTTCCATCTGTGTCGAGAAATCCTCCGGTTGACGAAATTGATCGTGGATGCCCATGTCCAGTTCAGGTTGGGTAACGTGGACGCATTTCAGCTCGCAGACGGGCTCCAGTATAGTTTCGTGCGATTTTTCATTATGGTCCGATAGAGACAAAGCTGACTTGTGCAGGGTACGCCAGACTTGAGATAGCTGTGAAAAGGGGACAAAGCTGATTTTCTTAGCGCACGTCGGCCAATTGACCGGAATGTACCGATACAAAGTGAGTATTTTGTCTTCTATTATCATCTCAATCCACTTCTCACGCTTCGGGGACGGTCTGGGCTGGTGCAAAGGCAAGAAAAGCGCGGCGGAAGGAGAAGAAAGAACCCCCGCCAACCACCCAAAATTTTACGAAACAAGGAATGTGTAGCATATAGCATGACGTAAACTAACCCCCACCCAGTACAAGCTCATGAAGCAAATCCGAATGACCAAGGACCTCAAGCACCTCATCTACTCGCGCTTCAACACCGGTCCCGTCGGTAAGGGACCCGGAGTCGGATTCTGGGCGCCCGGATGGCGTGTCTGGCTCTTCTTTATGCGGGGGATGGTGCCCTTGCTGGAGAGGTGGTTGGGGAATCTATTGGCCCGGCAATTCGAGGGTCGAAATTCGAAAGTTATTGCGATGACTGTTACGAAGCAGAGGGTGGAGAGTCACTTTGATCTGGAATTGAGGGCGGCGGTGATGCACGATCTGTAAGTCGAAGCTTTGTTGAGGAGGAGGTATGGATTGAGCTGATGTTTTAGGTTGGATATGATGCCTGAGTCGATCAAGGTAAGCTCTTTCTCAAGTTGCCTCGTTTGTAGGAGGAGATGAGAGGGGTGGGAAAGAGATGGGAATGGAAGCGGAGAGAAACATTCTCATTTCTCCTTCCCACTCTTCTCTTCCCCTTTCCCCCTTTCCACTCCTCTTCTCCTCCCTTTTCCCCTTCCCTTTTCCTCTATCCCTCTTCTCTCTAGATGGTAGCTAATATCTCAGGCGAACAAGGCGAAGACTATCCTACAACATCTGTCCGAGGCTTGGCGATGCTGGAAGGCCAACATCCCTTGGCGTGTGCCCGGGATGCCGGCTCCCATCGAGAACGTCATTCTCCGATATGTCAAGAGCAAGGCGGATTGGTGGACCTCTATCAGTCACTTCAACGTGAGTTGAAAGTAGCAGAGAGATGGGACAATCAACTGACTCGTTAGCGAGAGCGTATTAGGCGCGGTGCCACCGTCGACAAGGCGGTCGTCCGGAAGAACCTCGGTCGTCTTACCCGTCTCTACCTCAAGGCGGAGCAAGAGAGGCAGAACGGGTACTTGAAGGACGGACCCTATATCAGCTCGGAGGAGGCCGTCGCCATCTACACCTCTACCGTTCACTGGCTCGAGTCCCGGAAATTCTCCCCCATCCCCTTCCCTCCCCTCTCGTACAAGCACGACACAAAGCTCCTCGTGCTCGCCCTCGAGAAGCTCAAGGAGGCCTACTCGGTACACGGACGTCTCAACCAGTCTCAGCGGGAAGAGCTCGCCCTCATCGAGCAGGCTTACGATAACCCACACGAGTGTCTCTCCCGGATCAAGCGGCTCCTCCTCACCCAGCGGGCATTCAAGGAGGCCGGCATCGAGTTTTTCGACACGTACGACAAGCTCATCCCGTGTTACGATATCGAGCCCGTCGAGAAGATTACGGACGCGTATCTCGACCAGTTCCTCCACTTTGAGTCCGACAAGCGGGGCTTGTTCCCCTCGTGGGTCAAGCCGGCGGATACCGAGCCCCCGCCTCTGCTTGTCTACAAGTGGTGCCAGGGTATCAACAATCTCACGGATGTCTGGGAGACGTCCGAGGGGGAGTGCCTGGTCATGATGGAGACGGTCTTGTCGAGGGTGTACGAGAAGGTCGACTTGACGCTGCTCAACCGGCTGTTGAGGTTGATCATGGACCACAACTTGGCGGACTACTGTACCAGTCGCAACAACGTGACTCTTACGTTCAAGGGTGAGCTAGAACATGTTTACCAGTGCAGGGCGCAGAAGCTGACAGCGCAGACATGTCGCACATCAACGCCTATGGTATGATCCGCGGTCTTCAATTCTCCTGTAAGCTACAATCTCCTCCGTCCCTATGGATGTGTAGCTGACAAGACAGCCTTTATCTTCCAGTACTACGGTCTCGTCCTCGACCTGCTCATCCTCGGTCTGCAGCGCGCATCCGAGATGGCCGGTCCGCCTCAGATGCCCAACGGGTTCTTGCAGTACCGCGACCAAGCTACCGAGACTCGCCATCCGATCCGGTTTTACTCGCGATACGTCGACCGCCTGCACATTCTGTTCAAATTCTCGGCGGAGGAGTCGAGGGATCTTATCCAAAGATACCTCTCTGCCAACCCCGATCCGAACAACGAGAACATGGTGAGCTAGGATGTTCAGAAATGCCTTGGCAAGGAGCTGACTTTTAGCTCGGCTACAACAACAAGCGCTGCTGGCCCCGAGACTGCCGGATGCGACTCAACAAGCACGACGTCAACCTCGGTCGCGCCGTCTTTTGGAACATCCGCAACTCGCTCCCACGCTCGCTCACCACGATCGAGTGGGACGACACCTTCTGCTCCGTCTACTCCAAGGACAACCCGCAGCTCCTCTTCTCGATGTGCAGCTTCGAGGTCCGGATCCTGCCCCGTGTGCGCACGCAGCAGGGGGAGCAATACTCGCTCAAGGACGGTGTGTGGAACCTTACCCAGGAGTCGACCAAGGAGCGGACGGCCCAGGCGTTCTTGCGCGTCTCGGATCAGGGTATCCAGGACTTCAACAACCGGATCAGACAGGTGTTGATGTCGTCTGGGTCGGCGACCTTCTCCAAGATCATCAGTGAGCTTTTCGTTCGGCAATTTCCGCTGGAATTCAAGCTGATTTGACAGACAAGTGGAACACTGCTCTGATTGGTCTGGTCACCTACTACCGAGAGGCTGTCATCGGAACCGTAAGCTAACTCTTTCATGTAAACGCAGGAAACAGCTGACATCCCAGAACGAACTGCTAGACTCCCTGGTCAAGGCCGAAAACAAGGTCCAGACCCGAGTCAAGATCGGTCTCAACTCCAAGATGCCCTCCCGTTTCCCCCCTGCCGTCTTCTACTCGCCCAAGGAACTCGGCGGTCTCGGCATGTTATCGATGGGTTTCGTCCTCATCCCGCAGTCTGATCTCCGATGGTCCAAGCAGACCGATAGCGGCGGTATCACCCACTTCCGGTCCGGTATGACGCACGAGGAGGACCAGCTCATCCCGAACTTGTACCGATACCTCCAGCCGTGGGAGGCAGAGTTCCTCGACTCGGCCCGAGTCTGGTCAGAGTACGCTATGAAGCGCAAGGAGGCGACGGCGAGTAATAGGCGGTTGACGCTGGAGGATCTGGAAGATAGTTGGGATCGCGGAATTCCGCGAATCAACACTTTGTAAGCTTTCCCGATTTCCTCCATGTGCGGTGTAGCTGACTCGTTTAGGTTCCAGAAAGACAGGCACACCCTGGCTTACGACAAGGGATGGAGATTGAGGACGCACTGGCAGCAGTACCACCGTCTTCGCGCCAACCCGTTCTGGTGGACGAACCAGCGGTAAGTCTCGTGCCACTGCCACATCCGCGTGTAGATTCCGCAATCCCCCCACTTTAGCTCGACTGGCCCCGCTTCTTCTCTCCTTTTGCTTCTTGCTTCGTACCATGAGCTGATAAAGGTAGACACGACGGTAAACTCTGGCAGCTCAATGCCTACGTGAGTTTCGCAGCCTCTGACCTTGAGAGCAAAGCTGACTCTGTCAGCGAGTCGACGTCATCGCCGCCCTCGGAGGTGTGGAGGGTATTTTGGAGCACTCCTTGTTCAAGGGGACCGCCTTCCCCACCTGGGAGGGTCTGTTCTGGGAGAAGTCCAGGTACGTGCTTCTTTTATGACCGAGTGAGCTGTACTGATGAAGTAGTGGTTTCGAAGAGTCGATGAAGTACAAGAGTGAGCTTTCGAGCCCTCCCTGAGCCAGGGCCAAGAAGCTGATTCTGCAGAACTTACCAACGCCCAGCGGTCCGGTCTGTCCCAAATCCCGAACCGTCGGTTCACGCTCTGGTGGTCTCCTACTATCAACCGAGCCAATGTCTACATTGTAAGCTAGCTCTTGCCTGACCAGGTCCAGGCCAAGCTGATATTCGCAGGGTTTCCAAGTCCAGCTCGACTTGACGGGTGTCTTCATGCACGGCAAGATCCCCACCCTCAAGATCAGTTTGATCCAGATCTTCCGAGCGCATTTGTGGCAGAAGATCCACGAGTCGGTGGTTATGGACTTGTGTCAGGTGAGCTTCATTATACGTACCGTCTGTGAAACTGCTGACACTACAGGTGTTCGACCAGGAACTCGAGGCACTCCAAATCGAAACCGTCCAAAAGGAAACGATCCACCCGCGTAAATCCTATAAGATGAACTCGTCGGCGTCTGACATCCTCCTCTTCTCGAGCTACAAGTGGCAGATCTCCCGCCCTTCGCTCTTGAACGACAACAAGGACATTATCGACGGATCGGTCACCAGCTCCAAGTACTGGCTCGATATCCAGCTCCGATGGGGAGACTTTGATTCGCACGATATCGAGCGGTACGCGCGTGCCAAGTACCTCGACTACTCGTCCGACTCGCAGTCCATCTACCCCTCCCCCACCGGTGTCCTCATCGCCATTGACCTCGCCTACAACCTGTACGCGGGTTACGGTGTCTACTACCCTGGTATGAAGCCTCTGCTCCAGCAGGCAATGGGCAAGATCATGAAGGCCAACCCGGCCCTCTACGTCCTTCGCGAGCGTATCAGGAAAGGTCTCCAGCTCTACTCGTCCGAGCCTACCGAGCCGTACCTCAACTCGTCCAACTACTCGGAGCTCTTCTCGAACCAGATCATCTGGTTCGTGGACGATACCAACGTCTACCGTGTCACCATCCACAAGACGTTCGAGGGAAACTTGACCACCAAGCCCATCAACGGTGCCATCTTCATCTTCAACCCACGGACGGGTCAGCTCTTCCTCAAGATCATCCACACCTCGGTGTGGGCGGGTCAGAAGCGGTTGGGTCAGCTCGCCAAGTGGAAGACGGCTGAGGAGGTCGCGGCGCTCATTCGGTCCTTGCCGGTCGAGGAGCAGCCCAAGCAGATCATCGTTACCCGAAAGGGAATGCTGGACCCGCTCGAGGTGCATCTCCTCGATTTCCCCAACATCGTCATCAAGGGAAGCGAGCTGCAGTTGCCGTTCCAGGCGACGCTCAAGATTGAGAAGTTTGGTGATTTGATCTTGGTAAGTTGTTTGCCACACCACGATGTGTGCTTCAGCTGATAAAGTAGCGCGCAACCCAGCCCCAGATGGTCCTCTTTGGTCTGTACGATGACTGGCTCAAGTCCATCTCGTCCTACACTGCCTTCTCGCGTCTCATCCTCATCCTGCGCGCGCTTCACGTCAACAACGAAAAGGCCAAGATTATCCTTCGGCCGGACCGCACAACCATCACCGAGAGCTACCATATTTGGCCGACGCTCGAGGATGCGCAATGGTGAGTTAAGGCGCTCGTGATATCGCGGTGGTCAAGCTGACTCTGCAGGATGGCTGTCGAAGTCGCCCTCAAGGACTTGATCCTGAACGACTTTGGGAAGCGGAACTCGGTCAATGTCGCCTCGCTTACCGCGTCGGAGATCAGGGATATCATCCTTGGTATGGAGATGTAAGCTCGGTCTCTCATTACGGGCAAGGCCGTCAGCTGACAAATAGTGCCGCTCCGTCTGTCCAGAGGCAGCAGATGGCGGATATTGAGAAGTCTACGGATGCTGGGAACCAGGTCACTGCCCTGCAGACCAAGACTACCAACATGTAAGCTGCCACATTCCCACTTGCGGAGAAGCCAAAGCTGACGAGGCAGCCACGGAGACCAGCTCGTCGTCACCACCACGACCAACTATGAGCAACAGACCTTCGCGTCCAAGTCTGACTGGCGAGTCCGTGCCATCAGCGCGACCAACTTGCCGCTCCGAGTCAACCACATTTTCGTCGGCAACGACGACGTCAAGGATGACGCCTCGTCATTCACCTACGTCGTCCCCAAGAACATCCTCCGGACATTCATCGTCAACGCCGACCTCCGCACTCAGGTCGTTGCGTACCTGTACGGTTCCTCGCCCGCCGACAACCGTCAGGTCAAGGAGATCAAGGCGATCGTCTGGGTTCCTCAAAGGGGTACCAACAATGGAGTCGAGCTTCCGGCCGCGCTGCCAAAGCACGACTTCCTGCTCAAAGACCTGGAGCCTCTCGGATGGATCAAAACCCAAAGCCAAGAGCTCAACCACCTCTCTCCGGCGGACGTCACGACCCAAGCCAAGGTCATGGCCTCGCACCCCGAATGGGGACCGCAGTCCATCTGCATCACCTGCGCCTTCACGCCCGGTTCCGTCTCCCTCACGTCCTGGGAACTTACCGTCGCCGGCTTCGAATGGGGACGCAAAAACACGGACGTCACGGGCGCGCATACCGGCTATAATCCCAATATGGCCAACAGGGTGCAGCTGCTGCTCTCGGATAGGATCTTGGGGATGACGATGGTGCCTGAAGGAGGCGTGTGGAACTACGGGATCGGTCTGACTCAGAGTTGGACAGAGAAGATCCCGTATACCATGACGCTGGACAAGCCAGAGTCGTTCTGGGCGGCGTGTCATCGACCGGTGAGTTTCCAATTCTTGGTTGTTGTAGGCAAGATGGGCAAAGCTGATATTGTAGAATGCGTTCCTGAACTTTGCGGCGATGGAGGGAGACGACGCGGCGGATGTGGAGAACAGTCTGGAGTAAGGAGGGGAAGAGGGGTCTGAGGAGAATGGGAAGAGCGAGAGAAAAAGAACGGTCGTGTACAGTGCCCCGGCATATGTTTGTAGATATTCATGCAATTGGTATTCAGGTTCAGCAGACTGCCTCTGAGCGGCTGAAAGGTCCAGTCCTGTGCAGGAAGGACCCCAAGTCCAAGACGCATGGTTCGGCTCTTACAGTGCTAAGGCATACAAAGTTGTTCGGCGAAAGAAGCGCCGAATAACCGAATCCTTTTCAAAGTCAGTGTTGCCTTTGTACACTGTGTACTAGCCACAGTACACTGCCCCTTCTCCCTCCCCTCTCACCACAATGCCCTTCCCTTGGCCGGCCCTCGTCTCCTTCCTCGGCATCGCCTACTTTCTCGCATGGTCACTCTCCTTCTACCCGCAGATTCTCCTCAACTACCGGCGCAAACGCACCGACGGCTTCTCGGCCGATTTCGCCTATCTCAACCCCCTCGGTTTCCTCGCCTTATCCCTATGGAACGGCGGGATGCTCTTCTCCCCGCTCGCCCGCCGGCAGTATGCGGCGCGGCATGAGGGACATGAGCCGCAAGTCGCGGGCGCGGACCTGGCATTCTCGGCGCACGCACTGGCAATCTCGGTGATTATGTTTGCGCAGGTGTTTTGGTATAGGCGAAGAACGGTCGAGTGGCTGGCAGCTCAGGCGGAGGATAAGAGCTCGGGCGCCGGGAGGGTAGGGGATGAGACGGAGCCGTTATTGTCTGGAGAAACGAGCGGGAGTGGGAGCGGGGAGAAGCGGGAGAAGGCGCAAGACCCGGTCGTCCCCTCCATCCCTGGCCAGTTCGCCCTCGGAGGTATCATCCTGCTCTCGGCGGCCTCTATCGGCCTGCTCTGGGCGCATAAGATCGAATGGCTGGACTGGCTGTACCTCATCAGCGCCATCAAGCTGTTTATAAGCTCGGTCAAGTGGATTCCCCAGATTATGCTCAATTGGCGCCTGAGGCGAGTGGAGGGGATGGCTATTCATGGGATCACAATGGTATGTCCTCCTTCACGTCTTGAGGAACGGTGGCCTGGATCTTGGCGCTGATATCGCAGGACCTGGCAGGATCTGTCTTCTCCTTTGCCCAACTCGTCATCTCGTCCATCTTCGTTGCGCACGACCCTAGCGGTATCCTTGCCAACCCGGCCAAACTCGGTCTGGCGGGTCTCGCGGCCTTCTTTGACGCTATACTACTGGCGCAAAAGTACGTCTTCTTTCGGACGGAGCGGACGTCTCTTCTGGGGGAGCTGTAGCCGGATGTGAGATGGGGGGTGTCGGGCGATCTCGGTGGCTGGCGCTGGACGGTGAGGGGGGCGAAAACTGCACAAGGTGGTACTATTGGACATTGAGGAGACGGCGCTGAGAGTAGGGTTGTACCGGTTGTATAGTTATCATTATATACATCAAGGACGTAGAAGTCGTCCATAGATCGTGTATCCGTCAACCATCTAGAATGCCTTCTTATGTATAATGTCCGGGTCCTCCTTGTACTCGTCGGCCGATACCCACATCTGCGCCCTCGTCAGCTCGGAGCCCAGCTGCAAATCGGTTGACACGAACTGACCTTTTTGAATGTGCTCAGTCCAGCCAAGATACTGCCTCCTATCCAGGTCGAGTACTGATATGTCAGCTCTGCTCTCCGGTGCCGGTCGAGCCATATTGAGCTTACTATTCTTTCTGGAGGAGCATAAATCTTCAACTTGACCTCCTTGTTCAGCTTCTTCACTTCGGCCAGTAATCTATCCCCGAAACCTGGTATATCAGCTAACCGTACTCCCTAATGGTGGTGTACCTAGCGTCAGCTGACTCACCTGTACACAGTGTCGATCCACCCGACAGGACGATATTGCTATACAACGATTTCCGCAGGTCCAGGTCCGTCCGGTTGATCGAGTCGACAATGACCTGATGTACCCCAGGGTACTCTTGTCCTATTATCTCTGGGTTGAAGAGTATTTCAGGGGCGAGGAAGCGTTCTGTGCCGAGCTAACATGGTCAGCTTCAGCTCCTGCCTATGGTAGTAGAGGTGTCGGCGAGCAAGCTAACCTGTATCATCTTCCCATCTGGAAGCCTAAACTCGCCCAGTGCTCCGCCATTATCCTTTTCTTCCTTCGCGGGATTGAGGGAAAGATAACATGTCTTCTCTTTGATCTGTCGTACGACCTCCTTCTCGGCTGATGTGTGGAGGTAGTGGCCGTTCTTGCGGAGAAGGAGTTGTAGCTGGTCCGTCACGTCGCTGGAGTATCAGCTTGAGGCCTTACGTTCTCGCATCATTGTGCCGAGTTCAGCTTACCGTCCAGCCAGGTCTATTCTCCGTATTGCGTGCGGCATGGAGAAGCCCTCGAAGACTGGCACGGCGTGCGTTACGCCGTCTCCGGAGTCCAGGACGATTCCTGTTGTGCGACCTGACGAGTATCTGATGGATCAGCTGTTGTCTCATGTCCTTCATGTGATCGCGACAGCTCACAGACTGAGTACTGCTTGTACACTGGTGAAGAAAGCAGGAACGTTGAACGTCTCAAAGAAGATCTGAGCGGCGACATCTCGATTCTGCCGTGGATTCAAAGGGGCCTCAGTCAGGAGGACAGGATGCTACCAGAGTCAGCTTCTGTTAGGAGGATCCAAATCGGCGAGCTCACTTCTTCGCTAAGCGCCTTCAGCCCGTCCGAGTACACCCAACCCCATATCCGCTCCATATCGTCCCAATCCATCACTATCCCATGCTCCATTGGGTATCTTATCTTCAACAGACCTCGGAGTTCCTGTGCTCTCCTTCCAATAAAGATGTTGTCCTGTATCGCACCGGCCATGACTCGTGGATGCTTTGGTCTGCCGACACTGAGGGGTCAGCTATAGAGGGCTCTGCATGGCCTGGCCAGCTGTGCAGACGCACTATGAAGGGATGTAGCAGGATGGCTTCTCTTCGCCTGCGAAGCCAGCTTTGATCATTCCAGATCCCTGTATGTATTAGCTTGGTCCACGCGAGGAAGCACCGGCGAGCTCACATTGTCGAGCACGACCGGCTGATTTGTGAGGCTTTATATATCAGCTGAAATCACTGGGACGTCCAGGTGGGCCAGCTCACACATCGTCAAATTCGGTAGCCATACTGTCGCGGATCCAGTGATGCTAGCTGCTGGCGCAATTAGGGTATGAGTAAGGTGTGGAAGGAGAAGCAGAGGGGTATGTAGAAGGTCAAAGTCAACTTGTGCGACAGTCAACAGCAAGGACGCGAGGTGGAGGCCCGTGCAGCGAGCCTAGTTTCACAGCTTGGACCGGTCAAAATAGGCTCAGGACAGGATTAGACGTTAGGCGCGTTCGGGATGGCTGCACCGACTCTTGCCTCTCCTCGCCAACTCCTCGCTATAAACCTCTCTTCTTCTGCTTTGATACAACTACACTATGATCGCATCAGCAACACCTATGCTCCGCGCATTACCAGCCACACGATCCGTCGCTTCCGCAGCGAGCAGACGATATGCTAGCGGAGGGCCGTCGTATAACGCGCCGTCGGGATACATATTTGGCGAGCGGGCACGTTTTCCTCTAGCCTTGATTGTGCTCCGCTTGGTCTTCGGCCTATTAGGGAATATTGGGGGATAAGCTGATATCTGTAGCCTGTGAAAGGACAGAAGCGTCAACGGGAATCATGGGAGTAAGTGAACGATCTATCAATTATGTCGGTCGAGTGCCTGGGGTGTCAATACAGACCGACCGGGAAGGTACTTGGCGGACTTGAGCTGAAAGGCTAGGACTATCTACTACGTCGGCATGTTCGGCGGTATGGCCCTCGCGACTGTATTGCTAGTGTACAAGCCCGATACAAGGTATGTTTGGCGTCTCACTTGTCGAGAAGGGGCGACCGCTGACCGTCGCCTCCTCTCGCTCCCTGATCGTCTTTTACATCTCCCTGTCTCTGCTGTCTATCTCTGGTCTGCCCTCTGAATCCGCCTGCTCGACACTACCCTCTCGACAACACAATCAAATCGACAGCATCCAAACATGGGCACTGGCGGAGGCAAAGGCGCGGATGGAGGCTCGGGGCGAATTACCAAAGTACAAGCCGTCAGGCTCGCCTTAGGAGGATCTGTCGGGAGCTGGGGGTGCGAGAGGGCGGACCAGCAACGATCGGGGGAGGTCGTGGGGTATGGATATGTTTGTAGACACTAAGGCGAGATGGACTAGCTGAGCGATGAGGATAGGGATGAGGAAGTGAGCCTGGTGGACAGGCCCAGGTCTGCCAGGACAACGGGTAGACCTCTATATTTCGCAGTCAGCCAGTACTTGCCCGCAGGGACAGGCTCATCACAAGGCCATGACCCTCTTGTGTCGGGAGAGGTGCACCATACCCCACTCAAGCTCGAAGCTTTCGACCTCCAAGCTCCACCGGTCTCAGTTAAATCAGACTGAACAGTGAACTTTGTGATTTCGCCTTGCCTTTAACTCTCATCGTCATCTTGCAATCCGCCCCAACATACTCTTTTTTCAGCTTTGCCTCTCTCAATCTCAGTAACCTCGACGGGACGTCTAGCCCTCGGCAATGGCTCCTCACGCCTGGCGCCCCACTCCGAGCAAACGCCCTCGCACCTCGGACTTTGCCTCAACGCAGCCAGAGTATCCCGCTGCAGCCTACATTCAAGCATACGAGGCGCAGCTGGAATACAGCTCTAGCACTGCCAGTGGATCGGGAGAAGGGTCCTCCACGAGCAGTGCGACAGGGCGGGGCTCGTTGATCCGGTGGAGTGGGGGAGAGGAGGGGGATGAGGAAGTCTGGGCGGATCGGTAGGTTTGCTCCCTCGACCCGTTTGCAAGATGGGCACTACGGTCAACGGCTGGTATAACAACGGCGACGGTCTGGTAGCGGTAGCGGTACATCGATTAATGACAACGGGGCCAAGACGTGCATGATGTCCACTCCGTTTGGGCAAAGCAGGACTAAGCTAATGGACCAGCTACAATATTATCCACCTCCTGCCTTCTCTTCCTCCCTCCATGCCGGCCAGGCGTCGAGCTGCCTCCCCAGCCTCCTCCTCTTCCTCATGGGCCGATCTCCCCTCGGACGAAGAAGAGCTATTCGATATCTCCGGAGACGAAGCCGTCGAGGCGTACGAGAAGGAGAAGAAGCGCAGGTGGTTGGAGAGGCTGCGGGAAGAACGGCTCAAGGAACGGGAGGTGGAGGATGTGAAGCTGGTGGCTAGGCTCGAGGAGAATGCTGCTAAGGCAGATGAGGTACGTGATAGATAGGAGATGGGCAAGGCTGACGTATAGGTCCCAGGAGCTGTCCGAGCACTCATGCTCCACACCGCCAAATCGATGTATGCCGCCCCGAATCCCAAGTCCCTCGAGATGCGTATCCTAGCCAATCACGCTACGGACAAGCGATTCGCTTTCCTGCGTAACGGCAGATGGACGGGCGAGTGGGAGAAGGTCAAGAGGGGAGTGAGGGTGGAGATGGGGCTGGAGAAGGCTGAAGGGGCGGTTGTGCTTTTAGGGGGATATGGGAGCGATAGTGAGGAAGAGAGCGAGGATGGCAAAGGGGAAGAGGAAGGAGGGAAGGAGCCGGCAAGTCCTCCACCTCCACCGCCCAGTCCCCCACCGGATGAATTCGATATGCCAGATCCGGATGCGGTCGACGAGGTCAAAGCCGATGTGGACCTTGAGGAGACGAGGCGGATCAGGAGGGAGAGGTTAGGAGAGTGGAAGCGCAACAAGCGGAACGGTACCGATTGAGGCTGTATTTCAGATGGATTGCTTATAAGATGTGCTTTGAATACCCCATTTTACTGCCCTAAGTGACGTGACGTACACACTGATTCTACTAAGGGGACATGAGTCGGAATAGGCATGCTCGCACGGACGGTGAATGGCGGTCGCCCCCGCTCAGCATCAAAAGATCTACGAATATGATTATGATTATACATTCGGCTCCAGCAGTCCAACCTCCACGGTAGCTTACTAAGTAGTGTAGCTAAGGGAAAGGCAGAGCTACTTTGGATCGATAGGTCATTTCCTCGCCAGTGTAGCTCCAGAATCTGCCGCCCTGCTCCTCCTTGGTCGCCTTGTCAATGACAGCCAGCATACCCGCCGCGCTCTCCCGGGCAGTGATAGCGCCGACATCCGCCAACGTGAGAGATAGCGCCGAGATTCCCGAAATCGTTAACTCGGTACTAGCACCGAGCATTCCGGGTTCGGGTACGCACCCGGTACGGCCTGATCGGACCGAGTGCAGTATCCGTATCCTACCTATACCCCATTTCTAGGGAAGTTTCGTACCCGTACCCGTACCCGAAATTGGGCCAATACCCGGTATATACCGGGTAAAACCCAGTACCCGTGGGCCAAGATAGAGTACCTCAGGCATGCCTTTCCACGCGCTCCGACGGATCTAGACGGCTGTTATATCTCCCTCGTGAGCTAGCAGAGCCACATCAGCACTCTCCATGCGCAACAAGCGCATCGGCGGCACTTTGCCACTGGGTGGCAAATTCAATGATCCTCATTCCTCATCTCGTAAGCGCCAGCGTCCGACCTTGATGATGTTCAGACGTTGCACCGGCCCGTTCCAGGGCCTTGTCGCCCGTGCTACATGACTAGCAACAGTGGTTCGCAAGTCTCCGGGGCCAGCTATCCCAGCGCTGGCTTGACAGGTTTGCAGTGTGAGAGCCTCGGGTACGCCGGGTATACCCGGTATATACCCGCCCATACCCAGTTGCCCCTAGCTGAGACCCGTATCCGCACCTACCCCGAAGTCGCCCCGGATCTCGGACCCGCATCCGTACTCTTGAACGGTTACGGGTATTTTTGGGGTATTATCCGGTGTATACGTACCCATGCTTGGTGCTACTCGGTACCGACTGTGCCCGGGCTAGGGTATCAGCTGACGACCATGTCCACCGTAAGTTGTACTCAATTGCTTGACCTACTGGAGGGGGAAAGCGGTGACTTGGGGCATCTCGATGTTGATCTTCTTGACCAGGACATTGAGAGCGGCCTTTGACGCCCCGTAAGCTGTCCAGCTAAAATTTGAGGCCTCTGTGATCTGGCCCAGGACCGACGAGACCGCGACGAACTTGGCGGATCCGGGAGAGGCCGCATGTGCGGCGAGCAGAAGCTCGGAGCACCGCTGTAGAAGCAGTAACGGCCCGTACGAATTGATATAGAAGTCGGTCGTCATCTGTGCCGCGGTGGTCTGGAGGACAGGGGTGAGCCCGGACGAGACGCCTGCATTTGTCAGCTGGACCTAAGGGATATAAAGGAGGCGGGGGAAGGAGGAAGTGTGGCTGACCAGCATTCGCTATGCCGACGTGTACCATCCCATGCCGAGCCTTGATCGTGGCTGCAGCAGCGGCATTGTCGGCCTCGTCCCCACTGGTGATCTTGATGGGGAAGAGGACCTCGGGATGCCCAGTCGCGAGCACACCGAGCTCCCTAGAAGGAGCAAGGGGCAACGAGCGTACGCCGGCGTAGACAATGGTGTCGGGCCGGGCAACGAGGAGCTGGGCAAAGGCGAGACCGATACCGCGCGCAGCACCGGTCACTGCTTGTCAGCTTGGGTACGCTCAGAGGCAGGGAGACTATAAGACATACCGACGCAAATGGTAGGCTGAGCGGACATGTCAGGTGTGTGGTGTGTGGTGTGTTTTGGACGTTGAGATCAGTTTGGGAGTGCTGATTGAGGATAGTGGCGAAGAAGTCAGGTCAAGCTCAGCTTATATATGTATCAGCCACGGAGCCAAGGAAGCTTGGTCATGGTATCATCAGCTTGATCAGCAGGCCAGAAAATGGCGGCATGGCCGAAGCATTGCGGGTGTATCAGCTCCTCTGATGCCCCTCGGGCGAGCCGGGCGAAACGAGGGTCATAGCGCTGATAAATCTCTTCCTTCTCACGCCACGCCTCAAGAGAAATTGATGTGGCGTGCGGAGATCCAGGTGGTTAAAGGCTAGAGAGACTAGTTCCCCGCTTGTGTCTTGATCAGCGGGTCAGCACGCCGAGACCGAGGCCGAGATTTTCCAGGTCCGAGATCCGAGAACCGGAATTTGGACCAGAATTTCCGGTATGTAAATTCCGGTGCCCTATCGTCCGGCCGGCTCTGTTCTGCCGGGTGGCTTTCTTGCTTGCTTCGTGCTCATAGCGAGCCATTCGCGCTCCGCTCACACAGCAGATGGTCGTCCTGAGGGGCTCGGAGCTCAAGGAGGAGGGGAGGCGTGTCAGGCTGTGGAGCTGACGCAGCAGGGGCGCAAGAATGATCGAATGCGCCTGTCAAAGATGAGGTCCTCCCCTAGACACAGGTCAGGCTGTACATCTCCGTCCTGAGGCCCTACAGACAAGCTATGAGATACCAATTAATCCTCTCTGGTCAGAAAGTCATCTGCTCCCCCTTGTAGTCCCAGAACTTCCCTCCGTGACTCTCCTTGGTCGCCTTATCGATCACGTCCAGCATACCAGCCACGCTCTCCTCCGGCTCGATGGCACCAACGTCCTCCGGCTTCATGCCCACCTCCTTCAGTCCGTCAAGGGTCATCTGGGTCTTGACACCCCCAGGGCTGGGTCGTCAGCTTTGATACCTACTCGCGACTCACTGAATGGGGAAGATCGTTACGCCCGGGCTCTCCATATCCGCCTTCTTCATGACATAGTTCAGTGCGGCTTTACTCGCTCCGTAACACGAGAAGGGATATGGTGCGGCGTCGGTGATTTGGCCGAGCTGGGACGAGATGGCAATGAACTTGCCGCCAGGGAGGAGGAGAGGAGAGAGCTTCTGAAGCAATAAGACCGGAGAGAGTGTATTGATTTTGAAGTTGTCGATGAAGTCATCCATTTTGGCATGCTGAATGGGATTCATGCCGGTCTGAATGCCTATTATATCAGCCCAAGCTCGCGGACAGAGAAACAAAGCTCACCAGCATTGGCAATAACGACTGAGACTCCCTTCCCGTACTTGGCCTTGATAGTAGCCGCTGCCGCAGCATTGTCCTCCTCGTCCCCACTGGTGATCTTGATCGGGATACAGACGTCAGGTTTGGAAGCGGCGAGCTTGCCGAGCTCGCTGTCGGCCGCGGGAGGGAAGGAGCGGACGCCGGCATAGACGACGGTATTGGGGCGAGCGGCCAAGGCTTGGACGAAGGCAAGACCGATACCGCGTCCACCACCGGTGACTGCACATCAGCTGGACTCTCATTTACGCGCCTGATTGGCAATGAGAAGAGCATTGACCTACCGACATAGACTGTAGGTTGAGCAGACATTGTTTATGGAGGATAAGGGTTGCAGCAGTCAGGTTGGGATCAAGGTGAAGTCAGTGGAATCGAGTCTCGGGCACAACAAGCGAGTTGAAAGGGCCTCTTTTATAGAGCTTGGACTAAGAGGTCCGAGAAGGTCATGTGAGACGGACGAGGCGATCATAGCTGTGCTACAAGCATATGGGTCGTGGGTCGTGAAGGACCCAAGAGAGGAGGGGAGCACAAGGTACGCCGTGTGGGTTGCTTCCGGTCGCCGAGGCCGAGGCCCGCTCGCCGTGCCGAGATCTTAAGATCTGAGGCAATTACCTTATCTGAAACACCCCTTCGAGTGGCTGAAACACACCTGCCCATATGGGAGCATTTCCTTGGCTGCAGCGCCTTGGCTTCGAACGGCCCAGCGTTCCAGCGATCCAGCATATCAACGCCGACGCATGAGGTGTCCTTCCCCTTCGCGTTGGGTCGATGTCCCCCATTCTCTCACCGACGGTCAATAAGCTCACGGCGTGAAATCTTCCATGTGGATTCGAGATGAATAAACCGCATCTATGAGCTACCATACGGCCTGTTCTTAACAGCAGTTGGCAAGGATTGCAGGCTACGCTCTCCGAAAGCCTCTATGGCCCTCCATGGACCCTTCAGGTCGTGTTTGCCACACCGATGCCCGAGGCTTGGAAGACTCGCGCCACTTTGCCACATTCCTTATCAAACCACGTGGCCACAAGACTGCGCACCATCTCTTTTGCCGCCGAGCTATCGTGGGAAGATTTGAACAGCCTTTCTATTTGGTTCCAAGTAGTATAGCAGCAATGGACGACAGCGAGCCATCCTCAACTCCGCTACATCTACTCCTAAACGCCATCACAGGGGAGGCGGAAGAGGCCTACGATTTCACAGGCGATGATGGCCACGGAGAAAACCGGATGGGACACGAGGAGGGGGGTATGGAAGAGGCACCCTTGAACCTGCATGACATGCTGGAGGATACAGCATACGTGAGCCCGTTCTTTGGTGGAGCACGATATGCCTCAGCTGACTCTTCAGAACTTCTCAACGGGAGATGATTCGTCCGAAACCTTGGCGAAAGCCTCCGCAATCGCCTCGGCTGAAGCTAGCGATGGCGATAACCTCCGGAGGGGCATCACCCAGCTCGTTACAGATGGCGCGGCAGCCGCAGCAGGCACGCGGGGTAGCTCGGGAGGGTGGTCGACAATCCAGGTATGGCACCCTACAGCCGCACAAAAGAGTTATGGCAAAGAACGTCGGTAGGCTCAGTACCCAACCTGATCATCAGGTTTCAACGAGCTGATGAGACCCAGACTGATTGTACCTCCGCCCTTCGTCCGCATTTCCGGCCCTATCCTCCCTTCTATCACCTCGCTTACCCTCTCATCGGTTCCCGTCCCCGTCATCGCGCCCGCCGTAGCGGTCCAGCATGTCCCGGCTCTCGCACCCTCTTCATCCCAGACCCATCGGATTGTGCCCTCTTCTTCCTCCTTCACAGCCTCCTCTCCAGTCCTCAGATCCGCCTTTACTCCGACAGCGATTGAAAAGAAGGGGCGGACTCGCGAGGAGACCCGACGGATACGGGAAGCTGCGAACCGGACGGGCTTCGGTCCGGGCTGGACCGCGCGAGGCCGAGGAATGGGTGATATGGATCAAGACCTTTTGAAAGAGGGAATCACGTTCCCCTCTCTCTGGGTTGGAGGGGGAGAAGACAAGAAGGTGAAGCTTCAGGGATTCAAGCTGGTACTAGAGGCGCACACCTCGGGGGCGGCGGAGGGAGGAGGCGGAGGCGCTGAGCAAGAGACGCAATCTCCATCTCTTGCCCATATCGATCCGGCGGACCCCCCTCCAGCAATCGCGGGAGCCTTGATACATCAAGCCGTTTCCTCCAACTCCGCTCCGTCTACGCCCTGGGCAGCCCTCTCTTCCGGCCTACTCAGCATCGTTTCCAAACCCTCCATCAAAACCTCCAAATCCCGGTCTGTGTCGACCTGTTTCCCCGAGTCCGCCTCATTCGCCCTCTGGGTGCGAATAAATGGCCAATCAGTCCGCACCAAATACATGAAGCTGGACGACAACGCTGCCGAGGCGAGATTGGCGAGCCGGACGGGCAAGTGGACACCGTTCCGGTTCGAGATGATCAAGCGGGCCGAGCTGGTCGGGCCATACCATACGGTGGATCCTGCGGAAGGCGAGGCGGACCAAGAGAGGGTGTTGACGTACGGCTCGATCGTGAGGCTGGTGGATATTCACGGAGGGACAAAGAGCGAGCCGGTCAAGCTGGTCAAGGTGGAGAAGAATGAGGTGGTTTTGGGGAAAGCCGGAGAGGACGGTGGGGCGGACGCTGAGCACGGTCAGCCAGTCAGCGAGCTGCAGCGGATCGGAATGGTCAGAGTGGATGATCAGGGCGAGGTGGTACTCGAGGGAGGGAAAAGAACGTACCTGGCCGCTCCGGGAGCTAGGCTAGGTGGAGGGGAAATGCGGGAACCAGACGAGCAGCAATCCGTTCATACCGGTCGGAGACCTAAGCGGCCACGCGCAGCTTCGCCAGTCACGCACTCTCTCGAGGACCAGCCGGCACCTGCATCACCTGCACCAAAGGCAGCCACGCCACCCGCACCGGTAACGCTGGAAGAGGCCGGTCTTGATACACTCAACGATGCGGAGCTTGATAACGCTTTCGGCCTCAATGCGAATCTCGATCCGGTCCTTCTGGACGAGTCAGCTGTTCAGGCTGCTGTCGTCGCAGCGGTGGAAGCTGAGTCTCCTCCACAGGCTATGGAGACGGCCGAGCGACCCGCCAAGAGACTCAAGACGAGGCGGAACGCTCTAGCTGCGGCGGTGGTGGCTGAGGAGGAGGACGGAGGGGAGCAGACCGTATGCACGTGGCAGTCGGCGGAACGGCGAGCAGTGGAGCGGGAAGAGAAGGTCGGGGCGGAGACGGTCAAGACCAGTGTGGAAGTGGAGGTGGTACAGGACTGGATGGCTTGGTTAATAGCTGGAGTCGGTACGCTAGACCGCCATCAGCGAGTCGTTTAGAGCCACGCTAACAGGATAGATAACTTCTCGCATACCTTCTTCGACCCCTCTCCTTCCCCAGGCGATACCGCAACGACCCCGCCTAAATCCCTCTCGCCCGCTCCTCGACTCCTCCTCGACCCCATCTACCGCCCCAGATCCAATACACTCCAACTCACCCTCTCCCACTTCTTCACCAAGCCCGACCTGGAATCCCCTCCACTCCCGCTATTCGTCTACCTCGGTACGATTGGCCCACTACGTGCTTCGACTTGGCGCTCCGCTCAGCGGTCTACTTCGGTCAAAGGCGCGAATCAAAGCTCAACGGCTCGGTGCCTACGGTTCGATGGCGAGCTCAGCGCATACACCACCGGCGATGAGAGAGGCGAGGAAGATCCCGTTCTTTCGTCGTACCCAGCGGGGTCTGATCATGTGATCGTCGTGGTCGATCTACCAGAGCTCGCAGAGACCATGCGAACGGCGGATCTGCTGCGAGCCCAAGTAGATAACTCAATGCCGCACTCGATCGGGCACGTATCGGGCGGATCGGGAGCTGCCAATATCGAGCCAGAAATGGTCGATCCTCCGCACACGCTCAACGCGCTCGCGGACTATCCGGCCGACAACGCAGCACCTCCAGCATGGGCGGACACAGTCTCAGGCTTCGATACCGCCGAGCTCGAGGTCGACGGGAATGAGGCGATTCGGCAGGCGCTTCAGAGCGTCAGTCAAGCGGCGGATCAAGAAGCTCGTGCGGAACTCAGCATGGCAGATGAGGAAAGCCAAGAGATGCTTGATCCGGAGTTGCGAGAGAAGGAGGAAACGCTGGACCATCCCGCCCAGGCGCCGCTGTCTACCGTTCAGCTCGTCGGCGGGTCGCGACCACCGCATATATCGGCAGGCCACGAGGGAGCTGTCTTGGGAAGATCGCCGCTCCCGATTCTCCTTGTGAGACAGGCGGACGAGCTGGTATTTGGGCTAGGGAGGAGCGTCGTGGTCGGGCGACATGATGAGGAGGAGGGCACATATGGTGAGCTTTCCGCTTAAAGCTTCAACTCGTGATTGATCAGAGCTGATTAGTATGCAGAAGTCCAGGTCGTTGTCAGTTGAGACCGACTGTCGTGCGAGAATCGGCGGAGGCAATCCCTTTGGCGTGACGTTTGCGGTCGGACCACTCTCTTCACCAGCTCGCCCCAGAGGGGTCGCGCGGATGGGTCTAGGGAGCTCATCGTACAGCAGTGGATAGAGGGCGATCATGTATGAGGATGTATATCCTTGGCTCAGCAAGTGTCTTGGCGGTAATTGCCGACTGGCAATTCCCTGTTCCCCTCTGCCCTCACCCTCGCATGACCAGCCCCGTTCACAACCTCCACTGCCTCAAGTCCGGCACTTCAAAATGCCGATATGCGCATACGAGGAGGTCTCGTACAAGTGCTGTGTCACAACGGGAGACGGGGATCCCTTCCCCCCAGTCAAGCCATACTCTAGGGATCCCCCAGATCATCCCCCAACATTGAGTTAGGGATGGTCTGTATTTCGAGCCGGCCACATCATTGGGCTGAGCGAAGACAAACATATTGATAACTACCATAACTAACCACACTGCACTCAGCAGTGTCGGCCTTCATTCGATTTCGCTATCTCCCTTATCTTGGGTCTTATGGCTTCGAAAGTTCGGGACCGGCCGGCCAAAGTCAAAAATATGGTTTTGAATGCTGAACAGAGATATCTTGCTTATGCTGTCAGTGGTGCCCAAAAGTATGGTCTGGCCTAGAAGGAGGCAACGGGACGGACGTCGATGTCGCCATGGCGAGCGCTGATCATTCCCCTCACAGCCATTCTATTTCGCGCACAACTCCCCTGCAGTTTTGTAATCTGGGTGGACGTGCTACAGTGCTAATCTTCTGGTTGTGCAGACTTCGCGATCCCACCGTCGTGGGACAGTTGCATGGTCAAGAGCGTGTCTAACAAAGCCGGGCTCAGCGCTCGCGCTGCATTGCCGCACCTGTTTCACCGCCACGTGTTTTAGGGCGGCGGGTTTCAGCAGGTTTCAGCCTTCGGAGCCTTACGGGCGCATGTGTCATGCTTAGAGTTCGGATTAGCGCCTCCATTATCCGGCCGGCCGGGCCAGACTCTGGCACAGATTGCCTGCATAGCGCTGACAAGGCGATAGCGCCCGCTTCAACCGCGCGGGTGGCACGGGGTGGCTTGGACAATACACATGAAGATCCCTAGCAGCTTGGACTAGACTCTGACCCTCTTTCGCTAGCCGACAAGTCATGTGCTTATTGTCGCCACTTCGTGACCCCTTTTCTCTGTCACCTATTAATCTGCTATATCAGCTCAGAACCCAAGGTACTCTGCAGTCCATCTCCATTCTTTCTCGCCACAGATATCATATACGCCACCATGTCTGCTCAACCTACAATCTATCTTGGTAAGTCGAGCTTGAGGGAGAGATCCCGTTTGCTGATCCTGTAGTCACTGGTGGAGGACGTGGCATAGGCTTTAGCCTCGTCCAAGCTCTCTCTACTCGGCCCAACACGGTCGTCTATGCTGGGGTCCGCTCGTTCCCTCCAGGCGCTGACAGTGACCTCGGCCGACTCGCCGCTCAGTCCCCAACTGTCGTCCTGCCCATCAAGCTCACAAGCGGGAGCATCGAGGATAACCACGCTGCCGCAGCTGCTATCAAGGGGAAGTTTGGCATGCTTCACTGTGTCATCGCTTGTGCAGGTGAATGAGCGAGTCCTCTTGAACTGCCCGTCTAGAAGCTGATAAACAGGTGTATCGTCCGGACTATCCTCCGTGCTCTCCGCTACCCCGTCACAGATGAGGAGCGACTTTGAGACCAATTCCATCAGTCCGCTAGTCTTGTTTCAAGCGCTGGCGCCCCTCCTCCTCGCCACGCACGCCGCCTCTCCCGGTTCTGCCAGCCCCAAGTTCGTCGCCATCTCCTCGCAGCGAGGCCAGATCACCGACTGCATGGCGTACACTTTTGACTCCTATGGGTGCTCGAAGGCCGCTCTCAACTATCTTATCAAGAAGATGGACGTGGAGCACCCGCAGATCATTTCGTTCCCCATTCAGTGAGTCTTGTGGTGGCTTAGGATCAGCCCAAGGCCTCCAGGGACGGATACTGAAGTTACAGCCCGGGGTCAGTAAAGACTGAGATGGGGCACGCGGGCGTCGCTGCTCTGTCTGTCAAGCTGGAGGACATCGGAGGGATATCGGCCGAGGAGAGCGCGGCGGGTATACTCAGCGTGATCGACAAGGCGACAAAGGAGAGTCAAGGGGGCAGGTTCTGTACTTGGGAGGGCGAACAGCTGCCCTTCTAGTATGGGTATGCTTCCCGATCTGATCAGATCTTTGAATGTACAGATGTATGGCCATGTCTGGTCAAGGCAGGCTTCCTCATGGCAGCTGACTTCCGGGTCCCCCTGCAAGCAGAGATACGGCTTGATCAGTTTTGCTGTACATGCGTCAAACTCTTTGAGGTGGTCATGTCCCTGGAAGACTTTTCGGCTTTCGTAGAGCACAGCGGCGACACCTTTGCGCACCCTGAACATGCCCCATCGGGCGCAGCGCTCAGCGCAGTCGCGCTCAGGATCAGGCGCGCTGCTCTGTCTCAAAGGGAACTCCACATTCCTCCGTCCTGGCCAGGCACGAAGATCTTCCGAGATTTCGCCGAGCACTGATTCAGCAGCTGATTCAGCATTTCCTCGCGGCTGATCAAGATATTGCTTGGCGACCATCTCATTGTCTACTTGCCTCCACATGACGCCTCAAAGCGTGTACGGCTTGATCAGTCGCACGGATGCTTGATCAGCAGAACCAAGAGGGTCTGACTCATGCGACAACGCACGGGGCGTGGGTGCTTACTGATGAGGCCCGGCCGACGGCCAGCTCACAGCTATATATGGCTCACCTCCTTGTGTGATATCTGTGATACGAGCCCATCCCCACCCTTCGCACCTTATCCGTCTCCCTCACGACTCGCTAGTCCCAACCAGCTACAGATATGTCTTCCAATCCTACTGTCTACGTCGGTAAGTCCCCCTCCTTTGGCCCCCGAAAGAGCCCCAACTAATCACCAGTGACCGGCGCCACCCGCGGTATCGGCTTTGCGCTCGTCGAGCAGCTCTCCACTCGCCCTGACACCGTCGTCTACGCTGGTACCCGCTCCCTCCCCCTTCCCAACGCCAGCCAACTCGCTCAACTCGCTGCTAAGCACCCTGAGGTCGTCATCCCCATCAAGATCAACTCAGCTGATGAGGCCGATAATGTCGCTGCAGCGGAGGTCATCAAGGCCAAGTATGGGTACGTCTCTGTGGTGATAGCCAATGCAGGTAGGTCATCTCTCTCTCCCATCCCCTCCCTGACCCTCACGTCTCAAGGCATCTGCTTCCTTACTGAGTTCCGGAATGAGCTGACACGCAGGCTCACACTCCGGCACCCTACCCATCTCCGAATTACAGCCTCACCACATGCTCTCCGACTTCGAAACGAATGTACTCGGGCCTCTCGCTTTGTTCAATAAGATGTCTTCGCTGCTCCTCGCGGCCAACGAGGCCTCTCCCGGCTCCGCGAAGTTCATGGTAGTCTCCAGTCTCGTGGGGTCCATCGCTGAGCTCTTGCCGTATCCGTACACCGCATACGCTACGTCAAAAGCCGCGGTCAACTTTGTGGTCGCCAAGATCAACCAGGAGTATCACGACATCGTGGCGTTCCCAACCAGGCAGGTTGTTTTCTTCTCTTAGGATTATGGACAGCTTGCTGATATGCTAGCCCTGGAATAGTCAGTACGGACATGGTAAGGTTTTCCGAGGAGATTCAACGCTATCTCGCTGATGCATCAGGCTAGGAAAGCGGCAGGTGAAGCTGGACTTACAATCGAAGCCTTCGGCGCGATCACCCCGCTGGCGAGCGCTACTGGTCTCCTGAGCGTTGTAGACAAGGCTACCAAGGAGTCTCACGGCGGCAAGTTCTGGAACTATACCGGGGAGGAGTTGCGGTACTAGTGCCAAGCGCTAAGGAGGTCCGATTATGATAGATCACCCAGTCCACCTATAGGAGTATTGGCAACTTACCTGCTATTGACTCATGCACTGGTTATTGCTCTCCAATCTAGCCCTCGCTCTCCTTCGTTTCAGCTTGACAGACTTGGAATGCACGAGGTGTGCTTAGAGTAGATGATGGTCTGATTCATGCTAGCATTGTCAGAAGCTTGACAACCAAGGCCGGAACCGGTACCCATTTTGAGATTTTAAAACCGATCGTTCCTTGTACTGCATTGTCGACTGCGACGGAACAGAGATCCTTTCGATGATAGAATCTCCTACAGGTCTCCAAGCATTGCACCAGACGACAAGCACCACCTGTCAATCATGACGTCGACCTTGCCGGGGCTGACCGGCAGGCGAGGACAGCGCCGGACCCGCCTCCGGCCTCCGCATTCCTCATCAGGGCTGGCCGTGAACAACCGAACAAGTGAACAATTGTTAATGAACATGTTCATTGTTCGAACAAATCATGAACAAAAACTTTCTCCAGAGAGGCGGCATCGGAGTGAACATGAACATGAACTTATTGTTCGACCCCCATGAACAAATGTTGAACAGTTGTTCACAGTGTTCGTCTCTGTTCATGAACGCTCATCCCCGCTAACAACTGTTCACCACAGCGAACAAATGTTCATGTATGTTCGATGTTCGCCCAGCAGGAGGTCTGGGCAGCTCCTGAAACACACGACTATGGCTGTTTCAGAAAGTTTTAAGCTCCTTTGACCCCTTTGCTGTGTGCTCTCTGTGCGTGATCTGGGACGCTGACAGGCTCGGTCGAGGAGCCGGAGCTCAAAACTATCCGCACACTCAGTGCACATTCCCACCCGCTCAAGCTCCCGCAGCTGCTCCCGCCTACCTTGCCCCGCCTTAGCAGAAGTACCCTAGTCAGGTGGCGAATTGTGAGAACAGTTGTTTGCGCAACAGAACATTTGTTCGCTGAGTGTGAACTTTTCGAACAAATGTTCGGCCTGTTTGAACAAGTCGAACAATTGTTGAACAGTGGTAACAATTGTTCATCTAGCAGTGGACGTGAACATGAATAATCTCAGCTGGCAGTGGACACCAATGTTCGAACATGAACAATTGTTCGGCCGAACATGAACATGAACAAAATTTTTGTTCACGGCCAGTCCTGTTCCTCATCTTAGATCTCAGATCTGGGCCGGTCTGGACTTCACTCTCACAACGCAGCTCTCTATCTCCGGCCCCGATATCCGCTTCGGACTTTCGTTGCACGCGTGCTAGCTCCTCGCTTATCAGTGAATGCACATGATCATGCGGTGCGCGCCACAAGTGCGCCACCTGCCCGAATGGCTCACGAGTCAATCTGGATCTCGATTGCGATGGCTGAATCAGATTGAGCACATGTAGCCATCGGACATATCGGTCGGAGCCGCATGCCTTACGAGACTGAGCCGCTGATGTGGTATGAGTAAGCTGGTCCTGTCAGGATATATGGGAGCAGGGCGCGTCTGGCTGCACAAAGATATCTCATACTCGTACCTCATCACGCACTGAAGCTTTCCGACCATCCAGCATCCTATACCTTCTCCGCTTTGCACTTGATATGTCCCCGCAGATCTTCGTTGGTAAGTGCATCCTATCCTGATGAAGCTGCAGTTCTGATATGTGCAGTGACCGGTGCCGCCCGAGGCATCGGGTATGCTCTTGTCCAAGCGCTGGCGGAACGGCCTGACACCGTCGTCTACGCTGGCGTCCGGTCTTTCCCCGTCGATACCAACAGCGAGCTTGGTCAGCTTGCCGCGAAGTATCCCGACGCCGTCATTCCGATCAAGATCACCAGTGCGGACGAGGCGGACAACCAGGCTGCAGCCGCTCTCATCAAAGAGCGATACTCCCAGGTGGACTGCGTTATCGCCTGCGCCGGTATGTTCCTTCTTTCTCTCTTCGTGTGGCTCCCTCGTTCAGGCTGAGCGCTGACGTCGCAGGTGTCGCGAGCGCTCTGGAAGGTCAGACCGTCCGCAGAGTCACCCCGGCAGACATCCTCGACGACGTCAAGATCAATAGCACTGGACCCGTCACAATCTTCCAAGCTCTCGCTGAACTCCTCCTCGCCTCCCACGCGGCCGGTGGGCAGCCCAAGTTCGTCGCTGTCTCCTCGCTCGCCGCTCGGATCGTCGATCCGGTCCCTATCGAGGCGACAGCATATGGAGCCAGTAAGGCAGCTCTCAACTACATCATGGCCAAGATGAATCTGGAGATGGCGGAGATCGTTGCTTTCCCCATTCAGTGAGAGGATCGATAGCAGCACACAACGGCGCAGCTCACCAATAGCCCCGGTTTCGTTCTGAGCGACATGTCGAAGCAGGCGCAAAATATCCCTCTGGACGGAGCCATCTCACCCAAGGAGAGCGCCACCGGCATGCTCAATGTCATCGAGAAAGCAACGAAGGAGAGCCACGGCGGGAAATTCTGGGATTATGCCGGGACTCAGCTGCAGTACTAGACGCTGGGAAGGTCGCCAGCAGATGCTTCATGACAGTCATGGTATGCATCCGCAGTCATAAAGATCGTTATATTTGGTAATCATTCGCCTGCTCCATACAGTGATCTCGCCGTGCCATCCCTTCGGCGATCTTTACTTGGACCCAATGACTGCTATGAGTCCCTCTCTCCGCCTTGTCCGTGATGAGCACTGTCGGGAGAGGAGCCTGACTGGAGGTGGGCTAGTTGCCGCTGGTACGACTTGAGCCGCGCGGTGATGCGGTCCTCGAGGGTGAGCTCGGTGGCTTGAGAGCTAGACCGTCAGCCCAGATACGCGATGTCCTGACGTCCACGCGGAACTCTCGCTGACTCACTGAACCTTCTCACTCATCTTCCTATATTGCATCAATTTATAACTGATGATCCGAACCGATCAGAGCCAGATAACTCACCTCATCTCCTCCACGACCCACTTCTCCCTCGCACCCACCGCCTTCTCCCTCTCCTCCACCTCCCCCTCCCGCTCCTTGTCTCGCTTCCGGCGTACCTCGAGCCTCTCCCAATCTTCCTGCAGCACTTCAGTCTGCTTTTCCCTCTCCGCGTGACGGTGGCCCAGCGCGAGTGGTAGCTGGGCACTGGGAGTGGAGACGGTGCTGAGCGCGGTAGAGACTTCGAGGGCGGCCTGAGTACGCGAACGAGCTTCGCCAAGGTCTTGTTGGAGCTTGTCCCGGAGTAAGAGGGAGTGGGTGAGTGCCGAGAGGAGGGGACGGTTCGCATCATCTGCGATATCAGCTAGGCTGTTGGTCGAAGGAGCCAAGCGCTCTTCATCTGTTACTCACCCGTCTCACCCATCCTCAACACCCAAACCTCCTTCTCTGACGCATCGCCCCTTGCGCCACTACTGCTCCGCACAACACTGGCCCCCTCACCCATCTCTTCGACAGACCACCATCGCCCCTCCGTCCCTGGGCGCACGCCGGCATGGGAGCGCCCATTCCAGAATCGTAGTCCTGCGTGCTGGCTTGACGCCCAGGTATTCCCCTTCAGCCCCGCTGAGGTGGTATCGGGATGGACGAGATGCGCCAAAGGCGGAGGTAGGAAGTGGGAAAGGTGGGAGATGAGGTTGAGCTTTTCGTCGACGATCTTCTCTCTCGCCTAAGCCCATCAGCGGATGTCAAGTTGAACGAAGGGCGAAGGACGGAAAGAAGACGAGTACGTACCCGCAGTTCCTTGTGTCTGCCCGTCAAGGTAGGAAGAGACCCTCTCGGAACACCCAGGACTAGCGCTACGAGGCTGATGAACAGGCTGATCCACAGAAGAGGGTGTGGCTTGACGAAAGTGAATGGACCGAAGCGCATCATGTTCGATACGTACGCCGGTCCTGGGATGACAGGCGGGGGTATCTGTCGTCGGATAATCGGCGGCGAGGGGTAGCGTCTCGGCTGAGGAGGCGGAGGAGGCGGGAAGGGGTTGACGTATATGTTGGGCAGCTGGACAGGGACGGGCGCGGGTTGAGGTTGATGCGGTTCCGAGGGCTCGTGCGGGTGCGCAGAGAGGCGGGCGTGGTATAGCTCGTCCATCCCTGCTGTGAATATAGTGAGTAATCAAGAAGAGTAATCAAGAAGAGTAATCAAGAAATGATGGAGGAAGCATCAATCAGAGTAGTGAGGTTGGGTGATGCGTGCCGATGCCGCATTCCTTTTGCCCCTTGAAACGCCTCCTCCGAGGTACACAAACCCCTCCTTTGGCTTCAAGTGCCGCAATATCGGAGATCAGCCCAGGGAGATCAGCTGGGAGCTGTCAAGCAGGACTATGTAGCGTAGGAAACAGGGACAAAGAGTATGCGTACAACTATGCATAGACCATAGATATCCCCGTGTCATTGTTCGTCCGGATTATGTTGACGCGGGAGCGACAGCGGGAGCAGCGAGTAACTTGGGCATAAGGAGCGAGAAGACACCCATGAAGCCCATCCTGGGATATCAGCTCTGTGCCAAGCTCGAGATGTCCAAGACAGCGGCTGCTAGATACATATGCCAGACTGGCGAAGCTCGAGGCTAAACATCAAAGCACTCACCCTAAACCCATCAACGGACTCGCGGCGTCCTTCTCCCTCCGCATCGGCTTTTGGCCAACAAAGCCCAGGACGGCCATGACCAGTGCGCCCCAGACGAAGCTGGAAGTGTCAGCTCCCATCTAGCTCGATTGGGCTGAACCTCCGCCGGCCTTCCGTTGTCCAGCGGAAGAACGGGCCGTCGACTTAACTTCAAACTCGGACTTACAGTGGGTTCCGAATGAACATTCCCGCACCAGCACCCATCATAGCTCCTGATCCGAATGTATCCTTCACCGTCGCCCATTCTGGCGTCATTGGCACATGGAACGGGAACAACCTGCAGGCGTAAGCTCCCAGCTCCCTTCGGCCTACTATAACCCCGACGTAATGCCCAGAAACGTACTTCTCGGACCTGGGGTCGGACTTGTCATATACTGGTGCAGAGACAGACATGTTGGTGATGAAGAGTAGTATGGACAGTCGAGCACGCTACCGCTTTGTGTCTGCTCATCGTCGCTGCTCCTTCCGGCGTTGACGACCGGACAGTCCCGGCGGAACCAAATAGACTTGGTGCGTGTGGGGCTCCAAATTCGCGTCCAACCTTCTTTCTCGCTGCAACTTTGAGGCTTCTCACTTTTCTGCAGCGACTCTCACACCACTGACCTTACTAAGATGCTACACCGTCGACCACCCGGCGGGGGATCAAGCGCAAGCTCCTCTCCAGCCCCCGCATCCGCTCCTGGCCCGAGCAACACCGCCTACACGCCTCTTCGCCGACGAGAGTCCGCAGGCCTCTATCCTACGCCATCATCCGCTACGAAGGCGCGATACCCACTGCCTAGTCCTGGCCTGGGCGGGTACCCGAGCCCTATCGCCAGCGTTGGCTCGCCAAATATGCTCGGGCTGTCATCGCCGATCAATATCGGGGGGCAGCCTAATGCGTATGGATACTCTGGCGGGGCAGGGGGACAGTACGGAGGCGGCAATACGTTTGATCTGTCCTCGGAAGGAGCGGGAAAGGGGAGGGAGGCTGGAGATATGAAGGAGGTGATACTAGGAGGGATAAGGAGGGCGGTTGAGCGGAGCAGAAGAGGAGTCGCGGACGCTATGCGCCTGGATCGAAGTTGGAATCTGGCTTGGAAGTGAGTGGTGCAGCTCAGGCGCGTGGGAAGATGAGCTCCGAGCTGACAAGGCAGTGATGCCGAGCTGAGATTACTGATCTTCAAATCATCGCAAGTATCCCCCAGCTGGCTTGTCGATGTGCGGGCCCCCAGCCCAGCCTGAACATCCAGCTGATCGCGTCAGAATGATCAACCTTCTATCCCTTCTCCTGCTTTCCTTCTTCTCCATCGTGGTCTCTCCCTCTCTCGGCCCCGCGCTCTCCGACTCGAGACATACAAAGGAGATTGGCATGTGGTATAACCTCTTACTGAGCTGGCCGGTCTTTGCCGTCTGTTTCTGGGTCAACGTGAGCTCGCCGCTGCACGATGTATTGGCCAGCACAGCTGATAGCGCAGTCAAGCTGGGGTCCGCGAATCTCCCGTCGAGCGCAGACTCTCCTCCACCCATCGTCAGTCTCCCGCTCTCCACTCTGAGACATCCAGCCCCACTATCCCGCTGACGCTCAGGTATCGACACCAACCCTCTCCCGCCTCCACACCCGTCAAACCCACCTTCTCCACCCCTTCCTCGTTACCAGACCCCTCGGCACTCATCTCCCCGCTCTTCAAGGGCGTCGCGCGGATTATGCTCATTGCGGACTTTACGCTCATGTCGCGCTTGATTTCGATCATTCCGGTCGTTGGGAGGGCATTAGGATTTGGGTACATGTGCATTATCACGGGTTACTATTGCTTTGAGTGAGTATCCCTTCCGGAAAGATGTGAGTAGGCGCTGATGGGCAGGTGGACATTTGCACGTAGGGGCTGGTCCCTCGATCATCGGGTCAGCTACGTACAGGAACGTACGGCATACATGCTTGCATTCGGTATGTCCAGCTCTGACATTCCCCAGTATTGCACGTCAAGGGCGAAGCTAATTCTCCAGGCCTGATCCCCACCTTCCTCACCTCCCTATCCACCCCCCTAATCAACATGTCAATCTTCGCCCTTCTCTACCCCTTCTTCGTCATCCAAGCTCTGGTCTCTCGTCCACCCGGACTTTCCGCTTCATCCATCACGTCCCCCGGATCGTCCTTACCGCCAACGCCGACCGAGCCTTCGAGCGGTGGAGGGGGCAACAACCCATTCTTTGCTGAGCGAGATATGACGAACGGCTGGAGAGGCAGGGTAGGAGCTGGGGTGCCCATGTTTGTGTTGGCGAGGTATGGACTGGAGGTTCTGGGGTGGTTTGAGGGCGCCGTCGGGCGGAAGCTCGGCGGAGGGGCCAGAAAGGAGAGAGCAGGGAAACGGCTGGGCTAGCCAGGACATGTGTGTAGACTGTAGACATAGATTTTGGGCATACACGAGTATCTATGATCGCTGCATTTCTACCCTACTGGATAAACCCCTTAACCACCGCGTACTCTGCATTTATGACCGAGCTCGTCGCCGCCCCCAACCGCACGTTATCCAGCATACACACAAACTTGATATCCAGCACATTACACTCCCTGACTCTTCCAACATGTACCGCTGCGCCCGCATACAAATCTTTATCCAGCCGAGGCTGCGGTCTGTCCTGCGCCTCATGGAGCACGATGCTCTCCTTGGGCGCACTGGGACATCCGAGCTCTACCACCTCCGCCTTGTACCCCTTCAACACCTTCTTGACTTCCTCGACGCTCGGCTTGGTTCCCGACTGGAACGCGACCGAGACGCACGCCGTGTGCCCGTCAATCACCGGCACGCGATTACAGTGTGCCGAGACGTTGATGGGTCCCGGTCCTGCCGCGTGGAGGTCGAACCCGTCATCACCGTCCGTGACGCCGCCGAGGATCTTGTTGGTCTCCCATTCGATCTTCTCCTCTTCGCCCCCGATATAAGGGACGACGTTGTCCAGGATGTCTAGGGATGAGACGCCGGGATAGCCCGCGCCAGAGATGGCTTGGAGCGTCGTGACCATGACGGTCTTGAGGGGGCCAAAGGCGAGTTCGAGGGCGCGCAGGGGGACGACGATGCAAGTGGTGGAGCAGTTGGCGTTGGTGACAAGGTAGCCTTTGGAGAGGGATAGGGAGGCTTGCTGGGCGCGCACGACCGACAGGTGCGAGGGATTTACGGTGGGGACGATAAGGGGGACAAGGGAGTCGCGACGGTAGTTTTTGGCGTTGGAGAAGACGACAAGGTTGGCGCGGCGGAAGGCGTCCTCTGTGGGGTTAGCGCGAGCAGATGAGCTGTAGGCAGAGCACAGCGTGTCTGGGCCTCCAGGCTTCCTGGACACCCTTTCTCTTCTCCCCACAGGACTCCGCCTCTAAGACCTGCAATACTCTCAATGCCCTCTCTAGAAGTGCTCCTTCCAGCACTCTGGCTAGACTTCGGCACTCACCAATCTCCCCGACCTTCTCGTCCAAACCCGAAAACACCACCCCACACTCCCCAAAAGCCTCCACACTCGGATCACACTCGCTCACCACCATCCCCGCCACTTCCTCCGGGATCGGCGTCGCCAACTTCCATTTTGTCGCCGCGGCGTATGTCTGGCCGGCGGAGCGGGATGAGGCGCCGAGGGCGTGTAGGCGGAAATAGGGGTGCGTGGAGAGGAGCTGGATGAAACGCTGGCCGACGGTTCCTGTGAGTCAGCCGTGGCGAAGGATTTGGCGGACGTGATGCGAGAAAGAGCAACTGACCTGTAGCGCCGAGGATACCGACTTTGATTTCTTTCTGTGTTGAGCTGGACATGTTGGATAGTGTGATGCGAGATGAAAGGTGGAGATAGATGTATGGTCAAAATAATGGTCGTTGCTGCTCAGACTTTTTGCTTCGGCTGAGTCGAATCCTAGTCCGTGCGCGTCGACTCAGGGGTATTGGCAGCATGGACCGAATGCGAGAGACAACTGACAAACAACACGAATACGTACTCCATACTGTGCATCGCGCCTTCACCCACATCGTCTACCCAACCACCTTCATCATACCCCTCGTGACTCTTTTCCCCTCCACCGCCGTCTCGTCCGGTCCAGAAGACCTCGTCGACCTCAATCTCATCTTGCTACTCCCGCCGACCGCTGCATCCCCGATTGGCCTAGCCCTTTTCCCCAATCCCTCCCCAGCGACTTTAACCTTTTCCGCGGCTCCCTTCTCACCGCCTCTGTTGCCGTTCTTGCCCATCCGCAACCCCTCACCCTCTGCCCCTCGTCTGCCACTACCCGCCTTGCCCTTTTCCGGACTCTCTTCGCCCTGCCCGGTGCCCACTGCCCTCCGGCACTACCATGGCCTTCGCCATTCCGTCTTCTCCCCCTCCCGTTCTGCCTTCACCACTGTCCTCCGAATCGCTTCCCTCACTTGTAGTAGCGTCGGACAGGGTCGATAGCTCAGACGAGCTGTCCGATAGCCCAGTGGCTGGGGCGATAGATACAGCAGCTGGCGTAGCAGCTACTATATCGGACAAAGGAGCGACGGCTAGAGCTTGAGCGGTGGGGAGCGGGGCCGGAGCGATGGCTGGCTCTGGCGCTCCTTGGGCGACTGGGGCTAGGCTAGCGGTTAAAGCTGGCGGAGCCGGCGCGGGCGCTGCCGTGAGCGGAGCGGCGACTGGGACTTGGGCTGGAGCTGCCGGGATTGGAGCCGGAGCTTGGGTGGTGGGGAGAGGGACCGAAGCAGCCGCGTCGTCAGGGACGGGAGCGACAGGCGCAGAGTTCCCGAGGGAGGCCGAAAGCGGAGCGACGACTGGAGCTTGGGCTTCTGCTGGAGCCTGGGTAGCCGGGGCTGGGGCTGGGGCTTGGGCGGTCGGGACGGAAGCAGCTGGGGCAGGCGCGGGAGCTGGGGCAGGGGCGGCCGGGGCGGTAGCAGCAGGGGCAGGCGCGGGAACTGGGGCAGGCGCGGGGGCTGGGGCGGTGGGGAGACCCGGTCCCGCTTGGAGTCTAGCCTGCTACGCGGCGAGGGCAAGCGGTGGGAAGGGGACTTCCAGCACGCAGAATGCCCGGTGGATGTACGTCCTGCTGACGAACTTGCACTTGAAGTCGATGAGAGTCTGACCCGTCCGCCTCTCCAACCCGCCGCCGTGAGCGCGCGCACAAAGCCAGTGACTAGAATAAGCAGAGTCACAGTCACTGATATGGGAAGGATCGGACTTACGCGGGAGCGTCGTGTGCTAGGCTCAACTGTAACCCCAGGGAACCAATGCCCAGACCCTGTAAGGCCTGAATATCGGGTATGAGCAAGTTCCGGAGGAAGTACCCGAAATGACTGTTGTGGCAGACTGGTGCGGGGATTTTCAGCCCTTCATTGTCGAGGATCTGACGAATCCCTGTCCACGCTGCCTGGCTGATAAAATTCTGGGATTGATCCGCACCGGAAGGGACGATGCCAGCAGGCAGAATGTAGATCTGGTAATGAGCGATACACGGACCCGCTACGAAGGGACGAGCTCACGAAAGGTGGAATACCCGGAGGCGAGGGGGCTGGGGCTGGGGCGGTCGGGACGGTAGCAGCAGGGGCCGGCGCGGGAGCTGGGGCTTGGACAGCTGGCGCTTGGGCGGTGGGGAGGCCCGGTCCCGTTTGTAATTTCGTCTGCCACGCTGCGAGGGCAAGCGGTGGGAAGGGGACTTCCAGGACGCAGTGCAGTGTGCCCGGTGGTGGTACGTCTTGTTGACGTACTTAGCATGGAGGTCGGTGAGGGTGTGACCGTTCCGCCCCTCCGATCCTGAAGAAGATGTGGAGGATGTACGCTCGTCCCAAGCCCCTCGTTGCTCTGTAAGGATCCTCGCCAGGGCTGGCGGCTGGGGCTGAAGCAGCAGGGGCCGGCGCGGGAGCTGGGGCTTGGACAGCTGGCGCTTGGGCGGTGGGGAGGCCCGGTCCCGTTTGTAATTTCGTCTGCCACGCTGCGAGGGCAAGCGGTGGGAAGGGGACTTCCAGGACGCAGTGCAGTGTGCCCGGGGGTAGTACGTCGTGTTGACATACTTAGCATGGAGGTCGATGAGGGCGGGACCGTTCCGCCTCTCCGAATCGCCGCCATGGGAGCGCGCACACAGCCAGTGACTACAATAAGCAGAGTCACAGTCACTGAGAAGGGAAAGGTCGGACTTACGCGGGAGCAACACCGTTGCGTGCTACGCTCAACTGCATGCCCAGGGACCCGACGTCCAGACCCTGTACCCTGTAAGGCCTGAATATCGGGCATGAGCAAATTCCGGAGGAAGTACCCGTGATCGAGGGGCTTGGAATGAGCGTATGGAGGATGCCATTGTGGCTTGTTGTAGTTGTTGTCGTGATTGTTGTTGGTGTTCTGACCGTCGATCCGAGTCCGTAATGTGATGGAGCCGACCGTGTCTCCGTCTCCTCCCGCTTTTTCCCACTTCTGATGTCCCCCGCCTCCTGAACCCTTCACTCATCCTGCTTGCCCCGCCTATGCTCGCCGCGCTGGCCGCCCGATCCGCGCCCCGGTACCCCAGGGAGCGGGCGCCTTATCCGCTTATCCGCCGAGCCGAGGGTAATGCGATAGTCCCGTGTGATGCGATGAGCACGATCGCTGGAGTCGCGGGCGATGCGGTAGGGACTTCTAGATCCGTCCAGGAGGTAGGTATGTGGTCTGATGGACCGTGCTGGATTACCCCCCTCCAGTCCCTCTTGATCATCGCCTGCAGCCTACACCCATCGATCCTCCTTTCGCTCCCCCTTCTTTGGCGCATCCCCCTCTGTGATCATCGCCGGACCCCACTCTGGCATTCCCGCCGGCCGAGGTACGCGCACATTCTCCAGCTCGGCCTGCGATTTCGGCGCCATGGAGAATTTGGCTTTGCGGACTTTGCCTGGTGGTGCGTTGGGATCGGACAAAGAGGCATCGAGTGCGGAGTCGGAGGATGGGACAGCGTTCAATCGCTAGAGGTCAGCTTACCGCCCAAATGTGACTGGTGCAGACGGAACTCACGTAGTACTCTTCCTTGATATCCACCTTCTTTCTTCCCTGCTTCATCCCCAACTCCTCCTCCTTGCTTAGCGTCTGCACCTGCTGATCCCGCAGATCATACCGTGTCCGGGTGAACCCCTCGAGAGCGAACGACGAAGCGACAACGATCGAGAGGAAGGGAAGGCCGAATACGAGGAATGGGCGGCGACGGACTGTGTTAGCGATAGCGGAGGGGCGGGCGTTGAGAGGTTTGGAAGCGAAGGTCGGCATGGTGCTGTGAGATGAGGAGGGAGAGGGCAGATTGGGCGCAGGGGATTATAGATCGCGGATCTATGTAGATGAGAAGTTCTGTGATGTAGGCGAGCTGTAGATAGGCACGCGGACACGAGCGCTTTAGATAGGCGCCTCCCAAAACTCCTAACGAGACCCTCTCGGGAGCGGTTAGGCCGGCCCCTGACCCCGGATTTTCCTTATTCGGCTTCGGGTGAAACGTTTAAATAAGGTTAGTCCGAGCCGGGTGACTGGACCGGACCCTTCCTTTGGCGGCGAGCGCCGAACACCCTTTACTGTTGCTGCCCGGCAAAGTCGCGTCCCGAAAGAGATGATTTTGATTTCATCCTCTTCCTCTTCCTTCTGTACATCCACAATCACTTCGTATCATTCAACAGCTCGACAGACAAACCATATACTCTAGCTAGTCTACAACCTTCCTGATTCACGTTGCAGCTGTTCGACACAGTCACGCCCACTGCTCTGCTTTACCCCACTCTGCCGACTCCCCCACTCTATCGCCGACCTCCACCTCCTCTCAGCAGCTTTTCCTAGACACGTCTACGAGACAGTTACGCGGCTCTACGAGTGACGTCTCGTCGCAGGTCAACCCACGAGGACTTTGACAGCACCTCCATCACCGCCGAGAGGCCACTCCCACCCTCATCCCCTCCCATCCTTTCCGCTCCCTCCTGCCGGTTCCGGTAATCTACCTTCCTTCCTTCTGCAATCGACTCTCGTCAGCTTGCATACACCTCACCTCATCTCATCCACGCCATACAACATTCCACCTCCAATCATGTCGGCCCAGCACAATTTATTCGCTGCCGCCAACCCCCAACAGGGAAGTTCCGCGCTGTCGAAGCGTAAGCGTGGATCCTGGTGCGTCGAGGACTTCACCTACGAGCAGAACAAGGTGAGCTGGTACGACCATGTCATCTTTATACTCTAAGCTTACTTTTCAGCAAATGCGAACCCGCTCCCCCCGGCTGGACCGGCGCCACACCTACCAAGACGCCCCACCAGACCTCGTCACCGACTCCTCCGCGACCGCCTCGGACGAGGACCAGGCGATGGACCAAGACATGGACATGTCGTCCGACGCCGACCACGACATGGATATGGGGATGGACGAGAGCGGAGGCGGTGGATTCGAGTATGAGAATGGGGCGGTGGATGCTCGGATGAGGCGGGAGAGTATGGATGATGGGCAGGGTGCGAATTACTCGTTTGGGTCAGGAGGGAGTGGGGGGTTTGGGTTCGGACCGGGGGCGATGGAAGATGAGGATGATGAGGGAAGTGAGGGTTCGGGAAAGCGTGAGTCTTTGTCTCTGTATTCCTGACCTCAAAGCCCCATGCTAACATCACAGCCACATATCCCTGCCAACCATACCCCTCCCTCACACCCCACACCAACCCCAACCACTTCTCCAACCAGCCCTTCTCCATCCGCCCCAAGTCCCCCCTCTCCGCTCAACCCTACTCGACCTCTCTCCGTGCACCCCGCGCTCCCGGCCTCCTTCAGCCGACTTCGGCCGGCCCGCTCGCGCCTAATGCGAACGACGTGGAGCGTGCGCGGGCGCAGCATGGGCCGCAGTGCCGGTCCATCCCGAAGTTGGTGCTCAGCCAGTATCCCGATCCGGTATCGGGGGAGAGGAGTATGTGGACCCATTGTGGGGATTGCGGGGCGATGGAGAGGAGCATGTAGGCTGGAGGGCATGGGTATAGGGGGCAAGGAGACGTTGGGATCGAGGGTGTGTATATGGAGGAGTGGACGGGAAAGAGAGCAACCGAAGGCTGGAAGATAAGAGAGAAAGAAGTCATTGGCCGAGAGGAAGCTGAGTTGTAAGAAGTGGTAAGAAGACATTGTGTATACCTAAAAGCCCGACTGCCTTGTGCTGTGCCGAGTAGATCAATCTATGTATTCATGTTCATGTACTCCACTCTGACGGCGGTGGGCGCTTCAGGCTGAAGACCGCCTGTACCACGGTACGACATCAGGCGAGGAGGAGGGAGCTCCGGTCTTCCCGCTGCAAATTTCAAGGCATGTCTGGGACCTATTAACCGAGCAACGAACACGGCTGGTGCTCGGGAGGTACTATTGACGCCGAGATCTCGCCGTTCATTGGTCGCGCCGTCTCTCCGCAGCGCCGTTACCGATGCCCAATATCTGGCGGTGAGGTCGGTGAGGAGCACTTCAGAAATGTCGCCCGCTGTAATATTCGAACGTTTCGTTTAACCTTTTGTACCATATTGACCCCCGTCGACATCCTACAGCAGCCATGCCGCCCTCCTCGGAGCAGCCCTCCCTTAATGACCTCGCCAAGGTCCCCCTCACCACCGCCCAGGCGCTCATCGCCCAGCTTCTCGATATGCATCCCGAAGACGCGCCCTACATATCCGCCATCATAACCTCCCAGACTGTCCCTCCCCCACCCTCCCCTCCGCTCCCTATCGAGCTCGAATACTTCCGACCCATGATCCGCACCGTCTCAGACACCATCGACCGTCCCTCTTCCTCAGCCAAGGAGATTGCGAACCGCATCTTTGGCGCAATCCACGTGATCGAGAAGACGTGCACCCGCGCCGCAGTAGGCGATACGCTCTTACATACGGGGGCGTTCCTTGCGCTGTGCGATATAGCGGCGTTATTGGGTGATCCGAAGGCGAGGAAGGAGGAGCTGGGGACGTACATGGGGGATATGATCGTGGAGGCGGTCGTAGAGGGGATGGGGACGGTGATGGGGGGTATGAAAGGAAGAGGGGAGGCTACAGGGAGGGCGATGCGGGGCTTGGAGAAGGTGATTGGGGTGTATAAGAGGGCAGGGTATGATGCGGGGGCGATGGAGAGGAAGAAGCCGCAATGGAGATAGGGGCCCGGAAGCTGGGTCAGTCTCGGTGGGCAGAGGAAGAGGTGGCCAGCGGGTGCAAGAGATTGTTGGGAGGACAATTGTGCGTCGGGCGTCTGGGCCGGGTAGATCTTACGTCCTGTATGTACTGACTGTCCGCGTTGACTCTCTGCTCAGTTGACTGACAGTACAGCTTCACGTCCTTGCATTGTTGCGACATCTGACCTGCAAGCAAACCCACAATCAAGCCTGTTCCAACTCGGAACGGCAAGGAAATGCTTCATCAGGCGAGTTCAGTCAGAGGATATCTCAGATGGTAATGGTACCAGGAAAAGGCAGGTACCTGCAATGCTGCCTCCACGCTCACATCGTCTCCACACTACGGTCCGCCGTCAGTGCTGATAGTTCCCACAGGTAGACTTTGCAGCTTGTCCCGATAGGCAACGCTGGATCCTCCGTTCGAGACACAGACCTCGCGCGTACTGACCCTGTGGCGCTGATGACCTGCATTGCTTGCGATTGGATATGTTGAATCAACTTGCTATGAGGCTCGTATCCTCTGACCCGCGAGCTCGGGATCATTGGTAAAGAAAAGGACGCTGATAGGGGTTGTTCCAGTCCGGCTTGGCAATTATGCAGCTCAGGGCACCTCGATATTTATAAGTTCACAGCGCTCATGTCTCCATCATAGTGATTTCGATCTGCCAATGTCCCATATTGTCCCCTCGTTCTAGCACATCACTCCTCGTTGTCGCTCCTGGGCTGTACATACAGCCAGCGCATGAGTCAAACGGTCTCGCTCATTCTTCACCGCCTCTTATCCTCCTTTCAGCCAAGCTAAATTCGAACGCTACTGATCGCACTCCTTACACTTCGGGAGCCCCCACTGATCGTCCGCTGTGATAGTGGATCTCAGTGCCAAGATCTCTTTGCGCTCCAAGAGTCGACGCGGCGAGCCCGCCGAGATCCCCCTTGATGAGAATATCATCTTCATCTGACTCACAGTTCTCGACCGCCTTTCATCTCCATTCGAGCCAGATAAGGGCAGAAGCAGCGATCTCAAGCATACATGGCTTGCCGCCACGCCCCTGCACCAGAGAAGGCTCATGATTGCAAGGTCCTTGATTGCGACAGGTCCTCGATCACGCCGAGATCCCCCTAACTATCCTAGCACTCACACCTACTCCACTCCGAGCCTCCTTTCAGCCCAGCTAAAGGCAGGAGCAGCATCTGGGGCGCTGGCAGGTACAGGCTTCCCTTCTGCATTGGCAGAGCTTCTTGATTGCGCCAGGCCTTCGATCACGCCATCGTCAGTCTGGAGACGATCCTTAGAGGATCTTGGGTCGGCCCCAGCAGGGTCGCTCGGTGCTGGGGTATAAAGTCGGCGTCGATAAGTGGGAACTCTCAATCTACAATCACACTTACATACCCTTTCTACCACTTGGCTTCTCACGCATCCCCTTCCACGCACCATGTCAACGGAGACCACTTACACCCCTGACCCCGACAAGAACGGGATCTTCTACAAATGTACTCCGAGCAATTCGAGATGGAGTGTTCGCCCAGGCACAGGTTAGTATAGCTTTCCCAGAGACCTCCTATCTTGAGGCGCATGCTACATGACTCCTCGCCGATCACAAATTGACACAATAGGAGAGAATCGTGCTACCTTCCAGGCTTTTGAACTGATTCAGGAGATGACCGTCAAGTGCAAGTCCGAGAAGGGCCCCAGTGCCGCGCAGATGAAGCGTCTCTTTGAGGAACACCACGACGACATGCTGTGGGAGGTGAATCGAGCGGAGAGGACGCAGCGGCTCGAAGACAATCTCACCAGCGCCCAGCAGAACAACAGCGAGGTGCGAGAGAATCTCTCCTCGGCGAAGACCGTCTTGTACGACACGCAGGGAACCCACATGAACGTTTCGGGCAACAGCACTTCCGGCGATCAGACCTAGGAACGGACAATATCGTCTGTCTTTCAATGGCGGCGGGCGCGAGCGGTGGAGAGTGTGAGTGAGCGAATTTCGTCATCGTTGCTGTCTTCAGTCTCATCCTTTGTTCATAATCCACATTTCCAGCAACCACATCATATGCATTTCCGTTAGCACAGATCAGTTTCCTGCAATCCTGAACATGAGTCGTGATAGGTCGGATCCGGCGATTGACCATTTTAGACTCCCTTCTTAACATCCAGCTCCATGTTCCTCCTTATTACTCTACGTCAGCTCACCTCCTTCACGCTTGTTTGGGCCGGGAGCCCTCGGAACATCCGCATGTGCTAACTCACAGTAAGGATTGAACATCTAGCGTGAGATGTCACCTTGGCCGATCGAAGTGACATCCGTGGGTGCTTTCGTGCAGTAGCGAGCGCGACGGCGGAAAGGAGAAGGACGCGTGGAGTATGGCCAGGCCGTAGTCGAGCCAAAAGATGTACCGAGCAGTATGTTTTCTGTGTTTGATGAATACATCTAGTGTCAATCAAGCGCCCACTTTATAGTGATGACACTGCCAATCTCACCATACATCTCTAACCTTTACTCATCGTCTGGATACGTGACCCCGTCCTCCTCCTCATCCTCCTCTGCGATCTTCCGCCGTAAATCATCAAAGACGTCCCCGCTATAGCCCCCGAACATCTCCATCTCTGACATCCCCTCCGTACTCTCCAGAGACTCCAAAATCATATCCCTCCGCTCCCCTTTCTCCCGCAGGATATCCGCCACGCTCACCAGCGCATTGACGAGTCGCAATATCCCACCAGATGTTCCTCCAGCAGGCTCGCCCGGATGCGAGGGTACTCGCCGGCTGATCCCCAATCTCGCTGAGCGCCAAATGTCCCCATCGCTTATCCTCGGCCGTCTCCGGGATAGCCAAGGATCAAGAACCCCTCCCCGCCGTCCGGACCCATCTCCGGTCGCTCCACGATGTACCGAACCACTCGCCTGACGCCGTCCCTTGCGTGTCCGGGCGCCAGAGGGTCGTCCGGCAAGTCCGTGACGCACCGGATACGTTGGAGTGTCGGGTATTGTGCGAAAAGCGCTCGTAAATTAGCGTCGCCGTTCAATCGAGGGGGCCGAGGGGCCACGTCGCTGTGGGACGATGAGTCGTCCTCGTCCGTGATCGTCCAAACGGGGCGGTAATCTGCGTGTATGACCCAGGAGACCTCCTCCAGCGCGGGAAAAGAAGGTTTCGGATCCTTCTGCCGAGTCAGCGACGTTCTCGGTTGGCGTGACAAGGCCCGATACTCACAAAATCAGGAAGAGGATAATCAGCTCTTTGATCCTGCGGCGCCTGTAGGACAAGCCGAGCCACCCCGTGCAAGGCTTGTCGATATGGCAAGAAGTCCTGCAGACTCTGCAAGGCCGACAGGATGTCCCAGACAAAGTCGCCGTATAGAGCCAAGTCGGTAAGTGCCGAAAAGCGGTTGATGCTCCGGAGGGCGTCCCGAAGACGCTCCTGCTGGATGTGTTTTGGCACGGCCGAATAGTGGAAACCGATGAAGTTTACAGTGAGGTCGTGGATATTGGGGCAGTGACGCTGGAGGATGGCGACGCTATCATACATAGTCTCCCATCCCCCTATCAGGGTCAGGCGAACGAGGTGGGGCATCTCGGGAATGCTCAAGCCCTGACCGCGCTGCAAAGCATGCTCGTCCCCATCCGACCAGTGGATGCCGAGCGTAATCGAGGCGCATCCATGTAGTCTTTTGGGCGCTGTCGCTGACCTCCACCGCGAGCCGACGTAGGAGGTCCGAAGACGGCGGGTACGCGATGAGGTGCCGCTCGAAACATTCGCTGACGTCACGCAGCGCAAGGGCTCTCTCGTACCAGTCGATATCAGGATGAGGGCTGATGCTGCGGAGACAGTCTCTCATTCTTATCCGCCGATTGAGCGAATTCTCTGACTCACGTGTTTCCGTCAAGGATGGGTTGACTGTAACCATCTTCTCCGCCAGATAAGGCCGCAGCGCCATCTCCGCCGGTCCTCTCCACCCCCTGCTCGTTCCCATCATCCTCCAGACCGTCTTCTCATCGCCAGAAAGTGACGCGATCTTCTCCACCAGCTCGGCCGGCAATCTGTCGACCGCGCCCCGTGGGATCGCTTTCTCGCCCGATTGAGCAGGCATCGCGATGATGCTACTCGTACAGATTGACAGAGTGGCGTGAGACGATGAAGAGAGCGTGAGTGTGCCTGAGCGAGTGGACCTGAACAGTATTGCGATAAAGCGAAGAGTCGAGCGAAAGAGAGGGAAGAATGTGGAGCTGCTGAATTTTGCATTCAAGTATTGAGCGCTGAGCAGCTATTCGACCGCTCGACGGCCTAAGCAGGTCACAGGCACAGTACGCATACATGATGTGGGCCTACATTCAAATAGCTACCCCCTTGCAGAGATTGGGGTGATTAGGAGAAAGAGCGAGCAGAAAAATACGTATACCAATTCGCCGGAACCGCCCCAGCCTGTACTTTCCCCTTCCCTTTGCCCCTGACCCCAGGTCTGAACATGTGGGTCCGCCCTCCACAGTCTCGACACCTCCGCAATGACGTTCTCCCTACTGAGTAGTCTCGCTGTCGACCTGCCGCCATTTATCCGCTCCATCCTCCCTTTTCCCCCTATCTCATCCTGGCCTCGTTCTCTGCAGCTCGAGGGGTCCCAGCTTCCCATCCATTGTTTCCGGCCGATCCACGACGTAGATGACGTTCTGTGCGATCCGATTGGCTGGGGTATCCAGGGCGAAGGGATCTTTGGGATACCCAGCAACCCATTGGACTTGCTTGAGGGCGCCGTAAAAGAGGAAGAGCTTCCGCAGGTGAGCGCCGATGTGGTCGTATATAGAGGGTTCCGAGGCGCTCCAGTCGGCGACAGCCCATACTCTCCCCTCCAGTCGACTTTCCGGCGGTACGATCCATGACACGCGTCTCAGGTGGGAGAAATCGGGCATGTCGTCGCGCTGAGAACGTCACGCAAAACGTTTTACCACCGAGCCCCGAGACAAGCACTCACAGGCACGTCCAACAGAGGATACGGGTCATCATCAGGCTCCAGGAGTGTAGCGTCTAGGACCAACATCCTGACGGCCTCCACGTGGCGGACGGGATCGCCGCTGCCGCTGCAGACCGTGATGAATGATAATAGGTGGTTTACGTATGGACCGTAAAAAGCGAGACCTTTGAGCGACTCGCAGAGATTGACAGCCTCGAGTAGGCCGATCGCTTGCAACTCGTCCTTGTCGTCGGGGTCGAAGTGCTTATCACCGGCGAAGTAGACGATGAGGTGGAAGAGATTGGGGCAGGATGGTTTGACGACGTGGATGATGTCCTTGATGGAGGTGCAATTGCCGATGACAGTGAGCCGCTGCATGTTTGGCCAGAGGGGGAGATATTCCTCAGGGCCATCGATTGCGTAGAGCGATGCGTCAACCGAGCGCGCGTGCGAGTCGCCGCTTGCCCAGTGTATGCCAAGCGATAGCTCCTGTAGATCGTACAAGGAGCGCGCAAGCTCGGCGAGGTACTGCAGGGCTGCACCAGTCGCCTGTATGGACAATTTGGTGAGCGACCGGGTCGCGGGCAGTACGCGACCGCACTCGGCGGGATAGCGGCCGTCGATCGCCCTCGGGCAATCGAGGGGTCCATCCTCCCCGAGGTACTCGTGGCCGCATAGCCCGTGGTCGCCCCAGCCATTGTCGACGATGTGAAGTTCCAGCTCTTTCAGCTGCGGCCAGAAGCGCTCCACCTGCCTCCATCCCGCGTCGCCCTCGTGGTCATTGACCTCGACCGCGAGCCGGCGGAGGTGGGTCGTCGTAGGAGGATACGCCAGGATATGACGGTCGAATCGAGCATTTACTATGCGCAGCTGTTTCCGGCGGGTACGGAGGGCTTGGGTAGATAGCGGCGTGATGGTTTTGTAGTCTATAGTCATATCAGCTGCTGCTCTGCACTTTACGGGCGCTTCGTACGAGCAGCATTCCGAGCAAAACTTACCGTTATCCATGAATGGCACCTTCGGCGTCACTTTTTGAACGGCCAGATGCGTCCCTAGTACCCCGTCCACTGCTTCAGCCCACCCGCCACGCCGGTCTATGGCCCGCCCGCCAGAGTGTCCGCTCATCATCAATACTCTCGACGATATGCCTGATAGTTTCGACCGGAAGTCGATGCAGCGGAGCCAGGGGCAGCGATACCGCGTCGCCCGATAGGGCGCTCATGCTGTCGCCTCGCTTGGAGTGCGGAGAGACAAAGCGATGGCCTCACGGCACGTTTCAATCAGCGATATAAAACGGACAGGAGCAAAGGACGGTCGGCCGCGTCGAGGGCATCGAGGAATGTGGAGTTGCACTAACTGTGGGGACGCTTTAACGTTCGCCTTGTCCGGTCTGTGGCTCATGCTTGCGGCCTGGCCCATGAGCCAGCAGAACGGTATCACAGAAGACACGCACAGTATACATTTCTCCCTGACATCAAAAGACACCCGGGATAACAATCTTCCTATCCCTTGGGAACCGCTCCCCAAATGTCTCCCTATACCACCCCTGTGCCCGAATCGCCCTCGGCACCATCGCCGCTACTTCATTCACCACAAACAGCCATTCGGGGACTATGAGCACCGGTGGCCAGTACCCGAGCCTGGCGATCCAGAGTGCGAGGCGTGGGGAGAGACGGATGGATTGGAGGGTGGGTACGGGGATGAAGGGGATTGGGGAGGAGATTAGGGCGAAGCAGGTCCATTCGAACCTGTCTGTCAGCGGTGTCTTGCTTAAGCAGAGAACGAGGACGAAAGTGCCAGGAGGGAGTGAGGGAGGAGAGAGACAGAGGGAGGTAACCTACCATTCGCACAAGTAATTCGGGAATGAGATGTACTTGAACAGCCCAGCCCGAGGGATCAGGTATCGTCCATTCCCAGCTGCCTTGTCGCCCTCTTCTTCCTCTTTCGACAGGCTGGACACAAGTCGCTGACCAGCCGGACGACGCAGGTCGTTCAAGACTTCGTCGTGATATACTACCCTAATTCAGCTTGTGCACTCCAGAAGAGACCGTCTAGCTGCTCACTGTTTCCAGCAAAACCGATTGCCCACCCCACAACGCCGAGCCAGAACCGGGTCTCGTGGACCGAGATATAGGTGGGAAAGTAGGCGAGTCCGCAAGCTACCATCGAACCATTACTGTATGAGTCAGACCGTGCTCCTCACCCCACAATCAAAGGCAGACCGAGCGGGACTCACAAGAGATTAAAGAGGATCGAGGCGATCGTCACGGTGATATGCTGGGGGCTGCGCTGCGGCGACAGGAGCAGCGGTGATACGACTGCTCGGTGAAGATAGTGGATCGTGTACATGGTCTGTCGACATAAGCTGGACTCTCCTCTTGGGCTCCTCTTGGGCTGGCTGCAGAAGGAGCGGAACATACCGCCAGGATCTTGTTCTCTGGTGAGAGCGCCCGATGAGTAGTCAGATTCAGAGTCAGTAGCAAGGTAATGGGCTGGCATGTGGTCAGCTATTAAGCGGTCTGGCCAGAGGAAAGCGTCTATGTAGCTCACTGAGATGATCTCCATAAGAAACCAAGCCACGTTTCCTGCTCGTCAGCATCAGTTCCCCCTTTGTTCTGAACGATCTGACTCCAGCTCAACATCGCTTTGTACAGTGACTTGATCGAGGAGAAGCTGACATACCATTCAGGTTCAGCCTCGACTCTTTGGAGAAGCGACCGAAGCCGGCATCCATATGCAAAGTGATCGGGAAGTGTAACGGGAAGGTATGGAACAATAGCAGGCCGGGGAAGAAGAGGGCAGGTGGGCGAGAAGCCGCCAGGATGGCGAAGAGGTCTTTCGGCATGACGGCGAACGTATGAGAGCTCAGGTGTACTGAGAGACAGACCTGACCATGCGCAGACTATTCACAGTATAGATGAAAGCGAGTTATAGGTAATAGGTGGAGATCGACATCCAAATGGAGCTCGGAGGTCGCTCGAAGCGAAAGGAATGTGGAGGTGCACGTGGTCGTCGCAAAGCAGAGTCTTTACGTCATCTCTCGGCTCACAGCGATGTCCGCACTGCCCATGAGGGGTGGCCTCGCATCAGCTCGCATCATCGTGAGAGCAGGAGATTCGAGCTGATAATTCTATCGCATACAAATATCACATCACCCAGCACGACCCGGAATGATGTGAGGTACCCTTTACCCCTTTTGCCCTTCGCTACAAATCCATATCTTCCTCCATCGCTCCTTGACTCCCAGCTGCTGCCCCTGCTCCCTCCTCGCCCTGACCCCCTTTTACCTTCTCACACGGCGCACTGCCCGCCCGCCCCTTCCCCCTCTTCTTCGCACTGACCAACGTCCACCCATCCTCCGCCTCCCCTTCTTCCTCTTTGACAGACTCCAACTCCCCTACCCCCGGTCCTGCACCTATCGCACTCAGACTCCCACTCCGCTGCAAACCCCTCTCCCCCATTGTCGTCATCGTCAAGGACGACGCCACTGTCGAATTGCCCCCGTTGAGTCGACCGCCATTGACTGGGCCTAGCGGAGAGACAAAGTCAAACTTCCCGCTCGGTACAGGACTGCTCCCGTCCCTCATCCCTTCCGCGCCCAGTCCGCCTGTACCGCCTCCGCCTCCGCCGCCAAATGCACCAGGAGCCGTCTCGTCTCCACTAGGCAGGATCCGAGGGGGCGTCCATGTCCCGCCTCTTGTACGACCGGGCGAATACTCTCCCATCCCGCCATATACCGACCGGCGCTTCTCTGCGCGCCGCGGAGAGAGGGGTCGAATGGGTGTGGCAATCCCGAACCCGGGCCGAATAGCGCCGCCTAGAGCAGGCGAGGACGTCCGGCGGGGTGTCGATCCGATGGATGTAGCAGGAAAGGGAGAAGGGACGGTCGACATGGGTCCAAAGATCGTGTTGTTGGGTAAAGGCGATCCGGAGCGGCCCTTCTTACTGATGTCCGGAAGGGGTATTGACGTTCTCCGCTTCTTCTTGCCGCCTCCCCCGCCACCGCCGCCGCCGCCCCGATCGTGGTCGTCCCACGCACTTGAGTCGTCATGACAACCCCGCTCATCTTCCGGCTCGACCTTGACCACCGTGATGCTCGCCAAGCGCTTCTCTCGCTCTTCGGCCAGTATTCGCATTTTTTCCGCCCTCCGCTCATTCATCACCCAATTCACCTGCTCATTCCACCGTTCCTTCTCCCGCTTGATATCGGCCGGATCACCCCCTACGCCGGGGTGCGAGCGGCAGTGTGCTGCGTTTTGTTCGCGCGTGTGCGCGAGGGTGTCGAAGCCAGAAGGGGAGGCGGCGTGGTGATATGCCGATTGCAGGGAGATGGAGGCTAGGAGGGGTGGGGCGGGGCGGAGGTGGAAGGGAAGTAGGCGGGATTTGACCGTAACGCAGCTGTTCCTCAGCTAGGTCAAAGGAAAGGAAATGAGAGAGCTCACGGTTCTATGCCTTCATCGTATATTCGCACGGGGAAGTAGTGGTATCCCTTGGGCATAGTGCGGCCCTGGTAGAACACCTTCTTATCTATAACCTGTTACTCAGCGGAGTTCCTGCAAGCTCAGTGAGCACATACCTTGCCAGGCCACACTCCGTTGTCTGGCAAGTCGACCAGAACTACGTCCCCTGGTTTGGGAGACCATCTCCTCCATTGCTGCTCCTCATCTGCACACAGGCCATACATGGCCACAGGTCCGAGGTGTGGCTTCGGTATAGACCGCCCGGTCTCATCCTTCGCTACCATTATCAGCTTCACTTCCTGAATCTCAAAGCCCAATCAGAAGCAACTGACCCTCCTCCCCATCCTCCATCGCCGCATCCCCCTCTTCTGCCCCGGCTCCCTCCTTGGCCTTCCCCTTCCCCTTATCCGCATATCCCGAACAGCTCAACACCTCCATGCTCCGCATCACCCAATACCGCTTTACAGCCTCTTCCCACCTGACTTTAGCCTGTCCTGGCGCAACCTGGATGCCCGCGGCATTCTCGAACTTGGCGATGAGCGAGTCGAGCCGGGTAAAGGTGTCTGTCGCGAGCATGTCGAGGGCAGCGTCCAGCGAGGAGAGGGTAATACTGCCTTTGGAAGAGGAGCGGCATGGTGAGGTTTTCCGCTTTGGCATGGTGTCTGGGTAGAAAGGGGGCGAGTGCTGGTCCTAGTGGGAACTAGCGGCTGGCCAGCGGAGGAAGGAAGGTGGTAGATGGCTGGTGACAGGCAGGTGGCAACCTCGGAGTTCGGAGTGGCGAGTGGCGGACCGAGATGTATTAAGCGGACATGGCAGGCGAGTGAGGTAGGTAGGGTATAGACAATGATAGCGCTCTAACTACTGTGCCGCCTGTCGTCTCTTCCCTGAGCCGCGAGTCCACCTAACCTATGCTTAGTGATGGTGGGTAACACCTCTTCGCCGCTGCTTCTGGGATCCCTCCGCTGCTGGCGGACATGATTCAGCAATAACAGCCGGATATAGCCCCGATCTCCGCTCAGCACGTGGCCTTCCGTCGGAAGCGGTTGCTGGCCTCATGCATGACGCTCAGCTCAGCCAAAGCGTAAAGCTGAGTTTTCCATACATATGCTAAGCAGATCAGCTACCAGACTGACCCCTCAGCTTCGCTTGACACAGACGTACAGACCCCTCCGACTCCGCAAGATGAGCTCCGCTTTGCCGTTCAAGAAATACCTCCCCGAGGCGGAATTAGCCGTCCTCTCTGTGCTTCGGGCATGCCACCTGTAGGTCTGGGCTCGTTCTCTGCTCTATTGATAGCGCGTAGTGGTTGGTCCTGGCTCTACTGATACCTATGCCGCGCCGCTGATGGTGCTTTTCCGAAGCCGATCATCATCGCTGACAGCTTCAGGACGAGCCAGGTTCAGCAGAAGCTGGTCAATGAGGACACCCTGATCAAAAAGGACAAGTCCCCCGTAACAGGTCAGCTGGCACATCCGGACGATCTTTTGTCTCAGATCACAGCTGAATCTACCAGTTGCCGACCTCTCTGCGCAAGCACTGATCACCCTCCACCTCCGAGAACACTTCAAGGATGAGATCATCGGAGAGGAGGATACGACTGAGCTCCGTGCGAACTCTGCCCTGCGAGAGCGGGTCGTGGGACTAGTGGACGAGGCATTCGGACGCGAAGAGGGATGGGGCAAGGGGAAAACATGGTCGGAGGATCAGTGAGCTGATCCGCAGTCGTTATCGTCATAGGACTAGGAGCTTACCGAGCAGGATCTTGGAGGCTGTCGATGCGGGGTCGGCAGAGGGTGGAAAGAAGGGCCGATTCTGGACCATAGTAAGCTGAGGCCAGGAAATCCTCTACTGCAAAGCTGACATACAGGATCCTGGTCAGTTACTGAATCCAGCTCCAGTGAGGCAGAGCAAGAGCTGATGCAGTAGTGGACGGGACTTCCGGTTTCATCCGGAAACAGCAATACGCAGTCTGCCTGGCGCTGATCATCGATGGTCAGGTCGAGCTTGGCGTCATTGGGTGCCCGAACCTCGGATCTCAGCCTGCCAAGATGGGCGAAGAGGTCATCCCGAATGGAGAAGGGGTATTGATGATCGCTGTCCGGGGAGAGGGGAGCTATTCTGTACGTTAATCCACCTTTGACCTTCGTCAACCGACTGCAATATGTCCCACTATCACAGCTTTCCACCTCGCACCAACCCTTGCAGGCCAAGCTGACACTTCAGCGCCCCCTTGCTACCGCCGACTACACCCGCCTCTCCCTCCCCTCCACCCCCGCCGCCAACACCCTCACCTTCCTCGAATCCGTCGAGGCCGGACACTCGGCACACGGGATCCAAGCGCGCATCGGAGAGCTCCTCGGCGTCAAGCGGCCTAGTCTCCGGATGGATAGTCAGGCAAAGTATGCCTGTCTCGCGCGGGGCGAGGGCGGTGTCTAGTAAGCTTCTTCGACCTCGAATTCCCATCGCGTGGTTGGACGGGGCTGTCAAGCTGACTGCTTAGTCTGAGAATACCGACCAAATACTCTGGCGGCAAGCTGTACGACGAGAAGATTTGGGATCACGCCTCGGGCTTGTTGCTCATCCAAGAATCGGGCGGGGTGTGTACCGACATGCACGGGAAAGAACTGGATTTCAGCGTCGGCAGGACATTGAAGGACAACGAGGGGATTGTGGCGGCTGGAAAGGGACTGCATGCGGAAGTTGTGGAGGCTGTCAAGAAGGCGGTGGAGGAGGCGGGTAAGAAGTAAAGTGGGTCTGATGGGGAAGAGCGGAAAAAAAGCAGTACGAGTATAGAGTATTCATATGATGTACTGTAACAATGCTGGCTATACACAATGTGGACGTGCCTTCTGTCATGCCGTCTATCTACATGGATCTCCTTATTGCAGCCTTCCACTACACTCTATTGCTAGATGTCGTTCAGCTCGTCCCCGCTTCAATCAGTCCGCGAACACCTCGAGTCCCTCGTCCCCTATCCCAAAGCCCCACTCCACCCCTGCCCTACCCCCTAATCTCCCCTCCACCCCCCTCATCCTCACTCTGGCCATATACCTATCCCCTACACCACCTCTCCTTACCCGATCCCTCGCATTCAGCGCATCCGCCAGCATCACATCTGTGGGCATTTGCAGACCCCTCGATCGACCCAGGAGGACGAGCTGGAACGTGAAAGGCCAGTGGGCGGATTCGGGCTGTGGTCGAACGGTAGACGTAGATGAGGCGGGGAGGGTGGATGGATAGGCTTGGGTAGAGGTGGAGGGGTCTTCTGAGGCGTCGCCGGGTCGGAAGGCCCATGGCGATGGGTAAGGAGGGGGAAGGTAGGGTGCGAAGAATTGGGTAGGTTGGGACGTTTCGGGTTTCTTCTCGTGCTAGTCTCGTCAGCTGTGGTTCCTCATGCTCTTCAATTTACAAGGGAGGGTGTCTGAAAGCTCACCCATAGCCCCTGTGTTGTGGTCACCACCACACAACCCATCTCCTTTCTCAATACGCCGATCGCATCCATCACATCCCGCATCCCCACACCCTCCAGACCTCTCACCCCAGGTACGCCCGTCCGTTTCTTGCCCGCAGCGCTTCTCTCTTCCTCCGCATACCGTTCCGGCCAGAAGCAGGCCGAGAGGCCGTCCATACAGACCAGCGACAGCGCTTCCTCTCCCCCTCCCGCACCCGGCGTAACCAGGGGATATGCCAGACTCCGCAGCGCCAGCGCCCAGTACCTATACCTCCCCTTCACCTTCACAATCCTCAGCCGGCCCAGAGACTCAGCTACACAAGCCTCGATAGCGCGCTCCATGGCCGGTGTAAGCCGCGCAGGGCCTACGGTAGATACCACGCCGGAGACGGCGGTGCGTATATGCCCGCGCATGACGCGAGCGAGGGCCGGGATGGAGGAAGGCGAAGAGACAGAGTGGAGGAGCGCGCAGAATTGGGATTTGCCGCCGAGGGGGATGTGGTGTGGTGTGGAGGAGGAAGGAAGGGGGAGGGGGAGAGAGTAGGGGAGGAGGGAGGTGAGGAGGAGGAAGCTGAGGAAGGTTGATTTGCCTGGGGGTCAGCTGGGCTGTCATAAATAAAGCAGAGAGTTGATAGTGCGAGAAGCTGCCAGGGTTCCGGGAAAGACTGGTATGGGTGGAAGGAGTGGTATGGGTCACATACCTGAACCAGAAGCACCGACAACCTCGATAAAGTCCCCTCTTTGTAGGGTCGATCCATGCGTTGAAGAGCGATATGGGGCAAGTACCTCGTCCAGCTGTGAAACGAAGAGGGGACCGGGTGGTGCAGCTTAGTAGTATCAGTACTACAGTCCATACCTAGCGACACTGGAAGGCAGATCTTAAGCCAGCCTGAAGCGAGAGAAGGAAGACGTACTGTGATACCGGACCGCGTTGATCGCCTGATGGATCAGCTGAGGTTTCAGATGCCGAGCGGATCATCAAAGCCCATAGGATTGCTGTCGGCTACTGATGAGGCGGGGGGCGATTACCATGTCACAGCCCCCTCATATGCCTAGTGACTGGGTGATCAGAGGACCTACCTGTAACGCCGTCCCGCACTCGATTTGAGCCAACATCTGCGCAGTACTGCTGGTCATCGCGGCGGCTCTGGAGAGTATGCAATCCAGCGGCAGCGAGGGAATACAGGTGAGGGCCCCGTGTAGGAGGATGCAGGAAGGATAGAGGGCAAGTCCACGGTGAAGGGAGAGGTAGAAGGAAGAAGCGTGAGCGTGACAGGTTCCCCACCTTGATCCCCCACTTTCAATTTCCATGCGCTCATTAGGAAACTCGACCTAATTCTGATTCCGCTAATCTAATTCCTGTCAACAAAGCTCTGGAACCGCCGAGGACAGCTCGCTCACTCTACCTTCATCCTATATCCTGGTGGTGTGTATGCTCTCAGGACGATGGCTCAGGAGAACAATGTAGAGCAAGATCTCTCACATATACACTGGTAAGCTGGCAATGGCTAAACTCCGGCTGAAAGTTCACAGCTGACTCAAGCAGGTCATGGCCCGAGGCAATAGCGGTCAGCTCACGTCTCTCCTCGGCTGCCAGAGATTACAGCTGACGTATCAAGGCCAATCCGGCTCGGTCGCTCGCTACGGCCGATCTGGCGTGAGCTGCTCCACCTGGCACCCCAAAAGGTCGGCCATTGGCTGACTTCGCAGGATGGACTACTTTGCATACTCGCCCTTCTTCGATACAAACTCCAACAATAGCGTCCTGCGAACACAGCGGAGGGTTGAGAACCCGGCATACGGGCACGCCGAGGAGAAGATGTAAGCTGCCGCGCACCCTGAACTCCAATTCCATGGATATAGCGTGAGAGAAGCAGCTGACCGTCCAGCGAGCTGAACGCCTTCCGGTCCGGCTTTGAATACATTATCGCCCACTCACAGCCTCCCGAGCTGTTTGTCGTGCATCGCCGTACGGTCCAGCCAGACGGCACGCGATCTGCCATTAGTGCGGCGTACTTTATCCTGCAGGAGAAGATATATCCCACTCCGACACTATATGGGGTAATGTCCGCTCGACTGGTACGCTGTCTCCTCTGGGAATAGGATGGAGCACAGCTGACGATTCCAGCGGAATGCATCACATCTCGTCTCCACTACCTTCTCTACCCTCTCCGCAGCACATCCTCCTGCCAATCCACGCGCAACAAGCCAATGGCGCTCCCTTCCCCCCTCCGCGCCAGGTCAACCTGACTCTGCCGTCCCCGCCCCAGGCGCAGCAGAGGATGTCGAAATGGCCGACTCCTCCTCCCTTTCCGCTCCCGGCCACGAAACGTCCGGTACTGCCTCCTCCTCCGCACCGCGTAAGAGGGTCGAAGCAAAACAACCCGATTTCCACCTCTTCAACGCACTCCAATCTACCCGAATCGCACTGGGCGACCTAGAAAATATGGCGGCTAGTCCCGCGCAGGCGATAGATCCAAGGGACGAGCTCCGGGCGCTGGAAGCGCAGATTATGGGGAAGCAGAAGGGGACCGCGGCAGCGAGAGGAGGGGCAGGGCAGGGCCAGGGACAGGCGGGGAAGGTAGGGGTAGGATTGGGAAGTGCGGGGACGCCGAGTGTGAGGATGCCGCTGGTGGGGAGCTCGCCGGGGGTGTCGATGGTTGGAGGGAGGGCTATGAGTACGGCAACGGGTGGGATGGGGCAGTCGCCTTCTGTGTATAATCAAGTCTAACCCACGGTATACAATCAATACGATCTCGCACATACTGACTGCACTGAATGACATGCTTGATCCCTCTACCGGCATGAGTCTGAAATCAGTGCGAGCCGCGTACCAAGTGTTTCAAGCTTCAGTCTCAGTACATGCTGAATATTCTAACGTCAGATCACAAAGCAAAATCCGCCGCCACAATCCATGCTACCAAGACTACATACTACCGAGAAAAAGTGCCGCGTATGCTCCATATACTAAGCGGCATTCACCGTCCCTTCGTGCAGCGTACCGACCAACTTGCCGTCGACGTACCTGCGGAACTTGTACAGCGTCGCCGTCCCGTTGCCATGCCGGCTCAGGATGCGGTTGTGGCTGGAGAATGCCGTGGAGCCCCCGACGTCACCCCTTTCGTAGGTGTAGCCGTTCTGGGCTGCACGGGGTAGGGCTCCAGTCTGATTGATCCGCGCCATGGTCGCCTTGTCAAGACCGACCTCGTCGCCTTGGCTGGATGCTGCGGAGAACGCATTGTCGATGATGCTGTCTTGATCGGTAGCTTCCGCGGCATCCCAGTAGAGGTAATTGGCGACCGTGAACCCAATGAAGTGCTTGACGCCGAGCTGAGTACTGAGAATGACTGACATATGGAGGAGCAGGTGGTGTGGAAGGGGTAATTCATCAGGAGAGGCAAAGGTAGTGGTGAAATGAAGGGAGGCAGACAGGGGCAAGGGACGTAGCTGACGCCTTATATATGTAGCCCTCACAGATCAGATCGCCACGACGTCGTCGTCCGTTGTTGAGATATCCTGGAGGGGAATCCGGCTTCCGAGCCTCGCATGATGTCATACCCGGTGGTGCTTCTCATGGAGTGGGGGATAAAGGTTTGCACCGGCCGATCGTGGCGGACAGCGTCGCGTCAGCTGGGGCCGTCGGATGGACTTCCACTTTGCTTCAATCTGCGAAGCCATCACGCAGCAGTGTCCGTGACGTGCGATGGTGTTTAGCGCATCGAAATCGCATTGATCAGCCTCGCAGCCTATCGGCGTACGTGCCGCACGATACCGCCTTCCTACTACAGAGAGAAACGGCGTGGACGCCGTTCCAGGGATCCAGAAGTCCTCGTCACGCGCGGCGCGATCCTTTGTCGCTCTCGGTCTACTCAGAGTCTCACATGGCGGCCGCGGTACGCGTGCAATCGCCGCATGAGACGTACCGCAATCAGTATTTGCTCGGAGCCAGCCTACTCGCGGACTCCGCGCCTCTCGATAGCGATAGGACCACCCAGAGCCTGCTATCCGATACGGTACCAGTAGCAGCAAAACCCTCGGCGAGTCGGCATATGATCATAACTTCATTATTCACTTTCAAAATCAAGACCGTGGTATTTCCCCTTACGTTCCCTTCAGCAGGACTCTCCATCCTGTACGAGCTTCTGGATAGAGCCAAACGCCAGCGCTCAAACAGACACAGCTTGGACACAACGAGTCGAAGCCTTCGAGAGCAAGGCTGAGACCACCTCAGCCAGTAACACCGATACATACCAGGGGAAATATCCTTTTGCATATTCTCCGCTCGCTTCCCTGCCCATCAGATATGCATGACCTCACCGCTGGCTCTCGCCTTGTGCCACGTCAGGTGGGGTGTACTCGCGTAACTCGTTGTCTTTGATCTGCCTCGCCACCGTCCCGTCCACCAGCGATCCCGTGATCCCGTCCTTGCGGGAGACTGAGTCAACGGTGAAGAGGAAACCGAGTATTTTCCCCCTCCCACCGGCGATGCCCAAGATCCTGTTTTCGCTGTAGTACACATTTCAGTCCGCCGGGTACGTCAAGTTCCCGTAATCACGAGTGGAGAATACCAAGGCTGAGGCTGTCTGCTCCCCGTACACATCTGGGGCTCGCGGGGTTGTCGACCGCGGCAAAGACAATGTGCGACGCAACGATACTTGTTCGGACCACGGCTCGGTCCAGCTGAAGGTGAAGGCTTTGCGAAGAGGCTTGGGCTTGTCGGGCTTCTCAGTCTTCTTCGTGCGCGCATCGTGGTGCCTGACTGTGGTGTCGAGCTGGCAAGTCGATTTGTCTGCTTGAAAAATGGCGTCAACCCATTTGTCCGCCGCGGTGGCCTCCGCATGCCCTCCTGCAGAGAATGTCTCCCAGGCCCGACTTGGCTTCGTTTCGACGACGGAGGTTTCGTCAGGCATGGTGCAGGTCGTGGTGTGAGCGTGTGGGTCTCGCGTGTCTTCTGTTTGAAGGTGGCAAATGAGGTGGATGTTGGAACTTTACTTGAGGGCCTGGGGTGACACATATATATCGGTTTGGGGGCTACCCGGCGGGCGTCTATTTGGCTCTCCGACTGGCCGAGCACGATTTATCGACGGCAATCGGTCTTCCAATCAGTCTCGATGGGTTCCAGCCCCTCCTTTCGCCCTGCGCTGTGACGTCACGGCGCATACACGCTGTCTCCTGAGTCAGCTCCGTGACGGGGGTCCTTTGTATTCCTCGGAGCATTCTTATCATACTCGCCCCGACGTGTCGCAGCACGTCATGTATGCAAGCAATGGTCCGCCGGCCGGCGTTCTCTCCGACGTGTATCACTGAGATATCTCCAGCGTGAGACTCCTTTATTGCGCTACCAATGCGATGACAACGCGCCACCGTGTTGTCTCTTGCGTCGAGCAGGCTGAACGGCAGTCCGATATGGGTTAGAGTGGCGACGAGTTTCCGATCAAGACGAGGCATACTCGTACCAGACAACATAGCCGACTTCCGATGAGCGGTTGTCAGTGACCAATGTCAGTCGCAAAACACCCCAGAGGATGAATGGGCACAATCCAGTCTCCGATCCGCTGTCCCCGATTTATCTGTCCATGCAGATTAAAGCTCAGTCCCTCCCCCTCGCAAAGCTCACAAACCGCCTCAGCTCCCCAAACGCCTTCCCCTCTCTTCCCCCATCACCCGCATCCACACTTGCCGCTCTCAACAGATGCGGCAACACGTTTCCGCCCGCATGTGGCGGCGAGAACAGGTGGCTCGAGGTAGGCGAGAATAGATTAGACGATGACGGCGAAGCGATCATGCGCTCTTGGGCTGGGTCCATATCGAGCGATGTGAGGAAGGAGGTATCGGCAAGATCGTCTTTGGTCGCTGTGACGGATAAGTAGGTGTCGATGAGCTTTTGTTGTTCGCTGCGCGGGGTGCCTTTCAGGTCGAGAATCTGCAGGATTAGCGATAGCACCCACAGCGAGAAGGAGCAGAACGGACCTTTTGGAAGTTGGTGAAAGCGCGATCACCGATCAGCAGGCAGTAATTATGTACGAAGCCTGTAAATGTCAGTTTCTGTCCGAGGAGAATGGCAGCTGAACGTACCTTCTGGCGGGTCATCTGGAGCCATGACCACTTTCAGCATAGTCTCGAGCTGCCCGATGTTCTTGGTGACGTATTTGGTATAAGCATTTGTCGAGTTCTCCGGATGCGGTTCGGGTAAATCCAGCAGACAAGCTTTCAAAGCTTGTGCGTCTATAAGTATCTGCCGGTGTCAGCTAACAATCTCCAGTATTTGGACCCGCCAGCTCACTTGTTCGGCACCGATCTGCTTCAAGGGTCGACTCCGCACCACCGCCTGCGTGAAGCGGCTCATCAACAGTCTGTCAGATTAGCTCCAGCCCGGTCGTGCCAGTCAGCAGCATAACTCACCCAACAGCCTTATCCGCAAAGTTCCGGATATACTTCTTCCCCTCGACCCTCGTCCGCACAATCTCCGCCACCTGCTTGATGCTCCCTACCAGATCGACAACATACGCAGACCGCCCAGAAACATTATCGAGATTCGCCCAAGGAGACCGGATGATGGCGGCTAGAGCGGGTTCGCAGTGGGTCTCGAGTTTTCGCAGGACGGTGGCAATACAATTGGATATCACGCTGTACGGTCAGCCATGTCTCGCTGCGTCTTCACTGAAAGAAGGCTTACGAAGCAAAAGTATCCCGCTCAGCCTGGAACGACACGTCTTCCTTGAGCGAGTCCTGGATCTTGTCCTTGACCCGCTCTTCGAGTTGTAGTGATGTGGTTTGGCAGTATTCAGCCGTATTGAGGATCAAGCACGCCTGCTTGATTTCCTGTAGGTTCGCCTTGCCTTCGAGGGATCGTCTGGGCCCGACTTCGGCCTTCTTAAGACCTGATAGCAGCACCTCATCTGCGTACTTTAGCATTGCGACCTCCAGCTCATCGACGCAGATGTGCTTACCCGAGTACACCTTCAGCCACTTGCCAAATACCCTCGCTAACCGTCGCATCGGCTCGCCCGTCGTATACTTCTGACACTGATCCAGCGTCTGGCCGTAGAAGTAGAACAGCTCGGTCGAAGACGGCAGGACAGACGGTCCAGCGACTTCGGTATCGTGCTGCATGGCGCCCTCCATGGAAGAGCGAGAGCGAGGACCTCGGTATTGGGATAGCATGTCGGCGATCGCCCTGTCAGAGTCAGCTACGGCCCCGCGCAGCTATATAAACCAGGACTCACCGATCCTGCGCATCAACGTATACGCCAAAGTAAGCGTCGAACACGCTCGATATCGTCCATTTGCCTTGTGCCGCGGACGACAGCGTTCCTCCTCGCCCTACCAGCTCGTCAAACTGTGATATCAGCTATATTCAGAAACCTTGCTGGAGGCTTCGAGCTTGCGAGACTCACCGGCACCTCATACCGCTTGGCCATAGTACCTTCGAAATCCAGCGTACTCTGCAGCGCCTCCAACAAAGCCGCCACTCCCGGCTGCTGCTTCCCCAGCACATTCGCCAGATCCGCCTTGGTATACTCGGCAAAGTTGGTTGTAAGCAGCCTCGAGATCTCCCAGCTTGCTGGGAAGAGGTCGACATCCTCGTCATCGTGGTGTTTGAGAATACGGCGGAACCAGGCGTATCGGCGGGGGACGTTATCGAGTTGGCCGGCCTCGTCGGTCGAGCGGAAGATGCGGCGGTACTCGGTGAGCTGGAGCTGGAGGTAGCGCTCAATGATGTGGTTCCTGGAACATTCAGCATAGAGCCCTAGTAAACTCCGTGTAGCTGATAACCCACCGGAAGTCAGCGCCCAGGACGTCGATGACCAGACAGACCTGCTGGACCAGCTCGTGATCTGGCGGATGATTGGGATCTTGTCGGAAGCTAAGCATGAGCGAAAGCCTACCGTTCCACGAAGAGGTATAGCTCACTAGACGTCCATCTCTGCCGCGACCTTCTCCTGGACCTGCTTCCTGTCTTCCTCGGCTGCACGGAAGAGCTCAGCAACCTCCGCAATGGCCGAGAGAGGCCTCAGCGGGCCGAGCAGCTGTAATACCGCCTGTTGCGTCAGCTATCGATTCCCGGTCCCTTTCCAGGTGTGATTGACATACAGCTAGGGCTTGCGATATCTCCCTGTACCTCTTGCCAGGTAATAGATCCTTCAGCTGCTGATGTGCTTGTTCTGCCCGGATCAGCTCAACTCCGTCTTAGCATGTATGCAAGCTGACTGAGCATCTCCCATCTCTCTAGTGTCTGGATAGCGCCCGTCAAGTTGCGCTTGGCAATGTCCAGCTTCTGCACATCGGTCGTGATGGCCTTGACGATAGCTTCAGCCTCGGCGGCCTTCTCTCGGATCACATTGATTTGCAGCATGAGTTGCTACACCATCAGCTCCATGCCTTGCTTCTCGGTCAGTGACAGAGTATGTGAAGCTCCCGGCCATGGTAGGCACCCCACTTACCCCTATCTGTGACTGTATCCTGCTCATCTTGCCCGGATCCTGATCCCTCCTCAGCTCCTGCTCCAGCACCTCAATCTCCTCCTTCACATCCATGATCTCCAGTTGGAGCCGCGCATGGATCTGCTCATGCTGAGCTAGCGACTCCGCTGGGCAGGTCAGCCATGTACCCTCGGCGAACAGAGTAAGGACGTACCGTCCGGGAAATCGTTGCTCAGGCGGGACAGAACCTTCTCGGTCGTTTCTCGTCGAGTGCTCGGTCCTGGATCGCCGTTCGACACTGTGAGCGCCATATTGACTCTGACAAAAACTATCCTGGAGATAGTCGCGGTGGGAGATTGAGGTCCAGAATGGGTTAGTAAGGGCAAATAAGAGAAGGGTAGCAACAATATCCTTCTCGTTTCTGGTCAAGAGCGCGACGCGTTCCTCCACATCACCTTGTCATCATACCTCATCCTCCCTATAGCTGCATCATGCAGATATGGGCGCATTCGATGCCCCTATACCGTACGACAAGGCCGTCTACATAGGTAGGCCTCTTGTCCGACTTCCCAGAACGAGAATGAGCTGACATAGCCAGAGACCGATACCGGGAGTAGGTCCCCCTTCTCCCCCCTCCCCCCGCCGGGCTAGTGAAGCTCGGGCCTGACATAGCAGACAAAGTCTCCCGTAAGGCACTCATTCAAGGTGCTTCTAACATCGTCCTCGGAGGGAAATCAATCATCCAGACCGGTCAGCTCATTAAGCGCGACACTACCATGCCATGGAGGCATCAAAGCGCTCGAGCTGATGTTGGCAGGAGCGATACTCCGAGGTGATCTTCGCCGGAATGCGCCTGGACAGCATCCCGTCATCACGATGGGGAGGTACTGCACCGTAGGGGAGAATGCGGTCCTCCGACCCCCTGGAAAGATGTACAAGGGGTAAGTCTGCTGTCTGTTTAGTAACCCCTTGACCTCGCATAAGCGTGACCGCTCTAGTTTCGTAGTCTATGAGGATCACCAAGACAGGGGCTAATGAAGTCAGACAATTCACATACTACCCTCAGCGCATCGCTGACTTTGTTACCATCGGGAAGGACGCCGTCGTCGAGGCCGCACAGATAGGCAGTGGGGTGGATATAGGCGAAGGGGCAGTCATTGTCAGTTCAAAATCCCCACCCTCATGACCTGAGAGACGTCGAGCTGATCTGTAGGGCCAATTCGTCATCATCAAAGATCTGGCGGTCATTCGGCCGGGTACGGTTTTGGCAGATGCTACCGTGGTGTCGTCGATGAGCGTATGGGAGGGCAACCCAGGTGAGCTCAGACTGCTGATCTTCTGACACGGACGACGAAGGCTGACTGCCAAGGACGCCTGGTCGATACCTTACCGGAGACATATCAGGAGACAGTGGAAGCGAGCTGCCGAAGCTTGTATCAGCGCTTCCGGCCTAACGCCTGATCTCGACTTTCAGTCCCCAGGACCTAGTCCAACATCGTCATCCCTGCATAAGATCGCGTATATAATGTCATCGTCAAGTTATCACAAGTCATCACCCTCCTTTCCAAGATCTATAGCCTCTCTTCCGCCCCCTCCGCAGCAGCCGAAACCTCCATACTGACCGGCCTAGACCCACTGCCCGCGCTCCACAGCGTACTGACGCTCCCGCTCTTACTCATCCTACCCCTCCCCATCGTTCTCTGCCCATCCACAGACTGTCCGCTTCCCCGGCGCATACTCGCCCGTCGGTCCCTTACCGAGCTAGAGGGCGACGGGGCCGTAAATTCGGCATGGTACGATCCCTTCGCAATCATCTTGGACTGCTCCTGCTCCTTCTTGTCGAAGGCCGCCAGCGCCGCAGTGGCCGTATCGTCATTGACTGGCGACATCGGGTCGGCCAGTTCCAACGAGGGCGAGAGGGTTGATGCGAGACGGGATGAGAGCCGGGAGAGCGGGGTCGTCCGGGATGACGCGGATGAGTCAGAGCCGGTGCTCGTCCGTGTTTGGCTCTGAGTCATGGATGGGGCAGACATGTCCGGCTCGAGTTCCTCCATAATCCCGCCAGAGGGTGAGATGGAAGAACGGTCGATCCCCATAAGCCGCATGGCTGCTTCCATGCGATGGCGCTCGCGCCGGTCCTCCTCGTCCTCGGCTTGCGGGTCGAGCTTGCGCGCGGTGATTCCGCCGTACTCGGCGGGGCAGTGCATGGGTGGAGAGGGGATACGGACGGAAGGCGGGCGGGAGGATTGCGATGCGGTCCGCCGAGGGAGCTGGAGGGGTTTCAGGCCTTTGGGCTCGGGAGGTGAAGGGGCGGGTGCAGCGGGTGCGGAGCCGAAGCCGAAGGACCGGAAGTCGATCGAGAAGCCTCGCTTGGCCTACAGGATCAGCTGGAGCCACAAGTGTCTGATCGGCTCAACTTACCTTCTTTGTAGCCTTGGCTTCCTCCTCCCTCGTAGCAGCCGGAACGGCCGACATCGGTGCCACTGGCAGAAACTCCTCCCTCGCCACCTCCATCGGCAAAGCAGGCCCAGACGAGAACGCCCTCGCCATCATGCTCATCGGCCTCGCCTTTTTGACCGCCGCAGGCTTGCCCTCTTCGGCCGCTACAGCTCTCGCCTCCTGCACAAACGCAGGCAGGGACGGTACAGGCGGCGGTACATCCCCCTGCATGTTCTTGACGATATCGTGCACGCTCGTCCGAGCGGCGATACCGATCCGGGATCGATGGCTGGGGTTGTGCAGTCGCCGTGTCTTGTAGTCTACCGCTAGGACATGCTCGAAGCCTTCTTGGGCGATGATACGGTCAATGATCTGGGGGAGTCAGCAAATCCCGCCTTCCAGCTACCGACCAACTGACCTTGGAGCAGTAGAGCGAGAGCGCCTTGTTGGACTCGCGTAGCTGCTTAACCTCCGCCCGAAGCGCTAAAGTATCAGCTCATCGATCCCGCAGATGATCTCGGATGTTATAGCTTACCTTCGCCCTCCTCTCCTTTGCCTAATGCCCGCATCTCCCCTCCATCTAGATCGACCTCCGCCCGTCCCAGCTCAGCGGCCAGATCCAGCCCATTCCCACTGACCGCAAGATCCCCCAGGCTCTCCCCCTTCCTCTCCTTCCTCCCCTTGGCCGACCGAATCGTCCCCTGCATGTTCACAGGCGACGTGCTCATCTCCCCATCCATCGTCCCCTCCATCTCCTCATCCAACGCCTCTAGCCCCGACAACCTTCCCCGAGACCTCCCCGCCTTCCGGCCCGTGAGTATTTCCTCCTGCTCCTCATCCTCGCTCATATCACCCTCGCCCTCGTCGAGCCACTCCGTCCCCAAAAGCCCTTTGCCCCTCATCCCCCCATTCAAGGTCCGTTCACGCATCAACAGCTCCCACCCTGCATTCTCCTCCTCTAGGCTCCGATTCTTCTCCTTCAGGTCTCCAAGCTCGGACGAGACCGTATTGAGCTGCGCAATGAGGGTGCAGTGAGAGGCGGAGAGGGAGGCGAGCTCTTCTTGCAGCATCTCGGTATCTTCGGCGGAAGTAGACGAGGCAGGCTTGGCGGATGTAGATGGACCGGCGGAGAGGGTTTTGATCCGTGTTTGGAGGTGGAGCTCCTGTGCCCGGAATGCTTCGCGCTCGGCTTCGAACGATTTCTCCTGTGCGGTATCAGCTTGGTAGTGCTGCTGCTGCAATGAGCAGAGAAACGCAGAAGCTCACCTGTTCGGTATACCGCTTCTGCCCATCCCGGAGGGCCTTTTCCCCCTCAGAAATTCGCGTCCGCATCTTCTCCAACAGCTCGTCTCTGCCCTCAAGATCCGCATCAAGCCTGCTCTGTACGCTTCAGCACCTGTCCGCGAACCTGAATGTATGCTGTAGATCCAAGAGGTTGCTCACCTGCTCGTTGTACGCATCGTCCACCCTAGATTGTAGCCCGCCCAAACTCTGAACCAGCTCTTCCCGCTCCTTCTCGAGCTTCCTCCGTTCACTCTCGAGCGCGTCAACATGTTCAGTCATCTATCCCATCAGCCAACATCCCATCTCAGAGTTTCCAGTGAGCATCATGTTCTCCCTTCAGCATATCGCCACCCATCTACACCGCCATCTCCCGCATCACACCCCAAAGTCAAATACTCACCTTATCCCGATTCTCCCACTCCCCCTTCAATGCACTGACCAGCTCCTCCCTTCCCGCCCGCCTCAGTTCATCCTCACTTCGCTCTATTAGTCCACCCATCACTCCCCCGGCCTTCTCTCGTCGAGACGCAGCGGGTGAAGGGGGTCCAGGGGCGATATTGGTCCGTAGTGTCGGAGTAAGGGAATTCCGCTTTGGCCGACCTGGGGGCGTGGGCCTAGACCGCCCCGGATGGGAGGGAGATATTCCGAGTGATGTCATACTTGCTGGAGCTGTTACCACAGATGGATAGCCGCAGATGCTTGCTGTGATGTGGAGCTGGGAAGTGAGGGTCCTTTGTTCCGAAGCGAGCGGTCCGCGTTGGTGTTCACCCTGCGTATCGAGACGGGCGGGTCGTAGCTTTGATTCGTAGGACGCCTGCTGGGATGATACGATGGTGTGATATAGCTGTCTAACTCGCTAAAGACGATAGAAGGCAATGAAAGGTATGTATGATCAGTGCACACACCTCTGTCCCGGTCAAAACCTTGTTGTCCCTAATTCTGAAACGCGGCATAAACAGCGCGTCACGCTTGAAACACACCCTGAAACATCCACTGTCAGTTGGGTGGGGTCTCCAAGTGGTCGATACCCACTATCACTATTAATGATGGGGTGGGGTGACCGTGTCGACGGGCGTGCCGCTAGCAGAACGACATCAAGTACCTTCTCAAGCCCTCGACCACGTAGCGTACCCCAACGGGATTCGTCCGCACGGACCCTCTTAATTCGTTTCCGCGTCTTCGTTTAGAACCAACGTCGTCTTTAATTCCAAGGATCCGTCCAAGGATTTGAACCTCGTGGGATCCAAGCAAGGGTACCATATCGTCCACTGATATCGTCCAAGATACACCGTCGCGTCCAATGTCAACGTCCAATGTCAACGTCAACGTCGGATCCGTTCGTCCTTCAAATACCGAGGACAAAAGGTCTTCGCGTGATCAATTCTTTTTGCCACTCTTGTCGATGCTCAATGCGGAAGCTAGTGTCAGTGCACGTGAGGCGTCTCGTCCGCAGATTATGCGAGCTTGTAGACCTGTAATGACGCGGACGACCCTACGAGATTACCTGCATGATGTGTTTCCTCCTTCCTACCCATTCCAAAGTGTCGTATCCCCACCATCCCTTGTACCACCTCTCGTTACCTCCTCAAAATCCCGGCGACCCGCTCCTCCCATATCTCGGCGTCTCCACCATCGGCGTCTCCGTCCCCTTCATCACCTGATCCACGAACCCCGCGCCCCCTCCCATCCCTTCCGCCTCATGCCCTGTCTGCTGATTCTCCAGGGCGTGCCTCACCCACTTCAAATCCCGACTATCAACCTCCTCCCTTGGCTGCGGAGGCATATCCACCGGACTTGGAGGCTCGACGGTGACTCTGGGGGTCGAGACGTCCAGCCTTTCCTTGTCCTTCCCTCCACTCTTGACCTTTCCCTTCCCACCTGTCCCCGCCTGAGCAGGCAGACCAGCCCGTAATGCCCTCCGACCGCCAAAATGGAAGAATACCAAACTCCCAGCTATCAGGATGTGTGAATACCACCCCATTCGGTGATACGCCTTGATGCAGTCCCTGAGGTTAAGGAGGAAGAAGGCAGAGACGATATAGTTGAGGTTGGCCTGGACGACGAGCCAACCGAGGATATCGTAGATCCGTTTGCGGGTATTGGGGTAGGGATATTGCGGGAAGGAGTTGGGTGCGGAGGTAGGTGCCGAGGAAGGAGGGAGGAAGTAGGGGCGGACGTAGTTGCGCATCTGGCGGCCGAGGGAGACGATCAGGCCGGCGGTGAGGAAGGCGACTGGGATGTCAGCTTGAGTCATGGAGGTCTGCAAAAAGCCATGAGCAGCTTACGGTAATATCCGGGCTCAACACCGTGCTGATCGATCAGCTATGTCCACGGTCTCGGGCTAATCATCAAGGCTCGCCAACTGACCCAAAGCGCAGAAGTCAAGAACGTAGCCATACTCTGCATGCTCCCCGGCTTCTTTCCCTTCTGCACCAGCCGCTTATATACGCAATCTCTCAGCCAGACCTACACATGTCAGCTATTGGCGCCGCGACCGTAGAGACAGCCCAACTGACATTCGTCCTGCAATTCCAATTGTCAAACACCACCTTGAAGCTCTCGGCCGTCTCGAGCGAGATGATATTGACGTTCCGAACGCGGTTCCACATCGTTCGGCCAGTCTTGGGATCGTACCCATTAAACCCAACTCCAGTAAGGATACACGCACCCTACAGCGTAAGCTCTCCCCCGTGTCATTACGGACGCATCTCTCAGCTCACCTCGGTAAAGCTCCAGACACCATAGTACTTTGTCCTAGCCACCAGCCCCGCAAACTGGATAAACGCAAACCGCGTCGCCCACCCCCAATTGTCCCAAGCGGGCGTCAGGATCCGATGGAAGCTCGCCTGCCCGCCGAACGCCGCAAAGATACCCATGAACCCGACGCCGAGGACGAGGTACAGGTATGCAACGCGTTTCCGGCCATACGGGATCCGGCGGGGTGCGGGCGTGTCTGATTTCTTGGAGGAGGAGGATGAAGGCGGTGGGGACTGATCGTATAGCTTGTGAAGGATCAGTGAGTCGTATGTTGCATAGTCGAATGTAGGGCCTGCGAGGGCTGAAGGGAAGAAGAAGCTGGGGAGATGAGCTGGGAACTTGGGAACTTGGAGAAGGACCAAAGAGCGGGAAGCGGAGGAGTAGGGACTGACCAGTAGCCGAGGTAGGCGAGAGGGGAGGGTACGTGTAGCAGGCGAGTAGCCATTTGACTAGCGTCAAGGTCCTGCTGCGTGAGCTGATCCCCTTTCAATAGATCTGCCCGTTAGCTCACCTCGGCCTTTGTCCGTCCATCCTGCACGTTCCAGGCGAACATGGTGAGCTTTTGAGCCATCATCATCATAGCGAAAGTAATGTCCGATGTGTTCTCATCCAGTCCGAAGACATAGCGGTGGGCGTGCCTATCTGTCAGCTACCCCTGCTTTCGAAATCGCCGAAAGCGCAGACAGCAGCTCACATGAGGAACAAATGACCCATCACGAAGCTACCCTATCAGCTCTTGCTCGTCCTTCCCAAAGCAGACAGCTCACCCAAACACAGCCCAAGGCATCCGTCTATCCCTACTCCCTACCACCAAGCCATACGTCACCCCAATGTCCAACATCAGGTGCGCCATCCCCGCGCCCATCCCGAGGAACGGCCAGATGAAGAAGACCGATACGGCGATATTATATAGGTGGGCGAGGTTCGGGCGGGTCTTGGGTATACGTGTGTGGAGGGAGGCGAGGGGATAGGAGATTAGGAAGGTGGATACCATCTGGGCTCGTCAGCTCGGGCTCCGTCCACGTCAGGAGCAGCTACAGCTGGACTGGAAGGGAAGTGGGAGCTTGGCCAGACCCACCTTGATCTCGGGTATCCGTACGCCTGTCGCATTGGAGAGAGGCGCAAAGAGCGCGTCTATAGACATACTGGGCGACTGTCTATAGAGGTATGATGAGAAGGTGTGAAAGGAGGGAGAGAAACGTTGCAGTTAGCGGAGGTGGATCAAATTGGGGACCGTGCCCTTGACCGTGCCTGGTCGACCATCTCGTTTCCCGACGTCATCACAGCATTCCGCAATATAATCCACGCTAACGCTCTGCACCAGATGTATGTAGTCTCATGAGTCTGCTGCCGACCCTGGCCGCATGTAGCTGCGCGGCAGGAAGTGATACAGGCCCAGCGAGACAGTAACCCTACAAGCTGGTTGAGAAGCACTCGCTCGCAGATCCACATCCTTGCCCGACCCGTTCCCTGCCTGATCACTGGCCTGATCCCCCCCAACAATTCTGAACCGAGACCACGATTCAGAAAAGCATGCGCGAACAAAGAGAATCCATCGCGGCTACGACAAACCCCCGCTTGCTCCATATCCGGAAACCCCCTCCGACCCGTTATGCTACAACAGGAAGGAACCCTCTAGTTCTTAATCTTCTTCTTGGGGCGGAGCTGGGAAGAGTGACCGCACTTGCGCTTACGCTGATATGTCAGCTGTAGTCCAACTAGCATGCAGGGACGGAAAAGCTTACGCAGTTGGTGGCACGGGGAGGGAGACGGGCGTAGCATTTTCGGCAGATCATCTTGTCGCACTGCATGATCAGCAACAGCCCGAAAATTGCCCAGATTTAGCCCGACAGCGGGATGGGTCAAGTCTAATTCAGACACTCACGTTGGTCTTGTTGGCAAGCACCTTGAGCGAGGGCTCAATGATACCACCACGGAGACGGAGGACAAGGTGAAGAGTCGACTCCTTCTGGATGTCTGAGGAGTCAGCACGCGTCCCTCCGTGTATTTTGTCCGCTACTCTCTACCGCCGCCAGCTCGTCTACACGTCCGCCTCATCGGTCCACAGGGCCCGCTCGACTCATGATCCCTCCGTACGGTCCACCGAGATCCCGCATATCCGGCCATCCTGCCTAGACTCTCCGCCAAATTCCAATCCCCCCCGTCGCTTCCCCATCTTCCACACTCGCACACCCGACATCCACGCCATTCCTGTCCCAATATGTCCGATCGCCGCTAACATCCTCCGCCAATGACCCAAGCAGCGAAAATCCAACGCACTGTAGTCGCTCAAAGTCCGGCCATCCTCCAACTGCTTTCCGGCGAAGATCAATCGCTGCTGGTCTGGCGGGATACCCTCCTTGTCCTGGATCTTGGCCTTGACGTTGTCGATGGTGTCCGAGGACTCGACCTCGAGGGTGATGGTCTTGCCCGTAAGGCTAGAATGGGTCAGTATTCCGTCCCTTCTGTATCCCTTCTCCTGCCTCCATCTCCCGCCTGTTCCGCCAATCCCTGCCTTCAATCACACCATCGCACCGGTCGATCCATTGAACGATGCTGATAGCGGTCGAAGAGGATATGGAAAACCTACGTCTTGACCTGAAATAGTCAGCAATTACCCCTACACATCGATGCAGCAAGCAGTACTCACGAAAATCTGCATCTGTGACGCCAGTCAGCTCTGTGTCCTCTCCTATATGCACACTCTATAGCAGCAGCGGCGAGACTCACCTTATCGATGTCCTAGAAGTTAGTCGTAAGCAGCAAGCAAGCAACCTCGAATTGCACCACTCAGACGACGCAGCCACGCGGGAAAGCGGCAGAGAGGCCACGGCGGCGAAACTCCGAGAAATGCCGGAGGGGGCAAAAAGGCTGTGGCAGTGTGGCGGAATTTGGTTCCGTCTGACTTTTGGCTCTGGTTGAGGGATTTATAAGGTGAGTTGCTCGTGTTGTCCTGCATGCATATACAACGTCAAGCCGTCTTCCAGCGCTGCACTGAGTTGCTGCGTCGTCCAGTATATATCTACATGCAGACGAAATGGCTTGATCGAAAGCTGGCAGGATGGATCCCCAGAAGTGGCAAACCCGGGTCATATGGGTGGCAAGTGGCTATCGTGACCCGTGGTAGAGGAGATTTGAATGTACGAAGCCGCAATTATGAAGCATACAGCATCCTCGGGCATAGGCATCACGCTGCCGAGAGATTTATGAGGTCCATTGTCCATCGAGCCTCGGCTCTTCGAAAGTCCCGGTTTCACTTGAGCCGCCCAGCGCCCAACTCCGCATTCCTCATCTCGGCAAGCTCCGATACCCGGCCGGAACCTGCGGTACCCGACGTCCACCGTCGACGCGCCCGGCGGTGCGCAGGGCGTCCATGTCGACATTCATATATCTGTGCCACTAGAGATCCACATCTTCTACCTCAAAACTGATCACACCACTCGCACAATGCTCTCCCTTCCTGTCCGCCGCGGGGCAGTCCGGCTCCCGGCTCGCTTAGGCAGACATCACCTTCATAACCCCTCTTCGCCTCCTCACGCATACCTGCAACCGCTCATAGCGTCTCTCCCTGCCAGCGAGACCTCAGAGGAACTCGAAAGCGTCATGTCGCTCATCATGGACCGCAAAGAGACTCGAAATGCCTTGAGCGGACGTATGGTCGCTGAGCTCCGAGAGGGGATAGCCAAAGTGTCTGCTGATCGCTCGTGAGCTCTCTGTCTCATTAGCCCCTCTGCTCCTTTGATGACACCTCAGTGCCCGCGTTCTACTCCTCCATACGCCCCACCCCAATGTCTTCTGCTCCGGCGCCGACCTCCGCGAACGACTCACCATGTCCCCCTCCGCCGTCTCCTCCTTCCTCACCTCCCTCCGCTCCATGCTGGCCGAACTCGAAGCCCTCTCCATACCGACCATCGCCGTCATAGACGGTCCAGGGCTCGGCGGGGGGTGCGAACTGTCCCTGGGGTGTGATCTGCGGATTGGTGGAAGTGGGGCAATTCTGGCGTTGCCAGAGGCTAAGCTGGGGATCGTTCCGGGAGCGGGGGGGACGCAGAGGATGGCGAAGCTTATAGGAGGGGCACGGACGAAGGAGCTTGTGTACACTGGGAGAAGAATAGGCGGGGAGGAAGCTGAGCGCATGGGTAAGCCTTCTTCCTGGTGCCTCTTGCAGAGACTGAGCACGGTGGCATAGCTGACATTTCAGGTATTCTGAACTTCCTTGCCCGGTCCCCCGAGACGGCCTTCTCACAAGCCCTCCTCACCTGCCGGCAAATCGTCACCTCCGCCCCGCTTTCTCTGGCAGTCGCCAAGAAAGCTATCGATGCTGCGCCATATCTCCCGCTGGAAGAAGGCTTGACGCTCGAAAGAGAGCTGTATGATTCGTTATTGGGAACAGAAGATCGGATGGAGGGGTTAAAGGCGTTCAAGGACAAAAGGCGGGCGAAGTTTCTAGGTAGATAATCAGGGTGCTTAGCAGAAACGCAGATGAGCGCCAGGGTCAGATAGATCAGACGGCACGAAGAGAACGATTCGCCCGATGCTTTGCTCATTAGTCGTGCAATGTGCATGTGATCCCAAGATTAATATCCTCCATTTACGCCTCCGCCGCAGCTACCGCCTTTCTGGCCCTCATCTCCCGCTCCCACTCTTCCGCCTCCCTGACCATCCGCATCCGCATCGCATGTTCCCCTTCCCCTGCCTCACTTCGAGGCTCAAAGACGAATTCGACACTCGCAAGCCCCTTGGCAGCCCGGCCAGACAGGCTGGACTGGATATGATGCTGATAGGTTTTGTCAGGAAGGGAGGCGATGAGGGGGTTGTGCGATAGGCGTGCAAAGGTGGAATAACAGGGTTGAGTGTGCAGTGGGACATGAGGGGTGTGGGTGTGGGGCTGGCAAGTCAGCTTAACAGCCTAGCGACACCATGCGTTTGGTCATAGATAGACTCACCTCGATGACGGCTCGTACAACTCCCGGCTCCCAGCTTCCTGCGCTTGACGCCAACTTCGCTCTCCTTTCCGCTGCTTCCGCCTCCGTCTCGATGATTATTTCTCCCTCTCCTTGCTGCTTCACTCCCTCTGGCTCCCCCATGTCCACATCCGCTGGCGTCTCGACCTGCAACACCGACTCCACCCCATCCACCGCCATATCCTCCGGAATGACCTCATGACTCAGCCCACTTGCCCGTCTTTCGGGCATCGGCGGTCTCAGCCATTCCGCCGTGGGTTCCCTCTCCGCCTTCCCCTTCTCGTCCCCGACCTCCTGTTCTCGCTTCCCGGAGTCCCCATCCGCAATCTTCTGACAACTCCACACCCATCCCTTCAAATCCGGGCCGTGCAGCCTCCCCAGCCTCTCCTCCCTATACTCCTTGAGCTGCTCATCCACCCCCCTCGTCTCCAATGCCGTCCGATACATCCAGTCCTCCTCACTCACGCCCAGACTCTTGAGTTTCTGGCGCTTATTCCCATTCCCCCATCCTGCTTCAGACCACGGATCGATGCCGCTGCCTGCGAAATGGGTCGTCGGTCCGCCGAGGGTATACGTTGGAGCAAGGGAGAGGACCGATCGGTGGACCGGCCCGCCGCCACCAGCCTCGTTGGCCCCAAATCCGGGTTGCCGGCCGACAGGCTGCATGTTGGCCATCGCGTTCGAGAGGATTTCGTCCTCGTGTACATCGGCGAATGGGGTGAAGCCATTCTCGAGGCAGTCGGCCATGGCTTTGTCTTCATAGTAGTCGTCCGCTACCCATTTTCCGTCTGCCCATCAGCCTCGCCGCCTACACTCCGGAGGATAGACGTACTTTTGACGACACGAGCACCCATCAACTTGTAGACATTCCGCATAGACACCATGGTCACCATCCGATTCTTGAGATTTCCCGTCACCCTTCCGATATCGATGAGCATCTGCCGCTCATCCGCCATACACGCCAGCTTGAGGATCTGGGGGCAGCGCCGGAGGAAAGCGAGCGAGTCGGAGTACCCGCACGCGCGAGCGGCGTCGATAGTGAGCGCGTAGATCCGATTTGGGTTCTTGCGGGAAACCGAGGTAAAGGTGACAAGGCGATACTCGCGATCTAGTCATGAGCTGGCTCCGAGCATGATCAACGCCCGATCAAACTACAGACTTACCACCCAAGAGTCTCCCATCCGCATCAACCTTCCCATCCCCCTTCTCATCATCCTCCAGAATGACCTCATCATCCCCGACCGTATACTCCTTCCCCTTAATCTCCAGTACCGTCCCCTCTGCAATCTTCTCCGCCGCCGACCGATTATCGCCCTTGGCGACGCGTATCCCGCCCGCTCCGCGCTTCACGCGCCGCTCGCCATCGTCCGACTCGTCCGCTTTTTCACTGCGGTATTTCGCCCATCTCGCACGGGCCGCAGCGGACGCTGCGCCTTTGACGGAGAATCCACCTCGGCCGGACCCGACCCGCTCAAATTCGCGCTTGGAGGGCGAGCCGGCGGGCTGTTCGGATGTCCGAGCTCGTCGACGCGGTATTCCAGGCGCTAGTGCTGTCAGCTGAGTGTCACCTGACCGTAAAGACCATAGCTCACCTTCAGGTTCCACCTCTTCCGCACCCGCCTCATCATCCATCTCCTCGTCCTCCTCCTCCCCAGCGCCTATCTCGGCATAGCTAACGCTCTTCCTCAGCCTCACCCCTCTTCCCCCATCCCCCTCCTCATCTGCAGTCCCCGTACGCGTCCTTTCTCGCGACATCCTCCCTCCTCCACCTCCTCTGCCTCTGCCTCTACTCCCTCGAGGCCGTCCCCGACCCCTACGCACAGGTGGGGCACGAGATGGTCCCGGCTCAGGCGTGAGTGCGTCGACATCGTCGTCGTCGTCCTCTGCGTTATCTTCGTTCTCGGTGTCCCCTTCTTCGGGCTCGGTATGTTGGACGTTGAGCGAAATTCGGGAGCGAGATGCCCGGCTGGAAGAGGGAGGTGGGACGTCCGCTGTAGCCCTGCGGGTGTTTGCTCGGGATGACAACATCGGCGAAGATACTGGATGTAGATGAGATATAGTTGAACGTGACAGAGCTTGTGCGGTTTCAATCGTATTGTTTCTGGCGCGGTATGGAAGTTGCTTACCTAATCAGCCCGCTCGGCAAATAAGCTTAATTCGGCGTCACCACCGTCCCAGTCGCGTACTGACAGACCTTGAGTTGCGGTGCAGCTTTGATACTTACACACACACACCTCAGCAGATACGAGCCATTCGATGGCGAGAACCAAACAGACTGCGCGGAGAAGCACGGCAGGCAAAGCGCCGCGTGTCCAACTTCCCGATAAGCAATCCCGGCCATTCTGGCAACGTGCGGATCGTGGTCAAGACCCCTCGATTTCGCAGCTGATGTCATAGCACCACCCAAAGGGCCTGATCTGCCGATTACTCCGCCAGCTGTCCGGCCTCTAAACCATCTAGCTGAGTACGGTCACGACAGCGACGAGTGCGCCGAATGCGTCGAGCTCGACCTCGAGTGGAGCTTCTCGTCTTCGGACGAGCGTGATTCGGACGAGCGTGACGCAGCCTCGCGCAGGGAGCGAGCATATGAAAAAGCTTCACTCGATCGTGGGTTTCCAGACATGATGTCCATCAACGATCTGAAGGCTGAGCTGATGCAACCCAGCTACCGACGGGATTAGTAATATACGTACGCCAGCTTGTTTCGCCATGTTGCAGCGAGAATACATCTGACATGACAGGTACGTGGGATCGGATTACCAAAGATATCGCGGATGAGTTCCGCCGCGCCATGCCAAAGTATCACATCCGCATCATCGAGGAGATTGCAGTACGGGACGCGGCCATCAAATGGGATGCGGAACGACGAGCTGCAGCACTGGCCGAATCCAACGTCGGTGAGGGAGAATCGAGCGGTGAATCATCTTTGAATGTTGTATAGCGCGACCCGCCCGCGTCGACCGGCCATCCGCCAGCCGTCATCAAAGAGGAGGTCGAGGATGTATCTATCCCGGGTCCCGTCGAAGCGACATCTGTGAGCGCGATCACGACCGATACCAACACGACGATCAAGATGGAAGAGGGCGTAGACGGCGAGAGCTCGCGGAAGAGGACGTCGGCGGCGGTACAGGAGACTGAGGGTCAGGAGCCAGAGCGGAAGCGACGAGCGGGCAAGGGAAAGGCCAAGGAGGGGACTCAGGTGAGGTCCATGTCATACTGCCTTGTGAACTGCGCTGATAATCAGGTCGAAGCGGTGATCAAGGATGAAGTGGATATGTAAAGCTGTCAGGTAGCAGACATGTGAAGGGCTCGGTTCAAGTAGATCCACGCGTTCGCTGTCCTTCCCAGCGACCAGCGAGGAGGAGGATTTATTGCTACTTGATCTCGCTGACCCAACTGATAACCGCAGTAGCCGGGACATGGTGAGAGAAGGGCTTCGAAGAGCTCGCAAAGCTGGCTTCACGGAAAGAAGGGCATACATCGGTCGCCCGCAAGTGGATCAGCGGGGGGTCCAAGTCCAGGTGGATGCGGCTGATTGGAAAGATCTCTAGGTCTCGTCGATATCCACAGCGCTGGCTACCCCTGAGACACGCGCCTCGACTCGATGAAGCCCTGCAGTACGCTCGTCCCAGATCATCCTGAACTGGTCGAGCTGAAATCTGGACCAGGGGCGATCAGCACCTTTCTGTAGGTGTTTATGGCTATAAAAGCTCTCTCTTGACCTTTCTACGGGCTATCCAGTGTCACCGGCGCTATCCGCATCCCGCCGTATAGAAAATTTGGCCAGGCGCTGCTGTCCAAGCTGTTCTACCGGCCTGCACGTGACATTATACAGCTCCGCATTCCTTACGTCCGTGCGATAGATCCAGGGAATTGGCTCGGCCGGTCGAACTCTGCTTTGACGCGTTACCCTTCATCTGATCATATCCATCATGGCGAGAACGAAGAAGATCGCGCGAAAGTCTACCGGTGAGTCTCGTTCCACGTGCACATACCGGACGAGTGCTAGCGTGCCGAGCTGAGATCACAGGCGGCAAAGCACCGAGGCCAAACGCCGCCCCGGGAGATGTTGCGCGTCCTGGACCGACTGATCTCTCTCTGGGCACAGCCATGGACGTGGGAGAGACATCTAGTGGAGCAGGCGAGAGTGCTCCTTCAAACTTGCAACTTACTGGCAAGGGTGAGTCCACGCGAGGCTCCGAGCGAGACTGCGAAGGGGTCTCAGCTGACAATCAGCCAAGCAGCGAGCCAAGAAGCAGGCTGCGAAGGCTGCTGCTGCTGCTATTGTCACCTCTGACCAGCACGGCGCATCATCCTCCTCTGGCTCGACAGGTCTGGATAAGGCAGCCCAGGCTAGCAACTCGTCCGATACGGTCAAAGCCGACGAGGGGGAAACGCCGGGAACGGACCTCCCGGCTGGGCAACCCACGGCATCAACTACGACCGAAAGCGCAGCGGGGCCTGGCGCCATAGCTGGTATCGCGGGTGACAAGTCGAAGAAGAGGACGTCGACAACAGCACAAGAGGTCAAGGTGGAAGCAGCGGCGCAGAAGCAGCGAGCTAGCAAAGGAAAGGCGAAAGAAGAGACACACGAACGCTTGGTGAGTCTACATATGCTTTTACGCCTGCGACCCGCTGACGTGACAGCCTGAAGAAGACACGAAGGAGGATGTTGACATGTAGTGTAGAGAGAAGAATTGGATTATCGGAGCCTGCAATCCGTCGCGTCTGACGCCGACGGCCTGGATCGATACGAATTTTGATCTGCAAGTATATGCCCTTCTACGTCTTTTGCACGTGGCTCAGCTGTCAGCTGTTTGCCCCCACTCATGGTGTGGAAGTCCCACGTCCATCCAATCCGTCCGCTACTCATCTTAAGCACTCCATCTATCATGATCTGCATTGCGAAGGCATCCAGTTCAGCGTTGCACACATGCCGGGCGAGGTGACTCTGGCACGTTTCAGATTCGCCACACTCGCGTGATGTCATCGACGCGATCGCCAAGGTGAGCCAAAAGTCCCCCACCTGTCGCCGTTCTGCTTATCATCCATCCATCATCTCGCTTTAGCTGTATCTATACTAGCCAAGATGTCAAGGAGACAGTCACTAGGGCCCACATCGGGCACGGCCACGCCAACAAGTACCGAAGCCAACGGCTTCTTGCTGCTCACGATCCAGCACGCGGTGGTCAAGCAGGTGAGTTCAACTTGGCGACGTGGGTCGAGTGAACATAGCTGATTCTCTAGGTATGGGAGGACGACACTATGGTGCTTGCCCAGGGCGAGATGAGGTACGTCCCTGCCGCCTGCGGGTGCATTGATTCTGCGCTGACTATTCAGGCTGGAGTGCATCTCACTCCCGATCCCTGGCGATATCGGAAAACAGACCGCCAATCCCTTTGCTCCCTCCCCCTCTGACCCTGCTGTACCAACGCACGACTTCTGGCTCGTCCTCAACGTATCGACATTCGAGTCTCCTCTCATCCCTACCCAATTTTGGACACCCCTCCCCAAGTCCCTAGAGGGAATCAGCTACTCGTTCCCCTCGCAAACCGTCCCTACCGCTCGCATCGTCGTCACCCTCCCTCTACCCGGCAGTACCGCCGAGCTGGAAGATCTCGACTCCCTCGAGGTACTCTTGAGGCAGTATGGATGTCTCGGCGCGGAAATCACCGCATTGACAGATATCGAGGCGCCGCATATGGGCATGAATGCCGGTCCGGCGTCGCAGGATATGCGGGGTCGGTTGGTGCTCATCAATGAGGACAGCGGGGAGGTGGTCGGCGAGCTGGATCAGAAGCTGGATATACAGGAGGATAAGCGGATCGCGCAGGGTGATAAGGACAAGCCGGTGATGCTGGACTTTGGCGGAGAGGTGGATGGGTACGCGCCGCAGGTCATTGTCAAGACGGTACCTCAAGAGGAGATGGACGATTGGATCTTGAAGGGTGCGCACTACATGAGGTGACCTTTCTGATCCTCAAAATACATGCCAGGTAGGGGAAAGCTGACATAGCAGCAAGGGCATTCTCGGCTTTGGAGCGTGGTCGTCCAAGAACATGCAGACCGGCGCGGACCGCTTCATCCGCAACACCAAAGCTGCGGAGAAGCCGGTGCACTTCTCACCGACAACAAAGGCGGGTATCCGGATGACGCACAACGCGTCCGTCAAGACGGTCAAGGTGGCCAAGACGACTCTGGGCAAGATCAACGACGTGGGTCAATATTCAGCTGATAGGATACGCGCGATTATAGCTGACGATCAGGCCCTGTCCGTGGTCGCTGAAAAAGCCTATACTACCACCGTCGAGCCGGCTGTGGATTATTACCAGACCAACAGCAAGATCCGGAAATCCTTCAGCTCTGATCGCAAGCCGTCACCTCCACCAGTCCCCCCTCGGTTGCCCGCCAACTCTTCCTCGCCTATGTCGGAGAAGCAGGCGTATGGGTCAGCCGCTGCGCCGCCGCCCTACCGCCAGCCTAGTCCGCTCAGTAGCGGAACGTCCACACCGAACAAGCCACCTGTCCCGCCCAAGCCAGCGGGACTTGCGCTTGATACACGGCTATCGCAGTTGGTCTCGGAAACCAAGCCGGCAGCAAACATGTCGCTCACGCCCGAGAGCGCGCAGGCCAGTCCGGACACACACACACCCTCATCCGCGTCGAGCGCAAAGAAGCGGCCGTTCCTGAACCGGCTCTTGCTCGCTGGCGAGGTCGTCCTTACCTCCCTCGAGGCCACGGCGCAGGACCTCATCACCAACGGAACCACCGCCGCATCCACTGCTGCCGGCCACAAATTTGGTCCGGAAGCTGGACACGCTACAGCCCTCCTCGGCGGATCAGTTCGGAACGTCGCGGTCGTCTATATCGACGTGAGGGGTATTGGGCGGAAAGCGCTCTTGACGGGAACAGCCAAAGGGTTCGTCAAGGCACGGCTGAAGAATGGGGAGACTGTCCAGATCCAGGCTGGCGGAGTACAGGGTCCGGATGGCGTGGCGGTGGATGCGGGCGAGGCGGAGATTGCGCCTGGAGGGCAGGGGACGGTAGTGGTTGGGATGCCGCAGGTGGGGACTGGATCGGGCGTGGCGGCTGTACAGGGCGCCCACGGTGGGGGAGGGCGGCAGGGGATGACTTCGGTGGATAGGGAGACGCTGGAGATGTTGGATCGGATGAAATAGGCGGTTGTATTTGGCGGTGGAAGGCAAGAGAGGGGCGAAAAGTGCAGATGAGCGTGGTGTTGTATCTCCAGATCATGATTTTCAAGATGTATCCTTGTCGGCTCGCGCACGATACCAGCACCAGCTGCACAGCACTGGCGTAGGCTTGCCAGCAGCCTGCTCTCTCGGGAGCCAGTCCAACAACTATCCAATTTCAAGCTCTACGGGTATCACTCCCCTACAGGTCACGTGCCCAGGTCTCAGAGCTTCAGCAGCGGCTGCTTCGCGTCGCGTCAAGAATCTTCCCTTCACTTCTTCATTATCTCGCATCATACTCAGGTCGCAAACGTCCGCCGGTTGCCTCGATTTCTGCTACCTCTCATCATCGTACTAAGCGCTAAGCTGCTGCAGCGCGATCCGCCTGGCAAATTTGAACAGTCCTAATAGAGGGTGGGCCGGGACGCAGTGCGACTTCGCCAATCCCTCCCTCCGCGAGCCCTCCATTTGCCCTCCATCCCCCATCATCTACCTCCACGGTGTTTATACCGCCACCTATCCCCTGACCCTTCCCCCTCCAAGCTCGATCAGCTATCGGAAACACGCACATCAGCACTAGAGCGCCGTATCACCATTGCGTCACCTCCAGCATGGAGATGCCCACAACCGTCCCACCGGTCCTGCCCTGCTCACCACGCCGGAACCTAGGCGAGCTGCCAGTAGATGTACTTTGGCAAATCGCCGAGGAGACGGACGAGAAGACAATATGGAGGATGATGGGTGTGTGCAGGGGGTGGAGAGCGGGTGCGGAGAAGGCGCTGGAGCCGTTTCTGAAGGAGGCGAAGGTAACCGCGGAACCGCCGTTCATGCTGGATTGTGAGTGCCCTCACAGTGACTACTTACTTCGAAATCAGGCTGAATTGTAGCCTATACTGCCATCGGCGGTATGATGGACCAGTGGGAGCTGAACCCAATCCGGAGACGGGCGCTGATCGACGCGCATACTACCTTCGCCAACCACCTCAACACTCATCCCCCATCTGCCATTCTCGTGCGCCGTCTGCCGCTCGAGATGGGCTTCGATGACGTCCCTCTGGCTTGGGAGACGCTCGGGCGAGTCCTGCCTCAATTGACGGAACTCGAGCTGCATATATTCGACGAGTGCTCCGGTCTTCGATACACCTTCTTCGGTTCGGCTGTACTGGATAGTAATCACCGGCTGGACCAACTCGCCGACTATTTCTGCGCCGATACTCGGTCGCGATGGGCTCAGCTCCTCGCGGCAGCCCCCTCAGGTTACCACAATCTCACTACCCTAGCCATCCAAGCAACGACGCGGAGCTTAAAAAACTTTGCTCAACTCGCCCAGCACGTACCAAATTTGGTCAACCTCACGTTGGGGTCTCACTGGGCGGACGGCGACGTCTTCGACAAACACGATCCCTTATGCGGCATCCCCACCATCTTCCCGCTACTCCACACTCTTACTCTCATCGGCGGCGTACGTACGATCACCGAGAGTCTCGACGACCTCTTACCCTCCACCCCGCACGTCCGCCATCTTGCCATACAATACGTCTGTCGCGTGACGCATTGTCATGAGCGGCACAAGCCGGGTTACGGCGCCATTGCGGACCTTATCTCAAGATGGGAAAATCTGAGAGCCTTTGCCCTTTACGGCCCCCACGTCGATTGCACTTTGTCGTCGATTTGGGAGCTGCAAAATCAGGGGAAGATCTCACGATTTCCCAATTTGGTCACCGTGGTACTGGGCCAGGTCGATCGTCCGGATATCGCCCACGGGAGGGTAGTATCTAATACCTTTCCGCTTATAAAGGGCGTGAGTACTTGTCATATTACTCCCGAATTGGACTAAACTCGGCAGCTTTCTCCTGGCAATTATTTGGGTCGGCCATACTTCGATTCAATCCAATGCCTGAAACTCGCATGCCATGAACGACATCAAAACGGCGATCCCACCCTCAGCCAATACGAGCACTGCAGGTGGGATCCGAAGACGGCTGGTCCCCCTATCGGCAAGGCTTCTACAAGCCAAGTCGATTGCGAAAACTCTTTCGTCTCTACAGCACTCTGACTCTCGTCGAGTGGGTCGCGGATCATCCAAGCCATCCCTTTATCCTCGACGAGCCCTCCGTCTGGGCAGAGCGGAACGTCAAATGCGGCGTCTATCGGCCGGTCGAAATCAGGGACGAGGCGGCATTCTTGCTCCCGCACTGCCCGACTTGAGCACCGAGGCGCAGGCAGGTCAGAAGCTGTCTCTAAAGCATGACGGGACCGGAAGGAAGGGAAAGGGGTTCGCTTCGGTCAGGGGTCTTGTCGGCTGGCTATACAGGTGGGGCTGGGGCGGCCGAGGTGATAGGGGGGAAGGGACTCTCTAGGAAGATCTAGGTTGATAGTGAAGCAGCTTGGAGCGGATACATCTGACAGCTTGGGTGCCTATCGATCGTATCCGTCTGTATGCTGGTCTGCGGCTCTTAGTATCTGTCAGGTCGAGAGCAGGTGCCACAGATCAAAGTCAAAGCTACATGGTCTACCGCCCATTATGGCAATGCGCCTGACTGAGATCAACAAGGATCTCGTCCCCTTCTTTCACTTGCCCATGTACTCGCGCGTCCTCTGATCTCTCTTCCTTACTCCCATCGATCGGGAGTACTCAGCATCTCAGCGAAACCGCGTCGAGAAGAACGTCATCCTCTCAGAATGTCAGCCAATTCGGAGCCGCCGTCAGCAGAGGCAGCGGAACCTTCGGCCAGCGTGCCCCAAGCCTCAAATCTCGCGCATCTACCGGTCGACATACTCCACAAGATAGCTGCGGTGACGGACGAGTTCGGGCTGTGGCGGATGATGGCGACGTGTAGGGCGTTGAGGGAAGCAGGGGAGAGGGCGCTCAGGCCGTATCTGGCCGAGGCCAAAGTGACCGCTCAGCGACCCATACTGGTCCACGGTATGTCTGTGACCTCGTTGGGCCGAGCAGCAAACTTCGCTGACTCCTGCAGAGATCAGTACCCTCGGCAGCCGCGACGATCGCGACTACGCCCGACGGCAAGCCAGACGGGCCTCTCTCCTCCAGGCCCATATCAAATTCGCGAATCATCTGGAGCTTTATCCTCCATCGGCCGAGCTCGTCCGTCGGCTCTCTCTCGAGGTAGAGTTCTACGACGCTCCCATTTGGGTCACGCTCGAGAACCTATTTCCTCAGCTGTCTCAACTCAAGCTATACGTGCTTGACGAGCTCCCGGACACGCGCTTACCCCGGAAGCCCAGCCTCCAGGACCGCTACGATTCCCGCATCGGCCATCTCCATCGAAGCGGCAGTCAGCAGGACGGTGACGTCGAGGATAGACCGTCCGCTGGAAGCGGGTCGGGACGGGGATGGGCTCGGCTGCTCGCTGCCTCTTCCGCGGAGCTTACCAATCTGACCCGCCTGTCCATACGGGGGACAAAACGGCGCTTCGTGGATTGCGCGCAGCTCGCGGCGCAGCTGCCCAATCTCAGCGATCTGGCGCTCACCTCGTCTTGCGTCAACATCAACACGTCTGGTACGCCCGTCGACACCACTTTCACCTTCTCCAGACTTACTGCTCTCGCCTTGTACGGAAACTTCTTCGCAGTCCTCGATCACCTTCGACAGGCCGCCCCGCATATCGTCCATCTGACCTTGCAAGGTCCGGCTACCAGCTCTGACCGGGTCGCCAGGCTACTCTCCACCTGGGAGGATCTCCAAGGTCTCTCGCTATACGGGGGGTGTGCCGACAACTTGCTGTGGTCCACGGTTAACTTGCAAGTTAAGGAGAACCGGGCGATCTTTCTCAGCTTGAACCTGCTGCTACTGGAGCAGACATGGCTGGGAGGGAGCGGATGGACAGATGAGTATGATACCTGTAATTCTGGGAGAGATTATCCCCTGCTTAGGAGCAAAGTGAGCATCACATGACCACCCTCACCGACCATTGATGATACTTGCGCTAAACTGCACAGCGATACTCATGGGAATCTGTGCCCATGCGACCACACCTCCCTGCGCTGCAATGTATCAAGTGGATTGGTCTACCTCGAGGCGGCAAGAAACCCAAACCCGGTCTCGAAACTTACGATCCGGGTATGGAGGACGCGGGCGGTCTATCTCCATTCTACCAAGGCTTCTACACCCCTTCCCACCTCCGGGACCTCTTCGCTCACTTCGAATTGCTCGATCTCGTCGAATGGGTCGCCGGCTATCCTAGCTGTCCGTTCGAGTACGATAAGCCATCGACCTGGGCGGAGCGGAATGTCAAGTGCGGCGTGTTTCGGCCGGTCGATCTGGCGGATACGGGAACGTGTCTGTTCCCTTACCGCCCTGCACTCGGCGATGACAGGCGGAAGTGGGCTTGACGGCTCTCAGATGGAGGTGGCAGGGTCAGGTCAGGTCACGGTGCAGATGGAGAGGGACGGGAGGATGTCGGAACAGGGGCTGGAGAGGCGAGTAAGGAGGTATAGCGGGGCGCAGACTCAGGACCAGGAGCTGTATTGGAGGGCTGAAGCGAGCTAAATGGGGAGGATGGACGCTAGAAGACTCTCCATTGTATGTATGATCGTTACATGTTCCTGATCACTTGGTCACCCAGTGTGCCTAACTGTGCTCATTGGCGCCCTACGAGATAAGCTGGACTGGAGGCATTATCTATTCTCGAGACCGGCGAGTCGACACCGCTCATCGGCGAAATAGGGCGAAATCAGTCCGGTCGAGGAATGCGGATGTCGGTCGTTGGTCTCTCAGAGCTCAAAACTGCGGCACTTGCCCTTTCGTCTATCTTTCTGCTCCACACTCAAACTTGTTGTTGTGATCTTCTCCTTTGAGAGGTGAGCTTCACATGAGTATCAGAGCGGGTCAGAGAGCTGATCTCCTTCAGCCGCCCCGGATCGCCAGCATCCCTCGCATATCCTTCCACCTCCTTTACGACCATGTCCACCATGCCCACCCTCCCCCCGGCTCATGCCGGCTTCCAGAAGACGTCCTTGCTCTCGTAGCTGGTCTTCTGGATCATCGGGCTGTCTGTCGGATGTCTGCAACCCGTAAAGCCTGGCGCGAGGCGAGCCGACAGAGTTTGGTGCGATACTCGACGGAGCAGACGGTCGCTGTCGGACCGATGCTCCAAGGAGACGGTGAGCGCTTGACAGGCAGACTTGAAGTTAAAGGAGAAACTGAAGCTTTAGAGTACAAAGGCGGTATCACGCCTTTCTCCATCTACATACAGCAATATTGCTACATAGATCGGACCGGTACCACAAACTCACGGTCACCGTCGCGCGCTTTGAGCGCCACCTCACTGCCTCCCCTACGGCAGCAGCGGCTCTCCGCCGGCTTACCATCGAGCTTAACGACAAGCTCGAACAAGGGGGTCGGAGATCCCCTCGAGCAACTCAGCGTCCAGATCTCCGGCGGGAAAATCAGCGAGGGTTACATTCACAAGGACCTCGAGGACCTCTATAAAAGCGTCACACCATCTTCCCCCACCTTACCAGCTTCGACCTCGCTTCCACCCATCGTAGCTTGGATCGCGCCCGGGCTTTCGCGAAGCATATGCCTCAATCGTCGGAGCTGAGTGTCGGCAACTACTGGGAGGACGGGGACGAATCATAATACGAACAACGGTACCGCCTGTCGTCGACATATCTGCCTCATCTCGAACGGATGGCCATCCGCGGCGGAGGCGAGATCATCAAAGACGCCTCCTATGCTCTTCTACCCTGCTCGACCCGTCGCTACCCTAGCCTCCATATCTTCGACCATTATGGTACCGACCAGGAGCAACCGATGGACTTCATCGGGCTGGCGGCGGACAGCTTGCTGGACGATTTAGCCTTTTACGGCCCCTTCGGCGAGCTGTTCGCTCAGTGCCTCGTCAACTCTTTGTTTGATCAGATGTCGTATGCTCTGAAGCAGAAGGGTTACCCCACCCTGAAGATCTTAGTAGTGGAGGCGGGCGATCAGACGGACCGGGGGGAAGGCTATTATCCTTTGTTGAAACATGAGCGAGTGAGTGATCTTGTCTGTGGATAGTCCGCGTAGACTCTCGCTGATCGGTGCTGTAGGATCTTAGGCATGTAGCCGATCTTCCAGCCATCGAGCGCATTGTATGGGTCGATGCGGGCAAAGGAAGCTCGCGCTACGACAGGGATAGACATGTGTACGGCGATACTTTGGACACCAATGGGCCGGTCACTGCCTATAGCAGTCTATACCTCCGGGCCCTCTTCACTCGCTACCCAACCCTACGACGGGTATCTTGGGTCAGTGGCTACCCCACCGACCCGTTTGCCGAGGTTCTGGACGGATGTCATGTCGACCGTCCCGAACTGGTCCGAGGGAAGCTAGGATCGTTGGAACCTTATTGGGTGGGTAAGGAGATGTCAGTGGCCCGAGACGAGTAGGCAATGCTAGGGATGGCTGAGATTGGCTGGAGGGATCTCTGGGCCGACGGGGAAGGGAGTGCGCGGGGTTGTGAGCGGGGGAACATAGTGAGTGCAGGCTATTTGTGGCTTCCTGATGTCGCGACTCCACGCTGACACAGCAGGTGGTTGCCGTGTACCCCAAAGCTCGATCTTTACCTTCACCATGCAATGCGCTTCGTCTCCTCCTCCTCTCGCCTCGCTGCCAATGCTCTGGAAATCAGGCGCGAGATCGAGATCAGCTCCCAAAGGGACACACACACCTCGTCGTGCCTGGGCGCAGTCAGTACCTGACTAGACTTTCCCGCCTGCTTCTGACTTGCGAGGGCTTCATCTATGATTTCTCATCTGTACTTATCACTGATCATTACTTAGACCCTCGACCCAAGTAGATACCCACATCATGCCCAACATCGCCAGCTCCCCCTCAACCTCTCCCATTGGCGGACCAGCATCTACGCCTTCAGCGGCTCAGCAAGGAAATACCGCCGCTGCCATCACGGCCACGAAGCAGACCAAGTCCCCGTCGACCTCGCCCGCGAACAAGAGGAAGAACGGTGAGGCTTCGGCGTCAGACGGGAAGCGAGCCGTGAGTGTTTCATCTGCCAGCCTCTTGTGTCCCCTCATTCCCGGTCCCAGTTTGCGCTCGGAGAGATCAGTGGCTGACGAATTACAGCGTGTTGCCTGGACGGCTGACGAGGATGCCATTATCCTTGATCTTATCCAGGAGCTGGGCAAGGAGCAATTGTGGAGCAAGATCAAGGAGGACGGGCGACTGGTTCACCGAGGGAATGACGGGATCAAGGTGCACTTTAACTCTATGGTGGGTCATCAGCTCCTTCTGTGTTCCTGGGCTCTGGCTGACGAGTGCAGATGGGAAAGATCAAGAAGCAGGTGCAGCAGTAGACGTCGGAAACGTTGGAGGAAATGCATGCTTGATCCCTTGGCCATGCAGCTGGTATCATACGCCTACAATGACGCTTCACGCATACACTTCGATCTGATCAGCGGGACGAAGCTCGTCAGCCAAGAGCGCATGAGCTACAGGGAGCATCATGCATCGTGAGGAGCGCTGTCGATTCAGTGCAGACACACAAGCACACTATCTAATCTAATCTGCAATCAGTGTGCGATACACAATCCCAGATCTGGGGTGGCGGCTTGCTAAGCGCTTGCTGACCACTTTTGATCGTGCCTGGATCCCTTTGCCTTGCTTCTGCCCGTGACCCAGGTGGGGCAGGATATCGTAGGGCGGGAGCTCAGAGGGGCATATGAGGACCTCCCCCTGCTCCCTTTTCTGACTTCTACTTCATTCTCCTTCCTACGGCACCATTCCACCCCTTCCACAGTCGGCACTCAGCATGCCACGCACCAAGCCCTCCTCCACCTCCCCAGGTCGCCCGGCTCCTCCTTCTGCCTCGCCCCCTACACCCGACCATCCCACGTCAGCCACTCCGGCTTCGACCGTCAAAGCCAAGAAGGCTGCCGCGAAGGCGCCCAAGCGGAAGAGAGACGAGCAGGACGATGAGGATGACGAGCGAGCAGTGAGTACTTCGTGTTTCTTATATAGCTATTTCCTCACTGAGACGATATATGAGTGTGGCTGACGCAGTACCTATAGAAAACCAAAATCAACAAATGGACCAAGGACGAACGGCTTCTTCTCCTGGAGCGCGCTAATGACATTGTTCGCCACAACCTCTGGACGGACTTGAAGACGGACAATCGGATGAAGGTCAGGCAGCGGTCAGGGGTATTGGCGCACTGGGATGCTTTCGTAAGTCAATAACTTCGCATTTAGCAGGTGCGATAGAGCGGAGCTGATCGATAGATGAAGAAGATGGTCAAGGAGGTCGAAGGGCAAGCGTGATGGGGTTAGCAACTTAGCCGTCCATAGTTGGGATGCTGTCTGGATAGGATTGGGATTAGATGAGGCCTTCAGAATGCATTTACTCGGGCACTTGTCAGCTGCATTAATCAGCTATATAGGCGTGTAAGTGAAGGCACGAGTCCCCACCGTAAGCAGATCAATCACAGTACAAGATGATCAGATAGACACTTAGATCGGCTGAGAACCTTGGCGCCCGAGCTAAATGTCCCCCGAAGTTGCTGGGTGTTTTTGAGATCCTTCTCATCCCCATCCGCCTCTCATCATCAGTTTGACATCTCAAAACTGCACCCTCCTTCGATATCATCTCTAACCTTCAGATACACTCATCCACGCCTCCGGACCAATATGCCCACAAAGAAGCACACCCTCTCCAATGACTCTGACGACGAGGTCGCCACCAAGAAGGTCAAGAAGGCCAGTACCGCTGTTCCTCCGCATCATCCCATGTTCCCCCTCATAAATCCATGCTTCCCTTCTCTCCTCCCATTGCCTCCCCTGTCCTTCTGTCGCCCATCTTAGCCATCACCACCCCGTTTCATACCTCCCTCACTCCCTCTGTCCGTCCAGTTCCACCTGGCTGTTCATCTGGCTGACGAGATCAGACTCCTGTCAAGTGGACGCCCGAGGAAGAAGCCATCTTTGCCGAGCTCGCCGAGGGTATCTTGAAGAAGCACCTGTGGGATGCGGTCAAGGCGGACGGACGACTGGTGCACCGTAAAGCCAATGGCATATACATGCGGATTGGTACGATGGTGAGTTGCGGTGATCTTGGCAGAGGGCGAGGTCGAAGATGGGTTCGAGGCAGTGGACGAGTGGCTCGAGGTCGGAGGTGGACGAGGCTGATCTGGATAGGTGAAGAAGATGATCAAGAGCTAGGGCATCAGCTGAGGTGGAGGATGAAGAAGGTAGCGGGATAGTCAGGGATCAGAGGGATGATGAGGATCTGCTCGATCAGTTGGTACTTGCTTGCTGCTGTGACATTGTATGATGCATCTGCATCCGGAGCTGTCAGGTTGAATGGCAATGTCCGTATATCTAGCAGGGTGAGGTCGTGATGAAGCACGATCAGGGCGAGGTCGTTATCCGAGATAGTGCCAGATGAGCCAAAAGCAGAAGAGGGTGACGGTCGCGCCTATTCCGAAGATCCATCCGTCTTGTTTCCTGAATATCAGCTTCTACCCCCTCAGTCATTCACTCAACCTCGCCCCATCTATCTAGAGCTCAGTACTCACGTTCTCCTCTCCACCCAACCTATCGTCTCCCTGCTCAGCCCCAGCGTATTCGCCGCATCCCTCAACCTCCTCTGCGTCCCCTTCAAGATCCCCCGTTGCTCCACCAGATTCTCCAGCGCCGCCCTCCCCTGCGCGATATACTGGTCGATATTCCGCTCGCTATCCTGCAAGAACGTATCTTCGCGCATCGCAAAGCTCTCGCGGTCGGTATATCCCTGTTGGCCAGGAAGGGGGTGGTTCGGCTTGTACATGGACGAATAGGGGGAGTCGGCGTATGCGGAAGAGGAGCCGCCCTGGCTTGAGCCGCGGCGTTGGAGGGAGTTGGCATTGAGGCGCTGAGAAGCGGAGCTGGAAGGGGAGGCGACGGATGAGGAAGAGGTAGAGAGGAGGCCCTCCCTGTTTCGCTGGGAAGAGGTGTTTCTGGCGTGTTCGAAGCGGGCTTTAAGGTCTCGATGTTCTGTTTGTAGTCGGGCTACGCGTCTGAGAGTCAGCGGATGATCTACATGACATGTCCAGGTCCTGACAAGACATGCAAGAAAGGTCTCGTCTGCCTTACTCGGACCTTCCACTCAACGTTGAGCAGCCTAAACTTACACGTTCGCCTTTTCCCTCGCAGCAGACACCATCTCCTTTCGCGCCAACGAGTCATAGTCGTCTATCAGCCTAGATAGAGCGCCGAGCGTTGTGGAGACCGATCCTAAGCTAGTCAGCTGTCAGCTCCGTTTCATCTGACAGGGCGCGCGCGCTCACCTTGTACGCTCGGACCTCCTTCGCCTGTCTCCATCTTTGCGAGGTCCGCATTGAGACTCGCTATATGGCGATTGCCCAGTGTGTTGAGATGATTCATCGCGCCAGAAGATGTGCCGCAGGTGTCGCGGAGTGGTGATCAGGTCAAGAGGGTATAGATCAAGTCTGTTGACAAGGGAAGGTTGACCTCACGCGACGAGGAATGTGTAGCGGCTTCCACGTTCCACCATGTCTATACAGACCCAGCCTTTATATACCTTGTTTGAAACGATATTTCGGTTTTACGCCTTTGAGAAGATTGATCATTTTCGTCCACGGAACTTCCTTTCCAGCGCGACATTAAAATATTCTTTCCTCGTAGACTGACGAGTTCGCATCACGCCTCGGCCTCATGGCTGTTGGGTTTTTCAGTGATTCAGCGGTGATCAGATCAGCTTGTCTTTGCTTCGGCAGAGTCGGCCATGCCGGTAACGGAGCAGCCGCCTGATCTGGCTTGGAAGTCTTTGCGAGATAAGAGGGGTATTGGACGCGCAGGGAGGCCCGGGTGGTCATCAACTCTTTTTGCTGCCTATGCCTGGCTGCGGAAGGGCGCAAGGAGGACTACCGCATTGTCCTTTTGTCTCCAGCGAGACGAGTATAGGCTGTAAAATACACAGCGCGATGTGGTCGTCCAGTTGATTCCGGCCGCAACCATTCTATCGCTCGTCCATATAGGGGCTTTCGCCTATACATGCTGTGATCTTTCATGATGATCCGCCCTACTCTGTCACACGTCCGTCCCAGTTAGCACAGCTGCCACAAGGCCAAATCGCCGAACGCGGCCAGCAAGGCCTAGAATGATCTCGATTCCTTTCTTGCCGGGAATCCTTTATGACTCGCCAGGTGTTTCGACTGCCGGCTAGTGTGACGACCCAGTGGACGCAGTAGTCAGAGAGTGGTGAGAACGCTCCTTCTTACTTCTCATCACCTCCTCCCTGTCACTTCGGTACAGCTACGACAGCTACCGCATTCACCTGATTCCCCTCACAACACCGACCGACGAGACACATCAGCAATATGTCGTTCACTAGTACTCAGACCAAGACGAATGCCTTCCCGGGTCTCAAGGATCTCAGCGGGAAGATCGGCACCATTCGACTGATCGGAGCCGGACCCGATCCGGAGAGCTTCTCCTCGTCCACGCTTTCCAGCGGCTCAGACAGTACAGACAGCTCATCTACGCTTACGAGTGGCTCCCTCAAGCAATTCACCCCTGAAGAGTTTGACAAGGGGATCGACTTTCAGTCCTTCACCGAACAAGAGCAGGATGATTTTCTGACACATCTGTTCACTACCGGTAAGACACACCTTTCCTACTCGGACTACATGGAGAATGACGCGGTCGGAATCGATACGATCACGCGAGGTCTGCTGGTGAGTCCGATCAAGCTGGCTGTGGTATCGTGCGCGGTGGATGATGGCTGATAGCGTAGGACTTGGTCGCGGACAATCCCGACAAGTTCGACATGTACCCTGGAGGCCGTGAGTATCATGTGTATTTGTCGGCCAAGGTCAAGCTGACGCGAAAGTCATCACGGAAGAGGACGGAAGTACGCTACACAAGATCACTCTCCGATTCCTCAGGCATGCGCAAGCTGAGTCCCTGTCAATCCATACGGTTGACTCGTCGCTGACAAGCTCAGGCTGGCACAATCTGGGTGTGGATGTGAGTGCACTCGTCCCAATGCTTTTGCCTTCTCGTTGAGACTGGTCACTGATGATATAGATGCATGACGCGCACCTGACGCCCGAAGGGAAAGAGCAGGCCATCAGTATGGGAAAGCAATACAAAGCCGCCCTCGATTTGGGTCTGATGTCCAAGTCCGACATTGATTTCCTCAGCCCGCTCTTTCGGTGCGAACAGACGCTGGACCCTATCTCTTCCGATCGTCCGCGCATCATATCCCCTGTAAGCATAATCTCTCCACCATCACCATCCTCGCCATCGCTTTTCAGCCACTGCAAAGGGATCCTGGCTGACATGGTGTCAGCTTTACCAAGAGAATCCGCACCGTGGTCGCGGAGGCAAGGCCGACGGTGCGTCTTGCGTGGACCAGTCCCGCAAATTCGGCGCGCCTGTGTGGCATGGTTCGGGCAACTTCATGAACGAGTCTGAGGAGGACAAGAGGACCCATATGCGCAATCGTGCCTGGGAGGCCATGACTCTGCCCATAAATACCGGTGTCGAACTGTCCCGTATCACCGGAAAGAACGGTATGTTCTGCTCTTTCTTTCATGCGCGCAGATCTAGGCTGAAGAACCCAGACTCTACGTTCCTGATCTCTGCTCACGCCAACATCAACAAGGTGATCGAGGAGTATCTCTACCAGATCGCAGGCGAGGACCCGATCGACCCCGGCTTCTACAATACCCACATCAAAAGCGCGACGATCTGCGTCAGGAAACATCTTGACGGCCGCACCACAATCGAGAAGCAAGACAATGGTAAGAAGGTCACATTCAACGGCGAGCTCCTTCCGGATTTCGCCAAACGCTACCGTGCCATCCAAAGCCAGTCTGGCTGGTCGGCGAAACAGCACGCTCTTGCGCGAGCCGCCAAGAGTGCATGGTCTGCCTCCCGTTCCGAGTCGAGTGGGATGCCCACCAAGGTCAAGGAGGTACTCGCGAGGGGTTTGGCGCAGTACCTCGAGGAGCGAAGGCAGAAGGCGCAGGCGGACACTTTGGCGGAGTCCAATTTCACCAGGCTCGGCAGGACCTTGGGTACGGATACCTCAGTTTCCGCTTACTGACCTACTTTCTGAGGGTGCATTAGCTCTGCTCGTTCTTCTCGTTGTGCATAAGTAGGCGTTTCTAGTTCCCGATGCAGTTTGATACCCTGGACTCATGGCTCATGGATCCGGGATCTCGCTCTTCCATATCCGGTTTCAGCTGCTTCGCGTCACTGCTGTCACAACGTGCAAGTCGTTTCATCCTCGCCACTATACCTTCAACATCTTCACTATACGATACAGAGGGAACTTCTCACCTGAGTCACAGCTCCATTGAAGCGCGTCATGTCCAACATCAACGTCACCAAGGAGTGGGTCCTCGCCGAGGATGGCACACCATTCTACACCACAAAAGTAAGCAGAGGCCATCCCTTTCACCCCGGTCGTCACGCTGACCTAGCAGTGGGCACCAGTATCAGAAACGCCCAAAGCCTACGTCCTCTTCGTACACGGTATGCTTCCCTCCACTAGCTCTACGGGAGACCCAAGCTAAGGCTACAGGCTATGCAGAGCATATCGCCCGATACGACCACTTCTTCCCTCTCCTCGCTGCGCCTCCGCACTCGCTGCATGTCACAGCGTACGACCAGCGCGGTCACGGTCGGACGGCGTACGAGCCCTTGACTGAGGCGTCGCCTCAGGTTCAGGCGTGGAAGCAGGAGGGCAAGACGGTGAGGGTTGTCAAGAATGGGAAGCGGAAGACTGGGGGTTGGGCGCAGATGCTCCCGGATATGGAGTTCTTCGTGAAGAGGGAGAGCGAGCGGGCTGTTAAGAAGGGCAAGAAGCTCTTCCTGTGGGGTCACAGCATGGTGAGTCTCACTAACACAGTGGAGAGAGCTATAGCTGACGTCCAAGGGAGGCGGCCAGACCCTCGCGTTCGCTACTCGTCCCTCAGCGCCTCCAAGCCCATCCACCCTCTCCCTCCTCACCGGCTGCATCGCCTCCTCCCCGCTCATCCGCCAGACCCATCCCGCCTCATCTATCAAAACCACAGCCGGCGGCCTCGCTGCGCGCCTCACGCCCAACCTCCTCATCCCGACTCCGCTCAAATATGAGGACCTCTCACACGACTCGGCAATGAACGAGTCGAACCGCCTCGACCCGATGTGCGAGCAGCGGGGCTCGGTCCTCGGCGTGTCGGACATGCTGCAGGGGGGTATGGGGCTGGATACGGCTGAGACCTGGAAGCGGTGGCCAAAGGGGTTGGGGCTGATGATGTACCATGGGAGCGCGGATGGGATATGTGACCCCGAGGCGACGAAGCGGTTCTTTGCGGGCGTGGACGCGCCGCACAAGCGGTTGGACATCATTGAGGTGAGCTGGACGAGTTCGCCGGCGAGCTCCAAAGCTGATCAGTCAGGGAATGCGGCATGAGACCCACAATGAGCTCGCGCCGACGCCGGAGCATGTCGCCAAGATGGTGGCGGAGTGGGTGCACGAGATGGCCGATGGGTCTGCTGGGGTAGCAGGGAGTACTGGGCAGTCCAAGCTCTGATGCCTGAGGTAGCCATACGGGATTCGTATTATACTCCATACATACATTATAATCTCAAGCTCTCCTCTCTTGCGTCTCCAACAGCTCAATCTGTACCGGTCCTGCTCATAGCTCCCCCGCAGCCAATACCTTCGCCTTTCCCCCTGCCGCCGCTCCTGATCCCAATACCCGCCTGACCCCTTCCCTCGCCCATTCCCTCAGCGCCGCACTCAGACTGGCATTCTCGTCTTCGAAGACGTAGTATGAGAAACGGCGGGAGAGGTAGGCAAAGTATCGGGGGTAGAGGTTGAAGACGGAGAGCCAGAAGATGAGGGTAAGAGCGAAGAGGAGTGTTACTGTGGAGTCAGCTTGATATCTTTCGCATACAGCCGCTGTACGCTCTTAAGCAATGAGACATGTAAGATGGACGTACAAACAAGGACAGTCTCCCAAGTCTGCAACATGGAGAACCCGAGGGTACTACTCAGCATCATCCTGCAGAGTCAGCTCTTCTGACTTGGCCGTCAACCAAAAGCAGGCAGCTCACCGCTTCTTCCAGATAGCATACCGCCATCCACGCTTATCTGCCGGTGCTTCCGGATACCACCTGACCATCGCTGCCTAGGTGGACTGTACGAGTGCAGCTGGTGAACGCGAGTATAGAAGGCGAAGGAGTCGTGCGCTGAGCTTTGAAGCACGAGAGTATTCGATGATCAAGTGAGATTTCTCGATCTTTCGCTGCTGAGGGGTGGCTGGCTGCCACTGTGCTCTGCAGAATGCTGTGTCGAGGTCGGGTAGATGTTTGATATGAGTAGAACGAGGTATAGTCTAGATGCGATGTTGCACGAGCTTTATCGGTCGGACATTGGCGATTTCAGGCACGGACGAGGGCAACAGGTCCACCCAAATATACCCAAGTCTTTCTGCCACTATACATCACTCTCACATCAGATATCATCAGGTCCCAGCCCTTGCCCACTCTCCTGGCAGTGTGCATAACCGCCTCAGGAAGGATACGATGTCCCTGCAGCTCTCCACGCTGCTCAGCACGCCGTACGCCCCGGGCTTTGTGTACCTGCACCACCCGCACACCCCATCGGCCTCTGCCATCCCTCCACCGCCTGCCGGGGGCGCACACGCGCAGATCTCAGCGATAGAGTACAACACGGCCCGACTGCTCTATACGGCTCTGTTATATCGGCTCGCAGAGGCCTCAGGGGGCGTATGGGCGGCTGGGGAGGTCCGGACGTGGGATGGGTTCGCGAGGGGTTTGAGGACGCTTTGGAGGGATAGAGCGGGGCGGGCTTCGGGCTCGGGCAGCGGGGAGAGGGGTGATGGAGGGAGGGCGAAGCTGAGTCGTAAGGGAAAGGAGAAGGAGGTACTGCCTGTACCAGCCCCCGAGGTTTTGGAGGGAGGAGCGCAGGAAGGGAACTGGGTGGTGGTCATCACACATGCGGAGCGCCTACCTCGAATCCTAGGAGCTCAGTGGGCGGTCCTTACTCGAATATCCGAGCTGGTAAGCTACGTCCCTCGCGACGATGTCCCGTTAGTGTCAGGGCGCTTAGCTGACTCATAGGCCGATATCCCAATCACCCTCCTCCTCGCCTCCCAAACCCCCTGGGACACCCTCCGACCCCCTGCCTCAGACGCCCCAGAACCTGTCCATATATACCTGCCCTCACCCACTCGGCCAGAAATACAATTGGCGCTGTTATCCGCCAGCTCTCACCCGCTCTGGCCGCACTTTCTCAATCTGTTCTTGGCGACTTTCTACCCGCTCGTCCATGGCCTACAGGAGCTGGCTTATCTGGCGGGACCGCTCTGGGAGATCTACACGGCTGCGCTTCCGCCGCATGCCGAGTCGGCTCTTCTGATGGCGACGCATAAGAGTTCAGGGGAACGTGAAGGAACAGAAGGGGAGGGGGAGGAAGACGGACCCTCTCACCTCCCACCCAAGGCGCCAAAACTCGAAATCACAGTCAAACTCCTCACTGACCTCAAATACGCCCTCTCCCTCCCCCTCACCCTGGCGATTGAACACCTCCTCCCCCGTCGAATCTCACCACGGGAATTCGTCCACTTCCTCCGGCCCTCCCCGGCCGGTACTGCGCCCACCGACCCGCGCGCCCTTCTCGCCGCACGAGCGAAGAAGGGGATCCCGAAACTCCCCGGACTGGATATTCCGGTGGTGGGGCGGTATCTGATCGTAGCGGGGTACTTGGCGGGTCAGAATCCGGCCAAGAGCGATTTGAGGTTGTTTGGGAGAGGGATGGGGGTGGATGGGAAGCGGAAGAGAGGGGGCGGGACGCGACGTGCGGGATACGGGAAAGTGAAGGTTGGGAAGGTGAGCTACATATTTCGCCAGAGGCTTTCGTTGGCAGGAGGAGAGCTGATAGCGTAGGTGCCGCAGCGCCTACTCGGTCCAAAGGCTTTCCCACTGGATAGGTTGCTCGCTATCTTCTCGTCGCTATATTCGGAACATGCGGAACGTCCGCCGGATCTCATGCCTGCTCTGAATGAGGGAGACGACTATGATGACAGTGGAAATGACTCGTCCTCTTCCTCTGGCGACTCATCAATGGACGATGAAGAACAATCATCAAGGCGGAAGAGGAAGAAGATGGGGGCGAACGGAGGGGCGGTAGGGGACAGTATGGTCGATCGTCAGCGGAAGCGGGTGGAGCGGAAACGTAGGAGGGATATAGTAAGAGAAGAGAGGTGGGAAGAGGAGGTGGAGGCGATTTGCATGTCCGCCAAACTGTGGAGTCTGGTCAGTTCACTCCTTCCCAACTATTCCTCAGGATGAGGGAATCTGTACGAGTCAGCTGACATGGCAGATACCCGAGCTGGAATCGCAGGGTCTGTTCCGCCGCATCTCTCCGCTTGATCGGCTGGATAATGTCATGTTGAGGTGTGAGGTGGATTATGAGGCGGCAAAGGTGATGGCGAGGGAGATGAAGGTGACGCTGGACGAGTATCTGTATGAGGCGCAAGCGTAGCTGCAGATCTTGTAGCCGTTTAATGACCGCCAGGATGGATGTCGTTTCTTCGCTGCCACAGGTGGAGCGCGATGAAGCAAGACATCCTGCATTTTCTGATGGTCCCCCTGACTCTTTCTTAGAACTTCGCCTTCGTCCACCTCAAATACCCATTCGCGTCCTTCTCGCAATACTTGGCCACCAGCTCCCTCGTGATTCGCTCCATATCCTGCCCTCGCCCACCCGTCTTGCTCTCCCCCTTCATCCCCAGTACCCGCTCGACCAGCTCCTCCTCCGTCACTGCAAACGCCCCCGTGTCTTTCACCGCACCGGTCACGAGCCCCATCACCCAGTGCAACTCTGGCAGACCCCACTCGCGGAATCGGCCGTACGTCGAGTCTCGGCTCGTCGTCTCGGTCGATCCGGTACTGGGGTGGAAGACGAGTTTCTTGACGTCGGCGCCGGGCGTGAAGAAGCGCTTGGTGATAGCCGAAGATGTGAGGGTGGGTGAGTCGAGCTCGGCTTCCCACGCGGCCCGCTTGTCGCGGATCTTGGTGATCAGGACGTGGGTCACGCCGGTGATGAAGTCGTCCGAGGCGCGCTTGGGGCCGCAGAACGCAGTCGCCATGGACATATCTAGGAGTCAGCTATGTCCCACAGTTCGAGAAACTCTTAGCGGACATACCGTTCTGCAAGACCTTATCGAGCCGCTTCGAGTTCTTGGCCAACGTATACCCCTCCAGCGCAACAGCCATCCCCGTCGGACTCTTCTCTTCCAGGTACCCCCGCTGCACCGCCGCCCACTTTCGTACATCCTCGCTCAACTCCTTGTTCTCGCCCGCAGCGACCAAGCGGGCATGGATGTCCTTCACGCTCGGCGCGGAGAAGGTGTTGTCGATGAATTGCCGGATCTCGAGGGTGATGGGTGATGGGCTGTCGGGGGTGGACTTGGACGAAGGGGCGGAAGAAGTGGAAGAGGGGAGATTGAAGGAAGAGATGAGGGCCGAGAGGTTCTCAGTGGTCGGTTTAGGGTGGTGTGTGATTTGCTTGACGAGGTCGGGGAGGGATGACTCGGCAACGTAGTGCGTGGCAATACCGAGTTCGCTGAATATCAGTTTGTGACTATCCCGCCTTGCAAGGAGGCCAGCGCAACTCACTAGACGGTCCGGCCGTAGATGTGCTGGCCGGTCACGGCGAGCCAGGCACCAATGTACCCATCCAGCTGCGCAAGATAGTAGTTTGATCCGACGTCTGGGGCATATCCGATCCCTGTTTCGGGCATGGCAAAGATGGTTTTGGGAGTCGCGATTCGAAGTGTCGCGGGAAGGGCGATACCCGCGCCGCCGCCCACTGTACAGAGTCAGCTAGATGCGATTAAGATCCTAACGGGTGAGCAGCAACCTACTGGTCGTTCCGTGGATAATGGACACGTATGGCTTGCCCAGACGGGACATTAGCCAGTTGAGCTCGAATTCATCCTTGAAGAATTCCACGCCGGTAGACTTGCGCTCTCCAGCATCCTTTGCAAGTTCTGCTAAGGTCAGCGATGAGAACACAGATGGATTGCAGCATTCCAGCGGCGTTGAGGATAGCTGAGAATAGGCGTACGTGCGACATCGCCTCCAGCGCAGAACGCCCGCTGATCCCCCATACCGACTACTAGTTGACACAGGTCCGACTCTCGCCATGCCTACATCGTCAGCTTCAGTCTCTCCAGAATCCGTAGAGCGCGCAACTCACCTTCATCTTCTCAGCGAGAGAAGTGATCATTTCCTGATTTAACGAATTGAGCTTTTTGGGCCGATTGAGCTTGTAGATCCGAGCATGTCCGCTGGAGTCGTACGTGACAAGGTCCTACAAGTATCAGCAGCCACTCCGGCACTACCAGACGGGGAATACGTACCCCCTCCGAAGTCGACGAGCTGGAAGAAGCCATTGCGCGGACTGAGGAATTGAAGAGCCTTGACGAAGACGCAGCTGCTGAAGGCGAGAATGAGCGAGCAGCGTGGAATGCTGTACGGCTCATAAGGACAGTCATTGACAGTTGATGAAGTGACTAGTAGTCGTAGCGGTATGGCCAGTCCCCGTCTTATAGTATAGTCGGTTGTAAGCTGGTCCAGCTTTACCGGCCGGACCTGCTCTCCCTCTCTTTCACCAGCCAGCCAGCAGCGGAAGTAACCTTATTTTGAAACACCTAAAAAGGTCACGTGCACATCTGGGACGCGTTTCGGGGATCGCCGATGATAGCGCACGGGCATGGTGGAGGCTCGAGCTGGAGCTGGGCGGCGAGAAGCTGGTATGAATAGCTTGCGAAGCGTTCATTCTTCTCCATTGTACATCACTCAGCACATCGTTGGTCACATCGAGGGCCACCGTATCGACAGGGGATAGAAACACCCATAGATCTGCGCGAAAGATCCAGGTGATATGAATAGGGACGAGCTTTGGAAGTCGGGAAAGGATGAGACGGTGGAGGTTAACCAGCGAGCGTTGATCGACAGTGGGTAGCTGGAAGCTCCGGATCTGCCACTCGGATGCATAGCTGACGATATCAGAGATCCTTGCAAGATACTCTGGAGAGAATACCAGTAGGTCTTAGAGTCTTACCTCGCCCGATTTACGTACTCGATGCGACCCCTTCGCTCAATGGAGGGTCGAAAAGAAGCCGCTCGGACAATCCGAGGCTCAAGCTGCTCCCTTCGAACAAGACGCTATGATGTTCAAAGCTGATGAATAGTCTTCAGGGAGCTTCTTCAGAACGCAGACGATGCAGGCGTCAGTTCATTGTCTCCCAGTCGGAGAGGCCCAAACTGATGTGCCTAGGCGCAACACGTTCAGGTCAAGTTCTACTCGAAAGCTGGACTAGAGAGACATGACAGAGGAGAGGGACCATCATCACTACCGGACGTCAAGAAGGATCCGGTACGTCAGCTAATCTGAGAGCAGATGGATTCAGTACCATCTACCGCATCATCCAGCTGATGCACCTAGATACATCGCTATGTGGTGACCAACGATGGCATGCCTTTTAGGTCTGAAGACTGGGCTCGACTGAAAAAGGTAGGGTCTGATTCGCATTACTGCCGTTGGGTGGTAGCTCATACTAATACAGATCGCTGAGGGCAATCCAGACGAGTCCAAGATCGGTCAGTTGCTGTCCAGCAAATGACGTGAGCGAAGCTGATACTGCTAGGTGCCTTCGGTGTCGGCTTTTACAGTCTCTGGAGCGTCTGTGGTAAGCTGAGCTCTGCGCCTGTGGTCTTCCAGCGAAGCTGACATTACAGACGACCCCTTCGTTGAGAGCGCCAACAAATGGATGGGCTTCTACTGGAAAGACGGCAAAGATCAGCTTATGGCTCGGTCCGGCGATCTCCCGCCCTCGTCGACCCCTACACCCTCAACTCCATCCACGCTGTCTGGAAACCCCCTGACATCATTCACGATGAACCTGCGCGACCCGTCGGTACTCGAAGGACCCCTCGATCTCGCCCGATTCCTCATCACCTCGTTAACGTTCATGCGGACAATACGAAAGGTGGATATGCTGGTGGACGACGTGTCGGTGTTGGAGGTGGAGAAGAGTGTGAAAGGGAAGGAGAAGGTCGGGAAGAAGGGAATGAGGGAGACGAGTGCTGGGGGCATGATGCGAGTGAAGGGGGTGGAGGAGACGGGGATGCGGATTAGTGTGAAGGTGATGAGGTGGTTGAGTGGTGAGTTTGACTGTCTTTCGATATATATCAGGATATCGAGTTGTCGCTGCATGTCTTTGGGATTTGACTGACAAGCAGATTCCGGTTTCACTCCATCCGCACTGCCTGTAGCGATACAGAACCTCGCCAAGCCGACCAAAGCGTTCGCATCGTTCCTCACTTCATCCTTCTTCGGGCGAAATACACCACCTCCGGCCGCCCCAACTCCTCCACCACCGCCGGTAGAACCGGAAGATCCCATGGAGGTCACCGCACTCCATCGCGAAATCCAGGTTTACCAAGCGGAAATTGGAGTAACCGTCTCTTCCGAATTTGCCAAGGAGCTCGAGCGGGCGACCAAGAAGGCACCCCCGAAAGTCATGCCGGCCAGTCTGATCTACGCTCGGGCGGAGGACGAGCAGGCCATTGTGGATGAAGGGAGCGAGAAGGTCGGCAAGGATGTTGGCGGGGTCTTTGCTGGTCTTTGTCCCCCGCTAGACGGCGAAAAGTCAGCCAAGGTCTTTATCGGCCAAGCGACCAGTCAGACAACCGGTATCGGCGGCCATCTTGCCGCGCGCTTCATCCCCACCGTGGAGCGCGAGTCGATCGATCTTGTCGACAAGCACGTTTCCCACTGGAACAAGGAGCTCCTCTGGGTCGGCGGATATCTCTCGCGCCTTATCTACGAGCTGGAATCGGCCAAGCTGCAGACCGAGTGGAAGGCGACCAGTGTGGCGGACACTGCAGGCCGTGCTCGGCTCACCGCTCGGGCTCTGCATGCGCTCCGCTTCTTCACCTTCAATCCGACCACGCCGAGCGCTACGGTCGGACAGGAGATGGAAATGGCGTTTTTCCAGTGCACGGTAGATAACAAGGGGTTCCCGCTTATCGCCAAGACGGGAATCCTGCCTATCGATCAGGTGAGGCTGCCGAAGTCCGAGCTGGAGGCGTTCCTTCCGGATCTCCCGACTGTATCGTCGGAAACGCTTCAATCAGCCTCGCGGTCCATCGCTCGTCTCCGAGAAAGGGGCCTTCTTCGCGATGTCACGTTCGACGATGTGGTCAAGCAGTTGGCGGCACGGCCGCTTAGCGAGATGGAAATGATTGCGGCGCTCAAGTGGTGGCAGGGGATAGCGGACGAGCATGGATATACCCAGCAAGTCCGCGCCCGGCTCATTGACGCCGCGGTACTCATCATGGACTCTGGCAAGGTCGTTCCTTTATCGATGGTACAGACATTCGTCCGCCCTCAATCTTCCTCCATCCCTACCGATATGCCCCTCCCGCCCCATACCCTCCCTTACACGGTCACCAAAGATCTCAAAGGCGGATCCATCTATCCTACATTCGGCTGGACCGAGCTCTCCCTCTTACAGTACATCACCTTCCTCGTCAATCCGCCCATGTCGACCGGGACGGGCGTCGATCCGGAGACGGATCTTCGGTCTTCGCCTGCTTTCGCCGAGAAGGTGCTCACGACCCTAGGGAGGGCGTGGCAGTCCATTACGGCGAATCAGCAGACGGCGATCGCGCTGGAGTTGAAGGACGTGGCGTGTATACCGACGAGAGCCGGGTTCAAGAAGCCGGGGGAGGCGTACTTTGAGAAGAATCTGCTGTTTGATGATCTGCCTACTATTGCGCTGAGCAAGACGGGGCAGATCAAGGGCGGGTTGGAGAAGGCGTTGTTGGCGCTGGGGGTGAGGCGGACGGTGGATTTACAATTGGTCTTTTCGAGGTGAGCAGCTTTCGCAAACATATAGATGTGCGACGCTGTGCGAAGCTGATCTGCCCAGACTGGTCGGCGGCGGAACATGGACATGTCAGGACCTCATGAAATACCTCGTTTCGGTCAAAGACACGCTCTCGTCTGACGAGCTCGCCAAGCTCCGAGCGACAGCTGCGTTCCCGCTCGAGCTCCCTCCGGACGCAGATGGCGTCAAGCCGGCTGTTGTGCGAAAGAAGCCGAATCAGCTGTATGAGCCGACTTTGGCGATGCGGGAGCTCGGACTGCCATTGCTGGATTGGGGAGAGGGAAAGTGGAAGTCCAACTCGGATGAGGGTGAGCTGCTAGTTTCAGATTCAAGCGAAAGCCGAGCTCAGCTGATCATCTCAGCGAAGATGCTGGCCGGACTGGGTCTGCGCCGATTCCCACCCGTTGATGTTCTATTGGGTATTGCGGCCGGCGCGGCGCCGACGAATGCAAAGGCTCTCAATTACCTCTTGGCGAATATCTCGACGCATTATATCAACTTTGACCCGACCGCTTTCTCTCAGGTTGCCTTTATACCTGCTACGAGGGACGGGCGGACGTTCTTGGCTAAGCCGGGCGAGGTGAGCTACCTTGTCGATGGCAAACGCATGAGGATCGAGCTGACACTATGCAGGTGTTCGCCAATTGGGACTGTGCGATTCTGGTTTTTGCAGTGGCCGACCCATCCATTGCTACGCCGGAGAATCTGCAGAAGCTCCGAATATCCACAGATCCGCCGATGGAGGCTCTTGTGGCGGCACTGGTAGGTAATCTGACTACGGACACGGACAAAGCGAGGAAGATATTCGAGGTATGTTCAGCTACTGCGTCCGGGTTATAGGCAGGATCAAGCTGATGCCATGCAGTATCTCGCTGGCCGGATCGGTAGTTCAAGCCTCAACGCCCTTGAACGACTGGCCAACACTCCTTTCATCCCCGTCAAGACTGAAAAGGATGTCAAGGTGTACCGACCTACCGAAGTCTACTTTTCAGGCCGGGGTGCCGAGAACCCGCTGTATCGCTCAGCATTTACATTCGTCGACTTTGGGGAGAAGGCGAATGTGTTCTTGAGGTACTGCGGGGTCAGGTCGGAGCCTTCTGTGAAGGGTGAGCTTATCCATCCTCGATTGTGAGAGGCCAGAGCTGACACGCTAGATGTCGCGAAGCTGTTGATGCGCGATCCGGAAAGAATGCTGAGTCAGGCGGGATCACCAGATAAGTAAGCTAATTTTCCCGGTCCCAGAGAAGATAAGCTGACGAATAGGTATCTTGAGCAACTACGGCTTCTTGCGGCGAATTGGAGCAACTTTGATCAGTCCACTCGGACCGCTATGAAGACTGCAAACTTCTTGTTGGCTTCTCAGCGGGTGCCGCTGAGACGGACCAAGAACGTCTTGGGTCGGACGACGGAAGGCGGAGATGATGAGTATGAGCGGGAGTGGGTGTTGTGTCGAGCATCAGATGTGAGTTCGCGTGACAAGACCTGCGATATCGTCGTCACAGAGCTCACTTCCCAGGTGGCTGTAGTAGACGACATCACCTTCCTCCAGTATTTCGGCAAACACATCCTCGCCGCGCCCGAAGAACAGCTCCTCGAGACATTCTACGAATCTCTCGGTGCCAAACCCCTCACGTCCCTCATTCAGGTCGAGTACATTCCGCACGGTGCACGTCCGTCTCCCTCCCCCCAATCCTCTGTGCTTCGCAAGCACGTTCTCGAGAGGTTGACGATCTTTCTCGCAGAGGCGCGGAAACGGCAGAGTGAATATACGGCGGAGGCGTTAGCGAAGGAAGGGATGTTTATGGTTCAGGATGTGAAGGAACTGGAGGCGCGGTATACGTATAGGAATGGACGACAGGTGTATCCCCATGTCGAGGTGAGTCGGCTCCGCGGGAAGAGGGAGGGAGAGGGAGAATGAGCTGATCAGGTAGACGCTTTATGCTATGGCGTTAAAGAAGGGGAGGGCGATTGTTCTGACGATCTCGATGACGGCCGTCCCGGACGAGTGGGAGTGAGTATCAGCTAGCGAGGATCCTGACCGGTCGAGCAAGCTGATCTCTTTAGTATCGCTGCATCGCTATGCTCGCTGCTGCTCAAAACACCGAAAGCCGATGATGCGCTGTTGCTCTACTCGTCAGTCCTCTACTCATGCGCATGGTGCATCTGGCTGATCACACAGCATCCTCACCACACCGCTCATGGCACTCAAGAAGCGAGGCTTCAATGTCGACCGGATCCTCAATCAACAACGAGAAGAAAAGCTCCGAGTCCAGGCCGAAGCTGTCCGGGATCGCGAGAAAGCCACCGCGACGGCCGCCGAGCGACAATCCGTCCAGAATGCCAAAGATAGCAGCATGATCCCTTGGCCAAACTCCCAGGAGTCGCAGCCTGGGTCAGCGGACGACGGATCATCCCTACGATCGGAAGGAAGTGCGGCCGGCTCGGACGGCACGGGCAAGTCGAAGAGTCTATGGGACAAGTTCAAGAATCGGCGCTCGGTCGATAAAGGTGGAGCAGAGGCAGGGGGGTTGACCATGCCAGGTGCGATGCCAGGGATGCCAGGGATGACGGGTATGGCTGGGGCGGGGGCGGGGGCGATGGGAAGTATGGCTGGGATGGCGGCGAATATGATGTCTGGTATGCAGAACGGAAACGGGGATGGAGCAGGTGCCCGCGGCAGTGGGACATCGACAAAGAGGGTGAGCTGGGAATTCGGGCTCCGAGTGATACGAGTGCAACAAAGCTGACTTTTCCAGCCAACCGATATGAACTCGATCCGCTCAACTGTCCAAAAAGCCCTCGATGCTTCCCGGCCCGAAACGAGCACGCACGTCAGAGACTCCCGGATGGGCGCCACGGCGGTGAGCGAGAGTCAGAGCGATTATTGCGATACGTCCGCTTCGGCGGATATTGTTTTGGCGCTTGATCCGGGACCGAAGGCTCTCAAATTGTGGATACCGAGGAGTGAGCTGCAATTGGCCCGGCAGAGGGATGATGGGCAGGAAAGCTGACTGAGTAGGCGTCGATAACCAGAAGCAATTCTTGTATGACAAGATGGTTGTTTGTCAGTTGTTCGCGGCGGAGGTGCTTATGCCTATCGCGAGGGTCTTTAAGGTGAGCTTTCATTGTGACATGATGGCTTGTCAGTAGCGAGAGCTTATGAGACAGCTCGCAAACCCTGTTCTGAATGTGTTTTGGGATCTTGAGGGGCCGCTGATTGCTTTTAACCGAGGAGGAGCTGTGTTCTGCAATGCGTAAGCTGATCGAATTCGTTTCGTGAGGAATTAGCTGATCCATCAGCCGATACTTTTCTGCATGGCGTAAGCTAAACGGGGCAACAGATCGAGTGCGATAGCTGACTTGCAGATGCGGATGACTGTCGACAAGGCAAGCGGAACGAAGCCTTCATTTCATGGTACTTCAGCATCGCCCATGGTCAGTGACACGGCCCCATTCGTAGGGAAAAACTCAGCTGACAATGCAGAATTGGCGCACAATCTCGAGTCGGCCCATAACTCGGCACACGAATTCTACTTCTCCAGTATCGCCGAGGAGTACCTCGTGCGCTTTACAACCCTCTTACAGCAGACCGAGGGGGGCGTGGCGGGCTCGCTGGCGACGAGGTGATCGGTAGATAGGGGAGAGAGACCGAGGGATAGAGCGAAAGAGGGCGGGCCTGCAGTATGAGTAACTTGTTGCCATAAACACCGATCTGTAGCATATGCAATGATATCCTGCTTTGATGGTATGCTTTTCCCCTCATCCACGTCTAGCCGTGATCTGCTGCAGTGCCCCCAATGATATCTGTATCCCGCTTTGCTCCCCTCCAGACATCCCCGCCCACCTTCAGATCCAGCTCTGGATCATGTTGCCGCTGCCCGCCCATCAATGAGGCCGAGCGAGATGGAGGGACGAGGTCGGGGACGGGTGGATCGCCAGGTAATGGTAAGCCCTTCAGTATAGGGAGTGGTGTAGGTGGAAGAACGCTCGCCGATGAGGTTGTTGGCGGGCCAGGGGCTACTCGTCGGCTCGCTTGGGGTTTGTGTGCTGCTAAGCTGGGGGAAGAGGGGGGCCGGGCTGCTCGGCGTGTATTGGGGTCGGTGGGCCATGTGCCGTCTTGTATCCATCCTAGACTGTCAGCTCGCTTCTGCGGGTCTCTTGCATAAGGATAGCTAGGATGCACTCACCAGCTTTCAACACCCTGATCACCAACCCCAGCTTCAACGGCCTGCTGAGCTTCTTTCCTCCGTCCAATCTCGCATGCACGCCCGCGAGCCCACCCCTCCATGCCGCCATCGTCTCCTCCGCTCCATCCTCCTGCAGCAGCGCTTCCAGCTTGCCTACTGATCCCGAGGTAGGGCTCGGGTCGTTCGGTGGGAGCGGCTTCGGCTCGGGAAAGGGGAGGGGGACCGTATAGCTCTCTGGCAGGTGGGTACGGGGATTGGGAGGGAGAGGTTGCCCTGATAGAAAGAGACGCCGACGATATTCGAAGAGCTCGATACCTAAATGTCAGCTCGACCAATGAGTATACGGCTTACCGTAGGCGGGAATGACAGTGTGAGATGGGGAATGTGCTGGATGGGGTAGCCTCGACGGTCCCGCCTCTGCGCCTCCTGGGAACTCCATTTCGACAATGCCGAGCGGCTTCCCTCCTTGGAGCTGACTTGCTCTTCTGACAGGCTCGCGGACAGTCAGGCAGTGGTCTACGAAGATGAGATAAATGGAGAGATGGGCACCCTTTGAAGACCAAAATTCGGTCGAGATCCCACCTTCTGAGCCGCTTCCGACGGAAAGAATGTCCAGTCCGTGTGCATTCCTCAGAGTTGCTGCCAAAATGAAGGTATGAACTGGTGTCTTTCGTCTTTGATTCTACGTCTATACCTGTTCACAATAAGACGATAGACAAGACAGGGATCAATATGGTTGTCTCATTTGGTGAGTTTAGGTTTTTTCGACGAGCTAAAATGATACAGTATTCGTCACTGGCAACGCCAACAAGCTTAAGGAGGTCAAGGCGATCCTTGCTGCCGGGGGAAGCGGGATTGAGGTGACTGCGCGAGCTGTAGATGGTAAGTGGCTCTTCCGTGTCGCGATGGATCTGCAAGCTCGGCTCTTCTGCTGTTGACAGGAGTTCGAAGCGGCTCCTTCCGTGGTGTACCGGCTGATCTGTAGTCCCCGAGGTACAGGGATCCACGCAAGAGGTCGCACTGGCGAAGGTCAGAGCGGCGGCGGACAAGGTGAGCTAGCACCATTCTGACAATGCCGGTATACGACAGCTGACACTGCAGCTCGGTACAGCTTGTGTGACGGAAGATACAGCCCTATGCTTCGAGGCATTAGGCGGACTTCCCGGCCCCTACATCAAGGACTTTTTGGAGAAGCTGGGCCATGAAGGTGAGCCCAGCGTGGCATATGCTACATGTCCACTAATGCCCAGGCCTCAACACATTGCTACAGGGCTTCTCATCTACCCGCGCCACGGCACTGTGCACCTTCGCCTACTCCGCCGGACCGGGAACCACCCCGATGCTGTTCGAGGGGTCGACCGAGGGGAACATTGTTCCCGCACGCGGACCCAACAAGTTCGGGTGGGACCCAATCTTCGCTCCGACCGAGTCGGACGGAAAGACGTACGCCGAGATGGACGGCGAGGAAAAGAATAAAATCAGCCACCGGTATCGCGCGCTCGAAAAGCTGCGGGTGTACCTGCAGCAGCAGGACGTGGACGAGCTGGACGTGAAGGATCGGTCGTGGGCTGGGCGGGGGATGGGTGGGTAGGGGATTAGGGTGTGGGTGATGTGGAGGTGTGTGATGCGGAGGGGACGAGGAAGGACGATGTGGAGGGGGAGGAGAGGGTGTAGTGGTGCTTTTCGAGAAGGGCGACGAAGGACGTATAGGTCGAGCGGTGGGTGAACGCTCGATGCAGATGATTGGCCTGATCATCAGCCTCAGGTCAGGGAGGGATATTGACAACTCACGATATCTTCGTCATCGAGCAACTCTTGTATCCTGTGACGGACCTCCTCCCTCCCATCCGCCTTGTTCAGGCCCGCCGTCCACCATGCCAGCTTCTCCCTATCGAGCAATATTGAGCTCATAGCGTGTAGGACAGCGCCAGGACCATCGTCTTTTTTGGCCTGCATCAAGACCTTCTCCATATCCAGCCTCGCTTCCCGCTTGGATGTCCCCTTTCCGTCCGCCTTGCCCTCCCCTTGCCCTGTCTCATCGACTTCTCTCTCCTCCCCATGCCCCATCGGCCTCACCGTCCTCAGCCTGACCCACTCTCTCCTCCTGACCCATCCCCACCACCCCGCCGGACCCGCATGATTCCTCCACCCTTTCTGCTTGAACCACGCATTATACCTCCAGCCATCCTCATCCGTCCCCACTTTCATATTGATCATCCAGGGCGTCACCCACTCCCACTGCGGCCCGGGGCACTGGTACGTCGTGAGCGAGTACGCCGTCTTGATGTTCCGGTGTTCTGCACTGAGGTTGATATGGTGCTCGCCGTAATTTGGGTCGTACGTCCCTGGCTTGGACGGGTGCAGTCTTCGGGGCAAGCGCGAGGTCTTGACGGCGGGCTGAGCGGGACGGAGGGCGTGGTTCGGACCCTCCGATGGGCCCGAGGTGGAGATGGTCATGGACGAGGCGGTCGGGATGGGCTTGCCGGGAAGGGTATACTGAGATGGGTCGGAGGGGAGAAGCGAGTTGGACGTAAAGTAGGCTTTACCAAGAAAGTGTATACCCCGCTGGTTCTCAAACATGACTACCTGTTAGCTGGCTGCTTAAGGAGCTGAATGGGGCTCGAAGAGTGCTCACCGTCCCAAGCGAAACCTCCCTCTAGCCCATCATCCAGATCCATCCCCTCCCACTCCTCCCCATCCCTCAACATCTTCACCGCCTCCGGCATCGTCCGCCTCAGCTCCTCCATATCAAACGCCACACTCCTCTCTACTACCTCCTGCTCCACCTCCTCATCCACATCGTTCATCTGCTCATGCCATGCGGCCGCCTCGGACGCTTCCTTCTTCAGGCGGGAAGAAGACTTTTTCTTGCCCAGCAAGGACGACCGGCGATGTTTGTCCAGATGCTTCTGGATAGTTGCTGAGTCCGAAGCATCGGTCGGTAGTGACTCTGGGAGCTGAGAGCGGATAGAGGAGCGCGGAGACCGGGGAGGAGAGGATGGACCCGCCGAGGCGGAGTCGGTGGACCTTTCTTTGTTTCGGGCAGGAGGCGTAGATCCCCCCGAGGTGGGGGTTTCTACCTGTATCATTGTTGATAATGGGACAGCAGTGGGAGGAGATGGATCCCCGAGATCCTGCTATCTTGATTTTAGCGAGAAGAGATGGAAGATGTGACACAGAGTGTTTCAAACCCTCGGACCTCTTGCGGACTTGACTTGGCTCAAAGTCGATGACGTATCGCATGTTGACATTGCCCTTCATCCTTCCATTCATGACGCCCACTGCAACAGGCATGTAGCCGCCTTCCTCACAGGTAGAATTGGCCTCAGAAGCCTTCGAATCTAGCTTCTGTACGGTTACCATGACACCGACGTACGAGGTCGTTCCCGGGGACCGGGTAGGGCTGTTCCAGCTGGGTAAGTTGACCATGTCTAGGTACACGCTCCTTGGCGGAGAGGAGCCTCTATCCAGGCTGGCCTGCTGAGGTCTCGGTTCCTGTGCTGGACCAAGCTGAGATAGTAGGCGACACGCTCTGGCACATTCTCGAACTACTCCGGGAAGAGAAGACTGCATACCCCAAAGTCGAAGTAACCTGGGACGACTCGGTCAGTCAGTGCCTGCCATGCCTTTGGGCGCCTTGTCAGCCTTGGGCAGCTCGACTGACTCTGCCAGAATTCGCGCGATTCGCCAATACTCATCACCATCCCCCACTTGACTCTACACTTCGCAGCCGACTCGCAGCTACTTACGACTATCACACTTACCGACCTCGCAACCGCCCGGCTGGGTCTGAGTCTGACGTACGACACCCATCTGCTCTGCTCGTCCAGCCAGAAGCTCACTCGGGGGCTGATTGGGAAGGTGCTGGGTCCGACATACGACTCCAAGGGGTCTAAAGGGGAGCTGGTCTACCCTGGCGTGGCATTCTCGGTGGCCGGACAGCCGGCAGGAGGGAGGGACGAGGTGGTTGACAAGGTTGTCGTCAGTACGAAAGACGGGGAGACGGTCATTCCAGATGATCTACTCAGCTGTGTCATTATCGTAAGCTTAGATAGACTTCGCTGTTGGTACCAGAAAGCTGATACGTCATAGCCTGGGAAGGGTGTGACATTATCGTTCGGTTCAGATACTCCCGTCGAGATTGTCGTCAGCGAGACGACAGCTCAGGACCTGCTTCTCGACCTTGGCGCCCCACTACGGCGGTACTGGAAAGAGGATGAACGGCTGGAGAAGATGTGGGGAGGCTCGGCGGCGCGAGACCCTGTGGGAGAAGCATCCGGAGGAGAATGTAAGTGAAGCTTGGTCGACTTCTATCTGGTGCTGACCCTCAGACTTCATGAACTACTTTCAATACGGTCTCGACTTCCTGATCTCGCCTCACGGGTTAGTGGAGAAGGTGGTCGCCCATTCCAATATCGTGAGTCCGCCGAATGTCCCTCACTTCTGTCTCCCGAATGTCTATACATCTATACGTAGGGATCACGCTGATGAGATAGCCTGGGTCTGCGCTCTTCCAGCGCTACGCCAAGTGTGCTTGGTCCATATCGACCTCTTCCGGCCCCATAACGTCCAAGTCCCCTCTATCCGCCGTCTCTACCGCCTTCTCAACCTCAGGCGTGCAGACCGCCACACCCATTATCACACCTCCCTCTCCGCCTCCCGCACCGCTCGAAAGTCTCGCTGTTCCAGTCCCGTCTGTCGGCGCCGGGAAGAAGGCGAAAAGACGTTCAGTCTCCGCCAGCAGCGACAAGTCTCCCGAGGTGGTCGTCGAGGCGAGCAACGTCCCGTCTGGTGCAAGTACAGACGTCGAGGGTATGACTTTGGATCGCGTGGGGGAGGGCGGCTTGGAAGGGGTGACGGTGGAGATGAAGAGTCGGCTGGTCGGGTATGAGGGCCTGGTAGTTGAGGAGGATCTGGCGAGTGGCGGGATATCGTCTGTACTTGTATACAGGGCGATGTGACGCTTTCAGATATACAAGACTTGGGCAATCGCAGTTGAGGTCACCAGACAGCTAGAAGGCCATCCACATCTCCGATGTCAGAACTGCCGTATCAGCCAAGTCCATCTCCATGTTCCGAATACAAGTTGGGACCTACTCTTCTGCATGTTGTACCACATGCTCAAGCCCGAAGCGACCTGCCACCCCTCCCTGTCCATCCGTCCTTCTCCACGGCGAAGCATGAGCACCGGATCCGCTCGGTCCTCGTCTGTGATCACGTCGTATAGCTGAATCTCGTTTGATTGGGATGTAGAATAGACGTGTGATCTTAGCGGTGACCGGAGGACGTCGGCAGGCGTGGGGCGGCGGAATGCCAAAAGTGGATTGAGGGCGGTGGTACAGAAAACGACCTGATCGTCAGCTTATCACCCATTCGAGAGGCTGTAAAAGCGGACCATGTTGATAGACTGATCAGCCTTCACGTGAGATTCGGCGGGGTCGCCGAAGGCTCGACACTGCTCAAAGACGGAAGTCAGAGTCACCAGGACGGCCCGAGACGCCAGGCTATTCAGCACACCGACAAAGTTCTGTCACCTCAGCTAGCTCTTCCTGCGGGCGGCAACCGTACGATCGCATAGCTGATGGAACATACCATAGCGACAATCCCGTCCTGTTCCACATTCTCCGCCAGATCCGCCCAAAACTCCCTCGTGAACATCTCCTCTGGCACGCTTCCGCCCGAAAAACAATCTTGGATGACATAACTCCATTTCTGGCCTTCATAGCTGCCTTCCCGACGCATGCGCGCGAGCGAGCTGACGTACTCGTTCCCGTCGAGCAGATTTATAGTCGTCGAGGATGGGAGAGTGAGGTTGAAGTGGTCTACTGCGGCATGGTAGACTAAGGGATCGATTTCGACTAGGTCGATGGAGAGGGATTGGCGCGAGAAGGCTTGAGCGGCGATACCGACGCCTAGGCCGCTGTATCTGTCAGCTGAGGGCATCGCCTGCGGACTTTTAGCGAAAACACGTACATGATTAGGGCTCGGTCCGCTGGCTTATCTGGTACCAAGTCCAGGTCTGCCTCAGGTGCGACTTGAAGTCCAGTGGACATCATGATCGTCCGAGCAACAGACTCGTCCTCGTCCGCTCGATGAGCCAGAAGTCCAATCTCCTGCAGAGGAAACGTCGCAAAAATCCTGATTCGTAAGCTTTCTATCCCCACTGAGTATACCGCTAAGCTCACGAGTCACCCATATCGGTCCGCGCTGGCCCATTCTTGCTGCCCGGTGTGGCTCTGACCCATCTTCCGCCCAGTATACTCGCGTCACACCTGAGGAACCTGAAGCCCCGGCTCAACTCCTCCCCTACCACGATCTGCCCCGTCATGCCTCGTTCACTACTCAGGATACGCAGTCCCCCTCGGGCAGCGAGGTACGGCGGGGAGGGACGCAGGAAGAGTTGTTGTCGGAGTGCGATAATGAGCAGAGGGATGCGAAGAAGGAGGAGGATGGGGAAGATTTGACGAGGGAGGCGGGAGAGGAGCGACCAGAGAGAGTCGGAGGCGGGCTTTTTGAGGTGTAGGCGGGCGGAGATGGCCGTATGGAGGGAGCGGGCGAAAGATGCCGAGGGGGGCGTTGAGCGGAGGAAGAGGGACAGGATGGTCAGAAAGAGTGAGAGTAGAAGAATCTGACCAGAGTCAGCCCTCGTGTGTCGGAAGATGGCCCATTATCCGATCAAAACTCACGCTCTTCTCCGGACTCTGGACGAGGAGAGAGGTACTCCCGCCGAGCAGCCGCATCCACAACCGCTCACCGAGCCAGATATGAGCAACGTATACTGTAGACCGGACCAAGATATGCGGAAGAGTTATAATTCGATCCCGCCTTGACGGTCCCGTCGGCATGGGCAGTATATAGTCCTTTTCGTCAGCTTGTTTGATCAGGCCACGACCATGCTAGCTCACCGAGCAAAGGGTAGCAAAGCCAACTCCTCCGCCTACAACCGCCATACCCAGCACCGCCCTCGCTCCCAACGCGCCCCATTCCGCTCCTCCAAGCTTGCCCGTTAAGCTGCCCACTCTTCTTCCACTGATAGCGATCAGATCCCCTCCCAGCGCCGAGACGGAAAAGCACACGCGAGCTGACGTGGACGCCTTGGGCGATCCATACCGGACACTGTTCCAGATGAGAGCGGTTGGTATGAGCGCGAAGGTCGAATAGAGTACAAGAGGGTGAAGCGAGAGTGGAGTGGAATTGTATATGGGTTGAAGGAGAAGTCGGGTGAGGACGAGGATGAGCGATAGGGGAATGGACAAGACGACAGGTACAAGATCTGGTGGTAAGCCTCCATATTTCGGAGCCTATGGAATGAAGCGACGTACAGAGTGCAGCGATCCTCGCGGTGTCGTGCTTCCATGTCCGCTTGGTCCTTTCTGCCTTCGGAGTCTCCGCCGGGGCTTCCACCCTACCTGCCTTATTTCCCTCCTCGTCCTTCTTAGCCTTCTTGCGAGACCCTGAGATGGCCGAACTTGCGAGAGACGATGTAGAAACGAGAGAAGACGCTGTGGTCGGTGTCGAGCTCGTTCCCTTGTCCTCCTTCACGACCGGTGTAGGCGGTAACGGCGGTGAGTCTGGCTCGGGCTCGTCTCCCTCCTCTGGCGCTGAGCTGGGCGAGCCCCCGCCAGACTTACCCTCCCGCTTCTTTTTCGAGCCATCAGACTGAGGCGTGGGCGGTAGAGAAGCAGTCGAGGGGTTGGAGCCGCACGAAAGGGGGGACGCTCGCGTCCTCGCGCTCGTTGGCGTGTCGGGCAGCGGCTCAGTATAGTTGCTGAGCACGCTCAGGCGCGGGTCGAGCTGCTTGCGAGCCATCTCGCAGCTGGCACTCGATGCTGTCTACTTCTGTATGCCTCGCAGGCATGATCATAGGGTGGATGTGAGAAGACACCTTCACGAGTGGTGGAAAGGGTGACTTTGGTGGTGAGCCAAGGCTCAGCAAGAGAAATCCCCCTTTGGGCAATACCGAACGTTTCAAGTTTGAAACAAGGGGTAACGGGCGCGAGTGGCATCTGGAGATTGGGGAGGACAATCCATCTGGAGAGGACGCGGGCTTACTTCAGGCACCATCAATAGGGGACAATCCGAGCGCTTTCATCATCAAGATCTCCGGCCGGCACGGAAAAGTGGATTTGAAGATCTGTATAAAGGGCTCGCCTCGCTGACTTTCGAATCAACATCTTGCATCTACTTGCTTTTTCTCTCAGTCACAGTCAGTCACATCCACCTCCTCAGACTCATCTGACCCCGCAGGAACTATCACATATTCATCAACATCATCAATTAGCCAAATGCCGGCCGGAAACTCAGTCAATACCCCTTGGGAGAGCAAGCATGATGTAAGCCATTCTCCTCTGCCATCTCGTCAGCCACAGCAATTCATGACATGCCCCTGTCCAACGCTCCAGCTGATCACCAGCTTGCTGTCCTTAGGTCTATCGTCCAATCCACCCTCTCCTCTCGCTCTACCATCTACGCCAGCGACGACCTCGCCGAAGTCAACAATAATGGCGGCGACCGTATCAACAAGAAGATCCAGCAGATCCTCGGCAAGCTGGTCAGCACCTATCCCGGGGCGGAGAACATGGTCAAGGAGGAAGTGGGCAAAATGGGAAGGGGAGGGGAGCGGAAGGCGGCTGACGAGGGATCGGGATCGCCGACGAAGTCACCAAAGAGGACGCCGTCGACGGGTGGAGCAAAGAAGGGTAGGGCGAGCAGGAAGGGAGCTGAGGCGGAAGAGGAGGCTGAAGAAGAGGATCTGGAGGACGAGAGTAGCTAGGTGGCTACATCGTAATGTGCATATCTATTATCAGCCCGACTTCCAGGAGGCTGGCCGCTCCTAGACTGAGCTGTTCGAGTTGAATCGGCAGCTTGCTGTCCTGTTGCATGAGGCGAATTTGCGGCGGGTAATTTGATCAGGCACAATCAGCCTGAGTCGGAGGACGGTCTGATTGTGTGCGCTCAAAGGAGACGATGGTCAGCTCCAGGCACGATCAAGAGATTAGCCTGGACCCCACTTTTACCAGTGCCTGAAGAGCGTGTGCGTGCCCGTCTCTTTTCGAGCGCCTGATGAGGACTGCAATACTCCCATTTGTCCTCAGATCGTTTACATCTCATCCTTCATTGCAAAACACAGACTTGTAAGAGCCTTCATTGCTACTTCCCACTGATCGTGTCTGGTCCCTCGCTGACTGACTCCTACTAGACTGTCAACCACTATAGACCTCAGAATGCCTGCAGCTGCTTCTCCCAACAAGACCTGGACACCCGCACATGATGTAAGCCACATCTTCATACTTTATCAATCGCGTCTGGCTTGATGTCCTGACATCGCTGACTCTGCAATAGGCTGTGGTCCTCCGCGCCGCTGTCCGCGCCATCCTCACCAGCCGACCCAACATTTACTCGGAGCCCGCCCTCGCGGATCTTGCCTCAAACGGCGGATCGAGGATCAACGACAAGATACGCCAGATGCTCAAGCGGTTTACGGCGCTCTACCCCGGGTCGGACATGATGGTTCGGGAGGAGGTCGAGAAGCTGGGCGCTGCAAAAGGGAGGAAGAGAAAGGCGGCTGATGAGAGTTCGGGGTCTCCAACAAAGTCGCCGAAGAGAACTCCGGTGAAGGGAGGTGGAAGTATGGGTCAGAGGGGAGACAAGGGGTGCGGGGCTGGGGTTGCAGAGGCGGAGGTGGATGAGCAGGATGTGGCGGAGGAGAGTAGCTAGGTGAATACGTGAGCGGTGAAAGGAGGTGGAAGCAAGCAGGCATAAAGCTATTGATCAACGTACATCCGCTGGCGCTGCTGCCAAGCCTGGCCATTCAGACCAGCGCGCTTATCATCCTAAACCCACTGTTTTTCCTGACTGTCCTGCAAAGTGTAGCCCAGCACTACCGCGAACCAGTCTCGAAAGTCCCTTTGTGAGTATAAAAACCGCATCAGCGTTGTGCAGTGCTAGCTTACTCCATCCAACAGCCCGACATGAAAAAGTTGGCAAGAACAAAGGGACTCAGAGACCGAGCATATTCAATCCACTATGTTCATAGCACAACGTCGACCTCGACTTTGACCCTCTTACAGTTTTCGGGCGTCATCTCTGATGGCCCCTTCAAATATCCCCAACAATGTACTGGCCCCTCTTCTCCCAACTAATGACTACACTCCGAAGTTATCAATAGGGAAGTGGCGCAAAGCTGTAACGTCCAGGCGAAGAACGCAGTTATCGGCAGCAGCATGTGATCTAGTCTTGGTGAGCTATACAAGCTGCTAGTTCTGACGAGGCTGTGCAGTCCAGAAATATCATTAACCGCAGCCGAACGCTGACCATCTCAGCTGATCGCCTTCGCCGGAGCAGTAGCCTTTATCTACTTGCTGTTGACACCTTCCCCTCCGCTTGAGACATGGCAGTGGCGGGAAGATTGTCGAGCGCCAGACGGAGGCCGGAGCACAGCCCAGCATTATGGCTTCCGAACCCCGCCAAGATTTCCAGCGATGACAATGCCCTCATTGAACACATACGAGCCCATCGAAAGACTGGAGCCTGGCCATCCGGCTTGGCCATACGCCGGTCACAGTATCCCAAGTTCAGACGACCTGCGCCACCTACCGCCAGTGGGCATCTTCATCGGTATACTATGTCAAGCGAAGGAGGCGGAGAGGAGAAATACGATAAGGCGCTCGTACCATCCCTCACGATGGAGCGAACATCAGGCCGCACTGGGGGCCATTGTTCCCAAGTTCTTCATCGGTAGACCCGGCAGTGCTGCCGAGGACGAGGCAATTGCGGCCGAGATTGAGAGTGAGTGACGCTGTGGTTCAATTTCGGACGTTAGCTCCCATACTCACACCGTCAGCCTTTGGCGACATTGTTGTTCTGCCAATGCGAGAGAATATGGATCGAGGCAAGACATTCGCTTTCTTTGAGTGGACTGCGAGGAACGCAAAGGTCCCTGCTTGCAATTATACCCAGCATCGGGATTCGGACTGGACGTATCATTGTTCTGGGGAGAAGCCGCCTGACTATGTCCTCAAGGCGGATATGGATACCTTCTTGGTTCTACCCGAGGTGGAGAGGCGGCTGAGGCATCTGCCTCGAACCAAGTTGTACTGGGGACGTGAGTGCGTGCGTCAGGTTCAGCACTGATCTGTATAGGAATGTATCCGGGCGGCCATGGACTCCTGATAGACGTCGGCGACTTCATGGTGGGCGCAGGGTACGGACTAAGTTTCGACATGGTTCAGTACATATCGGAATCCCCGTTCGCTCGGGCCCATCGGTCTGGCTATGAGGATCAGCTGACGGCGGATTGGGTCCGCGCCCACCCCGAGGCGGACCGTGTCGTCTGGGTATCGGAATCGTGTTGGATGTACAACCACCCCAAATCTGCAAAGACGTACGTATATGCACTATGATCGGACAAGAGCCCATCCTAAAGTCGACAGGTGGTCACACGGTTTTATCTTCCCCGATCTGCTAGCCTCGCTAAGCGACCAGCGTGCTGCAAGTATCCTCCCGTCCTGGATACCGCCCAAAGAGGCCGGCCGCTGGTCCACAACGACCCCGCTGGATCGGTCCTATACCCCTGTCGCGTCGAACTTGACGTTTGAACAAGACGTCGAGTCGCTGATCGAGTCAACAGAATTATCCTTGCTGCATCCACACAATTTGGATGTACCGATACCGTCATCGGAGCTGACAGAACGAATCAACAAGGCGTACGCAGAAAGAGAGTCCAGGGCGGAGCGAATGCAAGGCTGGGAGGCGGGATCGACGATATGGGTACACGCATCCAAGCGGAACGAATGGTGGGAGGAAGCGGTTGCTGCCTTTGCGGACGAATGAGCCTTAAGCTGCTTGATGGGCTTGTGCTTTTCAGTTGCCCCTCCTTAACTTGCAGCATGCGCTCGGCGTGGTAGCCGACGCAGAAACGCTTATCTCAGAGCATCCCCCAAAATGGCATTGCTCGGGACGTTGAAGTTTCGACGTGTTGCACGGTGCAAAGAGAGACAGGGTGGCGAAGGGGAAGGAGCGGGACGAGGCGGGCGCCGAAGGGGGAAGAGTCGGGGGCGAAGCGTAAGTCTTGAGGGGAAAGGGCGGACAACTAGGCGCAGATGTCGCACCGGAGATCGTTAGAAGCCAGTCAGATCGTGTGAGTGAAATAGGAGCAGGTGAGGATCGCGCTAGGTTGGTGTCACGGTCTGTCACCAGCGTTACGTTCCGGCGGCATCATAAGCTATCCATCTGAAATATAGGTTCCTCTTCCTCTACATCGCTTGTCTACGAATGAGCTCTCGATCCCCCAGCCCAGATAAAGATGCCCGGACTTACTTCGAGACCATCTACATCATAGGGATACTGAGGTATGAGCGACGGACTTCGAAGCGGATCAAGAGTAGCTACACCGTGCCGGCGGAAGGACAGAGTGCGCTTACATCGCACCATATCTCTCCAGGTCTTAACCACAGTCTGATTCGGACAATATATTTGAGATGCCACCACTGTTCGCAGGGAAGAGCAAGCATTTCTGCGCAGGCTGAGTCGTCAGCGAAAGTCGAAGCGAAGCCATGGAGGATATGGGTGGCGGGTGGTAACGTACCATTTAAGGCCTCCCAGACGGTATCATCCTCCACTTCATCCTCTTGCTGCTGGTCAGCTAAGTCCGAGATATTGAAAATGGTCGACACAGATAGCTTGTAACCCAAACTCACGATCAGATCGACCAGCTCCAGGTAAATATCCTCAAACCAGTCGGCGAAGCGCTTTCTGCCAGGCAATATCAGAGGATACCCCCTCAAGTGCTCGTTCACCCATATCGACTCACAAGCGATACTCGTAATCAGGTCCTCCATTCCTCCAAGCCTGCCACAGCTTCCCTGCAGCCTCCCTACATCTCGCTCGTATGTCTTTGTTCATTTCCCCAAAGTCCACCATTCCTATGTTTCGGGTTCGCCACCGAGTGGAATATCAAGCTGGAGCGGGTCGCGGTCGACAGAATCAAGAGTGGCCCTAGTGCGAGGAGCATGAGGATGATGCGATGGGATGTATGGGTGAGAAAGTGTAGGAAGCACTTCTACAAGTGCACAGCGAAGTGCCCGCCAGACTTCGGCTGGACTCCCCATTCCGGAGCTATTTGCACGCTCAGCGAACCTAAATGTAATTAGGGCGTTCCTTTGGGCTTCCTTTTCGGGATCACTGTACGTCGGAGCTGGAAAGAGACGACAGGTCACCTGATTCACTCTGAGCGGTGTCGCCTCCGTGGCTGAACACAGGTGATATGTGTGAGAGGACGGGTCATCTGCATCACCTGATCGTCAATACGATTACGATGCCTCACCCCCGGGCGAGTACCCTGCTGTAGCAATGAATTGTGGATCAATCTCCTTACACTTCTAACGACACCCTGCCGACCAGCAGCCGACACGATGGGCCGTGTCGGATCTGCTATCCCGCCTGTTTCCAACAATCAGATGACCGTGAGGACGAGATGCAGCGGGATCTATGGCTCATCCTCGTCGTCCTCTCGGTCGTCTTCTAACGCGTCCTCAGGGTACTAGGCGGAGTCAGTACACCCCTCAAAGACTGTGTGGAGAGGAGCGACTCACGTCGTTCCAAGCCTGATCTGGCTTGAGGATTGTCCTGAGGGCAGCGATGTTTTCTACGTGATCCCAGTGAGGAACCTTCTTGACGGCGACGATGTGCTCGCATGCTGTCGCTTAGCTGTGTCCATCGATGGGATTGCTAGGAAAGCAGGTCTGGGACGTGGTAAGACTCACCGAGCAGCACCTCCGACTCTGTCTCTGGGAAGAGTTTCCCCTGGATCTGGGCCATGAGCTGAGGGCCCGGCCGAGCCAGATAGCTAGACTCACACTTAGATCATAGATCCGACAGTACAAGTTCTCGAAAGCTCCATCCCAGACGGTCCTGCGCAAGTCAGCTTCATCCCATCCACTCTATCCCGCTTATCCGCCCATTTACCCTTCGCCAGTCCAGTCCAGCGCGCAGACTCACACAGCCTTGATCCCCTGGCTCCCGCCCCTGCCCCACGCCTTCCTCAGACCTTGAGGAGCAGCTCGGCACTCTTTGACGATGTATCGATTGAGAGCGTGCCAGTCCTGGAGCCGGAGAGCTTTGTTCCACCCAGGGGGCTCGATGTTCGCCATTTTTGCTGTGGGGGAGTTGACGGGAGTTCGTTCTCGGGAGTTTCGAGGAGGTCTTTGTACGCGCTGTAAGCGAAATGAGGTAGATGGAGATACGAGGCCAACTTATGAGGCGGGTAAGGTGATCAATGCCTATGTAGCCGCAAGAGCTACAAAGACTTACCAGCCCAGTCAGTGCGATCTGCAACGCGGTCAAGCATGCCGTAAAACCGGCTGGCAGAACCCGAAGCTGCACGTGACCAGATTAGAGATCTCGTATGTGGCACTGTGGCGGTCTGATGAGAGCTGCTACAACCGACCGTGCTGCTGAAGTGTACCACACGTGTACGGCACGGCGTATATGGCATGCCCACTGGCTTCAGCCTAGTGTGTGAACGATAATATACAACAAATGATCTCCACAAGATCCGCAACAGGTCTTACACAGTCGCCGCCTGCCTCTTTCTCAATATCCGCTCAGCCGCCTTTTCGAGCTTGTTCGCCTGGGCGGTATATGTGTTCTTGTCGCCATTATATTGTCGGCAATTGGCGCACATGAGCCTGACGTCGTCCATGAATGATTCGATGGTGTCGTAGTGATTGTTTTCGAGCTTGCTCTCCATTGTCGAGAGATCTGGCATATCAGCTATGAACCGATATCCACCAAGTGTAGTGGACTTGCCTATTGGATGTATGATGACAGTATAGTAATCGTGCACGAGAGCACCATCTACTGGCTTGATGAATGGCCATGCGGACGGCTCGTTGATCAGGTCGTCCAGCACTTGCTGCAGGAGACCATGGTGTGGGTTCCGCTTCGGCTGCCGAAGACTGGATGGTCAGCTTATCGCCACGATGCAATGGATGGAGCAACTCACATATCATCCAGATCAGGATCCCAGCTAGTCTCCGCCAGACCAGGTACTTCCTCCTTCTTCAGCTTCAGATGCTGCCCTTCTCTGCGATGCTTGAAGGCCTCGAGACCCGGATGGACGACATGACTTTTTGTAAGGCTTTTGATTTTCGCTAGTACCGCCTGATTTGTCAGCTCACGACCTATCACCTTTCTTGAGTATTGGCCGAATGAACTCACGGCCTTCTGATCCGCCAGCATCTGATGTACCTCCAAGTACCGCACCTTTGGCAGCATCCCACACTGCATGATCGTCCCGCCCTCATAGTCCTTGATATACCCTACCCATCGTTCCCTAGGAAATGAGATCTCCTTCGTGAAGCCCTGCTTCTTGAAGTATCCGACAGCGTAATTATCGGCATACGTGAGGAAATAGTTAATGCTGAGGTGGGCGCGTTTGACGTGATCTTTGAGCGAGTTCATGAGGTGAGAACCGTAGCCCTGCGTAATGAGCACTAGCCTCACACTGATGACAGAGATCTCACCTTGATCTGCTCCGAGCTGTCTACAGCGCAAAAGACGATCTCGGCAAATCCTCGACTCTCGAAAGGGCGATAACAGATCCCGCCAACAACGCGCCATCCCCGCTTGACGATAGCCATGCTGATGTGGTTCTTGTCGAGCACAAGACGCGTGATGTATTCCCGGGGCATTTTTGGTAATTGCTTCTGGAATAGGTTCTTGAGACCGACGAGGAGGATGGAGGCGACCGGAGTGGGATTGCGAGAGGCGACGACGACGAGCCGGATCTCCTCTGCTGCTTCTTCGACTGCGGCGGGTCGAGGTGGAAGTTTAGGCTGAAGAGTCAGCTATACCGTCGAGATACGTAGAAGAGGGCATAACTGACCAGCTCAACCCCCTCCCATATCTCCACATCCTCCTTGCGCTGATTCCGCAAGACTTCCACCTCCCTCTCCTTCTCCTTCTCCTTCGCAATCTCTCTCCGCTTCCTCTCCCCTTCCTCCAATTGCGGTCTCTGCTGAGCGAGCGGTACCTCCTCTTCATCCTCGTCTTCCCCTCCTTCTCCGCTGACACCAGCTACCGCTTGCCCATCCTGCAGTACAGTCTCCGGCAGCTGCCCCCCGACATGCTGTGTCCCATCTGCCTCCGTTTCCATCGGTACCAGGCCCCTCGCCGACCTCACTACGGTCTGTGGCATCCGTGCCTTCCTCCCTGTCGTCTTCCCACTTGGCTTCTTCCCCTTCTGCGCCGAATCCGGCAATGCCACCTCATCCCCGCCATCCTCCTCTTCCATTCTTCTCCGTTTATTTGGCCGATCATCGCCGTGATCTGAGCCTTCGCCTGGTGTTCCAGCGTCACCGTCGAGAAATGAGTGGGAATCGGGGGTGGAAATGTCGAGAGCAGGTAGTGAGTTGGGAAGTGCGGGCTTCTTTCCCCCTGTGGGCCGATGGAAGGGTTGAAGCTGTTTGTAGAGTGATTCCGTATCTGGTATTCTGGGTGTAGGGAAGGTGGTGAGAAGCGAATTATCCTGAGGTTATCAGACTCAAGTACATCGCACGACGTGGAGAGGTCGTCCGACTCACATTCAGTAACTCTTCTATCCGCCCGACTACCTTACCCCTCCTGTTCCGCTCCTCCAGAGACACGCCCGCAGGCCAGGTATGTCCCGCTCCTTCCTCATCCCACCCATGTCCACACTGCCCACATACCCTCCACCATCCCTCTCCTGTCCGCTCCTCGTCGCCCTCATCCTCCTCATCTCGGTCCAGTATCTCCTCCAGCTCTGCACGGGACATGGCCCCCAGCTGCGCTCCAGCAGGCGGAAGCATCTCCTGGCAGTCGCAATTCGCAGACTGGCAAGCGAGAAAGCGAGCGCTCTTGAACGATTTTTCGCGCTCCGAGAGGGTAAGGAAGTTCGACGGTGGTGTGGGATATCGAAAGAGCGAGGCGGAGGGAAGTGTGCTGGGTCCAGCAGTGATGGTATCGTCCTCGTCCTCGTCTCCGTCTTCTTCCTCGTCCTCCTCATCGTCCTCATCCTCATCTTCTTCTTCGTCCTCCCCAGCTTGCGAGACAACCCCCGCGACCGAATATCCGCCCGACGGATCCGCTTCCAGCTGTGCCATCAACTGATCCGCCATCGCCGCATCGATATCGATGTCCATCCCCTCATCCCCCGCCCCTATTTCAGGCAAGGCATCAACCGGTTCCGCCCCTAACAGCAACTGCATCTCCACATCATCCTCGATCTCGCCCGTCATATCTTGGAGTGCGGCCTCGTCTATCACCCCATTTGGCGTCCCGTTCGATCCCGTATGGCCCTCCGACGGACCTAGCGTGCCGGACCTCGAGGCAAAGGTGGGGTGGGCGGGCGACTGGTTGACGGATCTGACGGGCGAGAGGGGCGAGGAGCCGGTCTCGGAGGAAGGCTTCCTCTTGAGCTGAGACGCCTTGGAAGGGGCTCGCCCGCCAGTCTTCCGTTTAGGCGCCATGATGAGGCTTGCAGTGGTAGCAGGATGAAGTACAAACGAGGAAGTTCGGACGTGCAAGGCGTCGAGCAACAACAGGTCCGCAGACGAGTTTAGCCGTTCAGCCGGCACGGAGTTTCGGCCAATCTCCAGCTGGGCCTCATATCATTGCTCCTTGTAGAGCAGCCTTGTCAGGGCCATGTCTCGCTATGCTGCCTATAACTTCTCTTGCATAGTCTCCGGAATACTGCGGATCCCCCCTGATACAGATCACCCCCGTATATGCTATATTTACAATGTAAACCTACTCCCTGATGATACCCTCGCCTAGTCCCGCCTGACCACCTTGGCGTAGCTCGCCGCCCGCGCTTTCGGTGGCCCGATCGATACCCCCGTACTAAAGCTCAAAGCCTGCAGCTTTGCCTCGATGATATCCTCGGCACTCATGCCCGCCCCGTCCACCTGCGCGATGCCTTGCGATACCGGTGCCATGGACTGGTCCGGCTGATGACCGTTGGAGGCTTGAGTATCGGCCGAGGGATTGGAGGGGTCGAATAGCGATTGGGAGGCGCGAGGAGGGGGACCGCGCTGGAAGTCGCTTTCCCCGTTCCCGTCTGGCTGTACGTGACCGAATAACGTCGCGGCAAGGGGTGCATTTGGGATGTGCGAAGACAGGCTGGTCATGGACGACGACCCGCTCGGACCCGATTGCGATGTCCAGGTCTGCGACCCGTTACTGTGCATCGCGAGGTGCTCGCCGTTGCTCGAAGTCGACGCCTGGGAGGGAGGACTGGGCTGGAGGCTCCGACCCGAGATGGAGCTGGGGTTGGAACCCGGCTGAGAGCCAGAAGGGACGTATTGCACATTATCGGCTGCCCAGTCTGGTCGGCGGGGAAGAGGGTGTTGAGAGGGAGGTGGAAGAATAGTGGGTCGACTCGGTCTGGATGAGCGGGATGAGGTGGTGGTCGTCGATGACTGGATCATCAGCAAGGGCATCTCACTAGCAGTTGAAGAAAACGACATACCGGGCTCTGCCCCCGGGTAGATCGCCTTTCTGGCGCCATCCCCATCGCCGTCAACCCATTCACTCCCGCCTTCATTCCTTTCTGCCTGTACCCCGCGTTCGCAGGGTACATATGCCCGAACCGCGCGCTACTCGCAGCGCTTCCGGTGCTCGTGATGGATCCCCCCGAGTGGGGCCGGGAGTAGCTGTGTCTCGAATGTGACGATATCGAGCTCGAAGCGGAGGAGTGGGGTTGTGGCTGAGGACGCGACGGTTGAGGATGTTGGAGGTTGGGGTAGGTTGAGTAGCCGTATCCCGACGAATATGGGTGAAGGGGTGCCGACGGCCCGTTCGAGGTGATCGGCGGCATAATCATCTGCTGATGCGGATTGCCGTTGACAGGTTGCTGGGCATATCCCCACCCGTTTCCGCCCATCTGAGTGGGCGGCATCATGGGCTGTTGGGACATCACGCCGACGGCTTGCATGGGCTGCTGCTGCCACATGGGCGTGGCATACCCGGCCATCTGCTGCGGAACCAGCATGAGCGGGTTCCCATGCTGGTCATACGCTTGTTGAGGATACATCGCCTGGCCAGCTCCGTTCGTATAGGTGGGCATCGGTGCGTACGCCGCCATAGTCGGATCCAGCATGTGATAGCCGGGATATTGTACCGCTTGATTGACGTAGTATACCCCGTTACCGGCACCAGTCGGGTCGAGTGGCTGGCCGTCCGGGCCGTGGGTATGGTAAAGTGACGCATAGATGGGCTCGTATGCCGCTGCAGTCATCGCGTCTGCACCGTAGGCATACCGTGAGACCGGGTCGATCTCGTCCTCGACTGGCCGTACCGCCGGCGGTGGGTCGACGACTTCCTCTGCCTCCGATGGTGCAGCCCCGTATATCCTCTCCCGGGCAGCCGCATAGTCCGCTTCGCGCTGTTCTAGCGTCTTGCGACTGCTCGGTCCGCCTTCCCCTCCGTCCGCAGCTGAGCTCGAGCGGGATGAACCGACGGGTTGTGACCGCTGCATGATCTGGAACTTCTTCTGAACCGTCTGACGCTCTGGCACCAGAGACGCAAGTTTCAGGGAAGAGCTAAGTATCAGCGACCCGTCCGGAATGTACACATACCTCTTCTCCGGAATACTCCCCACAACCCCCACGTAGATACCGTTCGCCGGTCCAGGTACCGCTTTGACTCCATACCACTCCGCCGCCTTGTACACCAACATCCGCTGGAAGACGCTCGCGGCCTGGCTCTGAATTTTGACATTCGGCAGGCCGCCATAGATGGCAAAGTTCGCCGCCGCCGGCTCGGAAGCGACAAGTTGAGCGTCGTTGGGCGTTTCTCCCTCCGTACACCGAGCAATAAATGCCTCAATCTCCTTGGAGAGCATGACGACGAAGATCCGATCTTTAGATTGAAGTGAGATCTTGAGTTGATCCTCGCCTTGTAGCGTGCCGAGACCGATGTTGGCGGGGGCCATTTGATGAGCGGCCGTTGTGACGGGTTGACCGGTCGAGGATGATGCGGAGACTGGGGGCTGCCGAGGTAGAATACCGATACGAGGAGATTGTACACGGGCGCGGCGGATGGTGGACTCCGAATGAGGAACGGGGGTCATACGACTACGATATGAGCTTTGGTATGGCGGCATCAAAGGAGACTTGGGGACATACCCATCATTATCTGAGGTACCGTCGAGCGATGACCTGACATTCTGCTCTTCCGCTCCGTCCGCCTGAGCTACCGATACGCCGTTTGTAGTGCCCGATACTGAAGGAGAAGGCACAGCTTTGGCCGTCATAATGGGTCCGGTGACTCCCGCCATCGTGGGGTCGAAGGAGAGCTTATTCACTTTAGCTCGGGGGGTAAGCGGGGTGGAGTATGAAGCTGGGAGCGATGACAGTGCTAGGTAGATGTCAGCGAGGGCCCTTCGTTTTAACAGTAGACGGTACACGGGCGGGCCTGCGAACCAAGAAGGATCTCCGCTGAAAGGACGGAGAAGGGTGAAACGCAGTTTGGAAAGCGAGAAGAGGAGCTTTGATCACTCACCCCCAACGGCTGGAGCTGCCATAGCCATGCGTGGCTCAATACGGACAGCCTATCCTGTGGGACTACAGGTAATGCGAGAGGAGATGATAAAGCGAGAAGCGAAATAGCGGGTAATGAATGTCCGGTGTTGGCTGTGCGCTGGGGTGGAAGACTTTGCGGGATCTCGGAAAGGCTAGCTGATACTGCAGCAGAAGGTATGGGAATGCCTGTGACGAGAGAAGTCGCAGGAGTCACACTGGATGAGTGCGAGATAGCCAGAGCTGAAGCTAATGGGTATGAGCTATAGCTAGGGAGATGTACAGTGGTGAGAAGATGGTGGTGGTGGGGGATCGCGTCAAGGGAGGCTGCGCTCAGGCTAAATCTCGGCAGATCCCGGTCACCGGCCGATCAGTCCTCTCGCTATGCGATGGCTAGGTCTATGCAGCTCTGCTTCAAGACATGCAGCTCGGGAGACATGATCGATCGCGTTGAGCCGAGAAGCACGATCATACTAGGACTTTGCATGGAAAAGCAAGAAAGATTTACGTCTGCTCCCCTGGTCTCCTCGTGAGGACCTCCGCTCCTGTCTCTGTGATCAGGATCTGATGTTCCTGCTGGGCTGATCTTGCTCCGCTCTGTACATCAGCTCATCCTGATACTTGAAGCCAGATGGCAGCTCACCTCGGTCGCCATGGTCCACCCATCATCCCACTGGAACCCCCTGCTATTGCTTCCCTGGACCAGGGAGGGTTCGATAGTGAAGCAGTCCCCGACTCTCATGGTATCTCTGTCGCTATTCGCTGAGCACATCAGCTCCTCCAGATCGACATGTGTGACAGCAGTGAGCAGAAGGTCGACATACCGTTGTGACATATCGCTGGTGATTGGTGGAAGTTTCGCCCGATGCCATGTCCGCCGAATTGCGAGTTGACGGAGAAGCCATGTCGCTCCGCAAAGTCTCTGAATGGCATTAGCCCGCAATCTCCTGCAGAAGCTGATAACTGAGACGAGTGGGAATCCGGACTCACTCTATAGCTTTCCCAATCCCATTCAGGCGCTTGCCCGGCCCACACGCCCGTATTCCCAGCTCCAGCGCTTCTTGCGTTGCGTTCACCAAATTCCGACCGAGCTTGTCGGCACCAGGTAGAAGGAACGTTATTGATGTATCCCCATGGAAGCCATCATGATACAGTGTCAGGTCGATATTGATGAGATCTTCTGGATGGAGGGGTCGGCTATGGCAGGTTAGCTCTGATCAGCGACCAAGAGCGGACCTTGAGCATAACATACTCGTCTGGGATACCATCTACCCTGCAGCATCAGCCCAGGATCATCCTCAGAAAACCAAGAGAAGGCTTACGGGCAATGACGTTGTTCACAGAAGTACAGCAACTCTTCGGGAAGCTCCCATAGCCTAAAGTCGATGGGTATGCCCCTCGGTGGACTATGAGCTGATGTACAGCTGCGTCTAGCTGGGAGGTAGTGACTCCTGGCTATGATGTTAGCCCTCTTCTCTACAGCTTAGTCGACCGGATTACCTTGACCAGCTTCTCAATTTCTGTCAATACCTCGGCCGCCAAAGCCGCTACTTTCCGGATCTTCGCTTCGTCCGACCCGCCCAGCTGGATCCCGCGGTCCAGGAAGGCACGCTCATCCACCTCGACAGTGGCGTGATCACCCCATGGCGCGTCGAAGAAGTTGGCAGGGACGTATGTCGGTCGAGGTATTGAGCGGGGCACGAAGAGGGACTCGGGGTAGGCGGTCATGGCAAAGGAGGAGGGGAGGACGGGGTATTTTCCGAATTTCTCGGGAGACGTGTGGTATCTGCCCCTTCCAGGAGCAGCCATGAAGCGTAAGGCTGAGGCCCTCATAATGGAGTTGATGTGCTGATAAGAGGACGGAAAGGCGACTCACCTTAGAAATGCAAACGAACTCGGAGGCACGTTACAGGTCCTGAGGTCGGCACGTGACGTGTGACTGTGCAGTGCAGAACGACTCGTGGCGGTAGCGCATGGCACTTCTCTTTGTCGTGAGGTTGTGCGAGGCCGAGCTCATGAGTGTTAGCTCGGCATTGTCTGACAAGGTGAAAAACCTGAGGAACTGCGGGATCTATGACCGATTGGGGTGATCTAAATAAGTACGAGCCAAACGGCCCGAAGCGTTGTGGTATTCTCGCCCGAGAGGTACCTGTGCGAGTCCAGTTCCCTTCAATAGGGTAGACGGAGCAGTAATTTGCGGAGTAATTTGCATACAGAATACGATAGCGGGAATGTCTGGAGATCACTTCGCCCAAGCCCTCGCTCAGTTCGGAGTATCGATGAGTAAGACCGTCTTCTTGCCTCGTAGGGGGCGCTCCTCCACGACCTTTGCCTTCCAAAGAATGTCCCAGAATTTTTCTGACGCCGTGCTCAGGTACGAGCTGTTCTTCTCAATGCCCCAGACCTGCTCACGATCTTCGTCATCTTCCTTGACTTTGTTGACCATTGGTCTGAGACTCATGATGCAGCTGCCAGAGCTCGCCTGCACATTGTCTCTGATCACGGAGGGCGCATCGCCTCGCTGATCCCCGCGCGCGCTTAGTCGCTCGTTCACGGAGTTGACGGCGCTGGCGAGTACAAGGAGATAGTCGCGCTCGCTCGCCGGAAGGTGTTCGACGCCCTCCTTGCAGTTGGAAGTGCGGAACTTGTCGCGGCCTGTCAGGATCAACTCACGCGATCCTCGCAAATCATTTGCACTCGTCGCGAAGTAAGTCTCAAGGTTCACGACTGCACCCCCGTACGGGATCGCTTCGTCCTTGTCGACGACTTTTGGCGTGAGGTAGATCACGACTTCGTCTTCGGCAATCGTCGAGCCGGAGTCGGGCGGCTGATCGCGGAGCCTGGCTAATGAGCTCTCAATCATTCGACGGACATTCTCCACTCACCAGTCCTTCAAGCTCTGCTGATAAGCGTGAGGTGTCATTTGCTCCAACAGCTTGCGCAGGCGTAGACCCTGTGCTTGCTGTTCAGCCAGAAGATGTTTCGATTCAGCCAGAAGATATGTCTCTGCCAGCCCCTGCTCGGACGTGGAAGCTGCCGATCGATCCCGGCTCCGGCTCAGGCTCCGGCTGAGGCTTTGTTTGAAGCCGGACAGTGACGGGAAGAGGCTGCGACTCTGCCGCTGGACAGAGACGGGTGCTGGACCAGCCGAATGGGCCTCATGGCTGGTCTTGTCCGTCGCTGTGTGACCACTCAGAATCGACCTTTCCAAACATCAGCGCTGGGATGGATGGTACAAAGGGGGAAAGTCTCTGCTCACTGGGGAAACTTGCTTGCATTCTTGAGCACGATCTTGAACGCAGGTACAGCCTCATCGTCCCCTTCTTTGCCAGTAAAAAAAGTAGCGTACGAGACTCCAGGGATAGTGAATGTCTCGCTGACCGGTCAGTACATACTAAAGCAATGTCAGAGGCCGAGTACTGGTCAAGCCGACCCCCGGGCGCTATCGTCACTCACATGGACATGGTGTGGTCTGGTTGTGCCGTAGTGATTTGGTGTAGGGTAAAGATTGTCAGGAGTGTGGAAGGATGAAGTAGGATGGAGGGATTTGCGGCCTCCCGACCAGCTTATATACCCCGAGGCGATGCCCTCTCGCAGCCACAAATCCTCCAATCGTACGCTTCACGTTTCATATCCTTTGTGAATTGATCTAGATTGCGAGGGGTCAAGCACGTCGAATGAGGCGTTTTGTTAGTGGAGCCAGATCTCAAAGGTCCTCCTGCACCGCCTCGCGGTTAGTGTCTCATGCTTTGGATCTCAGTCCATATATGTCAATCGTGGCGTGATTTGCGCGACGCTAGTGGAGCTAAATCGCAAAGGATGACTGATCAGCTCGGTGTTTCGCATCCTTTCAGTATGTTGAGGCGATCCTATTCATGTAAATAGCAGGGGGATGGGGTGCTCTCGCCCGCCGGGGACAGTCGGGCCATCCGCCTGCGCATGGGGTACACCTTCGAGGAGTCAGAGCATGAGAGCATAGAGAAGAAGATCAGTAGAGTTAATCTGTCAGATGCCGTGCTATGGAAGTCCTACATCACGAGTATCCGTCACTTGCGGCATGTGCCCTCATGAGATGGCTGGAAAGCGTATTGAGGACCCAAGTTGGTCATCAATGATGCGTGAGTCACACATCATCTGGAGATCAGCCATATAACCGTACTTATGGAGTACAGCTTAGAGGCAGTTGGATTGGCCTGCCCACAGCGCCCACTCCGCTCCTCCACCCCTCCGCCCGTCAGTCACGTTTCACCGGAGAAACGGCGAGTTTTTCTCCGCCCGACCGGCCAGATTCTAGTCGGCCAGCCCCCGGGCCGACCCAGCGTGGCGACGCCGGACCACATGCCCCGCAATTGACCGGAAGCATAACGCCTTGATGGGATTGCAGCAATGCACGAAAGCTTGAGCTTTGGCTGTGACAGTGGACGGAACCAAACACGCGATCTGCTACGGCATGGACGCGACTGATCAATTTCTCCCCTGAGCTTTCCCAAAGGAAAGGGAAGGGAAGGGAAGCTCCAATTGAGCACGTCTCTTTCCCTCTTCATTGTCTCTCAGCGTTCATACATTCACCTCGACTACATCCATCTTCTTGACACTCCTTTCACGCCACGCTCTTTGACTCTTTTCGCGTACCGTCCGGAAGCAGGAAGGGACAGCTTGTTCGGAATTCGCCTTGACCAGCGCCCCGAGCGTCAAAACAAACAACCCCCTCGACCCGACGCGCCTACTCCGGAGCTCTCACCTCCTTCGCATCCGTCATGACAATCCAGCATCTTGAGCTGGATAGCATCCTCGCGTCCTCCTCGTCTGCCGATTTCTCCAAACGGCGCAAGCTTGAAGACTTGTCAACGACCATCGCGAAGGCCAAGCGGGTCATTGTGGTTTCTGGCGCGGGAATAAGCTGTTCCAGCGGAATACCCGTATGTTCACTTACCAACGCGTAAGGTCACACCCAGGCTGACATTTCGGGACTTCCGATCCGAGAATGGTCTATACTCGCTCGTGAAGAAACGGTACCCCGACACGTTCGTCACCGGCAAAGACCTCTTTTCCTCCGGTCTCTTCAATAACCCTTCTACCACCTCCGTCTTCCTCACCTTCATCGCGGAGTTATCGATCGCGTGCCAAGCGGCTACTCCGACGCGGACACATCACTTCATCCAGAAGCTCGACCGGACGGGGAAGCTTCTGCGGTCATATACGCAGAATGTGGATGGGTTTGAGCGGCGGATGGGGATGGAGAGCGGAGGAAGGGGGAAGGGGCTGAGTAAGGCCAAGTCGAGGAATGTGGAGCTGCATGGGGATCTTGGGAGGGTGCGGTGTTGTCTGTGTCAAACGGACTATCCGTCGACGGAGCAGTATGTGGGGGATTATCGGGAGGGGTTGATGCCGGATTGTCCAGCGTGCGAGGAACGATGTAAGCTATCGTGCTCCCATCGGTCTGTACTTCCAGCTCACCCATCAGGCGATGAACGCGTCAAGCGAGGCTCCCGAGCACTGGCGGTAGGAACTCTTCGACCCGCCATTGTCCTATACGACGAGCCCCATCCACTCGGCGACCAAATTGGCGAGCTCCAATCCCACGACCTCAAAAAGGGCCCCGATGTCCTGCTTATCATGGGCACTTCGCTCAAAGTGCACGGACTCAAGAATCTCGTCAAGTCCTTTGCGAAGCGGATACACGAGCACGAGAACCCCAAGCGGCGGGGCATCGTTGTATTCGTAAACCAGACCAAGCCGGGGAAGGAGTGGGAAGGTGTGATTGACGTGCATGTGCAAGGGGAGACGGACAAGTGGGTGGAGAGGGTAGAGGAGGTGTGGAGGCGCGTCAAGCCGGGAGATTGGGAGGTGCAGACTACGCTGGATGGGCCGGTCAGGGCGCAGGTCGAGGTGGGGTCGAAGGCAAAGACTACGCCAAAGAAGGGGAAGGGTGAGCTCAATTTCTCCGCAATCGATTCGAGGTAATAGCTGACCCGTTCAGCCACGAAGAAGGGAGATCCAACTCTGTTCACCTCTGGTCAACTCCCCACTCCACGCGCGTCCCGCTCACCTTCCTGCGGCGCCGAAACCGTTTCTTCTGGCCTTACAGACCCGCCTTCCCCCACTCCTACCCCCTCACCGCCTCTCGCCCCCAAGATGGACCCCTCGGCCTCAGCACCCATGTCCCCACCCCTCTCTCCCTCAAAACGCCGCGCAAACGTCCAAACGCCCATCACGAGCGACAGCCCCGTCAAGCGCCCAAGACCACCGCAGACGGGCACACCGCCTAGCAAAGGTCGAGGGAACCTCTTTGGCGCACCCAAAGCTGTCAAAGCCGAGGTCGAGAATAGGGAGGAGGATTGGGAGGACGAAGGACAGGTCGAGGGGATGACGGTATCGATGGTCAAGCCGGGTAGACCTGTGCGAGTCACGAGGGGCCAGGCGAGAGAGAAGGAAGAGGAACGACCGGCCAAGGAGAATGTGCCCGTCAAGGCGGCATTGGCGCGTTCGGCGCGGAATAAAGCCGGGACGAAGAAGCTGGCGGAGGAGGCGGTCGGGGTGAGAAGGCGAGGGTTGCGGACGTTGGCGGCTGCGTGAGGAGGTGCAGGAGATGGCTTGTTCGGAGGGTTTGGACATTGTTCATATAGGCGAGTCATGTGCTGTGTAGCAGATATTGGGGATTGTTTAGTCGAGAGGATGTCTAGTCTTGTAGGATATTGGCGTGTGTAGATCTGCCAAGAGGAAATGTCAACCGGTGCATGTCGCTCGTATTCTTTCTCTTCCAGCGAGTCTGAGTCCTGCACCGGTGGTGGGACCTGTTGCAAGCAGATCAAATGCATAACTATGATACAGGATACACGTCTCGCCGCCTCGACCTTTGCAGCTGCAGTTACTCCATCAAACGATACCAGGCACCTCGAAACCGCCCTTGGCCAAATCGCTGACCCCCTCCACCTGCCCCAATGCCGCCGCGATCCGCCTGACCAGGTCCGCCCGGACAGTCAAGTCTGCCGCCGCGGGTTTGGGCGCCGTAGGGGAGTTCCGGATGTAGATGTCGAGGCCGGCTGGGGTGAACATCGTCTTGGAGAAGACTGGGGGTCAGCATTGCTGGCAAGGGGACATGTGCAAAATTGCGGGCTTGGCGCAGCACGACAGGATCAGGGAGAGGACAAGGAGGCGAGCTCACACGTCACTGCCCATTCCAGACCCGTCTCCTCTTCTTTCCCGTATCCCAATACTTCCCAGTGCGAGTGGACAAAAAAGAGCCAGGATTTGCCTTGCCAGTCGTATGTCGCGGCATTCGGACCGCTGCGTCGAGTCAGCTCGGCGGTCACAGTGATGGTAACCTGCTATCTTACCCCTTGGTCAGTGTCTCCCTACCGCGTACTAAGAACAGTCAGCTTTGCCCATCACAATGACCCAAGGGGCGGTAGGGGAAGCGAAGCTTACCGGTACTAGGCGAGCTATCCGCCGCTGCTGACTCTTTCCGCGAGAACACGGTGCTATCGAAGCTCGAATAGTCGGCCGAGGGGCTCTCATACTTGATGACCACATCTTGCGGCGTCAGCTAGTGGCACAGCAAGGTAGGGAGATCCAGCTGAGGTTCTGACCTTTCTTGCCCTAGCAGTGTCAGCTTATCTTCCGAGTGACGACCTGCCAATTGAATCAGGACAGCTGCACTTACCTTCCACATTGGCAAAGTGCTCCATGCTACACCCCATGAGCCCATGAACCAGCTCCCGTCAAAGTGGCCCGCGGGCGCAACGAGGAGGGAAGGGTGGGACGATGCGGGCGGATGGAGCTCGATAGGCGTTTGAGCGGTGGATGCCATGTTTGTATAGTCGCTATACGATCTGTCGAGCTGATTCCGAGTATTAGAGGCGATATGAGGGCCTGTACGCTTTATATATGTCAAGGGCGATGTAGGGAGGCGAAGAGAGCATCGCGAACGATTCGGGAAGCTCAGCGGGTGGGCTGAAACGTCTTTCCGCCGGAAGGGGTGTTTCGGATGCGATGGCTGGCTGAAGGTGGGCGGTGGACGCTCGAGCACGTAGCGTATGAGTTAGCATGGCCCAGGACATGACTGATGGTCTCCGACATGGTCACATACTCGTAGGGATACCGGAGGGTTATTGATATACAGATACAACGCAGTGTCCCATACTACCGTCACTCGCGAGACTGTCTCAGAAGGGCAGAGATCACGATTTCCCCTTCATCGCCTCCAACATGCTCTCTCTCTCCTGATCCTCCAACTTCCGGAACACAATGTACGCCTCGCCTTCCCCTCTCAGGCTTTCGATGCTTGGTCTGCTCCGCAATGAGCTATTGAAGGACGACTGGCGGGCGTGCTGTGCGGTTGCTTTCGGCGTCGAGGGGCTGCGCGGCGGCTGAGGCCTGGACGTCGGAGGTGGATCTGGGGCCTCGGAGGGGTATAGTATTCGGTGAGAAGAGGTAGTGGCTGCGCGCTTTGCGGTCATGGAGAGAAAGGTGTGATGGGAGTGATGATACAGTCTAGGCGGATCAGCCTTGTTTATGGGCTCGTGGCGGAAGGAGGGAGGACTTGCGACCAGATCTGCTTATTGACCGCCTCGCTATCCATGATATTATCTAGAACAGCGATCTGGAAGCTTCTCCTGAGGTCACTCAGGAAATGAACGACATGATGTATCCGCGGTCTTCCCAGTCAGCGCAGAGCGGCTGGAGGGTGAGCTGACTCACCTCCACTGGGATATGGGACCGTGAGGGTGCCACACTTTCGTCTTGGGATCTATCAGAGCTACACGTGTCAGCTCATGTGTACTATGCCGAGAGTGCAGTTGGACTAAGCTGACGATGGAACACCTCGCTCTCGAAGCGTATCACAGGGGCGGTATGGGGGAAATCAGGCTTGAAAGCCATGACGAAGCGCAGTATGGCTCCGCTATACGGTCCTGTCACGTTTTAGTACTCTATAAGGGGCCGTATAGTGCGCGACATGACGCTGTCAGAGCGCAGATGGAGGTGCTTCAGCTCACCAGAATGAACAAAGAAGACGCCTTCCCACTTAGAAAGAGCTTCCGGACTCGGCGTCATGTAAATCCCTCTTGGACACGCTCCAGGAGAGGATAGTGAGGCACTGAGGCGTCAGTAGGTTACAGGCGTCAGGCTCACTCTCAGACTTGAAGCTTGAACGATGAGAAGAAAGGATGGAGTGGACGCACAACTCCATGGCTATCTCCGCGGCTGCAACCGGACCGAGGGTCGAGCCGTCGTGGCTCGGTCCCGCCTTACTGCTTGATCCTTGCGAGAGCATTCTGCTGAGAAGGTCCCCTGCGCGTTTAGCCCGGGTCTCAGACAAGGCAAGGTGAAGGTGAAGGGAGTCTCGCGTCAGCTCACATGGCATGCATATGACGACGCGTTGCGGGGGAGTGTACGTAAACTCCGCATTCCTGATAGCCACGTGGGGTGACTGCGGATTAAAGTCGCAGCAGCCTCGTCGTCCCAGCAATTCGACAAAAGAGCAATTAGAGAGTGCATCAACATCAACCCCATCTCAGTCTTCTTTGATCATACATCTTATTTCTCTTAGTTGCCCTCTAATATCCTCGACCGCGATTCTATATAGCTCATGACATTCCAGTCAACCCCTTCACGCCCATAATCGGCCATCGGCCATCGGCCAGCTGCGAGCTGCGGGGATGGAGCCTGTCGCTGGGCCGTCGCGGCCTCGGCGCGTGCCCAATGCACCCATGGACCTAGGAGACAGGATTATTGCTGCTAGACGGAAGCAAGCGACGCACCAGGAAGCCGGGTCATCAAGGTGAGCACTAACCTTTCACCCCTCACCGACGATTTGGCTGATGGCTAGGCCCTCAGCCCGGTCCAGGCCTGATGCGGCTGACGAGTACTCTCGCGGTCCATCCCAACCCGCGAGGAGGGCTCTCTATGACCCCTCCCGTGCGGTTCCACCTCCACGAGTAGCATCTCCCCTTCAAATGGAGGCCCCACCACGGTCCCAGCCCCAACCAGCTTCTCCCAGTCGACATCGCTCAACCCCTGATGGGCCGTCTAGGCGCGCTGAATCGCCATCACGTCCCCCTCGACCCTCTCGAAAGCTGTTCGATCCGACCGTCCATGATCCGCACCAATTCTCTCGACCGCCAGTATCCGTCGTCCCGCCTCCCATAGCCTCGCCGCTGTTGAATGAGGGTAATCTGAGCCGCGCGAGAGACCTGCCTCGCTCAGTCGACCCTGCGCTGACTGTGCGGCGCCCTCATCTTCCTAGAACGGCGGAGGAGGAAGCGGACAAAGAGAGGGAACGGAGGAGGCGGAAAGAAGGGAGTGAGCGGGGCAGCGGGTCTAGTGGGCGGAAGAAGGAAGATAGCGGGGGAAGAAGTAAGGGGGCGAGGTCGTTGGGGGATCGCAGTAGCGAGGGGAGCGAGAGCTTTAAGGACAGAGAGAGGGGAAAAGGGAAAGGGTGAGTCCGCTTTACGGTTCGGACCAGATTGAGGTCGTGCAGGGCAGCTGACGTGGATCAGGGATACGGGTGTGAAGGCCATTCTGAAAGACATTCACGACCGAATCAAAGCGATCGAGTTGGATCTGACGGAGATGCACCGCAAGATGGCGGCGGACCCAGAGGCGGGCATAGCGGTCCTGCTGCAGCAGTCACGGGCGGACCAGGCGAGGGGTCTATCTCCGAGCGACGATGCGGCATTATGGCTTGATCTAATTGGAAAGCACAAGCAGTATGTTGCCTCAAGATTGAGAGCGATCCGTGCTGATCTCTAGACTCGCCGACCTGCACCACGACTTCCTGACTCGCATCTTCGACCCCCTCGTCCCTCCATCCCTGCATCAACTCACCATCCGGTACAATATCCCCTCCCGACTCTGGCAGAACGGCTTTCATCTCCTCCTTGAGCGTCTTCGACACTCTTGGATGATCGGCCATCCTACCGCCCTCGACCTACTCACTGACTTCGTCTACGACGGCTACAAGTTCTACACGGACTTGCTGGAAGATGTCGCTCTGGTCGGCTTTCGGACGGCGTGGATCGAGGCGCTGGGCGATCTGGCGCGGTACAGGATGGCGATTGCGCGTCAGTTGTCCCTGTCCACAGGGTCAAGCAGCGGGAAGGGAAAAGGAAAGGGGAGGAGTCAGGAGCATGTCGGAGGGGAGGAAGGAGGAGAGTCTTTTCCGGACGGAGCGAGCATTGGGGCGGAAGTGGCGGAACGGTGGGATGTGGAGGATACGGACACCTGGCGCCAAACCGCCGCAGAGTGGTACAGCATGGGCATTACCGAAAAACCCGGCGAAGGACGGCTGCATCACCACCTTGCGCTCCTCGCTCGTGATATGCCCGACGGCGAGGGTCGGGCATTACACCACTTCACCCGGAGCTTGGTGGTCACGCACGAGTTCCCAACCGCTCGAGAGTCGATTCTCGGCCTGTTCGACTTATCAGGTCAAAGACGCTTGGAGCGCGGCCGCAGCGGAGAGAAGGACGGCGTGATGGACCTCTTTATCCGGCTCCATGGTATGCTCTTCACGCGGATCGAGCTGGATCGGTTCGACGAGACGCTCGCGGCGTTTCTCAGGGTGCTCGAGGGCGGTGCGGGGCAGGTCGAGTGGATGATCATGGCCTCGGTGGGGATTGCGGGGATGATGCAGTATGGCGCGAGTGAGGGGGTCCTGCGGAAGGCCTTAGCGCAAGAAGGAGCGGAGAGGCGAAGGGCGCAGACCACTTCGGGCGAAGTGGAGGAGGTCGAGGTGGATGGGGAGGAAGAAACGTCCGCTCCGACCTCGCCGACCAGACAGGGAGACAACGGGGACGTCAAGGGAACCGATCCTGATACTTGGCCTTTACCCCTCACTTGCGCCTTCCGACTCGCTTTTGCCATATTCCGGCACACACTCCATCATCCCACCATCGCCCAAGACGTCCACTCCATCCCTAATCCCTATCTCTCCACCTTCCTCACTTTCCTCGCTACGCTCGCTCGCCAACCCGCTTCTGCAGCCATCATCACCCCCTGGATTCCCTGGTCGGACCTCGTCGCCTACGTCAACGCTCAACTCCCCTCGCTCGACCTCAAGCCAGAAACGAAACTTATCGCTGGTCAGCCCGTCCCCGAAGATTGGCTCCTGCGCGGAGCAGAATGGGTCGGTCGGAGGGTGTACGAGCGGGGGTTCTGGAAAGTCAAGCCGTCTTCCGGACGGGGGTCCGGCGGGATCGTCCAGCCCACGCAGCGCGGTGAGGAGCGATTCGGGAGTGAGATGGGCGTGCTCGTTGCGCATTACGAAGAGGGAGCGGATCTGAGCCAGGGAGTTGTGGATGCCCCGGAAGGGGAAGAGGACGTCGATGGGCCGGTAGAGGTGGGCAAAAGGAGGTGGAGGAGGGTCGGGTGGGCTGTGGGGGTCATGTGCAGACATGTCTCCGGGCTGGAGCTGGGCGATGGAGGATTGGAGGTGGTCGAGCCGCTGAAGGGCGTGGTAGAGGGATTAGAGAGGAAGCAGGCGGAAGTGAGTCGAGGCGGCGTGGCGGTCAAGAAGCAGAATGGGTGGAAAGAGGAGGAGACAAGAGAAGATACCTGGGGGCCGGAAGAGGAGGACGACCCGGAACTCGCCGTCCTTCGCGATCGCTTCCGTCATCTCCAATCCCTCATTTCCCCCTCTCCCGACATCTTCAAATCCGCTCGCCAACCCAAAACATCTCGCGCGTCCACCCGCCGCATCCTACAAGGCTACACCACCCTCATCTTTGACACCAACGTCCTCCTCTCCTCCCTCACGCTCGTTTCTCGCCTCATCGAATCCGGGCGGTGGACAATCGTCATCCCCCTGCCGGTCCTCACTGAGCTGGACGGTCTCGCTCGGGAACCCCCTCCTCTCGGACTCGAAGCCGTCTTGGCCATCTCGTACCTCGAAGCCAATGTCCGCTCGCGCTCCATGGTCCTCCGTATCCAAACGACCAAGGGGTCGTACCTGTCCGACCTGCGCCTTCGGACGGAAGCGTCCCAAATCACCGAAGCGGACAAGGATCGCAAAACGATGGATGACAAGATCCTCGATGTGGCCCGATGGCAGTTGGACCACTTTACGGATCGGTCGTTGATGCTCGGTGGGAAGGGACTGGGTGGCGTGGAAGAGGCGGAAGTGAGCAAGGCGGTGTTGGTTACGTTTGATAGGAATTTGAGGTTGAGGGCGAGGGCGAGAGGAGTGGATGCGGTAGATGAGCGGGAGATGGCGGATATCCTGGGCAAATGATCTGTAGGTTGTACTTTGGAGAGGCTATCTATAATATGGTGCACTATTCTTGCTGCATATCGACTAGGACTAAGCGTAACACCCAATCCATATACGCATGACCCAAGCACGACTCCCCTCCCTCTTCCCCCTCCCCATTTTAAGCCTGCCCCTGCTGCTTTGCCCAACTGCTCTCCGCAGCGACCTTCAACTCCTCATTGACCCGCTTCCAATTCGCCACCGTCTTGGCGCCAAAGAAGGCGGACGTGAAGTCGAGGAGACCAGTGAATGTCTCAGTCTGAACAAAGAGTGTTTTGTTGGCGTCGGTCGCATCGGGCGTGAAGTGGAAGTAGTGCTGGCCTGTGAAGATGAAAGGGAGGGATGCGATCCAGCTGAAGAGGTGGGGGTCGTTTTCCTAAACGCACCCAGCTTTACCTACTACACCTATCAACGCCTAAGCAGACATGAAGGTGACTCACAGCGATCACGCCCTTGAAGCTGGCGCCTACAAAGCCTACACGGACCGTATCCCCGACCTTGAGGTCCAAGCCCGTCGTCTTATCTGCGGGAGAAATAACCTTGATGTCGGTGAAGAAGGACTTGTCGTGCCAAGTGGCGAGGTTGGGGAAGTCAAGGAGCTAAAGGAGGGGCCAGTCAGCATCATTTGTTTCGACAACATCAGGGACAGGATGAGTACTAACGATCTCCCGAACGATCCTGGGCGGGGCGTTGATGGCGATTTCGGCTTTGATCATCTTGCGCGCGGTGAATGATGTATGATAGGGAGACAGCAAGCATTTCGAGGTTGGAACCCTATCTGAGGCGCCTTATCATGTGCGCGCACTAAACGCAGATCAACACACATGTGGCACGGACACTCAGAAACCCCTTCCCCGTCCCCCCCTCCTTTCCTTGCGGCACTCTTCAGCGGCGTAGTGGCAGAGATCTGGCAAAGAGGGGCGGTAGTAAGCAAGGCGGTGTCGAGCGTCTCTGACAGGAATCCAAGGTTTGGATGCGGCAGATCAGGGTGATCTATAGGATGTGCGCGGGGCGACTAATCATAACGGCCATAAGGCTCGAGCTCATACCACCCCGCCACTGCCAGTTGCCACACCACTGCCACGATGGAGCTGCCACACCGGAGTCCGGCCGTATATCCGGATCAGCGTCGGCCGCACCGCCGCCTTCTCGGACAATAGCGCCGAAATTAAGGTTAACCGCCACCCGCCGACATTCCGCCGTGCCCAGCGCCTCGAAGGGCTCGCTCTTGCTTGTCTCTTTGCACACCTTGCCTTTCACCACCAGCTTACCTTCGCCATGCTGTGGCCTGTACTGCTCAGCCTTGCTATCATAGCCCGGGCATCCAGCAGTGGTGAAGACCAACATCCGCTCATCAGCCTCTCCGCGGACAGTGACAATACCGCATTGGCGGGTGAGGCCGGTGAGGCTTCAGTCGCACGGTGGAACTGTACCCTTCGAGGCTGGGTCCGGGCGCCTGATCTCTCGCCTTCGAGCACGCTGCCGGGAGAGGCAAGACTCGCAGCCAACGGGACTGAATGCGGGGACATCCAAAGTTGGGCGGTCGGGCTGAGGTTCAAGGAGCGGGCTATTGTCAAATTGAGGTATGTTGACGGGTGCACCCCTTCGCACTCGAAGATCAGATGCTAATTGATAGGAACGCATCCATCGTTGACTTCCCCACGAGACCTGTACGAAAGCCATATAATGCCAGCGCGGACCAAGCGCGCATGTCTGTCGATTATGAGGACATCTTCCAGTCCCAGGGCATGTATATCCCGCATAAACAGGACGAGTATGACATCGCCATGGTGGCTTACAGTGAGTGCAAGGTCTTCTTATACCCTATAGAGTGTTGTGTGCTAATGATCAGACCTAGCGATCGCTAAGCCCGATCTCTGGGTCGTCGAAGGCGTCGAGCGACAGGTCTTTGATATCCAAAAGGATTTGCCTTTCGGACCGAATGGTACGCACGTGCCACACCCTTTGCTGGATTTCTGAGCCGGAAGTCAGGCTGATGATCAGCGTCTGCGGATGGAGTAGATCTTGCACAGTCCTTCCACGTGCATACGCCTGCTACCAACGTGAGTTCGGTGTTTGCCATCTATAGCAGTGAATCTGAGCTGAACATGGTAGTTCCCACCTATCGAGGATACGACCTATTCCGGCCACGTGATTAAGGATGCGGATCAGCAGGCAAGCTAGTCCCTAATCGACGGTTGGGATACATGCTTACCCCTACCAGCTTCTGAATGCCGAGTCTCTCTTTGAGTACTACCTGAACGTCACCCTCGCCAACGGCACGAGTATCGATGTACCCGCTGGCCGAGCAGGTTTCATTCCCATGCCTGTGGACCTTCCTCTTCGGGAATGGCCCATCTCAAGGATAATGGACTCGCCAAGACTTCAGCAGAAGACAAAGGAAGAGCACGAGTATGAGTGGATGATGAAGGAGCCTGAGCCGCCAAAATGCGTACGTCGCTGGATTCGGCTGTCAGGATCGGAGTTGGGCCGGAGGCTGACACTCGTGCAGGACGCGAATAGTACAGCTCTCTTTAACCTGACACTATCAACCGTCCCAATCATTACTCCAGGTGAGCTCACTCTGCCATCCGGATCCATCCGGACAAGGACTGCGCTGATATTCAGGCGAAAACATTACCCTTCATCTCACCCTCACGCGCCGAGGAAACGGCTCCGAACACCCCTCCGTCCTCAATGTCCACTTCGATACTGAGAAGGATCTCGACTGGGCACGATCACGAGCGGACGCAACCGCCTCGGGCTCATACGACGAACTCCAGTCCGCACGGAGCAAGCAAAAGAGGGGCTCGGCGCGGTACAGGTTTAGCGATTATGGTGCGGGCAAGATGCTCAAGATCCGGACGAGGAATCAGCTGGAGACCGATAGGGACAGGCGGGAGAAGGCGATGAATGGAGGGTCTCAGGGAGGAAGCTGGTCTTCTGGTCCACACCGGGGACCGCTTCGGACCGGTGATGGTCGGTATGATTTTGAGAATGATGGGGAGGTGGCGGTACGGGATAAGTACGACTTCACCGTGGACATCCAGGTGTAAGTCATCCCCCTTTCTTTCTCCAACCTTTAACGAGAAAAGATAAGACGAAATCCTCGGTTCATAGTGAATATGTATCTCAGCTGATATATGCAGTCCCCACAACGTCCTCCCTTCTTTCAACGGTACATTCCACTCCTTCCAGCCTAGACTTCGCTTCAACCTCCACACGGTGTTCCTGTGCGATGTACTTCCCGTTCCAGCGCCCCTCATCGCGCCTGCGGCAGATGTCAACATCACCGCGCAGCGAGATGCCGAGTGGACCGAGGCTGAGCTGCCTGTCCGAGTCAAGCCAAACCGTCCCAGGCGGGACCACTCCGGCCTGACACACACCACCGAGTTCGACGTAGACGTCTCGCTCCCTCTACCTACGGACCTCGTCGGGTCATTCGTTGCTTATACGGATGCCTCAGCACAAAGTCCGTTTATATCCCTCAACGACAATCCGGTCGACCCCGTATTCCAGCTCCTCAATCATACGATTATCCCGGAGACGGCCGGGCAGCTCAAGAGCTCGCGGTATAATCGAGGAAGGGACTTCGGGCGGTATATGCACTGCGAGCCAGGTGTTTGGGGTAGCACGGGCCGTGGGAGGTGTAACATTGGTGGAGGGATGGGGCATGCGGCGAAGCTATGGCAGGGGAAGGAGATCTTGGCGGAGCTGAAGAGAGAGGTGGAGCTGGGTGTAAAGGGCAAAGTCGAGCACATCCCCGAGCCTCAGGGTGAGCGGGAAGATCCTTGGGGAGGATTTGACGAAATCTGGTTCTGAGGTTCTGTGATCTCGATTTGGGGATCTGACTTGTACTCGTGTCGCGCGGGCTGAGCGAGACGGAGTGCGATCAAGCTTGGAGGGGCATATCTTTATGGACAGTCATCGAATGGGTATATATGTTGTATTACATGGTGGAGATATAGCTGCCGAGGCCAGCAGGGACAGGCAAAGCCTCACGAGCACGAGGACAGGTGGCATACCGCTGGGAGCGCGTCAGAGTCTCCAGTCAGTCAAATATAGTGCCCGGAAGGCAGAGCGGGGCTCCGAGTGGCTGTGCACAGTCAAGGAATGCCGAGGTCTTGGGGGTTTTAACGTTTGAGAACCCTGACCTATGGAGAAGCGCGGGGAGAGGAGACTTCAATTTGGGATGTGAATAATGCTTGTGATGTGCATATCACAGCCACACCAGTCCTTGTATGTTGACGTTCCAACGACCCGTCGCGGCTGTCTCTGCGGTCGCACATGGAGTCGCGCGCCGACTACGACCTCGACATCGCCAAGTCGCGCTTCTCGTCATCTTTCTTATCCCCATGATCGTCTATTATGTCCTCCGTTCCTACTTTTACGATGGCATGGGAAGATGGTACTGGAACTACCTTGCCACCATTCATCCGGCTGTACCCCACTTTATACCTACAGGCGACTGGGGACCGGTCGAAAATCCGCCTCGGCACGTAGATGAGATTCTCGCCGCGCCGTGGATGGGCGACTTCCCGCTTCCCAAGCTCACCCCTCCGGCGTATCGGCACGGATCCTCAGCGGTGACCGCAAACCTCATCAGTCCCGCCATCGTCAAGATCCACATCTTTTCGGTACCCAGCGAGAAGGCAGCCTCGAAACGGCGGTTCATCCGCTCAGTATCCCCTCATCTCAACATGCCGGCGGAATATCGACATCTGGTGGAGATCAAATTCGTCATGGGGTATTTCTTGAAGGATGGGAAGGAAGACCCGGAGGCGGAGAAGCTGCTGGAGGAGGAGCAGAAGGAACATGGGGATTTGATCCGGTTGCCGGGATTGAAGAATGGGGAGAATTTGCGGGATGGGAAGATATTGAGCTGGATGAGGGCGATAGGGCTGCATGAGGATGGAGGGAGGGATGCTTGGTGGTTGTTCAAGTGTGATGATGATGTGAGTCTGAGCCCGGACTGGACGGAAGAAGAGCATGCTGATGTGCAGACCGTCATGAATCTTCCCAATTTCCTCGACGACCTCCTCAGCATGGACGCGCAGAAACCGACCTATGTCGGCACATCACTCAATCGCTGGCCACCTTATCATTGGCACTTTACCGGAATGCTGACTGGGTACAGCCATGGTGTGGTGAGTTCTCGATCTGCGTGTTTACTTTAGATGTCACGCTGATGGCTCAGCTCAAATCCCTCGCGCACGGTATCAAGCACATGAAGCAAGAAGACGTCGAGGCGGCCTGGGATGATGACGTGCTCATGGGAGAACTGATGGTGAGCCCGGACTCCTGCTTTCGGGATTGCCAACCCTTCATACGCTAACGATCCAGTACACCCTCCCCTCGAACCACGAATGCCGCCCATCTGGCAAAACTACCCTGCGCGACCTCCCATCCATCTGCGACCCCCTCAACCCTCCTCCATGGGGCTACACAGGCACTCCACCGAACCCACATCCTCGAACCAGCCTCGTCCTGCACGATTACGTCCGGCGCGCTGGAGACAAGTGGCTCTGGTGGATCAAGGGGGACATTGCGAGGCATTCGTTCAAGGAGGAGATGTACTATCAGTGGGAATGGGACGAGCGGATTAAGGGGAAGATGTGGGTGCCGCCGAAATGGTTAGAGGGGCTCAAGGATCCGGGGTTGGCGTGAGCGATCTTCGGGGCGAAAGCGATCTTGGGTTAAACGATGCTAAGTACCCTATGGTAATCAAGTAAGATCTATGAGCAATCGCGCTTGGCGTGCTATCATTGGATGCCGAATCTGCTAGAGATCAGTCAGTGTACCAGCCAGGACTACCCATCACTCATCAGTCTCGCCCGTAGCATTCAGGAGCGGAACAGGACGCGACAACGCTGAGCCGGCACCGAGGCGTTGTCTGCGGCATCGGGCGCTGCCACGTTAGCAAACATTCTATACCTCCAGTGCCGTAGAGCCAATGGGTATGGCACCTCTCGTCCACTCGTTGAGGCCAGGTCCTCGGCCAGACTGCCACCCGTGAACCGTGGTGGCCAACCAAATCTGAAACACCTGGCCAAGACGGTGACTCACTTTGTGAAACGCGACGAAACCTGTGCTATTACGGCATCTTTCCCCCACGGCATTCCCTGAGCGAACCGAGCCAAACACAAACTATCATTTCATTCACCTTTCACCTTTTCACACATCACCTTCAGCATCAGTCAGCCCCCCAAACCTAGCTGCCCTCCTACCCCTCGTCGACTACCTATAATCACAATGTTTGCATCCGTCTTCTCTACCGTGACTGTCCTCGCTGCGCTTGCTGGGTTTGCTAGCGCCCAGCAGTTGACGTTGACCGAGCCCTCTTCGCAAAGGTGGTGTGAGTTATCGTCCGATCTCGGCGACCTTTGCTCAAGTGCCACTTCGTCGAGACTCTATGCTGACAATTATGCAGGGGTTGCCAACTCGCAAAACACCCTTCGATGGACCGGATCGACCCCCGCTGAATTCTCGGTGTTTATCAACAACCCTGATACCTCTCTCCTCGTGAGTCTTGGGTCGTATGGAGTCGCCACTGTACGAAAGCTGACACGTCGTGCAGACCAGCAAGCTCGCTTTGATCTCTGTTCGTGGGTATCAACTCGGGGACCCGTAGTCACAGCTGAAAGGACCCATCGGGTGGCAAGGCGGCCCGTGCTGATCTTGCAGAACCGCTTTACGAGTATTCCAAGACTGTCACTCCGTAAGCGACAATGCTGATTGTTTCCAGCTGGAAGACATACTGATCGCGCAGCACATTGAAGGCCGGCACTGGCTATGTCATGGAGCTCACCAACATCCTCAACTCGAGCGGTTAGTCCCACCTCCTCTGCACTGCGCAACCTCCTGGCATACCTGCCTGTCCCGATCTCCTTGTCCTCGACTCCTGCTGCCATGGACTGAGCTCATACTTGACAGACATCTATGTCCGCTCCGAGTCGTTCGAGATCAAAGCTGCCGGCTCGTCCTACCCTCCCCAGACCTCGGCCGGCGCCTCGGGCACCGCCTCTGGGTCCGCCTCGGGCTCCGCATCCGGAAGCGCGTCCGCTGCGTCTGCCAGCTCGAGTAAGGCTGCCGCGGGCAGGTCCAACGCCGTCAGTATGGGCGTCGCGGGAGCGATGGGTGCGGGCGCGGTGGTGGCCGGGCTTGTGTGTCTTTAAAGCCTCTAGGTGCTGGTAGCGTGAATGCGTGGGGGCTGGGATGGCTGCTTGAACAGCAACCAGGGTCAGTGGAGAGATGACGAGCGGGACACGTGAAGGGTTAGCGACTGTCGGCTAGGCGGATAAGAGGGCGATTAGGGGCAGAATGGGGCGTGACGGTGACGAATGGACAATTCTTCTTTCATCTTGTTTATAATACACGTACGATTGCCGTTCGATAAGGTCGTCGCTACCTATCCTGGACAGAATTTGTGCTCCTCTTACTGCTGTGCAGTCGCGTATGGTCCATCGCGGCTGTTCTGAGGAGGCACCTGCAGCAAGGCAAAATCCGATGTCCGTGCGCACGTCCGCTTCGACTGCTGCGTTCGCGCCCGAGACGAGGTCGCTATCTCTCGCCTCTCTCACGCTCCACTGTATTTCCCCCTCTACCCGAGCAGGATACAGGTTAAGCTTGGCTCTACAGACGCTCTCAATCCTCAGTCAATAGATTGCAGTTGGTAGAAGCAGCCATGGCGCACCCAGTCACAGCGGGGGATTCGAAGAGCAAGGATCAGACTCAGGCGCCTATCAACACCTTCGTGAGCTCTTCCGTGCACACTGCCTCCTCCTTCTGAGGTTCCTACCACAGTGGCGAGAGATAGATCTCGTGACGGGGCTCCGTAACAAGGAGAAACAGCACTGACAACCAGCACGACATTGTCCTCGATTACCTCCACACCCAAGCTTACCCCTCTACCGCACGCGTCCTCTCCGGTCCGCGCCCATGGAAGCGCGCGACCGCGTCCGCTCTTGGCTCAAGCAGCAGTGGGGACTCTACAGGCGTCAACAGTGCGATCGCCGAGGAGCTCGGGAATGGTAATGGCCACGGAAGCGGTAGTGGCGCCGGAAGTGGCACAGGGAATGGGAATGGGGCGATCGGTCCGATTGGAAGTGGAAGTGGGAGTACTCTGGCGATAGGCACCGAGAGGGGTATGGCTGTCGGTGCTGAGAGGGAGGATTTAGGGATGGATATTGATGGGTCGATATACGGGAATGGGAATGGGTTGGTGGGGTTGAGTGCGGTGGCTACGATGGGAGCGGGAGAGGACGATGAGATGGAGGGAGGGATTGTGGGGCCGGGAAGACTGGTGGCGATGGAGCGAAGGCGAGGTATGTCTTCAGACCCGATCTGGCGGTCTTGCAACAGGGAGATCTGGTAGTCATTTGGGCAGTCGCTGATGTCCAGCTATCCTCAACTTTATCCTGAACGGAGCCATCATGCGTGCCGTCGACTCACTAAACAACTGGTTCCCCGCCGTCCTTACCGACCCTCCGACCCCCGTCCCCACAGTCCCCACCTCCTCTCTGTCCGCAACCGCCACCCCATACACTAGCACTTCTACCCCAGCCCGGGACTTCAGCTCCATCCCGCGCCACGCCACGCCCCCCGGCGCGCCCATGATGACCGCCTACTCTCGCCCGCCACTTGATATCCGTCGAGAGCGGGAGCGCGAACAAGAACGGCTAGCCCCAGTCCTCACTATCCCGCCTCCGCCACTCACCTCACCATCCCCTTCCCCACCCAAGGCGGTCTCACCTCCCCCATCATCTTCCCCTTCGCACGCTATCCCGACCTTCCAGACTTCCTACCTCCCCTCGCACGTTCGCCTCAATCTCCAGATCCAGGCATTCATCGAGTCGTTCCGACAGATGGCTCCCCCCTCAGTCCCTTCCTCGCCATCGTCTTCCCTCGGCTCCCTCTCTTCGTCCTTGCATCTCCCGTCGTCATCTGGAGTGACGCTAACGAATGCGCTCACGGCCGCGCAGGGGCTGCATCAAGAGGCAAAGAAGTTGAATCCGGCGGATAGGGCGATATATCTGCAGGAGATCAAGGATGTGGGGGCGCTGTTTGCGTATACGGATCCGGAGAGCAGTATACTGGGCGGGTTCTTAAAGCAAGGCAGGAGGATCGCGCTGGCTGAGCAGATCAATCGGGCTATACTGCGTGAGTCTGCTAGCAGGGAGTCAGACATCGAGGGAGAGACGGCTTGGAACGCAAGAGCAGAGCTGACGTCGTAGATGCCGAATCACATCCCACTCGATCCAAGCTCGAACGGACAGCTCGGGGCGTATCGGCGCTGTATAGTTACATGTCAGAACGCAAGATCGACACCACGCCAACATGGACCGCGGCAGACGGGCCCGCAAAGGAGGAATTGGCAGTGGTGAGTTTTATTCCTCTGTTCCCGCGCCTCTCTCCAATCCCCAATGCTGCTGCGGAGGGGATCGTAGATGTCGAGGGCATGTCCGTGAGGAGCGAATGATGGGCATCGTGGCAAACTAAAGGCCAAGGCTGACAGGGCAGTATCTCCGCAACCTGCCAAAACGCGGTTTCGCACTCAAGGACTTTATCGGGAACTTTTCGACCTGATGCCCCATTCATGTGTCCACCTCCACGCTTCGGCCGCATTTGTAGAAAGGCAGATGATGACGACCGTATCACAAACGGTTTTGGTCGTACAACCGCCTCCCGACAATTGTGCATCGACTGCACATGCGCTCATCCTCCGTCCACGACTCTCTGCATGTATCACCCCGCCAAGTCCGTTGTACAATACTATTATGCATAGTGTATCAAGGCCCTCATTCGCAGTGCGCACTCCATGAGACCAATTAGAGCGCACAGCACGCACAGATCAACAATATCCATACAAGCCAAGCAAGCAAGGTTTCACCTCCCGCATACTAAAGATCCCCTTGGCCTCATACCACACGCCCTACTCCTCCTCATCCTCCTCATCCATCTCCTCGCCATTCGCAGCCACCGTCGCACGCACCGCACCCTCCAACTTGGGCTGCAGCTCGCGCGCGTTCGTGAGCGCCACCATCGCCTCGGCGCGGCGGTTCGTACGGAGATAGCATTTCCCGAGGAGGAACTGGACTTGGGCTTCGTCGGGTGCGGTCCGGGAGAGGGGTTCGAGGAGGGTGATGGCGTCCTGCGGTATCAGCTGTGCCCAGATTGATCATATTCAGATATTTGAATAACCAGGCTGAATACGAGGCGGAGGCACTGTCTTGCGGGACAGACAGACTTACCGCTATTTGATTCAGCGCGACAAGTACCCTGACTCGCTTGAAGGCGACCATAGGGCTGTCCGGGGCGAAACGACATGCTTGTTCGTAATACGATAGTGCTTGCGCGTTGTCGCCTTGCTGTTCGAGCACCTGAGATGTCAGCTAGCCGGCTGCGCATGTAAGGGAAGAAGTTAGCTGGACATACCATCCCAATACAGCTAAGCAGAATCGCATTCGTAGGATTGATCTCGGCCGCTCGGCGATAATGATGTTCCGCATGCTTGACTTTGCCCATTTTCAGGTATACCGACCCCATCCCGTACCTACCGATCAGCTTTCCATCCCTTATGCGGCCGCAATACGAAGCTCAGACCATAAAAGCAGACTCGCCACGCATTGTAATGCCTCTGGTCGGCCCTTATCGCACTCCGATAGAACCCGACCGCACGCTCATACTCCTCCATCTCGACCGCCTCGTACCCACACAGGGTCCACGCATACGCGCATCCCGGATCCACCTGCGTCGCGCGCCTAAAGCACCTCATCGCCTCATCGTGGTCCTTCTCTAACGAGAAGCAGTTGCCCGCTGCGATCCACGGTTCTGGCTTTTCCCGGTTGATCGCCACGAGTTCCTGCGCCAGTGTGGACAATGCAGGAGAGTCGCCGAGGTGCCACAAGAGCGTCGAATGGAGGTGGGCGCTTTCGACATTATACGGTTCCAGGGCGTGGAGGGACGTGAATGCCCGTAGAGCCGGAACGTAGTTGGCTAGTTCGTATGACGCCCGCGCGTAGATGGTGAGAGCGAATGCCGAGTTCTGTAGGGCGGGCGGAAGAGTGTCAATCTCTCGAATGGCCTCTTGGCACTTGTACAAGCTGAGAAAGCGGTATGCGCGCGCACACCGACGCACGATATCCCGTAGCCATTCGTCCGCTTGGAGCTGGGCCGCCGAGTCTTGGGAGGTAGGTGGGGAGGTGAGATGCTCGGTTGCGCCCGAGGCGGAGGAAGTGGCGGACCGAGACCGGGTCGTTCTGGCCTTCTCACGCCCCGCCGCGTCTTTAGGGAGCTTGGCGTGATGTTTGGATGGGATGGTAGTTGTCTTTAAGCGAGAAGACCGGCGCACGGGCGCGTCGGCATCATGGTTCGGCTCGATGCTTTTCAGATCGCGCTGATGCCGCCGGAGATCCGCTTCGGACCCTGCTGTCCCCGACCGGATGGGTTGATATGGTGTTTCATGGGAGGTAGTGGGGAGCCGCGAGGTCTGTCCACGGGGACGCTTCATTCCCGGCGGCTTGAGCTGGGTGGCTGGATCGGTGTTGACGGGTGTTTGGGTGGAGGAGCCGTATGGTGGTCGGAGGGAGTGGGGGAGGAGAGAAGAGGCGGATGAGATGGCGGTCATGAGCCCCGGCAGGGGTTTACGGGGTGGGTTGGGGAGTGGGAGAGGGAGGGGGAGATGATGTTCAGGTATAGAAGGGAAGGTCGTATCGCCCATGACTGACGGCGTACTATGGATCAGCAGAGTCTCACCTCTGATTAGAGCGTTGCGCAACTCACTCCCAGGATGATCCCCCTCCAGCGCCCATTCCCATCCGACCGCCGTATGGGGCCGCCACATCAGGCGTGAAGGATCCCTGTCCCTGTACCGAGCCTGGACCGAGCGGACTCATCCCTGCTCGTTTGGGCAGAAAGGGCATTTCCGACGTCGAGCTCCGGGGCATCGGGTTAGGCGAAAGCGTTGGTGGTCTCGATGCGCGGGTCGAGGCGGGGCGGGAGGACGAGGGGGCAGGAGGATCAGGGAAGAGTGATTCCGAAGATGGTGGGCTTCCTATATGCTCAGCTACACATTCAAGCCGGGCGAGGATCAGCCAGCGGACCTATGTCGCATAGGCCGGTAAAGGCCTCCCAGAGCCATGGATCCTCCCTGAGCGCCTTCTGGTAGTACTCCGTAGCCGTCTGGATGCTCTTCCCCTTCTGACTCAACCGCGCGAGCATCAGATTATTGCTGACACCTTCAGACCCCGCTAGACTCGGGAGATCTACAATCAGCACTCATCCGCCTCCTGCCAGAAACGCAACTCACTATACCCTCCGCCCCGCTTCAACGCCCGTTCCAAGACAGCCGCTCCCTCCCCTACTCTCCCTACCGCCTCGCAGCATCTCGCCACGATGATCCCGCGCGCTCCACATCCCGCTTTCAGTCGACCCTCGTCATCCGCCAGATCCCGGACTAGGTGGAGCGCGGAGTAGGGCTGTTCGGCGCCGAGGAACGCGAGCGCGAGGACGTGTAGGGCTTCATGGTCTGTCTGGGTGGCAGGGGAGAGGGCGAGCCATATCCGGGCATAGAAGATGGCGGAGGGAGTAGGAGAGGTGAGCGTGAGGGTACGAAGGCGGTGGTTGAGGTGTTGCGGGGAGGGGAGAGGCATGATGGGTCGTTAGGGTCGTGTTCTGGTCTTGATTCGTTATGTTTGCTTCTTCCGGTAGCCTCAGTCGGGGAAGGGGGGACCTTTTCGGACTCTCGGGATTGTTAGACGGCGTACGCTGCTGCCTCTATGTGAGGCCGAGTCGTATATCGTTATGAGGTAGATGTACGAGCTATGGTTAGATCGGCGCGCGTTGATTGATTTCTATCTGGCTGTCAACATGATTACGAGATCATTAGGGAAGTGGCTATTAGGAATTACTAATCAACCGCTTGTATTACAATTAGCGGAATGTATCTTCCTTTTCCTTTCTTCCTAATGGATGACGTGTCACCTTTTTATTAGCTTTCCCCCTTTCGGCGCGGTCGCGTCCACACACACAATCAGGCCGCAGCAGGCAAAAGATATCTCGGTCTTCTCTCTCATCTTGCTCAGTATATCTATAGACACAGCAGGCACAGCAGTACAGCCAGCATGAGTGTGAGTCTCGGTCTACGTATTACATAGCGGAGCTAATCTCCCAGGCCCCCTCTTCCCAACCGGAACAACAATCCTACCCCTCCGTCTCCCCCTACCCCACCTCCTCCGCCCCCTCCATGCCCTCCGCCGGGCCCGGATCAGGCTTCCCTCCCAAGTCCGGACTCGCAGGTATGCAGTCGCACGTGCCCCAGATGGGCGGTTCCCCATCGGGCGGCGGCGGTGGCGGTGGTCCCGGAGGCTACTCGGGAGGAATGATGGGTGGATCCGGATCCGCCTCTGGGGGATCGATGGCTCCCGGGTCGGGCTCGGGAGTGAGGGGCGGCCTGCCAGAAGAGAAGAATGTCGCGCAGATGGTGCAGGAGCATACCAACAAGTATGCGCGGCGCTTCCAGATGATTCTGGATAGGAGCACGCCGATGGTTGTGGAGAGGTGGTGTGGGACCTTGGGGGTGTTTTTGATGTTTGCGCTGAATGTGGTTTTGAGGCAGGGGGTGAGTCTTCTATTTCTGTTCTGCACGGCAGGCGGGATAAAAGCAATGGGAGAGGTTGTCTCCCATACCTTGAGGGGTGGAGAGCTCTTCCATTCTCATCAGACTCTGACCCACCATTCCAAGCGCTAACCCCACAGTGGTACATCGTCTGCTACGCCCTCGCCATCTACATCCTGAACCTCTTCCTCGCGTTCCTGCAACCCCGATTCGACCCGTCCGTCGCTGCCGATCTCGCCGCAGACGACGTGGAGGAAGGTGCGCCCGGTCTGCCGGGAGCGGGCGGGAGCTCCACACCGAGGTCAGCTGGGGGTATCAAGGGGCTGATGGCGGGGTTCAAGGCGGAGAGCGGAGAAGGGGACGAGGAGGAATTTAGGCCGTTCATCCGGAGATTGCCTGGTGAGTTTGCGTCTTGGGTGTAGAGATTTGCAGCATCCGGTAAGGGTGGCGGCAATGGGTGCAAGAGGGAAGACGGATCATATTGGGCGATTCACGAGGGGACTTCTAGCTGTGCTCAGTTCCGGAGGAGGAGGGTTTGCGCTATGCCATACACAAGCTGACGTGCAGAATTCAAATTCTGGTACTCTGCCACAAAAGCCACCCTGATCGCCCTCTGTTGCACCATCACCCGCGCGACTGACGTTCCCGTCTACTGGCCCATCCTGCTCATCTACTTCTTTACGCTATTCGGTATCACTATGCGGAGGCAGATCCAGTAAGCTGATCGTAGCTCATCGGAGCTCGGGCGATTAGCTGACGTAGCAGACACATGATCAAGTACAAGTATGTGCCTTTCAACATGGGAAAGAGCAAGTATGGACGGGGCAAGTAAGCCAGGTGGACATGGGGAGCTGGATCAGGGAGGATCAAGATAGGGAAGAGGGCGGTTGCTCGACGTGGCGCCGCATGTGCGGGTTGTGTGGCGGGCTGAATCAGGGGCGATTAGATACATGAGATTGGTACTTGGAGTTTTCTGGGATGCAAGGATAGACTATAAGAAGTCAAAGCTATCGGTAAAGAATCCAAAGTCGACCGGGATGGCGTCTGTGCTGCTTCAGTGCCAAGCCAAGGTCCACATAAGCAGTTGCGCAGGCTTACACAGGTCATCACCCTCAAAGAGCCCGGTCGGTGCACAGGGGACATATAGATACGAGGACACAAGTGTGGTAGACATTGTGGGGGGCTCGGCTATCAGTCCATCTACCCGCCGAGCATACGTCCGACCCAGTCCAACCTCGGTTTCCCGCGGCCGCCTGCGATGTCCGGCTTGGACTGGATCAAGCCGTCCTTGTCGGTGTCCCATAGGACGACGCCAGTCTCCTTGAGTAGCCTCAGTGCCTCATCCTCCTCGGTGCCCATGCGTGAATTGTGCCGCTCGGTCGGTCCCCACCACCGACGCCGGTGATTCACATCCTCAATGATGGCATCGATCAGCGAGGTAAGCGTCTCTGTGCCGTCGCTGCACCCGCCGGATGAAATGGTCCTCTCCAGGATCCCTCTGAGGTCCTTCACGATCCTGGGCGAGAAGAGCGGATCCGCCGAGTCCGCCTTCATCGATTTCATCTGCTTCTGCGCCTTCGCGATGTCCCAAATGATGTCAGCCAATAAACCGAGACGTACCTGCTCATCCCCAGACAGGTAGTCTCTGCCCGCCATCCCGGCTGGAAACGCGCTTCGATCCCAGGTCGGGACGCTCTCACGCGCTGTTTGGCGGTCTTCCTGGGCAAGGAAGTCTCGGACGTCAACGATGACTTCGCCACCGAATGAAATCACATCCTCCCTGCTCGCCCATGTCGGGCTCAGCGGGATCTTGCAGACCAGTCCTTCCTCATTCGAGAAGTGCTGAGAGGAGAGGAGATCGGTGCCGGTGGGCTGGCTGTTGTACCTACAATGTTAATGAGCATGTAGCCTGCGCATTTTGCGCCCCTCGGTGCGGCTCGCCACCATGCAGTATGGAAGGGAGCTTACAGGTCCTGGAAGTTCTTGTGATACGGCTGAGGCAAGAAAGTCTCGATCGCTTTGAGTACATCCTGCGTGTCCCGCTCGGCGACAAAGGTCTTTGTTCTCATGCTCCACGGTTTTGTTCCTGTCATGGGGGGACTGGGACGCTTGCCCTCCTTGAACGGTCTGAGCGGGGTCAGCTGAAGTCACAGGTTGATCGGCTGTATTGTCCGCGAGGCAAGGCAAGTTAACCCACTGAGGGAGACTGTCGGCATGCTTGAGGGTAAGGGTGAGGGTGATGTCTCGATCAGCGGCTCCGCCTTCAGACGACATATCTCGAGGTTCTGGATCCTTGAATGTGACGAAGGAAGTCGGTGACGCCATGCTGTTGTTGTCTTTGATCGTCGGTGAGTCCGTGAGTAGTGAGACGCGTTGGGCAGTAAAAGCTCTTGTGGTGGTGTAGTGAGGAAGGGGTAAAGTTCGTGAATGAGGTGTGCAGCTGAGAGCGAAGGAACAGGAAGTACGATAGCCGAAGCTCAAGGGGGAAAAGCGAAAGTGGGGACTATGCTCTGTCCTTTGTAGCCCTGTTAAGGCGGTGCTACCTACCTGGACAGAGACGCCGACCCGCCAGTGTATGCCATGCCGATGACGCGTTTGACACGTACCGTCCTTTCATCCTCGTATCCCACGCAGTGGTCCAGCTAGCCCCGCATGCTGTGCAAGTCGCAGATCGATCCTTAGTAGTCAGGTCGGCCAGGCTGTAGAGTGTGGCGGGTGTGCCACGAAAAGCGCACAGCCTTGACCGACCACTTCTCCATGCAGTGGGCTAATCGAGCTTTGATGCCATATCAGTACGGTACACTCCAGGTTATTAGCAGAGTCAATACCTCCTTGGGGTGTGGTTCCATACTCATCCAGTCCGGTGAGCCATCTACAACTTTACCTATCCCCACACCCGTGCGTCTCGCACGAGAACCCTCATAGCGTCCTCCGGTCTGTCATGACCCGCACGATACACCCAACACCCGCGACTTCCGTCAACTACAGCGTCAGCGTCTTCCTCTCTTCTATCCCTGCAGGAACGCCGTCCCGCTGAGCGACAGAACGCTAGACCCACCTTCTCGTGCCACGTCAACAATACACTTCCGCTGACTTCCCCTCCTGCGCCAGACTTGGATCCCAGCCCCGCCATCCCCTTGTACAGGTAGCTCATGAGATGGTCCTGTTGCTCTGGTGTGAGATTTTTGAGGGTTGCGGCGATCTCAGAGGAACGGGTCGAGTTGAGGATGAGCTGTAAGGCGGAGATGGTGAGTGCCTACACTGTCAGCCTGAGCCTACTGCTACCAGCGCTCCAAGAGGTGATATTCCCAGCTTGGCTCGGCGAGAGATATGAGAGCTTTTGAGGACTCACTCGTGCTTCATCCACGTCGGCGCCGTATGGTGGGTCCGACAAGATAGCAGCTAGAGCACCGGCAATATTGTTTCTGCAGAATCAGCTACGCTCATGCCGACCGTCTTATGCATACCGACCCGTCAATTCGGGCATCTTGGATCTCTCCGCAATGTCTACTCACTGTGCCACAGCGGTCCGCACTTCCCCTGACTTGCGCTTCGCATCCGCCAACACCCCGTCCGGACCCCTCGGGTCCGGCTCGACGAGGTCTTCCCGGAGGAGCGTATCCTCATCCAGGGCGTCGATATCTATCTTTCGGAATGCGTATTCTGCCATAGCGGGTGGCTGGGCTGTAGAGAGGGTAGGTTAGATGGGTGGTGCTGAGTGAGAGGTATAGTCTAGTTGAGTGTTGCAGCCGTGCGTTGTGGATGACGTTCCTAGTGCACCTAGTGTCTGATATATGGGGGGACTAGACAAAGTGATCCCAGCCGGGTGGAGGCAGGACCAGCTCAGCTCTATTGAGCTTCCAGCTCCATACATTGCACTCGTCAACGCTCAAGACCTGCACGCAGAGGCTCCAGGGGGCTCATAGGCTCAGACTATCGCAGTCTTACTCAAAAGGCGAAAAGCCATCAGCAAGGCAGGGTAACATGGCGAAAAACTATAACCCCGCGGACGCTTTCCGTGGGTCCATCCTTCTGCTGTCCCAGGCCCGTGACGGGACATCAGCTGATCCCATAGGTAAGGCCCAGCGTGCCAAGGAGCTCAAGAAGAACAAAGAGACCCGGAAGAAGGTCCGGGATGTTCAGACCGTCAAGCGGGATACCCGAGGTGAGTCTCGACTGATCTCCTTTCTGCCCTCGCACATGGAGACTGGCTGACTCGGCAGAGCTCGAGGCTGAACTTCGCTCATTGAAGGGCAATGCCTCGAATGCATCCAAGTCCCGGATAGCCGAGCTCGAGCAGGAGTTGGCATATGTGCTCAAGGCGAAAGAGGCATACGTTAAGGAGAACCCAGATGAGAAGGACAAGGTGTTCAAGCCGCGCGGGGCTGGCGGCGGCGGTGGAGGCGGGAGACGACAGGATGACGGAGAGGGAGAGGAGGATGAGAATGGTGCGAGCGGGAGTGGGACTGGGACTGGGATGAGAGGGAGGGAGAGGCTGTATGATGAGAACGGGCGGTTGAGGGATCCGACGAGGAGCGCGTACTATGATCCGGTGTATAACCCTTGGGGAGTGCCGCCGCCTGGTATGGCCTACAAGGAGAGACGTAAGCTACGCCCACTACCGATGCCGGCTCCCTGGGTCCAGCTGATAAGATAGCGGGACTGCCAGGTGTCAAAGCCGAGGGAGACGAGGATGAATCGGACGAAGATGAGGATGAGGACGAGTCAGACGAAGAGATCGTCATGCCGGAAGGTCCACCACCCGCCGAGGACCCCTTCAATCCCGACTCCGACTCAGACGCAGACTCGGACGATATCCCCCTCCCAGCTGGACCACCTCCACCTCGAGCCGCACCGCCCATCCCTAGCGGACCATCGGGTTGGGGTGGTCGAGCTGCACCTGTACCGGTCCCCTTCCATCAGCCTATACATATGGGCGGACCAGGTCTACCTATGGGTATGCCCCCACCTATCCCTTATCCTCAATTCCAGCAACAACCCCTTCAACCCTTCCCCGGCCAAGGCGCATCTGGGCCCTCCAACCCCTCGAACGCGCGCTTCCGGCCGCCACGGCAACAAGCCCGAGTGGTTCAGGATCCATTATCAGACGAGCCTACACAGACATATCAAGGCTACCACGCCAGTCTACCCGACAAACCACCCGCATCCCTCCCCGGCGCACCCCCTCATGGAGCTATCATCTCAGCCCCAGCTGGCCTCCCTGCCCGCCCACCTCCCTCTACCGCTCCAGCGCCTCCAGTGGAGATATCAGCCGCCCCCGTTCTCCGTGATCTCCGAAAAGAAGCGACAGTCTTTGTCCCCCGGAATCTGAAGCGGAAGGCACCAGCAGGAAGTGCCGGTGGCGGTAGTGCCGTGAGAGCAAGGATCAATGCGGCGCCAGGAGGAGGGATGATTGATGATGAAGGGGACGAGGTGGTCGTGAGGCCGGTGGAGAGTGGGCTGATGGGGAAGTTGAAGGGGGTGTTGGGGGATCCGGTGCCTAAGGCGGGCGGAGGAGGCAAGACGGCAGGGAAGAGCTCGGCGGATGAGGATTATGAGCGGTTCTTGGCGGGTCTAGGGGACATTTCGTGAGATGTACGGTGGGTGACTTGGGTCGAATCGGAAGCTGGATTATAATGACTGTATGACTACTGACAACGCTGAGCCCCTGCTAGCGGGACCAGATATATGAGTACTGACTGCTCGGCGCGGAGTACATCATGGACGGTCCTTTCATGAGGAAGGCAGTCTCGGGGATGACTCAGGCTGAGTGCTGCCAGCCTGCCGGACTTGTGGCCTCCACTCATACATAGCATACGGCTCCATCGATCTCTACACAAAGCAAGACTCGAGCGACATGACAGTCCCAGGGAGAATCATCCGCCCTATCGACCAGAAGACCGAGTATCAGTGGTACATCGACCAAATGAATGTGAACTACAACTCGGTGGCGACTCTGACTGAAGAAGAGCGATCATCCCTGACCAAACACCTTCCGAAGATCTTCGGTCCGTTCCTGAGTGGTGAAAGCGTCGATCCCGAAACTGGTCGAGCTGACCTCTCGTGCGTCGTGCTGGTCGCTGTCACAGCGAACGGCGAGTTGTGCGGTACGATCACGAGTATCCTTCGGGAGACTGACAGCCATCCTGAACGAAGATTCATCGTTCGACGCTCGGCCTTGTGGGTCCCGATCCCATTCCGGGGCCGAGGTATCGGGACTGATCTGATCGGCAGCTCGGAGGCGCGGACGGGTCCGAACGGAGAGACACCCCACGAGGCGATCTTGGACGTGAACGTCAGTGGGGCGGATGATGCTCTGAGGCTGTACAAAAGCCTGGGCTATATGGAGGACGAAGAGTGTGGCAAGGGTTCGAGCAGTCTATTTCACCATACACTGGAGACTATGCGCATGCGGAAAGTGCTTGGTGGAGCGGATGATACCTTTGGAAGAGTCTAGAATGGGGGGCAAGAGGGTCCGTGAGCGGAGGCAGGTCGGTCCTGGAGCAGAGCATCCTCACTGTGTGACAGACGGTATCTGACGGGTGGCATGTGCGGCGTGCTGACCATCGATGCGATGCACGTGCACCTGTGTACGTCATACTGGGCTCCAGGCCCTATACTGATTCGTACGCGACATACAGCGACAATCTCCTTTGTCTGCCAAGCACCTCATGCGCGGATCGCTCCCTTGTTCGGTTTGACCCCTTGGACAAGGGAGGACACCGGGGTCAAGCTTGTCTCGGCCCCTGGATCCCCTGGGCACACTGAGTCTCCTGACCTCCTTGTCAGGCTCTGCGTGCTCTATATCAGGCGAGACACGGCCCCGTCCACCTGTCTGCCCGTTCAACAATATCCAGAAGCCACGGATCCGTCACTAAAAACCAGCTGTTCTAAATACCGATCACTTCCGAGATGCTCACATCGACTGCCCTCCTTTTGTCTCTGTCGTCCCTCCTGGTCGTCTCTGCCTTTGCGCGCGGCCCTGGTATCGTCATCCGGGCCTTGCCTGACCAGAAGATCCACCACCTCGAGATCTACGGTACGCCCAATGGACCTGATCACTATGTCCAAGAACTCGTGTTCATATCGGAGGACGATAACCCGAACGGTTTTCCTACTCATCGACGCTAAACTCTCCGACGCCATCTTACAACATCCGTCCCCTGACTCCCCTGCGGCCTGGAAAGCGGGTAAGGGGGCATTCACGTATGTGCTCGCGGGAAAGGATCCGGTCTTTGTTAGTGGACGTCCGTAAAGGTGATGATAGACGGCTAGCTGATACGCACAGTGTCACCTCGAAGGCAATCTCGACGGCGGCCAGCTAGTGCAGGACGCCGAGAAGGATGTGGTGTGGGAGTTTGCGGACCCTGCGTACGCGCATCAGAAACCCTGTGATATGGTGCAGCGCGGTATCGCGCTCAAGTGCGGCACTGAGGCGGATCCGCAGACCATGCAATGCCGCACCGAATGATTGAGCCATGGCGGAGGGGGCAAGAGTCACTGGAGTGTTCTCGCACCTATCCATGACATGTACTTGTGTGGTAGATCGTGCGCGCCACCCATCACTCTTCCGATTCTGATGAAGGCTCGCTCGTGCCAGTAAACCATACAGCATGAATGTGAATGCAGCTAGTAAGATCGTGGGGCTATAACCTCAACGGATGGAAGCGCTGACGCGAAAGGATGGCGCAGTGGTCCTTATAGTCGATGCAGAATGAGCGTTACTGCCTCTGTATGACCATAGCGACGAGGCTATTTCACTGTAAGCTTAAGGTCGTCGTCGGGCGAGGCAGGCGATAGTACTGAAGGAGTCTTTAAGAGAAGGGGTTTGAGGGAGCTCCATGGACTGGCGATTGTTGAATATCGTAGATCATTGAGCTTTGCAAGGCGGGCTGGGATGTCGACGAGTGGCCAATGACTATATATGCTGACCACGAATATGCGTGCCCTCGCTGCGTACTCGCACTCTCACACTTACTTTCACTTATGCGCTGACGAACCCCTCCTTTGTCTACCTGACGCCTAGTAAGCAAGTCGTGGCTGTGCTCACTTTAGACCTCCTGGACAAGGGAAGATACGAGTCTCACTTGTTCCATAAGCCGTTGATGGTTCAACCCCTGCGAGGGGCTGGTCAATCCCCTCAGTCCCTTGAACCCCTTGGACTCCTGTCTGAGCTCTGGGGTCTTATATCACGCCGGACAGTCCCCCTCCCTGTTCTCACCATCCGACAAGGACCTGCAGTCGAGATATTGTCCCTAGAACCCAGCTGCACTGAAGAAGCTCTACTCTCAAAATCATGCTGACCTCGGCCGCCCTTCTCCTTTCTCTCACATCGCTTCTCGCCGCCTCTGCGGACTCTGTGGGCTACAGCCCCAAGATATCCATTCGCGCCCTCCCCAACTCAGAGATCCACCACCTCGAGATCTACGGCGCGCCTGCCGGGCCCGACTTCGTCAGGGAACTCGTGTTCGAGAAGGTCAACGACACCCCCTACGGCTTCAAACTCACTGCCATCGGACTCTCCGGCCACAACGGCCAAGGTGCACCTGCCAACCCGAGTCCGCCCGCCGGGGGCTGGCAAGCGGGTACAGGGACGTTCACGTATGTGCTTGCAGGAAAGGATCCGATATCTGTGAGCAGATACCCCTGTCCGCAGAAGTTAGGTCTCAACGGTCAGCTGATATGCGCAGTGTCACCTCGAGGGGAACTTTGCGCCGGGATCGATCCCAGATCTGTACTGGGACTTCGCGGACCCCGCGTACGCGGATCAGGGCGATTGTGCGCCGGAGCAGAGCGGGATCCGACTCAAGTGCGGCACCGAAGCCAATCCGCAGCCGATGAAGTGCCGTACCAAGTGAGGAAGCCAGGATGGAGGGGCGATAGCTCCTTGAATGTACCTGTATTGTGCTATGGTGCCATGCACTTGTGTTATTGACTCCGCCACGCGTTGATATTCGGTACAGGCACTTGAGTTCGATTTGTCAGTAGATTGAGGCAGATTCCAGACGATTTCAAGCGTCCGCGCCGGTAAGTATACAGCCTGGTCAGCGCTAAAGCCCGAGCTCGCTTTAAGACCTCAAGTCCTGGTGATGCAGACGAAGCGGGTATCGCATTGACCTTCATGGAATGGGTTACGACTCACGCCGATACCGTGACGCAACAGGGCGACCATCATTTGCGACGCCAACCCGCTTTCTGCCCACCATGGCCCTGACAGTCTCCGTCCTTGAGACATCCCATGACCTTGCCAGCCGTCAGGCTGTCATCAGATGATCAGTGCAGCTGAGATTACCTAACATCCCGCCATGTTGGGGTATATATATGTCCCTTAATGTTAGCCCGACTCGTCACTCGACCGCGTAGCGAACGTCATACTCACCCAAACCCTCGTCTTTGGCGTTCGGGTAACCGACTGCCAAAGGCGCGCGGTCAATTCCACCCCAGGCTAAAGGATGGAGACATCTTTTTGTCGCTGGTGCCTTTGGGTATACCAAGAGTCTTGAGGTCGAGCGTGAGGATCAGTATAGCAGTCAGTCCCAACTCGACAACATCGTATCCATCCAGTCGTTAGTGGATACCTGTACAAACACTGCACCGTACACGCCATAACCTACACGTCCATGCCCCCCTGATACACTTCCTCCTCAATATCCTCATCTCCTCCTTCCCCATCTCCCACCCCTTCCATGTCCAGATCCGCCCCCTCCTCCTCGTCCTCATCTCCACCTTCCATCTCATCATCCTCCTTTTCCTCCCCATCCACCAACGCCGATTCCTCATACTGCACCTCCTCGACGCGCTCCCCATTCTCCTCGTCACCTCCCTCGCGGATATCGGCGAGCGCGCGGTCTGTGTCCTCCCGGGTCCACCGAGCGGGGAGGTCCCGCGTCTCTTCGAGGAGCTGGTCGGCGTTATCGGTGGAGCCGCTGGGATCGTAGCCTACTGTTTTGGCTAGGTAGTCGGGATCTATGAGTCAGCTTGCTTCCTTGTGCGACGACGGCTTGGGAAGAGTAATAGCTCACCGATTGGCCTTCTAGCTCGGATAGCCTCATTCACCCGATCAGGATGAGCAGCGTTCTCCTTCCGCCCCTTGTTCTTGAGCTGACGTTGTGTCCGACCGGGGAAGTAGAAGGACATCATGGTATAGTTCTCGCCAGTCTCGCCAAGGACCTGTAGACTCAGCTTCACAGCAGAGATAGAGCAGTCACGCGAGACTCACCTGATAGAAGAACTCGGTCTCCTCAGCAGACCACCGCTCATTATTGACCTTCTTGGCGTAACTCCGACTATTCGGCATCTTGCCCGTCTGCTCCTCCTCAATAACCTCCCGCTCCATATTCCGCTGCAGCGCCGTCCGCCGCGTATCGTTCAGCTCCTCATACAGCTGCTCGAGCGACGCGCCGGCGTCTGGATCAACCTCCTCATCGTCCTCATTATACCGGGACGGTCCGGACGTAAACCCAAGAGCGGCGAGTTCCGGATCAAATTCCTCGTCCTCGTGACGCTCGTGCGTGTCCGCCGGCATATGGGTATTGGGATCGAATATCTCTTCCTCTGGCTCCTCTGGTGCGGCTTCGTCATCCTCATCATCGTCCAGCCCCAGCCCCAACGCGGCGCCTTCAGGCGGCTCCACGTACTCCTGCTCCTCAATCTCCTCCTCGTTCCCATCCTCCCGCTCCCGCTGCGGTCTTTCCGCGCCCGCTCCTCCTGGCTCCGGCGAACTCGGCGGTGTGAGCCGCTCCGGCCGTACCTCAAACTCCGTTTCCGAGTTGGGCTCGTCCTCACTGACTTCATCCTCCGGATCCCCGCCTTGCTCGCGTACCTCTGCCCGCCTTTCTTCTCGCTTCGCGTTCCGCAGTGCCCGGATCTGCCGCCGGAGGACTTGACGCCGCTCGTATCGCTCGAGATTCTCCTCGTACAGTCGGTCCTTGTTCCGCCGTGAAAAGTCGCGAAGGTAGACGTTCAGCTCCTTGGCTCGGGCAGACACCTTGCCCTCCCCTGACCGCCGAGTGGCAATGTCGGCCATCTGCATATTCTCTTCGTCGACCTCTTCACCGATCATCTCGCCGACCTCGGCTTCGTCCAGATTGACAGGCTGGAAGACGGACTGTCGTTGACTGTATCATCAGCCAAGGTCCGTTCCAGTTGCGAAGCGCCATCACTTACGTTTTCCGTCTCCGCTTCTTCCCCTTCATCCGCCTCTTCCCAGCGTTCGGCCCCGCCAGGTCCATATCCTCGTCATCCGAGATATCCAGTTCGTTCGGCTCTCCGTCACTCCCATCTCCCCCCTCCCCTGCTTCCTCCTCATCCGTCGTATCCTCCTTGGCTGGCCGCTTCCGCTTGAACTTCTTCCGCTGAGTCGCGATGTTCCGCTTTACCGGCGCCTTCGCCTTCCCCTTCTTCTTCGCCTGGCCCCCATCCTGCCTGATAATCTGCCCGTCCTCATCGTACTGCTCATCCTCTTCACCTGAAAGAAGCTCGTCGGGCGCTCCGTACCCATCGTGGACCTCTGCCTCATGTGGGCTGTCCGCGGGCATGAACAGTGGTACCTCGCCATGATCCACACCGGCCGGCGCTGGCGAAGCCGACTGCCGCATCTGCCGAAGCTGCTGTACCAGGCGCTCCGCCATCGCGGCGCTATCCATCACACTCCCGCTTGTCTCCGCATTATTGGACCGTGGAACAGGAGTGACCGTCTCCGTCCGCCGTTCACGCGGACCAGGTACAGTAGACGACTGGCGTGGTGTAGCCGTCCGATCCCTATTGATATCTCCAGCCTCCAGCGGCACAGCACTCAGCGTTGGCGGCAGGCCCGAGCTCGAATCCGGCGTGCCCATCTCGCTCTGCCGTTCCGCCTCTTCCGCCGCTCGTGCCTTCTCCGCCTTTCGCCTTGCCTTTGGAGGAGCGACGATATTGAGTGGAGTCTGCCGATTCTCTGCGGCAGCGATGAGAGATGGGCGTTTACCGGACCGTATGGAGGGGGTCACACTGGGTTGACGTGAGAGGGAGCGAGCGCGAGAGGAGGGCGCGGGGGAAGCGGAGACGCGAGGTGCAGGCCGAGGAGCAGGCGAGGGCCGGATAGAGGCGGTAGGGGAGAGTGTGGGTGGTATGTCGCCATCTAGACGACGAAGGGAGGCGACAGGTGAATGGGTTGGCGACCGAGTCCGTGCCGTTGATCGCTCGCCGGCGTTGCCATTGCTATAGCTGCCAGCAGCAGATACTGACGGCGGCACAGCGCTAGGACGTGTTACAGGCGAAGATGAAGGTCTCGTCCCTGTAGCATCCGCCGGGGCACCGGTAGCGGCCAAGGTAGCACCAGTGGAGACATCACTCCGGGAAGGGCCGGCAGTTGCATTGCCATCCTCGGTCGTAGCGCTCTCCGCAGCTCCAGCAGCCGAATGTCCAGCGGCCGCAGCATTCGAAGATGGCACTCGAGGCTGTGCGAAGCCAGCCGCCGGTGCTTTGGGTGCACCGACTGTCGGACCTCCAGGTCTGCCTCCCAGCCCCTTTGGCCTGGACGGGGCGAATCGCTTCTGCGACGCTGTGTTGTCAGCTTCTGAGCGTGGAGGGAGGAGTTTCCAGCTTACGGAGTCGGACAGACATAATGCCTGATGTTGACCTGGCCCTAGCGCTCTACAGTCTGTCTAAGAAGGAAAGGTAAGATGAGAGAGGATATGGAGGCGAGTCGCGTTGAAAGTCAGTCAAGTGGCAAAACAATCAATTGACGCGCCTATCGGGACCGAGTCTAGGACACGCCTATCAATCCGCTTGATCCTGCACGCCTACTTTGCTCCCGCCTAATCTCGCCTCACCCAACCAAGCGACTCTCCACCATACACCACCTCTCTCTCTACCTCTACCCATAACATGTTCCGCCCACAATCACTCCTCCGCGCCGCTGCGCCAGCCAGCCGTACCGCTGCTCGCCCTGTTGCGCTCAGCCAAAGATGGGCGACAACGCACGCTCCTACGACGAGTTCTGCACCCGCAAATGAGATCTCGCCCGAGGTGCAGTCACAGCCCGGAGAGGAGATTGACCCCCAATGTGGGTATCGCAGGGCTCCAAACGACTTTCAGAGACGTCATGGACATACTAGCGCACGCAGAAATGCGAGAGAGGGACCGGGACGGCAAGGGTGGGGCGGGAAGCTGATCTCGTAGTGAACGGCTACCCACAACTCCCTTACGTCTCGCTGCAGACTCGAGAACCATTCGGATGGTGGGACAGGCAAGAGCGCAAGAACTTTGGCGAAGTGGTCAGTCATTGCTTGCTCCATCCGGTCTTGCCCGAAGAGCGAAATAACTGATACATTGTAGTTCCACGAGGAGGAAGACGTCCTCGGTATGTGGGGTCCGGACGTACACAAGATCAGCGGCGGAACAGCTGTACTATCAGTGAGCTACTTGGTTCTCCATCCCGCTCAACCATAGCTGACTTCTCCAGCTCATCGCCGCCTTCTCCGCCGTCGGCGCATTCGCCTACTTCCTGACCGCAACCCGAATTCAGCGCCCCGTTGCCGCGAGGGAATACCCATATGGCGGTCTGGAGAAGGAACTGGGGGGACATGTGGCTGCGCGGCCCGAGTGGGAGGGGGATGCTGAGTAGTCTGGATGCAAGGGATCATTGATGGCGAGGAGGGCAAGGCGCTTAAGACCGACTGGTGGACCGCTAACAACCCTGATTTCCGAGAACCCATACCATGCCATGCGTGCGACATTGCTAATGCTACAAGATGATCCCATCCTCTTGCAAAGACAAGCCGCCTAGTTCGGCTTGAGACTATTCGCTACAGCAGCCCTACGCCACGTCTTCTGCTGGGCCCTCTTCCACTTCCTCCGCTGATCCGCCGGCACCTGCGAGATATCCGTCACTTCTTCCTGCTCCCCGAATACCGACCCCTCCCCCTCCCCCTCCCCCTCCCCATCTTCCGTCACATCATCCGGCACGACCGACGGAGCAGCCGCGGCCGCCTTCTTTGCTCTGGGCTTCCGAGCCTTCTTGGCGGGGGGCGGGGCCGGCGCCGGGGCCGGGCTCCCCAATTCAGTCATACCATCCTCCGTCCCTGCTTCTGTCGAAGCCACCTCCCCCTTCTTGCGCCTCGGCTTCCGCTTTTTGACTTCCCGCTTCTTCTCACCCACATCCGCCTCCAAAAGGGAATCATCGTCCCCATCCCCATCCCCATCCCCGAGCTCACTCGCCTTGATACTCCGCTTCTTGCCCGTTCCTCTTCCTTTCGGATCCTCTTCGTCCAACCCCTGCATCATCGCTCCCCACTCGACCACCTCGCCCGTCCCAGAAGCCTTGGCCTCCGCTTCCCGGAACTGCTTGATGACCGAAAGCAGACGCTTGCTGACGTTCGCGGTGGTGCGTCTTCGTGGGGCGTAGTTGGCCAGTGCGCCAGCAGAGAGGTCAAAGAATGGGTCGAGGGTGGATTGTTTGTTGAGTGAGCCGGCCTTGCCCCGGCGAGCTATACGCTGAACGATAGGTGTGAGCTCGTCGTCGACTTTGGAGATTGACCACGAGAGCTCTTCGTGTAAGAAGCTGGACCATCAGCTTGCATTCTGATCAGTCAATTCGTGCTAGCTGACTCACGATCGCAATGCTGATAGCTTTGGGAAGCCCCAATGAAACGCCTCTTCCGATTCATCCGTCACCGGATACCTATACGCCTCTCGCTGTGTGCGTCAGCTTCTACAGCACAACCGATGTCGATTTGTACATGAACTCACAACGAGCGGATTCGGCCAATCAGCAGTGATGAAGATCCCACCCGTATACCTCTTCTTCTATTCCAGTCAGCTCATGCCTATATGCACCGCCCCCCCCTCAACTCACAAAGCTAGCTTTCCACTTATTATCCGTCTCGGCCCCATCCTGCCCCTTCTGCACTTTCGCCCACCACTCCTTAAACTCCTCAATCCCCCGCTCGCCCGGAAAATTCGCAAGCAATTCCAGCGCCACCACCGGCCCCACACCGGGCAGCCCAATCGTGTAATCGCTTCCCAGGAGGTACGCGAGCGAGATGAGTCTTTCGCGCGAGAGCGACAGTTCCCGATTGATATCCGTCGCGAGGAAACATTCGGCGTACTTGTTGTCGTTGAAGATGTTTTTGAAGCACTGGGTCCCGCCAAACAGAAAAACGTCGGAATCGTCCGTGATGATCCCGTCGACCAAACCGAGTTCGGCGAGTTTGGCGCATTGCGCCTCGGCTTCCATCGGAGCGGTGATGTATGGGATTCCAAAGTGTCTCAATAACGTCTAGCGTGTCAGTCATTTGCCGTTCCCCTTGTGCGCGGGAGGACTCACCTGGATCTGAGCAATCATAGGCATGGTAATCTCATCGCTATCCCTCTGCGCCACCTTGTTCTGCCCATGCAGTACTCTGATCTCATCATCAATCTCCGTGCGCACCTCATTCAAATCCCGATTCTTGATTTGCGCAAGGAACCGCGCATAGTCGTCTTGCTCCTCGACCATATCCTCCGCATTCATATCCACGTCCTCCTCTTCTACTTCGGACGGGATGGTATCGGTCGACGCGCCGGCTTGGAGGGGTGGACGTGCGCGCGGTCGGGGGTGCTTGGTAGGTGTGGGAGAGCGGGACCAGGCTATCGAGCCCGACTCGTCTGGGTCCTCCTCTCCATCGTCATCGTCCCCGCGCCGTCGATGTCTCCTATCCTCGTCGGCTTCCTCATCGTCCCCATCCATCTCCTCATCGTCAGGCTCAGGAGCAGGCGGGGTGTTGCTTCCAGTCCGCCATGCCCCTGTCGCCCCAGCTAAGGCCTCATCAATCAACCTCTCCGGCTCCGGCGCGACCAGCCCCAGGTGCATAGGCGGCGGAGGCGGAGACGGCCCCGCTCGGGGCAAGCGGTCAGGTATGACACTCCCCGACGGCGTACGCACGGGCGGCACGAAAGACGGAGATCGGCTGAGCGGCGAAGGGACACTAGGGCGATTCAGAAGCGAGGAGGACCGAGAAGGCAATGGGGGTCCACCCTCCCGAGAGCGTTGTATGAATTCGTCAACAGGGGGAATGTCGCTGAAGCTGTGGGAGCGGGATGGACCAGCTTCCTCTTCGGCTGGGCGGACGGTATACCTCGAGCCGGAATCATCGGCCGGTCGAGCTGGAGCGGATGGGTGGCGAGAGGAGCGAGATGGCGCGGGCTGCATGCCTGCAAAGACAGGAGCGTCATCATCTTCGTCGTCGAGGACGGTGATGGGTGATTTGTTGACGCGGGGGATAGGAAGGGGTAAGGTAGATGGGGGAGCAACGACCTCGATATCCCGTGCTTTGGATGGCCCGGCGGTGGCGTTTGTCCGGGTCGGAGGTTGCTGTGCCGAACGAGAAGCCTTCTTGGCCGATAGCAGCGCAGCCACCGGGATAGGCGTCGGAGCAAGAATATCAGGCGACGGGTTGACGGGTACCGGTACCGGAACCGGCGCAGGCGCGGGCACCTCCTCAAAGTCATCCTCGCTATCCTCCAGGAATGGCGGCTCCTCCAAAGCAGGTGTGCTCTGCTCAGAGGGAACCAGCTCCACCTCCTCCATACTGTCATCCGACATTCCATCGTCCTCATTCCCATTCACGCTCCCTCCGCCAATGCCGGCCGATCCCGTATATCCCACACTATCAGCCTCCTCCTTTTCTCTCCGACTCATCGCTAGCGCCCTTGCCAGCTCCGGATCCGCCTCTTCCTCATCCGATCCTAGCTCTTCCTGCTGTAGCGCCAGAGCCAACGCCTCGTCATTCGCCGTGGGGACGATAGCGGTGGAGTCATCCTCCATATCTGCAAACATGTCGGGATCGTCGAAGAGCTGCGGCTGGGAGGGTGCGTGAGAGGCGCCAAAGGGAGTAACGGGAACGTCGAGAGATTTGCGGGGTGATGCGCGCGCAGAGGCATACCGCGAGGTTATGGCGTCGAGGATCTGTCGGCGGCGATGTTCTGCCAGGTCAGGGTCGACAGCGGGTCTGAGAAGTCAGCTCGGCCATGGTTCCGCGAGAAACACCACCTGAGCTTACTTTGCGACTTCTACGACCTCATCACTGCCTTCACTGCCATCATCACTACTACTCTCCTCCTCCTTCTCCTCCGGCACCTCTATCGGCTTCTGCTTGGTCCCCTCCCTTATCCCTAGCGCCCATCCCCCACCCACATCCTCTCCTCTCTTCAACAACACATACTCCCTGTTCCTCTCCGCGGCAATCCGGACGGGAATCGTAAGGTGCGCCTTCCCCACCATATCCGTCACCGTCAACAACTGCTGCGTGAGGGTATTCCGCTCGCTCAGATGCTTGATCTGCTGCATCGAAAAGTCCAGTGCGGTCGGCGCGCCGCGCAGCATACTAGCGAGGCGCTGGTGACTTTGCTGGCGGGACCGGATACGCAAATCGCCGATGATTTCATATTGGACCTCGGTGGGCAGGGCGCGGAATTCCGCCGATTCGATATCGATATCAGAGGGCTTCATGTCGTCAATGAATTGTTTGAGCTCCTCTTCGGTCGCGAGACGCGCGTCGGGCTTTTCGTCTGTCGAGACGGTGGGCATAGAGGCTTCGGGGAGACGGTAAGGGTCGTGCTTTCTGAACTTTTTGCGCCGTTCTTCCGCCGGGTCGAGGGGTTCGTCGTTGACGGCCGCGACGATGTCCGAGGCGGACCCACGAGCTGGAGTGGGACGAGGACGCGAGGGCCCAGCATGGGCATTCTCCAGGTCGTCCAGATATGTAGCGTCCGCAGCGATCTGGTCGCCTTCGTCATCGTCGTACCGAGTGGCCGTCTCGGACATTGCGGCAGCTTGACGAGCTGCAGCCTGTTCACGTTGACTAAGCATGTCAGCTTTGCAGTGGAACTCGCACATGTAAGCTAGTACGCACGCTTGAGCAGCCTTGACGGCTTCCCGGCGCATCTGGGCAGCAAACAGCTTCTCGGCCGTCCGAGCGTGGTTGACAACTGCTCCTTGTCTCTTCCGCTTTCGCTCGGCCTGCATATATCAGCTTCTGCCTTCCGCCGACACACGGAATATGTAGCTGATCTCAGACCAGGGAGAGACGCACGATAGTAGCTCGCTTCAGTACAGGCGCACCGCCGTCGAATACAAAGACAGGCTTGATCCCATGGAATAGCAGCTTGTTGATCCTTCTCAAGAACCCTGCTTCGTCAGCTCTTTCCTCTACCAGCTTCCGGGAATGATACAGGAGACGCTAGCTCACCCAGTACATGAGCATTAACCAGCACCCTTCCATCCTTATCTCTCATAGTCGCCTGGAACTGCACGAATCTCAGCTCGCCTTCCGGTTAAAACGCACAGCTGAACAGGCGAACTAACCTGATACAGCCAAATGGAGCTATCGATGGCTAGTCGCTTGCCTTCCATGCTCTCCAGCCTTGATGTCAGCTGCTGTTCGTATACATAAGACAGGGGACAGGGACAGGGACTTACTGGACAGGCCGAGCGACCGGGTTCAAGAGGGACCAGAGACCTTTAACACCCATCTTGGCCTGTGTCGATCGGTTTTGGGCTTTTCAAGATGGCTGTCAGTCGAGCCGCCAGTCTATCCGGCAGCTCAGTGGCCGTTAGTCGAGCTGTGGGAGCTTTTGAAGTGATGTCAGAACCAGCGAATAGAGGTACAAACGGTCGAAAACATCCCTCTCTCGCCTCCACCACCGGACCGTCATCCACCCTGCACCCAGATCGACATCCGTGCGCACACTTCGAAGGCTTGGACGCGTCGGTCACTAGTGGACGCGTCTCTCTTCTGCCTCTTCATCACACCTAGGCAAGATGGCCCACCAGATCGACTTCTCCCAGCTCACGCCCTCTCAAATGATGCTCTATCAAAAGCAGCAGGAGCATGCGGGTCTTCAGGCGCTTCGGCAGGCCTCGGCGCAGCTGGTAGAACGGGCGGAGAAGTTGGGGGAGATGAGTAATGTGATGGCGGATGGAGGGGAAGGTGAGCTCGATCATCAGGCTACATCTAGAGCTGGAGATGGTGGAGACTGATAGGATAGCTATAGGACAGGTCATGCGGAATTGGCCTCATGTGTTCTCGGTACTGAATCTTTTCGGTGAGCTAGCCAAGCCACTTGCTCTTCGTGTAGTAGCCGGGGCGAAGCTGACGTGCTGTAGATAAGCCAGGAGCGGGAGATACATCACGGAATCCAGCAACAGAAGAGCCAGAAGAACCATTACCACAGCTCGTCCGATTACCTTATTCGGACGAAAAGACCAGTGTTCCCGCGGCGGCAAGGTAGAAGTTGAGGGCAAGGGAGGGGCGGACACTATAGACAGGTTGTACAGTACGAGAAGACTATTGCGCTGACCCCTGATAGGGGGGGAGAATTACTGATCAGTCTAAGAGCAGGGGTAAGACTGATGAGACGCGTTTCGACACAGCCCTGAGAGCTCGGCGGACGTCCTTTCGCCTGTCCTTTCGTCTGGCTGATCCCTAGGGGTGAGCTGAAGCAACGACTGACCTACGCTCTGGCCATCACATATGTCATCTGTCTAGGTGGCCCACCCTCTCTCGTATATACCTAGGTGTCTTACAGAACCCAATTAACAAGCGACCGATAGCGCACGTCGGTAGCCCAAGCATAAGCGCCCACATTTGACCCGACCAGCTCATCTCACCTGCGATCTTCACCGTAGCTTCTCTCGACGACGGACGATGTTCATACCTCGGCAGGAACAACCCGATCCCCAGGATACCGGAGCAGGGTCCACAGACACCAGTGGGGTCTCAGTCGCAGCCGTCAAGTCGTGCGCGACTGGGACTTTCAGCTCGTGTACCGGCATGATCGGTAGGTCCATCTCCTGGTCTTCTACCACGCCAGGCCTCGGTTTTCCACCAATCTGGGCACCGGCGGCATGACTATACAGTATTTCAGTCGTACTTGGTTCTGACAGTCACAGCCCTTGTCATCATCGGCCCTATCATCGGGCTGTGCATCATCGGGACGATCTTTTGGAAGAAGAGGAAGAACAGGAAAGCCAGGGAGCTTAGGGACAGGAACGAGACCACAGTGCAGCAGGTTGCCATCTCCGAGGTCAACAAAACCGCCCAGTTCGAGGATGAAGTTGACAAGGAAATGGCGAGACAGGGGAATCTCCAGGCACGAGTGAAGGCGGAGGCAACGGTGAGGGCGAGGGAAGGGACGGCTTGAGGTTCCCATACGCTCCATGTGTCTCAAGAGCTGTGGTGACGTGCATGGAGAGGGAATATGAGCGGACGCGACGTGAAATTATATGTCATTCTCATAGCACCATAACAGACAAGACATCTATCTATCCACCTGTATATCTACATCTCCAACAGCCTCCCTCGTCCTCACGTCCTCTCATACAGCAGCCTTCTTCTCCTCCGTAGCCACAGCAGCCGCCGGCATCTCGGCCGTTCCTGGTGCAGGAGCCGCTGCCGGCGCCGCATGTGCTGACGATCCCCAACCCCACCCACTCCCTCCCTTCGGCTTCTCCTTATCCGCCTTCTCTTTCTCCTTTTCTGCCTTCTTCTTCTTGTTACCTGCTTCCATGACCAACCTGAGGTATCAGCTCTCACCCTATCATCAGAACAAAAAGAATTAAACGTACCGCTCCAGTTCTCTCCGCTCATCGTCCCCTTCATCAGGCTGCATCGTCTTGAAGATCCCACCGATCGTCAGAATCGCCTTGGCACGCTTATAGCTAACGTCCTTCGACAATCCTGGTTCGTACAGTACACCATCAACAGCTGCGCCCACAATCTACATCGTCAGCTTTACATCCACATCGGAGGTGAAGGATCTCGCAGAGGACTCACATTGATCACCTCCCATCGGGTCGCTTTCCAAGTAGTCAACAACATCTTGCTACTCAATTCCTGAGCGAGCGCTTCAATCTCCTCGGGTGTGGCTCCGCCCTTGGTCTCTAGCCGCTCCATTTCGGCCATCGCAGCTTGTACCCCAATACTACATGCTCAGCTATGTCCACCATCGCACGGATTGCAGCTGACGGGACTTACGCAGATCCAAGCAGTCCCCAGCCCTCCTTCACCATCCCTCCTTTCTCCTTCAGCCGCCCGAGGAAACCCCCACCGAAGAATTTGCGGGACTTGACAAAGTTGCCAGCTTTTGTGATGTACACGCCGGAGATAGTATGCAGCAGCTGGGACTGTCAGCTCTGGCTTATCTCGTCTGGTACCGCGCTAGCTCACCTCAATACCGAAAGACTCCAGCTTCAGATCCTCCGCCTCCGTTCTGATCCTAGCTTCGAACACCTTCGTTTCAGGATCGTTTATATCCCCTGGGTTCTTGGCGTCCACAAAGGGCCGTATCCGCTGAACCAGCTTATCCTGCAGCTCCTTCACCCTGATCTGTCAGCTTTCGGCAAGGCATGATGTTGACTATCCGAATCGGTCAACTGACCTTCGCTTCTTGTCCTCATCCTGTTTTCGCTCGATCTCATCCATCTTTGCCCGCTGCTCAGGTGTGATCTTCGCTTTGCCCTTCTTGACAGCCGCCGCGCCACTCGCCTCCTCCTTTTGCGCGATACCACTCGAGCTCCCCGATGGTGTCGCTGTACCACTCGCAGTCGTCCCGGATGTGTTGGTGGAGAAGGACGAGTGGTGTGCGAGGGATGAATTGGATTGTTCAGAGGTGGAGGCGGGCATGGAGGTGGCTGATGTTGAGATAGGGACGTTTTCTGCAGCGGCGGGCACGGCGGTCGGGTCCGCAGCTGAGGTGGCTGGCGTGGATCCAGCGGCAGCAGCTGGACTCTCGCCATTCGCCTCTTCCTCTGCAGCCTCCATAGCTGCCCGCTCTTCCGGCGTCATCGCGGCCTCCATCGTGCTCGTAAAGTCCTTGATCAAGGAGATCTCGCCGATATAGTCGTAGAACGCCTCTATCAAGGTGTCAGCTTCAGCGCCAGTTTCTTGAATCCGAGCGCGGCAGCTCACCTCCACCAAAGATCTTGGAGAAGACCTCCTGAGGATCTATCTCTCCTGGTCCATCCACCTTGTCCATTCCCTTCTTCCCGACCTTGTCGTAGAAGGCTCGGGAGTCCGCATTGGAGAGGATCTGATACGCTTCACTATGATGTGTGAGCTTTCACTCCGCAGGTCGGACTCAAGTCTGAAGTGGCAAGCTTACCCGACCTCCTTGAACTTCTCTTCGGCTTCAGGCGAGGGGTTCTTATCCGGGTGGAACTAAGCAGTCAGCTATAGTCTTGCTGCTCGCAGCTCGAGCCAGTACGGATAGCTCACCTGGATAGCTTTCTTCCGATATGCCTTCTTCAGCCTGCACGGATCAGCGGACCACCCTTCCAGCCACCCAAACCACAACACATGAAAGAAAGCATCCCCGCCTCCTCGGGCCCATACTCACTCGATATCGGTCGCTTCGGGCGCTACCCCCAGGACATCATAGTACGCCGTATCCTTGACCTTCTTGGGTGCTACAGCTGCCATAGTGGGGGACGGTATGGTATGATATGGGTAGTATGGTGAGAAAGGCAAAACTTGTAGCTTCGCAGGAGGTGGCTTGGACCTTTTTATGCACCGCCGCCGTCAGTAACGTAAGCGACTCCAGCCAGGCACGGACCATCACCAGAGCGCGCCTGCTCCACTGAGTCCACTGCACACTGTACCTTCTAACAGCCATCAAGCACTTCCAGCCCCGGACCGCTCATCAAGAACCCATCTAGCCGCTCCTGTCTCCAGACATCCGCGTTGCGTTGACATCTGAGCCGAAATCGAAATGGTTCTCGTCCTCGTCATTGGTGACCTCCACATCCCAACCCTCACACATGACCTCCCCGCCAAGTTCAAGAAGCTCTTAGTGTGTTACCTCCGCCAGCTGGGTCGGGCGGCACCTGGTCATGGCCGCATCAGCTGATTCCGCAGGTACCAGGCAAGATTGGGCAAATCATCTGTACTGGAAATGTCGACGACAGAGAAACGTATGATTATCTGCGGACGATAGCGCCGGAGGTCCATGTCGTCCGGGGCGAGTTCGACGATGTAAGTAACCTCTATTCCGAGGAGCCTAAATCAGCTACAAGGAGATGTGCCCATCATTTGCGCCTCCTAGCGAGCTCTACCGGGAAGGATTACGAGCCACAGCTAATCCCCAGAACACCCACTTCCCAATGTCCCTCATCATCCCCCATCAGTCCCTCCGTATAGGCGCCATCCACGGGCAACAAATAGTTCCCGCGGGGGACACAGATATGCTCGCTGCGCTGGCGCGGCAGATGGATGTCGATGTGCTCATTAGCGGTGGGACGCACCGGTTCGAGGCGTTTGAGTCGGAGGGGAGGTTCTTTATCAATCCGGGGAGCGCAACGGGAGGGTGGAGCGGGCTGTGGACGGGGTGAGTGCTTCCTTTCCAGACAGGAGGCTGAGTCTGTGCTTGAACGTGGGACGGGGCGGAAGGGACGGGGCGGAAGACACGGACTGCATTTGAGGGAGAAGAAGGGGGTCGGAGGGGGTCGAAACGGTCAAGAGGATGGGCGTTCAAGCTGTCACACAGGGGGCTTTACGGGTCAATCCAGGCTTCAGGTATCGCAGCCATACTAGGACAGACAGGCGCGGTCTGCTCGGGCAAGACTAAGAGCTGACATAAGCAGAGACGCAACTCCATCATTCGCATTACTAGACGTCCAAGGACCCGTGATCGTCACATACGTCTACCAGCTCATCGAAGGAGAGGTAAGTGTTCCACCCCTTTCACCTCCCCATCATTGCCTCGCCCACTTGGAGAATCCATCCTCTCCCCCCCTGTCTCGAACCCACCGAGGCACCCTCCCTAACTTCGCGTCCCTACCTCCCGCCCTGACCAGATGCTGACCCCTCAGGTCAAAGTAGACAAGGTCGAGTACCGCCGTCCCGAACCACCAAAGGAGAGTGTCCGTGCACCAGAAGCAGCAGCCCTGCAGTCGCCCGTACAGGCCGGGTCGGGATGGTAGCGGTGTTGACGCTGCGATTGCTCCGCAGCATGGACGGCACCGAATGAAAGCGAGGGTAGCCGAGGGAAGGCAACTTGTATAGACCTGGCATGTATCGACTGATGAAAACTGGCCATCAAGCTGGGGAGGGTATGGTACTGACATTGAGGCTCACTGATCAATCTGACTTTGGATCTGACAGGCGAGCTCTCGCCCCACTTTGCCCCACTCTGACGAGATTTGTGTGACTTTGGGATAGCTGCCCTTGAGCTGGTCTTTCGTACGGCCGGGACGGGGATGACAGGTGTATGCCCCGCTTGGGACCGTCCCTTCTTTCCGCTGCACGGCCGTGTGAGCTCGGGCCTCAGCTTGAGCCTGAGGCTAGGGTGTCACCCCGGTCCCACCCGATGTCGTGACTGGCGGTGCCGCGGTCCGCCGCGGTTTTAGATCGCTCGCCGCCCACTCCGCGCTTCTGTGTCGCACGTTCGACATTCTTCTTGTGCCCTTGTCTACCCTTCCCGACCGTGACCGTCAGACGCCCCTTGTCGACTCCGCTCACCTCCGCTCACCCCAGAAGATCTCACGGGAGGTGACATCCCGTCCGTGCCAAGCGAACCCCCAATGTCGAACTCTCACCCCGCAAAGTCTAGTCCAAGGACCAGGCCAGCAGAGGCCAGCACTAGGCTTAATCCAGCAAAGCGTGGTACGATCGGGTTTAATCAGGTACCAGATAGCAGCTAAAGTAAGAGGTGACAACCCTCACACCAAATTAGCTGGGCCTTACCTCGCTTCGGAGACACCCTCGGAGAGCAGAACAGAGACCATCGGTAAGAGATACCGATACCGTACGACGAGCATCGGCTACTTGCTGTCCTCTTCCACCTCGTCACTATCCACTAGCTCCGGGTAAATAGCAATCCTCTCAGACTTGGCTGACTTGCCCGCGCTAAAACGTGCTTTCAAACGAGATGAAACCGGGTACTCGGGACGATCAGGATGACGCTATAGAGTGCGACTCTCACACTATAAGTTTTGCAGTGACGAGTCAGTTGCGGGCGTAATCCGCATCACATGGATGACGTATTTTTTGCTGAATGATCGCGAGATCCAGCATGCTTGTTTCACCTCTTCGTAAGAATCCAGCAAGGCATGACGCAGGCGCGCAGCAGCTGTGCGTGGCTCAACCGTTGGTAGCCGAAGCCGTTGGATCGTGCAAGCAAGGACAGGCAAGGACACAGCGACGGCGTGGCCGCTGCTGGTCGGAGGTCCGATTCGGAATGACTTGCCGAAGATCGTGGCTGCTTCTTTGTGGGGCCAACTTTGGGTTGGGGACGACTGCTTCAGTATCGTAGGCGAGTATCATGAGCGGTGTCGCCGGCAGTCACTATGCTGTGGTCAGAGCCAGCAGTCAGCGCAAGTCACTGCGATAACCAGAGCCAGGCTCTTGAGAGGAAAGCAGTGTCCAGATGATATTCTATTACATTCTTGCCCACGTCCCTATCGACCTGGCTAGACGATAGACATAGGATTGACTAAAATATGCAGACATGATGTGAGAAGAGGATAAAATGCTGGTTTACCAAAACTAGTGGAGTATGTACAACTGAATCAAGAGAAGCTCCTCCTCGCCGCCTGCCGCTACTGCTGGCCCCGCCGCCTACCAAACGTTGGACGATATTGGGTAGTGCGCCTGAACATGCCGCCTCGCATACGCCTGATCTATCCCGCCCTTGCTCCTACTTGACGCCGAGGTGGGCTGCGTCACTGCGACGGGCGACGGTGTTTTACAGTCGTCCGATGCGGGTGATGAGACGAGGGAGGAGTTGGCCGATGCAAAGTGAGGCGGGGAGAGGTGGTAGGAGTGATGTGCGTGGTGGCTATGTTGTGGGGATGCGGGTGGGGATGGAAAAGTCGCGCGAGATGGTTGAGGTTCCCGGTAGGCTGCGCGCGATTTGTAAGGGGAGGGGACGGGGCGAATGGGACGAGATGGGTCCGGGGTGGTATCGGGGGTAGGGTAGGAGTGGACGGGTGTCGCGTAGAGGGAGGAGGTGCCGGAAGATGACGAGGAAGACGATGAGGTCTCGCGAGCGACCGCCCCAGCTCCGTGCTCCGCCCGTACTCTGCTCTCAAAGTCCAGCACCTCCGGCCCCGCCACGTTCAAGTTCCACTCCAGATAGCCGCACATCTCCCTCTCCATCTGATTGATCTCCTTCAGCGCGAACATCTTCTGCGCCACGATGCCCCATGACTGGTTCGAGTAGGTGTCGTCGCAAATGACCTTGCTGGCGATCATGAAGGCCGAGATGAAGAGGCGGTGGCCTGACGATCCGCGAGCGGCGGGGAACCGGGTCTTGAGCCGGTTGAGAAGGAGGAGCGCCGCAAAGGTGACGATGGAGGGTAAGCGTGTGCGGTGAAGGGCGTACGCGATGAAGTGGGCGAGGGTCGGGGTGGGTGCGCCGGGCGCGACGTTGGTGGGGATATTGGGACATGAGAAAAGGGAGGTGATCTACTTTGTCAGCTTTGGAGCAAAGGACGTGAAAAGGACAAGCTTACAAAGCGGGCGCTCATCACTGATGTCTCTTCATGTCCGTAATAAGGATCTGATCCGCGTGTTGGTGGACGCGATGAGGGGGCAGAGGCAGTAGCAGATGCCTTGACGGCCTTGCGGGATGTGGATGGGGAGGCGGAGGAGGCGCGAACGGTAGACATCTTGGGTAGATGAGTGGGGCGGACGAGGGAGTTCTTCTGATTGCGGGTTCGCTGGCGAGTTGTAGTAGGTATCGGGGTGGGCTGTGATGTATCAGCATTGTTCTTCGAAAAAGGCGAGCTAGTTATAGGAGAATCGAGACGAACAGGGACCGGAGCCACGAAGCGCAAAGAGGGTGGCATGGCCGGCCGAGAAGGAGGGTAGTGAACGGATAAGAAGGGTGACGGAGTGGCAAGAAGGAGGTGTCGCGGTGAACGTCAACCCCGAGCCGTGTGTCTCGGCTGCTGGCGGTGTGCGAGCACGGGGAGGTGGGGGTGGGGGGAATGTGAGGTATATGCAGGATAGGCAGAAAGAGGATGTACAAGAGTAATAGCAAAAGCTGCTAGACTCGTCCGAGATTGATGGGATTGAGAAGGGTGAGGGTGAGGCAGACAAAAGGGGGATCAAAGCTGTGTGCGGTAGGGTAGGACCCCTCAACGGCCCAAGCATAAAGGGTGTGTGTGCTTCCTTCCTCGCCCTCCTTTCCTCGCCTTGCGCCCTTAGTCCATGATCATCTCATCTCCGTCCATCGCTCATCACCCCATCACCCACACACATCCCGAAAGCTTGTTACTCGTCGTAGATCCTTGATGAAACAGCTGACCGTCCGCGCCGCCAACATCTTCCGCACCGCCGCTCGAGCCCAATCCCTCGGACGCCGCCAAAGGACCTCGATCGCCTCATCGTCCCCATGCCCCACCCTCACCGCCTGCGCCTTGCGTCCGTCCCCCACTCTCTTCAACCAAGCACACATGGAGAAATCGAGTCGAGTCGATAATCAAAAGCAAGATGAAACACGACCGATCCTCACCTTTTGGTTGTTGTCTATAGCTATTACGCTAGCGTTGGCGTGGCGAGACGCGCGGAGGGGGCGGGATAGTCTGGTCGCTGGAATGATGGGCGATGCTGGGACCTGGACGTCGGTGGCCAAGGTCGAGGCTCGATTATATATAGGTGAAGTGTAGCTTCTAGGAAGTCTAGTCCGATGCCGATGAAAGTGGGTCAAATTTGAGGCTGACGCGAGGCGGCAAGTGTAAGATGTGGTCGACGGAGATAGAGACGAGATGCACAAGCGAGATGTTGTCTAGATGGAGAGAGATGATGAAGATGTGATGAAGATGTTTTATCGCGGGAAGGCAAAGCGAAGGAGAGAAATGATGCAGCTCTTAGTCGGCCAAGGACGGTGTCGTCGGCGCCGGCGCTCGTAGCATGGGTTTAAACATTTGGCCCTGCATGTCCCCCCAATTACCCCGCTTTCCTCCTTCGTCTAACACCCACCGAGTGACCGACCTTGGCCCCGCTGTGCTTCGGCTATTCTGCGACGACGCTGCTGCTGCATGCAAATAGCTACCGAGTCGCCCGAGTGACCGAGTCAGCCAAAAGCAAGCGGGAACTCCCCTCGGAGGATTATGGGAACCACTCCGGACCGCGCGTTCTTGCTTGCAGCAGCCAGCACCGCCGGCCGTATATGCTTGTCTGCCCTGCCCAGTCACTGTCACGAACCGGTGTCATAAGCATACCGCGTCGCCTAATTCCCCATCGAGATCGAGCATCCACGAAGGTCCCGATGTCTGCGGACCCAAAGCGGGTTTTGGGTGAAACCCGGGCTTCGGACCGGATAACCCGCACGAACGCGTGGAACGTGGGGCCCAACTCCCCCACGCAGCTGGACAGAGCTGGACCAGTCAGTGACCAGTCGACACCCTATTCCGAAGTAGCTCCGAGCATATTGGCGCCAAGGTTCCAGACATTGCTCGCACATGCATGCATCCGTCTCCAACCAACAGATCCGCATTGCCCGCGGACAAGACTCCGAATGGATGTGGCTGTCACTCTGCTTGACTAGGAGGAAGGCCGAGACAGCGACATGCTGCGAGCAGTACCGTACCGGCACAAACGGGCCCGCTCGCCGGTCTCACCTGTGTCAGATCTGCCAGTCCGTCAATAGCTCAACCCATCCGCGTGGCACCGTGCGAATGGTATAGGAATATCGCCCGTAGATCAGCCGGACTTGTGATAACCGGGGCATGCAGCTGTTGAGCTAAACGTTAAACCCCCGCCGGTCTAAACTAGCTGCTATCGCATCGCTAGCTCCGTTTCCAGATCAATGGGACGCCCCTCGGATCAGTCGGGCGCAAAGCCGATAACTCTCCTTGACTGTCTCTCTTGCTGCATACCCGTGCTCTCGCACTGTCCATGCATACTCTTGCAGCTCCATGATCGATGATCTTCCCAAGCCACCCCGAGCGAGGCGCCGATACTGTCTCACACCTACCCAGACCCAATTGCTGCGAGCACGATGGCGTTGCCCAGGCTCGCCCAGGGACCGACCGGATGCAGACAGGATGATCTGCGAGGGGCGTGGATAACGGCATGCGGGAAGCTTCGGGTGAAACCTCATGAAACGCTCATCGGAAAGAGTTACCGACGCGACGATTCGGTCAGTCACTCAGTCGAGGCAGGCAGATGGGAAGATTGTCGGACTTGCAGGACGCAGACACACCAGCCCAACCGCTAACTCTCTCTGCGTTGGTGAGCTGGGCCGAAGTCTCCTTCACTCACTTGGTGCTACCAGCATGCCTGCCACTTCCGGAGAGTTCTCGGTGGAAGGGGGTCTTAAAGGTAGGCTCAAATATATTCGCCTGTGGACCCGGCCGCGCCTGAAAGATAACGTAATGTGACCCGTGCGTCAATCGTCAGCTGCAGCAGCTGTGCGCTGCGCTCCGCTCTTCGGTATCCATTAGTTGTTCCTTCTCAGCACCAAGACCTACTAACAGCGGAGCATACACTCCAGCATGGCCCCAGCAACGGCTACTAACAGCGCTCTCATCCTGGAAGAGCCCTTCATCCGGGTGCGTACCTCGCGTCTGAGGCTGCCAGAGGGGCGAGAAGGTTGCCGCTGATATCGCCAGACACCGTACGAGCTTCTGCGAAGATCTCACCGCTCTGCTCAACGACAGGTCGAGAAAGACTTTACAGCTGTTCAGGTGAGCTTTTGGAGGCGTGCAAATATTTCAAGCGAGCAAGCAGGGCACAGCTGACACGCTAGACAACACTTCAAGCTTTGTTGAAATCGCTGGGGTCCAAAGGGAACACCAATGACTCTCGGGCGGCAGCGCTGAGTAAGGTGGATCAGTCGGGAGAGCGGTTGCGGGGACTCAAGAGGAAGGTGAGCTAAGACGTTGCATGTCAAGTATTCAGCTCACAGTACCAGTTAGACGACCTTCAGCCTAGCTCATCTGCGCCAAGTCCGCTCCGGAGTCGAGCCGAGTATCTGTCCCGCCAGCTAGAACCCGCTCGGGCCTCTCGAGGCATGATGGAAACGGGCGCTGGAGCAGCTGATGGCGACGATGCGATGGCTGAAGTGCGTGAAACGGCTGGGGAAGGAGGAGCGGAGGACATCGCTATGGAGGATGCGGATGTGGTCACGGTCGGGGAGGGAAAGAGCGGTGCAGGGTGAGTACCCTCTAGCATGAGGCTGCAGGCGCCCTGATCATCGACCAAGACTAAGCGTGCAGCACCGCCGAAAAGCCCGAATGGAAGGATAATACGCTCGATCGGTATATCGTCGACTACCTACTGCGGACAGGACGCATGAAGACGGCACAGGCGCTAGCAGATCGGCAAGGCCTGGACGTGAGTGCCGTGTACATGAATCATACATCATGCGGTCTAAGCTGATCCCGTAGCAACTCGTAGATCTGAAGCTATTTGCGGAACTTACCAAGATCGAGAATGCCCTGGTCGAGAAACAGAGCGTGGTTGAGGCTTTGGCATGGTGTGGCGAGAACAGAGGGACTTTGAAGAAGACCAAGGTCAGTCTACCCTTGGTCATATCGCCAGGCTTCAGCTGATAAGACAGAATAATCTCGAGTTTACGCTGCGAATGCAGGATTTTATCGAGCTGTGTCGGAAACGCGATATCGTCGGAGCTATTGCCTACTCACGGAAGAATCTGTCGGCTTGGGCGCCCACGCATATGGGCGAGATCCAGCAGGGGATGACGCTGTTGGCATTCGGGGAGAAGACAGGTGTAGGGTCTTACCGAGTAAGTCATCGTGTTCTCCTTCGACAGGAACGCCTGGCTGATCGGCAGAAACTCTACGACCGATCCCGCTGGGAAGCCGTCCGGAGAGAATTCCGGCAGACCTTCTTGACGCTCTACGCCCTTCCCTCCCAGCCCGTCCTCTCCCTCGCCCTCTGTGCTGGTCTCTCCGCACTCCGCCTACCATCTTGTGCACGCCATCAACCTCCTCAATCTCCACTCGTCCCCCTCCTCCCCGCCGGACCTCCCCTGCATAACTTCGAAGAAGCCCTCTTACCCGACCTCGACGTGTCCTTCCCGCACCTCACTGCACCCATTGGCGGGGTCCCCTCCAGCGCCAGCGAGGATCTTCACGAACACCCCGAGCAGGCAGTAGGGAATGTTGACTGTCCCACATGCGGCGCGGACATGAAGGCCCTGGCGAAAGAAGTACCGATGAGCCATCATGTCAATTCGACGATCGTGTGCCGGATAAGCGGGGAGGTGATGGATAGTAATAATGAGCCGTTGGCGTTCCCGAATGGTTACGTCTACTCGAGCAAGGTGAGCACGAGTCCTACCGGGCACAAGGGGTCGAGCTGAGCAATTAGGCATTGGCGGAGATGGCCAAGAACAGCTTTGATGTGGTTACTTGCCCAAGGACGAGGGAGTCGTGCGCTTTTAGTCGGCTACGGAAGGTATACATCTCATGAGGGACACGATGGGATGGAGGATCAGGGGCGAGCTGTACGTATAGGTTGTATCTGTGTGATCATGTATCCTCTGCCCCTACATGTTGCTCTCAACAGCCGGAGCCAATACCAAGAGGGTGAAGCGGATATCCTCCCCTGCTTGAGCGATATATCTGTCACGGACAATGGCCGCTCCGTCCTATATATCAGCGAGTTCTGGACGTAGGCGTTCACTCCAGAGACGTACGTGCAATAGCGACGTACAAGGTCCTTGGTCGAACGGCCCAATCCTTGTAGCTCCGTCCAGCTCGATCACCCTCATTTCGCTCAAGACTTTCAGCTATTGTTCCCCCCGCCAGCCGGGTGGGAGGGATAGCTCACCCTTCGGTGTTCCTTGCTTCGACAAAAGCCAGGAAATGGCCATCCACGTTCAGATCCTCCGGGATGGCGCTCTGACCAGCTGTTGTTGCTGCCGTGTGCGCCTCCCTAAAGAAGTCCGCTTCTTCCAACAGCTTCTGACGGGCGGCCGCTATAAGATCAACTGCTGCTCAGGCGCTCAGGAGTCACAAGTTAGTGGAGCAGGGACTTACGGTCTAGACTGAGAGAGTCCTGCTTGAACTTGACGAGGGCTGAGTCGAGCTCGAGTACCCCATCAGGAAGGTTCAACAGCGCATGAAGCAGACTCATGGAGCCACACGCATTGGGTATCTGCGTGAGTATCAGCTATGAATTACCATTTCCGATATGCGCCTGGACCGTGGCTTACCGTCTGTCTCACCCACCATACATCCTCCCCTTTCCATGGCGGCGCATCATGGGCTTCCTTCAACCTTGTCGCATGGAGGCTATCTCCGCCTGGTGGATTGGGAAAGAGAAGGAGCACAGCCTGGACCGGCTGAGGGACATAAGAGAGGAAGTCGGGCTCAAGGGAGAGTAGGTCTTGGAATGTAAGGGCCTGCGGGAGTCCAAGGGAGTGCGCCCACTGCGTCCATCAGTGGTTTGCTGAGGGGCAAAGGAGGAAGGACGAGGATGGAAGGAATGGGCTATACTTGGTTGAACACCTATACTCCGTCAGCAGACTCGCGACAAGACATCAAGCTTGCTGTCAGGCTAGCTTTGGGGCTGAACGCTTACGTCGGGAGATGCCTCGAGCGGGACCCATGTTTCGGACATGGTTGATAACGGACGAGGAATGCGGAGTTGGGCTGGCACAGGATGTCGTCACTTCGCATGACGCAGCTGGGGGAGCGCCCAGCGGCCAGCGACAGGCAAAATGGTATGGGAAGCGCATTCTATAGGGAAGCGGTATATGTTGATGAAGCCGTTACATATCTCTGCTGATGTCACGTTCGCTCAAGTCTCGCTAGTCTTGCCTCTCCCCCGCGAGCACGATCATGTTGAAGTTGATATCGCCTCCTGCTCGAGCTATGTACTTGTCTCGGACGATATCTGCTACGTCCTATAACATTAGCTTTGACGGAGGACGTCGCTGAGTCGCTTTATGTACTCACATGAAGCAGTGATGTGCAGTCTCCGCGGTCGAATGGGCCCTTCCTGCCTCCGTCGAGCTCGACGACTCTCTTCTCCCTGGTGATATCAGCTTGCAGGCCGACGGGGATGAGCAGGAATCTTACCCCTTTCCGTTGATGCCCTCAATGAATGCGATGAAGTGCGTATCGACGTCCAGGTCCTCCGGAACGGCAGACTGGCCGTGCTGTGCCGCAGAAATATGGGCGGCCTCAAAGAAGTCTGCCTCGTCCAGCAGCTTTGCACGGGCAGAGGCTAGGAGGTCAGCTTGGGCTGGCAAGGTCACCTAAGCTCGGAGTAGCTCACGTTCCAGCTTCAGCGACTCCTTTTTGAACTTCATCAACGGCGAGTCTTCCTTCAAAGCACCATCAGGCAGGTTCATCAGCGCGTGGAGAAGACCGATGGATCCGCATGCGTTAGGGATCTGTCAGATATCAGCTGACTTTCCTTGGTTTCCATTGAGCACCATACAGGAAGGACAACTCACCGTCTGCTTGATCCACCACACATCCTTCCCATCCCACTCTGGCGCCTCAGCTTCCTCCTTCTCCCTCGCTGCGTGCAGCTCCCCTCGGCTAGGGAAGAGGAGCAAGACCGCCTTGACTGGCAGAGGGATATAGGAGAGGAAGTCCGAGTCGAGGGAGAAGAGGTCTTGGAAGGAGAGGGGGTGTTCGGGGAGACCGAGGGATTGTGCCCACTGGAGGGGTCAGCTTGGCGGCTAAGAGGGAGACGCGTGGTGATCAAACAGACGGACCTCGTTGAACACCTGTTTTTGTCAGCTTTCTAGCTTTCCTATAAATGCTACTGTGAGGCAGAGGTGAGCTTACGTCTGGAGATGCTTCGAGGGGTACCCACTTGGACGGCATGGTGTCTACTGATAAGGTGTGATCAAAGGAGAGCAACTTGGGAGAGCAGCAAGACAGCGCGAGCGCGGCCGGTGGAGGGGGAGCCATGACGTTGATGGGGAGGCCACGTGGTCCGATAGTGGCGCCTTACAGTGCTGTTTTGCCACCCCGGGCACGGCCGTACGTGCAAAAGCGGGCGGGGACGTCTGCTCTGCACCTTTTGGCTATGATGCACGGTATCCAGACGTCGGGGAGACTCGGTGCATCCCTGAGCATCTGTTGAACTGAAGTGATCGGAATAGGGGGAGCTTTGGAGTATATAGCCTACATATATCCGACTCCACCCAGGGATGTTTAGTACAAGAGTCAGTACATCGAAGATGCAGGTGCGAGTCCTGTAATATCCGCCACTTGGGAAATCGAACGCACGACTAAAAGGAGACACGGATATTACAGGACTCGCACCTGCATCTTCGATGTACTGACTCTTGTACTAAACATCCCTGGGTGGAGTCGGATATATGTAGGCTACATACTCCAAAGGTGATAGTTTCCTAAATCGCCAAAGCGAGATCATCGCGGCCACGAAGGACAAATCTTCCCCGTCAATCGAGACATGGTACATAATGCATGAGGTTCGCGATTCCATTTGCTATACTGAAACCTATAATATGTTTGCTACTCTTATACTTTTCGCTGGTCCACAGTCTCCACGCCTATTCAGAGGGTAAAAGCTCCTCGACCTCAATCCCAGCTAGCGCCGACGCCTCCGAGAGCGACGTGCCCGTCCCCTTCATCGACACCGACGACACCTGATCCTCACTCCCGACTCGTACCCCCTGCTCCGCGATATTAGGCTTCCCCACTCCCCCGGAAAGTGCAACCCTCTCTTGATAGTACATCTTCTTCTTCTTCCCCGTCACGGCTCCCCAGGCCGGCCGGTGGACGAGCGGGACGAAGCTATTGATCGCCCCGGTCGCCTTGCCCGCTTTGTACCGCCACCTCTCCGCATCCTTCCGCTTCTGCATTGCCTCCGCCTGCGCTTTTCTCGCATCCCCATCCCGCCGCTTAAACTCCAGCTTGTACCACTCCGCCCGGTGGGACGCCGCCGCCAGATCGTTGGATAGCCCGATATTCCGCTCGCGCAAAGTGTCGCGCTCCGACTGGAGATTGGTGATGTGTGAGGTGGACTTTCTGACGGTTTCGACCTGGTCTTTGAGGTAGCTGAGCTGGAGGTCGGACTCTTGGCTCAGCTCCGCAACGCGGGATGAGGACAATGCGATCTCCGCTTTTTTCTGCTCGAGAGTGGTGGTGAGGGAAGTAATGGTGAGATCGCGCTCGGCGAGGGTGGAGGATGACGCAGCGAGCTCGTTGCGGAGTTGATGAGAGGCTAGCCGTTCCTTGGCGAGAGCCATCTTGGCGTTGAGCAGGGTTTGACGGAGGGTAGCGGTATTGTCGATAGTCGAGTCCGCCATGAGCAGCTCCAGCTGGTCCGCCATGTCCGCCGCCCTGTCCCCTTGCGCCTTGGCCTCCGCCTTGGCTAATGCCAGCTCGGCTTCTAGCTCTTCCACCTTCTGAGCCGACTTCTTTCCTTTCTCCGTGGCAGCCCGAGCTTGATTGGTAGCCACCTTGCACTTGTTTTCCGCCTCCGCCAGTCTCGTCGCTGTCGCCTGTCCCTCGCGCTGTATCATGGACACCCTCGCCTCTAGCGCCGCCTTCTCCCCTTGTACTCGGCTAAGCGCATCGCCGGGCACTTTCCAGCTCCCCTCTGCCTGCTTCAACCCTGACCATCCGCCAACTTCATTCCCCGCGCCTTCCTCTTGTACACTACCCAGCTTGATCTCCCCTTCCTCCAGACTGGAGTCCGAGTTGACACCTCCCCCTGCCTGCTTGATCTGCTCTCGCATACCAGACATCTTGTTGTAGGCATAGGTGAGATCCGCCTCCTTGTGCGCGAGCTTCTGCCGTAGCTCATGGATGACTCGATCCTTGTTGGCGCGTAGGTATGGGGAGTATGAGGGGGGGACTTTTGCCAAGTAGGGGGAGATGCCGGGCGAATTGGGCGCCGAAGGAAGAGGGTGCTTCATCTGGGAGACGGGCGAGGCTGTCGGCGCGCTTTGGTGTACGTGGGAGGTGCGGGGAAGGGTAGCTTTTTGCTTGAACTTTCTGGGGTGTCGCGGTGGAGTGGCGACCGCTGCAGGAGACGCGCCGAAAGATGATGGTGGTGTACTGTTCGATGTTCCGGTCGGCGTTGTGAGAGGGACCGAGCGGGGAGGGGGGAAGTTGCGCTGCTTGCGAGGACCGGTTGGAGGGCCGCTGCGCTTCTTCGCCGGGAGTTCTTCTCAGCTTCAGCTCGGGCCTCAGATCATCTTGATCGTCTGACTGACCTGGCCCGCTGAGTACCTGACTGCTTCCCTCTAGCCTCTTCCTTTTCTCCTTCTTCTTTCCCTGACTCTGGTTGACGACCGCTTCTTTCGTTCCCGTACCCGAGCTCGTGCTGATGGCGACTTGGAGTGTGACGATCTCGCTCATTCTATGTGAGCGGTCGGACAGGCTGCTCTTTTTCGGGCAATTGTATCAGTGATTCCGATTGTGGTAGCTGTAAGGTATGGATGGGGAGAGGAAGAACGAAGCTAATTCGAATTTTGGTCGCGTCCCAGCTGATGGAAAGGAGGAGGAATGACGCGTGTGTGTTTCAGGGGAAAATCTGAAACATTAATCGAACGTGGCGGAATGTGTCTTGCAGAGTGGAGCATACAAAGTCACTCAGACTCGCGTATCACGCACAGGTATCGGCCATTTCATCGCAGGCCTTTCTAGCTCACTTCCTGAGTGCGTGGGACTGACCTGCCGAGTTGGGAGAGCTCGACCGACAGGAGACTTGTTCCCGATTCAGCGATCAGCTTCCGCACCCCATGGATATCGTCTCCGCTATCAACGAAGCCTCAAGAACCGTACCCGCCCTCCGCCTGCGCTCACTCTACTGGATCTGCACCTAGCTTCTCCCTTAAACGAACCAGAAACGACGATACTCATCGGTCCCCCAACGCACGCTTCTGCCACACCCCGCGCTGCACTCTACACCCATCGGAGAAGAGCGACGGAATGCCGTAATGACAGATCTCAGCTGGAGCGAGCCATGTGGAGCGATATCTATTCTCTCTTCCCACTATAATTCATCATGGATAAGGAAAAGCAAGAGCCGCTACTCGCCGACGAGAAGGGGCTCGTCGCCGTCGAGCATGGCGCTTCCACGGAACAGGACCGATCAGCGAAGGCCACTCGTGGGCCTTCTGCGCGGGCCCGGAAAGCCCTCGCGGCTGTGCTATTCGTGTGGGGAGCGTGGACGATGCTGGATGGGGTCCAGACTCTCCTCAAACATGAGCCAGAGATGGTGCCGTTTGGAGAGCTTGGCGGTACGGACGCAGGTCTGAGCGGATACTGGGCTGGCGTCGCGCAAAAGGGCTGGAGGGCGGCCGTCAAGTCTGGGAAACACCACCATGGCGATCACCACGACAAGCACCATCATTCCGGCAAGCACGGTCACCATGATCACCACGATCATCACGACCAGCACGACCATGATCACAAGCACAAGCACGGCAAACATGGTAAAGACGGAAAGCACGGTCATCATGGCGGACCCGATGAGCACCCTCACTTCTTCCCGCCCGGTCTTGCCGAGAAGGTCTTCCTCTCTGTGCCGAATAACAACAGCGTCCGAGCGTGAGTCCACCCTGCGACCTCCTGTACCCTTAACTGACATCCAGTGCCTCGCACCGATACACCGACCACGCGCATATCGCCGGATCAGGCTGGGACTTCCTCGACGCCGTCTCCCTCAAATCCGAATGGGAGCGCGCGCTTGGTCTCCCGGTATCGGGCCCCGAAGACTTTGTCTTCGAGGCTGGAAGCTCTGAGTCTCAAGCTCGAGTGTACAACTCCACTGGCAAGATGGGTGTTTGGGTTGATACGGTAAGTCCGTCCACATAGAGGCTTAGGAACGTGCTGAATTTCAGTACTACCCGGTCATGAACACCCCTGTTTCCTCCTTCGTCACCCTGCACTCTGACCCGCCTGTGCATGCCAAGCTAAGCGAGGATATCGTCGAGGGCGATCCGGACTCGATCCTCAGGGATGAAGTCCGGGTCTTCCATGGTCTGAGTGTCTCGGGGCATGTCAAGGGACAGTACGTCTATGCTGGGTATGGGCGGAAGAAGGACTTCGAGCTCCTGGAGGAGAAGGGTCAGTCGGCATGTCATCGAGGGGAGAATGTAAAGCTGATCATCGCAGGAGTTGACCTCAAGGGCAAGATTGTGCTGACCAAGTACGGCGGCGTCTTCCGCGGATTGAAGATCAAGGGTGAGACATGATCTCCCACTTTACTTCGCATGAATCGAGCTAATCGTAATAGCTGCCGAGGAAGCTGGTGCAGTTGGTGTCCTGATCTACAGTGACCCAGGGGATGATGGCGAGTTCACCGAGGAGCACGGTTACAAGGCGTACCCGGATGGGCCTGCTCGACAGGTAAGCTCGAGGCCCCTCACCCGCCTCTATCAGGCGTGGACACTAGCTGACATGAACAGCCCAGCAGTGTCCAGAGGGGAAGCGTGCAATTCGTCAGTATACCTTCCTTGACGAGAACAGAGTCGTAGCTGATCCTACAGCTGTCCAAGTACCCCGGTGACCCCACCACCCCCGGTGTACCCGCTTACCGCAACGCCACCCGTGAAGCCGCGTCAAGCGTCCCCAAGATCCCCTCCCTCCCTATTTCGTACGAAGACGCCCTTCCCATCCTGACTGCCCTCAATGGAAAGGGGATGAAGGTGTCTGACTTCGGGCAAGAATGGGTCGGCGGGCTCGAGTACAAGGGCGTCGAGTACTGGACTGGGCCGAGCGAGGTCGAGCTGGAGATGAGCAATGAGGTCAACACAAGAGTCATGCCTATCTGGAGTAGGTTTATGGCGTCTTCAGGGGAATTAGAGCTGACTGTCAGATACTATGGCTACTATCCCCGGACATATCTCTGATGAGGTAGTTATCGTCGGGAACCACCGAGACGGTGAGTTGGTCTGTTCCGGATATGTCGAGCTGCAGCTGATGATACAGCTTGGGTCCTTGGCGCCGCAGACCCCTCTTCCGGTACCGCCTCAATGCACGAGATGGTGCGCGGTCTCGGTGAGCTCGTTCAACAAGGTTGGAAACCTCTTCGAACTATCATCCTCGCCAGCTGGGACGCGGAGGAGTATGGCTTGATTGGAAGTACGGAATGGACTGAGGACTTTGGGGAGTGGATCTCAGCCCACGGTACGTGCTCCCCCTCTACTCCGCCGCATGACTCGAGCTGACAACTCAGCTGTCGCCTACTTGAACACCGACGTTTCTGTCGGCGGATCCAAGTTTGAAGCCTCCGCCTCGCCCGTACGTCCTTTCTGTACAGCTGATTAGCCAGACGCCAGAGCTGACCCATAGTCCCTCGCATGGCTCGTCCGCAATGCCGCCGAACAAGTCATCTCCTCCTCAAACTCGAGCAAGAGCGTCTGGGACGCCCGGCTCGACGGGAGCGACTGGCACACTTGGCGCGCAGAGGTACAGGGTTTGATGCCTGATGAGGCGGATGCTAGTGCCAGTTTCAGCGCTGGGCCCGATAACTGGGTTGGACCGCTGGGAAGTGGATCGGACTTTACTGCATTCTTGCAGCGATACGGTGTGAGCTACCTCCCGCCTGTAGGCGGACATCGAACACAGCTGACAATATAGGTTGCCGCGACGGACATGGGCTTCAAGGGTGAGTTTGCGAATGCCTGTATGCTGCGGACCGTAAGCTGATCCCGTAGGCGGACCCAAGGATGCGGTGTACCACTACCACAGTATCTACGACTCGTTCACCTGGCAGGAGAAGTGAGTTTACAATCGTGCTCGCCGAGTGGGATCAAGCTCATCTTTCAGGTTTGCCGACCCTGGCTTCCACAGGCACACGGATATCGCCAAGGTTCTGGGATTGATGAGTGAATCATGAGCTTCACTAGGCCATGTTCCTGCTGACTCTCGCAGCTCTGCGCATGGCCGATAGCTTGATCCTGCCCATCAACACCACTCAGTACTCGTACGAGCTGCTGTACTACCTCTCCAAGTGAGCTTCATGAATGACGGTCACTGCCAAGATCTGACATCAGCTGACACATACAGAGTCCAAACTATCGCCAAGGACGGCAACTACTCGTCCCAAGTCGACTTCTCGGCCCTCAACAGCTCCATCTACCACCTCATCAACTCTTCCCACACACTCGACGCGCACAAGGCTACCGTGCACAAGAAACTGCACAAGATCCTGCCTAAGCCCCCTAAGAAGGGCAAGAAGAGCGCGTGGAGCCAATTCTGGCCGAAGCGATGCGGAGGGAGCAGCTCGGGCGTCGGTCAGTTGATGGACCGGTGGAACGTCGAGTCTGGGTCGGAGGTGGAGAAGACGGGATGGCCAGAGATTCCGCATATCCCTGGTATGCCTCATCTACCTAAGCCCAAGGAGCCTAAGGAGCCGGATCACCCTCACCCGCCTACGCCGCCGCACCCGCCTCACCCGCCTCATGAGCCTCGCCCCCCTCACCCGCCTCATCCGCCACACGAGCCTCACGGACCCCACCCGCCACACCCGCCTCACCACCCGCACCACCCGCACCCTCCTCCCGCGCCGCCTTCTCTCCCCAAGAAGAAGATCGAAGAGATCAAGCGACTCCTCGCGGAAGTTCGGGCGATCAACGGTCTCCTCCAGTCTTTCGAAGGTGGTTTCATCAGCGAAGAAGGGATCAGGGACCGGGAGTGGTATCGCCACAAGGGCGTTGCTCCTGGGAAATGGCTGGGGTATGGCGCGACCACGTTCCCGGCTTTGACGGAAGGTGAGTTGTTGATCCTTACCTCGACTTCGCATACCGGGTGTATACGACACAGCTGACGCGTCAGCTATGACTATCGAAAAGTCGGCCAAGTTGGCGCAGGACGAGGCGGACGATTTGGCGAGGATGATCAAGAAGATGGCGCAAAAGCTGGACAGTAAAGCTTGATTTGCTGCACGTGCCAGCTCGCGATTCTCCCTAAATCCAAAGATGCATTAATGGATTGGCCTAGATACAATACAATACCCCCACTAACTAACCCACTGACCGACTAAGCATGTTACCGCATCCCCTTATCATACCCCATCTTGACCCACCTCTCCTCCGTCAACGCGGGATTCACCGTCCTCCGTTCAGGCTGTACGACCTTCCACCCTTGCACCCAACTTGGGAACTGCGGTCTGCCCAACGTAGAGAGGAGGACGTTGCTTAGGATTGAATCGGCCGCGAAGGGGTTATCGGGCCTTTTGGTCGCTTTGAGGAGATTGGATGAGGCTGATGCGCGGATTTGCTCGACGGTGGTGAGATTGTACAGGAGGAGCTGGGCGGTCAGCTCGATCGGAGTCACAGTCGTGGAAGAACGGAGTAGCTCACGCGGAGATGATATATCAGGAGGAAGCCAATGCCCGGTAGAACCGCCACACCAATGAGAAAGCTGACTGCTGCGCCCGGGCTCCGCTGTAGAGCTGTCCCGAATCCGATGGAATCGCCGTGACATAGCAGCGAGAAGTGGATGGCGGAGAACACGACCTGATAGATTGCCGAGATGAACTGCTGGTGTCAGCTTCTATGCCTTCTAAGAGCAACTGACAGCTTACCGCTGAAACGAGGAGAGTGAGAAAGGCCAGGTATGTCCGTTTCCCAACGCAGGTCTGGAGGTACGAGCAGTGGTGGTCGATTCCATCCACGCAGTTGCCGCACTATAGCATCAGCTTTGTTCCCAGAGCATAACTGAGCGACGAAACTGACCAAGCGGCAGTGACTAGCCCGAGGAGGTCGATAACTCCGACAAGTCTCGCAATACCGCACGACGACTCGACCCTGTTTGACTGCAAATTCCCGGTCGAGCGGCTGACGCCAGCTGTCGGTCTCGCCTTGAGACATCGGCGGACTGGGGTCTAAGTCCCGGGGTATGATACCTGCCTGGTCAGCTTTGTCTGACCGAATTCGCGTGACGGCCAGCTGACCTGGTTCTCTGAGGGATGCGGCGAGGAAGGAGGATAATGTCAGACCGAAGAGATACCTGTCGTGTCAGCTTTATGGCTCCGCATGTGGAACGGAAGCTTCGATCAGCTCACACAAAGATGATATCAATTGCTACCCCCCCTCCTTTGGCCATTCCATACTCCCCCGCATAGCGCCAATACCACACCCCTGTCGTCCCAAACCAGACCCCCGTGATCCCAAACAACAGCACAAGGACCAATCCCACCGAATACAGATTATCCCCGCCCGTCATCGCATGACCTTTGAACAGGAACGTCGACAGAGGATTCTCAAAGAGCTGGTACCGCCGCTGCGGCCGCTCCAGATTCCTCGAAGACCGCCGACTGGATCCGCGTTCGTGATACGACGGACGCCGAGGAGGGGACAGTTTGGCGTGCCGAGGATGAGCATGACCATGGCCCTTCTCCTCGTCCACGTAGGTCCCGGAGGAGGGGTACTGGTTATGCCGAGTAGGTACGAGATCGTCCGAGCTGTATTCGGCGTGGGTGGCGTGCTGGGAGGACTGTTCGGCGAGGCTGTGCCGAATATTTGGGGGCCGGCCATATATTGGCTCGGGGAAGCCACTGCTTGCGTGCCCGTTGGGCCTCCCGTCGCTCGTAGAGGCCGTATGAGGCAGATCCTCCGGCTCTCCTTCAGGCTGAGAAGGCAGACTTCCCCTTGCTTCCTCCGATATTCTCCCCGACTCCATGCCCACAAGTCCGGCATCTCCACCCTCGGCTGCTTCTTCCTCCTCCCCCTGCGGGTGCTGTTCCCTACTTGCGCTCGCCTCCCTCTGTCGCTGCTCCAGCCGAATGGCAGCCTTCGGCTTCTTTGGACTAAGAAACCCTCGATACAGAGGCAATGGTACGGCCGACCGAGCAGACATGGACGATATGGGCCGCTTCGCATCCGGCGAAGTCGGACGGGAGGTAGAGGAGAGTCTGGAGGTAGCATTGGAGGTGGAGCGGTTATGCGATTGGCGGCCCGACATGGATCTCGAGCGGTGGGATTGAGAGGTTGAGGGACCGGCCATTGGGCTGAGGCCATACTAGAGTGTCAGCTCGAGCACATCCCAGACGTGAAGGTGTCAGCTTACATATTCCCTGGTCTCAATCAAGCTATCCCTCCCATGCCCCGAACCAGGCTCGAGCGGCTCAGGACTGCTCACTCGGACGCTCGAGCTCCTCTGCGTCGCAACATCGGTAGCGCGACCCGATACGGGGGACGGGATATCCCGCAAGGGGATTTCTTGGAATACCGCTGTCATGTTGAGGTATTTGAGAGCGAGAGCATGGTCAAGTGCTAGTGTTGTTGCTGTGATGACGAACGAGAGGTGAAAGGCATGTCTCAGCTTGAGTTGCGCACCAGCCCTCGCCCTCTGGTGGACCTGAAACTTTGACGCACGGGCTAGGGAATACAAAATTGATTCTAATGAAATAGGCTTTTTTATTAGCGGGATAAGAACAAAAGTATTAGCGGAGTCAGATCTCCCTTACCTATATCGTCATCGGCCTGCTCGACCGACCAGGCATGTCCGCAAGCAGCAAGGTATCTTTCTATCTCCCCACCCTTGTCCTATATTCTATAGACCATCTCACCTACTCACAATACTCACATAGCCAACATGGGTGAGTTGTGATATGGACAGTAGTTCGCGGTGAACGGCAGCTGACTGTTAGGCATTTTCTCTCACCACGCTGCCGACGATGTGACCGTCACGGCCACCTTCCCCGAGTCCAACACCTTCGGCCGTTCGTTTATCGTTCACATCTGACCGTACACCTGTGCTGATGAGGCAGAACTGGTCAACGGCCAGAGGAACGACCTCTTCATCCACCTTGCCAACAACGGGAAGAAGAACTATACCCTCGTTTCTGCCGGTGCGAGCTACCACGACCCTCTGCGGAACTGGGCTTTGGTACGCTTTCTGTTTGCACTGCAGAGCTGTAGGAAATGCTGATTGTTATAGGTCAAGAATCAGACAATCACTCGGTTCGGCGTCCCTCTTGTGTCCGGATCCAACTACTCTGCGCCTTTCAACGTCTACTCCGAGTGAGTATTCATTCCCCTTGTCCCCATATTCTCTGCTGACTTCTAGACACCGCCCCTCCGAAGTCGGTCTCACCGTCTGGGTCAACCTCGCCGACGGCACAACCAAGGAGATTCTTCCCATCACCGCCTTCAACCAGACGGTCTCGGTTGTCGAGCCCCCTCTGAGCTGGATCGACCCGTCCCTGCTCCTCGTCTACTCGCTCCTTCTCGCTGCACTCGGTGCCGGCGCATGGCTCGCCTACAACTCGTTCATGGGCAACCAGGCCGGCAAGAAGGGGTCCAAGCGGACCGTCAAGCGCGCAGTGGTCGTTGCGAAGCAGGAAAACCAGGTGTATCCCGACGTCAAGCCGTATGAGGAGGAATGGATCCCGGCGCACCACCTCAAGAGCGGGGGCAGCAAGTTGAAGAAGCGGGGTGGGAAGGGTGTGCCCGGGGCTAGCTCGGGCGCGGAGGAGTTGACGAGTGGCGGAGAGGTGACGAGTGGGGCGGAGACGAGCGGTGCTGAGGGCAGGAAGGTCAAGGGGAAGAAGGGGAAGAAGGCATAGGGGCCGGAGATGATTAAAAGTAAAATATACACGTCTTAATATCTGTTGATCTTGTTCAGTCTGGTGACCGAAGGGAGCTCTAGGTTCTCACCGGCAGCTAGCTGCTTTGCCTCTTCAGTGGACGACTGTGAACCACCCATGGCTCCTATGGACGGGAGCAATTGCTGTACCTCCACTTGCTGTGCCAAAAGTCGAACACCTCCATCTACGCCCTTCAATCGTTCAATCATCCCATGATATTAGCCCCTACGATGTCGCTCAGACTTATCCGACCCGCTGCCCGTGCTCTGCTGAACGCACGATCCGCAATTCCCGCTCGGATCGTAGCTGTCGCTCCGCGAGTCGCTGCACCTGCGTTCCGATCCTTCTCCATCTCTCAACGGAGATTAGGGAACGGCGAGAGTAAGTCTGGCTGCTTCCATGCGCTCTTCATCTATGGTGGTATGAGGATAGGACTCGTCAGCTAACATGATAGGTGATGCAGTTCTGTCCGCTGCTATCTCTGCAGAACACGCCTACGAAGTGCAGGAGACCAGTGCCCAACCCGAGATCCCCGAGTTCCTCGATACATTCCGCTCGAACAGGACGTGGGAGATCCAAGATAATCCAGGGGCGGACGATGTCGTCCTCACCCGGAAGTTCGGGAGTGAGAGGTCAGCTTCACCCCTTCGGACGACACGTGGAGCACAGCTGACAGACCAGCTTGAAGCTCACCTTCCAAATATCCGATATCGACCCCCTCGCCGAAGAGGAAGACCCCGACCACGTAGCGGCGCCAGTAGCCGACGAGGGCGCAGAGGACGTCGCGGCAGAGGACACCCCGCCTTACATTACCGTCTCGCTCGTGATCTCCAAGCCGGCTCACCCGAACGCGATGAGCGTGGATATGGAGGCGGGGGAGGAGGGCATGGTGATTACGAATGTGGCGATGTTTGAGAGGGGGGTCGCGCTGGCGGAAGGGAATGAGGGGGATTGGGTCAGGGGAGGACGGTACATGGGGCCTCGTAAGTCGATAGGAAGAAGTGGAGAGGGGGAGAGCAGGAGCTGACGGGCAGAATTCGAGCACCTCGATACTGGCGTGCAGGATTCTTTCCAGGCTTATCTGGCCGAACGTGGAGTCGACGATGCTCTTGGTGCGTTCCAGATCTTGTGACTTTACTTGAGCCCAGCTGATCCGCAATAGCTCAGTTCATCCTTCAATACGCAGAGTACAAGGAGCAGCGGGTAAGTGTTCACTGTTTCAAATATGGCCACCGAACCATTCGGGCTGTGCTCCTTTCCGCCCACTATGCATGACACCGAATGTAAGCTGACCCAACTCAGGACTACGTCAGCTGGCTGGAGCAGGTGAAGGGCTTCGTTGACCAGTAGGAAAGCAGAATGAGGAGAGTAAGGAATGAACATGACGACCCATCATGTATAGAGCATGCACTTCTCAGATCATTCCCTTCTTCGCTATATGCCGTGTGTGGAAACGGGCGCAGTGAAGCAATCCATAGCAGACTATATATCCTGCTGGGCGTGCTTCGCAGCCGCCAACGCCGCGACCAACCTCCCATTCCCAATCCACCCTTCCTCGGTCTTCAAATCCCAGCCCCAATCGCTCGTCGCCATCCTCACCGTCGCCGTACCCAGATCGGCCGAGTTGATGACCATCGATGGATAGACTGCTCGGAATACCGCCCCCAGCGCAGGTAGGCCTGTCCTCATGAGAAAGCTCATTTCCGGGCGGTGCTATAGGCAGTCAGCTTCACACAAAGTCTCACGGAACGACGGCACACACCTCAACTATAGGGATGATGCCGCCGGGTCGCACAGAGACCGTCCTGAACCCCTCGGTCTCCGACAGCCGGATCTCCTTCTCCGTCCGGCCCTTGATGTTCCCAAAGAGCGTTCGGGCTTTTTCGGACTGATCTGCCCCTTCGCCCGAGATAAAGATGAATTTGAAAGGCTGAGAAGGGGTCCCGAGCGTCGATAGACCCTTGACGAAGCTCATCGTGTAGTCGTGCGTTATTCTGTCCTTCAGCTCTGACTCCTTCTTGCTTCTGGAGCGAAGACATACTTGACATATTCCTCCTTGGAGACCTGAGTCTGACTGATCCCCAGTGCCCAAATCACACCAGTATGTCCTCTGAGCTTCTCGACCAGGTCGGTCGGGCACGCGTCAAAGCCTGAGGGGTGCTCGGCAGAGGGAAGGAGGATGGTTGATAGTTTGGGGTGGGAAGTGGGGACGGGTCGGCGGGAGAGGAGGGTCACTTGAGTGATTTGAGGAGAGGCGAGGGCGGCTGCGAGGATGCCTGAGCCGGCTGAGATGTTAGTATCCTATGTAGTGGGGAGCTGGGTGCGAAGGGAGGAAAGGCGACCGGGAGAAGGCTTACCGTTTCCGGTTGCTCCGGTGATGATGAGTTTCATATTACTGAAATGGGCGTCCTTGGGTGTGAGCGAGGGTACCCTAGCAGTGCGATGGCTGGGACTGGTCAGTATGAGTATGAGCTGGAAGTAGGACCAGGTTGATGTATGGTTATGCGTTAAAAATGCAGCCCTGCGACCAGCGGTATCTTCATGCCCGTCGGCGTCGGCCAAGCGTCGGCCCAGGTCAGTAAATTCAGTCAAAGGACGTCTTTTGGACCACCGACACCCTGCTCACTCTCGCCTATACGACCTCCTTCTCCGAGTGGGTCGCTGACCACCTCATGGGTCGAGTCTGTGGTATCATTCGGCATCGTGATGGGCATGCTAACACCTTATAGTCACCTTATCGATGACCCTTCGAGCAAGATCTGGATCTCCCCTGCCGAGCTTGCTAAGCCTTGGCCGAGGAGACCCCACACGCTCGGCCTTCTTAGCGTTACGGCATCAGGCACCTCGGCCTCGGTCTTGCGCCTTGCCGCCACATCGCCGCGTCTCCTCTTGCGAAAAATAGCTGACCAAGCACCGCCTGGAGCATGCTGAGTAAGGGTGCCGCGGACCCGCCCGCGGCGGCTGACCGCTGACTCTACAGCTGACTGCGTGCCTGCGTGCTTACTGCGGTCTCGGCCGCGCGGGCCCGATAGGTGGCTGATTCAGAGATTATCAAGATTACGCCATTAATTGCCGCTGCCGCGGAGACCTGCGGCCTGCGGAGCCGCGTCCTCGGGCCCTACAGCCTTGGGCCTTGGTATTTCGACTCGGCGAGGGGACGTGGAGGCCGAGCCTGCGAGGTGTATAAGACAGAGGTATGTCCTGCCCTCTTCCCCTCGTCCCACAGCAGCAACAACAAGCATACCGCGCCAGCACAATTACGAGTACCTACTCTAAACATACCAATCACAACTTGACGCAATGTCCAGCACTACCTCCACCTACCCCCGCCCAGGCACACCCTTCCCCTTTTCCCACCCTGCCCCTCCACCACTCTCTCACCGACGCTCATCGGCTACCCAACCCCCTCTGCACTTCGCCGTACCCACCCTCCCGAGCCGTACACCGCCCAGCCTCCTCAAGCGCTCTGGGTCCACCAGCACCTCCTCCTCCGGCTCTGCACCTAAGTACGCCCGATACACCCCTTCTTCTCCTCAACTGCCCCAAACCCCTACCCTCTCGGGCCGCCGGAGCTCCGCCTCTTCCTCCTGCTCTAGCAGCTCCAGCTCCTCCCGCTCCCCCGTTCTCTCCACCCCGGTCCTTCACCCACACAACCCGAACCTCGAGGTGGACGTCGAGATCCTCCTGGACACACCGACAGTCTACGAGTCTCCCTCGGAGTCTCCCTTTGCGCGCAAGTACCCTCTCGCGGGAAGGCCAAAGCTCAGCCGGGGCGCTGCGGTGCCTCTGCCACCATCTACCGGGGCGGCGTTCGTGAGGCCCAAGTTGACACGGAGGGACACACCAAGGCCCAAGGCGGAGATGCAGATGTCGGGATTGGAGGACCAGAGGGGGCGGACGCAGAGGCAGGGGAGCTATACGTCGTTGGTGGATGGGGGGAAGTGGGTGGTCGTTTGAGCAAAAGAGGGGAATATATATAGGGGATCGGCCATAGTTGTATAATACTTGTGAGGATTATAATCTTGTATCAATAGGTAGACGCGGAGTCGACGATACGCAATGATAGGTAGCAATGATAAGATGAATCAGTACCACTCTGCAACACGATCGGGACAAGCAGCATGACACTCTAGATGCGGACCAGAGCTGCAGCTCGAGTATGAGTTTCGCATTCCCTAGACTTATTGCGACCTACTCGAGTAGCTGGCTGCCGAAGGAGAGGGAAACGCCTTGAGACCCCACTGCACCGGATCCCAATCTTCCAGCGACATCAGGACCTGCGCAGCTCCATAGTCCTCATCCGGCGCCAAGGCGCGGAGGTTCGGGTCGGGTATCCAGATTACTGGGAGGGTTAGCTTTCCCCATGTTATGTGCAGGCTAGGGAAGGGACGTACCGTTCATACCGGCGGCTACACCTGACTTGACGCCCTGATACATCAGCCTGTGCTCAGACCCTCTTATGTGGAGCGGCTTACGGGGACAGCATCTTCAAATACTATAGCTCGTTTCCGTTCTTCCCTCTGAGCGTCCGTGCATGCCTCTGCCGTTCCTACATCTCGACCTAGAATATTAGCTCTGGCAGCAGTTTAGTCGTGAGCACTAGATAGGACATACCCAGTGTAGCAGCGGCAGCGAGGAAGATATCAGGGTGTGGCTTGCCCCTACCTGGCTTGACGGACGGAGAGTCGGCAGTGACGATACAGTCTGCGGGGAAGAGGGAGAAGATGTGCGGTAGGTGGCCCTGGCAAGTCAGCTATCGCATGGGCGCAAGGAGCAGCGGTGTGTGAGCTGACCGTTTTGTACAGGAAGTTCTCGTACGTCGATCCGGTAGCCAAAGCCAAGGGCACCCCTTGCGCATGCTATCCCATCAGCAGTGGCCCGCGGAGAAGGGGCGAAACAAGTCGAGGTCGCTCACCAGGCTCTGCACGAGGTGCACCGCTCCAGCCATAGGCGGCACCTTTTTGAACAGCGCCTGTTGCATCTCGTTCCGCTCGTCGAGGTACTCATCCGCCGTCATGTGCTCCTTGACGTCCGGATAGGCCGCGAGGATGTACTCGGCCGCTTGCCGTTGGACTGACAAGATCAGCCACGAAGCAGGGTATTGGGGACCATGGGAGTCACCTTTTCCCATCACGCCAGCTTTGACCTCCCAGGACAGGGTATGGCCATACCGACCGAGAATAATATCTAGCCAACCGTTAGTCTCTTCCGGCCGAAAACGCTTGGGAAAGAAGCGTACTCGTGACATCGGTATAGATTCGCTGAGTCCATCAGTATCAGCCATGATGGAATGCCATTAGCACTCACTTCGGAGTCTCTGTAAGAGTGGACGTCAGTCTGCAAGCATAGATAGGTCAGAGTGTCGCGGGCTCACACTTCACGATCAGCTCGATTCGCACGTGAGATCTGAGATGCGCTGCAGCGATGGGGCCGATCAAACGCACTTAGCAATCCATCCATGTCAAAGATAGCATACTCCACTACGGGGTAGCTGGTGGTACTTGAGGATGAGGTCGCCATGATGTCTAGATTGAAAGGTGGATGCTGCTTGTGCTCGCTTCGGTTGGGCGCGAGGTGTGAGGTGTGAGGTGTATCTAAAAGTGCCTCCCACTTATCTATCTCTGAGATCGACCAGCGACAGCAGCGACAACTCCTCGCACTCTATCGAGTATAGCCTCTGCATCGTCAACATCCATAACCTCTCACAGGCCCCCTAGACCCGCCCGAGCCGCCATCATGCGCCTCTCCGCTCTCTCAGCATTTCTCCTCCCATTTTCCCTGCTCCTCGCCACCTTCGCCCAAGCCCGCTCACATTCCGCCTCCTCGCAGCAAATCCAGGTCTATCTCCACCCGTCCCCTTCCTCCCCTCATGCATCCGCACCGACATTATCAGCCGACCAGGCCAAGGCGGTGCTGAACCATCATCTAGGCGCACACGCCAGTGATTTCGACGAGATGCCGGCGGATGAGGGGATGTGGGGCCATCTCATGGGTATCTGGGGTGGGAGGAAGGAGGTCGATGGGGCGAGGATCGTCATTGTGGATGGAGGGGTGTCGCCGCAGGGTGAGTGCTCGACCTCACTGGACTGGGGAGACTTTTTGTCCGCGGACATGGTGCTGATATCCCAGCTGTTTTGCCCACAAATCTGCAACACGAACCGTCGTTCTATCTCCAAAACGACGATGACGCTGCTTCCCTGTTTGCGCCTTATCTCGAGCGCGCACAGTCATTCTTCAGCGAGATACTCGCCAAGATGCCCGACTACGTCAAGGACTTTGTCGATGGCTTGGAGATGACCGGTACAAGTACGTCTAGTCCCCTTGTCCTCAATTTCTCTAGGCTCTTATCCTTTGTCCAGATTCATAGTCCATGTTGTTGGAAATCCCACGCTGACAAGATCTAGAAGCTGCAGCTGCTCTCCATCAGGAGCTGTCGGCTCTCATTGCGCTGTCCGAGAAGGAGCTCATCCCATTCTTGGCAAACCTGCGTACGAGCACGTGGGAGGCTGTCCGGGTCAGCGGGCTCGCAAACGTCAAGGAGGGCAGCGAGGAATGGGAGGAGGGGACAAAGAGCGTCCAAGCTGGGCTCCAGGCGGTATGTCTACTTGCTCAACACTCGCACGTTCTGCCCTGGCTGTCGCTGGGTAAGTATGAAGAGCACAGTTGATGCGCCATAGATGTCTCAACCCGACTCGCCACCGCTCATGATCATCATCATGCCCCAGCAGTCCAGTCAGGCCACCTTCCACTCCAAGCGCTCCATCAACACCATCGAAGAGCGCTCATTCAACGACTCCACGCCCGTGTGCTACAAGTCCAAATCGGCCTGTTCGGACTCGACATCCTGCTCGGACCACGGGTCGTGCACCATGCTTGGCCAAGTCGGGGACAAGGAATGCTGGGGGTGCAAGTGCAGCTCGGGGTATGCTGGATCAGAGTGCCAGAAGGCGGACTATACCATGTGAGCTAGGTACACCTCGGACCAGGCGAGAAAGTAGCTGATGTCGTTTAGTCCCTTTATCATCATCGTCTTCTCGACTTTGCTGTTGATGTCGCTGGTAGTGGGCAGTATCGCGTTGTTGATGACCGTCGGGGACACGAAGCTGCCCAGTACCCTAACGCTGGCGGTTGGGCATGCGAAGCGGGATTGAGCGGCGGAGGTGTAGCGGAGATTCGATGCAGATTGTGCTGATCATCCGGGTCGTTGATCTTCTGTGTTGTTCATGTGTGTGCAGCTGTCTGTTGCTCGGCTGGCCAAAACCTCCGTCGCTAGCTCGCCGTCATCAGCTCTCAGCAGCTGGACTTGATATAGGAGCGGATGGCTAGCGGAGATTAGCCTGAAATCCGCGCGGCTAGGTTAGCGGGTAAGTTGAGCGGGCCGGAGCCGATATCCGTCACTTACCGTCGACCAAGAGATGGTCCACTTTTGCCCAAGCTATAAGGCGGGGAGGGGCAGTGGCCCCAGCAAGCGTAATCTCAGCAGCTCCCCTACGCTTAACCGGTACAAAAGTGACTTGAAAAGAACAGACAACAGGGAGCGAATCCAGCCAACCCAAAGATTGTCCTTGCGAACATGTCCGCCCGTACGTCTCCCTCTTGGTCACAGCTCGCCGCGCTACCTCCCCTTGGCACAGCTGACGGGACAGACAAACACGTTCTCAATACCCCCCAGACCTTAGTGGTCGACTCGCTCAAGGGCTTGGTCGCTTTGAATCCCAACATCAAGCTTGATGAAGCGCAACGGGGTACATCCTTCTCATCCCCTCTCTGCCTGACCGGACTCAGCTGACTTGCAGTCATCTACCGCCCTACCGGCGCCGAGCCCCGTGTCACCCTCCTCTCCGGCGGTGGATCAGGGCACGAGCCTGCCCATGCCGGGTTCGTCGGTCCGGGCCTCCTGGACGCCGCCATCTGCGGCAACATCTTTGCGTCCCCGAACGTCGCACAGATCAGGCGCGGGATCGACCTCGTCAGCTCCCCCAAGGGGAGCTTGGTCGTGGTCATGAACTATACAGGGGACGCTTTGCACTTTGGGCTGGCGGCAGAGCAGTATAGAGCTGGAGGCAAGGGGGACGTTAGGGTCGTCATGGTGGGCGATGATGTTGCGGTGGGCAAGGTGCAGGGTAGTATTGTCGGACGACGGTGAGTTCGGTCAAGGTCAAGGAGAGGATCTCGAGGTCGTAGCTGATGATCTAGAGGTCTCGCTGGTACTATCCTCGTGTATAAGCTTGCTTCTGCTCTGTCGGACAAAGGTGGAGATCTGGACGAGTGCGAAAAGCTCGCCAGGTACGCGTGTACCCGTCTTGGTACGCTCGGTATTGGGCTAGACCACTGTCATGTAAGCTCTTCCACTCGCTAGCCTCCCCTTTGTGAAGAGTAAGAGTGGGATGCTGACGACCAGGTACCCGGTACCAAGTCCGGCGAGTCCCATCTCGGCGAGAACGAGTTTGAACTCGGTATGGGCATCCACAACGAGTCCGGTACTTCCAAGCACGCCCTCGGAACTACCGCTGAGCTGGTCGACCAGATGCTGTCCAAGATCGTCGATACGACCGACACAGACCGCTCTTTCGTCCCTTTCCAGAACGACGGGTCGGACGAGGTCGTCTTGCTCGTTAACGGTCTTGGCGCCGTATCTGAGCTGGAGATGGGTGGGATCGTCAATGAAGGTATGTCCTCTGTTCTGTGAACAAGTCTGAAGGGGAGAAGCTGATAGTATAGCCAACAAATGGCTTGCTGGCAAGAAGATCAAGGTCCGACGGATCATGAGCGGGGCATTCATGACTTCGCTCAGTATGCCCGGGTTCTCGCTCACGCTGCTACTCCTGCCCCGATCGGGCGACAAGGACGGGTACTCGTCCGACCAGATTCTGTCGCTGCTGGACGCACCCGCTAGTGCGCCTGGATGGAAGTACTATGCTGCTACCGAACCCGGGGTGGTATCGGAGGAGAAGGAGGCGGTTGCGCACGCTCAGGCGGCCAAGGAGGTGGATCTTGCTCGTAAGTCCAGTGTTCGCTGCTCAGAAGGTCTCGCTAACGTTCAGCACTCGACTCGAATGCCTTCCTCGCTGCCATCACTCGCGCATGCCACGCACTCATCGAGGCCGAGCCGGAGCTTACCAAGCAAGACCAGATCGCTGGGGATGGCGACGCTGGTCTTACGCTCGAAGCCGGCGCCAAGGGCATCTTGAACGCTATCAAGGATGGCAAGATCAAGGGCCAGAACGTCATTGAGGATGTGGGCGTGATTGCTGAGGTCGTCGAGGAGGACATGGGCGGCACGAGTGGGGCTCTCTACTCGTGAGTTGTATTTCAATCCACCTTATTCCGGGTCCATTGGGAGTGGGACATCTGCTGACGTTGCAGGATCTTCTTTGCTGGTCTCGGTCGATCCCTTCGCGAAGCAGCGACTTCGGGCTCAAAATCTACGACCCCGGAAGTATGGGCCAAAGCTGCCTCGGACGCGCAGGAGACGCTATACAAATGTACGTCCCGTCTTTGATTGTGCTGGAGGCTGGAACTGACGTGTAGACACTCGCGCTCGACCTCCATCGCGTACCCTCGTCGACCCGCTGGACGCATTCACCGCCTCCCTCCCTTCCAAAGGTCTCTCTTCTGCCGCCGACGACGCCTACGCCGCCGCGGAGAAGACCAAGGAGCTGGTCGCCAAGGCCGGAAGGGGTGCGTATGTCAACCAGGAGGATCTGAAGAAGCGGGAAGTGCCTGATCCGGGAGCGTGGGGCGTGTGGAGGATCTTGGATGGACTGAGGGGATACGAGGCGAAGAAGTGAACATTATAACAGGTCGATCTGTGCGAGATGCTATTTACATACTGAGAATCCTATGTACAACGGAAGTGACTATACTACAGACCTAGCTAGTGCTACAACGTTCGTTAATTGATCAATCGTCATCCTCCTCCCGGCTACCACTGAAATGCCCTTTCCTTCAACTCCCTTCAAGCTCCACTGGACCTCGCCCATACACCCCTTCCTGATCACTCAAGCGCCAACACACCGAGCCGAGCACGAGCCAAGGGAAGACATTGCTGAAGATATCAGTAGATATTTTGACAGGTCAAAGCGAGGAACTCACATGTAAGACGATATGACAAGCAGATCCGGTATAGGATGCACGTGTACAGAAAAGACATGAGGTGGCTGCATAGAGGAACCTCTGAGCGAAAGTCGAGCTCGATGCGATCTTGTCGTTGGATCATGCAGAGGTGATTGCCGTCGAGGGTGCGTGGTGTTCTGGGTCGTCATCCGGTAGCATGGATTGAGGCTGTATGGGGTCATCAGCTGAGGCAGAGCTCGGCTGGGTTTGATCTATATGATGAGCGAAGCTCAGAACAATGACGATGTGAATCAGCTTACCAGCTAGCTTTGCCGCCAAGAATCGATGGAGCTTCCCCAGATTCTCCCTCAAATCGTCATTCTCTTTCTCCAGCACCAGCGACACCTGCAGAAGGTCCGCAGCCTCCGCCTGAGACTGGGCTAGCTGTTTGGCGATCTGATCAGGGTCAGCGCTTGCCCCACGTGGTTGACGAGCTGCACTCACAGAAGCATCGTCGGCTGCAGGCCCACTGACAGAGAGCAGCTCGGCGCAAAGAGCAGCTGTCGCCCGCTCCTTCTCCGCCACCCGCATCGCCTCGAGCTCCTCTTGCAGGACGGCTCGAATCTTCTCGAGATCTTCCGCCTTGGCGCGGAGCTTGGAAAGCTCAGCTGCTGACGCAGATGCGGTCCGCCGACGTGACTCCTCCGCCATCGTGACGTCCGCGAGCGCCTGCTGGGCCTGGGATTGAAGCAAGTTGACTTGGGCGGTAAGAGCCTCGACCTGCTTCCGGAGCGTATCGACCAATTGTTGCCGGTGGTGCTCCTTGACGGCCGCAGCATCGAGATCATGACGCAGCTTGACCACAGTCTTGTCGACCTCCCCTTCGAGACGGATCACCTCCGCCTTGAGTGCCGCCTCGTGCTTCTCCTCCGCCATCTTGAGCTGCTGAGCGAGACTGGCCTTCTCCTCTCGCAGCTGCTCCCCTTCCGCCATGATGTCCGCTAGCTGCGTCCGCATTTCCCCCACATTCGTCGACGACTTGCCCGCCTGCACCTCGTGCTGGCCAAGTCGAACCTGCTGCTCCTGGACGGTTTGAGCAGCAATGTCAAGCTTGGCCTGCAGACCCGCGACTTCCGCCTGGAGGGTATCGACTGCGCGTTGCTTTTCGACGACCTCTAGAGCAGCCTTGGCGAGGCCATTCCGAGAGGCAGCCGCGTCCGATTCGGCCGTCTTGGCCGACTGTTTGCTGGCGTCTAGCTCGGCACGAATACCCGCTAGGTCCGATTGGAGGAGCTTGTTCGTTCCCGCCAGCACTCCAATGTCATTCTGCAGGCTTGCAAGCCCCGATGAAGTGGCGGCCGCGCGACCGACGGTCGTTTGGGCCTGTTTTTCGAGGCGCTGGACTTTCGCTTCCAAGCTCTGAACGTGGGCGCGCCTTTTCGTTGCCTGATCAGCCGCATCATTCGCGTACCGTTTGGCCGAGTTGAGTTCCGACTGAAGGCGAGTGTCACCCTCCTCGAGGGCACCGATGTACTTTTGCCTCGCGGCTAAGTCAAGCTTGACCACCTCGAGCTCCTTCAGCCGAACGGCCGCCGTGGCACTAACAGCCAGCAGATCCTCCGACGTAGTCCGAAGCTTCACGTCCCGATTTTTGACGTCGACTTTGAGCCCGTCGATAGTAGACTGGTTCCGACCGATGGTGATCCTTGACTCGTCAAGCTCGGCTTGTCGAGCCGTACGCTCCGACCTCGCAGTCTCTGCATCCCGGCCTGCAGTGGCAATTTGCGATCTGAGATGGGTGATCTCGACCGCATGCGAGTCGACCTCGGCTAACTTGGCCGTGATCACCGCGGTACCGGCGGCGAGCGATTGTCCTAGGTCCGCAATGATTCCCGCCGAGGCCTGAAGCTCCTCCCTGATCTGCCTCTCAGTGGCCACCAGCTTCTCCTTCTCTTCCTTCCACTCGATCGAGGTCTGCAATGCGAGCTTCTCCGCATCGGCAAGCTGCTTACGTTGCCCCGAGATCGTGATGGTTGCCGTGGAATGGACCCGCCGGAGCATGCTCAGTTCCGCACTCAAACCGTCCTTCTCCCCCCCAATTCGGCTCATCTTACTCTCCGCCTCCTGCGCCGAAGCCGCCATAGCCACCTTGTGCGCTTCCCGCAGCTTGGTCATCTCCGCCTTCGAGCGCTCCACCGCCGACTCCAACCCCTTCAACTTCTCTTCCGCTTCGCTAGCGGAAGACGCGCTCGCCGTAGCTGCGGCTTCATGAACTCGTCGTAGCTCGCCCAGCTCAGCTTCGAAGCGCTCCTTGTCCTCCTTCATCCCCCTCAACCTCTCCTCTCCTACCCTCGCCGCCTCGACAAGTTCATCCCGCTTTGTCGTACCGGCCGCTATCGCCGCCTTGTGCTCCTTCTTCGACGTCTCCATCTCGGCTTGCAGCCCCGCGCACTCCGCCATCCGCGCGTTGACGTGCGCCTCGGCAAGTCCCGCTCGCGCGACCAACCGCTGGAGGGCAGTTTCATTCTCCTCGGCCGCCGCATCCTGCGCCCGAATACGCTCCGCTTGTTGACCGAGCTGGTCCGACAGCGCCTGCTTGTTGGCAGAGATTTGGTCCCGAGCGAGGATGACGGTCTTGATCTCGGTGGTGAGACGATCCAGTTCACACTGCAGGGACGCAGCCTTAGCTGTCTCCCCTGCAAGAGCGACAGCTTTGGCCTCGAGATCGGCCTGGACAGTCGCCAGAGCCGAGCGAGCGTCATCAGCCGCGGAGCGATGTATGTCCAGCTGTGAATTCGCCATTCCAGTCCGTCGCACGAGCTCCGCCTTGTCTGTCTTCATTACCTCCAGCTCCAGCCTCATCCTCTCCGCTTGCGCCCGCTCAACTTTCAAGACCTCGATATCCGCCTGGCCCTTCTTGACTTCCGCCCTTGCTTTCCCCAGCTCGAGGACCAGCGCACCGAGCCGCTTTTGCGCCGTTTCCGCCGTCCCTGCTTGATTCGACAAGCGAGCCTCGAGCAGCTGCATCTTAGCGGCATGGTCTGAGGCCTGGCGCTCCGCTCCTTTCTGCCAGGTCTCAGCTGACAGCTGAGCGCCTTCCTGCATCCGGACGAGGTCCGCCCGCAGTGACGCCACGAGGGAGTCCTTCTCAGACAAGTCACCGGTCTGGACGTCGACCGTCTTTTGGAGGTTCCGGATGGTATCGTTGGCAGTTTCGAGCTCGTGCGCATTGACTCTTTGGCTTTGAGTGGACGCGACGGCAGTGTCGCGTTCGCCGAGTAGACGAGCAATATCCTCCCGGAGCTTGTTGACAAGTGACGAGGACTGGGAAGTCTCGAGCGAATGGTTGATGACGCTTTGCTGAAGCGCGCCGATACGGGCTTTTGCAGACTGCAATTCTGCCTCCTTCTCGTCGACCGAAGCCTGCAGCTGCTGCTGTACTTCACCCGAGCTCTTCTCCGCCAAAAGCGCCCGATCAAGGTCTTGTGACAGACCGAATTTGTCGGCCGCCAATTCCCCAAGTTCGGCGTCCAAAGCATCCGCCTTGACCTCCGCCGCCTCGAGCTTTGCCTCGGCCGCCGCCGCCCGCGACTCACCAGCCTCTGCTCTCTTCACCGCCTCGGCGGCTTCGTACGCATGCCCAGTGAGGCGCTCGTTCGCCGCGTAGAGCTGGTTCCGCAGAGCGTCCTTGTCCGAGAGATACGCCGCGGGCTGTGCGTCCGACTGATTGACGGTGTCCAATTCTGCCTTGAAGCGGGAGACGCTGGCTGCGAGGGTATGGATTGTGTTCTGCCTCGCCGTGAGGTCGGTAGTGAGGGCGTCAAGTTGACGCTCGCGTGCCCCCGCTTCGGCCATCAAATTCGCTTTCTCTGCCCTTAGCGTGTCCATGACTTGGCGACCCCTCTCGGCCGCTTGCGATGCCTCCTCGCTGAGCTTCTGCAGCTCCGAATTGCGGCTATCCAGCTCAGAGATGCGTTCCGCCGACCGCTTAGTTTCCGCTTCGAGGTTGGCGACTAAAGTCCGCTGCCGGGCCAGTTCGTCGTTGGCGGCATCAAGTCTGGTTGCCTGCTGCGAAGCGGTAGTGTCCGCTTCCACGAGCCGTTTCTGCTGCTTGGCCATCGTCCACGCAGCTTCGGAGCTAGACTGCCTTGCCGTGGCCGCCGCAGTGACCGCGTAGTCGCGTTGATGTTCTGTAGCTGCGAGGTTGCGCTCGACGCCGGCGAGCGTGTCCCGCATAGCAGCCAGTTCCATCGCCGACGCCTGGTCACCCCGAGCGTCGTCCCCGGATTGTCGGTGAAGCCCCGCGAGCTTCCCCTCCAGGCCACTGATGGTGGTCTCAAGCTGGGTGATGGTCGACCGATGTCCGACCTGCCGCTTATGATAGGAGTCGACGAGTTCCGCCTGCATCTCATTGGTGGACTGAAGCACCTCCAGTCCCTCCTTCAAGCCCGCCTCGCGCTCCGAACTGAGCGCTATCTCTTCCCGCACAGCAGTGACCTCCGCTCTCGCCTCTTTGACAGCGATAGCAGACGCCTCGGCTGTTGCGCGAAGCCCCGACAACTGGCCCTGCAATTCCTCGAAGTGCCGCTGCAGGGACAGGCGCCTCTCGTCCAAGGCCTTGTGATCCTTCCTGGCTTCGTTGCGCTCCCTCAGATACCGCGTGGCATATGCCTGAGCCTTGTCGCGATCCGCCTGATACCGAGATGCGGACGCCTTGTTCTCGACGAGCTTTGCGACGTGCTTACGGGCCTCAGCGAGTTGCTGTCTGAGAGCATCGTCGGGCCGGGTCTCATAGATGTATTGTTGTTCCATCTTACAGAGCTGATCCGCGAGATCCGCCTTCTCGCGGACGAGACGTTCATTGAGACTCGAGAGTTGGTCTCGAGCCGTGCGGAGGGTTCGGACCTCGGCCTCGGACGATTGCCTGGCGGCAACAGCCTTTTCGACCTCTAGCCGATATGAAGTCACCCTGTCCTCGGTGGAGGTGATCAGGTTGGCATCTATATCTTTGTTTGTGTCGGCCGCCTTTCTGAGTGCCGCCGAGAGGTCATCGACCTTCTGGTCGCTTTTACGAAGACGGTCGACGAGGTCGGTGACGAACACTCTGAGCTCCGGCGTCAGAGAAGCTAGGCGGAGGGATGCCGAATCGCGCGACGTGTAGTGCTGCGATTTGCTGACCTTCGATGGGTCGGATCGCGCCAGGACCACTGCGACGTCAGCTACGACTTCATGCCTCATGACCTTCCTGACTCACACTCCAGTTTTGGCACGATCTCCTCCTGCTCTTCCTCGTCTGCTTCCCCGCCGTAACTCGACCCGATATGGGACAGCCTCCTGCCCAAGCTACTACCCGCCGACCCCTCTGATCGATCTTCCCATCCCAACAGAGCAGGGCGCCAGGCCGCTTCGGCGGTGGGATCCCTTCGCTCAGAGTTGAGTGCAGCGATCTCGTTCCGCAGATCGGCCAGCTCAGCCCGACATCCATCAATCTCGCGATTTGCGCCTTCCGTCGCGGCCCGCGCGCGCTCCTTCGCGCTTACCAGAGCTGTCCCCAAACGCTCCTCCCTGAGCCGCGCCTCTTCGCTCCGGCGCTCATGATGTCCGGCGGCTGCGCGCATCTCCGACTTCAGCGCCTCGACCGCCTGTCGCAACTCAACCGCTTCGCTCCGGTAACCTTCCACTTCCCGCCTTGCCCTGCCCTCTGCCGCCGTTGCTCGTGTTTCCGCCTCCGTCCGAGCCCTGTCTGAGGTTTCCACCCTCTCTCTCGATTCCTCGAGCTGACGAGCGAGATGAGCCTTCTCGTTCTGGAGAGTGCGTTCATCCTTCTTGAAATCGCTCACAAGCTCGTTCAGCGTCCTGTCAAACGTGTCCGCCTCCGCTAGGAGCCGTTTGTTCTCGGCTTTGGCGAAGAGAAGTGCCCCTTCGTTCGGGGCCGGCCGCTGGTCGAGCTGCTGCTGGAGGATGTCGATCTGCTTGTACAGTTTCGTCCGCTGGCCGACCAAATCGACGTGTATATCCTTGTGTTGGCGCACTTCCTCCTTGAGTCGGCGCACCTCGTTGCTCTCGCTCGCGAGTTCCCTCGTCAGATCGTCCCTTTGTGCCCGCAACTTGCGCGCAGCCGAGCGAATGAACTCCATCTCCTGGGAGTCGGAGTCCTTCGCCTCTCGCGCGGCATCCGAGATGGAGACGTCAAGTGTCGTCTTGAGCATCTCATTTTCCGCCGCAGTGACCGCCGAGGTCCTCTTGGCCTCGTCGACTTTCATCCGGGCGAGCTTGTTGACAAAGTCGGCCGTTTTGAGCTTTATTTCAAGCTCTCCCGCTTCGTTCCTCCTCTCCTCGGCCGCCGATCCCGCGATGCGGAGTTGGCGGCGCAGGTCCTCCACATCCTTGCTGATGTCCGCAGGCTGAGTGCTTCCGAGCCGAGCAACAGTATCGACTGGACGTTGGTGAAGCGGGGCTTGCTCAGCGATCTCCGCCTCGAGGACTCTGGTCATCTCCCTCTCCTTCTCCAGCAGGACCCAAAGTTGCTCGTAACTTGTTTCGGGCCCCTCGCTCTCCGCCTCCACCTCATCTAGCCGCCTCCGCTTACTGCCTCCGTGCATCTCTTCCAGTCCCTGATCGGGCAGTAGACTCTGACCCGCGCGCGCCGAGTCAGAGTGTTTGCGACCGCCCATGATCGGCGAGTCGAGACCGGAAGCGGCGGAGCCCCCGATGTCTGTATGTAGGATGGAAGGTGGTCCGTCCCCATCTGATGAGGACTCGAGCAGAGAGAGCTTGGAAGACGAAGCCGTAGCTGTCACACTCTCCCTGCATGTCCGTTTGAGAGCGCGAGGTGTGAAGCGGCTTGTTGAGTGAATATGGCTGAGGGTTGGGGGTCCATTGGTGAGGAGGGAGGATGATGGATCTATAGAGTCTGATAGATCTGATGATACGTCAGCTTTGCACGTTGCGTCATCGGCCAAATACGAAATACTCACGGGCTGTAGAAGCCGATGCTGAGCCATCAGAGGACGCACTGCCGCCGTCGCCCAGAGTTTGTTGAGAGGGAGGTGGTGGTGGTGGTGATGATGATGATGGAGAGGACGCCCGAGGCGTTCTTGCAGCCGTTATGCTTGTGGGCAAGCGCGATATAGTCATTGACTCTACCGTCGGAGCCGCGAGATCTGCGTCACTGAGGATCAGCTAAGCTTCTGGTGACATGAGGCCTGAAGAAGCACGGACACATGTAGGAAACACGCGTACCCTGATTGGCCCAGTTTCAATCTGGCTGAGACGAGCTCGGATGGTGGATCCGCCGTCACTCCGTCCAACTCAGAGGCAGACTCTTCCAGCGTCTGGTCATACAACTTCTTCCGAGCTCGCTTGAACATCGACTGCCGCGAGCCATACAACTCTCTTTGCGCTTCTGCCGACAAGCCGTCCAGCTCCTTTTCCGTTGGTCTCAAGGAGTCGTCCCCCTCAATAGCCTCATATTCTCCCTCGTCAGGCTCCACAGCAAGGGTGGTAGACTTCCGGCCTCCCGCTTGGGTTGTTTTCTGGGGAGGCCGACCGATCTGATCGAGTCGGATGACGGGGTCGACCGAGCTAGGGCTGCTCCGTTTTAAAGGGAACGGTGGGGCGCCGAGTGAGAGAGACGCTTCCGCTTCAGCGATGGTCGAGAAAGCGGGGACCGCATCTGGGATATGCTCCGAGGGGTCGGAAGGGGTGGCATCCGCAGTAGGTGTCGGGACCATCTCGGCGAAGAATCACGGGTAGATCAACCCCACGCCGCAGATCTTGACTCCCCTCCGTGCACCCCGCCTAGCGAGCAAATCCAGGAGGATGCCGCCGACTGGAGAGGAAGTCCGAGTAGTGACCGACTAGGCGCTTATGAGTGTGAGATGGGAGTGTTGTGTGACAGCTGCACTCCGCTCAACTTGACCAATTTTGACGCGACTGCAGTCGGAGGCGATTACGTACAAGAGATGAGTCATGCGGTCATGCTGAGGAATGTGGCGTTGGAAAGCTGGCTGTGGCATGGCCTGCAGCAAGTGACCAGCTCTGACCTTCTGCAAGCACACTTCGCACTGCTGCGCATGTTACCGGCGCCCGAGGAAGCTCCCATCTATGCACAGACATCGCCGGCTGGAATCAGGTACAATGCGCTATAAAATCTACAACCGAAAACAATACATCCCAGTGCGCCAGATCTGATCGTCAGCAGGATGCCATGTGTTGCCTACTGACATGGCTACATCGTACAGTCACCGCGTTGCAGGGATGAGTGACGACAAGCTTACCCGCTGCTTCGTCCGAGATCAACTCGGCGACCGTTCAGCCTTCCTTTCTGTACTTATCCGCGCAAAGCTCCTTCATCCGCGACTCGAGCTGCGCACACCGAAGCTTCAGTGCATCTCGCTCCTCCTTCACAGCGTGCGCCTCCTGGATCTGCGCCTCCAGCTCCTTCATCTCTATCCGCTGATAGTCTAGCAGTCTCTCCTTGTCCCTCAGGCTCCCTCTCAACAATTCCCGCTCCGCCTTCCACTTCTGTTCTCGGTTCTTCAAGGTCAGGTTGTGCTCCTTGTATTGCTTCCTCTCCTCTCTTGCGACGACCAGGCTCGCTTCCAATTCTTCCACCTTGCCGTGAAGAGCAATCTCCCTAGAAGAGGGAAGCAATGGCGGACGGGGTGGTGCCGGTCCCAAACCTGTGGAGGCGGGACCCCCGTCTAGCACAAATGGTGGAGGTGTAGGTCGAGGAAGGGGAAAGTACACAGTAGGGAGACTGTGAGCGGGAATTTTGGACACTAGTGGAGGTGGCGGCGGCCCAGGGAAAGTCGTGAGGGATTTAGGTGGACCCACAGCATCCCCGAAGCTGAAGGTGGGATTCGTGGGCGGAGTTGGGCTGGACGCAGATGCGACAGAGAGAGGCGGCGACGGAGGTCCAGCTGCTGGATCAGCTGGCCCATGAAGGAGTATCCACAAGAAGACACTGACCGTATGCTTCGCCGTTTGTAGCTCGAAGCCGAGGCGGAGTTTTCTTCTGAATGACCTCAGATGCTCCGTCTAGTATCGTCGACGCTGGTCGTTTCTGACCCTTTGCGGGAAGATTGCTGGACATGGTATCGTGTGCTAGCAGTAGATGAGGTCTGAGGCTATGTGCAATAGAACAACATTCGGAAGACTGAACGTGGATAACAACCGCGCTAGTCAGGCCTCCACTTCCTCTTCCGGTTCCTTTTGTCTCCGAAAATCTTGAAACGCCTCCGCTTATTTGAAACGCCGATGTCCGTGCGCATGAGGTATGCGGATTTCTCCCTCAGCAGGGACTGCAGTGCTCATGGGCTCGAACATCTGCGTGCCGTGTATTGCAGAGGCGGATAGTATGCCTACGGCTCTATATACATGATGTTTCATCCTAGCGCTACTTAGTCAACTTTGCGCACCCTCTGTCACAGCTCATCCCGGGAGAATTGCCTCCCGTATCGATCCTCCTGTTCCTCCCGAGTCTGGTCCTTCCCCTTGAAGAAGCCCAACTTAAGTGGATCGCGAGAACCACTCGATCCGTCTTCATCGGAAGAAGGCGGATGGTACAGCTTCGACTCATCATGTGATTTCCGAATCGCTCGAGGTTGTGGTCGGAAGATCGGGTCCCATTTCGCGCTTGGTTTGGGCGGAGGTGCGTGGACCGACGAGGGGTACCTGCCAGATCAGCAAATGGGCCCGAGGTGTTCGGTCTAGCTGACTTACTTGATGCCCTCTTTCGGACAATTAGAGCCGGTCATACCCGCCGGGAGTTCGGAGAAGGGTATGATGTCCCCGCTTTGGAATTTGCCCTTGACGGTGAATGGCCATGCAGCTAGCGATATCGCTCCGTCTATACAGGTCACCTGCCAGTCAGCTTCGTGCTCAGGTTCACTGGTCGTGATTAGGAAGCTCACTATCACAGTCTGGTTGACTGCTGACAAAGCGGCCTCAATTTCGGATAGAGAATAGGTAGTGTCGGACGATGGGGTTATCTGTCATTCAGCTCGGAACTCGGTCACGACCGGGCGAAGCGGGAAAGCTTACATCGGCGTCTGCCAGGAGCTTTGACACTGGGAAGCGAGCCTTCAGCTGGTGAAGAACGTCAAAGAAAGCTGGAACCTGGAGATATGAGCTATGTACCGCACAAGTCGGAGTTGGCAGCAGGGGTTGGAACGGATGAACAGGGCAGACTCACTCCCGATGCGCCGTCATCTTCTGTGCACATTGGGCTGAGTGTGCTGATATGTCGACCTGATGAACTCCACTGGTCACCTGAGCTGAAGTCGAGGCATCAGCGAGTCTAGACCTACAGCTCTTGCCCAGAGCTCCTCCACGCCCTCGCCGGTTTCTGTGATTGCCCATTCCTTCTCGGCCTTGGTATAACCAGACTCTCCGCCGAAGAGAGGTGACTTCAGACAGAGGGACGAGATCTCCTCATGACTATATCTTGGGGATGACCAACTCGTAGTGATGGGTTTCAGGGTGTCGCATCTGCTCTTCAGCTGTGCCGGACAGGTAACCAAGGTGCAGCATTTGGCGGATACTCACCCCAACACGTCTATCCCATCTATCCCCCAATTTCCGAGGTCATCCGCTTCGTCCAGCTGCAGTCTTTGTCGGAAGACAAAGAGACCTCCCGGTTTGGGAACGCAACATGGGTCGAGGTTGGCAGGGCTCGCTTCGGAAGAGCACGACTCCACGATGGGGCATTCGACCGGCTGGGCCGAACTCGCCAACGCCAGTCGCGCCAGAACCAACCCGAGAATTGTCGAGACCAGCATGTCGAAGTCTCAGGGTGTCATAGAAACTACTAGCGGATCCGTCGTGTCTGTGAAGGCGCTGGATGTGGACTGTCAGTGGAAACGAAGAAGAAGACTTTCGACGTCGGTGTGTGATCTGCAGCTGTGCATCTGGTGACCTGCAGCGGCGAGATGCCGTAATTACCCAAGCCCCTCATTCCTCGACGACTCTCTTGCATCCGCGCAAGCTATCTCCTCTTACATCCTGTGACTCTCATGTCCCCCGAATGATCATACCGGCTCGCTCAGCGTCGCTGGCATTACTACTGCTGCCATTCGCTAAGGCAATATGGCCCTTTCAGCAGAAGCGCTTCTCAGCAGAGGCGTTGATAGACGCCGGACAGCTAGGATTTGAAGGGGTGGATGGCCGGGTCGTAGCTGTGGGTGACTGGAACGGGGACAAGAAGTGAGTACGTCGCTACTATGCAGCTGGTATCTCTAATGATAGTGCGGATCTCTTCGTGATCTCGTCTGATTCGAAAGTGCTGCAGATCTATCTTTGGAACCGAGGTGCGTATCTCGCCGGTCGAGGAGAATGAGCTCACAACCAAAGATCTGTTCCGATATTCACCCTCACATAACTACACGGCGTCGTCGCCCATCGTGAATGTCCTCCCGGCGGACTTTAATCAGGATGGGCGGCTCGACGTCCTCCTCATGTTTGGAGGGGAGAAGAACGGGTGGTGGGGAGGGGCGTCAGACACGCTAGGGATGGACGTCATCTTGGGCGCTGAGGGCGGAACCTTTGGTATTTTGCGAACCCCTCAGCCAAGGTTGCCTCTGCTGATTGTGGAGGCGAAAAATGGACGGTCCCGGCGTCGACTGCTCAACAGCCCTTGGTCTTCGATGCGAACGGGTCTTTGCGACCCTCTCTACTTGGCTTCACCCATGCGGACGCTAGCGCAGCAGCTAAACTAGTCAGCTGGCAGAATGACGGAACGGGACTGAAGATGTGAGTTCCAGCATCAATGTCTAAGCACTGTGCTCATGGCAGGTCCACTGCACCGCTCGACCGACCGGAGCAGGCTTGCGTCCTCGCCAATCCCCATTCCAGTGCTTTCATCGATCTCGACGGAGACTGCCTTCCTGATCTTGTGCTACATTGCTCAAAGTCGAAGTCTGCCGGACAAAGCATCCAGATCTGGATCAACAAAGGCGATAAGGGATATCAGCTTGCGCAGACCTATGATCTGCCCAAAGGCGCCGGACCGCTTACTTTCGCTGATATGAGTGAGTTAGATCTGCCTTGTCAGACTCTATGCCTGGCTGACATCCAGACCGCGATGGGACGATCGATATCATCTTTCCGACTTGTTCAAAGGTCTCCAGCTCCACCGGCCAAGGCACAGACTGCTCCATCAATATCGCCTACAACCGCCAAATCCCTGTATGCTCGTCGGAGACCTCTTCCAGGGGCTCAGATGGCAGTCTGAAGTGTCGAGGTTGGGGAGCGCTATGTACAGCAGACCCAAAATTCACCTTTACCCTCGACGCAACCTCGTTTCCTGGGTCAACATTAGTGAGTGGGCGAGGTCTAGCCTGCACCAAGTGTCTTTCAGCTGACACTGAAGACATCGTACACCGCTACCCTCTCATCTATCTTCGGCAGGGATGTCTTTCTACTCCTCCATCCTCCTTCCCAACCTCATCTAACTCTTCCACTCCGTCCGGGCGACTACAACGTGGACGGCTATCCAGACCTCATCTTCACGGTGGTCGATTCCAAACCCAAAACGTCTAGCGGCATACTCGGCTTGAAAGAAGGGAGCCAGGCGCGGATACTGCGGAACGTGCCGTGCGGGCGAAGGCTAGCCGGATGCGACGCTGGAGGACAAGAACGTACATTTGCACTTGGACAGGGGAAGGGCTGGGAAGCCATGGAGGAGATCTGGGATGTCACTGGGGCGAGCTGGATAGATATCGACGATGACGTGAGTGTGATCAAATTCTTGCCTGTCCGTGTAGCTTGAGCTGATAATCAGGGATCTCTCGATATTCTACTGCAAAGGTCTGGAGCTCAAGGCGCTGGAAAAGTCAGCTTTGTGCAGAACAACTTCTACCATGATGCGTTCTTTCTCAAAGGTCAAGGTGAGCTATCTTCAGTTGCGCGTTGTGCTTTATACTGATCGCCAGTCCTGAACGGTGCTTGTGATGGGGATTGTATACCAAGCTCCGGGGGTTCAAAGTACAGCGTACGCTCTTCCGCCTGGCGGATCATTGAAGAGGTGCTGATTATTAGCCATCCGGCGCGAGCTACGCGGGCGCAACCTACAAGTTCACCGTCCTCGATACTCTGGGCAGAAGACAGGCACAGACAGGTAAGTCTCCTTGACAAATCAGTGTCCTCGGGACTGTGCTGACCGTGCAGTTGGTCAGCTCCCGCAGTCTACCTATCAAGCCCTCGATCTGCCATACTCCTATATCGGGCTGGGAAGGACCAACAACTACATCGAGGTGAGCTAAGCGCTCATCACAGCTGATCATAGCGTCTTTCCGTCGGGGTGTCTCTCAATACCGGCAACACCACAGATCTCGAGGCCATCATCCCGAACTCACAACTCATCATCACTCCGCCATATCCAGCTTCCGGGATAGCAGCGACGGACAAGGATCCGCAAAACCGGCCAGAGGAATGGAGGACGGAGTTGTACCTGCAACCGGGAGATTGGGTGCCATATGTCGCGGCGGCTGTTCTTGGGACGGTCATCATCTTGGCCGGGATCGTTTTGGGATTGAATGAGCAGGAGAAGGTGAGCATGCTACGATCAGCATATATGGTGGCTATCAGCTAATGAGATCAGAAAGAGGATGAGAAGGAACGGAGACGGGCGCTTCACGCTATCAACTTTCAGGCCTTGTAGGAGTTTCAAAGGGGGATATGTTGATTTCTGGCTTTCTTGAGCTACATATCAGTCGCCTAAGCACGCCGACAGTGGCGCGAGCTATCGATGCCTCTGCTTACGAGTCACGTCCAGCTTGCCCAGCTTGGCCTATTTGGCTCTAAATCTCCATGCCAGCACACGGACTGCCTCCACCACCCAGATCCATCTACTCTATCTCATCTTGACTCTGCCGTTCGCAGCAAGGTTCGCAGCATAGCAGCAACAGGTCGTATCATCAGTCCATGCACACCTACGGATCTGACGACGAGATGGACGAACGTCCAGGGGGTACGGTCATCGTAGGCCGTCTGTGGGATGTACGTCCCGTCTCCTTTCCCCTTCGGACTTCAACTGGCCTAAGCTGACAACTCCAGGCAGTCGGACCCTTCCCTAGGTGAGCTGACGGGCCTGTTAGCTGCAGGGTATCTCACCGCTGGTACTGGAGCTGACATCGAATAGTGGTATGCGGGAGCACCCATTTCTAGCAACACCCCTACACGCATTCCCCTCTCAAACGTTCCCAAACGACCCGGATGTCGACTTTGCTCGGCGGCCTTATGACGGGAAGGAGACGTGGATGAGCGAGCTAGGAGAGGGTGGCCGAGTGGGCTGGAAGAGGTTCAAGGCGAATGATGATGGATGGCTGGAAGTATCTTACTCTGATATACGGTAGGTCAAGATTTCTGACTCCAGTGGGCGTTGACTGAACTTGCAGCTGGGACCAGCTCCGCGCCGACCATGGCTGGGCATCACTCCAATACCAAGTCCTTCTCCGTACGACTATCGAGATCCCCCTCGAAGCGGAGAACCCAGTAACGCCCATCCTGATCGACGTGATCCAAGGCACCGAGTACGCCTTCATCCCCATCCACAGCCCGCCGGAGGTCCCCACGCGATGGTATAATGGAGACGTCTACAACTTTGCGTCCACCCCATCCGGGAAACAGGCGTCAGGGAACACATCCACTTTGGCGAGAACGGTCTCCCTCCGTCCCGGGATGTACACTCTCCTCGTCCGCGCGAACTACGAGGTGCGGCTTTTTGGCGATCCAAAATCCGCCGACAAGCCTAATCGGGGACCCGTCATCCGCATGAAAGTGCAGGCGGAGGTAGCAGGACGATCCGCGGTGTCGCTGTCGGGAAACGCAGTGGTACCGGACGCAATGGATGGATGGCTTATGGGAGACTGGCTATCCTTGCCGATCCGGGCGGGGCCCGCGGACGTCAGAGTCATCTCGTGCTCACTGCACCCCATAGGCGGCCTAGCCCTGGATCTCGTTGGGAATCCCTGTCTCAGCGCTGGGCAGACACGCTCCATCGCTATGCGGGTCCGACAGACGGCTCCAATCAAATTTGAAACCATTAATTGTCTCGTCAGACTACAGGTTGAAGAGGACGGCAAGCGACACAGCCTCTCCTGGATTATCCCCATATTCCATCGCAATTCCCAGCTACCCGGTGGCCGGTGCAGGATCACCTTCGCCTCGCCTTCGAGCTCCTTATCTGGTTCCCCAGCCTCGGTCTCGTACGCTACCATCATCATACATCGCCCAATTTCCGACGCGGAGAGCAACCTCTCTCTTCCTCCGGTTATTCTCGCGCTGCACGGTGCTGGCGTTGACGCGGGCAATGCGGAGTGGATGAGCGTGATTCCGGAACGAGATGGGGGATGGGCGGTCTTGCCGACTGGCAGGAATGAATGGGGAGAAGACTGGCATGGTGGGAGTATGGCAGATGCATGGGCGGCGAGGGACGTCCTGCCAGTACTGGCGGCCAAGCTGGGATATCTGGTATCCGAAAAGACGCTGTGAGCTGCTGCTAGCCTAGGACCCGGTCTCCTCCAGCTAATGGTACAGCCTGATCGGCCATTCGAATGGCGGACAAGGAGCCTGGCATTCAGCGGCAAGGTATCCAGACCGTATCGTCGGACGTAAGTTCCTCCACAGGCTCTAGCTGATAGCAGTCATCGCAGCAGCTGGCTGGCTGACCATACACGATTACGTCCCATATACCGAGCAGTATGTTGTCCGGTTAGTTGATTCGTATCTCAGCTGATCTCGTAGGATATCAAATCACTTCGCCGACCCTTCGCTTATGGGTATTCTCCGCTCCTCCCTCACACCGTACGATAACGACCTCCACGCCTCGAATCTGGTCGGCATCCCAATCTTGGCAATCCACGGTGCCGATGACGACAATGTCGCGCCTCGTCATTCCCGTGCCCACTTGGCTGCTGTAGCTGCCTGGGCGGGCAGCGAGGAGAACCTCACTTACCTCGAGGTACCGAAGCGCGGGCACTACTGGGGCGACATCTTCAAGCAGCCAAAGGTGATTGCGTGGATGGATCAGATGTCACACAAGCGGTCACCAGAATTCAAGACTCTGAGTTGTGCAAATCCGCTCGAATGTGGTGGACGGGATGGGACGCGCATTCTGGAGCTCGAGACGCCTGGAAGGTATGTGCAGTCAAAGTACCCTGGGCTGATAATAGATTGGCGAGAATGAGTCGCCGTGGCCTCTCTCCTCCATACGTCGAAGGAATGTCGAATGTGCGCAAATTTGCCTACAAAAGCGGGGGCAACAACTACTCTGCCACGCTTCGGGAAGACCACTGGGATGTAAGTGTCAAGTTCCCAGTGAGCTAACAACTAGGTCGAACAGGTAGATGTCCCGGAGCTGCCCTCGAGAGCGTATGGGCCTATGATCCGTCTCCTAGCCACAGACGCAGTCATCACTCTCGTCCACGGCGCAACTCCTCACCTGAAGCATCTCGCGCTTCGCCTGGCGCATGACCTCCTTGTCTATCACCGGATAGACTGCGAGGTTATTGACGACAAGGAAGGGAGGGACCGATTAGCGGAAGGGCGTATAGCGGGCAGCCTGATCTGTCTAGGCAGACCCGAGGACAATGAAGTCGTTGACTGGATGGTTGGACAAGCTCGGATACCAGGTAAGCCAAAGTAAGGTCTCGCGGCTAATATGCAGTATCGTTTCCCCTGGCCGATGCTCTTGCTGTGGATGGCAAAATGATCAGAGGGGACGGTACAGGTAAGCGTCCCTAAGTCCACTCAGTTCCGAAAGCCGCAGAGGTTTCATTCGAGTTTAGCTGACACATTAGGCGTCATCGCTCTGCATCCGCATCCTTGTCGAACTTTGGGCTTGGCCGCTATTATCGCTGGTAACGACGACCTAGGCACTGAGCTTGCTGCCAGGCTCTTCCCCATCCGGACAGGTGTGATGGTCAGTGCAGTCACCAGTACATGTAAGGCCGATGAGTTGACGAAGCAGGTACCGGACTGGGCCGTCGTGTCCCCTGAGATGCAGTGGAAAGGTGCTGGGGGTCTACACGGTGCCGGGTAAGTGCTGTCCTACTCAGCTAGATTCTCCTCTGGATCCTGCTCATGGCTCAGATTCTTCGGCCATGACTGGCAGTATAACAGTACCATGTCGTGGTTGCACAGCTCGTTCCCGACCGCCGCAGGGGGCACCAGTGCCTACAAGAAACGATGGGCAGCCAAGCGGAAACTTGGAGAATGATCGTAAAGAGCGTACGACACATCGGTACCCCTACACCCTGATCATGTGTCTCCACATGAGAGGCTGGAGTGAACGCAGTCAAGTATTGTAATGCATGGATACTATCAATACTTATGCTGTCGCTACTCTACCTATACTCTATTTGTAATCATTCCCTAATTGTAATGGTGGGGTATTTGGTTCCGCTAATACTCCGCTTTGACCGCCTTTTGTGTGCGTGCCTGAGCTAGTCAGAGCTTGACTTGACTGCGCCCATGCATCCACTTTCATCTATCTCATATCTTCATCTATCTCTGTAGTAGCTTCAGGCAGTGCCTTATTGAGCTCCTTCCTCTTGTACAGCCCGCATATAGACCGCCCATCCGCGTCAAAAGCAGCCGCGTCCCCGCTTCACGCTTCGGCCCATTCTCCGAAACATTGCATCTGAGACCTTCTCCTTGTCTCACAAGCTCTCCCATAAAGCTATCAACATGTCCAAGGTGAGTTCTATGCTTTTTGTTGTGTCCATACAATGTCGACTATCCAGGACGTGACGGACGCTGATGCGCTGCAGGGCCAGTTTCTCAGAGAGTACAAGCTCGTCGTGGTCGGCGGTGGTGGTATGTCTCTCTGCGCTTGGCGACGGGACGTCCTTTGGCGATAGCGCTAGGACAGGAAGGTGAAGAGGTGCTGATGGTATCAGGTGTCGGGAAGTCTGCTTTGACGATTCAGTTCATCCAGTCTCATGTGAGTCGCCCCCAAGCTTGATGATAGATGGTGCGAAAGCTGATGCCATAGTTCGTTGACGAGTGAGCTCGAGCGATGCTGGACGTACAGGATCATAGCTGACTTCGATTCAGATATGACCCGACTATTGGTGAGCTCTGACCGCGCCCGATATCTTGTTGGAAGACTCGAGCTGATCAGTCAGAGGATTCATACCGGAAGCAGTGCATCATCGACGAGGAGGTCGCACTGCTGGATGTTCTGGACACAGCCGGACAGGAGGAGTATGGCGCCATGAGGGAGCAGTATATGCGGACTGGTGAGTAATCCCAACTGTATGCCCGTCCCAGTGGCAGAGGCTGACAACAAAGGCGAGGGATTCCTCTTGGTCTACTCGATAACTTCTAGAAGCAGTTTCGAGGAAGTATCGACTTTCCACCAGCAAATCCTCCGTGTACGTTTATTCTACCCGATGTCTTGCGATTAAATACAATGACTTACCTGCGCAGGTCAAGGACAAGGATTACTTCCCCGTTGTTGTTGTCGCCAACAAGTGCGATTTGGAGTATGAGCGTCAGGTACAGCCTCACGGTGAGTTTCAGCAGCCTGTATTTCTGCGGCAATGGCTGACCAGTAACAGAGGGCCGGGACTTGGCCAAACGCTTCAATGCGCAGTGTATCGAGACATCCGCCAAGCAGCGGGTCAACGTAGATGAGGCGTTCATTGCTGTTGTCAGGGCTATCAGGCGGTATCAGAAGGTGCGCTCTGCTCCAACAAGCTTGAAAACTCGCTGACGGTCAGGAATCCGGACCCCCTCAAGCACCTCTGGCGCCCGGCAAGTCCCAGCCCAGCGGTTCTGGCGGCAGACCCGCCGCGCAGGCAGACGACCACGTCGATAAGGGATGCTGCGGCAGCTGTGTTATCCTTTGAGTCGGCGTGTGCTTCGGACGGGCATACGGACAGTACATGGTGGTTTGGACAGGGGCATGAGGTGCTGGGGTATCTTGGATGATCTTGCACCGCGTATAGCTGTTCTTAGTCTCTAATTTTGGGTAAGTATCTTGTAGACGATTTACTTGAGTAATGACGATGTGATCTATTATGACTATACCAGGGCGTGCATGATGGATCCACAAGCAGATCCCGACATGCCTAGCTTATGTTGCCCACCACCTTGTTTTCCACACCAACCCATCTACATGCGCATCAGCTGCGGCCGGCATCAACGGCATATCAGGTGAAAGCCCACCTCCACCATACGCATTTGTCACGTTCCGGAAGTCCTTTGCCGCAGGTGACTCTGAGGTCTTGCCTTGCGCTTCATTTGGGATGCCGGCCTGAGGATATATACCTGCTCCATACCTCTCACATGAGCACAACTGTTTGATGTACGTCGAGTGCACAAGTGAGTGCTCACCCGAGAGAGTGATCAGTTGGCATTGTTGACGTGAAATGACGAGGAGCTTCGGCTTGGGGGTCCGACCTAGACTGTGAGTCCGAGTGCGACGATTCAGACGATAAGAGCTGCGCATGTGATGGACGAAGTGGAGTTGGAGGTGTCGGCGGACGAGGCGCATCAGCCTGAGACTGTGGCTGAGGCTGAGCGGTGGCTTTGGACGTCGCTGAGAGAATATTTAGCGCTGGCGGTCGTCCGGGTATGGGCTGCGACGTCCAGGATGCCGGAGCGGGTTGATGGTTCCTTATGTACATGGCGCCGTAGTTCTCGACCATCGTTACGATGTCTCGCCAGTCCGTCATCTTGCCTGGTCCTGCCTCATTCAGCTCAACCACTGTCCAACAGCGCTAGGTCACTCACCTTCATCACCACAAGCTAGGACGCCCGCTCCTTGTGGCCCGCTGACCATATACTTCAGCTTCTCCTGCACAGTCTTGAGGTGGTCGGCGGTCAGCGGGTGTTGATACATGTGTGTGTTCATCGCCGGACAGATGATGACCGGTACGTCCGGCATGAGAGCTCTCATCATTGATAGCTGGGATTTCAGCACAGCCGTAGCAGGAAAAAGGTGAACGTGCAGCAAGGTTGTCAGAGAAGCCCGCAGCGAGCTTGGCGAGAAAATCTGCGGAGCAAGGAGCGACGACGACGAGGTCGGCCCATCTCCTCAGCTCGATATGCAAGATGGGATCTCCAATCTGCTTCCAGTCCTGTCTCTCAGCAAAGCTCAAGGATGATCGAAGGGTGGACATACCGACCACTCGTCCTCGTCTTTCCATACCCTGACTCCAACGCCCCCAGATGACGGACCGACATCGCCATCCACAGCCATGATAGATTGGTCGTTGGAGTTCACCTGGCCTGCAGCCTCCGCCTGTACAGCCGCGTCCACCTTTGCTTGATCATAGAAATGCAAGCTCGCTTGCGTCGCTACAATCTGCATTTCAATCTCAGGTATCTGATGTGTCAGCCGACTCATCCTGACATACATCTCATCTGTATCGGCTGGAGTAGTATGTCAAAGGAGGTCAAAGACGCACTCTGCTCAGGGCTCCAACTATTTCAGGTATCTTGACGCTGGCCACGCTTCCGGTCGAGACGATCACGACTCGGAACTTGCCGTCATTGTGCGGTGGGCGATGTTGGGCTGATATGAATGGCAGCGTAGGCTTCGTTCGGCGCGAAGGGCCAGCCTGAGCGTTGGGGGTGTTCATGCCTGTGCCTCGTCGTTGGGATATGATATATGATTCACCGGTCAGTCTGATGTCGGAGCTGTGTTCGGACTTGCGCCGTCAATAAAGCCCGGATATCCGGTATATCATCCGGACTTCACCGAAATCACATAACCGGATCATACACTAGAAGATCCCATGTCAGACTGCCTGTTTTCCCAATCGACCTGATGTGGTCAGAGATTGATGACCATGCAAGACGACGGTGGGCATGGAGCTCCTACATCCCCTCAAGGCGATGCTCCACCCTGCGCTATCCAAGCTCCGAGGACGTTCAGGCGCGTCCCGGAATCATCCGGAACATTCCAGCAACCGCGAGATCCTCATTCCTCATTACGTCACAGATCTCCCCTTGCATCTGCTGACGCGGATATAAGCAGAAGCTCTCTTCCCTTCCTGCCTATCTTCACACCACACCATACTACATCACACCACTGACACCATGGACAACTTCACCGACAAATCCAGTGAGATCATCAAGGCCTCTTTCGAACGCGCGGAGGAGCAGGGTAATTCCCAAGTCACCCCTCTCCACCTCATCGCTGTCCTCTGGGACGACCCTACCCCTTCCGCCTCGGGCGACTCCCAGCCCACCCTCCTAAAAGGCGCTGTCGAGCGCATCGGCGGCAACCCCACCTTATTCAACCGCACCCTCCAATCCAAACTCAACAAGCTCCCCTCCGTACACCCTCCCCCTTCGCCCCCACTCCCTCTCACACAAGCATACCACAACACCCTCCGCGAAGCCCAGAAATGTCAAAAGGAGCAAAACGACCAGTATGTTGCTATCGACCACCTCATCATCGCTCTGCTCCGGGTGGACGCGGCGGAACTCAAGGAGCTCCTCAAGACGGCGGGCGTAGAGTCCAAGGCGCTCGAGGCGGAGATCAGACGCAAGAGGGGAGGGAGGAAGGTGGATAGTAAAGGGGCGGAGAGTCAGTTCGAGGCGTTGACCAAGTACTGCACGGATTTGACGGCGCTGGCGGAGCAGGGGAAGCTGGATCCTGTTGTTGGGAGGGACAATGAGATTAGGAGGGTGATCAGATGTCTCAGCAGAAGGACAAAGGGTAATCCAGTCCTCATCGGCGAGTAATAATCCGCTTTTGGTCCTTCCTCATATGAACCATGACTGACGAGCAGGTGAACCCGGTGTCGGAAAGACAGCCATTGCCGAAGGCCTCGCACAGCGTATCGTCGACCGCGATGTCCCCCCATCCCTCATCTGTCGACTCCTATCACTCGACATGGGCGCGCTCATGGCCGGTGCCAAGTACAAGGGCGAATATGAGGAGAGAATTAAGGCTGTACTCAGCGAGGTGGAAAAGGCCGGAGACGAAGGGACCCAGATTATCCTCTTTGTGGATGAGCTACATCTGATAACAGTAAGCGCCGGCCCCTCTGACCTGTGAAGAGCATCAGCTGATCAAGCAGGCCGGAAAAGACTCAGGTGGCGGCATGGACGCAGCAAATCTCCTCAAGCCCATGCTCGCCCGCGGCAAACTCCGGATCATCGGTGCAACCACTCTCAACGAGTATCGGGAGTACATCGAGAAGGACTCGGCCTTCGAGCGTCGGTTCGCCCAGATCATCGTCGAAGAACCGTCCGTCCCCGACACGGTCGCCATCATGCGCGGTATCCGGGAAAAGTACGAAACTCACCATGGTGTCCGCATCATGGACTCTGCGCTCGTCCTTGCCGCGCAGCTGGCCAAGCAGTACCTCACCTCCCGCCGCCTCCCCGACTCGGCCATAGATCTCCTGGACGAGGCGTCTTCGGCAGTCAAGATTGCTCGTGAGACCCGACCGGAGGCGCTGGACGAGCTGGAGCGCAAGAAGCTAGGACTCGAGGTGGAGGTGCATGCGCTAGAGAGGGAGAAGGACGAGGCGAGCAAGGAGCGCCTCGAGCTCGCCAAGAAGGCGATTGCGGATGTGGAGGACCAGCTGGGCCCAATGAAGCGGGAGTACGAGAATGAAAAGCATCTCGGGGACCAGATCCATGATGTCAGGCGGAAGATTGACGAGTTGAGGGGAAAGGCGGACGAGGCGGAAAGGCGGTACGATCTCGCTACCGCTGCGGATATCCGGTACCACTCTATCCCGCAGCGGGAGTTGAAGCTCAAGGAGCTGGAGGCCAAGGAGGCGGAGAGGGGTTCGGGGCAGCAAGTCACCCCGGAGATGATCGCCGAGGTGGTCGCGAGATGGACGGGTGTCCCCGTCTCTCGCCTCGTCGAAACGGAGAAGGCGAAACTCCTGCGGCTCGAGAAGCTCCTCTCGAAGCAGGTCATCGGTCAGCCAGAGGCGGTACGGGCCGTCGCCAACGCTATTCGGCTCAATCGGTCAGGTCTCTCGAACCAAAACCGACCCATCGCATCGTTCCTCCTGGTCGGACCTTCTGGTACAGGTAAAACTCTCCTCGCCAAGACGCTCGCGGAGGTCATGTTCAACTCGCCCGACGCCATGGTCCGGATCGACGCGTCCGAGTACTCGGAGAAACACTCGGTCTCGCGGCTTATCGGTGCGGCTCCGGGATATATCGGACACGACCAAGGTGGGCAGCTTACCGAAGCTGTGCGCCGGAAACCCTACACCCTCATCCTCATCGACGAGATTGAAAAGGCTGCTCGGGAGTTCCACCAGCTCTTCCTCCAGGTCCTAGACGACGGCCGGCTCACGGACAACAAGGGTCGGGTCGTCGATTTCCGAAACACTATCGTCCTCATGACTTCCAACACGGGCAGCGCCTACCTTAACGAGAACCCCTCGGAAGGCGCCGTCCTCCCCACTATCCGCGAGAAGGTCATGGGCGCCATCCGAGCTACATTCCCCCCTGAATTCCTCAACCGTATCGATGACATTATCCTCTACCGCTCCCTCTCCCGCTCGGACATCAAGCGCGTCGTCGACGTCCGTCTCAAGGAGGTGCAGAAGAGGCTGGATGATAACGGGCGGAAGATCATTCTCAGGGTGGATGAGGTGGCGCAGGAATGGCTGGCGTCGGCGGGGTACTCGCCAATGTACGGAGCGAGGCCGATGGCGCGGCTTATCCAGTCGGAGATTCTCAATCCGCTGAGTAAGCTGTTGCTCCAGGCGCGCGTGAGGGATGGGGAGGATGTGAAGATCACGGCGGATCTTAGGAAGAATAGGCTTGTGGTGATCCCGAACCACGAGCAGGATGTCAGCTTGCCGGGAGATAGCGAGGATGAGGATGACATGATGGACGTGGAAGTGGACGAGCTGGATTAGGGACCGAGTGAAGCATAGGGGAAGCGCAGGGGGATCAAGGGAAGAGATTGTACATATAGATCTGGATAGTTATAGCGATACAAGTATGCAGAGTCCATAGTATTTACAACCTGATCGGCGCCCCCATTGTCTCCTCGCACCGCTTACTGACGCTCCCCAAGAACCTTCTCCACGTATCCCACCATTCCTTTCCCGCTTTCCGATCCTTCTCCCCCACCTCAAAGTCATCCACCATCTCCACCGCCTCATCCTTCCACCTCTCCCCCAAAATGACCTTCAACCACTTCAAACATTCTATTGCCGCCTCCACTCCACCCAGTCCCACACCCGGCTCCATCAACTTGACCAGATACGCCTCCACCTTCTTCGCGTCCCTCTCTGCCGGTCCCTTCCCGCCTCGCGAATCCACCCACTTTGTGATCGTGTCCAGCACATCTGGCAACTTCGTCGCATTCAGCATGGCTGGCCGACGAGATTCAGGCCGAACGACAGCTGGACGAGTGACCGGCAGACTTCCCGCTCGCGATCCGCGCGGACTGGTAGATGCCCGATCAAAGCCTAGACCGAGACCCTTGGACTTGTCCGCTTCCCTTTCTTTGGCGCGGATACGGGAGGTATCCGCCGGTCGATGAAGGGCGAGGCGTTGCCGCTGTTTCCGGCGTTCCTCAGTGATGACCTCTTTCTGCATATCCGAGGGAAGCTCCGAGAAGACCGTTGGGTCGATCCCGAGCTCGCACAGGTCTTTGACAAAGTAGAGGCCGATTTTGGAGGTCGGGTCCAGCTCGTCATCCGCCACTTCGATGATGGAGACGGGGACAGCTGAGATGGGTGGGTCCGTGCTTTGTCGCCTCGGCATCGACTTTTCCCTCTCTTTCCCCTTTCTCTTCCCCTTCGGCGACTCTGTAAGATCCATCACCTCATCCTCCGCCCCCATTTCCCATTCCTCCCTGCCCACCTCCCCCGCCTTGGCCTTGTTCCAAGCGGAATACAACGCCAGATCCGCAATCTGCCCCGCCTTCATCTGAGTCTTTGTCTTCGGCCTCAACTGCTTCGAGATATGCGCAGCCGAGTGCCTCCCTTCCTTATTGATCGTATGATCGAGCTTGCTCCAAAAGGGTACCGTGGATCCGACGGTATCTTTCAGTCGGGTGGGTGGGATCGACGTGATTTTACCAGGAGCGGCGCGGGGGAGGGGTTTGGCCGGTGCTAGGGTGGGCTTGACGGGAATAAGAGGGGCCTTCTTGGCGGCTCGGGCGCGGGCGTGTTCTGCGCGAATTTCCCGCTGGAGGTCTTCGGGCAGAGCAGCGAGGAAATCCGGGTCGATACCGTCTGACGAGGCCGCGGGGGCCAACCGAGATGGACCCGCCGAAGCGTTCGGAAGTGCCGATCGAGAGATAGGAGGAGGTTCCCGTTCCGCCTCTTCCAAATCTGCGTCCGACGCGCCGATCATCCCTCCTTCCTCCTGCTCCGATGGGACGACCACTCTGTCGGAGGCGTTCAGACCCTCATCGACCGCCTCCAACTTTGCGGCCGCCTTGCCTTTCGCCCCCGCAAAACTGAGCACCCCCTGCCCCGCCTCCCTCTCCGCCTTCTCCCCATCCAGCTTCGTCATCTGTATCCCGACCCCTCTCAGCTCGACAGGATCGAGACCTAGCGTGCGGAGAAGCTTGACGGCTTCTACGCCGAGTATCTCGGGATCGTCCGTCGATCCACCGCCTTTCGTGCCGACCGAAGAGGACTTGTTGAAAGTCTCGCACCACCCGTGTCCGAGGAACTGACCATCAGCTTGACTTTCACCAACGGGTAAGGTCACACTCACTTTAGGTGGCTCAATAGGAGCTTCCGGATGCCGCTTCATAATCTTGAGCGTCAACAGCCTGCCCTTGGCATTGACCTGTTTCATCCGCTTAGCGACCTCCGCCGCTAGATCCCTCACGCAAATCTCCGCCTGCTCGTCATTCCGAAACCGGATTCCATACTGCTCTGTCAGCTACTTATCTCGGTCACCTCCCGAGACGATACACGTTGACTTACATTCATCTCGGCACTGATACTCTTCCTCTCCTTGTGCGGCTCCAATTTCCGATCGTCCATCCCCCTCAAATACCCCCAGACCATCTCGCCTGTCTTTGGGCCCAAAACACCCCGGAAGGCGCCTTTCGGATGCTCCATCAATTCCCCCGCGATGGTCGTCCCGAACTTCTCCTCAATCTTGGACTTGATGGAGTACCCGACCGAGGGGAAGTCTTCCACGTCGAGCGGGGCTAGGAAAGTCGGGATTTCGGCGGTCGTCAGGTGGTACACGCCTGCGGGTTTGGCGCGGCGTGTAGCGAGCTTGGAGAGGAAGACGTTGTGCGAGATACCTATACTGACTGAAAATATTAGCCTGATTCGCACGCCCTGAAGCGGAGCTTGGGTCAGATAGCTCACCTTCACACCCAGTCTCTTTGCGAATATCATCCCGGATCTTCTGGGCGATCTCGACAGCCGCATCTCTAGGTCGTTTCGGTATTCGCTCGATAGGTCCGTCCGGTCCATCCTCCACCTCCATGCCATCCCGCCCGTCCAGCTCACTAAGATCGCCAATAGCTTCCCCGTCTGCCAGAGAGACCTTCTCCGCGCCATCTTCATCGGCTTCCTCCGGCGCAGCTTCCCTCGCCGCCACAGCGCTTGTAGCATCGATGAGCGCCTCGTCCACGCTCACCGCCTGCAGCTCGTCCGCATATCCCATAAGCACAGTGTAGAACGCTAACGAATATTTCTTGTATGTTTCGAACTCATACCTGCACCATCAGCTCGGCCAGCAGTCTCCTGCACGCGTAAACTCACGGAATCGTCAGTAGATCCTCTCCAACCAGAGTCCGCGCTCTACCCAGACTCATCCCGTTCTTCACTCCCTTCGCTCTCGCCTCATAGCTCGCCGACGCAATCTCGCTCGTACTCCCCTCCATCCTCCCGCCTGTCGAATGGCAAACCACCGACGGTTTTCCACAGAGATGAGGCCGAGTCGCCAGGCCACAGGAAACGAAGAAGCAGTCGAAGTCGACGTGAAATATGTATTTCTGGCCGGTACCGACAACGGGGGCGGCGCGAGTAGGAAGGACGGATGTAGAGAGGGAGAGATGTGAGAGGGTGGTGGGTGCCGGAGCGGCCAGCGAGTTCTCTTCGGATTGGCGTTGGGCGGTAGCGACCAGAACGCGAAGCTCGGTCTTCCACGTGGAGAGGTGGTGCAGACTAAACAATCAGCTGAGAGTGCGACGAAGGATGAGGAAGTACATACCGACTGTTCTGGTAGTACCCATCGATAAAGCCTCCTTCGTTCCCCCTCTCCGCCGTATTCTTCAACCGCCACTCCTGGTCCTTGAGCAGGCGTGCCGCATCTTCGTTGCTCTCCTTGGAGGCGTAGAACTCCCATTGTGTCTCGGCACGCTTGGGTGTCTCCTTCTTGGGCGTAGGCGGCTTGACTGGGCTTTGGCGGGAGGCGAAGGGGTCGACGGGCTGCAGCTTTGATGGCGTCGCGAGCTTGGTAGATGAGGAAACAACAGGAGCCGGAGGTGGTGAAGTGACTTTCGTGCTACCGGCTGGATCATTCGAAAGAGCCCCACGGCCCGATAGTTGCGGTGGCACCGGCTCGAGAGACGCGGTGACCCTCTCAGCGGGCTGGTTGGTGACCTGGGTCGGCCGCGCTGGACGCATATCGACCTGCTTCGCACTCCTCTCCTCCACCTCTTCTTCCTCTTCTTCTTCCTCTTCCTCCTCCCGTTCTCTCTTGGCCCTCTGCGTCGGCTCGCCCTTAAAGAATCCCTCGAGCCCTTTCCTCCCCTCCTCCTCCCACCCCCCCTGAACCGCCAACTTCCACCTCGTCCAATCGAGCAGTTTCCCCTCCTTACAGCTCTCCAATATCCACCCCTCCCTAACCACCTTGTAATTCACAAACTGCTTGAACTTCATCTGCGTCAACATCGGCGCAATGATGTACTTGACCATCCCTTTACTCCGCAAGACAGGCCGCACCTCCCCTCCCCGCTGAAGAATCATCTTCCGGATCTCCTCCATCGGCGGGTGCGTATTCCCGTTGATGTAGAAGGAGAGATCCTTGAAGATCTGGGGGAGGTTGGCGGCGGCTGGATCGGCCAGTGCGATATCCCGATTCTGTGTTTGGACCTTGATTTCCTTCTTGCGCATATAGTCGCCAATGTCGCCGAATTTGTTGGGAGCATACTCCGCGCCGGCGAGGTACGAGTGGGAGGAGAGGTCCGCGAAGGGGTCGGCGCGATTGGGGAGGTAGGAGAGGGTCGTACCGGGTGATCGCTCGCGTTCTGGGATGCCGCTTGGCCCTTGGAGAGCCGCAAGCTCCTCCAGCTGCTCCATCCTAGCCAGAGGAGATCTGGGAAGAGACAGTGGCGGTGGACTCAGTCGACGCCTCTTTGCGGAGGGCTGACCATTGTGACCAGCCCCGCCGTCCCCGATGTCCAACTTGGCCGCTTCAGCCCAGAAAGTGGGGGACGATACCGGAAATGACGATGGAGGGTCATCCTGCGATGATTTGCCCAGGTTTGGGCGAGACATGCCCCTCGAGTACCAGTCGCTGCTATATCATTGTATATGAGGATGAGGTATGAAGCACCCTTTGCTCACCACCGTCACCTCTCTCGTCGTCATTGCCGAAAACAGGTTCGGCCTCGGCTTCGGCGAGCTCCGATAAGCTTCACTTGACCATGTGCCGTTCCTAATATAGCAGCTATTGGGGCAGCTCTCTTCCGCTTCTCTTCCTCTACGCTACATCAGGCAGTATGGGCGACATCAAGCTCAGCACAGAAGGCTCCGACCTTCCCTCTCCCGCCTCCACACCCCCCGCACCCCGATCCAACAAGCCGTTCCTCGCCTTACTCTCCCTATTCGGCGTCCTCGCCCTCCTCTCACAATCCTCCATCCCTCTCCCCAAATTCTTCTCGTCCGCATCTTGCAGGAACCACGCCCACTCCGCGACAGCTCTGGCCGCTCTGGAAGCTGCCAAATGCCCCGCTCAGCCTAAATCAATCAATATCGGTACGGACTGGGATATCCTGCACGACGAGGCGTACGCCGAGCTTGCCGCGCGCAGGCTATCGCAGGCGGTCCAGCACGAAACCATCTCATATGATGATTTCACGACCATGCCGGCGAACGATACGGCGCTGGACAAGCACTATGTCTTTGCCGACTGGATGTACAATGAGTACCCCAAGGTGTTCAAGACGCTCAAGCACGAGGTGGTCAATTACCATGGGCAGCTGTTGACGTGGGAAGGGAGCAATCCGGCTCTGCAGCCGATCATCCTTATGGCGCATACGGATGTCGTGCCTGTACCGGAGGATACGATCGGGCAGTGGACGTACCCGCCGTTCGAAGGGCGGATTGTTGTCAATGCGACAGAGGACACGCCGGGGACGTGGATATGGGGACGTGGCGCGAGTGATTGTAAGAACCAGTTGATGGGGATCTTGGGGGCGGCAGAGAGGCTGGTTACAGAGGGATTTAAGCCGGAGCGGACAATCATCATCGCGAGCGGGTTTGACGAGGAGGTACGTTTTTATTGTCTAACAGAGCTGATGGTCAGATTGGCGGTGCCCATGGTGCTGGCGAACTCGGCAAAGTGCTTCAGAGCCGATACGGCGACAATTCTGTTGCGTTCCTGCTCGATGAAGGCTTTGACGGGGTGTCGCAGCAGTACGGCGCCCAGGTCGCAAGCTTCGGGATGGCCGAGAAGGGCGCCATCACCGCCGTTCAGATCAAGGTCGAGACGCCCGGAGGCCACTCCAGTGTCCCGCCCAAGCACACCGGCAGTAAGTACAGCTGATCCCTGCCTTCTGATGTAGAGCCCGCGAGCTTACAAACATAGTCGGAATCATGTCGCTCCTCATCTCGCAGCTCGAATCGCATCCCTTCCACCCCTCCCTGCAGCCGGAATCGCCCTACCTCAAATGGCTCACCTGCATGTCCGACTACGCCCCGGACTTCCCAGCTGGGATGAAGCGACAAGTCAAGCATCCCCGGATGTGGCCCAAGCTCGCCCATCAGCTGGCGCGGAGCGATCGGCGGTTGAACAGCTTTTTGGCGACTACCCAGGCGGCGGATCTGATTAGGGGTGGTGTGAAGGTCAATGCTCTGCCGGAGGTTGTTGAGGGTGAGTTCTCTTCTTCGTACATCCTCCGAACGATCAAAAGCTGATATGTTTAGCCAAAGTCAACTATCGTATTGCCTTGTAAGTTCTTTCCCTCTTCTGCCTCCTGGCGCTGGCCTGGACTGACAAGCAGTACCTCCTCCGTAAACGCCACCCTCAAACACCTAACCGACGTCCTCATCCCCTTCACCAAAAAGCTCGACTTTACCATCTCCCCCTTTACCGACCCCCCCAACGGCAAGAAATCAGCACATCACATCACCCTCTCGATTGGCGATGCGCACCCGCTCGAGCCGGCACCGATCACGCCGGGGGATACTGAGGCGTTCAAGCTGATGGCTGGGACAGCCAAGCATATCTTTGGGGAGGAGACTATTGTTGCTCCGAGTGGGATGTATGGTGAGCTGAGAGTTGTTTGCGGTTGGCACAAACAAGACAAGAGCTGATATGATAGCCAATACGGATACGAGGTGGTTCTGGAACTTGACGAAAAACATTTATCGATTCACCCCGGCGTTGATCAACCCCAACTTTAATGTTCATACCGTTGACGAGGTGAGCTCGACTGCGTGAAGACTCGTCTCAATGAGAAGAGAGCTGATGGGACCAGAAAATGCCACTGTCGGGCCACCTCAATACCACGCGCTTCATCTACAAGCTCATCCGGAACTCGGAAGGGTGGAACACGGACGAGTAGCGGAAGCGTATGAAAAGAAGGACAAGCTCGGAATGGAGCAGTTGTGATGAGAGGCGTAGACCAAGAAGGAGAGACCAAGTTGTTTCGGGATGCACGATCAGATTCTGCAGACTTTGGTGACAGACAGCCTTTCGAAAAGTACTTGATTGTCATGAATGCTAACTACCTGATGCTGATAAACTTATACGTACGACCTAAATCTCCCCTGCTACTTCTCCCTCTCGCGATGCCTCGTCCGCCACTTGATCCACTTGAGCAGGATCGCTCGAAACGACCTGCACCTCCTGCTCAACAACCTGCTCTGCCTCCTGGACCGTATCCACTGGCTCCACCTTGACCCTCTTTCTCTCCTCTTCGGCGTCCTCTTCCGCCTTTCGTTTCCCTGCGTTCCCGCCCTCCCCACCGCCCTCGATCCCCTCCATCGGTGTGACTCGCGGCTCGACCACTTCCGCCTTCACCACCGTCTCTTGCTCCTGTACGTCTTGACCCAATCCTAACGCCTGAACAGCCCCATCCCCATTCACATTCTCCTTCTCTTTCTGCGCTTGCTCAACCATCACTGAATCCGCTTTTGGCCCCTCCGAATCCACCCTATCCCCCGGGACGACAGAGTGCGAAAGCGGATGCGGCTCCACCTTGACCTGCGCCCCCTCCCCATCCGCCTCTGGCGTCATACCGGGCGACTTGGAGCTTGTTCCCCCCGCACTCCCACTTCGGCCCTTTGCGACCCTCGCCAGTCGATTCGCCATGAGTTGTTGTTGTCGACATGTCGCGTGCATAATCTATCTCTGTCAGCTCTACCCTTCTCCCTTATGTGCAAAGACAAGACGACAGAAACTGACCTTCCCACTGATATCGATCGCATTCCTCCACACCCACTCTTCCTCACTTTCCGCCCACTCCCGCTTGAACCCTTCTTTACATATCGGGCACACAGCGCCCGCCCCACCCGCGCCCTGTCCCTCCGGTACTCTCACCCACTTCTTCTGCAGCTCTTCCGCGCTCTTCATCGGCTTCCCAGCGGGTCCTGCGCCGACACCCGAGGTGTTTTTGACGGGAGACTCCCCGCTCGGACCCGCACCGTTACCGTTGGCGTCCATCCCGGCGAGGGTATCAGGAGCGGTCGAGGACCCCGCGACAGGGATATCCCGGACCCACTCGTCCGCGCGCGGAAGCCAGCGCCGGTGTGCGCCCCGGCCGGAAGATGTCCGCTCTTGTTTGTTCCGGCGGGCGTGCCAGTCCATGTGCGCGTTGAGCTGATCGCCGTCCGATGGGAACCGGGCGGCACACTGGGAGCACTGGACGGGGAGGTGTTGCAGGGGAAGAGCGGTCATACTGGGAGTCAGCTTTAGCCCGTGTGACGTAGGAAGATCATGCATACCGGTTCATGTCGAGATTGGAGAGCGAGAGGTTCAGACCGAGCACCATATCCTCATAGTCATCCAGCCTGGTACGCTCCACTTTGAGCGGAATAGGCGCAGCTTCGGGCGTACGGGGTGTACTTCCCGGCATGGAGAGTGCGCCAGCGCCAGCGAGGCTGTTGAGGATATTGAGCATATTGGCGTCAAACATGGGCGCAACGGGAGGTGCCGGTGCTGGTGCTGGAGCGGCGGACGTGGAGGGCAGGTCGATATTGGGTGGATAAGGGGGAGTGTGGCTGGACCGGAGGGGTTGGTCGTAGTTGTGTAGTGTGGGAGCGAAGGGAGGGAGAGCCGGAGCGGCGCCTGCGTTGACAGGCGGGTACGGCGAGGGAATAGCGTGCGAGGGTGGATAAGACGGGGCGATGGTCGGTCTGGGAGGAGGGTACGCCTGAGCCGGTACCGGTAACGCTACCGGAGCAGGAGGCGCCTGGTACCCCATCCCCCTCAACTGATCCATAATCTGCTGCAGCTCAGCCGGCTGGACATGCCTCGTATTAAGCATCTCGCTCAGCCCCATCAACGCCGTCAACTGCGTCTGGATGCTCCTATCCCATGCCCGATGCGCAGCCTCGCCCTGCTTGACCCCAATCGTCGCATGAATAGCCGCAAGGACCGACTCGCGCGTGACGCCCATGCCAACAGGTGCATTCATCCTTTGCTGCCCGGGCCCACCTGAACCTGAACCTGCGCCCGCTCCGCCCACTCCGCCCGCACCAAACACCTCCCGCTCGACCGCCTCGCGCGCGGCAGGACCATACAGCTCGGTTCCGCCCGGACCGGACCGGCGCCAGAGGGAAATCATCTCCTCCATCTTCACCTTGGTCACCCCGTCGACTTCGCGATGCGTGCGGACGTAGAGCCGAGGAATGGCCTGTTGGAGGAGATGGGTGGTGTAGGGTTGTCCGACATTCTTCGAGATGGAATCGAGGAGGTAGAGCTTCGGTAGTTTCTCGTGTGGGGGTGACTAGACCATCAGCACTTTCCTTGAGCTCCTCATAGACGTTTTGTATCAGTAGCTCGAGCGGTGGAAAAGCCCGGAAGATGCATATAGCTACTACGAGACAAAGGAAAAAGGAGGCTCGCGCGACATACCCGATAAACAGCACTCTCAATCTCCTCTACTACCGCCGTCATGTTTGCCCATTGATTCTGATCCCGCTGCTGCATCGCCGTGATGGACAGCTCTTGGATAAGAGGACGCGAATTGAAGGTGAGTTCCCGTAAGCGGTCGGCGTACCATGCTCGGAAAGGGTCAAGTTGGGCGGCCGAGGGCGGCGGGATGGGCTGGTAGTGCTGCGAAGCGGGAGCTGAGTAGCCGTATGAAGGTGCAGGTGGAGGGAGGCCGTAGGACGGAGCCGGGGCGTACGAGTAGGATTGGTACGCCATCGTGTACCGAGCCGGACGATGTATGTTTGAGGGATGAACCGCTTGGACCACACCGGGTATTTGCGCCGACTCGGTGAGGTTCTGAGCGTAATGCTTCTCCCTGACCCTCGTGGACGAGCGAGAGTATACCAGTCAGAAGTTTGCGTCAGACAAACAGCTCAGAAGAGAGGGGCAAGGGGGCGGGTGGAGGTGGTAAGCGTGGGAGAAAGAGATTCTCCTCAAACTGAACAGGCTCTGTGTACTATTGCTACGGCTGGTTGATTGGAGCACAGCGGGCTGACACAAGGCTCCAGGTTCGTACGAGAAGCTGCTCTACTTGGGGGGGGGGGTATTATATGGAGAAGTATAGAAGGAAGAAGAATAGGCTGTTTGACGTGCACTTGTTGCTTGAGACAAGGCTTCGATGACGGGTGGCGATATCTCCGCCGGCCGGCGATTTACAATGTGGCACTTTGCCGCTCAACCACTATCAAGCTCGTGCATCGCATGCAATCTTATCCATACCTTCCTCAAAAGTCACGAGCACATGGAGTACCTATCGTGTAGGATGCGCGGCTCCTTCACTGGCGCTTTACTGCTCGCATATAGCATAGCTGGGCTGAAGAGTCTTGCGCACCGCGGCTGGAAGGACACAGCATTCCTCGGCCTTACATCACCGGGTTTCATCTTGGCGATTCCAGGCACGAGAGGGCTTCTCTTCGGACGCTATTCGCTCCTTTCCCTTCTGTGTACGTGCCTTCAAGTGGTCCATCTCATCAATCCCGTCAGCAAAAGGCACGGAATGTGTGTCAGGCATCTTTGAGTAAGATCGATGTAAGGCATAATCTTCAAGGAGACGAACGAACAAGGGAGGACAGGGAGAGCACGGGAGACGGGAATCCGAAACGCCAAGCCAGCCCCGCCGCATGACGCATCGCATCGAGAACGTTGATTTCTTCTTCTTGTCAACGCTTGATTAGATTGAGTGTGTAACCTACACAGCTTCACAGCAGCATCGCCCTATATCTACTGATCGATAATATACCTAGCATCCATCTCGCATCAGTCTCCGAAACCTTCACAACTCCGCCGCCGCGCCTAGCCTTCATCCAACCTTCATCCACGCCACCCGAACTCCCTTCATCCCAACTGCCTCACCATGCTGCTCCTACTGCCGCTTCTGGCTGGTCTGGCCATAGCGGCGCCTCTCGAAGAACGCTCGATACACCCTCTGGAAGAACGGCAGCTCCCCCCTGGTGACCCATGTGGTCGATTGGTCGGCACTACTCCATGTAAGTCACCTTTGACCTCCCTCCTGATCCAGCTGATCATCAGACTATGCCCCACGCACCATGCTGGCCTGCCTGCAGTCCATCGCGTTCAAGTCGGAGGTCCGGAGCAACATCATGAGCGTTGCCAATGCGATGTACACCCAGCTGGACGTCCTCGCTGCGAATCAGCTGGGGGATACCGAGGAGCCGGTCAACCAAGCGGTGAACATACAGGCGGAGTGTGAGTTAATACCTCCAGTGCTATGACGGCCGCTGATTATGCAGTCCAGCGAATCAACTCCACTACCTACTCCACCGACTACGACTTCCAACACGACCTCTCCCGGTCCATGACCCTGCTCAACGACGGCCATCACGCCTGGTCGAGCTGCTACCGCTCCCTCTTCCAAACCACGCACGCTATCCCCATCGTCTCCCTCTCCTCTTCCGCCGAAAGCACCACCCCCAACATCTACATTGTCCCTGACGTCGCCCGCTTCGTCGCCGCCACCGGCTTCGGCACCATCTACTCTAGCGCCGGGATCGATGTCGCCAGCCTCGCGGGCGCCCAGGTGCTCGGTATTGAAGGCAAGCCAGCGTGGGACTATATCGAGCAGGACAAGCTGCCCGTCACTGGCGTCTACATCGACAAGCAGCAGCGGCTGAACTCGGTGTTTGCGAGCTATGCGGCGGAGGGTGGTGTTTGGGGAAGGGTGCCGGGGCGGTTCACGTCAACGAGGGATCTGACCAAGAACAACTTGACGATGACGGTCAAGACGACAGCGGGGGTCGAGAAGGAGATCAGTATCCCTTGGGTGACGAGGTATGCGACTACGTCGACTTGGAACTATACCTCCGGCGAGGCTTTGTAAGTCCATCCAGCTTGATTTGACTGGAGTGACAGCTGACAGACTACTAGCTGGAATGCCAACTGCGGCTCCGCCCGACCCATTACCCTCCGCGAGACCCCCGGTGGAGGCAATACCACCCAGACCCCGGCTGGAACTACGGTCGCACCTACCATGGCGGACCTCCGTCTCCTCGCCCAATCCGCATACCGCGCATGCCCCGCCACACGCAACACAATCGCCATCCCCGTCGTTACCAGCGAGGACCCTACCAAATCCGCATCCTACCTCGGCGGCCGAGACATCATGTTCTTCTCCATCCCCAATACCAAGACCGGCGTCGTCTACCTCCCCACCTTCCTCCCTGAACCCGCCTCCAACGCGTGCATCACCCGGTACTTTATCGACCTCGTATTCGGTCTTCGGAACTTTACCTCTGCGGGCATCGAGAACGTCCTCATTGACACGAGCAACAATGGGGGCGGGGCGGTCGTACTCTCCCAAGTCGCCCAGGTTCTCTTTACCGGCCAGCGCTTCGAGAACGAGGCCAACTTTGAGACGGTGCTTCGTCGGTCACCGCTCACCGAAGCCATCCTCCAGCGCTTCATCGATACCCCCTCCCTCGCAGACGTCTTTTCCACTTTCAATCCCGCAACGTATCGGAGCGGAACGGCCAATCTCCCCCGGGACGCCAACTACTTCTCCCCCGGCCGGGAATACACAATCAACAACCAGACCCTCCGCACCTCCAACCTCCTCCGTGACCCCACCGAGCAGATCGCCCTCCTCGACATGCTCTTTGATATACCCGACGCAGCGCCGTTCCCACCCAAATCCATCGTTTTTACCGGAAACGGATTGTGCGGCTCAGCGTGCGCGACCTTCACAAACTTCCTCATCGAGTACTACAACGGGACGGGGTACATCCAGGCGGCGCAGCCTAGCAAGCCGATAGAGTTTACGGCGTTCATGGCTGGACAGGCGTTCACCTCGGATGCGGTCTACCAGGAGGCGGCGACTATCGGGTTTGACAATCCCGCATTGTTGCCCAAACTCAATCATGCGGGGTCGTTCGGTTTTGCTATCCGCGCGGCCATTAGCCCGATCCTCGCCCCCGGGGACTTCCTTCAGTACAGGTCGTTCCCAGCGGCGAATCGGTTCGCGCTGACCGCCGAGCGGTACTCGGATCAGATGGCGTCGTGGGCGTATATAGCCAGCAAGGCGTTCCCGAGGAATCTGTAAGCTCGAGCAGGAGGTCATTTGTGACATTTATATTTTGGTCTCATGTGTATTGTATCTTATAGTAGTCATGTATATAAGTGTAAGAGGTATGATGATAGTGCAGCATAGGCGATCAGAAGTCGGATCTCTGCTGTGCTAAGGCATTACAGCCAGACCAGTCCTGTCGCATCCGAGTCGCACCTGTGTCGGCCGCCAACTCCACATTCCTCGTCAACTAACGCACGGATCTGCCACTCGTAGGCAAAATATTTGGGCTGAAAGAAACGTTCGTGACTGTTGTTGATGTTGCCTTCTACCCTTAGATCACAGATACACAGAGCAGCAAGAACAATGGCGTCCGAACAGAAAGGTGAGGAAGGCGTTGAAAAATGCTGACGTTAGTGCTTATTGGATGTATTGGAGGTAGTGGGCTGTACCACCTCGACAACTTGACTCCAGTGTGAGTGTCCTCATTTCGCGTTTGGCGTTGGCTAGAAGGGCCGGTCTCCTGTAGAGACCCATGCTGACTAATGTAGCAAGAAGCTCGACGTCAACACAGTGAGCGTCTCCCCATCGAGACATTCATCAAGTACACCACTGACTCAGCAGCCATGGGGCAAGCCCTCCTCCCCAATCACCATCTCCTCCCTCCCCTCTGGCGCCCTTATCGCCTTCATCTCCCGACACGGCCCCTCGCACACCATCTCGCCCACCGAGGTTCCCGCGCGCGCCAACATCGCCGCTCTCAAGCACCTAGGCTGCGAGGCCATTGTGGCGTTCTCAGCTGTCGGGTCGCTCCGCGAAGAGATCGCCCCAGGACACTTTATCATCCCTGACCAGATCATCGATCGGACCAAGGGGATCAGGGAGGATACCTTCTTCCGTGGTGAGGGGCTGGTGTGCCACTCGATGTTCGGGGATCCGTTCTCGACGCAGTTGAACAGCGTGGTGGGGCCGGTGGTTAGGGAGATTTTGAAGAAGGAGGGGGTGGAGCTGCATGAGGGCAAGACGGTGGTGTGCATGGAGGGTGAGTCTGCCTGAATATCATGAAACCTCTGATTCAATTGCTCCGAGGGGTAGCCATGCAGCGGGGGAGAGCGCGCAGAGTGGAGGAAAGAGAAAGAGGGGGTCGACAGCGACTGTAGCTGACCTGATCAGGTCCCGCCTTCTCCACACGCGCCGAAAGCCTAATGTACCGCCAGTGGGGTGGAGACATCATCAACATGTCCGTCATCCCCGAGGCGAAGCTCGCGCGCGAGGCAGAGCTCGAGTAAGTTTAAATTTCAGCACAGCACAGAATATTCATACTACCCGGGGTTCGGCTGACTCCTCAGCTACACCCTTATCTGCACCTCGACCGACTATGACGCCTGGCGAGTCGGAGAGGCACCCGTGACGGTCGCAGAAGTCGTCAAGACCCTGCATACCAATGCTGCCCACTCGCGCGCCGTCGCCGAGGGGCTGTTGCAAAAGGTGCACGACCACGTGGCCGCGGGCAAGCTGGATCAGATCAAGGGGTCCATGCAGTGGTCTTGCGTCACGGCTAAGGATGTGAGTTTATCACGGCAAAGAAGATGGGGATTGGAGAAGAAGATGGGGATTGAGCTGATATTGTCAGGTTCAGCCGGCGGAGTCGAGGAAGAAGCTCGCATACATCTTGCCGTACTTCAAGGATTAGAGGTATAGATCTAGAGAGGCTAGAGGAGGTATATCTTGTGATGGTATCTGATCGGCTCCTGGATGATCCTGCCGCCATGACCGTCGCTTCCGATGTGCAACTGTGAGAAGGACTTTCTATAGTCCCGACACGGCCTAGTTGGTCTCGAGTATGGCTTCGCCACCCTCAGCGGCTAGCGCGCCACACTGACCTGGCACGCTGCACTCACACTGAGCAGTAGTACGGCATGGGATCTCGCCGCCCAGGCGTCGCACAGCTCATTCAGGAGACCACCCAGCAGACTACCCCCACTCTCGCAACGGTCAAGTGGGGAGGAATGTTACGTAAACTACCGCTTCTGGCAGTTCTGCGGCTTAGAAAATACTTCTTCGGGAGTGGTAACCCCCTAAGCCCCCGCCGGCTGGTGCCTGGTCGCTCGTCGTACTCTCTGTCTCTGCGCTTGATCTCCTCGGTCCCGAGCTCGCTTCCGAAAGGGGGATCCTCCTCGCTGAAGGGACCACTCCCGCTGAAGACTCGTTACCGCTGAGGCCTGAGGCCCGAGGTGTCGTACTTCTCAACAAGTGGTTCCATGAAAGTACATAATGTGAAACGTCCCTCTATCCGCACCATTCACCCTCCTTTGTCTCAGTCGAGAGTGACCACTCCTTTCATCCGACAATGAGATGACTGGGGTCTCTCCGAGAATCATCTTGCCGCCCTTTTCACCATAGACGTCCTCCAGCAGTTTTATCAAACAACGCTCGTACCTGCTTCTCGAACACCGCACGGAAAGATCCTACAAGTCAGCACATCAGTACTGTCCCTCGCATCTCGCTATCCATCTCAGCCCCAGCATGTCTCCCATCCCATACATCCACTTCCACACAGCCATCCCGGTTACCCCGTCCGCTGCCGATCCTTGGCAATTGCTCGAGTCCTGCGTCCGACATAACACCTACCGATCTTTCAAATGGGACCTCCTCCTCTTTACAAGTCAGCCCACATCTCCAGGATTCTGGCCCCTTTTGTATCAAGCTGATCATCTTAGTCGGGGTCGGTGTTGGACTATGTCTCTGTCCCGTCAAGACCCCAATCATGACACCTACAAGACCGATATCACTAGGGCTGGAAGAGGATCGTGAGGTGAGAGAGGAGAAAGTGAGCTGGGGTCTGCCCGGGGGAGGTGGGGAGGCGGATACCAAGGATAGGGCTCCGGCAGAAGAGCGAGTGGGCTTGGACGGTCAGGCGAGCAAGTAGAAAGGGACAAGATGGACCGTGGGATCAGATGAGGGAGGTTGTATTATGGTTGTATCTGCAGAGAGCCCCGTTGTATTGAATAGCATCCAGAATATCTGCGGAATACCTAAGCTGTACATCATGCCGACCCCGTCACCGCGTCGCGCTTCGCCCGCTTGATAGCCTTGGCCTTATTAGTCGCTTGTCTCTCGCCGAAGCCCGAGTCGTGCATTTCCTAAACCAGTCAGCTCTTGCTCGTCATTGGCCATTGTGGCGGGACTCACCATAGTAGCCATCCTCCTGGCCAGACTGACAGCGTTCAACGCCTCCAGCACCTCCTCCTCCGGCAACTCCATCTCCGTCATGCTGACCCCAATATCCTTCTCTATCCGCTGCACAAGCTCGACATCTCTCTCCGTCACCACTGTGACCGCCACACCTCCCCTCCCTGCACGGGCTGTACGACCCACCCGATGAATATAATCATCGGACCGCCGGGGACAATCCCAGTTGACCACCATGGCCACTGACGGTATATCCAGCCCCCGCGAACCGACGTCCGTGGTGACTAGCACCGGTACCTCTCTCGCGCGGAATCGAGCGAGCGAGAGCAGACGCTGTGGTTGAGTGAGATGCGAGTGGAGGGGTACGGACGGGATGTCCAGGTTGGTCAAGAGGAGATGGAGGAGGTGGGCGGTGGCGCATCGCTGAGTGAAGATGATGGTGGAAGGGATGGAGGGCTTTTTGTCGTCATCGTCCTCTGATGGTGGAGAGGGACGGCGGCGTTTTCGGTTGCCCTTGGACGGCTTCTCGGGCTTCGCCTTCGCTGGGACTGCGCGGAGGGCAGCGTCGATCTCGGATGGGGGATGCTGGAGGAGGTAGACGAGGTAGGGGTCGCGGATCTGGGAGGGGATGAAGAGGTATTTCTGCTTGAGCTTTCCGACCGTAAGCGTTCTGTAGCGTCAGCTTCGGGCGGGATCAACGAGACGAACTTTGTGAAAACTCACTCTGACTCCACCCGATAGACGAAAGGCTTCTGCTTTCCTGGTCCAGGCGGCTTGTTGGCCAGCTCCATGATTGCGTCGGAAACGGTAGCGGTAAAGAGACAGGTCTGCCGATTTGGCGGGATCTGAGAAAAGAGGAATGACAGATCGGGAGCGAATGTCGGTGTGAGCAGTCGATCGGCCTCATCCAGAACCTGGAGAGTTAGCTATGCCCAGCGATATCCTGGACAGGTGACAGCTTACCAAAGTGCGGACTCGGCCCAGCTTCCCACTCTGCAGCCCATCACTTCTGATCAGATCACACAGCCGTCCTGGAGTAGCGACGATGATATGTGGCCTCGCAGCCAGTTCCTTTGCCTGCTGGATGCTGTCCATCCCCCCGACGATGGTGATGGTGGTCAATCCGAGCGGACGGCCAACAGCGAGGAATTGCTCGGTGAGCTGGTATGCCAGTTCTCTGAGCACGTCAGCTCAGCCTGGATGTATTGAAGATACAGGCCGTTGAGCTTACCTCGTCGGCGTCAAGACTGCGGCCCAAACCCCAAAGGGATCCCTCGCTATCCTTTCCACGATAGGCAACGCGAACGCCAGCGTCTTTCCACTACCTGTCTTTGCCCCTCCGATACAGTCCCGCCCACTCATAATCGCCTGGATGCACGCCGACTGAATCTCCGTCGGGCGAGAGATATTGATGCTGCCCAGAGCAGAGATGAGGGGAGCGGAGAGACCGAGTGACTCGAAGGTCGTCGTAGCGGCGGGCTTAGGCTCGCTTGCGAAAGCTGAGACCGGAGGTGGAGCTGGTGCCGAGGTACCTTTGGAGATATTGACGCGCGAGATGGAGGGTGCAGCCTTCCGTGGCGGCGAGGACGCTCTGGGCGAGGATGGTCCGGCTTCAGAGTTGGAGTCGGAGGTCGCCTCTTCCTGCAGAGGTGCATTTCCCGACATCTCTTCGCCCGACCCGTTCTTATCCTCCGACCCGTCATCCTCCGCCGAGCCCCTTTCGTCTTCCTCATCGGTCTCCTCCTCGCTCTCGTCCACCTCTGCCCTGCCCTTGCCCTTGTTACTGGCCGCCGCCGCCGCCATCATCGCCTTCATCACCTCATTCTGGTCGAGAACCAGCCCGATATCCGCTTGTTCGGGCTCGCGCGCAGCAGACGACCGTTTCTGCTTCTTGCTGTGCTGTCTGTTCGAGCTGGCGGGCATCTCAGGCAGAGATAAAGGCAGACTTAGGTGTGTTGACGATCTGTAAGCAAGGTGTCGAGGCGTGACGCTGCAGCTGGAAATTTGCATTGCTCTGTTTGGGTGGCGCGGGGCTCCAAGCCATTTACGTAAACCGATATCCGGCACACGCGCGCACGATGACGATTAATTGCCCGCCAGCTGCATGCTCTACCTTGCTCTACTCGACGTCACCTTAGTATACACTAGCTCTGTACATCATACAGCGCACAGAATCATCCTCAGAGGAGCCTACACTCCTACCGAAAGGCTTGCCAGCGAACAATTAGGAAAAAATCATGCGAAATCGCGCGACATAGCGCTCTTTGACATGGGTCCCTCAGCAACTCTGCCGGGCTTGCCCAATACCGCCGACCAGCCTCAGGTGTCACCCAATGACGACCTGGTATCATCGCTCCCTGCTCCTATCGTCCGCCTGCTGGTCCTCTTTGCTCGGCCAATAGCATGGCTACGAATAGCTATCGAGGTGTTATCGTGGAAGGCCGGGAGGAGGGTAGAGAGCTGGATGGTCGTGGGTGGGTGGTGGGGAATATGTCTTGGTGCAGGGCATGCTTTCAAGTGAGTGGCAGCTCGGGAAGTAAGATGGCGCTGATGGTCAGGTACCTCTTGCCTGCGGTTTTATTCCTCCCACTCCTTCCCCTCGAGCGCCTGCGTCTACCTCACGTATCGCAGAACACCAAGAAACCCCCTCCGCCTGAATCTACCCCTCTCCAGCCGTCTACACAGGACACTCTCCTACACACCCTCGCCGATCTACACGCCGTTTATGCCCTCCTTCCCCCAACACCGGCGAAACAGGTCGAAGACGTATACGCACGATTTGCCGGCCTAGGTCAAGCCCGCCTGACCAGGGGCTTTGTCGTCATCTGGTCGACATGGCTCGTCCTGGGCTGGATCGTCGGCTATCGCGCTCTTCTCGCTATACTCGGAAGCGTTATCCTGCTCTACCCATCCCCATCCCTAGCACATCTTGTCCACCTCCTCGGAAAGTCGCTCGCTGTTCGGCGTGGCATCGCGCTGCTCTTCCTCGTCACCTTCGGATCGCATCCGGAACAACGCATCAATGTCGACCTGCACTTCTCGATCTCGAACTGGGTCAAGGGGAAGTGGGCGGCAAGTAGGAGACCAAGTCTTGCTCTAACGTTCCGGCCAAAAGTGGAGGCTGTGTCAGATAAGCAGGAGGCGGATGCAGCGGACGAGGCAGAAGAAAAGGCCGGAGAGCCAATATACTTCAAATTCGAGGTCCACGAGAATCAGAGGTGGTGGATGGGACTGGACTGGACGAGTGCTCTGTTACCGCAGGAAAGACCAAGCTGGTAAGTTATGCCGAGCCCGCCTCTGTCATCTCGCTGACATTATAGGTGTGACTCCCATCTCCTCCCTGCCTCACCCCCTCCTAGTTTCCCACTTCCTCCATCATCTTCCATCACCCTTCCCGCCCCCACCGCTTCCGACCCGGGCGCTACCGTCAGGCGGACTGCAATCTGGCAATGGCTAGATGACGACTGGTCGATCGTGCGCGCTGGTCCCGGCCACAGCTCCTCGCCATTCGTCCCCGCCCCCTCCACTATGCCCGCCCAGCCTTCAGTGAGCTCCAGTACCGAGAGCTATGGGCTCTCCGTCAGTCCCACGCGCTCGATGAGTGCCCAGTCCGCCCTGCACCCCGTAGACGACGCGAACCTCGGCCCGACCGCTCGCGCCCAGTCCATAGCCGAGCAGGCGTTCACGAAGGGACTTGAGCGCCTCAAGGCTCGTACGATCGCAGCTCCAGCCGTACCGGCCGCAAAGGCGGGAAGCCCGAGAGGCAGCGTAGAGATCAGTCGAGGGCGGCGGGAGAGCCAGGCGAGCGATGACGTGCATTCGATGGCGGATGGTTTGCCGTCAGGGCATGTCGGTGCCGGGGCCGGAGGTATTGGGAGCGGCGAGACGATATGCGAGAAGGACGACGCGACCGACGGGGATGGGTGGGTGTATGGGGATAACAAGTGGGAAGGGATGGGGCCGAAAGGCGGTCTTGGTCGCGTGAGTAGTCTATATCCCGGCATTATGTCGGTATCGAAGCTGACTCTACTAGTTCACGAGGCGGAGAAGGTGGCAGCGCAGAGCGATCTGCACCGAGACTATCGAACGCATATCCTCCCCTGCCGCTGCCCTCGCTGTGCTCACTGACGACGCCCCATTGCCATCTCCTGCCAGATCCACCACCCCTACTCCCACAGCAGCAATCACACCCCTGAAAGCCAAGCCTACCATATCGACCGAGGCGGAGATTGCGATTGCAAGGCGATCTTCTTCTTTCAGCCCGTCCAGAGACAGGCGGTCTTCGTCAGGCGCGAGCATGGATCGGACGGGCGCAGCGGATAGGGACGGGGCAGGGGCGCTGTTGGCGGGATCGCCGGGAGGGGCGGCGAGAGACGATGTACTGCGGAAGAGATTACGGAATGCTATGGGCGATCTAGGTGGATAGGTATGTAGCCTTAGCTGTTGGAGCCGAAGCATGATCTTGTGAGATGATATCCACTAATTCCCCACAACGAACCCCGACAACTAGATATATTGGGTCCAGCCCTTCCGACTGATCTTCTACCTACTAGATTGATGATACTCAGCTTACTGAAGCTTGGCTACCTGGGTCGTCATTCTTCCGAACAGCCTCTCTACCCTCCCCTCGGTCCTCGTCACGTTCATCCCGAGTCCACCATGCACTAAACCACGCTTGACCCCCCTCCTCCGCCTCCGACACTGCTTCTGAGTCCCGACCGCCACTCTGCTCGTCGAGTCGCCGGTACCGCTAGCGCCCGCCACGGAGCTGGAGCTGGCGACACTGCTACTTGTGCTCGATGCCTTGCGTGCGGGTGGCGAAGTGGAGTCGGTGGGGGAGGTGCGGCCGGCTGAGCCCTGAGGACCCAAACCGGCCCAAAGGTCTGTCTGTGCGCCGTTGAGGTAGCCGTAGTCCCCGTTGTCTGGGGTATCAGCTTGTTACTGTGAGTCAAGAGGGATCGAGCAGCTCACAGAATGGAGGGTCCATATAGGCCTGATGATTGTTGTTCCGCTCGAGCTGAAGCCAATAGTGTGGCTGCTTGGCGCCGACGGTGCAGTTGGTGGTATCTTGGGGGAGGTGACACTTATTGGCGGTCTTTGCTGATATGTCAGCTCGCACCCTGGCAATATAAGACAAAGCTTACGCGGCGGCAGCTCCCTCATCCCGGTCGCTCCAGTCACATTACACCGATAGTTCAAAACATAGTTCTGCTCACTGCCCGCCAGCGTACTATGGACCCATCCCCACATACAGTGACACCCTCCCGGCGGACATGGCGGCAGATCTGCCGGGATCTGAAACTCGACGTGCTTGAACCAGGGGCAGGTGTAGTTGGTACTGATAACCGTAAAGTCTTCCGGCTGGAGGGCGAATGGGTCCGACTTGTACGCGATCGACAGCCCGCAGCCCTTGACGTCCTTGAGCTGACTAACGGGCGTGTTCCACTTGTCGTCCGTGTGCATCGCGCCGATACCGCCGATGTTTGGGTCGTCTCCCTCGCAGGCGTAGATCCCGTTGCGCTGCTCCGGGGTACCGCCGAGAGTGGTGAGCGCCTTGTTGCATGCGACTTGGCCGTGGTACGTGCCGCCGGAAGGGAGGTTCATCATCTTGCCGGGAGCGGGAGGGCGGTTGATATAGCCGTGGAACCACCAGGATGAGAAGGGGAGATCAGCCAGAGGCTCGACGGGCTGGTATTGATTGACGTCCTTTGGGTCGAAACTGGCTGCATTAGCTCAGTCGTGTCTAGGCTTGAGATGAGCCGCGACGTACCCATACATAGCTTCGTCCCATAGGGCTGTATCATCAGCTGCAGCATGGTTCCATTGAAGCTTGAGTCCGCTTTGGCGGAGCAGCTCACCGATATGCGCCGAGACCTGTGACACAGCATACACCAAAGCTAGGACCAGCTTGCTCTTGTTCATCTCCACCATCATGTTGAGTGTCGACTGATCTAGCGGATTATAAGCGAATGAGAATGGGGTATTTGGGCCAGCGAGAAGTTGCAATATAGCTAACGGTGTATCTGACAATGAGCGAGAAGAGAAGACAACACTCTTTATCGCTTGGAGGTCTTTTGTCAACGTTGGACTGACCAAAAGGCATTCCATCGTGAAATCTGAAACACTTGCCCCTTGAAACGGGGATTTAGGTTTACTCTAGCTCCCCCTCGCGGTCGTACCCCTTCTATCCTGTACGACTTGGCGATTTGGCGCACACAAGGCATGGAGCCGGCTTCTCTGCTGGGGAGCACACGATACACTGAGGGTGCATCATGGGACAAGCCTTGCAAATATGAGTCAGGCGGCAAGAAGCTGGTAAGATCACTGGCCAAATTCTTACCGGAAGCAGTAATTATGCGAGGCTGAAACTAGTCCGTGCGCATGTTTCAGATATTACTTCGTAGACCTTACTGTCCCGCCGCTACGGCTGAAAGGTGCGCAAAGTCGAAGTGACCACATTCGACCGTGACTTCGCAGTGCAGCTTTCACCTGTTCGATTCAGTCCCTTTTTGGGAGATGAGGACATCCTCTGCATGACCTGCGACACCCAAACAATCTGTTTTCGATGTCAACATCTCACCATCCGCTGTTTTCCAGTTATCAGCTCAGACTCGCACGATGGTGACTCAACGCCTCGTGTATCCCACTGCTCGCGCCTTGACACTAATAGTCTCCGCCCACGTTGTGATCAGAACCGAGGGATCCTACTCCTCTTGCGCCAGCTTCGAGGTAGCGAGAAGGCGTGCCTGCAATTCTGACCTGATCCCGGCGAGTTGATCATTGTCCTCTTCCACGCGGTGGAGCGCTTGCGATATATGCTTCATCGCCGCCTGACGGAATCTGAAATGCCGCCTTCGAATCCTGTCGGACGCACGTCTATCCACAGAGCCAGGATCCGGGGTTTCTCCGGCTTGACTCTCGAGCCATGCTTCATGCACCAGGCTGTCGATAGCTCCCGCTGGATTATCGGACTCCGACGTCCGCAGTCGCGCTAGAAGTCTGGATTGATCGCCGAGGACGCTACCGTTGATGTAAGTATCCATCAGAGTTGCCTTGGCAGTACCAAAAGTACGCGTCTGCAGCTCCGATCTGATCTCGGCAAGCTGGGCACTGTCCTCCTGCACGAAGGCGAGCTCTTGTGACATGTGCTCGATCGCTGCCTCTCGAAATCTGAAGCGCCGCCTTCGGATTTTGTTGGAAGTCCGTAGATCCGCAACGCCGGGATCCGGGATTTCTCCGACTTGGCTCTCAAACCACGCCTCATCCACCAAGCTGTCGATAGCGTGGGCTGCACCATCGGACCCCAGCACCTTCAGTCGCGCTAGGAACCTGACGGGATCGCCTAGGATAGTACTGTTGATGTATGTGCCCGTGAGACCAGCCTTCCGCCGCTTCGTGACCTTGACAGGTACTTTGGGTGGCTCATGGGCAGATCCGGCGAGCATGCGCTCGAGGTGCTGCCTCACCGAACCTCGTATCCAGGCCCTCCGGTTTGATGTTCTCTTCTTCACGGGTATAGATCTGTCCATACTCCGCTCGGAAGCAGTCATCACCTCTTGCATGAACTGCCTTGTTGTCTCGTCGATGTTGCCGGCACTGTCTCTGTACAGCGCCCAAAACCGCTGCATACCAGGCTCATACGAGCTAAGATCATCCCGCTTCTTCGGTGTGCTGGCGAAGAGACATAACGCTGCGTCCCGCTCTGCAGATGGTTGTGTGTCATTCGCATACACTTCACTGATCTGGCTTGGATCAAAGGCGGCCGAGTTTGTGGCAGTACGGGACGAGTACTGAACGCTCTCCTGGGTTGATCCGTCGGTAACCCTTGTGTGCGCTCCCGCAGCGCCGAGCAAGAAGCGGGGATCCCACAAAGCGTCATTTTCGAGCTGCTCAGCCAAACCATCTCCGACCTGAGGGTTCGCCCTCGACCTTGTCAGGATTCGCGAAGGCTTTTTTCTCGCAGGCTCGATGGTCGGGCTGGCGGCGATGTCGGACTTCACAGGGCTGGGCGCACTTGGACTTTCGGCCACGTCAGGTCGGTGTTCATTGCTCGTATGGAGGGACTCGACCTCCCCATCTGCGTGCTCCCTTTTGGTGACCGACCGTCTAGAGCTGTGAGAGTCTGATTCTTCATCCACGCTAAGCTCGTCATCATCGCTCATCACGACGGAATCCTCCTCCCCATCAGAGTCTTCCCTCTTCAGGACCGACAGTCCAGGGCTAGGAGTGTCTGAAGTCTCATCACCGCTAAGCGCGTCGTCATCCCCCATCTCGACGTATTCCTCCCCCCCATCGGCTTCTTCCTTCTTGTTGCCCAGTCGTCCAGGGCTGGGAGTGTCTGACTCTTCCTCACCGCTAAGCGCATCTTCATCCTTCAAGTCGACGGAATCCTCCCTGCCATCGGCGCCATCCCTCTTGATACCCGACCGTCGAGGGCCGGGAGTATCTGACGCTTCATCGCCGCTAAGCGCATCTTCATGCTTCGCCTCGACGGAATCATCCTCGCCATCGGAGTCGTCCCTCTTGATGCCCGACCGTCCAGTGCTGAGAGTGTCTGACGCTTCGTCACCGCTATCAAGCGAGTCTTCTTCGATCGTCTCGAAGGAATCATCATCCTCATCGGCGTCTTCTCTCTTGATAGCAGGAGCCAATGAGCCGGCGCCGGACTGTCGTCCCCCAAGCTCTGCCCGTCCTCCCTGCGAATTGGACATCACTGCTTCCTCTGCTCGGCGTGGCCCGCGCTGCTCTTCACTCCACCTGCGCATATCCTGCCTATGGCGGCTGCTGCCTTGAGTGGCCATATCGGGCTCGAGCCAAGCGGGAGATCGAGCAACCCCAGGAGCCCACGGTACCGAAGTATGCTCTTCAGCATGACGAGTCGAGACAGGCTGCTGCAAAGTAGATCGGGAATAGGGCTTGAAATTGAGTTTGGTAAGTGTTGAAGGGGTCCCGTAGCTGTTCTTGCCACCGGCGCTCGTAAGAGAGTTGATGTAAGACTGGATCTCGGCTTCGGGTACTTCACGAACGGGCATTGTAGGCAATGGGTGCGGTAGGACTTGGGTCTGAGCAGGTAGTAGGGATTTGAGGCCGTGCGGTTGTAGTGATGATGTGACGTATTCCCTCGTTGTGGGCACAAGCACTGGCTGAGACGTTGAGAGACCCCTTCGGACGAACAAAGGACCTCTTTTCTCAAAGGAGACCTCACCTCTATTTCTTGCTTCTTACCCCCTTTGATCATGACAGAAGCGTCCCGTCGATCACGAAGCTACATCGGACACATGGGGAGATTCATACGCCAAACTTGCTGCCAAAGGCGTACCATCTAGCTCTACTGAGATCTCTCGGCAATAGCAAGAAGGCGACTATGTAGCTCCGATCGAATCTCTGCGGGAGACACATATGAGATCGGTCTCTCGGGACATATGCTCTATAGCAGCTTCTCGGAAACGACCATGGCGCTTTCTGGTGTTGCTCGAAGTACGTCCACCGGCCATAGCGAGCTCTGAGGTGGACCCGGCGTGACTCTCGTTCCATGCTTCCTCCACCAGCCTGTCGATAGCCGCGGACTCATCCTCAGATCTTAGAAGTTCCAATCGGGCCAAGACCCTAGATGGTTCCTGCAGGATGCTGCTTTTGATAAAAGTTGCGTTGAGGCTAGCCCTCCTCGAGTGAGGATCGTGGGTGACTGGCACTTTGAGGGGCCTATGTGCAGGTCCTGCCAGACTTGTATTGAGGCCAGCCTTCCGCGGGTATGAAACGTGGACGGGCACTTTGAGGTGCTCAAGAGCAGGTCCTGCTACCACGCGTGCAAGGTGCCGCCTGATCATCTTCCGTGCCCGAGTCTTCCGAGTGGACCACATTCTCTCCGTAACGATAGATCTGTCGAGTCCCTTCTCGACGGCTGTGAGTACCTCGTCCATGAATCTTCCTCTTGTCTGTCCGATGTCGCCACCACACTCTTGGTTCAGCGTCCAAAAGCGTTGCACTCCCAGCTCATATGTGCTGAGATCGTCCGATCCCTCCGTTTCCTTTGCGAAAAGGCATAGAGCCTCGTCAAGCTCTGAAAGTTGTTGCGTGTCAGAGCAAGACTTCCCATCATATGACTGAAGCGGACCTGAAGCGGTGAATGTGTCGACGGTATGGGATGTAGGGCCCCTCGGGAGATCTGAGTCACTGGCACAGGATACCGCCGCGTCATCGACCGAGGGGCGAAGGTCCCCAATGCCGTCCGCTAGGAGCCGCTCAGACGACCAGTCCTCGACTTGCGGATACATCCTTGCCACAGGAGCTCGGTAAGAGGGTGGAGACCATCACAACAGGTCTGGAGCCCTACCATCTCCAACTCCCTTGAGATCTCGTTGCCCCTCGCTTTCTGAAGGCATGGGAGCGCTCGTGTCGGATGCCTGGAAGATGTGCTTGTATGCCCTGGGGTATGGAGGAGCAAGGACCTCCAACATGGTAATGTCTTGAGGAACCGGTAGTGCCTCGCTGATGCCATTGACTTCGGAGGCGACATCGGGATGTCCTACTGAAGAGCTCTGAAAGCGTTGTGGGGAAAGCGCAGGCTTGATACAATTCCGCCACACAACGAGGAATGAGGAGGTCCGTGCACAGCACACAGGCGAGGCTGACGAGAGCCATGGATGGCTAAGCGTTGGATGGATCGTCAAGCACCGTACATAGTACTAGCCACATACATGTTCATGTAGCTCTTGCTCTGTCTCACCTGCAGCTTGGCCATTCGACACTCGGTGCTACTCCCATCGACATCTATACGGCTCGGCACACTCCTCGTATCCCTCTCATACCCCTCTCCTGTGCGCCAGTCCTCCCTGGTCCACCTCGATCTCCTCTCTTTCGCTAGCCATCACCCGGCTTCCACCCTTTTTCACCACAGCGTGCTCCGGAGTCTTGCCGATGATGAGCGTTGCATGGGGGCAACATCCCAATGGCTGTGTTTACCTGGGATGCGTAGCTCATGAGGGCCGGATCGTGGTCTTGCCGAACAGGTTCCATGGTCGTAGAATATTGCACTGGGGGAGGTGCGAAATCTGCGACAAGATCCAAAGACACAAATGGAGGAGCCCATGGTAGCGAAGAGCCCCCTTGAAGGCTTACAGTATAGGGAGTACTCGACGATCGGACTAGCTGAGGATCGGGGCCAAGATCGAAGCTGACAAATGGCAAGGGTACCCTGCGTACTGTAGTGTCGCCACCCGGCCCTTGGAGTGATGGTATGTAGGATCGCCCCGTGTTCTTTGGTGGCATGTCGGATTGGGTGCTCGGTACCCGTACGAATGTAATGGGGAAGGGTATGAGGCTGCTGAGAGGCGTTCAGCAGATTGTGAGGAACTTGAGGGTTTGTAGTGGTAGGGATGCGAGGTGGAAATACATCATCCTCCCCGGCTTTGGGATTCTGGCCGTGCCTGAGAAGCTGAGAACCTGTTCTCGAAGTGTACTTGCTCGATAGACCCTTTAGATGAACAAAGGTACTCTTCACTCAAGGGGAACCTTGCCTGCATTCTTTGCTTCTCGCCCCCTTTGATAATGCCGCGCCCGAAGAGGCCCGTCGCGAGGCTATACTGTACACGTGCTAGGATCATTGGGAAGCTCGGAGGGCAGTCTTCCTATCGGTAGCTGACGCGTGGCCAGGCTTACAGCCGGTAAGTACCCTGGCGCCTTGCCACACAGTACAGCCCCCGGCTACCAGATGTGCCACACTGCCACATGCCCACCCTAGGGAGTCTCTGACGGCGTTCGCAAGTCAGACAGAGAAGTGACTATCCAGACATGGCTGATCTAACATGGTAACGAAAGGAGACAGTCAGGTACATTCCGGTGCCCGATACTCCAGCGACAGGCAGTTATAAGAACCCCTCCCTCTATCGTGTCATTCATTCCCAGCTCACTTTCCAACGCATAGCCTAGACGGGCTCGACACAGTCACAGTAACCTTCGTATCATATTCACAGAAGTCGACGCATACCGAATATGTATACAAGCTCACACCCATGTAAGTTCTCATCGCAGCTCCAGCAAGCCTGATCACTCCCTCAACTGGTAAGCGATCCCTACCCAGTACTGGCTTGTCCTAACCGGCCTGTCATTCATCCCTACCTCTTTCGAGGTTTGGAGAAGCGTGGTCCCACTGAGCTCAGGTCGCTGACTGCCTCAGCCACAGTCATGTCGGGCTTCCCATCCTTCATGAGTTTGAGCTGTCCTCGAATGCGATCCCTCCAATTGCTGCGAGTACTCAGTTGTGGGGCAACTTTCGCTGTGAGCACCTCGGAGAGCTGCTCGATGCAGTCAATCTCCCATCGCACCCTCTCCTCCGTCACGTCGGGCGCTCGGGACGCCTGCCACATGGTCTGCCAGCGTTTACCATTCTGTTGCGTCCTGTGAGGGTTCATTTTTCGTCGGGTTTGTCGCTGAGCTCCGTCCGCCCCTGTGGCGTTGCTGATACTCTCTCCTTGCCCGTCGTCGATGCTGCCGAGCGTGTGTGATAGATGCTGAAAGGCAGCCAATCTGAACGTTCGATGTCTCCCTCTGAAAGTTGCGATCTTGACCTTGTCTGACCCATTGCGAGCTAGACTCGCCTCGCTCTCCACCTCTGCCCATGCTTCCTTGATGAGCTCATCGACCGCCTCGACCTGGCCGAAGACAGCCTTGAGCTGTTCATAGCGTTCGAGGCATGCTGTGTGATTTCCCAGAATACTGGACTCGATCCAACGTCTGGTGTCATCGATCCGAATCCTGGGCCTCCAGGGACTCTTGTTTTCGCCTTCCAGATGGCCCTTGCCAGAGTGTTCCAGTATCCGCGTGATGTGCTGCCTCGCCGCCTTCCTGATATTCGACCTGCGTACGTACAGAGTCTGATCAGCGAGACCATCTGTATCCATTCCCTCCTCGGCTGTATCGACGACCATCTTTACGAATTTCGTCTTGGTCTCGTCAATATTCTCCTTGAGGGCGGCATAGATTGTCCAGAAGTGAGTCATGCCTTGGTCGTATGATCTCATCTCATCCTCCTCTGACAAAGTCTCTGCAAAGACGCTCAAGGATGGATCGGTCTTGGGCAGCGAAGATGCTTCACCGTCAGACTCATTGGATGGATGGTACGGCGAGACTGGCTGCGGAGTCGGGGCCTCACTCTTGACCGCATCGGGAAAGTCTCCATCCTCCTCCTCCTCTCCATCCTCCTCGTCCTCCTCCATTTGATCGTCCTCACTATCGGCTTGCTCCCTCTTAATGGCACCAGATGGAAACTGGGTGTCGATATGAGGCACTCTGTACTCGGCGTGATCTTCACTCCGGTGGAACACCACAGCCACCTCGGCTCGATGTGGCTGCTCCCTGTCCTGCCCACCGCGACCGCGGTTTTGGTCCACACCAGTGGGCTCAGGAGGATCCTGAGATGTGATGGCCCGAGGAGTCCACCGACCACCCCTATAGGCACGAGGACGACGAGTGGCAGCTGGTGGCGGCGTCGGCGCCATGTCGGGCTTGGCCTTGAAAGTGGCAAAACACGAAGGTGCTGCGCTGCTGCCAGCCACCCTCTCGAGCGATCTTATGTAGGCCTGTATCGTCTCTTCCGATGCTTCAGGGCTTGACATTGTGGTGATAGGAGCTGGTAGGGCGGAGGTGTGCGCGAAGAGTCAGGAGCGAAGGAGCGAGAGACTGCTGTGTGTGCGATTGTATTGATGCGAAATGAACATGCATGTATCGCTCTTTCCTTGGTTTCATCACTGGATCAGAAGTTCAGACCCACTCTTTCAGAAGCTCAAAAGCTTCTCAGAAGCGTCGGTCATGCTTCGTATGATATCTCATTGTGCGATCGACCTGCTCAAGGACAAAGGTACTCGTCAAACAAGGGGAACCTTGCTCTGCGTTACTGGCTTCTTTCCCCCTTTGATCGCGCCGATCCCGATGGGGCTCATCACGAGGTACATACTTAGGGGCCATCGAGCCACTCAGGCAGTCAGCCAGCCTATAGCCGGGACAAGTGACCTAGCGGCCTAGCGTCCACTCCATGCACCCCGCCACTTTCGCTTCGCCATACCGCCACATTCCTCTCTCGCTAAACTTTTCGACCTCCTCGAGCATCATAAAGCAAGCCAAAGAGTCACCTATATATCCTTGATATCCTTGGAATGTGCAGCTCGTCGTGGACTAGTACTGCCTGGTTGCAGTACTATGCCCCCTAGACAGCCTCACAACACCCCTCCTCCGCCCAATTGGCCCGAATCCGTCCAATATCTCACCAAATCCCGCCTCTCCCCCTCCTTCCCCGCCCAGCTCATCCCGCTCATCAGCTCCTCCACCAAATTCACACCCAAACCCTCTACTCATCCCGGACACGTCGTCATCAAGCGCATCACGACTCCCGGACATCCTGCCAACGGTCAGAATGGACTATTCGCCAAAGCCAAAATACCGGCTGGAACGCTGATCATCCCTTATCTCGGTGTCATTCACGCTTCTTTCGTGCTCGCAGATCCTGAAAAGTCGCTTGACATACCAAGTCCCAGCTTGGATGTCGGGCAAAAGCACGAGCATAGCGACTACGATCTCTCGCTCCTCCGTATTTCGGCCAGCGAGCCTCGCAACCCCTTCTCTGGCGTACACATCTCGATCGGCGTCGACGCGGATCAGAGCGGGAACGCCGGGAGGATGGTGAATGATTACAGAGGTGTTGGGACTGCGCCGAATGCTGAGTTTAGAGTAGGAACGGGAGAAGGAGGGGATATGCGGATGGAGCTGTGGAGTCTGAAGGAAGGGGTCAAGAAGGGGCATGAGGTGCTAGTCAGCTATGGGAAGGGATGGTGGGCTGGACGGAGGGATGGAGGGGATTGAAGACCGCCCCCGCTTCATCAGGTTTATTGGACATCTATCGAATGGAGCTACGCCCACTCCCAGCGCCATCCACCTCGGTCCCCGTCGGTATCTCCCTCTCGCAAAGCCGGTCGAGCCCATTCGCCCCGCCCACACCGCCTCTGCTTGATGTAGCACGTCGTCTCCGGGTCGGCCGCGAAGTCCAGCTGGAACTGTGGGGCATGAATGTCTTCGGCGATTGTATCTGCAGTCGTGAGTTGTGCTTCCCATAGCTACAGTCAAGAGAGGCGTGACTGACCGAACGGAGAGACAACGCCTATCGCTTCTTCCCCCAATATCCAGCGCAACCCGTCCAGGATCTTGATCCGCTTTTGTCGGACCTGGGAGGACATGGCGCTTTCGTTGACGCCGGTCGCGGTCGAAGAGGGAAGCAAGACGGGGAGCGAGCTGTGCGCGTCCAGGTTTGGCTCAAGCACGATGAGCTGGGTTGGCGGTCTGGGCATCAGCGCGGAGCTTCGCATCCAGTGATAGATCTACCTCGATGGATCGCTGCTCGATATGTGATCGACGGTGGCTCTGCTCGCAGAGATCAAATCGAGGTAGTCGGACAGCTTGACACTGCGCATCAGCCACGTCCAATGGTACCCGTAAAGTCAGCCTCACCTTTTCTTGAAGCGCAGCTTCGGCTCCATTGCCTGCATACCGCCAAAGAGCCCATCCATTCCATCGTCGGGTAAGGCGTTCTCATCCATCCCTTCCCACTCCATCAACAACCCCGCTAGATCCCAAAACACCACCAGTCCAGGCGGACTTTCCAGCATAAATGTGCTTTCTGCGGGTGCTGGTGCGGCTGAAGTGTGGTCTCGGGGTGTGAGGAGGGACAGGAGGAGGGTGAGATGTGCAGGTGAGGGGCAGTATCTGCAGGCATCAGCAGTCTTCCGGTTTCCGGCAGCGTTCAACGTGGAGACCTACCGTATATCCACGCGTTTCAGCCTGTCCAATACCGTATAGTCCGATCCATGATCCCTCATCCAGTCCTCATCATCGTCCTGCAGCACCTGGTAGAACTCATCCTTCCGCCCAGTAACGATCAACACCCTTTCCGGGCGCCGTTTCCTTCTCTCCGACTTTCCACCTTCGGTCGCTGCTACTCCGACCGGCCCTGCCTGATGTCTGGATGGACCCGCATCATTGTCGAGCCGGACAGTGCTCTCGTACTCTGGTAGATCCGAAAGTGCGAGCCAGTTCAGAGCGAGGCTTAGGGGCGTGGTCGGCGGGAGGGGGCCGAGGATGGCTGCTGATGGGGAAGGAAGAGGGCGATGGGGTGCGCTGTGCGGTTCGCGACTGGGCGGAAGGAGGGCGGAAATGGGCAGGTAGGTCGGGCTGGGGGAGGGAGCGATGGCCATATCTATTGTAGACCTTGATGAGGGCGATATGAGGAGGTGAAGAGGTGATTGTTAGAGGTGGAGTTGGTGGGTGGAGGTCCGAGCTTTCAGCTTTCCGCCGGGCCGATTATCGATTAGCCGCGAGAAGCCGTGACATACCTCTTGCTTTTGCCTATATCACTCCAGACCACCTACAAATATAGCAAGATGGGCAGTGAGTGCCTCAGCTAGCCACATATCAGCCCCAAGTAGGCTAGGATCCGAGCTGATCGCCAGAAATCGTACACATCGTTCTCTGGAAGCTCCGCAAGGCGGCCAACGAGGAGGCGCTCGTCCAGGCCAAGGCGTCCATTGCTGCCTTGAAGAACGTCCCGGGTCCCGAGACTGTGCGTATGCGCTCCATCCAGCTAGCAATTGCTCAAAGCCTTGCGACCGACAAGCTGATAGTATAGATGCAATTGGGTCCTCCGCTCATGGACGCCCGAGCTAAGGGGTACGACTGGGGTACGTTTCCCCCGCAGGAGGCGCTGGAAAGAGAGGACAGCAGCTGATCAGTCTTCAGGTCTGTACTCGGTCTTCTCGTCCAAGGCCGCTCTGCAGGAGTATGCAGTCTCAGAAGCGCACGTCAATGTCGTCAAGAACAACGTCGGGCCGAACGTCGAGGGTGAGCTGACCGGTGGTCCAAGATCTGGTGAGACCGAGTTGACGAATTAGAGGTACTGGCGTACGACTTCGAGCTGGAGGCATAGAAGTATCGCGATCTGATGCCAAGATGCATTGGGAGATACCGAAACGAGCTATTCGCCTGATATGGCTTGACCAGATGTCTCTCCCAAGATACGCCGCATTCCCTCTCGCCCATCACCCGCACCCACTCTCCAAGCTCTGCTGACCGACCCTCCACATCGGAGACAGCTCCACCCCTTGTCTTTTTGCTCTTCCTCCTTCTCTCCGTCCGCAAATTTCCTCCCCTTCTTCCCGCCCCCGCCCTTCTCCTTCTGCCGCCTCTTGACCGATTCGTGGTGCTTGTACAGCTCCTCCCCTATACAGTAATAACACCACCTACACCCGCCCCAGCAGTCCGACTGCGCTGGAACGAATATTCGCGTCTCTTCTTGACCCGCGGCTTCGTCCTGCCCTGAGCCCGATATAGGCGGAAGAGATATCCCTGATCCTGCGCCTATGGAGTCGAGAGGGCGCGGCGCGGCTGATTGGCGGAGATGGCATATTGGGCAGGTATCGAGGGGGAGATCCGCCAGTGGACCTTGATGTTTGGCTGGAGAGGATACATGCCCTCCTGCGGTCTTGGAAGAAAGTGAGGGTAGGAGGGGTATGGAGGAGTAGTCGATCTTGGTGGGGCGGGAGAGGAGGGCGGATATAGGACTGAGCAGGGCGGAAGGGGCGAGGAAGGCCGGAAGTGGAGGTAGTAGAGGTATGGAGAACATGGCAAACTCCTGGTTTGATCAGCGGCCTGGTTGCAACCCCGACTGATGTGAGGATAGCTCACGGTGAAGGCGCTCCAGACAAGCTGGCGGTTCATGAATTCGTACGAGACGAGCTTTTGCAGGTGTGGCGAAGCGGGAACGAGACGAAGCTTCATGATCCGCATGAGCAAGGATGGGTATCTGATACTTAGCTTTGTTTCTCTTGAAGTAAACGATGAAGGCGACTCACTTCCCGTCCCATAAGAACGCGCCCCACCCAGCGAGCTCCCATACTCGCGCACACTCTTCCAGCCGCACAATCACCTTCCAAGCTTTCCTCCGCCAATCGTGCGCCGGCAGATCAGGCCATTGTTTCGACAATGCGCGATTCCGAAGTCGTGTCAGGACATAGGTGGGAAATATGGGCGGATGGAGGAGAAGGTACAGAAGGAGTAGCTTCTGGGGAGCTGCACGGTGTTAGCTTAAGTTCTGCATCACTGGTTGAGACAGTCCGAAATCCCTGATGCGAACCTTTCAGAGAGCCATTTGGCGAGTCATGGACCATCTTGAGGTTCTGCAGCCTCGCACCTGGACTGGACCGCGCTAGGGGCCCGAAGTACGATAGCCGGAATACGACCAGCTTCAGTATCAAGCTGATTTCCGGCTTGAAGTCAACGCCTAGATTGCTCTGAAAAGTCAGCTAGCTCTCTGAGGTAGAGGTTGGATGGCTACGAGCCGATCAACCTACCCTGATGTTCCCCATACTGCGCTCCACCTTCTCCGCGAGCATGCCGACCAGCCCCTCATCGAGCTCGTCCGCGTCAACCTGGCTTACGCGGGGAGCGGGCGGCAGGAGTACGTGTCGTGACGTCGTAGCGTCTTCAGGTCCCGGTCGCGCGTCCATCTCGCTCGTCATCCGAGGACCTGGGTGGGCGTCAAATGAGACGTTGATGAGAGAAGTTGCCTGCGAACGGGTTTCTGATAGCCGGGCGATTTTGATCCTCATTCCTCCAAACACGTGGCTTTAGCATCAAGCGCTCTGACCAAGCCAAGCCAAGCAAGCTGCTGCAGCAGTCGTTCAGATTAGCACTGTACCTCATCTACTCGCTCACAAGAACACCTCAGGATGCCCATCGCCCTCGACTATAACACAGCGACCAGCTCGTCAAAGTCAGCTATTCGATTTCTCCTTGGCGAAAGGGCCGAGAGCTGACTCCGCAGAAACATCCCGGACCCACCAGGTCATCTCGCCCGACTCTCCTTGAAGGAGGCCACCAAGGTGAGCTCTCTTCTACCCGGGAATGGGTACCCTGTAACGTGATAAAGCTGATGCATGCTCCAGAAAGAAGCAGCAGCCAAGCCAGATGAGAAGAGCATAGCGCTCAAGAACCGCCGGTCTGATGAGCTCAAGATGAAGCGCGCATGGGAGCTGGCGACTTCGTGAGTATCTCCCTCATACAGGCTGCTTACAAGACTTTGCTCCGAGGCATCTTAAATGGTTTGAAGAGATTGGCGCGGAGCGAGCACATAACTGACATCGCAGACCTGCCAAGAGTCTGCCCATGCAGGCTGTCATGCTGTATTTCTCAGGCTCAGGCGTCCAGATCTTCTCGCTCGGAATGATCTTCATGCTGCTTACTTCGCCACTGACTGCTATCGCTGGGATATTACGAGGTTAGCTCCTCTTGCCTGTCCAACGCTCAGATCAGACTTCGGAAGGGGGCACAAGCTGATGTTCTTAGCCTTTGAAGCGCTCCGCCCCTCCCCTCCATCCGACTCATCATCCGATGCTCCAGCAGAGCCGTCATATCTTCCGCTAGCAGGACCGATGGCATTATATGCGGCATGCCAAGGGCTCGTGTAAGTCCAGCTAGCGTCTGCGCTTGAGTCATTCTGACTGACTGTCTAGCTTGGCGCTGGGATTATGGAAATGCTGGAGTATGGGCGTACTCCCTTCGGGCGCAGCAGATTGGCTGCAGTTTGAAACGAGATTAGAGGTGAGCTATATGACCACGTTTGTCTTTGGCGCAGGAGCTAGATGGTATGCGACCGAGCTGATTGTGCAGCCACCAGAATGGTCTGCTATCCGCTCACTCTCGCTCGGATAGCACATAAATCATGATGCACGACATGACGATGGCTTTTGGATCGAATGCGTCACTAAACAGCTACTCATACATTCTGTCTCATACTGATACGTGAATACTGACGAAGGAACCCGGCGCCTGTGACTGCTGCCGCGCTGCGCCTCTTTGCGGGTAGCGTGGATCCGAAAAGAGTGATGCTGCTACGCTTGGCGGCTCAGAGCTCGAGGTATGGGTGCCGGCAACTTGATCGCCATGATCTTCTCCTTCGAGGGTTCAGCAGACGATGTCTCCTCCATGAACATCTTTGTCGCTTCCTCGGTGACGGTCCGTGCGAGACGAAGCCTGCGAGTATTGAGCGCGTCCCCCAGGATCCATATCCGCTCCTCGGCAGAAAGATTGTCGCGGGCATTGAGGGTCTCGATCAAGACTAGCGTGTTGTCCCAGTGTTGACGGATGCAGTCCTTGATCAGATTTTGGTCGCCGGGATACAGGCTGATCACCGCCTTCCGCGAGGTGGCAGACCGAATTGCCGCGATCCTTCGCTGCAATAGGGTTTCCCAGGTTTCCTCCAGGAGGGAAGGATCGATGGTCGGAGGACCATCATGGATACCGGGCCAATTGCCGTCTGCCGTGAACGCCGACCTTCCGGGGTAGGGCATCGCCAAAACGTCATGTGCGCTCTCACTCGCGGTGCGTTCCTTCGCCAGATCACCGTACACATTCCTCCCCTCGCCATCAGTTTGTCCTTTTCGCTCGCCAAAAGGCAATGATACTGCGGGTGAGAGGTCGCCGTTCTCACCCGTATCATCAGACGACCTGTACGCCTCCTCGAAGAAGGTCTCCGTCGGCGGAGATGGCGTGGTAAGGGGTGCAGTCTGATCGTCGCTCATCTTGATGAGATTGGGGATTTGTCAAAGGTGATAAACGAAAGCGAAGAAAAGTACTGTGGTCCCACTCAGACACTCACACCGGCGGACTGGGTCTAAAAATATTGAGCACTCCTTCCAGTCCCCAAGAACACTGTCAACAAAGGTAGCAGGTGTACAAGGTTGTGAGATCATCACGTGGTCAGGGTGTCTGGGTTTGAACGAGTAAGGGGGCTGTACAAGTATCCGCAGCTGGGCCCAGACCCTCGGGAGGGAGAAGATCCCCGCTGAGGCAGAGGAGTAGCTTAGACCGCTGTCAAGCAAGATATAGATGTATAGAGTAAATCACCGACCTTGCACTGAATGCACTAGGCGCGCCGACATTCTGACTGGCTACATTTGATACTTGAGGGGATACTACAAGATATGTAGCTCTCAAAACCTCGAGGGGGCGGACCCGCGCTCGTTGAGTGTCACCCCCGTCCGATCGATTATCCCTCACATTGGTGCTGACCCCCCTCCGGCGTCCTCCTTCCCAACTTATAATCCTCCTCCCTATCCCTCTTCTCCCCCTCCATCCTCCCCTTCTCCGCTTGCCCCTGTCCCTGTATCTTCCCCTCCTTCCTCTCGGGTCCCGCATACTCCCCCACCCGCTCATAGAACAGCATAACCACCTGACTCCTACTACCCACCAGCGCCTCCTCCCCCACTTCCTCCACTTCATCATCGCTGACCCGTAACCACCCTTTCCCCGGGATCGTTTCTTCCTCCCTCACCTGCCCGAAATACGCACACGATTCGCAGGTACATCCGTCGGGGCAGGACTTTGTGATATGCGTTGGGCGCCGACTTCCGGGGTGGGAAGTACCCTCAGACGACGTCGACGAGGAGGATGACGCCATTGTAGACCGGGTAGCTGTCGGTTTCCTCCGGATACAGACGTAGTGCCCGCTCGAGTGCGTGTACCCATAGTGCAGAATGACACTTTCGAGGCGATACAGTACCCTCCGTTGTACCCCTTTCCCCTCCGCCCCTCCCTCCCCAGTCTCAGCCAGAGCTCCCAGCACTCCAGTCCGCTCATCCCATATTCCCCTTGTAACGAATCGCGTCAGATCCAATACCACAGGATACCCCACGCGCGCCGATTTCTTGAGGAGCACGCCGTATGGCGTATACTCGCTCCGGATAAGGTGGAGCCGGAGGGTCTGGGGCGGCCGCGTGATGAGTGCCGCACGTACAGAATTTGTATTGGCCGTTTGCCACTTGATGGGTATTGCGGCGGTAGAGGGACCGGCGGAGGGAGGCGGGAGAAGGAATTCGCCGAAATGCGAGACGGTGCCTGATTCGAGCATGCTGGCCAGGCGGCCTTCGAGACGTTTGGCCTCTTTGGCGCGTTTACGGCGGGCGGGTGTCATCTCTGCTGAGGCTGTGGGTGCGGGTGCGGTCGAGGACGAAGGGGTAGTACGGAGATCTTCCAAGGCGCCGAATGAACCCGACCCGGCCCGGATGGGTTTGGACGATGAGGCAGCGGAGGAAGAAGGGAGGTTGGAGAGCCGTTCGACTTCGGCTTGATAGTGCGCGTGCGTGCGCCGGAGGGAGCACATCTCGCATGTCACGCCCGTAAGGAGCTCAGGAGCGAGGTATTGCGCGATACAGGCATCAAGAGAGACGTCGCCCTGTAGGTCAGCTCATCACCCTGCAAATCGAAAAGTGGCAGACGGGTCATTCTAGCTCACGCTTTGCGGTAATGACAGCTCCATCCCACCCACGGGCTCCATCCTGACCGCCTCACACCAGCCACAGACCTTACACACCCTCCGGCGAGCCATGAGCCCTTCCCAAGGCTGCGCCAGCCCCCTCTGCCGCTTGACTCTCCGCTTTGCCTCTTCCTTCTCCCCCTTCTTCATCCCCATCCCGCCGCCCCCTATTCTCCCTAATCCAGCAGCCTTCCCCGCTGCCCATCCTTGCAAAGTCAATACCTCCCCCAACCCCCTCGAGCGCGAAACCTCCCCGGCGACCTTGATAGACTCCACGGATACCGCATCGGCAAGGACGAGGAACAGCTCGTGGGCGTCTTGCTGTTCCCGGGTGCCAAGGAGGCGCTGGATTGTAGGAAGGGTAGAGAGGGCAGAAAGGAGGGAGGTGGGGCGGATAGGGCGGCGAGGTCGGGGAGAGGGGGTGTTGAGGTCTAGGATGTCAGCTTTGGCCGGGCGGATCCAATGGGAAGCACTGGGATATTTAGCTGACCTTGTAAGACCTCAATGAGGGTGTCTGCGATCGGTGTTGGGACGTCAAGCTCTACTGCGAGGGCGATGATGCGTTCTAGGTGAGTGACGAGCGATGGAATCGAAGCGAAGGACTGGATGTCAGCCACCTCCCCTTCGCCCCACATTGCGTCGGATCTGTTCATACCTGGAGGACAGAATTCATATAACACAGCGTGCCGCTAAGGTTTACCATACCCGGATAGAACCCCTTATCCGCTACACCAGTCAGCCCAGCCTCTTCCCACCCAAAACAGGGGGGATTTGACTCACAGTCTGTACCGGCACCTTCGACACGCCTCCTCCGCTTCGTATTCCCAACCACCTCCCTCTTCTCCATCCCAATCCCCTCATCTCCCTCCTCCCCAGACCCTGCAACGGCCCCTACACCTAAGAAACGGAGTATTCCGAGCGTCATATCGTTCCCGGCCTGGAAGAAGCCCGAGTAGAGCGTCGAATACCCAACTAAGAGTATAGCGTAGATTTGCGCAAAGATCTCCGAGAGGTCGACTGGCCACCCAGACCTTGTATCCCCCAAAGATGTATGATGAGGTTGAGCGATTCTGCGCTTGTCCGCGTCCTCGTCCGTGTCGGTATCGTCGGTCCCGGTCTCGCTGTGGGTGTCGTCGGTATGTGACCGAGAGGCAGTAGGGGTATTCACAGTCGGATGTCCTCGGCGGCGTGGTCGTCGTCTCAGCTCGTGTGTCGACATGGGGGCTGAAACATGCTACGCTCTGCGGGCTCGGCGGGGGTAGGGTGGAGCTGAGAGGGAGAAAGGATAGCTACGGTGTAGATGGATGATGGAGCGTCGAAGTGTTTGAGCTTGTCAAAGAGGTTTCAGAATTTGGAGGGTGCCCTTCGTCCTTTGCCTCATTTCTCATCGGTGATCACTTCCAGGACCGGTCTGTATCCCTCGGGGCCACTTCTTACAGCTGGACAGGTCAAGATGTCCTCCACACAGGATGAGCTGCGATTGCAGAATGCCCGAGAAACGATAGACTGTTCGTCCTCCCCTTCTGCGTATCGCATACCTCGGCGCATCTCGCCCTGTTCGTGGTGTGAAGCTGACGCCTGTAGCGTTACATGACCTCTCACAGCTCCTATCGACCGGTAATACCTTTGAGGTCGCCATCGGGGAACTTGGAGACTGACTGGGCAGGACTCGATAAGCAGCAACTTTCTATATGCGTCGGTATGATCGAGGCGGGTGCCAACCCCGATACCCTCGCTGTACGTCTCCCCCTCTCCCCCTCTCCCCCTCCCCTCCGTCGTCGACTGGGCGAGATCTTTATGCTCAGAGAGCAGTGGCTGACCGGTAGGCTGTCATCAAAGAGCTGAGAAGGGAGAATGAGAAGCTGCAGGCCCGACAACAGGCGGAAGACGCGCAGGATAGATGATCATCGACAGGATCCTTCAGCGCTGAGGTATTGTATGATAGCTTCCGAGTATCGTTGTATATATGGACCAAGGGATGAGGTAGCGCCTCAGCTGACGTCAATTCACATGTAGAAGTGCATAGGATACGAAAGACTGACCCAGCCCACAGAGCCCAAAGAGTGTGTGGAATCGCACCGAAAGCGGTGCGGTTCTCAAGTACAAGCAGAGAAGGAGTGTGACTATATATTGACAGAGAGGAAGGTTGTAAGAAGCCGGACAGAAGGAGACGATCATAGCAGACCACAATCCCGGAGGTTCGCTGATGGGTCAGCTCAAGTATTCTCGTGTTGTTCTGACGGAGCCCGCCCAGCTCACTTTGAATCAGCAAGTCGTTCACCGCCGAGATGACAAACGACAATGCCCTCGTATCTGTCGCGTCGGTGTAGTGCTACCATGTCAGCTCATCTTCCCCTTGGCGAACATCGGAAGTAAGGAACTCACCGCATAGATCGACTTGCTCGGGTTCTTGTTGAGCCCCACAAACTTCTCCAGCAAGAAGGAGCACGCGGCATCATAGTTCCCGCCGCCCTTGTACTCGGGGAACGTATCCGCCAAGGGTGAATATGGGAGTTTGGCGCGGAAGAGATCGATCTTGTTGAGGAAGAGAATGATTGAGGTCTTGATGAACCATCGCGAGTTGGCGACTGATTCGAAGAGGGTCATGGCTTCGCTCATCCGGTTGACGGTTTCGTCTTCGTATAGCTTTTGGTCGTCTGGATGATCAGCTCGAAGTCCCAAGAGAGACAAGTCCTAGTAGCTGAGGATACGCACATTCGCTTATGGCGATGAGGAAGACCAAGGCTGTGACCGAGTCGAAGATGTTCAACCATTTCCGACTATCTGGTCAGCTTCTCCCCCGAGGCCGTCACCAATGGATCCAGGAGTTGAGCTTACCGTTCTGACCGCTGACCTCCAACATCAAACAGCTTGTACGTCAACTCGCCAATCTTGAAGTGCGTCTCGGTGATACCCGTCGTCTTGACTCGGGCACGCAAGATATCCTGGTCCGTCGGCATATAGTTGGACGCCGCAATCCGGTTGATGGCGTCAAAGTAGCTAATGGTCAGCTCGTCTCTCGCTCTAGGGTGGCAAACGTACTAGGGGGCCGAGTCGTTCAATTGAAGCTCATTCCGCCTGTTGAATGCTTCCCTGACGCCCTGATCCTGCCACAGCCCCGCTACAGCATCCACGAGCATCGGTGGCATCTGCCCGCCCTCGACTTGTACCGGCGCCTCCATGATGGACTTGAAGCGCGCGTCGTTGGCAGGGTGGATGGTGATGCCCATGAGGGTGACACCGTCCAGAAGGACCCGCATGGATTGGACCGTGTTGGAGTAGACGATCTCTCGGAAGGAGTCGCGTTCTTCGGCGTCGTAGGGTCTGTGCGTCAGCCATATGTCTCGTGAGGAGAAGGAAGGGAAGGAGGAATGATGAGAGTATTCAAAGGTGGGATGATGGGCAAAGACCTACTTGTTGTATATCAACCGCATCTGTTTGAGCACTGTCGACTTGCCCGACTCTCCCGCACCAAGAAGCAACATCTTGATCTCATTCCTCATGCTGATACGATCACGCTTCAGCTGCTCCTCAATCTCCTGGTTACCTGTCCTGTCAGCTGTGCATGCGCTTTCATCGGGCGGAGACTTACGAGCCTTGCCAGCGGCATCTTCTTCGACTGATTGACCGCAGCCCATTTTGACTGACGTGGATGGATGAAGGGGTTAGGATGAAGGGTGAAGGTGAAGGCGAAGGCGGGTGGCCAAGTAGTTCCTGCGGTGCAGATATCTGTTTGTGAAGGAGCGAAGGGTATGAATCGAGATATCAGGTAAGGACGGGATTGCGAAGGAGGTGGAGCTGAGTAGTGTCAGCGCTAGCGATGATGATTGATGACTAGCCGAGTGAGGGTGATGGGGGAACAAGCTGTCCGAGCGCGTGCTAAAAGTCGCCCTCACGACGACTAATTATCCCCCTGTCGACCTGTCCTTAGACCAAAGGACGGGAGGAGCTTCGGAGACGGACATCTCCCTCCTCCGAGGGAGCCCCTTCAAGGCTTACTACGGGTTGGAAGGAGGGCACACAAGATGTGTGTATCTGCGGGCCATGTGGGGAGGAGTGACAGAGGGACTCACCTAACTCTCCGGTGTGCTGAAAAAGGTGAAGAAGTGGTAGCCGTAGCGATCACTGATCACTGTCTGTCGCCACCTAGATGTAAGATGAGAAGCAAAAGTCTCGTCCAGACTAGCTCTGAGCTGAAACGCGACCGAATGCGAGTTGGTCCGGGCGCAGCGGCGAAAAGGTGGAGGCAGAGGGTGGATCGAGCGGGCGGAATGGCGGGCTAAGGGGTAATCTGAAACACACAAGGGGGGCCACGCGAGAGGAGGGGGAGGGGGAGTGTCCGAGCGTGTGCTGATGGGGATGTGGCAGTGCTTTCTCGGTGGTAGTGGACGATCTGTCGGGGTGAACGAGTCGGCGAGGATATCGGACCCGACGAGCTGAGGACAGATGGACAGCAGGCGAGTTGGCTTGGTTAGGCTTCTATGCGTCCCAATGTAAGGGCTAGCGCTGGTAATGAAGGTAAAGGGCAGGATGAAGGACGAAACCGACATCCCCTCTGCTGTCCGCACACTTCATATCATCCCTCCGCTCAAGTCGGCATTGTCTACGCTGCCGACAAGGGCCACAAGGTGATGATCAGTCATCGGAGAATTTACCTTGTCCTCCAGAACCTTATTTCCCTCAATCGCTTGTATCACTGCCGCAAGCGGGCATCACTTCGCTTTTGATGCGCGACGAGTTTGCAAGCGCCGAGAACGGTGCCTGCGAACGCACACTGTTGTCCGGCTCGCTCGGGGCTACTGGCGAGTGCAGCTGACTACGACAAGGAGCTCGACAAGGGCGAGGAGGACGAGAACAAAAAGGCCTCTGTGATCGAGGAATGATCATCGTTTGGACAAGAGGCAATTTGAACCGTGCCTGAGCGACTACTAGCGTCAACTGGGTGATGCGCCTCTGGTGCCTTGCACTCTATCGCTGCTATAGCTCCTCCATCACACTCCGCCTGTAGTCTCCAGGACCCAAGAGCACGTCGGCGGCTCCGTCATAGCTTCGCATCGACAGCTCAGCGCATCTCCAGCGCGTCACTAGAACGCGCGAGAGAGCTGGGAGCGATGAGATGAGCACCAACCTCCAGGACTATGTCGAGGTGCGTCATCCTCGTCTCTGTAGGAGCTGCGCTGAAGCCACTAGCTCCTCAATGCCGAGCAGCACGTCCAGGTCGACAAGCTCCGCGATAATGCACGACACGGGATAACGCCTCGGGTTCGAGGAGTGAGTCCATCTGTCCCTCCTTCTGTATTTTCGGTCTGCGGAATCGGCTGACTCTACAGGAAGTATGGATGTACCTCCTTGGCGTCCTCACGGAGGACAAGACAAACGAGATAACGACTGTCATGGCGCTTTCATCCTCTTACGCCCTACTCCCCTCTTCTTTACCGTCGAACTTATCAGCGCTCCTGCTCAAGACGGCGCTAAAGCACCACACGCACCGGTTCTTCAATCCGACGTATGCCGGGTTGATTTCGAGCATCACGGCCGAGCAGGCAGGGGAGCAGCCTTCGTCATTGGGGAGACAAAGCAGAGAGGCAGCGGGCGGTAGAGCGCAGGATACTGGATATGGACGGGCAGTATCGTCCTCCATCGCCATCGCCGGCGACGAGGCGGGACCGTCCAAATCGCCAGCCCCGCCCTCTTCGACCTCAAGCTCCACCTCCATCCCCGCCTCTAGCCCACCTATCAAGCCCTCCTCCTCCTCCGCTCCCGGCTCGGCCTTCTTCCCCACCCCGACCCAATCGTCCTCCACCCCCTCTTCCAACCCCGCCCCATCCTCAGCTCCGGCCGGAGGAGACCAGCAGACCCTTCGAACGCAATACGGCCGGTTCCTCCCTCCGCCCCCGGTAGTCCCGCCTACGCGCCACGGCTATCTCGCGCTGCTCGAGGAGGTCTTGGGCAAGTTTTATCACGCCGAGCGGGAAGACGGGCGGGATGGGGAGTATAGGCGCCGGACGACAGGGCTGGAGGGCACGGAACGGGAATGGGTGTGGCTGGTTACGCCGTTCATGTGTTGCTTGACGAGGCCGGTAGCTGTGTATCTTGGGTTTGGGAAGTTGACGGGGCGTATGCGTAAGTTCTGTTTGAGAGGGAAGAAGTCATAGGGGTGGAAGAAGGGGAGTTGCTGATCCAGTAGGGTCGTTCCCACCCTTGTCATCCCGACTAGCCATGGTTCTTACCTTGTTCAGAATGGCCCAGCCAGAGCTGTTCTCATACTTCGAGGACGAGCAAGTACGGTATCAAGATATCGTTCTCAGCTGGGTTCAAACGCTGTTCGCAAAGGAGATGTGGCTGGGCAATGTGATGCGGCTATGGGGTACGCCTCTTTCAGACTCGAAGCAGTTCAAGGAGAAATGCTCATGAACTAGATGCCTATCTCGCAGCGGACGACATGTTCGAGCTGCACTGCTACGTGTGCGTAGCCGTCCTAGCTACATGCCGCGAGTAAGTCCACCACATCCCCTCGTCAGCACGCTACGGGAAGCGCTGACACCGGACCAGGACGCTAGAAGAGCTCGATGGGGGTGAAGTCAAGATGATGCTCCTGGATCTCCCTCCTCTGGATATTGACCGCGTGAGTCTGCTTCAAGAGTGGTCCGATGTGGAGTGCGAGCTGACGATGGTGTAGCTGCTCCAGGACGCCGCAAACCTGCGTGTGACGTACTCTGTGCCGCGACCCGTCGATCTTTCGGAGTAATTAATGCGGGATCCTTCCTACCGCATGGATGGATCTCCCCTGTGAGCTGCAGTGCGAGCTAGCAACGGGGCACCAGGTCAGTCAATCGTCCATTGGACATCTTGCCGTGCAGCGCGAGCGCCTCCGAAACCCGAGCTCAGATCGGGACATTGGTATTCAACTTCACTAACATGTTGACCTCTATGGACTGGCTCACCCCTCTTGATCTGATTCTGGACCCTCAACTCATTTTGTACCACAGTATCCAGATATATCTGACCCTCCAATTCAAATGCCTTCGTCCCCCGAAGTTCACTTCGCCTCCTCTGTGCTCCAGGCATCTTTGTAGCCCGTGCGCTTTCTCTCTGACTCAAGGCTCCAGTACCTCTCAACGACATCGCTGACGGTCGGCTGCCGGTCGATCGCTGATGCAATGACGTCCGGGACGCACGCAAATCTCCTGCGCCGGAGGTTGTTGAGCATCTTCTTGTCAGCATTCGCGGATCTTTGATCGCGATCCTCGATGCTCAAAATGCACTCCCCGAGGAATCTGGTACGTTCAGCCTCCTCCGGATCCGAACCCGCCTTTCGCAACCTCTTGCTCAACCAGTCCGGCCAGTTTGGCACTTCGATGCTTGCGACATCATCTGGGCCGATGAGACCTTTGGACGTCTTAAAATATCGCTCCACCTCCTCGCGCAGCTTGGCCTTGTACCGGCTCTTTCGTGATTTCGATGCCCGAGCTTTCTTGGAGACCTTGCCCGTTGCCATTGCAGGCTCGATGTCGCTCTTTTGGTACGATCACCAGCGATCGTTCATCCACTGGTCCAGTAAAAGCTGGTTCGTGTACTTGGTTTCTGCTGACATGTTCTTCGTAAACCTGATGCGATCTTTGCCTGCGGCGCAGGCCTCCTCCGGAATGTGCGTCACTCCACCCTCATTGCCTTTGGATATCTGGGTTGCTGCACTGCCACTGACCGGAAAAGGGGCAGGGCCAGTGGAGTTCTCATCATCGCTTCCGTAACGCGGACCTGTAACGACATCAGGTTGGATGACATTGAGGGAACCTACCGGTCGGCCAGTAAGGCTCGCTCGGACCCTCTCCTGCTTCACTCATGCTGAATGCTGGGTACTGGGTGAGCACGTCCAGCTCCTGCTCGTCCTCGTCTCCGTCAACCTCTGTCCCGGGGGTGTCGTAGAAGTCCTTGAAGAACGCGCGGGCTGACTGCTCACTGTAATCTTGACGAGAAGACATGGTGGGTTGCAATGCTTGTCGCAGGTGTGGGGCGAAAGGAAAGATCAGTTCTTCAGCGTGGGTCTATCACCCTATCGCGGTCTCACCAGTCTCTCTGAGCGGAGTGCATACATGGTCGTGTCCTTTCATAGTTGAAAACACGTCAGGCTGATTGCTAACACATGAGAGCTCATCGGCGGTCGCAACCCCTCGCTCTCAAAGGATCACGTCCTCTGCTTCATCGTCATCACCCGATCCGATCAGCCAAGGATCGGCCGTACGTCTTGCGTACGACCGATTTGGCGGTCGCGACAAGTTCGCACTCGCGGCGATTCGGCTGGTACGATTCCGATCAATGGCTGACCGCTTTCACAACCATACTATAAGTCTATAAGTAATATGACCTGCATGCCATCGTAAAACTCGCTGCTTCCCATCAAGCGTATTGATGACTACCCATTCCCGGACATCTGAAGTGGGACATCCTTGCCATCGCCGTTGGACTTACCTGTCGCCCGTACTAGCATGGATAGGCCGCCTACTCGTGGAGTGCCCCCTATATAGTAAGAAATGGTATTTCGTCTCTCGCCGCTAGCTGTTCGTGCTTCGTCTTATCCCGGACGCCAGCCTCTTTGGGCGCACCGCTACCTCAGACACTCTAGATGGCCTCAAGTAGAATACAGCATGCACCGTTCCACTAAAACTATCACCTCTGCATACAGACTGACTCTCACGCACTACTGACCTGGAGGTCAATCTCTACACCGAAACTGCTCAGCTCAATATATTCAACCCCTCAGCACAAGACTGTTGCTCGAGATCAACCTTCACCGTCTCCTGGCACCACGACTGCCTATATCTTTCGTCTCGCCCCCTTTTCGCAGTCTGCTCAACCGCGTAACACCTGCGTGCGACCTCGTCCGTAGTCACGTCCCGGCTCGCTGCGTCTTGCACGATCGGAACGTTGGTCGTCCTCTTGCGTCTCAGGTCGTTCTTCTGGCGGGTGGTCCTCGTTTCCGGGTGGTCCATGCCTTCGATCGCCTTGATAATCTCCGCAATGGTCAAGGTTCTTTGGTAATGCTCAGAGCCAGGGTCGAGGTCTCTTAGCCAATTGCGCTGCCACAATGGCCAATCGAGTGTATTCTCGATGTCTGCGGCGGCACTTGTGGAGACTGTGTCATCCGTCCGTAGATCATCCAGTGCAGCTGTGATCAGGGCAGCTCTGTACTTCTGCCCCTCCTCGAAGAGACTCGCGTCGGACGGGACAGCGATGTTGCCTCTCAATGCTGTCTTAAGGATTCCTGTTTTGTACACCCTCCAGCGAGCCCGGCTCCACTTGTCAAGGACACTATGCACACCCGTGGTCGAGACCTGTGACCTGAGATCCGCTATTTCCTCGGCGGTCACGAAGGGTTCGAGCGCACTCGACATGCTGTGGTCAGGCGCCATGGGATCGTTGACACCGCTCACGTCATTCGGTGAGGGCGCAGCGGGTGACGGTGGCGAATCGGCTGTCGGTTGCGTCTCCAGCTGTGGATCAGGCTCTGAGCCTGAGAGGTGTCAGCTTATGTAGCCGAACTGTGCTGCAAGCTATCACATACCGCAATACCAGTCTAGATCGCTAGAAGTCTCTCTGGCTTCGTCGCCGCCCTCTGTTTCGCTGCTGTTCCCAGCTTCGCTCGGGCCGGCACAGCCAGGGTCGAGAGTATCGAGGTACCTGAGGTAGGGATCGACTATATCGACCATAAGACGATCCCAGTAATCTGTGTCCATTGGATCTTCACATTGATACGATGGGGGCGAATTGAATTCGAACATGACGGTGAAGTTGTCAGGTGGTACAGAGGTAGGAGCATGTCTTGCCAATTAGGGCTCGTACCGGCCTGGAAATCGATGCGGATCTGGTGTGAGCAGCCCCATGGCGGAGTGTAGACCAGTCTGTCTCCCTTGACAATTCAAACATGTCACATCATTCAGAGACAGCAGGCTCCGCGCCCTCAAAGGACTGCTTCCTTTGGTCACCGCAATCGCTGATGTGCGAGGTTTCATCATCAGTTTCACCAGGAGAATGCCGCTAACATGAGTATCGGAGCATCACACAGCTTGAGGGCGATCAAACAATTTGCTACATCGGTATGTTCACGGACGAGGGTCTGTCAAACTAGACATTTTTTGAGTTCAAGTAATTTAAGGGATGGACTGGTGAGGGTTCTCCTCCTTGTGGTCATCCGCCCTACCCTCCTCACCCTCCACCTCGGGGTTCCTGTGCTTCTTCGTCTTGGTCTCTCCTGGCTCCTTGACAACGACCATCCGAGTCCAGGCGCTGAGGTCCTCAGCTTCACATCAAAAGGATATCATAGCCACGCAGAACTCACCGCTCGTACTGCACAGCCGGTGCCACCGCCACACCGAGCGTCTGCGCCGCCTTGAGCGGGAAGTCGATATCCCTCAACACCTCCCGAGCCATGAAGACGACATCTGCCTCGCCGTCCTCGATGATGGAGTTGGACTCTTCCGCCTCGGTGATGATCCCGACGGCGCCAACGAGGAGGTTCGGTACGTTCTTCTTGACGTGCGCGGCGAAGGGGACCTCTGCACGATCAGCTATCGATAGAGTATAAAGGAAAGAGAGAAGTCGATATAGGGGAAAGAGAGAAGTTGACGTACGGTACTTTGGTCCAACGGTGATCTTCTGTCGCTTGTCATTGCCGCCCGAACTGACGTCGAGGAGATCCACGCCGAGATCCCTCAGCTGCGCAGCAAAGATGGTAGTCTGCTCGATACCCCACCATCCCCACTCCTCCTTCTCTCCCGGGTGGGCCTTCTCGGGTCCGTCGACCTCCTCGAGCCAGTCAGACGCGGAGAGACGGTAGAAGAGCGGTCCATCCCATGCCGCACGGACAGCCTTGGTGACCTCGAGGGGGAGGCGAAGACGGTTCTCGAGGTTGCCGCCGTAGTTGTCGGTACGGCGGTTGGAGAGAGGTGAGGTGAACTCTGAGATATCAGCTGGAACCCCAGCGACAGTAGAGGAGGGGGGTGAAGGTCATACCGTGGAAGAGATACCCGTGCGCCCCGTGCAGCTCAATGAAGTCGAATCCGATGGTCTTACACCGCTCGACGGCCTCGAGGAACGCCTTCTTGAGATCCTCAATGTACTCGGAGGAAGCAGCGACAACGTCCGGGTAGTTGCCCTCATTATACGAGATGTCTGAGGGACCCATGACTGCATTATCAACTCATGTCCTGCGATGACAATACATTGTGCTTACCTCCACTGCCCCAACCACCGTTGGCATCGCTGGCGACGGACCCGCCTTGCCATCCCGAATCGCCAGCGATCATCTGGACCCATGGCGCGAGGGTCGATGCTTTGCGACCAGCATGTGCGAGCTGGATGCCGATCTTGCTGTTGAGACCGTGCACGTAGTCGACGATCCGCTTGAAGCCGGGGATGTGGTCGTCGGACCAGATACCCTATTGAATCAGCCGACCTTCCTCTGCCCAGACCGATAAGTACTCACCGAGTCTTCCGGGGTGATCCGGCCCTCGGGAACGACAGCCGAAGCCTCGACCATGATGTTCCCCCAGCCACGCATGGCCATGGAGCCAAGGTGGACAAAGTGGTGGTCGGTAGCCTTTCCAAAGTCCGAGGAGTCTGTATAAGTCAGCTATAGTCTGCTGAGACTGTATCAATCAGTAAAGATACTCACACTGGCACATAGGCGACACCCAAGCCCTGTTCGGGAACTCCACCCCCCGGATGGTCAACGCATCAAAGAGCTTTGGCGGCTTCGCGTTCTGCTTGAACTTCTCAGCTGGCAAGAGCGAGCCGATAGGGTATGGCTGCTGCGGCAGGTACTCGTGGTACCCCTCAGCCCTGGGATTGGGGAAGGGAGCCACCTGGCCGTCTTTGCCAGAGTCGGCAGAGGCGGAGGGTTTGGCGGAGTGAGGGGCGGGGCCGTACTCGTAACCGTTTGGGGTAAGGCGGACTTGGGGCTGAGCCATTTTGAGCTGAGATCTGGAGTTGGAGGTGGGAGGTGATAGCTGTGGTTCTGTGGGGGTGTGAGAACTGGTATGAGGGGTGAGAGTCCTCTTTTTGAAGGTCACTTCATAGTCCAAGTGGTCTCTGTCAGCAAGCAAGGCGCGCAGGGCGGCCTCCACCTCCACCGTGCCTTGGTAATCCACCATCATGAATACGTCATTCGGTCGTACCGGCACAGACCGGCACGGTGAGTCAGATTGATGACTCATCACATTCCTCGCCAAGAGTGGCTGATCTCAGCGAGATCTCCCAGATCTCTCCCGTTGCCACAGTGTTGCCACGGTCTCGTTGTCGGGTCTGCATGTGGCCCATGGCACTGTGGGAACGTGCCAGGCCGCTCGGGGCGCAATGACAAAAATTCTGGCCAAAAATGGTCGCGAATGGAAGACCTCAAGTGGGAGGCCGAGTCTCGCCGAGATTCACTCTGCTGTACCAGGTGGGATTGCCACGGTCCTGTAGAGAAGCTGAAGCTGCAACCTTCTTCAATGACGCTGAAATTGCAAGTGGACGTACCTCATGCGGGTCCTCAGCTGATTGGCAGACCCCACGGCCCGACAAGATGTACCGCTAGCGGGCTACTTCATCAGTCAAGAGGGATGAAATTGCTTGGGATTCGCCACCCGAATGTGTGACCACATACCAGACGACCTTGACTCCTCCTAGCATGAATGCCGGCCCTGCGTATAGGATATGAACAGTAGCTCTCATCTCGGGGCATCAATCCACCACGAGATCGCTGCGCTAGGATGTCCGAGCATGTGCCACAGTGCTGCCATTAGCCACACGGCCAAACTCGCGTTTTAGGCACGGGCCCACACCGTACCATCCTCCATGCTAGTGGAAGGTCGTGGAAGGTACTAGTGGTCTCTAGGCGCAATAGAGACTGCCAGAAAGGACCATCAATATTCGGGCGCATCCCGGAACGTTGTGTGAGAAAGGGAGATTCGAATCATTCAAGCCCCGCTCATGGCAGCGGACGCCACTCCGCCACCTATATAAGGTGCGTAAGCGAGGTCCTTGGTCTGTTCATGCTCCAGTCATCCAGACCACATCCCTCATATCCGTCTACGTCCAGCTCATACCTCAAACAGCCACATACTACCAAGCACGAAGTTACCCTTCCTGCGCCATGAGTGCTTTCTCGTACGACTCTGACTCTGGTGTCTCGCAGTCCCGGCAATCTAGCCAAGATGACCACGATCATGCTTCCAGCGGCCGTGGCACCGACGGTAAGCCTTGCGGATATGGTCCCGGTCGTTATCGCTGTCTTGAGGGGACGTTCAGCTGATCAGGACGCAGGCTCACGCTCTGAGTGGGGTTTCTTGCTCAAGGACGTGGACTCCCCAGATTCGGCAAGGGATTCTGAAGCGGAAAGCTCAGGCGTCAGCGATCACAGTCGCGGTCGACAATTGAGAAGGGGAAGGAACCACGCCAGATTTGTCGATGGCAGGCTGGATACGCAAAGCCGTTCCAGCTGCGGGAGGAGCACGAGCGAGTATGGCCGGGACGTCAGTGCTTCGCCGTCGAGCGGGTATGGCGGAGCGGGCCCCAGCGCTCCGGCGTCGGAGTCGAGCGTGGGTGACGGGGAACGGAGCGAGTCGAGATCTTGGGATCCGAGCCGAGCGTTTGGGACGAGCAGAGGGGGCAGACGGAGGCGGGCCGAGAATTGAGGGCCAGGTCGCCTGATCCGAAGACAGACGCATCCAGGGTGACTTGCCGGGATCGACTGAGCCTGTGTCAACTGTCAGAGACTGTCAGATTTTATCAGACACTATCAGAGACTATCGGAGACCATAAATTATGAGGAGCGATTGCCCCCTCAGACTGATCACTATGAGTCTCCGCATCCCGGGTCCGGAAGGACCCCGTCCTGCTGATTTGTGACAACGCGATACTAGCGCCATCTACGTCAGTCGAGCAGGAAGGGCACATCCGACTGGCCGATGACAGTGTCCACACAACACGCCGCGCAGCAGCATTTGGTGTGTTGCAAAGATTCCAGGGGTAACCAGAAAAGGGGCAGAATTTCTGGCATGTTGGGGGTCGGTCAGCGGATCAAAGGATATCGCAGATGACACTTGTTCGGGGTGGTCTCCGCATACCAGCCACCTCGAGGAGCCGCTGGAAGGGAGTACCCGTTCTTACACGTTCTAGCAGATACTGGTCAAAGGTGAACCTGGGCCTGAGCCATCGTCTGGGAAGAGATATATAGCGGCACGATCAGCCTTCGATACCTCCTTCACAACACTTTCCTCCCATCTCAGAATCAGATATTGAATATCTCATTCTCACTCGTCAGTTCAAAACACGACCACCACCCCTCTCATATTCCACAGTACCCGTTATCCGCCATGAGCTACACCTCTGGGCAGTCCGGCCTCTCTCAACAGTCCCAATCCTCTTGGGGTGGGAGCCAGAGTCCCGATTCGCGCGTCGGCAGTGAGTCAAATGAGTGGTTGAGCCTGTATTCAGGTTCGGCCATGAGCAGTCAGGACACTGGCTAACTGGGATGAAATTCATACCGCGGACCCATCAAGACAACCGTCATGGCCCGGACCGCATCAGGCTTCGACCCTCATGAGGTAGATTCGAATGGCAATCCTCGTTACAAGAGCTGTGCCGGATGCGGAGACTGTGCCGGACGCGCAGACAAGACGCAGACGGGTAGCGCTTGGAGTGATCAAAGCGTGTACGGCGGAGGACGATCCAGCGCTCAATCATCAGCACCGAGCGCAAGCGACGCGTCGGGCATTTGGGACGACAGTCGCGCTTCGGGTACAGGGGCATCGAGTACTGGAGGTCCTTAGGTGTGAATACTCCAGCAGCAATGTCGTACTTCAGGCAGTGAGACGTATCAGCGGCAGCGTCTGACCGGAGTGCAGATCGTTAGCGCGTCACGAAGCGAAAGACGAGACATACCGGGAGCCTATCATGCACAGAATCGCACTATGCACACATGCCGTGCTCGTAATCTGCATATCTCTGTCAGAGGTGGATCTTCAGCTCCATCAGTACTAGTCAGCTACTTAGACCAACCACAATGCAAGAGCTACAAAAACGACACAAACTCCCCGCCCTTTTACATCTCCCTCGCTTTGATTTTCTGTCTATATACTTCTCGCTTATCTCCCCTCTTGGTCTGTACAGCTGCACTCCCTACTCGCCCACAGCCCACCACATCCCATCCAGTTCCTGCCTCACATACGCATCCACCCCATTCCTCCCAATCAACCCCAAAACCATCTCTTCCCTCCCGGCTAACCAACCCCTCTCCACCGGGCGATTCGCAAAGCTCCAGCCGTCCCCATCCCCGTCTCCCCCCAGGGCCGCCGAGAAGCTCATCCCGACCTGCCCGTCCATCGTACACGATACCGTCCCATTCAGCACACCCAGCGTCTCCGCCAGGCGTCTGCAAAGCACGTGGAAGATATTGCCCCGGCCGTCGATGGGCGGAGTGGGCGCAGCGGCGCCCAGACCGGACGTAAGGACCGGAGGGGGTGGAGTGGACGTTGCTGTCGTTTGGATCAGATGGAGAATTATGCCTAGCGCACCGGGGACGTGGCGCATCCGTGTCCTAACCGATGCGGGCGCGAGGAAGGCGAGCGAGTACAGCGATAAAGCGAGGAACTCCGTCATGACCAACACATCCTCGTGGATCTGGAGCGCCTCCTCCTGTCTCCGGGTGTTGGGGAGGAGGCGCACGAGCCCTTCGTAGAGTGCTACGAGCTCATCCCCTGGGATCTTGGACAGAACCTCGCGGTTCGTGTCTGCCTGGGAGAGGACACACCATGCCTCCACCGCACGATTGACCGAGTGAATGATGGGCAGAGGGGCCTCCCGGACGGGCATGTAGGCCGCGTACCAGCTCTCCTTGGCGCCGAGGGCGGACCATGCGGAAGTAAGGAAGGACGCAAGCAACCGATGGATGGAAAGGACCGCCCAGGGCTCGACGAGCCGAAGGCTTGTATGTTGCCCGAGATTGGAAAGGATCGATACGTAGTCCCGCCGGATCCGACCGAGCTCGAGGATAGAGTAAGGCTCGTCCCCTGTTCCGCGGGTAGGAAGGCGCGCGAGCGAGATGTCCGAGACGGCAGCGAGGATGTGAAAGAGGGCGGGGTGCTGCGCCATGATGGGTTGATTATCGGGCATGACGGAGAAGTTTCGAAGGAGGTTGACGATGGATAGGATGAGGTCGGTATCCCCGCCGGTATGGTCTCTTCTCCGTTTAGGCGCGTCGGTCGTATCAGGGACAGACCAGTCACTATCCCTCCCGAGCTGTTCTAGGTCCATGAACCCCATCTTCGCCTCCTGTTCGTCTTCCTGTATCTTCCCCTCCTTTCCTTCTCTGGCCTTCTTCCATCCCGCTAACCCCTCATCACCCAGTGCCAGCTCCTCCAGCAGCTCCAGCAATTCCAGGTATATATCCTGCAACCGCGCGATGGGCAAGCCCATGCTATTCTCCTCGGGATGCGGCATGCTGAGCATACTCAGCACCGTCAGCCCATACCCCATCTCCCGACGCATCCGCGACCGAAGACCCATGAGGATCGCCTCCATATCGACAATCTCGAGCTCGCGGATCGAGCGCGCCGGCTGGGCGAGATTGTGCTTGGCGAATGTGGAAGCGACGGCGCGCTCGTCCCAGCCGCACATGTGGCTGACAGGGTGATGGAGGGGGCGGTATTCGACCTTGTAGCGTGCGCGCTTGGGGGTCGACGGTCGGGCGGGAGGACCCGCGGTGGAGACTGCGGTGGTAGGTGTGGGAGGGACGGAGGCATCGCCACCTTCGGCGGCAAGTGCGGCCTTTTCAGCCGCAAGCTCTTTCTTCCCCTTCTTGCGCTTCTTGCCAGCGACCGCGCTCGTTGGCGTCGCAGTGACCGGCGAACTGGTAGCAGGTCCCATTCCGGTACTCGGCAGTCCGGTGGCTTGTATAGGCGCCGGACCCGCCTTCCCGTCTTTCCGAGCCTTGGGCCGACCTTTGGCAGTGGGCGGAGCGGGCGGCGAGGGAGTATGTACCGGTCCGGCAGGTGATTGAGCGACGTGAGGCGGAAGAGAGGTATGAGGTGATGCGCCAGCCATGGAGGAAGGGAAGTGAGACATGACGGGGCTGGGAGCGGTCATCGCCGCTGGGGTGCTAGCGGTGGGTGTTGGCGCTTGGTAGGGGTTGATGGCGTTATACATGGTCGGCGTGGGAGGAGGGAAAGGGTTGACGGTCGGTGTTGGCGCCTGCGTAGGCTGAGATTGTTGTTGTTGCTGCTGCTGCTGCTGCTGCTGCTGGAAGCCCTGCTGCTGCTGCATGTGCAGATGCTGCTGATACGCCTGCCGCTGCTCGGATGTCGGTTGGCCCTGCTGCGGTCCGCCCTGCCCCTGCTGACCGCCTTGCGACTGCCCCGACTGACCCGGCTGCTGCTGACCAGGCTGACCAAGCTGCTGCTGCCCGGGACCTCGCTGCTGCTGGCCCCCTTGCCCTTGTCCCTGTCCCTGTCCCGGACCCTGCTGCCCCTGCTGCCCTGGCTGGCCCGGCTGGCCCTGTCCCTGTCCCTGCTGTCCTTGACCCTGCTGGCCCTGTCCCTGCTGCCCTTGCTGTCCCGGCGCCTGACCACCCTGCTGCTGCTGCTGCTGCTTCTGCATCATCGCGCTCCTCTGCCTCAACATATGATGTTCAAACCCCTGCAGGTACGTCACATACACCATATACAGGAACCTGACCGGATCGTCCGTTTGATCCGGCATAGGCAGGGTCGATCCGGGCGGTTTTGGCATGTTGACCAAAGATGGGAGTTGGGATGGGAAACCGTGCGTTTGGACATAGTTGCGAAAGACGGGATGGGGTTCGCCATTCTTCAACAGCTGTGGAGATCAGCTATCTTCTCACGTCTGCCAACTCTGCCTCGCTGAAGATTGGAGAGGGAAGATAGAGGAAAAGATCAACCTACACCAGCGTGCCCATTCGCATGCCGCATAATGGTCATAAACAGATCTACCAGCTCGACGGTATAACTCCCCATCTCGATCGCGCCTGGTAATGGTCCCGAGAATACCTCGGCTGGGGGAGTCTGCCCCATATTTCGATGGTACGACAGCAAAGACTGGATGAACTGCCGTCGTTGGGGACCCATGGCGGCGGCCATGGCAGCAGCGGCCGACTGATTAGGTACAGCAGAGGAGGGGGTGGGAGCCGATGCGGTCGGTGTAGGAGCGGAGGGGGTGGAAGCTTGAGCCTGGTTGGGCGGAGCGGTAGGACCGTTCCCGACAGGTACGGCGGGCGGCCTTGGCTGAAATGATCCAGGACCAGACGATATGGGTTGTCCCTGTCCCTGCTCCATCCCGGCTTGCTGTCGGGCGACAAACATCCTAGCCCTTTGCTGCGCGATGAACGCCTCGCGCTGCTCGGTCGTCATATTGGCCATGGCCGCCCGTATTGCCGCTTCGTCCAGCATGCCCGGTGGTTGACCGGAACCGGGTGCCCCGTTAGTGTTGACAGTCATCCCGTTCAGAGATGGTTGGCGTGGTGGAGGCCGTATTGGCGGATTTTGAGAGGGAGCTGGGGATGGTGCAGTGGTTTGGGTAGGGGTGGGCGCGGATTGAGGGGGTGTTGGGGCGGGGTGAGGGCCTGGCTGATGAGCAGGAAACATAGCACTCGGCTGGGAGGGCGCGGAGGAGGTGGCGGAGGCCTGTGCGTTGGCCATGGACGGAGAAGATGATGGCGGAATCATCAATTGTGACGGCCGTTCAGCTTGAGCAGAGCCAGTCGATAACTGGCGATCTCGCTGCATCCGGGTATTTGTCAAAGCTTGCAGCTATATTGTCAGCTCTTGCAGACATAAGCCGCACGGCACTAGACCTACCTGCTTCATCATAGCCTCTTTGCTTGTTGCACTCCCCTGCATAGCATGCATACCCTGCAGCATCCCCATCGCACCCGCCATGGTGGACATGTCCGGTGCACCGGCGCCTCCTCCACCCTCCCTCCCGCCTGTACCGTCTCCATTCTGCTGCGCTGCCCCAGCTATTGGTTGCTGCCCGTTCCTTCCCGCCATGGCCGCTTGCTGCTGCTGTTGCTGCTGATGATGCTGCAAGTTGGCCTGCATGGCTTGATGAGCGAGCATCAATCGCGCCTGGACGGGCAGGGACGGGTCCTGTGGTGGTGGACGAATTGACCCATTCGGCATGGGTCCACCGTTCATGGGCGATCCATTCAGCCCAGCAAAGGCACCAGGCGAGAAGGAGGGATTGGTCGTCGAGGCGGATGTGGCGGTAACGGGTGGAGGCGGGCGGGAGGGACCTGCGACTGCATTTTGCCCGAAGTTTAGGGTGGCTGTACGTGGTGTACCTGGTTTGGGTATAGCGGCGGAGGTAGACGTAGCGGGCGAGGGAGGTGCAGGTGATTTCAGGAGAGGAGAGCTGATGGAGCCATTGGTCAATCCCGCCGAGGGCCCAGCGGGTGGTGAAAGAGGAGCGGTAGTGGCCGACATGACTGGAGGACGTGATCACTGTGATGGACGCGACATGCCTGATCGACATCAGCTTACTCTGACCATCACCATCGCGTGGCGTTGTGCTATGACACTCACGGTACAGGTGGACTACCTCCACTCCGAAGTTCCAAGCTGAGGCGGCGGATCGACGGAGGTGCGGCCTCGGCGTTGTTCGGGTGAGAGTGAGGGGGCGGATGTTTGTGGAGCTGTGACCTGAAAGGAGGTATGGGCTCTAATCTCGGCGTGTCGATCGCCGATTTAGCGACTGATTTCCCTTCGTGTCTACGCGTCTCTGAGTGTAACGAGCTGCTGTCTTACTCGGAGCTCGGGTAACTCAGGTGGAAGCTTCTCGGCTCGGGGCTTGTAGGGCTTGGGGTGGGGAACGGGAACGGGACGATTTCAGAAAGGAAGGAGTCGAAGACAGCGCGGTCTCGCCGAGAGAGGCAAATTGGGAGAGAAAACTTTATTGCACATCACCATTTGACTTTCAAGCCACGTGGCACGCTAAATTCAGTGATTAATCAGCAAAGCCGGAGAGTTGCCGCAAGTGGCGAATTGATTAGTAAATGGAGAATTTGCTATTGAGAATGGACTATTACAATTCTTATCCGTAACCTCACTCAGATCGCGGGGGAGATCCGCCTCGGCGCTAGCGCTGGTAGCATGCGAGTCGCTGACTCTACACCTCGGCTCCGCTCATGCTCATCTCGCACCTGCACGTTCTACTCGAACATTCTATATCTTCAGCTGTCTAAGAAGACATCAATACTGTAGTGCTTCCGATAGCCCACAGCAACTCTCCGCCACAGCGTCTACCGTACAACGCTGTAGCATACTGCGGACATTAAGAGGTCGAACTTCTGACCGTTCGCCTCGGCCATCCGGGTTGATCGAAATTACCACTCGTCAGCGCTCCGCCGGCCCCTCTGCTCCAGACACACCATCGCGCAGCGCGCCAATAACCACACTTCGCGCCTAGTCAGGACTCTTCGTGCAGGTAGCGCGGACAACGCTAGCTTGAATACCATCTATCGATCCTTTCACCCAAAACTCCTCCTTCCCACCCAAATTCCCCTAACCCAAAATGGACACTCTCTCCCCCAACACCTCCGCGCTTCTCTCTTACCTCTCCGCAGACGACATGACCTCCTTCTCATTCGACGACCTCCTCGCCGATCCCACTCCCAAAATTTCCCAGGGTTACACAAATCCCAACCCGACCTCCCTCCCACCTTCGGCCTTTTTCAATATGCCCGTCCCCGGTCGGGACACGCCAGAACTCACGCCCGAGTCGTCCTCCAATGCGGCGAGCGAGAGTCCGGAAGGGCTACGTGCGGTGATGCATACCGATTCAGAGGAGGATGCGGTGATGGCCCGTAGAGCGAGCGCTGGTGCGGGTGCCGGTGGGAGGAAAGGATCGGAGGCTGCGGTGGTGAATAAGCGAAAGGCAGGACATGGGCATACAGTCCAGGAGCACGACGATGAGGATGAGGGTAGGTCCTCTCCGCTCGAGTGGAGGGAGTTTGGCTGATAATCCAGACTCAGGATCAGATGACCCAAACGGCCACGAAGACAAACGTGCGCACGGAAATGACAAGGCCGCCGGCGGTGCAGCAGGATCAGGTCGTCGAGGGGGTCGAAAGTCAACTGGTGGAGCCGCTGGAGATGCGGGTTCAAAGGAGATGAGCAAGGCGGAGAAGCGAAAGGTGCAGAATCGTCAAGCCCAAGAGGCCTTCCGCAAGCGAAGAGAAGCCAAGGTCAAAGATGTAAGCTGGCCGCGACGTATTCCCCCGGCTCACAGCTGACTCTCCAGCTCGAAGACAAGGTCAATGAGCTCGAGACCAAATCATACTCTACTACAGTCGAGAACGAGAACCTCCGGGGTCTCCTCAAGCGGCTCCAGGAGGAGAATGTCGCGCTCAAGCAGGCGGCCTTCACGTTCACCATGCCGGTCAGCGGTGCAGCCACGCCCACCACGCACGGCCGGACAAGCGTACCTGCGCCCAACACACAGGCGTCCAAGCCACCCACTCCTCCCCATGACGAGCTTCGGTCGATCCACGATGTGCCGGACCTCGTACACCGCTCATCCAGCGGGAGCGGGAGCGGGATGGTCGAGTCGCCCGAAAGCCTCGTTTCGGTCAATTCGAGCGCATCGGGTTCATCCAAGCTGTCATTAGACAACGCGGAGATGTTCAACGCGTTCGCAATGGGCGTTCGGCCGGAATGGTCCCGGGACCTCGCGGCGAACCAGCAGATCACTGCTGCTGCACTGGGTGGGCGGGAGGTGCCACAGCCTCGCGTCAGCCCGGGTATCGCGGACCCCTTTGCCAATTTTACTGGCCCTACCCCCTCCGTCTCCCCCGTGAGCTCGGCCAGCAATGCCAAGGACGAAGTAGACGCCCTCTGGGCAAGCTTCTACCCTAATGGCACGTCCAACATCCTTCCCAAACCTCAACAGGACCTACCCGTCCCAAATTATGCCTTTGGTCGACCGACCGCGGCGCCAAGCTTCGGCCAGTCTGGGGATCAGTTCGCCGGTCCCCAGACCGTGCCCAGTCCCTTCGGCGGTTCAACGTGGGTCAACGCCCCCGCCGATCGTATGGCCTTCCGGGACCAGTCTGCCCCTGCCTCCGCCGGCCAACCGGGCCAGGCGCAGCCGCAACAAGACTGGTCCAACATCAATGACGACAGTATCAACGAGTTCCTCGCTTCCCTCAATGGTACCAGCGAGGCGCCCCAGGAACCCCTGTATGACTTTGAGCAGACGGACGACTTTAACGCTCAGCTCCAGAAACTGCTCGAGCAGTCTGGAGGGGGTGCGTCCCCGTCCGCCGCGTTCACCCTATCGCCCACTGGGTTCAGCCCGACGGCTTACCTCAACCTCACGCCCTCGCCGGCTGCGTCGGGCTCGGCGTCGGCATCTGGGTCGGGGTCGAACGCGCACTCGCCCGCGGCGGCTCGGCAGGCGTCTACGTCCAGTATGTCCATGTCCAACTCGGCCAGTCCCGAGTCCACTGGATCGACCGCGGCGTCGTCGTACACCCATCATTCGCCTGGACAGGCGGCGGGTGCGGCGTCAGGCTCCTTGCCGGGGTGCACGACAAAGATGGCGGGCGCGAACCCGGGAGAGGTGGTACATGTCGTCGGGGCGGATGGGAAGCGACTCAAGCCGAGCGAGCTTTGGGTCTTGATGGGCATGAACAAAACTGTCAGTCTTGCCTTGAATTTATGATTTTCTGGGGATGTAGGCTGATGATTCAGGCAAGCGTAGACAATCTCATGATCGATGACCTGTGTGATCAGATGAAGAGCAAGGCGGTATGCACTGACGGTGAGTATCTGATGTCCGTTTATAGTGTTAATTCGCTGACAGATCAGGCGGGTATACAATCGGCCTGACGGACGCGGAGCAGATCTTCGCGTATAACAAGCGACTAGGGTCAGCTCGGACAGCCGCAGGCGGTGCGCCGGTATATCCGATATAGGTTCATGCGAGATGGAAGCACTGGGGGATGGGTGCTGTTGATGCTTGTGGGGCTAGCTAAGCGGGACGAGATGTGGACTGGTTTGTTGTATAGAATATCGGTAGAGACGCTCTATGTACCGCTCCTGTATTCTTTACACTCTGTCCGTCTATATCGACAGACCGTATACTCATACTGTTCCCTCCGCAGCTCGTTCTCTTACACCTGCTCATCATAGCTAGCGGACAGACGAAACACGCTCAGACAACCCGACGCGTTTCACTTTCGCGCGCGAGAGCAAACACATGATGCAGAAGGACTGTACATTGATTGTGCTTGATTTTCGTCTTTGGGCTTCAGATACCCCCGTCCAGAGACTGCATCTTCGTCAGTAGAGGCACACGGCGATGGACTCACTCGGCGGCCCAAGTCGAGCTCGAACGTCTCAAGCCCCCGACACCGGCTTCAACGCCCTTGGCGGTCCAAGCTCTAGTGGTCCGAGCACGGGCGGCACCTCCTCGTCATCTCGCGGGCCGCACTTCGGCCATTACTCAACCGCTTCGAGTTCTTCCTACGCTCCCGTCCTCATCAAGCGGTCTCCCGACAAAGACCTCCATCTCCCTTCTCTGCCCAATGGCGGGGAGGGTATACCGGCGGGACTGGCCCTGAGGTATCCATACCCTTTACCTATCGCCTCGTTACTCGATTTGGCGTATACCATCCATCATCACTATGTCCTCTCGTCTCTCTCTGCTCTGTCTCCTGGACATACGCTTGGAGTAGCGGCGGGGACGGCGGAATCCGCGACATCAACAGGTGCCGGCTTGCTCCTCACCGCAGCTGGCTGCAGGGCGGTCGTTCTCGTCCTGGTCGTCGGATGCAGTAGACGCTGGAGGGCGAGAGGCGGATGGGTGGCGGCTGTGTGTGGTATCAGCGTTGGAGCGGGGATATGGGAGGACTGTGCGGAGCGGCTGGGCGCGCGAGGGGGCCACGGCGGGAGGGTAGGGCATGAACGTGGGCCAGCTGGGCATGCGAAAGGGGGAGGAGGTGGACAGTCTTGGTTTCTTTACATGGTAAGCTTTCTTTTCCAGTGCCAACATCTCTCATGGAGGCCTTGTCTAGGTGCATAGGATATAAGCTAACGCCTGTAGACTATACTGATCTGTATCTCGGAATACGTACGTCTCCCTCCATTCCCCAGGTGCAACCCTATCATGGTCCTGTTAGGCCCCATGCCTAGTATCGAGCTGGAAATTCATACAGCTAACTCCCACAGATCCTCTATCTCCTCCTTCTCCGCCTCTCGCCCCCCTCACACAGGTCCCACCCCTTCTCCCTCCGCCCTCCTCGCGAGCCCCGCCAAACAGACGTCCCCTTCGCCTTCCACTCGGAGGACCTAGAGTACACGCCCAAGTCCGCCAGGATTCGGCGTTACTCCAGCGCCAGGCCTCGGGGAGGGGTACGAGCGGGCCCGGGGCCGGGGCAGAGGAGTCAGGCTGTCTCGCCTGCTTCACGAAGAGGAGACGGGGGCCGGGGCGTCGGGGGCCTTTTTGGGGCATATCGCCATCATGCTAGCCAAGGCGCACTCCAGGCTGGTCTATCTAGCGGTGCGCACTACGCGAATCACGAGCTGGACGACGAGGCTCCGCACGCTGCATTTCACTCGGACGAGGAGTATGACCACGACGACCGATACGACGAGGACGGCTTCTCCGTCAACTCATCCTCTGATGTCGAGGACGACGCATCCGAGACCTCCTCCCTGTTCTCCGAATCGAGCATCATCGACCTCCCTCCCCCACTGTCCCCACACCGGATCATCCCGCCCAGCCTGAGCGTGACTTCGGGCCTTGCGCTCGCTCTAACGGACCGATCTGCCGGCCAGCCTATACTGGGGTCTAGGGCGGGAGGTGGAGGTGGGGAAGCTGGAGGGGTGAGGCGATCAGGAAGTGCCAGGTTCCTCGGGAGAAGCTGGGGGAGCGTTTTGACTGGACCTGGATCGGTGCCTGGTCCGGGATTGGGGGCAGGGGACGGAGGGAGGGAACATGGTGAGATGATGGGGTGGGTGGGGCGGAGAGGGCGAGAGGATGGAGCGGCAGCAGGCGGGCAGATTGACAGCCGGGGAGGCCGAGGGGGCGTCAGTATTGAGGCAAGTCGAGAAGGGAGTGCTGAGAGGGGATATGGGACATTTACACCTTGAAGAGGTCTGTCTTGCGCGGCTCAGATGTAATGTCAACAGCGGGGCGTTACTAGCCTGTCGATCTATCTAATCTTGTCCTTGATGAGCATGGGAGACTTGTCTGCTACCATGCATTAATTATAGTGGTTTACTAAGCTATGGAGGAGAAGAGCAGCTACACCTACACCTAGATCAACAAATGTACAAATACCCAAGACAATCAACAAAGATCAAACCCATCTCCACATCTCTCTCGCTCAATTGATGATCCTCACCACCCCCACTCCGGCCCCCGTACCCCTCTCCGCCCCCTCCGCCCCTTCTGCGCCCTCATGTCCCTTCGTAAGCCTAAAGGCCTCCATCCCCCTTTCAAAAGCCCACACCCTCTCTTCATCCAGTACCGGTCTAAACCCAGCCATGCGCGGCTCGTCCAGCACATCCCTCACGTCCATTCCGGAAGTATCTACCTCCGCCTCGCCCGAGCCCGCTGGGAGTACATGGGTGAAGTGTATGTATTTGCTATTTTTCCGGCGAGAGAAGGCTTGGCGGAGCGTCTTGAAGCCGGATGGTTTGGACGCGGGTGGGGCGGAGAGGGATGGGTCTGCGCCAGCGAGGGAGATGATTCTGAATATCAGCTAGGAGATCCCCTTTCCAAAGAAAGCGCAAAACTCACTTGCCACCATCCTTGAGCATCCGACGAGCAGCATCATACACCCTCTGCGTCCCTTTCGTATCCACCACAACATCCCACCCTTCCTCATCCAGACCCAGCATCACCGCCGCCGGCGCACCCGTCAATACGCCTCTTGCCCCATTCTGTAGACATCTCGTCTGGGCATCATGGTGCGCGTCCCCACCCCCGATGAGCGCGGTGACATTTACGCCTGCCCGACTCATCTCTTGGCAGATCAGAGCGGAGACGCCTTCGTGCGGGTCCATGATGAGTGCTCGGGCGCCGCGAGTGAGGTTTCCGCGTACGGCGCGGGTAGCGGGGATCCCAAAGAGCGGGAGAAGGGCGAGTTGTTCCAGCGTGAGCGTGGTAGGGTGGGGAGCGCGGGATAGGTGCCGTCGATCGCAGGCAATGTACTCTGCTAGGGCTCCGCTCTGTCTTATCAGCTCTGAACACACCTACATTATACGAGGGGAACCACCGACCTTTCGAACATTCAACAACCCCACAACCAGCTCTCCTCTCACAATCTCCTTCTCCTCCGTCCCTACCCCAAGACACCGCCCGACGAAACTCCTCCCCGGGACCCACTTGCCAACCTCCCCTTTCCCCTTCTCCTCCACCGTCCGTATATCCAGTCCATCCACCGCTACCGCATACACCTGAACAAGAATCTCCCTGTTGCCGACTTTGGACGGTGGCCTGATATGCGACGTAAAGTCTACAGGGGGCGGAAGGTTTCCGCGCAAATGAACCGGGGTCATCGGGAGTCTATGCGCAGAGTGGGACAGGCAGAGCGTGGCCATGGTGGTATGTGGGAGGCCGAGGACGCGGGGGTCGATCATAGATGTACGTTTCCGGTTCGGGTCGGATGGGACAAAAGCGCCAGCGGGGAGAATCATCGTACTGTAATCAGCACCCTTCTCTACCTTCTACACAGAGCACGACTCACTTGTAGCTACCAGCTCTGGACTCGCCCAGCCCGTCAGACTGCATCAATACCCCATCGCCATAAGAGCTTCCCTCCCACTTGCTCCCTTCGCCACGATCACCGCCTCGGAAGCCCATGACCGATTTGGCCCTCCTACTTCCTCTTTCCAGCTCCTCATCGTCCCGCCTGAACCCCACCGAGCTCGCCGGCCGCCTGATAGACTGCGCATCCCCGGCCTGGCTGGGGGTCTTGGACCGCCCAATAGCGCTCATCGCCTTGAAACTCCTGCGCCGAGATGCCGCGTCCGTCTCGGACGGCGATGGGGCGCGGTACAGCCGTTCCGAGTCCTCGACGGTCATTTCGGGTAGGATGGTGATGACGTCGGGATCGAGGAAGGCGGGACGGGGGAAGGCGCCGGTAGAGCCGGGCCGCATAGTCCCAGAAGGAGACAGGGCGCGGGACATGACGGAAGCCGAACGGGACGGAGGACGGCTGTACGGCGGTGAGTCGTCGTATGTCTGCGGCTCGTCGTACTCGCCCGAGTACTCCGAGTGGCCTGACCGCGAGAGTGCTCCCCGCTGCAGACCGTTCGATGGGAAGCCCGGAGCATACTGCGTCTGAGGACTCATCGAGTTCCGCCGCGGGTCTTTGCGGGGTATAAGTGGGCCATTGGCGTACCGGCTGGACCGACCCTCATCCACGCTTCTCTCCCCGTTCTCGTATTCATCCTGCACTTGCTGCGCGTAAGATCTGGACGGCTGAGGCAGTCCATCGTCCTCCGAGCTATCGCTCTCGCTGCCGCTGTCCTGTGAGTACGAGCTTGGTTGAGACTCGCTCTTCCGGGGGAGTGGAGCCGAGAGCGCCCGCTCGTCCAACCCGGAATACCGTACGCTGCCGTTTCCGCTCGCGACGGATCCTCCAGGCGTCCTGGTGCCATTGAGCAGCCGGTCGAAGCTGGGTGGTAGCGACGCCGACGGAAGCGGTGTGAAGCTAGACTGGCGAGGAGGAGGCACGGGGACGTGGAACTCGCCCCATCCCGAGTTTGGGCCGGAGGGGAGGAACATCTGCGGTGTGTTCCGTCCAGACGCGGACGCAGTGGAGGCGGCAGCCACGGCCCATCCGCCCCTCCCGAACCCGGAGCCAGAGGAGCGGATGCTTCCTTCCCGGGCGCCTCGACCACCGTTGGACGCCTCGGACATGGGGTATGAGCCTTGACGCCGGTGCTCCCCGTAGCCGACGACGGAATTGCGGGACGAGTGGCGAGATACTGACCGACGTGAGTGGGCCTCCGACCCGAGGAGAGGAGCGGTGTAGGCAACCGATGGAGGACGCGAGCGGGGTTGATTGTTCGCCGAGGTGCTGGAGTGTGGCGAGGACTCGGAATCCTCCTCTGATCCCGCCTCGCCGTGTTCACTCCCCATGTCCCCCTCATGATCCTCCTCCCGGACGTCCCTCTGCGCGGCAGGTGATGCTGCATGCTTTGAGGGCGACTCGTACGCCGCTCCAAGCTGGTACGGCGAGTGTGGGTACTGTTCTTTGTGAAACGGCGTCTCGCCGGGGTCCGGAAATGGCGCAGGGGTAGGTGGTTGAATGTTGAACATGGGGATCTCTTGGTCGAGCGGAGTGGTCTCCTTCTCCGGCTCGACGATGATTGGGGCTGGGACCGCTGCGCCACGAGCGAGCACATCCGCCTCGTCCCCTTGTTCCTCCTCCGGGGTATACGTTCTCATGGGCTGTTGCCGAATGGTCCGGGCTGACTTGACAGTATCGCTGCGCGCGATCCGATCATCGCCGAGGTGCATATCCCCCATTGACTTTGCGGCCGAGTCCATCCGCTCGCGGGATGAGCGGCTGCTGGAGGGCTCGCTGGAAGGAGGGGTAGGTGGCGCTGCTCCGCCTGCGACAATCTTTTGAACAGCATTGCCTTTGGAGCGTTGCCCACAGGGAGCGTCAGGGCCGAGGGGCGAGGCATTTCGAACTGGAGACCGAGGACGAAGTGAAGACGACGCAGCCGATGAGGACGAATTGCTGACTTCCCTTTGACGAGCGGCGGGCCGTCTCTGAGGAGTCTCCGGCTCCTCCTCTTCCTCCTCTGGCCGCCATTCCTGCTGCCGCCTCCCTTGACCTGCATTCCGCGAAATCACCGACTCTGCATCCACAGTCTTCTTCTTCTTCCGCTTTACCGTCCCGCTCGCCGCAGACGCCGGCCTTCCTGCCGCTGCCTCTCTCAATCCCACCGTGCTCTGCGCCTTGCGTGCCTTGGGGAATCGGCTGGCATTGTACGGTTCCTCCTGTATCGCTTCCGAGACGACCGACCGCGCCTTTCGAGCCTTTAGTGCAGGCTGAGCATGCCCGTCATCATAGGCGTAATCTCTGAACCCTAGGTGGACACCATTGTCGACCCGTGCAGAGTACCGGGATGAGGGCGGGGCGTACTGGTATGCCCTTTCTGGTACATCCGCGTATGGCGAAGGAGCGTTGGGGTCGGCATATGACCGTGTGGGCTTGCGGAGGACCGTCTGGAGGAAAGTTGGTTTAGGCATTGCGCATGAGCTTAGGCCTCAAGGGGGTCAGAGTTGTTGTTGTTTTCGTCGGGGTCGACCGATGGACGTGCCTTTCGTCCCTTGCGAACGAGTGTGCGCCGGTTTGGCCGTCTGATGAATCCTAATCGACAGGGGAGCAGGCCTACTGGGACAGCTGCCTGAGAATGAACAAGTGCAAGAGGTAGTAAGGAGATGATGAGCTGCGTCTGTCTTTGACCTGTTTTTCTGTTTTCACGCCTCTCAAAGTTGGCTGGTCCAGTTCAGAAACCGGGAAATGCCGTAAGGGATCTGCTATTAACAATTTCCTAATCAAGCAATTCCTATTGGTGAAACATCGATCACCCAGATCTCACCTCACCACCACCCCATCCATCCAGCTTGTCCAGAAGACAGGCAGCTGCAGGCAGGCGCTGCCCTAGAGGCTGCACCAGAGGCGCTATGCCCATCCTCACACCGCCATACCACTTCTCAATCGTTGCCTGTCCGCCAATCGCTCAAGACGGAGAGCAGCGAGCAGAAATCCTGTACCGAGGAGCTGTGCCTGCCGTTCGGAACTTCCCATTCCTCAAGCGCTTGCACTTGCGCACCATCGTCTACCTGCACAAGAAGCCGCTTGGAGAGAGCGAGCCACTCGCAAGATGGGCGAGGAAGCATGAGGTCGAGGTGATATGCGTGAAGGCGGAGAAGATGGGGGAGGAAAGCCTCGGGATGGGGAGAACGCAAGTTGGCGAGGTGCTCAGGGTATGTCCCCTTCCTCGCGATATTTCGTGCTGCGCTGAAGAGCCCAGACTATGCTGGACCCCTCGTCTTACCCGCTGTATATCGCAGATAAGGACGGGATCTCACATACTACTCTACTGGTGTCGTGTCTGCGCAAACTCCAAGGCTGGACGCCCGAGTCCATCCTTGACGAGATAGCCAGATTCGAGCCAGACCACGAAGACCTCCCACTCGTACCCTTCATCACCTCCTATCTTGCCACAGGGCCCAGTACCGACTCGCTCGTCCTCCCTTCCCCGCCCCTTCCATCCTGGCTCTGGCCCACTATCGCATCGTCCACAACCAGTACCGACAAGAACGGAAGCACGACCGCCCCATCCTCGGCGTCGGCATCACCGGGTATGACCCTCTCCCGCTCCAACACCAGCCTCAATAAAGAGGCGAGGGAACGAGAGCCCTCCGCCCCGAGAGAGCGGGACAAGGAGAAGGAAAAGGAGAGAGACCGGGAACGTACCCTCTCCGCCCCAGCTGTTGGATCCCTTCCATTCCCCCATCCCCTATCATCCCGGAAACACCCTACCATGAAACTCACCTTCCCTCCTCTTCCCAGTACGAATATGGGACCGCCTCCCGTTCCGGACTCAGCAAGCGGAAAGACAGGGACAACACCTACGAACCCTTCCTTTGGCCTATCGCGGGTCAACTCACGGCGCGATACCCGGTCGGGGACTGTCGGTACAAGGGAGGACGAACAGAGCATGATGGCTGCTGCCACTTCGATTCTGTCTGCGACGCTAGTCACTCTAGGCATCGGGGTGGAGGAGAAGCGGACAGGAGAGGAGGGAGGCGGGGCAGGAGCGAGCGGGTCGGCCCTTACTGTGCGGGACGGTACAAAGCGGGAAGGACTGTCCGCCGCTGGAGAGCCTGCAAATGCGAGTCGGGCGGTCAGCGCGGGAAAGCCGCCTGGGCTCGTATCTCGCACAGTGAGCTGGGAAAAGAGCGGAGTATCTGCAGGGATCCTGGAACGGGACGTTCAGGATGTCGGGGGACGCTCCATGCCGTCGAAAGCCAGCACCGGTGGGAGCAGCAGCGATGCTAGCGAGGCGGCCAGAGAGGTGGAAGGCGGTCAGCTCGTCGCTCTTGGCGAGATGCAAGACGCGGCTGGCGGCGGAGCTCAATCAGGGAGCAGTCCGGAGAGCTCAGCTGAGGATTCCGAAACCGAGACCGAGCAGGAAGAAGAGGAAGACGAGGAAGACGATGAGGATGAGGATGAAGACGAGGACGATGACGATGATGGGGAGATGAGCCTCCAACCTACCTCACTTCATATCTCGGCGTTAGATCTAGCGGGTTACGGTTGAGCTTTGTACAGCATGTCAATATACCTGCAGCACTTCCGAATTCGACATGTAAATTGTGCATTTCCTCCTCACTTCCGCAGGACTCCGCCAGATGCCTACTTGGAGATCGCAGCCAGCTCGTACATGTACGACCCGAGCAGCTTGGTTCCGCGGATGTAGTTGTCCCTGTCGAGCTTCTCGTCGGTTGAGTGCGCGCCGTCATCACCACGTCCGACGGGGAGGAGGAGAACGTTCAAGCCGAGAATGTCGGCAAAGTCGAGAGTGACAGGAATGGAGCCTTGACATCAGCGGCAGCGTGGTAGCGATGAGAGAACACGTACCTCCTTCCCGAGTGTAGTCCGGCGCCTGCCCGTACACATCCTCGGTCGCCTTGTGTGCAGCACGGTACGAGTAGTGGGTGAAGTCCGCCTGCTATGTGAGCTTGGCAACCTTGACTCGAAATGCCAGTCATAGCTCACCATCCAGGGCTCGCCTCCGTGACCGAGCACAACCTCGCACCTGTTCTTGGACCCGAGCTTCTTGAACTCGGCGTCGAGGTACTTGACGACGAGGTCGGTGACGCTCTTGATGGTGAGGTTGGGTACGAGACGGATGGAGAATTTGCCCTTGACCGAGCAGGGGATGACGGTCTTGGAGCCGGTCGCAGCTGATAATGTCAGCTGAGATCACTCGCCCGTAGGAATGGGGATCGACGGCAACTTACAGAAAGCACCCTCGATACCGTGCAAGCTCAAGCTCGGGTTCCTCATCCGTCCCATCAACGTCGTGACCTTGTCGTTCGTCAATGTCTGATCACCGCCGACGGCCGCGTGGATGTCCTTGACGCCAAAGTGGATCGCCTCGAACTTTTCACGCTCCTCGTCCGTGACGGGCGCAATGAGGTCCTTGAGGCCCGGGATGAGGATCTCGCCGGCGGGAGTGACGAGCTTGGACACTGCCTGTCAGCATGCCCCTTCTGTGAAAGCGGGAAAGACTCACTGAGGAGGATCAAGTCAGTCATGGGCTCGTGGATCGTTCCGCCAAAGACACCCGAGTGGAGGTCTCGGTCAGGACCGTTGACGCGGATTTCGTAGTAGTTGATACCGCGGAGACCGTAGGTGAGGCACGGAGTCTCGGTGTTGAGCCAGTAGTTGTCTGGAGGTCAGACTTTAGCCCAGCAAGCGGGAGGAGCGCACGTAACCCACCTGAGATGCACATGCAGTCGGCGCCAGCGAAGAAGCCGTTCTTCTCCGACTCGATGAACTTGTCGAGGTTCTCGGACCCGTTCTCCTCCATACCCTCAAAGCACATCTTGAGGTTGACCTGTGATATTAGCATCGTACTGGCAGCCCGCTGTCTCGGTATACAGCGGATGAGAACACAGAGATATAACATACGGGAAGCTCCTTGCCCAGCTTCTGGTGAGCCTCGAGCACGTTCAACCAAGCCATGATCGGTCCCTTGTCGTCGGTCGACCCACGCCCGTACATCCGGCCCGAACCGCTCGGATCCTGCGTGAGCTCGAAACACGGGTAGTGCCAGCCGTCTTCGTACAGCGCGGGCTGAACATCGTAGTGCCCGTAGATCAGAAGTGTTTTCTGCCAGGTGAGTTCTTGACCCCTTTGAAAAGCTGCGTAGCCAATCCGGGTTGAAGGTGGGTGATGAGGAACGCGTAGCTCACCTTGTTCGGGTCGTTCCCGAGCTGGCCGATGATGACAGGCGGGAGGTCGACGTCCTTGCCCTCGAGCTTGTGCTGCCCGATCGCCCTCTTCTCGGCCTTCACGCCAAGGCTGATGAGCTGCTGGAGGAGCCACTCGGCCATTGCTTCGACATCCTTGATGTAGCTGGTTATCAGCTCTTTGGTATTGCATCTCACGTTCAAGACTACTTACCCGATGTTGCCGGAGACGCTATAAAGGTCAGCCGGAGCTCATCGCTTGCCGACAGGTTGTTCGCTGGAGCAGCTGAGGGCAAAGACGTACGAGGGGATAGAGACGGCCTTGGCCAAACGCTGGATAAAGTCCTCCTCGTGCTCATCCACGTATTTCAAAAAGTTGGAAGCTTCAGCGGCCATCTTGAGTGTTCTGGCGTGATGGGGGTGGTATGTATGATGTGATGAGTAGGGACAGGCGAGGTTGAGAGATAGTTGTCGGAGGTCCAAGGGCTATCTATAAAAGGATCGACCAAAGCTCGCTCGCAAGGTGGTCCATGTGGAACATTGAGGAATGTGGTGGTGCTTTACGTAACGACCAAACCTTATTTGCCGATGCGGCCGGACCTTGCCTGCAAGCAGCGGGGGCGAATCATGCATCATGGAGGAGGTGATTCATCTGCATGTAGGTCATTGACATTACTTGTATTGAGCAGCTGGAAAGAGCCAAAAATCTACTCAGTAATGACTGCGATGGGCAGGTAGGTGATGACGAGTCTACGGCTGCGGGCGCTCGCGCGAGCACGCTGATAGGGCATCATAGGTTTCCTCACTTTGGCTTGCACTTTGGCTTACTATAAGTTTGAGATGTCTCCTGACGATCTACTGAATCAGAAACACCTGGGCGATACCTGCGCTCAATCAGGGTGCTAGAAAAAGTGCTTTGATCTAGTAATACGAAACGTCAAACCCAGTTGGGCACGAGTCAAAACGGCCGTAGCGGGAACTCGGCAAGCCGACTGGATGTCTATGGACAATGTGCTGTCTGACGTCTATGATGACATCTTTGGCCTGATGATTTAAGACCAGGATGTCAGTTTCGGACCTCTTGATTGGCGAACTTATATGAGACAGATGGATACCCCGTGGAGATTGCGGTCGTCTAGATCACAAGCTCACTGCAGTCAGCCATTTCAATACTAGTACTCGCATTCGTCTCGGTCTCGACCTCGGTCTGTCTAGCAATACAGGCTCTAAGAATCACTCACTGACCCGCCCTCAAGCTCACATGGTGACTCCAGCTAAGTGTCCAGCGGCTTCTGGCGATTCTTATGTGACTTGGCTCAGAACGGCTGACTGCAAAACGCTAGCCGGGTCCCGTACAAGTTTTCCGATATGCCACGCTATTCGATCGTCCACCGATCAGACAATCTCGAAGCTGACGCTACATATCACAGTCTGGCGGTGCCAGTGCCGCTTTCTTGGGTGTAGCGCGCTGACTATTGGGCGGCGAGTCAAGCGGCTTTTTGGCCGATGCTGGCCCTTCAGGCGACCAGTCCGATCGTGCATCGAGCCGACCAATAAGGCACAAGGGGATCAGGCGCTCATCACAAGCTTCCGCAGGAGGCTCTTATGTAGCTTCAAGAGGCAGTGTCGAGATGAAGGGACGTATGCATTCCATTAGTCACCCGCCCGATCCGGCTGAATCTGTCATCTGTGCGTGACCACTGACGAGCATCCTTTCGAGTCTGCAGAGCGCACTAGTGACCGCTCATGCTCTACAGGAGTCTCACCTTGCGCCACCTGACAACGGTACCACTGATCCACTTGACGAAGGGATCCAGCCTCCTCGGAGCCGAGCTACCCTTCTGCAAGATTCAGCTACACAATCATATCACACGAAGTGGGCAGATCTGACAGCCTATGGTATTGGCCTCGAAGGGGCGTGGAGCAATGCTTGGAACATCATCATCAATCTTCTGTCCGGCCAATGATGCTAAAGGATGGAAAGTCGCATCCCTGACCAGTCGGTATCGGGTTGGTACGGTATTGTAACCGAAAAGATTACTGGCGCCGACCACTGACAGAGCTCATGCCGGACCTTTCTGGACAGCACTCTCTTTTGGAGCACACGAGGGATGCCACGAGATCGAGGACAGTTGAGCTGACTATTCCTCAGCATCCATCAGACACTCTCACACATACTGATCGCGGAGCCTCTTTGACAAGCGGAAGCGCCGGTCAACATCGAAGTACTCCGACGGCATCCCCAATCTCGGCGGCCCGAGAGCGCTTCTCCGCCCCGACAATCTGTGCTTCCCTGACTCTTCCAACAGTATTCCTGAAACAAGCATCCGTGCACCACGGTCTGTGGCACAGAAGCATACGCACTGATGCTGGACGAAGCCGAGTGTCCCTCGTCTCGATCGGGCGGGCCATTCTGACCTTTTGACGTATCATCACTATTCTCTGGGCCTTGCTGATTTCATCACAGCAGCCCATCCCTACCTACAACTCCTCCAGCCTCCTATTTGGCTTTCGCACCTCATTCCTTACTTCCTCCCTGAGTTTCAGGTCATCATGTTGTCTTTCCGGCCCGCCCCCCTTATTCGAAGTGATAGCTTCACTACTCTCCGCCAAGCGGGGAGAATGACGCCCATCCTCCGGCCAGCTTCCACTGGAAGTCGTTTACCAGATCGGTCGAGTAGCTACAGGAACGATAACAGCCAGGTCAGTTGGGTGACGCAGAAGGTTGCCGTTCGGCCTGTCAGCTAACACATTACAGCCGAGGACTCTCGTTCGGAAGCGTCCAACTTCAGACCTTCTCATTATGGGCGACCTGCCCTCGCAAATCCTCGAACTCTCCTCAGATTCTTCATTCGCCTCTACTACCGAGCGTGACCGTCACACCTCTCCGATATCACCGACACCAATCCGGCACCGTGCGATCCGCCGTGCCCCTCGCGCCGCCATTTCGCGGCAAGTCGTCCCGCCTTCTCCGGCCCAGTCGCCCGTTTCTCTCCCTGACGAGCCGGAGAAGTCGCCGTACAAGGCAGTCAGGCGGGTCCAGAGCGACCGCTTTGATCAGGTCGAGTACGAGCGGAATGTGGCGCTTCTTGCTTCTGAAGAAGACACGGGGCGTGGGTATTACACAAGCGAGGATGGCTCGAGCGAAGCCTGGTCCGCTAGAGGACGGGCGGGTCAGCGAGTACTTCTGATGGATGAGGAACAGAGGGTGATCAGGCGTGTCGTGGACCGATCAGTACTCCTGGTCAGTTGACTGATAATGCAAGAACGCCGTCTTCGAAAGCTGACCATTGTAGGAAGAGCTCCTCCGTGAGCCAACACCGCCAAGACGCCCGACACAGCCCTTCCGCTTCGCCCCTCGACTGCCGCCGACGCCGCACATCAACAGAGTCAGCAGGCGTCCCACCCTTCCCACTATCGCCTCCTCGAGGATGATGCATCGGCACACTACCAATACCGGCACGCCCGTCACGCCCGAGCGGTCCTCTCTGTCCACTTCGAGATCAACTCGGACTCCGATCGATACTCCGCCGAGCGATCCCTTTGCCACTCTCGCGGGCTCCAGTCCACAGCAGGATGAAGGCGACGAAGGGCGATGCGATGCTTGTGGGAGGGACCAGAATCAAGGTCGCAAGATGCGCATGATGCCTTGCGCTGTAAGCTTGACGGCATTAGTTATACGGCCGGAAGCTGACGATCTAGCATATCGTCTGCTCGACTTGCTTTTCGTCGTCGATATCGGCAGTTTCGGTAACGCATGGTCCGTCGAGGTGTACGACATGCCTCGCACTAGTCGTCTCTTTCGAGCCAGTCAAGGGATTCAGTATTCAGCATCATACCCCGCAGAGCGATCAGGAGGCTGCCAGTCCACCTACTACTCCGCCGAGTAACGGAGTAAGATCCTCGACGGACACCGCTGTCGAAGATGATGGGAGTGGGAAGACCATCCTTCTCCGGATCGACAACGTGGCCTGGGTGAGCTGTCGCGTGACCGTTGGGGTCCCCATTCGAGACTGTAAGCTGACAGTAAGGACATCACCCCCGCCGTCGTTGAGAGTTTTCTCCCTCCTGATGTTTTTCCCGCTACTCACCCCTCACCCGTCCATATCCTCCTAGACCGACAAGACGGCCGGACCAAGGACTTCTTGGTGAGCTAAGTGCTCAAGCTACAAGACGTATTAGGCATCGCTCACACATCAGTACGTCGAAGTCAGATCCCTCGAGGCCGCGCGGCTCGTCCTCAAGACCCGGCAAAATACGCTCATGCCCTGCGGACCAGCTTCGGCCGGTCGAAAACGCTTCGTGACAATCTCGCTGACAACGCACAAAGAGCTCCTGGACGAGGTCAGTTAAGACTTGCGCCATCGGATTACAAGCTAAGCTGATCGCCATAGCTTCGACCCAAAACAGCGGCAGAGCTGCACGCTCTTCTCGCACTCTGTCAGACTTCGATTCTGTCGCCCAGCCCGACGCTGTCAGCTCAGCGATCGTATGTTGGGTATAACGGGATCGCGCACTTCGTCAAGGATCGTCATGGACCGTTCCATGCGCTGATGTCGATCTTGTGTCATCTGAGCGGGAAGAACAGCCCGGCGTACTGGGATCTATTCCGTGAGTCAACTGGCTGGTGTGGAGTAGAGTACCCAGGAGCAAAGCTGATCAGGCATAGATGTTACTTCAGGTATGTCAGCTGGGAAGTGTGACCGGCGCTCGGGAAGCTGACTCGCTAGGAGCCATGGCCGCATTAGCAAACGTCGTCACCTTCCGCAACACCCTCCCACCCAACAGCGCCGGTATCGACTCGCAGACAATGCATGCCGACCAAGACCTTCTTGACAAGCTCCGTTATCTGTTCCAGACCCGATTCTGCTTGACGCCCATCAGCTCCCCGGCCTGATCGAGATACCTCGTCCTACCACACCTTATTCGATTTCCCGATACCTTTTCGAGCAGCATGACCTATGGTTTGGTCATGCTTGTATTGTATATTAGTTTCACTTAGTCCGCTTTCACTGTCAGATATGTATTCAGCTTTCAGAAATTAGCCAAGGAGCGCAGATGCTCGGATATCGGTCAGACACACAGAATGTTCCGGTAAAGAGGGTTACATGCTAGATTGAGCGCGATGATCAGTTAAATCTCGTCAAGAAGCCAAGCTAGCCGTTTCCTGTCGCGGTCCGTTTTGATGAGAGGCCCGGCGTGGATATCGTATACTATACCCTCGATGCCCCATCTCCAGATCTAGGCGTTAGTCTCCGAGCGATATGAGCGATGTTAACGAGTAGAAAGCATGCTCACGAGGTACCGCCTAAGCTCTTTATCTGCCAAGTCAGCTGCGACCTTCTTTCTTTACGATGAGCGATCCTTTACCTGTAGGTCTGACTCTCCGCCACTCTTCCTCTGCTGGATCCGTATCGATATCGGTCATATAGCTGGCAAGCGCCTCGACTCCAGCATCTCGCACTCCCGTCACACCGAAGGCTCTCCCGGCACGATGCATCCCATTCACCGCCTCTGCCCATTGGGCAGTCCATTCCGCCTCCTTGTGAGTCGCACCGCCGCCCGGAAGTAAGGGCGAGTATATCCTGAAACTGTCTGAAGCGTAGATCCCAGACCCGTAGAAGACCTTGACGTCCAGGTCAGCAGGTATCGGACTGTTCAGCGGCGTGTGTCCATTCGATAGTGGTGCAGAGCCCTCCCTAGTCGTGACTGGCCAGCCGAGATTGAGATACTGCTGCGAGAAGCGGATGAGAGAGGAGGCACGCTGATTGAAGAGGCCGAGCGGGTAGAGGAGGTCTGCCATGTCTGGGATGCTCGCTGTGGAGTCAGCTAACTTGCCCGGGGAAAATCTCACGGGCAAGATAGCTCACCTATAGACAAGTCATGAGCGGTCGGATACCGCTGAAGGAGGATCTCGAATATGGGGCGTACGGCTCGGCCAGAGGTCTTGTTCAAGAGAGTGGTCATCACCAATAGCTTCCATGGGTCATGCATCAGACGCTCTGGAGTTATGAGTACGATCCACGGCGAGTCGGATCAGCAGAAGCTAGATATGCGTACCTTGAGCGAGATGTATTTTTCCCGTATGTCCATCTTGCCCAATCGTAGCAGGTTCTACGCTTGGTCCTGCTGCCGACGGTTCTGCCGCCCCTGACGCTGATTGCACCGCTGAGCGTCGAGGCCGCTTGGCAGCTTTTGGCAAGCTTTCTGGAGTAGGCGGTAGGGCGAGCTGTCTCGCCGGTGTCTGAGGCTTCCTGGCCTTACGCGGTGTTGTTGGGCCGGGAAGAGCGGACAGATCGGACGGTCCCGGCATGGAGACCGGGATAATCGCCCGTGGCTCCCGCTGAGGCTTGGTACACGACCGAGTGACCCGCCTTGTAGAGTGCCATATCGACGGGCTGTCTGGTGGCGGTGTAGAGTACGGGCCCGACATTCTGGCGATAAGATGCGGATGATGGACGTAGATCGCCCTCGATCTCCTGTGGGATGTGGGAAGGGGTTTATCCGAGAATTCGCCGAAACTCCTCATACCTCCCGATCTCAGCCAACCTTCTTCCTTCCTCCCATCCACTTACAACTTAGCTAAAGAGTATGGCACCTCCTCATCGAAGACCGCCAAACCCCTTCCTTATCCTCGGCATGGTCGTCGCTGGATCAGTCGGCTTCCTCCTCCTCTCGTCACATCGGCAAGAGACAGTAAAGCAGCGACCGAAGGCGTTCCCTAATCCTCTTATTCCGGCGTTGAACGCGCCGAAGGTGGATACACCGGAGAGGAGGGCGGTGGAGTAGATTTACTGCTGGAAAGGAGTCTCAATCTGCGACGTTGGGCCTGTATGGGGTGAGGGAAGGATAAGGGACGGGAAGTGATATCGCGGACGGGTAAGTTCTCAGTTTGTTTCTCTTTTCATAGTCACCCAGCTTCTGCGCAAGATCATCGCAGCGTCTCATCGGGTTTGAACTGACGTGTACAGATGCCGCGTCGAAGCCATCGATATCGAAGCATCACCGCTCTTCGCATTTCGGCCAACCGCGATATCCCTTCTTCCCCTTGTCACGTCACCACGCGGTCACCCCTCTTCGCTCGGCTTCCAGCGTCATGATCATACACGTTGTATCTTCTAGTGTACCTAGGGGATGAAGGGATGTTCGAGGCATTCAGACACGTTTGATGGGATAAAGGAGGCTGGGTCCAGGCTCGCATGGCTCAGTCCCCACGGCGGACTACAAGAGGGCGATAAGAGCGACAATCCCCTCCTCCTTCTACTTGTCTTTTTGTGGACTTATCTCAATACTACCTATTCACCGTCTAGTGATATGCCGATCACGCTTTCTTCTCCGCACCATGTCGCGCCTCCCAGCATGAACGACATCACGTCCTTTCAATCCCCGTCTCAACTCTCCTCCGATGGCGGCCACTCGTCGTCATCAACCCTCAAGTCCCCCTCACCTATGGACTCCTACGCTATCTACTCACCTGTCTCGCCTATCACCAAATCTTTCACCTTTGCTTCTGAGAAATACAACCAGACCCCAGAGGTATCGATCGACGTCGCGCGCCGCGCGGTCCCGGGATCATCGCATGCTGACACTCAGCACCACCGGATGAAGGAGGCGCTGTTCCCGAAGGGTGTGAAAACAAGAGTAGCCAACGAGCCGCTTCATGAAGAGCCTTCAGACTTTGAGGATGTCACAACTGACATGGAAGAGCAGACTGAGCAGAAGGAGCTCATCGATGCCGACTCGGCCAAAGAGCAGATCGCTGGCGACAAGGTCACTCACAATGCGCGGATCATCGCCGTCGACTTTGACGATGTCTGCTCGCATTACATCCCCACGCTCGTCGCGGAGCACAATGCCAAATTCGGGACGAACTTGACACCGTGAGCCCTCTAGTCATTAGGGTCGCACAGGGTCTTGCTGATTTCATCAGGGACGATATGAAGACCTACGTCTTCTGGCAGAACAAGGGCTGGGGTACACCGGCAGGTACGTCATCTCTTATCTCCTGCTTGACAAGGGAGGCAAATGAGATCCGAGCTGATTGACCAGAGACCATCCGCAAGCTGGACCTGCTCGACGCCGCCCTCCCCCAGGTCGCTCCGGTACCCGGTTTCGCGGACGCTCTCAAAGCCCTCAAAGCTCTCGGCCACCCTCTCCACATCGTCACCGCTCGGCCCGAGCGATTCAAGGCGGATATCGAGGCCTGGCTCAACATGCACGGGATCTCGGTGGGATCAGGCCCGGATGATGTGTTGGCGGCGATCTGGTGCTGCTCATCGTACGGTAAAGAGCCAATCCCGGAGCTCAGAGAGACGGCAAGCGGGTTGGAGCAGGAGAGGGCCTTGAATGAACGGTTGGTGGAGGTGTCGGGGAGGGGTAAGAGCGGGATGACCAAGCTCAAGGTATGTCCACCTTTGCGAACGGCGATTGACGATAGAACTTATGATGCAGGTCTTGCGCGCCATCAAGGCCGCGCTTTTCATTGACGACAACCACGGCAATCTTGAACCCGTCGTCGAATCGGACCCGCCCATTCCGTGCCTACTCTTCGGCGATTACGCCTGGAATCGCGCTCGTTCGGGCGTAGCCACGCCAGGCGAGCTCATGCCATACGACGAGCGCGTCAAAGCTGGCCTGGAGATCACGGTCGAGGACATCGAGCTGGGACTGTATCTGCACAGGGTGAGGGGATGGGCTGATGTGGTCCAGTGGGTGAAGCGCTGGGACCTGGAGGCGGCGGAGGATCAGGATGGGACCAGCGCGATTGCCTGATTCTGACCCCAACCTCTCGTGACACCTGTCTATACCGATCCGACAATGCATATCTGCTTACTCTCATCTACGATATGAACGACAATAAGAGGAACCGCAAACTGACAAATCAACTATCCGTGCTGCCAGAAGCGTGACCTGCGAATCAGCTTTGCGTCATACTATGCCCAACCAAGGCAGACACTCACGTAGTACCCTCAAACCCGCTCGCATCCAACTTGCTCATCTCCTCCTCGGTCAACCTGAAAGTCATCGCTGACGCATTCTGCTCCGCCTGCTTCCCGTCGCGCGCTCCACCGAGCGGGATGGCACCCTTCATCATCACCCAATTGATGGCGATAGCTGATGGGGTGACATTGTGCCTCGTCGCGATCTCGCGAAGGAGAGCGATGAGCGGGTCGAGCTGCTTCCAAGTGTATTGACTTGCGAATCGACGACCGCTTGGCGGGGGGTTCTCAGAGGAGTATTTGCCGGTGAGGCGGCCCATTCCGAGTGGTGAGTCTGGAGGTCAGCCGTTATCATGGTGGGTGCGGACGATGAGTGAGAGAGACACGGCACGCTCGGGGATGAGGGACGGAGACTTACAGGCTAGCAGAGCGATGTTCCGCTTCTTGCACTCGGCAAGCAGACCAGACGTTTCCGGCAACTTCCTCAAAAGCGAGAACTCGACCTGGTTCGAAGCGAGCGGCACGTCGTGCTTGGCCAGAAGATCTGCAAATTTGATCCTGCACCGTCAGCTGGCTGTATTACTGACTGTCCAATAGGAGAGACACACTCACATTTCGTCCAGGCTGAAGTTACTGATTCCGATATGCCTGCACAAACCCAGCTTGTAGCATTCCGCCAGACCGCTCGCGTAACTCTCGAACGAGTTCAGTCCTGTAGGAGAGTGGAGCTGATACATGTCGACGCTGTCGAGACCGAGCCGCTCGAGCGAGCGCTTGAGGTTGCGGACGAGGGGAGGGGTGAAGAGGAAGAGGGATGCGGGGCGGGGGAATGGCAGGACTGAAGGTCAGCGTAGTCTCATGACATGCCAAGTCAGCAGAACTTACACTTGGTAGCGATAAAGAGCTTCTTCTTGGTCTCTTCGTCCGTCTCCTTGATAAGGAGGCCGATGATCCGCTCCGACTCGCCTTCTCCATATACCTCACTGGAGATCAGCTCTGATTCCGACCCTCCATCGAACGGCATGCTCACGCTGTATCATAGAAGGTCAATCCTTGCTTGTTGCAAGCGTTCCAGCTTTCTCGGATCTTGGCAAAGTCATCGTCTTTGTGGCTCCAGACCATCTTGTCTCCCCAAGACCAGGTACCTGAGAGCGTCAGCCTCGTCCAGACCGCAGGACCCTGGGAGACCGCCAGTCGACTCCTAGAGGACGCGTGTACACGGAATCTGGATAGCACCCGAATGGGAGAGTAGGTGAAGTGCAGGTTGCTTACCTATAGCCATGGGCGGTACGCTGTCTTTGCCGATCATGACGCGATCGGGCCCTGCCGAGGTGTTCGTAGCGGCGGTGGACATGGCTCTGGGATAGCAAGCAGCAATGGCAGTCGATGTGCGATGGGTATGCGGGGTCTTAATCAAGCTGATGCCTGTTCTTACTGTCCTTATCATAGGTGTGGGGCGATAGATATCGACCACCCACGTCTCGCTCTGATTATAGGTCGCCAAAACAAAGCTATGATGACGCAATGCAATGCCCGAGGCCGAACAAGGCATCTCCATACCGTAACTCCGTCCCGGAGATTGAGCCTCTATCTCCATACATGACATAATGCGAACGGAGATCCACCATCTATGACCGTCCTCCTCGGCCTATCTATTGTCCCGCGTGCTCGATCCTCGCCTGCTGCTGTTGCTCCACCACCTGCTGCTGCGCTCTCCTCGCAAAGTCGGCCGACTGAGCTCTTGTGAATCTGAGAAATCAGCTTGTTGTGCAGGATATCCGAGCAACGATGAACGATACTCACTCTGCTGTGGTCCCTCTCAGCTCGGCGCTCGGCTCGCCCAGCGCGAAGGGGTTGAAGTCGCGTGCTTGATCCAGATTGGCCAGGCTATGGTTGACGAACCGGTGTGTCGCCTCGTCCGCCCTGACCGCTTTGATCACGTCGAGGAGTGTCGATTCGGGACCCATACGCCAATAGTCGATGGCGATCTTGGGGGCGGGGACGTCAACCCACTCGGGGATGAGGCCCTTCTCCAGGTCGGAGATACAGTGAGTGCTAGATCTTCAGCTGATGCTCCTGACTGCTGAAACACAATAGGTACTCACTAGGTTCTTGTCGCTTCCTCCTCGAGGGCGCCGACAAAGCGATGGACGGTCCGAGGGGAGACCAGGTAGGAGAAGAACAGGATATTGTACATCACTCCCTGGGCGGCCATGACCATTACTCGAGTGAGCCAGGTGGGCTGGGCGACCGTGAGGAATGTCCTACCTGATCAGCTGATGGCCATAGGTGAGGAACGATGCGTCAACTTACAAGAGGTGCATCCGCTCGTTCTCTGCTTCCTCCAACATGGTATGGATCCACCCTCCGTCTCTCCTCTGCCGGTGTCAGCTCGGATCTCAGCGCAGAGAGGGGCCTCGCTGACTCACCAATAGTCTCAAACTCCTCAGATGCCTCAGCGTTCCAGCCACCATCCCCGGACAGCCCGCAAAGCTCTCGAGAAGGATGACCCGCGTCATCCACTGATTGACGGTCAAGATCTTGCCCTCGGCTCGGAGCTTTTCGATGGGGATTGGCTTCATGGCGAGGATATCGGCGGGGACGTCGTAGTGCTTGTAGCGAGCGAAGAAGTCAAAGGTCTTGCTGAGATATATCAGCTCAGTCCAAGGCTGATTAGCGTGAGGGGGAGATAGGGAGCAACAAGGAAGGGGAGGAGACATACCGTAGTACGTTGACCAGGCCATGCGCAATCTTATCGCTCGTTGTAACAGGCGTCCGCCCTACCACCTGGACACAGTCCACCTCCTATTATCATCAGCTCGCTCTCAATAGGAACAGGCGAGATGATGACTTACCTCTTTGGTGTAGATCGGCTGCATGAGCGTCCACGATCCATGTTGGTCGTGACTCGAGAGCGTATCCGAGATCGCCTTGTCTGCTCTGTCAGCTCCGTCGCCCTACTTCATCCGACAGCCGGAACTCACCCTGATAGTGCGGCCCCTCAGACCCCTTCATCTCCTCTCCTACTACTCCCACCTTCGATCCCTCTTCGCGATGGTGGACGTCCGCCTGCAGGGCAGTGGACGCCTGATGGGAGCGACCTGCCTCGATCTGCCTGCGGGCGGCAGCGGAGAAGGATCGGGCGTGGACTGTGGTGGTGGCGGAGCAGCGAAGGAAGACAGAGGGAGAGGTGGTGGTACGGTAGAGCGCTGTGCGGAGGATGGCGGCCATATTGGGGTGGTGAAAGGGTTGGCAACGTTAACGCGATGAGCAGATACGGTGGGTTCGAGAGGTATTCCGGTGTTATCGATGATGGAGAGTGGAAGAGAAGGTATATCGGGCGAAGGAGGAGTAAGCTATGCACTCCCCTTATATACATCCTTTCACAGAGCTCCGAATCCTTCCGTGCCAATGGTGACTTCAATATTGACAGATGCTGACCGGGCCGGACAATTACAAAGCCAAATCACGAGGCGCGCGTCCTTCTCCCGGCTCCGTCTCCGTCGCGGAACGACCCGAGCATTCCTCGAGATTAGATTCTCGTAAGCAGTTTACGAGATGCTCCCGGATGCTGATAAGACGTGCCTCTTCACTTCATTTGATGTCTTCCAACCTGTACTGAGGCAGTCGGACGCGGACCACTGGTTACCAGCTCTTGATACCGCATCATTGTCTGAGAACCGAATGCAACGATCGCAACAACGATGAACGCGAACCCTAGGATCAGCTCGGAAAGCGCCGGCGCACGGACCTCGGAGTTCGGGAAGAACAGGAGCCGGCTCTCCACCGAAAGACAAATGGGCGGTACTGCTCGAGCGGCTTTTTGGTATCTCTCCGTTAGATTTGGTATCACTTCCTCCACCGATTGCAGGCGACTTGTGCACCACACCCAGAACAAGGTACAGGGGGTGGAGCGGAGAGTATAAGATCTGTAGATGATACTAGGCAGGCAAAGCTCTTTCCTCGCCCATTGCGCAGCAGAAGCTCAAGCAGCCTAGTAGAACATACCCGTCGGTGTACCATGTGGCGTGACATGACGACTATCCTGCATGTCCTCCGCACCCCGTTCAATACACCCTGACCCACCTCCCTCCGCACAACAAGCAAACCACCGCCGCCTCCAGCATCTGCTCGGCCATTCCCCCAGACTCCGCCTTCCCCGCTACACGCAGATAGTCCGTATCTGAACCATCCTCGGCGACGGGTATGGGCGGCTCGGCGCTGCTGGTCGGAATGAGGGACACGGCGGGACAGGAGGAGCAGACGCGGTAATTCGGTTGAGCGATGAGCAGGCGAGTAACCGAGCATCGGCCTATCAGAATCAGCGTTCTGTCCGAGCAACGAGCAGTGTCGACAGGCTGCATCGACCACTCACTCCACTCATGTCCCTTCCCACATCGCGCGTTCCCGTTGACATCCCCTAATGCCACCGGCTGAGCGCACGCCGGACATGGATCCAGAAGCGCATCGCCTGCATCGGCCCCCAGGTGGGAGACGGCCCGAGACAGCGCGTCGATGTCGGATGCGACGTTGGAGTCCGTCGTATACCTTAGCAGAAGCCGAAGGAAGGGAAGATCGATCCCTGCATATAATAAGCTAGGTCCACCGGGCGATTATGACTGGAATGCTTACCGATCGACTTGCCGCAAGACTTTGCTGCCCATGCGAGTTGCCGCTCCACGACGATCCCCTGTATGGCCTGCAATATCGATGTGGAGATCGACGTGAACGCCTTGGCCGATGAAGTAAATGTGGCCTAGCCAATGAGCTTGGTCCTCAAGCCAGAGAGAGAAGGGGACTCACAGCTGACCACCTAGCGAGTGCATATCGCAGTCGCATTCCATCGAGCGGCTTGCTACCCCAGATGCTCAGCCTCAGCTTCGCCATCGCGTCTTTCGAGGAGGCGCCCCTATCGTCCAAGCTAGAAGTGGCCGGTCCCGCCTCGTTCCACGCTTCCGAAGATAGGAGCTCGAGGATCTCGGAGCCGATGCTGTCTTGATCGGGCATGGCGACGATCCTCAGTAGTTGAGGTAGTAGCGCTTTGAGCGGTGATATCTGTACGACTACCACGTCAGCCGAGAGCGCAATCAGAAAGGGTTCGGACTCACGAGATGGTGGACTCTCCAATACATCTTCAATCTCGTCCATGACTGCCCTTCGACGCGGCATAATCCCTCCCATATCCGCCACAACAAAAGTGCTCTGCCGGATCCCCTCAGGCTTCATTTCCATATTAGCAAAGTTTGTCGCCCTGACACATCAGCTCCGGACTTGCTCTGCGCTATGAAGTGGATAGCTCACTCTCCGCACCACGATACTAAGCCCGCTTCTCCCACTCCCGCCCATCCACAAGTCAACGCCGTCGTACTTTGGACGTATGCGTCCTGTTTGGTGCTGTCGGCACCTTCGAACATGTCGGTCTGGACATGGTCGAGGTACACTTGCCTGGCAGCTATGCTTAGATTGAGCGAGTCGGCGTGATCGTCCAGGCGAGGCGAGGTGAGGAGATCAGTGATGATATATTGGATGTGAGTCGAGAGTACGATAAGCAGGGAGTCGGAGTCGATTTGCTGTATAGCTGAGACGATCAGCTGACTCTTCAACGTTGACATGAGAAGGATCACTGACAAGCACAACTGCTCAGAGGATTCGCGCCTGCCCAATTACCCAACCCCGGCAGGACTATCCGTTTACACCCTGACCACTTGACCAAGCCCGAAAATGGGGCTGACCAGAAGGTGATAGATCCAGGCCGGGTGACGACCAAGATAGTCTGCTACATCAGCAGCCGGCCCTCACAGTATACGCTTGACAGGCTTACCCCAATCCACCTGAGCCCACAAATAGCTCTCATATCCTGATCTGGCATCTTCTCATCCTTGACAACCTTCACCGTCCGGCTAATTGCCCCTTCCGCATCGACCTGGACCGTTTGCTGGATATGCAGAATGGCGACACTGCCGTCGCTACATGCCATCGCCAGTCTGGATGTATCTAAATCATCAGCCTGAGTCTTGTCCGATTGACAGAGTGCCCCTTTGATGACTTACAAGTGTTTTTATCGACCTCTACCCAGGCTGACCAATCCAGCGCTATTATCCAACCCGTAGTCACTTCGGCCCCCAGGACCTTCTCGAATCTCCTCTCCGGGCCATAGCTGACGGTCAGCACTTATAATGTGTAGAAGATACAGTGAAGCACTCACGACCAGAACACGACTTTTCCCGCTCGATTCGCAATAGCAAACAAGCTGGAGTCTATACCGAGCGTGCTCGTCAGGGGAAGAGCATGGGACCACTGCATACCTGTCACCATTAGTATCGCTCCTTCTCTGGTCTCTGAACAAAAGGCTCAAGGCGTACATGTGGCCCTCATCTGCAGCATCATTGGCACAGTCAACTCCTTCTCCTTCTTCAGCGTCGCCCGGGTAAGAACCGTCATATCCGCTATCTAAGCTATCAGCCTATGATCCTCTGACAGCGGATTGTGCTCACTTCTTCCCATCGTTTCGTGTATGGGTCTCTGGAGGGTACGTATACCGACACCTGACCTTGAGTGGTCATGATAGCCAATAGACAACTGTCGGATCAGCCCTACATCCCGGAACGTAGAAGCAGGATAGCTTACCTCCCCAGATCTGACAAGCCCGAGGGAGACCAGGCCATCGCTTGCGTCGTAAACTCGTCATGCGAGATGATAGCGCTACTCTCCTCTACAGAATGTCAGCTGTGTTTAAATACCTCCATCTCCAGGGGCGTATTGGCGGACCCACCTCCGACCTCCGTCCAACCATACACCTCCATCCTGTCAATCTCCTTCGGATCCACTCCGTTAAGATACCACCCTACTTCCCCATTCTCAGGCCTCCTTACGCGCCGGACAGGCCTCGTCGACGGCCCCGCCTCATCCTCTTCATTGTCCGCGGGCATCTCACCCCGCCTATACCGCCCCAGAATCATGGATGGGTGCTCCAGGGTCAGACCGGGGGCAAGGTACGCCGGAGGAGCAGGGAGAGAACATATGAGATGGGGAGTCTAGATGTGTCAGCTATATGTCACGAGCGGAGGGGTGGGTAATTGGGTATCGACGGCAAGAAGGGGACGGACCAAAATATGGACCCCGCGCGTCGTGAAGAAGGCAGCTTGGCCATCATCGTTCCAGCTCAGACCTCTGGGCGCGTTCGACTGGTGCATACCCGGAATGGTCCGGGTGCCCAGTATGGTGGGTGGCTGGATGGTCATGCTGTCCCACAGGTAAAAGTGTTGTTGACGAGTTGCAGCGCGAAGTTGAGCTCGAGGCGACCTCCACCAACTTCGATGCCGTAAGGCAACCTCCAAGACCGAGAGGAGATGATCTATGGCTGTGAGGACTATACTTCGCCAACGCAGGAACAAAGACGGTTAAGACAGCCTCGTACAGCGTCATGAATCCCGCAAAATCAGTGGTGAGTCGTATGAAGCTGGCGCAAGAACGGAAAGAGAGCTGACGGATCCAGGCGTACGGCTGGGGTGTAAGTCGATCTCCATCCTCTCCTCCGCGCTACCGACGACAAGCTTGCGCGAGCTCATCCATCAGGCATTGATAGTAGCCACAGGATTCGGCTACTACTTCACTAAGCAAGTGACGAACGCACGGCGGAAAGAGAAGCTATTGAGCAAGCGGGCGAGTGAGAGCCCCTCGAATTGTGCGTTGCCCTTCCCTGGACCGAGAGCAGGGCAGTGGGCACTGGAGCTGACATGAGTAGGGGAAGAGAAGGTGGCGAGATCACAAGGATCAGGATCAGGATCAGGATCAGGTGCTGCGGCTGCTGGCGCCCCACCACCCGATCAGACTTCGATACCTACTACATTTGCGGGCGGACCGGCGACGCCAACGATGCAGTCGGCGCCAACGGGGGTGGATACGCCAAATGGGTCAGGTAGCGGGCAGCAACATAATAGATGAACGCCATGTGGTTCGAAAGCTCCTGGGATGAGTACGTCGAGCGAGGAGCAGCATGCTCGCGGGACTCCATTAACCTTTCACCTGTATGAAAACCTAACCCAAACACTCAGTCTACAGATATTTTGCTACACATCGAGATGTCTACACTATTCGACAATATACAAGACTATACAGCCACCACCACCATTCTGTATATTGTCCGCTTCCACCGAGCCACGTCCTCCCCCAGGCTGTTCCAGTGCTGAGATCTTTCACCTTTCTCCCACCCCCTCTTTCCTTCCGCCTCGCCCACCGCCGCCCTAGATCCGATCATACTCCTCCATCCCACTCCCAAACCCCCCTCCCTCCTCATCCCCACTCCTCCCCGCCGAGCTTCCCACACTCGCCGTCCTCTTCCTTCCCTTCTTTCCCCGCCCCGATCCCGCAGGCGTCGCCGCCGAATCAGGCTGCAACAATCCCTGAGCCGCCTTGAACGCCTTGTACTGGTTCTCAGACATGGCCGACCCGTCCGGATTAACGGGGAGGGGAAACGCAATCGCGCATTCGATGCCTTGTTCGGACTTGTGGTGTCGCGTCAAGGCGTCGAGACGGGCAAACTTCTTGTGGCAGCCTTCGCATTCGAACGGCCGGAGTCCTTGGTGTAGGAGCATGTGGCGCTTGCAGTCGTGTTGCCGGGCGAAACCAACTTCGGCTGAAGAGTCAGCTACCTCTCGCAAGGACTTCAACGCGAGTCAGTAAGCTCACCCTTTGGACAGCCATCATACAAGCACTTGTACGGCCGCTCATCATTATGCGAACGCATATGCCCCTTCAAGTTGAAATGCCGCGTAAAGGTACTCCCACAGCCCGGAACTGGATATATCAGCTGTCGTTCCCATCGTGCACTTCTGCGAATACAACAAAGCTCACCTGGACACTGGAAGATCCCACTATTCGTCCGTCGACTCGTAGCAGCCACCTCGGTAGCCATACTCGTCACCTTCATCTTTGACAATCTCGCCTTGCCCCCTCTTTCTCCACCCTGGCCAGACCCCGACCCCGAGCCCGACCCGGACGCGCCACCCTGCATCGAGAAGTTCAGATTCATCCCGTCTGGCATGTCCATATGTCCGTGTCCCGATCCGGACGCGTAGGAGAAGGATGAGCCGTGCGACGAGACTGAGAGTGCGGGGGAAGCGGACCGGCCGGAAGAGACGGACGAGTGGCGCGAGTGAGAGCGGCCGCCTCCTCGGATAGGAGGGATGAGAGAGCCGTCATTGGCGGTGATGGAGTTGAGGAACTCGGTCCTATCTCGTCAGCTGTGTTCCCCGAGGTAGAAGAGGGAGAGACAGCTTACGTCGAACCACCATGACCCAGCCCCCAACCGCCCCTGCCCAGATCCTCCGATTTCGCACCCCTCCGATGCCCCTGCCCAGGGGACACACTCCTCACTCGCCCCGTCATCCCCATCGGTCCAAACGGACTCGTCGCTCTCCCCGTGAAACCCATGCCATACCCCGGCGTCCCCGCTCCCTGTGCATGATGAGATGCCCGCCCGCCCTCGCTCCCATCCCCAAAGCTCACTCGTCTCCCCGCAGCAGCCATCATCTCCGGCGTCGCCGCCAAGAAATGTGGATCCGACTGATAGATACTCTGAGCTGACGGCGGGCGGAACGGGTCCTGCTGCTGCTGCTGTTGCTGGTGCAGGGGGTCCTGAGGCTGGAAAGAAGTGTTATAGAAGGGTGCCGAATTCGACCCGAACCCGAATTGGCCGGAGGGAGGCAGCATCCCCCTCGCCTGGTAGAATGCCAAGGACGTAGGCGAGAACTCGCCAGGTTCGTACTTGAAGATATTGGATGCCGTCTGCGTATTGACAGAAAGGGGGTTCGCCTTGACCCGTTGCGCCTGGAGTTGCGACAGCTGATGTTGCTGTTCCAGCTGCCGGAGGAACTCGGCCTGATCATTCCCGGGGAGCTGGTTCGGGTTGACTGTACCCGGCGGCGGCTGCGAGGAAGAGGTAGCGAGACCCGTAAAGTCCGACTCGAGGCCCATACTAGTGAGCCAAGAATCGACATTGTTTCGCCAGTCCGCACCGCCCACTCCAGCGCCCATGCTGTCCGGCATAGGCATGGGCATCTGTCCTTGACCCTGTGATGGATCCTGCCCCATCCCTCCGTCCTGCCCAAATGACCCCAGACCCATCGCTTGCGCCTGAGCCATGATCTGCGCCATTGCCTGCCGCTCAAAGTCCGCCTGGCTAGGCCCGCCTGTCGGTGAGGGCGCGTACGAGTCGGACTTTGCTCTCGGCCGAGTACCGTGTAGTTGACCGCCGAGATCGCCCCACCCTGTTGGGTTTTGCATGGCTATCTGGCCAGCAAAGTCCATTCCCTGCTGCTGCTGCGCTTGGTCGCGCTGCTGCTGCTGATGTTGCTGCTGAGGCGTAGGACCGCTATTGCCCCGATTTGGCAGAGGGACAGTGTACTGTTGTGGGCCGTTATCGGTCCCCGATTGCTGATGATGGTGGTTCTGCTGAGCCGCTCGCCGGAGCGCGTCGTCGAAATGGCCACGGCCGTCCTTCAGCCCAGAAATGGGCGTACTGGGCTGAACGAAGATCTGGGGTCCATCCGCACTGGGAGCGATCGGGCTGATCCCCATCATCCCCGATAGATGCTGCAGAGCGGGGTTTGTAGGTGGTAAGAGACCGCCGACCGCCCCTGCTTGATTCGCGAGTGCGTGTCCCTGACCTTGACCGCCATCCCCGACGGGCGCTGAAGGCTGGGTAACGATGGGTGGGAGCGATACCGGCGACGGCGCGTTGGTGGAGAATGGCATGACGAGCGCAGGTGGTGAATGTGGTTTCTGCCCGATGTAATTTGGGTTCGAGGGACTGCTCCCGGGCCGCTGTATACTGGCAGAGGTATACGACGGGGAGGGAGCGGTATTTGCTTGGAAGGGCGAGGTAGAGCGAGAGCCGGGGTTGATATTGGGGAAGGAGTCGCCGGGGAAGGCTGAGAGCGTAGTCTGCTGCTGCTGCTGCTGGTGCTGGAAGAAGTTGGCTTCCTGGAACGATGGTGATGGCTCTCGAGATACCGAGCGGGATAATCTGATCTCGTCAGCCAAACCCGCCCTGGCCCGAGCTGTAGATGCACGTACGATTCCAAGAGATCCTTCATCACATCCTCCACTTTGACCTCCCCTTGTCCTCCGCCGTTCATGGCTTCCACACCGAAGCCATTCCCGTCTAATCCGCCATCATAAGACCCCCTTTGGCTTATCCTATCATCGATCCATTCCTCCTTGACCTGCTCCATCCCTCCGACCTGCCCGTATCCGCCTCCTTGATTGAAGCCGTAGTTGTCCATCCTAGGCGCTTCGCCTTGCATTCCGGACGTGTAGTCCCCGGCCGGCGTCGAGAAGTCCATATAGGTCGCCTGGCCCGCCGATAACGGGGCGTGATACTGACCGGGGTTGGTTTCCAGGCCGGCGAAACCGAACTGATTATCGCCATTCTGCCAGATGGCGAGCGGATCGTACGGTTGACCGGGATGTGGATAGTCCGAGGGTCCACCCATGTGCTGCTGCCGCCGCTGCTGCTGCTGCTGGTATCCCTCCATCTCAGCCCCACTTCGTTTCCGAGCAGTATTCTCGAGCGTGCTCCCCTCAAAGGGCATCGAGTCCTGCCGGAGATCCGGGAACTGCTGATGCCTCAACGAGCTTGACGCCGTTGAGCTGGTCCGCTGCCGTGCCTCGTTGAACTGGGCATGCATGGACCCGCTGCTCGCCGGCCGAGACATAGATGGCGGCTCGTCATGCAGCGGCTGCCCGTGACCGTTGAAGTTGTGCGAAAATGAGCTGTGGTTCGACGAGGAGGTCGAAGTCTGCCGCCGGTGCTGGCGGTGCTGATCCAGCAGGATATTTTCGAAGGATGGGGGAGAATCGACCATTGTGGAAGTTGGATGTCGTGAAGAGATGTGAACGGGGAAGATGATGGAACTGAAGATGTCAATAATGAGCTGAAAGGAAGGAGGAAGAAAGGAATCCAAAGGAGCTCTTTTGTCCACATGGGCAGTGCCTTGCAGCGCCTCGATTCTCGTGTGACCTAGCCTCTTTTCCCACTCACGTAGGAGAACTTACAAAGCACAATCGAGGCGCGTTTCAGTAGAGTCTGTAGTATAGCTGACCTCCTCAAAGGTATGATGCCTTTGGTGGTCGGTGCCCGGAACTGCCCGAAGCCAGCGATTGATGGCGACAGGACAGGACGGTATACCCTCCTCTCAGCCGCTGCGTGTATATAGGGCTCGCAGTACAGTCGACTGCAAGCGCTCGCGTTGTCGACCAGGTGCAAGTAGTTAGAGCTGCAGGAGAGGTGATGCCGACTAGAGCTTCTTTATCGATGCGCTCACATGGGTCGCTCACCAAAGCTAAGCCGACGACGTTGTAAATACAGTTAACTTATCCGGATCCGACTCATTTGTATTACCCCAGAATTCCCTCTTGGGGAGATCTTTGGTCATTAGAAGATCTGATGCGGTCATTGCCGGCCGGGATATACGGCACACGTGCGTGCCTGAGTCGAGGTATGCGGAGTTTAGGCAGGATCTCCATCGTCATCGGCACGCGAGACGCGTCGAGGCGCGTCCTAGCCTGTAGGTGCGAGCCACAAGCTGTCTCACGGGCCTATGCCTAGTCCAGCTCCAGCTTCAGCTAGGTTTTATAGGATCTAGGCTAGGGGAAGGCAGGCGGATTTGTGGTACTAGTATGAATCAATGGCACGTGTGACAATGTCCCGAAACCGAACGCTCGCCGCTCTGTCGCGTCCGAACTGAAACCACCAGCCGTGTCCGCGCGCAGGGGCCAGTCGTCAGCTATCCAATTCACGAAATCTTGACTTCACCACTTATCTTGAAGCTTATACCTATCACCACTCTTCACGATGCACAACGACGCCTACCCCGAATCTGGCGAAGATATAGCTCGCTCGCTTGTACCCGAGCTCCTCGCACGCGGTGCTTTCCCCGAGCTCAAGGCATGCTTCCCCCTTTGGTGATAAGTAAGCCTGTCGCGCGGATGAGAGGGGGACAAGCTGATGCCCTCGTAGGGACAGCCTCAAGCCTAACATACCGCAGTCGGTCCGTTCCCTGCGATTCGAGAAGGCTATATGGAGCTTCCGAGACGCTCTCAAGCTTGCTGAGAAGGGGAAAGACGAGTGGAGGAAGTGTCAGGTCCGCGATGCTCTCGCCAAGATCATGGTACGTCCTAAATCTCGCCTATCCTGGGCTTGCCTAACAGGGCAGTGGCAAGACCTGTCGAGCTTTGCAGACAATCGAGAGGCCGAGCGAACGCGCCTGACTTTTGAATGGCTCTTTGACATTCTCCTCGCTTGGTCTGATGATGTGGACGAGGGAGAGAAGGTGGACGAGTTTTTCGTCAAGGTAGGATTGCTACCTCCTCATTCATTGGTACTTGTGCTGACGCTCAGTTCCACCTCGACATGAGCGACATGCGACGCAACACAGCCCTCTCGCTCGCCGTCCGCGAACGCTTCACCAAATCCTACATCGACGCGCTTACCGCCTTCCGTCCCCTCCGACCAGCCATGAAAGCGCTTCGCCGCCTTCTCCGCTTGGACGCATACGAATCTCTCATTCAGCTCGCCAGCCAGCGGGCTATCCAATGTTGGGATCTAAAGCAGTACAAGTACGCCCGACAAGCTCTGCTCGCCCACGAGTCGGCCATCGCGATGGCGGAGGATCTCGAGCGGGAGTACGAGCAGGTCATCAACGAGCGAAGTGATCGGCGAGCGGGCAAGTGGATGGAGACGCTGAACAAGCTGGTTCACGCTGCGGATCGTGAGAATGGGTACGAGTATGTCTTTGGGCGGATCGCGGAGGCTGCGGCGGACTGTAGGGCGTACATCACGAAATGTGAAGCGAGAGCAGATTTGATCTAGATCAGTTCTTGCGCGGCTTTGGATGCGTCCTTGGAAGCTGAGCTGACGAAACAGGTATCAAAACCTTCAATGCTGCGTTGCTGGACGACCCGGCCAATATCGTGGAGGGCGTGGAGGATGCTCAATCCCACTTCCGGTGGGTCCTGCCATACTAACCAAGTCGTAATACCATGCTCATTCTCTAGCAATGCGGCAATCATTGCAGCCGATTGCGACTGGAACCTCGAGGGAGAGGCAGTAAGTCCTTGAACATCAGACACAGGGTGGACTACTAACCTCGTCATAGCTCGTCCGCATCGCTTCTACCTTGGCGAAGGTCCTTCGTCGGGCTGGCAGGTGAGTCACACTCAGCCTTGAACCGTCGGGGAGTGCGCCCGGATGTCAGGCTGACGGCCGCAGTGCCGAGATTTTGTATCGCCGGGCCATCCAGCTCGCCGCAGTACAGTGAGCTATGCCGCTTCCTCAATGGGCACCAGCTGACATGTCAGCAACAACGTCGGCATCACCGGTCCCTGGTTCAAAGAGGCCCAGAACGCACTCAAGAGCGAGCAAAAGGCCGAAGCCGAGGCGAACGAAGCGCGATGGGTCAACATCCGCGAGGCGATCGGGAACAAGCTGTCCCAGCACCTCAAGCCGATCGAGGAGCACACGGGCAATTTGAAGGAGTTCATCCAGGTAAGCTATCCCTTTCGGATCGGGACAATGGCGGAGCGCTGGCTTATCTGCCCTGTGGGTGTGGAAGGAGTGTCCCCCGCTCGCCACGCCATCCGGCTCGGACTGTACCCCGGCATACGAAGGCGGCAGCAAGCTACCCGACGGCCTCTTCCCTGATAGCGCGGCGCCTATCGTCCCACCCGCCCGAAAGAAGGCAAAGAAGGAGGTCGAGCCGGTCGCCCTCCCGAAAGTGTCAAATAGCGCGTTTAGGAAGGTCGTGTTCCGGTATCACCCCGATAGAGGACAAGAAGGGTTTGGCGAGGGTGAGTACGGGCTACTAAGCTGTTTCCACAAAGAGAGATCTCGACTGATGGGTACAGTATGGAGACAGACTGCCGAGACGATCGTCAAGCAGCTCAACAAGCGGCGGGACAAGCACCACGAGCTGAAGCATGGTCTGAGCCTTCGAGTGAGGAGGGTCCAATCGCCGGGGCGGGAAGGAGATTGGGTTCTGCGGCTCCATTGTGCAGTCACCTAACGTTGTATATAGCTACATGTACGAAAGAGATACCTTCTTGCCACAGTACTCGCAGCTGCCACCCGACTGTAAACGCATGGATCATTCAGCCGCCATGCCTGATTTTCTATTGTTGCTTGACACTGACTGAGATTTTGCAGCTCGATGATATCGCTTGTTCCTCTGTGACAGCTGCATGCCTTCCATCCCCTCAAGCCGCAAGCGATGCGTGCCTCGAGCTCCGATACCTTTGATGTTGAGCCCCGCTGATCCCTTCAGAGTCTATACCTTGCGTGCCGGTACCGCGGTGCGAAACCTGCAGTCCCTTGCGTCAAGCTTGACACATACCTTTGACATTACGGGGCTCAGGGGTTGGTCCGCTATCCCTTAAACTCGCTGCAGAAGGGACTGGTGGGGTCCATTGATGTCTGACCTCCCCACTGATATCAGCCGTCAGCACAAGTCAGGGCGCCTCCTCGGCCCAGACAACGGTCATTGCTCTCCTCGGCCACCTCTTGTACATCTGCTTTCTGCCACAGTACTACACGCGCGCGCTCTCAGATACAGAAAGAGATCTAGGCTCAGCGTAAGCCTCTTCGCCGAATCCGACCAGCGAGAGGCTTGGTTGAGCCTAAAACAGATCGCCGGGGACGAAATGATCATTGATCACCCTCACTTCAGGCGCGAGGAGACTATGACTCCTGATCAGGGTGAGTGCTCGCGCTTCTCAACTTTATCTATTCAAGCATTCTCCATTTTTTCATCCGTCCGTTCCTCGCCATTGGCCGCTGCCCTGTCCTTGGGCCTGCTCTCCTCATACGCACTGGTCTGGACTCGCTGACGTCGCAGCCGGGTCTGAGCTGAAGAGAGTTGGCCTTCCCATATTGTACGCGCTCATCGGCGTCACTGTCTTGATCTCGTTGAGCTGCGTGGGATGTTGGTGGTCGGACAAGCGCAAGAAACTGAACGATCCCTCTCCCGGCGCAAAGGTGGAAAAACCTGACAAACCTGCGAAGCAGGCAGGAAGAACCAGTACAACAGGCACTGCATCGAGTTGATGTTTGCGTGGCGCTGGCAGTAGAGGAGGTGATACGCTTCAGACAGTTGATAGCGATGTACGTGGACCTGTGGCTACGACGCTACGTGTAGAGGCTGTCCAGGCTCTCGGTAGGTCATATGGTCTCGCAATGACCTTTTGCCGCTCCGTAGCTGCAGCCCGTGCTTGGCGAGCGTGATCTCGCCTTCCTACAGGTTATTATCGGACCGAGCTGCTGATGTTCTCCTCGAGACCCTTAGTATGGAGTCAAATTACAGAGACGAGCGTCAGGCGGCATCATGACCGGCGGGACAAGCTTGGTGAGCTCAAGAATTGCTCTCAAGGGCGCAGGTTCAGCAGGCGACCACTGCCCATTAGCACCCATTGTCAGGCGTAAGCGCGGCACACGCCCCCGTTCGGACTGGCCAGGCGGTCAGGAGGGGATCAGCCTGGATCAGCAGGGATAAGCGTGCTGCGTAAATAGAGGGCGCACTGCGGGATCTTTAGTAGCCAGTGAATATGGTACACTGGGCGAACCCCAAATCTCTCATCGGTCTTTTGGGTCTCTTGCACCGCCCAGCCACATGCATCTCACTTCCGGCGGCAGTTGGCCCAGCGCAGCTCAAAGCAGAGAACGCGCAGTTCAGGCAAAGACCGATGACATCGCTTTACGGCATGTTTGAGACATCCACCCAGACCACCAAGTCGACGACGCAAAATCACTTTTCAGCAGCCCTTTATCAACTCCCTTCTTCTCCTTCACTACTATACACCCATCTCCAGCTCCTATCTTCCTCTCAATCAATACCTTATCTTGTCCAAAATGAAGTTCCAGCTCCTCTCCGTCGCTGCTGCCGCCGCTGTTGCTTCTGCCCAGGGGTGAGCCGGTTCTGCCCGATCGCACAGCTTTTTGGTGGTCGTCTTGGAGTTTATGCTGACATGGTAGCCTTTCGTCTGGGTGCACCACCCAAGTTGGGCTCCTCGCTTTCGGTGATCTGGGACAGTGTCTCCAGCTCACTCAGATCCTTTCGGTCTTCTCTGTGGGTCTTATTTCTAGCTCAAATTCGGTCCCGCTGGATACGCAGCCCTCGCTTGAATGCTCCTCTCAGTCATGATGCCTTCAGGATCAAGCTAATATGCAGTCCACCTCGGGATCAGTGATTACCCCGCTCAACAACTACCTCAACTCGCTCTGCGCGTCCAGCACCCCCCGGTGCTCCAACGCCACCCTCACCAGCGCCAACAGCACCATCCAGTCTGCGTGCGCTTCGGACGCCTCGGGCGGTGGACAGGCTGCCACCATCATCCAGACTGTGGGATCTGTTCTCCAGTCATACCCATACTTCATCACCGCCGCTTGCTCCAAGAACACCACGTACGTCTTCCCCCATGGTGGTCCGCAAGCAGACTAACGAATCAGCACCAACAACTTCTGTCTCACCGACACCTTGACCGCCGTCCAGAACGCCACCGGCCAGGACGTCTCCTTCTCCACCGTCTCGTCGCTGCTTAGCGGTGGCTCGGCCGGGATTGCCGGTCTCAGCCAGTCCCTCTCTGGTGGCCAGCTCTGCACTGGCTGCGTCAGCGGGTAAGTTGCCCCGTTAGGCATTATCCCGGCCTTTCGCTGATAGGCAGTTTCTACCAGCAGGCCATTGCTGCTAACGCCACCATCACCACCCTCCCCGCTGCGTCCGCCATCCAGTCCCAGTGTGGCAGCAACTTTGGCCGTAAGTTATCCTGTTGCCACGGTGCAATGCAAAGCTGATCCGCCAGGCATGGTGACCGGTGTCTCGTCTTCCGCTCCCGCTGCTTCCGGCACCGGCGCATCTGGTGCCGCCAGCTCGAGCGCTGCCGCCTCGTCATCCCGCGCCGCTGGTTTCATGACCGCGAACACCGCCATCTCCTTCCCTGCTGTTGCCGCCGCACTTTCGATTGTTGGCGGTATCGCCGTCGGTGGTCTTGCCGTCATGTAAATAACCTAGACATGGGGTTTCTTCAAGTGATAGAGAGCTGAGCTAGACTGAGAGTGGAGGAGGATCAACGATAACTTAGACAAGAAGGACACTCGTATGCATCTGTAGCTATGTTGCTTTCACAATCTAGCCCTAATCCATACCCTGACATCTGAAACTCACCTTGGGGCTGAGCAAGCTAGGTTTCTATCCGCTGAAACCACCCAAAGGGATCGTGATCCATGCCTCACACATCGGGCAGGCTAAGCTGATAGCGCCCCTACCACCCGCTAATCATCAATCGATGCTAATAGCCCTCAAGGCAAGTTTCAAGCCCACTCCTTTGTCGTCGGAGGTGCCAACGGGACCAAGGAGCCTTCCTTTGATCGTCCCGATCTCGCTCGGCTGGTATGCTGGGGCAGTACAGGCTGATAGGAGAGCCCTGACGAGTCAGGGGAGCAGCTGGACGGGGAAAGGAGGAGGCGGTGGTCCGCTGGGTCGTTGCTTTCTCCTCTACACGAATAGCTATACTCAGTCAACCATCTCTCAGCCACCTATGTGTTGAGGTGTAATTTGAAGCTGTATTAAGCTGTGCTTAATACCGGGAACCATCCCGCTTGACCTATATCCTCCTCCGATCCCGCCATAATTGGCCTCGAGCCAAGCCCAGAGGACTGCAGGCAGTGAATTGAGCGCCTCCCCATCCATGACATCTATCAATTAAGGCATCATAAGGCGAGATATGGGCTTTGTCTTCGAGCCAAGTAAGCTCCCTCTCCCTCGGACCGACTGCCGACCTCAGCTCACATCTTCCAGTAGTGATAGCCGCGATAGCAGCTGGCGGGACGGCCTTCCTCATCCTCCTCACCGTCGGCTCCATATGGATATACCGCAGATACCATCCGCGGCCACCACCCACATCCCGCTCTGGGTCCCGTCGGTCCGGCGCAACCTCCACACGCTCTGGAGCCAAGCAGCCCATCCAACTCACAGACCGCGCCCTCGCCTCCGCGTCCGCATCTAGCTCCGCCGGATCCTCCACCCGCAAATCCCCACATTCATATCATACCCCCATAGTCCCCCTCGTTCAGCCACCTCCACACCCCTCACATCGCCGCAACCCCAGTAATCAGTACCTCCTCCAGCCCAGTACCGCCCTCTCCCCTTCTTCCGACGAGTACATCCTCGGTACGCCCGACTCTATCCCCAATCTTACCTCGGGGTCCAAATTGCGGAAATATGAGAAATCGCCCTCGAGCGTTTCGCCACGTCCGCTGGCACGGCCAACAGCGGCTAGAACTATCCCTATTCCCGATACACCATCAGATCAGCAGATGATCAGCCCACAAATGATCTCGGACCGGCGGACAAGTGCAGGTTCCAGCGTTATGCTCATCACGTACGAGCAGGGGCTGGCAAAGATGGGTCTCAGCACCCTGCCCCGCCCGCCACTCCCTACCGCCTCCACATCCGCCTCCGCGCACCCCGCCTACCCCATCCCCTCCCCGTATTCCAACTACCGCTCCGTTGGTGCTGCGTCTCCGCATGAGCCATATATCGCCGAGACGCCGGGGCAAAGAAGGAGTGGGAGTGGTAGTGAGAGATCGTATAGAAAACCAGTCCCTCTGGTAGGGGGCGGGACCGGCACTGGCGCCGGCGGTGGGCGTTCCGGGCGGTCAGATAGGAGCGGATCGGGCTCGCATGCGTCTCGCTCTGAGAGTGAGCGATATCCCGAACCTGAGATAGGAAGGGGATGGGAAGAGGCGGACACCGCGACGGAAAGTCGACAGGGGGCGTGGTTACCGAGCTACTACCAGCCAGCGGCGGAGAAGAAGAGCAAATGGGGAGGTCGAATATAGATGTAGTTCATGCCGGTACTGGTACTGGGATGATGAGTTGCTAGGGTCAGTATGTATTGGCCGTACTTTCAACAATCAGTTTCAGTTGTGGCTGCATCCCTCATCTCTCCCTGTCGACGACGCGGACCCCGACGAGTGGCTTGTCTCCTTCCCTAGATTCCTCTGGAGCTATCCAGCGGTCCCAATACAGCCCCGCCATCCCTACCACGCCAAGCACCACGCCGAAGAGTATTCTCGTATTTGGATTCAGTGCTGGCGCGTAAGCTATGTGGACGATCCATCCCAGTAGGTGAAGTAGCTTACATCGATACGAGTCGGCCAAAGTTTTGGCACTCTGGCTCTTCCCAAGCGCAGCTGCCTGATCTACCGCGCTTGCCGCAGCGTTCGACTTTGATGGTAGCGCAGCGACCGATCGTCTGATAGGTCCAGGAAGTGGCGAAGACACAGGCTTCGCCAGAGGAGGTGCAAATGGTGTCTTGGACGGAGCCTTGGGTGGTGGAACCTTGGACCTCGACGGTCCTGACGTTTGACTGACAGCGATAGTGAATCTCATCGTAAACCTCTCTGCTTCCATCAGCTCTCGCCACTGATCGCGCTTCCGATCGATGCCCGCACCTCTGCGCTGTGGATCTGAATACCTTTTGGGTTGAAACCGGGAGGATGATGGGCAGATGAGACATCCTGGTACGCGGATATAGCCGGCTGGAGCAGGAAGAGCCAGAGTCAGCCGGGTCTCACCTCTCCGTCATCGCATCGTATCATCGCCATCGAGGAGCTACTATACTGCTCAGACACAGTTCCCCGTCGATCTCATATCATCTGACCGACACATACGCAAGGAAAATCCAGGACGATGCTCGGAACAGCACTGCTCGGCGCGGTCGCTGCCTCCGCGGCCGTCGGCAGCAACGCGCTTATCATCAACCGGCAAGATAGCGTCCAATCTATCCTCATCACCTCCCAGGCGCCCGCGGCGGGATCGGACGAGTGTCTCAAGTCGAGCTACTATGGGGCGTACGGCTCGACTGCGGCGCAGAGGGAGTTTATCTACCTTCCTTCGGCGGAATGCCTGGGTAGCGCGCACGCGCTGGACGCGTTGAGCGAGGGCTCGCTCGTATCTCTTGACAAGGCGGAGATTGGGGAGGGGAGGGTGGTATGGGTCGGTCAAGCTGGAGTCGCACCGGAACTCCTCGCTACGGACGGCGAGGCCGGGAGCATGGCCAACTGGTTCTCGTCCATTTCGGTCAAAGCGGCCGAGACGACACTCATCAAACGCCAATCGGAGCCGCACCAATCGCACTTTACAGCCTCGTCCCCCAAGACGCTAAGGATGCTACATGCCAGCGCGCACTCCCTCCTCCTCAGCGTACCTGCCGAGTACGTGCCCATCCTCGACACCCTGCTGCCCAGGCACCTCGTCCCGGTCGCTCTCCCCCAGAAGCCCTACGCCGCCTCGGCCGGAGACAGCGCATGGGAGCCAGTGCCAAAGCACCTTGCCGAGCACCTGGCCAACATCACTTCGGGGCTCAAGTTTGATTCGGCGCTGGACAAGGCGCTCAACGAAGGGCTGGACGCAGATCAGCTCAGGAGGGATATCAGGTGGTTGACCGGGGAGGGTCCGAGCGGGATCGAGAGCAGGCACAGCTTCACTGAGGGCGCTCTCAAGGCCGCCAAGTATATCAAGGGCAAGTCTATCACTCATCTCATGGTCCCATCACTGCTGACCCTTTCAGAGATCGGGGAAGAGTCAGGTGCGACGTGCAAATACGATCACTTCCTGGACGGATTCGCCCCAAACGTACTCTGCACCTACCCATCCACGCACAATTCGACCGACAACGTCATTCTGTCGGCGCACTACGACTCGCGCGGCTCGTTCGGCCTCACAAGGGCGCCAGGTGGAGACGATGATGGGTCTGGAAGTGGGCACCTTTTGCAGATTGCCCGAGCGTTCGGAAAGATGGGGGTCAAGTTTGACAAGAAGGTCACGCTGGCTTGGCACGCTGGGGAGGAGCAGGGCTTGTACGGGAGTCACTACTTTGCGGGTGAGTCTTAGCAGGACGATCGGGGCAATGGCAGAGCTGATGAGCAGAACGGCTGAAGAAGGAAAATGCGACTGTCCTCCTTCAGATCCAAGCAGACATGCTGGGCTATCACGTAGTATGTTCGCCCTCCCAACACACGCGCTATGTACTAACAGACAGCCGGGAGAACCCCTCCAGCTCGGTCTGCCCGAGAGCATCGAGACACCCGAGGCCTCCGCCCTTCTGCACAAACTCTCCCAGCTGTACTCGCCCGAGCTGGTCCTCGGTACCACCCCCGCTTGCTGTTCGGACCACCAATCCTTCCTCTCCTTCGGTTTCCCCGCTACTGCCGTCTTTGAGCGGAACGGCGGTATCGCGGACCCAATGTATCACAACTCGGGCGACACGAGCCAGCGCGAGGGGTATGATCTGAGCCAGATTATCAGTATTGCAAAGGTCACCATGGCGGCGGTGATGACTGTCGCTGGGTGGAAGCTATAGTTGGGGATCTAGATCTTTGATTTTCGGTTCTGTAGACGGAAGATGCAATGGTAGATACATGGTGAAGACTGGGTTAGCGAATATACAAGACTATCTTTCTACTTCTTCTCTACTCTGCAATCGCTTCCTTGTCCTCTGCCGCCTTCGCCGCCGCATCAGCCTCCCCCTGCTCATACCCCTCGAGCACCATATCGTTGAATCCCAGATCCTCATTCTGCTCAAACGTCCGCTCATACTCCTCAATCTCCATATTGGGGTCCTTGTCCGGCGCAAACAAGTTTTGGAGATACGAGTTGCTGACCGGGTCGTCGATGATGAGGGTGAATGGGCGTGTAGCCGCCATACACTCCTTCAGACCCGAGAGGAAGTCTCCGAATTTGCGGTCCTCGCTCCCGGCTGCTGCTCCTTTACCGCCTTGTCCCGCGCCCGAGGTGGTAGAGTCGCCCGTTCGGAAGACCTTGGTCGACAGCTCATTGTAGATCTCGTTGAGAAGACCTTCGAGCGTCGTGAACCGCCCGCCGAGCGTTCCGGGCTGGAGGACCAGGTCGATCTCGGGAATCTCGAGACCGGCGGTATCGGATTTCAGAAGATCACGGGAGAGATCTTCCTCGTCCTCTACCTTGAGGGTGATCTTCTTACCCTTGTCCGAAATGGCGCCGCCGGATTTGATCTCGTTATCTCTGTACCCGCAGGCGTAGCAGTTGGTAGCCATGATGATGATATTCTAATCTTCAGCCAAGCACAGATCCACGGCGGAGAAGGACTCACTTTGAAGTATGGGATGACCACTTGCTGCATCAAAGTCTCGAGCTCGTGCCCGCAACTCGAGCACGTGGAGGGGAACGAGAACACCTCGTCCGGCACGACCGTCCCATCGTCCCGCTTGACCATATTCTCCGGTCCCGTTCCCGTCAGACGGGATTCAAACTCCTCCTTGCTCCGCAATTTGTGGTCCTCCGCAATAACCGGTCCGCCTTCCGTCTTCTCATCCGACATCTCCTCTGGACGCGCCACCAGGCCGAGCGTGACGTTCTGGTCGAATGTCCGGTTGTATGGCCGCATATTCCACTGGGGATCCGAGGCGCTGCCGAGGAACTGGAAGAAGGAGTTTCCGGAGATGTCCTCGATGGTCATCGAGAAGGGGATGAAGGGGGTCTCGGCGAGTGCCTTTTCCCGCTCCTCTACCGAGCGCTTGGCCCGCGGCTCGTCATCGTCATCCATCCCTACTCCTCCGTCTTCATCCTCCTCGCCCTCCTCCAGCCCGATGTACTCCCGCAGCTTCGCCAGCATCTCGTCGATCTTGGTCGCCGTATCTGGGTCCATCACCCGCCGGACAGGCTGCGAGATGTTGAGATCCCGGATAGTGTCCCGAATCATGCCTTCCACGGTGGTGAGTTGGCCTCGTCCTGGGGGAATGGTGAGTTGAACGTCCGGAATGAGGACCGAGGCGAAGTTGGATTTGACAATCTGACGATCGAGGTCGGCTCGATTCCGGAGGTGGACAGTGTAGGTGACTCCCTTCTCTGCGCAGATCAGCGATGGCTCCTACGACTCTTCAGCCGGCTAGCTCACCCTGGATCTCTCCAGCACTCTGTATCTCAGTGTCTCTGTGCCCGCAGTGATCGCACCGGAACGAAGAGACCACGATTTCCTTGAAGTACGGGATTGTCGTCAGGAGCAGCCGTGTCACCCCCTGCTCGTATAAGCTCAGACAGACACGTCTGCCAAGCTAAAATGCTGACCTGGTCGTGGCACCTCATGCATAGACTGTCCATCTCCTGCATCCCCCGCTCTTCGCCCTCTTCCTGATCTACCAAAGCGCCCTGCTGCTCATCCAACCTCGCATCATTGTCCTCCACGTCCCGCAACGCGTCGGTGCGGGTGGCGATCTCGCCCATCGTGGGGAAGAGGTTCTCTTTCTGTTCCGACATTGTGTGACAATTCTGCGATCTGTCAGCTGAGTCTCTCAGACAAGTCGAGAGCTGGAACAGGACGGATAGGGATCAGACATTTAGGCATATGGTTGGTTTCAAGATTCTCTAAGAGACCGTTCAAACGCAAATTACATATAATCATCACTGAGAGCATGCGGGGTAGGGGATAGCATGGCTGAAGGGACTTACAGATGAGCTGTCGATCAAGTATAGAGAACTAGGTATAAGGTCAACTCTGCATCATGATCTTCAACTTTTTGGCTTAGTAAGTGGAGGTGGTGAATTTGATTCCGAAATACACGGACTTGACGATCAGCTATAACGCCGTCAATATCCGTTTTCATCTCCAGAACTGACCCGAAGGCAGTGCGACTCATTCCTCGTCGACTCAGCCACTGTGCTCGGTTACTGGTCAATGATATCTTTCTCATTGACATACATGCAAGGCGGGGCGGCCATAACAGGCTGTCCATCAAGCCCCTTAGGTCTGAATACCTGTCATGAGCACATCCCCGCCAAAGTCCCAGTTATACGTCCCAGCCAAGTAATCTACCGGCGGATCCGTCGCAGCGAGTTCAGGCGGCAAGAATATGGGCGAAAAGTCCAGTTCGAAAGGCTCCCAGCCTTGTGCCTCCGCATAGTCGGTGTGCTGGTGCTGGTATAGCGGTCCGGGAGCTGCGGTGATGGGAGGCAGCTCGGGCGGATTCGAGATGTGCGTTTCAGCAAATTTGCGCTGGAGTGGTTGGTCCGAGTAGATGCCAAGGCAATGCTCGATCTGGGAGCACTACACATGATCAGCTGTAGCCTGAGGGTGAGACTCACGGCAGTAAGATTGACTTTGGTCTGCCAGTTCTCCCGGGGGTATCGCTGGGCTAGCGAAAGCCAGGTGAGGTTCATAGTGGACCTCGCAGCAGGGACATTGCCACGGGTGGCGACTCTTTCCAGTGCGGCTCTGCGGAAGTCGTTAGCTTAGTCCTAGCTCTTGTCGTTACGGAGGAATGGGTCTTACGTGCAACGTCGACCAAACTCCGCTGGCCGATCAATACCAGCCTTGAAGAAGCCTGGACATCTCTCGGGTGTGCCGTTTTCTTTGCAAGATCGGATGACGAGCATCCAGACCTGAAAGACGATAGGTGGTACTTGATGAAGCCTGTGTTGTCAGCTTGGCTATCAACTTCCTACGCACGCTTCGTCTGTCCAAAACTCTGTCGATGCAGCATCTGCCGCCACGTCTGATTACATAGTCAGCTCTTGCCCCTACTTGACCGCGATTCGCATCACAACCAAAGTACTGTAGTGGCTCACCCTCGCACGCTTTGATGTAAGGATTTGTAAGTCGAGCGGGGTCTCCGTATAGCTTTTGCACATTCGGTTCTCGAGGAAGCTGGAGAAGTCAGCCGAACTCTGACCGCTGAAGAGAGCACTCGCACCAAATGACACATAGCTATCATTGCCCGAATCGCTAAGACAATCAGCTTCAGTCCAGCGAAGCATCAGGATAAGGGGGGAGTTACTCACTCATACGCCTCACATTCTGTTCCTGCTCTGAGTATGCGTCAGAGACATCATATGTGTGCCATGTAAGCTGGAAAGCCATCAGGTCCGACTCGAGCCCCTCCACCACTCCCTTGGCAAATGCCGATCCGACCCCAGCGCGGGACACCGCTCGTCGTACCATTTCCTGCGTCCTCCCCAAAAGTAGAGCCGCTTTGACGTATATGCCGAACCAGCTAATACAGCATTAGCTACTACCCTGTGTAACAAATGATCGACTCACTCGGACCCCTCATGGTTTGAATATAAGTCATCAGACCAGGCATGCTTGCTCGGTGTCGTCCCGCTTGGACGATCGACAGGCTGAGGCAGAGGCAGCGAGATGTCGTCTATCTTGATCATACTGAGACTGAAAGGCGTGGAACAGCTAACTCTACGCTCGTCAGCCGAGGACGCCGTAGGGTAAGTGGAACTCACACTTGGATGTAGAGGATATACAGCCCCCAGAACAGCCTTCCCGGGTGCGTGTACAGGCCCTGCAGCTCTACCGGACCAGTCGCGTATCCGTGCCCCGGTGGCATTCGTCCCGGATCGAGGTGCAGCCCAGCTGAATTACAGAAACCCATGGCTTCGCTCGAGAGGCGGCAGTTCTGTAGCCATACGCCCTGATGTAGGTGGTAGTAGAGCAAGAGCGAGAGAGCTGGTAAATGAGCTGGAGCCCAAAGCAGGGAAGACGCGAGACGTACCTAGGATAACATCACCGGCTTGAGATACCTCCCCTCGGTCTAGCATCCCGCTGATCTCTTGCAGCGCACTCTGTACACTACGCTCGGGCGTATGTCTGGGTCCCGACGAGTGCAGGTTGGCGATGGCGGAAATGGCGTGATCGACGGCTGATAGAGGTAGGTCGATGATCTCGGCGGTTTGATACCATTGACGGTATTGCTGTCCATCAGCTGGGCTGACAGAATTGCTCAGGTCTACTCACTGAAAATATCATGACTTGTCGGAAGAGGGGCGCTATCTCGCCAAACCGCTCCAGGATGTCGCTCATGCTTTGCGCATTCGCAGGGGCGCCGCCATCCTGTACTAGTGCTGCTGTCGGCAAGCTCGTAGGGAACGCAGGCCCTGCGTCACATGGACCAGGTACGGTATACGCCTCCGCTTGTAGCTGGCTCCGGGCTGCCATAGAGGCATCTGGATGTGGGAGGGTAGCGGTACCGCCTACCGATGCTCCGCTGCTCGATCAGCTAATTCTCGGGCTGTGACAATGTAGGCGGTAGACTCACGCAGAAGCGCCTGCGCTAGGACCAGGGCCTAGACTGAGTCGAGCCTCAATCGTATTCCTCTTAAGTGGAGCTTCCAATGGTAAGCCCAGTTTCTGAATTAGGATTGCCCGCAAGACTCACCGGCGACACAGTCATCTGCCCCACCTCTCCGGACACAAGCCTGACACGGGTAAGAATCGGGCTTTGATACATCTTGAGCGACTGTACGTCAGTGTAGGTATAGCTACAGTACAGGTCTAGCCGTGCGCACCGCACTGCAGCGTCAGCTGATGCACACACAATTATAGCTAAGAGCCGCAACTCACTGTCCGCTTGTTCGCCCTACACTGGCTCGGTCAGCTGAGCCCCTTGGCCGAGACAGTCGGAGAAGGTAGCAGCTTACTGCGACACAGGCTCTCCGCTGCTTAGGAGCTGACATGTGGGACCTTCGGGCAAAGTGCAGCGTGTAGTGAGGCAGTGCGAAGCCGCAACACCCAGCGCGGGAAGGGAAGAAGAAGGCGGGCAGCGAGTGTCCAGAGCATCGGAGATCGCCGGATGGGCCGAAAGTGGGGTGGGGTGGGGTTGAGCCATCGGACTGCACGGTGTAGCAAGCAGACAGCGCTATCAGGCCAGAGGTCTAGGCAGACGTCCACTCTGGGCTTGAATACATCTCAGATTGTACGGGGACCTGGACCGCTGTTCTTCCAGAGCAGCTCAAGTTGTGCAGAGACCCGGCGCGACGCAGCCGAAGACTTCGTGCGGGGCTGGCTCTAAGGTAAGCGTGATTCAGTGTAGCTCAGCCTATGCATGACTATACGCCCATACGATCTTCTGCCTCCTACAAGCTGTCTGCTTCACTATATGTACAACAATCACACACCATGCGGCTTCACTAGCTGCCTCATGATGCATGATGCGCCAACTTCAGCGGACGCTTTCGGCACTAGATCCGGATAACCCCGATCTCCACAGCTCAGCACTCAGGCACCAGCGCGCAGCGGAGACCTTTCGGATTTACTCATTCCATCTCCATGAACTTCCCCTCATCTCCGACCCCGCACTCGCCCTTCTTGCCCCGCACCGTCGGGCGGCATAGAAGCGAGCAGAGCCGATGCGGGGAGGGCGGAGGGATGGACGGTACGTCCGATGACCTCCGGTCAGGATGTATATAATGTCGACCTCTTCGAGTAAGGCCCTCTCTTCCCCGTCTCTTGCTGACTTCCTACTCTATATACTGACTGCCTCCCTACACTCATACACCCCCACACTAGCTGCCAATAGTACGTTTACCGTCTGATCGTTAAGACGCTTTCACAGCTGATAAAGCCAGTGCCTATCGCTGTCTCCCCTTCCACCCCCATCCCGGCTGTCGGTATCAACGGCTTCGGTCGTATCGGTAAGCTCAGCGGGCCTGCTCTGCATAACGTCTTCTCCATCTGACATCCAGGCCGTGCCGTCTTCCGCCTTGCCCTCACGCGCCCCGACCTCGAGATCCGCGCTGTAAATCACACCGCCCACTCGATCGAGCACCTCCTCACCGCCATCCTCTACGACTCGACACACGGTCCCTGCCCCGAAGCGCGCAACCTCCTCCCTTGCCCGCCCGACCACCCCGGTCTCTTGCCTTCCACACCCAACAACCCCAAACCCTCCGGGTTCCTCTACAAGGGCCGGGTGATCCACCTCTTCTCGCAGCGCGACGCGTCCAAGGTCGACTGGGCGAGCGCGGGCGTCGAGTACGTCATGGAGAGCACGGGCAAGATGTTGACGCGCGAGTCGGCCGGCGTGCATATCAAGGCGGGAGGGGCCAAGAAGGTGATTATCAGTGCGCCGAGCAAGGACTGCTTGAATGTGGTTTATGGGGTGAATCACTCGGCGCTGTATTTGAAGGCGAATATGGGGATGGAGGATATCATCTCGAATGCGAGCTGCACTGTACGTCATTCGTTCTCTCAGACATTTGAAGCTGACGTGGTAGACCAACTGCCTCGCTCCTATCGCTATGGTCCTACACCGCTCCTTCGGTATTGAGACAGGCATGATGACGACCGTGCACGCCAGCACGAGCAGTCAGAAGGTCCTCGATGGGTTCAGCTCTAAGGACATGCGTTCAGGTAAGCTCGCTATCCTACCGTCCGACGACCCTCAGATCCTCAGAGCTGATGGGTCAGGCCGTTCTGCAATGGGCAACATCATCCCCGCCTCCACCGGTGCTGCTCAAGCAGTAGTCAAAGTTCTCCCCGAACTAGCTGGCAAATTCCACGGTACGTCCTGCTCCCCTCCTCTCCTTCCTCAATCCGCGCACAGTCGGTTGATCCATCAGGCATCTCCATCCGCGTCCCCGTGACAAACGTCTCCCTCGTCGACCTCACCGTCACCCTCTCCACCCCCGTCTCCTCGAAAGAAGAGCTCCTCCTGCCCTTCCGGCGCGCCGCCGCACTGCCCCCATCCCTCTTCTCGGGCCAAGCGCGCCTCCAGACGCCCAGCGTACCCCCTCTCGCCGGCGTTCTGGGCATATCGGACGAACAGCTCGTCTCGAGCGATTTCCTCGGCAGTACCTACTCGTCCGTGATCGATGTGGACGCCTGCTGTATTCTCAACCCGACGACGGTGAAGATTGTGAGCTGGTATGATAATGAGTATGGGTTCTCTACGCGTAGTGAGTACCTTTCCTCGTATTTCTGGGGTGTGAGAAGATGGGGAATGATGCTGACGGAGCAGTGTGTGATTTGGTGGTCTATATGAATCGGTACGAGTACGAGCACCGGGCAGAGCGGGAGGAGTCTCCATAAATTTCGGGCTGGCGTGCTGGTTCTTGGGTCAGGTGGCTGTATGTATCATAGACTTCTGTTTGATGTATGACTTGATTGCCAGAAACCGATCGGCTTCCTGTTGGAAGTAGCGGAGCAGAGCCCAGCTGGTGTCCAGCTGCAGCAACCGGTCCCTGCTGGGACACGGAGCTTGGTAAGTCGCCAATGTTGGAGATATGAAGTACATACATAAGGGATTACCGTAGACTTGCTGGACGGCAATACGAGTCGCCATTCTGAACTGGCAATAGCCAAGAATGACCTGGTATACCAGCAATCGTGAATCCGAAACCCCAGCATCCTATCCTCCAACAATTGTCCTCTCTCCCTGTCAATTCCCATCCCCCATTACTCCGCACCTGCACGTGCGGATTGTCCCCATCCCTACCTCCCATCCGTCGCCCTCATCAACGCCTCAACATCCTCCCCTCCCGCCTGAAACATGCCATCAAAGCTATCAAAGCTCTCGTCGCCCGCCGAGTCCGACGAAGGGGCGTTTCTCGTCGGCTCGTCCGCCTGGAGTGGTGGCGCGAGATTTGACCGAGCGAGCACGGCTGCACCGGCCCGCGTTTTGGAGGGCGTCTGCTGTGGCGCCGGAACGGCAAATTTGGCCTGGCCGCGGGGACTGCACCGGATGGCGGGTTGTTGCAGGAAGGGAGGTTTGAAGCCCGAGCGCGTGGGTGCAAGCGGCCGGGAGGTGGTGGAGGTAGTTGTGGTAGACAATTTGGGGTTTGATGTGATATGAGCGGGACGGGAGGAGAGTCCGACGCGCGGTCCGGTGCGAGCTGTTTGGGAAAGGGTTGGCCGTTTACCAGGAGTTGCGCCGGTAGGTGGTGATTTAGTGGTCGGAGCCAAAGCGTGTTGTTGAGGATGGGGGAAAGGAGTGGGTTTGGTAGACGGTGGAGGGGCAGGACGGGGGCGGGTATTGTTCGCCTTGATGGGCTGCTCGTTGAGGACTTTGCGGGTGGGTACGATAGCTGGCCGAGCGACCTCCTCGGGCGACCGTGTCCTTGCCATCTGTACCGGAGCTGGAGGTATTCGCGAGCCCGAGCCTGACCCCAGCGCTGATGCCGAGGCAGAGCTCGAACTCCCACTCCCTCCCGACAGTTGCCGTTCGAACGCCCCCGACCGCGCCTCTCCCGGCTGTCCCGGATTCGGCAAAGACCGCCGCCCGCCTGTCGCTACTTTAGGCTGTAGCTGCACCGAGAACGTCTTGAACGCCCGATCGAGCAGATCGTCCAGGACACCCCCATCCCCCGCTTCTTTGTTTGGCATGCTGGCGGACCGTTGAGCCGCGGCGCGGTCGGCGGGGCTGGCGAGATTGGAGAGTTGTGAGGGGAGGGAGCGCTGGGCGCGGAAGGGCCGTTTCCGGGCGGGTCGGGTAGATGGACCGGCAGCGTTGGGTTCAGAAGAGTCGCGTGTTGTGGTCCGAAAGACTGGTCTTTGCGTAGGGGAGGGGATTGGGATCGGTTCTGGCGTGTTAGCCCTGAAGACGATATCACCCATCAACCCGTGTTGTATAAAAAAAATGACATGTCCGAAAGCAGTCCAGAGCGGAACATAGACACTCACTATCTGCCATCATCATCCGCTTCATCTTGGTATCCTGCATCCACCTGACCGTCCCGCCTTCATCCTCATCGTTCAACTCGCGCTTCCGCCTCGATCGCGTGTTTGGGGTTTCCATGGTGAATGCTGTGCGATGATTTCGGGGCCATTCGACGCTGCGGAGAGAAGCCACCTAGGACCGACTCTGTATGAGCAAGCAAGTAGATGTATCAAGAAGGTATATGTATGGATAATAGATGTTACCCATCCCGTGAGCCTCTCCAGGGACGCGCACATAAAGAAAGCAGCCGCGCCCGGCGATCCCCGCTCGGCTGCTTTGTTTGCTTACGTACGTCGAGGGGACGCGCCTACCTTTCTTGCAGCAAGCAAAGGTTGAACGATCAAAGACATCAACAACAACTTTTGACTGCTATCAACCCTCCTCTATAGCCATCTCTACAACCTGCGCACCCAGCCGTCTGCAGCCACACAGACTGCCCCAGTCCTCTGTTGCGACCGACGAAAAGTTTGGAGACGGAGGTGCTAAGTCGCGGCGCCAGCCAAGTTTGTTGTCTGAATCGCCTGGTCGAAGGACTGGCCTGACGGTTGTGTTGCTACAAGGAACCCAACAACATGGACAGCAACGCTATTCAGATCGTCGGTAGGTAGACTCACGCTGACTCATGGCTAGCCAGCTCATTAGCAGTCCGGGTCCGCCCATTTCACGCCGAGCGAGAGCAGCCATTCCTCTCCCGACCTATCACTCAACACTATTTTCTCGGGGATGGAAACTTTGCCTCGTCTCCCCGACGACCTATATCAGCCGGCTCTATACGACAAGTGATAGGTGAGCTGCACCCTGGTCAATATTCTCGGAGCCTCAGCTCATAGGCTCAGATGTCTGCGATGACCGGATGCTTGACTTTGACAAGCCCGAGGTGGGAGCGGAGACCAGGCGGGGCCAGCCCGGAGCGAAGCGATACAAGAACAGACAGTTAGTACAGCTCCAGGTGTAACAGGGTGTGGCTGATAGGCCAGATACATCTTTGATAGTGTGCTGAAGATGGAGGCAACGCAGGAGGAGGTGTTTGAGAAGACGGCGCTGCCGCTGATTGATGGGGTATTGACCGGCTTCAACGCGACTGTGTTTGCGTATGGCGTGAGTCGTGCAGTCTGAATCATGTGTTGAGCTGACTCTCCAGGCGACAGGATGCGGAAAGACCCACACCATCAGCGGCACCCCAGAAGAGCCCGGTATCATCATCCGCACCACTGCCGAGCTATTCCGCCGGATCGAAGAGAGCAAGGACGACTACGAGACGCATATCGAGGTGTCCATGGTGGAAATCTACAACGAGACCATTCGGGATCTGCTCGCTCCGGAGGGGACGGTACCACCAGTCGGCGGACTGAAGCTGCTCGAGAACGAAAAGGAGCGGGTGCGGGTGGACAAGGTCACGCTCCTCCGCCCTCAATCGGTCGAGGAGGTCATGGACTACGTCCAGCTCGGAAACGCTCGTCGGAGCACCTCATCAACCGCGATGAATGCCGTATCCTCTCGCTCGCACGCTGTCCTCCAGATCAACATCGGGCGGAACAGCAAAGGATGCGAGATTGACATGGCGGAATCATCCGTTCGGCAATGCATGTCCTCGGCGACCCTCTCCATCATCGATCTGGCGGGCAGCGAGCGCGCTGCAGCTACCTCCAACATGGGCGCTCGGATGCGCGAAGGTGCCAATATCAACAAATCCCTTCTTTCCCTCTCTTCCTGCATCGCCGCGCTCTGCGAACGCCCCACCGCCGGCCAGCGCCCCCACATCCCCTACCGCAACAGCAAGCTCACTCGGATGCTCAAATTCTCCCTCGGCGGCAATTGTCGGACGGTCATGGTCGTCTGCATCTCCCCTTCGTCGCGCGACCTCGAGGATACCAACAACACCCTCGTCTGGGCCAACAAGGCCAAGAACGTCTCGACCAAGGTCAGCCGGAATACACAGGGCGTGGATGTCCGGGTACAGGCGTACCTCGAGGCCATCCAGCGGCTGAATACCGAGGTGGCGGCGCTCAAGAAGGAGATTGCGGAGATGCGGAACGGGGAGAAGGTGTGGAATGATAATCGGCGAATGAAGGACAGAGAGGATTGCCAGAAGGCCGTCGTGGATGTGGCGGATATGGTCGCTGGGTCTATGGGCGTCTTGGCGGATGGAGCAAGCAAGAGGGCGGGATGGGACGGAGCGGAGATGATCGTCGCGGCGCTGAAGGGACGGCTACAGGAGGCCGAAGAGCAAAAGGCCGGGGCGGAAATCACCCTGTTCAACTCCCTCATCCGCCAGCAGGACATGCGCTACAAGTCCAACGCATCCGCCATCAACGCTATCGACAAGGAGGCTAGCCAAAAGCTCACCATCGACGGCGTCCTCGGGAACCTCGAACAGCGGAAATTCGGCCCTTCGGTCGACCCATCCGATCTGGATAATGTCAAGACGCACGTCCAGCTCAAGCGAGCCGAGGTGGACCGGGCGATCATGGAGGCGAGGGAGAAGGTGTATCGTCAGACCATCCAGGCACAGGCGGGGGCGATCGCTACTGCTGCTTCGACGCTGCACCGGCTGTCTACCGGTCTGGCGTCTCAGCTCGCCGAGCTCGCAGCTCGTGGGGCGCAGTTTGGGGACATCACTGGCGAGCTGGAGCGTATGGGCGAGTCCAGCCGCTCGGCACTATCCAGCTTCTTTCTCTCTGCCGCTAGCGGTGCACTCCCCTCCATCCCCGCAGCACCCTCTCTCGGCCGGCCAGCAGCTACCAGCATATCGCCCCCTACCGCAACCGCTCGAGCTACTCTGGGCCGGCCAGCCCGTAGTCGCCCGTCCGTCCTGTCCCGACCCGGCGAGGCGTCCTTCTCGCTCAAATCCGCGGTTCTCGCTTCTCCTGCCGGCAAGCGGCTCTTCGCGGCGCAGAATCTCAAACTCCCAGCTTCGCCCCTGCGGAAACCACATCACGTCACGACACCCGGCAAGCGGAAACTCCGTCATTCTTTGGCGCCTGTCAAGCCTATCGCCAAGGCTCGACCGGTCATCAAGGGTCTGCGGTGGAAGGACGAGGCGGGAGAAGGGGATCTGGAGCAGATGAAGGTCATGACGAGCGATGATTCCAGCTCGGGGAATCTGCTCAGTTCAGGAGAAGATGGGGATGCTTCGGGCGAATGGGAGGAGTGCGGGGATACCGTCAAGCCATTACCGGTCCTCTCGCTTCCAAAGCCCAAACGGATCATACCACGCGCCGCGCCGCCCGTCTCGGCCATGAAACAGACCATCGCCTTACCCAAATCCAGTCCGCCCAGCCAGCCATCCTCTTCGATACCGGTCCGCCGGCTCCCCTCTCCCCTCGGTCCTTCTCCCTTCGCACCATCCATGCCGCCTCCACCTGTTCCCTCTCTCCCCTCTTCTTCAGCTGGGCAGAACGAGTACTGGAAGGGAGCTCGGACATACCGACCGGCTGCAATCCTCTCGGGCCTTCGGACGCTGGATGAGGAGGGCTCATCTGGCTCCTCACCTGACTCTGAGCCTAGCAAGCAGCCTGCTCCGCTCGGTCTTGGGCTGGGTCCACCGACTCGGATCCGCCTACCCCTGAATGACCGCTCGGACGTTCCAGGCGGTAATACCAGCACGAGCTATGCCGGCTCCTACCCTCCCCAATCCCTCGCGTCAGGCTCCGGCTCGGGCCTCTACCGTCCAACCATGTCCTCTATCGGCAAGGCAGCGGGCAAGACAGCCTCCCCCGTTTCCGTATCCGGAACGACCGGTCCCAGACCCTCCATCTCGTCCGGCTTCCCCACCCTCAACCGCCGTGCATCCAGTATCGGCCCCCTTCGGACCGCACGCAGCAAGGCCCGCCTGTCCACCGCACCCGGAATGGCCAGCTCCCATCCGGCCGATAACAGCTCTCTCGCGCCTTTCGCCGGAGACGTCAGCACCCAGAGCGCATTGAGCGGAGGCGCACACCGCCTGTTCGCGCCGACCGCGTCGTCGCTCAGCAGGCGGGCGTCCACGCTCAACCTCGGGAGCATGCCGGTGGTGACTGGGGTAGGGGAGACGGGGAGCCTGAGGGGCCCAAGACCGAGTATGAGCATGGCGCAGCTGAGGCCGATGGGGGCGAGACCGAGTGTGCAGGGATTGTTTAGGCCGAGTTTGGGGATGCGGGCGGGTGTGGGGGCGGAAACGATGGGGCCGCCGAGATGAGCGGGGAGATGGGATGAGTAGAGCAGGGGGAGAAGGGGACGTAGACTCGGACTTTGGGACGGGATTGTTTAGGCGTGATGGGAGGGAGCATTTGATACATGCAGGGCATGGTAGTATGGCTTGGGCTAACATACTGATCCACTGACCTCTCAGACACGTGGGAAAAGGGCTGACAACTATAGCTCAAGGCTGCTGCGCAACAGGCAATGAGTGGCCCCAGAGGGCGACGCTGACCTCAGAGACGCCGTGTTCTACAGGCGGCAGAGACTGATTGTGGCTCTGACGGTGAAAGGAGAGCCGCGGCGCTGAAACGTGTACACAGGTCTACGTCATCAAGACCCTCTTATCGGCCGAGTCGCCGTCAGAGTCGGAAGGCACAGAATCGACTTGAGCGACACCCATAGCTTGTCTATCCTTTGTGAAATGACGTCGTGGTCGACCTCGCTCTCATTTGAAGCACCGCTGACCTGACTGATCACGCCTTCGCTGCACAGCTTTTGAAACAGCGCCCAGCTGTGGTTGTCTACGCATCGTCATATAAAGAGAGGCAGCAGCTGCATCGCCGACGAGTCTTTTCCACCAGTCACTTTCACCTAGCCAACGATACCAACTCAGATCGCGACGTATCCTTCACAATGTCTCAACGCAATGTCACCCTCCCTCTCACTCACGCTACCATGGAGACCGAAATCAGCAAGTATGATTTCGCCGGCCCGTACATGGCGGACTCAGCTACTGAGACCCAATTCAAACTCACCACCTGGGACCGTGCCGTGTCTGATCACCTTTCACAAGAGGTGCGCAATCGTACGAAGTGGGTTTTGCCTTGTACCAAGATCGGTGAATATGTCTCTGACTTTGACCCTGATGATCACTTCCCAATCGAGCTGAGAGACACCCATTACTCCGACTTTGACACTCCTGTCTGGTCGGAACCCTTCAGCATACTCGGCTTCGGCTCGAACGACCAAGCGGTCATCTTTCAAGTCCGACTGGCCATCTGCCATGATGTGACGATTCGCGCGCGCTACTCTTACGATGACACGAAGAACCCCAAAGGTTCAAAACGCGGCTTGGACTGGGTCAATTCCGGACCTCTCACGGAAGGCATCCCTCTCGAGGCGACACTTTCAACTTCACCGCACTTGAATTGGTGGCCCGAATCCGGCGATGCCACCTGGAAGCTTGACACAGCCTTCAAGCGACCTCTCCATGTGCTCACTTGGGACGAGTTGCCTGCCCTGACCTCGGCGGCCTTTACAGTCCCAAGATTCGGGCCCCTGGACAAGGCGTTCGGTAAGCTGATCAGTGGGAAGGATACCAAGACGGTGAAGTTACCTTTGAAGGAATTTGAGATCGGCTGTGGGGCGAGCCGGAGTCTTCTACTCAAGTTTGAGCAGGGCAAGTAGATGCATTTGGAAGCGCTCGCCAATGTACATTCGGGTATGTATGCAGTACGATTGTTCGGAAAGTGCGTGTGAAGTACCGCTGTCCGACAATCCAGCTTCGATATCGTCGTTGCCGTCTAATGAACGACTCATCACATCGAGTCCCAGAACATAGCTGATATCAGCCTCCCTGTCATCGCCAACCACCACTGCCGAGTACAGAGGGCGGCTTGCAGCTGAAAATCGAAACAGGTATACTGGAACTTGAAAGGATCTCACGAATCTGACTAGCACGTCATTGGGACTTCGAGAAGCAGATACGTAGCAGCCAAAGCTTCAGAACCTCACGACATCCTTAGACATGACCCCAGGTAATTCGATCGCGAGCATCGCAACGGACAGGCTCGGTCATGACTTGCCACAGTTTGCATCATTATCTCGTCTTCGCCACTCGTTATCCGCCACCTTTCCTCGCTTTTGCTCGACATGTCCTTCCACCCTACCACTGCAGTGAGTGCGTACAAGCCTGCTTATGGTTCACCAGCCATCAAGGATTTGGATTTCACTCGGCCCTTCTTGCTCAAACCAGGCCATGCTGGCACTACCGTTAGGGACTTCGAGGAGAACACCTGGCCCGAGATTGCGACTGCCAAGCTGCCTGAATCCACCCTTGCGACCTCTTCTGTCGTTCTTCCCTGTGCATTCAGCGGAGACAACGCCATCCCGGACGAAAAAGGGTACATCAATCTCTCATTGGCGCCGTCGGCCTGCTTCAATCGCTACACTGACTTTGACGAGCTCGATTGGTCAGACGTCTTTCACGTTCTCGGCACCAAGGACGACAAGGCATTCTCCATCCCCACACAGCTCGCAGTCCGTCACAAGGTAACGGTTGTCGATCAGCAGCCCGGGAAGTCACGCAACGAGCTCTATGTCAGCGAAGATGATCCGACCCCTAAGGTGGCCCCAGACCTTGTCAAATGGCTGATGGAGGCGGAGGAAGATCTGTCGGTGACATATCAGGACTCGGTCGGTCAGTGGCTCTCGAAGTTGACTCCCGAGGATTGGCGAGCACATGAGCTGGAATCCTCAATGGACACTCTGGCTTTCAGTCAAGAGGTGAAGAGTGCGCTGTCCGCCACTCTGATGGACGATGGGCACGACGGTGTCGGTCTTCTGACCGAAGGGCCGATGCGCCAGCGGATGCGGGTGCCGGCGAGGCGTGGACTGCTGGTCCGATTCGGACCATCGGTGGCAAGTGAAATTGGGACATCTCCTCCCATCTTCCGCCTTGTCTAACGTCCCTACTTGTCTTCGTCGTCATATGTCAGACGTGTATGAATACATCCCCTACTTCCGTCGGCGTGTGTTCTGTCTCTTTGGTCGTTCAACCATCATACCAGGTCCACAATGTACTGACCTCTGGTGTTGAACTTCTGGGAAGAAATGAGCTGGAGAGCAGTGCGGGGATGTTTCCGTGAGGTCCCGTTGCTACCCATGTCATGCTACTTCCCGGCTACGTTCTGCAAGGTCTTCACTACACTCTGCGACGCCCGGCGACGTTGCTAATCAGCCTGCACAGACTACAGACGCATATGATATGTATGGCGTATGGCCGGCGCCGCTGGCGCCCGTCGCCATTTGCCACCCTGAGACGCAGCTTAGCGCCCTCCCAGCGATGTCTCAGCACCTTCTGTCCATCCGGACAAGCAATCCGTCCGCAAATGTCTCAGCGACGTCGTCGTAGCTTCTCGCCTCGCAGCATAGTAATCAATCATCCTCTTTCGGGCGATTTGCCACCCAGATTCATTCGCCACCCAGGTATTGCTCCTCAAATCCACCTATGTACAAGTCACGACAGTGCCGTCTCGCCCGACCTTGCGGCCTGTACATTCCCAGAGCCAGGTTGGTTCGTGGTGGCGTGGCTGACGAGGGGGGTATTGGCGATGCCGATACGCGAGGATCCCATCGCGATGTGGAGGGGGAAGCGGTGTCGGATGATCAATGATGCAATATGGTATGTTGCAGTTACAACTTGGGCACAGGCACGCTAGTGGACTCGATAGGCGAAGCTGTCTGTGCAGAAGATCAGAATTCAGGCAGACATATAAATGCGACTTGGGTCTGCTTGTCGCGGACCATGGCTGCTCTAATTTCTCACTGCGCACATGCCTGACGTGTTCGGCAGGACACCGCAGAATGATACACTCTTCAAACTCAACCGGCACAAAGGTCGGGATCAGGTGGAGTCTCTGAGCTGAAGACTTACTCTTACGAGTTCTCCGTCCGAGGAGACAATGCACTGGGAAAATATACATGAGACCGTACTGATCAACGCATGCCGATACCACGATGCTATTCTGACCATTGGCTAACGCTCATCCCTCAGGCCTCATCATACTCCCACTCGACACCGACCTTGTCATAAGATTCATCATCACTGAGCTCCTCCCCCCATTCAGTATCATCACCTATCTCCTTCTCTCCAATCCTCTCATGCAGGAATACGCGGTACTTCTCCTCCTCATCAGTCATACGCACGCCGGGATTGGGATCGGGAGCGGGGTCGGGAGCAGCGATGGCGACGGCGTAGAGCAAGTCCAGCATGGTCCTGTAAGCCTTCCTGCCCTCATCGAAGAGCCGAGAAAGGACAACCCCCTCGTCGATCTTGGATGAAAGATCATACGCGGCATTGTAGGCGTCCTGCAACTTTTCCCCGAGGTACGCGCGATACTTCTGTGCCGCGAACCCTTTCTTGAGAGCATCCACTGTCAGTCCGTCAAGACCGTACGCCATGTCTCTCAGGCTACTCCATGCCTCGCTTTTGGTCATGAGCGATTTCGCCACCCCAGTGCTGTATCTCTTGACGACGGTTGCCCGGGACCCTTTTCTGAGCGTCGTCTCGGTGAGAGCTTGAGCCAAGTGCCTGCAACGAGCGGTCCATGGTTCCAAGTCAGTGAACGATGTGGGCGCTCTGTAGTTTGCAGAGAAGATCGTGTACAGGTGGGGGAGAAGAATTTCCATGGATACCTGCGGGCTGGAGACCTTGTCCTTGGACTCTGACACTTTGCAGAAGGTCGTCCAGGTCTTGAAGAAGTCCGTGAAGCGAGGCAACACCTCGTCGTGCACATCTGGCGAGATAGTCTTATCCCCCTTCTGATTGTCGGAAACAGCGACAGAGCGGTCCCACTCCCCGTGTGCATCGCTCGCTTTCTTCAATTCTGCGACGAAGGTGTCAAGGTGCTTGTGGAGAGAATCCACATTGACAATGATCGGTGCAGGAGCAAGCATCGGAAGATCTGCCTCAGGGGTACCCATGGTCGCAAACTGTGCGAAGTGGTCGTCGAAGTGTGAAGTGTGTCGAAGTGAGAAGTGAGCGAGACGTAAAAGATGGACGCGCGGTGTGAACTTTGAAGTATGAAGAGCAGTGGAGTGTGGGGAAAGCCGGTCGCACAGGGATGATGGGCAATATCAGGAGGAACAAGGGTTAGGCGGGCGATAAGTACTCCGGTCGTTCCCCCCACAGCCTAGGTGACGGAGGATATTCCTTTCACCAACCCGGTGTGTGAAACGCGTAGCGCTTATAATGGCCGGCGGAGCTCAGTGGCGCAGATGGCGCGCGCTGCAGGGCTCGTGCGAACAAAGAGCACACTTACAGGTCATGACATGATCCGGCCGAAAAAGGATAGTCAGCCAGCTCAAATCCATTGTATGAGCGATATGGAGTACCCGCGTGGCTGGATCCATCGTTGCCACCGCAAGAGGGACAAGATATTGAGCAATGTATTGACTGGGAAAGCGAATGGTCACGGCACGGAGATAGCACCTACTCCTCCGCATCAGCTTTGACTCCTCCGTGATACTGGCTGCAGTCCGCGGCGTGGCACAAGATCATCATGGTCCTGTATCCTGTTTTGCCACTATAAGGCAGGGCAGACTTCACACGCGCACGCCCGGCCTTCATCGGCCTATGGGTCAGTTGACAATGATCAGGAATGTGAGTTGTCTGGTCGGTCAGTCATATTGAGTAGGTTGATGTCATCTAGTCTCTATACTAATCTAGGTCCCTCTCGCCCCGCACTCAGCCAGCTGAGCACCCCTCCCCCTGTCTCCGGCTCCGCCACTCGAGCCTGTTCCCTCAGATGTGATTTCCCGAGATGTCCCAGCTCCCCACCAATGACCGGCTCCATCGCCTCTAGTCTCTCCGCCCTATCTCTCCTATGTCTCTCCCACCCGCCCGCTTCCCCATGCCCGTGGCCGTGTCCATGACCTGCATGATCCACCTTACCCACCTCCGCCTCCCACTTTCCCGGCGCCGCCTGCAGCCCCAACATCTGCCCAATCGACCCGATCGCAGGCATGATGACCAGCTCGCTCAACTCCGGTCCCTCCCTTATCAACGCCAAAACCACCTCCACCGCAATCAACGCAATAATGATAATCTCCATCCGATGCCCGCTCGCCTCCGTCAACAACGCCCGCAGCGTATTCTGGATTTCCTGCGCATAATCAATCTTCTTATTGATCGTCTCGATCCGTTCCTTGATTTCAAACTCGGACGTGATGGTGTCAAAGTACTCCTCCAGGGCGGGCTCGGACCAGTAGAATTCGGGCGTCTCGTCCAGCCCCCCACCGGAGGTATTGACCGCCATGCGCAGCGCCATGAGCTCGCCGATCTTCCGGATGACCTCGCGCCGGTTCATGGGCTGCGCACCGTATCGCGAGAGCGCGAGGGGGAGGGTGGAGACGGACGCTATGTGCGCGTCGAGCCGGTCTTCGAGGACCGAGAGGGTAGAGGAGCGGGTGAGGGCGAGGGAGAGGGTATAGCGCGTGAGGAGGGACGAGAGGGAGAGGGAGGGGTGGAATGTGGATAGTGTGGGTGGTGCGCCGAGAAGGATGAGGTTGCCCATGATGTGAGTTTGACTACATGTCAGCTGTGCCCGAGCAAAAGGCGGATATAGTAAGCTTACGCTGTTGGGTCAACAGCAAAGTCCACCTCTTCCACCTCATACTCGCTGATCGCCAGACCGCCTCTCTCGACCCCAGCCCCCTTCTTCCTGATTACCGTCCGCAAGAACGCTCGCCCCTCCTCCTCCGTCAATCCCCACGTGACAAAGCTTCCACTGTTGAACACCCATATCTCCCCTCTATCGCCGTACCCGAACCCCTGTTCCCTTGAGTACTCCTCCTCCATCTCTTCTTCCTCCCCTGCTATTCCGCTTCCAGTACTCCAGGTAGTAGGCCGGACATCTTTCCCACTGATGAGCCGTTCCGCCCCGCCCCGGCCCTTCCAAGGTCCAATGACGAACGCCCTATCCCGATCGCCTTCGGGGACCTCGTCCCACTTGACGCCGAGGCTCTTGAGCACCAAGCCGAGGTTGACTAAGTCGTACCGCTCCGCCGTAGTATGAGCGACACACTGCAATACTGGGCCGCGAGCGACCGATGGGGCATTCCGGAGAGGTTGGGATGCTGCCTCTAGGCGCCGTTTGGGAGGCTTATGTGAGGGCTGCTTGGGGGCACGCTTCTCTTGGCGAGGAGGAAGAGGTGTCGTCTGGACCGATGCGTACCGCCTAGAGCAGGCCGAAGCGAGTTGCAGAGGGCTTGTGGCGAAGCGCTTTGGCATGGAAGATCCCAGATGCAGACATTGATCGCATGACCGGGACGAGCTCGCGATCGAGCGAGCTGCCGAGCGTATAGCGGTGGAACGAGCGAACATGTCGCTCGAGAAGGTGTTAAGAAACGTAGAGAGTGCCTTTGTATCAGCTTTGGTGGGTGATAGAACAAAGGGCGATAGCAAGAGCTTCGACGTCGTTCATGCCGAGCGCCGACGCGAAATCTGAAATCTGATTTGAAACGCATCACGTAAGTCGCCATTTACTAATCAGATCCGTTTGTATTAGCGGGAGTATAGCAATGTCATTAGCTTTCATTAGGAAATGCGTGGACCGGCTAACAAGTATCCGACCTCTCCTCTACATGAGCTTTGTGTCTTGCCCCTCTACCGCAGTATCATCCCCACAGCGACCTTACTAAGCAATACATCGCATTCATCATGTCGCGGCTCGCAGGACAGCTCATAATGCACCCCCAGATCACCCAGGGTCTGGGGCTCGTAGCCACCACAATCGGGCGGGACAAGGTGGGTTGACAAGGATACTAAATACCAGCAACCGAGTTGACGGTCCAGGTCTTCCGGTTGATCCAGTATACTGCTCGCTTGCTGGCGTGGTCCATGATGCGTCGAGGGGATATCGACGGCGCAGCGAGATTCGACGGGCTCAAGACGGGTCTCGCGAATGTCCGAAAAGGCAAGTTTGGCACTGCTTACTCGACGCGAGTTGTCAGGTCGCGTTACTGACAGTATAAGCGTTGAGGCTGTTCCGACCTGCCGAGTTCTTGCAGTCGGCGGTGAAGCTTTCCGCACGGCCAGTGTGAGCTGATGTTTTTCGCCTCCTGTAAAAGAAAGCTGACTGGACAAGTACCAGCCTCCAAGGCCCCGGCCAACTCGCACACGTCTCGCAGATCGTCAAGCAGCTGCTCATGGCGACGTACTACGGTACCGACATGCTCATCTGGTTGACACAGGTCGGAACCTTACGACTAGACAAAGAGTAGGCTGATTGATCCTACAAACACCCGATGGGACCCCAGCTGACTCATCAGGCGCCTCGCTCGGATCTCGCGCATTTCCCAAAAAGCCTGGCTGTTCGGTATCCTCTCCTCCCTCGTTTCGTCCGGCTCATCACTCGTCAAGCTGCGTGGCGACTCGAGGCGGTACATGCTCTCGCGAGAAGTGGCGCGGAGGGAGGCTGTTGCGGATGGGGAGAAGCAGGGCGGTGATCGCGTATCCGAGGAGGAGGACCGACGGGAGAAGGGCAGGGCATTGTTGCAGTGCGTGCTGTCTTTTCTGGCCATCCATGAGGTGTAGCTGATCCTTTCAGACAACGCCAACAGATCCTCTCGCAGCTCGTCATGGACGCCTGCGATGTCTGGATTCCCGCTACGAATGTTGGGTATACGAACCTGAATGACGGGGTTCTCGGTGCTCTTGGGTGAGTTTTTCGGCAAGATAAATTTGTACGGGACGCTGACACCCCAGTACGATCACCTCATACATGGCCCTTCAGACCTTGTGGATCAAGCACGCCGCGGTAGCTCGCAAGTGAGCATAGAACAGGGCAGATGATAGGGGGCGGCAGAGCGGGAGATGATTTGTCATACTAGATTCTGTATTCGGGGATGTGAGTGTATTGATGCGGTTCCGCCATGAAGCCTCCACTTGCAACAAGCAAGAAGCTACATCCATACTTTTCAGCGGACTGCGACATCAAGCACCGAGCACAGCATCTACCCCCCCGACATCTATGAGAGTGATATCCACAAGAAGCGGTCCGTGCTCATGCAACGAAGCGCAAGCTCACGTCGATCGCTACTTTGTCAGCCAAGCTACTCGAGCAGGGGTAATCGCGCCCATAAAGGCAAGGCCACTCACGGTGACAAGCGCTCAACTGCGGCTTTTGGCTGTACCTGCCCTTCATCTCGTCCCGGACGGTATTGAGGAGCTGCTGGTAGCTCTGCTCCGGATACTTGGTCAACGCCGAGATGAATGCCTGGACTATCAGTATCTAGCCTCCAAACACTCCGACAGATGGATTACGCACATAAGACATGGCACCGGTCGCTTGGCCCGCTTCCTGAGTATCCGCACTCTGTTCAATCAGCACCAGTACCAGCCTCTCTCCTCCTTCGGCTGAGGAAAAACAGAGGAACGTACCGTCTGGCTATCCTTGCACCCACTCCACATGACGACATCCGCCGCGCTCTCCTTCATCTTCTTCGTCTTGGCTTCCGCCCGATTCGTCCCAAACGCGCCCTTGGCAGCTCCAAACAGACCCATCGCCGCGCCGGCCGTGTTGCCCATCGCGAGGTGTCTCGCCGCGCCCATCAGGTTCTGCTGCGTCTCTTTACCGAAATAGTCGGGGCCCTTGATCTTGCCCTCGGTGGAGTAGATGTAGGGGAGGTCCATGACCGTGCCAGAGTGGCACGAGTCGAAGATGGCGGTCAGGCGGGCTCCGGGCGGGAGGGGTTTGACGAGGAGGGTGTGGCTGGGGGGTCAGCTGTGAGTTTCACACTGATGAAGAGGCATAGATCTGGGATGAGAGAAAGCTTACACTGGCGGGTCAGCTCGGTTTCTACAGTAGTCCAGTCATGATATACTCACTGTCATCGTCGATGATCAAACCCGCACGCTCATAGTCTAGAGGACAAATTGCCTCATCTCCATCATCTCCCTCATCCCCATCCCGGTCGTCCTGCTGAGTACCGTGCCCAGAGCTGGCGGATCAGCACCTCCCCTTTCTCGGCCCCGCAGGAAGCCTGGGAGTCCATGTCGTGAGGGACGCACTAGTGGAAGAAGAGCGCATCATCTGCTTGCGCCCCATCGACGAGCCACTGCATCCCCCGGATGATATTGTCCCGAGTGGGCAGGGTGCGCGGGTCTTGCTTGTCGTCCGTGAGCACGACAATGTCGTCGGGTTGATAGCCGAATCGTTCTGCAAATCAGCTACTTGACAGTGACTACATGACACGGTACAGGGACCAAGTCGTACGGCAGATGAAGCGATGGACGTTCTGGACCTGTATCAAGATCAGCGCGAGTCCTGGAGATACCCCTGGCGGGGCTGGCAGGGCTCAAGGGCAGAAAAGAGCTTACGTCGTTGATGCAGCCGCCAAGCTGGCCTTTCTGGCCAAAGTAGTTGATCCCGACCTAGATATCAGCTTTCAGCCCTTACCGCCGACCGGACCCAAACTGAGGCCGGCGGAGCTCCAGGAGGAAACCTATGGCGAAAGGTGACATACCAAGAGAGCCTTACGACGGCCATTACCTATGCACAGCTTCAGCTTCGCCGCACCATACCGGTGACTCTCAATAATAGCTTACACTTGGAGTACTGGAACCCCTGCCCATTCTGGCCAGCCGCCTGGTCTTGGTTTCCCCCACCACCGCTATAAGGCGGCTGCTGGCCTTGTTGGTGCTCGTACCCAGGGTTGTAGCCTGCACCACTGTCCACATCAGCCCGCAATCTTCCAGCGAAGCACATCCCGCTCGTAGCCCCTGTCAAGCTGTCTCGCTCGACCGGGGCTGGCGTGAGTCAGACAGAAAAAGAAGAGGGAGACTCACGTCTGCTGATACTGCTGCGGAGGCGGACCACCCGAGGGCGCCTGGAAATCCCGGAGCTGTTGAGTGAATTTATTGAGCCTGAACCAATCAGTCAAGTGTCCATCAAGCCCGACACCGCCTTCCATTCCGGTCCACAGATTCTCTATCCTGCAGTCAATCTCCACAGACTCACATGTCTGCCTATGTACAGTGACTGCACAGCGGTATATACAAATACGAAGTAGATGGATGTTGCTTGGAGGCGCAGCTAAGCGCGGGAGGATAACCTTATCGATTTACATTCCTCTACACAAACTTTTACTTCTACTGATACGTCATTGTCGTCGTCGCGTCGATCACCCTTTCCTTTCCACGCTTCGTCTCTCACCCAGTCCGGCCCAGTCAGCGTGCTCTGCATCGAACTTTAACCATCCTGCCCGGGAGTAGCAGCATCCAATCCCCAAGCTCCTAATCCTCAAAGCTTAAATTGCATTCGGGCGTCGTTTCACAATACAGCCAGATCTACCAACATTTTTCGCTGGTCGACATAGCCCGACGCTCTTCCTCGGTCCCGTCCTTCCCTTTCTCCCTCCCCCATATCAGCAACCCAGGATGTTCGGACTCGGGCTCGGCCGCCTCACACGGTGGACATTCGAGCTCATCGCTCTGTCCACGATCATAGCGGGTGTCAGACGCTCTACTGGCTTTGGGTGAGCATCGACCGCCACTCCAAGGCTCCGTGGTCTTTGGGAGCTACCAGCTGATCGTCGAAGCCCACATACAGCCCTCATACATGATCGGACCATCCGTTCTTTCCTTGACGGCTACTTCAACTTGGGCGAGACGGTCTTCTCGACGGTAGCTGCTTATGTCGTCAATTCGCCTTATTTCCGGAAACAGATCGCATGATCTTTGCAAGGGGAGAGAGCGAGGTGAAATGCGGGTTGAGGAATCTTGAGGCGACTGGCAGGAAACCGATGGCGAGAGAATAAGAGGGGCTGGAGGTAGTGGCGGAAGTCGAGCGGACAAGATATCGTACGAAGTACGAAGATGATCACCTAGTCAGGCCTGTAGGAGGGGGAGACGCGATCCATTGTAAACAGTATCTAAATATTAGACCTCAATCACAGCAGTCTCAGTCGTGCATATGTATACAAGCGAGTCAAGGAGGACAGGAGAAGGATCTTCCCTCGTCACCTCCAGTCAATCTATGCGGTCACCTCGCCTCTTCCCACCCCTCGCTGACATCGCTGGTACTCAAGTTCCGCCAGTGGGTCGCCTCCCTCTCCGTCTCCGTCTCCGTCTCAGTCTCGGTCTCCGCAGTTGATGAGATACCATCATCGCTCGATTCAGGGAACGTAAAGGACGGCATACTGCCCTGGGACACGGTCGTCTCCGACTATCTGATCAGCTTCTCCTCCTTGGGTGTCAAGAAGCAGTCCATGATACTCACCCCTCCCACCGTGCTCTCGCCCACACGACTCCTTTTTCTCTCCTCCGGGATCCTCCTAAGCCCACCACTCGAACGTTCCTGCACCTCCTCCCACTCTGCCCTCAATCTCTCCTCTTCCTCCCTATCCTCCCTATCCCGCGCAGCTGACGCCCTCCGCTCATCCAATAACTTCTCCTCTGTGGTCTTCTCCGTCTCACCCTCCAGCCTCTTGGCCGAGCCTTTGGGCGACTTGGAAACATAGGAGATGATCATGAATGCGATGAGGGAGGATGAGAGGGTGAGCGTTAAAGAAATAGGAGGGAGGAGGAGAAGTGGAGGGAGGGGGTGGGAAGAAAGGAGCCATCGGATCCCGGTTGGGCGAGGGGTGAAGCGTAGCGAGACCCAGCCGGTCGTTCGGACTTCCCGCGGGGAGGTCACGCATTTCTCGGAGGAATCGGTGAATGTGTCTTCCCGACCTACAGGGTCAGCTTTTGCCCTTCCCTTAAGCCTTATTACACCAGACCCGTCCATAAAGCTCACCGATGCTGACGAATGCACTTCCTATTACTCCATTCCCTCCCGTCGCTGGAACCAGTACCACCCCCTCCATCAACTGTTTACTCAACAACACGATATCGCCCGCCCGGAACTGGTGTGAAGAGGGATGAGTAGAGCTCTTCCTGTTGCGCCGGCGAGACGAGATGCGGCCGGAGGAGACGCGGCCCAGGAGCCGCGAGGGGCAGGCGAACCGGAAGGGGTAAGGAATGAGACAAGGGATGGGGTTGGCCGGGAAGAAGGAGGTAAGAAGGGGAGGTGGTGGAAGGGACTGGGACGTCAGCATCATCTTAGACTTGGATGATGAACAATGCTTACTGGTTGAGCAGCGGATATGAGGACGATCTCGGGATTGCGCTGAGAACGGAGTTCAAGGGAGAGCATGAAGTTGCCTCAGACATCAGTTGCTGTTCTTGCAATACTTCTCGAGGTGATGTGGCGAGAAGCTTTGTGGTGCATAGTGCGATATGAGCTTGACATACCTATCTCTTCGCTGGCCTTGTGTGGTCGCACAAGCTCCATCTCCACGTCAACGTCATACCGCAGGTCCTCCTGGAAGTTCGAAGCGATAAGCGGCACAAGCGCATGAGGCGTTCGATGGATCTTTGAACTGCACAGATCAGCTGTGTAGTTCCTCGGGATGCTAAGGCTGCACGCAACGACGACATTTTTATGCTGCGCCGGGCAAAGCTCGGTTCTGTTGCTCACACCCAGCACGTCAAGCGAGACTCACCCATATGTAAGCCACCCTTCAGCCTCAACAGTTCCTCCTGTACCCCACGACCACCAGAATGCGCCTACGGCCAGTACCGAGAATACTGCTGAGCCGAGGACGAGGAAGCCTAGTAGCGCCAGCTTGAGGACAAGCGAGATGGTCAGCGGCGATGTGATGGCTTTCTTGATCAGATTCAGCGGGATGGTTATGCTACGAGTGTCAGTTCTTGAAGTGCCCTTACATATATAGGTCAGCCAGAAAGAGAGGGGGCATACGGCGCAGCAGCATATCGAGTCAGGCGATGCAAAAAGTCGATAAAATCCTCTCCGTCTAGGTCTGTCCGGGATGATCGCTTCGCTGGCTGGAAACGGTTTCGGGGGGCCGTATAGCCTCCTGTCGCTCGGGAGCGAAGATGAGGAGCGAGGGATGCGCCTGCGCCTGCTGTGGACATGGTAGCTGTGGTCGTTTCCGGGTCTGTAGCGGCGGAGTAAGCGAGTAAGAGGCAGAGAAGGATAGAGGTGGTGGACGTGGTTGAGTGAGATCGATGACGTATGAGGTGAACCTTATTTCGCGGAACGTGCAGAGGTCGCCAAGCCAAGGAACGACTACATATATACAGCGGTCATCCAGCTCCATCCCCTTCAACTCTACATATACCCGTACCCAATATGAACGACGCTCCCTCCCAGACCGCTGTCGTGCGGCTCGTCACGCCTGACCCAGGTCTCACCGACTCACACCACGGTCCCGAGAACTATCACTACTACCGCCGCAACACCTCTTATGAGGACGGTGTCCCGCGGTACTTCAACAACCCATGGCCATCCTACCGCTCTCCGTCCCTCGGAGACGCCTACCGAGCCTACAATCTCGGCGCGGCCATTGCGCACCCCGAACCGCGCAAGCTGAATGGGCTGACTCGGTCAAAATCGAGCGTATCCATCAACGAGGGGAACCACGTCTACAAGTGCGAAGACGGGGAGGATGCGCCGAGGTTGGAGAAGAAGGGGTGGATGCCCGAGGCGACCTATGTCCGGCCGGTGTTTGCGGAAGTGTTTGACGATGATGACGAAGATGAGGATTGGAGGGATCCGCCCGTACAGGTCGTTCAGCCAAAGTGGGGCGGAGTGGGGGATAAGGGAGAGAAGGAGACGGTCACTTGGTTGGGACATGCAGGGGTGTTGGTGCAGGTGCCGTGGAGGAACAACGGGAGGGACGGGATGTGTGGGGTCCTGTATGACCCGATCTTTTCGAACAGGTCAGTCCAGCTAAGATGAGCTCAAAGTCGGAGTCTGTCGAGCTGATGCGATAGGTGCTCGCCAAGCCAGTATGTCGGCCCTCACCGACATGTAGACCCGCCGTGCTCGGTCTCGCTTCTGCCAGAGATTCACGTTTGCTGTATCTCGCACGATCACTGTGAGCTACTGTGAAAATCTCGGCGTCTTGGAAGAGAGCTCATCCGCCTAGATGATCATCTTGACTACTACACGATCATGGACCTTTGGAAGTACCACCACAAGACGATCCACTTCCTCGCCCCGCTAGGTAGCTCTCTATCCTAGTATGCTTTGAGTACAGCTGATCGCCCAGCTCTCAAGCCGTGGTTCGTCAGTTCAGGTATCCCCGAGGACCGCGTCACAGAGCTCGACTGGTGGCACGAGACCATCCTTACCTTCCCTTCGGCTTCCGCCTCTTCTGCCGCCGCTTCTGCAACGGACGCGCCGACCGCGTTGAACGGTACGGACCTCGCACTGAAGTTCGCCTTTACGCCAGCCCAGCACCGGTCTGGAAGGGGATTACTGGACCATATGAAGACGCTCTGGGGGAGCTGGATGTTTGGGGTGATTGGGAAGGAGGAGTGGAGTGGGAGAGAGGAGAGGGGTATGCAGGGCTGGAAGGGGTTCAAGTGTTTCTTTGGCGGGTGAGCTATCGACGTTACCAGCTCGTAATGTCTGAGCAGCGGGCTGATAGTCAGTGATACGGGATATCGATACGCCACTGCTCCCGAAGGAGATGACGACGCTATCTGTCCCGCGTTTGAAGGTGAGTATTCGGCCTCATTATTGTTCTTGGGACCAGGCTGATGACCAGAAATCGCAAAGCACTACGCCCCAGTCACACTCTCCCTCCTCCCCCTCAACACAGGCTCCTCCCTCCCATTCCTCCGAACCATCCTCTCCCTCTCTCTCGATCAATACACCCTGACCTCTTCGCAGCATTGCAGCCCTGGCGACTCGCTCGAGATCCACCGGATCATGCAGGCTGAGCGGAGCGTGGGAATGCACTGGGGAACGTTTTGTGATCGGGATGAGAGCCGGGGGACGCGGGTGGAATTTGGGCGTGGGAGGAGGGAGAGGGGCGTGGGGAAGATGTGGGTGGGCGATGATGAGGAGGGGAGAGGGAAGGGCGAGGAGGGGGCGGGAAGGTTCGTGCTTGCGGATATTGGGGAGACTTTGGTTTTCCCCTAGCCTGTGTTCCAATTGGGCTGGATTCATGCCGGATCAGGGGATCATCCCGTATCTTTGACTATACACGCAGATATATGAGACCAAACAGGATCCCGAAGGTATGTAGTCTTGACTCGCTCGTGAGGGAGAGCTCAATTCTCTGACATGCTTCTCTGCTGACCGCGCTCACCACCACTGCACTCACCACCATCATTAGCACTCGTTGCAGCTCATCCGCATGTTCAGGCTGTGGAATTAAAAACTTATCGATTGACATCCGTCTCACACAAAGCAGTATATACATCTTGCTGATCCTCCACTACCTTAACAGTCTCGGCTGACACAGTCAATGGCCAAGTCCCATGCATGGATCTCCAAAATTTCGTTAATCGTTGCCGAGCTCTGACAGCTCCGCCACCAACTCCTCCACCAAAAGTTCTCGCAAGCTCGGGGGTCAGACTTAAGACCGCCCTCAGGGATCTTCTGCCAATGCCAGTACTGAAGCTTCACATGCAGCTAATGTGAAATATACAGCAGAGTACCTGACTCCGTCCTTTAATATGATCGCTCGCCCGTCCACGTTCTACCCTCTGCTTGTACCCAGACCGCACAGTACTGAAGATCAGCTGTGTCTCTGTCCACTCACGGAAAGACTCACTCAGATGTCATCCGCACACCACCCACAAGCCTCGCATGGCGGCGCCTCCGCCAGCGGCTTGATCCACCATGCCGCCCCTTCCGCCAGGTTTTTGGAGATGCTGTGATAGTCCATCGCGTCGGCGATAGCTAGCCTAAATTCGCCGATGGCGAGCGATGGGTTTCTGCCGAGCAAAAACTTTGGTGAAACGTAGATATCGACCGACATGTCTGGCTGCATGTGCGCGGCGTCCTCGGCGGATATCAATCGCGTCATCATGCCTTCCCGCCTGGCGCACTGCCGCGCGATCTCGTGAGCGAGCGACTCGCGCGCCTGCTCGATTTGAGCGACCGTGGAGGGGCGTCCTCGTCGGATGTCAATCGCGTCATCATGCCTTCCCGCCTGGCGCACTGCCGCGCGATCTCGTGAGCGAGCGACTCGCGCGCCTGCTCGATATGAGCGACCGTGGAGGCATCCGAGTACGTCCCGTACCATATGGCATGGCCGCCGCCGACGGCCGTGATCTCGCCGGATTCCAGCGGGTCGAGGTGTTTGCGGTACCGTACTCGATCGAGCGGGGTGTACCTACTACCGAGATAAGCCAAGCTTCAGAACTCTTCAGTACCTGCAGTCTTCGGCCGAAGCGACATTGCGAAAAGTTTGTGACGAGGAAAGTGGAGCTATGTATTTAGCTTTGGCTGCTGACCATAAACGCCATAAAGTGCCAACCAGCGCTGATTCCAGTCCTTCGACAGCTTTGGCATTGGGGGAACCCCAAGCACCCTCCGGGAGGCGTCTAATGATCGTCTATGGTACAGGAGCCATGAATGTCAATATCGAAACCAATCCCGCGCCTCTGCCGATGTTGACTGCCTAAAATCATACGCGCCAGGTCTCAGGGCGTCAGCTCGACGAAGGGTTTCTGCAAGTCAGTTTGACCCAAGGAAACCAGATGAGAAATCGACTCACGATGCTTCGTTCCGCTTATCTTTAGCTCTCCCATACTCCTCCCGCTCCAGATCCGCGCGACGCAGATCATCAACGTGTTTCCTTATCCTCGACATGACTTCAGCTTCGGGAAGCAGACAAGCGCAGCGTCCTTCGCCTTGATCTGCTGATGATTCTTCATCTAAAACATGAGTCAGTATAAGCGGGAAAAGACTTTACGGCGTCAGATGGGGTCAGGGAGGAGGATGTCACGCACAGGTTGGTAAGTGTAAGATATTGGGTACATTTGTGCACTGCAGAGGTAAGTATGGGCTCAGTCACCGTCATATACGGTACCTAAAGGCGGATGGTGCTGGCCGAGATGATGATGTGGAGGGCCGGATCAGGAGCGAATGGCTTACCGCAGGCAGCACAATCCCCTCTGTTATCCTCAAAGTCTTCAATTCTCCCGGTCCGGTAGGTCGCATCTCCCTCCCATCCGCATACTGCCCGTACACTGAGTAGGATATCTCTACGCATATCGCATGAGTGACGTGGATTGGCGTGATGATCCTGTGTGTATCAGACGATGTCTATCACTGGCTTCGAAAGAGATGCTCACCCTGGCACAGTCGAAGCTCTCAGCACTCGATCTGTCGGCAACCGCGCAAAGATCTCCTCTTTCCAGCCATCTCCTGTACCGTGTCCGCCCACATCACTGCCTCTCCACAGTGCGCGTCGCTCTTTTCCCGGATGCAGATGATTAGACGGCACCTTCTCGCCTATTTCCGCCAGCACAACTTTGACCGTGGACGTCAACGGTGGCGTTCCCGGTGAATCCCGCGGAGATCGCATAGACGGAGCCTGCAAGATGGATAACCGTACGGTGAATATCGTGATGAGAGGGGAGAGGGATGGGAGCTGGACGATGAAATGAAACGGAGCGGCTATAGTCCACTGCGATCTGTCAGCTGATGTAAAAGCTGTCGCTCACGATATCCGATTGAAGCTTGATGTTGTACACCCCGAGGTTCTCCGCCAATCCCTGCCTTTCAAAGTTGAGGGTATCAAAATTCGCATCCCTCTCCGACATATGAGCCACGCGTAGCCTCGCGCTCGATTCGTATATGACCCGCGTGACTCCCGCATCGAGCTTGACCGACACAAAGGTGGGGGTAGGTGCATTGTCCGAGGTGAAGGCGTCAACGGGGCTGGGTTTCTCTTTGGGAGGACGACTTGAGATGGCGACTAGCTGTGAATGGGCTCGGTACGAGATGGTGTTGTACGTAGGGGCGGGACCGTGGTAGTCGTGTACCGGAAGAGTACACGGTAGGATCAGATTGAACGCGAATCTACGATCAGCATGAAGTGAGCCTTCAGTACATCTCACGACTTACCTCTGGGATCCCGGTACAATATCAAGCCCTTCGTTTAGGGTGACAGATCTCTCAAAAAGAGTGTCGACCTCTCCTTCCCGCCCCGGTCCCATATTCAGCCTGCAAAGCGACTTGACGCCCACAGTGATGCTCTCCACGTTGTCGCTCCAGTCAGGTGGCGCAATGACCTCGACCTCGCCGCTAAGAATGTGGTCATACTGTCCTGGAGTATGTGTTGAGTACGTCGTATCGAGGGGAGGCTGTAGGTGAACGAAACCGTTGGCGGGAAGATGGACGATAAGTTGAAGCGTACTTGAGGGTTTGTACTGATAAGGTGGGGTCTTGAGTCTTTGAGAGTTGGCGCCGATGTGAGCAAGGGGGTTCTCTGGAGCTGTGGCTCTGCGCAGGAAGGGAAGACGCATGGCGGGCCGTGTATAGCTTACAAAGAGACTGAAGCTGAGGCGAGCTTCGTTCGGTGGTTCCGGGCCGACTCGAAATAGCTTTATGCAATGAGGAATGTGGAGCTAAACCTTGTCAGAGGCGAGGCAAGGAGAAGAGCGCTGCAGCGCCGACCAGAGTTGCTGCGCTGATAATGTCCCTTGCATAGCATCCGGAAGAGAGTAACAACAATCCTGGTTGCCCGAAAGTCTATCCAAACACCCAAATCTGGACCCGCTTCAGCACTCGCCCTTGAGGTGGGAGCTCAGACGATCAGCTCGATAAAGTAATTCTGCCCGTCAGCTGGAGGCTATGGAGCTGTAGACATGGCATGTGTACTCACCGCGGCGATGGTCTGGGCAGGATATCGGTTCGTGAACAATTCCTGACTCCCGCTTGCGTAAAGACCTGCACCCTGTGTGAAGAGGTTGGTAGGAGCAGCGGCTGGGAAGTCAGTAATCGAAGTCTACTGACTTTAGGTCGCCGCTCGGAGCCGAGACTCACAACCATCGGTGTTGATCCAAGTGGGGACCAGACGGAAAGTCGTAACATCCACATTCCACTATACCATCAGCGTCGACCGATTTCAAAGGTACGCGGGCGAGGAAGACTCACCACAGCACTCTCGGCGGTCCTAGGGTTGTTGGTCGCAGAGGTATAAGCGTTGCCGACAGACGCAGGAGGCGCGCCAGCAGCGGCTAATCGTTGTCAGCCAAGTAGAAGCGGGAGGAGGACATTGCAGGGATAGGAAGACGTACTTGTGCTTGTCTCGCCGATGTAGATGTAGTTGAAGCTATCGGTCGACAGGTCAGAGCTGGTACTGTCCCGGCCCTGGATCAGGCCGATATTGGGGAATGCGACGGGAGACTGCTTGGTCAGCTTGACCTTATGTAAGTGCCAGGATCGAGGACGTCACGTACCGTCACCGCGAGATTGATCTGCGAGCCAGACGTACTGCCAACAGGAAGCGAGAACGACACTACGACCGCATTGGCAGCCGATGTCTGCAATAGCGCCTGGGCACCGGTGACTGCTCCAACATAGCCCAAAGTACCTGTCCCGTCGGCGCGATCGATGCGGATCCGGGCGGTATAGGTGACGACGGGCGCAGGGGATGACTGCGCTCGGGCCACGTGCGGAGAGGTACGGCGCGGAGCGGGCTTGTTGAGGGGGAGACTGCGGGTCAGCGCCAGCTTTCGCCTTACACACCAGACGGAGCCGAGAGAAAGGGGTAGAGGTGAGGCAGAGCAAATAGAAGACATACCCCCGAGCGAGCCGTTCCGCATTGGTCATCCTCGCCTCAAGCTGGACTGTATCCTCAGCCACCGGTCCGGCGGGCGAAGGCGCTGCAGCGGCGGAGTAGACGTAGTCGTTCCCATCGCAGGGGATTTCGGTCTGGCACGTCCCATCTCGGATGATGAGCTCGGGGTCGGTCGTACGCCTGCTTCGGCCCGCTTCGGCGAGACCAAGGAGCGAAGTAAGCAGGAGGAGGTGTTTGAGTTGGAAGCGCATTCTGAGGATCAGCTCCATATCTCGAAGACGCGTCGGAACAGAGCTTACTTTGCCTGTCAATATGGAGAGGGCGGAACGGGGAGCGCGTAAGTAGAGATGTAGAAGTAGATGTCAGAGAGATAAAGAGAAATTCGTTTGAAGACTCGTCAGACTGCTGATGGAGGGGATAGGTACTGAGTACTGAGTAGCTTACGGTCCTTTAAGCAGTTATCGAAGCTCCCAGCCAGTCTCAGCCAGTCCGAGGAGTTCCCACCCCGAAACCATGTTCCAGATAAACAAGGACAGGAACGCGACTTCGGACACACGAGATCTTACACATGCATTCCGCAGCGTGACAGACCCCAGATCTCGCCCGACAGCACAGACAGTGCGGTTGAAACACGAGCGGATGTGTGGGGACGGACATGTGGAACGCGCGTTTCAGACGCGTGGTATATGGGTATCCGCGTCTCATGTGCGGTGACCATGATGACCGGGCCGTGCGGCGGTCGTTGGGAAAGATGCTATGCGCTTTGTCTACATGCCCATAATGGAGATGATGAGGTGGAGAAGAGGGAAGAGGAAAGAGGGAAGAAGGTCAGAGAGCCGGAGCTGAGAAAAGACGAGGAATGTGGTTTTGGCTTGGCGGCGATCGACGACGCGGACGACGCGATCCGACACTGTCCACTCGGCCCATGCTATGTAGCTCCTTGTCAGCCTGAGGCGGCAGTCTGATCTGATGCATACAGTCGAGATCTTCGGAATCATAGCTAGAGTCACACATATACAGAACAGGAATCCCCAATCTAATGTCTAAAATAAAGCCGAAATATGAGAAAAGCCGAGTCTGGGTCCGTGGTCCGAGGCGATTAGAGATGGGTATATTGATGAGGTCATGACAGGAAGATACAGGCGCTGAAGCTAGACAATCACGGTTCGTCGTCCTCGGTATCGGGCTCACGTTCACCTAGTCCATCAGTTCCTGCTAACCACGCAAAGCAAAGCAAAGCAAAGCAAACCCCCAAAAAAGACTCACCACCATAATTGAGCCAGTTCAACTTCCTCAACTGCCTCCTCTCCGCCTGCGCCTTCAACTCATTCCTCGTCATCTTCTTCTTCTTGCTCTTCTTGAGCGCGAGCTTGGCCATATCCTTGCCCAATCCCGCTTCTCCCTCCTCGCCCTCCTCGTCCGAGTTGGCCGCACTGGTCGCAGCGCTCGACATGCCGCTGGCGGGCGTACCGACGCGCGAGATTCGAGGGGTTCCCGACTTGGAGGTGGTGCGCGAGTTGGGCATAGACGGGTTGTCGAATGCATCCTCGACGAGCGCGACCTTGCCCTTGTGCGTGAGCTCTCCGTTGTCGACGTGCCATATTTCGGGGCAAAGGGCGGAGACGAATTCGACCGAATGCGAGATGATGCACACGGCTCCTCCCCATTCCTTGATGGCGACGGCGAGACCGCCGAGGGCTTCGCGGTCCAAGAAGTTGGTAGGCTCGTCGAGGAACAAACATTGGGGTCTGGTCTCATCAGCTCTCATCCCACTTTCCCTTACTCCCGAACAGACTCACCGGTTGAACATGGCAGCCGCAATGACCACCTTGACCTTCTGCCCTCCACTCAGCCCCTGCATTTCATTGTACTGCGCGATATCTCCATCCAGCCCAACCGCCTCCAACACCTCCCTCACCGCCGCCGCGCCGGTATCCCGCTGACCCGCCCCTTCTCTCGAGTTGATCTGGTCGTCAAACTGTCCGAGGAGCTTCTGGAATCCCTTCTCCACGAGTACCTCGCGCGGGATCCACGCGTTGTTCTTGTGGTCCAATCCCCGGAACTTGACTTCGTACTGGAAAGTCTTTTTGAACTTTTGACGACCGAGGATGAATTCGATTTTACGGAGGTCACCGTTCCGACCCTGGATAGGGATCTCCATCATGGCCTTCTCCTCGTCCGAGAGGACCCGAGTGGCCTTTTCGAGCATTTCACGATCGTGTCCGTCCTGGTAACGCCATTGACTACGATGTCAGCTTAGCCCTGCGGACAAATAGGGCGTCAAAGCTTACATGTACTGAACAGCAGTCTTGGTGAGATGCTGATCGATATGGTGGAAGGCGTGCTGGGCGACATATCCGACCCGGAGAGCAGGGTGCTTGTGCACCGTACCCTCCTGCGGGACAGTTTCGCCGGTAAGGAGCTTGATGAGCGTCGACTTTCCAGCACCGTTCGGACCGACAATACCGACTCGGGACGAGAGGGACAGGGAGCACGACACGTTCTTGAGCGACGGCTTGACGGTACCGGGGTAGGTGAATGTCGCGCCGGACAGCTTGAGGATGGCGCGGGTGTTGGAGCGGACACCCATAAGGGATCCGGGAGGGGGGAATGTGAACCTAAGAGGTCAGCTGAGTCCCAGAAGGAGTAATCACGGGTGGCAGAGCTTACCGGATAGAAGTAGCCGAGAGGGTGTAGTAAGACTTGGCCTCGGGAACGCGCTCGACAAACTTGCTCAAGTTACCAGTATAGTATGCGAGCTTCTTGCTCTCATAGTGGATCTGGCAATCAGCTCCTGCCTAGTCCCCCTACCACAAAACTCACGATATCAGTGCAGACATTGTCGAGGAAACCAGAGTCGTGCGAGACAATCATGCAGGTAATGTCCGGGAGGTTACAGAGGTACTGCTCCAACCAAGCGACGGTTTGGACATCTGAGCCATCAGCTTCTTGCCCTTTGCCCCAACGCAAGACAACTCACCCAAGTGGTTAGTAGGCTCGTCGAGCAACAAGATGTCCGCTCCGATCAACATGGCCCTAGCGAGCTCCAACTTCATCTTCCATCCTCCCGACAGACTCGCGACCGGGTCTTGCTGCTTCTCGTCCGAGAAACCGACCGAGAGGAGCATGGCGGCAATCTCAGACTTGGGCCGACCGGCGAGACGCGGGTCCGAGGCGATAAAGTCGACGATGGGGATACCGGTGTCCTCGCCCTGGAGGGCGTGCTCGACCATGAGGCATCGGAGCTCGTCGTTGGATGGGAAACCCTCGACCTGAAGATCAGCACAATATCTAGCGACAGACAAAGAGACACACCTTGCCGTCCCGAATAGCCTTCATGAGGGTACTCTTACCCGCACCGTTGGCAGCGCAGATACCGTACCTCCTTCCACGCCTCAACTTGAGGTTGGTGTGGTTGAGCAAAAGCAGACCACCGTACGCGAGCGAGAACTGGATGTTACAGAGCAGCTGACCGCCCGACCCGTCGTCTTCCGCTGCGGGGGCGTACTTGGACTGGTCGATAGCGAGGAAGGCGTCCAGGATGCCCTGGGCGGCCTTGGCGCCCGCCTCGGCGCCCTGGAGGAGCTTGAGGAAGCTGCCGAGACCGCGAGACTGCCAGATGTACGAGTCGAACCGGCGCTGCTCGACGAGGTCGGCGATGACGTTGGCCTGGTATTCGACCGCGTGGGCGACGACGGGCGAGTCGGGCAGGGAGAAGGAGAGGGGGATGGAGGGACGAGCAGGGAGACCCTCGATCGCGAGATGGGGGACCATGAGTGTGAGCGCCTCGGTGACGGAGAGGATAATGTCGCGTTCAGGGAGAGGAGTGGCCGAGGCGGACGCGCCGGCATTGAGGAGAATGTCGAGTGCGGTCTGGGCAAAAGCACGGATCTCGGGGAAGGCGGCACCCTCTGCGAGCTGCTGGACACCACCGACGAGAGGGCTGAGGTACCGCGCAGCGACGAGGGGGTCGCGCACGAGCTTGACCAAGTTTCCGACGACGACACAGGTCATCCGCTGGGTGTCGGTAGACCGTTCCTTGAGCGCACGTGTGAGGAGGGGGACCATGACGGCGAGCGTCGGGCCGGTGACCTCGGCGACGAATGTGGTAGAGGAGAGACCCTTGATGGTACCGGCGACAGCCTGGGGAGAGGCCATGGCGGAGACGAGAGCGTTGATGTGCTTCAGCACGTCCGGGTTGGGAAGGGTACCGCAGAGAACGGTAGCGGCTTTGGAGGCGGCAGCGGAAACCTGACCGTCAGCTCGAGCCCGAACTTGGTAGGAAATAGCTCACCTCGGCCTTGGTGTCGTGCATGGCAGCCTCGACGTATGGGATGACCCTGCCCAACTCGGCAGCGACCCACTCCTCACCTCCGAGCTTGACGGTCCCCTCCATCGCCTTGAGCGCGGCCACCTTGGTCCTCCATCCCTTGGCATCCACCAGCGTCTTTGCGAGCGCGTCCAGGATGACCCGCGACGCCTCGGGAGGGGTAATCTTGATCAGGGCGTTCATGGCGGACGTGACGGCCGAGCGGACCGGCTGTCCCTTGTCCATAGACAACGAAAGCAGCGCGGGGATGACGGGCATAAACACACCCTCCACACCCGTCCCGAGCGACCGGCAGAGCCGCTCAATCAGGACCGGTGCAGACTCGCGCTCGTACCCCGACTTGGAGCCGCTCCATGCGAGGAAGACATCGACAATCTTGGCCTCCTGGATGGCCTCGATAGTGCGGGGCGCTTTTTTTAGGGAGATGGCGATTTGGTCGGCGATGGATTTGGCCTCGACGTTGGACTTGGCAGTAGCGAGAGCGGCGTACTGCTCGGAGAGGGGAGACTCGGGGAGGAGAGTGGTAGGGCTGGGAGTAGCGACGGGTGACATGTTTGACGAGTAGGGTCGGGGGGAAAGGGAGGGAAGGGGGGAAAAGGTGAGAGAGCCTGTGAGAGCTCTGCGGGTAAGGACTGAACGGACTGAGCTGTTTGCTCTGTGTGGTCGGAGTCGGAGGTGCGGATCGTATGAGAGGGTGTAAACACGGGTTAAGGGGGATGAAGGACAAGGGAGAGGGAGATGGTGCTCAAGCTGTGACGCGCAAGGGGAAAAAAACAGCTCAAAAATGCCCCACGTGGGATGAGGAGGAATGTTATAGGCCTATCATGAAAGGGCTCAAACGCCACGTCATCACTTTTCCTTGCCGTTGCAAGGTGCAGACGGTCCTCCCCTTGCTGCTTTGCCTCTTCACGATGCTAGCATTCTAAGTGCACTAGAGCAGAATGAGCGCTCAAAGCCGCTCTTATCTGCTGCGGGGCGAGTGCTGGGGAAGTCTGTCAGCGAGATCGATCTTGCGGGAGATCAGCGCCGACAACGGGCTGCGCTGCCGCAACCGCCAATTCGCCCCCGAAATTGCAGCGAAGCACAATGAAACGGCGATAGCTGGCGATCTGCTCATGTCATCGAGTTCTGTATCTCTATTATCTTAGAGCTCGGGTCGTTACTCGCTTGCGCCATATCCAGCGAAGTTCGGCAAGGTGACTACCCTTGGCAGACGATCGAGAGAGTCCAGACCTTTTACGCCATTTTTGTAATGGTAAGGTTAAAGGGACGCCTCAGCTGCTACTGATAAGATATGGAACCAATTTTAGCATTAGCGGATGCATAACTCAAATAGCTTGGAAGGTGGCAAGTGGCGAGGTGACACAGATCTGGGTCGCGTCGATCTGGCTCCCCTCGGCGTCGTGCCTGCTGCTATTTCGCGCGAGCGGATTCCCACAAACCCTCTCGCCCGCTGCTTCCTTTCTAGGCTGCTTGTTGGTGTGCATGGTCCGATTGGATATGGGGACGGGGCGATGAGGACCGTGACGAGTGATCTGGGCCCCCCTCCTTTCCCCTGACTCTGGCTGTAAAGCTTCTCCTTGGCACGAGGACCAAAATGGACCAAACACCCACTCGATAGTATTTGGGTTTTGGCTACATCTCCAATCGCTCCAAGCGTCTCTACTCTCCATACTGCTTGCTCTGAGAGTGACACGTTCCCTCCTTTGCCCAACTACAATGTCCGACTCGACAGAGCTTGAGGGTTACTACCAACAAGGTTCGACAGCGAGTACCGCCGGCGCCTCCGACCCAATCTCAAACCTAGTTCAAGCGCCGTCCCTCCCTATCCTTTTTCCATACACCAACTTCCCCAGTCTAGGCTATCCTCCATCAGACGTTCCCCCACTTCCCTATTCCCACCCCTCTGCCTCATCCGAGTATCAGCAGCCCAGCGGGTTGGGGATGGCAATCTACAACTACGGGATCCAGCCCCCTAGCAACCTACAGCCGGCGGCATCGTTACCGCCGTATAGCGGTCCGTCTCAACCCTCTACCCAGCTCTCGACGACAGGGCTATATCAGCACGACTTTGGCGTCCACCCACTCCACTCATCCTTCGCGACGAGCCTCACATCTGCATCAAACTCGCTCAATCATGACGAGTCCTTCAACCTTCCTACCAGCACCTCCCTACTCGACCATACCTTTCACAACTACTCGTCAATCTATCCTCACTTCGGCACCCAAGCTCCCGCCCAAGCGGATACCATACCTCGTACCTTTCTCCCTCCTTCCTCGCGCACCATCGAGCGGTCCGAGCGCCGCATCACGGGATGGCCAGCCCCTCCTCCTGCGCCTGTGCAGCCAGCAGTACGCTATCCACTGCTGCGCTCGGTACCTCCGACCCCGGATACAGCGAAGTCGGCGCACTCGGGCTGGGAATCGATCCCCGCAGATTGAGCAACTATAATGGAGATGGGGAAGCAGGGCCAAGTGGCGGCTCGGGGGACACGTCTAGCTGGGTCGGGTTCCCGGCAGCTTCGATATCCGATGATAAAGTGAGCTCGGTTTTCTTCTTCTTCCTTCAGTTCCTGCTCTAGTTTCTGTGAAGATCAATCGCTTCCATATTGCGCCCGTACTGATCTCATCAGGACTACTATGTACCCTACCGTCCCCCCGCCCCGCCGATACCACTCCGATCCCAGACCGCCTCACCCTTACGACCACTCCCCACCACTTTTAGCTTTCCCACTGGGCCACTCATCCCTCGTCGTGCCTCCGACGATTCCAACCTCACCGGCACAAGCACGGACGACCATCTCACCGTCCAGGCGGATCAAGCGGTAGGCGATGATCCTCCTAAGGGGAAACGACGCGCATCTGATCCCACCGCCATCGCACCAGAATCGGAGAGTATCACGGACAAGAAGGAGAGGAGGAAGTCGCAGAATAAGCTCGCTCAGAGGGCGTACAGAGCGAGGTTGAGGGAACAGGCGAGGATGGTGAAAGGTGAGCTGGTCGTCTTGCTTTTGGTAGACCCTCAGCCCGTGGAGGCTGTATCTGATGGCATACGAGCAGCCATGGGCGTAGCTGACAAGAGCAGAAGCTAGTGCGAGCGGCTCGAGCCAGGTCCCGACGGAGAAGGAGCAGCGGATCACAAAATGAGCCCGAGGTGGAAGCTGGAGGGGTTTGTGGAAGAGCTAGAGACGGGTAGACACCAAGACAAGCCTATTGGGCCAGGTGAAAGGAAGAAGCAACATTCGGAGAGCGTCATATAGTGGTCTCCTCTGCGCGCATAGTATGTATCTGATATATTACAGTCCAGCACAGGCCCTCTCAGCGACAGTTCATTCCGCGGCACTACGACCGATAAGATAGGAAGTAATAAGCGTATTTGTATTAGCGGGAGTATTAATTAAAAGCTCATAAACCCTGTCGTCATCAGGCACGACTCCGCTTTGCTCCGTGCTTCTACCGCTTCTCGGAGCTCTGCTCGCTTCTGCTCGCTTCTGCTCGGACCTTGGACCCTCCTTTATCACTCATTTGTATTAACTTCGCGGTATGCGGAGCTTCTCGGCGTCGTTCGCGTGCGGTTCCGAGTAACCGAGTCACGGAGTCGGCGTGGGGTCTGCGTGGAGGGGGCGTAATGATCGTCCCGCGTCCTTGGGGATACCCGGGAATGGGGCGTTGCCTTCCATCGTGGCGTCGCCCGTGCCTCTCCGCGTCCGCTTCCCAGCCCTTTGCGCCACTGGAATCACCGTGACCTCCTCGAAAGATTGCTGTACAAATGATTCCCTCTCGAATGCACTGCAATGATTTGTAGAGAAGGTTGGACGACCCGTCCTTGTCCGGGCAGTACCGCTTACTCCTTTATCTCTATATGTAACAGGTATGTGACCCCTTCCCTTGTTCTTCCCACTCTCCCATCCATTCGCTTACTCGCCTACTCCACCATCAACCATCATACCATGCCCAACACCGCTGACATGAAGAGGCTCGCCCTCCAGATCCAGGCGGCCAGCAAGGAACGTCTAGACGACCAGGTCCGCTCCCTCGCCCATATCAACCCCTGGCTCACCACTACCCTCTCCTCCCAACCTCTTTCGGCTCAGCATCAGTGGGATACGGCAAGTCTACCCTCCGACACCGCCTTCCACTATCCGGACCAGCTCTGCCCGGATCAGCTATGGCCGGAATTCGCGGACGGTATCGATCCCTCTCTCCTCTTACCGACCTCCTCCTCACACCCACCATCCATGACGACCCCCTCCAGCTCGCCCTCTACTCGCCGGACCTCTACCTAGCCAGCTCCACCTCGGGTACTTCAAGCGTGACTACTCCTACCGTCCCCTCTCTAGCCCCGTCCCTCCTCCCTTTCACCTACGACCCGCTCGGCATCCCCTCATCCCCCGTCTCGACCTCATCATGCTCATCCTCCCTCGTCACACCCAGCTTCCTGACCTATGCTACGCCATACCAATCATCCAGCAACATCGGCATGGGTATAGACCCCAAGCTGCTATCGATGGAAGGCGAGGGGATATTGAGCAGTCTCCTCACCGCGTCTTTCACGTCATGGGATGCTCCGGCGCCATTGTGCGCTGACGACATGAGTACCTCCTTCCTCTTGCCCAGCCATGTAGAACCCCCACACCTGACCCGTTTCACCTCTGGGCTTCTACCGTCTGGACCATGCTGATTTCAACAGGACTACTACGTACCCTACAACTCGTCTGCTCCACCCCCTCGCGCCTCGCCTCCCACTGCCGTCCTGTCTGCCACGCCCACCTCCTCCACCTCGTCCCTCGCATCCTCACCCACCTCCATCGCGTCCCGTCGCCACGCTCATGACTTCAATGTCGGCCTCACCATCGGCTCGGCTCTCGTCGGCATGTCCCACTCGCCCTTGAGGCAGGGAAGGACATGGTCAAGCCCATCCCGAAGCGGAGGAAGCCTAAGCGGCCGGTGGTACCTCACGAGTGGGACAATGTGCGGGACCCCAAGGAGAGGAGGAAGGCTCAGAATAGGTCTGCTCAGCGGACGTTCAGGGCCAAGGCGAGGGGGTTGATCGTCGCTGGTACATGCCCGACTACGAGTGAGTACAGTCTGCCTTGTGCTTTTCTCCTACGCGACACCCTCTTGCTGGTATCCTTCTTGAACCCTCGCTGACGGTAGTAGGCTGTGCTGCTGTCGTCTCAACACCCGCTAGGGAGATCGTCTTCGGCATCAAGGGTCACCATTTGAGCCTCCGGGACGATAACTCGGACGGGAGCAGCTACTAGTGCGCTTGGCTTCTGAGATGTGAGTAGTCATCTTCACCGGCTCATCGGGTACTACACTGGTCGCTTGAGTAGTAGCTGATACGTATAGATATAAACTTCTACAGGGACCAATACAGAATCAGTAGATGTCGGTGGTGGTAAGAACAAGAGGAGGCGTATACGTATCATCTGTTTATAGATTAGAACTTTTGGGATTTTGCTGGACAGTCATCGGGCGTATCTTATACATACATGCAATACTACATGCTCGAGACGATCTGCACGTGAGAGTATGGTCTTGCGTCTCCAGCTACGAGCGCTTGAGCAGGCACGCCAAGTCCATGGCGGTGACAGTCAAAGGTCCAGGCCTATTACGCAAATTCCTACGCCACTTTCGGCTCCGATTAGATAGGAAGCTGATGAGTCATAGCGGATGCAAATAGACCTAATGAATCCATGACTCTAATTCTAACCGTGTAGTATCCCTCCGACGTCCGCTCGCCGCGCATCTATTCTCGCATGATGGCGTCAGAGTGTGAGCAGCATGTCTCCGGCAGAGCCTCTTGAGATTCGTCATACAGTGCATGGGGAATGTGTGATGGGAAGATCTGCTCCGCTCTCGCCCGTCCTTCTCGGTGTAGCGCTAGCTTGTGGTCAACCATCTTGGCCTGCTTCTCCCTTAGGATCAAAGTCGACTAGCATGTATCAGTACACATAACCTACCTCTTCCCATCCCCCCTCGTCTCTACATCTATAGTTACGCTAGGGAAGTATAGAGACTGGCAGCTCCACCTCGCCTGGCCATGCCCGACTTCGCCGAGCTGGAGAAGCAGTACCACCGGTGCATGACCATCAGCGCCGCGCGCGTGGCCGACCAGGTCCGATACCTCGCCCAGTCGGGTCATCCCCAACCTGTACACCCTGCCCATGGGGCGCTCGTCGACCCGCAGCCCCCTTCAGCTTCAATTGCAATCCTGGTATCACACCCAGCGCCGGCGCACTCGCCCTCCGCGGATCTAGGCCCCGGGCACAACATCATCCCGCTCCCGGGCCCTTTCGACCACCTCCTCACTTCTCCCGCCGGTCCATCCTCACTCGTCGACAGTGACTCCTTCCAGCTGCCTCCATGGCTGCTCAGCGCTACTCTTCCCAGCTCGGTCGACGCCTTGGAGCCACTTCCACTCCATACATCACCGACTGGCAGTATCGCGTCGGCTTTGATCCCTCCCGCTCTCCTGCCACCTCCAGCACATATCTCTCCGCTACCTACCGCGACCTACCCACATCCTCTATACCCATCACAAACTCCGTCCGCCCCTTCACCCTTCACTTCCCCTACATCGCGCGCTACAAGGCAAGGCGACCCTCCATCAGCTGCAAACTGCAACGTCGGGCTAGGTATAGATCCCAGGCGGTTCATGAGGGGGTCAGAGGCAGGACCAAGTCGGAGCTCAGCAGTAATTGGGGTGGGAGTGCCCTCTCCGGGCGCAACAACAGGCGCAGAACAAGTAAGCATAGTCCACCCATAAATGCAATACCCAGCTGCGAGTTTCCACCTGCATACTGCTCTTCTATCCCCTTCGCTCAGCGACAACTAAGCTGATTCCGACAGGGCTACCATGCCTCCCAGAGCTCGTACTGCCCCCCAATCCAACCTTCCCCGTCTTCTCTCAGCTCCCGCAGCTCTCAGCTCCCCTTCTTGGCTTCACCCACCCTCCCATCCTGCCCACCGCACCTCCACACACACCAACTCGCTACATCCACGACCTCGACCCCGTTGTCAACCTCGCAGTCGACAGGGGTCGACTCGCCACTTTCCACCTGCCTAACTCGAGGCGCCGGCCGAGTCTGCCAAATACTGCGCGCGATCACGTACCGGAGGGCGAGAAGTGGCTGGATAAGAAGGAGAGGCGGAAGGCGCAGAATCGGATCGCACAGCGGAGGTCTAGGGAGAAGGGAAAGGGTAAGCCGAGGGATGGGGTATCTGGGGGTGAGCTCGTGTTACCTGCTTTCCCCTCCGTCCACTTTCTCGTACCGACAGCAGAGCTAGAGCTGATTCCGACAGAGCATGGGTCTGGAAGCTCCCAGTCTACCATGGTTTCCACGCCGCCTTCAGATGAGAGACGTTTCAGCGGTGAGGATGATTCGGGGGACAGTAGTGCTGGAGTGTAATTGTGAGCTCCCGGCCTATTTGTTCCGGCGCTCGTGCTGCTGCTCAACCTTGAGTACCCGGCCGCACGATCTACAATCGGGTACAGGCTGATAGAAGCAGAAAGCCGAGATGCGAGAGAAAGTACCAGAGGTCATCCAGTGCATGGTCGGAGATCGGACATGGCGGCTCAGTGGAAAAGCGCGAAATCGGTTCCTCGCTGTCCGTCATCCAGCTCTGGAGGACAGCAATGACTGCATAAGTAGATTAGGTGACTATCAGCTTGTCCACAATATGAAGCTAGCGCTACGCGCGCCGATAGCTTGGGCTGCCGGCGGCGGGGCCGCCCCATCAACCGCACGGTCTCGCTCGGGCAGGTCTTGGCTCGGCGGTCGAGTTAGTCACATGATACATAGGTCTCGTTGTCTCGCAGTGCGTCATCTGGGGATCCGGCATCGCCGTACCATGATGTCTTGGGCATGATGAGACATGATGCATCGCACGTCATGTGAGGGGTCAAGCACGTTCCAAGGCATGAGGCCTCGAGGGCGGGGGACCAGAGCAACGCAGATGCGAGTAACGGGGAGAAGCAAAGGCGCACAGCCAGGCACAGTCAGGCACAGTTGGCTGCTGTTGGCCGGTTGGCCCCAGATCTGACCCAGAGCCTAGACCTTTTACGTTACTCTTCGTTTACCCGCGCAATGATAAGATAGGAAGCTTAATACCCGCGTCAGATCCAAAATACAAATCCCTCGTCTACAAATCAACCTCTACAAATACCGCCCCTCTCTACAAATGCTTCTCTGCCTCTGCCTCTGCTGCGACAGCGTTCGTACTCGAACGGTAGATCTGGGATCTGGGCGGCGCGGATCATATCCCACTCAGAGGCATGACGCTTCTTCGCTTAAGGCATGACGCTTGACGACTGTGCGCAAGCTCGTCCGTTATATACGGCGTAGGCCAAGGGGGACAGATCGTGCCTCCCTTTCCCATCTTCCCTCCCTTTCTTGACGCCTCTCCTCAAAACCTTCCATCATGTTCAGTGCGCCGCACCAATCTCAACCTTCGCCTCCGCATAACTTTGACAATATGAAGTCTCCGCTCTTACTCTTCCACGGACAGCCGTCAGCATCCCCGCTCGTCACATCCGATATGACCGGTCTGGAGATACAATACCGCCAGGAGATGGTCATCAGCACCAGGCAGGTAGAGCACGTCCCCACACAGCCCGCTTTAACCCCCTCTCTCGCTCAGCCATACCCTTCCACCTCCACCGCTCTCCACAGTTCCAGTCCCGCATTCCCCTATTCGGGCTCTGACCTCCATCCTCTCGAGCCCCCACAGCCTCCCTTCCCTTCGGACCTCGGACTCCCCCAGCCTCCTCAGCGCGACTTCAACGGTCGGACAGTCTACCCCTACCACCCCAATCTGGACTACCAATATGTGGACCCCCTCGCCACTCAGACTCTCGACGAGTTCCCGTTCCCCTCAGTTGGTACTGCTTCGCTCTCCGCAGAGCAGCAACCACCTCTCGGCTTCTATCGCCTTCAACAATCTTTCGATGTCGATCGACTCTTGGCATCAGGCGGTGATGGCGCGTCGTTCACTCCGGACCCGTACCATACTTGGCCGCAGTACCGGACCTTCCAAAACACAAGCATCTCCCCCTCCCAGCCTCTCCAGCTCACCCCCGCTGTAGCTGCGCCGCCAACCATGACCAATACCATCCCTCCTACTCTTCTGCACCTACCTCAGCGTCCAGCCGACCGCCTCGTCCCGAGAGGGTCTGCTCCCAACCCGCCGCTCGCGCAGCAACCCCTCCGCCCATCGTTGCGTCAAACCCAGAGCTACAACCCGCCCTACCCATCTCGACCCGACTTTGGTGTGGGGATAGACCCGCTGCAGACGGTCGGGTACGGGCAAGCCGGTCTGGGGACAGCTGGAGCGGGGGCAGGAGGATCTTTGGGACGTGCGGCTGCATCCAGCTTCAAAGAGGTGAGTGGGCCTTTCTTGCATAACTCCAATGCTGTGCTTGCTACCGATCGCGACTTGCTGGTATAGCTCTCAGACATGCGCATGGGGTATAAGCTGACTCTGATAGGACTACTACGTGCCCTACAGCGGCCCCCGTCCAAGCCTATCCCGCTCCCACACAGCCTCGACCACCGCCCGATCATCCACCACCTCCCTCCAGTCCCTGCAGTCTCTCTCCTCCTTCACTTCCCCTACACTGCCACTCGCACCCCTCTCGCCCCGTCGCGCCTCGTACGAGACCGACGTCAGCGTCAGCCCCGATCTCAGTCCGGACCGCGCGGGTCTCTCCACTGCCCGTCCATCGACACTGGACAGCCCGCCCAGCGCCGGTACCAGGCGACGGACATCCACGTCGCCCACGGTTGCGACTGAGTGGGAGCACGTACAGGATAAGAAGGAGAGGCGAAAGATGCAGAATAGGATGGCGCAGCGCAAGTTTAGGGCAAGGGTGAGGGAGGAGAAGAGGGCTGCTGCTGCCAGTGGTGAGTATCTCTCTCTGAAAGAGGCTCTTGATGTTGCGAGCACTAGCTGATGGGCTCAGACGAGAGGGCTAGTGGGACCACATTGGGTATGGCTGCGAGGTCGGCGGTAGGGAAGCAACGGTCCATCAGTGGATAGGGGGCAGCAGAGCCTAGCGGTTGATGAGGCGGCCCCGCCGCCGACCGCCGAAGATATCGGGCCAGGGACTTATGAGTGAGTCCTTTACGGTCTTTTGCGACTGCGGATGATGAGTGACTGGGTCAGCGCTGACTGAGACAGACAATATCGATAGTATCGATCCGGCGCGGACCGACGACTAGGTCACGCATACTGCCAGTCACACGAGCTAGGGAGTAGAAGGGAAAGAAGGGCAGTCGAGGTTGGCCGTAGATGTATCATCAGAGTGAGGCGCATGACTACACGTATATATAGCATTAGAAGGATGAGGTGTAAGATTAGGTAGTCCATGCCCGATGAATCAAGATCGAATCATGTCCACGCCCAGTACTTGACTTGCTTCCGGGTGATCTAGGGGATTTGGCCGAGATCGGTGCGCAAGGTGGATCGAGAGAAGGGGGAGAGACGCGATAGCGTGTCGAGTGGAGACGGCCAGGTCTCAAGGGACAAAAGCAAGACATCATCCGAGCCGGTCCACAAGCACGACGCAGGGTCGAGCAGCATCGTGAACGTTGCGCCAGAGGGCTAGCCTCGTCCGCCAACACTGTCTCATGAGGCCTCTGTATGGGCTGGGATCGGAGCCAGCCCAGCGAGCGCCCATACTACGCCAGTCATACCAGTTAGCAGAGTCAGAGGGTCTCTTGCTCAGCCACGCTGGGGCCAGTATCAGTGTACGGTGCCCAGAAGGGCGCGCGAGTCAGCTTGAGTGCGCATCAGCAGGTCTCGTTTACGGGCGGCTCCGAGTACCATACGTCCTGCGCGATCAGAGCCAGTGTGGAGGTGATGAGGAGGAGTCAAAGGGTCGAAGTCCAAGCTGTCAGTGTGACCTGTTGAGAGTCCGCCGTCCGCTTCGGTCCGCAAGGCTCGATGCGCTGGCACTTCAGTAGCCAGTCAGTAGACGTACGTACAAGATGGCGCGTGCGAAAGGCTGCCTAGAAGAGTTATGCGGCAGCTGCGGGTGGTGTATACTCGCAGCACCCAGGGTATCATCTGAGTATAACAAAGTGATGAGTGGCGAGGGCGCTGCTGGCGCCGGCCCGTCCGTTGGAAAGCCCAACTCAAATGTTAAGGATCCTCGGACTGTGCTCCGTTACGCTAGCCGCCGCACCTCGAAGCCCACAGCCCCACCCCGCGCGGGGTCTATCCGGTCGATGCACGTGTACCATACCCGCAGCTGCAAGGCGACGGAGCAGCCCAGAGCAGCGTGCATACGTGCGAGAGTCGTGCAAGTGGGGGCGGGCCTGGGCGGCCGTAATTTTACAGCAGTGAGAGTGGGGCTCACCCTGTCTCAGCGCTGAGATCTCAGCAGGCGTCAGGGTACAGACCTCCGTATCCCCCTTCAGCTTGACCAAGCCTGACCGCTCCTGACCGGCCTGAGCCCTGACCAACAAGCAAGCCAGCAAGACAAAGTATTCCGGCACCGACCTCCACCGACCTCCACTTTCGCCTCCACATTCTCAGCTGTCCGATCTCGGCTGATCTCGGGCGGTGGTTCAGGATCGATCGGATGACGGATGACAAGAGAATGAGCTAAGCTGGCTAGGGTTTTACTGGAATCGGCGGCCACAACTGCTGGTAATTCCCTCAAGAGGCAACTTACAAGCTCGGCATGGCGGTATCCACTTTCGGCAGACTAGTCCAAGGCACACGTTCCCACAAACCCGCTCTCTCTCCCTCTTCCCCCGGTGCTGCTGCCGCCAATAGTGACTAACTAGCGCGTACCCGGTAAAGCTGCGCTCCGTCTGCTGGAATACAAACCTGCTCAGATCTCTCACAAGCATTCACAACATTGTGTGCACATTCTTGCTGCTACGCAACCCCTACTTTCCAGCCAGTGCCAGCAACCAAAACTCCCTTGAAATGTTCGATATACCCGCATCGCACGAACAGTACCATCGCGACATGAGCAGGTTGCAGCGCGAGCGGCTTGCTCTCGTCCGCCAAGGAGCCGCTGAAGGAACGCATGACCCCTCTGCCCGCTCTGCCGCTCCACACGCACCCCCTCTCGGTCTCCACATAGACACCAGCTCCCATCCCTCGCCCCTCCCCTCTCTCTCGCACTCGGTCTCCCCGCCCAGCGATTGGCCTGGCCCATCGACAGGGAGCGACAGCCACTACACCCCCGTCCCTTCGCGCCACTCCATTGATGGCGCCATGGACGCCTTCCAATCCAATACGGACGTCGGCGCTCTCTCTCTCGACCTGTTCGGGTCCATGTCCAAGCCGGACGCGCTGCCGTCGGCTGACTGGTCTTTCGATGGATCATACCAGTATCAACCACACCTCCAACCCTTCTCCAGTGACTATCCACAGTCCTATGATTTCTCCCTCCCTTCCTGGCTTCCCGGCGCCAATCTCCATCAGCAAAACGTCCTATCATCCTCTTTGCCTGCCCCACTCCCCTACCAATCAATCCCCACTTTGCCCGCAGCCGAGGCGCCGTACGCGTACGGCAACCAGGCTTCTTCCGCTGCCGGTCCCGGCCCGTTCACAACAGACAGCACGCGGAGCTCGATCGACGAGCACATGTCAGCGGTGTTCAGCATCAACCCACAGCAGCTGGTGTTGGAGCCGACGGGCGCGACGTCCTCTCATTTCTCCACCGAATCAGTCTTTGGTGGTCAAGTGAGTATCTCTGCCCTTCCCCGTCATACTCGGCAGTGTAGCGTACGCTTGTAACACGAGTCAAGCTTACAATGTGCAGGACCTTGCGACAGCTTCGGCGGCCGGCGGCGGGGCCGCCCCATCAACCGCTCGATCCCCTTCTCGATCCCAATCACCTCCCTCCCGCCGCCCATCCTCCTCCTCCTCGTCCCTCGGCTCCCCGCTCGACACCTTCAAGCCGCGACGTTACTCGGACAACCTCGGCGTGGCTCGTCGTTATGCCGACGATGCACCAGAGGCGGGCGGGACCGGTCGCGTCAGTTTGGACGACACGGTTGTGGTGGGCGCTGTCAAGAAGGGGCGGCGGCGCAAGATATTCAAGCAGGGAGAGATCGCGCCGGAATGGGAGAGCGTGACGGATCCGAAGGAGAGGCGGAAGCTGCAGAATCGGATCGCCCAAAGGAATTTTAGGAAGCGGACGAAGAGCGTGGCGACTGAGGCGGAGTAGAGTGAGTTGATTGATCTGTCTCGAGTGGCGATGACGCCGACGCATATGAGGATGTCTGCTGATGCGGTACAGAGTGATGAGTTGCGTCTATCGCACAAAGTCCCGAGAGGGGCTGGAGCGTCTCCGCGCCGGAATGCCAAGCCCGCTCGACGGGCACCGGCGGGCGAGGCAAGAGACGAGGGGGATATAGAGGTGCCGGGTGCCAGCGTCTGCCTGTGTGGCGTTGTCTTTCGGGTATCTGATATCATGAGCTATAATCCGAGCTTACAAAGACCTTGTCGATAGCATGTACCAGTCACAACTCACTTATCGTTCGATCAGATGGTCAAGGGAGAGTTCCGACAGCGAGACAATGCGGCATGCGGCGACAGTTGAGAAGGATCGGCGGTGTGACCGGGAACATACAGCTCGGTCTGAGAGCGGCAGAGGGTGGGCTGTCGCTCATGGCAGGGGTATCGATAGATCTCTATGGGAGTCAGTCGTGGGCAACGAGCGGGAAGGATAACGGGTCGGGTGAGGGCAGGACCGGAACGATGATTTGTAAGGCAGGATCGGGGAAGATGTGAGAAGGGTAGTGACTAGGAGGAGAGGGAAAGGAGGAGACGCGGGGTGAGACTGAGTCCTGGAAGCCGCTGTGGTCAGACTCCAGTGCTATCCTCAAGTCCGACGAAGCGAGGCAGTCAAGAAGGTGGCAAGTGTGGGATCAAAGGGCACGTTCGGACAACTCTCCTCCAATACGCGCGACGCCCAGCATCTGAGACAGCTCAGTGCACCTTATCTCCTGTGAACTGACACTGAGGAGGTGTCTGGGAGTGAGGAAGGTGTCAGACATGCTGCCAGCCAGCTCCCATATTCGGTGACCACTGAGCCTGCCACGGACAGTTTTTCCAGACTCACATTTCTTCCGTGCTCATTGCCCCTGAACCGCCCGTCGGTGCTCTCTCTTCACTCCTGCCGTGCTGTAGAGGAATCAGACGTCAGGCATCGGAACCCCATGCGAGGCGGATGGCGTTCTTGTTGCCCGTCACCCCGAGCCAGCGGGCGGGCTTTCGGCCCGTGGAGAGATGGTCGGCTCCGACTTTGAGGGAGAAAAAGAGGTATAAGAGCAAGCAAGCTTTCGCCGCTTTACCTTTGCGTGGCCATCTATCAGCTGGCAGCGCCGCAAGTGTCAGCACAATAGTTATAGGTAGTCAGCGCTAGTCAGCGTACATAAACAGAAGTCGGAGATCAACCACCGATGCCGAAACGCGCAAAAGTTCCAGGCCGGGTCTAGACCGGGTCCAGGCCTGTTTGGAAGCCCGCAAGTCTTCGGGAAGCCTGCGCGCTCTGCATTCCTCGGCGTGTTCGTGCCTCCTTCGATTTGGGCCTGGTAACCTCACATCGCACTTGACCAGAACGAGAGAAGTCGGGTGATTCAGACGACAGCATTGAGGCGTCGGTATGATTGGAGTCACTACTTGAGGTCTTGCTTGGTATCTATTATCCTGCTGTCGCTGCCCGAGCTTGTCTGCCTGTTATCGCCACCGCAGAGTATACATCAGTAGCCTGACGTGGACCCTTTCTTGCGACAGGTCAGTGCTGAAGCGAGCGTCTCGGCAGAGCGGCCGCTCTTCGCTTCCGCGTTGAGGACCATCTGGGCAGGAGCAGGCAGATCTGGCGAGGCGAGAGCCAGCAACAGAGCTCGGTGGGCAGTCTCGAAGAATTCGAGGCGACAAATTATATTGATCAGACAGCAAAGCCGCATATCGTCCCGCGGGGCTCGGGAAAAGTAGAACCTAAGATCTACTCTATCTACTGGCAGTCAGCGTCTTATCTCATCTTGCTTTGGCTAGCACGTATGTACAACGCATCTGGAACGCATCTGGATAGCCCTCGCTACCCCCGGCAAGTCAGGTGCTGATGGCATCAGAGTTGCCCTCGCATCTTCACCACCACGTAAGCTCGCTCGTCCTCCACACTTCACTAACTCGCCTGTCACCCCTCGAAACCCGGATTTTCCCCATCCCAAACCCAAACGCTTACCCCTCGTCTATAGCCTTCTCTACTTTGACCTCACCCCGCCAATCCCTCCAGTCTCTGTGCACAGACGATGTTTCCCCCTTCCAACCCCCGCTCCCCCTTACCGGTCCCACACGCAGCCGTTAGCCACACTGAGCACCCCACCAACCTTGGCCCTCCAACATCACCTATACCCGACAATGTGGGCCGCCCGCTACGTCGAGACAAACCTCACTCCTCCACCGAGGGCCGAGGGCCGTACTGCCAGTCATATCGCCCGAACTGGGCAGCCGAAGCGCCGGCATCGCCTGCCCGACCTGGACCGGTAGCAAGAGGTTGGTCAAGCGTGGAGGGAATGAGGGACGGGAATGTTGATGGCTATTCTGAGGAGCGTCTACCTGAAGCCTTGAGGCGACCCGGAAGCGGTAAGCGGAGAGAGAGCGGACGTGATCAAGATGAACGTGGCGCAGAAGGTGGCGGCGGTTTCAGCGGACAAGGTGGAGGTTGGTCTGCTAGACGTGAAGATGCTGGGCGCGGGGGAGAGGGAGAAGAGGATCGTGCTTCATGTGAGTTGCTTCGAGTCGACGTTGGCGATCCTCGTTGATTGGAGCTGATTGCAGATTGGTCCAGTCGGCATCACGGGGACCCGTATCTCGGTTCAGATCAGCATCATCACCATCACCATCAGCGGAGTGAAGATGGGCGTCAACGTCAGCATCAGCAGCAGCGTCAGCGGCCCAGTCAATCATTGACGGATCCCGCTCAGTACCAGTCTCAACAGCAATCCCAGTATCAGTCCCAAAGCCAATTCCAGTACCAGTCCCAGCAACAACGGCCATATCCCGCTCGACCTCCTCCCCTCCCACTGCCGGACAAGCCCACCTCCAACCCCGACGTCACATCCCCAAACACCTCGGACCAATCGGCAAGTATGCACATCGACCACATCATGGGGTCCACTACCGTCCGTTCCCACCTCATCTCGGACGAGAAGGTCCCGACGCGCGGCCATCCAGCTGCCGAGCAGTCGTCCGCACCCGAGTCGCCATCCATATCATCACCACTACCCGCCGCCATTCTTAACTGGCGTAAAAGTCTCCCCTCCTCTGGAACTACCACCGCCGTCCAATCATCCGTCACCCCCGTTACTTCCGACGGGATCCGGAGTGGGTATGCCGCACCGCGTCGCGCTGCCCCTCGCCGCCACTCTGGGTACGCGGACCCCGCGTCCCACCCGTACTCGCCGGCCGGATCGCCCTTGACGAGCCATGCTCGACTCTACACCAGTAGCGCCGATAGCCGTACCGCTGCCGGCGCCCGCGGCTACGATGGGGATGTACGGATGGGCGATGCGGAGGACGGGGACGAGGAGGAAGAAGAGTGGCCTGGAGCAAGTGACGATGGCGGCCTCTCGATGAAAGAGAAGCGGAAGGCGCAGAACCGGATCGCGCAGACGAAATACCGCGCGAGGGCCAAGCTGCAGACGCAAGAAGTGAGTACGAGGGTTGTCTCGCATCAGTGGGGTCAGAGATCTTCTTCCAGTCCACACGCTGGTCTTCGTACTTTCTCCCTTTGACTTCCCCAATCACTTCTCTCCTCCATCCCCTTGATCATACCCCTTACCCTTGCTCCTCGAGCGTGGATATTGGTATGCTCTCTGTCCGCTTTATTCTCCTTGGCCACCATGCTCCCTTTCCTGTCACAAGAAACTTCTCTCCTACTCATTCCCTCTTCTTCCGCCCACCTTCCGCCCCTCACCGCTCTCCTCGTCCTAGACCCTCTCGTTCACAGTACCTGATCCTCCTCCCCATCAACTTTCTCTGCGCCCATCACATCCCTTAGTTTTCTACCACCTGCCTGTCCTCAAGTCCCCATCCTCTATTCCGCCCTCTATGCACCCACCACGCGCCTCAGCCTGATTTCCACACGCTACATCTTCCCCTCATCTTCCTTTTGGTCTCCAGCTGATCCCCAGGCCGCCGACTATCTCGAGACCCTCGAAACGCTCAATCGGACGCAGACCGAGCAGCTCGCCGAGCAGGCCAGTATGATCCAGCGGCTGAAGGAGGAGAACGAAGCGCTGAGGCGGGAAAGGGACCGTGGGTTTAGTGCCTGATCCTGGTGCCGGTGCCGGTGCCGGTGCCGGTGGGAGATGCGCGGGTGGTCGAAAAGGCAGGGAAAGTAAAAGTATATGGCCAGGGAGCGGGCGACGTAAAGACCTAGAAAGCGATGGGCATTGAAGTGATGATCTGTTTATAATCGCAATGTATACCTTGGGAATCGGAGGACGCCTGGCCGAGGACCCCAGGTTGTTGATGGACGCAGTGTTGGCGAGGTGTGGTCGGATCGAGCGCCGTAGCGATAGACTCCGGTCGAGCGTCTGCCTCGTAGTGATATGCCTGATTGATGAAGTTGATACAGTGAAGATTGAGGCAAGTCTCATGCTGACGAGACGAGTGAGGCGGGGCATAGTGGCGAGCGAAGCCAGCAGATCGCTGCTATTATATTATATTATAATCGGCTCGATCCACTCGACTCGTCCTTGTTCTTGCCGCTCGGCAGGCGGAGCAGGGCGAATTTCGGATATCAGCTCGGCCGACTCGGCAAGTCGGCCGCTCGGCACCTCGGCAGCTGGGTGGGAGGCAGGCCGAGGTCGTTCCCTGGTGTCACACTGTCGGGCTCTAGATCATTCTCGCTCCTTCTCACTTCTCCCCACTGCCTCACTCTCTGTCCGATGTCTATGGACTACATTGCCTCCCATACAGAGCTCAAATCTGCGATCAAATGTCAATACATATACTACCACCAAGTCGCCCAAGATACAGCCAGCTCATTACAGATATTCACCTCCTCGGGATCCACCCTCGCCACTCCTGTACTGTTCTACAGCTTTACACCTTGTACACCACATCCTCCGCAAACATCACCTCATTCCCCTCGCCCATCCGCTCAATCGCCGTCCTCGCCTCGGAGCTCCCAAACAAAGCAGACGTCTCCATCCCCTCATTGATCATCGGCAAGAGCTCGGAGAACTCAATCATGCCCTGCGCGTCGAGATGCGTCGTGAAGACTGCGTCGAGGCGGGCCCGGAACAGGTCCAGTCTGGAGTATGAGCGCGGAACTCATCGAAGACAGTAGGGTAGAAGTGACGGAGGCATAGAGGATAGGGAAGAGAAAGGGAGTGGTGAAAAGGATTGGCAAAGTGGAAAGAGACATACCTCTCGTCGGTAATATCCACACCCAGCGACGCCTCCGCCCCATCCATATCCTCATCCTCATCATCCCCAGCCGCTTGCCTCGGCGCGGCAGCGCTGGGCCCCCCACTCGCTTGTTCCCCCACTCTTGCACCTCCAGCCGCACCCGCACTCGCCTGCCTACCGGCTCTCAAAGCCTCCGCCTCCTCCTCTTCCTCCCGTTCCAGCCGCCTCGCTTTCGCCTTGGCACGCTCCCTCTCTCCCTTCGTAACAGCCTCCACCTGCTCTTCTTCAGGCACCTCCTCTTCCTCCTCCTCATCGCTCCCGTCCCCGTCCCCATCGACCGGAACCCCATTGTTGAGCTTCCGCCGCTTGCGGCGTTCGGCGCGCAGGACCTCCTTGAAGAGCGCGAATCGGAGGATCTCTTCCGCGGCCATCGCGTCCCGTTCGTCGACTTTGGGCGAGAGGCGGGATTTGGCATGCGCTGTAGAGAGTCGAATGAGGGTTTCGAGGGTACGTGCAGTGAGGGGACTTGTCTAGCATCATCAGCTCCAAATCCCTAACTATCCGGTATTCAGCCCAAGCAAGACACTCACCCGCTTCTGGTTTCCCGCGAGATCATCATTCCGCAACCCACTATAAACCCCCACAATATAATCCGCCGCCCCCTTGGTCAACACAGGGTGACACCGATTCTTGGCATACTGGATATACTTCTTGATGAATGCCATACTGAGCACCTCTTTCCGCTTGTTGCTCGAAGACCGGCCAGACGCAGTCGTCATGCCGCCATGGAGGAGGGGGTTGAACTTTTCGAATACGGGGGTTTCGTTCTCCCCGCCGGCGGGGACGGGGTCTTGGCCGATCGCGAGCGCTTCGCTGACGTTTTCGTTGACGGGTGTGCCTGAAAGTCAGTCGTGCTCTGTGTAGTAGACGAGAAGATGAAGGGGCAGCGAGAGGTGGAGCAGGGGTACCCAAGGAAATGGAGACTCACCCTCCTCTACTCCAGGCTGGATGTATCGGTGCATCCTCAACACATGCTCCGAGATCATCCGGTCCCTCTGCTCGTCCGTATCGTCCGTGACCACAAACAAGAGATCGAAACGCGAGAGGAGCGAGTCGGGGAGGGCAATGTTCCGGTGTGGGTCTTTGTGGACGTCGTACTGGCGGTCAGCTCTCCTCTCTTCTCTCCTCCTCTTCCCTCTGCTGCCTCTTGTCCCATCTTCGCCCCTCCTTCTCCCCTTCCGTCCCTATAGACATCCCCTGAGGAACCACAAACTCACCTGTCCGTATATCGGATTCGCAGCAGCAATCACAGAACACCTCGCATTCAACGAAGTATGTATACCCGCCTTGGCAATCGTCACCGTCTGCTGCTCCATGACTTCGTGGATAGCGACTCGGTCGACATCCGACATCTTGTCGAATTCGTCAATGCACACCACGCCTCGGTCGGCTAGTACCATCGCGCCAGCTTCCAATCTCCTTTCTCCTGACTTGTCAACTCTACCCTCCATGCTCCACCCTCGCACAGAAGCACCACAATTCAGAAGAGAGAACCCACCGGTATCCTTATCCGTCGTCACCGCCGCCGTCAGACCCACGCCCGAGCTCCCCCGCCCAGTCGTGGCGATAGCCAGTGGCGCCGTATTGAGCACGAACCGCAGCATTTGACTCTTGGCGGTACTCGGGTCTCCGACCATCAAGACGTTGATATCTCCTCGGATATGTGCCCCATTCTTGAGGTTCTTCTCCTCTCCGCCCAGTAGCAAGAGAAGGATGGCCTGCTTGATGTAGTCCGAGCCGTAGATGGACGGCGCGAGCGATTGGGAGAGGAGGTCAAAGATGTTTCGGCGCTTCGAGAGCTTGTTGATATTCCGGATGTCGGAATCGGTTAGGGGTGTCTGTTGGATCCCGCCGTTGGCTTTGGACGAGAGGAGGATGACGTTGTTGGCGATGATGGTTGTTCTGGGCGTCAGCTATGATCGAGCTCTTAGGTCAGAACCGTGGACTTACTGGAACCCCCTAGACCCTTGCCCACCCCCACTAGACTTGTACACCCCAACCAACTGTATCCGATCTCCCGGCTTACACCAATCTACCAGATCATCCGCCAATACCACCTCTACCCCGCGCGGCAACTGACCAGCAGGCGCACGCTCCGGCATCTCTTGTATAGATACCGTCTGGTGATCGCGGAACGTCGACAATCCGTACTCCATGATGAGCGGCCGGCCCTCGCCGTCATCCTGCGGGATAACCGTCGTGGACCCCGTCATCATCGCCGAGGGCGCAACGACGGTCGAGTCTTGGTAGGACCGCGAGTGGAACTTTTGCGAGCCGGCGCAGTAGTGGATTGATTTGAGCATTTTGGGGCGGACGAGGGAGCACCGCGTGACGATGCCTTCGAGGGAGACCATCTTGCCGATTTGGTGGGAGCGGAGCGTGCGCGGAGAGCAGTGTTGTTGGCCGAATGAACCGCGGAGGCCGATGTAGACTGGAGGTCAGCTGCGGTCACTGCTATGCTGATGCGAGGGGCGGGGCATGTGGGGCAGTGGACTCACATTGGCTGTCGGCGATATTGTGCTTGATGGGATCATATATCGTGTCCACCATAGACTTGAGTGCCGAGTCAAAGGCGGGGAGGTATGACATTGGCTCCAGCAGCAGTCTGTACGGTCAGCCTCTGTCTCCTCCACTTCTCTGTCTTTTGATCAAGGGGACTCACCCATCCGCATAAGCTCGCTCATAGTCCCGAAGATCATCGATATTGACAATCAGCCGGACCTGCTCCACGTCCAACATCCGCCTGATAGACTCTTTGTAATTATAGTTGGCATTGGTCTGTCTATATCAGCTGTGTTCTCGCAAGGGCGGAGCTGGAAAGGAAGCAGCTCACATCGTCCTCCAGGAACTCTACAAACCGCCTCGCGCGATCCCGCATGAGATCGTCTGCGAGGACGGGCCCTGCCTCTTGTGTTGACATATCCGCCATCTTCGGATGATTCCGCTGTGCGTGTAAGGATGAAAGCGGGCGTAGATGAAGCGGCAGAGGTAGACTGTGGCTTTCGGAGAGAGGAAAGAGTTGGAAAGGTTGAGGTGGGGGACGCGTTTGGACGCGTTTGAACGAGACGCGTCGAAGAGGGAGATGACGTGGCTTTTCCGACCTAGCGGAGATCCCGCGAGAACTCCATTCTGGCTGGGGTCTCCGCCGGATGGGTGACCGAGATTTCCAGAGCCTTCGAGAAGGTCAGCTTGTGGATGCCTTGCTACCATACCTTGCTCATACAGCACAACAGAGCAGTACCACCTGACACAGTAGACCACACTTCTAGACCACATCCAAATCAAGGATAAGCAAACATGTCAGACGTAAGCTCAGCCCAACCCGGATTCTAAGGGCCAAGCTGACGTGTCCAGGCCGCAGCTATCAAGGCCGAAGCCAACAAGGCCTTCGCGGCTAAAGACTACACTACCGCCGTCAAGCTCTACTCGGACGGTATCGCCATTGACGGGTCGAACCATGTCTTGTACTCGAACCGGTCAGCCGCCAAGTCGGGAATGAAGGATTATCAGGGTGCCTTGGAGGATGCCGAGGAGGTCAGTTCCCGAGCTCTTTCAATTGCTGTCCAGAGACCGAAGCTGACGATGTCAGTGCATAAAGATCCTCCCCTCCTTCGCAAAAGGTTTCGCCCGGAAAGGAGCCGCCTTGCACGGACTCCGCAGGTACCCCGACGCCGTGATGGCGTACGAGTCCGGTCTCCAGGCCGACGCTGCCGACCCCGCATGCAAGAAGGGTCTCGCCGAGGTTCAGCGGGCGATGGACGACTCGCCCGAGAATCCCTTTGGCGGTGCCGGGAAAGGGGGCGGCATGGACATGGGCCTGGGCAAGATCTTCAACGATCCCGGATTGATTGGCAAGTTGCAGGCCAACCCAAAGACGAGGGACGCGATGCGGGATCCGGCATTCATGGCCAAGATCCAGGGGCTGCAGAGGGGTGGAGGGGCGATGGGGGCGGATATGTTGAGTGATCCGAGAATGTTGACGGTGTTGGGTGTGGCGATGGGTGTGGATATCGTGAGTCGTCCCTTTCAGCTGTCTATGGCCCCTTCATCTTTAGAGCCAGCAGCTGATCCCTCAGGACGCGATGGAACGACCAGAAGGATCCGACGAGATGCCACCAGGCGTCAAGGCCCAGCCTTCCTCCTCTACCTCCCAGCCCTCCTCCGCGCCCTCCTCCTCCACCCCCAAGCCCAAAGCGGAGCCGGCGGAGGAAGCGCCTCCCGCAGAGGACGTCGTGATGGAAGATGATGAGGACGCCAAGCTCAAGAAGGAGGCAGACGAGCTCAAGGCAAAGGGGACGGTCGCGTACAAGGCGAGGAAGTTTGAAGAGGCCGAGGAGTTGTACTCGAAGGCGTGGGAGACGTGGGGGAAGGATATCACCTATTTGACTAATCTGAGCGGTGAGTTCAGAAGAGCGGATCCGCGTGATCTGGAAACGAGCTGACATGCCAGCGGTCTACTTTGAAAAGGGAGACTATGCAAAGTGTATCGAGACGTGTGAGAAGGCCGCGGAGGAGGGGAGGGAATTGCGAGTCGACTACAAGACCTACGCCAAGTAGGTCTTAATTCTCATCCCCAGCTTGATCCTCCTCTGCGCTTTATGCTTCTTTGTTGCAGGGTAAGCTGACTCTCAGGGTCTACGGACGTATGGGCTCCGCCTACCAACGTCAAAACGACCTCCCCAACGCGATCAAATTCTACTCGAAATCACTCACCGAACACCGTACTCCCGACATCCTGACCAAGTTGCGGGAAGCGGAAAAGACCAAGGCCGAGGCCGACAAGCAGGCGTATATCGATCCCGAGAAGGCCGAGGCGGCGCGCGGGGAGGGGAATGAGGCGTTCAAGGCGGGGGACTTTGCGGGGGCTGTCAAGCACTATTCGGAGGCTATCAAGCGGCAGCCGTGAGTTTGGGTCTTTGGTCCAGAACCAGTTCGGTACAAGGAGGGGAAGGTGCAGAAGGGATGACATGGGTTTGGAGAAGGAGCAAGGGATTGTAAAGTCAGAGATGAGGATGGCCGGCCGAGCTGACGACCAGAACCGATCCCCGAGCGTACAATAACCGCGCCACGTGCTACACCAAGCTCCTCGCTTTCCCGGAGGCGCTCAAGGACGCCGAGGCGGCCATCAAGATTGACCCGAGCTTTGTCAAGGCATATATCCGGAAATCACTCGTACAGACGGGTATGAAGGAGCATGCCAAGGCGTTGGAGACGTTGCAGCTGGCGACAGAAAAGGACGTGGAGAAGAAGGTGAGCGCTTTTACTATCTTCCATCGAAAATAGGCTAGGCGTTGGCGCTGGGCGCTGTGTCATCTCGATCTCGCCTTCGATCTGGTTCCTGGGATTTGCAAGGACACCCGCTGACGCTACAGCACACCCGCGAGCTCGAAATCAACATGTCCAAAGTCATGCAAGAGATGAACTCTGAACGCGCGGGCGAGACGGACGAGCAGACGTATCAGCGCGCACTGCGCGATCCGGAGATTCAGGAGATTATGGGCGATCCGCTCATGCGTCAAATCCTGGCGGATGCGCAGCAGGACCCAAGGGCTTTGCAGGATCACATGAAGAACCCTATGGTGAGTTGTGCTTCAGTTGGAGAATCAGATGGTATCTGGGCGAGAGGGGCAGGTGAAGGGATGCAAGGGTCCAGATGAGGGATGGGGATGGCATGGCGGGACAGATTGGGGCACATTCTCGACGGGGACGGGGTAGGTGATGGTGCTGACTTGGCAGATCGCCCAGAAGGTCCAGAAGTTGATCAACGCCGGTATCATCCGGACAAGATAAGCCCTTGGTCGAGTTCAGGTATGATAGCAGATCGCTGGACTTTGATCAGAAGGTATATCCCGCATGCACCTAATGAAATGTGGCAGCTCTTCAGTACACTACCACTCGCGTTCGTCCGCCTTGTACCGCTCACTGCTTTCTGTCCACAGTCCATCCAATGTCTCTACACCCTCCCCTCCTGATTGTCTCTCCAGTCTTCATCCAGAATGGATACCCCGCCGCAACGACTGCCCCAACCCCCTTGATACCCTCCCCTCAAACCCCATCCTTCCAAGCCGCCTTCTCGGCCCTCTGATTCCCCTCCATCTGCTTCCCCTGATCGCCCGTCACCATCCCCACCACACTCTCCACTTTCCCCTTGACCCCCTCCACGCTCGGCACCGGTACCGCGAGGGTACTGTCCGAGGTCCCCTGCTTGTACTTCCATTGTGCGGACTCGGCCTCGGTGTTGCCGCGTGATTGCATGGATTGATCCCCTGTGATATAGCCGAAGCCGCTGCTGGGTCAGTAAGAGACCCTTCGAACACGGTCTGCATCAAGCTACAGTCCCAAAGATCACTGATTGACCCTGGAGAGAGACGATGAAATAGAGATAGAAGGGAGACGCTTACGATTTCACCTTGGCCGTTGCGGAATCTACGACAGCCTCTGCCGCCTGACGCCGCTTCGCGTCCAGTACCTCGCTATGCCCCGAATGCTGCAGCTCTTCGCCCGCTTCGGCCCATCCGGATGCGTTCGCAGCTTCGGGCAGGACCGCTCCTATGGCCTATAGGATGATCAGAACGGCCTCTACACCTATGCGTGGAAGGAAAGGTGCCAGGTCAAGAATTTTATCTTACGCTATACACTGCTCCTTGAGCTTGCTACTAAGTCAGCGGCGTATCCTTTGGAACCTTCCACAAACTTCGTTGGCTGCCATTCTGGCAGATGCAGTATCGAGTGGATCAGACTCACCTTGAGCTGTCCCGTGATCTGGGACGGCTGATACTCCATCGCCGCCTCCTCCCTCGTCTTTTCATGTTCCGACATTTTTGGTTGCGATTTGCGAGGACTCCTTAGGCCTTGAATCTCTACGGCAGGTCACAGTATTTGGAGGCCTGACGGATGGGCGGTGACGTGAATTATAGACGACGCCAGGCGATGTGGTCATAACATGTGCTTGCTCGAGACGGCCATGACGTCACCTGATATGATAACGCGTAACGATCCTCATTCCTCAACTGATAATATACAGCGACCTCATCTTTCACCGGTTTCACCTCTCAGCCGCTCTGTGTACCACCGCTTGACATCCTCACGAAAGCGCTCAGCCTCGATAAGACAGGATATATGCATTGTGGGATATGTACAAGGGGATTGACCGATTGCGAGCATGCAGAATGAAGATGACCAGAGCTAAGATTGTTAGATTTACCTCGTATACCGCTGAACTCTGACTCACAGATTCAGAGGAGCCGTCAATTGCCTCTCATCCCTGCTGTGTTGAACCGCTTGCGGCCCTGAGCTCTGTCTCGATGGCCTCCACATCAGCCTCGTTCACCTTCATTCGCATCTTGTACTCCCACTCTTCGATCTTCATGACCATGCCAGACTGCTCGACGCCGTAGTCAGGGATTGCGATCGTGGCAGGGTCCGCAACTAGGATGCCCGCGAGACTCCCGTCCGTGCTGCTGACTGAACGGTATGAGCTCGGTGGCTACACCATACTTCAGGGCCAGTAGATGGCCCGCACTCACAACAGGCGTCTGTCCTCCCGAAGTTTCCGTCATTGTCGCTCACTCTCACGCTGCGGATGATCTGGGACATGTTGTCAAGTGAGGTGTAATGAGAAGTGAGTAGAAGTGGCGAGGTGGTGATTGTTGAGCAATGGGTGGATCACCGCCACCCGCTTTATATATCGCGCTTCACGGACCGTACTGTCTCAATTCCTTTCAAGTCCTGCACAGCCTGCGAGGCCTTCTTTTCCCACCTCAACACGCATAGTCACTATGATCAAACGCGTGCCAAGCGGCCCTTCCTTTCGTCCTCAACCTGTGACGTCGATAGAGAGTGGGGAAACATCGCAGATTGTGCCTGCCTTAGATTGCGCCTGCGCCGCCGGGCATCACTCGATCGGCCAGATCCTTTCGCAATGTGCACCGCATCGCACGTTCTCGCTTTTCTTATCGCTTCAGATCGGCTAAAGCGCTGGCATGCTCAGGGGCTTCTGTCAGGTGCTGTAACGCGTGTCAGCTGTTGACCTTATGGTCGCCCCACTTCGCGAGAATGGCTCGCATCGAGTTGAATTTGGGGGTCTAGAGCGGCCTACCGCGAGCGCGTCCCGGAGAGGCGAAGAATGAGAAATACCCGCTACTCAGCTAGCATATGAGGCTCTCTTTCTCGATGAATTCAGCGCCATGCTTCAACACTCCATCGGAGGACAGCCCGTGAATTTGACCGGGCTTGCAACTTGCAAGGTCTCTTGAGCTGGGCAACAAGATTTCGGAGATCCACGTTCCTTAAGCTCATCACAAGCCCGCAGCGGGTATGCGCCCAAGGATGACAATCGATAACCCTTTTGGATCCAGAGCCTGAATGTGAGGACTGGCAGACCGCAAATGCGCGGGTGAGCTGCAACGAATGCTAATGGTGGTGGTGAGCGCGGTCAGCAGAGAAGCATGTCAGAAAATTGAGCTCACGGTCAGCTTACTCTAGCGAGTCAAGACTGCGTACCTTCGGGATCTGGTTTGGTCTCATATATCTGCGTGTATAGTCAAAGATACTGGATCATCCCCTGATCCGGCATGAGTCCAGCCCAGCCGTAATAACAGGCTAGGGGAAAACCAAAGTCTCCCCAATATCCGCCAGGACAAACCGCCCCGCCCCCTCCTCTCCCTTTCCTCTCCCCTCCTCATCGTCCCCCACCCACATCTTCCCCACGCCCCGCTCCCTCCTCCCACGCCCAAATTCCACCCGCGTCCCCCTGCTCTCATCCCGATCACAGAATGTTCCCCAGTGCATCCCCACGCTCCGCTCAGCCTGCATGATCCGGTGGATCTCGAGCGAGTCGCCAGGGCTGCAATGCTGCGAAGAGGTCAGGGTGTATTGATCGAGAGAGAGGGAGAGGATGGTTCGGAGGAATGGGAGGGAGGAGCCTGTGTTGAGGGGTAGGAGGTAGAGTGTGACTGGGGCGTAGTGCTTTGCGATTTCTGGTTATCAGCCTGGTCCCAAGCACAATAATGAGGCCGGATACTCACCTTCAAACGCGGGACAGATAGCGTCGTCGTCTCCTTCGGGAGCAGTGGCGTATCGATATCCCGTATCACTGACAATCAGCCCGCTGCTCAGACATTACGAGCAGGTAACGTCGATAGCTCACCCGCCAAAGAAACACTTGAACCCCTTCCAGCCCTGCATACCCCTCTCCTCTCTCCCACTCCACTCCTCCTTCCCAATCACCCCAAACATCCAGCTCCCCCAGAGCGTCTTCATATGGTCCAGTAATCCCCTTCCAGACCGGTGCTGGGCTGGCGTAAAGGCGAACTTCAGTGCGAGGTCCGTTCCGTCCCACGCGGTCGGCGCGTCCGTTGCAGAAGCGGCGGCAGAAGAGGCGGAAGCCGAAGGGAAGGTAAGGATGGTCTCGTGCCACCAGTCGAGCTCCGTGACGCGGTCCTCGGGGATACCTGAACTGACGAACCACGGCTTGAGAGCTGGGCGATCAGCTGTACTCAAAGCATACTAGGATAGAGAGCTACCTAGCGGGACGAGGAAGTGGATCGTCTTGTGGCGGCACGGCATGATGACGCGGCTGGTATCTGACGAGGACGCTGCGCATATGCAGCCAGACATGTCGGTGGACATCTACGTATCGCCCAAATTCCTGCTCGGCAGACATCCGTCGCTCGCCACCGCCGAGTTCAGGCTAGCTATCTCGGACGCGATGGACTATCATAGCATCTCCAAAACACTGGCGGAAGGGGCAGAATGGCGGATCAAGCCGTTGGCGAAGGCGCCGCCGTGCGAGGCTTGTGAATGGTGTACGGATGACATCTGAGTAAGTCTTCTCGCGAGCGGGGAAAAGACGCGGCTGATTTCAGTAGTGTACGGTATTCTGAGTGCAGATAGGGGGAACAGAGCAGTGATCTTGAAAGGGATGAGATGGCTACTCCGCTGTATACTGTATCTTTGCTGCTTATCTAGATGTAGTCCTAGCAGGAGAACCTTCCGCACGGCCTTAAATTTGCCCCCCGGGCTTGCCAGACATTCTGGTCAGAGCAGCTGTCAGAGCTCAGGCCTGTCAGGTTCAGAACTCCGCGTCGAAATTTTAGGGATCCACATTCCTCGTCGCGTTCGCCAAACCTCGTCCACTTGCTTTTGTAGCTTACCCGTCTTATCTGGGCGGTCAGCGTGAATGGTGGTCGCCGCTCTGGGATACATGCAAGGTCTTACGGACGCCTCTCGGTCGGGCGATACACGACGCGCGCAAGGGGTTCTCCGAGCTGGTCCTAGCTACCAACCCCGATATTCAAGTCTGCCAGCGGGTGGAGTTCGGGCCACTCGCATTCACCTCGCAGCTCTGGCTCCAGGAGCCTGCTGGTACGGCAGAAAGGAGGAAGCGCGAGACGGTCCGTGAACCTCTTTACCGGATGCACATCGACGATGTCCAATGCGGCGACGTGTCCTTCATCGCGGGGCGACGCGCCATGTGGTACGGGAGCTACACTGGTCTGACCGAGGGTCCCCGAACCACACTGGCGATCGACAAGCTCATCGCTATCATCGAGCTACACGTCTACCACCGAGAAAGGGCCAAAAACGGGAACATCGCACACGCTCAGGAGGCCACCCACACGGCGTTCGACGTGGACATTGGCCTTCCTCCCGTCTTCTTTCGGCCCTCCGCCATGGACTACATGCGGAAGAGGCTGGACCATGGGGTCAGCACGGCGGCAGAGATGGCAGGATCGACAGTGTCGGCGATCAAGGATGATAGTTGGCGATTTGTGCCGTTGGCGGAGGCCCCACCGTGCTTGGTGTGTGGGTGGTGCGTCGAGGACATCTAGGTGAGCCTTCTGTCCATGCCAAGACTCACAGGGGATCGGCTGACTCTCGCAGCGGTACCTGTGCGCTCAGAGTGGGGTAAAGAGGAAGGAGGGCGGGGGGCGTATCATGTTTTGGGCGAGATCAGAAGTGGGGTCAGTCGTAAATGAGGGGCCGCGGCGGAGCTGGTGGTGAGAAGGGAAAGGCAGACGTCGTCAACGTACGATCATGAGGCGGCTGTATGAGGAAGACAAGGTGGACTGCAGCCCAACGGGAAGATGAGGGAGGAGTGGATTGGGAGAATTGGGGGAAATTGGGGGATTAGTCGTGTAGATCTTGGTTATTCGCGATTCATCATCTATTGGCTTGTGATAGATGTTGGTAGTGTCCTCAGTAGCGTCAGAAGGACATGAGATCTCGCTCGAAGCTCGAAGCCCATATCTAGCTGTCCAGTTGACCCCAGCACATGCCTATGCGCAGACTTTACGACAGCTTGGCCGCTACCAGCTCCAAAATATCCCTCGTCGGCTTTCCCTGATTCGCCAGATCCTTCAACGTAGCCTGCCACACCGGACCATGGTGCGGATCCGCCTTTTCACACTGGGCAATGACCGACTCTTGTCGTTCCTAAATATCAGTCAGCTCCATCTTTGCCATTCTCCATCTCCCACTCCTCAGCCAAAAGAAAGAACTTACCGCCTCCCCATGCTGCCTCTCAAACTTCAACCACCATCCCCACGCGTCCCCCCAGTCCGCATCCGCCTTGACCGCATTCGCCATCCATTGCCTCGTCTTTTCAATTTTACGTTCTGCCCAAAACAGCCTAGCGACGCCGAGGATGACGGCCGGGTGCTCGCCGGCCTTTTTGAGGGCGTCGACGGATCGGCCTTTGCGCTGTTGGGGGGCTTCCATGAAGATGGCGAGGGACCAGAGGAGGGGTGAGGTGGGACATTCCTGCATTGCTATGACAGTCAGCTCGGAGTCTCTTCGCAACGATGACGAGACAATGGAAGCTTGCCTCGTGCGAGCAGACTCTTGGCCTGCTGAGCTCCCCCCGTCCTTTCTTCCATCCCTATACTCTCCGCCCAAAGCTCGTCATTCTTGGCATTGTACAGCCTCGCCTTTTCGAGCAGAGCCCGTGCCTTGATGGTCACCCCCGCCGTCTCCTCCAGCCTCGCCGCGAGGATCCAGAGCGGGATGGACCGGGGACACGCCTTGCACCCCTGCGCATATGCCGTGCGGGCCTGCGGGATGAGGTTCTGCGCCGTAAAGATCTGACCGCGGATCATGTGGAGTTTGTCGAACGTGGGGAACTTGGTTATTGCCTGGTCGAGGATAGAGAGGGAAGCGTCGAGGTTGCCCAGTTGGCGTTCCAGGACGGCTGACTTCATCCAGATCTTATACGTCAGCTTTGACCTGATACAGTGTGGCACGTGAGAGCTTACTCGATCGGTATTCGCCTGCGCTCGCGCCTTCTCCAAGATCTGCTTGGCAGCCTCCATCTCACCCGTCTCGGACGCCAACTTGGCCGCGGCGAGGAAGATCGACTCGCTATCCTCATTCTGCTTGAACGCTTCGGAGAGGATTGCTTGAGCACCGGGAATATCCCCGCCGACCCATTTCTCCTTGGCCGCCATGAGCCAGAGTACCTCGGCATGGGGGCAGTGCTCGACACCGCGCGCGAGAACCTCTTGGACCGCTTGTCTATGATATCAGCTTGTACTCTTGGTACCACCAAAGAAGAAAGCTCACGGCGTCCCGTGCTGTTTCTCAAATTCGGCCGCCTTGCGCCATACCCCCTGATTCGTCGGGAACGTCTCGAGCACCACGACAAAGCACGCCCTGGCCACCTCGTTGAATCCGCCCTTCTCCGCCCGCTCCGCATCCTCCAACCACGTCGTCCGCCTATCCTCCTCCTCGACGTCCTGGTGGATCGTCGCCTTGACGATCGCCTGGGCAGTCAGGGGTGACCCATCCGCCTCACACGTTTCCGCCTCTTGCAACCACTGCTCCCGCGACAGAATCACCTGGTTCCGCTTCAGACTGCCGACAGCGCCCACCATGAGCTTATCGACCTGCTTTGCGAGCTTGGCGGTACGCTCAGCCCGCTCCGCATCATCCTCCGCCTTGACCTCCATTTCAGCCTGCGAGGGCTGCTCGGCGAGCCGGCCGGCGGCGATCCAGATCTCGTGTGATGTGGGGATTTTGTTGCGGGCAGAGTTGAGCACCTTTTTGGCGTTTTCGGGTGTCTCGAGTCGGGCGAGGGTGAGCCATAGCTCGACGGAAGTGGGAATGACCTCGACAGCGCGGGTGAGGAGGATACGAGCGTCTTCTGGATCATCCTCGAGATTGACGGTTTCTTTCCATAGTCGGACCGAGTTGGGGATGAACTCCAGAGCTGTATAGTCAGCTTTGTCATATGAAGAAACGAGTCAGACAGCTCACCTTTTCGCAAGACCCTCCGCTTGGCATTCGCATCCGTCTCCAGCGACGCCGCCTTCATCCAGATCTTGACCGACTGCGGGACCTGCTGGACCGCCTTCCCGAGGATGATCTTGGCGTTCTCGGGCGTGTTGAGCTCGGCGGCATGGAACCAGATGTCTTCGTTTTTGGGACATTTTTCGCACCCCTCCGCGATGATCTTTCGGGCAGCGACCATCTTCTTGGCGTGCACTGCGTCATCAGCTGATGCTCACTATCTCGCGAAACTTTAACTCACCTTCAAGAGAAGCGGCAGCGATCCATCCTGGCGCGTGCTTCGGATTACTCTGGATAAGATTCTGAAGGAGTTGTCGGGCCTGCTTGATATCGCCGATCTGAGCGTCGGTCTGCAGGACCTGGCTATTGAGCGCCGTCATGTAGCCTCGGGGGTCGACGGATGTCGACGATCCGTTCGCCTGATCCTTGGACGCCTGGTCGAGACGGAGCGAAAGGACCTTGTCTCGGGCGTTACCGATAGAGACAAAGTCGGTCATGGTTCCGTCGCCTGCGGGTGTTTCGAATCCGCCATTCTGGTAATCAGCAAACACCCCTGACACCTGGAAGAGATGGCTCACCTCTTGCTGCGCCGCATCCAGCTCACTGAGCAGAACATTCCTCCCCGCCGCATCCGCCAACACCGTATCCGAAACCGCATAACTCCTTCCATTCTGATTCTCCTCCAGCCGCATATTCCGCTTCCTCCTCTTGCCCGTCATATTCCCCGCCTCTGGAATAGAGTTCCAGTCCGAATCCTTCAACTCCTCTAGCCCTCTCTTCAGATCCGCAAACTGCGTCTGAATCTTGGGATTGTTGGCCCGCTCCTTCTCGGCCTGCTCAGCCTCCATGGCTTCCCGCTTCGCCCTCCGGCGACCGTCGATCCGGGAGTCGACCGAGTCCCAGATCCGGTCCGCCTCCTCATCGTCCGCCTCGTAGACTGTCCCAGCGAAGAGGTTCCGCTCGTTCTCTGGATCTTGGAAGGCGTCTGGGTCAGGGATCTCTTCCCCTCGTTTGGCCTGCGCGGCCGCGACGGCTTCGGCGCTAGGTCCGGCTCGGGCGGGACCGATATCGGATCGTGTCGTGAAACCTGAAGCTCTATGTCATCAGCCATCGCCTTCGTATGACCGCTACAAGCGAATTAGCTCACCCTCGACCGAGACCAGCCACATATGAAGCCGGAGCCTGCACTGGAATATCAGCATTACGCTCGCTGTCTCCCCTTTCTCTTGCAGACTTACTCTTCAAGAAGTTGTACCTCGTCTCCAGAGGCACAAACTTGACGGTACCGAGTTGCGACATGACGCAGGTATAGCACGAGGGGTATGAGCCGCCAGGCGAAAGTTGGGGGTTCCGAGGGGAACTTGCTCGCTGTGAGAGGTAGCCTTTCGAGGAGAGCCCGGCTTTTCAGACGACTTCGGCTGTTTCTAAGGAGACCTCCTGAGCGACTTGGAACTCAGACCGGTTGTAAGAGTACTATGCAGGATAGCAAGGCAGAAGAAGTACAGAGCGAAGAGAGCTTTGCTGGTGTTGGCTGCGTTTGGCTCAAGCGGGTGGCAAATGGGACGGAGATTGATGGGATGCCCGTTCACCAGCCAAAAGGGTGTCCAGCTAGCGACTGCTTGGTAATGCAGCTAACTGCCTCTATACATAGTCTTCCATACACCTCAAAGCACCGCAGATCGCAGCAGTAGACGGCTATATACGCAAGCTATAATGGCTACTGAACTCGAAACACCCATATCCCGCCGCTTGGCGTCTGTCAAGAACGTCGTGATCGTTCTTTCTGGGAAAGGTGAGCTGGACGGGCTCCAGAGAAGAGCACCCAGCTCATCCATGCAGGCGGAGTAGGCAAATCCTCCTCATCGGTCCAGCTAGCGCTCTCCCTTCTCGCCACATCACCAACAGCTCGGGTCGGTCTACTCGATCTGGACCTTACTGGGCCATCTTTACCGCGCATGGTCGGACTGGACGACCCGTCCGCTACCGTGCATCAGTCCTCGGCTGGCTGGGTCCCGGTATATGTGGATCAGGGACGGAGACTAGGCGTGATGAGCATAGGCTTCTTATTGAAGGATAGAGGGGACTCGGTGGTCTGGCGGGGGCCGAAGAAGGACGGGATGATCCGGCAGTTCCTGAGCGAGGTGCGTTGGGGCGAGCTAGACTACTTGGTCATTGACACGCCTCCAGGTCAGTTTCGCAGTCCCCAATTGCGTCGCGGTTGTAAACTGACTCCTCAGGAACATCCGACGAACATATCTCCCTCCTTACCCACCTCCACCCCCTGTTCACTCCCACTCCTTCCCGCCCCACAACGCCCTCCGCCGTCCTCATCACCACCCCCCAAACGACCGCTCTGAACGACACCATGAAATCCCTCTCCTTCACCCGGAAACTCGGACTACCCGTCATCGGTCTCGTCGAGAACATGGCGGGGTACGCCTGCCCCTGCTGTGGCGAAATCAGCGATACATTTGGTCGGGGTGGCGGGGAGGATATGGCGAAGCGGAATGGGCTGGGCTTTTTGGGGAGAGTGCCCATCGATACGGTGTTGGTGGGGCTTCTGGATGCGGCGAGTAAGGGGGAAATACCGGCTGCGGGGATATCGGGCGAGGTGGGCAAGGAGGAAGTACCGGCCGAGAAGGAGGCGGAAGCGCCAACGGAATTCCCTCTGCTCGATCGGTATCTCGCTACCACATCCTCGAGGGTTTGGAAAGATATCGCTATCGGCGTAGTCAAGGGGATCGACGCGAGGAGGGACGACATCAAGGTCAAGCTCGACCAATTATCGATAACCCCATCTTCGGCTTAGAAGCACTCGATCCGACCTAGACATCTAGAACACAAAGTTGTATGTATATCAGCCGGAACCCCTGGCTGTGCGCTCTCGCCCATTTACCTACTCACAGATCCAGCTCATCCCCCTCTTACCTCGGCGGCGTTTCACCTCGTTTCACATCCTCGGGTCGAAAGGTGTTTCCCTGGCCACAAAGGGTCCTTTACCATCTGAAAGCCTACCCCTTCCTTTGCGGTGGAAGAGATGGGTCAGACTCGGCCACCAAGGAGGACATCAAAGGAGCAAAGTACCCGGAGCGCAGCTTCGGGGTACAACCTCGTCGTCTCACTGCGCCTTTCTCATGCCACCCACTCATCTGCTCATCTGACCTTACCCGCTACCCGCGCCGTTCCCCTCACCGACTATTTCGACCGATGCTTAGATAGCACAGTACATGTCCACCAAAAGCTCCTCGCCTGCTATACCCGATCAATCCGACCAGTCCGACGCCGGCCCCGAGGAAGACAAGATGGCAGGGCCACAAGCAGGGGGAGGACCGAATATCCAGGTCCCGGTTCTTCACGAGGTGAGCTACCTTCTTCATTCAGGGGGACTGAGCGGCCGAGTTGACAACGTAGTGCCAGACCGTGATGTTCACGTGGTCCTCCACGTCCGGACCGTTCAAAGCTTGGATATGGACCGGTACAGGTGGCGTCGGCACGATACTGTACGTCCCCTTTCCCCAGACTTAACGCTTCAGGGGGACAAGGGGTGACATCCCAGGTCCGACTTTGGAAACCTCGATAAACCCCAAGTAGGCTGGGAAGTCGACCTAGCTCGAGGGCAAGAAGTCCAGCTGGCAGTCCGAGATGCCGCTGGTCAGACTTTCGTATCTGGTACGTCCTCCCATGACTTTGCCCTGTCCAAAGACGATGCTGACTAGCGTAGCTCCAAGTACAATCCGTACGTACCCCCTTTCCCCCACGTCTCCTTCAAAGGACGCACAATCCGCCCGCACGGTCTTTTCAGACTTTTAGCTCTGGAGGATATCAGCTGACCACTCAGTCCCTGGCGATTGTCCGCCCGGTTTCCCACTCCGGACCATCGGAGGCGACAATAAGCCCGCGGCTCCTTCTGAGAAAGTCAGCTCGGCCGCTCCTCAGCAGTCCGTCTCGCAAGCCCCTCCACCGCAAAACCAGCCTAGCGTGAAAGCCGAGAGTGTCCCGACTCCTTCTTTTAGCCCTCTCCCGTCCAAATCACCGGCTTCGGATGCGTAAGTCTTCCTTGAACTCTTGATGATGATGATTGATGATCGCAAGGCCATAGCTGATTCGCTTAGGCAAGTATTTTCGCAATTCAGCGCTCCGGCCAACACCCCTTCTGCGGTGCAAGCGAGTACTGCCGAAGCTGGCGGGTCGGCACGGCCGGTAGACCCAGCTACGCCGGCGTCCTTCGGAGCTGGTGCCGCGCTGTCGAGCTCGGTCACTCCCGTCAATGGCCAATCTACCGCCAGCTCGCTCCCTCCCCAGCCTGCGGTCTCCGCACCTTCCATCTCTGCTTCTTCCCTACGTTCGACACACTCCTCCGCTCTCCCCTCGGCATCCTCGCCTGCCATCGCCGGCGCGGGGAGTATATCCCCGGACTCATCTTCCAAAAGTGAGCACCCTTCCCGTTTCCCCTTCCCGTTTCCCGATCCACCATTCTTCCCGTTGAGTATTGCTGACAACTCAGCGAGCCCCACCATGATCGCCGGCATCGTAGGCGGAGTCGCCTGCGCCGTCCTCTTCTTCGCACTCCTCACCTACGTCTTCTGCCGCCATCGCCGCCAGACCGCCGAGTTCGCCGGCCGGAGCTCAGACGACGACTATGTCCATTTCGTTGACTCGGCGTCGATATCGAGTCGATCTTTTGCGCCCATCTACGCGAGGTTTCGGAGCGAGACAAACCTCGCTGGACGGGGTGCAGGCGGGCCAGACGGAGGGGGATACGGAGGTGCTGAGGAGAAGGAAGTCGAGGCGGGTCTAGGGGATCGCGATCGCGATGATACGGAGTCGCTGCAGCATCTGGCGTACACGGCGCCGACGTCTGAAGCGACGAGGGACGATCTGGAGGATATGACCGCCCAACCCATCCTCGACCCGGCTATCCTAGGTCGATCCGCCCCAGTCTTACCTAAACTCAAGCGAGAGACCCGCTCGACATGGCGAAGCAGCTTTGGCGCGCTCGTCAGTTGGCTTGGACCCTCTTCGCCCGTACCCGGCGCATCGCCCAGCGCATTCCGGCTCGGTAAACGCGCCAACCCCTATACCGGATATATCGGGGAGGGATCCGAGACGCTCACCTCTGGCGCCGGGCTCAGTCGGACCAATACATTCCGGACGGACCGGTCTGGCGGTGGCGGTGGAGATTCTGGTCCAGAGGGGCTTAGTACCAATGCTAAACCACCGTCATACCGCGCGTCCTCGTCGACGTTCGCGAACCCCTTCCATATTCCAACACCTACCACACCTACCGCCGCCGCGCTCGCCGTTCTCTCATCCGGACCAGGCGGGTCGCGATCGCTTTTCCCGCGCCGTCAGTCCGGCGGGACAGTCAAGACCTCCCGCTCTCGGAGATCTATCGCTACGTTCGGAGCTGGAGCCGGGAGCGTAGCCGGAGCGGGCGCTGGCGCTGGAGTCAATCTCCACCTTGCCCCCCAGGCGCTCATCTCACCTACCATGCCCCTCGCTGGCGCTGGCGGAGGCGGAGCAGGTCTCCTCTCCCCCGCTCTCCCCTCCCCAGCTACTGCGCTCAGTCCGGGCTCAGAGGACAGTTTCGGGGATATAATGGACCACTCGGAGCTTGCCTATGCTCAACCTACCCCCGTCTTTTACCCCGGATCCACCTCTGGACCGTCCGCTTACGTTTCTCATCAACCTCAGGTCTCAGCGGGGCATGGCATATATCGAGAGGCGGAGGGTATAGTCTCAAGGGTGTCGATCGCGAAGTATGAGCGGCCGCGGACGCTCATGTTTACGCGGAACTCTTATGCTGGGTCGGCGTTTGGGTCGACGGGGAGTGTCGATAGGGTACACGGGGAGCGGGGAGGAATAGGGTCGCAGGGGGAGGGAGAAGTGGAGGGAGAGAAGAAAGAGCAGAGTCGGCTGAGTGGGAAGTGGTCCGAGTGGAGAAGAAGTATCAGGCGGAGTCTGGGTGGAGGAACGGAGGATGATAATGGAGTAGGGCACGCGATCTAGCCAAAATATGTACAGGGGCGCGCGTGAAATGATGCTCTTCTTGAGATGCGGGTTATTATTGTGCATCTCAAATAGCTTTTGCGTTGCTAAAAATGCTCCACTGTTCTCTGAATCAGTTTACTGCATCTAGGCCATGTCAGTTGTGTTTGACAAATGATGAGGCCAACGCAGCGGAAATATCTTCGACTCACAAGATGAGCGGCAGCCTGCTCAGGGTATCGACCGCCCGCGGGCTCGAAGGATGCGAGTATATCGTTGATCTTCTTGAGCTCCTCATCGCTGAGCTTGAGCTGAGCCGACTCAGTGTTGTGGCGGACGCGATCGGGCTTGGACGAGCCCGGAATGGGGATGGTCTGCGGGTCAGCTGCAGGCCCTACCGAAACACTGAACTGTACTCACCACATCGTTAAGACCGACAACCCATCCCAAAGCCAGCTGGCTCGTCTCCACTCCCTTCTTCTGCGCGGCCTCATCCAGCAGATCCACAAGCTTGAGGTTCTGGTAAAAGTTGTCGCCCTGGAAACGGGGGCTCATGCGCTGGTACGACCCTTCGGGGATGTCCTCCGGCTTGCTCCATTTGCGAGTGATGAAGCCGCGTCCGAGAGGGGAGTAGGCGAAGACGGGGACACCGAGTGACTGCGCAGAGGAGAGGGCGGCTTTGATGTCAGAGTCGTAGGACCAGAGGGAGACTTCGATCTCGAGCACGGCGACGCGGCAGACCTGGACGTCAACTTAAGCGATCCAGGAGAAGGGCGGGAGGGTACAACGTTAACGTGGTGGGGATGCTCACCTTGTACGCCCGCTCGAGTGTTGGACCCTTGACCTCACTCAGCCCGACCTCGGTGAATAGCCCCTCCTCCTTCAACTCCTTGAGCACCTTCATTGTCTCCTCGATGGGCGCCTCCGCGTCGATCCGAGCCGGAAGGTAGATGTCGATCGTCTTGTCGCCGAGGATGTCCTGACATGCCTTGATCTCTGCTCGAGCCTTCTCCTTGAGCTCTCCGACGGCGATGGGCGAGAGATTGGGCTGCATGCACCCCTTGAGCGCGATGACGACCTTTTGCTTGTAGTCGGGGTACTGAACGTCAGCTTAAGAACGGTGAGACAGGATATTCAGAGGGGCTACGTACCTTCTTGAAGAAAGCGGCGATGAGGTGCAAGTTGGCCATGGGGTTGTTGGGCGGGCCGTAGAACGCAGCAGTGGACCACGCGGTCGCGCCAGCATCAGCAGCGGCCTTCATGGCGGCGAAGGAGTCCTCCTGCGCGGGTGGCTCGGGCGTCCATGTGACTGATCCATCAGCTCAATCTCTGGACTGCCATCTATCCGATAGAGTAGGTGGACAGATAGTGAAGGAGAAGTATGGCTTAGTGTTCGCATTGATGGAAGATGGGACTCACGCTGCATCAGCCCATAGCCGATCCGACCGACCGATTGGCCGGCAAATTTGATTTGAGGGGCAGACATGATGTTTGTGAGTGATGTTTTGATGTGAGAGAACTGTGAGATTATGGAATGGGAGGTAGATGTGGGGGAGAAGGTGGTGGCTGCTTATATAGCTGCGTGGTCGACAGGCATTTGGTGGAGTGAGTGGAGGCTCGGGCATACCTCAACCTACCTCGGCCACGGGTGAATGGGGCTCCCAACACCCGAGGTGGAGGTCAAGCGCCACGTGGAGCACCTTAGCGGGTTGATATGACTTGCGCCTCAAGCCAGCAGCGATGTTAACTTTTCCAGGGACCAGGATGGGCAAGACACTTTTCCGACTGCAGAGTGAGGATGCATTGGACTCGAAATGACCTCCTTATATATTCCAGCCTGACAACTTCCTACAGAGTGTAGGAAGTTCCTACGAGTTCCTACGAGTTCCTACGAGTTCCTACGAGTTCCTACGAGTTCCTACGAGTTCCTACAGATCTTCCTACTAGTCCCTGAGATCTTCCTACAAGTCCCTACGAGTTCCTACACGCCATAGGAACTCCTACTGTGCTAGGACTTCCTATAGTCCATACACAGCCTACTTGGTCCATGGCTTCGACGCCCTCAGCGCGCCACATTGACCTGCCGCCACTGCCCTAAGCAGTACGGCATGGGATTTCGCCTACTCAGGCGTCGCACTCTCTGGATCTCCTACTCGACATAGGAGTTCCTACTCGCTACCGAGCTCGCCTCCGAACAGGGGTGCCTCCTCGCTACCTATTCGCTTCCCGCTTCAGAGAGCCTAGAATCTCAGATTCCTAACAAGCGAGCGCTAGCGAGCCTGGGCTCTGCGAAAAGCAGGCTCGTTGACCTTGTGACCTGTAACTTACAGATCCACGGGCAGCATCGACAGCTCCACCTTCGTCGCACAGCACACATGACTGCTTGCGAGGCGCTGCGCTCCGACATCGCCTCCATTTGGCGCGTCCTTCGCAGAACCCTTCGCACCTAGCCTCTCCGGTCTCTAGAAGCCCCCCTCCAACTTGCAACTGCCAGTCAGGACCCTGCGACTGCTGCTTATAGCTCCTGACCGAGTACTGACTATCGCATAGCTCTCTCCTCACGGTTCTGAATACTGCGACCTGGGAATAATCTCAGCCACACTCGGAGACGATGGATCTGTTAGTTGCGTGGTCTGCGTCCGGGAAAGGCTGATACATAGCGATGTTAGCATCACCACACGCTAGAAGGTTCCTGGCTCACTATTCTCTGACGTATCTGGACACAATGCGCAGCTATCGCAGAAGCCAGTCATGCTATGAGGCGAGCTCCATCTGCGGACGTCACCGAGCTCGACGGCGCTGCTGACGCTGTGTGGCAATGGAGTACCTCGACACAGAGAGCAAGGCACCGGTCGCTCCGGCAAACCAGACCCGCGGTGATCATGCAGATACCACTGTACCGTGAAGCTATACTTGTACCATATGTGGGGTTATTCGTGAGCTACTCAGCAGTGACCTTACCGCTGACTGGGCAGTATTTATACCTCACGCCGGGGCCGCAACTCATGTAATCGCTGTCTATAGGGTAAAGTATTGAATTAGATAACACAAAGCTCATCAGCCGAATCCTCGTCATCACATCTCCTCATCATCTTCGGTCCCCACATCTGCAGGCGCCGTGGACTGATCAGCGGCTTTGTACCGGATTCGCTCAACGACCAACTCAAGCTTAGGGTTGTAGCGTACGATGGCTGACTGACCGTAAGACAGCCCGTCTTGAAGGTCTCTACAGAAGGCTCTCGCCCGCTGCGTCCGCTGCGCCACTGTTGTCGTCCTGCTGTTTCTCGAAGCCACATCTGCCGTGTCGAGCTCAGTTTCGCAATCCGCAGGAAAGGAGATCCTGACCCCTACCCAGCTGACCCCAGGTATCTCGACGGGCTTCGGCAAACCAGGATCCATGTCCGTGCGGTATTTCACTTCGCCGGGACCAGCGACAGCGACATGCGAGCTGACTTCGGTGTAGAAGGTGCACTTTGTGGCAGCGCAACCGCGTGATTTCTGCTGTCTTTCCGTGCTCCTGTCAGACTTAGCCGCTGCCAGTTCCTCCAGTTCGGTAGCGGTACGCTCGCTCTTCTTGACTCTCTTCGGATAGCGACGTTTGGAGATCTTTGTCGGTGTGGCGGGGAACCACATGCTGATCGACAGCCTCTTGACAGTTTGCGCTTCGGCTTGCGCGCAATGGCCCTCATCTGGAGTCAGGGCGCTGGTGCCGGGAGGGTCTGAGGGTATCGTCAGTGGATTGGGGACGGACCAGTGGTGTCCAGAAGATGGACCTGCGAGATCTGCCGGGATCTGTGCTAAACTCGCCGGCGCCATGAAAAGGCTTTCAGCGTTTGGTGCCGCCGGAATAGCAGTGATGAAATTGTGTTCGTCGAGCAGTGGTATCTGTGTGTGACCGGACCAGTGCAGTCCGTGGTCAGCTGCGAGGGTGTGTCCGCTGAGCTGGGGAACCGTAGAATCGATAGGGGTTGAGCCGTCATGCAGGCTCAGGCTGGCTCCAACGAAGGGAAATCGTTGGCGCAGTAGAGCGGCGACACGTGCGGGATCATCGAGTGACAGGAGTCTCATGTAGTCGATCTCCTGCTGAAGCTGGTCCAGACTCAGCGTCAAATAGTCAAGGGAAACGGGGCTGTCCAGTGCGGAAGGCTGTGCTTCTGCTGAAGCGCCTGAGCCGTATGAGGTTTGGCGCGGTGCGAGATGTTCCAGTACGCCATTGTCCCTGTCCTCCTCCAAGTTCGAAGGTGACCAGATCTCGTACGGAAACTCGTCGGTACCGACGTTGAGATCGGGTGGCGTACCGTCCTCGGTCAGCCCAATTCCTTGCTCAGTGAGCAGGGTGGCAAATTCCGCGATGTCCTCCATACGATCGTCTGCATCGAATTTGGCGGTCGACATGCCGGACCAGGTATGTTATAGCGGCAGAATCGATCGTCAGGTGTTCTCAGTTCTGGGTAGGTTCTCAAGAGGAAGAGCGGTCGCATAATCAGCAAGATAAAGGTGTCGATAGCGAGGGGCACAGAATCTTAGACCTGGGCCTCGGTGGGGGAGTGTCACGACATCGAGTGAGTTCCCCTTGTCCTCCCGGGCAGCTTCTCGAGCTTTGCGGGATCGTTTCTCCTTTGAGATATCCAGCGGGCACCCCGGCATCCAGATCCCTCCCCCACTCTTGCGCTCCATATTGCTATGTCGTGCTGATCGCCCAGTAAGTTGTTACGCGTAAGATCATACCCCTCCTTTCAGCTATCACCCCCGTCCCCACCTGCCAGCTCGATCAGATCCTGTGCTCAGCAATGATGCTCAGATCTGCTATCAAATCTCCAGTCGCACCTTTCTGCATACAAGCGTTGTCAAGCATGACAAAGGTATAAGATGATGAAAACCACCCAATATATCAAGGTCGCTGACTTTTGAACTAGAGCTCTTCAGTCGTATGTAAAAGCGATTCATAAGAGCAGACTTACCTAGAGCTCTTCAGTCGTATGTAAAAGCGACAAAGACTCTAGGAACTACAAACAGGCTGGCCTATATACTGCGCTACAATGTTTAGATCTACGGTGAGACAGTGAACTACCTAGAATGAGTCATTACCCTATCAAGACTAGTCTACAACACAAGCGAGACATGGAACCACCTGCCACCGCCCTTTCAACATAAGAGCGATCTATGGGGGCACGAGCGGCGAGAGCCCTTCCACTATCTAGGGAGTGGCAGGGGGAAACCCTAGGCAAGTTCCCCTCCCAGCGCATTGAGGCCCAGTTTTGCCACTCTGCCTCAGCTATGGGTTCTGGGCACATCAGACCCATTTCCCGACAGACCATCGGTCTCCGAGAGCGATGCCCACTTATTACATGTGCTCATCCATAGGTTGCGGTACAACTGCATATAGTCTTCTGGGACTGCTCAGACCCAAGCCTGTTCCGGATCGTCAGTTGTTTTATCCACGCTGCGTACGCGCAATCGCTGTAGCGCTTGTTTGGATTATGCATGGGAGGGATTTCTGAGCATACGCCTCCAGCCCGTGGGGTATGTACAAGATCACCAAGCGCTTCGAGCTCACTCTGCCAGGTCGAGGCCCTTAATCAACCTGCGGTCCCGCCGAGCTTACTCCACCTCCTGCCGAGACTGTCAAGTAGGCTCCATCCGCGTCTCCTTCTTCCTAATTTGCTTGCCGGCTGTGACCCCACTGTATCTGGCCATATAGGCTCCTGTGCGGGGCGTTCTCCTTCCCTCCAACGCAGCGTAATTTCGCTTACTTGCGACAGCGGCTCAGTCGCCTCAAGAATACACGCCTTGATGGAGGCCAACAACGCCTCGACCACAGTGGCATCCCGACTGTCCCCCTGATCAGTAAGAGAATAGGCGGTCACTCCATTGCCGAGATCACTCCGCAGCTCGCATGTGTTGTCGCAAGTGGCATCGGTATTGTGATGGAAATTCAGGCAGTGATTGACCATGTCTTTTGTGACGGGGAGTATGTAGCTGTTTTCCGAGCGATCTGCGAGAGTGACTCTGGCGTGAAAGAAGGGTGAGCGCAGGAGGGCTTCCTCGATCCGAGGATCAGTGTGGGTCAGGCTGCTGCTCATGCTGCGAGAAGATGTGTCGGGAGGTGGAATTAAGTATGGACGATAGGAGGGAGCTAGATAGCAGAAGCACGGTGATCCACGCCTCGAGACTGCGCCGCCGACACCCCGATGTCGGAGCTCAGGCGCTCAAGCGTCCCAAGGATCCTTGGTATCTAGCCCCTTTTCATTGGTTTCTGACGCGTTTGGCCAGATTGCCGCGTTATACCGGCCCTCTTGTCAAAGGAACGCTCCCTTTCTTCCACCCGAGGAGCCAAGCTTGCTCTTGCTGTTGCTGCTGGATGTGGCAGTGTGGCAGACAGGGTGCCACCCGCTGCAGTGCTGCCGCCACATTGGCCGCAAGCTGAAATTAAAGATCGCCCAGCGATCCCCGCCACTTGACGTCATTGCCGGCATCTCTCGAAGGTTTCGGCAAAGTGACTAACCGATGACGATGGAATGCTTCGGTAGAGTCTGCAGCTAAAGTTGGCAGAGATGACGTCGAAAGCACGCAAGGGACAGAGCCAGAGTCAGCAGGGGTATATAGGGCACAGCCACCTTATTCCTCCTTCTTCCCTTCACACATATCTCTCTTAGCTACCAAACTTCCCACACTTTACTACGACCAAGAACACTCTACAAAATGAGCAACCAACTCGAGCAGACCAAGCAGGACCACATTCCCCAGGTCAGGGATGTCAAGACTCACTTCCTGTATGTTGCTCTTCTCGCCCTGTCCTCCCACATCTCTCTGCCTCTCGCTTCTCTCGCCGTTCGAACAGATACAGTGGACTGAGCTGATCATCCAGCTCCGGCGAACCCGGAACCACCGGTCGTGAGCCGTTTGAGGAGTCCTCCGCTACCGGTCCCGGCAACAACTACCTCTCTACCGGGTCGCACCAACCCCATAACGAGGCCCTGCACGCCGCTCACGGTGACCAAAACAACCGGGGCGTCGACCACCTCACTGCCGGTTCGGGCCTCGCTGCTGGTGGTGCAGGCGCTACTGGCCTCGCCCACAACACCCACTCTTCCGGTCTCAAGGGTGACCACTCTCACGGTCACGGTATCTCGGCCGAGAGCGACGCCCGGACCGCCGGTACCGGCGGTGTTGCCGGCGACCCCGTCGGATCCCACTTCTCCAACGACAAGACTACGCGCCACATCAACGAGAACCAGGCGGACGAGCGGAACGACCGTTCCCTCGCCGACAAGGCCAAGTCGGCCATCGGTCTCGGCGGCTCGTCCAACTACGCCGCGGCGGACAAGGACAACCGGGATGTCGTCGACAAGATTAACGACGTCCTCCCCGGTACGCCCGCCAAGAAGCACGACTCTTCCTCCACTACCACTGGAACTGGCCACCACACCGGTTCCAGCGCCACCACCGGCTCCACCCTCGGCGGCCACTCGGCGTCGGACGCGTACGGACCCGGCCACACCCACGCGGACCGTGATGACGTCGGAACCGGAATCGCCTACGGCGCAGGCAAGCACGGTACCGACCACTACGGCCCCGGCCACACTGGCGCGGACAACCGCGAGATCGGGATCGCCGGCAGCGGGATCTCTGGCCACAAGGGCGAGGGCAGGGACCACGGCGACCGGGTTGGCGCGCTCGGCCAGGAGTCGCGCAAGTACGAGGGTGATCTCCACTCGGGACCTCGGACGGGCGGCGCGGCGGGTACCGACAGGTTTGACTCGGACCGTACCGGCGTTGCGGGCGGTGTCGGTTCGGGCTTGAACAGGCAGCACGACGAGTAAGTCTTCTTTTGATATGCAAAAAAGGGAGAGAGCTGACATGACAGCGGTGTCCACCACGACACCTCGCAGCGCGCTCCTGGACAGTCTTCGGGCGGTATCGGCGGTGTCGTAAGTTGATTTTCCACTATCGTTTCCCACCTCCCCTAAATACGTTCAACGCTCCTCGACCGAATCACCAGCTGACTCCCCAGCTCGGCACTTCCGACAAGGACTTCACTGGCCGTGAGCGCCAAGGCAAGGGTGCCTACGCCGACACGGACGGCAAGTTCGAGCTCAACAAGACTGGTCCTGCAGGCAACACCGCGTTGACCGGCCGCGAGGGCAACCTCGACAACAACCCCGTCCGCGAGGCCGGCGCGCACAATGCCCACGCTACCGACTCGTCTTCCCACTCGCACACCACTGGCTCGAACGCTACTGCCCACGACGCCGCGGTGGCGGGTGAGCACACTGGCGAGAAGAAGGGGTTCCTTGCTAAGGTGAGTATCTGCTGCCAAATATGCTTGATATGGGTCAGAGCTGATGTTATAAGGTCAAGGATGCGATTTTGTAAGCGGCGCCTTGGAGACTGGTGGTCAGAAGAGAAGTAAAGCAAATATGTAGCCTCAGAATATGCAAGTCTATTGAATGAACATGAAGGTCGGGCTGCGATATAGTGCCTGGGTTGAGCTGCAAGTCACTCCGTTGTAATCGGTCTCTCACAGCTTGACATCTACCGATCGGTCCGATCAGGCGAGATCAGCGCACAGCGCAGATCGTGAGCAGTCAAGTCCGAGACCAGCCTGTAATTCTTCCTGCACGATTGCATACATATATCCTCTATGCCCACTTGTCGTCCCCACCCGCCCCCAGCCCCCTCCGCTCCCTCTCCAACAACGCATCAAACTCCCTCTGCTCCGCTGTCCTACTGTCCTGCTTCCCCTCCATCCCGCCGGCGCCTGATAACCCTCCCGCACCCAGACGCTCATTCTCCCTCATCTGACCCCGCCCGCCTATGCCCATACCCCTCGCCCCTTCCCCCTCTGCACTGGGGAACGCACCCCCTGTCCCGCTAGCGCCCTTCCGCAATTGCCCCCAACTATCTCCCTTACTCCCCACCCTCGCCTCTCCTCCTGTTCCCATAGAGCTGGACACGGCCGGGGGACGATCACTCGCAAACCCACTATCTCGCCTTATCGCGCCTATATCTCCCTTATACCCGGTCTCCCGCGCCGACTCGGCGGCCATCTCGGAGCGATCTAGTGAGGACTCGGTAGCCCACGTAGAGGGGGAGGTTTCGACGCCGATGGACTCGCGTGAGGTGGGGCGGGAGCCGAGAGATCCTGAGCCTGAGCTCGAGGATGGGGGGAAGGGGCTGGAGGAAGAGGAGGAGGGGGAAGAACGGGGGAGACCGGACCGCTCGATTGATGCTCGGCGGGCTTCGGTGGCTATTTCGGCGAAGACTTTGAGTTTCCTGAGCGTTAGCTATGAGTCCTGGACCTACTGCAGATCGCGTTGGTGAGTAGGTGACGATAACTTGGTGCTGGTATAGGAGGGGAAGGAGGAAGACGGATAGACGTACTGCTGTGGGTTCTCCATACTCCGATTCACCTCCGCCGCTGCCGCTGCCCCACCGACCGTGAAGCCCAGGAACGACCCCAGCATCCCCATCCCTCCCGCCGCTAAGAGCCGGATACCGAGACCCGCCGGAGGCTGTTTACGGCGGAAGAAGAGATATGTGGGAATAGCCATACCTACCGATCCGAGCTGGGGGTCAGCTCCCCTCCTCTCCCTCCATACGGTAGGGCGTACGAAAGACGCAGTGGTCATCCATGTATATCCTTTCTTGAGCAGGTCAAGATCGCTCTGTTGGATATCACCTGCCCGTCAGCTTGACCAAAGGTGAGGCGGCAGAGGGGCAGAGAAGCCAGAGGAAAGACTGACCATTCTCGATCCGCCGCTGCAGAATCTCCTTGGTCGCCTCGATCTCGAATGGGGAAGTTGGCATTCCGCCGCCTGCACGAGGAAGACCCGCCATATTTTCGACGCGGGTGTGTTTGGCGTCTTCCGCTAGCTTGTCGAATTGGGTTGGCATGGGTACCGGTCTGGGTCTAGGTAGAGGTGGAGATGGGGTGGAGATGGCTGTCGTGGTCAGCAGTTGCTCCTGGCGGCTCTCGGTTATCAGATTTGGACGCACGGAATAGGATCTGGCTCTGAGATCTGGCAATGACGTCACTGCACACCCACCACTGCTAGCCCACATTCCTCGCAGCCTCTCGTCTTCTTCTCAACAGTATACGCTAATGCATGCGCCTCAGGCTCGGGGTCAACCCAGTATACGACCGACTTTAACCTCGCCGAAAGGCCCTCCCATCGCCGATGGCGAGATTTTAGTGGCGTCTCAATGAGCGTGAGGGGCTTGAACGTAAGTTGTACCCCCTCTCCGATTTTCGCGGTGATTCAGGTGGACCGGCGAGCAGAGCATGGTACGGTATAATAGCAGGGGAAACTCAAATGGTAGTCAGATGAGATACTAATGATCACGTATAGCGCCGCCAGCGCGGGGTCAGCACATCGGTAGCCAGGACCATTACCGGCCACTGGTGTGAAACACTCTGAAACGCGGAGGCGGACCTTACCTGGTTGCGCTCGGACTCAATGCTTGGAACTTACACGCTCTCGATACATGACAGACTGATAGCGATACCCGCACAAGCTGTCTACAGCATCATTCACAGATCTACTTCGCAGCTATGCATGCACCTACTCCTTCCGCGAGGAGTCGGGGAGTGGCGCGCCACCGGTCCTATGGCAAGCTCGGGTCTGTTGCCCTTGCCGTACCCAGTCACTGGCGCGCGAGATAACAATATTCTGATACCCCTCGCTGGCGATAATCACCCCTTGAACTTGCTCGATGACTGAGAAGACGGTCGCATACCAGCCATGTCAACGGATGCGCAAAATTGACCCTTACCAGCCCTTACCCCCGTGTGACCCGTGCCATCGATCGATATCCACCAAATTGACTACCTACCCTGGCCCAGGTGTTTCATCTTCACGTTTCGATTGGAGGTGCACTTGGTAAGGTCCAGGCATACCTCCCTGAGTGGAGGTGATCGGGAAGAAAGATTCTGCTATATAAGCAGTTTCCATCTTGGCTTTCTTGCCCTTTCACCATCTACAATCTCTTTCCATCTTTCCTTCTCACCTATCAGTCACTCATTTACATTACCTCAACCTCACCATCTACCCCGTCTCCTCTCTCCGCACTACGACCTCCATCACCCACATATCCTATCCACCATGCTCTTCACCAAAGTCCTCCTCGCTCTCCCCTTCATCGGCGCCGCTTTCGCCGCCCCCACCTTCGGCTTCAAGTCGTCATCCTCTTCTTCGGTATCCATCGGCGGGAAGCACAGCGTGGACATCCTGGCTGTGGTGACTGACCTCAAGGCCTCGGTGGTGAGCATCTATCTCCTTTTGGCAGCCCACTCTATCATACCTCTTCTTTCAGCCCACAAGTCAACTTGTATTCGAGATCTCGGCTGATGGTTCCAGTCTACATCTTGCGGCGGGATCTCCCTCACCTCTACGCAGGTCGAGGTCGAGGCCGCTCTTTGTGCGGTCATCAGCGCATTCGACACCTGTCAGTCCTCCTTTGATGTCGGTGCCGGTGCCGGGATTGGCCTTGGCATTGGCGGTGGGATTGGCTCGGACTTGAAAGCCCTTCTGAAGTGAGTCATCCCTACTTACGGACCCTTCCTCCTCCTGCGCAGTTGGCGAATGACTACATCCTTGACGTGCCCTTCTCTTGTTCATCTGGCTGACACCCCAGGGGAAAGCTCCAAATCGGCGCCAACGTCAAGGCTGAAGTCGCCGCGGTCCTCGCCGAGACCATTCAGCTCGTTGACGGTCTCATCTGCAACATTTCTGAGGAGATCAAGGTTATCCCTTCTGTCGTGAGTCTACATCGTCTCTTTACATCCTTGGATTCGCTGACATCCAGGATGGGTACCTCTGCCAGCTCTCCCCCTTGATCAAGAAGCTCCTCTGCAGCGTCGAGAAGGTCTGCACTGGCGTCATCGGTCTTTGCGGCAAGGCGCTCGTCAAGCTCGGCTGTGTCCTGACTCCCCTCCTCTCTGGCGGTAAGTACCCACATCCTACATGGTCAGAGGTGTAAGCTGACGATCAGTCAACGGCCTTCTCGGCGGTCTCCTTGGCAACATCTTGGGTTAGTCAGGCCTCAGGCCATAGCATGAAAGCGCCCGGAACACGTTCTACTGCCGCTCCCATCCCGTAAAAAATTACCTTGGGTCTATGCATACACTCTTTAGATCATGCTGTGAGTATCCTTCTGGCTTGTGTGCCAAGAGCGAGGGCGATGAAGTGCACAATGGAACTGTGGATATGAGCAGCAAGGGCCAAGAGGCACGCCAGTGACGTCATGCTCACCAAAGCGCAGGCAAAGGCCCAGACCCGGCCATTCCTTGCCGTATCCCTTTCACATCTGCGCCATTCATCCTTCTTTTTGTATTACCTCTCTACCTATATCAGCGTCAGTGTCAGTATGTCCCACTTCGATCTGGGGCAGCCCATCGGCGGCGGCGGACACAGCTCTGGCTCGTCCTCCTCCGAGCTTCACTCCGCGCCAGTGCTCGTCGAAGCTGCAGAGGCAAAACCATTACCTCCCCCGCCTTCACAACCTGTCCCTGTTGCGCACCCTGTCCCAGCCCAGGTCCCGCAGCAACAATATCAGCAAGCCCCACCAGTCCAGCAGACGCCATACCAGCAGCCACAGCACCCAGACGTAATCTCCGACTCGCACCCGTCCACAGCGGACAACTCGGGCGGTGCCCACCCCGCCACATCCACTATCGACCCTAATGTCCCTTCCTCCATGTCTGCGCCAACGGCTCTGCCTACCGGACCTGACACGAACCCATCGGAGCAGAAGGAAGCGATGAAGAAAACTGGCCCGAAAGCCGCTGCTCGGGAGGTGGAGAAGACAAAAGGAGCCGAGAGGGAGATCAAAGGGGAGCCGGTGGGCGGGACAATTGTTAAGGGCGTGGAGGATGATAGGCTGTACGCCATGCTGAGGCGCTTCGACGTCGTAAGTTGATGCTTCATCTCATCATCATGTGTCGACGACAGAGAGAAGGAGGAGGTAAGCTGACATCACCACCAGGATATCACGCATGTCCTCCACCCAGCTTCCAAACTCCCCTCCACCGAGCCTGACCTGCGTATCTCCCTCCTACCCAACCTTCCCTCTCACTCCGAAGTCATCAAATCCAACCTCGAGCGCCTCATCGCCGCCGTCGGACCCTCCTCCGTCCGTGGCGCGCGCGAGATGGGCCGTCTCATGTCGTGGTCGCCAGAAGAACGCGCCCGGACAGCCAGCTATGCGCTCTCTTACTTTATCTGCTGGGCTTTCGGGTATGCCGTGGTGGGCGTGTTTGTCTTTGGGGCGGTGGTCATGTGTTTCCCTATGACAAGGAGGATGCTATTCCCGCCGGTATGTTCAGTACCCTGTTCATGGGGAGTGTGAACAATAAGGCTGATAGACAGATCCCGCCGGCGCCGTATACCCCTCCGAGCGCGACCGACCCGACTAACCAGAAAGGAGACGAGAGTCTTCTCGGGACGACGGATAGTGCCGCGGCGCACAGGAGTAAGGCGGAACAGGCGGAAGAGCAGGCGTTTGAGGCGAGGTCGATCTTGCAAGCGTTCACTACTCGTTTGGTCTTTGTAAGTTTCCCCTTTCTTGCCTCTCTCTCCGGGTGGAGCTGATGGACAGGATGGCTCCAAGAAAGGCCGGAATGCGGGCAATGCCCAAGTCGGCGAAAAAGTCCTTGACACCTCCGACTCGGAATCGGACGACGCAGACGACTCGGACGTCCTCGCTCCCGCTGGGAACGCCGACGGGTCCAAGCCGCACGGGCAAGGCGAAGAGAGCGCGGATATCGTCATTGGCGGCGAGAAGATCAAGCATGATTCCAAAAAGACGGAAAAGCAAAAGAAGAAGGCTGCGCAGGCGGCGGCCAAGAAGAAGAGGGATGAGCTCGTCAGTAAGATGACGAAGGGGACTCAGGATGGATTGGGGGCTGCGGCGGATATGATTGAAAGGTTGACCAAGTGAGGCCAGGCTTGCGAAGGACGAGAGCGATGTGGAAGGTGATAGCTGACCCCTTAGCGCACTCTCTCCTCCGACGTGCTATCCCGACCGCCTGGCCCGCTTCAAAATGGCCGGCGCGTTCCTCATCCCCCCTGCGCTCCTCTTCCACTTTGTTCCCGCATGGGTCTTTGGGCGCGCCGCCACTTTCCTGTTTGGTGTCGGCATGTTTGCGCAGCCGGTATTGATCAGAGTGGGCAAGGAGGTGGTTGCCAGATTACCGCCCAACTGGCAGGAACTGGTGGATATTCGGAAGTGAGTTATAGCTTTTACAGGGAGCAGGTGTGGCTGGGACCAAGCTGACACTCTAGCTCGATCTTGTCAGGCGTACCTACCGATGCTCAGCTCACGCTGCACCTCCTACGAGTTGCCGAATCGCTCGACAATCCTCTTCCTCGAGCCCCGTAAGTCTCGCCTATCCGCCACAACGCCACAAGCACAAGCTGATAAGAAAGTGCCGCGCCTCTTGAAGGATCGCCCAAGGAGGCCATCAAAGACACCTCCCCCGAAAAAGTCACCGAAGACGACGACGCCGAGATTGAACAAGCTATCAACGAAGGCTCGAAAGCCGAGGAGATCATGGTCAAGGCCAAAGTCAAGACCAAGTCGCATGTCCTCGGGGCGTTCAAGGGGATCGGGAAGAAGATGGCGGGGTTCAGGGGTGATGTTGCTGTGGATGGGGAGCAGAAGGTCGTGAGTTCCTCTCTTCGTTGCAATGTTCCAATTAGACAAGAGGAGATAGCTGACATGCTAGAGCATGAAGGAGCGTATCGGTGCCAAGATTGACAAGACCGTCTTCCAGGGCGGTGCGGAAGATACCGGCGAGATCGACTGTGAGTTGATATGTACCCTTCCGCCGGTATAGCTGAGGGAAAGGCAGCTGACTCAATAGCCTTCCCCGCCAAGCTCAACGGCACGTCCGGGTACATCATCCTCGAGAGCCGGAATGATATCCTGCCGGCGCCGCAGGTCAGCTTCGTCGCTGCGAGTGGGACTGGGAAGGAGCACTTTGTTTGGCCGATTGATGATATCGTGGAAATTAAGAAGGTTCGTCTGTGTCCAACTTTCCGCTTGCTTCCCCTCAGACCTCCTCTGCTAGTCATTGCCCACATCCACATCTTGCGCTCTTTAGGCCCGGAGCTGACCCTACAGAGCCACGTCACCGCCACCCGCCTCGCCCTCGGTTGGGTCTCAGGCGCCGAAATCGAAGGACTCGGCCTCACTATCCGCTTCAAAACTCGGAAACAGCTCATCATTGATCAGAACAAGACGTCTGCGGAGGGCAGGCTGGATGGGACGACATTCGAGTTCACGAAGGTGGCGAGGAGGGAGCAGCTGTTTGTCCGGTTGGTGAGTATGGGCGCGCAGCGGTGGGAGGTGTTGTAAGTGTAAGTGGGTAGCGTGAATTGGGCCGTAATTTGGCTCTTGACTCTCGATATGAAAGATGAGGATGCACATAGATGTGACGTCGTCACCACGGATCCCTGCTCACATACTCACGCACCTGATGACCATATCACACCCGACAGCGATCGCGCTTTCGCCCGGGTGAAACCTCCCTGACACAAGGGGCCATCAGCATCTTCGACGCAGATCTTCAATTCCCCGTAACCGTCCCGATGGGGACCTTGACTGGCTCCCCGCCCATGCTATAGGACTGTCTTTATGCCTGCTCCGCGGCCGGCGTATGCAGGCAGTCACTGCGGCGCGGGCAACTGATCATCATAGTGCAGTTCAAGCTGGCACGATGGAAATCCTTGGTCGACCGGCCCCCAACCTGAGTCCGCGTTAGACAACAGTCAGCCACTTGTTCCTGCTACTTTTTACAGCTTTGCTCGAGTTTTGAGTACAAGGCATGCGTCACACTCGAAGCCATATCGTTTTTAAGTGTCTACGCCATGAACTAGTCGGATCGGCCGATTGCGGGTGAGGCGACCATGCAGAAAGGGACTTGATACATCAAAATACATTACAGACACGATCTGATGCGCATGGCTCGGTTGTGAGCATGAGCCCAACAGCGTAAGTCATTCGGCGGCATCGCCAACATCAACACCCTCAAGCGTCGTATCACCATGATCCGCTTCGATATCCTTCCTGATCACCAAATGTAGAGCAAACCCCGCTTTCCGAAGGCTCTCTCTGATCGTTGATTTGTGTTGGATTAGAGTAGAAAGCAGTCCCTGGTTCTCCTCGCTGTCGGTAACGTACACGAAGCACTCGCTGCCGTGTCTCACCTTTCCAAAACCCTCACCAAAAGTCTTCACCGCGTCGAGGTCTCGAGAACGACCAGCGAGAGTCTTTGGCGGGGTAGAGGGGTACCAGCTCAGGATGATCTTGTCCTCGGGTCTGTGATACCGGATTTTTGGAGGAGCGTCACCCGTACTGCCGACGGAGAGATTCCTCACCTGGACCAACACAGGACTTGCTGCCTCGTAATCCGTGCCCCAGCTTTGCGACTCATAATGAGTTCTGAGTTCAGGATGACGAGCTTCCAGAGCGGCGAGGAAAGACTGCCACTGTGCACTGGCGAAAGGGCGCTCCACCAACTGTTTGCCTTTGTGCCGCGACTTTTCGCGCGTAAAAATAACATCTTGGACTCCGGACAGAACGGCGTCATCCGACTCGATCATCGCGTTCAGAGTCTGGAGGATTGCGCTGGTTTCTCTCTTCGTCTTGACGCGCGAACTGTGGTTGGCGTGGAGCGTCGCGTGCACGGTGAGCAGAGTGGCGTAAATGTCCTCGCTGACATTGGCCGCCTTGGTCGTCTTCCCAGTCTGGCCGCTGAGAGTATCCGCCAGTTTCGAAGCGGATCCATAGCTCAGCGCGGTCCTTAGACCGCTGGCGTCAAGAGTAAGCGTTCGGGGAGCACCAACCGTTCGGCAGATGTCCTGTCAGCCGGGTCAGCCTATGCTCAAGGTCAAGAGTGCTAGGATGGCCTACCCTGCAGACGAGCCTCAGCACTCTCTGCGCGTCGGTGAGTAGCAGAGCACCACCGCCCATTGATCTCACATCGCCACGCTCGCTTGCCCGGAAAACAGCGTGGCGGAGCTCTTCGGGTAGAGTGAAGAAAGCAGAGACCTGGGCGGATCTCTCGGTTCCAGAAGATGCGGCAAGTGGCATGGCGTCCCGCAGAAGCGTGTAGTTCGCAAGACTGATGTCGCCAGGGGATTGCCGGTTTCCTGTTTGGGGCGGTACAGTCAATATGAAGTCGAGTGTCACGCGAGGTCAAGGCAGATACCGATGAAGCTGTATGCTGCTGAGAGGCGGAGAGATAGTGTAAAGAAGAGGGAAACAGAGGGGGAGCGCGGGGGCCTTATATACTGCTGCGGCCCTCTGTCGGCTCATCCTTTCGGTCTGAGGGGGCCCAAACGCTTACGCCTTGTTATCCTTTGAGGATGGAGCCGCTGGAGCGTTCGGTGAAGCCCGCCGACAGTTGCCTCAATGCCATGTCCAGCAGTACGCGCTGTAGCCTTTGCAAGGTGAAGCTGGTCAGTGAGAGTTAGCATCGCCAAATCAATACGATCCACCTGATTCGCGTGCATCATCCATAAATAAAGCGACGGGAACGCCTTGCCCCACACATGTTCCTCTACACCCCCCATGTAAACCCCAACCTACTTCTTCTTCAAAACCAAATGCACCACATCCCCCTCATCCAAATTCACACTACTCAGCGTCGCCTGATTACTCATCACCCGTCCCTCATAACTCAGCTGCATCCTCGATATAGGGAGATCAGCCGCTCCTGGCCCCAGCGCCTTCTTGATCCGTTCTCTAAGCAAAGAAAAGGGGATATTGACGACGAGATCGGGAACCGACAGAGTGCCGCCGTTGAGGGCCCATTCGGGCTTGGAGGGGAAGGCGGGGAGGGAGATTTGGAGGGTGATGGGGTAGGGGTGGAGGGAGAGCCAGTCGATTTCCTGGCAGGTCAGCAGGAGTCATGAGAGGAACAAGAGGGGCGAGGGGCGAGATACAGTAAGGGACATGTTGATGATGAGGGAGGCAGGGAGAAGACTTACCGAGTACATTCCAAATGCCAGCTTCTCCACTCTCTGCCGCTTCACCACTGGCGCCTCCTCCATCTCCTCCGCCGGTCTCGTCTGCCCTATAACAGGTGCAGCCCGACCTGGCGCAGCCTGCATCGGCATCTGCATCTGCTGCTGCTGGGGCGGTGCGGGGCTCGCCCCGCCCGCACTGACCGCCGCCATCCGACTTGGATGTATGGACGGCCCGGAGCTCGCCGAGGCGCGTGACGGACCGCCGATGGGCTCATAGTACTCCTTCTGTGTCGGTCCGGTCGGTGCCGCCGAGATGGTCGCGCCGTCGTACGCTGTCCCCCCGCCTGGCGTAGCCGCCCCCGCCGCGAACGCTGGCGGTACATTCGCCTCCGTGGGCCGATGAGGCAAACCGACATTCGGACCAATGACGGGACCCGTGCTCGGCGCATCCGTAAGACCTTTCCTCGAATGGATATTCCGAATCTGCTCATCGAGCGAGAATTGTGATTGGAAGGTATCCTTCGTGGTCGTCGCGCTCGAGGTGTGCCCATCCCAAATAATCTTTTCCCTCTCTTTCCGCTTCTTCTTCTCCTCCTCTTCCCGCGCCCGCCGCGTCGCCTCGTCCTCATCATCCCCAAACAGGTCCGTCCGCGCCGCCGCGAGATTCCGGAGGGAGGCCGTGATATCCGCCCCCTGGTTGAGCTGCTGATGCTGCGCACGACGGGTATCGAGGACGCGTTTCTGCTCTTTCCATTTAGGATCGAGGAGCTCGATCCGGATATGCTCGGTGAGTTCGTTCTCGGGGATCGATTGGCCGCAGTTGGGACATTTGGACGTGGCGACGGCGCCGGTCCGCGTGATTCCTTTCGGAACGTAATCCTTCTTGATCTTCATCCCTCTCGACTCCATCGCCGCGCGCTGCACGTCCCTCGCCCGCGCTTGCTCCTGCTCCGCCTTGATCCGCTGGATACGCAACTCCTCGTCCTCCTCTTCCTCCTCCATGTCCATCCCTTCTTCTTCATCTTCCACCCTCGCCCTCTGTCCCTGTCCCTGACCCCCAGCAGCGTTCGCACCAGTAGCCCCCGCCCCCGTCTCCTCCATAATCATACTCGCCATCCGCTTCTCCCCCATACTCCTATTCCGCAACTCCTCGACCGAGCTCGGCGGGGGCAGATTGAGCTCCATATCATTCTGGGTAAACTCGATAGTTTCCACCAGAACGAAATCCTGCCAGTCAATCTGACCAAACGCGTCCAGCTCCTCATCCTTCTCCTTTTGCTTGGCGTCCTCCCGCTTCCGCCGGCTCTTTTCCCACTCGGACCGATTCCGAGCCTCCTCGAGCGTCGTCCACCGTTGACGGGGATCAGATGACTCTTTGATGAGTGTTTCGATCTGGCCGGGGACGGGGGAGATGACTTTTTGGTATGACTCGACCATGCGGTTGTAGTAGCCGTATAGGGAGTGGGTGGGGCGGAGGAAGTCGAATTGGTAGTTGCGGCCTTCGCGGACCGAGAGGGAGGAGAGGAAGGCGCGGCCTCGACGAGCGTGGAAAAGGGCGGTAAGACGGAGGATGTCACTGGGGTGTTAGCTATACCCTGCAGCTGGATTGTGCGGAAGACTTACAGGTCCATAGCAGTCACACCGGGCAGATCCACCCTAAATTCCCACTGCTTTGGCTCATACGTGCTCCCACCCGCCAGCTCCTCCGCCTCCTTCGCTTCGGCTGCTGCCTTCTCCGCCGCAGCCTTCTCCGCCACGCTGGAGGGTACGATCCCCTTCGCCACATCCTCCGCATCCTCCAACACCTTCTCCCGCATGTACCGGTAGTACTGGTGGTAAGGGTCCTCATCGTTCAGGAACGCGAACTTCGGATCCGTCTTCTGATGTTCCCGAATCTTGTCTTCGAGGAGCTTGGGATGCGGGGACTTGGAGATGGCAATAGCGGTCTTGTCGACGATACCTAAAGTGTGAGCTCGCTTGGTCTCTAGTTGGAGCGGAGATGAAAGCTCACCTCTAATCTCCCTGGGAGGAAAGATCATCCCAATCTTGTACTTGTCACTCCCCCTTGGCGGCTGATACTCCCCCTCATCCTGCATTCCACCCTCCCTCACTCGAACCCCATCCTCGATCGTCCCGTCCGCTGCTGCGCCTCCGCCGTTCGCCTGAGCACCGCCGTTGAGCTTTCTTAGCTCATCTTCCCCGGCAAACACCTGCTTGGGCTTCGGGAGGTTGAGCGCGGACATGCTCTCTGGGCTATAGCAGGGTATAAGCGAGGTGTGCAAGGTCAAGGTCAAGCTGGAAAGCTCTAGCTGAGCTCAGCTGGGAAGGAACGCACGGATCAGCCCCGGCGGGATTATCCGAGTGTGGCACTTTATGACGCGATTGATTTCTCTTCTGGTTCCGGGTTGGCCCAGGCTGGCAACAACAGTCGTCACTCAACCTTCTCTTTTCACCTTATCCTATACCCACTACAATGAGCAGACTCGCACCATCTCCTATGCCCCCTCAGGCCCCAGCACAGCCACAGCCGCGAAAACCATCAGGCGCGCGTCCCGCACCCCCATCAATCAATGCCCCGCAGCATCAACACGCGCCAAGCGGTCCTACGCCCGTTCGCGCGGAATACCTCAACCCGCCCGCTCGGCCATCTCCTCCCCAGTCCCCCTCCCAGCCCCACCCGCATCCACAACAGTATCAGGCACCAAAGCCATTTATGCCGGGTATGGTACATCGGCCATCCATGGCTCCGTCGATGCCGTCCCCCAAATCAACCGTGATCGGCCCATCAGCCCAATTCGCGCATCGAGGTCACCACTCGGCGGCGTCGTCGGCATCGTCCAGGCCGTCCCCGCACATGTCGTCCCACTCGGGTGACTCGCTTCGGGAGACGACGAGGCACAATATCATGTCGCAGAGCCAGCAGGGGCCGGGCGGGAATACAGGACCGAGGGGTCATCTTCCGGGTGCGCGGCAGGCGAGCGCGAACCTGCTCTGGGGGGACGTCAAGAGCCCCAAGTCGCCAGAGATCGCCACTCCTAGGGAGACATATGCGGACAGGCTGGTTCCTGAGCAGAGCGACGTGGATATACACTTTGAGAGTCTCATGGTGAGTTGCGTCTTGCACAACTGAGCTAAGCTGGGACTGCATGCTGACCCGCAGGAATCGCTCCAAGTCCCGCTATCTGTCCGCGAAAAGTTCGCTACCGTCTCTCCCGCCGTCAAATCCTCCATCCTCTCCTCTACCGCCTCATCCAATCCCGCCATTCTCTCCTACCTCGGTCTCCCCACCCCCACGGCCAACACCCCCAAAATCAAGAAACGCCTCTCCACCCCTCTCCTTCGCAAAGCCAAGTCCTCCTCCTCTCTCGGCGGTAGCATCCCCAGCCCAGGCTCAAGTCCTCAAGTAGGCAAGACCTACCGCGTCGACGGTGAGAGCTTCACCATCGTCGCCTCCCCGAATCCGCCTTCCAGCGCTACCGTGCCCAACACGAATGCCCACCCTCTCCCTCCCGCCCCCACGCGCGGCATGTCGATGGACACGGTCCGACCCACACTGGCACTGAACCGTCTTTCACTGAACCGTCTTTCTGCCGGACCCTCATCGGGCGGTCGACCCCTCTCTGGCTTTTTTACGCCCTCGTCGCTTTCGCGCTCGTCCGCCAAGCCCGCGGGGCTGGGGATCAACCTAGGCGAACAGCCCGAGGCGTTCATCTCGTGGCTCCAGGCCCATACGGCGACGGATCTCGCCATGGATGTGGGGAGGATGAAGAAATTACGGATGTTGCTGAGGCATGAGAATACCGCTTGGGTGGACCATTTTATCAAGATTGGGGGGTACGGGCTGGTCCTCGCCCGCCTGAAGGATCTGGTGGATGTCGAATGGAGGGAAGAGCAGCATGATGATCAGATGCTGTATGAGCTGTTGCGGTGTGTCAAGGCTTTAGGGACGTCCGAGGTGAGCTCAGAACTTCTTTCGTGTGCCTTTGTCGGAGGGAAAATTTAGAGCTGATAAAGCAGGTCGGGAAAGCTGCACTGCGATACCACTACCCCGACCCCTTTCCCTCACTTTCCACCCTCCTCTTCTCCGAGAAAAAACCAGGCGACCTCCCTTCCAGACAACTCATCATCGAACTCTGGCTCTTCCTCTTTGATCTCTTCCCCTCGCCTACTTCCTCATCCTCCCCAACAACTGCGACTAGTACTCGTCCCACGTCAGTCCGCTTCGACCCAAATCAGGGCCCAGCGGTATTCATGGCCGGAAACGAACGGAACCGGCGCTCCATCAATGCGGCGCAGGAAGTGCGGGGATTGCTCGTTCCGGATGTACCCGACAAGACGGCGGATCTGCACGATTTTGTTAAGGTTGCGCATAGGCCGAGAGTATTTAGGTGTTGGATGTCGGAACTTGGAGATATTTGCAGAGATTACTTTTGGTATGTTCATTTTTGTCTCGCGGGTTTGGAATTGATGGGGTTTGGGGGGCACTACTGAAGAGCTACGTTGAGGGTGGCAGAGTGGAAGGGGGAAGGGAGAAAGGAGATGGGGGGAACTAGGGAGATGGAGACTGGGCAAAGCTGACCAAGGCAGGATCATGTGCCATGGCAGCAACTCACTCTGGGCCGCTGATGAGGTGGACGAACGGCTCGTCGAGAAGCCTGTAGCGCCCGGTGGAGCCACAGGTGGGGTGGAGTTTGAAGCGATGAACTATGTGGTGAGCTTCCCGTTTCTTCTTCTTGCTTCGCTCTGCCACCCGGATGCGGAAGTCAGCAGTCAGGAACCAGGAATCAGGGCGGAAGATCGCGGGGTGAAACCTCGAGAGGGAACGCGCGCTTATTATGCAGACTGTCCATCTCAAACTCCTCAATATGCTCTGTAAAGCGATGGCGGAGCAAGATCGGGAGAAGGCGGCGGAACTGCATCGGAATTTGTTTCAGTCGGGGATGGATCGAATACTGGTCGTGAGTCGCAATCCACTCTTGGTTCTCTCTTCCGACCCCTCTTCTGTTTCCTTGTCCATCCTTCTTCACCTCGTCCCTCCGTACTCTCCACCGCACTCCTCACCCTAGGCTGAAGCATGAGCTGACCCTCAGACCCTCCGCAAAGCAAGCACAATCTTCTACCCCGCGCTACACCTCGAACTCGCCCGGTACGTCCGGCATCTCCAACTCGTATCGCCCAACGCCCGCCTCCCTCACTTGATCGATAAACTCGTCGGATCGCCGCCGGACATGTATCGTCGATACAAGGCGCCAGCGCCTGCGCCAGCGCCTGCGCCAGCTCCAGCACCGGCTGTCACGTCGAGTCGGACACAGCATCTGCAGGGACCGGGTCAGGGTCAGGGGCAAGCGCAAGGGTCTCCAAGGCGGCAAGTGCCAGGTCAGTCTGGGCAGAGGCAGGGACCGGCGCAACAGCAGCAGCAGGGGTCAGGAACGAGAGCTTGGATTGAGGATGCGAGGAAGGGGGGGAAAGTGCCAGGTGATGGAGGGAGGAGAGGGGGGTATGATATGGAGGTGTAGAGGGTACGGGGCAGCCGATGGCGATGGCTGGACGGGAGGAAGGGGGGGGGTGCGGCGGAACGGGGCAACGGGGTCAAGAGCCGGATGCTGTGATTGGATCTTTTGCTGTACTTTTTTGGACAATGGGTTGCTTGTATATACGTACGTTATATTTAGATATCGCGGGCTTGATATGATACGAAGGGGGAAGTATGTACGATAGCGGCTGACCTGGCTTGGGTAGGGTATTGGATGCATCGTGTAGCCCTTCGCTCTTGAACGAACCATGAAAGCCTCGAGGGCATGGACTCGTCATAAGTGGCAGCAAATGTCTCGGCTCGTGCTCTTGTCTCTTGATCGCCAGTGGTGCCACACTCGCAGGGTGGCGAGACCACAGAGGCTCATTCTGCCAAAGCCTAGAGGGTAGGGGATCCGAGCAAGCGCCCGTCTTGATCGAGAGTCGTCGCACAGACAAGTTATCCCTTCATGCGCAATTTGGCGAGCGCCCATGACATTGACCATTGATTGCGGTTTCACGAATCTGATGATCTAGTGAAACACTTCCAGCAGATCTACAATTACGAGTTCGTAGATCTGATGCAATCTAGCGAAACACTTCCAGCAGATGCAGCAGATCTAGATCTGGTCAGATCGCATAGACCTCAAAGGATATACTGTCCGATTTGTCCCGAGAATCAGATCCAAGAGCACACTAGAAGGCCTTTCGGTGACCTCGCCGCGATCACATGCGCCTTCTGATACAGGGTAGATTATGCTTTGCGAAAGGAGGGCTTTCTAGATTGTCATTTACGCGAGGGATGCGACACAGATCTGGCTTTGGGCTCGGGTGAATCCGGAGCGCTGAGGAACACATAAGGCGGGCTGCAAGCGCACTAAATGGACCCCATATCTCTGCACCAGTCGTCGACTCAGCGAACCGCATCTCCTTACTCGTACATCGTACTTCGAACTACGACCAACAGCATGTCGATGCAGACAGCTTCTGACAACGCCGGCCCGTTCGACATTTACACCACGCCTGATCCCACGTCTGACTCAGGATTGATCAACGGTCACGTGCGCGAGGGTTTCTATAATGTTGAGAATCTGAGATTCTAGGCTCTCTGAAGCGGGAAGCGAATAGGTCCCAAGGAGGAACCCCTGTTCGGACACGAGCTCGGTGATACCAGAAGTGGTAGCTATCAGTAAGCTATCGATAGGTTAGCTATCGATAGGTTGATAGCTTAGAGCTATCGATAGGATGGCTATCGATAGGCTATCAGTAGATCGCTAGGTATCGATAGCTTGATAGGTTAGCTATCGATAGGTCTGGCATATATAAGGAGAGCTGTTCGAGTCCAATGCATCCCCACTCCGCTGTCGGAAAAGTATCTTGCCTCTTGGTCTCCCGTCCAAAAGTTAACATATAATCCCAAGCTTTCCGTGAGTCTTCTCGCGGTTTGGAAACATTATCAGGACTGGTTGATATGCTCAGTGCTTACAAACAGTCGACAAGAATGGAAAATGCTGGCAAATCTCCGCCCAGGACGCATGGGGCACCATAACATACTATTCGCTTCCGGACTTTGTGAGGGAGAGCAAAGTGGGGAATGTGTACAAAATGAACACAAGCAAGCCACTGCAAGCGAGCGAGCTCTCGGTCGTCACTCTCACGCAGACTGATCCAACTCAGATGGATCAGTCTGCGTGAGAGCCGCCGGCCCATGGCGACCTCGAATCCACATCTGACCCCGAGCTCTCTCGCTCTACTTCCTTTCTCCTGCCCTGACAAGTACTACGTATGCATATCATCGTCCTTTTTGATAGTGGTGGCCATATATCAGATTGATTGATCGGCAGGTGACAGAGGCTATCCAGTTGCCGCTTCCCGATGAGCCAATGGGGAATACAGACATTTGAAGAAGAAGGCGGGTACTGACCGAGTCATCGCGCCTCATTCCTCGTGCCTGGCAGCCACCACTGGCTTTCCGAAACATACCTCATGTTTCAGATCGTCTTGGCTGGCTTGTCCCTAAGGACTCAATGCAGCCTGTATTTGGCGTAGTATACACATGGAGGACCTCACCCAAGGCGTCGAGTGGATACACGGCAGTTACCTACAGGAGCAAGCTTGAGCCAACCAACGGCCTCGCCGAGAGGCAGTGCTGATCAGAAGGGCCCAGGCGATCACTCGCTCAGCCTGCCAGCTGTACTAAAGGCTGCAGTATCCCGCTCCGGAGATCTGGCCTTGGAGACAAAGAGGAACCTACCCCTTCCACTCTGAGTCCTCCACAAGCGCAGAGGCAGTCAGGAGGCGAGCTGTTCAGCCAAAAATGATGTGCCACTCGTGCGTACTTACGTCGCGCGCCCGAGTGAGACCAGTCTCTTTAACCGTCAACGTCAAAAGCGCGGATCCTTTTAGGAATGGCCCCAGGCCAGATCTTGGACGATGGAGAGACTGAGAGGGCCAGTCCGAGATCCTCCGAGCACGAAAGCACGAGTGAAAGAGAGCTTGAAAGGATAGCACGATGACTGCCTCGCAATTTGTAAGTAAAACGCTACGCTCGCGTGTCACCTCTAGAAAGGAGCTTGCGGATTGCACTGCTTTCTTTCGAGGCCTCGGGAAGAGCAGGAGGCCTATCAGGCCATGTAGGGATATATAGATTCAGGACACTCCCAGCGATCGTCTTCTTCTGTACCTCTTCCTTCTCGCTCACCACTCGCTTTTACTTCTGGTACACAAACTACATACAAAATCATGTTATCGGAAACCCCGTGCAGCTCTTACTTCGATATCACCGTGAACGATGGTGATGGGTAGCCGGTGACCCATCTCCGGGATGACTACACCGGGCTAGATCTGCCTATCCAAGGCAGCTGTGAGTACATACCGCACTCAAGCGACAATCTTACAGCCAAGCAATGCCAAGAGCCACAGGGGTCAATGGCGTGCCGCTCGTCGCGGGTACCGGTCAAGGGAAGGATGGCGAGACTGAGACGATATCGAGTGAACGTGTGGAGACGTATGTTGCCAACCATCCGGGGCACACAGTGTCATATCAGGATCAGACGGGAAGAACAGTCAGGGTACGCGGGCGGGATGCTCTTCGGGGAGGTGAATGCCAAGTGCTGCCTGATGGCGAGTGACAACATCCCCGATGGTACAGAGGAATGGATGATGGGAGAAACCTGCCACTCCCTCAGTTGGAAACAGGTGAACAGTGGCGTGTTGTACCGGTCCAATACCTAAGGGAGCTTCGTAGTCTCTGGGATAGGAGAGTACAGAGTAGTGCATAGATCGACGATAGAGAGAGCTACAAGATACAGTGGGCTAATCTATAGACGAGAGCGCAATACGGTATTACCTAATAGCTAATTCCGACTCCCTCGCCCTTGATATGGATATCGTCCCCGATGCTTGTTTCCATCTCGTTTGTGCTCTGTGCCCAATTGCTCGATTTACCTGTTCTCGATGACCTGACTTGTACCTATATGAATATTACCTACTCCACCTTGCTACCTTGCGAGCCCGGAATCACTTCGAAATTACCCATGGGAGTGTCGGCGAACACTCCGAGGATATGTGTGTCTGACATTGTGATGAAGCAATAAAGAGCTGGCTGTGATCACTCGATCACATCACCGTTACAATTGCATCTGCAGCGGTCTCGCTCGGAAGGGTTTGCGAGAACTTCAGAAGGAGATTCTGACGGATTTCTCCCTTGCGAACAGATCTCGGCGAGCAAGCCGATCAGTCGACTGCACCAGCATGGGCGCGAGCGATCAGTCCGAATTTCCCTGGGGAGAAAGTACGTACTAGAATGACTAGATGAAGGGATCCGCACAATCTAGTGGACCCTTGGAACTCTTTGGGTGGCGGTCAAGTCAAAGGATACGCTAGTCACGTACATTGCTACTTTGCAGATCTCGATGAGCCTCGGGAGAAATCGGAGTAGTGGTGCGTACATATATATCGCTTAAAGACCTCGACGAATTGTTCTTCTCTTCTTCATTCTCCTCCAACATCAGCTCATTGCAACTGCACCCATACCATGTCGTCAACACAGCACAGCACCTCGATTTGCTCAGGCCACAGAGCATTGATGCTCTTCGTCCCTGTCAGGAACTCAGAGGGTACCGTGAGCAAGAAAGACGCCTTTTGTGAGCAATTTCTCTTCTGAGTATACCTATACCTTGCTCGTCTCCTGGTCCTGCCGTTAGCATTCGTCTTTGGAAGATGCAGCTGAGCGGCAGTCTGTCCCTGCACTGCCCCGCCCTCTTTCGTGGCCATGGCTACTACGATCCCCAACGATCAGGGTGCATTCGTTTACGGGAAGCAGTCTGTGAAAGAGTTTGAGCAAGACACCGAATTGACCGTGACGTCCACCGAGCCGGTTTGCGACACTGACTGATTCGGGCGGGTGATACCCCGCAAATGTCGGTGTCAAGCAGCTCCACTGCGAATCTCACCATTCTTGTATCTATCTTTTACCGTATGCAATGCTTCTGATCATACTGGCTCGTGTAGCCCTTGTCAGAGGGACTTTCCAATGGCAGGATGATCTACTAATCGTCCTGGAGACGGCACCTGCCTTGAGCTCCATACACTTGCATCCATGGACTGCGCCGCGGCTGCATATCCTATATTGCGGTAACTCAATCAGCCCCTGCCATGTTGGCGTTTCCACACGTGATATCCGCCATTCGCTTAGTGATTGGAGGGTGGTAATCCGAGCGACTCTGGTCACACAGCGCTCAGGCTAATCAGGGCATCGGTGATGGACCCTATCATTCAGCTAGGTAGCTCGTGCCCACTTCCCAATCCCAACCTAAGACAAGGAACAATCGGTCAAGCTATAGTATGCGTCTCTATTGACGATGCGAGGAAGGCAGTCTCTGCGCCTCGCCCGTCTCGCGCGTATGATCCCCTGTCATGCAAGACTCGATCCGCGCAGACAAGACTAGCGATCCTGCCGTCCCCGAGAGGGCGTGCGAGCGAGGCTCTCCGACTTTCTCCGAGAGACGAACACGCTAGAAGATAGCTCCAGCTGAAAGGATCCCGAAACACCACATCGTGGCCTGCATTAAAGGATCGTCAGTATGGCGCGAGCGGCGCGGGCGACGTCGGGGAGTGGCGAGAGGTATAACAAGCCCCTTCAGGCCCCAGTCTGCTTCTTCATTGCACATCATCTTTGCAAACTTGATCTCTCCACAAGCATAACTCACACATCACACATCATGTCAGTGGACGACGTTCAGTCACAGTTCCCGAGCGCGGCGCCTCCGGATGCAATCAGCTCCGCTGATGCCTCCGGCGCGGGTGACAGCGTTTCGCCACTCAGTGGCGACCGCGGTGTCAGTAAGTCTTGTGTGTGACAGAGCGGCTCACCTTTGCTGTACGATCTGGCTAACGCTCTTTCAGACAATCGCACAGATTTCAGGGTTCTATACGTGGACGATACGTTTCTCACGGCGATGGGCCTACTTCCGCGCGGCCTAGGCAGGATGCTGCTGGAGGACTGCATGAGGAACAGCCTCGATGGCCAGAAGCGGACCGTGACCGAGCAGCAGAGTACCGAGCAACCCCCTTTGAGGCTGTGATCTAGGTTGCAGGAGGAATCAAGGGTGGCATGGGTAGGGGACCTCGTTATGCATGTATCTTCGTGAAGAGCCCCAAGCATGACGTGTCTGATGGTATTGATGGGTCGCACTCTCAAGCTTGTCAAGCTCCGCTCTATCTCCGTATTGGCCTCCTTTTCCGCTCCGCTGATTATCAAGTGAATTTAGACATGCAGGCTAAGCTGAGCGCCCGGACATGACTTCGCCCTACATACAGGCTACCGCCGTGGGGTAGCGGTGCTTCTCTCCTTCTCACGCGGCAAGACCGCGCCGCTGCTGACACTCTGCGACTCATTCCTCAAAATGTTACGGCATCTCCATTTCTGCTCGGACACGGCGTAGCCTCAGATCGCGGATATGTCTCAGTCCTGCAAGCCCCGTCCGGACGGGAGCAATCCCTCAGGCCTTCGTCTTGCTCAGTGCTTATAAGTACTAGCTATGCTCTACCCTGGCCACCCCTCGGACTGTATGCATCATGTGGCCGGCCATGAATCAGGTTTGATTCCGCGGCTCCGCACGAGGGCACTGCTTTGCTGCCTCGGAAATGACGCTGATTGTAAGCGAGTTAGCAGTATCAGCAGCAAAAAGCAGGCCGCCCTACGGTGGTTCGATCGCTCGTCATGGACGTGGCATCAGCGGCAAAAAAGAATTATTAGCCAGTTACGATTTGGTGACACCCGCATCTTACCCGGAGAACAAAAACTAGTTTCGTGTCATTATTAATATATACGGCTTCTCATGCATAGTTATCCCCTGAAACGGCGTGCGAGTAAGTTACTGGATCGAGTCAGCATCCATTAGCGTTCCATCAGGTACATCAGAGCGGCGCATCGGTGGTCCAGGTGGGACACGCGGTCTTTCTCGAAGGTGTCTTGGTGATTGAGTGTGGGCGCACGTGCCAGCCAGAGGCCCTGGAGCACAAGGTTTGCCGCGTGACATGGAGTCACGCAGGGCGTACGCGACTGTCCGTGCCTGGGGCGTGACTGGCTGTTTCAGATTTCGACTGACCCCGTGCGCTGACGGGCGCGCTCGGACCCCTCGATCTCGTCAGCCTTCGGCCAATCCGCCGAGATCCACTTCGCTCCACGACACGCTCCTTCCCCTGCACAGCTCAGCTGACAGTCAGCTGACCCCCACGACGTCATTGCTGACCCCCAGGCACATCAAAAGGGGCACAAAAGTCATTCTGTCGGCGGCGGGTTTTGACCCCGCCCCTCCGATGTGTGCGCGGAGAGTAAGATGCGGGTGTCACAGGGTGGGCCGACTTTCTCCCGACATATCGGTGCTCTTACCACTGAGCTGCGCCGACTATATTTACGCCCTCGGCGGGCTGATATATCAGTCAGCCCCGTCCGTGTGGTGCAAAAAGATGTTTTTTGGCATGTTACAACTCGTACCTATGGTATACGTCTTGCTATGCAATCTTGCTCGTCACGTCAGTAAGACTGTAGTGAGGCTTCTGACGGTGTGTGCCAGCACCTACGTCGGTGTGCAAGCGGTTTCTACATCAGCGAGTCTGTCAGACAAGGTCAATGTGCGATCGGTGCTGTGAGCGAAGGTGATCAGTACCGATGATATAGTCTTGTGGGGTATGACGACTGAGCTCAAACTCTAGACTGCGTATATGCTACTGCTATCTGATATATGAGCTATCCTCGTCTACAGCCTGCGCCATCGCTTTCCCTACTACTAGCTTACATGCCCTACCCCAGCTGCATCTCCCCCTCCCATCAGCCCCCTTTGTACGTCGCGCACGTCTTCCCATTCCCACCTCCTCTTCGTCGGCCACTCGTACCCGCCTCCTCGATATCCCCTCAATGACTCAAGAACCGCCTCCCCTGTATCCTCCTCCTACTCAGCACGGCCTTCCCCAACCTCCCTCCTTTCAACCTCGCCAGAAACCCATACTTCCTCTTCCTCTTCCGCTGGCTCGGCTGATATGTTGTCCCGTACGCCAGTGTCCTTATCTGTGTCTGAACGGGACTGGCCGATAAGGACGGACGGGCCGATAGGGAGAGGAGGGAGAGGAGGGAGGGGGCGGAGGAGAGGGCTAGCCGTGCGCGGGGAAAGAAGGGTGATGATGATTGTGAGAAGAGGCGAGGTGTGGCGGATACGGATGATGAAGGCAACGTGAGGAGTGAGGGGCGGGCGAGAAGGGTGGGTAGGGTGGTGGGGATGAGCCGGGTGGGTAGGGTAAGGGCGCTCAAGCGGGGGATGAAGCGAGGCATCTTGATGAGAGCTCGAAGTCTGCACGCTTCTAAGCTGAGTTTTTTCGGGGAGGTATAGGTGGAGTTTGCAGCTGCCTAGAATTGTGAGGGCAGGGTGGGGGTAGGTAGGTGCTGTGTATAGGTAGATGGCTGATGGAGGCAAGGTGTGTGAGCGAAAGATGGAGGAGAGTGAGCTGGTGGGGTGAGTGAGGTAAGTGGGAGATATCCAAGAAATTGCCAGAAGAGGATATCCATTTCGGTGCTGAGAGCAGCCCAGCCAGGTTGAAGCGACCTTGCATACCTTTCCTTCCTATATACATCTCTTTCCTACGCACAACACAGCAAAAGCAGCAGCAACGACCGCTGCAACTCATTCGCCCCCGAAAAGCTCCACTGAAACTTCCCCAGTCGAAAAGCCAGCACCATGGCCAACCCAATAATAACCCAACCCCCACCTCCCCAGACCTCGCGCGAAGGCAGAATAGCGACCCACTCGCATATCAAGGGGCTCGGACTGGCGGATGATGGGTCGGCGATGGAGGTGTCACAGGGGTTTGTCGGGCAGCAAAAGGCAAGAGAGGCGTTGGGGCTGCATTTGCAGTTGTTGAGGTTGGGGAGACATTCGGGGAGACCGTTGTTGATGGTTGGGCCGCCGGGGACGGGAAAGGTGAGTCGAGCCTACGAGCGAAGCGAGAATACCTTTCCGAGCGGAGCGAGCTTAGCTGTCGAGCGGAGCGAGCATATTTGCCCGAGCAGAGCGAGCTTACCATGACGAGCGGAGGGAGGATGATTGCACGAGCAGAGCGAGAAGAATATATAGAACGGAGCGAGCGTCATTTCTTCCTATCCATCCCTTGCCCTCACATTCCCCTCTTCGTCCGCAACATATGCTTCATCCATGCCAAGACTTGACTTCAGCTGATACTCTAGACCGCACTCGCTCTCGCGCTCAGCCAAGAGCTCGGCTCTAAAGTTCCCTTCTGCGCCATGGTTGGGTCCGAGGTGTACTCTGGGGAAGTCAAGAAGACTGAAGTTCTCGGGAGCTGTTTTAGAAGAGCTATCGGTGAGCTAGTCGATCCATAATGATTGGACATCATTCTAAGCTGACTCTCAGGCCTCCGTATTAAAGAGACCAAAGAAGTCTACGAAGGCGAAATCACCGAACTCACCCCATCCGAAGCCGAGAACCCATTATCCGGCTACGGCAAGACCATCTCGCACGTCATCGTCGGGCTCAAAACCGTCAAGGGCACCAAACAGCTCCGTCTCGATCCGTCGGTCTACGAATCCATCCAAAAAGAGCGCGTCGTCGTCGGGGACGTCATCTACATTGAGGCCAACACCGGTGCGGTCAAGCGCGTCGGGCGGTCAGATGCCTATGCGTCGGAGTTCGACCTCGAGGCGGAGGAGTATGTCCCCCTGCCAAAAGGGGATGTGCATAAGCGGAAGGAGTTGGTGCAGGATGTGACGCTGCATGATTTGGATATGGCGAATGCGCGGCCGCAGGGAGGCAGCGATATCATGAGCGTGATGGGGCAGCTGGTCAAGGGTGGGAGGACGGAAGTGACGGATAAGCTCAGGAGGGAGATTAATAAGGTGGTGGATAAGTATATTGAGCAGGGGGTGGCGGAGCTGGTACCAGGTGTTTTGTTCATCGACGAGGTGAGCTGCCCAGTGTCCAGCATTGCCTGAATCAAAGCTGATACCCAGGTCCACATGCTCGACATGGAATGCTTCACGTACCTCAACCGCGCTCTCGAATCCCCCTTATCGCCCTACGTCGTCCTCGCCTCCAACCGCGGCATGACCACTATCCGGGGAACGGAATACGACGGGCTCACCGGCGGATCCGGCGTCGGCATCCGATCACCACACGGAATCCCCATCGACCTCCTCGACAGGTGTATGATCGTCAAGACCGCCCTGTACAACCGGGGCGATATTCGCCGCGTCATCGAGATTCGGGCCAAGACGGAGGGAATCCAACTGAGTGTGGAGGCGCTGGATAGGTTGGCGGATGAGGGGGAGAGGAGCTCGTTGAGGTTTGCGTTGCAGCTGTTGACGCCAGGGAGTATACTGGCGAAGGGACGAGGGGCGACCGAGGTGGGTGTGCAGGATGTAGGAGAGTTGAGCGAGCTGTTTTTGGATGCGAAGCGGAGTACGGGGGTGTTGAGGGGGATGGAGGGGATGCAGTAGGAGTATGGCGAGAGAAGGGGGGAATAGTTGAGTAGGGGAAATGGAGCTGAGGAGCGTAAAGTAGATAACATCAGGCTGGATGTATAGAAGCAAAAGTCTAACTCCAACTGACACACTTGTTCTCTTGATAACACTGACTTTTCGGCTGGGCATCGGCCGGATCGTGGTATCAGTGAACGAGTGGCTAATCAATGCAGTGTCTCCAATTTAACACGACGCGTGACCTTTCGGGTGTGGGTCGATCCGGACGGGCTGGACCACGTGCGGCGCCGTGCCGACCATCATGATCACACCATGCCAGCCTTCGCACGTTCCACTCCGCCAGACAAAGGAGTCTCTGGCTGGGGCCTCTCCTGATACTGATGCGACCCAGCTCACTTTGCGGTTGCGGGTTACAAGTATACCTCGCCCTCTTCCGTCCACGCCCTCGCTTCGGGTGATTTTCCAGATCACAACCGCCCAACAGACTGCGAGGCGGGCGCTCTCGGAACACCTATCGCATGGTGATGTGGTCCAATCAAGACCAAGACAGCGACAGCGACGCGCTCGACCCCTACGCCCAGAGCGACGACGACGAGCCCTTCACTCAAGGTTCGGTGGCGGATGACAGAGCAGGCAAGAGCAGGCAACACGAGCACGTGGACGCCAATGCGGACAAGCTCCGCATGATCGACACGCTGTCGAGCAGGAAGGTCTTGCTGCGTGGGAAGAAGCGCTTCGCTCCGCACTGGGTGGGCATCCGGTTCTTGGAGAAGGTCCTTGCCGTGTCTGATACCGATCCCGATCCCGATCCCGGTCCCGAGTCGAGTTCAACGGGGATCCACGGATCAGCGCATCTGGTCATTGATACGGAGGCCAATACCAAAGACGACCGCTTGCTCCGCTTCACAGCCTCTCAAGTCGAAACGGGACTCGCAAATGGCTCTCTGCGCTACTTGTCGAATCCCGACACGCTGCCTGCTCATGTACGCCTCAGCGAGGACCCGACTCGGAGCGCTTGGCATACTCTATGAGATCGGCAGGCCGCGAGTCACGTACCAGTCTTCTGCGTCGCAAGAGCAGACCGACACGGGAAAGACTATACTGGATGATGAGCTGGGAGAGACCCAGTACCCAGGAATGTCGACCTTCCAAGTCGATCTCACAGATTTCACACAGGGCTCAGCGGACGGGAGCAAGAGAGAGGCAGTCAGCGGTATCCGCTCGCGTGCGCGCCTGAAGATGGACGAGGAGGATAATCTGGAGCACAAAAGACTCCTAGCGGAACCTCCGAGCCGTGACCGTACGCTTGCGCTGAAGCGGCTGGGCAATCGACGGGAGCGTGCCCAGAAGGCTCGAGACCGCGTGGACAGCGATAGACGGGCTGCGGAAGAGCTAGGGCTCTTGGACGGCTAGGACAATAGAGGTTCTCAGGTTGTGGTCACCGCAAGGGATGGCACGGTAACGGTACTCGAGCTTAGATCCGAGTTGCTGACTGACGAGCATGTACGGATCATGATATGATGTTCTGATCTAGCGTTTGATAAGCCAGCGACCGGCCCTTGGCCCAGACGGCATGCCCAGCCGGCCCTCACCCGCCTGACCTGACGCGCGCTCAGGAGGGGGTCGGACGCCCATGGCTCAGTCAGAGCCCGGATAGACGTCTCCTCTCTGGGCACGAGTCCCACTGTCGCAGCTGAGCCTGGATTGTCATTTCGAGCCCAGCTGGCCGATGGCCAGAGCCGTTCCCGATGACATACTTTGGTTTCCTTGCTTTCTTTGTATCTTATCGAAGCTGTCTTTGTTTCCCGCTTCGCCCATCGTCACTCTTGCTCCTTCTGGCGCCCATACCGTCCAAGGCTAGATTAGATCAGCGGCCTTCCCGTATGTCATCGATATTCGCCACCCCCGCCTGGCTGGCGCCACTCTTGAAGCTTGAGATCCGTGCTCAAGGTCGTTACGTCATTTGCTTCCGCTATTGACAGCTGCTGCACTTGCTGCTGGACGTCCAGCTGCAGCACTATGATTGTTGCCTTGTATCTATATCTTGGCAGGCTATACTATACTACGCCTACCCTACTGCTGAAGAAGGCTCTCCCAGCCCTCATACACCTGCTCAAGATGTCAAGCTACGACCTACCCGCGGATGAGATCATCACGCCTGCCCAGTTCCAGGCGAGCATGAAGCTCGTTCGCCTGCAAATTGCCGTCCCTATCAGCGGTATGTTGCCCTCTGCCAGACCATACCCTCGTGGTTCTATACCGGTCCATCCAAGGTAGCTGATATCATAGTCCTCATGTCGATGGGAACCAATCTGGTCTGCGCCCTCGCGCTCAAACCTGGACTGAGGGGAATCATGGATCTCTATCCAACGCTATTGACGCCCAACGTACCTATGCTGGGCTTCTACTGGGCGTTGACATTTGTCTTGCAGGTTGGATTCTGTCTGAATCTGCTCTTGGCGAGGAAAGACGTGACGAAGGTGAGTTTGATTAGGGGTTGGGGGATATCGTTATGTTCGCTCAGAGACGCGCTATGGGGCGGTTTGAGCGCAGGACGGTACAAGGGATAATTAAGCGGGGGGTCTCAGGACTGTAGCTGACTCTGCAGGAAACGCTCGTACATGGTGTCGGTCTCCGCTTTTCAGCTGCCAACTGGCTTCAAGCGGGCTGGGCCGTTTGCTTCGTGAGCTGGTCCCGTTCCTCTCCTGAGCGCTCTGCTGACTTGCTAGACCTTGCAGTTCTTCCTCGGCGCCGAGATTCTGCTAATCATTAACGCCATCAACCTGTGCGTCTCCTTACCCTCTCCTCAACTCTGTGCTTACTGGCTACTTTCAGCGACTCAGCTGACCCCCCAGACTCTCTATCCAGTTCACCCTCCTCCCGTACCCCGCCTCGCTCCGCCACCCGCTCGACGCCCTGTTCATCCACGCTCCCATCATCCTGCTCTCGGTGATCCTTTTCGAGCTCGACTGGCTGCACAGCGGCTTCATTGCGCTAGGCTGGGTGATTAAGGATGAGGCCAAGTGGGGCAAGTGGACGTGGCAGGCTGTTGGAGCTGTGGGGGGCGTGAACTTGGTGATGGCCATCTGGGAGGGTGTGAGGGGCAACTAGTGAGTGGAGTTTCCAACAGGCATTCCCTTATAGTGTATTAGGCCGGAGAGGAGGGCAACGGGGACTTGTTCTCGGGACGGGCGAGGGAGGCCAAGAGGACAAGCCGTGTTCATCTCACTCGAAACCCAGCTGACTGCTTCAGCCTCATGGCCTTCGCATCCGAATACGTCCTCCTCGCCCTCCTCTTCTCATCCCCCCGAACCAACCCCACTCTCCCCACCACCGCGCTCCCCAAACCTACCGGCCTCATCGTCATGCTCATCATCTGCCTCGTGCTCCACCCGGTCGCGATCCTCGCTGGGGTCGCATGGAAGCGCACGAGGGAGAGGGAGGGGCGGATCAGGCTGCACGAGGAGGTGGAGGAGGCAGAGGCGGAGGCGGATGCAGAGGCGGCGAGGCATGGGCATTCGCATGCGCACGCACACACCCACGCGGACCGGACGAGTCGCGCGTGAGGCTGGGGAGAACGCTAGGAGACAAGAACAATCGCGCGTAGACTGGTAGACTGGATCTGAATGTATTGTCTGGTCACAGCGAAAGAACGATGTCTGTAGTTTGGCCCCGCTGTCCCTTGTCGAGCTATTTGCAAGCTCCCGATATCAGACTGAAAATAGCTCGACGAGCAGGCAAGACGGGTATATATATAACTCGGAAAACTATAAACACGCAATTCTACTGGGTATCAAAGATAAGACGGTATACTGATGGAGAGACTCTATAAGATGAGAACCGAAAGACCTCTCTGACTTGGACAAATACGTTTAATATACACAGCTATTCCTCCTTCCCTCTCCTCCTCCCTGTTCCTCCTTGCCTACTCTCCCCGCTTGATCCCGTACTTCTTGATCAACGGATCATTCGGATCCGTATCCGGGTGCATCTGGACCTTGCCCGAGAATAGCTCCGCCGTGGACCTTGACGGATCCTGCGCCGGGTTCCCAAACGCCTCTCGGGGAAAGACCGGCTGGGCCCAATTAGGCCCCGCCGCGATCGTACCCGCAATAAGCGTAGGTACCATGGTGAGGATACTGGGCAGCTGAATGTCCGCCTTCCTGAGCTTGGCGGTACGCGAGCGGCGGACGATGGCCGAGGCGTTGATCCGTCCACCGCGGATATTGGCAAACGTGTTGAGATTGTCCTTGATCTTGGAGAGGGCCGGGTTGTACTCGACACCACCATTCTTCTCGTCGACCGAGACGTCGTCGACATCTGTCGTGAGGGGGAGGAGGGCGGGGTCGGTGTAAACCTTCATGCGGATGAGGAAGCGGTAGAAGGGTTCGGTGGGGAGTGTGCGGACGAGCGCGCCGATAGGGAACGAGATGAGTCCGACGACGATCGAGATGGCCCAGTCTCGGCCGTTGAGACCGACGACCTGGAAGGCCGCGCCGCCGACCTCGACGATGATGGCTTGACCGCCGCACATGATGGCGAAGATGACCATAAAGTAGTAGTTGCGGAAGAAGCCCTCAAAGACGTTGTATTTCCGGTCGAGACGACGGCAGTTGATTTGATTGACTGATCGTCAGCCAAGCCCAGCCATCTTGAGCAAGACAACGTACAGATTTGACAGAAGACAAAGCAGTTGAAGATCAACGTCGACAGCTCCGCCCTAGATGCGATAGTCTCGTCCAGCCCCAAAATCCTCAATCCCGCCCAGTACAGCACAAAGCAGACGATGGTCTGGTACAGCGCCTGGCAGATGATCATCTTGACCATGTCCACATTGATAAGGGGCGCAGTGAGCCTATCGGGCTTGCGGTCGAGCGACGAGCGAGTGGCAGGGTCGGTAGCGAGTGCGAGGGCCGCGAAAGTGTCCATGATCAAGTTGACCCAGAGGAGCTGGACGGGCGTGAGGATGGCGCTTTCGTTGTCGGACGCGAGGGCAGAGACAAAGGTGACGATAACGGCGACGATGTTGACGCTGCATGTCAGCGAGACTCTACCTTAGGTCCAAAGAAAACTTACGAGATTTGGAATTGCAAGAACTTGCGGACCGAGTCATTGACACACCGTCCCCACATGATGGCAAGCACAATGTTGGGGAAGGCATCGTCCATGATGATTATATCCGACGCCTCCTTGGCGACCTCCGTGCCCGCAATACCCATCGAGAAACCAACATTGGCAAGCTTGAGTGCCGGCCCGTCGTTGGTTCCGTCTCCGGTGACACCGACGACCTCGCCCATCCCCTTGAGGGTCTTGACGAGCAACCGCTTGTCCTCTGGGGATGATCGCGCGAGGATCTGGAGCCGGGGGACGACCTCGAGCCGCTCCGCATCATTGAGCTTCCGGAAGACCGGTCCCTCCATGATGATACCGCCCGTAGTAAAGATACCGCACTGGTTGGCGATCGACCGAGCCGTGAGGACGTTATCACCCGTGCACATTTTGATGGATACACCGGCGTGCTGGCATTCCTCGACGGCCTTGCGTACACCGGGGCGCAGAGGGTCCTCGATACCCGTGATGGCGATAAGTGTGAGGTCCTTGGCGATAGCCGCAAAGGGGACGTCGTCGGCCGCGCGGTCCTCGGAGCCCTTTGGTGGCCAGGACTCAAAGTCGCGGTAGCACATGGCGAGGGTACGGAGGGTTTGGGATGCGTAAAAGATGATGGTTTTTTGGATGTTGGCTTCCGTCTCCTCGGTGAAGCGGGTAGTCTCCACCTCGTTCAGGGTATCCGAGGACGAGTGCTCCGCCGCTTCCTCCCGGGACTTGAGGACGACGTGCGAGGTACAGTTTTTGGTGAGGATTTCCGAGGCGCCCTTGGCGTAGAGCCGGTACTTGGACCCGATCTTGACGACGACGCCCATAGCCTTGAGCTCGGACGAGAACGGGATCATCTGGACGACCTGGGCGTTCTCGCGGGCTTTACGGTAGTCCTGCCATCCGAGCTCCTTGGCGAACCGGAGGAGAGCCGTCTCCGTCTTGGATCCGACAAACTCGACCACGCCCTCCTTTTCATCCTCAAACGCCGTAGAGTTGATGGCGATCGCGTCGTTGAAGAGGGACTGGAGGGCGGGGGAAGCGACCTGGTTGAGCTCCGACATGTCGAACGCAAAGTCCGACCGGACCTCTTGCCCCTCGACAGCGTTGGCGTTGGACCGGTCCGCATTGTCCGCAAAGGCAGCGACGAATTTGCCCCGGACGCCGAGAGAGCCAGCGACGACCGACATGACGTTTTGGGTGAGCGTACCGGTCTTGTCGGTACAGACAACGGTAGCGTTGGCCATGGTCTCGCACGAGCCAAGCATACGGACGAGGAGGTTTTGCTTGGTCATCCGCTTGGTCGCGAATGCGAGGGCGAGCGTGACGGCAAGGGGGAGACCTTCCGGGATAGCGACGACGATGAGGGTGACCGAAATGATGAGGATCTGGATGAATTGCTGGGCCTTTTCATCGGCGAGACGGTCCGGGTACCGACCGAGGTCGACAAAGAACCGGATCATAAGGGCGATAAAGAGGATGGAACCGGCCGCGGCACCGCACTTGGCGATGAGCTCGGCGAGGTGGTTGAGCTTGACCTGGAGAGGGGTGTTTTCGGCGTCACCCTGCATAGCTGCGGAGTCAGTATGGTCCATGCCCAATAAGAAGCCAACTTACCCATGAGGATACGACCGTTGAACGAGTTCTTCCCGACCGCCGTGACGACGTACTGTCCCACACCCTCCAGGATCTTTCCGCCCGAAACCAAGAAGCAATCCTTCTTGAGCTTCTGCCCCTCCTTGGCTTCATCCCGCTCGGCAACGCACTCGGCGTACGAGAACTTGCGGATAGCGTCCGATTCACCGGTAGCGCCCGACTCGTCGCACCGGACATTGTGACCGCTGAGGAAAATACCATCGACGGGCAGGATCTCTCCCGGCTCGAGCATGGCGATGTCCCCGACGCAGACTTGCTTGGTGTTGATAACCTCCTCCCGACCGCCACGCATGACCTTCATGGTCCGGTCCTCGCGCTTGTCGTTGAGGTTTTTGAATTGGAGTTCCTTTTGATAATCATTGACCGAACCGACGAGGACGACGATAGCGACGGCGACGAGGATGGCGACACCCTCGACCCAGTCGACCTTGGGCTCGAGACAGCCTGGAGGAGGGCATTCGGGGGACTCGACGTAGTGGTCGCCGGTACCGAGAGTTTGGTAAAGACCGAGGGCGAGCGAGACGACCGCAGCGATGAGAAGAAGAATCTGGAAATTAGCAAAGGCCTTTTACGAAAGAGAAAATACTCACCAAGACCTTGTCCTTGAGCGCCATCCACATGAGGTAGAACAAGCTCTTGCTCTTGCGAGTCGGGAGCTCATTCTTCCCATAAACCTCCTGACGCTTGGCCACATCTGCAGTCCACTGCGCGCCAGTACCCGTTCCAGCACCGCCTTTCCCGGCGTCCAGCCCTTTGGAGGGGTCCACACCGAGACCCTCGAGAACACCTTGGATCCCGCCAATCTTTTCGAGATCCGCAAGACTCTTGGGGTCGACGAGCATGGCGAGGCGGGACGGCTTGTCCTTGAATGGCGCAGGGTCCGTGGTGTCATTGTCCGGATCGAGATGTGCCGATTGGTTCTTGACCTCCTCTAGCGCCGCCTTCTTCTCATCGCTCATCTCCACTTTGGCCCGCTTCTTCTCCGCCCGCTTTTCGCGCCAGTTCATCTCTGCGATGATGCGCTCCTTCTCCGGCAAAGGAGGCCATGCGGGGTTCCGCTTGCCCTCATCGTCAAACTCGGCAGAAGACCAAGTTCCGACGGACGAGAGGCGGCGGTGGCCTAGGTTCCCGCTGCCTGGGTGTCCGACGCCGAGGGTATCTGCGCCGGAAGCAGCCGTGGGGTGGTTATCGCGGAGAGCGAGGGTAGTGGGTTGGGCGGGAGAGTTGGGCTCGTCAAAGTGCACGGACGAGTTGTTTGTGAGGGTTGGGGAGGATGGGACGATAGGGGAAAGTGCGGGAGCGAGGTGGGTGTGGGGGTTGGATGGGTCGACAGCGGCTGGGTGGGCGTTGAAGTCCGCTGCGGTGGGTTCCCGGGTGTTGTCGTCAATGTCGGTGGTGATGATACGAGGGGGAGCGGGGGTCGACATGGTGGCTGGAGGATGTCGAGGGGGGTGAAGTGAAAGTCAAGTGGCAAAAAGTCGGAATGGACCGAACTGCCTTTCCTACCTTGGGGTATGTATAGTTGATGGAAGAAGAGGATACACCGCCTTTCGACCTGCTGCCCGCTGTCTGAGTGGCGGGTTGTGAGGCTAGCGATGATGATGATGGTGAGGAGATGGAGAAAGAACGTTTGATGGCAAGGAAGCGCTGCTCTGCGAATTCCCTCAACGAGCGTAATGCCAAGACACTTGTGAGTCACAGCCGGGAGAAAGGAGGCAAAGGCGGCTCAAACTGATCGAGGAGGAGAACACGTGGAAAGCGGTCATCCCCGACACACCCACCCCCAGCCAAAGCAGTGCTTCACTCTCGTCTCGCAGCTCTATCCTATGCATGCATCGACTGGGAACAGACAGCAAGCATCAGTATACCAGCAGCCAGAACCATCCATGCATGGCTTCGATCTGATCTCAGCAGCTGAAAGCGCGTCATCCTTGGCGAAGTGCGCGATTAACGAGGTGCCTTGCGCGGGATCTTTTTCGAGAAGGCTTGGCGCGGGTGGCGAATGCACATGTGGGGAAGGTGGGGTAGGGATCTGTAGAATGAGGAGTACTGTCCGTCGGTGGCAGGGATTGTGGCGGATCGGCCGCTTGTGGGGCAGACCAGTGAACGAGAGCTCTACTGCGGACTCGACGATATCAAGGCCAGCATAGCCCGCAGATCTCTCCATAAGCTACATGTCAATGCATTTTGTGAGAGCGCATACGTTGATTATGGCCGGACGCTCGACCTAGTTGACGACGTTCCCAGACACGTCCTGCGCTCCAGGCTCATCCGCCACCTTCTTTGCGATCTTCTCCTCAGGTCCGCCGGCACCCTCAAAGTCTTTCGCCTTGGTGGCACTGAGGTATCAGCTATCCTCCTCATTGGCAGCATCGGATAGCACCGCTCCTACGGGAGAGGTCACAGGTGAGAGGTTAAAGGGGTGGTCCAGACCTACCTTCCGGTCAGCTTGTTGGCCTCCTCACCTCCCTCCTCGACGGGGATGGTGGGGTTCTCGCCTCGCTTCGTACCGCCAACCTGGACTGTCGAACCGGGGAACTGGGAGGTGACGTTCTCGTTAACGCCCGAGTCTTCCGCTGGGGGTGTCAGCGCGTCTTCGAGCTCAGTGTAGTATACCCATGTACGGCAAGTGTACATGTGATGCTCAGAGCTCCTGGGCGGGGCATAACATATGATGAAGTCGACAAGGATGCAGGAGAGGGATGAAAAGTGGGACCCAACACTCACTGGACAAGCTCTGCCCCTTCCCCGATCCAGTCTGCGCGCTCGAGGCGTTGATCGCCTGCTCGGACTTCTGGATGATCTCTTGGTCGGACATGGTGGTTGTTATAGAGTCTGGATGAGTGGATGAAGGATGTGTGTAGGCGTGAGGTGGTGATGACAGAAGTTGTTGAACGAGCACGTACAAGGTCTCAGATGATTGACCCAACGGCCAGCATGATGCGTCGTCGATGCTTGACGTCATAGGTATCAAAATGATGACAGGCTGATACAAGTTGTCGACTGGCCGTTTCAATCACAATTCGCCCTGGACCACACATGACATCTCTCTCTCTCACACATGGCACCTTCATGCTGCATGCTTGATCCACTGATGGGCGCCTTGAACGGACGGAACAGAGTGCGATCTCGACACGCTGCTGCTCGCTGGACCGCTGGACATCGAGCGGACCTGCACCGGAGCCGAGCGGGCCGGTATGCCGTACAGCTGTACCTGCAGGCCTGCACTTTCGCTCGTCCATTGCTCGTTCACCACTCACAACTGTTCTGATGCGTACTGATAGCACGGACTGCACTGAGCCTCGCCTACAACAAGAGAAGAGGGTTATAGATCTCGTAAGCTCTCCGCGCTCCGCATGATCTCAGCTCAATGTTCAGCAGACCCTCTCATGATGCCCGCTCCGGCTCGTGTCATCCTCGTCGGCGTCGCCGGTTTCGGCGCTAGCCACCTCACCAATCTCCGCCGCTTGGCCAGTACAGGACACGCTCAAATCGTCGGTCTCGTCGATCCCTCCCTCCACGCCCAATCCCTCTCTGACCCTTCTTACACCCCTCCCGACGACGCCCCCCTCTTCCCCACTCTCAGCTCCGCCCTCTCCTCGTCCGGCCAAGTAGACATCGTCGTCCTCTGCGTGCCTATACACCTGCACGCGCCCCTCACTCGCGAGGCTCTACTTTCCGGCGCGGATGTCCTGCTGGAGAAGCCCCCATTCGCGCGGATGGCGGATTTCGAGGCCATCCTGCAGCTCCAAGCTGAAACGGGGCGGAAAGTGCAGGTCGGGTTTCAGAGCCTTGGCTCCCTAGTCCTCCCACACCTCTTACCAGGCGGAGAGATCCCTATAGGGCGTACACTGTCAGTGAGGGCAAAAGGGACATGGCTACGGCGGGAAGGGTACTGGAATCGCGCACCCTGGGTCGGCCGGCGCAGCCTCGGCGAGACGGACACGATGGATGGGGTAGCTACCAACGCGCTCGCTCACGCCGTTATCACCTCACTTCAAATCGCCGGTATGCACCTCGCGGAGGACGTCGCGCAGGTCGAGCTGGAGATGTATCGCGCCAACCCGGTCGACGTGGATGACACGACCAGCCTCCGGGTCACTCCCTCTCGGTCAGGAGATGGGGGTGGGGATGGTGCGAGGGTGACAGCGGCGCTGACGCTGTGCGCGGCGGAGCAGACGTGGCCGACGATCGATATAGTCGGGGAAGGGGGCACGGCGACGTTCGAGTACGTCACGGGGACGTTGAGGTGGAAGGGGGAGGAACGGACGTACGACCGGGTCGACCTGCTCCAGAACCTGATCGAGCACCGGTGGGACGAAACGGGGACGCCTTTACTCTGTCCCCTGAGGTCGACGGGAGCGTTCATGCGCGTCCTCGAAGCGGTCCGGACCGCTCCCGAACCGGTCCATATCCAGCGGAAATACGTGGACGTCCGAGGGGAAGGCAGCGACGCGCACCACGTCGTACAGGACGTGGAGAAATGGGTGGAAGCAGCAGCGGACGCCGAGGCGCTCTTCTCAGAGGTTGGCGCGCCTTGGGCATTCGCGGGCCGGGATAAAGTCCTCGCGAACGCGATACTGGGCGGACGGACCATCCTGGAGATTCAGGACGGGGGGAGCATTCTCCCTACCTCTTCCCCTCGACCATACATACATCCTATACGTACCCTCTCCGGCGTAGAGGTCTCGGCCACCCATCCGGCGGACCACGACTGGCATTGCGGCCTCGGATTCGCGGTGCCCGACGTGGACGGGTGTAGTTTCTGGGGAGGAGGGACGTATGTTCACGGAAAGGGCTACGTGGATCTGGAGAATCACGGGCGGATGACGACGGAGCGGGTCGAGTACCTCCCCTCCTCCTCCGGCTCGGCGCCGAATCCGAGCGGGATCGAGCAGACTATACTATGGACAAACCACCTCGGCCATTCCCCCCTGCGCGAGCTTCGATCCCTCCGGTGGTCCCTCCTTCCCCACTGCGGCAGCGGCGGCGGCGACGGCGGCATCTCAGGCTGGGTTTTATCGTACCGCACCACCCTCACCGCCCTCGCCGGCCCCGTCTCCCTCGGCAGTCCAGGAACCAACGGCCGACCGGGAGGTGGATACGGCGGTTTCTTCTGGCGATTACCGCGGTGCTCGGACGTCCAGCTTTTGGGGGCGGGCGGGAAAGAGGGGGAAGAGGAGGTACATGGTCAAAAGGCGGATTGGATCTCGTGGTCTGCGGTGTTTGAGGGGAGACCGGGAGCGGTGGGTGAGGCGACAATTGTGATTGTGCCGGAGGATGAAGAGACGGGGAGGGATCGGTGGGTTGTTAGGAGGGAGACGTATCCCGGCATAGGGTCGGCGGTGGCTTGGGAGGAGAGGACGGAGATTGCAGATGGAAGGGAATTGAGTAGGGGGTTCAGGGTGGCGGTGGTGGATGGCAGGATGGAGAGGGACGAGGTGGAGAAGGTCGTAGAGGTGCTGAGGGAGAGCACATCAAAGGGTCGCTCATCTAGTTGACATGGCCCGGAGGTCTGGCGGAACACATTATATATGCACAGTACTGACTCATCTAACGATACTGATAATCTTCACTCTCCCATAACGATGTCTTCAGCGCCACCCTCATTATCGCTGATCACTGCGCAGTCCCCTCTGCTTCCTACCTGCTGGCTGAGCGATGCCATGGTTTCAGCCTGCCGGTTCGCAGTCACCTCGTGCTTGTCTGAGGGAGAGTTTGTAGCCTCTTCCAGGGCCTTCCGATCGGCCATCATGAAGCTGCTTCTGGGTGGTCGAGTCCGCTGCGTACTGCGGTGCCGTCGCATGGTTCGTCCATGTCCCTCGAACATCGTGTCAGCCGGCCGGCTTCGGCTCGCCCTGACGATGCTCGAAGAGTCTTTGCTCACACGATACTGATTCGCATGCTGGGACCTCGCCGTATTCGAGATGTTCGAGCGCGGGCGCTGTGGGACAGGCCGTATGATGCTCCGCATCGCATCCTGACGCTGGTGGGCTGTATGACCGTGACGCTGGGATGGGTCATGCTCCTCGGTGAATGGGTATGCTTCTCGTGCTGACAATGAACGCTGACCGTCCCCGTGGACATGTTCCCCAGGCTCAGCGGGCGAGGCGCCGGTGACGACTGACGTGTCCTCAGCGACCCAGCACTGGAAGTCGCCTGGCTCAGCAGCGGGTAGGGATGGCCAGGGAAGCAGACTGTCGATGAAGTCCTGCCACTCCTTTGTATGCCGGTTCTGGTTGTTCTGCTCGCTGATCGAAAGAGTCGGTATCACCTGTGCGGATCGGTTGGACCTGCGACCCATCTCAATCTCCTCATTTCGCTCCCCCCTCGCCTGGGCCAAGTTCCTCCGCATCATCGCTTGGAGGGACGCCTCATCTTCCTCCGAATAGGCTACCCGCATCTTACGGGGCACTGCCATGCCATTCCTGTTGTAGCGCAGCCCGAAGGGCGGAGAGGGCTGGTGTTCAGTGCCTTACGATGGCCTGTTGCTGTCCGGATCTGTCTTGACCGCGGCCTGTGCGCTCGAAGTCTGGTCCTTCATAGGCTCGTCCCCGAGGTCCATCCGCTCCTCACTGGTATCTAGACCAGAGCCCTCCAAGCTGACAGTGTGATCTGGCGCTCCTGGCCAGAAGGCGAGTGTTGCAGTCGAAACGGTGCTAGCCGAGACTCCCGCACCACACTCCTCTGGGGCAACGGCGGTCTTGAGTACCGAGGCTGCATCGGTTTCGCCACCCGTGACACTGACCACAAGTGCTGCAAACTGTGCGCTCGGTTCGTCAAGGTGAGTAGCGTCATCTACAAGAGGCAAGTCAGGCATGTTGAATGGCTTGTAACTGTCAAATAGGAAGATTGAGTGAGAGCGGTGGGCCGTCGGGAATGAGGGGAGAAGTACGAAGCGGGAACGTTTGACCGAGCGATCCTATCGCTCGAGGATGACTCGAAGAGCTCTGGCCAGAGCTCGTGAAAGGAGCGCACAGCTTGTCATGGCCCCGACATGATGTCGTAGAGACCTCAAAGGGATGAAAGGTTGCCTCACCGCCTCCCCCTGAGAACACCTATACCTCATGGCGAACCATATCAAAGTTCCGCTCGAATATTCGACCGCACTAGTGGACTGTGGCCGAGATCAATGGGTACGGTGCGCTGACCGATGCAAATCGCCTGTATGCATATCGTAGCCTGGTGACACAGATCAAGCACGATACAACGCCCTGCTCAGCTTCTCAGTGCTCGGACCTCTCCGATGCTCCTGCTCCTTCCTCCCCACTTTTGCGCTGCCATCCGTCAATGAGGCCCCAGCAACTGATCTGTGTGTCGTAGGTCTTCGCACGCCACTCCATGAAAACAGTGATCTCTTCCGCGCTTTCTCGAGCCTTCCTTTCCTCTCCTGTACTGCTGTCGAATGACCACTAGTATGTATGGCGATCATGCCTCGAGTGTAAATACTTCGCATGTCAGTACTCGCTTGCCTCGATGCGAACTCTTGTTGCTGGACAGTCTCGAAGATCTCTGTCGGATTCTCAGTGGCGGAGTCGGGGGATGTGCAGAGGTGGTCCTGAGTGTGCTGAAACTCGGAGTGTGACAATTGTGTTGCTTGTCGGTCCTCGGTACTGGAGAGCGACGAAGCGCAGGGGCTCGCCATACGCATCTCGGAATCTTCCGTAGTGCAGTCTGGGCCGGGCTCAGTATCGCTCGATGGTCCATTCAAGGAGAGCGAACCGAAAGGAAGGGAGTTGATTATGTCGGTACAATGCGACATGGTGATGTGAGCGATATATCGCGGTGGCAGAGCTATCAGGAGTATCAGGACATAGATCCAGGTCAGGTATAGATCACGATGAGATGGATGACACTATGTCGCCTTCAGCTGATTTGGTCAGGTCGGAGTCAGAAGAGGCGGAGGTTCCGCAAAGGATCATACAACTTGAAGAGGCGTTCAAGGGGACCATCACTGTTCGTGTCACAGGTCAATGCAAGACTAAGGGGCATACGTGAAGGGAAGGAGAAGTGACTGTGCGGCGTGTGACACTCAGCAATTATTTGCTCACATCAAGAACAAAGAATGATCAATAGTCATGATACGGCTGACGAGCGGCCTTATCGCATCATGAGAGCTGGATGAGGAGCAGGGTAAGGCATTTGCGCAATCTGAGCTATATTAGTCTGATCAGCACTTCAAGCTGAAGTCAGTAGACAGAAGTACACAAGCATCGTTACAACTCCGGAACATACTGGTACAACTCGCGCATTTGCAACTCCAAGATCTCAGAGCACCGCTCGACCGGGCCCCCTTCCTTCCGCTGCCGCCTTCGTTCAGTGCTTCTTACTCTCCAGCCTGAGATTCACCAGCCCACCCAACAACCTCAAATTCGTCTCCCTATCCCAATGCTGCCTCTCCTTCTCTTTCGGCGGCGCAGCACTTCCTCCCGCCTGCTTGCCCATCATCTTATCCAAGAACCCTCCACCTGATGCCCCGCTGCCCGAAGCCTCCGCCATCTCCTTGACCACCTCCTCCATCTCCCTCTTCTCATCCTCAACCTCCACTATCTCCGGCCACAACCGCCTCTTGGTCGCCTGATGGGCCGCACCGGGTATATCCCACCCTTCGACCCTCCATACCTCATACCGCTCCTTGACCTCCTCCTCTTCCACCTCCAGCGCACTGATGAGGCTGGCGAGAAACTCCGAGATCACCTGCGGGTCTTTCTGGGGTACGAAGGTACGCTGCCCGAAGGGACCGGGAATCTCGTATCGCTGGCTGGGGAGGTGGAGGTGGATGATGATTTTACGGAAGTCCTGGAGCGGCTCGCATAGGAGGATATTGGAGGTGACGAGTCTGCCTGAACCGGCGGGGATGTACTGGATGACCAGCGTCTCGGTAGTGGACCCTACGAGACCCGCGAGCTCTTTGAAGAGGGGGATGGTGGGCCGGACGAAGGAGAGCGTTAGGTGACGAGGGCGGAGGACGGCGAGCTGTTGACGCGATGCTTCGTTGGTGGAGCTTTCGAGAGGGAGGCCGTAGACTAGGGATTTCAGGCGGTCCTTCTGGGTCCGGATGAGCTGGAAGCCGAATGCGAAGCTGGGGATCGGAGGGATGAAGGGGTGGAAGGGAGTGGGGTAATCGGGCAGGATGGAGATGGCCTCCAGGCTATCTAGAGCTGGACAAGAGAGAATGGCATCTACACGTCAGCGACGTAGAGACAAGGACAGCCGGGACAAGACCCACATAGATCGCTGGTAGAGTCGAAGCCCTCCCGGAGCGTTACAGTCTTGGCGAGCTTGAGTATATCCGCCGCGCCCTTCTTGGACTCGATCATAGCTAGTAGGTTCCTCCACCTAAATGGATCAGCACAGCCTCACCGATAGTGTTACATGAGCCACTCTAGACTTACGGTCGATGGCCCACGACCTCAAGATCCTTCCACAATCCTGCCCGAAGCTCATCTCGCCACTCGCGACATACTCCGCTCCACCGCCAACTACTGATCGGGTATCCATTAGCGGAGACTGTATCGCCATAGATGGACCGGTAGTTCTTCTGTCCTGCGTGAAGTGGGATCTGACGCTGCAGTTCGAGATAGCGTGAGCCAAGAGGGTCCACTGCTAGAGGAGCGGGTTGGATGTAGCTGTTGGATCAGTCTAAATCCCAAAGCGTACAAGACTAGTCAGATGTGTGAATAGAGGATCGTGAACTCACTCAACGCTCTCCTGCAGCGCATCGAGCAGTATCCGCACCCTCAGCTCCGGCGGCAAACTCCCTAGATCAAAGCTCTTCCGGGACGTGAAGACCTTTCCGCCGATCTGGAACGATACATTTGAGTGGTCGCCTTGTATAGCATTGGAGATGCCTATGCCTGTCCGGGATCAGCAGATGGTCCGGGGAGGATACCCGCAGATCCGCCTGGAGGGCAGATAGGATTTGGAGCGGAGCTCACCGATGTTCGCGCCTGCTTCGACGATGTGTGGGAGCAGTAAGGGGATGAGAAACGCCATGTTACAGTCCTGCTGAGGTGCGCCTCTGGGTCTGAGCTCAATGTGGTTGTCGATGGGATGAGATGGAGAGTGTACAGATGGAGCCCATAGCGACCATAGATAGAGAGGCAGGTCGGACGAGGTCGATGACGCGATGACGTAAACCATCGCCAAGCTCTGCCTGCTCGCGTCGAGGCGGATCGATGCTCCCCATGCCTTGCAACTCGACCTGTCTCCTGCGACCTGGCATAGCACCGCTTAGTCCAGCGCGCACAGTTGAGGAGAGAGTGAGGCCCTCATGCTGCTCAAGCGGTACCCCGCTGCTGGAGATCGAAGCAGCTATCATGTCTCTTTAGCCGAGCCTCGAGAAAAACTTTAGCGATCTGCCCTCGGCTTCGGTCAGCCAATGTCCATCATCATCAATGCATTCAATACATAGCGGACTTCCACCCCACCCGCAGCTCCCCAGGACCTAGGCCTCTCCTGGCAGCGTCATGAGCTGATCCTCCATCCCGGCGCCTCGGAAGGCTCGGACTTCGGAGTCCGGGGTGACGGACGGAAGGTCCGCGCCTCCGCGGACCTCGGTCGGCATCGGCCTCGGCTTCGGCATGCTATTTTGGACCATACCTCGCTGCAAATAGGGCTAGTCATACTCAGCCCTCACGAAGCCTCACAGCTAGATAAGGACAGCCAGACAGCCATGTAGCCTTCGCAGTAACCTCATCCTCTCGACCCTCACATCACTATGGAGAAGCAGCTTATCCTCATCATTGGCGCTGGCCTCGCCGGGCCCGCCCTGGCCCTTTCCCTCGCTCGTCACTCCATCAAGTCCACAATCTTTGAGATCCGGCCCTCCCTTAGCGAGCCTGGTGGATCCATCACTCTCGCCGCCAACGCCGTTCGAGCGCTCACCTTACTCGGCGGAGACGAGCTTATCGCCCGGATTCAGGCGGCAGGGTTCGTATATACCCGGATGACGGCGTTTCTGAGCACGGGGTATCGGTATGGTGATCTCGTTGTTGGGGAGGAGGGGGAAGGCGGGGTGCCGGCAGTGAGGATCATGCGGACAGCCTTGAACAAGCTCTTACTAGAGGAATGTGAGAAGAAGGGAGTAGACGTACGATGGGGGAAGAAGCTGGAGAGCATCAGAGAGGATGACGGAGGTGTCACTGCGGTCTTTGAGGATGGTTCCATCAAGCAGGGTGAGTCATGGAAAGACTTGAGCTCACCGCAGGCTCAGCGCTCATTGGCGCGGACGGTATCCACTCCTTCACTCGCCAACACGTCCTGCCTGAACCCCCAAAGCCCACTTACGCCGGCTCCTGCGTCATCAACGGCTTCCTCCCCCGCTCGTCCGTCACTACACCCACACCCGATTATCCCTTCCCTGCTATGATCTTCTCCCCCTCTGGTCTCCTCATGACCATCCCCATCGACCCGTCCGGCCAGCAGCTCGCATGGGGTATCACCAAGACCGTTCCCGACGACAAGGGTCGGGCCGGATGGGCAGCGTACGAGTCCTCCGGCGCGGCCTACGCGGACGCCAAAGCCGACTTTGACAATATCACAACCGAGCCCATCCGGTCCCTCCTCGACAACGCCGATGCCAAGACAGCGAAGCTATGGGCGGCTTACTCCATCCCGGATCTGCCGAGGTGGCATCGCGGTCGGGTCTGCCTCATCGGGGACGCGGCGCATGCTCTCCCTCCAAACGGCCAGGGATCCGCCATGGCGTTCGAGGACGCGGCGCTCCTCGTCAGGCTCTTGACCGACTCGAAGGCGATGGAGAGGGGATATGAGGCGGTCTTTGGGCATTGGGAGACGGTGCGCAGAAAGCGGGTGGAGGATGTCAAGAAGCATAGTAAGGTCGGAGGGATGATGAAGAGTAGTCATCATCCCGAGTCGTGGGCGTGGTGGGCGAAGACCTGGCTGTTCTGGCTGTTTATCACGGTGAAGAACAGGGGGGTCGTACAGGCTGGAGCAGGGTTCTCGGGGTATGATGTGATGACGGAGAACATTGAGGTGGAGTAGCTGTAGTCACGTGATGGGATCAAGGAAGTCTGGAGAGGGAGTGGAAGGGTCAATGGGATCGCTTCAGGTGTGTTAGGTTCTAAACTCAAAGCGGGTCTGTATTAGTACCTATGCTTCGGCAGATTAGAAACGAGCATGTAAAGCCTACGATGTATGACTCCCGCCCAGTCCCGCAAAGACATCCACCGCATCCCTCGCCGCATTCCTCATCGCTCTGATCGACGCTTCATCATAGTCCCCTTCCCTCCCAATGAAATTGAGCGCCCCAAGCGTCACTCCGTCCTTCACCGCCGGAACGCAAATCAACATCCCTGCGCCCAAGCTCCGGATCGCCGTCGCGTCGTTGTATGTCGACTGTATCTCGTCGACTGTCATACAGGCGTGGACTTCTTGTCGGACGAGAACGGTCTGTGGCCAGGGGGCGTCCATGGGCATGTACTTGGCTCCGCCTGTTGGCCAGTTGACCTGTATGTCAGCGCATGGCGCAGCCACAAGGTCGCGAGGGAGAGAAAGATGTCATTTACCTGATCGGTAGAGTAAACACGCTGGAGGGAACAATCGGAAGGATTCCAGGTGAAGATCGTCAGGCAGACATAGCCTATTGACTGCCAATCAGCGATTGGAAGAGAAGGCGAAGGCGGGCAGCTGGACTCACTTGCTTTGTCCGCTCAGCTATCGACTCGAATGCTGGGTGGTTCGCCGTGGGCTTATCAGGCCGTACGATGCGGGTGTTGGCAACTACCATCTCAAGAGTAAGTGCGGGCGGCGGGGAGGAAAATGAAGTATAGGTTTTGGCGGCTCGCCATGAAGTTGGCAACTCCAGTCAGATAAGACTTATCAGTGCGCGGAGTGGCGGAGTGGCCCGCGTCCTTCGCATGCTCATCGTGGCCGCGGCCACCAGCTTACGTCCGCGCTAGCTCCGTCTGTTCACATCCCGAGTGATACCGGAGAATAGTCGGAGACAGCTGGCGTTGCTGCGTCTGCGCGCTGAGGGAGACACCAGCTCCACATTCCTCAACCATATTTGATCCCGACGGCTTCAAGTTCCCGGCCACTTGGGACTTGAGCGCTTGAGCGCCTGAAATCTCGCTGCTCCTGCTCTGTCGTCTCGTCGTATCGTCATATTGCCCTCTATAGCCTCTATGCGCTGCGCGAGCTCGGGACAGACCCTATCGGCACTGCCGCCTGCTATGACTCTGAGCGCACCGGCTGGGAGAAAGCCGAAGAGCAGCGCCCAAGACATACCTCCGATAGGGTTCCCCGCGGCCAAAGCACGGGATTCGCGGAGATAAGCTCCGAGTGGTGCATGGTGCATGATGGTATATCTGACAGCTGCTCATCTCGCTCACAAGATGCCCACCTGATTATCTGATCTTGTCTTCATACCTCCGACCCCTCAGTGACACCATGTCCGCGCAGGAGAAAGCTGAATCACTACACAAAGCGGACGGCGGTCTTGATGGCCACCCGGTGGCCGTCCCGCCTACAGAGTACGAGATTGACGAGACGTCTGATGTTGCTGGGAAGTTCTTGGCTAGGTACGTTTCAGATCCACCTTGTCGGAGCTTAGGCTATGCTGATGGCCAGGATTGCACAGCGTGAAGATGCGGCGGAACTTCTCGCGCCTCATTCGGAACGAGAGGAGAAGGTGTTGCTCCGCAAGGTGGACTGGATCATGATGACGCTGCTTCAGTTCGCTCTGAGTAAGTCTCGTATCTCCGGAACGGTGGATCATGCTGATGCATCAGTGATGGGATCAGTGGACAAGGTGTCCATCGGCTCGGCCGCCGTGCTTGGGCTTCGAACGGACCTCAACCTTCAGGGCCAGGAATACTCTCTTACCAGTGCTGCCATTTACTTTGGAGGTGAGTCTCACTTCGTCAGCTGATAGGCCAAGGCTGACAGGCAGCGATATGCTCGATCATCCCGTCCCTGGCGTTGATGCAGCGCGTCCCGGCCAACTTGTACATATCGACCATGGTCATGTGCTGGGGTATCATCACCTGCATGATGCCCTTATGCACCAACTACAGCACCTTTTTCGGCGTCCGGTTCCTCCTCGGCATATTCGAATCCGTCATCTTTGCCGGCTTTGGCCTCATTGTGAGCTTCCCCCTCCTGCGTCCTCTGATGCATTACGAAAGCTTATCTACCAGGTATCGATGTGGTGGACCCGTAAAGAACAGCCTTTCCGAACAGCCATCATTTTCTCCACCCTCTCTTCGTACGTTTGCACTCCCAACTCAGCTGACGCGCAGCGTAATGAACGGTCTCCTCGCCACCGCCGCTCAGTCCTACAAAGGCACTGCCCTCAAGCAATGGCAACTCCTCTTCATGATTGTCGGCCTCATCACCTTCGTCTGGTCCATCATGCTCTTCTGCTTCCTCCCTGCCAGCCCTACTTCGGCATGGTGGCTCACTCTCCGGCAGCGCGTCATCGCCACCCGGAGACAGGCGGGCAATCATACCGGTATGGAGAGCAAGCAGTGGAAATGGGCGCAGTTTTTCGAGGCGCTGTATGACCCCAAGACGTGGCTCATCTTCTGCATCAATCTGGTACTCAACATCCCTAACGGTGGATTGGTCACGTGGGTCCCGCTGTGCCCTTCAGAGACAAGGCAGAGCTGACAACGTAGCTTCAACTCCATCATCGTCGCCTCCCTCGGCTTCACTATCCAGCAAACCACCCTGCTCGGTATACCCACTGGCGTGATCTCTTGGATCTCGTCCCTCTTCTTTGGCTGGCTCGCAGTCAAGACGGGTCAGCGCTGCTATGCCGCCATGGCCGCCTGCGTCATTCCATTGGTCGGTACGATCCTCCTCTACACTGTTCCGCGCTCCAATATCGGCGGATCGCTCGTCTCCCTCTACCTTGTCTATTTCTACTGGTAAGCTTCTTCTCCACACCGCCTCCCTCTGGCCTGAGCTGACTCCACAGGGGTCCATACATCGTCATGATGGGTTCCGTCTACGCCAACACCGGCGGATATACCAAGAAGATGATTGTCTACGCCTTGTCCTACATCGGGTATAGCGTCGGCAATATCGTCGGACCTCTTACATTCACCACTGACCAAGCTCCAAAGTATACCGGAGGTAAGTCCGTTCCACTACATCTCTCGCTCTACCCGCTGACACCTTAGGCGTCATCGCCATGCTGGTCTGCTACTGCGCCGCGATCTTCCTGATTCTGGCATATCGCTTCGTACGTCTTTGCTGTCGACCGAAGATTCAGCGCTGATGTTCCAGCTCATCCAGTACTCGAACCGGCAGCGAGAGCGCACACGCCAGGGGCTCGGGGATCTCGATTCCAACGATCTTCTCGCGGAGTGGCAGGACCAGACGGACTTTAAGAATCCGCGATTCGTGTATGAGCTATAGATCGTTCTCTCTTCTTTTCTTTCATTTACTGGATTGCCGGGCTATGTAGGCTGTGTACAAGTAGGGTCGGGACTTGCCATGTAGGACTGTCGACTGCATCTTGTCGAGCTGTTCCACAGCCACTAGAGCCATACCTCCCTTTGCCTTCCATCTTATGGACGGGAGCAAAATGTCTTGGCTCCAGAGCACCTGCTCGTCCCCCACACTTACTTTGTCCATCTATCATCTCTGTCTATACCCGACTAGCTCTTCAAACCATCTCAGCCGCCTCTCAGCCAGTCCCATATCCACCAGGCCGCCAGAAAAGGGGATCCCACCCGGGCTCGGAACCCTCAAGAAGAATGTTTAAACGACTCCCGACTTTCAAGTCCCTTCCGCAGGCTATCGGCCTACCGTTCTTGTCGACACAAGAGGACGCGCAGTTGAAGTTCAAGAGTGGGGATAATGGCATCAAGAGGCTGTACGGCGACGAGGTGAGCGTTATTCTCAGCAGGGTGATGAGTCTGGAGCTGGAGCAGCTCGGGCAGACCAAAGCCGCGGCCGTGTATTGCCGAAATCAGCACATGAGCTGATGTGTAGGTGATATCCCCCTCGGATGTGGGCTACTGGGCGCAGTATTATTCTTTGTTTAGCTCGGTACAGGATGTTTACTCACTCATTACCGCTCAAGACGGTATGTCCCCTTCCCTTGTCCTCCCCTCACCCTATCTCTGGACCAGACCAAGCTGATCCCCAAGTCCGTCAAACCTTGACCGCCCAGCCCGCCAACCTCTCGACACTGATCATCCACTTATCCAAACATCTCTTCGCGCTCCTCCCCTCCGAATTCTTCCCTACCCCCTCCTCGGCCTCATCCGCACCCACTGGCCAAAACGGGCAAGACACAACGCGCGAGGCACTAAACTGCCTACGCGTACTAGGGCGAATCCTCGTGGTGGTCTACGAAGCGGAAGCTACGTCTAGGGAAGGCGGCGTCTCGGCGGGTGAGGGGTTCGCGAGGGAGTGTCTGTGGGCGAGACAGCCTGTGGTCGGCGATGATGAGGTCCGGATGAGCGTTGGGGCTGGAGCTGGAGGAGCAGGAGGGATCGAGGACGAGGGGCAGTTCACGATTGAGGATTCGGATGAGGAGGATGGTGCAGAGGAGGAAGATCCGGACGATGCGGGTGATATAGGACGGTCAGAGACGCCCAAGAAGGAAAAGGAGAGGAGGGAGAAGGGGAGGGTACCGGCGCAGGCGCAGTCTACGGCAAATGGGAACGGAGGGGCGGACCCATTATCTGCACCTTCGCCCGCGCCACAACGGACGGCGGAAGATCTGCAGCCAAGCCTCATCGACCGGCTGTTCAGCTGTACGATCGACCTCCTTTTCTGCGCGGGATTTACGGTGCCCGAGTCGGTGAGGGGTCAGCAGGACGCGGGGGAAAAGGTCAACGTGAGTCCTGGCCCTCGCTCGGGGAACGGAGGCCAAGGCTGATGGGCAGTATGTGATCTGGGAGAAGGGCGTTGGAAGTACGGTCAGCGTCGGCTCAACGACCGAGCTCGATCGGAACAAGGTCGAGGTGCTCCGTAAGTCCCGTACTACCCCGGCCGATCCTAACTGACGATCAGGCTTCCTAATGATTCTCCTGTCTACGACAGTCTACACTCCACCTCAATCCCTCCCTACTACGCCTAATCAGCCCCTCTCGCACCTCACTCATTCGCTCGAACGCCGCCTCGTCCTCTCGCTCTTATGCTCATTGCTGAATACGTCGCTGGCGGTGCCCAAGGCGAATACGGTGGGGTCGATTCCGTACAACCACCTGATCTCGAAGGGAGGGGAGGAGAAACGGACGTTGGTCAGAGCGTGTTTGATGATGCTGCTGGTCGCGCTGGACCATACGGAGGCGAGGAGGGAGGAAGGGATGGGTGAGGGGAAGGAGGAGAATGCGTTCAGGTTCTTTGTTAGCAAGCTGGTGAGTGCCCATATCAGCTTCAACGTGAGGATGAGCTGATGTAGTAGCATCGAAAAGAGGACTTTGCGTTCATCCTGGACGGGATCTTTGCGGTTCTGCAAGAACAAACGGCAGTATCCAGCGTACTTTTACCAGGGAGCAAGCAGCCCGTCCCATACATCCTCGAAATCTGTACGTACCCCTTCCTCCCTCTCCCCCGTCACTCATCTGACCCCCAGTCATGCTCCTCTGGCGCTTTGTCGACCTCAACAAGCGATTCCGGCAATACCTCTACGAAACCAACCGCACATCCGACCTCGTCGCCTACATCCTCCTCATCTCCCTAGACCTCAAAGACGATCCGGCGCAACACGGACTCCTCCGTCTGCTCGCGTACCTCCTCCAGACCCTCTCTGCCGACGCCGCATTCGCCCAGTCTCTCGCTCAGCCTGTCCGCCTACCGATACCTGCAAAATGGGCCGTTTCAGGCACACCGGGCACCACTGCGGACTTTTTGATTGTGTCGATCTACAGTATCGCCACGACGCCGGGACTGAACCCGCTCTTCCCGGCGTTGACGATCACTATTGCGAATGTCGCGCCGTACTGGAAGGACGTGGGCGTCGGGGCGAGCATGCGATTATTGCAGTTGTTCAAGGCGTTCTCGGCGCCGAACTTCTTGTTGGCAGATGAGGGGCATCCGAGACTTGTGTATTATCTGTGAGCTACCCGGAACTTTTCGAGTGAAAGCGGTAGCTGATAGACAGACTCGAAACGTTCAACTCGGTCCTATATCATCAGCTCAACGACAATCCGAATCTCGTCTACGCCATCCTCCGGTCGCATCAGGATTTCCAGACCCTCGCGACCTTCTCGCTCGTCTCTGGTCTTCGGGAGATACAGCGCCGTAAAGCCCTTCGGTCAGCAGCCGTCGAACTCGCCAGACAGCCAGACTCTTACGTGCCTGTTCCGCCTATAAAACGGACGAATTCGGAACTGGACATGTTAGCTGAGAAGGCGGCGCTCCTAGGGCGGGAGACGGAGGATGAGGAGGGGTCGACGCAGATCGTACCTATGACGCCGGGGGAGTTGGAGGATCCGATCAACGCAGGGACGAGGGGGATTTGGTCTCCCCCGCCGTCAGGCGGTTTGGAGATGGGCGGGACTGGAGGAGGGATGAGCGAGAAGGCGAGGGGAAAGATGAGGGCGACGGAATCGACGACGTCGCTTTCGCTCAATCAGGAGACGGGGGCGGGGATGAATGGTACGAACGGGGCGGTCGAGGCTCAGGAGGGGGATGAGGAGATTATGAAGGTGGCGGCGGCGGGGGTCGGGCCGAACAAGTATGTGCCGACGCAAGAATGGGTGTCTAGTTGGCAGAAGGGGTGAGTTGATTCTTCTCTGGCCGCATGGGATCATCTGGCTGGTTGGGAAACGGGCTGATAGGCTAGATTACCGCTTGACCCGGTGCTCGTGGCGATATCGGAACTTTTGCCCAAGATACAAGACACTCAGTCCGCGGGCGGAGCACCCAGTTCCAAGGTGTTCAGACTGTTGAAGGAGGTGGAGATTGCGGAGGTTTTGCCGCCTGCGCCGCCTATCGCTCCGAGACGATTTCAGGTGAGTTTTACGATCCCCTTTCTTCTTTGTGTAGACTTGCACTGGAGTTCGGATCTAAGCTGACATCGTAGTGGTCTCAAGCTTCGGCAATCTGGCTCACCTCACTTCTCTGGGGCGACATCTACGTTGCAGGCTTGACACCCGCCGGCGTGGGAGTATGGCGGGATACCCAAGTACGGCTCTTTGGGATCAAGCAGGCGCCTGAGCGGGGGAGGTCGGCGCAAGTCGGTAGGGTGTTGAAGATGATTGGGGTAGTATAGTCATAGGAGTTGGCGGGCAGCGGGGAGGTGGGGCAGCGGGGCCCAAGGACTAGATACTCTAGCGGAAAATCTGAATGGGATCTGCGCGGATCGGCGGGGATCTGGGGTGACGTTATTGCGTATGGATGCTAATCTTGCCAAAACCGCACTAGTGGATTATCGATAAGATACGATCTCTGGAGAAGCTGGCTGACTGGCATGCGTGGCTGCGGCAACTAGAGGCATACCTTCTGTACGGAGTCGCTGAGAGCTTGCGGAAGCCAAGCAAGAGAGCCAGTGAGAGATCCCTATGATGCAGGGGCGTCAAGGCGTTCTCTTGTCCGGGCACGCGGGCGAGATACCTCCGACTAGAATTACTAGATTCGGACATTCTCATTACGTTTCATTACGGATACATGATGCAGCTGTGGGAGCTGTGCCTGGATTTTGTATTGCTGCCTGCCGTTCGCTGCCGCACTCAGCACCCAAGAAAAAGCAAAGGCTCGTGCGTTCGTCGCTAGTCAGCATCAGTAGCAGGGCATTCCATCTCCACAACCTCAGCTATACGCGCTCGTATACTCCTATACTCCCACACGCGAAGCCTCCTCCCATTCGAGGGGTGGAAACGCGTCAATCAATCAACCTCCCCCGGAGCCCGTGGTTTCCGGACCTGAATCTGTTTCGAAACCCCTATTTCTGTCCTGCTTCGCCCATCCCCTCACTCTCCCTCGCCCTTCGTCTTTGTTCGCTCTTAGCGCGCCCGTGTCTCAAGCTCTCATCCTACCCTCTCGGCCGGTCGATATAGCAGCATCGGAATCGGGATCGACCTCTCAACCTTGACAAGGGAAGTCTGCTTACCTCCCTTCGACGCGCGGTCATCATCCATCCTTGGCTGAGCTCGGTCGGTCCCCCATCCATCCCTTCTCCCCTCTCTCTCATCCAAAATGAACAGCCACGAGCACCCCCCTCGGGCGGGAGGATCGCAGCGGACGCGTTTCGCTCCTTCACGATACACCACCATCTGGGACAAGGTGAAGCAATCCCTCAAACCCCCTTCCCATCCCTCTACTACCTCGGAATCGGCGGTCGACTCGTCCTTCAACATGACGGACCAGGTATACCTGGAAAGCGAGCACGGGCGGGTCAGCGGACCGACTCTGGACCTCCTCAACCCAAATGCGGGTACCACCAGCCGGCACAAGAAGCAGATCCGTCGTCGGCCGAAATCATCAGTGGCGAACTCGACGAGTCGGTACGGGGATGACGAGGATCTCAATGCGAATCCGCACGATCCGTTCGGGCACGTCGTGGTGGAGAATGACTTTGACCACTTTGTGCCGGGTGCGGCAAAGAGCGAGTCGGGGAGTACAAATCCGGGGACGGGCGGACAAAGATCGGGGACGGGATTGTTTTCGAGGACGTCCAAGGGGGATGGGGACGACGAAGAGGATGAAGACGAGGTGAAGGATACGCGCAGTGAGATGGGGAGTATAAGGAGGGACAGGAGGCAGATCTGGGTGCAAAGGACGAGGGTGTATGAGTTTGTGGTGGACAGGTGTTGGCCGAATCTCAAGCACTTTTTGGATTCGGCATTCCCAGAGCCAAGTAAGGAGCGGTCATTCCAGAAGGAGGTGAGCCCAATCCAAGCACTATGGTCTACGAGATGAGCTGACCCGCAGACATGGTTCATGAACAAACCCGCCGCGCTCGCTTCTTCGACCTACTTTCTCATCGCTTGGGTCCTTACCGTCTCGCTACTACCCACGCCCCTGGGCAACTTCAACTGGGGAGTCTATGTCGCTGCTGCCGGTGTAAGTCTACCAGCCATCTGAAGGTCCTCACCCCGCTGATGCCCAGTTCCTCACCATTCCTATCTTCTTCATGGTCGCGCTCGACTACCCACGCCGCCTCCCATCAGTCTATCAACCTTTCCTCGCGGGTGCAACCTGGATCCTCGCCGATATTCTCGTCATCGAGATGCACGTCTGCGGCTTCTTCAGCAATGACAACCAATGCGGCAGCCGGAACTTTCTCAACACATTCGCGTTCGCGTACGGCCAGCCTACCCTCGCTGTCTTTGCGCTGAAACAGGGCCGGTCATTCGCTGTGATGGGGGCGGTCCAGTGGATGGTCCTGGTCGGCGCACTGTTGATGACGGAGGAGAACTACCCGGTCCTCTTTTACCGGAATATCGTCATGTGTAAGCTTACCCTCCTTTTGCTTGAGAGTCAGCTGACGGGCAGTCTGCTTCTTCCACGCCTTCATCATCGGCACTTCATTCCTCAAGGAACGGTCCGACCGCCAGATGTTTGCACTGCGCCAACAGCTCAAGATCCAATATCGGGCCACCCAGTCCGCCCAGGTTCTGGAGCGCCGGTCGGCCGATTCGAAGAAACGATTCGTTTCGTACATTTTCCACGAAGTGCGAGTACCGCTCAACACGGCGTTGCTGGCGGTGCAGAACTTGGAAGGTGAGAATGTCTTTGGAGGGCTGGAGGAGGATCAGTCAGAGATGGTACATGGGTTGATGGGGAGTCTGACCATGATGGAGAAGGTAGGTCCCTCGGATACATGGGATGTGCGGTGCTGATGAGCAAGGTTTTGAATGATGTTCTATCGTTCAACCGGATGGAAAGTGGGAAATTCACCCAAGCGCGCAAACCTTTCGACTTTCACAAGAGCATCCAGCTCGTTGCGCTCAGTCATCGGATGCAGGCGCACTCGGCGGGTATCGAGCTTATCGTGGAGCTGGATAAGGATATTGATCGGATAGGGGGGACGTTTGTGGGGGATGAAATGAGGTTGAGGCAGGTTACGAGGTGAGTTTTACCCACCCGGAACAAGGGAATGAGCTGATGACTCAGTAATCTCGTGTCCAACTCTATCAAATTCACCGAAAAGGGTTCCGTCCGAATCGTCACTAAGCTCTTGTATCCTCGATTCGAGCCTACTCCTTCGGTCGAACGTGATGACCCGCTCAATATCGCCGCCGACAATGCCCAATCAATCAAACATGTGGATGGCAATACCGAGAAGATTGAGCATGTGGTGGATCTGGAGAAGGGGTCGGTGGCGGTCGAAGCGCAGCGGCAGAATCGTGATTCGATGGGTGAAAAGGCGCAAGCGCCGGCGCCGGAGGAGCGGAGGAGGGAGAAGGCGGTTGTGAGGGTCGAGATCCACGATACCGGCGTCGGACTCAAGAAGCAGGATGTCATCGAGTGGGTCATGTTTTCATCAAGGGGAAGGAGAAAGCTGATGGTGTAGTAATCGACTCTTCTCGCCATACGTCCAAACGGAGATTGGACGGCGACAAGGCGGGAAGGGGTCGGGACTGGGCCTGGCGCTTGTCCGCCAGATCGTCAAGCTGTCGGATGGTCGACTGGGCGTCGAAAGTCAATTCGGCAAGGGCTCGATGTTCTGGTTTGAACTACCCTACTCTATCCCTTCGAAACGGAGAGAAGCGCTTCCAGTGGGCATCAGCCTCCTCGGCTCGCCCAAACCAGAACGGACCACTCCGAGCGTGCGCCAAAATCCAACATTACCGCCTTCCGGTCTGAGCAGCTCCTACATCCCCTCCACCCCCGGTCTGACTACGGCCAGCCAACCTACCTCGATCCTCCAAAACCCCTCGACCCATTCGAATTCTTCGCCTCAACCCCCACCTGTCCGAGCGGTCGATTTCCAGCCTCCACCGGAACGTCCCGCACTCACCATCACAGAATCGGAGCTCCCCCTTCTTCCTGACTCGCACGGCGGGGCGCGTCCGGTACCTACCGAAGAAATCATAGCGTCGACTTTCCCATCGACGTATACGGAAGGATATACGCCCGGCCGGACACCCATCTCGCCTGAGATCAGGGGTGATGCGGACCCGTTCGAGTCGGCTCGTCCGGTCTTGCAGCGCGGATCGAGCGATTCGGGGCGGACAAAGACGGATAGTCCGCCCATGGCCAGGCCGGGATTGCCGGAGACGGCAGAGGTGGCCGTGGCGGGTCCGTCGGCGCCTACCTCGGCAGCTCCAGCTCCGGCGGCGGCGGCGGCCGCGGCCGGGGCGAGGATGGGCGTGGATGTGCCAAATACGCCAGGGACAGGAGAGGGGCCGCTCTGCCTCTTGGTGGTCGATGATGACAAGTAAGCTATACCTTACCTGGCGATGTGAAAAGGGGGACAAGCTGACAAGATAGGTTGACCCGGATGCTCATGTCTCGAATGCTGAGACGGCTGGGGCATCAAGTGACGACGGCGGAGAATGGAAAGGTTGCGCTGGAGATGTTGACGGACTGCTTTGAGGGTAAAGCGGGGGTCCCGAAGTTTGATATGGTGTTTTTGGACAAGTGAGTCTGGTTTCCGCTCATCCTGACATGTCATCACGCTCGTCAAATACGTCGTCCCCTGCCTCAGATTTCCCGTTCTCCAACCTCGATCCTTTCCCATACCATACCTTCCCTCTCTACCGTCGAGATCCCGCGCTAAACCCACAGCCAAATGCCAATCATGTCGGGCGTCGAAGTAGCAGGCCACGTCCGCGACCTCGGCCAACACATCTTTATCGTCGGCTGTACCGGTAACGCATTGCGGGAAGACCAAGAAGAGTATATCGCGGCGGGTGCGGACGATATTCTGACGAAACCGATCCATCAGAAGAACGTGGTGGGGATGATTGCGGAGGCGAGGAAGCGGATAGCAGGGGAGACCAAGTGGGTTGCTGGGGCGGCATTGGGGGATCGGAGGGGGAGTGCGTCCCTGGACTAACAGGGGACAGGTATGTATACTAGACTGACCGGGAGTCGTTTGTGTATCTTTCTTTTTTGGGTTTCGGGTGTTCTATCGTAGACTTGTATCATGGTATCTTCGTTCCGATACTGGGACTAATCACGTAGTAGAGCAAGTCAAGGAGCATACATGCATTCCTTGCCAGCCTTGCAGCTTGCAGCTTGCAGCTTACAACTTCAACCCAATCTTTCATCTCCAGATACGCTCGCCTATAGCCTACTTCTTCAGACCGCCGAGCTCCTGCTCGATAAACTCCTCGACGGCCTCATTGTACCCTTCGTCCTTGTCGTCCACCTGGAATCCCATGCCTTGGGATATGGTGCTGTCGTAGTCTCCCGCCCAGGTCTTGCAGATTGCTTGGACGGCCGTGTCGATCTTATAGTCGACGAGTTTGAAGGCTTCGTCCCCGCCGTACTTTTTGCTGGAGTGTCAGCGGGAATCTCCAAGGCACAGCGTCCGTCGGAGAGGGATACAGCGACAGATAGAGGCGGCAGCATACGACGTGACAGGGCGAATGGAATGTGATGATTAGGGGAAGGCAGACTTACAGCGCCTCCAGCATCTGACCCGGTGTAACCCTTACACCCGGCAAATTGATGCTCCTCCCTTCCCCAGCAGGGAACGCGCTCTCCGGCATGACCCCCGCATACGCGATGTTGCGGAGCACCGTCGTGACTTTGGTGCAGTACAGGGGGTAGTTGTTGATGTTCGGGTCGGAAGGGGAGGAAGCTATCGGGAGGGTCGTGCGGATGTTTTGGAGGGGTTCGCGGATGAGGCCAGAGACGAAGGATGAGGCGGCGGAGGAAGGCTAAGGGTTAGCTTTCAACTCGATGAAGCAGTCGAGGTGGAACTTACTGCGCCTGAGCGGATACAGACTGTCGGGAGACGGACTGAGCGGGTATCGAGGTATCCTACATGATCAACTACGCGTCCAGTTCCGAATGGAAGGACCAAGGAGCTCACCTTTCCGCCCATAGTCGTAGACATAGAGCTCCATGATGTTCTTCTCGATCCCGTAGCTCGTCCCGGGGTACAACGGCGTCTTGCGGGGATCCACATGGTCCAGCGGTCCGCACCCTGGACCGCCGTAAATCGCCAGACTCGAGACAAAGACATAGACGGGCTTCTTGTCTCCTGTTTGACCAGTCTCTGTAGCGTGTGCGTGGGTCGCACGGAGTACATTCAGGTGGGAGTCGACATTGACGGCGTAGCCTAGTTCGAAGTTGGCTTCGGAGCCGCCGGACATGATTCCGCTGAGGAGCGTCAGCTGGGTCTCTCCCGCGCAACGGGTGCGTAAGAGGGTGGGTAGCTCACTGTAAGGCATATACGAGCCCGATCTTCTCCCCCTCGAAGAGAGACTTCACAGCGGCCGTATCCCCCAGGTCAGCCTTGACGGCCTTGAGCTTGGACTCGTCGGACACGCCGAAAGTAGGGGGTTGGACCACATCGGTCAAGAGCAGCTTGACGTCCGGGGCGTATTTGAGAAGCAGCTGGGTGAGCTTCTGGCCGACAAACCCTATTGGTCAGCTGTATCCTCTAACAGACTGATGCTGCGTATGAGGCGGAAAAGGGAGCCACGCAGTGTCAGGGGGGCGCGGATGAGGGGCACATACCTCCAGCACCAGTGATGAGGATCGTGCGAATGTGCTCGGGGAACTTGATAGCATCATAAGTTGGGATACCGGACATTTTTGCGTTTACTATGAGGGGCTGAGAAGGATGCAGAAGGACGATGCTGAAGAGAGAGAGATACAGCACTGAAAGTTGCAGCTCAAGTGGAAGTGATCATGTAGCCAGCAGCTGCATCTTGGCGGCTGCGCTGAATCGGGTCCGATCCGGGCCGCCTTTTACCGAGAGCCGGGCCGGAGGACGCGACATCCGTGCGTCGGCGCGCTCTTCAGGTGGGCCCAGCTGGGTGGTCGTTGAATGGGTCCAGGAGATCCAGGAGATCGTTGAGAAGGTCAAGAAGGCTCAGTACTGAGGGTACTGGACTGCATTGAGACTCTACAGCTACTCGTAATTGCACCTGGCTGCTAATAGCAGGAATCAGACCCCTGCACAATCTAGGGAAGCTGGAGGGTAGACGTCAGACCCCCTCGTGCGTGGAACGAGGAGTTTAGACCGAGTCTAATGTCTTCATCCGTCAGTCTGCCAATCGTCAGGCTGTGACTAGGACATACAAAGCCAGAACATCAATACATCATATATAGTCTGCTACATAATTCGGCAAAACCTAACGCTCATGTGTGGGTGACAGTCTTAAACAGTCGGGCCGGTAGCGGCGCCGTGGTGCTGGGATATCAGCCGGGACCTCGATGACAGAGTTGAGAGGACTAGAAGGAAGAGTGGGCAGTTGGCGAGGATGACCAGGTAGAAGCGAGTACTCACGCCAGCGGCGGCCTGGTTGAAACCAGCCTTGTGGGCCTCGGCACCCTCGGCGGCACGCTCCCTCTCCAAAGAGTGCTCGTTGGCATCGTGGGCTGCGTCACGGTGCTCTGTGTTGTCAGCTGTGCCCCGGGAATTGAGGTGATGGATGACGAAGAGGCTGGGAGGACGGTGTGAACAGTCGCGAAGGAGGAAGAAGCGATATGGGCGACATGGGACGCAAGGGGATAGTTGTAGGATCAGTGTGCGAGGAGGAAGACAAAGACTCACTCTCGGCGAGCTTCTCCTCCTTCTTCTCAATCTTCTCCTGCTTCTTCACGACATCAGCTGTCGACCCTTGCGGTTTGGGTCGTGCGCAACCAGCTCACCTTCTCGGCCTTCTCCTCCTTCTTCTCACGCTTCTCCTCTTCCTTCTCAGCCTTCTTCACCTCCTTGGCGTGCTCCTTGAGCTCCTTCTCCTCCGCCTTGTGGTCTATCGGACAATCAGCGCCATTCCCTACTTGACGGAAAAGCAAACATACCCTTCTTGACCTCCTTCTGGGTCTCCTTGACGGGGTCGGAAGAGAGCAAGCCCATTGTGATTATGTGTGTAGGTGGGGGTGGTGGGTTGGTTGTTGAGTAGTGGTAGTAGTGCGTGAGAGAATGGGAGGGAAGAGGAAAGGACCAAGAATGACCTTATGTACTCGTCTGCTGTGTCCCTGTATGGTGTTCCACTTCGTCACTGCCAGGTTCCAGCGGGGAACCCGCAGCGCCTTATTGACGTCATTAGGCTCAGTATCCGGCGTTTCATCATGCAGCATGTGAAACGGTATGATGACGACAGCAGAAAGCAGACGCGTCACATCGAGATCTCAGATCCAACGGATCCCAAGAAGGCCAAGCTCACCAACGTGTCACAGCTCCGCCCATGCGCTCCGACGGAGCCTCCAGTCCAGTCGCAGGCAGGCTACAGGTGAAAGAGTGGTGAAAGTCACCCTGCTGGCCTGCTGGCATGCTAGCCTGTCGAATCGACGGCGCCGAGGTCCGAGTCGTCACTTGCGTCCAGCCAACGCATGTGGTACCATCAAGTACAGCCAATGCATGATAACCCTCCTCATGAAGCAGTAGGGCTATGTCTGTAGGGTCGATGGCGACGAGTAACAAGTCCGCAAGCAGCGCGTCGACAACACTGTCTCTGCGAGCAGCATCCGCGCATCAACGAGCTACGCGTACGCGTACTCCAAAGCCACAGCTGCGCTCAGACGAGTCTTTGATCTAGCGCTACCGGATGTGAGACCTAGGATTTGAGGAATCAGCACGTGTCTCCAAGCGGTTCCGGAGTGTGAAAGTATGTATAAAGGATACTCACAGGTTGGTGCCTCTGGCAATCGCGCTGTGATCTCTCTGTCTGGCCTGACCGCGTCGATGGCGACCGTCAGATTGTCCGACTTGAGTTCTCGGGATGTGGCCGATACAACCTCGAGTCGGGACCTGTAATGTCAGCCGCAGGAACTTGTCGTAAAGTAACAGATGGACTGACGAGGAAAAGCAGTCATCGGCAGCCCATGTCATCCCCTCCCCGCCCTCGCCAGCTCATTCTCCCACTTCAGATCCATCTCCATACGCGTCACTTCCTCCCTGGCCCGCACCACCCCCTCGTCCGACCGCCGAACATCCCTCTCTTCCGTTCGCTCGGCCCCTTGACTTCGCTCCATCCCCGACTCCACCCCGAGCCCCGACCCGCCATGCTCAACCGGCAGAATCGGCCACTTGATATCCCTCTCCAACTGCGGCGTCCCATGCGCACTAGGTCCCGCCTGACTCTCCCCCTCATACAGGCCCGGAAAGACCGGCGGACCTAGACTGGCAAAAGCCCCGCTGCCCCACTTCGCATCCATCTCGAGCCGGTTCACTTTCCTGTCCATCCCCACAAGTGCTCCCTCCGCAGCTAAGGCCGACCCCATCGTGTACCCCTGCCCGTCCCCTGAGCCGCTCGGACCGAAAGACGGAGAAGGAGGAGCTCCCCACTTCGTATCCATCTCCAGCGGGGTCGTTCCCCTCTCCTCCCGATTCTTTCCTTTGGGGATCGCCCAGTCCACCTTATTCACGGGAGACATCGAGATAGGAAAGGGCGTGACCCTCCCTGCCTCCTCTTCTGCCTGTACGACCACCCCTTCCGACCCCTGTCCGGACACATTATCCTCCTGTTCCGGCGTGATTGGCCCAGACTCGGACCGTGCCGTCGTCACGCGGGATAAGAAACCGCCTAGCCGACTCCGGCGACTTCGGGACGTGACAGCGCTGCCCATCGTTGACGTTCGGCGCATCGATAGCGGGTTGGGGTTGGGTGCGGTGCCGTTCGGCGAGAGGAGGGTGCCGATGGGGGAGAGGGGAGAAGGAGAGGAGGGAGATGATGAGCGGCCGGATTGAGCGGATTTAGATTTGGAGAGACGGCGCTGATCTTTCGCTGAGCGGACCGACCGGATTGCGCCTCGGGACGAGTGGTTGAGGAAGGCGATGGAGGCTGAGATGGGGCAAAGAGCGAGGATCGTAGCTGGCGATCAGTGAGGCTCATTCTTCTTGTACCGCGACCCCACTCGAAGCTTCTTCTTCCCTCCATCACTTCAGGTGCTACATTCGCTCATCATTGAGAGGAGATGGGAAAGGTAACTCACTGCCATACCCCAGTCCACCGAGCGCACCAAACACACCGCCCTCTTTGGCCCAATACCACGTCAGCCCGACCGGACCCTTCATCCCTTCCCTGAGCTCGGCCCATGCGCCCCTCCCGCCCTCTTTGAGTCCCTCGCGGAAGTTCGAGACACGCGATTTCGGGGCTTTTGTGAATGGGGATGGGAGCTCAAGGGGTTCGAGGAAAGAGCGGGGTCTGTGTGGGGCTGAAGGGTCAGCTTTGGTTATTTCCGGAAGAATTGAGTATCCTGAATCGCAAGTTGAAGATCGAGGACAGCAGGGAATGGATCAGGATAGATAGAGAGAACGTACGAGGTGAAGGAACAATATGTTCTCCTGCTACGACCGCTGAGGTAGCGTGTGCCCAAGTCAGCTGCCTTGGCGCAGAATAGTTGGGTCTGGCAGAATATGGCGGAGGTGCCATGCCTGGCTCGGGTACATTGGCAGCAACTGCTGTTATTGTTGTCGCTAGTATGGGCTGTAGGGATAGTAGGGGAAGCGAACGCGCTGGAGGGGCCGATACCGCCACAGAGTTGATGGCCTCGGTCGACATGGCTTCGTTCTGGTCAATGGTGCGAGCCGGAGCGCCATGACGAGGGGCTACTACTGATTGTAGCCCATAGTGTGGCGATGTGTGACGTTCCGCAGTACTGAGCGAGAGTTCATCGGGGCGAGCGGAGCCTCCGGCAGCCTCAAAGACGGCGTGAGGAGGCGAGACGATGGCGCTCGGGCTTCCCGCGAGCGAGATTGTCGCCATGGACTATCAATGCTGTGTCTTCCTGATGATGGTGGGCGAGATCAGTCAAGAAGTTGTTCGAAGGCCGTGATAGGTAGATAGAGAGGTAGATGAGCATCGTGAGGGGCTTGTCAATAGGCAGAAGACAGGACGGAAAGGAAAGGCTTGGCGCTGCCGCGGACTTGAGCCGGCTCGGCCTACCGGCCGCGGGAGTGGTCAAAACTATTGGTGGGCTCGACCGGATAACCAGTCCGGGAATCTCACTCCGCACCAGAATCCGTAAACGGTTTTGTATGTATCTCTTGTACATAAATATATATCACGCTAGCATACACATACAGCAGCATGTCGACGCAGCCGCGAGCCATTGATACAGCTACAGAGGCTTTTCAGATCGAAAAAAAAATCAACTCACCATTTACCATATCAACTCAGCAGCCTCCCGGAGACCTCCCGGAGTGTCGTTCCCCTTCGCCGATCTCAGCTATACCGCAGCTATGCGTTGATTCCTAGCATCCAGAGTAGGTCTCGACTCCTCGCGCATCTGGCTGGAAGCTGATGGCTGGGCACAGCGCGTCCTTGGTCTAAGCTGGCTGAGGGAACGCGGTTTTTGCATGATCCAGTAAGCCCCAGTTCCCACCCTTTCCCTCAAATCATCCGACTTTGACCTTCTCACTCCACATCTCTGATGCATATCTGCTCCCTCATCTGATCATCCACCCCACCCAATGTGCATCAGTGCGTCGCTGACAATACAGATTAAACGGGGTTGTGAGCTGCCACAACGCGTCCTCCCACTTCTCCCCCATATGCGGCGGTATGGGAGCGGTGCCAATTTGATGAGTCGAAGGGTATCGAGGGGGCAGAGGGAGCAGGCGTGGCCGAGTTTCGGGAAGGTCTCTATATCAGTAGAGCTCAAATATCTTGAGGGAGAGGTTGAGGGAGACCAAGTCCGATGGGGGTGGTGGAGGATGACAAGACGGACAAAATACGGACTGAGAGGCAAAATGGGGCACGCGTGAAGCATCCGCCAGTCTTGATTGTTGACTATTGTCAGACGCTGGGAAATAAGCTCGCGCCCATGGTTATTGAGAGCAGAGCTAGACTCACGCTGCCAGCCTGTCCTTGGTCATGAGCAGTCCAGATCCCCCCAAATCTGCTCCCTCAAGTCCCCTGATGCTCTACCCCGGACGTCGCGGCCGTCCGCAGTGGATGCTGAAAGCATAACACGTTAGTTCGGTGGTCCATTGGCTGAGCGAATCGATAAGAGCGCCATCTGTAGGTCGAGCGAAGCGTTGGGGGAAGCGATCGAAGGAGCTCAAGTTGGATGAGAGTCTACCACCTTGTGCCGAAGTACGGTTTCCCGCTGATATCCGCACGTATTCGAGAACCCTGAGAGCTGTCTATCAGGATATCCCTGCAATACTGTCTCGCCTCGAGATGCAGAGTAAAGAGAGACCTGGCGAGACGCGTCGTGGCTGAGTAGATTCCCCGTGGAAAAGTTTAGCACTAATATTGAAATGATGTTAAATGGGTTTTGGCGGGTTTTGGGAGGCATGCATGCGCTACGCATGATGCTGGTGCTGCCTACATGGCTCTGCGCCGTACAGGATAACCCTATGAGGCGTTGTATGGAGGGGTGATACGAGTCTATCACGAGTGCTCAGCGCGGGTGGCGGAGCAGAATGCCAGTACAGATCACGGAATGCGGAATTATTTTTGACCACTTGGCGCCCGGTATCGGCCGGATGAGGTATGCGGCCTGCGGGTGGCATGCAGCTGAAGACTTTGCTTCATGATGCTTTTGAGCTCGACTCTACAAGTACATCATAGCTGTTCATATAGGTTAGATCAATAGGGTCGCCACCGAGGCTTAAGGTCTATTATTCATGCTAGAGCGGCTCGAACCCCCGCCTGCCCGCCTTGGCTCTGGTCCGCCGGCCATCGTCGACTTCCCTCCCCACCACTCTTTCCCCTCCACACCTTGCGGTCCATGGGTACACCACCACATTTCCTCCACATTGCTCTCAGTCTCGGGCCTCCAGATCAATCTCCTCAGCTGGGTCACGCGTAGAGGCGCGATCCTTTGAGATAGCGGGGGCCTTTCGGATCGGAGAGTCCGCAGATTCGGGTTCGACCTCCTTGGCCCGGCGGGGATGGTTGGTCATGAGTGTGAAGGAACAGCTCGGAAGGATCGGCGATGGATCTAGAGGTCGACGCTGATGTATCTACCCTCGGCGACACTGGCTCCGAAGTCGGATCTCGCTAGGTCAGATTAGCTCCATCAAGGGCGCGATGCGGAGGGGTCCGAGAGCCCGCTTCGATATCGGTCGAACGTGCACCACAATCCCTCTTTGCCGGATCCATCACTCACGCTCCTGCTACATCCTTACCGCTAATATTAGGAGGTACAAGTCAATCTAGCTGATCGAGGCTTGGCTCGACGAAGGAGTTGCAGCCGTCAACGTGAGGTCCGAGATGTGGAGTCCGAGCGTTAGGCCAAAGGGAGTGCCTCTTGACGACCTTACACACACAGTAGAACACAATCTCGCTTAAGCCTCACGGAGGGGAACAGCTAACGACTCAACAATGTGTACCTGACGAACTTTATTCTACCTCACTGCTGACAGCGGAGAGGCTTCACACCATCATTTTCGCCTTATCTGCTCTCCCGCTCCTTGCACTTTCTGGCGATACCCACCTAATCAAACGCGCAGCATCTTCTCAAAATGCACCCTATGCTTGCCGTACGAGATCTGAAGTGGATCGAAGTGAGTGCTTCTCTGCCGGCTCATCCGATGTAGCGAGCTGATCGCTAGTTGAATGATCCTTTGGGCGATGGGCAGCCCGGAGAAGAGCATCGCCGCATCATCGAGGCGCGGAATGCTCACTTGACGGTCAGGCAGGATCCGGAGATGCAGAAGTTGGTCGACTTTGTAAGTAGCTTCGTCTACGGCAGAGGATTTGGTGTCCTTTTGGCTGACGATATCAGGCCAATGCCAATGAGCACTTCACCATGAGCGGACCGCCAGGATCTGGAAAGTCCACCCAGTAAGCTACTTTCTACATTGCGTCTTGTCCTCTGTGCACGTGCTGACGTTCAGAATGGCTCAAATGCTCGCTCGCTCGATGCCGGATCGGACGATTCTCGTCGTCTCGCATTCCCGAGTTGGCGCCCGTCTGGGGTACTATCGCCTTGGCGCTGAGTGGGCGGGTGAGTACCGAAGCTCTTCCGTGTAATAATGGGTGACAGATGAGCTGATGATAACAGGCAAGTCCGAGATCCCGGAGGACAAGACCGAGCAGAAGACCCAGGATCGGGTCGCGGGCGGTGGCAAGAAGGACAAGAAGATCGAGCCCATCAGCCTCTCGATCCGCTTCTCGTCCGATCCCATGGAGGTCGGGGTACGCATTGGGTGCGTCACGGAGGGTATCGTCTATCGCGAAATCCTCAAGGATATCCTCCTCGGCCGCTACGGAGCCGTCATCGTCGATGATGTCCAGGAGCAGTCGACCCTCGGGGAGATTTTGGCTGCTGCGTCATTCGCTGTAAGCCGATATACCTGCTCTCCAATCTCTGATGGATCCTCAGCTGACCCATGCAGATGCGTCAGAGCGACTGCACGACCAGATTCATCTTCATCGCATCCGAAACTTTCGACCTCGGCCCTCTCCGCAAGAATCTCCAGCTCCCGCCTGGATCGCACTACGACCTACCTCCCCTCCCCTACGCTCGCACGCCCATATTCGCGCCATACACCATTCCTGTTCCGGCTCGAGAACGCTGGGCAGCGGATCGGGCGGTCCACTTTCTCCGGTCTACATCGTCCGGGGACGTACTAGCGTTTGCTAGTGGGCTGAAAGAGTGTCAAGCCATCGCCCTCGCTATCACCCAGCAGTACGGTACCGACAACCTCGACGTCTTTTCGGTGGCCTCGGGAGCCAGTCGGACCGACAGGGAGCTCGCATTCAGCCCTCGTCCACCCAGCTCGAAACGGCGCGTTTGCGTGACGACCAACGTCGCCCAGAACTCCATCACCCCGGTCGGCTACGTGCATGTCATCCTCACCCTCCGGCACAAGGTCAGCCGTTACGATCCCGTCCTCGACCGGACCGACCTCACTCCCGAAGAGCTCTCGGCCGTCGATGTCGCTCAACAGATCGGACGAATCGGGCGGCTCGAGCCAGGAAGCTTCGAGCTTCCCATTCCCGAGGCGGGCTATGCTGCCATGAAGAAGCAGAGAAATGGTCTGCTTGGTCGCTGCCAACTCTACCAGTATGTTGACCGATCACAAAGCTTGAGAACGTAGCTGATGAATCAGCACAATCCATCTTCTTGAGGAAATCTGAAGCCAAGCAGCAGATGCTGGTTCGGCCAGAAGGCGATCACTTCAGCGCCTACGCCGCTCTTCGAGAGTGGTTAATCAGTATGTCCTCAAACTCATACCGTCCTACCTTGGCTTCAGCTAATGATCAGTACGGACCACCAAGCAAAAGCCAATCCCCGAGGGTACTTCAGAGGACGAGCCGGCGCCCAAGACGCCATCCGAGCTCGCTGCCGACTTTGCGGATGAGCACGGACTATGCGAGCCGGCTCTGCTGGAAGCGTTCGAGATTGTCCAGACGCTACATGGCCAGATGATGGCAACTGACATGTGTAAGTTCTTCCATTCGTCTGCTTTTCGCCGACACGTGGGCTGATTGGGCAGTCTCAAGCGTCAGGATGCGGGCGACGAGGAACCATCCTGCTATACTAGACATGCAACGCTGCCTGGTCTATGGCCACCTGCATCGCATAGCCGTGCGGAGCGTAATCAACGGACAAGTCAGCTACTACCGTATGATCGACGGCAAGAAGGTAAGCCAGACTTCTCCGGCTTGTTAGCATTGAGCTGATCATACAGATCGAGAGTGTGAAGCTTGATAGGGAGACAAAGCTCCGAGGCGATCATGACTACGTGCTATTCTCTGATGTAGGTGCTCATAGGCGCGCAAAAATCTGGACCGCGGGACTCAGCTGATTCTTCAGGCTCGCAAGATTGCTGGAGGCGACTTGACCGTACGTGTAGACGTTTTCACAGGTTGTACAGCAGGGGATCTCAGCTGACGAATCAGGAAATCAGGAGGTTGACAGCTGTCAAGCGTATCTGGTATGTGATCCACCATTATTGACGAGAAATCGAGCTGATGAGAGAAGGATCGACGACGCCGTGCAGGTCCTCGGCATCCCGCAGGCCATATACGCCACTTCGTCTTCAGTCACGCCATAGTCTCTCCTACGCCTCGCCTGACCTATTGTCCACCCCACCATAATTCCTTGCTTTCTGTCTCACCTATACCTTTGTTCTTGATCCATATACCCACGATACCAACCCATCCCATTCATATTCCCCAAACATCTTATCCTACACACACACACACATCCATAAGCCGAGATCCCACCCTACCACTTTACGACTCTTCACCACAACAAAGATCAAAGACGACCACTTTTTACTTTTTCAACATCACCACCACTTTACCCCTTCACCATGAAAAAAGACCAGGACTACCCCTTTAACCACTTTACCACTTTACCCCATACATTGAACAAGACCAGGACTACCAATCTAGATCAGGAGCATTGGGCGGCGTAGGCGATATCGAAGGAGATGAGGAGGAGATAATACGAGGAGGCTGAGGCGGCGAGGCTCGGGCGGGAGGTCTAGGTGGGAAGAGAGATCTTACGTTTGTAATATGTAGTCGGGGCTTTTAGTTGTAGTGGTATCATATGAGATATTGAGCGGCTCTCTGTAGCCCTTGATTCACTCTTGCACGGCTGGCCCGCCAAGCACGACTCGTGGACATATTGAGGCAGCAGACTGGGTCGACTGGATCCTGGCATGGATCTGGAGCTAAAGCTGATCCGTGCGTCAAACTTTGGCTGTACACCTCATTCCTCGCTCGGCACCACCACCTCCTTGACCACCTCAGTCTTCGCTACTAACTTGCTTTCTTCCCGATCCGACGTTGACATCGGATATGGTGTCGCTCCTACGACTCAACCGGCACTGCTCCTCAACTGGTTCAAGTGAGGCAGAAGTGCGCTTGAAGATGGCAGATCTGGTAGCCGGAGGTAACCATCAAGACTCAAAGGGACCTTAGAAGTGGAGAGCGTCCTCAGACACACAGACACACAGCTTAGCGCTCATCAGTCATCACCCTCAAATTTAGCGAACCTTGTTATCCCTTGATACTGTAACTGACGCCCTCACGAATAATGGATCGGTCGATGCAGCACAATCGACATCACCCCATCTCACATCGTTTTCCCCTTGACTACATCACTTTCACGCTGTTCTCATACCTCGACCTACTCACTTACTCTTGCTAATCTCTACGTCATGCCCTCAACACTGTCACTCGCTGAGCTCAAGCATCTCCAGGTGAGTTCTCCCTCGTTTGATAGAACATAAGGCCACTGCTGACTTCGCAGCTCCATGATTTCGCCCATCCCGAAAAAGAGACTTCGACGCAACATCAGGAGTACTTGAGATGGCGATCAGAGTCCAGGCCTGCCTGGGCGGATGATCAAGTGGAGTCTAAACTGCGCCTCGTGAGTGATCTATTACAGCTCTGCCACCGAAGCCGGTCCATGAGTTGACGTCAAACAGATCAAGGAGCACGAGCACTTTAGTATCGGCGGCGCATTCGGATCTGGCAAGTCAACAATGTAAGTCTGTCGCTATAAGCTCTCAACCGTCAGGCTCAAGCTGATCCCCAGGTTTGCAGAAATCTGCGCGTACGCCATGCCCGGTACAGCGATCCTCCTGCTCTGTCTGACCAAAGTCGGCGCAAGGATGATGTGCCAGTACATCAGCTTCGAGGTTGGCTGTACGTCCACGTCACCGCAGAACCTGAAGCATAGCGGCCGAAGCTGACCTGTTCAGTGCCTACCAAGAAAGCCGTCAAAGCTGCGAAATCCGAGCGAGACGGCTAGGAGAAGAAGGCGGACGAGAAGGAGCCACCAGAGGTTGTCGCTCTTCGCATCAGCGAGAAGAGCGAGCACATCGAGGAGGGTACCCGGATCGCCGTGATGACGGAAGGAATGGTATTCCGGGAGTTCCTGCACGATCCTGATCTCAGCCAATTTGGCCTGGTCCTCTTTGATGATTGTTATGAGGAGACGGGGTTGATGGATGTGTTGATCGGCCACGCAAGGCAGGTGAGTTCACCACTATCAGCTGCTTCCTGATCTCCCTTCTGAACGACAGCTGACTTTCTAGCTCATGAGGAGCGGGAACTCGACCCGCTTTGGCTTAATCTCTGGTCCTACCGAGCTTACCCCTTATCACTATTTCCTCTCCCTCCCGCCCGACGCGCACTACGTCCTCCCCTCTCTCCCCTTTCCGCGCGAGGTCCGATACGCCAGCTCGGCATCCGCGGTCCTCGACCTCGAGACGTGGATCGTTGACCAGCTCACCGTCCAGCTTGTCGAGACCACTGGCGACGTCATGATCTTCACGACCGGCCTCACCAGGTGCGAAAGCATCAAGAAGCGTATCTTCTCTGCCAAGCTGTACGGTCTCGAAAACACGGACATCATCGTCATTGCCGCTGCTGTCTCCAGGCAGGACAAGGAGAAGGCGATCCGCAAGCGAGGCGGACACAAGCGGCGGCGGCATCACTACCAACGTCTTTTCCAACACCATCACCCCCGTCGGCTTCACCCTCGTGATCGACACACTCCAGCGCAAGATCAAAGTCTTTGACCCCATCCTCGACTGCTATCAGATGGTCACCGTCGCCGCCTCACTCAACGAGGCCAACTCCACCGCCGGCCGGATCGGCCGCACCCAGTCTGGTATCGCTCTGCGAGCCGCTACCGAGGCGGACTTCATCGCCACTACTGTCCGGTCTCATCCACCCAAGGTGACGCGGGAGGAGTATACGGCCAACCTGCTGTATAAGCTGGCTCTGGAGGCGGAGGATCATGGGCGGGAGTTCGAGCTTCCACGTGAGATTACACCATCTACAGTACGGGCAAGACAGCTGATTTCTGCTAGATCAACCCACTCCTGCTCTCAAGCTTCGAGCTGTCACTACGCTCAAGCATCTCGGCGCCCTCACCCCCTCCAGCGGCCTCTCGTCCATGACCATCACCAAGACCGGCAAGCAGATGGCGCGATTGTCGTGCAGCCCCGAAGTAGGTCCCTCTGGCTCACATCAGGTAACAGAACTGATTAAGTACAGTACGCTCGCTCGCTCGTAGCAGCCAGCGATAGGGGATGCTTGGCGGAGATGATCCTCCTCGTCGCTGCGAATTGCACCTGTAAGTCTCAGCATATACATGAGGCGAGGATACATCAGCTGATGGACAGCCCAAGCGATTTTTCTCGCCGACAAGGAGCTCGCCGCATCAAGAATCCCTCCTCGAGTCCGAAAGGGTATCACGGCCGCGCGCCGCAGGATCGAGATGCGCGAAGGGGACCACTTTGTCCTCTACAATGCTCTTCGGCTTTGGTGGCAATGTGAGTCTAGCTTCTTCTAGTCCATGTGCGAAGACACAGTCGGACTGGAAGCTGATCGTCTAGGCTTGGGCAAGAACGACCGGAACGAAGAGCCGGCAAACCCGGCTGCTGCTTCGGAGTCGAAGGCGAAGAAACCCATCAAGCCTTCAACCAAGTTTGCAACGGAGCATGGTCTGAGAGAAGAGGCGCTGTACGAGGCGGTCGATCTAGCCAAGACACTCCGAGGTCAAGCTGGGATGAAGGGGATGCGTGAGTCATCTCGTCGAGCTTGCGTATCGTCGTCAAAGTTGGAGCTGACACATCAGTCTGCAGCGGTCTCGGCAAATATCATATCTCCCCGTACATCAACTTCAATCGCGAGCCCGTCCAGTATCTCGACCAGATGCGCAAGAGCCTACTCGAGGGGCACCTGCACCGGGTAGCCTACCGGGTCCCGAATAGCTCTACGAAAGAGTTTCATCGTATGATCGATGATCGTTTGGTATGTGGACGCTCGCACTAGTTTGAGGAGCAAGTAAAGCTGACATCGCAGGTCAGGGACGTACACCTGGAGGGACGTCCAGGCGAGCGGTCTATACTTTACGACTCCAGCCATTCATATGTCCTCTTCTCAAGTGTGAGTCCAGGGCCGCAAGTATTTCGAAACCGGAGCGGAGCTGACTTTACAGGCCAGCAAGTCTGAGAATGCCGATACCATCGTGAGTCCTTCTTTCGCTTGCCGGAGGTCAGGTTGTCAGAAGAGGAGTCTGTGCTGATACCCTCTAGACCATCAACAACCTGACCTATCTGGACCGGGAATGGTATGTCCGCCACATTGCTCTTGGATCCGCGCCGAATTGCACAAGCTGACATGTCCAGGATCGAGGGAGCTTGATCGCTCGTCCTTGCGCCCAACATCGTATCAACATCCTAATCGACTCGCATTGAACAACCAACTCGGATTCCTCATATACCCTTATACCCTTTACAACCCTTACCTTGAAAAAAGACCAGGACTGCCACTTTATACACCTTTACACCCTTACCTTGAAAAAAGACCAGGACTACCCCTTTATACCCCTTTACGCCCACCAAGCACAGCGAAGACCAGTGTCTCTGCACTATCCCATACCACTATAGTCCCACCATCCCTACCCCAAATCTCCACAACTGCCGCTTCACCTCCCATTCTGATCATTAGCGCCCCGCTCCCCCTTCTCGTTACCTCTCTGTCCTTCGCGCTGCTTCGGATCCTGTTTCATCTTTGTACTTTTCTATAGTGAACAAACGTAATGGAGGCGAAAGGAGGTTTGTACTAGATAGATTCGGTTGTAACCACTCGTATGGATCTGCCAAGGTCGAATAGGTCAGCTCAGGAAACTCTTGAGTATCTATATGAAGATACTCTGAGTGCTCAGCTATCACCCGCAGTTGCTGGGCAGTCTCATACAGCAGGACATGCATAGGGCAACTAGTGAGACACCTGCCACATCGCACATCGTTAGGGCAGGTCCGTGCGCGATTTCTGCTCCACATTCCTCGGTCTCAGCCTAGCCTCGATGACCAGCTTGGTTCTCCACGTCTGCGTTCATCTTATGCACATCATCAGGCCGGATCAGCCCAAGCACCGCCCTTCGATCCCTGCTCAGACTGATTCCCAACGAGTATGTGATCGGCCATATTCCAAAAGGTACCGCGGCTGAGCTTTCGCCGATGCTCAGCAGGCTGCGGCTCGGCCATCAACCTCGATTTCTGGGTGCAATTGCATCCTCCACTGCCGTATACCCTTGACATCCCGCCCGATATCAGATCCTAACTCCCTATATGGCGCCTCCTATCGCCGTGTGGAGCTCACTTAGACTTTGCCCGTTGCTTAGCGCTGCTTTGCGCCTTGGGGGACAGCCAAAGGAGGGCCCGGACTGCGGACGTCATCACACACACAATGATGAAACGGGGTCTATCTCCAGTCATCAAACACTGATCGATCGTTCCTGTTCCTGTTCCTAGCTCCACTCCTATCCGCTCGGACCTCTTGATACTCGGACATGACACCTCCGAAAGCTGAGCTGACTGTGCCTGACAGGGCGAGGAAAGGAGGAGGATGCGCGCTCGGACTGGCTGACGATAACCCCGGACCCCTGCTTCTCATCATTCCCTCTTCCCTCTCTCCTCTTACTGCCTCTCTACCTCTTTTCCGCCCCTCTCCTGTGCTGACAGATTCATCCCCCAACCCTCCTGTCTTCATACTTGCCTACAATGGTCAACACCGCCGTACCCCAGCTCACTCCTCAGCTGCTCCGGCATCTCGAGGTAAGCCTCCTGTTGATAGCTCGCTGGATGGATACAGCTGATACCTTCTAGCGCGTCGACCAGAGGCTGTCTGGGAAAGCCAAGACGCCTGAGCAGCTTGCTCTGCTAAATGTCCGGGACGCAAACCTTCCCATCAGGAAGGACGAAAATCTGATCCCTCTGATCCACCACGTAAGCCTTTCGGCACGATAAGTAGGTTGGTGAGGTGGCTGACGCCATCAGTACGAGACGTACCGGCACTTCACCATCGGCGGTAAGCCAGGCTCTGGGAAGTCGACCCAGTAAGCCAACGCGGGTCTGAATCTAGGGTGTTAGCTGACTATCAGGTCGACCCAGATCTTGCTTTGGACTCTGAAGCTCGCTGGAGACGGCCGAGCAGTCATGATTGTCGTTCCGGGACGATTTGCCGCCTTACTCCTGTGCGAGAGACTGCGAGCTGAGCTTGGCGGTAGGTTCCGCCTGTCACACTCACCGGCTTTGACAGTGCTGATGATGTAGTCGACGACGATGATCAGAAGGGCATCGTCGTCCTCCGCTCTCGTGACAGTAGCGGTCCCGCGGGTCCGCACGCCCGCATCGTTGTCGTGACGGAGGGCCGGTGCCTTTGGGAGCTCAAGAGCGACATCCTCCTCGGCCGGTACGCCGTCGTCCTCCTCGACGAGGTGCAGGAGCAGTCGGGGAACTCGGATGTTCTTATCGCCTTCGCCAAATGGGTAAGTCTTTCTACTCCACGCCCTTTCCTGCTCGTGCATGCCCCTCAATCAAATCTCATCAACACCAGCTGATGATCTCAGGCGATGCAAGCCAACAGCCACCTCCGTTTCGGGCTCATTTCCGGCACTTCCGACCTCGCCTCTTACCGTTCTTTCCTCAACATCCCCGACGTCGCTCACTTTACCCTCCCCGCCCTCGCCTTCCCGGTCAGAATCTCTTTTGCGGCTGAGCCCGTGGAGGACATTAGGGCGTGGGTCATCGAAAAGCTCTCCTCTTTCATCCAAAACCACTCCGGGGACGTCCTGATCTTCTCGAACGGTCTCAAATCCTGCACCGCACTCGCCAAGGCCATCAAGGCTGCTCCCCTCCCCGAGCCGGTCGACGTTCACGTCGTCTCTAGCCGGGTCAGCCAGCAACGCAAAGACGACGCTACCTCCGTCCGCGCCCCCAACGCCCTTCGCCGGATCATCGTCGGTACAAATTCACTCGAAAATACCATCACCATCCCAGGCATCGCCCTCGTGATGGACACTCTCATGTACAACCTCGCCTCGTACTCGACCGAGCTCGACCATCGTCGTCTCATCGAACGCCTCGTCTCCCGGGTCCAGATCGAGCAGCGAGTCGGACGAGCCGGTCGCACGCAGCCAGGGTACGCTGAGCTGGCGTGTACGAAGGAGCTGTACGAGATGCTGCTCACGATGTATCCCGGGTCCCTGCCCAAGGTCCAGACCGAGGAGTACACCTCGACGCTGCTCACCAACTTGGCGGTCACGTCAATCATCAACTCGCAAGGCGGTGGAGGTGTCCCAAACGGGCAGATGGAGCTGAAAAGTACGTTCACACCCGCCTCGCCATCTAGAGAGATAGCTGACTTTGCAGATCAGACCACTCCGGCGCGCTACGCTCATGCGGTAGCGACCCTGAAGGACCTGGGGGCGGTAACGGAGGATTCGGCGGGCGTCGTCCACCTCACCAAAGTCGGACGGCAGATGTCCAACTTGTCAGTCTCGCCCGAGGTGAGCCATGTTACCAGTATCAAAATAGGGCCAAAGCTGATCAGCAGTACGCTCGATCCCTTATTGCCAGCGTCCAATACAACGGTGTCAAAGTCAACGGCCGATTCCTCAACTGCACTGGCGCGATGATCATTCTTGTCGCTGCTAATTCGACCGGTAAGCTGCCGGGTCCATAGCGACTGGCGACCAGAAGCTGATCCTTCAGGCCAGTCGATCTTCTTCTCGTCCCAGGATGACGCGGAGGGGCAGTACGACCTCAAGCATCAAGCGACTCTCATGTCAGCGCAAGGGGACCACGTCAGCGCCTTTCTCGCTCTTCGAGGTTGGCTCAATAGTAAGTCCATCTGTATCTCATTATATCCGCACAATAGCTGATTTTTTAGTGCTGGAGCAGGACGACCGGAATGCACGTAAAGAGCGCCTTCGGCCCAAAACCAAAGCCCAAGAAACAGACCCCGCCGGCCGACCAAAAGCCACCCCGCTCGCCGACGCCTACGCGGCCAAGTTTTGTCTCCGAAGATCAGCGCTCGACGAGGCTGCAGATCTGGTCAAGGCTCTCACTACGCAGATGAGGATGAGCGGAATGTGTGAGTTAACTTCTTCGACGTTGGGGCCCGACTGGTGTTCCCGGGCTCGGTCGTATATGGAACGAAGCTGATCGGAAAGTCCACTTCGACTTTGACTCGCTCGCCCCTACCGATAGCGTGCATACCGAAGGCGTTCTCCGTAGTCTCATCTATGGCCATCTCCGCAAGATCGCTTTCAAGCCGGCCGCGGGGGACGCGGGGGAGTATCATCGATGGAGCACTGGGCAGGAGGTGAGCTATATGTCTCTCTCAGTTTGGAAACGAAAAGTAGACGTCAGCTAATTCTCGCAGAAACTCTTTATTGATGAAAAGTCTCGACTCTACGCTTCTTCTCCTCAAGTCGTTCTCTTCTCTGACGTGAGCTATCCTCCACTTTTTCCGTCCTCGTCAAGGAAGACGTAGCTGACTATCAGGCGCGGATGCCTCCCAAGCCCGCTTCTCCTAACAACACCGTGAGCTTTGCTGTGCTCTCCTTGACCAGAGCATATAGCTGACGCATCAGATCATCAATCAGCTTTCCATCATTGACCCAGAATGGTACGTGTTCCCCCTTTCTCTCTTTTTTGCGGGATGGGGCAGTGGCTGACTGCGTCTGTAGGGTCCGACAGATCGAGCAGGAGGTCTTGGGGCGGACTTCTCGTTGAACGCTGATCGTGCTCAAGTACTCGTAGCATCACCATCAGATTCGGCGTCGGCAGCTGGGGGTTCTTTTGATTGTATCAAGTCCGAGTGGTTTCAATGGCAGATAGCGTTGTATCTCTGTAGAATAGTATGGATAACGATAGATGACTCGATCAGAGTGGCACTTGATCTTGAAAGAGGAAGGCTTCAAAGCTTCATTTGATGACGTTTCCCTAGTGCAAGAGTGGAGATGGCGAGTCGATCACGGCCCCGTCTCCTCAGAGAAGCGAGAGGGGAGGGCTTGGGGCGGTCGTGGAGCGAGGTGACGAGATGATGAGATGATGGGATGATCATCTGATGCTGGACGTCAGTGTTCCCGTCTTCAGCCAGATGACGATAGGTACGAGCATCATCAGCTCGATTAGATAGGTCCGATAGGTCAGTACGCGTCAGTCTAGCAAGACGGACAAGACCTCAGCACAGACCGGGCCGAACGCCTGATACACCGCTGACCGCTTGCGCCCTGATGATCCCCAACTGTCTGGATCCGTTCTTCCCTCCTCGACCCAACTCTAGACCCCTCATCCCCATCCCCTGCTGAAGCATATCCAGCTCTCGCTTCAAACCTCCATTCCCATCCCCAACCTTATCCCTGTCCCTGCCCCAACGCCGGCGCGGACGCTGACTGTCATAGCCCATACCCATACCCAACGTCAGACCCCAAGACCCAAGACCCAAACCCAAACCTGAACCTCAGCGTATGCTCATGATGATACATGCGGCCAACCCTTTCCCCAGTCCCGTCGTCATCCGCCAAGACTGTCTTCCGGATCGCCACACCCTCTACTCCCTACTCCCCACGCTCTGCTCCGACTCCGACTCGATTCGACTCGGGCCGATTATGCCTCGGTAACAACCGTTGTCTTTTCGCTGACGTACACACCTAGAGAAATCAGCTCAAGTCCCGTTCCATGCATCAGGGGAGCGCGCCCCGCGCTTCCGTACCATCAAGGAACTTTCTAATCTGCCTTATTAGCGATGCTCTACGTTGTTGTATGAAGCCAGAGGGTCCAGAGAAGGAAGAAGAAAGTCGGTGAGGTTGAGGAATGTGGAGTTGGGAATTTGAGACATGATTTTTGGGATTTCGGATTTCGCCGATGGGGGTCGACGAGGGGAGTCCGGACGATGCCTGTAGACCTCCTCGGAGGCTAGCAGAACCTCCCTGAGTCCCAGCCATGACCGCCTCCGACAGCGAGACCCTGCCCCTTTTTTTCCATATCCGCCTGACTTGACCTTACTCCGATATCCTCATCCCTCCCCTCTTTCCTATATCTTCCCAGCACTCGTCCCCCGTACGCCTGGTCCCATACGCATCCCCTTCCCCCTCCCACCCAAGCCCAACCTGACCCAAACCCAAGCCTCAACCAAAACCCAACTCACATCCTTGTTCTTGACCCGTGTCTTATCCGTCAAGCTCGCCGCCGACTGCGACACCTTCTCAATATCGTTCCCCTGGATGATGAGTTCATCCTTGATGTCCGAGAGCGAGACCTTGGTGCCTTCGAGCATGGGGCACTCGCGGACAATCTTCTCGCCGAGGAAGTTTCGGATTTGGAGGGACGTTCCGTCGTCCGAGGGGATGGCGTTGATGGGGAAATGGGCATAGACGAGGCGCATCTTGTAGAGGAAGCCCTGGGTCGTCAGCTCGGGACAAGGCATGGGTTATAGAGAAGAGAAGGACAAACCTTGGTGACACCAGTAATCATGTTCTCAACCATCGACTTGACGGTACGGAGGCACGCAACGTGCTTCCTGGCGCCGTGCCAGACGGTGAACTTGACGGTGTTGTCCTTTGCGGTCTTGACCTGAGGGATTAGCTCGAGCGCAGAGGGGTCAAGGGTTCCGGGTGTCTGTTCCGGTATTCCACCGCTAAGCTCCGTCCGCCTGTTCCATTCCATGTTCCGCGCTGCCCAGTAATCCTAATCTTCGCCCGCCCCCTGTATCCCGTCCCCTCTACAGTCGCTCCGCTCGTGCGCCAATACTCACCACCTGGATGTCCATCTGGATGTGCCCGACCCGCTTGACGAGCTTGCCCCTTGGGCCCTCGACGGTGATGGTGCGTGCCTTGGAGACAACGGTGACCCCCTCGGGGATCGTGAGCGACTCGACGGAAGTGATGTCCTTCATCGTATCGTAGTTGTCGATTAGGTGGAGATGGTAGAGGTAAGATAGTAGAGGCAGTCTTGGAGCTTGTGCTTGTGCTGCGTCGGTGCTCTCCGCAAAAACAGCCACACCCACCCAGAGCCACGCAGCCAGAGCCAAAGCAAAGGGCCACAGCCACGGCGATATAGATTAGATCCCGCAGGGCCAAATGAGACTGTGGCGGGCCATGTCGGCGATAACCTATCGACCGACATTCACGGCACATACCGAGTCCTCGCGGGAGTATAATTTAGCCGAGGCTTCCGTCGGGTTATTTTTCGGCCGGCTGTTACCGCGCTCGGCCGAGATCGCGACTCGAAGCGTGATCACGCTATCGATAGATATCTCCTGCCTATCACACAACTTCTATACCAAGTCGCTCCATACAGCTCATCGCGCGACCAAGCACAGGTGACCTGGACGATAGCCACCCTACATACCGAGTTGACAAGCTAGAAACACCCAGACCCAGCTGCATCAGCTGTATGAACCCCGCCCGCCTCGCTCGTCTAACCTCCACTTTTATCGTCAACCTTCGCTCAAGCACACCCGCTGTGCTCAGCTCGCGCAAATACTCTACTCCCGCTACCAAGGATACACCAGCGCCTCAGATGGCGTCCAGGTCGGCGACCATCCCGCAGGCGGAGCGGCTGTTTGATGGGAACATGCACAAGTCGGATGTTTGGTCCATCTTCACGTGAGTTCAGGTCTATCAAGCGCTACCTGGCCAGCTCTACGCCGATGGAGTGACAGTTCTCAAGAGTCTGCTAGGCTCGAATCGTACGCGTGAACTACAGCTGACAGTCAGCCCCGCCAATGTCCCCGCAGACACCATCAACCTCGGCCAGGGGTTCATGAACTGGGCTCCACCCCGGTGGATCATGGACGGCCTCCACGAAGCCATGACGTCCGAAGTCATGATCAACCACTACTGTCACCCTCGGGGCCGGCCAAAGCTCATCAAGGCGTTGAAGAACCACTTTTCGCCCAAATTTGAGAATCTCGTCAAGGAGGGCAGGGAGTTGAAGGATACCGAGATCATGGCTTCGGCGGGGGCGAACTGCGGTAAGCTGTCCTTGCGCTTCCTGGCGGACGCCTTGGCTGATCCCCAGGCACGTACGCCGCACTGGTCGCCCACGTCAACCCAGGCGAAGAAGTCATCCTCTTCGAACCCTTCTTTGACCAATACTTTGCATCCATCAAATTCCAAGGCGCCAACCCCGTCTACGTCCCCCTCCACCCACCCACATCCACCACCGGCATCACCTCCGGCGCCGACTGGTCCATCGACTTTACCGAGCTCCGGAAGGCCTTTGGACCCAAAACAAAAGCCATCATCGTCAATACGCCACACAACCCCATTGGCAAAGTCTTCACCCGGGACGAATTGACCAAGATTGCCGAGCTGTGCGTCGAGTTCAACGTCATGTGCCTCGCGGACGAGGTGTATGATTGTATGCTGTATGATAATGTGGAGCATGTAAGGATGGCGAGTCTGCCGGGGATGTGGGAGCGGACGATCACGATTGGGTCGGGAGGGAGTGAGTATGGTTCAGCTCAAACCTCAACTTGGATTGTAACTGACGGACAGAATCGTTCGCTGCTACCGGATGGAGAATCGGTATGTCCCCCTCCTTACCTATCTCCTCCTTCTCTTGCTAATCCTCAGGATGGCTCATCGGCGACACCCCCCTCATATCCGCCACCCTCGCCGCCCACTCCCGCCTCGTCTTCTGCACCAACGCCCCCCTCCAAGACGCTGTCGCCCTCGGTCTCGACCACGCCGCCGAGCACTCGTTCTGGGAAGATCAACTCTCGGCATACCAAGAACGCCGCGATATCCTGTGCTCGTATTTCGACCAGCTCGGCCTGAGCTACACGAAGCCAGAAGGAAGCTACTTTGTGTTGGTGGATATGAGTCCGGTACAGGTGCCCGAGAGCTTTGAGGTGCCGAAATTCTTGACGGATGGAGGGAGGGGGAAGGACTTTGTGAAATGTTGGTGGATGTGTCAGGAGATTGGGGTGGTGGGGATCCCGCCCTCTGAGGTGAGTTATGGGTCTGGGTTGGGTCGGATGGGGAGCTGGGTTAAGGGGTGATGGGGTCACTGAGGGAATGTTGGGGATAGAAGGTTGGACTGAAGTGGGGATGGGGATAGGGCGACACGAACATCCAGGAGGGAGAGGGATGGGTCCAGATTGAAGAAGGACTTGAGCTGACTTCCAGTTCTACTGCAAAGAACATGAAAAGATCGGAGAACGTTTCGCTCGATTCGCATTCGTAAGTCCTATCCCTCACCTCCTCTCCTGCCCGACATCGACCACTTACTGTTCTTCTTGTGAGTGAAGGTAGCTGACGCTTCAGTGCAAAGACCCAGAACTCCTCCATGCCGCCGGCAAGCGCTTGCTCAGGCTCAAAGAGTACATGGATCCGTTACACAAGACCGGGGCGAACGGGGCGAACGGGACGGCTGCATGATCGGTGGAGAAGCGGAGGGTGTTTTGGGGGATGGGTACTGAGGAGGCGGAGATGAGGTGATCTGTGTGTATAGGAAGATCGATCTGGGAGTCATGGCTGTATAGGAGTGGGGGCGAGCGATTGGACCGCTGGTATGCACCAGGCTGGCAATACACTCATCGCGCTCACCATACTGACTGGGCTGATTGAGGCATGCCTAGCAGAACCGCTTCGGTGACCCTAGTTGATCACCTGTCAGGATACTGATCACATCGCTCGATAGACTCAATCGCAGCACTGTACATGAACTGAGAACCCTTACTGGACCCTAGACGACCACCGCACTCCTCACTCCACCACATGCCGCAACTACCCGAAGATCTTCTTGATCTCCTCTTCCTCGACCAAGCGGACTCCTTCCGGCTCAGATTCTTCCGTGACCAAGCCGACTTCTTCCGTCTCTGCTTTGTCGAACTGCTTCATGAGTGCCCACTGTGGCGACGCAGAGTGTGAGCTGATTGCGTTCATCGCAGCCTCGGACAGGACCATCCTCAGCGGCTGAGGATCCTCCACAGCATCACCAAATCCAGTCGTCACACCATCAGTCATCAGGGTGAATTGGATGTCGTTGGAACCTCTGACCTTCGCAATGGTCATCCTCAGGGTACCGGACTCCGTGTTCGTATCCACCTCAGTATACGGTCCAGAGTCCGTGATGGGCACCGCCCCGCGGCCGCCCTTGGCCCGCTTGCCGGCCTTGCCCTTCCTTGCACCGGGTTCGACGTTCATGAGATCACCGTCCTCGTCGGTCGTCCACTTCCGCTCCGCCCTGAGCGTGTTTCCTTTGTTGAGATTCGGCCAGTCGTGAAACTGAAGTGTCGTCGTGGAGAGGATGGGGTGCCTGTTGCCGCCTTTCACTTCGGACGCTTGGATCGTTCTCGTCAAAACCTGGAATTCCCCGTCTCTGTAACCGACTGCGATGGCTTGAGACCCCCTCGGGTCCTCATCTACACTGAGCTGTGACACTCTGACCTCGGTTGCTCCGCCCTCCGCATCCGCATCTCCCATCACGGTATCGCCGTCGTCGTTCTCGAAGGTCAAAACCGGCAGGCCGAGATAGCCCGGGAAGTAGATGACTGCGGTCAGCCCGCTTGTGACTTCTCCCATCTCCTTCGCGGACAAGACCTTCACCCATACCGGTCCCTCACCGCTCGTCCTCTCCCCGCCGGACACCTCGGCAGCGTGCATGGTGACCTTGTACGCACCAGGCTCGCCTTTCACAAAGCTGACGTGGATCTGACCTTTGGGCGCGTTCGTGCTCCACTGGATATGCTCGACTCCGGCCGACTGGCTCTGCCCGGAATTCGCGTCGCCTTCGACGCTTTCTCCCTCGCCTTCGCTGCTCTCGTCCTCGACCTCGCCACCAAGGGGCTCCCATTGTTCATCGATGACGATAGAATCCGGAAGCTGTGCTGGGATCATGCCATTCGAGGGCGCGAGCCCAGTGACGGTCGTCTTTGCAGTGACTTGGGTGTCGGTCTCGGAATCAGCCGCTTCGACAGAAAGAGTGAACTCGGCTTCGGTCGGATTATGCGAGTACTTCAAGAACACAGTCTGCTTCGGCGCCGAAGTCCCCCATGGGCCAGGGGCGGCGTCGCTGTGGTCCATGGACGCCATGTGATGTTGTGGGTCGGATCACGGAGGGGAAGGAGAGAGGGCTGGCTTTCGATGTGCTTGACGCAGGGAGAACTCGCTGATATGGTGCAGCAGGGTTGGTGGCGACTGGCGATCGAAGTGCACAGAAGTGAGCGGCGAGGGGAACTGGGGAAGACACACCTCTCGCGGGGCTCGGTATATAAGGTCCTCTTGCCAATGGCCAGCCCCGGTTCAGCTCCGACCCCCGGTCTATAGCTCTGATCCTTTGAATAGCTCTTACGCGTATCACTGAATCACCCTTTTTGAAGCTCGGGGAATATGCTCGTGGCGTGCTCAGGCGTGATGGGGGAAAGCTAAACAAAGGAGAGCGGGAAATCTCGTTTTGTCTGAACCTCCGATCTAGTGGCCACGGAGGGGCTGACCGTGCAGATCTAGATATCGTGGTCGACTTGTAGTAAGCCGGACCCAATGAGCCGTACACAGTCGGTCCTTACTCACGACATGTCCTGTAGGTCAGACTACCCCAGGAAGCGGATAGGTCTCCTGCAAGTGCGAGGCTCACCACTGGAAACGGGTGGCGGAGTACAGGACGCCACATTGCTTCGATCGAGTAGAATGGCATAGGCGCGGTCTGCGGAATACAGTCATAGAATATCGCTGCCACACTTGGCTCAGCTTGAGTTCAGGCTCGGGCTCTCATGATCAGTGGTCCTGTTGCAGAAAATGTGTCGCATGAGGCTGAAATCAAAGTGCTCGGAGCTGGCGACAAAGGTTGCTGTATCCTCCTGACAGTTCCGAGTGCTGTGGAATGCCACTGGGATGACTGGACGGCACTGAGCATCCGGATTCGAGGAGACAGGTCTCGACGAGTGTCTTATCCCTTGCGATAGCTTATTAGCTTGGCTGGACAATCTCGAGAATAATCAACGGCCGTATCTGAGATGACAGAGATGTCATCACGTGCACCTAATGCATTCTTCCTCCAGCACGAACGAGCCGATCTTGAAAGGGGAACACAGAGTCGCCATCACCAAAGACAATACTACTCGTTCCCACCCTCTTGCCGGACGTTGTCATCGGGGATGACGGTGCGTTCGTCCCTGGACCCCTGGGCCTCGTCGTCGGGCACGTACACACGGCCACCCTCTTGCGCAGCTCCTCTGGCCTCTGCCTGGCCTCTCTCCCGCATGGCGCGGTAGAAGGTAGCTGCATCCCTCAATCCCAGGGAAGATGGCATTTCGAACCTCACCTGCTGGGCTTCCGCGCTGCGTCGAATGGCGCTGCATCTCGACTCCGAAGGGTTGGAATCCGACGTGTTTGGGCAGGAAGTCGGCCGGTGTGTCGTACACTCTGCGATCCAGCCATTCCGAATGGCCAACTGCAAGGTTGGAACAACCGTCGTCACCACATAGCCCTGAGTGAGGTTGATCTGCCTGGAAAAGGCTGCGGCTGGCACGGTGACCAGGGTAACAGTCCGCCGCCCATGTACCTCACAAGGCTGGGATGCCCATGGGTCAATCGTCTCTTCAGTCCTGGCAGCGGTCCCGGAGGAGCTGGCCTGGGTTGTCCCAACATCGTCTGCCATGATGACTGATGTTCCGGTAAGGTGTGGGTTCTGTTGTGAATGGAAAAGGGGCATGTGGACAAACTGTTGTCTGGGTCGATGTGAGGCAAGGCAAAGGGATTGAGGGGTGGCAAAAAAGACCCCCCGGGCCCAGCTTATATCTTTCCCGAAGAGCGTCGATTGCGGACGCCTGCACCGCCTCAATCTGCCTCTCCTTTCGCATCTTGCTGCATCAGCTGCGTACTGAAAGGGCGTCCGCAATCTAGTGAAACACCAAACGCAGAGTGGCGCAAGCGCCACTTTCGTCGTATTTGCCACCCCGCCCGACTCAAAGTGCAGTCCAGCGCCACCAGGGGTGCCTGGTCAAAGGGACGAGACGACACTGGGGTTACAGACAGCAGATCAACTGTTCACCAATTAGGTCTCCTCGGGCCAGATCCGACTTTACATAGATTGCTGTTGTGGATGATGAAAGGGAAGTGCAATCTAGTCAAACGCGATCTGGCGCAAGATCACAGCTGGGAGAAGATATGCATTGCTGTATCTTGTTCAACTGCCCATAGCCCGACCTCCGCCGCCCTAAACGCAGCAGTTGACCACCTGCATTGGCTCTTTATATAGACCCTATGGTGCAAAGAAAGGCATTGTGAGGGGAAGAGACAAAGAGCACGGGGCATAGTCCGGTATATATTAGGCCCTGCACGATGCCCTTGCCACTCCTCAGCGCTCACGCCTGATCCCTTCATACCCTAGCCTTGCCTTCGGGTGAAAGGACAGCGCAATCTACCCATACACGTATGGGCACATCGGCGAAAGCGCCACTTCCCCTCCATATCTAGATCTGGGCGAACTGCCTATCCTCAGCCTTTCTAGTCTGGCAGAAGGATGCCGCAGTTTAGATAGCTAGGGAGAGACCTCGGCTGAGCGTGGCACTTGCTGCCACCTTGAATGATTTCCGCCACTTCATAGATCCGTGATCCTTCCTCTGCGCCATGCATTCGTGGTCAACAATTCCAAGGCAGGCTTGCCTGGTGTCCGTCGCCGCCGTGATGCTCAGAGCTTGAAGACCCTCCTCTGGGACATAAGCATGACGTCTAATAGACCGACGGACAGTGGGGCGCTTGGCTCGTAATGCGGTCTCTTGCCCAGTTTGAGGGATCAGCTGAAGTCATTTGCAGAGCTGCTCATCGATTGCGATGGTCTGACGTGCTAGTCCAAACCTCCTGGTTCGATCAATTAAGCTATCTATCTCAGGCTCAAAATCATTCCGACAAGAGGGTCATGGACTGTATGTAGCAAGACGACAATACGTATGCATGATGCTGCCTTATGACCATCTCGCCGGACCACGGAATCAGCCAACTCGCACACAGTCAACCCCCTTATCCCTGCACGCCCCCATCCCTGCGGAGTGATCAAGCACGGAGCGTTCTGGTTCGCCATGTACCTTTCCCACAGCCAACTGCAGTTGGCACAGCCATAGGGAGGATCGCGCGGGTGGTTGGTGCCTGTGATCACGACACTGGTGGACTTAGTGTACGTATCCCGAGCGGTCTGTTGGGAGGTCACGCTTGTCTCCACGACCCGACCGTCAGGCAAGCGAGTGCTTTCACCTTGGAAACTGTCCTGCCCTCGGACCTGACGTGTAACACTCGTCGTGCGGGTTCCGATGAGTGGGCATTCGTTGTAGTCGTACCGATGCTGCTCCAACCACGGATTCTGTACTGCTGACGAGCCTTGGGACGCCTGGTCCTGGCCGTTGCAATTGGAGTTGCTGTCGCTCATGACGGATGATCACAAGAGGGAGAATGGAGAAAGGCGCGGCTTGGACTGTCAGGCAGCGGTACTTGGAGGAGCGACGACTTTGCTGAGTGGCGAGTAATGGCAGTACGTATGGTAAAAGTCGAGGAAGGAGGAGTGGATGGCAAGCTCCTGTTCGCTAGCCCAGCTTACACGATCTTCAGCGTCGACGGCCTGGGCCCAGTCACTCGCATCAAGGCTCGAGATCCTTGCATTATAGATCTGCCCCGTATTGCGCTGGTCAAAGGAATGAATAATCTAGTCAAACGCGCCACGATCAATCATGGTCAACGGGTAAAGCGGCGGACGTATGGAGCTGGTGGCTTCCAGCACAGGCAGCCGACCCGTCCTCGCCACTCTAGCCCGACTCACCAGCGAGCCATGATGTCGGATATAGCGACAAATTCCACCCAGATCAGTAGACCGCCTCGAATTGGCCCCCACCACTGCAGCTCGCTTGCAGTTTCACGTCCCTCGGCACATCCCTGGCTCTGGAGGGCTAGCTCAGTGCCGGCGTCATCCCGCTCGATAGCCAGTGCATAGTGTCGCATCCGGTCCAGAGTATACGTATCCCGCGATGCTCTCTGAGCTGAGATCAATACCCGCCACAGCGCCTCCACCACAGGTAAGGCGATGCATCATCAGGAGATGGTCAAATCGTGCGTTGTTGTAAGTAAACTGCATACATGAGAGGGAGATCAATCTAGGGGCTGACCCGATGCGATCAAGTCGTGAGCTTTGACCACCGCTTCATTCCGGCTTGAATCTCTGCCATGACACATGTGGACACTCAATTGCATGCTGAGAGGTGAGTACCATTTAGAGGCTGAGCTGTGGCAGTCATCTTGGACCTTGGTTGACGATCTACGCTTCCTCCTGTTTGATGCGAGGAGGACCACCTCTCGAAGACCCCGGACCGCCTTGGCTGGATCCGCCCTGGAACTGCGGCGGCCGCAACGACACTGCGCTTCTGTGCCACTGCACAGAGGGCACCCAGAGCGACGTGTTGACCGGCGCGGTCATCACCTTCTGGAATCGACCGCGCTGGACGTTCCTCTTCATCCATTCGCACGACTCGCACCTTGGGTCATTGTGAGTCGTATACGCAAGCGCGGTCGGGTCATTCAGTATGCCTGACAGTTCCTGCACGGGTCCCACGTCGACGCTGTGACCCGTAGCACTGTCCACCAGAGAGGCCTGCACTTCAGTGGACACAGGAGTCTGTAGGATGAGCCTGTCCCACCACAAGCAGCAGGTTCGCTCGCCAGTCTGGGGATTCCAGGACAGGTCATTGGTGGGATCGAACGTCGCGGTGTAATTCGTTTGAAGACGCGGGTAGGTCATACTGCTTGAAAGTGTGTGCGTACAGGTTGCGCGTTGCTTGGAAGAGGGGGATGATGCTTGGAGCAATTGCAAGTAGGAATTGAGTGAACGAAGAAGGAAAGTATGAGAGGGGGGGTCGAGTGGCGGGTGGCGAATAATCCATGCCAGTTCCCCTGATATGCCCATGCAGATCCAGGGCGGATCGCGCCTTCGATATGCGCCTCGCCCAGCATCCTTAGATGATCTATCCCGTGGTCAGCACAGCGAAAGGACTGCGCAATCTAACGATACGCGTAAGACCTCCTCGGCAAATACGGCGGCTGTACGGCCGGACCATCACTTTGTAAGCCACTCAGTAGTCAGTGTAGTAAGTGTGTATGATCGAGCGAGTGGCAGCGGCTCGGTGTCAATATGAAGTTGACTTCTCTGCATGTAGGTCCCAATACTCGCTAATGTATACACAACAATAATATCTACCTGATGATATGCCCAACGCCCATATACACTTGATGGCTACCTTTTACTTCCCTCCCTATCTGCGGTCCACCCCACGACCCGCTTAGATGGTGTACCTGAACCAGTCCACCTTGTCTCCATCATCCTCGTACGCCTTCTTCTCCTCGGCAGTCCATGCGTGTCCGCGGTTGGCGTTCCGCTCGTCCTTGATTCGGTTCTGGCGGGCGAGGTACCACTGCATAAAGGCGGCGGTGACGATGACGATGGCGCAGTAGGCGACGTTGAGGGCGTGTCCCTTTTGGTAGAGCGGGCGATCGGTAGATGGGTAGACGAACGAACTGATAACACCACCAGCCTGGAGACGTTAGCTGAGTCCAGAAAACAAGGGGGGAGCGAGGGAAGAGGTAGGGTAAGGATCGGAAGGATAGGTGAAATAAAAGAAAGCAAAACTCACGTTACCGAAGGACACAATGATAGCGGCAGCGGTACCCTTGCGCAATGACCCGCCCGAGTTGTTGGCACCCCACGAGACGACGACGGGAATGAGGGGGTAGACACCTGCGGCAGCGAGGAAGAGACCGGCAAAGTTGGCTTGCGAGTTGTTGTTGGTGAGGAGCAGGAGGAAGCCGACCATGCCGACCGAGGCGCAGACGATAGCGACGATACCTCGGCGCTGGATGCGGTCCGAAACGTACCCAGCGGCGACGGTGGTGAGAGCGGCGAGGACGTAGGGGGGTACGGACATGAGCTGGGCGGTAGCGGCGGTGTAGCCGAGGTTGGCGGTGAGGGTGGGTGAGAAGAGGGAGAAGCAGTAGACGGGCATGAGGGCGCCTTGGAACATGACGGCGAACTGTGGGTCAGCGGGGATACAAAGAGGGGACAAGGGAAGTGACTCACCATCCAGACCTTCCAGTCGAGGAAGGCATCCTTGACAAACTTGAGCTTGAACTCGGAGGAGCAGCCGTCGTTGTCGAGCAGAAGCCGAGCCTGGAGGAACTTGCGCTCGTCGGGAGTGAGGAACTTGGCGGTGTCGGGGTAGTCGTACAGCATCCAGAAGGAGGCGATGGCAACGATGACAGTGGCGATGCCTTCAAGGATGAAGATCCACCTAAGAGTCAGCGCAAGCCCGATCGTTTCGGCGAGACTGAGACTCACCGCCATCCCTGGTAGCCAGCGATACCGTCCATAAAGTTGATGACACGGGCGAGGAGACCGCCGAAAGCGCCGGCGGCGGTGGCAGCCGAGAAGAAGAGCGCGATACGGAGGTTGATTTCGTATCGGCGGTACCACTGGGTGAGGAAGAAGGAGACACCGGGGAAGAGACCGGCTTCGGTGATACCGAGGAAGACACGGGTGACGAGGAGGGAGTTGAAGTCCTTGACGAAGCCCATACCGACCATGACGACACCCCAGGCGAGCATGATGGTCGGGAGCCACATGGATGGGCGCCAAGCCTGGGCGTCAGCGAAAAGTCCATGCTGCAGGGAAAGAATGGGGCTGACCTTCATGACCATGTTGGATGGTACTTCAAAGATAACGTAGAAGGCAAAGAAGATGGCGAGGCAGGCAGAGTATTGGTTGGGGTCGAGTTTGAGGTCGACCGAGAGACCAAACAGGTTGGCATTTCCGATGTTGGTACGGTCGAGGAAGGAGAGGAGGTAGAGGAGGGAAAGCCATGGGACGATGTGGTAGTCGCTGTTGGTCAGCTTGGCTCTGGTCGCGTAGCAGGGGGCATTAGAGTTACGTTTTGCGGAGGAGCTTCTTCTCGTCGACGCCTCCTGGATTCTCGATATCGCTCACCGAGCCAGTCGCGGGTGAGTTGGATCCATACTCGACGTGCTCTGCGCCGTGGATCTTTTCGTCAATGTCGAGGTGTTGGGACGTCATTGTGAGTGAGTGAGCGGTGGAGGAAGGGAGAAGAAGAGGAAAGCGAGAGAGATGGGCGGACGGGGAGGAGGGAGATGGGGGTCGTTGGCCTTATATATGAGTGAGCGCGCACAGGGCACACAGTCAGCACGGGGGGCAAGGCATGGCATGGCAACCAGCGCTGTGGGTCCCCGTTCTTGGCACGGTCCATCGTTTCCCCAGCATGTCTAAATGCACCCTGATCGCGGCCAGGAACAGATCTAGCGAGAGCTATATCGGGCATAGCTTACCCCTTTGAGGCTTTGGGCGGTAAAAGTGCTTAACAGAGATGGTCGATAAGCAGCGAAAAGTCTGCACCACCGGCTATCGGGCAGCTATCGGTGATCGGACGTAATGCCGAAAGTCAAGGGACTCGGTCTAATTCGGCAAGTTTCACCTTGTTTCAGGGACAAAGGTTGCGGGTAGAGTTATACCCGGGGACACGGGCCCCATGGGCATTGGTCATGCCCAGCAGGAATGTGATCATTCCTCTTCTCCCCAGTGCGGGGATTGGAAAAGGAAGGGATGCCCCAGTGTTCTGGGCTGTGAGGCGGAGAGGGGAGAGATCCAGAACTGCCCAGAAGGGCTACTGTGCTGTAAGGGCGTGCTGGCATCGGACGTGCCTGAAGCACGAGCCCGAGGAATAACGCAAGGGAACGCGTCGACGGGAGGCTCGAGGAGGACCTGCGAGGATAGGCTGATGCTGCCGGATGGCAGGCCAAGGCCGAGGATCGCTGAAAGCTGAGCAAAGCAAAGCACAGCCAAGCAGAGGTGGAGGCGGTCCGGCGGAGGTGGAGGCGGACCGGTATGACGACACCGCAATGGGCAGTGCATCATGCATAGGCGCATAGTATCAGTGGCAGCGACGGCCATGCTGGACTTTACTGGACAACCAGACAGATGCATACTTCCTTGACAAGCCATACTGATACCTCCTCACGTCGTGCCCCGGTAGTTCGTTATGATAAGTATAATACATTTCGATCTCGCTCTGAAGACTAGGATTCTGGGAGGAGTCAGCGCTATCCGCGTCAACTATGGGTCAAATCAACGCACCTCTTTTCCCCATCCTCTTCCACTACGCCTACTCCCCCCTGTCGACACTATCTTCCTGAGCCTCCCGCCTCCCCATCATCCAACTACCCACATACTCCTCATCCCTTTTCATCCCCCTCCCCACGCCCAGCCCTGCACCCATCTCCAGCCCCACGCCCAATCCCAGTCCATGCTCCGCCGCGCCGTACCCTCCGCCGCCTTCGGATCCCTTGTCATCTTCACCCCCTACTCCTGCTCCTCTTGCGCGCGCGAAAGGGGTTTGGTCTTCGACTGGAGTAGGGAGTAGACTTGAAGCGGCCGATAATCCACTCTGACCCCTCATGGGGGCATACTGGGGGCTGTATGCCATACCCGCCGCCGTACCCGCCGCGCCTGCGGTTCCATCCGCCTCGACGTCGATGCCGATCTCAGCATCGACATAGCTAGGCCTCAACGACCCCAGCGCCGACGCAGCGATCGAAGCTGCGTGGGAGCTGCTCCGCAGAGCCCCAGTATACGCGTGCGGGAAAGGCGAAGCCTGGGTCTGGGCGGGTACAGGGGTATAGGTCGATCGGCGAGTAAGGTAGGTGCCGTATGGAGAAGGACGGGGAGTGGTAGCGGAGGTAGAAGCGGACCGGCCGTGTGTGGCGTAGCTCGGCTGGAGAGCGGGTCGGGTGTCTTGCCGCTGATTCTGATGGGGGTATTGTTGCCGCCCGTGCTGCTGCTGCTGCTGCTGCTGCTGCTGCTGCTGCTGCTGGTGCTGACGCGCCGTACCGGAAGCCGTACCGCCAGAGCCGGAGGGGAAGCTGCCGAAGCTTGACCCGGTCGCAGAAGGAGGCAAGCTTCCGTAGCTTGGCCATACCGACGTGCCTCCGCCTCCGCCCGCGCCCGTACCCGGCGTCTTTAGCGCCGATCCCGAGCCCGAGCCCGAGCGAGACGTAGAGGTATGGTCGGTAGACTCCGAGTCGCGCCTGCTTTCTCCGGATGGTCCGCATTCGGCCGAGACGACCAAGTCGAGTGAACCAGAAGGAGCGGGGGTGAAAGGCGAGTAGATGGATGGACCTTGATATTGAGGATGAGTTGGATACACTGGGGTGGGAAGCTGAGACCGAGAGGATTGAGGAGATGTCGCAAGGGACGGGGCGATGGACGCCGATACCGATGCGGAAGCTGATGATGAGCCTAGATCTATCAGCTCTAATCAAGTCCAGTCTGACTGAGATCAAGGGAGAAAATAGCTCACCAGCAGTCATCTGTCCTGCAGAAGAAGAAGCACCCCTCGACCCCGCCGCTGACGTCGAAGTGGACACCTCACTCTCTCGCCTTGGCGGTCGATGCGGACTAAGCCGGAGCGGGCGAGGCGGACGGGCTCTGTACCTCCCCTGAGAGGCGCTGGAAGTGGCGATAGCAGCCTTGAGGCCTCGACGGCTGGCGGCGCTGGTGCTGGCGCTGGCGCTGAGCCTTGGCGTTGGGGTTTCGGAGGGGGTAGGAGAGAACGCCGAAGCTGGAGCTGAGGAAGTAGATGCCTGCTGGTGTAGATGGTGATGCTGTTGTTGATGTTGTTGAGCATTCGCAGCGGCCTCAGCAGGCAAGACCGGCCGAGATCGCTTATGCGTCCGTTCAAAAATACCGCATTCTGACATATCAGCTTGGACCGGTCTACAGCAGAGCTTCGAGCGATTCATGTAGCTCACTATTGCACAGCTGTATTGTCAGCTCATGTCTATACCGCTCAGAGGACGAGGTATACGGGAAGGGGAGGGAAAGAGAAGGGGTGGAGGCGAAAATGTAGACTGACAATACAGTTCTCGTGATGATTACTCCGTCTCCAACTTGGAGCCTCCCTCGTCCGACAATTGTGGCATTGCCTCCTTATCTACTCCATGTCAGCTCACGCCCACCCGATCTCTTAGGACGCTTCGGCGAATGCGCAAGGTAGAGGAGGAGGAAGAGCAAGAAATGGAAGAGCAAGAAATGAAACGGGACACTCACATATGGCGTCTGCTTGATATCCGCCTGGTGCGTATATACCACACCTCCCCTCCCTGCCCCTCCGCCTCCTCCTCCGCCGCCGCCGAACCCTGATCCGGATCCGGATCCACCAGCGGCGGGGGGGACAATCACCCGCTCCCGCTGTCGATCCATCTCCTCCCGAGCCGCCTGTTCCGCCATACCCACACTCCGCCTCATGATCTCCTCCTCATGGTCCGTAGATGTGGTGGTGGAATTGAGTGTCGTCCCCGAGTCCCCGGTCCTGGGTCTCCACTCCCCTTCCCCTTGTTGCTCCTCACCCTGCCTATATCCACTGCCCGATGGCGCTCCATACCGTCCCCCTTGTTGGTCCGGCTCCACACTCCCCTCCGCATCCGCATCCGCATCGGCATCGAAATCCTCATCCCCACTCCCACTCCCCGGCGACGTCGCGTCGGTGTTATAGCTTCCCCTTCGTCCTATCCCGTTCTCACTGAGCTCGAGCAGATGTTGCGCCGCGGGAGGGAAGAGTGCCGATCCTGCGATCGTGGTCGGGGGTTCCCATCCGTGCGCAGAAAAGGGGTTGGGTTGGTGCGGGTGCGGGTGCTGGGCTTGAGATTGGGGCTGTTGATGGTGGTGACGAGGTCCCGTGTGCTGGTATAGCCGAGGAGGGTATTGTTGTTGATGCGGAGTGAGAAGTGGAAGCGGTATGTCGGCAAATGACTGCGTGAGGGGCGTGTACGGGTGAAGAGATGATTGGGTGTATGCCGGCGAAGGGAGGGCGGAGGATGATGCGCTAGCTGAGACCGAAGTCGAGGCCGAGACCGATGGTGGGGCGGACATGAAGGTGGAGGATGTAGGGGTAAAGGGGACCGAGAAGGAGTGTTGGAGCTGGCCGGATGGGCGATAGGCTGTGCCGTGATTGAGATAGCTTTGAGTCTGGGCTTGGGCTGGCGGTACCGAGCCCGAAGCGGAGTTGGAGGGTGCAGAGGGTTGTATTGGGCGAGCGTAAAAAGGATGCTTAGCGTTAAAGTCTGAGCGATACCCCTGACCCCCATCGTTCTGGCCGACTCCTCTCCCAGCGCTCGAGTCGGAATCCAGCCCAAGCGCAGACGCGGCCAGACTGACCATGCCCTGTCCTGACTGTCCGGCTTGGCCGGGATGGCCGGGGTGGCCACCGTGACCGAGAGGGGCCGTCACGAACGGACGATGGGGCGCACCGTGGTGTGATAGCGGGTGGGACGTGAATGGCAGAAGGCGACCAAAGGTCCCTTGCTCCGCTTGTGAGAAGTAGTCGGCGTTGGCGAGGAAGGCATGTTGGTTCTGGGCGTGGTTGTGATTTTTGAATTGGGGCTGTGGTTGCGAGTGCGAGTGCGGGTGCGGGTGCTGCGGGAGGTGGGGTCCGGTGTGCTGGAAGGAGTGAGGGATGTGGGTAGTATTGGCGTACGCAGTATCTTGGGCGTGGGCATGGGCGCCAGGATAGTAAGAGGGTGGTGAGGGCAAGTTCACAGCCTGCGCCGGAGAAGTCGCGGGGTAGTAGGGGTTCCGGTGCGGCGTGGGGAGGTAAGTTTGGGAGTGGTGGTACGGGTTGTTTCTGCACCGTCAGCTGGACAGCCTAAGGAAGCTGGAAAGCAGAAGTGAGGAGACAAGCGAGGGCAGAGAGTGACACAGCAGGGGAGCAGAGAGGAGGGGAAGGTGGGGTGCGGAACAGGAGAAGGGGGGAGACTTACGCAGTGGTTGTTGAAGTAGCTAAAGACTGTTGTTCCTCCTGTTGGGAATGGCTGACCGGACTCGTTGGAGCTGTCCAGCTTCCCCTCCTATCATGTCAGCTCTCCACTAGTCACCGAAGTAGAAAGTAGGCAACTCACCAACCGCCATTCCCGTTCCCGCTCCCATGCCCATTCCCAGTCCCCATAATACCTCCTGACCATCCACCTCTTTCCGCTCCCTCATCCACTGCTCCTCCACCCGGACCTACAGCCCCCTCGTCCCCCGTCCAACCCTCCTCCTGGTCTGCAGCTCTATCGCCCATCCTCCACCTCAGAGCCCGGAGCGAGTCCGGCGAAAAGACGCTTCCGGACGAAGGCGAGACGCTCAGTGCGGGCGTGAGCGTCAAATTTGGATCGAGGGGGACGAGCCGTTCCCCCCGCAGTCGGTTAGGCGTGAAGGCGCCGAAAGCGGAGTAGGGTTCCGGAGTGTCTGGGGCAGGTAGAAGTGAAGATGAGGAGGGGAAGAAGGGGGTCGTAGGCGTGTGGGCTTGATACCCCGTGTATGGGCGCGCAGCTGCTGGCGTGAAGGCCGGGGATTGGGTGGTGCGGGGGTAGGAGTAAGACGGGCCCGGGTCAAAGAGGGATATATAGGTCATCCGTCCGATTCTGACCTTGTCGAGCTCGGACCAGGAGAAGTCTGGAGAGAATCAGCTTCTGCCCGCTCATATTGTTGTCAAGCAATAGGAGGCGCTAAGGGAGGAGATCTGCTTTGGGTAGAGAGCAGGAAAGGAGGGGTAGGAGGGGATACCAAGAGAGGAAACGCAGGGAGGGAGGTGGGAAGGGATAAATGAAGAAGGGGGAAGGTGGAGCGGAGGAGCTGTCTCCGAAGACCGAAGAAAGCGGGAGGAGGCGGGACGGTACTCACAAGCTGGGTCAAGCAGCCAGATGTCCAATATCCGAGTCAAGAGGAAGAGCAAGAGGTGGGCGACGACCTCGCTCTCGCTTTCGCTTTTGAGCTTTAATCCACCGCCGGCGGTAAGAGTATCCTATACCCGCGCCTGATTGTCCCTATCCCCTGTCCCTATCTGCGCCTTCTCGCGTGCTGATGAGTGTGTGTGCCAGGAACGAGGGACCGAAGCTGCCTTTGCCTTGCCTTGCTTTGCTTTGCTTTGGTCAGACTAGCCTAGCGTATCCAGATCGGTGGATAAGGTGTTCTGTGGGAAGTGGAGGTGAGGCTGAGGGTAAGGGCGAGGAAAGGACCCCCCTCTTTTGGCTCGTGAGGTGAGGTGAGGATAGGCCGGTGGAGTGAGGCGGATGGGCGAGGGAGGGAGAGTGGAGGACGAGGAGGCACGTGCGCCGGGTGACTGGACTGGCGTGACGGATACTGTCGAGACCGTGAGGCTGTAGGGGAGATTGTGCTGTATGGTAAGGTAGAGCTACGTCAGATGTACAGTATACCATGTGAGCAACAAGCGTTACCTCGCCATCACCATACCCACTCATCCCTCTGGTCCAGTCCAGTCATCCCCTCAAAATTTCCCAGTGCCGATCCACCGGATCTGACGGGGAGGGAGTGACACACACACTCCTCCCCACCGCCGGATCCATACTCAATCAGCCGCAACCTTATCACTGTAATATGGGGTGAGCGCACACAGCTTGTGTGCTTTATAGTCAGCAGTGCCGGATCCCGCGAACCCTCTGCCGGTCCGCTCTTATCGGTAAGCGGAGATCTGGGTACATAGATCTGAGGTTGAGGTGGTTGTGAAGGTGTAAGGTTTGAGGGAGGAATGAGGGGGCTCCTTTGGCCTCCTTTGGGCTCCTGTGAGTATTGAGTAGTATTGAGTGGGTGCTCATCGACGAGAGACGCTCTTTAGAGCGATCAAGCAGTCGAAATCGGTCGGTTGCGCTGGCAAGATGTCTATTGCAAGGTTGAGAAAGAGAGGTTGGCTTGAGGCTGCCAGTTCCCAACTGCCTTGTTTGCGCTCTCTGTTGCTGCTTCACCTTGAGAGTTCCGACGGAAGCTATTCCTTATCCGGGCGAGACTGGCCGGAGATGACGTCACGCCGTTTCCGCCGCTCCGAGCCGATGTTCCGCCACCGAACGCTTGGCTCTGCTCTTACCTCCGGCACAGCATCGACAGCCAGCCACCTCCCCCTGCCCCCCACCTCTTGCTCTTACCTCTCATCTTCACTTCTGTCTATAGCTAGAGATTATACACAATGTCAGACATCAAACAGCAAGACGTCTTTTCCGACTCCAAGCGCGCGTCCATGCCGCCTCCCCCTATCGGCGCACCTTCAGGCGCCCCTCCCCCTCTCGCTCCCGGCCAATCCTCCGCACAGCGTCAATACGCCGCCCCCGCCGGTCCACCCCCCGCCTACATCAAAGACGTCAGTATGGCCGACACCTCCACCTACAATACCGACGCTGCCCTTCTCGCTCTCTGCCGCGCCAAAGGCATCTCCCCTTACTTTGCAACCCAAATCACTCGCTTGCGCGAATACTCGTCCATCCGGCTCGTCCTCGACGATAGCGGAAGCATGAAATCCATGCTCAACATCTACGGCGCGGCGCCTACGACGCGGTGGCAGCTCCTCCAGACGATGGTCAGGGAGATTTTTGACCTCATGGCCATTGCGCGCGGAGGCGATCGGGAGCCGGTATCGGTCCATCTGCTCAATATGCTGCCGCAGGGGATGAAGTGTGAGAGTGTGGGTCAGCTCCAGGAGTTCTTCCAGTCGGGTCCGACGGGGACGACGCCGACGCTGGAGGTCATGAGGGATATCATGACCCCGGAACATATGGTGTACGAGGAAGGGGTGTTGACGCTATTGATTACGGATGGGGCGCCGAATTGTGGGCATCAGGCGTTTAGGAATTTCTTGCTGGATGCGCAGAGGAGGTATCCGGCGAGTTATATCACGGTGGGGCTGTGTACGGATGTGAGTTGATTGATTCGGGCTATATTTCTCCCTCAACTCCCAAGCTATCTCAACCATTGATTTCCCCTTCTAACCCATCTCCCCTTTCTTCTCCTCCCTCATCTCCTACATACGCATCTCTCCTCGCGGCCCTGCTTGGACTCAGCTGACCACCAGGACCCAGCCACCATAGACGAATACGAGTCCTCCCTCGATAACGGCGTCCCCCACCTTGACGTCATGTCAGCCTACGAAGACGAGCGGCGCGAAATCCGTCGGATCCAAGGCCGCAAATTCGGCTTTACCTACGCCGACTGGACCGTCAAGTTCCTCCTAGGCAGCAGGATCACAGAGTGGGATAGTCTGGACGAGCGCAAGTTGACCAAGAGGCAGCTGGAGATGATTGAGAAGTTTGGGAATAGTTATCTGGGGATTGGTGGGGCGGGTGGAGGGGGCCAAGGTGGGCAGGCGCCGGGCATGAAGAAGAAGAAGGATTGTGTGATTATGTGAGGGGGGTGAGGGCGATCTTGTGAATCTTGATGATTTGGTCGAGAGAGTGAGAGGGGATTGAGCTGATTTGCAGATCTATCAGGGGAGGAGCGATGCTGAAGGGAAGAACCGAAGCAAAGGGACAGGAAGAATGGGGGATAGCGGTGTACGATCAGTAAGAAGTAGAGATACCTAATGAGATTCCTTGGTCAGCAGTAGTCACTGACTGGTCCCCTTACTATACCGCTACTGACAGACCCGGCTCGGCGGCAGGCACGTGCCCGCTCATCTGGGGCTGACTCAATAGCTATGAAATCTCACTAGACTCATAGCCTTACGCCTCCGACAGGGCAGCATAACGTTCATCTCCACGGGCATCATCGTTCATCTAGTAGTCACCAATATCTAATGAGCCCTCGGTACCGGCATACCCATAAACCCCCTTCCATCCCCGCTGACATAATCCAGATCCTTCCCGACTAAATGAGCCGTCTTGGAATCCTTCGCCACCTCTTCCATCGTGAACGTCCCTCGTTTCTCGGCAGGGAGGAGGTCGTATATCGCCTGGGCGTACTGCGGGGCGATAGCGCACTGCTGCACGAGATAGCGCTTCTTAACGATCTCATCCGCGAACTGACAGTTAGCCAAAATCACCAGCAAGATAGACAGAGTCGGATGGGGTCAATAAAAGAAATGTAGATCTGACTTACTACAAGGAGCTTGGCGGTGTTCTTGTGCAAATGGTCCCTCTGCTCCGGAGTCATCACCCGCAGATACAGCTCCCTGACCTGATCATACTCGCTCGCCTTGCCCTCGTGAGACCAGTGCGACTGGCGACTGACCACGTTGCTGGCGACTTGGAAGGGGATCTCCATAGCTGAGTCGCCGGCGAACGTGGGGGCGCGCGAGCCGGGGTTGGTGGATTGATAGCTATTGGGGAACTGGGGGTCAGCAATGATCTTGATTCTGAGATAGTGGGTCCGATAGTAGAGGAGGAAGAGGGGAGGTCAGGAAGAAACGACCCACGTAGACTGGCTTCTTGCCCGCATCACCGTCGATCCGCATCGACCCAAAGAAGTTGTCGGGCGAGTGGAACTTGGACATGAATGGACAGTTGACAGGGATCTGGTGGATGTTGGCCGACTGGAGGCGGTGATATTGAGCGTCACGATAGCTAAGCGGTCAGCGATGAACTCAGGTGTGAAATCGTATCAAAGCGGAAGAGGCGGTGATGAGGAAGGGCATAGTGAGAGAGGGGGAGTCGAAGCAAGAGGAAACGGAAAGGTTTTAGAGGAGGGGGAAAGGGAAGACGAGAAGAAGCATAAGAGAGGCGCACGAGGTATGAAATGCTTGATATGCGACTGAAGAAGAGAAAGACTTACAAAAACGCCCGCCAGTTGAGAAGCGTATCCGGAGACAGCTCGATCCCTGGTACAAGCGACCCAGGCGAGAATGCCGCCTGCTCGACGTCTCGGTGATAATCTTCAGGGTTGCGGTTGAGCTCGACCTCTCCGACTTCCTGCATCGGGAATTGGCCTAGAAGGTCAGCCACATCCCGCGCGGATATCGCAGCCTAGACATCACTCACCCCTGGGCCAAACCTTGGTCACGTCAAACGGATCAAACTCGGAATTGGCCGCCTCCTCGGGCGTCATGACCTGGATCATCATCGTCCATGTGAACTTGCCGCCATTGTGGATCTTTTCGAACAGCTGGCGCTTGGAATAGTCGGGGTCGAGACCTTGAGTCATCATTGTCTGGTCAAAGTCCAGCTGCTTGGCGCCGTGGTGCGGACGGAAGTGGTACTGATTGTCAGCTGATTTCCCTGATGAGGAGTGTATGGACGTACCTTGACGAAGACAGCATCGCCAGCGGCGTTGACCCAGCGGAAAGTATGGCACCCATACGCCGAGAAGTGGTTCCCGTCCGGCGTGGCGTGGTCGGAGAGCAACATGAGACCTGCATGCTGCGATTCGGGGACGTTGGCGAGGAAGTCGAACCACGCGTTGAAGTCGAGCAGGAAGTTTTCGGGGTTGCGCTGCTGAGAGCGGATGTTGTCTGGGCCCTGGAAGGGATCACTGTGGATGAGCTGTGTACTGCGAGGGAGGGATTGAAATGCTCACCGGACAAAGAAGACTGGCCAGTTCAGACCGACCATGTCAAAGTTGCCATCCTCGGTATAGAATTTGACGGCGAAACCTCGAGGGTTTCGGGCGACATCGGGATATTCTCGCTGAGAGTCAGTTTAGGCTCCATATGGTACATGAAGGTGAACTTGCCCCATAAGTGACGGTACTGAGCCTAGTAAAAGTGGGCGTCTCCTTGCCGACCGCACTGAGGAAGCTGGCCTTGGTGAGATGGGTGACGTCCTTGGTGACTGTAAACTTGCCGAACGCTGCCCATCCCGCTGGATGAACGATACGTTCAGCGAGCTTGGAACGGTCGAAAGCTTGCTGCTTCTCGAGCAAGAGCGGATCGCCTTGGTACGGGATACCGCCGATGTTGAGGGGGTGTCCGGAGTGAGGGATGAGCTGACCAAAGTTGGAGGTATAGTAGGGCGAGTTGTCGGATGCGCCCGACTTACTGACAAGCCCGGCAATGCGAGAGGCGGTCTCGGCGGGTCCTTCGTTCAGACCCGAGAAGAACTGGGAGCGTTGAGCGGGACGGGGGTCGACGCCGGGGATCTTTGTGAGCGTGTCTTGAATGAAGCTTGCCATGGTGGAATGATGTATAAGATCAGAAGGGGAGTAGATTGAGGATGAGCTGTGAAAGAGTGAGCTTATTATTGGGCCAGGAGGGTATGACGCTGGGTGTATGTGCTGGTCAGCTGTGCCTGTCAGCATAATCCGGATATCTCCCACTCATTGGGCCCCGAATCGATCGTCCGCTATGCTTCGTCCGTGTGTGTGCGATTGCCTTGGCGAGGAGAGGCAACACAGTATCTCAGCTGGTGTCCTCGGTTTTCCATGGCTTTCAGGCGTTCAATGCTGCAGTAGATACTCTAGAGTATGCTTCGGCCATGCACACGCCATGCAAGACAGGAGCTAACACAGGGGAAAATGTCAGCAACTCAAGTCCGAGCTTATCTGCATACCTCCGGTTGAGTGACGTAACTATTGACGGAGTTGACTCGAGCTAGAAGGGCTGTCCGTGCGTTGCCTCAGTACTCTCAGGGCCCTGTTGGCTTCCACTTCGAGATGCTGCACATGCAAACACCTCGTCGACGAGGACCCGCTGCGCAGCAGCAGATATGGGGAAGCGGGGGAGGTCTTGACTCCTTTTTGCTTCATTATCAGGGCGATGATCGACTGCAGGCCGCAACAGATCTGAGTGGGTCGATCGACGATATACGACACAAGGCTAACTTTACTCTTTGAGATGTCTGGTGGTACTGAAGCAGCCTGATTTACTTTCTGGTCCGATGGAGCCGTCATATTGCATGACTTTTAACATCGCCTCATGGTGTGCGTTCATAGAGGTTGTGCGGTGAAATAACCGAGTTGCCACCCGGAGTTCCCGCCAGACATTCCGGATTCTGCTTGTCGAGCCAAGCTTGATTGGAGTAAGCTGATACTCCTTGCCAGTGCCGTGATCCTGGCATGATGACGCCCTCATCGTCTCGAAAGATTGACGCGTTCCACGTTTTTTGGGTCGCGGGTCAGCTGATTCATAAGCTACCAGAGATTTCCAGAGCGCCGTCTTTGAGCCTGGCATTGCCGTACTGTCCTGGTCATGTCTAGACTAGTAAGGATCGATCGGAGCTACATGAAGGGTTCGCTGATCTGTCTTGTTTGATCGCTGGTTATTCCGTTATTGTGGGGAAAGAGGACGTTTCTCAATCTGAGTTGTAGCCAACATTTCCCCTAGTACTTGCCACCCGCTTCCAAACATATACACCGATATTCGGCACCTAAATCCCCCTCACCCGAACACAAATCTGCTCAGCGCAGGAGAAGATCATACATCCTTTTCGACATCAACAGCCAAGCTCCCTCAGCAGCAATGAGCGGCAGAAGTGCGAGCGATGTGCCCAGGCGCTCTCTACGAACGTCGACCAGAACAGTCTCCGCCACAGCCAGCGCTCATGGCATGCGCCTCTTCCAGAACCCAACACTGGGCCGTGGTCCTTGGCAGCACATGGCGACATACAATGCCGAAAGGGGACAATTCGAGTCCCTGCCTGGTGTGACACACCTGTACGCCGATCAAGACGGCTTCCCATACTCGGGAACATCAATGCCAGATTGCCAACCCGCGTGCGAGTGTTATCGATGCGCGGCCCAAGATCTCGTTGTGAACGAGGCTTTCTACAGATACGTCGACGCTATGCAAGGCCGGATGACCGAAGTTCCTGGTCTGAGCGCGGCTACGGGTGGCACAGGTTCAAACGGAAGGAGCAGAGCCCCTCGGTCGTAGGGTCGAAACGGTCGATATGTGTCGGGACGCATTCGAGCGGAAACGCGAGTGGTTTTACGAACTCATAGCTCATGTATGACCCTCGAGACAGATACCAATAGTGTCCGCGCGCTGTTATATCTCACCGAAGCGGAATGCCTCAACACACATAAGTGCTGATGGTCTTGCGTCGCGCGCGCCATATGCCTGGGCAGGCTGAGCTAGGATTAAATGGGGACGATTACCTAACTATCCTACGCTTCATACGTACCATTGGACATTCCACCATTGTACATTCTAGTGTCTTCGACCAGCTTTGAGGACATGTCAATAGCCATCCTTTCCCTCGCACGCCATTACCGGATAGAAAGGAGACCGCATACAAACCGCTTGAGGTCGTGGAGACACCAAGGCGGCACAATCACGTAGGTTTGCCACTTGCCTCGAGGCTAGCTCGCGTTGTTTCTCATCCTGCTTACTCCACTACTGTCCACTTCCGCATAGCTTATCAGCACTCTCTCAACCCCTCGCGAACTACCGCACAGATGCCCAACGAGACTGGGCCAACGCAAGAGCTTTCCGCGACGTCGTATCACCCCGATCGCGGTTACTCCATGTATGCGGTTGACGGGAATCCGCGCTTCGATGCAGCTGGCGCCTTGAGTATCGGCAAAACCCACTTCCAAGTCACAAAGTCAGGCAGAGATGGAGATCGTGATCCTGGATCCCTCATCCTGCAGAGGTACTCCATCAAACCCGGTGGGAATGTCCTGATGGTGGGCCCTTGGGACCTAGGGTCGAACTGGGAGACCGTCAAGAGAGTCACCATCGACGACAGTGCCTGGAGCTACACGGGCACCGAGGACTACATCACCCAGACGTTCATCCTTGGGGGTACCGTCAACATCAAGACAATCACCAAGGACAGTTTCGCTGCTGAAGTCGACTCGCTGGTACAGAATGTCGACCCCAAGTCTCAGATGATATTCAAGAACATTTGCGAGGTGCCGCCGTCGGTCTTGGATCATCAGAGCTTGTTGGAGGCAATGCGTCCCAAGCATACAGAGAACCTCGACGAGGACTGGGACCGCCTAATCAGGGAGATCTTGGCTCGTGAGGGGGCGGAGAACGAGAAGTCTGGTGGGACGTCGAACGAGGAGCCTTGCGAGGCGCCGATGAACGAGAAGGGGATACAGCTGAGGAATGCGCTTAAGTATCGATATCGATGAAGAGACAGACGAGGGCGGTCAAAATTTAGTGTTAGCACCTAGCCTTGAGATGTATCTAATCGTGATCAGAGCCGGAATCTGCACTCGAAACATTCCGGCCGTCAGTACTCGTATGTCTGCTGACTGAGTATACATGCTATCATTAATGATCTACTGCGTTAAAGTCGTTATATTCAGCCATCATACCCCACAGCCTCCTGCTCTCCCCGCTCAGTAACCTCGATCCCAGTCTCACATCTTCAGCTTCTCCACCACGTACCTGACCACCCCATTCATCCCGCTTCCTGTCCACCCCGTCTCTCCCTCCGCTTGCTCTTCCCCATCTTCCCCATCCACCATCCCCTCCGTCTCTGCGTCGTGGTGATCATGCTGGCCCCGCATCGCCAACACCTGAATCTCGGCCTTCTTGTTGAGGTGTAACATGTGGACTAGCTCTCGTCTGGAATATCAGCTATATATTCTAATGATGGTCTAAGATATCAAAGCTGAGCAACGTACCGCCAGGTAGAAGGCATATCGACACGATTCGAGAGCATCGCCATAGCCTACTCATGTTAGCTACTCGTCCACGTACACTGAGATACGATTCAGATAGCTGATCAAAACGTGCCTTCTGCACATCCTTCTCTGAGAGCGGAAGGAGATCATCATACCTCACCCCCAACCTACACTATCAGCTTCATCACCCGACCGCTGACCGGGTGGGAGACAACTGACCCAGCCCATTCACTAGCCTTCACACCCATCCATTCCAGTCTATCTCCCAATGCCAAGTCCGCATGATCATGCGAGAACTTTGTCGCTTGAGATCCGTGCGTGTATACCGAGAGGATATCGAGACCGTGTGGGTCTGCGTCGACTAGTGCGTAGAAGCGGGCACTGGGGATGTAAGCCATATACTGCATCAACCAGAGAGATGGTAGTACAGGAGAAGCTTACGAGGGAAATGCGGTAGCGATTAAAGAGGCAAGCTGGAGGGTCGCTAAGTCTGGATAGCCCTTGCCCTGGTAGTATCAGCTGGATGTTCCTTCACGAGAACGGGCAAGGCAGCTTGAGCTTACAGTGATGAGGACCCCTGAGCCCATTTCTGGGTCGCCTAGCAGTGCGTATCCACATAGAGTCTGGAAGACCGCCTGGTAGGATCAGCTGTGTGTTCCTGGACGAGGCAGAGGATTCAACAGCAGACTTACATCCTTCTCGACGATCAGCACCCAGTCGATATGCTCCGTGTCGGATGAGATGTGCTCGATACGCTCGATGGGAGGGATGAGAGATGCCTAAGTCGAGTCAGCTGTGCTCTCGTCTATATAGCGGAGGAATACGCGCCGCAGCTCACGTTGGTAGCCGAGAATGATAACTCCTCGCCAGTCTTGAGGAACACCTTGAGCGCCGAAGAAGCGATAAGACCTTTACTGGTTGCGCACTGCCAAATCAGCTATCACTCTCGGGCCATCATCGACTGGAGCAAAGGTGTTAACTGACGACCATAAAGTCTTGCCTCTTGAGCCCGGCTGAGGCGGCGATATCGTCGACCAGCTGCATGATCAGCTACTACCTCATGATGAGAGACCCTGTGCGGCAGCTGACCTTGTCGACCGTAGCTTGGGTGCCAAAGAGCGCGACGTCCTTGTAGAAAATATCACTGGAAGTCAGCTTTAGGTACAGGCTGAGACACTTGCTGAATACCAAGCTCACCGCTTGGTCGTCACCGTATCCGTCAGAATCGCTGCATACATGAGCGCAGCAACACGCATGATCTCCGCTAAACCGATCAGCTTAAGCCTGGTTTCATGAGTGTGAGAACATACCGAGTCGATGCTGAGAGGTGGCTTTGTTGCCCATGTTGAGCGGATCATCCGGGAAAGAGACGACCTGATCGGCTCTACGACGAGTCAGCTTTGTTCGTACGCATCGGACCGATCGGCCAGCTCACCCAGTCTTACGATTCGTCAAGCTCAGCTCAATCCCCACATGTGCCAACTCATCTCCACCTCCCCTTCCGCTCCCCTTCTTCCCCTCGCCCTCCACCCCATCTTCCCCTTGCGTCTCATCCGGGATGAGCTCCATCCCCTCTCCCATTCCTTCTTCCCCCTCTTCCGCCTGACTATCATTCTTCCTCCATCCTCCCTTCTTGACTGCTCGTTTCGGGCTGAGCCGGGACCGTTCTTGCTCGTTGAGAATCATGAGCGATGTGTTGAGCTGCGAGAGCAGGCGAAGAGGGAGTGACTCGAGGAATGCGAGAGCTTGATGCCTGAAATCAGCTTCATCAGGGCGGGAACGTACCTTCTCGAGTTGACTTCTCCTCCTTCGTCTAGCTGAAGTGCAGCGTCAAAGTCATCCCCAAAGTCGCTCTGAAGGAGCTCGTCGTCTAGGTCTGTCAACACATTCTCCTCCTCTCCGCCTTCCCCCGCCTCGATCGGCGCGCGAGTATCGGAGAGTACGTCCGGGTCCTTGCCTTCCCGCATTCGCTGAGCACGCATGAGAAGCTTTGCGAGGAAGTCCCCTTCTTCGTCGTCTGATTTGGTATCAGCCGCGTCGAGCGAGACCGCCGCCGGTCGGGCGAGGGACGATAGCCCAAAGTCATACTCGTCGTTCGGTACTGGCGGGTGAAGACCGCTTGTCGGGTCGATGTCCATCCGATCGTCAGAGAGTGCATCTGTCCCATACATCCCGTCAATCGAGCTGGAAAGCGCGACGCTGAAGGTGACATTCGGCGAAGGTGATCTGGGCAGTGCGGTATCGGCCTGAGAAGCGGTCGGGCTCGAGAGCGAGAAGCAAGTCTCTAGCGCACCTAAGTGTCAGTTTCGTCACCTAGGGTCCTATCAGAGCTCACGACAACTCACCACCTGTGTCCTCCACTGCTGCATCCGGAGAACGCTCTCCCTCCTCGTCGTCCGCCTCAAACCCCTCTTCCCCCTTCTCCTCCCCTGACCCGTCCGTCGCTTCCCCGTCTCCCTTATCATGATCCACCCCGTCCACTCCCTCATCTTCTCGCTCTCGCTTCCTTCCCGACAGCTTGGTTGGGAGGCTCTCGCTGGTTTCCTCCATGACCGGCGGGATGGAGAGCTTCTCGTGCGGGAGGGAATTGAAGCGGCCGAGGCGAGGGAAGGAGATTCTCGATGCGGTCGGTAAGGGAGTCTGGCGAGAGGTATTGCGCTGCCTCGATCCTGCGCCAAGGACAGGCGGGGCGGAACGAGCTGGTATGGGTGTGGGGAGCTGAGGGGTTCTTGAGGTGATGCGAGCTTGATGAGCGACCGTGCGAGTGGTTGCGGCCGATCTACCAGAGGGAGCATGTACCTGGCTTGGCAGCCTCCGAGGTAGGTTATTCGTCTGAGAGATGGGCTGAGTCATGTATCGCCGTATATCGCTCCGTATGGACGAGTCTTGCTGTTCGTGTCTGGGCGCGACTTTCGGATCGATGTCCTCCTCGCTGTCGCTCTCGGTGATGATGACCGCCATGCTCCGGCGCGGGGCATATCTTGATACCCGAGGCGTTGACTGAGAGGACTGGGAAGACTGAGTGTCGCGTGAGGAGGATGAGAAGGAGGTGAGGGGTGTGGAGCCGAGGGAAGAGGGTGAGGCGGCGAGTGGAGCTGACATGTTGAAGTTATGTCGAGCGAAGCTATTATGGTATTATTGGTGTATATTGACAGCTCTATACAGTGGGATAACTGATATGTGTAGGTGATAGGACGAAGGAAGGAAGAGAAGGAAGAGAAGAGAGCAGTTGGGGGAAAGAAGTTTGGCTGGGTGGTCCGAGCTGAGGAATGAGGAGTTGTACGGAATCAAAATAAGGGCTCGCTTATCTCGCCACCTCTCAGCACCACCCAGGGCTTCAAACAGCTCTTCCACCCCCTGCCTCCCTACATTCACCTTCAACAGACGGCAAGCATGCGCTTCACAGCCCTCCTTCCGCTCCCTCTACTCCTCGTCGAGCGAATCTACGCATCCGCCGCCCCTGCAGCCCTCCACTTTCAACATCGGTTCCGCCCCTTCCCCTCCTCCGGCGATGCCCCAGAATGGCGACCCCTCGGCTCAGCTTCCGTCGACTCTGTCATGGACACTGCTAGACTAGGCCAGTACTCCGGCGACGTAGTCTCAAGTGTAGGCGGAGCCGCTGCACGCGATAATGGGAAAGGCTGGTACCAGGTTGGCGTAGAGAGGGATGGGGAATGGGTGATGGCTTCGACAAGAGCAGTAAGCCTTCCCAGCTGCCGGGAGCAGAACGCAGACCCCCATAGCTGATCTAAGTAGTGTCTGATGGTTTCGTCGCCGCCCAGCTTGGTCCTACATTTGACCGACTCACACCTGTCCTCAATATCGCTCCAAACCGCTCAAGCTCGGTGTACGAATGACTCGGTCACATCCAGTACGGTTCAACTACCCTCCTCACAAGCTCTCTGGGATATTCAGGTTCAGCGTCCAGTCAGAATAGGCAGGTCAGTGTCTTTTCCTTCTCCACCTCGAAACGAGCTCCGTGTGGATCCCAAAGCTTGACAAGCCCTTTCCGCCTCGGTCGAGAATGGGATTTCTACACCTCATATGCGGATACGCATTGGCTGAAGGAGGGTACCAGCTGACCCCTCAGTCCTTCAAACTCAGCGCCTGCCCCGCCCGCAGACCCTACTACCGGTCTTCCTAAACCGCCTCCGGTCGAAAAGTCCTTCGTCCAGAAATGGTGGTTACCGATGTTGGGTCTGGCGTTGTTTGCTGTCGGGCAGTTTGCAAGTCCCAGCGAAGCACAGCCAGCTAAGGCGTAAGGTCGGAGCATATGTACGATATGGGCAGACAGTAGGCCGTAGGTTCGGTCCGCGAGGCTCGCGGCTCGTCGCTGTCAGGGCGGGGAGTAGACATCGCTGATCCACTGATCTGAGCCCACTGATACCATGACAGTCTGCTGGAAGCCCGAGAATCTCATGACACATATATACCAGTGGACTCTGACAATGGTCTACTCTCATCTCTCAGCACATTTGTGCACCAGCTGTCGATGCCTCACGCTGTATGAGCCTACTCACGCCCTGATGACACGTCATACTGGCCATCATTGGGCACGATGATGCGCGTCTTTTGATCTTGTTGCCGCTCAGGGCAGGTATCAAAGGATGTGAGAGCTGACACTCGTAGCAGCTGGTTAGATTGCGCTGGGGAGTAGGCATACAAGCTGGTGCGTACACAGGTCATCCCAGCTCCCCTCCTCACTTCATACACCTATATCCGTGCCACCACTGTCGCTCTCCAATATCTATACCTATCCCTCTCTCACAGCCTCTAACATCAACTCGACCCGCCATGTCCAGCGAGAACACCGCAGGCACCGTGACAAGCACTGCCGGGGACAGCCGTATGGAGCGCGCGTCTGCGCGACTCAAGCTGGCGATCTTCAGCCAGTCTCCTTCGACCGCTGATTCGCAAGGGAGTAGGACTGACCATACTACCGTCTGGGAGGATGTCGGGCAGTCTGTCACCCGCCTTGAGGATGAGGATCCAACGAAAGGCCAGGGGTCGTTTCAGCCGGAGATATGAACCGATAGGATGTTCATATCGCGACTTTCACCGTGGACTGAATGAAGAACGGACTAACCAACGCGAGAGCGTTCGAGATCCGGATCCTGCTCCATGCATGTTTTACCTGAAGAGTCTAGTGCCAATGGCTACTAACAACAGCTGATCTTGTGATCATGTAGGCTTGCTTCTTCGTCCTGCAAAGACTGTTCTATCCTGTTGAAAATCTCACTGTGCGCTTGGTCTCCGATAAAGCTAGCGGCGCGCTGCTCAGAAAGTGCCACACATGACCCCAGGACCACAGTGCAGCCAGCAACATGAAGGGAGACCGCTGTCTTACAGGTATGAGCTCATAAAGTCATGTCTTGCCCCTGAATAGCTCGATTGGGTCTGTCTGTATCCTCCAGGAGATCAACCGCAAAGGAGCACTGAGGCGTTTGGAGCTTGTCGGCCGCTGAATTGAGCCAGAGGTCGCCACCAGCTTGCCCTCTCGGTCCGCCCCTTGTTTCTGTACATATACCTCCACTCCCCAAGCAGCACGCCCTTTCCTTACAGATCCACTGACTGTCTTCACAAACATGCCTTCCAACACTACCACTTCGAGTGGAGACCGGTCATTCGGCGCGCGGAACGTCTTTCTGCGGGTCCCTGTGACAATCATCGACCAAACAATCTTCATCGATGAGGCAGGCAGGTTTGTGCGATCGGAGCAAACCATCAGTCAGGGAACAGCGATTGTGTCGCTGGGATCCAGGAGTGAGAGAATTCCATGCAGAGGGTGTCCCAACTGCCTCGCCAGGACGCCGAGTCGGGCCAGCCCAGCTGCCCACCCCCGAATCACTGACATCACGGACGAGCCGGCTGAGAACGAGATGGGCTCCGCAACGGCGGGCACTCAGAGCCCAGAGGATACGCCTGCGACCGCTGGCAGAGCTGAGGACAGCTCTTGGTGGCGTTCGCGCTGCACCTTCCTTTAGCGTCGCGTGCCCGTCGAATTGTCTTGATGCATTTCTGCTACTTTGGATGAGTAATAGTATGATCTGTTTACTGTAGGCAAGATTTTCTGTCCAAGCTCAGTGTGAGTCCATTTCTGCCTCGAATGCTCAGCACTGCGTCATGCCACTTCTCCATCACGACGTCGACCGAGATAGATGGATCGCCCGCTTATCATAAATATAATCCTCACTCTAGCTCAAGCTGCTTGTCATTTGTCGGAGTACTCTTTTGGAAGCCGCCACCGCTATCAAGTCAGTGATCGATTGATGGCCTTGACTGAGCCATCTCTGGCTGGAGAAATTTCATGTATTGGCTTCGCAGTTCCGCGAGGTCCATTCGTGATATTCGCAGCCATGACTCCTTTTCATTGGAAACTCCTGAGGGATTGTTGGCTGGGCGATGGGCATGGCCTGCGTCACAGGCACGACTCGGTCCTGTAGCTGCGCATTACTTCGTGTATCTCCGCGCGCGCGCCGAACAGCTGTAAAGTGCTACATGAGATCCCAGATCCATCGATATCGTGAAGGGAAGTAACATGAATGGAAGTCATGCTCTGACGCGTGTGGGCCGGTAAAGTACTCCCCTGCCCCAGAAGACATGGATAGGAGCTCGGTCTCAAAGGTACGGTGCATTTTGATGTGTCAGTAGCTCTATCGGCCTTTGAAATGCGCCATAGGAGAACAGGTCATAAGCCGGGACCCCTCGCCACTTCCCCCTCTTTCCTCCATACCGCATCCCTTCCCCCTTATCACTTCAGAGGTCCTCCCCTCTTTACTACCATACAACAACAGCAACAACAAGCATGTCGTCCCCCAGCAACACCACCCCTACCCCCACCTCTGACGGAGTCAGCAACGACTCCGCCACCGCCACCGGTACCGACGCCACCTTCTATCTTCTGGAACGCATGGTAGCCGGCACGGCATTCGCTGTGGACCGTCACGGCCAGCTTGTGGGAGTTCCGGTGTACGCTGACCGGTACACCGAGGTCAAGGGGACATTGAGCAGCACCGGGCAGTTCACTTACAAGTGTCCGGACCCCAACTGCAGCAGGTTCCATACGGAGGAGGCGCTGGCCGAGTCGGTCCAGGAGCCTCGGGTGACTGATGTCACACACAGAGACGAGCCTGAGCAGGCTGCCCCGATCGTCCCTGCAGATGAGGACACCACGGCCAAGCAGGGGGGCGAGAACGCTCAGTGATCACGTTTGATCAGTACTCCCTTCTCTCTGCTACCTACACCTTTCCACTTCTCCTCATGTATATGTTCTGCTGCCTGACATGCATTGACCTTCTGCCTCCTTCGGCATTCATCAGTAGCGGCCAGAGCTGCACATTTCCAGGTGAGAACCGTATCTGGTGCCTGAGTCGGCAGGGCCTTGATCGCTGGTGTGACCCGTCACTCAGAGGCTGCGTATGTGGCGATCCAAAACAGGTCAGCTCGTGGTGAGCAGCTTGCCAGGCATCGGGTCAGGACGCATTTGTAATGAGCTTAGAGTCGTGCATGACTAAAATCAGTATCGTTAAGGTTCCAACAGCGTGGCAGCCCCATCAGCGTTCCCTCTCGATCAACCTAGCCAGGGAGATACCAGCTGATCAGCCTGCAATCCCGACAACCAGATGTCAACAGCATACCGACAGATCATACAATGCCCCACTTCCAGACCCCTCCTCACTCCCAGACCACTCCCCTCCCGCTGGGATCAGCTCGCCTACTATGGCTTAGGCGCCCAGTTCGGCCGATTCTGCCCTACCCAGGGACCCGCCGGCCCCACCATCTCCGGCTTGAGATCCTTGATAGTATTCGCCCCGCAGTTCCGCATCGTATTCGTGATCTCCTCAGCCATAACTACAGATCAGCCTTACTCCCCTCCCACTACCATACTCTATACCTCCCAACTCCCCTCAAGATCTCACACCGAAGACAGAAACGAAACTCACTCTCGCAGACCCTCTCCACCCCTTCCTGCCCATGCGTGCCATTAGCATACAAAAACGGCCGTCCCAATCCTACCGCCTTCGCTCCGAGCGCCAATGCCTTGACGACGTCCGCCCCGGACCTCACACCCCCGTCGATCATGATGTCGACCTTGGAGAAGAGGTCAGGACGGAGGGAGCGGATTTCATACAAGATGTCGATGGGTGCGGGGGCGCTGGCCATCAGCTGAGCTCGGCAAGGGAGCAGGGAGCAAAAGGAAGATACACGCACTAGTCGCATTGCCGTCCACCATGGTTGGAGAGAATGACGCCCTCGACGCCGGCATCAACGCACATTTGGACGTCCTCGAGGCTTTGGATACCCTTCACTATGATGGGCAGGTTGGTATGTTTCTGGGAAATCAGCTCAAGCTCGCTGCGTCCGGAGCTGGTAGCGCCAATGAAAGTGTGAAGGGGCGAAGACATACCCGGATAAACTTGATATCGTCCCATGTCAGATTCGTATCTTGATACCCCGAGATGGCCGCCCCGACCCCTTTAGGCGATTTAGAAGGTGCCTCGTTCGCCGTAGTAGTGTTCTTGATCGGTGCCTGCCTCTATCAGCCCCACACTCCCGCTGCAGTTACTCAAGTCCGAACCCCAAAGTGACATAGACAACTCACAGCAACGTGGCTCTTGGCCCTCACGTCCCTCGTCCGCTTACTCCGATACGCCGAGTCCACCGTAAACATGATACCCGCCGCTCCGAGCTTGGTCACCTTCTCGAGCAGTGCTTCTGAGGCTTTCCGGTCTTTGTTGAGGTATATCTATGGGGGTCAGCTATGTCTCTTCATGCCTGAACAAGGGGTGGGAGAAGCTAGCTTACTTGGAAAATGACTTTCTGGCCTTCTTTGCGTGCTGCCATGATCTCATCCAGACCACACGAGGCGTTGATTGAGATCTGAGGTATCAGCTTATTCCCCTGCCAGAGCAGAAGGGAATGGAAAGCTTACACCCTGTACGATTCCTGCTGTCCCCGCTCCTCTGGTCAGATTCACTTCTCCATCGGGATGCCCCAGCTTCGCCATCGCCGCTGGACTGATGAATACTGGGAGCTTTGTCGGGATGCCGATGAACTCGGTCTCAAGGTTGCCCTCGGTCATATTCCGGAGGATACGGGGTCGGAGGAAGTATCGTCTGTAGGCGTCCGAATTCTCTTGGAACGCTTGCGGTGTCAGCTGGAGTCCTCTTTCAATGGTCATATACTGTCTAGAAGCACTTCCGCTCCACGTCACTGTTCGCCTCTACCTCTCTCTTCCCCTCTCTTCATATCCGCCAAGATTGGTGAACAGCCAAACTCACAAATCTCCCTGTCCGCCGCAGAACGATAATAGTTCCACCCCGTCCCCGTCAATACCCTCTCCGCCCACTCCTCAAAGTCATCCACCAGCAACATCCCTTCCGCATCCGGCATCTTCTCTCGCCAGTCCGCGATCCGCCTGTCCTCTTCTGTCTCGACCAAGGCCTGCTCAGCGGGCATGGTATCTGGATCGACGGGGCCGAGGTGTGCCTCGGGGGCGAGCTGGTCTAGTGCGTCTGGGGGGTGCAGGGGTTTGAAGATGCGTCTGAGGGGTCAGCCGGTAGATGGGGACGAAGCAACGGCGGGAAGAAGGGAAGGAGGGAAAGATGGGATAGGGACGTACGTGGCGTCTTTACCGGCGTTCTCGAGGATGATACCTGCTCCGCCCGGGTGGTTCTCCAGGAAGTCGGTAACGTCGTAGACTTTGCCCTTGGTGTATCAGCTCTTCAGTCAGGTACGGAATGCTCGTGATCAATGTATCATGCTTCCAAGCTGAGTGTAGACTCACATCGATAACGACCCAGCAGTCCTCTGCTGTCGAGTGCTTCTGGACCTCTTCAAAGCTGATCAACCTCTTCCCAGCAGAGCCCGCACCCTGCTTGGCGACCTTCTTGCTTGACTCATCCTCGAGCTGTACGCGACCGAGGTATGTCGCAGTCTGCCAGGTCAGCATTCAACTCCGTATTGAGCTGGAGTGGCCGTCGACTTTGCGGGAAACACGAGAACTTACCGCTGCGACGGCGGCTGCAACGCCTAGAGCGAGATACCTTGACCCAGAGGGTGATTGAAAGTGCCTTGGAGGAGCTGTGTGAGCGGATCGCGTAGATGCCCGAGGCCGTATGAGCCGTGCGGATCGAGGCAGGGCGCGAGCTGAGGCTAGGAGGCCAGAGGTGAATCGGGCGGACATGTTGAGGTCGAGGGACTGCGAGGCGGAAGGTGGTGGGGGTCTTCGCGAGAGTAGACTCTGACAGTTAGTGATATCAGAGAGCCTGTATAGAACCAGGTCGTGAGCTTGGTCCTGATAGCAGCTTATAGTACGATGTCAAAAGTCGATTTTGTCTGACCAGTCCAGCAGCAACATCTTGGGTGGATCCCCTCCTTCCGGTTGGTCCGGGCCGGTTTGGCCGAAGCGGCTCGGGGCGGACAGGTGGGCCAATCCACTCGAGGCTGTATCATCGTTGCATCTATGAGCATGAAGAGATGAGTATGAGCGGGAGAAGGTGATAATGCCAAGGCGAGGGTCTCCCCGCTGCGAGAAGCAAAGAGATGAAAGGCAGCAGCTGAAGAAAAGGCAGGCAGGCAGGTCGAGGAATGCTGACGGCTGACAGCTGCCAGCTGTGCAACTTGTCATTCATCTTTCACTTCTACTCACTCCTTCTATCTTACCCTGACCTGCAACCAGAGTCAGCTCACTACATCTACTAGACCCTCACCATCCTCGGCCACTTCTGCATTTCTTAGACTCGCTCAGAACTTTCCGGCGAGTCTCACGTGGGGCATCAGACACGCTACTGAATTCTAAAGTTCTACCACGACTTGGTACGTTGCCATCTTCCCCGTCCTCTTCTGAGTGGACCGCAATTACCTCCAGCCCTCAGCTGATCCTCTCAGCTATCGCCACCATGTCCTCCGAAACTGCCCCTCTCCTTCCTCTTCCTCCCACCCTCCCATTCGCCATCACGGTATACGATTCCCAGCTCTCCCACCCTGAACGGACCGACCACTCCCCTCCTTATTTCCGCGACTCCCCCCTTCGGCTCATCGGCTTCGACCTCGGTGTCGTCCTCCGCCATGCGCTCCAAATCCCCAATATCTTCCTCCCGGTGTCCCCGCGCTCCGATATTGGGTTCACGGGCGTCATCTCTCAGGTGGTCTTCACGGTCGTCTCGCTCGGATTGACGGGCTTGGCGGTGTCCTCACTCGTCGCGGGGCTACCTACGCCGATTTTGGCGGCGGTGGTACTGGCGGTGACTATGATGGTGATGAGCAGGCTGCAGGGGCAGGTTAAGATGGATCATGATATGGAGGACAAGTACGCGGATGAGGCTTGGTTATTGTGAGTCGCTAGTTGTGCTTCAGTCTCGGTCAAGAATGGGCGTGTGTGCGGAAGACGGACGGTTGAGGATAGCCGCCATTACTACATTTGTCTCCATCATCTTCCCGCTTGAGACATAATCCCTTTGCAAGCTAGGCTGGGTGTGTATCCGAGCTGATCCACAGTGTCAACGGCATAGCCACCTCCGCTTCCGGCCTCCAGCTCATCCTCACCCGCCTGAACGTCCTCTTCGGCCGACGCGTCACCGGGATCCACAACAAGACATTTGGGATATGGTGGGACCTGGTCGAGTGTCTGCTGCAGCGGGACTTTATGTGGGCGACGGCGGATGTGCGGGTGGGGTACGAGGTGAGTGCTGGCCCGCGGGGGAGTGTTTTGGGACGAGGACAGGGGACTAGTGAATGGACAGGGAGAAGAGGTGGTCGGAGATGAGAAGGGCAGCTCAAGCTGACTGTAAAGACGATCTGCCAGCACATCCGGAATCCAGCCAAGAAGAAGGTCGTCCTCATGGCGCATAGTCAAGGAGGGATTATCATGTCCGCATGGGTCGTAAGTCATCTATCCGACCTTCCCTTTCTCACCTTTTCTTGACTTACCTTCTTGTCTTCCTCGCACTCGCGGATGGTAGCTGATCAGCAGGACCAACTCCTCTCCGACTTCCCCGCCGACGCGCTCCGCAAGATCGAGATCTACACGTTCGCATCGGCCGCTAATCACTTTAGCGTCCCTTCCTCCCCTGTCTATCCCGGCGCAGAAGCAGACGCCATCACGGCCGATGCGGAAGCGGCCAGTGCGGGGACGGGGACGGCAACGGCAACGGCGCATACGGAATCGACCGGGACTGGATCGAGGCAGATTGGGCGGCGGTTCGTTTTTGGGGTCGTGGAGCATTTTGTCAATACAAAGGATTATGTGTCTCTTATCGGTGAGTTTGGTCTTGATAAAAGGGGGAGCATACGGGCCAGACTCCGAGATGCTCAGCAAGGAAGGGGGTAGAAGAGCCGCCAGGAGTCGGGAAGGGGCGGGGAGGAGAGACTTCCAGCGCCGAGATTCTGCAATAGCGGTGTGAAAGCAGGATAAAGCTAGGCCAGGGCTGTGTGGCTGAACGAAAAAATCCCTTTGCTACTCCTTACTTGAGAGACCAACCAGCTGACAAATAGGTCTTATCGAATTCGCACCTCACCCACCCGCCACCACCGTCCCGGGCGTCTTACCCGCCCAAGCCGCCGAAGGCCGATTTGCAGGCCGCATCTTCCGCCGGGAAGGGCATACCGGACATCTCCTCGTTGCGCACTAGTAAGCTACACTTCATCTGTGTCTTCTCGCTTCGGTCCCTCTCGAAGCTGGACGGAAGGCACGGCGGAAGGAGCGGGAGCATAGGAGGGGGACCAAGCTGACTCCCGTAGCCTGAAAGAGGGAGACTGTATACTCGACTACCCCGCGGTCAGGCAGTACAGCCAGCTCACCAAGTACCTCGGCGGTCGGCGGGCCGAGGTGGAGGATCGGTATTGGAAAGCGACGGTCGTTACTCAGCCGACAGCTACCCCTCCGGCGGTCTGAGCGGAGGCGGAACAGTACGGGCACCACCGAGCTCGAACCGGACGACTGGCGGAGACGTTCCCCACACGATATTATGCGGTGCGAGACTAGACTCTACGACATGACACGACGACGACGATCACGACTGTACATTTGCCTTCTTCCAACATGAACGGCGACGAGGGGTCGAGGGGACGGGATTGGGGAGTGTGAGCTGTGTACAGAGGAGGGGCCACCGCGCAAGAACGTTTCTTTTTCCGGTTCAAGGTGCTAGGCCTGGGCCATGCGGCCCTACTCCGCGTTGTATATAGCCAGCCATATGCCAACTGTTAATGTCTCTCACGCCAACATACGGCCTAGCGTCTCCAAGTCGATGGATCGCTCCTGCTGGCGCTCGACAGGCGCGGGTCTGGTCACAGCGGAGCCTTGGTGCGGAGTCACCATGCGGTAAATCGCGGCTATCGAAATTGCACCTGGCTCAGCTGGTTTCGCTCCTTCTGCTTGTCTCCCTCGCCTATACATAGCTCCAACTCTAGATGTTCCAAGTGAGCGGCCAGGCCAGCGAGTGGCTACCAGGCGACGTACTGCCACGGTCCTTACTCACTGCTCTTCAAGTGCCACAATGAGGTGTGTGTGTGCTCCAAAGGACCCCCCTTGAAAATTCTAATCGCTGAAAACTCTGATCTCGACTTAATACCCATCTCTCCATACCATCTCTTGACATCTTGACTCGGCCACATCTTCAACGGGATGGTCTACGATGTCGAGGCTGACAGCGCTCATGCCGGCCCCTCACGAACCGGCGGGACTGCCAAGTTGGCTGATATCAACCCCGCCCCCGCCAGCGCTCGGACCTCAATCGTCCGCCCCTCCATTGCCAACCTCCTCTGCTCCCCTCCTTCGCTCTCCAATCTTTCTTCTCAGCCTATCAACCACCTTGAGAAAATCCGACGGTTCCTCGACCCACCGGACAACACCCTTCTGACCGACCACGACCCCACAGACCCCACAGTCCTCACCTTTGGCTTACGAGCAACCCTCCCTCCCCCCACTCTTCCACCTAGCGGGGTCCATCGCACTCGACCTCCCCCTTCTCCTCCGCCCGCAGCGGACGACCGATTCAACATGACCGTCGGCCACGTCAAGGCTTTCCGAAAGTTCCAACTCCGCCGGCCTACTCCGCTAACGATCGGGAAAGATGGGCAGCGGACGCGGAGGCTGTGTATCGCCGAGGCGGCGTGGATGAAGTGGGCGGAGGAAGGGGGGAGGTGGAATGGCGGGAAAGAGGGGACCAAGGGCAAGAAGGGGAAGAAAGGGGAGAAGGGCAAGGGGAGGGACGAGGGGGAAGAGGAGGTTGTTGTGGGTGTGAAGGGGTGTAATGCGTATAGCTATGATGAGAATGGGGATCGTGAGCTACACTCTGTCCTAACAAGTGACTGATAAGAGCTGATGAGAATAGCCTACAAGCCCACGATGTCGATACTGGAGATTCTCCGGCTCGTACTCGCTACAGCGACAGAAAAGATGCTCACTCTACCAGAGGTATGTCCACCTCTCTACCTTTATCCCTCGACGGAAGACACGCCGGCTAACGCTGGGTATAGATATATCAAGCTGTCGAAGCGCGCTGGCCGTATTTCAAAACTTGCACTGATTCATGGAAGGTGAGCTCATCCGCGACCAGACCATCCTGTGGCGACGATGGCGGAGTATCAGCTGACCCTCAGGGATCTATCCGGAACAACTTATCCGTCCATGTGTACTTTGAGCAGGTCTCGAGGGAAGACGAGAAGGGGAAGCCTATGAAGGCGTTATGGAGAGTCAATGAGAAGGTACGCGTCTTATCGTTGCCCAACTCCGAGCAATGCTGTGTTCCGCTGCTCGTGTATTATCAGTAGCTGATATACAGCTCGCCGGCCCCCTCTGCCCAAATGCCAAAGAATCTACAAAATCACACCGACCCGCCCTCCTCCCGCCGCTCCTATCGACCGATCTGCCGCCCCATCCCCTGCACCCCTCCTTCGCACCCATCGACCCCGCCTTCGCCGCCTCCCTCCCTATACCTCCCCAAGCCCTTCGCTCCGCCGCTACAGCCAACAAGAAGTACACAGGCACGGACGTCCGCATAGCTCTCTCCGGTCCGCGAGAGCTCAACCCCCGGAATGGGCGGCCAATGAAGTATCCGACGGTCAAGATACCGGGGAAAAGCATGGATTTCCCCATGCCGGGCGTACCGCCTCATTGGGGCGGGAGTGTGCCTGCCGGGTATCCGAATCCGCTTCCTAGGGGATGGATGGGTATGTGGGGAGACCCGACGTTGGTTGATCTGGGGAAAAGATATGGGGGCGATGGAGACGCGGGCAAGAGCGTAGGGGATGATGCAGGCGGATTGGCCAGACTGGGCATGGGAACTATCGATATCGAGGAAGTGGTAGATCTTCCCCATATCGCGGACACAGGGCCCGGTATCCGTCGTCAATGCCCTTCGACCCGTCCGTATGAGCCAACGAGGTCCGGTGTCTCGCACAGCTCCATCGAGTCTTTCGCACCCCTCTCGGAATTCTCCGCCTTCCTCGCCTCCTCCCGACCCCTCTCCCGCACGAGCTCAGCTTCATCCGCTACTTCCGCCTCCTCCACCAGGTTCAGCGCCACCGTCGCCGGTCCGCCGCTCCATCTCCCCTTCCTCCATCTTCTCTCCGACCCCGCCGCGGCGCTGACATCGTCCGGCTCAAAGAGGACATACCACCCAGCCCCTTCTCTTCCGCCGAGCACCTACAATCTCCCGCTCCCGGCCTCACTCTCCTCGGTCCATGTCAGAACCGCGGACACAGATACTCCCGCAGCGCCATCAGCTGGGTCAGGCCTCAATCTGGCCTCGGCGCATCTCCGATCCAGAGGCGCGGGATTCGTGCCGTTCGAAACGAAATGGAGGTGGCAGGATAGAAGCCGTACGATGGAGCCGTTTCCGGGATCGGGGGAATGGGTCCAGCCCAAACGTAAGCGAGGACGAGCAGAGGTCGGGGATGATGAAGAAGAGGGAGAAGAGTTGGAGCGGGAGCGGGAGGAGAAGTTGCCGGGGATAGAGGCGGTTTTGGGGCCGATAGGAAGGGGAGATCCGAGGGCTACGATCCCGATACCAAGGCAGCGGATGGTGCAGAGGAGGAAAGAGTAGGGTCTTTTTTTTCGATGGGCTTCTGCGAAGGAAGGACTTGAGGGAGGGTCGGAACCGTGAGCTATCTAGTCTGCGTAGCGGGCATAATCATAATCTTAGGTCAGCATGCACTCCTCTTACTTTTCATCTCCTCTGCGGCGCCACATATCATCAGGTAGCCATGTCTAACATCACACTCTTACATGTCTCAAGACTACTAATACCTCTGCTCTGTCTGACGATCCAGCTCACCACGACCAGTGCGGAATTCCAGAACCCCACCTCAGCTGGCAAGACCCAGTGCCACACTGCTTCTCGCGCGTTCTAGCCCCGTCTCGCCATCGTGGAGCTTCAAAGGATCAGCAGATACGTGGCAACGCGAGCGATGCTCATATCAAAGGAGCGCACTGCGTGGAGCGAGGAGCGGCAGCCTGAGCAGGGGTATACCAGCCAGGATCCCCTCCCTTTTGCCCCCTCTTTTCTGCATCGACCACAATTTGCCACCTTGCTCTTTGCCATCACTCACAACAAGCTGACCGTCATTCCTGATCAACAAGTCACGTATTCTCACACCCACACTCTCACACCATATCGTCATGACGAGAAATCGAAATTATCGCTCTGGCTCTGAAGGTAAGCGTACCCGTTCCAGCTGCACCGTGTCCGTGATCGTATCACTCATAGTCTTACTTACCATCTTAGACGGCTCCGTGCATTCTGACACCACTGGCTCCGCTACTTACCTCGTCGACGGAGACGGTGTGATCTACACCCCTGATGCGAGTACTACAGCTTCCGACAGCACGTATGGGCCCCCGATTCTCACTCCGTCCGGCAGCACAGCCTCCCTCCCCTTCGAGAGCGAGGAAGAAGCGACCAATCCACGCGAGGGCACGGGCATGCACTTCCATGGTATGATAGTCAACGTCTCAGGCTCAACCACGGTGCGGATGGGAAACACCTACGTCAACGAGGAGCTGGTGGACGGACCCTATGGACCGTTCTCTGGGAGATGGGGTCGGAATACCGCTTCGCGAGATACAGATGCGGACACTCGTGCCTCTGAGAGCGGCTACAACACCGAGGCTCCCAACACATGGCCGCTGTCGAGGTCGGACAGCAGCGCAGAAGCCCGCACCAACGACATTCGAGCCCGTGCAAATAGGATTCAAGCCCTCGCTGATGAGCGAGCCCGTAGACACCGAGCCAACATGAGTGCGTCTACTGAGTCAGGCGCTACGCATACACATCACGCAGGTTCTGGCCGTCGAAGCAGTCACCGCACCCAGTCTACCCACGGAGGTCGATACCAGCAGGAGAGCACATCTTCTGGGACCGAATCGCGGTACCATCCCACCGCGAACGTGAGGGTCGGGAATATGGGTCTGGGCGACCACAAGTATCCGGGGAGGTCTCGGTTCACGGGACCCGGGATGAACATCATTGGGGACCACGAGGAGAATGTCTGGGCACACTAGCCACCAGTGTTCGTACTGATCGATAGGATCGGTCTGCTTGGGGTCGAAATTTGACTCTGCTGTACTCACGTGATGCACTTGGGGACAATAAGTTCTGGTGACACCTTCGCGCCGGCTGCCGGTCTGCGCAGCTAAGTCAGTCTTGAAGCTTGAAGGAGCGCAACAGGCGCGGTGCGTCGCATGCATTACAGCCTGGCTGCTGTGTGCAGTCCCAAGCAAGTGTTTCAGATACAGATATCCATCTCCAGTGCAGTCCATATAGAGTATGTAGATATACCGAAGTCAAGTTCCCCCAGCAGGCGGGAAAGAAGAAAGAGAAAGGAGGAAGAAGAAAGAAAAGGAGAGAAAAAGAAGACTTCTATACAGGAGGATGAGATTTCGCTAGAGCTACAGGTTGATGATGATGACGAGATCGATTCCGTGTATACTACAAGGGGGAGGAAAGATGGCGCGAAGGTAAATTGAAGAAGAATGGAAGCAAATTCCGATCCAGCCATAGCAATCAAGGTGGTCCCGGCCGAGCAGCTTATCCGACAACACATCTAAAGGATCAGCTGCGCTCATAACTTCGCAACAGAGAAAAGCCCCAAAACTCACCCGCTCGAGAACCACCAACTCCCCCGTAAACTCTCCACCCAATGCACAATCACCTTGAGCCTCAACCTTGGACTCCGAATCGGCAACAATCGCGCCTTTTCAACCTCATCAATCGGCATGACGAGCGCCATCCAATAGCTAAACTCGGCGGGGTCCGAGGGCATGGTACCGTAGGTATTGTTGAGGCGCTGGAGGAGCCAGGGAGCTGATCCTGAGCGGAGTTGGTCGATAAAGGCGTGACAGACGGCCATGAGCTCCGAGGTGGTGATAGGGGGTCGATTGTCTGAGGTGAGGAGGGGTGGAGGGGCGGCTGGTGCGCCGGCTCCAGGGGCGGGAGAGGGGGAGGCGCCGAGTTGACCAGTGATGGATGGAAGGACGGGTGGAGCGTGGGCCGTATTAGGCGGTGGAGGTGGGAAAGGGGATGTAGAAGGTGAAGGAACCGCTCCGGGCTGAGGAGTAGCGACAGGCGTTGAAGGGACGGCAGTGGAAGCGGCCCGGGCGATAGCTTCCCGGACCGCATCTTGCTCGAGTGCCGCCTCTTCCTCTGGCGAAATATCGTCAATCCTACCAAGTCAGCTCTGTCCCTGCCCCCATCTGCCAAACCAATACTCACCGTTCGATCCGCCCAACGGTATACCCATCCAACCCGCCCTTCTCCAACAACCTAAACCGCTGCGTTCCAACAGTCTCCACCATACTCCTTCCATCCGGCAACATCTGCACGCTCTGAATCTCGAGCATCGTCCCGTAATCCCCCACCCCATCGCTTCCGCGACTCGGCATGAGCATACCAAAGCGGGGCGACGAGCTCTCGATACAGCGCCGAATCATGAGTCGGTAGCGGGGCTCAAAGACGTGCAGGATGGTCGGCATGCCGGGGAAGGCGAGGGTGCAGATGAAGATGGGGGTGTCAAGGCGGGCGTCGCGCTCGTCTTTTTCGATAGAGTCGCGCCGGTCCGTATACTCGGTGGGGAAGGCGGTTTTGACTGGGGGTCAGCGAGGCCTGGCGTGGGTGAACAGAGTGGAGAAAGAGTGAGAACTTACTGATAGTGAGGAGAACACGATTGACAGCATGATCCTGGAAATACGCATAGCTAGGCAAGTCCTGCCGACAAACCGGACATCGATGACTATGGTCCAAACTCCGACTGAGGCATTTGGCGCAGAACGACTACTAGCGTCAGCTCATCCTTCATCTCCTTTCCACTCCTGAGAGGACTTCAAAACTCACATGCTGACAAGGCGTCGTGACCGGCTCATACAACAACAAAGCACACACATCACACTCCAAAATTCCCATCAACTCCCTCTCAAAGCTCAGCTCTGGCCGGCCCGGCTCCCCGATTGTATTCTTGCGCCGCTTGGATATCTTACGCGACAAGGACCCGCCCGACGAGGCGTGCGTCGCTGTGCTGGTTGCGGACGCGGCGGACGCGGTGGACTCGTCCGAGGGTTGGGGGTGGGTGGGGGCCTTCTGGTCTGGAGTCGGTTTGGGGCGGGGCGTGGCCGTGGCGGTGGCGATGGAAGTTGAGGAGGAAGAGGCGGTGAGCGTCTCGGAGAGGGAGGTGGAGCTCAGCCCCATCGAGAGAGACGTGTGGAGAGGAGGCGGCGCGGCGCGAGCGGGAGAAGAGCTTGGAGGTCCGAAATGGGCGTGTCGAGCCTCACCGACGCCGGTACCGCTGTCGATGCCTTCTCCGTCCGCGTCTATAGTCCCGTCCGCTTTGGCTTCTTCCACAGCTACCGCCATCCTCTCCGCCTCCGAATGCTGATGCACCAGCCCCGTCTCCTGGGCTGCCGCCGCCACAGCCGTCGCGGCCGCTTCTGTCGCGCGGCGGGAGAACTGTCCGAGCCCCAGCTCGCGCATGACGAGGTACATGACTTTATCGACGGCGGTATCGAGCAGTGGGGATCCCATTTCGTTGACGGGCGGATCGGGCGAGTAGGCCGGGGGCGGGTGGGACTGGACGGCGGATCCAGCGATAGGAGCGGGAGCCGGAGGGGCAGAAGCAGCGGGTGGGGGAGGGGGATAGTACATCACCCCCGAAGCGAGCGGGATGGCTGCTGGAGCGGGAGCGGGAAGGGGAGCTGCAGGCGGGCACATAAAAGCAGTGACGGGGCTCGAAGGCTCATGTCCCAATCCACCGGGGATGGCGTAGGGCGAATACCGTTTGCACGAAGGGATGGGACACATGATGCCCGCCCAGAGCGAGAGACGCTGGTGTTGCTGTTGCTGGGCGAGAGCGTGCTGATCGTGTGGAGGTAAGAGGGGGTAGTTGGCGGGTAAGGGTGCTGGGGCGGGGACGGAGAGGTGTTCGGAAGAGAGGGTGTGGCCGCAGGGGAGGGTGAGGGGGTGGTGCAGGAGTTGGTCGGTTCCGGGGGGGCAGAGCGTACTGGGGAGTCAGCGAAGTCCAAAGAGGGTTTTCGGTGATGCGGGTAGAGAGAGAGGAAGAGTAGGACGGATAGTACACATGACCGCAATCCCCGTCGGCATGTTCTCGCTTGGCCTTGGCCAGGTCCATCCCCAGAATGCCCCAAGATCGCTCTCATACGCTCCTTCCAGCACTTCCCTCTGGCCTACTCAATCCCCATCCCAGTTCCCCCTTCCCGACTCTGCAAATCATGCTGCACTGCTCACAAAAGACTCACCAAGTCAACAGCTTCTTCAGCTGACCCAACAATCCCGCCCTCCATACCCTCTTCCGCTCACTCTCCCTCCCATCCCCTTTGTCTTTGGACGTCGAGGTCGATCCTGACCCCGCACTCCCATCCCTCGTTTCTCTCTCGTCACTCCCCGATCCCGATCCTGAGCCCTTGGCTCCATCATCCCCTTCCCCTTCATCTGCCGGCTCGACACCCTCCATAGCTTCCCCTTCTCCCTCGCCAGCTCCGGCTCCGCCTTCTCCTCCCTCTTGAAGCCCTGCTGGAGGAGAAAGAGAAGCGTCCGCGACCGCGCCAGGCGGATCAATCAGCGCCATCTGGGTCCTCAAGACCCTCGCGCCGGCTCGATCCCGCGGAGGAGGGACGAGATCCGCTATGGTGGGCGGTTCCGCGCCGATCTGGCTCTGGGTATGCGCCATCGGAAGTTGTGACGGTGACGGTGACGGTACAGGGAACGGAGCCGGAATGGATCCGGCCAGGAGACGAGGCGAATGCGACGCCGCTCGGAGTCCCGATTTGACTTTATGCGGTGGGGTCGATCGTCGCCTCGCGCCCATTCCGGGTCTCGACGATGAAGATGGAGATGTCGCTGGGTGGTGGGGGTGGGAAGAGGATGAGGTATGTGGGTGTGAAGACGAAGGGGTACGAGCGGAATGGGGGTCGAATTTCGGTAGAGGTAGATCGGGCTTGAAGAACAGGTCTCCTCCTTGTACTCCGCTAGTCCCGCCTCGATCTGCTGGACCGGGCGCATGACTCGATGCGACCGCCACCGCCGCCGCTCCCTGTCCGATCCCTCCCCCATGCGCCGACACCGTGGCATTCCCCGATCCCCTCCTCCGCCGCCCTATAGCTCTCGATCCTTCCCCTTCATCTTCTCCGTCGCTCAACCACCTGGACCGACTCTCTTCCCCTCCGCCTCCAGCCGCGCCGACGCCAGATCCGACGGCGCGATGCCGCCTGGCGATATGCGCGGGGACATTGGTCGTTGGCCGCCATGTCCGATGAGCCGATGTCGATGGGATAGAAGGAGAGGTGGGCGCCGAAGTGGGATTGGTAGAGTTTGAGGGGCGGCGGGAATTTGAATCGGGGTGTGACATGAAGGCTGCTGAGGAAGAGGCGGAGATGGTGGCTGATGATCCCGAGCCAGAGCCCGAACCAGAACCTGAGCCTGATCCCGACCCAGCACCGACGAGATCGGCGTGGTGGTGGTAGGTATAAGAATGGTGCTCCTGCCCGCTACGGGTATATGGGGTATACCGATCGGCCGGGGATACGGGTACGGGATGGCGCATCGACATGGTAGTATGGGAGGAGGATGAGGAAGAAGATGAAGAAGGACGAGATGTCGATGCCAGACCCGAACCGCCTGCGCCTGCTGTCCGATCGTCGTGAGTTAGACTTATGCCCGCGGCCGTCGTCAACCGCGCGGATCGGGAGGAGGATGTTTCAGATCTGAATTCTGAATTTGGGTGATGATGGTGGAGGAGGGCTACAGGCGAGGGTGCCGAGTGGAAGGAGAGCGAGGGGGATATGGACCGCCTAGACCCACTACCACTCCCACCGCCATTGGCGCTGGCACTGGCCGTTTCCCCTGGCATGGCGAGGTGAATAATGGGCGCCCGATCCGGACTGAGCGAGAAGTGTGGGAACTGATGTATCAGCTCAGCGGCGGATGTGGGGGGTGGAGGTGAGGTGGACGTACAAGTTGCGAGGGTGGCCATTCGCTTATTGTCTATCCTGATGACAGAAGAGATCGAAGATGGCGAGGTAGATCAAGACAGGTCGTTGAGTGTCAAGATGAAAGGTGCGAGATGCGATGTCGAAGAACCGAACCGAGCTTTGGGCGATTAGATCGAAATGTAGCTGTCCGATAGAGTTTGGGATCTGATCTGGCAGACGTCACTCTCTGTGTATGTGTCTGCTTGACTGTGTATCTACTCTGAGCCGAATGGAGATGGACAACTGTACTATCTATCCAAGCAATAGCCATCGGCCTGAGCGCTTCGTCGATCGATTTGTACCGATCCTTTCAACCGCAACCTGCATGCTTGAGGCTGAGGCGCGACTGTTACGTCACTGGTTTCGGACTCTATTTTTCCGGTTGTGAAGCAGGTCCGTGCGGGGGTTTGGGAGTGAAGCGGCGTGCGATGCATAGGCAGCCATTGCAGCTGAATAGCAGCTAGCGTCCCTTCCACCCATGCAAGGTACAGATGCTCGAAAGCTGGGTGCTGCATGCATGCAAAGTAGCAGCGCTTGTGCGACTGAGCGAGTCCGCCGCCCGATCTCCCCTTCTTTCGGGCCTAACTTCTGAAACCAGCTAGCTTAGCTTCAGCTTCAGGAACGATCGAGATAGGCGCAACAAGGTTCCGTCGGAATGATGGCTATTGTTTGGACCTGACGCGTTCCTGTGCCTTACCTCGACGTGCCTTTGTACCTTGCATCGCTTGCTCACTCACCCACTCATACAGCCTCGCTTCGCATCTGACTACATAAGCAGTCGGCTGTGCTCTGGGCTATCCAGACGACGACACCGCAGCGGCACTCCGGTCTACGAACATACTATATTACCTTCAAGCTCATCCCCGCCAAACTCAATCAACCCGCAACCCTGGCTCGACCACCCTCGGCCTCCTTTCTTTCGGCTCCTCAGCTCCAATGGCAGGCTACCTAGGCCGCCCCTCAGCCGGCGACTCACCTTTTGCTATAGGTCAAAAAGCCTACTTTGACACCTCAAACCCCCAAGCGCCGTCTCAGCGGAACCCGACGCCGAGGGGCCAGGCGCAGGGGATTCCTCAGCCGTACGGCGGTGCAGGGGGCGGAGGAGGCGATGTGAGTGGGGAGGCGAGGAGAAGGTATGAGGAGAGGTATAAGAAGAAGAAGGAGGAAGAGGCGGCGGCTGCGGCGGCGGCGGCGGGAGGAGGGGGTGGCGGGCAGGGACAAGGACAAGGGCATGGGCCCCCTCCCCCGATGCAACATCAACAGAGCTACGCTCCCGCTCCGCCCGGCGCATACCCCTCTTCCCCTCAACCTCCACCTCAACAGTTCTCTCAGCCTCCCCCGCCGCAATGGTCCGGCTTCTCTGCGCCTCCTCCGCCGCAGCATCATCAACAGCAGCAGCATGGTCAAGGGCAGTACGCCTCGCCTCAATCCCAACATGGCTCTCTTGCGCCTCACCACAACCCCTCCCGCTCCTCCTTTGATCAATCGCGCACCTCCCCCCAGCCCAACCGGTCCAGCTTTGACCAGTCCCGTCCTAACCCGAACCCGAACCAGGGGTATGCCCCGCCTCTTCCAAATCAAGCTGGAAGATCGCAGAGCCCATACGATCGCCCCAGCTCGTCTCTCCACTCGCCGCCCATCCAGCAGGGACCAGGGCAGGGGCAGCAGCGATGGTCTCAGCATTCAGGGAACAGCGGGCCCCCAACTGGCGGTGGGCAGGGAGGACAGGGAGGGGGCCCGCAGTGGAGCCAAAAAGCGGCGCCTCCGCCTCCGCAGGACTTTGGGAGACGGCCGGCGTCGGCGCAGAGTCATCAGATGCAGCAGGGTGGAGGGAGCAGTCAGGGGCATGGAGGACAGCAACAGCAGCAGCAGCAGCAGCCGATGGGTCTGGGAGGGGACGACGAGTTGAGGATGATGTGAGTTGTGTTCCTTTCTTGGTTCGGGAAGGAAAGGGTTTAGATGGGGAGTGAGGTGGTGGAGGTTGCGATCGCGAGTGCGGTTGCGATAGAGCGGGCTTTGAGAGGAGTGTACGAAAGGAGAGGGAGGGCTGGACCAAGATCAGATGAGGGATTGAAAAAGGGGAATAGCGGATATCCGGAGCGGAGCTAGACGTGTAGTATGGAGGAGGGAGACAATAGGAAGATCTGGCAGTGTGCTCAAGAAAGGAGAGGAGAGGAGTAGAGCGAACGGGCGAAAGTGTTTGAGGATATGATGTTGGCGCTATCAGTACTTCGTGCTGACTCTCAGGTTTGAACAATTCGACTCATCCCGGACTGGCCAGCTCAACTCATACGACCTGCAGCGCCTCCTCGCCAAGGACAGTCTGATGGAGGATCCGCGAGAAGACGCAGTCAAGATGTTGATGAGTGAGCTGGATTTGCAGCTTGTACTGTGCTGTGCTGGATGGGTGGAAAAGCTGATGGGTAGATATCTTTGATACGGACCGGAGTGGGAGTATCAACCATATGGAGTTTGAGGGGCTGTATCGGTATATCCAAGTAGGTTTGGTCTTCTCACTTGTCTTTCCTCAATCATATCCCCGCGCTCTTCCTCTCCTGACCTTCCTCTCACCTGTCCATCTCCTCTCCACCACCAGCCATCCCCACACTGCGTCCCGTTCCAGTCGTCTCCTTTATATCCTCCCACAAGTCCCCGCTGACAACCAGGACTGGCACGGCATCTTCCAGCGTTTCGACAAGGACGCATCCGGCCTCATCGACCGTAAAGAGCTACACCAAGCCCTGCTGGGTTTCGGATTTTCGTTACCGACCGAAATGGTCCGTAAGCTCGAAAAACGATTCGCGCCGCCTCCGAAATTGCTTCCAGGGGGCCAGGTGGAGATGCGGAAAGGGATCAGTTTTGATCGGTTCTTGATGGCTTGTGTGACTGTGAAGCATTATACGGAGGGGTTTAGACGGTGAGTCCTGGGTGCTGTGGAGGGCTGAGGGGGATGGAGATGAGGAGAGGGCGAGGACCAGGGACGAGGACGAAGCTAGGGGGGAGAAAAGGACTGGGGAGATGGATAGAGGGTAGAGCTGATGTCCAGGTTGGACCCGAATAACCAGGGCAAGATCACGGTCGACTACAACTCCTTTGTGAGTCGATATGTCATGTCTAGCGATTTGCTATGTGGAGTGGACGCTGACGGGACAGATGGATATGGTGCTTGATGCGCCTTGATTGGGGGTGTCAAGTCGACGAGGTACGAGCATGGACGATTGGACGAGGGGAAAACGAACGTGACGATTTAAGAGGACGAAGGCCGGATAGAATGATGTCTTGTGCATGTATCTCTTGTGTAGCTACTCCCTCTTGGGCTACGCTTTGCTTACCCGGCGGCGCTCGGAGCCGTTGTGCGGTCTGGTCTGCTGCGCTATATGATACAGTAGCAAGTGCAGAGCTGGTCGATCGGCAGAGACCAGAGTGCCACTTGCCGGCTGCGGTGCCGTAATTTCTTGTCCGGCCGGAACTTTGGAACCCTGACCCGGACTGGAGCTAAAGCGTTGTTGTTTGTTTGTTTATTACGCTTTGCTCTGCTCTGCTTTGCCTCTCTCTCTCTTCGTTCACTCACACGAGCATCCATATTGTTCATCTCTTCTATACACTGCGCAGCTTTAGCCAGAACGCGACACAGAGCCTATACACGCTCTTTCGAACTCTGCGCTCTTTCTCCCTTTTTCACCGAGGCCCGAGCTCGCTCCGACGCGTTTGAAGGATCCCCTTTATCTTGCTCGACGACCCGACCCCCCTTGGACCTCCTTCTGCGTTTCATCCCTCCATTTCTCTCGTGGTAGCGCGTATCAGTCTGTAAGTCTGGGCTTGCGCGCGTTTCATGTACGGTACTAGTGGACGGTCAGCTGATACTCAGCTCAAGTACCGACCTTTTCAAGGCGTAAACAAAGCCATACACGCATCACGTCGAGCTATCGTCGAGCTTCGGCTATATAATTGACCTCTATATCATCGTAAGTCGATCTCTCGGATCAGCCGACGAGTGAAGAGGGGTAGGGTCAGAGAGCAAGAGAGACAAAGGAAGAGGGGGGATGAGCAGAAAGGATTGTACTGGGGTAGTCAGGGCTCTCGATAGGCTTTAGCGGGGGTGCGGGGCGATCCTTGGAGGCTGGACCTCCTTGGGCTAAGGGTGTCCTGGGCGTGGGCAGGTGGCAGGTGGACAGCAGACGGAGGACTGCGGCGCGTGCGGCGTACCTCATCCATCTCTACCCGCCGACAGACTGGTCGAGCTCCATACGCCCGATCCATCAAAGAGCTAGAGGACCGTGCTGATCCATCCTCTTCTCTCGCCTACTCCACCTCGCCCACCTCATATTGCCTACAATGTCCATCTTTGACCCCATTCTACCCGATTTCGACCCCCTTCCGACCCGCAGACCACCAGACGACCCGCCCATCATGGCTCAACCTCAGCCTACCTCCGCGGTCTCCGCGGTACAGACTACCCCTGCTCCTACATCAGCAAGGGCTACTACTCCGCCTGTAGTACCAACTTCCACTCCGGTCGCTGCTACTACCCGTACGTCCCCCACTCTACCTTAATCCATAGGATAAGGCTGACTCTCTAGCACCCGTGCAAGCCACCACGCCACCATCCTCCTCCGCCGTCGTTGTCGCGCCTACCTCTTCCTCCCCCGTCCCCGTCGTTCCTTCTTCATCAAGTGCGGCCGCTTCTTCAATCGCCACAACGTCTTCCGCTGCCGCCACGACGGCCCCTACATCCATCGCCGTGGTTACACCCACCGCCACCACTGCGCCCTCGTCGTCCTCTGTTCAAAGCAGTAGCGTCTTGACCATCACGTCGACCCAGCCGCGTCCTAGTTTGCTAAGCTCGGTCAGCGCCAGTCCGAGAAGTAGTGCCGCGGCGGCATCCGGGACCTCAGAGTCTAAGGGCGGGATTGGAGGTAGTGGGCTAAGCGTTGGAGCTGTAAGTTGTGTTTTTGCCTATGACCTCTCCGGAGTCTATTCCCCTTCTCTCTTCATCCCTCTTACTGCCAGTACGGACAAAGCTGACGTCCAGCTCGCCGGTATCATCATCGGCGGTCTCGCCGCTATCGCCCTCGTCGCATTCTTCGTCACCCGCTCGATGCGCAAGAAGGCCCGGACCAGGCGGACCGCCAACCGCAGTAGCATGTTTGAGCCATGGCCCGCACCGGCGCCAGTCGCGCTCGAGGATGAGCCGTACGAGAAGAGCCGGGTAAGCTGATGTTTCTGTTCTCGGCTTCATTCAGTCGACAAGAGTGGCCATAGCTGACTCTCCAGTTTGACGCGCCGTCCCAATCCTACGCAATGCAAGACCAGTCCTACGACCCTTACACCAACGCCCAACAACACGCATACGGCGCCGGCGGCGAGTCTCAGCCTCTTGCGGGCTACCCCGGCCACCCCGGCGGCGGAGGATACCCCGGAGCAGAACTCGCCGCTGGTGCTGCTGGTGCTGGCGCTGGCGCTGGAGTCGCTGCGTACAACTATCAACCCGAGTATGCGGGCGCGCCCGGCGAGTACCCCCCTCAGGGACAGGGACAGTACGGCGGTTACCCGCCCGAAGCGGGTTATGCGGCGGCAGGTATGGGGATGGGCGCGGCGGGAGTCGGAGCGGGCGCGGCGGGGATGGGTGCGATGAATCCCGGAACGGGTCTGACGGACGGGATGATGGTCAGGGTTAAGGTTGGGTTTGTGAGGACTCTGGAGGACGAGCTTGGTGAGTCCGCATTCTCCCCGCAGAGTTTCTCATCGTGAACGATTCCGTTCAGCTTCTCCCCCTCTCATATCGCTTGCTTTGTCTTTGTCTTTGCTAGTCCCAAGCTAACTCCCAGCCATCACGCCCGACCAACAACTCTACCTCCACAACCAATACGACGACGGCTGGTCACTCTGCGAAGACCAAAACCAGAACCGCGGCGTCGTCCCCGTCTCGTGCCTCGAGCCGTGGACGGAGCAGCCAACCGGATCTGCCGGGGACGGGCAGCACCTCGCACCCGGTGGACAAGGGATGCCGAGGAGTAATACGGCAGAGAGCCTGACGGGCGGACAGAGACGGTCGAGTTTGTTTTTGGCGCAGAATGCGATGGCGCCGCAGCCACAGGGGCAGGGACAGGGGCATATGAGGTATTGAGGGGTATGAAGGGGGGACCCAGTGGGGAGGCTGGGGTATTGAGGGGGAGAAATGGGGGAGGATGAGGGGAGGAATCGATAGGGGGAGTGGGGGAGTGGGGATGAGTTTGGAATTCTAGGAGGGGGATGAGAGGGAAAGGAGAGAGGTGCAGGCGGTGCGGCTACAGGCAGGAGGCTATTCATACCATTATCTAACCTTCGTTTTTGCTTTTCGTCTTTGATCTACCTTGTCACGGACGGAATCTGTATCTGATATGTACTGGTATCGCGTTGAGGGGTGTCCATATCTATCGAGTACATTGAGCTTCTCTATCTCAGCGATCAGTCGAGTCAATACGACAAGCGGTCCCCCGGGGATTTAGCAGCGGATCGTATCGGATAGACAGATGAATGGTCGGATCTAGCTTGACAGGTCAGTACACTGTCTACTTGGCTCGCCGAGCGTCAGGGAGGTCACAGGTGAGCGACGGGGAACAAAGCTGACTTGCCCATATCCACAAGGCGTACATATCTATCACATAGCCCTGACTGTATTGACTGCCCCGCCTGCGCTTGGTGACCCCTGCTTGCCAGATCGCGCAGACATCTCCGCCGCCGCCGAAATTCCGCCTTCCCGCCAGCACTGACCCGACATGACGAGTGTGACCTGGAGGTCGATGGCTACTAAGCTGAATAGGTTGCGAGGCCGGTCGGAGTCCGCAAGACGGGGCGAGCTCCTCAGCCGATGTATATTTGATGGAGGAAGTTGGGAAGTGCCGAGCAAGATGGCTGGAGGGGTATCATGGCGATCTGCGCTTTGTGTTCGATAGACAAAGGCGGAAGGATTGGGGAGCTAGCGGGTAGGTAAAAGCTGATGAGGACTGGAGGTCAGCAATCTGCCCACCGCGATCGCTGGAATCGAGATAGATCAAATGCTCACCTGGCTGCAATTGGCCCGTGCCACTGTCCTGATCCCTCTTTCTTCCAGCCGACAATACCAGATGCTTTACACCACACTTCTCGAAAGCCTCTCCGCCCATCGCAACTCATCCCCGGACCAATCTACGGCACAACCCGCTCCTCTGCCCGACAATGCGACAACGCCCGCCTATCCTCCTTCTCCGCCTCCCCATCTTCTGCCGGCGGTAGGTGAGAGCAATCAAAGATCCCTCCGCAGCATTCTGCATCGTACGATACCTCCACCGCCGGCGTAGCGCGTTCCACATCTGGACGCGGAGGTACTGGATTGGGATGAGGGGGCTCAGGCTGGGAGTCGACAGGTGGGAGAGAGGAACAGTCGATTATGCCAGCGCAGCAGGTGGGGTCGTAGACTTCCATACTGAGTGAGGAGTCTATGTCGAGGGAGGGAGGGTGAAGAGAAGAGGAGGAGGGGGAGGGGTATTGAGGTGGATGGCCGGTCATGTGGGTGGTATTGAGCCTGTCGGAACCGGACGTGGGGTTCTCGGACCGTGAGCCGCCTGCGTTGTGGTTATGATAGGAAGTCGGACCAGATCTCGACGGTGAGCAATCCCCGTCTAGCTGATTGACAGCGTCGAGCGCCTTGAGGAGGTGTTGGCGGATATTCACGACGGACCGGCCGAGCTGATCATCCCCTCGAGCGTTCCCAAGCCGAGCTTCCCGCAATTCCGCGCGGAGAGAATCATTTTCGGCTCTTAGTCTCTCTAACTCCTCCTCGAGTGATTCCTGATAGTCAGCTAGTGCCCTATTGCGCGTCGAGCTGAGAATACTCGAAGGGGGATTCAAGGTGGAGGAGCTGAGCAATATCGCTCGGAGGACACCGAAAGCACTCACTATCCGGGCTGCTTTTCTCGCTCTATAATCCCTCTGCTGAGCAAGCGCTCTGGATGGCGGTATAGTCTTATCGATGGATCTACCTCTTGTCATGATAAGAATAGTTGAGGAAGTATAGACGAGAGAGCAGATCCGTCTTTGGCTGGGTGGCGGCAGGTCCGTGCGTCTGAAACAGCTTGATTGGTGGCGGCCGAAAGTGGCGGCGGCCTTGTCAGTTCGCACGTTGGAGCCATGACCGACTTGCCTACACCTACGGTCCAGCTTCATGGTCCTTCGTTTCGCGCAAATAGAGTCTTCAAAGGTCCTCCGATACTGTGGGATTCCTCATACGCGCTTCAGCACTGTACGATTTTGCGCGCCAGTGGCGACTGAGTGGCGATGCTGACGCATCTGTGCTCTAGCGAGTGGACACGACTTTGCCACCCGCCCGGCTTGCTTTGCTGTAGCGCATGTAGAGTCATGAATCCCTGACGCTCTCCAGTCCTAGAGAGAGATCAGAGTGAATAGGGTAGCAAAGCGGAAAGGCCAGAGTAAGATCACAGTACTACATGATGATGCATGTGCTTTGGGACCGCACCCCTGGGATCCTAACCCAATTGACCACAATTCGACTCTGTCCGTCTTTTCGCCCTGCCATGACGCCACACGGAGATCACCCTACCACTCCCCATGAAGGGTGCACCTTCCGCCTACGTACCTCGGCTCCGGCTGCAGGGTCTCCGTCTCGCACCCGGAGCATGGTGGGGGATCCTCCCGAACACTCCCGGCTGTCGCCGTTGTAACAGCCGTTGTCTCTGGAGTCTGTGTGGCTGCCTCGTTGCAGCGAGTGGTAGCGGGTCCAGATCCTCTCAAGTAGGTTCGGACCGAGACCATAACGGGAATCTCGCCTGCACCACCTTCGGACACGCCGAGAATTTGATAACTCGCACCATTCCCTCTCACCAACCAGCCGCGATTCTTGCCCTCCTCGATGCAGTCGATGGGCCCCGTTGATTCGTTGCTGCTAATGATCAGAAGAGTATTCAGGTGTTTGTCAATCAGAGAGGCAATGTCGAGCGAGAGAAGATGAATGTATGAAGGCAAAATTGGAAGTGGCGAGGGGATCCTTTTTGGCGCACATCGTGGCTCATCCATTGTTCTGGCTGGCGAATGGCGCCTTGCAGGCTGGACTTAGGCCTTCCTTTCATGTCCTACTCCACGTCGATAGGCTCGAAGGGGAAGCACTGGTGATCGAAATCGTCTTCACTCTCACTCGACGACATCTTGGGGTCCGCCCTCCGGGTCCGCCCTCCTTTCATGTTTTGCATTGCCAATCTGAGGGTGGCAAGTGAGCCGTTTGACTGTTCTGTCACTTCGGTGGGTGATTCTGGTGACATCTCTGCGACCGAACGTCTCTGACGTTGTATCCGGTGCAGGCTGCAGGGGACGAGCGATATAAAGCCAAAGATGACAGATGATAGAGTGGACAAGGAGGACAAGAGTGAAATAATGCCCAGCCTCTAGAGAGCATGTTCCCCGCTAAGAGCCAGATATCTCGCTCGCGGGCGAAGCATAAAACGCCTTTGACTCCATGCCCTTCCGTTCAGCGTCACTACTTTTTTATACGACACTCCCCCTTGTCAATGTACTGGGCCTGATACAGACGAGAGGTTTAGATTCTTGACCACCGGTCCTGCATGGAGTTTAGGCTACCGCAGCCCCTGAGTAGTCACTCAATAACATGTCGCCACACCGCGAACCGGCTGAATTAAAAGAGCTTAACGATGTCATTATTGTAAGACAACAAATTAGCGGTCGGGACAGTGAGTCGTTGCACTGCTTCAAATTCGTCAAAGGGGCACCAGTAGTGCAAAATCTGAGACGCCGCCACGTTGGTCTCTACCCCTGTAGTATCATTTAGCGCTTCCTTTATCACCAACGGCGCAATCTAGGCAGGAGAGGCCAGAGGATCTGGGCGGGTCGAGTCCCCTTATCAACTAGACTGGGTCCCCTACTTCTCTCGATTCTACATATCGCCCGCCACTACTCCCCCCTTTGTCACAACCCAGACCCTACAGCTCCACCTACGAACAATACATCTCGTGATACGACATGGACAGCTCCTCGCACAGCGCAACGAGCCAGTCGAGTGCACGGCCCAATTCCCCCGCGGAGTCTCCCTTCTTCTCATGAACGCCCATCCCAATCAACTGGCGGCAGATGAAGAGCGAGTGGCGTCCTGTGTGATCCATGATTACGCACAGTTTCGGGCCCTCTCAAGCTCCGGAAGCACCGCGGTCTACCTCAATCCGCGTCTGTACATCGCCGACGGGATTCCCGATGCGGTTCCACAGCTACTCTGCAGGTACCAGTGCAGCGAAGAGTCGCGAGATCGATTTGAGACGGGGCTACGCAAGAACTTGGCCAGGGCCCTTCGAAGGAGTCGTGAGAAGTCCGACCGAATGACTGTGGAGCCGACGGTCGCACTGTCTGGCGAGGAAGACATCTACAAGCGATTGGCAGGGCTATCACTCACGGCAAAGGATCTTGCGATGTACTACCGCAAGATGGGCTGGGAGGCGTCTCGCCTGGAGCCGGTACGTTTTGGTGCGCACACTGACGAATGGACACACGACCTTGACGGTCCAAGCGAGACGATGGCTTCAGGTTATCCCGTCCTCCGGGAGTTCTACGTTCGTGACGAGGAGAGGCCCATGTGCGTGCTTGATGACGAGGCTGGGAGGCCCCTGTACACGTCTGTCATCGAAGTTTCTCGAAGTGGGAATCGGCGAGGCCACGGTGCAAGGGTACAAGGGCCAAGCATGGAGTGGAATACGATCGAAGGCCTACTGCGCAGCAGTGACGGGAGAACCTGTTTGATCTGTGAACCTCAAGCCCGACTGGAGGCCGCCATTCGAGCCATCAGTACCCCTTCTACGACGTCGACCGGAGTGGCCTGCGCTCAGCACTCTGGATTGGAGGGATCAGAGACGAACGACCTGCTTTCCCTGCCGCCGCAGCTGTTCCCTTCAGCTTTGAGTGCGCTCACGGATGGTTACGGGCACTCTTGCGCTCGGCAGTTGCAGCTGCTCCGCGAGGATGCGGACGCCATCGCCTCCGTCGAAGGCTACTCGGTCAAGCGCACCGCCTTACCCTCCTTGAATCTACATCACCTCATTCCGGCTGATGCGAGACGTCAACTCGACTCAGGCCTTGTTTTCACCGACCTGGACACCGTACAGTCAGCCTACGTCTCCAACTGATCTCCCACTTATTCATTGTGTATTCTGAGTATTTTCAAGGATAGATGCGAGCGAGGTGTATATAGCGGTAACTTATTGTGAATAAATGCAACATTATGTGAGGACTTTTGGACTCCCCCGAGGTCGGTAGCAGCTCGAAGTGGCTTCTGGCTTGCACTGCTCCGAACTCTCCGATTTTAGGCGGGGCTCCCCAGTCACGCTCGGTCAAGCGACCCCTAAGGCAGTACCGTATGAGTAAGTGAGTGAGCGGATAACGCCCCATCAGCTTGAAGTGAATCACGCGGCCAACGAGGCGGTGGTGCCGAATCCCGATTGCTGATTGTCGGGCGGACTACATGTGGGGTACCTGGGATGATGTAAGATGATGTGAGATGTATCATATTGGCGTTGGTAGTATCGTCAGCAGGTGAGAGAGCCCAGCATGAAGGATTTAATCTTGAACGAGAAACAGCGAGATTATAAGGTGTTCCTAAACATTTGACGTGGCTTGCAATCACAAGCGTCAGAATACAGTGACGTATAGGTCTACTTTGCGCTGACCGACGGCAGCGCTCGTTTCCGAAGCCATCGTCAGCTCTGACAATGCTCAGACCGATGATTAGACTTGTCTTGGGCAAGGTTAAGGCTCGGCGCGCATAGCTAGTGGATATGAGCGCCGTATGTCAATTGAGACAGCTGCTTCAGTGACATCAGTGGACCACATGTCGGCCTCCCTTCACTAGCTCGCCAGTCAGTCGGCCAGTGTAGATCACAAGATGCATTTCTTCTTGACTGTCTGATATGAGTATCGCCCCAATAGACATCCTTGCTCTTCGCTGATCCCTACGTCCCTTCCCAACTAGTATGGCAATCCCCCATCTCCCCCGCCCCCCGCCTCATCCAGATCCATATAGCTCACCCTCCCTCTCTTCGCCCTCGGATCCTCAGCCCCAGGTGGCGGCGGAGGAAGTGGCTCCCTCGCCACCGGTCCCGGGCCCCTCCCACCCGAACCTCCTCCTCCCGGTGCCGCACCACCCGCGAACCCTCCCATCCGGCCTGCGAGCTCCCTCCCCGGGTTACCCATCCCCATGGCCCCAGCCGCGGCTCCACTGCCCGCCATCTGCGCCATCATCGCCTGCTGCATCTGCATCATCATCATCATCATTTGCTGCTGCTGTTGCTGTTGGCTGAGATTGCCGCCAGCGGCGATCGCGGCGGGGTTGAAGGCGGTCGCGCCGAGAAGAGGGGCGGAGCCGGCCATGGGCGGGAGTGCGTCGTCGATAGCGGCAGGGACTTGGAGGGTGGGCTGAAGGTGTTGAGGGTCGAGGACAAAGTTGTTGAAGGTGGTGTACTGCAAGTCAGCTAAGATTCCGAGGCGGAGATGATCTCCTCGACGCGCCCTCCATTCGTCTCCCTCAACTTGGTAACTTCATCCGCGGTCGTCAAAGTTCCGTGATCTCACTCTGCCAGTCCTCAAACCTCCCCTACAGCCCATCTGCTCCACCCCGAGCCGATTCAGAGATACAACTCACCTCATCCAACCTCGCCTGCACCGTCTCCCCATGCTTGACAACGATATGCTTCATGACAAACTCGGGCGCCTTGAAGAGCTTGTTGCACTCTTTACAGCGGTACTTGTGCGTCTCCTCTTGCTTGATCATCGGCGCGGTGAGGCGTTTGGTCTCTCTGCGAAAGGTCAGCTGCACTCCCGAACACGCTCTCGAACCCCAGCCCCATCTCCTGCGCTGTTCTCCCTCGCCACCCCATATCCGAGCTAGCCTCCCCTCTCCCACTCCGCACGGGGCCGTAGCCGAGCCGAATGAAAGCAAACTCACTCTTCCATATCCTTCCCTCCATACTCCACCACATCCACTTCACCTACCATCGGCCCCAACTTGTAATCCAGATACTCCTCCCACCGCTCCTCCTGACTCTGTCCCCTTCCCCTTCCTCGCTCCCTATTGCTCTTACTCTCCCCCTCCCTCCTCCCCGAGACATCCACACCGGCCGCACCTGAACCCACCCCAGCGCCGGTCCCAGCGCCGGCATCCCGCCGGTCCCTATCCTCCATATCCACCTCCTCGCCCGCCTTCTCCAACTCGGCCCGCAGATCCCCATTCCCATCTTCGCCATTCCCCTCGCCCATCTTGGTATCTTCCGGTAAGGTGTCGAGATCGTCTTTGGGCGGGATGGGGAGCCGGACGTGGCCTACGCATTTACGCTGCAGCTCCTCGGCGAAGCACATGGGGGCGACGCAGTAGTAGCATGTAGAAAGGCCGTTTCGGAGGTACGAGATCCAGTGGTCCAGAATGAGCTTGGCCTGAGGGTCAGCCAAGATCTTTGAGCGCAGCAACAATGCTTGTCTCCAATAGCCCTACACAGCTTCACCAAGCTGAAGATAAGATACTCACCCTCTTGATCTTTCCTTCCTCACTCCGTCCCTCCTCCTCACCCGCCAACCCCTCCTTGCCCAGCACCCTCCGAATAGTCTCCTCAACAACCTCCGATCCCCTCTCCTTCATCCCCTCTCCCTTCTTGTCCCCATCCCCTCCCTCCATCTTGATATCCCCCTCCTTCCCCTCCGTCTCCCCCTTGACTTCCTCTGCTGGCTGGACCAGATTCTCCTCCAACTTGATAGCGAGCGCCTTGGCCGCTTCGCCATCCTTGACGAGCCGGTCGAGGGTGCTGGCTACAGCAGGAGCGGTCCGAACACGACCGACAGTCGCAGCGGTATTGACGCCCATGTGGAATGTAAAGTTGTCGATCTGAAAAAGTCAGCTTCTGGCCTGCGCTGCACCGCGGCTACAAGAGCTCACCTTGGACTCGTCCAACTTCTTGACCACCTTGGCTACATCCACTCCGTCGGCGTACTGCGCCCACGCGACGCGGTGGAAGGCCTTCTTGACGCTCGGCTCAGTCAGCGCGAGGTACTGGAATCCATCACACGAGGCGAAGAGCTAAGATATCAGCTCTGCTGCATACACTTGGCGTTGGTCTGTAGATTACTTACCTGCTCGAGATCCTTCCTGCTGATGGTCGGCGGAACAGACTTTACAAACACCTGATTCGGCTTGGGCGGGACTTCCAACTTTCCAGACTCGTCCGCTCCCGTCGCGCCCAGGACACGATCAAGACCTTCAGGTTCTTCCAGCTCCGAGTAGCGGCGAGTACCGGAGGACTGCTTGACATCGTCATCTGATGGTCAGCTAATCATCCCTGGCAAAGTTGTAGATGGGAAAGACATACCGGTCTGATCGAAAGACACCGAGTCAAATTTCCCAGCTTTGAGATCCCCGAGGTACGCCTGCACAGTGGGTACCCGGCCTTGGCGCTGCACCCGCTTACGCTCGGCCTCATCCTCGGGGAGATGCGAGTATCGCTCGGTGAACCAAGGCGAGGTCCGGTGCATCAGGTAGAGGGAGTACAGCTGCTGGGTGAGCCTGGGCTGCGATCGGTGCTGGCCTAGAAGCCGACGTACCTGCCGACTAGTATACTCTTTACGGTACCGCTCGTACCTCTTCCCCATACCCACTCGCTCTTTCCCGACGTCTCCCAGACCATCGTCTATACCCGCCTTGTACCGCCTAAACTCCTCTTCGTCCGCTTTGGCGGTCGAGGGGTGAGTGACCCGGAACCAGTCGGCGAACTGCTTGAAGCCGAGTTGATGCGGGAGAGACGCGGGGTCAGGGAGGGCCATACCCTGCGGCTCGGGCGAGAATCGGCGCGGACGGTGCGAGGCGTACGAGGGAGATGGAGAGCGGCGGCGCTTGGGGCGGTCTAGCAATCAGCACAAGCACACGGAGCAAAGAGGTGACGGAGAAATGGTCGGATCGTAGCAACAGCATGTATCCTCTCGAGCTGTGCCACGGCTTTACTTCCCCCATTATGCCGCTACATCTCCCTTAAACCTAGCTCTCCCCATGTCCACGCATAACTGGTCCCGATCGCCTAAGCAGCATATCGTACTCACCAAAGTCCTCTTCCCAATGCGGAGGTGGCCTCCTTCCCCGGCCTTCCCCCCTCATCTCCCTTTCCCTCTCATACTCTCTCGAGTCCCATTCTCTCCCTCCGCCTCCTGGCCCACCCTGGTAATCTCTCTCTCGCATAGGCAGCGGCTCCCTCTCTCTCGGTGGCATCGGCAGCGGTTCCCGCTCCCTCTCCCTGTCTCTCTCCCTATCTCTTGGCGGAAGCGGCTCTCTTTCCCGCTCTCTCGGTGCGGGGATATACCTATCTCCCCCTCCCATCGCTCCACCGCCAGTAGGTGCAGACCCAACAGCGAGAAGTTCGGGATCGTGTCTGTTGGGCAAAGGAGCAAAGTTAGACCGGCTGAAGCGGTCTCGTTCGGGCTCGTGTCGAGGTGGAGGTGGGGGCGAGCGCGACATGTCGGTCGACCTGATGGATCAGCTCCGGCTCCACACCGAGAACCATGCGATTGTGACTTACCTTTTGAGCGATAGATGATGATCTGAAGAAGGGAGAGTGGATGTCGTTCAAGGAACACTGAGATCTGTTCAGGTCAAGGCGGTCGAATATCGAGTTGTAGGGTATCATCGGAATCGTCGTAAAGTCGGTAAATCGGAGCGGTAGAAGACGATGGTAAGCAAGACATTTCTGATATAGTAGCAGATGGAGGAGTCAAGCTGTACCTTTTGTCTAGTTGTCCTGTATCCCTCTTATAAGAGCAGGATAAAGAGCAAGAGAGAGCGAGAGGGAGATGTGTGAGTAGGGCGAGTGCGGAGACAGCAAGGAGGGTGGGGAATTTGGTTCCGGATGTAGCACGTGGCGGTTTTGGCTGCAGGTGGGAGATGGCTTGGAGGTGCACATGATCAGCTTGTAAGGGCCCATGCATAGCTGTGCACATGATTGGCGTACCGTGAGGATGAGATGGCTGCTGATAGGGTGTTCCGAGTGGCCTCAGCCAGAAAGTGAATCGATGGTATGCAGTGCAAGCTGCAGTTCAGAGACCTCTGCCCGCCACCCAGCTCGTGCGACACGGTCTAGCGAGCAGCTCTTGTGCCTCTCCCGCCCCAAGAGCAGGGGCGGAAACGGGATAGCATCAATGAACTGATAGCAGCATCATCGGAGTGCTACAGCCACAGCCACGTTGATACCAAAACATGGCCGCCTGACCCTGGCCAAAAAGTACTCAGCCCGACCAGAGGATGACGACATGATGAGTCCCCGCCCCACCTACCTCAGGTCCATCATTATCGGTTCAGAAAGTATTCCACCGCTCTGACCTGCTTCGCAGCCTTCCTCGCACAGACATGAGAACTGCGCCCAAAGCTGCATTCCCACTGCAGGCAGGACCAGCGGAGGTTTCGCTGCAACGCAGTCTCTCTGGTTCGTGCCAACATGGATGTAAGACTAGGTGGGGGCGGTGGTTATCGATGCAACGCTTTGCTCCCAGTCCCATTCCACCGTCTCGTGAGCCATTGGCTACTCTGCATGTCGATCAGGACGACTTCTTGGAGCGAGAACACCATGAACGTGGCACCGATCACTAAATATCTATCCGCCTGGTCCGACGGTTTACTCCGCCTGCCACACCTCAGTGGATCTAAACAGCTCCGGTCAGCCTGTATCAGCTGACGATACTCTCTCAGCTGTGCTGTATGAGCAGATCTACAGGCGGCGGCTGCCAATGTCTAGCTTGTGGCGCTCCCGCCACCGACCTGCCTGCCACCTTGGCGCCACTTTCCACCCGGAATCTAATTTCGGTCGTCGTCACCGTGCGCGACTTGTCTTTGCGCGTACTCTACTTGTTTTGGTCTGTCTGTCTCCAGCCATCTCTTTCCAGCTATAGACTATATATCTAGAGGCTGTACATACACCCCAGCTCCAGCTTCTTCCCATCATCCTCACAGAGACAAGTATACCTACTTGACATCCATCCTCATCGCCCACCCAAAACTCTCACCGTATCTACCGGAAATCTAGTATCCCAAATATGGCTGTGAGTATACCTTCATCCACCCTCCCTCCCTTGACCCAGCCGATGAGCTTCGCTGACTCCTAGACTGTAGCAAAAGACCACCTCTCCGGTCACCCGGGTCACCTGTACGTCTAAGTCCCCCCTCAAACTTCTTCTCGAGCCAGCAGCCCCACCCGCTCGGCCCGCCTCCTCCCTCTTACTCTCGCTCCTTTGACCAAAGCTAATCCTACAGCGACGCCGCCCAAGAATCCGCCCTCGCCCAGTTCCGGCAAGAACTCCTCGCCGAGGGCTTGATCCCAGCGGACCACGCCGAGCTGACCGCCCGGATCAAGTATGACCGGTTCGACGACGCGACCCTCCTTCGGTTCTTGAGGGCTCGCAAGTTTGACCTCCCCAAGGCAAAGCAGATGTGGGCGGCGAATGAGAAGTGGAGGAAGGAGTTTGGAGCGGATGACATTGCTGCGTGAGTCTGTTTCTTGGCTTGTGTGCTTCATGGGGGATCGTGCGTGGGATGGAGTGTGTTGTGGCGGGTGAGGTCTGTGCGGTATGTCCTGGGACCTGGGCGGCTTCTTTGAGTACAGAGGGGCTTGGAATGGGGATGTGTAGAGGGGGCGGGGGAGTATTTCGTCCCTGAGGAGGCTGGATCCTGCTTCCAGCCACCCCTATTAGGTTGTTTCGTCAGGGTGGCTGTATAGACTTGAGGATGGGGTTGGTACATCGCGGCCGAAGGCTCTGTTGGTCCTATCTCGTTGGAGACGTGCGGAGCTCAATGGGCGGAGCAGAGAGCATGGTGGACGCGATGCAGGGGTCTTGCGGTTTCCCTCTTCGCCGACTCCGAGCCAGATCAATCTTGACCTTGTCTGTCCAAGCATCTCTTTGAGCTCTCTGCTGACCCTCAGCAACGGCTACGACTACCACGAAGGCGCCGACGTCAATAAGTACTATCCCCAATTCTACCACAAGACGGACAAAGAAGGCCGCCCCATCTATATCGAGCAGCTCGGCAAGCTCGACTACAACAAGCTCTACGCGCTCACCACCCAAGAGCGCCAGCTCAGGCACCTCGTCGATCAGTACGAGCGCTTCTTTAGGGACAGGCTGCCGGCTTGCTCCAAGACGAGCGGACACCTCGTTGAGACGAGTTGCACGATCCTCGATTTGCACAATGCCGGCGTGTCGACTTTCTATAAGGGTGAGTTGGCTCTCTATATGTTCATGCTGTCTGCGGGGAGGGAGGAGGGAGATGTAGAGGATATGGGTGGTGGTGGCAGGGTTTAGATCTGCTGTAGGTCGACGTATGGCGGCATGGCGGAGGGGGCGGGAGAGGAGCACAAGCTCCAGGCTCTGGAGCTGTCGGGAGGCAGAGATGTTCGAGAGGCTGGAACGGCGTTCTGCGTCCCGCGGGAGGAGATCTGGGGTAACCACGGAGGCAGAAAGAACGATGGGGATGGGGAGTCCAGACGAGGGAGTGAGGCGAGGGGCGGGATGAGAAGGACCAGGCGGACATGAGAGCTGCGGTGCCGGCCTGGAATGGCAGCTCATAGTGATAAGCGAGGGCTGGCTGATCCCGATGCGCGTTCCGGTTGGACCTGACGATCTCATCTCGCTTGTGTCTCTTTGAAACAACTGGACTATCCATCAAAGAGCTTCAGCTGATATGCCAGTCAAGGACTACGTCTCTGCTGCTTCCGCTATCGGACAGAACAACTGTGAGTCTATCTTAGCAGATCAATCAGTCGTAAAGGGCACTTGGCTAACCTTGCAGACGTGAGCTACTCCCCTGATTCTGCCGACTCGTCTTCCCCTCTTCTCACTTCACTCCATGTCTTGTCCTAGCTGACCCCTCAGCCCGAGACCATGGGTCACATGTTCATCGTCAACGCTCCCTACCTCTTCTCGACCGTCTGGTCATTCGTCAAGCCCTGGCTTGACGAGGCCACCGTCCGCAAGATCCATATCCTCGGCAAGGGGTTCAAGACAGAGCTCCAGCAGTATATCGACCCCGCCAACCTTCCTTCGGACCTCGGAGGGAGCTGCAAGTGCGCGGGAGGGTGTAGCTTGAGCGACGCGGGACCATGGAACGAGGTCGCGCAGGCGTAGAGCGTAGATGAGGGGTCGGGCTCCAGGGGTAATGGGGTGCTACGAGTTTGAGTTTGACTTAATATGCATTGCTGTGTCGTCTCGGTACAGGACGCGGAGTCTCCATGCGCGAACACTGAGCTCCTGCCTCCTAAGGCTGCTAGCTGGTACACCGTCGCTGGTCCCCACCTTGCCCCACCTTACACCTAGGCCGGTTACTCGGCTTTGGCCGGCCCGAGCCAACTCAACCTGAACTCCATCAAGCTCTCCTCTCGTCTTTACATCTTCCACATTGTCATCATGGTCCGCACTGTGAAGCTCAACGACGGCACTAGCGTGCCCGCTATGGGCTGGGGGTATGTCTCTGTCTGAGATGTGTACAAGAAAGCAGCTGACCTCTTAGAAACATGGGCGGAAAAGAGAAAGCGCTCAACTCTGGCGCCGTCGCCCTTCGAGCGGGTATCAAGCATATCGACAGCGCGCAGATATACCGCACAGAAGCGGAGGTAATGGGTGCTATCAACGCGGCGGGGATGAAGCGGGAGGATGTGTATATCACAACAAAGGGTGAGCTGGACTCGCCAGTCGAGGAAACAGGGTGGGCGAGCTGATCCACCTAGTTTTCAACATGCCCAGTAGGTCTGCAATCCTGTCTCATCTAAAGACCATGTAGCCTGCTGACTTATAGATACACCAAAGCTGCACTCTCAGCAAGATCTCCGTACATCCGTCAAGCGATCATTATCCGAGCTCGGCTGCATCCCCAACCTGCTACTCGTCCACAACCCGCACATCCCCGCTGAAGGCCAGCTGGCCGAGTTCTGGGGCTGGCTTGAGGAGCTCGTGGAGGATGGGACGCTCAAGGGGTGCTCTTTGGGAGTCAGCAACTTTAGGCCGGTGGATCTGGAGGAGGTGATGCGGGTTGCCAAGATCAAGCCGGTCGTCAATCGTGGGTCCTCTTTCTCCCCCTCTTTTCCTCCTGTTCTTGGCCCCCTTCGTACTCGCCAGCTCTGGTACCCTCTCAACCTCTTGACCTTTGTCCTCCCTCCGTCATCTGTCCCCTCCCTATCATACGCGACGTCTGATATACTCCTCAAAATACAACCTGGTGCTCCTGGCCCTTCCCCAATCTTTCCGCCTCGCCCTCTGCGCCCTTGATCTTGACAGGAATACGCTGATGTCCAGAAATCGAGTATCACCCCTACGTCATGACCCACGTCGCACCTCTCATCGCCCTTCACAAGCAGCACAACATCATCACCCAAGCCTACGCCTCTCTCGCGCCGACCACGCGGCATCCCACAGGCGGACCCCTCAAGCCCATCCTCGAGCGTATCGCCGCAGAGCTCACGAAAGAGTCAGGTGTCGAGGTGGACTCATCAGGCGTGCTGCTGCTGTGGATCATGACAAGGGGTGGGGTGTGCATCACCTCTTCCAGCTCGGAAGAGAGGATCAAGAAGATGGCGGCGCTGGAGAAGGTCAGGGATCTGAATGAGGCGGAAATGGGGGAGATTGATGCTGCTGGGGGGAAGGTGCACTTCAGGCAATGGGTACGTCAGAACTCTAGTCTAGTACGGTGAGGAAGACTTGGAGCTGATATGCAGGACGAGCATCTTACCACGGACTTCCCCAGTCCTGATCTGCCGTCCGATTTTTAGCAAGGCGATCGATCGTAGGGACGTTTGAACCAGCGCCGCACATAAGCGCACAGGAACCACATTCAAGGTACTGATGGATGTCCTGATCTTCTAGCCTGACCTGATCCTCTAGCATCCTCTAGCCCTCTCCAGTGATGATGCCATACTCACTGATCAGTCCCGCTCCATGCGACTAATCTGCTCAAACGCGTTTCGAACTTACATCCTTTTTCTGTCTCCCTTTGAGTTCCTGCAGCCCATTTTCTCCGTCCGACCTTGTCCCCCCTCGTCGCGCGATACCGAGACTCTTTCTCAATCGTACATTCTCACTCTTCTCCTATTGTCCTTCCCGAGGCCTTCTCAGAGATGGACATCTTCAAGAAGCAACCCAACATGTTCTACATGAGAGGAGATGACGACTCGGTGTAAGTCCATTGTCGCCCGGATGAGGCACCAGATCACTTGCCTGCTAGGAAATCGAAATCGGGGATACGCACTGACTTGAGCAGCAATGCCGTCCGACACATCAACACCTGCATCTCGACCGCCTGCTCATCACCCGGATTTGTTACAATTGTCACATCGGCTGACGCGCAAGCTCTGCTGGATTCCTGCCCTGCACCTCCTTCTGAGAACGAACAGGACTCGAGCAGTGGCGCTCATGCCCACCATCGAGCTGCACTGACCGAGTGCAAGCGACTGCTGACGGTCTATCCGAGGGTCCGCTGGGCACACCTCCGAAAGATTCTGAACATGTGAGAGCGCATTGACAATATGGGAAACTCACATCACTGACGGTTGATAGCATCTCAACCCACGGTGAGGATCTCAGCCTCCTGACTGATCCAGATGTCCTCATACCTTTCGGTCCCGAGGTGGATGTGAACTACATGATCTGCCTCGACTTTCGTGTGAAGACCAACGAGACCAAGGCATCCGAAACCCAGTTGGACGCCCGGACCACCGACACGGCAAAGACTGACGCTCCTGAGACTGAGACCCAGGCGAAGACTGCCGCCACCAATGCGGTCAAGGACAGCGCGCGTGAGATCCAGGCAAGGGCTGGCATCAACAAAAAGAGGAGGCGTCGGACTCGTCGTCGGGTCACGACTCCCGCGTCGGAGTCGGCCAGCATGCGCTGTTCAGCGACGAGCCAGATTCCAGCATTCGCATCCCAGGCATCCTCTGTCATTGACGAAACAGTGCCGTCTGACACTGATCCGACAATGCCCTCCGTTATCGATCCGAGCACCGATTGGTGGTTCCAAAAACGTCGCGGTCGCTCAACTCCATACTAGTTCTCGCGATCCTGAGGCTGCAGCTGATCGCAGAGGTGATATCGCCGGTCTGGCCCCGGGATCTCGCTTATTTGGATGGGGACGTATGTATATCTGGTCTTCCTGCGCATCTGCTCATGTCGCTTGCCACTGTCATCCTGTGCGCACTGATCTAGGTGTAGCTCACCCTCGGACCAATGTTAAAGTCCGCTCTGCTTGGCCAGATTCCCTGTAAGACCTCAGCGCCGGGAAATGTTAGCTCTTCTTCGGTCCTGCACCCATGCCAAAGCTCATATTGGACCTCGAGTTCATGCTGACTGCTGGAGCCTGCTCGCATCAGGGCAACATGTTACCCATGCACTGACACGGCCCACACAGTGAGACGGGACCAAGCCGAACACTATTGAATCCTCGCGTGGTATTGTGCGTGCCCAAGTGGGACAGCTGTTCCAGCGGACTTGATCTCTGATTGTCTGAACGAGCCGACAACTGCATTGAATGCTGCCTACAATTTTACATCTATCCCGTATCCGGACGACAACTACGACGATTCGACAGCAGGATCTACGCCTTCCCGACAGCTGCCGCACTTCCCCTCCTGACCTCAGATACCTTGTCTCAGTCCCACCAGAACTTGGCAAACCACCCTTTAGCACCCTTCGATGGAGTCGGCTCGTCCTCGGGGTTGGCCTCGGCGATGAGCATGAATTGGAGAACGGGGGATGTTTCGAGGGGGACAATCTTGGTCTTCTTGATGAACTTGTAACCGAAGTAGAAGACAAACATGAAGATTAAAGAGAAGTAGCTTGACATGAAGTCTGCTATATCCCAGTTGCCGGGAAGCTGTATATCAGCTATTGATCATCTCACCTAGAAGCAGAACTTACGAAGGAGTAGAAGCCACCGATGAGGATAAGGAAGGTCGACGCCCAGATGGTGATCTGAGAGAGCCAGTACCCACCGGGCGCCTTGTAGGGTAGCCTATCTGGGCTGACTCCCTGGACTTGCATCGCCTTGCGCATACGCCAGTTGCAGATACCGATGACGATCCAGATACAAAGTGTGTTGGACGAGTTGATGTTGGTGAGCCACTCGAACGCCTGAGATGCCCCGTCGGACCCGATGGCCATGAATGCGAGAAGTTGGAAGGATCCTTGGAAGATGACCGCGACGTAGGGGATACCGAAGCGGGAGATGCGCCTGAAGATTTTGGGCGCTTGACCCTCGAGGGCGAGAGCGTAGAGTGCCCGAGACCCGGTGAGCATCCCGTGGTTGCCCGAGCTCCAGGCGCTGGTGATGACGACGGCGTTGATGATGGAGGGGAGTGCCTTGACGCCGGCAGCCTGGGCAGCGAGGGTGAAGGGGGAGGTTTTGGCGGTACCAGAATTGCTGGCGATGGCAGGGAGATCGGAGGGGACGATCAGACCGACGACGAAGATGGTGAGGCAGTAAAAGACGACGACGCGGATGAAGACCTTCTTGGCGGCCTTGGGGATGTTACGACGGGGGTTCTTGGTCTCGGCGGCAGCGATGGCGAGGGTCTCGACCCCAGAGTATGAGTAGACTGCGTTGATGAGGGAGATGAAGAAGCCAGCCTGCTGATCAGCGCGGTCAATTGGCAAAGTGTAGACTCACCGCTTGACCCTTCGCCTCGCCAGGCCAATAGTACCCCTGTCCCCACGGCCCCGGATTCTGCCAGTACAGGAATCCAATACGCTCCTTCCCAGGGATACCGCCGAGATCGTAGATGAGGCCGAAGAGGATGAGACCGATGAGAAGGGCGATCTTGAGTAGGGCAAAGATGAATTCGACCTCGCCGTAGATGCGGATGAAGAAGAGGTTGGTAGCGAATGTCACGACTAGACGATCAGCTATAGTCTCTGATACGAGGAGAGTACTCACGAATGCAGATAGCGATCCAGATCCCAGGGTTGAGGTCACTCCAATAGCTGACAATAACCGCAACCGCTGTCCATTCTGCCGGGACCGACACTGCGCTACCGTAGAAGCACGACCATCCGATAGTGAAGCCCAGGGCGGGGTCGACAAACAGCTCGGCGTGGCGGACGAAGGCTCCAGAGACGGGAGCGAGAGCAGACATCTCGGCGATGGACCCCATGACGCACATGACAAGGCCGCCGATGACGGTGTAGACGATGAGAGCTCCGGCAGGACCGGTACGGCGGATAGTTCGACCCGAGCCGAGGAAGAGACCAGTACCGATAGCTCCGGCCAGCGCCATCATCTGAATAGTCAGCCCTTTGACTGCTTGGTATACCAGCGGACTCACCTGGACATGTCGCTGTTTGAGACCGCGGATGACCTTCTCCTCCCGTACTAGATTGGGATCGACCCCCTCCGGAATGTTGTCGTAGATCAGGCTCCCATCTTTGACCGCCCCCGACTCGAGCTCAGTGACGGGGCGCACATCTGCGGCGAAAACGTCCTTCTTCTCCTCGTCTGGCGGTGTCTCTGGGCGGAGAGTGGACATGTTTTGCTGGCGTATCGGTGTGCTGATGTGCTGGCGGTGAGTGATAGATCCTCAGACATGGATACGTCTTCAGTATATCAGTGCAGCATCCTGGAGGTCATCTTCACTCTCGCGTCGCTTGCAGCATACCATCAGCACGATAAGCTCTGACCCGTCGGCTGCTCGACCACATCCCTGCGCGGCTAGACAGAACAGCTGATAGAAAGGGCAAATGACGGGTAAGAGGAGACGGGACGACCTATTTATATCCCTTGCGCATTCCTCGAGATCTGCCCCAACTTGTCTTATCTCTGCCGCACTCCGGGTCCGCACCGGTCAAGGCATCGGATCGAGAAGCGCCACAGATCAAGCACGGCTCGAGCTTCATACAAAGTGCAGCGCTGGACAATGCTGAGCAATCTGACCATACGGCGCGGGGGAGGTAGGTCGTCGGCAACTTCGGACGCGAGCAAAATGAATGGGGTATCATACATTACATGTACTACAGCAGAGATCTCGATATGGTATTAGATAGATCGTGTATATGGCTTGCAGTCTGGTCGATAGAGGGCGAAAGTCGCAAGCAGCGCCTCACGTCGTGGTACCGCATCCCAGGAGGGTAGCAGTGTTGGAGCCCTATGCGATCAGCTATGTCCGCTATGAAGCTCAAGCGAAGAGACTCACGGGATAGTACCAGAAAGAGACGGCGATGATAAGGTACAGCATCATGAGGACCAGTCCCTCCATCCAGCTGATATGTCAGCTCTCGTCCTCTGCGATCTCACGTCGAGGGACTCACTTGGATCTGCCATCCGCGAGCGTCTGGTTGACGATCAAGACGGAGAGGAAGAGTACGATTGACTCGTACGGGTCGAAGAGCAATCTGTACGGAGTCAGCTAGGGCCAATAAGCAGCGAGAAACGACATGAAGTAGTGAAGCAACGGGGAGAGATGAGACTCACGTCATGGGTTTTCCGATCGTCCAAGCGAGGAGCTGAATGACGGGGATGACGAAGAGAGCGATCTGGATGGAGGAGCCGACCTTCTCTGTCAGCTCATGTCGCATGCAGACGAGGGTTCTGACTTACAGCTACGGAGATGGAAAGGTCCAGCTTGTCCTTGACCGAGACTGAAACAGCAGTGAAGTGCTCTGCGGCGTTACCGACCTGAGAGTCAGCTTGAATACTCAGCTCTGAAGGAAGCTATACGCACAATGGGCAGCAGGATCAGACCGACCCATTCCGCCGAGAGCGCTGGGTTTGACTCTACCAGTCCGTCGATACTGCTGACGAGGAACTCGGCAGTGACACCGACCAGTACGGTAACGATGAGAAGGACGATCTGCAGAGTCAGCTAGACGAATCATCGTGCGAAGGAGGACTCACGATTGTAGCCCAGATATTCATCTGAGGTTCCTCCTCGTCGTCATCGTCGCTGTCCTCGTTGCTGTTTTGACGGTGAGGCGGGACTTGGATCGGTCCATCATTGCCGGGGTGCCCATCAGTGTGAGGAGACTCGGTGGTAGTGCCGTTCGAGTCGACCGTGCGGGCTGACATCTCCTCGTCGTTCTTCTTGTTGCGGCGGAAGTGACGAATACGACCGGGCATGTTGGTGACGGCGGCAGGGTAGCGGGTAGAGGTGGAGAACTCCTCGTCCTCGTACAGAGACTATATGATGAGCTCAGTCCAGGATGATATGGTAGCTGTGCCCCCGTTGTGTAACGCTCGACCCAGTTCGACATCATGCTCCCCGTAGGCACCGCCATGTAGTCCTGCTGACGCTCTCGTAGCTCCTCAGGTCCGCCCAGCATCTCCCCTGCCGCACGCCACCCAGCGGGACACCCGTCTGACGGAGCCCGCTGCTCATTCTGCTACCCTGTCTGCCACGTCCGCCTCCCTCCCTCCCTTGACTCGCGCTACCTCCCCGTCATCAAGTATGGAAGAACTCACAGCATGCGTGAACATCTGGAACAAGAGATATCCAAGATACAGCACCAAAAGCAGAATTGCGACCGCATGACTCATCGCCAGCAGATCTTGACCCTCGACCGCGTCCGTCAGAGTCTGCTGGGTGCCGTTGGCAGTAGTGTTGATGGAGAAGTGGAATGCGGAAGGGATGAGAACGGCGATGACAGCTATGAGGAGGAGGGAGGCGTTGAGCTGAGCGGCGGTGGACTTGATGGTCTGCTCGGAGTAGCGGAAGCCGCCTGCGAAGAAGCACCTGAACATCAATGACCGCTCGCGCCGAGACAGAGTGGTGCTGAGAGAGAGGGATGAGGGGGCAGTGACTCACATTCCGAGCACGAGCAGGATGTTGGAGAGGATGGATCCGACCAGGGAGGACTGCACGACGGCCAGCTCACACTACTTCGTCAGCTTGAGCTCCTGCCATGATCACGCTGTCCGAGTAGACCCACCTTAATCAGCGCGAGGATGGCGACAATCAGCTCTACTGCATTGCCGAGGGTCGCGTTGAGAAGACCACCAAGCGTCTGACCCATGCGGAGAGCAGCCTCCTCGGTAGCGAATCCTAGCAACCCAGCTATACTATCAGCTTTGTCCCCTCAAGTCATAACCAGCTTCCCCATCGTAGTACTCGCTACTGTTTCCGCCTAATCGATGACCACACCATCTTGATCCACGACACAACGGTCTCGGACTGTAGCAGGATCCGCGCAGAACTCACCAAGAGGCATGATTGAAATGAAGGTAGTAACAAAGACGGCCGTGTCGGTGATCTTGGTATTGCCAGCGGATTTGACAAAGTGAAGGGCCCATCCTAGCAAGTCAGCTACCCCGGACCTTCTTGTGAGATGAACAATACTCACCGATAGGGATGAAGACGAGGAGGACATTGCTGCTGCATCAGCTCTGGATCCCAGCGCAGGATGGTTCAACATTAGTACTCACATCCAAGAGCTCAGGATCGCGGCCTTGAAGCTTCCCAGCCAGGTTGGCGCCTTGCCGACCTTCCTCTCCGGCGTCAACAGCCCCGTTGTCATCCTCCGCAGCAATCCAGGTTGTGGCCCTCCTTCCCCTCGTGATCCCATAGAGTCTCCGCGCCTCCCGCTCGAGCGGCGAGACTCGCCTGTCCCCCTTCGTGCTGGATCGTACTCGTCATTGGGCAGAGTGACTTGACGAGCAGGTCTACGTCGAGCTTGAGCGGTAGATGGGTCGGTAGATGGGATCTTCTCGGGCGAAGAAGTGCGGTTCAGACCTGCAGCGTTAGTCGGATCCACAATGTTTACTTCAAACGAATTGATGAGACCACTCACTTTCCGTCATTGCTGTGGGACGATACCTCTATGCGCGGAATCCGAGAGCGAAGTACTGTTGTGGAAGAGCGAGTAGTGAGCAGCGAGGTGAGATGAGAGTGAGAGTGGTGAAGGTATTGACGGAACATGTTGATGCGGGCTCCCCACCAAAACTGGCAAAGGACAGCCTCATGACGATGATCTATTTTTAGCAGTCCCCTCTGACAGTAGGTCGAGCGAGGAATGAGGCAGCTTCACTCTGCCCTCCTCGCATACAAGAGCATGCTGGCCTCACCTCGGCACCCCAGCGAGTCGTAGACACGCGATTTGATGAGACTGACCTCCGGGGAATCGAATCGTGATGTGAGCCGTGAGGACGTTGACCGCGGCGGGTTTGCTATTTTTCTTCCTCAAGAAAGTCAATCAAGTCTGGCCCGTCACCGCGCAGACGGCCCCCAGTATAGCTCCACGTCGAAGGTAAGCTGCGGTGTATAGGGGACATTGGGGTGGATTGACGGAGAAGTATAGCAGCTCACCTCGTCGCCGCTGACCAACCGACTGACTATGGTGAGACGCACGGGCTTGCACTGCATCCATCACCCTCCTCCAACATCTCGGCTTTAGCAGTGCATCTCGTCCAGCCTATAACTTGTTATGATGGCCTGAGCAGCTCGACGGGTTAGGGGGTGATTGAGCTGCATATGTATTGCTATGTAGATACAAGTGTTTCTATCAAGTTAGCTACTCATCACCCCGACTATCCTCCAACCTCCCACATCTTCGCCCTGCTCCTCAACAGCCCCAGCGCCATCCTCCGCAGCATGTACTCCCACCCTCCGTCCGATACCGCCTCCTTCCATCCCATCATCCTCTTCATCGTCCCCTTCTCCACCAGCCCGCCGGCCGAGAACACCAACGGTGAGAACCTCCCCATCCCTCCAGCTGCCGCCTTCGCCGTCTCTGCGTCCACCGTGAACAGGTACCGCTGCATCTGCCACATGGTCTTGTCCCATGGATTAGCATCTGCAGGCGGCGCCTCCGTCAACCTGCCCGCCCTCATCTGCCCGACCGACTTGTAGACCTTGTCGCCGAGGATAGAGTAAACCTTGACGTCATGCTCTGTCGTGGCGTTCCCTAGCCCGTCCGATCCCCAAACGAGCAGGTCGTTGCGTCGCTGGGAACCGTGGTCGGTTGTGAGGGGCTCGAGCTGCACTCTGGTACCGCTAACCGACCGTAGAGCGTCGGCGATGGCATTGACGATACCGTTGTGACGGACGATGGTGTACTGGGGCCTGGTAGCACCCCGGCAGACCTCGTCGTGTCCGAGCTCGACGGGAGAGGAGCAGTGGCGACAGGGGAGGAGGGGAGGAAGGAGGGTGCGGTAGTGGAGACCGCAGGAGAGTTCGAAG